CATAATCGAGATAGTGCCTTTACTATAACTTTGTATATTAACAAAGTTCTTATCCCATTTTTGAGAAGGGAACCGGAATGCCTAAGCTGCTGGGCTACTTGAATTGTTCTGGCAAGACGATTCGTCGGTGAAGATAGACTAGAGGTTGGTTAGTAGATTCAAGGGTAAACTTCAGAGTCACTTACTCGCATTAGCACCTCGAGATTCTCTAACCAAAGACAAGCAAACTTATATCTGGCCATTGCTACAGCCTTTGTCAATGGAATTCTCTTTTGTGCACGCCACTTGCGCATTCGATGATGGCGGAGAACTCGGCGCACTGTTGATCGAGAGATCCGAGCATCAACTATATTAGTGAGCAGTTGCGTTGTAAGGCAGGGCTTCCGCTTTGCAAGTTGGATGATGTACCGCTTCTCCCGACGCGTAAGAATCTCTGGCCGGCCAGTTCTAGGCTTGGATTCAAAGGTGGTAGAAGATTCGAAGCGTTGAAGTGATAGTTGGACTGCACGACGGCTGATGGAAAACGCGTTGGCAACAGCCGTCTGGCTAGCCCCCGCTGCAACGGCACCAGCAATGGCTGCACGTGCAGCTGGTGATAACTCCTGGCCAGGCTGACGGCCGACCGTCAATTTGGCACCAAGCTCGGCCAAATTGAACATGGTGGGCTGTATTTCTGTTGGTTGGAAGGTTGATGATGGGGGGTGTCGTGTCGCGATGCGCGTTTAATTAATGTGGGGTGCTCCAGACTTTTGGACACGTACTGTACCTAGCTGTGACCAACTGCCCCGCACTGTCAGAGCACCTGAAAATGGCAGCCCCACTCTGCTAAATTCGGCGGCCAGAATAGCAAATTCTATAGTTCCTATATAATTGTAGCTGGTTGATAGTTTTATTGTTTTGTAATTGAGGATAATATTTGTAGGGTAGTGGAGAGTGGGTCATTCGCTGATATAGATCACTCGCTGATAATATATATTACTGCTAAGAGGTTATATTTAGCCTCCTTAAGCAGCACTTCTAAAGCTTGCTTGTTCTCTTTAGTATTCTAGAATAGGATTTCAACTTTCATATGCGACTATGATAAAACCACAGGCAGTCCTGCCTCTGAAAGGGTTCACTAGTCGAAGGTATCTACTAGTCGGACTGTAGGTCTCGGTAAAGCCAAAAGGTTCATAACAATGCAAGTCCCAATGTCTGCATAGTAGGTAGAGCCACTGATTGCTATTGCTCACTGAGAAAGCTAGCTATCTAAATGAGTGATAGAATAGTAGGACTATATACAGCTTTCCTCCCCTAGGTATCTCTATACCTAGATGTTTAGAATATTTAGAACAATTATTATTCTCGTTGTTCCATCCAGAACAATGTTCCTTGGCGTTATTCCTTAGGAATGGGAACAATCGTTCTTGGCATTATTCCTAATCTCCCTAATCCTCATTGATCCTTCCTAGCTTGTAATGATTAGGCGCAGGCGCCGCCCGTCGGCTATGTAGGTCAGCCCCCACTGGCCTTTGTAGGTTAGTTTATAACAGCGACGGTAATTGTTTCTATTATTATATCTTCCATTCTCGTCATAGTAACAGTATCTATCTATAGGGCAGTAGCTGCAGCAGTGACTCTTAGGCTCCTAGACTATACCTTAGCTAGCATAAAGCTAATCCTCATCTGCTAGAGGTCTTAGAGAGCTTGGTGTCACGAATTAACCAATGGCAGGCTGTAGGGCAGACGGCCGCATGTGGGGACGCGGGGACGTCCCGAGCCAATCATTTGGACAATCAGGCGGATCAGTCAGAGACAAGCAAAGGTGCTAAGGTGCCAATGTTGCTGAGCACTCCACAGGATGTAAGTGATCAGAGTGATCAGGGGCATATCGCGATGAGCACTCAGGTGCTGTGACGAAACCATAGGCAGTCCTGCCTGTGAAAGGGTTCGCCGGTCGAAGGTAACTGCTAGTCGGACTGTAGGTCTCGGTAAAGCCAAAAGGTTCATAATAATGTTTGCTGCAATATCTGTATAATAGGTAGAGGCTATTGCTTATATTGCTTACTGGAGGACTTCTAGAGCCCTCTATAATGAATGACTATATACCTAACCGATCCTATTAGCTCGCCGTCGTTCGCCAGCTACTGTGGTCTACCCTCGATCGCCTTAGGTAGACGGCTACCTAAGTCTATCATGATCGCTCTCGCTCGCCGGCGACCCTGAGCTACCCAGGTCGTCCCCATGCGGCTGCCTGCAGCTTTCTCCACTGCTGATTGGTTCTGCCTGTTTCCGTTGTACCCTACTGGGTCTTGCTATATGGTTGGTTCGTGATAGGTGCTCATCCAAATCGAAGCACTAAGCACCCAAGAAGACAGCTAGTATATAGTCACTCGTTCTGGAGGACTCTGGGAGTTCTCCAGTGAGCAATTCAAGCAATAGTCCTTACCTATTGTGCAGATATTGCGGCAAGCATTATTGTGAACCTTTTAGCTTCACCGAGACCTACAGTCCGACCAGCAGATACCTTCGACCGGCGAACCCTTTCAGAGGCAGGACTGCCTATGATTTCGTCACACTTGGTATTGGGCGGTGGTAGCATTAGTTAGCCTTCCTCTTATTTTCTTCCTACTAACTACTTGGTAGCCCTTGTCGTTAGGTTCGCCTCTATGAGTGAAGTCGATTGGAGCGGGGATAGTAATAGCGTCCCTGTGAGAAGGCACGTTTGCAGTGGCCTTATAGGTCTGCGGCCAAAACTAGTAGGTCTTATTAGCCTTTAATATAGCCTTTAACTTTTCCGGGTACTTCTTCGACTAGGCTAGGTGCTTCCCTCTATAGACTATATACTAGAGGGGGATTTTATTTTTATAGGCTAGGCATTGAGCTTCTCTATTCTTGCTATCCTCTCTATAGGCCTTCGTCCTATACCGAGGACATAGTGGCGTTGACCTATAATAGTGCTGGGTATGGCCCTACTTCCAGCATCTAAAGCACTGCACTAGGCTTAGAGCAGCTCAATACGGCTCGCAGTCCAGTAGTTGAGCCCTCCAAATCACTCCCTTGTCGCATACTCTACGGGCCGCCTCTTGAGAGGTTAGTGTCACCAACACCATCGCCCGAGTTGCCTCTTGATACTTTAGCACCTAGAACTTGACCTTGTCGACTGTTTGGAGGCTAATCTCCTTTCAGAAAGCCTCCTCCGTCGTCCCTTGGAGGTCCTGCTTCCATAGTTCCTTCAATAGAACTGCAAAGGTTCTTTTACTTTCTTCGGCTTGCTGTCCGAAGGCCTCTTTCATCCATCCCGTATTGGTGGTGTGCCAATCCCTAGTCGTCGTACCTTGCAAGGTAACGACCGTGTCCCTATTCGGGAGCTTTCGGGCGGCGACTGCCCCCTTCTTAGCTAACGCCTAGTTGATAGCATATACAATCTGCTACGGAGTCCGGTTGGCTAGATCGGCCGGCATTCCTCTACCTCTAACAAGGATCTGCTTATTTAGGCGGCCTAGTACTATCTTCGTCGGGGCGACCTATTGTGTGTGGGGCGGGGGGGCGGTGGCTCCTTGAGAGGCCACTATAGCCCAGGATGATCTTTTGTCCTGTGCTCCTATAACTGCTACCTTGACTTCTTCGGCCACCACTTTGCGGAGGTTGGCCAATGAGATGGTTCTAGTTTGGTTCTAGGTCGCGTTGTGAATCTTGTAGACGGCTGTGAGGAGGTCCTAGCCTATTGCCCTTGCCGTCCCTTTCGCTTCCGGCTTTGCTAGAGCCACCAATTCGTCGATCGTCTTCTTGATAGTCTCTATGTCGGATAGAGGGGGGGGGGTGGGGGGGAGAAGGGGGGTGTTTAGGTGCCGCGACCTGTCTAGCCCGCCTTTTTCCCCGCTGATCGGAGGAGTCGGAGCGGCCATCCTGACCCTGAAGGCTCGGGGCTTGGGGGGGTGCAGTTCCGGTGTCGTCGGGGCAACTGTGGGTGGGGTTGGGCGGCTGGTTGGTCCGTGCGTCGATAGTCGATGGGAGAGATTTTCAGTGTACCTGCGGCGTCTTGGATGGCCCTACTTTCCACGCCCACTGCGGCCGCGCTGCGAATCGCTACTCACTATATATATATTGTTGCGTATGTCATAATCATTTTACTTGACCGCGCTTGATCCTGTTCTTACTTCATCTAACTAGTTACTTATATATTGGTAGGGGTGCAACTCTTCTCTCGCAGTTGATGGCTTGATCCGCTGCTGTATCAAAAAGGAGCATTGAAACTCCTAATACATCGCAAGTGGAGGAACCCTGGTGTTTGGTTACTATCTATGCTATACGCCACACATTGGAGAGGTCACAGAGAGCGCGTTGGCCGCGAAGGCCGTAACATGGGTAAGGCTGGCGCCATGATCGAAGTCACCATCCACCAAGTCAATGCAGATGGTACCGACCCTTCCGTGACCTCAACGAGACCAGCAACACCAGAATCTTCAGCCACAATCTGTCCGTCACCAACAACATCCATGGCAGCAATGGCCAATGCCCACCCCGCTTTTTGTCTACCTCTACCAGCTTTTGACCGTCCGTCCGCCCGTCTAATACCAGCTCGGGAAATAAGAGAAGGGCATGGTACAGAGTAAATATCATACCAGACTAATCGATGCGCATCATCCATTCTCGAGACAAGGAGATCCGGAAAAAAAGACGCCAAGAAAAAGTAACTGAAAGTCCGAGACGTTTGTGATAACTAAAGCATACGAAAACTAACAACAAAGCAAAACATCTTATGTATAAAAGTCGTCGTGATATGAGAGGCCAGGGATGGCTGGGTCCGCAAAAATCCTCCATCATCGCTGGCCCCAAGCCATGCCGTCCTCCGACGTATTCTGTGCTCCCAATGAAAGGGAGAGCATCACCAGGTCAATGCCTCACCAAGGATGAGTTCCAGCTGCGGTGCGACCGCAAAGGCGTTAGACGAGATCCGAGGGTTCAGGATCCTTTCTCCTCGTCGTCGACCTAAGTATCTGCAACGGTTGACCGCAGCATTAAATGCGCAGAACCTCCATGTCCGATATGCTCCTGTGTCGCTTGTGCAGGTTGGCGTCGGCATGGTTCCCAGATGCCTTTCTCTTCTGCGATAAGACGTTGAGCGGGCTGCTCTGCTGTAAATCCGAGAATCCATGCATTCCTACCGTGTTGCTTCGCTTCCGCCGGATGGGCGTGATAGGCGTGGTGACGGTCTCCAGGCTTCCACTCTTGATGCCCCGGAGCGTGCCGTGGTAGTACGGACCGGAGAACGCAAGCGACTCCTGGGTCGCCCTGTCGCTGTTGATGAGTTGCTGGTTGATCTGATTGCGGCGGAAGGCTCCGACGACATCTGAATTGCTGTCGAAGTGGCTTAGCAGCGGGTGCGTTGTTGCGGACTCTGTTGCGGCGCTAGCGTTACTCGCGGCGGTCTTCGGTCGTGTGGGGCTGGAGGCGAGATCGCCGTAGTCGGCTCCCTCCTCCTCCTCATCCGAGGAATCGGCGTCGAAGGCGATGAAGTCCTCCAGCTTCAGCATGCTCTCCTCCTCGTCTTCGTCCTCTTCGATCCTGGCAAGGAAGGAGTCGTCGCTCTCTTCGCCGAGCACGTCAGAGGTACAGGGGAAGAATGCCTCGGCAGGGCCGAAAGGCGGCATGTTAAAGTAGTCCCCAAACGTGGTGTTTGACATCATCGCTCCCATCATAATGAGTCCTGGGTTCCTCACCAGCGGGGAGGCGGAGACGTCAGGCCTGGAGAAGTCCAGGTGGAGCGACTCCGGCGACAGATCTAGCTGGTTCGTCCGCCGGGGCGTGAAGATGATCATCTTCCCGGAAGCGGGGTCCACGACGCCAATAGGCTTGTTGTCGGACCGGTCGAGATTAAACCGGCTTACGCGAGGCTTTCCGGGGCCATCCCGGACTGCCCGCTCCGTATCTGAGCCCGAAGACGGCTCCACTGAATGGGCCCGCCGCATTTGCTTCTTGCGGACGATAGGCTCCGGCACGTCTTCTTCGGTGGTATCACCGTCGGCTGACAAAGGAGAATTAGCGCTAACAGCTCCCCCACTCGCAAAACAAACTCACTCTCGTATCCGTCGAGCTCCTGTACTTCTGCAGGGACAGGCACGGGCGTTAGCTCTTCGGCGGGTAGCTCGCTCGGCCTGGGCGTGGCCATGGGCGTGAAGTCACCGGGAGCGACCTCGTCGTCCGAGTCCGGAGCTGGGTAGTCCTGCGAGCCAGCGTAGAAGTCCCAGAAAGAATCGTTGGAGGAAGTCTCGTCATCGTCCTCAATCTCACGGCGGAATGAAGGGTCGAGGGCGCCCTTTTCGACAAAGATGTCAGGGAAGAAGTCGTTGATGCTGTTGGATGTCTCGCTTGTGGTCGAGTCCGAGTCGCTGTCGGGCACACCGGCGAAGCGGACGTGGCGTTCGATGGTCTGCTCGAAGCGGTTGTGGTCGGTAAAGGGCTCCAGGGATTCTGCGGGGATCAGGTCGTCGTGATCGGACGAGATGCCGTTCCAGCTGGCGCTGTCGTCGGCCGGGTCGTCCTCTTCGGGTTCGGCATCTTCTTCCTCTGCTTCGCTCTCTTCATCTGCGTCGTCGTCGTCGTCCTCCATCAGCGGCCGAGGAGGGACCGATGCTCGCTTTCGCGCGACATTGGTAACAATATGCTCCTCCTCGGCCGCAAACACATGCTCATCGTCGTCGTCATCCGAATCACTGATATCCTCCACGCCGGAGTAGCCGCTGTCGTCGGACAGATCGAGCGACGACGAATCATAATCCCGGCTCTTTGGGGCCCGTTTTGGCACGGGCCGGCTTTTCCGCCTGACGTTTCGAGACATCTTGACGGCTATACTTTCGTACAGGGTTACACTCGGGAGAGCACAGACAGCGCACGGCCTCAGCCAAGCAGCGGTGAGCTTTGCAAACGAATTGTGTCGCGAGTCTCGAGCACTTGGGGGGCACGAGGCACAGCGAGAAGGTACTCGAATATAGGATAAGAACTTGTGGGTGCAAAGAATCTGTAAATGTCCTGAAAGCGTTGAGCCGTTATAGAGGGGGTGGGGGGTGCTTCTAAGTCGCTTTGGGCCTGAGACGTGGGCCTAGAATAGAACGTATGGATTTCAGCTCGATGGCAGACTTTCTCGTCGCGAGAGCAAGTGAGCCTCGTTCCGGGTGCGGAGACGGGCTCGAGACAGTGGAAGTCTGCAAAAACTTCGTCGAGGAGTGGCAGAATTGAGTATCTCGTTGAGGCTGCTGGACTGCGGACGCGCCGGGGGCATTGGCACGCCCGCAGTGGGCGCTTAGAGCTCAACGACGGCCGACGGCATCTTGAGAATCTCGACGAAGTTTTCGGTAGGTACGGTACTGAATCTCTGGACTGGTAGTGCGACTTCGTTGTCTGTGGGCGGGGGTTTGGTTGGGTTAAGGAGGGAAAGGAAGGTCAAGGAGGGGAGAGCGGGCCACCTGGTGGTTTTTGACCAGAACTTTTTTTCGCAGCGGTGGAACCGGGGTGGGGATTGGCTGGATCTGCAATTGGAACCCAGAGTGGTGGGCAGCGCCTGTACGGCCTGCGCTCTAGCTCGGCAGCTGGCAAACGTGCATCGAGCTCACCACCCGGACCTTGCTACTGCGTTAGGCTGGATGTTTTACCGGAGTCGAAGGCGCCGAACAGGTCACAGTTCTCGTCACCGCTCTTTTCTCATGCGAGGTGTCTTTGGATAGGTAGCAGTCGATTCAAATAGAAGTGCGGCAAGTAGCAAAATGTGCCACGGGGCTGCGGCGTCTTTGCCTTCCCGAGGCCATCTTGCTCGATACTCCCAAGATCTATTTCATCTTTCCATTACCCTCAGACCCATATGGCATCTTCGAGACTTCATCATCGAGGACTGCAACACTTTCCTTTTCGCTACGTCCCGGCCAAGCGCCTCGGCCGCGCAGCGGGGCGGCACAGCGACTGCCCCGCACTTGACAGCCCCTGCTCGACGCAGCTAAGCCAAACGCATGCCAGATATGACGACGTTAGGTGCTGGTTATGACTGGCATGACCCACAGCTCGATCTCGGCCCTGTAGGCTGTACACTATTTGCTCCTTCGAGCAGGTGGTCACGGTGGGAAGTTGCTTCGCATTTGCATTTTAATCATTTAATGTCTTCGAAGTCGACGTCGACTCCGCAGGGCTCCGCAGTGGTGTGCTTGTCTTCCAAGCGCTGTTGCGACAGTTCCAGCCGCCAGCTGGCGCTGAGGTATGTACATACATGTACTCGGTAGTACGGATGGATGCCGAAGCGAGTGAAGCTACCCGAGGCTTTCGCAAACTCTGAACGGGACAGGAATCCACTTAGCCATCAGGGACGTGACTCCTTCATAGGAGGAGGGGTTGTTTCACGAGGAGGTGCTGTTCCAATGGCGGTGCCTCACGTCAACGAGGGCTCAACGTTCGACCGAGCACGCCGTCTCGACGGCGTTGAGTCGGACCGTGCCATGGGATGAGTGTGTTCAGCCGGTGATACATGTAGACATGGTGTGGCTTTGCCGTTGCCTCAGATGCACAGCTCATTGCCAGTTTGGTTCTGGCAAAATTCAACATAAAAGGATCCTTGAGCAAATTGCAACTCGTGAGTCGAGAGATCGGAGGCTAGCCCCGATCCTGCGGGGTCGCCCTTGGGCGTCTCGAGTGCGTCTAGGCATCAGTAAGGGGTCAAAACCATACTCCGCAACATCTACTAGTCTGCCAGAAAATTCTCAGTCCATAGCTTTCAAACCGAAAGTTAGTATTATGGGCAACAAAAGGGGCTGTAGGAAGTTCAGAACCCCAACTTGATACCTTGGGAGCGGAGAATAGCCCGAGGCTGCCAGGGCAGTTGGTCCTTGAGACCTTCCCGGCTTGGCAGATCTTACAATTTAACTAAGCTCAGCTGGCAATCGCTTATCGCGTGGTCGGCCAGTGTTGCCGGGGAAACTCGCTTACATCCCTAGTTCAGAATAAACATTTTTTTGGCATGCAAAGGAATTCTGCAGCTGCAAGTCACGAGCCACTCAAGATCATTCTTTGTCCGTTGTGGACATTTGTCCATCGAATCTTGACTTTCCAAGCAGGACTCCAGTTGACCACGACATCGTGCAGACGCTAGTTCGAGACACGCAACGACCCAACACCCGGTGCCGATGGACAGGGACCCGGTCATGTCTGCGTCGACGCAGAGAGCCATGAACCTTTTCCAGGTTTATCTTCGACTGAGACCTACGCGACACAATGGAGCTGCCGCTGAGGACCGGTTTTTGACAGTGGAGACGCCAGACGACGATGATGCCACACTGAAGCACATTACGCTGAACCCGCCAAATGATCGACGGCGGGCTATCGAAAAGTTCGCCTTCACGCAGGTCTTTGAGGAAGATGCGACCCAACTCGACATCTTCCACTGCACAGGCGTGGCGGACTTGGTCAAGGGAGTGCTAGCACCGTGCGGTGGAGAGGGGACAGATGCCTTGCTTGCAACGCTCGGCGTCACAGGCTCGGGCAAGGTCGGTTGACTGGAGTCGTGAAGGGTGGCCGGAGATACTGACTTGCAGCATGGACAGACACACACAATCCTGGGTTCACGGTCCCAGCGTGGCCTCACCCAGCTCGCCCTCGACGTTGTGTTCAGATCGCTCGGCGACAACCTCCTCAACTGCGACGCCGACCCAACCCTAGAGAAGTCGATCGTCGCGTCCGACCCATCCGAAGCTGCCATTTTCTCTGCATCCACCTTCCTCGACAATGTCTATGCTGACGCGTCCGCGCCGTTTCGAGCCAGTGCAAGGGCGCCAGCCCCCGGGATGGTAGGGCATTCCCCACGTTCTACCCAGTTACAGCCCGATGAAAAGAATCAGTACAGCCCCAGTGGGCCAGAGCTCGCATCTCTCAATATGGGCGTGCGCATAGTCAGTCGGGAAGACTCTGCGCCACCTCCCACGCCGCCTTCATACCAATACAAGAACAACCATACAAGCCGTAGCCGTGGCGCTGCTTCTCCCCATAGCGTCGCTCGCGGCTACGGACCTCGTACTCCTCAACGCCAGCAAGTGCTGAAGTCGGAGCAACATCTCAAGCATTTTATGGCTCCGACGGCATCTATCCGTTTGAAGAAAGGCACTAAAGGTCCCCTCCATCCACAGGGCGATTCTCACGGGCCGGGACAAACACCGTCGCGCCGGCTGCAGCGCCCTTCGGCCTTCCCACAGCAGCCCGATGTCAGCGCCCTGTCCGTGTCGTGCGATCCGTTGTCCGAATACGCGGTCCTTATCTCCATGTATGAGGTGTATAACGACCGAATCTTCGACCTCCTCACGCCACCGATCAAATCGACGGCGACAAAGGAGTACCGCCGACGCCCCTTGCTGTTCAAGTCAACCGAGGCGTCCCCCGACCGGAAAGTGGTGGCCGGGCTGCGGAAGGTGATCTGCGGGAACCTGCACCAGGCCCTGATGGTGCTCGAGGCGGGCTTGCACGAGCGGAGAGTGGCTGGGACTGGTAGCAACAGCGTGAGCTCGCGCAGCCATGGGTTCTTTTGTGTGGAAGTCAGGAAGCGGACTAAGGGTAGCCGACGGCACGGAGGCGAAGTGCCATGGGGTGGGAGCGCTCTCACCATCGTCGACCTTGCCGGGAGCGAGAGAGCGAGGGATGCGAAGACGGCGGGCGCGACGTTGGCCGAGGCTGGCAAGATCAACGAGAGCTTGATGTACCTCGGGCAATGCCTGCAGATGCAAAGCGATGCGGCAAGCAAGGACAAGGTGAGTTACCAGATGCAGGCCCGTTACACACACGGGACACAGCGATGCTGACCGTGGCTAGCCCAACCTGGTCCCCTTCCGGCAGTGCAAGCTGACAGAGCTCCTCTTCTCCAACTGCTACCCGTCCGCATCCGCAATCTCGTCTGGCAGACACCGCAACCCACAGAAGGCGGTCATGATCGTCACGGCGGATCCTCATGGCGACTTCAACGCGACGTCCCAGATCCTGCGCTACAGCGCCCTCGCCCGAGAAGTCACCGTCCCCCGCATGCCCAGCATCACCCAGACCATCCTCGAGGCACAAGCCCAACGCCCACAACAACAACAGTGCTCGAGCCCGCTCGCCTTCTCGCCCGTAGAAACACGACCGTTCTCGCCGCCAGGCTACCCACAACTGCTGTCCTCGCCCACCATCCTGCGCAACACGTCGCCCATGTCCGACGCGAATCGCACCACCATGGAAGCTGCCGCGCTCGAGATCGCCCGCCTCTCCGACGACGTCGAGTACCTCCGGCGGGCGCTCGAGGCAGAGCGTACCGCCCGCCAGGAAGCCGAGTCGCACCTCCTCTCGATGGAAGACCGCATGATCGAGCTGGAGCAGGCCATCCGCGAGGACTGCACGACCGAGTTCGAGCGGCGGCTCGAGATCGAGATGGCGCGCTGGCGCGCCACGATGCAGGTGGAGATGGAGCGCGGCGAGGAGCACTGGGGCCGGAAGATCGAGGTGTTTGAGCGGAGCATGGGCGTCCGTATTGGCGGAGACTACGATGATGATGATGATGGGGGTGATTTTGAAGAGGAGGAGGACGGCAATAAAGAGAATGTCTTGGTCGAGGACGCCAGCCAGGAGTGTGAGCGGCTGCGACACGAGAATGAGATGCTGCGCCGCGAGCTGGCTGCCATGAGTCCCACCAAGCGGATGCCCCTTCAGGAACGCGGCAGCGATGCCAGTCTGGCGGTGCGGAGCAGGCCGATGGCTGGAACGGGGAGTCCGCGGGCTCCTGTTCGTACGGCTGCTGCCCGGGGTGGTGGCGGTGGTGGGGATGATGAGGGCAATAGCCTGCGTCTGCGGCTGGCAAAGCTGCGTCTTAGTGATGACCAGGCTTCGGCGCGCAGCTCGACGGGGAGTGGCAGCCCCAAGAAGGTGCGGCGGCTGCCGGTGAAGCGGTGGAATGCGGTCGGCGAGGATGACGATCTGTTTTGAGCTACGCCTCGTATAATTTGTTTGTAATTGGATCCTTGCTGAGTTTGGGTTATCCGGAGAAATACCACTGGACTGGGTCGGGAGAATGCACGGTTCGGAGGATGGCGTACGCGGATGTTATGGTATATGTGGTCCGATCGGACGCCTAATGACTAACGGCCTTTGTTGTCCGGTTACATTTGTTTTTTCGCTATGTCTACCTACGTGCGTCGCCTAGTCGTCCCGCTGGCTTCGCGAGTACGAATTACGATTCTCAACGCTCAGCTCTGGGCCTCTGGCCCAGAAAGCTGCAACGTGAGGAGCCAGGCCAAGTGACCTAGGGCCGTTAGAGCTCGGCGTGAATATATCTATCGCTGTGCCCTTTTTCAAACAGAAGGGGGGGTTTCAAAGGCAGAGGAGCTGAGGATTACGTGGTCATATCGCCGCCGTCGATAGTTATTGCACGGTATATAGGGGACCCCTAGGCGTTTGCAGGCAACGATGTCGTTTTGGCATATAACAGTTATAAGCCCGGTTTACGAAGTGGTCAAACGTCCACAGTCTACCCATAAAAGTTCCCTGGCTACTCAGAAGGGTCCAAAACTAGTAGCTTCGAAGATAGGAAACCGCACAGAAAAAGCGGTAAAGTGGGGCGGTGGAACGTTCTCCAGCCAAGCATCAAATCATTATTACACGGGGCGCGCTAACTACTGTAACTCAACTCCGACTCCGGATAATGGCGTCCATCCTCCGGCGTCTTCCTTGGTCCGGCCGGGCATGGAAGTCTCTTGTATTCCCCAGCACCAGTTTCAGGCAAATTCCCCTGGAAAGGAAACTGGAAGAAGAGCTCCTTCCCGGTTACGTTGCGTCGCGTTACTATCCCGTCCGCCTTGGCCAGATTCTCAAGGACCGCTACCAAATTGTTGGTAAGCTGGGACTTGGAACAAGTTCGACAGTTTGGTTGGCGCGCGACTTGAGGCATGGCAATTCCCACCCCCATCCGCCCTCCGCGCCCGACTCCCAGCGCCTGCTCTAAGAACACTGGTGCTAACGTGTGCCCAGCGGTCGTCGCCATGTCGCACTGAAGGTCTTTATACACTCCGAGAGTCTCGGTACTCAGGTGGACCACGAGCTTTCCATGTACAGGCGAATCTCGGCGGCATCGACGAGGCATCCCGGCCGCGGCAGTGTCCGGGAACTGCTCGACTCTTTCGAGGTAACTGGGCCAGACGGATCTCACCGCTGCCTAGTGCACCCCCCGCTGTGGGAGAGCGTCCTGACGTTCCTGCACCGCAACCCTGTGAGGAGGTTGCCAGCGCCCGTCCTCGCCGTTGTCCTCCGTCGCCTCTTCCTCGCGCTGGATTTTCTCCACACAGACTGCAAAATCATTCACACAGGTGCGCTCTGGCCTTCAATTGCAGTAATCCAAAAGACCACAACACACAACAGTGCGGGCTTTATCCCCAGTAACACCCTTTTAGTACACCCACCAGACGTTCGTGTTGCTAAACTGTCGCGGAGCAGACATCAAAGCCGACAACATCATGTTTGGGATTGAGGACGACTCGGTTTTCGCCACCTTTGAAGAGCAAGAACTGCTCGAACCGTCAGCTCGGAAGCTGTTGGATGGCAACAGAGCCATCTATGTGTCACGCGAGCTTCCGATGCCAAAGAAATGGGGCGTGCCGGTCCTCTGTGATTTTGGCTCGGCCGTGCCAGGGGGCATGGAGCATTCAGAAGACGTACAACCGGATGTATACAGGGCGCCCGAAGTTATCCTGGAAGCACCATGGTCCTACCCAATCGACATCTGGAATGCCGGCTGCATGGTAAGCACTCGAAAAGAGCGGGAGAGGAACTGCGGGTCCCAGAGCTGACTCGTATCCACGCCTCTCTCCAGATATGGGACCTCTTTGAAGGCGGTCACCTGTTTACGGGACATGACCAGGAGCATCAAACCTATCGAAGCCGAGCTCACCTTGCCGAGATTGCTGCATTGCTGGGACCACCTCGCCAACTGGTATACCGAGTGCAGCCTCCCGGCTGACTGGCGCATTACAACTACCGAGAATGGCTGGACTACCAATGCAGTAGGCCTTGATTAGATCAAGCACTTCGACTACCATATAGCGCCTCGGACAAAGGGCAAATACCGGTTGTTGATCCTCGATGGCCACGAAAGCCACTACTCAACCGAGTTCAAGCTCTACTGCTAGTAGAATAACATTATCATACTCTGTATGCCTCTATATTCCTCCTATATCCTCTCGCCACTTAATGTTAGCTGCTTTGAGCCATTGAAGCAGGCGTATAGTTGCCAGATCGAGGACTTAATACGCACGTATATTGTCACGAGGGCCGTCGTTCAAGGCTAGGGTCAAGCCTCTGGTGGTAAACTGACTGCATTGCAAGAATATTGAACTTGCAGGAGCAAAGAAATCCTCGAGACTGCAAGGTAGGCTTTAGATATAGGATGCGAGTAGGTCTGAGCTTGCATGCATAATGTAATGGAACATGCATAATGAATCATCACTTGGTATGATGAATCATTATATATACAAATGATATCATCATCATGGTTGGTGCGTTCCACCGTCATAATGCGAGTAGGTCTGAGCTTGCATGCATAATGTAATGGAATATGCATAATGAATCATCACTTGGTATGATGAATTATTATACATATAAATGATATCATCATCATGGTCAGTGCGTTCCACTGTCATATATATCAACCATATAAGCAACCTCGAGTTCCTTTATACCTTTCGCGCGGCCTTCTTTACCTCTATCACTAAGAGGAATATATAGAGTAGTTTTATAGGAGCTGGCCTTATACTATACGGTCTAGAGAGGGTACCTTTGAAGCTAGATATTAAGCTTCATATACTAATACCCCTAACCTTACAGCCGGGCACTATATAATCTTGAGTCTTCCAGACACTATACAACCCCCAAGAAGCTAACTTATAGTCAACGCTTATCAAGACTCATATTACCACCCACCAAAATAGCTCCCCAACTTCGATATTAGCTGCTATAGACTAGCTAATAAAAAGTACAATGGCTATAATGCACCAGGTAGCTCTCCTGCAGTGTGACAAAACCATAGATAGTTTTGCCCCTAAAAGGGTTCGCTAGTCTAAGGTATCTGCTAGTCGGACTATAGGTCTCGGTAAAGCTAAAAGGTTTATAATAATGCAAGCTGTAACGTACATTATCAGCGAGTCGTATATATCAGCGAGTCGTATACTTCCCCACACGACGCGCCACCTCTACACTTAACACTAATTTTCTTAATAACCCAATATGCCCTCTACTTCAAAGGAAGCCAGAGTAATCTTAGCACTAGAGGCCCTTTAAAATGACGAACATCTTAGCCTCCGAGCCGCAGCCAAGCTCTATAACGTACCAGCTATGATGTGACGAAACCACAGGCAGTCCTGCCTCTGAAAGGGTTCGCCGGTCGAAGGTAACTGCTGGTCGGACTGTAGGTCTCGGTGAAGCCAAAAGGTTCACAACAATGCTTGCCGCAATGTCTGCACAATAGGTATGGGCTATTGCTTGTAATATTGCTCACTGGAGAACTCCTAGAGTCCTCTATAACGAATGACTATATACCTAGCCGATCCTGTTGGCTCGCCGTCGTTCGACGGCTACCGTGGTCTACCCTTGATCGCCTTGGGTAGGCGGCTACCCAAGTCTATCATGATCGCTCTCGCTCGCCGGCGACCCTGAGCTACCCAGGTCGTCCTTATGCGGCCGCCTGCGGCTTTTACCCCTGCTGATTGGTTCTGCCTGTTTCCGCCGTGCCCCACCGGGTCTTGCTATATGGTTGGTTCGTGACATATGACTCTTTCTAACCGACGCGCTGGCCGGCCTGTACGACGCGATCTTCTAGCCAACTCGCGTAAGCTTACCAATCTAGAAGAGAAGGCGATAGTTCAGTATATGATTGAGCTATCTGCACGCGCATTCCCACCTAGACTAATTGGTGTGGAAGATATGGCTAACCATCTGCTATGCGAACGCGGTGCGCCCCCTGTCGGCAAGCTCTAGGCGCATCGGTTTGTTAAACGCCAGCTAGAGCTCTATATACGTTATGCCTGTCGATATAATTACTAGAAGGCTAAGTGCGAGGATCCGAGGATTATCGGGGAGTAGTTTACGCTCGTACGAAACACTAAGGCCAAGTACGGCATCGTGGATAACAATATCTACAACTTTGACGAGACTAGGTTTATAATAGGCATGATCAGCCTAGGCATAGTAGTTACAACCTCGGATAGCTTTAGCAGAGCCAAGCTGGCCTAGCCTAGCAACCGCGAATGGGCAATAGTGATCTAGGGACTTAATGTCCTTGGCTAGGCTATCCCGCCCTTCATCATCTTAGCCGCACAATACCACCTCGCCAACTGGTATACTGAGTACAACCTCCTAGCAGACTAGCGTATTGTAACTACCGACAACGGCTAGACTACCAATACGGCAGGCCTAGATTAGATCAAGCACTTTGACTTCTATATAGCACCTCGTACAAAGGGCAAAAAGCGGTTGTTAATCCTCGACGGCCACGAAAGCCACTATTCTACCGAATTCGAGCTCTACTGCCAGGAGAATAACATCATCATGCTTTGCATGCCTCTGTATTCCTCCTACAAGCTCTAGCCACTCGATGTTGGCTGCTTTAGGCTGTTGAAACAGTCATACAGTCGCTAGATTAAGGACTTAATATGCGTGTATATCAACCATATCAGTAAGCTCGAGTTCCTCTGTGGCTTTCGCAAGGCCTTCTTTGCTTCTATAATAGAGAAGAAATATAGTATAGCTTTATAAGGGCTAGCCTAATACTATATGATCTAGAGAAGGTCTTTTCTACACTAGATATAAAACTTTGTATACTAACACCTCCAACCTTACGACCTAGCACTGCATAATCTTAGGTCTTCCAGACACCATATAACCCCCAAGAAGCCGAATTACAGTCAACACTTATCAAGACTTGCATTGCCAACCATCAAAACAGCTCTCCAACTTCAATATTAGATGCTATAGATCAACTTACTAAGGGTACGATAGCTATAATATACTAGGTAGCCCTCCTTCGATCAGAGATCTCTTCGCTCCACAAGGCCAATGAGGCACTAAGCAAGCGCCGGAGAGCCAAAAGAACACGCGTGCAGCTTGGAGGATCACTTACAGTACAAGATATAAAGGATCTACTAGACTAGAAGGCCGTAGTTAGGGAGATGGTACAAGAAACGCAGCCGGATAGTGGTAGTACAGGGGGGGGTCGTACGAAGGTTCGGTGCTATGGTGTATGCGGCAAGCCTAGCTATAACGTACGTACGTGCCAGGAGATTGTAGAATCATCTGATTCATCTATTTCTGATGTAATTATAGTTGGTTGCTAGTGTTGATATGTTGTAAATATGAATAGTTGTTGTAGGGGTGGAGAGAGTGTACGACTCGCTGATATGTATGACTCGCTGATATGTACGACTCGCTGATATGTACGACTCGCTGATATGTATGACTCGCTGATATATATGACTCGCTGATAATATACATTAATATCTATATAATAGGTGAAGGCTACTACTTGAATTACTCACGAGAGAACTCCTAGAGTTCTCTAGAACGAATGATTAGCTAACCTATATACTACGGGCTTCCTATAGATTACTTGCTTATCTCTAGTAATCCCTAATACTAGATTATCTTAGATCACTAGTGATCTCTTATAAGCTTTATAGCTAGATTACTGATCCTTCCCTAATACTAAGCGTGATTCTTTTCTGATTAGTCTATTCTTAGACCGGAATAATTAGACACAAGCGCCGCTCGCAGACTATGCAGGTCAGCCCTACCGGCCTTTATAGGTTAATGTCACGGTCGGTATGGGTGTCGCCCCAAGTGGGGGTCGAACCCACGACCTCCCTGATTGACGGCTGTTGTGGAGCACCGGTCATATGATCCATAAATCAGGAATATCTTCGTATAATGTTCTGAGCCACTGACTCAGAACTTCTTTTTCCTTTCCTCAACTTTAGATTCACGAAATAGAATGACAACAATAGCCAGCTTGACCCTGTCCAATTACATCTAGTCGTCACAGTTAATTTATGATATAATGCCCCCTCTCTAGGGCTATTCGTCCCGATAGCCCAGATCTGTTTCAAATAGCGCCAATACCCTATATTATAGGTATGCTATACGCCTTTACTTTTCCTCTTTCTAAGAGATGCTAATATAATAATAGGCTATATCTATAAGCGCTAGTCTAAGAAAGCCCAAAAGCATATAGCTCTTGCGTCTTTTATCGAATCCTATAGTATAGATACTATACCTTGTTCTTAGTATTTTAAGTATAACTGTGATGGTAGAATGCACTGACTATGATGATGATATTATTTGTATATATAATAATTCATCATACCAAGTGATGATTCATTATGCATATTCTATTATATTATGCATACAAGCTCAGACCTACTCGCATCCTGTATTTAAAGCCTACCTTGCAGTCTCGAGGATTTCTTTCTTCCTGCAAGTTCAATATTCTTGCAATGCAGTCAGTTTACCACTAGAGGCTTGACTCTAGCCTTGAACGACGGCCCTCGTAACAATAACCTTGCTTGCTATATTATATAAGATTCTTCTCTTTATAGTAAATATATCCGTTAACGTACATAATAAGCGAGTGATCCAGACGAGTGAATGACCCACTCTCCACTACTCTACACATATTATCCTCAATTACAAAACAACAGAACTATCAACCAACTACAATTATATCAGAAACGGCTGAATCAGATGCTTCTGCAACCTCCTAGCAAGTGCAGGCATTATGAACAGGTTTGCCGCATATACCACAGCACCGAACCTTTGTACGAGCCCCCTCTATACCACCACTATCCGGCTGCATTTCTTATGCTACCTCTCCAACCATAGCCTTTTGGTCTAGTAGATCCTTTGCATCTTCCACTATAAGTGATTCTCTAAGCTATATATATGTTCTTTTGGCTCTTCGGCGCTTGCTTAGCACCTCGTTGGCCTTGCAGAGCGAAGTATTCTCTGCCTGCAGGAGAGCCACCTAGCACATTATAGCTATTATACTCTTTGTCAGCTGGTCTATAGCAGCTAACATCGAAGCTAGTGAGCTATTTTGATGGGTGGTAATACAAGTCTTAATGAGCGTTGACTGTGAGTTAGCTTCTTAGATATTATATAGTGTCTAGAAGATCCAAGATTATATAGTGCCCGGCTGTAAGATTAGGGATGTTGGTATACGAAGCTTGATATCTAGCTTTGAAAGTGCCCTCTCTGGATTGTATGGTATAAGGCCAGTCCCTATAAAACTACCCTGTATATTCCTCTTAGTGATAGAGGTAAAGAAGGCCGCGCGAAAGGCGTAAAGGAACTTGAGCTTGCTTACGTGGTTGATATACGCGCGTATCAAGTCCTCGATCTAGCAATCATATGCTTGCTTCAACGGCCTAAAGCAGCCAACATCAAGTGGCTAGAGAAGGTAGAAGGAATATAGAGGTATATAGAGTGTAATAATATTGTTCTGCTAGCAGTAGAGCTCGAACTTAGTTGAGTAGTGGCTTTCGTAGCCATCAAGGATCAACAACTAGTATTTGCCCTTTCTCCGAGGCGCTATATAGTAGTCGAAGTGCTTGATCCAATCAAGGCCTACTGCATTGGTAGTCCAGCCATTCTCGGTGGTTATAATGCGCCAGTCAGCCGGGAGGTTGCACTCGGTATACCAGTTGGCAAGGTAGTATTACGCGGCCAAGATGATGAACGGAGGGATAGCCCAGCTGAGAGTATTGACTCCCTGGATTACTGTTGCCCACTTGCGATTGCCAGGCTGGGCTAGCTTAGCCTTGCTCTGGCTATCTAAGGTTGTAACAATCATGCCCGCAAAGATAATGCCTATCATAAACCCGGTCTCGTCAAAGTTATAGATATCGTCATCTACGATACTATACTTGGCCTTAGTGTTCTATATAAGCCTAAACCACTCGCGAATAATGTCTAGATCTTTATATCTAGCCCTCTAGTAGTTGTATCTACGTGTATATCGTATATAGAGCTCTAGCCGGCGTTTGACGAAGTTATAAGCCTAGCGTTTGCTAACAGGGGGCGCATCGCGTTTATATAGTAGTTAGTTGGCTATATCTTCCATACTATATAACCCAGGCGGGAATGCACGTGCAGATAGCTCATTGACATATTGAACTATCGCCTTCTCTTCTAGATTGGTGAGCTTACGCGAGTTGGCTGGAAGATTATATTGTGCAGGCTTGCCGGCGCGTCGACGCCCCAGAGTCCTACGGTCGACCCTATAGATCTTAGCTGCGGCTCGTTCGCTTAGATTCTTGTCGTTTTGAAGAGCTTGGAGAGCTAATATTATCTGGCCTTCTTTTGAAGTAGAGGGCATTTTGGATGGTAGAGGAAATTTTGTTATTGAGTGCAAAGATGTCGCGTCGTGTAGGAAGTGGGTCACTCGCTTGTCTGGGTCACTCGCTTATCATGTACGTTATAGTTATTTATATAACGGTCCCACCACAAGGCCTAGCCAGGGACCTAGCAAAGGCCCAGAACCGAAGCCTACGCATCGTAACCGGAGCCTACAAGGCCACCCCTATACGGAACCTCGAGACGGAAACTTGGATCCCTCCCCTAGACCTCTACCTTAACAAGAGGCTGGCCGACTTTGAAGGCCGGCTCAACGAGCCTACCCTACAGGCCGGGCTAGGCCCAGAGGCCCCGAGACGCCCACCAAAGGAAATCATCCAAGGGGCTTGCAACAGGCTCCAACGAAGGTTCCAGAGGCTACGGGGCCGGCCCCGGAGCCCAGGAAAGCCAACAGACGTCGAAAAGGCCTCGGCTGTAGTGGCCGAATGGAACGCCCAGGCTAAAGCCTTGGGCCCACCATTGGCCAAGACCCAGGATGACTGGGCATTATTAAGAGCTTAGGAGGCCAGGTGGAAAACCCAGGTCCAGGGACAGCCAACCAGGCTAGCCGACGAAGGCCTACCAACAGTCCTCTTCACAAACCAAGGCCTACGGAAACACCAAGGCCTTATAAAGGCCAAGAGCTCCCTACTAGTATAGGCCCGTACGGAGGCTATAGGCCTACGGGACTTTCTTTTTAAACAAAAGGCCTGTAACCAGCCTACCCCCTATTGCGAATGCGGGGAAGGCCGGGAGACAGTAGAGCACCTAGTGGTTTGGTGCTCTATACCACTTATACCAAGAATCTGGCCTAGGCAACTAATACGCACCCACCGGGACCTTAGCCTTGTTTTACAGGGCCTAGGCTACTGGAACCGAAGACTTCTGAAGAAGGTACTGGGTTGGCTGATGAACTCGGGCCGGCTAGGGGAATACAGGCTCGCCCAGAACCTATATCAGGAACTGGAAGCCAGGGAGCTCGGCTAACCACACCCGTGGCCACGGCTTAGCTGGGCTAGCACCCTACTAGCCGTTAGCCCAAGGCCTTCCCAAGGCCTTTTTCTTTACTTGCAGCAGCGTGTATCACTGGAACCATGTCTTTCCTATTATTTTTGATGAAGGTTTTCACCCGGCCTGAATGGTACGGTTTTTTCTTTGTACATAGCAGTAGAGGGTCCGGCGCGCCTTGTAAATAGCTAGGCATAGCAGAGTAGGAGAATATATATATTTATATAATGGTTCTAATATAGCGTCATGTCGTAAGTTATTTCCTCTTCTCTTTATAACGTATATGATAAGCGAGCGACGCAGATAAGCGAGCGACGCACTTTCTACCACCCTACAGCAACTATCCTCAATTATAATATAACAACGCTAGCAACCAACTACAATTACATCAGAAATAGATGAATCAGATGATTCTACAGCCTCCTGGCAAGTGCGAGCATTATGGCCAGGCCTGCCGCATACCCCACAGCATCGAACCTTCGTTCGAGCCCCCCCTAAACCGCTACCATCCGGCTGCGTTTCCTGCATTGCCTCCCCACCTACGGCGTTCTGATCTAGTAGATCCTTTGCATCTTGCACAGTAAGTAAACCTCCAAGCTGCATACGTGTTTTCTTGGCACACCGGCGCTTGCTTAGTGCCTCATTGGCCTTGCAAAGCGAAGAGACCTCTGACCGAAGGAGGGCCACCTGGTGCATTACAGCCATCGTACCCTTGGCAAGCTGGTCTACAGCATCCAACATTGAAGTTGGGGAGCTATTTTGATGGTTCGCAATGCGAGTCTTGATGAGCGTTGACTGTACGTCAGCTTCTCGTGCATTATATAGTGTCTGGAAGACCTAGGGTTGCACAGTGCTGGGCCGTGAGATTGGGGGTGTTGGCGTACGAAGCTTTATATCTAGCTTAGAAAGTACCCGCTCTAGGTCGAATGGCATAAGGCCAGTCTCTGCAAAGCTACCCTATACGTTCTTCTCTATTATAGAAGCAAAGAAAGCTTCTCAGAAGGTATAGAGGAACTTAAGCTTGCTAATATGGTTGATATGCATACGTATTAAGCCCTTGATCTGGCGACTATATGCCTGCTTAAGTGGCCTAAAGCAGCCAACATCGAGAGGCTGGAGCCTATAGGAAGAGTATAGAGGCATACAGAGTATGACAATGTTATTCTCCTTGTAGTAGAGCTCAAATTCGGTTGAGTGGTAGCTCTTGTGGCCGTCGAGGATCAACAACCGGTATATGCCCTTTGTTCGAGGTGCTATATAGTAATCGAAGTGCTTGATCCAATCCGGACCTACTACATTGGTAGTCCAGCCATTATCGGTGGTTGCAATACGCCAGGTAAGTGGTAGGTTGTACTCCCGGTACCAGTTACTCTAGTAGTACTATGCGGCTAGGATGATGAACGGAGGGATAACCCAGCCAAGGGCGTTGACTCCCTAGATTATAGTCGCCTACTCCCGATTACTAGGCTAAGCTAGTTTTACCTTGCCACGCCCATCCGAGGTTATAACCACCATACCCGCGAAGATAATACCCATTATAAACCCAGTCTTATCAAAGTTGTAGATATCGTCATCAACAATCCCATATTTAGCCCTAGTATTCTATACAAGTGCAAACCATTCGCTGATAACCTATGGATCCTCGTATTTAGCCCTCTAGTAGTCGTACTTGCGTATATACTATATACGGAGCTCTAGCTGGCGTTTGACAAAGTTATAAGCCTAGCGTTTGCCGACAGGGGGCGTATTGCGTTTGCATAGTAGGTGGTTGGCCATATCTTCTATACCACTTAATCTAGGTAGGAATACGCGTATAGATAGCTCAGTTATATACTGAACTATTGACTTCTCTTCTAGATCCGTGAGCTTATACGAGTTGGCTAGAACATTGCGTCTTGCAGCACGTCCTTTGCGCCGGTGGCGAATCGTTGCTTCTGGAACGTTGTATAGCTTGGCTACCGCCCGGATACTGAGATTCTCGCTCTGTTTGATAGCTTCGAGGGCTAAAAGAAGCCTGGCTTCTTTTGAGGGGCTACGCATAGCTTGTTGCGGTGGTATTTGGTGGAAAGGTTTAGAGGAGGCGCGTCGCACTGAAAGTGCGTCGCTCGCTTATCTGCGTCGCTCGCTTATCATGTACGTTATAGTATATTAACTAACTTTTCTTAGTAACGAAGATTATATTGGAGTAGAAGTATATAGAGCAAGAAAAGGCGATTGGGAGGAGCAGGCACTATATGCAAGGCAATATACGTAGGGGCGCAGTGCCGAGAGGTCGGCAACACTAGGGATCTACAAACTAGGGGGCAGTCAGGGTTATAAACACTGTAACCACGACTGCCCCGCGCAGAATGCGAAAGAAGCTTCAATGGATAAGAAATCTGGATTCTCTCCAGCAAGCGGAGCCATACCTGCTACTATTCAGGCAAAATCTTGCCTTTCGCACAGTTGCAATTGATGACTCAGCAAGCACGGACCAACACTCGCCAGAGGCTTTACCGGCCGAGGAACGCGTTTGCGTTCCCGGACCGGGGCCGGCTCCGTAACGGCCCCAAACGGCGTCGGCGACGGAGGCCGGAAGGCGTCGCCCATTCTACTTCGTTCACACCCCATTGAGCCGTTGAGCACGCACCCCGCGGATTCGCGATGGCGGTGCATTTTCAGCGCCAGGATCCCGTTCCCGGTTCGGGGACGCGAACCAACTGCGGCCAATCCTCGAGCCTCGGTGCTGGCCAGGCTCGCTCATGCTATTGTGACCTCCCGTTTTTCCCCCTAAATTCCAGGACTCCCTTCTCCCTTACCTTCCCGTCGTTCTTCCTACTCCTAACGCTCTCCTCGACTCACGATGACGGTACCACGACAGTCGCGCTTCTCTGAGACGGGCCAGGGTAGAGTTAATGCGCTCCTCCAGGCTTATACGGCTAGTGCCATCGAGGAGGAGGGCAATAAGAAGCCCTTCGTTGCTCTGGGCACGAAGGCGGAGCGCGATAGAATATGGGACACCTGGACCGAGTATGTCTTCTCCCCCTCCTTCCCACGGGTGGCGGCCGGCCGCTCTATCCCATTAGTCTTCTAGAGGAGGTGCTGAACAAGCCCGAAGAATATTGCGAGATGTGCCATGGCAGCTCTATCTAACTCCAAGCATACCCGAAGGGGACGTTTTCTACAAACAATTGGCGAGGTGGAAGGCTTTCCGCAATTGGCAGAAATACAACCGAGATATACAATAAGGAAGAGGAGTTTGCTGTGTATTTTAAGAAGGAGGTGTGACGAAACCAGGCAGTCCTGCCTCTGAAAGGGTTCGCCGGTCGAAGGTAATCTGGTCGTGCTATAGGTCTCGGTAAAGCCAAAAGGTTCACAACAATACAAATCGCAATGCCTATATAGTAGGTAAGGCTACTGATATATATATTCTCCTACTCCGCTATGCCTCGCTATTTACAAGGCGCGCCGGACCCTCTACTGCTATATACAAAGGAAAAACCGTACCGTTTAGGCTGGGTGAAAACCTTTGTCGGAAGTAATAGGAAAGACATAGTTCCAGTGATACACGCTGCTGCAAGTAAAGGAAAAAGGCCTTGGGAAGGCCTTAGGCCAACGGCTAGTAGGGTACTAGCCCGGCTAAGCCGTGGCCACGGGTATGGCTAGCCGGGCTCCCTAGCTTCTAGTTCCTCATCAAGGTTCCGAGCGAGCCTATATTCCCCTAGCCGGCCCGAGTTCATCAGCCAACCCAATATCTTCTTCAGAAGTCTTCGGTTCCGGTAGCCTAGGCCCTGTAAAACAAGGCTAAGATCCCGGTGGGTGCGTATTAGTTGTCTAGGCCAGGTTCTTGGTATAGGTGGTATAGAGCACCAAATCACGAGATGCTCCGCTGTCTCTCAGGCTTCTCCGCATTCGCAATAGAGGGTGGGCTAGTTACGGGCCTTTTGTTTGAAAAGAAAGTCCTATAGGCCTATAGCTCCTGTACGAGCCTGTACTAGTAGGGAGCTCTTGGCCTTTGTAAGGCCTTGGTGTTTCCGTAGGCTCCGGTTCGTAAAGAGGACTGTTGGTAGGCCTTCATCAGCTAGCCTAGTTGGCTGTCCCTAGACTTGGGTCTTCCATCTAGCCTCCCAAGCTCTTAATAGTGCCCAGTCATCCTAGGTAAGGCTACTGATTGAAATTGCTTACTAAGGAAGCTAGCTATCTAAATAAGTGACAGAATGGTAGAACTATATATAGCTTCCTCTCCTAGGTACCTTCGTACCTAGATTACCAACGATCACCTCGGCCCGGTGATCGTAGGTGAGCCGCTTACTGGGATCACCAGCTCCCGATTGACCTTGGTGATCCTACCGTCCCTGACGGCTATTGGCCTAGAGTTCCAGGGTCGCGCCCTACCCGGCCGCTATATATGGTTGGTTTATAATACGATACCCTCTCTCTAAGTCTTTCGTCCCAAAAGACCTATAGGTTATCCTATATCTTTAGTGCTAACGCCTTTATAGGTCTCCTCTTGTTTTCCCAATATATTCTTATATTTCCTAAGCTAACCTTTATTATAATAGGGTATATAGAGAAACGCTACCGTAATACTACCTTAGATTGCTATATCTTATTTACTTTAATTAAGAGAGGCGGCTCTAAAACTATACGCTGATCGGACGGCGGCCCTTTCTTACTACTCGCAAAGACACTGGGTCGTCAACGCCTTCGGCTACGCCGACGTTACCTCGCAAAAGAAGACGCACGTTGGCCGTAGCTCAGGGGCGAAGATAGCTGAGCTGAAAGGCGTTAGCGAGGACCAGATCCGCCGCGCCGGCCGTTGGAAGCAGGAGCAGATGGTCGGCTGTTACCTCAACGCATTGCCCTGTAAGTTAATACGTACGATGGCTGGCCATCCTTCGCAGATGGGGTGTTTCGAGATCCGCCGCGCCGGGATCGCGCCACCAGAGGCCCTGCTTCCGATGATCTGGTCTGGGTTGGATCGCTGGAAGGACCGGATTGGCCCTAGGTCCGACCAGGTGAACGACCTTGCGGCGATGGGCCTAATGAACCTGCTTTTCTACTTAGGCGAGGTAGTCCTACAAGACTCGGTCCTCCTAATGCAGCAGTTCCTCAACAGCCCAGTATAGAACCACCCGGTCTTTTAGCACGAGGCGTACCAGCCATTCGCGCGGCGGGTCTTAGCCTTCGTACAGGAGGAGGAGCAGCCAAGTCAGCTAGCCGTCCTTGTCCAGGCGATGCCGGTCTTAGCCGACTACTTGAAGTCTATCGACTCATGCAATGAGGCCAGAGCGGCCGAGCTTAAAACCGCATTTGAGACCGAGGTCCGAGCAGCCGAAACGCGGCTCAGAGAGGCCCAGTCCTCGCAGCTTCAGATCTTCTTAGTTTCGGGGCTTTAGGCGGCCGCGGTGGCGGTCCTACCGTCAGCAGAGGGAGGGTTAGCAGAAGGAGGGGGAAAGAGCCGATGCGCGTCCGCCCAATCTAGCATCGACAATAGCCGTATGTCAAGCCCTGACCGGCGGGGACATACGACGCGCCGGAGCCGGAGTTGCAGCCGCCCTGGTATCGCATGTGCCGGGCAGTCAAGACGGTAGAGGGCCTGTGGCGCGAGTGGACAGTCGGCCTTCGAGGCCAACCGGCTATCGCCGCGCTCGACAGCAGATGGGGCAGCCGGTGGCGCGCAGGGCGGCAGAGCGAGCTGCAGTGGTATTCCCTACGGCTAGAGGTCATCAAAGAGATCCGGCGTGTCGCCCAGGCGAAGCGGATCGGCGAGCAGGCGGCGATGTGCATTGTCAGCATGCAGTAGCAATGCATCGGCTGCTCCCTCGACTAGTTTTGCAAGCGGCTACGGGCGAACAGGAAGGCGTGTGCGCTCGGCCGTCCGGCCGTATAATATAGTCCAGTACAGCGTAGTATAACCCCGACGGGTAACGCAACTGTGTTCTCCTGACCGTCTGTCAGTTTATAACCTTCTGGATTGCTTCAAATTGCCTTCAGTTGCATGGGAACTGCCCGGGGGTAGATATAGGTGGATATTGTAAGCACAAGAGGTCTCCTCTCTTCCCGGGACTTCTTCAGACTATATAGCACCTACACCATAACGTTACAGGCCGCCAGACTTCTTCTGCTACCATCCCTTATACCTATACATTCTGCTGGACATACAAACCAACAATATACCATCTCTGCTTAGACACAGAATGACTACTCCCCCGCCAGACGTCGCGGAGCGCATCCGCTCCAAAAAGGCGTAGTATACGCGTTTCGCCGACACCAAGCAGTGGAACAAGTTCGACACCATCTTCGTGCCAGACGCGACCTTCACTTTCGTCGATATAGATGGCAAAGTCATCTCCACGCCGGACGGGGCGATCCCTTACAAGTGGTACTCGCTCGAGTCGTGGGTGGCCTTTTTTGAGAAGGCGCTCGCCGACTTGCAGGTCATCCATCTCACTGGCCCCGGGGAGTTTGAGTTGGTCGGTCCGAACGAGGTAAAGGCGGTGTTTACGGTAGTGTACAACGATGCACTAAAGGGGGGAGGGACTGGACCGCATGAGACGGGCGGTGGTCACTACTATGAGACGTGGGTGCGCCAGAGCGGTGATTTGTTTTGTAAGGATCTGTGCATGCAAAGGACTTATCATCGTGTCATTTAGAGACGAGGCTCTACCGTACTTATTGGGCACTGGTAGTGATTCCTTATAGGCCGTCGGTGCAGATATCGTTGTATTATAGTGGAAGCCCAAGGAAACTAGCAATCAATGGGTACGGCTTCGAGATCGCATTCCTATAGGATATGGCCTCAATTCTATGGTAAGGAATATCAAGTGATGGGTTTCCAAAGTACAAACCAACTACAGATAGTTGAGGAACAGAACAAGCACTCGAAATATCACAGCAGTCTCAATCTCGATGATACCCAATAGATAACGGACACTAACTGCACCTAGCCACTCATTCTCACTCTCCGCCCTCCTGAGATAAGAATCCCAAATCACGTCATATTCCTTTTTCTTCGTGTCATCTCCGAGGCATATAAACCAGATACGCGTGGACTATCCTAGCACTAGCGTGTAGATGCAGCATCAGTATAGTACTAGAGATGAAATGCTTCTATATAATGACACCACTTACGCCCTAGACGTACCAGTTACATCAGTATTCTAACAACCACTTATACCTAAGAGGCTGGGTAGTAAGCACTTACAATGTATTCACAGCATGCCTCACAACCGCCATAATATGCGCAGTCTTCCACGCTGGGCTGGTAGAGCTCGCCGTCACAATAGCATGCGCATTGGCGTTCCATTAGCTTGGGGGGCTTCACAGGACTAGCAGCTAAGATTCCAACAAAGACGGGGAAAACGGCGATAAAAAGCATCATTCTGGCGATATTTGGGGTGAAGATTGTTGAGAACGAAAAGTGGTAGATTTGCCTGGACGTGTAAGCGTCGTCACCCTCTCAGACTCTCTGGAATGGTCCTTTATATAAATCCTGTAGTAATGGAAAAGCCCTCCTCACAGATTAGTGTACAATCTCAATGCGCGTTCATGGGTCCCTGTCGTCCAAGTCTTGCCCGCCGCGAGTCTCCTCAATACATGTCCGATTCGTTCTTTTCTGCCCCGGGTAAACTAGTCCATGTAGGTATGACGCGAACATCATGAGATTCGTTGTGGCTGTTACAAGGTCTTTCATTATTCGCGATTCTGCCGCAGAGACGTAGCTGAGGTTTGTCGAGGCCTACATAAGGGCCCAGAACTCTACGATTCGTTCTTTTCTGCCCCGGGTAAACTTGTCCATGTAGGTATGACGCGAACATCATGAGATTCGTTGTGACTGTTCAAGGTCTTTTATTATTCGAGATCCTGCCGCAGAGACGTGGCTGAGGTTTGCCGAGGCCCACATAAGGGCCCAGACCTCTCCGGAACTCCGGTCTCGCTTCTAGACCACCGATCTCAATCCCCAGGAACTTGTGACGGGTGGGATAGGAAACAAAGCGAGGTAAGAGTCAAAAGTGGATGCTGGCGATGTTGATGGTGCTTGGTTGGTAGGGACGCACCACCGTGCACCGTGCACTAAGATAAACCTACGGACCCCGGGACTTATGCCGTAGGGATTTTGTTTCGGGCGCACACCCTAAGGATGGAGATTATGCCAAGACATCGTGACGCATACTCGGCCCCGGTGCAGCTGGTCTTTCGAGATGTTCGTGGAGACGTGACGTATCGCGGGAAGGCGATTGATATAAATGGCAAATGGCCACCAGGTTCTTGGCTCGTTCACCACCAGGCCCGAGCTTACTCGCCTCGAAATCGAAAGCAACTTCCCCCAATGCACCCAAAACGCCTCACCTGCTATACATCTGCGGTAAGTGCACAGTGTCGGGAAGGCGGGAAATCGACCAAAGCGCTTGCGGTGGTCAGACTCAGGATGACATAGACCGCCGCCAGGTTTGCGCCTGCTTGGTGCTGCCGGCCTTCTGGCTTGTTTTCACGGTGGCTGGGAATGCCGCCTAGTTGCACGCAACTTCCGGGTTCATAACCTCGAAGTTCTCGCTCGCCCAGATGTTTGAGGGCTTATCGTCTTTGAGCATGGCGCCTACCTGCTGCACGGCGAAGCAGCCGCTAAACAGACCGGTTTGGGCGTTATTGTGGCGTTGGACGGTATAGACGTTGCCTGCTGACCCGACGATGCCGGTGAAAGTCTGGGACATAGTGACAGTAATGTAAAAAGGTGGGGCTTTGCTTGGCACAGGCAGGTGCCCCTGGCTTGCTTGTCTTTCGAGGATACCAATATCGTCTAGAGGCGAACGGGTAGCATCTTGTCTGGGGGGAACAATAACTATTGGGAAATGGAGTTGGAAAACAGTACGGAAGTCTAGTCGGAAACTATGCGGGTACAAGGCTGAAAAACGGAGATGAAGTTGTAACGTAGGTGTATAGCGAAAGTTACATACATGTGAAAGTTACACTAAACTACACTAATGCGATATTTCACTTCTACACCCACTTCCCCCACAACCTAGCGTACCTCAGAAAAATAATGAAAGCCAAATTATCTTGGCCCTCTGTGACGGTGGAACCCACCGTACCATGGCACAGGCCATTTGATTGGTCAACCTGGTTGGTGCCCCACCTTCCACATCTGGGCATATGCCCCACATCCTATATTTTAGACTTCGCAGCACCTTGCAGTCTTCGAGGATTCCTTTCCTCCTGCAAGTTCAATATTCTTGCAACGCAGTCAGTTGCCCACCAGAGCCTTGAGCCTAGCCTGCAATGACAGTCACCGTGACACCCCACTAGTCTACCTAAACTAGGGGAGGAGGGCTATATGTTACGAACCAACCATATAACCCGACCTAGTGGGGCCATGCAGGCGATGGGGTTACCAATCAAAGAGCACAAGGCAGTGGGATGCCCCACATGGACGCCGATGGACGACAGCGTCCAGGAGCGTCCGTGTGGACGCTCGAGGACGCTGGCGAGCACCAGCGACCATGGACGCCCATGGACGACGGCGAGCGCGAGCGTCCACATGGAAATAGCTAGTATATAGCATTCGTTCTGGAGGACTCTGGGAGTTCTCCAGTGAGCAATTACAAGCAGTAAGGTAGCCCTATATTACTGTGCAGACATTGCGACTTGCATTGTTGTGAACCCTTTGGCTTTACCGAGACCTATAGTCCGACCAGCAGATACCTTCGACCGGCGAACCCTTTCAGAGGCAGGACTGCTTATAGTTTCGTCACACTATATCTAGGGTGAAGATCTTACTGCGAATATAGCTTCTCTTTATAAATTTTCGTACATCTATAGCTTTTGCCTACCTACTCTTTATAGCTATACTAATACGGGATAGGTTCTACCCTTTCTACTTGAAAGTAAAGGAGTTAATATATCTAATATTATAGCCTCAGACAAGGATAATATTAAGCTTAACTGGCTCTATAAATCCGGGTATAAGTACAGCTACTGCCCTAAATCCATTTATATAATACTAATTATTAATATTAATACCAGCAACAATTCTGGGGATAATATAAACGATCTTAACTATATTAATACTGGAGATATTCGCTATTAAAACTAGAAATACTATTACCTTTTATAGGACCTGTGAGAGTAGAGATTAGCAATAGCGTAATATAAAACCTAGTGTAAGCTATAACGTACATGATAAGCGAGCGACGCAGATAAGCGAGCGACGCACTTTCAGTGCAACGCGCCTCCTCTAAACTTTTCCACCAAATACTACCACAACAAGCTATGTGTAGCCTCTCAAAAGAAGCCAGGCTTCTTTTAGCCCTCGAAGCTATCAAACAGAGCGAGAATCTCAGTATCCGGGCAGTAGCCAAGCTATATAACGTTCCAGAAGCAACGATTCGCCACCGGCGCAAGGGACGTGCTACAAGACGCGATGTTCTAGCCAACTCGCGTAAGCTTATAGATCTAGAAGAGAAGTCAATAGTTCAGTATATAACTGAGCTATCTATATGCGTATTCCTACCTAGATTAAGTGGTGTGGAAGATATAGCCAACCACCTATTACGCGAACGCAACGCGCCCCTTGTCGGCAAACGCTGGGCTTATAACTTTGTCAAACGCCAGCTAGAGCTCTATATATAATATATATGCATGTACGACTACTAGAGAGCTAAATACGAGGATTCATAGGTTATCAGCGAGTGGTTTGCATTTATATAGAATACTAGGGCTAAATATAGGATTGTCGATGACAATGTCTATAACTTTGATGAGACTGGGTTTATAATGGGTGTTATCTTTGCGGGTATAGTGGTTATAACCTCAGATAGGCGTAGCAAGGCAAAACTAGCTTAGCCTAGTAATTAGGAGTAGGCGACTGTGATCCAGAGAGTCAATGCCCTTAGCTAGATTATCCCTCTATTCATCATCTTAGCTGTATAGTACTACTAGAGTAACTGGTACTAGGAGTACAACCTACCACTTACCTAGCATATTGCAACTACTGATAATGGCTGGACTACTAATGCAGTAGGTCTAGATTGGATCAAGCACTTCGACTACTATATGGCACCCTGGATAAAGGGCAAATACCGGTTATTGATCCTCGACGGCCACAAGAGTCACTACTCGACCGAATTTGAGCTCTACTACTAGCAGAATAACATTATTATACTCTATATGCCTCCGCATTCTTCCTATAAACTCTAGTCACTCGATATCGGCTGCTTTGGGCCGCTAAAGCAGGCGTACGGTCGCCAGATCGAGTACTTGATACGGATGTATATCAACCATATAAGCAAGCTCGAGTTCCTCTATAGCTTCTGTAAGGCCTTCTTTATCTCTATAATAGAGAGAAATGTCCAGGGTGGTTTTATAGGGTCTGGCCTAGTGCTGTATAATTTAGAAAGGGTGCTTTCCAAGCTGGATATCAGGCTCCGTACGCCAATACCCTCGAATTCGCAGCCTGGCACTATAGAGTCTTGGGTCTTCTAGACACCATATAACCCCTGAGAAGCCGAATCGCAGTCAACTCTTATCAAGACTTGCATTGCCAATTATTAAAACAGCTCTCCAACTTCAATATTAGGTGCTGTAGATCAACTTACCAAGGGTATAATAGCTATAATGCACCAGGTGGCCCTCCTATAGTCAGAGGTCTCTTTACTCCGCAAGGCCAACGAGGTACTAAGCAAGCGCCGGAGAGCCAAAAGAACACGCGTGCAGCTTGGAGGATCACTTACAGTGCAAGATGCAAAGGATCTACTGGACCTGAAGGCCGTGGTTGGGGAGGTGGCACAAGAAACGCAGCCGGATAGTGGTAGTGCAGGAGGGGCTCGTAGAAAGGTTCGGTGTTGTGGTGTGTGTGGCAAGCCTGGCCATAATGTACGCACTTGCCAGGAGGCTGCAGAATCGTCTGATTCTAGTGTTTCTGATGTAATTATAGTTAGTTCCTAGTGTTGTTGTGTTGTAATTGAGGATAGTTGTTGTAGAGTAGTGGAAACTGTACGACTCGCTTATATGTACGACTCGCTTATATGTACGACTCGCTTATATGTACGACTCGCTTATATGTACGACTCGCTTATATGTACGACTCGCTTATATGTACGACTCGCTTATAAGATACGTTATCTGCTTAGTAGGCGAGCTACTGATTTAAGGACAATGGGTGTGTTCCACGGCCCGTCGTGGCTAGGAGGTCCACCGCGAAGGGGCTACGATGCTGGGTTCCGCGGGGTAAGTGAATGGTGCTGGAGGCGGCGCATGGCATTGACCGGGTCCGCCGTGCTCGGTCTGGGTTAGGTCTGGATATGCCCGCGTGCGTCGCGTAGGTAATCACACCATCGAATGCCCGTATGGCAAGTACCCCTACCAAAGGCCGTCGACAGAGATGGACCTAGTAAAGGAATGCTGTAACGCGGGAAACCTGAAACCACAGCTCAGGTCCTTCGAGTTCTGCATCCCATTAGTACTCCTTCCAATTCTCGGAAGGTCAAGGGATGGCCAATATCGCCCTCTCTCCTGTCACCAACGCCAAGTTATAGCTACGGCGGTGCCGGAGGTGGGAAAGAAGGTCTCATCAGCGGCTGGGACGCAGACTTCCTCCAACAAGCGACGCAGTCAGCTGAGAGAGCCATGTAAAACCCCCCCCGGCGACAACACGCCATTGTCAGGCCCAGGCACACCCTCGTCGGCTCCTTGGTCCCCGCCGTCGCGCCTCTCTTGATTTCGGAAGTATATCCCGCCGCTATGCCCCCTGCTCAGGCCCGACGAGCTTACTTTCAGCAACATTGTGTCACTCTTAGAAAGTGATCAGCCTGCTCAGAAGGCGATCGCTCTCGCTATATTGGCCTTGGGGGAGTTGTGTTTGAACGCTAGAGACGCCCCAACCACGGCGACGCACGTTGACAGGACCAACGCACGCGAAGTGTGACGAAACCACAGGCAGTCCTGCCTCTGAAAGGGTTCGCCGGTCGAAGGTATCTGCTGGTCGGACTGTAGGTCTCGGTGAAGCCAAAGGGTTCGCAACAATGCAGGTCGCAATGTCTGCACAGCAGGTGAAGGCTACTGTTTGTATTGCGCACTGAGGAAGCTAGCTATCTGAATGAGTGACGGAATGGTGGAACTATATACAGCTTCCTCCCCCAGGTACCTTCGTACCTGGATCACCAGTGATCACCTCGGCCCGGTGATCGTAGGTGAGCCGCTCACCGGGATCACCAATTCCCGATTGATCTTGGTGATCCTGCCGTCCCTGACGGCTATTGGCCCGGGGTCCCGAGGTCTCGCCCCACCCGGCCGCCATACATGGTTGGCTCATGACAATTGCATTTGGTAAATGGGCTATGGCGTATCGTATAAGATCTATAGTTGCAAGCCTATATTACGGGTTATACAGCCTTGCAAAACCGCACCTTTCCCGCCGTGCTTTATGCAGAATGGACGACGATCCCATGCTACCGACTAAGTATTTGATACTGTAGTACATGTAGGTAGGTCGATATTCGGAACGAAGCAGTACATATTCGTCGCTCGCACTAGCAACATCGTGAGGCTATAGCACCCTTGCCACCGCATCGGCCCAACTGAACTACCCGAATCCTTGTGTTGGCTAGTCTACATAGTAGCCGACCATTGTTGGGCTGCCCGTGGACCTCATGACAACCAGGTCGCTTCAGGTCTGTACTCTGTTTGGGACATAGAAGAAACGGCCGGATGTGGTGTTGTTGCACGCATGGCCCTACTGTGTCGCTCTGGTGGTCTGGAGGCCAGGTGTAGGTAATTCGCCCTGGCCAGGTTCGATCGGCCCGTCAACGGCCTGACACGGTACCGGCTGGGCCGGCTCTTCTTCTTCGGCCTCCACGTACTCGAAATGTGGTTCCTCTCGGCCCGAGACGCATCACCGGGTTGCCGGCGTGCACCCAACATGAGACTAGGCAAGACCGCCACGGCCGTTGAACACTGCTTCCTCCAGTGTGGTGAGAGGACACGGCATTCGTGGCACATTGTAATTGGACGAAGGCGTTGCGGACATTAAGCGCTGGTTCAACCGAGCATCTCTCTAGCGTATTTTCCTCTTCCCCAAACACACCACGTTCTAGACCATTTCATAATATGGAGATCATTAAGTCTAGTGAGGCATTTAAACATGTTGACGGCAAACTTGAATCGACTGCGTGCAAGGCATTGTCCGAGTCGACGACGTCCTGTACTTCGGAAAGTGGAAAATTCGGCAGCAGCCACCTGCTGATTTCTCTCAGCTTGACGCTGTCAAAAATGTTGGAAACGGATGACAGAGAGCCGGAGATGAAGCCCTCTTGGACGGTGGCGACAGGGCGGAGCTGTTACGTCAAAAGACCAAGTCTGTTTGACTATGCCGGTACAGCAGACCTCGAGAAACGAATCTTCCGCGAAGTTGAGACGTGCGAAATGCTCAAACAATATCGCCATCCGAATCTCGCCTTCTACTATGGTGTCCAAGAAACACGAGGACGAGTGTCAGGCCTCTGTTTCAAGCAATACGTCTCGACGTTGCTTGACAAAGTCAATCCTCAACACTTGAACAAATCTGACTTCCTGCTCAGCGAACGGCCGCTTGTCAACAATAAAATGAAGGCGCAGCTGGACAGGATACTGGGGGGTATCCAGCACCTTGATTCACTTGGCCTCGTCCATAACGACATCACGCCAGCTAACATCATGCTGGAGGAGGACGGTACATGGGTCATCATAGACTTCGATAGTTGCCGGCATGTTGGGGACGGACTTCGTAACACGGATACTAAGAGGACCTACGGATGGCACGACCCCAACGTAACGATCGCCTCAGAAAAGAAACGACCTCGACGCCTTTGCTGAGTTGAGGACCTGGCTTTTCGGGTCATTGGCTGGTGAATTTCTGTTTTCACAAAAATGATTCGTCACTGTAAGTATTTACACTAGGTTTGTTCCAGCCCACATGCAACACATGTTCATTTGCAGATATGTACTCTACGGAAACCTAGGGTTGAGTTTGTAAAATAACCAGAAAACCAGTATATACAGTCACGCTGACCGTAGCACATTGCACCCAGGCTATATACTGCTTACATGCTTAAGCTCTGTTATGGCCAATGCCGCTCCCATCAGCCACAGCCGTATTGTAGAAAGCTTTGGTATATATATAGTACCTGGATATGATAGCTATAGCCCAACGTTAACGGCTAGGCCAATTACGATGGCTATAATGACTATAGTTCAATTGCTACGGCTATACGAAGTACAAGGGGGTTACATTTGGGGTTATGGACCACTTGTGGATTCAGGCTTCCGTAGTGGGACACCCACTCCCACAACAGAAACATATGGCTCGATCTTGCCCTCCTCCTCCTCCTCCACGATCCCCCGATTTGTTAGGTATCTTGTCTTTGATGGCATAGTGGGGTCTTCGATCGAAGAGTCAGCATCCGGAGACCCGACCCTTGTTTCATCGGATGCAGGACATACAGTAGTGCCCAACTGAACGGCCGCGGAAAGCATCATGATTCGTCTAGGATCCATAAGCTTCAACCGTCTTCATCCCCCCTCCTGTTGAAGTTTCGCCAGAATCATGACGTCGGGAGACGTAGCCCGTATGAGACCGTATGCGGGACATGGAGCCGGACGGCGGCGGGACCAGCACCGAAGACCCATACGACAGGCACATCTAGCTCTTGCTGGGACCGACCGGCTTCTAGCCTATGCTCCGACTTACCGACCCATCATTTATGTTTGATTCTACATTGCGTAGGTCCCCCCTCTATTCGCACCGAAAGCTCCGCAGATGATCACCAAGTGACGTAACTATTGAATGCAGCAATCAAAACTCCGTAATTCTTAGCTCATTGGGACGGTAGTTTACTCCGGGCCCCGACATCTGGTTGAAGCTCTGAGTGTTTGCAGACGCGGATTAATAGGCGAGGAGGGGCGTGCCAGTGCCACTTAGAGAGCAAACTGGAATTCAAACACTTTTCCAGTCGTTCTTAGTCGGAACCCGCTCTCCTCTCAGTCATGGACTTCGGAAAGGAAAAGAAAGATCTGCACCTTGGCAAGGATCTACGGTTCGACAAGGTCTTCGAAGCCGGGAGCTTCATCATCTTCTACTCACCCACGTACTACCAACAGGGCCGACCGGTCGACAATACGCATATCAACATCCTCAGTGCCGAGAAAGATGAGCTTCTCCATATCTCTTTCCGCCGCGCTGAGAATCAGATCGTGTTCAATAGTCGCACATCTGGCGGGACATGGGACGATGAAGAGCGCAAACCGTTGGAGGGAGTCTTCAGCAGGACTGATGTCACGATTGCCGTTCGCCTCGAGGACACTGACTATAAGGTCTACGTCGACGATTCCATCATTCACACGTACAAGAAACGGATTTTCAAGGATGCCCAGGGAGTGTCGTACCGGACACAAAGGACGGATGGCAAGTCCGCCTTCGCCAACCCCATCGGGGTCGTGGTTCTGACACCCAAGGAGGCCTCGGATTTCAAAAGAGCACCTGCTGCAAATTACGAGAAAGCCTACTTCAACCTCACTCCAAAGGATGTAGCAGAAGAGTCGAAAAATGACAAGTTCGACTACGTCATCATTGGAAGTGGCATCGGCGGTGGCATGCTTGCTGCTGACCTCCTCGACAAGAATAGGCGTGTGTCGGCCGGCTTCAGTTCTCAGGCGACTACCTACGTCGCCCGCTCCATATTCAACCTCGAGGCGGCCAATGCATTGGTTGAGGAGTCCGATAAGAGGACCAAAAGGATCCTCGTCGTGGAGCGCGGCAACCTACTTTTCCCCACGCATTCGCTCAATATGCCTCGCCCGACGAGCCGCGGAAACTACGGCCAGATGAACGACCTGTTCTACAATCACTTCAAGCAGAACTGGGAGATGGACGACGACACGCGAAAGATCTGGAAGGGTGGCCCGGTGTACTGCCTGGGTTGCCGCAGCACCGTTTGGGGCCTCTTTTCTCCTAGGTGAGCTCACAGCCTACTTTTTCCAAGGTACCTACCTACCTTCACCAACCGAGTCACTGACCATCGTGGCAGAATAGACGACGACACCTTCCGGAACCACTTTCCCAATGAGGTGTATGAAAATCTGACCAAGACATACTTGCGCAAAGCCGAGGAGTGTATGAACCTTTCGTACTCACGCACTCTTCCGCTGCACCGCGCGCTCAAGGACATTCTCAATATTCGGCACCGTGATGACAAACTTCCGACCACTCAGTGGGAATGGGGACGGGTGGCCTCCCAGTTCAGCAACGAGAGGAACTTTGATTTCTCAGAGGGCGCGTTTAGTACCGTGGACCGTCTTCTCGAGGCGGCAATGGACGACCACTGCGGCCATGGGAAGTTCAAGATCCTCATCAACTCGACTGGCTTCCGCCTCGAGCCCAAACCAAAGCCGGGCACGACACGTTCGGCCACCCACGTGGTTGTTAAAGATTCGTCAGGAAATTTGCACAACATCTACACCAAAAATGCAGTCATCTGTGCCGGAGCTGTTGAGAGCCCGGCCGTTCTGTTGCGCAGTATGCGCGGCGACTCGATCGAGGAGACCTTCGGGAAGGAATTTGCTCGCAACTTTGGGCACGTCACTGACCACCACATCTTCTACGTGACGCTACCGTTCTACTACAAGGACATGAACCTGAGGAGTCTTCTCGGTGGGGTGAAGCTTCAGACCAACATCAGCTTCCGGGATGTCCAAATCGATGACACTACTGCGCTGGCCAACATCTCACTTGATGCCTCCTCCTTTTTACCCCGGCGCAACATCCCCGACTCTGAACTTCCGCAGTTCATCATTGCCTACATCTTGCCCTCGAAGCTCTCGCGCGATAACAAGATTGAGCTTGACGAGGAAGGCCGGACACGGATCAAGGTTGGGTACGCCAAGGATCCCAACCTGGAGGAGAAGAAGGAAATTCTGAAGAACTTTGCTGTCGACGCGATGAACAAGATTGCATCCACTCTCGACATCCAATTCGTCCAACACAGGTTCAGCATGGACAACTACACGATGATTGACAAGGTCACCAAGCAGGATATTGAGCTCGGCGAGCTCGGCCCGGGCGGTGTGGCGCACGAGTTAGGTTCCATCCCGATGCCCGACGCGGAGGGAAAAGACGGCCTTCTCGACGCAAACCTCAAGCTGCAATACGGCTGGGACAACGTCTATGTCTGCGACCTGTCCATCTTCCCCTACTCGCCCGCCGCGAACCCAACCCTCTCCCTGACCGGCCTCTCTCTCCGCCTGTCCGATCACCTGGTCCCTCCCAGGGATATCCGGTACCAGCCCATCGTCGTGCACAACCTGTGCCGCGACACAGTGTACGTGACCATGACGCTATCCAGCAAGGCCAGCACGCATTGGAACCCGCTTGCGTGTAGCGACGACGAGCGGGTGGAGATTAAATCGGGCACGAGCATGACCTGGAAGCGCGAGCTGAAAGAATCCATATTTGTTTACTCGTCCAAAGAGACCGAAAGCTTCGACGTGCAGATCGTCCACCCGGGTGTTACGGCCCTGATCACGGAGCCGCCGCCGGGGGCGCCGCACGCGGTGCCCAAGTCCATGCCTACTAGGCGTGATTCTGGTGTCGAATTTCAATACGTGTAAGTACCTATGGCAAGGTATGGTATGGAAGTGATGCGAGCCGTCAACAAGCCAAACCGGCGGCCATCATATCTGGTGAAGGAATCATCATCTCAAAAAGTTGTCTGATCAATGTGCTTGGAAAGGACAGATTGTCAATAGCCTGAAAAAGTTGGTCACTTGATTGCATCAGCACTCTAAAACCTCTTGTTATGCCTTGCCTTGACTCTGGCCCTCATGGTGGGCGTAGCACTTCCCTTCAACGGTAGCGTCTTTGTACTCCTGATAACCAACCACGGGTGTCTCGCCGTTTGCTCGGAATACGGCACCGCATACGGCGTTAGTCCCGCCGTCACATTGACAAACACCCCGGAATGATCCTCCCCGTAGGACTCCCTCGCATCATACGCATCCATCTCAAACTCCTCTTTCCCCTGTCCCTAAACCTACAAGCTAAGACAAAGCAGATAGCTTGGTGCACCTCCCTTCCTCCCCGCATAATACAGCGCAATCGTCTTCTGCCTCAGCACATAGCCCCCGTCCTCAACCCCCAGGAGCCGCCACCGTGTTGGCATGATTTGCAGCGTTGCGCTAGTTGTGGGTCTGCTAGCTTGAGCTTTCACTTCACACCGGCAAGCCAAGAAGCAGACAGGATGGCTCGAGGAATTGCGAAGCCAGGGGGACACTGGCATGCCCGAGTTACCAGGGTGGTCTGTCCCAGTCACGCACAGCTCAGGGATGGAGGAGCTAGATGGTCATGGAACTGCTTGGCATGAGATGCATGGTTCGGCGGCACACCACGGGGCTAGGCCAACGAGTAATGGTGGTCGGTTGAATCACAATGGGCTGTATGAGTTGGAGACGATATAACTCGGGATGTAACAGGTTACATGCGGCGTTATTCAGTTGGCATAAGAAAACAGAGTGAAGGATTCTAGCCGCCGCAAACCCCCCGGCATGAGAAAGCAGTCAAGAACAAAAGATACATACTTGGTCCCCAGGGTGGTCTCTACGACTGAATGGCGCTTTTTCTGCGACAAAGCGAGATCCGCCTTGCGCAACCTCTCCGGAACCGTGTTTGTCCAACCGAGTCGGCGAGCCAGCGGGCTCGTAGAGTAGTCCGACATGATTGACAAACGTCAACGACTTGTTGAACAAATAAGCCGTACAAAACCACTCTGAAAGGAAATCCCACATACCTCAAGGGCGTACATAGTCCAACATGATTGACAAACGTCAACCATAAACATGTCCCAGAACACCGCTCTAAGAGAAACCCCGGCCTGCCTCAAGACCATACATACTAGTCCCACATGATGGACAAGTTGAAGCGTCAACGGCAAACAATCTCAGAACACCACTCTAACAGATCCCCCGGTTTCACTCTCAGAGTGCTGCCTTCCTCTTGTTCTAATTGTCATGCAGTCATCGCTAAGTCTCCTTGGATGGTGCGGATACGCAGCTGACGCTTGACGGCCGAGACAAGGGGCGGGCGCTGGAACAGGGCGCCGGTGAGGGTCTTGAAAGCCCCCTTCGCTCTCCCGTCGCCAGTAATACCCCTTTGGTGGTTCTGTTTTCAAAGAGCTGTAAGTTCGAGATGCGTTCGCTGGGCGGTGTTCTCTATGAGCAGAGCCAAGGAGGAACTGCCCCTTTTAGTCGCTGTGTTGGCTCCGTGCTGTGTGGCTCGTCGTTTTGGTCCGAACTTGTTGCCACGTCCCTGGTTGCCTAGGCTCATCCCGATTTTCTTCTTACAATATCCTAACAACCACACCGTAATTCAATAGCATTCAGCCATATCCGCACTGGTGGCAGCGAGAGGTCGGCAGCTGTGGAGTCCCCCAAGTTGTGATCCTCAGTGCTCGGGCTGCTCGCCATCTTGAACCTTGTCGAACCGGCCGAGATGGTTTCCGATTTTCCTCTTGAATATCAAGATGTTTAGCCCTTGATTGCGAAGTCTCGCTAGGAGGTGTCTCGAAAACGCATTGAGATGCGAGTTCGATGCCGAATAGCTGCATAGCGACAGACCGCGAATGCCGTGGGCATTGTTCTCATAATGGATGACGACGGGCTGGTTCGCCGATCGACAACGATCTTCTCAATCAGCGTTGGGTTGCCGGTCTCCCCACCCGGAACGCTCTCTTCGACCATATCTATTCGACCAGCTGCAACCCCGTTCGGCAGGCCCGGCCGCAGACCCGGAGCTCCTCATGCCATAGTGATTGTGAGGGAACAAGACCTTCTTCGTCGACCAGCCCAGTTTCAGGATATGACTCCTTGCGTCGGACGTATGGTTCGGACGGAGGGATGGTCGCGATATTCTCCGAGACGACACTCCTCGCTGCTCCCTGCTTCTACTTCCCTATGCAGTGAAAGCAGGACTGTAGGGTAGGTCGGTTGAGAGCATAGTTGGGTGGGTGCTGGCTCATCCAAGCCTTGGAGCTGTGTTCGACGAAACTGCGGGCCGCCTGGCGCTCATTCCCTCCGGTTGCAACACGTTGGGCACTTTCCCGCTCGACTGGTAGGCGGGCAACGGCGGCTGATTTGGAGACACCTGGTCAAGCTTAATGTGCGGGGCGCCAACGCTCGAGTAGTGCGTGGCGGTATCGTCTGAAGACGGCACCGCTGCTCGAAGTCCTTGGGGAGGACGTCGAATGTGCCGCGCAGCTGGTGCAGGAAGGCGTTGCACCATGAACATGACAACCGCAGCCGACAATATCTGAACAAGCACCTCACACTGCCTCCAGCCCTCGAGATCTCGATGCGACAGTGCGACCGGTCGAATTCGTTGTCCGCCCTTCCGCCAGCAGCTTCTGGGTCTCCGTCAACGTTCTGCTGCAACTGAACCTGCCCTTCCCGCCTTTACTTCAGTCGTCGTTCGATTCCATCCAGACACATCTTGTCCAATGTCTTTCTGGGCACAGACACGGTAGTAAGGTTCATTCAGAACAGCTCGGCCCAACCCCGCGGAGAGAAAGGTGTGTGGGAAACCGCTGTTCCAAACTCGTCCTTCGGCATAGGGCTCTTCGCGCTAACGTGTCCAATATTTCCAAGTTCAAACGAGCACCACCCATCTAACAAATCCGAACCATTTCTCACGAACAGATACATAGCATAGACACCTTACTAGCTTCACTCATCCTCGTCATTACTAACCGTGCTCGTCCCGCCACCAAACGCCTCGGAGATAACCCGCGTCCTAGTCACGCGCCCATCCGCAGCCGACACATACACCCAGCTGGTGACCTCGATGCCCGGGAACGGCGCATACACATACTGCAGCTCAAACTCAGTTACTACACTCGACCCATCCTCCGCCTCGCCCTCGACGGTGACGGTCCGGTTGTGGCCCGTGAAGGACATGTCGGTCGCGTAGCTGCCGACCACCCGCGGCGGGCGCGTCTCGGTGCCGTCGTTGTCGAGGTACTCGTCGACGATGTCGCCGTTCTGCGCGAGGATGCGGTTGGTGTGCCGGGCGCCCGTGTAGTCGTTGATGCTGTACAGAATGTTATGCTCGAGGTTGTAGTCGCGCGGTTGCTGCTGCTGCTGGTCCGACCGTTTGCCTGCTGCAGTTGCAATTGTTGTTGTTGTGGTTGCATCACTACTAGTATCGGTGCTGGTGGCGCTGGGACTGGGACTGGGACTGGAACTGGAACTGGGGGGGTTGTCGCCAATGATGTCACCGACATCCCCGAGAGTGTTGTTGATGACCTTCCCGAGCGTGGCGATGGCCGGGTTCAGGTCGATGCTGCTGAGCACGTCGTCGACCATGGCCACGACGTTCTCGAGCCGCGCCTCGAGCTCGACTTTGGCGCTGACGTTCTCGATGGTCAGCTTTACCCGGTCGATGCTCGCGTCGACGCCCGCGTTGAAGCGTAGCAGGTTGAGCACCTGCGCGTCGACGTTGATCTTGGCCGTGATGTTGTCCACTTCGATGCCGATGTGGCCGACGCTGACGGATGCGTTGAGGTAGACGTCGGGCTCCTGCGGAAGAACCGCGCCGGGCGGAGTGTTGGCCGTTTCGTAGATGGCCGACTCGGGATCGCCGCGGTGCTCGAGACGGTAGCCGATGTAGCCATCGTCTCCATCTGCGGCCAATGTGGAGGTAACCAGTAGAAGGGCGAGTGCCCAGGATGCGATGGTCTTCATTGTGTGCTGAAGACTGAAGTTGAAACTTTCAGGCCGGTGAGCTTCTGGGATTCGAGATAGCAGCGATGAAATGGGAGTCTAGGGGAGTCCAAGTTCGAGACCGCCATGTGAGTACCTCACTGACGCGGGGATCTAGGTCCATATGGGCAAGCTCAATTCATTCATGCATGTGTTGTGAGCGCGCCAACCATCCATCTGTGTGGTAACGTTATTCTTAACGGACCACATATGGACGGGGGCTCTGCCATGGCAGTTCCCCTGACAATCCGATGCATAAAATTACCACCACTTGCAGGGTACCATTCGGATAATAAAGACCCTCGCCGACTGGATGTTCCAGGAACGCGGGTTTTTGGATAGGACAATACGTTCCGCGATCAAGGTTCTATCGAGGAGAAAACATGGTAAACAAGGACAATACAATTGGCGCTATTAAGATGAGGGGAGTTCTCTTCCCGCATCGCTTCGACGCGAGTTGACCGTTGCCACCAGCTCGGCTCTTATACCTAGCAGCTATCCTGGGTAGTGCAAGTTGCGTTCCGGCCACTTCTGCTGAGATTCTCACCGCGCGCAACTCTTGAAATCAGCCCACAATGCGGGGCATCACCAACTCTCTCGTTCGACTCCTCGCCCTCCTGCTACTCGTCGCCTTAGCAGCAGCGCAGAGCTCGTCAGCGGCCCCTCTCACTACAACGTCTTTGCCGGCGCCGACAGCACCACCACCACCATCCAGCTCCTCCTCCCCTTCCACTTCCCCCTCCAGCACCGGAAACGGCAACGGCAGTAGTAGTCTCCCGCCTTCATCATCGGTACCACCAGTACCAACGGGGACCTCCCCCTCCTCCACCTCCCCACCCGACGTCCTCCTCCGCGTACCGGAGCTGCACGTCGGCCGGATCGAGCTGGACGTGGACGACCTGCGGGCCGACCTCAACCTGAACGCCGAGATCGCGCGGCTGGTGTCGCTCAACGTGGGCGTGCAGGTCGCCGTGAGCAAGGTCAACATCACCATCGCCGACGTCGACGCCGAGCTCGACCTGGTCATCCGGCTGGGCAACCTCGCGCGGATGGTCAACCGCACGCTGGCGTCGCTCGATTTGAACCCGCTGCTGGTGAACGTGCTCAACGACGTGGGCGAGATTGTCGGTGGTGTGGTTGGTGCCGTGGATGGCTTATTGGGGAGTATCGTCGGCGGTGGTGGTGGCGGGGAGGAGGTGCGGTTTTTGATTGATAACCTGGGCAATATTGTCCAGGAGGTTGTTGCGGGAGGTGGTGGTGTTGTGAGCAGTATTGTGGGCAACTACGAGAAGAACATGACCTTCACGGGCGCGGTCAAGGAGGTGGGGAATGGCCTGACGCAGAAGACGTATCGCTATGATCCGCTGGGGAGCCTGGTGAATATCATATTCAATACCCTGGGGCAGGTGGTGCAGGCCGTGGTGATAGGGAAGGATCACTCTGGGGGAGGGAGTACTGGTACGAGCAGCAGTTCGGTTGTGCCGACCTCGACGGCGAGCGTTTCCACGACGGCAAGCTCGGCGACGCAGGCCGCGAGCACGACGTCGACTGTCTAGGAGGGGGAGGTTATAGATTGAACGAAGCTACTGGTGATTTATGGTACCCAAAAACACGGAACAGACAAAGGTACCGTTGGCAACGAACATGAAGCTCGCAGAGTGCCTTTAGTGACTTCCCCATCTGAGTCCTCGCCTGCCTTTCGAAACATCCGTGTACGCCGCCATAACCCGCGCAAACATGTCGCCAATGTCCTGCCCCGTCTTCTGCTTGCGCGTGGCAGGATTGTATCCTTCGCGGAAGGGGATGCGCTCCTCTTCTGTTTCAGTGTATTAGTGTCAGCATCCTGGCCGCCTACACACATGATATGCAGCATAGAAATTGGAAACCCACCAAAGAGGGCCTTGATCCATGACTTAGGTGCCGCCCCTGCGTCGTCGTCCCACAGCGTGGTCAGGTACAGCGCCGTCGTGCCCGGACTGCCCACCATCTGGGCCGCCGAGGCATTGAAGTGTTTGTTGGCGGCCTTGGCGGCCTTCGCGCGTGCAGCGGCCGCCCTTGCCGCCACCTCCACGGTGACGTACTTATCCTTCTCGGACGGCCCGGTTCTGTAAAGATCCAGGTTCACGGCGACGGTGTGCCAGATGACAGGGTCAAAGTGCAGGTCGTCCCCGAGGTAGAAGTCGTTCCGGGACAGCGAGCCGTCGAATTCGATGGCGTCGTGTAGCTTTAGATCGTCCAGGTGGAAGGTCGAGCTGTTCCCGGACGTCGACAGGTTGAAGGCAATGGCCATGTTGAAGGCGCCGTCCTGCGAGGTGCGCTCGAAGTTAAACCCGGCCACAATCGCATAGCGGAGCGTCTCCAGGTCGATGTTCAATCCTGAACGAGGGAGATAGCCGTGGTTTGCCAGCGCGTTGAGACCCGGGCAAGGGGATCGGCCTGGAATGTTAGGTCAGTGGCAAAAAGGTGAAAGGGCCGGAGTGGCGGGCTCACTATCGAGGGGGTTCCGGTGGTATTCATGGCCTTTCGGCTCGCGCAAGGCGGCGGCAAGGCCTAGGAGACCTGCCTCGACAAACACACTGAGCTTCATGAGGACGATTGGTTGGGTGATGAGCCGAGAACTGCGAGAGCCTGGGTGAGTGTCTGAAGCATGCGCGAGGAGAATCAGTTGTGCCGTGGCATCGGGTATATTTATACACCGTCCATGGAAGAGATCGCTGATCCGTGGAGCGTATTCGTCTTTGCCGATCTAAGCCGCCAGGCGTATTCAACTCCATCAACGAAGCATGGCCGTTGTTGGGCACTCGGCAACCACGGATGTCGTAGGCCTTGCCCAATCAACTCGATGATGTATGTAAGCTGGAGACTAAGATGTCAATTGAGGATGGGTATTTGGAATTGAAGTGGACGGAAACCCAGGACGTCGAGATCAGCCTCGAGCGTATCTGGCTTGGCTGATTGTAGCGAATACGCGGCTGCATATGCCTATGCTGACGTGCATGCTTGAGGCGGAGCTTGCTCTGCTCTAGATGTGTAAGACAGAGCGAATCGGTACGTATCCCGGACAGACACAGTTTATTAGATACCTTATTTGTCAACCGCACTCCACCGTCATCATGGCGTCCCTATATCTCCACAACTCCTCGACATCAGCCACAATCGCCTTGGCAACCGCAAACCGCGCCCCGACCAGCGCAAGCAGCTCCATGATCCCGCGCCTCTGTTCCACCGTTTGTGCCCGTGCGCTAGCCACTCCGAGCGGGAACAGCAACAGCAACGGTGAGAGGCTGGTCTCTCGCACCAGCCGCTGGCTCGACGCCAGGATGAGGGAGACGTGCTGCTGGATCTCATGCTCGCCCAGTGCCGGCGCGGGCAGGTGCAGCCCTTGCCAGTAGCCGATCTCGTAGTTGAACACGCCGGAGAGGTAGATGCTGGCGGCCGGGACCGTCTTCTCGGCCAAGATCTGGGGCTGCAGTTCGTCTGGTAATGGTTTGGCGACGCTGGCGTCTGCAGTAGTATCGGAAATTGTGCCTAGCAAAGCAGGGCAGGTGTGGTAGGAGGATGACCAGACCTGGAGTTGGCTGCGTAGGGCAAATCCCTGCAGAGATATGGCCTCGGCGCGCTCCACGAGCCCGGGTGTTGCTGCGCAGGGCTGTAGTTGTAGTGACTTGACGAGGTTTGCCGCGCTGGGAACCGGTTAGAACTTCCATAGGGAACGCATGCCGGCTTTCAGGAAATACCATGCGGACATACCGAACACGCAGCGAAGAGCACATGACCACCATATCGAGCAGGGCGTCCAACCTTTGCTGTGCCGTGCTCCAGTTCGAGGACGCGCGCAAAGATGCTGATAGAGACAGCCATTCCTCATCGGCAAGAAACGTTGGCCGGTTGAAGACAATGGCCCGGCAGACTTCAAAGACCTTGGATTCGGCGAAGAACCTGCTGCATGGCCCGGATATGCATGCCGATGGGCCGCCGGCCATCAGCGCCTGTGATGTGCCATGGACGAGGTGCTGCAACCAGCTATCGCCGCTCGGATCGGTTATCAACTAGATCCAATACGTGGTTAGTAGCAAAGCACAAGGTACCTAAGGTGTACTTGCACCGGCGCCAGCAATGCGATACCGGCTGCTTACCTCAAATAGACCAAGCAGCAGCGTGGTCCAGAGAATGCCTGCTCTCGACTGGGTTTCTGTTCGTCCATTGAACTGGCACAGAGCACGGCGCAGATCCACGATCGCCCCTGTATATAATTTCAAGGCAGACTGATAGTAGGCCGTCTTTGCCTTTGAATCTTTGCACATCTTCGAGGCTTGCATTGCGCCGAGCGATAGCATCGCATCTCAGAGGTATCTCTCCGGATCCCCTCGTTTCACCAGCTGCTTGACGTCGTCTACCCGAGAGAGGCCTGTGAACCTGTTGCTCTCGAAGAATGCGTCGTAGTGGGAGAAGTAGAGTTGTGTAGGGTCTGAGACCGCGGGTGGCCTGACGAGTCTCGTGTCAAAGACAGCCTGGGAATCTCGTCCCAGCTTCTTTGTATAGGACCCGACCGTCCGCTGCTCCCCTCGGTCGACAAGGATAGGTGAGCTCGTTTGGCCTGCGATTGGATAACGGCAGGGCTGGTTTCGTTTTGCGCATTGCGTGCATGGGGATTCACCGGAGCACTGAATCTGATTAGGTCAAGGATTCAAGATGGATATTACATCAGGGGCCGTCCTTCGGGGATTCTCTTTGAATTGGTCAGTTGCGACTTGGAAAGGTCACGACACGCACCTTCCAGTGACTCTTCGTACAAGCGTCACATCGGTGTCGTCTTTTGCGGTGGTCGAACGGACCGATGGGCGTCATGGTCGCAACTGTTAGATCCGGTTGAAGCAGAGTTGTTAGTAAACAGCAAAACGCCACTCCTACTGCTTCAAAGTTGAAAGTCGTGAAGGGGAAGCCAAGCACTGGGATTGCGTGGTCCAAAGCGAATGATTCAGCTTCGCCCGATGATTACCGTTTTGGGAACAGTGCTCCAACGCGACCCGACTCTTCGGGCTCACATCGCCTGGTTTCTCGGAGGGACACACTACACCAAAAGCGGTAATCATCGGGCGACGCTAGAATTCTTGGGGCACGTTTCACGCCTCGCTCGCTTATGTGCTCCAGTCCAAGTCCCGTGTAATGTCTATCAGCTCGCGCGAAAAGCTTCAAGGCCTCGATGGTGGATGGACTTCGCGTAACTACTTCCGCTTCTGGAGAAGGTCAGGCAGCAGGCTACCGACTTGGGCGCAGCAATTATGCAAACGCGCCATGGCGAAGCCTTAAAATGCGCAGATAAGTCGAGAAGCTCTCCCTCTTCCACACTCGCTCTAAGTTGGATATGGGGACACAGCACGACACGGATTATCTTCAAGTTCTCAGTCACTATAGCAAGCCTACTTACCTGTTTACTTACAATATATACCTTACCCATCATCTACCTATCATCTCTAGAGCCATGCTTTTCTCTCACCTCGCGGGCATGCTCCTCCTGGGCCTAGCTGAGTCCATCCTTGTCGCCAGCCATCCCGGCCCCTTCTCAGTCGCGATGAAAGTTAAAGCCCTGACCGACCAAGGACGAGTCGACCCTTTCAACGCCACGACGAAGCGGATGGTGCTGTTATCACTGTTTTGGCCGATCCTGAGCACCGCCAACTTTTCCGAAGATACCATCCCCTACATGGCGCCGGCCACAGCGGCCTCGTACGGACCACTCGCCGAGTCGGCCGGGTTGCCGGGGACGCTTTTTGGGTCATTCCAGCTTTCGTTTTGCAATCCATCCCAGCAAGCTACGGGCTGCCGACCGGGAAAAGGAAAGGTCCCCAGGTTTCCCCTGGTCCTCTTCTCGCCCGGACTCGGCGAGTCCCGGCTTCTCTACAGCGTCACGGCCCAGTCGATTGCCGCCCAAGGCTACGTAGTTGCGACAGTCGACCATCCCTACGATGCCGAAGCAGTCGAGTTCCCAGATGGGTCGGTGGTGCGGAGGAACTGGACCGCGGGGATGGAGCAAAGGCTAACCGAGGTACGTCTTTCTGGCGCAGCGCTCGAAACTCTAGCAAAGCTCACCATGGAAACCTCGACGATCTAGATCCGCGCGGCCGATATAACCTTCACCCTCTCGCAACTTTCCCACGGCACCACCACCACCTCCGGCGCTCTCTTCCCATATGACCAGGGACTCCTCCCCGCACAAATTGACTCGGCCCGCGTCATCGCAATGGGCCACTCCGTAGGCGGCGCAGCGGCATTCCACGCGGTGCGACAGGACCAGCGCATCCGCGGCGGCATTGACCTCGACGGCCGGCTGTTCCGCCCCGTCGTGGACTCGCCGTCAATCTAAAACGAAAAGAAACCGGCCGCTGTTGCTCCTCGGGCGTGAGAAGCATGCGGACGAGGACCCGGCGTGGAACCAGTTCTTGGACAGCAACAACAACAATAACAATAACAAGGCGGCGGCGGCGGCGATGCTGATGCTCGGGGTCAAGGGGACGTCGACTCTTCGTTCACCGACCTGCCCGTGCTGATCGAGGCCCTGGGGTTGCCCGAGGAGGCGCGGGCCCGCGTGGAGGCGATGCTGGGGGTTGTGCGCGGCGCGAGGATGCAGCGGATCTTGGTCGAGCTGTCGTCTCCATTCTCTACGTGGGCGTTTGGAGGCGGCTATCGGCGCCTGGTGGAGGTGGCGGGCGGGTTGGAGGAGGTGTTGTGAGACGGAGCACCTTTAATAAAAACTATGGGTTATGATTGATTCCTAGTGTGGATGTAACGTTAGTAGTAGGTCTCGCCTGATGGGCTCGCTGATGCAAGATGGAGTGTAAGATGGCATCTGAGAATAGGGGTTTTGGAGTAGATTATAAGTGTAGGCGAAACTACTAGTACCTACCTTTATGTAAGATGTTGAGATCATTCATCACCAGCGTATTTGACATCGGGATTTACTAGCGAATACGCACTTGCATATCCCCCTTTGCCCTTTCGGGCTTAATTCGTCCCGCCCCCGCTCTTGGCATTCCTGGCAGAACCGGGGTCAGTTGCAGGCCCACGCTCTCGTACCATGCGGACGAGGCTTTTACCTCTGGGGCTGGCACGTGGGTGGTTGTCGGAGAGGGCACTGTAGCTTGACGACAGGGCGCAGTCATGGTGAAAGAAAGAAAGAGAGCCAAGGCTGCAGTCCTACCCCAATCGCCATGCTGCTGCGGTAGCTGACTCAGATTGCATGCGATGGACGCGATCAAGATAGTGACACTGTGAGTCAGTGACCCGCAAGAGCATCTTGACGCAAAGGTCGACTCGTATCAGAAAATAGCATCAGACCATGACATTGTCTTCCTTCTCTTACAACAGCTTCCATTTCAACCCATGGATGAAACTGACGAAACGGCAGGCTCTGGGAGGAGTGGGAGCGAGGTGGTTCCGCACAAGACGCGCAGACCGCACAGGAAGTCGCGGTACGGCTGCACCAAATGCAAAGTGCGCAGGATCAAGGTATGCATCGTCGCGCGCGCCCTGAGAATACAACGTAAGGTACTCTTCACTGACACATCATAGTGTGATGAGCGCGCGCCACGATGCTCACGGTGCGAGAAGCTCAACCTCGTCTGCGTCTACCGCAAGAAGAAGGATGCGGACGGCGGGACAGATCCGTCTGGACTCTCCTGGTCCGAGTTGGAGCAGACACTGCCGCCGACAGAACTGGACCTGTTCAAGCACTATCTTGAGCACACCAGCCGGGACCGCACCGTCGGCGACCAGGACCGGTACGCGCTGCAGGTCGGCATCCCGAACCTGGCATTCCAGTGCAAGCCTCTGATGCGATCAGTGCTGGCGCTGGCCGCGGTGTGCAAGTGCTGTGACATTATCAACCAACACCCTCCAGCGTCTTGTACCGAGTCATCCCGCGGCGAAGTGATCGCGCTGTTGTCGCGGGCACATGGCTACCATCTCGAGTCGATGCGCGAGATCCAGGCGACGCTGCACGAGCCCAAGAACTACAACCACATCCTCGCCAACGCCGCCATGATGGGCATGTACGGCTCGGCAAGCCACGGCGCCCGCATCTGGCTAGCGAAGACGGCACCCTCCGGCGACGACCGACAGCTGTTCGGCCTGATGATGCCCGGGAATCCCCAGTGGTTGGGCCTCTTCCGCGCCGTCCGTCTCGCTTATGCTGGCCTTCTCAAGAACTCGCCCCAGTCTAGCCCGGGCAGCTCGTCAGTTGATTTTGGTATGCAGTACGGATACAAGACTGGGCCTCTGGTTCCGGTCGAGGAGGTGAGGAGCTTCATCGTCACGAGCCACCCGCTGGGTTCCATCCTGGCCGCTACGGTGGGCTCCGCACTGGCGAGGGTCAACGAGAAGGCGAGCAAGGTCCAGGCGACCCATGGCGCGAGTGCCGAGCTTCAAGCGTGTTCCACGGCTCTGGCGATCTTCAACGACATTGTGGCCAAGTCCCTCCTTGCACCGTCCCCACCCGCCAGCGACGCTTCCCCCAGAACGCCGGGGCACGACCACAACCCTCCGTTGCCTGTCGCCGACATTGGAGAAGAAGAAAATGACCCGGTGGGACGGCTGGCCGAGATCTCGCCCTGGCTGCGACGGTACGCGGCCAGCATCTCGTCCATGGTACCCTCCAAACTGCCTCGCAGGGTCATCATGTCGTTCGTGCACAAGGTCCCGAGCGCCTATCTCAACCTGATCGAAGACATGACCAGCCTGATCGACACTGGGCCTCCTCCCGCGGGTGGAACGGTGCCGGTGCCGGTGCCTAGTATAGCGCACCAACTCGCTGTCGAGATATTCGCGAACTGGCTTGTCCTGGCAATCTTGCTGGATAACGTGTGGTGGATCGGGGGTATTGGAGCCTGGGAACTCGGGCGGTTCGTCTCGGTCAGAAGATTTCCGGGATGGGAAGCGTGTTTGTGGAATCGGGACAGGGACTGGTGGCCGGAGAGCATGCTCGAGGTCAGTCGACAGTTTGACAAGCACAGGTGAGACCGGTGACCACCTAGGTAAGCCAGAAAGAAACTGGATTATATATGTATCAAAGCGCCCGCCCCCACCCTCTTCTCATCTCAGGTCGTAGAGTTCGCGGTGAACCAAGGCTAAGCTATCCCTCACATCCTCCACCCTCCCATCTCTCTCCCCATACACCCTTTCCCTCCCGCGAACCACCTCCTGAAACAGGCTCTCCGCCCTGCGCAGGTCCCCGTGCACGGCGCACAGCTGTCCCAGCTGAAAGAGCGCGTCCAGCGTCCGCTCGTCCTCCCGGCCCCAGAGCCGTTCGTATCCCTCCACGGCACGCTCCATCAGGGGCCCCGCCTCCCCCGTGCGGCGCTGGTTCTTGTACAGCAGGGCCAGGTCGTACACGCCCGTGACGACGTCTCGGTGCGTCGCGCCCAGCACGGCCTCTACGACGGCGAGGTACCGCTCCCACATCACGGCCGCGTGGCTTGCGCGTGCAGGTCCTCCCATGGTCACGTACAGCAGGCCCAGGTTCTTGGCCGTGCGGGCTGCCTCGAGGCTGTCCGGGCCGTAGAGATCCTCACGCCCTCGCAGCGCGGCGGTATAGTGCTCTTCGGCCCGAGCGGCGTCTCCGCGGCGCTTGTACAGAATGCCGAGCATGTTGTATGTATTATACATGCTATCGCGGTCGAGTGTGGCCGTCGGCGCCGGGTCCATCGCTTCATACCCCTCCTTCGCGCGCAGCAGCATTGTCTCCGCCTCGTCGAGACGCCCCCGGTCGAGGAGAAAGCCGGCCAGGTTGTTGAGGCGCGCGAGCGTCGACACGTGCGTCGGCCCGCCGCTGCCGCCCGACTCCGCGCATCGCACGAGGCGTCGATGCATGGCCTCGGCGGCATCGAACAGGCCCCGGGCCTCGAGCATCTCGCACGCCGCGGCGAACTCGTCGACCGTCTCGCCCATGACCTTGGCGGGGGAGTCGACGCGGAGGAAGTCACGCGCTGTTGATGTGGCGGGCAGGCGCGGGCTGTAGAAGCGGAAGAAGCCGATGACGGACGGGTGCGCGATGTCAAAGAAGAAGTGAAAGCGCGCGCCGCCATCGTCGTCATGTGTGTTCTTGCAGCAGATGCAGATCAGCGGGCCGCAGACGTGCAGTATGTCCTGCTCCGTCACGGCCTGGTGTCGTCGGTGCGTGGCAAGGTTGTTGTCCGCGTACCACTTGTCCGACGGATGGTGGTTGAGCAGCGAGGTGAGGGTCTCGCACATTTCCTCGACGCCGAGACGCGCCTGTGGCCAAAGTCCCGCGGCTAAGATATATTTGAGCACACGGTTCAGGATGAACGAGGTTCGAGGGTTGCCCTCTGCCAGGACACTCTCAAGATAGGATCTATATGGATACACGGCGGGCAGAATACTGCCCGGATCGGGGCCGTAAGGCCACTGCTGCAATGGCGGGTTGAGAGGAGGCGCATCGCCTACGGGCTGAGGCGTCCATCTCCCAAGTCGGGCCAGGTTGCATTGCGCCTCCAGCTCGCAGACGGCCCAGAGCCAACTGGGCACAGATCAGTTAATCTCGTATCTCTTCTTCCAATGGATTTAAATGTTGGGAGGACCATACGCGCCGTGACTCTTATTGAGGATGTATTTCTCTATTCCGCTTCTCACCGCCGGGTCCTCGAGAGCGAACACTCCATGGGCTGCTTTTCTCGCAAGCTCGCCGTGGACATACAGCTGGATATCCTCCGACTTCCCGGCAACAAATACCGCGTGAAACCGGCCTTGCAGAATCAGCTCTCTCTGCGTGGCGTCCAAGTTGGGCCCCGTGACGGCGACACGGACCGGAACGCCGCGAGTCTGGCTCATGGCCCCAAGGCGAGATAGCACGCTTCGTTGCGTGGCTGCAGTGATGCTGTCCAGCGCCACCACAATGACGGACAGGCGTCCAAAGTGCCGGGCCATCGCCTCCAGCAGCGCACTCAGCTCTTCCGTGCTCTTGGATTGCAGCTCCGTCTTAAAGGCTTGCGCATCGTATTCGTCCACGCAGGAGATGGAGAATGCTGTCGTGAGCCCTTGGAAGGCAGCGTCGCTCTGCATGGCCAGTTGCAGCACCAGCGTCGCCATGATGTCCCGGCCTGAGCGTCCGGCGCCTTCATGTCTACACAGGTAAAAGCACACAGCATCGGCATCGCCGTTGTCCGCCCTCCGGATCATCTCCTCTGCCAGCGTTGCCGCCAGCACTGTTTTCCCCGCGCCGTCATGCCCATACAGCCACAGGTTGTCGACGCCATTGCTGCCGTCAATCCACGACCTAACCGTTCTGTCCTCGAGTATCCACCTTGCTGTGCCAGGTTCGCGCCTTTCGAGCAGGGCCAGCAGGTGTGGATCCATAGACACGATGGTTGCTTCTTCGAGGAGCGCTGTGGCCGAGGCAGAGACACGCCGTGGGAGGATGTGTCGCTGCTGTTGCGCCATTTCCTGAGCAATGTTTTAAGCATATATGATATGGTATTATTTTTGAAGCCAAGTTGAGCTGAGACCCATGAGGGCTGCGATGAGGTTTCAGGTTCTCGTCCATTGCGCGGGCTTGGGTTTGGCCGCGCTTACGGCTGCATCTCCGCCCGCGGTTTCGGGGCGGCTTGACCGGCATTTGTTATTCCGGTCGGTCGTGCGCCATCCATTAAACCAACCGGCGCCGCTGTCTTCTTCGCCGACGCTTCCTCCGACTACCTCCGACATTTCTTCAGTTCGAATTCACGAAATGGAAAATTTAGAATAGGGCAAAAGTATATTCAATCTTAAAGAAAAATCCAATGACGTGGCAAACAATGCCCCCGTCCAGCAACTTCAGCTACCAACCACTGGCCCATGGTCAGGAGCAGATCCGTATCCTCCAGCTCTTACCCTCAGTAGACAAACATGCGGAAGTCTCGGCCACGTTCCAAGTCGAATCCGTCACCCAACCACAGCACCCGCCCCCGGATTTCGAGGCGCTGTCGTACATGTGGGGGGACCAGACCGACCGGGTGATTATATCGCTCGACGGCCACGCCTTCTCCCTGTCCCGGCGACTGCGCGGCACGCTCCAGGACCTGCGCGAGGCGACCCGCCCGCGCCGCCTGTGGATCGACGCCATCTGCATCAACCAGGCCGACGTCGAGGAGAGGAACCAGCAGGTCAAGCTGATGAGGATGATCTACCAGCGCGCCAGGACGGTGCTGATCTGGCTGGATCGGCCCGTGCATGTTGGGCACCCCGCGATCCAGCAGCTGCAGCGCATGAGCGACAAGTCAGAGGTCGCCGAGCTGGGCGACAATCCCGACTTCTGGGATCCCGTTTGCAATCTCTTCAGGGACCCGTACTGGTCTCGGATCTGGATTCAGCAAGAGATCAGCTTGGCCTCGGCCTTGCGGTTGTTCTGCCGCGAGACGGAGCTCAGTGTGTATTCCCTGTACCACTTCCTGAGGATTCTCCGTGAGCGGGCGACGGCGGAGGTGCTGCAACCGTCCAAGATGCCCTGGTCGGCCAAGCAGCCCAGACTTAGCCTACCTCGGCGCTTCGGGCGTCCAGACTCCCATCTCCAGCCCAGGGAGGGAACCACTTTCTCTGCCTCCCACATGGATCTCCTTCCGACCCTGTCGGCCACCAACAGACTTGGGTGCTCCGACGACAAAGATCGCGTGTATGGCGTCATGTTCCTTGCCAGGTGCTGCGACGAAGAGGATATCAGGGTCGACTATACCTTGACGGTTCCGGAGGTGTACACCGAGGTCGCCCGGTTCCTTCTGACCAAGTACCGGTCGACACGCTTCCTGCTGTACTCGAGCCCCGATCAGGACCCGACCGCCATCGCAGACAGGACGCCGTCGTGGGTTCCCGACTGGCGGTACCGGTCGCTAAGGCCATGGGGCGCCGGGAGGCTGGCGTCTCTAGTAGCAGCAGTAGATGCAGCAACAGCCAAACCTAATGCTGGGTCACACGTCGCCGCTCCCGAGATATTGAACGGCGGCGTCCTGTCACTGCTCGCAATCAAGGTGGACGCGGTGGCGAAGACCTACCACCATCTGTTTAGGCGGGGTGTCCTTAGCATGTCCCTGTCCGGGTTTGACGGAGCATGTACCCTGATCATACGGGATGCTATTAAGCAGCAGCAGCAGCAATCTTTTCCAAAGGGAGTTGAACCACCGGGAGACGACGACGTCATCATGTCAAATAATCCAGAAGAAGAAAAAGAAGAAGAAGAAGCCAGAGAGCCATGGAAAGCTCTCATGCGCACGCTCGGCGCCCTCGATCACCGCGACAAAAACAGCCGCCTACGCTTTGAGCCCGGGCTGTACCGCGGAGCCTGGGAGCTCCTCAATTATTGGAAGGGGGCACGCACGGACATTGACGCGACCACATACCGGCTTGCGAACGCCAGGGAAGATGGCGCGTGTCCGGAGTATGCGAGACACTTTGTCTCAGTCGTCTGGATGGTGTCGATCAAGGGGTATACTCCCTTCCTTAGCGTCGACGGCAGGATGGGGCTGGCGCCTCCACGTGCGCGAGCCGACGACGAGATATGGCTTGTTCCCGGGTGCGAACTGCCCATGTTGCTGCGGAGATGCCCCGACGGGAAGTTTCTGGTTGTTGGGTGGGGGTATGTGGACGGAGTCAACCTTTGGGAACCGGTTGGCGGGTTCAAGGCGATGGATGAGGTGGGAGAGGGCGAGAGGATTGCAGGCTTTTCGGTTGAGCGTATCCAGCTGCGGTAACTTTCAGTGCAAGTAAGTGATCCTAGGGAGCTTGCATTCAAGGCTCGTTTTGGGAAGGAGCAGAGTTCCTGATACAGTACAGTACAGCCCTGACTAAAAATACTTGTTTCTAGGTGCCCGGCATCGCCGAGGGGATGATTCCTAGATCATCAACAACAATACCTATCCGGCGAGGCTTGCGACTTCCATGCCGTCCATCATCCCACTCAGAAGTTATTAGAACCCAGCAATATCACCAAGCTCGATGTTGGGCACAATATACGGCTTCGGCCCCTTGGCTCGCACCAGCGTCTTCTGCTCAAAGGCATACGCCAGAGCGAGCAGCTTCTCCTCCGAGAACTTGCTCCCCAAGAAGCTCAGTCCGAATCTGCATTCACGTCCAGGCAGTCAGCATTATTCCTCAGACCCAGAATGGAACGGAAAGCAAAGAGAGAAAAAGAAAAAGAAACTCACGGAATGTTCGGCCCCAGCTGCACCAAACCCCTCGTATTCCTCGTGACATTCCACGTGGCAGGGAAGAAGCCCAACGGCACGGTGACGATGGGCGCGCCCTGGATAGCCGCCCGCCCCGCCGCCTGGCTGGTCAGCATGATGACCGCATCCAGCTTGTTCCGCTCGATGGCGCCTAGCAGGCCGCCCTCGCCGCCCCAGTAGTAGTTCTTCTGCAGCTCCTGCCAGAAGCGGATGTCGGTGTTGTTGTACCCCAGCGCGAGCGCGGCGTCCCATTGAGCCGTGTTCCGGTCCGGGTACATCTCGGGCTGGAAGGCCTGGGTGAAGTTGCGCACGTCTTCTAGCGTGTGCAGGTCATGCGGGTTGTGGGTCAGCTGGGACAGATAGGCGGCCAGGTCGGAGACGAAGTCGGCGCCGAGAACGATGGACGAGGTGCGCGGGTTGGGGACGGTGAAGTTGGCGGCGACGACTTGGGCACCGGCGTCTTGCATCGTCTTGACGGCGTCGTAGAAGGCTGCCATCTCGACCGCGCTGGCTGTGGTGCTGAGTGTGTTGTAGGGGATGCCGAGGCGGGCGCCCTTGAGAGCCGACTTCTTGAGCGCCGCGACGTAGTTGGGGACCTTGCCGTTGTTGGGGATGGCGGACGTGTAGTTGTCGTAGCTGTCGCGGCCGGCAATGGCTTGCAGGATGATGGCCGCATCCTTGACGGTCCTAGCCATGGGTCCGATGGTGTCTTGGTGGGAGCTGATCGGCACGACGAGGTAGCGCGAGGTCAGGCCAACGGTAGGCTTCACGCCGACGAGGTTGCCTCGCTGGGAGGGAGAGACGATGGAGCCCGATGTCTATGCTTATTGTCAGAATATGGAACTGTGAGGGGGAATCGGGGGGGTAATGCGAGGAGGATTAACCTCCGTTCCAAGCGCAGCAAGCGCAAGACCAATAGAGGAGGCCACGCCGCTGCCGCTGGAGCTGCCGCTGGGGTCCATGTTCGGGTAGTAGGCGGCAGTCACCTGGCCGCCGTATGCGGACCATCCGTTTGTCGAGTTGTTGCTCCTGTAGTTGGCCCACTGGCTGAGATTGGCTTTGGCGAGGATGATGGCACCGGCCTGGCGCAGCTTGGCGGCTATGGTGCTGTCGCGGGGGACCTTTGCGCCGACCAGAGCGTAGGATCCGGCCGTGTTGTTCATCTTGTCGGCCGTGGCGATGTTGTCCTTGACGATGATGGGGATGCCATGCAGAGGACCAAGCGTTTTCCCCTGGGTGCGCATAGCATCCAGCTCGGCGGCGATGGCCAGAGCATCTGGGTTCACCTCGTTAATGGCGTGGAGGATGGGGTTGACTTGTGCGATGCGGGCCAGGTAGGTGCTGACCAGGTCAACGCTGGTGAAGAGGCCCTTCGACAGTCCGTTTTCCAGGTCCTCGATAGTGACGTTGATCAGGTCGGGAAAGTCTGCACCCTTGACTGTGCTGTGTAAGTCGAGGGCTCGGAGTAAACTGAGTTTCCTGCCCATGTGCATTATGCATATCTGTCTTGGAGCAGCTTCCCAAGCTGGCGATGGCCAACCAAACGGTTGACGCCGTAGTGACGAGCCTCCATGTCGTGAACCTTGCCATGTCTTGGAGCGTGGATTTGAGGTCAGATGTCGGCTCCCAAATCCACGGCTCAAGTGGCCATGACGCTCGAGTTATAGCTGCAAGAATCATCTTCGGTATCTTAGGCCAACCTGATCCACAAGCAGATCCGCCGTGCGATAAGGTGTAAACCTAGTAGTAGTTCCCATGAGCTCGATTCGATAGCCTCATCTCAAGCATCTCCGCATCTCGCGTGGGGTGTTGCACGGGCTGGTGTCAAGGCCCAGCAAACAGATGCCACCGGCCCTCGAGATGACGACCGACGAGCCGGCAATAGCCTTAATTCCGGGGAAATGTGCCTCGCTGTGGTACATGTACCTGATCGTCTGTTCTGGAGCTCGCCGATAACCGAATGCCGTTTTAGGAAGGCCATTGAGTATACTGCAGTATGATGATATTCCCAGAGCCCGCTTTTCAGTTAGTAATGGGATTTCTGCGAATATTAGTCTAGCAATGATGAGATAGCAGCTGCCGCTGCCACAGTGCCACTTGGCCCGATAGGCAGTTACGGACCATAGTGGCTCCTCCACAAAGCTAGGCATTCAATAGTCGGATACTTAGTCTGTAGATTTCACTGACACACTGACAAGATAATCGACCTGTCGCCTAAGACTGCAAGTAGAAACCATGCCAGTGGCAATGATAAGGATAGGTTTGTGGTCCATAGTCTCCATACTCAGACTTGTCAACTGACAGTTTCAAACCATGTGAGAGCCTCAGTATAGCTCGCAACCGCTTGATCGCAGGTCACCTCCTCAAATCAAGAGCTGGCCTCAAGACTCTTGCACACATTGGCCAATTCCTCAATCACCACCATGTGGTCATCCCACTGTTTCAGACCGCTGACGACAACCACGGCAACCGGCGTATCGACATTCTTGACGTACACGGGCACTCCGCCTCCATGGATCGCATACTGTTTGAGCCAAAGAGTGAGTAATCCCTCTCACCCCCTGAAAGGCTGAAGGTCCGAAACTCATCGTTAGATACTCACCTCGGAAGCCTTCTCTCCCAATCCAAACTTCGCCTTGAATTTCTCCTCGTCCCCCTCCATCTGGTTGTGCAATCTCCACGTGCTTGCACCCCAGCGGATGACCGCATTCCGCTTCCTGCTGACCCAGAAGTCGTTGTCCAGCGCGGTGCCCGAGTGCGTCACACAGTGGAACAGGACGTGCGCCGGCGTCGAGACCGTCGAGATGTGGACGACGGCGGGCCTGTCGAAGCCAAGCAGCCTGGTGCGCAGCGCGCAGCCTAGCTGGAACGCAACCGATGCGTTCCAGTAGGGCAGCTGCGAGGCTTTCTCCTGGGCTTCGATGGCTGAAACATCTCTGGGCGCTTCGCCTAGGGGGATGTGTTGGTGCTGCTTTTCATCCATGATGTTTGGTGCCTCTGGTGACCTGGTCTTGGTGCTTGAAGCCTTCAGCCCTTCCGTCTTTGGACTCTCCGAAGTTATGAGATCGTAAAGCCGGCCTGCTTTTTGGTTGATCGGATTCGTCCTTGCCTCACATCTGATTGCTCCCGACGTAGGAACAAGAGGAAAACCCCGCAAGCGCACCGCGATTTGATGTGGGCCTTGATTACAGGGAGCGGCCCCTCAGCGGAGTCTACCTGCGCGGGCAGGGACTTGGGCGATGTCAGACCACACCGGCTGCGGACAAGGACGTCAGCGTCCTCCTCTAGACACGGCACTAATGAGTCACCAAGGCAAAGACGACACGGTGGAACAGCGGATGGCTCTTACCTTACACAGCAACATGGTTCTCCCCGTGCCCTACCTACTTTGTCATCCGGAGGAATCCTGCGAAAGCACGCCACCAGAGCCTCCAAGAGATCCGGTCAGATCCGACGTCGGAGACGGGCCGCCGCTTCGACCAACGTGTCAAAAGATCACCTAGGCCTTTTGACGCCGTTGACTCTATAGGTATATGCTCCCGCTGCTCATAATGGCACCTCGGAACAATGGCCCGGCCTTTGTAGGTGATGTTGCCGTCAAAATGTGCAAGCTGGTCAAAAACACCGATAGAGCCGGCGCTGTCACCCCATATCATGACCGCATCGGGATCACTTCCAAACGCCGCAATGCTGTCGGCCACTCAAAGAGAACAAGCAACCTGCCAGTCGGCACGATACGTACCAACTCTCTTATCTGATGGATTGGTTAGGCTGGAGTATCACTTGGAGTTATGTACTACAGGTACGCTGGTTCTGGCGAGTTTTGGGAGGATTGGAGTGAGTTTGGCAGAGGGCAAGAAGGATCTGAGAATTTGGCAAGAGCCTGGAATGATGGCGACCAAGTTATGGGGTCGCAACCATCTTACCTTATGGTAAGGGCGGCTCAAACTCTGTTGGAAGGTGCGAGACACACTATTGTTTAAAAGGATCGGTTTTCTCGGGGCACTTGGAGAACCGATTCCTCTACCTACCTTACCTAAGCAACCTACCAATCAACCAAGCTACCAACCGACCAACGCAACTCAACCATATTTTACTCGTCTCCTTCAGTATTCACCAGTGCCGTCTCTTCTTGACTCGCAACATCAGCAACGAACCATGGCAAACAGAGTGAACCATAGCACAGAGACGACGGTGCTTCGCAAATTCGGAGTCAAGTAAGCACCTCTTCTCGCATCCTGGCATGGTACCCCGGGATGTCTAACCAACGACCATGTGTCTTAGCGAGAGGTACCAGCTGGCCATGTATCTATTGGACCAGTACCGTGGCACCACTCTCTCTTGTCGCTATGAAATCCCGCCACGTCTTGCACCGACAGAGTCGCAGACCCAGCTAGAGGAGGCAGTCAAGATCGCTCTCGCAGACACCATTATGAGACATCCAATGCTCCAGGTCGCCGTGATAGATGCCACTTCCAACACTCCCTCCTGGATCCAGCTGCATAGTATCGACTTGACGCAGCACATAAAATGGCTTTATCTCGCAGAGCACGACGAATTGGAACACACGGTACAGGAGACCTTTCGCGCTCAGCTCGATGACCGTTTCCCAGACCTTTCTATCAGGCAGCCGGGCTGGAAGATTACCGTCATTCGACAAAGGAATGTTTCTATCATGGAGGTCCTAATGACTTGGAATCACCCTCAGTTCGACGCTATGGGTGCCAAGGTGTTCCACGAAGACTTGCTCGAGATGCTCAATGCTGTCAGCGGCGCATACGAGCGGACGGGCTTGGATGGCGACGTCCTCAGACTACCCCAAGCATCCCCCTTGCTTCCCACCCCGATCGAGGACTTAAAGTCTCTTCCAGTAGATCTGAAATATCTCGCCAAGGCATTCTGGGAGGAAATACGGCCCCGGTTTCTTGACCGGGACGTATCGTGGGCAAACTGGTGCCCGATTCGCGCCTCGCCGTACAAGACGCAGTTTCGGGCCTTTTTCATGGACAACGCATCCTTGCTTGCAATCCAAGCCCTCTGCCGTCAGAACCAGACCACCATCACCGGCCTACTGAACGGATTAGCGCTTATTGCCTTTTCATGGCACCTCGACGCTGCGGTCGCCCCGGCCTTCCAGAGTTCTACCATCGTGGACCACCGCCGGAATCTGCCTCCGGCCCCGCCAGGCGCTCCGTGGGGCCGGTCCGACAGAGCAGTCAGCAACTACGTGACGCAGTGCCTTCATAGATGGGACGCGGAGCTGGTGGCACGCATTCGCTCCAAGCTGCCAGCCGATGCCAGCGTGGGAACAGATCTGTCTCCCGACCTCCAGCGCGAGCTCTGGGCTATATCGGCACAAAATCGGCGCGAGATAGCACACAAGCTGGAAACCGGGCTGCGAAACGACCTGGTCGGGTTATTCAAGTACGTCACGGACTGGCGGCAGACGATGGGGAGGATGGCAAAAAGGACGCGCCAGTTCTCGTGGCTGGTGACCAACATCGGTGTGCTGGACGGTAACGGGCCAACAAGGTTGAGCGCCACCACGACACGGTCGTCGACGGGCGGCGACACCAAGTCCGGCGACGGCCAGAGGTGGTCGATCAGCAGAGCGCAGTTTGGCGTCAGCACCGAGGTCCCCGCTGCGGCCATCGAGTTCTCCCCTGTCAGCGTCGCTGGCCGAGGGATGTGTGTTGGCGCCTCCTGGGCGGACTGCGCCGTCGATGCGACGCTAGGGGAGCGCATCATGGCTGACCTGGAAAGGTGGCTGTCCCAACTTGCGAGGGAGTGAAGAGGTGCCAGCTACAAGGTACCGACCTGTACGGACATGTATAGTAGTACACCTCTGTGAGGTGCTCAGAGAAAGTATCAGGGATGATGTCGGATGTAGCAGAGCGCTTGGGATAGACCAAAGTAATGATTCCTGCCAGACACCCCAACTAGTTGACATGGCGACACAGCCGGCAGCTAACAGCTTTGGCTTGCTATACCCGTTATTTGTTGTTGAGTTCAAAGGGGGTGGTGGGAGCATGATGGTGGTGACGAATCAATGCCTTGGGGTTTCGGCATCCTGCGTCAAAATGGCTGAGGACCTCAAGTGAGTCAAGTCCTCAACCAACGTTTATTTAAGGCAATGCAAGCGCGATGAGGTTCAGCCTATCAACGCTGCATCATTTAGCATCGCCATGAACAATGTAGAGGCGCGACTGTACGTCTCGTAGAACGAGGAGGAGCTGCACTATTATATGGCGAAGGACAAGAGCTTCCCTCGACCGTTGTAATTGCCGAGGTGCGTAATGCAAACCTCGTGCTGTTCGATTAAGTGTATTGAAGCGCCAAGATGGTTGTTGTACAGTATTAAGGATCAACCCGGTTCCGGCCCAAAATCACCAACCCCGCATGATGGGCGTTCTGTTGGTGTTGGCGCCTGTTAGTTAGACTAGCGAGGATGGGCAGTGAGAACCGGGTTTGACAATACCATTGCAATAACCTCAATGTTAAAGTAACGTTCGACCATGTCCGGGACGGAATACCCGCTGTTGCTCCAGAAGCATCTGTACTAACGATACCACAGACCCGCAACGTTATCCCGCTGCTAAAATAGACCGTGTGTCTTTCCGGGCTATTTTCTTTCTTTTCTCTGTCTCTCTCTATCTCTCTCTTCCTCTCTTTCCTTTTTTAGTTTTTCAAACTTGGGGGAAAGACATAGATCCCTTGATGCAAGGCCGCGCAGCAGCAGCGGCACGGTGACGTCCGGTAGATTGCGGGAGGGATTAGAGGAGGGTAGAGTTCACTGGTCCAGTGTAACCTATAGTTATCTAGCACCTTTTTGCACATTAAGCCAGCCAGATATGCCGACGCTATGTCGTCGTATATGCCGTGGTTGGTCTTCATAGATGTTTGATATAGAGGTCACATAGATTGCATTCGCCTCTCCAGATTCCATCCCAAACATGACTCTCCATCTAAGTTTCACTCTCTTTCTCCAGGCCAAATCGCACTCGTACCTCTAATTTATCCGCCACAGTCTTCACCATCTCATCCGAACCCGCCACAATAAGGTCCGTCAGACACTTTGCGGGCCCTTCAAGAAGCCGCATATCTTTGACTAGCATAGATCCCATCACGGATCCATCAGCTGCCCACATAACCGCGTTGCAGTCGCTAATCGAGGTCGCGCGCCTGCAGAAAGGCGAGAAAGTACCTATTGATCCATTCGGCATCGGGAGGCACGGCGGTTGGGGCCGAGGTCTTTTGCGACCTGTTGAACTACCAAGGCCTTTGAGGTCTTTATGTTCAGTATGGCTTTCAACTCTCAAGCCCTCGAACATATAAGCCAGTTCCCTGGCTTAGCTGGACACATCACCTTCTTCACCTTTCTTCATCACTCTACACTCTTTTCTCTGCCTCTGACCTCTACACACTGCAACAAAGGACCACGTCACCGCAGAGGCATGGGCATTAGGGCGCCCATGATCCCCAGCTCTGCGAACCGCAGAACTCGCCTGGCCGAATCCGACCCATCCCCTCGGGTAGTTTGGGTCCAGCCCATCACCATCGTCCCCGGCATAGACAAAATAGTTCGAAGCGCCCTTGAGTGTTGTTGCACCAGATTACTGACAAAGCTACGAAGCGACAGTTACGGGTTAGGGTATCAACGTCGATTGCTGCTTGTGTTGGCAGCGGCGCAGCATCCATGATGATCCATCTATGTTAGGCAGGTGCCTAATTGACCGCAATTCCTGAGCACCCATGTGTCGGCTGATGTCATAGCCTGAAGATCCCAGCCTCCGTATACCAACATCGGACCAGCCGTACTTGGGTGTTCCGAGAGCCAGTCAGCCCTTCTGGGTACGTTGCGCAGCATTTCGAATCAAGCGGTCCGTTCATTCCAACACCATTACCTACCTCTACACCAAGGTACCTACTAGTACCTCTCTACCTTACCTTCCAGGTTACATCTCACAGACAATCCCCGTTCCAGCCCAACGACGCCCATCCCTCCAAGCCCGTGCTACCCCGAGCAAGGCCCACGGGTCGCGGTCTTAATCCTACCATAATTTGAGGATATACCTTAGTTGCTGCTACACCCGCATTCGAATAACAACACCACACCGCCTATCCAACACTAACACTCTTACCAACACCACAAGCCCCATACACAAAGACGAAGCCGAAATGTCGAACAACAGCACCCTCCGCTGCCTCGGCCCGGATGCCATTGCCAGCGAGGCAACCGACCCCGTCCCGAAGGACATCAACTATGTGCTGGTCCCCGGCACCAATGTCTCGGCGCCCTGGATGGTCGAGTGCTGCACGCCCAACCCGGTCAGCCTGATCGCCGGGTGCTACGTGTGGTGCGAGATCCCCGCGAGTCGGGTCTTCGCGGGGAAGGACGGCAAGTTGGACACGGACATCGACTCGTGCATGAGAGCGAAGGGGCGGGCAGTGAATGAGTCGAGCATCACAGCGTACCATGTTGTGAATGGGGCGGCTTATGGGAGGGTGGCGGCGGCGAGGATGGGGATGAAAGGGCTGGGGGTTTGGGTGTTGTTGGTGAGCGTGTTGATGGGGATCCGGTGAAATCAACAAGCGCAAAAAGGGGCTGGAATCATTTACCTGGAAGTGCGGCTTCATGCTGGGGTTTCGGGGTCCCTAGTGAGTATCATATGTACAAATCAGGGGACGGTTTGAGCATGACTACGGTACTTTGTACAGTACGTACCCGTCGTGTTATGTATCGACCACGGAGAAAACACCAGTCTTGCCTGGGCCTCGTCCATATGAGTTCAAAGATTGCAAGATACATATCCCACAGCTCACCATTTCTTCCGCCCCCCTCCGCCAGCTTCGGAACGAGCACACCGAGACCAAGTAATCCCCATTCGCCTTGCATATTATTTCCCGCGGATCCCTGGCACACGGGGGTACCTCCTCACGCCTAGTAGTTGTACTCACTCCACCCTTCCAGTCCATCGTTCCCAACGATTGCAGCAACTATCACACTTAGCCGTATTGCTGTCCTCAGACTCGAATTCCCTCTGCAGCTTCGATGGTACTAGCCACTTTCTCAACCCCATAGCGCTTCTGCCTATCTAATATCATCCTACCTATGTCCTTGCACCTTCCCCTGAAGCCTGCGGTTCTCCGCCTTCAGTCGCTGGTTCTCGACATACAGCTGTGCAAGCTGCTGCTGGGTGTCCGCCAGCTCTTGTCGGGTCTCCGCCAACTCCTGCCTGGTTTCGTCAAGGCGTTTCCTGGTGTCTTCCAGGAGTTTGCCGTTGTTATCGTTGTTATCGTTGTTGTTGTTATTGTTACTGAGAATGGTGTTGGCCGTGTTGGGAATGCTTTGCACCGCCTCCTCCCAGTCGAGCAGGGACGTCTTGAAGCTATCTTCCGGCGAAGGGGCCGACAGGGGAGTACTACTGGTACTCCTGGCTGCGCCGCGAATTATCTCAAATGCCGGCCGTTGCTTCTTGACGACAGGCGTCGTGGCCTCTTTACCTTCCTCATACTTCTGATGATGCTGGTTAAGGTGGACGCCTGGCGATGATGTCGCTTTGGCGGCGAAGATCTGGCCGCAGTAACCACAGCACCAGAATCGGCCGACATCACGCCCGCCGATCACTTCGGAGAGGAATCTCCCATGGTCACCGATCCAAGAGGTGCGAGGTCGTTTCCTGTGAAGCCAGTCTTCTAATATGTAATTCCTTCCGTGCAGGCGAACCTTGGGCCAGTCCGTGAAGTCGTCAGTTGGCAGGCCCTCGACGTTGACATCGCCAAGGTCCTGGAGTTGTTTCGCGAGGCTTCGAGCCGCAGGACGAAGCAGCGCAACTGAATGGCCGATCGCGGCCTGTGCTGGTTCCGTCATTTCGCAATCTTGAAGATAGGTAATCGACTCGCGCTCTATGATTGACAGTCAATCGACCTGCCTGGATTTGAGTTGAGTTGCGTCGCCGATGTGTCCACTGCGAGTTTCTGCGGTTGAAAATGCGGTGGTACGCGAGCTGTTTAAATCGACGGTGTCTCTAACCACTTTGAGAAGTCCTGCCACGTGCATCAGCCACACACCAAAATTTGGCTGGTGACCGGATTACACGGGTCGTATAAGTCAACACTGCGCGACAACATTATCGTATATACAGACAACAATATCCCGAACATCTGATTGAATTTCTTGTAAGTTTAAACTAGCTAAATTGCTTGAAAATGTAATAAAATATAAAGTGTGCATAATGCAACTGCTAGCCCAGACCGCCTACCTTCCTAGGCCGCCCAGCAGCGCCAAGTGCTTAACCGAACGTCGCCCTGCGCCCGCCCTTGGAACTACGCCCGTGCCTATACCCGTGCCTGTGCCTGTGCATGTGGCCGCATGGCTTATTGCCGTATTGGGACTGCATTTGAGGCTGTTGATGGTTGCCAAACGGCGCGTCGAATAGCGCCTGGGGCCACGTACGATCCGGGTGCCAGCCAAATTTTGGGGTATGGCTGATGCACGTGGCAGGGCTTCTCAAAGCGGTTAGAGACACGGGCGATCTAAAATGGGACACCGTCGATTTAAACACACCGGTGGTATGGGTCGCACCGAGGTGGGGTCTGATAAGGGATCTGCATCGAACGCTCCACTCTTGGCAAGCACGATTCAACTCCAAACATGCAAGTTTGCTCAACACCGGTACTTGTACACTACAACCTACTCCATGGTCTAGCACATGGAGTACCACGCGTCGCATGTCGGGGACCGGGCAATTCTCATCCGGGCATCTCCGAAGGTCACAGAATCTGCAGCCCCATGTGTCCTTTCCACAGCCTCGCCAACCAGCTACCCCGCATGCTGCCTCTGGCAAAAGGTTAGGGTGAAACCTGAAGGGGAGTCGCTAGGTAACAATGCTCTGCAACCCCAGCTTACCATGGGCAGGCTGTCCAGGCCGCTCACACGATTACCGTTTCCTCCAACCTTTCCCGGTAACTTGCACCTTTTCCATTCGCAATCCTTATAAACACTTCAATCTTATACAGTCCAGCCCATCTAGGGGAATGGGAATGGAAGCAATACCTCGTAGCTTCTCGACAACTGCCTCAGCACCTGAGTAGTTGCCTTGCCAGCACTGCTCGATGACGGTCCCAATTGCACCAAGAGATGCGGTCTCGGGGAATTTCCGATTCAGGTACAGGGCACGGATCTCTGTATCGTCCAGTTCTTCGTAAGGAGGGTGACCGGTCATGATTTCGTAGAGCATGCTGCCAGGTGCAAATAGATCGGCCTGAACGGACAGGCGAGGCCCTGGAAATTCGTGGCTCTCTGTGACAACCACTAGCAGTGGGGAGCCATCGATTGACGACCCGGCAAAGTCGGCCACCTTTGCGTTGAGGCAGGCATCTAGGAAGATGTTTGCGCATGTTAAATCCTCATGAATGACGCCGGCGTCGTGGACAAATCTGATAGCTCTGCAACCTGAATGGCCCAGCGTAGCTGCTGCGCAGTACTGACGTCGCTGGCTCCAAGGTGCAATCGCAGGTTGTGGCGAGAGGCGTACTCCAAGCGGATCCCCGATTCAAAGACGCCATGGTAAGACAAAAGCCCCTCATGGCCGCCGCGTTGTGCGAACCTTTCGCACACCTCCTGTTCTCTTCGCATACGTAGAAGGCACTCCTCATTGTTATGGTAGAACGGTACCTTAAGAACAGTGTTAGAGGGCTTGTCGAGGACGACCATGCCGGTAGTTCCCCAGCCGACGACGTCGCTTAATCCAAATCCCGAGGGATATCGGATTTCGTCATCCGCAGCAAATTCTGACATATGTGCTCGTTTTCAAGTGCAAGTCAAGAGTGTTACCGCAAAGGACTCGGATATCGGACACCACAGCTGGCGAAGACCCAAACTGCGCTTGGGGATCGTCGGGCGAAGACGGGTTTGCCAGTGCCGCTCGAGCAGCAATGGAGGATTGAGAAGTCGGTAAGTGCTCTAGGTTGTCTCGGAGTCGGCCTTCCACGCTTAACGGACCGCAGATTGGATATCTGCGATGGATACGTCCTGTCTTGGGTTGTTGTGCGAGTCTCGTGATGTTGGTGGGCCGCAAGAGCGCGCCGCTGACTCAGACGAACTGATAATCCACTTTGGATTAGCTGAATGGGTCCGCGCTAACCAGATCCTATTGGCTTGGAACGAACCGTACCATCAGACGCTCCACTCTTGGCAATCACGACTCAACTCCAAACATGCAAGTTTGCCCAACACCGCTACAACTCGATCGTCTCGCACATGGAATACCACGGGGCGCCTCGACCATACTTGTAGTGAGGTCGCCAAAGCGGCGCACCGACCAACCGAGTTCTAATGCCAATTGATCTGTTACATGGTCGTTGATCAATCTTCCGGGCAAGTTTGCGAATCGCCATACAATCGCTCCGCGCACGCTTCGCGATCCTCTAGGTATTGTCCCTGGAGCTGATCCAGGACTTGTCAGGTCAAACACCATGATCGGGCTAGAGATTCTCTACGTGGCGGGTCATGGAGATGTATGTATCCAACTATGAGTCCAGCCCTCCGACTCTCCTATCGTACGGCATCCAGCCAATCATGCAACCCCGATGCTGCACGTTCAAGATATCCTCTGAGGGACTCTTGGCAGGTAACCGAGTTCCCCAGGGGCCCCCAGATTGGAAGGTGCCGCCATAGATATCTGCAGCCACGTGCGGAAAACGTGTGATCCGGGAGCTTGGAATCATCCGCGATGGTGAACACCCAAGCCGCTAGTTGAGGACGCTCAACAGGCTTACCCGGGGTTGCACCCGTTCCGCTGTGCTTCCGCCCTATGTATATATATGGAGCCTGTTTCCTCACCTACCCGTCGGACCTCTGGACTCGTCTCGTCGACTTCGGGTGCTCACGTCAAAGGGAAATTATGGTAGTCCTGGTCCATTTCCTCGCCTGGTCGAGCCTCGCCCTCCCGGGCCTCGCGGCTCCCAATGACAATGACCGGCGTCACAATCGGCCGAAGGTCACTCCCATGAAGCGAATCTCGCTTGGCCCTCGCCCCTACTGGCTTGTCGACCGCATGGACGATGGCCCGCTCAAGACCAAGCTCACCTCGTGCTCGGAGAAGGAGATGAAGCGAAGCGACTGGAGCATCTCGCATCGGGGCGGCGGGACGATGATGATGCCAGAGCATACGCTCGATTCCATCATGGCCGGCGTAAGTACAATTCCCGTCAGGCGCCATCGTGAATGTATGTACAAATACCTAACTGGTCCATAGTCACGCATGGGGGCCGGTATCCAGGAATGCGACGTAACGTTCACCAAGGACAAGCAGCTCGTCTGCCGGCACGACCAGTGCGACCTGCACACCACCACCAACGTCGTCTCCATTCCCGAGCTCAACGCCAAATGCACCGTCCCCTTCCAGCCTGCGGCCAACGGCACCAAGGCAACCGCAAAGTGCTGTACCTCGGACTTCACGCTTGCCGAGATCAAGACGCTCTGCGCCAAGATGGACGCCTCCAAACCCGACGCGACCACCCCGGCCGAGTACCTCTTGGGCACGCCCCTCTACCGGACGGATCTGTACGCCAGGACGGTGTGCAGCCGTGTGCCCACGCTGCGCGAGTACATCGACCTTGTCGACGCTCTGGGCCTGAAATTCACGCCGGAGCTCAAGACCCCGCAGGTGCCGATGCCCTTCCCCGCCGGCAGCGACTACACGCAGGCCAAGTTCGCGCAGCAGATGATCGACGAGTTCAAGGCGGCGGGGATCAAGCCGGAGCGCGTGTGGCCGCAGTCGTTCCTGTACGACGACGTCCTGTACTGGCTCAAGGCCGAGCCCAAATGGGGCAAGCAGGCCGTTCTGCTCGACGAGAGCGGGGACCCGCCCGCGACCATGGCCCAGGCAGTGGCCAACCTCAAGAAGTACGCCAAGGACGGGGTCAAGGTCGTCGCGCCGCCGCTTCCGTACCTTGTGACGGTCGAGAACGGCAAGATCGTCCCGAGCGAGTATGCGCGCAGCGCGAAGAGCCTCGGGTTCAAGATCTTGACGTGGAGTCTCGAGCGCAGCGGGTGGCTGGGCGATGGCTCGGCGGGCGGCTACTACTACGGCAGCATCGCGAACGTCACCAACAGCGAGGGCGACGTGTACAACCTCCTGCATGTGCTGGCGCAGGATGTGAAGGTGGCTGGTGTCTTTTCGGACTGGAGCGCCACCGTCACGTACTACGCAAACTGCTTTGGCCTGTTCTGAGCTCACGCTTGAGGGGTAACTAAAATCAGGTAATATTCAAAACATTACGTGTTGTATGATTGAGCAGGATCTTATACACCGGGACCAACATAGATATCGTACAGACTGATACACTGTTTATCGCTCAGTCCCTTCCCATGAGCCGCAGCATCAATCCGCCAACCACTAGAAGAGCCCGGGCAAAGAAGAAGGTCCAGCCCGTGCAATGGAACCACTTGATCCGGAATCTTGAAGTACTCAACGCTTTGTTGGCCCGGGGAACGCTGATGGCGTCATATCTCCGGACAGCCTCTTCAACCGAGCCTGCTGTTACGAGTTGCTGAGCCAGATCCCAGCCATCTTTCAAGGCTAGGCTCGCGCCATACCCAGCAAACGGGCTGACTGCGTGGTTGGCATCGCCGATGAAGACAACGGGGAGGTCCATAGTATGCCCAAACGGCTTTTTGTCTCTCGCTGGGAAGACGATGGCGTGGTCCGTGGTTGCGTCGACCATGGTGTGGAAGAGTGGTCCTAGCATATGACCTCGTCTGCGTCCTTCTTCCTGTACCGCGCGGATGGCCTCCTGGGAATGGAAGGTCGAGAACGTGAGCCTCTGCCGGGGTTCCTTCTCCAGAAAGCTGAGCCCCCACACGGCACTGGTGTCGTCAACCTGCGCGTAGAAGCAGCCGACGCCCTGGCCGCCCGATAACTGCATGCCCCAGTTGTTGTTGAGCGGCGGCGGGACGCCAGCCGGGAAGCGCGCGATGCCGCCCATCTGCACAGCGCCCGCGTACTCCAGGCCGTCATCGGGCCGCAGGCTTGCTCGGATCTTGCTGTTTGCGCCGTCCGCTACGATGAGCAGGTCGCATTCGATGGATGGCTGTGCGTGACCGGAGAGCTGCACCGTCACCTTCCCATCTTCCAGTTTTGTTGCCGCGAGACAAGCGACTCCCCAGTGCACCGTGTCCTCCCCCACCGCTCTCAGAAGGGTCTGCCGCAGATCCTTTCTCTTGATCCTTATCAAAGAAGTCGGCAGGCCCTCTGCGGGGCGGAGGCGCACGCTCATGACCTCGCTCCAGTCGGCGTCCCATATCTTGAAGGCGCCTGTCTCGCCTAATCCCGTGAGCGCGTGGCCCAGGATCTCGTCGAGAAGGCCCAGGTCCTTGAGCGCGACGAGCCCGCCCGTGCTGTCGAAGCCGGCGAGCGAGAGACTGTAGCCTTCCCGGCCGGCTGCGTCCAGCTTCGTGTCGCGCTCGAAAACGGTCACGCGGGGAGCGGGGAGGAGGCTGCCGGGCCATAACTTGCGGAGCGCGATGGCGAACGACAGCCCGGCCATGCCCCCGCCGGCGATGACGATGTGTCGTCCAGAGAAGTAGTGTGTAGACATCATGGCGAGGGTGAGTCAAAGAGAAGGATAGAGAATTTCCGTTGAAGTCGTGAGGAAAGTGAGAGTATTAAGGGCCGTTCTTTATTTCAATGGATTTCGATCTCTCTGGTCTACTACGTCCTTTATTATGGACCTAGGAAGGTCGTTGATGGCGCATTCCATCTAGATGATCTATGCGGTTGAGGTTTTGATGACTAGTCTCGGATAACATACTACACCGAGCTCCGAACGCATATCTTCACAGTATCACATAAAGACGCCTAGCAAACCAACACCAACATGACGATCCAACAGGTATGTGGTGCGACGCATCCGATAGCCAAGAACGCGGGGCAAGCGACTCGGACCGCGCATTGTCTCCCGCCCGCCTCCCGCTCTGCCCCACCTAGCTCGATCCACGGATGCGGACATGCGGTAGTGGATGTCGTCCTCACAGAGCCGCGGGAAGCTGATCTGGGCCCAACGCATGGCTGGTTTCACCCAGCCCTCTTGCATCAATTCGGGCAATGCGGGGATGATAGACAAGCGGTCGCTGGCTCAACAACTAGCACTTTCTCTTCACTCTTCAATAATGAGGCGAATGAAAAAGGAGTTCAGGAGACGCTCTCGAAATCCAACCTGAAAAAATGGCGGGCCAAGACACGAGTCATTTCTGCCAACCCAGATACCAGGTATGCTTTGGTGATGATGTTCATAATAGGCTCACTTTAGACCTACCCGAATAATCCAAATAGCTCGGTACCTGGTCCTATAAGAGAAGCTGATGAGCAAGTTCTATTGTATGTATTGTTAACCCCATATCTGATTAGATTAGATAAGATCTCACGTATAAGTTAGCGCGGAATCACCCGCGTACAGTGCAACAGCGCAGTGCAACCCTCTGCAATGTCTCATCCCAACATTGACTCCCCATGCCCCACATAGAGCCCCTTTTCTATTGTTGAACTAGCGATCTCGTTGTTTGCTGGTTGCCGTATGCAAGATTTCGGCGGTCTACATGTACTCCGTATTACTGGACCACCCTGAGTGGATGGAAGAACTGTTGTCCCTGCAGATCCCACCCCCGGAAGAAACATCCTCATCCGCCAGGAAGCTCAGCTTTGCCAGACTGCCCACAGCTTATACGCGCCTTCCATAACCGGAATGCAAGGACGTCGGATGGTCTTCTTCCATTGTATGTGTTCCATCCGCTCGGAATATTTTTCGAAGCTAGGCGTCCAAGCCGCATCGGAAACTTCGGCATTCATGGCCCCAAAGCTTGTTTCAAATCTCGGCGAAGCTTAACCTGTCTTGGCAGCTCATCCGACCTCGCGTGCAAAGCTCTCCTTTTCTTCCGCCAATCGAGATTGAATAGCGTGGCTGATGCTCGTGTTGGATCTGTGAAGGACGCAAACTCCGTTATCAACGCTCCAAAATCATTTCGCGTAGACGCCTGCGAAGTGTCGTCTTCCGGTCGCCTCCTGACCGTGTCCACCTGGAAGATGGGGCAGTGGTACTCCAGTCTCCGGGCAATATTCGACGCCGAGCTTGGGGAATGGAGGGTAAATCGACCCAGCGATGTGGATTCGAGGTTCGAGGATGCTAAGGGGGAGTAGCTGCCCATCGTCTATAAGATCGCCAGATATGTAAATAATAAGTCAGGCCAAGCTCTGCCGAGTTGCCTTAGCTGCGTCCTTCCCGCTCATCTGGATTTGTACCGGTACATTCGTTTACATTCACATTTGTGTCATTCGTTAACAGCCATGATTCCGTCGGTCCTCATTCTTTCCCTCGGCGCCCTGGCGGCGGCCAACCCGCTCCCCGCCAAGCGCGCGAGCTGCACCTTCACCGACGCTGCGTCTGCCATCAGCGGCAAGAAGAGCTGCAGTACTATCACCCTCAAGGACATCACAGTCCCCGCCAAAACCATATTGGATCTGACGAAGCTTAACGACGGCACCAAGGTCATCTTCTCCGGCAAGACCTCGTTCGGGTACGAGGAGTGGGACGGCCCTCTCATCTCTGTCTCTGGCAACAACATTCACGTTGAAGGCGCTCCCGGCCACGTCATCGACGGTAACGGCGCCAAGTGGTGGGATGGCAAGGGCAGCAATGGCGGCAAGAAGAAGCCCAAGTACGGCTGTCCGTCCAAGAAGCAAAGTTGCGACTAACCATCCGCAGGTTCTTCTACGCCCACAGCATGAAGAACTCGGTCATCAAGGGCCTCAATGTGAAGAACACACCCGTGCAGGCATTCAGCATCAACGGTGCTACCAACCTCGAAGTGTGAGTACTTACCTTGCGCCTCGATCTTCCGGGAGAACAAAGACTCAACAGTCACTTAGGTACGACGTCACCCTCGACAACTCGGCCGGCGACTCGCAGGGCGGCCACAACACCGACGCGTTCGACGTTGGCTCCTCCACCGGCGTCTACATCTCGGGCGCTGTCGTCAAGAACCAGGACGACTGCCTGGCCATCAACTCCGGCACCAACATCACCTTCACCGGTGGCTCGTGCAGCGGCGGCCACGGCCTGTCCATCGGCTCGGTCGGCGGGCGGAAGGACAACACGGTCAAGACGGTGCGCATCCTCAACTCGTCCATCAGCAACTCGCAGAACGGCGTGCGTATCAAGACGGTCTACGGCGCCAAGGGCTCCGTGTCGGACGTCGAGTACTCGGGCATCACGCTGTCGGGCATCACCAAGTACGGCATCGTCATCGAGCAGGACTACGAGAACGGCTCGCCCACCGGCAAGCCGACCAGCGGCGTCCCCATCACCGACCTGACCGTCAAGGGCGTCACTGGCAGCGTCAAGTCGAGCGCCACCGACGTCTACATCCTCTGTGCCAAGGGCGCCTGCTCCAACTGGAAGTGGTCTGGTGTCAGCGTCACTGGCGGCAAGAAGTCCTCCAAGTGCTCCAACGTCCCCAGCCCTGCCGCTTGCTAGAGGAGCTATGTGGACTTGATGTTGTTTTACTGCCGCTGAAGTATTGGACAGTCGAACTGTCGAAATCAGGCGGATACTATACTTAATCTCGGCCTGGAAGGAGTTGGGCTTGCTGGGAGTTTCGATTCAACATATATATTATTTTTGACCTGATGGTGATCTTACATAAAAAACAACATTCCATTGCTTCATACCTGTACCTAAATCTCCCTTTGCACGTGCCGTACCAATTTCTGCAGTTCCCTTGGGTGATTGATGTAAATCACAATGGTTGACTGTTCCATCCCAGTCGCTCCTTCCGACTCTTCGCTCTTTCCAACCTTTCATCCTTCAACTTTCGTTCTTCCCCGCTCTCGGGATGCCTGCCTGCCTACCGACTTCCTAACCTATCGTTTACTCCAGCAACTGGAAACCTCATGATTTCCGCCAACTCTGTAACTTCGTCTCATCTTCGGCTTCAGCGTCTCACTGTGCGCCTCCAGATCCCTGTCTCGTTCTACATCTGTCCCGACTTACAATGGAGCACTCCAACACAACTCTCTGCGTTGTGCAAAAGACCGAAGCCCGCCTCCGTGAAGCCGAGGCCATGTGCGCCAGGCTTGCCGCCGAGAAAGAGAATCTGCAGGCCTCGCTCAGGGCAATGTCAGTCGAACTAGATGTCACCAGGCGTCAGTGCGAGCGGGTGAAGGCCGAGCGCAAGAACTTGCGAAGCCATGTCAAGGCAATCAAGAGCCTTCGAGTTGATCTCGCCACCGCGAAGAGGGAGTGCGAGATCCTGAAGAAAGAGCGAGATGAACTCCGGGGGCAGGTACAGGCCCTCGGCAAGACTCCAATCCAACTCGCTGCCGCCCGCGAAGAATGCGAATACACCAAGGTGGAGCGCAACCGCCTTCAACATCGACTGGATGTGGTGGAGGCCGACCTCGCCAATCTCGAGAAGAAACATATATTCGCCTGCAACGAGCTCGCTGCGATGCAGGGTGGCCGGCTCAACTTCCAGGTCCAGCTGCACATGCCACGGGAGCCCCTGCCTAACGTCCAATCCACCGCCAGCGACTTCGAGAAGCCACCCCTCTTTGCCAGATCTCTAGGAGAAGATACCCAGAGCACATCTGACCACGCTACGCCGTCGAGGGAATGGCAAGCGACACCCGGCCGGACGGCAGAAACCAAGACACCCAACAACATCTTGGTGCCAATCAAGGAAGAGCCGGGACAGGAGAGGAGGGGAGTCAAAGAGGGGATGCAGCTCTACCGCCCGCCGCGTGCCGGACGCAAGGACGCACTGGAGGACATGGAGCCCGGGGAAATCTGGGAGGACTAGGGTATCAAAGAAGTACCGGGGCTCTACCGCCAATCGGGTGCCGAGCGCAAGGACGGACTAGAGGACATGAATCCTGGTGAGATCTGGAAGCAGTTATGTTGATTGAGAAGAGGTTATCATAGGCTATGGAGGCGACGGAGGAGTCTGCATATGTCTGAATGGCAGTGTCAAGTTGCATTGGGATCGGTCTTGTTATCATCTTTGTAAAGCTGTGAGCTACGGAGTGCTCTGTATAGTATTCGCGCAACACTAAGACGATAAGGTGTTTATTATTTGAGGACGACTATGTGTCGATACTGCTGTTGTTCAGCTAATGTCAGTTTATACGCTGAATTTCCTAGGCTCAGCCGCTGGTGTGCTACTGAGGCTCTCGATGTAAATGATCGTCAGTACCGGTAGGATGGCGTGCAACCTCCGCGGATGGACCAGCATTATTAGCGGCTACCCTCCATTATTATTAGCTAGGGTTATCGGTATTACATCATGGCTGGGCGGAAGTTTGTCGGATTCTGTCGAGTCTCAAATCTCAACAGCAACTCCACCTTCAACCAACATGAGTGTCCTTTGGAAGCGTTCTCGCGTTCCCACTCCCCCGTTTTTCCGCAGTCATCTAAGACTGACTAGACGTGGTGCACATTCATGGCATCGCCAAGCTCCTGTTTGCGCGCCACCAACCCTCGTTCAGCTTGTTGTTTCTAGTCCACCAACACGGGCGTCCCAGCCTCGATTATTTTCAGCGGCCACCACCAATCAGGCGCCGACTGTCACTGAGGAAGTGTATATTGCAGAAGTTGACTTGGAGGACTTTGAGGAATACTCTTCCGGTGGCTATCACCCCACCGTTATCGGTGATACCTTTTGCGATGGCCGCTACGAACTTGTCCATAAGCTCGGTTTTGGTGGTTACTCGACAATCTGGCTCGCCAAAGATAAGCAGCTGCAACGATATGTCTCGTTGAAAATCCTCATCGCAAATGAATTTTCGAAGAGCACCGAGGCCAAGATCCTGCGTTGGCTCTGTGAACATGGGTCAAGTCAGCCAGGTCGAAATTCATCCCCCGCTTGCTTGACGAGTTTTCGACCGACAGCCCCAACGGCCACCACGTCTGTTTGGTGCAGGACCGGCGGTGTGTAGCATCGCTTCATCGAAGGAGGACTCCAGCGACTTTATGTTTCAGGTTGAAACAGCAAGGTCCATTGCCGCTCAGCTCATCAAGGGACTGTCATACCTACACTCTCAGGGAGTATGCCATGGTAGGTTCCAGTATCTATATGTTCTTGATCATCATCATGATTCTTACTCTCCACCTCTAGATTTGCATGTTCGAAATTTTCTCATATGTGGTACTGACATCGACCACCTCGACCCTCTCGACTTTTACCGACGCTACCGTCTAGATATGACCCCGGTCAGGAGAGTTGATGGTACAGCTGTGGGACCTCACGCGCCACCATATGCGGTATATCCATTGCATATTAAGACGCCCGCCAACTCGCTCGTGAATCCTGTCATTCGCATCTCGGATTTTGGCACCTCCTTTGTAGTCGCCGAGGAACCGAACCCAGCACTGCACACTCCCGACCCCTATCGCCCCCCGGAAGCGTTCTTCAACGAACCGATTACGCTCGCAGCAGACATCTGGACTCTCAGAGTCAACCTCTACGAAATCCTGGGCGAGCGGTGTCTGTTCGAAACATTTTTCTGGGACCGAGATGACATCATCGCCGAAATTGTCAATACGCTTGGTCTGCTACCGAAACGATGGTGGGAGAAATGGGAAGCACGGGGCGAGTTCTTCGAGGCAGATGGATCATGGCGGAAAGGCGGCATCACGCGCATCTTCACGCCAAAATTCCGCAGGCTGCATCAGAGGATGTGGGATATGGGCCGCGGTGAGACGCCCAAGACCTGCCAGTGGGATGTGGAAGGCGGCGAGATGCGGGCTTTGGAGGAGTTGTTGCGGGGGATGATGGCCTTTGAGCCCAGCGAGAGGCTCACGGCCGAGGAAGTGTTGGTTGTCGGAGTACATGGTGAAATGGGCGTTGCCAGCTTGGGAGAGGCAGATCGCACGGCAGAGGGACAGGGAGGCAGCATCTGCCTAGGAAGCGAACACTATTCATTTCCGATAGAGAACGTATCATTCAGACTGTCAATCAAAGCAAATGTTTCAATTCTCAAACCTCTCAGACTCCTCAGACAGCCACCAATGGCCCGACTCAAACCCCACCATCTACCTCGCCCTCGCCCTCTCTACGGTTTCGGACATCGGGCCAGGCCAGAACCAGCAGCCCCTCCTCCCTATCATCGCCATAGCCATCACCATCCAGCTGTCACCATCACCGGCATCATCGTTATCAACTCGATCGCCCTCCTGACATGGGAGAGGTCTGGACGATAGTCGGGACTCGGGAACCTTTCCGAAGGTGCTGTGGTCCCTCGTGCTGTGGCGGACGGACTGGCTGGCAACCATTCTTATACATATACATTTCCGGCCAGAACAGGCCTTGGCTCTACCGCGGAACCGTTAATGCGTTGATGTAGTTGACCCAACCACCCTTTGAGCCAAGCACCCGGCGCGGGCTTGGCCCATTCCAGGAGTTGAGGTGATCGTCTGCCAAGGCCTTCTTTGAGACGGTTCGGATTCAGAAAGCGATCCAGACCGCTGGGTAGCGGGGATACGAAACTAACAAAGGATAAGGGATGTATGTAGTATGTATTTGTACACTAGTACGGATATATGTACATATTACGCCGGACTCCCTTGTCAAGGCTGGGGTTCTTCAGAAGCGATCAACTGTCAATCGTTGATCAACAACAGGGCGTCGGCGGTTGGTCCCGTTCCTCCAGCTCTCAACTCAAAGCGCCTCCCCGTGCCTCCCAGGCTCCCAAGAATGAGAAAAAACCGCCGCAAATGCCGACGCTTACGAGAGCATTGCCAACTGGAAACGCGTGCCCCCCCCACACTTAATTCCTGGGGCGCAGCATACATACATACCTACACGAAGACATGTCCCTTGCAGCCCTCTCTCTCTCTCCCTTGTTCGTGCGACAGGCCAAGCACCTGCGCGGCGCTGCACACTCGTGACCCGTCAGCTTTAGGGCGGCGCCAAGGGGCTGGCTCGTTGTAACGAAACAAGCCGTATGATACCGGTATGTATTGTACAAGTACATACATACAATCCCTAACTCTTACTCCCTCATCCTCGACCTGGCCTGGCTCTCTTAAGTCTCTTCTTCCGCGCAAGAATGCCTGCGGCGCGTGCCCCCGCAGAGTTAGTACTCCCCATTATCTCTCCGTATGCACCGTTGTGCACATCTATACCGTCCTGTCGCTCGCCATGTATTTCTACGAGATCAACACCGCTCTGTTCGCGGCTGTAAGCGCGTACCTGCTGCGCAGGCAATATTACAGCCCCGGCCAGCCGACGGCGGGGGCGGGAGCTGGGGCAAAGGAGACGGACATGGAAGATCAGAGCGACAGTGGCACCGTGGTGGTCGAGTCGTCCGAGCTGGCTCGCAGGTTCCAGATCGAGTTCTTCTCCGTCTATGCCCTGGCGGTTGCGGCCGACTGGCTTCAGGTAAGCATCCCTTGAGAGAGCTTGAGAGAGTGCTGTTCTCGTGTAAATATGCTATCTGGTACATATGTACTAACCGTCAAGACAGGGGCCGCATATCTATGCCATCTACCGGTATGAGAAGAACATACCCGAGAGGTCGGTGGCGGCTCTGTACGCGAGCGGGTTCATCGCCGGCGCCGCGAGTGCCTCGTTCGCCGGGGGTTTGGCCGATCGCTACGGCAGGCGGTCGGCGTGCCTCTGGTACTGCGTCACGTACGCGTTCGGCTGCCTCACCATGCTGAGCGACAACCTCGCGGTCTTGTTCCTCGGCCGGCTCGCCAGCGGCGTCAGCACCACGCTTCTGTTCAGCGTCTTCCCGGCCTGGATGGTCACGGCGTACCACGGCCGGGTGCTGCAGGGCACCGAGCTGGACCTCAGCAGCATGTTCGGCAAGATGTCGTCGCTGAGCGGCATCGTCGCGATCGCGTCGGGCATCCTGGGCGACGCGCTCATCACGTACACGGGGTCGCGCGTGTGGCCGTTCCTCGCGGCGACGGTGTGCGCAGCCGGTGCGGGATTCCTCATCACCACGACGTGGGAGGAGAACTACGGCTGCCAGTCGAGCTCTTTCCCCACGGGGGCGACACCCCTCTCCGGCGGCATCAAAGCCAGCCTACAGATCCTGGCCAACCCCCGCGTGCTGGCCCTGGGACTCGCCTCCTCGGTGTTCGAGGGCACCATGTACCTCGTGGTCTTCTTCTGGTCGGCCGCGCTGAAGAGCGCCCGCGCACACGCCGGCTCGGACGAGGAGCTCCCCTTCGGCATCATATTCTCGAGCTTCATGTGCGCCATGGTAGCCGGGTCCGCGCTGTTCGCGCTGTCCCCGCACTCGCGCGAGAACGTCTGCTCCCTGCTGATGACGGCCTTGCTGGCCGTCAGCTGCTGCCTGTCGGCGGCCGTGCTGATGATGACGCGCGAAGTCGGCGTCTTCTGGGCCGTCTGCCTGATCGAGCTCTGCATAGGGCTGTACTACCCGTCCATCGAGCTCCTCAAGAGCGAGGTGGTCGAGGACACCGTGCGGGGCAGGACTTACAGTCTTATGCGCGTGCCTCTGAACGTGTTTGTGGTGGTGGCGCATGCCTTAGACCAGGAAGGTGAGCACAGCTCTCTTTTCTGTCACTAATAAGAGTTCAACAGTAACCGAAATCTCTAACTGTGGCGCAGGCGACGAGCATCGGAACCATGTCTTTATGGCATGTGCGCTCCTGCTGATCGGGGCATTCTTTGTCTTCAAGAAGGCTTTCGCGGCGTGAGGTCGAGGATGGGCATGACCGTGTAGAAGCAGGGCGTTGGGCTTGGAAATGTACTAGTATTGACTTCAACTGCATGCATGCAAAACACCTTAACTTAAGAGTCTTGCAGCAACCGCGCTGGTCATTTATTACTATTCGCAATGCTGGTGTTCAGGTTCAGAAAATGTGAAAACCCTAGTCCTCAGGCAATGTAATACTGTATTGTACTAGTGTATTTTATTTTACCATAATTTCAATAACGGCTCAAAATTACCACTAACGCCAATTCTTTGCGGCGGCTGCATTGCGCTGATTGTTCAGCCCTCGGATACGAAACCTCCCCTCCCCTCCCATCCGCAATGCAAGGGATAACGTGAACTAATAACGTAGAAATACGGGCCAGGCATGCTCATTGTTGGGCGAAGCCGTGTTAGACTGCGCGTCCCTTGGCACCCTTGGCGCACTCCATCATGTTCGTTTGGCGCTTTGTATCAGGCGATCCCAATGGTTGACGGCTGTGCCGTGAACGCCACCCCGTTGGGTCGCGGAAACATACCTCGAAGCATACCTAGGTAGGGATAGTCCGAGTCAGCTAGCTAGTTAGCCCCCAAGACACTTTGGACTTGCCCGCGCCGATCGGGCTGGCTCAAGGGGGCGCCCGCCGCCCGCTGTGGCACCCATCACTTTGAAACCCGGCCGCGTTCTGCCCTGATTAGATTAGGTAGATACCTACCTAGGTATCGTCCATACATAGAGCTGAGCATCCGCGTCGGCGCTGGGCCCTGGGACGTGTCCAGCACCCGACTCTCTCACACACACACACCTTCCTCGCTCTACCTAAGCATGATCCTCCAGCCGCCCACCATGCCTCGGCCCATAGTCCCGGTTCTGTTTCTTGCGGTCCTTCTGCTTCTGATTGCCTTCACTTCGACCTCGACATCGGTATCCCGGCATCTCTCCTCGATTATCCCGCCGTCCTCGTCCTCGAAGAAGGGGCTGAGGTTCAGTCTGTTCAGCAAAGACCCGGTCCTGGATGCGAGGCTGGCCCACGCCGAGCGGCTCTGGGAGCAGGCGGTGGAGGACCGCAAGGAGATGGTGACGGCGTCGGGCGACAGGCAGTGGCCGGACGGATACATCTACCCGTACAACGTGTGGGACTTTGCGCGGCCGAGCTTCTTCTGCCCGCACGACCTCGAGCGGGTCGGCACGCTCGGCGACGGCGGGAAGGTGGTGTGCGGCCTGTCGCGCTACGAGGCGGCGTCGCCGGGACCCTCGGCCGCGACCAACCCGGCGCCGGAGCTAGTCGTCTACTCGTTCGGCGTCAACGACGACTCCTCGTTCGAGGCCGCGCTCCTGCAGCGCACCAACGCACAGATCTGGGGCTACGACTACACCGTCAACGGCTGGGCCAAGCACATCCCCGCGCACCAGGCGTCGCGCGCCCACTTCACCAAGGCCGGCATCGGCAAGACCGTGGTCCGCGACCGGGAGCCGCCCTTCTTCACCATCCAGGAGCTGATGAAGATCAACGGCCACGACTACATCGACGTGGTGAAGATGGACATCGAGGGCGCCGAGTTCGACGCCATCACGTCGCTGGTCTCGTCCGTGCTGAACAACTCCGAGAACAACGCCACGCTGCCGCTCGGGCAGCTGCTCATCGAGATCCATCTTATTGATGGCAACGATTCCTTCTCCACGCCGAAAGACTTAGCGTCCTTCATGGAGTGGTGGTCGTCGATGGAGAGGCTGGGGCTGCGGCCAGTAAACAATGAGGACAATTGGATAGGCGACAATATGGTTGGGAAGCCGAGGTTCATGGAGGTCAGTTGTCTTGCCGCCCAAACTAAACATACCTGATATTGCAGTTCCAGCTAACATTGCGTATACAGTACACGTTGATCAATGTTTTGGAAAAGAAGAACAAGTTGCTGTAGGCGTAATACCAATACTGGATGTATAATTGAATGTATCAGATCGATTGGTTTTGGCTCTCATCATAGTGAGAAGAAGCACTACTAGGGGAGACAAGGGACAGTAGTTTCGTCTGACACCAGCTCATGACACTGACACGGCAACACACAAAGGCAACATGGCAAAGCCGAGGATGCCACATTGACATGCACATCATATTCCTGGCTAGGCGGCACCATCATGACACCAGTTCCGGGTGTTGCACCGAGGTTTGGTAGCAAAGGAGGCAGTAATATCAACACAGGAGAGCACTCCTACTACACTGGATGATTATATGGGTGTAGTCAGTAAATGAAACGAAGACATACCTTCCCGTCCCCATAGTGTTACCATACCCATAAGAAGACTCGAGATCGGACTTGAAGGATTGATTAACCTAGCCTGTGGGGAGTGGAAGAACTACCCAGGACTTACGTACGACAAGAGAAAGATAACCCACGAAACTGCCCAAAACAGGCCTATTAAACTAAACGTCCCCGACACGAAACACGCAACTGTCTGATCATCAGAGGTCGACGGTGATCGCTTGGCTGATCCTGCCATGTATGTACAACGGTGGAACTGGTCTAACCACAGAGCATGTTTCGGATAGATCATAGGAGAAGTGAATTGCTCCACTGAAACGATAGATACACTCAACCGTAAATACACTCAACAGTACCACCTAAGCAACAGATACATGCCCTATCCCAAACCAACCCCCCCTCAAATCTCCTCACACTTATCAAAGTAGCCCTGGTTGCCCGACGTGTGCGCAATCAGGCCACAGAACTGAATCACTCCCGTGGCCGTGTAGATGGCCCTGGCCGGGCCGGGCGACTCGCCGCCGGCCGCGTTCCGGTTCACGTTCCACTTGTACAGATGGCCGTCGGGGAACACGGGCATCTCGAGGAGCGGCTCGTAGTTGCCGCACTGCCACTGGTTGAAGTCCCAGGCGAAGCCCTGGAAGTTGCTGAACTCGTGCGGGTAGCCGCTCAGCCCGGGCGTCTCCCGGTCCGGGAAGTTCTGCACGTTGGCGAAGACCCGGTTCTTGTCGAACGTGATGGCGCCCTCGCTGTTGCGGCAGCGGAAGCGGGTGAACTAATAATAGTAGAGAATTAGTATGTTGGTGTTAGATAAGAGACTGAGCTGTCGCTGTCTGAGGGGGGGATTGTGAGGTAGGTAGACTAACGGCCTGAGGGACGATCTTCGTGTCCGTGCCATTCGAGTTGGAGACCGTGGCGTTCGAGTTGGTGGCTTCGAGCGGCGCGCCGACTGCGAGAGCGGCCATGAGGCTGACGATGATGCTATAGGACTTCATATTGGCGAGAGAGGTGCTTGTAAACAACAGAATGTCAAGATTCGGGGAATTGCCTTAATTGATGACTGAGGGACGGCTCTCGCGTTGTCAGATGCGGTGCTTGTCTGCTGAGAGGTGAACTGTTCGTTGTTGCACTTCAGTCTCAACTCTCAAGGGACATCCTCCCTTTTGTATCCTCATCTGTTGCATAGCCGGATAAGATGGTGATCAATTGTGATCCGCCGTCGCTACTGTGACGTGAAGTTCTCGGTACAGAGTGGTGCGTTGAAGGCTCGAATCCGAGTTCGGTACCGTCCGCTTCGATGACGGCAACGTCCGCGATAGTCCGCAGCGTGCCTTCATCGCTGGACGCCGTGGACGGTAGATTTGTCTGATACAACTTCAGCTGGCGACCTGGCGACTGAGCGCAGGGCATGGCCACGGATTACGGATTGTGATTGGATATAGTGCGGTGATTTGGATGAAGTTACAGTTCGCTGACGGCGGTGATCGTCGATTTACAATGCAACCTTTGGTGGAGGAACACCGAGTACATGATCCACATTACAACCAGGCGAGCCAGGTAAGCACTCACGTGGCACCGTGTTTACAGAGGTCCAATCACTCTTCCTTTTACACAGGGTAGTATAGCCGTATGTTATAGTATGACATAGGGTTGTAGTTGTAGGAGCAAATGAAAGGCCACTCCACTATCTGACACTGATCTTACATTCTTACTCGGAACCCGGGCGAAGCAACCACGAACTTGCGCGAAGACGTTGAGATCAACAACCCATCCGGGAGGGAAGTGCGTCTCTAGGTGCGTCAGGCGGGGGTGCGCAGAGGTATAAGCGAGCCGTCAACCGATCTCGACGAAGAGAGGTTTTCACTTGCAACCACAGCATCCTCTCAAACACAACAGTTCAACCCCCAGCTTCCAACACTTAATTACTTAACCACCAAACGCCACACTCCAATCAACATGCACGCCTCAACCATCTTCATTGCTCTCGCAGCATTCGCCGGCGCCGCTCTGGCCGAGAGCGGCAAATGCCACGGCCAGCGTCTCTACTGTGGACGAAGCCTGCGGAACATGGGTGAGCGCGACGCACCACCTTTCTGAAATATCTGAATTCTCTCCCCTCTGGCCCCTGACTGTTACTGACACATGGGCATGGGGCAGGCTGGACCAACGACGACATCATGGCGGGCGTCCACAAGGGCTCCCAGTGGTATCCGATCGACCTTGGCCCCAACACGATCCCGGACACTCTGTTCGAGTGTGACGGCCGAAGCGGCGACGACGCCCTCTGGTACCGCAGCGCCTGTGCCGATAATGGATGCCATGATGCCGGTGCTGGGCATTCCGACTACTGCAACTGATTGGCATGCAAGCACTCTGGGATTATGAGTAGTGGGTGGTAGCACACTCGAGGGTGAAAGGCAGGAGGGGCAGCGATGTGAGTGGTCAGGGGTAACATTAGGGGAAGGAGTCGTTGGGTTGGTGTAGTGAAGAGATTAGCAATGCAATCGGAGAATGGTTCGGGGTTGTCTTGGTACCTACTGCGCAAGAACCGTGAATGCAGAATTCCCTAAAAGATATTGAGGCACAATGGCCCGGGACTACGAAGCTCTCATACCTCAGCCGCATATCTCATTGATACTGTGACATGTCTCATAGTCCGCAAATCGCCCCCGGTCGCGTAATTCCACCGCACGACACCCCATAGTCCGGCGGAGAACAGGTCCCTATCTCCGCAAGGCCGCCTGCTTGTTTGGGTCTCAAGGGACATAGTATCCAGGTTGCCTCCGACTCATACCAGGCCCTTGAGATGTTGTTCTTGAGATGTTGTTCCGTCATCGGTCACCCAACGAGGTTAAAGGTGGATGAGTTGATGCATGGTTCTCAGCTTCTCACACGAGGACGTCGTCAACTTACACGAGTAATCCCTAGCCAAGAACACCAACCCGTGGAAACTGTAAATACTGGTTGATATGTTGTTGCCTACTACACTTGGCGTACCTTTTTGCTTACCGCCAAGATGGCAGGACGGCGGAGTTAGATGGACTTAGTCGCCTTTTCAGCGACCTGGTTCATCATATGTGGCGTGAGCATCTCAAAGGGGAGGTATGTGTGACCCGGCGGCCGCAAAAGACTCTTGGCTGTGTTAAATGATTGCTCAAACCGCGCCAGGACCTTACTCATCACCACCTCACCTTTCAGTCTCCCAACCATCTCATAGAACCTTGGCATACGTCGAAGGATGCTTCTGAATAGGGATCCAAGATGATTTGGACGACCATGCAATCGAAACGCCGGAGCCTCTGAGACTCCCACGATAGCTATATAATCAAAGGCGCTCATCCGGGTTGACGTTTCGAGTGTCGCTCGGCTTTCTCTCCCATCAAGCTACGCTCTTCTACAGACATCCAGCTCGCTACCAGTGCTTCTCTCCCTCACACACAAAGACCCTCCAAGATGAAGCTCTCTTTCCTGTCCCTGCTCTCTCTCCTTTCCTCCGCCGCCACGACCCTCGCGGCTCCGACTGACACCGCAACCGGAGTCACGGCCGACAATGCCAACGACGGTCCGCCATCTTGGAGAAGGGACATTGAGGCTGCAAGCGGAGTAACCGCCGACAACGCCAATGACGGCCCGCCATCCTGGAGACGGGACATCGATGCCAGAAGCCTGCATGACCCTGCCTCGTAAGCAAAACTCACTACCTACTCTAACCCCCAATTCCTCCCCCTTTTCTTCCCCCCCCCCCCCCTTTCAACCCCATTTTTAACACCACCCTTACTACTAATACTGATACTACTACCACTAGTAACCCAACCCGACGCCAAAACGGCAACCCCAACACGGAAGCGACGCTCCAAGCGTGGCGCTTCGACCCCAACTGCGCCCCTGGCCCGGGCTTCAACTTCCTGTGGTTCCCCGTCTCGTGGACGTCGGCCAACGCGCCCAACGGCGCCTGCCACGAGTTCTGGGAGGGCGGGCAGCGCCGCGACATCCTGTCGGTCATGGCCACGGGCGGCTGGCGCGGCACCTGCCGCCTGCGCATGTACCAGAACCCCGGGTGCACGGGTTCGTTTGCTCTGCAGACGCCGGGGGTCTGTGGGAATCGGGGTGGTGCGCCGATTGCGAGTTTTAATGTTGTTTGCTGAGGACCTGATGGTTGTGTCCTGAGGAAGGGGGGGGCCGGGTTGGTGAGGGGGGTCAGTTTAGGGTATGAAGTTGGCTAGTTATCTCCTGTGGCTTGCGGGCGGAGGAATGTTGGGAAAGGGGTTGAGTGAGGGTGCAATTCAACATTGCCACTTTGTGAATCTTTGTGCTCCTGTGAGATATGCTGAAATGTTGTCCTTGGTTGGCCTTGCAGAGTGCTTTCACACTTCAATAGCATTCTCAAACTCTTTCTCCGTCCACTCCCATAGTCTCCTCGATAGGGTCGGGTCTCTGGCGATGGCCGTCTCCTTGTCTGGCACGCCCACGGGCTCGTAATACTTGCCCGTCTCCACGTTGGGCCCCGTGGCCGCCCACAGATGGTTCCTCACTCCAATGGCCGCGGGCACGCAAAACAAAGGCGAGAGCGGCGCGGTAACGCGGAATAGGAGGCTCTCCTTCCGCAGCCCGTGAGCCATCCCCGTGATGATCCGCCCCGGGTGCACGGCGACTGTCTTGATTTGAGGACATCGCGCCGCCAGTTCCCGCGCAAAGCCGATGATGGCCACTTTGCTCTGGCCGTAGCGTTGGTAGTATGTCTGTGAAAGCATTTAGCTAGCAACCCTCGTCATTTACTAACTCAGAGGCACGGCGGTCTGTCTGCCCACAAAACCTCAATTGAAACTCACAATATCCTCGCAGGGCCCCTTCAACTTATCGAACAGGATGCCGCCCCTGGGCGCCATGGCATGCCCCTCGCTCGAAACAGCCACGACGCGGACATCGGCGCCCCGCGGCAGCGCGGCCGTGTGCAGCAGTTTTGGCAGCAGCAGTCTCGTCAGGAGCGCGTGGCCAAGGTAGTTGATGCCGAAGGCCACCTCGTAGCCCTCCGCCGTCGTGCCGGGCCGCACGCGCATGATGCCTGCGTTGAGCACGGCGATGTCCAGCCGGTCTTCGGCGGCGCAAAACGCAGCCGCCGCTCTCTTGATGGACTCGAAGGACGAGAGATCCACGGCCAGGTAGCGTATGGGGGTGGGAGGAGCGTGCTGGTCAGAGTCGGACAGTGCGTCCCGGGTGATGGCACGGACGACGGAGTCGCCGTCGTCTGCGCGCGGCAGGTCGGCAATGTAGATGCGTGCCGGGTTGTGCCGTGCCAGCTCGATGGCTACTTGCTTGCCCAGGTCGCCTGCACCGCCTGTGATGAGGATGACTTTGCCTGCCAGCGACGGGATGTCCTTGACGGGATCGAATAGAACGCCCCGTTGGTTGCCTGACCCGAAGACGGTGACTCGCGCCCCCGCCGTGAGGGTTTGCAAGTCGAGCATTTCTCTGCAAATATAGGATATAATGGCGACGATGACGATGGTAGCAAGGATTCTGGAACCCGTACACCTGGACTGTCAATGTGGTAGGATACGGCGAGGCCCGTGGGCTCATGACGCTTACGGGATATTGACTATATTGATGCTGTGATACACTGGCCCGCACACGATGTTTGTAAAGGATTCCATTGAAGCTAAGAGTTTCTTCTCGCTTGGTCTGCGAGTTCGAGGGCTATAAAGAGGACACGACAAAGGGGAGGAACGACAAACGAAGCGGGAGGTGATGAGCGCGTGTGAGGGCTCAGGACTTAAGGGCAGGGGCCGAGCGAACGAAACATGGACGGTGGGAGGACAATGTTGAGACGCGAGAGTGATATGGATGGAAAATAGCCAGCTTTTTCAGCTCGGCAGTGGTTCTCGCGCGGCGCTATACCCAATAGGACCGGCTGCATTACTAGCATCATTTTATCATCGCTGGCAAGGTTCTCAATCTCACTCAAGACAGTTGATAGTAGGTGGGCCGCTTCCCCGGACTACTAGGTCTAGTAGTACAGTACATTTCCGATTTCACCAAGCAACAACAACAACAACACCTAAATAAGTCTCTCTAAAAGTCTAGACTCATGCCTCCCCTACCGCGATGGAGTCAGCGCCGGCTGGCCCTTAGGCAAAAACGGAAAACTCCTCTGCTCGACCCTCAGCTTCCGCGCACACTCCATCGAGTTCCCCTGACAGACCACACAATACCATCGACGGGCATATCCTTCCACGCCGGGCATCTCATACCTGCAGCACACAGGCAGGTACGCGCCACAGTCGGGCCACGCGCACGCCCTCTGCTCCGCCGGCTCCTCGTCGCACGCCACCCATCGAATGGCAAGCCACAGGTCTCGCGACACGGCGGGGGACAGGCACGGCAGGAACCGCTCCAGCTGCATGTCAAGCCCGCAGCAGGTCAGTCCCGCGAGACGGAGCACTTCCTTGTGGTACTCGGCATGCCGCTGGACCAGCCTCTTTTTCTTCCTCTCCTGCGGGTCTGTCGCTGCTTTGTTTGTTGCTGCCGTTGTTGTTGTTGTTGTTGTTATTGCGGCAAGACGGATCCTGGTATCGGCCATGTTGACGCGCGTGTTCCAGATGATGCCCGGTCGCTTCTCGATCTCGAGCTTGACGCTCAGAGCCGCGACCACCAGGCAGTCGCGGCAGAGCAGGTCGCCGCAGGGGAGGTCGTGCAGGCAGTTGAGCGTGACGCGGGCGTGACACCTGCTGCAGGCGAGGAGCCACGGTGGTGTGGTACTGCTGCTAGCACTCGCGGTGGTGGTGGATCCTGCTTTGCTGCTGCTGCTGCCGCCCTGGCGGACGAACGACCGCCTGCGGAGGAACTTGGGATCCGTGATGTCATGCCGGTGGTCGCCGCAGTTGTGCTCGCCGTGGAGGTGGAAGCGGGGGATGGCGGACGCGACCGAGGCCGGTGGGGGAGAGGCTCGTCGCTGTCCACCTCCTCCAGGGGAGGGCTCCAGGATGGGGGGCGTGAGGCGGACATACCTGGACTGTTACGGATCCTGCGTCTGATGTGTTGGGCTGGAGTGAAGGGAGTCCCTGAACCCTCTAAAGCCGCTGCCGGATGGATACCATTAAAGGGGGGAGATATTTGCAGCTTGGGATACAATAACATTTTTAATAGACGGTCGCCGCAAGGGGATGGTCAACCAGACAAAGGACTTCTTCTAGCGATGTCCAGAACGAACATTGCTTCAGAAGGCGCTAGGCGAACAATGGTTTTCGTGCACTTTGTCAAAACCAGGAGCCCAATCCTTCAACGAAGAGTAATCACAATCACAACCCAGCAAAGCAAAAGCAGACGACGCCAAGGTTCACAACCCGCATACCCCATCCTTGCAGATGATCAAGTCGAAGCCGCAGTCAGCATCTGTCTCACAGCTAAGTCCTACACAGAAAGGATGCCAGTCAGCGCGCTATTAAACCTCTCTTTCATGGTGTCTCACATACCGATACAGGCCAAAGGATTGTCGCCACAGGCTGGAGCAGGCTGCCGTGTCGTGGTCGGCTGCGGCCGGGACGTCGAGCGGGTGGGAACGGGCGGAACCGTCACCCTGCGAGTGGTGGTAGTGACCCGGCGTGTGGACGTAGTCACCCGGCGCGTAGACGTGATGATGATCGGGGGGACTCCAACCCCACCACATCTGCCGCCGCGACAGCTGAGGTCTCCGTCGCAGTCGGTATCCTCCTCGCATGGGTCACCTGCGGAAGACGTACAAGTCAGCGTCTAGAATGTCCCCGTTTGTCTAGGAGGACCGAGAGACTACAAACCAGCGCAGTGACCAGTCCACTCGCACGTGGGATTGGACGTTGGCGTGGGCCAGGTCGTCACGTAGACAGTCGTGGTCCAGATGATTGTGGTTGGAGTGGGCCATCCGCCGGGTTGACTGACTCCTGGATTGGCACATCGACCAGCGCGGCAGGTGAGGTCGCCGTCGCAGTCAATCTCGGTCTCGCAGGCATCACCTGGGGCTTGTCAGGGCAAACCATCGCAGACTTCAGCGTGTGACGCTCTACCTACCAAGGCAGTGGCCCGTCCATTCGCAGGCTGCTCCTCCACCCCCTCCACTGCCGCCACCTCCTCCCCATCCACCACCGAACCCGCCGCCTCCTCCACCCCATTGTCTGCCCACTAGCCCGGCAGCTGGGAATCGTCTGGCGTGCACGCAGAGCCCGCAGGCCAGTGTTCCAAGCAAGTAAGCTGGCTTCATCGTGGCAGGGCAAGATCGTCGAGGGGGGGCCGGTGGGAACGGGCATGAGTATTGCCCGGTGTCTTTGCCCAATATTTATATATATCCCCTGAATGGGCCTAGACCAGGCGGGCAGCCTTTGTTCAACATTGCCGCGTGTCTATGAGGGCCGTGAATATAGGCTGCCCAACCCACTTTGCTCCCGTCGACATGCGACTACCGAATCGTGGTCGCTCCGCGATCTGCCGTTGGCTGGTAGCAACCGGTCGTGTCTATATAAACAACATGGCGGCACAGGACTCGGTGGTTCGACGGTAAAACTTGCCGCGAAATCTTCCGGTTGGTACACAAAAGGGGAGGTATAAGACCCGCTCCTTTAGCCAGAAGGTTCAGGGCTGCCAAGAAGGCCCTTGGCCGGCGTCGAGGTTGTGGTGTATATGTGCCAGGGCATTGCTGCCCGAATGAGTGCTCGACTGACAGCTCAGCAAACGGGTGTGTGCTCGGATATGTTGGCTACCGGCGGTGGGAGTCCAGATCATGCATCGATTCCAGCCGAGAATCTGGGGTGCATAGATCGGTCTCGGCAGTCGAAGGGTAGGTACCCACAATCCCAAACCTGCTAGAAGATCGTAGAGTCTGATCTCAGTGCTCAGACAGGTAGTCTCAGATGCTCAGACCAGCAGGCTCTCGGCTTATTATGGAAGCTCCCTTGCCTCCCACGGACCAGAATAGGCCCGGTACACCCAGCATCGCCGTCTACGGAGGCTGCTAAGTTCCTCAACACAGCCAGGTATCTCCTTTCGTTTTACTACCTGGTAGGTAAGGTACCTGAATTACCTCTTCTCTTTCGTTCGTACTTGGGCCGTGCACGGAAGGTTACGATGCGGGCGTGGATGCAGTATTTAACTGGGTCTGGAATTCTCTGGGCACTGGGACTCTTCATCCCTCTTACACACAACACTAGCCTACCACATCTTCATTCGTTTGGCCCTGGCCTGGTGCCAGTTACATCAATCAATCAATCGCTCTTGCTCCCAGTCATCATCAGGACCCTGTTTAGTCACCTTGCATTTCCTCCAGCTTCATGAGTATCATCTAGGGGAGGGGCACATTGGGTGGAGGATAATGGGGAAGAAATTGTTCGGAGTGCCATGAGATTGCTTGTGGAAGTCAGGAGGAGTCTATTATTTCAGGTTGTTGCTCTGGAACCACGAGCTCCATCAGCTTTATACATGGTCGAATACCGCTGTCATGTTTCACGTCTTGCTTCGGAGTACGGGATTTAAAGTGGCGCTCTCTGCCGCTTTTTGTTGTTGCGCCGCGGCTTACGAAGTACAGTACGGACTATACAGGATCGTGAAGAACTAAACGCTGGCATGGGAACGCCTAATTAGCCGGCGGTTATTATCGCCGAACTCGGCAAGCAAGGCCAGCTCCGCAAGGTTAGAAATCCGAGCGAGGGTTGCATTTCTCATAGTTGTCTCTAATTGTTATCGCAATGGACACATTGCACATCACGGATGCAATGTTAGATTGTTGTGGACAACCGAAGCCCTTGCAGCCCTTTTGCCCAGAGGCAATCCAAGCTTTCTCCAGCGCGGCAACATCATACAATGACTCCAGAGGCAGCAGCATCTTATACGACTCATTATTACCAGATTAGAAAATGGTTTCCACTGTTCCTGCTCCTAGCTGTGCCAGCTGCGGTACGGGGAACATGCAATGCCCCTGCTCAAGCAGAGCAATGTCCAAACAGGCCCGCGGGAAGACTCGAGGGATATAGCTCCCCGTGCTGCCCCGTCCCGGGCAGAATAGGAATCATATCCGACGAGCACGATGCCTTATTATCGTGGTCATACCCTCCCAAATGCATGACCCAAGCACCGCGGAATCACGATGCACCTCGACTTGACTGCCTATTCACCTCGGCGGATTTCCGCAACGGACACGGAACAAGCATCGTAACGGCCACCACCACGGCCTCTCACCTGATCGGCCTTGGAGTATTCGAGGATGGGCCGATGCCCGTCAGCCGTGGCTCGGTTGGCCCGGCATCATACAAAGTAATCCCCGTCCCCGGAAAGGGCATGGGCGTAGTCGCAAGACGCAGGATCCGACGGGGCGAGATCTTCATGGTCGACCTGCCGGCCCTGCTTATCAGCGTCTCGTTCTTGGGCGACACCAAACCGCACCATCGGCGCCGCGTCCTCAAGCAAGCTATCAACCAGCTGCCTGAAGCGACGCGGAGCAGAGTGTACGGGCTGTCTCGTGGAACAGCCGAGCACGAGGTGGATGCGGTTCTGGGGCCGAACTCCCACACGGTCATGGTGGGGGATGAGGAGGTACATGTTGGTTTGTTTACTGAGGTTGCGGTATGTTATGAGCTTCAAGTTCCGAAATGACCGGCAAGTGAACTTCGGGCTAAAATAACACGGGCATACTAGAGGATCAACCATTCATGCAGGCCAAAGTAAGCCCTTTTCCCCATCTCAACCTCACTATTTTCTACCGGGTAACTAACACCCAGGCAGCGCATACTACCGCTTCTCAGAGCGCCGCCTGACCATGGAAGTAGTCGCATATCACGCCATCGAGCCCGGCGACGAAATCACCCTGAGCTGTAAGCCACCACCTTCTCCCCATTCAAATGCCACTTCCCACACTTAGGTTTCTGACCTCAGCAAGACGTGCCCCTCGAAACTCCTTCCCCCGTCCGCCGCCAATACCTGAAATCCCACTGGGGCTTCGACTGCACCTGCCCGCTCTGCACCGGCCCGACGCCCGATCTGGATGAATCCGAGGCCTGGCGACAGAAGATCAAGAGCCTGCGGGAGACAATCGCGAACGCGCGGAGCGAAGGGTTCTACCACGACGCGATCGTCATGACGGAGGAGTGGCTCATGTTTGGCGAGTGGGATATGCAGCCGCCGCTCATGGCCGCGTACTACGACACGCTGGCCGATCTGTATTTCCTGAAGGGGGACATGGTCAACGCGACGCGGCATGCGCGCATGGCGGTGGATGAGTGGGTTAGGCTGGGGAGTGTGGATGATGAAGGGCTGGAGAAGGCTAGGGTGTTTCTTGGACGGTTGTTACTAGAGGCCTCGGATGGGAGACATAGACGCGGATGAGGTTCTGTCATACTTCTGTAGGCACCCGATGAGGATGCGGCGGGTCTCGCAATAGTGTACTACTAGTAAGTACTAGCTAATTTTGCCGTGATGATGAGAAGTTAACACCGATAAAAGGCCAAAGGCTAGGAATGCAGCGACCTGGCACGCCTTCTGTCAAACACCGGTCAGTCACCTCTCGCGCGCCTGATGAGCAGTTCGTGGCGTTGCTTAACGTCACTGTCAAAGTGTTTGAAACATACTTGCGGCGGCAAGGGACCCGATCTCGAGCCCCCGACTGCACACAGGATCCGGGTGAGAAGTCAGAACAATGGTGGAGAATACAAGTCTGAGGCCTAGTGTGTTGCAATCGGTGTAGTATAGTAGGTAACTTGGAAATATATAGTTCGAGAGATATGTCCTTTTTCTTCTTTCTTATCCATGATTCTCCGTTTCGAGTGTGAAGATGAAATAGAAAGTAAACTACCTAAGCACGGACCTACAAGCAAGAATATTCAGGCATGCACTATATCTATCGGAGGTGGAGCACTGATGGGGAGGCCGAGGTAGTGGCTGGTGACACGGGAGGCTGAGGTTCTATGACACGGTTCTTTCCGCTGTCGTGCGACACAAGGAAGGGTTAAGAGTGGCCAGTCCTTCGCGAAGCGTTGTTTACTTTGCTCTACTGACGACGGTGAGGTAAGAGCCCCCTAAGAATACATGCTATTGCATTGTCCCGTGTGTGTAACTGCTGCCCTGACGACAGTTCCTCCAGCAGGTTCCAACAAGAGTACGCTAACCCCTTTCCTCCATCGAAACATCGCACCTAACAGCCAGAGATGCCATGGTATGCTTTGAATAGTCTGTACAGGGTAGCAGGGAACCCATACCTTCGCAACGACGCAAACCTCCATCGCACAATGTTGTTATTCCATCGCAAACATGTGTGTGTTGGAGGATCACTCATGGGCGCCTGAGGCCCATCCTCTCAAAGTTCTTCTTCACCATCTTCTCCGCGCGCTTGGCCGCCTTCTCCAGAGGAAGGCGATGTTCGATCCGCTGCACCGTCCTCTCAATGGGAGGTGCGACGCGCTGGACGCCACGCTCGACGGGGTTCCTGAACATGGTGATGTTGCGCTCCCAGCGCGGAGCCCATTTGACGGTCTGGCGGGAGAGCCGCTCCTCTGCGCCGGGAGCCATCAGGTAGAACGGAGCGAAGCCGCTGACGCCTGCAGCGCCCATGCAGAAGACCTCAGTCCTGGTGGGAGCGGGAATGCGGATGGGCATTGCGATGGTTTGTCGATGAGAGCTTTTGGAATTGTCTGTTGACTAGTGGCTGGCTATGTCAGAGATAGCCTAGGTTAGTCGGCCGTCCGGTGTCAGGTCGACGGACTGAGAGGCAAGGAGACGCGAAAAAGCAGCTCTGTTAAGCGGAAACACGCAGGCTGACGAGCCTAGACAGAGACAAAGCCGCCAAGGACAATAATAACAAACCGAAGCTTACCACTATAGGGGCTGGAACGATGTGCCGATGGAGCTGAGATGAGAACGTGATGATTGCAAGACCCTGATGTGTACAAGGCGATGCTGATTGAGGGTGTACCGCGGTGACATCAACTGGTGCGAAGCTGATGTAGTACAAAGAGGAGGAGAAGAGGGGAAGCACACGAGGGCATGCCCTATTTGAAAGGGATGGGCGACCGACACGGACGGCGTGATGGAAGGTCGCCTCCTCCCAGCTGCCTGTCAAGTGAAAGGAGCTGCCCATGACTCTCTACCAATGACTTCATCCGGGGACCTCCCTTCCCAAGGTTCCCAGGGAGGCTGGCTGTAAGCCCAGACCACACAGACACCGGCGGTTGCCCAGTGGCAGAGCGGGGTAACAGTTGCCAGACGGCGCATTCATCCAGCACCAATGATTGCAAAGGTCAGTCCATGCTCGCATGGCTTCCGCTTGCCACAGCTTTGTTCCTCTCAATAAATCGAGATGACAACTGGAATGGCGCCACCTCTGTCACTTTGTGACGGAATGAAATCGAATAACCGTCAGTTGCAACAACAAGATTGGTCGGGTCGATAGACCACAATGGGCTGTGGGAAGTATCAAAGCCTTTAGACCATCCATATGAAAGCCGTTTTCTATACTCAATCTCATATCTTGATATTCGGCTTGCCCTAGCGGAGCTTTTGAGCTGTTGTGTTAGCGTGTAAGGCAAGGCACTGTGGACCCCCTAACGGTGAAGCTCCACAACCCCGGACTCCACCTCCGCATTCAAGGTGGAGTTGGTGGAGAGCCCGATCGAGATTTGCTTGACCCGGCCCTGCAGTCGCGACGACGTGCTGCTATGGTATGAAGAGCGAGCTTCCCAATGATATTACCCGAGAAATCGTCCAGTTTGATGGTTAAAGTCCTTGGACGCAGACTTACGGACAATTGTATCCGTCAAGCTGTGCGAAGTAGAGAAGCCCACCACGACTCATGGTCTCGTGAGACCCTCCTCGTCCGGGAAGTGGGCCTCGAAACGACTCCCTGCAGACATCCAATTACCTTGGCATTGGATTCCTGGGCCCGGGGAACAAGATCCGCGCATGGACGATTCGCACGAAGGAGGTACGTACCGACATGCGAGGCATTGAGAGGCGCTGACTCACGATGCACCAACTTGGGATCTAGCTTCATATACTTAGATTCTGTTCACAACTGAACAACCGAGGGAGGAAGCAACTGATGCACAGGCTGTTGACGGATAATCACAGGCACTTGGCTGAGTTGGCTCAGCGTAGAAATGACACGGAGACAGTCCGTGCGCAGCACGTGCCAGCTCGTCAGGCACTTCAGGACATCACCCCTAACCCTGGGCATTCTTGATGACCAGCGATAAGCGATAAGCATCCCCACCCTTGGCAAAGGCGGTCAATTTTTGCAGACGGTCCCAAGGTGTGCATCAACCCCGTTGAGGTTGTGCTCCTGTTACCAAAGACAAGCGTCGATTCCGAGCTCCACGATGCGTGTCGACAACTGCTTCTTCTGCGGGAGGCCCGCATGGCCCAGCAAGGGCATTACCTTTATGAGAAATGACGGTTCGTCGCCTCAACGCCCCTTTAACAGGCATAGAGTGTAGAGAACAGCCATAACTGACTCTTTCCTCAATCTCCAGGCAAATCCTTCCGGTTCTGCCGGTCCAAGTGCCACAAGAACTTCAAGATGAAGCGCAACCCACGCAAGCTCAAGTGGACCAAGGCGTACCGCAAGAACGCGGGCAAGGAGATGGTGGTGGACAGCACGCTGCAGTTCGCGGCGCGGCGCAACGTGCCCGTGCGCTACGACCGCGAGCTCTTCGCCAAGACGCTCAAGGCCATGGAGCGCATCAGCGAGATCCGCGCCCGCCGTGAGCGCGTCTTCTACAAGAAGCGCATGGCCGGCAAGCGCGCCCGCGAGCTCGCCGCCGCCCGCAAGCTCGTCGCCGAGAACGAGCACCTGCTACCGCGCCTGCGCGGCAGCGAGAAGCGCCGCCTGGCCGAGCTGGCGGCCGAGCGGGGCGTCGACGTCGAAGAGCTCGAGCGCGAGGAGCTGGCCAACGCGCGGGCGAGCAAGAAGAGCAAGGCGTTCGGCGGCGAGGTGCGCAGGCTGCGGGTGCGGACGGACGGAGGTGTCGAGGAGATCACCGAGTCGATGGGCGGTCGCATGGAGGAGGATATGGACGACGACGACGACGAAGACGACGACGATGGAATGGATACGGATTAAGCGATCTGTTGCTAATGGGATGTCTGGCCCTATTCTCGCGACGCTCTGCTTCCCTTGGCTCCCAAGACTGCCTCCGTGGGGTTTTGGCGGTTGTCATGCTGGGCCAAGAGCGGGTGCTGGTATCGTGCAGCACCGCCTACGGCTATGCCGAGAAGCAGATTCTCCGGAGCCTAAGGCAATGGCCCCGGTTCGAATGCAAGTCCTCGGGTCGCTGGAGCACGCTTAAGAGACACTACCGGTTGGGAAAATGGCGAATTGGCGTTGATATTACGGACGTATCACCAAATCATAGGCATGTGGTTAGGCAGGTATCTTGGTATTCCCCAGCGGCTAAATACATCGGTCTGGTCAGGCTCGCGAGCGGAGAGTTGTAATCGAGAGGCTTTGCGTGTTATGCTGTCGAGGGTGTTTTCAGATCCATCCAAACGTCTACCAAATATAGATGCGGAAAATGGCTGCAAAAAGACTGTCGATACCGACAGAGTCAAGGAACGTCGTGTACATATTATTAGATTGATTCATGTATAACGCTGATGCAGACGACCAAACATCTTCCTGCCTACCTGGTCGTCCCAGGCTCAGGCTCGCATCTCAGCGGACAGACCCACCTCCGCCTGAACATTCAGCACGCGCATCCCTCCTGCGGCTGCGGAGCCGTGGGCGTCTTGACGTCGATCATCTGGCTGGACGCCTGCGCGGCGGCGTCGGAGCCCTCCATCCCCGGCAGCGCCTGGGCTATCCTCTTGAACAGCAGCTTAACGTTGTGGCCCAGCTTGGCGCTCGTTTCGACAAACATCAGGTTGTTGCGCTTCGCCTCCTCCTCGCCCTGCTGCGTCGTCACCTCGCGCTTGTCGTTGAGATCCGTCTTGTTGCCGACTAGGACGATGATGACATCGTTCCCCCGCTCGGCGCGCACATCGTCGATCCATTTCCTTGTGTTTTGGAAACTCTTCGCGTCTGGAGATCCGGTGGGTTGGGTGTGTTAGTATGTTGCGCTAAGGGGGTTGCAGCCAGCGCACGCACTTGAAATGTCGTAGACCACCACCGCCACGCTCGAGTCCCTGATGTAGGACGGGATCAAGCTCCTAAACCTCTCCTGCCCTGCTGTGTCCCAAAGCTGTAACCGCACTGTCCTGTCCTCTAGATACATTGTCTACCAGGTTTGGTCAGCATTGGCTGCGACGGCTCCTGCGCGGATCATCGGGGCTTGCCTTGGAGAGAAAGTCGATGCCGATCGTGGCTTGATACATGTTGTCGAACGAGTCGTACATGAAGCGTGTGATGAGCGACGTCTTGCCAACTGTGTCGCATGTATGTTTAGCTAAGCCCAGTCGTTCGCCGTTGGGTGCCCGGCATACCACTCTGTTCTCCAAGAAAGACGAGTCTGTCGCCAACGTTAGCAAGCCAGAGCCACGGCGGCGCAGGTTGGAATGCAAGTACTTGAACTTCTTCAGCGGGTTGTTGTACGACCCGCCAGTTCCTGCTTGCGCCATGGTGATAGTGTGATGAGTAAGGTACGGTCGTTGCGTGTTGCCAGGGATGCGCCGGACAGAGCTTCGAGGTGATGATGGTGTGAAACGAAGACAGTCTCGGTCCCGCACGAGATTTGAACTTTTTAAAACTATGACAGAAACCGTTCTAAGTCGAGTATCCCTGTGCACTGGCTGGCGCAATATGTAAATTCGAGTAGGTATCCGTATTCCTTTGTAGACAGACCGATCGGCTTCGGTTCTGGCACCGGCAAGCGAAAGGGGCCCATGGCGCTGTTGCTGCTCTTGGCATGTCCCGGCTGCCAGCTGCCAGTGACCACGATTCCAGACGGGCCGGCGGCATCTGCTTATCTTATCGCTCCCCCTGTTGTTGAATTTTTGAGAGGTCGACCCCACCATTTGTTGCCAGGGGCCGCGCCCGGAGTTTAACTGTTGAGTGTGCAATTGTCGGAACTTCGAGAAATCAACTTGAAGCGAGCCTCGACATATCCTTCCTTCAAGATGCCAGTGCTAAGTGCCCCGTCGGGCAATCCGAATGCTCCCCAGCAATACAAACAGCCGTCCAGGAAAGGCAAGAAGGCGTGGCGCAAGAATGTCGACATTTCAGAGGTTCAGCAAGGTCTCGAGGAGCTCAACGACCAGATAATCAAGGGGTAAGCGGCGCTTAAACCCAACAAAGCCTCAGTAAACTAATGTTTCCTAGGGGAGTCATCGCTGAAAAGGACTCGTCGGAACTCTTCACCATCGATGCCGTGGGCGACGCCGAACTCACGAAGCGATTCCCGAAGCACGTCAAGAAGGGCCTGAAGGCCGACGAGATCATTGCGCAACGGTCAGCGTTGCCGGCCGTGTCCGCCCGCAAGCGACCTGGAGACAAGACGACCGACGGCATTCTTCCCGTCAAGAGGCAGCGTGCCACCTATGTCACACACAAGGAGCTGTCGAGGATAAAGAAGGTCGCCGACGGGCACCACGAATCAACAGTCGAGGTGGTGGATGCCGAGTACGACGTGTGGGCTGAGCCGAAACAGGACCCAGTCGTGGAGCAGCTCCCGTTCCTCCCCAAGCCAGAACCGCTGAAGAAGCCTAAGACGCTTGAGCAACAGCCTATCTCGTTAGCAGCCAGCGGGAAGGCGGTTCCTGCGGTACCGAAGCCCAAAGGCGGCCACAGTTACAACCCCGTCTTCAGCGACTACCAGGAGCGGCTGATCGAGGAGAGCGAGAAGGCCGTGGAAGCCGAGCGGAAGAGGATCGAGGCCCTCAAGGCGGAGCGCCAGAAGCTGGAGGCGGCGGCGCGGTCGGCAGCGGAGGCTGAGGCTGCCGAAGCACGGGCGGATCTGTCCGAGTGGGAGGATGATTCCGCTTGGGAAGGGTTTGAAAGCGCGGGCGAGGAGCTGAGCGTCAAGGCGAAGAGGCCGCGGCGGAAGACACAGGCTGAGAGGAACCGGATCAAGCGCCGGAAGGAGGAGGAGCGGAAGGCGAAGCACGAAGCCGCCATGAAGCAGAAGCAGGCGCAGGCTGAGCGCATCAAGCAGATCGCGCTCGAGGTGGCCGAACGGGAGCGGGCCATGGAACTGGCGAAGATCGAGATGAGCGATGCCAGTGAGGAGGAGGATGACAATGTGGAGTTGCGGCGGAAGCAGCTGGGCAAGTTCAAGCTCCCGGAGAAGGACCTGGAGTTGGTACTGCCGGATGAGCTGCAGGATTCCCTCAGGCTGCTCAAGCCTGAAGGCAATTTGCTCAAGGACAGGTATCGGAACATGTTAGTCCGGGGCAAGCTGGAGGCCAGGAGGAAGATTCCGTTCAGAAAGCAGGCCAAGACCAAGGTTACCGAGAAATGGACCTACAAGGACTTCACGATATGAGGAAATGGAATAGATGTTCTTGGCAGCTACTCTTGCAGACGCCAAAGTTTCTGCTACGTTCAAGTTTTTGCTTTTCGTCTCGTCCACGCCTTTGAAGGGTCATCGAGTTGTCTACTGCCTTGGGAGTCCAGTTGTTCCGTTATTCGGCTCCCCCAAAGAACTAGATTAAGAGCACTCCCGCCAGGAAGAATTGGGGTCGACAATCCAACGAGTAAGTTACAGTATGGCGGGGACCGTATCCTGGGTCACAGTCTATCCATTTAACAGACAGCGCCTAGGCTTCATTAGATCTATAATAAATCAACGCACCTATCAATCGAACACCCCTGGCGGTCAATCGTCCTGGTATCTCATCAGATCTTGCTCCTAGTAGCTCATGAGATCTACCACAATGTTAGCCAGTGTCCACGCCAGAAGAAGGTTCGGCAAAGGTCAGTAACTCACCTCTCCCAAACAAACCCCTCTTCGCCCAATCCATTGCCATTAGCACCCTCGTCCGGAAGCTCACGCTCTGCGCAAAGTAGATACTCCTCCACGCGTACACGGCCCACAGCCCGCCGGCCAACCCCTGCCCTGGCCGAGATCGAACACGGCCGAGTTGCCAACGTACGCCAGGCTCCCGAGGTGCTTATACTCGAAAGCCTTGTACACGGCGGCGTCCAGGTCGCCCTCCTGGATGTCGTTCGCCTTCAGGCCCGGCGTGGCCCGCGCGAGCTTGTTGAACTTGTGCGCCAGGTACTGCCCCTGCTGATGGGCGCGCTGCGCCGTCGCCGGCAGGCTGGTCAGCTTGCTGTCGATCTGCTTGAGCAGCTCGCGCAGCTCACTGAAGTTCAGCGTCCCCGAATGGTCGCGGTCGTACTCGGCGAAGAGCTTGTCGAGGCGCTTGAGGTGGGCCGAGGCTTGCGGGAAGCGCTTCTTTACCTGCTCGGCGACGCTGCGCCAGTCATCGAAGCGCAGCTGCAGGTTCTCTGGGTCCGAGCCGTGCTTCCAAGCCAGACTGCGCAGGAAGCTGACGATGTGGTCGGCCACGTTGTTTTGCACGGTCGCACAGTCGCCTATGGCGTATACGTCACCTAACGGTGTGCCGTTGAGGCGGAGGTGCGTGTCCGTCTCAAGCGCGTGGCGGTTGGTTTGGGAAGGACCGAGCTTCTTGGCGATGGTCTTGCAGAACTCGTTTTGCGAGACGCCTGTGGACCACAAGCAGAAGCCCATAGGCAGCTCCTTGGTGATGATCTTCCCGCCTTCGCCCTTCTGGGTGAAGATAATGGAGTCGGGCCGGACTTCGCTCACGCGCGAGTTGGTCAGGACTTCGACCTGGTCGCGCGCGAAGCGGTCCTCGGCGTACTTGGAAAGCGTCTCGTCGTACGTATTTAGAATGTGGTCGCGGCTCTGGATGAGGTGCACCGAGATCTCGTTGCGCAGGAGCTTTGGGAAGAGCTCGATCAGGTCCTCGTTGAGTAGATCGAAGAGCTCGGCCGCGAACTCGACCCCGGTCGGCCCACCACCGCTCACGACAAATGACAGTAGCCGCTTCCGCTCGTCGTCCGTTGTCGTCGGGAGGCAGGCAAGCTCAAGGTTCTGGATGATCTTGTTCCGGATATCCCGCGCGTCGTTGATGTCCTTGAGAAAATGGCAGTTCTCCAGGCCCTTCACGCCATGCGGATTGGTGACGGAGCCCACCGCAATCACTAGCTTATCGTAGGGAACATAGAACCTCTGTTCGTTGCCGTTGCAGTCTGTCTGCGAGACCTCAATCAGCCGAGAAGAGAAGTCGACGTCCTCAGCGCGGGCGCGGAGATAGTGGCCGCCCACGCCGTGTATGATTCTCCGGATGGGTTCCACCAGCGACCTCAGCCCGAGTGTCCCAACCGTCGCGGACGGCAGCATAGGCGTGAACAGGAAGTAGTTGGCGGGCGAAATGACGGTGACATGGTAATTCTCCGGGGCAAGCTCCTTCAGCAGCGAGACGCCGCCCCAGCCGCCGCCCAGAATCACTAGCCTGGGTTTATCCTTGTGCCTGCGCGCTTCCTCGCTGTCATCGTCGTCAAGGAAAATCTCCAGAATCGGGAGGTTCTTGGGCCCGCCGCGGCGGGGGTTGATCGCAAGAGCCGAGACGGCAATGTCGGTTTGACTGGCGTGCAAACGGTATGTCGACGCATCATAGAGGAAGAAGCCGACGATCCCGACACCTAGGATCACTACCGAGCCACCGAACCACGCGGCGGCACGATAGCAGAAGTTCAGAAATCTTGATCTTGTCTGTGGGAGCGGCCTTCCGGATAATTGGCGCGTGAGCACGAGTCGCGCGGGTAGAATCCGATCCACAAGTCTCGGGTTATCAAGTGCGCTCTTTCTCCGTTGCCAAGTTGGCGACGGTTTGAGTGACGTTCTGGTAAATAATGACTGGGTCTGTGTCCTGCTGCATTGAAATCTCGCCGTCGCGTTTACGCCTCGGGCCCCGAGCCGACCAATTTGTCGGGCCGCTCGATAGCCCAGCATCATCGTCGAAAGATTGGTGTTGACCTTCTGCCTTCTTCTGACGTCAACGAAGCTGCGATAATCTAAATTTCGGAAGTTCCTCCTTAGCGATTGTTCATCAAGATGCGGAAGCGAAGTGTTAGTGAAGTGGCGCAAGCATGTCCAAAGACATTGGCGTTGGGTAAGTATGAAACGAGAGTTTAAGAATACTGAAGCGAGAAGCGAGGTGTTGATGCCTCCCGTCGTAGCCGCATGGTGGTTAATAAGATGCAAGGCGTACGTCATTACCTTACCTGCACTGTAGCGAAGTGGGCCCCTACATAGGTGAGGCCCTGATCGGCCAGATTGCCCCACTACGCTACAGCATTCGGGTCCTTCACAACTTGAAGTTCGTTCATTATTTCCGGGTTCCTGCACTGTACTACTCCGTGCAGATAGTACGGAATACAGTACATACACATACACATGTACTGTATTGGATGGGCTTCTGCTGTGTTGTTACTGTCCTCGCTGTCATAGCTTTGTCTACCATCTCAGATGCCGACTCGTATGGCGGTCACTCTTCGGAAGCGCATCCTACGGAACGGATAGCTTCGAGCGACCTACAGGTGGCAATGTAGGCCCTGTCATTGGAAGCCCTCATGTGCACAGATTCAGGGGCGGAAATGTGAGATCCTGTCCCCAACATCAAACGACCACAGACACAGCGCATATACGACCACAGGAGCATCAGCACCGGACGCAGTGTGCCCTGGGGGCTCGGAATATCTTCAGGTCCTTCTGCGCACTATAGGTGGATCAACTGAGAACGCCAGGCTATGCAACCGCCGACCTACCGTGAACACTCCCAACGCCTCCGAGTGACTGACAGCCTTCTAGCACCGGAAATACCTCTTCTCCACCCATCTCTCTTCAATATCCTGCACGATCTGGCCGATTACGGCCGTGATCCCAGGGAAGACCTTCGTCAACCTATGCAGGCCTATGCGTCCGGCGCTGTATGTCACCAAGACGATCCTCTCCGCCTTGACGCCGTGGTCAATGAGCACTTGCACCGCCATCAGGGCCGACCCACCACTGCTCATCTGCGCGTCCAGGAGTAGAACCGCCTCGTGCTGGTCGATGTCCGGGGGCAGAACCAGGTAGTGTAGCTCGGGCTCGCCCGTCCGAATGTTGCTCTGGATGAGCATCCGCCCGGTTTTGCAGTCGGTTATGCATCGGTGAAGGCCCGCTTCGAGCGCCGCGCCGCCGCGGAGGACGATGACGGCGGAGACCTCGCCCTTGGGGCGCAGCCCGAGGTAGGTGAGACCTTGTGGCGTGGTGATGTCAGATGAGAGGAAGGGGATGTTGTTCAGCGCCCTGTATCCATCTATCAGTTCCCGTCAAGAAATAGAGGGCACGCGGTGGGATGGCTGCTTCGCGACGTACTGCTCGACCAATAGCGCGGCGAGGCGGTCAAAGTAAAAGATGAAGTCTTCACTCGAAGTGTCGATGTCGTGGATGATGGTGTTCATGCCGCGCATCTGTGTGGTCTGCTTCGCGACGACAACCTTAGACGAAAGCGGCTCGGACTGTGCCCCGATTTCCAGACGCGTGAGTGCTGCGCGGTGGCGTGCCGATTTCTCGAGCAGCTTCTGCTGAATAAACTGGACCACCATGGCTGCTCCGGTCAATCCCTCCCTCGCCTTACCGGGGGTCATCCGACTTACTCATTGCAACCTGGTTCTCGACTCCTCGAGGCACGATGATGTCGGCGACATTTCGTTGAGGGTTGACGTACTGCAGAAGCGCGTCAGCGTGTTGTTCCAGTTGACAGACGAGAAATGGCCTACCTTTTCAAAATTTGGCTTCACAAAGGTAAACCATTGTTTGATAATGCCGTGGATGTCGCGACCACGCTCTTTTTGGTCGCGCAGTACTTGGAGTCTGTCAGAAACTGCGATAGAAAGAAGGGACAGATATCAGATGGTTACATACTCCTTCTTGAGAGGCACGTGTCTGCATCGGCCTCGCAGAAGATCTTGGTGGCCCATTCAGCTTCCGGCACGCTGCGCGGATAGACGGGCTAAAGCTCACCTTCATGTCCATCAAGCTGAGGACTCTGGGATCGTAAAGAGCAAATATACCCTCGACGATGAGGACATGCGGCGAGTATATGGACATTGTCCGGTCCAGACGGGCATGCTTCTCAAAGGAATATACCGGGATCTCGGCACGTTTCCTACATTCAAGGGGCATGGTCAGCTTGGAGCCTTGGATTGGGCTTATCCAACATCCAAGCAGCTGCTTACCCGGCTTTAAGATCCTGCAGGCGCTCTACGAGGGCATCGAAATCTATGGCCTGAGGTAATGGTGAGCCTGGTATGTTGGACAACCCGGGGGTAGCACCTTGGGCTTACGTCTGGCGCGTCAAAGTCGTACTCGTTCCGGAACGCCTTCTTTGACGACTCCGCATCTAGGCTCTTGTAGAACGAATCCTTTTTGTGCGGTCGAGAAGAATAAGCCAGTGTGCCACCCATGCTTCGAGCTGCCTCTACACTTACGATGGACAGAATAACAACCCACGGCAGGTTGAGCTTGTTCACGATGGCTTGGGACAATGTCGACTTGCCCGAACCAGAACTACCGGCGATGCCAATGATGCTGACATCGGCCCATGGAGGTGCGTAGTGAGCCCTTGTGGCGATGGTGCTGTCTGTCTCGGGGTCTGTCGTGCCGTTGAGGAAGGCTTCCGGCTCGATGGGCACGGGTGCCGGCATGATGTGTGGGACGTTTAGGCACTTAAAAGGTAAGAGGGTACCTTAGTCGGTGTTGAGGAAGGAGGGGTAGGCGGAGGGCTTAGGTGACGATAAGTTGTAAGCCTGTAATTACTGATGGTGCGCCTGCATTTTGGGCATCCAGGAAGATATAAAGGTACCCTTACCGATGACGAATTTTAGGAAGATGCCTCTGCCCATTGCCCGGTGCCTCATCTGTATTTGCCTGACAAGCTCGAGATCTAATAAGGCAGTTAGATCTTGCCTGCCGTTTTAGGGTTATCTGAGCGTGGGGCATTCCAGGTGGGGCTTCCAGTGGATACCTGGGCCAGCCAGCTGCATAGCACGTGCCCGCCACCCGTCGCCATGACGAGGACCCGCCGCAGCTCCACGAGCTGCAGCTTTTAACTCGCTTCATTTGCGCTTTTCGTCCAACCCTCGCTTCGTCAACTTTTCTCTCCCACCCGCCGCTCAACAACCAGTGTGAGCACGCACGAAGACAGATGTGAGGCACGTGTCCCATTCTACACAAGCACATGTCCATCCGGAGCGCTGCTCTTGAGCTCGGTGGACACGATATTAATTCAACACTTCGTGACGCGGTCTTCGCCCAGCTACGCGAGAGCTTTGGCCGTATGGTACGTGCCTTGGATCTCTGTCACCGGGCTTGACGGCGACGGAAGCTAACCACCGGCGTGGCAGAACTCCTCAACGTCCACAGCAACCACCCCCCAACATGCATTCGAAAAGCAGGCCGCCGACGTGAAGGCGCCAAAGAGGTAAAACTGCTTCCCTTCCGCTCCATCCGTCAGACACGCAGCACAAATGATGATCGCATATCAATGGGAATCTCTCTGAAACTTGCATGTAGAGAAACCTTGCATTACTCGTTAATTACCCTGAATATCATATACCCTGCTCTCCTAGTTCTCGGTCCTATATCCTGAAGCTACGCTGACGCAGTATAGCGACATCAATGCTCTGATCCTGGACTATCTGACGATGGAAGGGTATCCCAAGGCTGCAGCAAAGTTCTGTAAAGAAGCAAACCTGCAGCCGCAGCAGCCCGACGATTCCATCCAGACACGGCATGCTATCCAGCATGCTATCCACAGTGGCAACATCGAGAGTGCGATCTCGGCTCTCAACGAACTTGATCCAGGTGTACGGTGATGCCCCTATTTCCCGGATTTCCGCGTTTATGATTAGAACACGAGTTTCATCATGCACCACGCATAGGCCTCTGGCCCATGATGATACACAACCACTAGCAAGCTATGAGCAGCGCATTTCTCTGCATTTTCTCACGTCTATCCCATGAGGAGAGCTCGTGCTAATCCTGCACCAGATCCTGGATACAGACCCGGAGCTGCACTTTTCGCTCCTTAGGCTGCAAATGGTCGAGCTCATCAGGAAATGCAACGGTGGCGACGTCACCCCTGCTGTGGACTTCGCGGTCGAGAAGCTGGGTCCACGGGCGGCCACTAACAAGAAGTTCCTGGTCGAGCTGGAAAAGACGATGTCCCTGCTCATCTTCCCGCACGACAGCCTGCAGCCGGAGCTGGCGGCGTTGCTGAGCTCTGACCTCCGCCGGGACACGGCGACTAAGGTCAACGAGGCGGTGCTGCTGCGAAAGAATGAGCGTAGGGAGGCGGCTATCCGGCAGCTCGTCCGCATGCGAGCGTGGGCCGAAACGTCGGCCAGGTCCAAGAACAAGGACCTACCCGATTCCATCGAGTTGGGTCTGAACGCGGACAGCATGGAGCATGGTGCCGGCCAGCACGAGCCGATGATTACGACATGAGTAGGGTATGATGAATGGTTTGACTGCTTCAATTGGCGTCTGGATGGACGGGTCCGGGAGGGTCGGCGTTAAGGCACGGCACGGCTGGATTGGCCGGGAATGGCAACGGCCAAGAATGGGATTAAGATGGTATTCGGCGTTATTGTGTGCATGGCGATTTGGTATTGTAATTGGGTGGTGTATGGATACCTCTGGTAGGCTGGCCCGAGCCTCCGGGCTGCCGTGCTTAACCCATACATCGTTGGCCTTCTCCCTCACCATGGTGCCCACTTGTGAAGTCACTCTCTGCTTCTCAACCGATTCATGGATCGACTGCCTGGCACCTATCAATACCGCTTCGTCCCAGACACGTAGGGTATGTACAAAAATCTAGAATGCCCCACCGCGCCCCTGTCCCGCCTACTTGGTCCGGATGTGCTTGAGCTTGCCGGGCGAGTAGAGGAAGTTGTTGGCATACGCCTTGGGGGTGAACTTGCGCTCATTGGGCTCCTGCACAAAGTATTCGTAGCCTTGCTTCTCTGCAAACGCAATGGCGTCCTCCTTGCTCTTGAAGTGTATGTGTGTACCCTGCATGTGGTCGGCCGACGACTGCCAGCCCATCAGCGGGTTCTCCCACCGGTGACCCTTGCCCAGCACGTCCCAGTCCATGCGCCACCGGCTGCCGACGTGGTCGCCTGATTGCGTGGCAGGTTTGGCCGGCTTGAAGATGCTGCGAATGTGCCTATGAGCGTCTGTCTGGAGCAGGGCCGGAGGGAAGGGGACGAGCTCACCGGACTGTCCTGGCTTGCAGTTCAATTGGTGCACCGGAAATGAGGCCGGCGGGCAGGACGCCTTCCTCGCTGCCGTCCTGGACGTGCTTGGGAACCGGCGTGAAGGTGCTGGATTGTGATCAGAGGCCAATCAAGTAATGCGTACCGGGGGGCAGAGCTCGTACGAGGTAGCCATGTCGATAGGAACATTGTAGTCTGGCGCATTCCGAGGCAAGGTAGCCATTGGTGAGGTCTCCTTTTTCTCCTTCTCCGTCGCGTTCGCTGGGACCTTCGCCGGGACCTTCCCGTCGGCCATTGCACTCTCGTAACGCCGCGTGGCAGGGAGGACGGCGCGGGCATGCGGCGCACTGCGCAACAGGCGCGCTGCCGAGGCCGTTGTTCGTAACGAGGACATGGTTGATGACCCTCTCTTCGGTCGCTTGGGCGGGAGGATAGTCGTCGGTTCTGAACTTGGCCTTAATGAGGCGTTTCAATTCGGCGCTGTGACGGCTTCCTCGAGCTGCGAGCCCCACTGCGCACCTCTGATTGGTCAGCCGGGAACAACCGCGCGCAACAACATTCTTGCCGACGAGGGACCTGCGTTTTCCGGCTCCATCTTTATTAACAGCTCAAATCCGCCGCAACGACAACACCCAATTGAACCGGACCGGCGCATCGAGCAGCTAGGCTTCTGTCTGCGTGGTCTGTCCCTTGGTCGAATTCTCCTGAGAATTACGGTTGCGCGCGACGCATTTCGCCAACATGAGCTACGTCACACGCCGGGCGCTTTCGACGCTCATCCCGCCCAAGGTACGCCGTCGTCTGCGAGTTGCAACGGCTAGAATGGTTACTGACTGATGTTCTTAGATTGCCTCCCCCAAGGTATGAACTTGCAATCGAATTACTCCCGACGTAGTCATCCCGAGCCGTCCCGGGCTGGCGAGGATGTGGTTGCAGCTTCACCTGTTAACTGACGAGGAGAAACACCTTACATCGTGCACAAGAAGGGCTAGGAATGGGAGAGTGGGGCTTTGAAGGGCTAGTGGCTAACAGAGGGAATACAGGCGGTTGGCGGTGCTCCTGACGCTGCCCGCATGCAGCGACTCGTCAACTTCTACGAGAAGCTTCCCCGTGGCCCAGCTCCCGAGCCCGAAGCCAAGGGCATTCTCGGCAGGTACCAGGCCAAGCATTTTGGCAAGAATCCAACGGTGAAGCGTATGTGGCCAATGTCTATCAGAGCTGCAATGGAGGAGCCATTGGGGGGGGGGGCATTTGCTGACTTTGAGCCAGCTGTTATTCACGCCATCGTTGGCCTCCTCATTATCGGCTACGCCCAAAACTACTACTTCCACCTCCGTAAGTCTTGAATTGTAGAACGGCATGTAGAAACAATAGCCTTGCTGACCAGCTCTAGGCCACCACAAGAACAACGCCCACTGAACTAGGGGCGGAAGGGCGTTTCGAACCGACTATGGCCGGCACGTGTACATGAGCTGTTATCAATAGACTTGGTGCCTATCACGCACTGTAACAGATCTCCTTTGTTCACTCACCCGAGTTCGGCCACGAGTGCTTGTTGTGCCAGAAGTCTAGTTGATCTTGGGCCTGGTGTCTTGTCCCTTGAGTTCGAGTGATGCCGGACTGAGTAAGCATTGTCTGTCCCACCCACAGACATTACTCTTCTTCTCGGTGTTATCAATAGGGTAAGGGATTCTTTACCTCAACAACTTAAGCCCCATATAATGACGAGAGATGAAATCCTCTCGTCCGAAGTGTTGGCAGGGCCTGGCAAGTCGAACATTGTCCGTCCGGTCTCTGATGTAGCCAACCTGGGCATTGATTCCACGCGGCCCATGAGCCGAGCCTCACCTCAGGCGGAGAATTGGCATTGTTTTGCGAAGATGTAAAGGCAATTGGCCGCCCATTGTTCATCGCCTTCTAACACATTTTGCCCATAGTACCTTATTGATTGCGGGATGCTGTAAATTACAATACTTAAAGGTCCATACAAGCCCGAAAGTTACAGCCCACGACCAGACTGGTGCAGTTTCATTCAGTGACGGAAGAGCTCTCCAATTTTGACACTAAACCCAAAACAGCACATACCAAGCAAGCACTGCCAACCACATCCATCTGTCCCGACTCGGAGTCGTCAGTCGGCGAAAAGAACGACAGCCAGCCGCATCGCCTCAGAGCGCACTTCCTCCAACCTACCACCTCGATTTCTGGACCGCCCGTCCCTTCCCTTTCCTTTCAACACCACGAAAAGCAAACCAGAGGCATCGCGAACCTCGGTGCGCATAACAGATTGTAGCAGAAGGAAGTACGTATAACATAACGTTAGATTTCGCAACGTTGCAGATCAAAGACTGCGCCTGATTTCGATATTCTACCCTGGCGCACCCGGCCACATCCGCCGCTTTGTTTTTCCTCCTGCCTCTTAGCAATTGCAGCTGACCTAAAGTTGCTATTCTTGCGCTAGATACGATCAGTTTTATTCCTCGATAGCTGGGACTGGTGGATGCGCGATCGTTCAACCATCGCCCCTCGACCAGACACGTCGACAATTGTAGGATGGCCACTGAGTCACCCAAGCAACAAGGATCCGATGAAGCTACTCTGACTTCTGCCCCCGAGCCCGTAAGCATCTTACCTCAACCCCTGCCTGGCCAGTTGCATGCGTTGCCGCTGACCCGACGTGCCCCGCGCTGTCCGCAGACCGTCACGCTCGACACCGACTCGCAAAATGTCGACCTCAACCGACCGCATATAAACGACGATGCACAAGCTTCTGCCGCGGACGAGTTTGAGAACAAGCACATTTCCGACGTCGTGGACGATCTAGTGAACTCGACAGAGGTTAGCATTAGTGGAGGATCCGACAACGAGGCCGCTAGATCCGATGCTTCCAAAGGGAAGGACCACGCGAAAGGTCACGGTCGCGCCGCGTCGGGGGTGAAGAAGCTTGCATCCTTCAAGGCGGTCAAGGTCAACAAGACCTTCCTCAATGCCAAGGGCTCTGCTCCTAGCGCCGAGTCCAAGGCCGAAAAGGCGCCCCCAACCGTCAGCGCGGCAGCCGCCCCTACCGGACCCCCGACCGGAACCAGACCTAGGCTAGTTGCCAAAACCGGTAGTGGCCTGATTACGAGGTCGTCCGGGGCGAACGGAGGCAAGACTGGCTCAGCTCCCGATGCGAGTGCCGTCTGGAACAAGAATCGACGTGAGCAAAGAGCCTCTGCAACGAAGCAAATAGACTACTAACGCGCAACGCAGCGGCTCCTCCTCCAGAGCCAAAGACGTACACGGATGAAGAGCTCAAGAAGTATGGAATTCACATGGCGACGCGACTTCATCCTGATGATACCAAGGGCCAGTCCAACTGGGCCGATATTGAAGACGATGACGAAGACTGGGCGCCAGACACGATCACCTGGAAGGACGGGACAAAGATTGCGATCACGCATACCGAGGACCAGCCGGCACCGCCTCCTGAACCAGCCTCCCGCCCTACCGCAAAGGAACCCCTGGGTGCGGACAGGGCTAAGCCGCCTGCAGCTGGCACCTCGCCATCTGTCAAACCCGGTGTTTTGGCATCTGGAAAGGGACTTGTGCTGAAAGGCGCGCAAGAGAAGCCAACCTTGGTGGCAAAGCCGCCCGCCCCGCCGACCCCGGCAAAGTCGCCGTGGGCACCATTGCCGAAAATCGAAAAGGCGTCTCCAATTGCAGTGGAGGCGCCAACCCATGCAGGACCGAAGTTTCCACCAAAGGAGACGCCGGTGCAGCACGCCAACACCCCACAGCCCCCGAAAGAGATTGCCGCAGACGACTTCAGTCGAGGGCCCTGGCGGGATGGTTCCACGGGAGGCAGTAGAGAACTGTTCAACTCGCAGTCCGGGCGTTACGAGCCGGTTCCTGACCGGCGGGGCCCCCTGCGCCAAGAGCGCCAGGCGCCTCTGTTGCAACGACCGTCGCACCATGAACAGCACGCACCGATAGAACCGCCTGGTGCGCTCCAAGCGGGGAGAAACAACGAGCAGGGTCCTTGGGAGCGCCGACGCGGGTCTTCGAACGTTAGTGGCGGAAGCGGTAGTTGGCAACGATTCAGGACCATGGAACACCCTCCTCCGCCTGCCGAGCTCATCAATGCTCGGCGTGCATCCATGACTGGGGGAAGTGATGGCCGTGCTTCCCCCAGGAATTTCTCGCCGTCTGGTCTCCAAGGTGGGCCGCGCCACGGCCAGCAATGGCAGCACAGAGCGTCTCCTGGCACTACTCACGCTGTGCTTCACCATCCGGGCGGTCCAGCGCCTGACGGGCGAGGCATGCCGCCTCCGGTTCAACAGCCGGCGGTTGTTCCGGTCACAGAAGAGGACTATGAGCTGCAGAAGAGGCTCATGCGGGAGCGCCGGGAGCTCGCCATGCGGCGTCGGCAGGAGGAGGAGGCAAGGGAAGAAGCAGCACGGAAGGAGAGAATTCGCCTGAAGCTGGAGGCGTTGGGCCCCGCCCCCGAGTCGAAAAGTGCCAAAGCAGCAAAAGAACAGAGCCCGATTCCAACTCAGATCCAAACACGGGACAATACTGGCCCCCAGAAACAAGGAGCAGCTGAGTCGCAAGCCGCGGGGAAAGATGTACCCGCGCCAGCCGTCCCTGAATCTGTCACGCACCCTACTCCGCATGCTGACGAACCACGCCACCCCATTCCCCAACCGGATGGTGTCGAGGCTCGTCCGCAACCGCACGGAAGCAGCCATGGCCACTCTTGGGCACCGACGGCGAGGCAAGCTGATCGGCATCCAGTCGTTTCGTGGGGGCACCAGCCTTCTACGAAGAATGTATGGGGTGCCCCCAATAACAACCGCACTCTGGGCAACGGCACCTTTGTGACAGACCTTGGGACAGCACCGATCACCCAGCCGCCCAGTCAGTCTGGACCTGGCCCCATCGCGCCACCTAGTAGCGCTCGCGCGGCTTCAGCGTCTCAGGCGACGGTGCCCGAACCCGCCCCGAGGCAGCCGCCAATCGGTCCTCCGAGGCAGGCCCAGGCGTCTAGAGGGGCGGGCGACCGTGAGATGAAGGACAATCCTTGGGCCGCTGCTGTTCGTCTCAATGACGACAAATTCTCGGAGATGCTCAACGCTCAATATAATGAGCGGGATCGCCGGTTGCAAGCTGAAGGTCGCTCTTTAAAGGATATCCAGCCAGCCATCAGAGATACCTGGCGCCCAGTGAAACTTGACGAGAGCGGCGTACGCAAGGAGGTAGCTTCGAAACACACTCTCCACATTGGCCAGGAAAACCCGTGGGCTGCAAACGAATCGAAGTCCGCGGTATTGCAGCATGCACCACCTGCACCTAGTGGTACGCCGTCCGAGTATGGCCAGCTCCCCGCGACCACCTTGGCTACTCGCGATATGACATCAACATCGGTACTGGGCGCTAGGGGCTCACGTTTCTTCCCCTCTCGGGAGGCCCGTCAAGACACGAATCGCGACATACGCCAGGAAGCGAGCACGGAGACGTTGCGACACGAGTCACCGTCTCCTCCTCCTCCGGATATGCCGGGTCATCCGGCTTTCGATGGTGATGTTACTCACCCACACGTCTCTTTGCCCCGACCGCAGCCGGTTGTGCGGCTTCCTCCGTCCGCGGCCAACGAACCTCAGGCAAGCGGCCCAGGGGCCAACAACGCGCGGTTTGGCCAACCCAAGTCTCCGAGACCGAGCTTCTCTTGGGCGGCCCAGGCGGCATACAAAGGCCCGGACAATGCCTCACGCGCTCCCGTCCAGAAGCCGGAGAACGCATGGCAGACCAGGATCGACAACCTATTGGGCGGGCGGAAGGTGCATGCACCGCCCAAACCGACACCAGCCGATGCCGGCAACCGGGTCCCCAATCCATCATCTGGCCACTTTACTCATTCTGATGCAGAGGGGTCGGTTACCACGAAAGGGATGGCGGAGGAGTGCTTTGAGGAGCAGGAAATGGGCTCTGTCCCGCCCATTCGCCTCCCCAAGACAGTACCGGAAATGGCATGGCAACCCAGCCCGGCCCCGAAGCCGCCCCATAAGAGGCTGCAGCCGATAGTGTCAAGCGCGGACTCTATCACGTTTAACCCGGACATATCCGGCGCGGGACAAGTATGGCGTATCCGCCTTCCGGGCCAGGAGAGTAGCAAGGCCCTTGTCATGCCATTTGGCCGGACGCGCAGCAATCCGCGTCGCGGAGGCCAGCGCGGCGGTCGGCACTCCACGGCCGGGCCACATCGACAAGGCAAAGGTCGAGACCCGGCTTCATACCCGGCAGAGCAGAGCGGCAACGCTTCCGGGGTCAATGCTCCGCACGGCAAGCACCACCGGGGTGGCTACCGTGGGCGCGATAACTGGTCGCGAAGCGCGTCCACGCACATACAAACCTAAGCGATTCGGACTCTTGTCTAGATGGTCTTGGGCACACCCAAGGTCGTCAATCCTTCGACGGCGTGTCTTGCGGCCGGTAATGGCTGCTGTTGGTGGCCCGCCTGGAAGAGCCAGTGACTCTATATTTTCGTGCTGCTATCTGAGGAGCAGCAGCATTGTACTAGTTTCGATTGTTTCGCGATTCGTTTTCCCGCGGCTACATGGCTGCATCTACGGTCTAGGCCGCTTGCTTCTGAGCGGGACCCTGGACTGTGTTATCGGTGTCGGGGAGGAAGATACTGGAGGCCTGCGATGATGGGGGCATGACTCTCCATTCTCCTGCAGCGCCGTTGCACGGTCTGGGAAGAGCCAGTCAGACCTAGCAAAACTACCTACGCATTTCTGCAGTCGTGGGCAAGAGATGGTGGAAGCCGGGGTGAAGAATGAAGGGTACATCCAGTGTGTTTCGTCTGGCTCGTCTGAGGATAGAAGGATGGACCAATGACACTCTCCACATACTTATGGCGAATGGATGGATGCTGCGGCGGGTGAATGGGTCGTCCGTCCCGCCAACATGGTACAGGATGGGGCGATGGTGACGACGAGATGAGATGAGATGAGATGGGGTGAGGGGGAACATGCCCGGATAGGCAGTGCAGCTCGTGCAGTTCACAGTTTAGTGGCTCTACAGTCTCTCAGACAAAAACATCGAATATGTGTGTTGTTGTGGCTTCCTACTTTCGTGACTGTCTCTGTTTCAAGGCTGCGACGGAAAGCGGAGAGGGGTGGGTTGGGTCGCGGTATTTAGGTGCAGGTAGCCCTTGTCTGTCGTGACTTGGATTCATCATTTAACCCAATCTGTGATGTCGTACCCAATGGAGCTCTTTTTGGTGCCTCATCTGTGTGTGAGTTTTGGGTAGGTGGCGAGACGGGCCTGCTTTGTGAGGCATCCTTGTTGTTGCTGTTCCTGAGTGAAGTTGCCCGCTAGACACGTTGCCCCCGCCATCTTTGTGTCTCCGCGCATCTCCAAGTCCAACTTGCTGATGTCATTTTACCACTCGGTGCATGACTACTAGTAGTACTGCCCTTCAACACACACCACAACTCCAGGTTCGACAGAAGGCTTCAGGACCCGGAGCAGATGATAAGGCCTGTCCAAGGATTAAGGCACTGGTATTCTCTCAAACAGGTCTCACGACCCGGTCACTTATTCCTCAGCTGGTGCCGACCGTTTTCCTCCGCCTCGCTTCTCCTCTCACCCCGGATCCCCATCATGGCGGACCCAATCCTGAAGGGTGAAAATAACAACACCAAAGCCGAAGAAGACCTCAACGATGGCAGCCCCAAGAAATTGATCAACCTCCTCCGCGGGTGGCCCTCCCCTCAGCTCCATCCCGCGGCCCAGCTCCAGGCGGCAGCCTGCCGCGCCCTCTCGGACCCGTCCATCGCCGTTCCCGCGCTGCAGTATGCGCCCGACCCGGGGTACCAGCCGCTGAGGGAAGAGTTGGCACGGTGGCTGAGCATGCACTACAACCACTACCCTGGGCCGCCCATCGACGCAGATCAGATCGCCATCACCGGCGGCGCGAGCCAGGGCCTGGCCTGTGTGCTGCAGTCGTTTACCGACCCTGGCTATACGCGGGCCGTGTGGGTCAACGCGCCGTGCTACCATCTCGTGTGTCCCATCTTTGAGGATGCCGGGTTTGCGCGGCGGCTGCGGGCGGTGCCAGAGGATGAGGCGGGGATTGATGTCGCGTGGTTGGAGAGGGCGTTGCGGGAGGAGGAGGGGGAGAAGAAGACGAAGAAAGGCGGAGAGGTAGAGCTACTTTTTTTCTTCCGTTGTCCCGGCTTTTTTCATCGTCTTGCAAGGGTAGGGTAGGGAGCAGGAGGGAAGGACTAACTACTAACCTAGTTTGATAGGACCACCTCTTCAAGTCCCCGGCGCCTCACCGCAAACTCTACCGCCACGTCATCTACCTCGTCGCCACGTGCGCCAACCCCTCCGGCAAGACGCTCCCCCTCGCCCCCCGGGAAGCCCTCGTCCGCATGGCACGGGAACACAACGCGCTCATAATAAGCGACGACGTCTACGACTTCCTCCAGTGGCCCGTCGTCACCACTACCGCCATCACCATCACCACCACCACCCCGTCCATCCCTCCCGCATGCCTCCCACACACATCCCCCGTACCGGACTTACTCCCTCTCCTGTCCCAACTCGACCTCGCGCTCGGACCCTCCCCACACGACCCGCCCGGCGGGAAGAAGCACTTCTCCCACGCCATCTCGAACGGCTCCTTCAGCAAGCTGGTCGGGCCCGGGGTGCGCACGGGTTGGATCCACGGCACGGCCGACTTCGCGCACGGCTTCTCGCAGACGGGCTCCAACCGCAGCGGCGGCGCCGCCAGCCAGTTCGCGGCCGTCTGCATGCACCAGATGCTGGCGGTGGGCGACCTGCAGCGGCATCTGGAGCTGGTCGTCCGGCCCGCGCTGCGCAGGAGGCATGCGTTGATGGTGACGGAGGTGAGGCATGTCTTGGGCGGGTTGGGGGTTGATGTCTGGGCGGCGAATACTAGCTGCGGCAGCAGCAGAAGCAGATTGGGTGCTGGCGGTGCGGAAGGGGAAGGGGAAAGGAAAGGGGAAAGGGAAAGGAGGGAGGATGGAGTGGACGGAGTGGACGTGTTTGGCGGGTATTTTGTCTGGCTGACGCTGCCGGAGCAGTTGGATGCCGCGGCCGTGGCGGAGCGCGCGAGGGAAGAGGAGAATCTGATTGTTGCGCCGGGGAGTATATTTGAGGTGAAAGGGGATGAGGAGGCGGCTCGGTTTCCGAGGAACATTCGGCTGTGCTTTTCGTGGGAGGACGAGAAGGATATTCTTGAGGGCGTGGCGCGGCTGGGGCGGGTGGTGAAGAGGATGCTTGAGGGCGCGAGCTTCCAGCCATGCAGGAAGGCAGCGGTTGAAGGGAGTATAGGGGAGTTCAAGTGACGAGAAGCAACTGGTGGGAAGGGGAACGGGAGCATAAGCTGTTCTCTGGTTATTTGAATCCGCCAATGGCTCGTGGAGACGAACTAGACTATCTCGCTACCGGGGCCTAGTATCCGCAGCCCCGTTCTGTACATGTACGACAGGAATTTAGCTCCGTCGTGCCGCGGCCCGGGAGTTGGCAACACCCATTCCCACACATCCCGCAAAGTAGGGCCCTTCGCGAGCTTCCACATCTGGCCTCCGAGGTCTCAAGAAGTGTTTCGTCCGGTGCCGCAAGTCTCCTCCCTTCCCGCACTGACTATTCCGAGCTTGGTGCTTCAGGGAAACTCCTCGCCAGTCCGGCGGCTCCGGGTTCCTCATCGGCACGGCGCTGATCATGGAATACGCCCCTCCCCCGCAAGCATGTGACCCAACATGGGTCCGCGGGCGGTCTAGAGTCAACCAGCTAGGGTAGGATGCTGCTCAGCAGTATCACCAAGCTCTCTTTCACTTCTCCTTCGGTGCGGGAGCAGCATATGAGTGGATCTAGTAAGTCCCATCAGTCAACAAGTCGCAGGTGTATCACCTACACTCAACAGCCAAAGCTATACGGTACCTTCTCCGCGAGTGCCACCCACTCCTCCACGCCCCTCATGTACGGGTCAGCAGAGGCATCCACGGCGGCTTCATGGGCCCAGACTACTATTTCGTCGAACTCGGCCTGCACCTGCAGACTCGCCTGAGGCGTCTCCGCTTCCAGGTCGATAACGTCAGCTTCCTCGGGCCGTCTGGACGGTTCCTCGGCCGCAGACGTGGCTGCCACAACACCTCGGCACCCGTCGGGAAGCTTCACGGTCCTGCCTTGGAGCTTGCGGCCGCGGAAGTAAGCTGTGCTGATGCCGTCTGAAGAAAGGAAAGGAGCAGCAAGTCTTGTCAGTTGGTGGCCAGTAGAGATATAGCCTAGGGAGCAGAAAAGAAAGAATTACCCTCGCCGGTCTTGGGGTCCCAGAAAGACTGGGTTGGCTCCACAGAACCGTTGTAATGCACGCGGCAGGGGAGCAGATGCGGCTTTGCCTTGGGGATTTCCCCACATAGAGTCTCCGGCTTCAGACAAAGCATTGGCTGCGACATGGTCAAGGAAGCTTCTTTGAAGTGGTGAAAGTGCTGAAATTTCTCTTGACAGTGAGCGATCGAGGTTGTGGGTAAAGGGATCACTCTTGAGGAGCCGCTTGGAGACGCGTGATATGGAATTAAGTTTAAGTGGAACGCGGGTTGACGCGATCGGACAAGGGTGTTAGTGCCGGATGGGTCCGGGCATCTACTGTAGCTATGGGTCCCGGCTATATCCGCTTTCGAACTAACATCTGTCCATCACTCACCACAAATACCTGGGATAGATGGAATGGGTTTATGGATGTCCAAGTTACCAACTCATGTAGCCCATTTCACAGGAAGGCAATTAATTCATACTTGTTCTGCAATGTCACAGCATGGTGGCTCTCGAATCTGAGGTTCCGCTCTGAGGTTGGGTAGGTACCTTAGGTATTAGTTGCAAGCTCCCCGTCCTTGTTGGCAAAACATTTTGTAGGGCAAAGCTCGGGGATGGATTCCTGATCAATTTATTACTCTTGTTAAAGACGAGGCCACATCCAGCGGAGGGCTTAGCTTGAGCAGCAACCCTCTCATAGACGCCATTATACTAACCAGGTACATCGATTACACATGATCTATCTACCGTACCCATGTTATCTACAAAGGATGGTTTTCTTACTGACTTTGTAGGAACAGGCGGTTAGACATTCCCCATTTGGCTTATTAAATACGTATAGCACCTACCGGAGGTTGGTGAGCGCGCCCTGGGCGTTAACCAGGGGAATAACGACTTTGGATTGTCTGGCCTTGTTTTGATCCCAGGGGGTATGCCCAACACTATCGTGCCCGCAGCATGGCGACGAGTACCCTGCCCTCCCGGGTGGAAGAAACAAACGGGAGGATTCATTGCCGTGGAATGTACTCAGACCTATATGATTCTCTCCCTCTCTGGTAGTCTTGCTGGGTATCCGTCTCTTACGCACCACCGCCCAAATTCTGCCACTGAAATTCCTCCTGTTTGAGCTTGAGATCGCCGTAGCTTCTATTCAGATTTCCGGTTTTACGATGCCGCCCTTGCTTTGATCGGGACCCCTGGCCAATCTGCCCTTCAACAAACCTGTAAGTTAGGTATGTCCGGAACCATGGAACCGTTCTTCAAACAACTGACCGTAGCGGCATTATGTGTGTCTTAGTTTGATTCTGAAGCTAAACGGATCTTTCCCTGGTTACTCACATCACTCTCTAACTCAACCTAACCTCACTCTAAGACCATCTCTCTACCTTAGCCCAGTCCATCCATCCACGAATACGACGAAGAAGGACAGCTGCACGTCTTCGCCGCGTTAGTCCCTCTCAACGAGAATATTCTAGAGGGACCAAGGAAGCCCAAAAGCGAATGGCCCCGCCTTGGTGAAGCGGCGGTTTAGAGAGCACACGTCCAATCCTCGAGAGCTGAGCCTGACGTGAAGAGCGGCACGTTTTGGTTGCGCCCTTTCTTCGCTGACTTGGAGCTTCACCGAGTCGTACATGCTTGGCGAGGCGGAGTGCGCTGACCTGACGGCTTTCTTCCGCTAATTTATTCGAAACAGGACCACGTCGCTAACGGCGTGACCTTATCCTCTACGATGTCGAGGAAGGTCTCTAGACTAATGAGGTCAACGAATATTCTCTCAGTCTCGAACTCGATATTGATTGCTGAATGCCTCGCGGCATTGCAAGCTCAGCAATGACATGTTTGCTACCTTCCCGTAGCTCGATATGACCTACTCGTACCCAATTTGGCCGTCAGTGGGGCGTCGTGATATGCGCGAGTCGCTTGAAGAGACGCAGACAGAGCTTCATTGAGGGGGCCAAGATCAGGTCACCGGATCACCTCCTAAGAGATCGGCACCGGTTTGGAGTCCTTTACCATCGATGTCGTCGGGAAAGCCGGCCGCCGCATCACGACACCAACATTGTTTAAGGAACAGAAGTCGTGGGCGTGAAGACGCATCGCTGCCCAGGGGTCGTCTGAGCAAGTCAAGGTAAGGTTGATGGACTACCGCAAGCTTCCGATCCCTGAGGAGCCGTACGACAAGAATGTTTCCATTGAAATGATTGAGGCCATCAGGAAGGAGTTCCTCGGCAAGTAATTTCCTCGCATCAATGAGCTGCTGAAGCGCGATGACGGTATTGCGATGTTCCAGTGTAACACTACGCACGAGAGCCGATACGAGGCCTATTAGGAGAGCGAGGAGCAAGTGCAAGATCGTTTCACGTTGAAGAGATAGACCAGACTGACAAATCTTCTAGATTCACTAACCGCCACATCCTCCCAGTTGTCTATCTCCCGTGTATTACGCTGTTACTGAACCATACCACGACTGAGTCTCATGGCACCCTCATTGTGGAGAAGGTCGGAAACATCGGCAGCAAACTAGGTCAGAACATTGCGGCTGTGGAGGGAGCGCTTCCTCGCGAACTTTAACAGGAAGACCCGACCGTTTCTTATGAGACAGCGCCCGGACTGGACGGAAGAGAAGGCTGAGGTCTCGGAGAATATGGAAGGCAGGTTGACCTGGCTCCCAACCCCCTACCCCATGAACATCGCTGACCTAAGTCCAGTACTACTTCACATGTTGCGAAGCTGACTTCTTAACCACGCCCCTGGGAGACGTAATCATCACGGTTGGTCGGGAGGGCGCCACGGAGCTGATCGAGGGTATTCGGCTGTTACGGAATTGGCATGACCTTTGCCGTACGTCTTTCTCCTTCCGGGTGGTCTGCGGTCATCGAGATAAATCCCTCCTAAGAGGGTAGAGGAACTGGGTACAATGGGTATCTTACGCAGCATAGCATAGTCCTTGGCGCTAAATTCAACGTTTCTTCGTCTTCTTCCCTTTGGCCTTCTTCGGCTTCTCGTCCGGGTATCGATTCGCGTGCTCCATGTCGAATGCCGGCTTGTGCTTCCTGAACAGCAGCATCGCAACCCGCGCATCCTCTATGCTCGAGTGCTGCCCGGTCTGGATCTCGACTCCCAATAGCTCTCTCGCTAACACCCGCAGCGCAGGCTTCGGTCCGTGCCCGAACTTCCTGAACCCGGAAAACTTTGCCGTATCGCGAATCATCTTACTGGGACGATCCAGCTCCAGCACCCTTAGGTCGTGCTTGACATCGTGTCCCACGATGATCCGTCCCTTCATGAGCTCGGCGATCTGGCCCTGCACCTCGTCGAACGTCCTGGCCTTCGCCATGTGCTTGGGCGCCACGCCGCTGACATGCGTCCGCCAGTCCACCACCCTCTCCCGCGGCTTCACGTACGAGTCGTAGACCTGGCGCCCGTGGAAGTCAACCACGCTCACCCGCGCTAGCGCGTCGTCGTGCCCACCCTCACCCACACCCACCATCTCGCAGTCGATGCCCAGGTACTTGCCTAGTTCGAGGTTGGGTGCCAAGCCTTCGTTGGGACGGGCTGCGTTGTCCTTGGAGAGCAGGGAGCTGGAATGCAACCCAAGTCCGTAGGCTTCGGCGATGGACTCCGGCGAGATGTCGTTGTCTGCTGCCCAGAGGGCCAAGGAGGGCGCCACGCCGTGTTTGGGCGGCACAGGGTCGATTTTGGACGATTGGGTGTTGCCCATGAGGGGTTTGTCTTTTGAGTTGGGAGGCTTTGAAGGTGGTTTAGGCGCTGATGTTGGAGACTTGGTTGGTTTTGCTTTCTGATCGTGCTGGTGTTTCTGTTTCTTCTTCAGTCCCTCCCGGTGACCGAGTGCACTGTCGTCTGCTTTTCTTTTCACTGCTGGCTTCGAGGCCGACTCGGCCTTGATCTTGGCTTGCAGCTTCTTCCAGTTGGATGAGAGTTCAGTAGCCATGGCTGGCTTAGTTCCCGGGTTCCCTTGTGAGAATCTGCATCGTTTTGTGGTAGCGAATGACTGAGCACATAAGAGGTGACATTCGTTTCCTTTTTGCGGCTCAGGAACTTCATGTGAGAGTGGAGCGAAAGTAGCAAGTGGGGCTAGCGTGCCAACAGCCATCAAGGTTCCGGGCTCCACCCTTTCAAGAGCGATCCCAGCGACGGAAGTTTGAACCGAACATTGCCCCTCGGAGTGTAGCCAGACAGCTCAATTCATCAATACCGCCTCGCTGCCATCAAACCACATCATGACGTCAAACGGCACAAACGGAGGAGCCGAGGTTGGGTCAGGGGAGGAAAGGCGTAAGGGCAAGGCGACACCCGATACCCTTAAGTAGGTCAGAAAAATCCGGGTGCAGACTTCGTAGAAGCCGTCCCATGCTGACATGACGCCAGGGTGGGCTGCATCGCTATCGTTACGAAAGACGGGCATCCTCGACGCGCCGAAATCCTCAGCATCAAGGAAACAAAGAGCGGCAAGCAGTTCTACTGCAACTTCGACAACTTCAACAAGCGGTTAGATGAGTGGGTTCCAGTCTCGAGAATCGACTTCGATCAGGACGTTGAGTGGCCCAACCCGGACAAGGACAAGCAGAAAGACGCCAAGAATAAGAAGTCGACGGTGTCGAAGAAGTCGCAGCCACCCAAGAAGGCACAGAAGAGGGTCGGCAAGCGGGAGGAGTCCGTCGCGTCCGAAGGCCAGACACCGCACCCCTGGACCGAGTTCGTCGAATCCCAGAACAAAGCAGATGGGGAGGACAGAGCAAATGCGAGCTTGGAGGTCGGGGCGACGCCCACGGTCGGGCCGGACGAGATGGAACTGGACGAGGACGAGACGCCGGCCAGCGCTGCGAAGAAGGAGCACTTGCAACCGTTCAGCCGAGAACAGGAAATCGAGAAGCTGCGGACGTCAGGCTCCATGACACAGAACCCGGCCGAGATATCGCGCATCCGTAATATATCGAAGGTGGAATTTGGCAGGCACGTCCTCTTCCCCTGGTACTTCTCTCCATACCCGGAGGTCTTCAGCCAGGAGGACTGCATCTACATCTGCGAGTTCTGTCTGAGCTACTACGGCGACCTCAAGGCGTTCACACGGCATCGCATGAAGTGCACGCTGCAACACCCGCCAGGGAACGAGATCTACCGCGACGACTTCATATCCTTCTTCGAGATCGATGGCAGGCGACAGCGGACATGGTGTCGCAACCTGTGTCTCCTTTCCAAAATGTTCCTCGACCACAAGACCCTATACTATGATGTGGACCCGTTCCTCTTCTATGTCATGACCACGAGGGACGACAGGGGATGCCATATGATCGGCTACTTTTCGAAGGAAAAGGAGAGCGCGGATGGGTACAACGTCGCGTGTATTTTAACGATGCCGCAGTACCAGAGGAAAGGATACGGACGGCTGTTGATTCAGTTCTCGTACGAGCTCTCCAAGATTGAGGGCAAGCTGGGGTCGCCCGAGAAGCCGCTCTCGGATCTGGGCCTCTTGAGTTACCGGCAGTACTGGTCGGAAAACATCATCGACCTGTTGCTTGGATATAGCGAGCGCGAGGAGAAGTGCACGATCGAAGGCATCGCGTCGGCGCTCGCCATGACGACGCAAGATGTTGAGCACACGCTGCAAGCGCTCAAGATGCAGATCTACCACAAGGGCGAGCACAAGATTGTGATTCCCGAGAAGCTTGTGCAGCAGCGGGAGAGGTCCAGGGCCAAGCAGAAACGGGTCATCAACCCAGACCAGATTCAGTGGAAACCGCCAGTCTTCACGGCGGCTAGCAGGACGTGGGCATGGTAGTTTGTAGGGGAAAGAGGACAGCGTCGGGATAGCCACGGGAGCTAGGACGACTGACTACCTACCTATTGTGCACTGTATACTAATATATACGACTCAGCCGGATTTGATTCATCTAGCTCCTCTGTATACTGCACAGATGGCCTTCGGAGCGCTTGCATACACTTCAGAGCATGCTTGAATATGCATTTATGCGTGAGAGGATGTGGATACTGGGCATTCATCTATGTAAAGGGGTAATTTAAGGGACCCACCTTCTCGCGTCGCCTGGCGCGTGTCTCTTCCGTCCCGCGATTTGTCGCGTTTTATTGACTGGGCCGCTTTGCACTGTCCGTCTGAAACACCGACGAACTCCCTGCCCAGCACAACCCGTTCACCGGTCCAACATCAGAAGTCTCTCCAAAACGGGCAGCAAGAGGCACGGATTTCATTCACGATGGCGTCGCCAGCGGTCATATCCAGCGATGCTGGGTTCATGACTTCAGATCGCTCCCTGGGAACCCCGCGCGCAGCACGACTGCCGGGCTCCTCAAGCGGCCGGCCTGCAGCGCCACCGTCCGAGAGTCTTGGTGCGCTCAGCGATGGCGAGGGCGAGGGTTTCGCCGACGACCAGGTCCCGGTGCGCGCGCGGCCAACAGATCCCGCCAATATCCCAAGGGTCGAAGACAGGATCGGCCTCATCATCCAACAGTCGTTCGAGGACTTCATCGAGGGGTGCGTTGGACTCGGTAATGCAACCAATAATATACCCTTCTGACTTCACATGCACAGATACGTAGAGACGCCTAGAGCGTCCGGCCAACCAACCTCGAGCGCTGTCACTACCGACAAGTACTACATCGCGCAGATCCACGGCATGCGGACCTACCAACTGTCGACCTTCTACGTCGACTGGAGGCACCTCGAGAGCTGGAACAACGGCGCGCTGGCGAACGGCATCATGGAGTCGTACTACCGTTTCCTCCCGTTCCTGACGGCCGCGCTGCACAACATGATCGCCAAGTACGAGCCGCAGTACTTCCGCGAGCACCGGCAGCCGACGGCGTCCAGCCAGCAGCACACGTCGGGCGCCAGCAACATGGGGTCGGGCAGCCAGAGCGAGCTCGGCAGCAAGACGGCCAACCAGCAGACCGACAAGCTCTTCGCCATCGCCTTCTACCACCTGCCGCTTATCTCGCGCGTGCGCTCGCTGCGCGCCCGCAACATTGGCCAGCTGCTCTCCATCAGCGGCACCGTCACGCGCACGTCCGAGGTGCGGCCCGAGCTGGCCCAGGCCACCTTCGTCTGCCAGGCCTGCCGCAGCGTGGTGCCGGACGTGGAGCAGACCTTCCGCTACACCGAGCCGACGCAGTGCCCCAACGCCACGTGCCAGAACCGGACGGCATGGCAACTGGACATCCGCCAGAGCACGTTTGTCGACTGGCAGAAGGTGCGCGTGCAGGAGAACAGCAGCGAGATCCCCACGGGCAGCATGCCGAGGACGATCGACATCATCCTGCGCGGCGAGATGGTGGACCGCGCCAAGGCCGGCGAGAAGTGCATCTTCACGGGCGCCCTGATCGTCGTCCCGGACGTCAGCCAGTTGGGCCTGCCCGGTCTCAAGAGCGTGGCCGTGCGCGACGACCGCGGCGCGGAAGCCGGCGGCAGCGGCGTGAGCGGTCTGAAGTCGCTGGGCGTCCGCGACCTCACCTACCGCCTCGCCTTCCTGGCCTGCATGGTGAGCTCCGACCTGTCGTCCATCGGCGCATCCGGCGAGGCCCAGATCGTCGACATGGTCGGCACGCTGACCGCGAGCGCCAACGCCGAGACGGCCGAGACGGTGAAAGAGCTGCAGGATGCCGTGCTCGCCTCGTACACGCAGGGCGAGATCGAAGATCTCCGCGCCATGGTGCACAGCGACCACATCTACTCGCGGCTGGTGCACTCGCTTGCGCCCATGGTCTACGGCCACGAGATCGTCAAGAAGGGCATCCTGCTGCAGCTGCTGTCCGGTGTGAGCAAGACCACGCCCGAGGGCATGCAGCTCCGCGGCGACATCAACATCTGCATCGTCGGCGACCCGTCCACGTCCAAGTCGCAGTTCCTCAAGTACGTCTGCAACTTCGCCCCGCGCGCCGTCTACACGTCGGGCAAGGCCTCGTCCGCGGCCGGTCTCACGGCCGCCGTCGTCAAAGACGAGGAAACCGGCGAGTTTACCATCGAGGCCGGCGCGCTCATGCTGGCCGACAACGGCATCTGCTGCATCGACGAGTTCGACAAGATGGACATCGCCGACCAGGTGGCCATCCACGAAGCCATGGAGCAGCAGACCATCTCGATCGCCAAGGCGGGCATCCAGGCCACGCTCAACGCGCGCACGTCCATCCTCGCGGCGGCCAACCCGGTCGGGGGCCGGTACAACCGCAAGACGACGCTGCGCGCCAACATCAACATGTCGGCGCCCATCATGTCGCGCTTCGACCTCTTCTTCGTCATCCTCGACGAGTGCAACGAGGCCGTCGACCGCCACCTGGCCGAGCACATCGTCGGCATCCACACGCACCGCGACGCCGCCGTCACCCCGGAGTTCTCGACCGAGCAGCTGCAGCGCTACATCCGCTTCGCGCGCACCTTCCGCCCGGAGTTCACCGACGAGGCCAAGGAGGTGCTCGTGCAGCGGTACAAGGATCTGCGCGCCGACGACGCCCAGGGCGGCGTGGGCCGCAACAGCTACCGCATCACCGTACGGCAGCTCGAGAGCATGATCCGCCTGTCCGAGGCGATCGCCAAGGCAAACTGTGTCGACGACATCACGCCCGACATGGTGAACGAGGCGTATAACCTGCTGCGGCAGAGTATCATCTCGGTGGAGCACGATGACGTGGAGGTGGACGATGACGAGGAGGAGGGGGGCGTTGTGGACGGCGGCGCGGCATTGAGGCAGGCTGCGGATGCCGCCTCCGGAGCTGTGAATGATGTTGACGACCCGATGGAGGAGGACGGCGAAGCCCAGCAGGCCGACCGCCAGCCCTCGGCCGCGCCGTCACACCAGACGACGACGACGACGGCGCAGAAACAGACCATCTCATACGACAAGTACATCAGCATTGTCAACATGCTGGTGTCGCGCGTGGCCGAGGATGAGACAGCGGGCAGCGGCGATGGCATCGACGGGGATGCGCTGGTGGAGTGGTATCTGGAGCAGAAGGAGGAGGAGCTGAAGAGCGAGGAGGAATACAACAATGAGCTGGCGCTGGCCCGGAAGGTGCTGAAGAAGATGGTCAAGGAGAATATCCTCATGGCCATCCGCGGCCAGGGCATGACTGATGGCGCGGAGGGCGGCAATGGCAATGACAATGACAACAACGCTGGCGAGGGCAGCTCGGCGCAGGCGGCGCGGATTGTTTATGTGCTGCATCCTAACTGTGCGGTGGAGGAGTATTGATGAAAACACGGATGAGCAGGTGGACGGGCTGATGAAGGGGTAACCTCCTATGCGGTAGAGTGGCATGGATGATGGGTCAGTCACGAGTTGGCGTACTGGAGTTTCAGGTTGTGGTTAGTATGGGGAATAACTACATGGAACGGGTGTTCGAACTGGATGTTAGATATCTGGCGGAATAAATACTGGGCTAGGCGTGTGGAGGGAAACAAGAACAATGAACTCTCTTCTGAGACGGAAAGCCATCCGAATGTACTACATGTACGTTTCATTTCACACTCACACTCGAGCAAGCAAGCAAGCGAAATCCTGCATCACCACCACCACCACCCTCCCCGTTTCACGCTCCTCACAATTCCAACCAACCAACCAACCAACGAAAACCTTATCACGTCAAAGGCGGCGCCCTCGGATCCTCCAAGCACTGGTCCACGCGCATCAGCCGCTTCCCGGTCGCCTTGGCCACGCGGATGAACTCGGGCAGCAGCTCGACGGTCGAGTTGTACAGGTAGTGCATGACGACGATGTTGCCGCCGGCGGCCACGTCACGCTTGAAGGCGTCGAGCTGCTTCTGCGGCGTGTCCGACTCGGCCCACAGCCAGTCCTCGACGTCGACGCTCCACTGCACGATGTAAGGGCTGGGATCGTTCAGGTTGGCGGCGAGCCGCTGCCGCATGCGCGCGCCCTCGGTGCCGAAGGGCGGGCGGAAGTAGTTGAGCCGCACGTCCGAGTCGCCGCCGCCGCCGCCGAAGACCTGGCGCACGGCGCCGATGTCGTTGTTGTACTCCCAGTCGATGGACGCCGTGTCGGGCAGGCCTTCCATGGGCGGGTGGGTGTACGAGTGCAGGGCGATCTGGTGGCCGCGCGCCTTCATCTCCTTGTAGATGTCGGCCAGGCCGGTGGACGGGTCGAGCAGCGGCAGGCCGACGGTGAAGAAGGTCACGGGGATGTCGGCCTGCTTGATGATCTCCATGACGCGCTTCGCGTACTGCGGGTCGCCGTCGTCGATGGCGAAGGCGAACGAGTTGGGCCGCGTGCACGCGAACACCAGGCGGCCCGACGCCAGCTTCGGCGGCACCTGCTGCTTCCACCCGGCCGGGAGGGCGTCGACGATCTCGATCTTGGACACGGTCGTGGGCGACGTGCTGTAGAAGCCCTTGAGGGCGAAGCCGATGACGCGCGTGAGGTTGACGTTGAAGTGGTTGAGCGGCATGTAGATGTCGCTGGCCGTGCCGTAGCGCGCCGCCTCGAGGCTGTCCCACGTCTCCGGGTACGGCTTGATGCTCGCGTCGCACTTGGCGTTGTGCTGCTGCAGCGCCACGCTGAACTTGTTGCTGCCGGAGTAGGCGATGTGGAGGTAGGCCCCGGCATAGCTGCGCAGGTCGGTGCACGTGTCGGTCAGCTGCGTGTTCCAGCCCAGGTCCGAGCTGTTGGTGCTGATGGTCATGGCCCTGTTGCCGAAGCTGATCGTCATGCCGTCCTCGTCCGCGCCGTGCCACTGCCCCAGCGCGTTCGTGTCCTTGTTGGCGAAGTCGTCAATCACAAACCCCTTGGCGTCCGGCGCCGGCGCAACCGTGGTGGAGCGCGTGACTGGCGGCGATGTCGGGGAGGGCGGGATGACGTAGTCGGACGCGGTCGAGCCGCAGTAGAAGGACATCGGCCCAAACACGGCGGCGGCAGTGAAGTCGGAGAAGTAGATCATGTTCAGCTTGGTCGCGTCGAGGCCGGTGAACGCGGAGAAGGGGAACCAGTAGAGTCTCTCGCTGCCGTCGAAATTCCACTTGAGCTGCGCCGTCGTCAGCGTGATGGATTTGACGTTCGTGGCGCCGCAACTCGTGCGGTACGCCATGGTGACCGCGAAGCTCGTGCCCCGTGCCGCCCGGATGCGCATCGAGATGCCGCCGTACTGGTCCTTGGCATTGAGACAGCCGAACTGGCTGTAGAAATACGAGTCCGTGTCCCTCGGCCGGAGCATCAGCCTGTGGTCGCTGACGATGATGGACGCCATCGTCCCGTCATCGCTCGACGGCTGGTTCATCGCGTTGTAGCCGAGGAAGGTCAGGCGCGACTGAGACTCCCAGTCGTCGATCAACAGATTCGAGCATGTTGCGGGCCGCGATGTCGTGACCGGAGGAGCCGTAGTTCTGGTTGAGGTGGTTCGTCGAATGGTGGTAGATCTCGTCGGCGTTGTTGTGGGTGGGATGGTAGACCTCGTCGTGACAACTCCTGCTCTCATGTTAGCACACCCTTCTGAGCGCTGTCCAGGCAATGGTCCCAGCATTTCCATTATTACCGCTTGTTTGCGAAGGGGGGGACACGGTCCCACAGATGAGGGTGATATTGCCGACCGACCATTGCACTCCGGTCTGGGAAAAGGATTCCCAAACCAGGCCGACGATGGCATCGTAATTCGGCTCGTTGTCGAAGCCCTCCAGCGGTAGAGTAATAGTCTGTAGTTGGCCGGTCAGGTTATTTACGATGTTGTACGAGCTATTGTAGCTTCCGCTGCTGTCGCTGCAGCTCCCCGTGCTCTGCAGGTCGAGAGCGAAGGAACCGCCAGCGGGACCCTGAACCGTGAACTGAATGGCCCCGTAGCCGTTGGTAACGGCTTGCTGACACTCGAACGACTCGTAAAAGTAAGAGCCGTCGTCCTTGGGGATGAAGACAACTTGGCCCGCCGAGGCGGCAATGGCGGTCATGGTCCCGTCATCTGCAAAGTCTGTTAATGGTGCTGTCTTGTAGCCGCGGGTAGGGCTCACCAACCCCCATTTTGCCAATCCAGGTTGTTGACGCCAGATGTCCACTTGGTGAAGTTGTCGATCACAAGGTTGGACGTGCAAGCAGCGTTGGCTCTAGCGGCGGCCAAGAGACCGCCAGCCAGACCGGCTATGGTGCGGCGGTCAAGCAGCATGGTGGACAACAACCGTCTTGCGACGAGAGGATGCAGGTCAGATCGGTTGCCTACCCTACGGGCCTACATACCTATAGGGTAGTATATGTATCCCCTGGGGAATCGCGGAGCTCATACCGGCAACTCTATGCCCGGCTAGACGCTTATACGAGCGTGCTATCATGGTAGCACTGGTAGCCCTGAGAAGTCGAGGACAGCTTATAGGAGAGGGCCCATCATCATGACTCGTCGGGACGGGAGAAGCGAATGGTAGTAATCTGTCTCTGTTGCTCATCGACCTAGAGTGGCATGGCATGTTGGAATGGGATCGGTTGATGTGGCTTACGCCAGCCGCCACCAGTGCCTTGCAGGAAGTAATTTAGTAACGGCAGCGGGTGAAGAGGATAAATCCGGGGGCGGCAACACCAGTCCGACGGAAACTCAACAATCCGCAAATCCCGTGAAGGAATAAAAAGGTGAACAAGTCAAAGTAAAAGAAAACAGATATAGAACAGGAAGAACCTGTTCGGCCAGGGAGACGATGACACGCTTCGCATTCACGCAGACCACTAATGGCCAGACCACCGAGTGGCTGTTTCTCCTGCCTCTCTTTGCCAAATGGGTCTCTTCCTAGAATGTAGTGTCAATGTAGTGAGAGGGACTGTTCCATTCTGGATATGAACAGTTCAGATCAATCCGGCCGATACCGCCGTTCTTGCGACTCGGATCAGCCCTGGGAAGTCGAAGAAAGGTGCCTTGACAGGGCGTTTGTCTCGGCAGTCATAGCCGAAGCTTGGCTTGCAGATCCCGCTCCGCCAAGAAGCTGGGGTAAATCTCCCAGACAACTTAGGTACGAATCACCCTGCCTCAAAAAGCGTGCAGAAATAACTCAACTGCATAGTGACCTTGCGGTTATTGTCCTGCCTGGTCTGACCATCCTCTACCCCGATTTTCGGAGCAGTTTCTATTCTTTCTGGACAGCCGAACGCCCTGCCATCCTAAAGGCGGGAAGGGTGCGAACAGGGTTGCAGCATCTCGATTGCAACAACCTGAGATGCAACGATGATCAGCCGTCTTTTTTCATCTGACCATGGGTCCTTCGTCAACGTTACTTCAATGGCCAGTGCGTTGGCTCTCATTCAGCCGGACAGGCTAATGTTGTGGCGGAACGTTCCTTCAGTAACGGACGTAGGTCTGGGAAATCGTTCAGTTGGTTGTATATAGTCCTGTCCCATCCGGATTCAGAACCGCAGAGAAGGGGGAGCTAGGAAAGCCGAGGGTTATAGCTTCCAGGAAAGAGGGCTCATTATCTACGGATACAGCAAGCCCAAACGCTAGGGTTGAGGCTTGGAGGGCGGAGCGCATAAGATGCAGTGTCGGTCTTGAAGTGTTATTTTGTTGGAGTATCCGTATAGACAACCGAAAACTGGCAATTCACCAGAGATATGCGACGGAGACTATGCAGTCGAGACAGCTCACGATCTGGCACTGTCTGGCTCTTAGAATGTTGGTCCGTGCGAGGCTGGAGCCGTGAGCTGCACGTGACTGCACAATGATTGGCCACAGTTATTGCAAGGGTACAATTCCAAGGAGCGGATCTGACCCCTGCACCATCGCGACGTTGAACGTGGGCCTAACCATTTCACCTTCCAGGTTGAAGACCACAGCCCACCACAGCTCTTTACGACGCGCCCTACAGAAAGACAGGGGACTAGCTACTCTGGATTTAATTGCGTGTTCATTGCGCACCATCTCTAGAAAACGTCTGCTCGAAACATTCTGACCAGTAGTAGAAGCAGAGAAAGACTGACCCCGCCACCCCGAAGCTGCCCTCACCTAGCAGCCTCCCGATCAGTTCTCCCGACCGACACCCCATGCAGCCTCCAGACGACAACAATGCCCGCCTTACACAAGAGCCCGTCCAGCCCCTTCCCATGGCCGCCTCCGCCATGAGGCTGCCCAAGACCCGTCAATCCCTCCCCTCCGACTCGCACCCGCTCACCCGCTCCGATTCCTCCTTGCCGCCACTCCCCATCCGTGACAGGCGCTCCACACCCTCCGCGGCGGCCTCTCTCTTCCGATCGACTCTCACCCCGCCGGGGTCACGCTCAACCTCGCCCGCAGGCTCCATAGCCCGGTCGCCGGCAAGAATGTCTATGACGGGCTCTGTGTTCGGCAGCATCGGTGGGGCAACGGCGGGGTCGAAGCAGCAGAGTCAAAGCCTGCTAGACGCGGCGGCGGGCGGCAACCCGGGGGATCCGCTCCATCTGATGCTGCGGAGTTTCGTGCCGCACATTGCGATCCATGCGTCGGAGGATGCGGATAGCCTGGTGAAGGAAAAAGGGTTCGAAGGGGGGCTGTGGGAGCTGCTGAGGCCGTTCGGGGAGCGTGTTCAGGGCAAGGTCACGATTCGGGATAGTAATGGCGCGGCGCGGACGTGGGAGGATTTCGCCGTGAGGTTTGTCCGGTTTGGGCAAGGGGTCGAGGAGCCGGAGCCCCTGGTCGGCGTGGGGAGTGCCAACGGACAGACGGCATCGGGCGTGGCGGAGAAGCCAGATACGCTCGCGGAGGTTGAGACCGTGGTCGAGAGGCATCTGCGGTTTGCTGAGGAGGCATATGTGGGGAGCGTTGCCTCCCCGCCGATGACCCCGACGAGGTCAGGGCTCGATCCGGATGCTACGTCGCCGTATTATGCGCTCTACCTGCGGAGGTTGCTGTCCGGAATCCCGTTGGCGTGCCATGAGTCGTTCGCTCATCCGGTAGCATGCGTGATGGCCATCAGCTCCAGGAACCCGTCCCCAATTGAGGCGCTTCAGAAGCTGTACCGAGACACAAGCCAGGGCGAGCGTAGGCTGCCACCCTGGGTTGATGGAGACTATCTGCGGTATTACATTCTAGTCCACGACGAGGAGAACGGCGACATCACTAGGTCCATGGCTCTGTTCGAGCAGATGAAGCGCAACCTGGGCCTGCACTGCCACCTGCTGAGGCTCCGCAGCACACAAAGCGCCGAGACGGACGACGACAGCATACCCTTGCCCCGAAGCGACTGGATGACGGCAGCAGAGGAACTCGCGGATATCGAGGCGAGCGATACACGGGAGGACTTTGAAGACCCCACGAGGTACATCTTCGAGTCAGATGCCACAGCAATACGGACTTTTGTGAGGGAGATGGTCATACAGTCAGTTATTCCCACCATGGAGCGGAATATCTCCGTATGGAATGATCAAGTCGCCTCGCGGCGGCGGGGCATCAGCGGGCGCTTCATGAGTCTATCGAAGCGGTTTACCTTCGGCAGCTCGAGCCGCAGCTCCTCTGGCGGCGCATCCGGCTCATCCAATAACTACGACGCTCTTGGCTTCTACCGGGCGGATACGCCCGAGGCTATCATGCGGCGACTGGCCGACTTTGCCTTCATGTTGCGAGACTGGAAGCTGGCCATGTCGACATACGACCTCTTACGCGGCGACTTCCAGAACGATAAGGCGTGGAAGTACCACGCATCAGCCAACGAGATGGCCGCGCTGGCGCTGCTCATCATGCCGCAGAACATGTCGTCCAAGACACGCATCGAGACGATCAACCAAATGTTGGAGCAAGCGTTCTACTCTTACCACATTCGCTGCAATTCACTCTACGGTGCCGTGCGATGCACCGTGCTCGCGCTGGAACTGCTCCGCCTCAGGGGCGGCTCCGGGATAGACGAGGCCGTGCGATGGGGCGTTAGGGTGATGGAATCCAGGCTGATTGGCCCCGTGGGCGACACGCTCCTCAAGGAACGCATGGCCGTATGCTACGCTTCCAAACAGGGCGCCGGGTCACAGGCGTGGGGCAGCAGGCGGCGCAAGTCTGCCCTGTGGAGCGTCCTCAGTGCCGAGGCATGGATCGCCCAGGCAAAGTATGTGCAGGCGCGGAAGTGCCTGACTGAGGCGCGCAGCATGTATGCGCTGCTTCCTGGCGAGTGCGGGGTGCAGAACTTTGCTGTGGCCAGCGATTTCCTGGCCCATCTCAACGACCAGCTGAATACCGGACTGCGGGCGGACGCGGCAGGCGAGGGAGAGCGTACGGAACAGGAACAAGGGGCGGACTCGGAATTGCTGGTCGTCGATGAAGAGAGCGAGACACTGGGCAACAGTAGGTCGCGGAGAACTAGCTTGATCGCTCCAGTCGGAGGGGGTGCTGGGCTCGAGACTGCGCCGTTGAACACCACAAAGCCAGCGAGTGTTCCTGAAGACGAGGGAAGGGCCCCCACCACTGATGGGTTTGGATAATAATGCAAGATTCGGATCCGGGCATATATGCTTTATTATACAGGTAGACTGGTTCACACGCTGGAGGTCTGGGAGCATGGGTTGGCGTTGTACGGAGTATGTACTGTACAGTGTACTATACGGTACCCAGGCTTCTATGGTAATGCCAATGAACAACTGGAGGAGGATGAGGTTCTCCAAGGACACGCTGTATCGATGAGGCAAGCGTCTATACATCTGCATCCTGGATTTCTATTCTTCCATGTTCTTCCCAGCTTCCGACTTCACTGACTACAGGGGGGAGCGACTCTGTCGGGTATGGCACCTTGCAATGCTGCGTGAATGGCACGCACTGATAAGATAAGCTAGCAACCGCCTCGTTGCCTGGACGTCATTGTTTGATTCAACGACTGGCTGCCAGGCACCGACCGCACACCACCTTTCCAGACACGCCAGGCGTCCATCGTCGGGTTTGTCGCATCTGTATATGTTGTCATTCTGAGCGGTAGATTACGCGCTCCGCTTCTTTTCCTCTTGCATGTTTTGCTAGGCTAGACCCTGGAGGTCGCCGGGGACCTTGGTTCTACGGGCATCTTCACACACGCACACCGGAAGACGTCCACTGGGCGGACAGAATCCACCCATTTGTCACCGCCCTGATTGGAATCCTGCGTCGATTTCCGCACCATGAGCCAATCCCTCCTCGACTACCTCGTGGAGCACGAGCCCGCCTTTAGGAAGTGGGTTGACCTGGCTATCTCCAGACTATCGCTAGATCACTGATGCGATTTGTACTCTCTAGAGCTCGCCTCCCCGCCCTTTACTCCGATTTCCAAACCCTACGAACACTCAACCCGGATGGCTATCAGGCCAACGTCTCAGCATGGCGCAGGGCCCTCGCGCAGATCGCCAGATCGGGATTGGCCCCCGCGGGACGCGCATCCGCACCGAACTCCTTTGTCCTCCACTGCGACGAGCAACTCCTCCGAGCGCTCGAATCCAAACAATACGGCAGGCCGCTCGCTCTCGGCGTGGTGGTGCAGGAGGCCCTGGCAGCCAAGGATCTCGTGCCTCTCCGAGAATTCTTGGACGCGAAAGACAGCATATACCGTCGGCCGTGGTCGGTGTGGAACTTAGCTGCGTGGACAATGAAGCAACTCGGCGTGTCAGACATGCTGAGGAGGGATAACCTGCCGAAAGGAGAGTTTGTGGTCGTGGCCAACGTGGAGGAGGCGGGCAAGGCGTTTGGAGAGTTGAGTTCAACCAGCGAGCAGACTAGGTTCGAAAGGACCTTCTCCAAGGCGCACTTCTATCGGACGTTCAACGACCAGCTCGTAGACGGGAAGCAGCTCTCCGAGACAGACATGGAGGTACTGCTAAAGTTCCTCTCACGCGACAAGGGCGTCATTCTCTACGATGGCAACACCGTCAAGATCAACACCCCCGGCGCGCAAGAAACGGCAGAGATCACAGACCAGGACGCCTCGATCGCGCAACTCAAGGAGCTGCTCGCCTCGCTCACGCACCAAACCGCGCTCCTCGGCAAGCGCATCGAGGTGCTCGCCGCCCAGGCGAAGCAGGCCGTGGCCAAGAACAACCGCGTCGCCGCGCTGGCGGTGCTGCGGTCCAAGAAGCTCGCCGAGTCCACGCTCGAGCGGCGCTTCGCGACCGTCAACCAGCTGGAAGAGGTCGCCGCGCGCATCGAGCAGGCCGCCGACAACGTGCAGCTCGTGCGGGTCATGGAGGCCTCGGGCGAGGCGCTGCGCAGCCTGCACGCGCAGGTCGGCGGCGCCGAGCGCGTCGAGGAGGTCGTGGGCCGGCTGCGCGAGCAGATGGCCGCGGCGGACGAGGTCGGGAGCATTCTGGCCGAGTCTGCGGGCACGGTGGTTGTGGATGAGGTCGAGATCGACGACGAGCTGGCCGCGCTCGAGGGCGAGGAGAAGCGCAAGGCGGAGGAGGCCGAGCAGGCCAGGGAGGCAGACGAGTTGCGGAAGCGGCTGGAGGCGGCTGGGGAGGTGCCTGCTGGTGTGGTAGAGGCAGCAAGGGAGAAGGAGAAGGAGGAATTGCAAGCGGCTGAGGACATGATGAGTAGGATGTCCCTGAAGGAGGACTCCTGAGCGGCTAACTGCCTGATGGATGTCCTTCTTTCCCGTCCATCTGTTGCGGGAAGAGAACAGAGAATAATGCTAATTCTCTCCGCTTAGTCCGTGCATGAGAATATACCCTGCAACCTTCGAGATCGCTTATCGGGCGGAAACCTCTTACCGTGTAGGATGGCGTTGATTAGAATGATTCCAGCGGTTGGATGCTGGAGACGGCAGGAGAACTCTTGGTGATCGGCTAGGGGTTTATTAGGGCACAGGAGTTGCGACATTGGCAACATATTACTTCAACGGAATTACGGCATGGTGTATGTCAACGATTTCAGGCGTGCATGTAAGGTGGAATATTGTCAAGCGTCTGCTTTTATTCATTCGGGGCTCATGGTTTCATGAGCGTGTGCCCTCTGCCTCCCCCGACGAATTATGATTAACTATGCTCTCCACTTGGAAGAGATGAGGCAGCCCGTTCTCCGGATGTCTTGTCTGTGTGAGCTGTTGTCCGGCCTCCGTCGGCGAGTCAGGCGGCTCCGGCTGGCTGGATGGTGGTAGGCCCGTGAGATCAACCACGTTTGCTTTTGGTTTTGGTAGCTCTGGCACTGGTGATGGCAAACCCATCCGGTCTCCGTCGCTTCGCCCTGAGTCGGGCGTCGCCGAACTTTCCTCGGATTTGCTAACCTCGTCCCCCTTTTGATGAACCTTGTTCTTCGAACTGCGCGCTTTGGCAATGAGATCCTTGAAGGATGTGTCATGTTTTGCAGCCCACGCAGCCCCGTCAAAATCCTTGTCTTTGATCTGGGCGCCCAAGTTGGCCGAGCGTGACATGGTCGGCGCCCGTGTGCCTATCGTCCGTTCCCACACCTCCAGGTCATGCAATAGCTCGGAGCGCTTTTTGGGCCGTGCCGAGTCGCAGTTGGCGTTCCATATAGTGACCCACTCCTGGTGCCTCTTCTCCAGCATCTGCCGTGAACCCTGTGTAGAGAGCCCCAGCTCGGCCATCTTTTTGCGGAGCGCCGTGTCTTTGAGCATGGAATATGCTAGCGCCGGAAGTCGCTCTGGCGGCTTCGTCGGTGTCGGCGGGTTCTGAAATGGAGGCCGAGCTGTGCCGAAGCTGCTGCCTCCGCGGCTGTTCGCCGTAGATGATGACGCCGCTTTGGGCTGAGGGGAACCCGGGCAGTTGGTGTCAAGGTGTCTGTCAACTTGCCAGGGCTTCATCCGCGACCAGCATATCGGACATGCCACGAGGCCGTCATCTGCAGTGCGTTGTCGGTTAGCCTGTGTCCAGTTCGAGTCCGAGGAAGGGTCCCAGTACCTAGTTCTGGCTCGTAATCTGCTGTCTCTTCACTCTCCGCCACGTCGACCTCTTCACGCACAATCGCGGCAGTCGCCTCTGCCGCTTTCGCCTTGCTTGACCTCGTGGTCATCCTGGGTCTTTTGGTTTCCGGTTGATCCTCCATTTGCTCATCTAGATCTATCGCTTTCCGTTTGGGCGAACTCAACGTGGCGCTTTCGACCGGAGTTTTTGCGAGTTGAAGTACGACATCGCGCGACTGGACGAAGGCGTCCACAGCCTCCCGCAACGCCCAATTCCCCCGTAACTTGGATTCCTGGTCCGAGGCCCGACACAGCGGGCATTTGCCGTCGACCGATAAACACCGCCGGATGCATATGGAGCAAAACGTATGGTTGCATGATGTGATCATGGGCGAGTTGTAGAAATCTTTGCAGACGTGACAGCGGAAAGCTTGTTCAAGCTGCATAAGGCATGCAAGCGGCGTCCCGAGCCAGTCCGTCGAGTCGGGCACATTAAAAGCATCGCCGCTGAATGCCTCCATTCTTCAAGAGCGACGTGGATTGAACTGGCAGCAGTTGGAGGTCGAGCCAGACAATCCGGTTGTTCCTCGCGGATAGATCGATATCCGCTGCGATTCAACGGACAAACCTAAGCTGAGCGAGAGTCGCGACTTCCACAATTCGGGACCGCGACGGACAGTCTGAGAGCACTGTCAGAACACCGTGTGGACTATGCAGCAAACTGCTTGCGCTGGACGCAACTTCACTGTGTGGGAAGTCGCGGAAATTAAGCGCACGAGGACTGGCGTCACCGAGCTCAGCTCGAGCTGAAAGGTACCCCACTTCAGAGCTCCAGCCTGCACCATTCCTATTTCGGAGAGAATCAAAACAAAGCCTAGCCGATTCCAGACAACCTCCCACAACTCTCGCAAACAGGTCGAGGCGACATCTCACTCGGAGCCTAAGCTTTCGTATCTGACTGATACCATATCTTTCTTGCGGCATGCTAGCTAGTTAGCGCACTTGTCTTGAGGGTTTCAGATTCAGCTTTCTCTTTTCCTTCGCTTTACTAACGCCGTTTCCCATTGTTTACTTTCTCCGTGCGACGAAAGAACCCGCGACGAAAGAACCCGCGACGAAAGAACCCGCGACGAAAGAAAACGCGACGATGGGAATGCGAGGAGGCCCGCGTCTCCAGGTCGGCTCAGCCGCTTGGATTGCGGAGGAAAGGGACTCGGCGCTGAATATTGCACGTTCCGAGATTGAAGAGTTTTCATTCTCCGCGCGCAATGAGATGGACTGGCTCAACGAGCACATGGCCGAGATCTTCTCCGATAACCAAATGTGCGTTGACGCTGTGTGGGCCGAGTCGCGCAGCATGTCGCTGACGAGCGCTACAGGAATGTCGCGGAGCTGTTCAAGACTCCCGGGAAGTTGCGTGGGAAGACACCTCGGACAACGAGGAAAGCAGAGCCTGGGGGTGTGCGCGTGGTATGTCCCCGAGCTGGGCTCCGGAGACGCGTTTGGAGTATGCTGACAATTCCCGTGCAGCCACTGTCACATATATTCTCTGCTACACCAAAGGCGGCACCGAATCCTTTCGCCCTGTCCAACTTAGCACAGCTCAGGAGTCCCAAACTCCGGATACCGGAGGACAAGCCTGCGCCTCCCGTTTCCCAACCAGACAGTCCAACCAAGGCGCCTGTCGTGCATCCTCCGTACCAGGTGGAGTCCCGACCTCCCATCTCCCTCGCAGATTCGGGCTACCATGGGAGCCAGTCCCAGGATACGATGCCGTTCGATCATTTTGACAAGGATGTCGAGATGTCAGATGGTCCCGGTAGTCCTCCACAAGACCTGCCGGACTCAGACCCTGTTTTCTCGCCCACAAGCGCGTCAGGAGAACAAAGAAGGCCGTCGGTTACCTCGGTCGAGGAAGCTATCCAACCAGCCATCGAGAGCCAGACGTGGCAAGACACTGCCGCTGAGATGACAGTGAATGTTGCACCAACACCTTCGTCTTCACCCAAAAGATCGAGGACTGGCAGCCCGCTGAAAGGAAGCTCGAATCAAGTGGAGGATCTCGAGGATAATGGCGATGGGCGGAATGCTCCCACACCGGCGGCCTCACCACCGAAGACATCAAAACTGGGTAGCCCGCAAAAGGGATCCTCAAACCCAACCGTTGGCCTGGAGACTTCCGACATGCGCAGTGCGCGAACCCCTTGGTCCTCTTCACCCAAGACCACCAGGGCAGGTAGCCCACAGAAGGGATTTCCGAATCCCACAGAGGATCTCAAGCTTGCTGGCGATGAGCGTAGCAATGAGCACTATGATCCTGAGGCCGAGGAGGTTAGGTCGCCGTCGGACGCGTCAAGCCCAATCAGACCAATCGTGCGCAAAAGCAGTCTTAACTTCGCGTCCCTCCCTGCCCGTGAACCGCTGACTTCCAAGAAGAGCATCGGCGGGACTCGCGTTTCCAGGACAAGTCACCTGGACTACAATCGCCAGAGCTACTACAACCGCCACACAGGAGGGAAAAGCCTTGGAGGGATAGTCCGGCAAGAAGCCTCAGACGACGACCAGGATGAAATGGACACCGATAACGAGATCGCGGCCCGGGACGAAAATGCGGATGCGCGCGTTTCGGCAGACAGCAAGACATATACACAGCGGCTACAGGACCAGATCAGCATGCTTGGAAAAGCGCAATCCACTGGATCGCGCCCGTCCAAGTCTCTTGCGAACTTCCTACCCTCACAACAGGGTGCGCCGGCTTCGCAAACTCAACCACCACAAGTGGAGCCTGCCCTGGAGAACAAGAAGCAGTCGCCCCAGCCGAACCCTTCAGTTCGTGCCCCTGGCGCTTTCCCCGAGGACGATGCTGACGACTGGATTACCCCCCCTGGTAACACTGCGGAGGCCGCTCGCCAGGAAACACTGCCCTCAGCTACTGCCCGTTCGGATGTCCGGGAAGGCTCCTCTGGAAAGGAAGCAGTGACCGCCTCCTTGCTTCAGTCGCCTTCAGCGAACAGGCCCGGCTATCGTCCGGAGGCCTCGATCGAATCTTTCAAGACAGCAGACAGTGTTGTCTACCCAGATCTCTCGCAGCAATTAGCCCCCACGTCTTCCAACAACACGCGGAGGACCAGAGCCTCTGCCGAGAGAGAGAGACAAGAGGCCCAGCAGCGAGAGGAGAAGGAAGAGCGAGGGAAGGAGGCCAAGGAGCGGGAAGAGCAGGCCAAGCGAGTGAAGGAAAAGGAAGAGCGCGAGAGAGCGTCCAAGGAGCAAGAGAAGCATGCCAAGGAGCGCGAGGAGGCCAAGGAACGTGCAAAGGCGGTGAAATCACGAGACGAGGAGGTGATGGATCAAGAGATGACAGACGCCACAACTACTGCACCCCCTCAGTCGATCCCTCGTCCTACAACCGCTTCGTCTATGCGCACGCAAAGCATAAAGAGGCCTTTGAAGCCCACAAAGGAGACAATCACAAAGTCGAAGCAGGCTCCGACCCTGATCCGAGTCAATACCACCAGCTCCCAGCAGACGCAGTTTCACCCGTCGAACAGTGTCCTGTCCACCATGCTCCAGGAGACACTGGGTCAACAGCCTGGGTCCGTGAGGCAGCCGAACGGCAAGGCGAGCCAGGCCTCCCTTCACGGAAAGCCGTCCCTACACAGCCTCAAGAGTTCCGTTTCCTCCTCCACCGGACGCCCCAAGGCATTGGAATTGGCGGCCAAGCGGAAAGAGCAGGAAGAGCGCGAGGCGCAGCGCAAGCGGGAAACCAAGCTCGAAATGGAGCGCAAGCGCGCTGCCCAGGAGGAAGAGCGCAGGCAGGAGCAGCAGCGGAGGCTCGAAGCAGAGCGGCAGAGAGAGGAAGAGCGAAAAGCAGCCCTGGCCAAGAAAGCTGCCATTGAGAAGGCCAAGCAAACCAAGGCGCCTCCTCCAGCAGTCAGATCGCAACCGAACGGGCCGCCAGAGTACAGCCTGGCGGACAAAGCGCCCATGAGACCACCCTCCCGGCTCGGCTCGACAATGCACCAAGACGGGCGCCTTGTGAACACGGTGCTGTCCAGTACCGCCAAAGGGCCAATGAAGCGGCCACTGCAGCAGGATGCGGGCGAGGAGAGCTCAAGAAATCAGCCAGCGCGGGCCCTGCCATCGCTGCCCGCCAAAGAAGGCAAGCGCCTACGCATGAGCGAAGAATTCGATGAAGAGCTGCACATGGTGGAGAGTCACAGTCAACGGACCATCAAGGGGCCTCCCGTTAGGCCCTCAGGTGGGCTCAAGAAGGTGAAGCGCACACCGACCTTAATGTTCCAAACCAGAAAATTGCTAACTAGACTTGCAGGATCTGCCCTCAAAGCCAACGTATGCCAGCGGCTACCCTAACGCGCATCCACTCGGGCTGGCACAGTTCTCCAAGGGCGCAATCCCGTTCGCGCCGAACCCCAACCACGCCGGACCGGCTCACCACAAGACGCCAGCGCGGCCGGCCGGCGGCGCAGTGCCCAAGTCCGCCAAGTCCGTGGCCCGCTCGCCACGCTTCCAGAACGGCGAGACGATCGAGCTGCCCGACATCCAGACCGACGACGATAGTGACGACGACGATGGGCACGTGGCTGTGGCGGCGTGGGCGGACTCACCCGCTCTCAAGGCGGCGCTGCTGGCGCAGGAACGCGTCGACCCAATGCAGGTGTTCGGCCCGCCGGCGCCGCTCAACATGGAGGAGGTGTTCAGCAAGACGAAGGACAGGTGGCACAAGTTCCGGGCGAGGACGAGCAGCGCGAACTGGAGTGGGACGGACCGGCTTACCGAAGATGACATTAGGAAGGATATGGCCGCGAGGGATAAGATGCGCCGGGAAGGGGGCTGGTCGTATGAGCTTAGTAGGGACATGTCTTAGGTTCACTTCTATGGAGGTTCAGACTCTGGTATCTAGCGTATTGTTTGAGGACAAAGGATTGTAGGATAGACTTAGGCTATGGGTGCATTTTGGCGTATTATTCTTTGCGGGATGCGAGGGTCTTAGCATATCCATCGGGCTGATGGTAGGGTTACGGAGTAGGAAGGGCGGTCATAATGGTTCTCTAACAGACATTCCGGATCAAGAACTTGGCCATCATCAACGCTGTTTTGAGCAATTCTGACAAGAAAAATCCAGGATGTGTTGATTCAATGCTTGTTGTGATGCAGTCCTGACCTTGTGTTACCATTACCGAGGTCAGCGAGCAGAGTACGCTCCGTCAAGAACGTTGATCTTGGCACGTGGTTGGTAACGTAACACTGGCGGTGTGACCCTCCGGGTTTTGTGGGAAGCAGGATGAAGGAATCTAGAAGGCGCCGACTTGGAACAACACCTAGCACATGACTGTCAATCGGGCTGTCGCTCGCCTCAGATAGATCACGAGAGCAGGAATGCGGCCGGTTTTCCGGGGCCGTCCAGGCACCAGTCGTTCTCCCATATCGATGAGTCTAAGTACTCTTCAGAGGTAACAACTCTAAGAATTAGCTTAGTCTTGATGCTTGTTCTGATTCCTAGGTCCTATCATCAAGGACACAGTCAGCGTGTTGGTTGTTGAACGACCGCTCGTGGGACTCTGATAACCCCAACCCTCCGCTCAACTCGAGCCCACATCTCCGGTTTAGGTTACGTCATGCCAGGCTGGTCAGCGTGGGAGCGCTAAGAGCTGAGCAGTCACCAGTATGAGTCCAGTTGCCCTTGACAGCTGCAGGTCCCCACACACGGGTTTGTTTGTTCTTCGCCTTAGGTCGCCTCGTCAAAACTCAGCCCACGGATCATCAATCTGAGTTGTCCTGACGCCTGATTCCGGCTCTCTCAAGTCTTCCATTGTCTGTAAGTGTGTCTGCGGTACTTTTCCTCGCTTTAGTTCAATAGCGATCGCTTCGGGTACCCTGGCAAGTTGCTGTGCCTCCCAACTGGCTGTTGTTATTCCTCGGCCAGCCGAAGCAGAAACGGCACCCTGAACTGCACCATATAAACTCGCGCAACCTGCATCTTTCTGTGCAACTCGGCTGACGGAATCCTCAACCTACAGAACGTGACTAGCATCTCTTGACTCAACCGTGCTTCCAGTCAACGCGCTCATTCCGTACACCACCCTTTTCTCGCACCGGCTTTCATCGCTCTTCGGTCAATTTGCCCCGCATTGCCGCCTGCTGCGATAATCACGAAGATCTGCAGTCGGCTCCGATACGTGCCCGATTACCGGGTCCTGCGACGACACGAGATAACTTAGGATTCCCAACCTCGACTCACTTTTTGGACGTCATCTACTGCTGTTGGCTTAAGGACTCGACTCGGGTGTTTTTCTCGCTTCGATCCTGGAGCCGAGAAGCTCCTCGGCGGCCTGTAGCAAAGGCAAACCGTCCAGGCAGCCCTCCCGCTGGTTCATTGTTTCGGTTTGTCGAGGCTTCCGACAGAATACATAAAGCCACCGGCTGATGAGGGTGTCGTCATTGCTGTGGTCCCAACGTTTCCCTCTCTTTTCTGGGTCCGTTGACCTCTTACCGGAGTCAATATGGTGAAGTTGGACTACGAGCGAGATTATTATGCAGACCTCGATCTGCCCCCAACGGCAGATGCTACTGAAGTGAAGAAGCAGTTCAAAAAGCTCGGTAAGTTACGGTCCCCTCAGTTACAGGCTCTATTGCTAACGGACTCCGCACAGCGCTGCAATGGCATCCTGATCGCAACCCAGGTAGAGAAGATGCGGCCAAGGAAAAGTTTCTGGTCATCCAGGCCGCCCACGAAATCCTTTCCGACCCTGCTACCAAGTCCAAATTCGACGCCTACCACCGCCAGCGGACGGCTAGGTACCCGGCAGCTTCTGGGGTGAAGGGAAATCCTTGGCAATACACGGCACATGACGTGAACCAGAGATATGGTGCCCCGCCGAAACGGCCTCCGATGCCAACGCGCCCGGCCGCACCAACAGCAACATCAACGCATTCATGGTCATGGGCGCGGAATCCACCGCAGAGTGCAAAGTCTAAGATGGAGAGCGCCAGAGCAAGCACGGAGGCATGGAATCGGGCGAGGCCAGTACCCAAACCACCTCAGGCTGGCACAGCGGCTGCTGGTGGCACGGCCCGTCCTTCCCAGCCTAGGGAACCCCCGCCAACGCCGCGGACAGCAGCCCAGGCGAGACGACAGGAGGCAGCGTTTGGTACAAGGAGGGCCGGATACGCCCCTGCGTCACCCGTTGGAGACGAACCGCAGGTGAAGAACCAGCACTACAACACGAGTGCCGGCGCCAATACTGGAGCCAGTACAGCCCAGACGAGCAACCGCAGACCAGCGTCTGCATTTCCTGATCCTTATCCAGCGAATGCCGGTTACAACGAAACGTTCTTGGACAGTCGCCAACGCACGCCGTATGCCGCGAACGTCGGCGAGAAAACAGACCCCTTCGAGCCGTTAAACGTCAACCGGGCGAAGAGCATGAGAGATCCCACCAAGAAGGACCACGAGACGCCTCCGGCGCCACCCCCACGTCCACGTAGCGCGAGCGTTGGGTCGGATAACTTCAAGAGGTCGACGAACGACAAACCAGCCTTTAATGGGTTTAATGCGAATCCTCCATCCCAGTTCCAGTCGCGAGCGAGCGCTCGGTACAGTCCACACGGCCTAGAGACGAATTCGGCTCCCCAGACCGCTACCTTCCCAACCGCCGGCCCCAGCAGCTCTAGCTCGTCTGTCAACAGCAGTACGAAAGGTAAGTCTCATTGCCACTCTTCTGGTGCTGGAACTTACTAACAGTCCTTCAGCAACAGTCAACGGTGATGCATCAGATCAGACAAAGAATGGCGCAAAAGTGTACGAGAATCCTTTTCCTTCCTACTATCGCAACGTCTACTCGACTTCTGCCTTTTCGGGCTCCCAAGCACCGCACTAGGGTGGTGGTGTTGGCGTGGGCTCGACCCAAAGGAAGAAGTTCGATTACCCTGCCTACAAGTGTGAAGAGAGCTTCAAGCCAGCTCCTAGTGGAGATACACCAAGCGCCGGCGCCAACGCTTTCGAGGCGAGATTGCTGGCGCAGCTGCAACACCTACTGTGCAAGCCACGCCCGCAACCATACAAGCAGCCTGTGGCATCAGTTCCGTCCAGCACTCTGTCAACAGACAAAACTGGGTACCACCTCAGCGCACACGCTAACAGCACTTATCCGGACAGCTTTTCGGTGCCTCTGGACGATATGCTGAACCTCCCGAATCAGCAAGCCCGCTTCACCCGAAACAGCGCCGATAATATCAACACGCGGTTCGTTGCTGAGGAGAAGGATGGCGCTAGCTTCCAGTTCAGCGCGGGCGCCGCGACGTCTCCGGACGACAGCTTCCTGCGGGCTAAACGAGCAGCTCGCGGCGGGCGCCAGTCACCGCTTAGGAACGAGTTCACTGCGTCAGCCGAGCCAACCACTACTGCACCGGAGCCTGAACCGGCCAAAAGACAGAGTGATTTCGTCCCCGAGCAGTGGAAGGAAGCATTCGGACCTCATGTTTTTATACCCCCGCAGGCGAACAAACCGTCGGTTTCACCCACACGACCCATGCGACCGATTAAGAAACCTCGACCGGTCCGGATGACTGCAGGCACGGCAGGATTGGTGGACGAGGACGAAACTAGCGGCGAGGACAAGGCCAAAGCTAGTCGACGTAGCAGTGGCATCAACGGATCTAGGAGTCCGAACGCTATGGACATCGACTCGCCGCCACCTGAGCCCTCGACCGCTCAACCCAGCGGTGCCCGAAACATCAACGTCGAGCCGACAAACCCCCAGTGGCGTGCAGGTAACGTCAACGGCACCAGTGCCGAGCCCAAGCTGGGTGCCAGCTTGAAAATTCCCAACCTGAAGCCCAACGCAGCTGGGTCCGAAGACAGCGAAGACTTCATCGTCAACTCGATGCTGCACGAAATAAGGAAGGTCGAGCCGTTCGCGCAGAAGGTAACCGGCCTCAACTCCTTCGCCGACCTTGGCGCAAACCTGCCTTTCCCCAGCCGCCCTTCGGCCAAGATCCCCCTCAGCCACGAGAGGCCGAAACAGCTCGACATCCCGTCCCCGCCCACGGCGCCCCGTCCTCCGGCAAGCCTCTGCATTCCATCACCGAAACCCGACACTCCGGCATGGCAGACCTACGTGCGCGAGTTCGATGCCTACATGGCGCAGTGGTACAAGTTCAACCGGCTGATGACGGATCACTTCGCCGCGCGGCAGAAGGTGCATGAGAACAGTGGCCTGGCGTGGCTGAATGCGCGCGGAGATGCGGGCGTGCAGGAATATCTCCGAACACTGGAGGAAGACAAGACTGTCCGGCAGCGTTGGATGGCGGCTTGCGAGCAGCACGAGCTGCACTTCAGAGAGTTTATGGAGTGTCGGGAACGGGTGGTGCAGGTTTAGATGGCCACAGATGGGAGGGTTGAGCACCGGTTTTGGGGCATGGCATCTTGGCCGGAATGTGAGTGAATGTAATGGTTTTGGTGGTTTCCCTTTTTATTATATTTGAGGCTTCGTCTTGGGCATCCATAGACAGGTCTGATCCGGTTCGGCGCAGCAACGTTATGTATCTTGATACCCTGCAGATTTCATCGAGGGATGGGCGGCGCATATGGCGTTTGGCAGTTTGATGGATGCACCTTCACCTATTGGGAGGGGGTTGGCAGAAATGAAGGAGCGGCACAGATAGACGATGGTACCCAGGGTTTGGCACCTTGGGTCTGAGCCCTGGATTTTACATTCCACTCTTCCGAGCAGCGCAGCCGCGGTACCTATTCATATATGGTCAGCTTATAAGCACATGGGTTTGAGGGCCCTGGTTGCAGACAGAGCGTGTTTCTGCATTTATCCACTCGGCGACTACCTAAGGTAATGACGGAATCAGATGTATTCTGTGAGAGGTGATAGGTTGCCACTTCAGCACTCGGTTCTACACCTGTTTTTCATCGTGTTTTGAAACTTACTACTAATGCTGACGACGACCGTGAGTAAAGCGCTACTGTAACCATCAAGGTTCTCAGATGCAGGATACCCTTACGATTGTAGGAGGAGAGTGTGAGTAATTCTTGACACCTGTGCCGTTCTTTGTTGACGGGTCGGGCTGACATGAGGCCATCCGAAACCTAGCTGTGGAGGTTGGCTACTGTGTAACGTATTGTGTAAGCTGGCTCAGGCTGACCGCTGGCGGGAATGGGAATCCCAGGGCGGCATTCAGGGTCACTTGCGTACTCTCCGTATGTATGCAATATACATTAGTAGATACACTACTGTAACTTTCGGATATCAAGGTACTCGAGTTATTATTAGTGCCAGTAGTGGGGCAAAGTATCGCTCTATCGGTTCCAGCCTCCTTTAGTTACATACATCGATCCTTCATGGCCTGGCCAAACGTGCAACGAACCTTGATAAGCAACACAAGATTTCGTGACCGACCGCCCTCCATCCACCTTAATGAGCCTCGTCCGAACTCTCGACAGCGCACCACGAGCCGACAACTAAGCAGTGCAGGGTCAGGCGAGTCTTCCGGTCTCCGACCTGCGATTGTGAATGCGGTCATTGCTTTCCGTTTGCCGGAGATTGCGCTTAAACACAAGCAGCTCCCAAGCCGCAAACCTCGCCTGCACGAGTGGCAAGACGAGCCTGCGCTTTACATCGCGACAACAAATAGCTTCGCTGTCGCCAACCGCCCTTGCGAGAGGATACCTTTTTAACCCGCGCTCCTCCGTAATTTTGTTCTATTCCACGACGCCCGCCCGGTTTGCTTCCTCCTCTTCAAGCGCCGCTCCCCCCTCTTGCGCAACCACCACCGACCTTTCTTCCAACCCAATTGAAGCCATGAACGGCGCCAATCCCACGGCCCGTTCCAAGCGCAAGGAGCCGCCGCATGCCATTGATGGCCGGCATCCGAAGCACCACCGTCCGAACGGAGACTTGTCCGCCAGCGACAACACCCCGATCAGACCCGACGAGATCGACGGCGACTACGAGGAATACGACGATGTGCGGTTGTCCACGCTCCTGCCGACTGGCCCGGACACGGCGGAGTGGCAGGCGACCATCCAGAGCGTCGTTCGGAACGTCGTGTCAATCCGCTTCTGCCAGACGGCCTCCTTCGACACCGACCCGGCCTTGACGAGCGAGGCGACAGGGTTCGTTGTCGACGCGGAGAGAGGGTGAGCTCGGGATGCGCAAAGAGAGACAAAATGCTGGACGTTGGGCTAACCGTTGGCTGCGCAGGTACATCTTGACGAACCGTCACGTCGTCGGCTCCGGCCCGTTCTGGGGCTACTGCATCTTCGACAACCACGAGGAGGTGGACGCGTATCCGGTCTACCGTGACCCGGTCCACGACTTTGGCATCCTCAAGTTCGACCCCAAAGCCATCAAATACATGCCCGTGGCTGCTCTGCCGCTACGCCCGGATCTTGCCAAGGTCGGCGTCGAGATCAGGGTGGTGGGCAACGACGCCGGCGAGAAGCTCAGCATTCTCTCGGGTGTCATCAGCAGACTGGATCGCAACGCGCCGGAATACGGCGACGGATACAGCGACTTTAATACGTGCTACTACCAGGCCAGCGCCGCAGCCAGTGGCGGCAGTTCCGGCAGTCCGGTCGTCAACATTGACGGGTATGCCGTCGCGCTGCAGGCTGGTGGGAGAGCCGACGGGGCTGCGACCGACTATTTCCTGCCGCTGGACCGGCCGCTCCGGGCTCTGAAATGCCTGCAAGAAGGGAAGCCGATCACACGAGGCGATATCCAGTGCCAATTCCTGCTCAAGCCGTTCGACGAGTGCCGGAGACTAGGCCTGACGCCGGAGTGGGAGGCGCAGGTGCGCAAAGCCTTCCCGAAGGAGACGAACATGCTGGTTGCCGAGATTGTGCTGCCCGACGGGCCCTCGCACAGGAAGATCGAGGAGGGAGATGTCTTGATCAAAGTGAATGACGAGCTGCTCACCCAGTTCATCAGGCTGGACGACATCCTCGACTCGAGCGTCGGCAAACCCGTCCGGCTCCTGCTTCTCCGCGGCGGGGAGGAGGTGGAGGTAGAGATCGAGGTCGGCGACCTGCACAAGATCACCCCCGACCGCTTTGTCTCGGTGGCCGGCGGTAGCTTCCACAGCCTCTCATACCAGCAAGCGCGGTTGTACGGCGTTGCCTGCAAGGGCGTTTATGTATGTGAAGCGGGCGGCTCATGGCGGTTTGACAACTCGGATAACGGCTGGTTGATCCAGACTGTCGACCACAAAAAGACGCCAGACCTCGAGACGTTTATCGACGTGGTCAAGAACATCCCGGACAAGGCCCGGGTTGTGGTCACGTACAAGCACCTGCGCGATCTGCACACGCTAAACACGACTATAATCTATGTGGACAGGCACTGGTCCAAGATGATGAAGCTGGCCGTCCGGAACGATGAGACCGGGCTGTGGGACTTTAAGAACCTTGCCGATCCGCTTCCTCCGGTGCCTCCCGTGCGCAGGAAGGCTGCCTTCATCCAGCTCGAGCACACTTCCCATCCAGCCGTTGCCGACCTGGTCCGGAGCTTTGTCCACGTCAGTTGCACGATGCCCGTCAAGTTGGATGGCTTCCCCAAGAACAGAAAGTGGGGAATGGGGCTTGTCGTCGACGCCGATAAGGGCCTCGTGGTGATTTCGAGGGCCATTGTCCCCTACGATCTCTGTGATATTAACATCACCATTGCCGACTCCATTGTTGTCGAGGGCAAGGTCGTGTTTCTCCACCCTCTGCAAAACTACGCCATTATCCAGTACGATCCTAACCTCGTTGACGCCCCGGTCCTCAGCGCCAAGCTCAGCAGCGAGGAGATCACCCAGGGCGCGTCGACCTACTTTATCGGCTACAACCGCATCGGACGCATCGTCCATGCCGCAACGACCGTTACCGAGATCTTCGCCGTGACGATACCCGCCAACCCCGGTGCGCCCAGATACCGGGCCGTCAACGTGGACGCGATCACGGTCGATACGAGCCTGAGCAACCAGTGCGGCAGCGGTGTGCTCGTCGCCCGAGATGGCACGGTCCAGGCGCTGTGGCTGACGTACCTCGGCGAACGGAACGGGTCTACCCACCGGGACGAAGAGTACCACCTCGGCCTTGCCACGCCGACCTTGATTCCCGTGGTGAAGCAGATTCAGCAGGGCGTCATCCCGAAGCTGCGGATGCTGTCGGTCGAGTTCCGCGCCATCCAGATGTCGCAGGCCCGGCTCATGGGCGTGTCGGAGGAGTGGATCCACCAGGTCTCGCTGGCCAACACGTCGCACCACCAGCTCTTCATGGTGACCAAGCGCACGTTTGAGCGGAAGGAGCAGGAAGGCGGCGCGCTCCTCGAGGGCGACGTGCTGCTCACGTTGAACGGCAAGATCATCACCAAGATCTCGGACCTCGACGTCATGTACTCTAATGACGAACTTGACGCGGTCATCGTGCGCAACTGCCAGGAGCTGAGCCTCAAGCTGCCGACCGTCGCAGCCGACGACGTCGAGACGGACCACGCCGTCTCGTTCTGCGGCGCCATCATCCACCGGCCGCACCACGCCGTCCGCCAGCAGATCAGCAAGCTGTTTAGCGAGGTCTATGTCTCGGCGCGGACGCGCGGTTCGCCCGCGTACCAGTACGGGCTGGCGCCCACCAACTTCATCACCCACGTCAATGGCAAGCCGACGCCGGACTTGGAGTCGTTCTTGAAGGCGGTGGTTACCATTCCGGACAATACCTGTAAGTTTTCTTCTTCTGCGTCTCCCTTTTTCCCTAACTGTTGACGATGGCCACCATGCTAACGAGACCTTCTTGCTGCAGACTTCCGCCTCCGAGCAATGACCTTCGACAGCATGCCGTGGGTGGTCACGATGAAGAAGAATGAGCACTACTTCCCCACGATGGAGCTCATCAAGGACCCGAGCGAGGAGTGCGGCTGGCGGAGGGTGACGTACGAGGGCGGCAAGGTGATTGAGGGCGAAGGGCCCGACGGCGTGGTCGGCCCCCCCGCCGAGACCGGCGACATGGATACCGAGGCTGGCGTGTAAAATGTGTCTTATTAAAGTGGGTGTCTTTTCTTCCACCCCTCGGAGGGCATCCCGGGATGAGAGCGCTGGGTTGAAAAGAAGATACGGTAATGAAACCAAGCAAGTGCATATACACATGCATAGACACATACATGCGTCACCGGGCACAATGCGTGTTAAGGAGGAGGGGGGGTGCATGCCTGAGCGAATGGACGGCGGGATGGGGATGGCCTGCATCAGGGATGTAAGGTAGGCTTGTCTTCTTTTGCCTCCGTCTTGATTTTCTCACTTCGGGTTGGTTGTGGTGTACATTACATGTACAATACCTATAGACAGCGGCAAAACCAAGCAAGTCTAGCGTAACAGAGCGACGCAAAGGCGATGTGTTTACTTAGGTGATCTCTGTCTTCTGTCGAGGAGTCAGCACGGTCACAGATGATAGGATAGAACTACTGCAGTAGAGCAGTGGACATTATGGTGGCGGCTAACCTGGCGCATATCCGTACTCCTCTCAGCTCTGTTGTCAGCGGAAACGGACGTTCAGCTACTGGGCCGCTCCTGCCAACCGCGTATCGCGCCGCTTTGACCAGCGGGCTCGCCGCCTTTCCCACTTCCCAAACGAATACCTACCTTACCTAATAAGATATCTACATGGTGCTAGGTACCTCAGCAGGCAAGGCAACAGCCCGTCTCAGGTCGGACCGATTCCCCCGCAAAGAACGGGAGCGGCACGTCAAGAATCTGACTACCTTGCGAGGCGAAGGAGACGAGGGCATCCAATAGGACAATACGGAACATGGCATGTCTAGTGGCGCTTGGTCATTGGCTCAGCGGTGTTCATCGGACGCTCATGGAGATAGATGACAGCGAGGGTAGGAGACAAAGGTTACACTTTGACTTAGGAGTTATAGTAGAAGGGAGGCGGACTAGTGACTCGCCTATGCCCGCCATGCCGTTCTTCAAAAGCCAGCCCATAACCTCAGCTAGGTCCGATCTACACCAGGGATCGTCTTGGCGAGCCTGCAAAGGGCAGATGCTCTGCACATTCATGCAGCTGAGTCTCAAGCCTCAGCTCGCCCCATGCACTCGCTTCAGCATGAGATCTATATATCATATGCACACTGCAAATCGGCGAAGTGAGACATTTGGGGAAGCTCGGGATGATCACTGAAGCATCTCCTGCCATCTCTTATTTTCGCCCAACCAGAGGAGGCAATTCTCACGGTCCTCTCCGACGCGACCTGCGACTAGGCAAGACCAGAACAACCCAAGTACGGAATACAGTATGCGGTCTCGCTGATCAGCTGCGAGCTGCGAGGCGGGCGGCAATGTCACACTTGTGGGGTGCTTCTGAAGTTCTGACAACAGCAATTTGAGGTTTTCAATCTTGTCGGCTCTGGTATTCTGTGCAGCGTGCATCGAAGTGGATTAAGAAGTCGTGATATTCAACAGTGCAGTCGATATAATCATAAATAGACGGACAAAACCAGCGCAAAGGAGCAAACTGCTCATGGCGCTTCGTGGTATGATTGTAGTCGGTCGCGACGCAGCTCCGTCCACGGGAGACCGCACCGGGAACCCCAGAGGCGCCGATCCCGTTACACAGCATGAGACATCCATTCGGGATTTCTGCACATAGAGCAATATTGTTCCGTCCATTCCACTCCCAGCTAGCCAGAGATGACCAGTCAGACGTGCTTCAACACGCCTTCAGCTATGGCTGGAGGCGCTCGGTCCCGGATGCCATGGCTGGCTGAGCAGGCACCGGAAGGAGACTTTGATGAGCAGCAAAGACGATTGAGGAAGATGATCGAAGTCCTCTTGAGGAGGTTGGACGCCCGCCGGAAAAGCATATAAGGGAGCAGACTCCCACGACCAGGAGACTCCCTTCGTCCATCAACCGACCAGCCCTCAGCAGTCAGCACAGTCAGTCAGCACATCTTTCGTTGCAACTCTAGCCATCTACTATCACATACACAGCCCCATCCATCATGAACACCCTCGCCCTGATCAGCCTGCTCCTGCAGGCCGTTCCCCTCCAGGCCAAGGTGTACGAAAAGAACATCCTTGTCTGGGACGTGAGCCCGGACGCGAAGATCACCGGCAACGAGATCCGGTACAACGATCCGGACTGCAGGCCGGGCATGCGCTGCACCCGGATCGAGGTCTGCGATGCTCCCGGCACCCATCCCACGCTCAGCGCCGACAAGAAGCACTTCGCCTGCTGCTACGACGGACAGCGCCTGCTTGGCAGCCCTGAGACGGCGTTTGACTGCTGCGCCGACGGCCATGACCTGGCGGGCTCGCCCCAGACGGGCTACCACTGCTGCCCAACCGGGTTCGAGTTCAACGGGCAGCTGTGCAGGCCGGTGCCCGCGTGCAAGAACGGGAAGGTGCTGGTGAACGGCCAGTGCGCCTGTCCCGAGGGCACTGTTGAGGCCGCCGACGGGAGCTGCCAGACCCGGCAGCCGAGGGCCCAGTGCGAGTCCGGCCTGGAGTCCGGTGAGTGTACACTTTTAGATTTTGATCATTTATTTCGGACCTTACCTCGCGCGTGTTTGTCCGGAGGAGGTGATCAGGCATACCATGATACCATGTGCTGATCTGGCGTGACAATCCAGGAAAATGCTACACCTTCACCGCCGAGAACGGCAACCGGCTCGGCCTGCGCAACGACGGCGTGTACTACGCCGCGCCGGACAGCATGGTGCAGCGCTACGGCAAGTTCCAGCTCTGCCTCGACGAGAAGTGCACGCCGGGCCAGGCGGTCGACCCGTCCGACAAGACGTACATCAAGGACCTCTACGGCGACGTCGCGACGGGCGCCAACGCCGGGCAGTGGCTCAACAACGCCCAGAACGGGGCGCACATCGGCCGCACCTCGACCTTTGCCAACGCCGGCCAGTTCGTGCTGAGCAAGTGGCCCTGCGGCAAGTACTGCCTGGGCGGCTTCACGCAGGGCGTCGGCCCCGCCTGCCCGGCCGAGATCCCCGCCATGACCTTCTACTCGGAGGACCCCCAGATGTGCACGCCCTTCGACCTGACCGAGGTGCCGTGCGACATCCGCGCCGACGCGAACAACTGCATCTGGAAGAACGGGGACCAGTGCTGCAACAAGGTCGACTGCACGTGGAAGCACTAACTACTAGTAGCTGTCTGTTGATGTCTGATGGTTTCTGGCTTTTGAGGCGACTCGGAGGCTACAGACTTCAGAGTGATGAGGCGACGGATCGTGTCTAGTCATAGTGGTTTGTAGTGTACTATCATGCGTTGAATTTACTAGTTGCTGTACGTAACTGCAACTTTCCATCAGGGCTCATATGTGGCATGTAACTTGGGATGAACCAACGCGAATTTGAAAATGGATCGTGTGTGACGTAAGGAATATTTGTGCAAAACTATAGCGGACGTCTGGACTTGTGTCGAAACAGGAATCCATTAACGATTGTGCAGACCAAATACCTACACAGGATTTCAAGGGACTCGGAATGTATAGAAACATAGATGCATTAAGTGAGGTTTGAGGCTAATGTTGACTGTTTATACAACCCAGCGCGGTCAAAATACACTGTTCAAAATAATGCTCTACCCTTACGAGAACCTGCATCTCACGCTGTGATGACTCCTAGTGCCTACAGCGCGGTGACACGACGACTGCAGGACCAACATCGTGCTTCGGCGACGGCTGCGCAGCTCCTGTTATTAAAGACCGGCTTTTGCGGGTATGGGCACACGATGCGGTTTTGCAGGTTTCCCTGCAAGTCTGTGACCTGGACCGGGGTTTGTTCTGGCGCCGTCCCGTTTTCGACCCACGCCCGTAGCTGGTCGAACAGCTTGAGGGGGCCGCCGCTGGGACCTCCCACAAGACAGTGGCCCATCCCAGGAACCTCAAAGTGACGATAGAAGCCGTGCACGTCTCGGTGAAGCGCTGAGACCTCATTGTAGTATTTCTCAATGCCTTTGGAAGGGACCAACTGGTCGATCTGTCTCTCTGTTGTTAGAACATTTACTAGGATCTTGAACGATTCGGTAGGATGAAACCCAAGGAGCAATGGATAGTACAACTTACAAGACCATGAAAAGTGACCAGTTTGCCGCCGGCTTGCCGAAAGGCGGACAAGTCAGCATCGTCGGTGCCAATGACAGAGTCGTACCTCTGTTTCCCCTGATGAGCCAGCCAGTCGAACGCGGCATGGCTCAGCCTGGACAGGTCGAAGCTCGGATCCCGCGCGACAAAGAGCGACAGCCACTGCGAGCTCAGCGCCAACGGCACGCCGACGCAGGTTCCACTGCTGCAGTTTGTGATGGCGGCCCCGGCGGTCAGATCCGTGCCGGGGTTCAAGCCTGGCCAGAGCTGCGCTCCTTCGGCGTTGCGAATTCCCTGCCAGGTTGCGTTGACCACAGCAGCCGCAGTCAAGCTGATCTCCAGTGTTCGATTCTCCTGGGTGCAGTGGAAGGCTCGGCCAACCGTCTTGAATGGGTCAAAGGTGGTCAAGCAGCCATCCACGTCACTAATGACACCGTCGACGACTCCGTCCAGCTTGTCGCAGGCCGAAATAGCCTCCGAGGTGATTGCGCTGAGCTCGCATGCATGAGGATATTGGCCCAACATGGCCATGAACTGCTGCGGCCATTGCATGCTGGGAAACAGATCGTTCCAGTGCAGGGCCGGAGCTCCGGCTGCGATGCCATCGTAGGCAGTGGGATACCGCTGAGCAAGCATGAGGCCTTGGCGACCGCCTTGTGAGCAACCGTTCCAGTAGGAGAAGGCGGGAGGTTGGCCATAGTACGATTTGATGATGGATTTTGCCATGATTGCCTGGCTCATCACTCATCATCAGAACGCCCATTCACGACACGAGCGGAAACGCTGGTCAGGGGACTGGGGGAGCACGTGTCGTTGAACTTACCTCGTCCTCCAGTGACACAGACGCGAGGTTTTGCAGATCATAGAGGTTGACGTTCCCAGGACTCAACAAAGCCCATGTTGTCGGGTCTGGGGCTGTGCCGAGTCCCGCATCGGTCGTCACGGTCGCATACCCGTCAGCAATCGCTCCGCTCATGGCGCTGTATACGGGATCAGAACGCCCGGCGACAAAGCCACCGCCGCCGACAGCCTGGAGACGGCGATTCCACCCGGTTGCGGGAAGCCAGGCCTCAACCACGAGGGCGTCATTCTGTCCCGGGTGGGTGTACGACACGGTGATGTTGCAAAAGCTGGCGTTCTGCACCTCGACGGGAGGCTGGGTGAAACGATCGATCGCAGGAACCGAAGCGCTGTAGTTGGTCACAAGCGTCGCCGAGAGAGACAGAACCTCGGCCCCAAACAAGGAGAGATTCTGGAACGTCGCCGGAACACACCTTGAGCCCAATGGCGTCGCCATGGTCACAGGTCAACAGATGGGGGAAGATATGAGAAAAATGGAGGCCCCCGAGGGTTCCTGGGTAAGGCTCAGCTCATGAACTGGAAATACAAAAGACAGACTGTCGAGTTCATCGCGGGGGTCGCAGTAGCTACCTATTTATCTCAACTTACACTGTTCACATGGCCAGTTGACGCGCCGAGTCTGTGTTAGTGCGCGAGCACATTTCTCAAAAGACCAAGGTTGAGCACTTTCTGATTGGCGGTGTGGAAGATGGCCCGATGAGCAAGTTATAAGCGACTTTGGTCGAACCCCCAGATGCGTGCATGAAGAGCGGAATAAACAGTATAACGAGGAGCCTGGAATAGGATCCTCCCGAATCAAGCCCGAGCGCAACCCTGTCACAGGCAAGCGAGTCTACAACAGCCCACACTAACATTTGGGAGCTGTTTTTAATAGTTGGAGATGTGAGTTCGATGAGCATAAACTGAGCCGCTTCCTTGAATGTAGTACTTGAACGTCGTTTGACGTTGGCCAGGCGTACTGTGATGGCCGAGAGGTCAAAGATGTTGCCGTGTGAAGCTCAACGTCGAACTGGAAAGCAACCTTCTAAATAGGTAATGAGAAAAGGCGAAGCCTGTAAACCAGCCTCGGACATAGAGGAACTGGAGATAACTTAGACGCACGTATACCCATTCTCTGGTTGAGATTGATAACTTCCAGTGCCATTACCAGCACTAGCACTTCCTGAAGAAGTTCAGATATGTTGGCCTGGAAACTGCTGGATACGGCGTGCGTTGCAGTCGCTGGTGCACAGACTTGATTGATTCGCAGGGGATCACTATATCAGATCATTCACCCACTCCGGGATCTTACACCTCACATGACGATGAAGGCGCAGCTGTCGCCGGCAACAAGGGCGCCAACCAGCAGGCGATGACGGCCCTTTCAGGGAGGTTTCTAGGTGATGACAATATGGCTTATTGTAGAGAAACGGTTCGGGAAACAATCCTATAGCAGGGTATCATTTCGTACGACCCCAGATCCGCCCCAATGGCCCTTGGGAAGAGGGGCCTACCCAAGGTGGACGGTGGACGGTGGACGCAACAGTTAACAAACTTGAACAACCTAGGACGCCAGCAGCTTACATAACTATTAGTGCCTTGGTCAGATCCTGCTGTAACCATCCGCAGCATCTTCGTCCCGAGCGACCAGAACCCCGCCCGGGTGAAATGAGATCCACGAATCCCGGTGGCCGTTCCGTCGATCTTAGCCGGGAATCATGTCCAGAATACCAACGACTGCTGCCCGCCTCCTCCAAGTTGCAGGTTGCAAGGCCAAGATTAGGAAGAAGAATAGCTGAACCCGATGGATGATTCAAATAGTGGCAGGCTGCCCGGCATTGAAGCTTCAGATTCAAACCCGATCGATTGATCTTCCCCCCTTGAGCTAGGTAAGTAGTTCACTCTCTACGCTCCGATGCCCATCATGAAATCAAACCCATCATCAAGCACGGTCGCATACTGCGTGCTGGGAGTAGTCGCCGCGGCCGGAGCAGTCGCGGCTCGCTGCAGCGCACCACACTACTCGCTCAGTAGGGAGCCCGCCTCTCCCATCTCGCAGCCCCTGGGGCCTCAGTTCGTGAGCTACTCGTTCGAGCCGGCCTTCTGGATCGAGTTCTTCGGCGAGCCCGACTCGCCCCGGAACCTCACCTTCACGCTTCTGAATCACCTCCACGAGCGCGGGGCGAGACCCATCATCCGGGCGGGCGGCATCACCATGGACAGCATGGTCTTCGACGGACGCCAGAAGGCGTCCGTGGTGCGCACCGAGGACGGGAAGGGCGGCATATACCGAACGACCGTCGGGCCCGCCTTCTACCGGCAATGGGATACTTTCCCGCCGGGGACTCGCTTCGTGTCGACGCTCAACTTCGGCAACGCCTCTCTCGACATCGCCCGCGGGCTGGCCGCCGCCTCCTACCAGCTGCAGCGCGACAAGATCGCCTACTACGAGCTGGGCAACGAGCCGACCAACTACCCGTCGAGCCGGTGGAACGGGAGCACCGCAGCCTACATCGCGCAGTGGCAGCACTTCACCGGCGAGATCGACGCCGCCACCCACAACGACAGCCACGGCCGCTGGTGGGCGTCCTCGGCCACCACGGACATAACCCCGCTGAGAGTCCGCCCCAGCGACCTCATCCCGGCCGGCGTCAACTCCACGGGCCAGGTCGGCCAGTACTCAATCCACTCGTACGCCTTCGCCACCTGCGACCCGGCGCGGGCGGCGCGCGCCACCATCGCCAACCTGCTCAACCACACGCTGGTGCTGCACTACGTTGACACCGAGATCCTGCCCTCGGCGCAGGCCGCCATGGCCGCGGGCGCCGGGTGGATCATCGGCGAGTTCAACTCGGTCGCCTGCAGCGGCAAGCCCGGCGTGTCCGACACGTTCGCGCAGGCGCTGTGGGCGGCGGCCGCGTCGCTCGCCTACGCGGCGCGCAACGCCAGCGCCGTGCACGCCCACCAGGGCGCCGCGCTCAGGTTCCAGAGCGACCAGCAGCTGAATGCCCCCGGCGACGATGGCAGCCCCGGGTTTAGTAGCTACTCGCTGCTGTATCCCGTCGATTCGAGCAAGCGGGGCGAGGCGAGGGTCCTGCCGGTGTTTGTGAGCCAGTTGTTGCTTGCGGAGGCTCTCATCGACGATGGAAATGGTGGTGTTGTTGGTGGGTATAGGATTGCGGCACTGGATACGCCGGAGGGGTTGAGCCAGGATGGTTTCGCCGCGTATGGCATTTTTGGTGGTGCTGCTGCTGGTGGTTTGAAACTGGCAAAGATGGTGATTTTGAATACGAAGCCGTACTATGCCGGCCAGGACGCAGCGCGCGGGACCGTGTCGCTTGACATCGGGAAGCACAAGGGGGCGGCTGTGAAGCGGATGACTGCGCCGTCCGTTGACGAGACAGACACTGCCAAGGTGACGTGGGCTGGGCAATCGTTCAGGAACGGGAACGCTGTTGGGCACGTCTCGGTCGAGCGTCTCCGGGCGAGGGAGAGGGTGCTGTTGAGGGATAGCGAGGCGGTTTTGGTTACGTTCGAGGAGTGAGGATCACAGTAGAGCACCGTAGAGAAGTAATGGGCTTGTATCCATGGCACCTACTCTGCAGCACCAGCATGGGCATCCTCGAGAGCCATCCTCATAGCAACATCAACGTTCACAGAGCGTGCTCTGATATCCTCAGTATACTCCCTGACTTTGAACACCACCTCGTTCCCAGAATCCCGAACCCCCCCCCCACTGCCACCATCCTCCTCCTCCACATCAAGCCGGAGAACGCGCGGATTCATCTCGCGCAGCCTCTCGGCCTCTCGGATCCCACATACAAGGTGGAATTTGAATCCGTGAAGAACCTCAATCCAGTCACCCACATCCTCATACGCATGAATCGTACCATGGCCCTCATTACCGTGCATGTCCCTCCAGTACCCGGCGGCAAAGTCGAAACCGGCTCTGTCGGTAACAGCATTGCCATCCCATGTGTCCAAGAGCCGTAGAACGATGCCATTATCGTCCTTTTTTGCAGTTGTCTGGGCCGCCAAGGTGGCCGCGCCATGAGGCCTCGCAGCAGGGGCATGGCGTGATCGTCGCGGAAGTCTTCGGCCGTTATGGTGCCTGCGTGGTACGGAGGCGCCGGCAGAGACGGGTCAAGCCGGTGCGGAAGGGTCATGGGCATGTGGATTTCAAGGACGCAGGGTGTGTTGGCGTCGAGTTGGAGGGCGCTGGGGCGGAGGAGTTTGACCGTGTGAGCGGCCATAATGGGAGCAGTGCCGTATAATAGTGGAGATGGGGAGTTGATAGTCTGATTGAATCTTGAAGGTCTTGGAGAGGGCAGGACTTGGTCTGGGGGACCCTCTTCTCCTTTAAATATTCAGAGCTGTAAAAATTGAGGCAGCCTGTGGTTTGATTAAATTACCCGATATATGTACGGTAAGTACGTTGAGACTCATCATGCTCATCCCGCCGGCATGTCGAACAAGGCGTGGAAAAAGGACCGGTACGTACCTGTTATCGAGTGGCGTTGCAGTCCATAGCCTATAGTTAGGGGCCGTGAATCCCCAGCCTCTGACTTACACTACATTGTTAAACACTGCAGTATCAGTCCAATAAGATAAAAGGAAAACCAGGAATCGAGGGGGTACGTACCACACTTGGCTCACTGGGTGTCATGAATTAGACCTGCAGAAGCCAGGTGGGGCCGACCGGCATGGCCCGCGAGCGGGGACCTATCGGAAGATACCGCTTTCTTGGCAATGGGCAACGAGCTTCAGATGGTACCTCCCTAGGTACTCAGAGCAAGAGGACTCGAAAGGGGTTCGTTCAGTGATGTGTTCTTGGTTGTGTAAGGTGTGCGTGAGTGCAGTGTTGGAACCCGGTGCATTCCAACCGCCTACCTATAGTGTAGGAGCGACAGAGACTATTATTGCTTGGTTGCTCAACAAGTGTCGGACACGTGGTTTATTAATTCGCATCCTCGACGACTACGGAGTACTAGTAGAGGAAACAAGAGCTGTTATCGGCAACGTCGTCCCCATGCTTGTCGGCCCAACCTTAATAACCCCCGCGCCCGCCTGTTGGGAGGCCGAAGCACGTGCTATGCCACATGACCAATATGTATTCGCCGGAGTCGGCCGGATAGACCTCTCTTTTTCAAGCACGAATGGCATTTTGGCGTCTCTGCATCACACCCAATCGACCCACCGCGTAACCACGACGTTCACCCTGTTCTTGCAAGTTGAGAGAGTCTTTGCGGCTCCTGTTGATTCAGTGCGTACGCCGCACGGGAGTCTGTTAGAAGGAGCCTGACCTTTTAGTTTCTACGGAGTCTTTGCGCCATTGTACGCTTCAGGAACTGAAGGTGAGATGTGGGACCGCGATCCAGAGACCGGCTTGATATATATGAAGGGCTTTATGGGCCACCACGAGGCGATCGCGGATCCCGACACCCTGAAGGCCCATGATAACTACCTCTTCTTCAAGAACAATGTCCCGCAACCCTTCGACAAACCATTCCCGATGCGCGAGAATAACCTGGAGACTTCGTTACTCGGCTGCGAGCGTATCCCGCGGACCGCAGACACAACGGATTACTGTCCGAACATGCGGCAGCGTCCGACGCTCATGTGGATAGCGCCCATAGAGTTGCGTTTTCAGACGGACAAGGTGACGGACCCGGAGTGGCCTTTCCTGAACAGATTGGCGAGTATATGTGTCGAGGCCGAGGTCTACACCTGCACCAACAACGAATGCGAGAAAAAGAGGAAGACGCTGGAGGGGATCGTGCCAAAGTGCGAGTGGAAAGGGTTCCGGGAGTGGATCATACGCGCTGTGTCTTGCCAAATGTCCTTCCCGGAGGTGGAGAGGTACGGCCAGACATTCTTCCACCTCGCGTCCGCCGTGGCCGCCTGCCAGTGGCTCGTGTACGAGTACAAGACGAAGGCGGTCCGGTTCGGGGGGGAATTCGTTGGGAACGGGGGCAAAGCATGCTCGATCGGTGACGTTTTCGCCGTGTTGGACATGATCTATTGGGCGGTCGTGGTGGAGTCGCACACTATGCACTTGAGCACCGTCCTGACTATGCCGTGGTCATCGGACTTCGTGCCAAGCAAGGTGCTCAAGGCTGCGGTGGACCAGGCGTCGGCGTCGGCGGGCGAGCTGGGCATCTGCCTGAACCGGCTCTGGAACCTCGCGCTGGTCACAGAACGCCGGGAGGCCGATCTCCCCGCCTTGGTGGGACTCGCCGCCGCTCGACCACGGGAACTCCGCCATACACTTCGCCATAAGGGCCACGAGGATTGTCGGGCGGGGTTCTGCAGGCTAACCTCCGTCGATAGCACCAAGGTCACGCAGCTCCATAAATGCGAAGGGCGGATCGTGCCCGAGAAAGCGAAGCAATGCGAAACGGCGAAGCTCTTCTTCGACCGGGAAAAGCTGAACGCTGGGGGCAGCACGGTGTGGTCGATCAACACAGTCCCGAAGCCGGAAATCCTGCCGTCTGGAGAGCCGTACAAGTACGTCGCCATATCCCACGTCTGGTCGGACGGCACGGGAATCGGAATGGGAACGGTTGGAGAAGTAAATCCGTGCCTCTTCAAGTTCTTCGCCACCCTGATCGAGACGATCGACGACGGCTACAGCGACATCAAGTGGGACCCTGTCTCCATCCCCACGGAAGCGAAAGCCAGACGGAAAACGATCGGGATCTAGTGGGACACCATCTCTATCCCCACAGAAGAGCAAGCCAGACGGAAAGCGATCGACGAAATGCACTACAACTACCAGGAGGCACAGTACACCCTCGTCAACTTTGAATGGGCCGACGACGGCAGCCCCTGCGTTGCGCTTGTGCTTTCCGCCTGGCTGACGCGCGGCTGGACGGCCCTCGAGTTCATCATGTCCGGAAAGGTCAAGGTCATATTCAAACAAGCCGGAGGGGATCACGGGCTCGTCGTCAAAGACATGGACGCGGACATCCTGGCCCGAGACCCAAGCACCTGCTCACGGGCGTACTGGATCGCGTCCCAAGTCCTCGGCCGGCGGTCGCAGTATCGGAACTGTTCGGCGCGGCGTCACAGCTGCACGTTGGTTCGACCTGCGTGATTGGAAAGATGGCATAATCGCCGGGTCGTCCTGGTTCTCCCCGCTGACGAAGGAGGACGTCCAGGTGAACCGCATCTACTCGACTTCCTCGCACCCAAAAATTGTGATGATGGTCGAGGCCGCCCTTCAGAACTGGCGCAGCTGCATGCTGATGCGGGAGGACCCAGAGCACAGAGGGCCGTGCCTGCTCGTGGTGTCCCGAGGAGGAATTGACACTGACAGACACCGGACGATAGAAATCAAATACATCGGCTGCGTCCTCGAGCTCGCAGAAGGAGCGTCCGGCTCATCCAACAGAACATACCACCCGTGGGACTTCAAAATGGGTATGGCAGGTGATAGACCAGAGGTCGATGCAGGCGACATATTCGAGTTGCCGAGTTGGGCGCCAGAAAGGTTGAAGACGATGGACTGGCTTCCAAACAAGGTGTGGATTGGGAACCAACCCCACAGCGGCCACTTCTTAGTCGCCCGGCGACACAAGGGGCGCGACAACCATACGGCCCTACACGCCTTCAAAATGACAGACGACTCGGTCAGGAAAACATCTAGTTACGGCCTTGAGGAACCGCTACTAGTTGTATCCTCGGAAGGGGAAGTCAGCAACAGGTTCAACACCGCATCGATAACGCTGCAGCGCGTTAACTTGAAGCATGTATGGCCGTCGAAGACCATCCCTTGCGCTGAGAGTGATGATTCACTCGGAGGAGGCCGACGACAAATTCAACCGCGAGCTGAGCACCAACCTATTTGAACTGGCCCACGAGACCAGAACTTACACCTACGCGGCGCTGGAGGGAAAAGCGTTATTCCCTTCCAAGGAGCGGCCATACCAAGGCCTCTGGGCTTGTATGTATCCCATAATATTGTTCCCAGTTGAGTCAAAACTGCCTAAAAGATGAAGCTGAATGAAATCGATGTAGGCAGTCGCCCGAGCCTTATTCAATATCATCCCCATCAGAGGTGCGAGGTTATCCTCCTCAACTATACCGGGGGTAAATATTAGTTACCGGGTACAAGGAGAACCCAAGAGGCGATATCTCCTTCAAGTTGTCATTCCCTCGTGGCGACCGCGATACAGGCCCCGCCACTCCGGAGGCTGAGGCTCCGTTTCAAGCGGAGATCCGAGTCTATGACTGCTATGGTAGGTTTTAGCTCGAGTATTTGTATCCTTTGCTGCCAACATTTGGCCCTGTTACAGCACTACCCAAGTGCTATCTATCTTCTAGATCCTCATTGCAATATTTGGAAATCCATGGGGGTACATCTGTTTTCAGAGTCCGATGACGCTTTTGATCTATTCAGGACAGACGGCCACAAGTGGGGTTACCCCCAGCTTATGGTATTCAGGTTTAGACGTATTCACGTAAAGAGCTTACTTCCGGATATATATTGAAGCAGGACGTGGTAGCCGAGGCCATGGACTGGACGCGAGGACGGTTGCCGGCAGGTGGTCGGGATGAGGTGCGCGGCGTGGGTCGACATGGCCGTTAGCGTCAGCGACAGGGCAAGTTTTCAGAAGGCGATGAGGATGAATGGTCACGTCGCGCGGCAGCGGTACATGGCCATGACGGTGATGGGTTAAAGATTAATAGGCCAAAAAAGGGCCAGGGGTGAGGTCGCGCTCGCGGTGGCGGGGCTCGTGCAACGGCCAGAGCGGGCTGCGGCCGAAGATGAGGCAGATGACGGTGAAGTAGGTGAGGATGTGGCTGCTAAATCCAATGGAACCGTAAGGGAGGGCATAGCATTTGAGAGCAACTAGCACGGGGGAGGCATGATTCTGAACTGCGGTTTGGCTCTGAGCTGTGGATGGGATTTCTGTGGTTGTTTGGTACAGTACTCTTAACGACTGGCACGAAGAAGAAGAAAGGAAATAGAGGCTGGGCCGCACTGCGCACCCAATTTATACCCGGCCAGGTCGGTCCCGAGCGCCGATAAGGACCCACACCTTCCGATAAGGTGGGGCCGGGAGCTCGGTCCTTGGCGCGGCCCTCTCGAAGGGAGCCGGCCAAAGGACCCTTCCCGTGCACCGAACAACGGCCGGAATGGCCAATTACGAGCTCAGACGAGCGTTCATATGGTCTATTTCCTATGTGATTTTCATCTGATGTGTTGAAGGACCTTGTGATGAGCAGCCGCATGCGCCTGGGGGGGTGTCACAAGGAATCGGGCATGTGTACGGAACCCACGTGTCTGGACTCGGGAGCGGCATTCTACGCACGGGCCGCTCCGTGGAATATATTAGGGTGGTCCTCTCACCACTATGTTGCTTCTTTTCTCTTACTTAGCTAGAACCCAATATACTCTCTTCGTTTATGCCTTTCCGTGCTCTGATACCTATTGAGGACCTTTTCCCAATGTGGGGATGTCACATTGGGAAGAATGGAAGTGGCGTAGAATAGAGGGCTATTGTGCCTAGAATCGGATCGGGGGTTGGAAATAGGGGCATTCTCCGGAAGCGGTCTGCATCATTAACCCCTCGTATCAGGGGGTCTTTGGGGGGGGGGGGGGGGAGGGGGGGGATTTTACGGTTGGGTGATGGTTCTTGCTGGCTACCTAACGTTAATCCAGACACTCTGGTGGGTTTTCGGGTTGACACCAAGAAGTGAATTCTCTCATTGAAGGGACTTGATTCTCCCTCTCTCCAGCGGTGGGCATCTCCCTAATCCTGTTAAATTTGTTCTCAACAACCGCTGTTTTACTTCTCAACAGTAGAGCATCGGCAACCCAGCATCCGAGCTTAAATTCCATAGCTTCAAGCCACGAGCGTTTCAGGGTACCGTGACTTTCCAACACCTTGGTAACCTTATTAGCACCTAATCAACACTTGTGTACTCCAGTGGTGAATGAAAGGGTCTGGCTTTCTACTATTGGGTCCGAGTATCTAGTCCCTCGACGGCCAAGCCGTTCCAAGATGATCTTTTCAATGCTTTTACCTACCTCCACTCCTTCCGTAATGAACTTCCACCAGTACTTTTTCGTTGCTTCTTGATCAGTAGGGACCCCTAGAGAGACGCAAGGGTTAACAACGCATGCTCGTGAGTCAGGGTACTTCCATTGCAGGGAGGTTGAAGTGGAACCGCGAGAATACAAAGAGACGGACCCCAGGCTCTTTGCCATTACTTGACGGCGGTCTGGGTGCGGTTATAGAAGGAAAATCATGTCAAGCCTACCATTTTCGATATACTCAAGCAGAGCGGACTCCCACTCTCTTCGTTCCTCACAGTGGGCTAGAATGGGGTTGATCCAGCTCGTGCGCCGCTCGAGGGTATCTGGGTTAAGTTACGCTATAGCGCCGAGCAGCGAACGCCGCGAGCTGAGCTCGGTAGAGATACATGTGGTTCTGACTCGACAATCCTTACGCAGCCAGTCGCGTACGCAATCGTGAGGCTTGATAAGGAAGCTGCTGGCGATGGCGCAGAAAGCGAGCCAGATGGATATAACGATGGCATTCCAGTCCTGCTGGGCGCATGACAACAGCGCTACAGCCCACTGGCCAGCAATGAGCACCTGTAGGACGGCGGACCACAACCGCTGTGTGCGGCCGGGCGACGCGCCGGTCCGGAAGAGCGGTTTGTTGAGCAGCGAGTTGACGATAGGGCTGGGCCCCATGAAGGCCCACCAGTGCGTGCCGTTCCAGCTGCTCGTACATAGCACCAGGGGCTGGTATTCGGTGCGGCCCGACACGCCGTCATCCACGAGCCGCCGCCCCCCGCCACCGTGCGTCGCCCGCACTGCCAGCCCCGTCAGCGGCAACAGCAGCAAGTATGCCGCCGCGACGTACAGGCCCGAGGCCAGGCGAAGTACCAGCGTGCTAGCGAGGGCTAGCCAGCCGCCGCACGCGAGCGCGCGGCTGCGGAAGCGTGTCCACGACTTCGAGCGCCGCAGGCTGCCGAATGGTACCGAGGTGCTCGGCACGCCCCCCGCGCGCTCTAGCAGCACCAAGTTGAGCGTCTGACGGCGGATGGAACGCTCGCGCATGTTGGGACAGGTGTTGGCCACGCGCACGGCCTGTGTGCTTTGTGATGCTACGGCGAGCCGCGTTGGCGTGCTGCTCGGGTAGCAGTCGCCGTAGCGGCCGTCGACGCAGTGCAGCGCCGTGCAGCGCTCCTCGCGGTCCAAGCAGCAGGCGTGGGCGTTGTCCAGCGTCGCGAGCAGCAGTCGCGCCCTTGCTGGCGTCATGGGCCAGTTCCAAAGTGGCACGCAGCCTGCGAGCTCAAAGACGTGGAGCTTCGTGGGTACGTTGATGAACTCGATCAGCGCCGTCAGGGGAAGTATGCCTGCCAGTTGCTGCGCCCATTCGGGTAGCAACGGAGGGGCGACGAGTGGCATAGACATTAGAGCGGTGAAATGATAAGGGGATGTAGGCACTAACAGCTGCCACGCGGGTGATGGGGATTCGATATGGTATATTAACTCCGTTGACTTCAATTTCGAGCCGTATCATGAAATATTCAACGCCTGGGTTCTTATACCTTGTGTAGACTTCTCAAAAGGAGGCTGAAGTCATTGGTACCACGCTTCAGACCTGTTCGTTTTTGTTGGCGATCTGGTGGGCTGTCTCTGCGGCTTACTAGCACGATGCTGGTTGGCTCAGGGCTGTCCAGCGGAGAGGCGAAGCTGCTGTACGTGTGGCCAGTGATGTGATCAGGCATCTCCGGGGGCTTTCTTCTATCACGTTGAGGTATGGAAATATATACGGTATTCCTAGATCCGCACCAATGCTTCCGCGCATGAGTAATATAGCAAAGCACGATGGGCTAGGCATAATGCGTACTATTGTAATGGGGTTACGGACGATAGAATTCGGTTGCCATCGGAGCAGGCTGTATGGATTCCGTATTTCACAATAGAACCTCCAATGCAATAACAGTAATAAGTACCGGTTGGCCCTATATTATGCGTTCCCATGTACCAACCCTTACTTCTACGCAGGTCTGCCTCGTTCTCAGCCATGGCGTCTCATCTCACTTCGTCTGATCCCGCACCAGTGCCGATGTCCGTATCCAATCCAATTACTAACCGCCTGCGCCGAAAGAGCTGCAGACTCGAACCATTCCACCATGCCCTCGCCTCTGTCGAATATCTCCCCTTCGCATCCCACAACCCCTTACTACAAACATCGTTCAGGTTCGACTGTGACCTGCTTTGACCCCGGGACCACTCCGAAGTCATGACTGAAAAGCTTCACTTTCGACGTGTCACCTCTTTTCCCAAGCCCCCTGCGCTTCAGCCGCCTCCGCCGTAGCAGGATCGGGCAACAGAGACGATGGGTGGTCAGTTCCTGTTTCCTCTTCCTCTTCCTCTTCCTCCTTCTTCTCCCTCTTCCCCCTTACTGCGAGCGCCACGGCGGCGTCTTTGCCTAGTTCACTTGGCCCCGTACTCGAGGCTCGATTCCCGTTCGTCTTCTGATTCGGGACGATACCATCATTACCCGCGTTTGCCGCTGGCGGCGCAACGTCCGTAACAGCGACTGCTCGTGACGGCGGAGCTTTCCTTGGCGACGCGACGGGCGAGGACAAGGCACTGTCTGATCCCACCCCATCCAGCATTGATTCGCCGCTGATCGAGCCCCCAGTGAGAGGCCTGTGTTCGCCCGCCCCATCGAAATCGTCGGTTCTTCTGCCCGATGATGAGGTTGACGCCCGCGGGTCCTTTTCTGACACCACATCATATCCGCTAGCCTGCGACGCCCGGCTCTTACTGGCTTTGCCCCAGCCAACAGTCCACCCGCCGCCGCCGCCTGCACTCGTAGTCGTCGTGGCGGTGTTGTCACCGCCCGCTGTCGACCTCCCCCATCCCTTACGCTTCTCGCCCGCCCAGGCAGCCCAGCTGTTGACAAACGCCCCAGCTTTACTCCCCACCGTTTGCACTGTATGTTGCGCCTTGCCGAGGTCGACGCCACCGCCACCGCCGCCTCCGTTTTTCTCGTGGGGTTGCTCTCCGGTACCTGCTTGCTGCTGCTGCTGTGCAGCCCTGGCCTCCTCATTGCGCTTCCGCTGCGCCTCCCTCAGCGCCTCCATATCCGCATACAGCTTGTTGAACAGAGTGCTGGCCTTCTCGCGGCCAGCCGCCAGGTTGCGCCCGAGGGCTTCCCGCCCCTGGGCAAATCGCTCGTCCCAGTGGAGGTCCTGCACCTGCTGGGTGATGCGGCGCTGGATGTCGTCGATCGTGAGGCCGCCGGCACAGGGGTGCTTCGGCTCGACAATGTCAAAGAGGTGCGAGTCGGTGTGCGTGTTCCAGATGCGGTAGTTTTCTGTGCGCGTCCAGGCTTCCACAAAGTCCGGCCCGAAGTCGTGCGAAGGATCGCCTTCAATCTCGGGGAGCAGCATCCGTGGGTTGTGGGCATACTTGGCTAGGTGGGCATGGTATTTGACGGACGAGATGAGGGAGAGGAGGTATTCTTCGAATTGCACGCGGATGAACTCCTCACTGCCGACGTATCCCATGGTTTTCGGCCGGCTGGGGTTGGCGTCGTCCCATGTGTCGTTGACATTCTGGGTGATGAAATCTATCCAGCGACGGTCAGGCGTGGAGAGCTGCAGAGCGGCTTTTAGAGACGGTGACGTGATGTTGATGGTGCCCTCGTCGAGGTTGATCAGAATATCGCTGTATCGGTCCTTCTGCTGTAGGAGGAGCGAGTTCGTGCTGCCCACGATGTATGACTTGGTGCCGAAATCGGCAAGGATGTCGAGTTGCTGCAAGGGTGTGTATGGTCCAAATAAACTTCCCTGTAGGAGAGAGGTTGGTGAGCATCCCAGCCGGAAGCCTCCCTTCTTAAACACAGAAGCGGTGCCTACCTTCCCGAAGATCTGCAATGGCAAGCCCATGTATGCCAGCAGGGAGTTCCGGTCACTAGTTCTCAAGCTTGTCGGCGTTGACAGATTCTTCTCGTAGCTATCCAGGTCGGGCCCGGCAGCATCTTGCAGGTTGCGGAGAAGCCCGGGTATCAAAGAAATCAAGGAGAACTGAGTCAGACACAGGCGCTCGCACCGCGTGCCAAAGAAGAGCATCTACAGGTGCGTATTCACAGGTCAGCAAACGTGCGCTGACATTGGGAATGCACGTCGGGAGCCGTTACCTTGGGTTGCAATAGACAGCACTTCAGCAGCACCAGCGTCTGCCACCTGAACTCACGCACCAGTTCCCTCAAGCTCAGGCCCAGGTACTGGTCCCTGTCCTGGTCCTCGTGCATCAAGCCCCGCGCCTTCTCATCAGCCAAACTCTCCTGGAAGCGGCGCAGGATCTCGACATCTGTGAATTCCCGTTGGGCGAACCAGGCCTTGGTCACCACGCTCAGCCGCTCCCTCAGCATGCCAAAGTACTGCGGACTGTCTGCAATGACCACGACGGCTTTCTGGACGGTCGAACGGGTCACGTCGGCAGGCCTGACGAGCAATTGGGCGGCGTCTATCTGTCTGGTGCACGAGATGCCGAAGAGGGACGTGGCTGCCGCTGAGTCGGTTGCGGGGCGCAGGAGTGTGAAATAGGAGAAGTCCTCGGTCAAGCTAGGGGTTGCGCCGATCAGCAGGATCCTTCCCGCAGAGTCTAACTAAGCGCGAGGGAGGACATACGCATGGGCGCCGTCGCTCAATGCCATGAAGGGTAGCAGCGTCCAGTCATACTCGGCAGCCGGGTCGTGGCCCTCCTCGACGCCGAACCACATCTCCACCTCGGGGCCGCGCGCATGGTGGAAGTCGACGACCGAAACGAGCGGCGTGAAGCTCTGCCTAGGGCTCTTCTCGGCCGTCGGCGTCGGAGGGACGCTCATGGCTAAACACAGTCAGGAGAGGCGGCGTCCGTGTCTGCACAATGCTGGCGATGATGAGCCTCCCCCGGGGTATGTATATATGTCGAGTCAGAGGCTCTCGTGGACAGTCTTCTACTCTGCGTGGGCTGCCATGAAGTGCCCCAAGATCACTTGGCAATTTCTGGGTATTATTGACTTGCTGTCAGGGCCTATGCTCGTCGAGCTTCGAACCTCAGGAACCTTGCGGGTGCCGATTGGGTCCAGTAAAATTTCAGTGGGGACTTGTCGGCGGTATGAGGGGCACTGGAGACAACGAGACGGGGTTGAGACTTCACCGAGGAATTCGAGAAGCTGGCATCGAAACACGGGCTTGACTTGGCCGGATAATGACACAGATGTCACATAAAAGAACTCACCGTGGCCGACTGTCGCTGATTGAATTGCCAAGGCGCGTGTGGCGGCGGCAGAGGCGGTCAGCGAGGTCGGTTGGCCCAGGCCATCGAAGCCTGTGATGGGTTGAATGGGTGACGTGCGAAACCTTGACTGGATGCTTGGGCCTCTGGGTTTCACAATCGGCGTCGGCGGTGTCCGCCAATTGGACATGCCCAATCGGAAGGAGCTAAAAATGGTGAGGGGGATTGCAGCCGATATTAGGAACTGTGCTGTATTTTACCGATCGCAAAGACGCCGGTAACGGTATTACTGGGCGGGCAGTTGTGTTCTGCTGGGAATCCAGCGGCTCCTTGCCTACTGCATCTGACTCTAAATGTCTCTCAGGCTACCTAAGTATAGGCATGCCGCTGCGAAGGCAGTCTCAATACAAGAGGGGACGAGGGACATAATTATGCTCTGGCCGCGAATATAATCCAAGCCCCGTCAAACTTCATACGAGCGATCAAAGCCCATCCCAGGGCTCCCGCCAATCTAGTTTAAAACCAACTCAGGAGAATCGCAGCGCGATGATACGCCTCGGCGACAACAACGACCTCTCGGTCCAGTACCCCCCTAGCTCCGTGCTGCTCCCGTCTTTTTCTTCCTTTTTTGTCTTGCTTGTTAGCATAAAGGAGACCTTCCATTCTTCCAACGCCACTTCCCGAAAGCCATAGCCAACGATGATCGTGACGTCTCACCGTCACGACACAGCCATTCTCGTAGTCTGGTCCCTGGAATCACGACGGAACGTTCATTGGCCGACGAAGCCCTGGTCTGCCATCGCGTCGACATTGGCCGCCCCCACATTATGGTAGTCCAAGATCTCCGAGTACCTTTGCACAAGTCCGTCAGCTGACTCAATCAAACAAACGAATCACCCCCTGACTCCGGTAACTCACATCATGATCTTCCAGGTGTCGACGGGAAGATCGGCATCATTGAAGCTCCAGTCAAACTTCTCCTCGGCAACAGGCTCATCGGTGGGATCGTGGTACGGCGCAAGGTAATCGTGAGCTAGGGCCGCGGTCGCGGTTATCCGTTTCTTAGGATCAAAGACAAGCATCCGCTCCAGCATGTCAATGGCTATAGGACACATCAGCACCCAGTCTGTAGCAAGAATGGAGGTAGGGCATGGCTTACCCGATGGGTCGGCGTTCTTGAATTTGTTCTTGAGCGGTTGCCTTTCCCGCCTGGGCAGGGACTTGACGAAGCGCAGAGTCTAGGGTATCCAGTCAGCACCTTTCTACTTCAAACCCAGAACTTCTGAATTCGCTTACGTTCTCACTAGCAATGGTGTTGATAACGTCGTCCGGTGGTGTGCCCAGGAGCTCTGTGATGATAGAAAACTGGTTGACGTGGTCCTTGCCGGGGAAAAGCGGCTTGCCCTCGAGCATCTCGGCGAAGATGCAGCCCGCGCTCCAGATATCGACCTCGACGTCGTACTTCTGCCATGTGAGCATGATCTCGGGCGCTCGGTAGTATCTCGTAGAGACGTAGCCGGTCATCTGAGGATCCTGAATACGCGCAAGGCCGAAGTCGCAGATCTTCAGGTCGCAGTTCTCGTTAACCAGAATGTTGCTGGGCTTCAGATCTCGGTGGACGACGCCAGCCGAGTGGACATATTTCAGCCCTCTCTGCGGAGGGATTAGCCAAGCTCGTGATCGTGATGTCCTTCTTAGTAACAGGTACGCACCATGATCTGGTATAAGAAGTACTGAATGAATTGTTTTTCCAGCGGTCTGGAGGTGAGCAGCCTGTGAAGGTCGGTGCCCAGCAGCTCCGTGACGAAGTAACTGTGCAGGGGGTCAATTCGTGTTTCCGATGCTTAGGGAAACCATCTCTTACATATCCTCCAGCGGAGAAATGAAGATGTCACTCAGAGAGATAACCTGCGGAGAGAACCGTTAAGACTGCCCTCACCGGCACAATATGCGGATGCTCGAGAGACTAACATTCTCGTGCTTCAGGTGTTTCAACAGCTTCAACTCTCGGTACGTCCGCTTGGCGAGAACTGGAGTGCTGAAGGGCTTCATGATCTTTTTGATGGCGACATTCTGATTTGTGAGCTGGTCTTTCGCGGAGCTATGTCGGCAATGTCACCGGTCAGCATCGCGATCGCATAAGTGCAGTAGCTGGGGACGGGGCGGTCCACGCACCAAACCAGCCCAAATGCTCCCATGCCCACCGGCTGGAGGTCAGAATACCTATTGCGGGTCAGCCCAATCCCTCGCTCTGGGTCCCGGGCATTCGCACCTCGAGGTAATCTCGAAGGTAGTTCCAAAGATCTGGGCGCGCACGAATTCTGCCATGGCGGGCGATCTTTTTGTTGCGGTTCAAGAAGAGGGTGTAAGGGAAGTGGAAGATGCGGGGCACGAGGCAGATGTGGCGGGGTTTGTAGACTCTGCAGCCGATAAGGCTAGTATGCTGAAGCGATGTGAGATGCTACGTTAAACGGATGTCGGGCAGCGAGCGATCGCAAAATCGTGAATGACGATAGGGCTTCTCGGGAACAGCAAATAATCCAGCAACGGCGCCAGACGCTCTCGGATGCTCGATTATTCTCCGTGCCTGCGATTCGGTGGGGGGACGGCTGGAGATCGGTAACAGCGGGTCCGCCGGGGATGCGCTAGAAACAGGCCTTGATTCGAGACGACAGAATATTAGCTCATACTCTCAAAATGGGGTCACGTTGCCGTAATCGTGTCGAGACTCGAGAAGAGCATTCCTGCGGCCTTAGCACAGTAACGCACTTACCTGGAATTGTTAGTAGCCTGTTGAGACGAGCTTCCAAAAGCGGCGTGGCTTTCTGCTTTGCCCGCGTTGGGAAGTAGTCGAACGCGCCCCCGAGTCGCTGGCCTTGAACGGCAGATTCGGGCGCTCTGACCTCTACTGTGGCTCGGCACGCGAAATGATGGTAAGTACTGTAGGTGGCCGGCGATGCTAAAGCTTTAGTGTAACTTTCCGGTCAGAGGCCTGTGGCTATGTGTGATCGTGATTCGTATCATTGGGCTGCCACTCACCAGCACAGAGAAGTTCGACTTAAGCAGGGACAAGCACAACGTGCGTCAGCGCAGGCACTATCAGCTTGGGCGTCTTCACGAGAGAGTGAAGAGAAAGGAGAGCGAAAGAGGGTGGCCTGGCAGGTGAAATTCTTTTTGACTCGCAGGTTCCCAGAGGTAGATCAAGTATTTGGGGAAGCTGCCATGAGCTGCGACGGATGGGGGCTGGAATGCAACACAACGCGGGGTCCGGTTTGGGGAGCAGGATCTTGGAGCTTTTAGTATTCCATGGCAGCCCCCCGTTTCCCTTGACCCCGGGAGTTCTCACAATGCCCACTAACTAGTATACGCAGGCTCGAGACAAGACACAGAGCACTCCCCTTATATCAATCCTGTTTCAATGCGCACACAGGTCCTAGACTTACAGAGGGCATTTGCAAGTTATCCGGCGCGCCAGTTGGCCGGCCGTGGTAAGTCGCAGACTCTCACTCTCGCATAGCATTGAAATACATAGTATGAGAGCTCGGCTCGTCTATATGGTTGGCTTGGTGCCCCCTGGCTCCAGGTAACGAGCTACGCCAACGCGTCTGCAACCCTACTACCTAGGTACTAGCGACTACACGTGTAGCTAGCCGGTACTGCTGTGTATACAGTGGCACTGAGAGTGGGCGCTTCGAAACTCCCGATTAATTGATCCCGGGCGGGGCGCTTCTTGCGCTATGACGTAGGTCGCATCTAGGCCCATGACCCCGGTTGGCCGCAGAACCAATCGACGCCGATGTCTCTTCCTGTGGTCTATCAGATTCTACGCTTTGGTCTGGTGAACTACACACCTACATTACCTAAGGTAGGTAGCCTAACACTCCGCACAAAATAGGATTCGGTTGAAATTCCCATCTCGACTTGAATCTCGAGGCTCTTCAACCCCGGTGTCTTCCACAGAACATACCAGGCTATTCGTACAATACATAGGTACAGCACCTACTAAGTTGAGGCTTCAACATCGAGCTCAGCCTATTGATTCACAGATGTGTACCTTACCCTCATCTTCGCTGGTCCCTCTACCTATATCCTAGTGTCCCAGCATTTCCCATAATGGCCCATCAGCATCCACAGGGGTCGTCTGCCGACGCCAAGCTCGTGACATCCCGAGGCCAGACCGTCCGGATCATCAGGGGTCAAGTAACGATGGAGGCAACGCGACTTCCTAAAAAGCAGATCGGCGATTTATAACAGGCTCTTTCACTCTAGACACACGCTCCTAAGTGCACTAAAAGGCGCAAGTTAGAACTTGCAGCTCGGAAGCCGCCGACCCAACCGTAGAAATAGTGTACCCAGTATCACACATGAATTCTGAGAATCTTCAACTGCCCATTCCTCAGCGCGAGGTACATGTACCAATGACGATTGGAGCGCAACCGCCGGAACCGCAGACAGCACAGACGGGAGAGTTCGAGAGGTAAGTTAAACAAACTGTGCCCGGAGGTCCCTGCCCGGGACTGGGACGCCGAGACCCCTGCAAAGCGGGGCTCGGCTAGCCATGCACGATGACGTCAATCTCCCCAGCCAACTTCCAGTCCCTTAGGGTCCAGTTATGTAGACAACTCCCACTCCGGTATCTCGGGCAACTTGAATGTATGTAGTATCACTAGCGTGGATTAGGCAGTGCACCGTTCTCGGCGGATCTCGAATCACGCAATGATGGCGGGCAATTGTCGCGATTCGAGGATGCCTTTTGCACGGAAGAACTCTCAAACCTTAGTCACGCTGGCATACAGGTGCAGGATAGAGCATACATACCCGACCTGTGCATGCAGGCTTAGAACGTGGATGCTTAACGTCCTACTCGGAATTCAGATCGCCGATTACCTAGATATTACAGTACCGGGTCACTTCAAAATCAGTGCAGCAAGTTCATAAGAATGATGAATGGAGGGATTGCGGCAAGGACGGACTGGACCACCCCGAGGGCCAAGAGGAGATGCGCAGGCAGTATATATATGAGAGTCAAAGCCAAAAATGACACGGATCGCTAGTATTACTCAAAAGCAGTCAGGTAACTTCCACAAGTACAGGAATTCCGCCAAGAACTAGAGCTCGCCAAAGACAGCTGTCTCCTGCTGCGACGAAGTGGGAGACGATCCTCCAGTCCAGCGTTGTCCCAGCTCGAGCGCAGTAGCCAGCCTGCTAGGAAGGATGCCAGGCCTACGCTCCTCTTGCGGTCTCAGTGCCTCCATCAAGGTAGTCGACAGCGTCCAAAGTCCCCTGAGCGTGAGAAGCATCAGACTAAACCACAACAGGCACCCGGCCAACATCACCACCGTTTCGAGCCGCCGCCGCTGTTCAAGCCATTGCGCCAAGAGTTGTTCCACAAGTTGTTGCTGGCCGTCGAGCTCCGGGTTGTTCCGCTCGGTCTCGTCCACTATCACGTCCTCGTCCTGCGACGCTTCCGGCGCTTCCGAGTGGGCACCTACTTCCTAAATAGAGTTGTCTACAGACCCCTCTAAGTGGATATCTCGAATATTGTCCGATGTGGGTGGCTGAAAGAAAAATATTTCGGACTGTTCATTACCGCTAGCACCACGTTTCTGCTCCTCGGACTCACCCCCAGGCTGGCTTTCCCGAGCCTCCTAAGCCTGATGGCTGCCATCCGCGGCTGCCTTGTTGACCGCCAATGGCTCGATATTCCAGATCCCCTCAGCATATTCGTTAATGCACCGATCAGAAGTGAAGAACCCCATGCGCGCGACGCTGGTGATGCACTTGGTGACCCACTCCTCCTGATTGCGGTAGGCGTCGTCGATCAGCGCGTGTGTCTCGATGTAGCTGTGGAAGTCGTCCGATACCAGGTAGTAGTCGCCGTGTTCGCGGACAGCCGAAATCATGCCTGCAAAGTCCTGAGGGTTGCCGAAGGTGCCCTTCTCGATCGCCTCAAAGACCCGGGCCAGGTCTGGATCGAGATTGGGCGGGCTGTAGCGATGGGCGTGCCGCAAGTCTTCCACGTCCTCGGCTAGGTTGCCGAAGAGGAAGATATTGTTGTCGCCGATCTCGCGCGTTATTTCGATCTGCGAGGGGAGTCAGTAAGGACCGTGTACATCGGCTCCGAGGGGAAGTTAGAACATACATTGGCACCGTCGCATGTACCGATGATGAGACCGCCGTTGAGCACAAATTTCATGTTGCTGGTTCCCGACGCCCTGCGATGCATTAGCCGTGTGATACCCCAAGTTCCTCGCAGATTCTCTTACTCAGTGCCGGCAGTCGAGATATGCTCGCTAATATCCGATGCAGGGATTATCATCTCGGCCTTGCTCACGTTGTAGTCCTCGAGGAAGATGACCTTGAGTAGGTCGCCAATCTCCTCGTCGTTATTGACTACAGCCCCCACGGCGTTGATCAGGTGGATAATCTGCTTGGCCATCCAGTAACCCGGCGCAGCCTTGCCGCCAAAGATGGATACGCGCGGCAGATACTTCTGCCGCTCCTTCGGAGAAAGGGACTTGAGCGTCAGGTAGCGGTGGATTACCCCGAATATGTTCATCTGCTGGCGCTTGTACTCGTGAATGCGCTTTACTTGCACGTCAAAGAGCGACGACGGGTTGACGGTGACGCCAGTGGTCGCCTTAATGTGCTTAGCAAGGCGCACCTTGTTGGCGAACTTGATTTCGGCCCACTCCTTGCGGAACTCCTTGTCGTTGACATGCTCCTCCAACTTATTGAGCAGCGTCAGGTCCTTCAAGAAGTCGTGGCCGCCGGTCTTGCTGGCAATCAGCTCGGAAAGGCGAGGATTGGCTTGATGCAGCCAGCGGCGGGGCGTGATGCCGTTGGTGACGTTAGTGAACTTGTCCGGGCCAAAGATCCTCACAAAGTCCTTGAAGATGGTGGATTTGATGAGGTCCGAGTGTAGCTCGGCGACACCGTTCACCTTGTGGGAGCCAACAATGGCCAAGAAAGCCATCCGCACCATCTTAGGCTGCGACTCCTCAATGATGGAGACGTCCCGCAGGAGCTCGCGATCGTTGGGAAACTTGCGCTCGACAGTCTGGAGGAAGAACAGGTTGATATCGTATATAATCTGGAGATGCCTAGGCAATAGATGCTGGATGAGCGGGACAGACCACTTCTCGAGAGCTTCCGGCAGGACAGTGTGGTTGGTGTATCCGAAGGTGTTAACAACGATGCTCCAAGCCTCATCCCACTCAAGACCCTCCAGGTCAATCAGGATGCGCTGAAGCTCGACGATAGCTAGTGTCGGGTGTGTGTCGTTCAGCTGAATGGCGACCCGGTCAGGGAATTCCTTCCAGGAGCGCTTCGACTTCTTGAAGCGCCGAACAATGTCGTATAGGGAGGCAGCAACCCAGAAGTACTGCTGCTTCAGACGGAGCTCCTTTCCGCGGTCGAGGTTGTCGTTGGGGTAAAGCACCGCGCTGATCGTCTCGGCCCGTTGCTGATCGGCAACAGAGCTCTCGTAGTCTCCGCTGTTGAACTTCTGGAAGTCGAACTCCCCGCTGGCCGCCTTGCTGGACCACAGTCTCAGGTTGTTGGTGGTCGGCGTGGCGTATCCCGGAATGGGTACATCGTATGCGACGGCCTTTACGGTCTCGCCTCCCTCCCAGCGGCAGACCGTCTTGCCGGAAGCATCGGTCGACTTGACGACGTGGCCATAAAATTGAATCTGGCGCTACGTTAGCCATATGCCGGAGCCCGCATTTTCTGACTCTCATGACTCACATCGACGGTCACGTCGTGCCTGGGGAACTCCCAGGGGTTGAAATCCAGCCAGTAGTCCGGCACCTCCACCTGGTAGCCATCAATAATCTCCTGCTTGAAGATACCATAGCGGTATCGCAAGCCGTAGCCCCAGGCTGGATAGTTCAGACTGGCGAGACTATCAAGGAAGCAAGCAGCTAGGCGTCCGAGACCGCCGTTGCCCAGGGCGGCATCGTGTTCCTGCTGAATGACGTCTTCGATGCGGAAACCGAGATCAGAAAGACCGGCTGCCGGCAGAGTGCAAGTCAGCAACAGACACAACTCTAGCCGCTGTTCTCAAAGCATTGTGTGCGCACCTTTCGCCAGGTCCTTCTGGCCCACATTCAGCATCGCATTGTCGAGCGCCCTGCCCATCAGGAACTCCAAGCTCAAGTAGTAGACCCGCTTGCTGTCAGCAAAGGTCTGGCGTTGCTGGGTGCGGTTCCACTCGAGGATCAGGCGGTCGCGGAAGGCGAGTGCGCAGGCTGCGTAGGCGGCCGACTCGTCGCAGTTATACAAGCTCCGCGCCAGAGTGGTCTCGACGTGGCGGACGACCTCGCGCTCGAAGCCATCCTTGTCCTTGAAGCCGCCGGTCTGGTGTTTCAGCCATGCCTCGCGCTGGGGCTCGGGGATGGATGCTAGAAACGGCGTGCGATTGTTAGCCGAGCTGTTCTTCGGTATGCGGTATGTGCTAGTATCAGTAGGGGGGCAACACGGCTTCACCCCGCAGTCACCAGCGCTGCGGGGTAGTTCCAGTGCATGATATGATGGCCTTTTTCGTCGAAACCGCCATGGGCAAACAACCAGTGAAAGAACAGAGGGGATCGAATACCTTCGACATGTTTGATCTCTCCGGCGCCAAATCCCGTGAAAGTGCGCCTGTGCTTGGGCCGCGAGATGCCTTCGGGGCCGACGGAGCCCTGGATGTCGACAATTGGAGCTCCAACAGAGGGCCGCCGCTCTCGAAGCGGCATTCTCTCAGCGGCCGCCATGCTTTGATGCGCAATGAAGTCCACGCAAGCGGTCCTGAAATGCTCAATAAGGTGATATCGGACAGGAATCCTAGGGGAATGCGTGAAAGTGGGCGAGGCCAGAAGCAGAGGGAGGTGACCTTGACTTGTATGAGCTTGCCACGGGGTGGGGTAACCTAAGGTAGCTAAGATGTCATACGTCTAATAAGAGGAGCCTGCTACTAATGAAAGTACCGTAGGTAGGTGGTGGTAGTTAGTGCTACTAGTAATAATAAGGCAAGCACCCTCGGCACCTAGCAAGAAAACAGCAGACGGCAGGGGCGGAACTGCGATAGAAGGTGGAATATCGGAATGTAAATACTAGTAGATCCCAATCCCATATGAACGCCGCCAGCCATCCGAAGGCACAGCCCAAGTTGGTAACGGGTCTGAATCCTGCAGTGCTGAAGTTTATGTTCTCGGCGCACAACTGCAACATCGTCGGGCCCATTCTGAACCTGGCAACCTAACGACCACCTGGCACGCCATCCTCCAAGCTTGCTCGTGACGGGTGAGGTTCAAGAGACACGGCAGCTAGGAGACGACTCCCGCACTTCCATCACTGGCTGCCGATTGTCGTGCATATGCATATGCGAAAAGCTCTCACCGTGCTAATAAGGAGAATGCCTTGGTTCCTTGGCGTTTCTACAACCCACGCCGTTGGAAGCGGCAGATGAGAACCTGGAAGCGGCGTGTCGGATGCTGCACTGCATTCTCTCTGCGATCACAAGCCCACCAAGTGGGTTTGCAACAACTGAGAAGCTAGCAATGCCATCCTGCCTCACCACTCGAAAGCGGCACGGACGCAGAATGCACAGCTCGTTGGAGGCAAAGCCATTAGCAGCTGTCTGAAGTGCCGCTGACTCGGCGGCACGGGCGGTCGGGCAGAGAATGCCCGTTACGGGGTTTCTAATTCAAGGCGCCGTGACAAAGGGTCTAGGCCTCGGGGGATGGTGGAGTTCTTGTTCAGCCCCACTGCAACTGTCCTCCACAGTGTTGACATCATCGCACCTTTGCACATGCAAACGATCGCACCATTGGATATGACCCCGCAGTTCGCTGCCACCTTCCGGATGACACTTGCCGCCTATGCGCCGACGTGTTACCAACCGCTAGTTTTTTTTGTTGACGGGGCTATCTGGTGCGAGGACAGATGTCCCCATCGCAACCTAATGAGGGGTTGGTTGCGCTTATTAGGAGCTGAAGGACCGGTTGACAAGCCAAGTAGTGTGCCGGACTGGATGACTGGTCTCCATTGTTGAACAAATGTCACGACACAATTCGCGAGTCTCTTGCTGTCCGCGCACTGCAACTCCTCTCGTCCATTACGAGGTAGGTAGTAGGTAGCTACAGTTAGCGGAACATCATGGCTTCGATCCATTCCCAACCAAAAGGGCGGCAGTCTCCGTTCCCCAGGACAACAGGCGTAAGTCATTAAAGACCCCTGGCATTTCCCGACGTGGCCACACCAGAGGATTGAGTGTCGAATTATGGGCTCCATCTCTCCAAGCATTGGAGTCGGGCACCATTGTATTGGAATACCCCAGGCATTGCCCCGTTTGAACCCAACCGTGCCAGCAGTGTCGTGGGTGATGGGCCGCCAAAGACAAAAACACGCGAATTAGAAGCAAAGTCGCCTAGAAATTCTTTTGCTGCGCGTCTCCCGTTTTGAAACAAACTTGGGTTACCGGGCAGAGATGGACACTGTATCGTCGTGCTCGATCGGTGCCCAAAAAGTAGAAAAGATCGTGAAGTTGCCCCTCCAACGCCGTTATCATGCATGAGTTGCCAGCCCCGGAAATCGAGTTAAGTAGTGAGTAAATGAAGTCGCTACGTCGTGGCGTACGAGATCGACCTTTAAAATATGAGCTGAAAGATGTCGTGAGATGTCAGAGGATGCCGGAGTCTTTAAGCGCGTTGTTAAGGATCGTCTCCTTGACAGCGGCGAACACGAGCCGGATGTTGGAAGTATCGGTGGCTTGCGTCAAGCTTCGGCGGGGTTAGCGAGTGTCAGAAAGCAAGAGGAAGGAGCAAGAGAACGGGCTCACTGTGGGTAGAGGTTGAGATGCGCTCGGTTGACTTGGTTAAACCTCCAGAGCAGGTACTTCGCCGCCTTGTTGACGTCGTTCCCGCCTGAGTAATCCGGGAAGTAGCTGCTTAATGGCGACCTCCCGAGTTTCTGCTTGAAGATGTCGACCTTGTTGAGGAACAAGATAATGCTCGTCCTGATGAACCACCTTGAGTTGACAACCGAGTCGAATAGCAGCAGACTCTCCATCATACGGTTCTGGAATCCGGCGTAAGTAACAGGCACAGAGCGGTGAGAAAAGATCATGCTTACCTGGCTGCTCTCTTCCAGCAGAACCTGGTCGTACTCGCTCAGGGCAACGCAGAATATGATAGATGTGACATTCTCGAAGCAGTGGATCCACTTCTTGCGTTCACTCCTTTGCCCACCCACGTCGAACATACTGCAAGAGGGAATAAGGTGTCAGCTGGCCTCCGGTTATGAGTGACGGCTGCTGTCGACTCACTGAATGCTCAGCTGTCCCATCTTGAACCTCGTCTCATATATGCCCGTCGTCTTTGTTCGTGCCCGCAGCACATCCATCTCGGTGGGGAGGTAGTTCGGAGAGACGATCCTGTCAGCCTCCTGGAAGAAACTGCGTAGAAAGGTCAGCTTCTGGCCCGTCACTCGCGATGGGGAACGGCACGGGAGAACCGACTATTCGGCCGAGTCCATGAGGTAGAATTCGGTTTGTCTCTCCATCAGGCGGTCCTTTGCCGGATCGTTCCATATCGACTGGACCGCCGCACCCACTCGGGGGTCAATCCTGGCCTGCGGATTCGCGTCCAGCGAGTAATCGAGCAAGAAGTCGCAATATGCTTTATTCTCGTCCAGCACCGGCTCGATCTCAAACTCGCGCATGGCGCTACATAGCGCCTTCGCACATTCCAGCAGGTTCTTGTACACGGTTGGGCGGTAACTGGCCAGCTCTTCTTGTGAATAACCCTTGAGGTGGATGATCTTCATCTGCTTCACGATCGTCGACTTTCCGCTCTCACCCGAACCTGTTGCACCGTGGGAACCCTTGGAGTCAGCAACGCGATGGACCGCAGTCGGGACACGCCGCGTGGCGGGCGGGCGGTGACATACCGAGCAACAGGATCTTGCACTCCTTCCGCAACTTCTTAGAGTCTTCCTCGAGTTCCCTGTCGATTTTATTGCTCCGTCTCCTCGACTCCGACTCCTCCCCGTTTGCGCTCATGCAATTCCCCATGACGACCATTGGGTTGGGCGCTCTGGCCAGCTCGAAGGGGAGATCCTGGACACCGTGGGGGTTGAGTAGGCGGACTGTTAGATGTGGTGGACAAGGCTGAGGCTGCACTCGCGACTTTGCTAAAGCGCCTTTATCATCCCGTGAGCACGGCAAAGTTAAGAGCCGATTGCGGCTGAGCGGCTGCAGCAAGCGTCAGAGCAATAGTGGCAAGCAGGCAATGACAGACGGTAGTTCTGGCGTCCGATGGATGGCTTAGTAGGATGAGGGCCGCGTCTCGATTCAATTGAGAGCGTTCCTTCGGTACCAGTGCTCGATGCAACGACAAAGACCCGCCCTGTGCCGACAACCGGAAATCGTAGCTTTTGCCGACGGCGCGGAATGCCTGGCCGACGCCGAATCTGATGTCGCTTCAATTCGCCGGCCTCGGATTGAATTCTGGGCGAGGGTGGAAATTGAGACTGTAAGATAGCGACGTCCTCAGCCTTCCAGGGTCTTCGAATCGCAGCGCCAACGTGTAAGAAGAGAGCGCTGTCCGCCAGGACGGTCGCACGATCGCAGAAAGAATCGCTGTTCCGCCCAGATCTTGTGTTGCCCGGCGAGCAGCAGGTGTCCGCTGCCTCAAGAGGTTAACGCCCGCAGATTCAGTAGGTTGTGGCAGGTGTGCCGTGATAGACTCGGCGGGAGGAACGGGGATGGAAGAGGATGAGAGGCCCCTCAAGGTCACCTCGAAGCGCTCTGCACGACACAACGATGCAACGGGAACCCCCGGCACTGAAAAAGCTGGGGGAGGAAGAAGCTCCAGACAGGGGCCAGGGCTGGGCTCGACTCCCATCTCTCGGGCTTCAAAGCGCAGGGAACTTGAAGGTACGGAGGATGGCTCCGTAATTACACATCACAGATACATCTTAATGCGTTACCTACACCGTGCGTGTAAGCTTTTCCCAGCCCTGGCAATGTTGCGTCGTTGTCATCAACGTAGATCATGTGCTCCACAGTGGATGCTGTCGCTCATTTGCATCTCAGATCCGGCCCTTCTGTCTTCTAACAATTCTTAACATCAGATTTGTTGAACTCCTGTAGGTGCAATACGCGAAGAGTGCTCGCGGTCCTAATAAGTCTCTCTTGGCTGCGGGCGACGGGCGCTACGTTTCTGAGCCCCAGTTTCGAGGCTAGTGCAGCTTAGCTCAACGGTGCTGCTTTCAATGATGCGGTGTCTTCCGGCTTCGCCAAGATGCCGCATTTCAACCCCAGAGGACTCGATCCCAGGTTGCAGGGATCGGAATTGGTCAATTCGCTCCGTCGCCAGAGCTTTATACCAGGGAGAAACATCGCTACGGGTTCACATCAGATTCAGTTAAGCAATGGACCGCAATTTTAATTTCCTGCCGCCAAAACACGTGGTTCTGCAGCCTTGAGGCTAGACGTCAACGTGTGGCTTTGCCGCACATAGTATTTCCCATCTGCGAGATAAGCTTTGGTATGACTGTACCGAGGTAACATCGGAGGCCGAGCATGGCGGTGTATAATGTGCGACGCCGACCTAGCCATTGGATTCCCACAACCAAGCGTCTCAAGCCTTTGAGAAGCCCGGAATACCAAGAGTTGATCGTCACTTGCTTGAATTGACAGACGGCGGTCGCCAGGGGTATCGCAGCCGTCTTGGACCCCGACCTAGCCGAACCGCGCTGTAAGTGACTCGTCACCTAATGCGGAGGAGGGTGCAGCATAGCGGTGGATCTATAGACGGGCCGGGTGGATAGCGACAGGTCGGTCACACAGTAAACTAAGACATCCTGGACTCGACGAGCGGGTGAACAGGAAGAGGCATTGTCGGACCTGGGCGTCTCTCAGTGAGGAACAATGAGAAGAGCAGCAGCAACCTGGGCTGAAATTCCTATACACTGGATGAGCCGCAAGCAAAGTAAGAAAACGAAGTCGGGATGCAACCGGCAGTTGTGTCCGAAAAAGGGACGGGCGGACGGCGCTGCAGCGCCACCGCACGCGGGTTGGCTCGTCGCCGGCTGCGGCAGACAGGAAGATCTCGATCCGCTACCTTATTAGCCAATCACTGCCGTTCAGGCGGTTCAACCGCGAAGGTGTTCCGATTTCGAGTTTTCCATAACTACCAGGCGGTCAGTGTGTCATCATCCCGAAACGTTACCCTATGTTTACTCAGCCCGTAATTTCCTGTATGTACAGCCGAGAAGCGCCCTAGTCAATTTGTGTCCTTGCCCGTGGTGTATGTATGAACTATGAAGGGTCAGGACGGACTCGGAGACAAAAGTTTGTTCCAATATTGCAAGCATAGAACCGCGAGATGATAACCACCGGGTCGACAGTAGAAACGTCTCCGTAAGAGCGTGTGCCAATTATGGAAAGGTAGTACAATACCACTCGCGGCTTGAGAGGTACCTGAACTATTGTACTGCCCGCACTAACTCGATGGAGCAGCAGCGGCGTCTGAGGCTCATCGGCCCAGAACGCCGCTTATCTACATCAGGTCATAGACTCTGTTAAGTCCGCTCCTTGGATTCAATAGTTTTTGAGGAATGTAAACCACGCTGCCCCTAAGTCGTTGAGATAGATAATCCACTCCGTCCAGTCCTCCCGTCCCATGGAACCAACCATCACAGCCAAGCGGAAGCCCAAGAGACCGCATCCTGGCAATTAGCCGCATGGTATCAGGCAGAAGGCAGTCGAGATGAAAACCACGACGCCGTGAAAACCGCCAGCCACCACCAGGGGCCAAGCGACGCGTTGTACTCATACATTTCATGAGGCCCATCTTCCAAGTCCTGTTTCTTCTCTTGTTTTGCAAAGCTAGAATCGCTAAGGTACGGCTGTTAAGCCAGATAGCCGATATCATCATCCTCGAGCCGTTCCAGGTATTCCTTGTCGAGAAGGATCTCGATGCACTTCTTGATGTCGCCAACCTTCGGCACGAACCTGGCGCGGATCTGGTTGATCGTCTCGCTAACGAGCTGCTGGTGCTTCATGCGCTTACGCGCCTTCATGATGCGTACGATGGCCGACTTACCATTCATGTCAGCAACATTAGATGGAGGAGAAAGGAAAGAACTTGATGGGCGAATCTCACCTGTAAGAGAAGCTTGCGGTCCTCTTCGATTGTCTTGTTGGTTTCGGCCTCCTCTTGCTTCGTCTCCGACTTCATGCCCACGTTGAGGTTGACGCGGTACTTCTTGTTCTTGAAGTCGTAATTGAGCGAGAAGCTCGCCCCCGGCCCGACTTTGTCGCTCCCGGGGTCAAGGTTCAGGACCTTGGCCTTGAGGAGGATGCCCAACGATGGGTCGAGGGCCTCGCTGTTCAGCTGCGTGGCCGTCGAAATCTCCTCGTACGTGTTCTTGTCCTTCTCGTTAAACAACAGAAGGATGGCCATCTGATATATCGAGACCTGGAACGTGTAGGGCATCTTGGCGCTCTTGATGTAGGTCGCCTTGACTTCACCTTTGCAGAGCTGCCAGAGCCACGTAAGCTTTCGACCCTCATGCTTGTTCTTATAGAAGCGACTGAATCGCTCGCAGTCTGCAGCGATCTCCTCTGGGGGGTTGAAGTTGGTTCCCGGCGGCGCAAGAGGCCAGAACCCAGTGCCCAGGACCGAATATGAGGAGTCCAGTCCCTTGGTCCCGAGGGTCGTGATGTGCTCCCTGAACCCCGCGTTGAGATCCTTGGAGATCTGCATGTCCTGGAACATGCGCTGCAGTTTGTTCGTGTATTCGAACCCGCAAGCCTCCTTGAGCTTGCTGATCATGCTGGTCTCAGCATCGTCCGAGGACGAATTGCTGTGCACCAACCGGCGGGCCAACATGCGCGAGTAGAACTTCTGGAAGACGTCCTTGTCTTCGATGTACTTGAACACCGTCATGATCTGAACCAGGGTGCCCTCCAGGTCGGTGTCCTCTGCCCCCGTGGTGCTGCTCTTGCGGAGCAGGACATCGGTGTATTTGGCCAGCAATTCGGGTGACTTATTCGACCCGGATTTGCAGACCTCGTTCCGGTTCACAAACTCTCTGCAGGCGTTGTCGAGGGACCTAGTGAACTCTGGCTCGTCCTTAAAGGCACGCTTCACCAGCCCTTGGTACTGCGAATGGATCTCGAGCAGGGCGTCGACGTAGACTTTTGGTTCGAGCTTCTCGGCGTCCGAAGCTACCTTGGCGACCGCTGCTAACCCAGCATTCCTTACATGCGTCTCGAACTTTGTTCGGAGCGGGTCCAGGCCGTCGGGGATGCGGGACAGCAAGCTATACATACGCGCCATGTCCTCCTCCCGGTCGTTGTCGAGAAGCACTTGAAACTCGTCCCGAAGAAGGTTCGAGTGGTCGGCGATCAGCACCTGATTGCATGCCTTTTTGAGCGCGATGGCAATATCTGGGTGGAGGTACGTCTTGACTCTCTCCTCTTCCTCCTCAAGGCGAGCCTCAGCCTTCTTCATGTACTCCACGACGCTGTTGTCGGCGACAAACTGCTGACTCTCCTTTTGATAGAAGGCCTTGGTGGCATCGAGGAACGGGCGCTCGAAGTGGTAGCGGTAGACATCGAGATTCGTCTTGGAAGAGTCGCCGTCATCCAAGCCCAGTGACACGAACGAGTCGACCACCTGCTTGATCTGATTATGCTCGATTGTCTCGCCGTTGCGCTGCTTCTCCACCAACTTCAGGACGGCATCCATAACCTTGGACGAAACCTGGACGAAGAGGACATCGCGCCACTGTACCAGATGCAGAGTATACACGTCGTAAACGTTCTTTTTGCCTTCGTCGATCTCGCGCTTCACCCAATGGCGGTTGAGATACTTGAAAAGATGGTGAACATACTTCCCAGCTGATGTGTACCGTTGCCACTCCCGGATATAGAATGTTAGGAGCGCCTCGTCCGTATGGGCCTTTGACTGCGCCACCAGGTCTATGAGGTGCTCCGCTAGATATTGCGCCAGCCTCTTGTAGAGATCTTCACCGATGAGATGAGCTACAGATTATGTCAGCGCTTGCCGCTAGATGGGCTCGACGGATGGAGACACGAACCACCGCGCTGGCTCTGGCCCACAATGGTGCTCGTTAAGCTGAATGTGCCAGCTTTTTGTGATGTGCAGAAGTTGTGGACGGCCCTGGGACGAGGTCAGTTACCTGTAGCCTGCGAGGCCTAGTGAGGGGGTGGCGACTGACGTGTAGATGCCCATGTACTAGCGAGGGTGTCAGTGTGTTACTTGACTTCGAGAAGGCACAAACATGATGGCAAACGTACATTCTGCAAATCAAGGCCGTCCTGCAGGTTGTTCATGATCCTTGTTACGCCATGTTGCAGGTAATTCCAGCTGCTGCAAGTCAGCGTTTTCTGAGTCTGGTAGAAGCTCGATCGGGAGCGGCCACGAACGTTGTCTCAATATCATCTTGAGCGCCCGGCTGTGGCATCCCCGCCAACACGGCGGAAGGCATTTTGCGCTAACGAGACGATCGTCGACAGGTGATCGCGGTGCGAGGCGTTTCGTGGATTGGGAATCAGGTCGTCGGGGAGAGGCTATGACGTGATCAGGGAAGCAGTTGGGGATCACGCCAAGTCGGTCGGTCTCGAATTTTCTGTAATCTTCTCTTATAGTTAGGCAAGGAACAGATGAGATGGCAGGCGCGTGGCGAAAAGCGATGGCTCACCAAAAGACTGGATGCTGGATGCTAGTAAGCATTCAGGCCCTGAATGAAACGACGAGATGGCGGGACAGATGTAGTGGGGTGCCGTTGGAGCGCCGGCAGGTGCAGACTTCCCAGGCAACAGTAGAGATGCAGAGGTAGATTAGGTAGAACCTGCTGCGTCTTTGCGAAGGGCTCTCTAGTGAGTCCCAAAGACACGGCGCAAAGCGGAGGTAGGTTGGAGTTTCCAAGGCAGCTTCCGGTCACGAGCCGCCTTCGGTTGGTGGATTTGGGTTCGGGGAGTCCAGTCTCAGGTTGAAGGCCGCAGGCAGGAAGGCCCACCATGCTCACGCCCGACCACGCTGCTGAGTGGCCACAGCGCGACGTTACGGTAATCGATAAGGTTTCGAGCTGCGACCGCATCATTCTTGATTCATCATCTAGGTACCTCATGCATTCATTCAAGTTCTTTTTCGCACAATGGAGATTGACGTTCGATATCATTGCGGGTCATCCGGTCACAATCATACATCCAGAATATATAATACATAGCTTTCATTACAGGATACAGATGGCAGAGGCCTGATAGTGAAGTATGCTGCCTAAGGAGGATGAGGGTATACCGTGAATAAATGCAAGACCCTAGAATACAGAAACCCCAAACTCCAATTACCCAACCACGCCGTCCATGACGCCCGCCCGCCGTATTCTCGCCGCGCACGCGGTTACCGGTCATCCTCCCCTCCGCCAAGCTTCTGCACCAGGCGGAAGACATTGACAGACAAGGTAAGGCTCCAAGATATCAGACTGATTACCTGAAGCGCGGCCAACGCCTGACTGAACTCCCTTGTCTGGCGGTCGCCCGAGTTGTGGTAGACAAGAGCCTCAAAGGCGAGGGCCGTGCTGGCGGATTTGAATATGATGAAGAAGAGGTCCATGAGGATGAGCGAGATCTTCTGTGTGGGCGCCCGCAGCCCCAGAGGCTTGCCCGTGTACTCGTCCCAGGTCATGTAACCGATGTAAGGGATGGCCACCGTGTCCACCACGATGGCGACTACGGACTGCGTTAGCTCAGATGAACGGTGGCCGTTTCCGTGGTGTTCGAACTCGTATATCTTTGCCGAGAGTGCAAGTGCGACGATGGAACACAAGAGGACGGCAAGGCGAAAAGCGAGTGGGACCAGCGGATGGCGCAGGATAATTTGCCATATTCTTTTGTAGAGAACTCTGGTCCGTGTTTGTCTCCGTCCGTAAGGCTCGCCCATCCGTGGGACATCGGCGGGGCTATTGAATCCAGGCTGCAACTTTTCCAGGTCCTCAGGGTCAATGATTTGGGCCTCCTCGTTCGGCAGCCGGCCGTAACGGGACGACTGGACGTAGCTCCGCCACGGCGAATCCGGAGCGGCCGCCCGGATGTAGCGCGGTACAATGACGGGTTCTGCCGAGCGCAAGTGGTCCCATTTTCTCCCTCTTTCGGCACCGTCCTTGCGCTTTAAGAACTTGCGCAGCCTTGCTCTCGATCTCCTCGATTCCTCAAGCCCCAACAGCGCCGGGTTATCGTAGACATAGCCATCTTTTGACACTCTTCTCTGCGGCTGGCTCGGAGAATGATTGTGTTGGGCCGGCATGGCAGGTGGAGGCGGCAGGCCGAGGGCGCGCAACTGATCCACGGGGGGCATGCCATAGCGCTCTTCGTATGAGTCAATCCAGGCTGCGGAATGTAATGTCAGTATGTCATGGTCCACGCAAACAGCTAGTGGGGAGATTCCATACGAGGCAGTGTTCGCGTCGAGCTATGCTGCGTGGAAGCAGAGCGTCCAGCACTGCTTCCAGATCTGGTTGACGGGAGAGCCTCGGAATGATGTGAACTCGGATGTGAACTCGACAGCGCCTTATCCGGAGTCGTCATTGTAGCGATCGAGGCCGCCCACCTCGGACGGGGATGACAGGGAGGCTGCGCGATTAGCAGGAGAGTCGCATCCAGTCAGCGGCGGACGGAGGTCTCGGGGAGCACGGCAATAAGGGGTCCCGTAGCTGCATTTTGCAGCGTTCAAAAATGTAATGATATTCAGAAATACAGCAACCCGGTTCCGTTGTGCCGAGTCTACCCTGGGCCCTGGCGGCCTTGGTTCTCTCTAACGTGTGTCGGTGGTTGGGACTGAGTTGGCCTGCTGGTCTGCCTTTGTGCCAGCCACCGTGACCTAAGCTCCTAAGGTATCCTCACTTGGAGCGGCTGTGAAGAGACAGGACCCCTGTCAACACGCGCCGCTCGGGCCACGTCCATGGGTAAGGCCAAGCGACGGGAACGAGACCGCAGCCAGGCTATGACGACACTGCAGCACCTGCAAGTCGGCTCGATTGTGAGGTTGCTTTTAGGATATTAGTAGCGTACGGATACTTGCAGCAAGCTTCAAGTTTATTACAGTATGGGTGGTTGTCGTGATAATTCTGGTTTCCATACCACATTTATTACCAGTGCAGGAGGACTGCTGCTCGGTCTCGCCGCGAGCTGCTACTGTATTACTAGTAAGTCTTGGATGTCGAGAAACCTTGCTATCTGGTCGGCGGTAATAATCCACCTATGTGATTCTCAGCTGCTCATACTATCTCCTATCGACTCCTTGCTTTGCCTCTTCGTTTTTCTCTCTTCCATTTTCTTCTATTCATATTTCGGACATGACCCTGTTTCTTTGGCCTTGGTAGGGAGCGTGATATACGAACATGTCACTCTTAGGGTGAATACTTTTACCTACCTAGGTACCTTACCTTACCTGGTGCCTCCATGATGCTGCACCCCTCCTACTAGTGACTGTGACCGCGCCTCCGCGACTGGAATGGACAGGATTCATCATGTTTCTCAGGTACCGGACGGGGACAGGGATTAACACTGAGCTTAACAAGGGCTTGATTATGCACCCCACATCCAACGCTGTTTGACAAATCAGAGCGAGCGCAGCGCTCATTTTGCGTCACTCTTTCTAGCCCGGAGGGGCTCACGAAAGTTGCGAACGCGCAGTCGCTTGCCACTGGGAGCTGGAGTATAAGGTGCGTTGTCACAACTCCTGGTCTTCAGCATAGACGTCGTGAGGTTTCTCTCTTTTTTTCACCCTTTTCCCCTCGCGCGGGGTAGCTGTACTCTGCGGATAAGGTTGTCTATCCCCAACACACAGGCTTGACCCCGCGTTTTCTCTCAACGGGGCCAACGAGGCTTCCTGCGAGGGCGATATCATGCGCCTCTATCTCCTGCCCATCTCCACGCGGCGCACGCTTCTGTACTGCCAGAAACTCAACGCCCCGGCTTCAGAAAAGCAGACTTGGTCGGACTGGCTCCAGGCCAAGGCCTCGCGCACCTGGTCCGGCTGGGAGCAGAAGGAAAGCGGCTGGCAGAAGTCGGTCGTCAGCTACGGGAACCAGGTACTCCGCCGTATCCCCTACGAAGAATGGGGTCTCAAATCGGTGCCGCCATTGTCGCAGCGGCGGAAGCAGGTGGAGTTGAAGGGCACAGAAAAGGTCGAGGTGGTATATCCAAAGAGCCTCATCACTATGGACCGAGTGCCCAAGATCCTGCGCATGCTGGCGACGGAGAGAGAGGCATTGCATAAGCGGAGGCTCATCTGGTGTTTTATTGGCATGCCAATAACGGCCCCCATTGCGCTTCTTCCTGTGTAGGTGATAATCCCTTGCTGATAGATCAAGCAGGCTTGGCTAACAGGCGTGTAAGGGTTCCGAACCTCCCGTTCTTTTATCTGGTCTACAGGGCCTGGTCTCACTGGAGAGCCCTTTCCGGCGGCAAGCACATACAGTTTCTACTAGACAGCAATCTCCTCGCCCCGACGCCATCCCCCGTCGTTGATGAGGTATACAGCGAGCACACAGATCCACTGCTCTCCACCCCCCAGGCGACCACCGACTTTGCCCAGGACCCCGTAGGGAATCCAGGTCCATCGCCCTCGCCGAATGGGTCCCGTGATCCGGGCGGGGAGACGATGCTCCTTTCACAAGCCAAGGGCAAGAAGATGACGCAGCGGCTCGACCTGCCCCAGCTCGAAGTTGAGCTTGAGAGGGCCATATGGCAGGTTGAGGCGGCTATGAAGAAGCGCAACGGCGAGATTGCCGCCGAGAAGTCCCAAGAGGCAACGAGCGAAGGCGAGAAGAAGTCGCAGTGACTGTTGAAGACCGGCATGATGTATGATAACGCAGTACCGTTCGACACGGAGGTACATGGCGGCCAGGAACGTTAGATGGGGCGGGCGATACAGGGCATGGCAGGCGTTTCTAGATTCGGATGGGCTGGGCATGACTCGACTCACATAACCCGGAGACAAAATCCCTATGCTACAACAACGCTCCGCTCCCTCAGCCGCGCTGTAACCCAACACCGACCATACCTACTTCCGGGGGATCGAAGATTGTCCACCTAGGCATGGCATGATACCATCAATCGCCAGCAGCCGGAGGCCTCCCCCCTACCGCTGCGCCACCAAAGGCCGTCACGAGCCCGTGGACCAGCCCCAAGCCGATGAACACCGCGACGACAGCGAAGACGCGGCGCACAGCAATGCCACTTGCATCCACAGCTCGTCCGGGATACCGGCCCCTTTTCCGAATAGCTCCGGTCACACGCTCTCCTTCTCCTCCCTCCCGTTCCAGGTCAGGACAGGAGATGCAAAGTATGCCCTCCCGCTGACCGGCGGCATTGACCGTTAGCAAGCCGACTCCACCCTCCCCACCATCATCATCATCTTTCCGCTCGTCAGGACAAATCTCGGCCGCTCTGGCTCCACCATGCGGCGGCCTCTCCTGTGCAGGGCCGTTGCTGCTCTTATAAGTACCTGCCGGAGGAACAGAAGAGTGCGCTCCACGCTGGCTTCGACCCACGGACGCCGCAGAGGCGGGCATCGACGAGACATGATGATGTCGCCAGGCCGCCAGGGCTTTCTGCCGCAGGAGACGCTGCGTTGGGCTTTCGGAGAGGAGTACGGCATATCGTTGCGGGAATCTTGCCGGGTGGGGCTGGTGTAGTTTGCTTCTTCTGGTGGGTTTTGTCCGTCCCGCGGATCCCCCGTGGCGAGCGCTGTCGAAGTAGTAGGTGTTGGGGTTGAGGGGAGAAGGTTTCAACGGCGCGTATCGGCGCTTTTCTCTTGGCGGTGATGATGATGGTGATGTGGAGGAGAGCATTCTACTTGTCGAGCCTGTAGGTCACGGTGTAAGGTATAGTGCACTGTCTGTGATGGTCTATTACGACGTCCACGGTTCCTTGTGATGTATGTACATAGTTGCAGGGCTGAAGATGCCCGGATCTGACTACGGAGAGGAGGCGCAAGTATCACAGTTGGGCAGGTAAGCGTGAAACTGGCACAGGGTGTGAGTTCCACGCCACCTTGAGAAATGAACCGATGCCAAAGAGAGTTTTGCTTTGCCGCAGGCTCGTCTCTCGCATTCCCCGGTTTGATACCAATGATCAAAGTAAATCAGCCCATGTTATTTGAGAACAGGCCTGTAGGCGTGTCGTGGATGCGATTGAAGACTGCGGGAGGTTTGAACTTTGCCTCGCATCAAACCACCATACTATCTCGTATGATGACTGGTTAGTGCCCATAGTTGCACCTTGAAACCGAAACTTGTTGAGCGTGGCATTTCCCGAGTGCCTATGAGCATACCGAGTTACTATGTAAAAGTGTGTGTTGGAACACCCTTCTTACCTGATGCCGCTATGGAAAGCCCACGTCATCTCCCCGCCTACTAATGTCCAGATTGTTCGCTAGCATCCATGATTATCGGTAGGGTTGGTAAATTGGGCACAACAGCCCCGGAAAGGATATACAAGCCAGTGCTGCAACAGTACAACATAGTAGGAGGCACAGAAGCGGTGTTTATACACCCTGTTGCTGAGCAGTCTGCATATCTTCCCAACTAGCACGGACATACTGGACACTTGAATGCTCATGATCCGGTGAACTGCTCATCCGGGGGCACCAACTTCATGTGTGACGTGCTTTCAGCAGAGGAGATTCACCTCCATTCATTAGTAGTAGCAGGTATCACCACAAGACTTTTGGTTTCCCATCCTTATCTCTCTATGCCGCCGAATGTTATGACCCGATTGCACAGCATGTGCCTGCCGTACTCCAACAACTCCTTCCAATCCACCACATAAACTAGCAGCCTACCGGTTAAGAGTGCTTTTACACAGTGAGAGCCTCTCCGAGCCCACTGGCACTTGCGACTGCAGGGTTCCCATCACCACCTTATGCTAAAGCCAGGCTCCCTCCGCTGAGATCCTGCAAGACCGCGCTGGAAGTCCCAAGAGAGCGGGAAAAGACATCATCAGATTGCTCGGCGATAAGCCGTCGTCGCGGAAAAGAGGAGAAAAATAAACCGGTGCTCGCTCAGAACCCGACCAAACCAGGATTGATGCATGTCTGGGCAGAAAGACAAATGCACCCTGGAAACTACAAGGGCATTCTTGTGCGGCCAACATGTGGGCCACTCCGCACTTGGACCTAGGAGAAACATTATGACGTCGAGTGCGGAGTGACTGCATCGTCCGTGTTCGCAGCATTTTCGTCGACACGCGCTCTCTTGGCACGGCCGCTCTCGTGGACTTCGAGAGCCTCTTTCGCCTCTTTGAGCTCCACCTCGAGTTCGTCCAGGCGCCGTTTTAACATATTCTCTCGCCGGTGACTCTCCTCTAGGTCTTTCTGGAGTTGTGCGTGCGACTCGTTCATCGCGTCCAGCTGTGCTCTCAGCTGCACCTCGGCATCGGATTTGCTCTTCTCTTGCGCCTGCCGGTTCGCTTCTTCGTGCTCGAGCTGCTGGATTCTTCCACGATACAGTTCTTGGATCACCTCAAGCTCGCTGACCCTTGTCTTCAAGCTCGAATTGGCCGCAAGAAGCTGCTCGTGGGTTTGCGGCATATCAAGTCGGTCGCCGTTTAGAGGCGATGGAGCACGGCCATCAGGTCCGCCGAAGCCAGACAGCTGTTGCGCCTGAAACTGATCGTCAATGTTCTGATAAAGGGGTGTGATGTGCGACGCATAGAGGTTGGGCGTCCCGGTGCGGGAAATGGGAGAGTTGGGATCGTCGACAGCACCATTGGCGGATTTTTGCGATGGCCTTCGAGTCCCGTTGCCAGTGCCAGACTCCGTCCCGTTGATATCACCCGTTTGGGCAGGGTTGTAATGTTGCTGCGCTTGCGCCTGCAGACCGTTAGGCTCCGAGGTAAAATCGAACATCGTATGAAGGCAACCTACCTTTTTCTGTCTCGCAAGAGCGGAGTTCATCGTTTTAACACGATTGCGACTCTTGATCACGTCCGTCTTGAGTGATATCGGTCTCGGCCGGCCATGAAGCTTCAAAAAGAGGCCGCATGCATTGCAGAGGACTGCGCCCGACTCGTCCCGTCGCCAGAGCGGGGTGGTAGATGTTCCACAATTCTGGCATGTAGGCTGTGTAGTCACACGGTCGTGGTTAGCCATGGTCGCCATGATGCTCGTGCGTGATGCCAGCAGAGCGTGGCCGTGTACTCGATGTTTATAGATTAGATGTGACGATAAGACAAAGATAAATGCCGATGGGGAACAGATAAGTTAAACTGGCGACCCGGTCTTGCATGATAAGAAGCTTGACAAGGAAATTTTTGAGTGATGAAAGTGGGACTTTAGAGCGATAAGCTGCCCCACCAGGTTTTCGTTACAACCCAACGATCCCGAACCAATGGGACGTAGCACCTTAGTCAGGAGGTTTGTTGATGGCGTTCAGTTGTTGCGGGAACCGGGTCGCTAATAAGCGCAGGACAAGGTCGACTCGAAAGGGGAACGCAGACCTGAAGGAAGTTCGGTAGGACTTACTAGATTGCCGCCTGGGCCAGGGGCCGTGCTTGCAGGAGATGTGCCTGTGGCATACATCGCTGGTGCGATCGCAACTGGTCTAAGAAAGGCGTTAGCCCAGGGCACATTCATGTTGCAAGCTGAGATAGATGGAAACTCGGCGCTAAGCGGTGGTTAATTCAGCCATCCGGTTCTGAACAACGTGACCAAAAGGCGCTGGCAATAACTACACGGCGCGATGAAGGCCGCGACTAGGCATTCACATCCTGATCGCAATGCGAAGCGCTCGAACTTTCCATCTTCCCAGCCTCCAAACTGCAACTGACCTTGGTTGAGGAGAGCTCGCTGTGGAGCTACTGTTGGGGGGTGCTGGAATACCAAGCTGGGGTTGCGATACGTTCTGCGATGCGGCAGCTGGCGCCGACGCTGAGCTGTCCCTCAAGATGGGCTCGGCTTCGGCCGCCATCGGCAGTGACGTGACCGGGGCACCGTCCTCCATCTTTGGATCCACGGCCGCAGCTTCAAAGTCAGCGAATTGGAAGTCAGGGTGCAGCGATGCTGCTGCGTCGCCCTGTTGAGAGTCGGACGACTGTATCGACGCCAGCTTGATGGTTTAAGGGGTGGTCGAGGAATGGATATGAATTCAGTAGGTCGAGCAAGTCGGTTGCGCGCAAAGCTGGTCAGCGCGAGAGATGGTTGGTCGCGCGCAATGTCGGTCGAGGTACAGTCGGTTCAGCGTGAGCGATAGGGAGTACTAAGGTATGCGATGACGCGCTATGCACTGCCAAAAGCCCCGTGAAGAAGGCTGCAGTAGGAGCCGGGCGGCACGCGTCGAAATCGCCGATGCTGCGGCAAGAAAGGTGCAGGAATCTAAAACAGTATAGATTCAGCTCCTGTTAAGGAAGAGAGAATAGGTTGGACAGAAATTGCGAAGCACGCGAAACGATTTACTGTGTGCTGCGAAAAGCGCAATGGGAACTCATCGAAGCTTGTGCCACAATGAGGGAAGTTCGAGTGGCGCCCTTGAGAGCACGGTCACTTTTTGAACGACTGGTGCAACGAGGCACCGCCAAGACTCACTTCAATGTTTGAGCTTAATGACGGGATTGGTCCGGCAGCAGCAACCGCCTTCAGCCTTACACAGTATAGCCTTTTTGGCCAGACTGATGTGGTCTAACGCTACAGTGTGACTGGGAATTGCACTGTCAGTATCACGCCAGCCCCACCTCAGCCTGCCGAGCGGTCTCCGAAAATTTCCCAGCGGCCTCCCATTGGAGAGCTGAGAAACAATCGTGGGCTAGACTCAGACAGACCAAGGACCCAACAACACAAGCAGAAGAGCTGGAAAGGCAACGGAATTTTGATAATTGGAGATACCATCCCGTGAGCAAACGAAATGCCGTCAACACACAAGAAAGACAAACCGTGGGACACGGACGACATCGACAAATGGAAGATCGAACCGTTCACCAAGGAGGAGTCTTCGGGGCCGTTCCTGGAGGAATCATCCTTCATGACACTGTTCCCCAAGTACCGTGAGCGCTACCTCAAGGACTCATGGCCTCTGGTTACCAAAGCGCTCGAGAAGCATGGCATCAGTGCGACGCTAGACCTCGTTGAGGGTTCCATGACAGTCAAGACGACGAGAAAGGTAAGGGGGGCGAGCCCAATCCGCTTTTTCGCGTGTACCGGGTCCTGACATCCACCTGCAGACATTCGACCCGGCCGCGATCCTCAATGCCCGAGACCTGATTAAGCTTTTGGCGCGGTCAGTACCTGCGCCCCAGGCCATCAAGATCCTAGAGGACGGCATGGCGTGCGACATCATCAAGATCCGGAGCATGGTGCGAAATAAAGAACGCTTTGTCAAGAGACGGCAACGGATACTGGGCCAGAACGGAACCAGTAAGCTTGGCTCTGCTTTTCCCGGCGCTTGAGCGGATCGCTAACAGCGGGCAGCACTGAAGGCGTTGGAGCTCCTAACCCAGACCTATATTTTGGTGCACGGTAACACAGTTTCAGTAATGGGGCCGTACAAGGGCCTGAAGGAGGTTAGGAGGGTAGTTGAAGACACGATGAACAATATCCACCCGATTTACTTGATTAAGGAGCTTATGTGAGGATTGCTCGCCTTTCGTTGAAGGCGCTGATGGCTAACCGCCGTGTAGGATCAAACGGGAGCTCGCCAAAGACCCAGCCCTGGCGCATGAGGATTGGAGTCGGTACCTGCCCAATTTCAAGAAACGAACGTTGTCCAAGAGACGGACGCCGTTCAAGGTCACGGACAAGAGCAAGAAGCCGTACACACCCTTCCCGCCGGCACCCGAGAAGAGCAAGGTGGACATGCAGATCGAGAGCGGCGAGTATTTCCTCAGCAAGGAAGCGAAGCAGCGATCGACCGAGGCAGAGCGGGCGGAGAAGGCCAAGCAGAAGAAGGAGGAAAAGAAGCGCGAGAGGGAGCGAGAGTTTGTGCCGCCGGAGGAGAGTACGGGCAAGTCCAAGTCCAAGAAGAGGAAGACGACGCACGACTGAGGCAATCTTCGTGGAGCAAAGCGACCTTGCATCCTTGCCAATCCGCGATTTATGATACCCGGGGCAAGCAACGTGTTGGTCGGACGCAGTTTATTGTGTGTCAGTGTTGGTTCAGCCTAACATTATCGGCAACGATGCCGTGCCCGGGCCCAAGTAGAGGCAGGCAAAGCCGGAGAAACTCCTCTGTGCCGTGGAGGACCGTAAGTGGATTAATAATGGGGAGTCCCGGCAGCAAGGGCGCGAATTGGGCCGAGGCACATACTTCATCCGCATCCGCAGGTGCGGGGAGGTGGAGACGGAATCTCCGGTGCAACACCGTTGCGCGTGTTGATATCAATGCCCGCTCATCCGGCCGTCCAGTGGTCGAGACAGTTGGTAAACAAGTAGTAGTCGCCAAGTTGTCAGTTTTCAATTGTGCAACAGACATCAAAATACCAAGCCACCAACCTATCAGCTAAACAGACGAAGATGCCGTACTCGCTCACCGTGAAGAAGACCGAGGGGAAGCCGGGGCAGGTTTACTACCCGTGAGCCTCCCCCACTCACTCATCTCGCATTCCATTCACGCGAACCAACCAGTCCTAACCAATGTCACCAGCCTTCAGCTGAACGAGGTTCCCAAGCCCTCGCCGGGCCCCAAACAGCTGCTCATCAAACTCACGGCCGCGGCGCTTAACCACCGCGACCTCTTCATCCGCCAGCACCTCTACCCGGGAATTTCGTTCGACCATCCGCTCCTCGCCGACGGCTACGGCGTCGTCACCCAGGTGGGAGACGACTGCGCCGCCGACTCGCGCGCGCTGCTCCACAAGCCGGTGCTGCTGGCGCCCATGCGCGGGTGGGAGTCGAGCCCGGAAGGGCCCGAGGACCTTGGCACGCGGTTTGCCATCCTCGGCGGGTCCCTGCAGACGCCGGTCGGGACGGCCCAGGAGTGGGTCGTCGTGGGCGAGGACAACGTCGTGCTCGCGCCGGAGCACCTGAGTCCCGCCGAGGGCGCGGCGCTGCCGCTCGTCGGCCTGACGGGCTGGAGGGCGCTGGTGAGCAAGAGCGGGAATGCGGAGCGCGGGCGGAATATACTGGTCACGGGGATCGGCGGCGGGGTGGCGCTGCAGGTGCTGCAGTTTGCGGTGGCGCTGGGGTGTAATGTGTTTGTGACGAGCGGGGATGAGGGGAAGATCGAGAGGGCCAGGGAAATGGGGGCGGTGGGAGGTGTGAACTACAAGAGTGACGGGTGGGAGAAGCAGCTCGGGGCCATGCTGCCCAAGGAGCGGCCGTACCTGGATGCGGTGATTGATGGGGCCGGAGGCGACGTCGTGGGGAAGACGATCAAGCTGCTGAAGCCCGGCGGTGTTATTGCGTGCTACGGCATGACGGTCGGGCCGAAGATGGACTGGCTCATGCAGGCGACGCTGAAGCAGGTTGAGCTGAGGGGCACCACGATGGGCTCCAAGAAAGAGTTCCGGGAGATGGTTGAGTTTGTGCGCGAGCACAAGATCCGGCCGGTCGTCAGCAGGGTGTCGAAGGGGTTGGACAATCTCGACGGCATCGAGGCGCTGTACGACGACATGAAAACGGGGAAACAGTTCGGCAAGCTCGTTATTCTGATTGACCCCGAGGCGGACTCGTCGCCGAAGCTGTAAGAAAGTGGGGAGACGAGGACATGGCGCAAGGCGTCTGGTCATATAAAATCAGGCACATCGGTAGAGACTACCATCGTTTTAAGCACTGTCTTCGAGTAACGAATGTTTCAATGATACCTTTCCTTCAGTTTCTACGCAAAGAAGAGTTGTTTTGAAAGACAGGCAGTGTCCAGTAAGCATTATCTACATGAGTTTGATATTTGTATGAGAATAACATCCAACTGTACCGCAAACCGAACTGTGCCCCGACGAAGCCGACAGGCTTTGCACGCGGAGAGCGCCGGATAGGTTCACACTCGACCACTATGATGCGAGGAAGTGGGCAGTTGCGGTGTGTGTTGGAAGGTGAGCCCACCGTTCTGCCTTATATACCCTTGGTTCCTAAACTAGTAGCTCACAAATTATATCCAACGCTATTCGGAGATGTTCCGCAACGCTCTAGACCCCACGACCCGGCCACTTCCACACGAGATGGGATTCCCCGACTCTCCATTGTTGAAGCCTTGCTGGAGTCAGGTTTGAGCCTGAGGTGAATCTGTGTTGTTCACCATGAGGGCATGCCGAGCAGCAGTGATGGCGCATTCGTGTATATTGGGATCCAAGCCGCCGTTTGGGTCATGCTCACCCACTGATATGACTCTGAATTGCGGGAGAAGTGGTTTTCATTGACTACGACAGACCCATTCAACTATCCTCACACAAGATCGCTGATATCTTAGCATTGGATCCTGTTACAAGATGACCATTATACATCTGCGATGCACAGTCTGGTAGCTCACTAGGAGAGGACGCGGAAGACAGCATGAGGAAAGCCACTTTCGGTAAGGAAAGGCTTACCTCGAGCAAACCTTCTTCGATCGCTCGGCCACACCATGAACGACTAAGCAACTGTCCCTTGCTCCCTTTTACCACTACAACGCTGACTCACTAAGTGGCGTCACTAGTCCCTCCATGCTCTCACCTATTCATACTCTCCTAATATCCTCTGCGTCTCCTCGGGAGTAGGTCTCCTCAACCCCTCAAAATGGCCGACGCCACCTCGCAAAGACAAGCCGTCATTGTATACCCACACCCTCAGAATGCCCTCCCCGGTCTCCCCGGTCTCCACCCACGGCGTGTTCATCATGACCGGCATCCCCCCGGAGTCATGCGTCACATACCCCAGCTGGCACCGCAACCCTTCTTGATCCCCAAGGAACCGTCTCCCCCACTCGCTGAACACAGCCGCGAGCTGATCGGCCGTGAACCACGTCTCATTTGCCATGCCTACTCTCTCGTTCTCGCGGGCCACCGTGTCCCCGCGGAACACCTCCCTGAGTTCCTCCAGCGTGGGGATTCTTATGCCCTTCCGGTCCACGATCCCCGCCGCCGTCTCATCACTTCTGGAAGACGAAGAAGAGGAAGAAGAAGAAGAGAGTTGGTGCAGCATTGACAGGCGCAGCGCATGGAATCCGCACTCGAGGTCCGTACCCGGCGTCGGGAGGCGCGTGTACAGTCCCCCGGGGAAGGCCTCCCAGAAGCGGTGGCGCGCCCGAACGTAGGCCTGGTAACGCGGAAGAGAGGCCTTGTGAGAATCGAGGAGAATGTCGGCTGCTTGCGCGACGGAGAGGGCCCCCTTTGACGCTTCGATTGGTGCGGGCATTCTTTATGGTTGTTTGGGATGAGTGCGGGAAGGGAAGGGGAATGACTTGGGGAAACGATGGATTAGGTGATGTGGAGGGACTGGCCTCATGCAGCTTGAAACACGAGGTTGATTTTAGGTTGAGCTCCCGAAGGCCGGCGTAGATCCGCGTTTTAGCCGGGCCCCGGCCCGGTTCCTGTCGATCGATCGGCGGGGCCGGTGGATTCCCGCTCTGCTGGCCGGGACTCCACCATGTCAAAAAGAAGCCATACGTTATACGGAATCGTACCAATTCTCGATCTAGAATACAAGCGATAGAAAGTCAGGCAAGCCAATTGAAGCGAAAATGGGAGGTAAGAGAAGAAGGAAAAAAAAAAAAAAAAGACTGAGAAATAGGTAGACTGAGAAGAAGACACTGTGTTGAGGAACTTAGCGGCCTGTAGACAGCGATGCTGGTGTACGACTTATTTTGGTCGGAGGAGGGGAGAAGGTGCAGGGACTCGGGTCGGCAACCGGGGGTTGGTTCGGACCGGGTCGAAAAGTACAGTAGTCTAAACCTGCAATGCAAAGTCGCCTTAGCTTAACTTAGCCGAACATTGCGTCCCAAAGTAACAGGAACATTGCGGTACTACATATCAGGCTGCTGTGCAATGTTGCGTCATCTTCCGCTCCGCGCCTGCTGACTGCAGCTCTCAAATCACTCATCGCCCTGCCCGGTCCTTTTTCTCCGTGGGGGCCCGCTTACACCAGGCATCGCCGCATCGAACTAAGGTAAGGTAGGTAAGCCATCGCGTGTCAGTGGCTCAGATGGGGACTTTCACATGCGTTTCCGGAATCCTGCAGCTCCTCTCTGCTCAACCCGGCTCTCTGATTTGCTCAGTCGTACTGTGGTACACAACCTTTGCGAGGATGGTGTTGGTGAATCGAGTTACCTATTTGGGACCTGGCTGGCATTGCAGAGATGATTCTAGAACACTGAAAAATCATGAGTTTTCCTGTTCGTCCGGATGGCTATTCTACTCCTGAGGGATTGGGCACCTCTTGGGGTCTGTAAGCAGTGGTCCTGTCTGGGTTGACCGTGGCTACAACTCAGCAACGAAAGCCGGCTATATGCTCAGCTACCAACAAGCTCACGGTTTTATGTGCATACCTACCAAGTAATGAACCTCTGCTGGACTCAAACGCCATAAATGGAGCGTTCAGTGTGGCTCTCGTTGAGGTAGACATGTATGCACAGGCAGGATAACAAACTCAGAAAAGTCTCCTTGGAGGCAGATAGAAAAATGAATTATAAGTTCAGAAGCAAGGACTGTGAACTCGTGTTTAGTTCACCAACTCCCCAACAGAAAGCCCTAATGCGGGTGAGCAAACCGGGTAAGGTAACCGTTACCACCACCCGTTTGCGCTGCGTTACGATCCGAACCGCACACTGCGCCGAGAGCAAACCTGGGGATAAGCTTGCCTAAGGATATCCCGGAGGGTATCAGGTATCAGGCAACCAACGAGTCCAACTTCGTCGCGGACATCAACTCCCAGCCCAATGCAAGATGGCCCGCGGTGACTCGTGAGCCAGCAGACAAACACTCCTTTCCCGGCGCCGCACGAGTCCCTAATCCCACCATATACACACAGCATTCCTCTATTCCCAACTCCCCTCTTGATGATGCATTATTGAGCCGGAGCAGTGCTCCTGCCGGGCATTGGCCCTTCACATGAGGACGCATTTGGAGCAGCAACCGGCTTGGGCGTCGTCCTCGGCCATGTCCATCTTACTCATGCCGGCGGCGTTGCCCGAGAGGCCACCTCCCGTGGTCGGTCCACCACCCTGCATCTCGCGGTTGTATCTCCTGATCGCGCGGACCACCTCATAGAAGGCCTGCTCCACATTTGTGTTGGTCTTGGCCGACGTCTCGAGGAACTTGCACTTGAACTCGTCCGCCAGCATCTTGCCCTCTGCACGAATCACGCATCAGCACGACAGTTCCGCACCCAACATTTCCTGGGGAAACCCGCACATACCTTCGACTGCAACCTTACGCTCGTGCGCTAAATCGAGCTTGTTGCCGACAACCACCATGGGGAACACGTCCTTGTCCTTCACGCGCAGGATCTGCTGTTGAAAGGTCCTTATCTCTTCAAAGCTCTCGCGCGACGTGATGGAATACACGAGGAGGAAGCCCTCGCCGGTGCGCATGTACTGCTCCCGCATCGCCGAGTACTCCTCCTGGCCGGCGGTGTCGAGCACGTCGAGCAGCGCCACCTCATCATCGACGATGCACTGCTTCCGGTACGAGTCTGTACGCAACACAACACTGCGTCAGCCAATCGCTACACAACATCCATGCCGAACGGGGGTATGGGTAGATTGCGCACCCTCAATGGTCGGGTCATACTCGTCGACGAAGTGCGATTGAATCAATTGGATTGTCAGGCATGACTTGCCGACGCCACCACCACCGACCACCACCAACTTGTATTCTCTCGTGAACTGCGGCAATCCGACCCGGCGGTCAGCTTTACGGAAACAGAAGCAGCAGCGGGAGCGATACGAGGAAGAAGCACGGCGACGAAGACCTGTGCACCATTGATATGGTCGGGGCAAGCAGGACCAACGAACCTTGGAAGCCATCTTTGTGGCTGTGACTGAGGAATTGGGATTGAAGAAATGTCAATCAGACCACGACCGTCGAAAGTCGTGATTGAAGCAGAGGCTCCCTAGTCGAGGACAAGGAGGACAGCTCTTGGGAAGAACCAATTACCGGGTCGCTTGGCAACCGTGCAAGTTCGGTCTGTTCGCGGAGCGGGTTTGAAGGGGAGTCCCGGAGGCGACTTTGAGGCAAGCGTCGTCCTGACGGGTGAGAAAGAGAGAAGGAGATGCTTTGGCGCGGTGGAAGTCGAAGTGAACGAAGCGCGAACCCCTTGGTGTGTGTGGGGATCGGCAGTCGAATTTCTTCTGAACCGCTGGGGGGCTGGCGTCGCTTGGTTTACGCTGCACAACCGCGACTCTGCTGGTTAAAAGTGTAGTTATCGATTAACAAGCAGGCGAGCGACGCGTTGCCAGTTATCCCGACAACTCAATCGGCCCGGGTGTGGTAGAAAAAGGAAGAACCACAGACAGCAGCTCGCGAAACAGAGATTGTGCTGGTGGTCGGTTAGGAAAGACGGGAGTTTTGCCTACCGCTGGCAAGGGAAGGTCAAAGTTCAACAAAGTCATCGGGCGCAAGAAGCAGCAAAAGGCACGGAAAGAGGACCGTGTGTCTTCACAAGCGCAACTGTGCTAGGCTTGCCCCCTTTCTGATTGGCGAAATGGGGCAGTGGAGGACAAAGACATCCCTGGCGCAGCTTCGCACCGATTGGTCCCCTTCAGCTCGCCCTGTCCGATTTGGGGTGTGACGGTCCAATTCATCCACGGATCTGGCGTCAGCTCGCACTGTGGGCACCAGATGTGCTCTGTTGCATATCACAGTCGTAGCCAGCAGCCATTCGTCCAGCCATCCATTCTACTGTGTACATACGTACGGCATATGTACGGCACCTTCACAAGGCTACTCTGTAGGGGGCCGAGCTTGGAGGCATCTCTCCCCAATGTCCGCCTCACAAGCGCCCTGGTCCTGGTCCTGGTCATGGAGCTTTGGAGGCTCGAAGCGCTCGGGGGTGGATTGGAAGTCAACATCCATCAAGCGGCTTCCTTGACCGTCCCCCCAATTGAGGGTCCAGTCAGCGGCATTTTGCGTGATCTGTTCACATCACCAGACGTGAAGACCGAGTCAAGGAGCGGGAACCTTTTTCACCCTCATGGTGGTCATACAGTGCCTCCCTCGTCCCTCTCCAGTTCTCTACACTAGGCATGCCAGGCACAGATGCATGAGCGGTCCTGGGCCCCGCTTTCCTGCAGCTCCCGGTAACGCCGTCCGCGTGGGGACCCAGCGAAGCCCATTCTGCGGCCATCGGCACGAGGACGACAAGCAGACTGCAACTCGTGCATCGTGGCGGATAAGGCTGACGACAGCCTGTCGGCAGACTCGCCGCCTGAGATATCCACCTGGGACGGGTTACGCAACTGTTGCAACTTTGGTTGCTGATGATGGAAGCAAACGCCGTGCCGGATTCTGCCACCGAGCCACTCCCATCTCAGCGGCCCGGTCGGACCCAGCTCAGGATGACGGCAGACCCGTGGCTCCCAGAGTTATGTGCACTACCTCAAGCCCGGCCCCAGACTTGAAGAGCCCCAGGTAGTGATAGTGTACCATTACTCGTCCTGTTGTCCATATGGAGTTGCTGGCTCGCCTTTTTACAGAAGTGGCACAGACGCAGATCGGCAGGCAGGTAGGGAAGGTGCTTCGGATGGTTAACGTCGAGTCAGGAATTGTGGTCAGATGCTCTGACCGGGGAGTCGCAACATTGATCGGCGCTCATCAGGGTGGTAGCAACGGACGAAAGGCCGTTGTTCAGCACGTGGGTGAGTCGACAGTCAGATTGCTAGTGTGAAGATTCACATATTAGGGGCCTCGGCAACCACACCACGCCAATTTTGGGCTTCGGTGAAGTTCGCACGTCTGTCTGCATCTGCGAGGGCTCTTCGCCCGTGCTGCGCCACAGCTGCACTTCTGCCGCCGAACAGAACGCAGTTGCAGATCTTGAGTCGCTGGCCCGGTTCCATGGTGGGAGCGCTGGAGCAAACGCGGGTTTACCCCCTGGTGAGTTCTCGTGCTGGATAATCCCACAATGTGCCAGGATGCTTGTACAGTGCCGCAATGTTGCTGGACACAATACTCCGTAGCACCGAAAAGATATCCGGAGAGTCGAATGAAATGGAAGGAGAGAAGAGAGAAGTAAATGCGAATGTGAAGGAGAATGAGGAGGAAAGACGCAGTTAATCGACGTAAGCTTACCGGAAGAGACCGCACACGGTAGGTAGGCAGTGTGGTTAGTATCGACGTTTCTTGCTCAGTCGCAGTTGGAACTTGCGAGGAGAGCTGGGACAAATGGCAAGTGGCTGCCGTTGAATCGATTTTCTCCACATTTGATATTGCCAGTCTGGGAAGGCCTGTGGGGTAGAATTAATCTACGCTGCCCCCGGTCTGCGAGAGCAAACAACGATGTCCGGGGCTTGAAGCGGGTTTCCGGAGAATTCGTTTGACGCAGGGCTTTCTGGACAACCTCTCTTTTGAGCGACCCGGCAATGTATTGGTTCAGTGTTTAGTTCAGCTCTACACTACAACCAAGATCACAAGCTGAACGCCCATCTCCGACCAGATAAGAGGTGTGGGGTCATATCTCGGCCTCCCGTCCGTTTCAGGGGGCACCAACGAGCTGGGCACAAGTCCGTCGTTGATGAGATGGGACCTTATAATTTCCCGCGAAAGCTCCTCAATCGCACAGGAACCAGGTCCGAGACCCCAGGAGCTACCTTAGTTACTGTGTACACGTACTGTGCTCGATTCCGGGAGGTTCCGCAGCATGCTGGGGCACCCCTATTCCATCGAACGACTCGTCATTTTCGATTTTCTAGAAGCGCTCTAGAATAACGAGGTAGTTACTACCTAGCCTATAGGCTCGCTTCTCTGCAGGAAGGCTCTTCACAGTGCCAAGTGACACCCCGTATCTGAGCACGCCTATCATTAACGTTACCATGTAATGGGCTTGCCCATCACAAAGAGATTGGAACTCGCCGAAAGCTCCGGGCTGGCTCTCAACACTCCGCACTGTGGGACGGACAAGAGAATGTTGGAGCTAGAGTCGCCAACTCATATTGTCCGTGGCCTGGCCTTGGACAGGCTGGCTCCGACAACGCCAGTCGGATATGTCAAGACTCAGTCGTCGGCTTCATCATCTTCCCCCTCTACTGTTACCAGCCGGCCCTGCACATAATGGACCACTTCTGGTGCGATACTCTCCAGGTATGCCTTATCCCTGTTGCCGGGTCAGATTTACCACTTCAGAGCATTGGCGCTTCTGAAATGATGGATACGCACCTCCCGACCAGCGTCACCGTGTTGCGCTTCTTGCCCCATCGCGGGTAGCTCCCAACCTTGACACCCTTCGGCTCGACCCTCTCAGCGAGCGCCGTAAGGTATTCGGCTACCTCGCTCTCAGGCAGCGGCGTCGAGATAATAACTCGGACGATGCCCTTGCCCTCGGGGTCGGTCAGACGGGGTAAGATGGATGGTGTCAGGCCGTCCAGTAGTTTCTCGACTGCATTCCCTTGAGTAAACGTGCCACTACGACGAGGCCAGCAGTGTCCACTTACAAAGCTTTGGCACTCCTGGAAGAATATGCACATTGCCGTTCACCACCGCAACCGGCACCCATAGGTCGTTGCAGGGGAAGAGGAACTGCTCTTCCAACGGTCGGCTCGCGTCTGTCGGCAGCTCAACCATCCTCAACTTGGCCCGTAAGGCCGGCGAATCCTGGTCCCAGTTGAAGGGCGGCTGGTTTGGGCGAGGCTTTGATAGCTTCTTCATAAGATCATACGCCTCCTTGTGGAGCACCAGCGGGAGGCCGAAAGCCTTGGCTATTGACTTGTAGGTGATGTCGTCGTGTCTGGAATTTGATGCTGGGACACATGGCAGAAGAAACAGAGACTCACGTTGGCCCGATGCCGCCACTAGAGGTGTCAGTACTGGTTGCTGTGAAGCGCTTCAGAGGCACAGACCTTGTCACTATCAAGTCATAACGTTCGCTCATGCGGCGCACCGCCTCGATTATCTCCGTCTCGTCATCCGCAATGACTTCGATCCTCTTCAGGTTCTGGAGTGCGGTGTTAACCTACACCCCTGGAAGATAGGAGATATGGCGTACAATGCCGAGACCAAAACACCACTTAGCAAAGTAATGTGAATTCGTCTGCCCCAATGTTATTAGCCTCATTACATAGTCACGAGACAATGGAGGGTTCGCTCACGTCCTTGGTCTGCATGTAGCGTCAGTCAGTCTCAGACGCGGCACGTTAACACCACGTCCATTGAAAGTCTCGACCTGCCTTTCCACCTAGAACTTCATCACCAATGATCAGACATGCTGCAGTGTGAATTTTCCTAGAGGCGCGTTCTGCAGCCGTTGGCCCTGTTGTCATTATTCTATTTACTGTCGCAATTTGCGAGGATGCTGTTGTTGCGGCGGATGAGTGGGCGAGATTAGGCAACGGTCGTGCGAGATGGCGTGCCACTTGAGACAAACGCGAGAACATGAGACCGTTTGGGTAAGGTTGCACTTGGGGGCAAATGGAACGAATGAACGACACGCGTCGAGACCTAGGTAGTGTCTAAGGAGCGCTTGATGCAGACCAAGAATGTCGAGTGTGGGCAAGTTGGGACGGCATGAACCACTGTCCCACTACCTTAACCCCAACCTGGAAAACTACAAGCCGGACCCACATGGTCTGTTCTTTGCTGCTGTGGGGTGCGCGGACTAAACACCGAGTGCGGGGCAGTGTGAAGACACCCCACCTCGCCCACCTCGACGCTGAAGCTCCAGCTGAGGGTGACGCGACCGACAAGACAGCCCAGGAGTTTGTGACCGGCCATCCGCAATACCTGTAGTACAGACTCCATCCACCGTGGATCCGGAACCAGCATTTTCTGTAGTCCAACCCGAAATAAGCCATCGTCATGGTATGCTGCATTTGCGCTTCCACATTCAAGCCGCCCTTATCTAACAACCTCCAGAGCTCCGAAGCAAGGCTATACACCTTCTCGCAGGAGACCAAAGATCACCTGCGGAAGTTCCGGTTGGGGACGTCACGGTCCAACGAGCCGCAAGCCGTCATCTGTATGTATGTCTCTCTCTACACCACCTATCTCATCCTTCCTTGCCTTCATGAACCAGACTCCCTTATCAAAGTGTCAAGACGGCAGCAGGCACAGCAGCTGACCACGGGACGACATAGACATGATCAATAAGCAAACCAAAGAAATCCGCCAAGACGAGGACGGAACAGTCTACAAATCCCTTGAGGAGCTCGCCGATGACCTACCGGACCACTCGCCACGGTTTATCCTGTTGAGCTATCCGCTTACCTTGGTCAGTATCCCTCCAAATACTGAACTCATGCTGATCGATCACTTGCGTTGAGGCTAATGGAAACCGGTATCAGCCCTCCGGCCGTATGTCGGTACCCTACGTGATGCTCTACTACCTGCCCACAACGTGCAACAGCGAGTTGCGAATGCTGTATGCGGGCGCCAAGGAGCTGATGAGGAACACGAGTGAGGTGACGAGAATCCTTGATCTTGAGAGTTCTGAGGAGTTGGAGGAGGTTCCCGCGAAGTTGGGGGCTGCGTAGCGGGGACAGTGGGCATACCCGGGGACTCTTCAGGGGGCTTTGAGATGGGTATCATGAAATATGGTCTAAACCAGTTCTTTGCATATGTGACATTCTACCTCGGGTTAGCCCCCCGTCATAACCTCGTCTCCTTCCTCTCCCTCTGGAAGTACTTCCTCCGGGTCGAGGCCCATTTCCCCCGCCAAACCCCTGACCACCTGCTTCAGGGCGACACACGCCGGGCTATCTGGGAACTGCTCGAAGAAGTTCTCACCAAAGTCACACGACATGCCTATCCTGGGGTCAAGCGGTACTGACCCCAGGAACGGAATGCCCATCTCCTCCGCCAGCGCCCCTCCGCCACCAGTCGTTGCCTTGAAGATCTCGGTCGCGTGCGCGCACTTGGGGCACACAAACAACGACATGTTCTCCACCAGGCCCAGGATCTTGATGCCCGCCTTCCGGCAGAAGTCTATCTCCTTCCTCACGTCCAGTAGCGAAACCTCCTGGGGGGTTGTGACGACGATGGCGCCATCGATGTTGCTCTCCTTGAGGAACGTGTTGACACTAAGATGCTCGTCGCTTGTCCCGGGCGGTGTGTCGACAAGCAGGAAGTCGAGATCCCCCCAGTCAACGTCCTTAAGAAACTTTTTGATCATTCCGTTCTTCTTCGGCCCTCGCCAGATGATGGCCGAGTCGCGGCTCGGTAGGATAAACTGGATCGACATGACAGCGAGATTGTCCATCCAGATGGGTGACCACCCCGTGCTGCTGACGTGTACTTTCTCGTCTTCGACTCGCAACATCTTGGGGATACTCGGTCCGCAGATGTCTGTGTCCATCACGCCGACCTGGGTGTCCGGGTTGGTGGCGAAGGCGCGCGCCAGCTGGACTGTGAGGGTACTCTTCCCGACACCGCCCTTGCCGCTAAGAACGAGGATCTTGTGTTTGACGCCCGAGAGACGGGCTGTTATCAATGGTATATCGGGGTCTGGCCCCTTGGGCGCGGAGGCGCATATCTTCTGGTTCGGACATCCGGCGCAGGAATCGGCGGTGCCAGCTTGCTCCGACTCGGGGCCGGGGCAGTGTTCGGGCTCCGGTGCAACAAGTTGCGGCTTTTGTTTCAAAGGATTCGCAAGAACCTCTTCGACGGGCTCTTCTGCCTCTAATGACGGTGCCATTCCGAATGTGCTAATCAGGCAAATTGGCGGAATGCAGCTCGAAAGATGGAAGGTTGCTCTTCTTCTGGCTTAGAAATCGCCTCCGATGTAAGTTAAACCGGTGGGGCTCAGGCTTATCTTATCGAGCCAGCGTGGGGTCAGTGTTTGCGCTTGGGTACGCAGGCGTTTGCCGATGCCGGAACCCCGACACCCGGCCCAGATCGACCTTTGATCAACCCCGAGGTGTTACCGCAGCGTCAATACAAGAGAGCACAGCATACTGCATTAGACGAGGAGACGGAACCCGCTGGCACGGACCAACAGGCGTGCGGAGGATGAAGGCGCCTTGCTCTTCTCCCTTCCAGATTAGACGGCGGTGTCGATCCTGCGGCTCCCTGCGATGGTTCACGATGCAACGATCCCATTCCCGTGCTCCTTCAATCCCATGATCGTACCGTGTAAAACCTTTCCTGCTTAGGAGAGGCGGACGCTCCAGTCCGACGGGACACGGACGATTCCAAGGCTAAGGATGAATTGGCTGACCGCACTCGCTTCGTCGATCCACAGCGGCACATACTACTGTTGGTGATTCGTGATCGGCTTCCAACGTTCTAAATCTGAGGGTAGATTTGGCCCCTGCCGTACCTCCGTATGGTAGGTAAAGAGGCAAAGACATCCCGCCCGAAGCCTAGCCTTAGGCGTGTCCTCTGATCCAGGAGTTGGCAATTTTCCGCCCGGACCATGATCCGAACCCCCCGTCCTTCGCGGCGGATCGTTTGGTCGCATGCCGCTATCGCAGGGTATCTTCGTCGTTGGGCGTCTATGGCGTCTTCGACTGCGGGGGACGTTGGGTATTGATCGCTAATAAGGCGGGTGCGGAGTGCAATGCAACGGCTCTTAAACGCTGAGAGCCATATCAATGGTCGAAGCAGAGTCCGGGGAGAAGCGCGCATCCAATCCGTTAATGTGCAGGCGAAGCAGAACGGGGCAACCTCTCAGGAGAAGCGTTGCTTGGGGGGGGGGGAATTGGCGAAGGGGAGTGCAGGTTTAAAACACAGTTGGGCTATCCGTAGACCCTGCATCCATTGCTCAACTGCTCACCTGACAGCGTGTGGGAGGACGTTAGCGCGTCGAGCTACCGGGCGACCCCTGCAGGGGTCCCAGTCAGAAAATGGCCGGTCGTTGCCATTGGAACCACGCATTTCAAACGATGCAAGACTGCCGCGTCGGAATGAGGCCAGGAACCGTGTGGCTCTCCACGCCCGCCGCCGCACCGTTGCCCCAAGCAGGGCGAGTCCCGTCGAATCGCGGCGCAAGCCTGACGTCGTCTGAAGCAGATAATAACCCGAGTTGCGTCGTGCCCGACATTTGTCGAACTGTGTGCCAGCGCCGGACGTTCAGCGAGCCGCGCTCTTGCACCTCGTCTCCCCCAACGTAAACAAGTAAACAACGGCCGCCTGACGCTCATCGCCAGTCGTTCCCCTCCAACGTCCTGCGCCGCTTGAGCCACGTATCAATGCGGTTGAGTATGATGCCAACAACAAAGAAGAAACTTGGCTCGATCGGTTTGTTTATGCGGCAGGCCGACGGGACAGTAGGTGGTGGTCCCGGTAGCAACCCCAGGGCAGGAGTAGTGGGCCTGCCTGCAACGCCTGCGCCTGCTTCGTCGGGACATGGATCGAGGCCCGGAAGCCACGCGACATCCCATGCGCAGCCTCCACAGCTGCAGCCCCCACCCGAAATCACCGCGGCGCGGCAGGAACGACAGCTTCCTGACACGCCCGCAACTGCCAGGACATTACCCGTGCCAAAAGCTGGTTGGTACGCGGCCGCATCTCAGCCAACCGCGGCGATGAGCGTCCCTGCGGAACATTATCACCCAATGCAGCGCACCAGGACCGCTGCCTCGGACACCGGGCGCGAAACGCAGCGGGGCCACAACGCGTGGGAGGACTCGACAATAGCCTCCATGTTTGGCGACAACGAGAGCAGGTCTGCATCGGATAGGCTTCGCGCGCACCAGGGAGGCCACGGCCGCCACTACAGCGATGCCCCGCCGCCGCAGAGGACGCGCCAACTTCAGCCCGCCCTCACGCAGCCCAAGCCTGACGAGAAACTGAACCTGCCATTCGTCATTGGCGAGGGCGGTCTCCTCAAGGTCGTCCCGGCTCCCAGTGCTCATCAGGCGCCCGAGACGGTCCCCGTGGCCAACAATGCCATGCCGGGTGGCATCTTCGAGGACCAGAGCGTCAAGACGGAGGATGTATTTCAGGAAACCCCGCAGCTCTATGAAACGCCCACCAGACGCAGCGGACTCAGGCGGACGAGGCTAGCCTATCGAGACACGCGCGACACGAAGAGCAACGGATCACCACAACGATCAGGCTCAGGTTATTCACCAGAATCACAGAGCCTGGACCTGTCTCCAGAGCGACAGGCCGATGCGGGAAACCATATCGACAAGATCAGGTTACAGGAACGGCTCTCGCGCGACCGGGAGCGGCAGCGTGAGCGAGAACGCGAGAGAGAAAGAGAACGGCAGCGTCAGCGAGAGCATGAGCTCCAGCACAAGCGGTCCACCATATTCGAGAACTTGACGCCGCTTGAGTTTGACGATCCGGACTTCAACGACACGAAAGCGGCAGCCGTTGCGTCCAGCACCGGTGTCGACCCCGAGGCACTCAAGGAGGCTCTGGAGCGCACCCCGCGGGCAAACCGCCAACCGCCGCCGCAGCAGCTGTTTCCAGCCCAAGCCAATCCCTTCAACGAGGCACCCTCACCGCTCGGGCGGACAGCCAGCCGCCGGCTACAAGAGCCATCCAAAGACGTGGCATCCACCACATCGCGCAAGCGCCGACAAAGCCTCGACTACGACGACGCAGAGCTGCACGGGATGAGCTACGCAGACCTGCACAAACAAGCCTTCGACTTCGACCCGCAGGCGGCAGCCCTCCAGCAGGCGGCCGTGCCCCCAGCAGGAGGGAGCATTGAGGAGCGGCTGGAGCACTACAAGAGCAAGGGGAGCATGGACCAGCACGAGTTCTTCACCCGCATTTCCATCGACGAGTGGGATGAGGCGGGCGACTGGTTCCTGGCGCAGTTCGGCAGCATCATGCAGCGGCTGAAGCAGGCGCGCAAGGCCAAGCGGCAGCTGGTGCAGCAGTTCGAAGACGAAATTGCCGCCCGGGAGGAAGCGGTGCGTAGCAAGATTGACGGGATCGGAAGGACGCTTGAGGACCTTAAGCAGGAGGGCCAGACGATGATGCAGGGGAAGGACGTGGATGTGGAGCTCTGAGCGCCGCCCGGAGCGCTCATACGTACGTTGTAATCGTGGGGATGGAACACATTTGCTTCATGGTAGGGGATGTATACGAACGATTTTCCTTTGCCGTGGCTCTGGAGCTGTGGTTGTTTTTCTTTTGCATTTACCTTGCGCTTTGACGTTCAACGAGCTAACGACCAAGAGTAACATAATGGCTTACGACTCATGACTTACGACTGATGACTGACGAATTGACAGCCTCAAGATGGGACGGGATGCAGCACTGAGACGCAACGGTACAGGAAGTGCGTGTTGGACGGGGTATCATAGACGGCTAGGTATGTAGCTGTATCCAAGTAGACCGTCAAATACGATTGCGCACCACTGGCATACTTATATGACCACACTCTCCTTCACCCTCCTATCGCGCCCAACAACAACCCTCAGTTGGCACCCTCTCGCAGGCAAGAAAATCCCCTCTCTCACCCCCTCGGTGAACAGCTCATACGCGGGATAGTACGCATCCACAAACTTGACCACCTGTTCCCCCGTCATGCCCGCCCCCTTCTCCCTGCGCAGCTGCTCCTCCTGCTCCGCCCGCCACGCATACACGTACTCAATATCCTCCGCGTCGATGTGGATGAAGGCGTTCAACGTGCGGTTGATCACGGCGTCGTACTCGGCCAACTGGCTGTTGATGAACTGCAGATGCTCCAGCTTGTGGTTGTGCAGCGTCCGGCTTGGGCCGCGCCATTTCCCTTCAAGGGTCGAGTTATCTAGGGGGCGGAAGCCGACGCACCAGCCTTCGAGGATGAGCACTTGCGGTGAGGTGGCTGTTGGCCAGGAGCTGGGCGGCTGCCGGTCGCCTAGCCCGGAGAAGGCGGATTTGTCGTACTGCGGCACCGGCGTGGGCTTGTTGGCGGTGAGCGAGGCAAGGAAGGCGCGGACGAGGGGGAGATCGTGAGTTCCTTAAGATGGAGGCGGGATGTAAGTCTCTGCTTGAGATGGGCTCGGGAGTGAAAGGGGAGGGAAGTGTGAAGGAATCACACACCAGGTTCGCCTCTGTACTGTACCAGCGCGTTGTCCGGATGTGCCGCTGCCAGCGCCAGCTGATCCGCATGGGTGAGGTAGAAGTCGTCGATGCTCACTACCAGCGTGGGCAGCCCCTCACGCTCTTGCAGGGTCTGGGCTAGCGCCCGGACGAGCGTTGTCTTGCCCACGCCCTGCACGCCGTTTATCCCTACTATGAAGGGCCTGGCATCGTTCTTTCCCGCGCTTTGTTCCCTGTATTGAGCTAGGCGCTCAAGGAGGAAGGGGATGCATATGGGCGATTTGTCGTCGACCATGCGGGTCTGCGGGACTCCGTCTGGCGTGGAGGCCATGTTCGGGCTGCGCTTATGAACTTAGCTGGGTAATGTGATCATTTGGGTTGTCGCGATTGGGTACTGAAGCATATTAAATCTCCCGGCCGGCCTCTCAACCAGTCGTTTCGCACTGCAGCCTCGAAATATGCGCGAGATGCTGTTCGGCCGGCGCAGTCCAGGACGACAGCGGGACCAGCTTACACTAGGCGGTCCGGCCCATTGTGGGGTGCGTCGATTGGCGCGGGGAAGCTGGAAACCTGTGTGGGGCAGCAACCCCAACCTTGGGAGACGGAACAGGTTCCGGGTTCTCGTCGAAGGTCTTCATAGTGTAGTGTACGAAGTAGAAAAGAGTATGGCTTCTGGTGCTTGATCGAGCCGACCCAACGAGTCAAGTAACATGCCAGTGCCTCGAGTTGCCATGCCCTGGTGTTCAGTCCGGTTCCTGGACGAAGTGCAGAGCAGCCAGGCATGTGATCGCCCCTTGTGGCACTTGGAGTGCTGATGCTAGCACCGAGCACATCCCTGCTTAGGTACCTAGGTAGCCTCCACCATAGACAATCGATGTCCTCGTGCACAATAACTATTCATCCGAATCCAAGCAGAGAGTACATACAAGGACGGCTGCCCGTGGAGGAGCATCCCGACTTAAATGTCATGAAATGATGAAACAATCATATTTGAGCCGGCCTTTGTAGCGCGGCGCGAGCATGGAAAAGGTCACCCGTGATGTGCCTTGCTCCGTCAAGCTGAGCTGATTGGCCGGGAGCTGGCTCGGATGGAATTGCATGTGAATGCACAGTGTGAACTGCCCAGTGGGACAATTCCGTCGGCAGAATGTCCCGTCTCTCGGCAACGCTGGCTAACAGTGGAGATGGGAGACGCAAGTCACAGCAACAGCCGTTTGCCTCGGCTTAAAGAGGCGCGGCAGCGAAGCATCGGTAAGTGTCGATTTGCCGACGTCAACGGTGCTCCTTATAGAAGTGTAACGTTTCCGGCCAGTGCCTGTCTCCTGTGATTCCATCAACATCTGCGACAATTAATCCCTCCGGTTTTCTTTTTCATCGTGTCGCATTTCCACACGCTATTCACAGATTCAAGATGGCGGATCAATTGAGGTTTGATGGCCAGGTTGTTGTCGTCACCGGCGCGGGCGGCGGTCTCGGCAAGGCTTATGCCACCTTTTTTGCATCGCGCGGCGCCAGCGTGGTGGTGAACGACCTCGGTGTGTCGTTTAAGGGCGAGGGCAAAGACACAAAGGTGCGTGCGCAAACTATTGAGACTATTGAGCAACCGTCAAGGTACATAGACCTGACACAAGTAGGCCGCCGATGTCGTCGTCAACGAGATCAAGGCCGCCGGCGGCAAGGCGGTTGCCAACTATGACAGCGTCGAGAACGGCGACAAGATCATCGAGACAGCCATCAAGGCTTTCGGCCGCATCGATGTGCTCATCAACAACGCCGGCATCCTGCGCGACGTCAGCTTCAAGAACATGAAGGACCAGGACTGGGACCTGATCTTCAAGGTACATGTCAAGGGCAGCTACAAGTGCGCCCGGGCTGCCTGGCCGTACTTCCGCAAGCAAAAGTACGGTCGCGTCATCAACACGGCCTCGGCCGCCGGCCTGTTCGGCAACTTCGGCCAGGCCAACTACTCTGCTGCCAAGCTCGCCATGGTCGGCTTCACCGAGACGCTCGCTAAGGAGGGCGCCAAATACAACATCATCTGCAACGTCATTGCCCCTGTCGCTGCGAGCCGCATGACCGAGACCGTCATGCCGCCAGATGTCCTCGCGCTCATGAAGCCCGAGTGGGTCGTGCCCCTGGTGGCCGTCCTGGTGCACAAGAACAACACGAGTGAGAGCGGCTCCATCTTCGAGGTCGGTGGCGGCCACATTGCGAAGCTTAGGTGGGAGCGGTCCAAGGGGCTGCTGTGCAAGTGCGACGAGTCCTACACCCCGAGCGCGGTCCTCAAGAAGTGGGATCGCGTGACAGACTTCTCCAGCCCGCAATACCCCAGCGGGCCCAATGACTTCCTGGCGCTGCTCGAGGAGTCGCAGAAGCTCGGCCCCAACGACCAAGGTGAGAAGATCGACTTCACCGGGCGCGTTGCCCTCGTCACTGGCGGCGGCGCGGGCATTGGCCGTGCCTACTGCTTGGCATTTGCCAAGGTGGGTGCGGCTGTGGTCGTCAACGACCTGGCCAACCCCGATGATGTGGTCAATGAGATCAAGAAGATGGGCGGCAAAGCTGTGGGAGCCAAGTTCTCGGCCGAGGACGGCGATGCGGTTGTCAAGACTGCCATCGATGCCTTTGGACGCATTGACATTGTCATCAACAACGCCGGCATCTTGAGGGACAAGGCATTCGCCAACATGGATGACAGCCAGTGGGATGCCGTCATGAACGTGCACGCCCGCGGCACCTACAAGGTTACGAAGGCCGCCTGGCCGTATTTCCTGAAGCAGAAGTATGGCCGTGTGGTCAACACCACCTCGACCAGCGGCATCTACGGCAATTTCGGCCAGGCGAACTACTCCGCGGCGGTGAGTGTACCTGAATCCAAAGACAGAAGTAGACGTGCGCTGACCCGGGATAGAAATGTGCCATCCTCGGCTTCTCTCGCGCGCTTGCGCTTGAGGGTGCCAAGTACAACATTTACGTCAACACGATTGCCCCGAATGCGGGCACCGCCATGACCAGGACCATCCTGCCCGAGGAGCTTGTCCAGGCCTTCAAGCCCGACTACATTGCGCCCTTGGTGCTCGCTTTGTGCAGCGACAAGGTCCCTAACCCGACCGGCGGCCTGTACGAGGTCGGCAGCGGCTGGGTCGGCCAGACGAGGTGGCAGCGGACCGGTGGCTACGGCTTCCCCGTCGATGTGCCGCTCACTCCTGAGGCGGTCGTCAAGCACTGGGATGCCATCGTCACGTTTGACAACCGTGCCGACCACCCCGAGAAGACGCAGGACAGCCTGCAGAAAATCATGGCCAACATGGAAAACCGGAGCGGCGAAGGAAAGGTATGATCCAGCCAGCCACTTACTTACCTGTCACCTACCTACGCCGTTTCCATCCATGTACCATAGCATAAATAATAGTATGTAAAATACATGACGTGTTAACCTGTGTGTCTCCGCAGAGTGCGTCCGGTGGGAGCAACCAGTACCTTGACGCCATCCAGAAGGCGCTCAAGGCCGAGGGTAAGGGCACCGAGTTCAAGTACACGGATCGCGATGTGATACTGTACAATCTGGGGATCGGTGCCAAGCGCACCGACCTGCGCTATGTCTTGTGAGTCACCTTCTACAACTGACATCATGACTTGTGTTCACAGCTGACCGTTGATTCGATGATCAGCGAGGGTAATGACGAATTCCAAGTCATCCCCACCTTCGGCGTGATCCCGCCATTCGACGCCGAGACGCCATATAACCTCGACGACCTGGTCCCCAACTTCTCCCCCATGATGCTGCTCCACGGCGAGCAGTACCTCGAGGTCAAGAAGTACCCGATCCCTACCTCAGGCCGGCTCATCTCCAGGGCCAAGCTGCTTGAGGTGGTGGACAAGGGCAACGCGGCCATTGTCAAGTCCGGCGTGACCACGGTCAATGCCGAGACGGACGAGGAGCTCTTCTACAACGAGATGACCGTCTTCCTGCGCGGCTGCGGCGGCTTCGGCGGGCAGAAGAAGCCGGCTGATCGCGGCGCCAGCACCGCGGCCAACAAGCCGCCTGCGCGCGCGCCCGACGCCGTGGTCGAGGAGAAGACCATCGAGGAACAGGCTGCTATCTACCGGCTGAGCGGCGATTACAAGTACGTATCTCCCCTTCCGCCCGCCCCAACTTCCCCGGCATCCATCTCAGTCAGATATCCAGGTACTGACATGTTGGTACCCAGCCCCCTTCACATCGACCCAGCCTTCGCCAAAATGGGCGGCTTCAAGGTGCCCATCCTGCACGGGCTGTGCTTCTTCGGCTTCGCCGGCAAGGCCGTCTACGAGAAGTTTGGCGCCTTCAAGAACATCAAGGTACGCTTCGCGGGGACGGTCAACCCCGGTCAGACGCTGGTCACCGAGATGTGGAAGGACGGCAACAAGGTCATCTTCCAGACCAAGGTGAAGGAGACGGGCAAGTTGGCGATTGGCGGGGCTGCGGCTGAGTTGGTTCCTTCTTCTTCTTAGGAGAATGGAGAGGAGGAAGCGGGCCCACCGCCTATTACTACTAGTGGACGTGGTGGAAGGGGAAGGAGGAAAATAGGGGTGAAGGAGACGGCAAGCGGATTCGCCTTGTTGGGACTTATTTGTTACTTGTCGCGTTGGGGATCGGCATCTCTTTGAGGAAAGTAAGTGATGGACTGGGTTGATGTTGGTGCGCTGTACGGTTGGGGCTTCTTTAGGACGCCGAGGACGCTCTGGGAGCGCCTCGGGAATGAATGTGTTCGGGTTAACTAAGGATTAGATGAGCCTTTGTCCATGTGGTGTTTAATAGGATCCCCCCCCCTATTGTCGATGAAGGCGGGAGTCCAAATCCACACCACAGGGAGAAGGCTTATCCAATCCTTAGTTGACCCGGATCTATTTGTTCCAGAGGCGTTCGTTCCCCGAGCCTCCTCGGCGTCTAAAGAAAGCCCCAACCGTACAGCGCACGAAGTCCTAAGGAAAACCCCAGCTAGAAGTCTGATTAGGGGGCAAGGAACTGGCGTAGTGGGATATTCATTACAGTCTAACAAGTAGCCCTCCAGCCTGTCTTGACCGTAATAACTCCGTTTGGTGATTAGCTATCCATCGCCCCGGTCACTGATTCCAGATGAATGGGGTATCAGGTTGACCCCACACTCCTCGTGGAATACCAAACCCCCCAAAGGTGGTCTTTCCCTCACAAAACATTATGCGAAGCCCCCTTCCTCATTAATAAGAGAATGTATGGAAATTAACCTTTCGCTCTCCCGACCTGAAGCGATTGATGCCTCTTTTGAAACGCCGACCGGCTCATGGAGCCTTCCAAAACCGCAAACCCATACGGAAACATGAATGGGCGCCCGACAGACACGGTTCGCCGGACCTTTCCTCACCTCGCTAATATCATATGCCATATGCATAGCCCCCTTCCGTCTCCGTGCATCATGCCACATGGAGAGAGAAAAAAAAGCCCGCCCAGCCTGGGTATCCAAAACCTCAACAAATATCAACGCCCGCCTTGCCTTGGCAACCGTCTGTCATACAAATACGAACCGGGTCTCCGCCAGACCACCTGGTGGCACCACCAGGTTCTCTCGCTCAGAAGCTCTCTGTCGGGGAGCCTGAGACGATCTTGACACTCTCACGAGCCTCTTTATTGGGCTTGTGTTCAGTTTGGTGTTCAGAAGCAGCATCGAAATCCGTCTCCGTCATCTGGGGCGTCCTAGGCTCTCTTTCCGATTCGTCGTCGGCTGAGGAACCGGGCTCCAGATTTTGTGGTGTAGGCGGGACAGGAGGAGGCGGCGAGCTCTCTTTCTTCTCTAAGCGGATGCTCGTCCTCCGAGATATGCTGTCCAGTGCTACGGCGGTGGAAACTGACGATGAGTTCTTCTGATGTCTTGGGCTGACAGATCTCTGCGTTGAAGAGCTTTCCTCACCCGTTGGCTTTTCGGTCGCAGTCTTCTCGTCGACCGAGGCCACCTCAGCAGACTGGGTGTCACTAACCCGCGACTCCATAGAGGCCCGCGACTCGATGGACAGGAAGGAGTTGCGGACAGGGCTTTTGAGCGAGGACACATCACCGTACTCGCTCTTGCTTCCTCGGGAGGCGCGTGCGGGACTCCGTGCAGGTAACGGCGGCGGTATCCTCTTCGGGATGGTAACGATGGCGCCCTTGGCTTGGATAACTTGGGTGATTTGAGACGAGACGGAACTCCGTGCTGCCGACGCTGTCGCGACTTCACAGATGATCGGCTCTTCATCCTCGGTCTCGTCCTCGTCTTCCTCCTCCTCATCGTCGGCCTCGGCCTCGGCGTCTAGCTCGTCTGTGGCTTTGAGACTCAGGCTCTCAATTGGCGTGTCCGGGTTGCCGGGTTTCGGCGCCTCTTGGCTTTGTTTAGCATCTGTAGCAGTTTGCGTTCCCGCGGTGACCGTTGCCTCCTTGGTCTCGACAGCAGGGGCCGGTTTTGACGCTGGAATTTCGACCGTCCTCCGCTTCAGCCGCTCGATGATACTCGTGTCGACCTTGGTGTAATCCACCTCCCCCGGCTCTACAACCGTGGGGAGTCTCTCCACGCTGTCCTTCCCGTCGTCGCTATTGGCGCGGCTGTAAGTTGTGTCGGCGGTGCTGGCCACATCCGTCTGTGTGAACGCGTCAGTCATTGTTGTGTTTTGTGTCTTCGCCGACATGCAGCTGCCCCGGTTGCTTCTCGAGACGAACGTATCCATGCTCTGGCGGCTGAATCTTCCATACACGGGACTGTTCGGGCTCGGGTGGTACTCAAACTGTGTGCTTGTTGGTCGCAGCTTGGTGCCCGCTTCGCGGATCTCAATGCCTGCCATTTCCAGGCTGATGACGCCAAAGGGATCCGGGTCGTTGGCGTCCGGCACGCCAAACGCTTGTTTTGTTGGGGATGCGATGGATTCCGTTGGACTCTCGATCTGCGCATCACCGGGTGCTGGCTGCTGGGCGAGCCAGTCCATCAGTCCCTTGTCATAGTCAGAACGGCCCTCGGCGGCCTTGATGACCTCATATAGTGGGCGCATTTCAGGGACGTTCTTGGGGACGTTGCCGGCCAGGACGTCAAGGATGGTAACGCCGGCACAGTAAAAGCGTTCGTTTTCGTTGCCACGCTCCGTGACCAACGACCCGTCAAGCTGCACGGCCTGGTGCTTCCCTCTAGCCTTCACGTACGTCAATACAGTGTCGTTGATCTCCTTCCATCTGATCTCAGGCTCCGGCAGTCCCTCAGCAGCAAGTGGTCCCACGGCCAGGTTGACATCGTTGCCTAGTATTAGCTTAGCGCGGGTGAAGAGCTCCAGGGTCTGGACGCTGTTGATCACTAAGAGGCAGTCGTAGATGTCGACACCCATGACGAAGGCCAACTCAGCAGTGTGGAGTATTATCCCAGACGGCGGCGACCATGTCCCGTCGGCCTTCCGCGCTATGATAATGCCCGCTCCCCCGGACCCCGACATCCAGAGGCCAGACCGCATGCAGGAGAAGACAGCGAGACCGACGGCATTTTGAATTATTCGAGGGGGGATCTTCTTGGTGATGTAACTCGGTGTCGACGTCGGTTCGGCTATGTTGGTGTCGGACTGCTCGGAATCCTGCGAGAGGAAGCCATCGACTGGTCAAACTGTCAGCCCCTGCGCCATACAGCCAGCCCAACTGCAACACTTACAGCAGAACGACTTGATGATCCTGGCGGCCTTGTCGCACTCCTTGTCGAGCGTGGTCGGCCAATATGTTTCTCGGCCGTAACGGGTGGGTGCTGTGGGCGCAGTCGACGTGCTGTTTCGGTTGATGGGCACGACAATCTTTTCGGCCCAGCCAAAGACCTTATCCAGTGCACCGGGCGTCCGCGGCGCGGGGGCAGTTTGTTTCGATCGGTCCCACGAAGGGAGCAGAGCCGAGACGCGATGCATGGCGAGTTCAACTGCCCGGTGCCGGGGGCAGCTATTCTCACCAACGTCACCGAGAGATGTAGCACCGTCCGTCCGATCGAGCGGTGATGCGGGCGACGTTGGTTCAACTCGGGGAGGGGAGTTGGGCATGCAGCCCAGGGCGCCGTCAACGTTTTCAAGATCCAGGACCTTGTCCCGTAATAACCGGCCCACTGCCCTGGATGACCCAAAGTGACGTGGGCACTGGCGATCCCGGGAAGCAGCCAAACAGCGTGGTGCAAGCCCGAGGAAGCCCAGAACTAGCCGGACAGGGGTCGTTCCTCGGCCCTGCACGGCAATTACGGCGCACAGCAGTGGGGCGACGCACCCCTTCGTTTTGGTTTGATGGCTAGGTGAGGTGTGCAGCGCCGTTGGGTGCCTGGCAGCAATTGATTGAACAGAATTTACATTTAATATGCATACGGCTGCAGAGATTGGGCCAGGGACGACAGGGCGATCTCGGCGACGTCGAGCTCAGTCTGTGCTATCATGACGACCAGGACTTGCCCTATGTTGATGTTCATATGTGGTAGTACAAAACCCGCCAAGCTTGCACCGAGGGTGTGCTTTGATCCAAGGCTCGCAGGATGCAGCAAACGGTAGGTGCTAGGTACTACGGTAAGGCACAGGAGCCAACGGTAGGAACGGGCCCAACGAAGGAAGGCCAACCAACGAAGTCGAGGTGATCAAAGAGGATCGGAATGCGAGCGTCTGGAAAACAGCCAGCAACCTAATCTTAATTTTCATCAATCTGGTGCTTACGAGAGAGAACACAGCCTGGTGTTTATTTAAGGGATCCTTGAATGCGTTGTTCAACGTTTTCTTTTCTCCACTGACTAAGGTAACTACTAAGTAACTGAGGAAGGGGTCATTCCAGGTTGGCATGCTGCAAAGAGGCTGCCATTTCCGAGCACTGGCGTCCCGCATGCAGTGTGATCGAGGTGCCTCCAGTCCTTGATAGACATATATCCTCCCACGGACGCTCACCATGCATGTGCTTGTGATACCGGTGTGCTGGTCTTCTTTGCCGCAGGATGATCACGGCCTTTTGATGTGCGGCAACACGAATTGTCGAGCTCCACTCGCCGTCCCGGCTGTGGTTCATGCATTAGCCCGTTTTGTGGACGGGGTCACCCCGGCTCCGTACCGAGCCCCCCGAAGGCCAGCCACTGGGCCTGAGACTCCGATCATGTCGTCATTTGCTCGTGCGGTTTTCACACCAGAACACATCCGATCCGATGACCCTATGCTTTTGCAGGCCATTCCTCCTTTCACCCTATACTGCAGCATCACCTGGAAGTTATTTAGTTTTGAGATGAGACAGATAATCTCGGCGAGATATTGCCTGAGTGTCTCGGGCGGAAACATTCCAGTGATACTACCTACTACTACCGTCACAGCCCAAGCATCATAGCATGTACAGGTAAGACTGAAAATCTCCGCGTAAACTACACGCGTAAACCACGAGGGACAGAGCTAATAAAGTCAGGAACACCCTCTTTGGCTTGTCATTTTCCGGAGATCTGCCCCTTGGTCGATCAGCTTTTTTAGGTTGTAAGGCAATGGCCCTAACTATGAAATTTCCGAGACTTGCCGTACCTACACGCAAAGACACTAGAGAGTCCAGACCTAGGGCTCCTAATAACAGTAGTATCTCCAAAGCCTTACGAACTACCTACAGAGTACTAACTCGGGATTTTGCTCACTCAGTCTTGGGACCCCTCATTTAGTACTGTGTAGTTTGATTCCCCTGCTAGTACTCTCGTACGACACTGCCAAATTCAAACCTGCTTCTTCCGACCTGCAAAGAGTCTCGTCGACCAATGAATCCCAACAACGAAGTGCCACTGAGCCTCCGGCCGGCGCTTTGACCTGCATGGTTCGCCCGCAACCAACCATCCTAACCAGGCCCTCGCAGGCTAGAGGCATCCCTTTCCTTGTAGGTGAGGGCCACTTCAAAGTTCAAGCCGCTTGTCTAGCACTCTGACGGCACTGCTGCGAAGTAAAAGGTAGCCATACTTTACCTTGTAGTCCATCATGGTAGAGAGAAGGAGACGGGAGGTTCAACCTTCTGAGCCTCGATTAGGAAACATAGCACCAATCACCTGGTACTACCAAGCAACTGCCATCCAGCTGACGTTGAAGCAGTCAAACGGCCCGCAATTCACCCACCTCACCTAAGCGTGTCTTTGGCCTCCATGCAGTACGAGGTGAGGGTAGGCGAGGTCGAGCTAAGGCTGAGCTTCTGTCCTCTGTTACTCCGTCCCGTTGGCACTTGCGGGTGATTAGTATGTTCATTCCATCGTCGCACGTCTGAGGAGCTATCACATCGTGCTAGTTTCACATCTTCCTCGACTGTTGCGGGCCCTATCTCATATGCGCAATGCCTCGCTGAGACCAATCCGGATTGCTCAAGAAGTCTATGTGAGTACTAGTATGTATTGACCTTTGCTTCAGCTGCGCAAGGTAGAGTAGGCCCGCCACAAGAGACGGTATGTACGTAGGGCTGTGCCTCTGTCTGTCCCGTCTGCAGCGTTGCGGCGTGACAGTCTTTTATCCTGCTTCGCAATCGTTTTGTGGATAGGCCTTAACGTCGGGGCCAACAGAACCTGACAGTAATATATGCTGTGTTCGCTGCGGTCCAGCCAAAGCCTGCGTCTTGCCTGCAGTGTTCAGATATCCTGGCTTGTAAGTGTCTTCTCTTGCAGGTGTGCCACTAATAAGTTGAAGTTACCTACCCGAGGTTGGTGCTCAGCCTGATGTTGAGGCTACTGCTAGTAGTAGTAAGTTGCGCCCGTCTGAGTCACGTAACATCAGTACAGCACTGCCTTGTATCCCATGCACGATACGGAGCACTGGCGCTGACATCCGGCCCACACGGAATGACCTCCAGTTATTGTAACAAGTCAAGGGACTGGCAGCACCACAGACATTTGCGGAATGAACAGGTAAGCAGCTTGGAGCAAGATGGTATTCATGTCAGACCGACAATTGCTTGCAATCTGTCTAATGCGACTCCCCAATCCGTTTAATCCCGTAACCCAAGTCTAATGCGTTGGTGAACTGAACATGTCGTGAGCGTAAAGTGTCGTGATGCGTCGTGATATCTACATTGGTGACATTAGTGTGTCCCAGGGGGACAAGCAGTCGGATGAGGGTCGGCGATCAAGCACCGCACTGCCCCTGATCCCGTCCATTTTCCTGAGTTCACTCCTTTCCCAGCCTGGGGTACTGGCCCCCCTCCACCAAGAACCTCTCTAACCCCAGGGAATCCACGGTCTTGACACACGCCGATCCTTCGAACCGTCCCCGGCGCTTCCCTTCTGCCGTCTTCACGGGCACCCAATTATCATCCGTCACGGCCCTGAAGACATATACCTCTCTCGAGCTGGCCATAAAATCCCCGGCCTCGGCATCTCCCTCCATATGGAACCTCTTAAGCTTGGGCAATTTGCCTTGTAGACTCGTAAACAGCGACCGGAATGACCCTTCGTGAAGGTGCACGCCGCCTGTGCTCCACTCAAACGGCTTGGCTAGGCCGCGTCCGCCGAGGCGGAGGCGTTCGAGGGTGGCGCTGTGCCGGAGTAGGAACGAGCGGAGGTCGTCTTCTGCGCAGCTGACGCCCTCGAGCTTCAGGTCGGTGAGCTTTGTGTAGGTGAAATCGGAGCCAGAGAAGAGCGCTTGGAAGGAGAGGTGGAACTTTTCGAGGGGGGCGTGGTAGGTGTGGAAGGCCAACGTGAGATGGGTCAAATTGACGCTGTAGTGTAGGACGTGTCCCAGGCCGTTAATGGCGCGGAAGCGGGAAGACGGCAGCAAGTTGTTGGGCGGGTCGAGGACGAGGTTCAGGCGGGAGAGGCTTGCGAATGAGCGCGCGCAGTCGAACCAGTGCCGGCGGTCGTCAGCTAAGCGGAAGATCTCGAGGGGTAGCTGGTCGATGGAGAGCGAGGCGAGGCGCACGTGGCGGATCGCCGAGACAATGGCGTTCATGTTCTTGCAGGCCTGGCTGCGGTCTCGCTTGCGGCACGATCGGACTTCAAAGACATCCTTGAGGATCTCGATGTGGTAGGGGCATTTGGTGAGCGTAATTTCGAGGTCTTTCAGGTTAGGCAGCCGCTTGAAGGCCTCTTCGACCATGCTCGATCGGGCGTGAAACGGCGGGAGCTTGCGGGCGCTTTCCTCCAGTTCATAGTACTTGATCCATGCATCCTGGAGCTGCGCACTGCGCTCTTCCGGCTCCTGGAGCCAGTGTTGGAAGAAAGTCGTGTGGCGGGCATTGTACTCGTCGACCTTGGAGAAGTTGAACGTGAGAGACCGGATGCTGCCGCGGAGACGGTCGTGACCAGCGATGCAGCGCAGCCGCTTGATGTCGTCCCGCCACTCGACGGCGGTGAAGTGTGAATCAAGGAGGTATTCGTAGCCTACGTCCGCATACCTGCCCGACGCCAATCGCAGTGCTTTTACGGCCGGGGGATCGCAGTACTGGAAGACGAGTCGGACCAGCTCGACGGGGAGGAAGTCCATGCTGGGACGACAAAAACCATCAAGAGGAGCCAGAGTAACCAGCCGGGCCCATGGGATCGATGGACAGGAGCAACGTCAGAAGACAAAAGCGTAGAGAATATAACATACTGTTTTAATAAGGAAGATGGGTGAGCAGGCGCACCGCACTTATACACCGCCAAGCGCAGGCGTCTGACAGATGCCGGGCCCAATAGACAGTGCGCCTCGAGCATCAACGTCAGCTCTGCCGGCAAGTTGCAACAGCATTGCAAAGCCCTGAGTGGGCGTCCCGATCGCCCCGCTGCCCCTTGCACATGTTGGTCAGCAAGCTGGCAGGCTGGACCCGGGTCGAAAACCCAAGAATTGAAGAAGCGGTTCCGACACCGAATGCTGGGATCAACAAGTCGGTGAAGCTCAAAGAGAGACAAGGGGCAGCAGACCAGGACAGCTGGATGCGTCAAGGTCAAGGCCTCCCGGAGAAACAGGGGAACGGGCGCATGAGCGGCCACTTGCAGGGTCCATGTCGAACACTTCTGCAAGCCGCGACAGGGTCTGGTGAGTGGGTTCCCAACCCTCTGCGGACCACTGGGTCCCAGAATGGCGGACTGGCGGTGGGCGGTGAGCGAGAACGGGCCCGCTCTGTGTGTGACGGAAAGGAGGTGTGACAATTTGATGGACCTCCACCGCCCAGTTCAGCGTGAGAAACTCGATGGGAAATTCGCGCCCGTATCCGACAGCACGTGAAGCGGTACCAATGTGGGCTGAAGACGGCATCACAGTGGTCAGATCGTGGATCTGAGTTTCCCAACGGCTCGGCGGCTTCGAGAAGGTTTCTGTGTGGGCGCACGGAGTAAGCGGTGCTCTGAGATGCAGACCATTGCTGACGAGAGATCCAGCACTGGCAGCGTACCATACATGCGCTTGTGACCCAAAATCTAAGACAGCTCCGTCAACACCAGATAGAAGTGAGCACCCGGAGAAAAGAGATGTCTCTATCCTCTTCTGTGCATGGCCAGGATACCCGAGTGACTGAAATGGCGGAGACGAAGCAGAAAATCTCCAAATGGCGGACCCCGGGCAGCGCACCCGACAGCCCGATGCGCCGTAGCCAGTCCCGCATGCCACAAATGGACTCTGCAAACGGCCAACCAGCGATGATGTCTCATCTCTTTCCATTGGCTGCCTACACCGACTGAAGCATCTTCACACACATCCAGCGGACGCTGCGTACCAGACCATCGGGTGCCCGGAGCCCTGGAGCATGACAGCATGTGGGCCTGCTTGGTTTGGAAACATGAAAGAAGCTCCGTCATCCGAGAGAGGAGGCTTCCATGGATGCAGCGCTTGGTTAGCTGGTTCTTCGAAGGATCGGTGCAGCGTGGCTCCACTATCCTCGCTCACCGCTGACACCAACATCAACCGGGGCCCGTTGGCGATTTATTGGCATGGAAGCCAGACACGCATGCTGGTATTTCGAGATGTGATTCATCTCGTATCGCCAACGGGCTTACGCGAAATGGAGGGAGGGGTAAACAGAGAAGTTGGAGGGGCGATACAGTCTGGCTTGGATCCGAACATGGACTGTCAGGCCTCAAGCGGCGAATTAACGTTACCTAGAGCTTTGAGGAAGACGGATGGAGGTCAAATCCCCATGCGTAGCAACGGAGGGGTGGGTCGTGCCCCGCTTCGGCGTAGTCAAAGTGTCAAACAAGCGACGCACAGACCACATTCCTAGTCAACCTGGGATTTAGGAAAGCCTGTCCGCGGGCACCGAACCGGCAGACTTCCAAGTGACACTTTCAAAACGACCGGCAAGGCTTGCACGACGAACACGCCAACACCATCACGATGCGCCAAACCCATCCAAGGACTCGACCGTAGTCCGCCCGGAAAGCGGAAACCTACTGCACTCACTAAGCGGTTTCGTGCATCTGTTCTGTGCGCCGCAACATGGGACTTTCAGGCCTCCTCGGTGCCGCTGGGGACCGCACAAAATCAAAGAGTATCGCCTCGACTAGCATGACTTCCCTGCCCGCCATATCAACGCATGAAACTACACTCTCCGAGCACATCGCAGATGAGGCACACCTGAAGCCTCTCGATCCGGAACCGCCAGATCTCCGAGAGCTGAACGCATGCCTCGATGCGCTTGCAGCCGTGTTTCCCGATGTCCAGATCGAGGTGTTCCGCGAGATGTTTGCCAGCTTTAGCGGCGAATCGAGGCTGGAAGTGGTCGCCGACGCGCTGCTGAAGAACCGTGTCTCTTGGGTTAAGGGTCGGTGGAGGGCTACCGCGAAAGACGGCCAGCCCGGGGAGACCATGGTTCCGAGCAAGGAGAGGTTTAGGAGTCCAGAGTACAAACAGGCTGTCAAGAGCCTCGCGTGGCACGAATTCAAGGGCTTGTCGCGCTCGACCATCAACGCGGTCCTGGCTGAGTCCAACTATTCCTACCTCGACGCTCGCCAGACCCTGGTTGGCTTGTCATCCAAGTCATGGCGCTTTACCATTTCTTCGCTGTTTCTCCGGCGGAAGCCGGTGTCGGCCACCGAGGCAGAGAACCACCCGCTGGTAATATGGAGGTCAACGGGCCAGGGATCGATAGTGCCCACGCTCAAATCAACCGGCAACGCGGAGCTCGACCGAGAGCTCTTCGATGCGCTCATCCGGCCCCTGACGGAGCGTGCGCGAGCTGACCGCGAAGCGAAGGACCACCAGATAGCCGTGAAACTCAATAGCGCCGAGGCAGAGGAGGCCGACGGCCTTATTGAGTGCGCCTGCTGCTTTACCGAGTCCACGTTTGAGGAGTTCACGGCGTGCAACACACACGGGCACATGATCTGCTTCAGATGCGTGCAGCACGCCATAACAGAGGCTGTTTTTGGGCAGGGCTGGCAGCGGAGCGTAGACAAGGAGACCGGCACTCTTCGTTGCCCTGCTGTCGACTCGCAGGAATGTGGGGGCTGTATCCGTCAGGACGACATGCATAGGGCGATGCTCGAAGAGAGGAACGGAGCCGAGATCCTGCATAAACTGGATCAGCGCCTTGCGGACCACAGCCTTGTGTCGAGCAATCTGCCGCTCATCCGCTGCCCGTTCTGCGCCTATGCCGAAGTCGACGACATTTACTTGCCTGTCGGCGAGACGGACCTGCGTCTCAAGGTAGACAACATCATCAGCCTTATCTTTATGCTGTGTGTAGTCTGCTGCATTCCTGTTCTCTTCCTCCTCCTGCTTCTGTCTTCCGTCATTGCCATTGTTGCCAGCTCCAAGGAGACCTTTGGTGACCGGTTCATGACGGGATTCCGCGCGGCTCTCGCCCGTCGACGCCGGCGCCGGCGCGGACTGCGATTCACATGCCAGAACCCGGAGTGCCAGCGGGCATCCTGTCTCAACTGTCACAAGGCGTGGGTCGACGTGCACGTGTGCAACGAGTCGTCGCTCGTGGCGCTGCGCACGCAGGTCGAGCAGGCCATGAGCATGGCGGTTAAGCGCGTGTGCCCCCGGTGCAACACGTCGTTCGTCAAGACGGCGGGCTGCAATAAGCTGACGTGTCTCTGCGGCTACAAGATGTGCTACGTCTGCCGCAAGGACATTGGCGGCTCGGGCGACGGGCCGGACGTCGGGTACCGGCACTTCTGCGAGCACTTTCGGCCCGAGGGCGACCCGCGGAAGTGCACGCAGTGCAACAAGTGCAACCTGTGGGAGTCGGAGAACACGGACGAGGTGTTGCGCAAGGCCAAGGAGGAGGCGGAGCGCAAATGGATGGAGACGGAGCGGCGGCAGTTGTCGCAGGCCGAGAAGGCGTTTTTGGAGACGGGCGTGTCATCACAGCAGACGACTAGAGCCGTCGATACGATCTTGCGCAAGGGTAGGCTGCCGACGCTGGCCGAGTTCTGCGATATGGTGGTTGAGATCGTGTTTGTATGATCGGTTATTACGGAATAACGCGTTTTGGGATATGGGCATTACGGGGGCGTTTACAGTTTACACATAGGCATGCATCATTGGCGAAGGAAGTGTTACGGTGATACCCGGGAGGATCAGATGCTGTTGGTATCCCATCAAGCATAATCAGAGAACATTCAGATGATACAGTGTGTGGTGCTGCATCTTCTCCAGGCTGTCTTTGAGTCGTGTTCGAGTGGTTCGAGGCTTCGGGCAGGTAAGCGGATAGCTGCCTTACGTAATCACCTCCCAGTGAGCTTCCCCGAATTTTCGTCGCCGTCATTACAGACGCGTCCACTCCGCCGCGGCAACCCCCCCTAGAGCTGTTAGGGTGCTGTCAGTCAACAGACTTTATCGACGTTTACCCCTCCACCGCTCGACTACCAATTTATTTCTAACAACAATATTGTGCTACACCCGTGCGAGTACTCCTGCAGAACTGGTAACTGCTCGACGCGCCCGTCGAAATGTCGAGCCAGACGGGCAAATGGCGTGAGGAGCAGGTCCTCATCATCTGCCCCGGCAGCCAGACCACGCTCGCCCAGGTGGGCTGCAATGAGCTCACCCCGCCTGCGCGCCGATTTCCCACGCGCATGTTCAAGGACCAGGACTCGGACGAATGGCGTCCATACTACACGTACAAGCGCAAGAAGGAAGGCGCCAGCGGCGCGGACGGTGACGACGAGTGGGAGTATGTTGAGGATACCGACTCCGCCGAGGGCGCCGTGTATCCGATACAGGGTGCGTTTTGTGTCAATGTCCTTGATTTGCCATCCAATGGCGCAAAGCAGAGCAAGAAATACATGCTAACCCGGCATGCTGCCGCGACCAGCTGGCCGCATCGCCAACATGGAGGCCTTCCTCGCCTTCCTCGAGCACGTCCACTCGCAGCTGACCACCACGTACCACAACACGCCCATCATGCTGGTGGCCTCCCCGCAGTGGACCCGCCCGGACTGCGAGGCCATCGCGCGCTACGTCTTCGAGAAGACCAAGACGCCGGCCCTGTGCCTCATACACAGCGGCATTGCCACGCAATACGGCCTCAAGTGGCCCAACATGACCGTCGTTGACGTCGGGTTCGAGAAGGTCGATGTCACCTGCATATACGACGGTAAGGTGGTCTCGTACAAGGATGTTGGGCCCGCGGCGGAAGAAGAGATCAGCGGTGGGGAGGTATTCACGCGGAGGCTGGCCAAGTTGATGGAGCGGCAAGGGTTTGATTATGAGATGGCGGAGCAGCTCAAGAAGAGTCCGATTTGTGAGGTGCTGCCGTATGCGCCGGACAGGCCGGAGCTGGCCGAGTTCCCTGCCGAGACAGGCGCAGCGGCCCCGGTGGCGACGTCCATAGCGGACGGGCCGAAGATTGTTGAGCCGGCAAAAAGTCTCGCTCCGGTTGTTGTTGACGACGATGTCGCTGGCGTGGGCGACACCGGAGAGATAGAGGAAGATGGCGTGCTGGACGTCGCGAACATTGTCGCCAGCGGGCAGACCAGGGAATTCCTTGCCAAGAAGGAGAAGGAGAAGGCTGCCAAGGCCGGGCGGAAAGGAAAGGACAAGGAAGGCGGCGACGCAGGGAGGCCGGTCAGATTACCTAACTCAAAGCGGGTCAAGAACGTGTTCCACTACGAGGAGCTGGTGACGGAGGACGTTCCGGTCGCGGCACCGGCGAAGGAGGATGGTGGCAGAGACGTCGGCATGGCCAATTCGGCACCAACAGAAGGGTCGGCGCCCGCCAGCGACGATGCGCCCAAGACAGAGCAGCAACCACAGCCCTCCAGCGAACCACAGCCCTCCAGCGAGGCGCAGCCAGCAACAACAGAGCGGATAGCCCGGCGCGTACGGCGCGACATCGAGGTCGGCCTCGAGCGCTTCCGGTTTGCGGACCGCAAAGCCATCGATCGGATCGTGACGGCCATCTACCGCGCCATCCAGGAGATCGAAGACATGTACATGCGGCCCGGCTGCTGGGAGAACATCGTCTTCGTTGGCAACGGCGCACGTGTCCGCGGCCTCCGCGACAACATCATGCAAACCCTGCAGGCGCGCCATCTCGTCTCGCCCAGCTCGGCCACCATGTTCACCTCGGAGCTGCCGTCTAACATGGGCACGCCCTCGGGAACAGGGTCGCAGACGCCCACATCTTCGTATGCCGGCATCCCCGGCCAGCTGGCGCTCCCGACCGCCACCAGCAGCGGCGTCAACCCCCTACTGCAAGCGGCTACCACAGCAAGCAGCCTGGGCGTGCCGGGCAACGTCAACGCTGCCACTGCCAACAACCTCAATGCTGGCGATGCAGGCGCAGCGGGGATCACGAGCCACCACTTCCACAGCCAGACGCCAACCAACATCCGGCTGGCGCAGTTGCCGGGCTATCTGAGCGAATGGTCCAAGCACGGGTTCGAGGAGGCCATGTTCCTGGGCGCGCAGGTCGCGGCGCGCATTGCGTTTTGTATGCACAACCTGGATGCGCAGGGCTTGCAGGCGCAGCAGCTGATGAGTTTGAGTCGGGTGGACTATAAGTAAGTCTTTCCTTTGCCTTCGCTGGGTAGCTTAAGGAACACAGTGGTGCTGACGGTGGTGGTACTGTAGTGATCTTGGTCCGAAGGCGATTCGCTCGCATGCCATGCTGGGGTAACCGGCCAGAAACTAAGGTGTTGCTAATAGGGACAGCATTGGTTATCCATCTTGTCTCTGGAGTTCTGGGGCAAAATACTGCTTTCCTAAGGGGTGGTTGGGTAGGCGTAGGTAGGATCATTCTTTCAGGGGGTCCGTCCGGGGGGCGGTTGAAGGCTTTGTTCACTGGGAAAAGCAGAGTATGTCTGGACAGTAGCGTTGGTGTTTGCTGGAGATATGAGGACCATGGACGGGTGGTGTATTGGTAGCGCCTGTGTGGTCAATGTGAGCATTGTTAAGGGAGGACGAGCCGACTCTCACTGTATGTGCAGGCCGGTGTGTCGAGTTCGAATCCCACCAAGAATATATACACAGAAGATTGGAGGCAGGGGGCGGAACCAAAACCTCCCAAGCCCCAACGACAACCCCTCTTGATTGGACGTATACTAGGCCAGCAACATCCCCGTCAAGCCTCCCCCAGCAAAGATGGCGGCCGCGGTCAAGAAGCTCGAGGTGGACATCAGTGACAGACCGCTGATGCCATGACCGGATGTGCACCCCCCGGCCATCCTGGAGCCGAAAATGATCATGAAGCCGCCCATCACAGCCCGGGCCGGCGAGACGGCCATGTCGGCAACGGGCCTCAGCGCGGGCACAGCCGACGAGGCAAGCCACGCGCCTCCGACGACGCCCACCGAGAAGAGCAGGCCCGCGTACTTCCTCGCACTGGCATCCCACAGCCACCCGCCCAGCTCCTCAAACGCCGCCGACGCACCCAGCAACGAGCCCCTCAGCGCCATCGACACAAGCTGCGCGCCTCCAATCGCCAGCCCTGCCACGTACGGCGGGATGCCCCTTGCCTCGGCAGCAGGCGCATCCGCAAATTTCACCGTGGCAGCGAGCGCCAGCACGAATCCCGCTTCCAACGCGACCAGCATCGCAGCACGGCCGATCCCCAGCGCTTCATACGCCGCCGGTGCTTTTTTCGCCTTCCCGTTCTCCCCGGCCCTCTGATGAACTTGCTGCTGGCCCCAACCATCGCCACCACCACCACCACCACCACCAGTCGTCGTCGTCGTCGTCGTCGTCCTCCACCTCCGGGAAATCCAACTCCACGCGGTCCCGCCGAGCACGGCGCCGGCCAACGCCCACCTTCCCGACCGCACTCCGCCGGCCCCGAGCTGCGCGAGGACTGTCCCGGGACAGGCGCCGCTCACCGCCATGCCCGCGCCGAGCAAGGCCCCGCCGAGGATGTTGCCGTCGTACCGGGTCGGGAGCAGGCCGAGGGAGGAAGGTGGGCGCGGAGGGAGTGTGGTGAGGCCCAGGGATTGGGTCGTCGTTACTAGTAGTCTGTACATCGTAAGCGAGGTACCTTACGAGGCGGGGGAAGAAGATCGGGAAAAGGGGGGAGGGGCGAAGACAAACGTGCTGCTTGCTGCGGCCGCCAGGAAGGTCTGCAGCATGGTGAAGTCCTGGAAGGTGAACTGAGAGAGGATGACGTCCGGGCTGGAGACGCCTGCTGTGGTCAGGGCGGCGCCCATGGCGAGGCCGGTCAGGAGGTTGTTCATTGTGATGGCGTTTGCTGTGTTTGTATGGTGGTTTCAGTTTGGTTGAATGAATAAACTGGACTGAGCCTGCCTCTGTGGCCGTTATGTCGAACTTCTTTTAAGAAACATCTACGCTACCCGACGGATGGAGATGGACGGGCGGGCGGGTCGGAACCGTCGGCATGGGGGGGGGGCCCAGCACGATGGATGCCTGACTAGTCGCCGACGGCATAGCATAGCGTATTGTACCATCTTCCTGAGGGATTGCGCATCGAAAAATGCCGTCCCGATCTGTGATAGCACAAAGACGACAGTTGAGACGTGACAAGTTAGCGTCTACTGTGTAGGGATAGGCGACGGATCTCGGCAGCGATGAAACAAAGGGCAAAGCGTGTCCCGACTACCGGCTGCGGCAGTTGCCCGACATCCGAGGTCACCATCAATGCCGCTGGTCTTTGTGTAAGTGACGTTCAGAAAGAGCCCCTGAGGCCTGAGGCAGCCGCGCCGCTGCAAGGATCTGTGTAACCGGCTTCCAGAAGCGTTCCAAACCGGAGCTTCTTCCGGAAGCGTGAGATGTGTCTCAGGGGTTGAGGCATGGGGTGGAGTTGCCCGAAATTGGAGAAGTCGTAGATCGGCGATGTCATGAGTCCTTCTCGGGGTCCTCCATCGAAGTGCCGGGTCCCGGGGTTGGAGTGGAGCCCGGCCGGAGACCCATAATTTTACTACCGGCACATGCCGGCCAGGGGTTCTCCGCTTATGTCGCCGACAAGCCCAGGATTCTGTCACTTACACCTCGGTAAGCTCACACCACACCTTTCAGCGGCCATGGCAAACCAGGGACGTGATTCCCGCAGCTTGGGATGGTATTTTCAGTAAGTTTCCGTCCGAGGAAATTTGCACGGTTCGAGCCAGTTACGGCTCGCAGGTATGTTTTGTGCATGCTCGATTGTGACTGTAATATTTCACGCTCATACCGTTAGTTAATGTGTATGAAGTTCACTACCATTCCTGGCGGCACGGTCGATGACCGGTATTCACGGTCATTACCAACCCAGTATTAACCTTACCCTGATATTAGCAAGAGAGTACCATAATCACTACCATTCTTTACTGGGCATGACTAGGAACACTCGACCATCTGGATCAGTCCAATAGTAGAGGACATGCCGAGATAGTTAATGAGGCACCCACAGATATCGGATGGCCCGGCGCGGGCATCCGAATACTTACCTGAACGTTTGGTGGGTTATCTGGTGCTTTACCTCCCGACCACCTGTTGTGAGCATTTCTCAGTCTATATCGTACGGTATTTTCACTCTGCATTGAGTTTTGGAACGGCACCTGTAACATGGAACGCCCAAGACCCAGAAGAAACCGTGAAGCATCACACCGCCGTAGATATCGAAAGGATGGTGTTCGAACGTGTCAGAAAGCATCTGAACCCTGGTGAGGCTAGTTGATAGAGACGGGCTATGAGAGAATCCTCTTCAACGACGTTGGTAGTTGTATGTACTGTACAACACTCTGTACATGGATAGGGAAGCAGGCCCGATATGTCATGAAGCGGGTTATCGCATCTATATTTCCTGGGCTGGGTGCGGACCATGCTCCATACCCATGTACCCTACTCCAGTGCTCGTGGTCAAGGGAGTCAGGCGGGGTATTTACCGAATAGATCGATTACGCACCCTCTACTAGAGTGTTATGTGAAAGTGTGTGGGTGACGGCGTTGGGGTAGGGGCGCTGACATACATGGGTTACAACTTACAAGGTGGTAGTGGCCGGGGAATGTGGAAGACTGGCCGAGGCAGACGCGGCGAGATCGAGAAGAGCTATCGAGACTCCGCGTCTAAACGAAATGAGCAAATTGCACAAACCGCAACTATTGATGCATCATGAACACTCTGCAGCTGTGCCGCCTCGCTAGGTACTGAGCCGAGCAAACATGCCAGACCGCGGCTTGGCCACACCTGGAGCAGCCGCAATAACGTTCCATAGCAACATACAGAGCAGCAAACCTGAACATTATAAACAAACATACGGGACATTATTTCGAAAGAGCATTCATTCTCTCACCGCGTACCCCATGCACATACCTCTTCGGTGTGGCCGCAAACAAACCATTAGCTACATCATTAGCTCATTACCACCCTCCACTCCGAGACACAAAGGTCCCGCCCAGGCCACGTTTGTTGCTTCAATTCCTCGCCATGTTCTCCCTGCGTCCTATACAGTGTATACAGTAAGGACAGATACCCTTCCTTCAACCTCTCTCCCGATCAATCCCCGCTCATCAACATCATCAGCAGCAGTCAAAAAGAGTGACATTGTACTCATCCATCATAAGTACCATACCGGGTATCTCGTAAAACCATAGGTCCAAAAAAGGAATTCGAACGCCCAAGTGAGCATAAGACATTATGAAGGAGCGTCGTGAATATATACTCGTAAACCCTTCTCCTGCCGCCCCTGTATGCTCAAGGAACATACCAAGGGGAAGCATGCTTTCATCCTCCCGTCCATAACAACAACCATTAGTTAAACCATGTTTCTTTTTATTTTCTCCCTCCGACCAAGCCAAAATTAAGCATTAGAAGTGAAGAATGGAGCAAACACGCTGCTCTCAGCCACCCCTCAAGGAAAAGGGACGACCGCACTAGATGAAAAACAGCGCAGCGAAGAACGACGCCAACAAATTACCGGCGCCCGCGCCCCGCGGCATAACCCTGCCCGCAGCGGCGGTGGCAATGGATGTGGTTGGCGGGCGGCCCGAGGATGAGGTGGTGAGGGTGGTGGTCGAGTTGCCACCACCGACACCACCGCCCACCGCCGTCGTCGTCGGGCCAGTCGTGATTGTTGGTCCAGAAGACGGTGGCGGAACCTCGCTCGTTAGAGACGACGAGATCTCTTCTCCCTGCGTAGTAGAAGACGGGCTCGAAGACGATTCTGCCAACGTGGATGTGGACGAGACCGACGATGACTCGGAGGAGGTCGGGGAGGTCGAGGAAGTCGACGTCGGCTGTGTCGAGCTTGAGGGTGACGTGGTCGAAGAAGGCGTCTCAGTAGATGTCGACGGGGCGGGTTGCTCACTGGTCTTTGTCGTCGAGGTGGTGGGCGTGCTGGTAATCGGCACCGGTTCAGTGTTCGTATTCGGCGGCGCCTGTGTGCTCGTCTGGATTGTCGGCGTCTCGGTCACCTGTGACTGCGGCGGAAGCCCTGTGCTGGACGTCGGCTGTTCGGGTGGCTGGATGTCGCAGAATTCCAAGACGTCCTCGTGAAACACATCCCGCACGGTGCGCCACGTTGTCATGACGTCGGCACTGTTGGCTGCTATACACTTCTTGAGGTTCGAAGAAGCAACCATGAAGACGGAGTCGGGTTCGCACAAACTGCTCCTCAGGCCCACCCGCTGGGCTTCAATGTTCATATTGTTGCAGATGGCATAGCAGAGCGGGGGAATGATGGTCGCGTCGCGCTTCGAAAGACGGTGACTAGAACCCCCACGCGCGTAGTACTTATTCGCTGCTACCGTCGTCGTCGTGGAGGTGGGCTCGGCCGACCAATGTGTAAGGTCGGTCTGCGAGGCCCAGTTGCCCGTCGTGATGGTCGTCTTATGGCCGTGAATCTTCGTGACAATCACGTCCATCTCAAAGATGTCGTAGCTCAGGCCGAATGCATTGGGATTGAGGTTGAAATACCCTTCGGTCGGGGGGTAGTAGCCCGTCTCGTTCTCCGGCCATTGCACCCACGGGTAATACGGGGCTGGGATGCAGTACTGTGGCTCGCACACATAGTCGTCACTCGGCGCCTCGGCCCACAGGTTGCAGCCAGGAGGCTTTGGCGGATTGCAGACGAGTCCTGGGTCACAACCCCAGAGCTGGTCCGGTTTCGTCTGCCGGACCGCCGGAGCCGTATTCGTTGGGGCAGGGCAAGTCGTCACATCGCGGATCACTGTTGTCCCGGGCAGCGTGACAGTGACCGGGGGCAGGGTGGCAGTGGTCGTTGTCGTAACCGTGGGCCCGGGGATGATCGACGTGATCACTTCTCCATCCCTGGTGGTAGTGACGGTGGTCGGGGGGAGGACCGTGGTAATAACTTCAGTGAGAGTAGAGGCAGGTAGCGTGGTGACCTGCGTGACTGTGTTCGTGATGGTATCTGTGAGCTCCCGGGTCGTCGTGTAGGTGCTCACCGTGGTGTACGTAGAGACGGTCGTCGCGGTCACCACGGACGTCTGGGTTGTGTAGATCGTCGTGCTATCAGTTACGGTAACCGGGTACGACGTGGTAAACGTCGAGACGCGGGTTATTGTCGTGCTGTCTGTCAATGTAGTTGGCACAAGTTCAGTCGTCACGATAGTGTTTGTCAGAGTCGTCGGCACCGTCTGGGTAATTGGCACCGTGAGCGTGTCCGTGACGGTGTCTGTGAGCTCCCGGGTCGTCGTGTAGGTGCTCACAGTGGTGTAGGTGGAGACGGTGGTCGTTGTCACCACAGATGTCTCCGTCGTGTAGATTGTCGTGCTGTCGATTACCGTAACTGGATACGACGTGACCAATGTCGACGTCTTGGTCAAGGTCGTGGTGTCTGTCAATGTTGTCGGCACGACGTCAGTGGTCACAATGGTGTTAGTCACAGTTGTTGGCACCGTGAGGGTCGTTGGGACCGTCGTCGGAACAGTCGTGACAAAAGTGGTGATCTGTCGCAGTTAGCAACCACGCAAGCTTGAGAGCCCGGGGAACTTACATATGTCGAGATGACTGTCTGAGTGGAGATGCTCCATTCTGTCGTCCCCGAGGTGACCGTGACCGGATAACTGAAACTCGTGGTGTAAGTTGTAGTATGCGTCTTGGTCGCCGTGGTGGTCTTGACCACAGTGACGCTGTTGGTCTTGGTGGTAGGCTTAATGATGGTGGTGGGCTTGACAATGGTGGTCGGGATTGTCGTCCTGATGGTCTCTGTTGTCGTTGTCGTCCGCCATTTGGTCGTCGTGCTAACCTCGCATGCCCAACCATACCCATTGCAGACCGTTGTGGTCTCGGTGACCGGGTAGGACTAGGTGGATTAGTCTGGCACTTCAACAGAGATTAAAGAACATACCGTCGTGTAGGTCGAGATCTGCGTCGTAGTGATGAACTCGGTCGTCCTGGGCGCTGGTCAGCGAGGCTTGGGGTAAAGGGATTAGCAGGCAAACCTACTCTTCGGTAACGGTTGCTGTGGCCGTGACCTCGTTTGTTTGCGTGGTAAGCCAGCTCACGGTCTCCAGGTCGGTGACCGTTGCCGTAGCGGTAGCGGTAGCATAGTCCGTGACCGTGACCGTGACTGTCGAGGCCGGCTGGGTCTCGCTGCTGGACAATTAGATGCTTACGCCTAGGCGGGGTGAGGACTCATACGTTACGGTCTCACTGCCATGGCCTGGTCAGCAAGTTCCTAACTACGATTGTCGAGACAACTTACAAGCAAGTGGTCGTCTTTGTTTCGATGTGGGTAACCGTCTTCGTCTTGGAGCATTCTGGTGTGTAATGGTTGCCATTGTAGTCGACCTGGTTCCCTTCTTCTGTATTCCCTGTCTCGTTCGTCCTCCGATACAGCGGTTCCTCCACAGCAAAGGCAAGATGAGCGACGGACAGGGCTCCAAAGCCCTGTATCAGCTTCGTCAGGAGCATTGTGCCCTACCAGGTCGTATGCGATGACCTAGACGAACGAGCGAAACGGGCCTGGCTCACAGAATAAACGAACGTGCGAGCAATGAGGGGAGGGGGCTGCGCGCAACTCAACTAATGTTGTTTGCGGCGCCTCTGCATATAAGGCTGGGAGCTGGGGGGGGTGTAAGGTAGCTTCGTAACTTGTGGACGGAAATGACCCAACTGCGTGGAGGCTTGGCAGGCAGCGATCTCGCGGCCTGTCTTGCAAACACTTTTGGCCCCCAGCACAGCGTCGAGAGACTCCATACCTTCAGACAATGCCCCAAGAGTGCACTTGTCGATTCCTTCGCCTGAGACAACTTCAAGTTTGGTCTGAGGAAGGGAGTTTCGAGCAGAGCTTTAAGCTCGCCACATGCCTACCTAGATCAAGAGGCTCAAGAGACGAGGGATGCGGGGGGACAAAGAAGGTGCTGGGAGAGCTCCGAGGGAAGAGCTCTCGATCCCCGAAAAACATACAGCTGCAAGGTCCGAGCAGAATAGGCGAGGAGCCACCACACCTCCCCTACCTATCATGAGAAGGCACCGTTGCTACGGTGGATGAGGGCACTTAACCCCCCCGCTCGTAATACACAGGTGCGCTCACTCGCCCGACCCACCAGGCACATCAGGCCCGTCCGGCAGCCGGGAAGCCAATAACTGACGGTTCTCTCTGCTCACCGCAGTCGCAAATTCCGGCAGGAGCTGCGGTGCCACATCACGGCTTTGGGTACATCTCACGGGAGTGTTGGTATCATGGCTGTGAAGCGCCTCATTGCCGGAACGATTTGCTGCTCTGGCACTGGGGCAGTCCGTGTACGATGTCCTCAGTAGAGTTGCCGCGTGGCAATGGAGGGGTTGGGCGTAAGCAGACGGGAACTCGGCGCAGCAACGAGCGAAATATTGCTGGCCTTTGAGAAGATTCGGTGACCTAAATGTTGCATTCTTGGCGGGGCTGGTGAGTGGCCAGGGAGCGACGGCCAGGCTGGACTGCGGGAGGGATGATGACTGGATGATCAAGCCCCGATGAGAGGCTGAGAGGTTCATGGCTTCCAGGTTGACAGGATCCATCAGCCCTTTCGTTCTCGCTCCGGAAGCCATAGGTCCGCACAGGGCGTCCTGCTGTCTCTCCTCGGGGTGCCGAGTTGAGCCGCACGTGATACCGGTAGATGAACCGTAGACATTGCAGATGCGAGCCGGTTGCCCCGCACAGAGGACGACAGCGGTAGGCGCGGACGGTAGAAGAAGAGGGCTGTACGGATACCCGAGATATAGAAGCCACGTCGCTAAGAGAGGTCTGCCTACCTCCCATAGTTACTGCTGGTGATTCCGGAATGCACTGTTTATTATTAGCCGTCATGACAGTGGACCCCTGCACCGGTGCCTTGCAGGCTGCTGCTGCCACCTGCTTCTCGCTTTCGGGGACAGAGACTGGCTGACTGGGGTCATCGCAGCAGCGACGCGTGGATAATGGTGGCGGGAGCTGTTCTGGGCGAGGCCGCTTCTCATTCCTTCACCTTTTCGGGCCTTTGTCAGAAATGGCGCCCCCATTTGACACATTCCAAAGCTCAACCAACATGTGAAAGAACAGAGGGCTTGCAAGCCCAAAGGTTGGTTCAAAATTGATGGAGAGAGGGACCCACGCGAAGCAATCCACATCGGGAAGGAGCTAGCAAGGTAACGCTCGATGATTGGATTATCAGCACGGTCCATTCCGGTTACGTCCTAGCCCTGCAGGGCAACCGCATAGAACCCACAGCGGGGCCGGGTCCTGAGCGGGGCCGCTTCTTGGTGCCCCGCACAAACTTACACAAGTAGGCAACGGGGTTTCAACTGTCAGCACCGCTGCACAAAATCCCGAAGATTCATTCTGTCTGACAACCTGGACGAGCAGCGACTGCAAGAACAACCCTTCCAAATACCAATAAGTATGAATACGGGATGGATTCCATACACAGCTCGCACTATGGGGATTGTCATCTCCCCTCATTCATCTAATCACGGAGCAGCCAGTTCAGAGTGGCAAGCATGGCAGAAGGATCCAGGAATATCAGGACAGCAATACTATCTCATCAACACAACCACTTGGCTGTTCTGTCCATCGTCTGCCAGCCAGGCTGGGGAATTAACTGGCGTTACCACGGTTACCACTCGTATCTCGCCGCATCCAACCATCTCGATGGAATGGCGGGTGTGATCTGGTTCCGCGGTAGGGCACCCGCCGTTGCATCCATGATGAGCACAAAAGTACGACGTGTACGATGCATCGGCACGCTGAAATCGGATAGACGGCAAGCACACCATAACAGGGTGTCTGTCTTGTGAAGCAGAAAGAACGTCGATGAGGCGACAACCTCTTCTCCCGTCTGTGGATAGACATCTGAGCAACGACAACTCACTTCGCAGTGGCGATCACGAGCCCCACCGTCTACAAGGCTGAGATGAGCCGATCGTCTGCGATCGTCTGCCGGCCCGGTGGTCAATTAATTAACCGGGATATATCCCCGTCAACTGCTACTATACCTACGTAGTTGTCATTGCTTTGAGCCGGCAGAAGTTTGTTGAATCGACACTAGTAATGTTTCTCGGGAGGTGGTCCCTATTCAATCCCCCCACCTGGTGCTCGCGGAAATCGAAAAGAGCTTCAAAGCCCGATTGAGAAGGTGGTGGCCCGGTATGACCGGACCGACGCGTGTGTCGGGCACTCCGGGCGCGGCGGAATGGTCGTCAACAAGAAGCCGGCGGCAGCAAACAGCTCTAGCAAGCGCCTGAATCCACCTCACCTCACCTCCCCATGCTAGCAACGTGTAGGTCACGCACGAATTCTCTTGTTGGTTGCGGTCCATAGCTTCGAAACGCGGCCGATCAAGGCGTGTTGGAAGAGTTTGCCACTCTAACAGCGAGCGCCTGTGCGTACGAAGTATACTGTGTAACTACACAGCAGAATCGACTTGGGACCATTGAGTGCAGCCAAGCAGCATGCGGGCCAACCGCCAATGAGGTCGGGGCCGGTCAGCGATGGTGGCTGACAGCCAAAGGACAAACAAGGGCGCACCATTGGTCTGAGTCTGACATCCTGCGGGGTTCTTGATCCCCATTCTGTTGCGACCCTTTCTTTCTCTTCCCAGGGCGGGACAGCTCCCACGGGGGCCGGAGCATGGGTCCGTCGAGGCTTTTGTCTGGCCTCGAACTGCTTGTCTGCATGTTTTCCATGCTTCATGGCATGTGTTTGTTAGCCCGGCACGGCCCATGTGTCTGTGGATGGCAGCCGTCTTTGCGTGACTAGCATCTTGGGGCGTTCCCAAGGATACTCTCCTGCAGGCACATGCTGTCCCGCTGCTGTTCCTACTCCTCTCCCGCTCCCCTGCCCTTTTCCCTTCTCCCTGGCTAAACGGCCGAAGTCACCATGTCCGGACCGGGCCTTATCGCCGTGATGACGGCTTTGGCCTCACTCGCGCTCGGCCAAGCGGTTTGGCTACCAGATCAGGTCAACACAAGGATATGTCAATGGCGACAGCTTCGAGGTGAGTAGTGTCGATGCTGCATTCGTCCTCGCTCTTTCTGACCTTGCCCAGCTGCTGTCCTCCGGGACACAGTCTATCTGGACGGAGGATACCTGTTGTGGCAGCCGGGCTTCACGGATGGCTCGACTGGGAACGCTGTCTCCGATGGTGAGTTTCCGCCCGGTGTCACAGCGATGGGATGGGATGTTGACTCCTTTGTAGATAATCCGCTGGGGTTAATCTACACGCTGAACCTCAGCACCCCGTTCAACACCACCCAGAATATCTCGGCCATCCTCGGCACGCTGGAGAAAGGCGCCGGCGCCAACCTCGCACCGAACTACCAAGACGGCGCCCTTCTGGGCAACAACGAGGAGTTCTTCCTGTATGGCGGCGTGACGGTACCGACCAGCGCCTTCTCGGATCCTCCGGGAGACTCAGTTCTGGGTTACTATGCATATCAGCAGAGCGATGCACCCAGACAGGTCTTCCGCCCGCAGTTCCTTAGCAAGCCGCTCGGAGTCAACGTCACTCGCTACGTTGCGTATGGCGGGGCCGCCAGCGCGCCTTCGGAGAACCTGGCATGGTACTTTTCCGGGTTGCGGTCTCGCAGAGGAGGCCCTATCTATGACCCAAACAGTGCAAACGACACGACCGCCCCGGTCGAAGTATCGGAGACGCTCATCATCTTAGACATGGCCGAGCAGCAACGGGAAACCTTCACTAACAAGCCGCTACCGCCGCATATCTCGGGTCGCGCGAATCCGGAATTTGTCTGGGTCCCTATCGGGTCGCGGGGGATCGTGGTCGCCCTCGGAGGCGTTGTATACCCCGATTTTGTTCAGCCCGATGGTCACTCCCAGAACGCAACAGCTAGCGTAGGTCTTTCTAGCCCCTTCCCTTTCCACTTGTCTTGCCTCACCCTAACCCCAACAGGAATCGCAAAGCCCGGAGTTCATGTCGACCATCGACATCTACGAGGTCGCCAGCGGCAACTGGTACCGCCAGCAAACGACAGGCGGGCCTAAACAGCTCACGCGTGGGTGCGCAGTTGTCGCCCGTGCCCAGGACAGCTCGAGCTTCAACATCTACTACTACGGTGGCTATGATGGCCTACACCAACAGCAGGCCTACAGCGACGACGTGTGGGTCTTATCACTGCCGTCGTTTACCTGGGTGAAGCTGGCGTCCAGTGACGCGCGAGGACGCGCGGGACACAAATGCGTCACGCCCTACCCGGACCAGATGCTGGTCATCGGCGGCTATTCAGACATCGATCCTGCTGTGTGTCTGAAGGAGACTATCCGGGTCTTCAATCTGTCGGCCGGTGCATGGATCGACCGCTACGACCCCGCCGTTTACTCAAATTACACGGTTCCCAGCGCCGTTTACAACGCGATCGGTGGGTCTGGTACCGGAAGCGCCACCGGGACGACGCCCTCGCCCTCTGGATGGGATTCGAACGAACTGGCGAGCGTCTTTGCCACGCCGTATCCGATGAGCAAGATCACCACCTACTATCCGTATGCGTCTGTCGGACCAACCAATACCACTAATCCCAACGTTCCTCCGCCATCAAACGAGGACGAGGGCGGCGGTGTCCCATCCTACCTTGCTCCCGTTCTCGGGGTTGTCCTGGGTGTGGTGTTTCTCACCGTGGTAGCCGTGTTGCTCCTGCTCTGGCGCCGCCGCAGGTACTTGCGTCGCAGCACTTTGAGCGAGGCCGAGACCGAAGACACCAACGGGCACCGCATCAAGTCCTGGCTGCGAGGCCAGCCCAGCGAAGTCAAGGCGCCGACTATCACCTCGTATGACTACACGCCGCCGAGTTCGACGGACGTAGATACCACGGCAGTGCCGCAGCGGTCGATCGCCGAGATGATGAACACGGAGGTTCACGCCCCAGTCGAGCTGCCCGGTACGTTGCTTAATCATCTCCATTTCATCCGCGACTAACCCTCTGCGCTTAGGCAGTTCCTTCCCGGCCGAGCTTCACGACAATCCCCTATCTACAGCAGCCGCAGCCGCAGTCGCCGCCCACAGCAGCAACAACACGGTCTCGGACCCGAGCGTGCAGCAAACGAACCACAGCGCCTTCTCCGACCCTACCCCTCCGCCCATTCCCCACGACGACTCCCCCATCGTGCACCGCCCGGACTCAGACGCCCTCGGCCGCGCGCCCACGACCACCACTACCAGCGTAGGCACCTCGCCGACCGGGACATCGCCCACCGGCACCGCAGCAATGGCATCCGCCTCACCAGGCGGCGCCGGCGCATCCCCGTCCAAGGTGCTATCGGGCGTGTCCAACCTCTCGGAGCGCGACCGCGCCCACTTGCGGCAGATTAGCGACACAACCGTCAGCAGCGTCACCACGGCGGGGCCATCAGGAGGGCCGGGAGGAGCAATGGTGGAGCCTATCAGTATCAGGACTGGCGGTGCCATCGTCGAGAGTCCCGCGGTCGTGTCACCTCCCACGGCGACGGGCGACGCGCCGGACTATCTGAGTGCGCGGTCCGTGTCGGGAATCGGGTCCACGTTTGGGCAGCAGGCGAGTCCCTTGAGGAGGAGCGTGTTTTCGGAGGATATTAGTGGCGGTGAGGAGGACGGTGGGCAACAGGGGGGGCGTGGGAGTGGTAGAAGGAACAGGTGAGCTGAATGAGATGAGGGTGACGTTTTGGGTCATGGGAAGGTATCTGGGATAATGAGCTTGGCGTTTGGTGGGTGGGTAGTCGGTATACATATAGGTTGGGTACTATAGGCTGGATCGCTCGCTCATACCCGGTTTCTGTCCATTTTGCCTACTAAAACTTGCTGGTGCCCCCTGCGGCATTGTTGGATAGCGATGGTCTGTAATACAGCGCTGGTGAGCACTTCAAGGTCAAGTCAATGGCGGTCCTTGGAAGGTTTATAAGAAGTCACGGTCTCTATAGGGAGTAACTCTATATACCTGGAACCTAATCCTCGTTTCTGTGCTTCATCCGAGGATGAGCTTGTCCGTTGCCGAAGCCCCTGGAGCTGATCCTGCCTCGGGATATCACAGCAGCGTCTTCTGCTCCCCCGAAGCGCCCTCCTTCTTCGCCGTCACCTCAATCTCGATCTTCATTTCATCCAACATCAGCCCGGCCTGGATCATAGTCGCCGCCGGCCGGACATCGCCGAGCCATTTCTGAAGGACCGGCCTGTTATTCAAACAACGACAGCAGACAACGGCCACATGTCAGCGTCCACTCAGCACAACCCACAACAATTCCCCCCCAATCTGCAACCCCCCTCCTCCCTCTCACTCTGCCATCGCCCTTGATACAGCGCTGTTGCCATAAAACATGGAAAACGAAGCAACGTACATACCAGGTCTTTTCAAAATCCCGCTTATCCGGCAGGATATACCGCACCCGCACAACGTCAGCCACTGTTGCGCCGGCCTCGGCCAGCGCTGCCGCAATGTTGTGCATGCACTGCTCCGCCTGCTGGGCCACGTCGTCTGAGATGGCGCCCGTCTTGTAGTCATATCTGTTTGTTTGTGATATTTTCCCCACATCAGCCCGTCAGCACTCATCATCTCATCTGTTCTGTCTCTCTGACGTAGGGAAACTCGAAGTCAAGGGGCATTGGACTGTATGAACTATGAAGGAACAGTGGAGAGGGAGAGGGAAATGATTTAGGACTTAGGATTTACCCCGTGCAGCCGGATACAAAGACGATGTCCCCCGAGACGACGGCGCGGGAGTAGCCGATCTGGGCTTCGAAGGCCGAGCCGGAGGAGATGAGTTTGCGGGTGGCCATCACGGAAGGAAGGAGAAAGCTGGTGTGTTTATGTTGGTTGAGGATGGTAGGAATACGGGTCGGAGGGGAGGAGACTCAAGGGGCTTCGATGGGACCTTTTTCAAAGCTCTCCTCTTGAAAGGTGAGTCATAGACTCTCGCGATGTTTACTCCGTTCTGGAGAAAGGCGCTATAATACTAGTAGAGAGCTTGGCAAACCCTAACCCTTTTTTGAGAACGGGTCATTACTCAGGTATCAAGTACCGTATCAGGGTGCCATCTCACTAGTAGTATTGAGGCTACAGGGACTTTGGTGAGGCTCTTGCTTTGTGGCAATCGAGAGAGACTAGAAGTTCGTTTTGGACGCCAACTGCTAGGGGGTTAGCACGCATGACTTCCCACGGAGGGTCAGTGAGCCGCAATATACGTAAGCTGCTCCGGGCCGGCAGCCGGAGGGGAGCGTGTTCAGGGACATTTGTGATGCCTCGGGGATCTAGGCGGAGGACTTCGCACATGAAAGTTTTCGGTCTACCTAGAGGGGTCTAAAAGTAGTAGCTTTGAAGATAGGAAACTCTGATATTCTATGATCTATCCCTAAATTCTAATACGGTAGGTATCCTAGCAACTTCGGAGCTGAACACCGCCAACTGCGCCATATCATATGCGCGCTCCTCCTCGGCGGAGAAGCTCTACAATGATATCACGAGCCTCGGGATCTCCTACCTCCGCCACATTAACCGTCTCTCCATTCCGTTGCCTCTCCTTGAGACCCAGGTCGTCGCAAACCATATCCTCGTGCGGGGTCCTGCCCGTATACAACTGCCAGATGCTCAGGCCAAGGCCGTACAGGTCATCCTCGATGATTGGCGGTGGCAGGCCGTATCCAAGCCGTTCACCTCTCCGAAGCCTGTTCGGTGACTCGAAGTGCCAGTGGACTTGCCCTCCCAGACACTCATCCTCGTCGAGATACCGCCCCTCGGCGAAATCACAGAGTCGTAGCTTACCGCAGCTGTCAAGAAGCATGTTTTCGAGCTTGATATCTTCGTGGACGATTCGCTTCGCATGCAATTGCTGGACGGTGCGGATCATTTGATCCATGATATCCCGGCGTTGCGGTAGTGACAAAGTCTGGGATCGGAGCGGCAAGATCCATCAGGAAGCCAAGGAAGACGACATCGCCGGCTCCGACGGTCGACTTGCCTAGCACCCGCCCACGGACCGGGATGGCGCAATCGCCGCCGCGCGCCTTTTGAAGTTGGTATTCGTGAGGAAGCCCTCGGAACTTGTAGACCGTGGACGGCTGCCCCTTGACTCTGAAGAGCGTGCTATTTGCGGAGACAACGAGCTCGGGCATTTCTACCTCGAGCTTGGTGGTGTCGATGTCGGGTGGAACTGGCGGCCATGGTTCGTTGTGGGACATTATGTCTACTTATGCTGCCAAAATTGAGGCTTTGTTGACCGTGATGCAGCCGCTGCGGTGATTTGTGGCGATTAAGAGATTTTACTCACGGCAGCCGCTGCGGAAGTGAGGGTTGGGATGCCGAGTATAAAAACGCCCAAGTCACCGTACGTGTGTGGGATATGCATTTCAGGTTGCTTTGTGTTTGTTGGCGCAACATCAATCAGTTGCCTTGAGTGGTTGACGGGCTCTAATTTTAGGGCATGCATGATGCGCTCGGGGGGCACTGCCCACTGCGTTCGAACAAAAGCTTTGTTTGGAGGGATATCACTATTTCCACGGTCTCCCCTGATATTAGTACTGCCAGTGAGGTCCTTATGCCTCAACACTGGCTGCCACGCAACAACGCCGACTTGGCCGCACCCGCCATAGTCGGGAGACTCGAGGAACTTGATGAAGTCGATCTGTCTACCTAAGGTAGGTAGCTGGATGCCATGGTGTCGAAGCCACAAAGGAGCGTTGCAAACCCCTACAGCTTACAGCTTTTAACTCGAGCATTGTATAGCGGCAGACCTCACAGTACTGTCCTTTACTATGTCACCTCTGAATTGATAATGTTCTTTGATATCGACGCCTGGATGAGGAACCGATGCGGTACAAGCGACGAGCGCAAGTTACTACCGCCCGGGATGAAATCCAAGGAGTCCCCCACGTTGATGATGACGGCGCATCCCGTGCAGAACCGACACAGGGTCTGCTCCCTGCTCTCCAAGGTCGAGATAGATAAGCCTGTTCTTTGGCTGAATGCCTGTCGAAGCGCTGCGACTTCATTCGCGTTGTCCTTGGAGCGGTCCGCTGTAAGATGCCACGGTGCAAATGCTTGCTGTCCGAGGTTCGCCCCATGGTGATAGTATAGTGCGACCAAAACAGTGCCTGCTGTAGTGAGCGAACACAAATTAGATGCGTTTCACCTACCTTATGCGGGATGAGAAAGGTTGGCAAGCACATGGTACAATACCTGGTGGTCTAGGTTATGGATACTACTAGTAGTACCTTACTAGTAGGTACCAGTATTAATACCGTAGCTTGCGGTTTTACCTAAGTGCGTACCTACTACTGGTACCTGACCGTGCATGACAATGTCACTCACTCACCATTCATTCCCTTACACCCGTACGGTGACCGAGTCACCGAGACAACAACTACGAGGCAAGGTCAACACCACCGCTGGAGCCTAGAGATTCATTCTAGTCCTAGACCGGGTGTTTCGTGCCATGTCGTCGGCCTCTATCATCAGTCAATTCTCCGCCCCGCGCCCGACCCGGTCATACTGGCAGAGCGAGCAGCCGAACGTGCTCGAGAACCATCAGAGCATTGAGGATCACCCGGCGTATTGCGACATACCCATCATCGGAGGCGGTTAACACGGGTGTGGCAGCAGCGTATCATCTGCTGAAGAAGTCGGCGCCGGCCGGCCAGGACAAGCCCGAGGTCCCTTCTTCTCGAAGCGAGGGAAGCATGCTCCGGCGCTACCAGCCGTAACGGAGGCCAACTACGGCCCGACATCACCAGCACGCCGGTGCATCTGTCGGAGCGATACGGCCCTCAGGCAGCAGCCGCCGTGGCTCGGTTTGAGCTGGACCATCCGGGGGGGGGGGGGGGGGGGGGCCGTACGCGGCAGTAACAACCAATTCTCTTTGAATCTGCTTTCTTCTATCCTGGCTGGGCCCGATGACGCAGGGCTGGGGTTGTTGGAGGAATTCGAACCCGATCCCTGGCCTCCGTTGTTGGCCTCAGGCTTAGTCAGTGTGGCACACAACCTACCTTGGAAATAGGAGTGTCCACGGGATCTCTTGGGTCAGAGGTGCTGCAACAATATCTAAAACGGGCTGGATTACTCACTGTATAACGTGAATCATATATGGAGATACGTAACCAGAAGTTTGAACTTCGATCTTGCTATACTATACGAGATGATGATTCATCACCCTGCCCGCAACCGATTTCGATGACGATAAGACTTCTCGTCCGAACTTTGCCATCCACTCAGGTAATCGGCCTATCTGGTAGCGAGGTCTGAGCGTCTACTGTACGGTATCTCATTTTTGCCACTGATCTTTCGGATCTTTGTGCTGTACGTATTTATAGCAGTTCGGGAACCCATCGTTAGGTTCCAGTGTTCCTTCCGTTGACACAACACACCTCCTGTGATAGGTACACCATACCTCACGCATCACGCCAGTCTCTCAGCCTACACTAGGATACTAGTATTCAACGGTCAAGGTATTTTCCCCACCAATACGCTCATATCTTTCAATACCATCTCGTAGTGCAGACATTGATCATTCCATTTCAAGTTCTCCATCATGTCGACCTTAGAAGAGCGACACATTACCCATCCCGCTCAGCTACAGGAGCCGGACGTGGCCAGACAGCCGCCCGACTTGAATAACTCAGGCTGCATGCCGCTTCGTCGTCGCTTTGTCGCACTCCGGCTCACCCTTGTTGCCCAACAGCTGTCCGGCTTCAATCTGGCGGATGCCCCCGGCTCACAAACGGCAACGACAACACAGTATGGACCGCCCCTCCGCCTCGCCCTGCTTCAGCCGCTGGCAGATCCGGCCATGTTCGCCGCATGCCGCCGCATGTCGGACAAAATCCTCGACATCTCGGCCCTAGACCGGGCGTGGCGCCGCGCAACGAGCCGGGCGCCACCCCCGTTGCGGATAACCTTCGACTTGCGTCTCCCAGAGCCGCTGGTCGACGGCCATCCGTTCCGCTGGGCTCATCGTGGATGGTCGGGTGGAAAAGAACCTTATTCTATAATGGAGAGTGAGGTGAAGCGCCTGGTCCTATCCATCGCCATTGTGGTGCGGGCGCGGGTGAAGAAGGGAGAGTTGCGTCTTGCACTCATCTATGATGGTGACGAAGAGGTGGCGGATTGCACGGCCTCTCCCGGTGCTATGAAGACGTTGAGCTCGCTGCTCGAAGGCATCGCAAACTTCTAAGGCACAGAGACCGTGAGACCCGGTTTCAGTGGAGGTTGGAAGTCAACGAGGAATTGGTGGTGTTGATGACGGTTCGGTGATGGCTAAAGAACCGGGTTATGTGGGCTGCGGAAGGGCTAATTAATAAGGGCCGCGGCGAGGTAGTATCATTAGGAGTACTGGGTGGTAACTTGGTATAGCTACTTGGTTAATGTTGGTTAATTAAGGATACATCTTTCAGGGACCTAGCTAGGTGTACGTGCGTAAGGTACGGATAGCTTGAATGAAAAATACGTTGGACAGTACCACAAATTCGTACAGAAACCCTTGTGTTGCAGTATGCAGGGTGCAGAGAAAGGGGTCTGTGTTAAGGTATGTAGAAGAGAAGAGTCCTGATGTGCCCAGCTAAGTCAGGGACTCGGAACTGGCTTAGATGTGGGAGGGCTCGAAAGGCCGTACTGAACCTTCGGCCCTTCCTGCGCCCGCCCCTCCAGACTCCAGTCTATCACTCATACTGACTGTGTATTATTTCCTCTACCGTGAGCCGCCTACTCTATCGTGCAAGCATACCATGACCCTGTCCTATCCTCTATCCGCGCCACCTCACAAACAGCAAGCCCTTGACTTTTCCGTTCCTTCGAACCGGCCGGCCTCGAACCACGGCACTGCATCAACGATCCCCATCCTGTCTAATGCCCCCGGGTGACCTGGCATCACAGAACGCCCACCCATACGTACAGCACCTATCTACCACAAAGAACAAAAAGAAAATAGCCACAAGGATGGTACCCGTTGCAGATTATCTGCTGTTGAGACAGCCCCCGACCACACCGAAGGCTCGGTCCCATAAAACACCGGCGACACTCGACCTTCCTCGGGACAGTCGCCAAACCGACAGAACCTCAAATCCGGTCGGGTACCTTCTGACATCTTCCGAAGGAAGAGAGTCGTCTGTTTCAGACGCCTTCCGCACCTTCTCCCTCCGCCTTGGGCGTCTGCAGTGTACTCTCCTCCGTCGAAGTGTCCGCAGTGGTCGCTGCGGTGGCGACCGGGTCGGCTGCTTCAGGTTCTCCAAGTTTCTCTCCTTCCTGGTCGGACGTCTTCATCTCGAGCCCTTCACCCTCGCTCTGCTGCTGCTTCTCTTGAAAAGAGAAGGCATCCGAGAGATTGACTGCCAGGAACGTCTTGGGCAATTTCACCCTGTCGTCGTCGCATGAGCACTTCCGCTCATCCAAAAATAAACGGTGGTATAAAGAATGCAGAACTTACTGATGGAACTTGGCTCGCAGCGTCTCAATCACCACCTTCCAATCCGCATGGGCCGTCAAGCTGCGACGGGGCGCGCACCCGATGCAATGCCTGCTGTCGAGCTGCACGTCGAGCGGGTCAAAGACGTGGCAGCCCGGGCTGATGGTGATCTTGATGCTATAGTTGAACACGGGGCTCCCCTCGGCGTCGAGGGGCGGGTTGGCCGGCATCTCGTACAGCTCGAACGAGATTTGCGAGAGGTAGTCGAGCTCGGGGATCGTTGCCCGCTTGATCTTGGTCTCGAGGCCGCCCTCGAGGATGCAGTTGAGCAGCGTGTAGATGTGCGATTCCTTGGTGAAGTAGATGAAGCACTTGGCCTCATCCGACGCCTGCATGTCCTCGAGGTCCTGCACGATCTCCTTGAGCAGGGGCAGCGAAGTCAGGAGGCCGATTTCGAGCTGTGACACGAGTACTAGTAAGTAACTGTTTCCCGCGCTGGCTGCAACGGCCTGCTCACCTTTTCGCTGTCGGAGATGCCATATTCCTGCGGACAGATGAAGTCGAACAGCACCTTGGCGAGCTGATACAGTTCGCGCAGCGGCTCGAACCGCGCGTCCGTCTTCGCCTTGGTCTGACTGTTGCCCTTGTATAGGTGGAAGTACTTCTCAGGCGGCTCCGCCCCGCCGCCATTCCGCGGCCCATTGAGGAACGACCGGCGTCGGAAGATACGCTTGACCGTCTTGTGGCCCGAGTTCTCTATCCTCTCGCCCAGGCTGCTTCCAGAGGCATGCTTCTCCTCCGCCCTGGGCCCGTTACCCTCCTCTCCGTCCTTGGCCGGTGGCGACGTCTTGCCCTCCTTCCCGTTCCCGTTCAGCGACATTCCGTACTCGTCCTCGAGCATGCTTTTTGGCGGCGTGAACACCCACTCGAGAAACTGCCGGTTATGTAGGGCGTCGAACTTCATCGTGTCGTACAGCTCCGAGATCTTGCTAGGATCCACTTTCTCGCCGTCACAAAACTCCGCAAAGAGCTTCTCCCACCGCTCCCGGAACAGCTCCGAGTCCTCGCCGCAGCACCACCGGGCCTGGATACTGCTGATCGCGTTGATTTGCGACAGCGACGACCCGGCCGAAGCGAGCGAAGACAGGGATACGCCCGATGATCCTCCCTCGGCCAGCCCCTTCTCATGGAGGTTCGGATCACTAGCCGCGCCGGGCGGGTTTACCACGCCGCTGTACAGCTTGGCGTAGTTGTGGTGCATGACCTTGCGGTGGAAGTTCATCAGCTGGACCACGCGCGTCTGCACCTCGGACGGCTCGGGCATGTTGTCGGGCCAGGCGAACTGCGGCGGGCGCTCGTTGCCCTTGCGCAGCAAGCCCTTCAGCTTCTTCTTGACCTTGTCCATCTCATCCTTCGCCGCGTTCGAATCGTCCAGCAGGTCCTTGCGGATCGTGATGAAATCCTCGGGCACGTCCTTCTTCTTAAGAAAGCTCGCCGCCCAGATCTGGGCGCTCGTCACGACGCGGCGCTCGCTGCTGCTGAAGACGTGCACCTCGTCGAGTACCTCGCGGTTCATCAGGCCCAGGTCGCTGCGCATGTTCTCGCCCAGCTCCTGCGCCTGGTAGCGGGCCGAATGAGTCGGCTCGCCGCCCCACTTGACAATGAGCTGCAGCTTGTCGAGCACCAGCCTCTCCTCGGCGGCCGTGAACTTGGACATGGTGACGCCCGAGAGCGAGTCGTGTCGCCGAGGAGGCTTCTTGCGAGGGGTCTGCTCGCCGTCCTTCTTATCGGCGTCCTCGTCCGTCTGGACCGGCTCTTCCTCCTTGGCAGGGGTGTCCTTCTGCGCCTCAGCCGTCTTGGGCTCGGGCTTCTTCCGGAACATGGGCTTGATCTGCACCTTTGTGCCGGCCCAGCTGCCCTTTTTGATCAAGACGTTGCGCAGGGCCTTGAGCTTCGCGCGGTCTTCGATGCCGGCCTTCATGGCTAGATCGACTGCATCAATGACGCTCGCCAGGGCTGGCTCGCCGATCAGCAGGACCTCTTCTTGGTGGCCCCTGAGCAGCTCAATGAAGGGCTCGGTGTGGAACGTGAACTTGTACTTCTGCTTGGGTGTGCGGTCCGCGTGGCGAATGACCGACACCACGCCCTTTAGCTTCCAGCTAGGCTTGGGAGGCGGTGGCGGAGGCGGTTCCTGTTCGTCCTGAGCCGCGGTCTCGGGCCGGATGGAAGGCGCAGCGGACGTCGTGAGCGACGGCGCAGTAGATGGCGTGCTATCCTGCACAGCAGCGGGAAAGTGGCTCCCAAGTGGACTGGCGGGTATGCTCCCGTGCTTGGAGTCCGACTTGACGTTCGGGACCGGTTCGACCAGCGACTCGCGAGCTGATCGGCTGTAGTCGATGCTTGGTCGGCCCTGCGAGATGTGCTCCCTCTCCTTGTTGGCCTGGCTCGCGCGAACCGACATGGGATCCACGTCGGAAATCACAGGAGACGGCATGGGAGGTGTTCGGCCATCCCGGCGTAGCTTCTCCTTCATGAACATCTCCTTGAGAATGTTGGCGCAGTGGTCGTAATAATCATCGTTGTCCTTCACAAAACTCCAGCCGTTGACATCGATAACGTAGCTCTTGCCACCGGCGCGCAGGAAGTCAAACCCGCAGACCCGCTGGCCGAAAGCGGTGCTAATCTTGCTGGCGATCTCCTTCTCCTCGCTGCTCAGAGCCGTCACGTAGCGCACCTCCTTGCCGTGTGTATTGCGGCGGACAACGCCGTCCACAACGGGCGACTTCCTCGTCTCGGCGTGGCAGTAGGCCGGGCCAACCGTGTACGCCTTGACATCTTCAGCATTGTCCACCTGCATAAAGCGTTCATAGATGAAGCTGTCGTTGGGCTGTGTGATGGCTCGCGGCACTGTCAGGTCCTCCACAAACTCACTGCTCTTGTTGCCGATCTTGCGGAAGAGCTTGCGGGCACCGCCGCCGGTCGACGAGGGGAAGTAGATGATGATATTGTGGTCCTCGCCGCTGGTCGGCTTCTCGACGAAGGGCTTCTTGATCAGCGTGCCGTCGACGGACAGGATGTCGCCGCCGTCCAGCAGCTCCACCTTGCGAGGGGGCGCCGCCTTGGCCTTCTCTGACTCGGAGTCGAACGGCTCGAACGTGATGCCGCTGACCTCTCGGATGTGCTTGCAGATGTCGGGCGTGAGCAGTCTCGGGCCGCCATCGCGGTTCACTTCGATGCGCTGGGGCGTGGGGACACCGATGCGGTCGAGTAGGCGTAGGCAGAGGCGGCGATCCCAGAGTATCTTTTGCATAGGCACGTCGTTGACACAAAACGGCTTGCGAGCCTTGACGTAGGCAATGGCTTTCTCCAGGGGGAAACCATCGGAATAGAAGGAAATGAGATAGTCACTGCGCTGTTAGTACAGGCAGACTCTGCGACGAGGCGCTCACTTACCATATCGGCCAATTCTCGATTCCTATGCCTGTTAGTCCGCTGCTGGAAGCAAATACGGCCAAATCTACTCACCCTCGTCCAGAATAACCTTGTCCCCAAAGACACAGACGTCGAACTCGCGGTTCTGTATCAGCCGGTTCAGGATGTTTCTGCTCGGCTTGCTCCTCGCCTTCACGTCCAGCGCACACACGCCAATGACACCCCAGGGCGCCGGCTTCTGCTCCTCCTTTTCCGGCCGGTGCAGCCCGGCCCGGTCGCCGCTCGGGCTGTTGTGGCTGCTAGCCCCCGTGCTCCCGCTGAACCTGCGCTTAGCCCGGCTCCTAGACCTAGTGGGCTGCGGGCGCGGCGCGGGGGTTGCGCTATTCTGGGGCTGCTGCTGCTGTCCCTGCTGTAGCTTCTTGACCGCCTCGCCATGTTGCTGCGCGTGGGCATCGTGAGGCGCGGGCTGCTGTGAGCCCGGTGGCTCCTGGCTACTTGGGACGGCTGTTGCATGGGACGTCCCCGAATCGGACTGCGCGGCGACAAGAGCCTTGGATCCCCCACTGGGATCCATGACGAAGCTTCCGCTAACCGACGCCGCCGAGCTCGGGACACCTCGGACAGACGCCAGGCTATACAACGAGCTGATGCTCATGCGGTTGCCGACGGGGGCCTCGGAGATTGACATCGACGAGCGAGCGGTCTCGAGGGCAGACTCGGGAAGCCCGCGGTACTGGGTTGTTTCGGCACTTGTGGAATCGGTTGCTTCGCTCGCGAAGTCGCGGGTTGTGTATGGCGTGGATGTGGTCCGGTCCGGAGACGATTTCGGGCAATCACCGTCTCCGCCTATAGCGCTAGGACGACTCAATTCCTCCGGATTCAGATCTGGCGGGGCCATGGGGACATCCGCCCCTTCCATGCGAGCCTCTATGTCGCCAGGTGCGATCTGCTTGTCCATCTGGGATGAGAGCACAGATGATGAAAGATTCCGCAAGTGGGAAGAGTGGGCATCGGCTCGCTGTGGCCCGTCTATCGCTCGTGCTGCTGAGGAAGGCGCTGTGGGCTTTTCAGCAGTCTCCTGCAGGGGAGACAGCGTCGACGTGGCATCACCGTGGTTCGTATCGGCCAAGTTCAGGCCAGTGTTTGGCTCCATACTGCTGGCAAGTTACAACACCCTACGTGCAGGCGTCGGTTAGGTCCGGAACTCGCTGTAGAAACCAGCGCACGCGGCTGGTCTTTGTCGGTACCCAACGATCTGACGTTGGATCAGGGCCTCACAGTGTGCAGGTTTGTGAAGGAAGGGTCCAGGCAATGCATCAGTGGCAACAAGGAACCGTGCAAATTTACAAAAGACGGAGAGTGACCCGGCGGAGTCCAGAACCCGGAACCGGATCTGGCTCTTCTTCCCAAATTCTCCACGTGGGAAAAAAAGGGGAATGATAAGCAACTAGCCGCCGCCCGGCTCAATGGGCAGCCAAGGACTCAACCTAGCGGTGGAAGTCATGGACACAGATAGGACTTCTGAATGGCAGAGAGAGGCAAAATTGTATGCCCTCGGGCTAGGTTAAGGGGTCGATACGCAAGATGGCGGGACCAATGGGCCAACCCCAATCGTCAAAGAATGGTGGTTAGTGTAGGCACTTGCAGGGATGTACTTGTCGTGGGGCGGAGGGGCACAAGCACCTTGATGACGCCAGAACCTGCAGGCGCATTCCGGCAGGCAGGCTTTTGGCACGGGCCACACCTATCCATCATCAACCCTACAAGTTCGACACTCAAACACCGGCAGTACCCAAAGCGAATTGAACAAGACACCGGGGGCTGAGATTGAGACGTGTCTGCCTCGACCAGACCTTTGAATTGGGATCCCTGCCTCCAGCCAGACAGCGGCACAGCATCAGCGGTGCGTGTTGTACAACAGAAAGTGGTCGCGTGACATGCAGCTACTTTGGGCAAAACTGAGATGTCGTGCTCCCATAGGCCAGTCAAGTCTTTTTATCAGATTCCGCAGGCGGTGAAGAAGCATGGTGGCTGATTGCATCCATCTCGCCTGGGGTGCCGAGCCGGTGATCGGATGCGGGTTGTGGAAGTCGGGTCGGTGACTCGGCTCGGTGGGTGGTGGGGCCCAGCAAGGCGTGGCTGAATTTTTTGGGTGGGGCGCCCTTCTCGGACAAGGCTGCCGAAAACTTCGCTCCGGACCACGAGGAACGGCACAGCACCGAGAACGGACAGCAGCGGCCATTACCTGTGGTTGTCAGTTGCCCCAGACACAATGCCTCACCTGGAGCTAGACCGACCGTCGACGAAGCGCCAGAAGCTCGATGCGGTCGTCAAGACGCCCTCACCGGCCAAGCGAGGCTCGGCCATCTTTGCCGCGTTCCGAGTCAGTTCATCCGCGTCAACGATAGCACTTGCAGTTTGGGGGTTTGCGCTGACTGTTTAGACCATTGGCTTAGTGTCGCCGACCGGCGTTCCCTTTGCTTCGATCCCACTCGGCAAGACCACCTTCCAGATCACCACCTCGGTCGGCCGCGCCCTGCAGACGTACGACCTCAAGCGTGGCCTCAACCTCGTCTTTGTGACCCGGCCCCAGACGCCCGCTGATATCACCGCCACCTATGCCTGGAAGGAGAGGGTCTTTGCTGCCTGGGGCGACCCGCGCAATGGCGAGCCGCAGGGGCTGTGGGCGTTCCAGCGCGGCAAGAAAGCGGCCGAGCTGCAGCTGCCCGCCGACTTGGATCAGCCTATCAAGCAGATCTTGGTATTCGGGTCCTGGATCGTTGCATGCGCCCTGACAAGGATCGAGGTGTGGAAGTCGACGAGCTTGGAGCACTACACGACCATCTTCACGACGGCCGCCAAGAAGGGCGACAATGAGATCACCGGGGGCGTCTGCAACATGCCTACATTCCTCAACAAGATCTTTGTCGGGCGTAGAGACGGCTGGGTCGAGATTTGGAACATCAGTACAGGCAAGCTGATTTACACCATCTTGCCGCCGAGTCCGGACTGCGGCGCCGTCACCTGCCTCCAGCCCACAACGGCCCTGTCCCTGCTGGCCATCGCCTACTCAGAAGGGCCCTTAGTCATCCAGAACGTGCTCACCGACAGGCCGATCCTCTGCTTGAACGCCGGGACCGAGGACGACCCCGTCACGTGCATCTCGTTCCGGAGCGACGGCCAAGGAGCGGGCCAGGATGGCAGGAAGGATGGTGTTATGGCCACGGCGACGAGGGTCAGCGGAGATATCACATTCTGGGACCTCAACAAGAGCGGGAGGATCATGGGTGTTCTGCGGGGGGCGCACAATCCCCCGTCTCACAACAGAGAGGTCCGTGGCGGCGTCAGCAAGGTGGAATTCCTGCCGGGGCAGCCCGTGATCGTCTCGAGCGGGCTCGACAACTCGCTCAAGTCGTGGATCTTCGACGAGTCGCCCTTCTCGCCCGTGCCGCGCATCCTGCACATGCGCAGCGGCCATGCAGCACCAGTGCGCTGCCTGCAATTCTTGCCTTCGGACTTCGACGGCGCCGAGGGCGGCAACAAGTGGCTGCTTAGCGGCGGCCGCGACAGGAGCCTGTGGGGGTGGAGTTTGCGCCGCGACGGCCAGAGCACTGAGCTCAGCCAGGGCGCCATCCGTAAGAAAGCCAGGAAGATGGGTATCCTGGCGGGCGGCTCCTTATCACACGGCCCGACCACCGCGTTGGAGGATCTGAAAGCGCCAGAGATCACCTGCATTGCGTCTTCCCTAAACCGCGATGGCGGTATGGGCGCGATGCCGGGGAAGCAGGCGATCTGGGACAAGGGGAACGACAAGAGTAAGCCGACCAGCGCCGAGCTGAGCGGCATGACCGGCTGGGAAAGCGTTGTCACGGCACACAAGGACGATCCCTGGGCACGCACCTGGTTCTGGGGCAGGAAGCGGGCGGGTCGGTGGGCGTTCAAGACAGGCGACGGGGAAAACGTGTCGACCGTGGCCATCAGTCCCTGCGGCAGTTTTGCGCTTGTCGGCTCCGTTGCGGGCAGCATTGACGTGTTCAACCTTCAATCCGGGCGCCACCGCCAACGATTCCCCTCGCGGCTGACGCCAGCACAGCTCAGACAGGTGAAGATGCAGCAGCTTAGGGCGTTGGACGAGGTCAACAAGCTGCAGACGCGGTCCAGGACTACGTTCGCACCAGGCACGGGACGGCACACAAAGGCGGTGACGGGCATCGTAGTCGACTCGCTCAACAGGACCGTCATCTCGTGCTCACTCGACGGCACGATCAAGTTCTGGGACTTTGTTACCGGCAACCTGGTCGACCAGATCGACTGGGCGCCCATGACTCAGATCACGGCCTGCCGCTACCACCCGGCCAACGACCTCATCGCGTTCGCCTGCGATGACCACTCCATCCGGGTAGTTGACATCGAGACCAAACAGACCATCCGTGAGTTCTGGGGCTGCCGTGGCGACATCACCGATTTCTGTTTCTCCAACGACGGCAGGTGGATCGTTGCCGCTTCGCAAGACTCCGTCATCCGCGTGTGGGATCTGCCGACGAGCCACCTGATCGATGCCTTCCGGCTGGAGAAGCCATGCACGGCGCTCGCCTTCTCGGCCACAGGCGAGTACCTCGCTGGTGCCGTCGAGGGCGATTTGGGCGTCCAAATATGGACGAACCGCACCCTGTTCAAGCACGTCCCGACAAGACAAATCTCCGACAAGGAGATAGGACAGATCTCGGCGCCCACAGCATCAGGCGAGGGCGGCCAGGGTCTGATCGAAGACGCCTTTGAAGCAGACACCGAGGAGCAGGCAGAAGACGACGGCGTGACAGCGCCGGTGATCGACCAGCTCAGCGCCGACATGATGACGCTCAGCCTGGTGCCCAAGAGCCGCTGGCAGACGCTATTGCACATCGATCTGATCAAGGCGCGGAACAAGCCCAAGGAACCGCCCAAGGCACCAGAGAAGGCGCCCTTCTTCCTCCCGTTTGTTGGAGGGCCAAATCCGCTGGTCCCTATCGAGTCAGCGTCCAAGGACAAGAAGGAAACCGAGATGGGCGGCGCTTCGAGGATAACACAGCTCGACCGAACACGGGACCAGCAGGCCCTCACATCCAGGTTACTCTCGTGCGGCGCATCCGGAGACTGTAAGTCGCCCCTTTCTCAGATCTCCTGCCCACTTTTACCCCTTTGCACCGCGTACTAACACATCTCATCTAATTACAGACACCGATTTCCTGGAGTATTTCAAGTCCCTCCCGCCCGCGGCCGCCGACCTGGAGATGCGCTCCCTCTCCATGGGCGACGGCGACGACGCCTCCAACGAGCTGCTTCACTTCATCCGCGCTCTGACCAGCAGGCTCGTCCAGAAACGCGATTACGAGCTGATCCAGGCGTGGATGGTGGTCTTCTTACGGCTGCACTTTGACCTGGTCATGGCGAACGAGTCGCTGCTTGAGGCGCTCGGCGAGTGGAAGGAGCATCAGGCAAGGGAGAGGGATCGGTTGGATGATTTGGTTGGGTATTGTGGCGGTGTTGTTGGCTTCTTGAGGAGTCCGAGGACATGAGGAAAGCGTAGGCCACTTTAATGAGATGAAGGCGCGGAAGACGCCTAAGCACAAAGTATATTGCGCCGCGAGTTATGCAGGTATCTACTATGCAACGAAAAGCACATAGCTGCCCGATGCCAAAGCTCATATATCCCGATGCGCCGTCAACGCCTACCCAAAGATCTTGTCCAAAATCCGTTCGAATACGTTACTACGGCAGGTTAGCACATGCATGCCCAGTTTGGAAACTCGAAGGGCGGGCTTACGTTGGCGGAGTGGGCACATAGCTGCGCTCGTACTCCTCGACCTCATCCATGTTCTTCAACAAGTCCACCTCCTCGGGGCGGTAGATCTTGGTCTTGTTGACCAGCTTGAACCCAACGTAAAGCAGAGGGCAGATGGCAATCATGGTGTATCTAGCAGTGTTGTCAGCATTTTGTAGATTCCTTCCCACCATCTCCGAAATGTAACATAAACGTACGAGAACAGAAACGTCGGCACATCCCAGTTGCCCGGCAGAAACACCGAATACCCGCCCACGAAGGTCATGACGAAGCACCCGGCCAGGCCGTACCACGCCGCATACGGCTGCAGCCAGGCGCGGTACGGCAGCGTCTCCCTCGCGATGCCCTGCGCCTTCAGCGCGGCATGGAAGCGCAGGTAGGTCAGCGCCATGACACTGAAGTTGATCAGCTGGCTGGCCGTGACAAGGCTGACAAACCACTGCAGCACGACGGCCGCATTGTTGGACACCTGCAGGAAGGCCAGCAGGGCGATGGCCAGCACCAGCCCGACCGCGTAGATGGGCACGCCATTGCGCGTGCAGCGCGTGAAGATGACGGGCGCCTTGCCCTCCAGCGCCATGCCGTAGAGCGAGCGCGAGGCGCAGTAGACGTAGCTGTTGCCGGCCGAGAAGGCCGCGGTGAGCACCATGGCGTTGACGATGTGCGGCAGCACGCCGATGCGCAGCCGGTTCATGGCGACCACGTACGGGGATGCGGCCGCGCCGGGTGCGCCGGTGCTGAAGGCCAGTTTCAGCTCGGCGTCGTTGTGCGGGACGAGGATGCCGACGGCCAGGGACCCGAGCACGAAGAAGGCGGTCAGGCGGTAGAACACGGCGTTGAAGGCGCGGGGCATCACTCTGCGCGGGTTCTCAGCCTCGCCGGCGGCCATCGAGACGTAATCCGGCCCGGCGATGGTGAAGGAGGCCTGGATGAGGCACTGGAGGAACCCCAGGAACCGGCCGAGGTCGCCGTCGCGGTACGTCACGGCGAACGCGCCCGGGTTTTGCCAGTGCCGGAAGCCGAAGCGGTCGCCGAGCGGGTTGCCGCCGAGCATCACGATAAAGGTGAAGATGATCAGGCCGACGATGAGCAGCATCTTACCGAGGGCGGCCCAGAACTCGACTTCGCCATACCATTTGACGGCGAGGACGTTGATGAGGCCGTAGAGGACGATGGTGATGGCGATGATGCCGCCCGCGGGCACCACGTCGCTCCAGTAATGGATGATGACGTTGCACGCGGTGATCTCGAACGGCACCATGGCCGCCTCGAAGACGAAAAAGTTCCACCCGGCGGCGAAACCGAACGCCTCGTCGACGTACCGGCCGGCGAACCGGATGAAGGGCGAAGAGATGGGGAGGTAGGTGACCATCTCGGCCATGCAAAGCGTGATGGCCAGGATGAAGGTGCACCACACGGTGAACGCGATGAACAAGCTCGCCGGTCCCCCAGCGATAAGGCCTTTGCCGATCTGGACGTACAACGCCGTCCCGATGGTGCCGCCAATGCCTGATAATAGTTAGCGTCGAGTGAGTGTCCGCCCGGCGTCCTCGGCTCCCGTACCGATCAGTTGAATATGACGCGACTTCAGCGTCCGATGGGTGTGGTCACCGATGGTCTGGATCGAGGCGCTCTCAGGCGACCCGGCCCCGGTCCCAACGCCCTTCTTCTCGGCGGACGGACGGCGCCCGCTCTCCGTGTCCACGCTCGTCGCAGCCATGGTGGTGGAATCGTGCTACTGGTGCGGCGGTGAAGGCACAGCGACGAGGAAGCAGGGACAGGACCAGCGACGGCCGAATCTCAATATATCTGTTTGAGGAGGAGCGAGAAGAACTCGACGACAAATCTCATGGAGGACGACGGTAGAGCAGCCGTCCACTACAGTCCAGACTCTGAGCGGGGTGATCCGGGCCCGGCGAGTTGGGAGTCGCAAGTGAACCCTGTTCCAGCGGGAGTCCGAGCAAACGTTTTAGGAGGCGATAGTAAATATTTATATGTATATAAGCTGGGCGAGTCGACTTGGGATCGAGTGGGGCGGGGGGAGGGTTATTGGGTAACCGAGACGCGCCCAGCATGCTGGGCCGAGGGTGACCGAAAAGTTTGACCATGGCTTGAAGACATGTGCCGGTCTGCCGTGTCTTTCAACAGACCACGAAGAGGATGTCCCTCCAGGCGGGGCAAGGGTATTTTCGGTAAGGGACCATGAGGATCCTAGCACAGGATCGCAGATGTGGTGGACTTTGCGGGGCGGGCTGCCAGAATTCCTCGAACAATGGCGTCATCGCCTTGTTTCTGATTCTTCGCCTAGCCTATCACATGCGAGCGCACCGTATCCCGGTTCCTGGGCCGTGGGGGTTGCCAAGGTGCCCAATGCGCAGAGCTTTAAGTTTGGAGCTGGTTGATTGGGCCCTTGAAAAGTGCCAAGCCCTAACCCTGTCCACGCCAAGCAGGCGTTGCGGGGTGTCGGGGCTTTTCGTGCGGTTCGACCTCACGTTGTCCAAGTTCCGTCAGCCAACATTGATTTGGAGCAATCAATAGTCTTCAATCCTTTGAAAAGGAGACTCACGGATGTGATACGATGGCTGCAACGGTCGTTGAAGGCTGAGCAACCAATGCACGACGAAATATTGAGAGTACCCGGCCATGGGACCGCCCTTGTCCTGGCTCCAATTCCCCGCATGAGGCGTTGACAGCTGAGGGCAACGATCGCCCTACACGTGTACTACCTTCTAGACTAGGCAAGGCCCTGAAGATCACTTGTTAGCATATACGGTGACCAACCATTGGGGAACTCCTACACGGGAAGAGGCTGGTCCTGTCGCAACGGTCTTCTCCTCTAAAGACGGAAGCGCTCTCGTTGAAGTCTCACGGTGAGCTACCTGCGGTGACAAGCTCATCGCCAAGTGACGGGATCTGTGAGGGACTTAGTATTAACCGCACCCGTTTGCTCCCATAGCGGACCAACGCGCCCAGCTTCGAAGGGCTGGTTGGAACCCTTGCAATTCAGCCGGCTTCAATCAAATTCACCACGCAAGTTATCAGCAGGCAGCAGAGTGTGGATGAAGGAAGCGGCAACGTGTAGGAAGGAGGCAAGGTGCTCCAGCCTGAAACAGAGGTTATTTGAGGGTCGCGGCGTGCGCTCAGGATTGCAATCCCCAAGCGAAGACTGCGAATGCAGATTCTCTATTATCTCTAGCCAACTCCCCTCCAGCATTCGTGGTCATGCGACTTTCCAAACAACATCCTCCGCCTAGCTTTTTCATATCGACGAACTGCCCACTTCCCGGGCCTGGGTCACATCACTGTCGTGGGAACGAGTATCCTAGAAAGCAGCTCGGCGACCTTGGCCGGCGTCATGCCATGCCGCGCCGCCACCTGGACGTAGGGAAAGCTGGCCCGGACCGTGTCGGCGATATCTTGCACGATGCTGCGAGACGGAGAGAGTCCAAGCGACACGGGAGGGGCCGGCGGCGCAGGCCAGCGGTGTTGGAACTGGCTGTGTTCCTGTGCTGGCTGACGGAACGCTGGGGTCGAGCGGGGAGTTGGCCCCGGCTGCTCAGCCGGTGTTGGATGACGGACGTGGCTACTCGTCGGGGAGAGAGATGAATGCTGGGAGCTCTGCCCCTGGCCCTCTGGAAGGTGACGCGGGTCAGCACTTGCTGGGAGTCGAGGCGATCCATGGGCCCGGCGGAGGAGGTTCTCCTGTCGAATCCGCTCGCAGTGGAGGCACGGAGGCCGGTATGCCGGATGTGGAGAGGAAGAGCGGCCGTGTGTTGTGTGAGTGTGGGCTCCGTGAGGCAGTCCAGGTACAGCTGGCTGCATCGTAGTCTGTGTCTGTGTCTGATTGCCGGGAATCGACACTCTGCCGTGCTGAGGAGGAGGTTGCATTGCGCCAGGAGGGAACGATGCCGGGAGCGGGCTCATGCAATGCTGCATTTGCGGTATTGTGACAATGTTTCCCGTCGAGTACATTGTGAACGGTATCGCGTTAGGGCTAGCCATAGGGTTGAAGGGTGGCATAGCAGGGCCCAGGGGCGGGGCTGGGACAGCTTCCGAGCTGCGCATGTTGCCCATCCCAGAGCCGCTAATGACGCTGCCATTGGCGGAGAAGATCGGGCCCAGTTCGAACCCGGGCGTGTTCGTAGGCACGCCGTTGACGTCGAGACAGGAGATCTGGTTGAGTGTGACAGAGTTTTGCGAGGGTACGTCAGGGGTAGGTGCGACCGATTGGTTCCGGGCATCCGCCCCGAGAGAGGATGGCGGGCCTTGTGGGAGCTGTTTGGGAGAGACGGCCTCCGAGGATGGAGTTGGCCGAATGGGCTGCGGAGCGGACGACTGCGGAAAGGCGAAGTTCTCCAAGACCGGAAGTGACGCTCCCCGGCTCTCCAGAGGCGGGTTAGGCGCAGGGCGTGTTGCCTCGCTAGCTGGCGCCAGGCTCCGGCAACGCTCAGGAACTTGGGACGATGCGGTAGTCTGCTGTTGGTCGATGGCAGGAGTCTGTGAAGACATTGCTGAAGGCCGTGCCATATCCACATGAGCTCGGAGCCGCGTGACGTTTTGCTGTGTATTGCTGAGAGGTAGTGCAAGAGTGTCCGGGGGCTGGGTCATCTCAAGGCGTTTCTGCGCTATCGGCCGTCGCTTCTTGACGGGGTTCGACGAGATGAACTGGAGCTCGTCATCAGCAGCGGATCGCTTGGTAGACGTGACTTGCTCGCTCGTTCCCGCGTTGCTAGACGGTACAGCCGGATTTGCTGGTTCAGGCTTCTCCTCCTTGGAATGCGAGGACATGATTTTCAAGCTTCAGGGCCTGCAGAAGTTCCGCGTCATGACGATGTAGACGGAGGGTAAAGATACTTGCGCAGGATGTGGGCGATGTGAGGTTATATCTTGGGCTGTCAAAGGCAAACCCATCCCTTGTCTGGTCTGCACAAGGAGTTCTTGCGGGCGGAGGGCTCCCCTGGTGAAAGGGGAGAACCCCACGCACGAGCAGCTCTCTTGCTGCATCATGCAGGCGTCCACGACGCAACCCTGCCATTGGAAAGTCGTCTTGGCCGCCTGTGTTCTTGATAAAGAGAAACGCAAAAGACGGCAAAGGGTTGAGCAAGCGCTTTCATGGCGATGTGCTGAGCAGTTCAAGGATGAGGTCAGGCGGACAGACTGCCGCGAGCTGCACGCTCTCATCATCCCCTGAGGCCCATGTCAATCAGCAGCGCAAAATGAAAGAACGAACAGTGGCCACCCCAACCTCGATACGCCATAGCAGTGCAAAAGCTCATGTAAGACACCAGCAGTTGACCGGAGGATCAAGGTCGGGGCGATCCTCTCGTGTTGTCGGATCACGACGGACTTTGTTGTGTAGTGTACGCTTTGTAACAATGTTTCCTTGTATACTCTAGCCATAAAAGGCCGTACCAACGACGTCCTCACCCCGAGAGTTTGGATCAGCGAGTCAAGCAAACAGAATTACATTAATCAGTTAATTAAATACTATAGCAGAAGGAGCAGAAGGAGCAGAGGAAAAAGAGAAGCGGGAGAAGGGGGAGAAGGGGGAGAGGAAGAGGCGAAAATGGAGAAAAAGAAATGAGAGAGTGAAGATGATAAAGAAAAGGAAGAAACATAATAGAGCAACTGAGTCTTCATTTTTTCCCGTTCCCTAAGGTGTAAGTCTGGTTGTCATCGATGTGTGGTGGGTGTACTGTCCTTCTCAGAAAGGAGCCTGCTAATACATAGAGTTTGCCAGCTGGACGGCGGTTGGCAAGCTAGTAGGAGCTGCAAGCTGCATCTGCCAAGCTTCAACAGCTTAGCGGTAGCCCAGCGGAGCAAGGCCGCCCTTCTGCCTCGCAAACCGACCGACCCCGCGACAACTCACCCAACAACGACTGCCTCTTTCGCAAGGTCTGAACGAACTGCAATCAAAGGAAGTGCGGCTCGGGGTTTCCACATTGCTTTGATTCTGTTTACATCCGACGCAAAGACAGCCATGGCCGGCCAAGCAGCCAGCGAGCTGCTGTCGACCCAGAAGGCGTCTGACTCGGCCCTGCAGATAGTGCTGCACCCGCTGCCTATTCTCGAGATCTCCGACTTCATCGTCCGCGGATACCAGCGCGGATTCAAGGGTGCTGTGGTTGGTACGTTGCTAGGCCAGCAGAATGGTCGTGAGATCACCATCGAGCACAGCTTCAGCTGCAAGACAGCCAAGAATGATGACGGCTTCTACGAGCTCGACCAGAGCTGGTTCAAGCAACGTCTGGAACAGAGTTCGTGACCTCTGCTCCCGTTCCCTGCCACGTAACTGACCGCTCTATCCTAGTGAAACTCGTCCACAAGAGCCCCGCGCTCGACCTCGTTGGCTGGTACTCGCTCGTGAACAAGTCAGGCCCAACCGCCCTGCACCTTCCCATCCACCGACAGATTAGCGCCTACAACGAGTCGGCAGTGCTTCTCGGCTTCCACATCGAAGACATGTTGGCCCCGGTATCCGGCGATCCGCTACCGATCACGATATACGAGAGCAACATGGAAGCAGAGGACAGCGTCAAGGACGCCGAGGGCGAAGACAGGGAGATGAAGGATGCAGACTCCAGCTCCAACATGGTTCTTCGCTTCCGCAAGCTGCCCTACACTACGGAAACAGGCGAGGCCGAGATGATCGCCATGCAATACATCCGGGAAGGCGGCGCCAACGCCACGGTAGACGGCACCGAAAAGCACATCCTCGAGCAATTCGACAAGAAGATCGCAGTCGACGACGGTAAAGGAAAGCGTCGGGCGGTCGCATATGAGGACAGCAGCAAATCCAAGAAAGACATCCCAACGACAGCGACGTCCACCGAAGTGCCAGCCGCACCAGGCTCGGATGTCAATCTCACCCGCGCCGAGGCCGAGTACATGTCGGCCCTCCAAGCCCGATACAACGCCATCAAGATGATGAGATCCCGCCTCGCGTTGATCATCACGTACCTCGAGCGGCTGCCACCGGATTTCACGCAGGGCAAACAGACCACCGCGGAAGCAGCCGACGTTGCACGCGCCTCCAACGGCACCTACACAGCCCCCTCCAACACCATCCTCCGACACATCCAGGCGCTCGTGGCCAACGCCGACCTTGTCGCGCCCGCCGAGCAGGCCACACTGGAGCGTGAAATCCAGCGCGAGACCAACGACGTCAACCTCATCTCGCTCCTCTCGGATCTCGTAGCCAGCGTGGACGAGGTCCGCGCGGCGGGCAAGAAGTTTCGCGTCCTAGAAGCATCAAAACACGCGCGGACGGCCGGGCTGACGATGTAGTGAAGCTGAGTTATTTAAGGATTCTTTTAGGCGCTGGAGAGAGGGGGGGTTGGCGTTCCTGGCGTTCCTGGTCTCTAAAAGCAAGGGCAGACAGTCTCGCGTTAGGTAGACGAGAAGGCTACTCTACATAGATTGGGATTCCGGTCTCTTAGACGGGACGGAAAGCATGGCTATGACAATGACAATAAGGGGAATTGAGAGAACTGAGACGCGCAACCCCCCATGATGACACGTACAGGGAATCGAAGCTGTTTAAACTTGCCTGTTGATTATGTCACGGCCAACTAGCCCCGATTGTGTCGTAGATCTGGCTCTTCTTTAGAGGGGCCCATCGGTGGAAAAACGCTCACAGCCCCAAGTACTGTACGGGATTTGTTCTCTCTTGAAGCTTTGTGTACGACGTTTTCTGACCAGGAGATCTGCTCAAACATCTTGGTTCTACTCATTATCACAGCCATCCCCCATCCCGAGCTGAAAGGAAAGAGAAGCTGGCCAAAGAAATAACCGCACACCAAACAAGGCAGGCAACGAAAAGCCATCCCAATGTCTATATCCGGTACCGTTTCACCCGATAATCAGCCGCACTCTAGAGAACCAGACCAACAATCTGCCGCCTTGCTACTGTCGCCGCTCCAATCCGAGCAGCCAATCCAGCCCATTCTTCTATAATCGTTGCTCATGATTTGGAAGGCCCAGGAATATTAACGGGGGAAGAGCGACCCCTAGAAAATCAGACAAGCGCAGAATTGGGGGTATCCACCAGCCGCTTTTTGTAGACCTAAGCCTCGATAACAACCTTCAACACTAGGTTCCCCTCGTCATCGACGGTCCTACTCGCCAGCTCGAACGCCCGCCGGGCATTCTCCAACCCTTTGAACCGGTGCGTGACCATGTCATCCAGGTTCGGTATGATATACCCAGCGGCAGACGGCGTCTTCTCCCTGGCACACAGTATCCTGATGCCCGTCGCATAGGTATTGGCATAACGGAAGATGCCCAAGATATCGATCTCGCGGAGGTGCGCGACCGACATGGGCAGCGTCTGGATCGGCGTGCCCATGCCGACCATGATGACCTTGCCGCCGGGACGGGTGGCGTAGAGGGAGGTGTGCATGCACACCTCCTTGCCGGTGCATTCAAAGGTGACGTCGACACCGTCATCCTCGTCGTCCACGAGCAGGGGGTTAGAGGTGCTCGTCAACCCAAGCATGTCTGCGGCAAGGGTCTTGGCGTAGTCAAGTTGGCTTTGGAAGGAATATGTGCTCCCGGGAGTCATGACGCCATCTAGGGGTGTCGAGGTGCCAGAGCTGCTGCCGCTGTACATTGAAGAGCTGCTGGAGCAGGTATGCAGCGGTCTTGGAACGACAAAGCCGTGCGTTGCAAAGCCCTTGGCGATAGCGAAGTCAACACGGCCCTGGTCGACGTCGGCGATGGTTACCACGGAGCAGCCGGATTGCCTGGCCATCGCGGCGGTAAGCAGGCCAACGGCGCCAGCGCCGATGACCAGAGCGGTTGAACCGGGGGTTGGCCTCGCCCGGTTAACGGCATGGATAGCGACTGACAGCGGCTCAAGCAGGGCAGCGGCATCGAAAGAGATATTGTCCGGAAGCCTGTGCGGGTGTTAGCCTCACGGCCCTTTTACATGGTCTGGCGACGGACATACTTGTGGCACCACGCTGCGGGATGGTTGATTCTCTCCTGCAATGTGCCCTGGAAATGGGGCACTGATTTGGCGCTACTCCTGAATCTCATGCGTTTGCACAGGTTATACCTGCCCTGGCGACAGATGCCACACTGACCACAAGGGATGCCGACCTCGAGTGCCACCCGGTCGCCAATACTGAAGCCTGTCACCTGGGCACCGATGGCAACGACCGTGCCGGACGACTCGTGGCCGAGCGAGAGCGGCATGCAGGCGCAGAGGTCGCCATTGGCGAACTTCTTGTAATAGCTGACATCGGACCCGCAGATGCCGGTTGTGTGGACGGCGATTTGAAGCTCGCCGATGCCCGGTTCCTCGATGGTCCGCGTTTCCTGGAGCGAGTTGTTAGTGAGGGTCACCGAGAAAGCGGAAGGGGCCGGAAAAAGCAGGACGTGGGACCCTGGTTAGTTGTAACGAGATCTGAGATCTGAGATGACGGGGCAAAGGGTCCTCAGGAAAGTAGGCGTTACCATTCGTAGATCGCGCGGCCCATGTAAGACAGAGGCGTTAATCGTCGAAGCTTTTGAGGCGGCGGGTAGGTGCATTGGCGCCGGCTCGCCCATCGCGGAGGGCGCCATGTCGGCGGGAAGTGGGACGGGCGTGGGATGTGAGGCGTGGGATAGGACGAGCTGACCAACGGAAGTGGCTTCGCCGTGGGGTAGAAGAGAGGCTTACGGCTCTCCTTGGTCGCTGCCGCGCGGGATGTAAGGAGGAGAGGGTGTAAGGCCTTCACTGGTAGAGCGTGTAGAGCTTCTAGTAAGATGTGCACCGATTGTGCCCGTTAGTGTGAGAATGACAGTAGACTTCACTACGGGAGCAACAACGAGACGTAGAGAGGTGAGAGATGATGAAAGCCTAAGAGAAGCTAGGACGACCCCCACTCTATAAGTATGCTCGTAGGCTCGGCCGTCGGATATGAAAATCGTTGGCGTGCTGTGAATGTGTCAATCCCGGATCTGCATTGTCCGGGGGGTCAGCGAGGCAAGAGCAAAGCCATACGGACGTCAAGGTGATGCAAGGGCCGGGAGCGGACGAGAAGATGCATCTTCTGGACCGCGAGCATGCTTCCGGCAGGGCTCGCCAGTCAGGTATCAACTGGTTATCTCTGTGCGGACTAAAGAGGCTAGGCAAAACGCGCTCCAGAGCAACCCCGACAATCTCGGGAGAGCATGGAAGCAGGCTAGTGTCGAGGTGAAGCTTCGGCACGAGCACCCATCACCCATGTCTATCGGCGCCGGGCGGCAGCGTCGCGGGATCCATAACACGTACCCATGGATGGGCCTTGAGCCGGAGCCGGAGCCGCCGCATGCTAGCGGCTTTCTGTCATGCAATGACAGTGACAATGGCAGCTATGGGTGGTGCAACGGACGAGCTCGTGGAGCATGATACGGATCCAGGACGCAGAAGGGACAATGTGCCGCCGACGAAATCGAGCTGATTCCGGCCAGTCACAAGACGATCCAGGAGCACTGGGGGCGAGGGTCTTTCCTGTCTGGGGCTGCTCGAGCTGTGTGTGGAGCTCCGGCGATGGCAAACGGTGGCAGTAATTAGGTGCTTTCGCCAGAAGATGCAGAGGATGGCTTCCACGGCGGGTGCATTGTGGATACCTCGCTGTTGGTTGGAGTCGGGTACACTGTAGACTTGGGTGCCTGGTACTGACAAGTACGGGCCGTACTCGGACTCAGACCACAGATGCGACAGTCTCAATCTCAGCCATCCGTTGATGGCCAGGAACGGCAGCGAATAGCTGTCTCTCGTACGAGCACGCAATCGCGATTGGTACGCCGCGCGTATGGACGAGCGGCAATCATTGCGATATCAACAACGGAAGATGGTATTCAATTCAGGACCGGTTAGCACTTATTAGCGAACCAACACAGCTCCCGAGTGGTGTTGCCATCCCGTCGCTGCAATGCTGGACCTGAGAATACCCGGACGTCTCTATGACCGAGTAACGCCTTGATCAACGAGGATTGGATAGATGTCTCTCGCACGCTATCGCGTTGATTCATCCGATCTGGTTTTGGTCGTGCCGCTTTACGAAAACGTCTTGCCTAGAGGCAATGCATGATGGCAACTGTGAGATTCTCACGAGGGGATCAGGGTCGTTGAAGAAGGGTGGAGTTGGTGGGGTTGAGCATTCGGTGACATGGACAAGGGGGCAGAAAAGTCTATCGCGGTGAACCGCACCGAAGAAGGAAAGAACAACTGCGGCTGGGCAAGAACTCGGAAGGAACCTGGGAGCCATCCCTCACCGACTCACCGTATCACGGTGTTCCTCCTCACGGAAATACCGTACGTAGTCAAAACTTGCTACGTACTTGTTGTCTTTTCCCATATCTCGCTGTCCGCCTCTCACGTAGGCCAGTCCCGAGCGATTAGCGAGACCGAGTTCGCTTGTCGATATGCACCGTCTTCTGGGGAACGGGAGGCTTGTGCAATGTCTCTGCACCGAAACGCTGCCGAGTGCTACTCCATTGAGTGATAGTTGACGGGAATCTCCAGACGCCGGGAGCTTCACATGGCAACCATCACCGCTCCGTTGCCGCCATCATGAGAAGCGATTACCTACACGTGTGTGCTAGCCAACTTACATGTGAACGAGGCGCCATCGTATCTCGCAACTCACCGGCCCCACCAGTTGCTCCCCCAGTCGGGATCATCAACCAGGGTCATCAACCGGGGTCGAAACGGCCCGGTAGGCCCAACCGTGCCAACCACCGCCAACCCACTGGTCTACCAGAAGAAATTGTTATGGTGCAGGAATGCGCCAGAGGTTTCATCTTGAGTCGATGTGACGATCTGCCCGCAAGCGGAGAGGAACGTCACAACTGATGAGGAACTCCTGTGTCAAGCTCAGGTCAATGGCTCTGCATTCGCATTTTGCCGGCCCTATGCCAAGCGCACATGGCGAGCAGTGTCCCATCCCTCCAGGGACATGAAACGGAGCAAAGGGCGACCAGGCTCTTTGTGTACTCTGTACTCCGGTCGTGTACCACAGTCATGTATGTATTGTACATTGAGGACAAAGTGACTGTTTCGGACGGAATGCGTCTTCGCCGCCCGGCACAATCCAGAAGTCTTCCGGAAGATTGGGCGATACGACGTATCCGCCAACTAGCTCAGGGCAGTACCGAGCTGCGTGAGTGACACAGCAGCACACACCCGCAGTGCAAGGTCTACACCACCGGTTCCTTATCAAGGCTTCCGCTAGAATTAACGGACCAGGGTGGTTGCTATCCAGGTCCAGTGCGTGGCCGTCCTGGCTGGCAATTGCCGGTCGCGCTCACAGATACGGTCCTGATAACAGGCAGCATCATGCATTATCGATGCAGCACCTTCCCGGGCCACCATCCGGCGTCGGACACTGCCTGTTATTGCTACCGATCTCTCCATCTGATTCCCATCGCGCGTCGTTCGGATAACACCATCACCGAGGCGTGCGAGGATAAGTTGTTGGTACCGCTTGGTATGTAGTGTACAACATTGGGGAAATTGGAGTTCGAACAGGGGTTCGTGGCGGCTCCAAAGAAAAAGCAAGAACTTCGCCCAGCCCCACGATCTCATCATGCCAGGGCGCATGTGGAGCCGCTAGGGTTCTCGGGCCAGAGATCTGACTGCAGGACCACACCGTAGTGTAGGAGAAGAGGCCAACAGGAGCTCCAACAAGTGGCCGGTTGTCTTCATCTGCCGAATCCAGCGGTGCCTCGAGCTCAGTGTCAGCACCACGCCGTGCTGCACACCGATGATGACCAGGAAGTCTCAATCTGGAAAACCGCGTTGGATGGCAACGATCCGACAGATGCTTGTGCTCGCGGACACCCAGCCGAAGTTCTCAGAGTCTACCGGTGCCCTTGCTCCTGAGTGCCAGGGCTATGGCATGCCATGCTTGCACCGTCGAACTCGGCTCTGCGACAGCCAATCCTGTCGGTGAATGAGCTCACACCTTCAGCAAAAGGGACCCGTGGATCTCGCGCCACCATGGCCGCCGGCCCGGGAGTTGCACTCCTAGCGAGGTGTTCCGGGGCTCCCGGTATGCACGGGCATGCTGCCCAAGAGAGCAAAGCGGTTCCAACTGGGGCCAACTTGACGCGGCTGAATGCGAAGCGGCTGGGCTACCCGTGATCGACGTTGAGCGACACTTCCGTAGTACACAGTACAGTACAGAACGTCGCTAATCCGTTGTCGCACAGTAGAGCTCTGACTTTGCGCATCGAGGTGGCGAGATCATCAAGGATCTTCGGCCCTCAGGCCAACAGAATTACACCCCGGAATGCTCCGTGGCATGGTTCGAGATACACACACAACCTTGATAGCGAGGTCACGGCCAAGCTAGGACGAGATGCGGTGCTGCAGCCCGGGCTGCGAAGCGTGCATATCCCCGCAGCGGTTGTTCACACCGGCCGCGGCGTCACGGCCTACCTGTCTGCCCGCGTGTTTGGCGAGCTCGCCTCCGGTCTTAAGCCGGGCCAATGGCGACGCAACCTCCAACGCTCGTTCTACCGATGTTATGGAGACGAGGCGGTGACTCTGCAACTTTTGGCCGCTCGCTTGCTGAGCGGGCGGGACACACGGGTCATACTTTTAACTTACCTATGTATCATATGGAATTTAATGCATGCGGCCAAGGAGATCCCGCGGTATGTTCGGAATTGCAATCGAGCTCCGGCCGATGCAACCCTACTGCACACCAAAGGGCAAGAGACATAAGAGTGAGGACCTTGTGAGAAAAACATGCTCACAACTTCCCCTGAGAGGAGAACCATAAATGTCAACACCCCCACGACGGGACGGCCCTGCCGGGTACCGAGCCGTCTGAGGGAGGAGATGCGTGGGGGACAGACAGCAGCGTGTCGAACAGAGACCGTCGTCTGGGAGGTTCCATACGTGGGGGTTAGAATGATGTTCGGGGACAGCAGGCCACGGAGGTCCCTGCCCCGGCGGCGAGCCTGGAAGAGTACCAGTGCATACAATCTGAGTCCTCGTCGATACACGCTCTGTCGGGGGAAGAGAGGTGAAGGGAGATATCTGCCTAATGTAAGCCTCGATGCATTCGAAGCCATAGCTCGCCCCAAACGTAACCCTAGACAATAGACTCTTAATACGTCATGTACCCTAGCCCTCCCTTCAGTCTCCTGACGCTGCCTCGCCTACCCTATCACACATACCGTAGAATGGCAATCAATCCGGTCAGAACGTGCTCGTAGCCAACCGACTCGCCGCATTCCTCGCGTCAACGCGATCCTCATCGTCCTCCTCTGCCAAACCCGGCATCCCCCCGCGGGCGCCGCTCAGCGCCCTCCCCCTGGCTCCCTGCTCGCTGCCCTCCCCTTCGAGCCCTTCTTCGCCCTCGGCCACCGAGCTCCCCACCAGACTCCCGGACACGCTGCGGCTCATGGCATCGGCGGATCGTCGCGGCACGCCGCTCCACGCATCGCCCTTGGGCCCCTGGCTCGCCGCGAGACTGGATCGGCGCACGGTCGGGTGGCTCTCCCTGCCGAGGCGGCTCAGGCCGCCACTGCCGTCGATGGAGCGTATGTCCGGGCGGACGGACTCCAGCAGGGCCAGGGTGCGGCGCTCGGCCTCAATCTCGCGCAAGACATACTCGCGGATGCTGAGGCGCAGGTCGGCGGCGGTGCGGGCGAACCAGCGGCGGCGCTCGTGGACCAGGTTCTGCGTGACGCGCGTCGTCTTCTGGTAGAGCGCCGACTCGGCCTGGCGGGCCTCGTCGAGCGCGGCGATGGCCTCGTCGACCTTCTCGCGGCGCACGTTGGACGAGGCCTTGAGCCGGTCGGCGGCGTTGAGCTTGCTGCGCGTGTTCTCCTGGGCCTGGAGGAACTCGCGGATCAGGATCTGCCGGTTCGTCAGGGTCTCCTTGACGATGAAGGCGTCCTGCGAGTGGTACTGGAACGGATCGCCGATCGTGGTGGCTTCAGCCGTGGCCTGCGCCGCGTGGTAGTCGCCCACTGTCTGGATGATCTTGCCGAGCTTGCGGTAGGCGTTGGCCAGGCCGGGGTGCGGTTCTTGCACGTTCATTGCGCCAAGCTTGACGCCGAATTCGGATTCCGCGAGGCCTAAGCCTGTGGTACGGTTAGGGATGGTTCAGGGAGGAATGGGGGACGGATGATGATTTTACCTCTCCGTGACTTGACGAGTTTGTCCACCTTGTGGCCGGCGTCCATGGAGCCCAGGTAAAACAGCTTGACGATGGGCCGGGCGTCCTGCAGCTCGGGCGTGTCATCCGGGGGCGGGGCGAACTGCTTGAGGATCTTGCGGCGCACGCCTGTTGCGGGCTGCTTTTTCTTGACCATGGGGCTGTAGCCGAAATCGCTCTCGACGAAGAGCACCATCTCATCGTCCCGCATCAGCACCTCGTTGCTGCACACGTAGTTGAACCATCGCTGCATGAGCGCCTTGACCCGCACCTCGTCCTCCTCGGTGCCGGCACCGGCAGAAGTCAGAGCCGGCGGCACGGATGGCACGATGGCTTCGGGGTTGGCCGAGATCAGGTGCTCGGCAAGCTTGATGAACTCGGAATGGAGACGGCGCACGTCGCGGTACTGCGTAGTCCTAAAGGCGGGAAGGTTGGTCTGCCACAATCAGCAAGAGAGTCCCGCGCCTATAACTATAGACGACACGTACATGTACATCGAATCTCAAGATGGGATCCTTCCGTCCCGTGCGCTCCAGCCCAGTAATCTTAGCCTGCAGCTTGAACTGCGGCGGTGGCGGCTTACGCTGCTGCTGATGGTGGTGGTGTTGCTGTTGCTGTTGCTGTGGTCCCGGTGCTTGGCCAGGCGCAGGCTGTTGAACTTGCTGCTGCTCCGGCTGCTGCTGTTGGGGCTGCGGCGATGTTGGCCCTTGCTCGCCGGCGTAACCTTGTTGTGCAGGGTGGGATTCGGCCGGGGCCGGCTCTTCTGGCGGGGCATCGGTGGTATGTGAGACGGTGCTTGCGGTATCGGGTCGCCGGTACTCGGTATCGCTGGCGCCAAAGCCGCCGTCATCGAGGCCGTTGCGGAATGGGGAGCTCGGGGTCTCGCCCCCGAGAGAGCCGAATGTGGTGCGGTTGTTGAGCCGGGGCGAGGAAGTTGGCGAATTGCCCCAAGGCGAGGCCTCAACAGGGTGTTCCGGGTCGTGCATCGATGCGCTGTAGTCCATGGCGTGGTCCTCGGCAGATTATCCTCGCGTGCGATGACGTGGTGTTGTAGAGGGCAGCCGTCTGTGTTGGTCGAGCTGGAGGAGGCCAATTCGGCCAGACGTTGTAATCGCGATGGCAGGAGGAGTCCTTCAGTCAAGCGCACATACCTAATCAAGGAATGAGAATATTTGGCTGCGCATCGCAACTGCTCCGCATCGCCATCCGTGGTTGAAGAGCGGCGCAGCTGCCTGCCCGCCCCTGGACGGGACGAACGGTCTTGGCGCCAAGCCCGGATTGGTGAGGCGTCGTGCACAGGCCTTCGAAGCTCCCATGTCTGGAAAAGCACAACATCCATGCCTACCTTAGGGCTCAAGCTCAAATGTGAGATGTGATACAATTGTGAGATCAAACGTTTGTTTGAATGAGAGCTCGCAGTCTGGCGAGTTGACATGAAGGATAACCATACATCCGCTTTGCCAGACTGAGGCTTGTTCTTCGGTCTTGCGTGCTGTGTCTTGGGAAATTCGCCTCCCCCGAAGTTGAGCTTCCACACTCCGAGTTCTGGGATGCTCTGCAGCGCGCCCCTCCGCAATGGCTCGAGCAGGCTGCGGCCTGTGTTGCCAATGGCCGTATTGGTGCTGAGAAATGCCCAATTCGCCCACAGCAGGTGTGTGAGGAGCTACTCCAGCGAGCATGCCCATCACGAGGCACGGATTGAGAGCATCCGCAACATCGGCATCATCGCCCACGTCGATGCGGTGCGTGTCTTGCCCTGAATGCCTCTGATATCCGCATAGCGTCGCTGACTTCCCCCAGGGCAAGACGACCACCACGGAGCGCATGCTGTACCACAGCGGCCGTACACGCCATATCGGGAGTATGTCCCAGCGGGCGAGTCGCGCATCGTAACCCACGCTGACCAGCCAGATGTTGACCATGGCAACACCACCACGGACTTCCTGCCCATGGAGCGGGAGCGCGGCATTACCATCCAGTCGGCCGCCATCACCTTCCAGTGGCCGCCGAAGTCGGTGTGTCCGCCGGGCCATGAGCCCAAGACCATCAACCTCATCGACACGCCCGGCCACCAGGACTTTCGCTACGAGGTCGACCGCTGCTTGCCCATCCTGGACGGCGCCGTGTGCATCCTCGACTCTGTCAAGGGCGTCGAGACGCACACCGAGCGCGTGTGGGAGTCTGCACAGCTTTCCAAGATCCCCCGCCTGCTCTTTGTCAACAAGTTGGATCGCGACGGTGCCAGCTTCAAACGGTCGGTCCAAGAGGTGGCATCCCGGTTGAGGACCTGGCCTCTGCTCTGCCAGATTCCGTGGTGGCAGAAGGACGACTTTGTCGGCGTCATCGACGTGATCCACGAGCTCGGCCTGCGGTTTTCGAGCACCGGCGCCATGTCGGTAGTCAGCAAGGAAAGCATCGCCAAGGAGAACCAGGCGCTGCGAGAGGAGATGGAAAGGGCTCGGCTCCGTCTGATTGAGGCGCTGTCGGAAAACGACGATCAGATCATGGAGGAGTTCCTCGAGCTGGAGAAGGACGTCCCCTCGTCCTCGATCAAGCAGGCCATCCGGCGCTTGATCATGGATGGCGAGGCCAAGTTTACTCCGGTTTTCGCAGGCGCTAGTCTACGGAACATTGGCGTCCAGCCGCTGTTGGATGCCGTCGTCGACTACCTTCCCAGTCCGACCGACAGGCCACCACTGCAGATTATGGGTGTTAATGCGCACACTCTGCCCGAGCTTCTCACAGAGCCCGTCAAGAAAAAGGGACACCATCAGCACGAGCCACCAGTCACCGCTCTTGCCCACGTCTTCAAGGTCGTCGACGATCCACGCCGGGGCATGATGAGCTGGCTGCGTGTCTATCACGGCGCCTTCAGCCGGAGCAGCCACATGTGGAACAGCAACATGCACACGTCCGAGAAGCCTCAGCACTTACTCCACGTGTCGGCAAAGGACCACCACGAGATACCGAATCTACCCACCGGACACATTGGCGCCATGACCGGGCTGAAATTCGCCCGCACGGGAGACACGCTGCTTACGTTCCCCCGCCAGCACAACACCGCCCCCGAGCCCTTTAGAAACCTCCGCATCAAAGCGCCAGAGATCCCGCCCGCGGTCGCCTTCATCGCCATCGAGCCGTACACGCGCACGGCAGCCGAGAAGCTGGAGGAAGCACTCAACAAGCTGTCGCGCGAGGACCCCAGCATCAGGTGGACCAAGGACGAGAAGACGGAGCAGCTGATCCTCTCCGGGATGGGCCTGCTGCACCTCGAGATAGCTCAAGACCGCCTCCTGACCCATTACCGAATCGACCGGGAGTCGGCCATGTGGGGCGACATTGAAGTTGAGTACTCGGAGTGCCTCCTCAGCCCAACGGGGCCTCACCGCGCCGTGTACGACCGCACCATCCGCGACAGCGCAGGCAAGGCGGCCTGCACAGCCAGCATCGAACCCCTCGAGGCGCACCATCACGACACCGTCCTCGAATCCAGCATCGAGCGCGACGGCAATATCATCCACATAGCTATCCCGCTCCCCACGACCGGGAAAAACACCAATACCGACAATATCCTCCCGTTTGACCCCGAGCTCGTGCGCCAGCAGCTCTTCAACGGCGCCATCGCAGGACTTGCACGAGGGCCCCGACGCAGTGCCCCCGTCCGCCGCTGTCACGTGCACCTCACTTTCGACCCGTCGACCGACTTCTTCGGCACATCCGCCTCAACCGGCGGGCACATCACCAACGCGGCGTTGCATGCCGTGCGCGGCGCACTCAAGGAAGCCCACGCCCGCAGGCAGGTCGGCATCCTCGAGCCGTTCACCCACGTGCGCATCCACTGCCCCGAAGAAGCCGGGCACGCGATCCAGCACGACCTGGTCGCCGCGCGCGGCGGGCAGGTGCTGGAGGTGCGCAAGCCCGAGGACGAGGCCGTGGCTGAGGGCGAAGAGGAAGAAAACGCCCGGGTCGACGTGAGCAAGGTCTACGTCCCACCCGACCCGTACGAGTCGGTGCAGAGCCTGCGCGATCCGAAGAAGGCGGTCGTCCGGATGCTGACCATCGTGGGCAAGGCGCCGCTGAAGGAGATGATGAAGTATGACAGCCAGCTAAGGAGTATCACTGGGAGCAGGCATGCGCTGCAGTTGGATCCGGGCGGGTTTGAGTTGGTTACCGGGCCGAGGGAGAAGGCGTTGGAGGAGAGGTAGCGTACTGGGGGGGGGGGGGGGGGGGGGGGGGTTGGGTGTGTAAGTCAGAGAGGAGATGTATGTGTGTACGTGTACTCTATCTGACCATGACGGACTTATAACGAACATGGGCACCTTGGCATGGATACACGGGCGACCGCCAACCTCCGCCATTAACTATGCCCTTCAAGCTGAAAAGGACCGCCTGTTCGCCGAATGTTCTCGGGCCTCTGCCCAGGACCTAGCGTCCTATTCTCTGAATGTCGGCCATAATATGCCCCTGCCTTACTGATACTGACACCCAATGCTCTCAAGGTGGCCGACCTGGCGGAATGCTATCGTCTTTGCCGCTTCTCTATGTGAGAACCGCATATACCAAGGAGCGAGCCGGTACACGAGAACCGAGCGGCGGCATGAAGGACACCCACCATTGTCTTGGGTGCGGGGTACGATCAGATAGTGGTTGCCTCTCATGGTGCCGTGGGTGTGACAGGCGAGTATGTACATAGGTACTGTGGTAGGGAATCCTCCGGGGAGTCAACGGACAGGGGATGTATAGCCCGTAGGCGCCTGCCGAAGGATGTTACGCATAATGGCTGTGGAGTCGACTCCTAAGGAGGTTGCAAACCGGTCTTTCCCCGACCGCTGATACGAGATTGGGGTAAGGGCGGCAATGAGTTCCTGTCGAAACAGGAGAGCAGCCACATCAAACTAGACCCTCCAGGTGTTACACAAGCGCTCAGAGGGGCGGGTTGGCGGTCGTATGCAGAGAACTGTGCGGGAGCAGATAATCATGATGCTCGCTTAGTGCATACAAAGCTCCCGACACATTTTCGCAGAGAGATCAGTAAATAAGCCTGATTGTATTTGCTCGTCGTTGCGCGCCTTCTCGATTCTCGAGCCCGGAGGGGGTGCACGCGGGACCTGCTGGTCTCGTCCGCCAACCTTGATGGTTCGGCGGCCCCTGTCGCACGGATGAGACCCGCTGTCAGGTGGCTCCATAGAAGGTCCCAAGAAAGTTCTTTGCTGGGATGGCCTGTCCTGGCTAGCTGGCCCTGCCAGGCAGCTGAACACAAACTGGAACAACAAGTTGGGGGAGAAACGAGCAGGGCTGTAGAAGGAATTACACTAGGGTTCATACTACCTAGCGTACGGATACATACATACATACCAAGCTCCGACTGATACCCGGCAACTCCGCCTCACATGCTCGAGACATGGCGCATGTGCTAAAACACGCAGCATATAATGTGAAGTATCTCACTTAGGCAGACCGAGCCGTTGGTAGGAAGTCGGCCACAGTTGTCATGCAAATCTAAGAGGCATGGGTGCTTGGAAGCGCTTTCCGTAAGCCGTTTCTGAAGGGTATGTATTGTGCAACGGTTCCTCTTCTGGAAACCGGTCAAGTCACGGCCGCATGCTGTGGCTGCGGCACAGCAACGCGGGATGAGGGGTTGGAGGGGCAGCAACGCGGGGGTCGAGGGGATTGGATGGACATCGCGACGTTTCCAGGTTCGGTGGACGGAACAAGGCGGGCGAGCTTCGACCTGACATGCCACCTGCGGACGACGGGAGGGCCGCCAAAACGCAGGAGATCTTGAGCACGTTACTTGCAACATAATAAGACCGCCGCATTGAAGATGGCCGCGTCTCCTCTCACCGGTCCTCCAGGGCGGGATTGGAGGTGCGACTTGCCCCTCCACTGCCGCGTTTGTCCCCACCGTGGAGAAACAACGCGCCTTCCCCTTCCAGATCTGTCCAATTTCCCCTGGCCGGCGTCGTCCGCTAACCTTGCCCCCATCAGCAACATCAGACAACGGGGTGGGGCATCATCGTCCTGCTCATGTTGAACGGTCGAACCACATCGCCTGCGCGCCCCAAGACTCGACAACGCGCTCGGGCTCGAGGATCAGCAGCCGGCGGCAGTCTTGCTTGCTGTGTCGTGTCGGCTCGCCTTCCGGGACCCGGCACTCACCCCGCCACGCCGCAACGTCTTTTTTATCCGCCTTGTTCGACTTCCCAACAGGGCATCGCCGGCCCTCTCGGCTGAACCGTTGTCCTGTCGGAGCTCTAGTGTATGCAAGGTACCCGGCGCGGGCATCGGACGGCGAATGTGTGCTCCCCTGTGCCACGCCAGATTCGAAGGAGACTCTTCGCAAACCCTACCACTGCAGCACGGCGCGCGCGCGCCACTAATAAATCGAGGTCATCGTCCTCCGTCATTACTAGCGTCTTTGTCATCGTATTCGGCCGAGTCCGCGCCCGCCACTGGTTAGGCAAACCAAAGCTAACCCAGAGAGGCCTTTCGTGGTGGACTGTGCTGCCCCAAGCGTTTCTGCTCCCTCGATCTCTACCGGGCCAATGGTAGTGCGTTTGGGCATGTCTCATCCATGTCTGCAACCAAGAGAGCCGCCGGAATACACCATCCATGCAGCATAGCCAGCCAGTCACTCCATCCGTAACCAGAGTCGCTGTCTGTTTGGATGTCGAGGCCCTTTTCTGATTGACGTGCCGCCCAAAGGGAACACGATAACCAAGGTTGGTCGAAGGTTGACGGCTAAACGCTCACTTACACCGCTGTCTTATACCCCCATCAGGCCAGCAGACCCAGAAGAGGTTGCGACGCGCTTGCAAGGGAGCCGTATCAGGAAAACCACGGACGGCTCAGTGAGAAGCGATACAGGGAAGGCCCGGCCATGAGACCAATCCGTTCTTTTCGGTTTGTGGTGCTACTTGCGTCCATGATCCCATCGTGAGCAAAGGTCAGCTGCTCCACAAGCGTTCGCTGTCTATCCTGACAGGGGTCTTGGATCCAAGCGTTGCCAGGGTTGCTGGCGTTGGAGAATGGATACAGACCTTTCCAAGTCTCTTTCTTTGTCTTTGCGTCCTCTGCAGCGGCACAAGTAGTCCCAATCGACCTGGGTACTGTACACTGCCTTTTTGCGCTTGTGTGTTTGACGGTGGATGCGGTTGGGTTTCTCATGACGTTGCTGCTTGGCCAGGGCCGACTTCCTACACACCAAATTACACGCGAACGCTCGACCCATGAACAACCCGAGCCATCAGGGGAGTGGCGTGGACGTCTTGAAGGGAGTCGGAGAATTAGTGAGGCGTCGGCGAAGCACTCATATCCCATGTCCATTCCAGGATATCCCTCTCTTCGGCAGCCGGGTAGTCTGAATAAAGACCGCATATCGCTGGCCCGCCCCGTCTCTGGTTCACCGACCGCCAAACCATCTTCTATCTGTATTGAGAAGTCCAGCCGGCCGATCTACAACCCGTCTACCCGTTACCAGGCGCCTCCACACTAGTTTCCGCTTGCACTACAGCCCAAAGACCCCTCATCGCCCTCGTTTACCTCTGCAACGCATCTACAATCAGACTCCCGTTGCAGACCCACGTTTGACAAACGACCAGTTCAATCCGTTCGACTGTCACCATCCACCGCGGTGTTCCCAGATACTCCTGCTTCAAAGCTCAAATAGCCCGGGCTTCCCTCATCGTGGTTCGACTCTGGCAGTAACCGCACACTTCACTTCCCCAGGACTTACAACCGCGGTTTGGACCACAACCATTACCATCACAACCATTACGCACGCCAAACACTCCGCCTTTAGCTCATCCACTGGAAATCTGGGTGGCTGAACCCCCCGTCATCTCCTCGTGAGTGGCATCATCATGTTGTCACCACTGCCCGGCACTAACACGCCAGAAGCAAGGGGCTATTTCCCTTTTGAGGCACACCCGCATAGCACCAATAACAGCTAAACCGGCCTTAGCTTGGCACACGCTTCGATCCCAAGTGCATCGACAACTGGAGAAAAGAGATTCGGCACGACAGACAAGATGGCACTCGCCGGCCATTGTGCGCACTCTTTTATCATGATCAAGTCGGACAACACTTTGATCCAGTGGAGGTGCCAAGTCTGCCACAGTGGCCCCTTTTGGTTCATCTGGGAGTGTCGATACTGCCGGTTCCACACCTGTCGTTCTTGCATGGAGAGTGCCTAAGAGTGGGTGCCGTACCTGGAGGCACGTCGGATCGGTGCGTTTATCGAGGCTGGATCGGACGGAGGGGAGGAATAAACGGGCAACTCTATTCTGACTGCCGTGGCCAACCCAGTTGTCGTCAGAGTACAGGTGAGTTTCATCCTGACCACCACCGTGCAATACCGGCCGTTGAACGGCATGTCGGCCTGCGTCTCAGCGGCTCATGTAAACCGGCATCCGGCCGCGGAACTGTGCCCCTGCGCCGCGGCAGATTCCCGCTTGACCGCCCAATTCCCAACCCGTTTGCACCCAAAGAGACATTGGCGGCTGACAAGCGACAGGTACCCGCAAACGGCCGGAACGAACGGCCGGGACCCCCATGACATGCACCGTCAGACAGTGTTACACGCAACTCCATCGAAATTATGGTGCCGCCCTCCTGGGATACCCGCCCCCCCGTCAAACCGATCCTGCGGCGTCCCACCAGTCTGGCATCGGCTCTCTTCACCCAACTGCTTGGTACTTTCTGATCCACATCTTTGCTCCCTGCTCGGCATCACCCCTACAGAAAGCGACGGCAGGACCACGCTCCCTTGCATCTTTTCTTTCGTTACGTACGGGGAACCTTTCGGATAGAAGGACGTGGGTTACGGGGTTTTTCTTTTCCATCTCTACTGCTTTCCACTACTTGGCTTGGGGCGCGTGGAATAGACTGGATAGGGTTCATTACCCGAGGATGGACCACCGGATGGCGGATGGTACGGGACGGAACACTACAGGGAATGGGGAACGGGAGACGAGAAAGCGAACGGGGACATGGAAAAGTTAAGGGGGCCACAGGCGTCATCAGGAAGAAAACCATGATTCAAGGGAGCAGGGAAACTGTGCGTGCTGGTAGCCTCACCCCTCTCCTTCTTTCTGCTCGTCGGTTTGCTTTATCTCAGGGCGCGGTTGCTTTTTCTGCGTTTCGCGGAGTTACAGATCATATTTCCAATGGAATTTGTTTCGTCACTTGCCTGAGAGCATGCTTGACCGCCAATCTCCCTGACATGCCACACAGTGCCTGCTGTGTTGAAGTCACTCTGCACGACAACGCCCCAGAAGATCTCGTGCTGTTTGCAGCCAGGGAAACAAGCGTCTGGCTCAAACCGGGTTCCCATCCGAGAGGTGAAAGGCTAGCGCAATCTGAGCTGCAAACCTGGGACAGCCCGGTGCCACCGTGACATAGCTCGGTGCGGGTAATGGCTCCGATCGCATAGTGGGTTAGGTTGACGTCGTTATGTAGGTACTTTCGCACCTACTAGCTTCGGTTATCTGGCACGGCGCCCGAGGGTACAATACAATACATACGGGAGACTCGAGCAGACCCTGCGACCGCAAGGCTCCACGGTAGCTCCTTGTATTCTGTGCGCCGTCACACTAAAAACATCACGATCCGGCCGACCTGGGCTGTTGATCGCCCGGCCGTTGGAAGTCCCGGCGTTCTAGTCCGCATTCCGCCCGGACTTCCCGATTCAGACATTTGCCAGTGTCCGCGAGCGCTGATTGGTGCGTTGCAGGTTTGCAACTGAGTTCACTCTGTTTGCCGTCAGAATCGAACAGATCACATTTTCCACACCCTCCAGACATGAGCCTATAGCGGAAGAGGGCCCTAATCTCATTCGTGTCTCAGTGTCCTCATCGCTTGCGATTGCCCGGCCTGGCTTCGATCGACTTGGTTGGTTTGCGCGACCCTAGTACGCTGATACTTTGTTGTACAGTACGGCCGTACCTAGCCGCAACTCTTTCCGTGTGACGTGTCAGTCGCTGCCGGCATTTGTTCAGCCTCATGTTTCAGCGAGATCTGTTTGTCCTGGGCTCATGATAGTATCTGGGCTTCCGTCTGTCCTCCGGAATGTATCGGAAGGCAAGGGGATGGTGGTGCTGGGAGGACTCGAAGTCGACTTACGGCCTTAGTATCCCCGGCTGTCCTTCTCGAAGATCTCCCACGATCGATCTCCCGCCCGCGCTAGTCCCTGGCGGTGGGTAGTGGCCAGCTGTGCCTGAGAAACCGACATGTGAGAAGCGTCTCCTGCGACGATGCGCGTCCGTGGCGCTGCACCCCGCCCGTTCGGATCTAATTCCTGCCCTTTCCGGCCATGTGCATGCGCTAGCCCCGATCTGCGCGGACGTGCAGCTTGGCGAAGCAAGCCTCACACAGGCTCGCAGTGCCGACAGCCGGCGGCGGTAGTTGCAATCATGCGAACTCGGCTAACCTCCAGGAACTAACTAACGTTACCGTTTTACTGTCCCTCGGTCGAGCCGGAGGGTCCCGAAGCACCTGACACTGCCTGACCGTCCGGATCGGAGGAAGCCGGCGAGCGCACGGTTGCCGCATACGAAGGCATATTGAGAAAATCTGCCGTCCCTCCTCGGTGAGGACGCAGGCTTCATGCGTTCCTCTATCACACACTGCTTCCCGAGTGCGGGCGTCAAATCTGGGTGTGTCGCGAGTCTCAGCGACGCTAACGTCAACGTAATGTAGACATGTGAAGTCATAGGTACCAACCATCCTCCGAGTTGTTAACGCCGTGCCATTCCCAGCCTGAATTACGCCAAGCCGGACTTGAACTTCCGCGCCGAACCTTACTGGGCAACGTCGGCAGTCAAAGAAATTAGGGGATCGCGATATGCATGAGACTGCCAGCGACGCCAGGTCGGGCCACAGATGCTCAGGCGCTGAAACGAGACTCGCCGAGTTCTCGACGCGAACGCTGTAACGGCCCGCTGCGATATAGCCTGAAGGGTGGTGGCTTCGATCGACCGTGACGGCGGGACATCGGGCCTTGTACAATACAGCTAGCCTTAGAGCGAGCAAGGAGGCATATTGTGATTCCGGAGAGCTCCGGGTTGAAAACCGCCAAGCCGTGACTCAACTACATCGGGGAAGCGAGCGCCCTCTTTCCGGCCGCCGCTTGACTCTGCGAGCAGTGAGTCGACCAGATATCACGAACAGTATAGCACATTCTTAGAATCCCCTTGACTTCTCGGAATCACCAGGGTTACCAAGTCCCACAACCTGGAGGCAACCACTTTGGCGCGCATAGCCAAGGCTCGCCGTGGAAGAAGGCCATACTGGGCCTCGACACATCCTCGATCAGAACCGGTACCTCGAAATTGTCGGGAGGAGTGGCGGTTGGCATCCTTCGTCGGGGGAATGCTGAGTGGCCTGATGCTATGATGCACCTCTCATGCGTGTCCACGTTCGGTACGGCGGCAAGCGCGCACTATCACAACGAGCTGGTGCTTCAAGAAACGCCGGGGAAGCTGCGGATAGCCTGCTTGAATCGCCCTCCGTTAATGCAGTCGTGAGATCCTGGGCGGATCTTGCTTTGCGTCCTGGCGGCCCCTAACTTGTGATGTCGTAGCTATATCATATCGGACCGATAAAGTGATGCACACTCTGGAATTCCGTAGGTAGCCGGAATCACGAACATCATTACGGATATCCAGGACATCCTATAACATCGTGGGAAGCCCAGCATCCAGATTTGCAGGCGGGTGAACGCTAATGAGGTGATCCTTAGCCATGAGAGCATATAGGAGGTCGTCTCCGTCCAGCAACATTACCACCATATGGTCGGCCTAATGCCAGACTCCCATCATCTTCGCAGTGTGGCAGAGGGGTTTTTGACGCTTTTGAGGGCTGGTGCGATGTCGGAAATTGCAAGGCACAGTCAGGTTCTGAACTTCCTGCAGGCTGCAACTGGCGCGGAGGTGCGGGCACATAAGCAACCTGACACCCAGTTTAGGCTTAGCATGGTCCTGTGACCATATGGAGGGGTTCATGTTGGTTCGTTCCAGCCCAGCATTCCAGGGTTAGGGTAACCGAAACATAACCCGCCCCAACATCGCAAGAGCCAACTTAGCGCAAAAATGTAGCGCTACGATATGCTCGAGCGAGGACATCAAGGGTGCTAATAGGGAAGCAACAGAGGAGGTAACACGATTACCCCGGACTGGGGTAACGGCACCGCCTGGAGGTGACCAGGTGGAGAGCGAGACTAGGTAGGGCGCCCGCTTGTGCTCCCGGTCTTCATACACTTTCCCGGTCCATTTCAGGCCCGTATAATATCTATAATATCTACTTGGGGCCATGACACTTCTGACACTTCTGACACTTCTGCAGAGGAAAGCACCCACGCAACCAACCCAATACTCATACCAACGGAGACCTGGAGCCTTGAGTTACTAGTAGGTGTTTGACGGGGAGTGGCACGGGCGGCCCGAGTGGATATTGCGGCGCAGAGACGACCGGATATCCCAGTCACAGGCAACGCAAGGGACCCGACAGCACGGTATCCGTTTTGTAGGCAGAGAGCTGCTGGCGTTAATCCGCCGACCTCTCTCTCCGGTCGTGAGGATCTGAAGTGTACTATCGACTATCTGACGGCCAGCGCCTCTAAGCCTACTAGCTCGCATTATTTCTTTTTACCCTTGCCAGCCAAAAGCGAAAAGCAGGCAACGACGACACTGCCCCACGCGAGGAGGATGCGCAGGCACTGGTTTCGAGGAGTATTCAGCAAGGGTAGGTCTCTGGCTTCTGTGAAACAACATGGCCACGGTGACAGCCAGGCTCCGAGAGAGTAAACGAGGTATATAAGGTATCATAGCTCTACTACATCTACGTCAGCGTTGTTCTCCGACATCACTCCCACGATTCGTACATCTACAACACTGGCCATCTGCCTACAGTTGAACTCGCGCATACCGAACATCTATCACGACCTTGTCGACCGACGCTATCCAACTTTCAACATGCCTCAGTGGGGTTCTTGCACTAACTGGTGCACAAAATGCAATACATCCTACACGGTCCCTGTACCTGAGGGGGTGGCAGGCTGGTCGCCCCCTTCCCACAGCGAATACAATCCCAATGCCGAATGCGCAAGGCCGAAGAAGAAGGACAACAATCAGAGCCAGGGGACTTCGAAGGGCGGTTCGAAGCCCACCTCGCAGCGCAATCCGAATTCGAAGCGCTAATTCACTGGCCTCCTTGAGGAGGAATCAAGGAAGAAGCCACACCAGAATAATTGAGACTGTGTAAAGTCAACTGTCAATCGTCGGGTGTTTCAGGGGGTCTGGTTATCTCTGCTGGTAGGGGAGAGGAAGGGGATTAGTCGCCGGAGGGTTGTGAGTTTTAGGACGACGCAAAGCTGCACTGCTGGTCAATGGAGCATCATTATTATCTTTGAAAACACTGCGTTGCCTCAGGCTTGAAAGTGAAGCCGGTTCGTCCTTTTGAGCCGGCCTCTCTCGTGCTTTACGACGGCCCGGGGCATTCATCATGCCCAGATGTCGCTCTTCGACAAGCGAGTCCTCGTTCCTGGCCAGCGTAGAGATACAAAGCCTCTTCCAAATCCGTTGTGGCGTCTAGCTTCTAGGTTATTCTCATCGACGCAGCAGGTGGCTGAAAATTCCGGGATGATGAATCCAGGTCGATGTACCCCTCGGGTCCTCGGTCGAGTATCGACGGGGCCCAGAGAAATTCCAACTTCTACTGAGAGCTTTACACCTTCAAGGCGTGCGCCATACGGGTGAACTTGGCTTCTCAATGACAATCGCATATCACAGTATACCCTCTCTTGGGGAAAGGCGTTCTGGATTGTGGCATGTCTACCGCGATGGAAGCCACCCTTGCCGCCAGTTCAACCCTTACCCAGACCCGCTTCTGAGCTCCACTGGCAGTCTAGCAGACCCACCTGAATGGAGCTGAACAGTGGGTGGTTCCGTGGGACCCATCGACGACTACACTCTGGTAACGTTAACTTTAACCTTAACATCGTGTCGTTGCTTGCTCTCTGGCAGCATTCTCAGTATGTGGAGGGGTTGCCGAAGCAGCGCGACACTTGTGTGCCCCGCCATTTTGTGCTAACGCCGTGCTTGCCCGCCAGCGCCAATCCGCCTGGCTGTTTGAGCAGATCGAGCCGCTGCGATGGCATCGAGGAGGGATATGGCGATGACGACAAGATCGGTGAGCATCGGCAGTGTCATTGGTACCACCCATGTCAAGCCACCTTTGCCTAAGCTTCTGCTGTAGCACTTACTACTTACTGGCCAAGGCGCAGACCTTCCAGGTTAGAAGCTTCAGCCTTGGAAGAAATTCCATGCTCTTCATATGTGAGTTACGACACCGACCTGGGGACATGTACAGGCTGATGAAAAAAATGTCACCGTCAGCCAGTCAGGCCGGTTCACGTGGCGGCTGTTTCATGCTTCAGCCGCCTCTAATACCGCATCTCATGCGACCCGAGGCGGCACATGGTTTCCCCCTTTGGCCGCTTGATGTCGCACAGGGACCGCCCTGCAGACCCCTGCTTCTGATGTATCGGGCAGCACCCAAGGTCCCAAATGTCGTATTAGACCGCCGTGCTTGCACAAACGCCGACCTTTGCGTCATCGTCATACCGATCTCTGCACGTCTTCCATGGCAGGCAGCCATACACGGCCTTCTCTCCAGACTGCAGTGTACACTCGCGGTGGGTATTTCCCCGCCAAGGTCCCTTCTCCGGGTTACCCCAGGTGCGGCCATGGCCCCCCCTCGTGGCCGCTCCTCGTGAAGCGCATTGCCATCCGAACCTCGGTAGCTACACCGCGTGGTGCGCTTTTGGATCGGCGATTCGACTGGCCGCTTGACGGCGCCCACCAACTTGGAAAAGTCGGCCCTGCCCAGCAATGGCTTCCCCTCAACCGGCCGGACTATCACAGGGGTTCCCTATAGAGCTTCCTGTTCTGGTCGTTTCGCAGCATGAATGACCTCGGGCTCTCGGAGGGCGGTGTTGGACAATTTGGCCGAGTGGCGCCGGCGCACGCCGCTCTTCTGGGGACTCATTCGTCGCTTCTCGCGGAGGACGTGTTTGTTGTGATGATTGACAGCTGGCTCACAGCCAGCTATATATAACGGGATACCCCCCAGGCTCTTGGCTCCTTGCTTCTGCATATCCATCTCGCACCAATACTGATTCTCACAATGGTTGCTCTACCTTGGGGCGTTGCCGCTGCGCGCGCTCTTCCCTTGACCTCCCGGGCAGCGAACTCGGCTTACGCGGATAGCTCTATGCTCGCCGCCCAGGCGCTGCAAGGCTGGTACGATGCAGCTAGCGGCCTCTGGAGCACGACGGGTTGGTGGAATAGCGCGAACTGCCTGACTGTCCTCACCGACTGGGCGTCGCTCTCTCCGCCGGGAGCTGAGAGCCTGAACATCCCCAACATCATCTCCACCACCTTCAACAATGCCCAGCGGGTCTCCGTGACGACGCAGAAGACCCTCTCTGCCAGTGGCATGGTCACATCCAACTACACCATCCAACCCAGCGACACCAACAAGCGGGGGTTCTCCAACTTCATCAACGACTACTACGACGACGAGGGCTGGTGGGCGCTCGCGCTCATCCGATCCTACGACGTGACCCGCCAGCAGGCCTACCTGGACAAGGCCGAGAGCATCTTCCAGGACATGCAGGCCGGCACGGACGGCACCTGCGGCGGCGGCATCTGGTGGAGCAAGGAACGCGCGTACAAGAACGCCATCGCCAACGAGCTGTACCTCAGCGTGGCGGCGAGCCTGGCCAACCGCGTGCCGAGCAAGAAGCAGCAGTACACGCAGATCGCCAAGGACGAGTGGGCGTGGTTCAAGCGGAGCGGCATGATCAACCGCGACAACCTGATCAACGACGGCCTGACGATCAACGCCGACGGCAGCTGCGCCAACAACGGCATGCAGACGTGGTCGTACAACCAGGGCGTCGTGCTGGGCGGGCTCGTCGAGCTGGCCCGCGCGACGGGCGACTCGTCGTACCTGCAGGAGGCCACCGCCATCGCCCGGGCCGCCGTCGCCCTCCTCAGCGACGGCGACGGCGTCATCCACGAGGTTGACAGGTGCGAGCCGGACTGCGGCGCCGACGGCAGCCAGTTCAAGGGCGTCTTTGTGCGCAACCTGCACTACCTGCAGCAGGCGGCACCGCAGGACGTGTTCCGGACGGCGATCCAGAAGAACGCCGACTCGATCTGGGCGAACGATCGCAATGCGCAGAACCAGCTGGGCATTGCGTGGACGGGGCCGGCGGACGCGGGCGAGGGGCCAAACGCGTCGACGCACAGTTCGGCCATGGATGTCATTGTCGCGGCGTTGGCGGTAGTTTAAGGTGGTAGGTACGGAGTAAGCGTTGAGGAGGAGTCCTGGGGGGTTCTCGGGGTGACGTCGAAGGCTGGAATCGATGGTTTTAAACTTTTAGTTATTACTTATATGTCCATGTAGATAGTGCCAGTTTAATTCACGGTAGTTTCTCTGATGCTTTGCCACGTCCTTCATATTGTCACTACTAGTACTGTTTGGTTGCAATGCCACTGTTGTTCTGGTTCAGTGCACACTGCACTGCTGGTGCCTGATAATTAAATCGTCACTTGCCGTCAATCCCAATCAGAGGCACACTCGAGGCACATCAACCCTGGGACCCACCTCACCGTGAAACTCACTTCACCTCACAACGCTTCAATAAACGCTTCAACCATGGACGCGCCCGAGGAAGACCTCGACATCAAACTGCAAAAGATCTCGGGCGATCTCATCGCCGACTTTGACAAGTCGCTTCGCCCGTTTCTCAGAAGACAGGATGCCGCAGCGGCGGCACCCGTCCGGTCGCGGGTGCGGACCCGTGAGACCGAGCGGCTGATATCTTCGGTGAGCGAGTCCACCGGCGGCACCACCACTACTTTCAGAGCGGCGTTAGATTATTGACATGGCAAGCCCAGCTGCTGGAACCCTTCCAGGAACTACCGCAGCTCCTGGACCCGCATCTCCCGAAGTGGCTCCCCCTCCTGGGCGACGCATTCCTCGAGTACCAGCTCAGCCGGCGCCGACCGTCGTTGTCGGCGGCGGCGGCGGCCCGCGTTTCCACGCGCTCCGAGCTGCTGATGCCGCTGCCGCGCGCCATCTGCAAGCTGGTCTACACCTTCTGCAAGATCCGCGGCGAGAAGGTCGTCGTGCGCTTCCTCAGCAACGAGGCCCGGTACCTGGAGCTACTGCTGTCGGCGCTGGAGGAGTCATCGGGGCAGCAGCGGGCGGGCGTCGACGTCGACGACGACCAGCCCGTGGCGGCGCGGTGGACGTGGGAGGAGAGATATGTCGTGCTGCTGTGGCTGTCGCACCTCATGTTTGCGCCGTTCGACCTGTCGACCATCTCCTCGCACGAGGTGGAGGAGGAGGAGGACGAGCTGGTGCGCATCCCCGGCTTGCAGTGGCCGGCCGGGCTGCCGAGCATCACGACGCGGATCCTCCCGCTGGCCATCCGGTACCTGGCGTCGCCCGGAAAGGAGCGGGATGCGTCCAAGGCGTTGCTGGTGAGGATTGCTATGCGCAGGGACATGCAGCAGCTCGGCGTGCTGGATGCCCTGGTCCGCTGGGCCATGGCCGCTCTGCGACCGGCCGATGCGGCGGCCGAGCGGACGCCGTACCACTACATCGGCGTGCTCTCCTTTCTGGCGGGCATCTTGGTGTCGTCGGCCGATACCTCGGACATGGACCGGTATCTGGCCACCATCTTCCACACGGTGCACGGCATCGCGGCCGAGGGCGACAAGGCAGGATCCGCGTTGTCGTCGGCCCTGGCACGGAAGACAATGATCAAGGTCATCAGAGCGATTACCGTTCTGATCTTGAGGCGCGAGCAGGACATGGCGGGCATGGAGATTGTGGAGACGACCATCGGCTTCCTGCTGGAGAGCCTCGCGGATAACGACACGCCGGTCCGGCTGGCGGCAAGCAAGGCTCTGAGCATCATCACGCTCAGGCTGGACCCCGACATGGCTTCCCAGGTAGTCGAGGCTGTGCTCGAGGCCCTGAACCGGAACGTGCTGCGGGTGAAGAGGCCCCAAAGCCCAGGCGCTCCACCGAAGAGGGACCTGAGCATGGTCGACCCGCTGGAGTGGCACGGCTTGATGCTTACGCTGTCTCACCTGCTGTATCGCCGCTCGCCGCCTGCCGAGAACCTCTCCGATATCGTCCATGCGTTGCTCATGGGGCTGTCGTTCGAGAGGCGGAGCACTTCGGGCAGCTCTACGGGGGCAAACGTCAGAGATGCGGCGTGCTTTGGCATTTGGGCTCTGGCGAGGCGGTACACCACGCCCGAGCTCCTGGCCGTGTCGGCCGAGCATCTAAGCGCCGGAGGAGCCCGCTCCGGCGTATCCATTATACAGATCATTGCTACTGAGCTCGTTGCTGCCGCCTGCGTGGACCCCGCGGGGAATATCAGGAGGGGGTCGTCGGCTGCTTTGCAAGAGCTGATTGGCCGCCACCCAGACACCGTCGAGAAGGGCATCTGGGTCGTCCAGACGGTTGACTATCACGCTGTGGCCCTGCGGTCCAGGGCGCTCCAGGACGTCGCCCTGGGCGTGACCAAGCTCTCGAGCCAGTACGGAGAAGCCATGCTAGAGTCACTCTTGGGCTGGAGAGGGGTGGGGGACGCTGACGCAGCGTCCAGGCGGGCCGCCGGCGTCTCGTACGGTATGATCACGGCTAAGTTGGCCTCTACTGACACAGACCCGATCCAGCGACTGATGCGGTCTGCAACGCTGGTCCTGGACGGCATCAAATCACTCGAGGCTCGCCAGGTCGAAGAAAGGCACGGGCTGTTGCTCAGCTTCGCGGCTGTGCTCGACGCACTTCCCGGAGGTGCAGGTACCCGGAGAGATCCCGCCGTCGAGGCGTTCGTCCGCCTCGCGATGGATGCTCTGCTGGATATTCTCCAAGATTGCAACACTAAAACCTACCGCAAGCCGGAGCTCATTGCTGAAGCGGCGAGCCGACTGATCATCTCGTCGTTCCCCATGCTCCAGGCAGCCACGTCGACCGCCAGCAGCCTGCTGCCTGGGCACTCTCTCGCGACCCGGAGCGGCGCCGAGCTGGCCAAACTGGTGGACTCGGTCGGCAGCAGAAGCGAAACCCTTCGCTCTTTTGTTAGTCTCGTGAGATCCAATCTACAGAGGTGGCTCGTCTGGCCGGAGCTCGACATCGTCGAAGCCGCGTCGGACGCTGCCGTCATCCTGATGATGTTCTGCAGCGACGCGGAGCGTGACGAGGCGATCCGGGGATGGGCCGACGCCGCGCGGGAGCGCCAGTCATCCAAGACACGCACAATGAGCGGCCACTTCTCGGCGCTCGCCGCGGTGTATCCGCTCGCGTCGACGCTGGCCCTGGAGGAGGACAAGACGCTGATCTGCGACGCCATCACGCAGCGCTGGAGGAACGACAAGGACACGGACACGAGAGCATGCATACTCCAGAGCCTCACAGGCAGCGAGCTGCTGAAGCAGAACACCGACGTCTTCCTCGAGCTCGTGGCCGAGGGCCTGGACGACTACTGGACGAATGCTCGCGGTGATGTGGGCTCTCATGTGCGGTTCCAGGCGATCAGGGCGACGAAGTCGTTATGGGAACGGCTGGACGAGGGGGATACGGAAGCCAAGGTGCCGCTGGTGTCGGTGCTGTTCTTGCGCATCCTACGACTGGCGGCCGAGAAGCTTGACAGGGTCCGGGCCGAGGCGCAAGCAGCGCTTGCTGTGGTCCTGAAGCCGAGGTAAGTCAGTCTCTGGGGGTCGGCCCGTGCAGGTGCTGATTTTTCAATAGCCAAGCTGCCGAGCTGCGCCGGTCAACGTTCTCGTCCAAGTCGTACTTTCTGTTCCTGCTCGACCTGCTGCAGCAGGACTGGCTGCATGCTGCCGTGTCCGACCTGAAGGCCGACCCGGAGCGGTGGATGGATGCTCTGATGTCTGGCTTTGTGTCGTCCGCCGACACCGGAAACGAGGAGTTGGTCATCGCAACGCGGGCCGCGCTGTGCGAGTTCTGTGAGCGATCCGCCGCCAACACGGATGCCGTCTGCGCTGCGCTGGCCCGGAACCTGAAGGCCTGGCAGGGGACAGACCGGGTACTTGTCTCGACGCTCGAGGTGGCGGCCTTCCTGTTCCACGTCGGCATATTCGGCCGGTGCACGGGCGTCAACTACAAGAACCTGTGTCTGCAGGTGCAGAAGGCATGCTACAAGACCGGCAACGTCCGCAAGATCGAGGCATGTATCAGGGTCTACGGGGCAATCGCAGCACTCGGCCGCGATGTCATCCCTACGGCGCACGCCGGGGATGGCGGCGATCCCTCGAAGAGGCAGGAGGGAGCTCGGGAGGCTTGCATCCGACTCGGCGCCTTGATGTTTCACCCCTGGCCGAGGGTCAAGAGCATGGTCGTCGACGAGCTCTGGGGTCTTCGTCACGACGATCCGGCCGCGCAAGGCCTCAAGAGCGTCGACTGGGGAAGGGCGGAGAAAGAGAAGATCAGGGCGGTCGTGGAGGCTTTGGCTCTGGCCTAGCTTACACTACTGTGGTACAATACCTACCTTAGTCAGGCGTCTCCGCGGAGCACGCACGACCTGCAGCAGCAGCACCCCTGGCCCGGCGGAGCGGGGTCCGAACCAATCGGAAGCATCATATTATAAGGAGCTTAGTTGATCGCGGACAGCAGCTGCCAATGGAAAGCGCGGATGCGCATCGAATGAGTTGCTTGAAGTTAGTCTACCTTGCGAGCTTTGCCCAGCCATCCTGATTGTCATGTTTTCCGGATTTTCGCGTTGAAACGGTTGCTGTTGTGCCCCTCGCTGCTTGCTCTCGAGACAAGAAGGCCACGTCAATCGCGCACATGGCAGGCCTGTCTAGCGCTGCGGTGGAGTGAGGTAATTGTGCCCATTCGGATTGCGAGGCATGTTGCCGCGGAGCGCGCCAAGGCCGGCCTAACCAATTGCTGCAGAGAACTTTTTCTGATTGGCGCGGGCCTCTCCCAGCGTCGCCCACTGGCAGTCGAGCATCGTGAGTCAGCTGGTCAAGAGACGCTCATCAAAAAGATATGCAAACATCTGCTGGTTTGCAAACGACCAGGGGGGATCTTTTTTTCTCGGTCGTTGCACCGCTTCCTTAATCAGATTTGACAAATCTTGCGCACAAGGCGACCATGACGTGCGTTTGTGGGCTGGCCGCAGCCAACAGTCGAACCACCACCCGGCCGGCCCGGGCTCCAACATTGAAGCCAGGTCGCCGATTAATATATGATCGAGGTTGCACTGAGAGCGGGAGGGGGGCCATGGCAGTGGCAGTCCTCTTTTCCGCCCCCAAGCCGTTCGCCCCCCTCCCTCTAGCCCTATTTTCCCACGTGCGAAGCCTGTCGAGGCAGTTGAGCGTGAGCCTGAGATGAGGGCAGGCACTCCGTGAGGGCTTTCGCATGTCCTCGCTGAGAACTTGGAAGTGGTCGATCACGCTATCATCAATGTGCCGCCCAAGAGGGATAATTCCAGAGCATACACTAGGTACGCCACTGCAGCAGACCGCAGAGCTCAGCACAGGTCAAAATGCGGGATCGAACCGAAACGGACGAGATCTAGCCCCCCGCAGGTTCCTCCGAGATACATAGGTACCTAGACATTGGGCGTCAAGAGGCGTCAGCACCTCTCGCATGAGGCGGCATCTTTACTGCGGGCTTGTCAGACGGAACAATTTCCGCTCCTCGGCACGTAGCGAGAACTGCCATCTCAAAATCTCGACGATTGCCGGCTGGCTAATGGCCACTATGGATGAAATCTGGGGTTGCGCTGAGCGTGCTAAAAATTGTCTGGGTAGGTAGGTAGGTTTACAGGTGTTGTTGGAACCCCGTGCTGTGCGTTGCTGTGGTCGTGCGGGACGTGATGGAGCTTCCCTCGTGTGACGACCGCCGTTCATTGTCGTAGTGGACAGGTGAGGGCTCAACCTGCAGCTCATCTGCACCGTCCTGCGTCGACAACACACCCCGCCGGTGCCGAAAGGGGAAAATCTTAGCGTGGCTGGCTGGGCTGGGGAGTGGACCACCTCAGTTGCTTTTCGCGCGTTGAAGCGGCAGATGCAGGTTCGCGATCCTCAGGAATCGAGTGTTCAACTTTGGAGCGCTTTGGAGTTGCTCAGAAGCCGGAAGCTGGACGTTGCTACAACACAGGCCGAGAGCCAACCGCTGAGATGCCCTGAGTCAGCCATATGGAGTCCTTGGTCAGGTACACAAAGGAACGGCTTCGGCCAAGAAGGCTGGCGCGACTTGGCAGCTTCTCATCAGCCCGGCAGAGGTTAGGTACTGGAGCTGCCGCAGGGCGTTGACCGAGAGTAACACGCTTCTCGGATTAGATATAAACCTCTGAACCGACAGAGCTGTATCTGCTGTGGCATATCGAGCTTGAGCAACCAACTCTACGACAGTATACGGATGGTGGTGTGGCGCGTGCCTTCTGCGGGACGCAGGTCAGGGCGATGATGTGGTTAATTAGTTATATTATTCTCGGTTAGAGGACAAGTACTAGACGGGGTTGGAACTGATACTCTAGATCCTCCTACAGCGTGGTGCGTGTGTCATGATCTTTGCGGTCTTGCCAGACCTCTCTGCTTGCCATGGCCTCGATCAAGCGGCAACCTGCCACAGATCTCAGACGAGATGCGTTGACGGCCGGTGCCGAAAAGACAGACGAAGCGAGGAATTGCAATCTCGCATGTTGGAAGTCTCTTGTGACCCACGTTGGCCAATACGGATGAAGGTGCTCGAGCGGTTTTCCAATGGAGATCCCGCCCATATGCAATGTTCTTGCCAACAGGCCCATCGACAATATGGGAAACCGACGTCGCACACACGAGCAGTTGCACCTGATCGTATACCGTCAAATAGACATTCAGCAGCCCTAGGAGGTCAATCTAGCTCCCGGTTACACGGCGTCCACGCGTCCCGGACGTTGCGGAAGATCCGCGTCAGGGCGAGCGCGCAAGACAATGAGAGACAACGGGAAGCCCGTCCACGCCCATACGCCACGCGGAGATCGGGAGTATCGTGCCATCGTCTCGATGCGGTCCGAGCCTCTTCGGAAGGGCCCCTAGTAGACGCCCATCACCTCGATCACCTGCACGGTGTTGCGGAGCCTAGACCTCAACGCCGGCTGTGGCGTCCGATCTCGACAACGGTGTCACGCCCTTCTGCATTCTGGCAATAGGGACCTGGTTATACCTACAGTACCTAGCTGCCATCTTGGAGCTGTGAGGCAGGTTCCCAATGCCGACGTTGGGAGCCGGCGCTCACTACCATCCGGTGTATCCATAGGCAGGGCTCATACTCAAGGACGTCCTGTTTTGAGTGCTCGCATGTCCACTGATGCTGTCCCGTCTGCTGTTGGCGCGCTCGTCGAATTCACTTTTTAGCACCAACCGCCCTCATCAGATCAGAGCGGTGCTACAGAGCAGATAACCTCGGCGGATGGCGGATGACACGCCGGATCGAGGGGCCAATTCCCGCGCGTGCAGACAACCACTGCCACCTCCCTCCACCCTGCGACCTGCAGCCAAGGGATTGGCCCCCGCTCTGCATTTTTTCGATTTCCAGACCGCCTTTGAGGAAGTTCGGACGGCCCGCCTATGCCCGCCCCTGCCGTCGCACACTTTCTGCATATGTATTCGTGCGTAAAGTCTCACAAAATGCCACCTTTCGAGACCATCGAGGGTCCGGGCGAGGCGGTCATCGGTTCGAGTTGAGCGGGCGGACGGTCGGATCACTGCAGGCGGAGGAGGAGCACACATTGAGCGGCTGCTAAAGGCCCGTTCACTGCCTACGGTTGTAGTATATTCCGTAGAAGTGCGGGAGAAGGTGGGTAAAAAAGGCAGAGGGAACAGGGGATGCCCACGAAAAATACCGTGTTATTTGGTGCGCTCGTAATAAGTTAAATGTACTGTCATGATCGGCATGCAGCAGAACGAGGTGCAGGACCTGGCTTGGGCGGACGGAAGAAGAAGGATGGATGTGTCGGAGCTGCCCGCAAGCCGCCAATTGCAGCAAAAAAAGCGGCGTCTTCCCACACTATGTATACTGCGGAGTTTCCTCCGCTGCTGCGTGCCTGACTGGTGCTTCTTCCTTTTGCCTCTTCCCCAACAAACAAACTAGCGAGTGAGTTGTCCGTCTGGCCGAAGGTTGATGGTAAAACCCCGAGGTTTCCCTCTAGCCTCTCCCCCACACTTTCCCACTTGGTTGCCGAAACCTGCCACGCTACCCGGGCTGTCCGGCTTGCTTGGCTCGACAGGTGACAACTGTTTGGTTGTGGTGGGTAAGAAAGGAAGAAAGACAGGCCATCCTGGCCACGGCAGAGCAGTGGACGACTGGACCCCCGGCGGCCACTCCGCTAATCGACTAATAAACGGCGCTAGCTTCCCCTGGGCCGCGCGACAAGGGCCAAGCAGGCAGTTGGAGGTTTCCACGGACGACTGCCCGGTTGCAGAAGGAAAGTCTCGCGACCACGTCGACACCTCATACCACCGGAATTCACCACCACGTTCGACCGTTATCGCCAACGCAGGGAAGACGACGATCTGAAGGCGGCTCGGAGATTGTAATTCGGGCGAATTTTTTGCTTCCCTCCAACAGCTGCATCGATTACCCCCAGCCGCTCATTCTTTCCCACTTCATGTTTATGGTGTTGGAAACCCGACTGAGCTCGACACACGATATTTTTTGCATCGGCGCGCCACCCCCGAACACAGGGTCTCCGATTCCCCGCCCCGGTTTCCCAGCACCGGCGTCGAGGGTACTCGCATCTTCCAGCGTGCTCGCGTTAGGGGCGTGCCCGCCTAGCGACGCACGCACCCGCTGTTCAAGACGGCGCACGCATCTAGGTTCGCCCCTCTCGGCGGAGAGGAGGAGAATCTCGCGATGGAGGCGCTCAAGAACCTGATTACCAACGTGCCGGACTGGCTCAAGCGGCTCGACGAACTCAACGGGCAGATCGAGCAGCGCCAGATCGAATTGGCCCGGCTGACCGAGGAGACCAAGGCCAGCTCGCCCGACGGAAGAGGCTCGCCCGGCAGCTGCGCCAGGTCCGTGCGGAACAAGGGATCGACCGAGTCGCTCAAGCCGCGCGACGAGCCCGAGGCACACCCGCGCGACCCGCAACCATCGTCTGACACCGACAATGACGCCGAAAAAGCCGCCGCGGCTGCGGCCGGCGCTGCAGCCGCGAGGGCCAGCGCCGCACAACCGGCAGCGCCGTCCAGCCCATCCGACGCACAATCGCCAACTGCCCTGCAGGTGCAGACCGCAGGCCGGGCCCGCGCGCGGGCGACGCTCCGCAAGCGACAACGCACCGACTCGATCGTCAGCGCCGAGGGCGCGACGCCCAAGTACCGCACGCGCAGCATGATCATCGTCTACTACGATAGCTACGTACAGGCCTTTTTCGAGGACCTCGTCAAGTTCGTCAGCGCCAGCCGCAACATGATGCGCAAGGCCAAGATGGCGGCCAAGGTTGCGCGGATCAAGCGGCTGGCCGAGCTGGAGATGCCGGATGAGGAGGAGGAAGAGAAAGACAAGAAGCCCACACCACCACCACCACCAACAACAACAACAACAACAACACCAGCATTAGCAGTCGACGACGCGCCGATCGCAGCCGCCGGCCCCAAGGATACTACAGCCCAGGAAGAGGAGCCGCTCGCGCTGCCCTTCGTAAGCACACGACGCATGGGCCCCGGCCGTGCCGGGATGTATACGCGCGCCGGCTCCCGCCGGAATCCCGCCTCCGCCGGCATGGTCGGCCCAGACGGCAAGCCGGTCCCGGGGGACGTCTACGACGAGCTGGACAAGGGCTTGGACTACGTGCAGAGCATGTGCGAGCACGCGGCGCACCAGTTCCTGCGCGACGGCGACTGCGGCGAGGAGGTGGCCAACATCAAGCGCCGCCTGGGCGAAGTCAACGAGCTTGCCGACAAGGAGATGGAGCGGGTCCGCCGGGAGGAGCCCGAGACGCTGCTCAAGATGGCCGAGGAGGAGAATGGCGCGGGGCTGCGCGGGCGGAGCTACCGGCCGCAGAGCATGCGGCGCGACGTGACCAAGCCTGCTTCTCCTGCTTCTCCTGCTGCTGCTGCTGCTGCTGCTGCGATGGCAGGTGCGGCGCCGCTGGAGGTGGACGAGGGCGTGCAGGATGTGGACGGCCAGGAGGCGGCGCCTCAGCTGATGTACAAGAGCGCGCGGATGATGGCGTAGGGTTGGTTGGTGTGGCGGTTGCACCGCGCGAGGCGGGAGTCGGAGAGTTTTCACGGGAGATATTATGCGCGCAGCCGGATACGGGGTACCGTGGATATCTTCCGAAGCGGTTGTGCTGCGTTGCACGATGTGGCTATCCTTGTGGGGGGGAGGAGAGCCCTGCGCCAGAGTGTGTTTACGCGGGAGCAAGGTCCCTGGGGGAAAGAAAAGGGCGAGATACCTCCGCATCGCCTATCATAGTGACAAGATGGGTCTGCCGCTACGGATCTCACATTACCAGCATTGATATCGGGTTATGTTTACATAAGGTACACAGCAAGCGAGCGCGTCCCATTTTTTACGCAGGCCAGGAGCGGGTTAGGAAGTCAGTGTTTTGCTTATTTCTACAGGGAGGACTCGTTCGTTTTTACGGCACGGAACGGAAGGGGGAATGGTTAGGGCAAAAAGCCGGATATCTCGACATCGTTGGCGTCATCATCATCACACAACATCTGTTTTAAGGAGCGTTGCGTTGCGTTGCGTTGGTCGTGAGGATGGAACCGGCAGGCTCAACGAGATCTATTCGCAGCGCCCTGAGCCAGAATATCCGTATCTTACATATCCGGACACATAATATACTGGTTCTTGTTGGACCGAGTGAGGCATCGCTGATCCCATCTGAGTCACTTGAGTCCGTCGTCGGATGGCCTCATTTCCTGCAGGCTCACCGGTCGAAGACTCAACCAACACACTTCAAGGCGGTTGAGGACGGACGGACCGGCATCGGCGGCCCGCGGAATGTGGTTGACCGCCCCTTGCACTGTGCCAACTGTGCAACGGTCATGCTTCTTCAAGCGTCTTCAAGAACCAACAATGCTTTCTAGAAACACAGAAATGCAACCTCGTTGCAAGGGCCCTCCATGTCGTTCCACGATGAACCGGCACTAGGCACAACAACAAATGGAGCTGGCTTTCCCCCAGGAAAACCGTGGTTGGGGCGGGCGGGCTGGTGCAACCGTTTGTGACAGCCCCCCGGTGGCCTCCAACCAAGCCGGGCCGAATAGCACGTCAGGCCCTTGCCTGGGCCCGAGCTTGGCTGGTGACAGGTCAACAGGGGCGCGATCCTCCTCCGTTGCACCCATGAACAAAACTGCCGAGCCTTGTCTTACACTATCAGTGTAAGTTGGCTTCGTCCTGCACGTCTCCCGCAAGCTCGGCCGGTGTGGATGCATATCAGAGAGAAAACGTAGGCACAATGCACGGCACGTCGTGCGGTCAGCGGCTGATAGCCACACCGCCTTGTGATGCAATTCTTGTGTGAACTGCTGCCAGCGAAGACACATGCTGTTGGGTGAAGGGGAAAGTGAGGCGGCTCCGGCTCCGGCTCCGGCTCCAGGCCCGCATCCCCTTCGTGCGCCTGCGCCCCTCGCCTATTCCACTCGACATCCTCCTCAGCCGTCCAGGTCACGCTTTAGACATACAGCCTCGGGCCTAGCCCCATCTCCTTCAGCCTTTCCCTCTGCTCGCAATACCCACACTCCTTATCCCGCTCTCCCACGGGTACGAGCACCGATAAGCAGGGCACTCCCCGGCCCAGTGATGCGGCAAGCCCCTCCAGTTCCACCGCTTGACGCTCTCCATCCCGCCGCGCGCAACCAACCACGCTCTACGCGCGGGGCGGCCGTCCCCGGTCTCCGCGCTAGGCGACAGGCTGAACAGCTGGCTCGGCGCGCGCCACGGCACCGGCATGCCCGCGAAGCGGTCCCAGCGGTAATCACACTCCCATCAGAGCGGCGGCATGGGCGACGCGGACGCGCGCCACCTGGGAAAGGGCACGCGCACGCGGGGCGGGTTGCGCAGCACGACGAAGCGCCAGGCGCGCACCGCCCAGCGCACGATGCGCTCCAGCTCGGCGCGCTTGTCCTCGGTGGTCTCGAAGTCGATGGCCAGAGTGTGCAGGCAAGGGATCAGCGCGATGGCGGTGGCCCAGGACGAGTATTGCGGGCGCAGACGACGGCCCGGTGGTTGTGCCATGGTGGCTTCCATGCCCGACTTGTTCGGGAAGCCGTCCCAGTTGGCAAATGGGTTGATGGCCAGCGGCCAGTTGAGGTCGTGGTACTGCCAGTCTAAGGCGCGGATGCTCAGGTGGAGGACGCGGATGGTGTCGAAGAGGCGTAGCCGCGGGGGCTGGAAGAGCGAGGAAGGGTAGTGCCGGAGCACGCAGGTCCGCCAGAGGAAGGAGTCGCGCACCTGGGCGACGAAGTTGCGGTGCAGCCAGGTGAGCGGTGCGTACAGCCGGAGGCGGCGGATCTTGGTGGGATGCGGGCGGGGACGGTGTGGGCGAACCGCTCCGGGCTCGGCATGGGTCTGCCGGTGTGGGCGGAGACCTCCCAGGGTGGGCCGCGCTTGCACACATCTTGGCAGTGGACGGTGAGTTCGGCGTGCAGGAGCGGGTAATGGCTGGCTTCCAGATAGATACGGCGGCAGGTGCGGAGGAGCGCGCAGCAGATCTTTGGCGGGCCGGTGTGGTCGGGCCGTAGCCAGCCTTCGCCTGGGTCTGAGGCATCGGAGTCGTACCGGTGACGCCCGCCTCCTGAGGCCTCATCCGACAGAGACACACGCGCTGCTTGGTAAAGCTCAGCCGCCGATAGGGGCGGATGGCCGGGCTGGACGTCAAAGTCGTGGGACAGAGCCAATGGATGAGGCACCGCAGTTTCGGTGAGTGCATACGCCAGGATAACTTCACGGATCTCGCTGGGGATCAGCCCGTAGAGGGATTGATGTCGCTGTCGGTCCACGCTTTGACCCGCGTGCTCGTCGGTATCCTTGGGATGGTCGACGGTACGGCTATGGGCTCGGGCGGGTAAAACGTCCGTTCCGGCAGCGGCCAAGGGCCGGGTTCCCATTTGTACTCATCGGGCTCGTCTCGGGGCCTTGGTTTCCCGACGAGTGGAGGGAGTCGCGGATATAGGATCGTTGACAGGCCCACCGAGCCCATTGCGGGAAGTGTGGTGCATTGATGGGGAGCCGGTGTTGGATGTGAAGACCAGGCACTTGCAGGCCCCTGTTAGCTGCGCCGGGCCGGGGCCGGGCCTATCCGTCCGACCCACTCACGTCCCGTTCCTTTTGGCGGGGCGTCGGGTGGTGTGCGGGGCAACCGAGAGACGCCAATCTCCTCTCCACTGGCCCGCCTCAGCGCTTTGCAGCACAAACCCACCATGACTGACGGTAAGGCAGACGCAGAGGCGCTTGTCCCCAAGTTCAAATTCGAGCGCCTGCTCAACCAGGGTACGTGAACAAGAAGATGCATGCAAGACCGTGGCATCGCTAACTCGTTCACCCTCTAGACCAAGCCGGCCGCCGGTCCGCCCTCTACGGCTCCATTGACGGCCAGCCGGCGCTGGTGATCCTCGAGCGCGCGCCGTTTCCGAGCTCGGCCGACTACCTCGGCGCCATCACGGCCAACCTGCGAGCACTGAAGAACCTCGGCGCCAACGACATCTACCACTGGTACCTGGCCAACAGCGGCGAGATCCGCGGCGCGGCCGCCGACAACCACGAGTTCGCCGACCTCAAGATCAACCTGATCTGGCCGTGCACAGAGAAGCACATCCGCAAGTACAGCAAGCAGGGGGCGCGCTTCGTGACCGAGACGCCCGAGATCTACCGCAACCATGTGCGCCCATACATGCAGGCGCAGCGCGAGGCCGGGCGGCTGAACTGGGCCTTCAACATCATCGAGGGCCGCAGCGAGGTCGAGGACGTCATCTACCGCACCCCTTATGGGCAGGACCCGGAGGAAGGGTTCCTGTTGCTGCCGGACCTCAACTGGGACCGCCGCACGCTCGAAGCGCTGCACCTGCTGGGGCTGGTCGAGCGGCGCGACATCTGGAGCCTGCGCGACCTGCGCAAGAAGCACCTGCCCTGGCTGCGGCACATGAAGGCCAAGTTCCTGGACGCCACGACGACCGTCTACCCGACCATCGAGGCCGACCAGCTCAAGCTGTACGTGCACTACCAGCCGACGTACTACCACTTCCACATCCACATCGTACACGTGGCGCTCGAGGCGGGCGCCACGCAGGCCACGGGCAAGGCGGTCGGACTCGACAGCATCATTTCGCAGCTCGAGACCATGCAGGGGGACGGGGAGGAGGCGGGGATGGACGCTGTTACGCTATGCTACACGCTGGGCGAGGCCAGCGATCTGTGGGTGGACGTGTTTGAGCCCCTCAAGAGGAAGAACGGTACAGCTTCTCGATCGCCATGACCAGGTCGTTGACAGCCGGGCCGGACGGGCACTCCTTCCACTCGCCGCCGTCGCGCACGCAGTAGATCTCGTTGTTGAGCCGGACCGTGCAGCTCTTCGTCACGCCGGCCTAGGGGAACGTTAGAACTAGAATAGAGATGCAGATGTGTGTGTGTTGCGCGTACCTCCGCCGTCCGCTGGACGCTGTCTCGTAGCATGCCGATGCCCAGGGCGCCATCGTCCCGGGTCGCGCACTCGTTGAGCTTGCTAAAGTCGATGGCGTGCTCCAGCGCGCAGTCCTCGACCAGGCTGCGCTGCGGTATGTGCTTGTAATCGCGCGTCAGGCACATGGTGAAGCCGAGGAACGTCTTGGCGTCGGGGTAGAGCCTCTGCGCGCAGAGCTCGATGATGTTGCCGAGGCCTGTCATCTCTTAGCTCGATGTATAAGATATGGTTGGACAGAGGCAACCTACACTCCTCCGGCCCGTGTTTGCAGGCGACGCCGTCATCACTGTCTGTCGGACTAGGGTGCGTTTAGCGGGGTCAGGCAGGCGTAGGAGCTCGAAATCACATACCTTCCTATGAACGACAGCGTGAAGTTGACCTTGTCGTGGACCTTCTGCATCGCAGGCAGCACCAGGTCGCGCAGGCAGTCCTTTGCGTCGGGGCACTTGCTCATGATGTGCGCTTCGAGCGGGACGAGGTCGAGGGATGCGGCAGACGGAGGCGGGTTCAACGGGGCCAGGGAGCGGATCGCGGCGTGTGTCAGAAAGTACCAGTAGGTGACGGCGGCGAGCGACAGGTAGCTGACGGCCAGGATCAGCCGGGTCGGGCTGAGGCCACGACGGATCGGCGGCGGCATCGGCGCGTGTTTCTCGTCCATCACAGGAGCTCGGTAGCGGATCAAAGTGTTGGAAGCGATGCAGTCGTAAGGATGCGAGGCTAAAGATGCGAGCGTGTACGGGGTGGCTGTCGTGGTTGAAAGAGCGAACTAATTGTCGTGGGTTGCCGGCCGGGAAACTTGGGTCAGCAGGTCGCAAGCAAGCAGAAGCCTACAAAATAGTTCAGCCCCGCAGTCTCCATTTGCCGCGACTTCTGTAGCCATATCCGTATTTAGCCCAAGCATCAACCCAAACAGGCAGGAGTTCCTCGTGGTTCGCCAACTCCTTCACCTGCTCAGATCACCGGGGGCGTATGAAATATTGTGACATGACGCTCTCCCTCTTGCAAGTATAGATGATGCGATCCGACCTTTGCCAGGCACTTATCCCCAGCGCCCCTTGTGACTGCCACCGCGGCATGCAGATACACACTGTTTACTGGAGACGAGGCCATGTGTGAAGAGTCATCCGAAGCCGACGCGATGTTAGCGCCCTCCCTCGACGACTTTCTTCAACCCCTGGCAATTGACGCTAGGAAGGTGTTGGAGCTATCACATGAATTTGCCTCGACATTTCGCAGGTTGTCTGCCGAATCCCTTGACCAGTTCCTACCGACGCCGATTTCGGAATCCATCCTGCGGCCTGCAGTTCGAGATAGTGGCAGGTGAGTTGGCTCTAGCGTCCCAGTTGTCGAAACGAAAACTAACATGTGACAGGTTCCTCGCTATAGACATGTAAGATGACATGGCCTCTAATTAAAGTGCTGTCCACTGACCTTCCTAGCGGCGGCACGAACCTCCGCGTCGGCTTCGTGGAGCTAGTCGGCGAGCCCAGGTCAGGGGACGGCTTCACGCCGTCGTCTCATCAACTGAACCGCCTCCTCGAGCAATCCTGGCCCATCCAGGAGCATCTCAAAAATGAGAACTCGGACAGTCTCTTTTCGTGGATCGGCGAACGGGTTGCTCAGGTAGTGCGTGAGGGCTGCGAGACGTTGGGCATATCTCGTGATGACGAGCTCCCGATGGGGATTACGTTCAGTTTTCCCATGGTGCAGAAGTCACTTTCTGAAGCCATCCTCATGCCCATGGGCAAGGGATTTGCCGTTACGTCCAACCTTGATCTCGGCGGGCACCTCTTAGCGGGCTACAACAAGCACAGAACCACCGACATGCCACGCATCAGGATTGCGGCCATCGCGAATGACGCAGTGGCCACCCTCATCTCCTTCGTCTACCAGTTCCCGGCTCAAGCCCACCAAAAGGCCGCCATGGGGTTGATCGTCGGCACCGGCTGCAATGCCACACTGCCCCTGAATCTGAGCAGCCTCCATGAGAGCAAGCGCCCCGCCTCTATTAGCGTTCTGCACGACCGGGAGGCTTCAGACGTCAAGATTGCGGTAAATACCGAATGGAGTATCCGGGGCTCGGCACCTCCATTGCACAAATTCGGCCTCATCTCTCGCTGGGACACGGAATTGGACCAGGCTGGCGAGTTGCCCGGTTTCCAGCCGCTCGAATACATGACGGCCGGGCGGTATCTAGGTGAACTCGCGCGGCTCGCCTTCCTCGACTACTACACTGCCCTTGGCATGTCGGCCAAAGATCTTCCGGGGAGGTTTCGGCAAAGGTTTGGTCTAACGACCACCTTTATGAGCCATCTCTACCCCGACAGTCCCAAGGGTCCCATGCCCTCACAGCTGGAGCGTGAGTTTCCGCCAGAGAGTCCCTCGTTTCAATGGACACCGGAACTGGCCGACATCCTGTTCCGGATTGCGAAGGCGATCGAGGTGCGCGCAGCCGGCATTGTTGCCGCCGCCACCGTCGGGCTCCTCCAGTGCGCCGAGGAGATAGCGGACGCACCGAAAGCCAGGAAGACGGAGTTAGCCGTCGGGTACACTGGCGGGTGCATACAGCACTTTCAGAACTACTTGGCCGATACCCAGAGGTTTATCGACGAGATTCTAGACCTCGAGTTCTCTGGTCAAGCCCCCGTCCGGGTTACTCTTACTCCATGTCACGACGGGGGCCTCACTGGAGCGGGAATTCTAGTCCCAGCCGCCCTGGCAAGTCACACCACGTAGCCTTTGCGAAATGTCAACATGATCAGAACTGTCAAAGCACCCGTATCCATCCGTAATGCGCGTGCCTAGATCGAACAGAGGCTCCAGTCCCTCGTCATGTACTGTGCAAGACGCTACAAGTAACTGGTCGATTACCGCCAATCCTGCTCAGCTCTTTCCTCCTGTTTATCCTAACCGGCGGGAGTTGGATGTCTGGTACCGGCGCAAACTTTCGAGTTTTGACCTTTGCGCCGAGCCATTACTTTAGCATTCTTCGAAACTCACAACCGACTCTCGCCTTTTTGCCTTCGTCTCCTTTGGAGGGTTGTCCTGTACAGCACACATCACAACTCCACCAGCGATATTTTCGAGAAAAAATTATCGAGATGACTGGCCGGGGCGATCTTAACGGTGCAGCGGTTCCCGGATAATCCGCCACGTGAGAGGAGCAGGTCACCGCCTGCTCACATGGCCACGAATGGCAGAGGACGAGAGAGGAGCCCATTCCGGGAGACACCGGATAGGGACCACGACATTGTGCGCGCTCCGGACACAACTTTTTCCGGATACACCTATCCTTACCTGTACGAGAGGCAAACGCCATCCCGCCACCGTTAAGTCCTAGCTCCTGGTCCACCGAGGCTGTGATTGGGAAGGGAGATCGGCACCCTTCCTTGGAAACCACGGGCCCTCGCTTGTACGAGGAACGAATTCCATTTGGCAAGTGCGACAACTGCCTCAACGATGTGCTCGTTTGCGGTCAGTTTCCGGAACATGCAAGAAACAGTGCAGGACATGCGGGGAAGTAACACATTTGAATCACGAGGTCGGGAACTGTTCACTTCGCGAGGACATATGCCAGTGTTGCCCATGCCCCGGGACACACACCGGAAAACTGCAGACTCCTCTGCAGACCTTGCTGGATGGAGGTAGGCCTAGCAGGGGCCAAGGGACGGGGGGACCTGGGAGGTATCCCATGGGCAACAAGCTGCCCTATCCATTGCCCGTTATGCGGGATCCCCCGTCAAACTCAAGGCCACTCCCCAGCCATATGCGATGAGCGTGTCGTCTGTCAGGACTGCAAGTACGACACTGGTGACTTCAGGGCCGCATTCCACTTCACCCAGGACTGCCCGAAGCACCTATGCGCCGCAGAGACGTGCAGCACAGTACCGGCTGAGCCATGCACCCGTCACTGCCGGGACTGTGGGTCTCCCGTGGTCGACATCGAAGAGCTGGATGAGCCGCACCAGTGCCAGTGGACCAAGCTGGAGAAGTGCCAGGCCGGCATCAAGGACGGACGGCCCGCGTTTGTTTACCGCTTTACCATCACCTGCAAGAGAAACCCAGCCCACGAGAAGAGGATAGTGCGGAGCCTCGCGAAAGTGCGGGAGAAGGGGTGGCTACGTCTTCTGGATGATATGGTGTCCTGCTGGCCAGACCCTGACGAGGACAGGGATCCGCGAAAGAAGCGGCCCATCGTCGAATGCGCGGAATGCTGCGCCGAAATGTACGAAAGGGGAGACTACAAGGAGCAAAATTCCGGGAGGTCCCGCTTTGGGAGGCCCAGCGAGTACGTCAAGGGAACGACCGTGTAAAGGTCGAACTTAGCTGAAAGTGTGGCCTTGATGGGTGATCTGACGGAGGTGCGGACACGGGACGACGTTCGAGGATGGGCCATGGAAAAAACCTTACCTCGGTCTTACCGATGTATGGCCGCAGCTTATAGGCTGACCTTCCTCCTCTCAACTAGCACATACGACCATACCTGGTAGAAAACACGGGATCCCGTCCGCTCTCCCTTAGTTAAGCTACCAAGGGCCGAACCAGTACTCAGGTGGGTGACCACTGGGGAATCCTCGGTGTTGTATGTTTTTGATGATTTTTTGCTCCATCGTCAAGTCTTGGCAGTAAGTAGAGCGTGAGTTTTTGATACCGGTATCTTGGATCATTTTATGTTCGGCCGGCCCGCCAGTTGCATGTATGAGGCTATGAGCAGGGTGGTAATGCTTATAATATAATGTAACGCTGTCGGGAAGGGAAGATCGGCTATCCTAACCCTGAGACACATTTGCCCCGCAACGCCAAAAAGTCGCGTCGACTTGACTCGACTCGCGTTGTTGGAAGGTGCAAACATAGACCTGCGGCATAAAGCACATTACAGGCATTTGCTGGGCTATGAACAGCCAGCGCCTCTTATCAACCCAACACACATATGCAATTACCTTACTGTCGGTTTCTTTATGTCCAGTAGCGGTTTCTAAGCTTGTATCACTTCCCAGACCACCCGCCAAAATCACAATGGACGACAATTGGGAGCCCCCGGTGCCGCCGGGCTATAACGATGTACACCGCGCATTTCTTCAAGGTTTCATGGCGCGGGGTGCTGTGACCTTTAAGGAAGCCCAGAAGATGCTCGCCTCCATCAGTTCCGCTGCCGACGAGAGCTACGTCGATCCGCGGGCCATCACAATGGGCGACTTCGAAAACTTCGTGCGCACCGCCCGCGAGGCCGTCGAGCCGCTCGATTTCGACATCCGCAACACGCGGGACCAAATCAACGGCGGCGAGCGCGTGTGGGTCTTTGTCAACGCCCACAGCGACCCGGCGACACAGATGAGCACGACGCACAGCGCAGAAGAGGTGGCATACATTAAGAGGCTCCTGGATGCGATGTTCGAGCAGTACAACACCCCGCGGATGGAGGTCATGGCTGTGGATGAGGGGCAGGCGCTGCGCGTGTCACGACCACCGCGGCGCAGGGAAAGCAATGTCAACGAGAACGACGACAACGACGACAACGACGACAACGACGATGAAGAGCAGCCGACTACCACGACGGCCACCGACCGCGGACTTAAGCACTCCGAAGTTCTTTCACTCTTGTCAAGCCTGATCGCCGAGGGGTGGCTGCAAAAGTCGCGCCACGGCTTCTACAGCCTGACCCCGCGCTCCCTGACGGAATTATGGTCCTGGCTGGTGGCGACCTACAACGACCCTGACTCGGAGTCCGAGTGGCAGCACATCAAGTTTTGCGAGGCGTGCAAGGAGATTGTCACATATGGCCAGCGGTGCAATGAGGTAGATTGCACGGTGCGGTTACACGATATTTGCGAGGAGGCATTCTGGCGGACGAGACCTGAGAGGAAGTGTCCCAAGTGCAGCACGCCGTGGCAGGGGAATCATTACGTGGGCGAACGGGCTATCACGTCGAGATCTGGATTCCAGAGGGGACGGGGCAGAAGGGGAAGACGCAGCGAGACTGCAGACGGCGCGGATGACGAGGAGTAAATCGTATTGCAACATTGCTAGATACCCGGCAGTGCCAACTGGCACTAGCCACACCTCAACTCAGATCTGATGAACACCGGTTTGCATGACATCACTGTGGCGGTGCTGTGGCTTGGCATGCACGATGCTTCGTTAGTGGTTAGTCCAGCAGGAAGGTGCGACGGGATGGAATGCGGCGAAGGGCCAATGACGCGTTCAGCTTTATTAAGGTGCACGGCGAGCGAGTCTTGTTCTGGGCCCGTCAACCTGCAACCACGTACCCCATATCGCCGCGCAACACACGATGTCGCCGCTCTTCAAGAAACACAAGGATACGGAGAAGGGAGTAGAAGATAAGAAGCCGGACGAGAAGTCGCACTCGACAAAGCCGTCTGAGGATGCATTGCGCCAGGCCACACCAGACGGCGACAAACCCGTGCCGCTACTCAATGACGAGGATGAGAAATTCCTCGAGCGTCTCGTATCGGCCAGCGACGATGGCAACGGTCAGGAAGAAGGACCACCGCCCCCTCTTCCGCCTCGTCCCAAGACTCCTGTCCTGACCTGGGACAGCGACAGCGAGTCATCCCGCCTGCCCGATAAGCAGGAGCCCAGCGCACCGACTGCGACAGCCACCAAGAAACCAAACCGCTTCTCCCGCCTCTTCCAGCGCAGCAAGCCCTCCTCCTCCAACTCTCTTACCGTTCCCGCCAACACCGTCCCACCGGAAGAAGCAGACCGGGAATGGGCCGACCTGAACCGCTTCCTCTCCCGCCTCGACCTCCAACCCACACCGCCCTCCCCGGACACCACGTCCAAGAAGAAGGCCAAGGCCAAAGCCGCGGCCCTGACCGCCTCAACCGAAGCGCAGTCGCTCCTGCGCCAGTTCGTGCTCGTGCTCAAGGACATCAGCAACGGCGCGCCGACCGCGGTCGACGACCTGGTCGCGCTGCTAGACGGGCGCAACGACGTGCTCAAGCGCGGCTTCGACAAGCTGCCCTCGTCCATGCAGAAGCTGGTGACGCAGCTGCCCAAGAAGCTGACCGGCGCGCTCGGGCCGGAGATCCTTGCTGCCGCGGCCGAGGCGCAGGGGCTGAAGGGTAAAAGGGAGACGGATGGGGGCTTTGCCAAGTTCTTCTTGCCGCGCAATCTTGGCGATCTGGTCATGACGCCGGCGCTGGTGCAGAGCATGCTCAAGGCGATCGTCAATGCGCTGAAAGTGCGGTGGCCTGCGTTTGCAGGGACGAGTGTGCTGTGGAGTTCGGCAGTGTTTCTGTTGCTGTTTGTGCTGTGGTATTGTCATAAGCGGGGAAGAGAGGAACGGGAGAAGCTGGAGGAGGCGGGTAGGATGGGCGGCGTAGAGGAAGTTGCTGATGCGGAGGGGGTTGGGGATAGGGCGGGGGAGGCTGGATCGTCGGCTGTCGTGGTGGTCAAGTCGCCTGCGGAGAGCCCGCGGTCGTAATCAGATACCCTGGTGCATTGAGGATACCCTAATACACCTAGTAGTTTTTGTCGTAATAGCCCCGTTCATCGTATGTACCTCAGTCGTCCTGCACGAGTTCTTTAATCTCCTCCCTCCCAGGTGCCACCGTCTCGGCCTTGTCGTCCTTTCCTGAGCGGTCAATGACCTTGCCGCCGTCTTGCATCCAAAAGCCGACCTCATCCACTATGTCGTACACAATGTCCTCGACAATCTGCTCGTCGTAGCGCTCGCTCACCGCCCTGAGTTTGGCTAACGATCCATGCCCGCTTCCCATCTCTACATCCTCGGGCTTTGGGGGCGGAAACCAGAAGTTTGGCCCGAAATTCACCTCCACCGCACCGCCCCGGAAGACGCTCACGGCTGGATAGTACCCGAGCGTACCATCGTCTAACGCCTCGCGCCCGCCACTCTGCTGCGCCTGCCTCGATGCCGGCGGAAGAAAGGCAAGCAGGTCGGTCCAGGGCGTGCCCATGAGCACGCCGTTCTTGTAAACCCGTATGCACGAGTTGGGCAGCGTACGCAGTGCAGGGAGCGGATGGATCGGGCTGGGCTCAGCGCTGTGTCCGGTGATATGCCCGGAGATCATGGGCGACGGGTTCATCATCTCCTCCAGCTCCTTAGTGGTGTGGTAGTCGATCTTTTCAAAGTAGATGTGCGCTTTGAACCGGATCGGGATGCGGTCGCGGATGATGTTGGGCGCGTCGGGCGCCGGGCCTGAGTCGTCGTCTGCGAGGTCCACCGCCGGGTTGTACTGGCCCTGCACGACCTTCCGCTGGAGGCGTTCTGAAGGCAGCTGGATCTCCAGGCCGATCACGTCTCCCTCTTTGATGTCCTCTCCTGGCGGGAAGAAGTCTTTGGGCCGCGACATGTGCACCTTCTGTCCCGCCACGTCCCGGATGCCGTAACTGTACGCATCAAAGCCAACCGGTGCGTCCAGCGACGCTTCTCGCCGGGCGAATCCCACGCGGACATGGCCGTGTGATTCCACGTCGCCCTCACTCCTGTCCCTGAGGATGCCCCGCGTGACCTTGCACTCCCAATACCACCGGCCCTCGCGGACGGCCACGTTGGCGCGCGACATGCGGAAGCCCTTGTCCGAGGTGACGTGCGTCCCGCTTCGGTCGAAGAACATGTGCGATGCGGTGTCTTCGAAGCTCATGTGTGCGCCGAAAGGCGGCGGCTCTGTGTTGCGGTAGTAGAAGATGGATGGGAAGGCGGGGTCGGCGATGCAGTGCGTGTAGTGGAAGTTCCTCCGGTTGTAGACACTGCGTTAAGGTTAGCGGCAGTTACTCGTGCCTTGCAGTTATTGTACCTACTGGTCCGATGTCTCGAAGAACTCGATGGTCCTCCCGTCTGCGTCCTTCACTTCGTGGTGGCTGGTGAAGACAGGCCCCCGCGAGAGCTCAAAGTCGGTGGGCTTCGGCTGGGCAAGCTTGTACCTCATCGGCGCCAGCTCGCCGGGAGGCTCCTTGTGCTTGGGGTCGGGCGTCGCCCTGGCGCTATCAGGAGCGCCCTTGGACTCACGCTTCTTGAGCGAGTCTTTCTTGGTTCTCCTCTCACGCGCCATTGCCTGGCTATCGTCCGGTATCTGTACCTGCACTTTCGCTGCCTTGGCTTCTCGGTTCAGGGGGGAAGAAACAGCTGGGAGGTGGTCATCTTCAAGCGCTCGCTTCTGGGGGACAGAAGGAGGAACGGCGGAGGGGGTGGGCTCCCTCTGAGGGGAAGCAGCATCGGAGGCCATTGCGCGGTTGCAACAAGAATAAGCAAACTTGAATGGCTAGCAGAAAACACTATCAGTTAAGAAGTTTCGTTCTGCGTAATGCTATACCTTCCGGTTTCCCCTGCTCGCCGGTTGTGGGAACTTGCAGCTGCCGCGATGGGACGCGCCGAGCTAGAAGTTTAAGTGGGGCCGAGCGACCCCTGCAGGCTGCAGTGGCCAATTGAACTCCACTCTGCTTGCCGCAACGCTTATCCTGGCGCAGCTTGCAAGTTCGACCGTGCCACGATTTTCAACCTCAAGCATCACAGCCATCACAATGCCGGTCGTCAAGGGAGGCGTGTGGACCAACATCGAGGATGAGATCCTCAAGGCGTCCGTCAGCAAGTACGGGCTGAACCAGTGGGCGCGCGTGTCGTCGCTGCTGGCGCGCAAGACGCCGAAGCAATGCAAGGCCCGGTGGAACGAATGGCTCGATCCAAGCATCAAGAAGATCGAGTGGAGCAAGGAGGAGGACGAGAAGCTGTTGCACCTGGCCAAGCTGATGCCCACGCAATGGCGCACCATCGCCCCGATCGTCGGCCGCACCGCCAACCAGTGCCTCGAGCGGTACCAGCGACTCCTCGACGAGGCAGAGCAGCGAGAAGCGTCTGACCTGGGACTGACCGGCCCCGAGGGTGGAGAGACGAAAGCGCCCACGGCCGACGACGTCCGCCGACTGCGGCCCGGCGAGGTCGACCCGGATCCCGAGACGAAGCCCGCACGGCCCGACACGATCGACCTCGATGAGGATGAGAAGGAGATGCTGAGCGAGGCTCGCGCGCGCCTGGCCAACACGCAGGGCAAGAAGGCGAAGCGGAAGGCCCGTGAGCGGCAGCAGGAAGAATCGCGACGGCTGGCCGCGTTGCAGAAGCGGCGAGAGCTGAAGACCGCAGGCATCAACATCAAAGTCACCACGCGCAAGAAGGGGCAGATGGACTACAATGCCGATATCCCGTTCGAGAAGAAGCCCGTGCCCGGATTCTACGATACGGCAGAAGAAATCCAGCGCAACGAGTTCCAGCGCTCGCACTTCGACCCCAAGAAGCAGCAGGTCGGCAACAAGCGCAAAGGGGAGGAGGACGAGGCTGCCGAGCGGAAACGGAGGAAGAACGAGAAGGACGGGCCCTCTGCTTCCCTGCAGGCTGCGCTCAAGGCCGGTCAGATGCAAAAGATCCGCGAGGCGGAGCAAAGCAGCAAGCGGAAAGCCCTGGTGCTCCCAGCGCCGCAGGTGAGCGAGGGCGAGCTGGAGGAGATCGTCAAGATGGGCATGATGGGTGAGCGGGCGGCTGCCATGGCCCGCGAAAGCGAGAACGATGCCACGCGTGGGCTGGTCGGCAACTACACGGCGCTCAACACAAACGCGCCGATCCGAACGCCTCGCGCACCAGCGCAGGAGGACCACATCGCCAACGAGATCCGCAACATCCGGGCGTTGACCGAGACGCAGTCATCGCTGCTTGGCGGGGAGAACACACCCCTGCATGAGGGGGCAGGTTCTACTGGGTTCGACTCCGTCGCGCCTCGCAAGCAGGTCGTCGCCACACCCAACCCGCTGGCAACGCCGTTACGACCGGCGGCTAACGGTGTCGGCGCAACACCGCTTCGGGCTGGGCAGACCCCACTGCGCACGCCCCGCGACACGTTCTCTCTCAATGCGGCCGACAAGGAGATGGATCTAGTTGGAGGGACGCCAGCAGACGCCAGGATGCGCGAGCTATCCCTGCGCCACCAGCTCAAGCAACGCCTCGCCTCTCTACCCAAGCCAAAGGAGACCGAGTGGGAGCTGGAGCTGCCTGAGGAGCGGTCGGAGTCCAAGACGGCCGAGGAACTGGAGGAGGACGCGGCGGAGCGGGATCGCAGAGAACGCGAGATCCGCGAGGCGCGGGAACTCCTCGAGCGCAGGCGGCGGACGCAGGTGATGCAGCGAGATCTGCCTCGCGTCGTGTCGGTGGACTACAATGCCCTGCTACGAGACGCCCCGCAGGTTGAGGACCCGGCTGAGGCGCTCGTCAGGCGCGAGGCGGCCCTCCTGGTTGCACACGACGCAACCAAGTACCCACTCCCGGGTGCGCCCCCAACAACCAAGCCGATCCAACTTCCCCAGATCGACGACGCCGCCCTGGCGGAAGCGCGGCTGCAGATCCTCCTCGAGATGAAGGACAAGCCCAAGCCCGAGGAAGTGCAAGCCGTGTGGAACAAGGAGAACACCAACTCGCTGCTCCTCGGCCTCGGCTGCTACGACTCGGACGACGGGGAAGACCAGGTCGAGACCATGAGGACCGCTCTTGATGTAAGCCTCACTTCACTTTTCACGTCGCTCCGTCCACTGTCGGGAATGAACTAACAGAAAACAGTCCGCCCTAGAATCTCTCATCGCATCCGCCGAAAAGGGTAACAAGCTCGAGAAGAAGCTTAACCTGCACCTCGGCGGGTACAAGAACCGGGCCGAGATGCTGCGCAATAAGATCGGCGAGGCGCACGTCGCTCTGGAGAAGGCGCGGAATGCCCTGGCCGGATTCAAGGTCCTGCAGGCGAGCGAGAAGGCGGCTATCCAGCGGCGGCTGGGGGCACTGCGGGCCGAGGTGGCGTTTGTGAGCACGAGAGAGCGGGAGGCACAGGAGCTATACCGTAGGGTGAGGGATGAGTTGGAAGAGTTGAAGATCCAAGCTGGGGTTAATGGTCACTAAGCCGGTGTGTATGTAGATATAGGTGTGTTAGGATGGTTGGCGTTGACAGGGAAAAAGCATATGGTAAAATGTTGTTACTGCATGGTTTTCATAGATTGCAGAGCAACTGAGGAGCGAAGAGTAGAACTGACATCTGCAGCTAAGCTGGCGACTTATATTGGAAGTCGAAAAGGCTCCTCATCCCCATCATAAACCACCCCTTGCTCCCTTTCCCCTTCCGGTTTCCTCACTCCTCCCCATGCAAGGTTAGTGCACTCTCGAAGTGTGGCGTGGTCTCGATGTATCGAGCGGTATAGAACTGAGCGCCCGGGTGTTCAACGTAGTACAGCTCTCGGCGGAGATAAATGGTGTCGGAGCAGTCGTGGTTGCACTCATCCAACCTGTCCTTATCGAACTCCCTATGCGGCTCCGCCATAGCGTCGTTTTCTCCGCACAATATGCACCTCAAGCAGTGCCATTCGAAGCCGTTACACTCCTCCATGAACTCTTGGACGGTGACAAGCCTGGCCCAGGTGGAAACCAGCTTGAGGAAACACGCGCGGAGCTTGCCCTCTCTCCAATCCCACAGGTCGTGGCACGGGACCATCTGTCCCAGGACTAGGCGGATAAGCTCAATATGCTCGGCGGTTCTGTCCAATGCCTTCTTCTGCCGCTTACTTAGAAGTGCGCGCGTATCTTTTGTTGGCCCGGCCGTCGATATCACTGTCGCCTTCCCTCTTCCTCTTGCGCTGCTGCTTGCCGCTAAGATTAGCAGAAGGCACTGTGGGCTGCTGCGTATCGGGAAGCGACCGAATGCTAGAATCGACTTTCGCTTCAAGGTTGGCGATTGTTGCTTCTAAATCTTGCTGCTGCTTCTTCATCTTTGCGATTTCCCTCCTGATTGACACCTCTTCGGTCAGAGTGTTTTGGGCATCATTCGGACGTTCCTCGAGGCGCCGGGTAGGCGTGTCCTGCTGTGTTACGAGCGCGTGAGATTGACGTCGGGTGTCGGCTTCAGAGGTTGCTTACAGTCGGGGCGACAACACATACTTTGGTCTGGGACTTGGGACTGGAATCCGCCATGTCCGCTGACTTATGACCGGCAGGGTATTTGACTTTCTTGAATGATTTCATGGTTTATCTCGCCGCAGGTGTCGAAGTTGAATGTTGCGTGTTGCTGGGAGAGAGCCTGAAGTTTTAGTAAGAGTGATTTATGCCTACTATGCTCCAAAGGAGAGGGAGGCGAAAAAGCGAGAGTCGGTTATGAACTTCGAAAATTTTCTGCAAGCACCAGATATCCAACTCCCACCGGTTAAGATAAGCCGTAGGAGAAAAGCTGAGCAAGACTGTAGGTGCTTATTCGACTGCTTGTTCATGTACATGTACACAACATCCAATTTGGGGGCCACGAGTGCGACACCCGGTATAGTCGAGTTTATCTTCTCTTATCCTCTTATATCCACCGAATACACGTCGATCTGCGCAAAGGAAAGTTTACATGTCAACCCGGCATCTATTTATGCGTGGATGGAGCTGCAGAACCGGCGACCTGATATACAAACACCATTGTGTGTAGAGTCCACGTAGACACCATAGATGTGTATTGTGGAAAGTGGTGATGTTGGAGTCTGGACACCGTACCTAATCGAGTCCCCTGTTCAGTCTTTAGATGCGGCCCGTCCTGACGCTTGAGTACTAGTAATGATGCATGATCTTGATTCCTTGAGGTCCCGTTGTGCCCGAAATATGCCGCGCCCTGGGCTTCGGTGTCTCCGCGCGACAAATCTGACAATTCCGCGTGCGTGGACATGGGAGTTCCTGAAGGTGTATGTAGACTGGGTCCACGGTGTTCCCGAAGCATGAGTCTGCTCGCGCGTCCTTGGCGATGGCACCGATAGCAAACCTACTAAGTACTCGTCCGTTCTCTGGCGGAGTAATGTCATGAACAACCAGAAGTCCGGCCCCGTATTCTACTGTATACCAAGGTGTCACACGGCAAAACGACATCGTTGCCTGAAAACGCCTAGGGGTACGCTATATATCCGTGCAACACAAGGAGAATAGGAGCCGTTGTGTGGTCAACGCGGCAATCCGTGAAGGTGAAGCATGCTAACACCCTTTGCTATTGAATTTAAACACCGAGCGACTGCGTCGGTCTAGCAAGAATGACCCGATGACCGGCTTTAGAAACTCCAAGCGTGATGGTGAGTCATGGTTCTTTGTCCACGAGTGGTCCGCTTACGCGCTACAGTCTATCGCGGCCTTTCTTTCCGACCGCTACCAGTCTCCCGGCTCAAGACGACAACAAGTGGGACCTCTGCCCTGTTGGTTCGCGGGATCTCGCTTCTACATACCTTGGCTGCTCGGCCCCAATACAGCCGGCAAATGGCGAGCCGAGGTGCTATGGGATAAACAGCACCCAAATTGCCCACGGATCCTAAAATTCTCTCGTTTGAGCTCAGCTTCTCACAAACAAAGCTTGCCGATGGGCCTGCTCCAACAAGGAAGGATAAGAAGTAACGTTGTTGGCAGATAAACAAACCCGGTAAGCATAACACCCTGTCGTGACAGATTGTATGCAGACTGGAAGGGTACTCGAGTTCTATTTACGGAGCCTCCCCTAGGCATTCAACTCGTCAGTAATCTCAGGCCGTATTAATTGCGCTCTTGACGATGTGGCTTGCTATGCTTACGGTTACTTCGCGCATGCAAGGGGATAGTAAACGCTCCTCATAGACGGGAAAGGATCCCGGCAACGATGCATGTAAGACGGCCTTGTTTACTTAACGATGCACTGCAATCAATGACATTCGGTCGCTGAACCCAGAATAATTAAGAACCTCTTCCCTCCATTTGGGCCAGGCCCTTTAGTCTCGACACGAGGCCGCATTGCATAGCTGAGGCGATAAAAATAGACACTCGACGAGATTGAGGATAGAGTAAAGGCAACTTCGAGGTCCTTTGAAGACGGTGTTGACATCCGGAGCTACCAACACAGAGTGGCATGTCGAGGCTTGGCCAGTGGAGGGCACGAAGGGAAGTCCACCAGACCTTGCTTCTCACCTCCGAAGGGCTCGAGAAAGGGAGAACGATGGCGATGCGGGACATGAGTATAAGAACTGGCATCTCTCCTGTTGAGATGGGACCGGAGCACGCAGCGATTGCCCAGCATCCTCCCCTCAACCCCAAGAGTCTCAGTCAACTACAAGCCAGACGCGCTTAAACCGCCTAATCTTCCATCATGAAGCCCATCTCGCTCCTCTCCCTGGCCTCCCTGGCCGCCGCAGCCCCTACTGGCCCTGCGGACGGAGCCGGCCAGCCGGGTCTCACGGTGCCCAGCGGTGTCGTGCCCTCGAGCGTCCGCGTCCTGGGCATCTCCCTCCTGGGCTCCGGCTGCCCAGCGGGCACCGCAGATGTGCAGATTGACGCCACAAAGACCCTCATCGAGGTCACCTTCTCCGAGTACATCATCCAGACGGGTCCCGGCACCAAGGCGGCCGACTGGCGCAAGAACTGCAAGCTCACGCTCAACCTCGAGTTCGACCAGGGATTCCAGTATGAATGACCCCCCTTCCTCTCCTTCTAATACAGCCCCAGGCAGGTACAGAGCACTGACATGAACCATCCAGGTTCGCGACGCTGGCCACCGACATGAGCGGCTTCGCGCAGATTCCCCAAGGGTCCAAGGGCCTCTGCACCAACACCTTCGACTTCACCGGCGTCCAGGGCAAGACGTCCTACTCGCTCGCGCTGCCAGGCGAGCGCGAGGGTCCCTTCACCCTGTCGGCCAACCCGGACGTCGTCTCGTGGTCGCCGTGCGGCGGCACCACGGCCATCATGAACATGAACACCCAGTGCAACATCTCGCCCACTCGCCAGCCGGCGTTGATTGCCGTAAGAACACACAAAAGACTCCTTTTCCGAACCTCGTGATACTATAGGAGTGGTTTTTGTTAATCATAATGCTGTTTCCAAACAGGTCGATCGCATCAGCGGAAAGCTCACCGTCAATATCTCGCTCGACTGGCAAAAGTGCTAGGCGGTTGGCTAATGGCTTGCGAGGCTCGCGGGGCAACTCGTGGCACTCTCGGCGAGGTCTGTTGGTGGATGATTGATTGTATGAGGGATGTGCTAAGCAGAGATGGCAGTAGTTTGACCAGCTGAGTGTGGGTGTTTGATATGCGTACTTTAGCTCACCTTTCCCTGCCCAGTATCTATTGGCTCAGAGTGATACCTACATACTCTCCCTCGGACCATCTGTGAGACGGTGACATCTAGATCCTCCCACGTTCTTACTGCCGGGTCCGGTCCGCCCAAGTGATCGGTATAAGCCCTGTTGGATATTAGTAACCGCGACCGATATACGGATCCGTAACTCCTTTGTGACCCCGTCGGTGACTTTTGAATTAATCGTGATGCAGGGGCCAGCCAGATTCAAAGAGGGGTTGGCTTATTATCAGCCTAATGATCGGTTTCAGACCACGGCAGCATTGGTCCGTTGTTGGGCCTACCCACAATAGGTCCATCACCATTGCGTGACTTGACCGCAGATTCTAGAAATGATATTGACTCCGAGCTGACCCGCGTACTGCGTAGTCCCTGATTACCATACGGATATAGTGGTATCATCCACTGGCGCTTATGACACGGTCACTCCGACAGCGATGAGGTCTTTCCCTACTAGCCAACAGATGGACAAGCGCACACTTCATCAGCTATAGCTCAAAACGCTACGATAGACAGGAGTGTGTGTGTTTCAGATGTGGGTCTCTCGGAGGTAGCATCCCGTTCCCATCCGGCTAAATAGGTAATTAGGTAGGGGCCCGGCTTGTGCGAGCGCGGACATGTTTCAACTTCGATCCCCGGCTTCTCCAACAATCCCTCTCGCCAAAAAGTGAAAGCGACGACAATGGATTCGGAGAAGCACGCGGCCGACGAGGAGCAAGAAGCATTCTTATCACACCCGCAACGCGGCGGAAATGCCACGACGGACATTCCGCCAGACGGCCGACATCATGGCGAGAAGAGCGACCGGGCAACGAAGTTGATGAAATGGCTAAGACTGCTCCTGGAGATTGCGATGGCCGTCACCATTGTGTGTCTGCTAGTGTTCAAGCCCTCTGTTGCTGGACGAGAGACCCTCCGGAGGACGCCAGTACCTCACTGTATGTTGATCAGTTGCCCGCCATCTTTCAAATTGCATGCAGCGGCCTGCTGACTTTGCTCCCGCTCAGTTCCAAAGAAGATCTATACCTTTCGTAACGACCCTAAATATGTCCGCGGGGACATGTGGTTCAACGAATCGCTCACCCTCCGTACTCTTCATAACTGGATCGAGTTGAGCTCAGGTACCGATGACACTACCTTAGGCACTGCCCTATGATATCTGAAGCATCGCTGACATACTACTCCGCCAGACAGCCGAGGCTACGTCGTGATTGACGACCCCAGCGGCTACGACCTTCCGGAGCCGTACACCGTGGCCCTAGACCGGCACAACGATGGACCGGGGTACATGATGACGGTGTTCCACCAACTGCACTGTCTCTCCTACCTCGCCGAGCACTACCAGCAAGGGTACGACGGGGTGAAGCTGACGGAGGAAGTCGCCCACCACACGGCGCACTGCTTCAACTACCTCCGCCAGGGCATCATGTGTTCAGCCGACACGACGCTGGAGGGCAAGACCGAGGCCGGGCCGGGCGAGGGTTCCGAGCACGAGTGTACGGACTACGACGCGCTGCTGGAATGGGCCAACAAGCACTCGGCCATGAAGTGGAGGAACGGCCTGCTTCCGGGTGAATCTATTCTTTGATATCTGGCAGAGGTCTTTCTTCAGTACTGGTAGTAGTAGCGACGCCTCCATCGACTTTGTTGGACCCGAGTTCCAGGATGGCGTGCAGCTAGCCTGATATTCTCGTTGCGGCTCGCTCCCGGTGGCGAGTGGTCCTGACAAACCTCGACAACCGGTTGGGGGTGCCAGTGGTTGACAACCCGACAAAGTGACTGAAAGCCGTTTGTCAGAGCAAAGAGGCGAGCAAGGCAAGGGTTCAACAGAGATGGTTTGAGAACGTGAAGAGGGGTTAATAAGTAATTAAGTAGAAGTACCCTCATTTCCCAACCGACTTGCAAACTGCAATTCAATTCTTTCATTCCCTGAGGGTCTCGCCAGATCACAGCTGCTGGCACGGGATAGGGTACCGTAGTACTTCGTAGATGGTGCGGCACAATCGACCAAATTTGTAACTATTGTATCAGTCTTCAGGATAGGGTTCCAAAATGAAACTTTCCTTTTGTGAAGATTCAGCTGCATCTTGAAAGAATTTCATATCATCCAAGCACTGAAAATGAAATTGAAAAAGCCGGGGAGGTTAATTACAGAACATATAGTTAAGACAAAAGCTCTAAATAGCCAACATATCCAAGTCGCTTTATAAATCTATATATAACTTAAGCTATAGAAGCTAATATAGCTAACTCAGTAGTGTTTGGTATTTGGAAGAATGGTTGGAAGAGAAAAAATAGGGAGGAAAAAGAGGGACCGGGCTAGTAGAAAACTTGGGAGGCTATATATAACGTATCTTATCAGCGAGCCGATCATATCAGCGAGCCGATCACTTTTTGCCGCAACGCGTCATTTTCACACCCAACATCAATTTTCTCTACAACCTAACATGCGTTCTCCTTCAAAAGAAGCCAGGGTAATCCTGGCACTTGAAGCTTGTCAAAACAACAAAAAAACTAAGCCTCCGAGCCGCAGCTAAGCTCTACGACATACCCTATACAACCCTCTATGACCGATCTACTGGCCGGCTTATACGACGCGATCTTCTAGCCAACTCGCGTAAGCTTACCAATCTAGAAGAGAAGGCGATAGTTTAGTATGTGATTGAGCTATCTATATGCGCATTCCTACCTAGACTAAGTAGGGTGGAAGATATGGCCAACCATCTGCTATGCGAACGCGGCGCGCCCCCTGTTGGCAAGCTCTGGTGTGACGAAACCACAGGCAGTCCTGCCTCTGAAAGGGTTCGCCGGTCGAAGGTATCTGCTGGTCGGACTGTAGGTCTCGGTGAAGCCAAAGGGTTCACAACAATGCAAGTCGCAATGTCTGCACAGTAATGTAGGGCTACCTTACTGCTTGTAATTGCTCACTGGAGAACTCCCAGAGTCCTCCAGAACGAGTGTCTAGCTATCCTATATACTACGGCTCTTCCTATGGATCACGGCCTCCCTCTGGTGATCCCTCATACTGGATCACCTTGGATCACCAGTGATCCCTTGTGAGCCTTATACCTGGATCACCAAGCCTTCCCTATGCCAAGTGTGATCCTCTTCTGATTGGTCCGTTCCTGGACCGGAACGATTGGACGCAGGCGTCGCCCGCAGACCATGCAGGTCGGCCCCACCGGCCGCTGCAGGTTAATTCATGACATCTGGGTACATCGGTTTGTTAAACGCCAGCCAGAGCTCTATATGCGTTATGCCTGTCGATACGATTACCAGAGGGCTAAGTGCGAGGATCCAAGGATTATTGGGGAGTAGTTTGCGCTTGTACGAAACACTAAGGCTAAGTATGGTATTGTGGATGATGATATCTATAACTTTGACGAGACCGGGTTTATAATGGGTATGATCTGCCCGGGCATAGTAGTTACGACCTCGGATGGCCGTAGTAGGGCAAAACTAGCCTAGCCTAGTAACTGCGAATGGGCAACGGTAATCCAGGGAGTCAATATACTTGGCTGGGCTATCCCGCCCTTTATTATCTTGGCCGCGCAATATCACCTCGCCAACTGGTATACTGAGTGCAACCTCCTAGCAAACTGGCGTATTGTAACTACCGACAACGGCTGGACTACCAATATAGCAGGCCTAGATTGGATCAAGCACTTCGACTTCTATATAGCACCTTATACAAAGGGCAAAAAGCGGTTGTTGATCCTCGACGGCCACGAAAGCCACCACTCTACCGAATTCGAGCTCTACTGCCAGGAGAATAACATTATCACGCTCTGCATACCTCTGTATTCCTCCTATAAGCTCCAGCCACTTGATGTTGGCTGCTTTAGGCTGTTGAAACAGTCATACGGTCGCCAGATTAAGGACTTAATACGCATGTATATCAACTACATCAGCAAGCTCGAGTTCCTCTACGGCTTTCGCAAGGCCTTCTTTGCTTCTATAACGGAGAAGAACATACAGGGTGGCTTTGCAGGGGCTGGCCTAGTACCATACGATCCAAAGAGGGTCCTTTCTACGCTAGACGTAAAGCTTCGTATACCGACACCTCCAACCTTACAACCTAGCACTGTATAATCTTGGGTCTTCCAGATACCATATAACCCCCGAGAAGCCGAATCGCAGTCAACACTTATTAAGACTCGCATTGCCAACCATCAAAACAGCTCTCCAACTTTAATATTAGGTGCTATGGATCAACTTACTAAGGGTACGATAGCTATGATACACCAGGTGGCCCTCCTTCGGTCAGAGGTCTCTTCGCTCTATAAGGCCAACGAGGCACTAAGCAAGCGCCGGAGAGCCAAAAGAACACGCGTGCAGCTTGGAGGATCACTTGCAGTATAGGATGCAAAGGATCTACTAGACTAGAAGGCCGTGGTTGGGGAGGTGGTACAAGAAACGCAGCCGGACGGTGGTGGTACAGGGGGGGGTCGTACGAAGGTTCGGTGCTATAGTGTGTGCGGCAAGCCTGGCCATAATGTACGTACGTGCCAGGAGGTTGCAGAAGGGTCTGATTCAGCTGTTTCTGATGTAATTATAGTTGGTTCCTAGTGTTAGTGTATTGTAATTGAGGATAGATGTTTTGGTGTGGTGGAAATTGATCGGCTCGCTGATATGATCGGCTCGCTGATAAGATACGTTAACCCTAACCGATTGGCACTAACGTACATTATCAGCGAATGGGACACTAAGTTCTTGGCACAACGCGTCCTTCCTTATCTACCTCTAACAACGCGTTTTTCCTATAACTAAAGATGTCTTCCACTTCAAAGGAAGCTAGGGTAACCTTGGCCCTTAAAGCTCTTGAAAATGATATAGAACTAAGCCTTCGAGCCGCGGCCAAGCTCTATAACGTGCCAGTTTCAACCCTCGGCTACCGACGTACCGGCCGGCCTATACGACGCGATCTTCCAGCCAATTCGAAGAAGCTTACCCAATCTGAAGAGGAGGCTATTATTCAATATATTATTGAGCTATCTGTGCGAGCTTTTCCGCCGAGACTACGTGGTGTAGAAGATATAGCCAACCAACTGCTACGCGTACGCGACGCGCCCCCTATCGGCAAGCTCTGGGCGCATCGGTTTGTCAAACGCCAGCCAGAGCTCCGTTCGCGTTATTCGCGAAGATACGATTACCAGAGGGCAAAGTACGAGGATCCGAAGGTCATTGGCGAGTGGTTTGCCCTTGTACGGAATGTTAAGGCCAAGTACGGTATCGTAGATGACGATATCTATAACTTCGACGAGACTGGGTTTATAATGGGCATTATCTTCCCGGGCATGGTGGTTATAACCTCGGATGGCCGTGGCAAGGCGAAGCTAGCCAGCCTGGCAACCGTGAATGGGCGACGGTGATCTAAGGCGTTAATGCCCTTGGCTAGGCTATCCCTCCGTTCATCATCTTAGTAGCGCAGTTCTACCTCGCCAACTGGTATACTGAGTGCAACCTCCCAGCCGACTGGCGCATTGCAACTACCGAGAATGGCTGGACTACCAATGCGGTAGGCCTTGATTGGATCAAGCACTTCGACTACTATATAGCGCCTTGGACAAAGGGCAAATACCGGTTGTTGATCCTCGATGGCCACGAAAGCCACTACTCAACCGAGTTCGAGCTCTACTGCCAGCAGAACAACATTATCACGCTCTGCATGCCTCTACATTCCTCCCACCTCCTCCAGCCACTTGATGTTGGCTGCTTTGGGCCGTTGAAGCAGGCGTACGGTCGCCAGATCGAGGACTTGATACGCGCATATATCAACTATATAAGCAAGCTCGAGTTCCTTTGTACCTTTTGCACGGCCTTCTTTGCCTCTATCACCAAGAGGAATATCCAGGGCGGTTTTGCAGGGGCTGGCCTTATGCCGTACGATCCAGAGAGGGTACTTTCGAAGCTAGATATCAAGCTTCGTACACCAACACCCCCAACCTCACGGCCAGGCACTGTATAATCTTGGGTCTTCCAGACACCACACAACCCCCGAGAAGCCAACTCACAGTCAACGCTCATCAAGACTCGCATTGCCAACCATCAAAATAGCTCCCCGACTTCGATATTGGCTGCTGTGGACCAGCTTACCAAGGGTACGATGGCTGTAATGCACCAGGTGGCCCTCCTTCAGGCAGAGGTGTCTTCGCTCCGCAAGGCCAACGAGGCGCTAAGCAAGCGCCGGAGAGCCAAAAAAACACGTGTACGGCTTGGAGGATCACTTACTGTGCAGGAGGCACAGGAGGTGGTAGGCCAGGGGGCTATAGGTGGGGAGGCAATGCAAGAAACACAGCTGGATGGTAGTGGTGCTGGGGGGGGTCGTACGAAGGTTCGGTGCTGTGGTGTATGCGGCAAGCCTGGTCATAATGCCCGCACTTGCCAGGAGGGTGCAGAAGGGTCTGATTCATCTGTTTCTGATGTAATTGTAGTTGGTTCTTAGTGTTGTTGCATTGCAATTGAGAGTAGTTGTTATAGAGTAGTGGAGAGTGTCCCGCTCGCTGATATGTCCCGCTCGCTGATATGTCCCGCTCGCTGATAATGTACGTTACCCGCTAGAATGGCACTGAAAATGCCAAGGAAAATATCAAATTTCACAAGTTTTATGACATTTCATCTGTTAGCCAAGATTTTGAAATTTTGGAACCATACTTCATAACGCTGCCACAGTTGCTGGCCCCATGGAGTGGGCCTCGGCTCCCTTCTATCATCATCAATTCATACAATCCATCACCTTCTTGGTTGGCCTATGGTCCTTGCACTCCGGGTCCGTATCAAGTACCCTCGTACGTTAATTTCAAAACCGCCAACTCCAACTTCCAGGTAGGCCACACATCATGTCAACTAGTCCTACACTCCTAAAGTTCAAGACCTCCACACCAAGGTGACCAAGATGCGAGACATCAGACAAGATTCCTTGTCATCTCCGATACCCATGCGGAAAGGGGGTTGACCGTCCCAAATGTGCCCGTCGACGTGGCCATCCACTGTGGTGACCTTACAAACGAGTCCAAACTCGGCGAGTTCCGCACGATCTTAGATCTCTTACGAACTATCAACGCACCCCTCAAACTCGTCATCGCAGGAAACCACGACGTTACACTAGACACACCAATGTCCATGAAGAAAGCGCACGCAGAAGTCGACTTTTCGATTGAGTCGGGGCTAATGAAGAAGGAGTATGGCGATTTCGGCGACTCCCGACACCTCTTTGAGGATGATGCTAAAAAAGACGGCATCGTGTTTCTTGACGAAGGTGTCCACCACTTCAACCTCGACAACGGCGCCAGCCTTACAGTCTACGCCAGCCCCTTTACCCCATCTGCGGACGCCGACTGGGGATTTCAGTACAAACTGGGAGAACACCACGACTTCGCCATCAACAGCAAAGTCGACGCCGTCATCACCCACGGCCCTCCCAGGGGGGTTTTGGACCTCACAGCTTCCAAGCAGCGCGGTGGTTGCGAGCATCTCTTTACTGCCGTCGCGAGAGCCCGGCCACGCCTGCTTTGCTTTGGTCATATCCATGAGGGCTGGGGGGCGAAGTTGGTAGTATGGCGCGACACTCCCAGCGAATCCCCCTCACACTTTGCCGACACCAACAACGGCGAGTCAGCTGTAGTGGACACTCTGGCATCACTCCGCCCAGGAAAGTGGGATACGCCCGAAGATATCGCGGAGAAAGAGGCCCGACTTCGGGCGCTCAGGACGGCTGGGTACCGTGCGACCGACCATTCCTCAGGAAGCGAGCACCCTATAGTGCCAGGACGGACGACGCTCTTCGCCAATGCAGCCATCCAATCGGCAGACGAGGGGCAGGCCCAGTTGCCGTGGGTAATTGACATCGACCTCCCCGCTGCCATCCATTCAAATGGTGTGTAGGGTGCCTGCTGGTCACTGCGCGGATGCTGTCCATGGGTGCAACGAATGCCGTCTAAAATAGAAAAGGACGACAGTCCAAATAGAGAGGTCGCTTGAAGAGGAATACTCTGGTTCCAATGCGTACACGGCGCTAGACGACGAGATATAATGACGGTGATGACTTTCTGGTGCGACAACGACATGGCCGATGTGACTTATATGGAAGGTTTGCGCCCTATTCAAGAGGGGATCAGGGGCAGGAGGAAGTCCCAACGTCTCAAAAAGCAAGCCAAGCACTTCACTGCTGGTCGAAGATACCGCTGCTAGCACTGCGGACGACGAGCGTGGTGACACTAAGAATGGTACTTGTGGAAACGGCGCCCGACGGTCGAGAAGGCTCGCCCAAATCCAGAGGCCGTAGGAAAAGAAGATGGACCTACTGACGTTTTTGCGAGAGCTAACCTCGAACGAGGTTATGACTGATGGTTCTGTGGTCGTCGGAATTTCTAACGTAGAGGGACCTAAGCTGATCATGACCAGCGGTCAAAGGTGGCCATGTTGACGATGTCGGTCTTGACGCCGCGTTACACTTGACTGATGTAAGATTGTCGGGCATCGCCTTCAGCATGTCTTCTAGTTCCTAATCGTGTCTATATGTCTATGGACATGAACTAATAGAAGGATCGCCAGAATAATCGAATGAGATTCCTGAGGAGATAACTAAGAAGACGAGGAGCACAACATGAGTGACCGTTCAGTTGGATTGCGCAAGAGACACTTAGTAGACTCATTGGGAGTCAACGACTCCGCTGTACTACTGTACACTGTCCCTCAGCTAACCACTGCCATCACCGGGAGCGACCACGTCCACACCATAGCGCAGCTCCCGTGACCAAATCTCGCCGGGTCTCAAGCGGACTCGGAGGTCGCGAATACGTAGCGAGCATAGTAGTATCGGCTGCCTGCGGCCCCGTCCATGTCTACGCGGGCGAGGTAAACGCAGTCGTCGCAACCCTCCCAACACCCAATGCTATAGTCGATTTCCTCATCATCCTCGGACTCCGTTGCCGGCACCACTGCCGTATCATCCTCGCCGGCGATTATGCAGTTCAAGCAGTGCCAATGCTTGGTATTGCACTCGTCCATGAACGACTGAAGCCTGCGGAGTCTGGTCCGGCTCGTGAGGAGGCCGAAGAAGGACTTGCGCAGAAGGCTCTGGTTCCAATCCCAGAGATCCTCGCGCGGGACGATCCGTTTGACTACCGCGCGCATAAGCTCGACTGTCTCGGCCATTTCTTCCAGCTCCTTTCTCTGGTCCTTGTGGAACAACCTCAGTCTATTCTTGGCGGCCTGATCGGCGATCCCGTCGTCACCTCCCTTCCTCTTTCCCTTGCTGCCGGTAGAGGACGACGTGGTGGGCGGCTGCGTAGCGGAGTTTGATGAAGGGGCGCGCGCATTGTCCACCTCTGCCTTCAGCTCGAGGATCGTCGCCCGCAAGATCTGCACCTCGGCCTCGGCCCGCTGCTGACTCTCTTTGATCTCCTGGATCTCATCTTTCAATGTCTGCATCGTGTCGAGCTGTGGTGTGAAACAGATTAGAATCGATGTCTGACGTCGACTTTTGAGGGGTTTGCTTACATCTCCTGCAATTTCGTCGCGGGCTTCTTCAGACTTATTAGGCTCAGTGGCTTGGACTGTCGTGGTAGCCGGGCTTCCAGAGCACTGGACTTGGTCGTTCATGCCCTCGTGCGCGAGTTTGACGTCTTGGTCGGTCTGGTCAGTGTTATTCTCCATGTTTGCCGAGTTTTGAATGAAGGAGATGAATTAATTTTTGAGTGAAGCGGTCTTGTTGGCTACCTTCTAGGGATCTCGAAAATCCTGTTTGTATGGGATTTAGCTAAGAAATGCGATTGCAATTGACTCTGGAAGTAAGGTGGTGATGACGATGGTGTGGGTCAAAAAAGAGGTGTTGCGTTTTTTCCTGGCACCCACTGTACCTACCGTACCTACCTTATGTAGATACTCTTGATTCGAAGCATTTGATGTACATACATGTACTTATTGAATTAACTTGCCATAATCATGGCGTATTCACATGTCTGTTTCTTGTGCAGTACGGTTTGAAGGATCGGGGTTTGTGGCCGACTGCCCTACGGCTCTGCCGCGATGGACCGGCGCTGGGGAATGTCTTCTACTAGTACGGAGTATTGTTCGGTGGATTAGGCGGAAGGGTACAATCCTCGCATGACGATAGGAGCACCATGAAAGTTATCAGAAAACTACCAACGCGCGATAGATATGTAGATAGAGGACGAGACGTAAGCTACGTACCTACCTACGCAGCCGCCGTAGAATAACCTGGTGACATCGTGATTACAACAAATCCAAGCACCTCGGATACTTTATATCTATCTTCACCGTGAACTCGCATCATAGGTAATTTGATGTAAGAACCGGCAGAATGGCGACGAATCATCTTAACTGCCAGAACCAGAAAACCATTACCTTATCTATCAGTTTCCGCTCTTCCCAACCGACTAACTTCAGACGAAACCACCCACAATTATTTTAACTATCGAAATCAACCAACCGCCCCCAAAAGCTCTAGCGAATCTCAAGGTTTCATTTTGACCACAGTCTGATTCAATACCTCGTATACTATAGGTTTGCGCGAAAGTCGGATATGCCACGTGGGGCGCGCTCAGGGTTTTCCAGGACACCGATTGGTTTGATCCTGCCCGGCCTGCGCAATGCGGTTTGTTCTACGCTCATGTCACAACTGACACTAATTTGAGTTAACCAGGAACGGTTTGGGCTTCAAGATCTCGAAATCGAACTACAGCGCGATGATTACTCGTGTGTAGAACTTTAAAGATGTGGGCGGCCACTGGAAAGACGGGCCTGGTTGCCCTAACTCTGACCCACTTGCCGTATTCGGTGCTGTGGTCATGGCCTATTGGTTGTCATGGCGAACCCTGGACTTGAGCTACTGACGACACTTTGACCGCGATGATGCTTAGAGAGAACGGCAAGCTCACTATACAGCAGTGTGCATGTCATTGCTAGGGGCGGGATGCGGAAGGGAATAGCCGTGACAGAAGGCAACCCAGAGCAGGAAACTTGCACATTTATAAAATCTCGCAAATAGGGCAGCCGTATCATCCAGAGCTCGTATGGTATTCTGTGGACTTCAGCTTTCCCAAATGGAGGGAAACGGCGATGAAAAGGAGAACTCCATTCTATAACGACGTAAGCTGGCGGATTGCCCTGCTTGTCCGGGCGTGTGTATCGGATGGGCCGCTCCTTCCATTGAGTTGGAACCTTACTGCTGCGAAAGTCTCTGCTTAAAGAGCGATAGCGGCTTAGAGTTGCCTTCTCCTGAACGTTCTGAACAGTAAAGGTCACGACTCTCCTTGTAGAGGACGAGATCCATGCTTATCAAGGACGTACGGAGCCTGGTTCTATAGGATTGCCATAGACCAACCCCTGCTGCCACTCGGAAAAAGACTCGACCGCAGACATTCCCAGACAAATGGTATTTGCTCTGACTACGAGGAACCTGGCACCAACAATTTAGACCCCAGTCAAAACGGTACTTGTCGACAAGGAGTCCGAGGCTGAAACCCTGAGGCAACATGTTCTTCAATCAAGAGAAGAACTTCGCCCTCAAGGCGAAAGCTCTCCTCGCAGAGATCAAGGAGATTTGCCCAAGAGACGGTGAACTGCGCCTGCTCGACCTAGCTCAAGAGGTCAAGGATGGGATGCTGAATAATGCTGAGTATGGAGTGACAACCTTCCCGGAAACAGGGCAACTTGGATGTCTATCACGATATTACTAACTGTTAATAGGAAGGAGCTCCAAGATCCTACAGGGCGGATGTCGAGGCCTTCTCGGCACCTCTCTGTGGGATCTATCACTTGTACCATATGGTACAAACTAGGATCGACAGCGTACCGGCTCATCCATCATCACTCGATGCTTTGGCCGACTTTAGTGGCAGGTGGACCACCCAATCACCGCTGTTCCGACGAACTGAAACCAACACCGGATTACGGTGTACAATCTAAATAAGGCCGAGTATAATGCCCTTACTAATCTACCCAAACAAACAGTCAATCTTGGGCATAAAGATCCGAGATAATGGTCTCATGCCCGTTCGCAGGAACAATCCAGGTACAATCAAGACTCAAGACAAACCAACCCCTGAGATTGAAGGAAACCAAAGTCCCGTAGCATGTGTCCCCATGACACCACGTGTTGCCAGCCTAAAAGTTAGCTGTCACACCAGGCTGAATAGCCTCCAGCTTCGCCTTCAATTCGATCCAAAGACGGTCCTGCACATCCGGATTCTGCGTCACGACTTCCGATGGTTGGGCGATGCTGCAGTCCTCCAGGTAGTGTCCATGTGACTCTGGGCCCTGCACACCGGCGTCGACCAAGGTCCTGCTCCCCTTCTCCGTCGGCCTCGCCAGCAGCGTCTTCATAATCGTAAAGGCCACATGCTGCATGCCCTTAGCTTCGCGAGACAGGTTCGAATGGCAAAGTCCGGGGCTGGGGAGGTTGATTGTGACCGGATACGTGTCTGCAGGATGCTCTTTGGCGATGCTGCGGACGGCAAAGATGCCCAGCAGCTTGGAGATTGGGTACTGCTGGATCCAGTATTTACCGCCGGCGTAGTTCATGTCGTTGAGCGCGGCGAGGATGTTGGCCTCCTTCATCTGGGGAAACGTGGTGTGCCTGTGCGCTCCAGAGCTCGTGATCACCAGGTTTGGGCGTACCTTGAACTGTTCAGCGGTGGCCTTGAGCTTGGGCAGGACAAGCGCCACTAGTAGAAAGGTCGAGATGTAGTTGACCGTGATGTTGGTCTCGTTATCCTCAGCGATGGCGAACTCGGCACGAACGAGGCCAGCGTTGGCATGGAAGATGTCGACCCGGTCCAGTTCGGCCTCGACACGAGCAGCAAAAGCTTTCACGCTGGCATAGCTCGCCATGTCGACCTTCCATACTTCGATCGAGACCCCTTTCGCCGCGGTCGTTTGTATGTCCTGCTTGGCATCTTCGCCTTTGTCGACGCTGCGGACCGCGAGGATCAGCTTACTCGCACCTTGGCGTGCATAATGGCGCGCCGCTTCCTTCCCCAGGCCGGTATTGCTACCGGTGATCACGATGGTCTGGCCGGCATAGTTGGCGCTGGGATAAGGCAGCTTCCACGATTCAATGAGTTGACTACGTAGAAAACCCATGGTGACACCGTGACAGCGCAAAGCGAACGGAACGCGTACTGCTCGAATTGTTGTTGATTACTAGTACTGACGAAAAGAAGGTCGAAACCGTTCAGGGGGAGAATACTACAAAATAAGGTAAAATAACACTAAAACAACTAACAACCTGATTGATCCCGTAGATACCTGAATTGCACGCTAGATAGGGAGGGCGGGGGAGGAGCACTTAGATCACTCCGCCGGGGCAGGAACAATTGGATCTCTCCACTGGACTGCAGGCTGAACCCGTGCGGCTACCGGAGCTAACGTGTAAAGACCGAATTGAACGGAATTCCGAAAGCCGGCTCCAATCTAATGAAAGACTGATGTGACGCGAATCAGCTGCAAGCGGCTATTGGGACATGAATGTATAGCTGTAGGCACGTGCATTGTATTGTACAGATTCACAGCGCTGCAACAATGAATTGTGCTGCGGGCGCAGGCTCTTTCGCCTCCTGCCGTCTGCTTCCCTCGCCTACTGACCAGTTATCACAGATTGCGTAGTTCAAGGGTATTGGGCATAAAAGGGCACTGCAAGTGCCAACACTGAGCGATGGTAGGCTTGGTGGCCCAATATCGGACCTTGCCTCGTGCCGATGGATATCGATCTGTCTGGCTTCGAGATCAACGGAGCAGACGCCAGTGTCCGGGCAGACCGGTACGGCAGGAAATGTCACGCGAAGACCCTGCAGTCACGGCTATTTATCTTACAGATTGTTATGGGCAATCTGTTGTTTTGGCCATCACCTGTCGACCTCTCCAAGTACAGGGCGATGCCTGCAGTTTGATCTTTGCAGCTAGCTAGATAAGTATGTACTACAAGTTGCATGAGAGCTTCGGCTGCGTAAATCGGGGTTGGCCTTCTACTAGGATCTCACTCTGAATATTGAATTAGGTAAGGTAGCTTCCTCGAAGTCCAACAGGCTCTTATACAACACACCATCTCCCGCTTCCATTGTTTACTTCCATTCCATCCACACAATCACTTTCTGATCACATATGCCAACATGGCGCACCATCGCGTACCATTCAGACATACTTGGATAAAATCCTCCCGGACCAGCAGGTCCGCGAGCGATTGCAAAGTGAGTCTCGAACGCAAGAGAGGCATACGACATCACCTCCCAGCGTTTTGTGAGAGTCAACCCCAAGTGCCTCTTCAACATCGAGCTGGCATTCTGAGATAACGATACAGGGTCCCCGTGTGGCCTCTACATCCAGTACACCAAGATCTCATCGTTCAACGAGCGGGTGGGAAAGTGGTGTACGAACTGTCGGGACTCGCAACAGTAACTCGCCCTCGGGTCAGGGCGGTTATGGCGGCTGTGCGAGAGGGCGAGAAATCCGATACCAGGGATAATGGCGCAGGTGTTCCTCAACCTGCTTATGGGTATCCCGTTCAGCAAGGAATGCAGCCGCACACTTGATGATCAAATCTATTGTCGGAACCGTGGTCTAGGCCGGGACAAAGCAAGGTGTCCCCTCACAAGCAGCCCTGCGGGTTGTCTGTTGGTCCACCAATCTTGGGTTGGTGGCTAGTTGGGATTTCTGTGTAGTTAGGAGAGCGAGGCGCTCATTCTACGGAACGACGGGACCGGCATTCATTAGTCTCTAGTAGCCGCAAATGGGTGATCAGATGTAAGGTGCTATGGAAGGATAAATGGTATTCACTCGCTTCCCTTGACAGTGCTTGTTTTAAGCTGTGTAAAGGTGCAGGCGGGGCCTCCAAACAAAAAGGCGAATCCTGCACACTCTATTCTTGCGCAACTTAACCGACCGACTTCAAAAAATCAAAGTCTCGGTTTTGTGCCTACTTCTCAAGCTTTCCCAACCGACCAGCTTCAAAAGTTTTTTCTCTTTTACCACAAAGCTTGGAATTCCACCGAGCACATAAAATCCATCCCATCCCAACGCTTACTCAACTCGCGCTTGGTTTTACAAACCGCCTCCTTAGCTTCTGAGTTACCATCTTGTAGTTCCGAGATATCGGCCAACATGGACGTAAACCTGGTGGAGCTCATCGGGACCCTTGAGAAGAACGAGAAACGACTGAAAGAAATAACAAATCCGCTGCACTGGGTCGAGCACAACTACACCGGTCGCCTTGGTCCCTACGTCCTTGAATTCGTCTTCGAGATTGCGATGCGGCTCGAAGGATGCCTTAACGACCTGCGAGACGTGCACTATCAAGTTAAGGAGTTGCTGATGTAAAATCTCGACTATGAGAAGGCCCTGAAGGCCAAAGATCCGTTCCGCCTAAAGACCAAACTTGACATTGTAATGTCCAAGCTCGACCACGTCGTTGCCAAGGTGAACAAAACCGACGAACAGGTCGACCAAGTCGCTGCCAAGGGGGACAAGACCGGCGAACAGGTCGCCCTTGACGAAAGTGATGACCGCCTGGCTGACGTCCAACGCGATGTGTCTCGGATCAAGCGTAGTGTTACCGACCTGGCGGTAAGCAGTTCCGTGAAGCCGACGGCAGAAAGTCAAACGTCAATCTAACCCGCTTGTGTAAAGCAGGCTCCAGCCGTTCCGCCTGGAATGTTTGATGAGATTCGGCGTGGTTTTGATGAGCTGAAGAAGCTCGCAGACAGGCAAAACCGGGGCCAGGCCACTGCCTTGAAGCAGGAGCTAGAAGAGACGGCCAAGAAGTTGCACGAAACTGAAGCTGAGAACAAGGCACTGCAAGCCAAGGTCGTCGCGCTGAAGGCAAAAGTCGACAACCCGGATTTCTCTACGCCTTCCGGCACCCAGCCCGTTACCAGCTCCGACGTTGCCGGCCGGGAGCGCAAGAGGAAGAGGAACAACGACGACGAAGACGACGGCACTGCTGGTCAATCTGATCACATGCAAACAAACTTGGTTGAGGTCCAGAAGAAGGCGTTGAACAGATCGACTGAGATCGGTCATCTTATGCGCACAGTACTCGAACGGATCGTCCCGCGTGAGGACCTAGAGTATTGGGACCCTCGCAAGGTGCTTAAGACCATCTTCAAGCTCGTATCGACCAAGACCAACCTCCTCAGGGTCCTAAGATTCATGGACGAGTGCCAAACCGAGGATTGCACTGCTTGAGATGCATGGTCAGGGGAGAAGACGACACGGCGGTGGCGTATGAAATTGGCTATGAGATTGACCATCGTTGCTCCGGAACCCTCTACCTTGGCCGAAAAAACACGGGCAGGGGCCCAGGCAGCCGGTACTATGAGGCTTATTACTTCGATTGAACGGAGGACTTCATGCACAATCGGCCGTCTTTGAACCCCTGGCTATATAGTCTGGGCACCGACGGCAATCAATGGAGTGTGTTAAGGGGAAGGGCATAGGGATTCTTCACTCGTCCCAGTGAAACTGGGATTCCTCCGCGCAAGCTAACCATATGGTTACCCGTCTTGGAATTTCCCCTTCCTTGATTTTCTCGCGTTGCTTCCATGCTTGTATTATATGTACTAGTACACACGGGACAGGTCCGCTCGCATGAGAGCAGAATGACAAACTGGACAAGTCGGAAACGACAGGCCCTCAGACTGACAACAGACAACTGACAAAGTGCAAAGTGAAAGGATCCGTATATACAAGCCAGAAGCCCGACGTCTACCACAACAGCACAAGGATACTCCACATCCAACCGAGGAGAGCCAGACATTCCGCTCCCCACCGCCGACATCCCTAGTTCGTAGGAGCGGCGCCCGGGGCCGATCCAGTCGGACCATCAGCACCGGGACCACCGCTGGGGAAGCCACCGGGGCCGCCACCGCCGGGGGAATCCTCGTTAGCGACGCCGCCCTCCTTGTAGTAATACACGGCCGGGATGACGGCCTCGGACCGGGACGAGTCGATGCCGAAGGCGAGCCAGGCAAACAGCCCGTCCTCGACGCTGTCGCCGAGCAGGGTGTACTCCATGACCGGGTCGACGCCGTCGGTGGTGGTGGCGGCCTCCTGGGCCAGGATGCCGTCGTCGGCGTTGGCGGTGAGCGGCTGGGCGTTGGTGCTGTAGGGCGCCGTCTTCTCCACCGCGGCGATCAGGGCCTGGTCGAAGAAGGCCTGGCCGACGTGGCTGGCGTAGTTGTCGCGCCCGAGCGTGCCGTTGGCCTGTAGCGTGGCATTGGCGTGGGCCATGACGTGGATGTGCGGGGCGCGCCCCGTGTAGTGGCCCGGGAAGACCGACTCGAACTGGGCGACGCCGTCGGCGTCGGTTGGCTGGATGCCGCGCAGGAAAGTCTTGTCGAGGTTGCCGGTGTCGGCCGCGTTGCCGTTGCCGCGGGCCACCACGCCGCCGTACACGCCCGTCGCGTTGCAGTGCCACATCTCCAGATACACGTTGGGCACCGGCTCGCACGTCGCCACGTCGATCACCTGGTAGTCGAGCAGCAGCGGCACGCCCGGCTGGTCCTCGACCACGTTCTCGCGCACGTACTCGCCGGCGACGTCTGGGTCACGGTGAGTATAATACACTCTCCACTGACTGGAAAGGGACTCGAGTCACTCACAGTACGGCCCCTGCGTCACCTCCGGCGTCAGGACGCACGAGTGGTAGCCGGCAAAGAGCGTGGCCGGGTCCGTGTCCCGGGAGTAGCCCTCCTCGGTCATGTTGTGGCTGGTGGCGAGCACGTCGTCGAGGTCGCGCTTCTTCTTCTTCTTCTCGAGGAGGCCGCGCTTCTGGCGGGCGTTCTGCACGACCGCCTCGCGACGGGCGGCGTTGCGCGCCGCGACGCCGCGGGCTCGGAGCTTGTCGGCGCAGTGGGCGAGCGACGTGCGCTTGGCGTCCTGGAGGTAGGCGCGGCGCTCAGCGGCCTCCTGGGCGACGCTGTGGCCCGGGTGGGCGGCCACGAGCCCGGCGAGGAGCGCGATGCCGGCGGCGGTCTTGGTGAGGAGCATGGTGGGCGGGGTGGATGGAGATATTCAGAAATGGGTTGTCTGATCGGCTGATGCTGAGCTAAGCCTGAGATGATGGTGAGGACTGTGATGAGAACTTGGGCGCAATCGATGCCTCTGCCTTGACCTATATACCCGTAAGCTCCTCCACGACATGTCCGTCTTCCCATCGACATGACGTTACATGGCAAAGATCAACACCGTAATCCATCCCACCTCCCAAGGCTGCGCCTGTCGAACGCGCAGCTTGATGTTTCGAGATCGCCGTCTAAACACTGCCAAGACCCAACCAGGAACCATTCGCATGAACGCAGTAAACAAGCATTCGCGGGTGTAGTTCCGCTTTGAGCCTCCAGATCGCCCAGTACTACATTAAACTGCCGGCTCCTAGATCTGCTTGCTAACGCGCTGTTGGCCACTGGTGGCCAGGGGGGGTGGTAGTGCCGCGCAACCTCGATGTTGAGGGCGAAGGGTTGTGGGGTGCGATTACGCACGCATCCCACATCCCGGGCAGGCCTCCTTCGGGTCGGGTCTCCTGGTCGACTTCCCAGGGTTGGGTAGCGGTGATCGACGGTCCGTTGTCGACCATGAACACCAGCAGCAGCATCGGGTCGAACTGCCTGGAAATGCCTCGTCGGCGATTGGTGGGAAGAAGAGACGGAAATCGGGTGCGCGGCTGAGATCCATGGATGATGGAATTGCATCACGCACAGGAGCCACCTCGTTACGACTCTCAACATCACCTTCCTTTGATGATAGTGCCCGAAAGCGAGTAGCCGTCTTGGCGGTCTGAGCGATCACCCTGCCGCGTCAACAGGTTGCAGCGACATAGCAGACGGAACGTATAGAGCGCTACAGTATACGACTCCCTTCAACGAAGGCGGTCTGTCAGTGTCAGCGGTGCAGATGCTGAATGCTAGGGGAGGAACATACTCCGTGTGTCGGGTGGTGTAAGAGGCACCGCCGAGCCCGCTTCAGGAGGAGTCATGAGAAGGACTCCAGCCGGACGAGCTGTCGAAGTCGGCGTGCTCGCCCTGAAAATCAAGTTTCAGCTTATAGCCCCTCCCGTCAACGAATCTGCAGCATCTGGCATCAACAGCACTCGGGCAGAACACCCCGACGAAAGAACGGATGCGGCTTCGGTTTCCTGAACTCAGACTCCCCCCTTTCCCCCACAGCGAGGCCACAAATTCAAGAGCAGCCCTACCTACTCTCAACGCGGATCAACTGAATAATCCTGCAAGGCCAACAAGGCCAACGCAGTTCTCAACCGGGCAGAACAGTCAGTCACTTCCTCCCTCATGCGCTCTGGAAGCTCCCGGTATATTGTCCGCCGCTGGCCCCTCAACAGCTGAGGAGTCCTCAGCAGCCGAGGCGTGCATCTCAGTCGCCACACGTCGAAGCCGCAGGCCATATACAGCCTTCATGTGCACGGCGTACTTTAGCGCCCTCTGCTCCGCACCGCTGTCTCTCAGGTCGCTGAAGACGCCCTCCCAGTACTTGTCACATCCCTCGAACCAGAACTCAAGCCATGCGTGGTGGTGGAAGTCGCATAGCACCGCCTTCCTCTCCGGTGGCTGCCGCGCCGCAAGTCGGCGACAGGAGATGTGGCCGGCCGCCGCTGGGTCGCGCTGTCGGTAACGGTACACCCGTTCGCACGGCCGCCAGTCTTTGATAATCTCGCAGCCGCAGCTGTACTGGATACGGGTGACGAGGCACATCGTGGGAGGAACAAGGCCGTGGACCGATTGCTGGTTGGGCTTGGTTGGTGTTGGGCACTTTAGGTAGACCTGGTGCGGTTTCCCGGTGTACCTTTTCGGGAAAGCTGGAGATTATGTGATGGAAAGCCCGAGCGTCTAGCTGTCGGTGTCCTTGCACGGTGCCCAAAGCGAGACTGCTCTTTTTCATCAAGTCAATGATTCCCTGGTGGGCTTCTCTGCGGTGGTTTATATCCACCAGATCCATCTGTACCAGTCTTGCAAACACTCCATGACACGGGTCAGCAGCCATCGGTGTGTTTTCATCTTGTCATCATTGCCCAGCACAACTCTCTCGTGGCCAGCAGAGAACGAGCAGCCCGCACAGGCACTACTGACGTCATGAGTGAGAAGAGCGCTCCAAGGCCTAGCATGTACGAGGAGGCAGGATCGAAGTCATCGTAGGACCGCTTACACGGAGCCAACACAGAAAATACTAGCATTGCAACGCGCGAGGCTGACATGGTGGCTCGAAGGATAACACACATTCCTACTAGTTGGCCGATAGGTAGTATCCTATTAATAGGGCAAAACACTGATATCCATTTACACCATCCTGTCCCATCCCAGCACTGAAGTCCCCCCAACCCTGACACAACACAACACCACAACAACTCCCAACCAGTCCCTTCATCGCAATCCCAGCACATCCCGCCAGTGGTGCTGCCTGAGCCGCTTCCGCTCCCGAACGTGGAAATCCTCGTGGATCCTGCAATTGACGTCCACCGCTGTCGTCACGCTCACAACAACCTGGTTGCAGAAGACCTCGCCGATGCTCGGGTGGTACCGCTGTCGGAGCTCTTTGACCTTGTCTCATGGCTGTCGCTCCTCATCGATCTCGCAGCCGCATCGGTATGACACCCGCGTGGCGAGGCACATGGTCTTTTTTTCTCTTTTGCCCGAGGGACCACGTCCCCCCCCCTTTTTGGTGCTCGTAATTCCATGCAAAAAGGGAAAATTGGGGTTGGCAAAATAGGAACCAAGATATTCCCCCGCCCAAAGGCCTGATGATGATGGTTTCGTGATGGTTGACTCGGGCTGTCAGTGGTGGAAGCATCTAGAGCGAGGCGACCTCGTGCGACTGGCATAGTCGGAACAACTGTTTTGATTACACGCGCCGGGAAAAGTAGCATGGATGATTCTCTCAGTGATACACATGGTGAACGATATCGGTGTGTGTTTTGGTCTTGTCGTTGTCGTTGGAAGACGTGGACAACCAGCACGGCTCTTCCGTGCCCAGCGGGGACAGGTGCCATCATCGCGCCTGCCCAACTCTCCATGCAAGTGTGAGGTCAAGGAACCCTCTGTCTGTGTTCAAGAGCGTCCGATTCAACGGAGATATGCGGTCCAGTCTCAGGTGGTTGTTGAAAGATGGGAGGGAGGAAGCCGAAACAAAGGGTCTCGAATCTTAAAAACATGCCGGCCAGCACATGATGATTCAAAGGAGCGCTGTCGGCTCGTGAACCCTCTACCGACCGAAATAGACCGCGACTTGTGCCCGAGGGAAATCTCACTCCTTTCACCAAACTATACGAACCATCCGCGTCCATGGACTTGCCATGTCGCCTACGCCTCGCGTGGAAATGTCTACCTCAGGTGAAGGATATGAAAATCGATGTCAGCGAATAGAAAGTTCATTGGCCGCGGAAAGCTGTCACGGGGTGGAATAGATACTATTCGAAATGGGGTGCGACTCGCAATCCACCTTCCTGCCCTCCCTCTAAAGATTTACCCAGTCACACCAGCTGCCTGTTCCCGACTGCTACAGCGGCGATCCATTAGCTACTAGTAGTCGCCGACTAAAGGGTTGCCCGGCACTTGCTCTGCACCAGCAGCGCATAGCTGTTGCCAGTTAAGCAGCCGCCAGTGCTTCGAACCGGGTCTTCCTCGCCCTACTAGGATCAAACAGATGTTCATCCCGCAGGTCTTGCAGCACGGCAGACATGCTACATTCAATCCCATCCACACTGAAACGCTGTTATGTCACCTGACACGAGGACTGTGCACAACACAGTGGTGCTCGATTTTATACCCAGTACCCAGACATGTCTTCTAAGACTGCTAGCACCAGCTGCGTAAATCGGGATGCAGCCTCTAACGGCCTGAAGTAGAACGCCGTCTCCCCTCCACTGCCCCTCCACGCGATCACTCGTCATCCTCCAGCTCTTCCACCCTCGGGGCCATGTAGTTGCGCTGCTGTGGCGCAGTCGAGACCTGCGTGGCAGTGGCGGTCGTGGTCGCAGTCGCCGGGGCAGGCTGTCCGGTAGTCGCAGCAAATGTGGCGCCGGCATTCGCCGCGCCACCCTCCTTCTTGCTCTTCTTCTTTTTCTTCTTATTCCCAGCAGGCTATTATATAGAGGCTGTCAGCGGGAGCACATAGGACTGGGTTTTTTTTTAAAAAAAAGGGCAACTCACCTCGTGCCACGCCCAAACAGGCTTGAAGCTGTCGATCACCGAGACGTCCTCCCACAGGTTCGGGAACAGCCAAAAGCCGGGCGGCAGGACAAAGTAGGTCACGCAGAAGAGGATCACCCGGAAGATGGCCATGGCGAAGAACAGGCCCATGAAGCACATGAACGCCCAGCTGAGGTAGTAGCCGCCCTGGCGCAGCTTGAGCGGCCACAGCGGGTAGCAGACGAGCGCGAAGATGGCCGCCAGCGCCAGCGCCGCGTACACCTTGCGCATCACCTGGCTGCCCTCCCACAGCCAGACGTAGTACATGTCGTCGGCGGCCTCCTGCTGCGGCTCGATGCGCACCGTCCACAGGCCCTTGACGCGCTTGCCCGGCTTCTTGGCCGCCGGCGGGTGGTCGTGGCCCTCGTGCTCGTCCGCCTTGACCACGCGCAGCGCGAGCATCGACAGCGGCAGCAGCTTGAACGCGTTCTCAAGCGACGCCCGGTCCGTGATCTCGGGCAGCGCCGGGTTCTTCTTGCGCGCGGCCGCGTACGCGTCGGACTGCATGGCGCGGAGGGCGCGTTTGACCTGGTATTTCCCCGTCAGTATTGCGTGGGGGCGCGGGGGCAGGTAAGACAAGAATACCCTAAACATGTCCTTGCGCTCGCCGTTCAGGATGCATGTGCGCGGCTTGAGGTTCTGGCTGCGCAGAAACTTGGCGAGGGCTATCGCGACCGGGTTGGGCGGGCCCGGCACAATTGGCTGTTGCTGGCCCGGGACGGCGTGCTGGTGCGGATGAGGGTGTTGGTGCTGGTGCTGGCCTTGGGCTTGCTGTTGCTGTGCCCGCTCGGCAGCTTGTCGCTTGAGATGTTCTGCAGCGGTTTAGCACAGGCCAGGCTGCCGTCTGATGGCATGCTTACCAATGAACTGCGGCACCGTCATCCCCATCTTCTCGGCGTCAATGGCCAGCTGCCGCTGCATGGCCGCAATCTGCTCTGGACTGGGCCTGGGCATTTGCCCGGGCTGGGGCGCAGGAGCCTGCATCGCTCCGGATTGTGATCGAGCTGGGAAAACGTGGTCGGCGTCAAGACTGCTCAGGTTCGAGAGAATGCAATTCAAGCTACCGTCTGGCTGCGCAAACGAATTTGCGAGTCAATTGTGAGCCTCGTACAGCGACGTCGAGTTGAGATGATTCTTTGTGCTGACATTGAGGTTTATCGGCACAAATCCGTACACGTATCTCAGAACTGAGAACACCCCTGTTGCAGCTTGGTCCGTGTTGTGGACCCAAAAGCTTGGCGGAGGAACAGCCGGCTGGGCTGACTTACATAACGCAGGACAGTTGCTACGTCACGTGACTGGACATGTGGCTGCGCTGTGGCAGGCCAGGGCTGTGGCAGCGAGGTGGTCCGAGCGTTCTGCGATCCGATCTGGAAGGTTTGAGCATAGCCGCGACTCAGCGGCGAGCGCACATAAGAAAGTTGAAGAATCTCGAATCGAGAACACCTTTCCGGTCGTTGGAGTCGAGACAAAGTTTGACTCGCGGCACGTGTTCTGATCCAAAGATTCGGGGCGCTAGCACCGTTCCGGCAAGAGCTGTCTCATCAGCGCAAGCTCTGAGCCACTGGATTTGACGATCCGGGATGCCCACAGCACAGCGGAGCCGTGACAATCATCTGGGCTCTCCAGCAGAAGGCGCTGATGGCCACGCACAATGACAGACTTCATTCCGCAGTCTTCTAGGCTGACAGGCATCGCCAGCTTGCTCCACCCATGCTGCAGCATTTGCATCAGACGGCGATAGCACTGGTCCTCGCCCTTCAGCAGGAAAGTGTGGACATCCCTTGCTCGCCTTCAACGACCTCCTGCGCAAACCAATGCCTAGTGAGAGCCCGCCCGCGAGGAAATATCCACCCGTGGTGCAACGGCACCCTGCATCCGCCTGTCGGAGTGGCCAACAAATACTGCGATCGAAACATGACGGCGCGGATTGTTTGTTGTTCCTATTCCCCGTTACAGATCGAACTGTTAGATCTCATGGCGTTCGCAGCCCGGTCGCACGGCCGCGGCCCACGCCTTCCGCGCCGTAAGGCTCAGTTTCAGGAATGAATAGCAGCGCCCCATCGCTCAGCATCCTCAGATCTGACAGTCTTTTTTGTCGGCTGCCGAATCAGCGGATCGGGTCCATTGAAACTCGGCCAATCTTGACGGCCACGAGACCCCCCTTCGCAGATGTTTTGTGGCAATGCGGTCGCGACGGTGGCCGCTGTCCAAGAAAAGAGTGAGACATCACACGCAGTGCGGCACCTTCTACGCCATCTCACTGGTCGACAGCAAATACCGGGGGTGTACGGCCTACCCCGATACATCACACTCCCCCGGTTTTGTAAGCGCCAACTGGTTCCTGGTCTGGGCCCGCCAGCCTATCAGATGCCACCCCCTGGGACCCTACAGTCGACCGCAGTACCGAGTACACACCACTTGGTCAGCAACGTTCAGCCGGACTGCACAGGGTGTGACAGTATTTCGTCGGACAGCGCGATGCTATGTAAAGATGGCTGGTCTGGCAGCCGCGCCGCCGCGTGCTGGTTTCTTCATCATGCCCTTTGTGCCGTTTTCTTTGTCTCCGGGTGCTGGTCGCTGGACGTCGTTCGTTTCCTTCCGCACGAGGCATGAGGCATTCTCCTACCTTCCGTCGCTGCGTCTAACCCGGCAGCATGCTGTCCAACACCGTTTCTTCGTGGTTTAGCTCCCTTGCGTCATGTTTCGGCTCCCGCGAGAAGCCCCAGTCGAGGGCGTCGAGTCCCGGGCGGAATATCGTCGTCCTGCGGGAGCAGCCCGCCATCATCTCGGGGCCGTCGGCAGAGCCGGTATGGTCCACGGACAGAACCTACGAGAGGATGCTGGAGCGGGAGCGCGAGCGTGAGCGGGAGAGGGCTCGCCGACAAACAGTCAGCCGGGACAGCAGTTCTGTGAGGAGGCAGTGGTTCTCCAAGTCATCATCGTCGACGCGCCGGCTCCAGATATCCGGACCGACGGACTTCCGTCACGTCCAGTCCGAGTCGTTCCAGTTTCCTCCCCCAGCAGCTCGCCCTCGCCCGCGGTCGTTCCGGCCGATCGAGTTGAGCATCTATGATCCGCAGAATCGACTATCCCCCATCCTACCGCATCTTGAGTGCGATATTACCCCGCCGCCACGCGCCCACACGGCTAATAGCTCGCGATGGGACGCCAGCAGCGGCACGACCCTCACCAACGAGCGCAGCTTCTCGTCCATGTCGTTCCACCTTCCTCGGAGGCACGGCCGGCAGGGTTCCGGCATGTCTGACGCCAGCATGAGTCCCCCGAGGCTGCCGCGGCAGGGTTCCAGTCTGTCTGACGCCGGCACGAGCCCGCCCAGGATACCGCCCAAGTCGCGGGCGCGTGCCTACACGGCGCCCAGTACCGAAAGGATCGTCGAACGCATCGCCAGCGCGCTCATCGAAAAGGAGCGGCTGCAGGCCGAGATCAACTCGCTGATTGAGCGGCAAAGCATCTACTTTGGGAGCCGGCCGTCCACCGGATACGACATGCGAGGTATGTTGGGTTTGTCCATGGGCGTGATCGTCGCACTAACCTCTACAGGTCTGGAGCCCATGCCGTCAATCCCGGCGCTCCCCGCCGCAGCGCCGTCTTTTGCCGAGCGCCTCAGTGTAGACGGCCGCCCGCACACGGCACCATCACACGTGCCAAATACGAACACCCAGGAAAAGACACGCGAGCTCGCAGCGGCCGCCTTCCATTCCCGCCCACCGCTACACACGCCCTACACCGCGCCCCCCTACGGAAGCTCTGCCGAGAAAGGCAACAATCACCTGGAGCGCCCACTGGCGCCGCCCCTCCCGCTCGTCTTGCGACCGCCCCTGCGGAAGAAGAAGTCCTTCTCGCACGTCTCGAACTGGCTCTTCCGTCCCGAAGGGGAGGGCGAGGGCGAGGGCGAGGGCGGTGACGACTCGTCGCCGACTACGGCCGCCACCTACACTCCGCGCCCCGTCAAAGAGAGCGACGGCTTCTACCAGTGCGTCGCGCCGCCCGAGGGCCTGCCGCGCACCAGCATGGAGACCTCGTCGTCCGTCTACACGTGGACGACGGCCGACGACGAGGACGAGGCGAAAACCGTGCCCACTACGACGGCGTGGTCGCCCGAGCAGACGCCCAAGGCCGGGTCGCGGCATACGACGCCTGTGATTGGCGTTACCAAGGGGGAGTTTGAGAAGGAGGTGGGCGGTGGCTTGGCGGTTACTAATCCCAACGCGCACCGGCCGCTGAGCGTGGGTGTCGCCTTCTAGTTTTTCTCGTTACTTTCTACAGTTTGTATTGAGGGTATACCCATTCATTGTATTGTATTCGGGCAGCTAGGCTGGGATAGGACATAGAGATGGGAAAAGGGATGGTCCGGGCAAGTCGAGCTGGATGCTTGGCGTTGAATGCATCCGGTAATGGGGGGGCTGTTTGATTAGGTGGTTACCTGTGATACCATGGCGTTGCGTTTTGCCGATAGTTAGCTGTTGATAGAGGCAGAAGCCGCTTGCTTAGACGAGCGGGCGTTATTGCGAGAGCTTTGCTATATCGAGAGCGCGTCTACACTAGAGTGAGTCAAGGTAACCGCCGGAGGTGCATGTCTCGAACCAATATCACGTCCTGCAGAAATCCTGGTCGAAATTGCCTAGGCGCTCTGTCTCACTCAGGTTGTTCGGGCTCCCGGTCGCAGGGCCTTGCAGCACGCGACCACGGTACTGGAGCTACCCGCAACATTACCGAACAGGGCAAACAGCTCCCAGAGCTCTGGTGACGATTTTGGCAGCTTGTGCCGCATAGGTGCGTATGAGCCGCTGGTTCTATTTCTGCGACTCAGAGGCGGGATCCCGCGTTCAGCTGCACCAGGACGGCGTTCGATGGGTGGAAATCAGAAACTTGCAAGGAACTAAGGTACCTTTATACTACTACTTTTCCGGGACGACAGGACATCCAGGCGGTTATCGTGCTATGACAACCGTGTTCAAAGACATTATTTGGCTCTGGATGTTACTTTTGCCCGTTGACGCTCACACAGGTTCTGGCGAGCCGGGGCTGTACGAATAAAAGGGTTTCTCATCTTAACCGCAGTCGGACCATTTTCCAATCCGCTCATCATGGACGGTGAATCGGAGCTGCCAGAACGATACTCTCCGCGCGCAGATCACCCCCCATATTGTTGTCCGAGGATTAGCCATTTCGGCGCGGTGATGCGCTGCTCCGCCAATCCTCCTTGGTCCATATGTAGGTATTCGTACAGTGCCCGGGACTTCGAAGCCGACGTGAGGGACGCCTTCAACCTTCTTCGAATATCCAAGCACTGAAGACTCGCTCGCGACTCATCAGTCAATCATCCAGCGCCTTCTCTTTCGCCCTCCGATCCCCGGTGCACCAACCCAAAGTTCAATGCGTGACAATGTCCACCACAGCAACCGCGGTGACGATCCAAGAGAACCCACCCTCCGTGCCCTTGAGAACTCTTGGACGACAAGAACCCATCCTCTGCGGCCAGCCCGCCTCCCTGATCAACCACGACGACAATGAACCCTCCCCCTCTCCCCAAGACAACCCCCCGGCGACCCGCCGCCTAGACCGCCGCACACTCGTGAAGCTCCTCTCGGCGGGCGTCTCCTTCTTCGTGGCGGGCGTCAACGACGGCTCGCTGGGCGCGCTCATCCCGCACCTGATCCGGTCCTACGGCGTCACCACGGCCGTGGTGTCCTCGCTCTACGGCGCCACCCTGGCCGGCTGGCTGCTGGCCGCGGGCACGGCAACCCACCTGTCGCAGCGGCTCCGCCTGGGCTCGATGCTGGCGCTGGGCGCGCTGCTCCAGACGGCGGCGCAGGCGCTGCGCGCGTGGCCTGTCCCGCCGTTTGGCTTGTATGTGTCTACTTTCTTGTTGACCAGTCTCGGGCAGGCGTATCAGGATACGTATGCGAATACGTTTGTTGCGTCGCTTTTTGAGGTGGGGGGGTCCGAATCGGGAGAGGGGGGAGGAGGTGGTGGTGGTGGTGGAGGAGGAAGAGGAGGAGGAGGAGGAGGAGGAGGAGGCGATTCGGCGCACCGCTGGCTCGGATTCATCCATGCCATGTACATGGCTGGGTGTCTGGTGGCGCCGTTCGGGGCGGCCAGTATTGCTGCGACGGCCGCAGAGGCGCGTGAGGGGAGCAGCAGCAAGTGGTGGTTGTTTTATACCGTGCCGCTTGGCCTGGGCGTGATGAATCTGGGGCTGGTCCTGGTCGCGTTCCGGGATATGCTAGGGTTTGCGGGAGGCAAGAGAAGGACAGCGCAGGCGGTTAACGCGGGCGAGGAGGAAGGGAGAAGGAGCGCTTCGGGCCTGATCCGGGATGCGCTCCGGAAGCGGAGTGTCTGGCTGCTGAGCATGTTCTTCTTCTTCTACCTCGGGGTTGTGGTCACAGCAGGCGGATGGGTGGTGGAGTATCTCGTGGATGTCCGAAACGGGGACATTGCGCAGATGGGCTACGTGCCGGCTGGGTTTAGCGGCGGGTGCTTGTTGGGGCGGATCCTGCTGCCTGAGCCGACGCACAGGTTTGGGGAGAAGAAGATGGTGTCGCTGTATTGCGTGCTCTGTCTTGGCTTCCAGCTGCTCTTCTGGCTGTGAGTGGTCTCCGCGCGAGGTATGCGAGCGACGCTGACAAGACACAGGGTGCCCAGCATCATTGCCGCATCCGTTGCGATCAGCTTGCTGGGCTTCTTTTCAGGGCCGCTTTTTGCGACGGTAAGTGCACTCCTGGGTCCTGGCCTATACTGGCCTAGCTGGAGACGGCGCTGACCCTATCCAGGCCGTCTCGGTCGGCACCCGACTGTTCCCGGCCGAGATCAGTGCAACCGCCATATCATTTGTGTTCGTATTTGCTCAGATGGGCGGGTCTCTCTTCCCCATTGTGACAGGCGTGCTGGGCGCAAAGGCGGGCGTCTCGGTGATGCAACCGATTCTCGTGGGTTTGATCGCCGCCATGACCATCAGCTGGCTGTTGGTCCCGCAACCCAAAGGGAAGATGAAGTGACAAGGCGGCTACAGACGTGTTCAATTAGTACCTAATTTACAGAACTGCGCTGGAGGCTCTGCCGGGTACCTGTACTGTAGATCGGCCTGATGGCCTTCTGGAACGATGCACGAATTTGTTCCCCACCAATTCGAGCGCCCCGCAAGGGCTATGTGGGTCCACGGCAAGTGGGCCTTCCCTCGCGGCTTCTGACGGACCCACAGCGCCAGTTGGCCGGCTTCTTCATCTGCGAACGCCTTATGGCGGTCTAGAAGTCTACTTAAGTCGGCACCTCTCTGGATGCCGAGCTGCCAGCTGTGCTGGATCGTCTGACGAAAGAAAGGCTGTAATCCTTCCGTCAAGCCCATGCCATAAGGTATATATGACTCGCGCTGCGCCTCAGCAGACCGCCTAGAAATGCTTGGTTGAGACTCGGCTGCTTGTCTCACGATGCCCTCTATTTTGGATTACTTTCGGAGCAGCCGCTCCAGATACACGCCCCTCCCGGACGATGAGGCGCCCAATGAGTCTTGGATTGAGGTTGAGCCCAACCATCCCGCGGCCGACCAGGAGGCAAATGCCCGGCGCGAAGGGACCAGGCGCGTCGTCAAGCTCGCGGCCGTCCTACTGCTGCTGGTGATGGTTGGCTTCCTGGCGGTAGCCTTTTCGTGCGTCTTCCGTGCTCCGTTCTACTTTCCCATCTAACTCTGGCAGACGATCCACGCCCCGAAAATGCGATACCCCTGACCGGGGCTTTCAGTGCGGCAAGACCCTGTCCCATTCCTGGGGCCAATACTCGCCCTACTTCACGGTGCCGTCCGAGATTGACGCTTCGATCCCCAAGAGTTGCGAATTGACCATGGTGCAAGTGCTCTCCCGTCACGGAGCGAGGGCCCCAACGCAGCACAGGGCGGATTTTTACGCCAGCGTCATCGACCGGATCCATGACTCCGTCACGTCATACGGCCCTGGCTACGAATTCCTGAAGACCTACCAGTACACGCTGGGCGCAGACCAGCTGACCCGCATGGGCCAGCAGCAGATGGTCAACTCTGGGCTCAAGTTCTACCGCCGCTACCGCTCGCTGGCGCGCAAGACCATCCCCTTCTTGCGCACCGCCGGCCAAGACCGCGTCGTGCACTCGGCCCAGAACTTCACACGCGGCTACCACGATGCCCTCCTTGGCGACCGCAAAGCCACCGCACCGCGCGACTTCCCCTACGAGATGGTCGTCATCCCGGAGACGCCGGCCACCAACAACACCCTCCACCACAGCCTCTGCCCAGCCTTCGAGGACGGCATCTACTCGTCCGTCGGCAGCGACGCCCAGTCCGTCTACGAGTCCGTGTTCGCCCTGCCCATCACAGCCCGACTGAACGCCCACCTTCCCGGCGCCAATCTCTCGGACGCCGACACCATCGCCCTGATGGACCTCTGCCCCTTCGAAACGGTCGCCTCGGCGTCGGGCCAGCTCGCCCCCTTCTGCCGCCTCTTCACGCCCTCGGAGTGGCAGTCCTACGATTATTACCAGTCGCTGGGCAAATGGTACGGCTTCGGGCTGGGCAACCCGCTCGGCCCGACGCAAGGGGTGGGGTTCGTCAACGAGCTGCTCGCGCGGCTCACGCGGACGCCCGTGCGCGACGGGACCAGCACGAACCGCACGCTGGATGCGGACGCGCGGACGTTCCCGCTCGACCGGGCGCTGTATGCCGATTTCAGTCATGACAACGACATGATGGGCGTGCTGGGCGCGTTGCGGGTGTATGACGACGTCGGGATGCTGGATAACACGACCCGGCACGGACCGGAGGAGGCGGGCGGGTTTGCGGCGAGCTGGGCTGTGCCGTTTGCCGCGAGGGTGTATGTCGAGAAGATGCGCTGCGGGACCGGGAAGCATGAACGTGAGCAAGAGGAGAGGGTGAGGGTGCTGGTGAATGACCGGGTTGTGCGGTTGAAGGGGTGCGGCGCGGATAAGAGGGGCATGTGTGAGCTTGGGAGGTTCGTCGAGAGCATGGCCTTCGCGAGGGGGGATGGGAGGTGGGATTCATGTTTCGGTTGATACCCTACGTTGAGAAATATCATGAATCATGATACTAGACTGTCTGTGGAGGATGAACCGATGAGGTGCGCAGACTCGGTTGACTCTAGGAACTGAGAAGAGTTCCAAGGCCGCCAGTTCTACTCCCGCAAATAAGCTCCGCCACAAGTGCAAATGCTAGAGCCCCCAAAAGGAGGAATATACCTCAAGGTATTCGAGCGATGACTCCATCCACGACTCATGGTGTCGTCGCTAACACGCCTCGATACGAAGGCTTGGCGTTAGGTGGGGCGTCGTTGGTGGGCTGGAACTGCTTGCGACCTGCCGCCTTGCCAGGTTCGGGCACCTCGGAAGCAGCCAAACGCAGCTTCAGAAGAGACATACTGGCCACAGCAACATTTCCTTTCACTGGCCTTCCCATCTGTGCCGGAAATAGTGACCTCACACCCAATGCTGCCTGCGCACCCGCGCATCTCAACCGAGACGTGCGCTTGCTTCTGAGACACCTCGAGAGACCACATCCACATCCACGGCGATTATGAACACAGCAGGCGCAGTCGTGCTCGCCATCGTCCTGCTGCTGATAGTGGCAGGCGCCGCGTGGGTCATCTTCACACGCGTGCGCGCTTCCAGATTGGGGGTGAGCTCTAAACAAACCTCTCTGATTCCCCGTCTCAAGTCGCAAGCAAGCAACTGACTAGTGGGGCATCCGCACAGCTACCGCCGCCGCCGCTGAAATCCTACATCCCCTTCCTGGGCTCCTCCTCCTCCTTCTCCAGCTCCGCCGCCTACGGCACCCCGACCCCGGCGCCGGGCGGCCTCGTCGGCTGGATCAACGACCGCATCCGCCTCATGCGCTACGGCCGCAACACCCGCACCGCGGCCGGCGCCTACGAGGGCGCCGGCTCGTCGTCGTCCTACAACGCCGGCTACGCGAGCACCACCACCACCACCACCACCACCCGCGGGTTCGAGCACCTCGACCCCGACGACGCCTGGGACTCGCGCGTGGGCGGGTATAACCCGTACGAGGAGGAGCGCGAGCTGGGGCTGGTGGGCTCGCATCATCCGCCCGTCGCCGCCGCTGCCGCTGGTGGTGGGCAACTTGGGCGCGACGAGAGGCCCGATGGGGAAGGGTACCAGATGAATCTGCCGATTGAGCCGGAGGAGGAGGAGGAGGAGAGGAGGGGTCGCACGCGCAGTCGGTCGCCGGCGCCTGCGGCTGCGCCTACGCAGAGGGGCAAGGCGAATAATCCGTTTGACGACGACGCAGAGCCGAGTAACCTCAGCTTGCGCGGGGTCAGTCCGCGGCCGATGGACGGTGGTGGGCGTGCGTCGTTTGCGGCGAGGAAGGCGGCGGATGGAGACCATGATAGGAGGTCGATATTCCGGGAGGATGTGTGATGGGGATGGGGCTGGGCTCACTGTGTTTTGGCAGGCTAGGGGGGCTTGTATTACGGTTGTTTGTGTGTCTGGAGGGCTACTGTACGACAGGTTGCGGTATCGTGGGGAGGGACCTGGTTTGGGCTTCGGGAGGGAGTTTGGGCCGGCTGCGTGTTTTGTGTTTCGTCTGCGCGTCTGGTCTGGAAAAGGGCTGTATCGCACATTCCATCTACCGTTTCGGCCCCTGCTCTCACCATATGGCTTGGATGATCCTCCGAGTCCTGTGCCGGCACTTACGTCCCGCCACAGACCTTGCGGTGACGGGGCTATCTTCCATACACTTGCCTATGGACGCCTCGTGGAGAGGATAACGACCCGCAAGTGAGCTATGATGGGGCTTCCTCAATCTCAACACCCGGAACCTTGCGCCTCACGTCTCGCGCTCACCCTGCCAGCGGGCTCTGCAGGCCCCCCATCGGCGCTATCGCACTCCTGTTGCAGGTTCACGGTTAGGGTTGCGGACCGCTCCAGAACCAGAGGTACCTTTCTCTACCGGAACCCAAATCACGGTCGAACACAACCAAAGCTCAGAGACTCTGTTCGGCGTGTTATTAACTGCGATCGCCATCAATTCCATGAGGCATACATAAAGTCATGGCGCCATAATAAACATGCGCTAGCGTTGTGGATGCACCTGTCTCCTGGTGGGACCACTGACGTCGCAGTCCAAAGCTACCCCGCTACCCCTCCATGACCCCTGACGTGTCGGAGGGGCCCTGGGGGCCTCACTTCCAGGAAACAACAGGCCTCCACGGCTGTACTTGTACATACAATACGGACCGTCTTCTGTAAGATCCAGCAACTTCCGCTCCCCAGACGCCGCTACAATGGCATCCGTCAACCTCCAACAAGTCCACGACACCCTGGTGTCGGTCGCCTTCGAGGCGGGGCGCATGATCCTCGCGGCGAACCCCAGCAGTATCTCGACCGACACCAAGCTGAACGGTGTGTACAATCCATACATACATCTATACCTCACCCCTCCCTGCCTGCCCTTTCCCCCACACTAACCCGTCTTCACCCCCTTGGAAGCCGTCGACATCGTCACCGAAACCGACCAAGCCGTCGAGCGGATGGTCTCGACCCGCCTGCGCGCCGCCTTCCCCACCTTCGCCTTCGTCGGTGAGGAGACGTACCAGGCGGGCGTCACGCGCATCACCGACGCACCGACTTTCGTCGTCGACCCCATCGACGGCACGACCAACTTCGTGCACTCGTTCCCGAACGCATGCATCTCCCTCGGGCTGGTCGTCGACCGCGTGCCGGCGGTCGGCGTGGTGTATAACCCGTTCCAGGACCTGCTGTTCACCGGGGTGAAGGGGAAGGGGGCGTTCATGCAGCGGAACGCGTCGCTGGAGGTAGAAGGCAAGGGCCGCGGGGAGAAGAAGGTCAGGCTGCCGCTGGGTGGGTTGGCCAACCCGCCGCCGCTCGGGGATCTGAGCTCGGCGCTCGTGTCGATCGAGTGGGGCAGCCAGCGGGACGGGGAGAACTTTGAGCTGAAGGCAAGGACGTTCCGGAAGCTGGCTGCCTCCAAGGAGAATGGAGGCGGCATGGTGGGCGGGATGCGGTCGCTGGGCAGCGCGGCGCTGAATCTGTGCGCTTGCGCGGCCGGCCAGTTGGATATCTACTGGGAAGGGGGCTGCTACGCGTGGGATGTCGCGGCTGGGTGGTGCATCCTGAACGAGGCCGGCGGCATGATGGCGAGCGGGAATCCCGGGGAATGGGAAACGGAGCTCGATTCGCGCGTGTACCTGGCGGTGCGTGGCGCCAGCAGAGGGCAGAAGGAGATCGTGGAGGAGTTCTGGAGGGTCATCGGGGACGGCAGGATGGAGTACAAGCATTAGATTTGAGCGAGCTGTCTCCGTCACGATTGGAATTTCAAGCAGTAGAATTGGGCTATAGACGGAAGATGCTGGAGCTGGTTCGAGGTTTGATACCACAAGATCCCTGACTCGAGGATTGGGGGCATGAGGCCAACGGAGTGCGTATTGTACAATTGCGCCTCTTGTGCCCGCTTGCGGCCCGGCCCCATTCTGACGATGACTCCTCTCTCGGGTACGCGTCCCGGCACCATCGAGACAGATTGAATGAAGTGGTTAACCCGGCGAACATCAGACGGGGCAACTAGTCAAAGATGGCTTGGCGGCTACGCATTGTATACGTGGCGCCAGATTGTGCTGTTAGTGATGGCTTTATGTAGCAGACGACGAGGTTGGGGGCCTCGGTCGCGGCACTCTGACCTGGGCCTAACCAGGCTCCCGGGATGGAATCCTTCTATTCCGTACGTCTCCCTGTGCGAAATCTCGAACCATTCCCCCAAAGCATGGGATCGATGGGAAAACGCTCGAGGACGGCAAGAAAGCTCAATGATTTGGAGATCTCGGCTCTAGAAGCTTCACCTGTGACCCGCACATAGCCGAATTGGTGCTTCCAGCTCCTGCGTATGGTGATAGTCCTGGGTGACACTGCATACGCGGATGCCGACGTGCAGCCGGTTCTGAGACATTCAATATCGCTGATAGTTGCAACCACAGTGCACAAGTATGCACGACATGACCTGCAGACAGCGGCTCGCGATAAAGAACTTCCTGTTTCACACGGGCATGTGTGATCGTGGCCTTAGTCGATCCAGTAATGTAGATGTCCCAAGCCCGGCCAGGATATGTGGTTATGCCGCTGCATCCATCCTTTGCTAAGAAGCTCTCGAGCCTCCTCGTAATGCATCTGAGGTGACCCGGACCGAGAGGCAAGTGACGATGTAAAGACAGACAGGCAGCCGTCCGGCGCTATCAACGCCGCCCCACAGGAGCATCCGACATTCCGGCCCGGGAAGGCAAAGCAGCGGTGTCTCTTCGGCGCCTCTCTTCAGCGGTTGAGATTCATCCTATCCCGCCCTTCCCTGTCCGACTTACAGCGTGTAGTGACGTCCGTCTGGCTTGCGCACACGGTGCGGAGCCGGCAAGGCCCGAGACCGAAGCGGCACCGGCCTGAGGATGGACATGCTGGTTCGGCTAAAGAGCGTCGAACGAATGCAACCCGGCGCCATGCATATGCAAGTTCAGTCCAGCAGGAGCATGCATACCGCAGCATACGCAGAAACTAGGCCATACACTAGTGTGATGGATTGGCAGATCGTTGCCTGATACCGAATGCTAGCCGATAAGCCTCTGACTTGCTATTCAGCCTCCAGAATCAATCCTAGTTAGACCAGCATCGTTCGCAACGTTATCTTGGTATTGCAGTGTCGGGAGCAGCTTGTCTGTTACATCGCACGCTTCCCGGTGTCGGCGTTGCTTGCGGAAACAGGTGTGTGGCTGGACAACGCAGCTCATCATCTGCTAAACCAAAGTAAGTGATAGACCTTCCAGCAGGTGCCGGCTGCCGATGGGAGGCCGGGATTCCCATAGACAGTACACGTGTAAAACACCATCAGTGTGTCGCCCCGAGGGGTTGGGAGTCGGACTCACCGCTCGGTTCTGATATTCGCTCCGGCAAGAAGAACAGGAAAGTCATGCGTCCGACGTCCAGCCGAGATACGCGCGGCCCTGTGCATCAGACCGACGGTGAAGCGAGAGATGATGGTTGGCAGCCAATCCGGGTGTTTCCATGACTGGACGAAAGTGGTGTGAGTGCAAGATACGACAAAGTTTTCGGACGTTACATCGCAGCTTTCCCCACAGAATCTTGGCATTGCTAGCGTGCATGGAGAATTCTGGACCCCGGTCGACAAAATTCATCTGCAGATCTTGTAGACATCGACCAAACAGGCGTTCCATTCGCACTTTACGGGTCTGGCGCCAGCACTCCTAACACCGATAATCGCTTCTGTCGCTGGGAATTATGTGGTTCAATTGGTAAAGTGTAAGCCCATTGCAAGCAACACCACAATCGCACGACAATCTCTTGAGTCTGGTCGATGTGGTGAGCGAACCAGTTGTGACGTTGTTCGCCGGTGAGGCCAACCCTAATCTACACCGTGTGCGCACAGTGACAGGGTTTAGCGGGGCATCCTGGTCTCAGAGCCCCACCACCATGGAGGGGCACAGCAACTCTCCGATAGCGCGACGACATGCGCCGGGAAGAATCCGCTAACTGCGGTCCAGATGCAGAATGAAAAGGGGCCTGCGCTCGTGATGACTACCGCAGTGTTCTGTGTATCGGTTGACGGAAGCCCGGCAATGAAAGGCCGCATCCGAGGGAGGAGGGCAGAAGGGGAGGATACCACTTTGAGCCCGGTCGGACAGTCCACAGACTGTGCCTGGATGGAACCACCGAGAACCTCGCACTCCGTTCCTTGGTCGATGCACAGTCCATATCAACAGCCGCCCCGGTCGTCCCAAATTTTCCGCAAGTGGCACCAGTTGTTTACCCCCTCATCAACAGGCCAGCGCGTTTAAATCCCGAGGCACTCGTGGTCTTGCCATACCACCCTCTTTCCCCTAAAACATTATCCTCAAACACGCCTTGCCAGTGATCTCTTCCTGCACTCAAATCGTAGATCACCTGAGCTGCGGAGCGAGCGCATCACCACGACTATCAGGTGCTGCGGACTGCGTAAGATTGAAGCCTGACTGCGAAGCAATGACTCTAACCAGAAGACCAAGTCCCCGTAACCCGGATGAGTTTCCCACCGTTCAGCTCTTTCTGCTAGGTAGGTTGCGTCTCCCAGCCGTAGATCGGAGCGCAAGGCTAACTAACTTGGCAGCCATCGTCCGTCTCGCCGAGCCGATCGCGCTCACCTCCATCTTCCCGTATGCCTGGGCTCTCGTCAAGCGCTTCCAGATCGGCAGCGAAGATGACGCCTCGTTCTACGCCGGCCTGCTCATCTCGGCCTTCTCCCTGGCGGAGGCACTGATGGGCATGTACTGGGGCGGCCTGTCCGATAGGGTTGGCCGCAAACCCGTCCTGCTGCTGGGCTGCGTCGGCACCATGTTCAGCATGGTCATGGTCGGCTTTGCGTCCAACATCTGGGTGGCGCTGGTCGGACGGGCCCTCGGCGGGCTGCTGAACGGCAACATCGCGGTGATCCAGACCATGGTTGGCGAGCTGGTTACCAAACCAGAGCATGAGCGTAGGTTTTCCCGGCCTTTTAGTCTGGTGTTTGCATACTGACTGGAGCGCAGCTCGTGCATACTCGATCAGTGAGTGCCACACAACGCATGTCCTGGTGTTTGGCGACGTACTGACCTCACAGTGCCTTTCGTATGGAGCGTCGGAACTATCATCGGGCCCATGATAGGCGGTTTGTTTGCGGACCCGCACGAGTCATATCCCGACCTATTCCCCAAGGGCTCTCTTTTCGAGCGGTTCCCCTACCTCCTGCCGAACCTCATCTGCGCCGGCATGCTCTTGGTGAGCATCCTGCTCGGCTACTTCCTGCTCGAGGAGACGCATCCCGACATGCAGCCGCGCGTGCTCCTGCCAGACGACACCTTCCTGTCGGAGAACACCCCGCTCATCGAGACGTCAGACGCCATGAAGCGCCCGGCCGTCGACCTCCGCGACGAAAACTACGGCACCATGCGCTCCCGCGAGGCCCAGCCCTCTTCCTCCCGCGCCGCCAAGGACGCGGCCGAGACGGAGAAGCAGCCCGTCAGCATCTTCAGCAAGCGCATCATGGCCATCACCCTGTCGCTCTCGATCTTCACCTACCACTCCATGACCTACGACCACCTCCTGCCCATCTTCTTCGAGGACGACCGCGTTCCGATGCAGGCCCTCGCCCTGACCCGCGGAAACCCCTTCTACTCCCCCGGCGGGCTCGGTCTCTCGCTGCAGTCCGTGGGGATGATCATGGCCGTGCAGGGCGCGATCGCACTGTTTATGCAGGCGGTAGTCTTCCCGATCACGGCTGAGCGCGTCGGCGTGTACCGGCTGTTCCTCTTCATCACGGTGCTGCACCCGGTCGCCTACATGATCGTGCCCTCCCTGCTCTACGTCCCCGACGCGCTGCTGTACCCGGCCATCTACGCGTGCCTCGCCGTGCGCAACTTCTTCTCCATCCTGCTCTACCCGCTGCTGCTCATCCTCATCAAGGAGGCCACGCCCACGCTGACCGTGCTGGGCAAGGTCAATGGCCTCGCGGCGAGCGCCGGCGCCGCCTGCCGCATGGTTGCGCCGCCGGTGGCCGGCTACTTGTATGCGGTCGGCAAGAAGATGGACTGCACGGCCCTTGCCTGGTACGGGAGCGCCCTGGTGGCGATCGTCGGGGCGGTCCAGTGCTTTTCGGTCAAGAGGGGGCCGAGAGACTGCGGGCAGCGGGCTGGTGATGTCGAGGAGGAGGTGCGGGAGTGAGTCCTGCACGCTCGCTACTACTTACTACTTCGACGTCGCATCTCAACCTCTCTTCTGCACGATTATTCTGGATTCTGGCAGCAAACTGATATAAACTGCTTTTACACGGCGACGGATTGGATAAAGTGGTGTTAGGTCAACTGCGGCACTGGGTGCCTGGTTCTGGATACTATGGCCGTATGGCGGCAGGTAAACGGACACGCGATACATGAGCTTTGGGAAGCGTACTATGATACCTGGGTACACGAGACGCAAGGCGGAAGCAAGGCGTTACGGTTGTTTTTTTTTAGCGTGAGATACCGGTTTTGGATGGTCAGCACGGCGTTCGGTCGGTCGATGTTCATGACTGCCACGGCTAAATGATTATGACTGGGTACAGGCTCTGGATTATTGAGGATTGTTTACTAAACAGTGTTAGAGGCATAGATAGGTTCGTACAATAAAAAAAAGGAAAAAGTCGGAAACGCCAGAGTGCAGGTTTTGTCCGTTGCGGTCTCTGTCGATACTGGGTACTGTAGGGTTGTAAGATGCCATCCCGCGAGCACTTTTGACAGTGAGTATCACCATATATTTCACCGTATCGCCTTCTTGCAGCAGCCGTTGGGAAAGTGAAGATAAGGTTGACGCCCAGCCCAATTCCTCGCAGACTATACAATGCCTAGCTGACTAGAGAACCACTGCACGTCATCGCAAATGGCTCCTCGATACCCAACTACGTGTAGAGCTCGTCAGTCAGGCTATTCAAGGCCAGGCCGTTCTTAGCCAAGTCGTCCACCTCAATGAGGAACTGCAGCGGCATCTCAACGAGAGTGCCCCGGATCCCACTCAGCCAGTCCTTCAGCTCGTCCACGCCACCAGGGAACTCCTCCCGGACCACGTGCCCATAGTCCACCTTGCCCTGCTCGTATCCCTTCTTCGCTTGCTCCTCCGGCTCCCCGGGGATGACAAAGTGCTTCGAAAAGAAGCGGTCGTAGTCCTCCCACGTGCGAACCTCGTCGTTCGGCACCGGGTGGAACGCGCGGCTAAAGATCTCGGTGTTCCGCCGCGCCGTGCCCCGCCACAGATCGAGGAAGTCCCTGCTCAGCGGGTCCTCGACAAGTCTATCGGCGTGCGAGCCCCAGTCATACTCGTTGACCGGGTCGTGGGTCACGGGCGTCCAGTTGCGGTTGGCCGTGTCCGGGCGCTGGTGGGGCAGGAGGCCGAGGTGCTTGCGGAAGAGCTGGCGGCGGAGCGAGGTTGCGAAGGCGGAGGCCGTGTAAGGGCGCCCGGCTAGGGTGCTTTCGACAGGCGTTGGGTCCTCAATGATGACGGCAATCTCGCTGTCGTGGTTGCCGAGCTGAGAGCGATCGTTGAGGTTGGCCGAGCCGCAGATTACGAGCTGGTCGTCGGCGATGAGAACCTTGCTGTGAATGTACAGCTCCTCCGAGACATAGGCATTGAATTCATCCTCGGGAGAGCCGGACCAGGGGACGCTGCGTAGGTCGGGGCCGTTCTCCATGTAGCAAGCCGAGACGGTGTCCAACGTCTGGTCTGAAAGGCGGCCGGCTGCCTCCTGGTAGCGGCGGTACTGGCTGCCGTGACGGTCATCATCACGGCCGTAGTCATCACCGCGCCGGTACTCATCCCGACCACCGTAGCCATCATCCCGACCACCGTAGCCATCATCCCGACCACCGTAGCCATCATCCCGACCACCGTAGCCATCATCCCGACCACCGTAGCCATCATCCCGACCACCGTAGCCATCATCCCGACCACCGTAGCCATCATCCCGTCCATACCCGCCACGCCGGTCTTCATCACGGCCGTAGTCGTCACCGCGCCCATAGCCACCGCGCCGATACTCATCATCCCGACCGTAGCCATCACCGCGCTCATACTCGCCACGTCGGCCATCAGCACGACCGTATCCCTGGTCACGCTCGTAGTTATACCTTTCATAGCGCTCATCGTACTCGCGCTGCGCCTCCTGGTAACGCACCCCGCTGTCCTGCTCCACGCGGCCCATGATGGCGCTGGTGTTGATGCGGTCGTAGCTGCGCAGGTTGTAGAAGTTGATGTACCTGTGGGGATCGTCGACGCCCGAGTCGCGCAGCGTCTCAATGATGCTGTGGCCTCCGCGGTTGATGCTGTTGTACTGGAACTCCATGATGGCACGCGTGCCCAAGGCGCCGTCCGACTTGAGATCGCCAGCGAACGCGGGCACGGCAGGCATCATGACGATGATATGGAAATCCTCGCCGTTCTCGTGGGCGCGGAGGATGCGGTCGACCATGGCCCGGCCAATCTTGTTGGCCACGGGCTTCTGTTTATCCGAGGTCGCCGTGATGAAGAACTGTGATGGTGAGCGCTTGTCCAACCACGCAGGGAAGGTGTCGTACCTGGTTCTCGATGTAGACAAAGTGCCTAGCGTTCTTGATGGCCTCGATGTACGCGTTGGCGATCGAGTGCTCCGTGTCGACACCCAATGACCATTTGCAGGCACTGGGCGAGTCAGCTAGTTCTGCACCGCGCACGGGATGACATGACATTACCTCCGAGTCAGTTGGATATGGGCGCCGTCGCTGTGCTGCTGCTGCCCGCGGCGCTCCCCTTCGTCCTCATCGCCCATGAATCGGTGCATGCGACGGGAGAAGCGTTCATGCAGCCCCCCAAAGTACTGCTGCCCGTCATCCTGGAGATGGCGGGAAGCGCCACGGTGAGATGGGGGTCCCTCTAGCAGCTGGTACTTGCCAATGTCACGAGAGATGTACTTCTTGTTGAAGATGAAGTTCCTAGCACCGGTTAGCGCACTACTGGAAGTGCCGGCCTCTCTACTCACCATCGCTCGGTGAAATGGATCGCAAGACTGCCCACGATTGGCCCCGACAGGCTGACGCTGATGTCGGACCAGCCCATCCGCGAGCTCTTGGTGCGGTCGACTTGGTCCGTCAGCTCAAACCCATGTGAGGTGAAACGCGCAGGGGTAAGCCTTGAAAGCGTCACTCACGCTTGTTGTTCTCCCACTTGTTGACATCTTCGAAGTCATAGATCCGTGCGTTGTTGTAATCTTGCCCAGGGAATATGATGTCGTCGACGTTGCCAGGATGGGCGTCCGCAATGGGGTGGCCTTTCTTGTGAGCCAAGTTCTCCTATGGGCACAAGGCCTACTCACTGTTGGTGTCCCATCTTCCGAAGCCTAAATATATTAGCACTCCTTTGCCGTCATACGCGGGCATCACCTACACATATCCAAACCGCCCATGAAAGCCACTCGGCCGTCGATCAGACACAGCTTCTCACTAAACAACGGTGTTAGAATATCTACGGCTCTATAGGAGCTCTGACCGCCGCCGGAAACTACCCGCTCACGGGACAGGTGTGAGAGGAGTACGGGCTGTGCTTACTGGTGCGCCCAGTACAGGACGGTGTCCTCGGCAGTGCCGTAGAGACTCTTGAGCACATCCTCCGACGCTCTGGCGAGGTCGAATGTTTGCAGACTAAAGTTCTGCAAGCCCGAGTGGATCTCCTGGAGCCCCTGGACGACATGGGTGCCGCTTGGGTAGTGGTCAGGATGCCGAAAGACCTTGATATTCGGATGGAGAGCTTCCAGGGCATGTTTGGTGTGCTAGCCTCATGTTAGTCGGGCCACGCTAGAGTGGTCAGGTGTCTTACTGCCGAGTCCACTGCGGCCGTCAGTCTCTCCTCGTCTCAGGGTATCCCGGGTTTCGCACTCACGTGTCAGCGCCTGGGGCACCTCCTTGTAGACAATCACATAGACCCGCACACCACGCTCAGCAGCGGCTTTGAGCATGTTGTCCAGCCGGTAGCGCTCATTGCGAGCAGGCGGCCGACGCAGGTACAGCTCTGGGCTGCATACCGTTAGCGGGGCTAGTCTTCGGCTTTCCGCGGAAGGGGGTTTGGTTTACCTCAACCACCAGTCCAGGATGTAGATGTAGTCTTGCGCCTCTGCATGCGATTAGCGCGTGAGCCGGGTGGTGGTGGGAGGACTGCATACCCTCGAGGGCGACGGAGACGGCCCAAAAGTACGAGGCACCGTCGACATACCACTTGGGATGTCCCGAACTCTGGGGGGCGAACGAAGAGTAGCGATTGCCCCTGTACTCGGCATGCGAGGCGTCCTGGTCACATTCGTGGCCCTCATTGGTGTGCGAATGCGGCTCGTCCCCGGGCAGCAGGTCTTCGATGCCCTGCTTGGCTTTCTCGATCAGCGAGTGGAAGTCCATGGTCTCGATGCGCAACTGCGGGGCAGCCGAGCAAAAACAGAACCCGAAAGCAGCGAGAGCGGGTAGAAACGGTGGGCAACGTGAGATACTGGAAGGCGGCCTGCCACAGCCGATCTGGTATTTATTGTAGAGCGAGTGTCGTGAGTAGACGGAAAATGCGGTTCTTCCCATCTGTTGACCTGCCCCTCAGCTGATACGTGGTGGGGGGGAGTTGGTCGTTTCACAACAGCCGCAAGCAGGCCAATGAAAAAGGCTTCGTAGCCCGGGGTTACTGGTGGAGAGCTGCCCGGTCCTGCAGCATCCCGCCGGGAAGACGGCGACTCATTCGCCAGCTGGGCTCCATTTGATCGCAGTTGCGGGTGTCAGATAGGGCTGAGGAAGCGAATCCTCGTCGGCAAAGCAGGGCTTAGGGGAAGCCTCGTGCCCAAAACGACATCATGGTGGCACTGACAGAACGGCTTCGTCGAGCCGCCTGGACCTCGGAGCACCGTTCCGACGTGAACCGAGGAGGGTGCCATGTGAGGTGATGAGCCTTGGGTATTCCATCCCAACACGGGCGTTGACGGGGAACGGCTTCGGCGACGGTGTTCATCGTCCTGCGCTCAGCCGAGGAACTCGCGCTTGCGTCGGCAAAAGTGGATGGATCCATCTGCGAGGGTCGTCACACAACGAGGCACGGAAACACCATCTTCTATGGCGGCTGGTTCGGTGAGAAGAATCGTCAATTCATGTGTCGGGTGTCCAAGGAACGGAAGACCTCCATCATTTGATTAGGTACCTTAGTATCGCGTGCCCCCGCACTAAATTGCTATGGCGCCAGCTCCCGCTCAAGCCACTGCACCCGCTGGACTTGGTTGTGGAAACCGCGGGAGAAGGCCCAATTCAGCCTTAATAATAATAAAACGGCAGGCTCGACGATACCTGGCATTACACAGCGGCAGCAAGCTTCTGACAGCGAAAGTGTTGCCAATTCTTCGACTTGAGCCGCGCTCCTGCATTCCCGCTGCTCCACCCTGCTTGCGACCTTGCAGACCGCAACACAACGACCGGTGAGCCGTTGAATGCGTCGTGTGCGCATCCGGCCCTCACGCTATAAGGTACGGAACCAGACCTTGGATCGAGTGTGACAGTAATGACGCCCCCCCATCACCTGCACAACCCTCCCAGCCAAGGGGAAAAAAGCACCAAAAAAAAAAATCTTTTCCATCCCACCATCCCGCCCTGAGACATTTCCGCAGTCTCTTATCCGGTGTCGGCACCATGCACACAATTGGCTGACTCATGACGACCGCTGCCCCGCTGACGCATCCCAAAGTTGGTGTTTCGACCGAGTCAACCCCTACCGTGGCTCTGAAAAAGGAAAAGGGAGGGGGGGGTGTTGAGGAACAGGGGGACATTGACATTGGCACAGGAATGCGACAAATAGGTGGTGGCCTCGGGAACCAGGTTGAGTGAAGGACCCTAAAATAAATTTCGTCACCGCTGCTGCTGCTTCTCTTTTGTTAGGTAGCGGCCAATTGCCCAGTGGGAGAAGCAGGCTCATCCAAGACCTAGCCACCTAAGGTAGCCGTGGTTTCACCAGCGCACCCTTCTGCCCGCCCTGTAATAGGATCCAGGAACATTGAAACGAGCCGAAAGAGAAAAATGGCAGGCAATACCTACGTTTTCTCTCAGGACCAGCACGGTCATCTCATCCCCTACATCGCGGCTCTGCACGCCTCGTGTATAACCCTCGACCACATGGTCGGGCCCTTTCTGCCGCCCCTAACGAACGAGAAGCTGCTGCCGTGGTGGAAGGAGCGGATCGCCGAGGCCGCGCACGGGACGCGCGTCATCGTGCTGCTGTTGCCAGAGAACAGTCTGGGCAAGAAGCCGCAGGGGCCGGACCTGCGGGGGCTGGCGATGCTCAAGCTGTCCGAGACGGAAACGGGGTCTTTCCGGGGCCACATCGATGCCGTGCTGGTGGACCGGAGGTATCGGCGGCAGGGCGGTGCAAAGGCGCTGGTCGCGGCACTGGAGTACGAGGCGGCAAAAAGGGGGCGCTCGTTGTTGGTGGGTGCCCATCTTGCTCGTGGTCCCTGGCCCAATGGCTAACCCTTTTTCACCAGCTCGTCGACACGGAGACGGGCAGCGTGGCGGAGTCGGCCTTCAAGAAGTTCGGGTACATCGAGATCGGCAGGGTACCGCACTTCAGTCGGGCTCTGCCCAGCGGCAAGAAGGGTGAGACCTTCTTCTACAAGGAGTTCGCCCCGTCGTCCTAGACTGTGTCTTGGGACGTCCCTTTTTGGTTCCTTCTGTCTGCTGGGCGTTGGTGTTTGGGTGGCTATCTAGATGGACGGGACGAGGCCCACGCTTCGAAGATTTCCGCCATTTGCGTGCCATATATATCGTTTTCTCTTTTAATCTCGGCGACATCTACCCCGTCGACCTAAAAGTTTATTTGGCCTTATCTGTCTATGCTAGTGGAGGTACGTTCCGCTCACAGGGTCTTAACATTCACAAGGTTTGCAGCCCGTGCCGATATGTAAGTCAGACAAATCAGGAGAGCAGAGAGCTTGGATCAATTTTGGAAACCTCTTGCATATCAATTCATATTCCGCCCGATTAGGCTTATCACAGGGCAAGTTTGTCCTGCGGCCAGTGCTGCGGCCTCCTTGGCCCTGGCCGCTGCCTTCCACCCACCGGTGACGTTCTGGTGCACGTCGTGCTAGGCAAGCTCCCCCGAGAAAGCCCATTCGGCGAACTAGATGCTGCATTTGGGAGGTCTCGTGTCTTACCTTGGGCCGTAGGTGCCCCTTGAAGTGCTGTCGGGAATTGTCTGAGATTGTCTAGCTTTACATACTGTAACAGCGCAAGTCCGACTTTGCAGCATAGCAAGCTCCTACTGGTCCCGGTGGCCGCCATGCGGCAGCCACTCTAACAGTTTGGGGGAAGATTCGCGGGTCCTAGCCACCCCCGAGAAGTCCCTCCGCCTGAATTTCCCGGGCTCGGCGAGACCCGACGGAACATACTATACCTCCTCTTCGGCTATGCCCTATCCGCGACCGCTGTGCATCGGTGAATCTGAGACTTTGTCTCATGGCATCGGCCAATGAAACCCGACTGACTGAGTCGGCGGTGAGGGTAAGATGAGAAAGCAAGACCAGCCGCTTGGTACGGTGTCGGGCCTCACACAACCCCAACCACGGTGGCCGAACCATTCCATGGTTGTACAATACATGGCAGCACAGGTGTGGCTTGACGCGATGAGAGGAGACTAATCTCGTCACAAAATTCCCTAGTCCAAAACTCCATTTCTACAAATGCCATGCCGCCCGGAGCGAGGTCATGAACTCAGATCAAATAAGAAAACGTGTCCCTAGACCAGGAAGAGAGAATTACGAGTATGCAACCACCCAGAGAGGCCTTGGTTCCTCCTTCCTCACGATCGCCACCCCAAAACCAAAACAAGACCCAATCCCACAACCAAAGGGCTATACACAACATAGCTCTATACGTAAATGGATATCCTCAGAAGCCAGCCCCTGAACCCGTCTCATCCAACCACACTTGCTCATCCTGAACGGCATTAATCCACCTTGCTGCCGTTGGCGGCCCCTCCTCCCATTAGCGGGGCCTTGTGCTCCTTCGCGCCATCCTCAAGCTTGAAGTGGCCCCTTGCCCGCCTGAGTTTGCCCAGGTTCAACTTGTCCGACTTGGCCTTGAGCCAGGAGAGGACGGGAATAAGAAGGTTGCCGAAGCTGCCCCGGAACCAGGACAGGCAGCCAAAGGCGATGCCGAACACGCAGCCGAAGCTGAGGTACGGGTGCTCCCTGAAGTTGGTCTTGATGTCGAAGAAGATCTTCTCGATGAAGCCGATGGTGAGCTTCGGCTTGATCTTGGGCGGGTTGACCGTGACTTTGGTCAGCGTCTCGAGAATGGATGTCCGGGAGGGGACGATGGGGTTGCCAGTGCTGGTCTGGTCCCAGTAGCGCCGGTTCTGGAAAGGCGGGTTAGCTGGATGTGCCCGAAAGAGTACGTGTACGCGCCCCGACTTACATCCTCGTCATTGATAATCACCCTCTCACCGTCCTTCGCGTCAATACCGTACGTGGTGCGGATCCAACGCTGCCAGAAGGCGCCGTCGACCCACGCAAAAGTGACCTCTTTGCGGGAGGACCGGTCCATGTTGATCCTGATATTCTTGGCATTGCGCAGCGCCCGCTCGTCGCCGCGGTCCTGGGCCTCCTCGATGCGCAGCTGCTTGGCGTCGCGCAGTTCCTGCCGCTCGAGCTGGAAGAGCTGGATCTGCTTATCCATCCACTCGTTCGCCGCGCTCTTCATCTCGCGGATGGCGCTATTGAACGAATCCTCGTTTCCTCGGTTCAGGACACCGAGGACCACAATCTTGCCGTCCATAATCTCGCGCGCGTTGGTGGCGCTCAGTTCCGGCACAAGCGGCAGCCAGACCGACTTCATCCAGTTCAGCAACAGGTTCGTGTCGCGCATCTCCCTGGGAGACAGCGGCGGGTAGTACGTAGGACGTCCTTCGCGCGACACGAGCAAACGCGGCCACGTGGTGATCTTGAACCGGTCGTACAGCTTGGGGTCCCTCGTCCGGACCAGCTTTGCGCGCCCAATCAGGTTGAGGGGCAGGCGCTCAAGGGCCATGAAGTCCTCGCTGGTCGTGGCATGGTCGTAGAAGTAGAGGAAGATGACGTCCTCTTTCTCCTCGAGAGCCTTGAACGACTCGGCGTCGACATCGGGGATGCCATTCGCGAGCTCAATCGCCTTCTCGGCATAGTGGACGAAGTCACCCAAGCCGCGGAGCCCCTGGTACTCGACGCGCTCGCCACCCCGGAAGAACAGGATGGTCGGGTAACCGTGAAGATTGGCGCTCTTGCAGAGTTGGGGCTCGGCGTCGCAGTTAACTTCGCCTATGTTGAGCCGACCCTTCATCTCCTTCGCTAGCTGCTCCCAGTTCGGAGCCATCTTCAGGCAGTGGTGGCACCATGGGGCGTAGAACTTGATGAACCAGGGCTCCTGCGTCTTAGTCACGAGGGTCCGGAAAGTCTCGGCTGTCAGGGGTACAGAGACGCCGTTCGGATTTGGCATCGTCCTCGGCTCGATCTTCTTCTGAGCGGGCGGCTGGAACGGGGGCGGCACCCACTGCGATTTGGCTGGTTCTCCGGCCTTGACAGGCGAGTCGGATGTCTTCCCAGCCGCCTCGGCCTTCCCTCCGCTCTGCGATTCTGCTGACGACTTGCTTGTATCCTCTGGAGAGGCCTTCGCTTCAGAAGCCGCTTCATCGGCGGGCTCACTCTTTGGCTCGGGGGATGACTTGTCGCCCGGCTCCGGCAGCTCGATTGTCGCCGGGCGCGTGCCTGGCTTCGCCTTGGCCAGCGCCTCTTCCACCGCGCGGCTAAGGACGGCCATGCTCTTGACGCCCTTGAGGGTCACGACTGGCTCGCCATCCTCGTATAGGGTAGTTGTCGGCCATGAAGCCACTTTATGGCTGGCGCAGAGGTCATTATATGCGACGCAGTTGATGTCTCCAAATCGGAAATCATAAAACTTTGTGAAATCGGCATCTTTGGGCGCGTTCCCGGCTGGTGAGGAAGTGTAGTAGAACTCGTACAACGTCTGGAACGTCGGAGCGTAATCGATGCAGTGCGGGCAGTACGGGCTGGAGACATCAGCACACGAGTGTCATGTAGCGTAGGACAAGCGAGCTACCTGTAATGCTTGACCAGCAAGTACTTAGACGCCCTGGACTCCTGCTCCCAGTTGTCTGGTGTCAATTCGAGCATTGGGGGAACCTTTTTCCCATTGAAATACGTGGCCTCCCGCGGCGCATCCTCGTCCGCGTCCAGATCTGAGGAGTCGGCGACGGCCAGCGCGGCCGCGCCAAATAGCAGCGAGAGATTCAACAATCGCATCGCGTGCAACTGGCAATGCTGCTGCGCCGCACGGTCGGGATACGAAGCGCCTTGACACCAGGAGTGTGCGTGCGGGGCACGGATGTGCTCGCGGCCAAGTCGACCGCGAATTCGTCGTTTGCTAGGCTTTTGTCGACAGTGTCTAGCCGGGCATTGGAGCGCCGTGTGGGACCCGGTCGCCGGAGACAGTTCTTGCTCGCGTGATACGGATATCCAATGGTGAATACAACGGCTGTCGCACCCTGAGAGTCGCGTGCCAGGTGTCGTCTAGGGCGTCATAAAGTGTGGTCAATGATTTGTCGTGAGTGCGGCTGATCTCAAAATGCATCCAGGAGGCACTCAGGCTCCTGACCACCCAAGATTTCCGACACCACGTTGCTGCAGTCTGGGCCGGTCGGCCATTGGCGCCTGAAGTTCTAGGCAGCAGCCACGGCAGCCCAGAATATCAGGGGCCGGGCTTCCCCACAGAGCCAAGCAATGCAACCCGATCCTGGTCCCAACTTTAACCCACCCGACCCTACGGAGTAGCTTCCGCACCTACAGTACGTACCATGCCAGGCAGCTGCCAGGCAGTCAAAGCGGAACACCGTCAATTCAAGGGGAGCCAGTGAAGGTCGATGAGATTAACTGAGGACATCACTTTCGTCTCCAGTCATAGTTCATTCCAAGAAGCTTGAAGATGGACCGACCAAGCAAAAGACCAGTTGCTGACAGCGACGATGAGCCGGGCCGGAGGCCAACGTCGGCGTCACTCACACACCCGATCAGCCCACCACTGAAGAAGCGTCGAGCCCTTGCGCAAACAGAGAATGAGCAGCCAAAGCTTGAGAAGCCTGCCGAGGCCCGCGTCCAGCATACCCGGGTCTTCCAGTCTCCATTTCACCTGACCAAGATCCGGGATCTGCCGCCGGAGACGAACAAAGACACAGTCACTCTCCGGGACATCCTGGGCGACCCTCTGATATCCGAGTGCTGGGAGTTCAACTACCTCCATGATATTGACTTCCTCATGGGCGCATTTGACCAAGATGTTCGCCACCTCGTCAAGGTGCATGTGGTGCACGGGTTCTGGAAGAGGGAGGATCCGAGCAGGCTGGAGCTCCAGGTAGGCCCGTTGTTCTCTCAGTTCAAGCGAACAGAGTCTTTTTCATTCCCTTCTTTCTGAGACGCCTAACGTCCACCAGGAAGTGGCATCCCGCTACCCAAATGTCAGCCTCCACAATGCCTATCTCCCCGAGATGTTTGGCACCCACCACTCCAAGATGATGGTCCTGCTCCGCCATGATGAGACGGCTCAGATTGTCATCCACACGGCCAACATGATTGTCCGCGACTGGACCAATATGACGCAGGCTGTCTGGCTCTCGCCGAGACTACCTCTCCTCAGCGCCCAGCGGCAAGGCGTTGTTCAGGCGGAAGGTAGGATAGGTAGCGGGTCCAAGTTCAAGATGGATTTCCTGAACTACCTGCGCTCCTACGATACCAGGAGAACTACCTGTAAGCCCCTCATCGAACAGCTGGATCGATACGACTTCTCTGCAATCAGGGGGGCTTTGATCGCCAGCGTGCCTGGTAGACATAAATTCAGTGATGCTTCGCCTACAAGATGGGGATGGGCGGCCATGGAGCAGGCCCTCCAAGCAGTACCCATCTCCCAAGCGTCGGAGATCGCCATCCAGATATCGTCCATAGCAACACTAGGACCAACAGACGCCTGGCTCAAAAATACTTTCTTCCGAGCACTCAGTAGAGGACAGGGGGCTGGCCTACAATCACCACCAGACTTCAGAGTCATATTTCCAACACCGGACGAGATCCGGAAGTCCCTGGATGGCTACGCTTCGGGCGGCTCCATACACACCAAGATCCAGTCACCACAACAGGTAAAACAGCTACAGTACCTCAAGCCCATATTCTGCCACTGGGGCAATGATTCCGTGGCCGGCGCAGGTTTGTTGTCCCGTTGTCCTCCACGTCCCGGATCATGGTACTAACAACGCTCCAGCGCTGCAAGATGACGCAGTCATAAAAGAAGCGGGTAGGAAGCGCGCAGCACCCCATATCAAGACATATATTCGCTATGGCAACAAGTCAGACCAGTCCATCGACTGGGCGCTGATGACCTCGGCCAACCTATCCAAGCAAGCCTGGGGCGAGGCGGTCGGCAGCATGGGCGAGATGCGCATCTCATCGTACGAAATCGGGGTCCTCATCTGGCCCGCATTGTATGCGGAAGACGCCACGATGAAGGCGACGTTCATGACAAACTGGCCGGCGGGAGGGGAGGAGGAGAAGTCGACGGTGGCATTGCGGATGCCATATAACCTCCCCCTGCAGCCATACGGGAAGGGCGAGGTGCCGTGGGTCGCAACAGCGAGTCATCTGGAGCCGGACTGGATGGGACGGGTCTGGCGGCATGAGTAGCTTGCAGTGTCCTCGCTTGCTGCCAAGCTAATTGCACGGTCATGCAGGGGCACCATGGGCAGAGGACTCAGGAACAACGCGGTGGCTCGCTTGCTATGAATTTAAACATCTTGCTGCAGGGCGTGGCTGTGGAACGACGGCCGAACTAAAAAGACTTCTTCCTACTTCTCCCGTCTATCCTGTCATCTATTGCCCTCCAACAGCCTCGGGCTGCTTGTTCTCGTCATACCCATACTTGCCCTTCATCTCCTCGATCTTGGCGACGTACTTCTCCTGCGCTTGCTCGGGCGTGATGCCGTCCTCGACAGCCGCCTTCCAGGCGTTGTACTTGGCCTTGCCCTACGGAGTGTGTCAGTTCCACTGCTGTTCTCTCTCCCGTCCAGCAGTCACGGAGAGGGGACAGGGGCCACGTGCCTTGAGGTCGAACATGCCGGGCGCAGTGGCCTTCTCGAAATCCTCGCCGGTGGCAATCTTGTACAGGGCTGGACGCTCTTTGTCAGAAAAAAAAGTGTCCTTTCAGGGGCAGCCGGAACCCAACGGACCATAGATCTCGAGCAGGTCCTCGTTGCTCGGCTTCGACGTCAACTTCTTGCTGTCAACGACGGCCTTCTGGAAAGCTTCGCTCTGGGCAACCATTTTTGCGGGGTTTGTGATTGTTTGTAGAGGTCGTGATAGCTACTAGTGTGCTTGTTGCTCGTCTATTTCCGAGAAAAGGTTTGTTTGCAAGATGTTGTTGAGGGGACGGCCAGCGTTTGTTGGGAGTTTGGCGGGGTCAAGCTGCCCTGGGCGCGGGGCTCAGCTGCCCTGCCCTGGCACAGGAGGGGCGAGGCGAGCCTCCATGTGACCGGATCTGGGGCGTCATGGAACCTTGGTGCTCCACCTCTCTGCCAAGCTTCCAGGTTCCATTCAGTTCAAGTTTGCTGTGCACATGTGATGGACGTTGCTCTTTGGAGCCAACAAGCCCATGATTGCAGGAGAGAGGGTTGGACGGTGCTGCTGGAAGCTTCAAGTTCGTAGGTGTGTAGTACTCGCGGATGGGACCACCTAATGGCGGGAGAGTGCATCACCCAACCGAGAGCATAAGGTACGCGGACAGGATAAGAGCGTTAGCCGGCCGAATGGCGGCCAGAGACACCTTTTAATAAGCACACTTCGTTGCTGGCCTAGCTCGGTGCCTTTCCTATCAACAGACCTAGCAAATCAAGAAGACGTTGGCGTCGGTCCCGAGCCATCTCGATCGGGCTCTCGGACCAATGAAGCTACCAGGGGGTAGGAGCCGGGTCCCGAATAGAGTTAGCGGCGCATGCCTATAGGCTTGTCGGCAACCGCTTGTTCCGTGTGCCGCGATCGACATCGGATGGTTTCACTTTGGCTCCCCACGTCGTGTGTTTTGATGAAGCCCGGATGGAAACGCATACAGACCAGAGCACCTACCTGGCTTCGCAATTTCGTGGTCCTAAACATGCGTTGACGGGAAGTCAACTGGGCGAATATGTTATCTCAGTTCGAGTTGCAACTGTTGTCGGGGTGGTAAGGGAAGGCGGATGACGAATCGATGTCGAACCTACCGCACATAGATCGACACCAGGGATGCGGTAACACAACAGCCTGGTGTCAAGCCCAAGGAGGGCGCATCCCGACCACAAGGAAAGTGGCACGTCAGCCTCTGACGGTCTTTTGGTTTGCGGCTGCCCAGCATGTCTGGCGGATGTTCCCGAATGTGCTGCGGCAGGAGGGCCCAAAAGAGGGCCGACCGAGTTTGCCTTTAAAGGTGAAGGGACCATCCCAATGCTTGCCCAAAGGCATTTGTGTATCATTCCTGCATTGAAGTCCGTGCAAGTCCGCTTCGTGAGAAATCCCACCTCGTGCAAACAAAGAATTGTCTCTGCACCAAGCTTGAGTTCATCGTTCCTCTCACAGCAAATACCCCAAGCAAAATGACCAAGACGGTCGTGATTCTCGGGGGCGCCTATGGCGGCCTCCATGTCGCCCACGCGCTTCTCAAGAAAGCCGACAAGGACCTGAAGGTCATTCTCGTGTCCAAGGTACGCAAGCATTGGCAGTCTGCAACGCGACCATGTGGTCCATTTACTAAGACCGGCCCAGAGCACGCACTTCTACTGGAACATGGCCTCCGTCCGGGCCATCATCCCGGGCCAGATCAAGGACGAAGCCATCTTCAAACCTCTTGAGAGCGCGCTGTCCCGCTATGCGAAGGAGTCCTGGGACCTCGTCATTGGCACGGCTACGGCGGCCGACTTTGAAGGCAAAACAGTCCAGGTCACGCTCGCCGACAAGACGACCCGCAGCGTCTCCTATGACCAACTGGTCCTCGCCACGGGCGCCCGCTCGGCCGCGCCGCACACCCCCTGGAAGGACTTGGGCAGCTACGACGAGACCGTCAAGAGCCTGCACGAGACCGCCGCCCGCGTCAAGGATGCGCAGCACATCGTGGTCGGCGGCGCGGGCAGCACGGGCGTCGAGGTCGCCGGCGAGCTGGGCTACGAGTACGGCAAGAGCAAGAAGATCATACTGCTGTGCTCGGGCGAGAAGATCCTGGGCGGCGACAGCGTCGCGGCCGCGGCGACCAGCGAACTCAAGAAGCTCAACGTGGTCATTAAGTACGGCGCCCGCGTGGCCGATATCACGACGACGCCCGACGGCAAGACGGCCGTCATGCTCGCCGACGGCGAGACCATCACGACCGACCTGTACCTCCCGACCGTGGGGCTCGTCCCCAACACCGACTACGTCCCCGCCCGCTACCTCAGCACCGCGGACCCGAACTACCGTACCGTCGTCGTGGACGAGTACCTGCAGGTCAAGGACGCGCCGGGCGTGTGGGCGTGCGGCGACGTGGTCAGCAAGCCGCGCGCCGGGTTCATGATCACGCAGAAGCAGGCGGCCAGCGTGGCCAAGAATGTGGATGCGGCGCTGGCGGGCAGAGAGCCGCTTGTTGCGAAGGGCCTGCCGATGGATATCTATGCCTGCTCGGTTGGGCGCGACAGGGGTGCCGGCCGGATTGGCTCGATCAAGCTGCTCAGCATCATGGTTTGGCTGGCCAAGGGGCGCAACCTCGGAGTGCCGAGGGCGCAGGGGTATGTCGATGGGAGTGTTGCGTAGACGGGGAGTTGGAGGGGTATAACCAAAGCACGGGCTAGAACGGCAGGGTTTTAGTTGGGTTGTTGGCGGTCGGGGCAGGTGTACCAGGTAGCTTATTAATGGCGGAAGAGCTTCCCGTAGATTACCGTTGATGTACCACACCGAAGCAGTTAAAGTCGTCTCATTAGTAATGAAGCATAGCCCACTTCTATCTCCCCGCCTTCTCGTCCTCGATCTCTCGCCGCAGCTGCTCCAACACCTCCTGCCTCGACCGCAGATGGCTCTCCAGCCCTTCCACCTGCTCCCTCACCGTCTGCAGATCGTCGCTGACGCTCTTGAGGCTGCCGCCCGTCTTCGTCGCCCCATTCCCCTCCTCCAGATCCCGCAGCTGCTTCCTCTTGTAATCCAGCAGCTGCTCCAGCTCGCGCTTGACCAGCGCCGGCTTGGAGTCCCGCTTGCCGCCCTTGCGCCTCTCCACGGCCGCCTCGACCTTGGCGATCTTCTCGTCCAGCTCGGCCAGCTGCTTCTTGAGCCGCACCTCCTCCCACTCGGCGTCCGTCTTGGCGCTGCTGAAGTCGGTCCCGGCCGTCTTGAAGCCGCTGCGCCCGAGCCGCGTCAGGTACTGGTCGCCGAACTTGGCCTTCCGCCCCGTGCTGGTCTCGTCGTCGGCCTTGGTCGCCCACCGCGACTGGGCGGCGTTGTTGCGCGCACTGTCAACCTGGTAGTCGATCTGGTTGCGCTCGAAGCTCGCGCGCAGCGAGGCCGGCACCGTCCGCGGGATGCGGTACCCTTCGTGGCGGTAGTTGAGGATGTGCAGGAAGGCGAGGCAGGCGTCTTTGTTGATGGACGAGGCCGCGGACGGGTTGATCAGGTTCCATGCCGAGCGGATGTCGGTGTCGGGCACGTCGAGTGACTCGTAGAGGTCCTGGAGAGAGGAGACTAGAGAAAAAACAACGCGCGTCAGCAGGGTTGGTGTTGCGGCGGGGGATGGTAGTACTAGTAGTAGTTCGGCTTACATGCTACTTCGCCCCGCATGTCGCGGTTCTCCTGGTAGATCTGCTCGTACTTGGACTTGTCGTCCGGGCTCATGTACCAGTCGAAGCCGTCTTTCAGGCCCGGCGAGTCGTCGTCGTCCTCGACCTGCTCGAACTGCGGGGCCTTGCCCGTGATCGCCCGGCTTGCCTGCACGAGGTGCGCCTTGGACTCGGGCACGAGCCAGTCGGGTAGCGTGGTCGGCACGTCGGCGTACTCCCCGTTTAATAGGTCGAAGATGACGCGCATGGCGACGCAGAACTCCTCGAAGTCGAGGTTGCCATCGTTGTCGACATCGGCCAGGTCCCACACGCGCTCCAGCTGGTCGTCCCGCAGCCCGCTGTTCTTGAGCACCGGCGCCGCCTGCTCGCCTGTGAGATACTTGCCGCCATTTGTCCTTGCTGAGAAGATGTTCCAGTATGTCTCGATTTCCTGGGCCTCGATGCGCGGCGCCATGTTGTCGGCCTGCGGGGCGTTTGTCAGGAGGGATCAGGTGTCGATTCCAATCGGCGATGCGACACACACGGTCCTTGGTCGTCGTCTTGCAGGCGATACCGGGCGGTCGGGGGCTGAGATGCTGTGGGATGATGTTGGGTTGGGAAGTTTAGCGGTCTCGGATGGCGCCGGCGTAGTTGACGTTGCTCGGCAGGGGGCAGGCTACGTGACGTCCGCTGTGACCCACCATGAGAGTGGGCGGATTAGGGACACCCCTTTCCGACATCAACCAGGGTCAGGGCGCCTAAGTTTGCCTAAGCTTCACCTTTCACAGATTCACTCACAACAACTTGATCGGGAGCAGCCCACTCGACGGCGTCTGTGACAATGTGACTTATACATTCGTGCGTTTGCATGGTACAATATATCTGACACTTCCGTCTCAATCTCATGTCCCGGATTCCCGGATCGGCCGCTGGCCTGCCCGCCTAGTGCTGCTGCTGGAACATCTCTAGCACAGCAGACCTCTGAAAGCCCCTGCTCCAAGCTCCTCTCCTCACAGTGAGAGCCAATCTGAACAGGAGGCAATCCCAATACCATCCCCTAGCCATTCCATCCATCCTTGAATCTCCAGACTCTCCAATGGTATGATCAGCAGCTGCCATGAGGTCGTCCCAACCAAGCAGCAGGAGCCCCAAATCCCCAACAAGCTCCTTTGTGCCTCAGGTCTCCAACCTCCTCATAGCAGGAGCCGATATTGTCCCGAAACACTCATCCCAAATCATGTGGATCGCGTTTTCTAATCAAGCGACCGACCTGAATGGCAGCAACCAAGCTCCTTCGGGTCCAAGTCCTATGACAGGCCGGCCCTTCCCAAACCCGCAACACAAAGTCGGGTCATAGCCTGGTCTCTTCATAGGTCCTCCTTTCTCATCATCACAGTACATCCAACATATCCGAAAGCTCCCAGAGTACGTACTCGAGGATGTCATCATCGTCGTGAGCTTCGCCATCAGGAAGTACCCGAAAACCAGTCAAAGGAAAAAGAAAAGAAATCGGAGAGATCATCGTCGTCGTCACCCTCATCAAGACAGAAGCAACCACGAACCAGCCAAAAAGAGAAGAACAAATCGAAAAAGAGATGATCACCATCGCCACCAACGCCGAAAAACAAGCCCAACCCAAGCAAAGGAAAAGGAAAAAAAGGAAAGAAGAAGGAATCAGTAATCCTCCTCCTCCTCATCGTCATATTCATAGTGATTCTCACGATCACGCCGGGTAATCACATCGACCTGATCGTACTGCGGTCCCCTAATATCCAGCCTCAGAGTCGCGCCGGGAGGACGCGCCGGCACGACAGGAGCGGTCGGCCTGCCGCGGGGATAGAGCAGCCCCATGATGGACTCGGCGTGAGCGAGGAAGGCCTCGTCCGAGTCAAACCGGTCTCTGGTCTGCGCATTCATCACGCGGCACCGCGCGTCCAGCTCGGCCACCTGGGCCGCGATGCGCGGGTTGGGGCCGGGACGGGAAGAACGTGAGGCTGGGCGGCGCATGGTTGTTGGGCGCGGCTGGGTGCTGCCGCTGTTCGAGAATCTAGGGTGCGAAGCGATCACGATTCTCCTCGGCGCGTTGGGGCGGACGATGCTGGGCGCTGCAATGGGCGCGGGCTGAGTCGCCTGGCTGGGAAGCTGGACGGGTGCGAACATGGACTGGGTATACGCCTGGGCCGGACCAGTTTCGCCCGTGGGGGCCGTGGGGGCCGACGGAACAGTGAGAGCATCCGAAGAGGCAGGGGGGTTGGCCGCGTTGTACCGCTCGATTCCGGCGTTGATGAGAGCGACCAAGTCATTTGAATATTCAGTGAGCGCCGGGTCGATCGGCAAGTCGGAGGTCGACTCTTGCGCGATGCTGCCCTGCGCAACGGAGGTGGTGCCGCCCTCACTCGGCGCGGTCGGCGCCGTCGACGCCTGAGACGAAGTCACCGTCTGGGAACTGCTGGCCTGCGAGGTCCCGTCGGAACTGCCCTCGCCCTGCTGCCGCCTGCGCTTCTTCTCGGGGTGCTTCTGAGGGCCGCCCAGGAATACCCACGTGACGCCCGTGTCATTGATGACCCACGTTCCGCCCGCGATTCTGCCGCCAGGCCTGTAGGTCCTCTCGTTGACCGGAACGCGCTGCTCAAACTCGGCGCGCGTCATCTCCTCCCCCAGGCTCGAGCGCATCATCATCTCGGACGGGGCGAAGTAGCTTTTGCCCGGGCCGGTGGGCCTCGGGGCCGGGTTGCCGTCGGGACCAAGGCGCGGTCTCCTGGGCTTCTTGGTTTCGTTGCCGTCCTTGCCGGTCTTGCGCGGTTCTCGCTTGGGGCGCTCGTCCTCTTCTTCGTCGCCCTCCCCCTCGTACTTTTTGAGCTTTGGCTCGATCTTTCTGCGGACGCGAGGACGATATTCCTTGTCGTCATCGTCATTGTCCCGTTTGCGTCGGCGATACGGTCTCTTGGACGGGGACTCGCCGCCTACTGCTAAGGCGGATCCGGGGGCCACGGGAGGTAAGCCAGCAGCAGACGTGGGGTTGGGATTCGCGGCCGAGTTGGAGGCAGCGTCAACTGCCGCAAGAAGCGCGACAGTGATCTCGTCTGCAGTATTGGGGGCGATGGTCGGAGCTGCAGCGGCGGGTGCAGTCTGGGTGGCTTCTTCCAAGGCGGCGGGCTTGTCACCGCCCTCACCGGCCTTTTTTCTCGGGGCCAGCCGGATGTACTTTCTCTTCGCCGGCTTTGGCCCGTCGCCGGTTGTAGCAGGTACTGGGGCGGGAGGCAAACCTGACGAAGGGACGGGATTGGTATCCGGATTCACTGCCGGGAGCTCAATGGAGGCAGTTTGATCGGCAGCGGCAGAGGTACTGGTCAGGGTGGCGCCAGGGGCGGGCTCATCACCACCCTCACCGGCCTTCTTTCGGGGGGCTCGCCGGATGTATTTTCTTTTCGGCTTAGGCGTGTCGTCAGTTGAACCGGGGCCGGTGGCGGGAGCCGGGCCAGAAGGAAGGATGCTGTTGGCGGTCGTGTCAACCGCCGGAGGCTCGGTGGAGGTATTTTGACCGACAACAGTAGAGGCAGCCTGTGCGGCAGCCATGGCGGCGGCCTGAGCCTCTTGACGCGCGATGATGCTCGCCTTCCTCGGTCTTCCCGGGCGGCGCCTCTTCGGAACCTCGCCATCGGCCTGTTCGACGGCAGCACTCCGCCGTCTCCGAGGAGCAGCAGCAGGAGCCTGAACCCGCCTACGTGTCGGGGTGGTGGCAGCAGGGGCACGAGCCCGCCTACGTGTCGGAGTGGTGGAAGGAGGCCCGGCGATCGCCGAGCGTCTTCTTGTGCCAGGCTCCCACTCCTCGTCGTCGGCGTCGCTCGGCTGGAAAGGGGGCCCACGGCCAGCGTTCATTATGTCCGACCGGTCGTCGTCCTCCTCATATTCAATAGTATGGGAGCGCAGTCGATGTGCGGGCGGAACCACAGCGCTGTTGCTGGTGCAGCTCGCTCTCGGGTTATTCCTGGCGAGAATGGTCGACACTTCGGCAGCGAGGCCAGGGTCTCGGGTCTGCACAGAAAACGACTGTGAGAGCAGAGCAGGGTCCACCGGGAAATCTTCAATCAACTGCTGGAGAGCCGCGGTCTCTCCGTTGGACGCCGCTTCGTGAGCCTCGCTGTACGAGGCGGGGACGGGCTGAGGACCGGACCACTGCGAGAGCGGCGTGGTGGACATCCGAACTGTGCTTCCGGGGGCAATAGCCGCACCCTCGGGGATCCGCTCTTGAGTCGCGGACCGAGAACTCGACATATCGACGCCACCGAAGAGATTGGTGACGTCAACGTCGGCGGCGAACCGCCACGCGTCGGACATCCAACTGTTGCCCGGGGCCGGCTGGTCGTGTGCAGGCAGGAAGGGGCCAGTCCCGTCCTAGGGGTTCTGGGACTCGTTACCCTGCGCACTACCGGGGGAAGGCTCCGGCCCGACAACCGCGTCGATGAAGCCCTGGTCGGGCGCCGGCAGCGAACCGAGCAACTCCTCCGGGCGGTCGACGTCCATGGCCTCCGCTTCCTCCCCGCTGAGGTACCAGACCTCGTTGGGCACCTGCGACTGCATCGTCGCCACGGTCAAAACCGTCTGCGGGATGATGCCCGCGTCGTGCAGCGCCTCCCACTGCGGCCAATCCGACTTGTCCAGAATGGAGTAAGACCTACCGCTCTTGGCGCTATGCACATAATTCGCCGGGTGCAAGGACCCGGACTTCGGCACGCGCTGGAGGTCGCAGGCGCGGCCACGCTCGGAGGGCGGCGCGCCGGACCTCAACCGCTGAGGATTGAGCGTCCTTGCCGGCGGGTCCAGGCGGACCAGCAGCTCGGCGTCGGACATGTTCGACATCACGTCGCTGCTGCTGCCGCTCACGAGGTCGACGCCGCCGAGGTTGTCAACGCCCAGGAGATCCAGGCAGCCCTCATCGATGTCGATGCGGTGCCAGGTCCCCGCTGTGCCCTCCCAGAGGCCAAGGTTGGCGGCCACGTGGTTGATGCCGAGGAGGCGGAGGTACGACCGGCCGCGGCGGACTTCGGCGGCCGTGAGCGGGTCGGTGACGGGCGCAAGCGCAGCGATGGTGGCCCGGACAGAAGGGTCGTCGAAATCCAGCAGCTCCTCGAGGTTGGCGTCGCACGTCTCTATTTTCTCGATCTCCTTCTGGACCAGGACAAGGAAGGACTGGACCTCGTCATGGGTCAGGTTGAGTTGCTGGAGGGCCTCGCTCAGGCGCATCTCGCGTGTCATCTCAAAGACGATGGCATATTTTATGCCATCTGAGAGGTCGGACCAGTTGAGCTGTTCTGGGGGGTTCGTGGAGATCTGACTCGTTTGTTAGCGTCTCATTGTCAGGGGCCAGCAAAAAAGGGGGGTTCTCTCTTAGTGGCTTACCGTCGGAGAGGGGGTTGCAGCTGGGGGGGGGAACGCGGGAGCCTCTCCGATCCTGTTGGTCTTGCTCGGCTGCTGCCGGGGGATGTTCGCGACATAGGCCGGGCGTGCGCGTCTTCCTTGTCCAACGTCGGGATTGACAGGGGCGACAGATTGGGAGGCCGCCACCGGGCCATCACCAGTCGCCGGTCTCGGGCCTTCGTCTACAACACGCTCTTCGCCTGACTGATCCTGACTCTCGGCGCCGTGGTTCGTGACGGCACCAGCGCCCTCGTGGTCGGAGTCATCATCATCATTTTTGCTTCCCTCTTCGGAACTGTGGTGCTCGTCATCCGTGACGTCTGCCTGTTCCGCGCCGGCGGCTGCTACCGCGGCGAGCCGAAGTCTCTCTGCCTCGGCGGGCCCAACGCCGGGGTAGTCCAGGGGCAGGGTTGGGTGCGCACAGAACTCGGCCAGGCGTTCATTGAAGGGCACATCGGGATGCACGAACGCTGGACGCTCGGCCCTGGTCGGGCCGTCGTCCTCCCGATAACGGCCGGGCCTGCGCCGCAGCGCGGCCGGTCGGAGCTCCATGCGGCTCATTGTTGAACACGTTTTGTGGAAGGTGTTCTAGAAGATTTGATTGTTCCCTTGTTGAGAAAAGGTGGTTGTCTTTCTTCTGATTCTGAGGCCAGACAGAGAAGTGCGCACACAAGAGAAAAGGGGGTGTGAGTGCTGTGAAGGGAAGACCTTGTCACGGGGAAGGAAAACGCCTCGAGCTCAGACCGCTTGATGAGAATCAGACCGCGACTGATGAATATCAGACCGCGATTCACAGAAATCAGACTGCCAAGAATGCCGCTACCTTTCTGATGTCGAGGGAAGCGCGCTCAAGAGAGAGAAGATGTTAGCGCTATCAAAAGGGGGACTTGTTGCTGGTGAGCAGGACGAGACGATATCTTTCTAACGGCCCAAGGAAGAAACCGTGAGGCAATTCAGACTGCGATTGACAATTCAGGACCGCAAAAGCCGCCGATACCTTTCTGACACCTGGGGAGAGGCGCCGACAGAGAAAATGATGTGATGATGGAAACCCAATGGAGCCTTGTTATTGTCGCCAAGGGTCAAAATATCCCAGACGCGAGAGTGGCGCCCACAGAGAAAGGAGGCCGCGATAAGAACTCGAAGAAACCTTACCGCTGGCGCAAAGAATGGCCGATGTCTTTTGTGCCTGCAGAGGAAGAGGCGCGATTGAACTCGAAGGAAGCTTGTGCTCTTCTGAACGGTCGATATCTTTCTGAACGCGAGAGAGAGAGAGGCGCTCACAGCGAAAGAACCGTGGTTGGAAGAGAAGAACGCGCCTTGCTGCTGCTGTGAGGAAAGGTCAATATCTTTTGACACCCACGGAGGAAGAGAAGAGAAGACGTGGTACGGGTTGGGAATCAAAAACGAAGCCCCGCGATGGTGCGAAGAGCCAATAACTCTAAGTGCGAGAAGAGAAGCACGTGGAGAGGAAGTGGTTGGGAGTGAGAAGAAAGTACTGCCTCGTCCCGGGCGTAAAAGGTTGATGGTTATTTCTGAAGCGAAAAGGCACTTACCGAGAGAGCAAAAGATGTGATGGAAGCCGGCGCGCTGATCGCGGCCCTGACGCGACTCTCTAAGGCCCGATATCTTTGGCGCCAACAGAGGGAAGATGTGGTGGGAGTTGGAAGGTTGCTCGCCTCGCTGGCGCGACAGGAGGGCCGCGATGTCCCCGGGGCCCGCGGAGGAAGAAGAAACTGTGATGCGCTTCAGAAGCTTAGTTGCACTGCTGGCGTGAATTCAAAGGGCCGATATCTTTCTGCTGCCAGAGCGAGGCGCCCGCGAGGTAAAGGGGAGGAGAGATGAAGAAGGAAGGTCCTGCCGACGCCTCGATCGATGATCAATTGGCCAAGCCGGACGTGGAAGCTTGGGGTCAGGGTGGATGAAGAAGAGAGGAGCGCGGTGAAGGGCTGAACAGTCAGAGGAAGGCTTGAAGCCGGGGAGATGGCTGGTCGGTCTGTTTGAACATGGAGACTTGGTGGCCAAGGTGGAAGAAGGAAAGAAGAGTACGGTGAAGCGCTGGGCAGCCACAGGAAAAGCCGCAGGGATGGCCAACTCACCTGGTCGGACTTGGGAGCTTTGTGGTTGAGGAGATGAATATGAGAAGAACGTTATGAAGACGGTGTAGTTGAAGACGAAGATGTAGGTGAAGAAGAGAAGGTTCGGATGGAATTTGGTCGTGGTTTGAGAGTGGAAAGTGCACCAGACCTGCACACAGGAAGAGGAACCAAAATGAAATGGCACACAGATGTTGGCCACGACGCGTTACAGGCGCGGTTTCGTCCTCTGGAACGATGGTGCACCTCGCTGCGGTCCTGGGACCAAGTGAACGGCATCACGAATGGACTCGCGCCCGAAGGCCGATAAGCGATAACAGCACGTCGTCAACCTGGAGAGTATGGCTAAATGTAGGACTGGCACTTCATCGCCGTCAGGGGGTTTGTTTACTTCCATTCTTGATGGTTCTTGTCCTACTGGCAAGAACAACTACTTGCTTACCGCCCTCTCGTCGGCGTCAGGGGCTTTGTTTACTTCCGTTCTTGGCGGTTCCTGTCCTGCTGGCGAGAACAACTACCTGCTTACTGCCCTCCCATCGGCGTCAGGGGCTCCGTTTACTTAGTGCTTGGCGATCCGATTCTCTGGCCATTGTCACTCAACGGGATCACTAGACGTGACAGCAAGGACCATGCGACAGGGTGGTGAAAATGCTTCGCTATTGTGAGCTCGCACAAGGGGAGGTGAGATCATTGCTCCGTGACGAGTTTTCCTAACCAAGATATCTAGGCCCGTGGGGGATTCAGCGCTTAGGGGCAGCATGCTTACAGAAAAGGCTACATATATATATAGAATGACTTTGGAAACCGCTATAGAAACGACCACGGAAACAACCACGGAAACGACTACACCGTGGAAAAGACCACGGAATTCACAACGGAAGAACACATAAGAGTGATGACAGAGGTGACGACGGGAAAGACAATAGAAAGTCGACGGAAGAGACAAAGAGATAATAAACGAGACAACAGGGGATAATTCACACCAAAGTGACCTAATTACATACGTCTAAGTGCTATATAAATACTCCAGCAGGTCCGGGCATCTTGACCTGGAAGAGAGTCAAAGACATACAAGGACCGCGCACATTGTCTTGCTCCTATAGGATGTTCGTGCCAGGAAGTATCACGAGAGCCGCCAACGGCAGGGAGGTTGGCGGTGAAGGGGGAGGGGCGCCCGGTGCAGCGCCGGTGGGTTCTGGTTCGAAGTCCAATGGTGCGGATGCGGGTCCCGAAGAGCAGGAGGATGCTGCGGAGGCTCTCGCTGCTGTGGCGGCGGAAGTGGACGCTGAGTTTGCGATGGGAGACAACCAAGCCATGCCAGCCCGTGTTAGGGCATCTACTTGAGTCATACTGATGACTGTATCCTTTGGGAGAGAGTTGGAGTGTGGATTCATCGCGTTCACGGCATCGTGATGTTTCTGGGTGATGAGGGCATTTCAGGGAAGCTATGAGATTGCTTATGAAGAGCAATTGCCAATCCAGAAGTCAATTCCAGTTGCTTGGTCGCGTGGCGCAACGGTAGCGTGTGGTCCTCCTATTACTGGGAGAATCAGACTGAGGTTGTGGGTTCGAGTCCCATCGCGATCGGCCTTAATTTTTTTTCTGTATATCCCCCTCATCATTCAATGATTGTTAACCAAGCGTCGCAACCCCCAAGCGCTTCGTCCACCCTTGTCTAAACAGACATAAACTGCCTTCTACAGTGCAGTGGGATAAGTCTCCTTACACTGCACTCTCCCAAAGGGTATCATCGCTGCTCAAGCAGACGCCAGCCCACAACTAGCCAACCTCCTCCCAACCTTCCTGCCACCGTTCCCTTCAGAATCATAACCATAGTCGAGAAAGCCGTGGGAACCAACCGCTTCTCTGCTCCCTCTCCCGTCCCTCCTGACCAGACTCAAACCCGATGCACACCGCACTCGCGTAGTTACCATCATGAGTGATGCTGACCATGGCGATCTGGTCCCTCCTCCCTTCACCCGGCTTAATCACCGCCACAGGCGCACCCTTAGCTTGCCACGCCTGTTGCTGGAGCGGCTGGTCCCCGGTCTGCGCTTCCATCTCCGCAGGCGACAGGATGAGCACGTCGTGGAAGCCTAGCCTCAGGTGCGGATGCGCCTTGAACGCGGCCTCTTTCGCTGCCCATCTAACATCGTACCACCCAGGTCAGATGTTCGGTGCTTTTCTAGGGCCGCCTCTAAGTTATAGAATGGACGCACCTCCCGGCCAAGAAAGTAGCCGCGGATTTGTACAACCCGAACCCTCCCTCCTCCCCCTCCTCCCCTGATAACCCATCCCTCTTCCTTTCCCCCTGCAGGTAAGACTCATCATGACGGTGCTGCTCCTCCTCTGGAACCTCCAGCTTCCCGCCACCTTCCCATTCCCTGCCCCATAATTCCCGTTCCCGAGTGGTGGGCGATATCGGTCGCCTCACCCCGGTCCCTCCCGCAGAACCAGCCGCCGCCTTTGCAACACTCCCCCTGACCGCGTCGTCAAGCACTGCGCGCATGACGGGGCGCACGTGCACCAGCTCTTCGGGCGCCAGGACGCGGTGGATGAAGCGCGGGCCGTTCTTGCCCTGCAGGATGCGCTGGATGCGCGAGATGCGGCAGAGGTCGGTGCCGATGCGGAGCGGGTAGGGGAAGGGTAGTGGTGGCGGCATTTGGCTCTACTAGTAGTGAGTGTGTGTTGGGATGAGTTTGTTTATTAATAGGGGTTTGGGTTGTATTTTATTTTTAAGAAGTTGAGGCTGTATGAGCTGATGATGGTCGAGGTTAGAGAGAAGTTAATTGGACTGGGGCTAAACTAGGAGGTAACGCCATATGTTCAGCTGATTATCGATAAGCCCTTGCATCTGTTAAGACAAGCTGACCATCCACGTCATCGCACACAAGAGCAGATTACCCATTGATCGTGAACTGAGATTACCGCAGGCCTGAATCCCAAGAGAACCCGTAGAATGAGTTCCTCCCATCAACACCAATCTCATCCCTTCGGTTCCGACATCACAAAACGCTAGCAAACCCGAGCCGAGCCGCAATCTCCTGCTTTCTCCGGGCCACTTTCCACCAGTTCCCTGTTACTTTTTTGCAGATGCCACACACATAGTGTAGGTATCCTTCCTCCATCCCCTGCACGTGTATCGCCCAGGTCACAAGCGGACCTAGTTCTCCCCAAGCAGCGGAGCCCTCTCCGCATCGGGCTGGCGCCTCTCGGCCGCGCCGCCCCACGGCAGCTCCCGGCCAGCCCACGCCGGCACCGCCACGATGACGGTGAACACAAACAGCACGGCCATGATGGTGAAGGCAAAGATCCACTGGAAGGCAATGACCTGGCGGAAGAACTGCGCGACCCCCAGGGCGGCCGAGAGCACGCTGAGCGCGAAGCCCATGGTATAGTCCTGCGATATATATCCGTCAGCGCCCGTGTACATCTTGATACAGAAAAAGGAAGGGGTTTCTTACCTTGTAGATGATGATGAAGAACATGCCATAGCCCAGGATGGACCACGCAAAGACATTCGCGAAGACGCGCGCCACCAGGCTGTTGTGGTGCGGCACCATGATCGCGCCGTTCCAGTAGATGGCCACGAAGGTCCAGGCCAGCGGGCCCGACACGGCCGGCAGGTGGATGAAGCGCGGGTAGGCGTGGTGGCGGAAGTAGAGCGAGGTCAGGTTGGCGAAGTTGAGCAGCAGCATGATCTCGGCCCAGACGAAGTGCGAGCGCACGAAGAGCATGACGAAGGCGAAGTGCAGCAGGTTGTTGACGATGAAGTCTGTCATGGTATTATCCCCAAAGTTAGGTCTCCCTTCCTTTCTTCTTCAAATTTTATTACGGGGGGTGTGTGTGTACGTACGGCTGCCTACGGCGCAGGCCGCATTGACCGACTCGACTTTGGATGAGAAGAGGTGCGAGATGTAGCCTAGCTGGAGGATGAAGAGGACGGCCCTGTCAAGCGCAAGACGCACCCGCGTTAGCTGGGAGTTTTGGGGAGCAGAAGGAGGTTGGTGACGAACCAGTAGATGGAGGTGATGACCGAGTTGAGGGTAAAGCCCGAGTAGTGGTGGTAGTTCTGGTGCCAGATGGTTCCGCCATGGTACTTGCCGTCCTGGGGAGGCTCAATGTCGTAGTAGACGGTGACGATGACCGAGAGCAGCCAGGTGAGCAGCGTCAGGACCTTGTAGGTGGTCACCGAGTTCGGGCTATGCGAGTCCCTCCTGGCGAAGGGGTTCACTAGCAGCAAGTCAGCGGAACGGATCCGTGACCACGGTACGCTGCCCATAGCAATAGCACATACTTGAATGGAAGCGATCCATTCTAGCGTTTTGCTGTGGTAGTTGTCCTCTTCGTTATTGGAAGTTAGGTGGAGATGCAAGAAGTCGTAATAGCAGCGAGATGGGAATTTATTGCCGAAGTAATGATCCAGAAGTCTGTGTACGGCCGCGCGGCTGCTTCTACTCTAGACGCAGGCCCGGGGTGAGTACTTATGGGGACGGGTGCAAGAGGCGAGAGGGTTCTGCATTCTGCAGGTTTGTGGATGATCATAAAACGGCAGCGTGAAGGCAAGGAATACGCGTTCGACATGCTCAGCCGATTGGCTACAGTCTTGTCGCACATCTCTTGGTCTTACATGGACGTACGATGCTCTGCCGCAGCAAACCGGGCGTTGGAGTTTGCCGGCTTGGCTGTCAAGGTGAACAGGCCATGAAGCTGTCTCAACTTCTCCGTGCTTCGTTCACCCTGGGGATGGGCTTCCATAATACTAGAATTCTAGATAGCCAACGATCTCGAACTGCCTATTTTAACTGATGAGAAACCCGAAAGCTACTCACTATCCATCTCCCCTACATAGAAAAATGCAACTTGGCAGAGTGCTTGACAGATGCTTGCACTGCAGTAAGGTATATGAAGCGGGGAACCTTGACAGGGACGGGTGACGTCATGGTTCCTGCAACAAAAGCACATGACAACCACGAAAGGAGTCAAGGCTGGACTTTCCTAACATGGAACTGGAAAGCACAGTGGTATGCCAGGGCGATCTGGACCTAACTTGACCTGACTTCTTCTCTGAAGGGAGAAACCATCCTTCAAACCACCGGGGCAACGCAACCACCCGCAAATACACTCCTCTCTTGACGGTATTTCTCCTCCTACCAGGCATTCAATCGACTTATCTCAATGATCTGCTTGTGATCGAGATGTGGCTCGCATTCTCCCAGCGTTTGTTTTCTTCCTGCTATTTTATCACGGTGGTAATAAATGTGACGTCTGGTGCACTGAAACACCAAATGAACTGAGCGGCTCAGCACTGCCCCAGGCATCGTGGACATAGTACATACAGGATATGCAGCCGGCGCTACCCCCCACCATCCTCCCAATTCTCCCACGGAAGACGGGTCCAGTTACTTCCTTCCTCTTCCATCGGCCTTGACATTGAACTGACCGAGTTGTTTCAATGAACCAGACCAGGCAGCCGCCGAGACTGTTGCCTCGAAATACCCGAGCTGCCTTAAGTGAGGCGGGCGGCATATTCGGGCTCGTGCTTGTTTTGGTCTTTGAGTGGGAGATCTAGCCACTGGGGATCACAAATTCTCCAGCCATCAATGTTGATGTGGCTGGGTTTCAACCTTGCGTGCTTGTTGTTGTCACACAGGGTCACCCGGGACCCGGGACGCAGCATTGTCAGCCCACGTGCCAGGTCCAATGCAGGTATCACTACTGTGATATGCTGTGCAAGCCTTAGAGGAAGTCCTCGAGCTGCACTTGTGGAAGATAAGTCCGGTAATGCCGTCAGTCGTCCCAGCGCAAGACCGTGACACGGCAGGTGGTCTAGAACCTTAATTGTATTTTGACCCTGCTCAGCCCCATCACTTGACTGCGCCAAGCTCATACTTCTGTCCCTGAATCTCAGCCTATTATCGCAGGTTTCTGCAACCATGGGGACAGAAATCTGGCCAAAGACGCGTCAAGCGTCTTGTGCTGTGGTTCTGGGACTCTCCGACAAAAATACACGTAGGGCTGAATGCTCACCCCGCCATGCATTAGTTTTCTAGCTCCGGAACAGCGAGCAGGCCGCTGGTCTAGTGAGAATGACCTCCGTATATCATGGCTTGGTGTGTAAAATGGATGAAGGCAACCGGATGCCTTCAGGCTCTCCTCAAGGCTTACTTCGGTTTGGTTCGCGCCCCATCGGTAGGGGCACCCGGGAAAGTCTCCATCTGGTTTTTTGAAAACAGAACCGCCTGGTGGCCAGATTATAAGACGACGTAGCTGATCGCCTCGAACCACGCCGATCAGCAACAACCTCGTTCCTCTGGAGCGCATATGGACAACTTTCGAGACGGTACACGGCAAAACGCGCGGAGGATCGAGGAAGACGAATGGGAAAAGCACAAGGATACGATCCTGGAACTGTACGAGACAGACTCCGTCCAGAAGGTCAAGGAATATATGGAGCGAAAGCACAGCTTCAAGGCGACGTGAGTGTCTTATGGTCGCTGCCGAGGAACGTGGGTCGACTCACACGTTACAGAAATCGCCAATTCAGCCATCGAATACGCAAGGTCTGGGGAGTCACGAAGTATAACAAGGGTATACCAGAGGGACAGGACGCCACCGGTCATCCACGACCCAAAGGGCAGCCGGCCAACGGCAGGCAGCTCCGCTCTGCGGTGGCATCCTCAGGTGCACACCATCCTCAATGTGACAACCTGCCTCATCACAACCACCCCGTGCAATCTTCGGCGGCTGTTCGGGAACGTCAAGCTGCAAAGACGGCTGGCCAGTCAGCCCTCTCTTCTGCGCCTCAGGCTAGTCTCCCCCTGACACAAAAGCCGGTGTCTTACCTTGCGCACCTAGCCGCGAAAGACTCAGATTCCAGGCTTCGACACCGCTGGCTTGCCGACATGCTGCTTGCCCTAGGAGATTCCCACCATGCTTTCGACATCGGCGCCGCGCTGTGGGAGGCTGAGCCAACGAATGGGATGCCACCTGCTCATGACACTTTGCTGCACGTTGTCAGCTGTGTTCGCGCCGCCCGGACGCAGGAGCAAGCCGCAAGCTGCCGGCAGATGTTGAACACCATCGACATCGGAGTGAGCAGAGACGAACAAGACGAGGGTTCTTGGAGGACCACTGTCAAGGATCTCCTCTGCGCCCTGACATACAGATGCGATACCGACGCCATAGCGTGCCTCGGACAGATCCAGGACACTATCGACGACATCGTCGAGGCCGACCAGGGGTCGTGGCGCCTCGAGCCGCTCATCGCACGAGAGGGGCTGCGCTTTGACGTACCGGCCTACATCCTCCTCAGCTCTGCACTAGAGTGGCACAATGCGGTCCGGAAGGCTGAAGAAGAGGAGGTCGAAGACCGAGAATTCGAAGGCCAAGAAGTCGACATCCCAACTGTTTTGCAGCAGTTCGTCGACCAACAGCCCGCTGTTTGCGAGGGGCCTGATGCCGACTTCTGCCTGCCTGTGTGCCTCAGCTGGTGCATCGACATGCTCAAGAGCGATCCCAAGATGCCTGCCATCGCCTCCGATACCCGCGCCACCAACGTCAACCGCAGCTCCGCGGTCTATACCGTCCTATGCGGGCTTTGGAAGACCTGGCTGGACTCGCGTCTACCTCCGTCTTCGTCCTCCCCTGCCTGGGCCAGCGACACCGAGTCCCAGCTGGGTATCCCAGCAACCCAGCTGCTGTGCACAGTGGTGTGCATGATGATGGCTGCTGTGCCACAGCAGAAGGAGGTGGAGGACGCCAACAACATCCCCCTGGCTCAGAGAGCACTGGCCGGTGCGAACGCGCTTAAGTCCCTCGATCGTAGGGAGCTTATCTGTCGGTTCGTCGACCAGGTGCGGGCGAGTAACCAACCGCTGACGGGGCCGCCGAAGGGGGGGCACCTCCGTCTCCAGAAAAACAGCGTGGTCGATGTCGATGTCGATGTCGATGTCTCGGCGCTCAACCCCTTCCGCGAGTTTGTCGCTCAGTCGCTGGGGATTGAGGATCTCCCTGCGCTTGGGGAAGGAGCCGGCGTGTACCCTCTGGTTCTGGCCACGTCCTCGTGTGAGTTGACATGAGGATGAGTTTGACATTGCATTACACTCCGACGAGGACCTCGTTGTCTTCGGTCGAGATGCTGAGTGTGTTGGCGGCTAAGGTGGAGAGCCAGTTTCATTCAAGACTACCTACCATTACAGATATACAATCCAGTGACATCAGAGGTTTATTATGTTGCAAGGTTTATATATAGTGTACAGGGGCGGAGTCCGGTGCACATGTCGGTGCCGAAGTGTCAATCGGGTCTGTTCCGCGGGGAACGCGGCCCGGCTTGCTTGGCATATGCAAGGAACGTGAGTTGTGAGCCACCGCGCGTTCGGGCCCCATCGAGCGAACCAAACTCCCCGGTCGGCACCGTATCCGTGGCTTGGACGCGCGGCTAAGAAGACTGCTGTGATAGAAATGCAGAAAGAGACCTCTTACGACGAACGACGTCCCGTTCTGGAGGACTCCCGCTCACCATGGACGTAAAGAGAAAAGTGACCGCGCTGGTGCAGCGGGCTACGAATAACAGCAGCATCCCGAATCCGCTCGCCAGAGCGCTCAGACTCGCCGCTATTGCGCTCATCGTCTTGATCCTGTACCTGAAGGTGGTCGCGCTGTCGTCACGGGCCCCGCCCATCATCGTCTCGGATTTGGTGCTCCAGACGTCCGACCTGAGGGATGTTAAGCCGGCCGTGGCTCCGGGCGGCAGCGGCGAGCACGCCATCCCCGCCAATGGCACCGGACCATCACCAAAATCACAGCACGCCATGAACTGCAACCCGGACATCCGCAGACTTGGCGAGATCAGGGACAGGTACGCGCTGGACAACGAGATCGAATACCTTAAGCGCTACATCCGCTTCACCCGCAAGCCTGACGTCGGCCGTCCGTCCTACACTGTCCTGGAGCAGCGCTTCCTGCCCGACGACGACAATAAGAGCTTCCAAGTCCTGCAACTGTCCGGCGACGAAGGCGGCCTCCCCCCGTCAGGGAAAAAATGCCCCGACCCCCTGGAGGTCTCGGTTCCGCAGTCGCCCTTCCCCGCCGACGTGGACCTCTCCGACTTCATCTTCGCCATCTCCACGACCGTCCGGCGCCTGGCCGACCACCCCACCACCATCCCGGAATGGGCCCACTGGCTGACGGACGGCCAGGGCCACTCCAACGGCGGCAAGCTGCTGCTCCGGCTGGTGGACGCCACCGACGCCGAGCTCCGCAACGTCACGCAGCGCCTGGCCGACGCGGGCATCGACGCCGAGGTCGGCGCATGGGACAGCCGCCGCGACAAGGAGATGGCGGTGCGCTACCTCAACCTGGTCCCTTTGCTCTTCTCGCACGATACTACTACTAGTAGTACTAGTAGTTCGTCCTCCGCCAAGACCAGGAAGTGGTTCGTCCTCTGCGATGACGACACATTCTTCCCAGCCATCCACTCCCTCGCGGCCCACTTCGCACAGCACTACGACCACACCAAGCCGCTCTACATCGGCACGCTCTCCGAGGACGTGACCTCGGTCGCGACGCACGGCTCCCAAGCCTTCGGCGGCGGCGGCGTCTTCCTCAGCCGCGCCCTCGCGCGGATCATCTCCCGTAATAGTAGTGGTAGTGTCGTCCACACGACGTGCCGGACCCGGCAGAAGATCAGGGAGTCGGACTCCGGGTGGGGCCCGCAGGGCGACATCCTGCTGCGCAAGTGCATCTACGAGAACAGCGCCGTGCGCCTGACGCCGCTGCGCCAGCTGTGGCAGCTGGACCTGGCGGGCGATGCGTCGGGTTTCTATGAGGCCGGCTTCAAGCCGTATAGTCTGCACCACTTCCAGGGCGGCGGCGAGGGGTTGTGGCATACGGCCTATCCGCTTGCTACGGCACAGATTGCGCACGCGTGTGGTGAGGACTGTCCCTATCAGCGGTTTGTGACGGCGGATGGGTTTGTGATTGCCAATGGGTATAGCGTGGCGCATTACCCGGGGGGTGGGATACTCGACCACGGCGATGATGATAATGATGATGAGGATGATGATGAGGACGAGGATGGGATTGATCTGGAGCAGGTCGAGCGCACGTTCTGCTCGCACCACGAGGACAAAGGGTGGAATTTCGATTACATGTTTGGGCCGCAGCGCGCGTCGCTGCATGGCACGGGGAAGAAGATTGCGTGGGAGCTGCGGGAGGCCGAGTACAAGAGGGAGGAGGGGGTCGTTGTGCAGGTGTATATCCGGAGGAAGGATGACCAGAGGTGGGTGACGAAGGAGGGGAAGAAGGGCGTGGTGAAGCCTATGAGGGAGACGGATGGCGTTCTTGAGCTGGTGTGGATCCCGGGTTGAATACGACTGACTATTACTAATATTGGTGGTGTGTTTGGATAGTACTAGTAGTATATACTTTCTACGATATATGATAGTACTCAAGCGTGGACGTGCAGATGGAAGACGAAAGCACCTCCTGATTCCTGGCGCTATCGAGGAAGATGAGTATGCCAGTCCGCGCATTGGGGACCGGACCTTGTAGTAGGAGTATTTGTTTGTAGCCTCCATAGCTCGGGTTACTGTTTAGTAGCGCCTGACATCCGTCGTTGGGGAGCACATGCTACCCCTGTGCTTCGATGTTATGGTATCTTGGTCTCCCCCCATCGGGGTTTGACCCATCCTCTAGGGACCTTCTACTAAGACTTCGACCACTACCCCCTTCACACCCTGAAGGTTGACATGAGGCGATGGCAGGCTGATATGGGATATACTGTGGAAGTAAGGTAAGCGTTATCAGTAACGAGCCAGGCTCCCGAATTCGATCTGTCATTGAGATAGCAGGACCGCATGTTGCCAGAAGCAAACTTCCGATCCGCCTACATAGCCGACACGGCGAAGACAACAAAACACACAGCCTAGAGAGCCAGAAACGGCGGGCTGATCACTGAATGATGCTTTGTATTCAGCAGAGTGGAAAAGAGTGACTGACAATAACCATATCCTCGCCAAAGCCCCACCGACATCCTTACGCCAGTCAAGTCAGCCAGTTGATTTTTTCACCCCCTGAGACGACGACAGCGATGGGTGTGAGTACGTGAAACCCCGAGGCCAGAAGGCAATGGTACCTCGTCCTCCAACTCCAACCGAGGGAAATTTTCTCGAAACTTTGATGGCGAGAGCGTATAAAGCACCTAAAACAAAAAGACATGGCACCCACCTGTCCCCGGCCCAACCTGAGACCATGCCCATTCGCCTCATCCACCCGCCCACGCATGGAATCCTCTTTCCAGCCTCAGAGAAACCCAAAGAGTTGACCCTGCTGTCCATCACTTCACTCCAGCGGTGTCATCCCAAGTGTAGCATGTGGCACTTGGGCATCCAATCCGATCAGACCAGATCGGATCTGATCGGATCTGACCAGAGACGGCGGGGACGGGGCCCCAGATCTCTCTCGCATTTGCATTGCTCGGCATCTGTGGCTGCATTCACATCCGCGTGCGTGCATCCCAGGAGGAGAACCCGGCCTCCCAAGGAGGGGAAAAGTGAAAGAGAAAGTTGGGTGGTCAGAGAAAATGGAGGGTGACAGCAATGCGTGCGGAGAGAGACAGAGAGAGAGAAGGTGAGAGAGAGATCACAGAAGCGTATGTCGCAGAGAGATCACCATACCAGTGCAACGTTATCAGAATATGATGGTAGGGGTAGGACATGGATCGCCCTCTCCGAGATCAGATCAGACGACAGACGACAGGGCTTTGCTTCTGACCCCTCCTCATTCAAACGCCCAGCGGTGCACCGTTAGCCTTGGAGACCTCGTCCGCCAGCGTCCAGAGACAATAGAGCGGTGCCCCGCCGTCTAGCTAGCTAACCATGATGTGCCATCTTTCTGGGCCGCCGGCCCACGGGAAGAGGGTAACGCAGACGACGGCCACGATCGGATGAAGGCACGCACGATGGAAAATTGCAAAACACGGATATATCTCGTATCTGTGTCTCTCCTTGTTTTCCTCGCCGACAGAAAGCTTCACCTTGATTTACCAGCCGCTTGTTCCTGACCGGCTCGGAGAGGCCTAGTGGCTGATAATATCACTGCTTATATGGCTTGCCGGCCAGCCGGCTCAGGCCACAGCTGCGCCCTACGGACCGTTTTCCTGTGGCTGGCATGGGACGTGGCCAGAGGTTGTTAGGGAAAGCAGAGAGCGAGCAAGGTAGATACGTATCTGATACTCTCGACCTTTTATCAGCCGCGGTGGCGAATGAGACAGGTCATCACGAAGGGAATAGAACTCGACTACCCGTTAGCTCAACGACTCTCCCACCAGATGGGCGCGGAGTCTTCTGTGAAAAAGGCCCGAGAACAACGTTTCCGGCCCCAAGCTTTCATGCCCCTATTTCCCCAGACGAGCCTTCAAACTACCGTTCTGGTTGGGGTCATAGCGAGCAGGATGCAGCGTTCGCCGGGCCAGCGAGGGCCAACGCATGCATGATCGATTGCACAGGCCCTGGACAAAGACTATCCACGATCTAGGATGGAAATGAGCTTCGCGGGCTTCTAGAACGGATGTACAGAACATCGGACAGACCTTGTGTGTGTAACCGTCATGCTGTCCACAGCTTGGAGGCAGTCAGATCGGAAGATATGTGGCCCTTGAAACGGAAGCAATTCAGCATGGAGTGTGTTCGTCATGCACAGTCCCGATGCGCTTTTGCAGAGCCAGAAGCTGCGGTCTCGAAGAGCCCTGACGGTGTAAGTAAGGTAGAGACAGCATAGGTCGTCGCTGGCAGACGAGATGAACGCTGTTTGATCGCCCGGCTATCTGATGACGTTATAGCCGCGTCCCGGAGAATCATTGCGGGGAAGAAGACCCTGCCCGTTTGGCTTCTGGCTGCCGTTGTTTGACGGGAACAACGACGGCAACATATGCAGGGCACAGGCCGACTTCAAACACAAACTGTGTCAGTCCAGCACGGCTGGTATATCAACCTGGGCTACCGTCTTGGAGCCATCGTCACTCAACTATAGCCACCCAAAGGCAGGAAAAAGTGAAATGCGGCCAAGCTTGCGAATATGTTATAAAAGGATAGAGATTGTGTTCCTGAAAGCCGGGATGATGAATATCACCCGAAGACAACAATACCTTAGCGAGGTTGTGAGCCATATGGCCACACACTTGTGTGAATACGTGAGCTCTGGAGTGAGTTGCAAGCCCACCGGCCTTGCTGGCAGCTTGCAGTCTATACCTGGCCTTCAAAGATGACCTGGATCGAAGTCGTTCTAGCCGCATGTCATGGGAACTGCTTGCAGAGTGCTTCCCTGTACTAGGTGTCGTTCAGCGGTGTTTGCTACCAGTTGCCACCCCTTCGTATCACAAGGATGACTGAAAATTGCCACCAAAACTTCCCGAACCGGCGTGTATAGCAATAGAACGATTGTGACGCCTCGTCCGTGGCGGGTTCTCCCAAGATGTCCCGTCTTTGCGATTTGCTGTCCAAGACGCCGGAATACCACCCAACTCTCTTTCCCCGCAAACCCGCGTGACGTTAAGCTTCGCAGATCTGACAAGTGCCGTTGAAGCTTGGAACTTCAGGCGGAGCCTGCTGCCGCATTGGGCCGAGGCCATCTTCCCGTAGGCACCTCAGAACGAGGGGCGACAGAGACGAACGTGCTAAAGGAGTCAAAGTATGGTACTGCCGACTTCACCCTCCGAACAGCGAGGGCAAAAGAATGCTCGTGGTCTTGCGAATGTTACTCCGGCCGCCAATGGTTGGCTACGTCTGGCGCTTGACCTTTCCAAGCTGATCTTTAAGCGGCCCAGGTTCTGCTGGTTCACGATATCGGGGAGACCGATCAGTCCGCACCATCATCAGCCGACAGAGAATCGCCGAGGGTTATCCAGGCGGTGCTGCCACCGTTTGCAAAGCATGTAAAGTGCTGTGCTTCCCATCTGCCGCGGCAGCTATCGAGTCTTCTGTCATGGACGCCCCCATAAATCGAAGTGTCTCTCCTCTAACTTCACTGTCGTTGGCATAGGAGCGCCCATGTCGTCGGTCTGAGGCGGCCGAGCCAGTACATGGCGCCTCAAATTAGGCATAGCGGCGATGTCAAGATATTGCCCGACAATCAAAAGCAATCTAGCACCGCACACCACTTCCGGCGATGCAACCCTCTGATGCATCGACCCAGTCAGGAGGCTACCACTGATAAGATCGCCGGGTGCCTCACCACGATCCGTCACAGACAGCGGCGTCTGGTTCGGTCTATGTCAAGCCGCTGCTAGCATCAGACATGTTGGGGGTGTGGCAACACGCAACCGGTCAATCATCCCAGCACGTGGTTGTAATATGCGAAGCCTCTCCGCTCCCCCGACCTGAGCACTGCAGGATTCGGGGACGTTGACTTCAGCTAACGCTATTGGTAATCGTTGAAGGTTGCTGCGTGGGATCACTACCGCCGACAAATAACAGGATTGGAGATAGATGACGCTGCTAGTGGTAAAGCCATTGATGGCAATGACTTGCGGATCGCGTCGTTGTCTTTTAACCTGGCGTGCCTGGGTTGTCACCTCACCGTACCTGCTTGATAGTTGATACGCTGCAGGTCGGGGATAATTGTAAGCTTCGTCCCGCTCAATGATCGCCATCTGCGTTCCCACGTCAGTCGGAGTATTCATCTGGTCAAACCGGCAACCGGGAACCATCGACACGGAGCAGGCGGCCTGTGTGCATTCCGCGCCGCGCGGAAGTAAACACACGATAGTTACTATCAGCGGCCACGGTGTCGGAGTGATCGGATTTCCCCAACACTGAGCCACGAACGCGGAATTGGTTGAACTGATGTCCTTTAGTGCCGTTGAAACAATGTCAGGGTCCTGGCATGGGGCGGGCTGGGGAACAATGACCGGTGTAGGGAAGTTCACCGTCAAAAGCAGGTGAGGTGACCAGTAGTACTCAGGTCCGGCATTCCGACTTGACCTGTTACAGTTTGTTACGCTGTGGAAAAGCGGTCCCAGTCCCGAAGTATGTGCTGTACAGCGGGGTGCGTCGAGTACCACCATGATAAACACGACTCTGGGGTCCGAAAGGATGCCCCAAGCTTCGGCGTTGAGGTAGGGCAGGCAATCTAATCCCCATGTGGCAGCGGAGCGGACGGCAGGCTTGCGGATTGGTGAAGAGCAGTTCTCAGGGTCGTATGCCCTCGCGGCAGCTGGATCGTGGGGTGCAGCGAGCGGAGACTTTCGGTCGGCAACTGCCGATGACACTGCACAGACATGTCTGCCGCTCTCCCCGGCCACACACCAGCAGCGATGCTGTAGCGCGGCGAAAGAGTCAGCTCGAGCAGTGAAAGCGAAGCAACCTTTCGGGGGTAGCTCATCAATGTTGACTCCGAAATCAAACTCGCGGCTCCCTGGTGGCCGAACAGGGGTTGACCTTCTGGAAGGCGAACCGAACGCGTCCGCTCCACGTGGAAACCACGGAGGAAAGGACGGCGGTTAAACTCTGCTTAACGCCGCTCATTACACTAGCACGCGTCTATCCCGACCTGCGAGCTCGGTCCCTTGTGTTTGGACTCCTATCAAGAATTACTCGAGTCCGGCCGGGTTCATACCCTGGGCTGAGCTGCGCCGTCAAGAAGCGACACTGCTGGCCGAGTGATGTGACTGCGAGGTCAGTGAGGTGATGCGAAGAATTGGGAGAGGTCACAGAGACACGGTAAATCCCATCCCAGTTCAGTTCCGGAAGGCGGACGGGTTTTCGGGGCACCACTCCAGGAACGGGGCTTTCGCAAGGGCGCTTATTGGCTGGGCCCTCATTAAGAACCAAACTTGGCACACGAGCGGACATGGTGCTGGCGAATCAAGAACCGTCTCAGCCCCCAATGTTGGTCGCGATCTTACCCGCATGTGGGTTTTCGGTCCGTCTGCCGAACGCCACGCCGTGGCATGCGCTCGATGACGGCAGTCCCAGCTCTGCCAGGTCGACGAAGATCTGGTGGCGCGAACCACTGCGTTCTGCGCAACTGAGAATAGCGCATCATCCGAACTGTACAGTACCAGTCACCCCCAGTGGCAGAGAAGTGATTTTATGATGACCAGCAGACCAGCAGAGTGTGAGGGCACACGGAGTCGAAGTGGATTCTGGGAACCCTCGCTCGCTTGGGCGTGGGTAGGGCGAGTCCAGGCCGAGTTGTGCAGCCGGGAGCGGCACTTGTGGAGGAGGATCCCGCGCCGTCTGCTCCGCCGGTACCAGCCATCGGCTCCCCGAGAATGGCATGCACCTGCAGATTATGTATGTACAGGAACCTCGGAGACGCCAAACCAGGGTCACACAGAGCGGCAATCCTGGAATGGATGAAGGGTGGAAGGATGGCCTTTGATGGCGTCGTTTGTTGATGAAGTCGCGCTGAGCCTCCAGTCTGAAGTGTCTTCTTGAATGAACTCCATCTCCCACGCAACAGAACGCTTTTGTATGGTGTCGGAAGATATGTAGTTAATAGCCGTTACCAAATCGCTCGCACCTCGGGTTCGTCCCATGTGGCAGTGGGAGCCTTCTCTGACCCCTGGGCTCTTGATTGGTCCGTAGATCAGGTATGTTTCAAGTCGCACATCGTTTACTCACAGCTTTTGCTGAGAGAGCTGCTGTGCTTTTGTCGACCGATAATAGACCACATAAGGCTTCCTCATATTGACCTGCAGGACCGAACCGCAGTTGAGCTCGAATCACCGACTACAAGCTCAACCACTCCGCAATCGACAAACGGTGTTTGGTCCGAGCAGCCGATCCCTGGGCGTAAAGGGTTGGCTTCCTCCAGAAGAGCGATGTTGGAAGGTTATACCGTGTCATGTGGCATATCAAGTCAACGGATTTGCTGGTTCTCAATGCAATGGAGATTGCTGAGGGGGTTCAGTGGCGAGGAGCGGACCACAATGTCACCACTCTTCTCCTCGTGACTCGGCGTTTCGCGGACGCTCCTTCCACTTGACCTCATTGACCGACAGCTGCGCTGAACCCTTCAGTTCGAGCTGGGCAGGGGTTTGGCCAGCAACCTGGAAAGGCAATTACTCTGTGACCTCGCACTTTCCTCGCCAAAGACTCTCACACACCGGCCTGAGGTGCTCCTTCCCTCTTGAGCGAGCGCCGCCGATGATGCACGGGAAAATTGCTTGTAAACCCCCACAAAAGAGGGCCGCGGCTTGGCACAAACCCACTTGTGGACATCGCCAATTCACACCCGACCCATGCTCATGCTTCACCATCTGCCGCTCTTCGGTACTGAATGTGACAGACATTACGGAGTAGACGTTGTTGAACTACCTACTAGTGTATCTGACGATCTAAAAGCATCACCTTTCGACGAACACGGAAAGCTTGTCTTGCCTCCGGCCCCAGAGAATTGCTACTAACGGTAGGCACAAAGACCACTGCAACGGAATAACATGCGTTTTATAGCAGCGGATCTGGATGGTCACGGCCATCTGCGTTCAGTGTATGGAATACCTACTGTCGTACGTTGCAGTCCAGTTCTCGATCCTCACACGCCTAGTGTAAGCGACAGGGGCTGCGAAGTCGCGGTGCACCGGTGCAGGCCCATCGGCTCGACTCCGCATCATCTCCCGAGAAGGATTTGGGCCACAAGGACCGACGAGAAGAGAATGACCCAGCTGATCCGGTTTGGGCCCGATGTTCTCACCCCAGCGACCCCGGGTTTTCCCCAGCGTAACCGGCAGCTCTCGTCAGCAACGCAGACAACGCAGACTCGCGTCGTGGAGTACTCCATGGGGCGATGGGGCCGGCGACACTCGGGCCGGTTAAGTGAGCTGCCAAGACCGCTATGGACAAGGATGGGCAGTCCGTAACCATCAACAATGGGTTTTCGGCTGCGTCTCGCTCCCAATGTCCAATTTGTCGACGAAGACTGGTTACCATGAACCGAGCTATGAAGTATGCATTCATGCCTCGCCACCAACAGGTGCCCGGTGTAAAGGGCGGAAGGCCGACCGTTGTGCTTCATCTGTTGCAGTGCCCGAACGTGCTCTAGTGCTGGATGGTCTACACTATGTATGCATACCGGTGCGAATGCCGCTTCCAAAGTTGGCCCAGTTCGACATTTCTCCACCACAAGCACCACGATTATACCCCTGTTCGCGAGCCAACCCTTGTTTGGTGAATGCTCCAGAGCAAAAAGAGGGCCATATATCCTTCAGCAGACCCTTACAAGGCGGGTTCCCCAGAAATCTGCTGTCACTTCTCCAGTCAGCGCTACTACCTACCCGCCCCGCGTCCGCACATCTCGTTCGCCCACATAACACCGGCTGTCCCGCCGACGTATATTGCACTGGCAATATAAACCTGATACTCGATATTGTGCTGGACCAGAAAGACGCATCCCGGTCGCCAATCGCAGCCGGCTTCATTCACAAGCTTTCTCAGCAGCTCTCCTGCTGTGTATGTACGCCAAGGCGAAAGAACGTACTCCGAGAGGCAGGAACAGCAAGGGAAATTTACCGATTTGTTCAGTTGTTCGAATCGGGTATCCCTTGACCCTTTTGGCACCTCTTGCCCGTTCCGGCCCCTCTCGAGCACTATACGGCACATTGCTCGAGGCTGAGAACGGGAACTCTACACCTCGTCCACGACGGAAAGCTAGGCGGCACTTGTGCCCGTCTGGGGGAGCCTATCTCAGATACTGAAATTCGAGGGGGCTCGGAAAGGCGTCAGGAGAGACGGCCGATCAAGCCCTGCCCGGCAGCGCAGAACAGCCAAGCCATCTCTGCCCTCGATCCGTCTCCCGTACGTGAAGATCTCGTCTCCCTTACCCCCTCCACGTTCTTCCACATTGCGTCTGCGTCTGCCCCTGCCGATTGGCCCGCTCCCCATCCAGGCACGCCTACCCTCCAACCCCCGCCATGCGGTGCTGGTGGCTGCATACAACGTGCAGTTGGCCGTTGCCGGTCCCTCTCACAACCGCGCGGATCCCCTCCCATTGTTTTGGTGCCTGTCAATGCTATCCCAGCACGGTCATTAATGTTCATGCCGCCACTGACCTTTCCCCGCAGGGAAGTTCACTTTGGTCCGTCTGACTGCCGCCCTCCAGTCAGTCTAGACCTCGGCAGGCTTGACCGTCCACCGGGATCTCGGATATAGATAGCTCCCATCTCCCGTCACAGCCGTCGACGGCGCTCGCCTGTCATCCTCGTTCGCGACCTACACGCAGCGGAGCTTCAACCAACTTCCCGCGCTCGCTTGAAGCCGCTCGTCTTCATATGTTCTAATCCAGGGTCTTGACGACCTTACTAGTAGCTAATTTTCACATCTCGCCGCCCTGTCTTTCACGAACCCGTCGCCTTCGGTCAAGATGTTGTCGAACCCCCTTCACCGGTTCTCGCCCTACCATATCCCATCGACAGCCTTCAACGGCCATGTCCCCGCCAGCCACCTCCACGCCGCGGGACTCGACACGCTGGCGCCGGGGCCTCACTACGCTCTGCAGCAGCTTCAACAACACGTCGGCATTCACAACCCGCACCTTGCAAGGGCCGGGCCTCAAACGAAGCACAGGCAGCATCCGTATGGGCCGGCCGCCAGGGCAGCCGGGGCAGCCGGGCCAATCCGGAGGAGGATAAGCAGAGCGTGTGATCAGTGCAACCAACTGCGAACGAAGTGTGACGGTCAACATCCCTGTGCGCATTGCATTGGTGAGTGACGAGACCGGGCTCATGGCGCAACGGGGAACATGCCCTGACGTTCAGCAGAGTTCCAACTCGGCTGTGAATACATTCGAGAACGGAAGAAGCGCGGCAAGGCGTCCAGGAAAGATCTAGCTCAGCAAGCGGCTGCACAAGCCGCGGCAGCTGCTGCGGCAGGCCAGAATGGCACCAAATCCGAAAACCAGACAACGAGCGAAAGTGGCCAGTCAGCAGAGAGCCAGAATGATACGGTGACAGTGAAGACTACTAGTACCAAGCCGTCCTTGACCGTGTCCACTGAGCAACCATCAAGTTCCGACAAGAGCGTGAGCGACATCGCAGAGGACGCGATCAGGGGTCAGAGGACAGGGAGCATGGAGAGTTTAGGTGATTTGGGCACCCACCAAGGACACATGACGAACCACCCGGGGGCCCTCGATAGGGACCGCCACCTCGACAGCCCGACGGCACTGGATCTGAACGGGTATGTCGCTGTCCACCCGGAATACGAGCGGCAGATGGGCGCACACATGATGAGCGGGCCGGCGCATGCGCCCTACGGCCCCAACCAGGGGAGCATGTCCAGCTACCCCGATCTGCCGTACGCCTTGCAGACACAGAGCCCCACGGGCTACTCGGCGAACGCCGCGAACGGGTTCCGCCTCGCCAACAGCCCTCTGGGTGCCTATCCCATGGGCGGGGAAGCAGCATCCCCAGGCGGCTGGATGAACATGTCATCACCACCGCCCCAGTTCGCCTCGCACGTGCCGCAGAACGGCTACGGCCACTCACAGCTCCGGTACCCGGTGTTAGAACCCCTGATACCACACCTCGGCAACATCATCCCCCTGTCCCTTGCGTGCGATCTCATCGACCTGTACTTCGCGAGCTCGTCTTCGGCGCAGATGCACCCCATGTCACCCTATGTTCTCGGCTTCGTCTTCCGGAAGCGGTCGTTCCTCCATCCCAGCAAGCCCCGCCAGTGCCAGCCGGCCCTCCTAGCAAGCATGCTGTGGGTCGCTGCGCAGACGAGCGATGCGCCCTTCCTGACGAGCGTGCCGTCGGCGCGCGGCAAGATCTGCCAGAAGCTGCTCGAACTGACTGTCAGCCTGCTCAAGCCGCTCATCCACACGCCCTCGGAGGAGGCGTCCCCTGTGTCGAGCCCCATCGTGGACGGTGTCGCCCTCGGTGGCCTAGGCGTGGCGCTGCCTGGATCGATCAGCATGGAAAGCCTGACCGGCGAGTCGGGCGCTTTTGGCGCTGCCGGCACGCTCGACGACGTCGTGACCTATATCCACCTGGCGACGGTGGTGTCCGCGAGCGAGTACAAGGGCGCCAGCCTGCGGTGGTGGAACGCCGCGTGGTCGCTTGCTCGCGAGCTCAAGCTCGGGCGAGAGCTGCCTCAGAACGCGCCCTCGAGTCGCCAGGGCGGCGCCCCGGATATCGACGGCGAAGGAAACGACGAGATGGGTGGCGTGCCCGGCGTCATCACCGAGGAGGAACGCGAAGAGAGACGGCGGATCTGGTGGCTCGTCTACATCGTCGACCGCCATCTGGCGCTGTGCTACAACCGGCCGCTCTTCCTCCTGGACATCGAGTGCGAAGGGCTGCTCCAACCCATGGACGACACCGACTATCAGAACGGCAACTTCCACGCCTACACCGACCCCAACGTCCTCGCGTCGGATCCCGACGCCGGCCAGAACCGGGGACGCGGGCCGTCGTTCGAGTGCACCGGCCACAGCATCTTCGGCTACTTCCTGCCCCTGATGACCATCCTCGGTGAGATCGTCGACCTCCACCACGCGCGGAACCACCCCCGCTTCGGCGTCGGGTTCCGGTCGTCGCGCGAATGGGACGACCAGACGTCCGAAATCACGCGGCACTTGGACACGTACGAGCAGAGCCTGAAGCGGTTCGAGCAGCGCCACCTCAGCCTCAGCGCGCAGGCGCAAGCGGCCGACGAGAAGGCCGCCGAGGCAGCGGGCGTGCCCACGGCGGCGGCGGCGGCCAACGACCCGCTGCAGCAGCCGGGCACGCCGTCGGGCCACAGCGTCCACAGCGTGCACACGGCGACCTCGTCGAGCCGCATGACCGAGAGCGACATCCAGACGCGCATCGTCATGGCCTACGGCACGCACGTCATGCACGTGCTGCACATCCTGCTGACGGGCAAGTGGGACCCCATCAACCTGCTGGATGACAACGACCTCTGGATTAGCAGCCAGGGCTTTATCACGGCCACGGGCCACGCCGTCAGCGCCGCCGAGGCCATCAGCAACATCCTCGAGTACGACCCCGGGCTGGAGTTCATGCCCTTTTTCTTCGGCATCTACCTCCTGCAGGGCTCGTTCCTGCTGCTGCTGATCGCCGACAAGCTGCAGCTGGAGGCGTCGCCCAGCGTGGTCAAGGCGTGCGAGACCATCATCCGCGCGCACGAGGCCTGTGTTGTCACGCTCAACACGGAGTATCAGGTATGGTTTACTCAACGTCCCTTCCTCCTCTTAGATGACAAACACGAAACAGTACGCTAATTCTGTCTTTCTTTGAACAGCGCAACTTCAGCAAAGTCATGCGCAGCGCCCTCGCCCAGGTCCGCGGCCGCGTGCCCGAGGATCTGGGCGAGCAGCACCAGCGCCGCAGGGAGTTGCTTGCGCTGTACCGCTGGACCGGCGATGGGACGGGCCTGGCCCTGTGAGAGGGGGGGATGCCGTTCCTTTCGCCCCGGTCATCACCCCACCATCCCATGCTTGAGATGGCTGCTGTGCCTCTCCCCTCCCACGCGCTGTTCTCTATATAAAATTCTATGTTTTCCCTGGGGTGGCGTTTATTTTCTATGTCTCCTGACTTGTTTACTCCTTGCTTTTTGGCTATCTTTTCGGCGAGGGGTGGTGTTATCAAGGATCCTGAAAACCAAAACCAAAAGGCAATGGCAATGGCAGGCTAGAGGAATGGATGGATGGATGGATGGAGGGTCTGCTTTTTTTTCCCCCTTTTTTCCCGTTTTCCCCGGGAAAGGCGGCGTCGGCTTTCTCTTTCCGCAGGATGATGGTTAGGCTGAGACAAAGTCGGGGTAAGTGTAAGTAAGGATGGGATGGATGGTACTAGTAGTACCTTACCACACGTCCGTCTCACGCGATATGCCCCTGTCTTGGACAAACAAATGGTGAATGGCGGCATGATTCACGCAATGAGGATGATGGTGGTGTGGAATGATTCAAAGTATATATACAGTGTGGATCTTGTTCTATTCAAGGTTTTTCCTGTTGGCGATGAGCGAGCGATATACATGGGTTGTTTGTGTGTTTAGGATACCTTTGAGTCTCTTTTTCTCTTCCTCTCTCTATCCTAGTTGGGAAGGGTGCCGTGCTTGTCTGTTTTCGGTCTATTACTGCCGCCAATGATGAAGGACTGGGGAGCTTGCGAATAGGTAGTTGTTGCTGTGTAGATATAGTGTTATGTATACTGTTCTATACTGCATAAGAGTACAAACATTGGGGCCCAGGCGCTTTCAAGGTGATGATGGTTGTTTTTCCATACAGTCCTTTCCGCCTTTGTGGGCTTGGTTTGTGATTGTTTAACTAAGATATCCATCGGTCGATATTGGTTGGTGTGAGGAGGATCGAGGTCGGGGTCTTTGCACAGTGCAAGTCTCTGATGGGAGAGGTGTTCATTGCCCTACTAGTACTATTGCTAGTATTTGGTATCAACATCAGGTGCTGAGCTTGGCGGTAGCACACAGCTCTGGACAAAGCGCTTGAGTCATCTCTCCCATACCACGGTGTGACAGTTCTACATCCGCCGTGACGAGCCGTGCCAACACCATATGGGCCTTGTCTCAAGCAGCCACAAAACCGCATGCCTGCCCCCATCCTAGGAAGCCGCCTCCATCTCGGCCATTTTCTCGTCCATCCTCCTAGCCGCGTCCTCCTCCGCGGCATCATACTCGGCGCCTTCTCCTCCATTCCCGACCCTCACATCACTACTACTAGTAGTAGTACTAATCCCCCTCCTAGCCAACTCCCCTTCCACATCCCTCCGCGTGATCATCTTTCCCCCTCCGATCCCTCCCCACCCGGCCACCACCACCTCCCCCTCCTCCCTCATCTTCCTCGCCCACCCTTCCACACTCCGCATCCCAACTACCAGAAAGCCCAGTTCCTCCCTGTCGACATCAAACACCTCCCACCACTCGCACTCGGGCATCTTGGCGCCCAGGTCGCGCGCCGCGCTGTAGATGGCCGCGACGGCCAGCGCGTGCGGCGGGCTGGTCAGGTACAGCATCTGCGGGGACAGCAGCGCCGTGTTGAGGTACTGCACCGTGCGCCGCCCGAGCGCGTCCCTGTCCCTGTCCCTGTTGGTGGCCGTGACGACGTGCAAAAAGTCCAGCGCCTGCAGGTAGGTGATGGCCAGCGGGTGGGGCAGCGCGACGTGCGTGTTGAAGGAGAGCGTGTAGAGCACGCGCGCCTCGAGGGCTAGCAGGCGCGTGTGGAAGGCGTGGTAGGCTGCTTCGGAGACGTAGTGTGTCCTTTCGGAGCTGGGGGCGGGTGGTGCTGGTGGTACTGGGGAGGAGGTCGTCCGTGGGCGGAAGAGCGTGCTGCTTGGGGAGAGAAGGTAGGCGTAGACGTTGCAGACGTCGCGCGGCGGGCGCGGGTGGGCGGAGCATTTCGCTGTTAGGTAGACCACGGCTGCTGAGACGTCCTGATGCATGCATGGTTATGTTAGTTGACGTGGGTGGACGACGGTGGGAGAGAGGCAGTTAGGTGCGGTGCGTACGCTGAACTCATGCGCCAGCATCGGCTCGACGAGCCAGAAGCGTGCTAAGAGGACATTGGCTTGGGCCGTGACGGATTGGGGGAGCTCGAGGAGGATGCCGGCGGCTTGGGTGAGGCATTGTGTTGCAAAGAAAATGACGTCTTGGAGTTCGGTGGGCAGTGCGCCAAAGGAGCGCCGCTGGAATAATTGCTCTGGCGTGGCCAGCGGGTTGGCCATGTGCGACATGATGTCGAGCTCTGGTCGTTGGTGTTCTGGGATCCTGCCGGTGGTGACCTTGTCGTCAATCCTGTTCCGGGATTCTTGGCGGTGTTGTTCCGGAGTTCCTGTCAAATTCCGGAATCTGTTTGGCGTTACGGAAATCTGGCTGTTGTTTAAAGTCAGGTTCCGGAATCAGCTCCAAATCTTTTTGGCACGGAGGTCGATATAGTACATACAACATTGGAGGTTCAAGCACCATGTTCTGACTTCAAAGTTTCCGTTGGGAGCTGCCATCGCGGGTTAGGGTCTCTTTCTTGGACTTCACTTTGGCCCAAGAAGCGAACAAATTAGGTGCAAATCAGCAACAGTGTCTCTCATATACAGACTGCTTGGGCCTAACTCTGTATTTCTGTCTGTCCAAGCTGTGGCCTGTCTCATCGTTTCCTCCTCCTTCCTCCCCAACCCGACAAATAGAAGAGTCAACCCCGATATTGATGATGCCCCTATAGAATTGTAGAGGGCGCTAGTCGCGTCACAGGTCACAAGATGACGCGCCCAAGCTTTAATCACGGGCCCCACTCCCCCACATTGTAAGAGGCCAGACGCGTCTCACAGACACACCTCCCAACCGCGAACTTAGGATTATTTCCTCGCAAAAGTACCGACTCCCACTCAAGATATTTCCTGCTGTCCGGACCGCCGAATCGCTAGCCAGTCTTTGTCATTTGCCAATCCTGTGCAGTGCGAGATACACTCTCATCACAACCTTTCATTTGCCGAAACACGCGTCGCAGACTTGACTGCTCATTTAACACATTAACACAACCCTAGCCGACGTCACAATCCCGCTGAACCCTCATGCCATTCGTGAAGCCCGAGTCCACGGACGACCCCGGCTCCGGTGTCAGCCATGTCGCCCAGGCACCTCCGGCGCCGCCGGCGCTCAGTTACCTGCAGCAGCTCGCCTCATCCACATCAACCGAGTTGCTCGAGAAGGGTGTCAGCATTGGCGTGAGGCTTCTCGACAGCCTCAAAGAGCCCCTGGAAGCGGTCGCCCCGCTCAACACGACGCAAGCCTCACAATGGCTCAAGTCTATTGGCGACTTGGAGGCGCTCGCTAAGCCCGGGCGCACCATCGTCAGTGTCGTGGGGAACACGGGCGCCGGGAAGTCGTCTGTCATCAGCGCTGTGCTTGACGAGGAGCGGTATGTTTCATTGAACAATTATTTAAGATCAAATTTGGTGTAGTTTATCTGGAGCTGTTGCTCATGCGCTCACTACCTGGTGCATATAGGCTGCTCCCGACCAACTGCATGAGAGCGTGCACCGCCTCACCCACCGAGATCTCATACAACCACTCGGAGGACCCGGAGGAGCGGTACCGCGCCGAGGTTGAGTTCATCACGGTGGACGACTGGGTGAAGGATCTGCGCGCGCTGTACAGCGACCTTCTGGACGGCAGTGGCGAGGTTTCGCGCGAGGCCAGCAACCAAGACAGCGATGCCGGCATTGCCTATGCCAAGATCAAGGCCGTCTACCCCAAGTTCACCAAGGAGATGATCGCCAATGCCACCCCCGAGGCGCTTGCAAATCAGACTGCTGTCCGCTCGATTCTTGGCACTGTCAGGAAGCTCAAAGCAACAACGGCGGCCAGCCTCTACCGCCAGTTGCAGGAGTATGTCGACAGCAAGGAGAAGAACACCGAGAAGCGGCTCGAGTACTGGCCGCTTATCAAGGTCGTCCGTATTTACACCAAGGCTTCTGCTCTGGTATGTCAGCTCATAGCGTGTTTATTCCCTTTTGCCATAGTTGTCACAAGTGCAGCATGACTCTCTCCCTTGTAGCCAACTCTCTCTTCTGGAATCGTCCCAAGAATTTTTTTATTTTTTAATACTATTATTTTTGACGCTGACTTTTTCCATAGGCTACTGGCGCTTGCCTCGTCGACCTTCCCGGCGTCCAGGACTCCAACGCGGCTCGCGCCGCCGTCGCGGCGAACTACATGAAGGCCTGCACTGGCCTGTGGATCGTCGCCCCCATTACCCGCGCCGTCGACGACAAGACGGCCAAGTCACTCCTGGGCAATTCCTTTAGGTACGTTGCCGTTGCCGCTATCCCGTGTCTTCTACCCCGTCGCCAGTCGCCCACGTCCCCGACGTCACCGATATTAGTTCCCACACGGCCAAACCCCTTCCTTCCCATTCGTCCCCGATGCCTCTCAAATTTCCCCGCCCTCATCTTGATTTCCTACCGTGCTTTCTGCTTCCCGTGGTCCGATCTCTCATCCTTGGACCAAGAAAATACACCACATGCCAATACACCACAAGCCCCATAACCTCTTTCTCCGCCTCCCGTCTTATCGTTAGCATTCTCATGTGTCCCAAAGCTCCCGCAGTAGTTGCTAACCCCTAGAAAGACGTCAGCTGAAGTACGACGGCACGTACTCGGCCGTAACGTTCATCTGCTCCAAGACGGACGACATCTCGGTCACCGAGGCCGCGGAGAGTCTGGGCATCGAGGAGGAGATCCAAGAGTCCTGGGCCAGGATCGCGGAGCTCACGGACAGCGCCAGGAGGACCAAGTCCGACATGGCGGACCTCCGAGATCAGCGAGATGTCTGCGACAATCTCATCGACGAGATTGAGCAGACCTGGGACAAGTGGGAGGCTCTGGGGACGAAGCTGGCCGACGGCGAGACCGTCTATGGCCCGTCCACCTCGGCACCCAAGAAGCGGAAGTGGCGGTCTAAGCCGAGAGGCAGCCGCAAGAACCTCGCGTCGAGTGATTTCGACAGTGACTTCTCAGACTTGGAAGGTTCCGACTCGAGTGATAAGGAAAACCAAGAGTCGCCGGACGAGGAGAGAGTCCCTCTCACTGCGGATGAGATCGACGCGAAGCTCGCCTCTCTCAAGGGCGAGAAAAAGGAAGTCCGAGCGAAGAAGAAGCAAATCGAGGAACAGATCTCGGCCAAGCGTGAGGACTTGAAGGCGCTCGTCAGCGAGAAGGATGACACTCTCGCAGAGGTGAAGGCGATCTGCATCCAGGGCCGAAACGAGTACTCGCGGAAGGCAATCAAGCAGGACTTCGCCATGGGCATTAAAGAGCAAGCATTAGTGTAGTCAACGGCACTACCAATACAGCGCTAACCTCTGTATAGACTTGACCAGGAGAACGCGGTCGAAGAAGACGAGGCCAACTTCGACCCTGAGGTGGACCTGCGCGACTACGATGCCGTTGCAGCGTCTCTGCCCGTCTTCTGCGTCAGCAGCCGTGCTTTCCAGAAGCTGAGCGGCAGGCTGCAGAAGGATGACTTCGACGCCGGCGGCTTCCACTCAGTCGACGACACCGAGATTCCTCAACTGCAAGCCTATGCCAAGCAGCTCACCGAGAAGGGCCGGGTTGCCAATTCACGGCGCTTCCTAAACAGCCTGATGCGGCTGCTCAACTCGATGACAATGTGGGCGTCGGACGACGGGACACGCTCCAACCTGTCCGATGCAGAACGGGCTCGGGAGGAGACGCGCCTGCGGCAGCGACTCCTTAAGATGGAGCAGGTTAGCTTCAGACCCGCGCTACCACCAAGCCATCCCCCAGCAAACTAACGCGCCCCTTCAGGATCTCGATCTTGCGCTGAAAGACTGCGTTGCTTCGATGAGTAAAGTGTTCACCGAGAATATTTATGACAGTTTTGACGCCTACATACCCGCCGCGACGGCTGCTGCGGTGCCGACGGCCACCGGATGGGGAGCACCCAGGGCGGAGGGCGGACTACTGTGGGCAACTTACAAGGCAACGTGCAGGCGGCTTGGAGTGTACCACGGTGCGTCCGGATTTCGGGACTTCAACGACGAGCTCTTCAGCCCAATCTCGAGACCCTTGGCTAGTGGCTGGGAACGCGCCTTCCAACGCCGGCTGCCATCTTCTTTTGACAACTTCCTCCGGATCCTCAGGACGCACCTGGATAGCTTTCACCGGGAGGCTACCGAACGGGCGCGGGAGCGCCGCGGCGGCGATTTTACTGGCCTGGCCATGCTGTCCCAGCAATTGCAAGCTCATTCGCGATTGATCACGGATCTAGGGCCGGCCGTGCTGGGTTTGGCACAGGAACGGCAACGCGAGGCAAACAGAGCCTTCACGCCTGTCATACAAGACGAGATGACGCCCGCCTACGACGGCTGCGTTAACGAGCGAGGTATGCTTCCCCACCACAAAACCTCATAATGCTAATTCAATGTGAGTGGCGCGCTAACAGCAGTATCCCCCCCGGCAAATAGGCCTGGGGTCCTACATGCGCATGAAAAACATCATGGTCAACCACGTCAGCACGCACTGCAAGAGCATGTTCCGCACCGCCACCGGCGTGGTGAAGAACCAGCTCGAGGACCTCCTGGCGCGCATCCAGACTTACATGGAGGCGCAGCTCCAGGCGATCCAGTCGCAGCTCGCCCGCGACTACCTGGCCGTTCTCGTCGGCTCGGACGCGCTTTCTAAGGGACTGCGCCCGCCCCGCGTCGAACTCATGCTGCGTGCCGAGATGGCGCCCATGCTGGCTAAGACGGACGAGGCGTTTGCTGAGGTGTTTCATCATCATCGTCATCATCATGCTAGTGAGGACGAGGCTACTGCGGATGCTGAGCGGTCGTTGACTGTTGATGAGAAGGATGGTTCGATTGTTGAGGCGAAATCTGAGGAGGGGAGTGAGACTGTTGTTGGGATCGTCAAGCGCGAGCCGGGTATGGCTGCTTGATTTTCTCTTTCTCTTTTTTTCATTCCTCTCTTTCTTTTCTTTTTCTTGGAATTGGGTTTGGGTTTGGTTCACGCTGGAGGGTTTGATGTTGGGCGGTATTTTCCTTTTGGTGTTGGGAGGGAGGGGGTTCTGTCGGAGTTTGTGGTGTGAGAAAAAAGGGGGGAGGCTGCCTGTGGACTTCGCATTGTCGGGTGGCGTTGTTGGTATCTACGGCGTCTTATTACCGTGTGTATGGATGTCTGCCTCTACTTGGGCGGTTTGAAAGCCGACTGCTTGAGCGTGTGTATTTGTTGATAGTGTAGATTACTTCTAGTCTCCTAGAGATCATGTACTTGTATAGTACGATGCATGTAAAATAGTACCTTGTATGGAGTATTGGACCTGTAAAGCACTGAAAGTCTGCTACTAACGTCGATTAAGCCGTTTATATGTAAAAGTTCTAGAACGGAGAACGGATGTTCTGTGTGACGAAATGTTTCTGCGTTGCCACTTTTTTCACCACCCCCACTCACACACAGCTGAAAATTGGAGAATCTCGTCCTCGACCCGGCAACAAGGAGCGATAGTAAACAGGGGCAGGGAAATCATTTGCACGTCAATAAAGCTTGCCTGCAGAGTCACTCTCATTCATTCAAGAAGAAGAAAAAAAGAAATGGACCAGATCGCCAAAGACACCGAGTCGCTCAAGCTGGGCGACTCATCCTCACCATCATCATCAACCACCACAGCAACAACCACAACGCATGGACCAGCACCACCACCAGCACCACCCTCGGCCACAGATAACAACAACAACAACAACATGGACATGGATATCACGTCGATGCTGCCGGAGCTGCCGCCGGGCCGGCGCACGCACAACTACGCCGGCATGACGCTCGAGGAGACGGTGGCGGACCTCAAGACGCACCCGCTCTTCATGACGGAGCTGGACCCGGCCGCGGCCGAGGACAACGAGGAGCTGGCGGCGCTGCAGGCGCTGGCGTACGAGGGCACGCCGCGGGAGAACGCGGCCAACTTCAAGGAGCAGGGGAACGAGTGCTTCCGGGAGAAGAGGTGGCTGGATGCGAAGGAGTTTTATGGGAAGGGGATTGCGATACTAGTTGGGGAGGAGAGGAGGCGGGCTGCCGGGGGGAGGAGGAGGGTTAGGAAGGAGGGTGCTGGTACAAGTAGTAGTAGTGGTGGTGGTGCTGCCGGGAAGAAAGGTGTGGTGGTGGTGTTGGATGCAGAGGCGGGGACTAGGTCTGCTGGACCGGACTTGAGCGACGACAAGGAGAAGGAGGATGAGGAGGGGCAGAAACGGGTGGGGAACCACCACCCAGACGACGACTTCGAGGAAGTGGACGACGACCCGGCCGAGGTGGCGGCCGAGCAGGCGCTGCTGGAGACGCTCAGCGTCAACCGCGCGGCGTGCCACCTGGAGCTGCGCAACTACCGCTCCTGCACGGTCGACTGCGCCGCCGCCCTGCGCCTCAACCCGCGCAACCTCAAGGCGCTGTACCGGTCCGCGCGCGCCCTGCTGGCCGTCCACAAGCTCGCCGAGGCCGACGACGCCTGCGCCCGGGGCCTGGCGCTCGACCCGGCCAACAAGCCGCTGCGCACGCTGACGCACGAGATCGCGCGCGCGCGCGAGGCCGACCTGGACCGGCGCAAGCGCGAGGACGAGCGCCTCGCCAGGGAGAAGCTGCGCGACACGCTGCTGAGGACGGCGCTGCAGGCGCGCGGCATCGTCACGCGCACTACGCCGGGCCGCCGCCCGCCGGACATGGAGGACGCGCAGATCCGGCTGAGCCCGGACGAGCTGGACCCGGCGAGCGGGCTGGTCTTCCCGACCATGCTGCTGTACCCGTGCCACATGGAGTCCGACTTCATCAAGGCGTTTAGCGAGAGGGAGAGTCTGGAGCAGCATTTCGGGTATGTCTTCCCTTTGCCGTGGGACAAGACCGGCGAGTATGGCGTCGGTAGTGTCGAGTGCTACGTGGAGAATGCCAGGGGCGGGTTGGTGAAGGTGGGCAAGAAAGTGCCGCTGCTGAAGGTGTTGAGCGGGGGCGATGTGCCGGTCGTGGATGGGCTGCTGAAGGTGTTTGTTGTGCCTAGGGCGAGGGCGGAGGGGTGGGTTAGGGAGTGGAAGGAGGCGAAGGCTAAGCAGGTGCAATAAGGAGGCCTTTTTTCCCCTTTTGGCTGGGGGGAGGGGGATACCCGGAGCACAATGGATGGATGCGGCACCAGATCAGGCTCGGAGATGGCAAAAATGTAGAAGCATGCTTCATGACATGATATCTTCGCCAAGGAGAATACAGGCAAACAGCCTGCTGACGCTGATTATGTACTACACGCAGGTCTTCATACCAAGGTAAAGTCTCCAAAAACACCGCATCATTATGACCACAACGTTTCCCACTGCCCATTCACTTGTAGCTCTGGATAGGGCATTTGTCTTTGTGTTGTAGCCAATCGTAGTCAATTCCACAAAAAACATCGCACCCCCATGCTCGACATGCTCTTAGTACCTGACTTACACCACTCTGTGACGCACAGCCCCTAGAAGCCGTGAAATAGGAGAAAATCAGACGTGCCAGACCAGAGCCTGAGCTTCATGCTTTGTTGACCCCATCCCAACTTCCCTTCCCCTCTTAGTCACCCGGTGAATGAATGCAATGCAATGCAATGCAGAACCAAGCATTTAACCCAACGCCGATGTAAATTCGCAGCGCAAACTCCATCCGCTTCCGTCTTGGATAATGCGAGGGAAGGTCTGAATAATACCAAAACGCAAGGAAAATCAAGCTCTGAGAAAACAAGACCCCGTTCACCTGATGTGCAGAGGGAAGGAAAAAAAAGACTAGAGAAACAAAAGGAAGAAAGGGAAAAGCGTGAGGACGCAAGAGGAAGGAAGAAATGCCAGCGCTGTTGCTCAGCCCATGCATAGTAATACCAGGTGAGCATGCCGGATGAAAAACAGCAGTACTACGCAAGTATCAAACCCCGAAACGCCGCCGTGAACCTCAGGTACGGTATGCTTCCCCTTTCCTCCCGCCCTACCACCACTCCCAAAACAAAAGGGACAGGTCGATCAGCACCCAAACGACGTCCTCCGTCTCTTCGCCCGGGTGTTGGGTCCCGATCCAGGCGTGGGTGTCGACGGCGTAGGTCGGGCGGCGACTATTCTCTCCATCTCCGTCTCCTTTTCCTTCCTCTTATCCCCACCACCGGTTTGGACGAGACGGACATTGATGGAATCGCCTTCAACACCACTACCACCACCAGCACCACCACCAGCAGCAGCGGTCCGTGTCGTTGTTGTTGTTGGTGGTGGTGTTGTTGTCGTTGTCGTTGTCGTTGTTGACCTGCCACTACTAGTAGTCTCCCCCTCCTCACCGTCGTCCGCCTCATCCCGCCGATGACGATAGCGATGATGACGATGATGAAGGGCAAGGACAGGAGGACTGGCACTATCCCTACCCCTAGCCTCCCTATCCTCCCTATCCCTTACCCCGTCCCGGCCCCCTCTAAGAAAGCCCGGACTGTTACTGGGCGTACTGCTGGTACTGCTACCATCACTGCTGCCGCCTTCTTCTTTCTCACTGTCAGCGCGCATCTGCATCAGCATGATGGCTGCGTCGCGCTCCGCTGCGGGGCGCGCACCACCACCGCCACTCTTAGCTGTTGTGGTTTCGGCGGGGAGTGGTGCTGTCGACTCTGAGTTGGTGCGTTCACTGCTAGTAGTGGTGGCAGTAGCAGTAGCAGTAGTGGTGCTCTCTGGAGGAGTCCGTGGAGGAGAAGAAGACGTGTGGTTATCGTCATCCTGCTGGTGGTGCTGCTGGTAGTGGTGTGGGTGATGTTGTCCACTCGCCCAGCTAGGATGATGGTAAGTCCCAGTGGTGGTGCTCGGAGTATCAGGCACGGTGGTGGTGGTAGAGGAAGGGGGGGAAGAGGAACGGGAGGAGGAGTGGCTGCTGCGTCTCCTCTCCGCCTCACCACCGCTGCCGCCGCCCGTGTCACGGTTGGTAGTATTGGTAGTATTGATACTCGTATTCTCCCTGCCAGCAACATCCGGATGGTCGACCTGGTCTTCGTATCTCCGCTTGAGCCGGAGGGGCGGGAGGTTGATGTTCCACTCCCGCGTACTACTAGTACTACTAGTAGTACTGGTAGGCGGAGACGTCTGCTGATGATGGTGTAGGTGGGAATAACACGGATGATGATGATGAAGGAGCCTGCCTGGTGTCGGGGACCGCGGCACGGCAGACAGCCACGGGTGGGCGGTCGAGGACACGTTCAGGCCCAGCAGATCTTCGTTGAGCTGGGAGATGTCGCGGTGATGGTACGCCGGCCCCGCAGGGTATTGAGGAGGAGGAGGAGGAGGAGGATGGGACGGAGGTAGACGATTATGGGCGGCCCACGTGGGCGAGTCCTGGGGTATGGGCGCCGATGTTGGCGGCGGTGGCGGGATGGCTGCTGCTGCTGGTCTTGTTGTTGTTCGCGGCGCGGGCGGGCACATGCGCCGCGTGTAGTAGGGCTCCGAGACCGGGTGGTAATGATATTCCGTGTCGGTGGTGTCGGTGTAGGGGCTCAGGAGCAGGCGCCGGTCGTGGTCGGCGTAGGCGGGCTCGGGAATGCGCGTTGTCGTTGTCGTCGTCGGACGCTGCGGACTGAGGCTGCGGGACGGGCGCGGGCTGAGCAGCGCCGGGCGTGGCCCGAACAGCGCGGCGGCCTCCCTTCTCGCCCGGTTCACGATGTCCTGGCTGATCAGCATGCGGTCGTAGCCCGGCGCGCCCTCGGGGATGCACTCGTAGGGGAAGCGCGGGCCGAACAGCGGAATCAGGGCGCCGGCGATCTTGGCGCAGAAGGTCGCGCAGACGGCTTTGGCGCACGAGTACGGCATCCAGTAGCCTGTAGTTGGACGGTCAGGATCAAAGTACTACCAGTAGTCACTGCCATGCTTGGAGATGGTCAGGGGAAGTTCACCTTGAGCCTTGATGGACCCTCCGGTGATGCCGTGCGTGATCTCCTTGAGGCCGGGATTCGAGTTGAGCATCTTCGCAGGGGCCGTCTACCCAGGGTCAGGTCAGCAATGTCTGGATGTCAAAAGTGAGAAACGCAAAAGCCGACCTTGGGGAAGCCGCGGCATCGGAAGAAGGGCGTCATGCGAACGAAGCCGACATTGTAGTCCCACATGACGGTGTAAGTGATGTCGTCATCCTCGGGCTTTTCCTTGTACCGGAAGTCGTAACGAAATACTGTTTCGCTCATCAGTCGGGGCTCCTCGGTTACTACTACTACTAACTAGTAGTCCCCATCTGCTGCCATCTCCGTCCTTACCTTCGAAGCCCTCCCGACCGGTCTTGCTAAAGAAGTCCTTCTTGCCGCTGTTGTAGGGGATCCGCTCGCTGGTGTCTTGAATCGAGCCGAAGGGGTGGACCTGGAACCTGCGCACCTGGACAAGCGATGCCTCGTCCAATGCCTCAAAGGGCGGATAGTTCACGACGCCCTTGGTCTTGCTTCGGGAATGCCCCCTGGCGTTCTCGGTCATCCTCAACATCTCGATTGGGGGCCTGGTGGCTGCCGCAGTTGATGCTTCGTTCCGAAAAGCCGTCGGTCGTCCCGCCGGAGGAGAACGCAGAGCAGACGGGCGGGACGATGGCAACGCAGCCCGCGGGGGCTCCGGGTTAAGAAGTTCCGCCACGGACACCATGGCGGTGAAGAAAGTCGGTGGGGGATGTCTCGCGTACTCGTTCGTAGCTGGCCACGGGGGGCTGCGAAGTCTGCAACTCTCGTCGGTTTTGAGAGACTGGAGGGCAAGGAGACAGGACGAAAAAGGGAAGCCAACGAGACGAGGGGTCGGGCGGGGGGAAACACGGATTATCAATGAAGTCAAGTCAGACACACACAGCGACCGCTCCGCTTGCATCAGCAACTTGAATGCCACGGGGAGCGTTGACAGGCACAGCAGAAAAGCAAAGCCGCCAAATCCCCTCTCTTCCCTTTCAGACGGGACAAACAACAAAGCTCGGCGCAACCCTCGCGGAGCTGGCGGGTGTTGCTTCAAGGGGTGTGGGGGGCGTGTGTTTCTGTGTCTGCGACAAGGAAACCTTGGAAGCACGGCCGCCGCCGCCTTCTCCTTGCCCTGGGCCCTGCCGGCTTGCAATGACCTGCAGCCCCGGGCGAGCCTCTCCGTTGCTGTCCGCCGTGTTCTCGATGCAGCTTTTCTTTGTCCCGGGGAGGGATCCTGGGAGTCGGCCGATGGAGCTGGACCGGATGGAAGCGTTTGAACCTTCCACCGCTCTTTGGGGGGGGGGGGGGCGGAAGGGGGGGGAGGAGGGTCGAGTTGGCAGCCAGAATGTGACAAGTGACGGCGGATGCGGCGGTCAATAGTCCAAAAATTGGCGATCCTAACAACCACAGGCCGAGAGAGCTGGTGACGGTGGCGGCTGGCTAGCTTGGGGAGGGGAGAAAGGGGGGAGGGGAGAGGGAAGTGTGACTAAGTTAGGTAGGGAGGTAGTATGCTCTTTACTGAGGTTGTGTGTACCTCTCCTTCCATTTCCTCCTTTCCTTTTCCCGCCCCGCGACGATTAGGCGCTAGGGCAGCACAGTCAACTCTACGTCAGCCCACCCCCCACCCCCTCAGCAGTGTCCCAAGTGCCGTGAGACGATCTGGTGAAGCAGAAGCAGGCCCTACCAAGACAGCCACGGCAGCGCAACTGGAGGAGGGACCGGATCGAGGGAAGCTGTAGATGGCACAACTCCAACACATTGAGGCTGTGGCTCTGGATCCACGATGCGCTTGTTGTCCAGAAAGACAGCAAATTTGAGTTTGACACGGCAAATACCCAACCCCAGCGTGTGAACGGCCAGGCAGGGATCCGGGCTGTTTGGCATCAATTGACAGACCGTGGTGCTGTCGGACAGCTGCAGGAGGCGCCCGCTTGTTACCTGGTTTGAGGCCCTTCCGGTGAGAGGAGGGTGGAACGAAGGGCGAAACTTCTTGTCCCATGTTGACATCCCAGAGCCGGAGATGACGGCTTGACTCGACACACGTGGCTGCTTCACACCGCTGAGGGCTGGCGTCTCCCGGTCCCAAGTCATCAGATCAGAATGGCAATGAGTGTATCTCGCCTAGTACTTACAGACCCAGGCGTTGGTTTTGTATTGGTGTCACGCCTTCTCTGCGCGAATACTGTCTGTCTGTCTGTCTGCCTGCCTGTCTCCCTGCTGCGCGAGGGTTGACAGCGTCGAGAGCGCTCGGATGCACACGCCAGCGTCTAGAAATGGGCAGATGGGCGAGTCCTCCGCTCGACCGACGGTTGCTGCTGCTCGCCCTGAGCTCTGAAAAAAATAAAACATCCAGAGCCCTTCGAGAAGCCCGCCCGGGTACCCCTCCGCGCCGAAGCTCGCGGCAAGGCGGTGCGGCAGAAGGCATCTAACACACTGCACCGAGCCTTGCTTGTCGCCACGAGCTTGCACCTTGCGCAACGGCAGCACAAGAAAACTATCCGAGAGGGATAGAGGCATGGCTTCTGAAACATGTTTACCCTGGCCCATCATCGCTCTCTTTGTTCCCTGAGCGAGGGGCGGTGCCGATGCGATGACTACTAGTAGTACTAGCAGCGTCAGAGGTCGACGAGAACCCGGCAGGTCCCAAACGGATATGCTGGATGTTGGATCCGGAATCGAGAGATGGTGCGCGTGAGGTTGAAAGAAAATGTGGCGTTCTGGCTGGCGACAGATGAGGCCGGAGATGGCGCCCGAGAACATCACTTGACCGCTTGTCGCTGCAGGGCTGCTGCGCTGCCCGCGGCCAGAGAGTGCGCATGTATGTACATACATACATACAGTGCTCTGCTGATACCGTATGTGCAATACATAGTACATAGTAGGTACTCACAGCGAGCCGTTGTGTGCCAGGCCAACACCAGTCCCTCGATTCGTCACCCCCCCCCCCCCCCCTCCCTTAGTGTGTAGGGCCACGCCCAAGCCTGTCGTTCCCTGTCGCCGTAACCGTGATGAGTGCTGCAGCCACCCGCCAACTCTCCGCGGCAAACCCGGTCGGCACCAACGCCTAGCACGGGCGCCGCACTGCCCCCCAAAACGGCAACACAGAGCCCAGAGAAACGCCAGATCGAGCCACCGCGGGAGACAGACTAGGCCCGAACCAGTCTCGGCGGTTTCAACAGCTGTACACCTGGCTCCGGCGCGCATCGCCAGCCGGTCCGGGGGCAAAAGGACCTCTCGCCAGCCCGGTATCCCCGAGCATTACCGTTCGAACACTTGGACTGGCAACCGCAAGCGACCTTTCTTGACCGCGAGCGGTTACCGACCATCCATTCCATTTACCTGTACTTCCATAACTCAGTAAGTCAACTCTGCCCATGTCCCTGCTGGCAAGCGTTTTCCATCATACTATATCCCTGTCCCGCGATTCGCGCACCAGGATCCTCAGGGGGGAGTCGGGCAAGATTTGGTGCCCGATCCTAGCGTCGAAACGCTGTTGTGGCTGGAAACCCATCTAAGTGAGAAAGTGAGAGAGTCCCAAGGGAAGAGTTGGACGATCTAGTGGCACGTCAATATATGGCTCAGCTTGCCAGTCGAGACCTGCAAAAGAAGGGACCAAGCCATCAGGATACCACTGTCCACCATCCCAGCTGAACACTACTACCTACTAGTAGGTAGTCAAGACTCAAGCGTGGCCGAGAGCAGGTCGAATAGACCTCTACTGCCTTTTTCTTCGCCTCCCTCCCACCCCCTTCCAAGCAGTGCGACAAGTACAGACTTTGTCGCGGATGAGGGCATCGGGAAATTTCCCCAGCGCGTGCTCTCCGGGGGGGCACGACTAGAGTAGCACGGCAGATTGCGTGGAGTAGCGCACACGGCGTCGTCGTCTTGCAGCAGCAACGAGGCGGCTCCACATTCAAAGACCGACAACGGCGACAAAGTAGTCGTAAATGTCCCCCCCAGCGGGCCGGCTCGCAGATTACCGATTGGAGCTGCTTTGAGACATGTGTCGTTGGAGAAGACGGGCGTTTACAGCCGCCGGACCGGGAAGGGAAAGCAAGCAAGCAAAGCTGCGGTGCGATGGCCCATTCAGATTTTCTCGAGGTCATGTCATTCAACAAGGCAACCTGGGACGGACTTTTTCAGGGCCCGGCCCGACGGAAGGAAAGAGACCAACAAGGCCTGACGAGGAGTGAAGTGATTTCAACCTATGATGCGCCAGGAAGGAAAGCAGCGAGACCGGCCGCCAGCAGACGGGTGTGTGTGTGTGTGTGTGTGTGTGTGTGTGTGTGTGTGTGTGTGTGTGATGGCCTCCGTACAACTTGACTTTTTCCTGTATCGTACCAGCAACCACAATCACAGACTCACTGCCACGACTTGCCGAAGGACTCGATCCGCATTCCAAGCGTTCTGTTGCATTCTGCTGCTCCCCCCGAGGAAACTCGAGAGAAACAGCCAAACCAAATGCCCCTTTTGATTCTTGTCCTCGGCACCGCAGTCAGTCGCTTGACAGGTAACTCATGTGAATTGCAACCAACTCGCCTACCGGCAACAGCCTACATACAGTACGGATGAGGTAGCTCTGGGATCCGCAACGCAAAAGCGGCGAGACAAACAGTCCGATTGTTACTCACGGCGCACAGAGACAGGCCACTTGTCTCTAATAAACGGTCAAGCCAGGTTGATTTCAAGGTGAGCACAGTAAAATTTATCAAGGCACAGGGCCCGGGTACCGGGTAAGTGTCATCTCACTTTCTGGCTGCCTCTCGCCGTTTGTTGTTGTCGAGAAAAGTGGGGCACATGGCATGTCGTGCGAAGGAGCGGGTTAATTAAATTGTTAGTGTATTGCTGCCTCAGGCCTAAGGCATGAAACCGCGAGTCATGGCGCGTCTTGGTTTTCGAGCGCGACCGTTGAGGCCCGAACCTGTTTCGGAAATCCGCACACAACACTCTTCTGTTTACATTGGACACGCCTTGCCGCGACAACAACCCGGCAGTTCCTCCCCTCCCCCCCTTTTTCGGCACTCACCACGCAATCTGGCCGATTGCCCCGCGCTCTTTCGTCTCCCAGATCGCACCTGTTGCTTCCCCTTCCAGATTGTTTACGCTGAGTCGCCGAGGCTAGCCCCTGGCGCTTTTTCTTTGTCTCGTTCGTTGGCGACGAAAAATCTCTGTCCGATTTTCTTTCTGCATGCGCCCGGCTCTTTTGTTGTTGCCCGCCTGCCGGCCATTGATCCAAACTCCTGAATTCGGGCGCCGTTTGTTATTGTGGAACATTGTTCCCACGCCGCCGTCGCCATGGATTCCGACGTCGACTCGGTTTTTGATGACTTCCAGGACGAGTCTGACGCCTACTCGCCAGAAGTGGTACGTATGTTGCGCGGTTGCCCTCACCCACCCGTCACAATTCTCTGCGAATGTGCACAATTATTCTTCTCTTGCCTTTCCCGAAACTGACCTCTCCCACAGAAACCGAAAGCTAAGGCAGCATCAAAAATGATGCTGTCTGCAAAATCCGCCAAGATGGTCCAGACGAAGCTCACGGGCGCTAGCAAGGCCGCGCCGAAAAAGAGGCCCAAGCCAGAGAGTGACGCAGATGACGGCATGCTCTCCAACACACCGCCCAAGAAGAAGACGAAGGTGGCACCTGCAGTGAAGAAGTCCAGCGGCAAGCCTCTGCACGAGATCCCCAACGACAGCATGGCCATGGACGAGGACGACGACGCGCCAGTCGCCAAGCCCAAATCCAACAAGACGGCCACAGAGACGTACCAGAAGCTCACCCAGCTCGAGCACATCATCAAGCGTCCAGATACCTACATTGGCTCCGTCGAGCGCATGGATCAGAAGATGTGGGTCTACAACAAGGCCGAGAAGCTCATGGAGAACCGCACCATCTCCTTTGTCCCCGGCCTGTACAAGATATTCGACGAGATCCTCGTCAACGCCGCAGACAATAGCCAGAGAGACTCGTCCATGACGTATCTCAAGGTCACCGTCGACCGTGAGTCTGGCGAGATCTCGGTCGAGAACAACGGCAAGGGCATCCCCATCGAGATGCACGAGAAGGAGAAATGCTACATTCCCGAGCTTATCTTTGGCCACCTCTTGACGGGTTCCAACTACGACGACAACGAGAAGAAGACGGTCGGTGGTCGTAACGGCTACGGTGCGAAGCTCACCAACATCTTCAGTCGGCGCTTCACCATCGAGCTGCAAGATTCCAACAACGGCAAGCGATACAAGCAGACCTGGACCGACAACATGGGCAACATGGAGAAGGCCAAGATCACGTCCAACAAGTCCTCCGATTTCGTCAAGGTTTCCTTCTTACCCGACTACAAGCGGTTCGGCATGGAGAACGGGATGGATGACGACCTGGAGGCTCTGATCTACCGCCGCGTTTACGACATGGCCGGCACTGTGTCCGGTGTCAAGGTCTGGCTGAACGGCGAGCACCTCAAGGTCAACTTCAAGACGTACTGCGAGATGTATGCAAAGGCAATTGCCAACGAACGGGGCGACGCCGCTGTTGATGGCGAAAAGCCCGTCGCGAAGGTCGAGTTCGACCAGCAGAGGCACAACGGCCGTCTATGGCAGATCGGCTTCACGGTGTCGGACGGCTCGTTCCAGCATGTTTCGTTCGTCAACAACATCGCCACGACGTCCGGCGGCACCCACGTAAACTACATTGCCGACCAGATTTGCGAGGCGCTCGGCAAGGAGCTGAACAAGAAGAAGAAGGGCCACTCACTGAAGCCGTCGCACTTCCGCAACCACATCTTCATCTTCATCAACTGCCTGATCGACAATCCGGCGTTCAACTCGCAGACGAAAGAGCAGCTCACCACCAAGGTGAGCGCCTTCGGCAGCAAGTGCGTCCTCAGCGACCAGTTCCTCAAGAAGGTGAAGGCTTCGGAGGCCATCGCGAACATCATGGAGTTTGCCGACAGGAAGGCCGACAAGATGATGGCCAAGAGCGACGGCAACAAGCGCTCCCGCATCAGCAACGACAAGCTGATTGATGCCAACTGGGCCGGCACCAAGCGCGGCCATGAGTGCACCCTCATCTTGACCGAAGGTGATTCAGCCAGAGGTCTGGCTGTTGCCGGTCGTGCCGTCTTGGACCCGGATCGTATTGGTGTCTTCCCGCTCCGTGGTAAGATGCTCAATGTCCGCGATGCCTCGATCGATCAGATCATGAAGAACAAGGAAATCGAGAACATCAAGAAGTTCCTCGGTCTCAAGCATAAACAGGACTACAAGGACACCAAGGGCCTTCGCTACGGCCACCTGATGATCATGGCCGATCAGGATCTTGACGGGAGCCACATCAAGGGCTTGCTCATCAACTTCCTCGAAGTGCAGTTCCCCTCGCTGCTGCGCATCGAAGACTTCTTCCAGGAGTTCATCACGCCGGTCGTCAAGGTCTGGCAGGGCAACAACCCGAAGAAGCCCCAGAACCTCAAGATGTTCTTCAACCTGCCTCAGTATGAGGAGTGGAAAGAACGGCACAAGAATGAACTGCGGAGATGGAAATACAAGTACCTGAAGGGTCTGGGTAGTTCCTCCAACGAGGACGCCCAGATCTACTTCAAGGACCTGGACCGGCATCTGAAGAAGTTTGACATCCTGAAGCCTGAGGAGCATCAGCTGTTCGAACTAGCCTTCTCCAAGAAGAAGGCGGACGCTCGTAAGGAGTGGCTGGGCAACTTCATTCCCGGAACCTATCTCGACCAGACTGCGGCCAGGAAGACATACACCGACTTCGTCCACAAGGAGCTCATCTTGTTTAGCATGGCGGATAACATGCGGTCCATCCCGTCCATGATTGACGGCTTTAAGCCGGGTCAGCGGAAGGTCATCTACGGTGCCTTCAAGCGCAACCTGGTCAACGATCAGAAGGTTGCTGAATTTGCCGGTTATGTCTCCGAAGTCGCGGCGTACCACCACGGTGAACAATCCCTGCAGCAGACGATCGTCGGTCTGGCCCAGACTTACGTCGGCTCCAACAACGTCAACTGCCTCGAACCTAGCGGTAACTTCGGTTCGCGTCTCTCGGGAGGCTCGGACGCTGCCAGCGCCCGTTACATCCACACGCGGCTGTCGCCCTTTGCCCGGCGCGTCTTTTCCAAGCTTGACGAGCCCAATCTCGAGTACCAGTTCGATGACGGCAACATGATCGAGCCCAAGGTCTACGTCCCGGTCATCCCCATGGTCCTGGTCAATGGTGCTGACGGTATCGGCACGGGCTGGAGCACTTCTATCCCGAATTATCACCCGATCGAAATCGTCGAGAACCTGAAGCGGCGTATGGGCAGGCTCGATCCAGCAGACCCAGAGGAGAAGCCCTTCAAGCCCATGACCCCCTGGTTCCGGGGCTGGAAGGGTGTCGTCGAGCCGGAGGGTAATCAGAGGTTCAAGTTCAACGGCATCATCAAGCAGGACGAGCAGAACCCGAACGAGATCCACGTCACTGAGCTGCCCATCCGGATGTGGACCGACGACTTCAAGTCCAAGCTCGAGGACATCATCCGCGCGGAGAAGACCCCGTCGTTCATCAAAGACTACAGGGAGTTCAACGACCATCAGACCGTCCATTTCATCATCGAGATGGAGGACAAGCACCTGAAGGCGGCACTGGACGAGGGCTTGCTGGAGAAGTTCAAGCTCACCAAGACCATCGCTACCACCAACCTGGTCGCCTTCAATACACGTGGCCAGATCCAGAAGTACGAGAGCCCCGAGGAGATCATGGAGGAGTACTACCACTACCGTCTGAAGATGTACACTGAGCGGAAGGTCTGTTTCTGTACCACCCTTTCCGGACTTTCAGGTCTTTGCTGACAGATGCAGAACTATTGGCTGGAGGTCTACCACGCCGACTATCGGAAGCTCCAGAACCAGTTCCGCTTCATCTCCGAGATCATCGAGAACAAGCTCGTGGTCAGTAAGAAGAAGAAGGCTGTGCTCGTCCAGGAACTCCGCGACCGCAAGTACGAGGCCTTCCCCCCCAAGGACAACAAGAAGGTCAAGTCTACCGACGAAGAGCTTGGCAAGGACGATGTCGAGGAGGAGGAAGCCGACGCCGGCGCTCGCGACTACGATTATCTTCTCTCGGTATGCTCTTCCGCGGCGGTTTTTCTATGTTCGTGACCTGCTAATGTCGATGACAGATGCCCATCTGGTCGCTTACGAACGAGCGTCTAGAGAAGCTCAAGAACCAGATTGCCGCCAAAAAGGCCGAGTACGATGAGCTCGAGGCGTTGAACGAGAAGGACCTGTGGGTCAAGGACCTTGACGATTTCGTTGAGGAGTGGCATACCCAGTTGAAGCAGGAGGAGGAAATCATGGCCGGCATCCGCAGGATGGGCCGCCGCACGTCGCAGAAGATCGGCGCTGGCAGGGGCCGTCGCCCGCGTGACGATGACGACTACCAGCCTGAGAAGAAGACCAAGGCCAAGGCTCCGAAGGTTGAGAAGGTCGAGACCAAGACCCATCAGAGGTTCACCGAGAAGTTCCAGGCAGCTGCCACCGCCAAGCCCGCAAAGAATGATCTTTCGGATGATGACTTTGCGCTCCTGGGCAAAAAGGCGGTGGTGAAGAAGGAGGCGTCGGAGCCCCCTGCTTCCTCCATGGATGTCACTGTGGGGCGTAGCAAGCGGGCGGCCGCCACGAAGTCCAAATATGTCTTGAGCGATGACTCGGACGGGGACTTTATGGATATCGACAAACCCACCGTTAAGGATGAGCCTGAACCCGAGCTCGAGCCTGTGTCCGAGTCTGAATCTGACGAGGTCGTTGAGAAGCCGGCTAGGCGCGGACCAGCAAAGTCGAAGCCGACGTACCTGGACGACGAGTTCGGCTCTGAGAGTGAGGAGGAAGTCGTTGAGAAGCCTGCAAGGCGTGCCGCAAAGGCTAAGCCCTCGTACGCGGATGAGGACGATGACTGCGGCTCCCAGAGTGAGGAGGTCGCAGAGAAGCCAGCGAGGCGTACAGCCAAGGCTAAGAAGGCGTCATATGTGGACAGCGAGTTCGGCTCCGACAGCGACGAGGACGATGACAAGATGCTCGGCGACGTTGGCGCCCTGGTCAAGGGCATAGGGGCCCCAGCCGCCTCGAGCAGCAACGGGCAGCGGCTTAGTCTGTTTGCCATGTCCCGGCCTGAAGCAGGCGACGTATCCGTCCACAAGATGAAATCTAAGCCGTCCAAGCCCAGCCCCGACGTCGACGACCACGACGACACCAACTACGAGGCCCTCGCCATGTCGTCCCCGCGCAAGACCTCCACCACAAAGGCAAACGACCTGGATGACTTCCTGTCGGACGATGACCTGCCCGCCGTAACCAAGCCCGCCGCCAAGCCCACGGCTGCCTCCAAAGCCAAGGCGCCTCTGAGCGTGGTTCCCGCGGCGACCAAGAAGCGCGGCCGCCCGGCCGGATCCAAGAACAAGCCCAGGGCGGACGACGCTGCTCCGGCCGCCAAGGCCAAGAAGGCTACGGCTACGGCGACAGCGTCCAAGCCCAAGACCGTGCACCTCTCGCCCGCCGCCAAAGCGTACGCCGCCAAGAAGGCCAAGGCAAGGAAGGTCCTCAGCGACGACGATGAAGACGACCTCCGGGGGGAGCCGCCTAGCCCGGTCGTGCCGGCGGCTAAGCCCAAAGCTAGGCCGGGGCGTGCGGCTGCTGCCAAGGCGAAGCCCATCATCATTGACGATGACGAGGATTCGGACTCGTTTGTCAGCGCTGACTCTGGTGGTGGTGGTGGGCATGGTGGTGGACGCAAGGGTGGCAGGAAGGATGATAGTGACGCATTTGATATGGATGAGGATAGCGAGTAGACCACTGGAACTAGGGGCGATGCATTACTTTACTCAGCTATCGTGATGAACTATGACACTCCATTTTTTTTTCCCTTCCTGGGGTGATTGGTGGTCGGTTGTTAAGACAGGACAGGACAGGACAGGAGTTAAGGTCTGGTCTGGGGGGACGGGGGCGACTTTGGTAGTGGGCGGGCCGGTTGGTTGGTTGCTGGTGGGTTTCTTTTTTTCCTTTTTTTGTCAACTGAACTTTAGTTACAACATTATGAGAGAGATGATCTTTGTTCTTGTTGTGGTGTATATTCATCTTCTTCCTTTTCGGTCCCTTGCAAAGCTTAGCTCCCAAGCTTGAGGACGGTCGCTCATATAGGAATATATCATACATACTCTTTGACTCTTTGACTCTTTGACTCTTTGCTTGCCGACGTTATTGTGGTCCTAGTGATTTCCCTGCCTGCCTTGTGCCTAAGATATGTATGTGTGTGTGTGTTTTGTGTGTGCTGCTCTCCACGCTCAGACCAGACTGGAAGGGGGGCTGCTGTATAGCATTCGAGTCGATGTCAACCGGTCTGACAACCTCATAATAAGAGAGAGACAGCACACAACCAGACTGACATCCTAGTAAGAGACAGTACAGAATCAAAGAAGGGATTCGGCTGCTAATGGAACCAGCCCGCTTGATTTCGAGTAGAACCTGCCCGCATGTTGGATCGATCCATTGTTTGCCGTTTCCGAGTAGTAAGCTTCTTTCAGTTTTGGCTTGCCTTACAGGCTGCTGGAACTATAGGTTGGGTTGATCGTTTTCGATGTATTGTACAGCTTATTGATAATTTCCTTGTCCATGCTAAACCGAAGCCATCGACTCCTAGAAGCCAGCCTCGGAGAGCAATTGGGTAATAAAAGGCTGTTCTGAACCTGACGTGGATAGTTAATATCCCGCCTTCCTGTTGACGGTTATCATGGTCCCACAAGACTGTGCCCCTAGGCATTGACGACTTGTGCCTTCAAGGTGCCATGGAGGGGATATCAGATATCATGGATGTTGAAAGAAGACTTCCACAAACTCACACTCCAGCACAGACGTAACGTTACTGCATGCTATGAATATTGAATTCACCGAGCATAATAGAACAGAACGCCTAGGTAGAACACAGTCTCCAACCTGTCGTATCCCGCAAGACTGACAAACTTCAGAACTCATCACATACCCTTATAATATCCGAGTCAAACGTTGAGGTTAGGAAAGGAAAGAGAGCAGAAGAAAACTAAAAACTTTATTGCCATACAATACTCCGCCCATTCATTGATTCATGCATGTGTGCATCCATCCTGCCAACAAGCCTGGAATTTCCATACCCGTGCATCGACCAGAGGAACTATGAGAACACCGCAGACCCCTAATCACTCTTCGGCCCGGTTACCAGTCTGGTTTTACTTCGGCTCTCTTTCATCGCCATCCTTTTTGAGGAAACCACTCTCCTTATGCTGCTGTTGGGCGTATTGTAGTGTGCTGACCCAGCACTCATAAAATACAATCGTCAGCAAGCAATATCTCCTGTTTAGGCGGCGATCGGGAAGGAAGGGCCGCCGGGATGCTTGATGGCAGGCTCCGGCTCGTTCTTGGACTCAGGTACAGAGGTCTTAATATCGTCCTTGGGAGCGGCAGGGAAGTCAGTAGGCTTGAGAGTCTCCTTCGCTTGCTGGGCAGTCTGCTCAGTCTTCTGGGCGCCCTTTCCCATCAGCGACTGGGCCTTGGCAGCGTAGTCCTGAGTCAGAGACTGGGCCTTGGCGGTGTAGTCCTGGCCAACTGACTGGGCCTTAGCGGTATAGTCCTGAGTCTGGTGGGCGCCCTTCTTGATCAGGGACTGGGCCTTGGCGGTGTAGTCGCCCATGTACTGCTTGGTGACCTGGGTGGCCTGCTCGGTGCTCTTCTGGGCGGCCGAGCGGAGCTGGGCCGTTTGGGCGCTGACGATCTCACCGGCGTGCTGGAGCTGCGCGTCGATGAGCTCCTTGTTGCTGTTGTAGATGAGTGGCGCAAAGAAGAGCAATGTAGTGCCGATCACAGCCAGGCCCCAGTAGGGGACGATCTTGATGAGGAAGTATGAGATGAAGGCAGAAAGAGCAGCCTAGCATTGGGTTAGCTTCCGGCTCTGACGCAATAGCTCCAGAAGCTCCGGAGCTAGAGCGGAGACAATTGTGGGGACCACTTACAGCAGCGGAAACGTAGACGTTCTCGGCGAACAGCACGCGCTGGGCCTCGATGACGAAGAAGTTGATGAGCTCATGGACATCTCCAATCGCGGCATCAAGTGTCTCGCGCGGGATCGTGTAGTACTTGCGGGGGCGCAGCTGTGTCGCGAAGCCATTGTTCAGGACAACCTTTCCAGCGACCTCAGCGGCGACGGTAATGCCAAGAGCCATCCAAGTGAGCTTGAGCCCCCAGCGCAGAACATCCAGGTACCTAAACGTGAAGATGAGGGCCACGAGGGAGGCATAGGCAATGCCCGAAGCTCCTGCAAAAATAGTGTCAACGTCAGCACTGGGTTGACAACATGGCCAAAGACCTGGTTTGTGACATACGAGGGTTGCGCCAGGACAGAAGCTCCGAAAAGAACGAATGGTAGTGTGTCAGCTGCTGGCCGGTGGCAGCTGTGTAGCTAGGAGGCTGGCGGGAAGCGGCGAGGTTGGAAAGCTCGTCCTTGGTCTTAGCGGACTGGTCCATGACGTTCTGAGCTACAGGGCCTGGGAAACAACGAGTCAGTATCTCCACACAAGATCGAAACAAGTTCGGCTTAGGAGGACATACCGTTGGTGACACTGTTGTAGGCAGATGCGGCATCTAGAGAGGTATCGTCAGTTGGCTCGATTGCGGAAGGATCGGTGTTGGGTAAGTGGACTGTGAAACGTTGCAAAGGTTAGCTGACTGTCCACGTCAAAGAAAACAGAACACCAGAAGAAAACACAGAGAAGCACGAACCTCACTGGCTTTGAGAGCATCCACGGTAGGATTGGCATTGGAGTTATTGGTAGGTACGCTAGGCGGTACGTTGTCGGCCATTTTGATTGCTATCGTGCGATGGGCGCGTGAGCAGTCTCTGTTTCAGTGTTGGATGATGGAAAGGTTCGGAAACTCGTGACGTCGAAGGGAGGGGCAGAGGAAAACGGGCAATGGTCGAGACAGGTAGCTAGCGGGAACCGAACAATGCGGACACTTCACGCTGGCAATGCTTCTTTGTGCGAGGAGAGCTGGAGGTTTTGTTGCAGGAGAGGGAAGATTGAATCAGAGATTTTGTGCTTCAAGAAGTGGGATAGGCAGGATGATTTTGAGACAGCAAGGGGGTGGATGGATTATTTGTTCGAGTGGTCCTTATCAGAAGCTCACAGGCAGTCCATGACGGACTCTGGAAGCAGCTTCCTGGGAAAGTGGGTCCCCCTGGCAAGCAAAGCTCGCACGCGATCCAGAAGCAGCTTGCGGCATCACTGCGACCCGAATGATCTCATCATGCCCACCACCGTAACAGGGCAGCACAGCCAACCTGTCGGGTCTTGGGAACTCCCAGCCCAGTTGCATTGCGTCGTAAAGTTCGGACTAACACATCGTTTACTGTCCGTCTCTGTGTTGCAGATAGTCTTTTCAATTCCTTCATCAATTGTTCGGGACTCATCAAAACGTTATCGCCAATTTGACGTCGTAGCAACCGGAGGCCCAGATTGACTTAGCGTAGTGGAAATGGCAGCTGCAGTCGCAATGCCGACCCTAGCTTGCCCCCTTGGAAGGGCTGAGGTCATTTCCGGTGGAGGAGGGGCGTCATATAATGCATGTGATTCCGCGCTAACGCATCAGTCCACCGACTCCAACTTGGAAGACTCCAAAAAGCTGGTGGGTTGGATGTTTTGTAGCACGCGACATCAGAAAGGCCCGATGACGTTCATCACGAACCCAAAACATGGGTATGGAGGTCAAAGACTTCTTGCTACCGTAGCACAGTCAGGTAGCTCAATATTATTCCAGCCCTGCCCTTGTCGAGGCTCTTTCTAGAAGCAAAGTTCAGCTAGCCTCATGTCCTGTCCAGTTGAGCCTGTATATCGTGTAGGCAATGCCTGTAACTCCCTCTCCGACATGCAAAAGAATCAAATAACTATTTGGTATCATGATGCTCACCGACACAGCCGGCCTGCGACGAGTCATCCATCCCCATCTCTCTCTTCCCCACGTGATTACACAATGTATCCCAATGCGCCAAATGTACGGCAGTGTAGCACCGGGTAAAGATAGCACAGAAGAAAGTCATCACCGCCTCCAGCCCCAGAAGCCGCCGCTCGACGTGTTGTTAGCCGGCGGAGCAGTCGCGGCTCTCGCGGGCGACGCCTCAGATCCCGTCAGACGACCGAACATGCCCATGGCCCCCGATGCCGCCGATGTCGAGCCAGCGGTGTTGCCGTGCGCCATCGCAGGAGGCATCTCCCCTGGCGCGAGCCCAAACGCCTTGCGTAGCTGCTCGAGCTTCTGCTTCGCTTCCTCCAGTTCCTGCCTGGCGACTGCTTCCGCCGTCTTGGCCTGTATCAACTCAACCACGATTGCATCATTCTCGCTGTTTTGGGCCGCTGGAGCAGGTGGCTGAGCACTCATGGTCGTTGCTACCGACAGTGAGGACGCGCGTTTGTTGTTGGTGTACGCTGAGGCTTGCGACGGTGTCGATCTGCTGCGGGCCAGTTTGAGCTCGCGGAGTCCCGTCGCGGCAGCGGGGCCGGCGCCTGTGGCCTTCGGGAACCATTCGCTCTTCTCTGCACCTGCTTGTGTGTCCGACGCCCTCATCCGCATCCCCTGCATATGTCTCTCTAGGCGTTGCTTCTCTTGGTGCACATTTCGGACATGTGCATGGCTTTCCTTTAACTGTTCTCTCATGGTGGCCATTTCCTGTTCCATCTCCTGTATCCTTCTATTGTATTCCTTTGATTTCGCCCTCTCTTGCAGTAGTTGTTCTCTCGCACGAGCGACTTCATCTCGCAATTGTGACTTCGTCTCCGGGATCGAGGATGCCGACGGGGACGCCGACTCGCTGAGCCGCGCTTCGACAATATCGAGCAGGTCAGAAAGCTGTTCTGCCGTCGGGTTGGTGGCGCCGCCGACATCTTGCGATGCTGTTGCGTCCTCCGCGCCGCCCAGTAATATTCCCTCACTTCCACCGCCTGCCTTTTTGCGCAGCCCGTCCAACAGCGAGCGGATGGCCTGTCGGTCCTCTTCGCGCTCCTCTTTCTCCCTCTGTAATTGATTGGCTAATAAGGCGTGGTTTCGCTGCAGCTCGCTGAGCGCAGTGAGCAGATCCTCAATCTGACTGTGCAGGTACTTGCTGCCGTCTTTTGAGGTATTGACGCTCCCCGCAAAGGCTGTAGATGTCGGTTTTGACGGCGGCGTCGTCACAGCTTCTCTAGAGGGATCGTCCGCAGAACTGTCGCGCGAGATGGTAGTCGCCTCGGTCGATATGGAGCTGAGAACACTGGCGGCGGATGATGTCGTTGAGGAGACGGCCTCCATTGAGGAGAGGCTCTGCTTCGACGTGCTGCGCCGAAGCATGCTAAGTGGGCGCGATGCAGCGCCGTTCCCTGGATTGAGAGTACTGGTGACAGACGCGGATCCCGATGCCGACGCTGCTGCCGCGAACGTGGCAAATCTGGGGGTGGACGAGGAAGCCCAGATGCGACCCAGGAACCGGGAGGCGGCGGTGGTGACATCCGCCGATGCTGTGCCCGCTTCAGTCCCACGCTGATTGGCGCTGGGGTTAATCTTCGCTTCCCTGTACCCCTGTTCGAGCGCTACCATTCGGTCCTTGGTAACAATGTCGGATAAGGCGACAAAGTCCTGGACAAACTCGTCGGCATTGTGATTGTAGCAGTCCCAGAGACCCCTCGACAGCAGCAGATGCATTACATCTTCCAGTTCGGTGCAGGCCAAGATGCGGGTCTGGTTCTTGCGCATGAGCGACAGCGCCACCCGCATAATGGTCTCCGATGCGCCCTCTGCGAAGATCACATCGTAGATGCGAAACAGCATTGGCAGGGGGCACGTTACGGCGAAGAACGACAGGAACCATTGTGAAACATACGCCGGTTCGACCTGCAAGTCGTCCAGATGGGCCGACAAAGTGGGCAGATGCTGTCGTAGCAGTTCGCGAAATTGGTAGATTCGGATGTGCAGCCCCGACAAGTCGGGAACGAAACATTGGCGCAGATCGTAGTTTTCCATCAGTCTAGATCGGTGCACATATTTAGCTTATTATTAGTGCATTTCTTCGTCATATTGAGGATCCAACGTACCTGACCAGGACGCAAAAGGCTTGTTTGTCCGGCATATGCATCAGCAGCGGCCCAACAAGAAACGCCAATCCTTGGCAATAGCCGATCTTGGTGTCGTAGAGACTGAAGCATTTGAGGACCCGGCCGAGCATACGCTGGCCGTCGCCGTCGGGGTCCCTGAACATCTCAACGCCGGGAAAGCTGCGCCCGAGGTCCTTGCTGATGACGCCTTCATAGGGGCTGGATTCACCGGTTAGTCGCTCAAACACCTCTTCCAGGGCGCTGTCCCGGGCGCCCGCCATGCTCTGCCAAACCACACCTCGAAGCGGCGGTGGAATACCCTTCCTGACCTTGTTTGACAGCAGAGTTGGCAACCGAGCAGCCGTCTGCTTCGGGTCCTTGACCAGCGCCAGGTAGAACTCGAGCTCGGTCATAGGCGGCGGCGGTAACGTCGAGTACCGCAGAGAGGGAGGAGTCGGCCCGTTGACCATCTTGCGAAGCTGCGCCATGGATGGCGGTCTAGGCTTGTTCTCCCGAGATCGTCGCTTTTCGACCGCCTTGACCTTGACGTTCTTTGGGTTTGCCGCAATCGTGTCATTTTGGTGTTGTAGTTTGGCCAGTAGGGAAGCTGTAGACTGTTGGGAGGGGTCAGTCACAGCGGAACGAAGTACAGATGAAAATCGGAAGTGGTCAGAACACACCTTCACGGAGCCATGTGCCTTCGACTCCTGGTCCTCTTTCTCCTGTAGCCCCTCCCAGTCAATCCTCTCCCATCCCGCGCTATCGCCTGAATCGCGGCTCTTCCCGCCGTCTCGGTCGTCGTCGGTGCTATCCGCCCCTGCCTGGCCCAACTCTTGGAGGAGATTAGGTCTGCGTTTCGACGCCGACGTCTCGGGCTCAAAGATCTCCGAACCGCTGCTGTCATCATCCTCGTCATCCTCTATCGTTGCGTCCATCGCGGTCGTCGGCGTGCAGCAGCCAGGCATCGGGCTCGTTCTTGCGAGAATCGTACTCGGGGGCACGGTCGTGTTCAGGTGAAGCGACGGTGGCTCCGACAGACGAACGGTAATGAGGGAATCGTGCTCGGCTGGCTTACTGCTTGTCTCCGTCACGATTGGCGGCGAATTGGCCCTGCCTGGCGCGCCATTGCTCGAGGACGGCGTCGAGTCGACGGATGCCGGTCCTCGTAGGAGCTCTCCTCCATCCCGGTCAGGCTCCATTCCAATTTCAGGCCCGAACCCTGCAGGTCCCAAGCGTCCAGATATCAGTTGAGCGCGGTGCTAAAGTTTGAGCGTGCTGGGGGAATATCGAGTGGATTGGTCCAGAACCGAGCTGGCAATGCTGTCGTTTCGAGCCGTCGAGGTCATCGACCGTTGCCCAAGACTTGGTGGGGTCGAATAGTTTGTGTTCCTTCACTTGTTCCTCGCGGGCACGCTCCTCCGAGAGCCCTCTGACTTTCCAAAAGGCGCGGGACGCCAGCTCTCAAAAGAATGAGACAGGGATGGCTTGCAGCCGGGAAGGTGTGGAGAGCCGGCCGAGATCAACGCCGAATTATGTGGGTCTTGGCATTCAAATGTTTGGGTCGGCGCTCTCTGGTTTCACTCAGGGTCCGACGACACTGAAACGGTACAGCTGAAGGCGACCCTCGGTACCCTAACAGAGGCCTGGGAAAGCCAACGCAAATACGTGCTGCTCGTATATTCCTGAGCAGCGAGAAGTAAACATGCAAGAGCATCTAGCGGTGGGAATGGGAGGCATAAACGACAAGATTTAGCGCGCGCCCCTGGACATCCATGCAATAAACCCCTGCAGGAACCATGCTACCGTTCGAGAATAGGACAGGCAAATGCGGGGCTGCCGGCCACCGCCAAACTGCACGGCAAGAGACTTCAAGGTTATGAGGCCATTGAGCGTAAAAGCAGCGGTTTTCAGGCCGATTACAAACCAATTGAATGATCTCCCTGCGTACCCGTCTCGAACAGACTGTGCAAGGCTAGTTGAAGCCGCCGTGACTTAGCTACCTACCTAGAGCTGTCGAATCATGCATTGCTCTGCACGGCAGCCGTGATTAATTCGACATCACGGCATAAGGTGGGACCAATGGAAATTCCGGGCCTGCATTCCCCACATCGGATTCGTTAACTCGGAAGAGAACCACCACCAACCACCGCGATAGTGCGAAATCCACTGTCTCCTATGCCTTCTACTGGCCGCCCAGAGTAAGCTACTCTGTGCTACTGTAGTTGGTAGTACTCCTTTCAAATGTTACAGGCCGCATTCTCACCGCTTTGAACACGGTTTTATGTGGCAAACGTATGTGTCGGCCGCGACACGGACAGGACGAACATCAATCAGAGCATCGACTGACGTGAGGGCAACAATTGAGACCAGGCCAAGCCTTGATTGCCCGGCCTAGCATTTGGCCTCCCGTACTCCGCTACTAGCACGTCGTATGTAGATATCGATTGCATGGCACTCGCGTGAATCGACGGAAATGAATACTATGTCATCCTGCCGAAGCCAGAGCGATCACAATACAGCCAGTGCGCCCAGTAACACCATGCACGCCGTCTCACCAACCGAGCCGCTTCACACCCACAAGCTTCACACACCTCTCACACTTCCACATCAACACCAACATCTCCAATTTATAGTACTCTCTCACCACCCGGACGCCAACGCCTTCAAACAATCGAGAATTTCCGGCCTCCCCATCGTGGAGTAAAATATATCAGAAACCAGAAAAGAAAGACGCCATGGCCCTCCCTAGTTCCGTAAAATTGTCCTCCCACCTTCTATAACCGCTGAACCCAACCTCGTTCTTTGGATGCCCATCGCACAGTCTACCGATGGCGCAGCTGCACCCTCGGCGAGGCTCTCGCTCAGCCATATATTCTACTTCATCGCGACGCACGCTCTCCCTTTCCTCATCGGTATGATGGATCAAGCCCAGTCAGACCTCGTCATAGCCCAGCAGCATGCGTCTGCTGCTGCTGTAAGCCAGGCGCGACGGCATTCATCATCTGCGGCGTGCCCTGGCCCTGCTGCGCCGCGCCTGGCGTGGGAGCAGGACTGTTATGATTCGAGCCCTGTCCTCCTCCCGCGGGGTTCGAGGCCTGGCCGTTCTGTCCCGGAGGTTTCATTCCCCCCGCACTGGGGTTTGCCCCGGGCCGCGCACCGGCCGGTTGGGCAACAGGCTCCTTCCTCGGGTCTATCCCCGGGTACAGTGCCTGAAGCTTCTTGTACAGATTTTTGATGACTTGGTCTCGCTCCACGCGGTCGGCCATCGGATCCGCGGGCTGGTCAATGGGGTCGTCGGGGTTGTTTGGTGGTAGCCGTATTTTAAGCTGTAGGTTAAAAGGCGGCGCGGTCAGGTAGCCAGGAGACGCCGGTGCCGGTTTTACCTTGCGCTCGGCCACGGCATACATGTACGAAAGGTTGGCCTGTAGCCGCCTCATGCATCTATTATCGTATGTGAGAGGCCGCTCTGGACCATCGAAGGAGGGGGGGGTAAAAGCTCACTGGTTATAGTCCAAGTTCGCCACTCTCTCCTCCTCGGCGTAATCCACGTCTGTCTTTTTCCCTTCGGACTCGGCGGCCGCTTGCTCTTTCTTGAGCTCATTGCGGCTATTGACAAGTACTATTGACTCGTACAGCAGCTCTTGGTTGATCTCCAAGAGGACGGCGAATCTCTCTCTGTCTCGGGCCTCGCTTGCGGGACTTTGAGGGACTGAGACACTGGCAGTCCCACTCTGCTGTTGCCCATTCTCGGTAGGGAACGTTGGCGTTTGTGGTGTTGCCGCGGAGACTGAGGTCGGCGGAGGTTGGGCCGTTGTGGGCGTTTGACTCTGAGGAGTGCCCTGAGGCTGTGGCGTTGAGAGTATATGCTGTTGGTGCGGAGGCATGGAGCTGGTTGGGGTGCCCTGAGGCGCATTGAATTGCCGCTGAGGTGTTGAGACAGGCATGGCACCGGCATTCTGTTGCATCATCCGTTGCATCATGGGCTGCTGATTAGGCAGGCCCGCGCTCATCTGATAGGATGGCATCTGGCCCGCCATCATGAAATTCGCCGGCAACTGCGGTTGAGGAGCCGCAGAGGAAGGAATACTGCCCACATACGGCGAGGTTGTAAAGGGGGTCTGAAATGCCACTATCGAGACGCATGTGTCAGCCTCCATTATCAGAGCATGTGATTCTTCCGGAACGCAAGGAGATCGAGAAGACTATGACACTCGAGGGTGGTTGCGGCAGTTGCCGTCTCCCGAGGACACCGGGGGTAATGGTGCGCGGGGAGGTCCTGTCAAGTAAGACAGAATGAAACGAAGAGCGGCCGTCTCACGTCCTTGAGAGGGGAGCACACGTCAGACAGAAGATAGAGAAGGCGGCCGCTTACTCTGACCATTGGCAGCCATGTGCGGCATGCCGGCATTCTGCATCATCCCTGCAGAGCCAGCACCTCCCATCATGGCTGGGTTAGGCCCGGCGGGAAAGGCACCGGGCTGGCCCGCCAGGGGGAACTGCTGGGTGTTATACATCATCTGCTGCTGCTGGTTCGGGGACGGACCAGGTTGCAGGTGAGCGCCGTGGGGTGGGGCACCGTTGAATATCTGGCCGCCGGCGGCATTTGCGTAACCATAAGGAGCTGAATACATGACCACTGATGGTTAGGCTTAAGGCTGCCCAAGCCAAGAAGCGGGCGGGAGCGCCAGGGGTCTGGGAGAGCGTGACGGATGACAACGACGCGGTCGTGGACCAGATCAGGAATTGCGGCTGCCGGTGTGGGGAAGGGGTATGGCCATCAATCCGGGGATTGGCGGGGGCTCCCGAGGGGTGTCGTCGTGAACGAGGAATGCCAACAAGACAGGAACCTGGGTCCTAGTCCACCTGACAGTGTCCAACCAGGGTTATTATGACGACTTCTTATCGCAGGTGCCGAAAAGGCCGTCCAACCTGAAGCAGTTCGAACGATAGCGACTGCAAGAATGTACACGAGCAGGGCGGTGGAATTCGCACGTTTACCAACAAGGCGTGGTGCTGCTTGTTCTCCGTGCCGAGCAACTCCGCCGATCTCCCTCCAATCCCGGGAGCCAGCAGGGGCCGTGGAGGGTTAGGTAACGGCTTGCCTTGCAAGGCAGAAATGCACGGGAGATAGCCTATGGATCGTCCACACCGTAACTATGTAGACCCACGGGATGCCGGTTGTGTGTCGCCGGCCGCGAGTAGCAGTGGAACAGCACAAATGCCGGGATGCCCGATGGTGTGGTGACCCAAGGCTTGGTTGGGGGGGGGGGGGGGGGGGGGGGGAGACGCGGGGGAAGCGCAGACCGGGGAATGTCTAATGGGCTCGAAGAAATAAAGTAGGGTAATAAGGCCTGGAATGAACCTAGTAAGGTATGGGGTTTCTGTACTGTCTTGGATCTGCTGCCGTTCTGTCGGTCGGCAAGCGGCGTTCTCGGAGAAGGGTTTGCGCGTCGCGAAAATGCCACGACAGACAAGATGGAAATTGCAGACAGCGGGGGTTGGAAACTTGGAAGCGGGCTTGAGTGGATCGCCCCTTCCTACCACGAAAATGCGCGATTACCTGCCGTTCAAGCTTGGCAGCCCTCAGCTACAACACACCATGATCACCGAAGATCTGGCCGCCTCATTGCTTTCTCATCAACACATTGCTCGAAATGCATAAACTGCATTTTGCGGCTGCTGTCTTCCAGTGTTCTGGCCCTACGAAGCGGATGAAGCACCGCGTACCGTTCTGATCATTAATACCGAGTCCCGTACTTCGATTTACCAGCGACAACGTCGAGAAAGTTCTTGGCAATGACGGAGCCTGAGCTACAAGTCAGAATTATGTTCCCACGGCGCGAGAAACGAGGAAGGGCAGGCATACTTGTCTTGTTGGACGGATGCAGCTCATCGTACCACAGATACCCATCCAGCGAGCCTGGCTGGTTGACACAGGGGCTGCCGGCCGGCGGACAGTGGTGGTAGTAGCCGGAGGTATTGCGCGGCGCATCCAGGTACTTCGCCGGCTCGTCGAAGATGTCCAGAAGCAGGCTGTGGACATCGAAGATGTCGAAGGTCGCCTTGGGCCAGCGGTTCTTGAGGGCCACCTGCACGGGCACGCCGTACTCGTACATGGTGTTGACGCTGCTCGCGTACTGCTTCATCTTCTGGCCGTACTCGGTGATGTTGTACTGCGTCTTGTCGGTCCAGAATTGGCTGTCGCCGGTTCCTCCGTTGTCGGGTTCGGCATATAAGGGAGCCAGCTCGAGCGGCGCCGTGTTGAGCAGGACGAAGCGCCGACCTCCGGTCTTGTAAATGTGGTCAAACACGGAGAAGACGCAGCTCACAAAATCGCTGATGGTTTTACCAGGTGTCTGCGAGTCTGACAGGAAGGCCTTGAAGCCCAGATCGTTCGTTCCGATCCAGACAGCGTAGACGGTATTGGCGGCTGTGCGGTGGGGATAGAGTGACTTGTATGCCACATCGGCCTGGAAGGAGGGCAGCTCGTCCTCAAGGACGGCGGGGAACGGTTTGTTGATGATGTCGAGCCACCGCGGTGAAACCTCGTTAGAGCACACAGCACCGCTAACAGCGTAGTCCATGAGGTTGGCGCCGGCATCCTGGGCAGCGTACTGAGCCCAGGACAGCCCACCGCTGGCGGTGGTGTTGGTAACAGGATGATACACTCCCGGAGGAGGGGCCTTTCCGCCGTTGTTGATATAGTACCCCAGACGACCATTGTCGGTGTAGCTGTCGCCGAACGTGACCAAGGTCTGGAAACCACCATTGTTCGACGTGGCCAGGGCAGCCGATGCGCCAGCGAGGATGAACGAAACAAGCATCATGAAGGTGACTCTGTTTGCTTGGGCGGATGAACACGGCGGTGAGCAGCCAGGCACCGGCGGTACACCGGGGAGCACCGTCGAGAGCTTTATGTATTGTATGCGCAGCGATGCTGCTACTCATTGCTGGGAAATCTATCGTCCCATTCAACCGGGAACCGGGGCGGCCGGCTATATTGCGTCCCCGCGCCCGGGAACCCACTGCGAAGGCGATCGGACAGGCGGGTTAGCGAGCCATGCCCGCGGCGATCGTAGTGTCTACACTATCCGAGATACCATCCGCACTCCGTATCACGCCAACTTGCGTGGACACCTGCGGGGGGAGGAGAGGGGAACACGGCTAGGACAAGAATCCGTCCTGGGCCGTGGTTGGCGCTGTTACATCGTGGCTTTGCCTGCAGCATGTCGTGACATTGTGCCCGGCTTGGCCAGCTCGTCTCCGGGTCAGCGATCGTCTTCTTCCGCGATGCTTCCAGATCGAAGCCAGGATCTATCGGGTCTGCCGGAAAGCTCCCGAAGGACAAGCGATGCCGCTCGAGGAATGGCCAATCGTTTTTCAGCGCAACAGCTTAGAACACTTGCGCTCACTCGGGCTTGGGCTTGAGGCTGGCAGCGGACGGCCTTTTATTGTTAGCCACAAGCCACCACCGCCCGCTTCGGTTGGATTTCCAGAAAGGCTTGGCCGCCAAAATGATGGAGCCGGGATCTAAGATCATGGGTGAGCGGAGCAGATCTCAGCAGATCGCCCAGCCATCGATCGGCGTCAGGGTTAGGGTGCACATTGGACATGAACAAACGGAATCCTTCATCATACCAAGAACGGACATGTAAGATGGGCTATATTTTGGATCAACTTCCGAATTGCATTTAAGCTCATTGAAGATTTATATGGCTAGGTTGAAGCTGTGAAAGATCTCTAAATGCTTGCCCGCGGGACTGAGGACCCGCCCTCCGGAGTCGGCGCGGGTTCAAGCATTTTCAGTGCATATGGGAGAAGTTCAGCTCAATCAATGACTCAGGCCCTTTTGTGACTCTTCAACACAACACAGACCCCACGTTGTCTTCATAAAAGGTGTGGTGTAAACACACTGCACAGTCCAGGACCAAACTCTCAGTCAAGATTTGCCCGCCATGTCGCCCTTCAACCTCGAAACATGCGCCCGGCCGAACATTCTGGCGCTTGAGCCTTATCGCTGTGCGCGCGAGTAAGCGACTCACTCATTCACTCACTCCTACAACTCACCCCCTCACCACAGAAAAACAAAACTAACTCCCCTCTTCACCACACCAGCGACTACAAAGACGACGGCACCAACATCCTGCTCGACGCCAACGAAAACGCCTACGGCCCTGCCATCTCCCGCCCCAACAACAGCAACAACAACAACAATGACTCCAGCGTTACCAACCGCCCCTCATCAGGCCCGTCCCTGGATCTGACGACGCTGCACCGGTACCCGGACCCTCACCAGGCCACGCTCAAGCAGCTGCTGTGCGACCTGCGGACCACGCACGCCCACACGGCCAAGACGCTCACGCCGGCCAACTTGTTCGTGGGCGTCGGCTCCGACGAGGCCATCGACGCGCTCCTCCGCTGCTTCTGCGTGCCGGGCCGCGACAAGATCCTGGTCTGCCCGCCCACCTACGGCATGTACTCGGTCTCGGCGCAGGTCAACGACGTGGGGCTGGTCAAGGTCCCGCTGCTGCCCGGCCCCGGATTCGACGTCGACGTCCCCGCCGTGACGGCCGCGCTGTCCGATCCGGAGAAGAGTCGGACCATCAAGATGGTGTACCTCTGCTCGCCGGGCAACCCGACGGGGTCGCTGCTCAGGAAGGAGGACGTGCGGGCCGTGCTGGAGCACCCGACGTGGAACGGGGTGGTGGTGGTGGACGAGGCGTACGTGGACTTTGCGGCGCCCGAGGCGAGCCTGGCCGAGTGGGTGGTCGAGTGGCCGAACCTGGTGGTGCTGCAGACGCTGAGCAAGGCGTTCGGCCTGGCGGGGATACGGCTGGGCGCGGCCTTCGCGTCGGCGCCGATCGCGCGCCTGCTGAACAGCCTGAAGGCGCCGTACAACGTCTCGAGCCTGACGGCGGCGGTTGCCGAGTATGCGCTTTCCGGGGAGGGTTTGGAGAAGATGAGGGAGAACAGGGGGAAGTTGGTTGCGCAGAGGGAGAGGATGATCAGGGAGATGCCCAAAATTGAAGGGGTGGGACGGCTGAGGGGCGGGACGTATAGCAATTTCCTGCTGTACGAGATGCTGGATAAGGATGGCAAGCCGGATAATGTCACGGCGCTGGCGGTGTACGAGAGACTGGCCGAGTTTAAGGGCGTGGTGGTCCGCTTCCGGGGCAAGGAACACGGCTGTCTGGGATGCTTGAGGATCACGGTCGGCACGGAGGACGAGGTGACGCGGTTCTTGGCATCGCTGGAGCGGACGTTGGCCGAAGTCCGCGGCACGGCGCCGGCCGCGGATGAGGACGAAAAGGAGGCGGCGGCGAGCGGGGTGGTTGCTTAAGGATCATTCCTTAGACCGATAGAAACGTGCTTGCTTGCTTGTCATTGCCTGCCTTACCTACCTTAGATATCACACAGCTTTGCATCTGACGCCACGGTTGTGCATGTCCGTCTATTTAACCGCCTATGCATGCTATGCCAAAAAGAAGCCACGGTCCGCACCTAGGTACCGGACCGGGAATGCCCAAAAGAAAAAGCTATATACAGAAGAACGTAACATAAGGAGTACGGGAATCATCCCAAGCGAAAAAGACCTTCAAGCCCGCCGTCATGTCTACTACAATAGACGGACATCATAGCGCCCGCGCTTAGCCGGCGCGGAGGCAAACGTACGAACGACCTTGATCTCGCCTCCCTTCAGCGGCGGCTTCGACTCGCCCACGAGCAGGCCCTGGATGGTCTCGAGAGCACACATCTCCTCGCCGAGGCCCGTGATGCCGTCGAAGCCGCCCACGTACCACTTCTGGCCACACTTGGTGCCCGTCTCGCCCCCGGAGCAGGCCTTGGCGGCCGCCTGCGCCGAGGTGTGCCACAGCTCGTCGATGGTCGGCTGGATGGAGGGCACGAACAGGCTCGCGGCGTACACGAAGCGCGAGAAGTAGCCCTTGAAGCTGCGCATGTCGGTGTTGCAGGTGAAGACCTGCTCGCACGCGTGCTCGTACATGATGTTGGTGGCGTTGTCGAAGGGCGAGAAGAAGGAGCGCGAGGCCTGCAGCAGCTTCTCGGTGCGCTGCACCCACTTCTGGTCGCCCGTGACGTCGGCCATGACGGCCGCGCCGTAGATGTACACGGCCGCGCTGTACGAGAAGGTGACCGGGTTGATGTCCTTGCACTCCTTGCTGGAGCTGGCGCCGTCGTGCACGTTGAAGTCGCTGTCGATCAGGCCGACGCCCTCGGTCCAGTCCCACACCTTCTCGGCCCACTCCAGGTACGTGTTGTTGCCGGTGGCGCGCGCCAGCCGTGCCGAGATCTGGAAGAAGCCGCCGTTGCTGATCGTGTTCTTGTAGTCCAGCCCGTTCGGGTTCGAGGCGAAGATCTGCCACAGGAGACCGCCGCCGCACGCGGTCGTGTTCCACCGCGAAGCTAGCGAGTTCCACAGGTTCGAGCCCAGCTGCAGATAGGGTGGGACCTTCTCATCCGGGTGCGGGAAGTTCCTCTCGGCAGCCGCCATGACGGCAAATCCCCAGAAGGCCTGGTCGTCGTTTCCTTCTTGGCCATACTTGGACGGCAGCATGTAGTCGAACTCGGGTCCCACCTGCGCCAACAGCGCCGTGGCGATGGCCTTGTCGTAGCTCGTGTCACCCGTGTAGTGCGAGTAGTCCAGCATGGTGCCCATCAAGGCACCGGCCTGCCACCAGTAGTGTGGCGCAGGGAGATCTGCGAACTTCTCGGCGTTGCCCGGGTAGTACGACATGGCGTCAGCGGCGATGGTCTTGGCTACGCCCTTGATCGAAGCTGTGGTCATTGGTAAGCAAGGCTATATAGGTGCACAGTGGGGGCACTATCTCTTACCTGTATCACTAATGTTCAACTGCGTGGGAGCTATGGCAGAGATGGTGGCAGACCCCACCGCCAGGGGCTTGAGAGACTTGGTGAACTTCATGCTGGTCTGTGTTCCTATCAAGGAGCTTCAGAAGAGGAAATGCGTCTAGGTGCCGCCAGCGAGCAGAGAAACGAAGGGTAACGGGTTGTAGTATCAGCGGGTGAAGAGGACTTGAGTCTCGGGACTCTCAAGACAACGCTGGACTTGGCGAGAAGATATTCAAGGGAGTCCAACAGTGTGTTTGCTAACCAAAACAATGGCAATGAGACGGCAATGAATAGTAGTAAAGAAACAAATAGGCACGGTTGAAGGGAAAGCGGTCGTTGGTGGTCAACACATCAAACGAGGGACAATGGCGGACAATAGGGCACAATACTATTGGAAGGGCAAAGGCACAGCTGGAGGACGGCGCTGTTGGTTTGGAGGGTGCCCATCTTTGTTTTAAAGGAGGCGGCGCCCGCCTCGCAACGATCAGCTGCTTCCAACGCCTCTCATCTGCATCCTAGTTAGTTACTAGGCCCGAGAGGCCTAGGCAACCCATAGCGGCCAATCGGTGGTTTCCTGGTTCGCGGGGACAGCGTCCTCTGCGGGTAAGCTGCACCCTGGGACTTTTTAGGTGTTTCGTTTCTTTCCGGGTTCTTTGTGCAAGCACCCCGCCCATTTGATGAGCGGAGGGTTGCAATGGGAACCACAAAGTTCTGCCGGGACGAGAATCCCAGGTCGCCCAAGTTGTCCCAACGTTACCCGCCGATTAGACAGTGAGGGGTTCATCACTTCCAGACAAACAGTCGACGATCCAGAACCAATGCAACTGCCAGGGGACGGCGCTCGATCTGCCCGCGGGCCGATGTGCTAGGTTGAGAGGCGTTGGTTGTCAGGGGCTTGCAGTTCCTCGAATGGCGGGGAGCCAAGCCACGCGGTCTTGGCGGTCCGTTTTTAAAACCTGAAACCAGAGCTTAAAATCCGAACGACTGAGCGGCGAGGATCGGTTGATAACCGCGCGATTATGGCTGGCAGCCGTGTGCCGGCTGGCGAGCAGCTGTTGGCTGTTGGCTGTGGATGGCCAATGAGAAAGGTACCTGTATGCAAGCAGCATGTGTCATCCTCGGCTTGTGCGCTGTACTAGTACCTACATAAAATATATGAACACACGCTTGATGGACAGAGTAACGTTATATTCCGAGACATCCGTCTTCCAGCGACCGCAAGCGCAACAAAAAGGGGGTATTTCTTCAACGAAGGAAACAGCAAAACGGAAAATTGAATGTTGTACCGTAACCGTCAACCGGAAGCGCCCCCCCGTTACCCAACCCCAAACCCCGAAGCCCCCGCTCTTTAAGACTCGCTCGCCTATCGTCACGTCATCCAAATTGGAGAAACCCCAACATGACCGCCACCACCATCATAAACATAGAGCCCGCCATCCCCGCTCGTACCCTTCGCTGGCGGTGCGCTCCCGAAGTCGTCGGTTCCGGAATCGAGCCCGAAGAGGTCACGGTGGCCGCCACGGTGCCGTCAATGTCGGTCGTACCGGGCAGCGGCCCCGGCGTGGTCAGGGCCAGCACGCCCCACGTCACGTCGGCGGCGGCGAACGTCTTGGTCCAACTGGTCTGCGTCGGGCCCGTCAGGGTGCCGTCCCGGTAATTGGAGCCGAACGAGGATGAGCCCGTGCAGGTCGCCGCCGTTGTCCCGTCTAGCTCGCACCGGAGGTCCGCCGTTCTAAAAGGGGGAGGGGAAGGGGCTGTGGTCAGCGAACGGTCCATCTAGTGTAGGGTATTCTCTAGCTGCCCGGCCGGCGAGAGGGGGGATGGTTTTGGGTAAGGTAAGGTAGGTAGGTAACACGGACAGAGTCCCGGGATCAGAGCCCGTGTACACAAGCGTATGGGGTCCCTCGGTGAAGACGAAGGGCAGCTCGCCCGCGATCTGGCAGCTGGGCGCCTGCTCTGCGCAAAACACGGTGTATGCGGTCGCAGAGTTGTCCTGGGGGGCGGTTGTTAGGGGGCTCTAGCGTCTTCAACTGTCTGAAGTACTATATGTACCGACTTGGAGAGACAACTCACACTACTGAGGATACTTCCGCGGAGTGCCACCCAGTCCGAGTCGCTATATTCCGGCAAGAAGACCGACACGGTCAACTGGGCGAGGGCGCTGCTGGCCGCGGCGCAGAGCCAGGCGAGGAGAGCAGCCGGGCCCTGCGATCTCATCATGATGCGGTTACTGCTACACGGCCCTCTCGTGGCACAGCCATTGTTCAATGTTCACGAAGAGGAGAACGACGGGGAAAAATGGGTGTGCGGTGGGTGGGTGGTGGTTGTCGGTTTCGGTTGCGGTGGTCGTCAGTGCAAATCATCTCTTGGCGCCGCTTGGCAAGTTCTCGGCGCTGTGCCGTGGCCGAACGGCCGACGAGTTGCCAAGTCCAGCATACGGCCGCTTCCGCATTGCAGTGCCGTGGTGTTTACGGAGACGACACGGAGATGCCATCCGAGGAGTTTGAGAGGCGACGGGAGTGTGTGTGTAGGTTCCAACTCGGCAGTTCGAGGATTCACCAATTCAACGGTGCCGTGTGCTCAGGAGCGACGTTACGTTGCACGACTTAGTTGCTACCGACATACTGCCGAGGTTGTCAACAATGCCACTACGTAAGTTGCTGGCCTCATCCGAAGTGTTGAAGGGAAAAAGGTTGAAGAATAGCGAACAGTCTTTTGGGCGGTGAAATACAACAATGCCTGTTTGCCTGCTGCCTGCTTGCGGAAATTCGCCAACTCCTTCGGCTATCCGCTAGGAAAATAACTACTCCCAGGAATACTAGGAAAGCAGACGAGGCTGAATTCCGACCGGGATAGGTTCCTACGCTGAGTAGGCGAGCGAGGTCCACTGTGGCACAATGCCTCTCGACTTTATATGCAGGATTGGAGGAAGAAGAGATCAAGACAAGGCAGAGCTGTGGCTGATTCAGTCGCTTTGCATTTCTAAGGATTGTGGCTCATCCAGAGTGGTCTCCAGTCCACATTACATCAAAGGTTATCGGTCAGGAGACTCCGCCGTCTCGCGTCCCCCTGCAGGAAGCCGGAAGGTCGTCCGTCCGGATTGGCCGCGCAGCCTAGACCTCACCCGCAATTTCCGGAGACCATGCGATGTTGAAGTGGAGCGAAGGATCAAGTTTAGCTGTGCCTAGAACTCCTGGGGACAAGGCAAAACCAGATAAAATGTGACTGCTACCCGGGGATGTCTGGGGATGAAAAACCAGCGATCATTCCCATCTCTCCGACCGTCGCTCATTAAGGTTATACTCAACTTCCCGCCCTAATAGCCATAACAACCCGTCGATCGCTACTGTGGTTTTACCAGCTCATCTCAACGCCCGTCACCATGAAACACGCTGCTTCCATGCTCCTGGCTGCGGGCCTCGCGGCCGCGCAGACTACCACCGTCTCGATCCTGTTGCCGATGGCCGATGCGATGCCCCAGCAGATGGCCGGCTCCGTCATCTCGGCCGGTCCCACGGCCACGCAGTACTTCGTGAACTGCCCGTCGGACACCCCGTCGTACGAGTGCGGCCTTGGACCCGGGCTCACCGTCGTCTACGGACCGTCGACCTTGGGCTATACCATGGCCTACACCGCCGAAGAGAACCAGGTCTAGTCAGTCTCCCCCCCACCTTTCCCTTTTCCGAGCAACGTTGGATCCATGATGACTAACCGTTGATCTGCAAATTCAGCTCTGTGGAAGCGAACTGCAAGCTAGACCCGAGCAAGGACGTCGCCTCGTGCGTCGGGGAGATGGTGTCGGCCAAGGCGACCTCGCACGTGAGTGACGTCCTCACGGGGTACAAAAGCATGATCGTGCCCGTCGCCATCACCGCGGGCGCCGACAAGCTGGCGGGCGGCGCCGGCACTACCACCACCGTGGACAGCACCGCCACGGTCACGGCCACCGGCACCGATACCACGCTCTCTACGGCCACGAACACGGCCACCGTCACGAACAGCCAGGGCACCGAGACCACCAGCGCGACCACGAGCTCGAGCACCGGCGGCGTCCCGCGCATCACCCAGAACGCCGTTGTCCTGGGTGCCGCTGCTTTCGTGGGCGGTGCCATGCTCATGTAAGAGATAGGCAGAGGAGGTGTGATTTAAGCTTGAATACGAAGTATGTCGATAGAAAATACGTAATGATACCTACTCTGTGTCACTACAACGCGTCGCGAGCTTTGCCAGGACCATACGTGTGGAACGGATGGGATTAACAACCCTTCTTTTTGAGTTAATGAGGAGGGCAAACGTCAAGGGGTTCATTACCCGTGGTTTGGAACTCTCCCCTGATGACAGCCCCTCGACCTTACACGCCTTACCTACCTCTAGTTGGGCTGCACATCCTCCCTGCCGTCCTGCCAACTGGAGCAATTCACACATCGTTGAGCCTCCACCACGTCAGCACCAAGATTCCCTTATTAGTCGCAAGCGTTACCCACTTACCTTCTCATTGATCCTCTTCCGGCAATACCTGCATTTGACCGTGTGCTTGATGATCGGATCCTGCGAGACGCACTGGTACACAGCAGCCAAGCCGTACAGCGAGAAGCCGACGCCCATGAAATTGAGTAGCCGGTTCAGGAAGAAGCTGTGCTCGTGGTCAGCACACACACAACCTTAAATAACAGCACCCAAAGCCCTCTTCTTCGTCAAATGAATAATGTATATAGTTAGGTGGGAAAAAATGTTCTCTTACCCGTAAGCCATGACAACCGCGCCATCGTCCTGGGCCTGCTTGAGCGTGTTGTACGGCTGGTTCGGCCCCGCGCGCAGCACGGCGAACTTCTCCTCCAGGTTCTTGTTCAGCGGCAGCAGCACCGACAGCGGCGGCAGCAGGATGTCGCTGACGAAGGACGTGACCAGCGCCGTGAACATGGACGCCAGGATCAGCCCGAACGCGATCTCGAGCACGTTGCCCTGGAAAGCGAAGTCGATGAAGCCGTGCAGGATCCGGCGCGCGCGGCGCCGGCTCTCGGTGAGCAGCTGCTCGCGCTCTTCGTCCGAGTCGAGGATGGGCAGGCGTGGCATTTTCTCACTTCCGGGATATGTAAAGCTGTTGCTGTTGAAGCTGAAGCTGAAGCAGGTGGGTAGGGGCGGTGTGGGACGGCTTATTAGGCCGGGATGACCTGCGATTTGGACGGCAACCCAGAAATAAACGGCAGGATACTATCCGTATCCTTAATCCAAATTGAGGCGGTAATAAAGGAAGAACGTCGACAGCGGAGGAACTGATGTGTTGGCCCAATCTGGTCTGCCTGAGAAGGGCACAGGAACAGAAGCTTTCCCGAACGGGAATAGGGGCGCCTTTGACGTCACACTGCAGAGGCAGGGTGTATTTGTTTGGGCACAGCTAGCGCGACAACAATAGCCTGTCAACACACGCCAAGGCTCATGGACTCAACAGACATTTCACTGCATGAACTTCAGCAAGGAGATTTCATAGCCAGAGACAACAATGATCAGTCTACTCCATTCCCACTACAGTAAACTGCATTAACAGAACGAATGGCGGTCTACCCGGAAGCGAGCAGCGACGATGACCTGATCCAAGACACGGAACCGATGTATCCAATTCCAAGAGAACATCCAAACACCCAACGCCCACGCCCCAACCCATGCAAGGACTACTGATACACTTTAGATGTCGAGCGAAAGTGTCAATCGAAGGAGTGACGAAGATAAAAATAAAGGATAGTCGGAAAAGATCGAGTGATGCTTCGGAGTCTAGCAAGCGAGAGACGACGTCGCCTGAACCTGACCGGCCAGTACTGAAAGAGTGAGGAGATTTTCGTTCGGTAAGGCAGCCTCAGTGTCGAGACTGCCAGCCCTTATCGCAAACAAAAACGATGATGTGAAAACGAGTGTCAACCTCCCATAACACGGAAGGTCCTAGTGTAAAGCGAAGGGCATGTCATAACGGAAGATCATACGGTAAAGGGGTGTCGATGAGGGAACGAACGTCAGTCAGTCAGGCTCCGGCTCCGACTCCGCTTACACCAGCCTCCACCCCTTTCCTTTAATACCTCCCGCCTTGAGGCTGGCCGCCGTACATCTGCTCCTGTGCCGGCCCCGGCCCGCCATTGATCGGCTCCTGATAGAACCCATGGTCGTCCTGCATGGTGCTCACAGATTGATTCTTCTCTGCATACGCCGCCCCCTCCTCCGCATCCTCCTCCCACGGCCGGCGCAGCCAGAGGAAGACCAGCGTCGCCAGCGCAAAGGTCGAGAACACGAGCGACGCCCAGATGAGGAAGTACAGCCCCGCGCTGGTGCCGGCCGACATGCCGAACTTGTCGCCGTGCTCGTTGACCGCCTTCTTAACCTTCTCCGCCACGACCGTGATGCCGACGACGCCGATGAGCAAGAGGAACCAGCCGAGCCCCGTGAGCGCCAGCGCGCCCAGCACCGCCACCTTCTGCGCGCCGCGCATGGCGAACGTGGTGGCGAACACAACCAGCGAGAGCAGGAAGCCCGCAAGGGTGGCGAGCGTCGCCAGCAGGAAGAAGACGCCCATGGCGGCGAGCGCGCGCGGGATGAGGTCGAAGGCCTTCTGGATCGCCTCGACGAGGTCCAGGTCGCTGAGCTTGAACTTGAAGGGCCCGACCTGCAGCTCCTCGTCGAGCTTCTTGCTCAGGTCGGTCTTGTTCGCGCGGAACTTGGGCGAGCACTTGTCCACGTCCGGCTCGGCCTTGGGGTCGCTGAACAGCGGGTCGTAGTCGCCCTCGCAGAGCGCGCCGATGTGCAGCGAGTAGTACTCCCTGATCCCCAGCGCCTTGGCGATGCTGCCCGCGACCTTGTCGACCGCGTCGGCGGTCAGCTGCACCGCCTGGTTGGCCACCTCGGCGCCCTTGTTGCACGCGTCCTCGGCCGCGCCGCCGACCGTGTCGCCCGCGCTGTCGATCGCGTCGTCGACCTTGTCCTCCGCGCCGAACAGGCCGCCCACCTTGCCCAGGCCGTCGCCGATCTTGTCGGCCGCGTTGCTGATGCCGTTGCCGGCCTTGTTGCAGCCCCCCTTGGCCGCCTCGGCGACATCGGGCGCCTTGATGAGGTTCTTGCCGAGTGTGGACATGTTGAACTGGCAAAGGAGGGCCGGGGTGTTAGTAGGGCCTGAGCCTAGTAGTTATAAGAAAGAGTGTGTGAGAGAGTGGGGAGGCTCACGTGAATGATGCTGATCCCCTCGAGGTAGTCCGGCTTCATGCCCGAGGACAGGGCGATGGCCATGAACAGAAAGGCAAAGAAAGAGCAGGCGATGGGGGCGATCTTGAGGATCATGTCCACCCCGCCTCCACCACCATTGCTGAGTCCTCTCATCTTGTAGGATTGGAAGATATAAAGGAGTGACTAGTAGTGAACTCTTATCAGATCAAAGGGACCAGCCCCTGATTCTCTTGCAAAAAAGAGAGGCTGTGTTCAAGAAGGAAAGAAACCTCGGAGAGAAGGAAAGGAGTGTAGAAAAGGAGTGTCGGCCGCTTGGGGCTGGTTCGGAAGGAAAGACTAGGTAAGGAGTGTCAAGAGAGGCTATTCCTCACTGCATGTCCCGAGGGGATGGTGAAAGAAAGGTAGACCGGAGATGAGCATAGCTGATCTCCAGCCTATATATCCGACGAAGTGACAGCACTGCTGCACACTGGACCAAGCACCCGGAAGCAGGCAAGAGACGAAACAGAACGAGACCCCATCGCAGTTGGCCGCTGGGATGGCCGTCTCGAGTTAGGTTGGCTGGCGTTGGGCTCGGACGACCCGGTCAAGCATCGACGGTGAGAACTCAACTTGTAGAAGAGCCGGCCCCGCCATCACAAGAAGCAAGCAAGGAGTAAGAGCAAGCGAGTTTGGCCCTCCGTCTTGCCATGGGTCTGATGTGTCACAGGGATGCAGCAATACCGGGCAAAGGGGAGGGTCAACCCACGGCCAGCAAGCTGCGGGCAGATGTCCAAAGGCAAGGCTTTGGAAGCATTGCTATTTTTCGGGGGCAGGATATGCACCGGCCGACCTCACTATGGGGGAAACGGTCCCGTCGTTTTATGGCCAGTGCTTCCCAGACATGCGCCGTTGCGGGCCCGCTGGCTTGGGGCCCGGGTGCGACGCGGGTCAGCCGAGTGCACAAGTTCCGATGAGGGGAGTAGTACCCCAGCCTCCGCGGACTGCAGTGTTTTGTGTTCATGCGGGGTTGGGCGACCCGTTTCCGACCGCAACATCCAAACCCGTGGTAAAGTGTTGGCGAGTTTCGGAATCCGGTCCCGCGACCGGGCCTTGGCCCGGATGCCCCGGTTCGAGGCCCCACTTTTCCCGGATCGCTGACCGGTGCCGGCTCGAGAAACAATGAACTGAACGTTTCACTGGGCAAAGCAATGGGACAACCTGGAAACTCCTTCAGTCCCTGGCCCCCCAAACGTCCAAAAAAAAACAACCTAACGAATAACTTCATCCTGAAAGAGCAATTATCCAATGCTGCATGATGACCTTGACCCAAGCAGAACCAACATGGCAATCAACATATCAACACAAGAAAGGCTCGGCAAACGTGACAGCATGGTATCAGATCAAAACAATGGGCTCATTATAAAACTCCAACTATAAATACACTTCCCTCCATCTATAGCGTCTTATAGCTTCGACTCCCGCGCGAGGTACGAGTTGCCCTGCTTGAGGCACGCGGTCGCGTCGTCGATGAACTCGTCCACAATCTGCTTCGCCGGCTTCTTGTCGTTGCAGACCGCGGCGCACTGGCCCATGAGGAAAGGGCGGAACTGGTCGAGCAGGTCCTCGACGTCGACATCGTCACCGGCGCTCTCCTTCAAGCCCTTGAGGGCGGGCGTCTGCTCGGCCTCGCCCGACATGACCTTATCCAGGTCGGCCTCGTAGGGAAGCTTGCCCTGGGAGGTGAGCTCCTTGATCTCCTGCTGGCGCTCCTCCTCCCAGTTCATGATGTACGGATTCTTGCGCACGCGCAGCGGGCGGCCCGTGAAGATGAGCGTGCGGACGGTGTCGTCGAAGCTCGCGGTGCGCACGGCCTCCTTGTGCGACTCGGGCGCGCCGGCCTCCTCGGAGAGGACGAAGCGGGTGCCTACCCAGACGGCGCTGGCGCCCATCATCAGCGCAGCCGCCAGCAGCTGGCCGTTGTGGATACCGCCTGCGGCAATCACCTGCACCGGCCTGCCGGTGAGCGGCGACTTGTGGCCCTTGACGGCCTGCACGACGGCGGGGATCAGGACGGTGGTCGCGATGTCGCCCGTGTGGCCGCCACCCTCGCCTCCCTGGGCGCAGATGATGTCGACGCCGAGGTCCAGGCACTTCTTGACGTGCTTGGGGTGGCCGATCATGTTCATGTAGATGATGCCGTTCTTGTGCAGCTTCTCGACGACGTGCCTGGGGGGAACGCCGACGGCCGAGACGAAGAGCTTGGCGCCCGACTCTATGATGATGTCGATGAGCTGGTCAAGCTTGCCCTTGGTGTAGTCGTAGCTGTGAAGCGCAGATGGTCAGCCTGGGTCGTCGTGGCCGTGGCGCGATGTTTGGACCTACTTGGTTTTCCGCGCATTGCCGCCGACCTGGGGCAACAGCAGGTCGACACCAAAAGGCGCCTTCTTATCATGCAGATGCGACTTGAGCTCGTCGATTTGATCCTTCAGCATCTCGGGAGTGTAGTTGATGCCGCCCAGCACACCCAGACCACCGGCATTTGTGACCGCCGCGGCCAGCTTGGGACCGGCGGCAACGTTCATGCCGGCGAGGAGGATGGGGTGGTTGATCTTAAAAAGATCAGTGATCTCGGTGCGGATTTTCTCTGTGGGTGCGACAGGTTAGCCATGCATGCCGTGCCGTCACATGTCGCGCATAGTCAACAGCGCGCACATGGCGTCCCCAGGAGCAGCATCACTGGTTGCGAAAGGGAACTTACGAGGAGAAGCCATGGCGTCGACTGATTTGCAAACACAGTGGTATCAAAAGCGAAGCAAAACCCAAAGTCACAAGCAGATGCGCTGTTCTAGGAGAAATTGGACGGAAGGAGGCGTGGTGGCGTCGCAAATACGGTCTGGGGAATCAGCCATCTTGAACCCGGGCTTGCCAGGACAATGGGCCTTGTGCCGAGGTTGCCCGCCGCTTCACGCTAGCCTGTTTTGGGAAAGGTCCGCCCGGAGGAAAGTGCGGAGGAGACCCGCTCGTGACCCGGTGCCGAGGCACGGCGAGGTCGGCTCGGTTCATTTACTCGACGAAGCCGATCAATAACGTTGCCGGTAAGTGTTGCGGTCGAGATGTCTGGTCCTCGTTCGAGTAGGACGCAAGGTTGTGGATCGATGATTTGGGGAGGAGCGGCCAGTTCCAGTTCTCTCACATTGTAACCTCAACCCCACATTGAACCAAACCTGTGATACGCCTTTGTATTGCAGCAGCAGCATTATCCGCAGCAAGGTAGTGAACCCCTTTTCAGCTGAGCGACAACACCATTGAGATGGAACTACTTGCGGCGGATTCACCATCAGCATCGACTTTGACGGTAGCCGGGTCAAACGGAAAAGGTCAACCGTGGGCATGCACAAGGCTGAGGATTCAGTCAAGCGCACGGCCTGCGCATTCAACTCGAGGCAACCCTAACCCTCTTTCTGATGGACTGTGGATCCAGCCCTACGCTCACAACACCGGATTCTGCGCTCAATGACCTCAAGATGAGTTGAAAATGAAGCGTCTCTCACTCACCTTGTTCGGGCCACTGAATCAGCCACAAATACCGCCGTCGCGTGTGCGGCATGTATGTCGCTGCGGCCAGACGCTGCGCGTAAGCAGGATCGACAGCGGCAGGCGGTTATTTTCAAGACGTGCGGCCGACTCGCTCCCCTTCAAGAGATACACGCTGCCGCAGAAGTACAAGCCCGGCACAAGCATTATTGACTTGCCAGCAAAGATGAGTGGCGCCCCCCAAGAAGCGCCGCGCAAGCGGACCGCGTACATCGCTCTGGGCAGCAACATGGGCGACCGCATCGGCTGGATCGAGAAGGCGTGCAAGGAGATGGACGCGCGGGGGATTAGGGTGAAGCGGACGAGCAGCCTGTGGGAGACGGAGCCCATGTACGTGCTAGACCAGGATAGATTTGTCAATGGTGCCTGCGAGGTTCGTCAGCCCCTGTGCCTTCTCTGCGTCCCGCCTGTGAGCCTTGTCCCGAGACTAAGGCGTAGCTTCAGGTTGAAACGACCCTGGAGCCTCTCGAGTTGCTCGATGCGCTTCAGGACATCGAAACGTCATTGGGTCGCAAGAAGCTCATCGACAAGGGGCCTCGCAACATCGATCTGGACATTCTCCTCTACGAGAACCTCCAATTCGACCATGAGCGCCTCAAGATCCCTCACATCAGCATCCCCGAGCGGGAATTTGTCCTCCGTCCCCTAGCCGAGTAAACGCTCCCCCCCCACCTTCCCCTCCCCCCTATCTAAGCCCTTACCCCATAGGAACAAGACCATGAACCTAACTCACTTCCGCCGCCTAGACTCATCCCGGACAAACCCATCGACCCATCGCGCCCTTGGCGTCTCACAGCCGACTACCTCTCCGCCGTCCCGCCGTCCAAAACCGCGGCGCTCACCACCATGACCCCGCTCTCGCCGCACCACCCGCCCATCCAGGCGCTCAACCCGTCGCGCAAGACGCACGTGATGGCCATCCTCAACATGACGCCGGACTCCTTCTCCGACGGCGGCGCCAACAACCCGCTGGACCATTCCGCCCTCCACCAGACCATCACCACGCTCCTCGACGCCGGCGCGACCATGATCGACGTAGGCGGGCAGTCCACCGCCCCCGGCGCGCCCGAGGTACCGCTCGAAGAGGAACTGGCACGCGTGGTGCCCGCGATCCGGCTCATCCGCTCGTCCCCCGCCCTGGCCTCGCGCCCCGTGCTGATCAGCGTCGACACGTACCGCGCCGCCGTGGCCGAGGCGGCCGTGGGCGCGGGCGCCGACATCGTCAACGACGTCTCGGGCGGCTCCATGGACCCGGCCATGCTGCCGACCGTCGCGCGCCTCGGCGCCACCGTCTGCCTGATGCACATGCGCGGCACGCCCGCCACCATGAACGCCCTGGCCGAGTACCCGGCCAGCGAGGGCGGGCTGGTCGCGGGCATCGCGCGGGAGCTGGTGGCGCGCGTGCGGGCGGCCGAGGAGGCGGGCGTGCGGCGCTGGCGCATCGTGCTGGATCCCGGGTTGGGGTTCGCCAAGGTCGGGCGGCAGAACGTCGACGTGCTGCGCCATCTGGACGAGCTGAGGAGCTGGCCTGGCCTGCAAGGGTTGCCGTGGCTGGTTGGGTCGAGCAGGAAGAGCTTTATCGGCAGGGTGACCGGGGTGCCGACGCCCAAGGAGAGGATCTGGGGCACGGCCGCGACGGTGGCGGCTGCGGTGCAGGGGGGTGCCGATGTGGTGAGGGTGCATGATGTGAGGGAGATGGCTCAGGTGGTGGCCATGGCCGATGCGATCTGGAGATATTAGTTCGTGAATCCGGGGTCTGGGCGGGATATTCAACATATGGTGTATTTGCTGTGCTCGTTTGAACTGTATTGTACATTTTCAGGGTCGGCAAGTAGGGATGGGGATAAGGGGCGAAGTGCTGTTTGACTAGGGACGGGGCGGTAACGGACAGATTCCACAGTAGGACCTCTTGGGGAATTATCGAGCACTTGAATGGTGGGTGGTGAATCTCAAGCACCGCTGGTACCTGCGCTATACCCGGTCTGGACTTCGGAAGCCGATTTTGATGGGCCTTCATCCCATACGCTCTTGGGCTCGGTGATTCTAGCACTACCCATCCTGATCCCGGGGATCTTTTCCGTTAATATAGCAAGGAGAGATGCATCGAAACACAGTCTCTGCACATGCATACATACATGTTCAGACTCGAACCCCTCGCGCGGCTCGTGCAAACCCACTGGCCGTTGTCCACTGTCCACGGTCACTGTCACCGTCACTTGTCCTTCGTGGCTCAATGTGTCATGACCCTAAGTTGTTGGACGCCCCATATGTCGTATCCTCCAAGTCTCGTAGCGCCGTAACCGACCTCGGCCAGGCCCACGAGATCTAGTTTTGTGCCGATGCCATCCTCTCGATGTGTCAATGGGTGACCCTTAGATGCCGTCCCTGATCACAAGGCCGAGTGAATAGAGTAATGGTTGCATTGTGCGCGAGCCCGAGAGTAGAAAACAACATTCCGCCGGTTGGGTAAGAATATATCTTTCTGCGGTATGACAACTTGGATGTCTCCAACAGTAAGACAAGGTTGACTATTGCGTTCTATCCATCGTCTCGCTCTTCCGTTCTTAGGTAATCAAGCATGCTATCCATTCTTCGTTCCTCCATTCTTCGTTCCTCCGTCCCGAACCAAGCACGGATCGGCGCGCTATAACTCGTCCGGCCGCTTGTCCGTCTCGACAGTGATAAACCGACCCTCCCCCTTCCTCTGAGCCCTAACATGCCTCTCCACCCTTCTCGCGTAGTCCACAATCTCCCAATACCGCGCCGTCTCCGCCGGTTGGACGTCCTCCTCTGGCAGCCGGTACCCAGGATGCAACACCAGCGTGGTGATCTTCCCCCAAGCGCCCGCCCAGTCCACCATGTCGCCGCCGTCGGTCTTGGCGCACAGCGCCGGAAACCACGCGCCACAGCCCGAGATGTCGAGGTATTCCAACCCGTACAGGCGCCTGCTGAGCTGCCGCAGCACCACGATGGCCTCGGCCCAGTCGTCGTCCAGCGAGTAGCTGTACACGGTGGTCCCGCCCCACGCCAGGCGAGCGCCAGTCTGCGGCGAAGTTATCGTCGTCAGCTTGGCGTTGGGCGTGAGGCAGGGCTCCGGCCAGAAACCCAGGCTGAGGTGCGTCAGCCCCGGGAGGTGTGTCGCGAAGGCGAGCAGCTGTCGCCAGGAGACCTTCTGCGAGGATGCTGGGTCCAAGGCGAGCGAGAGATGGGTCAGGCTGGGGAGCAGTGGGCGTGGGATATCAACGGCCTGCGGTTCTGGCGCGTCCCAGGATTCCTGCGGGTCGATAATGGATTCCGGCTGCGGTGGGAAGAGCAGGTCGGATAACTCCCGCAGCTTCAGGGACCGGCCGAGGGACCAGGACAGGTCGAGGAAGTGGATGCTCTCGTTCCAAACGCTCGGGACGAGCGCCGGGTCGTCCTGATACTCCGGCACGTCCGGTGGTGGGAGCAGGACAGCCTTGAGATCCCCAAGCGATACGCCCTCGCCGCTGTACTTGGCGAGGTAGGCAATCAGGGCAACGCGCAGATGGGCCGGCAGTTCATACAGATGGTACCGGCAATACTCCTTCTGCCACTCCCATGAGCGAGCGAACTGGCGGAGCACGATGTCGACAAGGCTCCTGCGTGCAGGCAGGCTAACTCCCGGCATGGAGCGTTGCTCACGGTCCTTTCCCGCGTCGGCTTCAAGTCTCCAGCGATGAACGGAATTAGCCTCCGCCCGTTCCGACGCAGACAGCCAGCTGCTCGGTGGGGCCGGTCCTGCCGGAAGCCTGGCGCCGGCAGCGCCCACCCGGAGAGGCCGCCGTGGGCGAGGCGGCGGCGTCTCGGGGATCTGGAGGATCTGCCGGATGGACGGCGGGACTGTCGGCTGAACTACATCTGGAGTTCGCTGCCCGCTGCCGCTCAGGCCGATGCGGCGGAGGTCGGAAAGCAGCTCGTTGACTCCCCGGCCTTGAGAGGTGCCATCTGCAATCCTCCGGTCAGCAAAGAAGTGGGAGGCAAAGGCTGCCATCTCTCTGTCAAGCCCGCTCGGCGGAAAAAGCACGCCACGGATGCATTTGCATCTGGGTCGTGTTCAGACTTCAAACACGACAGCTGGAACGGCTGGGCGCACGAGGCAACGGGTCGGTGCTGCGAACCCCCCGCGGTGACGTACCATGATGGATGCTGCTTCTGCTCGCAGCCGTGCTGCGGAGCAACGCTGGTGCGGTGGACGGTGGCTTGTTGTACTGGCATGAACGCCTCTTCTTCGGCATCACCCTGGCGTGGAGGTGTCCAAGGCGGGTATAGAGGCAGCACGCAGTTCGGGCGTGCACGGGAAAGTTAGGATCAAGTCAGGGTGTATAGCTCAACGAGAACGATGCTAGTATGCGCTTCCTCGTTGGCTCGCCGAGGGAGGTTTTGGTGGGCAACTATGTACCACCAGGGATTCGCGACCGGGCAGTCCATATCATGCCATGAGGATGACGGAAGATGCAGATGGCAGGGGCCTAGGCTAGGGTGGATCTCTTCCAGAAACTGTTGGTCTGTGCACCCCACTCATTTGATTCATGAAGTCTCCACCCCTTGCACAACTTCAACCCGTCGCCGCCGAGACGAGCGCCTGCCTCAGACCGACCCTCGTTTGATGAGTTGAATACCTTACTTAGGACTAGGCAGTGTAGTTTATAGGGATGTACAGGTACGTGTATATACGTGCTTTGAATCATGGCACATGCGGGCGGTGATGGCGTGTCGGTAACAACTTAACAACAACCCGAAGCTCTCAGGTGCACGGAAGAGACAGACAACGGAGAGTGGGGCCCATCTCGTCCGATCTTTCAAGCTCTCTCTAGACCTCACCAAGTGTCCTCTTGCTGTCGGAACTCTTCAGTGCTTAGCAGACGAGTACGTGAGGAGCCCCGTGTCTGCATCGGAACAAACAAAGACGTTTCCACGCCAAGGGCATTGCTTGCGTCAAAGTAAGGTAGAGACGGCTCGCCGAGCCCATGACCTTTTACCGCTTGAGAATGGCCCAGATTGAGCGGCGGCTGCAGTACCCATGCATGGATCGGATTGGGATTGGGATCGGGATCTCTCTCCTCCACACATTGGCAACGCCATCTGATACATACCCAGTGTATGCTACGGTGCTCCACCTTAGGTAGGTAGGTACTACTAGTAGTCAGGTGCCAACATGCGCGAGCGCGGCAACATCCAATGCCCATCGATGCTCGCCTGATTGAGAACACGAAGGCCATCTGAGCTATTCTTGGCCTTTCGCCGGAGGAGGCTTTCGCTAGGCGGAATCCATCCGCTTTGCGAATCGGATACCTTCTCTCGGATCAAGGGGTCGCCCCTGCTGCCTGCTCGGTGCCGAACGTCTTGGCCCGCTTGCAATCTTCGACCTTCCGGCGTGTTTGCCTGGGGCTCTGGGGCATTGCGGTTGTCTCGACAGCGCGGAGTCCTGTGATGTCGGTAGAGCCTTCTCTGTATTCCCACCCCCCCACAACGTCAGGACTGACGCATTTGGGCCGTCTAGGCTCTGCGAAACCTTGTGGCCATGTTTCCGCAGATCGAAACAGTTGTGTACACGGTGGCTTGAGGGAGACATGAAGCAGTCTGCTGCATCTTGTCCAACTCAAGCCACGCGGCAGTGGGAGTGGCACCGGACACTTAGATGACTGCAAAAAAAAAAGCAAAAGAAAAACAAAAAAAAAGCTCAGCCCCAGAACCGTTGAGGTCCGGCAACCGCCCTGTTCTTGCTGGCGACGGGGAAGGCCTCCGGGCAATGACAAAAGCCTTCGTGCCAGCGGACGCCCGCAGTCCAACCGGCGACATAGCAGCATCGGAAGCCGGTCTCCAGCGCCTGTGTGACCAAACATGGGGCGGGTGTGGCGAGAGAGGCCGGCTAGCTTCCAGTTGGCTTGTCTGGTCATCCGGCCGAGATCTCGTGCACAGTGCTGTGCGTTTCGGCTTGTAGGACAGACATGCAATGCCCAATAGCTTAGTTATTGCCACTGGCTCCCCCGTCCGTACAGCAATTTCCTGGCCACTCCCGATCTTGACCGGTCATCTATACAGTGTTTCGAGAACCGCCGAGCGGTCAGGCGAGAGATTCTGGATGTGGCATCGCGAGCCTTCCGCTTGCCGCGGGTCACACATGAGACGCACAGCGGTGTCGTGGACCAGTTGCCGGCGTGCGCTGGAGGATTCTGTGACCAGAGGAAACGCGGCTTGTGGCAGGAGTTCGACCGAGAAGAAGCCTGACAGACCCTCTAACTGGAAGGGATTAGCTAGCGAATCCGGCAGGTCATGTCGAACAACGCTCTAGATTAGGCCGCGGGGGATGCCGTTGAGCAACATGAATCATGCCATGCCTACCTGAAGGGGACTCTCCGGTCAGGAAGCCTTTGCCCGATGAGCGAGGCCATTGTCGGACTGACTGTCGGCAAAGGTGCAACTGTGGTGTTCTGCGGTGGCTGCTCCCAACGGCCCGGTTCTTGTGCGAATGCTCGTCATTCTCTTCCTGGCACCACGGCAGTAACGCATAGGGGCCGCACCCTAGTACACACGTTGAGTTGCGCCGAGCTGCCCCGTTAGCTTGTGTTGCCGGATGCCGGTGCAACATCAAGCTTTTCTCGTTCGGAAGGGGCTGTAGGTAATACTAGTAGTGTCTTCCTTCGGATAGAGAGAGAGGCCCATGGCAGTTTGTTGACTCTCGACCTGCAGGCCAGGGATCTCGTGTTAACTTGGTTCTGGCGTGCGTGTTTTGATGGAGGGCCCCGCTTGGGAATTCCAATGAATTCTGCAGGCTCTTCATGGCGTGTTGCTTGTTGTAACGTCCGTTACACCAAGAATTGATTGGCCACCCTCTCATTTACGGAACCGAACCGAAGTTTGCCAGCTGGGCTAGGTGTTGGTAGAGACACTTTTGGCTCGGCGGGATAAGCCCGTTGTCCTCAAGTGTAGTGTAGTGTGTTGACAATCGCGATTCCGGCTTCCGCGGGCCCCTGAGATGCTGTCAGGCCCCGAAACGAGTTTACCTAGGTAGGGAGCATGCGTGTCAAGGCTTTGGTTCCAGTTGTCAGGGTTGAAACGGGGGTAACTTGGAGGCACTGCCGACCGAGTTTGCCAGAAGGCAGCCCTACCCGACCAGAGAAGTACAGAGCAGATCGGTGCACATTTTGACATTTAGCATTTAACAATGGTATCCGCATCCTCATAGTGTGGAGGGCCATTCACGGATTTACTGCCGTGGGAGAGTCTCGAAAAAAGAAGACCCGGTCCTGCTGCTGTTGGCTCCTGACTATTCTATGCCGGCGGACCGTGGAGGGCGGTGTCCGCCAGACCACGGCAGGTCTACAGAGACTGGGTCAGCGATCTACTACATGACTGCTCAGGTTTGATGGGGCCCCGACATGCACTGCTCCAGAATTAGCAGCTCATAAGCAACAACACGGACTTACGTTCGGATGCGCCGAAGGCTTCAATCGAGATGGCTGGGAGCTGGACTTTTGGGAGAAGGCTCTGAAAGGATACCACGCCGTCAGGAATCGTGGCCAGCATAAGCAACAGACTCTCACCCCCTGTCCAGCGTTCCGTTCCATAGCCGGCCAGGACTGGCGTGTGCGGCTACTGGTTAACGTTGAGTCGTTGATCCGTCTCACGGCATGACAGCGTCGATCTGTATCTGCCGCATCGGATAAGTACCTTCTCGTACCATTCTGTCTCAGGACCCTCTCGAGTGCGTCATAAGCCGTTGCTACTGGCCTGCCTGCCCGCTGTCTGTCTGGATTAGGGAGGTCGCGCGGCCACACCAGCGACGCCGGCAGCAAAAAAGGCCCGTGGAGAGCAAGGGTACCCTATCCTCTACAAGAAGGCGGCACTCAACCTTGGATCAGGGACCATCATCTCACGGAGAAGAAGCTCGTCGGGCAGCAAAGATTACGCCGAAGGCGCACCTTCGCAGCCCATCGGATGACGAGTTGGCAAAGCCACGGCGCCGCGGCATGAGCTACGCTTGGAAGGTGCGCCGCCGTGGCGCGGTAGGCCTATGTAATAGGAGATGTTCAACTGAGACTGGGCCAAAGACTGGAGAATAGAGCTGCAAATACCCCAGTCTGGCCGACATATGCGCTTTTTTATGCCTGACAAAGGCCGGTGAACAATGCTGCAGCTCTATCTGGCGACAGCCTTGACGAGATGGTGTGCTCACTGCCTTTCGTATGTACGAGTGCCATGGCAGAAGGCAGGGCCTTCCGGGCGCCGACGCAGCATCACACATCGACGAGGCTTGCCAAGGCATCCGGCCAGAGCCACTCCGGGGATTTCAGCGGCAACGTCGGAATCCTAGACGGCCCTTGATGATAGACGGGCACGTAGAAGGAGGCCTGGCGAGCAGGCCCGGCTGCAGAGGCTCGAGACGGCTTTTGGACTGTCTCCTCACACCCTCAGGGGGTCGCCTGAGGCGCACCCCACCAATCGTTTCCCCGCAACCGCCGATGGGACTTGGTTGTTCTGACTGTTACGTGGTAACCGGTGAGCTCAATAAACGGCAGGTATCTGTATAAGGCCGCCCCAGCGTCAAATACCCCCGCTGGACGGGACTGATGTCTAGCGTTGCGTCGCTCGGGACATTGCGATTCGGCAATGCGTACCTGAGCTTGCCTCCCACCTTGTGAAGTGCTGAACTTGCATCAAGATATCCGTAGTCGGCTGTCTCGAGAAGTGAAAGCAAGCCAAAAGTCACGCGCTTGACATCCTAGGGTATGAAGCGGATATAGCACGACAAGGCAGCGCACATATTGAGGGCCTGAGGCCGGTGCAGCACTGCAGCCTAGCCCAAGCTAGTCGAGCGGTTGGACGAACTGTAGTTAACTGAATCGGATCGGGCTTAATCTCTCGTTTTCCCGTGGCTTGTCGTGTAGTATTCCGTTCTTGATTGCATTTGCTTCGTGACGGAGGACCTTTCTGCTCTTGGTCCGAGTCCAGTGCAGAGCCATAATGGGAAGGCTGTTGTGGGTGCGCTCGCTGGTTGAGTGGAGCTTCGTCGTTAAATGTGGGAGTGGGGGGCCGCTCCTACCCTGGCAATTGCAGAGAGAGAATCCATGTCCATCTCATGCTAGCTCCACTCTTCCCGTCCATTGCAAGGGCCTCTGCGCGGAAGGAACTTGGCGTGCAATTCTCCACCTCCATTCCTAGCCTCTTCGTCCACAACAGGGCAGTTTGTATCCAGCCCAACATTCGATCATTGTGGGAGTGCTAGCATGGATAAGGTATCCTGAGGAACTGCACCTCGGGACCGGCAGACTACGGATCAGGCCACTGCGTGCTACTAGGTGGAAGCCGGCTTGTCGATCCGCTCCTCACTTTGCCAGTTCACCGAGTAAAGACTCGCGCGCAAATCCCACCACGCAGAAGGAGATCTCATCCGAGACCTGCCTAGGCCCAGATGCGGTCCGTAGTTTTCCGTGGCTTGACCCCCAGGCTTCGATTTTGCGCTATGCCTTATTTTGCTTCTTCACGATCGGGAGACGTCCGATGCGCTGCCGGCTAAAGGCCGCGGCCGCCGACGCGCATCATAGTTCACGCAAGCAACGCATGCGGTGACACCCCCCCCGTGTACAGACTGACAGGTGGTTGAAGGGTGAAACAACGCTGGTCTACCCCAGACAGCTTCATGGTTCGTCCACCGACGTAGTTCAAGGGGGCCTTATTTCGGCGAAAAGCCGAGGATGTTAGGGGGCGAGATGAGGTGTTACCTGGTACAAGATCTGGGGACGGCAGCAAGATGTGGCAAAGGATGGGGGGGAAAGATGTGCAGGATACGCCGTGAGGCGCCCGCTGTGTTGCAGTCGATTCGAGCGACCATCGCAACGGTCCAGCACCAAATCGGTCAACGGCTTGCATGCTGGCGGACCGACAGCCAGCACGACAGACAGTGCGTGATATTACCTAGCACCTACCTGCTGCAGAAACAGATCGTTGGGACAGCATCGCGGAGCAGCCTGGACCCCGAACCGCCGTGCTCGTCTCTTACGTGCGCCCGCCATCGCCGGACGGACGACTGGTGGAAGCACCCACAGCAACGGCCCGATCCGACCTCGCCGTCCGGCCAACGAGGACATTGTTTTGACTTGAGTTGCCCTGCCCTGAATCCGGCGCTTGATCATCGGGTCCGAACGACGCGAATGGGTCTGGAGCCAAAGGGATCGCTGCTCCACAGCACAGCGTTCACCGAGTACGCTTGCGTCTCCAGATCGACCTCGTAACAACAATGAGCAGCGGAAAAGGGTGAAGATTCTGCCAGCCCACGGTGCCGACCCGGAAAGCCGAGCCCCGAGAGTTTCGCCAGCTTTGCTCATCCCCTGACTACGCCTCTGGTCGTGAGCCAATCATCGGTAGATACTTCCCACCGAAGTCACTGAACGTAACGGCCGAAAGAACACTGGATCTGAAACAATGAGCCCAGTACCCTCCACGCGCCACCGAGAAGCTTCGCGGTGTCCGTGTTAGCATTAGATTGGCGGGTGGGTATACACATCGATTCGAAGCAAACGGGAACCTGCACAAGCGATCTTTCCGGATTGCCCGTTCATAGTATGTTCTAGGCTAGCGTTTCAATGCTGGCAGCTCACATCCGCATGCATGAGGCAACACCAGGACTTCCACGCCTTCCTTCTTCGAGAAGGCAAGGGCGGCGGGATATTTTTGGTCCTCGCCGAAACTCCTCCCTTCTCCGGACGATGACGATGCTCGGATAAGGGGCGGATCATTAGGTGCTCTTCGTCTACGCCAGGCGGACAACTCGATCTGTACGTTTCGTCAAGGCCCCAGCACTGTTGTCGAGCAAGGCCCGCTCGACAGCACCCCGAAACCGCGATGCCCATCGGGGACTCCCGCCAAGCTGCCAGAGCAGCTTAGTCTGTCCCGCTACCGAGAGGGGATATTGTAGTATGAGCAAACTGCAGATGGTGAACCAGGGACCATGCTCGAGAATGGTTAGCCCATCGAAGCCTTTTTCACGTGTTCGGGTGAAGGACCCGCTTCCTCGAGTGTGACAACTGCCGGGTGGCTTTGTCTCTGCTTCCGCTGCATGGCTTAGTCGGCCGTTGCCGAATACGTCAGGCTCTATAGGGCCGAAAAGCTGAGGAGCTCCGCAAGGGACGTTCAGCTCCATGCTCCCCTGGAATCGTTGTGACTACGGACACCCATCGACTCGGCTTGCTCCGTCTCCTGAAAGCCTGACCGGTCCGCGCTATGATAGGTTGCGCCGCGGTGACATAATGACCCAATCGTCTATTGTCTGCTTACTCCAGTCCACACCGCGCTTTGCCCACAAGCCGGGATGATCATCTGCGCAGCAAGACATCACGCTCGTCGGTGCTTGAAGGCACCAGAAAAAACACTTCTATTCCAGGTTTGATCAGACATCGCCGAAACCTGTCATGGTGCTGCAGCTACCCGATGGTGGGGCCGTTCTTCGTGGTTAGGAGAGATTCTTCTGCAATCAGAACGGATGTTTGTGGCCTGCTTCTGCTTCAAGGGGCTTAACGGCAGGGTGATTGCATACTTGACGCATGGAAAACGAGGACGAAGAAACTAGCCGAGGTCTTGACTACAACCAAGGTTGTGCTTCGTCTTCCACCACTGACTATCCAAGAGGCCAGTTTTAGGTTTACCCCCTGAGAAACAACCTGAGCCGGGAATCCGTGCTGGATCAGGCAGAGGCAGGCCAGACCGCAGTGATACTCAGTATGCTTGTCGTGGAGGAGTAGAGCTGCGGTAAGCTTGTGTCGTCCTGTCGAGAGGATTAGGACAAGTCCAAGTGTAAGGAAGAGGTATCTTTGGCGAGTGTCCGAGCTTTGTTTGGCCGAGGCACCGACCCAGATGGCCGCCCGGATCGATAGACCTGCAACGGCGGCGGCTCCTTGCTTGGGCTGCTCAGTGCGGTCCTTTGCCCGAGATTGAACTGGCCGAGGGGGACTTGATCGTCCACAAACTTACATGGGCCCGCCTCCGGGTCGGCCGGTACCTACCTAGGCTATGACGGGGATGGATAGAGAGACGCAATCTAACCCCCAGATCGGCTCTTGCCCGGACTGAGTATATCAAGGCTCTGGCCTGGAGCTCTTCCCTGTAGAGACTAGGGGTAATCCAGCTCTGCCCGCCACACCGGCCGCTCTTCTCTAGCTGTTGTCTCAAAAGTCTGCACAACCTCACCTGCTAGCTAAGGGCGGGCTTAAGAAGGCCCAGGAACCCCATATCCAGCTCTCCCGTTTCTTTTACTGGTGCTCTGGGATTCTGTTCGCGATATCACCTCCTTCCCAGGCGCCGGATAGGTGAGGGTCAAGGTACAACCCCCCACCTCTCTGTACCACGGCTCTCTGCCTGGTAGTCATCGGCGAGCATTCTTATTTCGCCGTCACTCCCGTGCGATCCTGCGCACGCCACTACGCCAAAAACCTTCACCACGCCATCATCGATAGAAGTGTCATCTGAGATCCCGCATCAGTCGTGGAGAGCACGAAAACAAAGCCTCTTCACCGGACCAAAGCACGCGGCTACCCACGAAAAGAAGACCAATCGAAGTCCATCCCCGGCATCCCCCCAAGCAGAAGACCGGCACTACCCCCCGGGCAGCTTGACTCATCGTCAGAATCGGGACGGGACGTCCTCGAGGTAAGCGCAAATTTCTGACTCTACTCTCTCTGCGTGTGCATGGCGGCCCTCTTCCGTATGGAACACCTCGGCAAGGCGACCGGACAGCAGCAGGCCTCATGCCCAGGCGGCGGCGGATCCAATACTGCGGATGTCGGCTTAGTGCGGCAATGACGGCGCGTCGAACAAATCAAAAACCACCCCCGATGCCTCGATAGCCTTCATCTCACCCCATGCATACTAGCGCGACTCAGCGCGCAACAGGGACCTGCCTGCCAGGCGAGGCGCGGAAAGCGGCAAGATTATCGCTTCGGAATCGGGAGACACTGGACTATTCGACATCATCTGGCGTGGAGCGCATTGCTTCCTATAACTGCGGCTCTGGTTGATCTCCGGAAGACCTCCTCCAAAATACTATATGCCGATAGTTATGGCAACCTCGGCCGGAGAGGTATCATAGCTCTGATGCAAGCGATGGGGCCCCCGCTCATACGCAAGCGTCCTCGAGGCCGCTGCTGTTCTTGAAGCCTAAAGCATACGCAAGGCCGTCTAGACCGGTGTTTGGGTCAGCTTCGCTGACTGAAGAATCGGATTCGCCAGAAACCAGACCCGGCATCGAGGTGCATCGTGTTGTTAATCGTCCCCTTGGCGTGACCGGGGTCTTTTACAGGCAAGTCAGCCAATCCCATCACTGAAACACTCGGCCGCGGGTATGCACTCTCGGGCAGTTTGGGAAGGAGGAGGCAGACGGGGCTCCCCGAGCCCTGCCAGGCCCCCTTGCCAGTGCCCGCCGCAGTGCTTTGCTCTCTTCAGCCGTTTTTCAGCGCCCCCGGCACCGTCCCTCTGAACCCGACTGGCATACATGCGTTACGCTGGTATATGGCGGGCAGATCGGATCACTATGGCCACGATTTACAGATCAGCACCAAGCGCTAACCATGGCCTCGAGCTCTCTCTTATTACAGGCACAGCAGCGAAACGTCTGTACTGTACGGAATACAGTTGCTGGCACCCGGCAGCGGCATCTCGCTCCCGGCCGGAGCAGAGTAACGGCGTATGAACCAACAACTTCCCAAGGTACTGCTCCGTTTCCTTCCTCCCACCCCTTCCCCCCTCTTGGGCTGCGTCATTAGTGCGATTTCATCGAGAGTCCCGGTGACAACGGCCGCGGCCCTGAACGTCGCCCGGGATAGGGGGCTGTTCCTGTTCGCAACCAAACACGTATAAATGGTCGCCTTCCGCCAACGCAGAGCTGGAACGAAGAGACGATAACAAACGGAAACGTTGAGCCTCCTGCATAGGCGCTCACAGCTCAAGGTCAGTAAACAGCCACAGTTATGCCACCTGCAAACTTTATCCTGTCATCTTTGCTGGGACGGCCTTCTGCCTGTCGGCGGCCCGAACAAGGCTGCGGACGCTGAGCATAGTTGTGCCGTTTGAGAGCCTCTTTTATTTTCACTCTTTTTGTTTTTCGGTTTTTCTTTGAAAATCATCAACTCAATCACTCGGTTGCCCCGCTCTTTTGTGGCCCTCGGGCCAGGGCCGAGAGCCTGCAGCAGCATGCAGTTGCGAGCAGGCCACGGTCTGACGGACAGGGGGTGCTGCTGATTGCCGCTCGCTCTTGGGTAATCGTCTTGTCTCGATAGGATCTGGCTCTGGATGGCCCGACTCGGCCGTCAATGCCATTGTGTCTTTGGGACATGGTGAATTGTTCGGCCGGCGGGCTGTCACTGTCAGATTTCGAAAGACAAAAAGGGGGGTGCCGGCGGCAGACCAGAAGGAAACACACATCTTCGATGTCGAAGAGACCAGCGTAACCTGACGTCGCATCCCGACTCCCAAAGCGCGTCTGCAGAACCCTGCTGCTGTTGCTCTGGACGCTTGCTTGCTTCTGGCCCGCACCCTCACTAACTATCTCACTTCGCGGTGTACTCCAAGTGGCAAGTACCCCTGCAGGTGCATCGGTACCTCGTTGTAACTCCCTAGGTACTGGATGTACTTACATACGGAGGTAGCGGCAGCCTGTCGAGGCACTGTCGCCCGTACAGACCCAGTATCAAGACGCAGGGCAGACCAGAGAGAGGCAGCTAAAAGAGCATCAGCATCAGTGAGCAGAGATGCAGCATTTTTATTTCCCACGCCTCGCCTCGCTGCCTTCCGTCAACTTCTCCGGCTTCCGTCCCATTCTTTCACTACTGATCACTCCTCTTCATCATTCTCGCCCCCACCTGCTTCCTCCTCGCACTTTTTCTTTCCCTCCCACGTCTCAGCTGCTCACTTGACCCCTCTGCCAGCGCTGGCAGGCGGTCGGCCGGTCTGCAGCCGCCTTGCTAAATTGCGCCACAGGTTTCAATCTCAGCACCTGCTCGCCGGTCTCCTTCGATACGCAACTGGTAGATAGATATGTCGCCAGCCTGCTGAGCTCAGTATTACGCGCTTAAGAAGAGCTCCCCCTCGCTGCAGCAAAAAAAGAAATACCTGGTGGCCCCTCGCTACCACTTGTCACGAGATTTGCTAAACTCCTGAACGCGCTGCATAACCCCGTTGACGGCAAGGAACGGAGAGGAGCCGGGAACGAGAAGATGGCATCATCGGTCTAACAGGTGCGTTTTAACAGCAGGACTTCGTCGAGCCCTCGCCGCCCTCTGGCCCGGGGCTGGACTACCTCGATATACCGGCCCCGACTGACATGTGGTACGTCGAACCTCCCCTGGTTTTCTCCCATTGGTCTCTTTGTTGTGCACGGTACCATGACAACTCGTCAACTTCATCCGCACTTATACCCTCATTTACCACCTACTACTTAAGCTATGCCCGCCTCAAGGGCCTTCCCGCTCTCCCCCCCTCCCTTTTTCGGGGTGCACCATCTTTCTCTTCGAGATTGCGAGATCTGTGTGCAAGTGCAATCATCATCATCATAAGCCCCAACTTGACGCGCCCCCGGAACCGCAGCTCTTCTGTTTCCGTTCCGGTTTCCCCAGCCGTTTTGCCATAACATCTCCCGCGAGGTATTGGCCTCTCCTTTTTTTATTTTTTTTTTTTGTTTTCTCTTGGTGCGTCAACATCTACTGCTGCTGCTGCTTTCATCATCTTCTTCTTACGCGCCGGTCGTAGCGGCGAGTGAGACATGGGTGTGCGCCCCGGCGTGGTACGTGTTACCTGGGATCGATCGCCTCTGAGCCTTGTTTCCCGCGCCGTTGCCGCATGCGCCGTGCTCGCTCTTCCGATTGCTGGCCCCCTCCCCCCCTCCCCCCTGCAAAACACTTGTGCACCGGTATTACGGGGCCCCCGTCGTACCGCCAGCACTCGGCGTAGCACAAGGTCCAGCGCGGGAGCACAACGTTCTGGGAGCCCCAGGCGTGATAGAAATGATACACACACCCACCCCCCGTCCTCTTCCCTTTTTCTTGTCACCCCGCCTTCCACCCCCCCGTTCCGTGCATACTAGCGCTGACCCGGATATGCTTGCTGCAGCTTTACTCAAGGCTCCACTACCTCCCTGTCGACGATAGAGACACCAGCGCAGCCGTCGTCCTATTTAAGCCTGATCCCACCGGTCCCTCAGCCGCCCGTCACGCCGTACTCCCCTGACGGCGGCCACTTTTATACCCCCGCTCCCCCCGTCTTCTCCGGTCTCGACGTCAGGCCTCGACTGGGCTCCAAGTAGGTAGCACACTCTAGCACACTTACACCTTGCACATACCTCACACCTCGCACCTCGCGTCGTTATGACATCGCTGTGCCATGGCGCACCCGTATCCCTCAGCCGCTTACAGCGATCATCACAGTAGCACGGCTGGCAGCCAGGGCATGGCCCACGCCCATCGGTCCACGACACTGCCGCACCCGGGACCGCAGCACCTGAGCGTACGAGACCTCTACTCATCGGCGACGCCCGCCTTCCGGAGGCCGGACCACCACATCCCGCGGTCTCCTCCGTTCTCCAGCATCCGCCGCCACAACCCCCTCTCACCCACCAGCAACCCAGCCGGGACCGGGTACGGATCACTCAAGATGGACACAGGCTACCCCGGGTCCAACAAGACCCAGCAGAGCATCCCGCCCCTCCTCGCCATGACCTCGCTCGGGCGGCTCTCGTACGGCGACGCGTCGGCCACGCCCATCAAGGTGGAGATCAGCGGCGTGATCGACAAGGGGTTCTTCATCGCCGAGAGCGAATGGACCTGCTACCGCCGCAACTACTTCTCGTGCGTCTGCTCCTTCTCGCTCGCGCCCATGCTGCACAACACGCCCATCCACTTCCTCCCGACCGGGTCGACACAGGCGTACAACGTGTACGGGTTCGCCATGTGCATCTCGGCCGTCGTGTCGGACAACGACAACCACACCATCGACCTGGTGCAGCACACGCCCAAGCGCGACAAGGGGCCGATCGCCAAGCCCGAGAAGGTGCGCCTCTCGCCCAAACCGCCACATGCCAGCCACCACCCGCTGAGCAACCTCTACGCGGGGCCGGACGGCAACAGCCTCGGCTCGTCGAGGTACGAGCAGCAGCAGCAGCAGCAGCAGGGCTTTGGGCAGCCCACCACCCAGCAGGGCTCCGCCCCGACCGAGCACACCTTCGAGCGCATCCAGTTCAAGCAGGCCACGGCCAACAACGGGAAGCGGAGGGCGGCCCAGCAGTACTACCACCTGATCGTCGAGCTGTGGGCCGAGGTCGGCCAGCAGGCCGCGGGCGGCTCGGACCCGTGGGTCAAGGTTGCGTACCGGAAGTCGGCCAAGATGATTGTGCGCGGCCGCTCCCCTGGACATTACCAGTCCGAGAGGAGAGGGAGCTCGAGCAGCGGGCCCGGCGGCTCCGGCGGCGGAAGCATCGGCGGCGGCGGCGGCGGTTACTCGTCCGGGGTGCTAGGGCCGAACGATTACGCGGGGAGTTCATCCATGCTCGGAGGAGGAGGAGGAGCTGGTGGTAGCTACGGGCAGCACTACGACGTACGTCACAGCGGCTATGGCAGCGGCGGCGGCAGCACCCGGCACCACCACGAGCTGGCGTTGGAGCCCATGATCTCGGCCGAGGAAGTCAAGGCCATCACCGACCCCAAGGCCTACCAGTACTACCCGACAACCATCTACGAGGGCGAGCAGCAAGACACACGGCACCATCATCATCACCATCACCACCAACACAACCAACACCAACACCAGCAGCAGCAGCAGCAGCAGCAACAGCAACAGCAACAACAACAAGTCGAGCTGTTTTCCCACCACGGACGCCACGACGTGTCGGAGAGCGGCGGCACGACCAACTCGATGAGCACGGCCTTCGACCCGACCAAGGGGGTCAAGTCTGAGATGGAGAACAACGGGCTCCCGAGCCTGTTCTACCACTCCGGGCCGTACTACTCGCAGCGGTGCGGGAGGTTTGAGGGGAAGACGACCTCGACGGGGCAGTACCCGACCCTCCTGCAACCGCCCTCCACGACGACGATGAGCATGACGTGACGAGGGGGGCACACGATCTTTGAAACCGACCGAACGAGAAGAAAATAAAAAAAAGAAAAAAAAAGCGAACACCCAAAGGATGGCGCTGCCCCAGTTCCTGTTCGCTACTACTACATCTATACCACAGCATGTTTTCCCCATTATCATTATTGACGATGTCTTACAAGTTGCGATGCATTTCATGGCTGGGCCTGGGTAGTATCGATGTGGAGAAGGCGAGAGAGAGAGAGAAGAGAAAAGGTGATGCAGAAACATGGAAGAGTCTTTTGCCTTTGGGGGTGTTTTCTTCCTTGTCTTAGTTTTTTACGTTTTAGGGGTGCACAATAACAACAACAACAACAACAACAACAACAACAACAACTCTATGTACCTCTAGACGGAGGTTTTTGCTTTGAAGGGAACGGCCGGCGCAAAACAAACGAAGTTCAACGGGAACTTATGGGGATCCGGATATCACCAACACCACACAATATGGATGGGCACTTGGGGGGGCGGGGGCCGGGGGGCAACTACTACTACTAGGATGCCGACGAAACGACTTAATTCCGAGGACGATGGGATTGGGACGGGGTCCCGGGTTTTTTGATTTTCCTTTTCGGGTACCCTTCTCCTTTCTTGCGCTAACGGCACGGGCAGATTCTCGAGGGGTATGGGTTATGGTTATGGGTTATGGTTTATGGTTATGGTTACTACCTGTGGAGAATGGAGAAACTTTGAACCACGTCACAAGAGCGGGGGAAAGGGAGGGGAGGACTAAAAAGCAGACAGGGAGACAACTTCTTATTTTGTTTACTCTTTTATTGTTTCTTTTTTTTTCTTTCTCCTCTCGCTTCATCTGCTTCTCTAGGAATTCTAAAAAGGGCTCAACCTCAAGGTGGAACAACGGGAAGGGAAAGGGGTCACGCGCAACGAAGCATGGCATTTGCAAGGATACCCGGCGCATTTATTGTTTGTTTGCCTTTTGCGCACATTTATTTCTATTTCTACACTGGCTCGCATCTTTTTTTTCTTCTCTCTCCCCCTCTGTCGCTTCTTCTACGCTTCCCTGTAGCGGTGTCTTTCTCCCTCTTTTTTTCGACTATTTTCCTCTTACTGGACTGGATCTTGCCTACGACGACGACATTTGTCCGCCCGCCCTCTCTCGGCCCTCGATGCGGAAGGTGGGGGGATTGAAAGAAAGAATTCCGTCAACTCCTTGTCACCGGGGGTCTTGCAGAGGCAGACAGACAGACAGACAGACACGGAAACGAGGTCGTCTGGGAAGAGAAGGGGGGGAGGGGAAGGGGGGTTGGATTGCACCCAACTTGAAAGGAACTGCTCTGGTGCCGGCAGCAGGTCAATGGTCAATCCGAGCCCGACCAGCTGCTAAGGTACCTACCTATCTTGTCTCCCCCTCCCTTCTCCTTCTACTCCCCCCCCCCCCTGCTCTGGGTTTGCTTTTATTTTTGTACGAATTCTGCGTAGATTGAGATTCTTAGGAACGGTTCTTTAACCAGCAGTTATTTGACTTGGCCTTTTTTTCACTGGCATCCCTCGGACTCTGCCCACTGCCCGCCCACTAGTAGCAGTACCTCCCCGGGGTGTGAATGTGTCCATGTTTACTGTGTAAGTGTGTTTTGAGAATGTAAACACGCTTGATTGGCGGCCAGAAAAAAAAAAGGAACTGCGGCAAGGCGCCTAAGTTGAAGTTGTAAGTTACACTGAACTGAAGGACCCGAAGTCTGTGAAGGATTTCCGAACCAAATGCAGCAAAAACCCACACACCCCTCGTGGCCGGGCAACTTTTGGCCCCTCTCTCTCTCTCTCTCTCTCTCTTCGGATTGCTAAGGTATGCAAAGTTCTGGCGGGAGACGAGAAGGAGAAAGAAAAGATGCGGGTGGAGGGGGGGGCGCGGGCCTGCCAGAAGTCAAGTTACCGAAATCTGATCCGGTTTGGAGTCGAGGGCGGGTTGATGCCTAGTAGTCAGATTGCATGTTCCTTTCTGGGAAGGCTACAGTGTTATTGTTCCTTCACCGGTCGATGCCAGTCGGTTATTATGGTGGTGTGGATTCGGTGGAAGTTCCCGTCTTTGTTAGCGCTTTGTACCACAATGTAGCCGCAGCCCTACAGATACTGGGTTCGTGAGGTACTAATGAACTGACACTGACACCGAAGGTTACAAGCTAGATACGCTTACGCTTATGCTGAGACTCGACCACTCCCTCCGCCTGCCATGCTTCGGGACTTTTCAACTCGCCGCAGTCACAACGACAGCAGCGATTGCGCTGTACACGCGAAGAATTGGTTGCTCTACGACTCTGCTCGCCGGGTCACAGCAAAGCAGAATCAATCACACAGTACTGCTTGAAGGCATCTACGAGCGAGCAACGACGCGCGTCACAAGGTACCGCGCAGGTTCGCCGGACTACAACAGCTTGGCGTAGAAATGGGGGGTAAGCTGCAGCAGCGCAATATATTTGCCGGCCAACCGCAACGACCGGAGAAGCTCGATAAGCTTGCCCGACAAGACCAAATCCGGTGGGCAAAGACCCCTGAACACCTGTCAGCCATTCTGCCACACCTAACCATCCACCAACCCTTTCCATCAAGGTTTTGGCCCCTCCCCAAGATGACGGCCACGACCAAAGCCAAAAGTGTCGCAGCGATATGATCTGCCTGGCATAACGTGGTGCCCCGGCTGTGTCACACCGCTAATCTGCCCATCTGCCGAACGCTGCCGGCTTCTTCCCCCGTCGACCCCCTTCCCCCCAAATTCACCTCGAATGGAGGCTTACAGCGTATGACTTGCATCGAACCAGCCCCTGGCTGACGGGAAGGCAGTACTGCCCACCACGCAGCGAGCGCGGTCCTGATTGATGAAAGCCGCGCTGCCCTTTTTCAAATATTCGTAATCGTAAAGCGGAAACCCCAGGGAAGCCTAGGCTAGGTACCTAGGATCGACCAGGCCAGAAAAGAACTTCGCAGATGGAGGAAGCTTAGTATAGGGGCACAGCTGGCAGCGAACCGGACTTGCTAGGTTTCCCTCAAGGCAAACAAAGGCAAAGACTCTTTTCTCTGGAACGGATGATCCGGGTCGGTCAGACCGGATCGCGGAGGCGGCGCCACGCTAGTGATCGGGCTGCCGCCTTGGCTGACACTGCGAATGGATGTGTGATTGTGAATGGGTTAGTTGAATAAAGGACTATGTATGCAGCGAGGGGTACCTTATGTAGTGTGTATGGCCGCCTCGTTGCTCTGGTCGGTCACTGCCGCTTCGACCCGGTGCCGAGGACCGTTCTCCATGCTGGCGCGGATCCTCCCCTAGGTAGCCAAGGCCAGTCCCGGGAGGGCGGTAGATTTGGGCCGGGTGTCCCCGCAAGGACGCGCGACACAACAGCGATCAAAATCCGGGCGATATTTGCTGGCTGGTGCGTGAGTGAGCCTCGGGAGTAACAACTCTTCGAACCTTCCTAGGTACCTAGGCTTCCTCTTTAGCCCAATTCACCTACCACACACCTGCCCGTCTGAAACGCATCGACGCTAGGCAGCAGAGGCGAGTGATGAAAATGCGAAAGGTCATACAATCCCAAGGTCCGACCCGGTCCCGATTCCGAGCTCCAGCTCTCCGCCCCCCCCCCCCCCCCCCCCCCCGGGTACCGATACTGCACATCAGCTGTCTCATCAGCTCGGACTCGGGCAGGCACTGCGGCATCTCCACCGCCTCTAATAATTAACGTCAGTGCGCATCGCGGAGAGAGAGAGAGTCGGCCCCCGTTAGGTAGAAGCCAAGTTTGGCCTGGCCTGTTGTCCAAATAAGGTTTCGGGACTAAAACGGGCTAACGACACAGCTGATCAACGCCATGATCCTTGCTCGCATTCATTCCCCCCCGTCCCTCCCCCAGCTGAGAACCGGCCCCCGTTAGTAAAACCAATGACCCCAACTTTGTTTCCTGTCTCTCACTCGCCAAGACACACCGGTCCTAGCCTGTTGGTTGCACAACCTGAAGCCTTCCCGTATCCGAAGCTTTTTCGTGCGCTAGTCATGCATTTTTCGATCTCGAAACGTTGACGGCGGAATCCGGCCGGTGAGACTGGGGGTCTCGAACCGCAGAAAAAAAAAGGCTCAGATTTCCAGAACCGGGGTCCTGCTGGCCTGCGCAAATTGACGCACTACGTACATACCGTACCGAATTGGGCCGGGACAGCGTGTATCCCTTCGTTTTAGGTGGTCAGCATAGCTTATCACTCCTTTTCCTCTTTGTCTCCGACTCTGACAACCCAATTGTTGCTTCCATGCTGCGGCGACGCCGGCGAGTCAGTCCTCGACGGGAAAGATGGGATCAGCAAGCTCACTCACTCACTCACTCACTCACTTCGAGTCTCTCGACAGGCTGCTGCAAAGACAATTCTAGAAGAACAACGAATAGCCTAGGTAGGCTCTCACGGACCTGACTGAACGGCTGTAACCACACCCACTCACTAGGTGACGTCGTGTGAGAGTAACCAGCAACGTTTCTGCTTTGTCCAACCGCCGAGCAACAACGGCCTCGGCGCCCGTCTGCCGACTTGTGTTGCCATAATAGCGATCTCCGTGTAATTGCCTTCATTCATTCGCTTTTCTGCTGCTACCCGTAGAGCGAATGCCGGATGCAGAGGCCTTTCGGGGGGACAACGGTACCGTTCCGGCGCGCCCCTTGAGTGACACCTATGCCTCCATTTCGTCGTCTCTTCCTTGTTGTTCGTTGTCGCGCTCGCTGGAGACCTGTTTGGTTTCGTTCCTCTCAGGTTCGGCTCCTGTCGTACACCCGCTCCGCGCACTCTACATACAGTCTGTGAAAGTGCCTACATGCAGACATCCAATGGTATCGCCACCCATTGTCGGATCAGTGATTGATGCCCCCGTTCCACAGAGTTAACTTAGATACGGGCGATGCACATGCCTTCACACAGTGATCCATGAATGCAATAGTTAAGGGGATCGGCTCGACGACGTATGTACATACATGCATACTGGTACCTAGCTTAACGGGGGGAGGCATTGTGTCTGTATAGCTAGGCTCGAGCTAGGTCGGCAATAACTCGGGTTATTAAGCCCTCCCTGTCCCTTCCACACTGACTAGGTCGGTTTTCGGGCACAGGCAAATCAATTGAGTGAGGCAAAAGGCCGTGATTTCATCTCACCGCGTTTCTCGTTGAAGACCAGCGCCGCCTGTTGGACGAGGGGCGATCTCTCCCTGCATCAGGCCCTCGCAGGGGGTGGGATTGGTAAGTAGGCGAGTGTGTAAGACCCAATCCGGTAATTCGCTTTTTGGATTGAAAAATAACGTTAGCAAGTGTCCACTATCCACATATTGGAGTCGAGGATTGTCGATCACGAAACGGCTCTCGTGACCGACCGAGCCATGGAACGAGGGGAACTTTGGGAGGGAAGGAAAGCTGACGCTTCTTTTTTTGCGCGCTACGATACCTACCTACGCGGCAATTGTATTTCTTTCAGCCCTACCAGCGGTGGTGCGTAACAGTCACTGGCTTGGGCTCATCGATTGGTCGATCATGGTCAGTTTTGCGGCTGAAGGATGCCAGTCAGGGTGGTATTGATAGTATTGGGGGTGAGAGGAGGCGGAGACCCCAGATTGGGGCGTTTTCCGGAACCGGGGGCCCTGAATGCGACGTCGACCGGAGGGTAACCGTCATCACAGTCAAGTATCCAATATCCCCATAGCACTCGTACTTCACCCTCTTGCTTTTTAAGGAAGCTCTGGGAGATGTGCTCGATTCCAATCAGGCCCGCAATGACACTGTAGCGTCGGAGATCGTCTCGAAGGACACCTCACCGTTCCCGGAGGGGCGTATGGACGGCTTCTCAGCGCCAGGTGACCCATTGCCGCAGCTCGTACCGATAGATACGGCACATTATATGCCGGTCTACGGCTGGGTGAATAGAGCCTATTTTTTCAGGGGAGGTGTTCTCTTGAGAAGAGTCCGAAAAAGACTTACATTCCGAAGCCAAGGGAATTGACATAGTGGTAACAAGGTGCTTATGCCGAGCAGTCGTCCCGTCGGTTGCTGGTCGTATCTCGGTTCGACCGATATGTTCAGCTGTAGCGCCGCGATGTAGCCTCTCTGCTCATGAATCGGCGAGATGCTTGCCCCCGATGCTTACCTCGTAAACCAAAGAAGAATAAGTTTGCTATCTTGGAAGATGCCGAGAGCATCCCAGAGGCTCGTGTACGTAGGAAGTCCTCATCGTACATATACAAGAAGGAAGTGGACGGCTGCTTCTGGCGCGCATCCCGGCTCGAGCGATGTTGTGATGTTTCCAATTGTTATTACATTGGCACCCGAACCCGGAACAAATCCCCGCTTGGAGCGAATTCCTAGCTCGCAGTTGCCAATGTCGCAGTCCAGTTCAGCTCCAGGAGCTGGACGTCGCCCCTCTCCCTTGACGAAGCGGGTTATTCCACGGGGGTCGGATGGGGAGAATTAGAGCATGGCGGTCTCTCTCGTGCCAGCGCCATCAGGCTCGCACCAGATCCAAAAAGCAGCTGAGCCAGGTTGTGTGCTGCCGGGCCTTGGTTTCGCCGTAACATAGCGACGGGGCTGATTCGGAAGCTGAGGCTTCAATTCTTGACCCAGATGGTCTTCCCTTTTTCTGTGGCGGTCGGGCGCGTCACGGACAATACAGGCGGCATATTTTGTGCATTCATCGCTGCGCGCATGAATCTAGATTCAGTGTCATGGCAAAAGTCAAGTGTAGAGGTATGTGGGACGCGACTCACGCCTTGTGAGTGGCCGGTGGAGCAATTGCTAGATGGCCGGGTGAGAGGCTACGGCACAATGGAATTCTGCTCGTTGGGGCAGGAGTCGTATGAATCATGTAGGTTGTCTATGCATCCGGGTCCCAGTATCTAACCTGAGTAACAAGGGTGATGGAAGCTTCCCGATTTTCAAAGCGGTATGGGCGGTTGACTACCTAACCTGCGACTTGGGTTTAAATGTGGGATATGTTGGATGGCGGGTGCGCGGTGGAGGGCACACGGAGATATTCTTGGTGGCGACAGGGCAGGAACCTCCTCGGGGCTTCAATGCTGTTTGCAAGCGTGGAACGGAGATAGGCGATGACCACGGGCGTGAAGCAGGGCATCGTGGAGGAAACGCGGGGCGGGCAAGATGGTGGCCACCATGGCCTCCCACACGTGCGGTGATCACATGAATGCCCTGACAGAGGCCTTACTCCTCTGCCCTACATATAGCAGATCTCACAACTTGATTTCCGACCGACCTCAGAAGTGCTCATGGCGCGTAGGGCAGTTGGCACCTGAGGCAGACTGGCTTCCCACACAGCCATCTCCCGATGTGCTCTGCACATTGGTAGGTCGCTGGTTTGAGTCAGGCCTGGAGCGATAAAAAAAATGGGAAGTTGAGGGTACGGCGCCCAGTCTCCTTCCTGCGTTGCTGGGCCTGAGGTTCTTGCACGGAGGAGGGAGCAACACACACTCCTCCGGAGGCGTCAGTAAAAGCCCGGCTTTTCGTAGCTGTCTCCGTCTCTTCCGGACGCGGAAGAAGGCTAGGCAGTGAGCTTTTGCAGTTTTGGTCCCCTGATACCAGACAGCCCTAACATCATACCCGCATCCAGCTTGCTTTGGGAGTCGGACTGAATTGAAGATTGCACACGCACTAACTGCCATTGTCAGTCGAGCCTCTGACAAAAAGAGCCAGGGAAGACGCAGCGACATATAACTCATGATCGTCTGATGACTAAAATCATGATCCCGCCCTCCCGCTCTCCTTGGAGTCCATTCCCAACTTCCCAAGACATAGACACCACAATTAGTTGATGACATCGCGCACACACACCCGACCAAGTTACCTTAATCCCCCTCACATCCATCCATCGCATCTGCCCAGCTGAAGTCCAAACAGTCTTGTCATTACCGAACACACACGCTTGCCCTGATTGATACCTACAGCATTAACCAGCCACCTGCCCGCCACCCTTGCCCAGCGCCAGGTTTCTTTCCCTTGATAAATCAATCCTCCCGGCCTCTAATTCCCGAGATAAGCCCTGATAGCCCCCTGCAGCCTCCCCGCGCCCTCGCCAAGCAGATGCGTCAGATTCTCCAGGTCGTCGGCCGCCGTGATCCCGAACCGTCGCACAAAGTCCTTGGCGGCGCTCTCCAGGTCGCCGTAGTCGTCCACGGAAGCGCCTTCCTCCGTCTCGGGCCGGCCAAAGTAGGCGTTGCTGGAGATGGCCTGGGCGCCCTCGAACCCCTGCAAGCGGTTCTTGGCCTCGGCCGTGGCGGCCGGGTCGAACCTGCCCTTGCCGAAGAACTCCTCCGACGAGATGGCCTTTTGGTTGCCGAACTTCTTGCGGGCGTAGTTTTCGCCCTCGTCTGTTTCAGCTGTTAGTAGTGATCCTGAGTGATGATGATGCCGCGTGGGAAAAAAAGAGAACTTGCCCTCTGTGGATGATGCCTTGATCGGCCCAACGGAGCCGAACCCGCCGGCGCTCTTCTGCGCTGCCGCCGGCTTGCCCACCTGCCCAAAGCCCAGCCGGCCGATGCCCATGCCGAGACGCTCCATCTCGGCCGCGGACTTCTCCCGGGAGTGCGAGGAGCCGTACCCTCCGCGGGCGGGGCTGACAGGGGTAGGGGAGATGATGGCGGCGCTGGAATCGGACTTGCCGGCGGCGGGCTTTGCTGCGGACGCTTCTTCCTCGGCATTCGGGTCATACCCGAGCTTTTCGATGCGCTCGGCCTCCTCCTTTGCCTTCTTCTCGGCCTCGTCAAAGTCGATGATGGCCGCGTCGGCGCCGAGCTTCTTGGCGCCCAGCTTCGAAGTCGCCTTCTTAGCGCCCAGGATGTTCGCCTTGCGAGGGCCAGTCGTGTTTGATCGTAGCGCGGCCGAGGTCGTAATGCGGCTGGGCTTCGACTCGCCCTCGCTGTTGTTCGCCAACGGTGAGGGCGAGCGCCCCGTGTCCTTCCCGTTCTGAGCATTGAGGAATGGAGACGGCGTGCGCCCGACGACAGGCGGCGTGGCGGTCCGCGAGATCGGTGGGCTTAGCTTCTTGACGGCCGGCTTACTCCACGACGAGAAGAAATCATCGTCTTCCTCGGCAGGGGTTTCTCCACCCTCGGCGCCCTCCCCGCCATCGTTGATGACCACCTCCTCGGGGTATCTGAGGGGCGTGTTAGCGCGCGTGAAGTGCATGTCCTACAGAATGGCACGCATACTCTTTGGCATCCCTGGCGGCACGCTTCTTAAGCTCTTCTTTGTACTTTGTCGCCGCGGCCGACGTGTACTTTGTCTTGGGATCCTTGCTGTTCAGCGCGGCGGAGCCGCCATTGGACTGGAAGAACTTGGTGGCCGACTCATTGCCGCCGACCTTCATAATCCGCAGCTGGTCCCATTGCCATTCTGTAGCGGGTCAGCTTGCGCTCCAAGTCCACCTGCGCAGATAGTGCGGGGACGTACGATCGAGGTTGGTCGAACGGACGAAGGAGATGTGGACGCCGAGGTTGCGGTGGTTTGCAGAACAGTCGAGACACAGGTAAATGCCAAAGGGTACCGAGGTCCACGTCGGGTTCTTCTGGCCGCAATCAAAGCAGATCTGTCGCCAGTCAGTCCCTGGGTATCATCAAGAAGTTCGCGCCCCTTCGTATTTGTCGCTTGCCTTGTTCGCCGGCTTCGCTTTCAGCTTCTCAAAGATCTTGAGTGACTCCTGCTTGGACGCCAGGCCACTCATCTTGAACAACGTTGTCCGTTCTGCTGGCCGCGCTTGGAGGTATGTCGTGGTCGCGGGGAGGCAATTCCAGGAGCAGCCGTGAATGTGATCGTGAACTCGACCGTTTCAGGAGAAGGTGCCACATTTTCGATGCCCAGGAATCCATCCCTGTGGCATCCAATGCGCCGCTATGCCTGATATGTCCTAGATCGGCTGCCCCACGCCGACGTGCCCCACCTGAGAAATTGCCGGCCGGCGGCCGGCACGACAAAGCATCAAGATCGAGCTCCAGCTCGCTGGTGATGCATCCTCGCACCGTACACATACAGCCCACTCGACAACGCCGGCCTAGCAAGCCGCCAGCGATGGGCGCCACCGAGCCTCCATGATGAATCGAGTCACGGTCCCCGGGCTACGGATCCGTCCCGCCGCCTGGCATTCCTGCACTATCGCACAGCCGCCGCTGTTGCAGCTCGTCGCTCCCCGTTTCGCACGCTACCCCAGCCGGCATTATGCGACACAGCACCAACAGTCCTCCACCCCCGAGTCCCGCCGCCACGCCGTAACCCCCTTCAACGATGACGGCCGCGTCCCCTGGACCGAGCTCTCCGCGGGCGAGAAGACGGCCCGAGCCGCGCAGCAGACGTTCAACTTCGGCATGGTGATCCTGGGCGTGCTGCTGACGGTATGTTCACCACCCGTGTGACGTGCCACTGTATCAAGCTGCATACTGATACGTGGGACAACTCAGGGCGGCGTCGGTTACGTACTGTATTCAGAGGTCTTCTCCCCCGACAGCAAGACGACCTACTTCAACCGGGCCGTGGACCGTATCCGCGCGGACCCGCGGTGTCTGGGGCTGCTGGGTGACGGGAAGAAGATTACCGCATATGGCGAAGAGACGTATAATAAGTGGCGGAGGGCGCGGCCGATTGCGTATGTCTCTCTTTCGCTAAGGTCATGAAGTCGGATATGGGTGCTAAGACGGACTCCAGCTCTACGGTTACCAAGGACGGGCAAGGGAACGAACATCTGATGATCCAGTTCAACGTGAGCGCCGAAAATCCAGGGTGATGACGGATTGCGGCTGATGGTAGACTAGGTACAAGGGCCGAAAGGCAGCGGGCGAGTCGCCATGCACCTTATCAAGCGCGCTGGCCAGCACGAGTACGAGTACAAGTATCTCTTCATGGACGTCAAGGGGCACCAGAGGATATACCTCGAGAACGCGGATGCGCCTCGCGAGAAGGAAGGAGAGCGGAAGGGCTTCAAGCTATTCGGCGTTAAGTGGAGCTGAGGATCAGCGAGGAGAAGTGTTACAAGCCAAATAGGTACAATACCAGTTGTGGTGTCGAGATACCACCCCAAAACGACCCCGTGAACTACGATTCCTTGTCTGTGCGCCAAATACTGGCCATCGCCATGGCCCGTGATTAATTCATTAGCACCTGTTCCTAGAGCTCCGGGGTATTGCCGTCACCGAAGAATGTTAATACACATACACGCCGCATCTTACAATCTGTGTCCGGACCATCCTTAAGCACGTCCCTGGCCCTCTCCAATCCATTGTCTAGGCGAAGACCCAGCCCCAAGATCAGCGACCCAAAACCTACAAACCCCGACGCTGACAGCGAAAGGTTCAGAGAGAAGCAAAGCAGCAGCAACGCTCAACGAAACTCTCGGCTATGGATACCCTCTCTTAAGCACATACAACCCCCCAATGTCCCACAATTAGTTCCCCTCGTACCCCTCCATCTTGGCGATCCACTTGTTCATCTGGCCGAACTTATCCTCAAACGACTTCTGCAGCTTCTCGCATGCCGCCCACATGGGGTCCTGCTCGTTCCAGTAGGTGTAGCAGTTCGTGAAGATCTGGTTCATGTCCGCCAGGAACTCGTTCTCGTCCGCGTACTCGTGCCGGTCCATCTTGGCCTTCATGGTGCTCAGGTCCATCGGCTTTTTGATCACGTCCAGGTAGTCGGGCACGCCGTCGCGCTCCGGGTCGACGGGGTCCTTGAATGGCCCTACTACGCGCGTCCAAAAGCCTGTAATGGTTCAGCGTTGGCACTAAGTGGGCAGGAAGAGGAAGGAGGGGGGGAGAAGATGGCTTACCTGGCCCGGAAAGCATCCGGCCAAGGAGGTCGGCGCAAAAGTTGAGTTTCTGGTTGGAAGAGAACTGCTGGCTTGCAGCGGTGGCTGCGCTAGCCCGGCGTCTGGGCCCTTTTGATGCGGCCTTGGCTGCTGATAGGGACGCCCGAGGGCCTGGCTTCCGGCCGGGACTAGCAGCGGAATAGGCTCCGTTGACCATACTGTCCGATGTACGGTGCTTCTTTGCCGGGCGCCCGTCGGCCTCATCCAGCTCAGCATTCGTCACCGAGCGACGCTGGGCGCCAGACGTGGAATCCGAGGCCGCGGCCTCGGTGGCGACGGGCGAGCATTCCAGCGAGCTCATCGTCACCACCAGCTCGCTCAAGACCTCCTGCGGGAGCGACCGAGCAAACTCGGCTCGGGACTCGCTAGATCTCATATACTCGGCGGCCCACGATAGGAGGAGCTTGCGGATCGAGGACCCCTCGGGCGTGTCCTTCCAGACCTGGACGAGCAGCGGGCTCGCGGGGATGTGTTGCGTCACGCGGCGGCACTCGGCCATCGCCTCGAGCGTGGCGTCGCAGAGCCCGTCGATGCCCAGCTCGTGGCCCAGCTTCCAGACGCCGATCAGGACCTCATAGCTAGGGAGGTTGTCCAGACTGGGGAAGACGTGTCCAGTGTAGAGGAAGTTCTGGGCATAGGCGAAGACCTCGACCGGCGTGTCGGGCAGCTTCACAATGTTCTCGAGGCTCTCGTTGGAGTTCTCGTCGAAGTATTTCCTGTAGAAGGACGACTTGGCGCATAAGAAATCCTTCTGGATGCCGAAGGGCGTCTCCTCTGGGCCGACGAGGGCGATGACAAAGATCGGATGAGGTTGGCTATTGAGTGTGAGTTCTGAGCTGACAGTAGACTCTACCACGACTTACAGCCAGGAGAAGGGCTGTGGCTCGACAGGGGTCGTAGCTTCTACCACAACGCCCGTGTCATTGTCCGCGCCGTTGGCGTTGTTTGGCGGACTGGGCTGCGGTGCTGTCTCATCGGACATGATGTCTGCTAAGCTGTCAGTCACCGTCACCTCATGGTTTTGAGACTCCCTATGTGTGGGCCGATTGGTGGTCGTTGAACGCGTAGGGACGGATGAATGAGCGGATCATCGTCCGCACGTGCCTCAACCTTCACGAGAGCTCACCTCAAATTTCGTCACGTCGAATGAAGGCCAGACGAGAGAAAGTGGCACCATAAAACAGCTGTGATTATCCTGATCTTCCTTTGTGAGGTTCTAACACCGTGTCGTGAACCGCAATATCAATGGATGTGAGGTATGAAGGTCAGTTGTGAGAGGACGAATACCCGGAAGGTTCAAGTCATGGGTGGTCTGTTCCTGCTGGGGTAAATGCCCCACCGTGTTTTTGCACGGTGCGGAACACCAAATTGCTGGTCGGTTGGGCGGTGCAAGCGGTGCTGCACAGTGCAGATCTGGATATTGCGCTCTCTCCGAAAATGTATGTACTGTACGGATACATATCACTCCGTCACCAGACAACTTCATTGCAGTTCTCCCACCTCTGTTTTTCCCTCTAACGCTAATAATAAGTCAACAATTGATCAGTTAGCTCTCTTCCCTATATCCATTCATTCTGCATTATGAATTCGAAGTCGGAGTATCGCACGAATCCAAGCACTGCTTTGCAAGCCTCGGGCGGCCAGAAGCCGTTGAGATCGGACGATGACGATGGCCGATGATGACGGCACGAATGATGACTCAACTCGTCCTCGAGGAGTGGGGTACAATGTGAGAGAGCCTCCGGCATCTGACGTAGTTTTCTACGGAAATCTCAAGCAACGGTGGCAGTACCCTCAAGAGTTCAGTACAATACGTCCTCGTGGTGCTGCTGTCGGGGCTCCAACCACGACTTCCCAAGACTCGACTGCGGCAAGTGAACGGTATGTGTTTTAGGGGGCAAGCGCTTTAGCGAAACCCGTTGACCATTCATTTCGAACGGAGACCCGTGTCAAGCTCCCCATCATTGCCGTCAGTGTGCTCAGGCTTCGGCCGGGACGACGGCCGAGTTGCTCCGAAATTGGTGATCATGAAGGGAGCGCCTGATCAAGCGCCACTACCCGAGCACTACGACCGCCTGCTCCTCGTACTCCCATTCAAGGAAGCCCGCGAATTCCATGACCTATTGCTTTCTTTTTTTGGAGTTAAGGACCTGACGCCAGTCTATTTAGCTGGCTTGAGAGAATCTACGTGCGGAATTCGTGGAAGGAATTCGTTGTCGACTTCCTCGCCGACAACCTCCTGTCTCCAACGCCCAGCAAGGCCAAGATGGCCCTCAGGGCGAGTGAAGTCCTTCAGTGGGAGTTCTACGCGTTAATGCCGGAGGACCAAATGCGCCACGCTCAACCGCAGTACCTCATGTACCACCCGGACAAGGGCTCGTGGTCTGTGGAGGATCACTACGTCCGGTTCATCGTCACGGCCGTCCGCGACAACATGCTCAACCGTTTGTGGATCGATGATGACATGCAAACCAGGGGCCTAGAAATCGCCAGGGCCGGATTCGACATTCTTGTGTACCTGCGGACTACGAAGCTCGGCCCTCTCAAGCATCAGTCGCAGGAGGGTCATGATGACGATTGGTAATTGAGGTACGCGATCCGGGCTGTATGGGGTTGTTGGCGGGGAGAAGCCATGGCACGCACACGGTACGCCTATGGGGCATGATCTGGGCTAGTTGAGAGATGCTGTAGCCAGAAGATGATGAGAACAACCCGGAGAGCGAGGTCTATGACTACGACTGGCCACTAGAATGTGGGTATCGTAGACATGACCAAAGTGAAGACAACGAGGTTCAACTTGGCCAACCCGCCCCTGGCTGTGGAGGAAAGGCTGATACTACCAGTATATGCACAGCCTACTAGTACCTTGGGCGCTCCTGCCGGCAGGCAACCTGCACAGCAAACATACACCCTGGCGTATTGTGGTATCTCCAACGATGACCGATTCTGACATACTACCCCTCAACTTCCTTCGTACGGCGTAGTTCACCCGCACGCATCAGGTAGGGAAGGAATTCTCACTAGCAGTCTGCCGATGCCGTCTAAGCGGAGTCAAGTAATCTCCACCCCTCAGTCCGAAGTCCGAGGGAGGGGTGTGCGTGTCTGTCTGGTCTCTAACACATGCAAACCCCATGGCACGACCGTCACAAAGCTTTTTGCAAGTATCGCCGGTAGTACCAGTGACAACGCGTAAGTTTCCCCTTCGAACAGTGACTTCTCCTGACGGTCGCTTTGACACGAGCCATGTCATACGAGATCCTGCCTCAAACCGAAGGAGGCCTTCCCGCCGTTCGACGTCGCGGCACGCAACACTGGGAGAGCACGACGCAACCTTTCCCAGGGAAATGAAGTCGAGAGGGGGGAGGATGGTGATACAGAAAGCAAGGAAGCGACATACTTTCCTTCATGACAGCCAAATCAGCAGATTTCTGGGATCGAATTGAGTGCCGCCCCTAACATAATACCCGGTAAGTGATCTTGGAGATCCTGTGGGACAACCATATCGGAAGACAGCCGTTCTCTGCAGTAATTAATCCGCAATTTTGGTTCCCGCTTCCAATCGAGCGAACTGGCACGCTGGATCGCACCACTGAGCATTCACCGAACGGCAGATTAGGCCAGACATACTCAGAGGCTACCTAACTCGGATATCCTGTGTTTGCAGAAAGGAGGAAAGACTTTCAGGGGACAAGGTCGTTAGATGGGATGAAGGCCCGACCAAGATACATCTTTACAAAGCGAGTCCAAGCACGACATTCCGTGCCTAGTACCGATGGGAGAACGGAACGGAGGCAAGCCGACTGAAAAAGACAGACGCGGATCAGTTTGCGGCAGATACCGGTAAAGTACCGCGCCAGCATGCATACCAGTCGGAAAGGGCGGGCTTCTAGACGAGCCCGCTTCCGACACCACCATCATCAGCCGTCTACCGGGTCTTCTGGGGAAACGACACGAAGCGTCGAAGATTCGAGATTTGTTGATATGGTAGTCTGAACTGAATATTGCGGTGGTGGTCAATAAAGGAAGGGAGAACCGGGCGGGGGAGACGGACGCATCGGGGCGGGAACTCCTGGCCGCCGATGCGTGCCTGCCCGTGCTCAGATGCAAGACTGACAACATCCGGAGGTAGGACCTATCCGCGGCCCGCGGCCGCGTGCCTGTGCTCCGTCAGAAGCAAATCGATCCTTCCATGCAACGGGGAACTCGACGACGGGCCTCACGTCCGAGACTTACTCGGCCCGAGATTCCAAGGGGTCCTTCATCGACCGCAATGTCGTGCAGTCTTCCACTTTTCTCGGCGCCCGTCCGTCTCGAACGTCCGGATCGCTTCTGCGTCTTCCCCGCCGCCTTGGCCACCGAGCAAAGGGTAGTAGTAGCAACAAGGCCAAGCATCCGGGGGATGATCCGCACGCACCGGGGAATTAGAAGCCGCTCACCGGTGTCTGCAGGTCGTCGGAAAGGGGCGCAAAGTCGCCTTCGCCTATGCGGGTCAGAATTCGCTAAGACGTGGTAGACGCGGTACGGGATCATCCCAATCCCTGCTCTTGGCGGCCTGCGTCTACACTACCTACCTACCTAGGCGTCTACTACATGTAGAAGGAAGGACACCTTGCCAATCGCCCCTCCGCTTGCGCTTGCGGAGGTGCATATATTGGGGTCAATATATGTGGCCTGCGGGTAATCGGAGGAGCCGCAGGGCAAACATGGCGGTGGTGGTCGCACTGCAGAACAAACAACAACCCGTATACAACTCCGTCCGCTCGTGTTTGCATCGCCATCTGCACCATGAAGAAGGTAGATGTCGTTGAGTCTAGTTGGACTGGCGAGCGAAGCGTCTTGAGACTTGAGGTAGCATCTCCCATCGTTTAGACAACTCGAGCCCCCCATAACATTCCGGGATAAGAAGCGGCATCCGTCATGCAAGGGTACACATAGGCATGTACTATAGATTAAGCCGCGCAACAACTGCGCGGCAAATCCGCCTACGTTCACCCCACGGCGGCTTCACGCCGTAGACAGACACCCCCTTGCCACTGAAGGATTCTAGACAACGGTGGCCGAAGCGACACATCCGCCTAGAGAAATATAGGGGAGAAATACTAGTACCTCGAAGACACACCTAGATACACATTAAGCCCTACCAGTCTCCATGCAGGTACGAGTGGATTGTCAGGTGAGACGCAGGTTGTCCGTTTGGGGCTTGATCCCAAGCTCTAATACCACGCCCTTCTGGCAAGGTTGGGTTTCTACAACAACCGGCAGAATCAATCCTTCTGTATGTATGCGCTGCCTGGCAGAGACTGAGGACCAAACGCGAGGCATCAGTGGTAACCTAATTAATTCCAACCGACAGTTCCTGAACTGACGTCAAAGGGGTTCCTGAAGGACAATCTATCCGTCAGTGACATGCGTCCAGGTCGTCCGGTTGCTGAAGTTCATCCGCAAGCACTGCCCTCACAGCTTCCCCCGAGCCATCTAGCGGTAGATATTGGCGGAAGCTGTATTGTTTAAACCCCCCTGGACGAAATCCAAGGAGACAGATACCGTCGAGACGCAGGTGTGTGTGAATAGGTAGGTCGGATGCTTCGGCACCGTGCCAGTCATGGCGTGATCGATGCGTTCCTCGCTGAATGTCGGGCGGCGGAGATTCCACTCAGAGAGTAGAAGGGGGTTATGAGAAGTTTGGTACCGTAGGGAACACAGCATGCTGTGGTATATAGCATGTTCGCCTCCTCTTCCCATTCCAGTTGTTCTTCTCCGTCCTCGACACTACGTCACCAGGTGGCCAAGTTGAAGCTGCGCAGATGTTGGGACTGCAACGAAAGGTCCCCGAATCCTTACTGGTGCTCGCGACAAAGAAGCAATGCCGGATTGTGATGCCGCGTCGCCGTTTTCTCCAACATGGCGGCCGCCTAGGATCCGAGCACGTTTGGCCGAGTCGCTCTCCAAGACGCAGGGCTACTGTGGGTAGGAAGAAGGTACTACAACGTTAGCTGCAGCACAATATAGCCTGAACCCTCTTCCCCCGGGTTGGGGTCGCCTAGCATTTGCGGAAGAGTATGTCAAAGAGTGCAGTTCCCGGGCCGCAACCAAGCAATCAATCAATATCAAACACTAAGAGGTCGCAATATCACTCACACTGAATCCAATCTATCGGTGTGCGGGGCAGATAGGCTGATGGACAAACCGCGCTAGAATATGCTTCTGTCCCCTATCGCAGACACTTGGTTCCAGCGACTACCAGCCTGTGGCCTTCGATTGTGTCTTTTCGGTCGACCGTGGAAGCCGTGAAGTCTGGCAAATGCTGGTGGCTATCAGTTGGCTCTGTCATGCCGCCCCATCGGTCGAGTTACGCGGGCAGCGGCCGACGGCGGCGAAGAACTGCCCAGGCCACTATGCAAATAGACACAGGCTTTGCTATTGTCTATGTACTGTAATACTGATAGGAGAAAAGCATTCAAGAGGACGGTAGGCTGCGGGACGAGTAAGACCTGTTGTGGTGAGGAGCGATATAACCCTCGGATTGCTCTCCGCCTCCTGTGAGCCAAGGAATCCGCGCCAGTGGTAAGTCCATCGTGGATTAAATTAAATCCAACTCCCATTCTCACTCATACTTTCTTATCGTGCCGGAGCGCGCAAAGCCCGCCAGTCTTCCTTGCGTGCGCCTCTCGCATCTTCGGTGATGATGTTAGATGAATGTGGGGTACCCCTAGGTCTTGGCCGGTCCGGAATTCGGGCGGTTCTCGCTTCCACCCCGTGGGGCAAGCGTGGGGGCCCGCCCCGCAGCGGACGCGCAAATCAGGAGTCCAGGCGGCCGGTGTCACCCACCACACCTACTTTAACTTATCAACTCTTCCCCGTATCACCACCCAATCTTCACCGTACCGTAGATTGTCGAACTCCCAAGAATAGCAGCGACTCTGAACTGAGATAAGCCTGCTTTATCTGTGAGATGGAAGGCTACCGGCAAATTTCTCCCAGCCCGCCGAATGCCATCGAAACCTTCAGCGCTCGCGGTTGTTTGCTGCTTTTGAACTCGGACCGCTTTCCGCCGGCCATGCTGGACAAAAAACAATATGTAGGTACAGCCCGTGCCTTATCTAAGGTGAGCTGAGCCACTCGTTCGATTCCGGAACTATCACGGACGCGTCCCGGCCTCCGGGCGACTTCCGCATACCAATATTGCACCTGAGCAGAAATGCTCCGGAGAGCCTGCCTTAGCGAGACTCTATAATCTTGGCAGGCGATGCAATTGCGGGGTATCAAGAGATAGACATGCGATTATTCCTGGGGTGCCGCCGAAGCCTCGATCTTTTCTCGACATGCTGCCCAAGCCCGACTTCCTAAGGGTGGTAGGTGTGGACGTTCGGCAGAGCCGGCCCCTGACCACGGTCTGTGCAGGTCTCTACCACGGGAGTAATCATAATATTTTCGAGTTAGAGAGCACACTGGAACAGCCACAATTCTACGGGTGCGTGCGGCTCGTATATGTTGCGGAAGGGCGCACATCCGACGTACATGCATACAGCTTCGAGAGCGTGCAGAGTCCTAGCGAGAGCAGACCCCAACAGGCCCGCGACCAGCATCCCTGAAGGGAGCCAGTGGCTTTTCTGGGGGTCGTGGAGAGATCGGTCACCAGTAAACACGCCGATCGCATCACCGTGATGACGAGCTAAGGCATCAGAAATTGCTCATCCAACCATCACCGTGTACGCGCGTTGCGTGTTAGTCAACTCGAAGTTGCGGTGAGGGACAGACTTTGCCCGACTTCAAGATGCATCGTATGGTGTATACATGACTTTGGCACCACCATCGACCGCGCCTTTTCCCGTGTTGATTCCGGCAAAGCATGTTGACATGGTTGTATCGAGCCTTGTGAGACAGATCTCTCGGTGGCTCATCTTTTCCGGCAGCTGAGCAAAGTTTGGGGGTTTCTTGCGCACGTCAATGCGATAGTTATCAGAGAACCCGACCTTTAATAACCGGCAGCCAGGAAACCAGCTCAAAACATGACACAGACGACGGTTCAGGTCGGCGACTGGCGGATGGCATGGTGCCAACGTTACCTCCCGTCATTTGTTGATCTTGCGTTTCCAAGTTCCAACAGTGCGCTGCCACCGCAAACCCCAGGCCTAGCCCTGCCTCACCCCACGATTCCCTATCAGGGGTTTGATTGGCTCCTCTCCGGAAGGTTTCTTCGGGACAGCGCGATGCGAAGACGGAGGGAGTGGAGTGCATCCTACGGAAGAGACGGGTTGGACGCTGACGTGATCCCAAGCGCAAATTCTCCCCACACAAAAGCGAGCTACCTACCTGGGCGCTCACTCCGCCAAGGCATCTCTTGTTGAGAGTGACAGCACGTTGCCCGACTTTGCGGGCCGCCGTTCTGAAGAACAAACCCTTGCTTGTGCCACGCTATTCGTCAGGGTATGGTTGGGAAAGGCTGAGCAACAGGCAGCCAAGAAGCTTGGGACTGCGCAGATCCCTTGCAAGAAAACGCCATCTCGGTGAGGGTTGAGGGGGAAGAACAAAAGCCTATTTCGAGGTGTCACAGAAACCTTTTAAGGCTTGAGCAGATGTGGGAGGACCTCCACTTTCGGTCGACGACGGGGACAACTGGCGTCATTTTGCTCACCCATTTGCCCTGCCCACGAGACTCAAGGCCCTCGTTGGCACCGGAGGCGTGTTTCGCACTGCATGGCACTGGCACCGAAGCTCAGCTGGCTTGGGCACAGACACACACACTCTCACACACACACTCTCTCACACACACAAAACCTATACGAAGGATACAAGCATACCATACCATACGCACACAGCATAGCATCATACGCGTAACCACTCTCAGTACCGGCAATAAACTTCACGTAAGGCCAGCGTTACATCCCCACAGCCCGCCGCACGGCATCGCCGTCATCCGTTTGTACCGGAGAGAGACGTCCCAAAAGCGCAGATGCAGCCCTCCCACATGTGTACGGATACATGTAATGTAAATCCGGAGAAGCCGAAAAGGGTAAACGAACAAGGTATGACAGGAACCAAAAAATAAGGAAAAGGGGAATACACTCGCAAAAAGAAAAGGAGTGCGGCATAGCCAAGCGATACCACGCTACTCCAGACACTCGCTTCGGGGCCCAACCCAAAACCCGCGCCTCTTGTTGGGGCCCTGGCCCCTGAGCCCTGTGAGAATCCTTTTCTTGCGTTCCCCGCGGCCCAGCCCTGGCGTGACAAGTCTGCTGAAACGTGGAGAAAAAGAACGATCTCCTGGGGAGTGTTGAAGAGTGGAATGTTGCATATCAGTTCCTGTTTACGAGATAAGGGGCGGCGTGACACGTGCATATAGTACTTGACGCTTCGAGCGTGGACTGAAGCAGATAGATAGGTCTCAATAAGGGAGGGGTGGAGGAGCTGTGGAAATTCGAAATACCAATAAGGATATCTTTTGTGTCTGGCCATACTGGCCGAGGTGATTTCTGATTCAGAATACAGCAGCAGAACGGTTGAGAAACTAACATGCCTCATAACCCAAAAGACCCGCCCACCAGTCTATCGACATTTTTTCGCCCAGGACCGAAGAGTATATGAAAGAGGAGTGGTTGATGTTGTCAGCGTTGCCCCGTTCTCAAGCCTCAATAAGAACCCCAATCCAAACACCTTGTTGCGAAAAGAACAAAGAAAACAGCGTCTGATTTTCGTTGCTCCCTGAAGGAGTCGTGTGGAGAAGCGAAGTCTATCCCGTCCAACAAAAAAGAAGTGGTGATGTCTATCCGTCCCGAGTCCAAGAAACCCGCACCCGCTTTGATACGTAGATCCGATTGCTTTCCAGTCGATATTAAAGAGTCAGGGTGCGCCAAGAAAATAAGAAGGGGAGAAAAGTCCAAAAACGCCGGTGGTTATATATCGCTTCTATAGATTGCCCAGGGTCATTAGTCATGTCGTTGAGAGGTTGCTGAGATGCGAGTCTCGAGACACGAAACTCCTCACAACCTGTCGTACAGCTCAACCCCCGAGAGGCTGTTGGACGACGAACTCCGCCCGCTCGCAGGAAACCCGTCGCTTGAGCATAGAAGATCATGGACCGCCACTTTCGGCACGGGCAATTTCCGCTGGGCGCCGTCAGGCCGGCTGATGATGTCAGTCAAGGAGATGCCGTTGCTCCTGGATGCCGGCTGAGGCGGAGGGGCCAGGCCACCCGGCTGCGGTTCGAGCGGGGCCAACGCCGGGGTGTGCTGCAGACTCAGGTTGCGGAACGGGGGCAGCTCAATGCCGCTGTAGGGCCGCAGACGAGGCGAGTGAGCCGGCGTGGCGAGTGGCGTATGGTCCGGTGTCGGGGACAGTGAGTTGTGGGAGAATGTGGGCGATGAGGGGGCTGTCGAGTTGGGCGAGTTAGGCCTCGACTTCTTGGCCTGCCTGTAGCTGTGGCCGTAGTGGTCGTCGTGATCGTCGTGCGGGTGCGAACGCGATATGTGGTATTGTCCGAGACCCGGCAACGGATTCCGTGCAGACTGCATGCCACTGCCGTAATAAGGGTGCTGTCTCGCCGAAGGGGGGTAGTGCTGTCCGTCCCGATCGGCCTGGCCCGCCGCACGTGCTAACATGGCCATGTCCGGGCCACTCTGGCTGCGGTTGTACGGCCCGAGATTCAGAGGCGGAGGTAGGTTCAGGTTGTAGGAGCTGTAGTGAGGAGGTGAGACGTTGGGCGACGACAGGGTCGTGGGAGGAGCAGAACGGATCATCTTGGGCCCCGGCGGCGGTGCCATGACCTCGGGCTGCAATCTTTGGATCATGCCGGCATGCTGCGGGTGGCTCTTGTTTCCTCTCCGCGAGTTCGGGTTGTTGTGTATCCTCGAGTGCCGGGTCAGCTCGTCAGAGCGCGAAAAGCGCTTGCTGCAGCCGGGGAACTGGCAGGCGTGCGGCTTCTCTCCAGTGTGCGTGCGAATGTGACGGGTCTGGTGTTCCAGACGGTGGAACGCCTTGTCGCACATTGGGCACTTGTACGGACGCGGGAGCTCGGTAGGCTGCTCCGCCGGCGGTGCACCAGCCGGCACGGGCCCATTCGGCCGGATGAGGCCAGCGGTCGCCATATCGGCCTCACTCTGCTGTTGATTTGGATGCTGTGACGGCGAGGCTAGATCACCGTCCGCCGCAACCTCTGGGTTCAGCAGGCTGGAGAAGTCCACTGCAGACTTTGCCCGCTGCATGTGATTGTCCTCCTAAACGGAGTCTCTCAACACACCAGCTCTGCCCTGTGATATCCTTGTGTTCTACGTAGTCCAGCTGCACGAACGGGTGCAGCAGTGGATGACGATCTCCCTTATCAGTGGGGGATTCGTGGTTTCTGCTGCGCTCAGGAGGCGTCGTCCAAGGTCAAGGTGAGGTGTGTCGAAGAGGTGATGTGTTGGTCGTTGGTTAGGTAGGCACACGTAGAGTCCAATGCTTCGCCTATAGCTGAGATCTTGACGTATCCGGGGTCTGGGGTGCGGGTGTTGGGGAAACCTTAATGGGGCATGCGGATTTATCAGAAAGTTGGCGGGCTTGTTTGGGGGAAGCGGCACTGGTTTTAAATGGTGCGGGCGGGCTGACGCTGGGGGGGTTGTTGGCATGTGGCGTGGATACAGCAGGGGCCTGGGGTGTGGGGTTCGGGAATGCAGCGACTCAGGTGAGGGACAGGGGGAGGTGCGCCTGAATGCCAGGGGAAATCTCGGGGAAAAGAAAAAAAAAACGAGCAGTGGTCAGCGGTACCTAACCAGAACATTACACCCGTTACAACACGAAGTACAGTACCTCACCTGGAACCGTCTGCCCTGCAGCCTTTGCATCCGCCCCTCCATCGGGATCCATGGTACTCTCTTAGGCAGTATGTTGCAAAGGTGATGCGGGAGCGGCAAGTGCACTTGGGAAGGCAGCATATTGTATTTTCATTACGGTGTGGTATGGACGGGCAAGGCACAAAGACGGGTGGGGTGCTCTTGGAAGCCATCCATAACGTTAAAAGCGTGGGGTGTCGTTAGATAACGTTACGGGCCCTTCTCGGGCTGTTGCTCAGACGCGGCGCAACCTTGAACATAGGTATTGGAGACAAAGGTACGGATATGCATACTCAGGAAAACGACAAGGAATCGATGTGATGGATCATTCGATTACTATAATAACAGAGTTGGGTTCGGCAAGGGGTTGTGGTTTGTGCTCTGTTTACCCACAAGAGCTGTTGCCGTGGACATTGCTTGCTTTTGGGTCGCAACCAGGAGGGTTCTGACACAACGATAGAACATGTACTAAAAGCATCATGCGTGCATTGTCCCCAGTATGTGATCTTGCACCATACAGGTGCCCGGCGACTGCCGGTCGACATGCGTTGGCAAGCTAGCGTCTACATGTGTTGCTCCCGACGATGAGAAAGATAATGAAGCTCGACTCATCGTCGACCAAAGGAATCTGTGGAACGCGTAGTTGGAGGCCGATGCTGGGCCGCTTCCCCAGAACCACTTGTTCGATTCGGGGCGGTGAGGGCGGTGGCTGAGCTGTCCTCCGAATGATTGGGCTCGGATGCATCTTAATCTGTCAAATTTCCTTCCTCGGGCGCCTTGGAGCAGCTGAGGGAGGGAGGGTTTGCCCGAATTGCGACGATAACGACGGTCATGGCGAGCACACGGCTGTGGGACGGACACAAGCCATCATCAGCCAATGTGATAAGACCGTGGTGACCGAGGATCCGGGGGAATGCGCTAGGACGGCCAGACTGTTGCACATCCGGGGATGCGTCGCGCGTCCTGGGCCGATCCCCGGCTTTCAGAATCCGTCACTGACGCCAGTTGCTTCTTTTTATCAAAAGTGCCTGTCTGATCACGCAAAACCCCGGGCCAAGATGCGGGGTCGGATCCGGGGTCAGCAGACAGATAGGCTCAGTTCTCCCGGCTTTCCTCTCGCTCCTTCCGATATCGTGTAAGCGCACAGTTGGGTGTACATTCAGCAATCTCGGGCGTAGCGCGAGCCTCCGTGAGGAGAGATAAGACTCGACGACGCAATCTGTGGAGTTTCGGAGGACGCAAACCTGCTTGGCCGTCTCGAGACTATCCGAATCTGGGCGAGACGGATACAATCGAGAGAAGAGGACGCTGACGACACAGTGCTGGACGACTTGGACCTCCGTCTTGCACAAACGCACAATGCGCTCCCGTCATTGCTGTTTGCTGTGCTGAGAATAGTTGCCGCCTCCGGCCAGGAGGAGAGGTCTGGGCCAAGCCCCCTGGCCGGGGGGCGTCTCACGTCACCCCGGAATCCGGGGTACCAAATCTCGACCACAGAGATAGAGAGATAAGCGCGCCACATAGGTACCGCACTGTGCACAAGAGGGACATGCAGAACCCGCAGAGTCTCTCTTGTTGATGAAGCTTGGCAATGATGCATCCGGCTCCCCAGGGGCTGCCTCAGACTACTGTTCAGCTGTGACATCTCGACATTAACAACGGGTTTCATCAGGTCGTCGCTTGCCGTACACTACACCCACACTTGTAAAGGGCTGCGTGGGGGTCCGGCCTGGGGGTTGCATCACTGTTGCCCACAAGGGCAGGGCTTTATCACCGTATCAGCGCCCACAGATCCATCACGCCTCAACTCCTGGACGCTCCTGGAAACTTGATGCGATGGAGCGGCCAAAGGGAAGCGCTCGGATCTCGCTTTTTCTTAGCCCATCCACATGATTATCCATAGTGGCTGGCTTGTCTCAGTTCTCCTGGAACATCTCAATTTGCTGTCGGGCAGTCCACAAGTTGGACGGACAGCCCGTTTTCGTTTTGGCTGCAGAGTGCAGACTGGTGATGAGGTCTTCTGGCCTGCAAGGTGCGCAATGCTCGAACGAGAGTTTACCTAACCTTCTCCACGGTGAGGAGGAGACACCGGATCCGGACCGAACAGCCAACACCCATGCCCTTGCAAGGCAGCTTGCCGTCAGCCCGACCGAGGACAAGCGCCAGGAAGCTAGCTTTCATCATCATCAATCGTCTTCTTCCAAGACCCGATCTGGGGAACGCGAAGATATCCCCCCAAACCATCCAAGATTTTCAACACGTGGGAGCCGTCGAAAATTTTTCGGATTCGGCGCACCGCCTAGGGTAACGTTAGCGTGCATACGGATTACACTACAGCACAACAAGGCACAAGCGCTCAAGCCAGCCTTTGTTGTACAGAAAATTTGCAAGCTTTGCTTTCCCGCCGAGCAGAGCCCGAAGCGCGAGAGCACAAACTTTTGTTGGAGTCCACTGATGCTCGGCGAGTCATTTTTGAGGGGAGGTTCGAGAACACGGGTGAGTGCCGCGATCCACAGAAACACCGAGGATCCGCCAGAAAAAGACGAGGATGGGAAAGAAAAGCAGCATACGTGTCATCCATCAATGCTGAAGCCCGTCTGTGTGGCATCAACAGAGAACATCATGACATTTGCTGGATGTTGGTATGGAGACGGGAATTGAGAAGCGTCTGGCCACCACGTCTTGTCTGGTAGGTGCGGTTAGCATGCACCGGAGATCGATCGCCCGCCCCAAAACCGCAATTATCCGGCGGCTCTAGCGTTAAGCAACTTCCCCAAGCAGAAACAAAAACCTGGTGGTGCAGCTCGGGCTGGACAGTTTGTGGGGCCCCATTCCCCATGTCCTTGCCGCCAGACAAGAAGCAAATCGCACCACCACGCTAACGCAAGCCCAGCGCCACAGCCCATTGTCCTGGAACCCCCTTTTCCCGAGCCGGGGGATGTGGGTGGTGCAAATGCGAGGAACAGCATGGAAACGCTCCTACCAAGATTGCCCGACTGACAACCAGAGAGAACGCATGGGACGAATCGCTGACCGGACCGCTTCATGAGGGCTTCGTGACAGAGACTCTGTGAGGTTCTCTTCGACGTGATGTGAGTCAAGGGCGGCAAACTGTGGCCAGATGATGCGCCCCCCACGCCGGTGCCGCCTGATCAGCCCTAGCTTTCGCGGCGCGATCCCCGATATTGACATGGGCGACGAACCAACAACTGCCCCTGCCATCACATGGGTGAGGCCCTAATGCGGAGTGGATAGGCAGGCACAAGAGATCGAATTGGGCAAAAGGGACCCTTTTGCCCTTTTGCCCCCCTTATCCCCGAAACAAAGGGGTAAATTTCCGCCGGGTCCGGTGATCTCGGTGCTGGCCGTTCAAGGCGATGGATGGATTGCCTCTGGGGATTCATGAGTGCCAAGGCCACGGGCCGAGACAGGATGCGGATGTGCCCTTGCAGAAAGGGCCGAAACGTTTCTCCTCGCTCTGGCCTGGCTATCGAACAACAACGCTTGCAGGACGGCGAAGGATACGACTCCCTACATACAGTACAATCGACCTGTAGTATAAGGAACAAACGTTATGGAGTGTCTGGCCAGAATGATGAGAGTCTGCCCTCGGCAATGGCCGCACATACGGAGAGACAGTAGCGCACAGCGGTATGTAACGTTATGTAGATCCCGGGGTCCGGCATACCGGCAGCCTCATTTTCTGCCCCTGCTTGGCAAATTGGGAAAGCAACCATCCCCATGTGTGAAAGTCCTCAAACCTACCCTTTCCGGTTACCCCGGTGGCACTGCCGGAAACACTGCGATACGGGATACGGGGTAGCTTGATGCTTGATGATAACAACGTGGAGATTGCCCTGGGGTAACGTCCGGACAGTGATACATGTACACGGTGTATTCTAGTGTAATAAGCAGCGTTTACTGCTGGGCCACCGGCAGATTGCGGAACCGTACACGTATGATTTTTTGGAGCTTCAGGTGGCTCACTTGCGTCTTGTCCGCTTGACCGCCACTTCTCTTGGAGAATGAGGTGTTTCATTGTTCCATCATGATATGCGGAAAGAACCGGATGGCGCCATAACCTGTCCGTGGTGGATGTGAACTTTAGCACTACAGCATACGTCGCTATGACATCATGTATGTATGCTCTAGGAACGGTGCAGTTTCGATTGATCATGGAAGCTCGACCTTGTCCGTGTTCGGCTTGAGTTGCGAAAGACATGTGACGACAGAATAGGCTCCGGGACCGGATCAAGACCTCATAAGTAGTGTTTTTGACATTTAATCGTCACAAGCGGGTTTAGCTCAGTTGGGAGAGCGTCAGACTGAAGTCAAACTTCGGCCAATCAATCTGAAGGTCGTGTGTTCGATCCACACAAACCGCAATTCTTTTGCTCTTGCAGCAACCTCAGGCCGTTTCTTTTTTCGTTGTTGTTGTCTTTTGGGAACTCGTTGATACAATAGAGTTACAATCGCCATTGTCTCGCGAGTAACATGACAGCTTGTGCCAGCCAGTAGACGGGGGTTCTTTAGGCCAATTCAATGGTTGGAACAGGGGCTGACTATGTTCTCGATCTTGCGCTGCAGACTCCAACAAACCTCCACTGCGCACCGAAGGCGTAAAACACAACCACCGTGACCCGAACCAACCTTGACACTCTGTGACAAAGTTAACCTGGAGCATGGATTATCACGCGATCCACGGTCATGACATCTCCAGCTTTGACTTGCCGTCGACACGTAAGTCTGTCGCATCCAATCGGCCCTTCCCTTCAGCCGCGTTCCACGAACCGAGAAATGACTGACTCGATGTCCAAGATCGTCTCCCTACCGTGTCGGCCGCACAGGCACTGCAGGATCTGGAAGGCAGTGACAGCTACCTCATCTCGACTGGACTGGCGGCCCTCGACGCATCGCTCATGTCCGGGCTGGGTGGCTCTGACCGCGGCGGAATCCAGAAGGGGCATGTGACAGAGATCTGGGGACCGCCAGGCGCCGGAAAGACCGCGTTTGGGTAAGTACTTGCACGCTCCAAGGCCTGCATACAAGATGCCCCTCCCGCTCACCTTGCCTCAGCATCCAGCTTGCCGCCAACTGTCTCGACGAACGCCATGGTGTCATGTGGGTAGGTGCGTTCATCCGCCGCCGACGTTCCGCGTTTCCGGATGCCATGTCTTGTCTTGCTCACGCTCCTCATCTATGTAGATGGATTCCATCGCATGCCCATAGAGCGACTGCGTGCGGTTGCCGGCAAGGGATCGGCAAAAGGCAGTGATGCGAGCCATGGTCACTTAGATGGCTTCACCCACTACAGGTGTCCCAGCCTTCCACACCTGATTGCGCTGCTGTGTAGGCCCACTGCATCCTGCGTCCCGCAGGGGACATTGCTCGTAGTGATCGACTCGCTCTCGGCTCTGGTCAACCATGCCTTCCCAAAGCATACGGAGACACGAGGGGGCGCGGATGTCAAGGGCAGCAAAGGTATGTATAGCACAGCCGTTCGGAATTACCTAACCGAAACTGACTGGAGATCAAAGGCCCTTCTGCATCGGTGAGAAGGTTCCAGCTCATTCAGTACATTGTCACCAGCCTCCAGAAGCTCGCGGCCACCCGGGACCTGGCCGTTGTGATTCTCACGCAGTGTGCCACCAAGATGCAGGCAGAACGCGGTGCCACCCTGATCCCGGCCGTCAATGCCAGCGTCTGGGAACAGGGTATGTCGACCAGACTTGTCTTGTTCCGTGACTGGCTCCAGGACGGCCATGAGGTGCGTGGAGTTCACTTTGTGGGAATCCAGAAGTTGAACGGAAAGGGGACGGCTGCCTTGATCGACAATCTCTGCGCCTTCACGGTAGAAGAGGTGAGTCTAATATCCAGATCGGGGCTGCTCGGTTGCTGACCAAAGGCAGACCGGTCTGGTTTCGGTGGACTACGACAATACCCAGCCGTCCAGGACGCTCATATCTACCCCTACGCAAAAGCGGAAACTTGGGGACACCGACTTCGAGGTTGCCGACAGTGACGATGAGGACTACGGTTGGGATGACGACGAGGAGTTGCCGCCCATGCCGTCTCAGTGGCAGGGAAGCGAGGATCTCTTGCTCGTACGACAGCCCGAGACTGATGAGGAGCATCAAGACGATGAGGGGTCGCTCGATCTCGGTGAAGAAGCGGATCCAGGGGTAGATGGAGATGCGGAGTCAACCGGTGAAGTCGAAGGGCCAGACCACGGACCAGATCCCTGAAGGGGTTCGAGATTTCACCCCAGACCCGCCTACTACCTTCGGCCCTAGCAGGCAGGTTGAAGCCTTCGTCAGGCTCATCAGCAAACATAGCCCTTCACGTGCCGTGACTGCCGTTACATAATCTGCCGCTGTTCACTCCGGGAATATCGGATAAGTGGCATCGGCAGAGATCGAGATATGCGATTCGGGTGGAAAGGCCGGTGGTCTGGCCTTCGGTGAGACGGCCCGGCGGCCATGCGAATACTCCAAACACATTCATCCCCGGCCGGATACCAATGGCCTAAGAGAAACTCTCCAACTATCTCCCCCAAGGTTCAACGGTCGAGCCGGTGTTGCGAATCGAGATTCCCACATCATTATCGTACTCTCGCAGATATGAGGACGATTCGACGTGTGTGTGCCTTGGCAGGGTAACACTGCGTACCAAATTACTTGTACCACCACGCCATCGACGCGGAGTCTGGACAGGTTGGGTAGCACTGCAGCCTGACGTTCCAGGTACCCCCCCTCCGCGGCTCAAGGACCGCCGTCGGATTCGGCCATGTAGTAGCTAGCTCCCGCCCGCGGCACGGATGCAATGGCAGTCAATCGGAGGTTTTAGATGAGGGTTGCGGAAGGATTCGTCACGGCCGCTACAGCGTTTGAATTTTCCAGGGAAATCGGTTATCGAGGGAGGGGGGTGGGCAGACCCGGACTGGGGATAGCATCGGGAGAGCTGCAGCCGGTGAATGTCTAGCCGATTCAGCCTGTCAGTGGGTGCCGCAACGCGATCGTCGTCGGCGCGACATGTGCTAGTATCGCCTCCGCTGCGGCGACATCGATCTGTGTAGGAGCCAAGATCACAATTCCCGCCCACCTCCTCCGGGAAGAGGATTCACAGTTCCGTAGACTTCACGCTCGTCCACGGCTCAACATCCTACGCGCCAACCGGTCTATTGCCTGGTTAAAGATCATATGAGTTCAGGCTCTCCAAGTCTGTACGCTCCACTCCCCTCTCCGTACAGAGATAAGTACCTTAGTTACCCTTATCCGGTGTCGGCAGAGGTTGAAACGTTCTCGGCCCCAACGGTTCGCATGCATAGATTGAGTTGCAGCGGCTACGCAAGTCCGCTTCCCCGGGCCTCCGCTTTGAGAGCTGAAGCCCTGCCCGTTTTGTCATTGTGCATATGCAAGCCATTATGAATCTCGGGCTGGATCCGGCTTTCGCCGTACACTATGCCTCACATGTATGGCCCGTAGAAATAGAGACCATGACGATGTACTGTACCGTGCACACAATACATGGGCGAGCGATTTACATAGGCCAATGTTGTATTCTGCTATGTGTCCTCTTGTATACCATGCCATGCATAGGTACTGGGATCTTCATGTATGTACTTCAAATCACATATACAAATACCGTCACCTTACACCTAAACAACAGGCCGGTAAGGTAATGGCACAGATTGCTCACACAAAAGGATGGTTACTGTATATGCCGCAACTTGCATTTACGGAAGCATACCTTACAGTACCTAAGTACTTACCGTACCTTAACGTTACTCCAGCCGACTGCAACCTCTGTCCCCCCCCCCCCCCACCGTCGAACGATTTACCCCACGTGTGTGTGACAGGATCGAATGATGAATGGCCTCATCCCCAACCAACGACAACAGGCTTTGACTTTGTTCTGCGGGACATAGCTGGGGACGGGAGTTTTGCCATGGAACTGTATCCACACCCCAGGTTGTGGAGGTGGCGTCCGATCTGCCGATTCTACAGATTACTAACTTCTGCACTATACACTACACTAGGTACAATACATAACTCACGGGCAAGTTGAAGCTTGATTCCCATCCTAGTGTACATACAGTGTATTCCCCCGCCCGGCTTCCTCCGGCAAGGAGTCGACCCCGCCGATCCGATCGGGTGATGCACCGTTACGGCACGGTTCGGGGGGATGTGGGTTGGAAAGTGGCATGGTTCGCAGAGGAGGGCCATGAGAGGAGGAGGAAGATTGAGCCGAGCACGGTATTGTAACCTATCTATGTACAGTACCCTAGGGCCGATGTTCGTCTTGTGTTCGGGGGTGGATCAGGTACCTAGCATATGCCCGTTGAGAGCGAGCAAAGGTTGATGGCTGTGCTCAGGGTGTGAGTCGAGAGTGGTGGCGGCCGTGATGACCGTGCTTGGCCGGGATCGAAGTAGAGAATACGGGCATCAGGTTCATTTCAAGTTTTCTGTTTTTTTTTCTTCTTCTTGCTTCTCCGATACATGATCCTGCAACTGCGGAGGCAGGTATCCAGATCCCTCAGATGCTGTCGTGGCCCGTCTCTGCTGTGTTCCCCCTAGGCACGCTGTGTCCTTGTTGCAGCTGGCTCGGCATCATGTCGGTCGAGGGCGTCAAACGGGAACCTTGGCGGCCCGTGTTGAGTACTCCTCTGTTCGTCTTCGAAGCAGGATGTATGAGCTAGGGCCACTAGTAAGGATGGTGAGGGAACGTGAGCTCAAGGTGTCTAGGGAATGCGGATTCTTGCTAACTGCCATGGATCCGAAGGGAGCGTAGAGTCAGGCTGTTTAATACCATTCAATGAGCCCACGATACATGGATAGAGAAGGTGACGTGGGCCCTCATAGTATCCCATTGAGCAACACACAAACCGGTGTGAAAACGAGCATCTTGAGACTCTGCATGAGTCTAATCCCTTTTCGAAGGAATCCTCGGCTGCCAGTTCACTCGACACCTTCGAACCGAAGGGCCGTGGCCCATGCCAAGTCCGACACCCACACAAGCGGGCTATGAGCTTTGGAGGTCTCTGGCGCACTTGCTCAACTACCTACTTACCATCCAACCGAGCCCGTCACCTCGAGAGATGTGTGCCATATGCTCTATATACGAAATCTCTGGTCTGTCAAGGCCTATAGAGCGTCTTCTGGAAGGTAGAGCAGGGTTTCGTAGGCGGCTGTTCGCAGCTACACCGTTTTTGATACTGGGCCTCGTGCCGCAAGAATCAACATAGCTGATAAGTGCTAAGAGCACCTAGGTAGAAATGTTAAACTGTTTGCTTCCTCCAACGCCCCATGTCCATCTTCTATGCCCCTAGCTCCCACGGAGTCTGAGAATTGGTGTATCAGAGTTGACCGGCTGCGTCAAGTTCACGTCTAGGATCCCCTGATTGATCACGCCTAACCCCCGGCCTAGGGCGAGTTGGGATGGAAGTAGCGTGAGGACATCTGCCCATTGTTTAGGAGGTTGATGATTGAAAGGGATGATACCTCCCAAGTCGGCGAGACACCGAAGGTGTCCAGGACACCCAGATTGTGGCGTTTGGTTCGCCTGGGGTTATTAACTTCAGTGTCCGGCGTTGAGTTGCTCGCGGGCCCCTTGATGTATCTCGGCAAGTCCTCTCTGGATGGACTACGAGCTGGTTGACCCTTAGGAAATGGTAAGAGACATCGAGCTTGTTGCGCTTGTCGTTGCTATCGTGGTTGATGGTGGGCCGTCAGCGAGCGATCTTAGAATTTGAAGATTGGAAGGTTGACGGCCCTTGAGCAAGGTATGCTCTCCTCAACGATCTCGGCGAATCGCGGCTCACTCCTTACATGGCTCTCGTTTCCTGCCAGAACTGGGGCTTGTGTGTCTGAGAGGGCTTGGACCTACCACTCCAATATAGGACTTCTCGCATGCTAGGTCCACTCGGATGCTCGCGACATAAACTGCCCCGGAGTTCCCCAGAGAAGACTAGAATAGCCAATACCGGTCCTTCATCATGTACAGACAAAACAACAGCTGGGGACAGCAAGATACCACAACCATGGGGTCGTGTTGTGAAGCCAAAGGCAGCCAAGGTCTAGCAGATGTGTTTTGCTATCCTGATCCCCTTGACGGTTGTGCTGGGCTGAGAATGGCCAACTTACCTTCGTCTCTTGGCACACGCTCCAAATAGCAGAGGGCACTTCTTCACCATAATGGAGAGAAGAACGCAAGAACGGGCGATGGATCGAGTTGTGTGGACTGCTCTTGGGAAGACCAGATCACTGAGAGAGTGTCAATGAATCCGGTACGAACTCCTTGGCCGTCAGTGCGATGCTTGCTGGACCCCAGTGGCTGTGGCGGCTGCATGTACTTGAAGCTGCCCTCCAGGTTTTGCTCCATAAGTAGTTCCCTTCCTGACTTTGGTCATCTTCATGAAAACATTGACATTTGTACCCCTTTCCCCCCATGCCAACTCGGTGCATATGGAGAGCACCGGTGTATATCCTGGGTCGGCTGGTGTCGTGGTGTGCACATGAGAGAAATGAAGATGTAATATGTGTCTTATGAAATGTAGAAGATGAGCTTGGATTCCCCTCGGCGAAGCAAAAGGATGGCTTGCAAGTGAGAGGGCACGAAAGAAGCGATGAGCACAAAGACCACAAAGCGCCGGGTATTTGGCGTCTGGATAGGTAGAGTCTCTTTACCCTTCGCCCATAATCAAGGACAGCTTTCCTTGCTCGTAAGAAATGCGCCTAGACCTTCGATAACCAGACTCTCACCTTAGATGATTAACCAAGCCCTCAGCCGACTGCGTGGGCCCAGTGGACGTGAGTCGGTGTTACGGCCGCCGGGTCCCGTTGACCGAGAGGCTACCCTTCGAACCCAGACTCGGTCACCGGTGTGATCCAAGTAGTCAACCAGCCGACTCCCCCGCTCTGTCCATGGTCGTCTGTCTGACTTCCGGCACAGCACTTGGAAGCTTCGGGGTGATGTAGCCGACTAGCCTCCTCTCAGAGAGGAACAAGTCGGTGAGCTTATTGTAAAGGTGCATTTGCCTTCTTGTCATGGAAGACCCTGGACTCATTGATATGTTCTCATCTACATACACATCCACCCACCGCCCATTACCACTGTAGACTAGGATACCTAAGAACCCAAGTTTCACGACGGCAACAGACCCGGGTGTACGATGAACCAGCAGGGCCCGATACTCAGCGTGGCAAAAAATGGCGTCATTAGCACGATAGAATCCCATCACATTCAGATCTCCCTTTGGAGGTTTCGATATGGGCCTTGGTGATGAGCCTTTTGTACCTGACTTTGTCCTATTTTCCCTTCCAACGATTCCCCCTTTTGTGAGACAACCTCGGGCACGATCTGGCTACCGAGGCATTGGACATCGCGCCTATGCTTCGACTCACATGCGACTGAATGACCAGTACGCAACCAAATATCGGGAAGTCTTGATCCTTCCTGGAGTTCAGTAGACGATTCAGGCTTCACACTATACAGCGTGGAGGAATCATGAGAGTTAGGCTGCTACACCAGGGACATAGAACTTGGTACATCAGCTGCTCCGGCCAATACCATCATCACCGTTTCGTCGCGACTTCCACCAGAGCCCGGATTCCGACGGTAACGGCGACGGAGCACGCGGCTCCGGAGCGGTCGTTGAGGATTTTGTGGGGCCGGATGCCGACCGGCAGTGAATTGGCGCCGATGAGGGTCCGTGGAATCCTGCCGCCCAGCAACCGACGCATTGACCACCAAACCCTGAAACAAGCCAGCCACCAATCATTGTGCGGCGAGCTGTGGCCCAGTGAAATGCGACCGTCCCATGGACGACGAGGTCAAGCTGAGGCAGAGAGTTCAGTCCATGGCGGGCGCTTGCCAGAGTTGAATGTCTGGTTGTCAATTCCCAGCGTTGATACTTGTTGCGGCCAGTACGAGGCGCCTCCGTGAGAATATCTGCTGTCTCGTCAACCAACCTGATGAGAACTCCTTGTGTAGAGATGTTTGTTTCCTGCATAACGGTGAAAGCCTGGACTGCTTGGCTCATTTCGCAGATCCCAACCTTAGGTGACAGCTCTAAAAGCCGCCGAGCGGCGTCGCCAGGGTAGGCAAGCTCACCGAACTGGCGCGGCCAATCTAGCGGCAGACGCATCGCTTGGCTTGCTCAGTTCCCAACCCGAGATCTCACAGTGCCTTGCGATTTGTCTGCTGCGAGAAACGAGAAAACCGCCAGCTTGGAGATTGGCGATTGGAGTATCACGATGGAAATTGAGTTTTCGCACGATGCCCAGAACGGCGGTTATTGGTGTTCCTGGCTGCCAGGCACCAGACGCAGGTACCGTGCCACGGCAGGAGCGACCCTCCAAAACTGGGCTAATTTCAGGAGATGCGATGAATGGCTGCTTGGCGTCCAATGTTGTACCCCGGGTGCGGTTTCTGGCCGGCAGGTACTTCCCCCAGAAAGGGGGACCCGCCTGCCCCAGATCGTCGCGCCGGTTTTTATCACCCTCATTTCGCCCTCTTCAGCGCTTGTCGGCTTTCCCATTCTCTTCGCACGAAGAAACCGTCGTTCTTTACAGAGTCTCGCGCTCGATCCATTCGTTTCTCAACACTCTTCGGCCTTTAGCCCTACAGCTGCCGTCCCGCCGACTATCCTACGGCCTTTTACGATCTCGAAAAACATCAATTGAGTTCGCGCTCCTAATCCACAATGCTCGTCAAATCCGTCGCCGCTTTTGCGGCCCTCACCTTCGCGGCCAGCGTCGCTGCTGAGCCGAGGCCCTACAAGCCTACCCTGATGAAGACCTCGGTCCGCGACCTGTTCGGCGTCGTCCGCCGGCAGGATGGCTCGGGCTACCAACCGGAACAGGCGATGTGCGGTGAGGGAGCCACCTGCGCGGAGGCTTGCGGCGCCGGCTACACGACCTGCTCTTCGGGCGACAACCAGGTCCACTGCTTCAACCCGACCGCCGGCGAGATTTGCTGCCCTAACAAGTCTGGCAGTATGTGGCCTCGTTGAGAGTACTACGTGATTGACGGTGCTGACACATAGCAGACTCGTGCGACGCTGGTTACTACTGCACGTCCGACAAGGAAGGCGAGACATGGTGCTGCCCCGAGGGCTTGGATCTCACTGCCTGCGCGGCCGCGTACAGCGTGACCGGCGGCCTGGTCTCGCAGACGCCCGCTCCCACTTCCACCTCGACCAGCAGCTCCAGCAGCTCGACCGTGCCGCCGACCACCACGTCGACGTCGACCTCATCGTCGACGACGTCCACTTCGTCGACCATCGCCAGCAACTCCACCACCTCAGTGCTGAGCACGTCCTCGGCTCCCCTCACCACTGCCATCACCATCACCTCGAGCCCGTCGCTCCTTCCCAGCTCGAGCCTCGCGCCGCCCTCCCTCAACACCACGTCGCTTTCGACCGTCGTGTCCCCGAAGCCGACGCAATCCAACATCGCCGAGGGCGCCGGTAGCGTCGTCGGCCCTGCGTCTGCGCTGCTCTTCCTCGTGGCGGGTGTTGCTGCCCTTCTCTGAGCTCATAACGGCATCATATCCTTGGGGGGGTGAAGGTTGGCTGGCATCGGCACGGAATCAGGCCGGACCAATTCCCCTCAAGGCTACTTGCTTTTACGAGACATGAGATTACGACAAGATAGCGGCATAGAACCTACCTAATTAACCCTCGCTTGCTCTCCGTGCAAAGGTTGGGATGTTGTGTGTGTGTATCCGGGGCCGTGCGTTTTCATACAAGGGGATGTCTCTGGGTTTTGGTTTGGCGGAGTTGAGAAGGGAGAAACTGGGGCGGTATACCACGACGGGCTGTTGCTTACCACTTCTTGATACTCTGCCGAGGGCCGTGTTCCTCGGGCTTTTGTGTGTTGTTTTTGCCCTTTTGCGAGTTTGTATGGAAAGGCTTGACTTCTTGTTCCTACTTCGCCGGACACACAATAACATGCCAATTTTTGCACACTTGCTTGGGCCCTGGTTGTCCACTCCTTAAAACCAGGCCGTACCATCGTGTTCTTCCTTCTCTACTACATCTGGACTCTCAAGTTATTAGAACGCACTTGGCGATGCAGCTTCTCCCGTCTACCTATTCCTGCTTTCATCCTCAGGGTTGCCTCACCATCCGCCAAACTCCCTGATGCGCAGTTTCTTAGCGGATGCCGTGTGCTTGTGCCAAGCCAGACCTCAAGTGTCTAAGTCCCGTTCGTCCCCAATGACGCCATGAGCAGTTCCCAGCATCTCAAGCAGCCTGTTTTCTGACTCGGCTTCGACTACGCTGGACGCGTAGACCTCGAAACCCTTCTTTCTCACTCGTGTGTTCCGTGAGCGATGTAATCGACTGGTCATCGCTCCGGTTTGGAACTGGGACCTCGGGTGGCGAAGCCATGGAAGGAATTGGGTGTAGTACTAGTTTACCTACAGCAATCTGCATCAGCACTTCTTCGCCGTAGGACGACGGGTTGTCATCCAGCGGAAACAGACCGGACGCGCCAAACAACGGAAGCCGGCCATGGAGCGTCATGTAGTACAGAACACCCAGATACAGGACGGCCAGCGGAGCGAGAATAAGCCAGTCACGCTTCCCCATCGGTGGTGTTGGCGAAATACGATGCTTTGCTGGATTACGAGAGCTAATGGCAGTACTGCACTGGAACATTGCCTTGAGTAAAATACATCGAGAGAAGTGACATCCATGTGGGTGCGAGAAACCAGAGATATCTCCCTTCGTCGAGCTCGACGCGCGGGTTAACCGTTAGTTAACCGCGTGGCTCTACCATTCATCCCTGGGATCTATCATGTAGGTGAGGTGGGATGCAGGATATCAACACAAAGGAGGAATCTGAGGCTGGCGCGCTTGGTCAAGGCCTTTCCGTCCTAGTAATGAACATACTAGTACACATGAACCGATGCCGTCTATGAGGTGGAAGAGCGAGCGAGAGGACAGTCTCTGTTCCAACACCGGCTCCTCTCTGCAGCCACCCATCCGGTTTCAAAGCTGTTCACCCTCTTCGGTACGACGGGTTTCGGGGCAGCCCTGTGAACACCATGGCCGCAGAGGGTCGGAGAGCCAACCCTTGCATCGAAAAAGAACACATAGGGTCACTTGGGAAGAAACCGGCTGGCTCATAATACTGAGTAGAGACCTGCTACAACAAGAAACAAAGCACGGTTCTGTGGTGTAGTTGGTTATCACGTCAGTCTAACACACTGAAGGTCTCCAGTTCGAGCCTGGACAGAATCATGAAGCATATCCTTTTGCTGCCAATTCCAAACTTCCATTTTTTTTTTCTTTTGCATGCTCGGGCCGATTTACCCGACACCAATCACAGTCCGATATCGAGCTGCTAGCTGTGGATACGACCCTTCGACCAACCATCGCTGATGGTGTCGGCCCTCGGTCCGCTGAGTTGTGGAGACGGCTCCCTCGGTCGTGAAGCAATCGGCCTCGGGCCCGGGCCGGGTGCTACCGTGCCACTAGATGCCGGCACTTTCTTCCAGGACGGGACCGCCACTTTGGCCACGTGAAAAAGGAACGCGGTCTTCCGACACGTGGCTTCTTTATTGCTGAAAAAATTGTGCTTTGTTTGGCCGTTCACATAGATAATGATGGGATGTTGTGCTGAGATGCCCCTAGAAGCTGGAGAGGGGGTTGTGGTTCTTAAATGGCTTGCATGAAGACGTGAGGGTTTCTCCCCTGCGCCGCAAGTGCACGCCAGAACCAGCGAATGTTTCACTTAAGTGCAGTCTCCCTATGCTGGACACCAGAAAATGGGTCGAGGGATTCGACTGCACCGCAAGGGAGAATCAGTGCTTTGTTGGGGTACCTTTGGCTTTGTCCGGCTGAAGCTCCTAGCTGAGGATGTGGAGGATGTGGGGCCGCAACTGTCCGGGGCTGCCAAGACCAGCTGAACTGCCGCCTTTCCCTGTTCCATACTGCATCCTCGATCTTCTCTCTTCGAGTCCACCTAACAAGAGGACGACTCTGCAAGGACTAGGAACTCGCTATGCTTCGTCGAAATAGGACGGAACGGGTGCCAACTGATGCCAAAGCTATGTCACACGAAAAGAACGGAAATCACCTGCTCGTGTTAGGCACCGCCTCGACGCTTCGGGAAGCAAACAGGACGCCAGCAGTGTGGCGTCTCTGCCTTCTGCGGTAACAGACTCGGCAATTGGTTGAAGCCTTCAGGATTGCATCGCCAAGACCCGGTTCCTTTATGGCTGGCTACTGAAGCTTCCTCGACAAGGGGAAGACGGGGTTAGTGCCAGTACCGCTCTCATCTAACTTCACCACGCCGCCGAGTGGCAGGTCTACAGCGTACCGGACTCTTCCAAAGAGTCGAGGATTCCATAGCATGCTTTGCGGTGCCGCAAAGAAGGGGTTCTTCTTTGTTCTTACTGAGCGAGGCGGAGGGAACTTCGGGTTCCTGCGCCTTCGAGCCTCCATTGTCCTCCATTACCGACCCCAAATATCCCTTTTGCCAATCAGCTCCGCCTCTGGGTAGCGAGCATCCCAATGGTCCAGACCACCACAGGCTGTTTGTTTGTTTGTTCGGCCGGTCGAGCTTGAATGTGCTGGCTGGTCTCTCCCCTCCGCAAGCACCCTTGGGCTGTATTCCTTCTTCCTTCTACGCCGATCCTATTGTTCCTACCAGTGTCTGTGTCTCTCTTCCGCGCAACAGCATGAGAACCCCTGATCCATGATATGAGCAGCCGGTTAACGTAAAAAGGACATGGTTGGCGTCGTTGCTTTCTCCGTATCGGGCACGGCCGATCTGTCGCGGGTCGAAGCGCCCGTGACGTTCAAGGCCTACTTGCTGTGTGCGTTTGGGGCGTTTGGCGGAATATGTGAGTCCACCTATCCGAGAGTTCCGCGGGTCTTCAGGTTATGCTTACTGACATATCTACCACCAGTCTTTGGCTACGACACGGGGTGGATGTCGGGGGTGCTCGGCATGCCCTTCTTCATCACCCAGTACACCGGCCTGCAATACAACTACGAGACGGGCCAGCCGATCGGCGTCGACCGGACCAAGTTCGGCCTGCCGTCGTCGACCAAGTCGCTGATGACGTCGATCCTGTCCTGCGGCACCTTCTTCGGCGCGCTGATCGCGGGGGACGTGGCGGACTTCCTCGGCCGCCGTCCTACCATCATCATCGGCTGCGTCGTATTCTGCGTGGGCTGCATCCTAGAGATTGCGTCGACGAACCAGGTGGCCCTCTTCGTCATGGGCCGCCTCGTCTCGGGCCTCGGCCTCGGCTTCATATCGGCTACCATCCTCCTCTACCTGGCCGAGGTCGCCCCCCGGAAGGTCCGCGGAGCGCTGGTCTCGGGCTACCAGTTCTGCATCACGCTCGGCATCCTGCTGGCCAACTGTGTCGTCTACGCGACCTCGGACCGCAACGATACCGGCTCGTACCGCATCCCTGTTGGCGTGCAGTTTCTGTGGGCGTTGATCTTGGGCATCGGGCTGTTTATCCTGCGTGAGTAACATCATGGTTGTATTTATTGTGTTGTACATACAATAGTACGATCCTGCTCTGAAATTTTGATTGCTCACGCGCAAGCAGCGGAGTCGCCCCGGTTCCACGTCATGAAAGGCAGGATCGACGAGGCGGCAAAGGACCTGTCGCTGGTGCGGGGCCAGCCGATCGACTCGCTCTACATCAAGGACGAGCTCGCCGAAATCGTGGCGAACCACGAGTACGAGATGCAGGTGATCCCGCAGACGAGCTACATCGGGTCGTGGATGGCCTGCTTCCAGGGGTCGCTGCGTAGGGGGAACGGGAACCTGCGGCGCACCATCCTCGGCGCGGGCATGCAGATGATGCAGCAGCTGACGGGTCAGTTGAGACCTACCTTACCTAGCCCGTTGCCTGTCTGCCTAGTTATTATTATATGTGTCTTCCAGCAAAGCAGAAAGCAGAGAGAGAGAGAGAGAAGGAAAGCTGACACGCCCCGGCCCACAGGGATCAACTTCATCTTCTACTTCGGCATCACCTTCTTCCAGCAGCTCGGCACGATCCACAACCCGTTCCTGATCTCGCTCGTCACGACACTGGTCAACGTGCTGTCGACGCCGCTCTCCTTCTGGGCCGTCGAGCGCATGGGCCGCCGGCCGCTGCTGATCTGGGGCGGCGTCGGCATGATCGTGTCGCAGTTCATCGTCGCCGCCGTGGGCGTCACCGCGGGCCGCGCCGAGGTGCACGACGACGCCGCCGTCCGCGCCATGATCGCCTTCATCTGCATCTTCATCTTCTTCTTCGCTGCTACATGGTACGTCAACTCGGTGGTACTAGGAGGTACCACTACTAGTACTACTACCTACTAGTACTTTATCCCCTTTTATCCTTCAGGAGCCCGTTCTTTCTTCTAGCTGACACCATTTTTCTCTCTGTCACACAGGGGTCCCGTCGGATGGGTGATTGTCGGCGAGTGCTTCCCGCTGCCGATCCGGTCGCGCGGCGTGGGCATCTCGACGGCGTCCAACTGGTTCTGGAACTGCATCATCGCCGTCGTCGCGCCCTACATGTCGGCCGACCTGGGCCCCCGCCTGTTCTTCATCTGGGGCTCGCTCTGCGTGCTATCGCTGGCGTTTGCCTACTTCCTGGTGCCCGAGATGAAGGGCCTCACGCTGGAGCAGATCGACAACATGATGGAGGAGACGACCCCGCGCCAGTCGGGCCGCTGGAAGCCCACGGCTACCTTCGCCACGCAGATGGGGCGCGTGAGGGTCGGGGGTCCGGGGAATGAGAAGCGGGAGCCGCTCAGGTCGGTATAGCTTCGTATATATTTTTCTATTATTTCCCAGGGGAAATGGCGAATGGCGTTGGCTTTGTGTAAGAACTATAGCGATCGCGAAGAATTGCTCGATCCATGATAGCTTGTCAGTTGTAGCGCTGGATGCCCTCGTGGTTTCTCGTACGATCGGGTTACAAAGTTAAAGCAACCACAGTAGCGCGCCATGACTCACGGCAGAAGCGTGATCGCCGGATGGACTACATCGCGCCATGTATGTAAGACGGCCCGAGGATGGAGGGTTCATACGGCGGCACAAAGAAGAACGAATCAAGTGTGCGGTACAAACATGGGCAGCGGTTATTGCTAAACCTCGTCGTCGCTTCCCCTTATCTGAATCGTGGATATATATATAATTATATAATTCCAGGCTGACAGTTTCTGCGTTGCGGGAGGCGTTAAGGCGCTGGGGATTGGGCGGTGGTGCTTGTAGTCACGATCGGTGGTTTGTGAGGGGTGTTGTGGGGGGTGTTGTAGATGGTGATGATGATGGGGGTAATGAGGAGGAGGGTGGTGTATAAACTGGCGGGAGGGAAGATGAGTGTGTTGGAGGGCGGGGTGCAGCAGTTCGAGGAGGGGATGGAGAGAAGAGCGAGAAAGCTGATGGGCGACTAAATAAGTCGTGCTAAGGTACTGCTCGGGCCCTCATTTGAAGCAGTATAATGGGCCCCGTCACCTCGTAATAACAGCTGCATCAACCAACACCCTCAACCGCTCCCTCTCCTCCCTCCGCACTCTCATCCACCCACCCTTCTCCACCTCGACAATACTCCCGTCAACACAAACCTTCCGCCACCGCGGATCCTCCTCCGCAATGGCCACCATCACCTCCTCCACCTCCTCCTCATACCCAACCCCGTCCATACCCACATGCTCCCCGTCGCGGTACGCAGCCATCATGATCTCCATGGTCCGATCCCCGCCCACATCGCCAAAGTGCACCAGCCTCAGCTGGCCATCGAGCGGCCGGCTGGCGGGGGAGATGGTGAAGGTCCTTTCGAGGTTCGACACAAGTGTCGTGAGCACGTAACTTAACCGTCCGCCCCCTTCCCGTCTGTTGTTGTCGTTGTTGTCGTCTGACAGATTCATAATAATGAACTCGCCGCCGCCCCCACGCCGCCGCACCGTTACCGTGGCGTCGTACGCGTGCGACACCTTCAGCAGCTCGGCCGCCGCCATGCCGAACCGCTTGTCGCCGTGCACGCGGTAGGCGGGCGTGTCGCTCTCCCAGACCAGGCTGGCGTGGAAGCCGTACGATGCGACGATCGCGCCGACGAGGTGGTCCACGGCCACCTTTGTCGCCTCCTCCTCGACGGAATCGGGGTCATCGGGCTCCGGCTCCGTGGGTGCAGACACCAGCTTCGCTCCTGGCGAGAAGGACGCTCGGAACGTGGGCAGGGGAGCGGGTGTGCCTTGGAACAGTGTGCGCAAACCGAGGATGAGCGGGGACGGGGCGGGGTCTGACTCTGGGCTGGTGCACTTGTTGTTGTACAAGGGCTTGTGCAGGGAGTGGAAGAGGGCGTTGCCCGTTCCGAGGGGGAGCAGTGCGATCGTTGGCGGCGTCGGCGATCCTGATCCTGACCCTGGTCCTGAGCCGGTCGCCGACTGAGGAGGGTCTGCTCTATCCAGCCCGTTCAGCAGATCGACCACGCCCCCGTCACCGCTCAAAAGGATGATCGTCCTCTCCCCCGTGGTGGTACCGTCCCTGCCCAGCTCGCCCGCGAAATCTCGGATGGTGTTTGAATCCTTCGTCACAGTCAACCGGTACCCCGGCCCGTTTCCGTTTCCATCCTGATGAGACTCGCCTCGCTCTTCAAGCCCCAGAGCGCCCAACAGAGGGCGCAACACCGATCCGTAGAACTCTGGTGCCCGCCGGAGTCCGGAGCCGGTTGACACCACGACGTGCACTTCGCGGGGCGGCCGCAGGTGGGAGGAGACTGGGAGATTCCCCCGATCCAGGAGGAACTCGGACAGGTTCTCCGGCAATTGTGGCTTCGGAACGCGCAGCACGCTGAGTGTGAATGGCTTGCTGTCGCCGTCGTCGTTGTTTGCAGGTGCCCTCTCAGAAAGGGAATAGACCAGATAGTACTCGGCATTGGCCGCGTCCGCTGTCTGTAGCACGAACACGATTTCTTCGCGCTTGAGCTTATTTAAGGCATTTTCCGCACCATTGCCAGATGAATTTTCCGAAGCATTGTGGTTGACATCATGAGACTCGTCAATGGTTTCCATGGTGGTTTCTTAGGCATATGCTTAGGTAGCTGGCCGCGGAGTCTGTAGCGCCCTCTGTTGCTGTGAGTGGGAAGTTTTGTTGAGCACGCACGGGATAAAGCGCCGGAAAAGCTCGACAACAGGACGAATGCACACGGGCAATACACCCGTAGCAAAGCAATGGAATGAACCAGAGGTTACGGCTGTTCGCATCGACGTGATATTTGGATTTCTAATCCCCAGCCAACAGTGCTGATCGCTGACCTGCCTGGGCCGGATCCTTCGCCATTCATGTGTCAGACGGCGCTAAATTGCGTTATCACCGTCGCGGGGTTCTATCGGAAGCGACGGGGTGGGCCTACCGGTGGAATACGACGCTGGGCCGGACAAGGAAACGGCGAAACTAAACTGACCTTTCGGCGGACGTTCCTTTTACGCGTAGATCTTTAGGTGACTGCGCCTTGCTTCATCCGATCTGCCGGGTGTCGATTCCATCATCAACGACGCAGTACGAAGAGCCCGTCTACGCCCGAGTTCTCACTTCCCTTTGGCCCTGTTCATCGGACCCCAGTTCTCCCTCGGGTTCATCTGGTATCGGACATACTTGGTCTTCTCCTGGAGACGTCCAAGCGTCTCGTCGAAGACGACCTCCGGCACCTTGTCCTTGCCATTTTCCACTGCTTGCCCGTTGGACTGTGACCCTTCGGCTGGGTCCGCTTCCTTGTCATCAACTGCTGATGCCGGCTCCTCAGGCCTTGGACTCTGGGCGGCCTTCTTCCCCAATCCCAGGAGCCGGAAGGCGACGCTGCCGGGCTTGATGTTCTCCTCCTTAATGGGCGCCTTCTGGCGGATCCATTCCCTAAAGATATGCCAGATGATAGACCACGGCGCATCCGTCTTCATGCTGCCAGGTTTGCAGTGGCTTCTGGTGACGCGGTAGCCGAGGCCGATCAGCGCGCCCCTCAGCGCATTCTCTGGAGGGCTGGCGCAATGCAGGATGCCCGACACCTGTGCCGGGTGGAAGTAAAAGGGGTACGGGTCGATTGCGGCCGCCTGGGCCTCGGTCAAGGTCTTTTGATCTTCTTCGCGCCGTCGCCGTTCTCGCTCGACTCGGCCGCCATCTCCTCGGGAGACGGTAAGAACTCCTCGAGCGCCGTCTGCAGCACGCCCCTCATCCTGTCCTTGGTGCCATACACCTCTTTGGACGCTTCCTCCACCTCAGCGATCACGCTCTTGATGAACTCCGCTGAGTGAATACGCCCGGCGTACATGGGTCCCGCAAGATGCATGGTCGACCCACAGTGCTCGCAGGACCTGCCCGCCGTTGGCGCACCGGCAAACCCATGTTTGTAGAAGATCCCGCTGCCCTTCTTGTTCGGTGCGGGTTTGTTCTTCATGAGGAGCTGTGTCGTCCAGGAACCGCAGCCCTGGCCGCAGCTGTAGAGCACCATGTTTTTTCCTCCCTGGAACTTGACCATTGACGGCGACTTCCTGATTCGGACAAACACCCTGCTGTAGAAGTCAACCGACAGCGACAGCAGGGGCTCCATCGAGAGACCGTATTTTGCCGCCGAACTCTCAATGGCGTGCAGAATGAGCCGGATCCCAACTTCGTGCGAGTACCAGCCCTTGATCGGGATGCCGCCGTACAGGGCATAGCATTTCTCCGGGTAGCCGTTCGATGCCCATACGCCCGAGTCCGTGCAGGTGACGCAGAGCAGGCCGCCGTCGTCTCGCACAGCCTGCACTGCAGCGTCCAGGAAAGGAGCAGCGCTTCCGTAGGGATCCAAGTCGATCACGTCATACTTCTCGCTCGGCCCTGGCTTGCCCTTTCCCAGTGCAATCTTCCGCAGTTCCCGCACTACGACGCCGTACATATGAGCCAGCGCATCGTCTATCGAGACGCTGATCTTGTTGCTGAGCTTGTTATGAGCAGCGTTCCGCTCGATCGCCTCTGCCGCCGCCTTGAGAATGTCGTTCGCAGTCACAGTCGTGGCAAACGGTATCTCGCGCGCGTACCGCAGGGCACGGAGGCCGCTGGCGGAGAGCGCGTCGAGGATGGTGAATGTGGAGGTAATCTCCTTGACCTTGCCATCGTCTGTGCTGGCCTCTGTCTGCCGCTCTGCCGGAGCGCTTTCCAGCTGCTCGGCGTCAGTGGGCTTCTCGGCCGTCTGCTCCTCCGTCCCGTCTTGCATCTGGATATCCGCCTGCTCGATCGATTCCGCTTCCGTGCCAGACAGCTTGGGAGATTTGGCGGGACGTTCGCCCTGAACCTGCTCCTTCCTCTTCCTCTTCTTTTCTGCGAACTTGCCACTGCGGGCTTTGATGGCGGCTTGCTTCTGCTGCATGCGCTCTTTTCCGTAGGCCTTGATGGCGAGTACAGTCAAGTCGCGGTTGAACTGCTGGATCGGGTTGTAGAAGACCTGCTGCACAGACTCCCCTGGCTTTGCGGAGTCCGCTGGGATCAGAATGTGGGCGAGACCCTCCTTGACCGTGGTGTAGACGACATTGTTGTGCTTGATTCGCTGCCCCTCGGCGGGCGTCGCGCTGAGGTCGGCGATGCCGTCGGACATGGTGCGGATTGAGACAAACTGGAGGTGAAGTCGTGGTAGCGCTGGTCTTCTCACATATCCGGGAATGCGGTAGAGGGAGGTGGCTAATAAAGAACTCGGGCGCATCCGAGCAGTCACCGGGAGTCTGTCGCGATTCGAGGCATAGGTTCAGATTTCCATGCGGCGCGTGCATTAGAGAGCAGACCCGGAAATTTCTGGGTTCTGCCGGGCGGTCAGGCGCATTACTTGGGTAGTAGCTCAGTAGGGCCCACAGTTAACCCTCACGGTTCTTAGGGTTCCTGCGCTCGGTCAACGTCTAAAACCACCTCGCGCACCTGCCCACCACTTACACCTCCGAGTGGCACCGTGACGTCTTCCAACGCACTGCAGCTGAACATAGTAGGGTAAAGTTGGTTGGCCATAATATCGAGAAAGTTAATATGAATGAAATATCTTTCCACGCCCCCGTGTGTATAACGAAACATGTCATCATCCAGACGGTGACCCGTCCGGGAAAGAAGTGCCCAGGTCCGCAAACCGTATCAGTCTCTAGTGAGCGCGTTTCCCGGTCCCCTTCCCCTGACGAAGCTTCCCAGATGGAGGTTGAGCTTTCAGTTCCTATCATGACGGAAAGAGCACCAGGTGGCTCCTTCCCTTGCAGAGCTCTCACCCAGGCTCGCCATTTCTGCCTGCAGCCAGCCTGGGATGGTCTCTAACATGCCGAATGTTCTCGTTCTCAAGCCTTTCCTACAATCTGGTTCGAATCCTAAGACTTTTTGGCAACTGGACGTGCATTTCCCTTCTACAGGTTCCTGACGCTATAGCTTGTCCCTTTACTCCGTCCATCCTTCATCAACATGGCCTCATCCAGCAGAGATCAAGGTCAGCAGATCTTCCCTCCTCCGAGCGGTGGAAGGGGCTCAGAGATAATCGGGAGCCACTACAACTCCGAGACGCAATCAAACATCCCGATCCCGCCGTCGAACTCCGGAAACCAACCTCCCCCAACCACGGGGAATGCCCCGCCAGCCCCCTCCACACCCAAGCCGCCTCCCGCAGACCAGCCCAAGCCGCTGGGAGCCTCCTTCCAGCGCCGCTTCCTGACGCCCACTGAATGGGCTCGCGTGGCGCACGGGATCGGCGCCATCCGCGAGGGCGAGCAGCACCAGGTGGTGCACCCGACCTGCTGGTACTGGCCTCCGAGGGGGCTCCCGGATGGGCTGTACCGGGACATCGTCACGCACCGCTTCAAGTACTCGGTCGGCTTCCAGCTGCTCAACTCGCTGCACTGGTCGATGCTGGTGCTGCAGGTCACGCTCGGCGCCATCCTCACGGCCCTCGGCTCGCTGCCGCAGCGCGAGGCAGCGCCCATCACCGCGCTGGCGGCGGTCAACACGGTTAGTGCCGGATTGCTCGGCCTGCTGCACAACAGTGGGCTGCCGGACCGGTACCGCATGGACAAGGCCGAATTTATCCAGGTCGAGGACTTTGTCAAGGTGTGTGTGTCTTCTTTCTCTCTCCCTCCCCCCGTTTGTGAGATGAGTTGTGAGGGATGCGTGCGACTGACCCTGCCTGACTTGCAGGAGGTTCTGGACACGGGCATCGTCGACGCAGGCCAGACCGTGGAGGACGTCCTCAACGATTGCTACGCCCGGTTCCAGTACGCCAAGTCGGTCGTGCTGTCGAACAAGCCCGAGGTATACGCCAGCTCTGCGGGCAATGCCAACGGGAATGGCAAGACCATCATCTGCCCGGAGCCCGCAGCGCATTTCGTTCGCCTTACCTAGGTCCGGACATAAGGGGCGAAGACGAGAACGCCTTTATCACCCCGGTCCAGAATAGGGGACGGGGGGCGATATGGAGTCAGACGCATTCTTAAGCATGCTGATGACATCTTTAATGGAGTTGGGCTCTGTAGCGACTTATCAGGATCTGGGGAGGACTAGAGATTTTAGAGGTGGCCGCACTATGATGACTTATAAGAAGCAGGTGGACTAACTACTTAGCTAGATAGATTAGAGGATGAGCTGCGGGAGCTACGAACCAGGGCCACTTCTACTACTAGAGGCGCTGAATTACCAATGTCGTAGAAGTGATTGCGTGTGTCTAGCTCATAGGGACCTTGCCCTCCGACTTTCGAGCCGTATTGAGCCCTACAGCAGAATCCCAGATGCTGGCATCTGCCTCCCATGATTGCACTCCCAGTGCTTGTAAAGCAGAACCCTGGGAAACAGTAAGTCAAGTTGCTAAATAAACCGATCTTATGTTCTCCAAAGTGGGATATCGTGCTACTAATACCTGGTCTTCCTAAAGATGGTTTGATATGCGCTCCCCCCCTCCCATACCCATCATGAGTGCCCCCCCTCACTTTTGATTTCCTGTAAATCCAGGCCCTGTCATCTCGCGGTATACCATCCATCAACACCAAGTGCCTAAATAAGGGTAAGGTATTCTGCCTACTAACATAACCCATCTACATCCATTGCTTCCTCGAAGCAGCCCCGAACGCAATCGTCGTTCACTTTCCCAGCCCAGCACGTCGTCGTTTCCATTCACCCGCCGTTCCGTCTAATGCATGATCCTCCGCGCCTCTGCAGACATTACTCCACAACCCTCCAACCTAAATTCCCTTCCCTCGACATTGTGCGGAACGTGTATCTTCAGCACCCACGTTGACTCGACACCGCGGACTAGACAGGAGGAACCTCCCATCCCGCATGCACACAATGCCTCCTCCGCCCATTCGGTGGCCGCTAGCCCGCAAAGTGGAAGCGCGCCGCCTCGAGCTGGCCCAGCCCGTCGCGGGGCGCTACGTACCGCCGCCTGTAGGTATTCGTGAAATCCTGCAGGAGTACGCGGATCTGCCGGACACTAGCGACGTCGGTGCCCTGCAGCTTCTCACGGATCTTGGCCATCAGGCGGTCGGCCTCGGCGGGCGTGATGGTGCCCTGCGGAAGCATGCGGATGGTGCGGTCGACCCACTGGGTCGTCTCGGCCGGCAGCAGCTCGAACATGCCCAGCAGCACGCCGCTGCCGTCGGCGAAGCAGTCGCGCGGGAACGTGATCATCATGCCGGCCAGCGTCTGCTTAATCAGCGCTTCGCCCTGCGTGAGGAGCAGCTGCTTGACGATCCCGCGCAACTGCTCGCCTGCTGCGCCGAGCTCGCTGCCGGACCCGGCGGGGTTCGGGCCGCCGTAGGTGAGCAGGTCCCGGATATAGTGCAGTGCAGCAGAAACGGGCTCCTGCTTCTCCAGGGCCAGGGCGGAGATGGCCGCCTGGAAGATGGGCGTAAATAGGGGTGACGGGATGAGTTTGGTCGGGTAGTAGAGGAGGGCGTCGATAAGAAGGCGGTAAAAGTCCTCGATAACGTCTGGAAGGTCGGCAGGCGGCAGGTCGCTCATGGTGCGGAGCACACTCGTCGCCTGCGCCTCGAAGAATATGTAGATGTTGTCGGTGATCCCCTCGTCCACGTGCTCCCTGTCTTCGGAGAATTCGCGAAGAATCGCGCTCGTGGCCCAGAGGAAGCAGCCTTGCTTGGACCGTGCAAACCCTTCTGCCAGCTTGTTGGCAAGCGGGCCCAATAGAGGTGTGATGGCCGCCCGATATGAGATGACCATAAACCGCCAGCAACGGCAGACCCGCTCGCAAATGGGAACAAAGTCGATAAAGTTCTCAAGGATGGTGGACAAGATGGGGAACACCTCTTGCCAGTACTTTACCGCGGGGTTCTCGGCGTTGCTCGGGATATATGGCACAACGTGCTGCACGAAGTAGGTGAGGAGGTTGATATGGTCTGCCAAGTCAGCTCTGGTTCATCTATGTAGGACAAGCAGCATACTCACCGGCAAGGTCGAGTTTCGCCTTGTTCTCGGTCGCATTGTTGGCCTTGACCATCAATCGCTGTACGAGGGGGTCGGCATAGAGCTTGAGGAGCTTGTACAAGTCCTCGGCCTTCTGGACACCAACAACGTAGGCGACGCCCTCTGTAATTTCCTCCTTGCTGGACACGGGCAGCTTATCGAGGATCTGGTCGTAGAATACCTGCAGCTGGAGAACCTGAGGACCGAGGAGCTGCTTGCAGTCGACGCAGAAGTACATGAAGGCCTGCGCAGCCGCGCGGAGGATCTCCTGCGACTCGGCCTGGAAGGACGAGACGATGTATTGAAATTGTGGCTCAAGGAACTCCGGATGCGCTGCCGTCCATTCGGTGTATCGGCCAAAGACCATGATGGCGGCGAACCGCAGCTTCTCATTGCTGATCGGAATCTGCACCAGGAGTGGGAAAATCTGAGGTAGAACACTGCTGTCGTGTGAGTCCACCATGCGGCCCATCGCCCGCATCGCGAACAGAGGAGCTTCGAGCGACTGCCAATGGGGAACCGACGTCGGCGTCGCTTGGCTGCCGTACTTCTCCTGCCAGAGCTTGATTGCGTCATGTACCTTGCTCAGGCAGGCAGCCACACCCATAACCTCGCATGCATCCTTGAGTGTGTCCCCCATGTGGTGACGGAACTCGCGGAACTTCTCCTCCTGCTCCCGGTCACCATCGAAGAGGTCAAGCTCGTTCGGATTGTCGGAGTGCGGGTACTCGAGCTGCGTGAGCAGAATGTCGACAAGCTTCGCGTAGACGTCGACGAGCTGCACCCGCGCCTCCATGTAGTGGTCGAGCGTGAGATACTGCTTCAGCTCGTACCAGAAGTTGAAGGTGTAGCCAATGACGTCTCGCTCCTTATCCCTTGCGCAGCACTCCAGTAGACAGTCGACAAGGGGACGGAAATGCTGCGGTTGGCGGGCTATGATCAAGACCCACGACTCGCCAGCATCTGCAAACACCCTAGTGATCGCCTTGAACCCCTCGGTGTCGTCCTCGTCTACCAAAGCCTGAATGCGCGGCCTGAGCTCAAGAACCCTGGGCAGCAAGGCTTGGATGGTCTCGTAGTTGTCATCTACGTCCTTCGTTTCCCTGCAGATGATCCCTAGGCACTCGGCGGCGGCCTGCAGCGACTTGTCGTCCGTTACCCCATGCATAACAGCGTTCATCAGGGTTGAGTTGACGATGACGCTGACAGGCACCTCCCGGAGCCATGAGCTGATGCACTCAAAGAGCTGTGGGTTGGTTGCGGCAGCAGCTTGGTAACGTTAGCATCGACCGTGCGAGAGCTTGGGCAGGGGCACTCACGTGAAGACTGTGCGTAGTTGACGAGCAGCTGCACTACCTGTTCGGCATTGTCTGCCAGCAGCTCTGATGTCCTCTGGGTGAGGTCTTCTTCCTATCACGACTGAATTAGATACTGATCCCAGGTCGATCCGCGCAAACGGGAGGTCGAGGTAGTAGACGCAAGTCGCGGCAAATCGATCCACGTACAGACAAGGTGATCTTTCGGCCTTCGGTGACCTCTTCCGGAAGCACGCGCAGGAAGTCGAGGATGCAGGCGTGACTCGCAACGTCGTTCCCGAGCGCTGAGACAACGGTGGGCAGGACATCCTTCCATGTCTGCATCTGAATGGCCAAAATCGCCAGGCACACACATAGCTGGACCCGGACGGGTTTGGGGCCCCCGGCGAACTTCTTGAGTAGCAGCAGGATCTGGCTGCGCAGCGCAGGTAGGTCGCCCTCCGAGATTTGAGTTGCGAGATCGTATGTGATCTTTGTCATATCAGTGGCCTGTATCTTGTGAACTGTTCGGTGGTCGTGGCTCAAGTACCTTGCCCTTCAGAGTTGTTGCGGCGAACAGCTGCGCTTCCGCCTCGGTCGAGTTTTGGAGGATGGATATCGTTGTCGTCCAAGCGTCGTTCTGTCAGACCGTAAGTGGCCGTCCAGGATGCCCAACGCGCGAAAAGAACTGACCGATTTCTGAAACCTGCCCAGATAGTCGACCGCGACCTTCTTCTTCTCAGGATCTCCGCTCCGCATGGTCAGCATGGCTGCCAGCACGTTCGGGACGGCGAAGCTTTCCTGAGCGCCGTTCGAAGCCATCATGACGGCTGTAGTATGTTAAAGACGAGGTAGGAGCGGAGTCGCGGATATCGCAAGCGTCGTCTATGCGACAATCCCGGGAGCTGTATCCGTGGTACCGATCTGCCCCTCCTTCCTGCTTGACTCCCCCACTGACTGCGTGAAAGACGAAGCTCGACAAAGCGCGCGGGGAAGGAGGTGCTGTCGAGGATGCAGTTGCCTTGGGAGACCCTGCGGTACTGGCTTCAGCGCGGAAGGCAGTGGAGAGAAGGCGAGGTGAGATGGTTTGCGTGGTTGAGTGTCAACAATCATGGCAGGCGGCCCCAAGCGCCGGACAAGCAGAAAACGTCAGGCTGCCGCTGATGGCAATGCCCCACCAAGGAAGCACCGTGCTTGAAAAGAGGGGCGGGCACGGACCAGCTGCCTAAAATACCAGGCGATCGGCTCGCCGACGCAAGTGCTCCGCCAGATTTCTGAACACCGGCAAGCCAAGCGCGACCGACGGGTTAGAGAGCAACTGCAACGCACACTTCGCCCCCCAATCCTTCCTCCCGTTTAAAAGACGCCAACAACCGCAATGACTGGCAGAGGAGGTGGCGGCGGCCGCAGAGTTCTGTTGCCGCCTATTAACTTCCTTTTCCGTCTTTTGCAGCAACGCTCGACCGTGCAGATCTGGCTCTACGAGCAGCTATCGATCCGCATCGTGGGCACGATCCGGGTAAGAAACATGACCATCTCACATCGCACCGTCTCTAACGGTCCATCTAGGGATTTGACGAGTTCATGAACCTTGTCGTGAGTAACCTGTGTACCCATTGAGACGACCCTGTCTGACTCCCCAGATCGACGACGCGGTCGAGGTGAAGCAGATTTCTAAGACGAACGATACCGAGACAAGGAGGCCATTGGGGGTATGTTGTCCGCTGGGAGGACCGTGTGAGCTGGGGCTGACTGGCCTATAGCAAATCCTTCTGAAAGGCGACAACGTCTCCCTCATCCAGAGCCTGTCCTGAGGAGGCGTCCACAACAACAGTGCTCTTCCGAGACGAGGGCGTGATGCGATTCGATTTCTGTGATATCTGACACGGCAATACTACGAAAATGGGATACCATAGGCAGGCGGGACAGGCGCACGGCAAAATTTGTGTGGGAATTAGTCTGTTGTGTTTGCAGGGGCGAGCGGGCCCCTGACCGTGCCGTCCCCGAGGATGAGGCCGTCCAGAGGTTGATCTAGGGGACCAACAGGTACCGCCCCCTCGGATGGAGATAGGAACTGCTCAGACAGGGCTAAGCCAAGAAGCAATACAGGAGACTCCTGCTTTCCAAGCGAGCCCGCCTTTAGCCTGTGCCGAAAGAGAAAGTAGTCATAGAAGCCCTTGCCGTGTCCGAGCCGCCTGACGGCGCCGTTTGCAGGGTCAGTGTCGAAGGCGACGCCGGGCATCAGGACGAGATCCAGCAGCGTGCTATCCGAGTGCGGAGCATCAGCGCCGCCGAATACGCGTTGCCTCGCGGGCACGGTGGCCGGATCGACGCTCGGAATACCCCACTTATCCGGCTGCAGCGACTCGTAGTCGGCTAGGTCTCTCAGGCGGACCATGTCCATGACGCGTGCGGGCAGACCGGGGCCTTCGACTGGATTCTTGTGGAGGTAGGGAATGAAGACCTCCTTGCCGGCTGCAAGGGCGTCCCTCACGATGGCGTCCGTCTGGATCTCGCCGGTAGGCATTGAGAGGAAGACGCTGATGCGCTTCGCGCCCACATAGCCCTTGACGGTTTTGAGAGTGCTGTAGACCGTTGAGCCTAGCATCGTTTAGCTGCGTCTTGCAATGCACGTTCGTGAAGCGCCGTACTCTGTGACACTACGGAGTCCTGGGACACGGCCTGGAGCTTGACTTTCATGGCAGCCCTGAGATGCCGCTTGGCGGCGTTGAGCGACGCCATTTCTCCCTCCACCGAGAACTCGGCCATGAGGCACGATGACACCAGTCACAATCGTCAACCCAAAGCGCCAGCCCTAATTCAAGTGTTGGCGGCTGTGCTTCTGTACAAGTTTATTGCTGATGATGTCGACCCTTGCATGAAATCCGGTGGACAGAAAAGGTGGGTGCGCGGGATGCACGGCAAACCTCACTCCCCATCCCGCTTCCCGCTACAGTCAAGAAGCGGCTCCCCCCCGGCTGCAGGGGATTGCATACCATCAAAATTGCAGTTTTACATGCCCAAGAATGATATGATCCTCGCCGAACAAGAGAGACATCCGTCCTCTAGCTTCTTCTAAATGAATTGTCTATCACTATCCTTCCCATCTGGTCAAACACAGTGTCAAGCTCAGCAAGTCAAATGTGAGCTAGCGCCCCCGGGAACCGGGGTTAGTGTGGGGGCCGATACGTACCGAGCATGACATCTTCCGCGGCTCAACCGAGTCGACCCAACATCCGCTTCAATTACACAGTAAGCCTCGGACAGCTCCAACATTAACCTTGCGAGCTGACTGTCCTTACCTTGGACTCTTCAGGGTCCGATAAGGAAGCAGGATTGCTGGAAGCGTGTCCTGCAGCTTCGTCCCTCCTACTTATCCCATGTGGTGGTAGGGAGCTCAAGGCCCCCGCAGCTGGATGGCCGTTGCACCCACACCAACGCTCCAGTCGCCAGCATAGCGGACTTTCTTACCTGCACCAATCCTAGAGCGGCAACCTATGACGCTGCCCGGCAGCAGAAGCGCTCCATCAGACCACACCTCTGCGATTGTTGACGAAGGTTTTTTGCTACAGCCCCTGGCCGCAGGACCCGCAATCGGGAGGGACTCCACGCGGCCGCTTGCCGAACCTTCTGCGGCCCCTCTCTACACCCGTGACACGGGGGTGTCATCGCCATCGCACAACAGGGCCGAGCCTGGACCTGGACGTGCCGATTCCAATGGCCGCGGACGAACGTCGACAGTGGCCCCGGCTGATCAGAGCATGCGCGCAGCCGCAGCCGAACATATGAGCGAGGAGCTTCTCCCGACGCGCTCGGCGGACGGCTCCGGGAGCCCCTCGTACGGCTCCATCACCCCGCGTCCATCGGATGAGAGCGCCGATGAGGAATCTGCCCGTTCCTCCGTGAAGGCTCGGACAGTCTCGGATGCGAGCGGGCACTCGCTGGGCCGAACGGGGATGAGACGACGCCGGGACAGCAGCTCCCAGCCCAGGTCACCGGGGCAAAGATGGGTAGTGAGGAAGTCCGAAGAGAGCCTCGGGCATGCAACCACCATCGGCGGGCTTGAGAGCCGCTTCGGCACCACGGACACCTCGTTGTTAAACGACCTCGCCGATCCTCCGGAGGTGTCAGGGGACGAAGACGGTAGATCTTACGTCTCCGATTCGGATGTCGTCGAGGAGGAAGACCCGCCGGACAACTCGCCGTACGCCCAGGTCCGAGCCTCCGTCTCGTCCACTGACAACACTAGCCTCTCTATCAACACCCCCCGGATGTGGGCCCTGTCGATACTCTTCTCCATTCTCGGCTCTTCGACCAACTTGTTTTTCGCTCTGAGATACCCCAGTGTTGCAATCACGCCAGTCATAGCATTGCTAATGGTCCACCCCCTCGGTCTGCTGTGGGACTACCTTCTCAAACGGCCAAACGACCCGCCGGAGGAGTACATCGACGGGTTCCGGGCCGACAGCACCACGCCTAGCAGCACAGGGTCGGTGTCGCATTTTGTTCCTCTGGAGGACAGGAGCAGGCTCGATCGACTGCGGCTGTGGCTTGCTCAAGGCCGCTGGAACGAGAAGGAGCACAGCTGCGTCTATGTGAGCAGCAATGTCTCGTTCGGGTTCGCGTTTGCGACCGATGTCATCGTCGAGCAGACGCAGTTCTACAAGCAGGAAGCCAGCATCGCCTACCAGCTCCTGCTCACGCTGTCGACCCAGATCCTGGGCTACACGTTTGCCGGCCTCACGCGGCGCTTCCTGGTCCGGCCCAGTGGCATGATATGGCCGGGCACGCTCATGTCGGCCGCGATGTTCACCACGCTCCACAAGGAGGAGAACAAGGAGGCGGACGGCTGGCGGGTCAGCAGGTGGCGCTTCTTCTACGCCGTGTGGCTGGGCGCCTTCCTCTTCTACTTCCTGCCTGGCCTGCTGATGCCGGCGCTGAGCTACTTCAACGTGGTCACCTGGTTGGCGCCCGACAATGTGGTGGTCGCCAACCTGTTCGGCGTCGTCTCGGGGCTGGGCCTGTTGCCGCTGACGTTCGACTGGGCGCAGGTGGCGTACATCGGGTCCCCTCTGCTCACCCCTTTCTGGGCGGCTATGAACGTCGTCGGGGGCCTCGTGGTGGTGATGTGGATCGTGGCCCCGATTGCCTACTACAGCAACTGGCTGTATTCGTCGTACATGCCCATCCTGTCGGCAGCCGTCTTCGACAACACGGGAAACGTCTACGATGTCAGCAAGGTCCTGACCAAAGACTTCTTGTTCGACCGGGAGGCGTACTCGCAGTACAGCAGGGTGTTCCTCCCCATCACGTACGTGCTGAGCTATGCGGTGCAGTTTGCCGGGCTGGCGTCTCTCGTGACCCACACCGTCTGTTGGCACGGCAGGGACATCTGGACGCAGTGGAAGCGGTCGTTGGAGGAGTCGGCGGGGGAGTCGAAGGGTGGGTACCAGCCGGTATCCGAGTCGAGCGAAGGGCCAGCCGGGGCTTCGAATGGGCGGCGGCCACGAGCGACCAGAGCGTCCCAGAGCTTCGACAACCTCATGAGCCGCGAGGATGTCCACAACCGTCTGATGAGGCGGTACAAGGACGCGCCTATGCTGTGGTACTTGATGACATTCGTTTCTATGACAGCGATCGGCATCTTTGTCGTGGAATAGTGGGTGCCCCCCCCCCGAGAAGTCCAAAAGAAAGGGGGAGTGGAAAACCAAACTAACATACTCAGCTACCCCGTCCACCTCCCCTGGTATGGCCTCCTCCTGGCCCTCGGCATCTGCACCGTGCTCTTCATCCCGATCGGCATCATCATGGCCGTGACCAACCAGCACTCCTCCATCTACCTGATCTGCCAGCTGATCGCCGGCATGCTCTTCCCCGGCCGGCCCGTCGCCAACATGGTCTTCGTCACGTACGGCTACATCTCGTCGGCGCAGGGCATCAAGTTCGCCGCCGACCTCAAGCTGGGCCACTACATGAAGATCCCGCCGCGCATTCTGTTCGCCGTGCAGATCGTCGCGACCGTCATCTCGTCGGTCACGCAGATCGCCATCCTCAACTGGATGTTCGCCCACATCCCGGGCCTCTGCACGCCCGACGCCATCAACGGCTTCACCTGCCCCATCGCCCGCGTGCACTTCAACGGCTCCATCCTCTGGGGCGTCGTCGGCCCCGCCGAGTTCTTCGGGCCCGGCGCCACCTATCGCCCCCTGGTCTGGGCCTTCGCCGTCGGCGCCGTGCTGCCCATCCCGCTCTGGCTGTACGCCCGCCGCCGCAGGGACAGCCTCGTGCGCAAGATCAACCTGCCCGTGCTCTTCGGCTCGCTGGGCTGGATCCCGCCCGCCACGGGGCTGAACTTCTCGGTCTGGGCCGTCGTCTGCTACGTGTTCAACTACCTCGTCAAGCGCAGGGCGCCGAGGTGGTGGGCGAAATACACCATGACGCTGAGCGCGGCGCTGGATTCCGGCTTGGCGTTCGGCATTGTCGTGGTCTTCTTTGGGTTTGTCTACCCGGGCCTGATGAAGGGCTTTAGCTGGTGGGGCACCGAGGTGTATAAACGCGGGTGTGACTGGCGGGCGTGTGCGTATCGGAGCGTGCCGGAGAGGGGAAGGTTTGGGCCTGAGGTTTGGTAACTACTAGTAGTAGGTATCCCATTTATCTATCTACTGTAGAGTCCGGAATGGGGCGCGTGGCAAGAGCGCAGGTGGTCTGTACGGTACATACTTCTACTTGTACAATACAGGATGTGCTTTGCGGCAATGGGATCTGCATTGTTTTCGGCGTTGGGCAAGCGGTTAGTTAGTCAGCTGCATTCATTGGGTGTTAATGCCATCCTGGTAACTCCTTGTTTGTAGGTACCTTAGGGATCAATACATGTTGACGAGCGAAAAGAGATTTTTGGGAGCCGAAGAAGGCCTGTCTGAGGGGGGTGCATCCATACTGTCAGCTGTGTCTACCTGAGTGAATACCCTGATGCCTGCGCCCGTTAATAGGGGCCATGATGAACGAACTGGACCGTATATCCTGGGAGGCTCACATAGGTACTGCTCGGACAGACAACCGCACTACGAAATTATCTCCTGTAAGCACAGCAAAAATCGTGAAGCACTCTTTAATACACTACGAAGCTGTACGACACTCAAAACGCTCTTAGATGCCTAAATCACCCGCTTATGTATGTATGTATGTACAGCCGATACCCAATCCCCCTGACCAAATTGACACAAGAAAACGAAATCGGCGCCAGCCGCAGGCAGGGTAGTTAGTTAGTAGGCATCGTCACCTCCCATATTCCTTCTTATCCACCACCGCCTTCAGCACCTCCAGATGCTCCTCGGTCACGCGTATCGCCTCGCGGAGCTCCCGCTCATCCATCCTCTCTTCCCTCAGCTTCTCCTCCACCGTCCTCGGATCCACGCTCCTCTTCCGCAGCGGCGGGTCCGTGCCCAGTCTCTCCAGCCCGACCCGCTCCTCGATCCACTCCCACAGATCGCTCTCCTCCCTCCGCCATATCTCCTCGTACGCCGCCAGCCGTTGCGGGGCGTTCGCGTATGCCGGGTCGTGGCTGTACCGCGGCGCGCTGGGGCGAGTACCGAACCCAAACCACGAGGCCACCAACAGACCGACCAGCAGGCCGTAGACGACGTTGCCGGTAAGGATCGGCCTGATCGTGTCGACGACGGGACCGAGGATCGGACGGGCCGGTTCGAAGAGGCCCCAGCTCTGCTTGGCGGGGCCCTTGAGGGATCCCTCGGCGTCGCTGACGGTGCTCGAGGCCAGGGTCGCCTTGTTCTTGCGGCCGCGCTTCTTGCCGCGGGCGGCAGCGCCGTTGAGCGCACTGCCGGACCGCGCCCGGGAAGAGACGGCGGCTTTGAGGCCTGCAAACAGGTCCTTGCAGTACTGGGCCTGCCCCTCGTTGGCACCCTTCTCGATGGGACCTAAACGGTCAGCCTAGCGCTCCATATACAGTCAGCTAAGGGGAGTGACACATACCTTTCAGCCAGCTCTTGCCGGACCATTCTATGACGTTGTTGATCTGCACGCGGGTGCCGTTGTTTTCCGCCCAGGTCAGACAGTACTTGGTCTTGACGACGAAGATGTTGCCGCTGGGGACGTCGGGATTCTGAGTGCTGACGAGGACGTTGACAGCCTTCTCCAGATCAATGTTCTCGAGTGTTTCGGTGACGATGCACTTTGTCTGCTTCGGCCCGATCGAAGCCGACAGGGGCTTAATGTAGGTGAAGGTGCGTGACCTAACCTCGTCCGTCAGGCCGCGCTTATCCTCCATCTGGAGGTCGAAACACTTTTGATCCGTCGTGAGCCACTTGCCCATCCAGCCTGCGGAGGCCGGGCCGAACATGAGATTGTAGACTTTGCCCAAGGGCGCGGGGATGACGTCGTCACCCAGCACCTTTTCGAAGTGTGTGGACGCATCCCCGCAGTCTGTCGGCGCATGGGTCGCGGGGCCGGGGAAGTCGGCTCCGCCCGCGGGCGCGCCGCCCTCAAGCTTCTCCGGAGCTGCCGCGGTGCCCGACACCTTACGCTGGGCAGCCTTCTCCGCGACGTCCGAGGCCTGCCCATCAGATGGCGGCCCGGCAGCGTGGCCGTCGTCCTCATCCTCATCCTCATCGTAAACGTCTTCATCATCCCCGCTCTCGTCGTCGGAAGCCGTGACGCTGTCGTCTCTGTGACTACCAGGTGCGGACACTGACTCAAGGTCGACCTTTTCGGTCCGGTCGCCGCCCGGCTCTTCCAGACGGACGCCGTTGAGCGAGCTCTGCAGGTGAGGGTGGCCGAGCTTCCAGATCTTGATGATGAGATCGTACGTGGTGTCGCGGCTGGCAAACGAGGCAAAGATGTGCTTGGCGTGCAGTGTGGAAATCTCAAGGCCGTTCTTGAACACCAACGCAGTGCTCCGCTTCTCGACCGCGACGATCTCGTCGAAGCTCATAACAAGCGTAGTCACCCAACCAAGAATGTTGCTACTGAAGCATAGATGGCCCTCTGAGATATACAAGCGGCCGTGTGCGAGGATTTCCCGCTGCAAGGCGCAGCTGTAGTCCTCGATCAGATAGTCATCATCCGGCACGCTCTTGAACAATGCGTGGAAGTCTCGGTTGCGCTTCTTGTTTGCGACGGCAAAGCCCGTGAGCTTGGGCGCGGGAGCACTGCTGCTGGCGGGGTTGACGAGCGACGAGTTGGCGGCCGCAATGGCAGCGCCGATCGTGCTCGCAGCCGAGGTCGCGTGGGTGGCAATGCTGCTGCCGCGGTTCCTGCGATGGCCAATGGCGCTGCGGATGCTGCCGCTACGCTGCACGCCGGCCTTGCCTTCATAGAGGCTGCCGGCCGGCGGTGTCCGCTCGCCGCCTGCAGCTTCGTGGATCGACCGCGGCCGGGCGTCCTCGGTGAGATCAATGCCAAGTGCATGGGGATCTGCGGGCGCAGAATCTGACCTCCTTCGCGTTCCAGTTTCCGCGAAGCGGGCTATAACAGGACTGGGCGCAGTACTGGGTGCGTCGGCAATGCCTAGCTGGCTGAGACTGAGGTCACCCATACCTAGCGTCTTGACTGCCGGTTCCTTCGGCTCCGTAGACGGTCTCTGGGATGCTGTGGACTCCACTTCGACTGTGTCTTGTCCCCTTTCGCCTTGCTCATTTCCCGGGCCTCCCTTGTTCTTTCCAGCCCCCTGAGCCAGGGCCGGTATTGTAGTGCTGAGCGAGTTGGCGGTGTTCTGGACCGCAGAGAACATGGAGGAGAAAAAGGTAGCGGTGGGATTGTTGGCCGATGCCGGGGGGTTTTCGGGTGTGGGTGTCAGCGGGGCGGTTGTGATGGTCGACAGCTTGCTCGGGCCAGCATTGGACCCTGCCCTCCGTCGTTGACCGATCATGCTCTCAGCAAGAACGGCATCAGCGGGCCGACGTAGGCTGTCACCCGCAGCAGAGCCCGGCTGCGTTTCGGTGGGCGTTGGCGGCGTATTCACAATCACTACTGGCGGTACCGCCTCGCCTGGAGGTGTGCGAGGTCGCGTGTTCAACGGCTCAAGCTTTTGACCTCGTGAAAGCCGCCGGTTGCTGTCGGTTGATGCCTTCGGTTCTGCGTCAGGTTTCGGTGACGGAGTGGCTTCCTGGGACTCGTTGTGAGCGGCAGTTTCCTCTCCGTCGCCCAAGCTCTTCTTCGGCTTGAATACGTCTCGCAGCCGGCTCGAGGACCGCTTTTTCCGAGGTCCGGGGGTCTCGAGGTTAGTCCGGCTTCGTGCGAGAGACTTTGAGGATTCGAGGCTTTCGGTACTTCCGTTAGGAAAGGTAGAGGATCGTGTGGAGGCGGGAGACGTGGTGTCTACGACGTCCGGAGCGATAACTTGAGGCGGATGCACAGAGATGGCGGTGGACCTGCGGTTCGGGCTAACGAGCGGGAGTGATGTCAGTTGCCGTGGCAAACCAGGGCCAGCCCCTAAGAAATACACAAAGAAAAGCAATGTGGCGAAGATGACGAATCCGGCAGACCCGGGATCTTATATAAGAAATGACCGTGAGACTTGATGAGGCGGATGACGACGGCCAACGTGAGGAGAAACGCCGCCTGGGGGAGGCGCAGGCACCGTCGCCGAGAGCCAGGTGGGACCAAGCTCTCGGTTAGCGCTATCCGCGCATAGATCGCTGCAGCGCACGCTGTACATGTACGACCTATACGCGGATATACGAATAGTACTCGGAATTCCCCGCCAAAAAAAAGACAAGGTTGGGCGAATTGGCAAATGGGAGGAATCAACGGTGGGCAAGCTGTATACTTACGGATCCAGATCTGAGTCCAATGTCTTTTCGGTGCTGTTGTTGCTGTTGTTGCTGTGGTTGCTGTTGATGGTGCCGCTAATCGAGTGAGCGTCGCTGCCAGCGGCGCTGCGACTGCTGATTCCGTCATTGTGCGCCTCAGCATCATCATTGCTGGCTGTCGATGAGGCTTTGCTGCGCCGGCGTTTTGCTGTGATCGCCTTGGGCAGAAGCTTCCCAAGGCCGTGGTTTGACGAACTGTCCATTCTGGCAGCGTTGTGGCGTAGATCGCTGTTAATAGGACCCTCTCTGCTATGGCATTGCAGCTACTGAGACAACGATGTCATCGTCATAGTGCCAAGAGGGCGTGCTAATGAAGGTCGGACGGAATCCAGCAACACGCGACAAGAGGCTGCGGTTGAAGGGGAAGAGTGATGAGAGGCTTAGATTCTTAGACCGGCGTTACGATGATGAGGAGGAGAATACGAACCCCTCGTCAGTGTTTGATGTTGGCTCCCTGTCTTCCTTCTCTTGAGTTCCGGGTTTGAGTGTCCCGCTGATGATGCCAAGCCCAAGCATGGCAATTGCTCCTTACAAGCTCGTGCAAGGGTGCGATAAGATAAGCTCACTAAGCAGCTGCTGCGCTAACGTTTAGTTAAGGTACGTGGGTACTTGGCCCAGCCTTACGGTACCCCCGCCATCCCTTGACCATTCATCAACCTCGCTCGAAGCCTTGCAGCGCCGACAAGTGTATGTGCTACAGACTGTGAGATGGACTCGTCGCCCTTGATCAAGGTAGATTCATCGATGTAGGTTCCCAGCTGTATCTGACCTCTGTAGGCCCACGACCACGCGCGCGCCGCGGCGATTGCGACACAAACCTCCAACACGACGGTTGCGATCAACGAGCACGCCCAGGCAGCAGGCGAATTCGCAAACGCATCCAAGACCACGAGCAGCATCGAAGCGCTGCGGATACTTGGGTTGCTGGAGCGCCACCACAGACGGCTGTCAGAGCGGTTGAAGCTGCCCATCGCGGGCTGCACATCTCGCACCATTCTTTGGGATGACATTCCCATCCCCGAGGAAGACGAGAAGGAGGAAGATGAGAAGGAGGCGGCAGCACAAAACGATTCCAAGGCGGCGCAGACCCTAAAAGAAGCTCCCGCGGCCGAACAAGTTCCTCTAGCAAAACCGGTGCCGCGCATCTCGCACAATCGATATCCGGGGCGCAACCTCTCATCGTCGATCGCGACCAACCTCGCATCTGCCCGGGGCATCAAGGCAAGCTATAGCACACAACCGTTGACTCCTAGCGTGTCCAACGACCAAGCGCCTGGAAGCCTCGAGGTGCACCCGCGCAGGGAGCGGAAGGAGGGCGTCACGACGGGCAAAGCACCGGAGCTATCACGGAAGCCAAGCGGAGTACCCCCGGCGATCAGGGAGGACACGGCCAGCAAGCCCTCGAAATCCGAGCCGGCCAGCCCGGTGCCGAGCGACGACGGGTTCTCGAGATTCTACAACACCTTCGGGAGTCTATTCAATCGGCTCCCCCTGCCGCTCGTGTTCTCCGGTCTTCCCCTCATCTCAGAGGAAGCTACTACACCCGCACCAACCGCGCCTACCCCCGAACCACCCCACAGGAAACCACCACGGAATACGAGACACTCCACGTCAGCTGCTGAACCCGATCTCACCAAAATCTACTCGCGCGCCACGCTCCGCTCACTGGAGCGCGACAGCCATGGCGCCAACGATTCCTTCTACGTAGTGCCCACGAGCGGCCACACCGCGTCGTACGCGAGCATCCTGAACCACGAACGCAAGGAGAAGCGTCGCATGGCGGCATCATCCATCCACAGCGGGGGCAACGACGACAACAACAACAACAACAACAACGTAGAGATGGAAGCCGAAGACGACGACTTCGTGGACGCGCGGGAGTCGCAGCAAGGCTCCGCCGCTCCACTGTCGCCGACCTTCCGCAAGCGGCGGCTGGGTGGCAAGAGCCAGAGCCGGTCGACCGAGAAGGAGCTGCGCAACGTGATCGAGGAGCTGCAGCTCGAGAACGCCAGCCTCAAGGACGTGCTGGACAAGCTCAGCAAGCGGCTGCACGCTTTCGAGCTGAACTCGCAGAGCTCGCACATGGCGCTGGCCCAGAGCCTGAGGCTGCAGCGGCCCGACTCGCCCACCACCCCTGGACTAGCTACTACTAGTACTAGTAGTGGAGTGGCTGCCGCGGTGACGGGGGAGGCGGCGCTGAGGAGGCGGAATCGGGAGCTGGAAGAGCAGCTGGGCGAGATGGTCAAGCGCATGCAGAGCCTGGAGAAGGACCACCTGAAGCTGCAGCTGACGGTCGAGAAGTACCGCGAGAGGTGGGAGCAGCTCAAGGCCAGTGCCAAGGCGCGTAGGGCGGCCCGCGGGGACGCTAGTGATGGCGAGTCGAGGAGGTGATGTGTTGTTACCTTTGTATGTAAGTGCGTGCAGTTTATTACAGAGAGATAGTGCTTGCTTTTTTTTTCTCAGGGGTCCTGGAAGTCCATAGGCGCAGAATACGCCAGGAGTTGGGTGCATTGGGGCAAAACTACGAGATCAAGGTGTATGTACGTCTTTCACCGAGTACGAGCCGGTACGAGCTAGGGGCCCAGGCCCTTCCGATTGCGTCCTGATTACCGTAGTAAAACATCGCAAAATCGGGCATTGTCCAGTATTGGTGTTTTTACGGGGAGCCGGAGGACCTATGGAGCGGTTTCACGGTGTTGTGTTGTTCAGCCGTAGAACGAACGTCATTGTCGAACCGCCCACTTTGACGTCATGAGAGGGAAGTTGAGCTCAACTTCTGTGTTGCCAATCTTGGCAGTGAAATCGCCTATAATAAGCAAGACCTGTAAGAGTAGGTTCAATTAATGAATTTCTAAAGGCCTACACAGTTGTGACTTATCAACGCATCAAAAAATTGATAAACGGTCTTGCCACAGACCGCATTGCGCCATATGGCTCGCCCTGAAGGAGTGGTCCTGAGAGACCTAGGCACCGAGCCAAAGACAGATGTTAGTGACCTGGGTACTGCTACTGAACCGAAAGCAGACGGTAACGGGGGTACCATATCCGACAGCATCGCGGAAAAGCCAACCGACTCGCATGCGCTGGCAGTCGAAGCGACAGTCATCGAGGGTGGCAACCTGGTCGACCATGGCTGGAACAGGGAGCCGGGGGATGTCGCCCGCCTAGTAGAAGGGCTGAGCAATGAGGATTTTTGGGTGCTCGTGAGACGCTTCAATAAGGTACGGAGCATGTCGTGTCATGACGATGTCATGGAAGGGGAGGGGGGGGTGGGTTGTGCCGGCTTTTTGCTAACCAGGACACACACAGCAAGTGTTTTACATCAAGGAGACCGGCAAGATCCCGCCCAGCGGCTTGGATTTGAACTTGGCCGACGAAGCCGAGTTCTCTGCCAACAAGTTCCGTAGCCAGATCGAGAGGCTATACATGGGGCCGGTAAGCTGTTACTGGTAATGTGATCTGTGCCGTTTAGGGGTAGTTGCTAACTGTTATCTCAGCTCCTCGGAATGCTCGCAGGTGTGAAGCACATCTCAAGGTTGCGTTCCTGGCTTGAACCACAGAGAACAGGCGCATTCTGTGCAGTAAGCCAACACTTGAACAAGCCCATATCCCTGCGTTACCGTCACTAAGTCCTTTCAGGTGTACTTCGCGGCGTGGTACTTCAACATCCTCATCGCTGTCCTTACCGCCACTGCGATGGCACTATGTGTTTCGCCAAGAGCTCGCAGTGTGCTGTTCCCGCCAGCCCCGATGGCCTTGGTGGACATGGCGACCGGCGGCTTGACAAAGCCTCGGGCCGGCGTGCTCGGCGCAACGGATGCTGTGACGGGCGCGCCCGAGAACCTCAAGGGCGAATCGGTTGAGAACGAGGCCAGCAACTTTGTGACGGGCGTGGTTGGGATCGCCGTGAACACGCTGACTGCGCAGGACCCAAAGTCTGAGCCGGAGAACCAGAAGGGAGAGGAGCACCCTACCGACAGCATGCCGCAGCCAAATCAGGCGACAACCCTGTTTGCTGTGGCCAAAGACAGAGCGGCTGGCGTAAAGGACCCGTCGCATGACAAGACGAAGTACCCCATGGAGACCATCATGTGGTCCAAGATGCTGCCCGCCCTGCGGCTCCTGCACTTCATTTCGGACAATTGGGAGCGCGTCGCAAAGTAGGTTCCTGACCAACCCTTCCACAAGCCACATGAACAGTCCACTGACATAGGGTTCACGCAGTGCACTGGACCCAACGCCCCCTTTTCCCCGGGAAACGCACCGAGTCCGCCTCGCAGGTCTTCTGTCTCCCGTCCTCCTACTCTCCATCCTCTTCTCCGCATCGTCAATCGTGAAAGCCATCACATTCCTCACCGGCGTCGTGTTCTTCAGCGACCCCCTAATCCAGCGCGCCACCCATTGGCTCGACCGCTGGCACCCAGTCTGGACGCAGCTGCTGCGCCCGGAGGCGCACATCCTGCACGGCGTACCGAACAACGCCCAGCTGGCCCTCACGCTCCTCCGCCTGGGCGAAGCCCACGGCACGCCCTTCCCGCCAGCCCCGAGCACCGACAAGAACCCGCCCAAGGAGCCGCTGCCGCTCTCGGGGTCCGACATGTCCGCAGACGGCGCCAACGCGCCCCTCGGCGCCACGCAGGACGAGATCGAGCGCGCCGAGGCCGCCGACCCGGACAAGCTCGACCAGGCCGGCGGACCGGACTCGGAGATCAAGGACGTCGGCGGGCCCAAGACCAGCAGGTTCCTGGCGTTCGTCAAGGGCAGCACCAAGCTGGGCGTGCGGGCGGCGCTGCAGGCCGACAAGCTGCGTGCCAAAGCCGGGCGCGAGAGCGCCAAGAACCGTCTGGGTGCTGTCCCCGCCGAGGGTGCCGGTGACGAGAGGGAGGGGCCGGCGGAGTTTAGTGCCCGCTGGGAGGGGAAGCCTGGGCATGTGAAGATCGGGCCTGGCGGGGTGGTGGCGTTCAATGAGGACTGGCGTGTTCGTGCCGCGGATATCACCGAGTTGAAGAAGCATAGCGGGATTGGTGTCAAGACCAAATTGGCGGTGGGCTGGGCCATGGAACGCGACGTCGCTGACGGGATTGAGATCAAGGACCGCAACGGGAACGCCTATGTCCTGTCAGCTGTGCCGCTGAGGGATCAGCTCTTCAATAGGCTGTGTGCTATGGGTGGGCAGAAGTGGGAGGTTTGGTGAACGGAGAGAGCGCAAGTAGCAGATATAGATGAGCGTGTTTAGCAGGAGGCATAGCATGATCTTAGAAAGCCAGCTATTCAATTGCGTTGCAAGAATGGAACACATAGAAGCGTTCAGTTTTTGCCTTTCCGGGCAATGTACCTAGCTTATTCACAACGGCGGTCCTGATCCTAGTTGCCTTGGATCCTGGCAAGCGTGGGCAACGTGACCGTTTCTGGTGTATAGTATCCCACGACCAGAATCATAGATATGTGCATCGTGATCCGGCCTTGCTCCCGCGCTGGTTCTGTTTTTGGATTACTATTTGGTGTTTCCCGCGATCCGGTACCTTGCGTCCTGGTGTCATCGCGCTCTGAGTCTGATATCTTCACGGTCTGATCTTGCTCGCTATGCTCAATGTGAGAGCCTGGACCCGACCGGCCGGGTAGACCGGGGCGAGCCCCGGTCCGCTCTGCGCCAAGAAGGGCTAACTACAGGTACAGGACGACCCCTAAATAACTGTTAGCGCGGAACTTGCGACAAGGGTCTTCCTCTCAACCCCGAAACAACACTCTCAAACAACAAAAGAGCTGATCCAACGCAGAAAAATAGGGTATCTTGCAATAACCTCAAAGGTTGGGTACATCTGTACGTCTTTTCCGGAGTAAAACTGGCCGTTTTGACGTTGAGTTTTGAGATCTTGGGGCTGACCCGGCCTTTAAGTCAGACGCTAACGAACTTTCAGGGGTCCGACTATAAACCCGCGCGCTTTAACCTTAATCCGACGACGGCCTTGTAGTGTTGACGACGTGTCTTATAGATAGTGACTGACCTAGGGTGGGAGATGATCGTCTGTGATTTTTCTTGCACCTCGGTCAAAGGAGAATATGACAGACATCGGGCACTGCCCAGTGAGGTCTCCTTGAGAACGCTTGGGTAGCTCCTTCTTGATCTGAATTTACCTGGACCGACATGCGCGCTTCCACTTCGAATGTATAGGTACGTTTATTGACAGGAAGGAGCGAGAGAGGCGGAGCAGGCAGTCTCGACGGCGGTGAATAGAAACTGTGATCGTCCTGTGCCCCGAGTGTCTTGTTCTCCTATTTCTGCAACTTCAGGTCCGTACTCGACGTTCTTGGGTAAATTCATAGTTTGGGCATAGGGCCTGGAGCTCGAACTCCAACCCCTCAAAACTACCTTCCCGACTCAAATCAAATATATCCTAATGTTATTAATGTAATGCCTACCTACTTTGTAAGCGGACATAGCATCTGCAGATTTTCCTGGGCGTGGGGCTTTATCGGAACGCAACACAGCAAAAAGACCACACCAACCTCCGGCTGGAAAAAACACACAACACCTGCCTTCGCTCTGAAGCGTGGCGATATTCTCGATCCACCCAGGGGTCGAACCTGGAACCTCCTGATTACACAATCGTAGTCAGACGCTCTGCCATTGAGCCAGCGGACCTCGGTGACGATTAGTTGTGGGGAGAGATCCTTTTCTTCCAGCTTTCGGCCCGAGCGGCCCACAACGGGCCCACGGAGATGAACCAGATGGTGAAGCTAAAGACCGCAGACTTCGCCCTCTATCTGGTCTCCCCTGGTGTAGCCTCCATGATCTAACTAAGGTAGTCTCTAAGCTCTATCTAAGTATTGGTTGAGAATAGCACTCCTCTCTTTCTCTTCTATAATCGGTCGCTCCCAAGACACCAGAAAATCCTCGCAAATAAGAAACCTCCCAGGTTTCCTCCCAACATTCACCCTACTATAACCTCAAACTCGCCCGAAACTCGTCTATCGTCACGCTCCTCTTAACCACCTCCGTCTTTGCCCCTTCACTCCCCGTCCCAGGTCTCCTCTCCAGCGTCCACAGCTCTCTCACCCCGAGCCCCTCCAAGTAATCCAACCCCCTGTGGTAATTCGTCGCCACCTGCGCAATGCCATGGCTATCATCCGAGAAGGTAAACCTCCCTCCCATCCTCACCCACTCCTGGGCAATCTCCCGGCTCGGGTACGCCTCGGCCAGGCCCTTCCGCAGCCCGCTCGTATTACACTCCAACCACCCTCCATAAGCCCTCACAAACTCCAGATTCCTCACCACCCGCTCCCACACCCGCCTCCACTCCGTCAACCTTTTTATTTTTGTCTCCCCATCCCTATCCCCATCCCCATCCCCATCAGCACCATCACCACCACCACCACCACCGGAGGACGGCCTCCCAACGGACGCACTAAACAATCTAGGCAGATCAAAGTGCCCCACCACCCGTGGCCTCACCTCCTGCAACATAGCGAGCTGCTCATCCAAATAAACCTCCCACAGCCCCTCCTCCGTCCCACCGCACGCGGCGACCGCCTGTGCATACATGGCCGCGTCAAAGTCGATCGGGATGCCCCTCGCATGGTGCAGCGAGCCCACAAAGTAGTCGACCGCCGGATTGGCCGCCAGGGAGCGGATGAGCGGGCCATACTCGGCCGCGCGGATCCAGTCCGCCTCGAAGCCGATCAGCACGCGGATCTGCGCGGCATACTTCGCCTGCAGGCGCGCCGCTTCGGCGAGGTAGGCTTCGTGGCGCGGCGCGAGGGCCGCGAGGGATTCTTCTGGGGATGGGAGGAGCTAGTAAGATAAGGTATTACTTTAGCTATCTACTGATACCCTTATATAGAGTGAGATATCAGGAGAGGAGGTGAGGTGAGGTGAGGTGAGGGGAGAGAAGATATATATACATACCTCTTCCGGGTACAGGTCGGACAGCGCGGTGCGGGGCATGTGCTCGGTCAGGCCGATGGTCTTGTAGCCGATCTTGATGGCATGCAGAATGATGTCCTCGAGTTGGTCCTTGGCGTGCCCTGGGCAGAACTGGCCCGAGTGGGAGTGCATTGTGAAGGCCATGGCTCGCTCTTCTTCTCTTGCGCGCTGGTTTTGAGCTCCTCACTCAAACAAGGCCGGACTGAGTTGGCTGGTGTTTTGGTAGATTTGGACGAGTCCAAGTCGACCTTCACTTCGCCCCCGACCTGGCTTAAAAGTGGAAGTGAACCGAGCGGCCTCGGAATACTGTATGCGCATGGGCAAGATCGTGATTTTGTTATTTTTCAACTGACAAACCGTGGGACTTACACCCGCCGGATGGTTGAAGAAACTTAGGTGAGGTGAGTCAATGATGAAAAGAAGATTTCTAGGTTGGCTCTGCAGCTGCCCGAAACGGAATTGTCAAACGCCAGCGCCGCGCCGCAGCACGCTGAACCCGGCGGCTGTTTAAGTGGCCCCGAGTGCTGATGGAGCATCAATCCTGCCTGTATTTTGTTTCTCCAGTTACACCAGGGACACTCCGGGGCGGGTCCCATCAGTATGTAGGTGGGTTGCTCTCAGAAAGAAGAGACAAAAAAAATCGGAGAAAAAAAAATAACATACAACACCGAGGATTCCCCAGTGGTCACCCACCTGAGTACTGGTTCGGCCATTGGTAGCTTGACTAAGGGAGAGCGGACGGGATCCCGTATTTTCTACCAGGTATGGTCGTATGTACCTGCTTACTTGGGAAAGACGCAATATATTGATACTTACCACCACTTACTTACCTACATTGCAAGTACTGGCTGAAACGACCTCGGGCAGATTTTCAGTTCATAGGTAGGGAGGCAAGGCAACGCCAACAATCATAACTAGTTTTACAGCCTAGTTCTTTCAGAAGAGACAGCATCTGATTAGGAGTTCAAGACAGACGGGAGAAGGAGAGGGAGGGAGTATTTGATACATTAAGGTATCCGATCGAGAAGCAGCAACCAAGGTTGATGAACCATGTATATCTCCGCTTACCCTCTAAGGTAGAGATGTAATAGTTAAACCGACACCATAACATGTAAGAAGAAAATGTACAAAACAACACCCCATCAAGCTCGTCTTAATATACCGAATCTATGCCCTTCCCTCCATTATCAACCCTCCTCCCAACAATAACCTCACAGACTCAACACAATACAATCCCTAACAGTGTCTCACCGACAACCGACACCAACCCTCCTCCCCCATGAACCCCATCCCCTTAGGACAGGAGATACCAACCAAGAGATCAAACCAAAGCCGCCTCAGTGACCAAAGCCTCCCCCTCATCCAGCAAATCCACAACCTTCTTCAGGTTCCCAATCAGACTCCTGCCCAGCCCGACAAGCAACAACTTCTCCGCGTTGGCCGGCAGCCCCAGATACGTAGGCGGCTCGCGCTCGGGAAGCCGCTGGATCCAGCCCATGAACTCCTGCAGCGACGTGCCGGCGGGTACCTCCAGGCACTGTTCTCCCGCCACCGCTGCCCCTATCCCATGCTCGCCAGACTCAGGAGACGAAGAAGAAGAAGAAGCAACAAGCTTATGGCCGATATCGAACGCCGCGGGCGTCAGGAAGGCATGCACCAGCTGGCTGAGCACCTTGAAGTCGCCCTCGTCGTCGATCTTGCCACCGTACGTCTCCGTGACCAGATAGCGGATCATGTCCCAGGGAATGTTGGCGGGCGCGATGTTGGTGCGGTTCTGCGCGACGTATTCGACCCACGTGTCGATCACGAAGGCGGAGCACTCATACTGTGTGTTTTTTTAACCGTCAGTCAAACCGAAAAGATAGAAAGGAAAAAAAAGTAAAAAGAGTAAAAACTCACGTCGGCATCATTAAACTCCCAGAACCCCTTCCACCCCAGATTCGGCGCATACCGCAACCGCTCCTGCACAACGGCATGCAAGAAGCTCAACAACAGGTACAGCCGCGTCCTCTCAACAGGGCTCTTGACAGCCCTCGTCGACAGGCTGGACATAGAGTCCTTCATATTGGCCCTCACGCCGGCCGGCTGCTCGTACATGAGCACCCTCGAGGCCCTCAGCAAGTTGACGGGTATCTTAGGCGACGACTCCATGCTCAAGAACAGCCTGAAGTCCTTGGCCGGGTTGAGCGACTCCATACGCTTCTCGAGGGACTGCAGCCAGGTCGGGGCGAGGTGGACATTCTTGACCAGCACCCACGACCCGGTCTGGGCGGCGTTGGCGACGGCCTTGTCCGCGCTCGCAAGCCCCTCGTTGGAGCCCATGGCGATGTTGGTGCAGCGCACGCGCATGCGCTCGACGAGACCGTCGACCTTGTACGAGGCATCAAACCCGGGGGAGGACACCAGCGCGATCGGGCGGGTGGCGCTGACCTGGTCGACGGTCTGCTTGAGGTCCTCGACGATGTCAAACAAATCGGACCCAAAGACCAAGGTAACAAACCGCTCTGCGGCAGGCACGAACCGGTCGAGGCGGAAGAGCTTGACCAGCAGCAGCGAGTAGAGCGCCTGGTCGGCGGGCGCGGTGCTGCTGTCGTCCCAGATCTTGGGCACATAGTTCTCGGCCAGCTCCTCGGTGAAGAACTTATCCCAGTCGGCCTCCGCAACACCATCGAGCTTGTCTTTAAGCGCAGTAATCCGCTTGGCGCGCACAAGTGTCTCGTCCTTGGCCGCGACATCCGACGACACATCTTTACCCTCGACTTTTTCGTCCAGCACCACATCCAGCAGGCCCTTGTCCATCTTGTACGGCGACGCCTGGGCCAGGAGCATGGCCAGCGTGACGCGATCCTTCTGCAGCAGGCCCAGCGCGGTGCGCTTGAAGGTGGTCACGAACAGATCCTTGACAATGATGTCGCGACGGGCGTTGTGGTTTGTCTCGCCCGCCAAGTGTGGATTGCCGTGCAGGACCGAGTGGAAGATATCCAGGAAGTACTGCAGCGAGAACTGGTAGAAGTGGTTCAGATAATGCAGCTGCTCCAGCACGGCGAACACGGCGCTGCACGACCGGGCAATGACATTATACTGCAGCGTGATCTCGTCGACCTCGGCCATGACACCCTCGGTGTTACTCATCTTGGCCGAGATCTCAGCCGCCTCCGTCTTGAGCGTCTCCAGCGTCTCAATAACATTGTCATCGTCCAGGATATTGCCGCGCGACTCATTCAGCGCCTGCAGGAGCCGCTTCTCGAGCTGCCGCAGATGCACCTTGAACTCGCCCTGCAGCTTGATCAGATTCGACCGCCGCTCGTCCACGTCCGGGCGCTCCGACTTGAGCACCTCGGCCAGCGACTGCGTCTGCAAGCTGCTCTGCGTAACCGTGAAATTGACAAAGGTCGTGCGGCTGCAGATGTCGGGTGCGAAAGTAGCCGACGGGTCGCGCGTCGACAGATACAGCCTGAAAGATGGCGAGAAGTCGATCTGCTGCTTGCCGAGCTGGATGAGCACGCGGCCGCCCGTCTTCTGGTACTCCTTGTTGAGCACGTGGTTGAGCACCGGGTCGAGGTGCTCCGCGTCCTGGATGAGGATGGGATTGCCGAAGCGGAGCGAGCTCTCGAGCTGCTTGGTGAACGAATCATCCAAAAAGCTAGTAACAGTAAGCCGGCGGTCCTTGCACTCGCGCTGCAGGAACTCGGTGACGCGCCCCGACGGGTCGATGATGAGCGGGTAGCGGTTGAAGCGCTTGAGGATAATCGCGTTCTCGGTGCACAAATCATCCACCGGCAGCGTGTTCTCCTGCCAGCCGAGCCTCTCGTCGGCCGTCGACAGATACTCCGTAACCGGATTGTGCTGCTTGAACTGGATGCCCGAGAGATGCAACTGATGCAGCCAGTCCTCCAGCATCGCCTTTCTGAACGTCTGGTCGTACAGACCGCTGTACGCCAAAAAAGCAGCCGCAACGAGCACGTCGCCCACGAGCGTGCTGATCTGCGTCTCGAACGACTTGCTGCCCTCCTCCCAGCGCGTCCGCTCCGACGAGAGGCTGTCCAGCAACTTGACGCTGCGGTCTACCTTGAACTGCACGCGCGACATCTCGGCCTTGATCGCCTGCGTCTCGCTGATGAGAGACGCGTACTCTGTCTTGTACGTGGCGATGCTGGCCTCGAGGTTCTCGATCGTCTTCTCGACCGCCCTGGCCTCGGCCTTGGTCTGCAGCGCCTGCTCCTCGAGCAGCTGTACCTCCTCCCGCAGCGGACCAACGCGATCCAAGATCTCGGCGTAGTTTACCTGTGCCTCGACCCACTGGACCAGCGGCCCGCAGGCCTTGCTAGCACGGTTGACTTTCTCAAAGGTGAACTCAGGGTTCGCGAGGAACTCGTTGCGCATCTTGAGGCGCAGCGCCTTGGTCATCTGCTTCTCGTTGTTGAAGTTGATGATGCTAGCAATGAAGTCGTCCCGGCGAACGACCGCCTGGATCTGCTTCCAGTCGCTGACCTTGTGGCCGATGAGCGTGCAGACCGAGTCGAGCGCGAGACGCACGCCCTGCGGCGGCGCGCCCATAGACCGCACTTCGGTGAGATGCTGCCGCTTGATGTTGCTAACAGAAGCCTTGGCCTCCTCGACGGCAGGCTCGGCACGCGCTAGATCCTCGAGCACGATCTTTTTGCGCGACGCCACCTCGGCTTCCTGCTTCTCGAGGGCGGCCTGGATCTCGAGGGACGTGTTCTTCCTCTGCTCGGCCTCGCGCTGGTCGGCGACCATGCGCTGCAGCTTCTCGTTGGCCTCGGCGTCCTTCTGCTCGAGCTGCGCCTTCTTCTCGGCCAGGCTGGCGCGCAGGTCGCGGACCTTATCGACCGTGTCGCGGAGCTTCTCCAGACCAACATTGAGATGGCGCTGCTGCTCCTCGAGATCCTCGCGCTTCTCGTTGTACAGCTTGACATACTGCGCCACGAAGTCCAGGAAGTGCCGCGGCGTGAGGAAGGTGACCTTGCCCTGCGTCTTGAGAAGCTTGGCATTGAAGCGCTGCAGCGAGTAGTGGATGTACACCATCGAGTTAATGACGGCTTCCCGGTGCGACGGCGGCAGGTTGAGGCTGCGGTAGGCCACCGGCAGCGTATCGGGCGCGCTCCAGTTGGGCCTGTCCAGATCCACGGAATGGGTGAGCTCGTGTCCGACCTGGAACAGCGCTTGATCAGACCAGTCGCCGAACCAGTTAAGCACGCAACGGTTGAAGAGCGCAGGAGACGTCGCGGCCTTGGACGACAGCCCATCCTCCGGCGGATTCATCGTAAAGACAACGTGCAGATTCTTGACAATTTGGCCTGTGAACCACTTGTAGAGCTCCTCCTGCGAATCCAGCAGTAAGCCCTGCCGCTGCGCGCCCTCCTTGCAGGCGGTCATGAGCGCCGCGAGATCATCGCCTTCGAAGAGACCGGGCACCTCCGCGTTCGCCAGCAGAGTATTCATGCGCTCCAGGAACCCAGAGTCCAGCACGTTCGACTCGTCCATGATAAAGCAGATCTTCTCCCCCTTGCAGCCGCAGCGGCGGAGTACCTCTCTCAGGTCCTCGTCAAAGTCCTCGGCCGAGTACTTGCCGTGCACCTTGATCTGGAACACCTTGAGGCCGTTCATCCATGCCACAAAACGCGACAGCGTGGTCTTGCCACTACCGCTCACACCGATGAGGATCAAGTGGCCCTGCGGCTGGCGGAAGACGCGGTCGATCCGCAAGACATGCTCCAGGACGTCATTGAACAGGATAAGCGGCACGTCGACCTCCTCCTCGCAGAAGGTCTTGAGGCGCGCCTTGACAAAGTCGCGCAGCTGCTCGCGGTCGACGGGCATGTAGTGCTTGGAGAGCCAGTTGGAGAAGAGGATCGGCCCACCTAGCGCCTTATCCTCGTCGACGGTCGGGAAGTACTCCATGGCGATGCGGCGCACGGCATCGTCAGTCCACTTGCGCTCCTCCTCGGCCACGAGACGGTCCTGGAAGAGGCGGAGCGCCTCGTGCGCCCAGATGCGGAGGAGCCCTTCCACCGACAGCGTCTCGAGCGGCCGGATGGCCTCGTACACGCCGCGCACCCACCGGGTCAGCTCGCGCGGGCTGTAGACGTAGTGCGGCTGGATCTTGGGCGTGAAGCGCTGCTGCGACTCGAGGTAGAAGCGCACCATGGCCTGCGTGAGCGGCTCGGCGTAGCCGCGGAGCGAGGGGATGATCTTGAGCACGGCCGAGTTGAAGGTGCCGTAGATCTGCATAAGCGACTGCTCGCCCGGGTAGTCGACCATGATGAGCGGTGCGTGCCGGAGGAAGCGGGCGCCCATGGGCGTACGGCCGGCATCGGTGGGCGGGTTGCAGGCGCCGACGAACTGGATCCTGTCGAGCGTGACCCAAGACTTGTCCGACGTCCGCCAGAAGCCGTTGTGCTCGACGAGCTGCCGGAGGAAAGAAATGGCGCGCTGCGTGCCGTACTTGTCAGGGGCCGGCAGGTTGATCTCGTCGCAGAAGATGACCAGCCAGCGGCCGATCTGGGTCGGCGAGAGCATGACGCCATTGAGCGTCTTCTTGTACTCGCAGTACTGCTCAAAGGTTTTGATGAGGAGGTCCGGGGTGGTCGCACTCGAAAAGTTGAGGCCGACCACCTCCATGTTGGGCAGCTTGCGGAGGGCGCTGAACAGCGTCATGGTCTTGCCAGAACCAGGGGGGCCGCAGAGGAGCAGCGGCTTGTGCTCAGCAAGCCACGAGTACAGAACATCCTCGTGACGGACCGTGTCCAGGGTCGGGATGACCACATCGGTCTGCGTGACGGAGTGCGTGTTGACCTCGATGGTCGGCACCTGGTTCTGCCACGGCTCCCATTCGCCTCTTGGCAGCGAGACATCGAAGTCAATGAGCGAGCTCGTGCCGTCCAGCGGCGGCGAACCAAAGCTGGCGAGGCCCGCAACCTTGTCGCCAAACAGCTTGCGGTCCGACAGTGGGCAGTCGCCAGTCAGGGCCCACACCATGGCGAGAAGCAGCTTCTTCGCGATGTAGCCCTCGATCTGCTCGGGGTCGAGCGGAAAGTCCGAGTGCTGGGCGTTGTATTCGATGATGTTGCGAACAGCCTTGTTCAGGAGCGAGAAGAGCGTGTTGAGAACGCGGGCGACGGTGAACTCCATGATGTGGTTGAAGCCCTCGGCCTGCTGCAGTGCCAACAGGATGAAGTTGTCCGTCGTGAGATACGCCTGGAGGAGATCGGCGGCCTGGCCCTGCACCTCGAGCGCCTTGGCCGAGCTCTGGCCGGTTGCCACCGCATCCTCATCGAGATCCTCAAAGGCAACAGACCGCAGCTTCTCAAGGTAGTTGGTAACCATCATGCTTGGCGTCACAGTATCCTCGCTGAACCAGACCATGCCGCAGCGACTGACAGTGGCGAGCGTGGCATACTTCAGCGTCTCAACCTCGAACATGATGCGCACGTTGGCGGGCAGGTTGAGACGCTCGCCGTTGGGCAGGGTCAGCAGCTTGTTGTCGTCGAGCACGCTGTTCAAGTTCTCGACCCACTCAGGGTCAACATCACCATCAAAAACGATCCAGTGCCGCTTGGTGTCCTCGCCGCGCAAGTTGTCGACAATTTTGCGGAGAATGCTGGTAAACAAACCATCGGTCCACTCTCTGGTGGTCGAGTCCAGGTTGCCGTAGAGCGCCTCCTTGGACATGACTTTGCTGTCGATGACGTGCGACACGCCCTCGACATTCTCGACCTGCTGCAGCGCGTCGAGCAGCAGATTCCACGCCGCAGACTTGCCGGAACCCGAGTTGCCCACCATCATGACACCGTGGTGGATCTTCTGGATCTGGTACAGCTGGAGGACCTTGGTCATCCAGAGCTCGTTGACAACCAGATGCCTCTCGGCCGCCAGGCGGCGGATCGCGTCCTCGAGCGCGGCCAGGTTGGCGGGCACATACTTGACGCCGGGGAAGCAGTCCTCCTCGATGGCCATCATGATGTCGACGTCCGACTTGATCAGCTTGGGCGCGATGGTCTCGCGGATGCTCTGGACGATTATCTCGGGCTCGACCACCTCCTCGGCGCCCAGGTTGCCGTCGCTGCTGGTCAGGCGCGCACGCTTGAGCCCGCCGGAGCTGACCAGCACGCTCTTGAGCGCACGCAGACCAAAGTCGTAGTGGGCCTGCTTCGACAGCTTGGCCGAGCACTGGTCAAAGAAGGGCACTGTATGCTTGGACAGCTGCTTGGCCTGGTTGAAGCCCTGCGAGTAGAGCATGACCTCGGCGATGAGTTCCTTGTCGGGCTTCGACATGGCGACGCTGCGGAACAGCTTCTTCAGATTGTCGGGCAGGTTGGAGCGGCCCGCGTAGCCAGGGTTCATGGTGATGAAGATGCCCGTGTTGGCGTTGACGCGCAGCTGGCGGCCGACGAGCTCGATCTGGGCCTTGTCGTCTTCGGCCCCTTGCTTCAGACCGAGCTGGATGTTCTGGATCTGCTGCGACACAGCCGACAGGATCCTCTCCTCGAGACGGTTGAACTCGTCGAAGCAGCCCCAAGCGCCCACCTGGCAGATACCTAGGAAGATGCGTCCCATGGCCTGGAAGTCAAATGTATCGTCGCAGCAGAAGACGAGAGTGAAGCGGCCAAGCTGGATACCGAGAGCCTTGACTGACTCCGTCTTGCCCGTGCCGGCGGGACCGTACGGCGAGCCGCCCAGACGCTGGCACAGAGCTTGCGTGAGCGTAAGGAAGCAGCGATCTGTGAGAGGCGTGCGGACGAGCCGGTCGGGAACGCCCAGGTACTCGAAGCCGTAGTTGAGCTTGGCATTCGCCATTTTGATGTGCAGCCGCTGCAGGAAATCGCCCTCCGGGGCGTAGACGTAGCGCATCTGAAGCAGCCAGAGGTAGTGCGTGTTGGAGCGGGCGTTGGCCTTAATTAACTTCTCGATCGTGTCGCGCTGATGCACACACTCGGTAATGAGCTGCTCGCACTTCTTGCGCATCAGCACCTCCAGGTCCCCCAGGACGGTCTCCGCAAGCAGACGCAGCACCTGCACCTCACGGTCAAAGAGGGACTGCAGGTTCGCGCCTCCGTCGGCGAGCGCTTGGTCGACCGACGTGGTCCAGACGACCTGGGTAGCCAGCACAACAATCTGACTCGGATACGCCTCCATGAATCTGTTGAGAGCCTCGCGGTCGATGGCGTCGCTCGCAAAGATGGGCCCAAACTCCTCGACCGCCTCGGCCAGGAGCTCGGCGAGCGTCGCCTTCATGCCGTTCTCCAACAGCGCAAGCCAGTCGTTGATCCTGGGCGTCTTGATCAGGTTGATCTCCTTCTTGAGCCGAACCACCTCGCCCTCCTTCGACGTAAATCCGGTGATGACTGACTCCTCGTCCATGACCAAGCCGGTCAACCCAGCAAACATCTTCTTGAAGTGCTTGGCAATGCGCATGGTGTCGTTGCTGTTGCCGATCATCTCGAGGAGATCCTCATCGCCCACAAAGTAGAAGCGCGGGAAGGAAACACGCTCCTTCTCGAGGTACTCGCCGAGAGCCTTCTGGATCTTGTTGAGTAGCTCGGCCAGCCGCTCGAGCGACTTCTGCACGTTCGGGATGTTCAGCACGTCCAAGACGTTGGGCTGCTTGTACACCTTCTTCATCACGGCCGAGAACTCGCTGTTGATGTTCTGGAAGCGCGACGACTCGATGGGGAGCAGGTGCTTGATGTCGGCATTGCCGGTAAACACGCCCTCGAGATACACCCATTGGCGCTGGACATCGATCCACACGTCGAAGAGCACATGGACGCGGTTGAGCTTGTCCTCCCAGGCAGAGGCCTCCTCCTCGAACTCCTTGTAGTACGGCGAATGTCTCATGGCCTGCAGCGAGTTGAGATTCTCACTGCACTTGGCAAAGAGGTCGTCCCAGCCGCGAATAAGACGGCACTTGTTCTGGTAGTTGACCAACTCGAGTCCGTAGCCGGTCCAGGTCTCGCGCACCTGCTTCAGGAACTCCTCCAGCGCCATCTCGCCCTGCGCCTGGACGATGATGTCCTTGACGATGACCTCGGTGGCCACGAGATTGAGATCCCAGACGTCGCCGAGCGTCATGGAGACCGGGGAATAGCGCTTCCCGGGCTTGATTTGCTTGTAGATCTTGGTCCAGTGCCGGTCGCGGACGGCCTCCGACTTGAGCTCGGCGAGCATGGGGTTGACCTTCATGAGCTGCCGCAGCACGTCCTGGATATGCTCAAAGGCAGCATACTGGCGCATCCTGCTCGGCATCTCCTTGGTCATCTTGATGAGGTTGTCGATGGACGACCGGATCTTCCTGGGTTGGACGCTGTTCCAGAGGATCTCGCGCAGCTCGTTCAGGTTATTCCAGATGGTCGAGAGGGACGCCCACACGGACTTGAAGTCCTGCACCTCTTCCAGAATGACCCCCAGGGACGTCTCCGGGGTTGCCGGCAGGTCGAGCGCTTCCTTGGCTTTCACGACCATGGCGGATTCTTCCTGGAGCCTGGTGATCTTAATTTCGAAGTCGCTGAGCGTGGCAGAAGCGACATCCGGTGCGATGGTGCCCGAGACAGGCTTCTCCTCGTTCCACAGCTGCGCAATCTCGTTGATCTTGTCAAGGATGACCTTGTCCTCGGCGATGATCTTAGCACGCAGGGCGTCCGTCTGGTCCTGCACGATCTTGGCCTTGCGAGCGAGAGCCTCGTTGAGGGCATCCCATGCGCCATCCACCTGCTCAACGTGCAGCCAGTCGTTGGGGAACTGGTACCGCTGTCTCACAAGCGTGGACTCTCCCTGTCTAAATGTTTCGACCTCGGGCGCCCAGAGCTTCACCTGGCGCTTGCAGGTCTGAACAGTGGTAATGAACTGGACAGCCTGCGCAGTCGAGTTGGCCTCGATCGCTTGGCCCTCGATGTCCCTGCGGGCCTTCTCGATCTCGGCATGGACTTCGCGCATGCGTGTACCCAAGCGGCTGGCGAACTTGATGAGGATGTCGTGCTGCCACTGGTCATACTTGGCATTGACCTTGGTCTGGACTTGGTCGTAGTCGATGGTGATGTGGCCGAATGAGCGGCTAACCTCGGTCGTGTCAAAAGTCTGGCGCGTCTTCCTGATTTCCTGAAGCAGCTGCAGCCATCTAGACAGCTGGTCGCCCAGAACATCATAGACGTGCTCTGATTGCAGGTCCCAGAGCGACTGGAACTGAAGCCATTTGTCCACATACGCGCCGATCTCCCGGATCTTGGTCTCCACCGACGTCTGCACTCGCAGGAGGGCCTGGGTGCATTCGCTGGGGAGGTCGTTGAAGCGCGGCTCCTCATACACCGTCGTGCTGATAGACATCTGGTAGCGAGTCGCCTTGATCTTCTTCAGGTTGCAGACGACCCCAATCCAATCCTGAAGCTGCGAGAACCAGCTCGCTCGGGCAAACTCCAGTGGCGGGTCGAGGTAGATGACCTGATTGCGCATCGTGATTTCGTGGATCAGCTTCTTGATGACCGGCACATCCTGCTTCGCGCCGTCGGCGGCTTCCAGGGCCCGCTTGCGGTCATTCGATCTCTCGAGATTCTCATCTTCGAACGCCTCAATCCACGCCTGGATCGCATGGTGCAGGCGAGCAAGAAGGACCGCCTTGATCTGCCTGTTCATGCCATCCACCCAGTAGCCAAGGTTGACGTATTGCTCCAGGTTCAGCTGGTCGACCGCGCTCTGGATGATCTCCAGGCGGGACTCGAACGCCGATACTTCGTAGGGGCACCTCTCGAGTTCGGTCAGCGCCTTCTGGACCGTGGCGTGGATGTTGGCCAGCGTGATGGTCTTGGACTGCAGCAGAGACACTGACGCCGCAAATTCGCGGATGAACATAACGTGCTTGCTCTCTCCATTCTTGGCATATTCGTTGAGGCCGCCGTTCACTGAATACTTGTTGAAGTGTACCTCGTAGGTGTTGACGAAGGACTCCCACCTCAAGGGGATACCCTTGGCGATCAGACTGTAGACCTCGTCGCGGTGGCCACTGAGAAGCACAGCAACCTCTGACATCTCCGAGATCTGCCGGTTGGTTTGCGCAAACGTTCTGACGCTCTCCATCAAGCTGACGGCATACGGGTACACACGCTTGGCCTCCTTGGCCACGTTGTTGACCGAGTGCGGGACGGGGAAGTTGAGCCACACCAAGTTCCGTGTTTCCTTGAACAGCGCAATCACCTGGGCATCAAAGTTGACAGCCAGCTCTAGCGCGTTGCCGGCGGAGCGGATGCGGTTGATGTTGAAGAGCAGACCCGAGATCGAGATCTGCTTCCTCTGAACGTCATGCAGCCAGGCCTCGAAGATAGGACGCGTGTCGAGCTTCTTGCGGAACAGGTCGCTCTCGCTCTGCAGCCTCTGGCCCTCGGCATGCAGGGTCCAGTCAGCGCCTAGCACATCCTCGACCTTCTTCATGTATCCGTCCAGTTGCCGCTCAATCTGGCGCGCCCAGATGATAGCGCCAGACACAGGAGGGAGGTCATGCAGCTGAGCCATGGCATGAGCCTCGGAGTGGCCGTACTGCTGCTTGAATCGCTCGTGCAGCGCGGTGATGGCTTGCTTGACGTTGTCGATTAGCTGGGTCTGGTACTCGGCAATGGCACCGCGGATCTTGGGGCGCACAAAGAGCGCGTTGAATTTGGAGAAGACACGGAACATCTCGTTGGCGTTCTTCGCCGTTGCGAGCCGGTCCCGGAGCCGCGCAATGATCGAGTTCTCCACCCGCGAGGTGCGCTCGTTGTAGATGTTCTCGGCTCGCGCCCACTTTTGCGTGCCCTCAGTAGTGACATCAAGCAGGTCAACATCCTTCAGCCCCTCCCATGCCTGTCTCACCTCCTCCACTGCGTCGACATCGCCAATCTCCTCAACGACGACGATCCCGTTAGCGCCGGAGCCGTCGGCAACGCCGCTGACAGTCGCTTTGGGACCCAGCACGTTGATGATGGTCCGCTGCAGCTGCTCATGGTTGTCGCGGAAGTTGCTAACATATTTCAAGCGGGCTTGCAGCTCACCGTGCCTGGGAGTGATCTTGATCGGTATGAACCTCTCATTGCGGCGTCTTGTCACCTCGCGCGCGACATTCGTGAACTCCTTGATGTTCTCGTCCCAGGTTCTGAAGATATCATCGGCTTCTTTCATCACCCGGCGGAAGTCCTGGTACTCGAGCTTTACTAATTCGGTGCCCGGTAGCAGGCGGTGCAGCACCTCGTCCAAGTCACCCGAGATGGTCTCTACCAAGGGGAGCGCGCGGCGGATCGGGTACGGGCATATTCTCAGCTTCTTGTTCAGATGGCCAAAGATCTGCCCGATTGAGTCTTTGACTTTGAGCAGAGTAGTGGCCGAGAGCAGCTCGTCGAGCGGAAAGTCGCGCATGAGCTGATTGTACTTTTGCACCTTTTCCATAGCCTCCTTCAAGCCAGTATCAGCCGTGAAGCTGACGGTAGCCTGGAAGCGCTTCGCATGTTTTAGGACCTCAAGCGTCAGCATGACACCTTCGCTTCGGAGCTGATTCTCTATCCCCTCGAGCGCAGATTCCATCGACAGCCAGAAGTTGATCTCCTGGGTTGCCGTTCCCGTAGTGGGATCCCTAGTCATCTTGGTGATAACCTGAATGGACTTGATCCAATTGTTGACGGTGGCCTGCAAATTGTTGAGGAACGTGCTGTCCTGCAAAACGGCGGGCGGGATGAGGTCGAGCGTCGGCTTCGACTGTCTGGCGGCCGCCTCATCCAGTGCTGTCTGCACGATGGGGTGAAACGGCAGCGACACCTCCGGGATCTCGACATTCTGTTGCAGGTGCAGCAGGCTGAGCTCGAGCTCTGTCCACCGCTTCTTAGTGACCGGAATACCCGTCTTCGCATCCACATCCGTTCGCCCTCTCCCACCGCTAAGCATCTGTTGACTCTTGGTACTGGCATCGAAGTATGGCGCCAAGCCATTGTGTAGGTAGAGCTGGAGGATTTCGTAGGGCGATCCAGTCGGGCCTTGCTCACCGGCCGTTGCAGTGAGGGATGCCGGGCCAGGCAGGTTGAGCATCTGAATCTGAGAGGTGATCGGCACGCTGGGGTCGAGGGGCTGTGGGCGCTTGAGGAGTGCAAGGAAAGCAACAGTGGTCGTGGACGAGGAGAAATCAGAAGAGATGGTGTAGACGTGGGAAGGCACATCTAGAGGTCGGTATCAGTATCATACCAGGGGATAGCGGAGAAACAGGTACGGGCAGCAGTCCTACGATCATCACTATCTCCATTCTCGAGCGAATCAGTCGTCGGAATCAGGTCTTTCTGTATGTAGAGGGCGACTTGAGCATCCACGGCGAAGCGAGTACACCGTTGGAGAGTGTCCGGGTATCGGGTCTTTGATAGCAAACTGCCGGGAGACTCGAGCTCCGTCCGGGTCGCGCCAAGGGCTGCTTGGAGGAGGACAGCGATATGGTCGACGACGCGGACCGGGTCGATGGCCGCAAAAGTCGCGGTCGCAGCGCCGTTTCCAGCGCCATTCGGCCCGGGGCTCGGCGACTGTAAAGGCGGCGTAACCGCTTCCATTGTGACAGTTTGAAAATCGCTCTGAGGCTGTCGGATATCACACTTCGATCGATGTCATCTCTCTCTCCGCTTGGGCAGTAATGTGAAGATCGCAGTCGTAGTGCCGCCAGAGATTGCCCAGGAAATTATTAGGGTACGCAATTGTTACACGCCGAGAAGAGGAAGCGCAAAGCACGTTGTGATGGGTATCTGGGTATCACTGGTCCGGTCCACGAAGGTGATGTCGAAAATGCAGTAAAGTCGGGGTTGGCTTAACTAAATTGCTCCCGAGCGGGAATGGGGATGTTTCCTGACCAGGCACGGCTGGGCAGACGCGACCAGCCCCTGTCGCGGAAGGCATGCACGGGGGATCAGGGGTCGGTCGGTGGAACAGCGCCTGATTGGTCAGTGCAGCCCCTTGATGCAGAAGCCGGCAGCGGCATTTGTCGAAGTCGGGTGTGAACGAACGAACCATCATCGCCGTCTCACAAGGAGAATTACACTACGTGAACAAGTTGATTTTCTCATTCTCCATAACAGCTATCTTCACTGTCTGTAGTATCCAATGACAGTTATAGTTGATTCTATTCAGCGTTCGTCTGCGGGTTTCAAACCCTTTACACCGCTCCTCTACATTAAATTCCAACTTCAACATTCAGCCGATTCGAAGTTTCAACATCATCTGAATCAAGAGACTGGGATGGCCGTAACTTGGGGATCCATGCGCAGGTGTGTACAGATTACTTCAAACGGTTGCATCATGACATAGGGGTGAACATAGCGAACGGCTATGCAGGTTGCACGCTTAACAAACCCCTTACTGTAGCCAACGGGGTAAACAGAAGGAGCAATTATCAGCTTAGCTTTCCTTAGACAACCGCGCGATCGCCAGCCGGTACATCTAAAGGAGAAATTGGTCGGAGTAGTGATTCATAACGGCTATCTCATTCAACGCTTGAAAGGCAAGCCAATAACTTATTCAATGTCACGCGCAACTCCTGATAACTGATGCCATCCTTCATTAGGTAGAAAACCAGCGCCGCCCAAATGCCTAATCATAACCACATCCATGAGGGTCAACGCTTCTATCAGAATACCAGTTTACTAAGGTGGCCTTGGTGCGGGACGAGGTTCTGGTGATATCGTGAATGTAGTGTCGTCACGGCAACTAGGGCCCATGACAATCACTTCGTACCGTTCGTACCGTGGAAGAAGCCCCAGCGTATGTTGACTAAGAACTCGACGGCTCAGCCCTACGGCTGTCCCCCGTAGTGGAAAGCTTGACGGTAACCCGGTGGTTGCAGATGTCAATGAATTCCTCAAACTTTTTGATGATCTTGTCCTGCTCCCGAACCTTCTCCCTGAGCTTCTCGATCTCCTTATTGCTGTCTTCTTTCAGTTTGTCAAGTTCCTCCCGCGTCTTAAGAAGCTCACGGCGGAGGTCAGCCCGAATGCGCTCCTCGGGCGACGGGTGCGGTTTGCTGTATATGGCCGGGCGATTCTCCGCCAGACCAGTCGCAATCTTCTGAGGGTTTCTGTTGATGGCGGCACGCGCATTGTAGATATCACGGGCGAGCAGAGGTACATGGGGATTTTCTTGTTGCAGAATCTCCAGAGTTTGCGACACGCCCACACCTAGTATCGACGGTTAGTTTGAGCAGCGGAAGGAAGACCAATCTTTGCTTACACGTACCATTATCCTTCAGCTGCTTCACGGCAGCAACCATCTTGCTGTCTAGTTTTCTCGCTGCGGGATGCAGGAGAGGGCTCTCGCTCGGGCCGTGGTTGTGCTGCAGGTGGATTGCGTTTGGGCGGTACCGGAGCGTCCACTGTGTTCTCTGCTCAATGGCGAAGAAGCCGAACTGGCAGTCACATTTGCGGGAGGTGGTCTTCCGCTTGCGCATCTCCGGGGTGACGCGTCTAGGCGGTTTGCCGGCGCGATCGCAGACGAAAAGCACTTTCCTCAATCCAGGGACCGTCTTCTTGGATCGGCCGATGACAACCGCATAGCCAACCGAGGTGCAGTAGCTCAGAACATGCTTGTGAATTGCCTCCAGCGTCGGGAAACTTCCGCCCTCGGGGGGCGCAGACATTAAGGGACCCATCGGCTGGCGGGGGACGAAAGGGGAATTCTCGATCAACTTGGGCTCCAGAGACGAGGCCCCCTCACCCGCTTCGTCGTGGCTGCCGCCTTCCATATCGTCGTCATGGTGGTGTTCCTGCACAGGTTCGACCGACTCGGGTTGGCCGGCGGCCGGCTGTTGTTGCTGAGCGCCAGGTTGCACCTGCTGGATTTGCTGTACTTGCGGCGGGGCCTTCTGCGTCTGTTGCATTTGAGACTGCGGCGCAGGAGGAAGCGTGGACTGGTGTGAAGGACGGGGTGTCGACTGCTGCGCCATCATAGACGGGGGCGTGTCGTTGTGCTGGACAGGTAGGACAGACTGGGTGATGGACTGATTGGACATCGACTGGCTCATGGGTTGGTTGAGAGACGACTGCCCAAGAGACTGCTGTCCCAGTGATACAGGAGGATGAGGATTCATGGGTTGCGGATTCATCGTCTGCGGCATCGACTGCGGAGCGATGCTTTGATGCGATATTGTCGTGGGCTGTGACATGGACTGCGCTGGCATTGACTGTTGTCCCAGGGGTTGCTGATTGAGCGACTGCTGGAGATAGCTGAGCGGAGGGGTCTGTTGCTGCTGCAACTGGCGCGGAGCGGGACGCTGGCGTGGGCCAGGAAGCGCTGGAGGGGGTGGCCGGGCTGCATTTTGGAGAGTGGTGACGCTGTTGAGCTGCGGACGAGGAGCGTAAAGGTGGTGAGGATACTGGTTGGGCGAATGTTGCGGAGGTTGGTAGCCTTGGGATGGATGGTGGACGGACGAGTATTGCAGGGGCGAGGGCGACGGCTTGTTCGTCAGGTTGGGCGGCGGCGGGAACGATTGCCTGAGCGCGGCAACACCAAGGTTAAGCCCAGCATGGCTATTTGTGTTCGACATGGTGAAGTTGGACATCCGAGATGTCAGGCGCAACTGAGATCCAGCTTATGAGCCTCTTTCAAACCTGCGTCGAGCCCTCGCCGAATTGTCGGCGGGCGGGCGTGTACCGAACAGGGAGGTGTGGGCAACTTGAAATGGAGAAGAGCGAAAAGAGAGGATACGGGGAGGGTGTGAAAACCTGTTGGGCTGCCATCGGGTGCTGGCACAGTCGGATATCACAGTCGAGTGGCCTTATCCGCACTGTAGTCCAACTTGCATGAAGTTCATCCAATCAATTACAAGCCACCGGCGTTCGAGGGCTGGGATCAACCCCTGGCGCACTTCAGGGTACCCCGGTCGGAAGCTGACCTCCACCAATGCCGACGCGTCCATCCCAAAATAACCCGCAGGTGTGCCGTGCCGTCTCAAGTTGTTGAAGCTCCCGAGTCCAAATCAAGTTGGCGAGACAAAAACACGATATTACGTGTAGCAGCTTAAAGTACATACTGCAAAACTCAACACCATGGGGACTTTCTGGCTTTTGAAATGCTCTCGATTTGGGAGCTCGAGGGCCGACTCAAAGCTGGGGCACACGCCCTTGGTCCGTGCATTGCCTTGTTTGACCACGGTCCCTGGCCGTGCTATTTACAATTCACACACCCTTCCAGGGGCATCCATGATCTCAGGTGCAACGGCTACTTTCACAGCGAGATCTAACATTCAGTTCTTAACAAGTACTACTACACGTATATGGCAGGACAGAGTCTCGAGATAGGGGGATGCAGGCGGCGACACATTATGATTTGACATTGATTAGATTCCTTGGTTTTCATATGTCCGTTTGTCGGGGGTTTCCAAGCCAACAGCCCATCAGGATGCGGCACGGTTCGCAAATCGCCAACGGAATCTCATCTCTGCAACCGTTGGGATAAGGACCAAGAGAATCTAGAACCGCGACCCCGAGATCCCTCCGACTTGCCGACCATGATGCGATAACTAGCACCAAGCCCAGCTAATACATCAGTAGGGCAAAGAGGGGATGCTCAGACCTCATGCATTTAGTATTGTACATAGGTAACTTTCCCTAACAGCGAGCACAAGTATCGTCAGTACGCCTAGCTGAGATAATCAAACGCCATAGTACCAGCTTTTGCCAACTCAGGCCTTATTCTTGCTAACATGGCCATATGACGCCGGACCAGGCCCTTTTAACATAATTACTCGAAAACCCCCGGGGGTATAAACTATGAAGGTGATCCTGCGAAAGCATATCCGAACATCAATAAGGCGCCATTCCCCGCTACACCATGGACCAAACATCCTGCAACCTCCATCCTTAACACAAGGTAGGCAACCTTAACCTTACCTAGGTAGTCAGCCGGCACCTTCATAAACCGATCAATCCTCCTCCATCGCATCCACATCCACCTCCAACCCTCCCCTGCCAAACCAACTCCCGAAATCCAGCTTCATCAACAACCTATCAACCCCGCCCACCCGTCTCGGCGCGTACTCGCCGCTCTCCCTCATGCGGACCGCCTCTCCCGCCTCATCCCCGTCACTTTGCTCTCCGCTGCCCGAAAACAACAAGCTGCCAGCAGCCCCCTCCAACCGCCTCAATTCCCCGACCAGCCCCTCAATGCCGCTCTTGACTCTGCCCTCGACACCCCGAATCTCCCTCTGCACGTCCCGCTCCTCCTTCTCCAGATCGACAAAGGCGTCGACGACGCCCGCGTCGGCCTCGAGATCGGCCGCGGCCCAGACGGAGTGCAGCCTGTGGACCAGCGCGACGAGGTGGTCGATCTGCACGAGCAGCTCGTACAGCGGGTCCGTGAAGAATTGCTGCGACAGCAGGAGGCGGTGCACGAGGGTGCGAAGGTAACGCCGGTGTGCGGTTGCCAGAGTTTGGGGGTCGTGGCGCATGTGGCTTCTTCTTTGGTGCTGCTGTTGTTGGGATCTTGACGGGGAGCGGGGGCTGGCGGGGCCAGATTCTAGTAGCCAGATGTCATCGTCGTTGTCGTCGGGAGCATGATCCGGCCCGTCATATTCCCTGGCTGGTGACGTGGTCAAGGTTTGGTTAGATGAGTCGTCGTTGTGTCTCGAGTCGTCCTCACCCGTCCTCAGCCACCGGTGAAAGCCGTCCGAGAGTCCCGCGACGACTTCGGTCTGGAGATATCCCTCTATCTCGCCGAGGAAGAAGATGGCGGCGCTTGCCGTGGCCCATGCGTTGCGCAGTATGCTCGATCTTGTGGCGTGACGTTGACGGAGAAGGTGCACTTTCTCCCTTCCTCCTCGAGTGCTTCCGTAGGGTGGGCCGGGAGGCGCTGGATGGTGCCTCCGGAGGGATGTGATTTTCCACAGATCAGTCAGTCGAAGGTGGGCCCGTCGGAGGGAAAGCAGGTACGAGTTTATCGCAGTGTACGTCTGCAGATCTGACTGGCTGAGAAAGAGATCGAGGGGTGAGGGTATTTGCAGAGTTAAGACGACAGGGACCGAGAAGAGAAGGTTGCGGAAGGGTGTCGGCGCGATCGCCGTAAGTCCGCTCTCAATGGCGGCCGGCGTCGTCGATGTAGATGTCCTCGACTTGGCCACCGTTAGCCGTAGAAGATCCCGAGCGAGCTCGAGGCCCTCGTCTTCATCTGCATGCTCGCCCTGCATGGACCCCATTGCAGCCCAGGTTCTTGCCAAGACAGTAGCCACCTCCCCTTCTTTCACCGTGACGTTGCCGAAGCCGTCCCGCTTCTCGTAGGCAAGGTTCTCCGCCCGCTTCCACCGGCTCCTGATCTTCTCGTCGGCCTGCTGAGTCAATGCCATAGCGAACTCGCCCCGGCGAAGCAGGAAGAAGTCTCGAAATAACTGCAGTGTATCGAGCACTCTACTCAACGGCAGCAGCCGTTGCAGCGTCGTCCTCGACAGAAAGTGCCTTATATCCGCAATCGTCCTTGCAAACGTAGCGGAATCGATCGGATGCTTCAACGATGCCAATCTAGTCAGCTGCGACGACAGGTGATCCTCCCCCCTCAGAGTGTAATCCCCCACGCTCTTCGCGCGAATCTGGTTCAGCGACCTCCCAATAAACCACATCGACTCAGCCGTCGCGGGCATGACGAACCCTGGCAGCAGCCCCTTCTCACAGACATACTCCTCCTCCCCGTCAGCGCTATCACCCTCCACCTCCGCGCCCTCCTTCCCCGCACCCCTTCTCCTGCGCGCAACGATGAAGAAGTCCCCCTCCCCAAGCCCCGGCACCCTCCCATAGAGCACCCACGCCGACACCTGCTTCACCCACGCGGCCTCCGCGACAGCGACCAGGCTCCGCGCCGTCTGTTCCACATCCCGATACCCGGTCTGCAGCTCCGCCCGCAAGAAATCCACCACCTTGGCGCCCGTGCAGCCCGCATCCATCAGCTGCACAACACCAGTCAGCCACTCCAGCGTCCGCGCCCACCCGTCAAACTCGGCGACGACCGCCGTCAGCGGGACGATGTTGTACGCGCCGACCAGCGCGGCGTCCTTTTGGAGGATGGTGGATTCCACCTCCAGCACCTTCCTGCGGAACGCTGCGAGGTGTAGGGAGTCGATCGCGGACGCGACCGCGCGGCATATGACGGAGGCGTGGCAAGAGGCGATGTGGGAGGTGGACGTGAGGAGGTGGACGTGCAGGTCGCTGAGGCGGGCGAGGGACTGGAGGAGGGCGCGTTCGGGCGGGGAGAGGATGCCGTGAACCGCGGTGGAGAGGTCGGTGTTGTTGATGTTATTGTCGTTGGTTGAGGAGGAGGAGGAGGAGGAGGAGGAGAGGGCCGAGCGGAGGAGAGGGGAAGGATGCCCCGAGAGGGAGAGGAGGATTTCGTGGAGCATCGTGTCGGTGACAACCGTCGGTAGCTTGAAGTGGCTTTGATGGGTCGGTTTGACTAGGTAGGTGCTGGGATGCGCCAGCCTTACTGAACTTTTGTAGCCCTAGCCAGTTCCAGTCTTGCAGCTCGTTTCCGGGCCCGGCGGTCGCTCTGTGCTTGAAAGAAGAGGATGAGAGTACCGAGGAGCTCAAGTCGGCAGCACATCGGGCAGCTGCAGGGGAGTGGGAAAGTGAGAGCAACCGAGAGTCAATTGTAACGACAGTTGGCTAAAAAGCACCAATTCGCTGTCAGAAGTGACTGTGCTGCCCGCAACGACTCCAGTTCCATTAGAGGTTTGCGTGGTTGCTGAAAGTCGGAGAATCGATGTCATGGTTTAAGTGACCTGGTGGGGTGGAAGTTGTGCTGGACGCGCCCGCACCCCTGCAGCAACGCGACTTCTTCTCGCAGGGATGTATGATCACGTGGTAGGCCTTAATTGACTCCGCCTTGTGTTTCCCAATGTCACCCCGTGGATCCTCGGGGAGTGCGAATAAAAGGAGGGTGCCCGTAAAAAGCACCCAAACAAGTTACAAGATCGGAATCATAGAAGAGAGTTAGAGACTACCTGACCTAGCCCGTACGAAATCAGAAACCCGCTCCGATTACATCAATCGCGAATAAAGACACGACCTATTCTCGCATCATCACTTGTACTTTCCGTTCAGCGAACCCGCCGGCTGCTTCCCTTCAGCGACCGTCATCCCGCTCAGCGACTGCGTGTCAGCCAAACTCTGCGACCCCTGGTTCATGGCCGCAACCCCTCCATCACCCCCTCCAACAATGATATCGTCCCCGTTCACGGTGTGGCCGACGACCATGCCCTTGGCCACGCTCTTCAGCACCGCCCGGCGCGACACGCCCGTCACGTCGATGTAGACCAGCCCGACGTTCTTCACGCCGCCCGTCACGCTCCTGGTCACGTCGCCCGCCTCGGAGCCCCACTTGTGCGTTACCACCGTCGTGGCGGCTTCCGACGTCGACGCCAGCAGGTTCCGCCCGGCCTGCTCCACGCCGTCCATGACGGTCGAAAAGGCCATCATGCTCTTGTTGAGCAGGCCCGGCTTGTACGTGGGCAGCGGCTTGCCGTCCTTGTCGTAGCCCTTACGCACGGTGCCGTCCTTGTTCTTGCCGTGCCCGCCGAGCGAGGCGCCGAAGTTCTGCGCCACCTTGGTGATCTGCCCCACCGTCTTCGCCGACAGCGTCGCCGCGCCGCCCGTGAAGTTGTTGATGCGCCGGATGTGCTCGCGCGTGGCCGGCTTGAAGGTCATGGGCTTCGTGGCGGGCTGGGTTTTCTTGGTGTAGTTCTGCGCCTGGCTCTGCATCAGCCTGGAGAGCATGTCGGAGCCGGTGATGATGAACCGCGACGCGGCCGACGCGTTGGACACGAGGAACGACTTCTTGTACGCGGGATGGAGTTCGGCGTCGTACAGCTCCGGGGATATGGGCGCGACGTTGATCTTCTGGCCGCCGTCGGTGGGTAGGGTAATCTCGACTGGATCTTTGAGACAGTCAACGCGCCTCCTCCTGAGAGCAGGTCTTAGTGGAGAAACAAACCTTTTGATCCCGGCTTCAAATTGCTGTCCTCGACAACTTGGAAGCCTTCGGTCAGCTCCCCGATCACGCTACCGTCTTCCTCGTCAACAAGTACAATCTGCCCCGGCGTGCCCCCACTCTGGCTTCCCCGCACGTAGGCCTCGCCGGGCTTATAGTCGGCCGGATTGTACGCAGGGAGCGCCTCCCCCGCTGCCTCCGCCGCCTTCGACGCGGCGCTCTTCTCGCCCCTGCCGTAACTCTGCTCGCTCTTTCCAATCCTGGGGGGAGGCGCGCGCTCCAGAAACGCGGTGCACTGCGCTAGGATCGTTTCGAAGGTGTCTACGTCCTCCTGGATTCCCTTCCGGCTTTCGACCGACGGGAATTCGATCCTGGTAAAAGCGCCACTGTCCGGCCCGAGGTCCCATCGCGGGATTAGATAGCTGGTCGGCGGCTGGTGGTAGATCTGTGTTGTGGCGGGGAGAGGGAGGTCGAGCTCGGGCGGAAGGTGGAGGTGGAGGTAGAAGTCCTGCTCGGCGGAAGCAATTTCGGGATCAATTGCCGGGTCCGCGAACGCCGATGTCGTCGGGACCATCAGCAGAGAGAGTGTCTGCGGGCCGGCTGGCGTGAGTGACTCCTCCTTGCCATTGGCAATGTGATAAGCCGATACGCCGTTGATGGCGTACAGCAGCTTCGGATCCTGTGTGGGCGCCGCCGGGCGTCAGTCCATGCAACAATGAGCGTCGCGAACGGATCTCACATTATGTCCCGAAGCCATTGTCGCAATCCGAAGGGGGTTGGCCCTTTAGCTGTGAGAAGAGACCGAACTATGGCTGTAAACAATCGGGGGCGCACGTCGCAATGTGCTAGGTCGCGGGGCGCACTTGGAATCGCGCGAGAGAGAGAACGTAGGAGGCTCGCTCCGAAGTACTAGTAGTGGGCTGAGACTTGAAACTCAGAGAGTATCACCAAAGCACGAAATCAGGAGCTCTGCCAAAGATTCCAGCAGGCGGGGTTGGTCACTGTTCCAAAGAGTTCAAAATAGCAACTGCGCCAACTGCATGGCACCCCGCGGTCCCAGGCGCTTAAAGATGTCCTCTGTGTGGAGCAACGATGCATGAGGCCTCTTGATCCCCTGCTCGACAAACGACGTCATTGGGCTTGCCACGGCAAGCTTTCCATGGGCTCCCGTCACACCACCGACATTCTGTTCGAAGAGAGTTTGAAAGCCGGATGGTATCGAATCAAGCGACCACTGGAGAGACTCGATAGAGCATTCGGTCAGCCAGGATGGACCTCATCATGAACAATCAGGCTTTGTCAGAAACCGCGAGTACACTAATGACGGCCTTATTACATCGCGAAGTGCTATGATAACCGCGAAAAGACGATGGGCCGAATAAGAAACTCAACAATAAAGGCGTACATGGAGAACAAGTAGGATAAGACGGGAAAGGCAAGTGATTTCTGATGAGAATACCAGACATGTCTCAAATATTGGGGCAACAAGGCTGAGGAAGGGTCTGTGGCTAGCCGGGCCCACTCGTGAGAGGTACCGCTCGCATGTCCGTCACCGTGCGGTCCGGTCTGCTGTCTACAAGCAGGGCTACCATCGTTGATAGTTACCTGACGTTATGTAGATTGACAAGGCCCGCCATCGAGTGGCCCCTCTGCGAGTCTGCTACATTCTCGTTTCTTTTGCTCTGCGATGTTGCCTACCGTCAGCACTGCACCCGCGGGAAAACCCCGCACAGTGCACAGAGATGTCCTCGATGGGTTGTACCCGGGACTTTCTGCGTATACCCTCTTGCCGTGTTGTGTTCTCGAGCAGGTTGTTGCACCAACTTCGCCTCTTCTCTGACCAGGGGTGACTACACCATCTCTGATATGCCGTCGACACGGAATGGCCCAATGGGGTGTTAAGCAAAGTCAGACCTGTGTCTATCAACAGGGCCCAGTTGTCACACTTCCGTGATACGGCCGGCCAATTTCGCGTTTTGGGTGGTTACCAGCGACCCTGGCCGAACGTCGCGTTGAACACAAGCGCAGGGAGCCGAGATCTTTGCTCCCGAGAGGATGTCCCACTACCTAAGGTAGCTGGAGGTCCGGCAATCTGATCCCAGCGTACCGCAGCAACCAACAGGGCGGCTTCCAGCCGGCCTGCGAGACACGCCAAACGGAAAGTCTGAGACCGAGGTGATAGTGTGGTTCCTATTTATCGACGGGCCCAGGCCGGGATTGAAATCTCAGATCTGGACGACTGGTAGAGATCATGTTTCACGCCTCGCCTTGTGAATCTGCCGTACTACAAGCGACTACTTACCCATGACTAACCTTTCCATTAGTATGTCTGTACGATATATCACAGTACAGCCGCTCGTTGCACAAGTCGCCGGAGTGAGCAGCCACTGCCAGTCCTCGATCGATCGGATAAGATGCAACTGTGCCTGGTGAGCGCGGATGTACGTATGTAATTGTACAATACGTGTGTACAGTACAATACATAAACCATGCGTGTTAAATAAATCACCTAGGCGGTGACCGTCAGCTCCAACTTGTGTCGGCCTCCTGATGCTCGGGAATGTTTCGAGCGGGAGCGGGGCGGCAGCCGGTGCCAAGCGGCTGGAGCGAACAGGCATCCCGAGGGCGCTCTTGGAAGCGTCGGTGCGAGGGCTGCCGTTGATTCAGGCATCGGCATCTGCCACCAGTGGCGTTTGTGTTTGAGATAGTGCGAAACTTTATCACTTGAGGATGGAATTACCAACTAAGCCACATCCCGAACGCCTTCCACTTGGGAAAGGTCCAATTTGAGAGGGAAGATCGCAGATTGCAGAAGAAGGAACCACGACCCCTCCTCTGCCACGGCTCCACTGCCCGATTCCCATCGTTTTGACGCTTCCTGCCGAGTGGAGCCAGTAGGGTTAGGGTCTGGTCATTGGGCTTTCCAGTTCCCGCTGCTGTGAGGATGATCAGGAACCACTGGAGTAGCCTCAGATCAAGATATCGATCTGAGTAGAAGACCAACAAGACTTACAATGAATTCTCAGCGAGGTCTACTAATCTGGCTGGGTGCATCGTGAGCTACTACGGGAATCGAATATGGCGGTGGTAAACTTGAAGTGGGAGCAGCAGAGCTCTCGAGTCTCGGTGGAGGCTCCCCAGAGAGGGATGGGGCCACTGTGGCTCCCACCGCGCTAGCAACCCGCTCAACCGTGCGGTGGGAGTGACGGGACCTCTCCGCCTCAAGGCTGTTAAAGTTAGGGAGCTTCCAGGTTCGAGGATCTCAAAATTATCCTAATAAACCCGCGAGGCGCCCCTTCTCTTTTGCATTCCATCCATCCCCTCGCGTACATCAATTGTGAGCAAGCATCGCGCACCCGATACGACGTTGATAATTTGCGCTGATCTTGAGATCTGCTCGCGCGAAACGTCGAGCTTCCGGACCCCGGCAAGACACGAACCACACGACGTGGGAAACCCTGCCGACGCTGCCGGCACTACCGACGCTACCGACGCATTTTCCCCTTGTGTGTGTGAATCCGCAATCCCGTGTTCCGCCTGCCGACCCGGGCCCGCTCTGGTTTTGTGCATCGCTCCACGCCTGCGCCATCAAACCGTGGCCGCAAAACGGCCTTCTGTCCCATTTCCCGTTTCTACTCAACTCAACTCTGCGTCCTGCTGTCTCGCATCCACTGAGGGAGCCGTCTCTGACCGAACGCATTTCCCGCTTCCGTCGCGCACCCTGAGGAGCACGACAAGCATCGCCAGCAAACGTTCCGGCGTCACATTCGTCCGCTCGGGTAGGCACATCTTCGCATCCTGCGCCATTCACTCGTCCGGCTACCTGCGCGAACGGATACTTGCACCGTTGGTGGATGCTGTCCCACACCTAAGGTTGCGCAAGCGTCCGTCCGTGCCAGAGCTCGTTTCCTGGCCCGACCCGGCGACCTGCTCGCGCTCTTTCGACGAAGGTCTCGACCCCCCGCCCTCCTGTGCTCCCCCTGACCCTGTTCCCGCTACTGCTTCCGCCGGCGATCTCAACGGTCGCGTCGTCCTGAGCGCTGCGTATTTAGTCCGTTCACTCGCGGTCCGCCCGGCGACGCCGACCGAACGTCGAGTCTCGGCCCTCCCTCCCGTGCCCGCATCGCTACCGCCGAGCGGTCTCGCAACCGTCTGTTGCACTGTACAGCGTGGCCAGGGAAGGCCTTGTCTCTTTTTCGCGTTTTCCATCAAGCGGGTCCCCTCGCGAGACCCAACCCGCCGTCACGATTGCTTCCCAGTTGCGCATTCAGTCCATCCTCTCTCCCGACGAGCCGCCCGACGCGGATTCGGCAGCGGCAACTCCGAATTACGCCCACCAGCAGCCCACTCCGAAGAGGAAGTTCCACGACGCCTTCGCCGCCACGGCGCTCGATGCGCCCATCGAACCGGCAGAGCCATCTGCACCGCCCCATCTCCGTCCACCACCGGAACGGTTGCCCAACATACGTCAGCCCCTGCCGCACAGCCCCCCGCGCCCCGCCGTCGGGGCGGTCCGCACCCAGGGCTACACTGCTGCCGTAACCGCCACCACCGACGATGACAGCAGGTCCTCTGGCCAGGCTCCAATGATGGCAGGCACCCCCGACAGCCCCGGTGCTGCTGATCCTAAGAAGGGTATCAAGCGGACGCCCTTACGGTCCAGCATAGCATGCCAGCGCTGCAGGAAATCCAAAATCAAGTGCAACAACACCGGCGGCGACCAGCCCTGTGAGACATGCATCCGCAATGGCAAAGAGTGTATCTACCCCGAGGTTACGCCAGCCCCGCCGAAGCGGTCGGAGCCGCCCACGGGAGCCAAGACGGAGCAGGGCTCGGAGCGGAAGCGTCTCCGGAGGATTGAAGACATTGTGAAGATGGAAGGCTCGGTACCGCCTGCCGTTGTCGCCGAGGACGTCCTCTCGGCCCCTTACCTCACCGAGAGTATCTGGAATCAGCTGTTCGAGATCTACAGGCTGCACTTTGCAACGGAGCTACCATTCTTGCACCTGGCCACGCTCAAAGAGAAGCTTGGAAGCAGATTAAGAGGGAAACCTTCCGACACCTCACCCGAGTTTAACCTGGTGTTGCTGGGCATCCTGACACTGACAGCCCGGTTCCACAACACACTGGTGTCGTACATTACAGCCTCCAGGAACAGTCCCGCCGTGTCTGGCTTGTCTAAGTCGCGGCCCGCTGGGCCGGGCTCGGACGCATCCAGTGCGTCGGAATATTACGCGGATGTCCTTACGAAGGCGCTCGGCGGGTTGAGGACGAGCATGACCATAGCCTCGGTAGAGAGGGTACAAGCTTTCCTAATGCTTGGGCTCTATGAGTGGAGCCAGGCACGGCCCAGGGTCGGAGGTATGGCGGCCTGGATGTACGTTGGCGTGGCTATCCGCATGGCCCAGGCGCTGGGACTAGGGGATGGGGACCGGGAGGCCGGCAAGCCCTTCAGGTCGCGGCCGGTCAAGACGGCGCGGCAGACCATGCCACTGGGTCAGAGGATAATCGCCAAGGAAATCAGAAGGCGCACCATGTTCAGCTGTTTGATATTGGACCGTCTCCTGGGCTGTGGCAAGGACCGCGTCTCCACGATCCGCTCGGAAGATCTGCAAATTCAGCTGCCATGCTCCGAAGTCGCCTTCGACCTTTCGGAGGAAGTCTACACGGGTTTCCTGAAGCCGGTGACCGGGGAAGAGGCCAACCGCAGAATCTCCGACAGCGTACTGGGTCGCTTCGTCCGTCTCGTCGACCTTTGGGGCGAGATCTCCAAGTGGAGTTTCTCGGGTGGCCGCTTTACGGAAGAGCACCCGCCGTGGTCGCCAGAGTCGAACTTCTTCCGTCTGCGTGGGAAACTTGAAGCGTTCTACCGAAATCTCCCCGACCAGTTCACATGGTCGGACAGCAACTATTACAAGCACGAAAACCACCAGGCGAGCAGCGTGTACGTTTCCATGCACATGCTTGGCGCCGTGTGCAGGATCATGCTGCACCGCGAGTACATACCTTTTATCCCGATACTCTGCGACAAGCCGGTCGGACCGCTCGACGAGCCCACCTTTCCGGCGGGACAGGAGCCCGAGGGGTTCTGGGAAGCCAGCGCGGAGGAGATCTTCTACGCGGCCAAGGAGATTGTTGACCTTGCCGAAATCTGCCGTGACAAGCTGCCCATGTCGTCGCTCGTGTTATTCGCCGTCTGGACGGCCGCTTTTGTCGGCATCTACGCCGTCCACTTCCCACACATCGATACCAAGGGCCACATGCTCCCGAGACAGGAGATCGTGGGGGAGCTGGACATCACCAAGCACGGACCGACCGGGCTGACTTACAAGATGCTGACCCACATGTCGGTGTGGCTGAAGATGGCCGAGACGTACGTGGTCTACTTCCGCGAAATGGCCTGCTACTACGACACGGTCAAGCAGGACTACGAGCGGCACGTGAGCGGGAGGGCACCGGCCAGCACAGCGGGCGAAGGTAGGCTCAGCTTGCGCATGGGCGGCGGCGGGCTGGAGGAGTGGAAGCAGCAGGGGTTCAAGGTGGTCAACAACGGCGAGATCCTGGCCGTCGACGAAGAGAAGAGCTCGCGCGACAGCACCGCGGAGCCCGGGTCGTCGGTCGGCCCGGACAGCAGCCACCCGACCGACCACGCCAAGACGCCGCGGTCCACCTCGCTCTCCTTCACGCCCATCAACCACGGCGGCCCGTCCCACGCAGGCGCGCCGGACTCGGCATCCGACGCTGCCGCCGAGGCCGCCTCCACCCTCTGGCGCTTCGGGCAGCAGCCGCACAACAACCAGCAGCAACCGCAACACTCGCCTTCCCAGTCCTCGGGCGCGATGCCCTCCCCGCAAATACCACAACACCCGCATCCGCAACAACACCAGCAGCAGCAGCAGCAGCATGCTGTCCATCCTCATCCGGCCGTGGCGCAGAAACTGCCGCCCTACACGTCGGGCGAGGTGGCCGTGTACCTGGAGCAGAACCAATCGATGCCATGGAACCTGGCGCCGGGCGGGATCGACCAGTTTGCGCACGGCACCGAGGAGATGCTGCCGCTCGAAACCGGCAATCTGTTCTGGGGCAGCATGGCGCCCGGCGAAGGGTGGGGAGGGCCGCCGACTCCCGTGCCCACGGGCATGCTCACGCAGCATGTCGGGGGTTATTCATACTAGAGATGTGGATGTGGCCGGGTCAGGGTCAGGATCTGGGTTACCAAGGCCGGGATCACTGTCGAGGCGAATCCCTGCATGACTTGCCTTGATGTTGCGCGGGGTACAACGACAACAACAACAACGCCGGTGGCGTGGATCGATAAGCTGATGCAGTGTGCGAGGGAGCTCATTGCTCTTCCTGATGGTAGTGGTGATGGTTGAGGGTGGTATAATCTCTCTCTCGCGCGCGCGTTTTGTTCTCGTGGGTGGTGGTTGTTTTTGTAAACAATGAAAAGCAGACCGGGGTGGAGCATGCTTTACTTTACTTGTACCTGGCTTATTACCTACCTTAGTTGACTGAGAAAAGGGGGTGGGTGGGTGTTATAGTCTTTTACCAAAGGATGTGTGGCTGCTTTCTTTATTTTTTTCGTTCCCCTGCCGTTTTAGCTAGTTCGAGGTCGGTCGGTTCGGTTGGCTTCGTTTATCTGGTATTTTTCATAGCTCGGATAATGGGAGAGGTGAGAGGATGGGATAAGGGGGAAGCATGGGAGGCTTTTTTTTTGTTGTTGTTGTTAAGGAGCAGAAGAGGGAAGGGAAGGCATGAATGGGGTTGGAAGTGACTTTGTTATTTATTGGAGGTAAAAGGCATGCGAACGATTATTCTGTGGGCTGCTTGCTTCTTTGCTTTGCTTTCTTCCGCGGAAGTGTACAAGGAGTCTTTTTTCCCCCTTTTGTCCATTCGTTCTAGGTAGGTAACGGTTAAAGGGGCCTTAGTATCTGGATGGTAGGTAGGTATTGCTGCTTGTCTCTGTCTGTCTCTATCGGCTCGGGTTATGGGTGGTTACTGTTTTTTTCGATTGCTGGGTTTGTTTCTTACAGTACTTACTTTACCTACCTTAAGGTATGGGCGGAGCAAATGATGGTCGGACAGGTAGAGAAAGGTAGAAGCGTCGGAGTATGATTGCTACTGTTACTTTAAATCACTTCTGCTCTTCATCTTTTATTCCATATCGTCCCCTGATGGTGGTGGTGTTCCGTCGTAGTGTGCCACGCTGTATCAGAGCGGACTTGTTGCTGGCCCATGACCTACCCAGGTAAGTAATGTAGATATAGTACACTGGCAACAACATACAATAGCATGATTGTGAGGTTTTGTGGAGGGTGTGGTAAGGTCACTGGGATAGAGGTCCGTGTTGACTTACACAACACGCCCTGCCTGCCTGGTTCTGGTTTGGTACTAAGGTAAACCAGTAGTAGACTCATGCTGAAGACAATCTCATGAAAGGTAAAGCTGACAATCTCGCTAGTAGTAACTACTGCCATCATGATACAAGCCAATATCATATACTAGTACCCTTATGGAGCGCAAAACAGACAAAGCCTAATATGAAAGTCGTGACAAAGAATCCGTACATTTCTCGCGGGTATATCCTTCTTTCCATCCATCCTGAATCTTGTCTCAGTCTACAACTATTCATTCATTTATTCAATCAATAATGTTCATTTCATCTCAAGTCAGCAGGACTTGGTAGACTCGTGTGACGTCGTCCGTTTCAGCCGAGCCATGAAGAACTCCATGTCGCGGCGGACAATGTCCGGGAACCGGCCGGCGTCCTTGCCCGCCGCCACCGCCACCGCCACCGGAGGAGCTGAGTCGTCGTCGTTATAGTCGGTGGTGGTGGTGACGGACTGGACGCTGTTGGACCGGCTGTGCTGGGCGGCGGCCTGGAATGGGTGGTGGTCCGGGTCAGGGAAGAGGCGGCCGCTGCCCGGGTCGGATCGGGTCAGATTGTTTGGGACGGACATGCTGCTGCTGCTGCTGGTTTTTGGATACCACGGTACTAGTGGCATGGTTAGTGTGTGGTGAGGAACTGAAGGTTGAGTGGACTGGTAGGTGTCACTTACGTGAGGTGGTTGATCTGAGCGGAGTATGTCTTATGTCTTGATGATGAGAAGAGTTGATGTGAGTTGTCCCCAGGATGTTGTTTAGTATGTTCAACCCATTTGGGGAGAAGAGGAGGAGAGCACCAGACCAGGACTTGTAAGCAAGAGACAAGACACAACTCAGAAGACATTCCGGACAACTTCTTATACGTGCGGCCGCCCGCAGCCGAAACCCCCCCCCCCCCCCCCCATCCCAACTAAAACAGTTGACATAACAGAACCGTGGTCGTGCAGGGTTGGCGCGGGTGGAGGCAGCTCATTGGGCGCCTCTCAACCTAGAAGCCAAAACATCGTTGGCTGCGCAGCCAGGCCCAGCATTCCCCCATGCAGGCCGTCGGTGTCGCTGAGGCAAGGGGATTCCGTTCTGGGCATCATCCTCGTGACCCCGTCTCCGTGGGGAGAGGGTAAGTCTGGGGGTGGCTGAAGGGGTCATTATTGGTTGTAAGTGTAAGGTACTCGTAGGTATGTACAGTACTACACTATGGTAGTCCGTATATCTAATACATCCATGGATTTAGAATGTGCATCTGCATTGCAAACTCCGGGCGTTTGTCAGCCTTGTGTAAGTGCTAACCAATACGGTCCAGAGTAAGCAACACCACCTCGATTTCCGCAATTTGTCGGCGTCCCCCTTCTCCGGCTGGCTGTGGAATGTCGTCATTCCACACTCACACCCTTGTCTTTAGAATCTAGCAGTTCTAGACCCTCGGGTTGTCGGCGGCCGGCGGCCGAGATGATGCAGCTTATCTCCGAGCCAGCCCCTGTCGGAGCCAGTGCCGGTGCAGTTGAAGCCGGCCCCGGCTGACATGATCCGAAAGAAAGTTATTTGGGGAGCTGTTGAATTGTCGATAACTACAAAGGGAGCCCGAAGCTGCCATCAGAAGACATGACCAGGTGAACTAGACAAAAATGGCCGACAACATCAACAACAAGCACACCTCCACAACAACACCGTCCGCCTCCTCGCTCTCTCTCTCTAATAATAAGGGAACGGGAGCCATGACCCCTGCAACGCGGGCCGAAGACCTGGACTCGGCCTCCCCGTCTTCCATCAACGCCGCCGCTGCCGTTCCGGATCCGAATCCCCCAAGTCAACCACAACACTTACCACCACAGCCAGCACAGCCAGACCTAGAATCCCAACAATCACCATCCCCCGGCCTCGACCCCAAGACCACCAACCCATTCGGCGCCCGCCCAGCATGCTTCCCCTCCACTCCCCTCGAAATCGCCTTCGTGCTCCAAGCGACCATGGCCACGGCCACCTCCTCCTTCTTCCAGGGCGCATCGGCCATCATCACCGCCTCGATCGGCCGCGACCTGGGCATGTCGCAAGGCGAGATCACGTGGATCACCGCGTCGACGGCCCTGACCGCGGGCGCCTTCCAGCTCGGGCTGGGCCAGATGGCCGACTTACTCGGGCGGAAAGCCACGTTCATCGTGGGGATGGCCAGCTTCAGCGTGTTTGCCCTGCTGGTCGCCTTCGCGCGCAACCCGTTCTGGATGGACGTCGTGTGCGGCGTGCTGGGCGTGTGTGCGGCCATGGTGGTGCCGCCCGCGATCGGCATCATGGGCGCGGCGTATGGCACGCCGAGTAAGAGGAAGAATTTGGCGTTCTCGGCGTTCAGTGCGGGCAATCCGCTGGGGTTCGTGTTTGGGAGTGTGGTGAGTGGGGTGGCGACTATGGTGGTGAATTGGCGTGCGTCGTATGTCTTGATTGCGATTGTCTGGGTCGTGTTGGCTGTGCTGGCGGTCTGGACGATCCCCAAGGTGGAGGCGTATCCTGAGGGGCAAGGGTTGAGGGAGCGGGCGAGGGAGTTTGTGAGCAAGTTTGACTTTGTCGGCACGGCGTTGACGATTCTGGGCACGGGGCTGTTGACGGCTGCGGTGACGTGAGTTTGGGGTTTTATACTCAACTACTAGTACTGTTTTGATGGTCTGACTAGGCGATGATGGCTGACTCCTGACTACCTTACCTTAGGCTCGGCCCGACGGACGGGTGGAAGTCGCCACACATCATCGCCATGCTCGTGCTCGGGGTCGTGCTGCTTGGGGGCTTTGTCTACTGGGAGACGGTGTACCCGCACCCGCTGATGCCGCCGCACATCTGGAAGGACCGCAACTTCACCTTTGTATGTTCTGATATTCTCCTGCACTTTTCCTCCTCTTTTATTCTTTTTTTCTTTCTTCTTTTTCTTTTTTGTTTTGGCTCGCTGACCGAACTCGGCCCCAGATCATCCTCTCCTGCCTGCCCGGCTACATGGCGTTCATGGCGGCGCAGTTCTGGCTCTCCTTCCTGATGCAGGAGCTGCAGCACCTCACCCCCCTCATGGTGGCCGTGCACCTGCTCCCGCAGGCCATCGCGGGGCTCGTCTACAACATCATTGCCGGGTCGGTGCTGCACCGCATCAACAACACGTTGCTCCTGGTGCTGGGCAGCGGCTGCTACGTGGCCTCCAACGCGCTGCTGGCCGCCATGCAGGCCGACAGCCCCTACTGGGCCTTCGTCTTCCCCTCGCTCGTGCTCGGCGTCGTCGGCGCCGACTTTCAGTTCAACGTGGCCAACATGTACGTCATGCAGTCGCTGCCCTCGCACCAGCAGGCCCTGGCCGGCGGCATCTTCAACACGCTGTTCCGCCTCGGCGCCGCCATCGCGCTGGGCATCTCGACCGCCGTCTACACCTCGTTTGCCGGCGTGCAACCCGGGGCCGCGCTGCGTGACCCCATGCTGCCCTACGCCAAGGCCTTCCAGGTCTCGATCGGCCTGAGCGCGGCCAGCTTTCTGTTTCTGCCCTTTGTCAGGCTAGGTACGCAGGGACATGCTGGGGTGGGTACTAGTAGTAGTGGCGGCGGCAGCAGCGTAGATGACGATGGCAATATGTTGAGGTTAGTAAAAGTAACGCAAGATCAAAAGAAGATCCCGACTGCAGTAGGCGAGGAAAGGGCGGCGGAGAAATGAAATTTAACGGAATAGGCGCGTTGGAAAAGGCATGCAAATGGTTGGAAAAGAGAAAACGCTCATGCTATAGAAGAGCTGACGTGTAGGGTCGCCACTACTGGTAGCTACCAGGTACACAGGTCAGACCATTTCGGAGTTGCCAGCTCGGAGGGACGTCGGCGAATGCTTGGTCCTTAACCTGTTACCATCCTGAAACGGCGTCCATGTTCGTGTGAAAGGCGGTACCGTTTGTTATGCAATCTTGGACAAAAAGAGCGCGCTGAGTTGTTGACTTGAGGCACCAGTGGGTGAAAGGTGTATGAATCGGACTAAATAGTATGATGATCACTGCTAGTCAGTTTAGTACTACTTATTTGACCAAGAAAACGCCCCGAGACTGAAAATCACACAACACCCGCATCCCTCCCCTTCGCCTTCTCCCTTTCCCTCTGCCTCATCAACCGCACCTCCATATGCAGCGCCTGCAGCTCTTCCTTCAACTCCCGCTCCCTCTTGACAGCCCGATCCCTCTCCCTCCTAGCCTCCCTGACCTCCCTCTCGGCTTTTCCAGCCCTCTCCTTCTGCTTGTGCACCTGCTCCGCCAACCCCCGCTCCCCCTCGCCAACGGCCAACATCAGCGCGTCCCTCGTCTTGACCAACATCTCATTCTCCCGCCGCAACAGCCCCACCTGCTCCCTCACCTCCTGCACCTCTGCCATGACGTGCAGGCTCTCCATCTCGGTCCTCTGCGCCCGGTTGATGCGCTCCATGAACCTCTTCTCCAGCTCGGTCGCCCGGCCGGGGAACTTGGGCTGCGCGCACGCCACCACCGTCGGCTGCGCCTCCGCCTCGCGCGTGTGCTGCACGCCCGGGTGGTGCTCCCACGCGGGCAGCACGAACAGCGGCGAGTTCCTGCCCCGCCCGGCCAGCCGGTAGTAGCGCGTCACGATGTTGACGGGCACGATGCCCCGCGCGTAATCCCGCCCGCCGCGCTCGTGCGTCCAGATGTACTCGCCCGCGACGCCGTTGCGCCGCCAGATCTTCTCCTTGGCCTGGATGAGGGCTTCCTGTCGGTCCAGGATCTGGTGCACGTAGTCGAACACGTCGTCGCCCGCGTTGACTAGGATCCACCGGTCCTGCGGATGGTACGCGATGTTCGCTCCCCGCCAGGTGGTGCTAGTGCGCGCGTCGGGCCCGAGTCGGGAGAGGTGCTGCTGCGGGATGGCCGCCTCGCCCGCCAGCGCGTCCAGCGCGTTGCCGTAGGACCGCTCCAGGTCGTGCATGCGGCTGACCAGGTGCTGCGTGAAGAGCAGCCACTGGCCGAGCAGGCTGTTGCGCGCGTTGGCGAGGTCGGCGTTTGCAGGGTCGTTTTCTTCTTCTTCCCCTGAGGAGGATGGAATCGGCAGCAGGCTGAGCAGCCCGCCGGTGCTGCTGAACTCGTGGTCCAGCCGCTCCAGGCAGGCGTTGGCGTGCATGACCAGGGAGTGGTGGCTCGCGTAGGGGCGTTGCTTCTCGCCCTTGCCGCGCGGCCGCGTCTCGGCCAGCGGGCAGTGGTACGTGGTCCCGTGCGCCTCGTGCCAGCCGCGGACTTCGTTCACGAGCGCCATCAGCGGCTTGTGGTGGTCCGGGTCGTCGTTGGTGTAGGGCACTGTCAGGTCGTCGAGGAAGTCGAAGGCGTCGTTGAGCTGGTACCGGAATGCCGAAGCGTCGTCGTCGTCGTCGTCGTCGTCCTCCCCCGCTCTGGCCCTCGGGTCACCGCCGGCGATCTCGCCTGACTTGAGCGTCGGGTTCAGGGCGTGGATGAGGATGCACAGTGCCTGGGCATGCTGCTTGAGCGTCAGCAGCGTCGGCGGCACCCCGTGGGTCGAGAGATAGCCGCAGTTGACATGGCGGAGCAGCCCGTCGTCGACCTCGCCCTCGTGCAGTCGCGACCACTGCGAAAAGTATGGCAGCGCGTAGTCGGTACCCTTCACGTAGCCCCTCTGCTCGGCATCGTCGTCGTCCTCATGCTCGGCCAGATGGGCTGGGACGGCTCGGTGGGCTGGGTTAGCCATTCTGTTTGACTTTGCCGTCTGAATATGCTGTCGTTCCCGATGACTAAATTGCTGACTGCTGCAGCGAGGAACAACAGAGTATTCGCAGCTTGGTCCCCTTGGCTGCTCGCCTCATATTTGGAATCTCCCATTGTCACAACATGCCAGTCAGGCCGTTTGCGTCGCCGGAGCACCAGTGCTAGGGCTGAGGCCGGACAAAGAAAACTGCACAGCTTCAGCAGACGGGAACGGTAGGATACAAAGGCGGTTCGTGGTTGCTCACCACAAAGAACCCGAAGTTGCTGAGCCCCGATTCATTGGGCTCATATCAGAAATTACGGCCAACAGTTGTCGAGGGCAGTTCCATCCGCGAAGTATACAGGTGGTACCAAAACACGGCGAATGCTCTCAACGGAGCACTTGCTCCCCTCGCCTACCTTAAGGTATGCTTCTAGCGGCAACGGACCTCTATTCCGTAGTCCATCTTGATCTAGGTCAGCACTCGCGATGCGAATGGGTGTTGTTGATCTTTCTGGATCGACGCTGGCGATGTACGGCCGTCCTCCATAATCAAGTGTAGCGCGAGTCTGGGGATGGACAAGCCGACGCTGTCTTGACAGTTCACAGGGTCGTGTGAGCTGTCTACTAGTGGTGTAGTGCCGGATTGGGATGACTGTAACGAATCAATAGCTCCAAAACTCTGCGGCGCCGCGCAAATGGATCGGCGATGCTTGACCAGCTGAACCATGGCTAGAGGAATGCAAGGGTTCAAAAAGCCAGCACGGGGCCCACCAGGCAATTACCGATCGGCTGCAGGGTTCAGGCGGGCCGGTTCCTCTGGAATTGTGAATTTGCTTGCCCCGAGTCGAACAGGTGAAGGTTGAAGTTGATCAAGCAACACATCCTTCACGGTGCGTACGTGTTGGCACAATAAGCAGCGGTACTGTGATCGTATGTACGTAGAAGCTCGGCTAGACTTGACATGTGGTGATTCAATGATCTGCAGAGCGGACCATAACCATGCGGGGAGAGCCAAGATCGTGGTACTGTGTAACCGTAACCTAGGGATCAGCAGCAATGGCGGAATGGAGGTCAAATGCACCCTTCGATCGGGGGAGCAACGCTGGACCAAAGCGACCTGGAACGCCTGCAGTGTCTTGCACTTGCAGACTGACTGCCTCAAATTAATATACTACTATAATATATTGTACAACTGTACCGGAGCCGTCAGGTGATATGGCGATTCCAGAGCTCGGTGCTGAGACATTGCCCTGCAGCCAAGAGGGTATCTCCAACAGCAATCACGACGAATCAATCGATTGGTGGTCTCGGTGGTGTTGCGTCCCAAGATTGCCCTGTTGGTGGGGTTACATCCAGATTGCCGCGACCCTTGTCGAGCTGCTGAAATTTGCATGCCCCACCACGGCCAGGGTTGGGACGACCGACAGCAAGCTTCGTTGGGCTAGAACGACGCTTTGCGTCATTGCATCGCTTGGAGACACGTCAAAACCTGATGTTCGGTCGAACAATGGATGATGCGCTGCCAAGCTGTGAAGCCCCTTGTCTCAATGCCCATCTTAAGGGACAGAATATGCCCGCCTCTACATACACCGTGTATACCAGAGTGCTCTTTATGCTCCTTGTTCCAATAACTACCGGTACGGTATTCGCTTTTGCGTCGTCCCTGTGCAGATCATCGGCGGAGCTCCACCACCCACAAGCTCCCTGGGGAACAACAGGCCCCTGACGCCTCGACCATCGAGGCTCCCCTGTCTCAGTGGTGCGCCCCCTTGAATTTTGTTCAGGTTCCAAGCAAGGCCAGCTCACTGGGGGGCGGCAATCAAGCACCTGGGCTGGCCTGGCTGTTAATATGAGCATCAGCCCGGCGTTTTGCTGTCCCGGTTCGTGACCTAACGTCAGTTTCAGAATTGTCGTACGGAATCTCGAACGACGCGCCAACCCCCGTGGGAGCGCAGCTGTTTTCCCACCGGGTGTGTATCCGTACGTGTAACACTGTAACTACGCCTGTTACAGTTGTAGTCGTTTCGAGTTTGGATTGCGGTCAATAGCAGAGTCGGTCGAGGGACGACAACCCCCAGATTACCGTTCGGAATCGACATTCTCATCCCTCGCAGTCTGATTCTGCCGACGCCGTCAACATGAGCTCCGACGACAATCCCCAGGACCCGAGGCCGGCCTCGCTGTCGGGTAAGTGCCGCACATCGTCTGTGTCTGGTGGCATGGGAAGTTCTTCACGCGAGGACGGGACGCTGATGGACGCATGCAGGCATGCTCTCGACCCTTGCCCCGGTGGCTGTGGTTTCTGCGATATACATCTCGGTGTTCCTGATCTTGCGGAGGAGCCAGAGGCGCTACTATGCTCCTCGAACATATCTCGGGAACTTGCGGGAAAGGTAGACGACATGCTCCTCCCCATAAGCCTTTCTCGTGATGCATCGGATTCACTGATAGCCTCGCAGCGAGCGCTCGCCTCCCCTGCCCAACGGCTGGGTCAACTGGATCGGCAGCTTCTGGCGGATCCCCGACATCTACGCGCTGCAGCACCAGTCTCTCGATGCCTACCTCTACATCCGGTTCCTGCGCATGGCGCTGGTCATCTGCTTCGTCGGCTGCTGCATCACCTGGCCGATCCTGTTCCCCGTCAATGCCACGGGCGGCGGCGGCCAGGCGCAGCTCGACATCCTGTCGTACGCCAACATCAACCAGGCGACGCAGTACAACCGCTACTACGCCCACGCCTTTGTCTGCTGGATCTATTTTGGGTTTGTCATGTACATGATCATGCGCGAGTGCATCTTCTACATCAACCTGCGCCAGGCCTTCCTGCTGAGCCCCTTCTACGCCGACCGCATCTCGTCGCGCACCGTGCTGTTCACCAACGTGCCCGCCGACTATCTGGACGACGCGAAGCTGCGCAGGGTGTTTGGCGCCTCGGTCAAGAACATCTGGATCACCAGCGACACCAAGGAGGTCGACGAGGTCGTGGAGGAGCGCGACAAGGTCGCCATGCGCCTCGAGAAGGCCGAGGTCAAGCTGATCAAGCTCGCGCACAAGGCACGCCAGGAGGCCATCAAGAAGGGGGCGCCGGCCGAGGATGCCGACAGGGCGCCGATCGTGGGTGATGGCGAGTCCGGCAGCGTCGCGGCTCGCTGGGTCCCGCACAAGAAGCGGCCGACGCACCGTCTCGGGTTCCTTGGTCTGATCGGCAAGAAGGTCGACACCATCAACTGGTGCCGCAGCGAGCTGGAGCGCCTCATCCCGGAGGCCGACACTGTCCAGGCCAAGTACCGCGCGGGCGAGTACAAGAAGATCCCCGGCGTCTTCATCGAGTTCCGGACGCAGGCCGATGCCGAGGGCGCCGCTCAGATCCTCGCTCACCACCAAGGCTTTCACATGTCGGACAGGTACGTCGGCATTCGGCCCGGCGAGATCATCTGGAAGTCGCTCGCCATCCCGTGGTGGCAGAAGGCGGTGCGCCGCTACGCCGTGCTGGCCTTCATCACCGCCATGATCCTCTTCTGGGCCATCCCCGTCGCCTTTGTCGGTATTGTCAGCAACGTCAACTACCTGACCACGATCAGCTGGCTGGCGTGGCTGAACAAGATCCCATCCGTCATCATGGGTGTCGTGACCGGTCTCTTGCCTTCGGTTCTGCTTGCCGTTCTCATGTCGCTGGTGCCGATCGTGATGCGCTGTAAGTCGCTGTTGAACTTCCCTCTACGTCTCTGCTGCTCGCTGCTGACCTGACTGCCTTAGTGTGCGCTAAGCTGGCGGGTGAGCCGTCCATCTCGCGCGTCGAGTTGTTCACGCAGAACGCCTACTTCGCCTTCCAGGTGATCCAGGTCTTCCTGGTCACCACGATCGCGTCCTCTGCGACGGCCGTGGCCAAGCAGCTCGTCGACAGTCCCACCAGCGCGCCCTCGATCCTGGCCAACAACCTGCCCAAGTCGTCCAACTTTTACATTTCCTACTTCATCGTGCAGGGCCTGACCATCGCCACGAGCGTGCTGACCCAGGTGATCGGCTTCGTCATCTTCACGCTGCTGTACAAGTTCCTGGCCAACACGCCGCGCGCGCTCTACACCAAGTGGTCTAACCTCAGCGCCATCTCGTGGGGCAGCACCATGCCGGTGTACACCAACATCGTGGTCGTGGCCATCACGTACTCGTGCATCGCGCCGCTCATGCTCGGCTGGGCCACCATTGCCATGTTCCTCTTCTACTTCGCGTGGCGGTACAACGTCTTCTTCGTGACCGACACGCGCATCGACACGCGCGGCCTCATCTACCCGCGCGCGCTCAAGCAGCTCTTCACGGGCCTGTACCTGGCCGAGGTGTGCATGATCGGCCTGTTCGGCGCGTCGGTCGCGCCCGGCCCGCTCGTGCTGATGGTCGTCTTCCTCGTCTTCACCGTGCTCTTCCACATCTCGCTCAACAGCGCGCTCAACCCACTGCTGTACAACCTGCCCCTCACCTTACTCGCCGAAGAGGAATCGGCCGCGCATCTTCTGTCCGACGCCGAGAAGGGCACCACCACCACCACCACCAACACTACCCACCAGCCAGCCGAAGTACTACACGACCTGAACGGCGACGGCGTCGTCGACGCGACGGAGACCCACGTCGCGCAGGCGCAGGTCGCGTCCCGGACCACGGGCAAAGCCGGCAACGCGCTCACGCGCTTCCTGAAGCCGTGGATCTACGCCGACTACGCCACGCTGCGCAACCTGGTGCCGCACGGCATGCACGTGGGCGAGTACGCCGAGGAGGTGGCCGCCAACGCGTACCACCCGCCCTCGGTCACGGCGCCGACGCCGCTGCTGTGGATCCCCGCCGACCCGGCGGGCGTGTCGAAGCAGGAGGTTGCGCACTCGGGCAGGGTCATTCCGATTACCGACGAGGGGTGTGAGTTGGATGAGAAGGGAAGGTTGGTGTGGGATCGCGAAGGGACTAGGCCGCCTGTTTGGGAGGAGAAGATTTATTATTAACCTAGGTACCTTTGGTACCTACCTACCCGGGTATTGAGGGGGTGGGGGTTGGTTAGAAAGAATGAGGGGAAAGGAGAGGGAGGTGCAGGTGGTCTCAGTTTACTAGGGGTTCGAACGTGAGGTACTACATACTGGGTAATAAGGGCCTGTTTTGACGAGACGGGATGGAGTGGGAAGGAGGAACTGAGGGGTGGGAAGGGGGAGTGGTGGTAATGTTGGATCTGTCTGCATCGCATCGCATGATGATAATGGGTCGTGATACCCCAGGAAAACGGAATTTGTGTCGATACCCGGGGGATTTTTGTTCGGTAGGCTGATGATCAAGGTTGGACTTGTTGGACCTTCTACGTTCTTTAGGCCCTCATATTAAGGGGGTGATAATATTTCATTGACTTTGGTGTTGGTATGCTTATGCGACTGCTCCTTTCTCGGCTTGGGACTGCTCTGTTCTGTTGATTCTCTGTACACATCCACGCTACGTTGCATCTACCGATTTGCTGTCTCGGACAAGTACCTACTCCGTACCGCGCAGCCATTGTGCTTCTTCTAACTACCGTCTTCCTATACCCCACAGTCCACATGGCCGAAACGACTGTTGCAGTGATTGTTGCAATGCCTTTCATCTCCAACAGCTCCGGAATAAACACCGTCATCAAATGCCACCACCACCCGGGCCGCTGACGGTGTAACCCCCCGCTTACCTCAACCCGCCGATTGGCCGGGGGTTGCCGTGACAACCACCACCACACCCCGAGCCCGCGCACCACTTCGAGACTTGTCAGCCGACAAAACAGGACAAGGCTCGGTCAATCTCTTGCAGAGAGGCGGGAAAACAAGCCAATCGCAGGTTCTGCCTGCCTATCATGCAGAGACACCCTTTTTTCTTTTGGTTGCAGCCGCAGACGCAATCGCCGGATCGGAGGGGAACTCTCACTCCGTTTGTTGACATGTGTTCCCGGCTACCCCTCTTCTCATATGGGATGCATCCCACCCGACCGTGCCGGTCCCGTTATCCTCCCTCACCTGCTGTGAACCGTGCCTTCCTCGTTCTGTCCAGTTGATTGCTCCCAGATCGCAGTGCCGCTGTTCGTTGTGCATCCAGATGATGTCTTGAGTTGTTTTATTTACTACTTGTGGTATTGTTACGGTCGATTGGATACCGCTGTTGGGTTTAGAGGAAGACTGTCGTGTTTCATTGCGGGGCGCTGGCCTGGCTCAACAGAGACACACCGGCATTCCTCTCGCTATACACGAGGCACGGCGACGATCATCAGGGGCACAACCATGCCGAGCTAGGCCTGGCGACCACGGATCGCGGCCTGCCATCAACGAGCACCCATTCCTCCGCTCTTCTTCGTGGCACACTGCAATGTTGGGATCTGCACGGGGGACGCGGCCCCGGCCCCGGCCCCGGCTCCGTCTGTGTCCCACTCACCGGAGCGCTGCGTCCGTGTTGACGTGTGCCTTTGCGGCTCTAGGCAGGGCAACGCTGGTATACGCCCAGCCGGCTCTGCCATACATCCCCACCAGCATCCTGCTGCCCTCCGATTCCGAAGGGAATAGCAGCCCAGTGGCCTACATCTTCGCGCCGAGCGCCGACAGCCCCGGCGCAGTCGACTTCCTCGCGCTCGACGTCTCCTCCACGCTCCGGGCGTCTTCCCTGCAGCCGACCAGACTCGCATCGGCCCTGCCCTTCACCGGAAACGGCACCACCTTTGCGCCCTCGCTCCTCCCCAACGGCACCATCGCCGTCGTGGTAGGCGACTGCGCGCCGGGCTCTGCCTCTTCGCTCTGGACCACCATGCCGGACCCAGCCACTACTACTACTAGTAGTAGTACTACTACGAAGAAGGAACCGGAATGGACCAGCCACTCCATCGCGCCTTTCTCGGGCTGGGACTACGCACAGAGCGGGCCGTACCATCTAGGCGGCATCCTCAGCTTCTCGGCCCAGCTCAGCCCCGTGCTCTCCCCGCCGACGCTGTACCTCTACGGCGGGATGTGTCCGCTGCCTAATCCATCATCCTCATCCCCATCATTGTCATCAGGAGAAGAAGAAAATAACTGGCAATCCGACGCGCGGTACTCGAACCGCATGCTCCGCCTCACGTCTTCCTCTTCCTCTTGGGACCTCTCCTACGCCCCCGGCGCACAACCCGTCGTCGCGGCAGCGGGCTTCACCCTCACCGCCCTCCCGCCGTCGCTCACCAATCTTTCTACTACTAGTACTACTAGCAACTCCGAGAAGGGTGGTAGTAGTAGCGGTAGTAGTAGGATAGTGACACAGCAAACAAGCCACGTCATGCTGGGTGGCCACACCACGGCCCACGCCTTCGTCAACATGAGCACCGCCGCGATCTGGTCGCTGCCTGAGGAGACTTGGTCGTTTGTCACCATCTCTTCCCCCCTTTCTTCTTCTGGAGGAACGAAAACAGATCTAGCCCGCCGCCGTCAAGCTGGTGCTGGTTCTGGTTCTGAGGCTGATGTGGTGGTGGTGGACAGCAGGTCCGGACACACGGCGGTGCTGAGTGCCGACGGGACGCGGCTGGTTGTGTATGGTGGGTGGGTCGGGGATGTGGACACGCCTGCGGTGCCGCAGCTGGCTGTGCTTAGGTTGGGGGTTCCTGGGTTGAGTGAGTGGGCGTGGGAGATTCCTTCTGACACCCCACAAGATGGGGAGGAGGATGGGATAGGGGGAGGGGTGTATGGGCATGGCGCGGCGCTGTTGCCGGGGAATGTCATGATGGTGTATGGCGGGTATGAGATTGTGCCTGAAGGTGGTAGTAGTAGTAGTAGTAGTAGTAATGGGGAAGGGGGGAAAGGAGGGGTGGTGAAGAGGAGACGGGCGGGTGGCGGGAGGGTGTTTTACAATATTACCAGTGGTCGCTGGTCGGAGGAGTATGTCAGTCCGCTGACGCACCTTGGGAGTAGCGGAAATGGTGGTGGGAGTACGAGTGATGCCGGGGGTGGTTCTACTAGTAGTAGTTCGCCCGGCCCCTCGGACAATGGGGATGCTCCCAGCAGCGCCGACGACTCCTCACGCAAACGACAGATCAGCCTCGGCGTCGGGCTCGGCGTCGGCGGTCTCATCCTACTCCTTCTCGCGGCTCTCGGCGCCCGGTGGTTCCGGCGCCGACAGAAGCGCCGGGCCGCGCGGGACGAGACGCTCCGCAGCCTGGCCCAGGGCGTGGGCGTCAACGGGTCTCTGCCCCGGGGCCTCGGCGAGGACGACGACGAGATGCTGGAGCGGGAGTACGCCGGCACGGGCCTCTTCCCCTGGACCGCCGCGGCCGCGCGGGAGTGGTACACCGGCGGCGGCGGGCCTTACACGCAGGGGCGGCGCTCACTTGGGGGCTACGAGAGCCTCCGCAGGCCGGGGCCGTCGCTCCAGTATTACATCCCGCCGCCGCCGTCGCCATCGAGCGCCTCGAGCGGTCGGTTGAAGGGCGCCAGGGGCCTCCACCAGCCGACATACGATTTCGCCCCGCTCGGTCGCGCTCGGAACGGGATCGAGCCTATCTACGAAGCGGACGAGGACGAGGATGGCGATTTGGCCAAGGAGGGCTGTCCGCTGAGTCCGGACGGGAATGAAGAACACGACGATGGCGACGACCCGTTTGTCACGCCGACCACCCTCAGCAGCCCGCGACACTCCAACTCGCCGACGCCGCCCCCTTCTCGCGGGCATGCACATGCACATGGACAAGGACAGGGAAGCCAGCAGCAAGATCCGGACGTCCAGGGCTGGGTGAGCGACGTGGACGCCGTCTCCAAGCGCGGCAGCCCTGCCTCACCCCGCCAGCCAAACTCAAACTCTAACACATACTCACACTCACACGCAGGGCAACAACAGCCTACTACTACTAGTAGTAGTACTAGTACAGGCCGCTTGTCCCCGCTGCGCCGCGCACTCTCGATCAAATCCACCAGATCAGCGAAATCGCCCTCGGCGGGAGCACAGCGGGCTACTATTACTACTGTAGTAGGCTCAGCCTTCTCCTCCTCCCCTACCACATCATCCCAACCCTCCCTGTCAGACGACGGCAGCCACCGCACGGGGAGCAACCTCTCGGAGCGCAGCAGGCCAGGCACGGGAGGTCCTTGTTCGGTTATGGGCACGGGTATGGGTGGTGGTGGTTGTGGCGGTAATACGGTGGTGGCTGGGCCAGGGGCGGAGGATAGAGTCCTCCTTTCCCGACTGCATTCCACGCTATCCACCACCGTGGCCGCAGGGGAGAACACTATTATTACTACTATTGGTGGTAGTGGTAATAGTAACAAGGTAGGGGGGCGAACGAGAAGCGACAGTGCAACATCGACATCTGCATCCGGAAAAAGCTACAGCACCGCCAAGTCGCATCTGAACTTTGCCGTGCTGCGGGAGGAGGGACCTGGGCTGTTGATGGGCACTACTACTGCTGCTAGTAGTGGTAGTACTACTACTTGTACTAAAGAAGGGGATGGAAGAATGGGGGAGGACGAGGAGGGAGAAGAGGAGGAGGACCAGTGGCTGCATGTGCATGACTATAATGAGCCAGGCAGTCCGAGCAAGACCAAGCCACACCACCACCACCAACAACAAAAACTGCGGCGCAGCTGGCTGAGGAGTCTCAAGCGCGTGTTCAGCGGCGGCACGCCCACACCCACCACGACCGAGGCCGGGAGCAGCAGCGGCAGTGGCAGTCCGACGCGGGAAGCGCTGCTCTGGTCTTCGTCGGACTACTACGACGAGCTGTTTGGCACTACTACTACTACTGGCGGCGGTAGTGGTGGTGGTGGTTTACAGAGACGGAGACAACAGCAACAGCAACAGCAGGATGAACTGGACGACTGGGACCGGGACATTGAGCGCGCCGCGGCGCACCGCACCGTGCAGATCATGTTCACGGTGCCCAAGGAGCCGCTGAGGGTCGTCAACGCCGAGATTGAGCGGGAGGAGGAGAGCGTGCTGATTGTGGATCCTGCTGATGAGGATAAGGGCCATGACAGTGACAGTGACAATGGCAGGGCCGCACCAGCAGTGGACCAGCACCACCACCAGGAGGAGCAGCAGCAGCAGCATGTTCGTGTTCCTCTTCCTCTCCCCATTACCCAGAACGACGACGACGACAACAACAACAACAACAATGCCAACAGACACAAAGACAGAGGAGACAGATTGTCATCTACCACCCTGGAACTTCCAACGGGAGTCTCCACCTCCACCTCCCCCTCCCCTTCCCCCTCGCTGCGCGCCCGCGCCCCGTCCCCGTCTGCCATCTCCCTGACGACAGCGACGCTGCATACCGCCGAGGCGGTGCGTCTGGAGCGGCCGCCCAGCAAGACGAGGGTCTTGGAGATGGTGGAGAGCATCGAGTCCCAGTCCCAGTCCCAACCCCAGTAGGGAATGAGGGCGGAGTTATCAGATCTGCGAGGGTTCGTTCGATCGATGTCTAGTGTAGGTGTCGGAGAGTTTTCTGAGATGAGATTTAAGGGGCCTACACTGGGGGTAGGTACGTCATTGCGGGAATGTTTGTGGGTTTGATGTTCATGGTGTAGTGCTTTGTTTTTTTTTTTTTTGTTTATTCTTTTTGTTTGAGGGAGATTTGGCAAGCGGATATACCTGGAGGATTACTCTCGTTTGGGGATCTTGGATACGGTATGGTTTGCCCTGGGTAGCGGCATCCGGATTCATTGGATATGGGACTGCAGGTCCGGGATTCTTTTCTGGTTGTTGGGTGTTTCTCGGTCCTACACCTATAGTAGTTATATACATAACAAAGGTACCGCCGAGGTGCAATACTGTGTAGGTGTAGTGCGGTGTGGTGTTTCGTGTATATCCAGCCGGCCGGCCTACGGTGTGCTGTAGAAGCTCCGGGAGCTCGCAGATACATGGGTGGTCTATCCGAATCGTGGGAATCCGTTGATCTGCAGCATTGTTTCGACCGGTAAATTCTGTTCCTGCATGGCTCAGGGGGCGATAGCTGATCATCAAAGCTTGTTGGTTTCGATTCGTTCCGTGCCATGGCATTTGTTTTCCAGATGCAAGAAAGCAAGCCTTGGGAAGATTCGACGATCCTCGCCTCACCATGAGGGGGGGGCAAGCCGCACAGCGACTCCAGTGAAGCGTGATCTTCTGCTTGTTCTAGCTTGGCCGCTTGACTCGTCTCGACTCTCGAGAGGTCATGTAGTACTGTACTTGAACATACAGTCAATATAAGTTTATTCTCTTCTTGTTTTCTGGAACTTCTTCCTCACTTCCCGTTCGGGGTGCCGATATGCTATCACTTCCAGAGAATGCGATCAGTTTAGAGAAAATAACATCTGCGCTAAGAGCGGATGCGGCAAGATCGCCGGCGCTGTTTCAACCCGACACGCTTTTTGTTGGCGGTCGGTCTCCCGCGGTCGGTCCGGCTCGGTCGGCGATTGACAAGACAACCCCCACACGGCAAACTTGGTTTCTCCTGTCGATCTGCCAGCTGCGCAACCTGGATTTGAGGTTTGAGGCGCTATCGTTAGAGAGGACAACTTGGCATGTGACTGGTCGAGCTGCTGTTCCTCTATCGGTACGCTTCCTGCCACAGTATTTTTTTTACTGTTTTTTCCCTTCCGATGAAAGGTCTGTCTTGGTTAGCCGCCGAGATGAGTGGCGCTGATTCACTGCCGCCAAGCACAGCGTTGCCTGTCGTGTGATGGTGGCGGCATCACAAGCGGGAAGAGCATTTTATTATGTTTCTCGGAGAGACAGGATAGTCGGATGGCGGTCAGCCCACATCCGTACCACCAAGAATCAGGACAGAGACATAACGTTAGTAGATGGCATCCGTAGATGCAAGCTGAACGTCGGCTTCCCCCGCCTCCTTTCCGGATCAGGAGATTGTGTCTGGCAACGGAGCTCGGGACCTTGCCAAGCCCGGCGACGGTGCTGTGAACTCGGCGGGGAGTCCTGTCGAAGGTTCCGTGGAGGTCCATCTGGGTTCCGGCATAACATTCGCCTGATTTCACGTCTTCGAACACACACGTCCAATTTCGATTTCGTCGAGATCGGTCTTGCGGAAGAGCTATTGCCAAACATCTTGCACTGCAGGCAGAAAGCGGCGCGCTGTTCTTGCAGGCCACTTCAACCCCCTCCGATACTCCAGTATCTGCTCTCCAAGGCCGTGTTGCGGTTGTGGCAGCTGAGGCCTGAGGGGATATCGGGATATCGCTTCGGGAATACGACTGCAGCGTTCCCTTCTTCCTGCGGGCCACGCCATCTAGTTTCCAGAATCGGCACAGTCGCTCCTGGAGATACGAGGCCAAGTCAAGTTATCTGTCACGCGCCTTTGGCTGTGACTGAGCTGTGAAGATAGCATCGTCTCGCTCGCAACCTTTTCAGGAGGTCGGCTCTTGTTCATCAGACGAGCAAGCTCCCGTGATAAATCATAAGTATGCGTTTGTAATCAACGGCTCTCAAGGTGCGTTGGGTGTGCGGCCCAGGGTGTGGTGACGATCTCAAAGGATCAGGGAACATATACGAAAGATGGGGTAGCATTCCATATCTTTGTGTGTCTTGCGCCTGAGCATACCAGCCAGGCCATCACCCATCCATGAAAGCAAACTTGACAAGGTAGCCGAGAAGAAAATCTCTGGAACCTTTTGATCGTTGTGCCGGGCAGGCGTGCAGGTGAAATTGGCAGGCCAATGTTGCACTCCATGGATGATGTATGTACAGTGTACATCCCGGAACCCCGCCAACCCCGTTCGTGCTGAGGCTTGCTCGCCGTGCCCCAGCGAGCCCAGCCGCCTTCAGCGGTTTCAGCGGAGCAAGGGCACGCGCGGCGCTAACGCCGCCGGGAACTTCAGAAGTCCCCAGTACACGGACTCGCGCCATGGCCCGTGGGAAAGTGCAGTGGAGGTGGTGACGCCATCCAATTTGGCTGCGGCAGAAAACGAGGTCGAAAATGAAAAACGGCCCGGGAGCCACCCTCCCTAGTGTAAGGTCGACGCTGAGCGCTCCTTGCAGCAATAGTGCTGCTTTCGTGCAGTAGTCGATCGGCATGCATGCCGAAGAATAAAGGGCTAACGCGAGGGATCTTGCTGTGGTGAGGCTTTGGTTGTTCAAAGTTCGAACAAGGGACTTTTGCTCGGCTTTGAACCGTCAATCGTAGAGTAACCGTCCGCGAGGTTTGCCTTGGGGATCATTCGGATCGGGCATCTTGTCTGTCATCTGTTAGGTTCTGCTATCGGTGCTATCCTTGTCGTTTATTAGCTCCGTCCAACAAAACCCGCCTCTTCACTCGCCTCTTCCATTCATTCTCTCCGGGCTGCCCCCACCTGCCCCACCTGGCCTTCGATCGCCCGCTAGCAATTGTTGGCTCGGCTTGGCCTTCTCTTTTCTGCTGCAGTGCAAACACCACCGTGCGCTCGACAATTCTGTATCTTTCATCCCCGCCAGCCCTCTTGTCGCCGATGCAACCAGTTAGCCATTAGGGTTACTGTGAATCTTTCCTGACTCGTTCAACATCACCTCCTTTGCAGGCCCACGGTCCCCGCGGGCAAGCTAGGACCGAGGTTGAAGTGCTTGGCGCGTCCGCAGTGACTGACGGACGAGCAGACCAACACACTCGACTGACTCCCACTCTTCGCCTCCACGATTTCGGTATGGTCGCATGAGCTCAAAGCACCGATTTCCCATGGACTGGTCAACCCAATTAATTCCATAACAATCGCCGCATCCCAACTTAACCAGCATTGTGCTGGCCGACCAACAACCATCCCGCAACGCGCGGCCTCGCAAATCGACCATCATATTCGGTCTGCGCAACCAACCCACATGAAATCGCCCACCATGCCACTACAAAGCACCGCCCTATTATGGGCGAGCCTCAGCATAGCTGCCGCCTTCAAAGCGGGGCCCACGCCGATGCGCCGGGCGGATGATAGGCTATCGGGGCCCTCGATTCCGGTGGAATATTGTGCCACCGTTAACACCGCCGACATGGATCCTTGTACGTTCATCGCTCGTCCTGGCTATTATCGTGGATCCTGTTACTGATGGCTCCTCTCTACAGTTAATAGTATCTACCAGAGCGAGGGCCGTTGCTATACCAACTGCACCGATCTGAACTTTGCTCTTGCCATCGTGCAGGAAAAGAACTGCTGGTGTTCGAACCTGATTCCAAACTCGGACGACCGGACGTCGCTCTCGGATTGCCGCTCGCCTTGCCCCGGCTACCCTACCGACTACTGCGGCGGTGATGGCGTCTTTGGGTATACAAGCCGGCGGGGGCAATCCCAAGGGTACGGCGCCTCCGGGCGGCTCTGCCACTGCCTTGCCAGCCAGCTCCGTAAGTGCTCCCCCGACCTTTACCGACATGCGTGCCCGCCGGAAACTCTTCCGCCCGCCTTTTTAATTCTTGGATTCCCGCTGTTCCTTGTTGTGTTGATCTGTCTTTGGCTTTCAGACCGTTGTGACCAGTGAAACTAGAACCGTGCAGAGCAGCACAGTCCAGCCCACAGTTACCATTACTTTGTCTCAAACGCCGTCGAGCGCTTCAAGTTCCTCTACTTCTGACTCTTCATCCTCGTCTACTGTACGCATTGCGTCTCTCTCCCTATTCTCCAGGCGGGGCCGGCACGCACTGCTTGACACCTTGCAGGTTCTAGCATACTGACTCGGCCATAGTCCAGTGAGAGTAGCTCAACAGCAGCAAGCACGACGCAATCGCAATCGCAATCGCCAGTCGTGCAGACCGTTACAATAGGCGGGACAGTCAGGACCGTGACTGCCACTGCCGGCATAACACAACCGGACGCCGATAAGGACAAGAGCATCAACGGAGGCGCCATTGCAGGCATAATAATCGGCATCCTCGGCGGCCTGTGCGTAGCGGCAGGCGCCATCTTCTTCTGGCTACGGCGGAGGAGGGAAAAACAATTGAATGAAAAGGGCATGGGATCACCAGTAGGGAGAGGTGGCTCCCCTGCCATGATGACCACAACCACAACGGGCGAGGGCTCGGCAGCGGGTGGGTCGGCCGGATTGGACTCCAACAAGCGGCGCAGTTACTTGATGCCGATCGACCCGCGGCTCGATCCGTTCGCCACGGGCATCTACACTGGCGACCATAACAGGAGTCGCGAGAGCTTCAACTCGCTGCAGGACAACCACGACTACTCGAGACGGGTGCACGATCCGCCCCGGGTCTTGAGGGCTATCAATCCGGACCCAGCCGATGATGACTGATTCATCACAGCAGCGGTCTGCTCCTTCCTTGTTACCGGCTTCCGTTTTGGATTAGGGCCTGGGTCACTACGACGATACACGACGGTCTCTCTTTCTTTCCTCTCTCACCTACATACCGGGTACTGCATTTGTCGTTGGTTTGGGCTTTTCTCGATTTTCCGCATTTTGCATTTCCGAAGATACCACGGCGTTCGGGAGATTAGGGGCAGGAAACGGAAGACATGGCAAAGCATGGCAAAGCAGAAATGCGATTGGAACTCTATGGGCCGGGCTGTCTCATTTTCTCAGATTCTATGTCGGGTGGGGAAAGTGTCTGCTCCCGGGGATGGCATGCTCTGATGACAGGAGGCAGTGACAATGTCCTTGGATCATGGTGGGGATCTTGTGATGGGCCGGCGAGGACAAGTTGCTTAATTCTTTGCATAACATGAACGTTTTGCGAGCCGTTGTTCCGACAGTACGAAGGGATGTTGTGCTAGAACGGTGTATGGACGGTTCGGGGGAGGTGATAACCAACTGCCGGGTGAGCTGGGTACATACGGAGAAGTTCTGTCGTTAGAGCTGGGCCACGCCAGGTTTAGCATCATTGCCTGGTAGCTACTATACTGCCATCTGCCCATCCATCCCGATGCTGTGTAGGGCTGGACTTGGCACGCTCTTAATATTACAATACGAATATGATTATAGAGGTGACTCGTCGTAATAGCATGGGTATGATACTGACTTTGTAGTGATGTAGGCTCGGCTACGGGAGCGTGTTCTGAGGGTGTAAGGAGTGTAATGTCTATATCGGTAATTGGAGTAGCCATTCTATCCGGATTATTTACTTAGTACCAGTCCCCCAAGACAAGGGATACAAGACGGATATCAGCATCTCCCCATGTCGAGACTGTGAGCCAGGCCGTGTTGGACCCTAGCCGTAAGACAAAAAGGCCTATGTGGCTCACCGGGGACGGACCCGGAGAACGGCATAGGAGACATCCTAGACTTCAACTTAGGAAAGAAGGTACCTATACTGTACTGTGCCTGAGCAGGGATGAGCTATGGGAGTTGCTCAGCCCCCCCAGGAGGAGTGGAACACGAACAAGCTTTCACGATTCTTACGTTATGCTTTGAGCTCTACATAAGCAACGGGGTTAACGGTTAAGCAATAAGCCAGCGGCACAGTCAGGAACTGCACTGAGCCAACAAAGGCTACACGCAAAATACGAACGGCACAGCTGGTATATGGAATACATATTGGGAATGAGGTGTAGGACATGGATGCATCCTAACGTTATATATCTTCCCACAGGTGGACGTGGTGCTCGCAATCTCGGGGGGATGCTTTTATATCGGGGGAAGAGGCGGATGTAGGTCCTAGTTTTGGTTTTTCTGACAAGTGTTTGATATAAGTGGCTATGCGTATGTATATATGAGTCTCAGGCAAGGTTGACTTTCGTCTTTCTGCGGCTCAGTCGAAGCTAGTATGTCAAGTCCCTTGTCTGTAACAGAACTTACCTGGTATCCAGTGTGAGGGTGAGCATGACTGAGTGCTGATGTTGCTGGAGTAGTGACAATCATCGCAGGAAACACATATATACCTCGGTACTGAGTCAGCGGACATGTCTCATCCGCTGCCAATATGCATCTCCATGCCTGAACCGAGTTGGTTGTTCCATGTTTCCACATCAATCGTACATCTACACTATCTCTCCCTAAAGACTGACTCCTAGTTCATCGCCCAAGGGAGAAACCCAAACGCCACACTCCAAGCAGACCCCATCCCATTACACCCTCTTATCCCCTAGCCCGATATCCCACATGTACAATACAACACTTAAAGATTTGATAAATACATAGGTACATACAAAGCACAGTACACACGATCAGCACTCCACTATTAATCGTAGTCTCACAAACTTCCGACTCCTGTCCTTTCTACTATACTTGATCCATTATTATGTGTAATACCAGAAGCAGCCCACAACGCCCCACCATCGAGTCGCTTTTTGTATAAAACCATATCGTTTTTACAACGCCATTCTTCTCAGTGGAACTGCGCCGTGCCAAATCCGCACAGATAACAGAATAAAAGGTATACAGAGGAATGCGATGGGTAAACGACGGGGAGGAGACATAATATATATATATATATATGTGTGTGTGTGTGTGTGTGTGTGTGTGTGTGTGTGAATGTGAATGTGAATGTGCAGCCATCCGCTCTTCGCTCTTCTCCGCTGTCGAGGGCTCGTTGCGTCGTCTCAGAAACGCTCCCGGCAAACACGGTATGGTATAATGTAAGTAGATAGGTATGTACGTATGCCGGGAAGATAGTACCAAGCACGCCTTCTGAATATCGAACGATCACGGTCTTTGGCCCCTCGGGAGAAAAGATAAAATAAACGTTGAGTTGATAGATGGTGCGTGGAAATAGTATCGTCTCGGAGTAGGTAATCTTTTTGGTGACTCGACTCGACTCGACTTGACTTTGGCCCCCACCGAGATCTAAAAGAAACTGGCGTACCCATCCATCATTGCAATGTATGACGCTTCTCAAATTCTGATAGTTGGTGGCCGCCGACCCGGAAATGACAACTTTGTGTGTGCGACGCGCGTACTTCGTAAAATCCTCTCTCCTCCAATCTGATTTGATCCCGCAACAACAAACACTCTTTCAACACGACGACAACCGCAAAGTTACTAACGCCGCGGCCGCTTGTCCTGGTGACTTCCGCTTCCGCCGTCGCCGCCCGAGTCCACACCCCCTTCGCCCCTGCGCTTCCTCGCCGCCCGATCATCACCACCACCGCCCCTCGGATCACCACCACGCTCATCTCCTCCTCCTCCGGGTCTGGATCTAGAATCCCTAAGAGCCCCATTATTTCCCCTGGAAGACCCGCTCCGTCCATAATCGCCAGCACCGTGGGCTCCGTCACCCCTTCCACCTCCCGGTCCGCCGTCGCCGCGGTGACTGCGATGCGAACTCGACTCGCGCGGCGGCGCTAGATCCCTTCCTCCTCCCCCAGGACCGCCGGGAATAGGCTGTCGGTTAGCACCACCACTACTCGTGGATTCACGGAGCGACGAGGACCGACGCGCGTCCCGCTCATCGCGCGCGCCGCCAGACACGCTAGACGACACACCCGACCGCCTGCTATCTCGGTAGTCGCGAGGATCCTTAGACTCGCGCTCCCCCCGGTCTGGCGTGCGCTCGCGGCTACTCCGCCTGGACGGCCGGCTGCCGCGCTCCGAGCGATGGTGGTCGCGGCGGCCGCGGTCGTGCTCGCCGCGGCTGCCAGGCCCGCGGCTGCTGTTGTTGTTGGCCTGGCGGCTGTCTCCCACGGCCTGGATCGGCTCAGGCCCGCGCGGGGGCGCCCGGTCGGTGCTCATGTCACGGCGGGACGACGAGTCCCGGAGGACGTCAGGCGGCGGCCGTTCTTGCACGGGCGTTGTCACCGGCGACGCACCTGTCAGTATCTGGACGTCTGACCCTGCCAAGGTCGGTCGTGACCGAGTCGTCCGCATGCCCGGACCTCTGGCGGCGTCTGCTGAGGCCTTGTCGAGCGTGTTCTGGATACCCCGAAGTTGTCTGCCGCCCGGCCTCATCCGGTCGTTCCCGGCCGCAGGGCCGGTGGGAGTTGAGGAGAAATCGGCACTAGGTCCTGAAGGTGTGGGCCGCGCACCAGAGCTAGGGGCGGGCATCGACGGGCGGTCCGGTGTGTGCATTGGTGGGCGCGAGTGCGAACCAGGCCCCGATGGCTGACCCGCAACCAGGTTGATGAGACGGTCCGGGTGGATGCCGGCAGCCGGGCCCGTCGGAGGTGGAGGCAGCGGTGGGGGAAGCGGCGCTTGGTTGATCTGCCGCATCCTGTCTGGGTGCACTCCGACTCCAGGAGGCCCGGCCGTTGTTGGCGATGAGATCATGTTCCCGCTATCATAGTGGCCTCGCCGCGAGCGTGACGAAGAGGGCCCAGTTGGAGGATGCCGCTCATCGGGAGTCGGTGGCCGGATCGGCTCGAGCCCCGCGAATCTGTTGTCAGCAGGGCGCATCGGAGGGCCGTTGACGGCGCCGGGTCGCCCTATATTCCGGCCACCCCGGCCTCGCGGACCTGACGGCGGAGGACCCGCCGCCGGCGGCATATCGACGACAGACTGGATCGGGTTCAATCGGCCGTAGTTGGGATCTTGCTGGTTGAGTCTCCCGTGGTCGCTATCCGAGCGGGGCTGGCTAGCGTGTGGAGGATCCCTGGCGGGCCTGGCCATCCTGTCTTCGCGCTCCGCGGTTCGGTCGGGCCGTGAAGGCGGGCCTGCGGGCTCGTTCCGGGATTCTCGTGCAGCTTCAGGAGCGGGCGAATGACGGTGGCGCGCGTGGCGATCGTCGCGACCATGATCCGGAGGGGGTGGATTTGCCGGGGTACGGTCGGCTCGCCTAGGCGACTCAGTCCGTGGAGGTCGTTCCCTGGATTGGTCTCTCGGAGACCCGCGGCCCAAAGGTTCTCTTGACTCGTTCATCAGGGCAGCCCTTGCTGGATTGACGAGTACGGGCTGTTCAACCCCAAGTAATCGAGCCCGCTCGGGGTTGATGGGAGGCTCCTGGGCGCCATTCTGCGCAGCGGCTGCCGGCGGAGGGGTGGAAACCGCGGATTCTCTGGCGTATCTACCGTCAGACCGACCCGGACCTCTTTCTCTGGGAGCACGGCTATCCCTTTCCGCTGGTGGGCCGTGGTCGTGCCTACGCGGTGCCGGCTCTGCTCTGCTCGGCCGCTCCCGGTCGGATGGTCGTCCAGCGTCGCGGCCGTCGCGACTAGCTTCACGGGGACCGGGTTCCCGCGGTCCAGCATCCGCAGCACGCCTATCGGATGGTACCGGTGGTTCGCGAAGTCGCTCTGGCCGCGAGGTCTCCGCTGCCCGGTAATCCCTATTCTCCCGGGCGCCTTGAGACTCGCGAGAGTCACGCGAATGGTGGTCTCGTGATTCCCGGCCGTCACGGTAGTCGCGGGCCTCTCGTGTCGGAATCTCCCGCCTATCGTGCCGGGCCTGTCCATACCTACTGGGCACCGGCACGTCGGGCCTGTTAGGGAGCTCTGGTCTGCTTGGAAGTCCAGGTCCACCGGGGGGCAGGGTGGAGAACTTTTGAGGCTCCTGTCGACTACTCGAGTGGGGCGCGGCCGGCGGCTTGGGCGTGCCTGGCCTTCCGGAGTTTGTGGATTCTGTCTTCGGCGCCGGGGAATTGGTCTCCCGCGGGGACTCCCTGGCCGGCTGCGGCTTCGGAGCATTGGGTTCGGCTGCTTTGGCCGTGGCGTTGCCCGCTCTGCCGTCCTTGACCTCTCCATCTTCAACTTCGGTAGGCTGTGACGAACGCACCCCGTTGGGCTTGAACTCCGCCGCTGAGCCTCGGAGGGAAGAGCTGGCCGGTGTTGTGGATCGTCTCTCGTCCTTTCCGTCGCTCTTCTGCATACTGTCAGTTCCTGATTGTCCGGGCCTTCGCGCGGATGGACTTACAACACCCGGCCGGAACGCCTGGACAAGGATCCACTTCGACTTCCTCTTCTTCAACTCCGAGTAGGCGGTCTGGGCTGTGACGGAGAGATCGACGCGGTGGCCTTGCTCGGACTCTGGTGCGTTCTTGGTGGCCGCTTCGCGGTCCTTGATAGTGTTGAGTTGCTCAAGGAACTTGTCGGCCATGAAGTTGATGGCCGGGAAATAATCGATGACGCCCTTGAGGATGCTGATGGCATTGCGGATATGCATCCATTCCATGCCGTTCAAGCACGTTCTCAGAGCCGTGTTGAGCTCCTTGTGCCAGCGGAACAGGACTTCCTTGAACGGATCATGCTCGAGAAACTCGGTCGGCTTGCCATCGGCATCGAAAGCGGTGGCAAACCCCAGATACTGCCGCGTCTTGGTGCCGTGTAGTTCTTTGAGACCCAGCGCTTCCTTCTCGTAAGCAGCCTTGTCACCGTGCCACTTGGAGAGGTCGCCGAGGATGAGCCTCAGGAAGCGGCCAAGATGTTCGGCTTCGCGGACCGTGCATGCAAAGATGATGCCGCGCAGACGGTTGTGGTTGAACAGCCGGTCATAGAGCGACATGAGCTTGAAGTTCGGGGCCGAAAACTCATGCAGGAATTTGACCAGTCTGAAGCAGTATTCCGCGTCCATGGCCGAGATCTGCAGGCGCGGAAGAATGCATTCTTCCAGCAGCGCGTCCGACGTCGCATCGGCCTTTGCAATACCTGCAGGAAACCATGTACTAGCTTGCCTGCCGATGTGCAGTCTGCCCTTGGAGAAGGCCGTGAAGCCCTCGTTAACCTCCCGGAGGAGGTCCTTCTGCCGGTCAAGAATCTCATCCCGTCTTTGGGTTTTCTTGTCCATTCCAGGCCGCGTCATGTCCGTCCTGTCCTTCATGACGTCTTCAGCCTGCTTTTTCAGTCGGTCGACTTCAGAAAAGTAGCTTTCGCGCGGGAACACCAGATTTCCAAGCTGCAGCGACCAGGAAAACACATAACATGCCGGACTGATGTACCGCCATGACTGCTGAGGTCGGACGCCCTGGATCTCGTCAATTAGCGGAGCGAGCGCCTCCGGGATCGCCTCTGACGCGCGGCTGTTTGGTGCTTTCGAGGGCGGACTGTCATTGCCGGTGTCTCCCTTGGCGTCGGTGCTGCTGCCATCGCCTTGGGTGGGCGTGACGGCCGTCTCCATGGCTACATCGCCGTCGACATCCGTACCGGCTTTGGTGATCTGGACCTGGCTCTCTCTGGCCGCGATGGGAGACTTCGCGTCCCAGCGGATGCTAGGCCGGTGGATGGTAAAGGCGAGGTTGGCGTCCAGGCCGTAGTCTCTCATGAGCTGAACGACGTCAGGAATGAGCTTGTCGAACGTCTCGGCATCCATGTTGCTGCGGAGCAAGTCCAGGTACCGCAGAAGAACCTGGTGGGTATCGTCCAGGATGGTCGAGAGGTACTTGATACGCGCGCTGCCGTCCGCGATCTTGTAGATGGCATTTTGCCGGTACTGAGCGATATTGATGAGCAGTTGGCCGGCCAGATTGGAGTGGGACAGGGCCTTCATTAGTCGCTGCGCACTCCGTACTGACAAGAATCGCTTGTCTCCGAGATTGACAAGAGTCTCGCGACGGAGCAATTCTCCGCCAGTCATGGCGTGCAGCTGAGCGTCGGTGAAATCCAGCCCGGACACAACACCGCCCATAGAGCCGATCAGCTCTTCGAGGATGACCAAGTCGGTCGAATTCCCCTGCAGAAGCTGGTTGTTGACATAGCGAAGAACGGGCGACGGATCCATGTTGGAGTAGCGTTGAAAGACTTTGCCCGAGAAGCGCGACAGCGCTTGGAGCCACTTGCTGGTGAGCAACACTGAAGTCTCCTGAGTGCGGCTCCGCTGTTGGCCGCCGAGCGAGCTCAACACCGACCAGACAAGGACATCGTATCCTAGATCAGTGAAGTACTTGGCACATTCGACAAAGGCCTCGATCAGGTTGCTGTAGGATTCGATTTGGAGCAGGGCGACCTTGCAAACGATACCGGGGGACGGATAGGCAATCTTAGCGAGACTCTTTGCCATCTGGGGAATGTTGGTCAAGGAGAGGCGCTTCATCTTGCTGAGCGTCTCCAACCTTGTCCGAGCGAAGGCCTTCCGCACGGGCTCGAGTCGGGAGATGGAGCCTTCATACCACTCGGCGTAGAGGTTAAAACGAGTCCGGATAGGGTACTGCTTGAGCAGCGTCCATACGCTGTCGACCAGTGATGAATTAGGCTCGCCGAGACTCAGCGCTGGAACCAGTAGGCGCTTGAGTAGATCAATCCAACGCGCAATGTTGCCAGGCGACTGATCATCGGCCAGGCTCTTGCAGCCAATGGCCGCGAGCTTAGCCACCAGAGAGGCGTCAAGACCGATGTTGACGCCGACGACGTTCAGGAGGGAGTCGCAGAGCGTGAAAAGATCGTCTACCGTTCGGCAGACAGGTACGTTATCCGCCCACTCGTCCCAGTAGAAGCGATAAGACATGCCGTCCCCGACGTCAGCCTTATCCGGGTGTGGCCATTTCAGAGCCCGTTTGAGGGGCGGTGCGCTCCGTTTAATGCTGCCTTTGGGTACACCCGACTGGTCGAGATCAGGAAGCTTCTTCTGAGGACATTCGATCGGACGCGACGGTATCGGGCGGCTCTGCTGGTAGACGACATCGATGGACTGATGAAGGATGCGGTGAAAGAGAGGTAGGATCTCGTCGGCGTATGCTTGGAGGATCCACTCATGCCGCCCGATAATGAAAAGCGATTCGGGGAGAGCGCCAATGGTAAGGAGGCACTTGAGAAGATGCACCTTTTGATCCGCCGGTTCCGGCAGCTTTGGCTTCTCCTCTGCGGGTTCGGCAGTTTTCATGTCGACGTCGGGTTTGTTTGCTGTTACATCGCGACGTGTGTTGCTTTGGGGCATGGGGCTGTCGTCCGGCAGAGCCCCAGCCATCATCAGCGCGTTCTTTTCTCCGCCTGGTCTTTTGGCTTTCTCTTTCTCCTCGAGCTCTTTCATCTTCTGCGCCTTGACGCTCTCCATGTCCTCGTCTTTGGGCCATATGTGATTCCACAGGTCCGTCAGCGAGATGAAGCCGACCTTGATCAGCAGCGCTATGAGGTAGAGCAAGTTTGCCGGTAACGTGTCCTCGGGGTCCCTGGCCTCCGACGTGTAAAAGCGCAGCTTGAATCCCAACATCTGCGCGGCGTCTCGGTTGCCCGGAGGTGGTAGTGTCTTGGTTATTCTGATCCATTCCTGCTCGATGCTTGATTCCGCACCATCGTCAACCGTGCCGTTCGCCAGACGCTCCTCGTCCGATGCCGTGAGCTGTCTGCCTCCCAGCTCGAAGTAAGCATCAAGCTTGATCTCGCGCGCTCGCTCCCAGAACGCAATATCTCGTTGCAGCCGCTGCTCGGTCAGCATTGCTTCCTCCTCCTCGCTGGTCTCCCATCCAGGATGCTCAGGCAAAGCCCAGATAGGCAGGCCGCCGATGAAGGTGTTATTTGGCTGGATGAGCTGACTGCGGGGCCACCAGGAACTAATGCGCAAAAACTTGATGAAGTAGCGGAACTGCTTGATTAGCACCGCGGCAAAGACATCGAAGGTCACGTCCAGTACGCGGCCGGGGTGCAGGTCGAAAGTCCCAATAAGGCCCATAACCTTGTTGAACGTGGCCTGCACGGCCTCAGATGAGGACGACCCCGAGCTGTTCGTTGTGAACAGCTCGGTGAGAAGTTTCGAGTAACCTTCGGTCTCTTCGCGCAAGAGATTGTAATTCGCTTGGCGGTATAGCAGGTTTGTCGATTGGCGGATGCCCATTCTCACGAAGGTGTCGCGGATTAAATCGAGGTGCTGGAGGATTGGAGGGTCCAGGACGAGGCGCATAAGGGCTGGGGAGACGTCTGTGGCCACCATGAAGTCGCGGAGCTGCGGCCGAAGAGGGCCGGACTCGACGTCCATAAATGTAGAAACGGTGTCAAGGAATAGGGTGTGGGGGTCGAAAGTGGCGACCGTCCGATCTTCGTCTGATAGCTCCGGCCCCAGGATCTCTTTTACTACGTCACCTGCGTCATAGCCTTGGAGTCGTCCGTCAGTGACGGAGTGGATTAGCTCCTGGAATATCACGACGACTTCGGTGACATCCTCATCCTTGCGCGACTGGATTCCATGCTCAATGACTTCCTGCCGAGCGCCACTTGCCCATCTGCTCACGCAATCTTCAGTGATAATGCTGTAGTCGTAGAAGGGTTGTATCGGAGACGGGGGAGGTGACGCAGGCGCCGGAGCTGTCGCGGGGACGGGCGTGGGTACCGGTGCGGGTGCGGGCGCGGGTGCGGCCGCAGGCGTCGGAGTCATTGCTACGGGCGGGGGTGCCAAAGAAGACGAGCTCGAGGGTCGAGGAAGCGGTGGTGAACGCGGGTCTGGGCCAGAAAACGACGAGTTTGGATTGGAAGGCTGCGAAGAATCGCGACGGTCTCCTCTCCGCCCGTTCCTGCCGCCACGGGGGCCGCGGCCTCCATCGAAACTTCTATCATGGTGGCCCAGAGCCGTATCGGCAGGGCGATGGGGCGATGGCCTCGAGGGGCCCGAGTCGCCGGGGCCTCGATCGTTTCTCTTCCGCTTTGGAGGCATCATTAAGGGCGGAATCGCAGGAGTCCTGTCATTTGTCGACGGGGAGACGTGCAGCCGGAGGTCGCCGTCTCCAAGAATCAATGATGAACGCTTTAATCCTGGCAAAGCTTGTGCAGAGGGGTTAGATGAAGAACTGCCGACGTGGAGGAAAGAAAAGGCCGTGGGTTAGATGCCGAAAGAGATGGCAATTGGCACAAAGGCGAGAGCGGGAATGAACAAAGGGAAAAACGAGCGACTCAAACGAAGAGGAAGGAGCTTGAGATTACCGATCAAGTCGCACGGCGCATCGGAGTTCTGGCTCACAGCACCGACAGAAAAGATTCCGTGAGGTCAGTGCCGAGAAGTCGGTGTGGATTTCAGTTTGCGATGTTGGCCGCCGGTTGGAAGGACTAGTTCGCGTCAGATCGCCAAATCGCAGCTCTGGCGTGGTTGCGGAGCCAGCCTCATCCGACGAGGCTGCCAAGGCCTTAAGCGACCCACTCTGACGCATCGGCCACTTGACCTCAAGTTCAGCCTACTTCTGTCTTCTCCAGTTCAAGCTTTCAAGCTTGGGCAACTTCACCAGTTCAATAAAACCAACGGCAGCTCAATCGCCAGAGCAGCCAGTTGAACACAAGGAGGAAGACGATTTAGCACAGCCTGGAACTGTATTTTGTCTTTTAATTTCTCGAGGAAATCATACGATACTGCGGAGGCTACGATACACGATACACATGGCTTTCACGTGCTTGCTACGGCCAACTCGAGAGGGAAGCTTCAAAATTGATGCGAGAAACTGACGGTATACTGAGATGATTGAACTTCTATGTTCAGCGACTTTGCAGTCACCGAAGACATATCCATTCTTCCCGCATTTGACTAGTCTGCTTTCCCTCGATTGCTATTTCCTACGTCTCTCGCTTTCGTCATCATGCCAACCAGCAGGACGCCTCCCACTCTTCCCCCAGCTGCATCTGCCCAGGTTGCTCCCTTCCACGGCACCAGCTTTACCGAAGCTCACCCGAACAGGCTGCTTCCTTCACCGGCGGAGATCAGAGAACGAAACAAAGCAACCGGGCATCCCAAAGCGAATGACCCGAACCGGCCCCCGCCGGTTAGGATCCCTGAACTCGGTCTACTGGTCAAGTACGGAACGCAAGTCGTGCGGGCTGAGGTGGAGGCTCAGCGGTATGTGTACAAGCACCTGCAGGGTCGTGTTCCGGTGCCCGAGGTGATGGGCTGGGCCGAGGATAGTGGCCAAGGCTTCATCTACATGGCCCTGGTCAACGCTCCGACTTTAGCGGAACGCTGGGATGGTTTCACCGACCCTGTAAGGCAGACCATTTGCAGGGAACTCCGGAGCATGGTGCAGGCATGGAGGGGTTTGAGGCAGGATCCGAGCGACGTCTATATTGGTGAGTGACACCACTTGAACCACTTCGTATGAATGTAATGCCTGATGTGATGTCCGCCGAAGGTGCTGTCGGAAAACTGCCTCTGAACGACTATCTTGTCACAGACTACAACAAGCTGAACGGGCCATGGCTAGGCGGTGACGCTGTACAGGCCTTCCAAGCAGCCTGCAGCATAGAGATCGAGGAACAGCTACCGATTGTTTTCACGCATGGAGACCTTGTGCCCTGCAACATCCTCGTAACGCCGGGGACGCAACCCGGAGTGGCTGCGATCATTGACTGGGCCCAGGCTGGCTGGTATCCGTCCTACTGGGAGTGGTGCAAGTGCAAATGGGTTGGTATGCCGCTGGACTGGGGCATGGACGAGGCTCTACAGGAGCAATGGAAGTACCGCTACCTGCCGATGATCGTCGACGCGCTCCCTGACAGTACCGTCTACTACCCCTGGATGCGGTTTGCACTTTCCATCGGGTGCTGAACACTGGTGTCTACTTTAAATTTAATGGACTATGACATGTGAGCTAATCGATATGATTTGCTGCTAGCTGATGTGAGAGATATTTCGGACCCAGGGACCACGGTTGAAGGGGGCTGCAGCCGCTTGATAACAGGCCTCAATAGTGTAGTGCTATATCTCCAGCACATGGTCTGCAACCTCTTGCTGAAACTATCCTCGATTATCAGCTGCTCCGCCGTCTCTCACATATACCTTAGGTGCCCCTTCGATCACTGCCTCTCTCTCACTTCTTTCTCCTCATCACAGTACTTACCTTGCCTACTACACCGAGTCCCCCTGATCCCAGCTCGAGGGGCTCTCTGATAAGACAGCCTAGAGACTTCTTTCATCCGGTCGCTGTCCCTACGGAGCCAGTGTCGCCCAATTCCCTCTTGATCCCCTATCTCTTATCCCTTCTTCATATTCCGATGACAGTTCCCGCAGACTTTTCCCCGAGTCTCGCAGTGCGGCGGCTTTCGGTCTCCGAGGGAGCGACGCCAACCCTAACCCATATTCCGGTACACAAACTGTCCGCCCCACAGACCCACCTTTCAAGGCTTTCAAAGCGTCAATGGCCGATTGCCGGCGCCCACTTTTGCTCATCCAAACCAGACCCGGGCCGAGACATGGGATCCATTGCTGGCAATGGCGCAATCTACGCTTGCGGCTCCGAGGGGCCCATTCCGCCCCGATGGATGACACTGTCACTGTGACTGTTTTCTGAAATGCTTATCTAGTACTTCCTTCCGTGACTCACGACTCGGTGTGCTTCACTTCACTCCTTGTTAGGGACGGTCTCCCGTGGAATTGGACTCTTTTCTTGCTTTGTTGATTGCCGAGTTCGCTGACCTACAAAATACGCCGTCTCATAGCCGCGATGACTTCAGACTCGCCGCAAAACGGCCAGCGGCCGAAATATGGTGAGCCAACTCATCTCCTCCTTCCCCTATCGCCTATCCACCCTTGTCGACGACACACACTCGTATACACTCCATACTACTTTTCGCGCACAAGGAGCGGTGGCTGAATACTTCCAAGCAAGAATCCACTCGCAGCCCGAGAATCCATTCGCGGCGCTCATCCCAGACCAGCAGATAGCCGTCATCCCGTCCTTCACGCTTGAGTCGGGCGTGACGCTCTACGACGTCCCCGTGGCATACACCACGCGGGGCACGCTCTCCCCCGATGGCGACAATGTCATGGTGATCTGCCACGCGCTCACCGGCAGCGCCGACGTGGCCGACTGGTGGGGCCCGCTACTCGGCGGACCGGGGCGGGCCTTCGACACGTCACGCTTCTTCATCGTGTGCATGAACAGCCTGGGCAGTCCGTACGGCACGGCCAGCCCCGTCACCGCCAAGGACGGAGACATGTCCAAGGGCCGGTACGGGCCCGAGTTCCCTCTGACGACCATCCGGGACGATGTGCGGCTGCACAAGATGCTGCTCGACGAGCTCGGCGTCAAGCAGGTTGCCGCCGTGATCGGGGGGTCGCTCGGCGGCATGTTTGTCCTGGAGTGGGCGTACCTCGGCAAGGACTATGTGCGGTGCATCGTGCCCATCGCCACGTCGAGCCGGCACAGCGCCTGGGGCATCAGCTGGGGCGAGGCTCAGCGGCAGTCCATCTACGCCGACCCCAAGTACGAGGATGGCTACTACTCCTTCGACGACCCCCCTTCGACGGGCCTTGGCGCAGCACGCATGGCCGCCCTCCTGACCTACCGGAGCCGGAACTCGTTCGAGGCCCGCTTCGGGCGGAACATCCCAGACCCCTCGCGCCGCCAGACCATCCGCGAGCGACCGACGCCCGCCACGCCGTCCGAGGCGCACTTCCACATCCACAACGACGGGCACAAGTGGAAGCGGAGCCCCTCGCGCCAGGGCAGCCAGGGCGAGCAGACCCCCAACCAGGAGCACGCGGGAGACGCCTCCCCGGATCCGCAGTTCCACGGACCCAAGAGCGGCAGCGGCGGCGGCGGCAGCCTGACGGGCGGCGAAGTGATGCCCCCCACGGGGTCGACCTACTTCTCGGCGCAGTCCTACCTGCGCTACCAGGGCGAGAAGTTCGTCAAGCGGTTCGACAGCAACTGCTACATCGCCATGACCCGCAAGCTGGACACGCACGACGTCAGCCGGGGCCGCGCGGGCTCCGTGGCCGAGGCGCTGGCCATGATCGAGCAGCCGACGCTGGTGCTCGGTATCGAGAGCGACGGGCTCTTCACCTTTGCCGAGCAGGAGGAGCTGGCGGAGCACATCGGGAATGCGCGGCTGGAGCGCATCGACAGCCCCGAGGGCCACGATGCCTTCCTGCTGCAGTTCGAGCAGGTCAACCACTACATCCTCGGGTTTTTGAGGGAGGTGCTCCCGGACATCATGAGCAAGGATGTTGCCGAGGGCGAGGTGGTGGAGAGCTCGGTGGGGCAGCTCACCAAGAGCAGCACGTTTGGGGAGGCCGAGGTGGAGGATATTACCGCGTGGTAGTGGGGGGCTTGTCTGGGATTGCCATTTTGTCTTTGTCTAAGTCAATCGAACCCCGTCCGCCGCTCCTCCGTTTGATGGGTGTGGGTGACCGGTCCTGTACGATTGACGCTCCCTGCGGCGGGGTCTCCCTCCCCGGGATTACCGTTCCCATCGCTCTTCCTTGCAGCGCAAGACATCGGGAGAATGGGTGGTGCGGGCCTTTAGCCAGGGCGCCACCGATGGGGGAGTTCACAGGTGGTGCCTTGGTCCCGTGCATGTACAATACCAACACACTAGGGCAGGAAGCATTGGCGCGGGTGGTATCGGGCTGGACTCCCACGCCGCATAGCACGTGCGGAACGTGCTCGCGGGTCACGGCGCGGGCAACCACTCGGCCGGTTTATAGCCACTTTATTAACGTGCACAACCATACTCAGCGCCTGTTCAACTCAGGCTGGTCGGTTGTATCAAACCTGGAAGAAGGTTGGGTCAAAAAATAGAGATAGACGTTCAATGAGAGAATATGGAAAGGACCCATGGGCTGCTGTGCTGGTATTGGAAGGTTCATGCGATCATCTCACAAGTAACACTATACCAAGTACGCCGGTGTTTGATGTAGGAGCATTACCAGAACCTCCTCCAGCCTTTTTTGATTACCACCCGGTCCACCGAACCACACCAACATCCTATATCTCACTCCGGCTTCTGTCCATACACCACATGACTAGCGTATTCGCACCTCCGTCAGCACCACGCCCACACCTGCATCTCTCAAAGCAGACACCCTAGAAAAAGGAGAGAGAAAGGGAAAAAAGAAGAAGAAAAAAGAAAACTCACAAATCAAACATAGCATGCACCCCCGGATCCGCCAAATCCCCCCTGACCTTCTCCAACATGGCCCTAACCTCGGCCTCCGCCCACCCCAGCACCCCCGTATACAGACGCATGCTGAGCCCCTCCAGGCCATTACTGACCTGGGTCAGGTTCCACCCGCCGACCTCCTTGAGCAGCGGATCGCGCGGCCAGGTGCCGATGGGCAAGCGAAAGCGCCTGTGCACGACGTTGGCGAACCCGGCGTCACGCACCCAGCCAGAAAGCTTGGAGCCCGGGTTGGGGTCGCGCCCCAGCGACTCGGCCGCGGAGCAGAGCGTCGTGATCCACTGCCTGAGCGCGTGCGATTCGGTCAGGGAGTTGTCTTCGGAGTAGTAGAGCAGGTTGAAGTCTTGGAATTCGGCGTAGCCGCCCGGGTTGAGGTTCCTATATCATCACACGGGGGTGGTGAGTAAACGGTGGGAGGGTGGGAAGAAGAGGGGGGTGGGTCCAAAAACAGGAGAAGGGGTGGGAGTGGGCAGATAAAAAGGTAAAAGGCGAACTCGAAGATGGTCTTGACTAGCTTGGGCCAGTCCTGGATGCTGGCGGCCATGTACCGACTGAAAATCCAATCGTATTTGAGCGGCTGGACCCAGGCGTCTTCGACGTCGTCGACCTCGAACTTGACGTTGGGCGGCACGAACGTGGTCTGGTTGGCCGAGAGGTCGTTGCCGATGATCTGGGGGCGCGCAACATCGCGCAACTTTCTTAGAAACGGGCTTTCCTTTTGCGTCTCTCCAGTGGATGTGGGCTAACTAAAGTATTGTCTTACCGTTGCATCGGGGAACTCATCCGCGATCGAGATGGCCCCTTTTTGTACAGCAAGGTATATGTACGTATGAGCAAGCGGCCAGACCAGCAGCGGCTGAGCAAAAGTAAGGAGGGCGCAAGGGGGAGGGGGGTTGCTTGCTTACACACGCCAGTGCCCGTGCCAATATCCAGGATCCGGCGCGTCTTTGCCTTGTCGATGGGCGCGAGATACAGGCCGCCGATGAGGCGGGTCATGATGTCGTGGAGCAGCAGCAGCCGCTGCATCTCTTGCTCGTCGTTCGGCCGCGAGTATCCTGGCAGTTCACACAGCCTTTGCGTCAGAGCTCAAACGGTCGACGGGACATTTTTAAGACACATAGTAAGAAACTACTAAGGGTAAGGTAGTAAGTAGGTACTAGTCTTAACAAAACAACATACTTCCCGCTCGAAACGCATGATAGCGGCGGCCGTGTTCGACGGGATAGTCGACCACGCTGGACGCCAAGGACGTTGCGTAGCTGGATTCGCCGCTAATTCAACATCAGACCCCGAGTTCAGGTCGTAGGGTCAGTCAATGATGCCTCCTCAGCGCATCTAAGATTCGGCAGAAGACTCGTGACAGAGAGCCTGGGCTCGCGTCACACTCACGCGGTGTCGTCGGGGTTGTTATCCACCTGCCGCGAGGAAAGATAAAAATATAGTCAGCTATTCCAAGCGCACTCAGACAAGAACAGACGACGAAGTCCAAACTTACATCAGTGGCTGTGACGTCCACCTCGATCTTCTCCGTCTCGTGCTCGGTCCACCCCTGCTGCTTGGGAGATGCCGCGCCGGGTTCGCCTTCCGCCATGTCCGCGGTGCGTCGTGGCTCCCGTTTAGAAATGAGACAAAATGACAAGAAATGCAATCTGTCGATTGAAAGAGAAGATGTTGGTTCAGAGCACAATAGAGCGGGGTTGTTGGCGGTGATTCGGCTGGCCGTCCCGAGAATCTTCAATGCAGTCTGCAGAGAGATGCAGGATGCGGTTGCATTGGGCGGTCTGCAACACCCCGGACACTTTTGCTGCTGTGCGACGGACTCTGCCTAGGTAGGCACCGAGACAGAATGTCATGATCCGGGACCAAACATGCTATGGCCCACAATGTAGCCGCATGAGTAGTTACCTTCTACGCGTACAACGAAACTGTATCAAAACAGGTCCAGGGGCGTCTGAAGACTGACGCGCAGCGGGTATAAGACTGCTGAGAAACCAAGCCGACCATCCCGAACGCCTTTGTTACCAACTGGATCCCATCTACCAAAACTCAAAGGGTACAGTTTCCTCAATGCCAGGCTGAATTCCTGCCGTTCCGTCCCAGACTTCCGCCAGAAAGAAAAAAAATGCACACAAACACTGAAACCTCCTCCACACCACAGCTAGGCATCGCGCTCGACGAAGGGGGCGAACGCCCTGCCCGCCCTCTCTTCCCCATCCTCATCCCTCGTCACCTCAATCCGCCGTTTGGAGTTACCCCCTAGACCACCACCACTTCCAAACTGGTTGGAAAAGGTTGCCATAGCCCCAACCTGCCCCTTGGCCGTGAGGATATCCCCATATGCCCGCAGAACAAACTTGACATCATCACTCACCCCGACACAGAACCGCTGCAGCTGCACGTACTGCACGGCGCGCACGGTATCCAGGCCATACATGGCCATCAGATACGCCACGACCGCCGCCGCCGACCAATCATTGCCCGTCTCACACACGACGAGCACCTTCCCCCTCCTCCCGGTCCCCTCAGCGGCGGCCCTGCTATTCACCGCCAGCACATGCGCATTGATCCTCTGCAACGCGCCCGCAAACGCGCCCATCAGCCTAGCGGCGCCATCGAAGACGACATCGACCGCCTCCACCTCCACAGGCGCATCCCCCCCCTCTCCTCCTCCTCCTCTTCCTCCCAGTCCCTCCACCGCCCGCCGCACGCCGTTGACCATCAGGTCGCCGAACCGCGGGTCGCGCGCGCACAGCACCATGGTGATGCCCTCGCGCGCCAGGAAGGCGCGATCCTTGGCCGCGCCGGCGGGGCCCAGGTACAGGTAGTCGAGCACGGGCTGCGCGCGCCGGCGCGCCTCGTACACCCACCCGTAGGCGCCGCGGCCGCGCGCCGTCTGCACTCCCGCCGCCGCCACGGGGCCGCCAGCGGTGATGAGGTGCACCTCGTCGCGGGTCAGGCCTGTCACGTGGCTAGCGTTGGGGGACGGCGTGATGGTCATTACGTCGCTTAAACCGTCGTGGTCATAGTGCTCGCGGGCGTCGAAGCCGTCGTCGTCGTCGGCCGGGAATGAGTTGGTGAGCCCTCCAGGGGCTGATAAAGGTGGCACGACGATGTGCGGTGGCGAGGGCACGCGGATGGTGTAGGGTGCTATGGCGAGGGCGGAGGGTTGTGTCGGGTGGTAGTACATGTTGTCAATTACGGCACGAACTTTTGACTTATGAATGATATGCGGATGCGACGGGTCGCAGCTAGCCTGGGCACCGGGCGTGCAGATAGTGCAATGCGATGGCTTGTTGGTTGTTGGTTAAGGTAGTAAGGTAGTTGGCTCCCGATGTAAGATCCGAGTCCCTCACTGTAGTACTGTGCAGTGCACTGCAGAAGTGATGTGTGATAAGATGACACGGATGAAGATGCAGAGAGCGCAAAGTTATATGCGGAGTTGATGGAGGGGGCTGGCTCTCCAAGGTCCGAGCGATTACCTGTACACTATGAATCACCCATTTTGTTTTGGGTCGCTCCCATCGGATGAATTTGGAAGGTTCGGTCGGTTGAAATGATTGAAAGTTGAAGTCGCAGCCTGCATGACGTGGTTGAATCTGGCGAGTGGAAGCACGCAGCGGGAGTGGGTTTCTGACCGTCGCTGAACATCCAACCCGAACCCTTAACACACACTACTACGGTACAGGCTAGTAGCAGTACCTACGAGTTACATCCTCGCAGTTTGAGCAACAACACTGCCTGCTTCATGGTTTTGCAGAAGAGGTATCACTATTCCACATGGCTAGGGCATCTACGACATTGTGACTGCTACGTCTTTACCATACAATGAACTCTGGCATCAACCCACTATGGGCTTTTGGCATCTGCCGACAGCCCAATACTGCTCTCCCTCGCCAGCGGCGACGGGATCTCGGGAGTGACAGACCGGGACTCAACCCTAGGACGGGTCTTGGCGCTAGGCGTGAGCTTTTTGCGCTTCTTCTCGGATGCGCTCGACGACGTGCTCTCCTTGCGTGCGATGCCGGGATGCTCTTCCGCTTCAAGCGTCGGCGTCGTGCTCCTCGACTTGGTGCTGCCAGACATGCTGCCTCTCCTAACGGTGGCGGTGCTGCCGCTCCTCGTCCGCCTGTGCTCGCCCACCACCGCCGCATGCCGCGGATGGTGGACTACCTTTTCGTTATTATTGTTATTAGCGGCTGAGGGCTTCTCGACCACTGGTACCGCTCTCCGCCATGGAAGCCACCAGAGCCAGCCGCCAGACTGCTTGCGCAGCTTCCGGTCTCGTTCTTTCAGCTTCACCCGCAGCAGTGCGCGCCGCTCGTTCTCCTTCTCCCAGTACTCGGCCCTGTACAGCTCCCAGTTCTCCCTGAACGTGGGCGAGAACGGCTTCGCCAGCAGCAAGAGCTTGACGTAGTCCCCACCAGGTGCCAGATCCTCCTCATGCCCACCCTTCTCCTCATCCCAATGCGTGACATGCACCGTCGGATGGCTCTCCCGTGACAGATTCAACTCCCGATCGACCTCCCTGACCAGCGCAGGATCGACCCAGCGGTAGGAGCTCCCGTTGTTGGAGAACAGGCCATAGGTGAGGAACCAGCCGGCCGTGCTCAGCGCCTCCTTCCACCACGGCTGCTTCATGACCACCAGTTTGCAGTTGAACCCGCGCAGGCCCCGGTTCGAGACGGTGAACCACCGCCGCGGCCAGCGCACGCCCCGCTCCCAGATGCCCGTCGCCCACACCAGCAGGGCCGTCATGACGCCGCCCAAGAAACACATGTGCTCCGTCGTCTCGACGACCCAGTACACGCTGCCGCCGACGCCGCGGCCGTCCTCGCGCGGCGCGAAGAACAGCGCGTAGCCGAAGAAGGCCGTCCACAGCGTGAGCAGCGACAGGAAGAAGGTGTGGTGGCGGCGGCGGGCGCGGAGCTCGAGGTACTGCGCGCGCAGCGACGCCTCGAGGATTAGCAGGTTGAGGTAGATCATCGAGGGCGAGCTCGGCGTGTGGGAGAGCGGATCGCCGGGCTTGCCGCTGCCCTGGTTATTATTCGGCGGTGAGGACGAGGACGAGGACGAGATTGGGGTCGTGCCGCCCGCGGCTTTGGGCAGGTCTTGGCCCGGCAGCGTGATCGGCGCGCCCTTGACGAGCGAGTCGAGCGTGTTGTCGGCCATTGTTGGTGTGCGTTAGTAGTGCGGAGGTATGGCGGGGATGGGCCAAGGGAGGGTCGACGCTGCGGTTCTGCGGGAACCGAGACCGAGACCAAGACCGGGAAACTGGGAGGCCGGGGAGGAGGTGGGCGTTCGGTTCGGTCGAGGCCGCGCCTCCCAGTCTAGGATACCCCGTTTGACGACGGGGTGCCGAGGCGAAGAGTGCAGAGCCAGCCCGTGGTAAGCGTCGGGTTCTATGGCGGTTCTGTGGCTCCCCCTGACAAGCGACAGCCGCGCCAGATCGTTAACTGGGGCGCACAGTGTTCGTATCGTTTTCCAGACTAGGCCATCGAGGTTTAGATTATCAGTGCCCACTGTGTTGTTGCTTCCAACCGCCTCCGGTGCTGTTTGGCTGTCTCGCCAGAGCAGCGGTTCTCATCTGTGGAGTTGATGGGCCGACTTTTCGGCAGGGGCGCCGCTCCCGGGTCAACGTCATCGGCAAGTGGGCCAATCGGGCAGCGGGGCTATGCAACCTCCGTGCCCACTGACGTCCTATTGACAGGAACGCCTAGACATCTCCGTGCAATTGACAGGCACGACAGGTACCGATGGTGAAAGATTCGGCTATGTGCCTTGTCAATGGATCGGTGACAGCCAGGAAACTCGCGGTTGAAATGAGCATCCTACCTCCGAGTCCGACACAAGTTATGCCGCCAGGGATGCGTCCAGTGCGAAACCGTGACAAACAACGTCATGATTGATAGGTCAATCCACTTGAAGCTCGAGACTGATACTGTACTGTAGGCCACTCCGAAGCTGCAAGCAGAATAACTTTCATCAAAATAAATGTGCAATCGAACCTACTCCAGGCGATTTATTCCGGGTTTGAGCCCGAAGTTGCCCTTTCGCTTCTCTCTCTTTTTTTTTTTTTCTGATTGTTGAGCACCCTGATTTCTGTCAAGATCGTTACCGTGAGGCAAGGAAGCCCCACTCCAATGGCTTTCAAGATTCGCGGCCACTTCACCAGGAACCAGATCTCCAGATAAGCGGGGTTTATTGTCGCCATCTTGCCGGATTCCAGTCTGGGAAGCTTTGCCTTTGTCAACCGCAACGGCAGCTGTCTTGACATTCTATGCGTGGACAGTTCGGATTTCGGGGTCCAACTCGCGACTGGCAGCCGACGGCGGAGAGTTGCCCCGTTTCCCGCCGTTAACTCCGGGCCCACTCGCCGGGAGTCGTAAGCTGCCACAATGCACAACCGGCTCTTGCCTCTTGATAAGGGGCGGCGTCCCAACGCGCGCTTCTGCGGTTCACCATGCTCAAGACCTACCCGACTACCTTTCTTCCCAAGCGACTAAAGCTTGCCTCTCTGCTCGGCCGACGTGAATTCGGCGTAAGCGGTGTGTCGACCGACGCCTCTACGGATACATCCGATCCTCGGCAGCCCATCCTCCTTGCCGCACACCACCAGTCGCGCCAAACGATGGCGTCGCAGTCCCGATCCGAGAGCCCGCCGCGGGAGCAGCGTACAAGAGGCGCTTTCTTCCCTCTCGGGTACAAGGAGGCTGTGCAGCAATGGGTGAGTTTGCTACCATTACATTGCCCAGGACAAGCCCACCACCCGTCACGCCGCTAAACGCCTGTAGTGGACAAGTGTGTCCTCGCGCCAGGCCGAGCGCACCGTCCTCTCCTACGTCCCCTTCCTCCGAGAAGGCAATGCCGAAGCGGCGGGCTCCCAAGTCCAGGACCTCGCCAAGAGCGACCCTTTCGGCCAGAGAACATGGAGGTCCTCTATGGTAGAGCTGTCCGGCAGGAACCGCGCGCTTAACGAGCTGGCGATCGAGCGCGTCGGCGAGCAGGCAGACGAGACACTGGTGATGCTTCACGGCTATGGTGCCGGACTAGGCTTCTTCTACAAGAATTTCGAGCCGCTGAGCCGGGTGCCCGGCTGGAGGTTGTTCGCGCTGGACATGCTGGGCATGGGCAACTCCACCAGACCGAACTTCAAGATCTGCGCCAAGGATCCCAAGCAGAAGATTGCCGAGGCCGAGGGCTGGTTCATCGATGCGCTGGAAGAGTGGCGCAAGATACGGAAGATCGAGAAGTTTACCTTACTAGGCCACTCGCTCGGCGGCTATCTCGCCGTCTCGTACGCGCTCAAATACCCCGGCAGACTTAATAAGCTCATCCTTGCCTCCCCCGTGGGGATCCCGGAAGATCCGTGGGCCGTCAACGCCGACATGCCCGAACCCGAAGAATCCACCCTGGCGAACGAGTTCATCCAAGACCAAGAGAGCATCGTCAACCCGCAGCAGGGCCCCTCCGCGAGCGACCAGAGGGTGGCAGCGACGAAGAAGCTCAACCCCACCGCCGCCACGCCCAAGCGGCCCATCCCCAGCTGGCTGGTCTGGCTGTGGGACGCCAACGTGTCGCCCTTCAGCATCGTGCGGCTCGCCGGGCCGCTGGGTCCGCGCTTCGTGTCCGGGTGGACGTCACGCCGCTTCAACCACCTTCCCCCCGAGGAGAAAGACGCCCTCCACACGTACTCGTACAGCCTCTTCCGCCAGAAGGGCAGCGGCGAGTACGCGCTGCCCTACCTCCTCGCGCCCGGCGCGTACGCCCGCAGCCCCGTGATCAACCGCATCCAGGAGGTCGGTCGGCAGGTCATCTCGCCGGCGACCGAGACGACGCCCGCCGTCCGCGAGACCGGGTTCCCCATCGTCTTCATGTACGGCGAGAACGACTGGATGGACGTCGCGGGCGGGTATGCCGCCGAGGAGAAGGTCAAGCAGCGGGTCGTCCAGGCGCTGCTGCACGGGACGGAAGAAGAGAAGAGGCGCGAGAATGGCAGCGCCAAGGTCGTGATTGTGCGCAAGGCCGGGCATCATCTGTATCTGGATAACCCGGATGAGTTTAATGAGGTGGTGAGGAAGGAGTTGGAGGAGACGAGGGCCAGGGGATTGAGGGAGAGGGCTAGCAGGGGGTAATGTCTAGTTGTAGCTTGGTAGCGGCTGTGCAATGGGACTGTACTGGACTCTTAAAAAGAGGTGGAGTGGGTGTTTTAGAGGTTGTTTCTCGTCTGATGGGATACCTGTTAGGGCATGTCACGGCGTTGCAGGGACGATTTACCCAACGGGTTGGTTTGTCGGCCGGGTGCGTTTTAGAGTCCCGCCCGGCATGGCGTTAAAGGTGTTCCCTGATAGAACCACAATATTTGGGTGGTAGCTGTAGTTCTCTCGTTGCTTATACCGTCTAGTACCTAGATCAGGTAGAGAGAGCTCCAGAGATGAATTCCGGTGGCAATCATATAATTACCTACATTACACACTTTCGATGCATCTTTCTCGCGAGCCTTTACAAAGCTCAGCTCCTATGATGAGATAGGTAGCTAGGGTCCTGTTCCGGCTACCTGCAGAAACTCAGTACTACTAAACTAACCCACTTCTTGAGTTATCTGTCCCCTTGGTCTAGGTCTCCGGATGTTGATTCCCAAGATCAGAGCATTAGTTAAGTCACCACGGAGTATCAGAGAGCCAGTCAGTCAACCGGAGAGATCACCTCTGGAGGTAGAACAAGCCAACCACAACCTGCGACTGCCCACCAGAAGCTGCCTCTCTTTATGAAACGACCCGTAGTAACTCCGCCTAGAGAGAGAGAGAGAGAGAGAGAGAAAGAGAGAGAGAGAGAGAGAAAGAGAGAGAGAGAGAGAGAGAGAAAGAGAGAGAGAGAGGGACAACAGTCGAGGAAATAAAAAAAGCAAGATCTTGACCAGACCTAACGGGTATCGCTACGGCCTGCTATTACGCCTAACAGACAAACAAACAAAATAAACCGCACCGAACAGTAAGAACAACGGAGCTATTACAAGAATAATAATTATCCGACATCAAATAATAGCCGAGAGAATCCTATCCATACCAACAAGCCCGTCCACCTCCTCCGCCAACGCCCACCAGACTAAGGTACCGTGACCTAGACAGCACTATGACCGGACATGCCGTTTGCCAGGGCCTGGTAAACTCACCAATGCATGTATTTGTACCTCAACCTTTCCCAAATAAGTCTAAAGGAAACGCACCAACCACCCCTGAATCCATGTCCGGAAACTCAAGGTTCCTCATTCAACTACTTCCCTCCGCAGAGTCTGCACCCTTGGTACCCCCTTCCCCGGCGCGACCATTAACTCCCGCTCCCCTCGCAGTCGGGCCCATCGCGAACGGGATGACACTCGTGCTGGTAAACACAGGCAGATTCTCCCTCCTAGCAGGTGACTGCACCGGCGTAGCTGAGACATTGGGCGGGAGCCACTGGAGCTGCTGAGGGTGTGGCGCTGTGGGTTTGGGAGTGGGACCGTCGGGCTGGTAAGGGATGAAGTTATTCGGCGCCGTAGTCGGGACCTCGCCGAGAGGACTGCTCATAGCTCGCGGCGGTGGTGGTGAGCTCGTTGGTAAGGGGATGCTGCGCGGATCGGTTGTTGGGGGCGATGCGAGCGGTCCATTAGAGTTGGTGGTTGGGGTGATGGCTTCTTGCGGTGGGAAGGTTGACGGGTCCGTCGGAGATTGGAGTTGGGGGTGTTCATGTGCTGGGGAGGGAGACGGGGATGGGAGGGTTGCGGTTGTATTGGTGATGGCAGTGTCGGTTGGGGGAGCAGGCTGCGGTTGCGATCCTTTCTCTGCTGCTTGTGGCGGAGCAACAGATATGGTCTCTGCGTTCGCAAATTTCTCCCTGATAGCGCGCTCGCGCTCGCGAGCCTCCTTCTGTGCCTTTGTGAGCACTGTGATCTTGATCTTCTTCATTTCGCCGGCCAATTTGTCCATTTCGTCGCGAGCCTTTTCAGTCGATGGACCCGTGGCCGCCGCGGTGGCGGAACCCGGTGCCTGCTGCAGCGCTCCGTTTGCCGGAGCGGACTGCTTCTTGAGCGCCCTTGATGCTCGCAGGACCGGCTCCTTCTTCACAGGGACACGCGTTTTCTTCACGTTCAGATTGCTGCTCTTTGGCTCGGCGGCGCTCATTGCGGGCTCAGGCCCGCTTGTAACATCTGTAGCGGAAGTGGCACGGACCGATGCAGGTCGCGAAGCCGACGGCAGTGAATCCTTCCCCTCGGAAGACGCAAGCGACGACGCCGCACTAAGGCGCCGTGCTGTTTTAGGCTGCTTTCCGGGTGCAGGAGTAGGCCCGCGAGATGCTGTATCGGCAGCATGGACAGTCGGCCCCGCGACAGTCTTCCGTCTGAGTTTGCGATCCAGCTCATCATCGTCAAAGGTGTACGCCGGCTTTGTCTTACGTTCCCTCAGCGACATCCTGGTGGGTGCTCGATCTTCCGGAGCAGGGGCGGCAACAGCGAGAACAGAGCCAGCCAGAGCAGCCTGGCGCTCGCGCCTGACCCGAGTAGCCTCCGCATTGAGATCTTCAGCCGTGCAGCTAGTGGTCTGCCGCCCACTTGGAATGAGCAGCTTGCTCAACTCATGCGTGGCGATGGTCCAGGGGACGTCGGGCGACGGAGGGGGTTCATAAGAAAACCTCCGTACCCCATTGCTCGCAATGGACGACAGCCCAGAAATGCTCCGCCGGTTCTTCAGCGTTACTACCTTCGCTTGCGATGCTTGAGTCGGAGAGGAGTAGGTTGGCGGTGGAGAATTGCGTACTGGCTTCGGGACAGGTGGGGGTGTCCGGATGGCCTCATCAAGCATATCAAGCTGGGCACGAGACCACCAAGACGATTCATACCGCCGCGCACCTCGCTCGCTCGCCGTCGAGTCTTTCCTGGCGCGCCGGTGGTCACCCTTCTGGATCGCTTCATACCCATTCGTCGACTCTTCGTCTCTGCTCGGCCCGTCGCCGGCAAGGCCGCAGAGGTGGCTGAAGACGCCGGAGCATAGTGCACGGTCGCTGTAACCGCCTTCAAGAACACTGACGATGCGGCCTTCCACACTCGTCCCTTCTTCGGCTGCGATACGAACCACATCACGGGTGAAGCGGGCGTAGAAATCGGTCGGCACGTTGACGTTGTGACGCTGCATGCCAACACCCTCATGCTCGCTTGCATCGAAGCCCGCCGAGAGGAAGATAGCGGCTCTCGAATGCAGGCCCGAAGCCCGTAACCGCTCGGTATGCCTCTTGAGATAGGTGCGCGTTTTCTCCAGCAGGACAGCATACTTGGACTCATACAGGGCCCAGAAATCGGCCTCCGTTTCCCAGGGCTCCAGGTGAACATTCCATACGCTCTGCCCATGCGCGCCGTCGATGCAGATACTCGCGTTCCTAACCTTGTCCTCATCTCCCATCTCGCACGGGTAAGAGTTGATATCGTGTAGACTGAAATACCCGATGGACGTCCTCTTCCACCAGGCTGCATTTTTGGCCAAGGTGACGCCCCTCGCATTGTGTTGCCAAGCAATGGACTGAGAGCCATCTCCGTGGTGCAGATCGAAGTCGATGATGGCAGCATGTGTCAAGCCATGGCTAAGGACAGCGTGCATGATGCCGACATGCACGTTGTTGATCCAGCAGAAGCCAGACGGGTGCGATGCGGAGCAATGGTGTCCCGGCGGGCGGATAGCCACAAAGGCCCGCCGCGGCCCTTCTGGTCTAAAGACAGCATCCACAGCGTCGCATACACCGCCGAGGGCCCCCTCCATCGCCTCCAGAGATTCGGAACAGAGGTACAAGTCACCCTCGTGGAACTTCTGCGGCGCTTCTACGTTCGGGCCCCGATCGATGTCCGGTCGCTGGAGCTCTTTACCTCCACCAGCCAGCTTCGCCTCGGCTGCGTCGCACATCATCCTCAGTTCCTCCATCCACCTTGTCCCATGCACATTGGTTACCGTCTGAGATGACAGGGATAGACGCCGGGTTGACTTCTGGATCCGGAACGGTATCGAGGGCAGGGAGGCAGCGTCGCTGTCCGGGGACAGGGGGAAAGCTCCATCCTGATGTCGCTCGCCTAGTCTCACATAGGCGGCTGAGACGCCCAACACACAAGCCTTGATCCTCTCGGGCCGCTCGACGATGGTGCTGAGTTGTGTGCGGGATGCGCGGGGGCGGGAGTACCGATGCCCGTAACAGGCATCTTGAAGAACGACGACAGTCTCGGCCCTGCGCGTGGGCTCCGGCCCGTGGTGGATGTCCAGCTCGGCCTTGAAGTGGGCGCTTGCGACGGAATGCGGGGTCGGAATCGGCTTCTCTGGCAGTTCAGGCGACGCGCTCCTGAGGGGTGAGCGACCCGATCTGGGCCTGCCGCCGGGTGACGAGAGTGCGGCGAAGCTGGCCCGACGGGCGGGCGTTACGCCGCTGACGGAATGAAGCGAGTTCATGGAAGCCTTCCTCAATAGGGCCGGCGTGGCAGACCTGGAGGATGGGACAACGGAAGCAGAGGTACTGCGAAGGGGACTGCGCATGGCGCTGCTCGGACGCGGAGAGCGGGGTGTTGACGAGGGCGAGGGGGTCGCCGAGATGGCCAAGCGTTGTAAAGACCGGGTGAGGTCGGCGTCACCATCCTGGCGATCTTTGTTGCGCTGATGCGCTGACTGGGATGGTTGATACATGGTTGCGAAGTTCGTTTGGGCGACTGCGCGCCCTGGACTGTCAAAGGGGTCTCGGGCGCATCAACAAAGCCCATCGATAGCTGTCGTCTGCCTCGAGCAGATGTGAAAAAGTGCGAAGTACTCAGACAGTCATGAGCAGCGTCTTCAAGGTTCCAGTTGGTAGGTATATTTTTGGGTCTTCCGGCTAATGCCACATGGTTGAAGCCTAATTGTTGCCCTTGTTTGCTGTCAAAGGCCAAGTGGAAGTGGGATGTGTGGATTCGCAGTTCGTCATTGACAGGGGCTGAATTAAACAAGCAGTCGCGCGTCGCGCTAGCACAGCAACAGCTGTCGAAGCACGTGACGGCCCGCATTGGACCGAATTGATGAGGGTCTGAGTTCCATCTCAATTCTCAGCTGGAAGGATTTCGTCCCCACTACCGTCGTAGTATTGGACCCACTCACCAATTAACTATCATGGGCCTGGCTTCCCGAGATCAGACCAGGGCTGCAGGCTAACCGTCGCCGTCGCGGATGAGGCGCCTGCGGGCTTGCGGCTCTGATACTTCGCGGATGATCATAGTTAACGGCTGCTGGTTGCGGATTCCGAGAGGAGAATCAGCAATGAGTCGTGTCACCACACGAAATCCCAGCGCCTCCACCGGGCAACCTGGAAGTCATCGTGGCCCTCAATCCTCGCTAAGATGAGACCTCTAGCTGCCTAGCCGGTGGCCCGGCTCCCACGTTGCCGCTGCCACCAATAACATCGATGTTTGGCTGAGACGGGCTGCAGGGCCAAGCCTCGGGGCAGCATGGCCCTTGTGAATTGGGACCGGTCGAGACGCTTAAAGCTGTCAGTATCCCACCAAGTTTCGCGTCGGCCGAGATGACTTGTTCATCTTCACAAGTCCACCTTACGGTCCTTACCAGCCAGCAACCCTGACCAAGATGGCGCGACAGTTTCTTGTTGGGCTTGCGTTGGCGCACAGCGCCGCCGCTCATCTCAATGGACTCACCGGATTCGCGGACGACGGGGTGGACGCGGCCCGCTTTCCCACCGATGCGTTTGCTGGTATGATAGGTGCGGCAGCAGGGGACGACGACGGTTACAGTGCCTGCGTAAGCCACGATGTTTCATTGTTTTGTTGTTTATCCGAAGCGATCTTCACAACAATGACGTGGCTGACTCCGTTGGTAGATGACCGCCGATGCCATCATCAGTGATTGCTACGAGTCTGGCTTCGCCGATGCCACCGCCTCCCCAAATGCGGCCGACAGGTGTTTCTGCTGCGAAGGCGCCCGTCCCGTCTCGTCAGTCTATTCGGCCTGCGCATCCTACGCCAGGGGCGTAGACGGCTCGGACGATGCTAGGACTCTCTATCGAGGTACCGTGAGCCCGCTGACCTCCGGCTAGCTGCTTCCCTCCTGACGTTGATGCAGCTTTGACATCGATGCATGACATTTGCTCGTCGGTAGGCGGGGGTGCGTGCCGCACGGGTGCCGCTACCGCCACGACACGAACGTCTCCCACCCGCTCCTCTTCTTTGGAGGCAGCCGATATCACCTATCCCCCGGCCTGCTCATCGATGTTGAGGGTTTACAGCTCCTGCTACTTGGAGCTGGGTGGATTCGAGACGGTCCGAGCGAGGCAGGCGGCGTCATGCTTCTGGTGAGTCCGCTTATTGGAAACAGTTCTAGTTCTATATCAGAGGACCATTAGTAACACATGGCCAGCTACGATGCATCTGGCGACTACAACACCGCCTTCGAGGACTATGCCGAAACCTGCGCTTCGTGGGCGCGGACTGCTGACACTGTAGACTACTCCGTCATGACGCGCCTCGCAACTCTTTGCGACGAATACGGCGCGCCCGTCACCACTAGCGCCCTGGTGTTGACGGCGGTCTCGAGTCGTACCGACAGTGGCAGGGGGTTTACTCTCGCCTCGTCGACTTCGTCTCCGACCAGCCAGGCTACTGGCCAGACCAGCGCCGGCGGTGACACCGACGCTGCCACTACCTCGTCCTCAACCGCCCTTGCAGTTCCGGGGGCAGCTGTTCCCGGGTTCTTAGCCTGGTTTGCGAACTTCGCGACCTTCATCCTGTCATTTTTCATCCTCATCTAGTGGGCTGAATACATAGAGCACTAATTCGCATATGATCGCCGAATCATAGAGGGCTAGCTTGGGCTACTAATGCGGACTGGACGAATGGCTACGGCGAGAACAGGCAATAACTGATTGTACATGTTGGATTCTTCTATTGTATATACAATATATACCCTGCCTGCCTCATTACGGCGTGCTTCAAGAGCCTTGCGGAAGACCTCTCATCCTATGCTCAGTATCCTGAATAAGTTCCTTCGGGGATTACTCACTATCGCCGCCAATTCCCTCAACCAAACACGGCGCATCACCACGCACAAGTAACCGAAGCAGGCGGACACACCCACGCACTGGGCACCTTCGACTTGGGTCTCAACTCCAGCCCCCCTCCCGATTTTTGCCCATCACCACGACCACCATCCTCTTGCCCAACGAACCCCAGCCCCAGCCCCAGCCCCAACCCATCCCCAACCTCCACCCGAAACGACTCCCTCACCCGCTCCATGATCCCCATAATCTCTTCCGTATCCCCGCGGGGATCAATGAGCTCTATTTCTGCCCCTTCTGCTTCTCCCCTTCCTTCCTCACCATCATCACCACCACCACTTATCCCCGACGACGACGAGGACGAGATAACCATGAACGCCTCTTCTAACTTAGGCAAGAACCCCCGGATCAGACACACCTTGCTATACACCTCCCACGGCCGCCGCACCTCGGGCCGGATGTAATCCACCGCCAACCGGCGCACCGCGCCAGCGACGTGGGGTAGCCGGATGGCAAAGTCGCGCGCCCAGTCGGCGTAGCCCAGCCCGAGAGGGTCTGCCGCGGAGGGGTGGGGCGGCCGCGGGAGGTAGAGCGTGTCTAGGTCTGGGTGGTGGTAGAAATACCTCCCACCTTTTTCTTCTTCTTCTTCCCTTCCATTCTTCTGCTTCTCCTGCTTGTTGTCGGCTGGTGCTGCTGATACGTGTAGTGGTTGGTGGGCACTACTTGGGTCCTCCGGGTCTGCTGCGTCTGGGAAGGGGAGGAGGAAACATTTGGTGTACAGGCGGAGGCCCTCGGCGCGGGACTCGTGGCAGATGTGCAGCAGGGGTGGTGGGTGGGTTGAGCAGGTGAAGGTGTTGGTTGGGAAGTGGTATGTGAGCGTCGTCACGCGCGGATGGGCCGAGTGCCGGTAGATTTGGAGGCGGAGTTCTGGGGGGAGGTAGGGGAAGAGGGTGAATGAGGAGGAGGTTGAAGACCGAGAGGTGGACATGGTGATTCCTGCTCGGAAGGATAGAGTGGTTTGGTAGCTCTCTGTGGTTGGGTTGTCTGTTGCCCAGTTGACGTGGCCTGCGAGGGTTGTTGAGGCGGAGTGAGGTCTTTGTTGTGTAAGTTGGTTGCCAAGACGTGACGTAGAACGAAGTCTGGCGGTGGTTGATCGCTTCCAAGTGTTGAGAAAGAGAGCCCAATTGAAGAGTGTTTATCACCATATGTCAAGCATGGCGATGTGCGCGTAATAAATGAGAGACGGGATGAAAGCTTGAACTCAATATCAACTTTTCAGCGGGACCGGCTCATTAATGGCCGAGTTTTTGCCAAGGGGTCATATTAAGGGTCTTGCTGCCCACTGACTGACTGGGCGTCGATGTCGGACGCGAATGACAGCTCCCAGACCCATTGGGCCAGGCTAGGCTGGTCTCACAGCTGGATTCTGAGTTCCTTGGCGGGCTGCCTCAAATAGGGTAGCTAATAATTAGTGTAAACACTCCGACAATGCTTGCTCAATGCTCATCTAGTAACACACTAACGAGTGAGCAGCTTGGGAGTTCGCAGTGTCGCAAGCCTTGCCAAGACTGGATGGCCCCCGTCACTCGTGGCCCCGAGGTCTCTGCAGTACGTAGCAACCTCGGGCCGTATATCGGCTTCAGATCTCAGTCCCGGTCGTACAGATTCACGTGGCACACGCAGAACTGCCGGCAACTACCGGAAGGCCACATGATGACGGCCTGAGATGATAAAAGGCGGTTGATGGAACTGTGGACCGCCACCAGTGAAGAGGATTCTGTGGAACCATATCTACTTGTTTGCCTTTCGGTTGTCGAGGGGTCCAGTTTTGATTGTTCATAGAGGTGTATTGGAAACAAACGGTTGCTTGTTTACTGGGCACGTGCTGGGGGAAGTAGGAAAATATGTCGGTGCGAATGAATGATATTTCGGGTTCAATCCGGTCCTATCGGAATGCCAATGCCGTTTGGTAAAAGTAGGTCTCAAAGTCGTGAAAGTAGAACTTAGCTGAGCCACATAACCAAAGCTGAAGTGTCAAGGAAAAGTTAAGATGTCTCATATCTAGAACAGCATTAGATGTTGCTCAACTTCCATGCTCTCTCGTGCGGTCGCCGTCTCAGTCACGGTTCGGCACCGTTCTTGGCAGGTGGGGCACGATCGGAGGACCCTGCGGGGCCGGGCCCGCCGGGCCGCCATGTGTTTCGGGCAATTATTACCAGGTAGCGCAGCAGTTTTGCGAACGGGTCGCGAGATCAAACTGCTGGCCGTGACAGCGACATACCTTCGCTACTCGAGTTGCGCGAGGCAGAGAATGTGGGCGACGCGAAGGATGGCTTCAGATCTAAATAGGACGTTCACTTCGCCTGCGCTCACTTTCGAGCTGGTAGCCCGATGCTCGGTAAGTCAAATTGTGCAATGGCATGTTTCCTTAATCCGCAGCGACTACTAACAGAAGCTGCACGCAGAAAACCCGGGCCCGCGCGTCGATCCTCACCCTGCCGCACGGCACCGTCAACCTCCCAATCTTCATGCCTGTGGCCACTCAGGCATCACTGAAAGGCCTCACCCCAGAACAGCTCGAGAGCACAGGATGCCGACTCTGCCTCAATAACACATACCATCTCGGCCTCAAGCCGGGCCAGGAAGTGCTGGACGCCGTCGGAGGTGCGCACAAACTGCAGGGATGGAATCACAACATCCTCACAGATAGTGGCGGGTGTGTTCCCCTTCACCCCGCCAAACGGACATCAGACTCCCTTGCGGTCCGTGTCTGGCTAACGCTCAGTCCAGGTTCCAGATGGTCTCGCTGCTCGAACTCGCCAACATCACCGAGGAGGGCGTGCGCTTCCTCTCCCCACATGACGGGTCGCCCATGTTACTCACCCCCGAGCACTCGATGAGCCTGCAGAACTCGATCGGCTCCGACATCATGATGCAGCTCGACGACGTGCTGGTGACCACGTCGCCCGACAAGGCACGCATGCGCGAGGCCATGGAGCGCAGCGTGCGGTGGCTTGATCGCTGCATCGCGGCACACAAGCACCCGGACAGGCAGAACCTGTTCTGCATCATCCAGGGCGGGCTGGATCTGGACATGCGCCGTGAGTGCTGTCGCGAGATGCTGGCGAGGGATACGCCGGGCATTGCGATCGGCGGGCTGAGTGGCGGCGAGGCGAAGGACGACTTCTGCAGGGTTGTCGCCGCCTGCACCGAGCTCCTGCCCGACCTCAAGCCGCGCTATGTCATGGGGATCGGGTATCCGGAGGATCTGGTGGTGAGCGTGGCGCTCGGGGCCGACATGTTTGACTGCGTGTGGCCGACTCGCACGGCTCGGTTCGGCAACGCTATTACGAAGCACGGTGTACTCAACATGAAGAGGGAGATGTACGCGACTGATTTCGGGCCCATCGAGGACGGCTGCGGCTGTCCGTGCTGTAGGCCAATCGAGGAAGAGGGGGGCATGGGCATTACGAGAGCGTTTGTCCACCACAATGCCGCAAAGGAGACGGTAGCGGCGCATCTGTTGACGCTGCATAATGTGTGGTACCAACTGAATCTGATGAGACAGGCAAGGGAGGCTATCATAGAGGACAGATTCCCGGCGTTTGTGCAAGAGTTCTTTAAGAACCTATACCCAGATAGAAACAGCTACCCATCGTGGGCGGTGGCCGCGTTGAGGGGCGTGGGTATAGATTTGTTAGAAACATAGATGGCTCCTCAACACATCATCGCTCGGAAAGGCGTAGGTCTCCTAAAACCTCATGCATAGCGGATAAGTCGGGCACATAAGCGTTTATGTACTTTCCGTCACGGGGGAAAAGCAGGTCTCTCCACAGCCACTCTTATACAGCCTCGGACCCCGAGAGAACTCCATGAATCCTTTCTGTGGTCCATTTACGGGTCGACCCCTAAAGCCCTCTCTCCATGGTGCTCAGGGGCTTGTGTCACGGTCTGATCGATGCCAGTGTTGCTAGACAAGGGTTAGGGTCAACATTCCGTCTTTCTTGGCACGGATCCGTCAAACGGCCAATGGGACAAGCAATCGATGGAGCTCCGAATTTTCGCGGCCGATTCCCGACCGCGGCAATCTGACCTCGACAGTGACGGCACACGGCGCGCCCGGGGCCAATCCACAGTTACGATGGCGACCAGGAGCGTGTCTCCCGGAGGGGCGCTCCTCCGGGCCTCGCGCATGTTCTCACTGCCGGCCCCGATCCCAGCTCCGCCAGACGATGGCGCGGCCGGCAACTTCTTCTCCAACACGGCGACCCTGGCTTTCCCGACGCATCAGGTCATCACCACGTTGAACTCTGCGCGGAAGCAGGGAGACTGGGGTCTGAAGCGCCCACTACCCCTAAAGTCCACGACCAAGTCCTCGAACCCGATGATACGCGTCAAGGCCATCGACACCATCGAGCAGGTGACCGACTTCACCTCGGCAACAGACCACGGCATGACGCTCCGGAAATTCCAAGAACTGGGGATGCCCATCACGATGCGCAAACATGGGACTGATAGCAGCACAAGTTCAATGAGTCTTCCGGAGAAGTCTGTGTTCGAAAACCAGTATGACTTCACCGACATCCACCCGGACGAGCGCGCCGAGGCCCTCGACAGGCGGTGGAAGTTTACGGGCCCCTGGCTGGCTGGTATGTCGCCAGGCGAGTTCAACGAATGGCTGGCCAGGGAGGTCAGGCCAAAGCGACCGCAGTTCCGTGAGTTCCTCAAGAAGATAATCGCCAGCGAGATGCACGGCACTCTCGCCAGGGCGGCGTTGGACAGGGGGGAATCCCCGCCACCCGCGATCGACCCGACCTCGGTGACGGACGACCAGTTGATCGACTACGTGCGGAAGCTCCGGCACAACAACCAGGCGCTCTATGACATGGTCGGCCAGTTTTTGGACCTGGCGCCATTGAAGCCGCCAACAACAGCCCAGATTGGCCTTCCCTCCCACAACACCAGCAAGGTGGAGTACCGCGAGGTCAGCAATCCGTATGCCGAGCACGGCCCGCCCATCACACACCCCTCCGCCGGTATCTCGTATCTGCGCTCGTCCATGTACATGGAGAACCACCCGATTTACGGACCGCAGAAGCAGCACTCGGCCGTGGTAGCCAGAATTGTCAGACCCCGCCGGCAGGCGCAAGCCGTAGCAGCCAAGCTCGGGTTGGCCGGCTTCATCGTCGACACCCCGCTGGGCGACACAGCCGCCAACAGTAAGAGTGCCTCGAAGGAGATCTACGACCGGATCGACCCAACCATCGTGGGCGGCGCCAAGGTCTGGGTGCAGCCCCAGAAGGCGAGGGTGGATTCCAAGGGGCGGGTGATTCTGACCGTCAGCGAGGCGTCGGCTGAGGCCACGCTCGTTGCGCAGGAGCTGCTTGGGAACGCCACCTGCTTGGGTGCGCCGCGGGGCGAGAACGAGCTGAGCAGACGCGAGATGACGGCGGGCAGTCTCCGGGCGCGGTACAGGGCTGCCGCTGCCCCGACTATGTCCAGTGCGCAGGATTATGGGCTGCTGCAATGAGCAGCGGTGCTGGGCCTCTCTCTCTGAGATGGTGCCACAGGTACTTGTGGGCTCAGGGAGGCAGTCGTGAAAGGCAGACAGTAGGGGGGATATGGCTGGCGTGTATGTACATTGTGATGCGCCCATGGCCATGCTGTAACACTATCTCTTCTGTAGAATACAACATGCTGCCAGCAACGGAAGTCGTGGGCATACTTCGGTGGCTTCTGGCCGTTGCGGTTCTTGCTTCAATCAATTGGCCCCACTTTACCCTCTTAGTCCCGCTGGGACAAGCCACCAATCCCAGCCACAGCTGTTGATAGCCACATTCGGTTCCCCAATCCTTGGCATGCCCTAACGCTCCACAACCGAGACCACCAAAAAGTTCGGTTTCTGCTGGCCCGCGATACCTGCTTCCTTGAAACCCCTCGTCCCGACATTCCAGCTCAGCAACCGCCAGCAACAGCAGCAGCAAAGCCGTCAAGATGGGTCGCGTTCGTACCAAGACCGTCAAGAAGTCCGCCAAGGTCATCATTGAGCGGTACTACCCCCGGCTGACGCTCGACTTCGAGACCAATAAGCGGGTGTGCGATGAGATTGCCATCATCGCGTCGAAGCGGCTGCGCAACAAGGTGCGAACCTCTTCCCGGTGACTTCCTTGGCGACCGGACTCGATGGAAGAACCTTTTTTTGAGAGCGGAAAAGCTGACCTTTGCGTGATAATTGTCGTTGTGCAGATTGCCGGCTACACCACCCACTTGATGAAGCGCATTCAGCGCGGTCCCGTCCGCGGTATCTCCTTCAAGCTGCAGGAGGAGGAGCGTGAGCGCAAGGATCAATACGTCCCCGAGGTGTCGGCTCTCGACTTCTCCGAGGCCGGCCAGCTCGACGTCGATACCGAGACCAAGGACTTGCTCAAGCACCTTGGTGTACGTTTTGTTCCCTCTTATGCGGGAGGTGGTGTGTGGGAGGCTGATTCGTTACTCTGTTGATACAGTTCGACTCGATCCCCGTCAACGTCATCCCCGTCACCCAGAACCCCGTCGTCGAGCGCGGCGGTCGGCGGTTCGGCGACCGCCCTCCTCGTCGCGACTAAATGTGCTGATTTCTGCAATATTCTGGCTGGTTTTATTGGGGGGAACACTGCAAACACACCAATCTCACGGCTCTACAAAAGGATCGAGATGCGGGTTATGGCATTTCATATGGGCATGGCTACACGGCGTCTATCTGGGAGGTGGTGAGAGCAGCGCTATAGATCCTCGAGACGGGAATCAAGAGAGATCTATTGCCCACGCAAGGTGTCGCCGATTCCCTAGGGTAATTCCGGGGATGACGCTTGATCGCCAATTATCTGTCCCTTCAGGGCTATGAGCGTGATAGGTAGCCTGTGTTCTTCACGGCTGCTAAATGTTCTTGCCAGTGTTGTCTCCATTGGCAGTAACGGCTCAAAGGAGGCTTTTGCACGGTGAGTTTGATGAAATGTTGCGCCTGGGCATTGTGCCTATGCCGGGTATCATCTATTTGCGTCCCTCATATAGCCCAGAGCGTTCCGAGACAACCTTCTGCCAGACGCCGAGTAGCCATAGTATTCACCTTTTTCCTGCCTCAAAATCGGATTGAAGAAAAAGTATCGTCATCGTCGCTATCCGCGCCATCCTGCTGCTTCTGGTAGTGGCTGTTGAATTTCTGGCCGTTCATGCCATAATCGGTTCTGTAACCTTCGACCAAGTTGGTGTCACCCTGACTCGGAGATGGAGGCCGTGGTGGCTTCACCTCAAGGTTCTCCTTGAGGACGACGTCGACACGGCCCACGTCGGCGAAGAAGCCGCCGGGATCTTGTCGTTCCAGCGCGAGATCCGAAGATTTCGCTTGTTTGACTTTGCGAATCTCAAGCTCCGCCATAGCCACGGCTAGCTCTTCCCTGTCTACTTCTGAAACCCTCGAAGGGCGGGTGGTGGCATTACCACTAGCAGCAGCAGTCTCCCTTCTCGCCACCTCCCCATCCTTGCCCTTCTCTGCCCTCAACTCAAGCTTGATAACCATCCGCCTATCGGCCTCCCGCCTGGCATACGTCGGGTTGTCGAGCTGCACCTTCAGGTACAGCGCCCTCTCGGCGCATGCGTCGGAGCACCACTTGTTCAGGTCCTCGGTGCGGGCGATGGCGCCCGCGCGCAACGAGAGCTTAAAGGGACCGGAGTGAGTGCGCCGCGGCCGCGGGCAGAGCGTGTATCCGCATTTCCCCAGGCAGTTGCGCTCCTCGATCAGGTCGAGGTATTCTGACGGCTGGAAGTCGGACAGCGCCGATAGGAAGTCCCGCACGTCCTGCTCGGAGGGCGCGTGAGCCGGTGGCGGGTTGGATCCGCGTGGGAAGCTGGAGAGCAGTTCGAAGGTCTCGAGCGGGACAGGTGGTTTTAGTTCTGTGTCGCGCAGCTTTTTATAGAGGCGCAGTCGGGCGGCGGCTTCTTGTTTCAGGAGGAGTTCGGCGCGGGTAAGTTCTTGTTTAGGTGGTTCTTCGGGTTGTGATTCTGGTTCTGATCGAGGTGGTGGTGATGGTGAAGTGGGTGGCAAGGTGTTGGAGGTCTTCTTGAGGATGCCCTTGAGCGCGGGTCTGACAGACGGTTGTTTCGATTCTGCGCTCATGGCGGAAGCTGTGGCCATCCTGTGAGCTTGTGTGGTACTTGTGAAGTTGGAAAGTTTGAGGTTCGGAGATGGTGACAACCTCTGATGCTATGGATTGGCTGAGACCGGGGATGGTCTTGTCAATGCTCGCCCCGCCAGTTGAGCCCTACTAACCGAACAGTGAAGCTTTATAATTTAAGTGACCTCGGCAGGTGCCACTGTATTTCCAGCGAACACCCGTGTTATGAAGAAGAAAGTATGGGCGCAGGAGAGAAAAGAAAAGCTTTAATAATCAGCGCGAGGAGAATTTTGAGTTATCCTTTCTCGTCACTTTGCTGGATAAGCAAGCCTGTGCTCACGGTTGATTTATCTTCGAGCTAACCATCATGAAGTGCATTTTGTCTGAAGTTGAGGGCTGCTCCCCCCAAAACGCAACCTTGGAACCGAACCTTGAAGAGCAAGCCTGCAGCAGTGGCGTCCAAACCACCTCCTGAGCTACTGCTTCAGGACTTTTGCCTGGAGACATCTGAAGCACTGCGGACGGCACACGTAGGGCTGCGAAGGCCAGCGAACCGACGGTTGTTGCAGCAGTTCATGCGCTGACGTAGGCCACGGTAACAGCTCTTGGCTCGGTTTCTGCCCGCTGGCAGCCCCTCCGACGGCCCGCTCGACAACCAAGCCAAGCTACCTTAGGCAGGCCCTAGCTGCGTGCAGCCGATCTCCATTCAAACTGTTTGAGAATTTGGACCATCTGACATACCCATCTCAGCCCAAATCTCCTATCGTTTTATTCAGTACGTGCTTTGTTTTGCATTAAGCAGGCGCTGTTTCGCGAGCTCAGCGCTGCCTTTGAACAATTAATCGCGCTCCGCACGGCGGTCTTCTGCCCGGAAGCCCAAGCTCTCCGAGCCCCGCCACAGCTTTCCACCTTTCCTCGACAACTCGCATTTGCGACCGCAGCTGGCCTCGAGCCGCGTCATCATGTCGTTCAAGGTGAAAGCGCTTTATGACTACGCGTCCGGTCACGAGGACGACCTCAGTTTCAGCGTCGGGCAGATCATCACCGTTACCGATGAGGAAGACGCCGACTGGTATGGAGGGGAGTATGTCGACGAGTCTGGCACGCGCCACGAAGGCATCTTCCCCCGTAACTTCGTCGAGAAATACGAGCCCACTGCGCCGCCCCGGCCGACGAGGGCGCGACCCAAGAGGGAGTCGGAGCCTGCTCTAGCTCCTGGCCCCGAGGCTGCTGCCCCTCCCCCTCCCGTGGCCCCGCCCGAGTCTCCGAAGCACGCCGGCCCGGAGCCGGAGGAGAACCCAGAGCCCGTGACAGTCGCTTCTCCTTCCGAGACCGTTTCTGCTGCACCCCCTGTGCCAGCGGCTGCTCCGGCACCTCTAGCCCCAAAACCGGCTGAGTCGGCGCAGCCTCCTGCTCCCGCCCCCGCTCCTGCGCCTCCCGCCCCACAGCCCGCCGAAGCCCCGTCTGTGAGCTCACCGCCTGCGCCCAAACCCGCTTCCCCGCCTCCCAAGCCCAGCGGGCCGCCGCCGGCGCCGGAGAAACCGACTAGCTCCTCATTCAAGGACCGCATCGCTGCCTTCAACAAGGCCGCCGCGCCGCCGGTCACTCCGTTCAAGCCAACCAACTTGAGCTCGGGCAGCTCCGGGTTCATCAAGAAGCCTTTTGTCGCCCCCCCGCCCAGCAGAAATGCGTACGTTCCGCCGCCGACCAAAGCTCCCGTGGCGAAGGTTTACCGCCGCGATGAGGATCCGGAAGTAAAGGAGCAAGAGGCCGAGGCTCTTGAAAACGCTGAGAAGGCGGGGCTTGTGCCCGCCGCTTCCACCAATGAAGGCCAGGGTGGTGATGATCAGCCCAAGCCGATGAGTCTGAAAGAGCGAGTGGCCCTGCTGCAGAAACAGCAGATGGAGGCCGCTGCGCGGCATGCTGAGGCAGCGGCCAAGAAGGAAAAGCCCAAGCGGCCTCCCAAGCAGCGCTTTGACAGTCAGAACTCCGGAGACGGTGAGCCAGCGGAGCGAACCGAGGAGACGAGCAGAACGTCTACGGACGAAACTCACCCGCCGCGCCTGCCAAATCCTCCTAGACGCAGATCCTCTAAGGGCACCGAGCCCCGCGACGGAAATGAGGCGGATATGTCTGGAGCTGGTGACACAACCGAGGGCCAGGAGGATCTCACTGAAAAGGAGGATAGCGATGGCCGAGGCAAACACGTTGCAACAGTGCCGAAGCAGGAAGAGAGCGAGAAGGATGAGGAAGACGACGAGGACGAAGAGGAGGAGGAGGAAGACGTTGATCCTGAGATCCGGCGCAGGGAGGAGCTGCGCGCAAGGATGGCCAGAATGGCTGGCGGTATGGGCATGCCCGGTATGGGCATGCCTCTGTTCGGTACTCCTGCCCCGGTGCTGCCAAAGAAGAAAAAGGCTGCTCCGGAGAAGCGAGCGGAAGAGGCTGAGGAGTCTGCAGAGCCGGCTGTGCGCGCAGCTCCTGTCCCTCTGCCCGGGCTGATGCGACCTCCGCCGCCTCCGGAGCCACAACATCCTGAGCCGGAAGCTGAGGGAGAGGAAGAGGAAGAGGAGTCGCGCCAGAAGACTCCGCATCAGGAGTTGGCCCCTCCTCGTATGTCGATTGAAATACCCCTTTGAACGGATGCAGTGCTAACACTCGCAGTACCTATTACTGCTGAACGCGGAGCCCCTCCCCCCATTCCTGGCGGACGACCGGCTCCGCCCCCGGTGCCTACGGATTGTGAGTATCAGCATACCAACCGCTCCCCGACCCGTTCCCGACCTTGGAATGTTATTGTTAATCTCGTGAAGCACGTCCGCCGCCACCGCTGCCTCCATCTGCCCCTGAGCTCAAGTCCCCGAGCGAAGGATCGGCATCGGACGACGAACTCGGCGAGTCTGATGCTACAAGAGGTGATATGGCCCAGGCTACGAGGGCCCCTCCGCCGCCGCCGCCCGTGGCCGCCGCTGCGCCGCCGATTCCGCCGACATCACCCCGTGCTTCCGAAGACAGGCGTGCATCTTACGTTGAGGAGACCTCTCCTACCTCCCCACGGGCACCCGCACAGAGCAAGCGCAACAGCAGGCCGCCGCCGCCCATTCCGAGCTCCCCTCCCCCCATGCAGACAAGACCTCCTCCCCCGCCCCCGTCCGCTGCGCCACCGCTGCGTCGGGTCTCCACTGGCGAACCTAGATCACCTCCGCCGGTGCCGGTAATGCGGAGGGATAACGATGACGACGGAGAGGAGGAGATTACCGAGTACGAGGGTGACTACGACACGGACATCGCGTCCTCGGTTCCTCACAAGGATGCGCTCAAAGCCCACCAGCGTGATTCGAGCTTTGAGGATGTCATGTCTCCGCGGTCCCCGACTACCGAGGCGCCTCCTGTGCCCCTCGCCTCTCCACCCAGAGCAGGCCCGCCGCCCATTCCTGGCCAGCCCCAACCGGCGACCAGGGGTTCTGTGGATATGCCCCGGACAGCGCCACCACCTCCTCCGCCTCCCAAGGAGAGCTCCCGGCATGACGACGATTATGATCCCTACAACTACGCCGCGCCTTCGCAAGGTGTTCCCTCAGTGCCCTTATACCCCACGCCCACCCCCCCAGCGCACCCGAGGCAGCAGGAAGAGATGTTTGGTCATGAGAGTCCCTCATACAGTGCCTCTCAGATCCCGAGGTCTCCTCCACCCCCTCCGCCGCCGGGCCGGGGTCCTACACGGCAGTCAGTTGATCTCCAGCGTGCCGGTGTTGGCCGGCGGTCAGTGGACGTCGCACGCCCATCAATGGAGTCTGGCTTCGTCGCTAATGACATCGACCTGGCCGGCCAGTCGGGCTGGTGGCTGCAGCCCAACGGCCTCCCCCCGCAGCTCCACGGACGCAAAGATATCTTCTTCGAGTCCGAGGAGTCCACCGCGGCCGACCCGCACCAGGGCGGCGGCAAGACCATCGTCACACGCGACATATACGTTCTCTTCCAGGACTACTCCCAGACGGTCATCACCGTCCGCTTCAACCCGCGCGACCCGTCGGATGTCCACCTCGAGCAGCGCCACGAACCGCCCCCGCGCGCCCTGCGCCAGGACCAGCTCGAGCAGAGCTACGAGCGCTTCGGCCGCGCCATCGGCGAGGCCGCCGCCGCGAAGAAGGACACGGTCGTCGGTGACGGCACGCCGCAGGCGCTCGTGTATGAGCTGCTGCGCCCCTTCCAGGACGCCCTCCTCCCCGTGGGCACGCGCGCCTATGGCGCGCTGGTGTACAGCAACCTCGCGAACGCTAGCACGACGCAAAACGACGAGATCCGCCCGGGGGATATCGTCAGTATTCGCAATGCTAAGTTCCAGGGCAAGCACGGGGCCATGCACGCCAAGTATACCATGGAGGTCGGGAAGCCAGACCATGTCGGTGTCGTGGCCGAGTGGGATGGTACGAAGAAGAAGGTGCGTGCGTGGGAGCAGGGGAGAGAGTCTAAGAAGGTGAAGCTTGAGAGTTTCAAGCTCGATGATCTACGGTCGGGCGAGGTCAAGGTGTGGCGCGTCATGCCGAGGAGCTGGATCGGCTGGGAGGGTGCCGGTGCCGGTTCTTCTGGGGGTGGAAGCGGTGGTGTCGCCGGCGGTGGTGGGAATGGGAACTAGGAGGCCCTGCTGGGCTTGCACATGAGTAATGTGAGAGGACTCGGGTTTGGCGGCGGTGTTTTGGTTGGGGTGTTGGTTCGCGTGGTTATGGCTCAGGCTGTTGCTGTTGGGAGGTGAGTTGCTCGGTTTTGTAGGGGAGGTAGTAGTCTTGTTGTGATGGAGTAAGTGTTGGCTGGTGGGTTGGTTGGTTTGGCGGGCGAGCTAAGCAAAGCAAAGGGAGAGTAGAAAAACTGAAGCAGAAACAGGGCAGAGCATGGCATTCCCTTAACCTCTATCCAGAGAACTGAAGGGAACAGCCTTTTTATCAGTCAGTCAGTCAGTTCAGTCAGGCATACACCACACCACACCACCACTCTACAAGGCGCTGCTTGATTTATCTAGTTTACCTTAAGTCATTGCATTGCGTTACTTACTTTTGCTGTTCTATTTAACTGTATGCCTGCGGACTGGAACCGTAAGGATTGTGAGTTACCTTATTGGTGGTGATTGTGTCTTGGGGGTGTGGTTTGGGTGTTTTTGGTCCCGGCTCAGGGGTTAAGTGAGTGAGTGTCTTGTCGAGAACTAACGATCGCTGGCTGGGTTCATACTATTACTAGTATCTCCCGCAGCAGTGGATTACAAGACTCCTGTAGGCTGTACAGGTTTGGAGGTAATCTGGGGTTTGTAAAGCTCCCCGAGTTGAACTAAGAACTGACATGCTAGTAGTAGTAATACTCGTTTTGCTCTTGGGTCATCTTGAGGATCTGCTTGCCTCCATCTGGAACTGAGAGATGTCCATTGGATGAAGCTGTTCTCCAGATGGTTCTTATGTGTAAGCCACGCAAAGATGTAACTTTCCCCCTAGTCAAACCGATTGGGTCATCGTCTCGGCGCTCTGGTTCCTCAGCTCATGAGATGTTGTTTCTGGCTTGGTGTATGTATAGTATGTATGCATGTAAGTACAAGAGCTCTCAGTCTCCTGTACCGGGTTGTGAAACAGTGAGGACTATGAAGGGAGAAAGCATCGATTGCCCTCATCCATGGCGGAGAAAGGGACAAGTCAACAGGAAGCGAACGCAATTTCCAACTGTCAGAGAACCAAAGTTTTCAACACATTCATCTGAGGTATGACCATTAACAGACTTTTTAGGGGTGAAGATTCATTCAGGGCAAAGCGGCATCACCATTCCCTTCTTGTAGGAACCTTCGCTCGCTCGACCATATGGGTAACCTCACGGCAAGACTCACAAGCTGTTAATTCTCCCCGTTGTCTTGCTCTTTGTAATGCACCACAAAGGCGGTTCAAGTCTGAACGAGCACAACCATCTCGATGTGTTCTGGCATTTTGTGAGGGGAGACACACTGAGTCCTGATGAGCGAGGAAAAAAAAGGCCCCTGACAAGCCGATTCTCACATCTGCAGGGCATGTCGGACCGGAAACCGACTTCAAAGATGCCGATCTGGGCTGGCATGGCAATAAGTTACTTACGTGGAAGCCCTTGACGCTTAGATGCAGCCTAACAGTTGCCTGAAGTGCAAAAAGGTTCCTCTAGTATTGCATTCGCACTTTCAGGTGACGAGGGGCTGCTGCAGTCGGCATGTGTCTGTCTGCCTGAGCTAGTGTTTCTCTTCACCACGTACCTCATCGCCCTACCGTCCTCAATTGCCGGTCATTCACATCAAGCAGTCCGCACGCAGCTCGGGTCAGCAATCTTTGGAAAAAGTAGTCTCCCGATGTTAAATGGAACGTCAATTGTAACACAGGAGGCGGGTATGGTATGCCAGGAGAGGCCTGAACAAAAGTGAATGAACGACACACACACACACACGGGAGGACAAGAGGTGTGGTTGCGCCTCCTGACTTCTAAGTTCTAGTACTCTGTTTCACACCACCGCGGAACCTCTTTGCACATGAGAACCGGTTGAATCGACCCAATTGAGCTTCTTGCATCCCACTCTGCTCTTGTCCTCCCTCCCCCACATACACAAAGGCTTCGATGTAATGGGACATGCGGCCCCATTGGCAGGCCCGGGGTAGATCGCGGGGGGGATTCTGCTGGGAAGTGGCGCAAGCCAGACGAGAACACAGAATTGTGGGATGGCTCGCTCACGGGCTGACGGTCGGGTTGCTGAGGGGCTTTCCGCGGGGTGGTGGGTGGTCAGCATGCTGTGTTCCTCGAGATGTTGTGTCACATAGGATTCTCATGGCAGGATTCCGAGGGAGCAAGCGTGAGAGTCGAAGGAGGGTCTTAGCCTTAGCCCATGCGCGGACGATCGCATATCTGACCTCGTACGCTACAGGCGTTCCCGAATGTTCTTCATGAGAGAAATGCCACTGGCATCCAGCAGAGTAGCAGCTCAGCTACATCGTATACTCTCGCTGCCTCCAGGTCTTGCCCGTCTGCTTCGCGCATCAGGAGAACGGGCAGCAGAGCTGAGTAATCTGGCACCTTGAAGGCCAACTTCCCGTGTCTCTCGAGAATCTTCCTCACCCAGTCTCGACTCCGAGTAAATGGTGTGTCTCCGCGACTCTATCTGCCAGTCTCGACCGTCTATCAAACCAGAGAGCACTGGCTTCTGTCAAACCACCCACGTCTCACATTCCACGAACTTAACTTGCTCCAAACAAGGGCATCACAGACAGAAAGTTGCGGCGGGTTGCAGCAGTGAGCCGAAAAGGGAGAATATCAGGGCAGGCCTGTGCCAATCGTTTCAAAGCGCCACCCCATCCAGTCCAGCATGGAAATCCCCGATGTCCAATGAAAGAAGTCGCGCATGCAGCAAATGAGCCATTGTCGCTTGACAGATGGCCGAAGGTAGTACTGCGGTAGAGGTACGGGCAACGGGGGCATGGCTGAACATCCAACGGTCGAACCGAGCTGCAGGGCTAGAGCAGGCCGTTGCCACTTGAGCAAAGATAACGCTCGAAAGTCGAACATAACAATGCATATTTCCACATCGCCCTTGTCAAGGAGGTCGTGGTGATGGTTGAGTAGATAGAAAAGAGATGGAGACAAGGCCAACCTACAAATGTGCTGGTGCCAGTTGTGGCAGCGTCAGACGTCTCTTCGCCAAAGAGGGCAACCCGCTCGGCTACGTTGCGTACGGGAGAATCTCGCGCCCCTCTCAAGCGCTGTCTCTGTAGCAAGCAGGGGCTTGTTGTCCGGTCTGGGCCTCTTCCATACGACGTTGCCAGGCGATGCTGTCCGTCGAGGATGGCACTGCAGTGCGGAGTGGGTTGGGACTGTAGAAGAGGGGCCCTGAATGTAACGGGGTAGAAACTCAGCTACCACATAGGACTCGAGGAGCTGTCGAAGCGCCCCGGCCCCCCCGATGCCAACCTGCAAGGCAAGCTTACCTACGGTGTAACGTGGCGAGCGTTCCCCCCCTTTCATCGCCGTAGTCTCTCCGCTTTCCGTCTCCTCGCTCGTCCACCTCACGGCCAAACCTCGCCCACAAGAATAAGGTATCTACGTGTCACCAAAGCCGCGCAACCATGTCGGCTCACCTCGACGACGCCAAGGCCCACCTCAACGAGCACGGCTGGTGCCGGATCCCGTCGGTGCTCAGCACCGCTGCTGAAGCAGCCGCCGTGCTCGACCGTCTCTGGACGGCCGAAGGATGAAGCCGAGAAGGGCGGCGAGGACACGTACATGCCGCTGATCGACCCCAACCCCCAGCAACGTCCGCGTGTTCTACCTGCTGGAGCTGGACCCGATCTTCCGCGACCTGATCGCGAACCCGACGGCCAACCGAGATGGTGCAGTCGGTGCTGGGCGACCAGATTCCTCATCTCCAACTTCACCGCCAACTTCGCGCGGCACGGGTCGCAGAGCATGGCGGCGCTGCACTCGTACCAGAGCCTGCCTGGTCTTCCTGGAACCCTGGCAGGACATCTGGGCGGGTCAACGTCATCTGGTGCCTCACCGACGTTGAGCCGGGCCAACGGCGCGACGCTGTACATCCCCGGGTTCCAACCGGTACGTCCGCCGCGCCGACGTTGCCCGCCCACAATGCGCGAGCTGCTGGTGCCGTTCGAGGGCAAAGGCCGGCCACATCATCGTCATGGACGGCCGCGTCTGGCACACGAGCGGGCGGGGCCAACGTCACGGCGGACCAGGACCGCGCCCTGCTGTTCGGCTACTATACACGGCGCCCTTCAATGCGCCAGCCGGTCAACTGGACGGCCAAGCTGCCGCGGGAGATCCAGGACATCCTGAGCCCGGAGCTGAAGGAGCGGCTGGGGCAGGGCCCCGTCGGGAACGTCGGCCTGGCCGGTGATCTAGGGTATTTGTCGATGCTGTATCCTGGGGGGTGCCGTCGCTGCCGCCGCGAAGTGACCGGGTCGGGCCATATTTCTCAGTGGAAACTACGGGAACAGGCTGCATGGTAACTCACTTTGGCCCCCCAAAAAGTCCGCACGCCGACATCAGCGGATGGGACGAGACCTTTTCTGGTGCTACTTCTTTTTTTTTTGGTTTTATTTGCTTCAACTCGTTGCGTGAAATGCCCGCTTGAGGAGCTCAGTGTGTTATCCTCGAGTAATATTTGTCTCATCCGGCGCTTCCTTTAGGCTAAGCGTTCAGAAGACGGTCCGAGTGTCGTGCCCCTGAATGAGCGCTGGCTCTGTAGCAAACATGGACTTGATATCCAGTTGAGTCCCTCCGTGGGAGTTTGATCCTTTGAGGACAGGCGAGGGACGAGTGAACTCCACTCCCTGGGCATGGCATCAGCGTATTAGGACATTGATCCAATCCAGACAAGACCTTAGCCATAAAATGAAGCAATCGTGATAGTATCAACCAAGTTCAGTGGCCGCCAGAAGGCCGCGGCCCCCAAATTGATAGACTCGGACCCTAGACGCGTGCCGCCGGGATTGATGTCCAATCGTTGGGCGCCTCAAAATCGGGTGTGTCCTATTACAACTTGCAGTTGACAAGGTTGGATTCCAGCTTGGATTACCGAAAGCAGAAAACCGGATGGGCCGATGACCGGACAGGACAGGACAGCATATCCCTCCCGTTGCATCATAAAAATGCATCAATAACCTAGAACACCTCAGGGCCTTCTCTGGTACTGTATGTACTCGCTCAGGGCGGACCACAATCACATGTGAGAGTAGAAGCATTAGTCTTTGAATGCCGGGTGTCGTGGCCGCGTCCGGGTCCAGAGCCGTGTGGATGTCCAGCCATCCTACCTCCGATCCGGATTCGGTGTCGCCGGACGTCAAAGGACGATCGGCGAGCCAGGAAGGGGATCCGACTCACGTTACCTGAGCAACGGCGGGCAAAACGGGGAGGACTCTCCTGACCCTGCGCAACACGCATCTGGCTCTCACACGGGTGACTCATTGAGAGCAGATCAGATCGGCTTTGCATGGAGAGCAGCAGATGATGCTCGTTTAGGCTTAATTCAATATGCGAGGACCCTGGGAGATCTGAAGAGCGTTGAGACATCTCGAAATTCGGGCCCGATCTGATTGGGCCGCTCCCCGTTCGGTATCCTGAGAATCAAGGCGCGAACAGGCGAGGTGCGTTCCGTCGGCGTCATCGCACCGTCAAGCCACGTCCGTTCTTGACTCAAACTGCAAAAGTCACGAAAGAGTCGTCCCGAGCGGATGGGCAAGAGAGGTCGGACACGTGCTCGCATGTGCTGGGTTGAGCTTGTGGTCCGACTTTGTCAGCGAATCATCGCTTGACACAAGTCAAGTGCATGGCCACGCATGAATGGATGCAGTAGTCTCCCCCTATGTGGAAATCCAAGCTGCCAAGAGCGAAACCGTCGAGTTTAAAGCTCTTCCAATCGGAGGCGGGAATGGCTTGGGTCGATGTTGGGTTCGAAGTTTGCCATTTGCGAGGGAGGTTCATCGAGATATGTTGAAAATGGAAATGCGTTGTCACGCACCGGCAAATCCCAAACCCAAGGCAATTTGTAACTCCTAACCCGCAGGTGACAGGCGCCAAGACTTCCCCAGGTTTTGTATCACTGTCGTAGAGTGGGCATGAACGGGATGGGCATCTCGTCGATTGGATAATGCATCATTAACCATGCGAGCCTGCCCCACGATTTGCTTGTGATTGGGCATTGGCCTGGTCGGAATGTGCAGCCTCAAGTCGATTGCTGGGTGTGGCTAGAAACACCTCGCAGTGGATCGGTTGGGCATGCTGGCATCGACCCGAGTTTCGTGAAAGTGGCACCCAGCCTAGTGCTTGCCAATCATCAGACTGCCACGTACCTACATTTTAGGAGCAGAGCCTGGCAAGCAAACGCCCTGCAATTCTGTAGCCTGAGACTGCACTTCGGGGTCTTTGGGCTGTGCCAGCCACTCGGGACATCACCTGCCGGAGCGAGCTTGGGCGCTCAGCGATAGCGAGGGAAGTCCTCTAAGACCGGCAGGCGGCATTCCGGCGAGTCGTCCACGGCATATGGAAACATCACAAGTCGAAGGATCGGCTATTGCGACATGACTTGCTGCGCGTAAGGAATAGAACGTCGAGCTGGCATCGACGGGGATAAGCCACCACCGTGGCTAGACAGTGAGAGTCCGAGTTCAGGTTCTGTGGTGGCTCTGCACCAGCTTCCAGGTTTTGGATGGGCGAGTGAGCGGTGAGCTACCAACCTCACCTGTAGAGAGCTTGGAAAATTTTTCCACCGGAGCTGCAAGTAGCATCTCGCACCTTCTGCCTATCAGTAATGAATGTAAGTGTCAAATCAGAATTAGAGTCGTTAGGTACAGTGCTCCGAATCCGAGTTGTGATGGTGCTGGTCGTCAAGGCGATTTCGAGGAGCGTGGTCGCAGAAGTGGGATGTTCGGACTTTCTGGTGGGCTCACCTGCCATGACCGCGGCCGTGGTAGCCATGAGGTCACCTTACGCTCTCAGGTGTATTTTTGGCTGACCACAGCACCGAAGTGACTTTGTGACTGGCTCAAGTGACCAAGGCTTGATCTTCGCCCATCTCCCCCAGGCGGTGACTTCCCAATCAGTCGAGGCTGGGGCGTGTCGGCCAATCATAAATCCCAGTACTATCAGACTTTTCAGCCAATGGCTGGCGTCGGGCAGTTCCGGAACCCCGTATAGGCTCCGTTCTGTCCAGTGGGAAAGCGCGCTTCAGACGGCCCCGCTCGCTGGCACCTTTTTTCAGGATCCCGCGGGGCGGGAGCAGCCTGATCCTCGCCGGGTTATCCAGGACAATGGAAGTACACGCAATGTACTGTACATCAGATGCCTCTGTACATCAGACGGAGTCGAACTGTTATATGGAAAGCCCGTGTCAACAAACCTCAAGTCCCATGTTGCCACCATCGCGTTATCCACACCCAGGCTACCCCCATTCTGCGGTTTTCTTCCATCTGCGCTGTCAACTGATAGCCAAGGGATACACACACTGCCGGTCGCTCACCCTGCCACGGCATCCCACCTGTTCATCCGCTCCGGCATGCTCACTTGTCGCAACACTAGACGCCAGTGAACTCCCCGCGCTTAATGCCCGACTCCGGCCTGACAGCTGCAACCTCGACAACGCAACCGCCCTGCACTGCAGCCCCGGAACGACACAGCAGTCCTCGGCACAGCATGCCGGATCTCATCACAATCACCGATCCCTGAACGCGCGTTGCTGCCATAGGTAGCTCCCTTGCCACCCTCGAAGGAGAGTCGGAGACCCTGACACACTCGGCACACTTCATAACACCATCAGGGTCCCCAACATTCCCTTGTGATCGGGAAACCCACTTTCTCCTCATAAAGTTACGCTCTCAACACACTTTCACTGCCTTCGGCGGCAATCATCTCAGAGTCGCAATCCAAGATGGCTCGTCCGTATCCCAGAAGAAAACCCTCCTCCTCCTCCAGCCACGACTCACGCAGCCGGAGGAGTAACGATTCCTACGCGTCGCACTCAACGGCACCTACGTCGCTCTATTCTACCCCATGCCCCGCAGACTGCAAGGTCTCACCAACATCAACAAGCAGCCAAGCTGCTGCCGTTGCTAACGGGTACCAACACGCCTACGACTCCCGTGACGATGTCAGCCCTGCCACTTCTCTGTATCCGCGTTCCTCAGCCGAGACGTACGTTTCGACGACGGCGTCATGCGAGGAGCTGGATCCCCTGGTCCTAGATGAGGCTGTGGATGACGTGACGACCGCCATCCCGCCGCTTCCCGTCTACCGACGCGAGGTTGTCGAGCCGAATGTCCGGATATCGACCCCCCAGGACTTTGCCAAGCTCTTCCCGTCCATGAACCGCCTGACGGTACGGCACGACGAGTTCACTTCGGATGGGAACATGAACCTGCGCATCGACACGGTGGTGACGGGTCGGAGGAGGACGGCGATTCAGCTCTTCCACCTGCGCATGTACGATCTGGCTAGGCGGGAGTTCTCACTGCGCCGATATTCACGGGACTCGGGGCGGGAGGTATGCAATTCTAAGCTCAAGTTCACCGAGCCCGCCGCGGCGAAGCCCAAGACGAAGGATGAGCGGCCGAAGCTGCAGAAGCGGTCCGTGTCGGCGGCTATCAAGTCGCTCAGCGGTGGAAAGCCGGTTCTGCGCCGGGCGAAATCGGATATGGCGGCTCCTGGCCGCCCCGCCACGGGCTACTCGACATGCGAGGGGGATGATGAGTTGTACCTCGACGGGGTCAACCCGTCTCGCCTGTCGCTCGACAGTCGCCTGGGCAAGAGGAAAGGTCAGCGGCCGGTGCCAACCAACACGATCAAGCTCGAGTTCAGCAACTACGCACGCGTTGACGTCAACCGCCGTGGGGGCAAGGGAAACAAGCGCTACGAGTTTGAGTGGTGGGGTCATCGGTACAGCTGGAAGCGCGCCGTCGACAAGCAGCTCGGCTCGGTATCATTTCACCTTGTGCGGGACGGGAACACGGCCGCGCCGGTCGCACACATCGTTCCCGAAACGCGGTCACCGGTTCAAGTTGCGGCGGATGAGACTGCTGGCGGATGGGTCCCGCCGTGTTTCATGTGGATCGCGGATGAGGCAGTCGTGGATGCTGTGACGGATGTTGCTGAGTAAGTTGAAACAAACACCTTCAGTTTTGCGGACCCCATGGCCAACCAGATCGCTAACATTTCTCTTAGTGTCATCATGGCTACCGGACTCATAGCGCTCGTCGACGATTGCATCAAGGAGCGATGGCAGACCAAGAAGGTCCACCGCATCCCGGTGCCGTTGACCTCCAAGACCGTCAATCTCGACGCTGTCAGCCCGAAGGCCCTCATGCAGCACGTGTTTGGCCGCCGGTACTCGAATGACCACCAGCGGCCCGCCACTCCGTTCAGTCCGCGATTCGCGGATCCCATCCCGACCTATTAGGGGGCTTGTCCCGTATCCGGTATTTCCGCACTCGCCGACCCAGACGCCGGACCCGACACGGCCGACCCCTGAATCGGCGACACGTCATTGCTGCCCAATCGGCGTCCCACACTCTCGGCGAGACGCGCTGTCTCCTCGGCCTGAGACGGTCAAGAGGTTGACACGATGTTGACGACGCTCTCATCTCCGGTTCTATTTTCTCATCTTCATTCTTCATTGTTCAAACTTCTCTCTTTCTTTTTCCGTTCTATATTTGCGCGATCTGCTGCAGATCTTGGGACAATGTTGTTCTATGAAAAGCTATCTTCATCTAATCCTTCTATCTTTATATCTTCATCCCATGGCATATCGGCACAGGCGTTTATTGATGCACAGCTTTACTTGGCGAAAGGATCATCTGCATGGACAAACTAGCACTGCAACGAGTTGGTCAGACATGAGGGCATTGGGCGGGCGGTGCATGGCACGGTGTGACGTGGAGTTGACTGTGTTCCGATTTCTTTCTTTTTTCTGTTTGTTTTTAACAGGTCTGGAAGGTTACGAATCGCATCTATCATCAAGTCGGACAACAGATTTTCTTTTGTTTTGTTTAACCCCATTCATAAATAAGGAGTTGATACGGACTGGGTTGGGATATGAATGTGGTAACAGTACATACTAGACGGATGAGGGATTGGTACTTATCTCTTTTGGGGTGATGGGGCGTTCACGAAGCATGAACGGATGGATGTATTACCCGGTAATGTAGTCAACGTATAGCAGCATAAGGTAGCCAACTCCATGGTCATCCCATACTCCTTTTTCCAGAAATGGGGAGGGAGGATGGATGACGTGGCACGACACGACAGAATGAGATTTCTTTTGTCAATATATTGCCATGATCCAACGTTTCCCACAAGTGATATCTTCATGATTTTCAGACTTGAGAAGTAAGAATGGGAGGAGGAAACTGTTTTCATCAAATGTCTAAGTGGGACGCATACTGGTGAGGTCCCTAAGGTGGGGCAAAGTAGCTACTAGTAAACGAACGGGTGCAATTTTCCTCCTTTACTCCGGGGTTGCTATTATTGTTTGTTGTTGGCTTACACCGGGAAATCATACGATGTGCTACAATTCCCTGAGTCCAGCACTACCCGGGGTTAGATAGCACAATAAAAGGCATGCTTTTACCTTGACAGGTAGTACGGCGGGGTTGTCAGATGCTTCCTTAATGAGGAGTCACCAACAGATGTCACTCACACAATATCCTTAAGCCGAATGCTTACGCAACAATTCCCAATCGTGAGTGGCACGCAAGGTACCTATATACTGTACTAAATATATATATTCTACCTACCACCCAAGGAATGATTTGAGCGGGAGCGGCCAAAGCTTGCTGTATCTAGATCCCCAAGCCGCGGGTTGGAAACCTCTCACGACGAATCGAGAACAGAACGCAGAAGTACGTTGTGACGAACCTCAAAAAGGAACGATCTCCACGCAATCAGTATATCCATATTTCCTTGCAGTATAAGGATGCTATTGTCGAAGATCAGACATTCATCACCTGCTGCGGCACCCCCCCAGATACCTCAAGCTATTGTCACCTATCTCCGTACGCATCATCTCAAGACACGCTCTGTATCTTAACAGAAAGTCTCCCGACATCATCACATACCCAACTCCTCTCCTCTCCAGCCACGCAAGCAAGCACCTACAGGCTACTCAGGTATCTAGGTACCCTGCCACACCTACTCGGAAAACAATCCCCACAACACAACACCACACCCCACGCCGAACAGGAAACCTTACTCCAGTGCAAATCACCAACCCGAAGGCCGAAATCTATTCTCTAATGTAAAGCCCTCTAATCGTATCGGGCAGCCATAAAACACCGTGACGTGACATAAAACATAAACCGCATACATGGGATTACAAAGTCTCGTAATAAGTCCGAGCAAAGAAACCGTTTCATGCCCGGGCCAGACCAGAGAAAAAAGCCCGGCCGTCCTCCTTCCCATTCTTTTCGTACCACGCCCAGAGTTATTAATACCTTATTCACCATTTACGCCGCCACTCCATTCGCCTCACCCATGGCGTCCTCAGCAGGGAGCTCAACGCCGTCACGCTCATAGATGTCCCAGTTGGCCAGGATGTGGCCGATCTTCGGGGAATTGGTGAGGCGGTAGACGTCCTCGAAATACTCCTTGGTCAGCGCGAACGGCTTGGCCGTCACGTTGGGGATGTATTTGCCAATCAGCTTGGCCGGGTCGATGGTGGTCTTGTTGATCTTCTTAAGCAAGAAGCTGCGGAAGGGCTTGACGCCAGAGCGCAGGAAGGTGGAGTGGAACGGCACGTCGATGCCCTTCAGCGGGATGGTGGCGAAGCCGCGCTGCAGGTCTAGGGGCTTGGGCTTAGCCTCTACCTTGGCCGCACACCCCTTGATGATCTCGACCAGCTTCTCCTTGACTGTCTCGGGCGCGATCTCCTTGAGCATCTGCTCAATGTCGATCTTCATCGCCTTCAGGTAGTTGGTGACCTCAGTCAAGGTGTCCAGCGCCCGGAGATCGCCGGCGCAGACGTACTGCATGTTCGCGATGTTGTAGTTCACGATCTCGAGGAGCCAGCCCGTCGTTTCGGCAACGTTGTTAACGACGAAACGCAGCGCCTCCTCGTTGAAGGTCTTGCTGATACGGCTCGGGTTGACCGCGCACATGCTGTAGTTGGACCGGCCCGATGCGTCGCGCTCGACGGCGACCTGCATCGTCAGGCCACGGTAGAAGACAACCGACACAAGCGACTCGATGGGCATGACGTCGGCGAGGGCAGCCAGAGCCGAGTACTCGCCAAGGGAGTGACCGGCAAAGGTGCTGTCACGCGGGACGAGCCCCTTAGCCTTCATGTCCTCGAAGCTGGCCTTCTCCATCAGCGTCAAGGCGGGTTGCGTGAACTGGGTAGCCGACAGCAGACCAGTCGGAGACCGGTATGTGTACGACGTGGTCTTCTCGTCGATCTCCTTGAAAATGCGCTCCGACTTGATAGAGCCGTCAGCCGCCACAGTCTCGAAGGTCATCGCCATGTAGTTCTTTCGGATCTCCTTGCCACGCGGCCCACCGAAGTGGATAGTGAGCTCCTTCGGGTTGTTCTTGACAATGTTCGTGATCGCAAAGCCTGTTTACTATTAGTACAAGGGAGGGTGAGAGTGAGGAACGCGGGTTTGCTTACCGTAAGTGTCCATGAGGTACTTGTCCGCGCGGTCCCAAACCTCCTTGGCGACGGGGCTGCTGGCATACAAGTCCATACCCATCCCCTGCTCCTGGGAGCCCTGGCCGGTGAAGACATAAGCGGTGACGGGCTGCTCGATTTCCGCCTCACCGAGGAGCACCTTGTCCTCGGTCTCCTTGTTGATGGCCTCGACCTTGATGATCTTGCGGCCGGCTACCATGCCAACGTGCTGCAACTTTACGTTGATGTCGTCGTTGGGGAGCACCATTCCAGTGAGCGACGCGTGGAAACTCCGGACGCGGCCGATCTTGTTCTCGGCAGCCCACGTCTCCACCAAGCTGCGCACTGCGGCACTCGAGTACATGCCGTGTGTGATGGTGCCAGGTAGGTTAGCGTACGCGGCGAAGACGCGCGAGACGTGGATTGGGTTGTAGTCGCCCGAGACACGGGCATAGGTCTCGTTGGACGCCGGAGCACGGATTTGGAGCGGGGTCTTGCCGCTCAGAGGGATGGGGTTCTCAAAGTTGATCGGCTGCTCGATGGACGAGCCATGGCGTTGAAGATAGTCGATCACCGGGTTGCCGTGGGACTCTCCAGCTTCGTAATCCACCGTCGCCACCTGGATGATCTCCTTCGTGGGTAGCTCGACGAGGACTTGGCCCCGCGTCTCGACATGGCTGAAAACGGTCTTGTTCTTGAACCGAACCAGACTCTGAAGACGGAACGTCAAGGTCTTGCCGAGCAGGGACAGCTTGTTGTCCTCGGCATAGTCATCGAGGACGAACCACTGCTTGGAGCTGAGGACTTCATAGTCTGTCAAGGTGGCGAGGTGCACCTGCATGGGCGTCTCCACCTTGCGCTGGAAGGTATTCTCGAAGTCGGTGTAGACACCGCGGTACAGGAACTGCGAAGTAACCTCCATGACCGGCTTGCCGTCACGGGTGATGGTGCCGCAGACCTCCACCATCTTGCCGGACTCCTGGTTGATGACCGCGTTGATCTGAGCCGTAGTGGAAACCTCGTCACCCTTCTTCAGCGGCTCCGCACCAGGCATCATGCGGAACTGGTTCGACAGGTGGACGAGCTTGAGAAGATCGCCATCAATCGTGCGCGGGAAGATGGGCTTGGTGATAGCCTTCCAGCCAACAACGATGGCGAAATCCATGGGCGCATACATGGTCTTTCCCGGGCGGTCGATGAAGGCCTCACCAGTGTTGCCAACAGCGTGAACGAACTCGTTGATGGCCTCGCCGGTGATGACGGTCTTGCCGCCATCGAACTTGCTTGTGACGGGAGCATCAAGATCAAGCTCCTCGTCGCCAAACCACGCACGCCAGTAGAACTCCTTGATCCGGTCATTGCGACCGTCCATGATTTCGTGGATCGGCGCGTAACCGGCCTCAGGCCGGTAGGTGAAGCGCAGGGGGAGGGCCACAGGCTGGCCAAGGGCCGTGGTATCCTTGATCATGTTGACGACGATCTCATTCTCGCCAACGAGCTTGGCCTCGATCACATCCACATAGCGGTTGTGGCGCGGCTGTTCCTTGACTACGATGACGGTCTTGGCAGGCTCATTGGGGTGAAGGATCTCGACAAACAGACCTCTAGTCGGCGCGAAGATCTTCTTCATCGGATTGGTTTGGTATTTTTGACCCTGGACGATGACCTCGGACCGGAGAAGGGCATAGCGCCAGTTCCGGCTCTTACCCGCCAGGAGCGAGATCCACGCTTCATCCGGGGGCAGCTGCGCTGACGGAGACGACGAGAGCCGGTAGGTGTTCTTATGGGCATCCACCGAGATGATGAGACCCTCGACGTCTAAGGGGTCCTCCGTGTCGATGAGCTTGCCGCCGAAGTACTCGACGACGGGGATCTTGGACGCGTCGCCATCGTACAGGTCCCGAGTCAAACCCTCGATGTGGCCGTTGTGGATGCCGTCAAGAATGTCCTTGATCGGCTCGTCAACCTTGGTCGAGTGCTTCGCGGCCATAGGTCCCTGGAGGATGCAGGTTCTGCCGACGTCCTTGTCGATGACGGCACCCAGATCCTCGGACTGCCAGAGGGAATCCTTCTTGAAGAAGAACTCGAAGTTCTCGTCGAGGGCAGGGACGAAAGTGACCGGCTTCTGCCCGCGGCGCTGGCAAAGCAGCAGGAAGTGCTGTACATCCTGCGCGTTGATGAGTTGAGTCTCAGCCTCAGGGTAGTGCGATAGGATGCGCTCGACGGCGGAATAAGGCTCATTGAGATCTGCGTAGCTTTGCAGGTGCGATGGCTGGCCAGGCGAGGTTGTAAAGCGCTCCTCGACACGGTGGATGAAGTCGCCAGTGAGCTTGGCGAAGGAGGGGTCGATCCACCGAGTCTCGTCTTTGACGTAGAGAAGCTCAACCATCCGGCGGACAACCTCGCCGTAGGTCATGTCCTCGAGATCGACGGTTTTGCCCTCCTTGTTCCGGCCGAACCACACCTTCTGGAAGTCGGCGTTGAGCTTCTTGATGATGTAGTCCCGGTTCTTTTTCAACTCAGGAACGCGTTTCTCTTTGGGCAGGCTGAAGATCTTCTGGTCCATCTCGGCCCAGAACAGCACGCCTCTCGTGGCAAGCTTGTGGATCGGCTCCCCCATCTCAGACCTCACGGTGATGACTCCGCCGGCGGGTCCCTTGTAGGTCTTCTCCCACTCGGTATCATCAAGACCCGGGGCGTCGACAATGGCCTGCTTGGCGGCCAGGCTCGTGTGGGCCTCCTTGGCAACCATCATGCGGCTGCCGAACAGGCAGCCATCGTACGGCATCGGGGGATAGCCGTACTTGGTTGACCATGCACCGGTGAGGTAGGGATAGGTGTCATCCGCGCCACCAAAGCCGCTCCCGGCAACCAGGATGATGTTTTCTTGGCGGCGGATGCGCCCGTACATGGCGAGGATGGGTGCGTGGAAGTCCTCGAACGAGTGGTGACCACCACCTCTTCCACCGGTCCACTGAAGGATGACGGGGAAGGTTGGGTTGGCCTTGGCGATGTTGATCACCGCCTGGATGGCCTCACCAGAGCCAGGTTTGAAGGAGATGTGCTTCAGACCCAGGGTCTCGATATACTCCTGAGCAACCTCAATCGACGGCACGCCGGCGCCAATGGTCAGCCCCTCGATCGGCACGCCCTCCGACCTGAGCCTCCCGAGCAGCGGGATTTGCCAAGCCATAGCACGGGGATTGACGTAAATCAAGTTCACGGTGATGCCGCGGCCAGGAGGAATCGCCTTCTCGATCTTGGAGATGGCCTCGGTCATGGTCCGGGCATTGTAGTAGCCGCCGCCAGCAAGCTCGATCTGATAACCAGCGTTCATGGTCGCTGCCACAAAGTCCCAGGGCACTGTGCAAGGAGTCATACCAGCGACCAGCAGTGGCGGCAGACCAAGTAGTCTGCTCATCTTGGTGTCGACGTAAGTACGACCGCTGGAGGTCTTGACGAGTTTCGGACCATATTCCTTCACCCAGTCAATGGCATATTTGACAGCGTTGTCTTCATCACGGTCAAAGAGCTCCGACTTATAACCGACTTCAGTCACGGTGCCGTTGACGGTTCCGGCCAGAATGACCCGGACACCGGTACCATCCTTGTTTCTGCTCGTCAAGACGCCGAGACCAGAGATGCCTCCGGGGCCAAAGTCCAAAATGTGTGTGGCCCCGGGGAAAACAGTGGCCTTCTCCCAGTGGACCGGGTTCTCTGTAATCATGCGGACCAAGGCAGGGACCACGTTCCCGGTCACCCTCTCGCGGACGTCCTCGCCAGTGTTAGTGTCGTAGACGGGAATCCCCAGGCGCCCAACATCGATCTGGACGTCCTTGAGGTCCTCGGCAATCAGGGAGGTCGCCTTTGCAAGGTACTTGCTGTGGAAGGGTGCGGTGATCGGTAAAAACCGGTTGACAAACCGAATCTTCCTCTCGGTGAAGGGGATTCTGGTCTGATCAAGACCAGTGGGAGCTTTGACCTTCCTCAGCTGCGCATTGAGACCGCACAGTGATGTAGGCGGGCCGGCAACGACCAGATTCCGGGGGCTGTTGATGAGCGAGATGGAGATATGCTGGTCTTCAGGGAGGTACTGATTTGTTTGGTCGATGTGCTTCTGGACCTCAGCCTGGGGAAGATCGCGGATGCTCAGCATTGGTGTTGGCGTGCCCTCTCCATTGTCGATGGAATCCTGGAGCATGGACGGGCTCATCGACGTGATCGGGAAAGTCTGCTGGCTGCGCGCCCCAATCCAGAAAAGGATGGTCAAGGCAGACTTGGCGATCTCTTCGAACGACTCCCACGAGTCTGCAGCTGCCGTGGCTGCAGCAAGGACAATGCCTTGCGAGTGGCCAGTCGTCCCGCTGATCCTCTCACGCAAGATTCCCGGATGAAGGCCCAGCACCTTGCAAGTAACCGTGTAGTGTGCCAGCTGCACGAGACCGATGAGGGGGAAGCTGACGGGCGCCGACACTAAGTAGTCAACATTTGGCGTGGCATCGGGATGGTGCAGCCAGTTCATGACATCGAGACCCTTGGAGTAAAGCTTTTCTGCACTTGGATGGCTGGAAAGGGTTTGGAGCAGCTCTGCGGACGAGGTAATGAGCTCCCCGACAAAAGACGGGTAGGTTTCGTACAGCTCGCGGAGCTCCTCGAAGTATTCTTCGATGTTGCCCTGACCACCGAAGATGTTGTAGAGCTTGGCAGGCTCGTCCTCGTCGCCAGCCGCCCGAAACAAGGCCGACTCATGTGCCTTCATGGCCCTGTTCGACGCTGACCGGGCAGCAAAATAGCTGCGGATCACCACCAGCTTCTTGGCATCGATGCCCGGCAGCGTTGCCGCCAGAGCATGGACGTCATTGGCCCCAAGGAAAGCCCTCTCAAACTCGTTGAGGACAAGTTTGAGCACCTCTTCGCCTGACCCTGATGCATCCTCATCCTCACCCTCCGCGACCTCATGGGCGACATAGCCCATGTACCTAGCCACAAGCTCGGGAACCGACGACGGTTCATCATCTTGTGCAAGTTCGTCGGTGGGGGTTGGCAGTGTCGCGACAAACCTCTCCTTCAACCGCGAGGCGTGGAAGTGGAGGCCGGTAGGTATTAAGAAGGACGTCTCAAGAGAGCCGTGGGACAGAGTTAGGGGACGCAGCGAGGCCGACGACCGGGGCGTCGCGGCGCCCGTCTGAGGGCCTGTTCCACTGCCGTTGCCGTACATTATGTGTGGGTATCTAAATGGTTGTGTCTCTTCTCCGTCGTTAGTTCTGGTCCAACTGGCGCGCATTTGGCTTCTGACACGGATAGGACGAATCACATACCAAGCACAGGAGTAGAAGATGGCGGCAACGAATGGCTACTTGCAAGTAGGAGCAGGTAGATGCAGAAGGCTCAAGGAATGTCTCTTGAGAAAAGGACGGTGATACGGAAGTTTCCTAGTCCCCAAGTCCGCGTGCGGTGTGGGAGCGGGGCAGTTATTTAGGGAGACGCGATTTGAGGCAAGGGAAGCTTTGGAAGGAGCAGGCCAAAATCGGCAGAAGGTGAAGGCGGTGGGCGGGTTGATGTTGCTCCTGCGAAGCGGTAGGAGATGATGCAGTGGCAGAACACAATTACTCTCAAGAGTCAAGACCCTGAGGTTTGGGAAATCAATGGCAATGGGTCGTGGATGCAGTTCAACTCAACACAAAACCAACCACAAGTCCAGGCCATCCAGCGATGGCGGCTTTCCTCTTACTCGCCAAAATTTTTGGATCTTGTTGGGGAAGGGACGAACGGGCGTCGCGGCGAAGTTTGACAGATCCCTGCAAGCCGAACACGCAAGTGCCAGTGACTTTCGTCCACGCGTCTGCAGCAGCTTAATGCGTTGTACTTTCCGTTCACGGCATCAACCAACCCCGAGTTGCCGAGTCCACAAGGTGTGCCCCACCTTCGAGCTATTGCATCCGCTGCCGGCATCTAAAGTACCGGTACTTCTTCCGATAGTCGCTCTCTGAGGCCATCTCGAGATCTTGCAGCAGCCATGCTCCCTGGGTTGTGGCAGGCGACCGGAACGACATTGATGTCAGCGCACCGTATGCGATCCAGACTCTGGAAATCCGAACTTGGGAACATTGCCTGTTTAGTACCTCTCGAAAGTCTCTCGGCGTGGCGGAAAGCGCGCCTGGTTTATCTGGTGGTTGAGCTGGTCAGGCATTCATGCAAGGGATGTTCTCGTCCATGAAGCGCCCAACGCTCCAAACTTAGATGCTCAAAGCGTCATCAAGATGTACTGTAAGCGCACTTAGAGATGCCACTGGCGAAAATCAATTGGACCCCCAAGTGACCCGTGTTAGTAAGATGTAATGTACGGAGTATGCAGACTCCCGTTGGCGACTGAACAAGATTAACTTGGACCACGAGGTGAATGGCTCAGGATAGTTACACAGGACATCCCGGCGCCTCATGAATTCTCGGCCCATGCTTTAGAAATATGCAAGTCACATCGTAGAGATGCTCCCGCGAACAGATCTGCGTCTGGTAGCCGTGGTCGGCCACGCACGATATGGAGGCGGCATTCCCTGGGGTAAGGAAGAAGAAGTATCGAGACTCTCAAGATCTGCCCCTCCAACGTCCCTGGGTAACGGGCGGGCGGGACGCTAAACCTATCGTGGTTAGCTTGGTAGTTTGGTTGAGAAGCAACCATGCGGGTTGCATGCACGTTGGACGCGACAGGGGTGTTAACCCAAAATTCATTCAACAGTTGCACCTTGACGACGCGGCGGAACCTCCCAAATTTTGGCAGTTGCCCCCCTTGGTTGTCTGGACTCGGGAGGAAGTCAATCACGTCCACCGCCTGTCAATCTAGTCCTTCCCACCTCGCAATCGCCTCTAGGCAGTGTACCGGGCCGCCCTGGGCAGCATAATCTCCAGACTCCGCCCTTGAAAGTGGCGCTCTCCCTCACTGTCCACATCTTGCGCCTTCTCTTCTTTCTCAAAGAAAGACCATCTGCAAGACAGCTCCTTCCACCTTGGATATTCGCCCAACCGGAGCTGAATCCCCCCCTCATCTGCCTGGACAACGCATTCCGTCTACCTAATTGCTTACCCAAAGCCTTGAATCTCACCAACAGCCAGGCCCTGTTACACGAAAACAACATCCAAGATGCGTCCCGAACTCGAGCAGGAGCTTGCTCACACGCTCCTCGTGGAGCTCCTCGCATACCAGTTCGCCTCGCCTGTGCGGTGGATTGAAACACAAGATGTGTTCCTTGCAGAGCAGATGGCAGAGCGGATTGTCGAGATTGGTCCGGCAGACACTCTGGGTGTGATGGCCAAGCGGACTCTGGCCGCCAAGTACCAGGCACACGACGCCGCCAAGTCGGTCCAACGACAGATCCTTTGCTACAACAAGGACGCAAAAGAGATCTACTACGACGTCGATCCGGTCGAGGAGGAGCCGGAGCCTGCCACGCCTGAGGCGAGCTCATCGGCTGCTCCTGCTGCCGCTCCCACTGCCCCGGCCGCAACTCCGGCGGCCGCTCCACCACCACCGAGTGCGGGGCCTGCTGCTCAGGTTCCAGATGCGCCTGTTCAGGCAGTGGATATCGTGCGCGCCTTGGTTGCCCAGAAGCTGAAGAAGCCTGTGCAAGACATTCCCCTTAGCAAAGCTATCAAGGATTTGGTTGGCGGTAAGTGTGTGGCTTCAATTTTACTGTGGATCATGACGCTAATCATGTATTCGATCGATAGGCAAGTCGACACTCCAAAACGAAATTCTCGGCGATTTGGGCAAGGAATTCGGCTCAACGCCCGAGAAGCCCGAAGACACACCCCTCGACGAGCTCGGAGCTGCCATGCAGGCTACCTTTGATGGAAATCTTGGCAAGACTTCGCAAGGTCTCATTGCCCGCCTGATCTCCTCCAAGATGCCTGGCGGCTTCAACATCACGACCGCACGGAAGTACCTCGAGACAAGGTGGGGTTTGGCCTCCGGTCGGCAAGACGGCGTACTCCTACTAGCGATTACCATGGAGCCGCCAGCACGTCTGGGCTCTGAGGCTGACGCAAAGGCATTCCTCGACGACGTCACGCAAAAATACGCTTCCACCGCCGGCATCAGCCTCTCCACTGCCGCCGCTGTCGGTCCGGCTGCCGGTGCCGGCGGCGGCATGATGATGGACCCTGCTGCGATCGAGGCGCTGACGAGCGACCAGAAGGCACTCTTCAAGAAGCAGCTCGAGATCATCGCGAGGTACCTGAAGTACGACCTTCGCGAGGGCGACAAGGCGGCCCAAGCTTCACAGGAATCCGTCAAGATCCTCCAGTCTCAGCTTGACCTGTGGATGGCCGAGCACGGTGACTTTTACGCTGCCGGCATTGAGCCAGTTTTCAGCTCATTGAAGGCCCGTGTCTATGACTCGTCGTGGAACTGGGCTCGCCAAGACGCCCTCACAATGTACTACGATATTATCTTCGGTAGATTGAAGGCCGTCGATCGCGAGATTGTCAGCCAGTGTATCCGGATTATGAACCGGAGCAATCCGACGCTTCTCGAGTTCATGCAGTATCACATCGACAACTGCCCGACTGAGCGCGGTGAGACTTACCAACTCGCCAAGGAGCTGGGCGCCCAGCTCATCCAGAACTGCAAAGACGTCCTCAACGCGGACCCCGTGTACAAAGACGTCGCCATCCCTACCGGTCCCAAGACCACCATCGATGCCCGTGGCAACCTGAAGTACGAGGAGGTCCCGCGCGCCAGCTGCCGGAAGCTGGAGCACTATGTGCAGCAGATGGCTGAGGGCGGCAAGATCACGGAATACGGCGGCCGGACCAAGGTCCAGGACGATCTGTCCAAGCTCTACAGGCTGATCAAGAAGCAGAACAGGACCTCGAAGTCCTCCCAGCTCGAAATCAAGACGTTGTATGGCGAGGTCATCCGTGCGTTGCGCATGAACGAGAGTGTGATTATGCCCAAGGAGAATGGCAAGCCCAATGGTCTGCCGAAGAAGGGCAAGCCTAAGGGGAAGATCGAGACGATCCCTTTCCTCCACCTTCGCAAGAAGACCGAACAGGGATGGGACTATGACAAGAAGAACACGAACAAGTACCTGGACTGCTTGGAGCAGGCCGCCAAGGACGGTGTCACGTTCGCCGGCAAGTATGTTCTCATGACTGGTGCTGGTGCCGGCTCAATCGGCGCCGAAGTCCTGCAGGGTCTCATCAGCGGCGGTGCCAAGGTCATCGTCACAACGAGCCGCTTCTCTCGCGAGGTCACCGAGTACTACCAGTCCATGTATGCTCGCTTCGGCTCGCGCGGCTCGCAGCTCGTGGTTGTGCCATTCAACCAGGGCAGCGTGCAAGATATCAACGCCCTGGTCGACTACATCTACGACACGAAGAACGGTCTTGGCTGGGACCTTGACTATATCGTTCCCTTTGCTGCCATCTCCGAGCAGGGCCGGCAGATCGATGGCATCGACTCCAAGTCCGAGCTGGCGCATCGCATCATGCTGACGAACCTCATCCGTCTCCTCGGCAATGTCAAGACACAGAAGGCCACCCGCGGCTACGAGACGCGTCCGGCACAGGTCATCCTACCGCTGTCGCCCAACCACGGCACCTTTGGCAGCGATGGCCTGTACTCCGAGTCGAAGCTCGGCCTCGAGACGCTCTTCAACCGGTGGCACTCTGAGGATTGGGCCAACTACCTCACGATTTGCGGTGCCATCATCGGCTGGACTCGTGGGACGGGTCTCATGTCGGGCAACAACATCGTGGCGGAAGCCGTCGAACGCTTCGGCGTCCGCACTTTCTCGCAACAGGAGATGGCGTTCAATCTGCTCGGTCTGATGTCCCCGACGATTGTCGACCTTTGCCAGGAGGCGCCCGTCTTTGCCGACTTGAACGGAGGCCTGCAGTTCCTTCCCAACCTTAATGGACTCATGACCGAGGAGCGTCAGAAGATTACCAGGACTAGCGAGGTCCGTCGCGCTGTGACCAAGGAGACTGCATTGGAGAACACCATCGTCAACGGCGAGGACTCCGAAGCCCTTTATAAGAGGAAGGTCATCGAGCCCCGCGCCAACATCAAGTTCGATTTCCCGCCTCTGCCCGACTGGAAGTCGGAGATCTCACCCCTCAATGAGAACCTCAAGGGCATGGTCGACCTCGAGAAGGTCGTGGTTGTCACCGGCTTTGCTGAAGTCGGGCCGTGGGGTAATTCCAGAACGCGGTGGGAGATGGAAGCCTACGGCGAGTTCTCCCTCGAGGGTTGCATCGAGATGGCTTGGATCATGGGCCTCATCAAGCATCATAACGGCCCGATCAAGGGCAAGCCGTACTCTGGCTGGGTGGATGCCAAGACTGGCGAGCCTGTCGACGACAAGGATGTCAAACCCAAGTACGAGAAGCACATCCTGGAGCACTCCGGCATTCGTCTCATCGAGCCCGAGCTGTTCGGTGGCTACGACCCCAACAAGAAACAACTGCTCCACGAGGTGGTCATTGAGGAGGACATGGAGCCCGTCCAGTGTCCGAAAGAGACCGCCGAGGAGTTCAAGCGCGAGCATGGCGACAAGGTGGAGATCTTTGAGATCCCGGACAGCGGCGAGTACACGGTCCGCTTCAAGAAGGGCGCGTCCATATGGATGCCGAAGGCGCTGAGGTTCGACCGCCTCGTTGCCGGGCAGATCCCGACTGGTTGGGATGCGAAGCGGTACGGTATTCCCGACGACATCATCTCGCAGGTCGATCCTGTGGCGCTATTTGTCCTTGTCTCCACCGTCGAGGCTCTTCTGTCGGCCGGTATCACCGATCCGTACGAGTTCTACAAGTATGTCCACGTCTCGGAAGTGGGCAACTGCGTGGGCTCCGGTATGGGTGGTGCGGCGGCTCTGCGCGGCATGCACCGGGATCGTTTCTTGGATAAGCCGCTGCAGAACGATATTCTCCAAGAGTCCTTCATCAACACCATGGCTGCTTGGGTCAACATGCTGCTCATCTCCTCTTCCGGCCCGATCAAGACGCCCGTCGGTGCATGCGCCACGGCTGTCGAATCTATTGACATTGGTTATGAGACCATCATGGAGGGCAAAGCGCGTGTCTGCTTTGTCGGCGGCTTCGACGACTTCGGCGAGGAGGGCTCCTACGAGTTCGCGAACATGAAGGCCACCAGCAACGCCGTGGACGAGTTTGCCCATGGCCGAACGCCCAAGGAGATGTCGAGGCCCACAACCACGACCCGGAACGGCTTCATGGAGTCGCAGGGCTGCGGTGTCCAGGTCATCATGACTGCCAAGCTCGCCTTGGACATGGGCGTTCCGATTTACGGTGTCCTCGCGCTCACCACGACTGCCTCGGACAAGATCGGGCGCTCCGTCCCTGCACCCGGCCAAGGTGTGCTTACGACCGCTCGGGAACACCCTAGCAAGTTCCCGTCGCCCCTGCTCGACATGAAGTACCGGAGGCGCCAGATTGAGCGGCGGACCAAGCAGATTCAGCAGGACATGGAGGCTGAACTCCAGTATCTTGTCGACGAGGTTGAAGCGATCAAGGCTGATGGCCGGTCGGAGAGTGAGATCAATGCATACGCCGCGGAACGGGTCAGGCACATCCACAAGGAGGCCGAGAGGCAGACCAAGGAAGTTCTGCGCAGCTATGGCAACAACTTCTGGAAGAGCGACCCGAGCATCGCTCCTCTTCGCGGCGCTTTGGCTACGTGGGGTCTCACGATTGATGATCTCGATGTCGCGTCCTTCCATGGCACGTCCACCAAGGCGAACGACAAGAACGAGTCATCCGTCATCTGCCAGCAGCTTTCCCACCTTGGCCGCAAGAAGGGCAATGCCGTGCTGGGTATCTTTCAGAAGTATCTCACCGGTCACCCCAAGGGTGCTGCTGGTGCCTGGATGATGAACGGCTGCTTGCAGGTGCTGAACTCGGGTCTCGTCCCTGGCAACCGGAATGCCGACAACATCGACCAGGTGATGGAGCAGTTTGACTACATCGTGTACCCGAGCCGCAGCATCCAGACGGACGGCGTCAGAGCGTTCTCGGTCACTTCGTTCGGCTTCGGTCAGAAGGGCGCTCAGGCAATCGGTATTCATCCCAAGTATCTATACGCCACTTTGGACGAGCAGACCTTCAACGAGTACCGGACCAAGGTGCAGGCGCGGCAGAAGAAAGCATACCGCTTCTTCCACAACGGAATGATCAACAACACACTCTTCGTCGCCAAGGACAAGTCGCCGTACACGGATGAGCAGCTCAGCTCCGTGCTCCTGAACCCAGACGCACGAGTCGCGGAGGACAGGAAGACCGGGCAGCTCACTTTCCCCGAGAACTTCATGAAGCTCTCGGAGCAGATGCAGACTCGGACTGCCCCGCACACTCAGGCGTCGCTGGAATCGGTGCTCGGCCGTCAGGCGCGGGAGCTCGAGAACATGAGCACGCGTGTCGGGTTCGACGTCGAGGACATCTCGACCATCAACGTCGACAACGACACGTTCCTAGAGCGCAACTTCACCGAGGCCGAGGCCAAGTACTGCCTGGCGTCGTCCACGGGCCGGTCGCCGCAGAAGTCGTTTGCCGGGCGCTGGAGCGCCAAGGAAGCCGTCTTCAAGGCGCTGGGCGTCCCCAGCAAGGGGGCAGGGGCGGCGATGAAGGACATTGAGATCCTTTCGGATGAGAACGGGGCGCCTATTGTCACGGTATGTTTCCTGCCTCTCGAGCTAACTGAAGATGAGTAACTTAACTAACGGGCCATGCAGCTGCACGGTGCCGCCTTGGAGGCTGCGGAGAAAGCGGGTGTCAAGAAGGTGGCCGTGTCCATCTCGTACACGGAGAACCATGCTGCTGCCATTGCGACAGCTCAGCTGTGATGACTAGGAGGGTACGGAAGGAGGGAGTTTGGGGGGTTCATTATGCCTAGACGGACGGGGCTTTTTATGATGTGCATGTCTTTTTTAATGTGATGTGGTGAGGCGGAATGAGATCAGGCAAAGGGGGGTGGGTATATTAGGCAGAGGTTAGACCGCGGTTGCAGTGCTTTAGTGCGCAAAGAACAGTACTAGTAATATCTAGATGGCGCTTTCCTTTTTTTGAGGACATATCTAAATGCTTGGTTGGCTGAGTACTACTAGGTTGTAGTCTTCTCAGTCTTGGTGCTCCTCAATCTCGCTTCCTGTATTAGGTATCACCAACATTGCTGTCAGCATGATTATCCTTACTCCGTGCCCATCTCAAGGTGACACGATGCAAGACGGAGAATACAGCTTCCATGTGAAACTGGGACGTTCCCGACAGCCTGGTTCGTGGATTCACTATCCGTCGCTGTAACTTGCGTAATGTAGTACCCTACGCATATTGACGTTGTGTCGTACCGGCATAACAAGGGGTCAACAGTGACCGGGCCAGTTGTCATGAACGGATGTCACAGAACGAACAAACATCCTAGCATGGATGGACTACAGAATCGAGATAACGTTCATCAATGTTACTACTACTACTTACCGTTTACCTATCTATTGTACGGAGTTAGAAGGTAGAACAACCCATGATCCCGGGTGCCGGCGCTCACCGACAGGAGCTCACTGAAAGGCGGGTTCCGCCGCGGGTTTAATCCTCCTTTTATGCAGGGATGCCTCGATGCATGGCGCGGGGTGGATGAGATAAGGAGCGATGGGGTGAGTGGATAAGCGGGAGGTGTGTGGACCGGGCCGCGTTCACGTGCTTCCATACCTCCTCCTTCACCTCCTTGCTTTAGGCCTGGTATTAAAGGGTAGGAATCGCCTTCGCTTTAGGGTTCTTTCTTTTTAGAAGAGAAGATGATGGACACTGACGGCTTCTGCTTTTGAATTTTCTGCTTGTCCTCTCCTTTCTTGTCGGCACCGTCGTCCTGTTGTGGAAGGGTTGAGGCGGGTGAAGCGAGGTAAGTGCCACATAATAAGCCGAGTTGGCCCGGTGTGAGCTGAAGCGTGCTGACACGACCAGGAAGGCGCACGACCACGAGCTTTGTGTGTTGCGCGTTGAGTTGTTTCAGACGGGATTTGGGTTGTTTGCTTTTATTCCTGCAAGACTTGAAGGGAGCGGAGCGGAGTGGGTGACTTTGCACAGTTGCTCTCTCAAAACTGTTCTTACCTCGACCGACTTGAGCTCCTGAATCGACCACAGGTTACAACGTACAACCTCACTTTGGTCAACAGCAGGGACCCGACAATATGGCATCCCAAAACCAACTCTTTCTGGGCACGTTTGTGCATAGCAAAGCGCTTGACGAGCTCGAGTACCTGCACAATGCCGCCGTGTGTGTCGACACATCCGGGACAATTGTCGCTGTCGAGAGGGAGTGCGATGAGGCCAAGGCTAAGGAGACGTTGTTGCCGAGATTGGGATGGGATGTGACCGAGGTAGAGGTGGTGAGGGCGAAGAAGGGGCAATTCTTCTTCCCTGGGTTTATTGGTGAGTATCGTCTCTGTTAAAGCAGTGTCAAGTGTCAACAATAAGCATTGCTGACTGTGGCAGACACGCACCTCCACGCCCCGCAATATCCCAACATAGGCATCTTCGGCAAGTCAACCCTTCTCGACTGGCTCAACACCTACACCTTCCCGCTCGAGGCCTCCCTATCAGACCCGGCCAGAGCCCGCCAGGTCTACACGCGCGTCATCCGCAAGACACTCTCCCACGGCACCACCTGCGCAGCCTACTACGCGACCATCGACGTGCCCTCGACCAACCTCCTCGCCGACCTCTGCCTCGCCGCAGGCCAGCGCGCCCTCGTCGGCCGCGTCTGCATGGACCAGTACTCGCCGGACTACTACCGCGACGCGTCGCCGGAATCCGCCCTGGCGGACACGCGCGAGAGCATTGCGCACATCCGCCGCGCCGACCCGTCCATGTCCCTCGTGCGACCGATCATCACGCCGCGCTTCGCCATCTCCTGCTCCGTTCCCTTGATGCGCCAGCTCGGCCAGCTGGCCGCCGAGACACAGCTGCCGATCCAGACGCACATCTCGGAGAACGAGACCGAGATCCGCACCGTGAGGGAGCTCTTCCCGCCATCTGCTACGGGCGCGCAGGACGACTCCTACGCCGGCCTGTACGACGCCATGGGCCTGCTCACGCACCGCACCGTCCTCGCGCACGCGGTGCACCTCACGGAGGGCGAGGCCGCGCTGGTGGCGGCACGGAAGGCTAAAATCAGCCACTGCCCGTGCAGCAACTCGGCGCTGACCAGCGGCGCGGCGCGCGTGCGCTGGTTGCTGGACAGGGGGATCGTGTGTGGCTTGGGGACGGACATGAGCGGTGGGTTCAGCCCCAGTATCCTCGCCGCGGCGAGGCATGCCGTGCTGGTTAGTCGGCACCGGGCGATGGGCTGTTACTCGAGTTCAGAGGAAGGCGAGAGGGAGAAATTGAGTGTCGAGGAGGTGCTGTTCCTTGCTACGAGGGGCGGCGCGGAGGTGGTGGGGTTAGAAAAGAAGGTGGGTGGGTTCGAGGTCGGGATGGAGTGGGATGCACAACTGGTTGGGTTGGGCATGGTGGACGAGGAAGGGAAGGTGTCGGAGCAAGACGGCGGCGGCGATGTGGATGTTTTTGGGTGGCAGGGCTGGGAGGATATGGTTCCGAAATGGATGTATAACGGGGACGACCGGAACACCAAGAAGGTGTGGGTGAAGGGGCGGCTGGTGCATGAGCGCAAATGAGATGGTGATGACTTCTTACGATCTCGATAGAACGTAGACTCCTGGGAACGATAGAATCGAGGGTGTCTGTAATGGGAGGTTAGACTCGCTTTTCCAGACGCTTGTACACACATACATGGAACTGCCTGCCTATGCTAGTCACCAATTAGCAGACCTCTCTCGGTAAGCCAGTGTGGGTACCCGTTAAAACGCAAAGGGTTGTAGGGGCGTATCACGTATCCCTGTCTGAAGTGAACATGGTAGGGGACTCGAAACGGAAACTTTCCATGATGCCACATGGATATCGGATACAGCTCCAGACTAGCTCCCGGTAGAGTTCTCTCTGGCATTGAGCGGTTTGAGCCCGCCTCCTCTTTCCCGATGCCCGGCTTGAGCCTTTCTTGGTGGGTGAAGCGGTACTGCAGGACTTAACCGCCACCAAGCGAGTCTTCTGCCCGGGATGTCACCTATTCAAGCTGGTTGGTAGGAACGGCACCGTTATCCAATATGAGGTCTCTGGCGTCTCAATTCAGCCTTACCTGAGAAACGGAGCGGTTGAGAGACCGTTACCTGTGCTAATCGGGACTCACAACATCAGGTCTCCTCGGTCCTGGGCAGTGCTCGTGTGAACAAGCGTTTTATGAAGTCGATCCTGGTGCAAGACTCCTATGAGCTTGGTAGCCTTCTGAACTACGACCAGAGAGTACCCGATGAGCTTGAAATTCACATTCAGTATATCAGTGTCCTGTCGACCCCTATACACTGCAGCCGACGGGCTACGAATACATGCAGCCACTGCGTCAGTTGCCGCCGATACATCCATCAGCTGCAAGGGGCGCAGCAGTTAATCGATCGATACTTGGGCCGGCAGATGTTCACAGCCTAAGCCCCAAGCTAATGTCTACTATACACTCTTCCTAATTACTCCGTAGCTACCGTTGTCTAACGGAGTAGTGTAAGTTAGTGAACTGACGGGGGTAGCTACTGCGCCTCCGCTTCCGACCCGGCCTCAGGATGGACGCCGTCTGGAGAGCTTCGAGGGGAGGTCACGGAACGGGAAGTCTGGAGCTGCAACGCCGTGGCACGGTCAAAGCAAAGCTGCGCCGGATCGGCGCGTCCCACGTCTCATACGGACCGAGAGATTGCCGCAACCCAGTGGATCAGTCAAATATACAACGGACGCAATGCTTTCGACTTCAGATCGAGATCCCCCTTTCAAGATCTCTCACCAATTTTTCTCCTCGCTGTCAAACTTTGCAAGACGGGCCGGACTGTCCTATTTTAGGAGCATAGAAGCCAAGCAGCTAGCGGCCCCGCTCTTTAACGTTAACGCTCTCTGAGCCAATCACCTGACTCGAAAAACGCCAATCGGGCAGTGCCTCGCGAACTCCGGCCAATCTCAGCCCAGGTCAGATCTTGGCACTCTCAAGGGCCCTCGCGTTGCTGTCCCGTTTCTCTCAGCCGCTAGTTCGCTCGGAGTGGCGCACATTGGTCGAGATACACCGCACCGCCTGACGCGCTTTGGAGACTTTGGGCTTCGCTCGATTTTTCAAAGCCAGTCTTGGCTCGCTTGCGGTTTCTTAGTGCCTACATCCAAAACGGTTGTGGTGCCCTAGTCCTGTTTCGTCCCTAGTGTAGGGCACGCCATATGCATATACCCTGGTATGGCGTGGGTTGTCCCGTTTTGAGGCCGCCATGGCGTTTGGTTGGGCGTCTAGTGCGAAAATGAAGAGTAGGTATTGAATAAAGATGGGTGCTGCCCCTCATCGCTCGTCTTCCCGGTCGTTATCGTGGACCAGCTTCCAGTTTCCGTTCCCATCGTCGTCAAGCCGCCCGATTTGAGGGTACCAAACAAAGCTCACCCAACCCGTTCGACGACACACACACACACACAAAGATCAGTTAAAACAAGGTTTTCACAATGGGCGCGCAAGGACTCATTAGTGTCGGCGTCCCACCGCAGCCCCTCTGGCTCCTCTACATCAAGATCGTCATCCTGGTGCTCTCCCTCATCGTCCTCGCTCTCTCCGGCTATGCGCTGTCCATCTCGGGTCCACATCCTGCCGGCCATCCTGGCGGTCTGAACATCTTCATCGTACGCGCCCCCCATCCGTCCTTGGTTCGCCCCCTGTTATTAGTGTGACAAAAGCCTCTGACCCTGATGTAGGCCATCCTCAGCTTTATCGTCTACGGCGGGGCCCTCTCCCTCGAGCTCTGGGCGGCGCAGTACTTCTACCGCATCGGCGCCCTGCTGGGCTACATCTTCACCATCATCTTCTGGCTCTCCGCCTGGGCCTGGTCCGCCAGCTGGGCGGCCATCTTTCTGAGCGCCGGTGCCTACAGTGACGAGATGGCCTTTGGCGGGGCGATGGCTGGCGCTGCCGCGCTCGGTGCCATTGTCTGGTGAGTAGTAGCAATCCAACAGAGCCCAATGTGTTGTAAGAGAGAGGACAAAACACGAACTAACGTCGTGGTGTGTGTGTGTTCTCATCAAAGGGTCCTCGCCATCGTGCACCTCGCTTTCTTCATCCGCGCCTGCGTCATGGATGCGACGGGTGCCGGCCACGCTGAGCTCGGCCAGATGAAGGCCGGCGAGGTTCCGCCGCAGCAGTACCAGCAGCAGTACCAGCCGGTGCAGCAGCCCTACCCGGCGCAGCAGCAGCCGTATGACGCGCAACAGTATCAGTATCCGGCTCAACAACCCTATGGTCAGCAGCCGTATCACACTCAGTAATGGGATGGCTGCTGTCGGGGAATGAAACTGAACGTTGCATTACCCAAAAGTTGCCCTCGTCAGCCCCCGACCGCCCCCAACACCCGGCGCCGCTTTTGCTCAGGTTCCGTCAGGGGCTGCTCAGGACCGCTCAGGAGAGGATTCGGAAACGGCTTAGGACAAGGCGGTGCTTTGTAAGTCTGTGGAGTCCAACGGAAATCTAGATAGAAACTCTTCGCAAGGTGGTAGGGCGTTTATTTTTTATTTCCCTGGCCGGGTAGTCCAGGGCAAGGAGCTACCGATAAAAGCTTAGTAGATACCCCCTATTTTACCCTCCTAAGTTTTGCTATTGCCTGTTTAACCTTTAGTTTTATAACTATAACGTATCTTATAAGCGAGTGACCCATATAAGCGAATGACCCACTTTCTACGCGACACGACACTTCTACCCTCAACAACACATTTTCTCTACCATTGAGGATGCCCGCTACTTTGAAAGAGGATAGGTTAAACTTAGCTCTCCAAGTTCTTCAAAACGATAAAAATCTAAGCGAACGAGCCGCAGCCAAGATCTATGGGGTCGACCGTAGAACCCTAGCGCGTCGACGCGCCGGAAAGCCTGCACGATGCGACACCACGCCCAACTCGCGCCGGCTTACCGATTCCGAAGAGGAGGCGCTTGTTCGATATATAATTGAGCTCTCCGAGCGAGCTTTTCCGCTCAGGTTATATGGTGTGGAAGATATGGCCAACCAACTTCTACGTATACGTGACGCGCCCCCTGTTGGCAAGCTCTGGGCATATAACTTCGTCCAACGTAAGGAAGGGATCTGAACGTGCTAGGTGCGTAGATACGACTACTAGAGGGCCAAGTGCGAGGATCCAAAGGTCATTGGCGATTGGTTTGCCCTTGTATGGAATGTCAAGGCCAAGTATAGCATCATAGATGACGATATCTATAACTTTGACGAGACTGGGTTTATAATAGGCATTATCTATACGGGTATAGTCGTTACAACCTCTAATAGTAGGAGCAAGGCAAAGCTAGCTTAGCCTGGCAACCGCGAATGGGCGACAGTTATCTAGGGAGTCAATGCCCTCGGCTAGACTATCTCTCCATTTATTATCTTGGCCGCATAGTACCACCTTGCTAACTGGTATACTGAGTGTAACCTCCTAGCCAACTGGCGCATTATAACCACCGATAATGGCTAGACTACTAATGCTATGGGCCTGGATTGGATCAAGCACTTCGACTACTATACGGCGTCCTGGGCAAAGGGCAAGTACCAGCTGTTGATCCTCGATAGCCACGAGAGCTACTACTCTACCGAATTCGAGTTCTATTGCCAGCAGAATAATATTATTATATTCTGTATATCTCCGCATTCCTTGTACCTCCTCTAGCCACTCGATGTCAGCTGCTTTAGGCCGCTGAAGAAGGCGTATGGTCGCTAGATTGAGCACTTGATACGGATGTATATCACCCATATAAGCAAGCTCGAGTTCCTCTGTGCCTTCCGTGAGGCCTTCTTCGCCTCTATGACGGAGAAGAATACCTAGGGTGGCTTTGCAGGTGCTGGCCTTGTGCCGTACGATCCAGAGAGGGTGCTATCCAAGCTAGATATAAGGCTTTATATACCAATATCCCTGAACTTGCAGGCCGGCATACTATAACCTTGGATCTTCCAGACACTATACAACCCTCGAAAAGCAACCTTATAGTTAACACTTATCAAGACTTGCATTGCCAACCATTAAAATAGCTCCCTAACCTCGATGTTGGCTGCTGTAGACCAGCTTGCTAAGAGTACAACGGCGGTGATGTACTATGTGGCTCTCCTTCGTGCAGAGAACTGTGACAAAACCACGGGCAGTCCTGCCTCTGAAAGGGTTCGCCGGTCGAAGGTATCTGCTGGTCGGACTGGAGGTCTCGGTGAAGCCAAAAGGTTCACAACAATGCAAGTCGCAATGTCTGCACAGTAATGTAGGGCTACCTTACTGCTTGTAATTGCTCACTGAGGAAGCTCGCTATCTGAATGAGTGGCAGAATAGTAGAACTATATACAGCTTCCTCCCCTAGGTATCCCGTACCTAGATCTTTGGAACATTTGGAACAATTGTTGTTCTCGTTGTTCCATCTGGAACAACGTTTCTTGGCGTTGTTCCTCAGGAACAATCGTTCTTGGCATTGTTCCTGATTTCCCCGATCCTCATTGGTTCTTTCTGACTCGTAATGATTGGATACGGGCGCCTGCCCGTTGACCATGCAGGTCGGCCCCCACCGGCCTCTGCAGGTTAGTTCATGACAAGAACGCTTCGCTCTGCAAGGCCAACGAGGCACTAAGCAAGCGCCGGAGAGCAAAAAGAACACGCGTGCAGCTTGGAAAATCGCTTGCAGTACATGATGCAAAGGATCAACTGGGCCAGAAGGCCGTGGTTGGGGAGGTGGCGCAAGAAAAGGAGCAGGATAGTGGTGGTGCAGGGGGGGGTCATACGAAGGTTCGGTGCTGTAGTGTGTGCGGCAAGCCTGGCCATAATGCCCGCACTTGCTAGGAGGTTGTAGAAGCATCTGATTCAGCTGTTTCCGATGTAATTATAGTTGGTTCCTAGTATTATTGTAGTATAATCGAGGATAGTTGTTAAAGTTTGGCAGGGGGGTAGGTCATTCGCTTATATGGGTCACTCGCTTATAAGATACATTACCTAATGCTCTTCCCTAAAGACCGGCAACTGCTCCCTGATATCTTTAAATCCCCCGATCGGTTTTTCTTATTCCCTTTGGCATTCTAAGATTCTACTTCCGTAGCTTGCGGCCCGAGATCTTATTAAGTAATACTATAATTAAAGATAGCGTCACGGTCGGTATGGGTGTCGCCCCAGTGTCACGAATTAAGCCAACAGGACAGCTGCAGGTGGGACAACCCGGCGGGTGGTGCAGGACGCACCCGAACTAATCATTTAGGACCAATGGAAAGGAGCTCTAGGGAGCTCTAGAGAGCGGACGAGAGCTCGAGGAACTAAGCCAATCAGCATGAAGGGATGGAAGCTCTCGATGGAGTCAACGGAGCATCAAGCTCTAAGGAGCTCTATAGAGCATACAAGAGCACCCAAAGATGGACAGTATATAGTCACTCGTTCTAGAGGACTCTAGGAGTTCTCCAGTGAGCAATTCAAGCAATAGTTTCCGTCTATTGTGCAGACATTGCGAATAGCATTGTTATGAACCTTTTGGCTTCACCGAGACCTATAGTCCGACCAGCAGTACCTTCGACCGGCGAACCCTTTCAGAGGCAGGACTGCCTGTGGTTTCGTCACAATGCATGCATGATTGGTCAACCTAGTTAGTACCCCACCTTCCATATCTGGGCACATGCCCTATATCCTGTATTTAGATCTTCACATCGGGCACTTGCAGAACTCTTCCTTCTGCAAGTTCAATATTCTTGCAATACAGTCAGTTGCCTACTAGAGCCTTGAGCCTAGCCTGCGACGACAGTCATCATGACAAATAGGTATAACTTATACCTACAAGAACATATAAAGAATAAGTACTTCTAAAAGGTTCCTTTTCTGACAAAGACTATTATCCCAACTGCTATTATATTACTTACCCATCTTAGCTTTAACTCTCTCTGCCCGTTTCTAACTCCTATCTTTGTAAGTACTTAGTTATTGTGACGGTGGAACCCACCGTACCATGGCACAGGCCATTGCTTAGTCATGTGCCCGGCTTCCGGTTCATGCATGCATGATTGGTCAACCTGGTTGGTGCCCCACCTTCCACATCTGGGCATATGCCCCACATCTTATATTTAGACTTCTTCGCACCTTGCAGTCTTTGAGGATTTCTTTCCTCCTGCAAGTTCAATATTCTTGCAATGCAATCAGTTTACCATCAGAGGCTTGACCCTGGCCTTGAACGACGGCCCTGGTGACATCACGGCAGGTTGCTCCTCGGTGTGGCCGAGTGGAGCACGCGCTGCGGCGCGCCTGCGTGAACGCGTATATGAACCACAGAGTCGCAAGGTCGGGGGACTTGCGATGTTAGCATCTTTTTGGGAGGTGCGAGTTAGCCGAGTGGTTCAGGTAGCTCAATTCGTCACAATATTACTATAAGTTCTTAACAATAAGTAGACTATACAGGTCTTCTTTTTAATATACTTTCCAACAAGTTGTTGCTCGGCCAGTAATATAGCAGGCAGGCTTTATTAATTTATTAAGGATGAGCTGCTTAGTCCTGCCGTCCCATTTGATCTCGATAAACCGTTAGCCCTTTGCTGTTATAATTATAGGATCGAACCTAAGCTGCTCCTTGCTTATCTAGAGGAACCCTAGGATTACAGATACGAACCTGTTATGAATTAACCTATAGAGGCCGGTAGGGCCGACCTACATGGCCTGCGGGGCGGTGCCCGCGTCCAATCACTTTGGTCCCGGACGGACCAATCAAAAGAGGATCACGCTCGGCATAAGAGAGGCCTGGTGATCCAATTATACGGCTCACAGAGGATCACTAGTGATCCAGAGTGTAAGGGATCACCAGAGACGGTCAATGATCCATGGGAAACCCGTAGTATATAGGATAGCTAGTCACTCGTTCTGGTGGACTCAGGAAGTTCACCAGTGAGCAATATTACAACAATAGCCTTCACCTATTGTGCATACATTGCGTATAGCATTGTTGTGAACCTTTTGGCTTCACCGAACCTCCCCATTGTCAAGGTACCTTCAGTTGTCCCTTTCAGAGGATTGGGGCAAGAGATTCGTCACAGAACCGCAGCCTATTTTTGTTGTAAGCAGGTGAGGAGCCAGGTCCTCCCGTAGACAGCGAACTTAATTGTTCTGTTAATGCTATATAGAGCTTGTGTGTGAAGAGTGAAGGGTGTAGTGTCGAGTTCTTGAGTTCGCTGGGTACCTTAGATCAAACCGTCGAGTGAGTGGAGAGGTTCCGAGTGATTTCGATGTGAGAGTTAGGGTATCGTGCGAGGGAAGCTGAAGGCGTGGTTCAACGGGAACGAGGAAGAGCGGTTTAGTAGCCCTTCTATTAGAGCGGCCGTCTGATAGCACTATAAGGTATGGCAGAGTGTGATGATCAAAGAGTCGCTATGTTTTACGCTTGTGACAAAGGATGCGGTTGTATCTTCTGTGTTCCTAACCCTTTCATGTTATGAGCTACAAACCACTCGGCCTTTGTTTCTCCAACTCATCCTAAATAAAACCAAACACCCGTTAGGTCGTTGGTTCCCCTCATTTATCCGTGTGGATACAGCTCGCCGGAGGACAGATGGTTGTCGAGAGCATTGTCCAGCGCGGCACTGCGTAGGAGTAGCCGGGGTGATATCACATCCTGAACAAGACCGAATTTGGTGAGCCGCGAGGGCTGCCGGAGCCCCTGATTCGGAATTGGGCAGTGGGCAAGGTTCCTGGGTTTCTATATAGCCCTAGCGGAGTCAGGTACTGCTGTAACTTTTAAGGCATTGGTGCCAATAACTCGTTGACTGCGGAGTAAGCCATAGAGTCAAGCGCGGGGTTATGTTCCCAGAACTGCTTCTTTGTTCATCTAAGCCCCAAGATGGCCCCTAAATGCCGCGAACGGGTCATCCCATTGTGAAGCTGACAAAGAAAGAGAAGCAACAGGAACAACAAAATACCTGGGTAGGATTACATCACCATTGTTAAGCCTTAGTGACCTTGAAATGCATCGGTATTATACACTCGCCAAGGGTGACGGCATCCGAAGACCAATGCCTGCTCTCCGTGTTGGAGACGCGCAACGCGGTCGCAATACTGGTTTAGTCAACATTGGCCAACGACAACTGCGTCTGACAAGTTGACAACTGCATCTGACAACTTTGCAACACCAGCTCTGTAACCGTTTTAACCATCACAACATCACAATGAGCGCCGCTGTAAAGCTAGCGACCCGACCGCTAGGCAAGAACGGGCCCCTCGTACCGAGCATAGGGCTCGGCCTAATGAGCTTGAGCAGCGCGCACGGCATGCCCAAGCCCGATGCCGAGCGTCTTGTGTTCCTCGACAAGGCGTACGAGATAGGGGAGACCTTCTGGGACACGGGTACGTAGAGCTCTCCCTGTTGCAATTTTTATTCGATAGTGTATTGTTGATCATGCTTGACGGAAATGGCCTTCAGCCGACATGTACCACGACTTGGAAGATTTGCTGGGCAAGTGGTTCGCGGCCAACCCGGACAAGCGCGGCTAGGCGCGTTATACGTGGATCTATACTACCTATACCGGCTCGACAAGGTGACGCCGGTCGAGAAGACCATGGCGGCGCTAGCCAAGCTCAAGCGGGTGGGCAAGATCTAGCACATCCGGTTGAGCAAGTATAGCGTATCGGCGCTATAGCGGGCATACACCATCGAGCCGGTGGCGTACGTATAGATAGAGTATAGCGCCTTTAGCCTAGATATCGAGGCGCCCGAGCATACGCTGCTATTAACGTACCGCGAGCTGGGCATCGCCGTAGTAGCCTATAGCCCGCTAGGCAAGGGCATGCTAGGTAGCGCCATCCGCTCCGTATCGGACGTATCTAAGCCGGGCAATATACGCACCGCCTTTGCGCCCCGCTTCTCGCCACAAAACCTCGAGGCCAACCTAGCGCTAGTCAACAAGCTGGCCGAGATTGCCAGCTATAAGGGCGTTACTATAGTATAGCTGGCCCTAGCCTAGCTGCTAGCCTACGGCGACGATATCTTCCCGATCCCCGGCATGCGGAATCCTAAGAGGCTAGCCGAGAACCTCGGCGCCCTATAGATAGTGCTGACAGCCGAGGAAGAAAAGGCCATTCGGCTGCTGGCAGACAAGGTGGCCAGAGGGAGGGAGGGTGCCATTCTTGACCGACTACTACTTTGGTGACTTGCCGCCGCTGGAGGCTTAGGGTTATATGATGGGCTTAGACTTTCCAATCTCTATTGTGTTCCTGAGATTGCTGCAAATACAAGATCCTATCAGCTTATACTATAGAAGACTGCGTTGCCTCTCGAGCATTGGTGCGCTACACATAGCGTCGTATATATTCCCTGTATGGTATTGACCCTCTCACTACATGTATCAACCCCTTTCCGGGTGGAACTCCCTCTTGGCGCTCCCCCAGGCTGTGCAGGGCATCCGACCATGAATCTCGGCCTCTTGCGGCTTGATGAACAACGACTCGGTTGCCTCGCGATAGGGTTTGTAGTACTCCTTTTTCACTTGCACCTTATCACGGACTCGGCCCCGGCGTCGGCAGGATCTCTGGAATTCTCGCCCCTAGACCTAAGCGATCTGAGCCATTTCCGAGATACGGCGAGCAACTTCTTAGCGTAGGAGGACAGGCTCGATATTCTCTTTAACAACGTAGGCGTCATAGTATCGTTATCAACCGAGCCGCCACCTAAGACAGCCCAAGGCTATAAGCTAGCCCTCGGCGTCAATTATATCGAGACCCTACTCTTTATTAAGCTACTGACGGCCGTACTCGCCACCACCGCGAAGTCTAGGACGGGCCCGGGTATAGTACGCGTCGTATGGCTCTCGTCGTTCGCGCTGGAGCTATTTGCCCAGCCCAACGTCGGCGTCGCGCTCGACAACCTCGACTACCACGTCCCCAAGCCCGGGCAGGAGCGGTACGGCATCAGCAAGGTGGGCGTCTGGGCGCTGGCCGTGGAGTATGCGAGACGGCATCGCAACGACGGCATTGTTAGCGTTGCGATCAACCCGGGCAACCCGACCTCCGAGTTGCCGCGCCACCAGGGCGTCGTGCTCAAAACCGTGGCCCGGCTGGTTGGGTACCGCCCTTGCTGGGGGCTTATAGTACCGCGTCGGCGCGCCTTTCCGGGCATGAGCATCTTGCGCATTGGTACTGTTGACGACCTCACGCTGCACGAGACCAAGCTCCGGCCGCGGGTCGAACTATTTACCAAGGACCGTGTCGCTTGGTTTAGTGATATGGAGGGGGCGAGTAAGTTTGAGGGTCAGGGCATGTATAAACTGGAACTGTTCTGTTCTGTGGGCTTTGAGGAGGCGTCGCTACGGAAGGCGCGGTGCGCTAGCTTGAGTATAGCATACATCCTTGGTCTATACAGGTACGTATATATTTAAATGCATGTATGCTTCTTCCCCCGCTTGGAACCTCCGGGGACATTGCAGCATATTGACTGTTCAGACAGAGCAGGCAAGCAAGCTACTCCTGTAACGTACCCTTATCTTCTTCTTCCATGCCCGTCGCTTCTGCTAGCTGGTGTCCCTTCGACTGGTACGTTAGAGGATTGTGACGCCGGCGTCGGCGTCAAAGCAACCGAGCGGGAGGAGGCGTCGGCCGGGTGATTTCTCGGTCTCTCAGCAACAGCCCGGCGCGAGGAAGAAATAGAATTAGAGCTCGGGGCCGCCATCCTACCGATCCGGTGGGTTAGCGACTCTCCAGTGAGATTTATCGCGGGCTGGTGGTACGAGAACGGAAGGCACTGGAGGGGCGAACTGGGAACGCGCCGCAGTTGATGCCGGCGTTTGAACTCACCTTGGGACCGAACTGGACGGTCTGTCGCTTCTGCTGGTTGATATCCGTTCGACTACGGCGGCGCTGGCGCGCCCCGATGATGCCGAGGCTGTTCCACTTTGTGCTGACCGAGAGAGATCAGATCCTCCGGACCTCCCTCCGACGGCGTTGGTGCGCCCTGCAGACGTCCTGGCAGTGCTCTGTGCTGGCCGAACTGGCAGTGGCGCAGATCCTCCCTGTCTCTCTCCGCCGACGTTGGCGCGGCCGGCAGATGCCGTGCCAGTGCCCTGTGCTGACCGACCTGAGGTGGCTCGTCCGGCACTAGTGGTTGCGGGTTCGAGGTCCCGAATGGACCGCGGGCGCAACGCCGCCTCGCGATCGTTGATCTCCTTCTCGGTGAACCTTCTGCCGCCGCGGTAGTCCCTTTGACAGTCCTGAAGCCACCTTACGAAGCTATAACGAGGCTTGCAGGTCTCCGCAGGGAGGAGTCTCTCGCAGCGAGCGAGTTCGGCGATCAGTTCGTCGCTGGATGGGTGAGACCTTCGCGACTGGGCACGCTTGAAGTCGTAGGTTCGAGCACTGATATGGAGCGTAATGGCGAGGAGTATGCGGTGAATGGTGGTTTCCGCCGAGGCGACGCCGGCCTGGCGGCGGAACTCGACTGTACCCAGCACCTCCACTGGTACGGGTTCGAAATTGTGAGAGCCGTACCGGCTGCCATCCTCGTCCAGCTCCGGGATTCCCATCATCCTCTGTACAAAGATCTCCCGCCCTTTATCTGCTGTGGCGTCGATCTTCTTGAAGAGAGGTCCCCAGCTATCCTGGCCGACCTTGGAGTACTCCAAACCCGCGTATAGTTCATAGTTTGGACGTGCATATTTGGTCTTCTTACGGTCTACCGGCAGAAGATCCAGCAGTGCCGTTTCCCAAAAGTAGGCGCCTTTTGCAACGTTAGCAAGTTCACCTTCCGTATACTTGCTCGACCTATCTGGCCCGGGCGTGATATGCACGTGGCAGGAGGTGTGTTCCGTGGTCCAGAAATTGAACTGCTGGCCGACAGCCTCAAACACCTGCTCAATTTCCTGTTGCCAATGCTTATTGATAGACATTGGCGGCGAGATCATCTCGATGCCCCCTGCGCGGTCTATTAGTCGGACTGTTCGCAAAGAGAAAATACTACTTAGTACGTACACCATTTGCGGGGATCAGGAGGTGCTGTCAGCTCATGTTGGCGCAGGCTGAGGTCGAGTTCGCACCTCCAGCCACTATCCGGGCCTAACTCCTGCTCTATAAGAGCCTTGAGGGCGAAGCATACACGTAATCGCTGACGTACCGCGAGTCTGTCGTTTGAATCATTGGGCAGATCTTCTTGCCACTCTTGGAAGTAATCAGGTAGGTGTTCCTTCTTTAGTCGCTTGCGCCGAATATTCTCTTCGAAACTAGGTTTGAGTCTAACGAAGATTTCGATTTCGACTCCAAACGTAGGCGCCAGACGCGGAGGAGCAGCCCTGCTGCGGCTCATGCTCGCGGACAGTATTGGTGGGTATCAACGGGACACCGAGCTGATTATTATTGCGCGTTCAAGCAGTCAACGGGAGCACCGAGTCTTCTTCAACAACCGGTGTCGAAGAAGGCGAGGAGAATTCGAATGGAAGTCTCGGTCCAGCGAGACGGGGGTTGTCGACTGTGTGCGGCTGCCTACTTACTGGGAGCACCTTCGTACGATGGAGAAGGGCACCTTTTATACGAGTGGTATGTTGCACAATGCGTATGTACCATGCTAGAATATCTATATCGAGACGCAACCGGCCGCCAACACCACGGCTGAGCTGTCCCAGGCCTATGCTATAAGGAGCGGTTACCGCCAATGGCCAAGCATTGTGGCCATTCCTCAGCAGAAGGATTAGGAAGAATGGACACCATCAATACTACCGGCGTTGAAAGCTTCGAAAGTCTGAGGGCGGCCGGCCACCGGGTCGCTGGTCAGGCAAGAGATTTGCCTCCACTGCTCCGTACAGCTACCTCAATGCTAAGCAGTCTTCCCGGACTAGTTCTTAGGAGGCTGGCTGGGTTTCAAAGCAAGGCTCTCATGGCGCTGTCCGGACGAGACCCAAACTGACTAGAGTCCTCCAGCTGTTCTTGCTACGGACAGGACCCCGCAGGCAGCCTTGAATTCGATTCTGTACGGCCAGAACATTCATGGGTCGCCGTCCACGCCCAGATCTTTCCATCAATGTGGACAAATTAAAGTCTAACGTACTCCGCCGCCCTAGGTGCTGACTATTATCCGTCGTGAAACTCGGTGGCCTGGTCCGAACTTGGTGTATTAATCCGGTCAAGCAATTGGAGCCTGCGCCGTAGGTCGTTAAAAAGGGTCCGGTATAAAAAGGGTCCGGTATAAAAGGGTCCGGTAAACGCCAAGCTCAACGGGCTGGGCGGGCCGGCACGTTGGGTCGGGAGGAAGCTGGACAGCAAATCACATCAGAGCGACGGAAAAAAAGGTTGGCCAAGAGGAAGGGACGACTTTCTGCCTACGAATAGCACGAGCGGGCGGGTCGTCCGTCATAGAAAAAGTGGGGTTGTTCTGGGTGTGAGTTGTTGGATTTACACCTCCGCCGGGGTTAGTATTGCTAGCGCGCAGTGAATTGGCAGGGCGGCTGACAAGGGCCTGGCAACCCCTCACATGCGCTTCAACTCGAAACAGCTCCAGAGCCGGGACATCCTGTACACGGTGGAGCCCGAGATCATCCTGGACGAGCAGGGCTGCGAGCTGGTGCCTCGTCTCACCACGATTCCGGCGTCCAACAACCGCCTGAACTCCACCCGGAGGCTCATCGACCACGGAGTAGATGTACGTAAGTCGGTGGTCGAGCTATTGTAGGATGGTGCGGCTGGGACCTGCTATATCAGGCAGCTGTCGAGATACGACGAGCGTATAGGGAGTTCAAGGTATGCCCTAGACTGAGCCTTTCCGATAAGGGAAAGGTCCTACTGCTAGTGGTGGTAGTAACTCGTACTAACTTTCTTCTTCTGCCTTCTAGGCCCGATAGTATCGAGCTGCGCACTACCTACGCCATCTTGTCTGCTATGAAGGGCCTAATCGGCCACCGGTTCCTCGCTATCGGCGCAGACCCCGAGGGTGTTCGGTATTTGACGTTTGTATCGTCCCTTACCTCGGTCCTCCGCCTCCCTATACAGCATGCCGTACCCCTTAGCTCTACTTCCAGCCTCTCCGGGAATACCATTCTCAGGCTCGCCGCCGCTCAGCTGATTGCCGCAGCCATCGCCGGGGCCTTGTTTGGCCATCGAATCCCAGGCCATATAGAAACAGATCCAGGTCACCTTCGTGGCGGATACTATCAGTAGTAGTAGCTTAGATGAAGCGCCACGTTCTGATCTTCCCAGCTCCTGGATTCGGCTGCCTCTATATGCGGAAGTAAGCCAGCTACTGCCAGCGGATATTGCTGTTTTTGTCAGCTTCTCCAGCCAAGAATCAGCCAACGAGCAGACGCTTCTCTCGGCGCTGCCGCCTTACTGTCGCGGGGAGACCGTCGGCTGGTATCGAGCGTCATGCGTGGCCAACGTAGGCGCCATCATCAGCGTCGGCTACATCACCCAGTCGGCGCGCCAGCTCGACCTCACAGTGGCGAATATACACCTTACGCACCTGTCCGAGGAGGACTTCCACCAGATGTTCGCCGAGGCCATAGAAGCCGGATTCCCGGACTCACCCGACAGGCCCGAGACCGAGTTCTCCACGGGGCTGCTCGAGTAGTCAAGAGCGCCTTTGCGGCACAGCTGTGCAGGATCCTGTAGATGTTGACGGGCGACAACAATATAATAAATATATATAGTATCAATCTAGGGCTCGACTCGCTTATCTCGGTCGATATCCGGTTGTAGTTCCTTAAGAACCTATAGGTTAGCATCCCTATGCTTAAGATCATAGCCAACGACGTATAGACATATTAGGGCTCGTTAAGGCTACCGCCGAAGGGATCCCCACCGAGCTAATCCCCGAGGTCCAGGCCAATACAAAGGGGAGATAATAGCGGCTCCGAGACGAATAGTAATACTAACGCAGTCGCTACACCATCGAGCAGCACGTTATTAAGCAGATAGGCACCCGAGCCCGACACGGTAGCGACTTTACCCGGTAGCACTACTCTACTAGCCCAGGGGGGTATTCCCGGCATCGACTAGGAGGCCGAGGCCTGTCTAGCGCCAGAGTCGTTATCGCATCCGGCAGTCGAATCTAACTAATTTCCATGGTCCGAGGCTTCTTGCTGCTGTCTCACGAATCCCCAAACAGACCATTGAGACGAATGATGACCACCAGAGGCTCTGTGTAAGGAGCGCACGCGCTAACTCGCGTTAGTACGTGCGCGACAGATGGAACTGGTTTGATGGTACTGTTTTGTGGTGTTGATGGATAGCATGTAGTACTACTTCCCCTGACATACGCTGCCCTTGCTGAGTTTGTCGGCCAGGATCGGTTGCGGGATTAGGAAGGCCGGCACACGGTTATTCACTAGGCCTATCTTATATAGATAGCTGGGTGCCGAATAATATTAAAGGTATTATAATACTAGCTTAATATAACTTTATATCTGAAAGTACCTGATTCCCCGGCTCAATCGTCAACCCACGACCAGATGTCACTGGCCCAGATCTGCAAGTCCTCAACATTGACCGTAATATTACCCTCCCCCGGACCCGGATCCCGGAGAAACAGCAGCCTGAACTCGTAAGTCAAGGGTGCCCCAGTGACGTGGTAAGATACGGGATCTGTCGTCTTGTCGCGGCTGATAACCACGCTCTGCCGACAGACCGGCTGAAGCTGAGCGACCCGTCCTCTCGTCATCCGTCTAGCCCCCTCTGGGATCTCCTCTACCCATTTCTCCACGACGATCAATTCCAGCTTTCGATCGAACTTGAGGAGCACAATAATCTTGACCTCGTGGTCGGATGCGGTAAACCACCATCCCAGATCGACACGCAGCTGGTCCAACGATCGCGAATGCCCTCCCTCGACAACCAAGGTCGGCCATCGGTCGGCGGCGCACCGGGCGCCAGGACCACCGGTCGAATCGCCTTCTCCGTATGACAGACGCCCACTAGGTTCGAGAGGGTAGGTCGGGAATGTGGCCCTGCCCATGGAGTGCCAGTCACGGCATGGACCAAGTCGAACCAGCCGAGAGAAAAACGCGCCATCATAAAAGTTTAGATGGAGACGCTCATGTAGTGCAGTGTTGGTGGCGATGATGAGGAGCTGGCGATCGGGGTAGTACCGCCGGAAGCGGAACTTCCGTCTGCATCGTTCCCTTTCTTCGTCGATCCTGACCGCGTCGGTCGGAGATACATCTGAGGAATCTTAGTAGCTCGACGCAAATGTACGAAACACTAACAGAACGTGAGGGGGCCGGGTGGGCGTACGTGTGAAGTAAAGGGCATCTCCGGGGATGCTGTTCTCGCTATAGATCAAATCAAAGAGGCTTTTCAGCGATCGCAGCTGCCGAAAGCCTACAGTATGCGTTTTGTCATTTTTGTGTCGAAGCCGGAGGTGATGGGTCTGATGCGTTGGCTGCCATCGTGATGGTTGAGGGAACTACAAGAAAGGTAAAGAGTGCACAAACAACATGTCAGATTGAGGAACCCGAGTAGAGCGTGGAAGCTTATTACCATATAAATGAGGTGCAGTGGTTGAACGCTCAAGTACCCGACGTCATACGACAGCACGAGCCCTTAACCAGCTTACCTAAGGCCTACTAATTCACCACCATTCATCAATCCCGAATATTAGGATGAGTGCGAGCGAAGTCCGCGTAGGATTTGAACTTGTGCTGACTCGTCCATACTATGATTCCCGAAGGACTTGAATTCATGCCGATCACTTACCATTGGAGCCTGGGGAAGCCCCGAAGCAGCGCCGCTCGTACTCAGTGAGCCAGCATTCAGGCAAGATCAAGTCCAAGGCTGGCATTACAAAGGCGAGAAGCTCGCGAGACTCATCGATGACCCGTCCCTGGCTCGATGGCCGGTTGTTGATTCCTATATAGCAGGTAAGTGTATGCACCTAGTGATAGTGGCACACAAAGTGTCAAAGATGCTGAGCCTACATCCTTAGCCGATCGGACCGGAGACGGCACTTGGCGGGCTGGGTTCACCGCCATACCCGATGTCTGCACTCTGCACCAAACACGACGCAGGTTCGGGTAGCTTCTACGTGTACACAGCGTGCAAATGCCGTGGTAACTCCGCGCGCCCTTCGGATGCCATCCTTCCCTTGGAGTCATCGTGCGTCCGTTGTCGGGAGGGCGATGTGGAGGCTTTTCCCCACATCCCGCTGCTTTCCGTGCGGTCTGGAACTCTGCATCTATGGATCTTTACCCTACACGGGTTCCATAGCCGAGATGGCAGTGTTGGAAAGGCAGATCATATCTGGGTAAATATAGAGGTCGTGGGAAGATAAGAGGCTGCACTGGGAGGCTGGAGTGAGTCGAGAGCCTATAAGAAGTCTGGGACCTTGGGTTCATCGTCCGGTCACACTGATTCCTCGTGCATCTTCCCCGTTTCTATCATGGCAACCATGACGGAACATTCGCGCGTCTCAACAGACATCGCACTGTCGAGAATCCCCTCTCACGGCCAAGGTCCCGATGTGAACACTAGCAAACGCCCCGAGGGAACGCATCGAGTCGGCCATGGTATCTCGACCTCCTCCATAGAGCCCCCGTCCGATGCCGCCACCGTCGAAGATATCCCGCCCGACGGCGGTTACGGCTGGGTAGTGACCTTCTGCGTCTTCATGATCAACGCCAACACCTGGGGCGTGAACTCGTCCTACGGCGTCTTCCTCGACCGCTACGTGACGCGGGACATCTTCCGCGACGCCACCAAGTTCGAGTACGCCATGATCGGAGGGCTGTCCATCTCCCAGGCGCTGATGATCTCGCCCCTGATTGCGACCCTGCAGAAGCGCATCGGCGCGAGATTCACCATGCTGCTCGGGGCGGCCATTGTGTTCGCCGGCTTGTTCTCCGCCTCGGCCTCGACCAAGATATGGCACCTCTTCCTGTCGTTTTCCTTCTGCTTCGGCTGGGGGATGGGGTTGATCTACATCCCGGCCATGTCCCTTCTCCCGCCGTGGTTTTCCTCCCATCGCAGCCTGGCCGTCGGCTTTGCCACCTCCGGCGCCGGTCTCGGCGGTCTCGCCTACAGCCTCCTGGCCGGCCATCTGATCGAGGTCTCCGGGATCGCGTGGACATGGCGCATCCTGAGCTTCACCGCGCTCGCCTGCAACGCCATCTGTGTGCTCCTCTGCCGCGAACGACCCACCTCCTCCTCTTCTTCCCGCAACACCAATGGCAACCGCTACGCCTTCAGCCTGCGCGACTTCCTGCGCATCCAGATCTTCTTAGTGCTGTGCTGGGGCTTCCTGACCGAGTTCGGCTACGTCGCGCTGTGGTACAGCCTGCCCAGCTACGCGACCTCGGTCGGGCTCAGCCCGACACAGGGGTCTATCGTGCAGGCGTTGCTGAGCCTGGGGTTGGGGCTGGGCCGCCCCGTCGTGGGCTACTACAGCGACCGGGTCGGGCGCATCAACATGGCGCTGTGCATGACGATGCTGTGCGGCATCCTGTGTCTGACGCTCTGGATCCTGGCCCGCAGCTATGCCGGGCTGCTGGCGTTTGCCGCCATCGCGGGCGTCATGTCGGGCACCTTCTGGAGCACCGTCAACCCTATTCTGGCGGAGGTTGTGGGCATTTCCCAGGCGGGCAGCACGTTTGGGGCCATCTGCTTTGCGCTGGTGCTGCCGACGAGTTTTGGCGAGGCGATTGCCCTGCAGTTGGTCAAAGGGGAGGGCATACATCAGTTCCTGCCGTCGCAGATCTTTGTCGGATTCATGTTCCTTGCCGGCGCACTGTTCTTGTGGTGTCTGAGGACTTGGAAGATTTCTGAGATTGAGAGGAAGGCGGAGGATGAGCAGAGGTCGGTGTTGACGGATATGGAGGTCGCGGGGACGGCGGCGATTAGGGGCGTGAGGAGCTCTTTCTGGTTGACGCCGAAGAGGTTGTTCATGCCGCGGCGGGTTTGAGGACAGGTAAAATGCATACCAATGATGCGAAAGGGCGCACGAAGAAAGGCGCAATCCCCCATGACAGTTGAACATTGGTTCTATTACAATAAACGCGGAACTGAGTTAAGACGGTGTATTAACAATCACCGGGCAGGTACTCAATATTTTGATTCAATCTCGTGCCCGGTCCTGGGTGTTCCACCGTTTCTAGCCCTCCTGGCTCCTTTGCTGTCGAGCAAGCCTCCATCCTACCTATTGAGAAAGTGGTTCGCACCTTCGATTGCCAGGACCCTGCTGCATGCAGCATTACCTGCCGGAGCCTGATATATGAGTCTGCAGGAGATATTCCTCGATTTCGACACTTCCACCCTTTCAGGTTCCTCAGTCTCGCCTTTCCAATTGCCTCCCTTCTACATTCAGTTACCTGCATGGACTGCGAAGCCAATACCTTTGCTGTCTCGCACTCAGGGACGTCTCTTATTTTCGGATGCTCCACCACTTTTCCTTCACCCATCCAATACTTCCTATCTTTGCTTCAGAAATTGAAGCTCCTGGTTTTCCTCGGGATTGTTAATCCTCATCATCCCAACTGGTTGCTCCCATTCTATCCGATTCTGAGCCTGATCAACCATCTCAGACTCTCAGCATTTCAGTTACCCTTATCCTTTCCCTATCGCACGGGCACTAGATCGTCTTCAAGTTTGGAACGAACCCTACACCTCTAAATCCTGCCGAATCTCGTCTCACCAGTTTCTTCGACCAGGCATGGCATTTCTCTGACAGCAACAATCAGCCACATTCTCATTCCGGCTCAGGGCTACAACAACGATACATTGTAAAGTCCTCCTCGCTCACTTCCAACCTCCCGTCAACTTTCTGAGTTCTTAGCCTCCAGTGACCGGCCAATTCCTCTATTTCCGCCTCGCAAGCATCTACCTTCTCCGTTCTTGCCGCCACATTCCATCATTGGTATTCTTCTCTCCCGCTTGGTCCTGGCTAAATGTTGACGGTCTTCCACTTTCCACCAAACGATAAACAGTCCTTTTCTTCCACGAACAACGGAGTCAGCTGAAGGGTTTTTGCAGCCTTCAACCAGAACAGAGCCATACTTTGCGAGTCTTCCCCTACCGCTGCTACCATTTCTCTCGTCTCATATGCAATATTTCCAGTCTGGTTCACGCTTTCTAATACGAAAACATCTCAACACTTCCCGACCGACCAAACTCATTGCTTTTTCTCTTTAACATACACGGTGACACATTAGGTTGGATCGAAGGATCCTTCGATTTCAGTCCCAACCGAGTCATACCATTGCAGTTCCTTTCATTATTCGTTTCATTACCAGTTTTCTGCCTTCTTTGGCATCATTCCAGGCATCTACGCTCCAGTTTACGCCTCCTACAATAACCATCTCGACAGTCTTCAACCGACTCAACATTAGCAGGAAAACGAACGACGAGATGAACTCATACCCTCGAACGAACCTGGAACAGTAGGCTCTTTCAATCTTGAGCTGAAGAAGCCACTTCCGTCTGTTTGCCGTCCGATCACAACAACCAGCAACTCCGTATCCGGTTTGTCTCCCTTGCAAAACCGGCTCTTATCCTAGGTCGCATCTGCACAGCAGAGGAATCTCCCGTCACGGAGACACTTAAGGTACGAACAATCTTCTATTCTCCAGTTATCCGGTCCTCGCTGTTCTACGATGGTTGGGTGGTGAAAGCCTGCTTCAGTTCTCTTTCGTACTTCTTCTCGTCTGCGACTTCACTTGTGGGCATCTTAAAACGGTGTCTCTACATTGATTCCTGCGCACCAACTCGAGTCTTGTGTTCTGCACCAACCCTTCCCGTGATCTCTTCATCACTCGTGATCCATCTCTTCCTGTTCTTTTGACTGCTCCTACTCAGGCAATCCTCCCTCATAGGTCCATAACTATCTTACCGCCTTATTGGGTTGGTTAATCTTTTCCGTCTCCTCTTCAGTCTTCGACTTCCACTTGATCGCCCTTCGTACCACTAATGATTACCATGCTCATACTCCTCTTGCTCGCTTGAATCTCCATCATTTTGCTTTGTAATGTAACCATGCTTAAGTCCGCGTCACTCGTACATGATGCCTCTCAGACCCCTTAACTTACGATACCAGGACGCTTCTCACTTCAGGATGATCTAGCCTTGCTACTCGGTCAAGCTGCTGAGTTCCTCATTCTCCAATCAAGATGTCCGGAGATCCAGAGGCCGGCGCAGATGAGCCTTGTGGCGGAGTTGTAAAGGCTTGTCACCCACAGGGCGCCTTGCCGAACGCCGAGGGGAACATTGACGGCCATATGGTAGACGACAAGACTAATAAAGGAAAGGAAAACAATAGTAACGCTCAGGGGATGCCCGTGAGTCGGCCAACAGAGGCAGAGACGGCGCTCGTCAAGATCGAGAAGGAATCGTCTGCCGGATCTCAGGAAGCGAAATGCCTTCCTGAACACCAAGACGTAACGACTCCACAAGCGGACGACAAAAAGGAGTCGCATTTGATCCCACCGAGCGAAAACGATCGGACGCGTGATCCAGAGGCAATTCTAGACAAACTAGCAGTTCTCCGCATCAAACGGCAACGTCTCCAGAACTACCCGACTAAGTTAGATGAGATCAACCGAGAAATCAATCAGCTAGAGCAGAGCCTGCCGCCGTCATTGAGGACCGTTCCCACGATGTCGAGTGCCACCACGATTGGGATAAAGTGGGGACTTACTCCACCGCCCAAGGAGACTGCTAAGAAGAAAGCACGAAAGGGTAAAGGACCTTCAGCAATGAGGGGTAGAAGGAGCCGGGAGGCACAAGAGAGCACTCAGATCATTGTTGAGCTGCTACGAAACCACAATCATGTTGAAGCAGGGCGAGACATGGCTGATATGCTTGTTCTCTCCAGTTTCAGTGCCTCCACAGTCAAGGACCAGCGAAGGCACTTCCAAGAGCTAGTCTCCAAGGAGGCTACCGTGGACCCTAGGAAGGTTCGAGGGGATACGGTGATGCTAGGAAAAGCTCGAGTTGCACTAAAGGGAAGATGGTCTGTTTTGGGAGAGAAGTACCTGATCAAGGGTATGAGAACTCCGCTCTTCGGGTATCAATTCGTTGCCGCCGGATGGATGGTAGGGCGAGAGAAGTCTCACAAGGCTCCCAACGGTGGCATCTTGGCGGATTCCATGGGCTTGGGCAAGACCATTGAAACCTTGGCATGTATTGCCGGTAATCCTCCGTCGAAGGAGGATCTGGGCGAGGGTATGCGTACCACGCTGGTGGTAGTGCCAGCAAATGCGGTCGCCCAATGGATCAGTGAGGTTTGGAACCAATGCGATGGAGTTACGCCATCGCATTACAAGAGGGCAGACCCGATGACTCAGTGCACTCGCGGTTATGCGGATATCTGGTAAGTCGCTGCAAGATCTTGAGACATACCCATGAAGCATACGCTGATGTGATATAACAGGGTAACTAGTTACCATGAGGTCGTGAACCATTACCTCCGATGACCAGATCAGGAGGCTTGAGAACAACAAAGATATGAACGCAGAGGACTGTGAAAAGCGCAGACCGGATTATCTCGGACCTCTGTTCCATATGAAGTTCTACCGCGTAGTTCTTGATGAGGCGAGCACTATCAAGAATTTCTCCTCTCGGAGTAAGTGGCATACCTATATATGGCGCAAACGGCAATACCTTATGCACATGTACTCACAATGTGAATCAAGCTACCAAGGCATGTATCCGACTTGATGCCAAGTATCGCTGGGCTCTGAGTGGGACTCCGGTTCAGAACTCGCTGACGGGTACGGGCTGAGAAGAGGCAAATCCCTAATTCGAGCGCTAACCCGTGTCACAGAGATATTCCCCTACCTGAATTTCTTGAGGGCTCCGAACTCATCGTCTCGCAGAGCATTTCGCAAGACCTATCTCGCTCCCGGCAAGGTATGAAGTCGATGCCCAGGACTAGGGTTCATGTTGTAGGACTAATGTAATCCTCAGAAGCAGGCTGACGACGGAGAGACGCTCGCGTCGCTTCTCAAGGATATTGTGCTCAAAAGGTAGGTCTACTGGTGTTACCAGCCCAGGCGTCACCTTGCTAACTAAGGCATTATAGGAGCATGAGTACAAGCTTCCTCGGACACGCGCTTTTCCAGTTACCCGAGCCTCATTCTCTCAACCCCATTATGGTAGACCTTTCAAGGGAGGAGACCCTTATCCACAGGTACTACCCCAGTCGAGAGTAAAGGACCAGGCACAGCGTCTGACATGCCACAGGACGGTTGAATCTATAATTCGGAAGCGTCTCGTGAAATCCCTGAAGAGCGCCAAGAAACAGGGGCAATCGGAGGATGAGGATGACATCCAGGAAAACGACACGAGCGATGCAAGGGCTGGCTGATCTATGTGGTCAGACTCCGTCAAGCCGTTTCTCATCCCTTTCTCCTCGAGAACGTCATCAAGAAAGACTTCGAACCCGAAGATATCAAATCCCTTATCACAGAGCTCTCGAGAATCCAAAACAACAATCCTTTATCAACCAGATTGGACTCTGGTGCGAAGAGCGACTTAAGGTGGAAGACACGCAAATGGTGAGCGGGCACACCACCCATGAAGGACTGCTCGCCACGTCTGGCATGATTCCACAACTGGAACGCATGACGAAGCATGACAGGGGCAAGGTGCGAGATCTCTGCCGATGATGTGGCGCCATTCCCAATGACCCCTTTCGACCCAAGGTATGCTAATCAGACTCAATACATGGCCCCTATTTGTTCCGCTGTGTCTCTCTTCCTGAACTGACGGTACTTCTAGTGCTGACACATGTTCTGTCGTGGCTGTATTGAGAAAGAAGCCACAGCAAGCAAGCAAGAGCATGAGTGTCTGGAATGTAACAAGCTCATAACCAACGTTCGAAATTCCATGCAGCAGAATGCCGAAAAGCGAGAGTCCCGGCGTGGGCCTTCCGCAACAAAGCCTCGACGCCGGGGTGACGACGTCAACCGAGTCCAGCCAACGCCCAACGAGAAGTCTACTACGTTCCTTGCTGAGAGTGATCGTGAGCTCCATAACATGCTGATGCCCAGCGCTAAGACAATCGTTCTCAAGAACATAGTCCTCGACTGGTGCAAGCTCTATCCCAGCGACAAGATAATAGGTGAGCTGGAAGAAAGCCGAGGAATAGCAGAGGCTGGCATTGTCAAAGAGTGGCAGCACCGTTCTCCGAGTTCCGAAGTTCAGTCTATACTGGAGTAGTTACTAACCAGATCTTGCTTCGATCAGTCTTCACCTCGTTCGTCGACGTTGGCCGCATCATCGGCAGAATGCTCCAAGACGAGGACATCGACTTCCTTTATTACTTCGGAACCATGTCTCAGGCAGGCAGAGAAGTATAAAGCCGTGCAAGAATTTCATGAAAAGGCAGCAATTCGGGTTATGGTAGGTTCTGTTGCTGGCAGGAGCAGTTGGATGGCAACACAAGCCCACAGATCAGCTGACATTATTCCAGATTTCGTCCATCCAATGCGGCGGGCAAGCGCTGAATCTCGCATGCGCCAACCGTGTCATCATCCTTGACCCGTGGTGGAACTCGGCACTGGAGCAGCAAGCGTTTGGCCGTGTCCACCGCATGGGGCAGCAGAAGGAGACGTACCTTGCCAAGGTTATTGTCCGAAACAGCATTGATGAACGCTTGATCAAGCTTCAACGGAAAAAGCTTGAAGCCGTGAACAAGGCTATTAAGGAACACGACCCTTCCGACTCGGATCTGACTGCGGAGGAGATCGCGTCTCTCATGGGTCGTGTGGTGCGTGACGAGGCAGTGCGGATTGTGGATATCCAATCGGACTACGACGACGACGGAATGGGTCAGAATGGGGAAGCCCAGACTGGGGACGACGACTCTAGTGGAAGCGAGAGTGACGCGGACGACTCATCTACGTGCCGGGAGCGAATGAACGCTACCAGGGAGGTCTCGTTTGATTAAGGGATCTGGGCGCAAAAAAGGCTCAAGCTGTCAAGGCTTGACAACTTCATTATCCGGCTGATGACCTCGCGATCATCATCCAGCGATGCTAACGAAGCATTGCCTATCTTGCAGAGGTCTATCTAGCTCAGGACTTCATCATTTTGCTTCATACTCACTTAGGGTTTGCTACCTTTTGCGTCACAATCATCAGCAGTTACTAGCCAGAGTTACTCAATTACACTTGAAAGTTTATTTTACCGCAAAACCTTGTTCTTAGCCCGAGACGGTGAATGGCCATTCCGAGTGACGTAGGTTCATCCAATGGAACGGAGAGCGTCTCGGCCTCAAGAAGCTGCAACGGAACGCCAGTTGGGATACTACTAGTACTAGAACACTGACAGCCCTGTTGGGAATGGCGACAAACGAATGTGATGTGGCTGGCGCGCCATGGACTCGAGTAAGCACTGACTACCTTATATCAGAATTAGGCATGAAGGGTTGGGCACCAAGATCATGATGCCAACAATTTCCGACCCTATATACGTAGTATTCTCTTTTGTCGCCGGGCCAGCCTCATAGGGATTTCCTCTTATTGTTGGGTTGGGTTGAACTGGCCTGGCCGGGCACGTGCCGGGCTCCCGGTGCTGTGGGGCCGTGCGGAACGGAGTGGCTTCGGAGAACTGTGGATCCTTCGGGTCCGTTTCCGTACAGCTACCTTACCCGGTCACGCGTCGGTCAGTCCCGTCTGAGCATCATATATACCAATCCCACAACTCCCATTGACAATCGATGTGGTGGAGCTGATGAGCCAGAGAGTTACGCGAACTTGTCACAAAAGAATGTGGGACCGAAAACATCGGCGGTTCGGAATCGATCCTGGACGCAGGGTCACAACCACCAAGTCCTCTCGATGCCGGCTGCCTTGTATAGGAATACTTAGATGAAACAGAGGCACTTGAACCTGTTTCTAAAGAAATTATTTCCAATCCCTTTTTCACTTTCCTGTATTGGCTATGAATCGAAATGCGCAAGCCACATTCAGGACCTGACAAGCCAAAGTCCCGAGAATGAAGGTTTCGACGAGACTGTGATGTTTGATGGACTAGAAGGACACACTGCCGAGCGCCTTGGAATTCGCGTCTCAGTACCGATGAACAGCTTACGCTTGACAGTTAGTATTTCCTATCAAAGCAGAACACGGGGATAGAACTCGATTTCCCAGTTAGATGGCTATGAAGCTAGGTAGTCTACTAGTTCTACATAAGTATTGGTTGTGATAATGGATGTCGAAATAGTATCAGGCTACACTGCGCGCACTCCGGCTGCACAGACCGTGTCGGTCCACTGACGGTATTTTATCAATGGATGAGACAATGAAGATGATATTGTGATTAAGAGCGGTGTCTGCTCTACAGGGCCGAAAGCGTTCCGGTAGCAACATCAATCACTGTATGTGCTAATTCGAGTACGCCAGAGCGGTCAGATGTCGAGGGTGACGAGCGAAGCAGTTTAGGGTTAGGTAAGCTAGCACTGGCTGGAAGTTGGCACGGTTGGTTATTAAGTGTCTTGAGCTAGGGTTAGGAATCGCATCACAGACACCCACCAGCCTGTGTCATCGCGGTAGTGGTGGTCCGGTATGAGAAGATGGGATCATTTATCCGACATAGGGAAGTGCTTACGGAAGTCGCTGCCAGTTGTGTTCCACCAGTGGCCATTGTCAGTATAACATTAGTAGAGAATAGACACCGAGCTAGTAGAAGGTTTTCAATGAACTGCTAATCCAAGCATTAAGTGCCCACCGCATGTTTTGTTTCAGAATCACTCACACGCCTCAATTGTCGCCGGATCTGATTCTCTTTCATCCCTTGGATGCCCTGCTAAAGAGCTTGAACCCGACGCCAGAGGTGATCCTTCCCTGTCCCTCCGACATTGGCACTGCGCGAGCTTCTGTTCTACCTCCCTTAGCCGCCTCTTCATGTCCTCGTTCTTCTCTTTCAGATCCTTTATGAAACCCACAGCCATCTCAACCACGTCCAGCTTACTGCTTGGTACGCCCGGTCGAACCAGGAAGTCCGCGTCGCTGGTCAGCTCGGTTGCAGGCTGAGACGGAAGCAGCTTCTGGATCTCTCGTATTGCAATCGTGAGTCTGTTCCGCCGTGTCTTCTCGGACAGCTTGTGTGCGATCCGTTTCGAGACCTCCTTGGATGAGGAGGCGCTGTCCTGAAACGTGATCTCGATCCCGTTCCCGTTGGTCGTCACGGTGCCGTAATCTCGGTGCGGGAGAGGCGTGAGTCCCAAGTCGGACTGGTCGGGCCAGTCTTGATTGTAAACGAAGTCGGGGATATAGGGCTTTTCGGAGAGTGCGGTCCGGTGGCACGACGATGTTGACAGCGCAGCCTTCGCCGGCTTGCTGACTCGGTGGCTGCGTTGCCTTCTGGCCGTTTGGGCGGGGAACCAGCTCGGGCGTGATGTATACGCATCGTCCGAACCGTCGGGGCTTTGGATCGAGTCGGAGTCATCCTCGATGTTGGTATTCTCCTGCGTGGGCTGCCAAAAGTGGTCACTCGAGGACTGGCCGTTGAACAACGACCACCCGTCCAGCAACGGCGCGGTCGTCCGTAGCAGAGGGGCTGAGAAGGCATGTCCGTCGTCCAGCTGGCCATGATAGGGCAACGTCATGTCCTGTTAGGCCGTCAGCAGGCTTGAAACGTCCCTTGTTTGAATGTGCGACTGACGTGATTCGGATGGGGAGTTGGCTGGTTCCCGCTGGCCCAGCATTGTGAGCTTGCGGATGCAAGGTCCGACTCATTGTACGTCTGCCGTTCGTTGACGACGGGCTGAGCTTGATCGGGTGCGATACCCGAGAAAACAGGCTTCTCATCGAATGGCGGCGTAAAGTGTCTCTCAGGAAACGAGCTGTCTGCCCCTGATTCTGAATCAGGGCTATAGACGCGGCGGTGGACGCCGGAGGGGTACATTTCCGATGCACCGATCTTCTTATCGCAGGACGGCACTATGCAGTTAGCCTCCGTGGAAGCAATTCCGTGGTTGCAGAGCCAAGCGTTGACGCAAAAATTGTGCATCCTTACGTTCTTCAGGCTCCCTGCGAATGTTGCATACTGACCGGAGCGAGGTGAGCACACCACCAGGCTAGGCTGAGGGCAGGCGGGTCCTCATAAGCGCAGCAAACGACGGGGCCGGCCCAGGACGGCTGTTGCACCGCGTTCGGTCCGTCACCGTCCCGGCTGAGCGCCCCCATGTTCCGCGGTGGAGTTGGATGTACCGGGAGTGAATGCATACAAAACGAAGCTATGGCCTGGGCTAGTAAGCACAGATGGGGGGCCAAAAGGTCGCTACGTAAACAGATTGTAGAGTCCTGTCCGGATAGGCCCAGGGATGGATGGCTTGCCAGAGTTGGTCCTTTCTCTTCTCTGCAAGAAGACGCACGCAAAATGGTCGCCCTGCATCGCGCTCAAGAAGGCGTGATCGCGCCACAGTGCAGAAGCCAGGTCACAAGCGCAATATCCCAGTTGGGAATACCGCTCGTGCTCATTGCCTCCACGATGAGCGTCGTCCGGGTCCGGGACATGGTGCATGGGGAGCTGAAACTTGAGAGCGTTCAATATTTGGCATCCACCACTTTGGGCGCCAGTTTCATGGTTGATGTATGTTCAGCCAAGAGTACTGTGTGACGCTCGAGTCTCTTGGGGCCCGGGGGCCTCCCTAAGCTTGCCTGACAACGGTCCTCCATCGGTTCTTCCAACCCGGTACCAGGTCGCCGATATGCGCATTTGGGGCTCCGACAATCCACGGGAATGGGAAGGTCAGCTCTGATTGATAGGCCAAAGGGGCCCAGATCATTTGGCGCCTTCAAACACGGCAAATACGATGGCGCGGCCCTGAACGCAGGATCCAGTGCAGTCCATTGTCGGATCACTCCCATTACCTGCAAGCCCTGGGGATGCCATGTGTCTAGATTCATGGCCGATCCGAGCTGTCGGGTCTTATTGACGACGTTGTCTCTCCCGCTTCCAAATGAAGTGAAACTCTGATTGGGCCTCAACCCGGTCAACCCAAATGTCAGAACTTTGCGGCACCAAGCTCGTGGACTGCGGGGAAGCGAAGCATGCTCACATCGTGTGCTTGTCGAGGACGGACTGTGCCGGAAATGGTTGGACGTGGAGGATTTTGGGTTGATCGCGCAAGAGCATCCCTGGCATGTCGTCAGACGCTATCGGTGGGCAACAACCACCTTTTTGTCACGATGAGCCGGAGAGAATGCTGCACGCTACCCCCACGCCACGACCAAAGTGTGACAAAGAAATCATCGTTGAATATAATTACGAAATAGTTGGGAAAGAAACCTTGCTGAAGGCCCTTCAGCAGGGTCAATAGATCTCAGTTGAAAGCAGCAGAAGACACCTCAGACAACCAAGTTGGGGAGGCGAGAGTCGAAGTGGCTGGAAATGGTGTCATCGAGCGGCTTCGACTTCCTGGCCAATCAAAGCATAAGAACACGCAAAGAACGGGCACTTTCCGGAAGTGGAAGGCGTCGGGGAGCTGGCCACCGTTCCTGCCCAGTGCTGCACCTCATCGCTGCTTGCATCTGTTAAGACACGGCCGAACACCTGAGTGCGGGCTGGACTCGGAGTTGACGCTTATTATTAGTGTAACCAATAGCAATGGGCTACATTATCTTGGACCTCCTGCTCCGCAGCAACAACGATCCATTGTAACTTGAGCATGCCCGTTCAAAGCCAGGCACCTTGTGCTTCTTAAGCCTCCTATGGCGTGATTGATCCTGGAGCCTGGAGGTGAGGAGATCGCAGGAACTCGAAGCAGCGCAAAGGAGCGTCCTCATCAGGGAGCTTCAGAGTCTCCTGTGAGCAGGAATTACAATGATGGCAGGCAACAATGGGGATCTACGCGATCTCACAGCTTGTGTGAGGTGTGTGGGCAGAGTTCTTTCAACATGTCGCGCATGTCGTTGGTAAGAGAATGCCCCTAACGCTGCTCACCCTGTGGCCCCCATATGCAGGAGCCCTTGTAGCTTCCCAATATGCCTTACATACATACCATACCTTAGGTACACAGTACACACCCTGCCTTGGTATTGCTCACCTGGCGTCGTTCCCACGTTCTCCGTGCCATTATCCACACCAAAGATCATCAGGGGTCCCTAGCCGTACACGGTCTCGGTCTGCACCTCGCGCAGAAATAACCCGTCCCCAATCCCGGTCTAAAAAGCATCTTCGCCGCTGGGTCGCAGATATCCCGCGTGGAGATCAGCAAGGCTGGCCTGTCTTCCCGTGCTTCATTGCCTCCCATCCGGCTGGGACGACGAACAGTGGTCTGTTGTATCCCGTATTACTTAAACGATTCCGCGGGATCGCCCACCACGGGGATAGCCGCGCTGGGACACCACTCACGCAAGGGGTCGAGCTGGAGACCGGGGTTTCCATGGACCACACTTGGGGGTCGTCGAATGCAGCGGCCGCCTTGGTCTACTTATAACTTTTATAAAGGCCGCCTTGGTCTACTTATAACTTTTATAAGTCGCGGGCTGCGCGTCCCATATCTTCGTCGCTGCAGCCCAGCCCTTGGCCCACGCCACAGGGAGCCTGCCGAGAGTTCACCATGGTTCAGAACAAGCACGCCGAGCGCGTCAAGAGGCTCCTCGGAATTGATCCCGACCAGACGTTGGCTGACTCCGCACTCTACGACGATGGTCTCTACTTGGAAGAAGAGCCGTCTACCAAGGACGTCCTGCTCGGCCTCATCCCTACCATTCCCGGCACCGTCAGATACCTTAGGGAGCTGTTTCCATTCATAGGTTGGATTTTCCATTACAACCTGATATGGCTATTGGGTGACTTCATCGCTGGTGAGTTGAGCAAAAGCACCCAATTATTCTACATCCAAGGAGATTAACCGCCCGCAGGGGTCACGGTGGGCTTCGTCGTTGTGCCTCAGGGCATGGCTTACGCCCTGCTCGCCAACCTGCCACCCGAGTATGGCCTCTACACCTCATTCGTCGGCTTTCTCCTGTACTGGGCTTTCGCCACGTCCAAGGACATCACCATCGGTGTAAGTGCGGCGCCCCTGCCCCTCCCGCTCTCGACCAAGTCTGACCCCAGCGAAAGGCCGTCGCGGTCATGTCAACCATCGTTGGAAACATCATCATCAACGTACAGAAGACACACCCTGACCTCGCCGCCGAGACCATTGCCCGAAGCTTGGCCTTCATTTCCGGGGTAGTCCTCCTGTTTTTGGGCCTCGTCAGGGTCGGCTTCATAGTGGAGTTCATCCCATTGGTCGCCATCGGCGCCTTCATGACGGGCTCTGCGATCAGTATTGCTGCAGGCCAGGTCCCCGGCCTCATGGGCATTTCCGGCGTCAACACGCGCGAGGCTACCTACCTCGTCATCATCAACACGCTCAAAGGCTTGCCAAGGACCAAGCTGGATGCCGCCATGGGATTGACCGCCTTGTTCGGCCTCTACTTCATCCGATGGTTCTGCGGATATATGGGCCGGAGGTACCCGAAGCGCGCAAAGACATGGTTCTTCATCTCCACGCTGCGGATGGCCTTCATTGTGATTCTCTACATCCTCGTCAGCTGGCTGGTCAATAGGCACGTGTCCAAAGCCTCCAACGCAAAATTCAAGATTCTCGGCACTGTCCCAAGCGGTAGGTGAAGTGGAAATCCTACCTCCTCATGAGATGTGATTGCGCGGTTGCTAAACGCCCCAACCTACTCCAGGGTTTCAACATGTTGGAGCGCCGCAACTCGACTCCGAGATCCTCGAGGCCATCGGGCCGGAGATCCCCACCACAATCCTCGTGCTTCTGATCGAGCACATTGCCATCTCCAAGTCATTTGGCCGCATCAACAACTACATCATAGACCCTTCTCAGGAACTGGTCGCCCTTGGCTTCACCAATGTCTTCGGTCCGTTCCTGGGCGGATATCCCGCCACCGGGTCGTTCTCTCGGACGGCCATCAAGGCGAAGGCTGGGGTTAGGACCCCGCTCGCCGGCGTCTTCACCGCGGTCATTGTTCTCCTGGCGCTGTACGCACTGACGTCCGTGTTCTTCTATATCCCGTCCAGCGGGCTGTCGGCTATCATCATCCACGCCGTCGGCGACCTCATCACCCCCCCACGCGAAGTGTACCGTTACTGGCAGACGTCCCCTCTCGAGTTCGTCATCTTCTGGGCCGGCGTCTTGGTTGCCATCTTCACGTCCATTGAGAATGGTATCTACGTCACGGTCGGCGCCTCAGCCGGACTGCTACTCATCCGCGTCGCAAAGAGCCCGGGGAGATTCCTCGGCAAGGTTACCATTCACCGCGTATCCAGGGGCAGCATCCAAGGCGCCGCCGCTTCCCTCAACCGGGGCAGCGTGGACGGCGAGAAATCCCACGCCGCGTTCATCCCCCTCAGCCGGAGCGACCTTTCCAATCCGGAAGTCGATATACGGTCCCCATATCCCGGCGTCTTCATCTACCGCTTCGGCGAAGGCCTCAACTACCTGAACTCAGCCCGCCACCTCGACGTGCTCACCATCTACATCCTCGGCCGCACCCGCCGCACCCAACTCGACAAGTACGACAAGATCGGCGTAAGCACTCTATTTATTTATTCTTTTCTTTTTTTATTTTTTATTTTTTCTCTCTACCCGATCAAGGCTCTCTAACTCTCCCAAAAGGACCGCCCGTGGAACGACCCGGGCCCGCGCCCCGGCCGACGTCTCCTCCATATCAACAACAACAACAACAACAACAACAACAACGCCGAGCTCGCCGCGCGGCCCACCCTGCGCGCCGTCATCCTCGACTTCTCCGCCGTCAACTTCCTCGACGTGACCGCCGCCCAGGCCCTCGTCGACCTGCGCAACCAGTTCGACCGCTACGCCGCCCCGGACCGTGTCGCCTGGTACTTCGCGGGCGTCTCTAACCGCTGGACCAAGCGAGCCCTGGTGGCGTCTGGCTTTGGCGTCGACCGGGACCAATCCGGACCCGTGAATGGTGGTGGTGGTTCTGACGATGAAGACATTGGAAGAGAGCCGTTGATTGCTGTTGCTGCGGAGGCGGATGGTGGTGACGGTGGTGGTTCGCGGAATCCGAAGGCGGAGGTTGGGAGGTCTTCTTCTTCTAAGACCAAGGAGAAGAAGGAGGAGGTGGAGGAGGAGGTGGATATCGAGGCTGCTGCGGCTGGCGGCGAGGTCACGCCTGTCCCGTCGTCGGTGGATGTGGGCGGCGGGGGGAGGCTGGTGCCGTTGTATGGCGTCAATAGGCCGTTTTTCCATGTTGATGTGGGGACGGCGCTGGCGAGTGCGATTCGGAGGTTGGAGGGGGGGAGGAATGTGGATTGATGGGTGGTATGGCGGCGATTGCTTTTTGTTTAGAGATGGATGGGCCTGAGGTTTGGATATGCTATTTTGGAATAGCACCGCTCTTCTCTGAATACCGGTAGGTAAGCGGTAAGCTGCTAACCATGGCTTACTTATAAACTGACGATTTTATTTTTGGGTCTCTGGGCTTCAAATCTAGGATGATGAAGAGGATTCGTGCTGAGAAAGGCGATGTCTTATGATCTCATAATCTATTCTTCTCCACTTCCAGAAAACAACAGGCAGACGGACTGCTCCCCAGGGGTCAGTCAATGATAGTCGTTGATGAACAAGGTCTACTACACCCTCTAACCTCGACCACCAGCCCCCAGTAGCCTATCTACCTTAGTCAACGACTTCATGTTACCAATCGATCAGGACTGATCGATGCGGTGCTCTGCGTTCTCGAAGCAGATCACGTAAAGTTCCCTAGGCGGATCATGTCCGGATCTCACCGGGGGAGCCGAGAGTGAGCCTGCCCGGGATCAACTGTCTGTGTCGCCGCCAAGCCCGGTAGAGCCGGCCGGGGATGTGGGTCATCGGAGGACGGGAGGAGGACACCTCTCCATTGCTAGCCCTCCTCTGTCGCAGGCACTGTTTTAGAGAAGCACAACATCCGCCAGAGGATCTCACAGCCCATTACCTGTATCTGTGCTACTAAGGTAGGTAAGCATGGCAAGGTACTCCACTCATACCCCGGACTCGCATTTGAAATCATCGTACCTACTAGTACTCGTCCCAACAGCAGTGACAGACCAGAGTGCTGCCTTCAAAACCCCCTTAGGAACTCCTCCAACGAAATCGGCTTCCGCACAGCGTTGTTGATCCCCTCATGATACGTAACCCACACCTTGGCTCCCTCGCCACCTGCATCGCCGCCCTCTTCCCCCGTCCTCCCCCTCCCCCTCTTATTACTACTCTTTCCTCCCGTTCCTCCAGCAGCAGCAGCAGCAGCAGCATTCCCGTCTGTCTCTGCCAGCGGTCTCTCGACAATGACCCTGCCGAAGAAATCCCTCTTGACGGCACCCAGCTGCTGTCTCCGTTGCGTCTTGCTATTGTCAGGGGCGCTAGCGGTGGCGAAGTTCTCCTTGTCGGCGTCGTCAAGCTCCGGGTGGTAGGGATGGGCATGGCTGGCGCGGCCAGCAGATGATGAGGATGATGATCTCAGTCGGGCTTGCCGGGCCGCGTTTTCGCGCTGGGCGAGCGTCTTCTGCAGTTCCTGGTCCAGCACCTGGCGCACGGCGTAGCGCGTGGGAGGAGCCTGCGTGGCGAGGACATATGCGCCGGCTGTTTCAAAGTTTGCCAGGGCGTCGAGGTCCCTGAACACAAAGCGATAGTTAGCATTACCATACTTGATGAAAATGAACCAAAGAGAGCGAGAATAAAAAGAAAAAAAAAGTAAAGGAAAAAAAAAACGTACGGCTCCATCCGATAAACCCACTGCGTCCTCCCCGCCACCGGCGCACCACTCCCCTCTACGGGCTCGATCTTCCCCCTGTGCAAGGCGATCCCCAGCTCAGCCAGCACCTGCGCCGCGCGCCGGACCATCGCCTTCTCCCGCTCTCGCCGGACCGAGGCGACTGCCCCGCCGAACTTGTCGCTGCTCCCGCCCACGACGACCGGCTTCACATCCGGAGAGACCATGCGGACCAGATACGGCAGGAAGTCGGTGGCGATGTCCTCGGGGCTGCGGAACGCGCGCGTCAGCGCGGGCGACATCTGGCCGTGGATCGCCTGCAGCGCGGCGCGGTTGGCCTTCTCGGCCTCGTGCGCGGCATAGTCGGCTCTCGGGCCCGAGAAGGGCAGAGGCGCCGCGTTGGCGTCGTCGGCTGCCGTCTCGTCACCCCATCTTCCGCCGCCGCCGCCGTATGCGGCTTGGGAGTGGTACCGGCGCGGCGAGGCGAAGAGATGATGGCAGGCGAGCACGGGCTGACTGGCGTAGGGAGCGAGCTCCCAGTCTTGGCTGGAGTAGAGACGGGAGGTGCACGTGTCGTGGAAGTGCAGCCACTCGTAGGCGAGGTCGGGTTTGGTGAGGAAGGAGTCGTCGTTGAACTCGCGGTTGGGGTACTCGAGGAAGATCTCCGTCATAATGCGGTCGATCTCGCCCGAGGTGTCGATCATTTCGCCAAGACGGGACATGGCGTATTTCGTTTGCTGTTCAGCGAAGCCGAGTTGCGCTTGGGGTTGCTCGTGCCGGGTGACTTTGTCTGGTTGGAACGTCGGCGCGGACTGCTTTGGGAAGCCGGCGCCTTCCTGGAAGACGCGGGCGACGATCTCCTTGACACCGCCGCGTCCCAGGCCTCTGGCACCGCCGCCGCCGTGGGCCAGGTCATGGATGATGTGTCTGTCCAGCCATTGGCGCGTGAGGCAGGGGGTGGCGTCCTTGGAGGTTGCTCGCAGCCGGCCGGCTACCCATTCTCCCACTACCATGACACCCCGGAGATCACCCTCGGCGTTGCTTTCGGCGCCCCGTTTTGCGTCAATTCCACTGGTCATGCCCCAAGCCGCTTCGCACAACTTCCGCACCGCATCCTTCTCGCAAGGGATGCCTTCCTTCTCAAAGACCGTCTTCAGTCGAGTGACGACTGCCTCCACCGGTGGCTTCCCGACGTGAATGACCTCCGCCAGCCCGGACTGCCGCAGCGGCCGCAGCGAAGGGTGGTAAACATCATTGCAGATCAGAATCAGCGGCCTCATCTGCCGGAAATCGTCGCCCTTCTTCTTCCTCCGCCCCATCGTGGAACCGGTCGCGCCCCCTGAACTGTTCTTCTGGTCCAGCAGGACCAGATCAATCAGCGCCTTCACGAACCCGCCCTCACCGGAACCGCCAGACCCGCCAACCACTCCATCCACCTCGTCAACAACCACGCACACCGGACGGGCGACCTTCTGCTGCTTTCCTGGCTCGGACCGCTTGTTCTCCACCGTCTTGACGCTCTCGGTGCCCAAGCTCGTCCGAATCCGCCCCTTGACGATGTCTTTGCTGCGCTCGTCGCTGGCATTGATCTCCATGACCTCGTACCCGGCCTGCCGGGCGCAGACGTGGGCCAAGGTGGTCTTGCCGAGCCCCGGAGGACCGTGCAGCATCAGGATCTTGCGGTGCGGCTTCTCTTCTTCCGGTTGCTGGCCCTGGCCCTGTTGCCCACCGTGCCTCCTGCTGCCGCTGGCCGAGTTCTTGCCCTTTGTGGCGTGCGGAAAGACGATGGGGTCCCAGCGCTTCAGCCAGCGGAGGACTTGGCGGTTGGTCAGGTCGTCGCCGACGAGGTCCATGAAGTTGCGGGCGCGGTATTTCTCGGTCCAGAGCAAGGTGCGCTTCGGCTTCTTAGCGTTGGTGGGTTGAGCTTCGACGGAGCGGATGGGTTTATCGGGGTTGGCAGGCGGCGTGATGGGGGCTGCTGCTGCTGATACAGCCTCGCACTCTTTGCGTGCTTGGGCGAGTTCCTTGTTGGCGCTGTCGAGCAGTTCGTGGATGGCGATGCCGTAGTAGCTCTTGTGCGCGCGGCCTTCCTTAGTTCTTGAGCGCGCTGCTACCATGGACGCGTAGGAGATGGCTGGGGTGGCCTTCCGCTCGCGGATGGGCACGGTCTTGCCGGAACATGTCGATATGTGGTACGGAGTCGGGCTTGGATTGCCGCTTGTGAACGATGACAGTATACGCGAACCATGAGTGCCGAAGAGACGCTCGTAACGTTCTGCTTCTTCCTCGGATTCCACGTGCAGCTGACTATCAGGAGGGGTCGAGATAACCTCCTGAGCAGCCGGCAGCGTCTCGTTCAATCTCTCGCTGGCGCGTTCCTGATTTCCGTGCTCTACCTGGGCATTGTGGTTGTCTTGCCGCAGCATCCGCCGCTTAGGCGACGGTTGTTCGGGCGTCTCATCATCATCAGAGTCATCATCGGCGAGAAACCCGCCGAGAACGCGGGGTTTAGGCGGCCTCGGCGCGTCAGTCTCTCGAGGTCGCTTGTTGATCGCGGGCGACGAACTGGCCGGGAAGGTGATCGGAGAGGAGGGCGCCAGCATTCTTGTGCCAATCGATTAGGTTATCCTCGGACAGATTAGCAGGGATGCATGACACAAGGGATCCGCTGGATTGTTGGTGTTGCGGTCAAATGTTGCAACCGGCGTATGGCGATGCGAAAGACGCGCTTCCGGAATCCGCACACGCCTAAGCGCGTCTCAATCAATCTAAGGCAACACAGCCAATTGCATCGCGTTCCGTTGCCAACTCGGGCAGGTTGCGAAAAGGTAGGGTTAGGGCTCTCTATTATCTTCGAGTCCTCATTATCGTACCCACCTTTCGAGCGCTGTCCAATCACCACGCATCGCATGAATCTCATAGGCACAGTGTCCATTCGAGCTCCAGCTGCCAGAAACACCATAACTTCGGTTTCGACCGCCATCCCCGGGACAGCAGCAACTTCACATCACATGTTACGCGGCAGCACGGTAGCGATTCTGCACCTTTCTTAAAATGCTGTCCAGCTTACAGAACCCGCGGCAAGCTGCCGCGCAGCTCATGAATTTCGGCCTGATCCTCTCGACCGCATTCATGGTGGGTGTCTTGCGCCTCTCCCTGTCCATCGCACAGCCAATTGGGCACATTAAGTTGACTCTACGTTTCAGATGTGGAAAGGCCTCTCGGTTATCACGGATTCACCATCGCCGATCGTCGTCGTCCTCTCTGGGAGCATGGAACCGGCCTTCCAACGTGGCGATCTGCTCCTCCTCTGGAACCGCAATCTCCTCTCCGAAACCAACGTAGGCGAAATCGTCGTGTACAATGTGAAGGGCAAAGACATCCCGATAGTGCACCGGGTGGTCAGGAAGTTTGGAACTGGGTTCGTGTTTTCGTCGCGGGTAGCTCCCGGTGCTGTTCAGTTCGGCTAACAGCACCTCCCAGGCCTGAGGCAAAGCTGCTTACCAAGGGAGACAACAATCCGGCGGACGATACCGAGCTCTATGCCCGTGGACAGGATTATCTGAACAGGAAAGACATTGTTGGGTAAGTACTAAGAAAGCATTCCGTCTCGCGAGCTTCGATGCGAGGATTGTCGGACACTGACTGATAGTGCAACACAGAAGCGTCGTCGGGTATATGCCCTTCGTTGGTTACGTGACCATCATGCTCTCCGAACACCCGTGGCTCAAAACGGTCATGCTAGGGTTAATGGGTCTGGTAGTGGTTCTGCAGAGAGAGTAGGATAAGCGAATGCCACGTTAGCAGTTTGAATTCAGCTCTCGCTGTCGGCAGCCATGAGGACGGCCAGATTCTCTGCGGTCAGTCCTCGATTGTCCGCCGTCCCTCGCAATGCCAGATGCATCGGGTCTGGCCGGAAAGGACACGTGATGGTTGACCCCTTTCATTGAATCATTGGCCCCTGGCATTGACCCTGCGAAGAACTTGTGTGCGGGGCAGATGCCTAGCTCTGACCGGCGATTTGGCCTGAAGAGTGTTGTCATTCCCGCCGGAGGGAGGTTATGAGTCAGTTTGCAGAGAAGTTGTGTCTTCTGCCTGTTCTATCCATACGGCTCATCACCCTCATCTCAGCCACATGCACACGCAGGAGATCTTCCAGCTTTTGCTGAGGTGGTTGAAGGCCAGGTCAGGCCAGTAGCAGCAGGGTCCCAGGCGCCGAGTCTTGGCAACCCTTTCCCGCTTGGCGGCTCGCGCTCTGCGTTTGCGTGCCCTTGCCAAGGACGAGCTAAACTGCTCTCGATACAGCGTCTTCGAGCTGTCAGGCAGGATGCAACCTAATCTTAAAATTGAACCATCCTCTGTCTGCCTTTTCTCCGTTCTGTCTCGCGCCGTTCACTCGTTTTGTCGCTCGTTTTCAGAAAACCACGCTCCCTTACGCGCTTGGACATTCCGAGTCACTCCTTAAAACACCCGAATTGAAGCATCCCTCACTTGACTCGCGACGGAAGGAACACTTCGCAGTGATAAGACGCCTACGATGGCAAATGATGACGACGCAACCACGAGGGCGAGCCCAGCGCAATTGAGCGGGGAGCAGGAGAGGGCGAAGACACAGAATGGAACGGGCCATCAGCAAACAGAGCGTGAATCGCAGCAAGATAGCGGCAATGACTCGGCCCCGCCGCTGCCACCGAGGGCTCTTCCGCCTCCTCACCAAGCCTCCGTCAAGGCCCGGCCGCTACCACCACTGCCCGGCGCTCATTTCGCACCTCTGCCGGTACACCTGCCACCTCAGCAGCCACCCGATTTTCAACGCCCACGCTACCCCGGTTGGGAGAAGACGAAACTGGTGCTCCAAAGTGTATCCCTCGTTGCGGCGGCAGTCATATTCGGCATCGGTGTCGCTTTTGGCTACAACGTCGTCCGTTACTTCCCCCGCGACTACTTCCAGGTCGAGCTGGAAGTTGCGCTTTCTTTCGCTCCGGTATGCTTGACTTCCCCTCGTGTCCATAAGCATGGCCTAACCAGGCCGCAACAGGCTGGCGCTGCGATTGCGATAACCGCACTTGACTTCCTTAAGCGATATACCTCCAAGCGACAATACGGCCTTCATCCGGGGGCTCTTGTCGCTTTTCATCTCATTACCTGGCTTGTCGCGGTTGCGGCTGTTACCATCGTTGCTATCTATGTGTCAGACGAAGAGTACAACTACAGTAGCTATGATTACGATTCTGACGACCAGCCAGTCGACGAGTATGCTCGCCGCTTCGAGCAGAACATGTATTTCCAGAACGTTCTGCTCGGATTCGACTGTGTCCTTCTCTTCGTCCACTTTGTCTTGTTCGTCGGCGCTTGTGTCGAGACAAACCGAGTTGAGAGAGCGAGGAAGCAGGTTGTGGTTGTCCAAGTGCCGTATGGCGCCCCTGGGCCCTACCCCAACCCACAGTACCCTGTTTATGGGTCACCGCAGTCAATTGTGCCGCAGTCAAGGTCGCAGCCAGGACGGTATCCGGGCCCGGTGATGGCCCCGGTGCCGCGACAAGCGGGCGCGGGAACCGACCCGGCATCGCCTCAACCGGCCGCTTTGTACGGAGGCTACTACGCACCTGCACCACCGGAGATGGCTTGGACAGCCGCCCAACAGCAGTCTAATCCCGGACTGTTGCAGGGTTACTACGCACCCGGCACTGTCCCCGCAGGGACGCCCAGTAATTCTGCACGGCAGTCTCGGCGAGGGCCATCGGCTTCCGGTGCCATCAGCTCGGGGTCTCGACGGTCGCAAGCCCAGGCGGCGACTCCGGTTGAGGAGCAACACCAACAGCAGGGTCAATCGGGCCATGAGGGGACTGTTGCAGAGAAACCTACTTGAGGATGAAGATATGCTGGATACCATGTTACAGGGGAGAAATCTGGGACAAGATCTTGAAGTATCGGTGGAGTCCTTCACACCACTATCAACTTGGAGCCTTCCTCCGAAATCTAATCTAATCACTGGGGGCGTTCCGCGCGCCGCCTCGCTAACTCCTCTCTTTCTCAAGCGCCAAGTTGTCTGACTGTGCCAGCATGTGTCCACCTCCTCCCTCGTTTGTTCCGCTCCCACACCCCAACAGTAATCGCTAGCTTCATCCACGACCTCTTAGTACACACGAAAGGGAAACTCTATTCACATGCTGCGGCGCTCATTCGGCACCCAGAACGCCTCGGTGTGGATCCAGATTAAGGTTACATTTCCCCAGAGATGAGCATGGGGTGCTCGTCGATCCATCGCTATGATCGCCTTGAACCTGGTAGTTAACGGTTCCTGTCCTCCCCCGCATTCCGCTGCGCTTATTTTGCTTATTTTCTCCGGGCGGCCATCCTCGCTGCCTTACACCATCTTTACATACGATGAGGACCCGCCTACCTCCTTTCGGCATCTGCTCAGGTCGATCTCGGCCGGCATCGACCTGGATCCCGCGCACAATGGTTCGATGTACTCCAACATCCAATGCCCTGTACCGGGCCCCGGGAAATTTCCGTCCACATCGCGCTCTAGGTAGAACCTGCCGTTATTTGGAGGGGGGATGCTTCACTGGGCAGGCGGGGTACGAAAGCCTGGGTCGTGACTGCCAACTGCGCTGCCCGGATGGGAAATGCTTGCGGATGTGAACATGATATTACGTCTTGCGGACAGGAGTCGGAAGGCACGACGTCTCGTCACTGTCGTCACTACTGGGCTACAAGAACTCCGTGGAATCCTCACAGAACCATTTCCTGCTTACCTACGATCATCACCGCGACACTTGCGTACAATCCTCAAGCCAGCATATACCAGTTCCTCCTCACCGAGAAATCTACGAAGATGCAGCTCACCACCGTCCTTGCTCCCCTTGCCTTCATCGGCCTCGCCACCGCACACGTGGGCAATAACACATCCGCATCCATCGTCTCGGCCCTGGCCATCGTCAACAACGCAACCGTCGACCTCGGTGACGCTGTCACCAAGTGGGATGGCGAGCTGCTCGGCACGCTGCCCATCCTCGCCGCCAGCACCGCGCTGCTGATCGATGTCAAGAAAGGCACCATAATTGCGAAGGAGAGCGACCCACTCGACACGGCCGGGGCGCTCAGCGTCGCGGGGGCGACCAACACGCTCGTGGCGTCGGTCAACACCACGCTGACGGCGCTGATTGAATCGAAGGACAAGTTTGACCGCCTGCTCCTGTCGCCGCTCATCTTTGGCAACTTGGAGCTGCAACAGAAGGCGACGAGCAAAATGAGCGACGCCATCATTGATAAGCTGCCCGATGAGCTGGAGGAGGTCGCCGAGAACCTCGTGGCGCCGATTGATGCTGGTTTTGAGGAGGCTATTGATGCCTACCGCCCGGGCTTCTAAAAGGGGAATGGGGAAATCATGTGATATTTGCGGACCGGAAGTACCTGAATCATGATATGACTGAAGACGGGGGTGTTCTCTTCGCTGTATTTACTTGCTATTGCTACAACTTTGAACTGCACTTCAATTTAAGCCAACGGCTTGAACCCCAGTCATACGCACCTACCTTCACCTCAGAGACATGTTCGAAGATAGTAACAGGTGATTAGCCAGTTCCAAAAGTAACACTATTGTTATAGATCCGTCTCTAATAAAGGTTTGACATATACAAGCCATATTTGTTTGATTGTGCGGCAGATCCGACTCGTCATAAGCCCTCCCTAATCAATTGTTGGGGTTATCCCACGACCCTGAAGCCACCTCAGGCGTGCGCGTTACAGAACAGCAGATGATTTTGACAACTTGAACTTGGAGCAGTGATTCCCCATCCACGCTTGATCTTCCGAACACACATAAAGACAATCTGCATCCCCTCCCCAGCGCATTTCCCCCATGAACCCCCGTGAAAAAGCCTTCCCCCGTCGCTTCACTCCTCAAGAATTACACTTTAGCTGCTTCCCCCGCCCGTTCGTTCACGAATACCTTAATTCGGGACCTGCCGGCCAGCACTCCCGGTCTCCTTGCATTTGTAGTTCTGCTCCCACAGCAACTCCAACTCCATCTTCTCCGCCACCAGCCGCCTGTGCCTCTGCTCCAGAGCCTGGATATACAGCCGCGCGCGCTCCAGCACCTCCCCCTTGCTCACCCTCCGCTCACCAAACCCACCGCCGGTCCCGGCAGCATCGTGTTCGGACCCGCTGCCGCTGCTGGACGACCTGGTCTTGCCGGCGGCGCCTTCCGGGAGCGGGCCCCTCGCGCTGACCACGACCGGCTCGTGGGAAGTCAGCGTAAGCGGCGGTAGCGGTATCCGCACCTGCGAGCTGTTCGGGGCTCCGCTTCCTCCCGGAGGGAGAAGGGGTTGAGGAGGAGGAGGGACAGACGGGAGCGGCTTCCTGCTGGGGACTTCTCTTCCTCCGGAAGGGGGAGAAAGAAAAGGAGGGAGGTGGAGAGGTGGTGAGGGGACAGAAGGAGGCGGCTTGCGTAACTTGCCGCTTTCTCCTGTGCTGTTGGCCGCGGGCAGGACTTCGAGAAGGCGCTTGAAGTGGCTGTTAAGCTTCTGGCGGTACTTCTGCTCGACCAGGTTGTGCTGGCCCTTGCCCGGGGGACGACGCGTTTTCTTCATCCGTGGCCGGGCCGTGGGCGGAGAGGCATCATCGGCGCTCTCGGTCTCGTTGTCGTCGGGGTCGGAAATGTAATCGGGTTTGGTGCTGCTGGGGTTTGTAGCGACTGGGTTCGGGGATGAGGATGATTGGCCTTCCTGCCACTCTCTCTTGCTGCTCGGCAACCGACGTCGCCTCTGCTTCGGCGCTTCTCCATTATCCTCTCCCTCCGGCCCGTGGGGTCGTTTCTTTGACCCTGCCTTGTTGGGACTCGGCGTCTGGGATTCTTGGTCGCTTGCGTCACGATTGCAGATGTCCATTATTCCCAGATGGCGTGGCTTGCTGTTGTGGATTTCCGCTCGCATGCTGCCGAAGGTGAACGTGGGAGCCCACTGGTACTTGGGGACTCGTGTAGAGGCGTCAAAGCTTGAACTAGCGAGTCCGTAAAGTTGTTCCGTCTTATTCCAAGAATGTTCTGTTGGAATGCTACCGTTCCTATCCTGACTGTGTAGGTGAAAGAGGCAGGCCAGTGCTTGAGGCTGTGATCGAGGGCAGCGGAGGATGCAGAACACCCAAGGCCAGTATCACATGGGGGAAGGTGAATGTCCTTCAGCTGTGGCCAGGGGACCCAGGACCAGAATTCGAGGGTTGATCGGGTCAGCATACCATCTATTGGCAAACTGCATTCAGGACTCTGGGAGTCCCATGATCCTGATTCGATGGGCCAGATCGTCGGCCGAATGATCAGGCCACCCCGACATGTTTGCCTATGCAGCGTTCCAGTTAATCACCGCCTTGTCAGCTTCCCCACACAATCTTTGGACAGATCGGGCTGATTTGAGAATGGAGCTGTCAGTAGATCTACATGTCGTGTAATTCCAGAAAGAAGTAGGTAGCCATGATATCGGCGTTGTCAGAGAGGTCGACAGCAGAGACACGTCGTGACATCAGAGATTAACGCCCCAGCACTCAGATACATCATCCGACTGTACGGTACGATTTGGCCCCGCCCATCGTGCCACACGGAATTTTCTCACTGCTTGTGAGTGCGTCCAACCCTAATTTAAATGTGCCACAACACGTTTAGGCCTTGGGGTGGAACTTTCCCCGTATTGCATCCATCGTTGAAGGTTGAAATAACTTCGACGAATCTGCCATTTATTGCCGGGGTTGAATGCGAGCCAGATCCATAAATACCTACGCATGGTCGATGTACCACAGCGAGCTCCTCGGTATCTAGGCGTGCTCACAGCTAACCACATGGTCTAGACTGCAGCAACGGGTGAGAGGTGCGCAGGCATTCAGTCTAGAGCTCGAGGTGACGCGGCCAAGCGGGGCAGAGAGTTCATAACTTCATCATCAGTGGGATCAACAGTCCGATCATATAGGTATCGGTGGCTAGAAATACCCTAGGTATGTTCGGTGTGAGGGTTACCTAAGTTACTAGTACCTACCTACCTAGTAGGTAAGTAATCATTGATTTAGGTACCTACCGTTTATGGTCGAAGGCAGGCTAGTCCACTTCATTATCACGAGGCTTACAGACAGTGCACACAGGTACCTTTGAATAACAGCAAGATTTCACCATTCCAAACTTGCAGGATCCGGTTGGGCATACATTGTCACCAAAAACCCAAGAGATAGGCTGTATCTGGAGCTGGCCGCTGACCCCAGTCAAGTTTGCTTTTCTATCCGGGTCTCAGAGTATCGACGCCCACTTTCGGAGTCTCCATACTCGGTATCCTAGACCTATGACACTAGTAGCCTGCACAAGACCGTTGGTTTCCTTGTCAAACGTTTATTGGTTTTTCTTTTTCGTTGAAAACAGGGTGACTTCGAACATGGGGCATGACTCAAACTGAGGAGCGATGCCCTCAATTACCCCCCACAGCAACGCCCAAACCAGCAATCGGTATCCCTGGCCTTGCGCCCACGGCCCCGGCCATCATGACCTCGATGCTTCTCAGCAGCTCTCTTCGCTCCCTCAGCAGCTGATTGCGTTCCACCTCGAGTGTCCTGATCCGCCTAGTAGCCAATTCCAGTACCTCGGCCTTGCTCATCCGCTTCTCGTCGACCCCGCTAGTCTCGACGCGGTCCATTGTTCCCGCTCTGGTTCGGCATTCGTCCACGGGGAGCACGGCAAGCAGACGCTCGAATTGGGCGTTCAAACGGTTGCGGTACTGTTTCTCGACTAGGTTGTGGTTGCGGCGGGCGCGGCGCTCTTCAGCGGTCAGGTCGTCGTCATCGGTGGGAGGGGATCTATTTCCCTTGTTGTCGGCATCAGGGGTATGAGAGGCGGCCGTTACCCAGGACCTGCGAGGCTTGCGGGGGGCTGTGCGGAGCTGGATACTATGCTGTCTGGTGTAGGCCTTGGCTCTCCCGCGTTTCGCCTCGGCGGCGGCGGGGGGAATGTGCTCAGTATGGGAACTGACCGACGGCTTATCTGGTATCGGCTTGGACCACGGCGACCCTCCGACCTGCATGACAGAGCCCGAATTGACGGACGCGAGATCCGAAGCTGCCAAGTATTGCTGGCTCACTCCCGAACTGGGAGCCTCCGGGTCAGTGATGGGCGAAAAGAGGTCGCAGCCGTCGGACTCGCTGTCGCCGGCCCATGGACCTGGTGAGACAGCCGATCTTTCTTCAGTACAACCCACCGTTGAGAGTGGTACTCCTGGGAATGTTGCCCAAGGGAGAAACGATGCTCCAGGGTCCAGGAAAACCGACGCCGAGGTGCTTCGCAGAGGGAAGTAGTCGCAGCCTGGCCCGTCAAGGGGCATCGAATCCGTGTACGGCGTGTCGGATGGACACCAAGGGAGTAAATCTAAACCCGGGCTCTGTTGGTCCAGAGCGGATGACAAGCCCGTCTGGATGTTGTGTCAGTGAACTGCCCCAGGGCGGGAGAAGAACGGGGCTAGTACCAGAAAGGGACTGGACCGAGAAGAAACAGAAGAGACAAGGACATAGGACCACGTCTCACCAGCGACGGGTGCAATGATCCATCGTATTGGAATGGGGATTCTCCTTACCTTGCCTAGGTCAGAACCCATCTCGCCATTGAGTCCGACTGTTGAAGTGTTGGGTTTCATGGCTCCGATGAGATGTCTAGCTCTGCCTCACAACCATGTGGGGGGAGTGTTGGAAACTGGCGACGGCCGAAGGATGCTTTGCGTGTTGGGCGAGTGGACGCCAACTAACCGTCAGGGTCGTGATGTGCGAGGCAAACAGCAGTCTCCCTCACCGAATCCGGGACGAGATTCGAGTGAGACGATGTAACAAATGAAGCTATCATTTCGGCCTGGCCGCACTGCTCTGGCAGCCATCGCAACCAACGAGCCGGTTCAGTCTCTTATACATTGCCTCGAAGCTGCGGGACCGTCTTCTACTGCCGACAGAGAGGGCGCATGGACGGTGAGTGCCAGGTACAGTACCCCACCAGAGCCGGTAAGTGGGTGGAGATGACACCGTCAAGGCTAGTCAAAGAATATATCACGGTACGGAGGTAGGACGGGCGTGCACTCGCCAGGACTCTGGGACCAGGCAAGGACGTCCAAGGGATGCAGATGGAAGAGAATTCCTCGGACAGAATGCATGCCCATCTCGCTCAGCGTATCGAAGCGCTCGAATGGTGGGCCGGGCTTTGCATCGTACATGAAGGATGGCACCATCCTTGCGCATGTACCAAGAGCGGCTCTTGCCTGAGATGTCGCGGTCGAGAATCCAGACCCCCTCGGCCAGGATTCGGGCTCCGCTGTCCGGGCGGGCCCGAGAGAGCCACGGAGCCGGCCCCGCCAAGAATGACCAAGAACAGCTTTATCTTATCGCTCCTTCCTCGTGTTGCCAAGAACCGCCGTCGCGTTGCTGAGGACTTAGATCGCCATACAGATAAATAAATCTCAAAGGAATGATGCTGTGGCGCGTCCTGGAATCATGATGCAGTCGCTCTCTTTCCTGAAGGTAAATGCAAGCCGGGACAATCTCGGCTAGTCTACTGTCTGCGATGGTAATTACAGAGCATGCAATGGGCGGGTAGTCCCGCAGCTGGATCCGTCCCTCGACTCCCTTCCACTCCAGAGAGGTACACTGCTGACCGCCAAGGTCTTAGAACTTCGAAGCATCCCAACTTGCGGAGATTTAATCTGTTAGATGTCTCCGCAAGAAGCATCCTCCAACACTAATGCAGGTGCTCGCGAAGCCAGCTAACATGATTTGACAGTCAACTGCGAGACTCCCCGAGCATTCCCGCTGCAGGAGCGTGCCTTGCGGGGCTCTCCGGCAGAACCAAGCCAACTGAAACCTTTGGCTCTGGTGATTCTCCTCTCTTCATCTAATTTTGACGTCCCAGTCAGCCGAAACCAACATGGTCAATGCCGACGCTATCCTACACTTGCGCCTCCCTCATGCTTCCCTTCGACCGGCGGCCACCTTAAGGGAGACTTGGCGGAAGCGTCTGTTTTACATCCTGGTACAGATACTTGAAAGCATTGTCTGGTTTGTTGGGGACAACGAGGAAATATCGGGCTGAGGGCCAACAACACTGCTCAACCAAAACCACAAGACTAACCTTTTCTCTGCAAGATTCGCTGAGTAAATTTGCCGCCGGCAGGCTGAAGACTTCTTCTCCATCTGCCGCGGCGTCTGGTGCCGGGGGAAACTCGGCGGAAACCTACGGGTCTGCCTCCATCAGCTCAGCTCTCGGCTTCCTCCACTTCGGACATCCCATGGAGGCAGGAGCGCGAGGCGGTGAGCCAGCTGTAACTGACAATAGCTAGGCCGGACGAATCCCAAGCTGGGGGACATCATGTCTCCGGCGTGCTCAGCCCCCATCGCTTGACCTGAGGCACTAGCGTACGTGGGGAGCTGTGGCTCGTCGGGGAAAAATGCCCAGTGAAGCCTCCAGAGCATCTGGCGACAGTTGGAGGCTTGACAACGTTGGCTCAACAACCTCCAGTCTGGCTCCTTCATCAACGACGGGCCGCTGGACTGACACAGTCCAGCACCGAGTCCATCCGAGCGCATGAGAGTTCGTTCGGACTGCCATCGTTGATGGCTCCATTGTTGAGGGTGAGTACGAGGGTGGGTGACAGGACGTTGCGGCAACCTCCATGTGTTTTCAGGGGAAACAAGACGCCCCCAGACTTGAGTGCTGAACAACTGGTCCACTGAGCGGGCCGGATGGACTTTTCCCGCGCACTCAAGGTCGAGGAACCTGTCAACTCGGTACTCCGTAGTGTATTCGGGCTTCCTTGGCGGAGTCAGAGTGGAATCGCTTGTCATGAGGCACGAAGTGTGGATGAATATGAGTTGAGACGACGAGGGCGTTCTTTCTCGTGGTTTCCGCCGCTGGGATATGGGATGGCTGCGAGGATTCAGCGCGCTCCGAACGCATGAGCAGGTGCAATTGTGCCAGCGACGCGAGCTAGGTCTTAACACACCGGCGACGCATACCGCCACGCATTGATTTGGTTTCTGGAACTCGAGATCTCTCAGCTCTCTTCAACCGAGCCTAGAACTTAGAACCAAGTCTCCCACACGTTGCTGGAGTTAAAGTACACAGCATCATAACGACTCCTGGCCCGCGATCTTTGGCCTTCCCCCTGAAACTGAATAACGACCGATTACACAACGAATGCCGCTCTTAAGTTCTTGACGGATAGGGACGTCCTGCCATCTCATCTACCATGGCCTGGAACAAAACACGACCGACCCAACATCGCTCGCCTAACCCGCTCATCGGCGTTAACAGGAAACGTGATCTTCAGGCGCACAACAACTCAGGCAAGAAAACGACGGGAATAAGCTCTCTGGACGGCGGCAAATCCCAACAAGCGCGGGATGGGCTACGTGGACGGTTGGGCACCACAGGATCCCATTTGGGTTCAGTTCAAGAGGGCCAAGAAGGGTGCGGGGTGGAGTCATTGGGTACGGTAGGCATGATGGATCATTTTGCCCTGACACTTCTTATACTCGGCGGGATGCGGTTGCACTCCTGGAATTCGATCACTCTATCTTGCAAGTTGACCTACGCAGTATGGGATGGTTGGCTACTTTGTTGCAAATATGGGATCGGGTGATGGTACCTAACGCACAGGAGGTCAATGGAGTCCCGGAGCCGGCGATACATGTGGCCGAGGGAGAAGCTGTGGATGAGGAGCGAAAGATGGCTTGCACGAGAGCCAAGCACAATCGAACAAAGAAGGCAAGGCAAGGATCTACCTTAGGTATTCTGTCCTGGACCTTGAAAACTCGCTACTGTTTCCCTTTCCAACTAACTCAAAAGCTAACCCAGCAGAGCCGCAAATGGAGCTCTCTTAGTGCAAGCTGGAAAGAACAGGAGTGATCGACCATTTTAGTGCTCAAGATGGGACAGAAATAAACGGCCCGACCCGCTGACGCGAGGGCTCTAGGGATGTGAAGGGGAACGGAGGTGCGATGATTCAACGACGTCTTTCAGTCCTCCTCATCACCGCCCGCAGCAACGGCGTTGGAGTCGCCCTTGCCTGCCGCGGGAGCGGAGGCCACCTTGCCGGCGCCCTTCGTGGGCGCCTCTTTCTCTTCGCCGCCCTCTTCTTCCTCCTCCTCCTCCTCCTCCTCCTCATCTTCGCCCTCACCTTCCTCTCCCTCCTCGTCAAACTCATCTTCCTCGCCTTCGCCCTCTTCATCCTCTTCGCGGCCGTTCGAGACGGTGCCGTTCTTATGAGGCGCCTCTTGCTGGGCCGAGGGGGCCGTCTTTAGCTTCTTCTTGGGCGGGGATTGTTCTTCGGGGAATGTCAGTACGCCTGCGCAACACCACACATCGGAAAGGGGCCACGACGGAAGAGTGAGCCTGTCGGCCGAATGGCGCAAAGACTCGGTTGTTTGTCGCGGTGGAAGGGAACTTGATTGGTATACAGAGAGGCTTGGCTTACCTGGAGCCGGAGCGGCATTCTCCTCGTCTTCCTCCTCGTCACCTTCTTCACCCTCGGCTTCACCCTCGAAGTCCTCATCTTCCTCGTCATCGAACTCATCTTCCTCTTCGTCATCCTCTACATATCTGCGGGGGAGCATTTAGCGATGTTCTATAACGACAAGCCGAGCGAACGATATTCCCGAATGCCACGCCGAGCACAACGCCGACCGCCACCGCGATGCACGGAGAAGACTCTCCGGATATCTGCTCGGCGGCGCATCGAGCGCACGGTTGCGCCGCGATGCGCCAACGAGTAACAATATCTTCGCTTATTCGGTGGCTGTCGCACCATACGGAGGGCAACGGCGTAGGGATCGAACGTTGGTTTGCGACAAACTCGGAAAAGGTTGCTTACTCTTCCTCCTCCTCATCGCCACTCGGGAGGGAAACGAGCTCTTCCTCCTCCTCTGCCTTTCTCTTGCGGCCGGTCATTGTGGAATGCGGCTTTGGGGGATGTCAATTGGGAAGAATATGAGAATTCAAGGGCGCAAAGGGGCGAATTTTGATGGCAGGCGAATAGGAGAGAGCTGAGAGGAGAGTGAGAGGACGGAAGGAAGGTTGCGAGGAAGGGGGATTTCTGGGGTGCTGGGCGGGCAAAGGCTGGGAGCTTGCGCGCGGCGGTACGTACCTTTCCCCAAGATTGATGGAAACAGGGAGAGCAAAGGGGTTGGATAGCGGGGAGCTGCTGTCGCCCAGCAGAGGCGGTGCGGAGAAAGGACACCTCCTACTGCCAGGGCGCTCTGTTTGTGCGTAACATTGCGCTTGTGCCTTAGGCAGAGGTTCCATCTGGGTGAGGGGCAGGAAGCTGCTTGGAGAACGGTGCTGCCTGGTACGGAGGTACCTGCTGCAGCCCGCTTCCGGGTAATATATCGGCTTTCCAAGTGGTCGGCAAGCGAGGGAGCTAGGACCCGCTGCAGGAGTCTTGGCTCAAAGATTGAGGTGCTAGGGCGTTCCAAAAGTCACTCCCTAACGTTGGGTAAGCCAAGTCCTCAGCCTCCTAGAGTCCTCACCCAACCACGCCATGGCCACATTAAATGATACAGAAACCAAGTTGCTTAGACCAACACAATACTGATTCGGTCACGGTATTGCTACTTCCCTACCACAGCATAGAGCTCAGACTCATTTCCATTACAGCCTGATATAGGCATTGTTTGGAGAGGAGTGTTCAAATTACATGCTCTCAGGCCTAGTTCGTGATGAATTGTGTGGTGGTGCCAAGGTTTTCGTGTACCATTTAATGTGGCCATAGCGTGCCAACCAACCTCCTACGCGGAGCTGGGACGTCATAGACACCGAGAGGTCCCGTCACGTGCAATTTCCGACGGAGTCGGCTGAACTTTGAGCCGGGTTGATAGGTATGGAACCGGCAAGGCCATCCGGTACACAACTGGCATCGGGGCGGGGGACAACTCTTGCCTCGCCATGTAGCCACCCTATGTAGGCGACGTCGTTCATCTGACATCGCTTGGACGTGGACAGAAGAGACAAGCTGGATCGTACATACTATACTCCTGCATGTCTCCCGCTGAGACAGGCGATGTTGCAATATCGGTTGGGTTGCAGGCATCCCATAGAAAGTCGCGACATCGGTCATTGGCTGTTCGGAGGAAATGCGCACGGATCCTGTGGCGTCGCGTCCGACGCGTCTGTAACTGATGAGTGACTTGTTGAGCTCAACACTTGGAGTGCCAGACGATGATGCTTTCCTCTAAGAGATGATGGTGAAGTTTCTCAGTTCTCGGATGTTGTTCCGAATATGTATGACATAGGTGCTCTTGTACATCAAAGTCGATCATCTGTAACTCCGTAGAGAGTTGCACTCCGTTTGCACACCGGACGCTAGAAAAGCCTGGAAAATGTCGAAGCTTCCAAAGATCCATACCAACAGCCAAGGCCGCCTGAGAGTGGGGAGCTCGTCCAGGCCGTCCAGGAGGTGTTACCGAAACTGGCTAGGTTAGGCATCGGAAGCTTCGCCAAGCGCAAGGCGTTTCCGGAGTGGTGGGTTCCTTGAGGCGCTCGGTCATTGCCGCATGGAGATGCATTCATGATTCTGGTCGGTTAGTTTGCTTCAAGAATAATAGTAATAACTGGTAACGGCGTCAACTTGACCAGGTGTGGAACGAAATGGCCAGTCAGCCAGTTGCGGCAGATGCTCCTATTTCTCCCCCTGACAGACCGAGAGTCCGGATGTTTCCAGTAGACCAGATAAATCGCGCTTAGGACATGCAAACAGTCAAACGCCACGGTTCGGTTTCGATTTGGAGTCGGGCTTTGTCGGCTTAAGCGAGAGGGCCTCTCGATGTTGATGCCGAACAGACCTTCGGCACAACTCAATCTCTTCCCGCTACTCGACACCGACGGCCACATCAACTTGGTCAACTATTTCTGAGATGACACTACCTATGCCGTTGGGTATGTTACCTCAAGTAAATGGACTCAGGATCTGTGGCCAGGCCCGGCCCGGAAGTAGGGAGCTATATGCCACCCAAAAACTGCACACGCACCGCACATGCCGACAACCATCCGCGGCCGTGTCGGGATAGATAAAAAGCTCTTCGTCGACTAAAACTAGGAGTTCCTGTATTGCCTCGCTGCTATGTCCCTGTGCCCTGCCGTGTCGTACCAGGAACTGCGGTGCTGCTACAGTACGTTTCCTGTACGGAGCACGGGCCTATCTACCAGCGGTTCACGACAAGGTCCCAAAGTTCCACAGATGTCAAGTTCTGAGCACCGCTTATTATGAAGACTTGCGCATGGCTGATCCAAGTCGACAATGACCATCCAATCGCTCCACAGAGACTGGATAATCAGTTCTCCCTCCCCAAAACGGCGGGCCTTGACCCTACAATGCCTTAACCATCTTACACTGTATATTGAACATTCCAACTCCGTATGATACGTCTACGTCATTAATTAACTACTGCGACTGCAACACTCTGAACCCAGTATCATAGCAATACTACTGCATATACTTCTGCTTACCCGGCCTGCTTGTGGTCCCTGCGTAGCGATTTGGAGTTTCAGGTTGAATGCGAAACCCCACCGATCAACCAATCTCCACACCATCGCCAGGTTTGCCAAGAAACCAATGCATGTCTGCAGATGCCAAGAGGGGAGTGCCGGCTTGGCATCGGTATTCCTTTTGAGTTTTGACGTATGTACGTATGGAGTACTTACGTACCTCTACGCACTCAGTGGCACTACATACGCAAGCATAGATTCCCCGACTGGGGCTCACACAACGGCAGGTACTTGTACTGGTACACGATTTTCGTGCCACGGTATACTTCCGTTCCCGAGTTGATGGCGCAGAAAAAGCTATAGATGACACACTCGGGCTCCTTACTCTCAAAGAACTAGGAAGAAGGGAATCAAGTATATACTTGGGCAGGAGAACTACATAGATTGGTACTGTACACTACGTATACAGTACAAACACTGCCTATGCGGGTGCACGACTGGCCGTGTCCACCACGTCATGGCCGATATTGACCCAGCCCGGGTCTTGCCACTTATGTATTAGGCATTTGGAGGCACTGCCGTCCTCAGCTCTGAAGGGAGAGCTCGGTGAAACGGACGCACAAACCCCAAGACTCAACAAGGACAAAATGGGCCGTTTCCGTTTGTCAAACATAAGGGTGAGTGCATGAAAGTGATCGCCAGACAGATCGTCCTTGTTCCTTGTCACAAGCCCCGGTTTACCGTTTACCCATAGTTAAGAGGTATGCTCGAGCATGGGGTCACTCCTTTTCTTCAACTGAAGCTTTAACTACCGTCAGCTTCTCGTCCGAGCTTCTCTCCGTTGTGCTTCTACTAGTTGCGGTGGCACTTCTTGAGAGCACGATATCTTCAACTTTTTGGGCCTTCGGCGTCATTTCAGCAGTGACACTGGCTGATTGCCGTCCGATCAGTTACCGATGCGCATCCATGATGCTTGCCCACCAGTGCTCTGGCAGAGCCTCCTTCGTCTTCCTGGTGGCGCTCCTCCTCATTCTATTCCTTTTGACGGCCAACAGACTTCACAATGGGCCCTCGCCAGCCTTTCCACGGTTGAGAGGACAATGGATCAGTGTCGACGACCAACAGTCTTTAATAGCAGAGAAACCGGACAACTTTTGCGGCCGGGACTTCAACCTCCTGCGCCAAGGGGATCTTGCCTTGACTAAGAGCATCGTTTATAGCCGCCGGTGCATCAGGCCTGTTCACGGCAATGTCGACCGCGCCGCTGTCACCAATATCAGCACGCCACTCATCACCAGCAAGACAACACTCAGTCTGACAGCCGAGTGCGCAACCGTTGAAGCCCCTCCATGTGAGCCCTTAACGCTTCACGTCCCCCCGAACTATCCTCAAGAACAGTACCCCCACCTCATCTTCGGTGTAGCATCCTCGCACGACCGCCTCTCAGAGTCCCTCCCGGTCTTTGCTCACTGGCTCTCCGGAACTGGCGCACAACTGGTGGCTGTTGTCTCAGACGCGGATCAGGTCGATTCCAAGTTCGACCTGCAATCCCTCGAAGCGGAATACCGCCAGCATAACATCGCCGCAACCTTCATCGCTCCCACACAGACGGTCGCCATCCCCCGCAAGGACACAACTACGGACGCGACCCCATCCTCCCCGGCGCCGGTAGAACAGCTGCACTTCCTCCTCATCCGCGACATGCTGGACCGCGCCACGCCCGAAACCCATTGGCTGGGCGTCCTGGACGACGACACCTTCTTCCCAGCCCTGCACCCCTTGTCCGCGGCCCTCCGGGAGCACGACCACACCGCGCCGACCTGGCTGGGCGCCTTGGCCGACAACTTCGTCTCGCTCCGCATATGGGGCTACATGGCGTACGGCGGGGCCGGCACATTCCTCTCCGTCCCGCTCGCCCGCCAGCTGGCACCGCACCTGGAGTCGTGCATCCGCGAGACGACGGTCGTGTCGGGCGACGGCATGCTCCGCGACTGCATCTACGCATACACCACCACCAAGCTGACCGTCGTCGAGGGGCTCTACCAGCACGACATACGCGGCGACGCGGCCGGGTTTTTCGAGTCCGGCCGCCGCGCGCTCAGCATCCACCACTGGAAATCGTGGTACCGCGCGCCCGTCGCCCAGATGGCGGCCGTCACGCGCGTGTGCGGCGACTGCTTCCTGCAGCGCTGGCGCTTCGGCAGCGGCACGCTGCTGGCCAACGGGTACAGCATCACCACGTACCGCGACGGGCTGCTAGACAGTATCGATCTGGGCAGGGTCGAGGGCACGTGGCAGGAGCCGGACGGGAAGTTTGACTTTGTCTACGGGCCCTTCCGGCCGCGGCTCAGCGAGCAGGAGAAGAAGAGTTACCGGCTTGTTGCCGTGGACGGGGAAGCCCAGAAGGGAGAGACGTTCAGGCAGGTTTATGTTCATCGCGCGCCGAGGAAGGAGGGGTCAAAGGGGGAGGACGTGGAGACGGAGGGGATGATGGATGAGGTTGTTGAGCTTATCTGGGAGGGCGGAGCTGCCTAGCAATAACTCAACGAACGGAAAGGGGTTTCAGTGGCAATGTAGTCGAGTTTGCCAAAGCAAAAGAAGACCCATAAGACGGTCGAAACTTGGACTAGAGGTCGGGGTCGGGGCGTTTCGGGATAGTCGGCTGGTTACGACTTGCCTTTCTTTCCGGGAGTACGTGTGTCGCCCGCAGATGAGGCCGGGGGCAACAGACGAGCTAGGAGTTAGTGCTCTCTTGTTTGGATCTCGTGTTATAGTCATACCAAACACGATCTGGAGTTCCTTCAATTCGGCAGTCAAAGAGTCCGAGTCACCTGCCGTCACCCGGCTGCGTTGAGCAAACCTACCAGAGCGAGCAGCAAAAATTGTACACCACAACCAAATGCGGCTGATGGGGACATTGGGCTCCATGCCATTCCAGGACTCGCCAGGTTCCCTAGCACGTCTTGGGGGGGAGAAGCTTGCCTTCAGGAAATAGAGGAACGCGTGGTGGAAACGAACGCACACGAAGGCACTTCAGACACCATATCACTGGAACAGAACAAAGGACCACCACTGAAGGCAGGTTCAGATACCACCGCTTTACTGTCATTTCCAAATCTATACACCAAACCAACTATACAAAGCATCAACCTTATGAACTCATCCTGCAACAGGACAGAGTCGACCGCGGACAAGGTACCTAGGCATGAGGCCCCCTTCCCAGGTCGCGCAAGAAGCACCCCAAAACACTTCTCCAACAGCCACGCCAGGCGGCACCATCGAAAATTAGGCGTAAACAATAACCCATCGTGAGAAACGGGGTAAAATAGAGCAAAGTAAAAGCGAGAGAAAGGGCAAAAAAGGCGCCCAAGAGTATTCGTAACCCATCCGCTCCCTGAACGAAACGCAACCGGGAATATTCCAAAATAAGAAGAATCCGCTCATGACGCCCCCGGAAGATATTGTCCTCTTTATAGATACCTTTAAAATATGTACCATTGCAATCCGTTGATTTGCCGCAGCTGGGGATGGTATGCTGCGTATTGGAAGAGGAAAGGGAGCGCAGATCCCTGACTCAATCACACCTTGCCCGCCTCCCTAACCGCCTGCATCCAGCGTTCTTCCTCCCCGTTCCCCCCAACGACACGGGGGGTCTTTGTTCCTTCCGGGGTCGTCCCGAGGATTGCCTGGACCTCGACAGCAGACTTGGTGCCCAGTAGTACCATTTCCTTCTGGAGAAGCAGCGCGACGCCGGCACGGATGAGGAGGGTGTCGCCTTCAAAGACGAACACGTCCCACAACCGGGTGGCCTCGTCCAAGGCGAGGTGGCGAGTGAAGAGGCCGGTAAAGATATCACTAAGGTAGAGGTTGGGGTCGTGGTCGGGCAGATGGGTGAGGTGCTCGTGCAGATTTGGGGATTTCTGCGCTAGAGTGTGTAAGAGCAGGTTGTATGCCGAGTTCTTCGCGCCCGCATCCGAGACATAAAAGCTAAGGGGTAAGGGGCGGTTCAAAACATTGGCTAGCGCAATGAAGGCGTCGGTTGCTGTCGGGAGGTTAAGGAGCAAGAGGGCTGCAATGGTCTGTAGTCGAATTAGATTGAGTTCTCTTTTCTGAAGCGTTTGGCATGAACTTACATTGCAGCCTGGCACGTATCCAATGTCGCTTCGGTACATGGCATATGCCCGAAGGACGTCCAGCAAGCTCTGATGAAGCGGGCCGCCCGGCTGGAAGATCCGTAGATCGGGCCATGTGCGCTCCCGAACATCTTTGCCGATAGCGTCAAACCAAGAAACCGCGCGCATCTCTTGAGCACTTCCATGTCCTGATTTTCCGTTTGTTTCAGCCTCACGCGCTCGGCTCAGTGCAGCCTCGAACGACGTCTTGGTGAGTCCGAGATCGTTCCCGATCGCGCGGGACCAAACAGCCCCCCGACTCCGTGGGGCAATCCCTCGCCACCACATGTCCCTTGTCCTGCGCTCGCGGATCGCATCGTTCCAGCGGGTAAGAATGTCGTGCTCCCAGATCTGCATTATGCTGTCGGCGGCAACGTCGCGGCATTCGGACCGGGCGCGTTTGGCGGCCTGGCGACGACGCTCGGCTTCGATGCTCTGCGCCATCATCTTCTGATACTCCTTCAAGTGGCGGCGCTCCTCGGCAGGATCCTTCGGTGGCAGCCATGACGGCCGCGTCCGCGAGAGAACAGCCTCCTTCTCCTTTGAGATGGGCAAGGGATCGATCATAATGTTTGACCGGCGCAAGGGCGGCAGCTCTGCCAGGGCTGATTTCACTCTAGGCTTGGATTCAGGATCCGAAGACCTCCTAGCGTTGGGCATTGAGCCGGTGCTGGAGCGTTGTTGGACCTTGTGCTCCATCTCCTCGGCGTGTTCCTCCAGCTTCTCGGTGAGCGCCTTTGCCTCGGCGTTCAAGTGTGCCAATGCAGCAGACCAGCTCTGGGCCCTCGAGCATGTCGGGCTAGACACCCGGCTGGAAGAGGCAGAGCTGATTGCCGACTCCGATTTCCAAGTTGGCGAGCGGAGCGATCCCTGGGCCAGGGCCACGGGGGGTGTACCATTGCCGACACTCCGCACCCTCTCCTTGGGTGGGCGCTCCGGAGATGGCGCTTTGGATGGCGGTCGGCTTTGGAACCGTTCCGATGGCGGTCGTGGGGAAAGAGGTACGTTATCCAGGACCAGCCCTTCGGGAATCTCGTCTCCGTCATCTTCATCGCATTCCAGCTCCAGCTCAAGCGCCGTCTTTCGCTCTCGGTTCGACTGCCAGCTACTCCGCCGCGTCCTCATTGCGGCGTTCGGATCTTTCGCAGATAGCGATACGCTAGGGCTAGGACTCCGTTGCCGCATAGATGTATGCGAGGACCGGCGGCTAGGGCCACGGAACGGAAGAGGACTAGTGTACGGCTCTGGGAGGAGCCCGAGGCTGGCAATTCGCCCATTGGTGGTTCGTATCTGGCTCTGCAGGATTGGCAGAGTCGGTCGTAACTTGGGACGGGTAGATGAATCAGATGGCTGGCGAGTCTTCGAAGCGTCACGCGAGTATTGTAGTCGAGGAGTCGAGGACGACACTTGTCTTTTCGTGACAGCCCGAAATTCAGAGGAGAATGATGGGTGATAAGGGTTTGGGGCTGACTTGAGGTGCTGGTCGGACAGGGTGCGAGGGCCGACCTGCGCATCGTCGAGTCCAATGTCTTCGAAGTGGTTCACATCGGCGAGCACACTGCCATCATCCGATGGAAGCGAACTAAGCGAGGAAGACTTGGAGGATTTCGACGCGGTCATGCTTGGTGGAGAGCCAGGCGCCGATAGGACGGCATCGTGAAGCGGTCGCTCGTAGATCATCATCTTGGCATGGTCGTCCTCACAAACTCGGATAGTTCTGCGCAAACTGAGAAGGCCTGCCTCCTGTTGATCCTAGGATCCGCCGGCTGATGTTTGTACTCTCGGTCCGAACTGGAGTGGAAGAACTACACGGAGAGCGGGAGTCGGTGCGGCATGAAGCGTTCCAGGACCGTGGTGCGAGAGGGCGATCGTTGGCCGGAGGGCGATCGGACGGAATGCGAGCGGCTAACCCCTGGATTGCCAGGACGGATGTCTCACAGTCGGTTAGGTCGAGGAACTGGCCGACGGATGAAACAGACAGAGACGCGAGGACGAAATAAGAGCCTGCGCTAAGAACAGGAGTAGTTGTATTATGTTTACTTGTATGTATGATTGAGCGATCGGATACTGCACTCAGTGGTCGTGTGCGGAAATCGTATATGCAGCCGCTGGTGCAGAGTGGTCAACGAAAGTCTGGGGAAACGTTGTATGCAGCGAATGTACGGAATTCGGGCGCCTTAGCGAGCGGAATGACGGCAGAGACGGCAAACGAGCGACTGGCCGATCCGACTATCTTATGTTAAGGAAAACAATAGGAAAGCGTCACGGCGACCAAGGTTGCGAAGATTGACAAAGGAAAAACAAGTCAAGAGAGGCAGCAAACCTGGAAAGGAGCTAACTGGCTAGCGCAAGCAAGCGGGAGGGGTGAAGGACGGAAATCAGTAGGAATCAGAGTGGAGGTCACTGCAAGTCTGGACCTATCGAAAGCCGGGGTAGATTCAAGCCAAGAAAACCCGCAGAATCCAAGGCACAACACTGCAGACCGACAGATGGTGATATCACAGGCCGAGAGATCCTCCGACAGCTTCTCTACAGTTTGAATTCAAGTACGAAGGTAGCATTGTAGCGCCAACAAACTGAGATAGGCCACTTGGCCGACAGCGCAACCCTTCCTCGGTGGTGGATACTGATGCAGACAAGAAGGGTCCATACATACCAAGGCAGTGTGAAAAACGTTATCGCATGGAGAAGCGTCCACGGATTCAAGTGCCTCTGCAACCCGAACCTCAGTTGTGCGAAGGGAAGTCCGAAGGGGCTCCCCAAGGTCCAATTCCTCGGCGTTGACACTGTCAAATCGCTGATGCCTAGACCGGACCGGGCCGATTCAACTGGCCAACTGTCAGCTCATGGCCAGAGCCGCCAGAGTGCTGGATGCAGTTTCAAAAAGCTCACGGTGACGGCAGAGCCAGAAACAAGTGTGGCTGCGGAGCGCCAAGAAGGGCGCCTCGGTGCACGTCAGCTTGCATGAGTGGACAACACGATGTTTGGTGTGGCGGCCAGCTCACCAGACTCTCTCGTTTGTGTGTCCCTCTCAAAATCAATTCAATATCATCTTAATTTAGAGGACCTCGTTGTTAGAAACCGAGTTTAAACTTTACATGTCCGAGACTCGACACTCGATGCTCTCAAGAAGAGCTCGAGATTCCCCCAATTCCCAAGCCATAGCAATTGGTGGACAGGGGTTGGAAATGACGAGGGGCACCGGTAATCTCGATTGCATAAGGCAGTCCGCGTCACATTGCCAGCGGAACAAGCCATCATTCCTTTGAACTTCCGGTGTTTCGCGATGGTCCGTGCCGCGCCCCAGACACGGACTCGGGGGTTAGGGATCGCCTAATGAACGTTCTGGCAGCACCGCAGCGTTTCCGTCGACTTAAAGGCACAGCAGATCAATGAGACAAGCAGGGACGACGCTATCCCTTCTTGATCTGCCGCTAGAACGAGTAACGTTACGCAGAAGAGCTCGAGCAGAAACTCTTGCTGCCCAATCTACGGAGGCGCAGCTGGAGACATCCAATCCATCTTCGATTCCGCCAGCCTCGCCTCAGAGCGAAGTGTGCCCGGTGTCCTTGACTTCATTGCCCGCTGTTCCCGGGCTTAGTACCGACGAGTGGTTGCTCAGAGAGGACCGTCCGATGACCTCCCACAATACAGAGTACATATGCGACCCTGGAGAGGGGAAATGCCAGGCGGGTTAAGGGAATCTCGAGACAGGTGCCTACAAGCAGTCTTAGCATACTGATGGCTAGGGTGTATATGCATGTGCTTGCGGCAGTCGGTCTTTCGCTCTCAATTCTCATTCGAACCCTCGGTTTTCCCTCCTACTCGGGTCACCTCGCTGTGACACCATGTAGGCGGCACAGATTGAGATCCTGCACCAAGCCCCCATTGAGAACCAATTGCACAGAGCCATGTTCTCTCAGACGGATGACGATTTGGGTTTTGAAGTGGTCACTTGTCTGTTTGCTGTTTCCATCTGGAACAGCCGTTTGTCTTGCTACCATGAAGGCTCGGTGAGTTTACGGCCGTCAGTTCTAGCCTGAATGATTTTGATTATGTGCAGGAAGGCACGAACTGGCAGTAGCAGCAGTGGTTCTTGCTACGGCATTTACCAATTATCAATTGCTCGTTTGAGAAGGAGACCTTAGGTACAATACTACTGCCAGCCCAAGTCCTCTCACCTTCAACACCTAACAATCGATCACCGACCCATTCCACCGAATTCAAATTTGCATGCCTCCCACTACCTACAAAATGCGCTCCTCTGTGCTCTTCAGCTTGGCGGCGTCCCTCATCACCGTCACCGCTGAGTGCTACGGCAACTTCTCCCTCAGCTGCACCGGCGTGAGCCTCTTCCACGGCTTCTTCCTCGGTGCTACCTGTGCGACCTGCTGCAACTCGGACGCCGACAGCGTCGTGGACGAGTCCGAGACCCAGAATGAGCTCGACCTGACCATGTGCATCGGCCTCAACCAAACGAGCGGCCATATGAAGTGGGAGGTGTAGTGAGTTATCTCTTTCGACACCAAGAACCACTAGTCTGGAAGGCGTGCGTGCTGACAGGTTGATTGCAATATCAGCGGCAAATTCTCCAACTACTGCAATAACTGCACCATGCTCCAGGCCGTTGGCAAGCCGAGCCACCTGCTCACTTGTTTCTGTGAGCCGTTGGTTGGCAGCCACGGTCCTGTCCAGTCGACACTCAACCTGGGTATGTCCTGTGTTACTCTGATCGAAGCACTGAGCACACTTGCTAATATCTATCAGACGATGGCATTAGCAATGACAGGGGTACTCTCAAGTGTGCTGGTGGCATGGCAAATCTGGCTCCCGGCAAGACGAATTCTGGCAAGAGTGATTAGGGCTGCATGCTAGGAGGCAAAGGGCTTTATACAGGCTCTGCTGCTCGTACGGCGAAGCCTGCGTATTCATGGATATGGACCCGGGCGGATGTCTCTTTCGACGGACGACGAGCAGGAGGAGGAGGAAGAACGAATCTCTCAAGACAGCAGGGTCCGCTTGGCACAATGTAGTTGGTTGACGACTAGGCTGCCCTTGGAGCAGACATTCCAGTAGGCTCTTGCAAACTCCATTCCCTCTTAGAATCTTCTTGCATCCCTGGTACCATGCATGGCTGCGGGCTGATAACGTTACGCTTCCCCTGTACTTGGACAACGGAAGCGAACATGCCACAGCTTTATTGCAACACCATCCGACGGTCCAACCCATCACATCAACTGAGCTGTATTGCCCGCGAGATACACAAGACGTCAAATAGGTACCTTACAATACTCCTTCTCGGACTAGAACAAGTTTCTGCCACGGTGTGTTTTACTGGTAAATAAATTCTGAGACTGTGACCGACTGCCTCCATCTCTGAACGTGAATTGAGGCTTCATCTAGGTACCTATCTTCATCCGTAGTTGGCTGATATTGTCCGCCATTTACCCAACATGATCTGGGAGACATGCATTGCATTTCCTTCCAGATGCACTCATAGAGAGAAGAGCCGGCCAGCCGGAGTCAACATCAACGATAAACTGACGGCACGCTACGCAGTGTATACACTGTATCAGTAATCTGGTCGCGAGTTAACAACTACACACTCCGCCGTATTTTGTGGGATGTTTGTGTTGTGGATACAGAGTACAATACAACCAACCGGGCCCGGAGAACCCCATCTTGCCGACCGGCCGCTGGAAGGACGGTATCTGGAGGGGTTAGACCCGGTCCGACCAGTAACCACTGCGCCCTCCTTTATTAGTTCCCCGCAACATGGATTAGATGTTAGCCATTTCGAGATGCTGTCCCCGCACGGGGCCGCACGAATCCCGTCAGCCGCTTGTAACTGGGCGACCATTAAGAAAAGACATAATAACGGCAGGACAAGCACAGAACCAGCTGTTGACTGTGAGGCGGTGCTTCCTCCGGCCGTTCCGGTGTTCTGCCTTCGCTCAGATCTTGCGTCTAGCATCGATGACTTGATAACTACCCTTGGTCACCATCATCAATCATATCTTGCAAGCTTCTTCGAATTCATCGAATGCATAAGTCTATTGTCTATCCTTCCGATAGTGCTTCTATCCCAACGACGTAGGAACGAGCAGTAACCGACAAAACCGCCGACGAACTTTTTGTGGGAGGTCGTTGCCGTAGATCCGATCCGAGACTACATCTGCTTCCCGCCGCGGACCACAGCAGGAGTCCGCTTCCGGCCAGCTCCCAATAGAAAAGGGCTGTCACGAGGAAGGATGTAAAAGAAGTTGAGCAAATTCCCGCGAGCCTGGTCATCTAAGGCGAGCTGCCGAGAGTTGCAGTCAAGTCCGCGAGAACCGTCCAAAGAGAAAAAATAATCAGCACCACCATCATCGACCACATCAAGCCACCGGCTTCATCTTAGCGGGGCGTGTTCCCAGGCCGTTATGGTTGCGGAAAAACAGCACACCCTTGGCGGGGCCTTCCGCGCCCTCGGTTGGCTCGACCCACTGGCACCAGCGCGCACTCTTCCACATGGCCTTGATGAAGCCGACGGGACCTTCACGCGTGTCCGACCGGTAGTGACGGCCCATGATGGGCTTGATGGCCTCGGTGGCCTCGTCGGCATTGTAAAAGGGGATGGTGCTGACGTAGTGGTGCAGAACGTGCGTCTCGATGATGCCGTGCAGCAGGTGGCGACCAATGAAGCCGAACTCGCGGTCGATAGTGGCGGCGGCACCACGCACGAAGTTCCACTCCTCCTCAGTGTAGTGCGGCAGGGAGGGATCGGTGTGCTGCAGATATGTGATGGCGACTGATTGTTCTGGTTAGCGACTTCTTCTTTTGATTGGAGACCATCGAGTACTTACCGAGCCAGTGGTTGACCCAGAGATAGGGCAGGAAATACCACACAAACATGTTGGACCAGCCGAACGTCTTGCCGAGATAGACGAGCGCCGTGATGGTGATGGCGAGACCAAGATCGCTCAGCAGGATATACAGGGCATCCCTATTCTCGAAAATCGGACTACGGGGATCGAAATGATTGACGCCACCGAACCAGCCATTCCTCTTTCCCTTGCCGCGGCCCTCTCTCTGCCTCTCGTGGTTGTTGTGGCCGGTGACATTGGTCAGGAGGTAGTTCCACCAGCCAATCAGTTGCTGGCCCAGCAAGTGGAGGAAGGTGAAGATGGGCGTCTCCTCGGTCAGCTCCGAAAGCTCATGGACAAAGCGGCCGATGCGGGTGGCGTGCTGCTCCCTGGTACGGGGGAGAAACACCATGTCGCGCTCCATATTTCCGGTGGCCTTGTGGTGCTTGCTGTGGCTGAACTGCCAGCTGAAGTAGGGCACCAGCAGGGCCGAGTGCAAGACCCAGCCAACGAAGTTGTTGAGCTTTGTCGAAGGGGAGAAGGCCTGGTGTCCGCACTCGTGGGCAAGGACCCAGATTCCGGTGCCGAAAAGACCTTGAAGGAACGTATACACGCCCCAAAGTACGACGCGCAGCGCCTGTGACGGAATGTACTCCGGAGTTACAAACTTATTCCAGATATAAAAGGTCGTCCCGAGGTAGATCAGGTCCCGGGCAACATAAGACAAGCTGCGGACGGCGGAACGCTCGTAGCAATGCTTGGGGATCGCATCACGAATATCCTTGATTGTGAAATTGGGGACCTCGAACTCATTCCCGTATGTGTCGACCAGCTTGCCGTACTTCTTTTGTGGCTGCGCATCCTCGGAGGCCAGCGAGGACAACGACGTGGACGACGCCGACGGACGAGGAGAGTCGATAGGAGACACGACAGCGCTCGTGTCAGAGTCCACCGTGGTCGAGGTTATGTTTCTTCTTAGGAACGGTTTGTTTGCAGCCGGGAGGCTGGTGCTGGCGGCGGGAGCCATGCTGTTGCACCTTTGTGGGTTTGATGAGCACGGAGGGAGTGTACCGCGTTCTTCGAGAATGACAGCACAGATCGGGGCCTTGGGTAGGAGGGTTAGCACTGCGCTGTTGCTTCCCAATTCCGGCAATTGTAAATGAGGAAGGTTGGGTGAGGTGTGACATACCGTCAAGAGGGAACCTCGAGCGACACAGAAAGAGAGGAAAGGAGACGCAAGGGTGTGGGGGGCAAGGGAAAGAAAAGATGCTCGGAAGCTCCTTCCGTCGATCGTCAGCCAAGGGTCGAAAATTTCATGTGGGTGCCGCTTAGGTTGCCGGGTATGAACTCTTTGAGGTTACCGTGGGCTAACCGTGGGTCGATTACCTGCAATTTGTTGGGGCCGACCTCTATCGCAGATACACTGGTTGTGTGCAGTTGGAGAAAGAAACCTCAGGAACGGAGCAACTCAGAAGAAACACTTGCACCAGCCGTGACAACAGAACGGAGGCGGCAGTTGGACTGTTATAAGGGCAAACCCACGGGAAGACTTTTCTCAGCGCCTGTCGAGCACGCCTCATCTGCGGATCGAGATGAATCGCGGCCACCTCTCAAACTCCACACAACCCAACCCACTGTCTCCCTTGCCCGGGAGGCGACAGCTGGATTCCCTGAGACGGCCCAAGTGGGCGAGCATTAGGAGTTACTGGGTCGGATGCCAAGCATATAGGGACTTCACCGCCTCTGGGAGGCGGGAATGCCAGCTCATACCGGAACCTCTCGGCCGGCCAGCATGTGAATGTGGTCCATGAATGCATTTTCCGAGCTGATGAATTGGACAGATTCACAGGCGAATTGTGTCTTACCGATGCCCAGCCGATTGGTTGGGCGGAGATCGGGCTAGCCCAAGCTAGAACTGGCTTATCGAAGATCAACCACTTGCATGTGCAGCTTCATTCCTAGCGTGTAGTGTATCGCTGCCAGACGCATATGGACGGTGTGCAGTGATGCGAATAAAATGCCGAGGTCTGGGTTTTGTGCGCATCATGGCGAGGTCATCAGGAAATCTTTTCGATCGCTTCTGCCACAGGGCGGAGTCGTCATGACTCGGGAAAAGGCTGCGGTGTCACAAAAGAAGGGCTCGCAAAAAGAAGTGTGGAAATGCGGACCCTGCATGTGCATCCCCTGCAAGGGACTCTTGAATTTGCCGCGGGGGGGACCGGTATCTCGAGCACTGCAGGACAATTCCATCGATGTTTTCCACCTCCGCAACGTCGGGTCTGCTCGCTGTGTCCTGGCTTCTAGCACGTAACACATAGTTTACATCACGGACGACATTCGGTGTGCCAGTGTTGCAAATTGAAGTTCTACATTCTGTCCTGGACGGAATGGTCGTGTGGGCGTGTTGTGAAATTCAGAAATGAAGAAAACCTGCGCCAATCAGGAATCAGTTTTCTGCGGTGTGCAGCTTTTGCGTGGAGGCTCAATTCTGTTGGGGGCGCTAAGCTGCCCCTGCCGCTTTTGTTGAGTCTTCCACGAGGCCACGACAAGTCATCACTCCTGAAAATTGCACTCAGATTCACCCGGTGAGACATCGGAATGGAAGACGGGATCCATCTGTGTTTTATTCCTTTCTGTAACTAGAATCGGCCGCGCCAGAGACCCAGAGTAGCCCTGTTCCCTTCGTCCCCCCGTTCTCCGCTTCCAGGTTGACTCCGGATCTGACTGGAAATCGTCCCCCGGGGCGCCCCGGCGAAAAACCGAGGCGGGTCCTCCCGCAGCCCTACGCCTTCGGGACTTGGCAGGGAACGTCGTCTCTTGGCAGTGCTTTATTTCTTTGTACATTAGGTTATTCTTCGCCAGCGAATATCCCATCCACCACAATGTATATAAACAAATACTCGGTACGGGACGAAATGAACGGAATAGCCTTCTAATCATACCGCTTTCACTGCCGTTGTAGACCGGGTTGCAAGTTAGCCCGAAAGCAAACAAAATTAAGGTTTAACGTACAGTTTCCTGCTAACGTACATTATAAGCGAGCCGAACACTCTCCACTACTCTATAACAACTACCCTCAATTGCAATGCAACAACACTAAAAACCAACTACAATTACATCAGAAACAGATGAATCAGACCCTTCTGCACCCTCCTGGCAAGTGCGGGCATTATGGCCAGGCTTGCCGCACATACCACAGCACCGAACCTTCGTACGACTCCCCCCAGCACTACTACCATCCAGCTGTATTTCTTGCATTGCCTCCCCACCTACAGCCCCCTGGCTTGCCACCTCCTGTGCCTCCTGCACAGTAAGTGATCCTCCAAGCCGCACACGTGTTTTTTCGGCTCTCCGGCGCTTGCTTAGCGCCTCGTTAGCCTTGCGGAGCGAAGACACCTCTGCCTGAAGGAGGGCTACCTGGTGCATTATAGCCATCGTACCCTTGGTAAGCTGGTCTATAGCAGCCAACATTGAAGTCGGGGAGCTATTTTGATGGTTGGCAATGCGAGTCTTGATAAGCGTTGACTATGACTTGGCTTCTCGAAGGTTGTGTGGTGTCTGGAAGACCCAAGATTATATAGTGCCTGGCCGTGAGGTTAGGGGTGTTGGTGTACGAAGCTTGATATCTAGCTTCGAAAGCACCCTCTCTGGATCGTATAGCACAAGGCTAGCCCCTACAAAACCGCCCTAGATATTCCTCTTGGTGGTAGAGGCAAAGAAGGCCACGCGAAAGGCATAAAGGAACTCGAGCTTGCTGACGTGGTTGATATACGCGCGTATTAAGTCCTCGATCTGGCGACTGTACGCCTGCTTCAACGGCCTAAAGCAGCCAACATCAAGTGGCTGGAGGAGGTGGGAGGAATGTGGAGGTATATAGAGTGTGATAATATTGTTCTACTGGCAGTAGAGCTCGAACTTGGTCGAGTGGTGGCTTTTATAGCCATCGAGGATCAATAACCGGTATTTGCCCTTTGTCCGAGGCGCTACATAGTAGTCGAAGTACTTGATCTAATCAAGGCCTATTACATTGGTAGTCCAGCCATTCTCGGTAGTTGCGATACGCCAGTTGGCTACGAGGTTGCACTTGGTATACTAGTTGGCGAGGTGGTACTATACGGCTGAGATGATGAACGGAGGGATAGCCCAGCCAAGGGCATTGACACCTTGGATCACTATCGCCCATTCGCGATTGCCAGGCTAGGCCAGCTTCGCCTTGCCACGGCCATCCGAGGTTGTAACCACTGTGACGGTAGAACGCATCGACCATCATGATGATATCATTTGCACATATAATGATTCATCATACCAAGTGATGATTCATTATGCATGTTCCATTACATCATGCATGCAAGCTCAGACCTACTTGCATCCTGTATTTAAAGCCTACCTTGCAGTCTCGAGGATTTCTTTCCTCCTGCAAGTTCAATATTCTTGCAATGCAGTCAGTTTACCACCAGAGGCTTGACCCTGGCCTTGAACGACGGCCCTCGTGACAACCACCATACCCGGGAAGATAATGCCTATTATAAACCTACTCTTATCGAAGTTGTACATATTGTCATCTATAATGCCGTACTTGGCCTTAATATTCCATACAAGGGTAAACCATTCGCCAATAACCTTCGGATCCTCGCACTTGGCCCTCTGGTAGTCGTATCTATACGTATAACGCGTCCGGAGCTCTGGCTAGCATTTGACAAAGTTATACGCCCAGAGCTTGCCGACAGGGGGCGCATCACGTATGTATAGCAGTTGATTAGCCATATCTTCTATACCATATAGTCTCGGCAGAAAAGCTCGCTCAGATAGCTCAATTATATATTGAATAAGAGCCTTCTCTTCGGAATCGGTGAGCCGGCGCGAGTTGGGCGTAGTGTCGCGTCGTGCAGGTCGGCCAGCGCGCCGGTCGTAGAGGGTCGTAACTGGCACGTTATAGAGCTTGGCTATGGCTCGGAGGCTTAGTTCCTTGTCGTTTTGAAGAGCTTTGAGGGCTAAAATTACCCTGGCTTCCTTTGAAGTAGAAGACATGTTGGGTTGTAGAAAAACTAATGTTTAGGTGGAGGGAAGACGCGTTGTGCCAAGAAGTGTTCGACTCGCTTATATGTTCGGCTCGCTTATAATGTACGTTACTTGTTTAACCCCCCTTTAATTCGACCACCTTCTATGCGAGGAACCTACCAACAAGACCGCCGAGGGTAGAGACCTAGTAAGAGAGCCTCTGAGCCTGCCTAGCTAGAGCCAGTTTTGAGGGCCGGAGTCCCTGAAGTCAAGCGGTACTCCGAGAATCAAGAAACAGGAATTCGAGTTCATGTTTGAGAGCGAAGCCGGATACGTTCTATAGAAATGTTAGTATATACTTCTAGAAGAGGAGCTGAAATCTATACAACGTTTGTTCGTACGAGGCAAAATGGTACTATTGTAGTCATCGATATGAACTAAGCTAGTGATTATAAGAAGTCAGTAAATACACCCAACTGCTGATCTGAATCTGAGATAACCATATACATGCTCTGTTCCGTCTATATTACCATCAATCCAAGAAGCCGGCTGCCCGCGGTCCCTTCCTGGCATCCTGCCAATATATCGCCTCGGTGCTCGATAACTAAGGCATCTCGGACGTATCGCACTTGGGGCGGATATAGTGCCTTATGCATCTAGTTCCTTTCCTTTCCTCCTCCTCCTGCTCTTCCTCCTCTCAGTGCCCCTGGTGGAAAATCATTGAATAAGGGGGCACAAATACCGGTCAGGCCATTATTCGCGAAGCATTCTCGTGGCGCATCTGCCAGAGCGATACAGGGCCTATGATACCCTCCGGCAAGCGCAAGTGGTGAATAGCGTCGCCACGGGAGTGGATATCAACACCCTGGATCCGTTCGACCTCGATCCATAGGTAATAGGCATCAGGGGTAACCTTTTCCCAGGACTCAACCATGTCATGACTGAGCTCGACGTCCATGTGCCACGCCAAGTAAGCATAGCCACTCTGCTTGCCTTGTTCCTGTGATAGATGACTGCGCATGCTTCCCCTGTTTCACCAAACCACAATACCATCCTCTCCAATTGCGGCATATTTAGCGTAGCCAAACTGGCATTATGTAATAACGCAGAGATCTCCTTTCGAGGAGCTGTCGATGTTAGAGTTCGTGACGTAAGTGCCAGTGATCGCAGGTGAGGCCAGGTATAAGATTGTTGGCAGGCGTTGAAGGATCATTTGGCGTCGAACATGAATGAAACAGAAAGATGCTCAAAGCCACAGCTTTTTGGGACGAACGCCTCAACTAACCGTTGGTGTGCCATAGGGTCGTCGGAATCGTGCAGCTGAGGCGGACTGCTGCGAACTGCCGACGCAACGTGTTCGTTGGCATTCTTAAAGATGGAGACCGTTTTGAGGTCGGGCGGTAAACGGTGCTCCAAAATATACAGGAAGGCTATCGCGGCATTAGAGAATACTAATGCAGTACGCGGTCGAGGCAGTAACATATCCAGATAGTACGTGGCCAGCCCTTCCCGCTTGGGCAGCCATGGCTCGTAGAGCAGAGTTTCCAGTCGAGGGAGTCTCTCCGATATGAAACCCAGAGGCTCTGGAGCGATCTGACGTCGAAGCTGTCGACGTATCACAAGCCCGGTGACTGCGTGAGCTGCGGACAGGTCCCTCGGGAGGCTTGGCTGCCCTCACGGCGCTAAGCAAAGAGGGGAGAAAAGCCGCCTTGTAGCTGGCACAGGAGGCTGCTGGACTTGCTTGCCACTGACCCAGCCATGCTTTGGGTCATGCCATATAGCCGCATCTTGCTGAGGCTGGAACAGACTCTCATTATCCAGTCCGAAATGATAGTTCTTGAACCAGTGTTCCGAGTCGCTTGGCGAGTAGGCATTCAGCTCTAATGTCAGACGACCTGTGGGCTGCCAGGTGCTAAGCGCTGGAAACAGCTTCTTCATCGCTTCATGAACAATGCTTCTGTGTAGGGATGTGCATATGAGAGACTCCTCTTGGTTGCATGCTTGACAGGTATACCGTGGAAGCTCAATAATCAGGCAGATATGTTGAACAAGATCTCTTTGTCGGACGACCATCTCGTTGAGTTTCCCTATGCAGCATGGCAGTAGGTTCAGTCGGCGGAAGTTCTTTGGTTCGATGAAGTCCCGCCATTCCGTGGAAACAGCTGCGCAAGAAGCCCAGCCACGATGCTTCTGGCGTGCGACTTCCTCAAGGATCGTACGACGGATTTCGACAGGCAACGAAGCCCAGGAGCGACAAGTTCTCGCATTTTTGGCGCTGCGAAGCGCGAGGTTACTGGGGAGCATATTGCCCGGTCTCTCCGACATGTTGAGGTTAAAGTTCCCTGGTCGGGGATTGTGGTTGGAAGCAGGGAGAGAATCTGTGGCAAGATAGTGGTTTCAGGCTTTCAGCGAGGCACGATCACCTCTGCGTAAGGTATATTTGGTGACGCTAGAGCGTCTAAGTGGGTCATCCCAGGCACCTTATAGGAGTGGTGATGTAACTGATACGCTTTATTGCGCTTGTTGCGTACAGAAGTCACTCAGATTAACCACTAACAAAACGAAGCTTCGATGGCTTGGGAACTACTTCGTACTATATCAAGTCTTAATCTTCACAGTATCACAATGCTCCAGCGAGACAAGTGTACATCAAGGGTTGGATACCTCACACAGCCCACCCAGTTGATCATCACACAGCCTTGGTATTTTATATATCATACGCCTTCAATGCTTGACAAGAACCACAGCTCTTAACGCCGACTACTCTAAGAATGACCTAGGTGACCAGGCCTTACAATATTATCGCCTCACAGAGGATTCGTTACGTGTTGCATCCACAGCTTTCCGATTGAGCTCTTTCTCATCCAGCCGCACACATCCTTTTTCTTTTTTTCACCCCTCCCCTCAGGAATCCAAAATGAGCGGATCCTCCGCCGTGCCGCTTCCCGACAACACACGGTGCCGGCGCGCAAGCTCTCGGGCGTACTGGAGCTGACGCTGCTGCTGCCGGGCCAGGTCCTCAAGAATGACCCCTAAGTAGGGGTTTGCCACAGGCGTCTCCTTCACTACCCAAGGCGGTCTCTTGGCAGCTCCCGGAGTGGTCCTCTGCCCGCCCGCTTTTCGCTTCCGGCTGGGGGGCGTCGAGGCAGCAGGAGTCGGCTGACTGGCGACTTGCTCGTCATTCTCCGGCGGTGGCCCTTCCGCCTCCGGCTGCTGCTCCTCCTCCTCCTCCTCCTCCTCCTCCATGCCGATGTCCTCCCCCTCCTCGTACTCGTGGTGTAGGCCCATTGACATGGACGGAGTACATGTCTCGTCGGCTGAGTCGTCGCTGTCCACGCCCACGGAGCCAAACGCATACTGCCAATCCCGGTCTATCGTCTGCCTGGCCCGCCTTATGGCTTCATCTGTTTCGATGCTCTGCATTACCGACGATCGGAGGATTCTCTCGAGCTGCAGATCTGTTAGAGGTCTGGGTTGCAGATCTTGATGGTCCATTACTTACCAATTTGTGCTGCTTGTCTATCTTCTCGACCAGTACCTTTCTCTCTTCTTTCCACGCCCTTTTGATCCTTTTCTGTCGTTCCTGAATCTTTTCGATGCTGGCTGATAAACCCTGTATGCTGTCAAGGCATGTGCTGGTCCGCTCGTTGAATACGTCTCTGGTCTCACGCAGAAGATCATGGAGGGCTTCTTCTCTTGCATGCGCCTGGACCTGATCCTGGACCTGCTCGCCACGCCCGCCTTCTATCGTGCCCTCTGCGACTTGCTGTTCTTGCGGTCGATCCCAGGGTTGTTGAGCGGTTACGATAGCAGGAGCTTCAGTGGACGTCGGAGAGTTGGCCGGGGTAGCCAGCTGCAGTTTCGGTGACGCATCCGATCCTTGACCTGCATTATCGGGCTCTCTCTTCAGTTCCGGAGGACTTTGCACGTCCTCAATTCGTGGTATACCCCCATTACACCTCCGAAGCCTGTCTTCACTCCTATCCGGCGACCTCTGGGCCTCCGACCCTTCCCCGCGGTTTGGACTCCGGGGCGTTTGGTTGCGGCTTCTTCGAAAATGGTTGCGGTAGGGCCCCCATCGGTGGGCTCGGGGCGAATCAGAGTGTGATGAAGGCCGTTTACTCGTATTAGACGGCCGGTTACCTGACCGGTTGGTACCTGATGAGTTGCTGCCCGACGGCCTGTTGCGCAACCAGTGGTTCCCGGTCCCGGATGGAAGGCCACCGGCCTGCCACGCTGCCATCTGGCCTGAAGACCTTGCTAGGCGTTCCTTGAGCTGCTCGAGATCAGCTCGGGCGAAATTGCAATGGCGTAACTCCGCCACAAACCTCCTTAAGCCTCCTGACATGCGGCTCGTTGCGTCTTCTAGCCTCGTCGGCCCTGCTTTGCTCCACCGCGCGCTTCAGTCTCTCGGGATGGACCGGTGGCCGACCTGGTGGTGGAATCTCCAAGTAAGAGCGGGGGAACCTCTGCTTGGTGGGAGAAACTGCGGGTTCCTTGGACGCTTGATATGCTGCATCGAAATCATAGATGGCCTTCCCCGCCCTCTTGAGTTCCCAGCACTGCTCCAGACGCTGATGCATGCCAGCTGCTATTCCATGTGTGGGTTAAGCCCGGGTGTGCAATATCGTCGTTGCTGAAATGGGGAAAGACTCCGAAGGTACCTAGTAGGCCGTCTGGATTTTGACCGTCCCAGGAAAGTGACAGAAAGGATGTGTGCGGCCTGTTGTGCGATGGTGGCCAAATGTGTCAATAATCAGATAAGCATCAACCTTCTAAGTCCTCACACATTTAGAACCGTTTACCGACCTTGACGCGAGAATCGATGGGTAGGACGCGAGACGCGTATTGACAGACGTACTCTACCTAGCCGATCTGTCTAACACAGGTTCAGAACTGCGTTTGCAGGCACATGTAGCAAAACTTGATGTATGCATAAGCTCAAGGGTTTCATTGCCAGCCCTTCTGGCCCTACCTAGGTTGCTTTCTTCTCTTTTCTTATCCCGTAGAGCAACTGTCACTCAGACTTTGCTTTCAAGACTTCTCAAGTCTATCCCCTCTACCCAGAGACACGCCTCGCCAACAAATGGCACATCTACCTAGGTACAAACGCGCCCCGAATGTTAGCTACGAGATGTCAATCCTATTATTGAAAAACGTCCCGTTCCGGTTCGGCCAATGGCTGGTTCCGACCGGCTTCGACTTGGCCTCAACCGACCCGTGTGGCCACCAGTCCGTTTGCCTTGCTCTTCCACCTGCCACCACAGTGAATGGGGCGCGCCAAGTGTCTCTGGAGAACAGTTAGAGTTTCAATAACCTTGTAACAACCACCCGAACACCCCTCGTGCTCCGCTCCGGGTAACGTTTCTTACATATTACATACGCCCGGGATCGAAGTCCTAGTTCTCTGGTAGTAGGCAGGCATGGCCGAGGAGGGTATAAACAGACGATGTGATGAGACTGCTCACGCCGTGTTACACGACGTAATGAAAGACATAAGGTAGTTTCCAACTTGGTTTTCTATGCTGTGGACCTCAAATAGGTATCCAGCACAGGGGAGTAATATAAAATCCGCTCCCGGTTCGAAGGTGGCCAAGCCTGTTGTTTTGAACCACATTGACGTTGAGCGATTATTTAGTACCTTAAAAACATGGTGCTGTACATACTTATCTATGCGACGCTGGCATGCAACCCTGCTCTAATAAAGCTTCCACGAACCCACTAACCTTGAATCGTCGTAGTGATTCTTCCAACTGTGCCTTTATTGCCCTTCCGCTGACCAGACCAGGCTGGAACTCCCGCCCAAGAAAACCCCAACATCAGATTGTCCCGGCGTTTCGCCATTCTAAGTCAGCCCACCCGTTCTCCTGATGACATTGATACCAAATTCAAGGGACGGCGCAACCGGCATGGTACAGCATATATGAGACACGAGAAAAACAGCCAAATAGCAGAACAAGTCAAATTTCCCTTCCTTACTCCAGCTTCAGCTTTACGCATAGAAACCCTAATTGACAATCTCCTCGGTCTCCTCCAACACCTCCTCCATGACCTCCTCCACAATCTGCTCCTTGGCGCTGCCATCGGCCGCGACCTCAACCGGCTTCGTCTTCTCAAGCAGCTCGGCAACCGGATCCTCGGGCAGGCCGAGCGCGGCCCGTTCATCGATGAGCTCCTCCTCCTGGGACTCGCGCCAGGCGAAGAACTCTTCGAGCATGCGGCGGCGGGCCGCGACGACCGCGACATCGGCGGAGCTGATGCGCTCCTCGTCCTCGCGCTCGAAGACGCGCGAGTACTCGCGGAGGTTCTTGCGAATCTGCTTCTGCTCCTCCTTGGTGAGCAGCGTGGGTGGGCGGGGCCGCCACGCCCACTGCTTGAACTTCTCGATGGGCTCCTCGCGCAGCAGCTCGCCCCTGAAGTCGTACAGGTGGTAGCCATTCTCCATCTGTGGTTCGACGAGCGGTCAGTTGACAAATCTTGTTTGGTAGGGGCAGCTGTCACTTACAGAATGCTTCCACGCCGACGCCCAGGTGGCGACGTAGCGGCCCGAGGGATCCCACTCGACGTCGGTTACGCCGTAGTGGTCGGCCGTGTTCATGACTTGCAGGCACGCTGTCAGGTCCTTCTCCGCCTCCGGCTTCTCGCCCTCAAAGTCGAGGTCGAAGAAGTCGAGGTCCGAGCTCTGGGTGTTGGCGATTGTGGCGAGGACGACGAATCTGCCCTTCGGTGACCAGTAAATGGCATTGTGGTTCTTCTTCTCGAGCGTCCGCAGATGCTTGAAGTTTCCGACCGCGTTACCCTTGACCTTTTCGGGACAGAAGAAGGAAACCGCTGTCTTGGGCGGTACAGCGGTGGCTCCCACCGGCTCAGTTGTAGTGATGATGACAAACCGATCACCTTTGGGTTCCCAGGCAAAGTTAATGACCGTGTCCTTGATCGTGTCGACCACCTCGACGGGGACACCCTTCTCCTTGACGCGGAAAATCTCGAGTGTGGTAGCCAGAGACTTCTTGGACTTGGAGTGCCGGTCGACCTTGACGCAGATGTACGAAGCGTCGGACTGCCAGTGAAGCTTGGCATCTGAGACACTGAACAGATTGAGGGACCGGACAATCTGCTTAGAGGGGATGCTCATCAAGCCGACTCTCGCCGGGTTGCTGCCGATTTCTGGCGTCCAGAAGCAGAAGAGCTGCTCATACTCCTTGACACCATCTCGGCGCGGGCTGGCGGGCGCCCACTCGAAATCCATCACGCCCTCGAGCTTGATTGCTGTCTTGTCGAGGAGGTTCATCTTGGGCAGCTCGTAAACTGAAATCGAAGTGCCTTGGTTCAGCCTGGCCACGTACTTGTCGTCGGCAGACCACTTGAACGCGGGCCAGGGGGCCCTGGGCGGCTTCTTGGCAGCAAGCTGCTCCTCAGTGGCCTGTACATCTTGCTGGGCAAACGATCGCAGAGGTTTGGCGGTATCGATGTCCCAGATCACGTAGTTCTTGCCGTCATCGTCGAGCGTCAGGGCGGGATGGCCAGTTTCGGGGATCGAGATTGGCCGGTTCGACCAGGTAACCAGATACTTTTCGTTGGGGGAGAACGCAACCAGGTTGACGAAGGGATGAGGGAACCGTCTCAGCCTTGCCCACGACGCACCACCCCAGAGTTGCACACCCTGCGCATGGACAGAGGTGAGATATGTTCCCAGAGGCGACCACTGAACGAAGGTCTCGGTCCACTGCTGTCGGTCGACAATGTTCTCCGGCTGATCCTTCTCGTTGTTCCAGAAGACGCCCACCGTGTCCCCTCTGTACATGACAAACTGATCTCTACCCCGCCCGCTGGGGTCCGCCATGAAGGACCGGAGGTGTTCCTTCTCCTCGAATGGCGGAATCTCCGGCGGGGTGTACTCCTCATCGATGCGCCCTTCTCGCCCATACCGGTCGATATCGGTGAGCTTGTTGACGCGCAGGGTGTGCTTCTTGTCAAGCGGGAAGTAATCGAGTTGCCGTACGGCGGCGGCGGCCTCGGCAGGCGAGGAGAATTCGACAAAGGCGAAGCTGCAGCAACCGTCGTCAGCATGATTGCACGGACTGCACGAGTCCGCGGATCGCATGCGAAAAGACACACCTCAACGACTTCCCATCGTCGCCCATGGGCATATAAATAAGGTCCTCCCGGGTCCGGCCCACGGTGTTGAGCTTCTTCAGCAGCACCTTGATAAGCTTCGGCTTTTGATCCTCGTTAACGGTGGGTAGGTTGTCGATAACAACGAAGGTGTCGTAGCCCTGCTCGAGCTGGACCTCATATTTTTCTCGCAGATCCGAGATGTCGACCTCGTCCACATCGAAGTCCTCCTCGTCGAGGTCCTCCTCGCGCAAATGGTCAAATGACGGCGCCATGCTGGGCAATCTGTGGTGCAAAACTGTTGCGTGAAAATGGGATGCGTCTCGTTGCGCTGCCGTGGGGGACTGGGGAGACCTGAATTGACGAGATTTTGTGCGTTGCGCAGAAGTTGGTGGGGTTCAGCCAGATCTTCCCGACCTTTGGCTGTCGAGAAAATGCCCCACACAGATCTCTGCAGTCAGCGAGTCGAGGTACTATGCACACACCTTGCTCGATGTCTAGGAGTCTTCAGATGCCGGACTAGATGTCGCGAAACGGCAGCCGAACGAAGATACAGACAGCCAAGACTGTTCTATAGACGTGGATATGAAGTTTCTTTGTCTGCCTTCCCCAACCTGCTCTTGAGGGTAAACTTCCGTTTTGGGCGGTAGGTGTATGGTACCAACTGAGGCAAAAGCGGTGAGGGGAGCTCTGAAATTTTGCCATTTCCTTGGGCAAAAAGTCCGAAGCAGCTTCGCGCGGTGGACTGCGATGCCCGCCTGCTGCTTCTAACGTGCCCCTCCTCCCCGCCATATCACGGACCCCTTGCTCCAGCGAACATCACCCCATACGTAGATTTTTGTTTCTCCTAGATATCCAAACAGGCCAGAATCATGGTATGTCTGCTGCTCGCGGTCGAGTTTCTCCTTCCCCTCCGGGCTTCATGTTAACAATTTGCAGTCTTCATTTAGCCCAACCCAGATCTTCGAAGAGGGCACAACGGAGGAAAAGGGTGAGAATGCCCGCCTCACTGCCTTCGTCGGCGCCATTGCCGTCGGGGACCTGGTAAAGAGCACTCTTGGGCCAAAGGGCATGGACAAGATTCTGCAGTCTGCGTATGTTTTTCTGAGCCCGGGGTCTTGCTTGGACATGGTAATTGACGGGAGGATGGCAGGTCAACTGGCGAGATTATGGTCACAAACGATGGTGCTACAATCCTCAAGTCTATCGCTCTCGATAACGCTGCAGCAAAAGTCCTGGTCAATATCTCCAAGGTCCAAGATGACGAAGTCGGTGACGGGACCACGTCCGTCGCAGTGCTCGCCGCTGAGCTGCTGCGCGAGGCCGAGAAGCTCGTCGCCCAAAAGATCCACCCCCAGACCATCATCGAAGGGTACCGGATAGCTAGCCAGGCTGCGTTAAAGGCGCTAGAGGCGTCAGCGGTAGATCACAGCAAAAACCCAGAAGCGTTCAAGAACGATCTCCTCGCGATCGCCCGTACGACCCTCAGCTCGAAGGTGCTTGCCCAGGACAGAGACCACTTCGCGAAGCTGGCTGTCGATGCCGTTCTGCGGTTGAAAGGCTCGTCCGACCTCAGCCACATCCAAATCATCAAGAAGGCCGGCGGCAAGCTCAGCGAGTCATACCTGGACGAGGGCTTCATCCTGGACAAGAAGATCGGCGTTAACCAGCCCAAGCGCTTGGAGAAGGCCAAGATCCTCGTGGCCAACACATCCATGGACACCGACAAGGTCAAGATCTTCGGCGCCCGGCTCAAGGTCAGCTCCACCAGCAAACTGGCGGAACTTGAGAAGGCCGAGCGGGAGAAGATGAAGGCCAAGGTAGAGAAGATCAAGGCGCACGGCATCAACTGCTTCATCAACCGGCAGCTGATCTACAACTGGCCCGAGCAGCTCTTCACCGACGCCGGCATCATGTCGATTGAGCACGCCGACTTCGACGGCATCGAGCGGCTGGCGTTGGTGACAGGCGGCGAGATCGCCTCCACATTCGACCATCCGGAGCAAGTCAAGCTCGGCCACTGCGAGCTGATCGAGGAGGTTCTGATCGGCGAGGACACGCTGATCAAGTTCTCGGGCGTGGCCGCGGGCCAGGCATGCACGATCGTGTTGCGCGGCGCGACGGACCAGCTGCTCGACGAGGCCGAGCGGAGTTTGCACGACGCGCTAGCCGTGCTGTCGCAGACGGTGAAGGAGCCTCGCACGACGCTGGGTGGCGGCTGCGCCGAGATGGTCATGGCTAAGGCCGTTGAGGGCGCCGCCACACGCATCGAGGGCAAGAAGCAGACGGCCGTGGCCGCGTTTGCCATCGCCCTGCGCCAGCTGCCGACCATCCTAGCGGACAACGCCGGTCTCGACTCGGGCGACCTGGTTGCGCGCCTGCGCAAGGCCATTTACGATGGCATGACGACGTATGGGTTGGATCTCATGACGCCCGGCGGCGGGATTGCGGATATGCGGGAGCTGGGTGTGATTGAGAGTTACAAGCTCAAGAGGGCGGTGGTGTCCTCGGCGAGCGAGGCTGCTGAGGTATGTTTGACGTGTCCCTCTTCTTACGGTGCTCTGGTGCAGCTGCTGACTCCCCGACTTATAGCTCCTTCTGCGTGTGGACGACATAATAAGAGCCGCTCCCAGGAGGCGGGAGAGGCACTGAGTGTAGGGGTGTCCGTGGCTACGACGTGTTGGACTTGTAGAGTACCATAGGCGGACCAAATCCATCGCCGGAAACCAGTTAGAGGTCTGTGACGTTCTTGGACACCGTCTCCTACCATGTGCAAAGGGTGAGAGTGAAACCGCTTAGACCCGGATCAGGTAGGTTAGATTCGCGCTCGAAGCCACCGCAGACTCCTATGTGCGCTCCGGGCGATACAACTGCAAGCCTTTTCTGATCTATTCAATACCTGGTACCCTTAGATGGACGTGAGCCTAGGTCAATGTATCTGATCTCGTCAACTTCTGTTCCTTCCTGCTGGGAAGCATGCGGCTGTGCCTAGTCGCAGCGCCTGTGAACTCAACGTTTAGTCAACCCAACGAAGCCGGAGATTGGGTGTCCGAGTAAACGCAAATCGCGGGCAGTGCCACTTTGAAGACCTAGACCCTACCAGTTCCGTCTACAAAGCCCCCCAGGTTCCTCATAACTCGCTCTTCACTAACATCCACATGCGATGGCGTGAGCAAGCCTATAGACAGGATGGAGCTTTTATCTCTCCAGCACTGTCTGGGCCCATCATCTCATCCTCAAAACCCACCCTCACCGTGGAAGGCGGTCGCGGGCTGGTCACCAGCACCTTGACAGTCGCCAACACTTCCCCGGAGACTGTCAGCTTGAGAAGATCTTCCAAGACATCAAGCATCGGGACTTCAAAATCCTCACGCTCGTAAAAGACAATGCCGTCCACAAGGCAGAAAAGTGTGGGCCCCTTGGGCAGCTGCCGAACCAACCACCGGAACAGGCCCCATAACTGCGCCAGGCTATGGCCTTCCTCGATAGCATCACGATCAGCACCTGGGGGTAAGAGGTGCCCCGGGCCCAAAGTCATAATCGCATAACAGCTGCGTGATCAGGCTTCGCACCATCCGCTTGATTACGCGTTGTCTCGTCCCGGCGCCGTAGTCATCTTCCTCGTCATGTTCTTCCCCCCAGCTGAGCTCACCATGAATAGAGACAGCCTCCGAATCGGTCGAGTTGATGTCGAACTCATCGTCGTATCCCAAGTGCCGGCCGCAGAACCAGACGACGCACAGGTAGCGTTTGCGAGACCGGCACGCCTTGGCGAGGGTCGTGCAGAAGAGGGATAGGACAGAGGTCTCCAGCATGAGCGAGGAGAAGTTGCCGTAGATCAGCAACTTTGTGGGCACAGGGGACACGATCCACTCCTGGAACGCATGGTCATTGAGGATCTGCTCCGTCCGTGCGCTCTCCGATCCTCCCTATTCAGGAACGACAGCGCTGGCCATAAGTCTGATGCCCGCACTGGATTCAGGAGATACCTTGCCAATCGGGGAAGACAGTTTCTCAAGGTGGCAGCTGTTAGTCCGGCGGTTATCCAGTCCATGTACTATGCTGGCCCCGCCTTGGAGTCCCATGACGACATTCAGAGCCAGGTAGTGGTGGATTTTGGAGCAGCTTTCGGGATCGAAGAGCACCTCAACATGATTTGGAAGCCTGAGCTCAAGACACTGATTGGATCAGTGGACAGCGAGGGGAAGAGGAGGAAGACCTGCTACGCGGAGTGTTGTAGATTCGAGCGCGTGCACGATGATTCGTAAGTTGATACGAAAAGGAACGAGGAATTCATGCGTCATCTGCTCCTACAAACTCATGACGAGATGCCCTCGGTGGTTGTCGTCCCTCGACCAGTCGACCCAGGGATACCAGAGGCTAGGCTTGTTGAAGATGATTTCGTCATCATATCCTATCGTGTCTTCGGGCCTTGTTCTTAGGACAAGGAAGTAGGGTGAGTTCCTTGGGCAATGACGCGCCTTTGCATGCTCTCGACGTTAACATTTTGTATCTGCACCCAAGTTGGATCTCACTCACCTTAGTGAGACCGGAACATCCTAGACAGAGGATGGGGGTGGAGTTAGAGCGGGCGAGGGTCTGGGGGACCGAAAACAGCGTTTGATGAGCTTGTCCTGCCTGACGGGCACAAGGAGATATAAATAACACCTATAGAGATGGCAAGGGCAAGACCGTTAACGGCATGACTATTGAACTTAAGGGCCCGCACAGATTGTTATTGCTTGCTCTAAGGAGTTTGAGACTCTAGGGACCTTGGCTCCTTACATATATACATGGAGAGCCCGGTGCCCAGTCTTCTGCCCCTTGTTCCTGCGGTACCGTACAAGAGCAACAGGAATGGCGTGTGTATTAGTACTCGATCATGACTAAGTTTGGGATCCCGCCTATGAGCTCTTCGTCCCTCCTGCAACCAGACTCTGTTTTAAGACTGCTTGTATAGCCTCGGTTGGCGATGAGGGCACGCCCGAGTCATGGACTCCTTGGCCTTTGCCTCCTCCATTTTCATATCCACCTGGTTGTGATCCCTAGTCTGGGTTTGACAGACTGGTTGTAGTACAGTGGTACTCGACTTCGTCCTGACACGGGCAGATTCCAAAGTCAGAGAGGGCAGGTCCGACCTGAAGCGATTGTTGCTTTTCCTGCGAAAGTAATGCTGTTCCTAGCCAATCGTGCACTTTGTCATTCCGTCACAAGGCACAAGGAGGCGTCTCAGCTGTTGTCAGGTGCCAGTGTTAGTTTCGCCTCCAGTTTTATAAGGCGTTCGCTACGAAACCGTAACGTCACCTACATAGATCCGGGCCGTGCACGGATCCGGGCCAGGCAATTTCGGCTAATTTAGGGGCACCATAACACCATGCCCACCATCACCAACATGATCACAGCTGGGTCAAAATTGAAGCTATTCACAAGCAGACGACAGTGCCATGGCCAGAAAGCAATGGGGGTCTGGAAAACACATCCAAATCCACCTACTTGAACACATCTGGGCCCATTTTGTAGTCCTTCCAAACACCCTTCGCAAAGCCCACTACCCCTCTTAATGCTATACGACGTTCCTTTTCCCTGGCTTCCACGGCTTCCTTAGCCTCCCTTTCACTTATGCGAGCCCGGATGTCTTCCACAGTCAGTACCCGGGCCTCACCAAAATGCTTCCTCGAGGACTTTTTCCGGCTCTCGAACCTCTTTTTCACTACTTCCTGGGTCAGGGCCCTGAGTGTGGTATTGTCAGCTTGCGTAGTTAGGAAGTAGTCTTTCATCCAGGACAGCCTGGCTCTCTTGGGGGTATCACAAATCTGGAACAGTTCCTCCACAACCTGGTTGATCTTTGTAGCCATGTCGCCAGTCACCGGGAGCTCGGCTCGACGGCCCTGTTGATCAGTAATACTGACCATCGCTGGGGTCTTCGGCCGGTCAGAGGTCCTGGGTCTGGGTGCCGTTGCGGGTGCTGTTGTGGGTGCCGTTGCGGGTGCCGTTGCGGGTGCCGTTGCGGGTGCCGATGTAGGTGCCGGTGCCAGTGCCAGTGCCGTTATAGGTGCCTCGGCTGGCCTATGCCGGGCTAGGACCTTCTCTGGGTTGTAAGGTAGTAACCCAGCTCCTCTCCATGCCTCCGGAATGTTCCGGAAAATGCAAGCCCGGGCCTTCTCATAATACCGGAGGAACTGGTGGTTATCTACCTTGACAGCTCCGAACAATGCCCCTTCAGTAACTAACTTACGGTAAGCCTTAGCCAACGGCCCGAAGACCCCGACATCAAGAGGTTGCAATTCATGTGTCGAGTGTGGTGGTAAGCAAAGTGGTATGATGTTGTGCTCCTCGCAGTATTCCACGAACTGGGGTGAAACATGGCTTGCATGGCCGTCAAGAATGAGGAGCCGGTATTTACCATGTGTTCGGGGTGCCGTATACTTGTCGAAGTGTCGGATCCATTCTAGAGCAATGTTGCAATCGGTCCAGCCGTTCTCACTAACCCGGATAACAAACTGGGGGTCGAGGTCCTTGGGAATCCACGCTTGTTGAATGCGTTTGCCCTGGAAGATGACGAAGGGTGGAAGGACGTCATTGTTGGCCGAGATGCATTCGATAATAGAGACCCATTCGCGGTTACCGGGTTGAACGACGGTCGGCTCTAATGAATCCCTCGGAACAATGACTTTGTGGTTGTCCCCCATGCCTTTTATGCACCCCTTTTCATCCATGTTGTAGGTGTCGTCGTCAGCGATGTTATAAGCCAACTTGATAGTTTGATATAGCTCGAACCAATGTTGTAATGTGTTGTGATCGACAGCGTCCTTCCTAGCTTGGTCCAATGCCCGGGACCTTCGAGCTTTCAATTCCGGGTGCCGGTTCAGGAAGTTGTAGATCCACCGTTCACCCAAAGGCTGGATGTCTCCCTTAGCCAGCAACAACTGGGCTGCAAGATGTTCTAGTGCCGAGATTGACATTGGCCAGCCCCAGGCATCCAACTGGTAAATGGAATTAACAATGGATTGTTCCTCCTGTGGTGTCAACCGCTGCAAGTGCTGGGCTGCGGCCCGGTGGTTCTGCCGTCGACCGGCATACCGTTCCTGGAGGGTGGTTCGTGGTATGTCAAAGATGTGGGCCGCGTTTCGAACGCTGGGGACCTCCCCGGCTCGCAGGGCTTCAATAGCAGACTGGATGCGTTCTTCCTGGCTGTTGGTACGCTTGCGTGGTGGCTTCTTGAGTGTGGGCTTGGGAGGTTTGGGTTTGGATTGACTGGGCGCCATGGTTGATGCGGTTGGCTGACTGCGTTGACTGCGTTCATGATACGGTTAGTTGACTGCATATGATGCGGTCGGTTGAGTACGTACCATGCAGTCGGTTGACTGCGTCGATTGCAGTGGTGATGTGGTATGTTGACTGCGTTGGTGATGCCGTAGGTTGACTGGTATGTGGAAAAGGTTAGCTATTGTCAGAGGAGTTCAAAAAACAGGTCAAACCATGGATTCGTTGGAAAATGCGGTCAAACAGCCTGTTTGATGAAGTTGTTCGTGATGTTCATTGTGGCTGACAGTCGAAATGAATTCAGGCCAGGACCCTGGCCCGGATCCATACACAGCCCGGATCCATGCAGGTGACGTTATACCATTTCTCGTTCTCCCGCCACGCTTGCTCCTTGCACCTCCGCAGCGGGCCGAGCAACGTTCCGTGACAGCAACCGAGTGTCACTTCAATCTGCACCACACCGGGAACGCTGTCTCTAAATCGACGGTCAATTTGTTGAATCGATGGTGTCTAACCGCATCCGGAACACCCGCCACCTGCATCAGCCACATACCAAAATTTGGCTTGGCAACCGGATTGCACGCGTCGAGTAAGTCAACACTGCACGACAATTGCAGACATCAAAATACTGACAATCAGATTCAATTTCCAGAAAGCCCAAAATTGACCGAATCGCTCAAAAATGCAATGAAATAATACAGTGCGTATAATGCAACTGCTAGCCTAGAGCGCCTACCTTCCTGGGCGCGCCCACTACTAGAACCGAACCTCGCCCTGCGCCCTGGGAACTGTGCCTGTGCCTGTGCCTGTGGCTGCATAGGAGCATTGCCGTATTGGGACTATAGTTGAGGCTGTTGATAGTTGCCCAACGGCGCCTGGGGCCGCACCTGGCCCTGGAACTGGCCCTGGAACTGCGCGTTGAATCTGATTGTCAGTATGTTGATGTCTGCATTTGTCGTGTAATGTTTACTTACTTGGGGGTCCAAGCGTTTTTCAATCGTTGGATCCCCAAGTACGCGATCTGGCTGCCAAGCCAAATTTTTGGTATATGGCTGATGCAGGTGGCAGGTGTTCCGGATGCGGTTAGACACCGTCGATTTAGACACAGCGACCGGGAAGGGTAACTACTGTAACTCTCTTTGTCGGTGCCGCCGAGAGGCCTGTGAGCGCAGTAATTTATCTCGCCGCAAGCGCGCCCGATCGCACGGCACTTTGATGCATCGTCCCCGCCTGAACGGTTGATGAAGTACGGATTACAGTGTACTCCGTACGCTGCGTATCCCCTGACTGGCCGCTGACCATGACAATTCTCGATATCCGGTCAATCCTCATTTGAGACGGGTACGACGCTGCAACTTGGCTTTCTCCCCGAGATTCAAGCTCGAAGCGTGCTGCGACCGGGATTCCAGGTTCCGGGTTCCCGGCCGCTAATTCCAGCACCTAGCACGCAGGCTCCATTGCCTTGCTGGGGCCCGCATCCAAGCCTGGCTGTACTCATTTGGCGCTGATCAGATCACGCCAGGGAAAAACAACATTAAAATTAGCCGTGTCCCGATGACATTTTTCGCCATTTTCTCCTCCTGTTCCGTTGGCTTGCCACCTCTCCAACGCCTGCAGCAATGCTGGACAACATGGACCAGACAGACGGCGCTGCTGGCGGCGGAGCGGGCTATCCCGCTGGACAGTACCGCCATCCAAACATGAGGCATCACGGACCGGGCCCGTATGCACCACCGAGGATGCAGTCAAGACAACAGTGGCCGAATGCCGGGCCCCAGCCGAACCACAACAACGCTGACGCCAGAGACGCGTTCGGGCATCCAATGCAAGGCCGCCCTTTCCGCCCGCCGAATCCGCCCTCGGGCTCAATGCGGCCCTCGAGAGCTCCTAGACCGGTCCTCCAACTGAGATCCGATGGCCATGTGACCCCAGACCTCGTTTCACCCCGGAGCGATTCCTTTTTCTACTCCCGGCCGGCTAGACCTTGCCCGAGCCCGACGCCGACTATCTCACATTACCCGCCATCCCACCGAGCGAGAGGCGAGTCAACGCCCACACAAAGACAGCCTAGATCTGCCTTCCCGGGACTTTCCTCTAATCCCTTCATCCCAGAGGCAGCCGAACATGAGGCATCATCACCTGCCGAGACGCGCAGGTTTCCGTTGCTCGCCCGGCAACCTGAACAATTAGGCCGCTCGTCGCCCGTCGAGAGACGCCAGGCGACGCCAACGGAACCGGGCATGGTGGAAAACTTCTCCCGTCCACGGAAGGCGAGTGTGAGGTTGCAGCAATCGGACGGAGCTTTGTCGCGGCACATGGCGGCGCATGGACTGCATGCTGAGCCGCAGCAGCTGGATCAGTCACCAACGGCCAACCGCCAAGCCCCAACCGACTTCCAGACGCCGCAGAATCCTCGGCCCAGGGCCCGGCGTCTTTCAGGCTCGTCGTCCCAGTCATCCAGCACTTTCTCCTCAATACCCCGTCATCCAAGTCATGATTACCTCGGCTCTGCACCTCGAAGCGATTCGTTACGGCACGCCAATCCCGGTGTTTTGAGCCCTCCGCCGGCATTTGGCAGATTGCCTCCGAATCACCAACAGTACAGCGGCACACAAGGACACCTTAGGGACGTGCCGCCTTGGTTGGCGAGTGGTGAGGAGCTTCGGTCGAGTTTCCGGTCTCAACTTACATCGTCAACAGCACAAGGAACGGTGTTCACCGCGACCGGAACCGAACGAAACAGCATCGTGACTAAGGCGAGCAGCATCACGGAGCAGTCCATCATCAATGGCTATGCGCGAAGGAGCTGGAGGCAGAACTCAGTGGACGACGGACCCAGTCTCGAGGACGTCATGGGCATGTACGAAAGGGGGTTCAATGATTCGGATATTGAGAGCGTGCGCCGCAGCATGAAATTCCCCGACGAGGATGACATACCGGAAACTCCGGTCGATGTTGAGGCGCCGGAACCGTGCGGTTCACGGCCGGCCAGCTCTCATTCCGACGCCAGCGGGCTGCGGGCGAAGATGTTGGAAGCCATGAATGATAGTCTCCCGACCCCGAGAGCGATACCAATTCCCGAGTCGGACGCCGCCTCAAGAAGGCAGTCAAGAGCTCGATATTCCCTGATGCCCGGCTCCTTGCCGTCAGATGTCGGCCTGGGGCTAGCGGCCGAGCACATGGCGAAGAGACGAAGCAAAGAGGCGCCGAGTAGCATCGAGGAACACGACTCCGCCAAGCTGCTGGATGGCGATATCGAGCAGGCCAGCGTAGCAGATCAAGATGGCCGGTCCCCTTCACCAACTTCGCCAGGCTCGCCGGCGCAAGCACGGCCATCATCGCCGAACTTGCCATCGCCAAACACTACCACACCAGCACCTATGCCTATGCCGCGCCTTCCGCAGGAGCCCCCAGAGGAGCCCGGCAGTCGCGATCGGTACGGGTTCCGGAAGGCGAGCGCTAACGTCACTCGCCAGGAGTATGATGCCTGGGACGCCGGCTACAGCGAGTATCTGGCACGACGGCGCAAGAAGTGGATCGCGTTCCTCAAGGACAATTCTCTGATGACGGACCGACCGAACCGATTTCCCCCGCGCAGTGCAAAGACGAAGCGGTTTATCCGAAAAGGGATCCCCCCGGACTGGAGGGGGGCTGCGTGGTTTTACTATGCTGGTGGACCAGCCATCCTGAGCAAGCACCGCGGCGTCTACGAGCAACTGGTGCGGCGGGCCGGCCTGGATCCAACCGGGTCGGGCAGAATACCGGATCGGACAGGGGAGGTGAAACCCTTGATCGTGGAGGATATCGAAAAGGACTTGTACCGAACATTTCCCGACAACGTACGGTTCAAACCCCCGCCACCGCCACCGGGGGAGCCCGCGCCCGAAATCGCTCCTTCACAGCCGGCCCCGGAGCCCGAAATCATCACGTCGCTCCGGCGCGTCCTGCACGCTTTCGCACTCTATAACCCTCGCATTGGCTATTGTCAGTCATTGAATTTCCTCGCCGGGTTGCTGCTACTCTTTGTCGAGAACGAGGAGCAGGCATTCTGGCTTCTGAATGTCATTACTAGGGTCTACCTGCCAGGTACCCACGAGATGAGTCTGGAAGGGTCGAAGGTCGATCTCGGCGTGCTCATGATCGCTCTGAAGGATTCCATGCCAGGTGTGTGGAAGCAGATCGGTGGCGACGAGTTCGAAGCGGGCAAGAAGAGCAAGGGGAAACGGGGTCACAAGGCAGCAGCCCACGGTGGCAGCATCAGCGATCCTCACCGCCTCCCCGCCATCACGCTGTGCATGACGGCCTGGTTCATGTCCTGCTTCATCGGCACTCTGCCCATCGAAACGGTCCTCCGCGTCTGGGACGTCTTCTTCTACGAGGGCTCACACACGCTGTTCCGCGTCGCCCTAACCATCTTCAAGCTGGGCGAGCGCGAGATCAAGGCGGTGCAGGATCCCATGGAGATGTTTGGCGTCGTGCAGACCTTCCCGCGGCGCATGCTCGACTGCAACATGCTCATGGAGACGTGCTACAAGCGGCGCAACGGCATCGGCCACCTCAGCCAGGAGTCGGTCGAGGAGAAGAGGCAGGAGCGCCGCGAGGGCATCCGCAGGTGGAAGGCTGAGCAGGAGGCCGCGGCAAACGATGCCAACGGCCCGCGACCGGCCACAAAGCACCGGTTCGGCGCCGCCGCGTTTGGCCTGGATCTCGCGACCGACTTGGATGATGTCCGCCGCAAGGCGACACTGTTTGGGCGGAAAAAGGACCGCGAGCAGATCCGAGCTGCCGAGGTGGTGTAGAGCGCACCCCGACCGCTCTCGATCCTTCCCTCGTGATCCTTTTTACGCCTGCCGTCACAACGAAATTCCTTTCTTTTGTTCCAACAACAACCCCGCGTCTGGAACGCTTCGCTTCTTCGGTGCCATCCGCCTTGCTCCTTTCCCACCGGGGCTACTACCATCGGATTGCTACGGACATGGCTAATGTGCGCTTCTTGTATTTTTCGCTAATGTATTTTCACTATTTCATCTCATCATGGTGGATCCCCTTGATCCCAGTGGCAGAAAGAGTCAGGCATCACTTTCGGCGGTGTGGGATGGGCATGGCATATCGCATATAGCATTCCAGGGCGTTGAACCTAGGGACAAGGAAGAAGTAAAAAGCTCTAGCTATCTCTTTTTTAAAGACAATCTTCTTGCGTGGAGAGTCGTCACAAAGCTGGATATAAGTGAGGACGACAAAAAGGTCGGACACGGGAGTCCTAGATGGCTAAAGATAGTGCTAGATGAGCAATCACAACAAAGATATACCCTTGGATATGCTGCTCCTTTCTGGAAGGGAACTTGGGCGACAAGCAAGCGCCCGACTTGGAGACGGAGGGTTTATTGAAGCAAGTAAAACGGCCTCTTCAACGTCATGCTGTGTATTCGCTCTACCATCAAACAACTATGGGATTTCCTCGCTGTCCTTCAGGAACTCAATTCACTTTGCCCCGCGGAGGCATCTTGGTCCTCACCATCGCGACCATCGGCTGGAGTGGCTGGACCGGCCGTAACCCTCCGCAGAGCGGGTACGAGAGCGTCGATTATGCGAAGCATCGCCATAGCCGACTCAACGCCATGTGTAGCATGATACGCGAACTCGCCCCGCGCGTGTATTACCTGCAGGGCAATGGTCCGTCGTCTCGACGACGCCACCCGCTGACGGTCCCCTGGCGGCATCTCACCGGATCGCGGCGACCCCTGCGCTAGGGGAGGATGATGATGCCCCCCCGCTTGTTCCCGGACGGTGTGGTCGTGCTCCTAGGACCCACCGGTACCACCACCACCACCACTCCCGCTTGCTCCCGCTTGGCCCTCCTGCGCTGCCGTGCTGTCGTCGCCGCTGCTGTCGAACTTGGGCGTCCCCTTGGCGTACCGTTGCACGTAGTTGCGCGCTGTCTTCTCAAACTCCTTGCGGTCGCTGCGGTACTCGTCCGCGATGCGCGCCTCGAGCGGGTCGTCCGGCAGCGGCTCGACCAGCAGCTGGCGCAGCGCCTCCAGCACGCTGAGCAGCCGCGTCGACGGCTTCCAGTTCTCCGCCTTGAGAAGCGGCAGGCAGATGTTGCCCAGGTTGTCGTTGGTGATGTTGGGGTGGTAGATGCGCGTCGCGAACGTGATGGTGGGCGCCTTGAACGGATAGTCGGTCGGCAGCGAGATGACGAGCCCGAACTTGCCGCCCTGGTAGACTGTGTTTTCAGGCCCGTCGAGGATCGCGTGCCATCGGTGGAGATCGGAGTCTTTAGGGAGGAAGACGGTTACGCCGACTGGTGGGGACGACGTGCATTCTGTCAGCTCCTGCGGGGGTAGGAGCAGAGGGAGATGATTAGGGACAGATGGCACTGCCAAGGCGGGGGAGGTTGGGAAGTACCTTAGCGATGCGCTTCTGCGACGCCATATTGTCCGGCGTTTTTGTGTGTTGCACTACGGGTGATGCCCGTGGCTCACAGATAGCCGGTTTGAGTACCCCGGATGATCTGCTGCTGCGGGGAGTTGAAGCGGACGCGGGAGTGAGCCGAGAGGAATGAAGGGGCAGTCCTAAGCTTTAATTGTGATGTTGGACTGGAGCGCCAGTCGGTAATCCGTAACAATGCCTTTTAAAGAAGATCTATAAGGTAGATGAACGTTAGCCGGGTGAAAGAGGGTGATCGGGAAGCGAATGACTTGTTGGATGTAGCAGTCGTGTGAAGCTCTCAAGGTTCCAGGCAAGGCAGCAGATGAAGGTGGGGTTTGGAGTGACGTGCGGGGTGGGTTATGCTTTGGTCGCTACCAGGGGTCCGTGCGGCTTTGCTCAGAGGCAGGCAGGCAGTCTCAGGCTATGTAACCTCGAAGATACAGGAGAAGATGAAGTAAATACGGACTTGCTCGGAATATATATTGGTTCCTATGGTACTACGCATAATACGAAGTAAAGAGCCTTCAGAAGTTTTGATAGCCGAACATTGGGCGATGAAAGCCCGCTTGGTTGTTTATATGCTACTGCACGAGTGCTTTGACTCTTATCTGGCTCTTAACGTCAAAGCAAGGTGTGATTAATGACGAATACCTTCCCAACCAAATGTGATTCCATATCGTGCAAGAAGCAAGCTCTTGTTGCGGGAGCGGAGTGCCGAAACGCCTGTATAGCCTCCAGCAGCCCACCTAGCCCCTCAACTCCCCTTTTGCCCTGCCACAAATGCCGGTTCCTTAAATAGAATAGATACCTGAGATGAAGTCCTGAATCATTCCTCCCCTCCTCCTCCTCCTCCTCCTCCTCATCCTCCGTGACATCGGCATCACCCTGCAGTGTTCGTGGCTGTGCGGGACTCGAGCGGGCCTCACCCTGGTCACCATCCCCTTCGCCTTCTTGCTCCTGCTCCTCCTCCTCAGTATCCATATTTTCCTCATTTCCCTCGTGTTCCTCATTCTCCCTCCCCTCAACCTGGCCCTCATCATCATCGCCATCATCTTCTTCCCTCCCGTCCTCCTCAGTCTCTTCCGCATCCGTTTCGGCACTCCCCTCTCTCATCCCATCCCCGGTCCCCTTCACCATGCCCGCGTCCACACTCCTCCTCAGATTAGGAAAGAGCAGCGACGGCGGCACATCGTCCTCGTAATCCGCCGGCACATCGCTCAGATCGCTCTCGTCGTCCGCCGAGTCATGCACGCTCCCGGGAGGACTGGATATCTCGCTGCCGTGGTGGTCCCCACGACCGCCAACACCAGAAATGGTAGTTCTGCCGGCCTTGAGACGGCCCTCATGGCGCCCATCCTGCTCCGCATCCTTCATCTCCACATCTTCATCCTCACCCCGCGCCGACCCTGCATCATCTTCATCATCAGTAGCCTCGCCGCTCTCACCCCTAGCAGCCCGCTCCCTCGCGCTACTCATGCTGCCCACCCTCGACCTGGCCTTGACCCCGTTTACTCCGCTGCCGCCGCCGCCGCCACCGGCTGACCGGGGCGGTACCTCGGCCGCGCGCAGGACCGCTTGCACGGCCTGCTCTGCCTTGCGCAGGATGTTGGGCCGCCTGATGCCCCCGACGCGAGACACCCGCGGCGCGGCGGCGTCGCCGGCGACGGACTGTTTTTCAGACTTGTCTTTGTTGCTGTCGGGTTGCTCCGAGTCCGCGCCGAAGGAGTTCAGAAGGGAGGACGAGGACGGGGATTCTTTGTCATGGGTGATGAGGGTGTGGAGGAGTTTGGTCCTGATGTCTGCTGTCGTTGTTGAATCTTCTGGGCGTGCTTCGGCGGCGGAGTCGTTATTGCCGGCGGCCTGAGAGGACTGGTCGGCGCTGGGGGGGAGCTCGGACCTGAGGTGCAGGTAGATGGCTGAGTAGCAGTCCGTGATCAGGTCGTCGATTGGGCCGGCCTTCATGAGGTTGGCGTTCAGCTTCTTGAGCTCGACCGCCTCCTTCATCGCGCTGAGAGCACCGTTGTCTTCTGCGGCGGCCGTGGTCGCCCACTGCGTGATCTTCTCGCCTACGACGTCAAATTCTTCCTGGCTGATGCTCTTGAATGCATCGTCTTCTGCGACGGCCACTTTGAACGTCTGCCGGAGGAGCTTAACGTAGGTCATCACGCAGTACTGCCACAGTTCGTTGAAGTGGTAGAATTCCGCGCTCTTCTTGCGGATCCGGCGTAGCACGGCCTCGAGGTTGGCTCGGTCGTTCAAGACATCCAGCAGCTTGACCATGTACCGGATGTACCTCTCTGTGTACACGTGGTGTCGGCCCGGCCGCTCCGCGTCGCACTTCCAGACGTTCATCACCATCGTCTTGGTGAACATACTGTCCCGAAGAACGTGGAAGGCGGCCCTGGCGAGGAGGGAGTTCCCATCTGCGGTGGCGTCCGCCTTCTCGTCGTCGCCATAGAGAATGCGAGCGTGGCGCATGATGAGCCGATGCTGCCAATTGGACTTGTCCTTGTCACGCAGAAACCGCAGGCATTGTATCATGTAGTCGTCCCAGTCCTCGGCACTCTCAATGGCAACCTCCTTGTCACGCGCGGGTGCGAATGGTTGGCGCTGCAAGATGTTCGCGCCTTCTTGGGCCGGCAGGTCGCCTCTCTTGACGAGTTTGTGGACAACCGACAGGATCTTGTAGTGTGGCTCCAGGATTGGTTCTTGGCCATGCCTGGGCTTCGGCAGCGATGATACGACCTCCACGGACTTCTCGAGTGCGCCCAGCACTGCCTGCACACTGGGACGATGACGCCGGTTCTTCTCGTCCAACTCTTCCGGTGGCGTCTGGTACATTTTCCAGAGACACTTGGCCACCATGAACGGGTTCTTCCAGTCCCTCGGCTTGCCCACCATCGCCCTCCGGAAGAGGTGAGCTGCAAACTTCCATACCTGGTAGTCGGTCATCTCGACATGCAGGATCCTCTTGAACGTGCCCTCCTTCCCGTCCTCAACGAACCATCTCTTGTGGTCGGCATGTTGAAAGGGTTCCATGGCAAAGGGCTCCCGACTCGAAGAATACATGCGCATGCCGAACTCGTGGTACATGTCGTACAACGCTTCCTCGTCGTCCTCCAACGAGGTGAGCACGGCACGATCCGACTCCCATGCGTACGAGTGGGACAAGGCCATGGTGTAGCTGTGGATGGCATTCCTCTGGAGCTTGACCAGCTCAGCGCGCTCCTTGTTCATCTTGTCGGCGGTCCAGAGCACCGACTCCTCCACTTCATAGTCGAAGCATTCTGCCAGGCGGAACCAGGCGTCCCAGCGGTCCGGGGTGTACTGGAGCTGCAACCGCAGGAAAGTAGCCGCGATGCGCAGATCGTCCGTCGCACCCGGCGTCTGTCGGCGATTCAGGTCGACGCCCTTGAACTTGGTGAGCGCGATCATGCCTAGCAGGAAGAACCACCCGTGCTTGGCGGGGGCACTCTCTGGTGTGTTGATAGTGACCGCGTCCAGATCGACGTTGCCAGTCAGGGCCTGGTAAAGATGCAACGGGTGGATCGTGGCCTTGAGATACTCGGAGTAGTTGCGGAGGTTATGGGCCATCTGCGGGCTCGACTTGGCGGACCCTATCGCCTGCTGCATCCGCTCAATCGTCGTCTTGAGGTCCGACTTGAGGAGATCCTTCATCGACATTCTGTTGGCCAGCATCGTCACCTTTTCGACCAGCTGCAGTGCCTGACGCTTCTCCAGGTTCTCGGGCTCGCAGCCGTGGTCCTGCACCTCCCAGATGCCCACGCCCAGCTTCAGTCCGTGCAGATCGTAGAGTACCTGGCCGAGATAGTCTTCCCAGTTGTCGATGTTCTTCTGTTTCAGGAGCTCGACGCGCATCATCTTGAGGAAGATCTTGTTGGACGCCTTGCAGCACTTGCGGAGGCCCAACACCTGATGCACCGCCGCCAAGTAGTCGGCGAGATCGTTCTCGGGTCTTGGGAACAGTTCTGCATGTTGGTTGACACCAACCTTGAGCATGGTGTACTGGAGCGACCAGGTCCGCACCTGCATCTCCTGCAGCTTGTTGAGGAATGATCTCAGGCTTGAATTGCTTGCGGGCGCTGGTCTTATCCCGACCCGCGTCTCGTCCTCGTACATCGCAGCCACATGCAAGATGCAGTTGACCTTTGCCAGAGCGGACATGCTGGACCTCAAATGGTCGTCGTCGATGATGTCGAAGGAGCTGTTGTCGTTCAGCGCCAGATGTAGCGACTGAATGATGAGGTCATCGAGCGCCTTCAGTAGGCTCATGAACAAACTCTTCCTGGGGTCATCCGGAGTGTGTGTGTATTGATTAGCCTCCAAGTCGGAAATGATGGTTTCGATGCCGCGGAGGAAGCACGAGAACTGCTTCGTCGTGTACCGAATCTTCCCATAGGCTTCGCCGAGCCTTGACCACAAAAGCAACCGCAACTCCGTGTTGCTGTTCTTGAGGAATTTCCACAGGTCCACCAGCTGCTGGCTGGCGCACTCTGAGATTGGCTGCTTACGCTGACCAGGCTGGGGGGGATCGCTCTCAACCCCGTTCGGCTCAAGCGACCGAGGAACGCTGATATAGACGCCTTCCGGGTTGAGAACGGGCTCCAAGCTCTCAATGACTGACACTGGGTCACCCGCGTCCTCCTGGAACAGGCCTAGAAAGAAGTCCATCGTTGTCGACTTGGATATCTCGCGCTCCGCAGCAGCGATGGATATTTCGGGCATTGCAGAGTTGTTGGGAAGGCAAATTTCAGACCCGGAAGACATGGCGAGGAAGTCACGTAGACCATGCCAACAGGTAATGACATGATCCCGTGGCGTGCCCTTTGCCGATGTGACGGAGCACACTGCAGCCCAGAGGAAGCGGAGCGCAAGTGCGTCGCCTTGCTCGGGGTCTCGCAATCTCGTGATCCCAACGACGAGATCCATCCACCTGTCCATTCGAGCCTTTGCCTGCGACTTTGTGCCCTGCTCCGCTGTGCTGTCCGGTCCCGTAAGAGCGTTAAGGATGTCTAGGCAAAGTTCAACGAGCATCTGCGCAAGTCCTGCGAGCTCGGCAAGTGCTTCAGTTGACCCGTCCCCTTGGCAAAGCTCGAGGTCATAAATGAACCTGTCGTATATGGTGCCTTCCAGTTCGCCGACGACATCGGCTATTACCGCCCTCAACTGGTCCGGCCATTTGCGGTTGGTGTAGGTTTTGGCCAGGGCCTTGACATACTCGTAGGCGAGGTCATGTATCGTATTCCAGCCTTCGTTGCTTCTTAATGCGAAGTCTTTCAGCCCTTGAGATTCCTCAAATGGCGGAAGCTCCTGAGCCCGCTGAGACCCCAATCTCGTGTGCTCGAGAAAGGCAGAAAGACTCAACTGAGGAAGCTCTCGCTTGCTCAAGAGGATTGCCCCAATTTCTTCGTCGAAATTAGTGATGGAATCTCGAAGGTCGACGGTGGCTTGATCTTGAACTTTGCTCGTCCGGTCATCCGAAGCACAAAAGTCGAGGATCTCGGCGAGCTTCCCCAGTGTCAGCTGGTCTGTCACCCCGAGGTTCTCGAGAAGGTTTTTGGTAGTTTGGAACAGATTCTGGTCGGCAGCTTGCAACGGCTGGAGCTGCGTTGCGAGAAACGTGGCCGAGTCCATGACTTCTTCGGCGGCGGTATCTCGACGCCTGGTTCGTTTGCTTCTCTTCGTATCCGCCGCTTCCTCTTCGTGCGCATCCGGAATACCCGCTGCTGACTGTGAGCGTTTCCTGATGGATGGCATCGAAGCGCTTCGGTCCTTCGTCGCCTGATCGTTTGTCGGCGCCGTCTCTGCGATTGCGGACTTGGGCTCATCGACCACAACCTCCTTGTCTGCTGCTTGCTCTTTAGTCGTTTCTCGTGGGTTCCCTCCGATCGCTTCATCTGCAATGGGAGAAGATCCACACGGTGGAAGTTGATCCTCCATCTCCATCAGTGCATCGGCTTCACCATTTACATTGGGCAGCTGAATCGATATGGCCTGCCCTGGCAGCCCCTCCTCGGTAACGACGCGGACTATTGCCTCTCCCAGCTCAGTCCAAGAGAGCTTCGAGATGGTGATGACAAGACGCGATGCATCCATTTCCGCTGTCTGGGGCCTCGGAACCGCGAGACACTTAGTGGGATTGGGCAGAAATGGCATTGGATCTACGAATCGTGCGAGATACGGCGGCACCTCTTTGTTTATGAACGGCTTCATGATAGGGTGAGTCAATGCCATCTCGTCCCCCAGCACATCAAGCTGTTGTCTGAGCTGCTCGCCTGCAAAGCCCTCGGCCAATGACGGTGGCTCAACTTCATCGACGGCAGGGTCGTCATCCAATTCGATGGCGGCCTCCAAGCTGTACCGGCTGACTCGGGAGCTCCCGAGGAAAGCGGCAACTCGTGCAGCTTTCCTCCAGAGTTCGGCATCCGAGGGATCACGGTCCAGGGCAGCCGAAAAGTCGTAAAGCGCTCTCTGGGCGTCCTGCCGCGCAGCCGAGTCTTCAAGTAGAGCATCGCCGTTCCCCGAAATGGTGCGAGCCTTCTGTCTGATGCGATCGACGACAAATTGGCCATGATTCTTGTACGACAAGAAAAGCGCCTGGGGCAGGCTGCTGGCAAGCCCATCCACGTCTGTGCCAACGACCGGTAGGCCCTGGGCGAAAGCGGGGTCGATGGCGAGAATGCCGTCCGGTCCTGCCTCGGCGCGCTCATAATCCGTCTTGCTCTCGGGGTATTTGAAGATCTCGGACTCGAATAGAGCATTATAGGCATCGGCTGCCTGCTCAAAGAATTTCGGGCCTTGCGCGTGAAGCTTCAAGGCGTTCTGAAAGAGCTTCAAGGCGTCTTCGACCTGGAGCTCCTTAGTAGTGTCGACCTCGTCATCAATGTTCTCCTCCGGCTCGACGTTGATGGCCGAAAAGGCGGCCTGCAAGTGGGAAACAGTGAGTATCAGTTCGCTTGAGACAAGTAGCAAGTAAAGCAACATACCATCTTGTCGTGAAACGTGGACGGATCATGTGCTTGTTGGAGTTGTGGGAGTAGAAACCCGGACGGATCTGGTGACTGTCGCAAACTCGCAATCTCTCAATGACGCGCTGAGAGTCGCGCCTTGGTTAAAATAGCGTATAGCAATACACAAATAGGTTAGCCATTGGTAAATACATGTACGGGTACCGTATCGTACATCGAGCGTATGGTGGTCCAAGCTCCTCTGTCCGGATCTCGACTTGAATGGAGATGCCAAGAATAACCGTGCGCTGTTCCAGACTTGCAGGAGCGTTGAACGTTGGAAGCTTGGTCGGTAACAGCGCCCATCCAAGGCGTGAACAGGGAAGGGGCCATTGGAAGTTCGGAACGGTAGAGCAACTTTTCTTTGCCGAACCCGCGCATGCCATCGTGATTTATCAGTTTGACTATATTTACGTACCGATGTCTTTCCGGTAGCGCCGCCTAACCCATCCAGATTCTTCACCCATCGTTGAGCTTCCGGCCACACAGCACCGTGCACTGCCGGGGTAGCTGCCTTGGTCCGTCGCAATGGTCGCGCCAGCTGTCCCCGAGTCCGTCTCCCCCGCCCTGTTCGTTCCCGAGTTCTGTCGAGCTGACGCGTGATTTTCCAGGCTTACGGAGGAGGTCCTCCACGAGGCAATTGATACGCGCACCGAGTCGCTCGTCTCCTTGCGCGAGCTTGGCCCTCCCGATCTTGTGCATCTGGTGAAGCAGCCTCTCAGGAGCGGCGGGAAAGCTGTTAGTGCTTAATGGGCTCCATTCGCCAGGCCAGTCGCTGACTTGGGTCCCTCCAGCTAGGTGTCTACCACCATGTCACAGGCGTGGATGCCTCGTCGTCCGCGAGCCTGGCTGCCTACATCAACACGCTAGCGTACAAAGAGTTTGGCCCATCAGCTACTACCAAGACTCTCGAGGGCACCTACTGGTAACTACGCCCTTCCGAGCTGTGCTGCCCCTGCCCCTAACCTACCGCCCCAGTTGCTATAATGCCTTTTCGCGAGTCGACATGCGCGTCCACGCCCCTTTTCCCGGATCGGTTGAGAGCTACTGCATCGACGAGCGGGGCGAGAAGAAGAAGGCGACCGACGAGCTCTGGCTCGAGACATACCTTTGCAGCGTGTTGCGCGCCTATTCCTATGCCGACGACGGAACCGGCGACACCATAAGGAAGATCATTGGGGTCCGGCGGTTCAACCCTGTGACCAACACCGAGACCGAGCATCGCTTCCTCAGCGCGGCTGAACAACTCTTCTTCAGGGGTAAGGCACCGAAACGGAAGTCGGCCCTGCAACACAACAGCTAATCGTGCTTAGGTTGGCAATTGGGGTCCGATTCCGTCGTGCAGGTCCCAAATCTGGTGTCCAACCATCTTACAGCCGGCCTGCTCAAGTACTTCCGCACCACTGGCCGTTACGCTTCCGGTATTAACCTGTTTGAGAAACTGCGAGCTCAGAATGTCGAAGTTGCGTCCCTCCTTGCGAAGGTCCTGTTCATGGGAAACGAAGAGGTGCAAGGGATACGCGTGCTCCACGAGGCCCTGAAGCAATCACCAATGGACTACGTGATGCTCGACACCCAGGCCGAATTCCTGCTGAAGAAGGCGAAAAATGCGGCGACACCAGAGCAGAAAGAGGAAAGATTGCGCATGGCCCTCGGCTCCGCGGATCGAAGCACCATTGCCGCACCTAGTGAGTTTGGGACATGGGCGAGATTAGCTGAGGTGTATGTGGCTATGGAGGACTGGGAGAATGCCCTGACCACCCTCAACTCATGTCCCATGTTTACCTATCAGGACAAAGACGCGCCCGTAATGCCGGAGCCCAGAGACATCAATCTTCCGACCCTTGCAGAGACGAGGCTGGACGAGATTGACAGCGAGCCAGAATCTCGGTATTCGGAACAGGTTGACCCGAGTCTGTTGAATCTGCGCGCCGCTGCGTATCGGGGAACGTTCAAGCATGCGTACGGCATTTTGACGGAGATGACGGCAAAGATCGGGTGGGATCAGCTTCTGAAGATACGGAGCAATGTCTTTGTCATGGAAGACGAGTACCGAGAGAAGCAGGAGTCGGCCACTTATCCCAAGAATCGCAATGCCAGCACCGATGCTCTACGCGGAACGCCGGACCCTACCACCAATGGCGGCGCCGCCTCTGACGCGGGAGATGACGAAGAGCAAGAGGAAGCCGAAGAGCCAGAGAAGACGGAAGAGGACGTAGATAGCGAACCCGTTGCGCAAACCCTCGTCCCCAACGGCGGAGCCGACGATATCGAGAGGCCTTCTAGCGCAGTTGATCCAGAAGGGGCCAAAAAGACGGACGAGAATGTAAGCCGATCTAGTTAATTCTGTATCGTCCGACATTACTGACAATTCAACCAGGGTTCCAAGGACGACCATTTCTCTCGTCTCAATAACAAGCGGCTCTGCGAGCGTTGGCTTGACAGCCTCTTCATGGTGCTCTATGAGGACCTGCGCGTCTACACCATATGGCGCACGCAAATGGCCCAATACCGCGCGCAGAGCATGCAATACAAAAAGTCCGCCGAGGAATGGGAGATCCTTGGGTCTCTTGCCGAGCGCCTGCAGCACACCGACGAGGCGGTCGAGGCCTACCGCGCCTGCCTTGCACAGCGCTTCAGCCCCAAGGCCCTGGCGGGTATCCTCAAGGTGTTTGAGAAGACGAAGGGCAGCACCCGCGACACGGTCGCCGCCACCATCCGCCTTGTCACCTGGCAGTACCGCTGGTACAGCGAATTCTCGCCCGAGCTGCTTCACACGGTCCGCATGCTCATCGAGGACGAGGGGGCTGTCAAGATCAGGAGCATCATCCAGGCGACGAACCTGCCGCAGTCGGTGCTGGATTTGACCCATCACTACGCCGCGCTCTGTGCCACATTTAGGAGCAGTGGCACAGATGGTTAAGAGGAGGAATATGGGGTGGCAAAGGGAGTCCCGGGAGGTGCGGAAATGTAGCGTGGGATAATTAGCGGTGGCCGTGACAGTCTGCAGTTGTAATCGGGTGCGTGTTCGACAATGATACCGTTCTGATGATGGTTGTGGAAAAATTAGACTTTCGTACCATCCAGCTTCTCGCGCTTGCCGGGCCGCTGGAATCGTATGTCTCTTGCTTGGCGACACGCATTTGTCCTGCAGCTGGGGTCGCACAGCGAAATTCAATCAACGATTCAGGGGCAGTTGTTTACTATGATGTTCCTGGTGCCAGTCAACAGGCGCAATTGAGAAACCCCTCAGCTCTAGTGATCGACTCTGAGACATGAGTCAGTCGGCCTGAAAGTCCATGACTGCAATCCACATCATGGCAATCCCGAGCCATCTCCAGCGCCCGACGCCGTATCGGACCGTGGCGCCGTTCCTTCGGGCCGGCAATGGGTCGTTCAGCACCATTCAGATGAATCTGCTTGGCTCATTGCACAAGCAACCTGCAACCACCCCACTCAAGTGAAGACTAAGTCACTGTAAGTGGGCAATTGTAGCCGACGCGATGCGGGGTGCAAGCGCTATAACGTCATAAGCGTTAATTGAATCGAAGGCTTTAGAAGACGAGGACAAAGGATAGCCCCCGGGCGGGGGCATCGGTTCTGTAAATAAAGTCGCCCCTGGATCCCTCTGCTTGGCCCGAGGCGAGAGACATTCACACATACCATCCCTTGCCAGAATTCAGAAGAAGTCAGTCATGGCAGAGATCAAGAACACCGCGTAAGTCATACGACAGACCAAGCTATATCACAGCAGCTGATGCTGACGCTTCTCTAGAAAGACTTTCAAGCTCAACACGGGCGCCTCGATCCCCGCCGTTGGGCTTGGGACATGGCAGTCCCCGCCCGGTGCAGTCGAGAAGGCCGTTGAGGCCGCTCTGCGGGCGGGATATCGGCACATCGACACGGCCTTCGCCTACGGCAACGAGAAGGAGGTTGGCCAAGGGATCCGGGCGTCGGGGGTGCCGCGGGAGGAGATCTGGTTGACTACCAAGCTGGACAACCCCTGGCATAAGCGAGTCCCCGAGGCACTGGAGCGCTCGCTGGCCAACCTGGGCACCGACTATCTCGACCTGTACCTGATGCACTGGCCATCCAGTACCGATCCGGAGGACACCAGAAAGCACTACCCTGACTGGGATTTCGTGGATACGTGGCGCGAGATGCAGAAGTTGGTTGAGACGGGCAAGGTCAAGAATATTGGCGTCAGCAACTTCGGGATCAAGAACCTGGAGCGGTTGCTGAATGATCCCAGCTGCAAGGTACGTCAGGGGTGCAATTGCAGTGGGCCAGACAGCTCTAACCCCCTACAGATGGTCCCGGCCGTTAATCAGATCGAGCTTCACCCGGGGAACCCGTCGCCCAAGCTCGTGGCTTACTGTGCTCAGAAGGGGATCCACTGCTCGGGCTATTCACCGCTCGGCAGCACCGACTCGCCGCTGTACAAAAACGAGACGCTTGGGTCCATCGCAAAGGCCAAGAACCGCAGTGTTCAGCAGGTGCTTCTGCTGTGGGGCGTCAAGAAGGGCTGGAGTGTGCTGCCGAAGAGTATCAACGCTGACCGGGTGAAGGCCAACTTTGACCTGGACGGCTGGGATTTGACCGATGAGGAGCTAGCAAAGATCGACGCGATCCCGGATCGGTTCAAGGTGTGCGGTGACTCGTGGTTGCCAGTCAAGGTCTTCTTCGGGGATGACGAGTAAATCGGTTCGGGGGGGCTTCTGTAGGCGTTAGACAATGACCATACCAAAATCACCCGCTTAGACTTACCAAAACAACTTCATCACTGGCCTCCGCTGCTATCGAGCGGCTCTGTCGTAGCAATCATCTTGATCACCACTCTTTCAACATAACCATCCACTCCGTTCGACTCGCTCACTCATAACCAGTCCCTCGCTCATAACTTCGCGCCCTGCTGCTCATCCGCCTTCACAACTTCCGCGACCGCCCTCCTGACCCGTTCCGCCAACTCCGCCGCCTCCTCCTCATCCAACTCATCCCTCTGGCCCCGGCCAAACATGGTCGCAGTAAACCTCTCCCGCCCCTTATCCCTCAGCTCCGGGCGCGGGATGACATGGAAATGCATGTGTGGCACGACCTGCGCCGCGGCGGCTCCATTGTTCTGCACCACGTTCCAGTCGCCCACGCCCGTCGCCTTCACCACCGCCGCGGACAGGATCCGCAGGTACCGGCCCAGCTCGACAGACTCGGTCGGCGTGACGTCGGTGAGCTTGGGCCGGTGCGCGCGCGGGCAGAGCAGCACGTGTCCTAGGGAGAGCGGCATTATGTCGAGGAAGGCGATGAGGTCAGGTGTGGAGAGGATGATGAAGGCGGATGGTTGCGGGGAAGTCAGGGTTGGATTGAGCGAAGGTGAGCTTGAGGGCGGTGGCTCGGCCGGGTTGTAAGGGGCAAAGACGGAAGAGATGTGACAGAAGGGGCACCCGGAGTCTGAAGGGGAGACCGCCGTGTCGAAATTGGCTGATGGAATTGGTGGGAGGGAAGATTGGTAGGTTTGAGGCGCCATTCTTGGTTCCAAGATCCTGAACAGTGATTGATAGTTGCGTAGTTGAGGGACGACTTTGAAAAGGTTATGTTGTGACTCTAGGCGCTCGAAGGAGATGTAAATCTAAATTAGGCCGTGATAGGTAAAGGAAGGCAATGCGGTCTGTTGTTGACCAATTGTCCGTTCCCCAATCGGAGACGCTCGCCTGTAGTGCCGGACCGACGGCCGAGACCGAGATCGCCCCTGAGCCGAACGGTATCTAATCTACGCGAATACTCTCAGTGTGGCCCACTTATGGCTGATTCTGCCCATTCCGGCCGCCAAAATTGCTATCTTCCGCCCCTCCCGTAGGTTGCCTTCCATCATTCTTTCATCAAACCGAACGTCGAAACTATCGCAAGCACGCAAGAACTTCACTCAAACACGATGTCGCGCGAACAGTACCAAGTCCCCAGCGGCTCCCCTACCACCGATGGCAGCGCCTTCAAGGTCGCCACGCGCGACTACGTCGGCGGGAGCGGTGACAACACCATGCACTACCTCTGTGGCGACTGCGCCGCGCGGGTGCCACTAGACAAGGGCGCGCCGATCCGCTGCCAAAGGTGTGGCGGTCGCGTACTGTACAAAGAGCGGACTAAGCGGTATGTTCACTGACCTCCTCCCATGGGATAGCTGAGGAGTTGCTTATTTGCTGTCCAGGATGGTTCAGTTCGAGGCGCGGTAGTATGACGACCGATATGCGCGATGGAGGCTCGTTTTAGTGCTTGGTCCGCCTCAACAAAGGGGACGCTCTCTCCCCAGATGCGGAGCAAGGCATTTGCATAGAAAAATCGATCTGGGGCGCTCGTGACATGGGAATCTAATTAAGGCGTTTCTTGGGCATATGAGGAGCCGAAGACGGCATGACGGGTATTGGCTTTTATTCTGATTCTAAGACATTCTGAAAAGTGTGCCATCTCCAAACGCCGATAACCTGATGCTGATGACCTATAATTACCCGTTGAAACCCATTGCGCTTTTTGTCAAATCCGCTTACAGAGCCGCCAATACCCGTGTCACTTTGGGCTCGAACACGCCTTCCTCCCTCTTGCCCTCCCTCTTGTCCTCTTGCCCTCACTCTTACCCTGCCGCCCTTACAGCGTCGGGTCCATTACTTCTCCCCTCTCCCGCCACGCTACTCTTTGAAGGCCTTTGCCCATGCACACGCCGTAAACCTCTAAATTCCGGCCAGCCTATTGCGTCATGTCGGCGATGCGCCTTCTGTACAGCTTCGAGCTGCTGTGTTCATTGGCGCTGGGTATGCAGGTATTTGGCGAAACTCGCCTCTGCACCTGTCGAGTCTTGCTGGTCTCGCATTGCCGCCTCGTATCTTGCCTGAAGCCCCTCGCGATCGTCCTCGTCGAAATCACCTTCGCCCTCATCCTCGTCCGGGCTGAGCGGCTCCACATCGTCATCTTCCTTCAGCGCCTTATCTCCCAAGGCACTCGAGGACGCTGTGCTACCCATCGACATACCCTTCATCATCTTCTCTAGCTCTTTCTCTCTCTGTTTCTTCTTGTCCTCCTCCCTTTGAGCACGCTTCCGATCCAGCTCTGGCTGATATCCCTTCTCAAACTCGTCGGCCTTCTGCTTGATAGCCTCAAGCAACTCATCCATGCCCGTCCCCTGGAGCGCACTAACGCTCACCACGTTGAGGTCGCTGTAGAACTCCTCCAGGGCCAGACTCATGCTGTCGATAAGGCTGCTCATGTATCCGGTACCGGCCCCCGAGCCCTCCACACCCCCAAATGCATTACGATTCTCGTCGGCAGTGAGAGCCTCTCGGAATGCTTCGTAGTCCGTCATCCACTTCTTGGCGAACTCTGCGTCTTGGACATCGGTCTTGTTGAAGACTACGATCATGGGCAGCTTCGTACGGTAGAGAATGCTGCATGCGTAGAGCATATTGCTCATGAACGTCGCCGTCGAGGTTGTACGCGCGGTATCGACAACATACGCGAGGACTGTAGGAAAGGACGAGGCAAACGATTCGAGCATGATACTTCCGGACGCTGACCAGAGAAAGACTTCTATCTGACCTGGTGTGTCCACAAGAATCCGCTTGATCGGTTTGCGCTCCGGCTTCTCCGGATCGGGCACCGCCCGCTTCTCGAGGATGTTGATAACCTGGTCGACCTTTGTCGTGAAGAGATTGAGGGATGTCATGATGCCCCCGTTGGGCCCAAGGCCATACTCCTCCATCACCTTCTTGTAATTCACTGAATCGCGGATGTCGATGTTTGCTTGGTACTGCAAGTTGGTAACGGCAGGGTCAAGATTGACCACATACGGAGGTTCTTGCTTTTGATGTAGGTAGGCGTATAGTTGTTGCATGAGAGTGGTCTTGCCGGATCCTGCAAAATTGTTAGCAGCACAGACGCGACGGTGATTCTCGGCGATGAACGAACCTGCCAGGCCGACACAGACGATGGCGACAGGTCGCTCGGGGCGACTTGTTGAAGTTGTGGTAGACTCCATTCTAAGCCTCCGACTTCAAATTTGGGACGTAGACGTTGAAAGTGGTGTCTAGAAGAGATCGCAACGATGGAGCTTTGCTCGCAGCACAGGTGAAAATGTATCGAGAAGATAGCTTTTTATTAGCGATCAAGTTGTGGAAGATGGGATGCGTGTGAGCTGAACCAGAGGGGGATCGAAGTCCACTAAATAGTGATCAGTCGTGGACGTCTAATCAGCTATGGGTGGTGAGGTCAGCTGGCAGGCGAATGAAAACCACTTGATGTGTAGTGTATGTTGTCATCACTGGCAGTGCACAGTGTGAGGTAAAATCCCGTCCCCGCCTTCACATGTCGAGGTTGCCCGATGGTGTCGCGGGGTCTGATTCAGACTTGCGCATGGATCCTTCAAGCCTACAGTCCAATACACTGTGCTGCTACGTCATGAATTCTCATAATCTACAGTGTGAAGTGAGTTCTAATTACGGTGGAATCCCGTTTTAGCGCTGTGCTTCCCGGCTGTGGTCCACTCCACGCCGAGAAGCTTGGGACAGGGATTGGAATTGGAAACTGTATGCTGCCGTTACCGCTATTTGTACAGGCCCGCTCGATAGTGACGCGGGCTGGGGCTCTGAGCCATGTATAATCCTTGGACTCTCGCACATCCCGTTTAGGACAGAGATTCGTAGCATCATAACAAACCATCATAAGTATGACCGTGTCCTCCAAACTCCTAGCGGGCAAATCGTAATAAGAAGTAAATCTAAATTTAGCCTTATCACTAGTTCTAACTTAACCCAAGCTGCAACTATATATCTTCGCTGTCAAACATTTGGCCATAGTATCGCCCGGTACAGATATCGGGCGACCCCGTACAAATAGCGAGGTCGGCATGCTGCTTTCCCACAATCGTCCAGACACAACAAACCTGTGCCACCGCGCTAGATAGGATGTCGAGGAGCTTCAAGGTTTACCGTCATCTAGCAGTCGAGATTCGTGGCACGGGAACCCAAAATATAGAGCTGGTGGCTTTGATCTCCTAACTCTACGGAGTACACGGGCGAGATACGACGTGATGTGGAAATCCATCGGCTGCCACCTCAGGGCCATGGGTGGTCTCACGTCATCATCATCATGACCCGGGGTTTAGGTAGGCTGCCGATTCTCTCGCTCTTGGCGACGCACCTTCAATGCGGTTGGTGCGCGTTCCGATCGACAACCAAACGGAGGAACATGTCTTGGGGCCTGAACAAGATAGGCGAACAACTGTCGTTTGTTCCCGAGTCTACCCCTCAAAACTGCGCCTCCGATAAAGAGGTCCCTGTCCCCGCGCTCACCTTCTTTGTCCCCGTTACTTAGTCCCCCGTTTCCTCAGACAACCACCGGATTACGACTCAATCGTTAGACATTCTCGAGTTGCATCAATCTAGAAGCCACCACTTGAGTCACTCCAACTATTCTCACCACAATCGAACAGCAGCGCACGCCCGCTCCTGGGCCATCCAGCCGCCATGTTGCGGAAGAAAGACAACTTCACCGTTATCACGCCCATTCCGCCCCATATCCCTCGCCAGTTGGCCATTGACATCCTCCACTCGCACTCCGAGGTCATCACCTTAAACCCGCTCGTTCTCGAGCACCACCCCATTCCGGCGCCGCAAAATGCGGAGACGGACGAGTATTACTCTACTTGGTATGAAATCACGGAGCGGATTCAGTTCCTGCCCGGCATTGGGAAGATGGGTGCTTCGACCATCAAGTTCAATGGCTGTTTCCACGACATGCCATGGGGATTGCAAACCCACATCTATGCGCCGATGAACGTGGACGTGCGCCATACCTATCGCATCGCCGGCAACCAGCCCGGTGTTGAACCGCCAGAGGTCCCGGAGATTGGCCTGAAGGCGCTCGGCGTCCCCTCGGACGGGCTGTATCTGCGCTCGGATATCGAGATCAAGTGCAACGTCACGGTGCTCAGCTTCGTGAGGTCCCAGCTGAAAAAGTCCGGTGGCGAGATGGTGAATCGCATCATCAAGAAGGCCGAACTGCTAGACGCGGGCGTGCTTCAGGCAATGATCGAAGATGGGAAACTCAAGACAGTGAACCCTGCCGATCGAAGCCAGTCGGTCAAATCACCGCTCCCGTCTCCCACGAGTCTGCAATACTCTCCTTCGGTCAGGGGCTCGCCGCCTATGGGGTCTCCCCCGATAGGCTCTCCTCCAACCCCGTATCAAGTCCCTCGCGTGCAGTCTATGTACTCGGGATATTACCGGCCCGGTACTGCTGGATCGCAGGGCAACGGCGGGTACAACCCTCATGCTCCTCGCCTGCAGGGCTTTCAGGCACCCGACGCACCTCAGGAGCTCCCAGCCGCAGAAGCAAATCCGCCGAGCCAAGCTCTCATCGAAATGCCAGGTGACTTCTACCACGCGTCCCCCGACCTACAGCCAGGCAGACAGTCCCCCCAGCAACCCCACCAGTCTTCGCCTCACCAGGGCCACCGAGATTCAGTCATCGATCCGGCTCGGCTTCCCAACACAAGCCCAAACCCGTCGGTTGCTGGGCAGTGGACAACTCCAGGCTCACGCCCGGTCTCAGCCTCCCCAGGCCTCGGGCTGCGAGGCTTTGACAACAAAGTCTTCCCAGCCCCGTTAGCGCCGCATCGCGAAGCCCAAGACGAGGTGAAGTCCGCCCCTAGTAGCCCTCAGCCGCCGAAATATGTTCCGTACAACCCGGCCGATTACGCCACGACGCCACCAGGGCAACCTCGTTATGGACATGGACATTTAGGTCAGGGGTACAGTAATGTGCATTAAGCGACCGATGGACGATTTTGTTTTGACTCAGTCTGAAAGGGTGCAATGGCCATATACCCAGGGATTTCTTTGGATGCTTTTGGAAGATTGTATGCGGGTGTTGGGCGTCTGAAAAGGGCATAATACGACGATGGGTATATAACGTTGTCGATGTTTGCCCATACATTTTTACCTGGCGGCAAATGTATTTCTCTACTCCGTTCTTTGCAATGTGTGTATACCCCAATGAAATCCTGCTTCCCCAAGCCGGTGTCCGCAAACGCAGTGCCGGGGCTTGAGCCCAAGGGAGGCTCGTAGGAGAGGAGAGCCTTTTCACCGCTGCTGCTGACGTATGTCTCGCCATTAAGTTACACAGCAGCTTGGGGTGGCGGCTTCTCTGGCCGCGACGTGCATGTCGTCGCAGATGTAGAGATCCGTTGGACCGAGTCGGTCAGCTTCGGGTTGTAGTCCAGTCCACGGTTCCAAAACAGTACCACAAAGACTTCTGTTCATTTTGGTAACTTACAGATGGTGACAATGAATGGGCATCAACCGAAAGACCTCTTTGTCCGAGACCGCCTACACGTGTTGTTTTAGCTTAACGGCTATGCCGAGTTCCCCGTGGCCCGTTGGTGACTCCGGACCGTGACTTGCATATAGCAAAGTGCGCAAGACACTGCCTCCACAGTCCACAGCAATGGTTCGAAAGAGCAGCGATCCCCACCCATACATAGCTCGGCGCTGAGTAAGGTAATCAATCCTTGTCCGTCCTCAATTAGGACGAAGCTTTCCCACTCGAATAAGATCGGAGAACGCAAATGCCGACGGCTCAGCCACTCCTCAGGATGCATGCGGTCGGTAGGATGTGGCTAGTCTAGGCTGTGGCGGAAACGTCGAGGAAAACGTCAAGTTCAGTCACGCCAGTCCTCCGCGTCAGCCAGGGAGAGCACACTGTACACTACGCATTGCGAGACGGATGTAAATGTGATGTTGGGATGTTGGACTCGGAGCTCTGATCTGACTGGCCAAGAAAAATCCCCTGTGAACGGCACTGTGCTAGTAGGTGTTAAGTTGTACGTCCGTTGACTCCGGACATGTACGGTGTACTATGGTATTGTACAGCTTGTCGGCCTTCGGTTAGAAGTGGCTCACATGCATTGACTGAGGAAGCTAGCTGAGGGAAGGCCGGACTGGTTCCCGCTTGAAGATAGACCTTGCTGCTATCACTCAACTGCGTACCAGTACAAAAAGGTGTTTGATTCGGATGATTGTGAACCGTTGATTGCATCGGCTCTCCAGCTTTACATGTACATACTGTACATACCCGTAGGTACCTGGTAGCTTAGCGGGTCGATCTGCCTTTGAGGCCGAGTGCTACGTCTTGGCCCCCCCTCCCCCCCCCCCCCAAATCGTGCACGTTCCACATTCCTGAAGTTGCAACTTACAGTACAGTACGTCACTCCTCCAATTTCACCACGTCTTGGCGTTTTCCTGAACTGTTCGCAGCTCTTCGTTCGGTCAAAGAACATGGACAGCCTCCAGGAATTTGAAAAAGCGCTGGCCGCTGAAAAGGCGGAGCGACATCGCAACGTGCGGGAAAAGGACGAAAGCGGCGAGCGGAAACACAGACATCGCCAGCACCGCGAGCGATCTTCAGAACGCGAGCGCGACAGCGACAGGCACAGACGTCGAGATGGCGACCGAGAGAGACACAAGCGCAAGGACGATGTTCATAGAGATGAGCGCAGCCATCATCGGTCCCGAAGGGAGGACTTAGATGAGGATAAACACCGTCACAAGCGCTCCCGGCATTCTCGAGACGACGAAGAACGGGATGAGGAATCGAGCCATCGCCATAGGCATCGGCATAGATCGAGGGAGCGGTCAGGCGAGCGGCGCGACAGTATGCTTGAGGGGCGCGCGACGAAGGATACGAAAGACTTAAAGCAGTCCGACCCGAAGGAGGACCTTCCGCTCCCGGACGAAGAGAGAACGCCGGCCGACGACACGCCGCTTGTTCGTGACTCTTGGATGACGGCGCCTTCTGCTTTAGACGTGGACTATATCCATAGGGGAGTAAAGAGGAAGAGCCCTTCGCCCGTGAGGGAGGAGCCGCGTAGGGTATTGCATAAACGGGAATTGAACACGGGGCTGCACGAAGCACAAGAGCGCGTCCAGGCACCGACTAAGCGAGAGGTCACCTATACTTTCGGTGATGAAGGCTCGCAATGGAGAATGACCAAACTCAAGGCGGTTTACACCATTGCGGAGCAGTCTGGACGTCCCGTTGACGAAGTTGCGGAAGAGAGGTATGGCAGTTTGCAGGAGTTTGACGAGGCCAGGGAGGAGAAGATGGAGCTGGACCGGCGGAGAGTTTACGGTGAGGGATACTTTGGCAAGGAGAAGCCAGACGGGTCGCTCTACGCAGAGAGGATGGCCAAGACAAGACCCGAACCCGCGCGTTCTCCATCTCCACAGCCTGAGCAGGGCATCGTGGTTGAGGACGCGATTCAGAAGGCTCCACCGATGGACCAGTCGACACTCAACCGAATGCGTGCAAATCTAATGAGGGCGAAGCTACGCAATGCCCCTGAATCCGCGAAGCTCGAGGCCGAGTACAACGCAGCCATGGCCGCCTTCAGCGCAGGCTCTGTATCCAACAACGCCGTCGTACTCGATGCCTCGCACAACCGGATGCTTGCCGGTCCACGCGGCGAGGTCAAGTCCATCACCACCAAACGCGGCGTCGAGCGCGGCCAAGTAGAAGCCAACGAGGACATGTCCATCGAAGACATGCTCCGCGAAGAGCGGCGGACCCGTGGCCAGCCGGGAGGGGAAGGTCTGCGCCTCGCCGAGCGCATTGCCAAAGACGCCCGCTTTGACAACGACTTGGAATACCTGGACGAGAACGCCGAGAAGCTGGCCAAGCGCGTCCACAAAACCGACTCCTCGCTCAAGAACATGGCGGTGGCCGAGTACAAGAAGCTCAACCGCATCCTCGACACCTGCCCGCTCTGCTACAAGGAGGACCGCGCCCCGCCGCAGAACCTGCCGCTCGCCCCCGTCATCTCACTCGCGACCCGCACTTACCTGACGCTCCCCACGGCGCCGGAGCTGACCGGGGCCGAAGGCGGCGCCGTGATCGTGCCCCTCAGCCACCGGACGAACCTGCTAGAATGCGACGACGACGAGTGGGAGGAGGTGCGCAACTTCATGAAGAGCCTGACGCACCTGTACCACGACCAGGGGCGCGAGGTTCTCTTCTATGAGAACGCGGCCGCACCCCAGCGCAGGCTGCACGCCGCGCTGGTGGCGGTGCCCATCCCCTACGACCTGGGCGACACCGCGCCGGCCTTCTTCCGGGAGGCCATGCTCTCTGCCGACGAGGAGTGGGCGCAGCACAAGAAGGTCATCGACACGGGCAAGAAGGCGAGGGAAGGGCTGGGCAAGCTGGCGTTCAGGCGGAGCCTGGCCAAGGAGATGCCGTATTTCCATGTCTGGTTTAATCTTGATGGGGGCTTGGGCCATGTAGTGGAGGATGCGGACCGCTGGCCGAAGGGGGATCTTTTCGCACGGGAGATCATTGGGGGCATGTTGGATACCGAGCCGGATGTGATCAAGCGTCAGGGACGGTGGACGAGGAACGATGAGCGGGCGGAGGAGTTTAAGAAGAGGTGGCGGAAGTTCGACTGGACGAGGGTGCTCACTGAGGGCGGGTAGTGTAGTATCATAATGATATAATCATCAACAGTGGATGTGTTTGAGCAGCTAAGTTGGAGCAACAAGTCGAAGCGACAATCACGGTCAATTTCTCCTCAGATTTTCTCGCATCCTGCAAGTCAACGCGAGTAAACAATTTTAACGCGCCACACCACTGCCTAACTCCATAGTCAACGACTACCTACGGTACCTAACTCCATAATCCATGATCCAGATGAACGATTCCAGCACTCATTTCCCCAAGTCCACAGAATGATGTGGATTACTTAACCCTCCTCAGCATCCATGTCGTCCCTGCTCGATCCGGGAGGTCCCCTCTTCTTCCCCTTGCCCCGTTTCATCAACGATCCCTTCTTGTCTTCCATCAACTGCTTCATCTCGTTCTTGGCATGCCGTTGTGCCTCCTCGACCCGCGGCTTGAAAACCATGACCTCGTCTTTCTCCAACGCGTACTCGGTGAGCTTGGTGCCCAGCGCTGCTTCTATCCGTAGCCAAATCTCGAGGTCACTTTACCCAGTCAGTAATCGAGGGAGACGAACGAAAACAAGATGGTGGAAACTCACTACTGCGTCACAAAGCTGATAGCATGCCCCGACTTGCCAGCACGAGCGGTACGCCCCACGCGGTGCACGTAGGTTTTAGAGTCCTGTGGCAGGTCGAAGTTGAGGACGCAGTCGACATTCGGTATATCGAGACCGCGAGCGGCGACGTCTGTGGCAACGAGAATCTCGCGAGAGCCGGCACGGAACTTATTCAGGGCGCCGAGACGAGCGGCCTGGGAGAGGCCGCCGTGCAGCGGGATGGCGCTCATGCCGAGTGTGCGGAGCAGGATCGCGATTCTCTGGGTTTCAAGGACGGTGCGCGTGAAGATGATGATGGTTTGGCCGGCGAATTCGTTACAGAGGTAGATCAAGTAGGTGTCCTTGTGCATGTGTGGGATGAAGAGGTAGTTTTGGACGAGGGTAGAGACGGTCTGGTATTTAGAGGAGGAGATGGTGACTTTCAGCGGGTCGCGTAGACTGGCTCGTTGCAAACTCTCGACTTTGCTGGACATAGTGGCCGAGAAGAGGAATGTTCTCCTTTCCCTGGGGAGGAACTTGAGGATCTTTTCGAGAATTGGGCCGAAGTCCATGTCGAGGAGGCTGAACGAACAGTTAGCTTCCGTACAGAGGTAGAAAAGGAGGTTGGGCTTACCGATCAGCTTCATCCATGACCAGGTAGCGGAGGTTACGTCTGTAGGTTGCGTGTCAGCCGAGACTTGATCTCCCGTCAGAGGCTCATCTCAGAAATTCCCTACAAACTGAAGCCCTTCGTCTTTTCCAAGTGGTCCAAAAGCCGCCCGGGCGTCGCAACCACCACGTGGGGCTTCTTTCCAAGCGCAATGGCCTGCTGCACCATGTCCAGACCACCCAAGATCAGAGCGCATCGGAGCGAAATCAGAGAGCCGAGCGCCTCGAAAGCCTGTGCAATCTGTGCTGCCAATTCTCTTGTAGGCGCCAGCACCAGGGCGAACAGGGGCTGCGGTTTGTCGAGGAGGGCTTGGAGGATGGGAAGGGCAAAGGCAGCAGTTTTTCCGCTACCGGTTTCCGCGATACCGATAATGTCACGATCTTGCAGGGCCAGTGGGATTGACTGCTCCTGAATCGGGGTTGGTCTCTTGTAACCGAGGCTCTCGCAAGCCTCACAGAGTGAATCAACGATTCCCTAACGGACGGTTAGTTGCCACACTTATGTAGACGCAAAGGTATCGCATACCAAATCCCTAAAGGACTTCGGCGCAGAATCACCGTTTCCCTGCCTCGAAGCATCGTCTATAGTGGCAGACTCGGCGTCGGAGCCGGATGATGGAGTTGGGTCATTCGGCTTCGTTGCCGTTGCGGGCTGATGCTTTGATTTGGTCTTGGGGGCTGTCTTGGGGGCTGAAACCGGGGCGCCTTTTAGCACCCCATCTTCGTGGGAAACCTTCCTTCGTTTTGTCGACATTGCAGCCTCTGTGAGCGGCTCGATTTGATCCGGACGATGCGAACTGATTTTGATGGTGAACCTCGACGGAATCCCGTCCGCCAAAATTCCAAGCCTATCGTAGCTATCGATGGTGGGGCATGCACGATAAGGAAGAGCTCCACCGAAATTTTTGCGGCGAGTCTCGTCTTGGGGAGCGTCAATTGGAGTCGAAGTTGTATCCGTACTTCGGCAACCGAAACAGCTACTATCACCAGACATCAACATGGCGAAGCGGCGGTCAAAAAGGAGAACCCATGTTGGCGCAAATAACCCAGCCAACCCGGCAGCGGTCAATGGCCACATCAACCCACGAGATCCGAAGAGCATGGTTATCCGAATAGGCGCCGGCGAGGTTGGGACCAGTATCAGTCAGCTGGCCACAGATGTCCGGCGCGTCATGGAGCCGGGAACAGCATCGCGGCTCAAGGAGCGAAAGGCCAACAGGTTACGCGACTATGTCACCATGTGCGGTCCGCTCGGAGTTTCGCACCTCCTCCTGTTCTCGAGATCTGAATCGGGGAATACGAATCTTCGCCTTGCCATTACACCTCGGGGGCCTACCTTCCACTTCAGAGTCGAGAAGTACTCTCTGACCAAGGATGTCAGGAGAGCGCAGAGGCATCCCAAGGGTGGGGGAAAGGAGTACATCACGCCTCCACTGGTAAGACCAGCAAGCATTAGTCTGCGAGGCAGTTATGCTAACACGGCGCAGCTCGTCATGAACAATTTCAGCAATCCGAACGCGGACGCAAACTCCAAGGTTCCCAGACACCTCGAGTCCCTCACCACAACCGCATTCCAATCCCTCTTTCCACCAATCAATCCCCAGACAACGCCTCTGAAGTCGATTCGAAGAGTATTGCTTCTGAACCGCGAACAGTCCGCAGAGGATGATGGCACATTCATCGTTAACTTCCGGCACTACGCCATTGCGACGAAGGCAGTAGGCCTCTCAAGGCCACTACGCCGGCTCAATGCGGCAGAGAAGATGCTGAAGTCCAAGAAGGGCAAGAAAGGAGGTCTCCCAAACCTGGGAAAGCTGAAGGATATCTCAGAATTCATGATTGGTGGCGAGGATGGCGAGGGCTACATGACAGATGGCACGAGCGGCAGTGAACCGGATACCGACGCCGAGGTTGAGGTCCTTGAGACGACTACCAAGAGAGTTCACAGCGGCAAGGCTAGGGGTGCGAACCATGACAGTGATGAGGAGGATGAGGGTCGCAACGATCATGTCGAGCGGCGGGCCGTGAAGCTGGTCGAGCTGGGTCCGCGGATGCGGCTGCGCATGACCAAGGTTGAAGAGGGACTCTGTTCCGGCAAGGTCATGTGGCATGAGTACGTGCATAAGACGAAGGAGGAGATTAGGGAGCTGGAAAAGCGATGGGAGCAGCGCAAGAAGGAGAAAGAGGCTCGTAAGAAACAGCAAAAGGAGAACGTGGAAAAGAAGCGCAAGGCAAAAGCGGACAACAAGAAGTCTTCTGGCGATGCCGAGGGTGAGAATGATGACGATGAAATGGATGTCGATGAGTATGACAGCGACCTGTATGATGAGGACGGGTTCGATAGCGAAGGTCTGGAGGGCGACGCTGAAGAGCAGGTCAATGCCCGGATGGAGGAGGAAGGCGACTGGGAGGACGAAGAAGAAGAGATTGCTGAAGGCAGGGCCTCTAAAAGGAAATCTCTCAAGAGATAGTTCAGTACTTGCTATATACGCATTGTTCGCCTTTTCTCTGTCTTATTTCCATCAGATTGGCTCATTAAAATGGCCTCGTTAAAGTCCTTTCATGTCTTGTTTCCGAGACCCGTGCCATATATGGCGAGAATCAATGGCGACAACCGGCCCTCCTGCACTATTCCATGTGCTGCCCGGCGTTCGAAGCACAGACACGAAGTGACGACGTTTCACGTCTCACGGATCCCCTTTCACTCGGCCCCCATTGCATGCTCGGGCATTGAGTCAGTGTTAGCCGCAGAAAGCGTGGAATGTCTGTTTCTCAACCCCGTTTTCAATGTCAAAGTGCGTGACCGCTTTTCGAAGACAGTCACCTCTGTTGAATCCTTCCAGTCCCAGGGATCAAACTCCGCTCCATGGAGAGCGTTACATTTGATAGCATCCGGCATCCTGGACCGAAAGAAATCCCATACTGACCCAACAGGAGTTTCATACCCATCAGCCTATGGAGTGGTTTTCCAGCAGTCAGCACAGAAGATGGACTGGGTTCACGCGGAATGTTATTTTGAGTTGTGATAGCACTGATGCAGAACACCGAATAGCTATGAGCGAAGGGATGCTTCCGTGAAATTTGGAATGCACGTTCTTTACGGTCCTATCCTGACCACCTATGAATTCCGATGCTGATGTTGACCGAGAAAACCCCAGAACCCTTCCTTACCAAAAACGCCGGGATATCAATGCAATGCCGGGCAAGCCAAAAGAAAAAAAAATCCAAATTCATCTCACGGACAAGGGATCACCGCCGCTGTGCCTCATAGACCCGCATCGCCCTCTCCAGCTCCTCCAAGCTTCCCCGGTCGCCATACGCATCGGCCAGGGCTGCCTCGCGCCGCCGCCTCTCGACTTCGGCTTGCTCAGCGGCCGCCAGCCGCTCATCGACCTGTGCTTGGCGGTAGGATGCGACGGCATAGCCGGCCGTGACGACCGCGGCGAGCGGTGGGATCCTAGAAACACGGCTGGGTTAGCTGGCCATATGACGAGTAAAGAGATTTAAGGGAAGCCCAGGAGTAGGTAGAATACCATTTCAGGCCCTTTCCTCTGCTGCTATGAAGATACGGGAGATACGGTGGGTGGACGCGGGCTGAGGTAGAGATCGGTCTTGTGGATGAAGGGGGTTGGCGGTTCATTTTCGGTGCTGGTAGTGGTTTGAGCCGCAAAACGGCTAGGTCGGTAAGGGCTTAGGGAAGCACGAGATGGGCCGGTAGTCTCGATGTGAGGGCTTATAGCTTGGGCACGGGAGGCTATAGACGTCGTTATTAGGGCGATCCCGGGTCGGCGACTTCGTACGGGAAGCTGACAGCTCAAATAACGGGAGAAGGGGTGGAGTAAGTAGGTGAGTTGCGTTTATGTGATACAGGCACCAGAACAAAAGAGGGGTAAAGTGTGTTGCAGGTTTCTAGGTACATAAACGAGTGTTCCAAGACGGGAAAGCCGTCGTGAGACGTGAACTTCCAGTACCGTTGGGCTCGTTGAGTCAGCCCACAACTTGGGGTGTGCCTCGTTGTTTAAAGCCTGCAGAGTGCAGCATTAGCCGGTCGTTGAACCGTTCGTTCGGCATGTGGTGTGACTAGCGGCCCACAGTGGTGCGTTTGATGTCGTTCAATCGGCTCGATGATGCGCATGTCGGGCCACATGTTGTGGGGGAATTGCCGAGGGTGTTGTAAGACAGTGGGGCCTCGCAAGATGCGGCCATCTCCGTTTTCCCGGAACCGAATTCGGGCCGGGTGGCTTCCTTTGATTTGAATGGCTACATCAACGCGGGACGGGTCGTTCTTTTGGCCCCGGGCCGTCCTCTTTTGCTGATCTGGCAGCTTTCCGACAACTTCTGTGCTCGAAACACTACCTGGTACTAACCGCCCGTGCAGAAGCCGGGGATGGCCACGGACGTGTAGTTCAACATCGATGAAACTCTCCCCACCATACACCTTCAGCAAAACCTGCATTTTCTCAGTATCGAAATCCCGGTACCCTCGGAGGTTTCGTTGCAAAAACCACCAAAAGCCGTCGGTTGCGATCTAGATCCAATCCAAGGAGTGCTGTGTGACTGTGACATGACGAGCCGCCACTTCACGGCAACAGGGTTCACCGTCACGGAGGCGCGATGGGCCATGACAATCTTCCCGCTGAGGAGGCTGGCGACTTCTTCTTGATCATTTTCACGCCCTGATGACGGACAAGGTCTGGGTTGGATTGGCAAAGGCCGTGTCGAAGCGCTTGAGCAGCACCCCTCTGCGAGCCTGCGTCCTCTCCCACACCCGGGTCACGATCTCGCTCTTTCTCAAGATCTCCTACAACATACCCATATGGCGCCTGAACTTTGCTGCAATTTGTCTTTTCCGGCTTCCACCCTGCAAAGAGACCATATCTCCCTGAAGGTTGTTGAAACTGGCACAGTTACGGACAGCTGATAGTCCAAGGCCACCATTATCATAATTCTCGCAGATAACAGTTATAGTACGTTTTCTATGTCGTGGTAAGTTCTACGTGTATCAACCCGAGCGTCCACTCCTAACCATTTTCATAACTCATCGTACTTGGACCTTTGTTGGGGACACAAAATTCACTAGTAATGCTTGTCGTATCGGGTTCAACCTACTGCGGCAACAACTCTTAGGCAGGTGATAGATCTTTGTTCCTCGATCCACCCATACCTTACTCGCCCTCGAGCTGTGCTGTCCTGTGCAGGACAAAAAGGCGGGGAGGGTTTTCTGTGTGGCTTTCAGCGCCTTGATGATAAGTAGCCCCTGTGATTAATGCCAAAGCCACTCAGTCTATACCATAGTCATTCATTGATGATTGTATCAATCATTTTGTGAAAGGACATACATTAGAAACAGGGGTAAACAAGAGGTCCCCAGCTGAGCACCGGAGCAGGCTCCGACTGTCATGGGTCTAGATCGGCATTGGGCTCTACCTACGGATACGGATACATTAAGTCCTGACATTAAGATTGACGCGCCAATCGTTCCATCGTCGGTACCGAAGGATGCTTCCATCTGGTCATGGGACCCCCGGAATCGCTGATTTGCAAGGCTCTCTGAGTGGATCACCATCCACTGGCTGTCAGCGGAGGCATTTCGTTGTGTCGGTATGCGACTCTCCAAAATGCAGAAAGACACAAGCGGCTTGGGGCCCTCAGAGTCCGAGGTTGCGATACGATAGACTCTGGGCGTTGAGCTTCTCTCTCAGTTTCTGAATGGAAATTGAGAGGTTTGCTGGTCCGTTTAAAGGCGTTGTCATATAGGGGTCTGCTATGGACTCATCCTCGGCTTGTCATGGAGTGTTTACTACAGTATTGTACGGATTATCTGTGCCGCTACAAGCACGATCGCCTCGAAGGCGTCCTCTGTTGCCACATTTCGTGATCAAAGTCGTTATTCCCGTTTGAAGTATTCTTTGGCTATGGGAAGAGACAGTATTACATTATTAGAACAGATCTGCGCTGCTCAACCGTAGATGGAGATGCCTTTGGTCGGCACACATAGCTGCCGAGTTGATTGGAACAACAGCACTGTGATGATTCCTCCATATGCCTGTTAGCTAAGCATGCGCGGGGAGAGGAACGGGTCACAAATAGTTCTGTTTTTCTCCAAGTCCGAGACAAATATGAACGCCGTCCACCATTCTATTTACCAACACCATGTGAGAATCCGAGAGTATCCCAAGCCAAAGATGGGACCTGAAAACAGATTTTGCCTCCAGAAAGAATGGTATTAGATTCAGTTGCGAAGATAACGCCCGTACCCAGGACAATTCCGCATGGCCCATTCAGTGCCGAGACTCGTATGAGACGGTTGTCGTCTTGGTTTGCACGATAGCAGGGTTTCCCGGCACGATGGCTGTCTCGGAGCCACTGTCGCCCTGACTGTCGCCGCGATGACCCGCATCAGACCCGTGCTCGTCGGCGCCCTCAACGGCAACAATTGTCTCGAGCGGATACATGATCTCGTCGTCGAAGCGCTCGTACTTGTTACTGCGGTTCCGGCTCGTGTTTCCGCCGGTGCCACCAAAGGTTGGCGGGGCGTTGGGGTTGGACATGCCGCTCTTCGCCACGTATTGCCCGTTGTTGGAGCTGGAGCCCATGAAACGAGGCGCGATGTGGCTGAGAAGAGGTCTGACCGTTGGCAACGTGCCGCAGATGATCGAGAGGTTGGTCTCCGCGAAGCTGTGAGTTGGTATGTGTTAGGGGGTGCAATGCACCGGAAACTGGGTAAGGTAATCTGTGGCTGGCACTTACATCCACAGAAGCACCGGTCCTCCCCCCCACGACTGGTCGATGTCACCCATCTGGTTGATCAGCGCCACAAGTCGCATGATTGACGTGAATGCAGTTCTGATATTGCTTAATGTTAGCCTCACCAAATGGAGTGCTGGGTTTCTGTGGAACTTACACTCCGCCGATGCTGAACGCCGCGACAAGAACTATCTTCTGCTTCCGGGAGATTTGCAGAGTGACAATGATGGGGATAGGGACGGCAAGAACCATGAGGTCGGTGATGGCGCCCAAGATGGCTGTTGCCTGGTACAAGGCCGGACGGTCGATGCAGGTACCGTTGGTGATGGTAAGATCCCAGGCCGACCGCAGCGGACTGCACGGGAAGATGGTAGCAAACAGAATGGCCACCGATGACCCAACAACCACAAAGCCAACAAACCAGACGGTTATTTTATACCACATCTGGGGCGCCAGGCGGCGGTAGAGAAGGAGAAGCGCGAGTTTGGCGCCGCATTGTACCGGGTTGTATAGGATGGGAAGCTGATACAGGACCTCGAGGAATAGGACGAACTTGTCGATAGGCATCTCCCACGAGTGGGTGCCCAAAATGCCTCGCGCGAAACCACCTAATATTAACACGTTATCAGACTCGTCGTTCCAAACGGTATTGAGTACTAAGGGTTATTGACGCCGGGGTCATCCAGCACGTACGGATGATCAACGCCTGTAGCACCACCGAGAATACCTGCATAGCGGAGAGTTGGTCGTTAGAGCTGCATCAGGTGCAGGTGAGCTGAGGTTTCGGGTCGTCATCCAAGCTTACGTATGCAACTCCAAGGCTGACTGTGCACGGGTCAGTTCAAGATGTCCGGACGGCGCAGGAACTAGCGCCGGGCAACATCGATGACAAGAATGAACGTACCGTCTTCCCATTGGAAGGTTCGCTGCACGACGGCCCTGACATAGACACGCTGCAACATGAAAAGCAGGCAGAGAAAGTTGCCAATGGCGCACATCCAATATGCCTCGGTCACGCTGTTGCGCTGGGGATTCTCGAAGTCGACGACGTAGCCCGGGGGTGGCGGCATGACCACCGGCACGCCGTTGACGGTTGGGAGGCTCGCCATGTTTGCCGTCGAATGTGGAAGTCTTGGTCGGCTCGATGCTGAGGTACGTCCTCGTTCTTAGCTGTCCCTCCGGTCCGTCCTTGACTCGTTCCGTCCATGACTCGTTCCAGGGGCGGCGACCGACAGACAGAAGAACTCGTGGGTGCCCCCGATAATAAGGCGTGTGGGAAAGAGGAGGCCCCGGGGCACAACAGCATCCAGCCCTCTCAGCTTCTCAGGATGTAATCCAGGATTCCAGGTAATGAACCATGAATGCAGGCCTTTGCAGCACTGCAAAGCAATGATGCGCATTGGTCTTGGGGATCGGCATTCTCTTTGACTCCTGCGCAACATGTACATCGGTACGTAAATTTGTTCCTTTCTTTTTTTTTTCCCTGTAACCACCATGTCTCCTGTTTGTCGGGTCTCGAGACGCCAATACACGGGACCAGGCCTTCTTCGGACGTCTAGACTACATAGGACCCCTGGCTGAAGGAACGGTCCGGGGGCCACCACACCTTCCCGCTCGGGACGCTGAGGATCAGGATCCCTTTTCTGTCACAATATAGACCAATGAGCTTCCTACCTCGAGTAGGTGTCACCGTTGGCGGCTCCACCGATCCACGAACCGTTGAAAGGGTCTGAGCCGGCGGCAGACCCCATATTAACGTTATCCATGGATGTTCCCTGAGCTCACAAATTTGTGACAGATGCAGCAGTTGCAGATGGCCAGCGTTGCATTTCCTGAAACCAACACAGCAAGCGTTGCATTCTCTGCTATCGCTCAACCCATTTTTTGCCCAACACTTCCCCGGAACATGTTCCGCCTGCCCCGGTCCCTATCGCTCGCCCGCCGATCACATTGGGCAGAGGGGCGCCGTCACCGCTTTCGGGCTAGCCCATTGCAGCGAGCCAGGTGTTTGAGGGGGATTAACATGAGCATGTGGTGAATCTGTTGATGGATCATGGAGGCCCGTCGTGGCCGGGGGCGGGGTACAGCCAGGTCTGTCGTGCACACTGCACAAGCGCGACGTGCCCCCAGATATATACCCCTTCCCGTGCTCGAAGCTGCTTGTGCGACCCGAGCATTCTGAGGTATCGAGCGCGCCACAACCCCCCAACCATGACAGCCCTTGCACCCAAGACCGTACCGCCCCAGGCCGAGTGCCTCACAGCCGGCGGCTTGCAGGCCCAGGTCCTGGTCCCGGGCGATGCTGACTATGAAGCGCGTCAAGATTCTTACTGGTCCAACAGCGCCAAGATCCGGCCGGCTGCCATTGTCCGTCCCCGTTCCGCCGACGAGGTCTCAGCGGCCGTCAAAGCGCTCGTGGGGGCCAAGCAACCCTTCGCTGTGCGGTCCGGCGGCCACACGAACTGGGCGGGCTCCAACAACATTGAGGGCGGCGTCACCGTCGACTTGAGCTTGCTGAACGGCGTAGTCTACGATGCGGCCTCGGAGACGGCCAGCATCGGGCCGGGCTGCCGCTGGAGGGAGGTCTATGCCGAGCTGCACAAGCACGGCCGCGCCGTTGCCGGCGGGCGCGAGGGCAATGTAGGCGTCGCTGGCCTGTTGCTGGGCGGCGGCAACACCTTCTTCACGGCCCGCCGCGGCTGGGCATGCGACAACGTGGTCGCCTACGAAGTGGTGCTGGCCGACGGGCGCATCATCAACGTCGACAAGCACAGCTGCCCGGACCTGTTCCGCGCGCTCAAGGGCGGATCCAACAACTTCGGCATCGTGACCAAGTTCACCATGACGGCCATCCCCTGCGACAAGGTCTGGGGCGGCATGACGTTCTTCCCCAAGCAGGTCATCCCGGCGGCCATCGAAGCCACCACCTCCTTCACCGACAACATCGTCAACGACCCCGACAGCAACCTCGTCGTCATATTCACCCACATGCCCGACTTCAAGGATATCGTAGTTGCCACCCTCTATGCCAACATGGTCGGCATCGAGAAGCCGCCCGCATACAGCAAGTGGCTCGCGCTGCCCGAGATCCTCAACACCGTCAAGATGACGTCCATCTCGGAGATGGCATTCGAATACAACATCCCTGCCAAGCTGCAGTAAGTTCCACATGCAGGGCGCTTAACTCAAACCAGACACCCAGCTAATCTCCCCCCGAACCTTCCCCTGCCCCAGCGACGTATGGTTCACGCTCAGCCTCAAAAACGACCCGCGCATCCTCGCCCACGCCTCCGCCGTGCACGACAAGCTGGTCGCCGACCTCAAGGACTTCATCCCGGAGCAGGACTTTGTCACGCAGTGCCTCTTCCAGCCGCTGCCCACCGTCTTCGGGCAGAACAGCATCGCCGCCGGCGGCAACGTCATGGGCGTCGAGCGGCAGCCGCACAACGGCATCCTGTTCCTCGCCACCGCCATGGTCAGGACCCCGGAGCAGGAGGCGTTCGCCTATCCCAAGGTGAAGGCCTGGGTGGAGAGCGTCAGCGAGTTCGCGCGGGGGATCGACGGCGGCCTGCTGGAGTGGCGGTATCTGAATTACGCGGATAAGAGCCAGGACCCGCTCGCGACGTATGGCGAGGCTAACCTGAGGCTGATGAGGGAGGTGGCGGCCAAGTATGACCCCGACGGCGTGTTCCAGCGGCTGTGCCCCGGCGGGTTCAAGCTCTCGGAGGTGAAGGCGTGATTTTGTGGACTCGGGGGTTCATATGGCCTGTGGAAGGTTGGTAGTAGTAGGGAGTCGGGTCTACTAAGGTATTAGGGTTGACTGGAGCGTTTAAGTAATATGAGATGTGACTAGAACGACATATTCTTACTTGGCGCGGGATGCTAGCGGATGTCGAGACCAGCCGGGGCCATTGCCACGTCAAAGTGAGTGTATTTGGTGTAGGGTAGCGGCTCAGTGAGGACCGTTCAAGAAGGGCCTCGAACACCGACTATTACACTATTGCTTTGCTGGACCGATGTAAGCTTTTGCCATTGGAGAGTCGAAGCAATTACCATTGACGGTTCATCGCGGTGAAATTGGCGTGGTCGACAGGAAGAACATGCATTATGCGTTATGGCTAAGGTATCGAGCAAAAGCTCAAGAGCCTTTCAAGCAAACACAACCAGAAAGGTCAGGGTAAAAAAAAAAAAAAAAAAAAAAAACCCCTTGTTCGCCGTGCCACTGACTTCACACGCGGTACTAGTACTAGTAGTCTAGTAGGCTGATGGCGTGTGTCTTTCAGAAATGCCTGGTCTTGGTCTGCCTAAGGCATCTGGCGTCCAGCCTATCAATACCTTACTTTCCGAACCGAGAAGCACGCCTTGTTAACCAAACCACAATCATTCAGCGAGAGTCGAGAATTGGAAGTGTTGAACCGAACCGAATCGAATCGCAACGCAGCGAGCGAACTAGTAGTACTAAGCACCATCCATCCCCCCCTGCACCTAGTATTTAGATTTGACTTCCACCACCAAAACGTCGCCAAAAAGCTTTCCCTGCTTACTCCTCATCCTCCTCCTCATCCATCATCGAGAATGTTCTTACTCCGAACCACCGGCACTGGACCCGGCACTGGTAGTCGTAGTAGGGCGCGGCCCACGGGAGCGAGTCACAGTCCTAGTCGGGCGAGGCGGCAGGGAGTGAGTTCCCGTCGGCGGCTGAGGAGGGAAGCTGAACGAGTGAGAGCCTGTGGGGCGAGGGGGCAGGGAATGCGTGGAGATTGATGGGGGCGCCGGGTGGGAACCGGTCGGGCGAGGCGGCAGAGAGTGAGTTCCGGTCGGGGGCTGAGGAGGGAAGGTGAACGAGTGAGAGCGCGTGGGGCGAGGAGGAGGAGGAGGAGGAGGCGGAGGCGGAGGCGGAGGCGGAGGCGAGTGAGAGCCGGAAGGGCGGGGCGGGAGGCTGAAGGAGGGAGATCCCGTCGGGCGAGGGGGGAGGCTGAGACTGAGAGTGTGCGTGGGACGCGGGCCCCCGGGATGGGTGGAACGGGTGGGAGAAGGTCCGCCAGCCTCTCCCTCACCTCCGCCCTGGGCAGCCGGGAGGGCCATGGCCTGCCAAAAGGCTGCGGTCGCGGCCAGTATGGTGATCAAGATGCGGGTCATCGTGACGGGTGGCGCAATGAGAGAGCGGACACAATGGAAGAATATGGGTTTGAGACTTTGAGGACACAAGAGCCGCGAGTTGTTGAGTTGTGTTGACGGTGCTGAGAGCCGGAGACTGTCGGATGGAGACGTGGTTACTGGGCGAGCAAGCGTGGTCTTATACACCGCGTCGAGCCCCGTGTGTGAGTTTCCCTCTCATAGAATATGGGCAACCCTCCTTCATCATGGAGAGCTACCGTCTCGCAAGAGCATGCCCATTCGCGGCTCAAGGATGGCGTGATTCCGTAAACAAAGTAAGGACTTAGTGATGATTATATTGCATTGCAACCTCTCGTATACTCGGGCCGTGGGCCATGATGCTCCGATGACATACTACTTGCTCCTGATTATCCCCTGAGTTCCTCTCATGGCCTCTCTACGAACGTGGATGGCCGTAATATCTCTTTGCAAAGTTGCAACAGCTTTGCGCTGTTATGAGTCTCAATCAATACGGCACCATGGAAGGATCAGCAGGCATTGCAGGAAAGAATCAAGTCTCCGACAAGGCTATTGCGTTCTATGGTGTTGTTCTGAAGCCAGAGTATCCCCGATCCCCTGGACGGGCTTCCGTGTTCACTAAGCGAGCTGGAACGCACAAACCTCATGTTGTGATTGTCGAAAGTCATCACCTAATCTTAAATAACCGGTTGGTGCAGCCAAAAATCTTACGTGATTAGCCACTAGTGTGCCGCGGAGAGCACGACGTAGAGGAAGGAGCGGGGAATGTCGAGTATCATGTATAGTACTTTCCGTCCAAAACAAGCTTTTTAGCTCAGATTGGACCGTGCCAGTATATGAGGTGGTACTCATCATGACCATCTAGAACTTGGGTTCATGGCCCCGGTTCCTGGTCTTGCAACCGCGGCATGATTTAACCTCGCCAATGCCGATAGGGTAGAGGACTCTTCTCTTCCCCGTTTGGATTCGGAGATTCTAGACCGGTCTTAGCTGCCAAGGTGACTGTCGTCATTTAGATGGGATCGACGTAAGCGATTCGAGGTCGTACAAGTACTACTAGTACTTACGACATACAGCACACAAAGAAGGTGCGGCGCTCCTAGGATCTTTCGGCGGTTGCAGAAGTCGGGACGTATAAGTTGAGCAAGGTACCTAGGTAACTATACGTAAATGACAATGATTCAAATTCAATCAAAACCTGCTGAGACTATCGGCGAGCAGAGCGCCATTGCGGCGGATGACCAGCCCCTGATGCTATCTTCTCCGCGCAGGTGCTGCTCCCCATCTTAACAGAAGTCTTTCGGCCCCTTCGGACTATGACGCCCTTCGATTGAATCAGGTCTCTTGGAAGTAGTCAAATGCGGAGAGATTTCGTGTTTGCTCGTAGGAGTTCGGATAGTATTGATTCGTTTCAACCAGACCGCACGTTCCGCTCCTGGAGATGAGAGGGAGATAGTTTCCGTTCCGCCCACATCCCGATGGCGGGGGGGCTTCCCGACTATGCTTCCGGAAAGGGATGGCCGTTGCGAATCCCGGAGCTTGCGACAGAGCAATTTCACACTTTATAATGCTCGTCCCGAGTCGTCCGTCTCTCAGACCGAATTTCCTTAGACGACCGAAAATCTGTCGGAATCATCGCGGACCGGTACTCCGAGGAGTGTTTGGGCTTCTAGGGCATGTCGGACGGATGGACATGCTTGAAGCTTGGTGTGAACTTTGGAAACGTCTTCTAGGTATTGGATGGGCGCTGGCTTTTGTGTCACATCCTTGAATTCACAGCCGCTTCGTCATGACGAGTCCGCCGGAGCGAAAGCATACCTCTCAGGGTACCCCAATGACAAGACGGCGATGGATCCGTCTATGTCAAGGAGGGGGCGGGCGTGAAGGTCACTATAGAAGCCATGACAAGCGGGCGTCGAGGGGTGAAAACGTGCTAGGTTGTGAGTTGTCTAACATGGGCAGCTCTTGTCAGCAATGTATCCAGCTTGCGGAAAGGGTAACTCCTGAATGGTTCTACTCAGACTGATTTTCTTGGTGCTGTAGGTACAGTAGGTACCTGGTAGCTTTTTCCCTAGCCCGCCGAAGGAATTCCGCTCTGCTGGCCCATTGCGAAGTGAGACTACCATCATTTATCGTGATGGTGCTCGCTTGGATAGCCGACCCGCCATAGACGCTCGACGCAGTACAAGACTACAAGTGGGAGTCTAGGACGCCGCAGGAACTTTGTATGCATCAATGGCCTTGCTTCCATCTCCGCAAATTTGACTTTCTTTGTCGCTCACGGCAGCGAACAAGGCCCGAGAGACCGAAACTGGATCAAATTCTTGGTAAAGCTTCCGAGCGGTCTCCGAATATCCACCGATCTGGATGTTTAGGTCGGGTCCGTCTCCTCTGGACCGAACGTGGCCCTGGCGTGTAACGTTGCGACAATTGGAGAGGTAACTCTTCAGTTGTGCTGAGGGGTAGCGGCGTTTAAAGAGTCCCAGACCTTCCTTGCCCTTCTTCCTCAGATAGCCCACTGAAAGCTACGCGACTGCGGATAAGGGTCCCGTAAACAGGAGAAAGCGCCGGCAGAGTGACACTTCGAAGGCCGACATCGAAAAGAGTCGGGGTCTTGTTACCACGTGTGGCATCAGTTATCACAAGACAGCAGCCGTCTTCCATCGCATTGGCTGGTTCGTTGGAGGCGGAATCGGAAATGTAACCCCCACAGTGGATGTTATGCCCAAACGGGAAGCTGGTGTATTCAGGGGTGCAGCGCCCTATCTGCACGAAATACCCACATGTCTACTACTGACTTGATACCATACCCACGGGAGGCTAATCAAGCCATCGATTAGGGATCTGTCACTTGGACGCATCCATGATGTCACCGTTCAGAGTGCGTGACGTTCCAGGCTTTTGTCCTCGTGCGTCGCCGCCTGTTTCCAGCTTTGCGGGCTGTATCATGTAGGTATGTAACTTGTAAGTCTGAAACTTGAAGTTTAAAAGGTAGACCACGAGTGTTGTAAAACCTCACGTGGAGCGGATCAGTAATACTACCTGGTAGTCAGAGAGCTTGCCATCGTCGAATTGGGAGCGGGGCCAACGCGGAGATGGTCCACGAGACAGTCTTGGACACTGAGACATGGCGCCTCGCGCCGAGGTATGATCGTGCGGAGGTAGTTCCCTAGTAGTATGCCATCACCCAGCAACACATTCCGACCACAGCTAGTGAGATTATGGCGTTGGGACAATGATCCCAACCAGGTAGCTGGAATTTTCGATGGCGTCTGGCACGCAGTCACCCGTCCGACCTGTGACCCTGTCATCTGCGTGGTAATCTAGTAGCCGCTCTGTCCCCGTTACACTCCATGAACAAGCCGTGAGCGTGCAACGTCGCAAGTCCCCTCCTGCCTCAAGGCCTGTAGATGGTAGCACACATGATTTCGAGAGGAAAGTGTTCTTTGCTGCAGATACGCAACCATAGCTAGGCCTTCCGCTAGCTACGCCAGACAAAGGATAGGTCTCCTACCTATATAAGTCCGTGAGACGACGGTGAAGCTGAGTGCCTACCACGCAGAGCATCCAAGGTCTCTGTTTGTCCTTCCTTTGACCATCTTCCCCTCTTCGTTGTCTCTCCTTAACATCAGTCCCTCCTTAACACCCATAACCATGTTTGCTACACCTCTCAGCGCTGCGGCCTTTTGGGGCTACCTTTTTGCTCTCCCAGGAGTGCTTGCTGGCTTCAGCTCAACGTCACCTAGCAACATTGCTGTATACTGGGGTAAGTACTATCTATCATACTCCCTAGCAGGGGAAACCCGACCATGAGCCCTTGTGCTGACAACTCAACAGGCCAAAACTCAATCAACAAGGTGGAGGCTTCCGGTGGGCAGCGGAGACTTGCCACGTACTGTACCAGTGCGTTTCTGACACCAAGATCCCCTTTACCATCTACAGATTCCGGCTAAATCTTTATGTCTCTCAGACACACCCGTCAACATCATCCCCTTGGCCTTCCTCAACGGAATCAAGAACCCCACGCTGGTCAACTTTGCCAATGCCGGGGACAACTGCACCGCCTTCGCAGGCACCCAGCTCCTGAGCTGTCCCCAAATCGAGTCTGCCTCCCAGCCCTCTATTATGCCATCTTTTCCCGTGCACTAACTCGTCCTCCTTTTACAGAGAGGACATCAAGGCCTGCCAATCGCAAGGCAAGACCATCCTGCTGTCCATCGGCGGGGCGACCTACACCGAAGGCGGCTTCTCGTCCGCCTCGGAGGCCCAGAAGTGGGCGGACACGCTGTGGGCCATGTTCGGCCCCAAGCAGTCGTCCTCGTCCGCGCTCCGCCCCTTCGGCGCCGCCTCGGTCGACGGCTTCGACATGGACTTTGAGTCGGTCACGTCCAACATGGCGCCCTTTGCCGCCCGGCTGCGCTCGAACATGGACTCGGCCGCGGCGAGCTCCGGACGCAAGTATTACCTGTCGGGCGCCCCGCAGTGCCCGTTCCCGGATGCCGCGCAGAGGGACATGCTGGAGCAGGTCCCGTTTGATTTTGGTAATTACCTTCACTGCTCCTTTCCAATCCACTTCCACATATGACTTAATTCTGTGACTTAGTTGGGCACATCATGGTTTCTCCTCTTTTGCACACCCCAACAAGGCTCTTTGCTCTGATTCTGACCTGCATGCCTGAATAGTCAGCGTCCAGTTCTACAACAACTACTGCGGCGCCACCGCGTATCCCGCGAATTTCAACTTTGACACCTGGTAGGCGCGAAAGATCCTGTCCGACAAGATCAAGACACTCAGTTGTTAACACATACTCCCCCGCCACAGGGACAACTGGGCAAGGAATTCGGCCCCCAACAGGAACGTAAAAATCCTGCTGGGTCTGCCGGGCGGACCCACAGGGGCCGGGAGCGGCTATGTCAGTGGCGATCAGCTGAAGCAGGTCATCCAATACTCGAGGGGCTTCCCCAGCTTTGGGGGCGTGATGGCTTGGTAAGCTGCTAGCCTGTCCCTTACTTACTTTCTCCCTTTTTGCATCCGTCCCATTGGTCCGGGAAAATACACAGATAAAAGTAAAAGCTAACCGAGAGAACCAGGGACATGTCCCAGGTGTACGCCAACCCGGGCTGGCTGGACAGTGTTGTCTCGGCGCTGGGAGGCACATTGCCCCCTGTAACCACCACCGCTACCTCCAAGCCGACCTCGACGCCGACCACCACGCTGGTCACAGTCACGAGGACGACGTCGTCGGGCCCCAACTCACCCACGGGCTCTGCCGTGCCCCAGTGGGGACAGTGTGGTGGAATCGGGTACACCGGGCCGACCCAGTGCCAGGCCCCCTACACGTGCAAATATGTCAGTGACTGGTGGTCACAGTGCGCTTGAGACTTTGACGGTGGCGTGCCGTATGGATCGGGCTCCTGCAGCAGTCTAAGTTCCGGTGGCTTTGCGTATGGTGCCGTCATCAACCTCGCTTGGAGATGATGGAAATGGGAGGACTGTCCGCTTCTTATTGTACATATTTATACCGCTCTTTTCTGCTGACGCTTGGGACTCGTGAGCGACTTTACATCAAGAAGCAATGTACATAGGTCAGGAAATTACGAGACTATTGTGTTATTCTGGGCTTGAAGTAACGATTTCATATACGAATGGCTCGGATCGCTTTAAAGATGGTACTCGCTGGGCCTCCTAAAACGGCCGATCCAGCCCTCCGTTACCGCGGGGGGCTGGGTTTAGCGACCCGGGCCATAACTCTGAAAATTCAGCGACCTAAGCCAATTTTTCTGTCCTTCATTTTATTAGCTACGCCCACCAAAATCTGGTAAAGCGAAGAGAGGCTTGCGTACTAGGACAACTCCGAACCGGAATGGCAAGGCTAAACGACTTTCTAAGCAGGATTGGAGCGGTCGAGTCAGATAGCTATGTTTGTGGCCGAGCAACGGAAATAGTGGAACACTTTCTGTTCCGATGCGTGAGATGGACGGCATTGAGGGAAGATATATTACAATGTACAGTGACAAGACGAGGGAGCCTCTTGTTCTATCTAGGAGGGAAAGCGCCATCCGACCCAAAGGAGTGGTCACCAGACATGAAAGTACCTAGGTAGTCCGTGCTACGATCAAGTACGCAATAGCGACGGGGAAATTGGACCTGGACGACAAACAAGGGCAACGACTGGATCAATCATAGTAGGAGAGCTCTACTAACACTACACAGCCTCACGCAGCAGATCCTGCTTTAGCTGCGAAAGATGGGACGCTGAACACCTGGAGAAAGTAGCCTCCAAGTCGATCTGCTAACAATCAAGTCGAGAGGTAGATGGTACAGTGAGAGAAGGAAAAGGAGTAGTGGGCTTGTACGAGTTAGAGCCAAAATGCTCTTGCAGGCGAGTTGATCTCGCTTATGGGCTTCTTCGATCGACAGGCGATTCCATCGGAATTCCTTGCCTACTACTGCGAACTGCCTGGTCAAAAAGAGCGCGGAGGAATACAGCTTCAGAAAGCTCTTGGTGTTCTTAAAGCATATTCTTTTGTAACAGTGGGGACGGACCAGAGCCTCAATGTCCACAGGCTGGTGCAGGTAGGATCGCGAAAGTGGCTAGCAAGGGAAGAGGGGTTAAAACATTTCGCCGGCCAGGCACTATTGGCAGTTTCATATGCTTACCCTTTCGGCAACTACGAGAACTGGGCGACGTGCAAGAAATACCTTTCACACGTACATGCGGTGCTGAGGTTCGAGGGGACAGGGTCAAGGGATGAAAATGTTGGGAAGGCGGCTCTTCTTCACCGCACGGGTGAATACCTGTGTTACAGGGTCAGTGGAAGGAGGCGGAGAGGCTCCAGTTAGAGGCTGGAGAACTGCGAAGAGAAGTGTTAGGGCTGGAGCATCCGTTGACGTTGGCCAGCATGGGCAAGCTAGCGTCGACGTACCGGGACCAACGCCGGTGGGAGGAGGCCCGAGAAGCTGGACGTGCAGGTGTTGAAAACTCGCAAGACGAAGCTGGGTGTCGGCCATCCCGATACGCTGACCAGCATACACAACTTGGCAACGACCTATAACCAGACTAGGTCAGAGGAGGCCAAAGACGCAGTGCCCTAAAGCTTGGCGCCTCCATCTTCTGAATCCTCATCCAAATCCTCATCATCCGAAGCATGGCAACTGCCACGCCGATCTCTCCAACCACAACTGTGGGCCTGAACATGGTCCAACCGGTCCATAAAGCCTTCCGGCTTCTCAACCCCTTCCTCAGACTTGCCGCCCTCAAACAACTCCTCATCCGTATCACCCAAATCAGTATATCCCCTCTGCTCGCTCACCAACCCAAGATCAGCCCCCGCCGCCTGCGCTGCAATGTAATGGTGGTGCCCCGCAGATGTGCACCAGGGATCCGTCGGCGTGTGGCGCGAATCGAACCTGCTCTGCACCCTGCCTGCCCGCTCCGTGATCGTCTGGAAGACGATCCTTTTGAGCTTATTTGCCAAGTCCTCAACAACATTCTTGGCCGTCCCCTGAGGCACCCGCCACTTGACATAGAGGTTGCGGTGAGAGTGCCGGCGCCGGAATCTCATGGGGTGCACGTCGAAGAACAGGTCGCAGAGTAGGCAGGTAGGCTTGCTGCTGCCAATGTAACGGCCAAAGATGCTCTCGTTAAAGAATCGCACAGGTCCCTCCGCGTCCATGTTCATGGATTGTTCGCGGTGGATGTTGTCGGCCAGGTTAACCTCGGCGTGTACGACCGTGTAAAATTTATTACTGGGCGCCTTTATTTGGGTCTTGAGCCGTTCGTCCATTTGGTCACTAAGCTGCAAGTTGAAAGCCTTGTAGGTGTCAAGCACTTCGTTTTCCGCGTTTAAGGACCGCAGGATATAATACACCCTGCATCGATTCTCCTTCATCTTCAGCGGGTTGCCGCCGCGGGGCGCCGAGGGGACGTGCGTGACCTCAAAGTCGACGAAGAGCTCTGGCCACCGAATGCGCGCCTCTACGAATACCAGCGTCGCAATAGAGTACGAGTGTAGGCGACCGATGGCATGGCGCACGTTGCTCCACGATGTCGGGGTGGTTCGCTCCCGGTCGGACCTGCTCTTAAGGCGGAGAAAATCTTCGAAGCCGTGGTAGCAGGCCGCGATTACCTGCAGCAAGCTGTAGCTCTGTCGGCCAACTGAAGAGGTGGTTAGTGGAAGGCGAGAAGCGTGATAGGCGCCTGACGACTTTTAAATCTGATTGTATGGCTTTGGACTCACAGCTGGCTGGATCTGACCGTTCTTGCCTTGCCATTTCTGCTGCGTGCCGAATGGCGCGAAGGTCTCGGGACACTGAATTGGCTATAATTTGCGACTTGAATTTAGCTTCAACTTACTGGTTCGTTCGTTCAGCGTCTCTCACTTTTAGGGCTTCCCTCGCGGTCGCAGCTGTCGATACAGAAGCCGACGTTGTCAACCAGGGATTTGACGTAGCTGTCGATCCGCCACCGGTTGAATGTCAACACCTTCAATAAAATCGAAGAGCGCAACTCTGCCATCTGTGTGTTATCACGTAGTGCCTCGTCCGAGGTCGTGCCCAACGCGCCGAGGATGTCGTGGGTGAGGAAGTTCTTGACCTCCTCAAACGCGACACCGGTGCGGTTGTTGGACGTGAGACGGTACTCAATGCGGCCAGGCTGCAGCACTGCAACAGCCGTGACATTGTCACCACCATGCTTGATGTCACATATCTGTGCCAATTTGTTGACGAAACAGGGGAAGACCTCAGTGGAGTCACTGCGTGTCACCTGCTCCGAGTCCGATTGTGCACTCTGGATATCGATGAGCTTTTCGTTCAATATGTCGAGAATGATTATTGGCCCATATAACCGTTTGGCTAAACCAGGGGTTAAGTCAGTTGAAACATAGGGCTGTTTTCCGGTGGTGCTAGGCATGCTGATTTCAGAGAGTCAGGGATAGGTAACAACAAGGGGATGAAGAGGGATGTTGCTGCAAAAAAAAAAGTCAAAACGCCGAACCCTCGGGATACAATAGGCCCTCTGGTTGTTCAGCGAGGCTTCTGGATTTCATGTACCTTTTACTGCCTGCGCATACAGTTCGAGTTCAGACAAGTTTCTGTTGCAAATGGAGCTCGGTTAAAGGTGCCAGGCGTGATTGAAGGACAGCCGATCAGTGACCATATTCGTACCGATTTGCTCTGGGGCCACTGCACCTGCAGTATGCCGTGGGCCTCAGAAGGCGCCAAATCTCAAGACCAATGGAGTTGTTGCCCATGGCAAACCGGAATGTCTGCCAGCGAATAAGTTATTTTGATTGGAGGTCATGCTGGTAAAAGCTGCTGTGTAACCGTTGCGCCTCAAACGAGGAAATCTTAGGCAGTCATCAATGACCTTCCGATTTCTCCCTTCCTCGGTGCCATAGCGCACCACATCAGGTTGACAGGACACATACTCGACGTCGCGGATTTCGAATTTTCGAGGTTCAGGTCTCGGTATTTTCCTACACCTGCCTTAAACGCCCCCTCAGGACATACTCGAGGATAATGCCGGCTGTTAATTTGCTGCCTAAGCCAGGGAGACGCGCTACTGACAAGTACGGCCACCCCCAAGCACCATTCTTCTCCAGCTGTGTGCCTGGAGGAATGTACGGGGAACAAGTACTTCCAATCGCCGCGATCCGCACGGGTATGCCACTGATGAGGTCGTTCCGTCGGTTGCTTCTCCCCCGCATGTCCCGCGTTCGGGAGGGTTGCATGCCAGCCAGTAAAACCGTCACACGTATTCAATTACCGCCAGTGTGATGTGTGTTGATGTCCCCGGCAAGGCTGCCGGATTATATACAGCAAGCCCTGGAATGGTTGGCTCGGACTAGTAGTGTAACTGCACGGATTATGAACGCCCCAAATATGCGTGACCAACTCAGCCGCTCAAATAATACTGACTGATTGGCCGCTCATTGCCTTGATTGCTGCTGACCCGTTTACATAGACGCCCAAAATCTGACTCGTTCTCGTTTGCGCTCTGAAACCGTCCCTGTCCTCTGGGAAGACCTCTACAGCCCAAGGCTCCCCGCCGCGCTTACCTCCAACAACTTTAATTTTTGCCAAATTAGACCTCTCTTTAATGTGGCGATTGCTGGCACTCTTACAAGCTTATCTGTGATCAATTCTATCAGTCGTCAGCCAGTTTTTTCGTCCAAAGGACTAGCCACTTCGGGAAGCGCATTTCTCGGAGTGTAGCCAGTAGCCGGATGTGGTTAACCGTGTCGAAGGCCCCTGAGATGTCCAGCTGGAGGAGTGACCCTGTCGCTTTCTGCCTCCCCGCCTCCTGCACCTATGCTACTACTAGCCGGATTGCCAGCTCTGTTAACCGGTGTGCCCTGTTGCCCATCTGCTCATCTGGAAGTAGGCCGTTGGTTTCCGTAGTCTAGGTGACCTTCTTGGCCACTACTGACTCTATTACCTTTCCTATGGTTAGTAGGAGGGCGATGGGCCTATAACCCCCCGGTGTTCGATATACTAGCGGGGCCGTTCCCGTCTTTAGTAGCACTACGGTCTTTGCTCTTTTACACCAGCTCGGAAACCAGCCCAGTTCGAGACATCTCGTGGCCAGGATGGCAAGCACTTTTGCTAGCGGCTTCCCACAGGCCTTTAGGAGACCAATGGGGAGCAGATCCTCGCCCGGTGCCTTCCAGGGGCTCGCTTTTCTCATAGCCTCTGCAACTTTGGCCAGTATTACCTTCTATTGGATTTCGAATTCCTCTTCCCAGTCATCGAGAAAGGTTTGGTCGTGGATGTCCGCGAGGTTGGCTGGAGGGCTCGGGAAGAATCACTTAGCCAGAGTCTCGGCCTTCTGGTCGCGATCTATAGCTACCACCTGTCCCGACGCGTCTGTGAATGCTGGTAGCCTTGGCGGTTCTCGTGGCAGGAAGCACCGTAGGCTAGCCCACCTTTCCAAGTTCCACATCTTGTCTGGTTTTTTCGCTTTGCTCGCCTCTTGCAGCAGCTAAGTTAGTCGGTGCTATGCAACCCCTTCGCGATGTAGTAAGTGAAGAGTACCTAAATTTTGGTCGGCGCAGCTAACAAAATGAAGTATATAAAAATTAGCTCAGGTCGCTGATTTTTCAGAGTTTTGGCCCGGGTCGCTGAACCCGGCCCCCCGCTACCAGCGGGGGGCCGGATCGGCGAGTACTAGTACTGCTCTACTGACACACTGTGTAACTTCCCGTGAATCTACCCAGCCGAATTTACGATACATTCGGTACCTTACATGCAATTATGGAGCACCTGGCCTTGACCCACATTTCTCAACGTCAACTGGCAACTCACAATGACCTGACCCTCATTTCAGCCAAGTACCGGGCAACTCAGAGCAGCACACATTCTTACCGTTATCAATGGATAAATCTCAAGACAGTGTGCCCAGGGGGCATACTAGGACAAGATCGGGAGTGAAAGGTAAGTTTCGGCGGTTCATTGTCTAGATGACTGGACAGGACAGACTGGTGGTCTGGTACCTCCATGATCCATCCCCTCTCTCACAGTGGAATGAATGAGATCATGAGAAATGCCTCGGCAGTCGAAGTTCATGGTATTGAGTTTTAGATATGATCAGTGCTGATTGATTGATACCTGACTTAGCGACAAGACCTCGCTCTTCTACCAAAGGCCCTCTCGATGACGAGTGAGTGTGTCTCGCTCCTTCCCTGATGCACCTCACCTGTCACAGCCTTGAATTTCCCTCTGACTTCATCCGTCAAGCAACCCTCTAGCGTCACCACCTCTTTCAGCAGATCACACGCAAAGAAACCTCTCCATCCGGAACAATCCTAGGAGCCCGGGCCCCGGATCCCCGATGATGCCCCGATCGCCAGCCCGCTCTCCCGCCCCGACCGACGCACGGATGAGTATGCGAGGCACACCTTCGCCCCGGCACGGCCCCAAAGACTTCTCGTACCTGCTCCACCCCGATCTCTATCACCCACTCACTCCGCTCAACCTCCCGGCTTCCTTCCGAGCTCCCGCCGAGCCGCCCTCCCCAGACACCCCCATTCCCGACCTAGTGGCTCGAGGCTACTTCCGCGCCGCCGCCATCGCCGCCACGCAGGCCCTGACAGGCGGAGCCGTCAGCCCCACCGACCACGCAACCATCTTCGACCTCCTCTACACCCGCCTCGCCTGCCTGACCCTCATCGACGCCACTCCGCTCGCCGCACAGGAGGCCAAAGCCCTTGGGGATCTGCAGTCAGCCTTCTACTATTCGCCATCTTCCTCGGCGGAGTCCCAAAATGAGCAGCCACAGTCGCCGCTACCGCAACAGCACATGACCCACCTCTGTCCCTGGCCCCTGCGCGTGCTTGCCGTGCGGCTGCAAGCGATGGGCTTCGGTGACCCGCGCCGGGCCGTCATGAGCTACTACGAGCTGGCACGGGAGGCGCGCGCGAAGTTGGGCGAGGCCAAGGCGCGGCACGAGCATTCGGAGGCTGAGGTGTGGCGGCAGAGGTTGGCGGACCTGGGGCTGCGGGTCGCGGGTACGCTGGTCGAGATGGATGATTTATCCGGGGCGGTGGAGCATCTCGAGACGTTGAAAGAGGAAGGCCGGGGCAGGATGGGAGGGCTTAGGAAGTCGCTGCTCTGGTTGCAGCTGGGGGATGTTGAGGCTGCGAGGGAGTGTGTAAAAACCGATGATGGTGGGGATGAGGAAGGGGTGGAGGAACGAGTGGTGAGCGCGCTGTGTGATATGGCTGATGGCGAGTATGAGGTTGCGTTGGGAAAGTGGACAGCGTTGAGGAAGGAAGTGGATGACGAGATGGTCGGGGTGAACCTGGCTGTTTGCCTGCTTTATGTGGGCAGGATGCAGGAGGTAAGTTGACACTCTCCTTGGAGGCCCACAAGGTCTCTTGGGTGATGTGTGTATGTGCTGACTGGATGTCGATGATTAGGGCAAGGTGCTGCTGGAAAGCCTCGTGGATGCCGGCCGGTCCTCGCACACTCTGCTTTTCAACTTGACGACCATGTACGAGCTTTGCACCGACAGGTCCCGGGCACTGAAGGTCAGGCTGTCGGAAAAGGTGGCCGCTATGGGGGAGCGGGCTGATGGCTGGGAAAAGTCCAATGCCGACTTTAAGCTGTAGTGTATGCTGTGCAGGAGAGGATGGGTGGTATCACAAGTCAGCTCGCGACTTGGACTTTGGATCGACACTTAACTTCTTCGCAAACGCCCTTACGTGGTAACACGGACCTATCCGTACAGCACCAGCTTTATAGGTATAATGGGAAGCCCCAAGGACATACCCAAGCGCCAAGGCTCGGAAAGCCCCGCCGAAAGCGACTCAGATCCTGCTTGATGAATATGATTATGTACTGGGTGTCACAGGCGGGGACTGATAGATCTGAACCATCGGCATCGGCTTTCCGACCATCTACTGTTTCAATTCTCTGACCATTTCGAGTGTGTATGGCCTGTACCATTCCAAACCCAGCCCAACATATTGGCATGCGATGACCTGAATTCACACCGAAACCGAGTAAAGCTGTATTACCCGCCTTCTCACTCTAGTTAAAGAGCCGCAAGCGCTAACATCACGGTTTGTTGAGTACCAACAGAATCTACCTAGGTTGTTGGACTGCACAAAGGGACGATGTGGTTCTCTTGTCACACGTTCATCATCGATTGTCTGTTGAACAAGAATACAGATGGCCTGCCTCCCAGGTATCGTGTCGGCTACCTCAACAAAGAGAACTCCCACGATGTGGCCCAACAGATATACAACGACTCTCATTACAACCTATCTGAGCCCTACTGATACATGTACAAGGATGTAGCTGGTCGACATAGAAGGCAGCACAAGAGGTTTGAGTGCCGGGAGCCTCAACAGGTTGTCTGCTGCCCCTGAATTAACCTCACGTTTTGACCCTGAGGACATCAGACGGATCAGGACTTGCACACACGAGTGGCCAGGAAGGTGGGTAAGCTGGAAGTTAAGAAGCTACTCGTAATGAAGCGCGAGATCAACGCGTCGCGTAGACCACGGGGAACAGTGGCGAGCCCCCATGACTGCTGATGACGCGTGAAGAGGAGCTTAGACGGCAGAAAGTTTCATCCCATGATATCAGGTCACGCCTCGGGGGCAAAACTTCGGCATAGGAAAACGCACAATGGAAGTGAAGTGCTCTTGATTCCTCTCCGAATGCACAAATAGTTCTCTCTCCTGAATCTGTTTCTACCACCACTCATCATCTTTTCACCGAATCTTTCCCGCCAGCGGCCATCAACAACATGGCATCCCCCTCTACCCGCGAGAAGTATTCACAGGAGAACCATCCGGTTGCAGGCAAGAACTTTCCAAGAATTCTCGCTTCCCTTATTTGTCGCCGTGTCTCCCAGTTATCGATGGTCTCTGATGAGTGTAAAAGTAAATGACTGGGAGCAGATCCTGCTAACAATCTGCATCTTTAGACGCCGACATCAAGATAGATACCATGAGCGAGACGACAACCACCGGTCGCAAGCGAGCGCGCTCCTCCCTGGAGGTAGAAGAGCCTCCTGCGGCCGACCAGACTCAAACTCAGACTGCTTCTTCCATTCCCACGTCGTCGGTTCGCATCTACGCGCTGCTTCTGCATTTCAATACCCTCATCTCCAGCAGGGACGCGGTTGCCCACGTCACCAGAAAGACCCTTTTCACGGTCCTGCCCGCGACTGACATCCGGCAGCCTCTTCTGGAGGAGCACATCATCCTGGCGTTTGCCAGATCGCCCTTCATTGCCGAGATCGTCAGGGAGCTCTCGCTTCGCGACCTGACGGTCGAGGAGCAGGCTCGTCTAGCGGAATGCTATGTGCGCATTTATTATGAGGAGGGCACGGCGATGGTGCGTCTGGCTACTGGGGCTGAGCAGTTTCTCCGGGACGTTGCCGCGCTGAGGCAGAGGCAGGAGGATCGCGATGATGGTGGTGGTGATGGTGCTGGTGGTGGCGGCAAGATGGCTATTGTTGTCTTGGCCAACAACACTGTGGTCGCCGAGGATATGCTGAGCCGCCTTGGGGTGCGCGATCTTGTCGATGCGGTAAGTCACCAATTCCCCGTGCATTCTTTTGACCATGAACACCTGCTGCCAAGGGTGGACGCGCTCAGTTGTATCTCAATTTCGTTGCTATATATGGCTTGGCCTGAATGAGTGGTATGAAGCAAATAGGGTTTGGTCTGTTTTGTTTTTCACAATGAGCCATCTCAGAGCTTGGTCCCTTTCTAGATTCAAAACCGTGAAACCTAGGTATCTAAGGTCCGGAACAGTCCAGCTAACCCATGCGGCGAATCAGATCCTACCGACCCGCAACCCCCAAAACCCGTCCTCCTTCACGTCAGCCGAGTCGACGTTAGTCTGGGAGCAGACGGTCGTTCCCTGGTTTGCCGAGTCTCGCGCCGCCAGTGCCAGCGCCGATGTGAAGCCTCTGCTGCCGGAGCAGGCCGTCGTAGTTTCGAACGCAATCTACGATTTGTCCATCGCAAAGGCTATTGGATGCAAGACGTATTGGATACGCAAAGTTAGTCCGAATGCTTCCCTCGCCGTGCGTGCCGCTGCCGAGTTCACGTCCGTGGTGGAGAGCATTGGAGAGGTTTGGACGGAGCTCTTTGCTGAGCATCCGGCCGAGGGCAACAAGGAGCAGCCGGTCGGGATTGCTGAGCATCCTATCGAGGATCTCAAGGAGCAGCTGGGCGGGGTTGCTGAGCATCCGACTGAGGAAAACAAGGAGCAGCCGGGCGTGAATGAGGATGAGGAAGAGGGGAAGATGGAGGGAACAGAGGGCGAGAATGAACAGGAACCGTGGATCCTGTAGAGGGCAGAGATGAACAGGTTAGTGGGTGGGTTTAAGGAGTCAAGTCAGAGGTACAATACCTAGGGCCAATCGTGGCGTCGATGTTGTTGATCTTCCGCTTTGCTGTTGCAATGTCTTGTCTTGCCATGGTGTTCCGACTTGAAAGGTATATCGACGTCAACCAGTACCCCTGGCTCGTCTAGCATCTCTCAGGTAGGCTATGGACTCTTACGATCCTGCTCTTTACAGGCTGCTTGTCACCTTTGATTGAGTCGGACACTCCGACTTTCGTAGGGTGCTAAACACATCAGTGCAGTGCCACTATTACGAAGAGGATTGCACCACAACGGGCAGTCAATCCAATCACACAGACTCTGGGAAAGAAACTATCATTCTTCTCCTGCCATTAGACCCCAGCTAAGATGCTGCCACACTGCCTCACGCAAGCTTGATATTCGCCTTGATATACTCGTCCAGAGTAGTCAGCCTGTGCGGGATCACAGCAGTTGTCTCCTCGACCAGCCTCTCCCCGCCAGGTCCATAGTATCCATACTCAGCGCAAAACTTGAACATGTTGACGATCGGTTCCTGCGCGTGCACCGGCAGAAATGAACGGAACTTCTCCTCGGGCATGACGACATACTTGACCGTCTTGCCCGTGAGTGCCGAAATCCTCTCGGCGACCTCATCGTACGAGCGGAACTCGCTCGCTGCATACAGCGTCTTGCCGTTGAACTTGTCCGGGTCCGCCAGGATGACGCCCACGAACTTCCCCGTGTCGGCGGCGACGTCGATCCAGGGAAACGGGGCGTCGCCGGGGGTGATGTTGGCGATGGCGTAAACGCCGGGCTGATCTTCTCCGACGGGTCGGGGTGCCATGCCGGTAACGAGATTCTGCATGAAAGAGCCCGGTGCGTAGAAGGCGCTCTTGATCGGCAGGGTGCGGATGTAGGCCTCCACCTCGCCTCGGGAGTCGTAGGCTGCCACGCGGTACTTCCCCTTGGTGACAACCTCGCAGTGCACCTCGGTGCTGTAGATGACGTACTTGGCGCCGACCGCCACAGCCGCGTCGGCCGCGTTCTTGCCCTGGCGCACCTCGCGCTCCTTGGTTTGCTCGTCATAAATGGTCCGGGTGGTGATGAAGATGGTGTCAGCCTCGGCCAGTGCAGTCTTCAGCGATTCCGGGTCCTCCAAGTCAGCGCTGACGATCTCAGCGCCTCTGGCACGGAGGGCCTCAGCTGCTGGCTTGGAAACATCTCTTGCGATACCGCGAATTCTGTAACGTGCCGACAGTGCCGGGTCGGACAGCACAAAGTTGGCGAGCGATCCGCCTTGCTGGCCAGTGGCACCGAAGATCACAAGTAGTTGGCTCATGCTGTCACTGATAACGGAGAGTGGAGGTGACGGAGAAGTTAAGGGGTGATGTGAAAGTTGTTGACTTGTTGTCTTCAAAGGAGCAGATCTGAGGGAACGAAAGTGCGCAGCGGGCCCCGAAGCTGGTAGTAGTTATGATATTCGTTCAGTGTCTATACTGGTGGCCTTGTCTTTGTTCAACCCGGCCCTAACGGGCGAAAAGGTCTGGATGCACAAAGTACCAAGTACCTCACCCCGGTTAAGTCCGATAGGTCCGGCGAGAGGTGACACAGCGTGAGCGAAGCAACATAGTGTAAGAACCAAGCAACCACGAAGAGAGGCCTGATCGTAGTCCTCCCACTGATCTACGAACCTTCGTTGGGGTTTTGCTGGTGCAGTATCAGACTGGGTCCCTGGAATTCTCTCGGCTTTGGGAAATTGGGAAAATGATACTTCATTTCTACAACACACTTCCATTTAACACCGTCAATTGGCTCTTGCTTCTAAGGCCTGGTGCATTTTCCTGCCAGGTTTCTTAGGCACTGAAGGTAAACTCGGTAGGGACCCAAGGTACGTACCTTAGATCGATCGATCAACCGATCCACCTTCGTCATCATCACCAGTTGCAATCATCCATTCATCATCCCTTTCTCACCTCTCCCATATGGTGCCGACTTAATCAAATAATCAAGGCAAATCTTATTGCCTCTGCACATTCCTTGGGTTTCATAAATTTAGTGTTATAGGAAGCTATCTTGCCGAGTCTGCCTATTTCTTCTGTACGTATCTGGATAAAGAATTCTGGAATACGTCATCCTACTTAGGTCAGCTACGGTCGTGATAGAATAGATCATCGGACTGTCCCCCGATCCAGCTTGTGGAGCCGGGGTTGCGAGTCTTCGCAGCCCTCCGTGTATGCCACGATTCCGTGTGATAGGTGCGTACCTAGGCTGAAGCCTGTGTTTCAGTGTGTTTTCGGTTTCGCATATTGATGTGCATGTACTCTACAACTAATGGTGCGGACCACTGGCTAGCTCTTCATCAGAGGAGCTCGAGAATCCAGATGTCGTGACGTACACACTGATATGGTAGACCCTCCACCTGTTCACAGATCGGCTAGGCAGTGCATCGAGTAATGCATCTCTGCCGCAGCAAGCAGCTGATAGATAGGCTCCCTCAGGTGAGAAAAGGTGAGGAAAGGCCGGCACGAGCTAGGGGCCAACAAGCTGGTCTGGTTCCTCAAACGTGCCTACCTTATCCATGGCGGTACAAAGACGCATGCGCCATGGAAGAGGGAGCAATTACACGAATACCCATAACTGTAAACAGACCCGCGCCAAAGGCGGGGGGAGTGTATCGATGATATTGGGTATCAATATGCGCGAAAATACTCAGGTACCTTATATCAACTTTCAGCAACACCGGTGTCCTACTCAATAGCCATAGCCTCGTCGACTCCGATGTCGATCACCGTGATGCCCATGCCTGCCACTTCGATGATGGCCCGTCCAACCGTAATCTGCGTGGTTGTGTCCATGGCCGCGGTTGGAGTGGTTGCTTCGACTAGGGTGTCGCGGCTCTGGCTCCCGAATCGGCTCCTCAATCTCCACCTCGTGCTCCTCGTACTCATCATCGAAATAGCTACTGACAAGTTCCTTCTCTTTACGCGCTTCAGTGGCGTCAAACACGAACCTCTGGGTGCCTTCGTTAGTTGGCCTCTTGCGCTTCACTGCCCCATTTCCAGACAGCGAGGGGTTTGTCGCCGGGGATGTGGCCGAGCCGGGTGTGACAGAACGGGCATCTAGAATGTCGGGTGCGCATCGATCGCACCACCCATAGTAGCGCGAATACTTCTCCTTGGCCACAAGATTGTTCATGTCGATCTTTATGTCCATCAGTTTCTTCAGATCGAAGCGGAGACCGACATTGGTGGACTTAGGAAAGCGCGTGTAGAGATCCAGCAGATCCAACACCGTTTCGAGCACGCATGTCCTTTCACTGTGCCAGGCCGCAGTCTTCCTGAATTCTTTCGTCCTCTCGGTACTGGTGTTCATAAGCAGTGCTGTCAGCTCAAGGATAGCTAGCACCATCGTGAAGCTGGTCTGCTTAACGGGCGCAAACGTCTTGTATAGGTCGATGGACATGCTGTAGGCAACCTGAAGGAACTTCTTTCCCTCCCCGCGACTTTCGTTGTCCTCTCGTGGGAACATTTTCCTGACCATCTTGACTAGGAGCTTCTGTGGATATTGGACACGGAAGTCAAACCCGATGGTTTCGAGAATGTGTCGCTCTAGCCCGATAGTAAACCGAGACGATGCCTCAAAGATCTAGATGTGATGTCAGTAAGCGTTGACGACCAGAATCAGGTGCCCGGGCGAGCTACCCACCTTGTCGTCGGGCGTTTTGTGGTCATGGGGTTGCCTAAGATTGTGCGCGGCGCACAGTATTTCTTTCGACTTTTTGATAGTATCCTCCGCCTTGCAAGCCACGAACAAGGCGGCCAGCGCAACGTCTTCGTAGTTGTACTCATTGCTCGGGAATCGTAGGCGAAACTTGTGGTAGTAAATCGCTGCTGTGTCGAACGTTTTGACCGGCCTGGGAAGATGGATGTCAGCGCGTTGGTGGTCATTGGTGGTCGATAGTGTCGGGGCTAGCGGGGTGAAACAAACGCACAATTGCAGACACTGGCGGACGCTGTCAATTAGCTGAATGCCCTTCAGCCGATAGCCATCCTCGCGCGCTCATCGTATCCAATGTGCTTCATACTTTGCCGGATGCCTTGTTCCGAATTGTACAGCGCAGGGATCGCCGAGAGCCCCGACGGGGGCCCAACAGGATTGTTGCCATTAGCGGCCTGTTTACCGCCGTCCGGAGGCTGTACTGGCTGCGGAGCCATCGTGATCTTCAAGGAACGGCGACAGCGGAATGCTGAGGATGGTGAGGCGAATGCTTCGGGTGGGCGGCGAGCTGGCCCAGGCACTCGGATGGCAGGATGCACACCGGATTAAAGAACTTGCATCATTGACGTTCAAAGGTCGGGCCGTTGGAGTCCCTCAAGCAGAAAGAGAACGATATCGCGCACGACGAACAGTAGCACCTGGTGTGTGTTGACGACAATCTGGTGAAATTGCCCGTTTTAGAGTCTGGCAGTCTACGACATTAAAGAAATGGGTCCCGTGACCCACACACTGGTCCCACCAAGGTCCCGGGCTGAGCCGGGCTGCCGGGGCGAGCGGGGCCAAACTCTCATCAATCACAACTGGAACTTCACAAGCAGAACAGCACTCCTAGTTCCATTGCGATAATGTGATTCTCGTCGCTTTCGTAGCGAAAATTGTTTGTCGAGCGCCTTTGAGCGTTAGCGGAACTCTTCCCAATGCTTCAGCACAACGGAGTCGAGGTGGTTTGATCCGGCAATATTCTCTCACCTGAAAGAAAGAGTCCGCTGTGTACAACAGCGAGAGGGGGAAGTTGCTCTTCAAAGCAAGCTGACCAGTGCTCGGCAGGTATCATGGCGGCGGCTTCCAGCTCTCCTCGCAGGATACCTAGATGACGCAGAAATTATCGTATAGGATAATCAACTGTCGGTGCATATTACTGCATACACTCTGAAGACCTCAGCTAGTGGACAATGGTGCGGGTCAGAATCTGGCCCAAGAACAGTTGTGCCCCTACCAGAGTGCCAGCGAACGTACTACAGTATTATTCGAGAGCGACGACCAAGAGCCTCTCGGAGACATCCCGGTCTCTCATTGACTGGACGCCAGACGGCAAAAAATGCTATATCGACGAGATAAAATACTAGCTGACATAGCCATTTGACAACCGCGGCGGTCACATCACACAGCGGGCAACCTGGCTTATCCCACGTTGATCTCTTGCGGGCAATGGTCCCAATACGCCCCGATGAACGCAAGTCTATATGTAGATGCGCGCATCAAGGTTGAAGAGCACATGGGTTCGAAAGAGCAGGCCATGTCGAGAGAAGATGCGGGCAGGATTGTGCAGAGCTAAAGGCTGTCCAGCAATCGTTACAGGAAGCAGAAATTATCGACGGAACTCAGGATGGCGTATGTATATGACTCTGATGGCGAGACGAGCACCCTCGATAGTAGATCGGGTTTGAAATCGGAGGCGGCGACATCTGGCATGACGCCACAAGAGCAGACTATTGGCTCTGAAAGGGCGTTCCATCAGCATGCAGGGGCTGCAGCCAACAATCTCGGACCCATCACTGGGTCTGCACCCATGTGAAGGACCACTGGCCTGTCACGCCATATCCGAATCCCCTCATGCTTTGGTGTTCGTGACAGTCCCATGCTGTGCAGCGCTGCCAACAATGGGGAACCCGGATCTTCCCTCATTGGGCGCTGACACTTCAGACATTGTCAACAGCAGCACAGTCGCCTCCAAGGTCACCACCAAGCCTCCCGCCGACAGACTGCCCGGAAATCCCACCCCCGCCCCAGCGCCTGGCAGCCCCGCCCTCAATATCCCCGGCAGTTCCCCCGGGCCACGACAGCATGAGCACCATCCTAGCATTGTGCCCGCCGACCCCGATGATGTGCATGACGTTGACGAGTTCACTTTCACGGATGGCTATGCTACGAGCTCCACCGGCTCGACTAGTGTCACCTCTTCCGTCTACGCGCATACGTACGAGAATGGGCGGCGCTATCAGCACTTCAAGAATGGTCGCTATCCGATCCCCAACGACGACGAGGAGCTTAACCGCGAGGACATGAAGCATGCTATGCTGCTAGAGCTGTGCGACGGGAAGCTGTTCTACGCGCCCATTGGCGAGCACCCGCAAAAGGTCCTGGACATTGGCACGGGCACAGGTCAGTCGGCTGTTGACCTCGTCTTCAGTCCCCTCTGCCATCTGGATCGACTGACACCCCGTGGGACATGGTAGGCATATGGGCGATTGAAATGGGGGACCGGTTCCCGGAGGCACGCGTCCGGGGTATCGATCTATCCCCAACACAAGCGGTCTGGGTTCCCCCGAATGTCGACTTTTTGGTGGATGATTGCGAGAAGGAGGAGTGGTTGGACCGCGACGTCGATCTCGTGCACTTCCGGTTCATGACCGTCATTCTGAAGGATGTGCCAACCGTGCTGAAACATGCGTATGAGTGAGTGGGCGGCGATCTCCGTTACCAGCAACGAGGTTCTATCTAACCTAGAACGCCGTTGCAGGAGCTTGAAGCCCGGCGGGTGGATCGAGCTCCAAGAACTCTGCGCCGAAGTCCTCTGCGACGACAACTCCATGCCGGAGGACGACCCGGTCAAGTACCTCTACGAAGTGGCCTACCGCGCCTTTGCACAGTTTGGGATGGATGTCCGGCTCCCCAAAGTCCTAGAGCCCTTGTTGCGCGATGCAGGATTTGAAAACATTCAATGCATCGTGAAGAAAGTGCCGATCGGTCCGTGGGCCAGGGACAAGACGCTGCGCGTTATCGGCATGTACCAGAAGATGGCCGTCCAGGAACTGCTACCTGCCCTCGGGGGCCGGCCTTTCTCTGCCCTAGGTTTGTCGCAGGTCGAGATCCAGGCGACGCTGGGTCGTGCCAGGCACGGGCTGGCTGATATGAGCGTCCATCGCTACTTTCGCTACTTTTTCTGGTTCGCACAGAAGGCCCCGAAATGATGTTTATATGGTTTTTGCAAAGGGCATCTCCAGGTCATAAAACGGAGTCAAACATCGCAAGCGAGTAGACGGTGAATAAGCTTGTTAGCTATCTCTATTCCATTTGCACAACACCCGAACTGACGCCTCTTCATGACTTCATACTGTTGCCCCTTGAGGGATGGTTACTACCGGCTTGCGCAGTTTCCTAAGCCACGAGTGCTCCCAAGATTCCGGTATGTGGATGCAGCATACAAAGCTCGAGGCCTGGGTACTTGTCCGGAAACGTCAACAAAGACAAATCACACTATTCGAGGAAGTTTGTCCCCGACTAACACGCCCCTGCCACCCGGGCTCTGGCTTTGTTCACGAGCCCAGCCATATCTCGCATGACGGCTCCTAAGCTTCACAACCTGAGCTTGAGCTTCAAATCCCCATTACATACCGTACATAGCATTATTTGAAGCATCAACCAGATTTCAGCATGAACGTACAGCCAGCCGGCAATGCGCCGCAGCGGCCGCCGCCATCACCATGGCTCCAAAAGTTCGGCCGCCCTCACGGGACTGTTATTCACAGTGGGCAGTCAAACCTCCGCCACTCCGGACTAGCACCGATGTTCCCCCAGCTCGACCCGACTTGCCACGCCGACAGCCTTCCGTCCGACCCGATCCCCAGGCCACCCGACCACGAGCTCGACGAGCTGTTTACCACCGAGAGGACTCAGATAGACGCCAACCTGGGGCTGACAACCTGGGAGATGGGCACCCTCCACGAGCACCTGGTCAATGGCTGGCCGGGTGGCCATCGCAGTGATGATCCTCCCATGCCGCACATCCTGGAGCAGGGCTACGGAGTCGACGTCGACGAGGATCTCTGGCATCCGGTATTTGCAAAGGGCAAGTGGTACGACTTCCGCGTGCCCATCCTGGACCGGAAATTTCTTTCCGGTAGTCTGGACGGGATTGCACCGGACGACGTGTGGAGCGTCGACGTTCCCCGGGTGTGGAAGGAATTGCGTGTCCCGCTGGAGCTGGCAAACCGCTGGCTGCGCCACATGGCCAAGGGCCGCTGGCTGAATCATGTGGTTCATGAGGACCGGGAGGAGTGGATGCAGGCAACGCCGCGTCCTAGCTTTGTGCCGCCTCCTGGCTATAGCCCATCTCCTGGAGAGGCGAACCAGGAGCAGTTTGAGCCTTCTCTCGGTCCGAACGGAAAGCCCTGGAGGATTCCGGCCAGGGGAAAGGTAACGGACTACGACAGCGACGTGACGTTGATGGAGATTGCGAACCGGCTGCGATCAAAGCATATCTGGACGTTCGTGGACGATGGCCATCATAAGAAGGATGGTGATGACAGCGATGAGTTATATGGCAGGACGATTCGGGAATACAACCGTGACGAGGAGCCCCCGCAGGGCACGCCGCACCCGGAGAGACCGCGCCCCGTTATCGTCACGTACATTCACGTATCACCTCTCCGTGTGCTGCTGAATCCGGCTTCGACCCTGTCCGAAAGGTGCCATTCGACGTGGTGTCTGGCCATGACGGTGGGTTCCCCGTTCCGGGGCTCTCGGAGCCTGGTCGTCGCGCTCTCGGTCTGTTTTCTGACTGACGTACGCGCAGATTCTCCATGAACTTATGGTAAGTTGGTTCGGGGCGCTTTCTTCCTGAGCGGAACAAGCAACACAGTTGACGCTGATTCTTTGCATCAAAGCATGCCATCAACGCCGCTACACACGATTCTTGGAGAGACATGGGATTTGAGCCTGTGAGTATCCAAAGCCCTTCATGACGTTGGCTATGGTACTGATACGATGCTGTACGTCTATTAGTTCTACGGTAATGAGTGGCAAGTACTTCGTCTCTTTCATAATGTCTCCATCTATATCCGAGAGAGAGGGTGGGATAATCAAGCTATGAGTCCTGTTATTTGTGGAAGACCAGCTGGGCTTGTCCTGGGGCCACATGATCACGGCTGACAGCGTTGTTCAGGGCCTCGGAGCTCGGCCAATCGGCCATCAACAGCTTCTTCGGCGGAGACGTCAGCGAGGCTCCAAAGATCCAGACCCCTGGCAAGCCAGGCCACAAGTATGGCCTTGCAACAGTCGACTTCCCCGCGCCGCCTGGCGTGGAAAGTCTCATCGCCATCAACAATGTCCCGGTCATACACCTCGGCCAAGTCACGCAGACGTACCCCTTACCCACCGCCTGGGTTTCTTCCACCCTCCTCCAATCCTTCTACGAAACCGCCGCCCAGAAGTATGGCCTCGCCGCCTTCCAAGCCCCCAAGCTCTTCGCCTCCCGCAAGGTCTGGCGCGGCTTCTACTTCCGGGTCCACCGCGCCCAGCCCCTTCCCAACCCGTCTTCCCTCGTCGCCCCCTCCACCGCCGCTGACCCGGGTCTCTCTCAACCCCTCCGAGACACCCACAACGCCCTGCTGGCACGTCGCCGAGTTTACGATCGCATCCGGCCCTGGTACCCCTCCGAGTACTACCGGTGGCAGCTCACCCCCTACGCCAACGTCGCCTGTCGCGCCATCATCAAGAAATTCTCTGCCGCCGTGCAGCGCAGCAGGCGGATAGCAGACTCAGACGGTGCCGAGCGCGACGGCGCCCGAGCCGTTTCCGGGATCTACCACTACCTAAACGATCATCAAATGCGTCGAGGGTTGGACGAGCCATGGCCGCGCACCATGTGGTTCTATGCCGCGCTCACGGCGATGATGCGAGCCGTGCTGCCCGGGCGCGAGACGACGGTGGGCCGCGACCATCCCTTCCGGGTGGCCAAGAACGTCTGGTTCCCCAGCCAGGCGTGCGTCCAGGCGCGGAATAACCGCTGGGAGCCCCCTGCGACGAGGAACGTGTACCAGGGCTCCTCGAGGATGTATTACATGTACGAGCGACACCCAGGGGGCGTGAATAACCGCATTTGGCTGCTGGAGCAGGCGAGGGATATCGTGCGAGGTCAGATTGCGGTGAGTCCGGTGCCGACACCGTTGGCATACGCGTTGGAGACCGAGGTTCAGAGGCTGTTGCAGGAGGCCGCCTTCGAGGTGGTGGACAATGACGAATGGTTGGACTGGGAGTTTGAGCTGCCCCCGTACACCACGGACATTGTCACAGCCCATGAGGACGCTCAACAAGGGATGTTCCTGGTTCCGTGGCAAGGCTTTCCGGGCGGTTGGCCGCAACCCGGTGATCAGGATTTAGAGCTCTCCCCCCGCGCTCCGCAGATGCAGGCAATGGCCGCGCGCGTGGTGCTTGAAGGTTATCGAGCGCCCGGCCGCCGTGGCACTCGACGGCCGACGACATATTTCACTGTCTCGGAGGTGGGGGAAATGATGTCGGATGATCGAACAGGACCGAACTGGGCTCTGCTCCGCGACGGTCAGGGAGGCTATGATGTTTTCGATCTTAGTGGTGTGTGCTTGTCCCTCTGTGGCCTGTTAGCTGTCGTTCGACTGAGCATACTGCTGATGGAACAAGTAGATATCCTGACTGAAGACCCGGCCATCGACCTTGGGACAATCCTTGCGTGGTCGTCACTTGGCCGCGTGATCGTTTCCAGCGAGATCATAGCTGCCATTCAAGCCGACGACCAAAGGCCCCTCGGAAAGCTGCTGACTTGGCGGCACTTGCAAGAAGTCCATGAGCACGATGGCAAGGACGGCCGTGACTTGTGGTGTGTCATCGGGCAGTTCATCTACGACATCACCTGTAGGCCCCGCATAAATCTTTCGTTGAGAAAAGAGTGTTTCTAACCCCCACGATAGATTTCCCCTTCCACTCCGACAAAGAAAAGCAGGCTCTCATTGCGCTCACGGCGGGCGAGGAACCACAAGCGGAGGTGTTGGATGCTCTCAACATGCCAGGTCTGTTCAAGCGCCTCGCCCCGTACATCTGCGGGTTCGTCAGACAGTCAGCGCCGTCGGCTCCCGCGAGGGAGCGAATATTCACACGGGCCGAGTTGAAGAGATACATCTATCCCGAGATTGGCATGTACTGTGAGATAGATGGCCACGTGTATGATCTTGGGCGTAAGGACACCCTTCCAACGTCACATACCGTGACCCCTTGCTGATCTTGGAACAGGCTACCTCCAATCCCACCCAGGCGGTGCAGAGATCCTCCGGCAGTACGCGGGCACCGACGCCACTGAGGCATTCCGGAACGCACATGGCGACTGGGCGAGCACGTTGAAGGCGCACAGTGCGTTGCGCGTCGGGCGTATTGTAGAAGGCAGGAACCCTAGCGACCGCCTCGACGACGAGGAGATCGTACTCTTTAGCGAGGTGTTCCTGATCCGGGGTCAGTTGTTCCCCCGCGTCGACACAATGCCCGCTCCTACCTACCTAGTCAGCTAACATTCAGATACAGAGCTTATCGCCGATTATGAAGCCTTATACGATGATCTCCGACCCTTTGGCGGCACCGACGCGACCCAGGCCCTGAAGGAAATGGATGCCCTAGGAGCCCTTCGTCAGCTGCTGAGCATGAAACATCTCGTCTGCGCAAAGGTACTAGTCCCCAGACGGCGGATAACGGACGCCGAGCTACAGAAACGCAATCGTCTGCCTGACAAGTCCGAGCGGCGGAAGAGACCCCGGGCCGACGACACGAAGTGGCGCGCGTGGATATCAGTTGCAGAAATGCCGGGGACTTCCATGTCGGAGGGGTTGCGAAGGGTGTATGATGTGACCAGTAAGTTCTTGGGATTTCCTTTTATTGGTTTTTTAGCCTTTCAAGTACTGACAGAGATCACAGTTCCCATGATGTATGGGGGCGCAGAGTTGGAGGACAAGCTCCGGCCTTGGCTGGGCAAGGATGTCGAGGATGAAGAGCTCGCAGCCCGGTTGGAAGCCCACTATACCGGATTCATCATCGGCGAGATTGTGAGGCCCGGAAGCGCCGCCGACATCGGCCAGCGGCATGGCGCAGACGCAGCCCGCAAAGCACAAATACTGGGCTCCAGACACCGGTGGGGACGTCGAGGCCTTGGGAGTTCGAGGAGGCGCACCGGTGCCCAGGATAACGACGACCGCGAGACTGCGAGGAGGTCCAACAAGCGGTCGAAGCTGCGAAGTCGGTGGTAAAACCAGCGGTTCCGAAGTTGAAAGGTTCCATTGATGTTGATTCAAGCTTATATCTCGGGCCGTATTTAGAGGCTTCTTGGCGTCGATCATACTCAAATCCGCTGCACCATGCCAGTTTCGGTGTGGATGCCATTCCTAGCGCTGCGCTGCGGGAAGACTCCTAGTTGGAAAACTGTGCCTGCGGGTATTCTAGAAATTAGAAATTAGGCAACGCCTTTCCCTGAAGTTCCTTGGACCGTTGTCTGGCAGGACTGACTGGATTCGATGCTGAAACCTCGCTGCCGGTAGCGTCGAACCCTATGAAGTAGAAGATTGTGATGTTGCATAAGCGGTGCGATGTGGTCCCGCGTAGCCGCATAGACCTCGTCGGACGATCGTTCTATCGATCTCGACCCGGCGCATATGCGGTAGCCGATCAAGGCCTGGCGCTGAATTGCTTGCACCGAGTAAGGAGGTATTCGGCGTTTTGTTCAGGCACCTAGGCAGATAGTATGGTTCTTCATCTTGCCCGATGTTATGATGCCGTCTACCCCCAACAAATCTTAAGACCATCCGATGTTGTTCCGTTTCTGATGCAGGAAGCACGCGGCCCAAATTCAACACATCTCAGGGCCCGCTGAATCGCCGATAACACGGGATCTGTTGGGTCCGCAGCAGCAGGTAGTTTGCAGCTAGCCGTCTCAGACGAATCCCTCGAATGAATTTCGCTAACCCAGCATCGGCCTCGGCACGCCTTGAGCATCCTCCTTCTTCAGCAACCGCCTACGGTTATACAGGTCCGTATTCAACACATTCGTAAACCCCCTCGCGCGCAACTCCTCCTGCACTTTACTCACCAGCCACCCGTCCCTCAACCACTGATCCACCTCCGCCAGCATGTACGAGGGCAACTTCCTCGCTCGAGGGTCGCTCTTCGTGTCAGATGGCCCATGGTTGTGCACCTTGTACTCGTCATTCGGATAGTGCAGAAACCACACATCGCTGTCCTTGGTCGTCTCGACCAGCTCGAATTTGAACATGCACCCGCACTTCTTGCTCGTCCGGTCGGTCGTGGGCTTCCGGCGGCCCTCGGCCCTGGCCCGGTCCAGCTCCGACTCGTTCGCGCGCCCGCGGTCAGCGCGGTCCCGGTTGAGCCGGGCTTCGCCGCCGCGGAAACACACCCAGCGCACCTTGCGCCTGCCTGACACTTTGACACCGGCAATGCGCATGCTGTAGCCTCGTGGCAGAGTCCACTGGTCCAGCACCTCCTGCATGCTGGCTCTCGACGATATGATATACCCCTGTGGGGGTGGTTCCAGCGGGGTGAAGGTGGTGGTGTTGACGGGCGCGCTGTTCATGGGGTTGGTATCAGACGCGCTTTTAAGAAGCCCAGTAGTCTGAGCCTGCTGTTGCTGTTGGTGGTGCTGTTGCTGGAGCACATGCTGCGCTGAGGGGCCTGTCGCGCGGTGCTGTACCGCCTGGACTGCTGACGCAGGGTTGTCTGGGGGCGATGAAGGACCCGGCAGTGCAGCGGCTGAGTTATAGGGACCTGGAACTCTCAACGCCATCTCAATACGACTGAGGCGGCGATCTATCGAAGCAAGAGCATTCAGGATGGTTGAGAGTTGGCTGTGCTGCAGACTGTCAGCCATGTCTTGCGCGTGCTCCTCTGCTGCGTTGCCCTTAGGTAATCTCAATGCGCGCTGGGCTCTTTGGCAGCTGCGGGCCCAAGATGACGTCCAGACCAATGGTTAATCAGACAGGGTGCTCGGCTTCTTCTCGCCGGAGCATGCGAGGGCGGATCGAAACGCGTATCAAGACCCGGGCTGCAGATGTCAACATCATCAAATGGTCTGCACGAATCAAGCGGGGAGCTGCGGGAAAACTTGGGTGCCCACGCCCAATTGTGGGGTTGAAGCCTGAATTTCCGAAAATCACCGAATACGGTATCTAACGTTACGTATCTGCACAGCTCCAACGCATCTGCGCGGTATCTGGATGTGAGTGGTGTAATCCGTACTGTCATGTACAGTACCATACTACGCTTGAATCCAGCATGTATGTGATTATATATATACTTGCACAGTACTCTCTTAGTTGTTAGATTCTCATGATATCGGTATAATACGTGCAACAGCTGGAAATTACACACCTATAGTTTGCCTTCCCTAACTTTAATCGAGGTACGAAGTAATTACCTCAGCTAACCTGTCACGATGTCAAGACGTGATTGCTTTACCAAGTACGGATTACTAGTAGTACCAAAATTACGTACCAGGTATTGTATAGTACCTGGTAGGTTATTGTATTGTACCACCGATTCAGACGCGCGCATCTGCAGGCAGCTTCCCGCTGGCGATGATGGCAATCCAGCTGCACTCCCAGCCATCGCGTCCATACTTCTTCTCCAGAAACTCCCTCACCATCGCATGCACCTCGTCCCGGGGGTGTTGCTTCCTCAGCTCCTCCGACCAACAACCGTTCATGATCACGTCCATCATGACGCCAAAGGTTGCCAGAAAGGACTCGGCACTATCCACACGGGTGAGATAGGCGAACAAGTCGACCTTGACATCCTGCAGTCCTTTGCCCGCAAGTGTTTTGCGGATCCAGTTGACATCGGCCCAATCGCCCCAACGGCTGCTCTGCAGTGGCATCTCGCAGGGCGCTTCGAAAGGGAAGGACGTGAAGGCTTCCTTGACATCAACCATCCAGCCCGGTTCTTTGTGCCAAGTCGTGAACCCAAGGACGCCGCCGGGCTGGAGGATTCGGATAGCCTCTGCAATTTGTAAGTATTTAAGGACTAAGGTAGTGGCCAAACGCGCCGGTGATATTATGGCTAGGGACGAACCGTTCAAGGCAGCTTCAGAGTCGGGCACGACGTGGAAACCAATGTTGGTGGCGACGTGAGTGAAGGTACAATCGGCAAGGCCAGTTTTCTGTCCGTCGATCAGCGTCTTGGAACAATCCGGATAGGACCAACTCTGCTAACCTGAGCATCGACCGTTGTCGCCTCGGTGTTCAGCCAAACCTCACGTGTGATCCGGTTCTTCACCAGCTCGATAGCCTGGTCCGAGAAGTCACCGCAGAGGATGCTGCTCTTCCTCAACACCTCGGGCTTGATGATCTGCTGCAAGACTGGCGCGACCACGCCGACGCCACAAGCATTCTCGAGGAGCTTGAAAGGGGCGTTGGTGTCATTGCCGAGCCCCATTTGGTTCAGCATTACTATAGCGAGCGGTGTACTGACGCGGCGTGCATTGTCTAGGAGCGCATCCTCCCATGCATTGCCTCCAATGGTCTTGATGTTCTGAAAGAAATTGTTGAGAACGGCGGCACGGGACGCGGCGGTACTCATGACGGGCTAGATTTGGAATTGGACGACTTAATTAGTGACTTCTCTAGTTTGACGGCTCACACAGTCAAGCTTTGGGACGCGTTCACGACCAGTCTGCTAGATAACCGCGAGTTCTTATGACCAGAGAAATGCCCGAAAAGTATCCGTACCAACAAGGCACGACACTTTGGGTTTCACTGAAGGATTCCAAGATCCGTCTAACCTCCCGAGAAGTACCCGACCGCCAATGAACGAGAGAATCTAAGGTTAAAGAGAGCCAAATCGATCACACCTTCTTAGTTTTTCCCAAGACGTGATTGCCCCCAGCGACAGCAGCACCCACGACAGCCCCAGCAACCTGGGCAGCACCATTCACCACGGCCGCGCCAGCCCCTCCGGCACCGGCGCTCTGGCATACGGCAAACCAGCTTCCAGCTGCAACGTTTCCCATCCAGCTCTGGATGCCAGCAGCCACAGAGCCTAGGTCATTCAAGGAAAGCCAGAAAGTCAGCATGAGCCCCGACACCTGCATGCCCCGATAGTTCAATACGGGGGTGAATGGGATAGAGTCCGAGATACTGACCTGCAGCGACACCATTACCAAATCCGACAGCAGGTAGCACCAGCGGGGGTGCTGCCGCAATGGCGGTGCCGAGGACGACGCCGGCGACCACTGCGGGGTGTTTGGACGCGAAATTGGAAGCCTTTCCGATGACGTTCGAAATTCGAATATCAGCCACCCATCGCAGAGCCCGGTAAATTGGATCACTTATGAATGAAGACCTTTTTGCCAATCTCTTTGGCGTAATCAGCCGTGATCTTTGTCGCGGCGGACACCGAGGGTTCTATGGCAGCGCCCAAACCAGCGGCCGCCGGCCCAATGCGAGCGAGGCTTTGAGAAATAGCCTTTCCAGCTTTGTCCATTTCTGATTTACCGTCAATAGGAACTTATTGATGACGAAATTTAAAAACGGCGTTTGTGGCCGACAGTTATCGAAAGTTTGATTGAGTTCTGGTTCCTGGGGATTGATGCGGTGTCGTCACGGCGGAGATTGAAGCGTTGATTATTTAGTGGAGGAAAGGTGGACGGAACTGACTCAGGTGCTGCCCTGCAGCGAAGAATAAATACCCCGTCTACGGTACAAACGAAGGCAGCGGGTGTGTACATGTCAAGCGGCCCCCGAAGCGAAGCGAACTGCAGTACAGCCCGATCCAAGGAAAGTTATGCCTTCCATTCCGTGTATGTACTAATCTGATAGGTACCAGTTGGTCTCACTGCAGCTTGTACTTGCTGCGTTCCAAGCCGCTCTTTCTCCGTCACCGCCAGACTCTTGGTCATAACACTCCGATGGTCTGACGGTCTGACCCACTAGGTAAGCGCCCTCACGTTGATCCCACCAATAAGTGGCGCTCATTTCGGTCAGTTGGTGTCGGTCCATTGCTTTGGCACATGGTGTTTCAATTTAGGTACTGTACCTAGGCTTTCGACCCAACAACTACTGACTAGTACCTAATTACCCTAGTATAGGGCGCAAAAGTTTGAGCTGGCAAGAAGTCCAGCCCTTCGCCCATTTATTTATCTGCGGGCCCTGCGAGTATCTTCCCATGCCTCTACCATGGCCCGGTCGCGGATATCCGCACGGGCAGGCGCCCGGGAAGCGGCTCGCTGTCGCTGGGTGGCGGGGGTCCGTGGCAGGGACGGGCCATTCGGTCTCGTTCGCGCCGGAAGACGAACAGTCGGGTACTCGCCTCCCCAGCGCAAGCACCGTTCATTTTTGTTGATCTCGAACTCGCTGGGCTGGTAGTTGCGCGCGTAGGTCGCTACGCACCACCTGAGCCAGTTGACAAAGCGCTTGCCGTGGCATGTGCCGGGGAGATCCTTTATGCATTCCTGGAGCTCCGCGATCAGCTCGTCAACGGTCGGGTAGCTTAGGCGGCTGTGAACCTTGCGGTAGTCATAGCGGAGCCCGCTGACGTGCAGCGTGACGGCGAGCAGCACGCGGTGGATGACGGTCATAGCCGAGGCAGAGCCAGCCTGACGACGGAGCTCGATGGTCCCCAAGCTGTCGGTGGGATGGAAGCTGGTCGAGACGTACCGGGTACATTGGTCTGTCCCCACGGGTCCGCGCCTCAAGGCGTTAAGAAGTTTCACCTTTCCGTCCCGCCCGGAAGCAGTGTTCTCGAGCCTCTCAAAGAGGGGCCGCCAGGCGTCTATAGTGACGTCTAGGTACTCGAGCCCCGCGTAGATTTGATGGTTTGGCAAGGCGTATCTGTTCTTGCGACGCTCGGGCGGGAGAACCTCGCAGAGCGCATCCTCCCAGAAGTAGGCCCCTTTGGCCCTGTTCACGAGCTGGTCGAGCTTATACTTACTGTTTTTGTTCGGCCCAGGCGACACATGTACGTGGGTAGCGCAGCAAGTATTCGTCCAGAAGTCGAACTTCTTGCCGATGGCGTCGAACACATCTTCGATCTCCCTTTGCCAGGACGTGGTGACCGAGGTAGGCGGCGAGATGATCTCAATCCCCCCTAAAATTTCATCGTCACCGGTCAGCCTGCCTGCAAAAGGAGAGAGAGAAATACCAGAGAACACATACACCACTTCTTCCTGTCCGGTGCTTCCGCACAGATGGTCCATTCCTTCAGGCTGGCGTCGGCCTTGCAGGACCAACCATGCCCCGGGCCCAAGGTAAGGTCGATGATCTTTTCAACGGCCATGCCAACGCGTGCCCGCTGCATGTCCTTCAAGTCTGCCACGTTGGCGTTGGCCTCGTTGGACAGCGAGAAGTCCCAGTACCGGAGATGATCAGGCAGCGTCGACGGAGCGCGTCGTTGCTTGTCCTTGATGTTATCCTCCTGGTCTTTGTTGAGCTTGACAAATATCTCAATCTCAACGCCAAAGTACGGCTGGTACGTCAGTCCAGCCGACGGAGCCGTCCTCGCCGCGGTGCGACCTGACATGGTAGCTTAGCAACGATTGCTGCAAAAAAAGGAGTGCGTGAAATGGAAGACGTGCGGGCTAAGGAACGCAGATTAAGGAGTGCAGGTCTAGTACCCAGTAATGAGTGAGGTGTAAGGAATGTAGGGTAAGGAGTGTCCACTAAGGAGTGTAGAAGCACAGGCGCTGCCCGAGCTGGTGTGGATGAGTTGCCGGTGGTGTTGACCTTGGGCCAGAACCTAGATGAAAGAACGAAGGGTTCATGTTATATAGTAAGGATGTGACTACTCTACTACATGTGCTTCGAGCCCGACAACCGTCCGAGCCATCGGTCAGTTCAGATCGGTATGAACACTGGGCCACTGCCATCCTGTCCGGGAGCCCGAGAACCTGGAGCACATGGCCCGTCGCATGCAGTTTCTGGGCTGTTGTCGTTTTACGCAGCGTTGCGACCGCAACCGGAAGCTAGGTGTGCAATCCTGCGCCTGTCCGTCGGACCGGGGGCGGGATTGCGTATGGGGAAGGCCACCGAACTACGAGTAACTCTATATCAGGCCGGTTCTCAGGGAGATTTTCTTCTTGAGTTCTGATCTTCAGGCCCACCGGACTACTAACCTACCCGGTGCCAGGTGGGCCTCCTGCAACGGCCGACCCAACTCATGTATAGTCTCCTGATTATATTATCCTATGATCCAATTTTTACACATGAGTCAGCGTGTGTTGTATTCCCTAACCGTTGTTGCTGGGCCTCCTACATCGGCGTTCAGCCTAGCCCTCAAAGAGCGGAGGGTTGGGTTTAGCAGACCTGACCGTCTTTTTCCTTTCTTAAAGTTTCAGCGACCTGTCCGAAAAGTCTCTACTCCATTTTTCCAGCTGTGCCCATGCCGATAGAGATACACTTCCCCTACGTATGTTTTCACCGTTCTCCGGCCTCACCCGGGTAGGAAAGCATAATCCCCCCCAAGCGCCGTTCATGGCCAGGCGTATGGCTAGCTGTACTGCTAGGACTCATGTGATTTGCGTCAGCTGAATCCATCTCAGAGAAACTAGTAGTATAGGTAGTCTAGGTCGCGATGCAGGCCGTCGATGGTCGCACCTTCGCTGAGAGCGACGGGACTGTTGCCCGTACCGAGTGCTTGGGGAGTAGACCGCACCAGAAACTCCCAAGTATTCAAGCCCAGCGAAATTTGCGAAGAGAACTTGGAACGGCTTAGCAAGTGAGGTGGTAGGGTTGGGGTTAAGATGTGTAAGTGATAATTCGGAAAAATATAGGTGCCTACCTAGGTAGAAAAAGTGATGAACCAATGTTCTGGGTCAATTGGGCCCAAAATGCTGACGGAAGTGATTGGGGCCCATTTCACGCCGCATCACATTGACCACGGAACCGGTCCCGGTGTGTTTCATGATTTTATCCTCTCAAGAGACGCCCTAAATATCCGTAACCAACGATGAACAGCCGATGCCCACGCCGCCAGGCACCCATTTAACACCAGATGGTATAAGATGCATGATCTATAAAAAGGCCGCCACTGTCCAAAACGACTGCATCAAGTCTACACCTCCTATCATCTGCCATTCATTGACATTGTCCTTTTCAAGTCCTTCTTCCCGCAAGTTCCCAGAACGAGCAACCCCAACCTCCAAAAAGCATCATCATGTCTAGCCAAGGCGCAGGAAGTGCGGCTCGCTCGGGAAAGGCGGCGTCTACGTCGGCGTCGACGTCGACCCCGACACAGCACGATGACGTGAAGGACCGGGAATACGAACAAGCACAGTCAAAGAAGGAGCTTCTGATGCAGCAGCACTGGCTGAAGTGGCTGCCCGATGCCGAGAAGGAATCCTCGGTTGTGCTCGTCTTCGACAAGTCGCCCGATGCCATCAAGGCCGACATCAAGCGAATGGCGGGCGCGAACACAAAAACTACCACGGTCGAGCGTGTGGTGGGAATCTACGACAGCATCGAGGAGGGGAAGAACCTGGGCACTGTCGAGGCGGGCCTCGTCACCGTCGGAGCCTACGGGGCCATCAAGGACAAGTATAAAGTGCAGAGCATCACCGTCAAGTTCAACAACCAGGAGCGCATCGCATATATTCCCGTGGAGGCCCGCAGCCATTGAAGCAGCAGTACCAGGTACCTTTAGAGGGAGCCGTCGATCGAGGACTGCCAGGGTAGAGAACGGAAAAGGAGTCTTGTACAATGGCGGGATAATCTACTAGACCTTTGCAGCGCGTACACGGTGCTTCAGTGAAACAATAAAGCCTCGTCCACTCAATAACTCGTTCTGTCTGCGCAGCCCGATGTGGTACGGACTGATCCACCACTGGCAGTTCATGGTGGTTTCAATGCTACTGGATGTACCGACAACCATGCGAGGTCGAGAAAAGTGGGATAGAAGACCGTAATAAGCGAGTAGGGTTACCGGCCTTGCAGAGCCGCGTTATTAGGATGTTAAGAATAATGCCTAGAATCTCTCCCAAACCGGTCCCATCTTATGCTCACTGAAACCCGGCAAGAAGTACATTACAACTAACCGGAACAGAGATTCTGTTGTTTCGGGTTTGACTTTACGGATTGAACTATCAAGCAAACAATGACTGACTGTGTGCAGCTGTCCATGGGCTAGGACTTGGACATCACCCTAGGACTGCCGTAGCGACGACACACCTCTCAAGGGCCCCTTCCGCCGCGAGTGCGCTGGTTTGGCCACGCAGCGTGCGGTACGGACAAGTCCTTCGGCACAAGGTTGATCTGCTGGATTACGTTTCGGAATGCCGGATACCCAATAGCAAAGGCAAAAATACTCGAAGTCGTCGGAGAGGCGGATGGTTGTTATGTAAGTGGGATCCGCAGTCCTACCTTGGCGGCTCTCTTGGCCACCACTTGGCGTTTGTTTTTCTGTTTATGCGCCCCCCTTTCCTCGTTGCATTGCGGCAGACGGAATCAAAGCCTGACGTGCCAAGACCTCCACATAGGGTTGGGATGAGGAATAATAAATGTCCATCTTCTCATCTGCTGTGTCTGTAGAAGAAGAGTTCACTCTGACTCCCCTTCAACCTCCCGTCATCTGTATCGAGAGCCGAGGAAGACTACCAGGCTGTTTCCGTCCGTTATACGACAGACCTTAATAACCCATATGGATTCTAGGAGAATCCACTATTTCGAGATCCCTCGCCAAGCTCATCTTGCCCTAGAAGAAGGAGATGTCTCCCGCTGAAGGACCGGAGGCGAAGGGGGCAGCTAGTATGCATGCCTTCATCAATGCAGCCGCCCCTTGGTTGAACGAGCATTTGAAGTCGCTCATCAGAAAACACGTACCCGATGTTGTCTTCATCGACGACTTTGACGAGTTCCCCCCGGGTGTGCCTGTTGTCTTCCAGTTCTGCGACGGTTGGGAGCTCAACCGCAACTTTGCCGTCCTCAACGCGGCCGAGAACGGTCTGATCAATGCCTACCCCAACAGCGATGCCCTCGCGCGCAAGGACTACCTCGCCCGCGTGGTGGAGTACTGGACGGCGAAGCGACCCAGGAGCATTCTGGCCAAGCACGTCCCGGAAACGGTGCGGCTGACGCTGGACTACAGCGAGTACGTTGAGGATGCTCTGATGGCGGCCGACGACCTCTCTCTTCTGTGTTCCCTGGAGCAGAATGCGGACAGAGAGCCGTCCTACCGGGAGTGGTGGATCCTCAAGCCGGCGCTGGTGGACTGCGGAGCCGGCATCAGGCTGTTCAGCACCATCGAGGAGCTTGCGAGCCACCTAGAGTTGGCTGAGAACGAGACCGACGACGACGACGAGGAGGAGGATGAAGAGCGCGGGATCGAGGCCATCAAGACACCATCACTCGACAGCGAAGACACCGGCGCTGACAGTGGCAAGTTCACACCGACCCTCTCCACGCCCGGCCTGGATTCGCTGGATGGCCTGGTCACGGCGACGGGGGCCCTCGGTCTCGACAAGTCCGGACCAGATTCAGAAGAAACACGGCAGCAGCACAAAACCGCCCGAGCAAAGAGGCCGCAGTATGTCTTCAAAGCCGGCGGCCGGATCCCGTCGGCGCAGATGCGGGCCTTCGTCGCGCAGCGCTACGTCGTCTCGATCCCGCCCATCTGCGGGCGCAAGTGGCACGTCCGCGCGTACGCGCTGGCGATCGGGCGGCTCAAGGTGCACGTGTTCCGCGACGTACTGACGCTGCTGGCGGCCGAGGACTACCGGCCGCCGTGGGAGAACCCGCCGCTCAAGGCGTCGCTCACCAACACGGCGCTGCAGGACGAGGACGAGGTGGTGCGCAACGACTCGATGCGCGACTTCTGGGACCCGGCCGCCGTCCCGGACGACCTGTTCCCACCCGGCCACCGGCGCCACCCTCACTGGAAGCGCCACGTCTTCTACCAGATCTGTGGCGTGGCCGCCGAGCTGTTCCGCGCGGCCGCACACACCATGGCCGACAAGTTCACCGCGCTGGATCGCTGCTTCGAGCTGTTCGCGCTGGACTTCCTGGTCGACACGAACGGCAATGCCTGGCTGCTTGAGGTGAACGAGACGCCGGCGTTCTATCAGCAAGGCGTGGCGGGAAGTCTGGCGCTCCGTCTCATGGACTCGGTGGTCTGCGTGGCAATGGAGCACATGGGAATGGCGAGGCTCGGTGATCCCCGCAATGTGGTCGCGAGGAATCGCTTTGTCGAAGTGCTGGATGAGACGGCGAAGCTGGGAAGGAGCAACATCACGCGCATCATACCCGAGTGAAATTTGTAGGACTGTCTTGCAGAGCGAAAATTTAATGCAAGGGACATCATTGGCGGCAATTTGTTCCTGCCTCGTGTGTGCACTTCCCGGGGTGAGCTGGCCGGCATGCAGTTGGAATTTTCGGATTTTCAGTAGGCGTCTTGACTTTCTGCTGTGGAACGCAGCGTTCCCTTGGAGAGATCACACTGGTCAGGGCAAAATGCAGTACCGTGTTAGTCAATACCGTGGTGAAAAAGCAATATAAACCCAACCAAGGGTGGTCGACTGGTGCCGGAGGCCATGCCCAGAACCAACGGCTCGCAGCCAGCAACCAACAGCAGGGTAATTTCATTATATTTTTAGATCCTGCTCTCGAGTTTCGACCGTGGCGGCGTGCGCTCCAAGCACGTACCGCTCGCGATGCACTCGGGTAAATTGTTGCGTGGTGTTGCAAGGACCGGCCCGGATCCTCGAACGGATGTGGTCCCATTGGTAGGCTGCCCGGGTCGAGGAAGATGGGGGAAGGGAGGCGTTGGTGCTTTTTGCAGTCATCACGGTTTGAGTTTGGCGACTCTGAAACAGTTTGCACATTATATGGGATATCCCCGCCGCTCGGCCCGACGTTTTCCTAAGGAGTACCTTATAGGGTGTCGCTTTCTCTTCGTAGTCAGGACTTCACCTTAGGGTCCTGCGCTGATTCGATTCTCCGAGATTCACAATCCGCGGGCTCGAACGCACCCTTTGTGGCCAAGGTTCTAGCCCTCCTCTTGATATCCAAGCTGATAGTGTTCCTTCTTGGGACTCCGTGTCGGGAAAAGCCGGTGCCAGGCTCACTTGTCCCTTGGCAGTTGACAGTTGACACTGCAGTCTACTCGTCTTACCGTGAGGTCACAAGTCCGTTGCGAACGAACGCGAATTGTTCATTCTCAAGCATGGCGAGTGGCACGACATCCATGCAAACATCAGCCGAGCACGCCCACACGGGAACCGCACTCTTGCCTCTTACAACCCCCTTCTTCCAGTCACCGGAGTGTTCCTCCATCTGGGACCTAACGAGCATCACACCTGTCACGGACGGCTCATCGCGAGCTCTTACTGTTCTCGTATCAGACGCAGCCAACACGGGATTCCCCTGGTGTCAACCATCAGGATGGGCGACGAACGCCCCAGCTCGTCGTTTCAGCTTCAGCCCGGCGGTGTGCCCGAGCGGCTGGACATACTGGGATATGCAGGAGACAATCTCATTCGATAACACGGCGCACTTTGCCAGCCTGTACTCGACGGCTCTTTGCTGCGACAGGTACGTGCTCTATAACCTCGTGCTGCCCTGTCCGCAGTGGCAATTCACCCATCAAACTCACCATGCCCGTGTATCCAAAAGCGGTTACTCACCAGGTCCTCGCAAATATGCCTTACCCACCATATCTGTTCCCTGTATCCGAACCTTCGACCCAGGGGACAGCATGACAATCACAGTCCGCGAGTCTCACCGGGACGGCCCCGCCAGAACCATTACCGAGGGGCTGCTTATGCATGACGCTTGGCATATCTCCTGGCGCTCCGTCGACACCAGCACGCTCTCGCCTTTGCTGCCGACCCTGACGTCGAACAAGTTCCTGACGTCGTGGGTGCCGGGCCAGACGGTGGCACCGGGGGAGGGTGATAGGGCGGCCAAGGCATCAGCGGACGACGAAGCCATCAGCGGGGCCAAGTGGTTTGCTTTCATCGGAGTGCCGATTCTGGTTGCGGCTATTATTGCTGGCGTTGTTTGGTGTCGCATCGCAGGGCGAAGGATCAAGCGTCAGGGTGTCACGGAGCAGGAGGTCAATGGGAGTGGGTCGTGGATGTGAGGTTCTTCTGCAGACTGTACTTGTACTTACTTATAAGTTTATGAGTCAACGTGTTTTTTTCAAGCAGTCATCCACGGCCGCAACGGCCACGACTCGGAATGCTTCTCATGACACCGCTAATAAGACAAGAAAGATGCAGTCGCCAGGCGACAGACACCGCTACCCATCGCTCTTGTCGTCTCCTCTCCTACCGTTAGGGGACTTCACCGAAGTGATCAAGCTTCCACTACTACTAGTAGCAGCTATATTAACACGGCCAGAGGAAACACTGTGGTAAAAATGCTGTCCGCTCCCCATTGCAATCAAGACTGGTTCCTGATCAACAGAAAACCCGGTTTCCGGAGCAGCGCATATTATCCAGGGACCGATGTCGTACGAAGTACGAGTAGCATGGCGCCATAGACGATCGATTGCCCTTGCATCACCAATGCGAACCTGCTCCCTTGACCATGATTCCCGTAATCCTTGAGCACCGAAGACTTCTTCCAATTCAGAGATATAATTAGCTGCATCGGCGGACTTTGCGTCGGACCATTCGCTGAGCGGTACGGACCTGACGGGGCTTTGATCTTCCTGACGAACTCGCTCCGAAGTTATTTCCCCGAGAATGTACAGCAGCAACCGAGCTTCGTCATCCGTATCCAACGAACCGGGGGGGGGGGGGGGGGGGGGGGGGGGGGGGGTTGGCTTCCGTGATGGGTATAGAGCGGCCGGTTTGAACAAGACCATGATAGCAAGTAGAGCGTTTCTGGCATTCGAGGGATCGTCTTCATCGAGCCGCGGCGCTCGAGCGCTGGACCTTTGTAGATCTCGAACGCCTCAAGGGTTGGAAGGCTCTGGAAATGTTCGACTCGCCCCATCGAGTAAGGCGCAGTCGGATTAGGCAAAGCTGCATAGCCTGTGGAATCTCGATGCCCGGTTGACGACTTGACTGAGGCGGAGCACGCAGGTGGTATATCTATCAGCAAGAGTCTTGTTGCAGGTATTCGTGGTTGCGTCCATTGAAGATTCGACGTCTTCGACTGGCGGTTGTTTCCTGGTGATCAGAGAGGAAGTTCTCAACCTGATGTCACAATGCAGCAGTCTGTATGTTATGGAGTGTGAGCATGAGTGAGGTTGAGAGGGTCAATGGAAGTGGGGAGGCCAAGGTACCTAGGTATCCATCGGCATGGCAGGCACCCTTCAGGCTTTGGGCAGCAATCTCCCAATAGAGCTCATTACTAGTAGTTCGCGCACCAGGTATTGGAGTAACTATTGTAAGGTCACATGTCTGACTCGCTACCTGGTCCTGAGAGGTGGTGCCAGCCAATAGTCATAGGTTGACACCCTCGTCCATGCATTACTGACCATAGTCTAGCTGGTGTCCTTTGATATTGAATTTCCCACTCGTCGTATGATCATGCACCACCTCGTATCACCAGCCTAAGAACCGGTCATGCTTCAATATGGCACGATCAAGAACCAGACTTCTAAGCCCAGTATAGGGCAGAGCATCATCGTTCGGTCAAACGAGAGTGAATCGGGCGCAAAGGAATGGGATAATTTAGATACTCATCTGTAGTAGGTTGACATGTAGATTCCGCAATTAACTTGTCCGTTGAAATGGATTGGCATTGGTACAGGCTCGTTCAAGGGGCGATATGTCCGCGAAGCAAGAGCGCCTAGCTGTTGCAAAAAGGAGCCGAACCACGGCAGCTGAGGAGGTGGAATGTGGCATGTGACGCTTGAGACACTGCATTCTTCATGTGAAAAGGGGAAACGTCAGCTGTTGATAAAACTCGGTGCTGCCCTTGATTCGTCCCAGCAGGATATTTTCCAAAGAGCACCCACAGCTTGGCTAAGTACCTTAGAGAAGATCGGTTCATACTATCAGCGACCTACCAAAAATTGACCCAAGACGATGAATTTGGACAGCTATATACGGCTCAACCCATACTCAGAAGACGAGAAACATGACGACACACAAGCCGGAAAAGTCTCCCATTTAGGCTCATCGAATGGGTTGTTTTGGCTCTGATTGTCGTCACCGTTGGCGTCTGGGTGGCCTGTGATGTGGGTGGTAAGTGGACTGCAAGTGTTTCCTACCAATACTCATGCTCTAGCTGACATGCATTGAAAGCTGCCATTTGAGGGAGACTATTGATGGATAAGAAATCTTCTCCTGGGTCAAGAAACACTATGATAGTATTCGTCAGAATGATATGCCTGGTAGTAATGGGCATAGATAATACCTGTTACGCCCGGCCCGCTGTTGATATCGAGGCTCAGGCTTCCAAGGTTGACGAACACCGTGACGTGTGGGAGGTTTGGAGAGGGAGATTTTAGTGGGGCGAGGTGGGGGTGCTGGCAGCTGCACCCGGCGCTCACCGCCTTTGGCAGAATCCTGACCCCACCGAAATTTTCTCGTATCATTGCTGGGCAGGCCGCGATTGCGAGATCCGTGATAGTCTTACTCTCAACTCCAAGAACGAAATGCCGAAAGATAAACCAACCAAGCGCGAAAGCGCATCAGGCGGTCGCATTAGCGACCCCCGGTTTGCAAGTTTCGAAACTGATCCACGCTACCAACTCCCATCCAAGAAAACGCTCAAGACCAAACTCGACAAGCGTTTCTCTCGCGTGCTGAAGGATGCCGACTTCGTCGCCACAGCAAAGGTCGACCGGTACGGCCGGAAGCTGAAAACAGACGCCAAAAAGAAAGCATTGCAACGGTTGTACGAGGACGAGGATGAGGACGAGGACGAAGAGGAGGAGGCCCAGCAGATCGAAGGGGACATCGAGGTGGAGGATGACGATATTGTCCGTCGAGAACTGGAAAAGGCGGATGCAAAATATGACCCGGCTCGAGGCGGGGGATTCTCCTCATCAGAATCGGAGTCAGACTCAGATTCAACATCCGAATCAGAATCAGAAAAGGAGCCGAGAGACGAGGAGGAGGCGGAGGAGTCTCGACCCGGCATTCGACTTCGCAGAGAAAAGCAGGAGGTCGAGCTTGGCGAGGTTACCAACAGGTTTGCGGTGGTCAACATAGATTGGGACCATATCAAATCAGTCGACCTATTGGCGCTATTTTCGAGCTTTGTTCCGGTTGGCGGCCGTATCGAAAAGGTGTCCATCTATCCCAGCGAGTTCGGCAAGGAGAGGATGCAACGCGAGGAGCTGGAGGGTCCCCCAAGAGAGATCTTCAAGAAGGGCAAGGACTCGGATGAGGAAGACGAGGGAGACGACTCTACATCCGAGAGCGAGGATGAGGAGGATGCTGGGGAAGACTCCGACGAGGAGGTTAAGAAGGAGCTCTTGCAGGAGGGCAATGATCAGGACTTTGACAGCGATGCTCTCCGGACATACCAGCTGGACAGGCTACGATACTACTATGCTGTGGTGGTTTGCTCTGACAAGAACACGGCACACAAGATTTACGACGCAACTGATGGGAGTGAATACCTCTCTTCTTCCAACTTCCTCGACCTCCGCTTCATCCCTGACGATGTCACCTTTGACGATGAGCCCAGGGACGAGTGCGACAGCGTTCCACCTGGGTACAAGCCTGTCGAGTTTGTCACGGATGCCCTCCAACATTCCAAGGTCAAACTGACCTGGGATATGCACCCCGAGGAGGTTTCAAGAAAAGAGTCAATCAAGAAAGCCTTCACTGGGAGCCGTGCAGACATTGCAGAGAACGACCTGCGGGCGTACCTGGCAAGTGACAGCGAGAGCGAGGAGGAAGACGGTGCAAATATGGCTGCAGGGGAGAATAAGGATGGTGAGGAGGCGCCGCTCAGTAAAAAAGAGCTCGCAAGGCGCAAGATGCGTGCAGCGCTAGGTCTCAACGATGAGCCAGCCTCAAAACTGTCGAAGTCCGCGCCGGTTGGAGAAATGCAAATCACATTCACCCCCGCTCTCTCAGGCAAACCAGAGAAGGAAGAGGCTGAAGAGACTACGATTGAAAAGTACAAGCGAAAGGAGAAGGAGCGCAAAGAACGGAGGAAAGCCAAGGCTATGGCCAAGAGGGGCGAAATTGATCCTGATGCGGTTCAAGAGGAACACACAGAAGAGCCCGGCGACGATCTTGGTTTTGATGACCCTTTCTTTACCACAGAGCCGGTACCGCCGTCTAAGTCTGCGATGCGGAAGGAGGAGCGACTGAAGAAGCGGGCAGCTAAGGAAAAGGAGGAAGCTGAGAACGCCGCCCAGAAGGCGCAGCTCGAGCTTCTCATGGCTGACGAGAACGGGGGCGGCGCGCATCTCGAACACTTCGACATGAAGGAGATCATGCGTGCGGAGAAGCAAAGGAACAGGAAGAAGAAGAAGAAGGGCAAGGACGCCGCCGACGACCATGGCGGCCTACAAGAAGATTTCAAGTTGGACGTCGACGATTCTCGGTTCAAGGCCGTGTTTGAGAACCACGAATTCGCCATTGACCCGTCGAATCCCAAGTACAAAGCAACACAGGGCATGAAGAAACTCTTGGAAGAAGGGAGGAAGAAGCGCAAGGCCGGCCCCGGCGACTCGCCCAACGGCAAGAAGGACGAAAGGAGCTCCAAGAAGGCGAAAGGGGTTGGGGAACTTGAGGAGCTTAGCAGCTTGGTGGATGCGGTCAAGAAGAAGACAAAGGCGAAGAGGTAGCAGGACTTGTTTCAGGCCTCCTAATTGGCACGTACATTAGTACCTCGCAGTCCGTTCGCGTAGCGCCCCGAACCATCGAGTGCCTCTCCTAAATAACGATGAGTTGACAAAGCCGCCGTGGCGTCAGATAGACGTCAGCTATCGCTTCCACTCAGCATGACCTTCACGCGCAGCGCTCCAGCCAAGGTGTCGACGATGTCCTCCATGCTAAAGAGCCCCATCAGTAGGTATCCAGTCAATGGCGACTTCTCCGCCTTTAGTGAGCCCTCTCTGACCAAATTCTACTTATCTCCCAGTCCCAACCTTTCCCGCTGTGCTGCCAGACGTTTCCTGTGATGTAGGTGCAATACGTTATTCCACCGCTTGTCTTGCTTTATCTTCGTCTCAAACTTCGAGTAGTCGTTGGCTGGGCTGCAGATCCTGTGAGATTCATCCGTATAAGGTAACTTGGCAAACATGCCCGAGAATGTTCGCATCAGATGGCTGGCGCTCTGCGAGTATTCAATGGCCTTCTCAGGTAAAATGATTGGCGTCCCACCCCTAAGTATCGCCATATGCCCCCCAGGATTAAGGTGTCGCACAACGCTTTTGCATCGCGATTGTAGCCAAGGCAAGCAGAGCTGCCTGGGATCCGACTTTTGACCACCTGGTGGAAAAAATCGAGGAGAGTTTGGACCAGAGAGAGGCGGAGTGCCAATACGGTCTCTTGATATTCTCGAGTCAACGGAACCATACTAGTACTAAATGCTAGATACCAACCAAGTTGAACGCAGATCAACTTACCCAGCAGATCAGCCGGTCCACAATGACTTGTCGAACTCGACTAGTTGGTAATGATAATAATAACGATCCTCGCCAGTCACCGAGAGGTTGAACATGACATCAGTGAGCTCAGCAGAAACGATGTCTTCGCAGCCCATCTCCCAGGCGACATGTAGCCTCATGAGGTGTTCACGTCCTGGGGGGACCCCAATTCGGCGAGTGGGACATCGGGGCCTTGACGATCTCTAGCCAGGTGCCGGCCCATGGTTGCAGGAAGGTGGATCAAATCGTAGTTCTCGGTGTGGATGAGAAGTTCGTTCAGTTCCTGGAGCGAGAGATACTTGGGTATTTTCTCAAAGATTCCATGAGCCATCGCAAGCGGCCATGGTTTGTCTTCGGGGAGATCCACGATCCAATCACCCTGCGCCGGCTTCGCTTCCTTCCACGGACCGAACAGCATGCTTTTCCACACAGGGGATGCACGCCGCATCGCGGCAGAGCAAACTCTGAATCTGGCGTGGAGGTGCGCCGTAGTAGTCGCGTGGATGACAATGCTTCGCGGGTTGATGAAGCAAGAAAACAAAACAAGCGCGACAGAGAAAAATAGAAAGATATAACCCCTGTGACCGGAAATCACCAAGTCGTCTTGGCATTGAATATGACGGCCCAGGTAACACAACAAAGGCCGGGCAGCCGAACAGCCCAACAGAGTCACACATACCATATATAATGAAGCCGTAGATATGCCCAAAAAGGCCGTTAAATACATTTCCCTAGTGTTCTTGATACATCTGTCGCGATGCCATTTTCCATCCTGCGTTGCTTAGTAAGCCGCGCATGTCAGTTACTCATTGCAACCGTGTCCAGAGCTATGTCCATATCTATGACTAGGTTCGTGGTGCCGTGGGCTGACGGCATTCGTAATATGGTATGTTAGTGGCAATCGAGATATAGTATGTTAACTGAGTTAGTAGTGCCATGCGAACGGAGCTAACATATTATATTACAAGCCTACCGTAATTAATATACTACACTGGCATTGTGGATGCATTGACATATTGTATTACGAATGCCGTCGACGTACCGGTTCGCGAATACCGTCAACATACCGGATCGCGATGCCATCGACATACTACATCACGAATGCCGTCGACATACCGCATTCCGAATCCGGTTGACATACCATAGCGAACAGGGCTGTCACGCGCGCGCACGTGACCGTGGGGACTTGGAATAGGGTAATTCGAGGTCCAGGAATCTATGGAACTATGTAAAATGGCCTAAAACGCCCAGAAAATGCTTTTTTTTTGGCTGTTTTGATGCGTTTTACCTTATAACGCCTGGCCTGCCGGCCTTTGTTGTTTTACCTGGGACGTCAAATTCAATGCCGAGACGACTTGGTGATTTCCGGTCACAGCAAGGTAGGTCTTGCGAGGTAAATAACCGAATTGCCGATGACCCACTCACGTGGGTGATAACTCATCCCGGCCTTGCCATACCGTTAAATTTTACTCCGCTGTCATAAACCAGTATTACCATAGTCTACATTATAGAGGACATCGAGGATGGGCGGCGAAGTGGAGGTAATATATAGTAGTAGTTATGTGGTCTCCCTAAAGAGCATTGTATCCTGGCCCACCTTACTGATTAAAGGACGGTGCATGTTGTCTAGGTCTCTAGACTCTCCTTTAAATCTGCAGATTCCACCTCCCTACCTACTTCCTCGCTGACTAGTAGCTGAGAGAATGCTAGGGGCGGACGTGACGAGAGGCTCTTGAGATGGGAGTTTCTTGGACTTGACGTGGTTAGTAAGCTCCATAGGTACCCTGAAATAACCAACTATGGTTTCATTTCGCTGCTTTGCAACCTATGTGATGACTAGGTAGTTAGCGTACACTCGAACTACCTGATCGAGGAGCCTAATTGGTCTGTAAGATCATCGAATGGTAAGGTGTGGTGACTAGCTGTACTGGTAGGTACTGGGAAGACACCAAAAGTGTTTCTGCCATTCTGGCTCTAGGTGAATTAATTCCATAATCTTGGTACTTTAGAAGGTGCCGGTTCCTTCCTTTCCCACTCTAGTCGCCTCCTTCCAAATTGCACCGACTTGCCTGTATTAATAACCACATGAATTCTTCAAGCTGTTAGGCTGCTGGAAACCTGACCCCGTCAATTCTTCCTGGTTCGGGGAGTGCTACCCAAGTTCGCCGCCAAACAGGAGGTGGGGGGTTTCTGACCCGAGCCATCTCATTCATCGACCAAAGCATCAAGCGCCATCGCAACTTGAACCCATCATGGCCAATACCCAAGGCATCAAAGTCGACTTGCCGTTAATGTCTACTGAGGAGGCATTTCAGCGCCTCCTCAACCCCACTCCGATTCCCGATGAACCTGAACGGTTCGAGGATCTCGTCGAGAAAACTCGTGAACTCCTTGAGCCGACTTTCGGACCCTTGATGAACGAAACCAGGGAGGAGACCGGAGTCACAATACTCAAGTCCACCACGGGCGGTCCTCCTCCCGTTCTCACCGAGAAGCAGAAGGAGTTCATCAAGTTCCTATTCGACGGTCGCGGTGACCGCCTCCTTAACAAGCGCGAAGAGGAGATCAAAGAGGTCGAAGAGCAAGTTCGGCGTAAGACAATCGGCACAATGAAGTTATCCCAGAGCGAGGAGCCCCTCGTCCAACTCTTCTTCATCTGTTCCAAGCAGAATCTTGACTACATGAATAAGATGAGGATGATCATCGCTGCCAAGGGCTGTGCGCCGCCCCTTTCCTCGGAAGCATCCTAGGTACGAACTGTCAAAAGTCGGTATACTTGACATTGCTGACAGAGGGATATAGAACAGCAAACCCGCCCCGCAACATTGCAGGAGCTTGACCTCCCTGCTTGTGGACGCTGGACTCTGGAGCCTAGGAATTGGTCGGAGCCTAAGTTGGGCAAGTTTGTGGCTGCCAGAAAGTTTGGACGGAAGAGGAGAGACTTGGGCAGGGTATGCCGGCGCCTTAGCTCGACATGGCGACGGCCCTTGACTCAGATGCTTTGATACGACCTGAGCGATGGTGCAAATTAAACCAGAGTTCCTGACGAAGACTGATGACTTCGACCTCTCAAAGTAGGCATGAATGCCCTCACGCTCTCCTTTGTGACTGTGGAGACACCCTACTAGAGGGCCAAATGCCTACTGCTTGAGCGTCTCTCGCTGTGTTTCCATTGGTAGACAAAGATGTCATGGTGCGCTCAAATATCTCAGGATTCTATTCGACAGCCGCCCGACAGCCCTCAATCATGAGTACCAGACCCCTTCAAGTTTTTCCGACAGGGTCACCGCCCAATCTCAACATAGAGAAGGTAGATGCGCAGTCCATGGCCAAAACCCCCTTCGTGTACAGTAAGAGCGTAGAAAATATCCCGTAATCCACTAGGAGGCATCGCCACTACATACATCGACCCACGCTTCGGATCATAATTCGTCAGTCCACTCAGTATGCCCAATCTTACCATCACTTACCAAAGGTTGTTTGGGCCTGCGGAACTTGATAGGCCTAAACCGCGGAACTCGTGTCACTAGCAGTGCGACGAGGGCAATTCAGCGGGCTAGAAGTATGGGACTTAGAGAGGAATGCTGGCTTTTTAACTTTGTGGCAGTGCCCATTTGTCTCGCTCACGACTTAGAAGTAGCTCAGAGAGGTGCGCCGGCCGATACTCTATCTGAGCTTGCAAAGGAGCGAACGTGTAAATTGACAAAAGTTCCAGAGAAACTGGAAATCTCAGTCATCACTCACGCCCATTTTATCCCAATGCTAATCTCTGAGAAACAGCGTTTCGGAAAGAGAAGAAAAGGGCAGTTGTGAATAGAATCGCAGACTCTCAGGTTCTTCTGCCTGCCTACCGACATCATCTGCAAGTACTGTACAACTACCATATATGACCAGAAGGCTACTCCCGGACACCGTGATGTGATGATGATCCCCCAAGCTGAATGGACCCGTTGAGTCGCTCACACAATGGCGGTCGTCCGAAGCTGTCTGAAAGACACTAACTATCCGATGGCCAATAGAGGACCGCCGCCCGCCTTTCCTGATCTTCAGATCGATGCCGTGGACGACGACGCGGACTCGGCGCGGGAGGTATCCACATGGTTCGGTTCAAGTCGCAGAAGTCGCAACACAATTGGGAGAGAGAACCTGATCGAAGTCGACGGCCCACCGCAATTTTGACCGCCAAGCAGGGGCTGAAGGCACACAGTAACGAACCAGCAAGTCTCGACTTCATGATTGCTCTTCTTCCTGACCAAAGGACCTCACAGCACGCCGACGGTAACGAGTACTACTAGGGTGCTTACTGCCAGCTGACGCGTACCTAGTGTATACATAGCATATACACAGTAGGCATATAGGCCTCGTTGACTGACGTTCACTTGAGGTGTAATCTGGGTCCTGGTCCCAACTCCGGTGGAGCGTGGTTTGTTCGTCGCCTCGTCGCCTCAGTCAGCACAGCTCAGAGACCAGCGTCAGCCCCGAGATTTCGACCTCCACCATAGGACAACTAGTGTTGGCTTCCTGCACGCAGAAAAAGAAAAAGGCATGATGATCCATTGAAGTACGTCGCATTGCTGTAAATGCCAGTGGCCTAAGTGGCATAGTGTAGGAATTCTTGCGCGGAGCAGTCCCCTTGACTGTTCGGTTGTTAAGAATTTAAACCTTGAACCCTGTCGTAGGAATCGCGCTAGGTACCGAACAATCAGGGATTGTCCTGGATCGAGATTATGTGGCGTACGATCCTCGTGGGAGTTCTCTAGCTCCCTCCTGAAAACGTGCCGTGGTTTGCCGATCATATGTTCGGTGGGGAGAAACAACGTGAGAGCGGAAAAGCAGAGTGGATTGCCAAGGGGAGCCGGGCGTCCCAGGACCCCAGCGGAGCATGAATGGCGGCGGGATTTCGCAAGTGGCAGGGCGAAGGCCAAGGCCCGGTCGGAACGGGTTCATGGCCGTTTAAAAAGTCGTTGCCGCCGGCTCCTCGCAACCGGCTTCGTCCCTGTTCGCCACTGCAGCGTGCCCAGTTTGCTCAACGGTCTCGATGCCGCCATAACACCACTGCTGTCGACGACCCCGATCCGGATCACGTCCATGGCGCTGTGGCAGGAGGAGGACTACGGCGTTCTCGCCGATCGGGCGTGCTGGGCCATGTTCGCCGTCACAGTAGGTACGTTGGAATCAGCACATAGCATCGGCCCGGAACTGACGCCCAACCGCGGAATTCAGTCGTCGTTGCGCTCCGTGTCTTTTGCAGAGCGTACTACGGCCGGGCGAGGGGCGGAGGACTCGGGCGGGACGACTACATCACGCTCGGCTGTCTTGCCGTCTTTCTGGCAACATGCATCCTCATCACGATCGGCTCGAGTTATGGACTCGGGAAGCATTTCAAGGATGTACCACCTGAGCACATCATCATGGCGCTCAAGTACAACGTCATCATCAGCGCGGTCCTGATCTGGACCTTCTCGTTGCCGAAATTCGCCGTGGTCTCGACCCTTCAGCGCATCCTGGAGCCCGGTATCAAGACCACCGTGGCCTTCTGGGCTCTCGCGCTCTCGTCGCAGGCGTGCATCCTGGCCACCTCTGTCTGGTGGTTCAAGCAATGCGATCCCGTCGAGCATGGCTGGGACCGAAGCGTGCCGGGGAGTTGCGCGTCGGTTGATATTTTGGCCAACCTGGGATACTTCACCTCGGCCTACTCGGCCTTTCTCGACTTGTTTTTCGCCGTATACCCGATTCCGTTCATTATGCGGCTCAACATGCCGCTGAAGACGCGGATCACGGTCGCCACGCTCCTGGGTCTCAGCTCGCTGGCCTGTGTTGTCTCGATCTACAAACTGGCCATTTTCGGCCAGGTTTTCCAGATCCTGGCCGTCGATCCCACCTGTGAGTCTCTCCGTCCGTCAGGGTCTGGATGCATTCCGAGCGGAGTACTAACCCAGCCATCTCCAGACCCGGTGCCGTACCTTGATATCCTTGGCGTGGCGGAAGGGTGCATTCTCATGGTCTGCGCGTCGCTCCCAACGCTGGGGCCCCTGTATCGCGCGGCCCGAGGCAGGCTCACGGACGGCAGCCAGGTCACGTCGCAGCGGACGGGAACGGGCCAGTTTGGCAACAGTCAAGGCTTGTCCCACGGCGGGAGTAGGAACTGGGATAACGTTAGGGGCCACAAACTCGACTCGGACGTCGAAGCGTCAAGCCTGAACCTGCGCCCGAGCTTCGATGCCATCCCTCTCGTCTCCACAGCCAAGACGCACGGGGTCGCGGATCCGGAAAGCATGGGTATCCACAAGACCATGGAGGTGTCGGTCTCCTCCGAGACCTTGAAGGAGGACAGTCGCGGCCGACGTTCGCGCAGTAGCGTGTACGTTGTGTAGAATCCTACCAGTTTCATAATAATGCGTTACTAGTCTCTTCGGAAAATCGTTATCTGAAGAAGGAGTTATTCCCGTCAAAATCCGTACAGTTTTATGAAACTGCCGAGTCGCCCTCGTGTGACGGCCGATAAGGGCGGTCGTCGCACGCTCGGGTGAGGTGGAGCAGCTCATGCAGCAGAAAATCAAATTCCAGGCAGCCCCAGAGAGTCGCTTTCGCTTCGGGGGGTGACCTCTGCAGCTCACGTAACCGAGGCCCGGGTCCATGGACTCGGATTCACTCCAAAGGCAAAAAACACGTGGTCGCTCTCAGCATTGCGGGATCTATGTACACTATGTATGAGCCGCAGTTTGGGGAAAGAGGCAACTTGATTGATTAATGAACCTTGTGATGAGTGAGCCTCCTCGATTTCAGAGAAATGCGAGTCGTCCCCGCTTTGTCCTGAGATTTCCCCATGGTTCTTTCCAGAAGAGGGTCAAAACTAGTCCAGAAGAGGCACAAAATGCGTTGGGCATCACTCCACTGCTTCCACTCATCAGCGGGGTTTCTCTCACTTCCCACAGGGTCTCGGGTGAACCCCGCCGAGGCCACTTGACCGGAGAGCTTAGCCAGCAACCGTGATGGTCAAAGATATGATGACGGGCGAAGCCACATGGCAAACACGTTCGCTGTTGCTCCATGGGTTGATGTGCAGCGTCATTGCCACATTTACGCTACTACCAAGTACCTCGCATATGTTCTGACTTGTTTAGTACCTTAGTACGCCACATTCAACCAGGATTTTTGACCAATAATCGGCGCAGGCAAAAAGCACGAGCTGCACAGCTTGGGACCTTTGAATACGTCGTTGAAGATGGCAACTGCAGACGACCTCATCGCCAGCCTGCAGGGTATCGACGCCAAGTCGTTCGCCAGCGAGGCCGAGCGCGTTCGAGCCAGAGACGCCGTGTTCGACGCTCTCAGGAGGATACAGTCGCCATGGGACATTGCGTGGGACCACAACTGGGTCAGCGGTGCCATCAATGCGGCCGTCAAGACGCTCATCGACGCCGGCGTCTTCACCAAGTGGGCAGAAGCCGGCGGCGAGCCCATCAGCTGCGCCAAGCTTGCCGAGCTCACGGGTGCCGATGTGGTGCTCATTAGTACGTTTTCCCCCCTTCCCGGCCCCAGGTTCTGCCACAAGCAGTACTAGTATGTAGTGCTAAACCCAAACCCCGTTTGCCTCGCCCTGCAGGACGGATGGTGCGCGCCCTCGCGGGCCAGCTCCTCATCACCGAGGTCGGCCAGGACACATATGCGCGGACAGCCTGGGCCAGGGCGCTTGCCGAGGACCCGTCGTTCGCGGGCATGTACGGCGGCTTCTACCACGAGCTCAACAACCCCATGTTCCGCACGCTGCCGTACTACCTCAAGGAGACGGGCTTCCGGAACCCGACCAACGTCAACGACTGCAACTTCCAGTTCTGGCGCGGCGAGGGGGCCAACATGTTCCAGTACGTCGGCACCAACCCGCTGCTGACGTCCGACTTCAACGACGCCATGGAGTGCCACTCCAAGTACAACCTGACTCCCTGGGTCGACATCTACCCTACCAACACCGTCATTGCGGCAGCCAAGGAGCACGGCCACCTCGGCTCCGACCGGCCGCTCGTGGTCGACGTCGGCGGCGGCAAGGGCCACGACCTGAGGAAGTTCCTCGCGCGGCACCCGGACGTGCCAGCGGGGAGCCTGGTGCTGGAGGACCTGCCGGAGATCCTCAAGGGCGCGGAAGCCGAGCTCTCAGCAGCAGCAGCAAGCAGCGAAGGCGGCAGCGCCATCGCGGTGCAGCCGCACGACTTCTTCGAGGCGCAGCCCGCGGGGCGCACCGGGGCGCGCGTCTACTTCATGCACAACGTGCTACACGACTGGCCCGACGAGACGGCGCTGAAGATCCTGCGCACGCTGGCCGCCGCCATGGAGCCCGGCTACTCGCGGCTGCTGATCCACGAGAGCCTTGTGAGTAGCGAGCGCCCGCTGTCGCGCGTCACCGTGTCCGACCTCACCATGATGGCGTGTCTGGCGGCGGCCGAGCGGTCCGAGGACCAGTGGCGCGAGCTGATTGCCAGCGCCGGGCTGCGGCTGGTCAAGATCTGGCGCCCTGTGCAGTCGGTCGAGAGCATCATCGAGGCTGAGGTGGTGTAGCAGCGGGCCTTGGCGTAAAATATAGGAGAGATAGTGTCTATCACATTCACGTTTTGGATGAAAGCTGGGCAGCGCATATAGTAGAAGACTTGGTCCTTCTACACTATATATCCTGTGATCCCCCTCCCATATACCCTACAGCGTGATGTCTACCTACCTACCTAGTTTCCTTCCCCTTGCCTCCAACACTACGTTCACTGTGCCATGACTGTCAGACCGGAACACGTTGTTACTTCGCCTCGTCACTTACACCTGCCGCGACGTAGGCTCTACCGATCGGCATTGATTCGGGAACGTTAACTCAAGGTTACTCATGCTGCTTGCAGTTAGAGGAGGATCAATCCCATTGAAAGCGACGGATTTTTGGAAGTTGACGGCGCATCTACGCAGCACCGCCTGTTACTGTGCACTACTTGAAGAACAACCAGAGATGAATCCATATCCTGCGCTATACTAGTACTAATAACTACCTAATCTCAGACACCCCATAGTAATTACCTTATCTTTAAACTCAAAAACCCTATTTCGCCGCGGCGCCCTTCGAGTTGGCCGGCAGATCCGGCAACTTCCCCACGACCTTATCGGCCAGCGCAATCAGCGAGCTGGCATTGGTGATATCCAGCGTGGTCAGCTCGACGCCGAGTTTGGTGCGGATCCAGTTGCGCAGCTCGACGGCCGACAGCGAGTCGAGCCCGTAGGCCATGAGCGGCCGCCCGGGCTCGACCTCGGACTCGAGCCGCAGGATCTTGACAAATTGCGCCGCCAGCGCGTCGACGCACGCCCGCGCCAGCGCGGGCCCCTCGGCCCCGGACTTGTGCATGGCCTTGAGCGCGCGCACGGCCTGGTCGGCCGCGTCGTTGCTGCTGTTGCTGTTGCTGCCGCCGTCGAGAGCAGCCTCGTCCTCGCTGCTGCCGCCGTGCCCGTGGCTCGCAAACAGGTAGGCGAAGCGGGGCTCGCGCGCGAGGTCGGCGCTCGCGGCGTCGCCGGCCACGCGGAGCGGAACGGCCACGCCCGTGATCATCTGGGCGGCGCTGGGCGGGCTGATGGGGCCGTGGTCGGGCGACTGCTGCAGGACCGAGTGGGTCAGGATGCGGCGCAGCATGGTCTCGCCGATCGGCGTCCACTGGCGCTTGTCGAAGCGGACCTCGAGGCCGTCGTCCTGCTCGGCCACGTAGCCCACGTCCTCGATGACGCCGAGGTCGACCGTGTGGGCGCGCAGGCCCAGCGCGCGGCGGTAGCTCGCGAAGGCGTCGAGGAAGGTGTTGGCAGCCGCGTAGTTCGCCTGGCCCTTGTTGCCGATGATGCCGGACGTGCTCGAGAGCATGGTGAAGAAGTCGAGCGCGTGCCGGGGCCCGGCCTCCTGCGACGCCACGTGCAGGTTCCACGTGCCCTGCACCTTGGCGTGGATGGCGGTGCGGTAGTCGTCGAGCGTCATGGTCTCGAGCGGCCGGTCGCGCAGGACCATGGCGCCCTGGACGATGCCGCCGATGCGCGGACGGGCCGTCTGGAACATGCGGCGCACCGAGCCGAGGTCGCCGACGTCGCCCTTGGCTTCCGACACGGCGCAGCCGTAGAAGGCACAGTTGCGGATGATGCGCGCCGACGCCTCGTCGGCGATGCCGCTCCGGCTGTTGACAATGATGTGCTTGGCGCCGTGGCGGGCCATGTGCGTGGCCAGCGTGCCGCAGGCGCCCTTGAGGCCGCCGACGATGAGATACGAGACATCCGGCCGGAGCTGCAGCTTGCGGACGGCCGGGCGGGCCAGCACCTGGACGTCTGCGTCCTCCTTTTCGTCTCCCTTCTTCGAGTTTGAGATGACGATCTTGCCCAGGTGGCGCCCGCTGCGGATGTACTGCAGCGCCGCGGGCACGTCGTCAAAGCCAAACGTGGTGATGGGCCGGATCGGGCGGATGTGGCCGCCGTCGATCAGCACAAAGAGCTCGGCAAACAGGCTGGCGATGCGCTGGTCGTGGATGTCCTTGGTGAAGGACATGTCGACGGCGCGGAACGAGCAGTTGCGGTCGAAGGGCTCCATGGCCAGCGTGTTGCGGTCGACAATGTCGCGCTTGCCGATCTCGACCATGGTGCCGCCGTCGGCAATGATGCGCCACGACGCATCCAGGAGCTCGCCGATCAGCGAGTTCACCACGCAGTCGACGCCGCGGCCCTTGGTGAGCCGCATGATCTCGTCCGCGAACTTGGCGCTTCGGGACGAGAACATGTGGTCGCGGGGGATGCCATAGTTGGCCTCGAGGAACTGCCGCTTCTCCTCAGTGCCGACCGTGACGTAGATCTGGCCGGCGGAATTAGTCAGTGAGCAATTCAACCAACTACCTTACTAGTAGTAGTAGTGTGGGGGACAGACTTCAGCCTTCTTATACTGCGCAAGCTCAATGCAGGCAATTCCAACGCCCCCGGTGGCCGAGTGAATCAGCACCGACTAAATATGCATTGGTTCAGTCAGCCCAGTCCCAGCAATCTGGACCAAGAATTTCAAGAGAATACGAGGGCGAGCGGGCAACACATACCTGGCCCTCTTTTAGGTTCGCCATGTGGTAGAGGGAGTACAGCGAGCACAGGTAGACGGACGGGATCGTGGCCGCCTCCTCAAAGGTCATCGTGTCCGGGATCGCATGGCAACGCTCGACAGCAACCCTCACGCGGTTGGCATAGCTGCCGGGCTTCAGAATGCACACTCGGTCTCCCGGTCGGAAGCGGGTGACGCCGGCGCCGAGCTTCTTGACGACACCGGCGCACTCGAAGCCAATCATGTACTCGTCTTCGGGGACGATGCCCATCGTGGTGGCGACGTCTTTGAAGTTGACGCCCACGGCCATGACTTCGACCTCGATGTGGCCGTCCTCGAGCGGGTCCTCGTCGTACACGCCCGTCTCGCACCACATCAGGCTCTGCAGCGTGCCGAGTCGCTCGGCATGGAGCTGTAGCTGGGCGCGCGTGCCGTGGAAGTCGGTCGGCACGGGCTCGAGGCCCTCGGTCTCGGCGCGCTTGAAGGCGTTGATGGCCCGGTCGGGCACCAAGCGCTGCACATAGAGCAAGCCGTCGCGCTCCATGTATTCGGTCTCTTCCTGAGCGGCTGGCGTAGCCTCCTCGTCCTCCTCGTCCGCCTCCGCCTCGCTGATGTTATTGGAGCCACGCCCGGCGGCGACAGCGTCCAGGACCTTGCGGATGGCGCGGCCCGTGTCGGCCGAGCCGACGCCGTTCTGCACATCGAGCGTCACCAGGCGAGCGCGCTCGTCCTCGCGCCGCGCCACGCGGAACAGACCGTGCACCATGGCCCTCTCGGGCTCTGTGACTGTGATGCGCTGTCCGGCGCCGGCCTGGCCCTGCGCGCCCTGCGTCACCCACACAACAGGCTTGCCGCAGCCGACGAGCTCCTTGACGGCTTCCCACTGCTGCGGCGTGCTGATCTTGGAGAGGACAGGGCCGACGAGCTCGTCGAGCACCAGCACCACGTCTGCCTCTTGCTTGGAGGCTGGCGGGAGGGGGAAGCCCTGCTGCTTCACGTTCCAGCCTGCCTGTTGCAGCTCACTTCGGATGGATGATCCCAAGGGAGAGGGCCCATCTTCGGACAAGCGGGCGACAAGCAGGTTGTTGCCACGGTTTGCGATGTCGAGCCCGGCTTGCTTGTTGGTGTGTTGTTGTTGCCAGAAGTACGCTTGCCTTCCGGTGTCACCGTGAGTCGTGGAAGACACCTCCAGTATCGAGCTGGCCAGGACACCAGCCGCCTTGCCCACGAGCCGGTGCACCACGTCCCGGGTCCAGAACGCTTTGGTCCAGTCGAGGGACTTGACGACGTCTTCTGCCTCGTCGGCAGCCAGCACGGAGCTGCTCGAGCTGGCCGTCGGTCCCGAGTCTCCCGATTCCGAGGCCGAGGACGAGGGCGAAACCACAGGGCTGCTGGACTGGTCTCCGGGCTCGCTGTGGGGGCTGCTAGCGTTGCTGACGGCCCCCCTGGCGTCTCCGTGGCGGACCAGTAGAGTGAAGGCGGCATCCGCGAGGAAAGGCTGGATGCTTGCGACAAAGTTCTGCAGCGGCGAGGAACCGGTCTCCTTGGAGGTTTTGATGATTACCAAGTCGTACACGGCATCGGCGGGAATGCCCAGCGCCTCCCCCGCGTCGGTTGGGTTGACGACGAGGAACGAGGTCCGGGCCCGGTCCTGCAGCCGTTCCTGCACCGTGACCATGGCGCGCGCGTCGGTCGAGGCAAAGTCGTAACGCGAATAGGCCGACCTGCTGCTGCCAGCCTCGGCCGCCGCAGCTGCTTCCGGGAACCAGAGGCTCGAGCGATCCGCCGCATCCAGGTTGACCTCGAGCACGCGGAGAGAAGGCGTCTTGTGCGCGACGAGGTCGATCAGGCCGTCCACCCGGTCCTGCCCGGCTGCGTTCTGCAACAGCAGCTGGTCCTGCGACAAGAGGGTCACGTCGGGCTTCCACTCGACGCGCAGGAACGTGTGCGGGTCTGGGCGCGGCGGCACGTCCAGCTTGAGGTAGTTGAGGCCCCTCACACGCATCACCAGTCGCCCCGTCTCCGAGTCGTAGACGGTCGTGTCGGCGATCCAGCTCTTGTCCTGGTCGCGGCGGCCACGGCCGGAGTAGGTCGAGTGGGCGACCGAGCGGCCCGTCGTCAGGCGCGCAGGCACCTTGTTGATGACAAAGTCGTCGATCACGCCCGGAATCATGACGTCCTTGACGTTGCCGCGCTCGCCCTCGGCGTTGCCCGGGATCGGGGTCTGCAGACAGCCGTCGAGGGCGGCCGGGTGGATGGGATAGTACGACTGCGGCGTCCAGCGCGAGGGCGGCGGCTCCAGCGACAGCAGCGTGCGGCAGGACCGCTGCCCGCTGACGGCTTCGATCTGCAGCAGCCGCTGGAAGGCGGGCCCAAAGTCCATGCCGATCTCGCGCTCGGCCTTGTACCACAGCTTGGGTCCCTGCGGGTTCTGCAGCGGCGGCGCCGCCTCGGGATCCGCGCTGGCCACCTCGTCCTCGATGGCGTCCTGGATCCGGGCGAGGCCCCAGCAGTGCTCGCGCACGAGGTCCTCCTCGCCCGGCAGCGTGCTCGAGATGCGGAACTCGTGCCAGTGCTTGTCGCCGGGCACCCGCGTGAGCGACAGCGTCAGCATGACGTCCTTGTTCTCCTCGATGACCAGCGCCCGGCTGAACTTGACGTTGCGGAAGCGGTAGCAGAGGTCGTTGGGCGCGACGCCCTCGAGATTCTCGACGGCGCAGTGCTTCTGCCACATGGCCTCGAGCGCGAGCGTCACAAAGCCGGCGCCGGGCATGATGGCGTCGCCGCCCATCTTGTGGTCCAGCAGCCACGGCACGTTGGCCGCGCTGAGCCGGTTGCGCCACGTCGGAGCCTGCCACGGCGTGCCGAGGATCTTGCTGCCCAGCAGGTCGTGCGCCACATATTTGCGGAAGCGCCAGTCGCGGCTCGACACGTTCTCGTGCCAGTACTTGACCGTGTGGTTCCACGTGTAGTTGGGCAGGTCCACGACCGTCCGCACGCCCTCGTCGTACCCGTTGACCACGCTGAGGTCGATGTCGGCGCCGCTGATAAACAGCCGCCCCGCCGTGTCGAACAGGGACTTGGCCGGGTCGTTGCCGCGGGACCACGCCGCGCCGTAGACGACTGCCGGGGCGCCAGAGGAAGAGGCGCCGGGGAGTGCCTTGATGACCTGCGACACAGGTCCCGCCAGCGCCCCCGACGGGCCGATCTCGATCAGCACGGTTGGCGGGTTGCGGTCCGTCAGCATGGCCGTGAGAGCCTCCTCGAAGCGCACGGGCGACACCATGTTGGCCTTCCAGTAGGCGGCGTCGGCGGGGCCTGTCTTGAGAGCGCCCGTCACTGAGGAGTACATGGCGACGCTGCTGCTGCTGCTGTCCGTGTTCTCGCCGGGGGGCTGCAAAGGCTGGAAGGCCGGGTCCGCATGGAGCAGGTGCTCGTACTCCTGGCCGATGGGGTCCATGAGCGCCGAGTGATAGGCGAGGTCGACCTGTAGGAGACGCGCAAAGTGCCCGGCAGCCTTGACCGCGTCCTGCAGCGTCTCCAGCGCTGCCTTCTTGCCCGAGATGGTCACGCTGGACGGGCTGTTGAAGCACGCGATCCAGGCACTGCCCGCGTAGTGGCCGTCCTCGAGGAACGCCTGGGCAGCCTCGGGCCCGAGGCCGACCGCCAGCATGCCGACGTCCTTCTCGGCCTCGTGGCTGCGGTTGACGGCGGCTCGGCCGCGGTAGAAGGCAGCCTTGATGGCACCCGCGCGGTCCAGTAGTCCCGCGGCATACGCGGCCGCGATCTCGCCGGACGAATGGCCCACCACCTTTTCGGGGCGGACACCCCAGCTGTCGAGCACGTCCAGCAGGCACAGCTGCAGCGCGGTCACGAGCGGCTGCGAGAACTCGGGTTGGCGGAGGTGCTCGGCCGAGCGCGCCTCGGTGAGCTCCTGGACGATCGACCACGCCGGGGCTGCCTCGAGCGCCTGCTGCCTCTGCAGCACGGCGTCCAGCTCCTCGAGGAGACTCCGTGCGCGGGGAAACAAACGCACCAGCTCGGCCCCCATCTGTGGCCACTGCGCGCCCTGGCCGGTAAAGACGAAGCCGACCCGGGGTGGCTGCGCGCCCTTCTTGGCGGCCACGAATGCCTTCTCGTCGATCGCCCCGGCCGAGCGCGTGGTGACAAAGGCGCGGTGCCACAGCCGCGTCCGCCGCTCCGACAGGGTATAAGCCAGGTCGGCGAGCCGCACCCGCACCCGGGGGTTAAGCAGATGCTTGGTGAGTGCTGCCACATTGCCGTTGAGCGAATGCGCGTCGTTGGCCGAGAGGACAACCACCTGCGGCCGGGCGGTCGCGTCATCTTCAGCCCCGTACTCTCCTTCTTCCTCTTCGATCTCTTCGTCGGCCGCACTGTAGTACGACTTGACGTGGTGGGTGCGGTCGAGGGGAGCCTGTTCCACAATGGCGTGCGCGTTGGAGCCGCCATACCCGAACGAGTTGACGCTGGCACGCCGCGGTGCGTCTTGCGGCCAGGGGATGGCGTGGCGGAAGGCCTTGACCTTGTTGCCCACAAAGTCAACTACCATACCGGGAAGAATTTGGTCAGCGTATAACTACTATATAGTATGGGTTTCGGGTTAGGGAATGCGACACATACTCTTTGGACTGGGGTTGATAAAGGTTGGGTTTCCGGGGATCATGCCGTGCTCGATGGCCAGTACAGCTTTCAGCAGACCCGAGATGCCCGCCGCCGGCTCCGAGTGTCCGATGTTGCTCTTGATCTGGACGACGGTGTAAGTGGAAACGGAAACTGGACTGCACAAGCTCCTAAGAACTTGGACTTACCGAGCCAATAATCAGCGGCTTGTCGGCTGGGCGCGTCGGTGCGAAGACGGAGCCTGCTCCGCGCACCTCGGTGGGGTCACCGGCCTGAGTGCCCGTTCCGTGGCATTCCAGGTAGGTGGTGAGGTTGAAGTCAGAGATGCCGGCGTTGGCATAAGCCTGGCGGATGGCGAGCGCCTGTGCGTCCGAGTTGGGACTGGCGATGCCCGCAGTCCGGCCATTGCTGGTGTTCGCCGTACCCAGCACGACGGCGCGGATGGGATCGCGGTCGCGGATGGCATCGGCCAGGCGCTTTACGATGACGGCGCTGACGGCCTCGGCTTTGACATAGCCGTCGGCGGCCACGTCAAAGGTGTGGCACAGCGCCGTGGGCGAGTGAGCACTGCCGACGTTGCCGGCGTCGATCATGTGCTCGGGGCTCATGTACATGTTGCTGGTGGCCACGATGGCGGCCTCCACCTCCCCCGTTGACAGGTACCGGCACGCCATATCGAGCCCAACCAGGCTGCCGGAGCAGGCCGTGTCGATGGTGGCACTCGGCCCGCGGATGTTGAGGAAGTGGCTGAGACGGTTGGCCAGGATGGCGCGCCCTACGCCAAGCGCGTTGTTGGCTGGCCGGTCTTCCGGGTCACGGTTCTGCATGTCGCCATAGTCGGACGCGTACGAGCCGACGAAGCAGGCGACCGGCTTGCGCTCGAGCCGCTCGAGGGGAATCCCCGCGTTTTCCAGGCTCTCATACACGACCTCAAGCATCTGACGCTGGTTCGGGTCCATGGCGACGGCCTCGGTGGTTGACACCTCGAAGAAGGACGCATCGAAGTCGGCCGGATCGACGTCCCCGAGAAACATGCCGCCGGCCTGCCGCATGGTCCGTGGCTTGTGGCTGCCGTCATAGTGGCCCTCGAAACGGAAGCGCGTCGCGGGCACCGTGTTGTCGGCCACCGACCCGGCGAGCAAGAAGTCCCATAGCCGCTGTGGATTGTTGTTGCCGCCGGGCAGCCGGCAAGCGAAGCCGACGATGGCGACGGGCTCCTGGCGAAACTGAGGGTTGGACATGCTGTCTGCCGGTATGTCTCAAAATGTAATATGTTGAATGTTCGGAGTGCTTCGTCGTGCCAAAAGCCATGGCCGAGGGAGGAGGTCGGGATGGTTATTAGTATGTGCGAGCGATGCTGCCGACGACCTCTGCGTGTCTCACCACCATCAACCATTGTCACTTCGTTATCGGTTTCGTTGTGGTGCTGAGCCGTCCCAATGTGCTCAACACTCGAGCTGTCGATGTTTTCTTACCTTGCATATCGCGCGCCATGGCCCGAAGGGCGCCTTGTCGTCCACAGCATAATCGTCAAAGGATGACCCGGCAGAGGGATGCTTGTGCGAGGGTCTCTCGGCAGGCTGACCTTGCAGGTGTAAGCATGGCGAGATGCAACCGAGATCCCGTAAGGTGCGAATATCCAGCAATGCCGAGAATGTTACCTTGGAGGTCATCGGTGCGGCCAACGGAGGGCCCTCTCTTCAAAGGCTTACGCCGAGTCTTTTGGCCCGTCTTGTGCGCGTATTGCCCGGATCTGAGCCGTCTCGTCTCTATCAGCTCTTTAGTCGTCAGTCCGTACAGCAGCTTTCTTGTCTGAGTTTACCGAGCAAACTCGCAAAGGTTTGCGCCATGGCCGTCACTCCTTCTAAGCCGCGCCATGAGGTCGTCACGTGTAAGACCATCGACGGAATCACGCTGGAGGGATGGTTCTATCCGGTCGAGGGCCCTGCGCCCGCTATTGTGATGACCCACGGTGTAAGTCAATAACAGTCCGTGAGAGTGGCGTCAGCTTGCTGATGCATTCCCTTGGGCCCTGGGGGCAGTTCAACTGCGTCAAAGAGATGAGTCTCTCGGACACAGCCGAGGGCTTCCAGAGAAGAGGCTACAATGTGTACCTCTACGACTCCCGCAGCGTCGGAGCCAGCGGCGGACACCCGCGCAACCAGATCGATCCCCTGCAGATGGCCGAAGATGTTTCAGGTGTGTTGGCATCGCCTATACTGTCCCTGACCCTCCTGCCGCCGCCTCAAGCAGCTGACACCGCACCGGATACAGATGTTGTAAGCCACGTGATGTCACTGCCGAGTGTTGATCCGGCCAAGGTGTTCCTCTGGGGCATGTCCCTGGGCGGCACCGTCAGCGCCGTGGCGGCCATCGTGGACCGGCGGGTGGCTGGCGTGCTGATGGTCTGCCCCATCTTCCACTTTGTGCGGCCGGACCGGAGGACACGCGCCTTTGCGCAGCTCATGCGCGACCGCGTCTCGCAGCTTCGCGGCAACGAGCCATACACGCTGCAGCCGTTCAACAGCAAGGGAGAGAACCCGATCGGTATGGCCGGTGCCGGTGGCCCCGGCGGACGCGAGGCCTACGTGCTGATGCGCACCGCGGTCGAGCGAGGCCATCCGAGCTTTCGCGACCGCATCACCCTGCAGACCTACCACAAACTTGCCCTCTTCCAGCCCCTCCCGCTCATGGATTTGCTGGAAGAGGTGCCTGTCATGATGATGGTGCCTGAGCTTGACGACATGTCGCCGGCCGCCGATCAGCGGACGGCCTTTGAGCGTCTGCGGGTGCCCAAGAAGATGTACTTTGCCGAGGGCAGGGGCCACATGACCATTCTCACGGGGGAGGGAACCGAGGACATCTTCGAGGCCATGGTCGGCTTCTTTGACGACGTATCCTCGTCGCGCTTTGTGTCCGACTCCTGAGTCCTGACTACTGAGCGCAACATTCATCTGAGGGGATGTTGACTGCTTGGCTGCGGGCTGCGGGCCGCCGGTAGTTCTGCGAACCTCTTTTTGCGCCACGATCAAGTTCAGAAAATCTTATCTTACCAATGACCAATCATAACGTACACGCTGACCGTTCTGATGAATTACACATCATGCGTCGTCGGCAGTGGACAAACGGGCAGTGAACCTGTAAGGTATGTCGGAAGTGGGACAGGTTATCGACCAAAAACGCGTTTGGTGCAACAGCCCTCGAATCATGAGCAATACCGGGTATTACGGCCAGAACATGTACGGGTACTTATAGGGAATACACGGAGCTGCGGTATCTTTGAGAGCGCTATAACACCTTCATTGTAATGTGGATTCGCATGTGGTTTGTAATTTACAACACCCCAGGGGATAAACTTCTAAACTCAGTCGGATGTAACATGATGTGACACCATCGTATTTTATCCATACAACGATCCCGACGCAACTGTTCACTTTTGGGAAACCTCCAATCTTCAACTTCAATTGAGCGTTCCCTTGAACCTTGGCTACCACCTCGCTGCTGCTGCAAGTCAGATGTAACGATGCCAGCGGCAAACTCAACAATAGTAGCGACCCAAAACCACCTAAGCAATTGCTCTGCTCATGATAAGCCGCCGGCCATGACAATGCAGCTGGACCGGGGCCCACTAAAGGCCTCTCGTGCTCAAGGTAGCGGCAATGCTGACGGGACTGTATCTTACAACACATGAACGCCCTTTGATTATGCCTCCGAACCGCTCGGGGCATCTTGTGCCCGGCCATGAGTTATCGATTCCATGCATGCAGCTCATGCCAGGATCATGACCCATGAGAATTCTCATGACCGCTCTTGACTTGCGTTCCTCCTCTTATGGTCGCCTTTAGGCTGTCTCTAGATCGAAGACATGTCGATGGGCAAACCGGTCCATGCATCTTCTGATCAGCGATATTCAAAGTGATCCGCATCTTTGGTTATGAGATGGAGTTCGCGAAGCACCATGCAACTTCGGACAACTTCCTCCAACAGGCCGCCTGTGTAGCCGGAGCCGGTTTCCTAATCTACGCCGTTGGCGTTGCTGTCTATCGAGGTCCGTAATGTCAACTGAACTACTATACCAACGAAACCGCACAGCACTGAACTGACTCACCTTCTTGTGTCAGTCCTTCTCCACCCGTTGGCAGACATTCCGGGCCCAAAGCTTGCAGGTGAGAGAGCCATGCATCTCACAGCCAACATTACTTGGGGGGTGCTGACAACGCGCAGCCATAACGACGTGGTATGAGAAGTTCTACGATGTGTTCCTCGGGGCTCAGTATTTCCGCCGCATCGAGGAGATGCACAGGCAGTACGGTCCGATTGTCCGCATCCGGCCCGACGAAGTGTCGTTCAACGACCCGGATTTCATTGACGTCCTGAGCCCGGTGGGGGGCAGGAGAACCACGAAGCCGCCTCTTGTGGGCTTAAGGACAGGGAGTAAGAGATATGTCAACCATCTCCAGGCGGCGCTGACCATTGGCCGCCAGTCCCCGACTCAATCACGGGAACCATCGACCACGACGTGCACCGCAGGCGGCGGAATGCCATCAGTGGCTTCTTTTCCGTCGCGAGTATTCGGCGGCTCGAACCCATCATCGCCGAGCATATGGAAAGGATGTTTGAGCGGATCGATTCGAGCATCGCCGCAAGCAACACCAAGTCCGCAGTCTTGAGTATGCACCAGGTCTTCCGCGCATGCACGAGCGACATCATCACGACGTATGCGTTCGGCGAGAATCAAGACATCCTCAGCGAAGACGACTGGGGCGCGGCCGTCACCGCCGGCAGTAACACCTGGCATAACCTGACTCACGTCTTTGCAGCGTTTCCTGTAGTACTGCTGGTGATGCGCAACCTGCCACAGTGGGCGCTGCGGCTCTTCATTCCGTCCCGCGAGCTGAACGACCTGATGGAGAGAAAGGAGGTCTGATTTCCCTCTTTCTTTCCCCAACTAACGAAATCTGAAAGGTGCTAATATCTGCTCTCGTAACTCTCCAGTGGTGGGTCAACAAGGTGCGCGCTATCCGGCAGTCCCCTGATCCGGCACGCTTGAAGAGCACTATCTTCGAGGGCGTCCTGAACAGCAATCTGCCAGACGAGGAGAAGACGGACGCCCGCCTGGCCCAGGAAGCGCAGCTGATCGTCTTCGCTGGCGAGGGCACCGTTGGTAAGTTACTATCACCCCGTCTCTCTTGTTCCAATAGGAAGCAAAGAAAGAGAAAAGAGAAAAGGGAAAAAGGAGTTCGGCTTAAACGACGGGGAAAGCGGTAGAGGGGGAGAAGGAAAGTAAGATACGGAAGAAAGGCTAGCTGACCACAAGCCACCTCGCCACTAGCCTACACTCTCAACGCTGCCCTCTATGAGCTCCTCGCACATCCGGCCGAGTACCGGCGCGCACAGGAGGAGCTACGCGCCGCCCTTCCGGCCGGAGAAGTAGCCCCATCCTTCGCGCAGGTCGAAACCCTACCTTTCCTCAACGCCGTCATTCATGAGACGATGCGCCTTCACCCGGGCGTGGTGTCACGCCAGGTACGCATCGCGCCCGATCAACCCATCGTGTATTCTCCGGGCGGCCTTAGCCGCGGCGAGAAGCGCGGCGGCATTGGCTCGGGCTTGGGCTTGGGGGCGGCCGCCACGGAGAAAACGTACATCGTGCCGCCTGGCATGTGCCACAGCATGTCGACACGTGCGATGCACCTGAACGGCGACGTGTTCGACGAGCCCCTTGCGTTCCGACCACAGCGCTGGCTAGACGATCCGTCGATCGGGCGTGCATTTATTGCCTTTGCCAGGGGCACACGGAATTGCATCGGGTATGTGATTTATCCCTCTTAATCCTCCTTCTTTAGGGTGAGAAGCTGACAAGCACCTCTCGCAACAACCAGCAAGGACATGGCAAAGAAGCTGATGGGTAAGGTCCTAGCAACCTTGCTCCTCCGCTACGACATCTATAGCGGGCAGGACGGCCCCACGCTCGAGTTGTACGACACAACACGCGAGCGCGACATCGATGCCAACTACGACATGATTATCCCAATGCCCGCCAAGGGGAGCCACGGCTTGAGGGTTCGCGTGCGGCGGTGAAAACCCGGGCGTCTCCTGAGTGATCAAGCACCCTTTCAAGTGGAAACAGGATCAGAGATGCTGCGCGAAGGTATTATTGGGATGTGGCAAATGTGAGGGTGCGCTCGGCGGCTTAGCAATGTCTTGAGTCAACAAAAACCAGTTGAGATAGATACTACATAAGGTACCTTTAGGTAGTATGATCATGTTGTGCGCCTCAAGACCGGAAACGTTTACCCATTCTCCCATTGGTTCCTCTGGTGTAGTCCGAAGAGTGTAATAGATCGGAGCACCAACAAGAACACAGGAAGATATTCTTCATTCCATTAATACCTTAGTTAGGCCTTTTCGCCTCTCGAATGAGATAGGGAGTGTTTAAACACCGAATAACCCCGTGGTGCACCGGCAGATGATCCAATCATTGATTGAATCCCCTGCGCGGCCAGCCTCCAGGTACTAGTAGCTTAGCCCTAATAGGTGTAGGTAACCTCATCGATCGACTTTTTTTCCTCACCAACCGCTCTAACGTCGTGCGACGATATTGGAAGGCTGATTCCCGGTCACGAGGTTAAACTATAGGAATAAGGTGCTTATCATTATCGCAGGGAGATATTGGATGAGAGGCCGAATCAGTTACTAGTGTGTTTCAGACTCTTTATTTCACCTCTCCTCTTTTCTCTATTATATTTCTCTCTTTCTTTCACCCTTTCTTGTTCCTCTCCTTCCTTCTCCCCTGCCTTCTCTCCTTCTTCGCCCCACTCCCGCCCCTTCTCTTCTTTCCCCTTCTCTTCTTTCCCCTTCTCTTCTTTCCCCTTCTCTTCTACTTTTCTTTGTTTTCTTCTCTTTTCTTCTTCTTTTGCATTCTTCTCTGTTATTTTTCTGCTTTGCTTGAATTCTAAAAATCTTGACGAGAGCTATGTAAATTGAGTTTGGTGTACGTACCCTTTTGACCATAGGGAGGCTATATGCAACTACGTGACTTGCACTAACTAGAAATGGTAGACACCTTTGGCTCCATGCTCAGCACCTTACTTCCAGGTTCCCTGTCTTGGATTAGGACTAGAGTGCAGACCGAGAGCTACGTCGACAGGCCACACCGACTCGCACGCGGTAATCCAAGCCGTCGCCGGGCGGGTCGTGCGAAGGCCAAGAGGAAGGGCGCGGGCTAAGGGGGGGTTGCGCATATGCGGACTACATCTCACGTAAGATTGGTATATTAGTTGAGCCGAATGGACGGACGATCATTTTCACTGTACGATACAGAACCTTGGACGCTTCTGCACGAGAGAATCACACCCGTGCATCAGTTATATGTGTACACTGAAGTGTGTATTAAACGGGCTGGAGTCCCGGCAAGGTTGACTCTCCCAAATCGACTTAGACTAGCTATCAAATCAATACTGTTATCGTCTCCAATGTAATATCGTGGTGCGGATCCCTACACGGTCCTGGTGACGTTTATTGATCTGGAAGACCCTGGAACTGTCTGATCCAGTACCCGGAACTCGCAGAGGGCTGTGCATCGTTCCTGGGACGGGTTGAGTCTTGACACGTCATGACTAGGTACCCCACGATCAATACATGATAAGCACAGGGAATGCGGTAGGGTAAGTAGCACGGTCCGGGATCTCAGTCCGACTGTCTCACCATGAGGGGATTGAATTGCGGGATTATGGTTACGCCGTCTTAGAAATATGCAATACAGTACGGAGTACTACTTGGGCCCCTGGGGCTATGCAAGCCCACGGCAAGGCCGCAAGTGTGCGGGCTTGGGAGGCTTAGGTGGGTTGCATTGGGGCCCATTGTGCAATGAACCTACTACTTAGGTATGTCGAGCGATGGCTGGTGATAGCGGGCGGCAGGTCTTCCTTACATTCAATGGTAGGCTTTGATATCCGTCGTTGGAAATTGTCCCGTATCTCTCTACCATGTATCGTATTGTACAAGAAGGTCAATAAGGTAGGTATTGTATTGTACAGACAGCAAGGCGAAAGTGGGGTCACCTAAAATCCAAGCTCTTGCATCGGCTGTCATCATTTTGGTTGATGCTTGCGGCAGTCAACGACGCCACACCGCTGCTTGAGCGTTACACGTGACATTCCTGGCCGTTAATCTCACTTATCGTCCGCAAATACGTCCTCAAAGGGGACTGGGGGCGCCTCTTCTGCGCCAGCGGCCCCAGCACCTGCCCACGTCTTCATCTTGAGTCCTCGACCAACGCCGAAGTCATGCGTGCCGTAACCATCCTCCAACCCGTCAGGCTGCCATGATGTTCGTGGTTCCCACTAGCCCTTTGGAGCGAAGGCGCACCCAAAACCGCATTGCCCAACGCCGTTTTCGAGAGAAGCAAAACCGCAACCGCCGAAAGGCGACTGCGGGGCACCAATGCCACCAACCCGAAAGGAAGGCCGGGCCCGAACCGTCCAATCTCGCCGCCCACAACAACACAAACCGGGCACGTCCGACGGGGCCGGATTCACCTGAAGATCAGTGGTGGTCAGTCGATTGCACAGGACCGGATACGAGCGAAAACAGAGAGTCGTTCGCGCCGACCGGACATTATGCCAGCAGCACAGCTTCCCCCGGTTCCGAACCATTACCGGTCCCAAGCTATCTCGTCAGCAACGGCGCCCTCTTAACCTCTCAGGGCCTTCTCATGGGAGACATTGACTTCCTCAGCTTCGATGGCACCTTGGCGCTCCCGGACGAACCGAACAACAGACCGTCCAGCGCGAACCCCGCCGCCCCGCTGCTTACCCCTCCGTCTCCCCGGAGCGTCTCGTCCGTGGAGGCCGGCCACGAGCGGCCCCAAGGAGGCGAAGACCGGATGACAGGCGCGGCCGGACCTTCCAGCCGAACAAACGCCATTCCGTCAGACAGACGCCGCGTCCCTCGGAGATCGTCCGCCAGCTCACAACGCACAATAACGGCTCCGGTCGAGCTGCCGGGGGAAGCCGAAGGCGGTGTTGTCGGCGATAGCGATGATGACCGGGTAGAGACTCCGTGGCTTGGTCCGCTGCACATGGCAACGCTCAAAGGTCACGACAGGATCGTGCGCATTCTGCTGGGCCACACGGCCGACGCAAACGAGCGCGATGGCCACGGGCGTACGCCCTTGATGCATGCCGTTGCCGGAGGGTTCGAGGACGTGCTACAGACGCTGCTGGGACACGGGGGCCGCGTCGCCGATACCGATCGCGCGGGCCGGTCGGCTCTGCACTGGGCTGTCGCGCACCGCCGCGAGTCGCTGCTCCTTCAACTCCTGAAACACTGCCGCGCACAGGGCTTGGCGCTGTTGGACCGGCCGGACGGTTCTGGTAAGACCCCCCTGCATCTAGCCATCGACATGGGGTTCGAGGCGGGCGTGCTGCTGCTGCTGGAATACGGTGCCGACGCGTCCTCCCGGGCGCCGTGTCACGGGTGAGGACGGGCTATGACGTTGGGGCCGGAACGTAAGACGGTCGGACGCGCAGAGAGCCATCATCACACGTGAGATATACATGATCCGCAATACTACACATGGAGAAATCTAGATTGATATGTCAATTGTGTCATGTCATGAGGCACTCCCGCATTCGCAGATGACCATCAATCTAAAAAAAAAAATCGAGGTAACTACCTACTCCCAAACCAACCCAACCAGCAACCAGCCCAACAAGCCTACTAGACAGGAAGAGAACCTGCATTGCGCCGGGTCGCTGTCTCAGAACATCCGACCGCCTTCAACAAAATCACATGTGCAACCAGTAAGTACTTCTACCCTGTCGGCTACTGCCGGGTAATGGAAAAGAATACCCTACTAGTACTACCCTTGCTTGACTAGACTACTAGTAGAATGCAGTCATGTATACGTACCATTATTTGCTGAAGCCTCTTTGAAAGTCGAGGCTACACAAACTATTACTAATACTCTCTCCCTCTTGGAGACTCTCGGCGGTCGTGTCTCGCTTACATCAGATCCGTCAGACCGACGTGCCGGGCCAGAACCATTCCCGTGTCCGTCATCTTCACACATCACTTTCGCCCTGCATACTGCATACTGCATCTGGCCCCTACTGCTACGCCACTGCACACCACCAATAGATACCTTATCAGGTACACGGGGATCCGAGTGGGTAGGTACCTATGTACGGACTTCGTTGTGCGTCGGCGTCTTACCGCCCCCAAACAACGGCACAAAGAGGGCCCGCCCCTCTCTTACTCTGCATACAACTCCAAGTCGCGATCGAAGCGTGCCGTCCGGATGCGGAGAGAATAATCATCCCACCTCCGAAGACGGGACAAATCGCGGGATATTTGCCCCCACGCACGCGATATGCAGCGTATGCATGGAAGCCTTCCAGAAGGGAAGATGCATCCCGCGCCAGGCAGGGGGTCCTTGTCTTCCGACTGACCCAAGCCCCATGCCTGTCTATTTCGGTTGCGCAGCTGAAGCCTTATCCAGGAGCCTGGGACGAGGCGAGCGATGGACGCAACGCTGCGGCTGTGATGCGCTAATGGAGTCCCTATCACACCGAGTGACGGTCAGCAACAAGCATCGGACGAGCCTACAAGCTAGATGGCGCCACGGTGGGCACGGCGAGGACACCGTCGGAGCTCCAGGGCGTTCCGTCCACCATCACGCGTACGCGTTCAGCCCCCCACGTGCAGGGTTGAAAGCAGAGGTAGTAAGATTGGACTATCGGTTGAGGCGGCGGGCTAGAGGAGGCACAGGAGCATAACGCCATGGCGTTTTCCGGAAGGATCCTGAATTCAGGGGGGGCACGAGATAGCAAGAGGCAGTGAGGCTTTGCGTCTATGGCGCGGAACCTACGCGGCTACGCCGCCTCAGCAGGCACACCGGGCATGGCGGAAGGAGATTATCAAGCGTTAAGACCCAAGACTAAATGGAGCTTCGATCTCCTGATATTTGAAGCATCCAGTTGGCTTTTCGACGAAGGCCGTCCTAGGAGTTGTGTTGCTGTCGATATCGCTTTTCCCCCAACCGGATCCGTCTTTCTCCTGATCTGATCCCCACCGCCCATGTTTGCCTCAGCTTCAGCCCACAGCATTGGCTCACCTGCAGCCTTGCTGCATATTCTAGGGTGGGCGCTGCCGCTGATCAACGCGGCCGCTGTCCCACCACCCGCACCCGCACCAAGGTGCCGGTACCTGCCAGGCGATGCCCTCTGGCCCTCGGCGGCCGAGTGGCAAGCCCTGAACCGTTCCGTGGGTGGCCGGCTGATCGCGGGCCAGCCCTTGGCACAGGTCTGCTATGGGAGTAACCGCGACGAGGCGGCCTGCGAGAGGCTGCGCAGCGAGTGGACGCTGCAGCAGACATAGTAAGAGCATTTCTTTCTTTTCTTTTTTTCAATTTTCATCCCCAGCCAGGATTCAGGAATCGACTATGCAACGAGACCTCGTACGTACTGACGGTGTTGTGAACTGCCAGCTTTCCCGACCCCGTCCATGTCATGTCGCCCTACTTTCTGAACAACTCGTGCACGCCCTTTGCGGAGGACCCGAGCGTGTTCGAGTCGGCGGCGGCGTGCAAGATGGGCAACGCGCCGGCGTACGCCATCAACGTCAGCAGCGCGGCGGACGTCCAGGCCGGGTTCCGGTTCGCGCGCGACAAGAACGTGCGGCTGGTGGTCAAGAACACGGGGCACGACTACCTCGGCCGGTCCAACGGGCAGGGCGCGCTGTCGCTGTGGACGCACAACCTCAAGGACATGACCTTCCTGAACTACTCGAGCAGCCAGTACACCGGCCCGGCCGTGAAGCTGGGCGCCGGCGTGCAGGCCTTTGAGGTGTACGCGGCCGCCGCGGCTCGCGGCCTGCGCTTCGTCGGCGGCTTCTGCCCCACGGTCGGGGTCGCCGGCGGCTTTGTGGGCGGCGGCGGCCACGGGCTGCTGATGGGCGCGTACGGGCTGGCGTCGGACAACACGCTCGAGTTCGAGGTGGTGACGCCGCGCGGCGAGCACCTCGTGGTGAGCCCGACGCGGCATTCCGACCTCTTCTGGGCCCTCAACGGCGGCGGCGCGGGCACCTACGCGGTGGTCGTGTCGCAGACCACGCGGCTGCATCCCGACGGGCCCGTGGCTGGTGCGTTCGTCACGGTCAACAACCGCGCCAGCGCCAACGCCCACGCCAACGCCACCACCACCGCCAACAACGATGCGTTCTGGCAGGCCGTGACCAAGTGGCAGGGCCACCTGTTCGCGCTCGACGTCGTCCCGGGCCTGACGACCGAATGGTCGCTGACCAACACGACGCTCCAGATCCTCGTCACGCTCCTCGACGGCAGCACCTCGCAGGTAGACGCCCTCCTTGCGCCGTTCCTCGCCGCGCTGACCGACCTTCGTCTGCCCTTCACCAACACGACCAGCTCCCTGCCCAACTTCCACGCGCATCTGTCCACGTACGTGCCGGGGGGCTTCCGTTCGGCAACCACCCGACCAATGACCTCGTGGGCGGCCGCCTGATCCCGCGCAAGGTGGCCGCACGCTCCGCCGCGGCGCTCACGGCCGCGTTCCGCACCATCACCAGCCAGGCGTCGACGTCGGCGTGGACGGTCAACGGGATCGCCGGCAACGTGTCCCCATCGCGCGTGGCCCGCGGCGTGCGGGGGATCCCGCCGCCGACGGCCGTGCACCCGGCGTGGCGCGACGCGCTCTACTTTGTCAACATGGACGTCTACTGGGACCCGGCGTCGCCGCTGGCGGAGCTGCGCGCGCTGGAGCGCCAGATGGTGGCCAACCAGGACCTGCTGCGCCGCCTGACGCCCGGAGGCGGCGGCTACATGAACGAGGGCGCCTTCGACACGGCCCAGTGGCGCGACGAGTACTACGGCCCCAACTACGGCCGCCTGCTGAAGGTGAAGCGCACGCACGATCCGGACTTCGCCCTGTACGGCCTTGCGTCGGTCGGCAGCGACTACTGGGCGGCCCAGGCTGATGGCAGGCTGTGCCGTGCCTCGTGAAAGTAAAAAGGGGTTGCGCAGTTCGAGTTGTTGGATATATGTGGGGAGCGGAATGTGATATTAGAATAGAAAGTAAGGTGGAGTGTATGGCCTTCATCCCGCGAGGGATTTTGTATGACTAGTAGTAGTAGGAACCTTTTGTGTATTAGAAGTTATTGCACGTCCGTTAGAGTACAAGGGAAACGATTTTTAGAGAAAGAGGTTGGCATTAATACGACCAGGATATACTTCCCAGCTGATCCTTTCATATCCTCTCTCCCGAGAACTGAATACCATCATCTCCATGCTAACCTGAAGAGGTCTCCCTCGAGGGCGGCTGGGCTGGCCGAACATATAATCGCTTTGGTGGGTGGGAATTCTTCCAACTTAAAGGCTGCAGAGCAATAACACTCGTCAGCCAGTCCTTCGGCTCCCATCTGGTGCAACTTGAAGTCAATTAAATTCTTCTTACTCCCATCATCAGGTCTCCCTATTCCCGTCATTCTTACTGTGTATGCATATAATCTTGGCATATCGGTGCAATTTGTGGTTGCACTCTTGACGCTTGGGCTTCAAAAAAAGAGATTGTGGTGAATACTATTTCCCATGTAGACAAACCCGTGTACTCTGTCTTACTACACTACCTGGTACATCGGCAATACCCGCTCTCTTCACCACGGAACCTGCTCCCCCTTGTAGTTCCAGAGCTTACCGCTATGCGTCTCCCGCGTCGCCGCGTCGATCACCTTCACCAATCCGCCGATGCTGACGTCCACCGGAATTTCCGCCTGGGTCAACTCCGGGATGCCAAACAGCTCGCCCGCGGCCTTTGCGCCGCGGTTACCCATGTCCGTCTGGGCGCGGCTGCAAGGGAGGAAATGGCACGGAAAACAGATCGTCAGCCCCTGGATTCTCTCTCCACCTTTCGTGTACGGTAGTACCACCGTAACCAGTTCCTGGGGAAAAGGGAGAAGGGGGAAGAAACATCAGAGAGATAATACATGGATATGACTTACCCCGGGTCGACTACAAAGGCCGTGATGGTCGGCTCCTCGGTGTGGATGGCGCAGGTAAGCCAGTGCAGCACCACCTTGGTGGGGCCGTAGGCGGCGTTGGGGAAGCTGAGGAAGTTGGTCAGGTAGCCCGACTCGGAGCCCATGCTGACCCAGACCGGCTTGGCCGAGCGCTTGAGCAGCGGCAGCACGGCCTGGTACAGCCGCACGACCCCGTGCACGTTGGTCTCCATGTGCTCCTTGAGATCGGCAATCTTAAGCTGCGACACCGTCGGGATCACCCAGGCGACCGCCGCGTTGGCGATCACCGTGTCGATGTGGTCGATGCCGTGCTTCTCTTGCAGCTCGGTCACCGCCGCCGCCGCGTCGTCTTCGGCCGTGGCATCCACCTTGACAACAATGACTTTGCTGCCTTCCGCCGCCGGCAGGCTAAGCAGCTCCTGTGACGTCTTGGCCGCTGGGTCCCGGTTCGCCGCAATGACGGTGTGGTTAGGGCGCGAGAGGAATGTCTCGAGGAAGGCGCGCCCTAGACCGCGGTTCGCGCCGCTGATAAGGACGATTGTCTGAGCCATGGTGCGAGATTGCGTCGTGAATTATCTTGCTTGGCTTTGGGTTGTGGACAAAAGATCCAAGGAACTAGTAGGCTTAAGCAGTGATGATGGTATGAGTTTGGTATGGTTCTTGCTTAGATTGAAAAGTACGCATCAATGAAGACGGCACACACTTTATCCAGCCTGAGGTGCATACAGCATAGCACGCGTTGGCCATAGTCAACCGCAGTCCGGTTGCCGGCCCAGCCCGGTTCTTGCTCAGCTGCCTGAATTGAAAGAAAGGTCTCTCCGAGTCTTCGTGACTCCGTCCCCTCGCCTTGAGACCCCGGGTATGGTTTGGCCGACCCCAATCTCTCCGGCCCGGTGTTTGCCTGGGTTGTTCCGCATTGCTATCCGATCTGGATCTAAGTCGGATCGACATTAGTGCGCGGGTCAGCATGCAATGTCAGCAACTCAGCATGCAGGGTCAGCATTGCATGCATGCGCAAACAAGCGGCACGGAACGTTCGCCCGGGACGGGCCCGGGATGCCCTCGTGCCAAGTCGTGTCGCAAACTCTCCGACTGGCCCAGATCCGATGGGAGCACAAAGGCCGATGAGGACGGTAGTGTAAGACGGCAAGGTACCTAGGTACATACGGACATGCAGATGCCAAAATTCTTCGATAAACTGGCTGCGCCCGCCCCCTCCAGAGTTCCCTTCACTTTTGATTCTTTCCCTTCTTCCACCAACTAGGTCCTTCCACGCAGCAAAAGTTTTGACCCTTTCCCGTTTGCTACCTGCCAGACAGCCGAGATGGAGAAATTGAGAACTTGGCCTGGCTTGCCCGATTCAACATGGCGCAGCCTGTTTCTGTTTTTGTCTCCGTTTCTCCAGCAAGGGGCGCATCGAGCTACTGGGCAGATAAAAGTTTATGGCGAGCTACCTGTGCACTCATTCCGTCTTGCAAAGTCTTGGGGCTAGTGCGATTCATCTCATGCTGTTGATGGCGTGGACTCGAAAATCCGATAGAAGAACAATCTGAGATCAGTCTCTTGCTTCAATTGCATCCATCCGACGCACTCGTGTATCGATACAAGGCTTCACTTTTGAGCGCACGTCTTTTCCCAGGCCACACCCTCCAAAATGACAAGCTCGCAGGCCGACACACCACTCCGAAGATTGAGCCGAGAGGACTATGCCAGCCCGCAGAAGCCACCCGATGCGATTGTTCCCTGTGAACCGGAGTTGTCGAAGGAAAGTGATGCCTCTCTCACAGACAAGGTCGAAGTCGAAGGAGACGGGGGTGGCACTGGCAGCGATACAGAAGTCAGCGCACCGGCTGAGAATGACACGGTTTCGTATCCCAGCGGCGCTACCCTTGCGGTCGTCGTCGTCGCCTTAGCGCTGAGCGTGTTTCTATCCGCGCTCGACATTGTGAGAACTCCACGCTGAACCCTCCTTCCCCTCGCCCCTTGTTACGATAATATATTTGCTGCGGAGTCGAGAGGGCTAACAGACTTTGGAAGGCCATCGTCGCGACGGCAATCCCCAAGATCACGGACGAGTTCCGCGGGCTCGACAAGACATCGTGGTACGGGGCAGCCTTCTTCCTGACGTCGGGGAGCTTCCAGGCGTCGTGGGGCAAGGCGTACAAGTACTTCGATTTGAAGCATACCTTCCTAGCCGCCATCGCCCTCTTCGAGCTCGGCAGCCTGCTATGCGGCGCTGCTCCCAACGCCAACACGCTGATAGCCGGCCGCGCCGTGGCCGGTATCGGTTGCGCCGGCATGTCCACGGGCGGCTACGTGATCATTGCGGTGGTCGTTGAGCCGAGGAGAAGACCTTCGTACACGGGCATCATTGGGTTCGCGTACTGCTTTGCCTCGGTGGTCGGCCCGCTCGTCGGCGGCGCCATCACGAGCACGACGACGTGGAGGTGGTGCTTTTACATCAACCTGCCCATCGGTGCAGTGAGTAATATGAAGTTCTGATGGGAGGGGAGATGCCGAGACCTGGGTCAAGCTGATTGTGCATTGTTGCCCTGCGCAGGTCACCGTCCTGATCATCCTGCTCTTCTTCCGCACTCCGCCCGCCGCGAAACCGGTCCCCGCGAGCTGGAGGGAGAAGATCCTGCAGGCCGACCCTGTCGGGGTGGGCCTCGTCATGGCGGCACTGGTCTGTTACAGCTTGGCCATGCAGTACGGCGGCCAGTCCAAGGCGTGGAACAGCAGCGAAGTCATAGGCCTGCTCGTGGGCTTCGTCCTCATCGCCACCGTCTTCGCCGCGTGGGAGCGGTACTCGGGCGAACGAGCAACGTTGCCCATGCGCCTGCTCGGGCAGCGCCACGTCTATCTCGGCAGCGCCTATGCTTCTCTGTTCGCTGGTTCTTATTACCTCGTGATTTACTATCTGCCCATCTACTTTCAGAGCGTCGGGGGTGAGTGCTGTAGCTTCTTGGTCGTCATCCCTAAGTGTCCCTTCTCAGTGAAACAAGAGAAGAGCGGCACGGCAAGGGTGCTTTCCGGTGCTCGACAATCGCGACTCGCTAATGCACATTAGGCGCAAGCCCCATCATGTCCGGCGTGGACATTCTACCTCTGATCCTGGCAGCCACCGTGGCTGTCGTCTCGTCCGGAATCTTCATCACCAAGACGGGTCATGCCATCCCCCTCCAGGTGTGTAGCGCCGTCACCGCGTGCATCGGCTCTGGCCTGCTTTACACACTCGGGGTCACCACATCTCTGGACAAACGCCTCGGGTACCAGATCATCGGAGCCATTGGCTGGGGAGCCGGGTTTCAGATACCGGCCATCACCTGCCAGGCGCTCGCCGAGCCCGAAGACATCGCCTCTGTGACCGCCGTCGTCCTATGTAAGTGCACCCTTCGCCATTGTGGCGGTTGAACGTGTGGCGCTGTGCCTCTCGGGGTTATCATTGACCTACTTTTGAAATTGACACCCAATGCAGTCTTCCTCAACATCGGCAGCGGCATCCTTCTTAGCGCAGCAGAGTCCGCCTTCGCAAACACGCTGGTCGCGTCGCTGCCCGCAATGGCTCCGGGCGTCGATCCCGCCGCAGTGCTGCATACGGGTGCCACGGAGCTACGGTCTCACTTCCCCGAAGATAAGATGAGGGGGATTCTGGAGGCGTATATGGCCGGGATCAAAGTTGCCTTCGCGCTGGCAATCACTGCGAGCGGTCTTGCGCTCGTGATCGCCGTGCTGACAGGCGTCCTCGGCCGCTGGAGGCGCCTGGACCCCGAAGCCGCCAAAGCCGCGGCAGTACCTGGTTAATGAGTCAGTGACATGGTACGCGATGTACTGGGGTAAATGTTGTGAGGGGTAGAGATACGGATAGTCATAGAGCGCAAGTGGGAAGAAAACTGAGGGAATGAGAATCATGGTTACCGTACGTATCAGGGGCTGAGTGACAGCGTATTACGTATAGAGAATGCAGGGTTACTTACCGAGGTATTGTACACTAATCCGTACCTTACCTATGAATTCGCCAATTCTGGTAAGGCGGGTTTAGCCTAGTACGGTATGATACGATGGTGTACTACATGTATTTCAGTGCTCCCGTCGGCTATGTCGGCACTGCTCGATCAGAGTCGACACTTCAAGGGCAGTGCCGATCCCAGCACCAAAACCTTTTGTCACATCCCCGCGTAGGTGCGTTTATTCTTCTCCCATGAACTTTTCCCTCTTTCCTACTTCGCGTTGTTGGCCTCTGTGGCGTATGAGAGATCGTATCCTCGACCTCAAGATGAAAGCGGACTAAATAGGAAACAAACCACCATCATGGCTCTCGCCTGGAGTCCCGACCAGATACTTTCATCGTTCGCATTTACCTGGTAGTAAGTCGTCTCAGCTTCCGTCTCCCCGCAGACTGCGACCCAAGCTGCTCTTCGTGATGATACTTCAACCTACTTCCATGGCTATGAAGTTATTACCCATGATTACAATATCCACTTACTCTGATTTCTGTCCTCTTTTACCTCCCATCCCATATCTAAACTATCTCCGCATTGTGATCGATGGCTGACGAGTGTGCCCAACTGGAGGACAAATAGTATCGAGTCGAGACTTTGGTTGAGGGAGATCGAGAGGTACCCCTCCTATAAATGTACATGCAACCCGTCGCAACGACGGAAGTCTGTGTCCTGAGTCTTCGATATATTGAAGCTGATCCGATGACCGTGCCGCTCTGATGATGACACGCGTTCTCCTGAAAGAAGGTGGACATGGGGTACAATGGTTCTGATGCCTGTGAACCACTTCGGCAGCAAAAAAGTAGCTCATCACAACATTCCTACGCACATATTGTCAATGATCTCCCTATTGCAGGGATCCAGCCCGAGCTTTGTTCCTCATTGCCTCTAACCGTATCGCGGCGGCATGTACAATACAACACGACGCTGGTTTGTTTGTTAGCTCGGAACCTTCCCCCTCTGCACTTTCCCTTTTACGGTTGCGCCTTGCCGGGCATGCGGCCAACCAAATCCCTCAGAAGTAGACCCACAACTCCCCGATCTCACACCCACTACCCTCCACAGGTTCATCATCCCCATCACAACACCAGGGCAGACCTTATAAAATAGCCCATCCTAGGAACCATTATTTTGGGAAGCCGTCGGGTATTACATCTAAAAGAAGAATGGCAATATCCTTGAGAATTCTCAAGGATTCCATTATTCATCCCACTTTAAGTACCGAGCTAACAAACGTGGGGTGGATTGTAATACCTGCTCCTGCCAACTTCAAGATGCTCAAATCCTCCCTTTCGTCTGTCCTCAGAATACGAATACTTCCTCATCCAGCAACAACACTCCACGGAACTCGATCCCACCCTCCTCCACCATCATCGTACCCAGACAGATCCCGCAAATAACGAAAAGCCCAGCCTCCATCGGCTCGTCACTCCCCTACCCTAACGAACCCCCCGCCTCCCTACGCCTGGCGCGCGGCAATCCGGGCACTGCGGCGGGGTTGGCTGCGGTTTGTGGGTTTGGGTTGCGGCTCGGCGGACCGATCCCCCCGTCCGCCCTGCGAGGGGTTGGTGGTCGTCGGCGGGCTGGCGATGGTGGCGGCGGCGGCGTCGTCCTCGACGCACAGGAACGGCGGTGCGCTGGAAGCGCGGGATTTCGAGCGAGCGGGCCTTGGTCGGTACTGGTCGCCCTTCGCCGCTTCGATGCCGGCTGCTCCTCGGTCTCGGTCTCGTCCCCGTCGCGAGCTCGCTTGTTGGGCCGCGTCCCCGTCGGGGAAAGGGGCATAGCACGGGGCGGCGGGTCGGGGCTCACTCCCTCGTTGCTCGTTTGAGAACTCTGGAGTTTAGCCACGTCTGACCTGGTCTCGTCCGAGTCTGCACACGGCTCGCCGCTTGTCGCCTCCGTATCGTCGAGTTCAGCCGTATCCGATCTGGTTTGTCCAATGATCGAGCTAATGATACGCTCAGCCGCGCTCAGAAGTGTCAGCGGCTGCGGTGACTCTTCCTCGATCGCCCATGTTGGCGATGCGTTACGGTCGGACTAGGTCGATAGGCGAGCGGATACTTCATCGAAGTTGATTGGTTTGATTGGGTTTCCGGCCCTGAGGGATAGGTATTAGGGCACAAACCGCGTAGACGTTGACGTCGCCAAGGATTGAATAGACTCACCGTAGTGCATCGGCCCATTGCCGAATCAGATTATCTTTTGGGGAACTGTCGAGATACCTCAACCACTCAGGGCACATGGACGCGAAGTACAGTTCGGGAATAGGGGTACCCCTGTTGCCTAGCTGCTGACGCGGGATGTAATACGCAGTGATAGGTGACGGGAAAATTCGTTGAGTTAACGATGGGCCTCGAGATAGATGAAGCGACAAGTTGGTGAATGATGGATCCGAATCTTCTGGGATGCTAAAAAAATTCTCACAGCCACTGCGAGGTATCTTGGTGCACTGGAAGTCAAAGCGGGAGAGAAGAGTCAGTGGCGGTCCTGTTCTCCACGAACCAGTAGGTTGTTCGTCTGATCTCATCACGATCGTGGCATAAATGGGATGAAGGGCCCATCAGCTTTCCATCCGGTAAGTACGGGAGAGAGACGCCACAATGGGCATGTTCGATGTCAATACTAGCAGACCAGAGCGTAGTGATTATTGGTATTATTCGGGGCGCTGCAATAGGTAGGTAGTTTTGCTATCAAGTCAGTAGTAGTTGGATATTGACGGTCGGAGATCTGTTATCCAAGCCGTAACTGACATTGTTGCTATTGTTTGATGCTTCAATAGTTACCAACACTACTAGTGGTCCTGTAAAACTTTGATTCTTCATTCTTACATTTGTGCCTCCCCTCTTGACCGACAAATGTCCTAGTCGCGAAGCCACATATGCACATTTGGCTAGGTGAGGATAATTTGATAGAATACCTAGGTACGGTCCCTACATCTTCAATTTGATGATTTCAGTCATTGCTTTCAACTGGTCGTAATCCGCCGACCTGGGTACTAGTAGTACAGTACGTGTCCAAAAGTCTGGAGCACCCCACATTAACTAAACGCGCATCGCAACACGACACCCCCCATCATCAACCTTCCAACCAACAGAAATACAGCCCACCATGTTCAATTTGGCCGAGCTTGGTGCCAAATTGACGGTCGGCCGTCAGCCTGGCCAGGAGTTATCACCAGCTGCACGTGCAGCCATTGCTGGTGCCGTTGCAGCGGGGGCTAGCCAGACGACTGTTGCCAACGCGTTTTCCATCAGCCGTCGTGCAGTCCAACTATCACTTCAACGCTTCGAATCTTCTACCACCTTTGAATCCAAGCCTAGAACTGGCCGGCCAGAGATTCTTACGCGTCGGGAGAAGCGGTACATCATCCAACTTGCAAAGCGGAAGCCCTGCCTTACAACGCAACTGCTCACTAATATAGTTGATGCTCGGATCTCTCGATCAACAGTGCTCCGAGTTCTCCGCCATCATCGAATGCGCAAGTGGCGTGCACAAAAGAGAATTCCATTGACAAAGGCTGTAGCAATGGCCAGATATAAGTTTGCTTGTCTTTGGTTAGAGAATCTCGAGGTGCTAATGCGAGTAAGTGACTCTGAAGTTTACCCTTGAATCTACTGACCAACCTCTAGTCTATCTTCACCGACGAATCGTCTTGCCAGAACAATTCAAGTAGCCCAGCAGCTTGGGCATTCCGGTTCCCTTCTCAAAAATGGGATAAGAACTTTATTAATATACAAAGTCATGGTAAAGGCACTATCTCGATTATAATCTGGGCAGGAATCTGGAAAGGGGGGAGGACTGACCTTATAGTCATGGAACGTGACTATCAACCACCGCAAACAGGGGGATATAGCTTTTGGAGCTATCAGTGGGCATTGGAAAAGGGCCTTCTTCCAGTTTACGATGGTACAAGGCATTTCCAGCAGGATAACGCCCGGGTCCATACATCGTTATCCTCGACCGAGTGGCTCCTAAATCATATGATTGAGGTCCTTGAAGACTGGCCTGCTCATAGCCCAGATCTTAACCCTATTGAGCATATGTAGGCTCTATTGAAACGGAGGATGAAGCAGGAATATCCAGATATCTGGTTACTCAAGAAGAACCACGTGGATGTTGCTGAGTTTACTAGATGTCTTCGGCGTTGTTGGTGGTCAATTGACCAGGCTCAGATTGACAGGCTGGTCGACTCAATACCCCGGCGATTGGCTGCAGTCAAGAAAGCTAGGGGTTGGTATACAAAATATTGATGGCTAGAACCAGGACTTTAAACTGTATATATCTGCATTGCTAGAAATTCATCTGGTGGAACGTTATTGTAGGATAGGTGTCTTGGTCATGATGTCAAAAATCGTGTGGCGCGGGGTGGTTGGTGCGGGGTGCTCCAGACTTTTGGACACGTACTGTAGTTATACAGTCAGCAACCTCATCCATTTTTAGTCGTATGAGCCTTGTAGATGGAGAAGTTTGGAGCCACCTCAGCGTCGACAGCTAATATTGTATGTCTGGTCCAAGAGGTGCACGAGAAAAACATAGCGAATACTGTGCCCTTGGTGATCCGCCTCTGGTTAGAGCTTTCCCCTGTGTAACTATCTCTCCGATGCGAACTCCGCAAGGGAATGTCTAACGAATCTGAAGACACGCTTGACGTGAATACCAAACACAGTCATTACGACGAGCTTGTCTGAAGCTTTTCGGCCCCAAACTGGCATGGCGAACAACGAAAGGTGCTCTCAGGGCACCGCTATATTATGTTTTTCTAAGAAGAGAAGAAAAATAAAAACCAAAGAAAAGTGAAAAAAAAAAGGAAATGAAGATAAAGAAGAAGAGAAGGGGAAGACAGAAAGAGAAGAGAAAGACACCTACAGGCAGCCTTTCAAGAGGAGCATCGGGAAGAAGCATGACTAGTGCTAGTTCTACAAACGTTGCGGAATGGAGGTTGCGAATTGTGTATGTCGAATCGTCGATCCTCCTGTATCTGTCAGCTATGAACTGAATTATGCTGAGCACTTTTCACCATCATCAAGGAACGAGATGAAGGAGCCACAGCGGATAAAAACCACCATAACCAACTTCCCAGTCCAAGGCTGTGGCTGAGGAGGACTGTAGATGTCTGTTTTCTTTGTCTCCTTGCTGCCTTGACCCCCCTAATTTCCCAAAGCAGAGGAGACGGTGTCGACCGAAGCAGAGCAGCCAATCGCTAAACGAGTCGAGGGCCGAGTCCCCAAATTCAGCGAAGTCCGCGGGAAGGGTGACGTGGGACGGCGGACTTTGTTTAGACAGAGAGCCGATACTATAAAGGCCACTCGAGGGATGGCTAGGGCTGTTAACTCTCTGTGGAAGTGAGATCGGAACTTCTCGTAAAGCCTGCTCAGAGAGGGAAGTTACAGCATCATTCGACGTGTGGCTAGCTTGATCTCTTGAGATTCAGTCTAGTATTGCCACATTCAGAACACACCCAGCAACCGCACACAACATGCTCTTGTCGTCCACACTGCTGCTCGCCGGGCTCGCGGCTCGCTCCGTAGCCACCACGATCCCAGTATCGGTCGGCAAAAACGGCCTGACTTTCGAGCCTAACGTGATCCACGCGCATCAAGGCGACGTGATCGAGTTCCGCTTCTGGCCGCGCAACCACAGCGTCGTGGCCGGCACCTTCGACAGCGCCTGCCACCCAGCGAGCGAGGGCGGCTTCTACTCGGGTTTCTTCTCGACCCAGCAGGGCACCGTCAATGTATGTTTCCTAACAACAACAACAAAATGCTACGCAAAAGAAAAAAAAAAAGGGGGCAAAGCTGACAAATGACGCACGTCCAGCCCCAAGTCTTCCGCGTGACAGTCTCCCACACCAACCCGGTCCCGATCTACTGCTCGCAAAACAACAGCCAGCACTGCAAGAACGGCATGGTCGCCGTGATCAACCCGGCCGGATCAGGCGCCCTGACGCTGGACACGTACGCCGCGCTGGCCCGGCAAGCCGGTGACGTCACGTCCCCCTCGGGCGGCGCCTTTGGCGGCCAGGTTGCTCCCAATGAGGCGGCCAGCAGCAGCAGCTCGAGGACCGCGACCGGCGGCACCGTGGCCACGACGGTGACAGAGACAGGGAGTGAGAGTGAAACCAGCAGCAGCAGCACAGAGACAGGAACGCAAACGGAAACGGAGGTGACGAGCACTACTAGTACTACCACAGTCGAGGCCACCACCACGACAACGGGTGCTGGGACCGAGACTGCCACCGCCATGACCACGACCACGGGGACGCCCACCAGCACGAGCAGTGCCGCTGCGGGGGTTGCGGCGCCGGTTGCGGGGTTGGTGATGGCGGTTGCGGTGGGAGCTTTCTTTGTTTGAGGAAAATGTGTTGGGGAGCTGTTTGCGGTAATTCTGGGACTTTGGGCTGCTGGTGAGATTGGATTGGATTGGGTTGGGATGGTCAGCTTTTCTTTGTCCTTTTTGTCTGCCGTTTCTGTAAAAGGGTAATACTAGTACTACTAGGTAGGAAAATCAATGGGCCAACACGAACTTTGGTGGCGTCGCATTGGTCGTGCTTGATGATGAATAGTACCTTCCGACTGGCTCCAACTGTTTGCGGTGATGTTTCTCTCGGTGTCCGCACTCTGACTTGGTATTTGGATGCGTTTCCCGATATATGCAGGTAGTAGTATTGATCAACACAACTTACGAGACTATTCTCATGTGAGACGGCGCCTTCCGTATTCCACCGAGGTTTGGTCGAGATTTTAAAATCTATCAATGGTCTAACAAATTTTGCCAGGCTGTGGGTTGTATGAGAGTAGAATCATCTCTACCTACACAGCTGCTGAAGCCAGACCCGGATGCTCAACCGCGCGAGACCTGCTTGGCCAGGGGCGCCGTCTTATGCTCGATCCCTGCGCCGTCCTTGCTCTCCAGCTCATCGAGCGCACGCTGTATCGCCTCTTCGACCTCCCTGTCGACACGGTTGAACGTCTCAATGGTCGCCTTCTGCACCTGGGGCAGCGCCTTGCCGAGGTGTGCCGCAAGGTTGCTGGCAAACTTCTTGTCCTCGCCGCTGCGCTTGAAGATTTTTCACAGCTCGCGCGGCTGCTCAAAGTCATCGTCCGTCACTTCCGACGAAAACAACGTCACTCTGCCCACCCACTCACATCGTGAGCAACATCGGAAGGGCCGAAACGGCGGGAACGGAAGGACGAGCGCACTGGCGAGGGGGGAGCAGAAAAAAATAGTACTACTAGTCAGCAAACGCATCTCCAGAGCCAGAGAGAGAGAGGGGAGGAGCACTTACCGTAGTCAGGGTCGGCTCCCTAGTTCCCGTCAATGCGCATGGGCCCGTCGCGCTGGTAAGGCGAGTAGACGTGCAGGGCACGATTGCACGACAGCTGCTGATAGTTCGGACCGATCCGGTACCGGGCGGCATCCGGGTAGCTGAACATGCGGGCCTGCAACATGGGGTCGGCGCTGGGACCGATGCCGGGCACCATGTTGCTGGGACTGAAGGCGGCCTGCTCAATGTCCTGGAAGTGGTTGTCCGGGTTGCGGTTGAGGAGAAGTCGGCCGATGGGGCGCAGCGGGTAGTCCTTGTGCGGCCAGACGCGCGTGATGTCGAAGGTGTTCCAGCGGTACGTTTCGGCGTCCTTGGGGTCCATGACCTGGAAGTACATGGTCCAGGACGGATAGTCGCCGCGCTCGATGGCGTTGTACAGGTCCTTGATGTGGTAGTCGGGCTCTTCTCCCGCCAGCCGCACCGATTCCGCGTGGTCCAGCGTCTTGATGCCCGCATCGGGCTTGAAGTGGATCTTGACGTACTTGAACGTGCCGTCTTCCGGTTTCCCGAACTTGAACGTGTGGTTCCCGTACCCGTTAACGTTGCGAAGGGACTCGGGGACTGTAGATCAAGTTAACGCCGTGGAGGAGGATGGTCTGGTCTTTGAGTTTTGTATCCTTGAAGATCACCCACGCATTATTATAAGAGATTAAGCCGACATACTGACGTCTAATATGTACGCATCATCAGGGCAGAGAATGGCCCCCGGTAACGTCACCGCGCATGAGTCGTGGTACCCGGACTTGGCTCGGGAAGCCTAGCAAGTCGACTACTACTCCACCGCAGTACAAGTCTATAGCCACGCGATTAGCATACACGTCGCACGTGCGACATGAACGACTCTGCGTTTGCGAGCAGCACTTCGAACCGGAATGAAGTTGTGATCGATGAAACATACAGACGGCCAGCGACAGGAGGAGACACCGTACACGCCTGAATTATGGCAAGAATAGTTGCCAAAGCGGTTAATAAGCGTACTGTAAAGCGATACACAGCAAAACGATGATATATAGAGAAAGACCAGAAGTGTCCGCAAAAAACCCCATACAAGAAGCCTCGAGTCTCCTTCCATCCCTCCTGCCCTGCAGTGTCCTAGAAGTCTAGAACCCACCAGTCCCCCTAACCCTTTCCACGGCCCCCTTAACCCCCCTCAGCCAAGCAAACCTGCCCGCATTAACCCCCATCGCACCATCAACCTCCTGCCCGGCCTCGTCCCTCCACACGCCGTCCTCCCGATCGACGGCCCCGAAAAACTCGGTATTCTGATTCCGCCGCAGCGCCGCCAGCCACTCGCCGCATATCTCGCGGCTGTCCACCATGAGATTGACCTCCTGGCTGTGGAACCAGCTTTGGGTGTCCTGGTTGCCGTTGCCCTGGATGCCGACCGCCCCGTCGACGACCATCAGCTTGACGTGGCTGCTGCGCTGGCGGCGGGCCTGCGTGATGGGGCGGGTCTGGTCCTTGGCGACATACCATTTGTAGTGCAGATGCTGGCGTCCGGCGGGGGAGAGGGCAGCGTGCAGGTGTGCGGCTACCCCTTCGTTGTGGCCGCCTTGGAAGGGGAGGAGTTCGCCCTGTGTGGAAAAAAAAGTGGAAAATCAGGGGGTGTTAGTAGGGATGATGTGCTTTGGGCATGTATTGTACTATTGGGGGAGAGAAGGGTTGAGAGCACACGTACTGCGTCGTTGTAGCTGAGGCAGATGTAGCAGTGCACGTTCACGCCCCGTTCGCAGGCCTCGATGATGGCAGGGATGAGCGGGCCAGCGTTGAGGGTTGGCGAGATGATGTAGACGCTTTCTTGGGCGCTGCGGAGGGCGGACAGCCAGGCGGCGTTTTGGGGCGTTGATATGGAGTTGTGGGTTGGCCTGCCGTAAGGGGCGCGGTTGACGAGCGCCATCGGATAGAGGGCGTGGCTTCGATGGGTAATGTAGGGCGTCATAGGCTCTCCCGGAGGGCACTCTGGCGCGTTGGGGTCTCCTGTGAGTCCTCCATTGACAGTGTGGTTGAGAAGCGCCGTGACCGCCTGGATATGTGTCCTGTCTGCCGTGGCAGCGAGAGAGGCCTGGCTGCGGGCCACTTCTCCTGCGATGTCGTCGTCATAGTGTGGGTCGTCTGCTGTATGCAGTGCGAGTGTTGTTGCGGGCCCTGCCATTAGATCAGCTCGTCGAGTATCGGCGCCCTTCTCCGCCGGAACACTCTCCACGGCGGGCTCCGTGCTGGCTGCGTCGGTAGTCAAATTGGGCGAGATTCCGAAGCCGCCTTCCGCAGCCGGAGTGTTGTGGCTGGGCAGGGGCGGCTCCAACTTCTTGTGCCAGGAGATCAGCGCCATGTCGTACATGGAATCCACAATTGGTCCCTCCAGGTGGATGAGCATCTCCAAGTTGTCGTTGTCCTGGATGTTGTTGCTCTGCAGCAGCGCTATCTTCCGGTCGACCACCATGTACTTGGCGTGAAAGGTGCCCAACACCGGAGTGTGGAAGTTCATAACCTGCATATCAATGTTCGGTATCTCGCTGGGGTGCGGCAGGTTGACCCTGTTGCTAGTGAACTCCTTCTCGGACACGATGTAGTGTGGTTCATACAGCTGCCTGGGGCTACCGCGGTCGTAAAGGACTTTGAGCACGATCTTGGTGCCCCTTTCACCAGCCCGACGGTCCAGCTCCCGAATGGCGTTTGTGATATACTTCGAGGCGATGCTGTTTTGCCAGTAGTTGGTCGCGAAAAGCACCTCATGCTCGGCTCGGACAATGACGTTGGACATGTGGCGGACAATGTCGGGCAGACTATGTCGGTGTCACGGTAAGCAATAGCAGCCAAACTGGGATGCAATAGGGGTGACAACGTACATAGAGATGATGGTCAGAGGAATCGTCCCACAAGCGCCCATCAGCGAAGGACTGACCATGGCCCGGAAAGGGTCCTGGTCTATTGTGCACAATGCATCGTGATATATCTGCAGCCGTGTCAGCTCGCCAACCCTGATCCCATCACGACCCAAAATCAGCCAGACCTTCAGAAACAGCTCGCTCGGCTTGGTGGGTCCCCACTTCCCACACTTGGCTGCTTTCTCCAGCTCGTCAACGGCTTCTGCATCTGATCCGATGCTTTTACCACTATCCTGACGCTTATGTCCATGATCCACAGCCACCTTCAGGGCGTGTTCACCGTATAGCATCTCCCATGCATCGCCGGGTGCCAGAGTTGGATTCTCAGCGACGAGAGATGAGACACTCTCACTTGAAGTACATAACCGGATGAGCCGGTCGCTGATACGCTGAACGGCTTGATGTTGTTCCACCATTCTGTTCGAGCAACGGCACTTGCCCTGCAGCTAAGGTTATATGGGATCGAGTTATTGCGGCCTACTCGGGATATCAGCCAGGGATCGACAAATACAAGGGTAGAGGTTTGCCGCTGAAGATCACAACGTACAGATGAGTTATCAGCGCTAACAACAATGCGAACAATGCGAGGCCTACAAGCCTAATTCTGTGTCTGAGGAGCTCTGGGTCTCTCAACTCAAGGACATTCTGACTGGATAGTACCGATAGAGATACGCCTCTAGTTTAACGTGTTACACAAGCCAAGATCCAAAGGACAGACGCCAAGCGTGCCAAGACCTTTATAAGTGAGGAAAAAGGCACCACATCACCCTAGTTATCCGCAGAAGCAGTACCAAACAAGGCATGACGTGCATGGCTCCAGCTCTCTGGTGAATGCCACTGCAGACACTCACTGATAGGAAGATGACGTCAATTACAGGTACCTCTTCCTAATGACTTGGCGATACAATCCGCTAAGCCCAGATGAGTTAGCAACTGGAAGAGTGGGTCGCTGCAAAAGGCTGATCCGGAGAATGTGGGGAGCTGCTCAAGATCTCCGCCGAAACCATCTCGAACCATCAAGCAGCAGCTGCCTTGCCTCTGCAGTGTCTCAATTGATTGGCTATCCCAGATAACTATAGTAGTTTTCCACCAAACCCTTCCGCGGTCTTCCAGCCTTCCGGGAAGCTAAACAAATTCAAAACCTAGCGTCTCTACCGGGGATTGTCCGGGACTCCGGGTACCTGCTCCTATCATCTCCGAGTCCCACTGATAAGCGGTGTCCACTTGAGCTGACAGGGGTCGTCCAATTGCGTGCGCCTTCCCCAACGTGACGCATCCAGTCGCCGGCTCTGAAACAACTCTCTCCCTCGACAGCACCTCACCCGACCGAGTTCTTCTCAATCGGAAGTGGACAGCGATATCCTCTCTTACACAACAACACAACAACATATACCACTGACATCACCATCTCCTCCTGCTATGAAGGTCTCAAACGCGTCTTTGCTTGCCGTGCTGCTGCCGGCGGTGAGCGCCCGCTTTGCTGAGCCGGGCGAGCCAGACCGGGTGATACTGTATCCCCACGGCATCCCCAACTCACCGGAAGAGAGCCAGCAACACCACATTGAGCTCGCACCAGGAGAGACAAGATGGGTCACGGAGGACGAGAAGTGGGAGCTACGACGGGTCTGTCTGTCCCATGCCTCACCGACTATTGCTGTTCTTGTCGCTGATTGCTTCCTCCCCAGAACGGCATCCGGTTCTTCGACATCACCGATAACGCTGATCTCGGCGCACTCCGCGCAAGGAGCGCCACTAAGAAGAAGAGCGTCTTCCCTGAGAAGCCGAAGCTGCAGAAGGAGATCAAGCCGCTACTGGCGAAACTGTCAAAGACAGAGATGAAAGACCACCTGACGACATTCACATCCTTCCACACCCGCTACTACAAGGTAGACAACACTGCTTACATCAAGCTCGCGCCACTCAACATAGCTGACAGGCATACTAGTCCGACTACGGCCGGCAATCAAGCGAGTGGCTCCTCGGCCAAGTCCGCGACACCATCAAGTCTGCGGGTGCCGAGAAGTACGTTCATGCTGAGCACTTCAAGCACCCATGGGGCCAGAACAGCATTATCGCGACCATCCCCGGCAAGACCAACTCGACCATCGTGATTGGCGCGCACCAGGACTCCATCAACCTGTGGCTGCCGAGCGTGCTCGCCGCCCCCGGCGCCGACGACGACGGCAGCGGCACCGTGACCATCCTGGAAGCCTTCCGCGTCATTCTGCAGTCCGAGGACATCGTCAAGGGGAAGCACGAGAACACGCTGGAGTTCCACTGGTACAGCGCCGAGGAGGGTGGTCTGCTGGGTAGCCAGGCGATCTTCTCAACCTACGAGAAGCAGGGGCGCGACGTCAAGGCCATGCTGCAGCAGGACATGACGGGTTTCGTGAGGCGCACGCTGGACGCGGGCAAGCCTGAGAGTGTGGGAGTCATCGTGGACTATGTGGACCCCAACCTGACGGACTTTGTCAAGAAGGTTATTGTTGAGGTATGTTCGCTTCCGCTAGGCATGCTGGGAAATCTCCGCACTAACCTCTCATGCAGTACTGTGACATCCCCTTCGTCGAGACCAAGTGCGGGTACGCCTGCTCCGACCACGCCTCGGCGTCCAAGGCTGGGTACCCTTCGGCCTTTGTGATCGAGTCGGCGTTCGAATTCTCAGATGACCACATCCACTCCACCGAAGACCTGATCAAGTATCTATCATTCGATCACATGCTCCAGCACGCGCGCATGACGCTGGCTTTTGGTTATGAGTTGGCATTCACAGATTTCTCCGTGCTTGAGGGACCGGACCACTCGGATTCGTTGTAGATAGTCCCTGTGTGGGCCGCGAATGCCGCCCACATTACATGTGTTGGATAATACTTTGGACTGTCGGCTGAGATGGCCGGGTTGATGCATGTATTGTATTGTACAGCATGCATGATGCCCATGCTTCGTACATGCGCACTACTCGACCTCCTTGACGACATCTGGATGTATTTTTTCGTTGTTGAAGCGATGCTGTCCAAGTATATCCTCCTGATGCTCATGCTCTTTGCTGTGCCTATTCCGAACGCTGCAGCAAGATTGCGCAGTCAGACCCAAATATGCGATACTCCTCGCTAGTGCTGATTCTATACTGATAGGGTATCATACCTCCCCCATTCACCTCTCACATACTGTCCTCCATCTGCCTGCTCCTCGTCTTCCTCCAGCTGTCGCTCTCTTGCTTGCCGCCCTGGCTCTCCAGGCCCATGCCCCGCTCAACCCACTCCTTGCTGCCCATCTGGTTCAGCCGCGACAGGGCACGCGCAAACGCAAACGCCTCCTCGTCGCCGGTAAACAAGTTCGACTTGGACAGCTGCTCGACATTATGTTCCAGGTCGTCCATCATGTGGCTCATGACATCCTCCACTGCATCGTCCACTTCCTCTTCCCCCTTTCCTGCATCCTTGCCATTCCCACGCCCTTGCTGTTGTTTCGTTTGCTTCTTCATTTTCTTCTTCTCCAGAAGCGACTCCCTGATCTCCTCGCGGGACACGAACAGCTCCTGTAGCGGCACGGCCGTCGTCAGCACGAGCTTGGCGTGAGACTCGTACACGGCGTCTACGAAGGTGATGAAGCGCCGCGCCAGGTCCCGCTGCCGGAACGTCATCCCGGGCACCTCGGTCACCACGAAAGCGTCGTACGACCGCATCAGCTCCAGGTAGTCGGCCGCGCTGCGCGGCTGGCCAATCAGCTCGTCAAACGTGAACCACGCGCACCGCCCGCTCACGCGGGGCACGACGATCTCGCGGCCCCACACGCGCTGGACCTCGCGGTGCGGCTCCGGCATATCTGGGTCGCCTAGGAAGCGGAACCACTTCTCGGCATGTGAGGCCGCGTGCGCGTCGAGAGGGGTGTGGTAGACGCCCGAGGGCGGACGCGGGATCTTGCGGTAGTCGGTGTTGGAGTTGAGGTTGATGACGTGGAGGCGGTTCTTGAGAAGTTGGATGGCGGGGATGAAGGACTCGCGCTGGATGCCGTTCTTGTAGAGCTCGTCCGGGTGGCGGTTGGAGGTGGTGACCAGGACGACGCCGTGCGACATGAGGGACTCCAGCAGGCGGCGCAGGATCATGGCGTCGGCTACGTCGGTGCACTGGAACTCGTCGAAGCAAAGCACGTTGCCCTGCTCGGCGATCTCGGCGGCTACAAAGGGCACGCAGTCGACGTCGCTGCCGTACTGGAGCTTCTTCTTGTGGAGTCGTCGGTGGACGTCTTGCATGAAGTTGTGGAAGTGTATCCTAGTCTTGGAGCGCACGGTCTGCGGTAGGGTGTCGTAGAATAGGTCCATAAGCATGGTCTTGCCACACCCAACATCGCCGTACAGGTAGAGGCCCCGCGGAAGGTTGCTCGGGATCTGCCCAATTGGCATCTTCTTGCTGTTGCCGAACCACGAGAACAAAGATTTCTGCGGCGTCACAGAGTCAAGGGTTGGGTGGACGACAGGCGGTGCTCGGTAGTGGCGAAGCTCTTCGTGCAGGTGCTGCAAGCTCTGGATTATCCCTTACACCGGCGCAGTTAGTATCTTCTGCGTTTACACGGGATACGACTATGACACACCTCTCTGGTGGCTATCATTCCGGAGCATGCCATTCGCGACACGCCGGTCATACTCCTGGATCGGACCAATGTCCTCTGTGTTGGCTGTATCCCCGCGTCAGCTCGGCCATCGGCCCATCCAGTTCCTCCATTGCACCCACTGTTCTCTTCAGCTGCGGCTGCCACAGCAGACGCTCTCCTCTTTTGCCCAGTAGTGGTCAAAGTAGGAAGCACGGGGCGGGGTATCGTGCGCGGGCGACGACCGGGAGATCGCAATGTGCTGAAGTCACGCTGTGGATCCGCCAAACAGCCGCATGTTGTACATACTGCGCGCTGGCGTACAGAGATCGGGGCTGCTCGTACAGCTGTGGACGGCGCACCGACGAGGACGGTCCTCGGTAGCACACAGCGCACAGGCGCACGCATTGCTACTGTCAGCGTCGTCGGCGATGGCAAACAAAAAAGGTGTCTTCTAGCGCTATAACCCAGGATACATCGTAGGGCGGGCCGGCACGAGAGCCTCGAGGAGGAAATCGAGCGACAAGGGGAGGAAGGGGTAGTTGATGATCGGACCAGGAAGCAGATCCTGTAATTCGGACGAAGGAAGGGGATAGTATCCTGTAGGCGCTAATAAAATATACCTCAAACTCTTCTATCGGGCTCCCAAACTAAAAGTGTCTCTCAACATATTAGGTGAACGGGCTTAGGAGGAAAAGGAAGAGAACTGTCATCAAGATCTCGGCGTTGCGGCGTTCGGCAAGTCGATTGGGGTAAAAACGGGTTTTACCGGGTTCCAACTTCCCAAGTGCCACGGCCGCTGGGCGTTGCCCTGCATAGTTGAGCGGGGTCTCGATAACAGGGCGAGGAGGGTCCCGGACGGGATGATGCAATCGGGTGGGAGGCTTGGCGCCAAGTCCAGCACGTGTCCGGTTCCGGCACCCGAATCTATTCATCAAGTTGGAGACGGCAAGTGCGAGGTGCTTCGCAGTTTACCACTAGCATTCAAAGATTCGGCGTCAATTCAACTTGCACAGCGACAGTTACGTACCTTAGACCAGCGGTTCTTTAATTAGTACCTGGTACATAGGTCTCACTAAGCCGCCACCGTGCGCCACGTCAGGAAGCGGCTACTGCAGTGCTCGATGGATTGGGCTCACTTCTTGGTGCGGTTCTTCTCCTCGCTTGAGACATATCGAAGGAATTGCCTAGGGGAATATCAATAAGGGAACTGCAGCGGCATCAAAGTCAAAGAGCCAAGGGCCCGGTTCAGGTCCTGACCGTCCGGGAAGTGTTGTGTGCATGCGGAATAGGATATAAAGGGAAAAGTCAAAGGGGGAAGTTAACTGCTACCGTAAACAAATATGCAGCCAAAAATAGAGTACACAACAAGGAAGGTTGCTTCAAGTAAAAGGCGTTGGACAAATTCTCACAGCTCGGCCACTATGCCACGAGGAAGTTCGTGGCAACTTGTCTTTTTCACTAATGGGATATCGCTCACTGCTCCCTGCTTACAACTCCGTGGCCTCATATTACGCATTCGTTAGCAGCTGTACCCGTGTTTTGCATCATCACCACCCACGCTAGGCCAACGACTCTTGCAAGGTAAGGTAACGAGGGTGAAGAGCAGATCTCCTCGTCAAGCCCCCTTTGAAATCTACCCACACCTTGCCATACAATCCAAACGCAACACTTACTTACCGTCTTACCCCTTGAAGACCTCACCCACTCCCAACGCCCTCGCCGCTGGCCATCCAAGACACCACGCCACCACTACCACTCCCAGTGCCACAGATTCCCTGACAATCGCATCCCCGTTAAACAGCGCAAAGTACATAGCGCAGGACTTCACGATGCTGAGCCACGGGTAGTATTGTGGCCGCCAGGTCCAAGTCCGCTGCCACCACCCCGCGCCTTTCCCATTATCCTTGTGACTACCACTGTGGCCACAGTACCCGACAGTGTTATGAGTAGGGAGAATGTGCCCATCACGAGTAACCGTTCGCCTCTCCCTGCTGCTCATCCAGCGCCCAACCAAACCCGCCACATACCGAGCACCCGGGACAACGTCCATTTCGACCGGCTCCTCGAGCGACGCCAAGCAAAGCTCAAGTGTAACTATGAGCACGAAGATGGTAGACGCGAGGAGATGATCTGCTATCATTATCGCCAGATTCGGCGTTTGGCCCGAGGGGACAAATATCCAGGCCAAAGGGGTTAAAGGAATAGCGACGGCGATGAGAAGAATGGCCATCAGAATGGAGGTGAGTTGGCACATGGTTCTGCTGAGGTTGGCGTCTGTAGGGGAGAGAATCGGTAGGCCAACATGGCGTGGTACGGATGTGTCGATGGTTGGCCGAGAGCGGTCGGACTTTGATGAGGGGTGAGACGTTTTAGGGAGGGGACTTGCGGTATCATCTTCGCTGCCAGAGCCCGTATAAGCGGCGCTGGTTGTGGTGGTGGGCTCGGTAGTGGCCATGTTGCCTTTCAGCGCTGACAACTTTGGCGCTGGAGATTCGGGATCTTTACTGTTGCCGCCAGGGAGATTTGGACTGGCGGGTCCTTGACGGCCATGGTGGCGAGCGCGTTGCTTTTGAGTTTCTTTTGGGGGAGGGATCTATAGTTTGTGCTCTGAGGGTTCGGAGTGTATCAGATAGGTTACATTTAACGGCGGTGCTGTAGGCAGCCGTACAAAATATTATTAGCGATCCTTCGCTGGGCTTCGCGCACCATTGAATCAAATCCGAGCCGAGCTTCAATAGCGTTTTAGCGCAGCATTAGGTAGTTTACAACTTTCTAAAAATTGTGACATTGTTCTCATCTTATCCTTGCTTTGGTGTTCCCTTGATGCGCCATATCGGCCTATGTCGTAGAAGTAGGATATTTGCCTCCCTTCTAGCCCTCACAATTGCCCTTTCCAGTTAACAGCAAAAGGCCACTGGACCACGTTCGAATTTCAACGAAAAGCGAGGCAAGGTCCCGCGGAGAGTACTTTTTAAGGGACCGCAGTGCTAGCGATGAAAGTCGGATGCATTGTGGTCATCGAAGAGCTTCGCAGGAGATACCCTTTTCGGAACGCCGCTTGGTCGGGCCGGACGTCAGCTGGAGCCTTCTCATCAAGCTAGCGAAGCAAATTGAGAAAGAACATAACAAAGAGCAGATGGTGAGCCTCTGATACCATTGCGATATCGCGTTCCAGAGTGCGCTGGTTGAAACATGTCAAATACTGAGCCATGTGCGAACCAAGCCTCGACGGCATGCTGATTGACTAGACTGACGGGCTCTGCTACACAGCAGTGTTGGGGCCTTATTTAGTCTTGCTTCATTGTCTCTTAACAACACGAAAATCAAAAGGCGTCTGGCCCGCTCGATTCATGTATGAGTGCACACTAGTATTTGAACCATGCCCATCTTTGTAGTTTATGATTAGCGTTGCGACAGCCTTGCATACATCCATAAGTAACCACTTCCACAGCTAATAAACTCCACTCGTAACCAAACTTCGTAAAGCGACCCTTACTGAGAATAAGCCACCGGCGGTATGTCCATCATCCGTCTCGGGCTCGCAGTCGACCCTCCCTTCAGCACCAAGCATACTTCTCGTTCGCAACCCAGTCCACCTCGGTAGTCGGCTCCTCGCCATACCACATCAGACTGGCGATGCTGTCGTGATCGCGGTCGACAAACTCGTACTCGATGCCGCATTTCTCGACCAATCCCCTGATCTTCGGCGTCGGGTTCCATACCTGCACATCCTGCGTCTTCCACTCGGTTGCCTCCGCTTGCGCGATCTGCACGATCGACCGGAATCCGTCCAGCAACTCCCCGTCAGGCTGCTCCTTGTCCTCTACCACAACCCGGAGAATATGTAGCGTGTTGCCCTCCATCTTGTTCAGCCCGCCGTAATACCCGCGCATCCAGACCGCCCAGACCCTCTTTCCCGGCTCACCCGCCACGGCGCCCCTGATGGCCGGCGTGCGCCCGAAGATGGCCTTGGTCATGAAGTCCTCGCGGAAGAGATGCCACAGCATAGTGTCCAGCTCCGGCAGGATCGCCACATGCGGCTTGCCCGCCGGGCGCGCGGCCAGTTCCGCCCGCAGCAGCCGCTCATCCACGGCACACAGCTCCGCGAGGTCGTGATACCCAATCGGCCTCGCCAGATGCTCCCGGACATCGGCGGCGACTGCAGGCTTGTAGGCAACATGGCTGCTCTCGAACGGCGACCACCCGTGCTTCGCATAGAACTGCTTGCCGATATCGCTGTACAGCACCGAGAAGAGCGAGCGGCTCTTCTCCACCGCTACCTCGGTGGTGGTGGCGGCCCCTGCTTCCGCCGTCTCCACCTGCCACCCCTTGAGCCGCTGCCCGAGCTCCTTCATCATCCGGCTCGCGTAGCCCCGCCCGCGGAACGCCGGGTCGGTGAACACGCTGGCGATGCCGTGCGCCACGCCCTCCACCACTTTGCGGCTGCCGCCTCCTCCATCCTTGGGGACGTAGACGGCCCGCTTGCGCAGGCTCTCGCACGACGAGAGGATGGGCCGCTGGTCTGGCGGGAGATTGGAGACGGTCAGGACCCAGTGCGTGATGCCCCCATCGCGCGCGAGCGGCACGGTGGTGAGGTAGTCCTCGCGGGTCAGGTAGTCCTCCTCGGTTAGGGCTGGACCCCACTTGGGATAGGTCAGCTTCCAGGTGTGGGTGCGCTCCGCGGGCGTTGGGTGGGTGAGAATTAGGAGGGGCGAGGAGGCATCGGGGAGAGACTCGATGGGGAAGGATGTGGCGTTGGTGGAACCCATATTGAAACTCGATTGACGAATCTGGCTTTTATTTTATGTAGTTGGGTTGATTCTTGGTTGATGTCGGAGATTTGAGAGTCATGTAAGTCAAGGTTGTCTGAGTGTAAGCCGAGTTGATTTTTGAGCCCTCAAAGAAAGCGGAAGGAAAGAGACAAAGCGGGGGAAGATCCGCTCCGCTGGAAGTCAAGACTTATAAGCTGACAAGTGTGGGGCTTAAGTGGAATGCGGAATCCACTGATTGTTTACAGTGTAGATGCCTTGGGTGGTGTAGAAGGCAAAAAGCGCCCAGTGCGACAGCAAGCTGCAAGAAGTTGTGTCATACTAGTACTGTGCATGCCCGTTGTAGCGCTCATCTGAACTCCGATGCCAATGTGTTGAATGACTAAGACCACCACCTTAGTTTCGTCCCTTGTTTGGTACCATGTGTAACTTCGACCACTGGGAATAGGAAAGAGTGCGTGAGCATCTGACCTACTGTTGGAATGCTGTCCAATAGAACAAAAGAGAGCGCTTCCTGTTCCCTGGTAACTACATGGATGGAAGTAGTCCAAGCTGCTCATGCACCGTACTTTTTACGTCACCAAGAATACCTACCTAGCCAGGTAGCTTCGGATCGGCTCTCGACGAGGCGGTCGGGCAAACCAGCTTCTTTTGTCCTGACTGCTCGGGCCGGGACACCATGGATTATACACAGCGGAGAACAACGGCAGAGGAGGTTGCAGATGGCGCGGAGCCCCGTGCGGATTTGGCGGGGAGGGACCGGCGTAAGCCGACGATATGCGGCTCCGGATGCCGGTCGGCCGGGGTTAATGGTCACAAGATGCGTCCAGGATCCAGACAGCAAAGAAACAGCTCAGTCGTAAGCCGGGGACCTTCTATGCAGGAAGTCGTGTTTGGAAGTTGGTTTTGCCCCGAGGTGCTGTGCGCATGAACATGTCTGTTGATGCTCGGGATGTGTGTGTAAGTGGTTACAGTGTATATGACCTTTCACTAACATCTCGAAGGTGATCCACAAGCAGTCTCTTCTATTTGAGATGATTAGTATTGACAGTATCCGTCTAATGGTCATGCCCGTCATCCTCCGCTTGCGGCTCCGGATCCAGCTTGATCAAGGTATCAATACGCATGATGCTGATGCACGCTTCCACCGCGCTCTTCAGTTGTCGGACCTTGCTGATGCTGGGCTCCACCACGCCCGCCTTGATCTCGTCCACCACCTTGCCCTTCATCAGGTCGAGGCCGTAGTTCTTGTAAGCCTTCTTGCGCGCCACTGTCTTCTCGTCCTCATTGGCTTCGCCGTCCTGGATCCGCTGCGACAAGGCGTGCCTTGACCGCAGCTGAGCAACCAATTCTGAGGCGTCCTTGGCGGCATTGACCGCCAGTGTCTTGGGAATAACAAGCAGAGACTGTGCAAACTCGCCAATGGCGAGCTGCTCCCGCGAGCCAACCGTGCCGGCGAACTCCTCCAGGTAGATATGCAGCGCCGTCTCAACTGCGCCGCCACCTGGCACGATGCTGCCACTTTCAAGGGTCCGCTTGACGGCGCACAAGCTGTCATGCACCGATCGTTCCATCTCGTCCAGCTGGAAATCGTTGGGACCGCGCAAGATGATGGACGCCGACGAGTGAACCTTGGTGCCCTTGACCATGATGCACTCATCGTCCGAAATCCGCTCCTGAACCACCTCCTCCGCATGCCCAAGGTATGAGGGCTCAAATTTCTCGTCGCCGTTCAAATCGGACAGCGTGCTGAGCAGGGTGGCGCCCGTAGCCTTGGCAATCCGCCGCAGGTCCTCCTTCTTGCACCGGCGCACTGCCATGGCCCCCCTCTCGACGAACATCTTCAGGCACAGGTCGTCAATGCCCTTGGTGGTAAGAACAACATTCGCACCGGCTTTGAGGATCATTTCTACCCGCTCGATGATCATGCCCGACTCCCGTGCCCGAATCTGCTCCAGCTGGTCCGGGTCATCCACCGTGATCTGGACGCCCAACTTCATCCTCTCCTTTTGAAGGTTCATGTCTAAGCATGCGATCTTGGCATCCTGTATCCGCGTCTTCATCGCCTGCGAGGCCACTGTGCAGTTAAGTGCGTAGCCGTTGACCAGAATCGACTCGACCGCACCCTTGCCGTGGGCTTTGAGGATGTTCACCGCCTTCACCGGGTACTTGACCTCGTTCTTATTGTTTGTTGTCTTGACGGCCTGCATGGCATCCACCACCATGTTCGCAAAGAAGTCTGAGTCGGCGCCGATAATCTTGCTGGACATGGAGGTCTTGGCAATGTTTAACAGCGACTCGCGGCCCAGGTTCTCGACCTTGATGCTGACATGCTCATTCATGTACTTGACCGCCTCCCGGAGTGCCAGGCGGTAGCCTGTAATGATGGTTGTCGGGTGTATCCGGTTTTTCATCAGCTCGTTTCCTCTCCTAAGCAGCTCCGCGGCGATCAAAACAACCGACGTCGTGCCATCGCCAACTTCCTTGTCCTGCTGGTGCGCAAGGTCAACCAGGATCTTGCCCGCGGGATGTTCGACATCGAGGAGACTGAGAATGGTGGCGCCATCGTTCGTGACGGTTACGTCCTGTATCTTGTTAGGCCGCGAGCGTGGTGAGGTAAGCAGCGGAGCGATACGCACGCCAATGTCATCCACCATCATCTTGTCTAGCCCGCTGGGGCCGAACGAGCTCTTTACCACATTCGCGATCGCCTGCGTAGCGAGCACTGAGTGTCCTGTCAGCAGCGTCCTTCATACTTGAGCGACACCGGCTCGACTGGGCAACTAACCATTTTGGTCCCGAATCTCTACGCCAGAGATCTTCTGTCCACCGAGAAACAAGGTGCCGTTTGTCGGCTGCTCAAACATGGTAGCCATTTCAGAAGGTACTCGACGATGTTCGGCAACTGGGAATAGGAAGAGATGCGCAGGGGAGTTGCAGTTCGATCGAACGTCGGGCTTGTTGACAGGCTCCAGCAATTTCGAGCTCCGCGCGCTGGAAGTTTTCCGGAGGAGGAGATAATCCCACGCCGGCAGCCGGCCCGCGCCGGACCCTGATTGGCTCGATTTACACCCTGGCTTGGTAGCGGTGGTCGCGGCGCAGCTAAGGATGCCCCTCGTTTTGTTATCGACAAGTGCGGGGCATCGAAAAAGCAGCCCGATTCGGTCTCACTCCTCCCGGAATTTTGACTCACTTCCCGTCGCGGTAGTGTGTCACTCTCCGGGCCTCAATCGCTGCTAATTTCTATAAGATCTCGTCAGCCCAACCCCATCTCTCCGTTCAGCACACTTCCGGATCACTGCAATCATGGAGGACGCAAAGGAACAGTCCAAGAGCGCGCTGAAGAAGGCTGAGAAGCAGGCCAAGATGGCGGCGGCGAAGGCTGAGAAGGCCGCAAAGCAGGCGACAGTTCCGGTGGTGGGCGGCAAGAAGACCGACGACATCATCGGTATCACGGTGTCAAAGAGCGAAAACTTCTCCCAATGGTATCAGGAGGTCGTGCTCAAGGCCGAGCTGATTGAGTACTACACCGAAATCTCGGGCTTCTTTATCATGCGCCCTGCCACCATGCACATCTGGAACACGATCCGGAAATGGTTCCAGGAGCGGATCGAGGCGATGGGAGTCGAGGAGACCAACTTCCCCATGTTCTTGTCACAAAAGTCGCTGGAGAAGGAGAAGGACCACGTCGAAGGGTTTGCCCCTGAGTTGGCGTGGGTGACAAAGGCGTAAGGCGATCAATGCATTATTCTCGGTTACACCAAGTCCGGCTGACCGGTGATAGGGGTGACAAGGATCTTGAGGTTCCCGTTGCGGTTCGGCCTACCTCTGAAGCGGTCATGTATCCTTGTAAGTGTAATGCTTTGTCGTGTACTTCGAATCGAGGCCGCTAACCAGACAGACTACTCCAAATGGATCCGCAGCCACCGTGACCTTCCCTTCCGACTGAACCAGTGGAACTCGGTCGTCCGCTGGGAAGCGAAACAAACAACTCCTTTCCTCAGAGCCAGAGAGTTCATGTGGCAAGAAGGGCATACCGCCCACCTTACTGAGCAGCTTGCCGGCGAGGAAGTCCTTCAGATTCTTGAGCTATACGCCGGCATCTACGAACAATTGCTGGCTGTTCCGGTTGTACGAGGAAGGAAGACCGAGGCTGAGAAATTTGCCGGCGGTTACTACACAACGACAGTGGAGGGCTACATCCCCTCGAATGGCCGGGGTATCCAGGGCGCGACATCCCACTGCCTGGGCCAGAACTTCTCCAAGATGTTCGATATCACTGTCGAAGACCCCAACGAGAAGGGGAAGCATATCCATGTCTGGCAGAACTCGTGGGGCCTTTCAACCCGTGTCATTGGTGTCATGGTCATGATCCATGGTGACGACAAGGGTCTCGTCTTGCCCCCGCGCATCGCCAAGATCCAGTCTATTCTCATCCCGGTCGGCCTCACAGCAAAGATGACTGCAGAAGACAAGGAGAAGCACCTTAAGCACCTCGACGAGATCTTCGACACCCTGAAGAAAGCCGGCGTCCGCGTTGACGTCGATCTTCGTGACGGTTACACCCCGGCCTGGAAGTTCAACGACTGGGAGCTGAAGGGCGTCCCGCTACGCCTCGAATTCGGTCCCAAGGATGCCGCCAAAGAAGTCGTCAGCTACGCGCGGCGTGACACGGGCGAGAAGGGCACTATCCCCATCGCTGAGCTGACGACCAAGGTGCCCGAGTTGCTTGAGACGATCCAGCAGGACATGTACAACAAGGCCGACGCCGCGTATCGGGCGCACCGCCTGAAGATCACTAACTGGGACGAGGTTGTCCCGGCGCTGGATGCCAAGAACGTGGTCATCATCCCGCACTGCCTGGTCCCCGCGTGCGAGGACAAGATCAAGGAGCTGACGACGGGCCGGTCGGACGAGTCGCCTGATACCCCCGAGGGCCAGAAGGCCCCGTCCATGGGCATGAAGTCCCTGTGCATCCCCTTCGAGCAGCCTGAGGGCCTAGTCAAGGGCGAGACCAAGTGCCTGAACCCGGAGTGCACCCGGCTTGCTGAGCAGTGGTGCATGTTTGGTCGCAGCTACTAAGGAAGCATCTAGCCAGCAAGAAGAAAATTGTTCTTCCTCCATCTCATTGTTCTTTTTGTGCAGGTGACAGGTCAAGGACGGGTTTGTTATGAACTGGACGACTGGAGAAAAAGGGGTGGCCATAGCGGATTGAGTTACTCGATACCTAATGCTTTCCTGCGGATATAACTGTCGACATATCGGCATTCTCCTCCAAATGACGTGGCGTTGACGGAAGAACAGTGCTTTTGATCGTGATTCGTAACCCGGAAATTGCAGATGCGATCCGAAACCCTCAACCTTCTATGTGACGGGTATCCAGCTATAGACCTACCCCATGGACTAGGAGGTATATATCCTGACCAATGGCCCCTCCCTTCCAACCATCAAGATTCCCGAAAGATGAGAGTTGTTCAAATTTGAGCTGTTGCCGCTTCACTCGCCATGCTACGCATATACGTCCCCAAGCGCGCTGGCACTAGTAGCCTTCTTGGGCCTTCCTCTCCTCCTCCTCTTTCCCCTCACCTCTTCACCAGCCACCTCAATCTCCTCTTCGTCCTCCTTCTTCTTTTCCTTCTTCCGCCTAGCCTTCCTCACCGCCTCCTGGTCCAAATTCCTCCTCCACTCGCACACCTCCCTGAACTCACAAGACCGGCACTTGAACTCGGCTTCCTCGAGCGCGACCCCGTGCGGCTCCCTCTCGCCTCTCCACCAGCGCATGGTTTCGGAGAGGTACAGGTCCAGCGTCTCGGGTTCGACAAAGAAGGTGTTGACGCAGATGACCGAGCCGGTTTCATATTTCGGGCGAGCCACTCTATCGTCCTCGGTTGAAGTGGGGGGTTCATCCGCAAGGGGGTCGCGAGGCGGAGGGGGATCACGGCCGCGGTAGCGATACTCGACTGCCACTATGTTGCCGAGGTCGGCGGCGCCGCGGGGAAAGGTGAGGCGTAACTCGGATTTGAGGAGCGTCAGCAGAGTGCGAAGGCTGCGGTATCTCAAAGTGGGCGATGAAGACGAATCGGAGAGGAAGGAAACCTGGGAGGGGCTGGAAGGGGCCGAGACGAAGCCGCCATCTGAACTCGCGTCGCCGTCGTCGTCGGGTTCTACGAACACTTCGTCGTGCACGGCGCCGATTTGAGCCATGAAGGCGTCCGAGAAGGGCTCATCCGGATTAACGCCATAGCGTTCGAAAACGGTGATGTAATCCAGCCTATTGTTGGCCATTTCGGAGAGAAAGCGGTGGTAGAGGAAGAGCTGGATGATAGAGCCCCGAACTTGCATCTGCGGAGGTGGGGTGGCTGAGTTTCGCGTTTTGACATCGGTGATGTAGATCGCATAGTCGCCCGGCGTGCTGGGCTCGTATGGTTGGGAGTTCGTGATGATTTGGCTACTGCCGCGGCTGCTGAGAATATCCTCTTGCAGCTCTGGATCCGGGTTCTCATAACTCAGACTGTCGATCACGCCATTAACCACGTTCCCGTCGACCATACCCCACACCTCAAGCTCGCGAGTGATACCTTGCTCGCGGAGCACACGCAGTCCCTGAATGATGTTCCAGATTCTTAATCCGAAGGTATCCTCCTTCTTGGCGACCTGGATTTTGACCGGCGTGAAGACTTGCCGCTCTAAAGTTGCGTGGACACCGGTTCCTCGTTTCATAGCCGCCGTGCGTGTTCTCCTGCCGCCCGGAAGCCTGGTCAGAGTGTAGAAGTATTGCAGTTCGCACCAAGCACCGGCTGTCAAGTCCGATACGGAGAGGGGTTTCATCGGGAGTGTACGGAAGCGGAGGAGCGGCGGCCGGTTGTCTTCGACTGAGCCTTCAGCCGGCTCCCTGGCCTGAGCAGAAGAGCTTGCGGCCTTCTGGGCATCCGATAGTGCGCGACTCACTAACCGCTTCCCTGTCAGTTAGAAGATTGCGGGTAGTGGAATGGGAGACACATCTTACAGTCCGGGTAGACAACGTCCGGGCGTGGAAGCAGCGTGGGCATAATCCTAGGCTTCGTTCTGGAGACGAAAGACCCAAGCGCATCATCATCTTTGGAGACTGAAGGGGTGAGCCTTCTGGACTGGTTCTCAGCAGTGCTGCTGCATGCGAGCTCAAACGCGTTCGTAGGGCCTTGCCCCCTGCTGTTGACGTCATCATCCTGGAGTTCGGAAATGTCGAATGTCAAGTCATCATTGGTGATGGCAGCGATGGTTTCGTCGATGGCTTGGCTCTCATCAGGGTCGAAACTAGGGCTGGACGAGGTGGGCGAGATGGCGCTTCTTGCAAGGACTGAAGGGTTGGATCGCGGGGCCGGAGTCGCTGGGGACGCTGGGGTCGGCCTGGATAGTGGCGAGTCGGTGGAAAGGCGGTCGGCAATGGCGAAAAGCAGCTCCTCGTCGGACGCCGTCAAATCGTAGCCATAGTCAGTTTCGTTGTCGCTGCCGCGGACTATCGACGCAAAGCCCGCCATGCCAGCAACGTCAACGCATGATCTTGGACTGTGCAAAGCGATTCAAGTTGGAGGGCGGCTGGGCGACATGAGAGCCTTGCCCCTGACCTCCTCACTACGGTGATTGTCAGGAGGCACTGGCAGTTGACGATTGGCCAACCAAAACACAGTTCGGGTTTCCCCACAGCTTTTGGAGGTAGCACGCGTGATCACGTGCGGCAATTAACGAGTTATCGGTTTCAGGTTGTTCAATTGGTGACCCGGAAAGGTTGCTGTTCTCCGGAGTACGGCACTTCGTGATGTGTTCTGCACCCTTGGAAAGCATCAATCCACAACCAACGCAACTCCATTAACATCTGTCCAGGGACAGTAGGTAGGTGGTATCACCTTGTCCCCTGGCGGGAAGAGATTACAGTTTGCCTTACTGTGGCATTGTCACGAACCACTTGCCACCATTCGACGCACGGCCAATTCCGGGTTACTGGTTTGCCTTAGCACTCAGCACCTTCACGGTTCCACGGCGAAGAGCTGTCCTTCGTATTCTCAGTTCCGAAGCTGCACCAGAGATGACGCAGCCGTTGGCAGCGGAGCATCCAAATTAGGCTTAGCCAGGCACTCATGCCATGCCTAGCAAGGGGGTGCCAGACTCTGCGCAGTACTAGCCTGATCACCAGTTCGGCGTCGACCCATCACTGAGGCTGAAGGCCAGCTGCCCTGGAGGCAGTGTCCGAGAGTCTGTCCTCTTTCGCAAGGCAGCCACCAAACCCAACATCAGTAATAGGACATCGCTCATTAAATGTCACTGTTCTTCTCTTGCCGCATGGCTGCAGAAGCTACCACACAGAGTTCTATGCGCCGCGCAGCTCGAAAATCGGCTTATTGGACCTAATCCCGAGTCCGTATACCGCCCGGCCGGCGGCACGGCCCCGCACGCAACCGACATGGCCTCTCTTCTGGAGCTCGTCCGGCGACCCGCTGCCGCCGCCCGAGCGCGACCACGGAATCGCTTCCCAACAACAGAATCCCTGAAACCAACACGGTCCGAGTCAGACGAGGCCGGTCCGGTCTCTGACCGGGAGACAACGATCAATGCAAAACGGCCTCGTCCAACGCTGGCGACGCTGCCGCCCGAGATTCATCTCCTGATCGCTCAGTATCTCACTTATCCAGACGCGCTGTCCCTGAAGCACACCAACCGTTATTTCTACCACATGGTCGACACCGGGGTTCGACTCAAAGTTGAGTGGTTGATGGAGCGCCGGCTGCTTCACCTCGAGTGTCCGAGCGACCAGCGCTGCGATTTGGGGAGTGACTTGAGATTCTGCCGGGGGAGCGTTAAGTGCGTTTGACTCATCATCTGATTCCCTCGTTCTTCGTATCGTAGTTTGACTACCGCTTTTTTTTCCCCCTCGTTTCGGCTTACTAGCTCTCACGCTTCCGTTTACTTCCGGCTGCTCTGACTCTTCTCACCGAGTTGAGTGCTGATGACTAATGTACTGCTATGTGATGCAGACTCCTTATGCGACGGAGGAGAGAGCACATCGAGTGTGAGTCGCGGCCGGGTTTGGGATGTCTGATCTATGGGACGAGCAAATGTCCGCATGCTAGGAAGCTTAAGACCCGGCTGAAGAGGTGGATGCGGATGCATGCTGTGGATTCTAGGCGATGGGTACTCCTGCTCGTGTCCTTACTACCTCTGTTTGCTGGGTGGGTGTGGATGGTTGGAATGATGTTACTTTGACTCGATGTGACCGGGTGACAGAACGATGCGTGGAGCTTGCAGCGGGTGGACAGTCTAGTACGGTGTACGACGAGGTCTTGGATTCCCTATCTATCTGAGTATGTTCTAACTAGGTACCTACCTATGTATTATAAGTCTGTATCAGCTAGTGCAGGGAACTGAGCAAGCAGCATATAATCTACAAGTCAACACAATATACGAGGCACCTAGTCCTCCTTCCCTCTCCGCTCCTCCCTCTCTTTCTCCCTAAGCTCCCTTCTATTCAGAATGAAATACGTCCCGAGCAACCCCGCGGACACCATCAACCTCCAGACATCGTCGTCGCCCTCCCCTCTCGCCACCAACCGCTCAGAAACCACCCACCCGTCCGTCAGCATGCCGATCCACAACTGCACCTCGCCCGTCCAGAGCAATATCTCCCTCATCCGCTGGGTTTGCGCCCACCCCCCGAAATACGCATACATCAGCGCGTGGTGTGCCGTGTTCGCGGCAGCAAACCACCTCCACCCTGCATGGCTCCTGGGCGAATCGGGGAGGACCCTCACAAAAGTCAGCCACGGCGTGGTGAGGTGGTGGAAGCCGAAGTGCAGATTGACGGAGCCGCCGGCCGCCGTGACGCTCAGGATGTCGAGGTATTCGTAGAACTTGGAGGCGTGGAAGAGGGTTCGAGCGGTTGCGTCGTATTGCGGGTTCATACCGGACAAGAGGATCAGCAGGAGGAGGACAAGAGAGGCGAGTGAATACAAGCGGTTGTTGTATTTCATGAAAGTTGGTGCGATGGTCTTAGAAGAGCCGTTAAGACGGACGTAGAGGGAGGTTAGCCCCCAGACGGAAAGGTAGAGCAGGGACTGGAGGGCCATGGTGGGCGGGGTGAAGATTGAGGAGGACATTGCCATTGTGACTATTGGTCTGCCCAGCTAGGATATGGCTTTTGGTTTGTATAAGGTAAGGCACAGCACTGATTGCAGCTTGGTTGAACCTGAAACTCCAGTTGCGGGTAGGTGTTGACTTATACCATGGTCGGTGATTGGAATGGATGAGTCATACGCCAATGTCACTGTGTTGGTATTCCGGCGTGGATGCGGACAGTGGAAGGGCAGTATCCCTGGGTGGTTCTCTCGGTCCTGCACGCCAGCTTGAGCCAATCGGAGCTGATTCACTGCAACACTTCCGTCCCGTGTCAGGTCATGCAATGGTGCCTATATTTATATACACATACGCCCCTGATATGCATACGAGTTGAGATGCTCTTCTTGCATAGCCTACCAACCTAGACGCCTTGCCACCGTCTACATATCAACCCCGCTCCGACGGTCCTGCTTGGCATATGCCGGGCCTCTACAATAACCGCCTCGCTGGGCGAATCAACGGCAAGTAGATCAGCAGAGGCGGTAGAGAGTGAAACCAAGTCGTTTAATGCATGAGATCTGGAGATGGACCCTAATGCCAGCAAGATTGGACCAGGGTTTCAGCTCCCGGATGCGGCTGGAGGACCCTACATTTCGAAGAGCCCAGATCACATCTCTCATCGAACACTCTGGTCGCCGCCGCTCCGTCCAGTTCTATCACAGTAGCCATACCATCATAGCTCGCCCGGCGGTAAGCGGAAGCTTCTCCGCCATGTAAGTCGCAAGCCACTCCAAGATCGTCGTTTATTAGCATCCGGGCAAAGGGCATAATAACCCAGCGGTAGGATCCATATACATCGTCAATCCGCACTGGCAAAGCGACGACTGTGGTTTGAAGACTGTGTGAGCATTGCTCAAGCTTCTGACCCCGGGACCCATCCAAACTTCCCCAATAAAGGTGCCGTCGCCTCCTTCTTGAACTCACCAACCCTCGGCATACCCCCACATCGGTTTCAGCAGTTCTAGAGAGGCATTGGCTATCAAAGAATGTACGCCGTCAGAGCTCCGCCATAGCTACGCCGATTCCCTGTACAAGGAGATCGGTGTCGATCCAAACTGGTCCGAAGAGTGGGATAATGCTACGACAAGGGCTACCAGTAGATGGATAAACGACTTAGAGAGTTCTCTCACCAGAGAAGATTTGTACTACTCACCGGGGAAGGTTGGGATTGGTCCCGGGCGCTGCAAGGAAAGTGACGTGATCTGCTTTGTTTCCAGAGCACAAGTGCCTCTCATCCTAACGAGGGTGCCAACGACCGGCAATATAGACCGCGATATAGTGGTGGGCGATACCCGTCTTAGATGGCAAATATACCCGCCTAAGAAGCCGATCGGCTGCTGCAAAGGGGTGAGCGCTTGACTATCGTTTGATTAGCACAGACTTACGACGAGAGCCATACACATTGGGTTGCCCGATCCAAACAGTAAATGGACAATCGGATCACTATACCCAACAGCAAACCTGAATCAACATAGCCATTAATTATCTAAGTAAAGCGCAGCAGGCCCCCGTCCCTTTCTCATCATATTCATTTATATCCTTCCGTCCACCACCGACCCGCGCTTCTCAGTCAGTGAGCCGTGAGGTTTGGGTCATACCCATACTATATTACTCCTCGCCCAGGCATGCTTCACGACGGCCAAACCCCGAAGATTCCGCATTAAATTCCGCGTGCAGGAAACTTGTAGTCTTCAAAATCAATCCTTGGATTCTAGAATGTGATGGTACCCGGCCAAGCATGCATCCCTCTGAAGGCATCAATGTGTTGCTGATCGTAAAAGCATGAGGCGATCATTTAAGGTGTGTTCCATTCGCCGCCATTTTCCTCCAAGCGTCGCTCCTTTGTCTCTGGGAATTGCGTCGTTTGCGGGGCTGGGGGCTGGGGTTTCGGATGGGCATGGGGTGGGATGATATCCTCATCCAGGCTGTTAAAGTTAAATGCCTTCCGCGACGTACCTCCGCTCTGGACCGGCGAAGTTACCAGTATCGCAGCCTTGCGATCATCAAGTCTGCGCTTGCGGAAGGATGTTCAAGTGGTGTCCACGACCGATAATGCTGACGACACCGCGGAGTGTCTTTTGCGAGTGGTAGTGGTATCTGCGCGTGACCATTTCCTCTTTCCCAGCTGGTAAACCACATCGTGCTTGTTTTGCATCCTCTCAAGCCGATCACTTAGTTCTTTCAACTGGGACTTCATATCCAGATGGGAACGGCTGGAATAGTCAAGCCTTGTCCGAATGGCGCGGCTCTCCTCTGCAAGGCCCCGTACGTTGACAAATCGTAGCCGGTCTTCAATTTGCGAGATCTTCCGATTCGCAGACTCAATGGAATTGAGCCAGTCCTGGGGAACTATGTTCACATCTGCTGGAGCGGCAGTCTCCTTGATCTTGGCGACCTCTTCCTCAATTGCCGAGACGTCGTAATTGGCTTTGACTGTGCGCTGGGAGAGCTTGAGCTTTTCCTCCAAGGTCTTGATCGTATCGGCGTGAGCAGTGGTCTTCTCAATTTCGGCACAACGTTCCTCAATCTTCGACATTTTGGCAAGGTGAAGACTGTGCTTGCTTTCTGCTGTGCGCTAGACTAGATCGAACTTCTCCTGCAGAGCCTTAACCGTATCTGCGTGAGCAGCGGTCTTCTCAATTCTGGCACAAAGGCCCTCAATCTCTGAGATTTTGGCAAGGTAAAGAGTATGCTTGCTTTCCGCTGTGCGATGCATGAAGTCGAACTTCTGATCGAGAGCTTTGACCGCATCTGACGGAGCAACAGTCTTCTGAACCTTGATCACAAGGGCGCGCAGTTCCTCAAACTCGATAGAAGAGACGGCGGCAGTGGCCCGGCTACCATGTCGTTGGTACTGGTTGGAATACTGTTGATCTGAGGAGGTGCGGGAAGTGCAGCAGCCGCAGCGCGGTTGTTCCTCGGGCCATGATTGTCGAAGTAGCGGGCAAGCATGTCGAAGGTTTTCTTGGGGTGCTTTTCCTCCTCGCGCCAGCCCATGGACTGGAGAGCGAACCAGACCGCTAGTCCCGGGATTGCAGCCCTGAGACATTCCTCAACGTCTTCGCGGTCATCGTGCCATTGAGCCCTCTCAGAAGCGCTCTCAGGTTCGGGGATATCCTCCATCAAATACTTGTCTAGATCCAGGCATTTCATAATGTTCAGAAATCTGCAACGCCAGATGGGAAACTCTTCCTGGGATCCCATTTTACCGACCGTCATGAGACGATGGGAAAGACGTCGAGAGGTCTCGGAATACTCCATTGCAACGAAAGGAACCACGTGTGCTCAGCCCTTTGTTCTTCTCTTCGAAGGCGGTGGAAAATGTAGCCCGAAGTTTGGTTCTGGCTGTTACGTCGAGGTTTGGGGTGGTCAGTCGGGGTAAAGTGCTGCTAAGTGGTCGGTTGCAGCGAGGGAAAAGTCGCTGATTTAACAAGTTCGGTAAAAGTCGGCGCTGGCGAAGAGAGAAATAAGCGCATAGGCTAACCTAAATCTGTTGCAAGGTAGGTTGGGTGCAACAGGAATCGCAGATTGCGAAATGTGGTAATCCCTATAGAGGCGATCGGTGGGATGAATCGAGGAAGAAGCACGATTAGAAAGTCGGAGAGCGGTTTCTTCTTCTGTACTGCCGGCGGGTTGCGATTAGACCAGGAGGTTCATCACATCTGGCCTGCTAATCTAGCCACCTTAGCTTCTGCATGGGGAACGATCTGCTCAACTACCCGTCGTAAGGGAAGTTACATTACATGGATACCTTAGATAGGTCAAGGCAGTAGCAATTTGAATTCATCACTTGGATATTATCTGACTAAAGTAGCATGAGGCTCTCTGTCCCTTCTCCGATGTCCTCGTCTGCAACCTTGCAGCCTATCACCAGCCCCCAATGAAAGTTCCTCCTGACTGTCAGTGAATATTGGGTTTGATATCCTGCTCTTGATCGATTCTCGTCCGGGCATCCTCCCTGACAGCAACAATATAAAGCTTCCGCATCAGGCTCTCCCATTTGAGGCTTTTTAGCTCTTTAGCATACTTTTCATACAAATCGGGATACTCTGTGGCGATGCCTTGAAGCGTCAGTAAGACGTATGCCTTATCGTTCAGCTTGAAGTCGGTTGAGTTGAGTCGGCAACGCAGGTAGTTGACCCGCATCAGATAATCCTCAAGTCTATCGAAGTTGGCACGCCGAATATTGACGAACTGCTGATGTAACAGGATCTCGTCTTGATCGGTACCCTTCGTGAAGTAATCGGTGAGCTTGTCGAAAGTCTTCTTGGGGTTTCTTGCTTCGCTGTCCCAGCCCATGCGCTTAAGGGCCGACCAAACTGCGGGTCCAGGGACCACAGAACGGAGGAAGTCCTCAATAACAGCGCACTCTTTCACCCAACCTTTTTCTTCCGCCGTGTTAATAAAATGTACTGCTCCTTCTTTTAGAACATGTCTGTCTAGTCCGACAGACTGGAGAAATCCCAGAACTCTCTTTTGCCAGGTAGAGAAGTCTTCTCAGCAGTTCATCTTGCAGATGTGAAGAACACGGTTCCCAACGCGTTGGGCAGTCGCGGAGTCCGTAATTTGCTCCATACTCATGATCGTTGCTCGAGGAACTGCCAAAGGAGCAAGGTCAATAAGTTTTCTCGACTGATATTCATTACAGAAAACACGCACTGCCAACTTTGATGTTGCCGTAGATACAGCCTTGGAGGTGGTGGTGAGGTTCGGTTCAGGCGCGAGGTCACAATATTTAATGAGTTAACAGGAGGATGACACCGCAAGTGCCCGGATCTGCTATTCAACGGATCTTGACTCAGTCCTGGTACCGACCAGGAGTTTGGTCAGCAATGCCGAAGATGGGATGAGAGGTTTGAAAGAGGTAAGCGACTCGAGGGTGCGACGGAAACTAAGGGAAAGGTAGAATCGGTAGAAATTTACGGTTCGTGGAAATTGAAAGGAACGAATGCCACATAATTGGTCGCAGAGCAGGTTGAGCGTGAAAATATTTGTGGAAGCGGGAAAATGTAATCGGTGACACGGTCCTGCGTAGTTTGAACCAGCGCACCCCCACTGAGTCCAGGGTGATGGGAAAATTGAGTTCGTAGAGCGGCAGAACACCATTCCCCGGTATTAAGTTCCTTTAGTTGTCGATTTGAAGACCAAGGCGCGCCGCTCGCCGATCCATGACCCGGCCCGGTCCGGTCGCATGGTTCGGGCCCGGCGTTGCGGTCGTTGCCGGGGCCAATCACGTCGCACACTCTGCAAGAAAGGGGCAAGTGGGGCCTCCGGTGTTGCGGAGCACCACAGTTGTTCCCGCGGCGATTGGGAATGTTTCCCCAGTTCCTGCCTGAAGCCTTTGAACCTGTATTCAACGCAGCCTCCTATCCGTGAGCACGCGCAACCACTTGGCCTCCCGAACCCAGTCCTACAATGATCCATCACCATCTCGCAGTAGTTGAGGAAGACATTCCCGCCATCCGCGTCGAGATCCCCACATCTGATGTACGCCACCGCATCGTCCGGGATCGCGAACTCGTACCGAGTCGGGATGGGCTCAGCCGTAGGCCGCCAGATGGCCGGCGGGAAGTGGAGGGGGCCGCCTGCCAGCAAGGTCGTCATAAGCGCGGATGAGATCGACTCCGACTTCTGACGACGGCCGCCCGGAATTCACTCGCGCCTGGGCTAGCACAAGCAGCGCGCGGTCGCGGACGGGGCGGGAACGCTGCCCTTGAAGTTTGCTTAGCGGCCGATGACGAGCTCCTCGAAGTCTGGAAGGGTCTTGAAGATAACCTTTGCCATGAGCCGCCACCCCGAGCCTGGGTTCGTAGGGGGTGAGTCTGTGCTGGAGCATGTAACTTGGCGTGATGCCGATCCAGCGCTCGTCCGTGAGAAAGAGTTGGCGGAGGTGGCGGCGGTAAGGAGAGTATCCTTTGGATATGGGACGTGCATGCATGCTGCCCTGGAGGCAAAGACACTCCGTGCTGGGGAAATTGTCGAGGAGGGCCATGATTTCGTTGGCGTCCCATCCCTGATCCACCGTCTTGAAGATGGCCATTGTCCGGATTATTGGCAGGTTGCTCTCCCTCAGCGCCCAGAGTTCCGCTCCCTGGACGCGAAGCACGCCATTAAAGGCATCCCGCACATGCTCGTGGAGGTTAAAGTCAAGGGCTTCCAGGTTAGGTAAGTAGCGGAAGATGATGGTCATGTACACCGTAATACGCAGATACAGGCTCTTTACCGTGGGCACTTGGCGCTTGCGGTAGTCAAACGCCTTGCGCGGCACGGGCTCCATCACTCTGACTCAAGAAGCTTGCTCAACTGATTAGACTTCCATTGGAACTTCATTTCATCTTGCCACAATTTCCTTGGCAAACTCTTTTTTTCTCAATATTGGATCAGGGATGCTTACAATATGTCTAAACGAGCGGAGTGTGAAAGACTCAGTAAAAGCCAAATTCGCAACAAACACGTCTGACAGTCTAGGTAGGTAGTAGTGAAGAACCAAGGATATGTCCTAACAACTCCATAAAACCTGCTCCTTCCCATGTATAAGCTCGCAGGACCCGGCATCCCGAGTATGCCTAACAACTGACTAGGAAACTCGACACTAAATCTATCTCAGAACCTCCCAATGCCATGCTCATAAATACTAAACCATCTACACTTTTCTCACCTCCTCTGCTTTAACAGACAATGCCGCCCCCACCGCCGCCGGAAGTTCTCCGGCACGATCCCCCAATCCGGCAACCACAGCGTCCTCGCCAGAAAATGCGTCTTCTCGGCGTCCAAGAAGGGCACACACTTGACCTGCTCCCATCTTTCGACATCCGCAACATAGTCCGGCTCGTTGGGCGGCAACTCCCCCACCTGATCCTCGTCGCCCACCGCCGAGCGCTCGGAGAACTGGGTATCGACCAGGAAAACACACGTCTTCAGGTCGACATACTTGCCCAGATCCTCCTCGTTGCGATCGTTCAGCCCGGTCGTCGGCAGCCAGGTCCCGCTCCAGAAGCCAAAACCCGTGCGCGCCTCGGAGAACTCGCCCGGCAGCAGGCCGCGGAACTCGGAGCGGATGAACTTGGCGTGCATGTCGCGCGGCAGGAAGAAGGACGAGGGGAAGCGGTACCAGTCCTTGCCGAAACAGACCGTGTCGCCCGCCCCCCCGACGGTGCCGTCGGCGAGGGGCTTGTAGATGGACAGGGGCGCGTGGTAGCCCGAGTAGAGCCCCCAGATGCGGGCGAGGCCGATGTCGACCGACGCGAGGAGGCCCAGCGCCACGACGGCAAGCTTGGCCTTGGCCGGGATGCGGCCGACGAGGGAGCCAGGGTCGGCGTTGCCGAAAAGGGAGAGCAGGATGTGCAGCCCCAGGGCGGCGTTCAGCGCCAGGAAGGGGTAGGCCGGGTACATGAACCGCTCTTCCTTGTGCGGCTGCAAGGTGAATATGGCGAGCCACATGTAGAAAGGCGAGAGAAAGACGAGAGTGCGCAGGCCGGACTGGAAGGACTCGCCTGCGCTGCGCCGGGAGAAGAGCTTTTGGAGGAGGAAGAGCGGGAGCGAGAGGAGCGCGAGGATGAACCAGACGTTGAAATTCAGGAGCAGGTTTCTGAAGTAGAAGGTCCATGGTTCGGTGCCGTAGAGGTTGGGCCCCCCGGTGCTAGAGAAGATGTTGTACTTGATGATATTCCAGGAGACGACCTCGACTTTCTTGTAGAAGAAGGTGTTGATGGCCGTGTCGAAGGCCTTGGCATAATCTTAGCACGGAACGTCGGAGAACATTAGAAAAGGATGTGAGCTTACAACGAGGAGTAATGTTGCTACCACGCCGCGAACTAGCCTAATAAACGACTCGAAGAAGCGTTCCTTGTCACCCACCAATGCGAAGAAGACCTCCTCCGCCACAAAAGGGGCGCACAATGCTATGGCAAACGGCCAGCCGAGGACACCCCCCAGAGCGAACCAGAACATTCCCTGCGACGTCTTGAGCCCGCCGCGCCAGTTCATGAACGCAGACGCGCCCACCATGGCCATGTACATGGCGAAGCTGGACGGGAGGTAGGCTGTGCTGGAATGGAAGTTGCCCGGGCTGAAGACCAGCGCCACGATGAAGAACAGGCCAACACGCGGGTTCACGGCCAGACAGACGGTACGCCACATGAGCGTCTGGCTGAGCGCGCAGACAAAGGCGAGCAGGTACCGAAGGAAGTAGAACTCGGCCACCTTGGACGAGTGCGGCAGTAGGCGGCGAACGTTGGCCCCGAGGGCATGGATAGCGATGTACAGCCAGCTGCGGATGGCGTAGTCCGGCGAGTACTCCCACGTCTGCAGGCCGTATCCATGGCTGAGGTAGTGCGTGGGCTCCCAGTAGTTGAAGGTCTCGTCACAATCCTGGATCGGGGAGAAGACGGCCGAGATGAGGTTGGCGCCGAGGAAGATATAGAATGCCGAGATGGGCTCCATGGCAAAAGCATCCTTGATCGCCCTGGCGAAGACGTGGTCAGCCAGCCTGCACTTCCATCCACGCTTCTGGACATGCCGAGCTCACTTTTTCCGGGCATGCTTGGCCGATGGATGAATGAATTCCGGTTTGCCCTTTTCTGGCGCAGCCTTAGGTGTGGTTTTAGGCGCCATGGTTGCACTGGTCCCTGGCCAGGCTCGATAACTGAAGTCACGCGTATGAACGGAGCTTAGATGTTATCTGGTCAATTGTTACCGGTACTCTATGACAACTTGAAGACTCTCACAGTGACGTGACCTCAACAAACTCGGAACGGCTGCAGCAGTTTGTTGAGTGGCACCCGATGATCTGGGTTCCTGACTACGCTAGTACATAGACGGTATAGCGCTCCCGCGGTGGCCCAAGCGGCGTTGCAACCTTGAATGATTGCTTGCAGACTCAACTTTTTTAGATCCGACTTTTTTGCCTTCCTCTTCGAGTTGAAGAAATCGGCATCATCATTTCTGAAGTGATCAGCATTTAACACCCTCCCACCTGGTTGTCGGCCGTCTTGCCTGAGATTTTGATTTTTCATCGACCTATTTTGACTCGGGGCCTTGTGATTTGGCTCGTGTCCAGATTTGCCCCGTGTGTCTTGCGGTTCACAGGCTGAAGGAGCTTTCGTCACGAAGTGTGAAAGCGCTTCGCACAGCACTCCAAGTTGGTGATTATCTGTCGCAGTCGCCATTCATCGAACTGTCATTGGCCGCCGTTGCAAGAAGGTGTCGACAGCCACCGGCCGGTCGACAACATGGCGGGCACGCCTTTTGAAATTCCTGGTCTCGGCCAGGCCAAACCGAATGAGCAACTGCCAAAAGAGAACTTCACCCCCGACCTCCTCGTCGCAGCCGCAAGTATATTGGGGGAGCACGGGCTCATCGGGTGTGGTACTAACGGGAACGCGCAGTGGGAGAGGAAGCAAAAAGAAGAACAAGAGAAGCAACAAAAAGAGGAGGCAGCAAACACAACAACAATGACGGACCAGGCAGATAAGGGTTTGGAGGTGGACACCGGCCACATCATTACCACAGCACCTCATCAAAACGAAAACCAAGACATCACGATGCAAGGCCAAGACTCCAAGAGCGCGGAACAAAACCAAGATATTAAGATGCAAGATCAAGGTGCGAGAAGCGAGGAGGCCCAAAGTGCCGACACCGGCATGAAGGACAGCGACGGCACGGCGAGTCACGACCTGACGCGTGCCTTGGAAGCCGCCCTTGAGTCGCACATTGAGGAGCCTGCTGGACCGACTGAGCAGCAGGGTGGAGGCAGCGCCGCCGAACAGCAACAGGGTGCGACCGATGCGCAGCAAGAAGGGGAACACCCAGAGTGGGAGGTTGACTCGTCGCCTTACGTGTCGTCCTCAGAATCTTCTAGCTCTGACAGTTCAGATGAGGATTCGGAAGATGAAGGCGGTCATCCTCTTCTCAGCATCGAGGAAACTGCCCGCCTGCTGATGGCTGCTGACGGAGACGGCGAAGGAGATGGCGATGGTGCCGGAAAATCCAGGGGCGCCGGTTCGGTACTCCGTACGAAGAACGAGATGCCCGAAGAGGTCCTTCCCAAGCCCGAGGTCACCATTACCCCAGAAATGAAGATCGAGCCTCTGGGAACTATCGAGACCATTCTCGAGAACATTGTTGTCATCAAGTCGCAAACTCCAGGCGAGGTCCAGGTCATCGAAGTTGGCTCGGTGGTCTGCAAAGAGGACAGAACAGTTATCGGCGCGCTGTCCGATGTCTGGGGCAACGTGAAGGACCCTAGGTACACGCTGATGTTCGCCGAGGAGGACGAAATTAAAGAACTCGGGCTGGCGGTCGGGATGCCCGTCTATTACTCCGTCGAGCACGCCCAATATGTCTTTACCCAGCCTTTGAAAGAAGTCAAGGGCACTGACGCCAGCAATCTGCACGATGAGGAAGTGGCAGCCGACGAGATGGAGTTCTCTGACGACGAAAAGGAGGCAGAGTACAAGAGACAGCAGAAGATGAAGAAGCGCGGCGGAAAAGGTGGCCGCGGAGGACGTGAGCAGAGCATTGCGACCAGTCACACAATGTCCCCCAGGCAAGGTCCTGGTGCCAGCCTCAACTACGACGATGATGAGGATGGACCCTATAGACCCTTGGCCCGACCTCCTGGCTATGGTCAGGGCGGCCCGTCATCACTTCCCAATTTGCCCCCTAGGCCCGAGACCGGGTTCAGTCCGCCTCGTGGCGGACGGGGTCACGGTCACCGCGGATCCCATCGCGGCGGGCGTGGTGATTTCCGGGGACGCAACAACCGTGGCGGTCACCGTGGCGGCGACCGGAGACGCGGCTCGCGGGGAGGTGGAAGCGGAAGTTATCCGCAGTTTGGCCTCGATGGCGCGGCTTCGCCGCAAGCACCTTTCTCTAGCCTCCCACCGCCTGCTCCCCAGAATCCGCACCTGCCCCCTCCCCCCTTTGGTGCGAAGCCTCCGGTGCCCGCCGGCCATTGGCCTACCCCTACCGCCCCCTTTGCACCCCCTCAAGTGCCATACCCGCACCCGCCGTCAGGTCGGCCGCAGATGCCCCCTACCCATCATCAGCCCCCGGCGGGTGATTTCACCTTCAACTACCAGGCCTGGAACCAGACCCAAGGCCAACAGTATCAATACCCTCCTGCGGCTCCTCACCATCCGCCGCCTGCTCCCCATCAGCCGGCCCACCCGACTGGCTATGCGCAGCCGCCTGTGCCTCCGCAAGTCCCTGCTTGGCCGATGGCCAGCGCCGCTCCGCAGGTGTCTCCAGCCACAGGCGCATACAACCCAGCTTTCTACGGCGGCTACCAGCAACCGCAGCAACCGCAGCCGGGACAGGAGTACTGGACCCAGCAGCAGCATGGCAGTTATGGTCGGGGGCCAACCCAGTAATGGCTGCTTTTCAGTCTTACACGTCTCTTGAATGATGACTCAAGAGAGTCTCATGGCAGCCTGCACTTTTCTCAGGTTGCTGCACCATGTATCAGCATTGGCTTAGAGACAACGGTCACAGCTGGTACATTAGGAGCGATATTCACAGCCGAAGCAGCCCGGCCTTCTGCAGAGACAACTAAGGACGTCATTGAGCGATGATATATCCCACCAAGTCTCAATTAGGATTTACATTGTACGGAGTAACTCGGCATGATTTTGCTGCATTTGTACGCTACCTTCTCATCATGTACGGATACATCAACTTCGCAATGGGCTAGTCGGAGTTGAGGACGCAAAAAATATGATGCATAGAGGACAAGGAGCAGTTTCACCCCTGTCTGACTGCTTTGCTCCTCAGTGGTTACGTTAACACCAGGAATATTGTGCGGAATTGAACACAATGTGTACACTACGGATTACGGATACCACTATCTAGCTGTCTCTCGCATGAATCTTCGCGTGTATGCATTGGAAGCCTTGGTTCTCCCAAAAATGATCAGCGACTGTCTGTTCAACCAGGGAAGTGATTGTCGCCATCACCGTAGCCATCCAATCCGCTATTTCCAACTGTTGCCGTCCCGTCCAAATTCCCTCAGCGTTGTCGGCAGTTAGGAGAGTCAAAGTGAGTTACCACGGTCCTATCTCCGTTGGCTTTAGTTCCCGATGCTGTTCATTTTATCCTGATCGCGATTCCGTAACGCGTTCGCCTGGTCAAGTGCCCGTATTCATATCATTCCGAGAGTGGAGTAATCCGTAAGGGGTTCGCGTGCTCACAACGTGCTACTCCACGTGCCGGATGAACCGATATCGCGATTGTTTCAGAGGCTGGCCTGGTGCTACCAAATTCCTCGTTTGTTCCCCGCAAGAAGCCTGGAAGGCGTTTGCGATGATCACTGATCCAAGAGTCATTGGCCCGCAACAGTTCCGCCTTTTGACAGATTGACAGAGCCAGAGTCCTCAGTCGGACGACTTTTGTTTGCCCTTACGAAGATAGGGACTGTACGTTTTGGCATTTATGTATTGTACCTCCGTGCAGTGTATGCAGTGTATGCATCGAGAGACACTCGCCAACCAACGGGGAGAATGGTCGTTCCGAGAATAGAAACTGTAAACGTCGGCATGGCACTGCACCTGTCACACGGCAGGGTGACTCAGCCACAAGAAGTTCCAAGCCATGAAGACCATCTGCACCTGACGCACTTCGCACTTCTCCCTCGAATGTCGTCGAGCTTTTTGATCACAGCAGATTTCCGGAATCGCTCTCGCAAGACCCCCGGCCACAGGCCTAGCGTGTTGTGCACGACGCGGGGAGGAAAGCAAACGAACCTTGAAGCTTGTGACCTTTCACGCCATTCCCACGCCTGCAGGACTTAGGTTTGGCAGGACCCCTGTCAGCAATTTCGCTTCCTGGCTGATCATCCCGCCAACCAATCAGACGGAGCTGGTCCCTGGAACGGCGTTGAAGAGGTACCACCTTCGCACACAGAACACGTACAAGGAAACATCCCGTCGGGACGGACAAATGACAAAGTGCCTCTACTCCGTACCATCCAGTTATCCGCTGGGTTTAGAAGGCTGCACTCTTCGTATTTCCTATGCCAGGTCAATGCAAGAATATGAGGAGCCGGGCTCATTCAGCGGAGCTGCAATATCTCGGAAACGACTGCGGCACAGCATTCGTTCGGGCAGTTCATTGCCTGCAACTCTGCAACTCTTGACGCTTTGCCGGCACCCTGTCAGCGAAGGATTGAGCGGCACACCAACCCACTTGCAGATCTCTGAGGCCCGAGCCCCCTGCTTTCTGCGGACAACAGGGCTCCCCTGGCTGATGGTTAGCGCCAACAGCTCCTCCTCCGGCAGAGCACAGCGTCTTCCCACTCCTCTTTGGCGCCTCCTCTGCGGTGCTCCAACACCAGCGACTATCTTCCATCTGGTGTCGTCGTCGTCCACTTCTTCGTCATGTGGATTAGCTGAGACCTGAGATCTCATCGTTGCCTTCATTTGGGAAATACCAACTGTCTATTCCTTCCTTTCACTTGAGACCAGCCGAGCCGCTGTATCCGCGCCCGCTGTTCCTTTGTTCTCCTTTCTCAGTCAATCTCACAGATCGCAACGGCGCATATTTCCATTCTTGATGCACACCGGAAAGTAGATGCTTTCTGGGCGGGAACGATTATTATTTGGCAGGTAGACCTGGAAAGCCAAACCGGAGCATCTGGGATTACATCGGTCAATTCGACGACAGCAGAGGGACTCTTCAGCAGCGAACAGCGCGCTTTCAGCGCGCCAGACACATAGGAACCATGGAGGCTGGGGAACGTTGGCATACAGTCAGGCATAAGATCGGGATACCGGTGAAAGGCGGCTTGCCGAGGATGAATCCCGGGCGACGGGCTCTCGACGAGACCCTTCCTACCGAAGTACTGCCTACCGAAGTCATTGCTCCCACGGAGATCTCCATGAGCCTCGAGTCGACAATTGTGGTTGCCCCAACTTCGACAACAAGCTCAACGAGTACCATCCACAGCGTAACTGTGACCCCGACAACGGCGATTGCGTCAAAACCAACAGTAACCGCGGATCCAAGCGACAATGACGGCGAAGGAATGAGCGTAGCGACCAAGGCCGGCATCGTGATCGGTGCGCTCGGCGGCGTTTTGGTTGTGTTCGTGCTAGTGTACCTGGTCATCAGCGCGCGAAGAAAGAAGATGGAGAGGCGTAGACAGCAGATCGAGGACGACGAGAAGATCAACGGACCGTTCGCCGACAGCGCCGCCATCCCACCGCCACCCCCGAGCAAGGCCCCGAGACTTAGCCTACGGCCCATGAGCAAGTTGCTTCCCGGCCTCAACGGCCCATCCCACGCCGAGCGGAGAGACAGCCGTGGCATCGCCCTGACGCTCAACCCGGTCTCCAGCACGTCCCTTTCGCCCCTGAACCGACCTCCGGGGACCAGCGCGTGGGAGCGCCCCACGCAGCGTTCGGCCATAACCACCCCCAACGGCGGTGACAATTACCGCCCCGGCACGAGCGGGAGCCTGCACCCCAACAACCCGTTCCACGACAACCAGCGCATCCCCGACGAGCCGGTCAGCCCCATCAGCTCGGTGAGCGCGTACAGCCACCGCGGCGTTGGTGTCGCCACCACAACTGACTCGATTCCCGAACCTGTCTCCCCCATCGGCGGCGACGACGACGACCATGGACTCGGCTTCGAGTCAAGCAACGGCCCCGCCGGGTCTCACCTGACCCGAAACACCTCAGTCCGCAAGGACATCCCCAAACCGCTCGACCTGACGAAACCACCATCCCCGCTGTATGCCGTGCCGCCCAGTCCGTCAGGCACAGAGTACTCGATGCATTCTATATCGCCAGGGCAGTTCCCGGTCCCTACTCCCAGCGCAGCAGCCATTGCCGCCGCCGGCGGGCCCTCCCATTCGACTGTGCACCGCGTGCAGCTCGACTTTGAGCCAACCCTAGAAGACGAGATGGAGTTGCGAGCGGGCCAACTCGTTCGCCTGCTACACGAGTATGATGACGGATGGGTGCGTTTCTTTTCACTTCATATTCCTCACTCTTCAGACTCACCCCTCCCCCGTTTCCCTCCCCCCACAGAATCTTCGCCATCATGTATGAAAAAGACGACAAACTAACGGCGTCATGCTGCGCAAACAGGCATTGTGTATCCGCATGGACCGCTCCGAACAAGGCGTCGTCCCCCGAACCTGCCTCTCCACGCGCCCGCTGAAGCCACGACCTGCGCAGGGGGGGAATGGGCGGACCGGGCCACCCGTGATTCCGTCGTTCCCCACTGCGGGTGGCGGTGGTGGGAGGGACGGAAGGGGCCCAAGTCCGTCCGGATTCCGAGGCGACGGCGCGGCGAGTCCTGCGCCTGGGCAGGCTTATTAGTCTTGTCATGATTGAGACACCGCGGCCGTGCGGGATGTGTGATGAGAGAGAAGGTGGTCTTCTGAACTGAACTACACTGCACTGAAGGGCGGTAGGGATTGCAGAAGGAGATTGGTGGGGAAAAGGGAGGTTACCTCATAACTCAGAACAGGTGCCGGGATTGAAGCTCGTCGATTTTTGGTTATCCATGGGGTGGGGCGGGATGGCGTTTAGGAAAGGGGCTGGTGTATCGGGGTTCAGAGGCGAACAATGACCTTGAGGGATGATGTTCGATGGATGGGTTGGGAATTGGGTTCGTTGGCGTGGAGGTTCCATCTTCGGGGATGGATGGGATGACTCTTTTTTACCCGAAAATTCTGTGCCGCTCGCTGTGGTCGACTGGTTGCATCGCTTAAATTCCCTTCTGGCACACCTCGGAGGTGGTGGAATGACGTTTTTCGGGGTACATGTTTGGATGCTGAGGCTGTCCTACCTGTCTGGGGTTTCGATTCTGGCTCGCCGGTTCTTGTGGATGATATATTTACTTCTGTCTGTTGTGGCTGGAATGGAACGTGATGTGTCGAACTTGTCTACTTAGCTCACTTGAGCGAGGGAACTGATCCTAAGGTTCCAGCCCACCCCATGCTACATCCCTTCCGCGCAACAGCATACAAGTCGAAAGAAGGCTTCAGATCGGCAGCAGCACCTCTTCGTGAAGCGAAGACAAGACAGACCAATGTAAGTGGGAAAAAAAAAAAAAAAAAAAAAAGAAAGGCGTGTGATACTCGTCCCCCGACTACCCCTTGTATGAAAGGTCCAACTTATCTGGCACTGGCATCCCATCACGTTCACGTTCTATCGGGTACCGCTGGCAGCCGCTCTAACTTTGGTTCACATGATGTGGACTTGCATTTCTATTCTCCTTTGTTTGAGCTTGCCCAATGATCTCCGCCGAATATCCTGCGGCATCCTCGAGGCTGATACGTGTCCACATGAAGAAACACGTCCAGGAGAGGACCCGCCGGAGGCAAAGCCATACAACATGAGATCCGTCCCAACCGAGACAAAGGTTGGCGCATAAATGAGACGAGTCCCCTTACCAGGATGGCCCTCTCATGATAGCACGTCTTCATATACTGAGCGATCTCACATGCCAATGGTCTGGCGGACTCCGATTTGATGGAAATAGATCAGCCAGTTATTCGGCCTGGGACCCCTCTGCACGGTAAACGGCGCGTCCTCGAGTTTATCTCCCTCCAGGTAATGCCCTTCCAACAACTGGGCATCGGGGCCACGTCTCTCAGGGAGCTCTGGCAGCCCTAGCACGAAACGGCGCTTGTCCGGCACACGGACATCGAACAGCTTGCCGAAGAAGCGTGTTTCGCTGACCCGCTTGTGCCAGGGCCGCAGGTCGCTCGAGTCGAACCAGATGCGCAGCGCCTGGAGGTCGGGCAGCTTCACGAGATGGTCGCACACACGCTGCCACGGGTTGTTCCGCATGGAGAGGAAGGGCCGGGCCCTGCCCGCGAAGACGGCGGGTGGTCCTTCGTCGCTGCCCGGCCCGCCCGTCGGGTAGTAGATCTCGGTGAGGATGTTGGCCGCGCGGATGCAGAGTTCCAGTGAGCGGAGTGGGTAATGCCCCGTGTCCTTGCTATAGAGAGCTAGGAACTCCTCTGCTGTGTTCGTGTCGGTGAACACGAAGGTCGTGTTGCTATAGAGCGATGGCAGGCACTCGACATACCTTGCTTTCTCCATTAACACTTCCATCAGGCTTAGCGAAGGATTGTGGGGTCACTCACATCCTTTTACACGTCCTCAGAACATCCAAGAACCCGGTCCTCGTTGACGACCTAATACTACCAGCCCGGTTCGTTGCAGCAGTATGACGGTGGTCCTTCCGATTCTCTTCACAGGCCCAGTGCAAGCACCACTCACTCTTCAACCGAGCTCCCCAGACCGTCCGGGAGGCCGAGTCGTTCTCGGCGGCATACTGGGCCATCCGGATATCCTCAGCGGACGGGTCCGTGATGCAAGGTAAATGAGACCACTCCAGAACGGTCATAGGATCATACTGGCCAAGGATTATGTGCTGCCGGGAAGAGGAGAGGCGCCAGAACTCAACGTAGATGAGGTTCCGGATTTCAGCGGGGAGCACTCCGAAGAAAGGCGACGAGAGTTGGGGTTCCGCGGTGAGATGGAAGGACTTGGTGTCAATGGGCTGGCTGGCCATGGTGGGTGGCGGTTGGAGGCCGAATCGAATTATTCGACTCCGTTACCAGGCCGGCCACTCTTTCTCAGGTCTCGAGAGACTCGGGGATTGTTTACACTGTGACGGCGTGGTGTGCGGTAGAGATGTGCTCTCTGCAGTTCGCTGCCTGCATGAAGCTGGCGGCCTCGGAGCGAAAGTCTGCCGTTCCCCGCACCATTTCCGACGCTGTTGCCTCACAGTCCGTAGAAGAGCCACGCAATGGGCCACGCAATTGGCCATCCTTCTAAAGTATGTACTTACTTTTGATTAGACGGCCACGCTCAGCTTCAAAGGGCAGAAAATCAGACCCCAAATAACTTGTTAAAGATGGAGCATCCTCTGCCAGGAGAGGCACGTCTCCGCGGGCAAAATCCAGGACAGACTGATATACAGCACGGAGAGCAGGATCCGGACTGTCAAATGTTGCCTGGTGCTGCCTTGGGAGTACACTCTGGTCTCTGCAAAAGGCAATCGGTCGATGTGGGAGCAAGAGCAATGCTTGGGAGAGTCTCAGTCAAAGAAGGCTGAGCCAGCATGCCATTACCTGATGTTTCGGGCAGCTTATCAGCCCATCGATACAGGTACTAGTCACAAGACATGCAAGATCTATGGAAGTCAACACGAAGTAAACTTTGTAGTATGGAGCTCCGTACGGATACCGTACATAGCTGCAGACTGCAGTGTAATCTGAAACTCGAGGTGACAGAAGCTGCCCCCCTGCGAGCCCTACACTAGGTGGTTGACTTGCTGAAGGCACGGAGCGATGAGCTGAATCCCGCGCGGCCCGGCTTCTGGAATCTTCCCGGCCTTGACAAATCGGGCTGAATGTGGTCGGGAATTGAACCAATGCCCCACCTTCCCAACCATTGGCCCCGCGGCCGGGAGGCTGCAGCGGGCTGACTTAAAGTGAGGTGACGCCTGAAGCTGCGCCGAACGCCGGCAACCGCGAGGTTCAGCCATCGCCGGGACAAACAAAGAGTGGGAAGCGTTTGCGGCAAGATAATAACCTTCCGTTTACACTGATCCAGTGTGGAAATAACGTCCGCCGGCCCATCTTCTCCAAACGCGTCAACAAGTGAACTTCTAGCACAGGGCCACGTACCTGCGCGCCTCCCCCCTTGAAGTCGACGGAGCAAGACAAACAAACCATGTCGTGACTTTCTCCAATTCAAATATGGCGAAATCATTACAGCTCAAGGAAGAGGGCAACCGCCACTTCCAGGCGGGCGAGTACCCGATGGCCGATGCCATCTACTCAAAAGCGTAGGCCACACACACAAATTGCCTGAACCTGCCCGCGGCTGGCAGAGAGAGAGAGAGAGAGAGTTCTGGTTGCAAAAGGAGCTAATGAAAAGATATATATACCGCGCGCATCCCAACAGTCTCATCGTAGACCCGAGCAACCCCACGCTCTACACGAACCGCGCCAATACCCGGCTGCGGATGTCGCAGTGGGACAATGCCATCGCCGACTGCAACGAGTGCCTCAAACTATCACCCGACAACATGAAGGCGCACTACTACCTCTCACAGGCCCACCTCGCCCTGCACGCGTACGACGACGCGCTGGAGCACGGCCTCCGGGCGCACAGCCTGTGCGTGAAGACGCTGGACAAGGGCCTGGGCACCGTCACGACACACGTGCTCAAGTGCAAGAAGGAACGGTGGGACGACATGGAGAAGCGGAGGATACGGGAGACGTCGGACCTGGAGATGGAGGTGGTGGAGTTGTTGGAGCGGGAGCGGGATCAGGCGCTCCGCGAAGCTGAGGCGGCGGATCTGGACGAGGGGAGCCGGAAGGAAATCCGGGACGAGTGGGAGCGCAAGATCGAGAGGATGCGGGACGTATTTGAGAAGGCGAGGCCGAAGGAGGAGAAACGGAGGCAGGTTCCGGACTGGGCCATTGACGACATCAGCTTCTGCGTCATGGTCGATCCTGTTATTGTGAGTCTTGCTTTGCTGGGAAGCTTGCCCTGGGAATGGGCAGAGTGATTTCTAACTGTGATGGCAGACGAAAACCGGCAAATCCTATGAGCGCGCCTCCATCGTCGAGCATTTGCGCCGCCAGCCCCAGGATCCGCTTACTAGAGAACCGCTGTATATCGCCGAGCTCAGGCCGAACCTCGACCTCAAACAGGCCTGCGACGAGTTCCTGGAGGAGAATGGTTGGGCCGCGGATTGGTGAACGGCCGGTCCGGAGGTGGCCATCTCAGCAGTTTGACGGAAAACACTGCACATTGGCGGCTGGCATCAGGTTCCATGCATGGCGCGGCGTTATCGGCTTCGGCGGGGTTCACTTCTCTTCTCTCTTCAGACAACGGTTTCTAAGCCTATGATTTTATGAATTTGGAAGGCAGCGAATGAGCAGATCTAGCGACCCTCATAAATACACCACTTCATGCTTTCAAGCTCCAACCGCCTTCGCGAACCAGCTCAATATTGCCCACCTGCCCTGGCCCTCGCGCCGCCGGCCAGTCTTGGGTGTCCTCCAGGCCACCACAGGTCCCGTTAGCCCATGCCACCGCCACCTTTCTCTCTTCATTTCTTCGTTTTGCTCCTACATCCCCGCTCCTTCCTCCTCAAACGTCGCTTTCTCTTCTCTTCCCCTTGACCTCCACTTGCCGACTCCTTGAACGCGACGACGACCACCACCACCCATTGTCCAGGACAAGGCCGATGAAATGCGTGTCTGTCCTGGCAGTGAGCGTTTGAAGCAGCTCCCTATGATTGGTGGTCTCTTCGAGAACAGGACTGTCTAGTTCGCCACCACGGTAATGCAATAAGATCACATTCCCCGACGCAGTGAGGAGCTGGTATCATTAGGTTTTTCACTACAATACAAGTATCATCTAGTGTGCATGACAAACGGGGGGCATACAATGCCAAACCACGGAGGACTTCTATATGTATAGCACATGCAAAGCCCCCATTGCCATGGCCTATCACCTCCGTCCCTGAACCTCACATGAAAACGAGTGCAAGACCAACCGGCGTCGAAACACTCCGCAGCCTCCCATTAAGCTCTGCCACTCATGCCATCCAAACACACCAGATACATACCCCATACAAGTCCTGTAAGGTCTAAGCATGCCGCCTCCCATAACCCGACAAGAGAACCTCTCCTCATCATGCTTCATGCTGTCATGTCATGATCATGCTGCTTCGACTTAGGCCGCCTTCTATCCAAGCATACGCTATATACCCCCAAAAAAAGGAAAGGAACCGTCGAAAAGACAAAGGCACGAAAAATCACATGAAACCTCCCCCATTCCCACCACCGCCGAACGGTAATGGCGGCAACCTTGGTAGCGGCTTATCCTTATCCCTATCCCTATCCTCCTCCTGCTCATTTCTGTTGGCGCTCTCGCTCCGTCTCTTGTCTCTCAGCCGCCGCCGATACTTCTCATGGTCTGGTATCTCTTGCTCCAGCCCCTTCTCGTCACTTTCGCCTCCAGCCTTTCGCGAGGGGCTGGTATTATACCCCTTGGTGATACTGTGCCCGTACAACCGCGCAGCAGCAGCGGGCTCCTTGTCGTCGCGATACTCGTGCTCTTCCACGTGGTAGTAGTAATCGCCGTCATCATCGTCGCTATCGTCGTACTGCTTGCCACTACCTCTCAGCGCGGGCATCGATGTGTGTGAATCGCCCTTGACCAGTCCCAGCGTTTCTTCCTCGGTCGCCCCGCGCATCTGTGGGCTGGAGTAGCCCCGCGACGAAATCCTCTGTCGACGGTGGTCACTGGGCCCGTCGTTCCGGCGGCCAGGGGACTGGCCGCGTTTGAACATGTTCTGGAAGGAAAACTGACGGCGGGCGGAGTGCAGCGGTGGCGTTGGCGGTGCCAGTCCTGCGGAGTCGGCGAACTGTACGTGCTGCGTGGATCCCGAGCCTTCTTCACCTGTGACGGCCGATCTGTACTCTTCGGGTTCGCCCGGCTTTGGCCCCGCAACGGATATTGATGTTAGCTGGACCGGGTGCATTGGGCTCTGCACTTTCGGTGCGTCGGCGCCCTTGCGGAAGTCAGGGTGCCCTGGGAGGACACTGCGTGCTTTTGTGCGGATGGTGCCCACGATGCTGGAGAGGGCCGGACTAAGGGGCCTGTTCGCTTCGGCAAGCTCCTCTTCGGTTGGGAAATGGGACCACCCTAGAGGCGGATGAGGAGTTGGTGGCGCGAGGGAAGGGGGCGCCGGGGATTTGATCGACCTGTGCGTGCTGAACGTTCCGGTCCTGGCACTGCTGAATGTCCCTGTCCTCCGCCGTCTGATGCCATCCCATTCATATTTTGGCACACCATTCTCGTCGACCGACTCAAGGGTTTCCTGCATCTTTTCCTCGTGCAGGCGCTTCAACTCTTCAAGCTCCATCTTCTGCCGTGCTGATGAGAGCCTCCTGACAATAGCGGCTGCGCCTCTAATGGCATCGGCCTTCGGTTCTGTCTCGGGCTGTGGCTGCTCCGCAATGGTATGTATCTGGTCCAAATCTCCGGTGAACACAGCCGCGTCCGGAACGTCTTTGGCGGACTTGGACAGCTGGAGGAGCACCACTCCCGAGCATATGGTCAAAAAGCCGTTGACCACTGTAATGATGGACGTAGGTGTCCCTTTGAAACCGCGGAATAGGACAGCCGAAGTGATGATCGTCGTACTGGTAAAATAAACATAATAGGTAGGCGTCACTAGCGCAGCGTTGAAGAGATTGAGCGCTTTCTGTTACTTCGTCAGTACAAATGCAGATCGGAGAGGTATCATCAACGGGCTCACATTCAGGTAGATTATTTCTGTCAGCAGGGTCGCAATGACAAACACTAGGAGGACGTAGAGGAACCACTGGTTGAACTGCGGAGTCCCGCCGGCCTGGGCGATGATGGCAGCACCTAATCCCTGCGTCGCAACAACACTGAGACCCCCGATCCAGCTGCAGATCGAGATATAGACGAGCATGTTCTTGTTTCCGTACTTTGGCCCCAACCAGAATGCCACAATGACGGAGCCAACAATGATGACGCCGGCGTAAGTCAGAAAAGCAGGATGTATGACGAAGCCCTGCATCTCCTGGATGGTTGCGACAGACGAGTTTTCGGGCGCATTCATGACAATGACCACGGATCCGACGATGCAGAGAAAACAGGCGACCTTGCCGACCATGCTCAGCCGTTCCTTCAGGAATATAGCCGACAGGATCGTGGTGATAACGACCGAGAGCGCCCCGAGCGGCGTCACAAGGATGGCGTCCGTGAAGGCGTATGCGGCAAAATTGAGCCCCTCACCCAGAATCATCAAGGTCATGCCGGCCCACCAGTAGAAGTTCTTGAGGTATCCGTACCCTTCCCCGGCAACTTCGTTGTATTTCTCGTTCGCCCTGAGCAGTCCAACCTTCTTGAGCACGAACGATGTCCCGATGAACGCTCCAGATCCGACGGCCAGCCCTATGCCGATTGCCTTGAAGGCCGGCGGCCTCTCTCCGGGGACGGCAGCGCCGGAGCGGGTGTATAGTTCGTGCGCATGGCTGATGGCCTGCGCTGCGCTCTCCATGGCTGTGCCAAGGAGCCGACACGACGATTAGATCGTCAGTGTCCTGGCGTAACTTGGTGTCGTCTCGGAGGCGGCACGGGTTGATAAAGGGATATGTTCCGTCGGATGCGTCGTGGAAGTGCTATCGGCCAGGTGAAGTGTATGGGGGGCGGCATGAACAGCGGAATCAAGTCGAATAGGTTGACGTCCAATGTTGGCAGAAGTTTCTGAAGATGAGAGCAGTTTGAACAGTGCAGACCTCGGGCGCAGTAGTTCTGTGTCGGACTGCTTGTCCGCTCCACACAGGGCGACGAGGCAAAGACAGCCAGACCGGAGCGCAAGCCACCGGTCGAGACAGAGACCCTGAAGATCAGATCAGTATCAACCCTGGCAAGGTGGGATATCTGGTCGCGTTTACAGAGTAGGCAACGGAAGAGTTGAACTTTAGCACTGCCGCCTGAGGAGCAGTTGCGAATGCGCGGAAGTGCAGGCAATTTGTGCGTCGATGATCGATTTCCCTAGCTACAATGTAATCCGGAATCGAGATGTCAGCTGTGCGAGAGGATCCCAGCTTCTTTCTGTCCTTGAGTATCGGACCAAGCCCCTGTCACCCGTCGCTGGTTGCTGCGCAATGGTCCGCCGAGGCCCAGACCAGACCCCACCAAAACAATGCTCCCAGTGACCTTCCAGATTGTAGTAGACAGAAGAAGCTCGCTGTTGCAAACACCAAGTGATAATGTCTAAGTTGAACCAGCGACAGAGCACACATGACAATGCGATAAGAGAAGATGAATTCCCGTCTCTCTGCATTTGAAGGCTTACGACCAGCTGCACTGCCCTCTGTCTCGTATCGCTGGGAAAGAGACTTCCAAGTTTGTGGGGTTTTGACGCCACAAGCTTCTGGCCCAGTGACCAAGGACCCTTGAGCTTGAAATGCGGGTCGTTGAGTGGGTCACGCTTGCCCGCTCGGTGCTGCCCTGAAACGAAACCGGGACAGGAGATGTCACACACGTCACTCCAGCGCCTTTGCGCAGCCGTGGGAAACTGATCGGCCGATCCGACGGGGCTTCTTTCGCAATACACAGCGTTTCCGCTTCCAATGGCGCGTCTTCAATAGGTACCCTATTTGAGAGGGACACCTCATTCCTAGAAACTCACGTTGCCAGTGCACTTCATCGGTGCAGCTCACAACCACATCTGTCGCCGTACCTGGAGGTCTAAACGGCATGTGAGAAGTTGGGCAAATGTTACGCTCCTCATCAGTTTTGGCTCGAGAAACTTGGCCGAAGAAGCCCCAGTTGAGATGTTGGTGATGTCAAGTGTAGAATGTATGTAGATCCTTGAGATCGATAGGCTCGCGCGGCCCCAGAGCAGGACAAGGGGAAGACGGGAGCCAAGACCGACCCCAGATCAACCGCCCGTTTGTCGGTCAGTGGCGACGAGCGACTGAATTCCGAGGGGAACCATCCACTCTGAATCACCTACTCGTTCCGGTCAGTCTTCCACCGCTCAGTGGTATCCGTATGCCACAGAGCTTTCCAACCAACGGAACCTGCAGGTCCCCGGATGCGGTTCCCCAGGCGGTGTGCGCGGCACATCAAACTCAGGGTTTTGCGACCAGCGCTTAGATTTCACGCTACCGAGACCACAGTGACCACCTCTATGTGGTCCATACTGTATAGGATATGCAAGGTACTCGGCCAGAGGTCCGGATGGACAACACGCGCCCGGCTTAGCCAGCGGCGCATCACTGCTGGTTGATCTGCAGGCGAGCGAGTCATTGCGCCAGAGCAGGGTCCAGCCACAGGTTGCAAGATGTCGCAAGTGGCGTCAGGGGTGCATCTACTGCAAGGCACTGTCCTTGCGCAGATCTGACAGAAGCCAACTTTCGTCTGTCTAGACCTACAATTGTACCTATGTAGGACGAGAGGTGCTTGCTGAGAAGCCTTACCTCGGACTATGGCACTCGGACTATGGCACTAGAGCTAAAGACCAAATCAGGCGGATAATCATGAGTTCCCGGGGAATGTATGTCCCTGGGATTCCCTTCCCCTGTTTATAGGGCAGTTACCTAGCAGGAGTGATCATATTGGTCCTTAGATATTGAAAGTTTGACATCATGAGGTGAGGACTCGGCTTGGTATGTTTATGAGCCATGTCACTAAAAAGAAAACGAAGAGTCCGTTTCTGTATTCGATTCTACTCGGAGGCGGGCATGCTGGTGTAGCAGTCTGGTTCCTTCAAAGCTGAGACCTGTCCCAAGAAATGCCTCTGAGCACACTTCAACCTTCGCGAGGAGACAGCCTCCCCTACCAAGGCAGCTGTTCGCCGTTGTACTTCAGAAACTGACCCGACTTCTCAGGGGTCAGATTGTCAATCTACCGCGGCAGAGCTTGTTAGTCAGGTGATTGGCCAGGACTACGAGAACAAGACACCAGACACATACCTGCTCTACAACCGCCTTTGCGCTCTGCTCAGGAGTTGTGGGAGGCTCGCCGAAGCCAACCGCACTCGCCAGTGCTTGTCCGAGACCTGTCTGCACCCATCTACCAATCCATCACCACACCGTCAGCTCAACCCACACACTGGGTGTCAAAAAGAAAAAAAAGAAAAAAAATAGAAAAAGAAAAAAGCCCCAAAGCAACATTGAAGGAGTCACTCACCCAGGATGGATAATTCCCACCAGCAGTCTGCCCTTCAACTCAACACTAACCTTCTTCGCCCACCAATTCGCCGCAGCTTTGCTCATACCATACGACACCCCAGGCAGGCTCTCCTGCTCCAGAGCGCCAATACTGCCGAGCGAGCTAGACATGAGCACGAACTTCTTCACCTTCCGCATCCCCTCCCGGTCCTCGTCCGCTCGCTCGCGATGACTGTCCAGCAGCGGCCACAGCGCGCCGAACAGCCTCGCCGGGCCGACAGCATTCACCTCGAAATCGCGCAGCATGGCCTTGCCGGGGTCGGCCCCAGTAGTACTAGCGGACGACGACATGACGCCTTCAAAGGCGGAGGAGGTCCCCGCGTTGGCGATCACGACGTCCAGGTGGGTGATGCCGTGCTCTGCGGTCAGGCGGGCGGGGAGGGTGGCCGACGTGATGGCTGGGTCAACCTCGTCGAGGAGGACGGGGACCAGCTTGCTTGTCGGGTGCACGTTGGCGCCTCCGACAGCGGAAAGGGAGAGCGGTTTGCGCGAGGTGGCGATGACTGTGGTGTTGGGGCGGGTGAGGAGCAGCGAGGTTATTGCGAGGCCGATGCCTGCGGAAGTGGAGAGGAGGTTGTTAGTGGTGGATTGTGTTTAATTGGGACAAGGGGGAGGAGTTGGGGATCGCGACGGGGATGAAGGAAAGGGGAGACGATGGGAAAGGGGCTGGGAAAGAGATCGCATAGCAGGCGTGAATGGTGAATTTTGGTGCTGGGGGCGATGGGGCGGGTGGAAAGCGATGCTTACCCCTATTTGCGCCCGTAATGAGGTAGACGGTGTGGTCAGCCATTGCGACTGGAGAGCTAAGAGGGCGACTGGATGTTACGGGGTGGCTGAGAAAAGTTTGAGGAGGGAAAGGGGAACTGAGGTGAGGAATGTGCTTCGAAACGGTAGGTGACTCAGTGAAGGCACGGGCGCTTGAGGTCCGGGATCTAGGAGCTAGAGAGCTGGTGGAGGAGCATGGAGAGAAAAGGGAGAAAAGGAGGGCAAGGTTAAATACTTTGACGGGAGAGGGAAGGGCTCGACTTACACGCAGATGACCAATGAGCACCAGTCACCGGCCGCTTCCATTGGAGGAGCGAGATCCCCGCATGCGAACAGGACTGGGGGCCATCCATCCGTTGCCCGGTGTTCATGTTGATTTAGCCCCTGAACCACCAAAACATCACAGAAATCAGGGCTGTTTCCTACAGACAGCTAGTCCACAACCACGTTTTGAGCTTATTCAAAATCGCAAACCAGGCAAATATCGCCCCTATTGCTTGAATCACTAAAACATCACAGGTATCGGGACGGTTTCCTGCGGACAGCTAGTTCAAAACCTCGTTTAAGGTCCATATCAATCGCAAACCAGCCAAATATCGCTCCTATCGCTAAGTGGTATCACATCCCATGGTCCCGAACACCGAGAAGCACCAACAATCCCGTCTACGTCCCAATTGCCCCCGAGCGGTTACAAACCGCTGAGCACTTGTAATCAAGCCTTCACCACCCAGCCGGCATTAACCATAAAGTCGAATATTCTCCCACCCTTCTGGGAGTCCAAGCGGCATATTTCCTTCGCTTGCTTCTTCTTGAGGCTCCCGTTGCCCTTGACTGCCTCCTTAAGAATCTGCTCCTTGATCATCATATACGGCTTGGGCTGTATTCGGAGCGTTTCGCAGAGCTTCGCCTCTTCAGGCGTAAGAAGGTGAAGATCCGGCGCGTTATCCTGAGTAAGCTGCAGAGGCTGCAGATTCGGTACCGGTTGCGGGATGTACTTGTGTTTCGCCGGCATGGTACCGTTCGCGACCACCACACTCCCACCATTGACATGGTTTCCATTGGGCTCGTTCTTGACGCCGTCTGGTCCTTCCCCGCTGAGTAATCCGTTTGTGACTGCAGAGCGGATCGGCAATTCAGGGGCAACTAGAAGAGCCGCGCCGCTTGGGGGTTCTGGAGGTGGCTGTTGTTTGTTACGCTGAGTGGTTGCCAATCTCTCGCGGTCCATGGATCCCAATGGTATTGATTTTTGGATTCGAAGCGCTTTCTCCTGTTCGTATTTCTCCCCGCTTCGTAAGTCACCGATCCGAAGACTCCGCCATTCCTGCAGCTGTGCGATTGCTTGCCGGAGGTTGAGCTCGTCAATAAGCCCTTGGCAGAACTGCTCGAAGTCGACCCGGTTCATCATACGTGCGAAAGGCTTGGCCTTGTTGAGAAGATCGCGCTCCTCCTTGGAGCGCTTCTTCTCCGCCTTGCTATTCTCCCTGTAGTCCAGCAGGTTGTGTTCGAAGATCACCTTCTTGCGCTCAACTCGCTGCGTTAGCCTGCAGTTGTAGATCTCCATCACCGTGAGTTTAAGCTCCATTTCTGGCTCCAGCTCGCCCGTGCGCGGATTTATGCCGTCTCCCGGATCAAACTGCATCAGCTGCACTGCCTCCTCTGCTTCGTTGGCATACTCTGTCTCGAACTCCAACCTGCCAGGCATATATCCTTGGATTTCATGGCAGGACGGCACGCTGGCGGTTGGTTTCGTTTTCGGCTGCAGTGCGGGCGCGTTCTTGGCAGCTTCCCTCCGTTCCTCGATCCTGCGCTTCTTCCGAGCCTGGAATTCCTCTCTCGAGATCTCGTTCGCGAGCTCCATGTCATGCGGACTGCATCGTTTCGGCAACGGAAAGTTGGGAGAGTCGACATAGACCTCCAAATAGTGATCGCGGACCTCATCTTTGTGCCGATACCCGCCAATGTGGTCAGCGATATCTGCCCATGATCCCAACCCATATATCTCAGCGCCCTCCAACAGCAGAAGCTCCTCATCAGCTCCCCACTCGCGGTCAAAGATGGGAAACGAGTTCTGTTCGATAACTCGGTAAGGGTGTGTTGCGGGCTGATGCGCGTTGCTAGAGGAGCCGTTGGCAAAACATTGCACACAAAGATCATATTCGTTGCAAGCGCTGTGGGCGCATCTGATCCGCACCTGCAAGGCAATCTGTTAGTGACAAGCTATGAGATAGGGATACCCAACGTTCGAGTTGTCCTTGCCCCGTAGCGATATGCTCTCGGGAACAGTTCAAGACTCCGGTGGGGCCTCGGCCGAGGGTCCCGAGGGTGCCGAGAGGAGCGAGTTTTGAGAACAAGGTACTGGCACTTACCGTTGAAGTAATATCTGCGGAGCACACATCGCAGACGTACTTTACACCACCCTCACCTCCCCTAGCTGCGATCTTCTTGCGAATGACGGCCATTCTGAAGGTGGCTCACGCCACTGGTGGGGAAGCTGTTGCCTCGGGTCTCGTGTAGACTATGCGTTGCAAAAGACGGTCACTGAACAGCGGGCAGTCACTTGCGCAAATGCGACTTGGGTATTGACCGCAATGCAACGCGTCCTTCGATGATATTCTGATGAAACACGCTGGCGAATGCGGGACGGACGATGGATGGATGACGCGATCCTCGTACCTGAGATGCGACGCAGGAGTGCTCCGAGATTCAGCCGGCAAGTTGGCATTCTGATAGAAAAAGGAAACAGGTGGTATGTGCACCAAGGCGCGGTTCTTGACATTATTAACCCCAACCCTTCTCTGAGCCGAATTCTTCAATTCGGCTTTGAGAGGTCTCCGAAATACTCAGGACTATAACAGCGGAATATGCTTTTTGGGTGATACTAGGACTCAAGGGTCGCTCATGTACTTACATCACTGGGATCAAAGTAAGGAATCTCTATTCTTATGGTGGCTTACTCTTAGAAAAACCATGGAATTCTGACCGAAAAGTGTTGTTGCCCCTCATGGACAGACATGATGCTACTAGTATTGTTGAGGTAAAGCAGAGGAGACGCCACATACTTCAGTTTGTCTGATACCAGGCGCTTGATTTCAAGGAGGCCCAGGGATATGGGGGGGTCTACATCAGTACTGACCTTCCTATTCTTTCCTTCCCGTCTTTCACACTTCCTCCACCAACGCTCATGGAGTACCACCGGGACAACGCCGACCGAGTCGGCCAACCCCGCCTCTTCCAAGTTCCCTGCGCAAACACCCATCGTGAAACAACACGTGCACCTTGAGTGAATTTCGATCATCGCAAATAACAGAAGTCCAACAATTTGCCTCCAAAGATTGCATTCAGCATCTTCATCAACATATCGCTTCTGTGAGACGCTCCATTGTCGTCGGTCAAGATGCCGGATCAGGTGCTGGACGACATTTCGCATCGCCGATATAACCCACTAACTGGGTCCTGGCTCTTGGTGTCCCCTCACCGCACCAAGCGTCCTTGGCAGTAAGTCTTGCCTCGTCACCTCGTGCATCATTACCGTCGTTCGCCAGCTAATGTGTGAACAGAGGCCAGCAGGAGGCGCCATCTAAGAACGTCCTTCCAGAGTATGACCCTAAGGTAAATACGGTCTTACATCGACTCAAGAGGTATGCCGAAAGGACAACCCTAACCGTAAACGCTCGCTGCAGTGTTATTTGTGTCCGGGTAACACGCGAGCCCAAGGAGACGCCAATCCACAGTATCAGAATACGTTCACTTTTGTCAACGACTACAGTGCGGTCAAGGAGGAGCAGCAGGAGTACAGCCCCTCCGCCAGCGAGGATGACATCGCCTCCTTGCTGCTCCAAGCTCTGCCGGTCACCGGGCGGTGCTATGTTCTGACCTTCTCTCCTAAGCACCACGTTACTCTGGCCGACATGACTCCCCAGGAGATCCTGCCCATCATACAGGCCTGGACCCGCATCTACGCCAGCCACCTATCCCCGTCGCACCCTCTCAGCCAGCAGGCCCAGCAGACCCTCGCCCGCATCCCCGTCAACCCAGATGGCGAGGTCAATCCGCCCAAGAACCAGCTCCGGTACATGCAGATCTTCGAAAACAAGGGCGCCGCCATGGGCTGCTCCAATCCGCATCCACACTGCCAGGTGTGGACCACCAGCACGCTGCCCGAGGAGCCGGGCAAGGAGCTCGTGCAGATGGCCAAGTACAAGGCGGAGCGTAGCCGACACCTGCTGGCGGACTATGCCAAGCTCGAGGCGGAGAAGGGCGAGCGTGTCGTGTGGCAGAACGACGGGTTCCTGGTTGTCTGTCCCTGGTGGGCAATCTGGCCGTTCGAGGTTCTTATCATCGCGAAGCGCCATGTTCGCGCTCTGGTGGATCTTACGGATGAGGAGCGGCTCCAGTTTGCTGAGGCCGTCCAGGAGGTCACACGGCGGTATGATAACCTGTTCGAGACGAACTTCCCATATAGTGAGTCTTCCACCATGCCGAAAGGTGAAGGCTCTCCATACTCAAGGATTACATGTAGGCTCCGGTATCCACCAAGCGCCACTGGACTGCACTGAGGAGGAGGCAGAGACCAGCTGGTTCCACATGCACTTTTACCCGCCTCTCTTGCGGTCCGCGACAGTCCGGAAGTTCCTGGTCGGATACGAACTGATGGCTGAGCCGCAGCGGGATATCACTCCTGAGCAGGCGGCGGCGCGACTGAGGAACTGCGGGGGAGAGTTATATCGCAAGTCGCTCAACTGATGGGCACGGTACAACACTGAGATTCCCGTGGCTCCCCCTGGATATTGACATTAGATATCTATTCTTTTCAGGCTTAGATTCAGAATTAGCGACGCATGCTAGAGGCAGCAATGCAATGCGGAAGCTTCGCCATGATCTCTCCTTAGTCCGCTTATTGCACGTAGTGCTTGTACTGCAGCAGCATCCAAATGGTGCCCCCGTACGCCGCCATGAACGGGAAAATCTGCGGCCCGCTGAATCGGACCGTCTTGAAAGCCAGCATCTCGGTCGTGAAGTGCACCGCGGCAACGACATATGTCCAGACGGCCAACTGATACATGGCGGGGTTCTCGAGCTGGTAGCAGGCGTAGAAGCGGATAAGGCCCGCTACGAATGTATAGGTGCCAAAGAGACGAGCGGCCAGGGGCGACACCTGGTCCTTGGCCTTCTCAGAATCCTTGCCGGCCGAAGAAGCGGGCTTGACAATGCTGGTGCTGTCTTCCGGGTTGTAGCGCTCGGTGGCAGGCGGAAGCGAGTGATTTGGGACGAAGCGCCCGTTGTAGATGCGCCGAGTGTAATGCAGCGTGGCGTAGTTCTGCAAGGCGTTGCCTATGGACACCACGGAGACCTAGACCGAGAGGCATGGTTTAGATGAGCTGTAAGGAAAACGTCGGAAACGCAACATACCACGAAAAGATAGTAAGGGAGGTAGCCCTTCTCCCCCGAAGGGAGGAATTCCCGTACTGTGTCCATGTCCATTGCTGACGGAGCCTGGCGGACACGACACACTTGACACACTCTTGTTGTCGGAAAAAGAGAGGAATGGGGAATGAGCAACCACGGTGAGTTCAGAAGTCCTTTCCTCAAGCAGCACTAAGAAATGCCAAGCTCATTAGCTGCGTTTGACAACATTCTTTCATACACGTGTAATGCTACCTCGGCTTGGTCAAAGCTCCCTCACTCGGCTTTTGGTTCCACACCCAGTAGGAAAATCGCCAAATGCAAAGGCCCCAACACTTTTGGAACAGCGCGGCTTGGTCTCGCAAACTCAAAAAGGGCCTTCGTCCTAACCATTGAAACACATTGCCGGTCACAACGAGCCTTAACGCTGTGGTACAATGGCGTTCAATTTGAACTTCACACGCCAGGAGAGTCTGGACAAGGCTATCGAGCTTTGGACGTCACTTCCTCAGGGTGCTCAATGGGCCCTGGCTGGCCTTGGAGCTCTGTCCCTTGCGCGGGGAGCCCTCTCTTTTCTCCAGCTCCTCCTGAACTGCTTCATCCTCAGCGGCACCAATGTACGTCTCGTACAAGGTTATGAACATACATACGCAGTACTGACTATTGTTCTACGAACAGCTTCGCAAATATGGCAAGAAGGGCACCTGGGCTGTTATTACCGGCGCCTCCGACGGCCTCGGCAAGGAATTCGCCGAGCAGCTAGCAGCCAAGGGTTTTAACTTGGTGCTCATCTCCCGCACGCAATCGAAGCTGGACGACCTCGCCCGCGCATTGACGCTGAGATGGACTGGCTTTCAGGCAAAGACCCTTGCCATGGATTACTCTCAAGACAACGACGCAGACTACCAGCGTTTGGCTGAGCTTATTTCAGGCTTGGACGTTGGCATCTTGATCAACAATGTCGGGCAATCGCACAGCATCCCTGTACCGTTCCTCGAGACCGCCCGCGACGAGCTGCAAAACATCGTCACCATCAACTGCCTGGGAACACTGAAGACCACACAGGTTGTTGCGCCGAAATTGGTGGAGCGCAAGAGGGGCCTCATCCTCACCATGGGTTCGTTCGCCGGCGTCATGCCCACGCCATACCTGGCTACGTACAGTGGCAGCAAGGCCTTCCTGCAGCACTGGAGCAGCTCGCTGGCCTCGGAGCTCCAGCCACATGGGGTCGACGTCCACCTCGTGGTCAGCTATCTGGTTACGACTGCCATGAGCAAGATCCGCCGCACCAGCCTGCTCATTCCCAACCCGAAACAATTTGTCCGCTCCGCGCTGGGAAAGGTCGGCCTCAGCAGCACGGAAGTGTTCCCCAACACATACACGCCGTGGTGGAGCCATGCGGTTTTCAAGTGGGTGATCGAGAACACGGTTGGCTCGACGAGCGCCTTCACCATCTGGTACAACAGGAAGATGCATGTCGATATCCGTAAGCGGGCGCTGCGGAAGGCTGAGAGAGAGGCAAAGAAGCAGTGAGGCGGAAGTAAGAACCTGGATTATGGAAATGGACGCTGTCGTACAGGACCAGTTGTAATACATCACACGACAGACAGGGGTCAGGGAAATGCTCCAACCTGACATGTGCGGCGTGCCTAGTGTTAACAAACGCTTTAGTATTTGAATAGGTGCTTCTAAGTGCACCGATTAATGAGAGATGATAAAACGTAGTAGTGCTAGTGTGTTTTAATAACGTAGAGAAGCCATTGCCCTCTCGCTCAACACTAACCTCCTCCATTGGAGGTGGCTTTCAAGCTCGTGCAGAGACATACCCGTGATACCAGGGCACACGACGGTAAAGGCGGTGGCAGAAATTGCTCGATGGAGCTTAGCGCATTGACACCTGACCCCAGCGCGTTGGCGCGTCAGTGCAAGCTTGCTTCTCGCCAATGATCCAGCTTCTCCAAAAATTGTTTACGGCCAGCGTCTTTCGCCGTTTCCTGCGCTGCCCAGATCCGTTGCACTCCCGACCGTATTACACTCGATCCGCCTGGCCGAACTGGCTTGTTCGCCCCCTGTGCTTGTCTTGGAGTCGCTTTGATGGTCCAATTGCCCTAGCACACGAGCTGCAGGAAGTCAGCTCTAGATAAAACAGGCGGGGGAGGAGCAACGTCGCTCGGGAACTTGCGATTGAAGGTGTGCAAGAGACAGCTTTCTTGCAGTCGGTCGCGCTACGAGCTCAACGAAGCCTCGACACCGCCGCCATGAACCCAACAACCCCAGTGCGCCAGATTCCTGGCGCCTTCATTAATACCCCAGCGCCAGGACCAAACACTGCGCGGCGCCGACTCAATTTCAACGACGTTGCCGGACCTGGCACAACTGGCGCAGCGGGGAACGCACCAGCCCCGATTACAAGTACTTTGGGAACTGGCCAGCCAGAAATCGTTACTGGCATGATGCCGCAACCGCCGGCCAGCGAAGATCTACCGCCCATCGCGAAGGCGGCTCAGGTTGTCAACCAGACGCTCCAGCTCGATGAGAGCTACCCTGACCTAGATTCCTACTGCAGGCGTATATGACCCCTTAACTCCAACCTTCGCGTGGCCATATGACTGGATCCAGACTAACAACTTGCCTTCGGCTAGCTGGCGCGTCCTCCGACTACGACATCCAACCCTCCGACTCCTCATGGGCTCCATTTCAAAAGGTGTCGATGTATCCCATCCCCGACCAGGTGTTTGCACGCCTGAACGAGGGTGCCGTCTCGACAAAAATAGGATTGTTTGCGAGCATTGGCTATGCCTGGGCTTCGATCGACAACTCGCTCTTCATGTGGGACTACACGCATCCAGATCCAGAGCTCATTGGTTACGAGGAGGCCAGCCACACGATTACGGCTGTCGGTCTTGTGCCCCCCAAACCGGGAGTCTTCGTCAGCACGATCACACACATCCTAATCGTGGCAACCACTACCGAGATCGTCTTACTCGGTGTCTCGACTACCCCGACCCAGTCCGGCTCGCACACGGTCACTCTATACCAGACGAACATGTCGATCCACCGAGGGGGGAGCGATGTGAGCCTCATTGCCGGCACGGCATCAGGTCGCATCTTCCTCGGCGGCGAATCTGATACGGATATTCATGAGCTATTCTACCAGCAGGAGGAGAGGTGGTTCTCCAGCAGGTGTGGCAAGATTAACCACACACATCCCGGGTGGTCTTCAGTGGTTCCCAGCCTACCACTTGCGGGCCTGCCGTTCGGCCAGCGACACCAGGAAGGACTTATTGGCCTTGTCGTTGATGATACACGGAATCTTCTGTATTCGCTCTCCGATCGCTCAACCATCCGCACGTACCACATGGAGACTCCTGAGAAGCTGATCAGAGTCATTGAGAAGGATAAGACCAGTTGTCTGCGCGATTTTGCGCACATGGCGGACGTCTCCCCGCTCTTCACCGATCGGACGAACATAGTGTCGATAAGTCCCATTCCTGCCACCGAGGCCTCGAAACTGCATCTTATGGCTCTCACAGACACGGGCTGCCGCCTCTTGTTCAGCGCCACCAGCTCCGCGTCGTATACCGTAGGAGGCTCAACGAGCCTCCCTCCGCAGAGTATGCAGCTCCAGTTCGTGAAGTTTCCTCCCAAGGAACTGGGCGCCCGCACTCGTCCCGTCCCGAGCCAAACAAGCGAGGGGCACTTGGACAAGACTTCGCGAGCTCTCGACCCTAGCGCCTTCGGCATCCGGTTCGCCCCTGGATACTTCTTTGATGTGGTACGGAAACGGCCTGGTGAGGATGCACTCTTCGTCTCTGCCCCCGACACAGGTAGAATCAAGATCACTACACCGGCATCAGCGCTCAAATACTTTGAGCAAGGCACGTGGATTGAGCTGCCGAATGGCAACCGCATTCTCGAGATCGGCTTGACCACAGCTCCATTCTCTGGTGCAAAACAGCCTCTGGGCTTTGGCAACGAGCTTGCCGTCCAGTTCGACCAGGTTCCCGGGGAGTTTGCGGTACTCACTAATACTGGAGTGCACGTCGTTCGCCGGAGGAGACTGGTCGATATCTTTGCTAATGCCCTGCGCACTTGCTCAGGCGAGGAAGAATTGGAGAGAGAGGTGCGCCAGTTCATCCACCAATACGGCCGGGTCGAAACCATTTCAGCGGCCCTGGCCGTCGCATGCGGTCAGGGGAGCGACGTACGGGCTGTGACTGGCAGAGCGACTGATCAGAAGACGGAGAATTTCGCACGCATGGCTTTCGTGGAGTACGGTGGTCAGCCGAGGCTCGCAGAGTCGGACGGTAAGCAAGCCGTCTCCGAGTCGGTAAGGCTGTCTTCTCGACACGATGCCTTGGCCTTGTACCTCACTCGCCTCATCAGGATGCTGTGGAAATCTAGGGTCGTCGCGATCGGGGCGGGCGGCGCTGGGGGCGCTTTGACCGTCTCTTCAACCGTTCCAGCCAAGAAGCTGGTCATGGTTCAAGAGAGCATCGAGAGGTTGCGGAATTTCCTTGAAGCAAACAAGAGCACAATCCAGGGGCTCGCCGGCCCGTCCGACCGCCTGTTCAGCAGACAAGAAGAGGTTGCTCTCCAGAAAGAGCACCAGGCTTTGCACGGCTTGCGAAAACTCATGGAGAGCGTCTCGGAAGGTATCTCGTTCGTTCTGATGCTGTTTGACGAGCGGGTGTCGGACATCTACGCCCGCCTGGACCCGGGTTCCCAACAGCAGCTTCGGGACTTGACCTATGAGCAGCTCTTCTCGCAAGTCCCTGGAAAAGAGCTCGCCAAGGTGCTGGTCAAGGCAATTGTTAACCGCAATATTGCCAGCGGCGCCAACGTCGAGACTGTTGCCGATGCCTTGAGGAGACGGTGCGGGAGCTTCTGCTCTCCGGACGACGTCGTCACCTTCAAAGCCCAGGAGCAGCTGCAGCGGGCGAGTGAGCAGACGCACAATCCCAACGTGCTTCGCACGCTTTTGGCTGGGAGTCTACGCTTGTTCGAGCAGGTTGCAGGCAGCCTTTCTCCGGCTAACCTCCGGAGCGCCGTCGAGCAGTATATCCAGCTCCAGTACTATGCCGGTGCGATTCAGCTGTGTCTGGCAGTGGCACACCAGAAGGACCGAGGGAACACCGCGCTGTCATGGGTCAACGATGGCAAGCCGTCGAACGATTCCCGCAAAAAGGCTTTCGACGACCGGAAGGTCTGCTACAGCCTGGTCCACGAAGTCTTGGACCAGCTTGAGGTAGCGTTCGCGGGCGAGCCCGAAACCGTCGATGGTCGGCCTACGCTCGCGGCGACCAAGCGGATGGAGGCCTACACCGTCGTCAATGATTCGAGCGACGAAGTGTTCCACTTCGATCTGTACGAATGGTACATCGAGAAGAACTGGACCGACCGCATCCTGGCCATCGATTCTCCACACGTCATCACCTACCTGCAGCGGCTGGCTGAGACGGACTATCAGCATGCTGAGCTTCTCTGCCGGTTCTATACGCACCGCAGCCGCTTTTTCGAAGCTGCACAAGTCCAGGCGACCCTAGCAAAGTCGGACCTAAATATTGGCATCAAGGACCGCATCACACTGCTCAGTCGTGCCAAGGGCAACGCCAGTGTTAACACCATTGGGGTGAGCCGCCAGCAACAACAGCTGCTGAACCACGAGGTTACGGAGCTGCTCGAGGTTGCGCATATCCAGGACGACTTGCTCGAGCGGTTAAAGGCCGATCCTCGCATTCCGCCAGAGAGGCTGCCCGACGTGGAAGAGGCTCTGAACGGCCCCATCAAGGGCGTCACCGAAGTGAGTAGCCCCAACCTTCTCCCCGAGCTGTCTGAGTTGTTGGTTTGCTAATATCATCTCCAGCTTTACAACGAGTACGCCGACCAAGCAGGCTACTTCGACCTCTGCCTCCTCATCTACCACGCGGCCGACTACCACAACCCGCGGGTCATCATGGACACGTGGCAGCGCCTGATCGAACAAACCTCGTACGAAACCGAGCAGCGCCAGGCCCATTGGCAGCTCCTCCAAGCCGGCCAGGCCCTTCCGGACGGTGCCCCGCCACTCACGGGCGAGCCCCCGCTTCCGTACGAATCCGTCTCGCAGCAGATCCACTTAATCGCCCATCGCACGGCGCTCGACAGCCTGGTGTTCCCCGTCGACTCCCTCCTGCCTGAAGTCTGCAGGTATGCCGTCAACAACGGCCAGGACGCGTCCATCGGCGCCGACCCGTGCTGGCCCGTGCTGCTGTTCCTCAACCTGGGCGTGCCACATGCCCTGGTCGTTCAGGTACTCGAGAACCTGTTTGACGCGCAGGAGGCGCCATTCACGGGGCGGCGGAGGAAGGTGGTCGTGCAGTGGCTCGCGGTGGCTATCGAGGGGTGGGTTCGAGAGCTGGAGCGGCGCGCTGCCGGGATGGTGGGCGGTGCCGCTGGCGGCAAAGGCGGTGGCGACGGGGTGATTGGTGCGTGGGTGAGCGAGTTGCTTGCGCGGGCGGATGAGTGCCTCGTGCAGATTTCCTCGTCCGTGCCTACTCCTTCGGCTAGGAACGGTGGTGCGGTCCCTCCTGAGGCGGAGGAGCTATTGGAACTCAGGAGGATGGTCAAGGGATTGAAGAGGAGTGTTGATGGGATCCTGGGTGGGGAAGGGCTAATGGCGGGAAGTTTGTTTCGGTGAGACGGTGGGAAGGAGGAAGGGGGCACACATATTGTTTGTGTGGGTATGTGTGTGCCTAGAGCAAAGCGATCGGTGGACTCAGCGGGGTTGGGTATTTGCTTGCATGTTTGCCAGCCTTTGTGACCTGATGATTAGTGGGCAATAAGTCCCACGTTAGGAAAAGAACAGGTAGGCGGCGCTGTATTTGCTGGCGCTGCAGATTGGGTTTCCTGTTGGTCGGATTATAATACTTGGTGTACAGTACATAACATGCTGCCGTAGTCGTCATGGCTTGTGATGGTGGGACGGGTCAAATAGAGTCAAGCTGCTGGCGATTGTTCTATGAAGCGATCCGCCTAGGTGAGTGACTCCTTCATCTGTGTTTGGTGTCTTGCAGGAGATATGACTGTGTCGGACTTTGGTGATGTTAGGCAGTCAGGAGAAACAAACATGCAGGGCTGAATAGAGTGACTAATGATTGCCTGACTGACAGTGTTCGTCAACATCACAGGTCTAAAACCGCACGGCTAGAAGTATAAATGCTGGGTTTAAAGTCGCTTCTTACCAGTCAGCGAACCCTGACCTCATAACCTCACCCAACAAGAACTTCCTTCTCATGTTTATATAAGTATGAAACCTAACTCTCGTGTTGTAACCAACGATCTGCCTGTATGGCTCGCGGAACATACGTGCACCATACCTCCCCCTCCGACGACTTCACCAGCTGTCCCGGGTTCCTCTCGACGTCACCACCGTCGATAATATCAACCAGTATCGCCCAAGAGGACCCCTAGCCCGTTTCTCACCTTCTCCTGGCAGGCGACCCAAGCAGAAAATCTCCTCGAATTAGACCTTCACCGACACGAGCATGATCTTCCACCTGGAGGACCTGCTGTGCGACGTCACCTGGGAGATTACACCCCGACGTCGAAGACGAATGCGTGCATAACATAGCTATCGAATGCACAGAGCGGCCCCGAGAATGCGTCATCATGGAAAACCTAGTCCAACCGAGAAGGAACCTCGGCAAAACCACATACGGCTGCTCACTGGATGTACACGGGACCAGTACCGATCGCTCGGTGCTTACCAGGGGAGTCCTGGAGGTTCTAGACGCACTGCAGCAACCGGCGACTTCATCTTCCAGCCGGTGCAGGCCATCGTCACCGTCCGGGTGCCCATGAACCATGCCATCCAGCTCCCCAACGGCGAGGTCACCCATATGCGGGACGAGATGCCTAACATCGATATTCGACATATCGAGATTAAGCGCCCCAGGGACCATGCTGACAACGTGAAGAAGCTGACCACCACGCCCCTCGCCCTACTCCCGCAGCTTACGGAGGAGAGGGACGATGCTGGCCAGCCCCAAGCACGGACCCGGGCCCAGGCAAAGGCCGACACGCTCACCAATCGGGAGATGAAGCGGATACACATCAATTGTCACCGCCTCCTCTCCATGGCCGCTGTCGACTACCGATCCTTCTACATCCTGGCCGAGGTGGAGGATCCGGTGAGCCTGGCGAACCTCAATCGTGAAGAGGATATGCGCCGCCGGGAAGCGGGCTCCGCCGTCAGCCAATTCGCCGCCAAGACGACCGTCGAGGAGTCCATCGACGCGGCAAAGAAGATACTGCGGAGGGTGACTCGCTTGGGTCTACTCGCTCTCGCGCGAGGCGGCAACCACCATCGCCCCCACTGGCCGATTCGCCATGGTCTTCTGGGCGTTCAACGAGTCGCCCGTCCTTGCGGAATGTTACTCGAAACCCGAGTAAACGCCAGCGAGAATACCTCGTGCATCCCCAATCCGCCTGTCGGCCAATAACTGCACAGAGCCCATCCGGTCTTTTACAAGGCCGACACTTCCCGATCTACAGTCATGCCGACTATTATATATACATACAAGACACAACTTATCCAATGCGAGGCCGGTACACCCATGCGATGGACACTTCCACAAGCTCTGCATGCGAGAACTACAGGGAGACAACAGGCACAATAAACAGCACCCTCTACCTCTATCTCTTCACTGCTCCTGTCCTGTCTGACAATCGTTTAACCTCGCTTCGTTCTTCGACTCCCTCTCCCCGTACCACTGCCAAACCTTTCTCCGCTTGAGACGACCAAGACGGTGGACGGAACCTGCTGAGAGGGATAACACGCGGCCCCGTCATCGGGTCTTCCTGCAACACATCACACTACTGCAGATCGAGGTGCCCGGTGGACAGCTGAACAAACATGCCGCGTCAATGGAACATTACGGCAAGCCCGTCGGATGGACTTACCGGCGGCTCGCGGTAAGTACCCTCTTACCCATGGGGGCTACTACCTGAGCCGACGGGCTCCCCCGTGGCTTGGGTTCGTCTCTGCAAGTGTACTAGTTTCTCGCATCGTGCTCACACCAACCTCCCAAGCCCCTCCTCCTAACGGGGACCAAAACATGCCTTGGGCTGCTCAAACGAGCAAGCTAGCAGCACCGATAACAAGGATCAAGTCCCGACCGAGGGCTAGCAGCAGCCTCCTGCTAATGACGAGGTGCACGAGGCGAGGAAGACAACCGACAGCGGATCAGGATGTCATCTCTGGCTTCGAAAAGTTTGACAACAAACGCATCGTTGCTTTCGAAGGACTGGTATGCAGATACTATTAACCCAACGCAACCGGCCAGTCGATCTTCCCCATTGCTTATGCCCCAAGATGAAGAAGAGGAGCAAGAAGGAGAGGAAGAGCAAAAGGTCACTTGGATTGTTCCAACTGCGATAGAGTTGGGAACGTACATTCGAGGGTTCAACTTCCATCAAGATGAGATCAGATAGCTTCGGGCTGTTGAGTGTTCCTTGCCTGATGATTTTATCTTAATGGCGGACGTGGAGATAGATGTAGTATTATGCATGGAGCATGCCGTATTGTATTGTACCAGCTATTAGTGTAGAATACTAAGATTAGCGGGATAACCCAAAGGACTACACTTATCGACAGTTCGACACGACGCATCCTGCCACCCCAAGGTCCTTGGAACATGAGCCAGCCGAAAACCAACGATAGGAGCGATGGTTCCACGCCTAATAATGCAAAGCCATGCCATCAGGTGGTCCCGGGCGAATTAGCGACCAATGGCAGGTGACTAGCAGGGCCAATGCTACCCGGCACTTTCGACTTTCCCCGCTGCCACGCCGGTCCTTGACAGGATAGCGCCGGGGAACGGGCCGGGGCATGAGCGAACGGTGGGCCATGGCCGAGGAACCACAGTTACCGCTTTTCTTCCCCCGTTGTCTATCACCACCTCGAAGTTTTTTTTCGGAAATCATTTTTTCTGGCAGGATAGGGAGATCTCGAGACGGGCGAGACCCCGTGAAAATATAGATTTTTTTTTTGACGTAACGTTGAACCCGGAGGTCCAACAGCCCCATTCCTCCAATGGCGGACAGCTCCCCTACCAATAAGCCGGCAACGGGTACGGGTACGCCCTCCAAGGTTGGCTCGCCGAAATCAGCGGGGTCGCCCAAGTCGGCGAAGTCACCACCCAAGTCGCCGCCAAAGTCCCCGTCGGAAGCCTCCGAGGCCGCGGCCGGGCCGTCCACTGATATCCTGCCTCCGGAGACCTGGACCGAGATCGGGGTATGCGAGATCTTATTTCCCTGGCTACCAGTAACTTGGGGTGTTAACTCGAGGGCGCCTTTATAGTCCGACGCCGGTGACGTCGACTCGGCGCTGGGGGACGATGACGAGGGCTCCACCGCGTCGTTAACGGCAAGCCTTCTCGAGTATCGCACCTACCACGGCCGCACGTATCACAGCAACGTGGGCAATGCGCAGTACTGGTAAGGTTTTGTTCTCGATGCGGGTGGTTTTGGCTCAGGGCCCCCACGGGATTACTAACAGTGGCGCCGGTGCGCAGGGGTTCGAACGATGAGCGGGCGGCCGAGGCGATGGACATCAAGTGAGTTCAGTCTTCTTTGAGCACAAGCAGATCCTGTTGTTGTGGTTTTGTGCTAAATAATAATAATAACCCTGGGGCAGCCACCACATGCTCACTCTGGCTTTGGGCGGGAAGCTGTTCCTGGCGCCACTGGAGAAGGACAAGGTCAAGGCACGAACTTGGCCTTAAAAAGATTCCCAGACTATTTGGCTGACGTTGGTCTAGAAAGCCATCGATATCGGCACTGGAACAGGTTGGTTCAAAGGATCCCCATTTCATCACAGTCCAATTTTGGACCAGTTAACTCACGCTCTCCTTAGGTGTCTGGGCGATGTAAATACTCCATCCCCCCCCCCCCCCCCCCGCCCCGCGGAAGGAAGGACGAAGAACAACAAGCAGAACAAACTAACAGAGAGACCTCTGGCCACACACAGTGATTTTGCCGACGCCTTCCCGCAAACCCAGGTAATCGGCACGGACCTGTCCCCGATCCAGCCTAGCTGGGTGCCGCCCAACCTGAGCTTCGAGATCGACGACGCGACCCAGCCGTGGACCTTCCGTCCCAACTCGGTCGACTACATCCACATGCGCTACCTGCTGGGCTCCATCGCCGACTGGGATGCGCTGTACCGGGAGGCTTACCATACGCTGGCCCCGGGCGGCTGGATCGAGCACTACGAGGCCGCCCCGTACCTGGAGAGCGACGACGGCACCGTCGACGAGAACTCGGCCATGGGCCAGTGGGGCAAGATCTTCGTCGCCGGCAGCAAGGTGACCGGCCGGAGCTTCACCGTCGTGCCCGACGGCGTGCAGAGGAGCGGGATGGAGAAGGCCGGGTTTGAGGATATCCAGACGTGGGATTTTAAGGTGCGTTTGTTTTTTTAAAAGAATCTTCAATTTTTCAAACCGATGGAGATGACTGGCGTTATCGAGACAACCTAACAATTTTCCTTGTAGTGCCCAATCGGAGGCTGGCCGAAGGACCCCCAGCTGAGGGAGATTGGGCTGTATGGGAGGATGGCGCTCGAGACGGATATTGAAGGTATTGCAGCCCTGGATGAGTTACTTAGTCCTCTTCCGTTCAACTGCTTACCACTTCTCTAGGCTACGTGCTCTTCATCACCAACGTCATCAGCGGCTGGTCCAGGGAGCAGGTGCTGGTCTACATCGCTCACTTGCGCCGCGAGTTGCGCAACAACGCCATCCATGGCTACTGCAGGTTGCGTGTCGTATGGGGTCGAAAGCCCGTGAAGTCGACCGCCACGGCGAATGCTTAAGTTGCTGTGGATTGTTCATCGGCTGACGGGCCTGGTCTTGGATTTAATATATTCCACCCACGCACGCCTGACTGATTCTAGTTTTCCGATTCAAATCCTTTTACCTTAGATTATTCGATGCAAGGGACAGAAAGTGGGAGCTGCACGATGTTCCCTGCGAGAACTTTCCACCCTCCCTCCTCACTGCATATGTTGGTAGTGTAGTAGTGACACAGGACGCCACATAGCGCAATACCTTAGCTGCACGTCTACACGGAGGCAGGCCAGCTATTATATATGCCGTCTGCGGATGCAATATGGATGAATGCGGTGACACTTTCCATTCGAAACAACGATTGGATCGCCGTCCGGGAGATGATCGAGTCGATTTTGGGGAGATGCAAAGCTTGGTGCCGGCAGCAGCTGAGAGCTTGGAAATCAAATGATGACCAGAGAACACGTTCAGTCTCATTGTAGTAGTGTTGACTAGACCTTGAATGGCAACGCCGTTGTTGGCAGTTGCATTCGTCTGCCCCGGCGATCCCTCCTTCACATGGACTATTGCTCTGGTGGACGAATTGTCCTGTGTTTGGTTGTTTCATTGGCCGAACCGGCCACATTCTCGAGGTTGGTAACATGAATACAACCTTTCCATGTCAACGTCGCCTTGGCCAAGCAGCCGAAAATGGTTGGTGATGAATTAGGAACGGAGCATGGGACCGTTGGGACGGCTGCTTGCTTGCCACTGCTTGCTCCCCGAAGCCACACGCAGGCCACGGATCAGAGACATGGGCAGTTTGGGGTGAGACATACTGTACGTATGTAGTGTATGGGGTATTTAATTGATTTTCATATTGCGTACCACCGCATGGAATTCTAGACTCCCGACTCAGTCTTTGCCTTGTTGTAAGTATTTCTTTCCATGCTCCCGAGAGACAACGTGTAACCGCCCCCGACGAGGGCTGTCCGGAGCACCCGCTGCGCTCTGTCGTCCCCTGCCGATATTGATGCAGATCATCACCTCGAAGCCAGGAACCCCTCCCTTCTGTATCGGGACCCGCCCTCACCCCCTCTCTCTCATTCCCGGCATCCAGGTTACGACGGGACTTAAATTTGGAGTTTGCATTCCCCGGCCACGCCCCCGGGATCTGGACTCGCTTGTGGCCCGGCGAATTGCTCTTCATTTTAATCCCACTTTCTTCCCTGGACGTATGTAGAACCGCAATTCGCACGAACCTCCAACAAAAAGGTGTCACACTACTTTCTGGTTCGCGTCCGGTTGTTTGGCTCGGCTCATTGCAACACCATACCCCATCACCTTGAATGATACCTGAACAAGCGGACGGAAAAGACCTTGATTTATCTCTCGCAATTCCCCGTTCTCGGCAACAACGCGTACCTGGGCCTTAGCATCACACAGTAACACCTTACAACATACATAAAAGCGACCGGGTATCAGCTAGCTGCCTTTGCATTTTTCCGCGTCTTGGCTGTAGCAAGTCGTCCTCAGCCGCACCTTTCCACCTTATCAGATCGGTACAGGTACTTAAACCTTTCGGTCGACGCAACACGCGGCCGGAGTTGCATTCCCTCCCCGCCAAAAGATCGACTTGTCCATCACCTTCACTGATCGACAGCATCTATCGCTTGTCACCCCGTTTTGGATACCAAAAAATTCTTAACACTCAAACAATATGAAGGCATGTTTTGAGCATTTTCTCTAAATCATATCAATCAATTTGGACTAACCCTTCTCCCTGCAGGTCCTCAGCCTCCTCGCGGCCGGCGCTCTGCTGTTCGTCTCCCAGACGGTCGCTGCGCCAACAACAACAGACGCGGCTGCTGCCAGCGACAGCGACAGCGATAACAACAGCGCGTCCGCCGGCAAATCGGCCGCCGCTGCCGGCACAGCAGTCAATTGGGGCTCGCCGCAATGCAAGTCCCGTCAGCTCTACGATCTGTGCACGGCCGACAATGCCGGCGCGTATTGCGACGGCACGGGCTTCCACAACAACTTCATGGCCAGCTGCAAGGGCGTGTGCTGGTGTGAGTGAGCGGGGTTATAGTATTTGTAGCAGGATAGGGGGGGGAGGCGGTGGCATCCGCGTGTGGTGAGGAAAGAAAGGGGCATGAAGAGGAAAGGAGTTCGGATGTGAGAGTAGAGGATCGATAGCGCTCTTAATGAAGAGAAGAACGACGGCGTGATTAGGGACGGTCCGGAAGTCAGCCCGTCTAACGAGGAATTGGAAGCAATAGAGGTCGCTCTGCTATGATCGGGGTTTGGTTCTGGTGATAATCACACCGGGCCAGTGAAATAAACAACTACCCTGAACTTGGGATGGATACGGACTACTTTCCAAATATTTGTGAGTTTTTATCAATTTTTATCATTTCAATTGTTGAATAGCAGGGATTGTTGAAAACGCTGGCGCATGACAGTGCGCGGTTGTGATTTTACGTTGTCGTCGTATGTCAAAAATCAGCTACCGCGACAACAGCAAACCCGTCTTTGTCCACCTCCACCAATATAAACGGTGTCAAGCAAGACATTAACACATTACGCACCGTCCTCTGGCATCCCTGCCGCTGGTACACTTACCCAAGCAGTCATCGTCAGTCTAGCACTTGGCAACAGCTAGATGTATGGCATGAATTCAGAGGGAGGCGTTCAAGCTTTGGGGGCTTTCTGGCGGTTGTGTTAGATCAGCCTCGTGGGTGGGGGTTTCCGTTGCTGCCGTTTACCTGTGACTCTTGGTACGCGGTGAACGAAGCGTTGAGCGTGATCATCATCGATGATGCGCTCTGCCTCTCGGCAGAGCTCCTGGAACATGGCAGCAGATCTCGCTGGCAAGGCGGTCGAACTGCAAGAAGGTAGGGGTGGTCCGGACGAGCTGCTTGTCCTCGGTAAGCTCATTTCAGTTCTATCGGTTGATAGCGCCACTCGTTGAGGTAGGCGCCGTTGAGGAAACGGCGCTGATATGTGGGATCTGTGGGCCTGGGGAACCCGGAGAGCTTGTCCTTGTTGATGCGTATATATTGCGTCGATGGTCGACCCCCGGCGGCGACCCGGCCCGGCCAGCTTCAGCCCTCTGCGGTCGAGTGCCTCCCGTTCGCGGCATTCCCCGTGGCCAAGAACCTCCCGCAGCTGATTTGGAAGACAAACTTGGGCTCAGAATGCCGGCTCTAGCCGCTCGTGGAGCCTCCGCCTGCCCGGCCTCCATGGCTCCCACAACATGAACGGCCTTATATGCCAGCAGTATCTCTTGATTCCCGGGCGGAAGGACTCCGTGAAGAGAAGGGGGAGTCGGCCTGAGTGTGCACAAGGAAGGGTGGTGAGCTCGGATCTCAAAGTGGATTCATGCTGCTCGCCATATTGCTCAGGGAGAGATATGATGATTCCACAGCATGGTGTTGGAACCCAAGAACATGTGCTGGTATTGGGGCCGGTGAAGTAAGCTGCCACTGTTAGCAGGAAAGGATGTAAGGATGGCCGGGCATGTGGCGCGGGTGACAGGGGGAGGCAGTTACCGGTACCTTGGAGGGTTCGGTGTGGCGATGTGACGGCGCAATGCATAGATGGAAGTCAGCACGTACCGGGAATATTTTTCACTTCCTTCAGTTCGAGGCAGACGAGGGTGGCAACGGTCACGTCCGGTTTCCGGACACACTGCAGAAGTAAATGTATTGTATTTATATGAATTGCTGTATCGGTTTTGTTTGGCATTAAAATATACGCGCTCTGATGATTGGAAGCTAAAATAGTGAGACGTCTGGATCAGATATGACCTATCTTCCTCATGTAAGGCACCAGCAACACCTCGGTAAGTTGTACATGGGTAAAATTTCAGGGGACGCATGCGCGTCGTATAGCACCTGTATTCGTTACCTTTTTCCACCTAAGGTACGTCATCGCTGGAATACTACTGGGCAGGAGGACAGTGACTGCGGCGGACAAGATGAGACGATAGTGGCGACATGCCAAAGTTGTACGCGTTGCTACCCCAATGAAGGTTTAGTCCGTCCCCAACATCGGACGGGAACCACGGGACGTACAATGGCCACAGAGGTAACGTAAACAAAACAGTGGCGAGCAGGGCTGATCTGGCGTCTGAGGATTAAGGTATAAAAGAACCCATCACCTTGCACCTCGGGCCGTCCCAAACTTCTTCCTGACCTTCTCTTCACCCTTCTGCAGAGTTCGCAAAGACACAAACTACCTTTTTTCACCTGTGTCTTGCCACACCCCGAGCCAAAATGTACGGCTCGTCGCACCTTTTTGCGCTCTCCTCGGCCCTCCTCCCCTCGGCACTCCTCCCCGCCCTGCTCGACACTGCCGGCGTGTCGGCCCGCGAAGTCCCGGCCAACATTCAGTGCCTGTACGACGCGCTCAGGGCCAACGGGACGTGCCGCCACCAGCTCGCCACGGGGTTCTTCGCCAAAGACGACGGGCCCAGCACCTTTTTCTACTGCGGCGACCACTTGGCCGACTTCGGGTATGTCTACCTGAAGGGCCCCGACAGTGCGCTCGCCGACATGGACGTCGATTGCGACGGGGTGCAGCACGGGCCGGGCGACGACGGGCGGTGTGCCAGCAGCAACGATACCCAGGCCGAAACCTCCTTCCAGGGTATTGTTGCGGGTTACAACAAGGGCATAACGGACCTCAATCCGTTTGTCCACCCATACGTGGTCTTCGGGAACCGCGGGAGCAAGCCCGGCTGGCCGACGTTCGACCCGCGCGAGTACGGCATCGAGCCGCACGCTGTCGTCCCCGTCGTGTGCAACAACCAGCTGCACTTCGCCGTGTGGGGCGACGAGAACGGGGACGACGGCGACAAGCCCATGATCGGCGAGGCCTCCATCAGCCTGGCCACCCTGTGCTTCGGCGACTCGGTCAACGGCAACAGCGGCCACGACGGCGCGGACGTGCTGTACATGCCGTTCGCCGGACCCGACGCCGTGCCGGGCCCCGACGGCGCCGACTGGGCCGCCACCACCCCGCAGGCGTTTGAGGCGTCGCTCGAGGCGATTGGCACGAGGCTTCTCCAGCGCATCCCCTGATGGTACCGGTGCATATGGAAAGTGGGCCATTAATTAAGTCCTGTATTATGTATATAGAATTCCCCTGGCTCGGCCCACCAACCTAGTTCCGACATCACCAATTTTATACATTCCATCAATTCTTGGTCCATCTACTCCGTATGGTCTTGCGCTTCTGAGTTACCTGAGGTCTGCTTCGCCTTTGCACATAGTATCATCTTCCACGTCGTGTTTGTGGTGATATCGGTAGGCGTCAATGTGTCTGATTGTTTGTGTGAGAGTAAGAAGGAAGGTTCGGAGGAGTGACAAGACTCGAGCGCGGGTGGTGGAAGCCACTTATTATTAACACCGAGCGCCCAGACAGGACATGAGAATCTTGACTGTTGTCCGCCCAGGCCGCGCGCCAACGACTCGGACACAGCGCTATTGGAAGTTGACTACTAAATCTCGTTGCCTACCTGATATAGTCAATGCCTACCATATCTCAAAGCGATTATTCATGAAGAAGAGTCTCCATCTTGTCAGCATCACAAGCACAATTTGAACTTCTGACCGGACAACATCGGTGTCATACCCTGTTACCCCCTCATTCTCGACGGTATCAAGTAGACCAGTAAAGTCAATACTTATTAGCGGTGTTACCATAGTAAACAGCATTGCTCTATGCCTGTATCTGTATCATTGCGTCGATATCACATGAAGACATCATACTATGCCCTCTACGGTGTAACGCAGTGGGGTTTATCAACGCACGAAATCCCAACTGCCTCTTGCGTCAACACGCGCGTGACGCAGCTTACCATTCTCGATAAGAGAATTTTCCGTCCAAAAACCCGGCAGACAGGGACGAAGTAAAATAAACTTCAGAGACATCACGGAACGTCATCGCTTCACCCTCCCGCCGCAAAGCATGGCCAGCAACAATGACGATCATAGCCCCGACCTCGAAGCGGCCGCCTCTTCTTCCCGCACCGCGTCAACCACCCGCCCCTTCCTGAAACCACCACCACCACCGCCCGACATCAGCACCACCAAAATCGGCAGCGGCATCAGCATCAACCCCGGCCCCCTGCACCATCACAATGCAGAGTTCGAAGATGACGATGAACAAGAAGAAGACACCAACCTCCCCACGACCATCGAAGAAACGCACCTCCGCCGCGCGCTCGCGCAGCGCCACCTCTCGATGATGGCCATCGCAGGCTCGATCGGGACGGGGCTCTTCCTGGGGCTCGGCGGCGCCGTGCAGCGCGGCGGGCCGCTAGGCGCGCTGCTGGGGTACGCCGCGGTCGGGCTGGTCGTGTGCGCGGTGCAGTGCGCGCTGGGCGAGGTGGCGGCGCTGCTGCCCGTGACGGGCTCCTTCGTGCGGCACGCCGAGTTCCTGGTCGATCCGGCCTGGGGCTTCGCGATCGGCTGGAACCTGGTGTACGGGAACCTGCTGAGCATCCCCAGCGAGGCGACCGCCGTCGTGGTGCTGGTGCGCTTCTGGTGGGAAGACGTCAGCGCCGCGTGGGTGATTGTGGTGTTTGTCGTGCTAACGGTGGGCGTGGGCATGGCGTTTGTGAGGGTGTTTGGCGAGGTCGAGTTCGTGTTTGCCGTGGTCAAGATCGCCTTGGTGGTGTTTCTGATTGTGCTCGGCTTGGTGACCAGCTTGGGCGGCATCCCCGGCACCGAGAGGATTGGGTTCCGCTATTGGCGCGACCCGGGGCCGTTCGTCGAGTACATTGCCACGGGCGACTGGGGCAAGTTTCTGGGGTTCTGGTCCGTCATGACCGGCGCCGTATTCTCGTTTGCCGGCGTCGAGTCGCTGGCCATGGCCGCGGCCGAGACGCAGAATCCGCGCGAGGCCATTCCGCGGGCTTGCAAGCGCGTGTTTGCGCGCATTGTCATCTTCTATATGCTGGCCGTCCTTGTCGTGGGGATGCTCGTCCGCAGCGACGATGAGAGGCTCGATGGGTCCGGCAGCAGCGTGGCACAGAGCCCGTTTGTTATTGCCGCTTCGCAGGCGGGGATCTCGGCCATCCCGTCTGTCGTCAACGCCATCGTCATCACCTCGGCTTGGTCGGCGTCGAACCAGGCCCTGCTCGCAGGCACCCGGGTGCTGTACGGGCTGGCCCTCAAGAAGCAGGCACCCGCTATCTTCCTCAGGACGACGCCCTGGGGCACGCCGTACGTGTGCGTGCTGCTGTTCACGGCGTTCATGTTTCTCAGCTTCATGAGCCTGTCGGAGGATGCCATCACCGTCTTCTGGTGGCTGATTTCCCTGACGGCAGCCGGTGTGCTGGTCTCGTGGTCGTCTATCCTGCTGAACCACATCCGCCTGCTGCAGGCAATGAAAAGACAGGGCGTCGAGACCAGCAGATTGCCGTGGCACAACTGGTGGACAAGTGCGTATCTTTCTCATACAGTCCCCTCTGACTCTCATTCTAACTGCTCGCTAACCACCTTGTATAACGTATCCGTATAGAGTACTCCTCTCCCGCCGCGCTGTGTATGTGCATCATAATCCTTCTCACGAGTGGCTTTAGCGTCTTCACCAAGGGCAACTGGGACCCAAGCACGTTTGTGTCGGCATACTTGTGAGTCCACACTGGCTTTCCCGGAAACACACAGCTTGCGGCTTGCGGAATGTTGACTTTGAGTGTCAGGGACATTCCTCTCGTGCTCGCGGCCTACCTTTTCTGGAAGATCTTCCGGAAGACCAAGATTGTGTCTCTCCGCGAGATTCCACTAGAGGACGCCTTCTCGCGGGCAGACGAGTACGATCCGGACGAGCTGCCGGACAAGAGGAGGCGTTGGATACGAACTATAAGTTGGATATGGGACTGATAGCGGATCTCATTACCTAGGCTGCTTTAGATTCCAAGATGAGTTATGATTCGACCCCGATGATAAACACTTGGATTCGGGTTTGGACTCAACCCACAATCAAACAAATCAATATGATACACCAGTACCAAACTAATCCCAACCATGCCTCCTATGTCCAGATCATATTCACACCCCTCACCCAAACCAAGTACTACCCTACCCAGTCACCAATCATTTTCATTCATACTCAGCCATCAACAAATTCCCCTCAACGGCATTCACAAATTCCTCCCCAGACGACCCACCCAGATGCGTCGAGTGCGCCCACGGCTTGACCCTCACCTCCTCGCGAATCGTCCCCGCAAAGCACGCCGCCCACCCTTCCCTCGGAAACGCACCATTCACATCCGCCCGCGTGGCCCCATGCACCAGGTACGGCCGCGCACCCACGTTGTCATACACCGTCGCCAGCTGCAGCAGCTGGCCCAGCAGGGTGACGGTCCCTTCCTTGCCCAGGTCCTGGTGCCGGATGATGGCCTCGCAGACGGCCTCGGCCTGCGGTTGCGGGGCGGCAGGGCCTTGGCCTCCTCCTGCTCCGTAGTGGCCGGGGGTGGACCGGAGCAGGTCGAGGGCGATGATGGCGCCGGAGAACTCGAAGGAGAGGAGCGTCGCGTGCAGGTTTGTCGGGGTGCTGCCGATATCGTGGAGCAGGCAGGCGAGGGCGAGAGTGGAGCGGGAGAGGGTGCGGGCGTGGGAGGGGAATTGCTGCGTTAGGATTGCCGTTGCTAGTTGGAAGTTGTAAGAAGTTGTCCCCCGCTTGAGTTACTACTATGAGATGTAGTGATTCGAAATTTAGGGCGAGAGGGGGTTAAGGAGGTGCATAGTGCATACCGAAGTAGAAGACTCGCATGGAGTGGTTGTAGGTCTGAGGCGGCAGCTGCTCTTTGGCGTACTGTTGGACTTTGGCGACGATGGGGTCGTCGGAGGGGAAATGGATGTCCTCGACGGAGAGGGCGGTCGGCTTGTGGAGGTAGGGTTTGCCTTTGAAGATGGCTTCGGCGTCGACGGGGACGGCAGTCCAGCCGTGCTCGGCTATGGCGTCGCCAGTGGTAGAGGACATATTGGCGATGGTGACTGATGGGAATGCTTGAAGGTGAGTCGACTCTTGGAATCTTATTCTCGGTTGACAGTTGATGGACTGCACATCAAGATGATGGTTTTTCAAAACCCTGAGATCGTCAAGTTTGTTTCTGAGAAATCACTATCTATACGTTACCTTGGCCTGATGCAGTGCCAGTTGAAATGTTTGTATTTCTAAGCAAACTGGTGGTACTATTCAATGCGTTATGAGAATGACATCGTAGATCTCCATCTCGAGTCAGGCCGTGCAGCGTGGGCTTACTAACACCACGACATGAAGGCCCGACCGCTCGAATGACAGTCATCGGGGTGACGCGTCTGGAAACAAATCTACGTCCGAAACCGCATTTCTGGAGAATCTTCTCATCCAGGTATTAGCCATGATCGAGAATAGCATTTTGCTCTTCCCTTAGGTTCCTCAGCTAATCACCTGGGATAGCTAGGGAGTGGGTCAGGTCTATAGTATATCTCCGATGGCTCTCACCTATCTAGCACTGGTAGACTGAGAAGCTTTACGTCATCCAGTCATAAGGGGGTATTCGGCCCGGCTCGCTTTCGATTCACTTTACAAGTCGGACCACTCAATTACATTACTACTAGTAGTACTTTAAGTTGTTCAAGACGACTTACTTGGAAGTCTTGCTGCCGTCGCATCGCATGCTTCCACCTACTTATCCAACTAAGCCAGCCGGGCATACCCTCCATCGTGAGACCCCAATATTCTAAACCACGGCTAGCTCCTAGGTATCAGTTCGTCAACCTCTTTATAGTCTAGGGTCGCATCATCGCACTGCCTAGGTACCTACCTATATCGCGCCCTTCTTCGCGTTGGAGCACATCACCCCGTCAACAACACCACTCCTCCCTCAGGTTTCCATTTTATCTTCCCACGAACCCCCTTTACGGCTTCAGATCCTGCAACCACGGCTGGCTCAAATCAGTAAAGAAACTCGCCCCGCGCACGGCAGTCGGCGCCCCTTCCAGGGTGACGTTGCAGTTCCTGACCCAATCACCCTGCGCCGCGTACTTCTTTGCAATGTATGCGGCGTAGTCGCTTACCGGGCACGACGAGCCCGGGCCGTTCTTGCAGGAGGGCACCGGGTACACGGCGTCGTTGAGGCGGATGCGTATGAATGTATCGTTTTTTCTTCGGGTGTTGTTGCTCGTGCGCGGTAGGAGGGTAGCGGCTGTGGGAGTTGGAGTTGGGCACACAGTCGTCGTTACTGTTCGCACCACTGTCGTTGTTAGGTGCGTGGCGGTGCCCGTTAAGGAGGACATGATTGTGGCAGTAGTGGTAGTAGTAGTGTTGCTGCCTCGGGTCACGGTTGACAGGATCGTACTGCTGCTGCTGCTGCTGCTACTACGGCTGCTATGGTCATCCGAGCCGTCCTCGACGACACAGTTAAGCCGCTCGAACGCGATGGTGCCGCGCATGGTGCTGAAGCGGCTGACCATGTACAGCCGGCCGTCATCCCGCACGCTGGGGTCGAGAGGGGCCTGGTCGTCAAACACGCCAATCACGTCGGCGATCTCGTTGATCTGGCCGTCGTTCATGAAGGCCATGAGGAGTTTCGGGAGGGCGAACGTGGTGCCGTTGGCGAGGGTGCCCGTCACGTTGGGGCCTTGGGCCAGCAGCCCGACGAGCGAGTTGACGAAGGGCGTCATCATCTTGGTGGGCAGATCCGTGCCCGGGCCGAGACCGTAGTAGTACCGCAAGTCATTGTAGTACTGGTACGACTTGAGCTCGTCGTCGGTGAACACGTCACACCACGGCGACAGGCGGCCCGTGATCTGCGATTCAAAGCCGCACAGGTACGGGATCTGCGTGATGTCGCCGTCCGTCAGGGTGAGGTTGCCCGTGATCATGGCCTGCAGCCGCTTCCTGATGGGCGGAACAAAGACCGCGGCCCAGACGGCCTGCTGCGTTGCGCCCGAGGTGTCGACAAAATTGGGACACATATCGGACGGCGCCAGCGAGTCACCGACGGCACCCACGAACCCCTTCGCAGTCACCGACACAACGTTCCCGTAGGTGGGCGCGAAGGGACCCAGGTAGCCCCGGACAAACATCTGCGCCGTTTGCAGGACCCGCGTGTAGTTGTTCGCCCAGACCGGGAAGTACTGGCCGTCGTTGTACAGGTCGGGATACCGCGTCCTCAAGGTGTAGCCCAGGTCGTATGACTCCTTATACCCGGTGGGACTCTCCATGGCGATCTGCATGGGCGGGTTGGTAACGACGGTCCTCCGCTTCGGTAGGAATGAGAGGCTGCCAGACGCCGTGTATCCGTTTTCTGGCGCGAACTGGCCCCCAAAGTCAGTCTGATTAGGTATCAAATCAACCATTAAAGAGAGGAAAGCGAACCCTCTGCTGCATGGACACCCAGCCGTTGTAGGCGCCTTGATCCGGGTACCTCGAGCCGTGGCGCACCGCGTAGGCGGCTTGCTCGACGTAGCAGTCCTCGGGCACCTCGGGGTCGATGCCGTTCACATTGGGGCCTGCAAACCACGGGCTGTTCGCACCGAGCCACTGGAGGGGGTTGGACGCCGTCTCGCTGTCGGTGTCGATCAGAATATCCTGTGGGGGAGCAAGGTGACGATACTCAGCCAGGGCTGCGGCCACAATGGCCAGCGACACCACGACAGGCTTCATGGTGTAGGCTTAATGAATGGACGCCTGAAGGAGGTTTCCCAGGCAAGGTGCTCGACCAAGCAACCTAGGTGACGACTAGTAGGTCTGATCGAGAAGCAGGATGGCTTTTGACTACGGGCTGAGAATAGGCCATCGTCAGGTCCTACATATTTACCTATATACGCCAGCTGCCCACATGCCATCGTTATCATCGAACTCGGGTGCAGTCGTCACCTAAGCGACGCTGCAAGACCGTGTCAGTCGGGGTGGCACCGGGAGTCGCGTATGCTTGGGGTCTTTGAGCATGAACATCTGCCACGTGCTACCAAACTTTCCCATGGTTCGTGCTGGACCGGCGCCCCATTTTCGTTATCGAGAATCGCTTGGGATGCCCGTGGGCGATCCGGAGATTGAATGCCTGATCGGGAATAACTTGCCGTTTCCCATCCACGTGGCCGCGCAGGGCACCGAGCGCAGGGCTGGGTGGCAGGCCTGTGTTGCATTCGGTTGGATCTGTAGCGTAAAAGGCACTGCACATGCCGAAGATGCACGTTGAAGCTGCGGGGGAACGGTGCATCTTTGCGTCTTTGCCTCTATGTCCGCGTTGGATATCAGGTAGGTACCGTACCGTATGTTGTCGCCCGCCTGCACCGGCCTTGGAACATCTGATGAGGCCCTTGCTCTTAAAACAATTTCCTGTTCTGTAATGCTAGGACATGGATGAAGAAGAGTCATGACAAGGAAAGAACATGAATACACATCCTGCCAGGACCGGCGTTCTTAGGCGGAGATCTCTGCCCGAATAGCGACTGTAGAATATGCCTTCATCCGGACTCCATCCAAAATGTCAATAAACATCCGATATATCCGACAAGGACCAAGTACAGTCCACAAAGGAGAACGCCGTACCACACCCCGGACAGTAACGCTTCAAACGGAGAACTTAATACAGCCCCGTCATCAAGTCACGGCCACGTTGATCGATCAATCATCATCCTCCCACCCCACGCCAGTGTCCATTTCATCCAACATCTCCACCTCGACCTTGGTCCCTAGCGCCTCCCTCCCCTGGCGGATCATGCTCAGCAGCCGCGCATTGAGCGCATCGACCTTGGAGTCGACATCCCGTTCCGCAGCCAGCTTCCGCTGAGCGAGCTGCCGCGCCTCGGCGTCCAGCCGCGGACTGGCGGCTTGGATGTCGTCGGAACTCAGCAACATGCTACGCCGTCGGCTTGCTGCTGTTGTTGCCGCCGCGGACGCGGCGCTCTGATTGCGCCGGTGCTGAGTTGTGCCCAGCTTGGAGGGCGACGTCGGCCGGAGGCTGGTGTTCCCCAGACTCTGCCGGCTGGCGTGGGTGGGCGACCTGGCGGGGCGGGAGGTGAAGGTTCTGGCTGATATTGAGGCGGTAGTGGGCCTGCTAGACGGGCCCGGAATGGCGAAGGGGTTGGGGTTAGGGCTAGTCTGGGTGGGCGTTTGCACGGGGACGGGGATGCGGCTGGGTGTTGTGTGGGATACGGGGGATGAGCGTGGAGAGGCGAAGCTGGCTGGCTCGCGCGGGGTGAGGTTAGGGGAGCCGGCATGGGAGATATGTAACGGAGGACGGGTTGGCGCTCGCGCGAGCGATGGTGCGGCGCCTGTGAACCTTTGAGATGGCGCACTGATGCGGCGATGGCTGCTGGCAGCTGTCTGGGAGAAATATCCTGGTCTGGGTCTTGCTAAGCCGCTCGGCCTTGCAGCAGCTGCCTTGACCTCGGCAGCGAAGCGTTTCGGCTTCTGATCGCTCGGTTCCTCCACCACCACCCAGTTCCTGAGCTCGTCGTTATTTGCGCTGACCTGGCGGCGCTTGGCGGCGGGCCGAGGAGTGGACTCGGGCGTGGTGGTATCCTGATACTGGGAAGAGGATGGCGTCTCTGGTTGCGGCGCGAGTGGGGAGATGCAGGCTGCTGTGTCCTGATTCATCGGAGTGTCGTCGGCAGGCTGTATCGGCGCATCCGTTTGCGAACTCCATGGCTGACCCGTCGTTTCGGTCACTGTCGATCCGTTTACATCGTATCCCTGACCGCCCCCCGCCTGGAAACCCCTGAATGCTCCCTTTTTGCAGAATTCCCAGACTTTGCCCACTATATCTCCTATTGTTTGTAGGCTGAGTAAGGGTAAGGTCCATCCCGCTGGACCCGGCGTGCTCGCTGTCGTCCTGTCAGGTATGAGGGCAGATGGGGCGTCGCCGTTCGGAACTGTTTTCGGACCTAACGCTCTTCTGTAATCGATGTCAGAGTAAACACTGTCTTCTAACACGCCGTTCTCCGCGCCAATCGGCGCGCTTGCCGGTGTGGTGCTGATCTGTCCCGCCAGCGTATATCGGAGGTGACCTGTCTCTCCATTTCGGCCGTCGTGTGCGCCATCAATGTTCATCTGCCAGTCCAGCGGCGTCGACTCCCTCGTGCTCGCCCGTTTCCGCTTTGCCGCTCCCGTCGGTTGTGCGGCCGACATCGAGATATCCGAAAAGAGGCTGCCCGTCGACTTGGCCAGATTGTAGCTCGACGATGAGGGCGACTCCGGTGGACGAAAGATATTGGCGTGCAGCGGCTGTCCGGCCGCCGCCGATGCCTCGAAGTTGAACCCCCCGGGAATTTGGAATTGCGGCGCGAAAGACATGTTGGGCTGCCTGTAGGACTTGGGGATATAATCGCAAGCCTAATTCAGTTCGGCGGCCGATGTGTCCAGCGGAGAGAAGCTACGTCACGGTCGCTGTCTATGGTCGAAACCGGATCCCGTGGCGGTATTGAACAGTACGTAAGTGGAGTCCGTTGCCTTGTCGATATCTTAGAGTCCGTCAGGAGCAAGCACTTCCTTCATCCTGCGTCAAGTAGATACCCGTGAGGCTTTGGTGCCTCTTCTTGCGCTTCACTGGAACGCGCGTGATCGCGGAGCGGGGTGTTGGGGAGAGCTGTGAGGTGCAGCAACCTAACAGAGCTGCTCAGCAACCAACCAGAGCCGGGCCAGAAGGCGGCTGGGATCAGTGAGAGGCTCAGTAAGAAACGACGACCTGCCAATCCACCGCAATCGCCGTTTTGTGGTCGGATCGTGTCACAAGAAGCAAAGCTACTGCCTCTGGACTACGCAGAGGTAAGATCAGCACCCTAGCGTGAGCCACCGTCTGCGACGGAGAGCCGCGTTCTCTTGAGAGTTGTCGTCTAGCCGGGGGCTGGCGCTGCAAAATGGCGGGGTTGACGGCCGTGGGTTGCGGATTGTTTACTTCACATCCGCCGGTGCATCTCCCGTGTCCGATGTGTACCGGCGGTGGGCTGTCGAATGGGATGATGTGGTGGTTGCTGTAGCAGAGACCGTGAGATACCGCTAACTTATCTGGAGATTTATTTTCCGGTGCATTCAAGCTAGACCCGCACGCAGGCCGACAGGGGTGTTGATGCCACTCCACATTTCCCCAACGAACCTGCCTACGAGCTCTCAGCGATCGCATCAACACTAAAAGAACCCATTGGTTGTGGTCATCTGTATCCGGGCGTGTATCAGTTATTTCTCTAAACCGCCAGATGTTTAACCCGTACAAGCGCATAATTATCCGACAACTCTCTCTATAGACACCGTCTATCGCTTCAAGAGCCGAACAAAACAAAAGTAGCCTCGAACGCCGCGCACTATTCCTTGCTGTAGTAGGCATCCTGCATCGCTTTCTTTTCAGGATTCACCCCGCCGTCAACACCTGCATCACCCTTCACATGCGCTTGGCCCGCCCAAAAGTCTTCCCGCTCCGTCATGATATCCTCGACCCAAGGCTTCAATTCGTCCAGCACGACCTTGGTCTTGACGTACGCGAACTCGCCCAGATCCAGCTTCCCCTTGCCGCGCTTCTCGTACTCGACCATCTGCAGCAGAAGTTCGATCTTGTCGATATCGTGAACATAGAGGCTGTCCAGCGTCTGAGAGTCTTCGTATTCTTGCCATATGGCGCGGATCTCCGACCCAACCTTGCCGCCATCGACGTTGCCGAGCAGTCGCTGAGTGATGTAGTTCATCGTCGAGGCTTCACGCCGACTCTTCTCGGGTTTCGGGACGCCATCCACGGGTGTGATATCGCCGACGATCGACTCCGCCATGTCGTGAATGAGGCACATCTTCATGCACTTCGCCATGTCTAATTTGGCAGCGAGGGACGGCGGCGCAAGCATGCTCATCATCGACATTCGGTACATATGGTCTGAAATCGATTCTCCCCTGCAGAGCGGAAAGGTCAGCAGCACCTTTGGACAGGTAAAACCGAAATCCCCTACCTATCGATCCCAAACCGCCGCCAGCCCTCGCGCTTCGTTGTTTTCAGGCGCTCAAGGATATGGAAATACCCAACTGGTGAGCTCGCTCCCTCCGCAGGCTTCCCAGCCGGAATCGTCTCTAGAACCTTGTCGACCGTCCACTCTCCGGTAATCGTCGGGTTCGGGTTGGGCACATGCCCGACGTCTGGGCGAACCGTCAGCGCCAAGTGGGCTGCATGTAGGTGGGTAGCCTCTACCAGGGGCGCCCAACTTACCAGGCACAGAATCGCCGTTTGCTTGCCCGCTCGATGCCATTGTCGCTGCTGTTTCGGTTGTGACAGATTATGGGAGAATGTTGAGCAGAGTCAGGGCTATGGCGACGGCAGAGGATACCTTAAGGTTCCAATGTTTCGGTTCTAAGGACGGGAGCAAAGAAGTAAACTTGGGGGAGTCACAACAATGAACAAACAGGGACCGGAAAGCGGGATGGGCCTTTGCTTCTCCGTACCCCACAATAACAATCGGTCAGTGGAGACAAGGGTCTGGAACCAACGATCGCTTATCTGCCGGCAACCGCAGTGATGTCACACCGCAGTTGCACCTAACTTACACTACGTGTAAAAGTCTGTTTATGTACTTTGAGCTACTGCCTGTAAGAAGGGGCACCCGGAATAGAAGTACCAATATCTGAACTCGCCAAACACGAAACCGAACATAGGAAACTTAACAATACTTATCACTCATGTGAGAAGCTTGGTACACGGCTCATTTTGACCTTGGGACGAGATGCTGCTAAGCTTCCGCCTTAGTAACCTGTGGCATTACAACCATCCCACAATCTGAAAAGTTAAAACACATTATGCACATTGGCATTTGGTATTGCGTCTCTACTATCACTGATCATCAGCCTTCGCATCTTAAGATTCTCGTGGAGATAGCAGCCTACCTTTTATGAGCATCCGGCCATGAGGTAAGTATTTGAAGTACTTTAGCTACCTTACTCTTGGAGCCTCGGTACAGTCCGTGTCCATGGCTTACACGACACCTCTAAGGTAGCTGCACGCACTCCCCAACGTCAACAGATTTCCTCCAATACAAGGTAATATAATAACATTAGGTGACGGCTTAGACCAGGCTTAACATGACTATCCCCTAGGTTTCGAGGGACTTGGAAACTCTGTCGCCGTATCATTTGGGTAACTATCCAGGTGCCAAAATGGATAGGTCCGCCCTGGGTCGAACGCTCAGCTGTGCCAAGCAGGACATCCTAGTACCTTAAGCTGACGCGCTAGTGCCCGATAGGGCTAGGCGGCTGATGCCCCACCGCAGCCTCAAAATCTCAGCTACAACTTGCCCTGACGGCATGACGAGACTCCCAAGCACCCAAGGTATACAGTAAACAAACAACGCTAGATGAACACCACGCGTTGCTCTTGAACGCCACCTACGGGCTCACGCCATGGCTGCTTATAAACCGCCAGACCGGAACCGAACCATTCCCTTCTTGCCATCTCCGACCAAGCAATGAAGCCGGAAAGCGTGGCGCGGCGACCGCGCTTCTTCCGCCGGTTACTCGCGCGCTCGACCCTGCAAAAGCTCGCTCTCATGTTCCTCATCTGGACAATCCTCGAGTCAGGACTCATCCACTACCGCATCGCACGCGCCGAACTAGAATCCAAGGCGCAAGCTGTCCTGCACAAACCGACACGGGTGTACATCGCGAGTCTGCACTGGAACAACGAAAAGATCCTCCGGTCCGCATGGAACCAGGCTGTGCTGGACCTGGTCAAGACCCTCGGGCCCGACAACGTCTTCGTCGGTATTTACGAGAGCGGCAGCTGGGATAACACCAAGGGCGCCCTGTTGGAGCTAGACCAGGAGCTTCAGAAAGCAGGCGCGGGGAGAAAGATCATCCTGAAGGATGAGACACATGCAGATCTGATCGCGGGGCCTCCAGGTGAGGAGGGATGGATTGCGGTACCAGGAGGGAAATTGGAACCTCGGAGGATACCATACCTCTCCCGGTTACGGAACCTCTCGCTGCAGCCACTGCTGGAGCTCGCCGAGAACGGAACGACATTCGATCACGTCCTCTTCCTGGGAGATGTCATGTTTACAGTGAGTACTCGCCTCACGGCGCTTATAACTGTATCCCACTGCTAACACAACTCAGGTCTCGGACATCATCACCCTGCTGCAAACCAACGACGGCCACTATGCGGCCGCCTGCTCGCTCGACTTCAGCAAGCCGCCGCTCTTCTACGACACCTTCGCCCTTCGCGACGCGCGCGGCCACGAGCACGCCTCACAGACATGGCCCTACTTCCGAGCCCACGAATCCAGACAAGCAATGCTCCACGGCCAACCAGCTCCAGTAACCAGCTGCTGGAACGGTATAGGTATTCACCTTCCCACCTTGCTTCACCCCTCACCCCTCCCCCTTCCCTACTGACAACCCATACTAACCCCTTCTCTCAGTCGCCATGCCCAGCTCAACCTTCACAGGCACCAACGGCCTCAGATTCCGCGGCATCCCGGACTCGCTCGCCGCCCTCCATCTCGAAGGGTCCGAGTGCTGTCTCATCCACGCGGACAACCCGGCCTCCCGCGCGCGGGGCGTGTTTGTCAACCCGACCGTGCGGGTGGGCTACAAGCGCGAGGCGTACGACGCCGTGCATCCCAATAATGGGGACCGGAGCGGCGGAAGCTGGCTGTCTATCAGCGAGATCTACTTTGGCTTGTGGAGGAATCGGTTTGACAGGTGGTTCACTACGCCGTGGTTCAAGGAGAGGAGGGTAAAGGGGAGGATAGAGCGGTGGAAGAAGGAAGAGGAGGGAAGGGACGAGAAGGGAGGGTTCTGCGTGGTGGATGAGACGCAGGTCATTGTGTATAATGGGTGGAAGCATGTCTAGCCTTCTTGGGGAGTAAGGTTTTGTTTTGGGCATGGTAGAGGATGGCGTTTTGGTGTATACAGCTTGGGCATAGGGTTTGATATATCTCAGAATAAGGAATCCCGCCGTTGGATCATGCAATGTTGAATACGCAAGGCACCTAGGTACCTATTTCATCGATTTTCACAAGCGTCAAATGTGGTAGATGACGTTTTCGCATTCTACGCACCAGGTACGCGTGCCATCGGACCAGAGTCTCTTTTGTACCCTACATGAAAAGGAAAGAAAATAAAAAGAAACAAACAAGCAAACAGCCTCCCAGATGAAATTCCCTGATATTAACTCCGAAAATCCGCCTTCCTCGTTGCGGGAAACCAGCCTCCCATGAAAATGCGACTCGAGATGCAGTCCGTGTGCCACTCAAAACCGGCGCCGGGGTATCTCGTCCTAACACCGGGAACAATCCGTCCGTGACGCCGAAATTGTGACTGATCGAATGAAAGTTGACCGAAAAAAGTGAGGAAACATGCGATCGGAAATCCGTCCTGACTATCGTCGTCGTCCCAAACGCCGTAGCACATCCCGTGAAGAGCTCGGATTTTGCCTTTATTAGATCAAGGGGAGATATGCTTCCATCGGAGGACGAGAGGAAATATGCTATGGGAAATTTGATCGTCTCGAACAGCCCGGGGATGTGATCTCTCTGAAGTGCCGCCAGAGTCCAGAGGACCTTGAATTCGGTCCTGTGCGACGGAGATGACCCTGACTAGACCCGGGGGGGGGGGGGGGGGGGGGGGGGGGGGAGATGCGGCGGAGAATGTGTCGTCTCCAAACACCGTGGATGCAATCGTCGACGTCGTTATTTTATTAGTAAATCCCCAGAAGAGCTTGGTATTTGCCCTAGTCGTCGAGAAGAAAATGAAGGTTTATCGACGAGGTGAAGGAAATATGCGACCGAAAACGGCCTGTCCAAAGCCCAGAGATGAACGACCAAGAAATGCTGAAGATTCGGGTGAAAATCAGTTCGCGCTGCAAGGTCGAGACGAGGCTGTGTTAAGAGGAAGGAAATACGATGAGGAATGTGTCGTTTCAAACGCCGAATTGTGATCGATCGGTAGACGGTGACATGTATACCGGAGGAGGGTGCTGTCGACATTCTTCGGGTGAAAAAGGAAGGTAATGTCGCTTAAGACTGGACGATACCGCGTAGGTTCTGGAAGACTTCTTCCATCTGATCGGCCAATTCCAGGAGGCGATCCGAGACGGGCACGTCTTCCTTGTCTTTGTCGGAGGGGCGGTCGTTATGGCTGGCTTCCTCCTTTGGCTTCTCGGTGCTTGGTCCGGCAGTAGCAGCAGCACCTTCTTCGGCGGCGGCGACAGCGGCGGCCTCCTTCAATGCGCGCCGGCCCTTCTTGCGCGACTTGTCGGCCCTCTTCGGCTCCTTCCTCGCCGGCTCGAGCTCGGCGGCGGCGGCAGCGATCTCTCGCTCGCGGGCTTCCATGTACCTGCGGGCCTCCTCCAGGACCTCGGCCGGGTCGCGGAGATACACCTGGAGCTGCTCGTTCCGGTAGACGACATGCTCGTTGCGCCCGTCCTCGCAGCAGCACATGGTGTCGGAGTCCTCTTCCTTCAGCGGATGCGCCTGGATGGGCTGGGCCAGCCGCTGCAGCAGCCTCCGGTTGGCGTTCGCGAACAGCGGGTCGGTGATGGGCGAGAGCCCCTTCACCTCCTCCCACCGCTTGAGCGGGATGTACTCCCGCTTGACAAACTCCCGGGTCAGCGGGAGCAGAGCGAAGCAGACCACGTCCCAGTTGTCGATGGCCAGCTTCACCCAGTCGAGCCGCGTTTTCCAGGGCGGCATCCCGGCCCGGTTGGTAATCAGATGGGTGACGAGCACCATCGGCGTCACCCACTCCATTATCGGGCTGCGAACAGTTCTTGTCAGCATTTCTTGCTTGATGACTACTAGTAGTATCGTGGGTCTGGAATACACCTACCAGTCATCTGCATCGTGCGTCACCACGTTGCAGAAGAAGCACCCGCACATTACGCCCTCCACCATGTCCATGGGGACAGGGCAGACGGCGAGCGTGTGGCCAACCTGGCCGCAGGTGGGGTTGGCACAGATCGGCTGTGCCCTGATCATGGCCATGTTCTGCTCGAACATGGCCTGCAGGTGGCCCGCCTCCAGACCCTCCATCATCTCTGGGCCGAGCCCGAGGAGACTGAAAATCTGTGCCCTATAGAAACTGGTCAGAACAGGTCGCCTGATCGGGGGAAGCTCATCGCATTAGGTGGTCTGATCCGGGGCATGAAATGATGATGAAAAGACGAAGGGTGGGCGAAGGATCAACAAACGAGGAATTCAAAAGCAACAGCCTGTAAGGTGCAAATACATACCACCTCAGGGCTTCGGTGAGCGGGCCGTCGCCCGCGGGAAGAGCAGAAGGAGCCGATTCCTCGGCCGCCGACTTCTTCGCCGACTTCTTCTTCCCTCTATTCTTCTTCTTGCCGGGCTGGCCGGCACCGGCGTTGCTGTTGGTCGCAACTGCGACCGTCTCGTCATGGTGGCCGAGAAGATGGTCGGCCACCGCGCTGCTCTCGCTTGCGGCAGACATTCTGTGAGGGATGCGGAAGGAAGAAAATCAGCAGAGTGATGCGAGAAAGAAAGTCGGTTGTGGGGGAGGAAGGGAAAAAGTGACTGACTTTAAGCTCTCTGGCTCAACAACGGTGCCCAAAACGAGAACATTCTCGCTTTCGGCCAGCGAGAATTTCGATTCGTCGAGGGCTAGCCCCTCGGGGCAGTTCACAGGCTCGGCGGCGGCGACGGGGGCGGCAGGCCGAGCACGGCACCGGGTCCGGTACGGGACCTTCAGCGCCGCCCGGTTCAGCACCATGCCGATGTACGCCCCAAGGGCCCCCTTAACCCCGGCTTTGGCGTCGAGCCGGGCTGTGAACGCGGGTCTGTCAGCTGGCTCCGCTTTTCCCACTCGACGCCGAGAAGGGTGGTGATGTGATCTATCAATACTTACCAGCTTCGATGGGGTCTTGATTATCCATCTGGACTTCTGCAGAGTTAACACAACAATACTCAAACGTGTTGGTGAAGTTATTGTCACTTACGACTTTCTGCAGTGCTGTGTAAAGGGAAGAGAAAATTTTGAAAATCAACAGGCAAATGCAGGGCAAGAAATAGCAGTTCTAATCACCCTAGCAGCTGTGGGCTGGGACGCGCTTGGACTTCATCTAAATTATGCGTCTTTACGCGACCGACTTTGGACTACGCTGAATTTTGACTCAAGTCAGTCGCTCGGATTGGGAGAAAACCTACCTGCAGACTCCTTTGTAGCAAGAGTGTGGCACCTCCTTTGGCCGTGAAGCACTTAAGTACTACACTCGTGACTCGTACACCTCTCGAAACATCTTAGCCAACTGATCCTGTATTGAAGCTTGCTGTTATGCCAACTGTTCTTCACAGAGCAAAGGTAACATATGAAGCTTAGATACATGTGATGATGTGAAGCAATGTGCCAATGGTACATGTACAGGTGGTTACTTCTCGTCTATGCATATAGCCGTCCTAATCTATGGGCTCTCACGTACTATAGACCGCTGGATATTTGTCAAGGTAAAGCTTTCGTGAGTTCAACTGTCTTATGAGCTGTCTTCCGACCAGTATCTGCATAATACATGGGCTCTTGATCCCATTCACACTAGATCTCGTTAGACTACATCCACATATCTGAAAGAAATTACCTTGAAAAGTGTCAGATCACCTTCTTTCACGACCTACCCACAACTTCTTCTCAGGAATCAACGGATGGAAAACAGAGAGACAGATCCTTTTGAGTTTCAATAGAGATAAGGGCAAATCAGGGCTCTATGACCTCCCAATGGGCTGTGACCTGCCGCTCATAGGAGGCGGAGAAATTGACTTGAGCATTGCCAGAGTTTGCTTGCATTTCCCATCCCAGCCGCTTGTAAGGCGGGATATAGCCATTTAATTAAGATATCGATTGCTTTGGCAGCTCCAAGCTCTGTTCAGAGATGAGCAAATGCTTCCTCTAGCCTCAGGCTCTTGCATACCCTTTCTGTATGTTTCTCTATTATCCTAACCTGATGTGGTGCACCTTGCGCCGCCCTCAGTCAGAGCCAGATTTGTCAAGCTTAACAAAGCGTGACACTACTGATTACAGCAGTGCGTGAAACAACCCGTGCTATAGTAATGCTGATTCCTTAATCCAGAAAGAGAGGCGACGACCCGATGTATATCGCGACCGATTATGACTCACGCGGAGTAGTTGTCCTGACTGGCGGAAAGGGGATCCTTCAAACGCCCCGGATTTGTCAAGATTTTCTAGTGTAGTAACTGCCCAGGAGGACCCTCGTTTGGCGCGATTCGGGACAATACGACATGCCGAGTCCCACGCAACGCCAAACAACTGTCAACGAACGCAAACGCGAGCTTCAAGCAAGCACAGGAGTACAAAGTAAAACAATTTCAAGTTACAGCAACTTCTAAGGGAGTACAGCCCCCACAAAACGTAATCATTCTGTACCATTGATCGACTGCAGCGGTTCCAAATGTTGCTTATCATAACTATGTAGTTCATGCAACTAAAGAGATGTCTGGTTAACATTCTCTATGGTTGTGGAGTAGTGTAGCATCGATCCTAGCACGGAATCTGCACAGAATCTGCACGAAATCTGCTACAGCCGACTCGCTGGGCCTTCCCAAGCAGCTAACCCAGCTTCCTGGTATCCGCCAAGGCGGCCAGCGAGTTGCTCCGAATCTGTGGTAGCACGAGCTTGCTTTGAAATGCATTCGATGTGGAGTTGTGGATGCTACCCACCTCTTCGCCTTCTACGGGTTGCGGTCCGGCACTTAGTTATAGTGTACGGAGACACCGTTAGTACACTATATATACCCGTCCCTCCCACCCATCCCCGAACTCCACGAAATCTTCAGGAGATCTCAGACACATCACTACTCACTTCACTTCTGCGTGCCAATACCAGCGCACTGCTCTGCTCAAGACAAGCTCGAGCCCCAAGCCAACAAGCCAGCCAGCACCACCACCACTATCACCACTAATACAGTAATACCCTCAAGATGGCGAACTCACGCCTCTTCCAACCCCTCAAACTCACCCCCCAGATCACCCTTGCCCACCGGATGGCCATGGCTCCGCTCACCCGCTTCCGCGCCGATGACGACCACGTCCCCACCCCCTTAATGGCGACCTACTACGCCCAGCGCGGCTCCGTGCCAGGCACGCTACTCGTGACCGAAGCGACCTTCATCTCCCCCTCCGCGGGTGGGTACGGCAACGTGCCGGGCATCTACAACGCCGCCCAGGTCGCCGCGTGGCGCAAGGTCACCGACGCGGTGCACGCCAAAGGCAGCTACATCTTCTGCCAGCTGTGGTCGCTCGGGCGGGCAGCAAAACCCGAAGTGGCCGCGAAGGAAGGCTTCAAGGTGCACAGCTCGAGCGCGGTCCCCATGGAGGAAGGGGCGCCGGTGCCCGAGGCGATGACGGCCGAGGAGATCCGCGCGCGCATCGCCGAGTACGCCGACGCGGCGCGGAAGGCGATCGAGGCCGGGTTCGATGGTGTCGAGATCCACGGCGCCAACGGCTACCTGATCGACCAGTTCACCCAGGACACGTGCAACCAGCGGACCGATGAGTGGGGCGGCAGCGTGGAGAACCGGTCGCGCTTCGCGGTCGAGGTGACCAAGGCTGTTGTGGAGGCCATCGGGGCCGAGAGGACGGGGATCCGCCTCAGTCCGTGGGGCAGGTTCCAGGGGATGCGGATGAAGGACCCCGTGCCGCAGTTCGAGGATGTGATCCGGAAGATCAAGGGTCATGGGCTGGCGTATCTGCATCTCGTGGATAGCAGGCCCTTGGAGGATGAGGCTGTAGACGCACCCTCCAAGGCGAATCCGGAGAGGGACAGCTTGGACTTCGCAGTGAACCTGTGGGACGGCCCGATTCTGATAGCCGGCGGCATCACGAGCGCATCGGCGAAGTCTTTGGTTGATGAGCGGTACAAAGACAAGGACGTCATCGCCACCTTCGGACGCTACTTCATCTCGACGCCCGATTTGCCGTTCAGGATCAAGGAAGGTCTCGAGTTGAACCTCTACAACAGGGACACCTTCTACATTCCTAAGTCACCGGTTGGATACATTGATTACCCCTTCAGCAAGGAGTTCGAGGCATTGGACGGAGCGAGACTTTGAACGCATAGATCTGAAAAGAGGGTTGCATTTCCGTTGGGTTAGCACCGCAGGATAGAGCCAGACAGCGAATAAGAATATAGACTAATGACCATTTGCCATTTCGTATAGTCGGTCTTTAGCCGGTCCCACACACATCCGAAGGCGTGACCGTGGTTCGTGGCGCCGGAGATCTGCTCTCCTTCGTCTCAAGCGCCTCGGCAGTGAAGTTCTCGAATCCCTGATCTGCCGAAAGGTCAGCAACGCTAAGGCCATTGTCATCAAATGATGTCTGCAGGGACTGCGCCGAATTGGAGTTCTGAACATCCGCCCCGCCCACGGCAGGATCGACGAGAGGGATAATGCCGCGGAGCTCCGGCGTGGCGGAAGGGAGGCGTCACTGCAGAGCGTCGGAATGGATTGGGCGAACGGGTTGAAGTTCTTCTCAGCGGCGACGAGGGCAGCAGCGCCAGCACTCGGCGGGCCGAAGTTACGGAGGGCCTGGATCATCTCCTGAACAAGACCCTCCTGACCGAAGCGGGCTTGGCCCAGGGTCACCAAGGCGATGAAGATGAATGACTTGGTCGGCATGCTGGTTAATATGAGGCAAAGGCCGTCCAGCGGTTTTGAAGGATTAAACACTATACCAATGGCAAGTCGTTAAAAAGAAGGTGCGTTAGAATGGAGGGACGATCGAACTGGTCGGTCGGTGTAAAATGAGTGAAGCCAGCGTGGAGGTTACCTCGGATCAGACGTCTTTTGTAGTCTCAGATGCTCAGACCAGCTGTGGCGTACTGGTAGTGATGTACCGCAGGGACCCACTACCATGCTCAGGAAATTCCAACCAATCAGAGCCCACACACCAGCGCCAGCTGGGCGCGTTTGGGGTGGGTCCGGTGGTCTGAGCTGCTGAGATAACGTGGAGGGAAAAGAAGTTCACTTTCGCCAACGGCGGGTGCCTGCGCGTTTATCGCGGATATCGCATCGTGGACCATAGGACGCAGCTGCCACGCGACGGCGTCGGGCCGGAAATCGGCACAATACGGTTGTTCCTGAGCGTTCGGCGATCCCACGGCCTTATGCGACGGGAAGTAAGGTACCAGGCGGGATCGGGTGTTGACTGCAGCTTAACCATTACGGGAAGGTCCCCCATTGGATCTTAGAGGTGACACAGCGACTCCAGTGCAGCTCGCGTCTCCTCGCATCGGAGACAAAGACGATCCCGGGTGATGCGAGGACCTGCCACCCCATACTATCCAGGCAACTCGGCAATCTGTATCGTTAGAACGAAGATTCCAATACTCATCTCGAACCGCATGGGATTGGGGCAGCGGCGGTCTTGTGCTCATGCGCTTCACCCCGCAAGACCGATATGCGGTGTTCCGGACAAGCATGGTGCTGTCGTCAAATAGCCTAACAGTTAGACCGTAGATAAACCTAGCCTCCATCTGTTGTCTCTTCCGGAGGTGTCCAAGGTCATTGGTGCGCCGCGGGTTGCTGTCTGCGGCCCGCACCGTTTGCAGTACCGGCGACAGTCGTCTCAGGGGGTTGACCTTAAGCTGTTGAATCGAGGCACCAGGAACGGCTGGCCACATAGATTGCGTCATGGTGAAGCCATCCGCAACTCAAACACAAAACCTCAGGCCCCAAGCTCAGGGGATGATGTCGTGGAACTGGCCTTGGGGACGCTTCCCGGCAATGTGGGTCTGGGGAGTGAGTCGCTCTTTCCTTGTGCTGCAGTTCCTCGTGCTCCGTCCGGTGATTTGGTCGGCGACCTCTGGCAATTTCGTCCGCACTTGCTTCCTTCACCATCTCACAACTGAATCCTTCACTCTGCATCTAAGACCCAGCATCGTCCCCGCCAGCGCTAGCTGCGAATCAACTGGGATGCATACCATCATCGCGGCTTGACCGGCATCGCACTCGCCCCGGTGACCCGGCCTTCATTAATTCGGGTATTGTTATTAACCTAGAACTCTAACGCCACTCGAGCTTGGGAACAGCCACGATTCAACATGTGCTATCCAACAAGCCCAGTCCAGCAACGCCGACCGAATGAAGCAGGTGCCCCGACTTGGTCTAAACACTATATACAAGATAATGGTAAACATGATCCAACCCGCCATAACATTGCTCGTTCCGATTGTTGCGGGGGTCCACCGATCACCGTCAGCCTACTTCTTTTTAGGACAAGACGGTATCGTGCCGGACCCCGCGTCGTCGTCGCGTCGTCGGTCTGCCCGACCATCTGGTGTGTGGCCGGGCTCGCTGTGCAGGGCGTCTCTCTCATTAGCAGAACCCACAGTACTCCCTTGCAACCTTCACTCCTCGGCTCCCGATGCTGAAAAGCATGGAACATCATGAAAAATTCAGCCACCCAGACTTCTTCTCCGGCGTCTTTTCTCCCCCTTGCGGTTTGCCCTCCTGTGGTTTACCCTTTTCAGCTTCAGCCAGCTCTTTAATTTTTTGCTTGGATGCCTCCTCCGTCTCCTTCTTGTTGCGTGCAGCCGCTTCTTCCTCTTCCTTCTTCTTCCGGGCAGCCTCGTCTTGTTCCTTCTTCTTCTTGTCGGCCGCTTCCTTCTCCTTCTTCCTCTTCTCCTCCTCGGCCTTCTTCTTCTCTTCCGCCTCCTTCCTTTCCTTCTCCTTCTGCGCAATGATCTTCTTCTGTTCCTCTTCCGACATGTGCGAGAAAGCCTCGACGTCCTTGTCCCACTTCTTTACACATTCGTCGTTCCAGTTGCACTTCTCCACCTCGCCGTACGCGGGATGGCTATAGCGGGGGTGCCTGCTAGGCCAGTTCGACGCGTGGTAGTGGTGCCGGACCAATGCGGCCCTAGAGTCGTGGTTGCCCGAGTCGGAGTGGCCCTGGCCAGCGGCGAAAGCCTCGACGGTCAGAACGAGGACTCGGCTCACGACTTTGGACTCCTGCATATCGTGGAACAAATCCCAGTCGATCTTCAGGTTGGGGTCCTCCTTGTGCAGGTCCATTTCCGCCATGATGGCCTCGGTGAAGGCAGAGGGGCCCGTGCCGCTGATGATCTGGTCGAAATCCAGCTTGACGTCGGCGAGCGCCACACCTTGCTCCTTGGCGACGCCGTTGAGCCACGTCATGATCCTCTCAATGAGCCTCATCATGACAGGCAGCTGCGGCTTGCACATGAAGGTCCACTGGCAGAAGGAACGGGACTTGGGCCCGAGAATCGGGTGGTCCTTCCAATCCGGCTCGTCGATCTCAACGCCAATCACCATATCGATGTCCTTTTCGTTGTATCGCTCCGGGATGAACTTGGTCAGCGGCTTCAGGTCCTCGACGTCGATGTCGGCGTAGAGGCCGCCCTCGGCATACATGATCAGGTATCGGAGGAGATCGGCCTTGACGATCGCGGCCTTCACGTCCCGGTAGAAGTTGACAATGTCGGGCCGGTTGAAGCCGTCTGGGCCAAAATGCCATTCGACATAGCGCAGGTCATTGTCGTCGGTCAAGACCTCGTACCGGTAATCGGGGTTCTTGGCAAGCCATGTTCGAGCTGTGTTGAGATCGCGCTCCTCAAACTTGAGCGGGTTCACCTTCCACGTCTGCCAGATCTTTCTCGGAAACTGTGCCCGGACTTGTGGTACTGGCTGACCGGACAGCGCCGGCCGGTTAAGAGGTGCGCGGACGCTCGAGTGGAAGAGGTTCAGGTTGAATACGAAGAGGATCAGGCAAACGGCGGCGATGTAGATGGGGAGTGCCCGGCGAAACTGCGTCGGCAGACGGTTCCTGAACTGGGCTGCCGCCAGGGATGGAGAACCCAGCGGTGAGCCGAGTTTGGCAATCATGCCGGGCAATGAGGTGCAGAAATGTCAACTCAAGGAGAGTGAGGTGCGGCCGCGGGAGAGAAAGCGAGTGGCATCAATTGAAGGCAAAACGCTATGGACAACGGGAAAACAAACGAACGAAGCAGCAAGAAAAAGTAATGCCAGATGTCTGACGGAAAGGGGAATGAGGTGCAGAGAACATCACGAATCCGTCCTGGTCCCCTCCATCGGCGGCCCAACGGCCCTTATCTTGTCACTCGATTGGCTTGGTCGCTGCGTATTTGCCCGGGAAATCATCATGGCAGCCAGGTAATTTGGTCAGTTAGCGCGGCTCCCACAGCCAGGGTGCCCAGCCACCCACCCAATCAGCCCCCCGAAAATTCTTCCACCACGGAGGGACGCTGGCCCTGGATGTGTGGCAACGCTGATGCGAGACCAGGGGAAATTTCACAACTGCCATCCGCGACCAATCGTACAGACGGGGGCCTTGGCTTGCAAAGAACACTGCAAATTCCGCAACCGGCTCCCAAGCGGAATAGGGGGTGCTCAGCGGCGAGCCGGTCTCGAAAAGGGGCCGCCCCACCGTGCGTTGAGGGAGAATGAGCTGGAGAAGTTGCATCGCGATCGGGGGTTGGATGGGCTGGCAGACATCCAACCATCATGCGAGCTGGTTTCGGCACATGCCATCGCACTGTGCACTTCCAGGTACAACACAAGCTTTCGGCTGCGAATTCCCCATGCGTTTCCCCCCTGTTTTCGGCTCTGTGAGTGGAATCCTGATCGAAGGAAGCAGGGGAGGCCACAGAGCGGGGAAGTGAAGAAGATGAGGCATCTAGTACTATCGCCACAGAGGGTCGAAAAACATGCGCGTTGTCTGTCGACTTACCATGCTCAGCCGCAGTGGTTTCTTGACATTTCTGCTGTATTACATACTACAGGGCCATATCATCGGCCTTGTGTTGCACCTTGATTCGTGCACCCTGGATATTCTCCGGTGGGGCGAGCGCCAATCGTGAGCCCCCATTTCCCAGCAGGGAGCGACCGACACCCCACTCTCATCCCGCTGGCGCCCTGGACGGGCCAGCCGCAGTCCCTTTTCCACTTGCCAGCAGGTGCCATATACTGTGTGTACCCACAGCGAGAGCGCATACCCGATACTCGAGGATCGAGACATTTAGAACCTTGGATGGGGCGAGGCCATCGATCAACTTCCCTCGCTTGCCATGAAGTCGGCCACGCTTCGAGGACTGCGGCAACTGTTGTGGCCGAAGAACGCCAGCAGCTCCGATGGGCCGCAAAAACTGAGGCCAACGGCCTACCTGGATGGACTGAGGGGGTTCGCCGCGTTCTTGGTCTACATCCACCACCACCAGCTATGGGCACACGGCATGAAGAAGTCCGAAATCTTCGAAAACGCGTTTGGATATAAGGGGGAGTTCCATCTGGCAACCTTCCACTTCTTACGGAACTTCTTCACCGGCGGCCACGTCGCCGTGGCCGTCTTCTACGTCATCTCGGGCTACGTCCTTTCAGTGAAGCCCCTATCACTCATCCACGCCGGCGAGCATCTCAAGCTCTTTGACAACCTCGCGTCCGCCTTCTTCCGCAGATGGTTCCGGCTGTACATCCCTCTCATGGTGACGACACTTGTCTATGTCACCTCGTGGCATGTGTTCGGGATTTGGAACGCGGCATGTGAGCCCAAGGGGACCATCGGCGAAGAAATCTGGAACTGGTATGTCGAGTTCAAGAACTTCAGCTTCCTCTTCAAAGAGGGGTGGATGTGGGTCAACTACAACACGCATCTGTGGTCGATACCGCTCGAGATGAAGGGGTCCATCATCACGTTCACAGCCTGCATTGCGCTGGCGCGGGCGACATCCAAGGCTCGACTTATATGCCTGCTCGCTCTTGTCATCTACTTCCTCTACATCGTCGATGGCTACTACTGCGCCTTGTTCGTCGCAGGCATGCTACAGTGCGATCTGGACTTACTCGCAAGGAAGGATGGTTATTTCCCACGGTTTCTCCGGCGCTTGGAGCCCTACAAGACCTTCATCTTCTACCACTTCTTTTTCATCGGCCTGTGGCTCGCCGGCGTCCCATCTCAGAACAACAAGGTGGAGCAGCTGCGGGAGAACCCGGGGTGGTACTGGCTGTCATACCTCAAGCCGCAAGCCGTCTTCGACTACAAGTGGTTCTACCTGTTCATCGCGGGCAACATGCTGGTGGCGTGCATCCCGCGCATCGCCTGGCTCAAGCGATTCTTCGAGTCGCGCTTCTGCCAGTTCCTCGGCCGCATCTCGTTTGCGCTCTATCTCGTCCACGGGCCGATCCTGAACACGATCGGCGACCGCGTCTACTACGCCGTCGGCTGGGTCCGGGCGCCAGACGACAAGCACGCGCAGATCGCGCACTGGGCGAATCTCTTCCCTTTGCCTAAGACCGGGCCGATGGGCCTGGAGATTGCCTTTCTTGTCCCCAACATCTTCCTACTACCGCTCACCTTGTATGTGGCCGACATTGTGACGCGGGCAGTGGACGATCCGGCGGTCAAGTTTGCCGCGTGGCTGTACAAACGAATTCAGGGCGGCGAAGCAACGGATGCGAAGCCTATTGAGCTGGCGCCCTTAATGCGGGTAGACTGATGCGGAGGGATGTGATGACTTGATGGGTTGCTCATCTCCCTTGGCATGCGGTCCTGGATCTCGATAGCTGTACTGTACAAACATACCCCTTTCTGTATACCTTTATTGTGGTTGCTCAGGAGGCGTTCGGAAGGCTTTTGATAATTTCGTATTAGATGTAAAACGAACAGTGCTGGCCAGAGAATCGGGACGTCTCACAGACTTGAAAGAGGGACAGAGCTTGGCTGCAACAGTTTCGACATTGATATGGCCCCTACCTAGACATACAAGTTACACTACCTGGTAAAAGTCTGTTAGTGCCATCGAACGGTTCTAAGTTGTGTCGACGGCTCCGACTCTGAGCAATCGTATTGTATTGTACTCATGTCATGTACGGTATTCCGTACACTTGTACAAGTACAATACAGAGAAACACAAACCGCATCCTGCACCTATCCTGGCGTCTTGAAACACTCAAAACAAACTTCATGATGAGATTAGGTTCGCATTGACCGTTTCAGCTGCCAGTTCCAGTCAGTTTTGAAGTCGCCCCTGGCCTGATGGAACCTGGAAGACGGAAACACCACAACGCACAACAAGACAAGGAAAGGCAAGGCCTCCCGAGGTAACATTCGCGATACTTCCCCAGATTCCAGTCCTGTTGCGAGCGAGCCTTCCCCCTCATCACCTCACCCTCCGAAACACTGGAAAATAAGTGCTGGTATCGATGTTGTTTCCCTTGTTTACAGCTGAGGGGGAGGCTCGGTCTGTCAAATGCCAAACCGTTTCACATATAAATCCACAAAATCACCGAGGTAAATTGAACGTTGGAAGGTTGTCTGGGCCGCATCTAGCCCGCATGCGCTAGGATGACTTAGGCAGGTTACTTCACGAGGTTACCCTAACATTGCCGGGGTTGTGGGGTTAAGTTTTGGCAACAACTCCTAGCGTGCACACCAACCCTTTTGGCGCTGGCGTTGTCACTATTCCTTGGTCCCATCAGTGCGGTCGTTCCTGGAAAGCACTGGAATTTCAACATATTCTGCTTGCAGGCAGTATCACAGGCAGCGATGTAAACACGAGTGGAGATGAAAAGGAAAGAATGCGCAGAAGAGAAGTGCAGGATGGATACTCGGAATTCACTTCTCCGCATTCATCAGATCCGCCCCGTTAGCATCAATGGAGCGCCGGAGATGGGTACGTAATCCATTTGCGCCGCTCGCGCAACTTGCGATCGGCATCTCTCTTACGGGACGCGGACAAGCGCACTGACTGTTGGCCTGCTGATCAGCATGCTTTCCCGCTCCCATTTCCGAAGTGCATCCAGCGACTCGAATACCTAGGTAAGAACTGACTGCAACAGTCAGCGATTCTCTGTCTGACCTGGGCCGAAGATCGAGCATGTGAATTCCGAACCCGCGATTCTTGCCATCTGTGACTTAGTTAGCCCGCACAGTGCGTGGGATGCCCGATCCGGGGGTGGAGGTACATCCGGGGGAGATCATCGCGTGCGGGATCCCGATCACCAAGGTACCTTCCAAGGTACTACCTAGAGAACGCATGGACCTTAGGTATGTTTCTGGTGAACCCGGAACCGGGTTAACGGAACTGAGATGTCGTAGTTGATCGATCTACATGTCATAGTCGTTACAACATACACGTATAGAAACAATGCCCTGCGGCGAGGAACCGAGGTAAGCGCAGCAGCCTTGGTTCTCCTCCTTCGGCCCGTGCGCCATCCCTTGTGTCACCGTCAGCGTCGATGACGATGACACCAAGACCAGTGTACCGAGGCTCAGGCTCCGAAACAACATCATGGGCGATGGTCGATCGATACCGAGCCGTGACACACGCGGTTGAGGAGGCGAGTCGACGAATTGCGTTGCTTCTTCCTTCGACTTGGCGTCTGCAGCATGAACCTTTTCCGAGCAGGGCCACCTAACCAAATAGCCCTAGTCATGCTATCATGAGCCCCTACCTATAGCATGTGTCTATTGTACCTACGTTTATATACGTAGATCTCATCTGCCATCTACTCGCGCGCGGTAGGACCCCATGAAATCCCAAAGTAATCAAGTGTTGGCGTCTCGACGCCATGTCCCAGCACTTGCATATCCCAACGAAGATATTAGGGTCAGAAGCCAAAAGAATAGTGTCAATGGCAGCACGGCCATGACGACGACCAAGGCAGCATCAACCTGTCAATATCGTGGAGTATCTAGGAGCACATAGCTGAGACCCTGAGCTATAGACCCATCCCTTCCCGCCATGTCACCATAGCATTCTAGAGTTTCTAGATTCATTCAGCCAGACAAGGAATAGGACTATTCGGCCACTTGTCTCCTATAGGACAGCACGTCACTAGAGCGATACTAAGTCGGGACGCTGTGACCTCCCTGCCTCGGCCGTCAACGGCGGACCAAAAGGATAGAAACTACCTTAATAAGTTCCGATGGGCTTATTGCTTACCGAGCTATTCTCAGTCGTTGCCAGGGCAGCTGTCATTGCAAGAGACTATGCCAGTGTAGCGGCTAACAGTATACTATCTGCTACAAATAGCTCTGAGTCTTTGAGCTAGGTACGGGTAGAGATCATGAAATATATCGACAACGAATCCTGAAAGTCCGCAAGGAGAGCTTTGCTCCCTAGAAGGATCCACAGTCGTCTACATTCATTGGCAGATATCAATCAAGGCGAACTATCAACTAACTAGGCGATTCCAGGGAACTAGGTATTCAGTCAGATACACACTACCAGTTAGAATTACACGGCGCCGATGGGATACCCCTGGCGCCCTGAGTAACGCTCGAAGATCTATAATATCGTACATAAACATCGCGGTACATCCAGTCATGTCCTCATCGCGTGCCGTGTCTGCCGGCCCTTTTCCAATCGATGGTCCTAGCTCCACAGCGCCCCAACGCAAACGCAAGAAGGTATTACATTAGTAAGAAATCGTTGGGAAGTATTGTTAGTATACAGTGAAGAAGCATCCAAAATTAGCCCCCCGCGTCACGTAGTGATTAGTATCCTTCTTGCGGCCCCTGGGGGCCTCCTCCAAACAGATTATTATCATTAGTCCCGGTACCCTGGACTCCCCCAGTGGTATGGAATGACCACTCCACTTGATCTCCGAAGCCGTGGACTTCCCCGGCCCTGTGAGAGGTTTGGAATGGTGCCCCCGTTCCCGGCCCCGCTGTGTGGAAACCCGGGTGGTGGTGATGACCACCGGTGACAGCATGCATGCCCACGGGCGAGGGCTGCGCAGTGATGTCATCTGGCAACGTCTTGCTACAGCTCGGGCAGTACATGCTGCCGCATCTTCCAGGCGGATGTGCTTCCACAAGTGTTTGGCTCGAATCGCGGTTCTCGTCGCGGATCCAGCTGAGACTAGCAAGCGAGGACCTAGAAGCGGTCGACATGGTAAGCCGGTTAGCGTGGATGGTTGCTGCTGACTGCTGCCGTTGGTCGAGTTCGTGTTGCTGCATTTCCTCGGCCGATATTGTCTCGTTCGGCGGTTCTGTCGACGGCAGATATGCCGGATGGATGTGCGCGTAGTGTGTCGGTGTCATGGCCGGATGTTGGAATACGTCGCCCGGGCTGGTGTAGGGAGCACTGTAGGCGCTGGTGACCGTTACGGTGGGATGCTCCCAGCTTGCCTGGTATGGTGGCCCTGGCTCAAGGTTCTGCGTGGTTTGTGTTGGGATAGGAACTGACTGGCTTGGAAGAACTGTCGGGGCCGGCCTAAAGGAGGCACTGACAATCCTTGCTTGCGATTGAGGTGTTCGTGCTCGTTGGATGGGCAGTGGTATCTGCGTCGGCGGTGGCGCTTTGGGTAGTATCTCGGGCCTCTTGATCCGCTTGGGTGGAGGATTGGGCCGCCTCCGGACGGACGAGGTCCTAAGACCCCCAGGTGCAGTTGCGCCAGGGCTGTCCGCTCCAGGCAAGATGCTCGCAGCAGCTGCATTCCCAGGCAACACTGTCGGCGTTGGGGCAGGGGAAGGAGGGAGATGAGGGGTAGAAGCCCAACGATCACTGCTCGCGTCCGGCTGGCTGATGGCTGAGCTTGAAAACAGGGAGACCGTCCCTGATATCCGCTGCTCCCAATCTTGCACGACAGTTTCGATCCAGTTGTAGATGGTTTTCGCACTCCGCTCGAGGCCTTGGTGAATCTTGAGTTCGACGTCCATTACTTGGCTTGCCCCTTCGAGAACGTAGCGGTACTGAATCTCGAGCAGGTCTTTCAACGTGCTGATGACCTTCTTGGACTCAACAATGAAATCAAAGATTTCCATGACGGGAACGAACACTGCTCCAGGGTTAACATTCAAGAGCGTACGGAGATGAAGAGAAAGAGGCTCCGCACCAGGATCCGGAATGACCTGATCGCTCGGGAAAAGAAGCTTCCACAACGAGACCCAATTGTCAATTTTGGCTTTCAAACTTCTAGCCTCCAGGGACGAAATGATCTTCTGGGTGATGCCGTCCTCAGGGTCAGCGCCGCCACTATCATAGGTGATACGGCACACGTCTAGCTGGCGCAGGTGAGAGTCCAGGTCATTTTTGGAGACGAACCCCTGGCAGCATCGGGGACAGAGAAATGGCCCTGCGTTCCTCTGCACGGGTGGGTGGTGAGCACGGATGTGCTTTCTGGATACCATTAGCATATCGGCCTTCAAGGCCAAGTTTCGGCGAGGCTTACTTCAGCTGCGACATATCGGCAAAAGAATGTGTGGCGCAGACGTAGTAATCGCGGACGTTGAACCGAAGGGGGTTGCGTTTTCGGTAGGGACAGCTGAAGTTCGTGATGTTGCCTTTAGTGCTGTATGCTTGCGAGGCTGGTGACACATCCCGCTCTTCGTTCCCCTGGTTGTCCCGGCCGCCCAACCCACTCCCATCATCACTGCCTCCGTCAGCTTTCCGCTTCCCCTTCCCATGCTGAGCCGAGTGTTGCTGGTCATTGTTGCTAGAACTTGGGGTTCCGCCGTAGTGCGATGACGGCGTGCCGTGGCCAGATGTTGTTTGAATAAACCCAAGCTTTCCCTCATAAGCTGCGGTCCAGAGTTCCTGGAGGTAACGGTACGTGCAGTCCCAAACCAACAGTGGAGCGGCACAGTCATCCACATCTTTACCGAACGTGTTTCTCAGAACCCATGATGAAATCTCATCAACAAGCCTGGCCTCTTCATCATCAGCAGTCCCCTGATCCTCGGTCTCCACAGAAGCTGAAGACTTAGGTGCCGTGACGCTTGGGGGAGCAAGCTGTATTCTGTGTCCAGCGTGAGCAGACATTGATCGTTCAAAGAGAGACGAGCGAGGTGGTGGGAGTGATACGCACTTGCTTGCCTGTCTCCGAGGCATGCGGGGAGGGAGGACAGACAGGCCACCATCGGCATCCTCCTCGATCTCGCTGCGGATCTCCCGAGACAGGCGAGATTCCGGGCGGCTACACTCGGACTGTGTGTTGACACAGGTGGTAGAGGAGAGGAGGGAGTCGATGGAACCGATCCCACGGTTATGCCTCCGAAAGGACGCATCAGCCCCATCCTTGGCAGCAACCTTGCCCTGCGAGTCGAGGAGAACCAGCTGAGGGCGGCCTTTCCGGAGCAAGTCCGGAGTCATCGATTTGGGGCCGCCGGGGAAGCTGGCCATGGTCGGGCTGCTCGGGGGCGTGGTGCCGGAGAGGGACAGCGCATCGGCGGCTGCCGGGTGTTTGGGGTCAGCCCGGGAGTCCGCTTGCCGCGTAGCCGTCGCCGGGTCGAGGTCGGCGGCTGCAGTCTTCCGCGCGTAAACTGCATCCTTCCGTGGACGGTAGGGAATGCGGACGGTGGTGTCGCCGCCTAGCTTCTGTGTGACGCGCTGGGACGCAGGGGACCTGCCCCTGGCACCGGGTTCCATCCTATTCCTCTCGGGCCTTAAAATCGAGGCCGAAGAGTAGTAGACTGGTGACCAGTAGACTCCGGGTACAGGTCCAGCACGCGCTCCACCAGAGTCGCGGTCCCGAGACGTCTCGACCCGGGGCACCCCTCGATGACGTCTCGGCGACCCGTGGACTGACTCTGCCGGCCGCGGAGGCGCTGCTTGCAACGTGGGACCTGGTCGCGGCCTGTTATTTTGTTATTTTGTTCATACGAAGGCGAAAGTTAATGAGCGACTGTAACGAGCGTGTGTGTAGTGTAATGAACGAAGGACCACTCGCATGACAAAGGAGAGATTGAGGGGTTGGCCTTAACCCCCGCGACCGACCATCCACTGCGGCTCGCGCCTGTCAGCGTTCTTCAGAAGGATGGACGTTGCCAGAGCCTCGCGTGTCCTCCCCCTGAACATACACAACCCGTTTTAATTTCGATCATCCCAATCGAGAAGCCGCAGCTGTGGCGCCTGGGCCAATTAAAAGAGCGTCAACCGTAGGGCTGCGATTGGTTCAGGCAGGCGCGCCTGAGTACAGCCAACTTGGCCTAGCCGAAGTCCGATGCAGCACCGCTCCTTCCGCGCAGCGCACAAGCCAAAGGGTCACATCAATCATCTCAGGTTGAGACCCCGGCGCTTTTCCATGCCTCTGTTTTCGGGCTCGATCTGATGTTTCAGTCGAGTTTGCTTTCCATCTGCAGATCGACAGCACTCCCGAGGGGATCCGAGACCCACTCGGAGTCAACATCCGGGCAACTCTATCTGCACCTCACATGCACCACTACCTAAATTCCGTTCCAAGTGAGCTGGAAGCATCGTCCACGGTACCCAACCTCTCAGTGGCATAGGAAAGATCAAGATATGATCCGCTTGCTTGCCAATGCATCACCGCTGCTACAGCCCCATTACACGTAGGTCAAAAAACAGAAGAGGACACTATCTAACCTTCCATGTGACGGCTCCCCGTGCCAGAACCTCGACAGATAAGGACAACGCCGGAGCAATCTAAGCTCGGCTGCAGCATCGCTGCCCAGCGCCAAACTTCCTGAGGCCAAACAAAAATGGCGATGCAGGACAAAAACATGCAAAATTTGTGTGACAAGGGTGAGATTCGAACTCACGCCCCATTTCTGAGACCAGGAAATCTATGAGATTTGCTAATTCAGGTTTACCTGAACCTGGCGCCTTGGACCGCTCGGCCACCTTGCCCGAGATCGCTGGAATGCTGCATTCTGCAGCTGCATGATGAGCCGCGACCGTGGGCAACGCAGCCGACAGGCAACAGGTTGAGAATCGCAGAATGATTCCCCATTCCACGCTTGCCTTAAGATTGAATCTCGGAACGGTAATGGTTGTGCATCGTTAATAAACCCCCAATGAGACATGTCTTATCCCGAAACACGAGCTGCAGCCTGCGGGCATTGGCTGCTGTCCTACTTATTTCTCTGCCAACGCTCACCAGGCAGCCGATAGAGGTTCTCTAGGGTTTGCTCATTGATATGCTTATTATCTCCATCATAAGGTCACGGAACTATCCTCTTTGGCTGTCTGTAAAGACTGCACCACGAACATGCGCTTGGAAGTTGACAGAGGACATGTTCCCACAGTTTGAGCCTTGGAGGCCCAGTGTTGACATCCATCTCACGCGATTGACCACCCCATACGAAGTAGGTAGTTTCCCAGCACGGCCGGTGTACTAAACAACCACTCCGGCAAGTTGAGCTTGGTCCTCCACTTGCTGCGCACAATATTGTGTGCAGACCGTTGCGGAGGCTAGTGCTATGTTGTATCCTCTGAGCCAATTGCTCCGAAAGTTGATCTACTCGACCCATATAAGCCCAAGGCATCAACCTGCAAGACCGAGCTTTCCTTTTTGTATGAGGGAAGAGATCTCCGTGCTAGAGACTATGTCGGAACTGCTGTTCGATCGTCTTTCTCAAGTCTGCCTCTAACTTGGAGAACTGAGCGAGTCGCTCAAGGGATGGGTTGCACGCTGACGAGTGCTCGTCGTTGCCAGTGGGGTGGCGATCGTGCTCCTGCTTGTTCTTCGGGGCCCTTCGCTTCCGCCCAGTAGCGTCTGTTGCCGCCTCCAAACTTATTCCTCTTGTCCGCGTTGTTGTTCTGTCCCTCTGCGGCCACAATGTCCAGCTCGTTGGCACCGTCGCGCGTGAAACAGCAAACCATACATTCTTAGAGCCCTCAAGCGGCCATCTGCCCGCTTGGCGCTTTGTTGTGCTTTTTTGGTGCCAGTAGCGTAAATCTAGGTATTATTCTTCATCATGCATAACACTGTTATAACTAACACTAACCACACCACGCATGAACAAATACACGACGATGCTCTCCGACACCAGGAATATGATAGCACTCACGAAGACGCCACGCTGCTCGAAGCCAGATGCAACCAAGATATAAAGAGAGACCTTCTGAAGCACCGGGAACTCCCAAGAACAAGAAGAAGAAGGAGGGATAGAACGGGGAAAACCTACATCGCACCATAATGTACACACCAACCAACCAACCACGATATAGTCCCTTACAAGCCCACAAACTCCCGCCTCGCCTTCACGCCTCACGCCGCTCTTCATTCCCCCCCTCCTCCAGGCCCTACACAACAGAAACATCCGTCAGCCCCCGAGTCTGCTGCGCCTGCAGCGCGACCACCAGCTCCGTCAGCCGATCAATCTTGGTCGCCAGATCGGCAATGCGCACCTCGACATCGGTCGACGGCTCGCCAAACGCCTCATCCTCGGCCGCCTCGGTGGCGGCGCGCCGCTGCTGCGGCGTGAGGACAACCGAGTCGCCCGGCCCAATCGGGGGCGCACGGAGGGCAAAGTCCCGGGCGGCGGCGGCGGCCGAGTCAGCGCGCAGGGACGACGACGACGGCTGGCGGCGCTGCTGCTGCTGCGCAAAACGCTTGGCCGGGTTGGGGCTGCCGATGGTGGCGTGGCGCGGGCCGCGGAAGCCGTTGTACGGCGTACCCCTGGCCGAGGCACCGCGGAGCCACTCGTAGAACTCGATGGCGGCGACGATGGGGAGGTGGGTTGCCTTCAGGAGCAGGATGCGGGCCTGGCGGAACTTAGCGTCTGAGGGGAGGAACAGGCGTAGCGGGCGGAAGATGACGAGGGCGAGTAGGTTGAAGGGCGGGTAGAAGTGGGTGAGGCGGTTGCTGGTGGACGCCTCGAGCACGTAGACGCTGTAGACGTAGAGGTACTCCTCGCGGGCGTGGGTGATGACGCGCGAGAAGCTGTTGGACAGCATACCTGTGAGGGAGCCCGTGAGGAGGATGGAGCTGAGCATTATGAAGAGGATCATGAGAGGAGGTCCGAAGATCGGGTCAATCTCCTTCATGATGTCGAAGCCAACATAACTGGAACCAAAGAAGATCTTGGTCAGGTACATTGTCATGGATCCGAGCGAGTAGGACTCGCGGCCGACGAGCGTGAACGTCGTCAGGAATCCTAGATAGATGACAACGACGAGGACCATGAACTTGAGGAAATCCTTTCCCATCTCTTTCAGGCAAGGAATGAGAGTCTGGACCGAGTTAGTCTCACGGTATCGAATTTCAGACGAGCAGCGACTTACACCCCAGTAAGGGCTCAAGCTGAGGATGGAAAAGACACGCGGAACCATGAAAAGGGCCTCAAGAGCCAAGATGTCAAAAGACAACTCAACAAGACCGGCATTGTGTGTCTGTAATCCGATGACCCCTGGGAAGCGTCAGTACAGAACCAATCGAAAGGAAAAGGGGGGTAGCCGTACTCAAGACAAAGTAACCAACGCCAATTCCGATCATGGCCATGTCAAACAGGTTCTGTGGGGCGGGGTTGGCTATTAGACGCTATTCTGAAAGCATGAAAGCATTGGAGAGAGGCCGCACATACCCAGACATCAGCTGCGTAGAAGATGGAGCCGGCATCTATCCACTCGCTCAGCTCGTCGTAGGCGAATGCAGCGAACCAGAGACACAAGAAGACCTCCAGGGTCGTGAGGCGGGTCGGGTCGCGCTCCATTACCAACACAGCGTAGTACAGGCCGAGAAAGCTGGCAAAGAACAAGATCTCAAACGACTTGAGGTACTTGGGGACGCGGAGGCGTGAAAAGGGGTCGGCCGTGGCGGGCTTGTAGAAGCGCGGTTTCTTCTCCGAGTGGACCGACAGGCTGTCCCAGAAGATGATGTCGCCATTCCATATCCCCGTGATGATCTTCTGGACAACGGCCTGGCTGAGGAAGCGCTTGGCATCGGCGATGGCGGCGATCTCGAGGGCATTGAGGTTCGCAAAGTGCGCCGTGGGGTCATCGTCCTCTTCATCGTCATCCATGTCGGCCGTCATGCTCATGGTGAGCCGGGAGATGGAGTGCATCAGCAGATTGCGCTTGCTGCTTCCGGACTGCCTAAGGACCTCCCGGGCCGAACTGGCCGTGCCACGCAGGGCCTGCCCCAGAAGGGCGCTGTGCTCATCGGCCACGGCCTCTTCCTCGTCGCTGTTGCTCCGGTCATCCGAGTCCTTCGGATCCGGGATCTCGTAGAGACAGTAATCGACAGCCTCCCGCTCAGAGAGGTGGGTCAAGAAACGCCAGGCCACGATCTCGCAGGCGTTGGCGCGGGCCTCGTTCAACCCCTTGTCTTCCAGGATGGAGCCATAGTGCCATTTGAGCGCTCTACACGGCGTATCAGTGTACTTGTACAAGTACCTCGGGAGAGGGGAGACAGATAATGGCAGGATACATACAGCAACGCATTCACAATGGCCGGATGAGTGCAGGTGAGAGCTAGATGGTCGACCAGCGTGCGCAGTCCTTCCCCGGCGCCCGTGGTCCTAAGCTGCTCAAAGGTCGAAGGTAACACAACAGTGTCAGCAATGTAAATTGAGAGCTTCTTGACCAACACCCGGAAACAATCATCCAGCCTGATGTCCGGAAGCTCCGCACCCGAACCGAACATCCGGGCTTGGCGAGTTATCGGTGACGGGGGCAATGCCGCTTCGCCCTGTTGTGGACGTGACTTAACGCGGATCGGCATCTCGGAGTCCTGCAGCACCCGGTTTCCGAGCGATATTCGCCAATTGCAAAGGAGTAGTTTACGACAGTGCTCCCGCCGCTCCTGAGCTGCCTCTTCGCCGTCGAGAACGGGGAAAAGTGAAGGAGAAGGCTGCCTCCGCCCGAATCTAGGAAGAGGGGAAGATCTCCCTGGGATTGACAATGTTGGAGCCGGCTGTAACTTAACCCATTGGAGAATCCCGGTAGCGGTTGGTTGGCGGGGGGCGGGGGGCTCTACTCGAGTGGGGGTCCCGGGGGCCCAGAACGCTAAAAATGCCCTCTCACGTCTCACTGTTGGCTGCCGTTTCAGCTTCATCCAATCCACCATCGTCTTGAGCAATTAGCACGCCGCCTTCAAGGTCGACATGCATTCCAATCTTGCCACCTACAAGTGTAATTGATCACCTGAGCAGTGAGGGCTGACGAAGAAACCAAGGTCCCGCCTGTCAGAACTTACACGAGACCGAAACAGCCGGCTTCCTCAGGTATTCCTTTGTTAGAAACGAACACTTGTGCCGCACATGGGCAGGTGAAGCCATCGCAACATCTTGCTACTCCCGGGACAGGTCCCACAATCGGGGTATACAATACCTACAGCGCTTGCCTCTGATCTGTCTCCTTTCCCTCCTTGCTCTTTGCCGGGGACCTATCCAGGAACAATGTTGACAATTTTCCGTACCGGGAAGTCGGTCGCCCCGCTTCCGAGGTCAAGCTCGGGGTAATAACTGATAGGCGGATTTTCCGTGAGATAAATCGACACCGAGGCTGTCATAGTGGCATGTTCGATGCTAAGGAAACGTGATATATGATGGGATGCTCCGTCGGATACTTAGGGGCACGCTCTGAACGAGCTTCCCAAGTACTGGCTTGCCCGCCTCGTGAGCCATTTCAGAAACCAGCCGCAGTCGGGATACTTGGATAGCACGACCGCATGATGAAGGCAGTTTTCACGATCGGTCTGGGTCTGCTTTCCGCAGCACAGGCTCTCCCTTCAGCAAGAGCACCAGGGTCGGCCACCGTCAACGGGACCCGCTTCTCCATCGACGGCAAGACCGGCTACTTCGCGGGCACCAACTCCTACTGGATCGGCTTCCTGGCCAACAACAGGGATGTCGACACCGTTATGAGCCACATCTCGTCCTCCGGGCTCAAGATCCTGCGCGTCTGGGGTTTCAATGATGTGAACGCCCGGCCTGGCTCCGGCATGGTGTGGTACCAGCTGCTCTCGTCGTCGGGCTCACAGATCAACACCGGCGCGGACGGCCTGCAGCGGCTCGACTACGTGGTCCAGTCCGCCGAGAAGCGCGGCGTCAAGCTGATCATCAACTTCGTCAACAACTGGGACGACTACGGCGGCATGAACGCCTACGTCAAGGCCTTTGGCGGCACCAAGGAGGGCTGGTACACCAATGCCAAGGCCCAAGACCAGTACAAGAAGTACATCAGGGCCGTCGTCAGCCGCTACGCCAACTCGCCCGCCGTGTTCGCCTGGGAGCTGGCCAATGAACCCCGCTGCAAGGGCTGCAGTACGGACGTCGTCTACAAGTGGGCGACCGACGTCTCGGCGTACATCCGCAGCCTGGATCCGAGCCACATGATCACGCTGGGTGATGAGGGCTTCGGCCTGCCCGGCGACACGACGTACCCGTACGGGTACAGCGAGGGCGTCGACTTTGTCAAGAACCTGGGCATCAAGAACCTGGACTTTGGAACGTTCCATATGTATCCCGACAGCTGTGCGTTTGCCAGTCGTGTACCTCTACCCAGAGTGCTGATTTCCTAACTCGCGTATCACTCATAGGGGGAGTCCCGTACAGCTTTGGTGACGGCTGGATCAAGAACCACGCGGCGGCTTGCAAGGCGGCCGGCAAGCCTTGTGTCCTCGAGGAGTGTAAGTGTTACACTCATTCATCACCTGACAGCTTGACTAGGTATTGTACATGATCACTTACAACAGCTCAGACGGCGCCTACGCACGCTGTGACATCCAGAAGCCCTGGCAGCAGAGTTCACTCTCACTCGCCACTCAGGGGATGGCAGCCGATATGTTCTGGCAATGGGGTGACCAGCTGAGCACGGGCCAGACGCACAATGACGGGAACACAGTCTACTATGGATCCGCCCTTGCGACGTGCCTGGTGACCGATCATGTCACGGCTATCAATGCTGCTTCATAGTTGGGTACGGTAGCGAGCGTATAGTGAAAAGCCGGTCAGGCGCTCTATGACGGCAAGCCGATTCCCTTCAGGTAGCGTACCCGACGGCAATCAGTTGACGCGCCATGCTGGACAGCTTGAGTTGAATCTGAGCCGGGCACAGCCGTGCCGGGTTGGTGGATCAGCATCGCACAAACTTACAAGTGACTAGCCTACAGGACGGTGTAGTTAATTGGCTATCGATGAGGTAGGAATCTATCCAGATTTCAGTTCACCCCCTTTGCTTGCTCTTTGCCCTTGTTGAGAACAAGAATATGGAGGATACTATGAGACGTGTGGCCCGGCCTCCCGGATGTGACCGGATCCGAGGAATCGGTTTGCCAAGTGGTTCATGCCGGCGGTTCTGGTGGTGGCTGATGTGATGTGATATGGTTGGCTTGCTTGCCGGCCCCGGCGCTTAATACGCTTAATCTCGCCAAGATCGGTGACCATCGCCTGCTGTACCGTATAGTCCTGGGTCTTTGAGATTATCGGATCGCAGTGCATCAATGGCAATCAAGACACTGTACTGCGCTCGTGTTCATACATCTTCAGCGGATGTAAAGGTGCTGATTGCCCGCGCAGTACTTTACACCGCTTTACACAGTAACTACAAAGTACAAACGAGGAGCGACGTGAGCCACATTTGCGGCACAGCTTCGGTGCCCATGACGTTGTTTGATGAGCACCCGACCAGGAGACCCCTGGGATGATTTGCAAACAAACGCAGTTGTGATAGCACAGCAAGCATCTAACAGAGCACGAGTCTTAAGGCTTTGTTGAGAGTTGTGGCGTCCCGGTACAACGTGAGAATAAGTTTGGAGTCCTCGTCTTGGGGCAGCGTGTGGTTACCTGGTATTTACGGCGGGGCACTGCCACTGGCCAAGAGAACCGTTTTCTCTTTCCACGTCTAAAAAAAGACAACACTTCCACACTGAACGACACAGCCTGGAGACGGGCCTTGATCAACGCCAAACAGGCTTCTTTCAAAGTGTTCCCAATTCCAGAACTACCTGACAACATTGTACAGATTCCTCAAGAACCTACACTGTCCACCGTCCTGCGTACTGAGGAGCGCTCTGAGAAGGATTGCGAATGCTCTGGTGGTCAGGCCAATCAGAGACGGGGGTTGGACAAACGGAAATTGCGTCCGTCCCGGCCCCACAACGCTTCGCGCTTCTCAACGGTTGTTGGCGCGTCTGATGACCGTCTTATCTGACTTCTCGTGTGCGGCCGCGCGGCAAAGAGTCCAAGACGACATGTACGGAGTATTCCGTACATACAAACTAACTACCTTACGGATAGGTAGGCGGCGTTCCGACTCTGCGCTCGACGTCTCAATGCGAGTCATGAATCGGGCTGCCGGTTTCGAATCCCAAACTGGATGTGATTAGGTATAAGTGACGTCCTAGACCACAACTGCTGAAGAACCTCGCATCGGAATATCGGCGGCAGAAGTTGGTAACTTACCGATTCTGCAATGCATAGACGGGTGCGTCAGGTGCGGCTGGGCCCGATTACAGCGACCAGCAGCAGTTCCATATTGCAGATGTGGCAGTGTACTGTACACACATGTGCCAGAGCAGCCGGCAGCCCGAGGGTGAAAGACCAATTCTGAGTCTCCGTAGCGTCAACTTCCAAGCGATTTGATTTACACCATCCGGTGCATGTCACTTGTTCAACGATCGCAACCACCTCGTGTTGGACCGGATGGATTTTGCTACCTCGCAGAGGAAGAGCGCATCAGAGAGCCCACCCCTGCTCGTAAGGAAGGCTTGGCCTCGGGAAGTCTCCACTCGGCTAACACCAGACCCCACCAGATCCGATGAACCCCTGTTCGCGGTTGCAGAAGCCTGCTATGGATCCGGCCTCTTTTACCTCCGTATTCCCATGTGGCTCCGCGACACTGTGCCTCGCGCTCATTTTTTGCATTGAAGTGCTCGTCTGAGCTTAGGACTACTGCCATCGACGACACGTCACGGTCCTGGATATTCCCCTAAAGTGATTCCCGTCTGGCATCGAGCGGCAGGAGTTCGGGTACCGTGGGCGTACAGGTTTCATGTCGCTCCGGCGCATTCTGGAAGTCTGAGCGGCCGGAACGGCACTCCCAACCGCGACAATGAGGACTGACTTCTTCGAGTGCCTTCCTCGGCCGACGGCGCTTCTCCTCTTGTCCAGCTTACTCGAGCTGACGAGCGCCTATGCATTATTCAAGGTGCCCAGGCAGACGCCAGCACCAACAATAACCATACCGTATCGACCCCTCAACGTCGTCTCATGGCCAATCCAGCCTACCCCGCCACCTGGGAATCGATTTGCTCTGCATCGTCGGCAGGGGAACACGGTGTGCGGATACATCGGAGGTGATTCTGCTCTTCCCGCAACATGTGGCGCTGGGTCCCATTGCGTGTTAGACACAGAGCATAACGTGGTAGGCTGCTGCCCTGACGGCGCGCCCTCGTGCACGGCCGGTGTCTTCACGGGGTGCGTGGATGGAAACAGCGGCCCTCAGACCGAGGTGAATCCGTACGTTTACAGTTGCACGGGTGGCAATGTCTGCTATAAGAACGTCTTCGAGGGCGGCTTCTCCCAGTTTGGTTGCGGGACGGCGAGCGATCTGGCCGCCACGGTGATGAACAGCGCGAGTGGGATCACTACCGCCCTCACTCGTCCCACCGTCAGCGTCTCGTACACACAGAGTATCAGCACCCTCAGCGAGCCCACAACACTGGGCACTATCACTAGCAAGTCTATCTCCAGCGAATCATCAACGTCATCATCGTCATCAGCTACCTCTTCATCCCTATCGACATCAACCGTCGTTGCCAACTCAGCGGCCACGTCTTCCTCAGCGGCCGCTGCGTCAACCGACTCCGGCCCTCGCACGGGCGCGATAGTCGGCGGCACGATCGGCGGCCTAGCCGTTCTGATCGCCCTCGTCGCGCTCGCCTTCTTCTTCCTCCGACGGCGCAATGCCAACGTGCGCCAAGGGCCCGGACCAGGAGGCGTCCGCGGCAAACACATCAGCTCACCCATGGGAATCGGCGGCACAGGCTTCTCAGCTCTCGCGCAGGACCACGACGCCTTCGAGACCGGACCGGGACCCGCCGCCGCCGGCGCGTACAACCACCCGCCTGAGATGACCACCACCACCACCGCATACGCAGGAGCAGGCCCGGCCTCACCCCCGCCAGCCGCTCTCGCACACCGCAGCATGCTCCCGCCCATCACCACCGGCCCGCCCATTGCCACCCAGATGGAAGTCTCACCCGTCAACGACGACCCCCTCGACCCGGACAACGACCGCTCTCCGTTCGCCTACGCCGGCGCGGTCTCGGCGGGCGCCGCCTCGATCTCGTCCTACCCGCCCTCCTCCAGCGGCGGGATCACGACGGCCAGCAACGCGGTCAGCGATGCCCCCGCTGGCGGGCTCTACTACCCGGGCCAGTACCCGGCCTACCCGGCCGCGTACGCGGGCGGGTCCGGGCTGATGATGGGCATGAACCCGCTGCTGGTCCCGGCTAATGGCCAGAGGCAGCTGGAGAGCGACCAGGTGCCGCTCACGAGGGAGATTGATGACTTCTCGCAGGGGTTCCATGCCGCGCTGGGGAGGATAGGGGAGGAGGACGAGGAGGAGGGGCAGGAGACGCCGTATAAGGACCATGTCGCTTCCTCCGGGGCAGGACAGGGTCAGCAGCAGCAGGAGGGCGCGGTTGGTGGGCAAGGAGGAGGAGACCACGGGGGTGGGACGCATGACAGTTCCGGCTCGGCGACGTCGGCGCTGTCCAAGCCGCTTTGGCAACAGAACCGGCGGCAGAGTCGGAATCTAATGTGGATGTGAGGCAAGTTTACCTTACTGGATGAGGAGGGAAGCGGGGGTCTAGCCGTGAGTATACGATGTCATGCCCCCCTTCTTTGCTGCTCTGTGGCGTTTGTGGAGCGGTTCTCCCGGGTTATTGATCGAGAGCCAGCGGCGTTGGGCACTGCATTTTTCTGGGACACGGAGCATCCGGTCTGGCTTTTTGTTTGGCTGGTCGACCATCACATGATGCTTTGGACAGCACGTAATATGCTAGAGTGCTTGTACATCCATAGTCGGTTCGTGTGGAATAGAAGTAGAAAGCATTCGTCTGTACAGCCACGCACAACCTCGCATCACCGGGGTGAGACGATCCTTCTTCCCGACGACCTCGACATGGCGAATGGATGTTTGACTGGGCGGCCTCAAGTCGGTAGGAATGGATCAACGCGCCCACTTGAGGCATAGATGAGAAGAGACGGAACGGACACCGCTTCTCACTACGCCATCATTCCTTCCATGTTTCAGGTGAGCATCCCTTCTCCTCATCTGTGAGAGAGGAGCGCGGAGCGAGAAAGTGTCACCAGCTTTCGTGTCCGCTTCAAAGCCGATGAAACGGTGACTGCACTCCGGCGGTCAGGCTGCCGATGCTCCTCTGAGCGGCCACTGGGTTCCGGTTGGACGTCGTTCGTGGCTTTCGTGCCACCACTGCGGTGATGCATTGTCAGCCTGATTGAGTCCGGCCACTTCGACAGGTGATGTGGTCGTGAGGCTGGGGATGACACTGCTCATTTCCAATATATTGCGTGCAACACCACTAGGTCAGCTATTGCGCTGTCCTTTTCGCCTCGTTGACACCCAGGTTTTATTAACTAGGTATCTGCTGCCCGTTGCACATTGAACGAAACGGCAAGTCATGGGGTTTGTTTTGTCGGTGAGCAGAGGCCGACCGAGGCTGTAACCGTCGGTTATTAGGAGTCACCGCCATCCATGGAGCCAGGACACACGATAACCTCGAACACAGGTCAGCCAGCGCTCCTTTCATCTTACGCGGCCCTCTTACAGAACACGTCTGGAGGGAGTACAGCTCATTTTAAAGGCGTCGGCTCGTCATCCGGTTTCGTTGGTTGGTTCTACGTACGGTACCCACGTGCGTGCGTGCGTGTGAGGAAGTCGGTGGCACACACCTCGTCGCGCCCTCTCTCCCTCTCACCTTCCACACATAAAATTAACTGGTTGGGAGTCAGGTCAGCTGGCTAACTTGAATTTCGGTGTAGGGAGTCATGAGATGAGGCCGCAATGCTGTGCGGCCTGGTTATCCCGCCGGCCCGCTCCGATCATTCGGCGCCGAAAGGCTTGTTGGTTCGGAACGGCTTCCGATCAAAGGCCCAGATTGGCTTGTTCACCGACTCGGTCATCTTCTCACACTTCACAAGGGACTGCCGGACCGGGCTTGTCCAATCTTTTGTTGGAAGTCCCAGATCCGTTCTAACTTCAACTTGAGTTATGGGCGATCGACCCAACAACCCTCCCGGTCCCGCACATGACGTCACGCAGACTCGGACAGCTTCAAGTTCGAACACAAACACGACATTGGACACAACTGAGGCAGAGGCGACCATCCTGTGAGGGTGCAAGCCGAACCGAGAGGGCAGGCTGCCTCGGTGCGGGTTTCATCTTCGGTGGTGCTGGACACGGGCTACTGCGGTGAACGAGAGAGAGAGATGAGGGGAGAAAGGTTGATTCGGTCCGCGGCAAAAGTCCCTTCGGTTGCAGATGCCAGCATCATCCAGTAGACCGTTCTCGTAATCGGCGGGGCCGGTTGACGTGCAGGGGACTCGGGGGAGAGAGATATAAAAGGGCTAAGGAGAATCCGGTTTTGAGATGGTGTTCGTCCGAAGACAGCCCACCAAGATCTTCGACAACTTGACAAGAATCACTTAGCAATCAAGCAAGCCTTCAAGCGCACATACATACACATACAAACACTCTTATTACTCCTCAGAAATATCCCATCCCAACACTCCGCCAAAATGTCGGACTCTCCCAAGATCCTCGTCGTCCTCACCTCCCACGGCAAGCTGGGCGACACGGGCAAGCCGACGGGCTGGTATCTGGCAAGTCCTATCTATCTAAACCTCGCCCCGCCTCCCTTCTCCCCTTCCCAAACCACCCTTTTCTTCCCCCTAAGAAACTAACACACACCGCCCCAATGAACAGCCCGAGCTCGCCCACCCACACGCAGTGCTCACCCAGCAAGGCTTCCACATCACGCTCGCCTCCCCGGCCGGCGGGCCCGCACCGCTGGACCCCTCCAGCGTGGAAGCGTCGGCCAACGACACGACGTCGCAGGCCTTCCTGGCCGAGCACAAATCGCTATGGGAAACCACCACCCCACTAGAGTCCTTCCTCGGCCGCGCGGACGAGTTCGCCGCCGTGTTCTTCCCGGGCGGCCACGGCCCCATGTTCGACCTGGCCTCGGACCCGACCTCGCACGCGCTGGTGCAGGAGTTTGCCCAGAAGGGCAAGGTGGTGGCGGCGGTCTGCCACGGCCCTGCCGCGCTGGTCGGGGTGAAGGGGTTCCTGAGGGGGAAGAAGGTTACGGGGTTTTCGAATGAGGAGGAGAAGGAGGTTGGGCTGGAGAAGGTGGTTCCGTTTTCGTTGGAGGATAAGCTCGTGGAGGCTGTGGGGAAGGGCGGGAAGTATGAGAAGGCTGGTGAGAAGTGGGGGGAGAAGGTGGTGGTTGATGGGAAGTTGATTACGGGCCAGAACCCGGCTAGCTCGAAGAAGGTGGCTGAGGAGATTGTGAAGGCTGTTTATGGTGCTTGAAAGGGGGTTACGGGGTAAGGGGCGGTGGTGGCTTCAAGTTGTTAAGAGGAGTAAATGATTGTTTGGATGGAAGACTTTCTTTCTCTCTGTTTGTTGACTTGATGTTATGAGGAGGAGAATCCTTGCTATGGGATGGATGCTCGGTGCATGTGTTTGATGGAGCCGAGTCGCAGAGAATGACGGAGGGATAGCAAGACTCAAGTCACGGCGCGAATGTCCAGCGGCAATTTTGATGGGATCACGATACGTCTTAGAAGCAGAAAATGACCAAAAAAAAGAACCCGAAGGCTTATTCGTCACGCCAGATATTTTCCCATTATGTCTCATCCCACTATCTGGCTATACCCTACCCGTGCCTTCCCCTATTATCCCCCTCTAGCAAGGCCCAGTGGTTTCGAGTACACTGGTCCGACGGGAAAGCGACCCCAGCCGAAAGCCGGAGCCGTCTACTCCCGCGGATAGACAGTGTACTCGACCAGCTGGGCCTGCAACTCCCAGGTCAGGTCGCAGAGCAAGTCTTCCAACGGGAACAGCATGCTGGTATCGGTGGGTTCGCAGCAGAACGCGCACCACCCGCCGTACGTGTTGCGGAGGTCGGCCGCCTAGGCCAACCTCTCGTCAACAGCGACGACTTTGGCAACCGCCTCGTGGTTGTCGGCGGCCATCAGCTCGAGCGCCAAGATCATCTCGGCCAGCGCCTTCGTCACCTGGCGCCGCGGAGCCAGGCCGCACGCGACCAGGAAGCCGTTGAGCGCCCCCAACCGGTGTGTGTTGCACACCATGTTGGTACATGGGTGCGCTGCCAGGCGGGCCGTCCACTTGCGGAGGGCCGAGTCGGCGCCCTCGAAGAAGTGCTCGAGCACGCGGTTGCAGGTCGCGAGGATGGCCTCTGTGTGTTGAAAAACAGTCAGTCAGTCAATCAAATCATCTATCAACCTTCTCTACTGCCAGAATGGTACAAGTACCCAAGACCAGCATGAGGAATCAAGAATCAGTTAACTCACCAGCCGTCCCCGCGCCGCACACCTCCGTCTCGAGCCTCTTGCCGGACCACTTGACCAGCGTCGTCGTCGTCATCGTCTGGCCCGCCTCTCCACACTGCACAGGTAGGCCAGGCGGGCCGCGATCGCCCGCCAGCACCCTTCCCAGCCGAAGACGAAGCAGGCATTCAGCGCCCTCTCCCAATCCTCGTCTCCTACCACCACCTCCCCATCTTCTTCTTCCATGCCGCCGGGACCGTCGAGCCAGGTACCCGGCTTCTTGAGGCGGCCGACAAAGACACCCATCCAGGTCTGCATCATGTTGATGCACGACCGGGCCAGGCCGAGCGCGTCCTTGTCGATCCCGGCCAGCCGCCATAGGTTGGCGACGGTCAGGCCGTCGGTCTTGTTCTGCTGCAGGGTGCCAACAAGCGCCACCAGCGCGTCCAGGTGCTCGGTGAGCACCTCGGCGGGGAGGGCGGCGGCCGCGGAGGCGAGGAGGTTGAGATCGACGCGGAAGGAATTGGTGGCCGCGTCGATGGTGGTGGCAGGATGGCTGCCGGACCACAAAGTGAAGGTGTTGGTGATGTGGTCGGGGAAAGTGAGGGTCGTGAGCGGGATGGAGCGGGTGAAGCCGCCCATGCTGACCTGGAGGGTGGTGAGCGGGGCGGCGGCGGTCGTGGCCATGTCGGACACGGCGAGGTTCTCCATGGGCGCGCTTGGGTTGGCGGCCGATGCGGACTGCGCGGGCTGGGTATGCGCGCCGGCTTGCTCTGGGGTTCCGCTGCGAGATGTCTGGTTCATGTCGATGGACTGCATCTCGTGCTGTCTTGATTTTGTTTGTGAAGGAAAAAAATTATTTGAGTCGGTAATGTTTGTGGAGATGACCGAGTCGGTGTTGTTGGAGGAAGAGTTCAAAGCCGGCGGGGCAGAAGCGGCAGAGTTTAAAACCGACTCTGGGCCTGATTCTGAACAAATGACTTGTTCGGTGGCCGGGCCGGAACAGATGGCCTGTTCGGCCGTGGTCGGTGCTCCACACGGTCCGGCATGATACGCGGGCGCGGCGTGCTCGGATGGAAGACGTGGGGCCGGTTGGTCGGTCAAACCCTGAGTCTGGCTCCCGGCGTTGATCTCTGCGGTTCCACGTGCCCCCAGGACATCGAGTGAGGGTGACGGAGATCGGGACAGGTCCACGCTGGCCGATGACAGGGTCTCGTTAGAGATGTCCATGCTGTCTGACGAGAGTGACGGGCTTGCGGGATGAGCAGTGGGTGCCTCAGGAGCAGCGATCGCAACAGAGGAGCTAGCCAAGTGAGAGATTGGGTAACCTGCGCCATCAGAGGAAAACGAGGGCAGAACTCCACCGACTGTCGGACCGGTAGCTTGATATGGCGCGTAATAACGACCAGGGCCACCACCAGTTACGGCTCTATATCCGGGTCGAACGGTGCCCTGGACTGCGGCTGGTGTAAATGGAGGGCGAATGGGCGCTCCTGCTGCCGGAGATGGTATGTACGCTCCATGGGATATAGACCGGCCGTAGTGTCCCGGACCAGAGAAGGAAAACGGAGGCTGACTGATAGCAGTTAAACGACCTCCATACTCAGCGGCGCCCGAAGTGTAGGCAGCCGTGTGCCCGCTGCTGCTGTTGCTGTGGCCAGACAAGTCCGCAGTATACGCAGGAGGGCTAGAAGAGAAGGTGGGCGCGGCAAGACAAGATAGTCGTCGAGACTGGCGGCATAGGCATTCGAGTCGGGCTCAACAGGCGCCTGCTCGCTGTCGTACGCCGCGTGATGCCGAAGGGATTGGGAAAGGACCCATGCTGCTCACAGAAGCCGCCGTGACTTGTTGCTGGGGATGCTGGGGATACTGGGGATACAGGGGACGGTGGGGGCCCAGTGAAAGGAGGAGAAGAATTGCTCAGAGAAGAGATTTAATCCTAATAGAAGGCCGGAGAGTGTGCACGTCGTGTCGTGTCACCTTTCCGAGTCCGAATAGGAGCAAATTCTTCACTTGCCATGCGCAATTTCCCATTCCGCGCCCCTCGACCGGTGCTATTGTACACTCAGATGGCCCATTGAGGTGTTAAAAGGGGATGAGGCTCTGCGAGCCTAGAGAGATCATAGAGGGAGGCGGGGGTAGTATGGAAGTTGAAAACTTGATCTACCACAGTAAATAAAACCAGCCCTTCTTGGTCCCTTCGCTTTGAAGAGCTGTATCATGAACTTATGATAACTTGAAGTAGGGTAACTTGAAGGCCGCGCCTCATGGCGACTGATCACACTGCTAATTTCATTGCATACGGTTATGGCATCTATAGCGCTTATATATCCTTAACAATGTTGAAAGCAAGTTGACTCTCGAACACCGATGAGACATGAGTGACGGCGTAGCAGAAGATCACGCTATAGGGAGGAAAGATCAGAATCATCAAATCATAAGATTGTAGTTAATGTCACCTCTGTCAGAAGAGTTGGAAGGTGGTCCCGGGGTGGACTATGACTTCCGGAAAGTAGCTGAATGCGACAGCTCAGATGAGAATACCTACTAGGACCTACCTATCCATCCGTACACGGCAACTTTGGAAAACAAGAACAGTTTGGCATCCGGCAGTGGCACATGTCAAACAACAAATCGGCTCTCGACTGGCACCAAATGGCTCGTGCACGCCTGCGAATTGCAGGCGTGCACGAACCACCTTCCCGTACCTATAAATATCTACTGCCCCTCCCACCATTTTGAACCTTTTCTTCTTTTTTTCCTTAGCTCTCTTTGCCTTTTGGCTTAGATCAAGTGTAGTATCTGTTCTTTTCAGTTTAATCTCTGAAACTGCTCTACGGAGTAGAATCGTGATTATACTTATTTTTGGCCCTCGGGAGTCTTGCCTCTGTGCTTGCACATGCTTGACTCCCACTGTGTCCCTGGTATTACACTGCCTCCAGGCGACGCGACCTCATCTTTTTTTCATTGTGATCTTGGGCATCGCTCAGGACATGAGGAAGAAGAGAATTCTGGATCAACTTTTGAGACGTTAGAGCTCGGCTCACGCATAACAGTTGGCATTTTCACCGTGGTGGTTGTGATCTTGATTCCCTCCAATCTTGGACCTTTGTGTGCAATTGAGAAAGATCTGATACGGATATTGCCACTTTCGACCAGCGGTTGCCTCGTTCCTCTCGAGCCACTCCACATCGGAGAGCGACATTAAGCGGAGAAGATGGCTTGAGGAATCCTTACACATAGCGCCACGGCTGCGGCTATTGCGTCGAGCCCGCATCTTGGACATTGACTGGCAGAATGTGTCAATGTGGTTCCCAATATCTAGTCATCCTTCATCGTATGTCTTCGATACCGCTGAACGCGTTCTCTGGGTTGAAAACGGCGGAGGATGCTGCCTCAAGCTTCCAGCTTTCCAACCGAGCAGGCCACAATTATATCCACCCGCGCCAGTGGTGAGTTGATCGAGAAGTCTCTCGCCAATCCTTGGCCGTAAGACTTTCCTGATGGTTTGTGAATCGAGTCTCCCGTGTAACGTGATTATGTTGCTGATCCGGCGCAGCGTGACCAAGGTCTGATCCATTGGCCGCCGTACCTGGTCCAAGAGCTTTGGGCCACCGTGTTGGCGGATGAAGAGTACACGAAGAACTAGGTTCTTCGCGAAGAATCAGCGGCGTTTGGCAGAGCAGTATGCCTTCGCAACGCGGTTCTTGGATGAAAACAAGATTCCCGCACTACAGGAACTCGTAGGCCCCCATTTCTTCGGACTGCTCCCATCCCCCTTCCCTCCTGTATCCTCCTTTGTGGTCTTAAAGACGAAATGGTCTGAGCTGGCTTTGTCAGATGGGAAAGGAATGCCGGTATGTTCATATGGATGGACCTCTGACGATACTTGACAGTGGGAGAGACTGCTGTCAGGCTCTTGCCTCACCACCTGACCCCTCTGGAGAGAGGAGATCATCAGCAAACAGAGATGGAGATTGTGAACCGTTGTTTTGCGAACGGACTTGCCATCGTGCTGGGGACCAACTTCTTCACTGAAGAACTGGGATGGTTCCGCCTGAGCTTCACAGCGACCTAGTCGACCGGCGCTGGAGACTGGGCTCCAGCGGATGCTCACGGCACTACAAGAAATCGAGCGACTGGGCCGGTAATGACGAGAAATGTCGTGTAACCAGAGGCTTAAGGATCATTGTAGCTATCTTAGCTTATGTGACACACAATACAACCGAGACCAGCTTCATCAATTCCATTCCAGGTCGGGCAGTCTTGGGATCCGGCCAGAGCAGCAGCAGCTTCAGCTTTAACTTTCCCCAGACCCGCTCGGCTAGCGCTAAAAGAGCTTCAGGGGTGGCAGTTGCCCCACGCCGCCATGCGAGCGCGGGCCCCGGATTCAGCGGCATCACACTGCAGCTTCAAAAGATGGGCTCCAAGTTCTTATCTCCGTTGCATCACCTTCAGCGAAGTACTCCATGAGCCGCCGTTGCGAATGTAACCGCCATTTCTCCCGATCCACAACCTATTCTCGACTGCTGGTTCCCGTCGGTTGAAATGGCCTACATAGCTCCCATCCACCGGCCCAGCAGCGTGCGGCATGCGCTGCGCAGCCATCTCCTCTCGGACGAGGAGGAGAGCTTGGTGCTTGCGTACGGCTTCCTCCCTTATGTTTCCCCGTGAGCCCTCACTAACACACCGCGCTCAGACGGGCCAATCGGTTGGAGGTTTGGAGGCTCTCCGAAGGGATGCTCTCGCTCGCCCACTCAGAGATAGTCAACGGCACCATCTCGATCCTCCAGAAGCTCCGACCAAAGGATTCCAGAACAGACCTATTGTTTATCGGTACCGACCGGTTTGAATACTTCACCATGGCATGGAACTCGGAGACCTCGCGATTGGATACAACGAACCCGAAGATTGACTACGGCGAGCGGTACATGCGAGACTCGCAAAGCCAAGACCGATGTTTGGTCGACCCGTCGGGGAGGTTTCTGGCCATGCACCTGTGGGAAGGTGTGCTGTCGATCTTACGGCTGGGGAATAGAAAGAACAAGGCGACAGTACTCGACGAGATGGCCCAGGTGCGGCTATCAGAGCTGTTCATCCGGGCGAGCACCTTCCTCTACACCGAGACTGGGCATCCAAAGGTCGCCTTTCTATATCAGAGCCGAGCCGACTCGAACGACGCGAAACTAGCCACCTACCGGCTGACATTGGACGACCGGAATACCGAGGCCTCACGATTCGACCCAGAACGGGATAGGGAGGTCGATGCGGATATGCAAGATCCGAGCGCATCCATGCTGATACCCGTCCGCAAGGTCGAGGAGGAAGTTAAGCGGCATAACGTGCGGAACATCGAGTCGGCGAAAGCACATATCGGTGGCCTGATAGTGGTGGGCGAGACGAGGCTGCTTTACATCGACGAGGTTACCAAAATTACAGTCGAGTCGGCGCTGAAGGAGGCGTCCATCTTCGTGGCGTGGGCTGAGTATAATGTACTGAACTACTTCCTGGCCGACGACTATGGGAACCTACACCTGCTCACCATTCTGACGGAGGGCGTCGTGGTCACGGACATGGAGGTCTCCCGCATTGGGCGGACCTCGCGCGCAAGCAATCTGGTCTATCTTGGAGACGACTTGTTGTTCGTCGCCTCTCACTACGGGGACAGCCAGCTATTTCGGCTCGACCTCCAAAATGAAGACCCCAAACAGCTTGTGCAGCTCGTGCAGACCCTCCCCAACATTGGGCCGATCCTGGACTTCACGATTATGGATTTGGGCAACAGGGATGAGAGCCAACCGGGGAACGAGTACTCGTCTGGCCAGGCCAGGATTGTCACTTGCAGCGGCGCATATAAAGACGGGACCCTTCGGAGTGTGCGGAGTGGTGTCGGGCTTGAGGATGTCGGCATCCTCGCTGACCTCGAGCACTGCCGAGGGCTTTTCTCTGTGCGGTCTTACGGGTCTCCCAAAGCTGATACCCTCGCCGTGTCGTTCCTCACCGAAACGCGGGTTTTCCGCTTCGACCCCCAAGGCGAGGTTGAGGAGGTAGAGTCTTTTGCCGGCATGGTATTCGACCACCAGACGCTGCTAGCGATGAGCCTGCCGAACGGACAGCTGCTGCAAGTCACAACGGCAGCTGCTTCCATTCTCGACACCGAAAGCGGTGTCACGGTAGCATCGTGGGCGCCGGACGGGGAGAGGAATATCATAAACGCATCTGCAAACATCCACTGGCTCTTGCTGTCCGTCGGCGGCACAGAGCTCGTGTCACTGAGCTTATCTGATGAGCTACAAACTGTCAAAGAAAAGGACACCAGCCAGCAGGATCAAATCGCCTGCATTCATGTCGCCCCTGATCTGGCCGACGTCGGCGTCGTGGGTTTCTGGGCGTCCGGCACCGTCTCCATTATCGATCTGAACACCCTGGAACCCATCCATGGAGAGTCCCTCCGCACGTCCACGGACGACGCCTCTATACCCCGCGATCTTGCTCTCGTACAGATGCTACCGCGCAACGTATCTGGACCTACATTATTCGTGGCCATGGACGACGGTAACATCGTGACATTTACCGTTTCAAAAGACCTGGCTTTGTCAGGGAGAAAACGCGTCATACTGGGCATGCGGCAGGCTCGTTTCCACGTCCTACCGCAGCCCGATGGCATCTTCAACCTATTCGCCACAACCGAACACCCCAGCCTGATCTACGGCTCGGAAGGCAGGATAGTCTACTCGGCGGTAACGGCCGAAGAAGCGACATACATCTGCCCCTTCGACAGCCACGCCTTCCCCAACTGCATAGTCCTGGCGACCGACTCCCAGATCAAGGTCTCACAGATCGACCGCGAGAGGCGCACGCACGTGAAGCCACTTTATCTGGGCGAAATGGCCCACAGCATTGCCTACTCCTCCAAAGAGAAGGTCTTCGGCCTCGGCTGTATCAAGAAAGACCTCGTCAACGGCGAGGAAGTCGTTCAGTCCTCCTTCAGGCTCGTGGACGAGGTCATCTTCGACCGCGTCGGAAAGTCTTTCCCGCTCGGCTCGCCCGCCTACAGCGAGCTCGTCGAGTGTGTCGTCCGCGCCGAGCTCCTAGATTCCTACGGCAACCCGGCCGAGCGCTTCATCGTCGGCACGAGCTATCTCCCCGACCCGGATTTCGGCGCCGGCACGGACGTGCGGGGCCGGATCCTGGTCTTCGGCGTCGACGGCGATCGGAATCCGTACCTGATCCTCAGCCACGAGCTGAAGGGCGCGTGCCGCCGTCTGGCGGTCATGGACGGCGGGAAGATCGTGGCGGCCCTGACCAAGACGGTCGTGGTGTGCCAGTACCAGGAAACGTCGAGCACCACCGGCGAGCTGACGAATGTCGCATCGTACCGGACGGCGACGTACCCCGTGGACCTCTGTGTGAAGGGCAACACGATCGCCGTGTCGGACTTGATGAAGTCGCTTGCGCTCCTCGAGTATGTGCCTACCGGTACGGCGGAGGGGCGCAGCGGGGCGCCGGAGTTGGTGGAGAAGGCGAGGGACTTTGCCAGTGTCTGGGCTACGGCTGTCGGGCATATCGACGGTGAGAACTGGCTCGAGGCGGACGCGCAGGGGAATTTGGTGGTGTTGAGGCAGAATCTGGAGGGCGTTACGGCTGAGGATAAGAGGCGCATGGAGGTGACGAGCGAGATCAACCTGGGCGAGCAGGTGAACAGGATACGGAGTTTCGAGGTCGAGACGACGCCTGGTGCCATGATTACTCCGAGGGCATTTTTGGGAACGGTGAGTCTTTCTTCTGCATGGACGCGAGTGAGTCGGTTTGCTAACGTTGTACTGATAATGCAGGTCGAGGGAGGCATCTATCTATTTGGGACTGTGGCGCCACATGTCCAGGATTTGCTGCTGCGGTTCCAGGACAGGCTGGCCGATGTCATTCAGATGGCCGGGGCCATAGAGTTCAAGACATACAGGGCGTTCAGGAACGCCGAGCGGGAGAAGGACGGGCCATTCAGGTTCATAGACGGGGAGTTACTGGAAAGGTTCTTGGACGTGGACGAAGCGACTCAGGACGAGGCCTGTAAGGGACTGGGTCCGACGGTTGAGGACATGAGGAATCTGGTCGAAGAGCTAAGGAGAATGCATTGAGAGAACACAGGCTACCAGCGTAATCATGGCGTATACGTGTAAAAGATAGAAAATAAAGTAATACACCGAGGCAACTCCGTCCAGGCTTTTGCCTCAGCATGGGACTATTGCCGATACCTGTCTCATTTATTACACTACAGTGAGTACCTGGTATCAAGTCCTACAAGCGAGTTGAGACTACACAATGGTTTACTTCGCCTCCAACATCTGCAAAAACCTATTCCCCAACGCATCAGCCGCCATCGGATTCCCGCCCGACACTACCTCCCGATCGACCGTGATCTGCCCAATCTTCTCCCCGGCACCCTCCTGCATATCCGCGCCCGCCTCCCTCAGCCGGCTCTCCACCTTCTCGATCTCGCCGCGCAACAGCGTCTCCATGACCTTCTCCTCGGCGTCGCTCCAGCTGGTGAGCTTATACCCCTTGTACGCGAACCCGTCCTGGTTCAGCCGCGTGCTCAGCAGCGCGTACGGCCCGTGGCAGATGACCGCCGTGGGCTTGTGCTCGACGTGGAAGTGCCTCAGGATCCGGCCCAGGTCCTCGTCCTCGCCCAGGTCAGCCAGCGGCGCGTGCCCGCCGGGGATGAACACGCCGTCGAAGGCCCGGAGTTCCGCGTCCGAGATGTCGCGGAAGCGCCGTGGGTGGGTGAAGCCGTTCTCCCGCTTCATGCGCTCGATTAGCTCGTTCTCGCGCCGCCGCTCGAGGTAGTTGCCTGCGAAGGCGAGGAGGGTCTCGCTGTTGGGGTCCGGCTTGGGTTCCTTGCCCTGGGGGGAGGCGAAGGTCACTTCGACTCCGGCGTCGAGCAGCTTCTGGAGCGGCTTGGCTAGCTCCATGAGGAAGAAGCCTGAGGGTTGGTCGACTGTCTTGCCTTCGGCGCCGGTGTTGTGCAGCGGGAAGGCGTCGGCGTCGGAGAGGATGATGAGAACCTTCTTGGCCATTTTTGGTGGTTTTGTGTGTGAGACTTTTCTGGGGGGTATCAAAGGTAGTTCTTGCGAATGTCTCAAGGCTTGTCGCTTGGTGAAGCGTATTACTGAATGTTAGTTGGCTCTGCGAGGCGAAGGTTTCAGTTCACATATAAGCTCTGTGGGTTCATGGGATGAGCAGCTATGACATCACCGCTGCCCACAAGGGATGTTACTCCTTGACCTAATCGCATCCATAGAAGGGGATTATCATGTTGTTTGAACCTGGCCACTTTACATTGATCTCCATGTCTGCAAGACGAAAGTCGAGCTTTATGCATTGTATGCCTCTGGATGATCCTGAAGGAGTCCGTTCTTGCGGAATCAGCCTTGCGGCAACTGAACATCAACACTGATTCAGCAACACCGGCTCAAGACCTAGCAAGACAGTAACTATCACGAGAAGATAGATGGAGCTTCCCTGAGTCCCATTTAGCAAGGGAGATCAGTATTCACGGATGCCTGAGCGGGCACCTTCTTCGTGCTGCTGTCATGCCGAATCAGTTATCTTGTCGAGCTATGAGGTACAGATTACCGATTCCAGATAGCATGGTGGGTCGACCTGACCTGGGCTGCCAAGACTGCGGGAGAAGCCGGAGTAGTAATCGACCAATCACGATTTTCCCATTGGCGGCTTTGCTGCCTCAGGCCACCACAACTTTCCTCGGGCCTGGTCCAATGCCGAAAAACCTCAGTCCACGGACTCGGCGTCGAACCAAGGACCCAACCACAACCGCAACCCTCGCCGCTCTTCCTAGCCGCCTGCGAAGCCCGCAGCGACGACAATCCGCCCCGCGCTTCCTCTGATTGATCCGATTTCCGCCACCAGTCTGAGCCGCGCAATGGCGCCCCTCTCGACCATGTCGCGCGCCCTCGCGCGGTCCGCCGCCTCCGCCTCCGTCCGGCTACCCGTCCGGGCCATGAGCTCGAGCCCGGCCCTGCGCGACCACGCCACCGCCTCGTCGACCTACGAGAGCCCCTTCAAGGGCGAGCCCAAGACCACCAAGGTCCCCGACTTCTCCAAGTACATGGCCAAGCGTGGCGGCAGCGCCAATGCGGTGTTTTCCTACTTCATGGTGGGCACGCTCGGCGCGATCTCGGCTGCCGGGGCCAAGTCGACTATCCAACGTGAGTTATTTTTGGAGATAACTGGGGGGAATTTGTTTGGAGTGCAAACGGGGCGCCAATTGGTGTTTGAGAGAGTGGGTGGAGGGGGGGTGGGCGCAAAGCCGGAGTGAAAAGCAAGAGGCTGACTGTGCCGGCGTGCGAAACAGAGTTCCTCGTCAACATGTCTGCTTCCGCCGATGTCTTGGCCATGGCTAAGGTCGAGGTCGACCTCAACGCCATCCCTGAGGGCAAGAACGTAAGGACACTTTTTCGGTTGCTGTTGGTAAGGTGATGGTGATGTTGTGTGGCTGACTCGGGCTCCTGCAGGTCATTATCAAGTGGAGAGGCAAGCCAGTCTTCATCCGCCACCGGACGCAGGCCGAAATCGAGGAGGCGAACAGCGTAAACGTTGCCCAATTAAGAGATCCCCAGTCCGACGAGGAGCGTGTCAAGAAGCCGGAGTGGCTTGTCATGTTGGGTATGCCGCGAATCCGCTGCTTATATGGGGAAGGAAGCCATTGAGAAGCAATGCTGACAGAGCATACCACAGGCGTCTGCACACACTTGGGTTGCGTGCCCATCGGCGAGGCCGGTGACTACGGAGGCTGGTTCTGCCCCTGCCACGGTTCTCACTACGATATCTCAGGCCGCATCAGGAAAGGACCCGCGCCGCTGAACCTCGAGATCCCCGCGTACGAGTTCCCCGAGGACGGCAAGCTGGTTGTCGGTTAAGAGGCGAAGCCACGGAAGAAGACGACATGCACAGAGCAGAGGGTGTATTACTACAGTACGGGGGCTTGGGGGAAATACAAGAGAGAGCGTCGCAGGGTTTCCGGTGCACCGCCCCGTCATAGACCATAAACCTCGGAGCAAAGCCTGACTGCTGCTTGAGTTTGGGCAATTTTCCTTTTTCAGCTTTCCTCCCCTTAGACCTTGTTCTCTAGCCAATGCCGATTGTACAAAAGACAAGACAAGACATTACTGGAAGCATCAGCGCGGTTTATTCGCATGTTACCACTCGGTGCTAGACAGAGGATCTGTTCCGGGGTTTGTTCTTGGTTCGGAGCACCAAGGTAGGAAGTACTAGCCAGGGAGAAATTGACAAGATGAATTCCAGGTTTTGGTACATCCGGGGATTTGAAGAAAACCGCTGGCTCGTCCTAAAGCCAAGTAGCTTCCTTGCTCTCTGGACACGGACTCATGTTATTCCCACTCAATGTTGTCCGGGAGGAATGATGCTACGACGGAGATCGCTCACCAACCTAGGAGGTCACAACGGAAGGATGGACAAATGTGAGATACCTATTTGTAGAGATTGGCCCAGGCATTGTATAGGTCACGGAATCTGATCACTTGGCATGGGTGTCAACTTTATGTGTCAATCAAACGTGCTCTTTAAGGTATTTTCACTAGCGAAGTCGTATTTCAGCGGAAACCGTTCATGTACCGTGATACTTCAGCGCGGACTGGGTCTCCATCGAGGACTCGATCGCAGCCGAGTTGACAAAGGAGCTCCTCATTCTCTATAAAACATGACACAGCTGTCGACCGGGCAGATATAGTCTGTCAAGCCTCAGACGAGCATGCGGTGCACCCCAATGGCTGGGTTAGCGGATGGTCGTTTCTTTTGACCCTCGTCCTGGACAAGGAGATCGTCGGCTCAGCTCGCCGCTAACCCGTGTTGGCGGCTGGTCTCGTTTCGTCTGATTTACAAGTTGCCTTGGAAACTCGGCCAATTCAAGGTCAGGTTGATCTAGAGTGCCGCACGGTGACGGACTCCGGGCGCTTGTGGTGTGGAAGGAAGGCTCGAGTTTCACTGACAGCGTTTGAAGAACCTCCTAGCCAGGGGGTGCCTGTTCCTCTTAACAGATTGCTACACAAATTCGCTGTGCTTCAGATAAGCAGTGGGTCTTCCTCGCTTGCCCTCCACGCAGCACAAGAATGGACAAGGTTCGAACCCTTGTAACCCCAGATCGCCGGCGGCGTCTGTCATTGGCTTCATCCCCTTGGACTGCATGCGGCTCCTGCCAGGGCAGCATGGGAGGTGAGACGAACGACGTGCCATGTCTCGTCTGATCTGATCTTTTCCGCCTTAGTGAATGCCGCCATCCTCGCATTCAACAATGTGCCTCGCTGCCGCCAATCGACCTGTTGCAGACGCGTTGGGCCGCGGGCGGGTTGCTCCATGAGATGCGGCCCCAACCACCAAGCGACAGGCCACAGCTGTTACCCCTGTGCTCGCAGCTCCCAGCTACTGTACGCTGCGTCGGAGGATTTCAAGTAAAAGCGATGGTTCGGCCACGCCAGCTGTAGCGTTGACAACCTAACATGGGTTCCTATGTTAGTTCCGCTTCCGGAACGCTGCGCAACCTTTGAGAGTTCGTCTCCATCTCGACTTCCTGTTCTAGACCCGTTTAAGACGGGCCGGAATCCGATGCGAACTCCTGTCAGGCATGGGACGAACCGCCCACGACCTGAGTAGGTACTGTACCTCCGCTGATGTTAGGTATCCGGCATGGGGCATTTCAGGCACGCCAACGACGTGTAAGACCCTCCCCCACGCAACCGCAGCCCCTGTGACGCCAACTCACAACCCAAGGTCCCAAAGCGGCATGCCACTGTTACATAGGATGACCCTTGATGTGCCACCCCGTTCCGGAACTCAGTCTAACCGACAGTTCTTCCCAGGGGGACGGCTCGCTCCCAAAGAGTGACAGGATAATCTTGTTTTCGTCTGTCCTACACTTTCGGATCGCCGGTACGCGCCGTGTTCGCGAGGGGGGAATCCCAGGACCCATGCACATCATGAGACGCCAGATCCAGCAGTCTTACTTTCACGTCGTATATAAGGTGCCTCGATCATTCCTCGGGGTCATGTTGGGCTTCCCATCTGGCAACGTTCCTTCCATCTTCACTTTTCATTCTTTCGAGGTTCTGGGAACTTTAGTTTTTCTTGACATTCTTTTAGGCTTTTAGCTCTATCGTTCTCTTCGTTAGGCCGGGCCTCATCTTTTTTTTTTTTTTTCCCCTTTTGAAATCCTCCATATCGCGTCGATCGCTACGAGGCTACGACATCATGAAGTACGGAACTGCGTTGGCTGCCCTGGCGGGCGTCGCTTCCGCTCGTGAGGTGCCCATCTATAGCAAGATGATGAAGCGCGAGGTCCCCCAGGAACACTCGCACGAGGCCATCCTCCGAGCCACCAACAAGGCCCTGCAGCTCAACAACCCTCTTCAGATCCAGGACACCGTCTTCGCTCTTCTGGGCAACGCGGCTGCTGCTGAGGGTGCCCCGAACGTCGACAATCTGGACTGCTTGCAGCAGATCATTGCCGACCAGGCCTTCACTAACGCAAAGGCTGCGGGTGACCTCGACGGCCAGACCAATGCCATTCTGTTCCGCGCCCTGGAGCGCAACACGGGCAAGGTTGGCCTGGCCAGCGTGCTCTGCAACGAGACCGCTACCAACCCTGAGATTGCCGCCATCTCGCAGCACCAAGACCCCGCTTCCCCTGAGGCTGCCAACAACGCGGACATCGAACTGGCAGTTGCCAAGTCCCTGGCATCGATCGGTGCCGACCCCCTTCTTGCTCTCCAGAGCGCCACGTTCCCCCCTGGCGAGGTATGGATGGGAAACTTAATCTTGGGTGCCCAAAACTAGAAGCTAACTTGGGTCCCAGATTGGTGACCCAACGGCCGCGGGAAAGACATGTGATGACCCCAACGATGCCCAGGGCTGCATCTTCACCCTGAACCTGCTCACCCCGGCGGTTACCGAGGCTGAGATTCAGGCTGCTGTTGGCAACGCCAACGCAGGCAATGGCAATGGGGCTGATGCTGGCAACGACGCTGGCAACGACGCTGGCAACGACGCTGGCAACGACGCTGGCAACGACGCTGGTGACGATGCTGATGATGGTATGTTACGGGTGACCCTCCGCTTCAGAGGGGAGTATATCCACTCACAAGTTGTTAGGATGTGATGCCGACGATGGCAACGATGCTGGCAACGATGCTGGTAACGATGCGGGTAGCGATGCTGGGAATGACGCTGGCGCCGATGCCGGTGCCGGCGATGCTCCCAGCGGCACCGTCAACGTCCAGGCCTTCACCGGCAGCCTCGGCGGGCCGCCGCCCCCGGTTGAGAGCACTGCGGGCGCGGACCGCCCCTTCTCGGTCAACGGAAACACCTTCCTGAACGCGGGCGCCGCCATCCAGCGCTCGTGCGCCATCCAGAAGAACGCGTGCGCCAACGCGGCCAACTCGGGCCAGATCGCCGGCGGCGCCCAGCAGTGCGACGCCCAGGAGGACCAGTGCCGCTCGGCCAACAACCTGAAGAGGGCTCGCCGCGCGGCCGCGTCCCGTCGCCAGGCAGCTGCTGCTGGTGGTGCCCTCGACTTCGGCGGCTGCAGCAACCCGGCCATCCAGTTCGCCGTCGGCCTGGACGGCCGCAAGGAGGCCAGCTTCCAGAACGTGAACACGGCCGACTTCAACCACGGGTCGGCGCAGAACATCCGCATTATTGCCGACTTCACCTGCCAGCAGCTGCAGAGCTCGTGCAAGGCTTCGGAGGAGACGGTGCAGACTTGCCTGCAGGCTTCCCAGGCTGCCCAGGCCGCCTCCGGGCAGGCTGCGGCGGATGCTTTCAACTCCGCCCTCGGTGTCTTGGCTGAGGAGCAGGTGTGCCAGGGGGGCGTCTGACAATGAGTGGAGGTTGTTGTGTGGAAGGAACTGAATACCCAACTTTTGTAGTGCAATTTGACATGATTGGATTGGGGTTTACTCCTTTGCTTTGCAAGTTTGACCGCAAGCTGAAGCTAGCGCATGAGAGCATTTGGGTATGACTTGGATGAATAGTATCTCAGATGTGTGCGTGGTCTTGCGAGGCATGTTCTTTCTGGCAGATATCAGAGCGATGAACCCTGCCTGCACTGGGGTATCTGTGTTTTGTGGTATGCTCACACGAGTGTTCTTGAAGGCTAGCTAGCTAGACCGCGTAATAGCTTGCCATGAATACCAACAGGACAGGCGGGACCGACGGACAGCAGGGTGACATGCATTCTATTCTCCCTAGTTTATACCGTGCTATCGTGCAACAACAAGCTGGTCTTCTATTTATATCCGCTGCATGGGAAATGTGCCAATACACTTCGCAATCTGGGTGCGCGACGCCAGCATGCAGAAAACCCAGTTTCCCCTGCCACCCTTCAAAACATCTCCCACAGCGGCGGCGGCAGGATAGGCCGGCTAATACGCGACTTAAGCCTTGGGCCATGCTGCTGCTGCTGCTGCTGCTGCTTCTGCTGCTTGGCAGCGATGTAGACAACACGCCGCACAGGGTTGCCCACCATGACTGACTTGGAGTCGAGGCCATAGTAGTCCGAGATAGAGTGCGTGAGCCAGCGCCTGTGGAGAAAGAGAACTTGTAAGCGAAGGGGTAAAAGAAGGGAAAGCAAAGAAGGGGAGGCACGATAAGAGAGAGAGGAATAAAGGAAGAAACACAACTGAGAAGAAAAATCAACGTACTTGAACGCCCCCCCACCAGCCTCATCCTCCCTCGCATCCAGCACCATCCCCAACTCCTCCTCCTCCTCCTCCTCCTCCTGCCGCCGCGCCGTCTTCCACGGCTTGCCGTCCCTCATGGACCGCCCGCCACGACCGACAAAGACGATCTCGTCCTCCTCATCATCATCCGGGCCCGTCTCGTCACTATCATCCGCACCGTCACGGCGGCCTTGATTCTCCTCCTCCTCCTCCCGCTGATACTTCGGCGGCGCCGCCACCACGGCCAGCAGCCCGCGCTCCACCACAAACTGCCGCACCGGCTCCTCGAGCACGCGCAGCCACGACTTGACGGCGGGCGTGCGCTTGGCCGTAGCGCGCAGGTCGCGCGGTACGCGGCCTACAGAAGATGACGACGAAGACGGCATACCTGCTCCCGTTGTTGTAGTACTAGTCGCCATCAACTTCTTCTTCTTGTTGTTGTTCGTCTTCGGGTTGCGGCGGTGGTCAGAAGTAGCGCGCTCGCGGAAGCTCTTATTATTATCCCAGTACTGAGCGAGCTGGTACGGAAACGGGGGCAGGACGCGATGAGTCGGGTGGATCTGCCAGTCGGACGGCAACGGCGGTTGCACGTTGGGGACGTGGAGGAGGTGGTCTGCATGGGCCATGAATGGCGCCGGGGAGCGTCCGATCAGCGCTGGCTTTTCCTTTCATTTTTTTGTTGTTCTTTGAACTGTGATATAACACTACTACGGAGGAAGGTGGTGGGTTCAAGTTGTTATGTTATGTCAGGGGAGTTGGGGAAGGAGGAGGGAGACTAAGAGTGTTTACCGTTCTCCCACCGACGCCGCTGCCGACTGCCCTCTTTTCCCTTGAGCAGCGCTTCGCGCCTCCGCATGCTGTCCCGGGCAGAACGCGGCCGAGTGATGCTTGCGCCGTAGGCGGCATCGTCAATGGCGCCATCGAATGCGACGCCGCGCAGCTTCATCCGGGCGGCAGCGCCGTTGTCGCCGCCGCCGCCGCCGCGGGTCTCGCGCACTGGTTGATCGACGTCGAGCGGGATGGACAGCGCGCTGCCCGTGCCTCGCGCAATGGGCGCTATGCTCAGCGACTCAAGCGCGGCCACGGTCCAGGCCTCGATGTCCACCGTCGCGGTCGAGGCATTGGACAGCGAGGGCCCGTGCAGAGCGTGAGGGGGATGGATCGGCTGCGGCTGTTGGAGGTGGTCGCCGTCCTCCTCGGGACCCGGAGGGATGCGCGTGATAGCCATTGGCGCGCGAGTTGCAGATTATGAGACGACGATTGGGGTGCCGTACGATGGATGCGACCAAGAATTGACGAAGCTGAGGGGTGTACGGTATCAGCTGGCGACCGCGTAAAGTGGCGAAACTCGCGACGCGGGGAGTGGATCTACCAACCCTTATCTCCCTGTCGGAAAGAAGAGAAGGAAAGAGCTTGGGGGAGAAGGGGTCATTCAATAAAGAAGCCCTCGGCCCTCAGCTTTCCTCGAAGCTAACACCACTGCCAAACCAAGGAAAAGAAGTTGCGGCTGAGTGCCGAGGTGGGATGTGTGAACTGTGAATGTCTTTCCGTCATCGCCGGCATGACACATTCCAGTGAATAGTCTCTCAATCGCAACCTGACTTTGACCAATCGGAGGTCTAGCGCAAGCAACGCCCCCTGAAGCTTACCGCTGACCGGCCCTTTCCGATGATTGATGATGATTCAGGTGAATTCGGTGGGGCACTGGAACCATTCAACACTTTAGCACGTTGTCCTGGACTTCATCTCGAAAAGGTGGCAGCGGGGATGAGTGAGACAGGACAGGAGAGGAAAGACGAGAGGTACACGAAGTACTGTTCAATACACAGTTCAATCGCTGCGGTGGAATTCCTAGCCGAACATTAGTCTTCTCCCGCAACTCCGAGATATGGGATCTTCTACGTCCGCCGCAGGTCCCCAACTCCAATAAACCACATGAATTCCCCTAAGACCACCTATTCTGCCTCAATCCATTGAGACTGCTTCTCAACTCCGCCCTTTCGCCATCACCCTCAGCAGCCGGCGCACTTTCCTTCCTATGGGCTATAGCATCACCAGTACTCCCGCCCTCCTCAATGTCCTCCAACCTCTCCATGCCCATCGGGCGCCCAGTCATGAACCCAACGACACTGCTCCTCATGCTGCCTCTCATATCCACACTCCGCCGCCCGGATTCCACCTCTGAGAAGTTGCCCATGCCTGTCTTCCGCCTGTTGCTAGCCCCGCGCTCGTTCCTAGGCGACGAAGACCATGCAGCCGGCAGCCACGCTGCGAACCGAGTTGAAGGACACGATTTTTCGCTCCCGCTCCCACGGCGCCGGCGTCTGACCATGACAAAGGAGACCGCAATCAGTGCGATAGCAGCTACGCTGCCTACAACGGGGGCGGCAACCCATGCCATGGACGGTGGACTGTCCCCTTGCTCTTGGAGGGTCGCCCCCGGGGCCGATTCCGCCGAGGTCACGGGCGTTGTGCTGGGGCCGGGAAAGAAGGACGGGAACGAGCCTGCGGCTAACGATGAAGATGGTGTGGTGGGCAAGCCGGATATTGCGAGGGTCGAAGAGTCGGGTGCCGGTACGAACGTCGAGGTCGATGTGGCTGGCCGAGCAGACTCAGTTATTGTGCTGCCGGCAGGTGGAGTGAAGAATACCGCCCCGCTACCGGCGCCGGGCGTTATGGCCGGTGGGAGTGATGGCGACGTCAGGATCGATACTCCGGGGTCCGTTGTAGGCAGTATAGGGGCGGGTGGTACTACCAGGCTTGCAGACGAAGACGTGACCTGAGAAGAACTGCCCGGAGGTTGGGGAGCAGCGGCCGCCACGATCGCGGAGTCGGTTCGTTGATCCGCTGCGATGGCGCTGGAATTCGCGACAGCCGTCTTGAGGTAGCAGTTTTTGAATCCGAGGTCCTGGCTCGGGTCAAAGGACAATGCTGCGCAGCCCGAGGTTGATGCGCATTGGCCCAAGCAGTCCTGGAAGGTAGGCGCGAAGTTCTGGGTCAAATCGCTCCCGGCGATGATGAAGCCGCACATGGTGGTGAAGCTGGTACCCAGCGTTTGCTGCGCTCCTCCCAGCGTCAGGCAATTCGAGGTGGCGCCTGGAAATTCTGCAATTGCAGAGTCACTGCTCCGCGAAGGGCGCTGCTCTTCCGGCCGTAGGTTGGCCTTCAAGGCACAACGCGAGCTCGCGTCATGAAAAGTGGCTGCTTCACATTTTGGGTGGAAAGAAGAGCAGAGGTCAACGCAGGCCTTGAAGTCGAAGGCGTCTAGTCTGTCGAGGACATCTCCTCCGAGATTGGTGTTGCAAAGAACAGTGAAATCTTGAAAGGTGCCTATCGTCGTCCCATTCCCACCCGGGCACACCGCCTTGTTCTGTCTCCGATGCACCTTTGCCCTTTCGACAATCTGTATCTCTCCTGAAAACATCGTTGCACCAAGCCTGCTGGTGTTCGATGTAAGGGCTCCAATAGAGAAAGCGGCAGCCGTGGAGTCGCGGCCGTGCGATGAACTAAACAATAGACATTATGAGTATGAGGCACACGTAGATGCAGAGCTCTTGCCAGAACGACTTCCGGAACATAAGGGAAACAGCGTGACTGCAGTTATAATAGCATCCACTGCTTCTGCTGAGGTCATGACGGACGTGGGGTGCTAGAGATGCATTGCGCCTGGCGTATCACCTGCCACGCGGCAGACATGATCGGCCGCGTAGTGGGGAGAAGCCGAACGATGCGGTTTGAAGTGGGCCTTCCAAGGAGAGGAGGTCATTTGGAATGTGGCTGAAGTAGAGAGCATGAATGCCGCCGCAGCACATTGCGTGTGGCGGTTAAAGTGCCGCATAGTCGAGGGGTCACGATAGCCGACGGTCGTGTTCCAGGAACGAAGATCATGGCAGCTAGCCGCAACCCTTCCGTGTCGCACCCGGGACCACTCCAGGTGAGATTCCAATCGGAATATTGTGAAAGCAATTGTCCCGTGTTCCAAACGCTAGCCGGGCGGAAAGTGTCCAGTGATGTCTGATGTTGGGTGCCGTCCAAGTGGAAGGACGGGGCAAGCTGACCGAAGCATTTTGCCTGAGATTGAAAGGAGACAATAGGCTGTCATCAAAGCATAACCTGCTTCATCTCCAAGGCTTGTAGGATCGGGCCAAAGTATCTTTGTTCAGGGTTGTGTGGGAGATGAGGCCAAAGGTAAAGCCAAAGATGCAACCTTGCCCATGATCTGCTCAGGGAGGCCTGCCCAGAAAAGTTCCGATGCGGGATCCGGGGTGACCGGTATTGGACAAGGACAGTGAAGGCTGTATTGTGAACCCTAACTTTGCTGTCTCCTTCCGCTCTGACCATACTGACAGGATTCCCGAGGCTCCGACCACTTGGAACCCAAAATATCGCCCTTCAATACGGCATGTCCTTCTGGTTCACCTAATTCCGGTTGGTGTCATAGTTCCGATTAGGGTCACCGATGCCGCCTGGCCTAAGCAGCGGTGTTGTGTCGGCGGCGGCATCGCTCTCCTGGCGGTCCACGATGGTCTGCAGGTGGTTCGGACTGGCTGCGTAGATCTCGGGATGCGAGGTGTAGCGACCCGGGGTATTCTCATCCAAGCCATTATTAGCCTGCAAATGCGACTGACCAAGAATCGGCGACGGCGACTTCGGGTCGTCTGCGCCACGGGCACGAGCCTGGATCTCGTAGTAGATGGCCAGGTACAGAAGAAAGCCCTGCATTGTAGCCGTCAGGACGAAGATCCCCCATGAGCTCCAGCCAGCCCAGCCGAGGCGGGCGAACAGGCTACCCGCGAAGAGAAAGCCGCCAGGGGTCTGAATGCACATCATCGGGATGCTGAGGCTGCCGACGTGCTTGAGGTGGTACGTGGTCCAGATCTGCGGGATGTACTGCACCCCCGCCAGTAGAGCTGCCATGACGCCGAGAACATTGGCCCAGATGGCGAGGTAATCCTTCGCTGCGGTGGACAGCACTCCCGTGACAACGATGACGGCGAGGCCGTGTAGTAAGGTCAGCGAGGCCACCAGCAAAGCCGTCTGCCATCGGGGTTGACCGTCGTCCACCACTTCATTGTCGCCGGCGTCGTCGGCGGAGTTATATCGGAAGAAGACCAGGAACAGGACGAAACTGCGCAGTCGGCCGGTTGGTCACTGTTGCTTGCAACCAGGTGGGCCATCAAGGTACTACTCACATGAAGGTAAAGCAGATCCACTGCACACCAAGCTGGGCAATACCAAGCAGACCGGCGACGCAGTGGAAAGAGTCGAGTTCCTTGCAGCAGGCCACATCCTGGCGTGACTTGGGGAGCAGGAGGATGTTCGCAAAGGCCGAGGTGGCAGAAGTGGTACCAAGGAGGACGAAGTAGGGCGAAATGCCCTCGGATGTGCGACGGTTGATGATGCGGAAATGCTGGGGGAGGTAGCTGATGAGCATCCCAATGACAATGACGCTACAACATGTCAGCAATGGACGCCTCAATGCCCCCGGCTGGCCCGTACACTGAGACAATGAGGTTAACAACGCCGACTTCGCGGAGCTCCTCGCAGCGGTCTGCGGCCAACAAGGCATCCATCTTGGCGGATTCGGGCTGCTTCGGAGGTATGGACTAGTTCGGCCGAGAAAAAGAGACGTTGGGATGATATAGTTCAGCCAACGCCTTGAGAGTGAATACCGTAATCTGCTTCCCGGACGCGGCAGCTCAAGAAACCCTGGCGGGAGGATTCTCGAGGTTGGCCTGACGCGTTGTCAGATGGAAGACCGCCAGGAGCTCCATTCAGTTGCAACTGCACCTTAGCTGCCGGGTAGGACCCACAGGGCTGCGGGATGCGGGTCAGAACCCACCTGCACTAGTCGCATTGGGCTAGCACAAAGAGCTTCCGTGGGTACCCTCGGGTTACACCAAAAGGTACGGAATACTTCTTCACCCATTGGTAAGAGCCGGGCATTTTACGGGTGGCATCTTGTCCTCTGCCATCTCCTTCTGTGTGATCTAATAAGTAAAAAGAATAATCCACCGATGCAACATGACCGAGATATAACTCTAACAGAGCCGCCTTGACATGATGGACCGCCCCTCACTCCGCGTCGTGGCTTCTACAAGCAATCCAGATGGATCTTTACCAGCCAAAAGAGATCAGACGCACAACCGAGAGTCGTTCTTCAAGAGCGTACAATGGTATGCGTAATCTTGCTCTTCTCCCCTCCCAGACTAACAACCGTTTAGGTCGGCCGATGGGACAACGCTCTTCACATCCTCCTTCTCAAACCGCATCTGCAGCTTCGTGCTACCTGAGACCCTGCTGGAACCCAGGGAGTCTCCCGTAGAGCTCACAGCCAACGGCACTATTGCCCTCCCCGAACCAACCAGCGCCATCGCCCCCTGCCCTTACTTTGCGCTCGAACAACCCGCAACACAGGCCCTGCTCACAGCCAGCACCGACCACCCCATCCATCTCCACCATGCCTTTCCCCCATCACCATCCTCATCACCGTCTCTCGATGACAATGGCAACGATGACGACGAGGATGACAACGACAACGGCCCATTCACCCCTCCACCCAAACACCTAAAGCAACCCCCACCCCTGGCCTCCTTCCGCCTCATCAAGCACGAGACGGAAGCCTACCTCCCCGTGGCCTCGCTGATCTGGCCCGCCCCGGGAACGCACTTCGTCGCGGGGACCACCAACCGCATCGCCCTCTTCGACGTCTCCCGCCCGGACACCCTCCAGCCAGATCCGCTGCTCACCATCCCGACCATCCCCTCGACCCGCCACCTGGCCAAGGGCGGCGGCGTCGGCATGCGCGGGACCGTCTCGGCGCTTGCCTCGCAACCAATCATTAATGCTGCTGCTGATGGTGGTGGTGGGCTGCTGGCTGCGGGGACGTGGACGCGCAGCTTGGGGCTGTATGATGTGATGCGCAGCGGGGAGTGTGTCGCCACCTGGAGCGTTGCGGGCGCCGCTTCAGAGGAGGTGGCCCGTGTGGGCGGGAGAGGGGTGCTACAAACTTTGTGGTCGCCTTGTGGACGGTACCTGGTGGTGAATGAGCGGGGCGCGACGGGGTTGTTGGTGTATGACCTCCGCGGGACGCACCGGTTGCTCGGGTGGCTGGAAGGAAGAGATGGGAGGACGAATCAGCGGTTGAGTTGTGACGTGTTTCCCGGGACTGAGCGTATTGGAGGTTTTGAGGTGTGGGCTGGGACGAAGGATGGGGGTGTTGTTGTGTGGGAAGGGGTTGGGAATCAGGAAGGCGGTGTCGCACCGTCTTGGGACTGGCAGGCCCATTGTTCGGCGGTAGGGGCTACTGCCATGCATATGAGCGGGTCGGTTGTCGCGACCTGCTCTGGGTCGTGGAACATTGTGGACGATAATGAAGGGCAGAGTTCTTCTGATAGCTCAGATGAGTCGGGTTCGGAAACGAGTACAGCAAGGCAGAGCAGCTGGAAGCCCCGGGTTGTGGTTCAGGAGACGAGCCTCAAGGTTTGGAGCTTAGATGTCAGCGGCCCGTCGACAGGTGGAGGAGATATTTCGGGTGAAGGCGATACTGAATCTTGGGGATAAGTCGCAGCGGCATTCCACTATCCCCCTCGCTGCTCGGACTCACAAATTGGTGTTGACCAAAACCGGACGTCAAGAAACGCGAAGCAGCTTTACGGGCAGCCGTATTCTTCAAGGTCCTCAGCAACGTCTGTCCAGCATAGCAAAGTGTGTCCAAGATCCTGCAATCGGACACTGCAAGTCTCACCCGGCCATGCCAGCAGTCACGGAGTTGCACCGCGAAACACGGCAGAGAAGGGCACCGCTCCTTGATCGAAAAACCGTTCGTCGACCGGTTGCCGCGTCCAACGCTCATCAAGGCCGTCACTCACACGCTCCAACACCTTCGTCCCGCCAAACAAGTCCTCAAACAACCTAATCCTCCCCCCGGAGACATCATCACAAACAAGGGTAGGCCAAACACTTGCCCGCGGCCTTCGCCCACAGCCGGCCTATCATCCGGCACCTTGAGCCTCCCCAGCACAACCTGCGCAGCGTAGGCATTCATCCCGGCCCGACGAAGGAACACCTCCCAAAAGGTTTCGATCGGCAACAGCATGTCCCTCACAGCAACCGCCTCGTTCGCATACTCGCAGATCTTAGCAGCCGCCCATTTCGCCAGCGTCTCCACCCCGCCGCCCACATACAGCGATTGCACATCGGCCGTCTGCAAGCCGGCCGAAAACCCCTGAAACTCAGCCAGCGCTCTGGCGTCGGACTGGGACAGCGGGCTTGCGGTCTCGCTATGCTTGTTGCCCTCGGACACCAACACCACGAGACGTTCGTAGCGGACAGCGACGTTCTCGACGATGCGGCAGAAGCTGATCGAGTGATTCCCAATTGTTTGGCCGGGCAGCGCTTTCTGTCGGAGCATGATCATAGTTGTCAAGAGGATGCCAGTGGCGGGGGAGACGACGATGTCGGCTTCGTCTAAGTTCGGGGTGCGCATGCCCGGGACCCAGCTGGACGGTCGGTGCTTGTCGTAGTCGCGTGTGATGAGGTCGATTCCGGGGAGGAGCTTTTCGAGCTGGAGAGTGATGAGTTTTGACGTTGTGGAGGAGACGACGATGCGGGGAGGAAGGGCGGGTGGTGTGATATCTGGCGCAAGGGCAGGCACTGGCTTCGGAGGCGGCGGCATCAGCTTTGCTGCCTCTTCCTCCTTAGACCGGGCGAAGGGTGGTTTTGTGACGGGCGGAACGAAGAATGCGCTGTGCGTGAGCTTTTGCTTCTTGGGGAAGTTCATCTCAACGAAATTGTCGACGAGTGGCGCAAAATCGGGGTATTCGCTCATGAAGCCCCTTAGCACATTGGTTGATGGGATCAGTGCTGGGGCTATGATCTCAGTAGTATCGAGTTCAGGACTTGCCATCGGATTCCCCTCTGGCTTCTTACCCGCCTGCCTCTTCCCAAGTGTCTCGTCGATGGCCCGTTTTCTTCCAGTCAGGAGTGTCATCAGGTCTGCCGGAGGCGGCGTTGGCCTGGGTATCGTCTTTGGCGAATTGCAGTGGGTGGGAATGGCTGTTTTGATCAGGGGCAGTGCCGTCCCCTCCAAACTGCCCGCGTGACAACCGGTTGGGCGGGCGGGTCTTGACGACCCGAGCGGCGTAAGGAAATCCTCGTCGTCGCCATCGTCTTCTATCCGGAGAACTGCCAACCCGGGCTGCTTGTAGACATAATCGGCGCTACTGGGAACTTCGCAATCACGGCTTCTCTCCAAGAAGAATTCAAAAGCTTTGGGATCGACCTCAATCTGTTCCGAGACTAACCTCTTTTCCGTCATATGGGCGAGGGGTGCCCATACCATCCTCTGCTCGGAGGCTCTGTTGTGTGTCCATTTGGGATGCTGCCAGTCGACGTCGGTGTCCTTCTGAATCCACCGGAACATTGCCTTGGCTTCCCAGGGGCGTTGCTCCCATTCTGCTGCAGGGGCCGAAAAGTCTAATACCGGAACTGGGACTCGTGCTGTGGCGTCGAGAGGCTGGAGTCTCTCCTGCTCAGCGCATCTCATTACGTGAGTTGCTTTTTCCAGGAAGAGCGTGACGAGTTGGCCGGTTGGGCCGTCTGACCCAGAAAGTGTGTCACTGCTCACTACCAGTTCTTTTGCCTCCGCCAGGTCATCTGAAGCAAGGATTCTCGTTGTCTCCGTAGCCTCCGCGTTCTCATCACTCCATGGAAGCAGAGGAACGTCGATTCTCATGTCTCGGGATACCGGCTGGGACGAGGATGGTAAAGCGGGTGACCGGAACTCGCCCGCCCTAATCATTTCCGACATATCAATGTCGTCGTACCTCTCGGGTGCCTCCTCCCTCTCCAGCGCCTCGGCCCAGAACCCGAGATCGGTCTCGAATATCTTTTGTTCGGAAGCAGTTATGTCTTCGCTCAGCACTGAACTGGAACCTGAAGGCTCCGGTATCTCACAGATCTCCTCTTCAGGGACAAAGTATTCCGGAGATGACAACAGCAGGGGGCTCAAAGGGGGTGTCAAGTGTTCTGCAGCTCCTACCTAAATTCCCTGTCAGCAGCCATCCGTATTTTTCTACTCTGAAAAGGCTCATCATACTCCTTCGTAGGCACAGTTCTCCCTAGCGAAGTCTCGCCGGGCATTGTCTGTCAGATCTGACCTTAGGCTCTGCATCAAGTAGGCAAGCGTGTCTCTGGTCACCTCCAAGTTCTCGTGTTCAATGGTCTTCATATGTGCCTTTTCCTGTTGGGTCAGACTTTCGGGAAACTCAAGGCCTTCTCCTTTACCAACGTCAACCGGGTGAAGCGGGAGGCGGTGTTCCGGGAGTGGCTCCTTCAGGAAAGCCTTCACCCGTCGCATTAGCCGACGACAGTCGGCGCCATGATCACTGCGGAGTGCAGGGGCCTCCAACTTCAGGCCTTTCCACTTCAATGTCTCGGGGAAGCATTGCTCTGAAACAAGGCCTGCCAAGTCTTCATCTTTGCGTCTTGTGCACACGTCCTGAAGTATTTGCAGTGACGCCGCGGGTATCTGCCACTGTTCTGGCGTGGGGATGATGGCCCGGAAGAGGCACTCCTTGAGCTGCACGGTCTCAATAAGCTGTCCTGCTTCCAGTTCAAGGATGGTAGAGGCTAGGGCTGGGTCACGTTCAACGAGTTGTCGCCAGTCGAGAGAGCGGCTGTCAATGGTCAGCCCACTGCACCTTGCGTACTCGTCCGCGTCCGCGAAGGAGGGCGGGCTCCCTGTCGATGGCGAGTGATGACTTAGGATGGACTCCTTCAGTGAGATGAGATCATCTCCAGAGTTGAGCTCCATTTCTGCTCGCTCGAGCAAAACATTCACTTAGCTCTTTCACTCAGACGTTGTGGCCGGGCAATTTGCAGCAAGCCTCGTCATTAGGTAGATGTCGGCGGTCTGTTCTACCCGACTAAAATCCAACGCTCTTGGGCCAGGCATCAAGGCCATTTCGATCATCAGGCAGACACTTACTTTGTCCGACTGCATGCAGTGAGACAATTCCAGGCTCCAACTTTGTGGAAGACCTGCTGTGCTCAGAGCAGATGTGGAAGGAACGAGCGGCGCCCTCCTGCCCCATTGTTTCAAGTCACTTCTAGGACCCGATCACCAGGTGCCCGGGCCGTATGCGCGGGTAAATTCACGGAATGGAAGCTCAGTTACCTCGAGCTAATGTGGTGAGCAGAGAAAAGGATATCCGCAAAATCTGCAGTGCATGTGCCAGTTTTTACTTATTGTATTGCTGAGCGCAAAGGCTGGATTTCTCGCCTCGTGGTGAGCTTAGTACCCTCCCATGGTCCTGATTTAGGTATTGTACCTTCCTAGTTTTTCCCTACAAGGCTTTCATGTGCTACGCATCTACCTTAACCCATCAAGATTCCTCAGCACTCCTGCTGGACTCGAATCGGGTAAGACCCGTTGCTCGCATGTGCTTTCACTATCTCAAGAATGTCCATCCATCTCAGTCGCACGTCCGCGACGGTTCCCCGGAATTGTACGCGCCTTCCATTCCCGTAGAACCACAATCTGGAACCCAGTTCCGCCGCGGAAGACCCCTTCTCCCGAATGACGCCCGCATGGGTCATGTAGCGTATGTGGTTGGTCTCTGATCCTCACACGATTCTTTGTGCAAGCTAGGTCGATTACGACTCTCAGAGTGACCAACTGGTATAACTCAACAGAGGGCTGCTAGCTGGTGGCTCAACTCGCCGTTCACCCTAGCAACCGCCGGTCCTAATGTTTCTGTGCTTGAGCTAGCTATTGACCGGATGACAGGCAGCGCGAGCCGAGGGACTAGCCACCCATGTCATGTACCGCTTGTGCATCCAGTTAATGAAAGGAGTGATGTGGCATATAATGACGAGTCAGCTTCAGTCGAAGCCCAATATGGCATCATGTCTCCAAGGTATGCGGAATAGCCACAGAGAATGGGCGTCAACCTTCATTGAGTGAAGAAGGCGGGCCTAGGCGTCCGGCACCCCGAAGCGGCCCGTCGTCGTGAACTCACGGAGCCTAAAGGAGAGTTGAGGCTCTTCAACGTGATCCTCACGAGGCTGTCGCGGCTCGCCCTCGGACCTTTGTCCCCATTCGCTACACTTTTCAGCCGAAGATACTGTGTAGCCCTGTCGAGCTCATCACATCAAGCCAGTGTGTCCTTCGATTGAGACCAATCTCTTCATCATATGCGCTCCAGACGGCACGCATGAGCTGTTTTGCGACCCCGATCGGTTTTGGAGGCAGATTGAGCTCGAGTTGAGCCAGACGGTCCATTACGAATTGGCGCGCTTGTGACGTCTTGATTGCGTTGACCGAGATGGTAGAGTTAGGCAACGGGGGATCAGTCGCGGCAGGGACTGGCGTGGTTGGTATGATCGGTTGTGTTTCCGGATCCGGGGCCAGAAGATAACTCTGACGGCCCCGCCCTAGAGGAACTTTGCTGTCATAACGAAGGCCGCTGCCGGCGCAGATGCAGAGGAGAGGTTGAATACAGCACAAGTTCCCAGGCGGAACTTTGCCGAGAATATCAGTGATGTGCAAGGCGAGCGGAGACACCCACGCATGCCAAACAGCGGACCTGTCCGCGTCCTTCAGGGTTGGTATCCGTTTAGTGCTTAGATCCGGGAAGCTTTCGTAGAGCTGCAGGAGCGCACACAAACGGTATGCCTCGGTGGCATAATGCAAGTCTCGAAGCCGGCTGCTGGTCTGCGAGGGTTGCCCGTCTTCGGGAAGCAGGGGGGCTTCGACCGACAGCAGGGCCTCTTCGATCTTTGCCGCTTCCTCGATGTCCTTCATTGCGCGCTGGAGAACCTCGTAGCTTGTCCCATCGTTCTGCCTCCATCGTGTGCGGGATCTCCGAGACAACGCCATCGCCTTCCCAAACAATCTCAGAACGTCAGATGAAACACCGGTCCATGCATGCGGAACGGCTGGTATGAGTGGCCGTTGGCTTGCCGGCTCTGGCCAACTCAGCATGTGTTCGAAGTCAATCTCGTCGTCGCTCACAACACTGCGGAGCATCTCCTCGTAAACCAGACATCCATTGAAGAAGTCGAGCAGCTCCTGCGCTTCGACGTCCAGCGTCAATCTGTCTATAGACTTTAGCACGGCCCGCGCTTGCCTGACAAATTGTTGTCCCAGCAGGCGAGACTCCATCCAGCACATCGAGGAGCTCATGCAAAACAGCGCCAGGAGGAGTTCGCTGGGAAACTTTGGGCGGGAGCCAGTGGAAAAGGCGACAAGCTCTTTCTGAATAGCTTCGGCGGCTCTGCCTGGAGCCGACCTAGCCGTATCATGCATGATGTGTGGGAGTCGCTCGACAAGGGAAGCCGCCGAGATCGCTTGCAGGGCGTAGAACACCGGGGTGGAGTTGTGCCACAGATTGGCTGTCAGCCGCCGATATGGATTGGTTTGAGAGTCGAGTGCCGACCACGAAGAGCAAACCGATTTGAACCAGTGCTCAATGAGAAACGTCGGAATGTCCACCACCGGCTGGGACACGGACAACTCGGGCGGTTGACCAGGCTCTTCAGGCAATGCTGGCTCCGATGTGGGTGCCACGGGAACCAAAGCAGCATTGCTTTCAACAACGGCGGCGGCCGTTGGTTCTTCCCATTGGGTCAAAGGGGAGGGCGCAGATGAGGAAGAGGAGGAGCAAGAATAGGCGGGCGGTGATGCGGAGGCTGACGGGGTGACGGGTGGAACAGAGAGTCGGCCAGTGGACATGGTGACCACGGTCGAGGTCTTGAATCCATCATGGGTAGAGGTCTCGGCAGCCTTTGTGGAGTTTGGGGCGGAGACAATGGACTTGGATGCGGCGTTGACGAGCTGTGTGAAGTTCGCAGGACCGCTTGGCTGTGTTGTTGTCGGTCTTATTTCGTGTTTGGTAGACCACTGGAGACGCTGCTGATAGCCGGGACATTCGACCCCTTTTTGGGCACAATTCCGGCATCCAGGTTTAGTTTCATCACACCTTAGCTGTTGGAGGTTGGTGTATGGTTAGTGGATTTCACCCCATGGAAGCCTTATCATGTGAGTCGTGATGAGGTGCGCGTGTAAGGGCAGTAAGGCAGTGATGAAGACAACACATACCCTCCTGAGCTTGCAGGTCCGGCAACCGCTTCTCGACTTCTGCCTGTTCTTCATCCTGGCGCCTTCATCACTCGCTTATCTTGGTTGGAAATCGAGACAGTGATCGAGTCCCCAGGTGGAGAGCTTGGGGATAAATATCGTGTCGCCGGGCAGGCAACTCATGCACTGTCATGGGCCCATGCTCAGCCCCTGGTGACTCGGGCGGCCCAACTGGACCACGAACATCCCTGCCCACGATAGGTCGATAAGCTTTTCCCACAGCAACGAATCGAGGCGGGTCCCGACAATCATCGAAGCTGGAGGTGTCTCAAGCTGACCAGGGCCCTAAGGCATGTCGGGCTGGCGGGGTTTGTAGCGGTCCACTCAGCATGCATGACCAACACCGAGGTCCCGGAATCAGCGCCACAGAAAGCAGCAGACATCAAGAGATTAGCGACAAGTACGCCGCATTTCTCGGCACTGCTCCCAAGGCTTTGGTTGGCCGGGTTGGCGAGTTCTGGCGTCTTGGCCTCGGCGAGCCCGCCAGCTATTGTTGTACAGTACCTACACCTCAACGCCATACCACAAACGAGGGGACCCGACCACCCGGTTGAGGTGCATCATCAAAGTGTTATTATTAGTGAAAGACATGGCCGGGCAACTGCTGTCAGCGTCGCGTCAGCATGGCTGCCGCGTGGAACCTTCGCAGATCAACGCCAATCGTTGGAACATTCGAAAGATGGGGCGCACTAACTAGGTAGTTATAACGTCAGGGTTGCAAGCCACCAGTCGACGATCCCTAATCCATTTGTGGATAGTGTTGAGAAGTTGAGAGAGAAGTCGGGGGGTGCTTGGTATCGGCGGCGGTCTGATGCCAAGCCGGCGGTCAACGGAGCCGGGCCTCGTTACCTGAGTGCTTTCCCTCAGATCCGGTCTACACCGTAGGATCGAAGATTCCACACTTGCTGCAATATGAAATTAATTGAGTCCGAATTCAAGGCAACGGAGACATGACTTCGGTAGTGTATTCGCAATGTTTTTGCAAAACACCAGCTGAAACCTGCGTCGTCTCTGCTGTACCGTGGGAAGCCGAATAGGAGCTCGCAAAACCCTGAATTTCAGGCATTAAGTCACTAGCCCACTCCGAGTGTCGGCGTTGGAGTGTCGGCCCCTCTCATAGGTTCACAAAATTTTCGTTGCGACTCACACCTTCCTCCGCTGGGCCCAAGATCGCAACTGCAGCGAACAGTACGTTTTGGTCACCCCTAAAATCAAAGAGAAGGTGCATCATCGACCAGAAAAGATGGCCGGCGAACCGGGAGAGGCGATGGCTCACAAGGCCTTCGACACCATTCTGGTGCTCGACTTTGGGTGAGAAGAATATGGCTCCCAGTGCGCAGCAGAAAATACAAGAGCTGACAGGGCCTCACTGAACAGCTCGCAGTATACCCATTTGTACGTTATACCTTGAAAATAAAAATCAAAGACTGCATCGTCCCGGGGTTGAGTGATACTGCTTTGGTACTAGCAAACATGCGATTGATGAGGCAGACTAACTCTGGCTATGAAGGATCACACGCCGTCTCCGTGAGCTCAATGTCTTCTCGGAGATGCTGCCATGCACTCAGAAGCTCTCTGAGCTCAAGTTCACCCCCAAGGGCATCATTCTCTCCGGTGGACCGTACTCGGTCTACGAGGATGGCGCTCCTCACGTCGATCCTGCTGTCTTTGACCTGAGTACACACGGACCCAACCCCAACCACTGGTCTCCTGCTAACGGTGTTATTGACTTTAGACGTGCCTATCTTGGGCATTTGCTGTCCGTAATTCCGTCTTGTATTCTAATTTAGCCACGTGTTGCGTAGCTGACTTCAAGGGGCGAACAGATGGCATGCAGGAGATCGCCTACCGCATCAACTCTGAGAACGTCATTGCCGGCACTCACCGCGAGTACGGCCATGCCATGCTCAAAGCTCGATCCATCGGAGGCCATGTTGACCGCCTCTTCGATGGAATCGAGGAATCCATGCGCGTGTGGATGAGCCACGGCGACAAGCTCGCCAAACTACCCGACGGCTTCCACACGGTTGCGACCTCGGATAACTCTGAATATGCCGCAATTGCCCACGGCAGCAGGCCGATTTACGGCCTCCAGTTCCACCCTGAAGTGACACACACTCAGAACGGGACTGCGCTTCTCAAGAACTTTGCTGTCGGGATCTGCGGCTGCAAGCAAGAATGGACGATGCAGAAGTTCCTCGAGGAGGCAATTGCACAGATCCGCCACACTGTCGGTGAGAAGGGCCAGGTACTGGCCGCCGTTAGCGGTGGCGTCGATTCTACGGTGGCGGCAAAGCTCATGGTAAGTTTCGAAGCCAATGCACCCCAGATGCGGAATTCTGACAGGAATACAGAAAGAGGCGATTGGCTCAAGGTTCTGGGCCGTACTCGTCAATAGTACGCAATTCGCTGCTTGGCTGCATGCCTCAAATTAAGTCTGACCGGAACTAACAAAACCGAAACAGATGGCGTCATGAGGCTTAATGAGTGCGAACAGGTTCAGAAAGATCTCTCGGAGGCTCTCGGCATCAACCTCACCGTTGTCGATGCGTCTCAGGAGTTCCTTGACGGCCTGAAGGGTGTCGACGATCCCGAGGTAGGTACACCCTCCTCCGCGGGAGGCTTGCCATTGGAACAAAATCCTTAACCCCGTCTGCAGAAAAAGCGCAAGTTCATCGGTATGGCCTCCGGCTTTGAATTAGGCAACCCAACGGAAACCCCGTCGAGCTGAGAGATTAACCCCTGGATAGGTGGCAAGTTCATCGACTGTTTCGAAGCCGAGGCGGTCAAGGTAAAATTTCTTCTGCATGTTTTCAGGAAGGACAACGGTAGCTGAGCTCTGCGGCAGATCGAGGAGGCGGCCGCCCATGACCCGACCAAAGCGGGCAAGATCGAGTTTTTCATGCAGTAAGCTAACCGAGGTCCCTACGTCCCTCGGATCGACATGCTTACCAAGCCTGCAGAGGCACACTTTACCCTGATGTAATCGAGTCGCTCTCGTTCAAAGGCCCGTCTGCCACTATCAAGGTCAGTCTGCGGGCGGCCACTTCGAGCGCTTGACACACATGCTAATCGATTGGCTGTTAGACGCACCACAATGTGTACGTTGCTGTGCCTGTCCAATGAAGAGCGGTAATGCTAACTCCGCTTTCAAGCGGTGGTCTCCCTGCGCGAATGATGAACGGTCAGGGGCTCAGACTCATCGAGCCCCTGAGGTCCTTGTACAAGGTATGTTTGACTCGTTCTTTGACAATATCCTATCGTTGACGACGCCCACTGATCTGTTTGAATAGGATGAAGTTCGCGGTACGTGCTACACTCCGGAAGTAACCTTTCGGAAATCCAAAAGGCTACCTGCGGTGCCGTAACCGATGCGCGACACACTGGACTGACAAGTGACACAGCCCTCGGACGGGCGCTGGGAATTCCGGAGGAGCTGGTGATGAGGGTATGCTGTGGGCATCCAGTCGTTCCTAACTTGCCACTCGCTGACCCCGTTGTCCTAGCATCCTTTCCCTGGCCGTACGACGGACCTTCCTTTCCGAGCTCGATATGCCAGAACTAACCCTTTCCAGCCGGTATTGCCGTTAGGATCCTGGGTGAAGTGACCCCTGAGAAGGTCGAGATCGCTCGTCAAGCTGATCATGTCAGTGATTCACCTGTGTGGGCTCGATGTTTGATTTCCACCAAGTTCCTGACCATGATTATAGATCTTCATCTCTGAAATTCGCAAGGCGGGTTTCTACAACCAAATCTCTCAAGGTCGGCGTTCCTCGGCGGACAATGCAATGAATGAAGCTAACCCTCCGGAATAGCCTATGCCGCCGTCGACCCCAGCCGTGCTGTAGGCGTTATGGGGGATAAGCGGGTCTATGGCTATGTATGGGTCCCGAGCTTGGCTACCTGTCTGCCATGGCCTAGAGTTGCTAACGGCCAACCAGATTATCGTCCTCCGCGCCGTAACAACAACCGACTTCATGACAGCGGAAGCCTTCAACTTCCCGTGGGAATTCCTCCAGCGGGTCATGAACAGGATCGTCAACGAGGTTCATGGGTATGTCCTGACGCGCTCTACACAACACAGCCTACTCTGCTAACGATGGCCATCAAAAGCGTGTGCCGCGTTGTTTACGACGTGACATCGAAGCCGCCCGGCACGATCGAGCTGGAGTAGTGGCTTGGTAAAGGGGCTGCTACATATCAGGGTGGGGACGCCATTTTGCTGCTGGGTGATGCGCCACGGGCCGCGCCGATATTCGGGTAGCGTAGGATTCAGTCCATTGGATTGGGCAGGATATTACATGGCGCAGCGAGCCTTGGTTTCGCTGGGTGGTTCACTAAGATTTGGCCAGTAGATCGTGATTGACCAACAACAGAACCCTCGTGGAGATATTGAGATCTGCAGCGAAGATTCAATAATTTCCTTTGCTTGCCTTCATCCAGGCAGTGTGAGAGCGGTGAATGTCATACAGCAAATAAGTACTCCGTACAACTAACTCTGATGCCGTTGTCCGGTACCTGTTCGGAGGTTGTTGTCTCCTCGGCAGCATCACAAGTCTCGCTGCAGATCAAGCCTCATCCCCATTTCCTTCCCCTTTCATGCAAGGAAAGTCCAGTGCCTGTCAAAGTCAGTTAATATCCCCCACAACGAGTAACTCAAAAGACTTCTCAACTCACCTCCCCAGCCGTAACCCTCTCCCCGCTCTCGTATCTCACGAGCCCGGCCACTAATTCCCTCCATCCCTCGTCCTCTACCCCGGGCAACACCCCTTGCCACCCTTCTCTTTCCACCCTCCCTTCAAAAACACGATACATCTCAAAAGGCGGCGTCCGGAACCCGACCGCCTCGGGCCACGTCTCCCGCGTCGGCGTCCCCAGCGTCTGGAAGATGCTCAGGATCAACCCCAGCTGGTTCCCGTCCTCGTGCGCCGGTCGCGACTCGAACAGCGTCTTGCCCAGGAGGAGGCATTCGGCGAGCGTGGTGCCGGCGGCCCAGAGGTCGACTGCCGGGCCGTAGGCGCGGTTGCCGAAGAGGGTTTCGGGTGCGCGGTAAGGCCCCGTGCCGATGTCGAGGATCTTGTGGGAGGCGGGCTCGGAGGGGAGGGAGAGGGTCGGGTGCCAGGCGGTGCCGAAGTCGGATAGGTAGACTTGAGTCGGGGAGGAGGGGGATGGGGAAGAGAGGAGTAGGGCGGAGGGTTTGACGTCACGGTGGATTATGTTTTGAGCGTGTAAGTGGTTTAGGGCTCGGAAGAAGCCGGTGAAGATTGTTCGGAGGAGGGGGGAGGGTAAGGGAGATCGGGGTTTGTGACGGTCGATGATGTGTGATAGGGCGAGGGGCATGTAAGGAAAGACCAGGACGAAGCGCTGGTCGTGATCGTGGAAGGTTTCGAGCAGGGGGATGATGTTTGGGGCGTTGGCGGTGCGGAGTGCCGAGAGGATCTTGGCTTCACGCTGAGGGTTGTGTGGTTCGATGCCGTGAGTTTCGACGATTACTTTGAGTGCGCGAGCCTGAGAGCGGTAGACTTCGGCTGTCACGCCGCTGGCAACATAGTGGCAGTTCCCATAGTCGCCGATAGGAATGCCGGGCGAGGAAGGCTCCCGGTCATCCTCTTCAGGGCCAGCAGGCTCCGGCGACGGCAAACGGGGCTCTGGTGTGCTGGTCGGCAAGCTGCAGGCGGTTTCATACTCTTGCTTGTGGGTGTTAGGCAGGCAAGATAGTCAGGAAAGAAAACGAGCCTTACTTACCCGGCTACCAGCAGTCTTGTACGCCTCGTTCTCAATGGCAAATGCGCTCTGGTTGAGGCCAGCAACTGCCAATACCTTTGAACTGTGTGTAAGTCAGATTCTGGATTGCCAATGCCCCGGCTAGGCCTCATCAAGGCTCACAGTTTCTCAATATTATCATATCGTTCGGAAGCGGTTAAATATTGTCTCCAATCCGCGGCATCCGCCATGGTTCTTGTTGCTATGTGCTATTGATGTAATAAGACGTTCACTGAGACACTGGCAATCAGCACAACCGTTGCTGGGGATACGACTTGCGCTATGCCCGCAAAGGGGAGGTATTGACCACCGCCCAAGAAGCCCTCTGTAATCTGAAAATTCCCTACGAGACAGACCAACTAGACGGCGGATTGACAGGTATGTGATTCCCAAGTCTACAGGCAAGACTGTGAGCTAAACAATCCTCCTGTGTGTAGTTTGCCCTGGCAATAGTTACTCCGGAACGTCATGTGGAACTTCAGAGTTGAGATGGATGGGGCCTGCAATTGGCATCTGGGTTTCGTGCTTGTGTGGAAACCGAAAGGCCCCGGTATCAGGCCCGCTCCCGTGACAGAGAAATGCGTAGTTAACCACATCAATGTAGAAAGATGGTCACTGAGCTATGAATCGTTATTTTCCCTTTCTTTTCTCTTCCTACGTATTGTATTATCTCCCCATGCTTCTTTACTCTTCTCTTCTTTTTTCCAATTTCTCGTTCTCCTCTTTGGTTCTAAGTTTGGGTTATTCCTCAAGCTAAGTTCTCGGGGCAAGCTTGGTAGACTGCCTTTCTTGTAGCACGAGACTCCCTGATTGGTTCATGGGCAAAGCTCGCAAGCTGGACACTGCTGGGCCGCGACTGCGAGATGCGAGCTCCATCCAATCTTCCATTCCCGTGACATCAATGGGCCGACTGGGATATTCCTCCTTGAGTGCGACTTCAACTTCGGATGCTCCAACGCCGGTTATCTCGTTGCTTCGGGGCTTTCTTGTTTCTATCCACAGCGCAGGTACCTTTGCTTGCATCTCTTAGTGCTATGTGCTGATTTCTTTTGTCCCATCTGCATCGCCCAATTACGCCCCCAGCGATTAATACACAATGGCTGCCATGGACGACCTGTCGCGGTCCGAGTACCCGGCAATGCTCGTACGACTTCTCCTCAGCCTTTCGGTGCCTGTGCGTTGCGAAATAGTGTCTGACCGCTGATGTTGTTTTCCAATTCTAGGCAAACCTGCAACCGAGTCAGGCTGTGCAAGTGTTGTCGGACCGAGTTAAGCGCATCGCCAAAGCAAACCAAGAAATCGCAGATTGGCTTCAGGTACGGCTTGCCGCGTATGAGCGTATTTGAAAGCAGTAGGATGTGTGGCTGAGCGAAGTGCAGGAGCGCAGGAGAGTTGAGGAACAATATGTTGCCGGACTGCGGAAGCTGCTGGTCTTCAAGGTGCCGAACGCCGCATCCGAGCTTGGGTTCGTCGTGCTCTTCTTGGACATTTTACTGCGTTTGCTAACCAGAATTGCCCGTAGCATCTTCCAGCCACCATGGGACAAAATCCTCCAATCGACCGACGGCATTGCCGCCTCGCACCAGCTGTTCGCTCAGCGCATCGAGAAAGACGTCGAGCAACCCCTGCGCAACTTCCAGACCAAGAAGGAAATGCAGAACATTCACACCATTAGCGCGAATTTGCAAGCAATGGCCAAAGAGCTGGATGATGCGGCCGAGAAGTCCGAGAAGTTGAGCAAAAAGGGGGCGAGGGCCAATGCGCAGAAGGTTGACCAGGCTGCCGCGAGACTCGAGTCTGCGACCCAGCAATGGGAAGCACAGGCGCCTTTCATTTTCGAGACGCTACAGGCCCTGGATGAGCAGCGGATAAATCATTTACGCGACGTCTTGACGCAGTTTGAGACTCATGAAGTGGACCAGGCCACCCGGACGCAGGCAGCTGCCGAGGAGGTCCTCAACGTCATGCTCGAAGTCAACACGGCCCAAGAGATTCAAAACTTCGTGCAGCGAACAACTGCCGGGAAGCCGAAGGTCGAAAGGAGGTCTACTTCCCGGCAACAGACGCCTGTCGGTCCAAGCGCCGCTTCCCCTAGCGTTACCGGGGACGATATCAGCGAGCACTCGGCTCATAGAGAGAACCCTCCAGGTATTGTCAAGACGGGCCCTTGGCTAGCTATTAGTTCAGGCCATGCTAATAGTAACATAGAGGCATCCAAGTTGCGGAGCCGCATTGGCACCATGCTTGGCCGTCGGCGTCAGAGTATCCATGGCGGCTTCGGGCAACTTGGTTCTCCGCAGAAGGGCCTTAGTCCCTTTTCCCGGGGCCTTGGGAGCAGCCATGGCCAGACGTTGTCTCCTGGAGGATCATCTCACAACCTGACCGACTCTCAAAACAGGCTCTCATCCGTTGTTGAGACTCCACCAGGAGGACAGGAGCAACGCGACTCCACCGCAGACGTCAAATCCTCTCATGAAGGGACGAACGGAGTCGCTGATGGAGAGTCGTCCAAAGATGCTCAGCCGGCAAAGCCGCCCAGCCTCCTGAATGGGACGGCCGAGGATATCTTTGATGCGCCACCCGTGCCGCCATTGCCCCAGCAGCAGCAACAACAGCAACAGCCACATAGCAAAGAAGAGCCAGCCAAGGACGCCGACGGCTTCACAATACCGCCGGCGATGAACGACCCCATCTCCCAGGCTCAACGGGAGGCGGCAGCCGAGGAGGGTGACCACCTCTTCAAGCTCAGCATCAAGAATGAGCCTATCCCGGAGGAAGACCAGGATGCAAAGCAGGCTGCATTGTCCAATGTTGCGAATGCTCTGACCACCATGGGGGTGCCGTCACGGAAGACCGGTACCGTGCGGGGCAGAAGGGAGGTTCGAAATACTGTTTACATGCCATCTTTGCCGACGCACGAGATATCCGGCGAGAATCCGTTTCCGTCCCCTTTGCCAACAAGTGCGTCGATACCAAGACCCACGCCCTCCGCAACGTTTAATTCCGAGACAAGCCATGCCTCCGACACGCAATCCATCCGATCGGGCACCTCATTCGGCGGTACTTCTTACGGCGGTGTGGCTCGGATCAAGCACCCCGACTTGCACGGGCCAGCGTATGGGCCTGGCCTGCACTCTTCGATCATTGAGACTGTATCTGCCGTATTCCAAGACGGGGAGCCCAGCTCGGTCAAGGTCACAGGCGAGATCGCTCTCTCATACGTGCCTGATTCCAATTCTCCATACACAGGTCAGCTCTTCGATATCTTCCCCTCTCACGTTCTGTCGTATTGACAAACTTCCAGACCGCGAAACTGTCCGGCTCAACAAATTCTCTTTGCTCGAATCCATCGGCCCTAATCGCGTGTTCGTATCGAACACACCAGTTCCTGACGAATTCACCCTCGACGTGTCCCATCTCACCACCACAACCCCCGCCTTCACCTACCGTGTTCACGCCGAGTTCGACACCGCTCTCGCTTCCCAATGCCCCGTCGCGATCAATCCAGTATGGAAGCCACAGGGTGACAAACTCGGCCTCCTGCTTCAGTACCGCCTAAACCCGTCGTGCTCCCTACCACGACCAGTGACGCTGTCCAACGTCGTGTTCATCGCTACGTACGAAGAAGCACGCGCGAGCGGGGTGCAGACGAAACCGACGGGCACCCACCTCAAGGATAAGCATATCGTCTACTGGCGGTTGGGCGATGTCACTCTGACCGAAGACTGGGCGAAGATCATCTGTCGCGTCATTGGCGAGCAGAACGCGGAGCCGAAGCCGGGGAAGGTGGAGGTCAGGTGGGAGTGGGCCGCACCTCAAGGTTTCGGGGAGGCTGCCAACTTCGGCAGTGGGATATCGGTGGCGAGGTTGCTATCTGACGCGAAGGGCAAAGGCAAGGAGAAGGTTGAGGAAGTAGAGGAGGATCCATTCGCGGACGTCGGATCGGCGCCTTCGTCACCCGATTTCCAGGACCGAATGTGGGCCGATGTGCCACTCGTCAGGAGGCTGGTGAGTGGAAAGTATGAGTCGAAGTAGTGGGAGTCCGTCTGGTGTCTGGGGGTGAAGTGGTAAAGGTAATGGCTGTAGTTTCTACCCCGAAGGTTGTTCTGTGGTTGTGCAACAAGCGGTGGATATATCGATCTATTTTGAGGTTGCTGCGGGCTCATTGGTTGGTTGATGATACCGGAGGCATATTTTGAAGCGAAGTTTCGGGTTTGTTGGAAGTTGTCGTGTCGGGGCCGCCTTGAAGAGAACGAGACTGCACATACGCTGTATATATCTACTTTGTCGATTATGAACCTCGTATTCATTCGAGAAGTTGGGGAAGCAACACAACTTGAGCGAAGTGGTGCGATGCCTTGATCCAATGGCTTATTATGCAGCGCTGATAGCTTTCATTAGATTCAAGCAGCAATGGCCTCATCAGCTTGGTATCATATCTAAGTCCTGCACACCGGTCTGCCTCATCTTCCCTCACGTCCCTATCATGGATGCGTCCGACCTCCCAGTCCTCGAATTTTGCTCCTCCCAAAACTCCAACGTCAACGCAGCCAAGAAACACGGAACACACCCCCTCTCGCGCACCCAGAACTTAATGTTGTCCCCTATCCTCTGCGCGAAAGCACTTCGTGGGCCCCCGCCGACCTTCATAGTGCCCTTTTCGCCGTCAAACACGATGCTGTTCTCGTGCTCGTCCGTCTGCGACGGGTAGTAGACGCTCTCGACGCGCATCTTACCGCCGGGGATGAAGGTGACGGTCCAGCCGAGCGTCGAGAACACGGCCTCCTTGAACTCGGCCGACTTGGCCGCCCACACCTCTTTCAGGCGGCGGGACGTCTTGTGCGCCGACGCCGTCTCCGCCTTGGCCTCGGCTATCTCGCGCTGGGCGGCGGCGAGCTGCGAGGCGGGTACCGTGGCGAAGAGGGTTGGTTGGCGCTGGATGTGGGCGAGGAGTTCGGCGTTTTCTAGCTTGAGCGCTGCGAGCGTGGCGGCTTTGGTCGCTTCGTGGTCCGAGGTGGGGTTGGACCGGAGGGATAGGATGCGGGTCTTGAGCTGCTCTTTGGCGGACGCCAGTTGCTCGGCAGTTACCTCGTGCTCCTTCTGGAGGAGGCGGTGTGCCTTCTGAAGGTCCGTCAGTTCGGATTGGAGCTTGCGGTTCTTACGCGCCAGCTGGCCCAATTGCTCGTGCTCGGCTTCGTCCGTCTCGCGCGGGCGTTTGCTGCCTACGACCGGCTGTACTGGGCTCATCGATGCCGATTCCAGCGAGGTGAGATCGGCGTGTAGGGTGCTGACCTCAGCTTTGTACTTGTCAACCAAGTCCTCTAGTTCCTGGATCCGCTTGACCTTTTGTTGGTCAACGCTCTCTGGCTGCAGTGTCATGTCCTCCATATCGAATGTCTTGAGCTGCGCACGGAGATATTCGACCTCCTTGACAGCCAAAGCGCGTTGCCGGTCAAGACGCGCACGAGCCTTATCGTTGCCTGCAGCCGAACCTCCTGCTGTCCTGAGCTTTTCAACTTGGTCTCGCAACCTAGCCTTCTCCACCTCCAGCGTTCTGATGATATTGTCTCGATCGGCGATCTCCGGTTGAAGCTCTCCCAGCTTCTCCACCAGAGATGCGGAGTGTAGGCGTTCTTCGACCAGTGCCCTGGCCACGGCTTCCGGTGAATCAAACTCAGATCCCTCCAGGCCTCCTTCGCTCTGCAGGTATGCCGCCCATGCCCGTCTCTCGTCCTCCAATCTCTGTCGTTGTGTCCTCTCTTCACTGAGCTCGTTCTCAAGCGACTCGGCCGCTTCTACCCGTCGCTGGAGGGAGCGCTTCTCCTCTTCGACAATCTCCACGGCCTTGTGAACCTGTCGCAAGTGTTTCAGCTCGGTCGACTGCTCCCTGTTCTTCGCCTCGAGCGCGCGGATGTGAGTGACCTGGTCGGACAGTTCCCGTCTGATGACAGCGATCGTTTCCGCATCGCCCGTTTGTGCCTTCAGCCGGAGCACATCCGCTTCTAACCTGCCAATCGTCTCGTCCTTTTCGCCCAAGAGCGCCTGGGTCTTTTCTAGCGCTTCTTCCCGCGTCCTGCTCTCCTCCTCGAGCTCCTGAACTGTGCGCTGTGAAGAAGCAAGCTTCGCCTGCAGTTCAATCGCCGCGCGATCCGCCATCCGCGCAGCTTCGTCCTTGGCTGCACTCAATTCTTCAAGCTGCTCCTGGAGCAGCCTGGCCTCCTCAAGCGCATCTCTCGCCTTCGCCTCTAACTCTCGTTTTTGACGCTCCTTCTCGGTCCTCAGCTCCTCCACCTCATTTTGCAACGCTTCCACTTGGCGCTGAGCCCTTGTCCTCTCGGCCTCAGCTGCTTGCTTGGCCTTGAAGTCCTCCTCGGCGCGGCGCTTGGTGTCACGCATCTCGTTCTCCATCTGCAGCCGCGCTAGCTCCTTCTCTTGCTCGTAGCTGTTGATTTGGTACTTCAGAGTCCCGACCTCAGCTTTGAGCTCCTCGATGCGCCTGCGCTGAGTCTCATACTCTTCTGCACCAGCAGGGGGGTGGTTCTCTTTGCTGCTCTCGCGGCTGACGTTGCTTGCAACGGTATCGGCGCGCCCTCGGGGAGGCGACGGGCCTGAAGGAGCGCCTTGGCGGGAGCTGGGGCGCGCCATGGCGCTGCCGGGAGTGTCCAGGTTGGACTCGCCCGTGAGGATGTTGTATGACGGTTGCGTTGTGGTGCTGTTCCTGAACGCGTGTATCTGCAAGTTGTTAGCGGCGTGCACATGGCAGCGATGCGCTGGCTCCGTTACCCTCGGTGTCCGAAGCGATGTGTTGGGCCGTGGGATGCTACCGCTGATGGTTGCCCGGAACTGAGAACCCGAGCTGACCGACGGACGTCTCGTAGACCCTGGAGGATCGCGCTGTGGCGTGAAGGACGGCATCGCATTCGACGGTGCCGCTCCGACGACGCGGTTTGAGCTGACTTGGATCGCGTTGCAACTGTTTGGAGAACCCGCCAGCTGCCAGTGATGCTGATTGGTTGACGTTTGAAGAGATCACTTCAGCAACCCGGCTCTCAAACAACTTGGGCGGAGATACAGGTCTTGTTTCGATGATTTGAATTGAGGGTTGATCATTGGAAAAGAGGAAATTAAACCATTGGCAGAATGATTCTCATTGACGCTTGCAGGTTCTACAAAAGGAGCTGTTGCGTGCAAAGACGACTCGGTCTTTGTTGTCAGTAAGGTTTATTGTTTTCTTGGCTACCTTACCTAATTGTTTTCCGTTCACGTACGGAGGGGCGTACGGAAGGTGCTGTAGTACCATCCAAGTTAACTTCTGAAGTTCAAATTTATTAAGGCACCTGTGACCTGTCGTGGGCAGCACCTTCTGTTACAGTCATAAGGTCCTAGCTTTAGCTACCTGACCTAAGGCACACGAGAGCAGCGACGTCGGCCCGAGAAGGAGACAAGATCCAAGTACGCCAAGAAGACTCACTTCCAAGAGTCTTACTAACGTAGAGCACAGAGCAGATGATACCGGGCGTTTGTGGGTTAATTACAGAGGTATAATGTAATTTTTCGCCCTTACGTATTCTGGCCTTTGACCGTCAAAGTTAAAGTCGGTGACGTAAGATCGTATCGGTACCTCGCAGATTTGCCTATCTGTTAGTACTGTTTTAAGCTCAGGTGCCAAGCCCGGCCAAGTTGTGGGGTCGATTCGCAAGACATCAATTACCTACCCACCTTATTTAGCGGCAGAGCCTCCGACAACGACTGAGCTCTCTCCAGATCTGTCTGTTCTCCCATGGCATTCGATTGCAGGTGACACCTTTCTGCAGCGCTGGCTGCCACAGTATCACTTCACTAGGAACCTCTAGTACTTGGGTGCACGTTTTCCTACGGCAGAGTACGATTGTCATGGTTCGACGTTGCATCCCCGCCTTCGCAGTGCGGGTAAGCTTCTTAGTTTGTGTTAAACCCCAGCCGGGAATCCCGTAGCTCACTGCTGTGCCTCAGGCTTGTGTCTGGCCGCGCTCTAGGCCTCTTCGCCCATCACCAGCATCCCTATTTTCGGCATCTACGATATGTTGGCCCGGCGCTCTTGCGCGAGGATACGGGACGACGCGAGACGGCGACAATGCTGGCGCCGATGAGAAGGAGGCCCGGGAAAGCGCACAACACGACGTGGCAGCAGACGTCGCTGCGGATACGTCAAGGAAAGACACCAAGTCGGCTCAGGCAGTGGCAACGGAAGCAGCGAGCTCGTCAACCTCCGGGTCCTCGGTTGTTAGTGACATTCAGGACTGGGAGTACAACCCAAACCTCAAGATCGAGTCATTCAAAGATCTGCCCCACGCCAACTTTGGCGTGAACCAGCACATCCCCTTCGATACTGAATTCAAAGAGGTTTTGAAGGCGATACCCTGGCAGTTTCGCGCCCCGATCCGCTATGCGTTCGCCTACGGTTCCGGCGTATTCCCGCAGTCTAAAGCCAGTGGGAGGGTCCCGACCATGGAGGAGATTCGCGCCGTCCACCCGAAGGCGCCGCCCGCTGTCCAGAGGGCTCAGGACGGCACCCCAAAGATGATCGACTTTATATTCGGCGTCTCGCACACCCAACATTGGCATTCACTCAACATGAAGCAGCACCGTGACCACTACTCAGGTCTTGCGAGCCTCGGATCCGGCGCGGTCTCGTATGTCCAGGACAGGTTGGGGGCCGGAGTCTACTTCAATCCTTACGTTGTAGTCAACGGAATACTGATCAAATACGGCGTCGTGCAGCTGGGCACGCTGGAGAAGGACCTGACACAGTGGGACATGCTCTACCTGGCTGGGAGGCTGCATAAGCCGGTCAAAATCCTGCGAGACGATCCGAAAATCCGGCTAGCCAACCAGATGAACCTTTTGTCGGCCCTGCGAACGGCCCTGCTACTACTACCGCCGAACTTCACGGAAGAGGAGCTTTACGGGACTATTGCGGGTATCAGCTACCTCGGTGACCCGCGTATGGCGTTGCCCACCGAGAACCCACGCAAAGTGAAGAATATTGTGGGCCATAACATGCCCAACTTTCGGCGGCTCTACCTTCCTCTTATTCAGACGCTGCCCAATGTGGACTTCAAGGATGCCGTCTTCAGTACGGAGGACTGGATCTGGGACGATACTAAAAACCTCCGGCTCGCGCAGGACATGGATCCGGTCAAGCGCGGCAACATGGTGCGACGCCTCCCCAAGGCTTTCCGCTCGCGGCTCTACCTCCAGTATCAGAGGAAGCTGGCCATTCCGCAGGATGAGTTCAGCAAGATGATGGAGGAGAGCGAGAAGGAAGACGCCATCGCGTTCAAGAGACGCGAGGGAGGCGGCTTCGAGCGGCGCATCGCCCAAGATGATCCCGCCGAACTGCGCCACTACATCCGCACCGTCATCAAGCGGACCATCAGCTGGCCGGCCACGACACAGTCCCTCAAGGGTCCGCTTACCAGCGGGTTCAGCAGGACGTGGCGGTACCTGAGGGAGAAGATGCATAAGTACCGGCAGGGTCGTGAGGCCGAAAAGTCCAAGGCTGCGGAGGAGACGAAAGACGGGAGTGAAAAGTAGTCTTGATCTTCTGCTGAACTTGTGTTGATGGTAACAGACATGGTTGACTAGCCAGTTTCAAACATGTCTTTTGTACTGTACATAAATAATATCCATGGCATGGTGATGGCACTGGGAATAGGGATTAGAGGGTGATAGGCGTTTGTTCTGTCTCTTTGAACATCCAGAGGTTTCGGAGGTCAGCCTGCAGTGGCGAGCCCGAATAGACCCCGCCACAGTTGTCCTTCGCAGACACTGCTGACTCACGGTTACGGTTGTGAAAGTAAAACGTGCATTCAGAGGGCGGGTCTGAGGAAGATGTGGATGAGTGGTAAGATGGAATGCCTAGAAGAGTCGTGTCCGTTACTCAAGCCTGGCAACCCTCGAGAAGACGCAGTGAGATGCAAGTGGCTCAGACAAGAACAAATCAATTAAGAGCACCCAAGCTCCAAGCCTAGCTGAGCCGAACAGTTGTACCCTGCTGATCTAAACAGAACCCAAAACAACCCCAAGTAAACGGTTATTCAACGACGCACCCGTCCATAACAGAAGCCAACAACCCAATACAAGCAACACTTCAGTCGATGATAAGCCCCTCCAACACACTCAAAGCTCTGCATCCCTCCCGCTCAAAAGTCGACACCATCGTCTCACACTCATGCTTGAGCTTCTGCTCCGCCAGCCCTGCATTGTGGTAGATCCATTCCTCGACCGTCATCCTCTTCTCCGGGCTCGTCAGCTCGCTGCCCTTGCGCAACAGTCGCGCGACGCTATTCTCCTTGTCCGCACCCTCGTAACTCTTAGTCGGAGAGAAGAGCATGTCGAGATCAGCGGGTTGCCAGGGGGTGGTGCTTTGCAGTCCAGCAACAATATTGCGCCTTGAGGGGGAGTTGCGCAGGGGAGTCTGCTGCGAGACAGTGGCGAGCGCGACGCGCTTGGATGTAATGCTGGCTGCCGGCCTCAAGGCTGGCGGGCGGTTCTCCGCATCGGAGGATTGTGGCGATTGTGAAGGCGAGATAACCGCTTGGCTGGCGCGCCTCAACGGAGTCCCGCGAGCCCGCGGTGTTGCCGGGGCAGGGAGCCGGCTGGCTGATGATGGCGGCCCGGGATGCGCCCTTTCCAGTTTGGTCGGCGTTGGTACCACTGGACCAGACTTTTGGGCCAGAGCTGGAGATCGAGTCGAATTGGGGGGATAGTAGGAAGTGGCAGGAACTGGTTTCCTCGGAATCTTTCCAGGAGTGCTCTTTGGCGCCGACACCAACGACGAACGAGTGCGAGCCATCTCCGGCTGCGCAACGCTCGGGGCTGGCAAAACAGGGTACAAGTCTGGTTTTCCCTGTTCAGTGTCAACTTGTGAGGATGTTGACTTCTTCGACGGCCGCCCCCTCCCGCGCTTCTCGATGCTAGGGCGACTGGCGGGCTTCGTCACAACGGTCCCGGTGCTCACATCAGGGTCCTCTACTGGCTCCTGCGCTTGCTCCTGCTTTGGCTCCTCCACCTCCTCGTCTGCTTGCTTAAACTCTTGAACTGGCTCGGACGTGCCCTCTACAGTCTGTTCTACCGACTCAGACTGGGCCACTGGCGCCTTGGCTTTCTTCGTCTGTTTGGATGCCTTTCGAGTTCCAGCCGCCTTACGGCCCTTCTTGGGTACAACCACTGTCTCTGGTGCTGCAGGCTGCTGCACCTGTACTTCGACCCGCAACGCCTCAAATTCGGCGTCGATTTCAGCATCATCCGGCACCATCGGGGTAGGATCAAACATGGCATGTGACTCGCTTTGGCCCTTTCCACGTTGAGTGCTTGGTTTGCGCGCAGTAGCGGCCTTCTTGGGCCTTCCACGAATTGGAGCAGGCGGCTTTTCAACGGAAGCCCGTTCACGTTCAACATCAGTCTCGTAGCGCTCGAGATCGGCTTCTAATTGACGATCAATCTCGTCGTCATCGGGCGCGTCGGCGCGTAGGGGTGCGGTGGATGCTTGAGAGCTGACGGAAGCCTGCGAAACTTTGCGCGATCTCTTTGCCGTAGATGCCCGCGCTTTCTTTCCGGCCACTGGCTGTTTCATGGGGATCGCATCGACCATCTCGACGTCCGGAATGGAGGAATTGTCCGCAGCGGCGCTTCCTCTCACGCGCGTAGCCCTTTTTTTCGGAGCAGGCTCCTCGGCGTTGGTGGTAGCGGCATCCTCCATGGCGTCACTCGCACGCTTACGTCCCCTGGCCGCGCCCCGTTTGCTTGGCTCCTCCACCTGCGGCTCATCCTCCAGGATCTCGACCGGCTCATCATTCTTTGCTTTGGCTTTCCTCCCCCTACCAGTCGTAGCCTTGCCGCCCCGCGCCGTCGTCCTTTTCTTTCCTTGTGTCATTGTGGATGCAGTGGTCATAACGCTGTCGTCGTGCTCGGCCGTTAAGTCAGCAGCAGAAAGTAGATCGGATGCTGTTGTAGCAACAGTTGCGACAGATTGGACTGAAAGGCGAGAGGCCTTTGAGGTTCTAGCTCCTTTGGCCTTTCCCTTCTTAGGGGCAGGATACTGGTTGATAAGAGCAAAGAACGGGCAGCTTGGTTCGCGTTTGTAGTGCTCGTCACTGGTAGTGCTTTGGTCAGTCGCGCTCCTTAGAGAAACAGCAATAAAGGCACTTACAATGGAATGTCCTCGGATTCCCAACCTTCGAGTGCGAGTTCGCAGTATGCGCAGGTTACCATGTCATCAGCGTCGAGCGTTGGAGTGTATTTCCAGCCTCCCTCAACCAGCTGCAGTCGCGACTTAGCCGTGGTCCCACGCATCGAGGGGAGCGCACCTACCTTCTTCGTTTTGCACTTGAAGCCTTTCTTCGACTCGTATGGCCACCTTCCTGCAAACGTGGCCTTCCGCGCCTCGACCATGGCGGGGTCTAACGGATGCACCTTCCCATAATTTCCGTAGCCAGCTTCGATTGCCGCCATGATGGCCCACCCGCATGTTGGCGAGTGCTTCAGATGCTCCTCCACCGGGTTGTCGCCCTCCTCCCATCCATCAAGAGATTTGCCACAGAGAAAGCACACCACGTTGTCGGGGCTCTTGGGATGTGGCTCAAAAAAGAATCCGGCTTTCGCGAGCTAACTCAAGCGCGTCAGTAATGGCTTTCTCCCAGTCGGAGGATTGGCATCTTACCGCGACCGGGGACAGCGCCTTGTGCGGCCAGTGCAGAGCCTTGGGCGCACGCGACGCCGCGCTTGTCGCCTTCCCGTGTGCAACGGGATGAGGGCGTTGGAATGAGTCCAGGCGATGCTCAAAAACGAAGAATATCTCGTCGGAATCCATCGCCATAACGCTTGTCGGGAGCGCGTGGGCTTGTGCAGGCTATGTTTTGGTTCGCGCAACTGAAACGGCAATGCGATGGCAATTGAGACGCGCTTATTGAGTAGACTTGGTGGGGTATTCCATCTAACGGAGCACTGCGCGGTTGATGCACGATTAGATGTCGCGAATGTAAAAGGCAGAGGCAGCTCTTGCTGTTCTTTCTGCTATCAATCACCGCTCTTGTTGGACTTGGGGGGGTGTCGCGGGGAGAAAGTAGCAGCAAATCGTGATGCGGAATGATGATTGGACATTTTGTGCCTCGTTTGTTTACTTCCCCCCTGTCAGTGTTTGAGGGTGGGACTAATAGCTGAATTCAAGTGTTGTGGCGCCGCGCGCCAGATCCAAGATCTTGCTGATCCATTATCTGTGCCACACCCTAAGCGGCATGCCTCGGTAAATTCCAGATTCAGGGTTAGGGCTATCAAACCTACTCCATCCTCACAGCACAGAAACACTGCATCCTGCGAACCATGGATGATTCGGGACAGTCAGGTTCATCGCGACTCGATAGTAACTATATATCTACCTAAGGATGCGAGGTATGAGTTCCTAGCACCTCCAGGAAGCTACTGAGGCCAATGTAGTCCCCACGGACCGAATAGAACTGAGCGGGTGAACGCGGAGTCTCAAAATTGATGAAGGAGGTGTGAGGACCTCATCTTCGCGGATGGTACTACTATTACCTTTTGATATTTGCCAACGATCATCTGCGGCCAACGAGCGGCAAGGACTGTTAACCCCATAGGGCCCATACCTCTTTATCTCCCCGTGGGCACAAACCCTTGCTCGGCCACCCCGGAGTCGAGTTTGCCTCACAATTGGTGAATGAACACGCGACAACAGAAGGCCTCTTCCCGAAGTCCACCTTCAAGTCCACCGCGGTGGGGTTCTGACGGTAGCATTCAGCGCCGCAGACGGAGAGTTCGTCGAGGTGACCCCATGTTGACACACCGATTTTGCGCCGGCATTTCGTACTTCCCAACACGGGACCGACGGTGGGAACCGTTGGTTGTTCTGGCTTAGTCAAACTCCAACTACCGGGGCTTGTTGAGCTTGATCAGCTAGCGCTGCATTCCCGTTCCTGGTTTGCAGATTCGGCACGAATCGCAATGCAAACGTACCATTGAGAGGCGGGATGACCGGGTTAACGTCGGCTTACCATAGTTTAACCAATGAGGAGAAGGGACAAAGTGACCAAAACTCCACAATTTTCGTCATGAACGCAACGTCCATCAGAGTTTCACTCCTGTACCCCCGTGCAGCAAGTTCTTTCGCCCCAAGCCCCGCCATCCTTGCCACGGTCCACCTGTCCCGAATGATTACACCGAACAGAGTCCGGAATTCAAGAAAGGGATGGACTTGAGGCTCGAACGCTGTCGGGTGGCACGTGGAACATTGGGAACCCAGTATGAACACGGCATGACGCAGTATGGGTGTGGCAGGATTGGGATTGGGCCGGTGGCAGACCTAGTAATACTTACGCTACCTACTTTGGGTATTGGCACTCAGGCATGTCAGGTTGGGAGTCCTGGGACGGACCACGGAACATTCCATTGCGTGGACGGCGGAAGCCGTTGGACCGATAGGACCGACGAACATGAAAACAAGACGAAGTGGGCATCCGCGGCAAGGATATGGCCGACAGCCTCAAGTCAACAATGCCTATCCAGGGCCGGGTAGCCTTGCAGATCTTTTAAAGGATCACGCCTCCCGCATCTGCAGGCTACCCTCACCAACCTACCATTCCTCTCTTCCCATCCTCGACATCAGGTGACCGTTCTGTGAAGAACACGGACCCTGTCTCGTCCCGGACACCAGCCCCCTTCATAAGGTCAGGCCCGGTGGGAGAATTTGCCTTCTCCGTATCAACTTTTCCTCCACTCTCCACCCAGTCTCCGTGCCTCGCCTATCCTGACTCAACAAACCACGTTACGTACCGGGTATAGACGAAAGTGACAAGACAAAAGACCTTCCCAAACATCAAACCATAATGGACGCCATCAGCCCCGCCATGGACCATAGTCCATTGGAAAAGAAGAACGACGCTTTCGGGACTCTGGAACCACCAGTGCTTGCCCCATCCTCTGACGATGAAGTCGGAGAAGTGCGTCCTACCAATGTGGACTACGAAAAGCAGAAAGCAGCTGAGGGCGAGGCTCATTTTCACCGGCTTGGCTGGAAACGCCTCACCATTGTGCTGATCGTGACCGCTGTTGCCCTCGGTGCTCTCAGTCTTCCGGGTGCCTTTGCGACCCTGGGCATGGTGGCCGGTGTCATCCTCACCGTTGGAATCGGTCTGGTCGCCATGTACGGCAGCTATGTCATCGGCCAGATGAAGCTGAAATACCCGCACATCTCGCACTATGGAGAGGCCGGCGGGATGATGTTTGGCAAGTTCGGATACGAGCTCGTCAGCATTATGTTTGTCCTGCAGCTCCTATTCACGACCGGCTCCCACGTCCTGACGGGCGCGATCATGTTCGGCAACTTGTCAAACAACGGCGCGTGCACAGTCGTCTTCACGGTGGTCTCTGCCATCGTGTTGTTCCTGGTCGCGATCCCACCCAGCTTTTCCGAGATGGCCATCCTCGGCTACATCGACTTCGCGTCAATCATCGCCGCAATCTTCATCACCATCGTCGCCACTGGTATCCGCGCCGGTGAATCGGTCGGCGGTCTCTCGTCTGTGGCGTGGAGTGTATGGCCGAAGGAAGATCTCTCCCTGGCCGAAGCCGTCATTGCCATTAGCAACATCGTGTTTGCTTACAGCTTTGCGCTATGCCAGTTCAGTTTCATGGACGAGATGCACACGCCCAGGGACTTCAGCAAGTCCATTGTGGCGCTAGGCGTATTTGAGATCATCCTCTACACCATCACCGGCGCCCTGATCTACGCCTTCGTCGGCCCAAGCGTTGCGTCGCCAGCCCTCCTATCTGCTGGCCCTCTCGTCTCCAAGATCGCCTTCGGAATCGCAATCCCGGTCATCTTCATCTCTGGCAGCATCAACACCACGGTTGTAGCGCGCTACATCCACGGACGGGTGTACAAGAACTCCATTACACGCTACATCAACACGCCCACGGGCTGGGCGACATGGATCGCCCTGGTCGCCGCCCTCACACTGGCCTCGTGGGTCATTGCCAGCGCCATCCCTTTCTTCTCGGATCTGCTGTCCATCACCTCGTCGCTCTTCGTCTCGGGCTTCACCTTCTACTTCCCGGCAATCATGTGGTTCATGTTTATCAAGGAAGGAAGCTGGTACGAGGGCCGGAATCTGATCCTCTCGGCTGCCAACGTCCTCTCGTTTGCTGTTGGTATGATCATGCTCGGCGTTGGGACATACGCAAGTGTTTGGGATATTGTAAGTCTTTTCTTCGGCCGCATCGACTACAGACAATTGCTAACACGCCACCAGAAACATCGGTACGAGGTCGGGTCAGTCTCAGACCCATTCAGCTGTGCGCCTCTCGCATGATGCAGCGACGACGGCCCCTTTCGCATCTTCAGGGCTAGGGAGTTCGGAGAGCACGGACATGTTCGTTTGAGGGGGGGACGCACCATAGAGTCATTCGGGTAATGACACGCTGGTCGCTGCATGGTCTTAATGATGGGATAGACGATAGACTATGATGGAACTTCTTATGTACTGGAGCATGGGGAGGAGTAGGTGGTTTTTGTCGTCGTGGTGTTTTGGAGTCTGTATCTGATGAGCTCCCGTCTGGGTCGCTTGGTTTTGTAGCATCAACACACAAATACATGTATTGTACATAAAAAATCTCGCAATCTCTCACTTGCTCGAGTTACAGCGTACCTGTGCAGATACTGCATCTCCCGTCCCTTCCTCATTAATCAAAGATGCAGACAGAGGAGGGTAGGTTAGGTACTCGTATACAAAGGCTCAAAAGTCACGATCGCACATCACATGGTTTTCGCGAAAAACTTGGGTTCTGGACGCTTCCGTCAAGAGACGAGTGAAAGCAGAATTCTCACAACATCGCCGACTCCGCAAACGCAAAAGAGAATGCCCAGTAACAGGATTGAACTGTTGACCTTCGCATACCACATACAGGAGGACCGGTATTAGTACGACGCTCTAACCAGCTGAGCTAACCGGGCTTTGGTGCTTCTACAGCAATTTTTTCATGTCCATAGCCCGCAAGTCCTAGACGCGTGATGGCAAGAACACCATTTGCATACCACCAGCCTTGACTACACACGAAAATGCGAATGATGAACACAAGCGCCTTGGATGATGCCAGTTCGTTACGTGTGAGACATGCAAGGTAGCGTCGATAGCGAAGGCGTTTAGCTACCTTAATAGTGTCTGAAGCTGCAGCACACAATTCGACCTTTACAAGTCAGATATGGTTGGGAACATCTAGTCCGCAAGCCCCAACTCCTTGTAGAATGCCTCCGAGCTGGGCTTTCGGCCCAGGAACTGTTCCAGCGTAAGCATTTCATCCTGCGACCCGCCCTTCTCCAGCACCATGTGCCTGTAGCGACGGCCCTGCACGGGGTCCATTGGGTTGCTCTTGAAGACCGTGTAGAACATGTCGGTCGAGTAGACCTGCGAGGAGAGGTAGCCATAGTATCCTGCGTCATAGCCGCCAATTAGGTGGCCGAAGGTAGCCTGACCGTTGCCCCATGTGCTGCAGGAAGTTACTGTCAGTAACACATATCAAACGCGAGATAGGGGGGAAAGGCCTGAAGGGCTCACCTGGGCTCGCCTAGCGCCTCAGGTCCCTTGATCTGGGAAATCTGCACGCGCAGGTCGTTGTAAAGCTTGCTGACGTCCATCTGCTCCAGCTCCTCGTGACTCTTGGGCGTGTGGACGGTCATGTCGAACAGACCAAAGTGCAACTGGCGCAAGTTGAAGAGAGCGTCGTTGACGTGCTTGGTAGCGATCAACTTCTCGATGAGATCGTCCGGGATGGGCTTGCCCGTCTCGTAGTGGCTGCTCAAGCTCTTGAGTTGGCTGGGCGTCCAGCACCAGTTCTCGAGCATCTGAGAGGGCGCCTCGACAAAGTCTCGCACGGTCGCCGTCCCGTGGTAGCGCGCATACCTTGTGCGACCTGCCAAGTCGTGGATTCCGTGGCCCAGCTCGTGGAAGAGCGTAACTACCTCGTCATGCTTGAGAAGCGACGGCTTCTTGTCCGTGGGCTTGCTGAAGTTGCAGACAAGGGCGGTAGCCGGGTACCGTCTGGTTCCATCGGGCTTTAGGTAACCCGGTTGTAAGCTGAAGTTGGCCGCATGGCCGTACTTGCCAGGACGGGGATGAAGATCCAGGTAGAGGTAGCCAACGAATCCATCCCCTTCGCTCGCATCGTCCCACACACTGAAGATGATAACATCCTCGTGCCATGCGATATCCTCGGCCTTTCCGGTCGGAGAGATGCGCTTGCGGTCCTCGGGGGTCAGTTCGACAAAGACCAAGCCGAACAACTCCTCGAAAATGCGCAACATGCCAGCGACAGTCGACTTGAGCGGAAAGTACTCGGCAATGGCGTTTTCGTCGATGCTGTATTCCTGCTCCACCATCATCCTATCGTAGTACCTATGGTCCCACAGATAGTAGTTGCCATCAAAAGGTAGATTGCGAGCTTCGTGGTCCTTCTTCTTCAGCTCCAGAAGGTGCTCAATCTCTTTGACGCCGCCCGGAGCCAACCGAGTCTTGAGATCGCCGAGAAAGTCCAGCACCGTCTTGGGCGTCTTTGCCATTTTGTCCTCGATACGGAACGAGGCGTGGTCGGCGTAGCCCAGAAGACGGGCAGCCTCGTCACGGAGGAGGATGGCCTCCTTGAACAGGGGCACGTTCTGGTTACACTTTAACACACGTTAGTTAGAGTGGCCACTACCTCATAACCAAGACGGCGAGCATACCTTATTTTCGTTCTCGATGAACACCCTCCGGCGAGTTTCGGGGTTGTTCGCGAACTTGAGAGTGGGGAACAGATCAGGGTACTTGAAAGTCAGCCGGAGCTTGCCTTCATTCTCGCCGGTCCCCTTCTCCAGCGTATCCAACACGTCCTGCGGGACGCCATCAAGCTCCTCCTCGGTAAACCAGAGGCCGTTGTTCTCCTCATTGAGGTTCTTCTGAAACTCGATCTGGATCTGACTGAGCCGCTTCTTGATCTCCTTGAACCGGTCTCTCTTCTCGCCCTCTGGCAATCCTAAGCCGTTCCTGATGTAGCTTTTCCTCTCCTTCTCCAGGAGCCGGGCGCTCTCGACATCCGCCAGTCCAGCGCTCTTGGCCAGAGCAGCGTCAATCAGCCGGTCCTTGTCTTTCTCGGCGCTGTCCGAGAGCCCGGATTGCTTGTACACAGCGTCGACCAGGCGGAACACGTCCTCACGCATGCTGCACTCGATGGAGAACTCATCCATGATCTTCTCGGCTTCGGTGCTGGCATCCCGCAGGGCGCTGTCCCCAGAGACATATTGGTAGAAGCCGAGGATGCGCGCACTGAGCGAGCTCACGTTCTCGTCCTCGGCCTGCGGTCGGATCACGGAGTCAAAGGTGGCAGCGCCAGGGTTCTCGGCAGGTTTGATGTTGGCAACGAGGGAATCCAGCAGCGAGCGAGTCTTGTCGCACAGAGCCTTGGAATCGGCCACGATGCTCTCCTTCGTGCCCGTGAAGAGCGGCGGGGGCTGCGGGGGGTTGGCATACTTCGCCATGTCGACGGTAGGAGCGTGTGCAAAGATGGAGCCTTGCGTTGAGTATGTGAGCGAACCCAGAGGCGGTCGGGCGGTCGAGACAGCAGTGAAACCACCTCCCGGAGGTCTCTGGTGGTGTTTGCTGTACTTGAGCTGGGTGAAGAGGGCAGAAAGGCGGGGGATTATGCGTGGGGCAGCCAGGATGACGGTGGATGCCGAGAAGAGGAGGAGTGACAGGAGCAGCAGGAAGACAACCTGCCGAATCAAGGGGGCGGGAAGCGCCAGCGTGACGACGAGGGATGGCAGTGAGGACCGCGGGGTCCAGATGCAGAGCTCAATTGCGGGGAAGGTGGAAAGGACAGAGAGCGGGACAGCCGCCAGACAATTGTGCAGCAGACCTGGGGGACAAAGCAAGACCAAGGGCGGCAAGATCGGGAGCCTGCAGATGGGACTCTGTGATACGCCCACTGAAGTATAGTAGGTGGCTCTAGGGATGTCTTAATTGAAGGTGGTGTCGTTTTCAGCCTCAATGGGCAGCCGTCGCAGGTGATGAAATGGCACGATAGACCGGAAGCTCGGAACGTACCTTGGTTTCTTGAATACTACGGAATAATACTGACAGTGGAGGTGATGCCAAGTCTTAGTAGGCCGAGGAATCCAGGAGCCCGTCGCATAACCCGGAAACGGCAAGTGGGAAAAGTCTCGTACAACTTATCAATGGCCATACTAGTGTAAAATGACTTCCCATTGCTGTCAACCTTAGATGTCTACCTTTGGTACCCTATTCCGAATCCTGGATAGCACAACAGCAATACCAATCCGGGGGCCCCAGTTCCAATACAGCCCAGAACACACAACGACTCCAACGCCAGTCGCCCATTACGCAACCTATGCAATGCCCTCCGTGATCATCATCTCGTAGACCGGCTCCCTCTCAGAAAGGTGCCGCGCCTCTCTCATAATGTCCCGTCTCCATATCGTCTAGTTGGAAAGGACCGTCCGAACAAGCTCTGTTTGAACAAAGGCGTCAGCAAACGATCTCGGCCAGTCCCATTGTGCTGGGAAATAAGACCTACCTATGTAATTCACCTGCCCAGAGCTGGTATCAACAGCCTTGAGCAGTTCGTCCACCTCCTCTTCCGACATCTTCTCGCCCAGGTTCGTCAGGATGTATTTAAGCTGGCCGACGCCGATGAAGCCTGTCATGTCCTTGTCGAACACCTGAAAGCCGCGACAGTATTCATCAGGCTCTCCGGGATCGCGGAAGCCACCTGGCCGGTTGAGGATGCGCTGGAACGTCTCAAAGTCGACTATTTAGGAGATGTCAGCTGCTGTTTCCGTCTCGAGGCACAATCAAGCACCCAGGTGGCGTAAAGAGTCCTCACATTCACCACCAACGCTCTTCTCTAGGTCCCGGATCTCGGTCAAAGTCGGATTCTGCCCGCAGGCGCGGAGGAGATCGCCGAGCTTATCGAGGACGACGCGACCGCAGCCGCGCGTATCGAACAGCGAGAACGCCTCCTTGTAGTTGGTCGAAGCCTGTGCGTCGTAATGGTTAGAAGCCATTGTATCTTCTCTGCGCTCTGTAGTAGGGAGACCCGGCAAGTTTCGTCGAAGCAATTGCTGTGATCGGGAATAAAACAGCAGGAGGAGAGCCAAGGCAAGGTTGTTTGAGACAGCGCGCGCGAAGCAACAGATGCCGTCAAAAGTGTGTATAGAACGTTCGCACTTGCTGCGGTTCCTCGCTTGTCCCCCACTTTGTTTAGCTGCCAGGCGCTGTACCACGCCTCTGCGCTAACAGCGGGCCAGTTCTGATGGTCGATTGGCTTTCCCCTTCGGACTGTTGACCCAAATGCGCGGCATGTTTTGGATGTGCTAAGATGTACTGCTCGTCGGGCTCACTCACCATTGTGTTCTTGAATCTGAGATATGCGTGGTTCGAGACAGAAACCCTATGTTGGAAGCGAGGGAGGAAACGCGGTGTGGGAGAATTGGGAACTCGGGGATGGGAGAGTTCTGGGGCTTTGATGGGAAGCGCCCAAGGAGATTCTTGGCTGTGGCCCCACATGTTCTGACTGTTTTCTTGAGCCCCGCTGTCGCACCGGGCAACCGCACATCCCCTCATGGCGCCGGGAGCCCTTCCCGTTTCCACGATGATGATAGCACAAACAGGCAATGAACCCCGACAGGCGAAAGAGGGACGCCGCGGAGCGCCGGCCCTGTCTGTAGCCTAAGAAACAAAACCTGGTTTAGGTAGTGATGTTTATTGCTGAATGACACATATGCCTTCATACGGTTAGTCCTTTTCAGGCTTCCTCCAACCTTTCTAGAATCATGCAGAGGCCATGAGCCGTTTGCCGGTCAGACAACTCTGCCTACGGGACACTTCGAAGGCATATACGGGACAAATGGAGACATACCAACAAACTCCGCCCTATAGATTCCTGTCCCCAAGCCTGCAATCACGGGACCAATACATCTCAATTGCATTAGGTATGACTAAAATCCGATGTAGTGGCACCCACATAGAGAATTTTGGGCATACGTTCTCTCACAAGTTTGGATACAACCGAGTCCGTTGTGGCAGCATAGGATTCCAAGGAGACGTATCGTTGATGACCTGGTAGTAAAAGTTGCTTGAAGGGAGTTTGATATCGGGGATGACGGCTTCGCTAGACTGCCCATTGCCAAACAGGTGGGGGCTATGTCGACTAGGACTCTAAGAGGCGGGGCCAGTGAGACACATACCATCATCCCCAAACTCCAACCCACCAAAGTGAGCACCTACAGGTCGTCACCGACGGTTCCTGCATGTAACGAAGTCGCGAGTTTACAGGATAGATGCATCGGCTGCGCCGCTTGATCACCCACGCTCACCCCGCATTTCCGTCTCCTTCTTCGGCAGCTTTGCCCCAGCGCAGAGTATTCCACCGTACAGTTCAACGGCATTCCAGATCTGCAGCCACAATGACTGCAAGCGATTCTACTCTACGGGATTTCTTCAAGTCACCCAAATATGCCGTTGTGGGAGCAAGTACCAACACGGAGAAGTTTGGGTACAAGGGTCAGTATGGGCTTTCTCTTGTGATAAGCTCTTGCCTTTTGGTGGCCTCCACGCAATAGCTTCACCCTCATCATCAACCCTGAAGTATACGCTCTTCATGTTCGCGTGCGTACCTTTAGACATATCCCGGGCGGTGCCGACGCCAGTTTTCAGTTTGCTTGGCCTAGTTCACTTGCGGAGGGATTGTGCTGACACGGGTATTTGATACTAGTCTTCCGGTGGTATGTTTCACCAAGAACTTGAATTTTCTTCCTCTCATGGTTTAGAGTCGCAGGGCTGGATAAGTCCTTCGCTCCTTTGAAAAATCCGTTCCTAAGGACCTCGATGATGGACAGAATCGCTGACGTTGCTGGCAAGGTACGTGACCCACAACCTGCCCGCGACGCCCGTCAACCCGGGCGCGAAGGCAATCGAGGTAGACGGAAGGGCGTACCCGACCGTTAGCTCACTTTCGGAGCTTGCGGGAGCAGAGGACACTTCTGTCTCCGTAATCACCCCCCCTCATGTGACACTCAAGACGCTCGAGGAGGCCAAGCAACTGGGCATCCAGTCTGTGTTCTTGCAACCTGGGACATTCAATGATGAGGTCTTGGCCTTTGCGCGCGAGAACTTCCGGACGGTGCTGGCAGGCGACGGCGGCTGGGGCTCGGAGGGTTGGTGCGTGCTGGTTGATGGCGAGCGAGGTCTCAAGTCGGCTGGAAAGCTCTGAGGGTTCTAGCACTTCAGTGCGCTTGACACAGTAAACCTTTACATTCGTCGCACAGTCTACCATCTGTGTGCGAGGAGACAGCTGCAGTGTACCGTGTATGGACAACGAATGGTTACCTAAGTTAGCTTAGTCAGCAGCTGCAATGACGTGAATGCCAGTCACGTGCTGCCGCGGAGGCGCCTCCTATCTAAGCAGCGAACGATCATACCTAAAATATACTACAGTAAGCGTATACTTGACCTACACCTTAAATGAGGCCCTTTATATCAAGGCTACTGTTAGCTTTTAGAGCACCTAACTTGTAAGTATCTAATATGAGTTAAGAAATGGTGTATTATGAAATAATCGCATGAATAATATTAGCCAGGAAGATTACAGCCTCTATGTAATGCACGGCACAGGCCAATTTGCCTTAATCTCTGATAAGCCTAGCCATTTAAACTTCCCAGTTTCCTACTAGCCTTAGCCGTTCCTTCTTACTTAAACTTTAATAGCATATCTGCCATTGACAAACGAGCAACTCAAACGAAGCTCAGAGACCGTAACACTGTTTGCTTTTCTTTGCTCATCTCCATCCCTTGGAGCTTTCCTATATTTTGCTATTCTAGCTTAGGCATCTTGCTATCTCGGAGCCTTTCAAGTCCCCCAAAGGCTTTTGCATGAAGGTATGTCGCACGCCTCGGGGGAACTCAAAGGCATTTTATGTATTAGTGTATACCTTTATTTGAATCATCAAAATGGCTATGCGTCTCGTTACCTTAGATTTCTAACGGCCTCTTAAAGTCAGCCAAGCTCGTTTCGATGGCAGACTCGGATGCGCAAGCCTCTTGGGCATGGGCATCTCAGCCAACTCCCTCGCAGCCATTGCCTGCCAATGAAGCAGAAGCGCCCAATAATAAGGCACAGAGCACCTCTCCCGCCTTGGCCCTTCACCTGCCCAGAAGTAACACGACCATAAATACTACCAGCCTATTGTCCACGACGCCAATCCCGCCCGCGGCAATCGTAGAGGCGGTCCAAACGGCCGAAAAGCTGGGTGCTACTACAGCTAGCGTAGCGCCTAGGCAGGATGAAACTACCACTCAGAAGCCCGTTTTCAAGATGAAGCGGACCGGTCTGGCAAGCCTACCACAGCTACTCACGGGACATGACGCTTCACTATCTCGCAGTCTCACGCCGACCACCCCGCAAGATTCTCCTCTGGAGCCCGAGCCAGCAAAGGTTGTCAGCGATATTCTGGCTCCGCAGGCGCAGGCTTCTCCAACGCCAGCTATGGATATCACTCCGTTGGATGGCACGCGCAAGACCAAATATGCAAATGATGAGGAGAGGAGAAAGGCCACTAGCCTTGCCTTGAAGCGTAGGTCCCGCTTACGACCAGTGCTTTCTTGGAAACGGCATGTATGCTAAAAGAGTGTGCACCCTAGAACGATGGGCTTCTGGTCGCATGGATCATGTCCACAAGAACCGGATCGATACGATGAGGCGCAAGCAAGAAGCAGGCGTTTCGATCGGTAGTCCAGGCATCAGCAAGCCGTCGGGACCCATGGGCGCTCCTAGACATTCTGAGAATGGCACAGCAGGCCTCCATGCTCTCGCCACTCTCGCGGGGCCGACCACGGCTCCGATACACCATGCTAGGAAACGAAGCATGGTTCTCGAGGAGCTTGCCCGCCTACTGGAAGACAAACCGGGATCGACCACCCCTGCTCCAACAAGCAATCATGAGCCCGGAGGAGCGGAGGGACGGCCACGGCGAAGCTCGGAATCGGATATTGAAATGGTTGAGACCAGTCCGTCGCTGGATCTACTCCAACCCGGCGACGCAGGTTACAGTGACAGTGATAGTGAGTTTGTAGAGGAGGACTTGTCCAGCCCCCCCTCGAGCGGAGGCGAGAGTGAAGCGGACGTCATCATCACCGGCACTTCTACGACTCAAAGCGGCCAAGGATCTGGCAATCAAGTCGAAGTACATGGCAACGCCGCAGAACTCTGGAACTATCTCCAGCCTTTCTTGACCCGTCATAAAGGGGCGCGAATACCGACGAATGGGTGGGTTCCGCAACTGATTACGCTTCCGAAAATTCGCGATCTGGACTGGAACACAAGCTGGATTGATACCCATCCGTACCTCGACAGCCTGCCGCGGGATATTTCGGCGATTATAATTCAAGCGACCGGAGACCCTGCGCCACAGCCGTGCACTCGCTGTGCCTCGGGTGCAGGACTCTTCCGTTCTTGCATCATGATATCTGCCAAAGCCAGTCGCGAGCCTCTAGGGCATGTATTCAGCTGCGCCAACTGCTTCTACCATTGGGGCCAGACGCGTTGCTCCCTGAAAGACTGGGGCAAGCGGCGTGCGGACCACATCTTGAGTGGCGGACCCGGAGAGCCGAATCGACGCTCTGGACGAACTGGGCCGCCACCTGGTGTGCTGCGTCAAGAGCTCGGCCTTGTCGACAACCATCAACGTCTACGAGCCCGGCACGACGCCCTTGAAGTCCCCGAAACCTCCGGACAGAGCGTTGAGAGCAGTAAGGTCGAGGAAACCGAGAAGATTGAAAAGCCAGAATCTGTTGTCGAGACTGGGATCAAAGAGGCGGAGCCGGGAAGGCTGTATACGATGTGGCCTGGTGAGAGAGTGCTCAATTCGATAGCTCAACCTCCGTCGAAGACACCGGTACTAATTTTCTATGCCAGATGAGAACGGACGACTTGGGCATGTCTATGGCGCATTGCTTCCTACCGGTTACCAGCTTGATGACACGATCCCTGGCAGGCCTTGGATCTGTCCTGTACGCACTTGTCGCAAGGTGTTTGCCTTAAGGATAATGCTAGGCTACCATTTTGAGGTGTGTGGACGAGTTTTCCATGCTCGATCCGTGCTTTTGCTTACGATCTACCACTAGCGTGCGCACTACGCCAATACCCTGAACGACAACGGTGACGGGACGTTCACTGTCAAGGGTGTTTACCACCAGAGACGGACGGGTATCGGTCGGGGTGGCAAGATCCTAATCAAAGCGCCTCCTGTTGTCGTCTCTAAAGACCCCGCGGACGGTAGCAGCCCTATGACAAAGCCGCAACTGCCCTCCTATCTCGCTCACACTCAGTCGACCCCGCTGTACGCTGAAGAGAAAGAAGTCGAAACCGACACGGAGACGACGCCGGAAGTTGGCGACCCTGCCGCCCTCTGGGCATATATTCAGCCGTACGTAACAGTTAGCAGGGATCCCACGCGGAGTAGTGTCATTAGACATCTCCTCGAGCTCCCTCGGCGGCGAGACGTGCAGTTTACCGGGAACAAGGTGTTCGCCGATGCGGAGACGAGAGACCTCGCAGCACTGATCATTCATATTACCGGAGATGAAGTCAGCCGGAAGTGCCGCAAGTGCAGGGGAAACTATGGTGTCTTTCGCGGCTGCGTCATTCTGCCGGAATCGGCACCCTCCGAGGTTAAAGAGCGCTATCCGTGCTGCGCAAACTGCGTATACCAAGGCCACAAACTGGAATGCAGTCTGTTGAACCGACAAGACCGGGTGTTATCCCAGAAGAAGACGGACGCCCTTCCAGTGAATGGAAGGATACCGCAAGTGGAAGAGGTAGAAGCTGATCGCCCGGAACCGGCGATGCTTGGACAGGCTACTACCGGCCACAACAAGGATATAAGTGCAAGGACTACAGGGGGACGGACCAGACCGGACAACCGGCTATCTCTCCCATCTATTCTGTCCTCGGGTCAAACAGCACCATCTTCTCTCATATCCCAGGGCAACTTCCAGGCGCCGGATGGTCTGCTCGAGATGGAAGACTGGGAGGTTGCCCCCGGCCGTATCCGAGAGACCTCCGCCGCCGGCCCCGAGAGTAAGTCCTGCTTCTTCATCTTCTTCATTTTTTTTTTCCGTAAATGGATTCAGACTCACCGTACGTCCACAGCAATTGCCTTCTCGAAACCGTACCTCTCGACCAGCTTAGCCGTCCCGGTCTGCGACGACGTCGCTTTCCGCATTGACACTATCTCCCCAGGCAGTGACCTGAGCTTCGCACCCGATCCGAATAAGACACTGCTCTGCTCGGTGGCCGTTGGCAAGGTGCGCGTCAAGGTTGGGACCGAAGCGGAGTTCGTCGTCGGCCCGCACGGCATGTTCAAAATCAAAGCGGGCACGGCATGCAACGTCAGTAATGGCCTGTACCTGGACGCAGTGCTGCACACAACCGTCTTGACCGGGTACACCTGATCTAGCGAAGCCAGCGGGCGATGTTTTGAGGGAGGTCGTTATGTATTACTAGTAGTTTGAAGAGGGAAATCTTAGAAAACCGTCACGTCGACAGCATTGGAATTAGGACAAAGTTAGTATTTAATAGACAGAGGATGATATATTAATTAATACTTTTTGTCGAGTCCATGTTCAGCTTTCTACCCTGAATGCCACTTCGATCCCTATGTGTAGGTGCTAGTAGTGAACGAAATGCAAGAACTGCGCGGTCTTGCTGCTACTGCGGTATATCCATACCCTTGGCAGTGGATTCACATATTTATTAATACCGTATACGGTATTTCCTTAATCACTTTTCGTCCAAGGCAGAAAGAAGTAGCATCATGTAATCGGAGCAAAGTTTCCGCCGCGTACCCATATGTAGGTATGTAGATATCAGGGCTTGGCGATCTGTCGTTGCGATGCCCACCCAATCCCCGATGACATCATTCATGATCATCATCAGCAAAGTGCATCATGTCGTCACACATTATGCCTTCCGACTGGTATATATGCAACAGTTATTGTCCCATGGTCAGTCTTATCTATTTTTGATCTAAGCAATCATATCTGAAATACCAAAAACGAATACGAAACTCGACGCTATTCAAAGATGAATCCCTCTTCCAGAACTCACCCCCAAGACTCCCACGTCGGCCCCAAGTCGACAGGAGGCAAGGCATCCGCAACCTCCACGCCCGCAAATGCCCACCTAGGACAAGACAAGCCCGGCATCTTTGACAAGGACGGTGCCGTGGGTCACCAGTTCCAACGTATGTGGTTTAAATCATAACAACTGAATGCCAACCAAGACAGCAAAGAACGAACCTCGCTGACCAGAACCGGGCACCGCAGCGGAGGGAGCCATTGGCTCAGTGGGCGAGAAGGTTGGAGGGCCGCTGAGCAGTCAGGGCATGATTGGCAAGCAATTCACAGACCAAGGAAGCGTCGGTGGAACGATCCAGTCAGCCCTTGGTGGGAAGAGCACGAAGTCGAACTGAGGATGTCGTCGACTCTGGATCACGGCTGAAGTGGGCGGTAGGATTTTGTTTTTGATTATCTGTAACAATACGTTCGTAATCCTAGATATCTGATCGCTCCCTTTTCCCTCGCTGACTAGATCATGCGCCCGATGTACGCATCTGCAGACAACTCGGATTTATTTTCTGACTGTTGATGATCACATTGTTACCAAAGCCCATGAAACAAGCGTTGATATCAGCTGGACTGATAATTGATACGTCCAGGACAGGAGCCAGCACTCAATACCGTAGTTTTTTCTCATCTTCCTCATTTTTAGCATTTCTTTTTCTCATCTTCCTCATTTTTAGCATTTCTTTTTCTTTTTCCTTCTTTTGCTTTACTTACTCTTCTCCTTTTCTTCTTTCCCCTTTAACTGTTTATCCACACTTTTCAAATTTCCGCTCAATTCGCTCGACTGAGCAGCAGTATCTAGAATGTTGTCGTCTTCCACTGAGACAACGTCTAGCGGAATCCGGCGCCTCATTTAGAGTCATTCTCAGTCCCGTCAAAGCCGGCGGATATGGACATGGAAAAGTGCACGCTATAGCACGGTATTGGAAGCGCAACTAGAAACAGGGCAGGATATTGTATAGTACTGTACACACACACAGACATAGAGCTGTTATAAAGCGCAGTGATGGGCCTGTGGAAGACGGACTCATCACCCAATCCCCGGTAGTTAGTCTAGAGAAAGAAGCAGGCCAGCTTGATCAACAGATCAGCTCATCGGGTTGAACCAATCGAGTGACATTGAAGTCCTAAGGGCCGAAAGATTCGTCAAAGAGAGTCTGGAGTATACCTAAAGCTATAACTCAATGGTACAGGTAGATTCGTGCCTACCTTACCGTGTATACTAGAGTTTCTTGCTCCTTACCTAAGGTAGGTACCTATCCGCCTTTCTGTCCCAACGACCCTACTGCGTGCATATGACCCAGTACACCACCAGTTTGACCCTAACACGAAAACCAAGTGACCCCCTAAGTCGCTCGCAAGCCTGGAAGGGATTTCCGAGTGTAGGAGGGTATAGTTCAGGTCGTAGTCAGATATCGCTTACTAGTTAAAACTTACTCTTAGAGTGCGCAGCCGGAATTTCTATTCGGTAGATGGAAGTTACTGGTACTTCAATCTACTTAAAGACTATGACTTAAATGGGTCCAACTATGGGATATCCGGGCCATTGAATGTTCCACGGGTCGTCGGCATCACCTTCCATGATTGGAAGTGGTTTGCTCTCATGCAGGTATTGTGGCAGGGGCATTTAATGCCTGACTTGAAGAGCAGGGTCTGCTCCAAAATCCCAATTTAAACACCAAAACGGCCACTTGCTCTATAGGGAGGAAGCATAGAGAAACTCAAACGTTCAGGTTATTGCGAGATGTTTCATTCCATACGCCGAATCAGTTCTTTTCGCAGTCTAGAAGTCGTGTTGTTACGGTGTTGAAACCAGACTCCCTGTCGCAAGTTCGGCGTTAACCTTCGTTTATTAGGGGCTCGATAACGTTACTCCGTATGCGGTCCACTTTTTGCAATCGTCCCCTTGCATTCAAGGTCGAGCGCGCTCCTTTGTTGCATTCATGCAAGCGCCAGTATGTCCAGGGACTATGCAACCAATCAGGTCACGCGCTGCAGCTGCAAAGATCCGCTTTTTCAGCTGGCAACCCGCATTCCAGCCTTTTCATGCTTCAAGCCCTCGAGATGTCCCCCGTCGACTCGAACACCAGGCTTCAGTACAACGATCACCAAGTTCGATTACCCCCAACTCCTCATTAAATACCAAGCCTCGCAATCCCCAACCCGGGGTATTCAATTGCTAAGAGCAATATCCTCGCCTCGCGCAACGCGCTGGTGAGGCACGCTCCGTCGCGTCGCCATGTCGGCCGAAATAGTGCCCGAGGCCGTCTCCACGCCGCCGCCCAAGGAGCGGCACTCATTGACGCTAGACCAGCGGCGAGCCTTGCGACGCTGGGCGAGCTCGCAGCCGGTGCGGCCCAGCCACAAGGCCTGCATCGACTGGTTCCAGAGCCAGTATAACCAGACCATTTCGCAATCTACCGTCTCCCACTCCCTCTCCCCCAAGTACGCCCGCCTCGATGGCGACACCCAGCTGTCGGGATCGCGCCTTCGCTTTGGTAACTGGCCCGATGTCGAGAAACTCGTCCTAATATGGTACCAAGGAATGGTGAATAGCGGCCGACATCCTTCCAACGAGGAACTGGCCGAGAAAGCGAAGGCCATCTTCACCCAGCTACCACGGTACAAGGATGAGAGCCCGCCGGAATTCTCGCCCGGATGGATCCACCGCTTCAAAAAGCGCTATGGCTTGCTGGTTAGACGCCAGCGCCGCCACGGCAGCATCCAGAACCCAGGCGAGGATATTCCCTACCTTGTTGATACTGTTTCGCGCTTAATGAACATCACCCCCGATGTCTCTCCGGCGGCCGTCCGTGACACGGTCCAGCGCGTCGTCGGCATAGAAGCGTCCCTTGCCGTCTGCGCCCGCGTGCGCGACGAGATCGTCCGTCGATTGGATAACGGACAGCCATCTCCAAACCAACACCCGAACGCAGTCCAACCTCCCGCCGGCGAGCCGCCCATGTACACCGACGAAGACCCGGAGCTAGCCTTACAAAACGCACTGCGCGTCCTTCAGCAGGAGGAGGCCGACGCCGAAGCACAAGCCGCAGCCGAGCGCGAGGCGCGCGATCGCTCCGAGCATGGACTTCCTCGACTGGGCGCCATCGCGGGCCAAGCATACGCGCAGCAGGCCGCCGCGGCTGCCAACGCCATCTCGACACCTGTCAGCGCAGCCAGGGCAAGCGTTGGGCCGCCACCAAGCGGAGCCACGAGTTCATCTCAGCCGCGCTTCATCCCGCCCACGCCCCAGCCTGCGGGGTCAGCGGGCAGCGTCAACGGGGAGGACCTGACCCTGACGCCGATCCCAAGCGGTGGGCCCGTATCGGCCACGGAGCGGCCTGTGCGTTGCCCGTATTGTCTCAATCAGAGAATGCTGAGGACGATCAAGGAGGCGGTGGAACACATGTCGACGCATGTCATCGTGTAAGGAGGAGGAGGAAGCGGGCGTGGGAGCGCGTGGTGAAAAGGGCAAGAAAAACAAAAGCACACCGTGGCCGTTACCTATGATGCGGTGTTACCCACTGTCGACGACGCAGAACTGGAAGGGGCGAAGGACTTTGTTCAAGCGGCTGGCCATCGAGGCGGGGGCCTAGTTCGGCGTCTTCCGCCGCCATACGCTTTCACTTGGAGGCTTCCCGGATAGCCTTGCTAGCCACACGACCTGTCATCCTTACACAATGAGCTAGCCGACTGTTCTCTACTCCTAGGCTGCCTTGGCGAACAACGAGGACGTCTTCCTCGCGGTTTCCATTGTGTGTGAACCCTCTTCCTCTGCAATCCGGGCTCATGATTACGGCTATGGCGAAGAACCCCGAGGGACTTTCCGAGCCTTTCCTATTTTCTTATTTTGGTGTACGGCTGTACGAAGGCGTTTAGGAGAAAAGGGCACAACCCTGGAACAGGACGGACTGGTTGGAATGGGGGTTGTTCCGATGCAATTGTTTCAGGGTACTTTTCGCGTTTTAGTTCCCAAGCGGTCATTCCATCTGGTCCTGTGTTTTCGGGACAGTGTAAGGTAGGCTGTACATGCAATATACCAGTTATGCCATTCATATGGTTGCACCCAGAGTGCTGCATCTGCGAGCCAGATATCTCCTTACCGATTATGATGTGGCCGTATTCTCGCGGCTTCTTCCTTTCTGCGAAACATATCCGGCGTTGAAAATGGTTCTGACAGCGTCCGTCGACGCGGGTGCGATTGTCATGGACATTGTAGCGGCTGCACTATTACGAAAGCAACGGATAACTAGGACATGTCATTTCTTCACAACCTCTCATTGCAGCAAAAGAAGTGCCTCACACGCTGACCCAACCCATTCATCCATCATAACCCTAAAATCATACCGCATCCCATCCAACAATCCGCACCCCAATGACTGTTGCAGTCCGAATGCCCTCCCCGACTATGTATTTAGACAGCATTTAGCAGACCTTAACCGTCCATCTTGCCCTTCGAGACATATACATCGTCCACTCATCAAGAAAGTCCATTTCCTCCATATCACCCTTGGATAAGGTCAGCCCACATCAGGCCCTGTCTTCCCCCCACCCCACCCCGGCGCCCTTCTTCTTACCCCAGCTGACATTCCGCCCTCAACCCCTCAGCGACACCTCGGACCAGCGTCAGCAGCACTCGTCCATCGGTATCTGCCCGTCGCCGGAAAGAGCCATTAGCGCCCGCCCCCTCCCCCCCTTCTCAGCCCTAGTCTCGCAGGAGCAGTGAATTGAAATGAAAGACGGAAACACCAGTCGCACAACGGCGAAGAGAAAGGACAGAAAGGCAAAGTCGGGTATACTTTGACAAGAACACAGAAAGCAACAAGGAGCACAAAATGGTTCATTCAAACCCGACACCAGTGGAAAATAAAAAATTGAGATGCTAGAATTTAAAAAGGCCGGTATCACTCGACATAAACGAGCAACTTCTCGTTGCGCTGCAGCGCCAGATCTAGATCATTGTTGCTCATCAAAGGCGGCTTGTCGCCAGTTTGCTCGTCTTTGTATGACAGCTGAGGCTCTTCGCCGGGGGGTATCTTGAGCCGGTCAACGACTTTGTCGTAGAGCTCCGGGAAGGAGATGTCCGAGGGGACCTTGATGGCGATGATGTCGCCGTTGTAGCTCAGCTTGACCTTCATCAGGGCGCCCTGTTGCTGCATACCGGGCGACAGTGATGATTGGGACGGCTGAGACAGAGATGATACCTGTCGGCTCATGGGTGGCTGCCCGCCACCGCCACTAACTTGTCGCGGGGGGTTGCCGTAAACAGCGTTGCTGCCGCCGGGATTCTGCCTGGAGGACTGGTGAGACGCACCATCGGCCGATGAATGCTGAGAGCCAGCGGACAGCCGGTACTCCTCCTCGAGCGCACTCGGGTCGATCTCGTAGTCGCCTTCCCTCGGTGCAAAGAACTGCTTCACCAGAGTGCATTGGGAAATCTTGGGCGGCTGTGTCAGCAGGCTCTTGACGTAGGCATCCAGGTTATGCCGCCGGCCTTCCGTGATTGCATCGGTCACGTAGTTGACGGGTCCGGGCATGTACGGCAGCGTCCGCTGCCCTTTTCCGGCGGTGCCGGCCTCGACCGGGAATTCTGAGAGAAGGGCGATCTGGAAGTCGTAAAAGTCTTCGTAGTATCGTGCCAGCTCCCATGTCCTGCCATCTTCAAGCTCCGCTTCGATGACAAACCAGTACTTGTCCTCCGCGAAGCAATATCTCGGAATGCGGGCTGAGACTGGTGCCAACAACTGGGAACTTGGTGAGGAAGAAGGTGAGGTTTGCTGGATCGCTGTGTGTTGTTGCCATGCCGGGTGCGCCTGCGCCTGCACCTGTGGCGGCTAACAGTAACTTGTCAGACAAGGAAAGATACTCGGAAAAGGCAGCCGAGGTCATGCTTACCATATTAGAGCCTGGACCTTGACTGACCCGGCCGCTGGGCGGCTGGATGCTCATCCGCTCCATGCCCTGCTCAAGTCCCTGCGGCGCTGCGGCACCAGTCTCAAACTTGCCAAGCGTGATGCTCGAGTTCTTGTAGTCGGCGGCCATCTTCTTCCATTCCTCCACCTTAGGAATACCGGCCTTCCGCACGGCTTCTTGGGGGTTCGCGACCGGGGTGTTGGTCGCCATATCTCGAATCTCGACAAAGGACACGGGAATCAACCCGGGGCCGCCCAGCCTCCCAATCGGTTTCGCCACGAACCACTCGGGATTCGACTGCGCAATCACAATGATGGCTTCGCCCGCCTTCGCTTCCAGCTCGTCACCCCTCTCAGCTTTGAAGTCGTAAACAACGACTCCATAGACCATCGCACCGGACTTCCCCGCCTTCGAGCTCTGCCGGTTCACGGCCGGTGGGGACGTGGCTGATGGTGCTTCGCCATAGCCGGAGTCGTGGTCGGGATGCTTGTTGGATCGTGCACTATCCGGTTGGGACTGGCCACTGTCGCGCTCGTTACGCCCGAGAGACTGGAACAAGCTCACGGGAACTAGGCCACGGGCGTCGGGCAGAGCGGGATTGCACGCCTCGTACCAATCTGGATCGTTTTCACGGCCGATGACATGGAAGAAATCCCCACGCGAGAAACTCAACTCCTGCGGGGTCTGCGCCGTGTAGTCGTAAAGTGCCCGGATAACCTGTTTCGCATCCGGGGTTAGTGATCCGCTGATACCAGCAGGGAATGGCATCAGCGCCACAAAGTGGAAGCTGCCTGCGCACGGCGGCCGCTCTTAAAGATGATATCATAAGTGACCGCGAGCAACACACACCTTCTTGGGGGGCACAATGGCGACTGCGGACTTTTGCGGAATGCTGATATGCGGCTTGTTTTTCTCGTCCGCTTTAATGGACCTCCTCCCTATCCGTAAAGCCTTGAGAACACGCATCGTGGTTAGCGAACGAACCGAAATTTGCGGGGCGATGTGTAGTGTAGAACAGCGCAGATAAAGGAAGAAGAAATCACAAGAGGGGAAGCGCGCAGCGGTTTGCGTTTGCAAGCGATGAAGGTATCGCAAAAAGCCATCGCGTAGGACAAGACAGGCCAGCTCCAGCTCGATTGGTGCCTTGCCCATGCAGAGGCTAACCGGCGAGCGTACGAAGAAAGCGCGATATTGGCTGGTCGAAGAGCTAGCCAGAATGACGTACCTTCATGGTGTCAGATCGAGCCCTCAGGGCGACTCAGATGCGAACTCGAAATCGCAGGGCAAGACACGACACGGGAGACGGATGGAAAACTGCTCTCTTCGGCCGACACCTTCTGCGTCACGCGAGCTTGACGGCTTTTGGATCGGTGTAACAAATCGAGTTGCGCAGTCTTACTTTTGCCGCTAAGAGGGGTGACTGGGTGGCTTTTTCCCTCGTCTTGCGTGCTCGCAATTGGGTGCTCTCGAAGGCCAGGAAACAGAGGTTGCTGTCGTACCAGAGAGCGTGATGTTGGCAATGACCTCGGCTCGGTGACTCGATAACTTCGAGCGGTCGAATATTCCAGCACGGAGTTTGTCGGCTTTGCTGACACCACTGGAAATGTGTGTTGGTTCTCGTTGCCTGCAAGCGATCGTTTTGGCCGTTCTGTGCCTTTGTTGTCGACTCGTTCGGGTTAGTCTCCGAACTCGCGAAACCTCGCCCTTCTCCTTTGTTCAGCCGCACGCTTCAGCCTTCCGATTTGTCGGGTTGGTCGCTGTCGCAGTGTTGGCAAGGAGTAGATTGTCGTAGGCGGACGACGGGATTGCACAGAATGTGGGCGGCGGGGAGAGGCAGCCAGGGGTAGCGATTCGGTAAAGTGCCCCTTAAAGGAAAACGGCTGGAACTCTGGGGACTTGGGAGCCAGGACTGGGGTGGGCGCACGAGTCCAGGAAGGTGGTCGATGGCTGTCAGTGAGGGGCTTGGAGCAACGGGCAGGATTGGCGCGGCCGAAGTTGGATGCGGGCTAAATTGGCAGCAGAACAGGGGTGTTCACAGGCCGGCCCGCTTCAGTTGGGTCTGGTTCAAGTGCAGTTGGCCGAGTCAACATCGGTTGATGAGAAGGACCCGACGGACGGAAAACGAAAAACGTCATACAGATGCTGATACACAGTACCTACTGTACGGTGGAAGTTATGGATCTCGTGTCTACATTAAACTGTGAGTCACATGCCCGAAGTACAATACAGATGCACAGAGTCCCCAGTTGTTTGGGTTACAGGCGCGGGACCTTGGAATATCTCCGGCCCACCCAATGCATCGGCAATGCCCGTTTGCTGCAGAGGAATACCCGACGTACGGAGGTATCGCGAAGCGTTGATCTTGAGAAGATGGCAACTTGGAAATTGAGCTATTCCCATATAGATATATACATATACTAAGTCTAGTCGTCCAGCTGACGTTTCCAATGTAAATCTTATCGGTATCTCCATGCTAGAGCAGGCTCTTTTACAACTCTTCAAAGCCACTCGGAGTGGGATTTAACCCCAGCAATAGTATCTGAAGACGATCAGAGCGTCGGCATATTTCGTACGGATACATACAACGCTATAATAATAAGCCTGTTAGAAGAACCTCCGCTGGCATTCTTGCCGCCTCAAACCTGCAATATTTGCGAGCGCCTCAATCGCCGGTTGCCTGTCCTTGCCCGGTAGTTGAGACTCGCAGCATCTGAGGTGTAACAACCCCCTAACAGCTAACTGTCATATTGGGTCTGAGATTGATGAGAATGGACAGCCCATCTGAGATAGATGTAGGGGTTCTTCTCGTGCTGCCCTCAGACTCCTGACGACTCCATATCACTCTCAACTCCTATCCGCAATTGTGATCGTTATCGATACGAGATGGCGCCCCAGTCTTTCGTCGGTGGGTTTCCATCAACTTATGCTCATCTTCCACTACGGCCTGGTCTCGGTACTCCCTCCATCATAGCTCATTTCGTTTTGGGCTGTATTGTACCGACGCAAGAGATTTCTGGGTGAGCTTCCTGAAGGTGTGCTTCCCAGAACCGGTGGCATCGGCTTCTGCCACGTCCACGGTCTTCAATTTTCCATTGTTATCCTCCCTCCAGCCACGGTTCAGTCACTCCGGTTCTTTAGCAACTAGGCCGGTGCCTAGATCCTTCAATAGTGCGGCATTATGCATAACCAATCCGTAGGAGATTCTGGTCAATATCCTTGGCATCCTGCAGTGCCTGTCCTGCAGTGAGACAACCCTGCATTGCTGGCCGCTTCGGCCCTGGCGATCACCGGTTCTTGACCACAGCATTTTCTGCATGAACCTACAACGTTCGTCAAATGGGACGCCATGATAATACAAAGTAGCACCGAAGTGTGCCACCTAGTAGGTCAGCTTTTATCGCGTTCTCCTGTGCCAAACAAGCCCACCATGTTACATAAATAACGTACATTAGTACCTGGTATACCTGAGTACATCGGTTATGGGCACTGCAGGTACAGACAATCGAGCCCTTCCATTCATCAACTCTTCGAGGCTGGCAGGCAGTTAGCGCCCGCTGCATCTACGGAACCGTACTACTTGGCGCGCGCACGGCCAGGAACTTTGATTTGCTGACCTGAGCTTCTCACCAACTAATAATCTTGTTGTAAGAACTCAGGGCTTGAGGTCTTGTATCTCCATGGGAGGGGGATGACGATCCTCGACCTTACCGGGGCCCAATGTACATAACACAATCGGCATTACACCGTGAACCACCCGCTTCATGCACATTCTGGCGCCTCATCCATCTGCTTGCAGCGGGGTTCGTTACCAAGTTGCTTTTTCTATACAGCGCTCCAGTGGCCCGCGAGGCGCGGGTACGGCTAACCCCCGCGATGACGTCGTCCGAGCATCTCAACAGGCTCTCAGCATCCGTCAGGATCCTTATCCCCCTTCTCACATTGAGTCCATCACGTACTGTAGACACTCGGGCCTTGCCGATACGTTTGCCATGGCACGGTACCTAGTTTGGCAATCCAGTCCGCTCAGAAGCAACGCGCAGCAAAAGCAGCCGGAAAAAGAAAGCTTCCAAATTCCAACCAACTCGCAACATCATGCCCCCTCCGGATCACACAGCTCCCGATGCGCAGCCCACCAACACATGAAACACCTAGCCACCATGTCCACGGGTAGGCGAAAGCCCAGCCTGAAACGAACTACCTTCGGCGGGTGCATGAACTACTACCAATTTACCACAGTAAGCTTACAACTCGTGCCTTGACACCCAGACACCAACCAGCCCTCGCGAGATCCAACTTTTGGGTCCCATCTACGTAACACGTCAGGAGACAAACACCTGCCATATTTGCGCTAGACAGCTCTTCTGCGTGTGACAGGAGTACACAATCACGTGCCGTTGTCCATCCAACGAGTCTCACCCATCAGTACTACTGTAGGTAGACTCAAATCAGACTCCATGAATGAGTAGATCCTACGGTTTTTACGGGCCCCATAGAAAGGGTCAACTATGTTGCTTTTGAAATACAAAAGGCTGAGTGAGTACAGCCACAGCAAGCCACCAGATGCTGAACGCCAGAACCGCTCTAGCTCGTAACCTGGGAAGGTGTAGTGAGCCCGATCCGTCGACTAACTAATCCAAATGCTCCGCCTCTCGTCATGGGTATCATGCTGGTAACGGAAGTCCGTCCGATGGCGAAAAACAGAAAGGTGCCGCTACCGACAAACTCGGGATTCGAGGTGGCGATATGCCCTGGATGCGAACTTCCGTCGCAGCAGACTACTCCTCATGGCGGAAACTCGTCCATTGCCCTCATCGGGGTCGGCCTCTGGGGCATGATCCGCAACCAGGGTATGACCAAGTCTTGATTCCGTTTCGGCTTCTTGGAGCCGACAGGGAACCCAGCTTGCCCAGCCTTCCTGGAAGCGCTCGACGTTGGGTAGCGGGAAGTCGGTAATATGTATCAGAACAGAGCACTTCAGGGCCGAGAAAACGGGAAAGGGTTGGTGACAGTGTCGTCAAGCGCAGAGATCTCCAACAAGGCTTGTCGCCCTGCCGATGCGACGGAAACCCAGAAAAGAGGTGTCGGTGTGGCTAGCAAACCCACTGGGTGAAGCGAGAAACGATTACGCGGAAAGAGGAGAAGAAGGGTTTGCGCGGATGCGACAGGTGGGAGGCACCAATGGCGTGAACGAGGTACGTAGATCAGATCTGGCCTTTGATGTCGACGCGCGAGAAGGCTGCAGTGCGAGGGCCTTCAAACGTCTGGCCCGCTTTAGCAGTCAGGAACACGATGGTGTTGTTGCGCTCTTCGAGGAGGTCCTGGCCGCCATGGTCAATGATGAACTGTGCCGCCTCCATATCAGATTCGAAGTAGAGCTCTTCGGTAACGAAGCGTAGCGGCACGTCTGGTTTGTACCTGAGGCAGAGTTAGCAACTTGTACGCACCGAGAGGACTAGGAAGACCAACGCCCTGCAGATATTACACAACGCAGCTAAACGCTCTCGGCCGACAAACATGTCCATGAGATATGCGCCCATGTTGGGCGTCTCGTTGTAGAGCTGGAAGAATCTGTGGTAGTTGCCTAAGGCCAAGGCGGAACGCACGTCTAGGGCGTGCTTGATGGCCTTGTCCGTCTTTTCTGCAGCAGTTAGATCGGCCAGAGCGTTATTCAGCTCTGTGCGGTTCGCTGTGTGGATGTAATACAAGATTCGATACGCCTTGAACTCATTGGCCTTGCCTTTCAGACCCAGCTTGTACAGCGCCTTGAGCTGGGTCTGGCACTGATTGTACTCACCGAGATCCCCCTTTTCCAACGCAATTCGGGCATGAATTTCATACACCTCAACGGTGAAGTCATCCCGAATACGCTGGACTGTGAGATCCTGTCTCATGGACTTGAACTGGTCGCAAATGTACGAGTAATTCTGATCCTTCTTCCACCTCTTTTTGAGGAGCTCCAGCGTCTGGCGCAAGATGTGCGGAGGACGGACTTGAGAAGGCTTTGGAGCCGCGGTGAGGCGGAGATAGCGCTTCTCCAGATCTTGGCAAGTCCCAACAACCGGACCCTCGGAGGGTGGAGGAGTGTCTTCACGAAAGGTCTTGTACTCTCCGTCGGTGCGTTTCTGGCGCTTGTCCGCTCTGTTGAACTTACTTGTTTGTTTCGGGAGAAGCTCGTCGCTGGGCTGACGTTTGTCAGACGAGAAGGAGACACGGTCCTCAAGGCGGCCCGGCCCATTGCGCCAAGGCGGGGAGGTCGATGAAGGAGCTGCCGGGTCTGTCAGATCCCAAGACTTCCTCTTCTTGGACACAGCGCTGGTGCCAGGGACCGGAGATGGGGTCTGGGCCTGTGGCTTCGAGTGGAGAGGAAGCAACGATCGCGCGCGTTCCTCGCGGATCATGTGCTGAGGAAGTGGCATGGTGTTCCAGTCGAGCGAATACATGACGCCGTTCTCGTGGGCTTGGGTAATTGTGTGCTTGAGCTTGGCTTCCATTTCCTGCCTCGGGACGCTCGGATCTATATTGGCAGGCATGAAAGATCGCTGGACGTATCGGCGAACCGACTCTGGCCAGTCGATCTTTGTCTTAGCCTGCTCCTGGGCTGCAGGGGGCGCGGCAGTCACGTTCGGTGCAATATTAGCTGTGTTGGGCGGCGAAAGGGATTGGGAGTGGCCGTAAGCATGTGCGATGGGGTAGGGAGGTTGCGGGGTGGAGTAGGACTGGCCGAACGACTGTCGGACCTGAACCGTTGTGTAGGCGGGAGCTGTAGAGAGCCAGTCAGTAACGGTTGCCCCGGCTAGGGTTGCAAAACGGAGATGTGCTCAAATACACAAGTCGATGTGTTACGCGGCGCCGACTCACCAGAATAAGAAGCTGTGTACCCATTCGATGGCTGAGCGCCCGAAGGCGGTGGGGCGGCTGGCCAAGTCGGCATCATGCTGCTTGTGTTCATGGTCATCAGGAAGGGAAATCAGAAATGTGCTGCTTCATGAAGCGTTTCCAATTTCAAGGAATCGCTATTTTGGCACGCGTAGTTTTCAGGACAATGCTGTGGAATTTTCAGTGATGGAACTGAATCAGGGCCCGGGGAGACTTGAGGTGGTGAGGAGATGGGATGGATGGAATGAAAGGGCAGTGGGCAAAAGAACCTGGAAGTGTGGGAACGTGCCACCAATCACGGGAAATAGGGGTCTGTGCGTGGGGCTGGAGTGTGTTTTCGGCTTGGCGCTTCCTACTGTGTATTTCGATAAACAAGGCCACGGCTCACACGCTTATTGAGATATTCTAGAAAGCGCCAATATTAGATGCTGGAGCCCTGCTTGGTCCTCCCTACGTCAACCCTTTTGAGGTCCGAATTCATGAAGGCACTCACAAGGCCGGCATGCCACGCTGTGGAAATCTCATCCAAGCAAGGTGACGTCTTTCACGACCCCGGGACAGACTGTGCCCAACTATGACGGATGTTTCTAAAGCACATCGACTTGACCACCGCTCTGCGGCCCTCGTACCTGCCCGATGAGGACCTGCTCTACGTTCAAGACAATGTGGGGCTATATGAAGGGTGAGTATCTGGCGTTAAGTAGACGGTCAACAATCCCAGGCTAATGCGATTCCGTGTCTAGGAAATACAAGCTCCCCAATCAGCAGAATGGTCAGATCTATCTGACTTCACATCGCATATGTTACGTGGACAAGGCCGAGCCGAGAAAGTACTCGGTCGCCTTGGATCTCAAAGATGTGGAGCGCTATGAGTTCTATGTACGTCTTGGGATGCGGGTTGGACTATTTGATTCTCGGGATGCCTACTGAGATTGTGTTCTAGGGTGGCTTTCTCAAGTCGTCGCCCAAAGTTACGCTGATCCCAAAGGCGACAAAGCGAGCCCCCCTACAGCCCCGCTCCCCCGGGCTCGCTGGCCCCGCTTCACGGAGCAGCACATCCTCTCCGGCTACGCAGGTTGAGGGGGGTCTCCGTGCATTACCGGTTGAGTCTCCGCCGACGAGTAATGCGACATGGGTGTGCACGATCTGCAGTTTCTCAAACCCTGTGCCCTCCAACTTCGATCCAACCACCGCGAATGCGCACACGCCACTTCCCCCATGCCTTGCCTGCGGTATCAAGCCGACTCTTACGCATGTCTTGAAGGCAACCATCTCTAATGTGGCGAGCAGGCAGCCTGGTACTCCGGCGTTGCACACTCCACTGCCAGTCAGACCGAGACTGGCCACAGAGTTCTCCGCGACACGGGGTAGCTCATCCCCGTTCATCCAGGCTCAGGGCGCTTCACCTCAGAGCTCCGACCTGGATGCATCATTTCAGTGTCCGCGATGCACCTTCCTCAATCATCCCTCGCTCCTGTCCTGTGAAATGTGCGGAGGGCCGCTCATCTCGCAGGACCTGCCCGCTGAGCTCACTCAGCAGACCCGGCCTCACACAGAATCTCCGGGCCCAATCCTCAACTCCTTTGGTACCGTTCCCTCGGGCGTGGAAAACTCTGACAGCGTCAAGATCTCGTTCCGTGGAGGAGGTGACAAGATCTTCTACGAAAGACTCAAAGGCTCCATGACGCAGCGGAAATGGCTTCTCCAGGGGGCGCCCCCGATCCCCAAGGCCTCTCGTACCCGCGACTCCCTCGGCAACAGTTCTAACCCGTCCGCAACCACCGACGCCGCCCGAGACCGTCCAAAACTGGGCGGCATTGCCGGCCTTGAACACCACAGCCAAGCTATGCGCAAGAACAACGAGCTCGTAATCGGATCTGCTTTCGAGGACCTCGAAGCGCTGATGGCATCGGCCAAAGAAATTGTCGCGCTTGCAGAAACCTTCGCGCGCCAGGTCAAGGGGGCGTCTGGTGCCTCCAGCGCAAGCGAGAACGCCCTCCTCGCCGACTCGGTTTCCCAGCTCGGGTTGATCACCACCAAAGACATTGTGGGCAGCAGCAGCAGCGCCAGCGGAAGTGACTCCCTGTACCTGTCCGAGCTGGCACGCACGCTAGCCGAGTTTCTGACGGATGACCGGAGGGGTGTGCTGAAAAGGGCTGGGGGGATCATCTCGCTCGTCGATCTGTGGGCCATGTTTAACCGCGCTCGAGGAGGGGTTGAGCTCGTCAGTCCAGCCGACTTTGAGAAGGCGGCGAACCTATGGGAGAAGCTCGGGCTTCCAGTGCGGCTGAGGACGTTCAAGTCGGGTGTGAAGGTGGTGCAGAGCCGTGATCGCACTGATGAAACGACCGTCAAGGCGCTCCTTGCCTGGCTGAGGGATTTGCACGAGTTCCCGCCCGAAAGGGAAGTGCCGTGGGACTGGCGCAGGTTTGGGCGCGGCGTCACGGCCAGGGATGCTGCTGAGAGGTTCGGCTGGAGCATTGGCGTGGCGGAGGAAGAGCTTGAGATGGCCGAGGAGAGGGGCGTGCTGTGCCGAGAGGAAGGCATTGAGGGATTGAAGTTCTGGGAGAACTTCATCGACACCGGAGAGGGTAAGGGATACAAGGACCCGAAGATCGTGGAGGCAGAGAGATTAGTAAAGGTGTTGAAGGAGGCAGGCTTCGTCTAAATACTCTGGACCACGGGATTGATAGAAGCTTCTTGGATTATCTGAGTAGAGAGGGATAGCTAAAGCACCTGCCATTAGATGTCCTGTCCACGTGCAACCTTTTGAGTCCGGGGTTCATACACCGACCCTGAAACGAACTTTACATCATACCTATCATTTCCGCCCTCTAGATGGTCTACCAGAACACGTCCATCTCGCGACCCAGTGGTATCAACGTCGATGAAACACTCAAACCGCCTGCCCAAACGCCCGCCGGATTAGAGAACAAACATAACACCAGCTGACAAGCATATACAGAGAATGAGTAAACAATAAACGAAGAACCAACACAGGTTCTCAGACCAACCTCTCCATCAAGCTCCTTCTCACTTTAAGGTTGACCACGCCTCCAACACCGAAAGCCGGCACGATGCGACATATCCGCGCAGCCGTACTCACGGCCCAGTTCTTGCGCACCGCCCGCCACCTCTCCCTCCACCCCTCTATCCCGGGCCGGTTATAGATATCCAAGCCCAGCAAATGCACCGGCGTGCTGACCAACTGCACCGCGGCAGGGGCAGCAAACTGCGCCATGGTCAGGCCCGACACGTACCGCTGCACCTCGTCGCCCACCCGGCGCGACAGCACGGGGCCCAGCAGCGGCGGCACGTTGAACGACGCAAAGATGGTCAGGCAGTCCCGCGCCGCAAACAGCATGTAGCTCGGCAGGGTGACGGGCCGCGGGGTGATGCCCGGCGGGCCGAACAGGCGCACAAACACCTGGTCCTTGTAGATGCACAGCCCGATGTTGGCGGCGGAAGAGGCGGCGAACTTGGCGGTGCCCGAGGTGACGTGGGTCGCGGGGAGCGAGCGAACGGTGGAGGTCGCTGTGTCGAGGGCGTTGGCGGTCAGGTAGGTGCCGCCGTAGAGGGCGAAGATGAGCGCGAAGGGCTTGGAGAGGATGGTGCGGTGCGGTTGGAGGAGGAGGGATCGGAAGGAGGACTTGAGCGAGGCGACGAGGGAGCGGCGGCCTGAGGCGTTCTCCATTATGGACCTGGGAGACAGAGGAGGAAAGTTAGTTTGGGCGGGGCCGGCTGAGCGTGGGACGGGTGGGACAAAACATGCCGGTCAATGATGGATATTATGGGGGCGATGAGCACGGCGGCCGAGGCGGCGCTGATGGCGTCGGCACCGAGTCGCAAGGCGAGGTTCTTGGTGTTCCATTTCCCGGCCTGACTGGTTCCCGCTTCCGGCTGCACGGTAAGTGTTGAGGCCGAAAATGTCCGGGGTGGCGCAGGTGGTGTTGTCGTCGTCAAGGAGGAAGGCTTCACGGCGGCCAATTGGAGTTGAGATGGTCCTCCAGGAGCCTCCAAGCTGCCCATAGTGTTGTCCTTCATTTCCGCCCTTCCTTGGCTCCTACCAAAAAGGGCGCTTGAGTTAGGAATAACCGGAGACTTCGAACAGCACCGATTATGTGCGCGCAAGCAAGACACACCACCCAGCAGGGGTTTGCGCCGACTGAGCCAGGAGTTAGGAGGAACGGCCAATTTTGGACGCCTGTGAAGAGATTTCTCTGGCGACGATTAAGCTGTCATCGGGCACGAGTTTGCGCATCCATTCTGCTCGCCAACTACAAAGCGGTGAGCAGCACTCCTTTGCGACGAACGCTGATAAATCGAGCTGCGGGAGTCAGCTTGGGATGGCGTGTAAGCTTTAGCGCGGCATGGTTCGGTGCAGCTATTGCCGAAATCGGAGATTTTGTGTGACTGACATCAGCCATACATCCTAGCATTGTTTTTGGTGACAAGTAACATTAACGTTATCACACATGATCAGACGAATGTGCCGAGATGCTTAGCCTTTAGGCAGGTTCCTATAAACAAGTTCAAATTATAGACTACCTAAAGTCAAGAACCTAGACCTCTAACGATAAAGTACCTGGTAGGTACTGAAAAGCCCCTTCATGTTGAACTCTGATGAGGCATCACCAGACTCCAGCTTAACCTTCTTCAAGCCTCCGCTTCACAACCAAACGATCTAGCATTGAGTCACGTTGTGTCAGGTATCTTATGATAATGACCTACAATGGAAAAGATTTGAAATCAAACACTTAATCAATTCATCCCTTTCACATGTAGCATGCTGCCGCTATCAACTTGCTCAAGATTTGCCGTCGTCACTTCACTAGATAAGGGGATTCCTGTTCTCACATTTGCTCTGTCGTCAGGCTCAGGGTGTGTTACTTTTGGCTCACTGTCAGACGTAAGTGTTTGATATGATCTGAAACTGGAAATGTTGAACCGTCAGGTTTGATCATTTACCATACGTACCTACGGTCCTACCCTTTGTGAAGCATGGCGAATTGGCATGTATGTACGATGTGCCAACTGTCAAGGTTGCAGTTGCGTTGCGATCTAACCGTCTGTTCAAATTGACCTATATTGAAGCAACGCTTGCCTCCTGAAGAGATGCTCTTGCCAGGTTGAGATAAGGTCGACAACCACAGATGCACGTATCAGCCGCTTGTTGAATAGTTCACAGAGCGGAAGTTGAGTGCAGAGCACAATGGGTGAATCCTCTCACCCTCTGGAATATACTGACAACGTAGCATGCCAGCAGATAACCGTCGTGCGCAAGGCGAAGAGGCTTAAGGATTTTAGAACAAGGCAAGAAGACCTCAGGGTTCGTTTGTGACTCTGCTGTACTGGCCAACAACCTCACATGTTGGACGAGAACCCCTTGATGCCTTGCCGGCGACTCTTGGCCGCTCACGGTCTCCATCTAGAGCCACCACTCAAAGCTCAGCTAAATATGATAACTGAAGATCAAGGAGACACTGAACTCCCTGGCCTCGTATACCAGCCTATTCGTCAGTGCCTAGTAGGGATTAGGTATTAGGCTGCCTCGCGCACGCACTGCAAGATGTCTCGGCACTCAGCTTGAAGCCTCGCATCCTGCCCCCCGGAACTATGCTCCTATCCCGCAGTCTCCCGTCTCTCATTCTCAGATATTCCGGCATCTCCCCTCCCTGAAGGCCGACTGTCGACACCTGTTGACAACGCGGAACATTGCAAGCTGCACGAAGATTCGGTCAGTGCAATTTCCCTTTGCTTCGTGCACCGGAGTTCTGCCTTCGACTCTACAATGGACCTCACAGACCGTACGCAGCATCCTGGGACAGGGGCATCTTGTTTCTAACAACGATAACGACCCCATCGCACACATAACCTCAACTAGTCGTCACTCTCAACTCAATCTCTCAATATGGATACCCCCCCCCCCCCCCCCCCCGAGGCAAGACCCCGGCTTTATCTCCGCCCAGGAGCTCAACAACTACGTGCGTAGACAGAACCAGCAGCCGCCCTGCGCCCACTATGTCAGGACACCCGGCAACACTGAGGGCAATGGTGCAAGCCGTGTCCGTTTGCCCGCTATGAAGGGCTTCATCTCCACGTTCGAATACGACGTGGCCTTCGCCGAACTGCTCCTCAACGACATTTACCGGTTCCAAGATCCCCAGATGGAACAGTTCAGGATGGCGATCGGTAGAGTCAAGTTTGCCCTGCTCATGATGAAGGACGAGTGGAGAAGATTTCTCGAATCCGACCACGTCGAGTCCGAGTCTGAGCCGCAGTCACGACTCGACGCTCCGTTCTCCCGCAGGGAGGCTGCGACCAATGGAGGGTCTTCAGTGAGTTTTATCCCGCGTCACTGTTTTAAATCTCTGGGAAACAGAACAGCTGACGGCTAGGACCTTTTTTTTGCTGACTTTTCTCCGGCACGACAGGGCCACGAGGGAGATGTCAATACCGAGTCTCGAGACAGCGGCGCCGAGCCAGCTGGCGTAGTCACCGGGTACCCCTCCGAAAATGGCACAGCATGAGGAGTTTTCTGAATTCAAGTTCGATTCAGCTGACGACGATTTTAACGGAGAGCGAGCAACGGGCAAAGCAGCAGGCCGTTTAATGGCAGGAAGGTCTCGGCAATCTGATAAATAGATAGTATAAACCGGGTTTAAATGGATCCCATTCAGCTCAGTCGCTCTCGTCGTTAGTGACGGTAACTTTCCCCGTTTCTGGTGATTGCCATCCGGATTTCCGTTACAACCTGCATTGTGATATTCTTCCTGCCCTAAGAGATCGGCACTGATGCGACGTTCTGGGTACGACGGCTATGACAGCCAACTCTCGAGGGTTCTCATATCCACGAGCTTGAAGCGAGGTGGTCCATGAGGACTTTGATCTCAGGATCCGGTTACCCGCCTAGCTACTACTGAAGTAGCAAGATCTAGCTTTGAGGGAGTTCCTGCGCTATAAGCGTAAACCCTATTAGATTCCCATCTTGACATAATATGACTCGTCTTGAACATTATGGATGGGAGGTCCTTAATCACTTGGCAATCCAATTCAGTATGTCCTACCCGAGGCTTTCCTTTCCGGCTTTCTGGCAAAGAATATGATACCTCACGGCTTCCAGCATAACTAGATCTCATATTGAACGGTAGAGTTGTTCGAGAATATCCGGTATCCTCGTATGTAGCTACTCTAAGGGCCCATCCACGTTGAACAGGTCGGTGAAGAATCGCAGACCACAGGCTCGTCCTGGAGACACATATGGTCAGAATAAGAAAAGTCGGTTAGAGCCCGAGGCATGGAGTTGATCATCGATGCTATTGTGACTCGCTCCCAGCTGCGAGCGTGTCAGCACGGCTGGCACGGGCACTCTATTTTCGATATGCAAGGGACTGGGTCCCATGATAATTGGAGCAGTAATCAATCATGGATTCAGAGAGTTTACGTGCATTTGTGTCTCACCGAACTTGTGGTGGCGCAAAAATGGGAGCTCAGCAGACTCCAGAGGCGAAATGCAAAGTATTTTCAAAGTGTTTACATGGTATGTAACCAATCCCAATGCCAACTACAACAGCTTAAGTCTTAGCAAGATTCAGGAGAGCTTGCGCAAGCCTCCGAACCATGGTTCGCGTACGTACCAGGCGACAACGTTATCGCAGACACTTATTCACGTGCCCACCTGCTGCTGCGCCATGCCTCCTGTTTGTACCCATCCTTACGGAAAATGTGCCTCAGGTGTTCATCCCACCTTGAAGCTGGACACTCCCATCCGAACCGCTCCCTGGTCAACAGTGTCAGTGGAGAGCAAATAGAAAAGGATTGGCCGCTTAGCTGACAACGTACCACTTCGGCGTGAAGCAATTGTTGTAGTTCTGGACGACCACGTAGGTCAGCGATACCAATTCGTGATTCATGAGATGAGCAGAAGAATGATGGCTGTAAGGTATTCTTACCGCATCCTTGTAGCCTCCGTTGTGAGGAGGCTGGTGGAGAACATAGTACATGGCCGCGTTGAGCTGGTGGATCTGTTCCCTGGCGGCAGCGAGCTGCTCGAGTGCGCCAGCCAGGTGCTTCTCGCAACTTTCGAGGTGGTCCATTCCCTTCTCAAGCTTGCGGACTCTTGCCTTCAGCACGCGGTTGAGGTGCGGCGTCCGTCGTAGAAGGCTCTTCGTCGGGGACGACTGACGGGGCGTCTCCGGAGGCCGTGTGGGGCTGGACGCCGGCTTGGCAGACTCGGAAGCGGCTTTCTTGGCGGAACGGTGCCCGTTCCGTTGTTTCTTTGGTTTTCATGCTGCGGTTTCGGGACATGTCGACGATGGCGGAAGAATAAATTGATGGGAACTGTGTCTGAAGGAAAAGAACGTCCTTGTATTGGAACTCCTTCCGAATCCTTTCCTGCTTATTCGCGTCAACTTCCTGTTGCTGGTCGGCTGGGGGAATGTCGCGTGCGGGACTGAATTCTCCGAGCGCATCGGGAAAAGTGGGGCCGCAACTTTGGTCAGCAACCGACTTCCTGCCTATTCACAGCCGCAAGTGAATAGAGAACAATAGGAAGAATAGGAAGCCGAACCTTCATTGGCAATGGCAAATTTGCAAACTGCAGGCGTGCATAGATCAACTCCTTCGCCTATAAATTCACCCTTCTTCGACCCGAACCATCCTTCCTTTCTCCTCTTCCACACCACAAGTCCCGACCATCAACAACATCAACAACATCAACAACATCAACCAACATCAGCCAACATCAGCCAACATCAGCCAACATCAACATCAATTGACCTCGCCCTTCATCGACGACCTTTACCGACCACGCCGAACTCCGCCGCCGAACTCCACACCACCGACCTCAACCGACAGAATTACCTATGCTGCGACGAGCGAGGGCTCGTCGAGCAGGCCGTACCTCACACTTAGCAGAGTTGTACTAATACCGAGGTGACGCACCATAACGGTCCCTGGACTTCTTCAACCCTGACCGACGGTACCCACCGGATCAGAGTTGCAGAAAGGCAGAAGCTTTTGCAATGTGGCTGGGCCCCATTCCCGCCTGACGCCCGAACCCGAGACGTCCCGCGCTGGGCGGTGGGGTGCCTGACCGGGGTACTCTGGTGACCAGGACTTCGGGACATCCTGTGAAACCATCCCTGAGTGTTGTGCCGGCTGCACAGATGAGCCCTCCTCACTGACATGGGTGGCATTGGACCGACTCCCGACCCGATGGTAAGTCGCTACCGCATCCGCATCTTGTTGTCGGCCTTGGTGTCAGATTCCCGCAAGAGCGAAAAACCTCCTGGGATGTAATCATTTTCTCTTTTCTTCGGCCGACTACCGCTCCTGGGGGCCCGATCTCCGTTCTGTCTGGACATTTCATCGCCAGACTGGAGCGCATAGGTCACCCTCCCTTGAGTGTTCATGGCTCGCGCTAGTGTTCGCTTGGGCAAACCCAGGTGCCATTGTAGTGCGTTTTCCCAGGATGGTGCTGTCTTCTCTGCACTAGCTCGTTGGATCGGGAGGTGGCCGGACGGCCGTCTCCTCATGCTGCTCTTGTCAAGCAGTGGACGGCATTCCATATCCCCGACGCCAAGTTTGGCCTTTGGTGGGATTAGATTAGCGTCGTACGGTTGAGTTTGGGGGCCCGAAAGCTTCCATCCTCGGGAGAAGCGGCGCTGGATATGACACTGTTCCTTGCGCGACAACTTGATGAGACTTACCAGTTCGGTTCGCCTGCTGACGGATGCAGATTCCAGGTTCCAACGGCCAGTTCAAGAGCCTTGCGATGAGGCCCAGGTGAGTTTTCCTCCGTTGTCCAGTCGGTTCTCTCCACATACCCACTGCTCTCTTCCCCTCCCATACTTTGCCACCTTTCCTTTCAGTATTGTTAGCGACCGAGGAAGCCCGAGACAGGGTGGACAGCAGATATATGGCCACCGTCAAGCTAAAAGGGAAAGGCGCATAAGGAGATGAGCGGTCGGCTTGAAAGATTTCTGTTATTGTGGTGTTGCATGGCCATCTGGCGTTCGGGATAGGGAATTGATACCCCTGGAGTTTAATGGTTAATGGTTGGGGCATGATGAGAATTGACTGTCTCCCCCACTGCTCCGCTTCCACAATGCCAAACATAAGCCCGACACCGCCGAGTAACTGCGACGACATAAGTGAAGGTAGCGTGGTGAGGTATTCGCTCATTCGGAGAAGCTCCAGATCCAGGCAACCATGCTCCCATCGAACGCCAGTTATATTCGTACACTGAGCAGGATGCCCCTCCCGACCATTATTCACCAAGTCCGACCAACTAGTGCTTCGCTGAGCCGGCCTTCTTTTCCTCCGCACCTGCGTCTTCTATGAACTTCCTGCGGGTTTGTCAGACCATGAAACCGCTTCGAGCAGAGTGATGAGGAATGACCGCACTTGATAAAGTCGGCCTCATCAGGGCTGGAAGCATTGATCGGCGGCGTGGTGGCCGTGGTTTTCTTGCCGCCGCGTGTTGCAGCGTACACACCGCCAAATAATGTGCCAAGGACGCCCATCGCCAGCTGCAACGACCGCAGTGTTAGCCGTCGATCCTCAACAAGTCTCGGACCGAGCCCTTGGAGGCTGTTCGGAAGAGCGGAATCGGGAGCAGCAATTGAGGGGACTGACGTAGTGCGAGCCGACCTGCGCGCCGAGAATATTGTACTTCTGGACCATCTTGACGAAATATAAGACGTGGAACTTGGCGATGTGCGCAGGTTGTCCTGTCGGGAGCGATCTGGAGGATGCGATGTCTTGAGTACACAAGCTAAAAACGTCGCAGACGTAGAGTTCCTTTCGGGAAGTCCCGAAATTTTGCCGGATCTCACGAGCGCGGGATTACCTTACCTAATCAGGGCGGCTTGAATTTGTCTTACGGAAACTCCCGTCTCATCGGCCAAGCTCTGAAAGATGAGATCTGAACTCCCCACATACGTCATCGCAGTTATCACTCAAAGACCAGACAAGGCTTACTCTGATATGTACATACATCTCGGGGGAAAGACGTCTCGACTTGCTTCCAACGAGATACGTTAGTCGGCCGCGACACGCTGGTCGTATTTTGAAAGGGAGATCAGCTGCATCGTTTTACAGAGTGTCGCTCAGCCTAGATTGGCTGCGTTTTAAGCTCTGTCTTCCGACCCTGTCCCGATAGTACCCGACTGGGAAGTCGTGCGCTCTCGGTACGCACAAAGGCAGTGGAGGGCGACACTGGCTCCTGTTCCCGCAAACACCGATTTGCATAACTTACTCGACCTGAGAAACACTGCAGCATGTGGTGGCCTTGGAGCAGTTCAGACAAGCCAACAGGGCCGTCTACCCAACAAAATGATATTTCCACACCATCATCCCGGACGGAGAGGGCGAGGGATGACCTAAAAGACGCCGCCGGCCTCAACCCTAACAAGCCAAGCGACAGAGAGAAACTCCCGCCAAAGCTACAGAAAATTATTGACAAGTCCGACAAAGAGGATAACATCTTTGACGAGCTCGTCGAGGGATAGTACGTAATCGCGGCCCCCGATTGCCCCGTTATCCTGCCTAACCTGACATGCGCAGTGCCCCTCCATCCACCGAGTCCAACGTCCGCTATGCCGCCTATGCCGCCCGCTTTCGCACTATCCTGCTCTCTGCCCACCGTTACGTCGCCTACACCTCCGACATAGGCGAGTCATTCCGCCCCGTTGCCCATCCCTGGCTCGTGCGCGGAGCTTACGGCGTCTCATGGGCCTATATCCTCGGCGACGTTAGCTACGAGGGCTACAAGGCGTACTGGCACAACCAGCGGGTGCTGAACCCGCAGGTGGAGCTCACGACGCGCCAGCAGCAGATGTTGGGTATTGATCTGACCTCCACGGCTGGATCCCCTGCGCCGGCTGCGCCGGGGACGGTGCCACCGCTGGAGGACTATCGGACTGTGATGTTGCAGCGGGGGATTTTTCAGAGTATTGCTAGTATGGGCCTACCGGCCTTCACGATCCACAGCGTTGTGCGGTACAGCGGCCGGGCGATGAAGGATGTGAAGAATGCGAAGTTGAGGACATGGGGCCCGATCGGGTTGGGGCTTGCGGTCGTGCCGTTCCTGCCGACGATTTTCGACAAGCCGGTTGAGAATGCCGTCGAGTGGGTGTTCCACAAGGGATTCGAGAGTTACGGCGGCCGTGAGGCGGTTGGGAATGCGCCGCTTATTGGGAGAGAGAAGCAGTTGAGCGAGAAGCCAAAGAAGAAAACGGACTAACGGGATGCGGGATAGACATCTGGATGCAGTCTCCCTTTTGGCTGTACCTAGGATATGAACGACTAGCGATTGCGGCATCACGGCTTTCCGAGGTACTGCGAGCGAGCAGTTGGGCGTTTGTGATTGTCTCTCATCTCTTATATAGTGGTCCAAATACAACACATAGAAGATGCATCCTGACTACCAGTGCTGCGTGGCCTGCAATCTGGACTGTCTCGACGCCGTGTCCAAGCTCGTGCTATGCAAACCCCCTACGCCACGCTGGTATCCCCTGAACGCCGCCTTGCTCTAACCGGAATGTTATGCCAAAACTATGCCAGTAGACATGAAAATTCTGTCTTAGGTCAGGGCGTCATCAAGTCCGGCGGTGGCCCAACCCCCCTCAGCAGAACGACCGTATTTCCGCTTTGCAACACATCCCCTATTTTCTCGCCGAATTCCAAGAGCCTCCCTCCTTCCACATGGAAGACTCGTAGCCGATCCTCCTCTTTATCCGATAGGTTATTGATATTCTGCACCTGCAGACTCCTGGCAGCGGCATCGAGCATCCTCCCTACGACCCAATCTTTGTTGTAGAAGAACTCGCCCTTGGGGATCTTGGCCTTTGCCGTCGCCGCCTCGGCCTCCACATATAGATACACCCTCTTCTCGGGCGCGATCTTCGCATCACCCTTGGCTGTCTTCTTGAGCGTGTTAACCGCGAGCATCTGCGCAACTTTAGGCTTCGAGCTGGGCGATGCGAAAGATTGTTTGGCCTGGTCGCGCTTGGCCTGGCCCCAGAGCTTGAACCGCTCGAGCGCGCTCCGAGCCCCTTCGGCAACGGCGGCTGCTTGTGCGGCGCTGGCAGCGCGCGCACCTATGGGTGTCTTGTTTGCGCAATCGTGGTCCTCGCGCAGCCGGTGCTTGAGGCAGTAGTCGCGGTTGCAGTTGGTGCAGTGGACGCCGGGGACGAGGCTCGTGCCGATGATGGTCTTGCACTGGTCGTCGGCGCAGGGCTTCTGTGACACGAGGTCCCGCATGCGCTTCCCCTCACCTGCGGATTGCCTCGCCAACTCGGCTTCGCGCTTCCGCTTCGCCCATGCGCCCGGGTTGGTGCACGCGTGGCCGTCTTCGGTCCGGTGTTCGAGGCAGAAGGTCTTGTTGCAGGATTGGCATTTGAACGGTAGGAAATCGAGCTGGTTGCAGTACGCGTACTCGCAGTGGGAGCCGACTAGGCTGGCGTCGGTGCCCCGGCTGTCGACCGCAGCGGTAGCCATCTTGACATAAGAGGTTTCGTCCGAGTCGGGATCCGGGGAGGCCATCGCTGCTGTGCGGCGGGGAGAGACCGTTTATAAGCGAATGTCATGTGTGAAGCAAGGCCTGACCCCTTAGGTAGCCGCCTGTTGCGTCACGTAGACGGTGCCAGAATTGGCTGACCAACGCGGAAGAAGAACACGACGATGTTTGCTGCCTGCTGCAAAGCCTACGGATTACCACGAGCTAGAACGATCTCGAATGGACCGGACCCGACAGCAAGGGAAGGGATCGGGCGGGGCAAGGGTCCAGGGACGCGGATCGGTTTCCCGGCCACGTGCTGGCGTCTTGGCATCTCGAATCAACCGTTCGATAAGGGTTAGGGTAATGGACGGTTACATAATTGAAGGACGTCAACGAAGCGGCAATGATCAATCCAGCCCAGAGCATTCAACAAACCTGGCCAATGTCGAGCAATTTCTTGAAGTCGGCATGCCTCCTTATGTTCCAAGGAAGCGAATACGCGGCGACACTCCTCCCGGCAGAACCGAGAGCCCAAAGGCCCTGACAGCGCCACCGCGCAAGTCAACCCTGTTCGACGACCTCGACGCCACCTTAACCCCGAGGTCCTCGACGAAAAATGGGTCATCCTCGTTGTTAATTGACGACAGCGAAGACGACGAAAGCTCTTTGACGTCGCTTTCCGATGCCGACTTTGAGGATGTTCCAGCACCAAAGAGGCAGAAAGTCCATGAATCTGCAACAGGGGAGGAGGAGGAGGAGGATGATGACGATGACGACGTCGAATTTGAGGATGTCGAGACGCCTTCTGTGGCGCAGCCGGATCTACCGACACCATCCGGTGACCTGGAATTGACACTGATACGGGATACGAGGATATCGCTGGCGAATGCACTGGGCAAGAAAGGCCCCTCCAAACGGGAGCGACAGATACGGGTCGCCACGCATTGTATGCATGTGCAGCTCTTGCTTTGGCACAACACTATTCGGAACGCATGGATATGCGATCCTCTGGTCCAAGGAATCATGCTGTCGCATCTTCCGCCGAGGCTATGGAACGAGGTCGAGAAATGGAAGAAGAACAGTGGATTGGAAGTGCTAGACGAGACGCCCAAAGACGGCAAGGCAAAACGGGATTTGAAGGGGAAAGGGAAAGCTCCTGCTCCCTCATCTCGCGACTGGAGCAATGCATCACAGCGTCTGGAAAAAGGTGCTGTGGACATGAGCCACGGGGATCCCCTCTTCAGGCTAATGAAGTACCTCGCCGCCTGGTGGAAGCAAAGGTTCCGTATCACTGCTTCCGGCTTGAGAAAGTGGGGATACATGTCGCTGGAGAGGCTGGATCGCCTGACGAAGGCCTTCAAGCAGGAAGGCCATGACCAGGATAGGTTCGGGGAGCGAATCCGAAACTTGGACGAGTTCCGGCAGCACGCGCAGGAATGTGCCGGCAGCCGGGATGTCGGCGCGCAGTTATTCACGGCTTTGCTTAGAGCACTGGGCTTGGAGGCTCGCCTGGTTGCTAACCTTCAGCCCCTGGGGTTCGGGTGGAACAAGTTGGAGGAGGCAGATCCCGAGAAAGAAGGGTTTGACTCTTACCAGAGTCCGCAAAGGGAATCAGGAGATGCTACCGAAGACGGCGCAGGCGTCAAGAAAGCAGCGAAGAGCAAAGCTCCCGGTCGGGCGTCAAAGCGAAACGCGCGGTCGGCACGGTTGAAGGACCTCTCCGATGATGAGCTGATGGCTGATGACAGTGATGACGACCTCGCTATTGAAGTCCCGCAAGCGCTGCAGAAGAAAGGTAGAATATACGACGCTGACCTCGAGTTCCCTCATTACTGGACCGAAGTGCTCTCGCCGGTGACGAATAAATACCTGCCGGTTGACCCAATTGTCAAATCAGTGGTCGCGACGAACAGAGAACTCATAGAATCGCTAGAACCTCGCGGAGGCAAAGCGGACAAGGCAAAACAGGTCATGGCTTATGTCGTTGGATATTCTCGGGACGGAACAGCCAAGGATGTCACCGTCCGCTACCTCAAGCGGCAAATACTGCCCGGTCGCACCAAGGGGGTGCGTATGCCGGTCGAAAAGGTCCCAGTATACAACCGCCACGGCAAGGTCAAACGGTATGACCAGTTCGACTGGTTTAGATCCGTCATGAAGGGTTACGTCAGGGGGGATCGGTTTCACCCTATCACTGAAATTGACGAGGACGAGAATGCCACCGACCTAAAGCCCACCAAGCTGGAGAAGAAAGAAGTCAGAGATGGCGAAGAAACCCTCCAATACTACAAGCAGTCTAAAGAGTTCGTCCTCGAGCGCCACCTCAAACGAGAAGAAGCCCTGCTGCCCACCGCGCGTCCTGTCAAGACGTTCAAGAACAAATCCAAAGCCGTCCGCCCTCAAGAAGAACCCGTCTACTCTCGCAAAGACGTTGTGCAAGTCAAAAGCGCCGAGACCTGGCACAAACAAGGCCGCGCGCCTATCCCAGGCGAACAGCCGCTGAAGAGAGTGCCATACCGCGCCGCAACGACCAACCGGCGCCGCGAGATTGCCGAGGCCGAGGCCGCAACGGGTGAGAAGGTGCTACAGGGCCTTTACAGCTTCGACCAGACCGATTGGATCATCCCGCCACCCATTGAGAACGGAGTCATCCCTAAAAACGAGTACGGCAACATCGACATGTTTGCGGAGCACATGTGCCCTGAAGGGGCGGTGCACGTCCCTTACCGGGGCGCGATGCGGGTGGCCAAACGACTGGGGATTGACTTTGCGGAGGCCGTTGTGGACTTCGAGTTTGGTCATCGCATGGCTGTGCCGGTCATCCAAGGGGTTGTGATTGCTGAGGAGCACTACGATCGGGTGATGGAGGAGTTGGCGAAGGACGAGGCGGAGAAAAAGAGGAAAGAAGACGAGAAGAGGCGAAAAGCGGCGTTGGCGATGTGGCGGAAATTTATCATGGGAATGCGGATTCTGGAGAGGATCAAACAGGATTATGGGGAGGTGAGGGAAGATGTGGACGTCTTTGCCCGGGGAAGCGGTGGTCGGCTGTTGGTGGAGGGAGGAAGGCAGGACGCGGGCGCCGAGGCGGTTGAGGATGGCAATACGGCCGGTGGATTTCTGCCCGAAGGATACGAGGAGGATGACGACAAGGTTGGGCATTCGACATCTGGGTTCTTTCCTGTTGTAGATGAGGAAGAAGACAGCGGCGAGGATGCGCTTGAGATTGACCACGGCGAGGGCGCAAGCAGTCTGGCTGCCGCGCCGGCCAAATCGGTCTTGAGCACCAAGCCGAAACGGAAAATCGCGGCAAAAGGCAGAGGTAAGACCTCCCGCCGAAGGTATCGAGGAAACGGTCCTTTGTCTTCGGAAGAGGATGCCGACGATGGCGATGATGGTGGCAGCGACGATGATGAGCGATGGGGTTGAGAAGCGCTCTGCCGCACTCCGACGTGGCTGCTATCCACAGACCTGTGTCGGGTTCGGGGTGTGTGACCTCCGGCCGGGGATTCTTCGTCCCCGATCGTCATGGATAACGGTTACTCTCGGCCCTTAGGCTCTGATGCCGTCATGGATCGGTGCTGCTTCCACGGTGTACCTAGTTCGAGTGGCTTCTAGGTGCCAGGCTACCATCTGGTCATGGCACAGTTGAAACCAGCGACCCCAGACCCCAATCCTCAGGCCATAACGTTACTATCTGCGTGGGCATCCAGGACGAGGAGTTACCTCGCATTGTTTCGCTGACGTGCCTGACTTGAAGGCCAGGGTTTGCCCCACAATTACAAGCTCAACATCAAAACGGCCACTTTCTGTACCAGAAAAGAGGCATTAGATGAATTCAGCCTTTTGAAGTGCCATGAAATGTTCTATTCCCTAGCGTTGAATCAGATCTTTTGATGATTCAGCAGTGTTATTGCGGCTTTTTGACCGGGCTTGCTGTCGCCAGCTCCATGCTAAGTTTCAACGGCTCGTCCTGTATCGTACTGTACTGTACTGTATGTATTGTACTGTAGGTACGTATCCCGCCGTGAGCTGGGAGTCCTGCCCAGTGCTGTATCTGAATGCGGTATTGAGGATGTAAGATGCACGCGAGTGAGCGACCATGGTTGCCGCCCGCTGCTGCGACACTGCAAGTTTACAAACACTGCACAGTAGCACTACCTAGTGCGAGGTTCTTTTTGTGACCCTATTGCAGCTTCAAATCGAGGGGCCCTTGTGATGGTCGCTGAGGCATCGCAAGCAAAGCAAAAGCCCTTCCGGCCCAACGCAAGGGCACTTATTACACCTGATCATCAGCTGCTTTTCAGCTGCTGTCTATTCTCGGACGCTTATTAGACCTGGACATTGCGCGAACCTCTCAGCCCATTCACAAACGACTCTTCAAGACTCCCATCATTCACCGAACATACGCAGCCTGCGGCCTAGATTGCCAATTTGCCTTGGTCCAGAGAAGACCCCAGGCATCTCTATTATACTGAAACCGAATTTTCCACCCTCGCGGCCACTGCATTCTCCTTGCCGGCCGCGGACTACCAGTACCTACCTGCCTTTGCCAAACGTGGACCACTTGAAGCTTCCGTCAGCCTCGTTCACTTTCCAACCTGCCGTCTGCAGTCGCCGGTCTTGTTGCATCTTCGCTGCCGGCTTTTGCAAACCGACTTCTGAGAGACCACCGACCGATCCCTGTCGCCAACTCTGACTTGAATATCAACCATCAATCCCCTGTTAACAATTGCCTGTTGTCTTTCGCCTCCATCCGCATCTACTCTTAGCCATTCTTCTCTTTTGCCGTGGGCTCAAGGGCGCTATCGAAGTGAGATGGTCACGGTTATTGAGATTTCCGACTCTCCATCCCCGCCATTGGATTCTCCTTCGTTCTTCCTCGCCGAGCCGGATGACTTTGACCTCGATATCGACCGCGCTCTCACCGGGTAAGTGCTAAGTGCTTCTTACATCCCATGTTCGTTCTTGGTCTCTGTTTCCGTCACCTTATCAAAAGCTCGGTGGTCGGTTCACCCGAAGGGCGACTCGTCTCGCTTGCTTCAAGACTTCGGCGCTTTCGTCTGATCCAATCCGACTCAAATTGGCTCAAAGGATACGCCGTCTGTGCTGCTCAAGGATAACCCACCTAGAGCTGCTAGTGATGGTTTGCCGCTTGTTTTACCCCTTCCCCTCTGGCGACGCCTGTTGTCGAGGGGTTCGAATTTAGGACACCCCGCCGATGACGAGGTTACGGTCACTTCTGGGAGAGCGTAGGGATACCACGACCCCGCACGTGCAATAACCGTATCCTGAGCTACCAAGACGCTTCCATGTCCTTTTTGCTGATGTTGGACGCAGGACTCCCGACGAAGTATCACCGATGGCTCCCGTGTTGCGGTCTAGTGCGAGCCTAGCGTCTCCTGATGGGGCGCTGTCAAGATGCGAGGAGGCCATCCTGAACTGCTTTCCAGACATTTGCCTGGAATATCTCAGAAATGAGGCCCCCACGTACGGATGGGACTCGGAGCGTCTTATGGACCACCTCTTGAATCAGCAAGAGAAAGGAACCCCGTATCCGCGGGCAAACATACTGAAACGGAAACGACCGGAAAAGGACGAGGCCGACGGACATGCAGAGATGCGTAGGAAGTTTGAGATGGGAGATCCACGCCGTGCTAATAAGGCTCCTGGTTACGTCGAGCACTACACCAACGCCACGTAAGTCTTTTATGAGTCATGACGCGTGCATCCTTTTCGGTAAAATCTCCATATAACCTAATACCCCGCAGTAAGAAGCTCCTCAAGGCTGCCTTCCCTCAGTGTTACGCTGAAGATATTGAGAAGCTGCTTAAAGACAACGACTACCGGCTGTACACAACCTATCAGATGCTCGACGAGGCGGGCTGGAATACCGAGGCTCGGCAAATGCGGGTCAAGAAATCCTTCAGCACGCGCGCTCAGCCGGGGGAGGAGCTGCGCAACAGCGTCATCGAGGCAGAAAAGGACGCCGTGGCAGAATTCGATGCAGCCAGTGCCGATTGTCGAGCCCAGGCAGAGGCGAGGGCCGCGAAGAAAGCGGAGAAAGAGCGAAGGGAGCGCGAGGAAGCGGAGAACTTGGAGCGGGCCAAGTCCGAAGGAAGTGTCGCAGAATGCGGGTGCTGCTTCGACGAGTTCGCTTTGAACAGGATGACTCACTGCAACGGCAGCGAGGTCCATTGGTTTTGCTATAGCTGCTCCCGGCGCATGGCCGAGACCGTTATCGGACTCACGCGATACCAACTTGACTGCATGTCGACGGAGGGTTGTGACGGCACCTTCACCAAGGACCAGAAAGAGTTGTTCCTGGATGCTAACTTGACCACTGCTCTGGACCGGAATGAGCAGGAGGCGGTCCTCCGCATGGCGGGCATCGAGAACTTGGCTACCTGTCCATTCTGCCCATATGCAGCTGAATATCCACCAGTGGAAGTAAACAAGGAGTTCCGATGCGACAACCCGGATTGCGGTTTAGTTAGTTGCCGCCTTTGCCGGCAGGAGACACATATCCCCAAGACGTGCGAGGAGGTTACGAGGGAGCGCGGACAATCTGCCCGGCGTACGATCGAGGAGGCCATGTCAGCTGCGTTGATCCGAACTTGCAACAAATGTAAGATAATTCCTTTCCCTCACTTGTGCCCACCTGATTTTGCTGACCATGGGAAGGTGGCACACCCTTCATCAAAGAGAACGGCTGCAACAAAATGATGTGCTCACGCCCGGGCTGCGGAAACATGCAGTGCTATGTCTGCTCTCAGTCATGCCGAGACTATTCCCACTTCAACGACCCGACTCGGGGTGGGAAGTCAGGAAACTGTCCCCTGTTCGATAATGTCGAGCAACGCCATCAGACAGAGGTTCAGGCAGCCGAGGAGCGGGCTCGCCGACAGGTGGTTGAGGAGAATCCAGAGGTTGAGGCAGAGTTACTGGAAATCAGGTTCTCGGAAAGCGTGAAGAAGGACGACGAGAAGCGCAAGGTAGCCACCGCGGGACCTCGACGGCCCATTCTTGGCCCACCGCCCATTCCATATCCGCACGGTGCGTTATACTAATCATCTAGTTCTGCCGGTATGAGGCTTGGTTTAGCAAGGTCACGTTTACAGTTACTAATTGGTCCTCGTAGTTAACCCTGTTCCACCGCGCCGTCGCATACAAGCACTACCCGCTCAGCAACAGCCACCAGTCATGGCAAATCGCCCGGGCGAGTGGATACAACCCCGGCCCCTCATGGACGGTTCTATGGCTGCCAATGCCGTGGCTCCAGTAGTAGATCGCGTTCAAGGCCCGGCCCAGCAACAGCGTTGGGCCCAGCAGCAGCGTCCGGCCCAGCAACAACGTCAAGCTCAGCCACAAGGTCCGGCTCAGCAACGACGTCCGGCTCCGCAACAAAGGCCCGCTCAGCAGCATGGTTCGGCTCAACAACAAGGTCTCGGCCCGCACGCCGCTCTCCCTGTCATTCCCCGGCAGAACGCTTCTGTAATGAACGACAATCTCTTTGATCCGGCTGGAAGCCAGTGGGGTACTTTGGCTGTTCCTCTCGCTTATGTTCCTGGCTTGCAATCTCAACAACAGCCAATGCGTGGGGGTAATCCCTATAACTTCCTCCCGGGCCCCTGGGACGCCAATCTCTATCCCTTCCTCCCGGCCCAGGCACCTAGGGCCCCTAGGGCCCCTACCCCTTAGGCCTATTCCTGGGCCTCATGAACCACTGGAAGAGACCAAACGCAATCATCCCGAACCCTCAGTTGTCTTTGGCCATCTCCCTTTTGACCGGGCATGATGTCAAATGGGTACTAATCATTTATCACCCTGGTATGCCACCCTCAGAAACCGTTACGTTCTCCAGCGAACCGCCCCTTTATCGTATATTCACTACCGGTTGCAAGGGCGTCGCAAGCGCTTCATAATCCAGGCCGATGGGTGACGAGCAGCTTCGTGCTATGTAAGTGAAGGAGATGAGTACCTAACACATACTGCGGAACGCCGCAAGGTGCTTGATCCCATCTACGACGCGTCTACTCTCAGTCAGGGCCATGCCGGGAAGATCTCCCAACATCAACGCTCCTGATATGGTGGTTACCAAATTACGCGAAATCACCTGGTCGCTGTTCCCTCGCAACCTCTCTTCTCCATGACACTCGCACAAAGTTCTTTGCTGTGTGTCTGTTCTTGCGTCTGCAATTCGAGGATTCTTCATTTCCGTCTCACTGCATCTCGTATCGTTTTGGCTGCATGAGGCCCTTTCGTACCATATCTAGGGGACATTATGCTCAGTCAGTCCTGTGGTCAGCTGCAACTTTCTCTCCTCATCATTACCTGCTCTGGGCTGCACAGCAAGGGAATGGCGCTGCATCGGCATTGTCTTGTGGCCAGGCTTTGCTTGGCGCAGGTGGAACAACGGCGTTGGAGGCACGGTGGATGCTCGATGCTGGCTTGAGCCTTTTTTGTTCTTGGGGTTGGGCCTGCATGCGGCAAAACACACACAACGGCGTTGGGGTGTTCTCTGGCCAGCCACTTCTACGCAGACCTGTATCGGGCGGGGTCCGTTTGCGATTATCTTCATGGGGATTGAAGGACACCGGCGTTTCGTTGGGATGGTCATATTGTCGATTACGAGGGCGGCGTTCGACGGAGCAATGATCGAACACTGGAACTGCATCCGACTCAGGTCTTGTATCGAGGGCTAAAACGAATTTTTCGGCTACCTCGATACCTTTCGTCTCGGGCTACTGATGCGGTGTATTAATCAGGCACTACCGGCTCCTCTTCTGGAGGCCCAAGAGTGAGTTTAGTCCTTCCGCGGACTCTACTATCGTGTAATTGTCAAGCAGCAACACAAGTCGAGAGCATCTCGCGGTCAATGGAACAGCGAGGCAGCTCGCCCATTTCTACTATAACATAACCAGCTTGCGTCTGAATCCCGTCCCATCCACCTCCCTCCGTCACCCCTTCGCTCTTCCCCTACTTCACACACCTTACTCACCACGCACCTCCACCGCTATACGATGGCTCACCGCCCCTTGCCGAACTTCTCATGCCACTTACCCCGTGCCTTGGGCGCCGCCGTGGTCCCCGTCACAGCTGCCACATCAGCCTCGGGGACCAGCTCGATTGTCTCATGGACTGTGGCAATCGCTGTCAACCCCGTGTGTGGCACCACACGGGCTCCATTGCCACCGTCGCAGTGGTGATCGCTGGGGTTGGCGTCATTCTCCCGGGGACATCCTCCTCCTCCTCCTTGTGGCGATAGCAGGATGAGCGCGTTGGATGTGTTCTTCTGCCGTAAAGAGTATGTCTTGGAGGGCGTCTTGAGAAGGGCAGCTGTTTCGGAAGGGTGGAGGGTGAGACTGATTTTACACGTGTGAGTGACTTATTACTACTACCAGTAGGCTCATGGCAGAGAGTTGAGGCGCGTGATGGAGGGGGTGTGCTGTGCGTTTATTAGGCAGGTCCCGGGGGGGGGGGGGGGGGGGGGGGGGGTGGGGTGGGGTGGTAAGAACAGAAGCGTGATATGCTCTCCTACAGTTTTGCTGCGGCTTGCTTGGGAAGGGAGATAGAGAGGGAAATGGGCAAGGGATGCCTCCAAGTTGCATGCAACAACTTAAGGACTCACATGGGCGGGTCTCCGCTTTCGAGGAGCTCCAGCAGCTCGGGCGGCAGCTCCAGGAGCTTATATGCCGCCCCGTGGAGCGCGTGCGAGAGCGGGATTCCAGTGTTGCTTTGGCTCGACATGACGAGGCGGCATCGAGTTGCCTTATTATTTGGCGCTCGCTGGAGACGGGAGGAGAAAGTCAGACGTAGAAGCTTTGCTGGGTATTGACTCCAGGCGCCACCGATAGCCGTGAAGGAAGGAAGCGGCCGTCACGGTACCTACCGTAGAGGTATACACACACTGTTGGCTGTTGAACTTAGTAGCACAAGGTAAAGTACTGTACCTACCTGAGGTAGTACCAGGTTACCAGCAATGACCCAGGGAGTTAGCACAGCAATACGGTATGTGTGGGGCGTGTGCATGTGTAAAGAGCTACTGTAAATACCTACCTTATGTATTGTAGGAGCAATGCATACCTATATACAGTACATACACAATACGAAGGTCCTACCTTACTCTTTCTGAAGTGGTGTACAAAACAGTGTGATACGGTAGTGGACCCGTTATGCCAGCAGGATCTGTATTGCTGGGGAATCAGTTCAGTAATGTACTGTTTGTATTCTGTATGTACAGTACTCCACGTCCATACATACAGTATTTGAGTAAGATACATAGCAGCGAACAAATATCGAATCGTATTTCTGTAGGTGTACTGTACGTTACCCTGCTGTGGTAACGATGTCTTAGACGTCACTGTTCGAAGTCACCGCATCATCATGATGGATCATGAGAGTATCAGTAGAGTCTGGACCTCTTACAGCCCCTCCATCCAACTTGCAAGTCAACACGGCGGCCGACCAACGCGTAATGTAGCCCCATCACTCAGAGCCTTGTTGGGGTGTGTGTACTCATTGCCTCTCCTTCTCTCCCTCTCTCTCTCTCTCTCTCGCTCGCTCGCTCGGTCGCTCGCGGAGTTGTCTCATTTCAAGGTCTCGTTGCCAAACAGTCTGTATGGTCTTTCAAACACCCGACGGTTCGAAACACCAAAAACAAAACGCCCATCGCTGAGTCACGCCGACTCGCAAGATGACGTCGCCGTCGTTGGAGAACCTTCCGGCCGAACTCATTGGCCAAGCGACAGAGCAGCTTTTGGTAGCCCGTGCCTTCGGCTCTGTCACCGCGCTCGGGGGATGTACGCGGCGCTTGCATGCCATCGTACTTCCGGCCCTGTACAAGCATGTCACCAAGGTGGACTTGCAGACTGGGGAGGACGCGCTGATACGGGCGGTTGAGAACGACGAGCTCGGCCTCCTCAAAGTTCTCTTGGAACGCGGAGTCGATCCGAATGGTCGTTTCTGGTCGACCTTGCCCAGTAGTGTCCGCCAGGAGATGTTCTCTGCCCAGGGTCTCAGCCGCCGCCTGTCGCCCAGGGGCGATGGCTACCTCGTTTCCAAGATCATTCAGGAAAATATCGTATGGCCTGAGCGATGCAGACCGCGGGTCACCGATGGAAGCTGGTTTTGTTACGACGATCGCTTTCTTCGGGCTTGGTATTTGGCCACCGTCGACTGCGAGATACCCGAATCTCTCCCGGTCTATGCTCCGGTGCGCGGATGGTTCACAACAGGGTCCGTGACCGAACTGGTAAAACATGCACGGTTCGGCTGTCGTCAGCCTCCTCACGGGACGGACGACCTGCGCCGCCATTTGTATTCGTGGACGGCGATCCATCTGGCAACCCAACGGGGCAGTATCCAAGCTGTTGAGACTCTCCTTGCTCACGGGGCGGATATCGAATCAAGATGCCAAGGCTTGTGCGACTGTTTGGCTCCCACTTGGCCCAGCCAGGACGGCAGAGAGCCACCTCCAACTTGGAGCCCTTTGCACCTCGCCGTCTGCTTTGTCCACGACCGCCTTGTCCGCCGCCTCCTCGACCACGGCGCAAATCACATGGCAGTCGGCTGGCTGGCGACGGGTCACCCGACCTTCGTGGATGCAGAGGATCCTGGAATCACTGCTCTCCATCGTGCCGCGTTGCGAGGCGGTGTGGCCATGTGCCAACTCCTGCTCGATCACCATGCCGCGGGCGTCACGGAGGCAAGCGGCGACATGCTTGAGCGGGGAGAGGCCAGGGGGCTGCGGGCGCTCGACTACGCTGTTGCTGCCGGGCATACACGGACGGTTGGCTCGTGGCTCCTGGAGCATGGGGCCGACCATCTGCAGCACATCGCCCTCGCCGAACGGAACTTCCCCGCGCCTCTCAATTTCCTGTGCGCCCGGCAGCAGTACCGAGATGCGCACTACCTCCTGGACCGGATCGTGTGCCGGCCAGACACTATACCACTGCCCTTAACGTATGCCTTTCGGGCTTAGATTCAGCGCGCTCGCTGCAGTTAATCCGCACTCTTGGTTCGCTGCGGGGCTTCCTCGTCGAGGACATGGAGCATGTTGTGACCACAGAGTCCCCCATGCCCGAGCCTGACAGCGAAGAAGCGTTGATCACTTTGGTAAGGCGGTTGTTGGACGCAGGGGTGGATCCGAACGCCCTCCTTCCCGATCGCGGCGAATTGCTTTTGCAATCAGCTTTGCACCGGGAAATTCGCAGTAGCCAGCCAGAGGCAGTCAAGGTCCTCGTCAGCGCGGGCGCCCAGCTCGAGCTCCGCGCGTTTGAACCGGGATTCACCTGGCTACGACGTACCGCGCTGGACTTTGCATTGCGCACTTGCCCGTGCCTTCCCGTCGTCGGGCGCGATCCGCGACAATATTTACAAAACATCGTCGGCCTTCTCGAGCTTGGAGCCTCGTTCACAGACGCGACTGCTAGACTACCCGGTCAAGCAACAGAGCCCAAGACTTGCTTTTGCCCCTTGTTCTCCCATCCATCAGGAAGGTACAACTCGGACAATTATAATTTGTTTGAAAGATTGATGGAGCTGGTGGCGAGACAACTGAGTGATCAGAGTCTGCGCCTTCCGCTCGCCTCCGAGCTGATGGACCTCGCTCTTGAGTACGGAAAGCCGAATGAGAAGCTTCCGCAATGGTACGTGACAGAATGACTTTCCCCTGTTTTGTCGAGATATAGCTAAGCACCTAGTGACGATCAAGGTTGATACGACACTACAACGTCACCCTGACGGATATTTTCCCTGACGGTTTGCATATTTATGCACCGCGCTACCCTGATGCCGTACGCATCGGCAATCCTGGGCTTCTCAGTTGGCTGTTGGATTCCGCGCCGGAGAAGACGGCCGAGATTCTTTCTGGCATCAACCTCCTTCCTCTCCCGGCTTTGTGCAATCTTCTTCGCAGCACCCCAGTGCTAGTCGAACGTGGCTTGCTAGACAGGGCCCTTCCTGCTGATGGCACCTGTGAAAAGGCACCTCGGGCGAGCGTGGAATGGCAATTCACAATCATGGTCTTCGAGGCGTGCGCCAATATCAAATGGTGCGACCACGTGTCGGACGGATCCGCCACGGAATTCGTTGCCCGCGTGCTCAAGCTGGCATCCAGCGTTCAGGACGATGACCTGTCGAAGATATTGGTGCTCTTTTTGAGCCAGCCATGTCCATTCTATTGAATGTGACGCTCTCGGACTACAACCCAGGCAAAGTGTCAGCGGAGGTCGAGAGGCTTAGCAAAGTCCTCGTGAAATACCCGTTCCGTCTGTATGGTGTCAGGGGGAGATGTCACGGGGAACGCCCGTTGAGGAGCTGGGATTGCGAAGGGACGATACACCCATTCTCTTATTCCGTCCCGATCCTAGTGGACGCTGCAAAGGCGGATTTTCTGGAGCTGATTTTCATGGAGACCCCCGCCCCCGACCCAGCTGTCGCACTGGAGGTCTTGGCTATGGCACTGGATGCTAGCTCGCAAGAGCCTGATCCAGCAGTCATCCTCACAATCCTCAAACACACCCATGTCGACGTCCGCACACTGATCCCAAGGCCTACTGAGAAGAATGAGAACAGCAACGGCATCGGCGGTCAAGTACTGCTACTGTATTATTTGCTAAAGACCTTTCTCAAGGCGCATGTCATCTCCCCATCCAGCGGCCTCCTCCCCGTACCAACCGACGCCAGCCCGAGACGCCAAACACACCGGTGTGACTGTCCCGTCATAACGCGGGACCGCCTTCTCGTCAACTCAATCCGTGTTCTCCGTTTAACACGGCGCATCCTGGATGCCGGCCAGCCAGCCCTCAGGCGAGACGCCACTGGAAGCGTTGGCCGCCATACTCGACGGGCAAGACTGCGGCGCCGAGTTCGGTGACTGGCCGTGCCATAACCGAAACAGCCTGCGGGCTCATGTGCAGCTCGACTGGAGGGCTCCTGACAGGGTGGGAGAGCCCCTGGCGGACTTGTTCAACCCGGTCGAGGTCGGTGATCTCAAAGCTAGGTGGGCGTGACGTGGCTAGTAGTACTACTATTACTATACTAGTTGCGTTTGACGTTCGGCAATTTGGGAGAGGAACACAAAAGCCAAAACTGGGTGGAGGCCTCTGAGCAGCATGGAAACCGCTCGACCTATTGGTACGACTGCCATACTGCGTACCCTTCGAGGGATCGGGTGCAGGGGTCATCGGCGAGGAATTGCTTAATATGTTACCCATGTTACCCGCACTCGCTAGTGAATTGACATACCGAAGGGTCTACACATGCTGAAGTCTTGCCGGCCACAAGATTGCCTTTGACCTGTCCCAGTGACGCGAAAGGAAGCAACTATGGCATGGCAAAACAAATCCAAACTCGTATGTTTTGCCAGTGGTGATAATAACGGCCTTGGGCGAAGTGAATCTTGCGTAATCCAGTCTCCATATAAGATTCATCTGTGACAATCAGAAATGTACGAACTGTTAGTGCAGCCAAAGCCCTGTATGAAAAAAGCCGTGCTCTCTTCACCACCTCTTATATAAATGGGAGGCGTGCTAGACTCGGGTCCACCGATGTTGTGAGGTTGAAGATGAAGTGGACCACTGCATGCCAAGGGGCCCCACATTTAAGGCTGAAGTTGCTGTCGTCATGGCTGGGGCCTTGCTGCCCCGCCCGCATTCTGTCCCCACATTGGCAGCTTGGCCCCTTGGAGGCTTGGACTGAACTTGGAGCTTCCGAGTCAATTTCAACACCAAGCTTGTCCTTCAAGAACAGGCGCTGACACCAGGCACTCGCTGTCAGAACCGAGAGGCTTTTATCACACGGCCACAACAACAGAGACAATGGCGCCGGACCCCCTTGGCCCAGCCGCGGTTGCGGAGGCTATGGCTAATGCCTTGCCGACCCACGACAAAGACGATACCACCTCCGATCTGAGCAGTTCGCTTGACTGCGTCGCGCTCTTCGTCCATGCCTGCATGGTAAACGTTGGCTTCCGGTTACTGGGCTTCAACGAAGACCAGAAAATCGGTGCGTTGCCTCCCCGCGGCTGGCAGTCTCAGAGCTAACATCGCCTCAAGAAGCTGAATGCGCCCGTACAGCCCCGCGCCTGCCAGCGCAATGGAACAAGTCACTCAACACGCACAGCTTCGCCTACGCCCACACTCAGTCATCGATGCAGTTCATCGTACACATCGACCGTATGGGCGCTAAGATTGAAGTCCGCGGCCTGGCCATCGGCGACGACCGCATCGCTCGCTTCGACATCACCGCGCGTGACTACATCTCGTCAGCCGCGCTGCCCCTGCGTATACCAATGACGGAAGATGGCACCGAAGACCGAAGCAATCTCCCGCAAAAGCTCAAAACCCTCTTTATCTCCGAAGAGCGGATCACAGGCAGGCTTCTCTTCCCCGTTACCTGCCTACATACCTAGCCTTCCACTAACCTCGTCGCGAACGCGAACAGATCTGGCGTCCCTGCTAAAAGTCTCCCTGATTCAACGCCTACTCCCGGCCCTTTACAAGGAAGGCTACAGCGAAGAAGCGACCTCCCACCGGCGCACGACACCCCCTCCCCAACCGCACGACCCCAACCGGCCTCCCTTCCCTTCCCACCTCCCTCCACCAGCAGTCCCAAACCCGTACCCAGCCCCCGACCCCCTCGCGGCCCCGCCGCGCGGCCCAATCCCAGCCGCTGACTTCCCGCCGCCGGGCTTCGAAGACGAGTACGAAGTCAACCGCCCGCCGCGCGGCCCCATCCCCTTCGGTCCATCAGGCGGGTTCGGCGGCCTAGGACAGGACGACCTGTACCCAGCCGGGCTGGGACCGCACGATCCCATCCGGGGCTCATTCACCGGCCCGGGCGGCTTGCGCCGGCCCGGCGGCGGACTAGGGGGCGGAGCAAGAGGAGGTGGAGGGATGCACCCTACCTTTGACGACCCGCTGTTTCAGGGGCCCAGAGGAGGGGGGGGAGGCGAGGGGGATGATACCTTCGGCGGGCAGGTCCCGCCAGGGGCGAGGTGGGATCCGCTCGGTCCGGGGGGTCAACCAAGGTTTGGTGGAGGACGGCCGGGAGGAAGGGGTGGAGGAGGATTTGGTGGCTTTGGCGCGTTCGGAGGGGGAGATATCATCTAGCCCTTTGTGATGTGAGCTTTGGCCGGCTGGAGCTGTATGTGTCGGGTGGGTGAGCAGTTTGGAAGATTGAAAACTGCTTTTAAGAGTGTTGTGATGCAGGCTGGGAGAGACTGAGAGTGGAAATGGGCAAAGGAGACGCAGACTGGCTTGGAACGAGGAATGACTGCAAATCTAAGGGTTTCATGTGTATCTACCTTACCTACTAGTATGTATTAGTACGATACTGACGTCCGGCTCACGATAATGAAGCAGTGCTATTATGATAGCCACTTCACTTCTTGTACTCAAAATCTGGATTTGTAGCTATATGATCTCTCAGCGTCTCGGTATTCCTGTTGTACGGTCAAAGCAGTAGGCACTGCTGTCTATCTAGGTCCTGGTTACAGTAGTTACATACCATCATACCGGCGGATGACAATGCTTATTCGCACATCACTCCTCGTCCCTTCCATTCCTTCTTATACCCACAATCAAGGCGTGGATCGCTTGAGCTCGTCAGTTATGCCCACACCGCATCGCATTCCCTCCTTGTCCACCGATACCCCAGCAGCATATCCCATACTCAGCACGCGGTCGAATCGCGTCGACACTTATGGAGACCTCCTTTCTCCCAAACCAAAGTCACACCCAGCGTTCGCCCATTCAGCAAGCGCATCTTCCGGATCGGACATGGTGACTGCCATGGACCGTGTGAATGAATAACGGTCGGCGCCTCCTATTGCGCGGCCGCCTCCTTCACCTTCCGCTTCTCGTCGTCGCTCAACATACTGCACCAGTTCTGGAAGCCGGCAATGTTCTCGTTGTCAGCGCGGATGAAGAAGTCGACCAGGTAAGCCTGGGTCTCATCGTCGCGCTGTCGCGAGCCGCCGCCCTCGATCCAGCCCATGAGGTCAGACTTGGTGCTGCCCAACGCTAGGTCGAGCGTGTCATCCGGCTCGTCTTCCCATCCTTCATTGTCGCCGTCTTCGTCGTCCTCATCGGCATACTCCGTCGCCGCCGTGGTGGTTATGTTGGCGGCGGTGTGCATGCCAGACGCGGAGAGCAATTCCTCGATCAGCACCTTCAGGATCTTGAGCGGCGCCGGAATGATAGTGTATCGATCGGGGTCTGTAGAGTGATGTTAGTTTCGCCGCGTGGAGTATGCCATGAAACGTCAGCTTACTAAGTTTGGCCCTCGACCTTGTCATGATTCTGTCGCTGTTCTCGATGATGAGGTCCCCTTTGACCATGGTCTGGGAAAGCCGAGAGTCATTCAGGGAGTAGATTTTGGATAAGGCAATGACACTAACTATATTAGTATTCACCCTTGCTCGACGACCACGATGGGGACACTTACTTTTGCCGGATTTCGTCGTAACCAGCAAAGTTCACAGAGTTCTCAAGCCACTTGCTGAGAACAACCTGCAGTCCCACCTGGCCGTTGATTTCAATGTCACTGAGGAAGTTGACCACGTCCTGGGCGCCCACGAGGGAAAGCCGCGCGAACACTAGGATCAGAGACTGGATGAACGGCGCTGCCTGAGCGCTATCCAAGCGTGCCGCGACTGCCTGTAGAAGCTGCGGTAAGAAGGGGCCAAGCCGCTCATGGCCGGCCTTCTCAACCAGTTCCGCGGCCAGACCACCGACTTCCGAGGCGGCGTTGTCTTCAATATTGGGAGCGAGCAGACGATCGATGATTCGGAGGCAAACCTCGAGACCAGACTGGCCGTTCTCGTCTTGCCAGCTAAATACCTGTTTGTGGTCGTGCATAAGAATGTACTTGACGGCCTCGGCGCCAGGACGCAAGATGTCGCCCTCGGAGGACGTCATCAGGAGGCGGTGGAGCTTCGGCAGGGTGGCAGCAACGAAGCCGTCGGGGAGCGGTTCGGAGCCGAACTGAGCAAGGAGAGACAGGAGGTCGGCAGCCAGCTGTCACCGGGTTAGCATCCAGACCTGCAGGGGAGGCATGAGAAATACAAACCGTAACAAGAGGATCGTCCTGTGTCAGGTTCGCGACGTCGAAGGTCCCAGTTATGGACGGCAAGACCTTTCCGCACAGGGCCGCATAAAGACGACGGTGTTCCGTGTCCTTGAGATGCCCCTCGTTGTCCTTGAATGTCCTAGCGATCACCTCGAAAGTCTCACAGACGATCATAGTGACTTGGAAATTGGCGGCGCCGTGCTTCGCAATGAGGAACAGAAGATCCACCGCCTTGCTATCGGGCTGAATAGCAATCCTAGTATCCATGCTAATCGCACTGCGAAGGGTTTCCAAAAGCGTGACCAGGAGATCGTCGGCATCTTCTAGCTCAGTAAGATCCTTGGCTTCCATGAAGCGCTGGATAGCCGCAATGATGGGGACCTGCCGGTCCACCGGTACAACATCACCTCTTACGAAGTTCTCCACCGATTTGACGGCTGCAACTTGCACCAGTTCAGACTCGTCACTCGTGATCGCGTTGATTACACGATCGAGCAGGCCGACGGCCGGCTGGTAGTTTTGTGCCAAGGCACCAGCAACGAGGTAGCCGCGGGCACGCAGCATAGGCTCGTCCCGTCTGCCCACGGCGTGGTTAACGAGCTCGAGATACGCATTTGCGATCTCGGCTGGCACCTCCTGTTGCATGTCCTGGAAGTCGTCCAAGATGGCGTTGAACAGGTAAAGCGCCGCTTCCCTCTTCTGCCAGCTTGCGCCCTCTCCCGTGAAGAGCGCCTTGGTGTATGCGAATAACCCCTCCAGAGCGCGCTGGTTCAACCATTCGGCGAGCTTGATGATGAGATCGCCGCAAGCGGTTCTGGGGGTATAGTTGGAGGAAACAGAGGTCTCCTCCGCCAAGTAGAGTGAGACGTCAATATCCCACAACCCTTCTTCCTCCTGTGTGATCTGTGAAAACGAGACCAGCAAGTTCATGAGGTCTAACGCCCACGGTGTATCGTGCACAGCACCACGCGCCTTGATTTCGGCGTCCAGCTGCTTTCGGACTGGCGGAGCTCGCAAACACTGGTTGAGGAAGTCGAGTTCATCTAGCACCAGGAAGTCTAGCGTGAACGGAAGGCCGTCGATGTCCTCCAACCGGCTCTGGGCATCTGAGTCAATGAAGAGAGACTGGTACAACGGTGCCAGCCTTGACAGTTCCTCCCAGGTCGCACTGAACAAAGCCAAGCTCTGAGACACCAGAAGCGAGGGGAACACATTTTTGATCTTCAGCAACGTCTTCACTGCCTGATCCTTGAGCGCAACTGGCCCGTACCAACTCTCCGGCTGTGAGCCTGGCTGAGCAAGGGGAGGTAGCGGCGACTTGATCACCTGCTCCAGGAAGGGCAGCCACCCACTGAGGACCTCCTCGGCAAACGTCTTGACTTCTTTCTTGTGGTCGTCTTTGACGATATCCATGAGGTCAAAGCAGCTGCGGAAGACGAGGACAGCGAGGCTCCGGTGGTTTTGCTTGCGGTTCTCGTTTAACGCGACGTCATAACAGGCCTTGATGATGTCGCGAGCGACGCTGAAGAACTGCTCGTCGCTCAGACTATCCTCGACAAGATCTTGTAGGGTTCGAAGAGCCCCGTGGAGCTGGGCATCGGTCCCGGAGGGCATGACAGCTAGAACAGCTGGGAGTAGGGCGGGCCAGCGGTGAGGGAAGTCGGCCATGGCAATCTTGGAGACCACGTAACTTGGTGGGCAGCGTATGTCAGTTCCCTTCGCCCACGACAACAGACAAGACCTCGCCCACTGTCATGCTCACCTGGCGGCGACCTTGACCTTGCGCTCATCCTCCGGGCTCAGAACGAGCTCCAGCATCGCATTCCGCAGGTGATCTTTTGTTGGCTCCGGAATCGGAATGTGAGGGACGCCACCGTCCTCATCTGGACCCCAGTTCTTCTCGATGAACTTGCGGAGGTATGTCAGGGCCGACTGGCGAATCTCGATGGGAACACCGGTATGCGAGCCGATGCGTGCAAGGGAATAGGGAAACTCGGAAACCGACTGGGCGTGCAGCAGGTCGAGTTCGGCCTGCTTGCGGGGGCCCTCGCTTTTGTCGTGCGTTTTGGCGAGCAGCTGCGCCAGGTGCTCGTCCATCTTGGCCGACGCTGATTTGTTGCTAGAACTGGTTTGTTACCCTTTGCCGATAAAAACAAGGGGAGCTTTTCAGTATGACGGAAGTCCCGCTGGCAGAGACTCACACGTCTTTTGCAGCTCTAGTCTCGGGAGCCTGCCAAAGTCGAAACGGCGGTGGACGTGGGGTGAGATGGATTAGGACGGACACGATCAACAAGAGTGGAGCTCTGGGTTTCTGGCTCCCAACTTGGACGCGACAGTGACCTGCGGGGTTGACGCGGGACACCGAATTGCCAGAAGTGAGAGAAACTAAAGCTTGCCGAGAAAGTCAGGTGATGTGGCGTTGACATGAGTGGGCAAGTCGCGTCCTTTAGAACAACCCCGCGAATTAAAAGTACTACGTAGGGGTGGCAGCTTGGGACAAGGCAATCCGAGTCATTGAAGAAGGCAGGAGTGGCAGGATGAGTGAGCGTTCGCTAGTTTAGGTTTCTGTATCAATTCATTACTTGTGGCCCCTTCTTTTACCTTTTTCCATTCGTACCTTCTTTCTTAGATTATCCTTGTTTTACTTCTACCCTTTTTCATCTACACGAGCAAAACGACCAATCCAGTCCGCACAATGCCGCCACAACCAGAGGCCAACCCCAGCACAGCGATAGAATCGTCGCTCCCCATCGACCACTCGCACATCCTCCTCACCTCCTTCAACTCTTTCCTCATCGTCGCCATCCACAACATACTTTACTACCGCAACATCTACCCACCGGCAACCTTCCTGTCCACCAAAGCCTACAACCTCCCAGTCCACCAGAACCGCCACCCGAAGGTCTGCGCCTGGATTCGCGACGCCGTCGACGCCGTCAACGTCCAGCTTTCCGCCGGACATGTCTCGCGCATAGCGATCGTGATTCACAGCCCCCTAGACCAATCCTTCGGGGGCACTTCACGCCACCACCCCCCCAGCTCACCCCGCTCCTCCGATGACATCTCCTCCTCTCCCTTGGCATCATCAACAAGCACGAGCACTAGCCCCACCTCGCAGGAAAAAACAACAGCGGACACCATCCCGCCCGGCGCGGTGCTCGAGCGCTGGCTGATCGACACGTCGCGCTTCCCGGCATGGCCGACGTCGGCGACGAGCAAGTCGGCGACAGCCACCTCCAAAGCGATGCACGACTTTGCGCGGGTGCTCGCCAATGGCTCGCGCTCCGAGGAGGCGCACGAGCGGCACCTAGTGGCGGACGAGGCGTCGACGCTGCGCTGGCCCGATCTCGACGAGCAGCTGCGCGGGGCGCTGCGGCGGATGGCGTCCACGGCCGAGGGCATGGGGCCGTTGCCTGTCCAAGGGTGCACGTTTACTGTTGCTGTGGAGTTGCAGGATGAGGGGCGGGCTCCTATAGGTGTGAGTGCTCTTTTTATTCGCTTGACTCTAGGTAGCGGCGGGCAAATCTGTTGTTGCGTGCTAACACTGCACATAGCACCCGCAGGCTTGGATACCCTCAGAACCTAACCTGCAGCCTGCGAGCAAGGGGGGAAAGGAGATAAGCGGAGAGGATATAGGCGGGGTGAGGACACGGCCGATACGGGCGGTGGAGGCGGGGCCGTTGTTCTTCGAGTGCTGGGTGGAGGAAGGGAAGGCGAAAGAGGTCCTGATGAGGATGAAGGGGAAGGAGAAGGGGCCAAGTACTCAGGGGTCGACGCAGCCATACTGACCTTCCGTCTTCGATGCATGATCATGATACCTATGATACCCCAATGATGGACACAACCTGAGAAGACCCCCGGGATCTTCCTCCGTGTTGATGCGTCCTATGCTCTGAAACGGGATATCAAGCTGCGTGCCAAAAACTGAAACATCAAGAATACAATTCCCCCGACGTTGCTCTCGGAGGCAGAGCCTTACTCCGAACATACGTACACAGCAGACAAGACCCAACAACCGAATGTAGCGCAACACCTTGCAGCAGGATCCGCACGGCCGAGTCGAAGCAACCGTCCAACGCCGAGAAAGAGCCCCTTTGCCTTTTTGTAGAACCGAGCAGTCGCCAACTGCCAATCAGACCAAACACCCAAGACCCAATGGAACCCAATGAGCAACTAATTCCCCTCCCCATTACCACTAGTCGTCGCGCCCTTCAGCAGGATCCGCAGACTAACCATCTCCCTTTTAAGCCTCGCGTTCTCCTTCTTGGCCCTCGCCGCCTCCTCGCTCGAGTCCTTGAGCCTAGCGATCAGCTCCTCCTTGTCCTCGCGCCCTTTGCCCTTGAGCATCTTGACGATCTTGCTCAGCTCCGAGTTGAATTTCTCGTACAGAAGCTCATTCTCCGCCGTAGCTTCCTTGTAGAGCTGGTCGATGGCTTTCACCTTGGCCTCGGTCGCCTTGAGGGTGGCTTCCATGTCTTGCTGTATGAGGGCGTGTCGCTCCTGCAGTTCCTGCATTGCTTGAGGAATGCGGTCCTCGAGCGCCCTGATAGCGGCCGAGAGTCTGCGGATGTCGCCGGTTGCGGACCTCGGGAGCGACCCGTTCACCCGTGCCATGTCTTCGGAGATGCGCGAGAGTTCCGACTTGATCGACGCGTCCACCTCGTCGACGGCCTTCTTTTCAGTCTGCAGGCGCTCGCGGAGCTTCGTTGGGGACTGGAGGCGGAGTCTCTGGCTGGTGCCTGGTGTGCCCGGCGGCTTACCGGGACTGCTAGATGGGCGGGTGGGCGATTCCAAGGACGGAGGCACAGGGATACGAGGCGTCTGTCGCAGCGTGGGGATCTGCGAGATCGTCATGGTCCTAGCACGAGTTCTCTGCAGCGTCGGCCTTTCGCTCCTTTCGTTCCTTTCGCTCTCTGAGACCTCGTCTAGCTGCTGGAACAAGTCCGCAGCGTTCTCCTTTTGCTTGGATGAGCGCAGCGGGTGTATCTGAGATTCGAGGTTGAGAGGGATCTTTGAGGGTGATGGAGGTCGCGGAACCGAGTTGAACTTCTCGGCGGTCTGCTGGTTGTTGACTTGCAGGGGCATGAGCGGCGGGTCGTCATCTTCCAGACTCGCCGCTTCCATGAGCGACTTGAGGTCCGAGAGCGAGCTCCTACGTTTCTTCTTCAGGTACTTGGGTGTGGTTGGTTCCACCACTTCCGGCTCGCCAATGGTTTCGAGCCGGTGAGAGCTCATGGGCCGGTGCCCGATGTCGTCGAAGGCACCCGCAACCGGGGGCCGGTCGCGGGATCCTGGGCGACGGAGCCTGTTGGGCAGCGTGTAGTTGGGTCCCATGTCCACAGATTTTGACCTGCTGGCCATCGAAAGGCTGAGCCCGTTTTCCGGAGCGCTTGCCGTTTTGTTGTGCTTGCTCAGCGTTCGCCATACGGATGGCCGGTCTGTCTCCGTCTTGCTGTTCTGCCGCAAGAGCGTGTCGAAACCGAACTTCCTGCGCAGTGAGGACGTGTTCGATGTCACTGATCCCGTTATTGACTTATGACTACGGTAACTCGCTGTCCACGAAGGGTCGTAAGGAGAGCTCTGGAGAAGCAAACTGATGGGGTCCATCTGGTCAGTCTTCTCGAAAATCCGGTCGCAGTCTTCAACGAGCCGGTCGAGAAGATTGATATAATCTGATGCGCTTCCGTCATCGACCAGTAGCTCCGCGAAGGCCAGCGTCAACGCGCCTCTGTCGCCATCGTTTGAGCAACCGTCAAGAAGATCGGCCAGCAGCTTGATGAGCGCGGTGAAAGCCCGGCGATTTTGAGGTGCCATATCACTAAATAGGAACCGCACAAAGTCGGCGAAGTCTCCCACGACCTTTTTGGAAGCTCGCACCTGGAGAGCTCCAAGTGCCTGCATCGTCATGACCGGACCCATCTGCTCGCGCCAAGCAATGCGGATGAACTTCTCAAACGCCGCAAAGATGACCTCCGTTCCAAGTTCCGACGCAGCGTCCAGGTCAAAGGGAAACTCGATGAGGCGATTGTAAAGGTCATTGACCGCAAGTTCGTCAGCCATCGATCTGCTCAGCAACGTTCGACCGATGAAGTAGCCCTTGCGTGCTTGCATGTTGGCGACGAATCCAGTAAAGGTCTGCTCAAGCCGCATCAGAGGGTTGTCTGGAGCCTCTTCTTCCACCATGAGACGAGGTATGTCTCGGTCCTTCAGCGATCCGGACAGCACGGTCACATCTCTCTGGCTGTTAGAGCGTGTATGTTTATGCCTCGATCCGCCGATGCCTGCGCTGTCGACCGAGGTGCTACTAGATGACGCGGTATTTCCCGCCAGAAGATTTGAGAGCAACTTCACTGGAGAGGAGGAAAGGAATGACCGAGTATTCTTCTCGACTCTGGCACTGATGTTGAGCGAGCGCAGGATCTTGCTGTAGTATGACACCAGGGCAGGCACGAGTCCCATGTTAGCGACGCTGAACTGGGTGCTGAGGAGCTGTATAATCCGGCGAGAGAGTGTGGGGAGGAAATCTTCGAGCGCGACATCGTCGGTGAACTTCCTCCCGTTCAGACCGGCGGTGTTCATCGATATCCTGCGCATGTCGCCGGTCCTCACCTCAACGACAATCTCGACACCGTAATGGCCGACTGGCGCTCCTTTGGTGCCTTTCTCGTTGTCCAGAACGATGCGAATAGGTGCTGGTTCCCTGCGCCCCTCGATCAGCTGCTGGGCGCCCTCCTGGAAGACGGCCGCGTGGAGGCCGAAATTGTTATCCTGCATCTTCACTGCCCGAAGAGTCCATGTTGGATCTTCCCTCTCCTTTTCAGAGAAGCGACCCTCAATGCGAGCTCTGACAATATCTTCGCTGAATTTGATAGCTCGGCCCTCGTAATGATCCTGTAGAAGGAAGCATCTCGAGGTTATGGCTTTGCTGGTGGCATGCTCCCTCGCAGGTGCACCCTTCATCTCCTGAGTTGATGTTATCCAGATCAGTCGCCCGTCGGAGGATTCGGTAAACCGGATATCAGCCAGGTTATGCCATCCCATGAATGCAAATTCCCAACTCCCGGGTCCACCAGCGGCGTTGCTCATGGATGCCAGCAAACCGGCAGGGGATGGCTTATCGATCTCCCGAAGGAAGTCGCGTCCTGTGAAGCCCGAATCCGTCTTTTTCTGGAGGAGGACGATGCAGTCAGAAAAGAGGAGAAGAACGCCCGGGCGATCCGCCATCTCTGTATTCTGCGACACTGAGACATAAGGTGGAGCAAGCTCGAGAAAGTCGGCAGCCAGGATCAGCCGTCCCTTGGGCTCAAAGTCCGGCGGCCAATGCTCAACCATGGCGCGAAGGCGGGTTGTGGCGTGGGGCTTATCTGGAAGCGGTTCGTCCATCGAGCAGATGTTTGTGATGATGTCTCTGGCTCGAAGAAAGGCCTGCAGCGCCGGGTGTGTCATGGGGAGACAGGAGATGATCTGGTCGATGAACAAGCTGTACCGAGGCAGTCGTTGTACAGGCTCGATGAGCAGCGAGCGGATCGTCTGTTCCCCGGCCTGGACAACCCGTTGGCGGAAGCTGGACTGATTGTCGAGGAACAGATTGAGGAGCTGAGGGAAGTTCTGGCTAGCTCGAATATAGTCCTGGTAACATTCGGTAAATTTGGGGAACCACTCCAGGAAGATCTTGGCCATTGCGAGCGCGCCGCTTGGGTCCTTCGGCTTGCCAGAACCCCCCAGCCTTGGTGCGGGGAACGGAAGCTCCATGTCCCTCAGAGCTTCCTCCTCGGTCTCATCCATGACACGCCGAAGCTCTTGCATGAAGGCCGAGTTGACCTCTAGGATGCTATCTGCCGATTTTGGGAATAGCTTCTCCATATCCTCTTCGCTTGGGCTGATGCTGCCGGCCGGCCGCTCCTTGGCTTTCTGGCGGAAGTCAGTGGCAATGTTCTGGACAAGCTCAGTGAGCTTGAGTACGTAGCGTTCCTCGGTGTCGACCAATTCGCCCATTTTCATGCGGAGTTCCAACTTGTGGTTCTTGGAAAGCGACTTGCTCCGGTTCAGCGAAGTTGGTCTCGAGGGCGCACGCCGCAGCTTGGAAGTCGGCAGAAACACCGGCTCTCCGAAGAGCTTCACCAAGGGAGTATATCCGCCATACTGCCGTAGGGTTGGATCCAAAATGTCGTCCTCATCGTCAGGAACCTCCTCGTAATCGGCGTTTTCCAGCGGCACGATTGAACCTGGTGGCAGGACGAGGTCAATGTCGACATTGCTCAAGTGCTGTGTCCGCAGGGCGTATTCCAAGATTCCGATGATCTCGGTGGTGTTCTCAGCCTGAATGGCCGCCTTGGCCAGGTCGGCCGCATGCTGCTCGCTGAACAACGACGGTGCTGAGCCCGGGCGGCGGTTCCGAGGGGTCGGGTACTGATTCCTCAGATGGGTTTTTACAGCCTCGGGCAGCTCGCTAAAGTACTTGTAGAGACCAAATGCCAGACCTCTGCAGACCTCGTCGCCCTGGAACTCGCGCGGCAGGTGTGCAACAACGCTGTAGAAGGGCGAGTTCGGCGAGACGGTGATTCGCGGGAAGGTTTGGTAGCCGGCTGGACTGTAGATATGAATCTGGATTCGGGAGCTATTCAGGGTGTAGTTGGCGGTCGTGGAGGGGCCGTGGAAGATGAGGACGGGCAGATGACCGAGTAGCGGGTCGCTAGCGGAGTAAAGAGTGACATGCTCTGGCGAGAGCGCCAGCTCCTCAGTGACACGAACCATGGCCGTCTCAATCGGCTGTGCTCATGGCGATCGTGGTTGCGGAAACGAAGCGATCTGCCGTTGTGGCAGGTAGTCGGTTGCGCGTTGCGAGCGGGCTGTCGTGAGGATAAGCGGCGGGGTACGGATAGACGTATGGGAAAGAAGGAGCGGCGCGGATCGGGCGTCTCGACGCAAAATGCCCAGTGTAAACAGACGGGTCCGGCCGTTGTGCATTCGCGCGAGGCACTGCAGGCTTGGGTTGGGTTTGCGACACGCGGTGATGCGAGTACTCGTCGGTGGCTGCAGCTCGTGGCGCACAAGCTGCGACGGCGCTTTCCCCGTTTGTGTGGACTATAAACAGGCGTCCCGAGTACCTATCCCTGCGCAATGGAGACAGCAGCACAGCGGGTGGAATATTGCGGTGTGTACGTTTGTTCGATATTTGTCACCCAAAGTGTAAACGCCTCCCGAAATTCACATAAAGGATTGTACAAGAAGAAGAAGTGAGAGGTTGCCAGCGAGTGCAGGCTCCCGACGGTCGTCGATCCGGAGCGAACGCAACCGTGGGGTATCGGAAGGTGGCTCGGTGGGAAAGGTGGAATGGCGGCTGCCAACTCAATCCCATGGAACCTCTGAATCCGGGGGGTCGGGGGTGGGAGTCGAGAGTGGGCACCAGCGGGAAGCTGCCAGGGTCGGGCAGCGATCGTAGCCGAGAGGCTCGGCAGTGGCTCCAGCCTAACGCGTGAATGGCGCGATTCCGAAGAGGGAGCTTGGGCCAGGTCGATCGGGCAGAGACGTAAACAAGCCCAGCCAATAGCACGATGCCAGCCTCCCCGGCCCGCGAAGACCAGCCCCCTGCTCAGTGTAAACATTGTCCACCACGACTCGGGATTTATCAACCTAACCTCAACCTCTCTTCCTTCCATACAATACCTCTAATCAGTCGGTCCAGCAATTGCTGACCGTCTTCTATGAAAGGCGTGACATTGCCATTCTCTGCGTAGGTAATTTGCATTGTCAATACTGAAGAGCTCCTACTGAAATACAGCTGCAGGGATAACGCAAGCGAGAAGCCTGCGAACATCCCGTAGTTCTATAACACAAATACGTACAGTGTTTTCCGCTGGCCCCGATTATGCTCAGGGGGTTGAATACAAAAATAAGCTTCCCCATCATGCGAATTCGAACCGCTTTCCCTTTCCTCTATCTAAAGAAGCACCTTCAGCGAAGTCTTTTACCTCCACACAATTTTCCTGCAACTCATGCTGTATCCTCTTCACCTCCGCTCGTGCCATCTTCAGCTTCTTAGCCTCAGCCTCGATCGCAAAGTCCCGCACTTGAATCCCCTGGGTCTCTAGCTCGGCGCGCATCTTGATAATATATTCCCGCTCCCGCTTCTTCTTCTGTTCCTTGGGATCCGCGGCGAAGTCGCAGATGTCGATGCCTTCTCGCAGTAGCCGCAAGACATCAGGCCCGTTTTCGATCGTCTGACTCGTTACGCTGGGGATCGAGGGTCGGAGTTTGTCTTCAAGGACGTGGGCCAGCAAAATCAGCCGTGGACCGTCAGAATTGGACCGAATTTCCGAGCGCTGTCGACGTGAAGCTGGCTCGTGTTCCACTTCGGACTTGGCACGGCGTCTGGTCGTCGGTGTGCTGCTTCGGTCCCTGGTCGCAGAGGGGATGCTGAGGTTCTGGAAAGGCATGACGGAGAGCTGTGCGCGCTGTCAGCTTTTAGACCTACTCTACCTAGTTTGATAGAAGTGACACACGGACATGTTCGCGCCTGGGTCTATTCTTGCCTTGAGGGCACCGCGCAAGTTTCTGAAACACCTTCTAGGTCCGGTTCTGCACACGGTCGGATGCCCAAATCCAAAAAAGTATTGGTTTGTCGAAGTATTTCAATGGGCGCCGTTCTGAGTTGCTATCAAGCAAGGATGCCTGTTCAAGAAGATATTCTGCTTTCAAACTCCAGCAGTAAGCGTTGACAATGTATGTGGTGACAAAGTTACTATACTGCGATCGGAAGCAGCACTGGCACTAGTCTTCCCTGGCATACGGAATCGCACATGCAAGTGAATCCCACTGACACAGGGGCGCACTTTCCCGGTAAACATACGTGGAAGTATGAAGCTGCTCAGTCTGAATTTACTTGGTGGATCTAGACAATTTCAGTTCAAGGTAGCCATAGACATGTAATACTGTGCCCATAAACGGTTGGGATATATCATACAGTTGTTGGAGCCTCCGCGTCTACAACAGTACATCCATCTTAGTCCCGAACAAAAGCTTCCTACCCTAGCACAAGTAGCGAAGGGTGACAAAAAGAAGGCAACAAACCAACAAACTAGGCTTTCTTCCATACTTCAAGTGTTGACAAATACCAGTCATTATATTGTCCCCCTGCGCTCTCTTGACTACGACCTCCCCATGAGCCTCGTCCTCTTATTGAAGCAAACAGTGCTGAGACCACAAGTATCATCTCTCCCCTATTGCATTACAACCTCCTCCTAATACTACCGCCCACCATTGTTCTTCCTTCTCCTTCTGGTACTCTTAGAGTCCAACTCCGAGATATGGCGCGTAATGCGTTAACCGGCCTCCCATCACCGGCCTCTCATCACCAACAGACTCTATTGCGAGAGTGGCCTAGCCTGGCCGTTCCTCTCCTTAACCGGCCTCCCATCACTTCTAGGCACCATTTTGTCTCCCGTAAACAACAGAACAATAAGAAAAGAACCCCCTCCAACAGACAGTACTTGAGGACCACCCATCGAAGAAGCATGGTTCTAATGTCATCCATCACCCAGAAAAGCCTCGGTGAATCCACTAAGCTAGGTCATTACCATCACCACCATCATCCTCGTTATCGTCGCCCTACTGCCACTGCCCGGCCGGCCTGCTTAATCGTGGTCGACCCATGTTCAATCGCGTGACCCAAAGATCCATCAGGTGTGCCCGGGAGCCAACGGCAATGATTGCCTTGCTCTGCTCCACCTCACCAAAAGCGAAACGCATCCTCGGGGCGCGTCGTCAGTAGTAGGATGGAGGCCACGAATGTAGAAATTGCGGTTGCCGTGGATTCCATTCTCCATACGCTGCTCAACGCACTTTGTGTGGAAGGAAGGCCGCGGCCGCCGTTCCGTCGACAATGCCCTCGTATTGCCGGCCTCCACCCGACCCCGGGTCGGCATTCGCCCGCAGGCGGTGCCGGGGGGCCATCTTTAAGGTTTTACGAGGTCTTATGGGCTTACCACGTCAGGCCTGACGACGGCGCGGTCAGCCGGTCACTTCTTCTTGCGGGATGAGCGCCGTAACGGGCCTCCTTTGTTGACAGGTGTGTTTGTCGTCGGGGTGGTCCTCTGCGAACTTGTCCTCGGTGGCGGCTTCAAGTCACGCGTTCAGGCGCACCGGCGGCCCTTCCTTGTCGGAGTGCTCGTCGTGGAAGCGCTTCAACGCCACGTCCGAGACGTAGGCGGCGTCCACCAGGGCACGCATGCCGGCAATCCCAAAGGTTGCCGGTGGTATCGTACATGATACAACCTTGTCAGTCGTTGAACATGGCGTATGCTGACGCCGACGGTGTCTGCAATCTGCGGGAGGCATGAACGCCTTGAACATAATGGCGACTAGGCCTTCAGGTCGGCGTTGAGATACCGAACCATGATGTCGCGATATTGTGCTGGGTGCCAAATGTTGTGTCGCTAGCTCTTCGTATGTTCGCCCTCGCCTTCGCGTGAAGCGACGGGACCTGGAAGGGTCCTCCAATGTTGGAACTGTCTCCGAAATTGATAGCCTAATGAGGAGCGCCTCCGGACGGGCCGGACTCTGGAGATGCTAGTGGTTAGCCGGCTGCTGGAGAGATAGGGAGAAAGAGGCACGAACAAACTCTAAGATCCCGCCATACTGGTACATATACAACGGGCATAGCCAGTGTTGAGTGCTCCCAGCTCTTTATAGCATGAGTTGCCGCCTCATGAACGCCTGGCAATTTGCGCCCGAGGTGATTGTATCTGATGACTACGCGCGCAAGGTACTACCTTCACAAAGTTTTAATGTTTCTCTTCGGGCTTGTAGGAGGACCAAAGATTGGAGGTCACTTACCAAATCACACATCGTCTGGCGGCGGAGCGACAGCACGCCCTCCGGCAGGCCGACCCCAGGGGCGCCGGCCATTGGATGGAGATGAATACGGAGTTTATTTTATATTCCTTGGTTGGGGGGATGGCCGAGCAATTCTTTCACCCGCTTCTGGCAGGTCCCACGGCCAAAAGCGGTGCAGACCGGAAGCGAGCGACTTGAGTAGGAGCCCTTTTTTTTGCGTTTGGGAGGGTTGGCTTCAGGCAAAAGCTCACTGAGCTGGTAGCGAATGTCCTGAAAGGCATGCTAAGTGGATGACCTAACACCCAAGGGTATCACAACAATGTTAGTGACTTGCAGGATTTGACTAATACTTGATAGTGCTTCTAATGAAATAGGGAAGTCTCTTTAGCAAGAACATGTCTGTTTTCTCCAACATGACGGTGTGTCCCGACCATAGACATCGAGGGCGGTTTGATAGGTTGTTAATATACTGGAAACTTTCCTGACTTACCGGGCCATTCTGGGGTGCTCAGACGACGGCAAGCCTTTGCGGCCACCTATTGCCTCTCCATAAAGGCGACAATATTAGAGCAGCAGACGGCGAAGGTGATGGTGGCCAGAGGGTGTTGAGCTGTGGTGGGTCTGGGCAAAAGAGGAGGAAGCTTGAGGTGGGACCTTGAAAGAGAATGAAAGAATAAGAAATATTCAGTTAATTTTAACTTTGTAAGCCCAGTATCAGATTCTCAGTCCTGGGTATTTGCCAGGTTTCTATTGGGGAACCATTTTGTTGAGCAGTACTAGTACTTAGTAGGTACCTAGTACTTTAGCCTCCTGTCGCCTCCCCTCTCGGCAATCCGATACCTCAGCCACCACACACGCTCCTTCCTCTACTTTAGCATGCTCGGCATCTCAGAGTGCTCACCTCTTATCGTCATCGCCGATCGTCTCCTCCTTTGCACGTTAACCGGTCAGGGAACCCTCTCGGTAGAGTCGTTCGGCAGCGGCCTCCGCCGGCTCGCGCCCCCCTCCACCCTACCATCCTCGCCATTGCCATCCTTCCTTTGTACCTTGACATCGCCATTACGAACATTCGAAGTGATGGTAGAATATTGCTGGTCAGGCTTCAATCTTGATCCTTGCATTCAATTGACTTATCCCAAAAATCATGTATTTCCGCGGAGTCCATCAGGATAGGGAGCCGAGGAAGCAAGGGGAACAGGGCTGGTACGACTGAAGAGCGACGATACCTTGTGACACCACCTTGCCAAGGTTCGATGAGCCGCAACATGGGATCTGAATACCCTCACGCTGTAGAGCACAGGTTAGATTGCCAATCCAGTCCTGGTAGTCATCCTGTGACGCAAGACGCCCGAGAATCGACCGAGACATAGGGCTCCGGCCGTTCCACGAGATGCGGCAGAAAGGTTTCGGTGCGGGACGGGATATCTCAAGACATGAGCATGTGGCACGCTGCCAGACGGCTGGCCACAAGGCTGCACAAGGTGAAGTTCTCATTGGGTGGTGAAGCATGCTGAGAGTGGTTACATAATGTTAGTCCTCATGCACGGAGTGCTGCTGTCCTACCCACGATACTGCATCCCAACGTACCTTATGTAGACGAATCTTCATGAACGAACCAGTCCTAGAACTGAAGGGTCAGCCCAGCGCCTACCTGGGTACACGCGGCCCCGAAATTTCCGATCGGGTAGTGACAGGTCCCAAGTGGTATCTTGCCATGGCCTTCGAGCAAGGACTTTGCCAGTCCATTCTGAGCTGGAACTTGAAATCAGCAACTCATCACTCGAGACCCAAACTTAAGGTAACACAGCATCTGTCAATCACCCAGCAGCCAGTTTCGGTCAAGCTAAACCCCACACCTATCGTCCTCGCGCTTGTTCCTATGATGAACTTGGACATTTAACGTGCAGGTCAGGCAAACTGGATGACAAACGCCGAGGCGAGAGCCTCTGAATCGCCCGGATGCCAACAACCTTCCTCTTAGCCTCTGAGGCGTGTGATCTGCAGGGTTCTTACTCCTCAGTCAAGTAGAGTCACTTTCTTTCTCCTCTGTGCGATTTGAGGAGGCTCTGGACCAAGAATGATAGCCTCACGGCAGAGGGATACCTTGGGTATCATGCATGTCATACCATTAATTTGCGTTGTGACACCTGGGAGCTAGGTAACAGGATACTCATCCGTTACAGCCCTCTCTATCACTATTTTGTGTATGGCCCTGGTTTCAGAGGAACTACGCAACCATGGGGCCTCATGACATTTCCATGTACCCAAGCTCGTTCGCTCTACCATGGGAGCTCTGGTAAGTAACCCCAATTCTCCTCAGGTCGCTGCCCTCGACGGAAAATGCGCGGGCTTCCTGTGATTGTGATGATGGCAACACCAAGATGTCCGAGTATTATACACCGAACCCTGTGTTTCTACCACGAACCCCTGAGCGGCGAGGTTCCTTCCTACATTGCCGAAACCTCTGACGCTCCCGGAACTAGGAACTACGAGCATCACCGTGCGGTGGTTCCCATTCGAGATATCCGTGGGCGGGAATGTGACTTTACGCTGCGCACTCATTCTTTCGCCGCCCTCCCAGGGGTGTTCTGTACTACACCGAGCCTCTCAACAACATCCGGAGACCGACATGCCACCGACTTTGACGACCCACTCCAAGTGTCAGCCAGGTACATCCCGCGCGTCAAGGCCCTCCTCCTCAACCAACTTCCCGGCGCGACAGACGTCGCGGTGTTTGACCACACTGTCCGCAAGGCCTCCGCAACGAAAACACCCGCTCGACAGGTCCGGAAAATCCATATCGACCAGTCGCCTCGGGGTGCTCTGGGACGGGCCCGCCGCCATCTGGACCAGCAGACAGCTTCGATGCTGGAGAGCGGGGCGATACGCTTCTCCATCATCAACGTGTGGAAGTCGATCAGGGGAACCGTCACCGACCACCCGTTGACCTTCGCCGATTGCCGGTCGCTTCGCCAGTCCGACTTGGTCCCCGTCCGGCAGATCTATCCGGACTACGTGGGCGAGACGTACGCGCTCAAGCACCGGAGCACCCAAGAGTTCTGGTACTGGAGCAATATGGGCGAGGCTGATGTTTTGCTGTTGCAGTGTTTTGATAGCCTTGAGAGAGATGAGGCTGATGGTGTCGATGAAGATGGGGATGACGGATTGGCTTATGCGCAATGCGCCCATGGGTCATTTGAACTGAATGAGGTAACTGGTGAGGCTGAGAAGCACGAGAGGGAAAGCATTGAAGTGCGATGTCTTGTCATCTACGGTATTCCGACCACCCATTCTGCGAAGATTACCTAGTTTTTAAACAACGCTATTCCTTCGGCCTTTACGTCTCTCTCTCTCCTTCTGTATCCAATCGACGAGCTGGAACCAGGGGGGCTTTCCTCCGGTGGTGCGTGTAGCGGAGGAAGAGGAGGATCCATGACGCTGCAAGTAGCTCTTCACGGAATATACAGCTGCTATCTCAATCCTGAACATCGCGAGGGCGAGCGTCAGGATGGTCAGCAGGCTCGCGACAAGGCCAAAGCTCCACAGGCTCCAGGCTCCATGGTCTCCGTTGTCGGCGACATTCATCCCGTACACTCCCTGTCACCCCATAAACAGTCAGTGATTTTAGGTCTGTGGGGTTGGTACTCGTCGAAATAATTCGAAGCAGGAGCCATTTGATGATTGCTGATTCAGGGGGGTGACCAAGCGGCTAATAGAACGGAAAAGTTGTTTCAAGGGCATACGCACCGCAATAAACGTGGCGGGAAGATACACCATGTTGAGAACGGTGAGTCTTTTTATGCTCTGGTTCTGGTTGAATGCGAGCTCGGCATCTCTGCGCTGCAACTCCATCATGTTCTGCGAGATGCGGGCCTGCCTGACGGCGTGCAGATTCATAGCCTAGCATATTTGTGACAAGGCGTCAGAAATGTCTTCAAAACAAGCAGTACAATACAGTTGGCAAACGGAGGGCGAGAGTACCAGGTACGATGCCCTCGGGGGAAGAGAAGCATAATAAAGGAGCATAACGTACCGTGTCAAGGATAGCACTGGTTCTTGTCCGGAGCGCCAGAAATCTGGAGCACACGACCACCATTGCGTCTCTTTCTTGCAGGAGATCCCTCTCGAATGTGGTTGGACGAATGCACAACCCGTGCTGCGAGGGAGCATTTGTCAAGTATGTGATGAAGCGGCTGTGGTAGTTGAGCTGCCGCTCAGAGTAGTCGACCATCAAGATAAACTTTCTGTGGAGCCAGTTGGCTGATTCGATGAGTGCTTCGTCGTCGAAATCTTCTGTCTTTTTTGTTTGCCATTCAGTCAGCGACCTAGCTGAGTGTAGCGGCGACGTGCACCATGGGGGGCGGACGAACCAGATCCTCAAGAAATCCTTCCATCTCATTGAGGAACAGCTTCCAGGAGGTCTTGATCTCCCTTAGAACCTTCAGAACAAAGCCAAACCCGTCGTTCGACAGGTCATCAATCAAAGCCTCGGGTGAGCCGTCCCCAACGTAGTTGTCGATCCACGCTGCCAGCTGGGGCTGCGCATTGGCGGGAATTTGAGAGACGAAATTGGCGTCGTCCATGTTATGGTACGGATCAGGGAAGTACAAGAACGTCCAGAGACGGCCATCCAACCTAAGGTGGCCAGACACTCTTCGTATGACAAAGACACGTGGGTCTAGACCCTTACCACGTGTCGTGGCATCAAGCAGCCGTACCAAGCGGACCGTATGTCCGATCTTTCTGGCATCCGTGTAAGCAGCGGGCGTTTCGGCCGTTACACGCATGAAGTCCACAGCAGACAGGTTGAAGTGCGAGAAAAACCGGGCCCCTGCTTGACAGCATCAGCATAAAGCAGTACGGGTGGAGGGGCTTGGACGGGTACGGAAAGAAACGCTACTAGTATCGATGTTGAATACTTGCCGCCTTGAAGCAAAGGTCCCGCGAACCACTCCCTATCGCTCGTTTTGAACCGGCATGTCCAGAGTTCATAATCCATCTGGTACTTGGCACCGAGGAATTGCAAGAGCGGTCCTGACAGCTTCGTGACAACTCTAGGTGGAGTAAAAGTGTCAGAAACGATGAGCTTGATGGTACTTGTACCCTTACGAAGGAGAAAGACCCACAGGACTCGAAGACTCAGCGTTTCTGGTATCTTGCGTGGGAGTAAGCACTGACGAAAAGACTAAGATCAGACTTTGAGGAGTTACCTGCTTGGTCAAGTGCTCCGTCAGCGGGTCGAGCATGGAGAACTGTCTTTGAGAAACGCGGCTCTTCTTGTCCGGGGCCCTGAACACCTCGACCAGCTCCACGGAAAGGGCCGCTGCCGGCAAGTTCTGGATGTAGTCCCTCAAGTCATCATCGTCTTCCCCGTACGGCGCCATGTTTGTGGTGATATCGGGCGACACACCAAGAGGGAACTCGCAAAGCGTCCGCGGCCGCGCAGCGGTAACGGGATGTGGGAGCTCTGTACAGTTATCATCTAGGGACTGAGCCGGAAGGCTTCCGCTCGGCGAATTGGCAATAAGAAGCCACCAATATGAAGGTGTGGGTGGTATAATGAAGCTATTGCCGTTCTTCTGCGGCAAACCTATGATCTATGATTGGAGGACGACTGCAGATTTGCAGCAGACATCGGTCAGAGAAGCAATTCTCGGTGCCGACGACTGCAGTAGGTAATAATTCGAAGACGGCAGCCTCCGTGTAACTGTGAAGGACCATGCATTGAGTCCCTCGGGCCATAATGATGCCCGTGACTGTGCCGCTGTGCTGTAGACGGATGCATACCTACCTACGCTTACAGAGCCTTGTTGAACAATCTGCTGATTCCTGGGTTGCACAAAGAATGCAAGAGGGACAGCCTTAATGTGTGACTGGATGCCGCTGCTCCACGGAGCACCCCCTCACACACCACAATCATTTCTCGGACACTGGCAGTTTACATAAAAACCGTCGTTGTAAGGAAACTGAGAGGGTTACTTATCGACTCGACAACAACTTCCACAGCGCCACAGTCTCCTCAGCACCATACACACAGAATCATTTTCGCGCAAGGATCTCTATTCAGCCATGGCCTCCCTCTCGAAGCTCCCATTTTCCGAGCGAGCTGTGGCCCATCCCCACCCGCTTGCCAAACGTCTCTTCCAGCTTGCCGAGACCAAGAAATCCAACCTCGTGATCTCCGCGGATCTGACCGATAGCAAAAGCCTGCTTGCATGCGCCGATAGTTAGTAGTTTCACTCCCAAAGGCACCGTATGCGCCTACCGATTGCTACTGATACTAACCCGGCTTGGCCAGGCCTTGGACCTTACATCGCGGTGTTCAAGACTCATGTCGACCTGGTCTCGGACTTTAGTGACGAGACCATTCAGAAACTCAAGGAGCTATCCAAAAAGCACAACTTTCTGATCTTTGAAGATCGCAAGCTGGTGGACATCGGCAACACCGTCCAGAAGCAGTACCATGGTGGCGTCCTACGCCTTTCGGAATGGGCCGATCTCGTGAACCTCAGCGTCCTGGGCGGCGACGGGATCGTCGAGGCGCTGGATAAGACAGTGACAGCGCCCGATTTTCCCTTCCCCGAGCAGAGGGCCTTCCTTATCCTGGCCGAGATGACCTCGAAGGGCAGCCTTGCCACCGGGTCGTACACCCAGAAGTGCATCGACATAGCCCGCCAGTTCCCACGATCCATGATTGGCTTTGTGGCAACGAGGGCGCTCGGCGAGGATCAGGCGGCGGAGAAGGAGGATTTCCTCGTCTTCACCACTGGCGTCAACCTGGCAAGCAAGGGCGACAAGCTCGGTCAGCAGTATCAGACGCCCGCGAGCGCGGTCGAACGTGGTGCGGACTTCATCATTGCAGGCAGAGGAATCTACGCTTCGGCGGATCCCGTGGAGGCCGCGAAGCAGTATCAAGCTGAAGGATGGTCAGCATATCTCAAAAGAGTCCAGGCGTGATGATCAGCGTGAGAGCCACGACTCTTCATGCTGCTAAGCGAGCGAAATCAGTGCCTTGTTATTACGCTACCGCAGCTCACCCATTGACGGGTGTCTTGAGCATAGTACGGAATCGATCAACCCTGGCTGAGAATTCTTCCCCATTCCACATCTCCCTGCCGTGGCGTGAAGTTCTATCGGGCAACCCGACTTGTTCTATGACAAAGCTCGCAGCAACGGAGCCTGCGATAGCGGCTTCGGTAAGGTCGGAAGCAATGCCGAAGATGACCGTGAAGGCACCAAGGAAGGCGTTTCCCGCACCGGTGGCGTCCACAACACGAGAGGAGCCACTACTGTGAAATGCTGGGAACCATCGAGCAGAGTACGAAGAAGAGGCAACCACGCAGCCGTGCTCACCGCAGCGGATCACGACGGCGCCGTCTCCGTTTCGTCCCACTCCGCATTCCAAGACTCGGAGCGCCTTGTCTTCGATGCTTTTGCGGTCAAACTCCGCCAGTGGTTCGTCACCGGAGCCAAACGTGGCCAAGAACTCGACGTGATTGGGCGAGTATATGTCGACGCACTTGGCTATCTTGAGATGTGCGTTTTGGTTTGCCGGATTGCAGGAAGCTGGAGCTGGCTCCCAGACCATGAGTGACTGTGAGGCAACTGCGGCCTCAAGACGGAGAACAGCGAGGTCCGTTGCAAACGTGTCCATCAGCTCCGGTGTGGCCAGAAAGTGGAAGGCCTTAGACCGCAGCAGTGGTGAGCCGCTGAGGTCAGCGGGCGTCGGTTGCAGCGGAGGGGTAGTGTACTCGAAAGTTTTCTCTATTATTATTATTAGTCCCGCAAGTGTCAGCACAGCCACCCCTCACGGACGGCATCGTAGGGTTGCCAGCCAAACCTTTAAAACTGCCCCCCAAGTACGTGAGAAGGCCTCGAGTGGACAACCTGGAGGCATCTCTTTTGATCGTCAGGGCGATGCCCCAGCTTTTGATAGCCTGCTCCACAGCATCGGGGAAGTCGCTTCCTGCCAGGACACAGCAGCCGACCGTTTGGGGGCGAGCAGCTGCAGTGTCGGTCATGCGCGCGCCGAGTGTGCCTGTGACGAATACCCGTTTAAGCAGAGGCCGAATACTATGCCTGGTCGAAGAATACTCACTGTACAAGCCTGATCCACCCGCAACGTCGTGAAGAATGGTTCCGTTGGGAAAGCGAATCTCATCCAGGACCACCATGCCTAGGGAGACAAAGGCTGGGTGCTCCGGGGAGTCCTCTGAGCGATCCCTTGACGACTTGGAGAAATAAGAGCCCATCCTGCCGGCGCTTCGGAATATGATAAACTTCGCAGAAGCTGGCCGCGGGACTGCTTTCGTTGCCAAGGGGAAGAATGTACGTCGGGGCCAAGAGCCGGTGGTGCGGTATCGGGTTCTTGTGTAACTTCCCTCCCCGACACACCCGCATGAAGGAGGTACGGCCACCAGGGGTTATCATTCGATGTGGAATGCAAACAATATACCTACGTGGGGCCTTGGTGTACCATATGCACCTCTCTACGCCGTATGATACTTCGACCTACCCCACTGCATAGGTGTCACAGGGGTCACGCTCCCAATGAGGTTGGATCTCAAGTTACCTACAAGGTATGCATCGTATCGGGTAGGTGCCTTGTATGCAAGTTGTGCTCTGAGGCAACGGCAACGTACTGTACCCGACGTTACTTCAGTTCGTATGCCATATATCACCTACTAGTAGTATACCAGGCATTATCTGGTCCACGAATCAATACAGCTACCATACCTCCCCTCCCCAACGAGCAAGCGACTGGCTTTGTGGTTGTACCGATGGTACAAGTGCCCGATTACTAACCATCTGTTTGTGCAACACACACCTTGGCTTAAAGACATTTCTTAGGCATTGGTCGGGCTCTGAGAAACAAACTCCTCTAACCAACCAACCAACCCACAAATTCATCCACTTTTACCCTCTTGATCCTTTCACCTTTCACCATAGATACTGCTGGACACATAGAGCACCGATTCCACGACCTACCTAAAGTTCTAAACCCAAGTGCCACCAGGGAGCTGAAATTGTACATACCAGCATGGCAACGACTTGCGCCGGAATACTCGGTGATCCATCACCCCGGCCCGAACCCGACTTAAAGCAGGCTGTGATTGTCGGCATGCTGGGCGGACCCGGGTCCGGTAAGGGAACGCAATGCCAGATGCTTTCGCAGATCTTCGAGCTCGCGCATATCAGCATCGGAGATGTGCTGAGGCAGGAGATCAATCGCCCAGGCAGTCAGTATGCCGGTATCATCCGCGAAAACATGATGGCTGGCAAAGTCGGCCCCAAGGAAATCACCATCTCCATCGTGAGAGATCACATGCAGAGAAGTCTTGCCGAGGGGACGCGCGCCTTCATTCTCGATGGTATGTGTCCTAGTACTTTGTGTGTGCCCTGGTCCCAACGAGCCCAGGCTCCTGAGGACTGAACCTGCTCAGTGCTAATAACGGAAATGCTTCCGTCAGGGTTCCCTCGCAACATGGAGCAGTGCAACTACTTTGAACAGATAGTCGGTCCAGTTACGCTCCTCCTTGTTCTCGACTGCCCAGAGTCGACGATGGTGGAGCGTCTGACGCGCTCTGATCGCAATCGGTTTGACGACACTGAGGATAATATCAGGAGGCGCATCGAAACTTTCCAGAATACAACGTCCGAGGTGATCGAGAGTTTCCGAAGGAGGAACAAGCTTCACAATGTCAACTCCGACCGGGAACCCGGCCTGGTGCGGAACCAGGTAGAGGCCATTCTAGATGGACTTGTCACCAAGCGAGCAGGTATGTACAATACTTACCAATCGTTCATAAGTCCGCGAGCATGATGGCTCTGGTCTTATATTCGGCGCTGGTTCGAACCAAGGCTGAACGTCGCGGCGCTGAGAATCATAGACAATCAATACCACAGCTCATGATCCTAAGCAAAAGTAGGAATGGGCCTTAAAACACCAGCCGTGCTGGTTGGTAGGAAAGGGGAACCCTGACGCACTCAGATCCTGTGGCAAACGGAAAGAAGTAAAACCCCAGATGTGGTGAACTCAGAGCCTGGGTTGGCAGCCGCCGTTTGCAAGCACACCTATGGAGTAGAGAGAGGCCAGACGGGGATATGAAGTTGAGCTGGTGAACCGCTTTACACCTTCCTCTCACTTTGGCTCGTACTTCCAAGGCAGCTCCTCTTGCCAAACGAGTCCTGATCCTCGAACCGCTGAGTTGTTTTTGGAGCTCTCCTCGACCATCAGGCCCTATTCTGTCAACTGGAAGTCTTTGGTTGTGGGCAAAGACTTATTCTGCCAACTTTGAAGTTTCCAGTTCTGAATCAGAGACCGCAGGAGGGAAGTCGCAACTTTAGTACATGTGAATCGCAAAGCTGCGTAACAGAACCTACCACAGACGGTGCATTCTGCTGGACTGTTACTGTGCTTGAATATCCTTGGAAACATTTGGCGTTGTTGTGATGGTTCATTCTGTATGTTGCAAATTTCATCTGTAGTATCCTACATACGACTTATGCTTGCAACACCTGCTCCGCGACTCCTGATCTTCTATACGTGAAACGTGAGATCCCGGGGTTCTTTCACTGGCTTCATTTACCCACATTGGCATCCTCAAAGATCACTTGTTGAGTAACATAAAGGACTTCGATCCTTGATTTAGTGTGTCCAGATGCGTCATAAGAATGGAAGCTTTCAAAGGTACCTTATGGACAGTATCTTGAGAAATAGGCTTTCCTGTACAGTGTTTGGCAATCCTAGCAAGAATCCTAGTTATCAAATACGGAGTATTCAAGGATCGAATACTGAAATGGTTGAGTTGGGTATGCTGTCCAGGAAAATGGAGGACTCGACTAGCTTTAGCTCCGATTTCCTCCCAAGCACCTACGCCTCTCTAGGCCCAATAGCCCAGGGAATCAACCATCACGCTTCCTTTTCACCCCTCCTTCTAATTCTTGAATTAAATTGCTGGGGATGCTGACGTTGGCGTCTCCTTTGCATGGATTTCGCTGGGCGGCGACTCATCTCCGCTTGCAACATGTTGCCGACCTTCATGGCCCTCAGGCTGGGATTGCTTTTCTGGATTACTCTTATTGCCATCCTTGTGACCCGGCCCTATCCGGCCAGGGCCAGACATGCGGGCGGCCATTTGAGGAAACAGTATGCCGGGCGAGAAGAAAGCCAAAAGAAGGCATGGAATAAGGACCATGCTGAAATGTACCTCCAGTCAGTACATACTTTTCCTTATTCGAAGACGGGGTAATAGAGGCCAACTCACAATCCCTCCAGTACAATGAAAGATGGCTCGTCCTGCATGATAGGGTTTCCCCATCCACCGGCCATTTCCGCAATCCTGTCAACAAAACCGTCAGCATCCTTCTAGGTTCCGAGAAAGCGACGGTAAGGTACAACTGCACCTGTAAATACACCGAATCAAGATGCCACTGTACGCCCCAGCTACAGCGTACATAAACATCCTGAACCGCTTGTCATGCCACAGCGCCACTGCCTCAGGGTCTGCCCCGTCCGACTTGATCCTGTGTCAAGCTCAGTCAGCCTTTTGAATTTTCCACCTAGACAAACGAGTCTGTCACTTGCGGTTGGATGTTTCCACTCACCACTTCTTGACCCTGAGAAAGTAATCGCCCGCCGAGGTCCCGAAGAACAGCAGCACCACCACCTGCAGCACGATCCCGGCAATGATACACCGGTTGCCGTGGTTGACCATGTCGAGGTTGACCTTGGCGCCGCTGGCCGCCAGCGACCCGCCGATGGCCTGCACACAGAGGCAGGACACGTCGAGCGGGACGAAGATGAAGGGGTATAGGTGCGGGCGGACGCGGGACAGGGCCGGGTTAAGCGACAGGCAGACGTGCTTCAGCGTGAGGTAGATGGAGATGCAGATGAGCGTCGGCGCCAGGATGATGGCGACGATCTGCGTCTCGAAGGCGTTCTTGTTCCAGGGGTTGTCGGTGAGGGGGATGCGCGCGGCGTAGCCTGTTGTCGTCGTTAGTCCCTCCGAATTATCTCTTCCCCGAGGTTCTCTCCAGCCTCCCCCTTGCCTTCCCGTTTGGTCCCTGGTACTTGTTGTACCGTCGACAACCTCCCTCAATCACCCTCCCAGCCACCCTTCCACGGACCACACTTTCCAACATCCGATGTGATCATTGGCATGGGAGAACAACCAACCTGCAAACTCCAGGGCGCACCCTGCTGCAATGAACGCCATGTAGCTCCACGTCTTCTTCCACACGCCCAGTACTAACGTGACAATCATCGCCAGGGCAAAGCCAATGGCGAAGAAGATGTTGATGCCTCGGTTGGGGTAGTACCCGAGCGTGGTGGCCTCGACGGGACAGTAAGCCGTCACCTCCTTGCAGGAATAGTAGTAGTTGGCGATCAGGTTGTCAATGTCCTGCTGGTCCATCCCCGGGGGGATCATCGACGGGTCGAACTTGTCCATTGTTGCCGCCGTTTTACGTTTCGGTCGGTCCTCCTGTGTATAGGTTTATGAACTGCGATTGGGCATGCGAGCAATGGAGATCGTCACAGGCTTGGTCGCTTCAACCGCTTCAGCCGGTTGTGTTGAGGTAACAACCTCGAAATATCAGGACAACCCGCCAACTAGTTACCCCAATACGAATCTTACAGTTACGGTCCTAACGAGCAACAGAGACGAAGAGAGACGGGCGCAGAAAGATTGGCCAGCGGGGTAGATCATATATACCTTACCCTTCAGACACAACCGAGCTCTGATATGGCAGCGTAGCTTTGACCCAGTAACGTTGACCCAACCGCTGAATGCTACCCAGCCAGGGGCATGGCACCACCAGCAAAATCCTGCCCAGGGCTACGCTGTTGCAACCGTTGACAAGGGAGCCGGAAGCGAGCCCGGAACAGCAGAGTAGGCCAAGGACCTGGAAATAGACCAAATCCCCATGCCGAGAGCAGAATGCTCAGGTGAGTCGGTGACATGCTCGGAGTCCTTTGACCTTTGTGCCGTATGTGACTGTACCCTACGCATGTATAGGAGGGCATGCGGTCGAAAGTCGGCAAAGCTCCGATCATCGTATCGGATCCGAGTAGATGCACACCGGGGGTTCCAATAGTCGCACTTGGCAATCTGATATGGCATTTGGTGATCAAAACCAGGTGCCAAGCGCATTGGCGGCGGAAGCGAGGTAGGGCTGTGGAAGCTCGGAGAAGATGACTGCGAGTGGTGGAGACCCTCCTTCCCCGCAAACTTTTGAGCCCTGGTCTCACATGTCAAGCTGAGCTCCTGCCCCCCGGTGCATTCATGTTATGCGATAGAGACACTCTTGAGAAATGATATGAATCCTTGAGCGGCATGCATGATGAGCGAACGCGTTGATACGGTACCTACAGGTATGTACGTACAGCATGGGATAGCAGGATGACAGCAGCGAAATTACTCGCTTTGCTGTTATTCCTTCCCACCAAGCCATCGATAAACAACGGAGAAGTCGCGTCCCTTACACCTCTCCTCCGCCTCGGCATTCCGGTACACTTCTGCTGCCTTTTCAGACAGAGGGAGCTCTGCACCAGCCTCCTTCGCTGCAAGCATAGCGAGTCTCAGGTCCTTGCGCATCAAGCTGATGCCGAACCCTCCCTGATAATCCCGACTCGCCGGCGCAGTCCCGACGACGCCCGGCACAGGGTTGTTCACTTCGCTCGGCCAGCACTTTCCGGTGCTGACGTTGATGACGCTCGCGAGAACCTTCGGATCCAAACCCCACTTCACGCCGAGGTTCATGGCCTCTGCCGTCGCGATGTTCTCAATCGCAAGTAGATAGTTGTTTGCCAGCTTGGCCGATAGGCCGGCCCCCTGCGGGCCGCAGTGCAGCACCCGCTTGCCCATCCGGAGCAGAATCGGCTCAATGCGACTGAGGAGACACTCTGGTGCTCCTAACATGAACGTCAATGTACCGGCGGTTGCCCCGACGACGCCGCCTGACATCGGTGCGTCAACAAAGTTACCGCGTCCATTGGGAAGCGCGGATGACACGGCAGCAGCAACCTCTCGTGACGAGGTAGGGTCAATGGTGGAGCAGTCGATGAACAGTCGGGACTTTGATCCGGGGAGAGCTTCCCCTTTCGGAGAAGCATTGTACGTCGATAGAATATCTTCATATGCTGACTTGACGTGGTTCGGTTCCGGGAGACAGGTAATGACCGTGTCCTATCTCAAGCCCAAGTCAGCTGACACTCTTGATGGTTTCTCCTTTCGTCGTGTGCAAAGAATTAGGCTAACCCCTAGGCTTCTCAGAGGATTGGCTTTTGTTGTATAACAATAATCACGGTAAAGACCGGCAAGCCGGCCCAACTTAGAACGTCATTGATGGAACAAACTCATCATGAAAGCCTGGGATTAGGGGCAAGAGGAAGTGAGCCAAGCAAGATGTCACATACCGCATCTTTGGCCGCATCGCCTGCGCTGACAGCTACCTCTGGGGCAGCGCCGCCAGCCTGCTGTGCCTTCATGTCCTGCACCAGCTTCTCCGAGGCCGCCGTGTTGATGTCGAAGACGCGTATGGTGTTCCACGGCGGAAGTTTCGCTTGGAGGTTCCGCGCCATTTGGTACCCCTACTCAGACAAAACCACCGTCAGCACCAAGCCGGCGAAAAGCAAGGTCAGTTGCATAACATACCATCTGGCCCAGGCCAATGAATGCATAGTTGTTCAGCCTGCGTGGTGACACCGAAAAGGCCCGGCGCTGCACCTGCATAGCAGGCCTTCGTAACCTCACTGCCACCTTCATTTTGTGATGCCGTCACGATGTAGGCTATCCAGACGTCTTGAAGGCAGGCAGTTCTCAGGCGGGCTCTTCTTGCCTCGTTGTTTGAGCCGATCGAGCGATATAGTCGGCGGGGCAGCCAGTGGACAAAGCCGGCCATTGCCGACCGGAGGCGGCAGCTCATTCGAGCATGGTTAAACTCTTGGGTCACAGGACCACCTTCGTACAGTACGAGGATCGGTACTACATGTAGAAACAAGTAGGGACGATCGACGCGCTGCAGTCAGGAACTAGCGTTCCTTCTCCAGGCTCGAACAGTCTCAAGAGTACAACGTTGAACTGACCATTGCTGAAGAGATAATTCTCATCCTCCCTGGAGGAGTTGGAGCGGGAAAAGCTGCACTTTGGTGCGAGAAAGCTTTTGTGCGCGGAATTGGACGAAGTGGGCTTGGTCCAAGCGTTCCACAGCAGCTTCCCGAAGTTCCGATATCTCCGCCCGTGATTACAATCCGGACCCTGCATTCCACCTGTCACAAGTCGAACATATTTCAATGTATGGAATACTGCGCAAAACAGCTGAGAAACCATCATACCATTGGATTGCATGTACTTGAACTCCAATGCCAACGCCGTACACCTCAGAACTCACACTTCGGGGTAATACTGACAGGACACATTAAAAGGGGATATTGGGATTATTCCGTCACCTCAACGCCCACTCCCTGTCCGTAAACAAGCCGTCCTTCGCCGCTGCCTTCTCATGGAGCTTGTGATGTCCCCCCAGGGCAGCTTCAACCGTGTCCTATATCCACCGACTCAAGTCTTCCTTAGAGAAAGAGGCTCGCCTTCTTATCCAGCTCCCAGCTATTTAGTGTAACGTCAGGGAAACGGCATATGCCGTAGGGGGTATGTGCAGGAAAGAAATGAAATATGAAGCGCATGTGCAATATGGCAACAAGAAAAGGCCTCCCGCGTCCTGTTCTGCAGTTCTGTTCAGCACAACCCAGCAAGGTGGGATGGTGAGTGTCCGTCAAAATAAGTCAATATCCCATTACGGGAGACGCTGAGCCGCTGAGCGCATCGCGGTATGTAACAGCACAGAAGGAGTGCAGTTCTGATCACCAACTTATAGCGCGTTCATGACATAAGGAGTAATCACTGGCAGTAGCGCACTGTCATCTAGTCAGTACAACGACAGTAAACACGAGGAGCAAGGAGAACAAGTTACTCACCCAAATGCTCCGACAGCAACTGTAGCAGTGAGGCCGAAGAAAGCCCGCTTGCGGATTTTCTCCTTGCGGATCTCCGCCTCTGTCTTGACCTTTTTCGCCCTGGGAGGCTCAACAGCGGCATCTTCGCCCTCCTCCCCTTCCTCATCTTGGGCGATCTCGTCGGCCTTCCGCTTGCCCTTGCTGCCGGCGACGGCAGCAGTAGACTCATTGTCAGCCTTGACGGCAGCTTCGACCATCGCCCTAGCATCGGCAACCATCTTGGCAGCGTCCTGAGGTGAGGGGAGCTCCCCAAGGATGGGCACTTCGAGATCGACTTTGGTGCGCTTGACTTCTTCACCATCCGCGTCCACGGTCACGTCCTGGTCGACATGGACCTTGAGCTTGGGCTCTTCTTCGACCGGCTCGAGCACAACAGCTGGCTCCTTCTCAATCGACTCAATCCTAAGTTCGGTCTCGGTCGCCTCCTCGACCGCCGTCCTCTTGCTTGTTGATGGAGCTGAAAGCTGCGACTGGAAAGGCGTCTCTCCGTTCACAAGCGTGGGCGACACCGAATCGCCGGTGCTGGTCGACTGGGTTTCGGTGACCACGGAAGAAGACTGCACCGACGCAACCCTTCGCTTCCGCGGACTCGCGGTTGCGCGCTTGCTGGCCATTGACTTCGCGGGACTAACGGAGCGGCGGCTACGGGATGCGCGCGTGGAGGCCGGGGTAGGCGGGGCGAGTGTGGGCTGGCCGGAGAAGAACTTAGGCGGCGGCGTGATGTGCTTCGGAGGGCCACTATCGGTGCTTGGTTGCAGCGGAATATCCGTTGGGTCGAGAAGGGCGCGAATCCAGGGCGCAATGCCGTATTCCTCAGCCAGCGCCAAAGCCTGCTCGGGGGGAATCCAGACGTTGCCGGCCGTCTCCTCCGGGCTCGTAGTCGGGAGGGACTTGATGTACTTGCGCTCCGTCTCCTCCTCCTCCTGCGCCGCCCACGGAAAGGTGGCCTTGAACATGCCGGTGGCGGAAACGAAGCCATCCTGGCTGCGTCGCATGAGGAAGTAGCTCTGAGGAGACGACTTGAAGATGCCTGACACGATTCCCTTCGGCAGCGGAGCTCGTAGGTGCGCGTAATCGAACGCGCCAAGCGATGACGTGTCGACTTCGCTGCCGGGAATCGCGGCGACCATTCGCGCCGTCAACTGCGTCTGCCCCAGCCGACGACGACCTACCAGTTCGCTATCTAATTGCAGCAAGTAAGCGACAAGTCAGAAAGTTGAATCGATGGAGGGGAGCCATACGGGACGGCACATCGTCAATCAAGAGCGGATTGCGGCGTTCCGGAAGGTGTCGGTTTGGCGCCATTGTCGGTGAGCGACGGTCTTCCTGGGAACTGAAAATATACTCCGTGGGAGAACAGTAGCGAGAGAAGATTCACCGCAGACGCCTCGAGTCTAGCAAAAGCGCGGGTCAGATGGAAACGCGACCGAGCGAAATCTTTGCGCGAAGCGGCAGGGGGCCGTTGTGTGCTGGGCCGCCGTCGCGCCGATCGACAGGACTCCACGGCAGGACAGTACCGTATGTGTTTGAGAATAATGTAAGAATCACTAACGTTATGCGTACGTGACGGAGAGCAGATGCCACGAAAAGCGATGGCGCAGCGATAGGGATACTGGTGATGCGATTGAGGGTTTAGTTTCGGCAACCGGGCGCAATCTGCAAGCTGTTTCTGGGGACGAGGCGGCAGATTGGGAGAAAGGTGTCTGGGTGTCTCCGGCCCGGGGTTGCGGGTGGTTCTGTCCCAATGAGCGAGCTCAACAGCGAATGTGGGGAAACCTTAGCGTGTTGGGAATGGGTCGTTCACGTCGATTCTTCAGTTCGCGATGGTGACAGCTCCACACCAACAGGGGCAGACAACCACGAGCCGTCATCTCGCAGCAGATCAAAGCTCATGCACTGGTGAATTGATTTACTAGCCAAGTTGCCGGGCTTCTGACGTACGTGTAGTTCTTCCCGCTGTCCCCTCCCTTTCCAGGATCGATCCATGGCTTTGTTATCGGTGGTGCAGTACGCTGCGCCAAGTCCAAGTACGCACGTGCAGCGCAACCGCGCTCCCCGCGAACTGTCGCTCATCACTGAGCAGCCCATTGCCTGTTGCCCACCCTTTGGCCTGCCCGGGAGTAACTTGACTGCCATGTCTTCTCAGCCCGCAGCCCGGCTACACGTCTGAAAGGCTCCAAGGTTCTGAGGCTTTTCGTCACCCGGATGACAACTCGGTCCTGGAGGATTGCCAGTCCTTCGATAAACCTTAGAATGTCGTCCCGGAAACTCAGGAGTCAGGACAGCCAGATCGGAAAACATCGGAGATTCACTTGTTCCGTTCCAGTTCAGTATCTTTGGTAACCTACCTAGCACGCCTAGGTAGTAGGGGGGGCCGACCCTACCGAATTTGGGCGACAAAGGAGCGGTGAAGTTGAATAGCTAGGTCCCCGCTGAGCATCACACTGAGGGAGTTCAAACAATAAACCTCCAAAGTAAGAGAAGACAAGTAGATACATTAGCTATTGCGGTATGTAGCAGTCCTCCAGCTTTGGGGATCCTCACTTCTCTGCTCCGGTTCTCTTCCCGACTCCCTTTATGGTCGGTTGTTTTCCCCTTTTGCATGCCAAGTTTGTTGTTACTAGTACCCCTAACACATTAAAATTCTAGACTGTTGTTGGCCTGCGACGCAAGCGTAAGTTACCGTCCCGGCTTGCATCCGCATGCCCGTTGCAGCGAGGCTCTGATCTCGCTCCTGGCTGGTTCAGAAGTCAACGTTGAGGAATCGATGAGACATTGAATCTGTCTGCACCCATCATCTCCGTGCCCCTATGATGCCCAGAGCAGTTGGTAGTGATCAAGCCTAAGCTATGGTCGACCTGATTTGCTGAACTACAAAAGGATAGCTAGGTCTGGAACTAACCCGACTGGCATCTTGTCAGATCACCAAAAAGCGGCTGGCCCTTGGGTTTTCAGAGCGATGTCGCTGCCAGCAGTCACAGCCAGTGATGTCTGATTATCTGGTCCCATCAACATGAAGTCGTGGTTGCTGGGGAACGTGTTACAAGGGGTGTTGGTTCAGCGTTCGAAGCCCGACACCCAGATGCGGCGAGACATGGTGCCACGAAACATGTGGATAAGCGTCTTGGGCTGCCGTGCGGTGCCGTCGAGCACCGGCGACTACATTATGTACGTACTGTACATACATAGAACGAAGGAAGCGCCGGTAACCTCTGGGTAGGTAGGTAACGGTGAGGTTCGACGGGTTCCAGAACTCAAAGTTAGTAAGACGGCCGGGCCCCATTTGAGACGTGGGCTTCGGCCGGCTAACATTAGCTCCACAGCGGACAAAACAAAGGAGACCGCTGGTTGGCTGATCATGGGAACCCCTCCATGACCGCCCCTCTTCGTCGCCTAAATAAATAAGCTTGGCCCCATCAGCAACAGCCCGTCGAGCTTTGGCGTCAACAACCTTCATCAGCGCAGTATTCACAACACCGCCTGACGGTCCTGATCACTGTAATTGCCCATCATGGCGCCCCAGGACGATGACCTGCTCCCTGAGAAGTGAGCTTTTATGAGTCTCTCTTATTGTGGTATAATGATGCTAACAGATGGAAAGCACCTCGGGCTACAAGCTCTCCCAGCCCAAGCACTCCTTGGCCGAGTATCAGAAGATGGGTAAGTTCAACAAGTTCAACAGGAAGACGGGATACTTCTAGACTCCTTTCTTTTTCGCACCTACAGATGCTGTGAGGACTGGACTTGGTGAATATACACGTGACCTTGGGCAAGTGCTGCGAACATCCGGATCAGGTGCATGGACTGGAGGCTACGGCCAGCGTCATCTTCGTCCCTACTTCGAGCACACCCCCGATCTCGAGTTCTTGGAATCCAAATACCGGATCCTGTTGTTCGATGGTACCACTCCCCACCCATCCTTCACGGGAGCACTGGACGAAGCACGTGTCCAAAGCGTCTTCCTGCTGCAAGCGTTATCAGGCCTGGGCTACCACGACTTGCACGCGTCTTCGCGTCCCTTCCTCTACCCTCCTTAACTACCCCGCGAAACTCGCCACCGACCAGATTCTGTCACAAACATCAATCACACCTCTTTCACCTGGACCTCCGCTACCCTCTCGCTTGTCAGACAACCTAGTCTAGGATCACTTCACCAGCCACCATGTCCTCCGGTAGGAAGATTACTTTTAAGGAGCCCGAGCCGTGGGAACGCCGGCCTAGGGTTGGCATCTGCACCGCTGGAGATGGCGCAGCCGATCCCGCGGACAAGGCCCATGGGGCGAAGTCGTCAATGGGTGCTGAGGGTGAATTCCAAGTGCAGGGCGCTCAGGTCCCTCGCCGCGTCCGGGCGCGCAGCCCATACCCCCGCTCCATTCCTCAAGACGAGAGGGAAGAACTCAGCCGAGTTGTGCTGAGAGTTCAGAGCTCGGCTTCTGCAATTCTCTCGCTTAGCTGTTTTCAGGCTGAGGCTGACAGCGACATCGCAGACGAGGGCGATGAGTCTCTTCAACGGTATAAGCAGTCACTTGGTCTGGGCGGTGGGAAGGACCTTTCCGACCCGAACGATCCACGTGTCTGCATCATTCAGTCGCTCACCATGGAGTCCCCTGGTCGCGACCCTGTCGTGATCGATCTCACGGCCCCGGGCAGCGTCGATAATCTAAAGAAGACTCCATTCAAGATCAAGGAGGGCGCCACTTTCACCATGACTGCTCAATTCAAGGTGCAGCATGAAATCCTTAGCGGCCTTCACTACGTTCAGGTCATTAAGCGCAAGGGCATCCGGATTCCTGGCGGCAAGTCAGACGAGATGATTGTAAGTATGGCCCATATTAGCTTCTCAACCGAGCCTAACTGCTAACTTTGCGACTACAGGGCAGCTATGCGCCTAACACCGACAAGCAGCCTATTTACACCAAGAAATGTACTTTGCTCCCTTCATGTCGTGCTCCACTGTGCGCACGACAAACTTGTTCAAGCGCGTTAGCTAACCCCATCTAGTCGCAGAGGAGACGGCTCCGTCCGGCTGGGCTGTTCGCGGCGCGTACACCGTCAACTCCAGCTTTGTTGACGATGACAAGAAGACCCACCTCCAGTTCGAGTGGGCCTTTGAGATCGACAAGGACTGGTGATCTGGCTCACGTCAGGGCACCGCTCACCCCTGATCGAAGACAAAAAGGAACGGCATCTCTTTGGGTCAAATTTCCGACCCACTCTCAGGCTTGCTGTCCATGGAACTTGCTGGAGAAAAGACGGGCACGACAGGCCCTGCAAAGATGACGATAGGTGGAAGGACTTAGCCGGTAGTGCAGCAGGCTCTGATGCATGATGACTCTCACGCTGAGTCCTGGTTAGATCTGCTCTGCTCTATACCCTTCCGGGGACTTTGGTCACTGGGGCAGGTAGAGCAACATCTGGATCGCCAGGCAATCAATGGCCGGCTGGCCTTCGGAGAGGTGGATATTGGCTCTTTTTCTTTTGCACCTGGCTCTCATCTTCTGGTGTGGTCCGCTCTTCTCTGGGAGAGGCCTTGGCCCAAACCCATATACGTCTGCTCAGTTGCACACCTAGATAGCCTGCGCGGCAGGAAAACATAAAATGAGATCTCGAGTCAGCTCTTGAAACCTTTTTCTTCCAGGATTGCAACATATTGCAACCTGTATTCCTCAGCTACCGGACGCCGGGGATTGTGTGCCCGAGTCCAAAGCTACCATACCCTCTCAGAGCCTCTTCTCACGTCTAACGTTCGATAACCTTCTCAGAGCTGATGTACATGAAGGAGTGTAAAACAAAGCCTTGGTATCGTCATCTATCATAGGTCATGCACACGAGATCTTCCCGCCCAAAATCAATCACTCATATACTACACTCTCACGAGGGTTCAGTTCGAGTTCACCAACCCCATTTAGTTCAGATAATCCATTCCCTCCCTCGTACATCCCTCCACCACTCTATAAGAAGTAATCCGGTAACGCCCCGCTCTCTGCGCTCTTGTCCCCGCCACTGTTCATCTGCGCGTCCTTGACCGCATCGTTCTCGGGCGCGGCGGAGAAGACGTTGAAGAACCGCTCGCCGGTGTCGCTCACCTCGAGGACGCTAGCTTGGTTGCCGCACCGGTAGCAGTAGTTGGGCGCGCTCCACACCGTGCTCAGGCGGTCGTCGTACAGCACCTGGAACCCTTCCTGGCAGAGCTGGTGTGCGCGCAGGATGTGGTTCATGTTGTTGACCGCGAGGAACTTCTTCACGACCTGAGCGCCGAACATGTAACCAGCGCCGCGCGGTGAGAGCGAGAATTCGTCGCGTTCCGGGTCCGGGTCCGACCAGACCAGATCGGCCATGGGCCCCTCGTGGGGGATCTCGCGGAAGCGGTCGATGATCTTGATTTGGTCGATGGAGTGGATGGATGGGGAGAGACCTGTCGTTGTATGTGTTAGTTTGAGACAAACCTGCGATAGAGCGAGGGAAGGGGGCCCACCCCCGTGGACGCAGAAGATCTGGTCGTTGATGACCACGCTGAGCGTCAAAAAGTCGAACATGTCTGTGAAGTAGTGCCACACGTTGGCGTTGCCATATTTGCGCGAGCACTCGGTGTAGAAGCCGTACGACTGCGTCACGCCTCTTGATTCGTGGTTCCCTCGTATCAGGTAAACACGGTTGGGATATCTCAACTTCAAACACACCAGAAGAGAAATCGTCTCGACGCTGAACATGCCTCGGTCAACATAGTCGCCTGTGGCGGAGGTCCCCGGTCAGAAAGTTGGGTTCAGGCTGGTCAATGCTGGATGGAATGACTGACCAAGGAATAGATAGTTCGTATCCGGGCACCAGCCACCGATCTTGAATATCTCAATCAGGTCGTAAAATTGACCGTGGATGTCACCGACCACAGTAACCGGTGCGCGCACATGGACTACGTTGCTCTCGCGCATCAGCAGCTCCTTGGTCTTGGCACATATCGCTTCGATGACAGATTCGGCCAAGAGTTCCTTTTTGTAGAGGCGCGAGATGCACTCGTCAAGGTCCACGGAAGCTGGACCGGAAGCGTTAGCGGCGCCGATTGCGAACCGCCGCGAGGCCTGGCGGGGCAGGGCTGAAGTGCCGAAGGGGTTGCGTCTGCCCGCGCGGGGAGGTCACTCACACGGGAGTCCCGGCATATTCGAGAAAGTGACTTTGCGGAAAGAGAGAGAGAGAGAGAGGGAGAGAGAGTTTAGATATCAGGAACCGCGGAGGAGAGGACTGCTTCCTCCAGCTCGAGCAATGTCAACGGCGGAGAGCGGGTCTATGCGCAGCAACATATTCGCCGAGATTAGGCGTCACATCGAGCAAAGGGCTTCAGTCTGTTCGTCCTCGGGCTTTGGAGAGCATATGAGAGCAGGCTGTCGTGATTGCCGTGTCAATCGAACAGTCGTGTACAGTAAGCTACAAGGGGCCTAGCGTTGAGGCGAGGAGTTGAAGGTCTGCATTTGCGTCAGCTCGAAGCGCGCAAAACTGCCGTTCCACAGCAGCGCTGGCCTTGGCGCAAGGTCCAAAGGTGATTGGGTCGGAGCTAGGTCGGGACTCGGGATAGCTCTGTCTTATCGATAACGCGCTGCTTACCTCAGCAAATTTGACCTAGTATTTCCCCACATCGGATGCCTAGGGCGTCTGGCTTAAAAGCAGAGGACTTCCCACCAGTTGGTGCCGCCGATTCTCTCTCATGTTCTCGCTCTTGTCGCCTTCACGTCATTTCGTTTGTTTCTGCGACCATTTCGCCTGGATGTCGCTGTGACTCTGATACACGCCAAAACGACATCCAAATGCGATCATTTGACCTGAGGGTTTGGTGCCGTCTCTGAGAGACGCTCTGGATTCACGGATACTGGACATAAATCGTCATTTGACGTTGTCAGTGAGGCCTGTCTCCCTGCGACGAACTGGGTTGGAAGTCAATCTCTTGAAGTTGTCAATTTTTCTTTGTGTTTCCTCATCCGCCCCGTCGCAGCCGCCCTTGGCTTGAGGACGCTGTTATCGCAAGACAGCTGTCCTCCAGGCCGTGGTCAGTACATAAGAACCGAGGTAGGACTTGGTTCCGGCTTGCTAGAATCACCTCCCTTTCTTAGCTCTTATTATTCCTGGCCGTTCTTCCGGCGCTTCTTCAACTTCATGATATTGTTACAAGATGACCGTCACCCAATATATTCCCGGATTCAACACTGCAGATGTACCTATGACATCAACACTAGGCAGCTGTATTGAATCTGGAAGCCCGCAGCGGCGACTTATTCTTCACTTTATTCACCCCTCGCGGGGCTCTTACTGCTCAGTTATGCAGTGCTGTAATCCCTGTACCTGACACCATACCGTTTCGTGGACGACGAAGCTTCAAAATAGTTTATGGCGACTTGCATCTATCATGCCTATCTATCATGCTCCCCATGTGGCGTGCTGCTAGGCGCGCGAGCGCAATCTTGAGCGTCGTTCACGTGACCTTACGCGCCAGGCTGGTCAGCCCCGCCCAGGCGGCAGCGGCTGAAGTTCGCTGAACAGCCATCAACTTTCTGAATTTTGGGTCGATATCCAACCACAGAAAATGACTGTCGTAATGTTCCTTTGCCGGTCCACGAAATCGGACTACGAAAGGTCCTAAGCAATCTCGGGCGCTCCCTACGTCTTTGATGTTACGAGCACGGCGAAACTCGATTGGACCAAGGGCGGAGGATCTCGAGCACCACAGGCTCGAGTAGTAAGCGGACATTTACAACCGAGACGGGTCGCGCGACTTGCCAACCGTTCGACGCGGCCCGCCTCCGGGTGTCCTCTAGCACGCCGTAAACATCTCGCATTACTGTGTGCTCCAGGCTATTCCGAACACAACAACCCTGCATCAATCGAGCCTACGCGGGCACTGTGTGGTCCGGAGCCAACGGCGGCCTATCGCTCTCGATTCGAGGCTCGAGTCGGGCTGGGCGGGAGACCTATTACGGATACTATTCAGACGTTCGAACCGAGGGCATCGCCATCCGAGCTTCAATGCTTCAAACCTTCCCCAGTGATCACACATCCCCGCCAACAACCTTTCCTTGCATCTCACTCTGGCTCATTGACTGGGCTACGTTCCGATCAATATTTGTCTTTGCTTGTCATTGTTCTATTCTTCTCTACTTCCTCTTCTCAGCGGCTGGTGCTCACGGAGCTTCTGCGTTGAGCCCTTACACCAGTACAATACTGGTGCCCCCGAAACTGGCCGCGACATATACGCAGCATTACTATCTCCCCATCACTCGCCTACCAGCAAGACTACCCGAGCAGGAGCCTTCTGTCCTCAAGAGTTGGAGACAAGCCACATCTACGCGAAATCCAGGGGATCAGAGAAGAGTGGCGGCCGAAGCTTCACCAACTGGGAGCTGAGCATCATGACCGACACGGCCCCCGGTCAGCCCGCTACTGAACGGGAGGCGCTATGTTACAACTGCGGCGCCGCGGGACATTGGGTGATCGCTTGTCCGGAGCCGACGAGGGAGGTGCCAGCGTAAGTCCAGCCGTGTCCACGGTCATATGCCATGGAGTGTATGAGCGCAATTCCTTTAGCTTGAGGGTTGCTAAGAAGCATAGCGGTCTCCAACGATATCAGGCTCAGCACCAGGGACATGGCAAATCTGAGCGAGGTGCGCCAATTAAGGAGAGGAAAGGTCCCATTGTCACGAGATACGCTGTTCCTCATCCCCACGGTCCGATCGGCGCTCCTTATGGCCTACCAACTCCGCCGCCTATACCCCCTGGAATTCAGCCGCCGCCTCCGGCGTCGCTAGGCTACTCGCCGCCAGGATATCCCAATACTCCGTACCCTGGCAGCTATCCTGCAGCTCACCCTCCGCCCCCTCCGCCGCCTGGCTATGAGCAATATCAAGCTACTCCCCCGCCGCCACCTCAATATGGTCAACAATCTCCGGGTCAGCAGCCTCCGTACGGACAATCTCCGTATGGTGCGTCTTACCCTCCGGCGAGCTACTTCCCCCCGCAGCCTTCTCCAATCCCAGGCCCAGCTCCGCTTTCGTATCCTCCAGGCACATACCCTTCGCAGCAGTATGGCCCCTCTCCGCCGCTGCCGCCTGTACCATCACCTTATCAACCCTCATACTCACCCCCTCCGCCTCCTACGCCTGGAAGTTATCGATATCCTCCACCAACACCACATCCACAGACGTACGGGCCGCCACCCCCGGTGGGACCACCCTACCCTCCACCACCGGGCTGGACCCCGTCACACCATGCGATTCCGCCGCCTCCGCCGTCTCTTTCGGCGAACCAGACCCCTCTTGGAAACTCTCGCGCTAAGCATCACAAGCCCCATGGGTCCAAACGTTCGCGTCAGCACCGTGATAAAGACCGGCCGGTGCATGAACGACATAGGAAGAACGGCACGCACGGTGAGCAGCAGGGACCTCGGGCCGGCCGGAACAATAACCGATCAAGGGCTGAAAGGCCTCAGGACCCGGTGGACGAGGGAAAAGAGGGAAAAGAGGAAAAAGAGGAAGGAGATGGCGAGTGGGACTTCGAGTCGGAGGAAGACCTGAAGCACGTGTTTCCGGAAATAAAGACCAAACCGGCTGACCCCGTTGGCATCCCTTTACCGGCGACGTACACCGAAGACCCCACCATTCCCCCGGCCTACAATGCTACTTGCGTGAGATCCGAGTTTTTCCGGGAGGACAACGCGACCGAGTTCGCACGGTCAATTAGGGATCACACGTCATGGGCCACCGTGCGACAAGATCCCGCGTTCAGCGTCTATGACGACATGATATTGCGCCGTTTCCCTGGCAACGATTGTGAATACCCAGCCTACAAACCGCTGGACATCCCACCGCCTTCGTCAGAAATCAAACTCCCTCCTCGCTATCGCATTGACAGGTCAATCTTGCCAAGTGTTCCAAACAAGGACGTCACAGACGAAGAGACCAAAGGCAATCATAATCGCCACTTCCACCATTGTTCCCCTGAAAGACGTCGCGATTCCAGACGGGACATGAATGGAAACAGCCTTTTTCGGAAGCGGTCCCTCTCGGTCAGTAGAACTGACGACCGGGACAACCGGCTTACGAAACGGACGCGGTTATCCGAAGGACGCAGTGATGCGTCACCAGAAACTCAAAACTCCACAAAACTCAAGCTTGAGGGTGACGCGTGGTCGCCACAGGCACACCAGAGCATTCTCGCCCCGGTTCAGGACAGGGTGTCCGGTGTTGATCAACGGCCCCGGAAAAACGGTTCGTACCGTGGGCAGTCCGTGGAGAAGGTGACTCCACGACACCGCGGTGATGTTCGGGAGCATTACTCGTCCGACCGGTCATACCGGACACGCGACTCGCCAACCCGCAGCAGTAGTCGCATCCGCAGCGTTAGTCGCGCACGCAGCCAAAGCCGCGATCGCAGCCGTGTGCGTAACCGGGTGACATCCACTGACGGGGAGAGAAGCCGCAGCCCTTTGCGTAACCAGAAGTCTAGTGCCCAGGACAGCAGGAGCCTTACGGCGCTCGACATGGAATTATTGGGAATGATCGAGGGGCCCGACGAGGAGCCATCGCCACAGAAGCCGGTCATCAAGAAACCCACCAAGAGGGTGAAAGTCCCGGAAGCATACGCGTAGGGCCGTCCTTTCTGCGTTGTTTCTGGCCGTTACTGACAGTTCACAGGCGCCGGTGGTAGTCCAGACCGACTACGACATTGCAATTCGACCACTTCGCCGCTTCCACAACAATCTCCGCCTCGCATCGAACTCGACCGCGATTTTCGACCGCGACTCTCAGAGACTTACCAGCTCCTCATACCCTGTCGGCAGGAGCAAACAACTCATACCCCTGAATAATCTTTGGCAGATAAGATGAAAGGTCACCGGGCGATATTTTTTATACGGCATGACGATCTACGACGAATGCTCGGCGTTACGGTTTCGGCATAGCATAGCGTTGACTGCATCATCGTGCATGGCAGCACTAGATGGGCGTCTTGGTGTTGGGTCTGGGTTATCAACGGGTTGGGAAATGTGTCATGGTCTGGGATCTTCATTACAATCACAAATGCACTTACAGCAGAGTGCTATTCTTTTCCCCGGCTTACAGTACGGGAATGTATAGTCGATTGGTACCGAGGAGCGATTGAATACATCGCTCCATGGAGATAAACAAAGCCTTTTGTCCAATACCGTTGACATGATGTGCCTGGTTCGTTAATGATGGAAAGCAAAGGATTAACAATGCTTTGTCTATCCCCCCATCTAGCGTCACATGGGATGTGATGTACAGTATCGTCGTTTCAGTTATGATCTCTCAGTTCTCGCACAACGGCCTTGTTCACCACCATCTAAGTGCAGTTAAACCTAGCTACTCGGTGGCCCGAAATTCTATTCAAACTCGCCTATACCTCAACCACGACAGAGCCTGTATCCTTTCTCAGACTCATCGTCACCATCCACACTTCAGCCTCATCCCAAGCCCGTATTGTATTGTACACACCATTGGAAGAGCGACAGACAAACCATAACGAAACATGTCACTGACCAACGGTTTGTACAACATCATGGCCTCCAAGAATAGCGCGCCACCTCCATACAATAAAGCAGCCAAACTCGTCATGACCGTCGAGGTCGAGACGGTTCAGCTGCGCGATGAGGAGACTGGTGAGGTACTTCAGACGGAGAAACATTATCCGTACTACCCCCTGATCGATCGCAAGGTCGAGCACGTTGGAGGGGGAAAAGGAGGAGGTGATGACGGTCCGCCGCTGTCGTCGTCGTCGTCGCCGTCCTCGCCGGCTCGGTCAAGGCGTTCTTCCAACGGGTCATCCAAGGCGTCCTTCTCCTCTGCTTCGTCACGCCTATCTCCGTCGTCGTGGTGGGGGTGGGCTGGGTCTTCTCCCAGCTCTGACTCTTCTTCTGGCGCTGGTGCTACTGAACTGAGACAGGAGGAGGTTGATGAGCAGTATGAGGTGTTGGACGGGATATTGGAAGAGGAAGAGGCTAATGGCATTGTAGGGTCGAGCTCGGCGTCACTGCCAAGTACGACTAGCCTTGCCAGCGTAGCTTCTACTGTCTCCTCTACTGGTTCTGCTGCGGTAAGAAGAGGGTGAAGTTCACCTCCCGGCCTCGCGGCAAGCCGGACAATATGAACATGTAAGTAAGGTACCCCATCCGGCTTCAATTGAGAAGGCTCATGGATGGAAGGTGAGTACTCGTCCGACGCTACTTACCTTGGCCCTCGATTTCAAAAGGGGGGACTTCGTTCTTAAGGATGAGTTGATCCGTCTTACACCTAAACGGGGCCGCTCTTCCCCAGTATATTTCAGATCTGCTAGGTAAGTAGTACTAGGAGTACTAGTAAAGCTCAAGTGATTAGAATCAATATATCAGATCAGAATGTGCATCCTACATCAATCCACGTAAGCAATGATATCCACGTAAACAACAAATAGCCAATATGAACAAACATTCGCCATGCCCGCGTAACTCCACGCGCTGCATCATGACATCAGCTGTTTCCCCCCTTTTTAGTTGTCTGTTCCGTAAGTTGCGACTCTATGTCATCGGCTGCGCTGTCTTCATGTGGCATCTCGCTAGTATAGGTTTCCCAGATACTCAGGCCAAGGCCAACAACAACAAAGAAACGAAACTTGAGAGGGGCTTTTTGACTAGGTAGGTCTCGCTGGTTGGAGGGACGGAAAGTACGGGTTGGCCACTGCTCCTGGTCAATCTTGTCTACATCGGGGGAACTGGTCGCCATGAATCTAATCTGACCCAAGTTGTGGCATTGACATGGTGGGACTCATTCAAGTCTCGGCGGCAGCTTGCTCGTGAGACAATGTGTTTTGCGAGCTAATAGATCCAGCGCGGCACTTGCCACAAGCTGTTCTCACAGATACGTAGTCGGGACGGAGCCGCCGTGTTTATTCGACGGCGCACCCCAGCCCGTTTCAAGAAGTCCGCATAAGCCTTGCGTCCTCGTCGGATTCCTCCTCTTCACTCTCCTCTTCCTCATCCTCCTCTTCATCCTCTTCCTCCTCCTCATCGTCATCTTCTTCATCTTCTTCATCCTCCTCCTCCTCCTCCTCCTCACTCTCCTCACTCTCCTCCCCTTCATCCTCAGCCAGCCAGTCATCCAACGTCTTCTCCCCCAGCCCGTTCGCTGCTTTGCCCCCAGCTTTCATTCCGCCGGCAGCCGAAGAAGGCGATGCCCTCGCCCCTGAAGCAGCGACCGCCGCGTCCAGCGCCTCAACAGCAGGCACGACCCTCCTCTCTCCGTACCTCTCCGCACCTTCCACCTCCCGTAATTTCGCATCCGGCTCTTGTCCCTCCTCCACCCACGCAGGTAGATCCTTGTACCCCCTGAGCCCATGCACCCCGCCGCCACCGGCAAGCACCAGCGCCGCAGAGCCTAACGTGTACCCCCTCCTCGTCTCGGACGGGCTGGGCGCTTGTGGAGCGGGTTTGGGGGCGAGTAGCATCAGCGTGGCGAGCTGTGGCACCTGCAAGAGCGCTTTGTACAGCCGCGTGCGGTCGCGCAGGTCGTAGGAGGTGTCGTAGCGGACGAGCAGGAGCAGGTAGCGCCAGAGCTTGGCGATCGGGTGGCCATCTTCTTCAAGCAGTTTCGGTGCTGTCGCCTGCTGTGACGGGTCGTCGTCCTGTGACTTGGACTGGGCCTGATCGATCTGCCGGTTGAGGTAGTGCAGGTAGACTTTTGCGCCGAGCAGCACGATCTGGCGTTTGGCAACTTCGGATTCCGAGGCAAAGTCTTTCAGGAGGATCCGCAGGACGTCGGCCGCGATGTTGTCCTCCCCGTTGAGGCCCGAGAATTCGCCGACCAGCCAGATGATGGTAGCGCGGGCTTGGGGGTCGGTGGCAGAATCAAGGTTCTTCGCTAGCCGGATAACGGTTGCGACGTGCGCGGTTGGGTCTTGCTGGATGAGATGGCGGATGACGGTCAAGCTTTCAGCAGCCAACGTGCCGTCTAGGCTAGTGATCTGGCTGAGGAGCAGGCGCAGGCACCGGGGGGCTGTGGCGCTGTCCGTTTGGGCGCACCGTCCGATGGCTCTTACCGCTTCCCTGATTAGGGTCTTGTTTGAGCCTCGGCTAAAGTGCTCCAGTTCGTTGAGGATGAGACTCTTCACATGTTGTGGAGCGTGCGGGAAGATAAGTGTGAGAAGCTCCAGTTTGAGCTCCCATACTGGTTGCGTGTCGGTGCCGCGAACTAGGAAATGCGTGGCGTACTTGACGAATTCAGCAGGCTGGCCAAGACAGATCGAGACGATGTTGAACAGGGCAACTTGTTGGATGTCTTGGGCGCCGCGCAGCAGCGCGATCAGGGGCCCAATAGCCGCTTTGGTGTAGGCAGGAGTGCCAATGGCAGAGTAGCATCGCGCGACCGCAACCACCACGCCCGAGTTGCGAGACTGCAGGAGAGGCTTTATGCTGTTGAGGAACAGCTCAAGGTCTGGATCAAGAAGGACCACGTGCTCGCCCTCGGAGCTGCTCTCCGACCCCTCGCCGTAAAAGTCATGGAGATTCGCAGCTCTCTCCTTATTCTTGACGGCCTTTGTCCTCCTCGGGAAGCACTTCCGCGCGTAGATGGTCATCAATCTCAGCGTCGACAGTTGGCTCCACTCGTCCATATCCACGATCATCCTGACCAGATTCCGGTAATGCTTGTGTATCAGGTCGATCCTCTCGGGGCAGATGACCATGAATGCCGTCACGGCTGCGCCAGCGACATAATATTGCTTGTCCCCCAGCAAAGTCGAGAGGTACTCCAGCAGTTGGGGCAGCTGTGAGGGGTCGAGCCGGTAGCACTTGGGGATGGCCAGGGCGGCAGCGCGTCTGACATACGGGCTCATATCTCCGGCGCCCTTTCGGATGGCGAGCGACACAATCTGGCTGATGACTGGTACGCGAATGCCCGACATAGTGCGCAGCGCCAGCGCCCGCACCTGGGGGTTTGTGTCCGACAGCGACTTCTGGATCGTGTTGATGGACAGCAGCGCGAGGTCTGGTTCTTGCTCGGCGTGGTGGATGAGATAGATGTACACGAGCTTTTTGATTTCGAGATTCGGCGACGCGACGTTCTTGACCACGGACGAGAACAGGGGTAATGTCCTTTGGCCGCGGTACATCATCTGGGCACCTGCCGGTCAGCTAACGGAAGGGACTCGGAGGATGTGCAGCAATACGTAGAAAGGATCGACGCACAGATGTGACGCGCCGCAAGCCGTCCAACACCTCCCGCTCATTGCGGCTGTCCAACAGCTTCTTGACCTGCGTTCTGTCCAGGGGTCGGGACGAGCTCCGAGAGCTTCTGGCTGCCGAGGCCGCATCGAGGGTCAGCTCTCGCGCTGCGGTGGGCGAGTCAGCACTGGCACAGCGGGTTTGACTTTGCAGATAAGCAACCAACCATTCTCTAGTAGCGTCGATATCCTAGCTATGGACTCCATGGTGGGCAGCTGTTGGACTGTCGGGAGCTCGGAGGCTCGCGACCAAGAAGTTGACAGGCTTGTGGGTTTGGACCAGTGACGGGATGAGCAGTTCTGGAAGCTAGCGGTTGGTGGGGTGATTATGCAATTACGCAGTAAGTTAAGCCCCACACGAGAGTTAGCGGGGCGAGCCCGTGGTGCGGTTCGGTCCGTGGAGGGTGCCCTGCTCGATTGGGATAAAGCAGGGGTAGTCCAAACTGGACATCTAGTGTACTGAGAAAGACCTCCGTACCCGAAACTCCTCACCCAAAGAACCTCCTTCAACTTGAACAAGAACAACAACCTACAACATGATGGACACTCAAGCACACCGCGTTTTCCTGTCCCCGGCCCTGCCGTCCGACCTCCTGCAGTTCATCATCAACCACTGCAGCTATCCCACCACCCTCATAATCTGTGCCGGCCGTTCAGAGTTCCTGGCCTCCCTCATACAAGACCTCTCACAACACCAGCAACAGTACCAGAACTTACAACAACACCCTTCAACCGAACCACCACCACCACCACCACCCCACGACACCGCCGTGCAGCAAGGATCGACCTCTACTGCAGCCAATCCGCCACCGCAACTCCAACAACTGGAACACAAACCGCACCCCCTCCTGACCTGTCCGCTCTCCCAGCTAACGGTGACGCGGCACGTCCGCACAGTTTTCATCCCAACCGTGTCCCACCTTCGCGCCTTCCTCTCCGTATTTTCTTCCAAGGGAGACGTCCCAGCACCGCCACCCCAACCAGGACCGGGAAAGGGAAATGTGAAGGTGAAGCCAAGGGAGAGGGAGAGGGAGAAGGAGACAGGTGACGGACGGCGTCTTCCGCTGCTGGTGGTGTACGACTTCCTCTCGCTCCACCGCGACACGAGCGAGTGGAGCGTGCAGGGTCTGGGGACAAGTGCGGCGGTGCTGGTTGAGGCGGGGAGGAGGGCCGGGTTGGGCGTTCTTGTTGTTGAGGGAGCACGTGTTGTTGGCTCAGGGCAAGGGGCCGCTGGCGAAGAGCGTCGGGGAATGGGAGGGCTGCTGGAGGAGGGGGTGCCTGTCCTGAGCGGGAGTGCGAGGCGGACTGGGGGTGATCTGCAGGGCACCGGGTGGGCGGGTAAGACGGTGGATGTTGGGCGGGTTCTGCGTCGTTGGTTCCAATTTCGGACGGGACCGTGGAGCGCTGGGGAAGGTCACGCTGGAGGTAGCGGCGGTGGTTGATGGGCATGTGTGAATTTCCGTTGCGTTATGAGGTCTATTTTTCATCGTCGACATTCGTGTCAGTATTCCGTACAACCCAGTATGAACAAATGCTTGCAGCCCAACCCCGACACCGACGCCGTCCCATCCCTTGCTGTGGTATCCTACTTCAGAGAACCCAAAAAGAACCGTCAAGCATACCCAACAAACCGCATTGTGACATGATCCAGATGTGGTAATAGCACCGAGCCCTGCTTAGATGGCCTGCTCCATCTCCGTGATGTACAGCTTGATGTGAGCCTCCAGTTTGAGGTACTCGTCGTGTGCTGCGTGCACCTCGTTTTCGATGTTCTCTTTGAGATCGAGCATCTGGTAACGTGTAAGCAGGTATCGAATCCCTGAATATACAAGAAAGCAAATACCTTCTTCTCGATCTGCTCGATCCTGACCCTCCTCCTCTCAATGTCCTTGCCCTTCTCGGACCGCTCCTCCGTCAACTTCTTGTGGACCGCCCGCAGCTCTTCCATCTTCTCCTTCGCCCGCTGCGCCTTGTCCTGGCTCTGTGCCCGCAGCGTCTCGGTGCGCTCCGTCCACTTGGCCAGCTGCCGCTTCAGCAGTGCCTCGGTCCGCTCCACCTCGCGCACGTTTGCCCCGCGCTCGGTGAGCGCATCCCGCTGCTTCGCATTCTTGGCGTTGTCTTCCTCCTCCTTGGCCATTTCCACCGCGATCTCCTCCAACAGCTTGATGCACGATGCCACGTCGCTGCAGACTACGGCAAAGGAGTCGGTCGAGGTTTGTAGGGCTCTTGCTCGCCGGTCGAGGGAGTCGATATGCGATTTGTCGTTGTTCAACGTGTTGCTCAACTCCGTCAGGCTGGACTGGAGGGCCGAGGGGCTCTGCAGAGTGTATGGCCGCAACTTGGCGCTCTCCTTCTGCAGCGCGATCTTGGTCGCTGTCTTTTCCTCCAGTTCGGCGGCAAGCTCGCCCTTCTTGGCCTTGGCCTCCTCCAGCCGTGCCGCCACCTTTTCTTGGCTCCGCCGCAGCTCCAGCAGCCGCTTCTTGAGTTCCTCGTTCCGGCGCGTCTTCTCCGCGACCAGGGCCTCCAATTGCCTTCTGTTGGCGTGCATGTCGTCCAGTTGGGCTTCCATGTTCTGATTCTCGGCATAGAGCTGCTCGATGCGCGCCTTGGTACTCTCGGCCCGGTTGCAGTGTTCGTCAATGACATTCGTTTGACTCTCGCGGAAGCGCACAAAGTTGATGACGTAGCTGAAGATCTTCACCAGGCGGTCGTGTGTCGGCTTGTACAGGTCGGTGAAGCTGAAGTCGGTAACTCCACAGTCGAGCATCAACCGGCGCAGCGACACGAAGAAGCCCATCAAGTTCCGCGTGTCAGGCGGCATCAGCGAGTCGCCAAAGTCGCCGCAGATGTCCTCAGCCGCGGCGCGCATGGCGGGGTCGACCGTCTGGCGCGTCTTGTTCATGAGCAGCTCGCCGAACCACTCGAAGATCATCTGTACTTGAATCGGGTTCGGCTTTTGCAGATCGGCAACGGTGAAGGGGATTCCGAGCTCGTTGATGCAGCCGACGATCTCGCGGTCGGGCAGGCGCATGTTGGCGTAGGCCGCCTCTTCCTCCTTTTTGCGCGACCGCGACTGCTGCTGCGCGGCGGGCAGTATTGACATCCGTGGGTTGTACGCCATCTTGCACGGCTAGCGTGGCTATAGTTTGGACTCTGTTTCGCTGGGCGCGCGTTGTCTAGTCCGCGTCGCGTGTGGTGGCATCGAAATGTCTATGCGAACTCCGGGATTGGGATTGGCGAGTTGTTGACAATGGCGGGGCGAAATTGGGTTGCTCGAGGAACAGCAATTCGCTTAGCTGCATAATGCAGAAACGCATTGGCCAATGGCCACTGCATCCATGATTGTATGTATCCACGTGGTATCCCTAGTTCGCTTTTATGAGCGAACCTACGATTGATGGTACAGACGGAGTTGCCTCAAGGAGCGGAGGAGCCAGCACATGCAACAGTTGCTATCCTAATGTTCATCTTGTTCATTGGTGTTGTTTCTCACACGCAGGGGCTTTACCAACTCAGCTGCGTCCTTTCCTTTCCATGCCCTTATGGGAATGGCTGATCTTTCAATCCCACCTGGGGATGCTTTTTGACACATCTGCGTGAGAAAACCGGTGACCTAGGAGTCCGCTTTCACTTGATCCACAGATTTTGCAAGCCGTGTGAATTTAGTCTTCTGGCATGTGTACCTATGCTTACCGGACTTCACGTTCAAGGTGTCGTTGACCTGAATTCTAACCTCGGTGCTCAAGGAGACAATAGTGGGTCATGGCTAAGAGGAACCGGCGGTGCTCCAGGCGGCGGGCAAGCCCTGTTACTGTAGCTGCAGTGAACAAGCCCAAGACCTACAGTAGAGACCGAGCTCAGCCCCGGGCCGATCGACAGCCAGGGGTCTGAAGAAGCTAAGTTAGGTAGCACCGCTTAGCCTTAAAAAGTTAAAATTCCACGTGCTGTACGGAGCATATCCACACTTGGCAAGAGCTTAAATGAACGTTGACAGTTGAACAGCACAGCTACCGTTACAACATACGCCGCAATTGCCACTGGAATCAGCCTCTTGACGTTGTAGGCAGCCTGGCCGCTTCATCAGTATGGCAATCTTTGTTTTTTTCGGAAGCTGTGGGCCTAACTGGTAAGTCAAACTCCGCCTGCAGACGTTGTCTGGACTCTGTTTTCCAAACTCCTGAACGCTGACTGATGGTATGGGCTGGTAGCAATTCCCATGGGGCCTTTCTTCCAATGAGGCCATAATGCATGATCTACTGTCTGTGGGGAAGGAAGAGAAAAGGACATCGAAACCGAGATCTAGAACAGGCGGCATGACTGTTGGGTTGTGGAGTCGAAGGACAGCTAGTCTCCTCTCGGAGGCTACTATCGAATCCTCCAAAGCGACGGTCGCCCCGGCACCAGCGTGGGAATCAACAGTCGAATGCAGAGCCGCCAGCTGAAACCGCTTCCTGGGTAAAGCGCGTTTGCCATCTAACCGGATGAAGGAGACTCCGTCCTATAGCCTTGACGCTATTTGGGCACTTGATATCGGTAGCTCTGCACCGTTGGAGCGAGCGAATCTGCGAGGAAAAGGCCTGTCGTGAAGGCAGGAGCAGGCGTATAAAAAGCAGCGATGAACTCGGCCATGCGAGTCAGGATACGGCGATGTGGACAGTGGTTGACGTTGGCAGATCTTCTCACCGATCTCCGCTCTTCCACTCGGCGATCTCTCCCATCTGCTTGGCGATCTCTGGTACGACGGGACGTTCGTCATGGCGCCACCGGCGGCCCTGTTATTCCTTCTAGGAGCCACGGTTTTGGCTGGCAGGACATCTGCTAAATGCAACAGACCCGGGTGCAACACGGACGCCTGCGCTCGTGCCGTTCGCTCGACACGACAGCGGTCCCCAGCGCCACCCGTTCTGCCGACTGCAGCTCCTTCCTCGCCGTCACCGTCACTCCCTCCGCCTCGTGGGTGCACCTCGTACCCGTCCTCTGGTAACCATGCTAGAGAGTTGCGTGCTGACCATGAGCTTTGCCTTGGCGAGGGCAACAGAACCGTGTGGGTGACAGCGACGGATGCTACCACAGTGACCGAGACGGTTGTGCTTGAGAAGAAGAAACGCAACAACGACGACGACGATAGTGTCAGCACCTCTTCAGAAGACAGCACTAGCGTCTCTCTCTCAAACGCGGTCCCTGCCTACGCGAGCGCTTGCACGGACGCCTCGCGGTACAGCAGCGCCTGATCGTGCTTCGGCGTCACCGCCTCCACCGTGACGGTCTCGCTTCCGGTCGTCACATCGGTCACCATGCTGTCTACTACGGTCACCCAGGACGAATATGAGAGCCCGCCCCTGCCGACCTCGTCTGTTGTGTTCCCCGACGATGGCATCTGGGCGGCAACCTACACGTTCGAGGAGTACGCGCTCCCTACCTTCACCGACGCACCCGATCCCTCCATCGTGGTCAATTATCCCATCCCAAGCACGACCTGTATGCTTCATGCTACGCCGACTGGCGACTCATTTGTAAGTCACAGCGCTTGCGGTTATTGTTAGTAGTGCAACCGTGAGCTCTGGCGTTGACTGGTAGGCCCGTTTTAGTACCTCCTTGCCCCCAGCGCCGGATACATGTTCAAGAAGGCGAGCGGCCTGGCCCCCGTGGATCCCCCCCAAGACGAAGCTGCCGCTGAGGCTCTGCTGGCCAACTGGAACCCGGCCACCTTTGAGTTCCGGGTCGCTGAGGGCACGTCGGCGGGCTTCTTCGACCTTGTCCTTCAGGACGGCAGCAACCCGGATCTTTACGTTGCCCTGGACGTTGCCACGGGCGATGTCTCGCTTGTGCCCTCGTCCATCAAGGGCAAGTTGCAAGACGGGAAATGCACAACGGTGTTTGGGGTCTCCTGCAAGGGCTCCCTTGTCGTCGAATACGGGAGCACCAGCTACGTCTGGACAGCGGCGAACAGCAGCACGATTGCCGCCCCCGGGATCCCTCCGGCCAACATGACCTCACCGCTCAACACCATGGTTATCCTCCCTACGCGGCTCCAGACACCGCTCGACCATCAATCCGCGTCTCGGAGAGCCAAGGTCCGGCGAGCGCTGGCGCGGAGAGACCATGCGCAGGACGGAAGCGCGCCCCGCTGCCCTAACTTCCCGTACGGCAGCGTCACGGCCGTCTCGAACGGCCACTCTCCCTCGCCGCCCAACGGATGCGGGCCAGACGGGGCGTGGTACACGGCGCTCATTCCCAACCTGGACTTTGGCGGCTGCTGCAACAACCACGACACGTGCTACGACCGGTGCTCCGAGTGGTTCGGGGGCTGCAACGGCGTGTTCCACTCGTGCATGCGCGACCAGTGCGCCAACAAGTACAACCACTGGTACAACTCGTGGCTGCGGCCGGGCTGCTACGCCGCGGCCGGCATCTACTACTTCGCCGTGTCGGGCGAGTCGGCCCAGCAGCACTTCCCGGACGGCAGCCGGGAGGACTGCGCGTGTGTGTGCGCCGACCCGAACAAGGCCATGTGCGCCACCGCCACCACCTGCCAGCAGGTCCGCGGCGCCGGCGCCAACGACAGCAACAACTGCGGCGGCTGCGGCCGCAGCTGCGGGCCCAAGGGCATGTGCCGCGACGGCGTGTGCGTGTGCCGGCCCGAGCCGCCGACGCCGAACCAGTGCGGCACCACGTGCCTGAGCTTCCTCAGCCACCCGCGCAACTGCGGCCGCTGCGGCAACGTCTGCGCCAGCGGCTACTGCTACCAGGGCGCCTGCTTCACCCCGCCCGCCGTCCCGGACCGGTGCTACCCGGTCGAGGCCGTGCAGAACGGCGACTTCGGCGCCGGCACCACCGCCCCCTGGTCCGTCCCGCCCGATTCCGTCGCCGGCGACCTGAGCGGCACCGCCCTCGGCAACCTCCCCAGCTCACAGGGCGGCCCCCCGACGGCGCTCATAATTACGTCTAACCCGTTCGTCGGCGCCGGCGCCGGCATGGCCATCTCCCAGACCGTCCGCCTCTGCCCGGGAGTGCAGTACCAGCTTGATTTCCAGCTGTGGTCGACCCTGCCACTGCCCGTTTCGATCTCCCTCGGCGGCCGCGTGGTGGCGTCCGACGCGCAGATCCAGAGTTCTGGGGTGTGGCTGGCCCAAGGGCCGTTTGATCTGCCTGTTCTGAACGAGGGTGATGCGGGGACGGCTGCGGGTGCGAAGTTCTTCCTTGAGACGGAGCTGGTGATTTCGTTGACGGGAGGTTTCTCTCGCTTCCGTCTATTACGCAGATTTCGGACGTGTCGATTCATGCTGTGTGAGTCATTCTGGGATGTGATGTAGGGGGGCGCCGACTTGAAGTCCCTCGCGGTGTCGAGTGCGTCTTGATACTCAGTTTGATGTCGTTCTTGTAGATTATTTAGTGGTTTATCTCAGGCGCTGCCATCGTATCCCCGAGTTTCGGTTCTCGGTGTATATACTAGAGGAGAAGGGAATGTAAATAGTACATTCTAGACTTTGTCATCGCCGGTATTCCCGACTTGCGATCGGGAGCCCACCCCCTGGTCACATGCTCGCTGACCCTGAACCGTCCTCGACCACAGCTGGGGCCGTCCAGAGAGGGTGCAGCGGCTCCCTGGACCGATCTTCCCCGCTAACCGAGCACCCAACCTTCCGGCCGATGTGGCCGCGGCGTATGAGCAATTCTGAAGAGCGGCTGCGGTCGTTCCTCGTCCTCGCCGTGGACGGTCAGCAGGTGCAAGTTGCTGGGCAATGTCCTGGCCCGCGGCGAACTGGGTTGTCTTTTGATTCTCTCATTGGCGTGTCCGAGTTTGTCGGGGCTGTTTGATAACTGCTGGTGGTGCAAGGCCTGTCATCTGCAGTATGGCGATATTAGGATTCTAGATCCCGAACAGATTCGCGGTAGGGATAGAGACTAGTACTAGTAATAGAATTGATATGGAGGGTGTTAATATAGAATAAACAATGCGTACCTGCTTGAGATTACCTTACCAACCAACCTAAATCGGGAGTCGCACGGAGTGCCTTTTGACATGTTGGTGTCAGTCCAAAAGTGGTAAGTTAACGGAAAAAGAAGAATAGGAAAGAGAAGAAGCCTGGGGGACATCGAGATAGGAGCTGAGGATGGAACTCTGCTTCCTATTTTCAAGTTTAGTAGCAGGTTTTCTCAATTCACAGATTAGAATAAAAACATGGCCTTGAATATAACGTGACAATGAGCAAAAAGACTGGTGCTATGTAGGTTGGTTTGTGGTATGAACATTGTGTTGCTGAGGCCGTCATGTTGAGGGATGGAATAGGTCCGTACTATAGGACTTGGGTAGTATGCATATAAGCTTGAGCAATTTCCGGTCGGGCGATGATCATGACGCGTCGATCTAGTTGATGTATTCGACGAGAACCACGTACCATACTGTAGTGTCATTTCGAATTCCAGATTGAAGTTCTCAGCTTGCCAATGGATTGCTCACGGGCCCTTGTTGCGAGCTCAGCAGAAAGGAACACTCCCCCGGCTCAGGAAACACGGGAAAATGCAATGACCTTGCACGTCCTTGCACGGCAGCCCTGTGCAAAGTGACTCAACAGCTGCTGTGGGGTTGTGTTACCGAACCACATCAGATTAGAAGCTGCTAGTATGTCCAACGGCGGGGTTCATTAGCAGCTGGGAGCCTGGGTCCCGAATGAGACACTCAGGTGGGAGATATGGGATGACCTTAGTTGAGGCTTAGATCCTTAGAAGTCGGGTTATTTTCAGCTTGCCGAGTCAGGCATGAGCTTCATCTGGTAACCATGCGGTGATACTACTGCGCTACATTCAGCGTTTCTCCGTCTTTCCATTCATGCCATGTGTTTGCTATGATTGGCTCCCAGTTTCTGGATGAAATTTCCATACTCGAGAGGATTTGAGCTTCATTACCCTTATTGATTCAGTCTGCCAGGAAGGCCCTCTCACTAGTTAGTACTGAGTTACCTTGAGCACATTCCGCTTCAATCCTGGAAACGTAAGGGGTAGGGTAACGACACCGTACTGTGAAGTTACGGTTTCGTGACACTCAGTCAGGCTGCCTGTGTTGCCCCCGGTGTGAGCTAGCTGCTTCGGACCGTTGCAGCGAGATAAGTTCTGTTCAACTAGTGAATCGTACATACTGCGCAAACACGTGTCAGGCAGACAGCGCTGGTTGAGCTGCAGTTGCTGTTCCTTGCACTGCATTCCTGGACAGTTGGAACCAATGCACTCCCGTCGAGATGCAGGTCCTGCAGTGTTGGACGAGACCAATCGGCCCCGCGCTAACTACCTTACTACTAGTAGTAGCTCTCGGTTGACAGATAGGCGTGCCGTGCGTGATTTCTAACATCAGTTCCTCGGTCGACGACTGTGTGTGATCGATCGAGCCAATACGCCAGGACTAATTGCAATGGTTGGCGGTCCCGTCTTTTGACAAGCTTGAACATGGCTAATAACTGAGTTGTAACATCGTCGGTACTACGAAGGATACCTAACTCGCAGCGACGTCTCGGTTGAGCCCGTCGGCCCCAGCATGTCCGTTCTTAGTGTACGCACCCACCCGCCCAGACGAAGAATTGACGGATACGAGCATTGCAAACTTCTTAGCTCACGGTCTTTTCGATGGACCCGCCAGGGGCCCTCAGCTGGTTATTTTAAGCTTAACGGCCAGGCATCTGTGAGCGCCGCCGAAGCACGCACGTTTCTCTCAGACCAAACAACCAACGAGGCGCCTCACTGATGCTTCTTGCGTTTCTTGTGAAATACGTAGGACATTTTCTCAGGTAGCGTGCCGCGGGGAAAGGGAGACTACTCCGTAACTGGGCTGGGCTCGGCAGTCCTAATAAGGGGCCGGCCGTTGGGTTGGGGGCGACGCCAAGAGGCAAGGGGCGGGACGTCAAACCAGCAAGAACGGTCCTGGTTCCCCGTCGAAACGCAATCCGGTTTGGCGGAGTGGCGAGGAATTGAAGCTACGCTGACGTCGTCGCGATAGAGTGCACCCTACATACACTGGCATATCAGTCCTCCATGCTGGGATATGGAGGTTGTATGACGAAGCATACCATTTCCCCTGGGCTCGTGGCTCTTCTTGGGAATGCTACACTATGTCGTTGTTGCTGTCATAAATATTTGAACGTGGAACTCAACGACAGGGCGGTCGGCGTCTCTCCGTTTTGCTTGTTCGACGACCCTTCGTACCCAGGGATGGTAGTGGGGCAAGGTTAGACGAGCTGCCCTTGCTTCCTCTCCCACTTGGAATCGGAGCCCAGATTTTTCCTCGTTTCCCTGCACTGGCTCAGATTATTCCACCGCGTGGGCCGATCCAGGATTTCCTCGAGACCCTTCAAACGTTTTCCCCCCACCTCAACATAACGGCGTACCTGTGGTGGGCAGATCTGTGCCTGACGAGCGCGACCGCATTTTCCTACTGTTTTACCTCGCAACCTCCAATCTCCCTCCATTCCGACAACCTGAACTCGCACTGCAAGCCGCCCTCGTTCGCTTCCCGCACGAGCCAAACGGAGGGCACGATACGATCCCGCATTCCGGCGTCGTCTTCTCGAGCAGCCGTCGGCGCAATCTGGCTCGGCCGAAGCATGCTTTAGAGACATCGATTCTTTCCGACGTCAATGCCCATCGCGCCTTCATTCCCGCCGACGCGTCGCCTGCTTTCGCGTTTTCAGAATGAATCTACGCCAGTCTTTCTCGAGCACGGATCGTTCCACTCAACATCACGGCGGACCTTACCACAGGATCCAGACACGCCTCGCAATTAACCGTCAGTGAGACTGTTGTACTTCGCGCAGTCAACATGCCGCTGTGGCCGTTCCGGCGCAAGAGCCGCCGAAAGCGCGGTCGGACGAGCACGATAGACGAGGATTATGGAGGACAATTAGAAGGTTCCATCCTCCCACCTAGGAGTCAAACAATGCCGGAAGTCGCCATGGCCCGTGATACCCCTACACCGCATCGACAGCCGAGCAAAAGACAGCGGACCGAGCCCAACAAGTTACATCGCAGGCGCCGATCTTACAGCTTCTCGCCCGGCCGGGACGACTCTGAGCGTGTGAGTCGGAAGATTAGCACCGACCATCCTAGAGGTGTCAAGCTGGACAGTGGCGCGGGCGCCGCGGAGGACGGGATGCTATGGCGTGTGCCCACGCTTCGCAACAAGAGGGACGGCGATCACCTGCCGCGAAAAATGTCAAGCAAGAAGCGGCGGAAGCACGACCAGCAACGCGAGGCCGAGATCAAGGCTATGAGCAGTTTCGTACCCCACCGACCTGCCACCGAGGATTGGATGCTCGGGCGCCCGTTGAAAAAGGAGACCAGGAAGGTTAAGACAGGCTTTGGGGGTGGCCTCAGGGTAGCCGACAACGACAGCTTCAACCGCTCGTCAGATGTATCGTTGCCTCTCCCCGAATCCATCGACTCGGCCCTGTCTTCCGACTCGGATTATATCGCTTTTAAAGTCTCGGCGCTCGAGGCGCTTGCCCCCCGCCCAACTCTCCGCTACATCGCTCAGCCAAGGCCGGGCGCCGGTGTCCTTGATAGTACGGGGCTGACGAGGCGGCCGTCTCCGCGGGGAAAGAAGCTCGCTACGCCAATTCCCGAGGCGACGCTCAAGGCTCACAAGCGGGTCGATAGCATCGCAGACGAGCTCAGCGCGAGCGACCTTAGAGAACTCATGGAACGAGACCAGCGGAGGCGGGCAAGGAAGAGACAGCTGGAGCAGGAGAGGCTGGAACAAAAGCTCGCCAGGCGAGCGGAGAAACAGAAAGCAGCCGAAGCCGAGGCCCAGAGACACGGAAGGGAATCGCCTCCAAATCTTGAGAGGGGAGTCCTTGGTCGGGAAGATGTTGGCTTGGGCATCGATCCGTCTTCTGCCGTGGTCACGTCTTCGAGAATACGCCATTCAGGCGAGACCAGCAAACAGCCAAGCGGCCGCCCTGACAACGATGATGAGGTTGTGCGGGAGGACACCCGGCGAGACCCTCTGGCGGCCTTCCACCGAGTCGACAGCATCCCGATGCAGATTCAGGACGGCCCGGCTGAGTCTAAGGAACACGGTACGCTACCCGCCGCGGGCGCTATGTCGAAGGGATCGATCGGATCGATCCGCAGAAGGTTGTCACGGCCCAAATCTCACCAGCCATCAGAGGCAAAAACCGAACAATCCGAGCTGCCGTCAAAGGAGTCTGATGCTGGCACGCCAACCAAAGGAACCAGATCGTGGGCCTCGTTCTTCAGGTGGGGTAACAAGAACAAGCGTAGCTCGGGAGGTCCGTCCTCGTTCTCCAACACATCGCGGGACTCGATGCAAACGATGCAGGCACCGACGCCTCCTCCTAGCCTCCTACTACCACGGCGTGTGAGTTCAAAAGTGCCAAAACGGACAATGTCCCGATTCCGCGAGGATCTACCAGAGCTGCCCATTTCACCTCCAGCGTCCCGAATCCATTCACCAGAAGCAGAGGCAGTCCCTTCCCCAATCGAGCCGCCTCCTGGCTTACCCAGCGGCACCAATCGAAGGCCCCCCTCATTATCGACTTTCCGGGCAAGACATGACACCCCGTTATCCGAACAGGTGTCTGTTGAGGCAATGCGCCAGACGCCATCCACTTTCAGCCACCCGGACGAGCCTGGGGTTTCGCCAGAACCTCAAGCCACATCGCTCGCCTCTATCGATTCTGAGGGCTCGTGGTTTTCGGGGAAGCTGTCGAAAAAGAGAAACCTGTCCGGTACGCTGGAGCAAACACCAAGCCCACGGCAACCTCGACACACGCCGGAATCGGACATGGAACGGCATCAAGAACACGATACCAATAACGACGATATGTACATCACCGAGGATGATTACCTTGCACGGCTCGCGCCCCCGCACGGCGACCGGTCCGCAGGAAATCGCAAGTCTACCGGGGAAGCAAGGCCGTCGAGCGACTGGGAAGAGCCACAGTGGGGCAGTGTCCGGGGTCAACAACCCACGGTTGTGCGTCCGCGCACTGCCGCCCGCATAAAGAGCCGCGAAGGTCTGCTCAAGGCGTTTGGCGAGGACGATGAAAGCATCCTCCAGCCAGCGGACGCAGCCGACAGTAGTGACGCAGGCGAGGAGGTCGGAGTGCAGCGAGCGACGAGTGTGGACTACGGAAAGGCTGCACGACGAGTCAGCGCCGGAAGCGCACGGTTGCTGTCGATCACTCCCCGCTCATCGATCGGCTGACTCCAAGCACCCGACGGTGGGAGCTGTTGGTGAGTCGTGGGGTTGCAAGTGGGAAGAAACGCGCATGTGAAGGTATGATTTGGCTGATCCCGAGACATTACACTCATTAAAACATTCCTTAAACTTGTATTTTCTTACCTTACGTTCACCTTCTCTTGGCGTCTCCTTTCCAATCGGTACCGACCCAATTCGCTCTCTATCATTCCATTTCCTACATTATCATCATAAACCCAAGTCCAGAAAAGGGAAAAAACAAAGAACAAACAAGAACAAGAGGAAAGGGAAGAAAACCCCTGAAAAAAATGTGAAAAGGAAAGCAAAAGGGACAACACCCCGTCAATTGTTTCACGTCTCTCGGATCAGCCATCCATCTTCTACTGCTGCTTCTCTTACTGCTGTCTCCACGGCTCGCACACTCTCCACCGGAGTAGGGTGAAGGTCCGACCACTTGGGAGGTTGTTGTGAGTTTTCCTTTTACTTCTTCTTAACGCGCTGATACCACGGGACTCGAACTGGGATTCGAAGTAAAGGGGGAAAAGGGATGGGTTCAGGGAGCACGTTAAGGATGCGTTTTCATACCCTGCTGGGAGGAACACTGTACTCTTGTTGTTGGCACGATAGAAACGAGCGTGGTTTCATGCGGACTGCATGACCCCTTTTTTTGCGTTTTGTGTGTATGTATGTATGTACATACTACCTTTGGGGGGATATGAGAGAAGCGTGAAATGTCTGCTGCAGAACACAGGGTACTACTACTAGTCGCTACATTCGCTTTCGAAGTTTCTGATGTTGTCCCAACGGTGTTACCCGTCGCTACCCACCAACTGACTGCAAAGGAGAAGGAGAGAGAAAGAGAGAAAAGCAAGCACAACAACATCCGAACAGTTTTTTTTTTCCTCACGCCGAGACGGCCGTCTCCTTGTTGGCAAAAGCCGCGGCGGGGACGGGCTCGGGGTCGTCGGCGCCGTCCTCCTTCATGCCGCCGAGGATCATGGACTTGGGGGCCATGGCCTGCCACACGGGCGGGTCGGTGAAGGCTTTGAACTTCTCGTCGTGCCACTCCTTGGCCGTCACCCAGCGGCCCTCCGAGTCCCGGAACATGGTGTCGTCCTCGGCGCGCAGGAAGTAGGCGATCGAGTAGCGGTGCTCGGCCGGGTCGAAGGGCACGACGCGGTGAATGCACGACTGGAAGCGCATGCCGCTCGCGAAGCGCAGCGAGTCGCCCACGTGCACGAACGCGCAGCCCGGCTTGGGCGCCACGAAGCCCATCTCGCGCGCGCCGCACTCGCCCGGCGGCCGGATCTGCAGGCCCCACTGGTCGCTGAAGAGCAGCGTCAGCGAGCTGATGTCGGTGTGCTTCTGGTGCCCGATGCGGTGCTGGCCCGTGACCTCGGCGGGGAGGTAGTGCATCATGGAGAGCGTCGTGGTCGAGGGCCGGTCGTTGCGGTGCGCGTTCTCGAAGCGAGCGGCGCCCTGGAGCGCCATGCCCGTCGACAGCGCCGACAGGATCACCTTGGTGATGGTGTTGCAGCTGGCGATGGCGTGCTCGAGCGTGCGCAGCTCGGCGCTGCCCTTGATCGGCGACGGCACGCGCGGGCTGCCCTGCTGGATCTCGTCGCGCGACACCTTGAGCATCTCGTAGCCGTCCTTGGTGCCTGGCCCGAAGGCGCCCGTGCGGTTGCCGACCGGCTCGTAGCCCAGGTGCGAGTCGATCAGGCCGTACTCGTTCTTCGCCTCGAGCGGGGCGGCGAAGAAGCGGTGCATCAGCTGGAGCAGCGCCTCGCGGTCCTCGAGCATGCGCCGGCCGTCGATGCTGTTGAGGTCCAGCTGGAAGTAACCCTCCTCGAGGCAGGCGTCCAGCACCTTCTGCACCTCGCCCGGGTCCTGCGAGAGCAACAGGCTGTAGTCGATGGTCCGCATCGGCCAGACGGGCACCTGCCGGCCCTGCCACTCGACCGTCTCGGGGTTCTCGAGGGATACAACCATGATGAATGCTAAGGGGGATAATACTCTTTGGTGGTGGAGGAAGAATGTCTGACGGGACTAAGAAGCTCGCTCGAGCACGTCTAAATAGTACCGGTACATACGCAGGCCCTGACTTACACGCTCGTCCAGTACTACTAGTATCGCCGATGTTCGGAAAGCCGGCACTTACACAGTAGTGAGATCGAGGGCCAAGCTAATCAGGATAATATGGCACCCTGTTAGATATTGAGAGCATTTCCCCGCACTTCACGTCTGGTCGCAGGGGACATCAGGGAGGGGGTGCCGCGTCCCTTTCGGCGGTTCATTATGTAGGTACGATAACAGGCCTTCCAGAGATTAGGTCGCATTGCCGTTCGGTACACCTGACGCCCCCCGCATCTTGGCTTGTTTACGTGGTGTGTTGCAGTCCGTGGAGATCGCAAGGAACTCGCAGAGAAGCATGCGTAATGATGAGCATTCCCAATATCTAACCACTTTATTTTTTCCGAGCTGGTATTGTACTTGGAACAGTGTTGGTTTCCTGGGCCCATCAGACTACCGTTATCTAGCCAGCTGACAACTGGGGACTTATGGACTAATGCCTTACAATGCGGGCAAAGGAAGCAGAGCAGTACTAGGTAAACGAACGGCTCAGTAGCAGACCAGACACCTGACCTCGATGCTCTGGCGGGCCACCACTCCATCGCGGTACGCCGGGTCCTCAAAGGCCGAGTGCAGCGCCCTGCGCGCCACGGCGCCGGACGCGTCCGAGTCGAAGCACTTGATGAGCAGCACGTCGCGCGGCGTCATGCGGAACTTGAAGTACCACCGGTGGTCCGGGTTGTGCCGGACCACCCACGACTCGCCGCGGAAGTCGTCCTCGACCATCTCGGCCGCGACCAGGTCCGCGTCCGGCACCGAGCGGGCGTCGGCCACCGCGATCGGGTCCCGCAGGACCGTCGCGATCGGCCGCCACACGTTGATGATCTGGTAGCGCCGCCGCACCAGCGCGTCGGCCTCGTCCCGGTCGGGGAACTCCCGCCGCAGGCGCAGCTCGGCGCCGGCGTACGACTGGTCCACGTGTGTCCGGGTCACGGGCCCGCGGCTGGCGAGGTTCTGCCCGTTCAGGCCGAGGTGGTGCCACTGTGTCGGCCCGCGGCGCACCTTGTGGTTGAAGATGTGCACGCGGCGCGCGCCCGTGATGGTGCGGAGGAGCTGACGGCACTCGTCGTAGTAGACGGAGCGGATGGCTTGCTCGTCAGTGAAGTCGCGCTCGCGGCTCGAGTGCTGGCAGTACTGGAAGCCGTGCTGGTCGAGCGTGTACTGGTCCTCGTCGCCGGTGATGTCGGTCACTAGGAACGGGTGGGCCCGGTGCGGCCGCTTGTTGGTGACTTTCCCTTTGCCGATGAAGATGGGCGTGGGCGGCAGGCCATCGCCGGGGTCGTCCCAGTAATTGAGCGTCGTGGCCACATGGTGTTTCTTCTCCCTGCCGGGCTCTGAGTGGCCGTTCGTGGCCGTGGCCGTGGCCATGGGCGATGTCAGATGTGTGGCTGCTAGCCCAGCTTCTGATCTGATGCTTCCGTTGCGATGGTGTTCCTCGTTTGTGAGACTCGCTCTAGTGCTAACCTCTCAGATGATGTCGTGACAAATCTTGAATATCGCGGGCAGATCTCTGACGTTTTCCTCGTTTCCTCAACTGCCGGAAACTCACGGCAGACATTATCCAAGAAAAGGAACGCCACGGAGCATCCGTCTCCGGAAGGTAACGACCTGCACTTGGGTTACAATCAGCGTGATTCACCCGGGGGTAGTACCTTAGGCAAGGTAACCCAATCGCCGGCACAATGCAGACAGCTTGGCCCGCGCAGCTACTCCCGTGCAAAACACGCTCAGATGGTGGCGTTGTTGATTCCAACGAAGTCACTTCAACGCTGCGGCCGCTGTGATAATGGACGAAGCTGTGGAAGAAGACGGCTTTATCCTCGTCCCTCGTGAGGGCAGCGACTACTCCAGGGGCAGCATGAGCAAGACTGATAATGCAGACGAGGATGGTGTATCCGTCGAATACCTCTCCGAAATCAGCGACTTCATCGACGGCCTTACCAACTCACTCTGGCCCCTGAACAAGTTCATACACGAGAGCCCCGAGCTGGCCTTCCGGGAACACAAGGCGCACCAAGCCCTCACCAGCTTCATGCGGTCGCGGGGAGACAGCTGGCACGTCACCCCATCGGCCTACGGACTCGAGACGGCGTGGGTGGCCGTGTACGAGAGCGGACGGCCGGGGCCCACCGTCTCATTCAACGCCGAGATGGGTATGTAATATGTATTGTACATCCTACTAAGTACTATCCTCCTCATAGTGTGAACGTTACGGGGGACAATAAATAATGACAGATGGCATCTCCCTTGTAGACGCGCTCCCCAACCTGGGCCACGCATGTGGCCACAACCTCATCGCCACCGCGTCCGTGGCCGCGGCGCTCGCAACGGCCAAGATCATGAAGCGGCACAACATACCGGGCAAGGTGGTCCTGCTGGGCACGCCGGGCGAGGAAGGCTGGGGCGGCGGCAAGATCCGGCTGCTGGAGCGCGGCGCGTACCGTGGCATCGACGTCTCGCTCATCTCGCACCCGGGCATCCTGCACAACAGCGCGCTCGTGCGGACCACGGCCTTCAGCCGGCTCGGCGTCGAGTACGTCGGGCGGGCCGCGCACGCGGCCAAGGCGCCCTGGCGGGGGATCAACGCGCTCGACGCGCTGGTGGTCGCCTACAACGCCGTGTCGGCGCTGCGCCAGCAGACCATGCCCGGCGACGTCATTGGCCTGGCCATCACCGACGGCGGCGGCGACGCGACCAACCTCGTGCACGCCCACGCCGCCTGCGTGTGTGTGCTCCGCGCCCGTACCGCCGCCCGCCTCCGCGTCCTCCAAGACAAAGTAGGCGCCTGCTTCCGGGCCGGCGCCGAGGCCACCGGCGCGCGCGTCACCATCACGCTCACCCAAGGGTACGACGACCACGTGCCGAACCGCGTGCTGGCCGCCTCGTACGCAAGGGCCTGGCATCATAGTATTCATCGGCCACCACCACCACCACCACCATCCGATCCGCCCATGCCGCCGCTGCTGCCGCACGAGTTCACCCGGATCATGTCGAGCACGGACCAGGGGAATATCAGCTATGCCGTGCCCAGCGTCAACGCGAGCTTCGCGATACCACCGGGTCCGCTCGGGGGCCAACCGCACAGTCCCGATTTTGAGGTGGCGTCGGGGACGAGGGAGGCGTTTGGGCGGGCGCTGAGGGTGGGCAAGGCGCTGGCGGGGACGGCGGTGGATGTGTTGACGAAGGAGGGGTTGCTTGCGGAGGTCAAGAGGCAGTGGAGACGGGATATGGATGAGATCCAGGAGGAAGAAGGGGGTGGTTTTGGTGTGGGAGTATTGTAAACGTAGGGGCTTCTCGGCTAGCTTTAGACAGGTGATAAAACGGCAATCTGTCCCATACCATTCACGCCATAGCCGTCGCCTTGATGTCCAGCCTAGCGGTGACCCAGCTGTGGCCCACGGGTTCCATCCTCACATCCATCTTCGCCGACCCGACAAGCGTAAGCGTCTGTCCCCCGTCCTCCTCCGTGGTCTGCCTCAGCGTCAAGACTGCTTGCATTATCAGTTATGCTTCTACGCTACTTAAGCCGGGCAAGGGTGTTGGGGACCTGGAGTAGTGGAAATTAGTACGTACTATCTGGACCTGCACTGAGATCAAAACCGAACGCAGCCGGCTCGCAGCTCTGAGCCCACTTTCGCCCCTCGCCTATCCCGCCGCTGCAGCTCAGGTTGGATCCGGGGAGCATGGAATGCACGGCCTGGATGTGGGCCGCCCGGTAGCCGCCGCCTCCATCGTATGCGGTGCAGCAGAGGCCATGGAACGTCACGCTCCAGAAGCCGTAGTCGAGGAGGGGTTGGCCGTTTGCTGCGAGAGCGAGGCCCGCGGCAGCAGCGAGGAAAGTGCTGGGATGCATTTTTTACTTTCTTTTTCGTGTGTGGTCGGAGACACGCGGATTCGAAGGTGCAGAGACGGAGGTGGAGGAGCAAAAGGAGTGATGGGATTCAAACGTTCAGCCGGGTCGCAAAAAATCCGACTTTTTTATCTGCATCCCTATCCAGACCAGCAGCTCGTAAACTGAGCGTAACCTACCCATGTGGTTCGGTACCCCGCGTTAACGTTGCCTTGAATGTTGTGGGAGCCCTCTCTTTGATTAAATCACCTGATTCTGAGTCTACTGCGCCCTCAGAGGGTATGTTGTTTGGAAAAAACAGTCTCACAAATTACCTAACCTCACAGAACTTGCGGTTGTGGCTGCCCAACCTTAGAGGTAGGCAGCGTCAGGGAGGGCGTATCCAGTCAGTTGGCACACTTGAGGACGCCCTCGACGCCAAAGGTCAGTCCACGGGTGTGCCTCTCGAATCACGGATTATAACCTCCACAGGCTCCAACGTAACACAAGACGGAAATGTATCAATCATTGTAGGTATACAACTCTCCGTCTGCTGTCAGAATCTTGTCTAAGCTAAGGCATTGAGCAGATCTCTGGCCAAACCACAACTGAAATGGAAGCTGCGTTGCAGGTTCCCTGGACTCAACACAACCTCTGCATGATAGACGCAAGTGACAACACCGCCTTGGACAACCTGTCGTATGTTGCGTCTGACAGATCCTCCGTAGCAAGAACCTCCTCAAGAGTCTGCTCTACACCGTTCAACTCCGTGCGAATAGCGGTATTGGACTCGCGCAGCTTCTGGTTCTCAGCCTTGACCAGTTCGAACCGCTGCATGAGACGTTGGTGATTTCGTTCCGAATGTGTCGGGGCTGGCTCCTTCGCCTTGGTTACAGGTTGAGTCTGTTGCCTTGCAGCCAGTGGCATATCGATAGCCGGTGCATCCCCTAGGTTACTGGCTTCCCCTTCTGGCCGCAGAGATGTTGTTGTAAATTCCAAGGGGTTCGTCACTGGCGGAGGAATAAGATCCATAAGGGAGTCAAAAGACGAAGAGAGAGGGTCGGCTGTTGGCTCAGACGGTCCAGTCGTAGCCGTAGCGGACGCTGGTGGGCAGGGAAATGTCACCTCGTATAATGGAACTGAGAACGACTGTGCTGATGTGAACGGGTCCATTGATGGCGCACTCAAAGTACCTTGTGTTGCTCTTTGAGGACTCAGTTCGGTGAGATTGGATTGTCCACTACGAGCCGTGGTTCATGTTCAGCTTCCACATCTACAGCTGCACTCATGAACAGGGTGGCAGATGGACTGGTGTCAAGACTCACATGTCGGAACGTATTTCACTGTCGGAGGTCCAGCGTGTCGTTTGTACAGACCGTAGTACATCTCTTGGGATTGCAACAGGGGGGAGCATCCACTGTACGGTAGGTTTCATGCTGGCTCTGTAATCTGAGGCGAATCAGGCGATGTTAGGACTGTGTTACCCTAACACTGAAAAGGAGAGTTGGCCTTACAAGGAGAATATGCGGTTTTGAGTGTAGAATCGTCGATCTGCTCGACACCGCGGATCAACAACCGAAACATGGCCCACCAAATGCTTTCGGCTGATGCTTTTCTAGAAGTGTTCTCCACCACAGGTTCGTGGTCCGGCTCCATGAAACAATCGTCGATCGGCTTGTTCCTGGGTTGGCATTGCTTATCCTCCAGGTGCGATGCGGCCTTCTGCCGGGTGTCGCAAGACGTCCAGCAATGCTGGCATCGGAACGAGATCATATGCTTGCGGGCCATGTGGTGTCTATCATTATTAGCTGGCAGAGGTGTGAACATGGGCCAAGGACATGTCTTACTTTAGACGAGAGATGTTCTCGCATCCATCAGCCTGCTTAAAACACGTTCTCCATGGCTCATACGCTTGGTATGGACATGCAAGTCTTAAAGAAGCCAACAGTAGATCCGGTGTTCCTAGGCCGTTGGATAGTGGTTTCTTCTTCCGTCCTCCTTCCTCTTTCTCTTCGTCCGTCTTGCTCCGTTTTCGCGTGGTAGAGGCCTGGGAGCCGCCAGATGAAAAACTTGACGGCGACACGGACGGTTGTTCTGTCGGTGGTTCGGTGTCCTGCGCCGTAGACTGAGACGACTTCTGTCCACGCTCCGTTTCCTCGTTGACAAGCACATTCGTGTCCACACCGTCGCCTTCATTGTCGCTCGAGCAACACGATATCGACGTGGTATCGTTCGAGTGTTCTGAATTACTGCTCCCGTAAGAGGCGAGCTCTGCCGATAATGATAGAAACTCGACCCGTAGAGATGCAACCCCAACCTGTCTGACCATTCGCTGGCCTTGAGACGCGGTTTCCGTGCACCTCATCGCGTCACCTGCTTCCTCCGTACGCCCTAGCGATGCGCTTGAGATACGACCATCGGTGTTTTCTCGCGTAAGTACTGGTAAACCTTGTTCTACATCGGGGGGTCGAGACTCGAGCGTTCCAGACCCCCCAATGTTCTTCGCACGATACACTGGTCTAGGTATAAGGCTTCTGGGTATTGGCTGAGGGTCGAGGGAGGGATGCGGAGGCACCTGAACAGCCATGGGATGATAGTTGGGATCGTGGTGCATGGAGTCAACACTATGGGGGTGTCCTGTGTCGGGAAATTTTGGCGGGGTACCGGTCATCGACACGCGCACCCACCGACGAGCACCTCTCGGTGAGGTTATTCTGCTGACTTTGCGCCAGGGTCGCATAGGTATGCGGAGGGTTCGGCCTCCCGATCGGAACTGTGAGTCTGCCGGGCGTGCCGGCGCAAAAGCAGGGCGCGTGCCTGCGACGGGAGAAGCTTGACGAAGTGGACGTAGCATCGCATCTTTCCGGTTCAGAGCCGGCCCTTCGGCCGTGTGTCGGTCCCTGTAGCGGTCATACTCGGGGTCATCTGGAGGTGTTGGCTTCCGAACATACGTTATGGGCCTTATGGCGGGCATGGGTTGGGAATCCAATATCAAACGCTGGACGTCATTCAACTCCGAAACCGTAACGTTAGAAGCCATGATCCAAGATTAAGAATGTACAGCTAGCTAACGCTCTGCTCTAAGTTGCTGGAACAAGGTACAGAGTCAGTATGTTAAGGCTTTGGATGCGGCAGTAATCAGGTAGCATCGAATAGTGTCATCATCGTCGTCTATGTCATAATTCTATGATGCCTGAGGCTGAAATTTGAATGTGCGGGGTGCCACACCTCTGTGACACAGTCACACAGGTTGTGTTGCTTCACAACACAACGTTATTCCCAAAATGGACACACCGGGAGAGCCATCAGGTCCCGGGGCTTTCCATTGTGTTGTGTTGTTGTGCAATACCAGCCGCATCACCCCGGTGTTGCAAGTTGCGACTGTGTCAAAACCATCGGGCCGTGCATTGGGAGACTCAAATTGAGTATTTGCTACCATTTTACCCTTCGTGTAGTGAAAACAGCACCGTTGCCTTTATGTATACTTAAACATGGCCCCTTCGTCTCATGGTCTCATCCTCCTGAGTCCTAGCAGGATGCGGTCACCTATTCGGTTCACAACCTTGGTGCTTTTACTCTACCTACTCTACCCAATTCCGACGTCCCAAGTCATCGGCCCCGCTAGCGACCATGCAGGACTCCCCAAAAACTGACACTGGCTCGAAACGGTCATCCAAACGTAAAGGGTGAGTAACACCATCGGGCGCGGGTCCCCTGTGTTTATTGGTGACCTTTGGCGTCCTCGCAGAACTCGTCCCAACCGGCAAGGCGTCCAGTCGCCCTCGAGCCTCGAGTGCGAGGATGACTGCCTCTCATGGATGGAGCGAGCGATGGAGTTGGTTGCGGATAAGCTCTCAGCATCCTATATCACAGGGTACAGCGGGGTGTCCCATACCCAAGAGGTAGATTTGCTTGGGGTCGGGAGCCAATTCAATATACAAGAAGGTAATGCGAACGGTACCTGAGAGTGAGGTTGTAGTTACCGCCAGCATGTTCGATTGGATCCCCTAGGTTGTCTATCTTTAGGGTGTCATACTCGCTGAATGGTTGTGTGAATGAGATGGTTTAAGCTGAACACAAGGAGCGACTGCCAGTAGCATTGTTGATTGCTCGGTTTTCCTGGACTCAGTATATAGAAGTCATAGTAATCTCCCGACTGGTATCGGGCAAAAACGTTAGACGGTGGTCTGTATACCACATACTAGCACCTAGGACCCTTGGTCCATCAATGTTATAGTGTTTGACGCCCTGTCTTTAGGACAAACATGTAGAACGGCGGCAGCTGGCAGTCGGCGGGCACCACCTGCCCGAGTTGGGTCCTTCACCTCATGATCACCATTCATGAAGCACCAGTGTGTCCCGCACTCTCACTCACACCATCTTTCATCCCACACACAGAACTTTTACTCACCTTTTCCGAGTTGCAAACGATCACTCACAATCAGTAACAGCTTGCCGGAACTTCGAACATGGCTGAGCTCGCCGAAGATTTCGACGACTTTGCTCAACCAGAGTCTGCGCAAGCTGCGCAACCCACCACCGAGAACGACACGCCTGAGCCGGCATCAAAAGAGTCACAACATGACGCGATTTCATCAGCAGCATCATCTACCACCACCATCAAACCAGACGCCAAGCGCAACGCATTCACCGAAATGATGCGCCCAAAGCCAAAACCCTCCATATCTCATCAACCGCACCAATCCATGGCCCACAAGGCCTCCCAGGTCATCCGCGGCGTGTGGCGAGGTGCGCTAGTCGAGTACATCGACCACCCGGAGCGCTTCCCGGCTCAAGTCATCCGTGCAACGCCCTACACAGTCCTAATCAAGGACGCCTTCCCCAAAGCCACCATCCACCTCCTGCTCCTCCCGCGCTCGCCAGCGCACTACCTCCTGCACCCACACACGGCCTTCGCCGACCCGGCCTTCCTGGCCATGATGCGCGAGGAAGCGGCCGAGGCAGCCAAGCTGGCAGCCGCCGAGCTCGCGCGGCAGCTGGGCTCCTTCTCCGCAACCAGCCGCGCCCGCAGCGAGGCCATGGACCGGGGCGTCTCCTACGACCAGCTGCCCCCCGGCAGGGATTATAGTAAGGACATCCGCGTGGGCATCCACGCGCACCCGTCCATGGCGCATCTGCATGTGCATGTCATCTCGCGCGACATGCGCTCCGAGCGGCTGAAGCACAAGAAGCACTACAACAGCTTCAATACGCCCTTCTTTGTGCCGTTGGCCGATTATCCGCTTGCCGAGGACGATGTGCGTAGGGAGACCGGGTACCAGAACGCGAATCTGTCGAAGGGGCTGGTGTGTTGGAGGTGTGGGAGGGAGTTTGGGAGTCAGTTTAAGGCGTTGAAGAGTCATTTGGAGGAGGAATTTGAGGCGTGGAGGGCCGAGTGATTTCAGTTTATTACTTCAAAAGCGGGATGGCTGCGATACAGGAAACCGCTCAAGAATGGTGCTGTCTTCTACGGTGGCCACCATGCTTGGGGAGGAGATGGTGAGTTCCAGGATCATACCGGGGTTTTGAAAGGCTTTGGTTGGGTTGGTGGGAGAGCGTGCCTCGAGTTCTGAGAAAAAACGGGTTGCGCATGTCACCTGGCAAAACCTCAGTCTTCGGACAGCGGCGGACGAGGTGTTTCCCGCTATTGGACAGCTTTACGGAGAACCGCATGAGCCGCAGCTCCCGGCTTGCTATCTTCGAAGGTGTGGTTCGAGGAGGACTTGCCACTTGCCCTATCTCAGAGTTCGCACGACATTCCAGGTTGTTGGATTACCTTGCTATACGCCCGGTGATCTGCCGGCGGTGGATTGGGCGGTTTCCATTCCCGAGACGCTGATCGGGATACCGGGAGGTTCCTCGGCTCAAGAGACAACAAGCTTGAAGGTCGCTATTGAGGGCAAAAGGTTGCGGTAGGTAAAGCAAACATTTACTTGCTCATGCACAGATATCTTCGGTGTCTCACATATGTGTCACGGGTGGCTTAGAGAAGGATGGCCTGTTGCCATTGTCACTGGGGAGAGAGAGATGAGGCAGAATACAACGATCTTCAAGTCGTCTTGAGGACAGCTCTTGAGCCTCATCTCAGTATTTGTTTACTGACGTTCTCGGCGGCGGCACCGGCCGCTCAGGCTAGCGAGGTCGTGCACGAGGAGGCTGAGCAGACCAGGCAATCCACTCCCCTAGGATCCTGTAGGGTGCCTTGGCTGCAGAAGTATTGCAGCATCGGGTCGCGTCGGACTCCAGATTATTGCATGCAGCCAAGACATGCCGTCAGCTCACCGTCTTGGCTGGCGGTCGGAAGGGAGGTTTCACATGGCATATTGTGTCTGACTGGGGTTTTGGAAATTGGTGAGACCTTCCATGTGGGCATGTCTATCCCAGAGAATCGATGTGCTCCCCTTGCGCAAGTTGTCGGACATGGGCAAACCTATCACAACTTCACAAGGTCTCAATATCTGCGGCTGGCCCCCTGCCTGCAGCGCTCGGAAATGACTTTTAGCGAAAAAGAAAAAAAAAAAAGAGCAAATGCCAACCGCAAGGTGCAGCTGTGCCTGACTTCCGCCTCAGCTCGGCAGCGGCGGCTGAGCGGCACATGCGAAGCCACGACGCGGTCTCGACGCTGTGAGACCAGCCACTGGTCCCAAAACCGTTAGGGCAGGCGGGCGCCCAGGTCTTGGAATCTCAGTGGCCAGCCACTCACGAATGTGCAAGTCTAGTCGAGCTGCACGGAGCGAGAAGGTGACAGCTTGGGATCTGCAAGACCCCTAGGAAAGCTGCAGCTGCTGGAGCTTGTGAGGATCAATACGAAGGGAGCTGCAAGTGCAACTGAGGCGCTACATACGCTACCATAGAGTATATAAATGCTACAACTGCCCGCTGCATATCGTGAAAACATTGGGGCAGCCAGCTTCCCTCGTCAAGTGATCGCAAAAGGCCAGAGGTTCCCAGTCCGTGTGGTCTTCCAGCTCTCGTGACAATGACCCGCAGGGCGCTCTCCGTCCTGCTCGCCGGGGTAGCGGCGGCCTCGGCTTGCACGATTCCCACCGAACCTCTCTCCACCACCATCAGCTATCCCTTCCGTGCCCAGGTCCAGAATGCGTCCCGCCCCGAGGTCCACAACAAGTACATGAACCTGTTCCAGGCTGGCGGTGGTGACCAGCATCTCTTCATCGGCCCCGTCGGTGTGCCAACATACGACTTGACCCTGGTCGACGGCGTCATCAACCATGTTCCGCATGGCGTCCGCGCGGTCATCGGTGGCGAGGTGTGTGCACGCTTACAACAAGCTGTTTCGCAACTTTGCAGCTAACCACTCCCGCCAGTTCTCGGAGATTGACCACACGACCAAGCTGTTCATGACGGGCCGTGGCGACCCCCGTGCCATCTTCGAGCCCACCTACGCCTGCAACCCGGACACGGACGAGCTGCAGATCGAGCTGCGCTTCGTGACCTGGCAGAACCAGCCCGCCGGCGGCTGGATCTGCGTCCGCCACGCCTTCGACGGCGGCCACGAGTTCCGGTACTACCCGCCAGGCAACGAGCGTACGTAAAGACACAAGATCCGTGATATACAGCCCCGTAGTTACTACTAGTAACCACTCACTAACCCCCTCTCTCCTCGCTGACTCAGTCGTCGACCCCAACCGCGAATGCATCAAAGTAACGCTCGTGGTGATCCCCACGACCGAGCTCCCTCCGCAGAGCACAACCTTCTCAACCAGCACCCTCCCGGCAACCTCCTCCTCCCCCTCATCCTCCGCCCCGACCACCTCCCCAACAAGCGCCTACACAGACCTGACGGCGCTGGGCTTCCGCTTCGTGGGCTGCGCGCCCGAGGAGCGGTGGGCCAACGACGGCGCCTTCCGCACGCTGTCGGGCGCCTCGCAGTCGAGCGACACCACCAACACCAACGAGGCGTGCGCCGCCTTCTGCGCGGCACAGAACTTCCAGTACGCCGGCACCGAGTGGAGCCGCGAGTGCTGGTGCGGCGACGCGGTCGCGCCCACGCGCTGGCCGGCCACGACGCTGGCGAGCCTGGAGAAGTGTAACTATAAGTGTACCGGCGATCAGGGGCAGTACTGTGGCGGGGATGCGTGGCTGAGTTTGTATGAGCGTTGTGAGGCCGGGGAGGCGTGTGAGAATGTCGTTTTTACGTGACGTGACGGTGGTTCAATACTAGTGTTGTACCTTTCAGGTTGTTACCTTGAGCCTGGAGAGTGTGAGACCGAGCGAAGGCGATGGGGCTGATATCCTGACGTTGCAGTGGTATCTCCGAGATTACAGCTGTGAAAAAGCATGGTCATATATAACCTCTTTTTGAGTCTCCCATTCGCCGTCAACCCTGTTCAAGACTGCATAACAAGCCAATATATGTGAGGCGTGAACAGGCTCCTGGATGTCATACTCAAACTTCATCGTAAACGCATCTCGCTCTAGCTCCTTGTCCGTGAGCAGGAGCCTTCCATGCGATGCTCTGACTTTCAACCCACCATGCATCCCGACGGAGACGTCCCCTTTTCGACACCATCTCCGGCGGGAGTTTGTCCGCATAATCCGAGACCCAAAAACATCGGAAACGGTCCAAAGTCGGGTGGAAACAGGAAGAGGGCTTGCCGGTCCTTGACATCAGGCACCCGAAGGGTACGCCGGAGAGCTACCCTCAGTTCGCCATCGTCGCTGATCTCGATTTCCTCTGCTGGTGCGGTCGTCTCGGTCTAGCGAGGTCCAAGGGTACCTACCTGACAATTCTGCGTCGAAATCCCACGGCACAACGTGGGAGAGAGTGAAAAGGAACGGAAAGAAGTGGAACGTTGTGATTCCGCGACATATTGAACCAAATACGGCTTGAGAGAGAGCGTTAAGTCGACTGCATAAGAGCTCTAAGCCTAGGAGGTGATGCTTGCAGTTGGACTGGCGAGCGAGTCAGGTGAGCTGGTGTACTCGACACTTCTGCCACGGGATTGCTTAAGGTATGAACGGCTGGTGCCTATGTTCAACGTCCACTCCTTCCTGCCTCAACACAGTGGCATACTGAACTTTTGAGTCATCTTTCCCGCTTGCTTCCGTTTTCGGGCCACCCTTCTCCTTCTGGGAAGGAGCCTTCCCACTTTCTCGAAGTTTTGCCCGCCGGCTGCAGCTCTGCCGTCTGCTTGCACCGCCCCGCCCCTAGTAATTGGCGCCAAGAGCAGTCTCGATGTTAACTCCAGACTCCTAGCCCACCATACAGACTCGCTGTGTCACTCCTCTAGTCCAGAAATGAGGTGGTGCGTCGACTGTGGCGCAGAGCGCAGACGCTGGCTGGCTGGAGAAACAGCCGCCGTGTTCAGCTCCGACACTGCTGCAGACGAACTGTGCTATAATGCAGTGCCCTAGAGCCTTATGGACTGGCAACAACCTCGAGGATCACCGGCGTCAAGCAATCGTGCCTTACCCACAGCAAGCAAGGTAGGCAGTCCATGCTTTGGCTAAGCCTCTAAAGAACCATCTTGTCAGACATATCGATATGGAGTCCATTCGTGCTGCGCTGCTCGGCCGCGCGAGTGAGCCCAGGCAAGCCAACCACAGGGCCGTCAAGCAGCAGCTTCTGGCCAAAGGGCTCCCGGAGTCTATCAGCAAGCCCCTCGCCATGAACGAACTGTGCTTCTGGACTGAACAGGAGGTAGACCGAGTCCTGAACCGCATCCACGCCACTCCCGAAGAGATCAAGGACCCGAACCTGCCCAGCTTCTCCATCAAGCTCTCAGCCGCCGAGCTCTCCGCGGCGGCCGGTCCCAGCGACTTCATCAAGCCGTCGTGGGAACAAGTCAAGGAGTCGGCTGCCGTGCTCGGCGCCCTCTGCGTGAACAGCAAGGGCGAGTTCCGACTGAATCCGCCCGCGGGATATGCCGCGTTGTCGCATGTTTGGGCCCAGGGCCTCGGATCCGATGCCCGCAACCGGGGCCTCCACAGGAGCCTCGTCGAGCAGGTGTTCCAGAAGGCAGAGCCGTTGGGCGTCGCCTGGATCTGGACGGATAGTCTGGCAATACCCGGCGGCGGTGATGAGCTCGGCTTCGTCGAAGAGGAGGCAAAGGCAACGCTTATCAATGCCATGGCGGACATTTACAGGAAGGCAAAGCAGGTTATTGTTTTCGACTCCCTCGTTCTGCGGCTCGGCTCCGTCGACGAGGTGGACGTGGCAATTGCCTTGTCCTGTGGGAGTGAGACTCCCTGGTCTTAGTTCCCTTTCACCGCTCTCCCCCCGGGGGCACCCCCGGTTGCTGATCTCTCGAGATCACCATGTTGGCCACAGTACTGACTTCTTGACAGGGTGGATGACCAGGGTTTGGACGTACCAGGAGATCAAGCTAGCTACGAACGCCATCGTGGCCACGCGAGACGGCTTCGTCAGCTTCGCAGCCATCGTCGCCACCCTCCGAAGTAAGGCGCACCAAGAGGTTGGCGAAGGCTATGACGCCCGTAAGACCGGGCGCTTCCCCAGTCTTTTCAGAACATTCTACCGACTGCAGCGTCATGACCACCTCGGCATCTCCCTGCCGGATATCGCTATCGGCTGCGGATATCGCGAAGCCAGCGTCGAACTGGACTACGCGCGGTCACTCTTCCCTACACTGGGACTGGAATGGCGGTTTGGCGACAACACCGACATGGCGATGAAAAAGGTCTACGAGGCCCAGAAACGCCACGCTATGCGGCTGGTCCTCTTTCACGGCCCGCCGCGGGCCCCCTATCCCGGCTGGGCGCCTGCGGTCTTTTCCGGCTTGGTGGACAGTATCGTTATCAGCCCGGGCATTTGGAAGCTTCGTGGGATGGCCCGCGAATGGCTGACAACCAAGGTCAGAAGCATTGTGCCGAGCAAGCCCGGATGTGTGATCCTCGAGCTGGAGAACGGGCAGAGCCCCGGCGCCTACTGCGCCTGCAACATCAGCGTCGCCACGCAGGAACGGAGCCCCCGGAGCGTCGAGCTTTTTGAGGAGGCAGTTCGAAGCAGCACTGCATATCTGCTCAGCGATGAGCCGCTTACTCCTACGCAACCATTTGCTCGCGTCGGTCTTCTAGTGGAGAGATTCACCAAGCCGGCCGATCATCATGAGGGCTGGGTGTGCCTGACGTTGGCCATAGGCGAGACTGAGGAGTCGTACGAGGCCGTGAAGCAAGAGTGGCTTCTTCTCCACGAGAATCCCGCCAGTGACAAGGGGAAGCAGACCTCCGAGCTCAACTACCTGCTGGAACGCAAGGCACAGCCCGCACCGTCGGGATTCAGAGTCGAGAATCCACTCCACGCGGCGGCGCAGAACGGCGACGTCAGCGCCATCGCAGCCATCGCAGCCGGGCCGGGATATGTGGACGTAAATGCACAAGACTCCCGAGGATGGACGGCATTGCACTACGCTGCCGCCGGCGGCCACTCCTCGGCTCTTTGCGCCCTCGTCCAGCATAGAGCAAACCTCGCCATCCCGACAGCCGACGGCGAGACTCCTCTGGTACTCGCGGTAGTCAACGGTCACGTAGACGCCGTCTGCGAGCTGGTTGACGCCGGCGCTGACGTGAACTACTTCGACCCTGCAGGTCCTTCTCCCCTCGTAGCGGCAGTGAAGCAAGGACAGATCGAGATGGTCAAACTACTACTCGCTCTCAACGCCGATGTATCCCTCGCCGATGGGTACCAGATGACCCCGCTCATTGCCGCGACCTTCGAGTTCAAGGGGGATGATGATGATACCGACGATGGCGTCCTGGCAGAGCTTCTCGGCGCCGGAGCCGACGTCAACCTCCTCGCTCCTTCTTCGGGGCTCAGCGCGCTGGAGGTCGCGGTCAGACAGGGGAACATTCGTGTCGCAACGAAGCTGATGGACCACCACGGGGCGGATCCCAACGGAAGGCCGCCGCTGCTATCTCCACTTCAGTATGCGATCGACGATCGCAACGTCGCCATGGCGGAAGCGCTCCTGGACCGCGGAGCGCAGCTGGCGGGGCCCGGTGGGCGGTTCGAGCATGGCTGGACTGCCGTAATGTGTGCCGCTGCCACGGATGATGTTGCTATGGGAAGGCTGTTGCTTCGTCGGGGTGCTGACTTGTATGCCGTTGCTGGGGAGGAGAAGTGGACGGCGCTTCATGTCGCGGCGGCGAAGGGGAATAAGCTGTTCTTTAAGTGGGTGGTTATGGAGAGCGAGGCTAGTGGGCATAGGTGGGAGGAGGAGCTGGATTGGGAGGGAAGGAGTGCGTTTCAGTTGCGGACGTGGGAGTGTTGAACGCTAAGAGCTTTGCCCGGTTGCCGTCTTTGTGTTCACTATTTTGCTCATAAATCTTCCTTATCCGCTTACAAGGGCCCAAAACTGGTCGCTCTAAGGACAAGAAACCGCCCCCTTTGAACAACAAAGACATGAAAGATGTTGCTATTGTAGGGAGGCTATGAACGTGAATCTGGAACTAGTACTTCACTTTTTTCTTGGGTTTGAGTTGCTGACTCAGCACAGTCTAGGTCACGTGCTAGGACGCTTTTAGATGATTGAAACGGTAGGGAACGCATTTACGCTCAGTTTTCACCGCTCAGTTTTCCAGTTCCGTTTTCTGACTTTCGCTATAGTGTGAACCTAATATCGCCTTATATGACTACAAGTTCCACCAACGCGTTGCAAACCTGCTCTTAGCTAACCAAACGCGTTTGTGCCCCCTCTATACGTCATAGCTAACAGGCGCTTTCGTATTCATGTTGCCGACCCCACAGGCCACCATCCTCGACCAGCCTAATTCGAAGGCTGCACTGTGGGCAACCTGCTGGTCTTATCGGTCTGGGAGGAGCCATTCTATAGTATACTAAACGTGGGGTTACTATACAAGGAGCGAGAATGTAGCGATATAGACTCGGCGACCTAGCGTGCTCGCGCTACGAGTACTAGCTCCGACGCTCGTCAACCTAAGCGAGCTGGCCAACGTCGAACTGGACACAACTGTGGCCTATACAGTCTGACCCAGCCGACCCTAATGCTGGTCGTAGAAGGAAAGCTTCGACCACACAATAGACCTACGCGAGCTAGGAGCAAGCCTAGCAACGAGTATATACGCTGCTCTCAAGGTTCACGATCACTTGTGGCGCTGATATTATCCGAAGGCGGATTGCCAGTCATGTCGTATGCTGGCGATGAGCCTGAACCGATCTAAAACCAGCATAGTCCTATATTAGCATGGCTATAGAGCAGTCGCAAGGTAGACTATAGCTTGCTAGGATGCCTGTTCCCGAGCCAAGCGGTCGGTAGGGGGTCTTAACTACGTCTAACTAATACGCCACTCTAGAACGCACCACTCACTAACTTCCTGGAATACCTACCCAAGGGGCTGTTCAAGCGGACTGGCAACTATTCGGCCTGACGATCGCCTCGTCTATATATATTATGCAGTTGGCAACGCATCCCGCCAATCATTGGTGAGATTCGCCCTAAGACTGACCGAGTTCCTCGACCTGCGACCGACTGATCCTATATATAGTCCAGGCTCCTAGAAGGAGTGTGGGTAGACCTCGTGTCGGTCTCGCCGATAGAACCTAGGACGAAGGCGTTGGGCTAGGAGCTAGTGCGCCTCTAGAGCGGCGATAGATAAAAAGTGCGACAAAGGGAGTGCCTGCCACGACTTCAAGTAGACGCTGTTTGGTTGTTTGTACGCTGGTGAAGAGCTCGGATCACTTTGTTCTAGGCTATACTCAGGTCGATCGATTGGGACAACGTTCGCGATTCTCTAGAATCGGGCTGAATTTTCACATTTGAGGCTGCTCTACGAAGCAGAGGTAGATAAGTGTCATCATAGGAATGTTGATATAGAACACCATCACTAGTTAGATTATAATACAATGGTTGTACACTCCCTATACTAGAGCACCGTTCATGATATATAGAATAGGAGCATTAAATATCTATGAACAGTCTAGATAGAGAAGACTTTAGCTTACGGCAGTTAAGATAAATATGATCACGTAGGCACGCTAGAAGGGAACGCTCCCGGAAAGAGCTAGAGATCGAGCATTTTCGTTAACGCTAGTTGGTCCAGCTATTGCCTGGTCACCTAAGATGAAAGTATCTCTGTATGTTCTCAACCCGAATAAGAAATTACGGAAATTGCGTCGTATAACTAGGAGAAGAAGGCCTATCGGAGGATTGGACGATAGCCGCAGAGAAAGATCTAGGGAAAGACTTTCTAAAATGGCAACTTTTGTGGCAAATCTGCCTTTCTACGCGTATAGACGAGACCCTGGTGTCGGTAGTAGGAGCAGACGCTTTTCATCTGGTATAGGAGGAGAGCCTTGTAGAGCGCGATGACCCTCGCTTGCAGCATGGGCGGGATTGATTCAAGAGACTCGTCGATATGATCCTTTTTCAAGAGCTGTTCGGACAGGGCGCAATACCAATCCATTCGGGAGACGACGTGTACGATGCCGGCAAGGTTGGATCTTGTCGCTTTCGCAGGATTCAGGAGGATCTAGACAGAGATAAGTGGATGGAGCCGGGCCTTGCAATGGGCTGACTTACCTGCAATCCGACGCAGACACCAGCCTAGGGAAGCGTAGCCTGCGGGACGTTCTAGATGGCCGCATCGATGGTTGGCTTCGCCGAGAGAATGAAGACCAGACGGACTGCACTGCACAGAATCGCGACGGCAAGACCTTGAAATTTCCGAATCTTGGAGGCTGCGTTAACGACGTCAACGGCATGTACGACGTTCTTATCAGCGCCGGCCGCCAGTGGAGGACGAGGAATCCTGCTCGACACACCACAACATTGTACAAGAGCTGAAGCGCATTACGGACATTGCAACCCTAGGTGATCTCGTCTACATCCACTATTCCGGCCATAGGACCTGCCTATGAATTCTTTGGAGCATCCACCTATGTTGAGCGGCAATCCTGCCATGTTACGGCCATAAGGGGCAGCGAGGTCGACCTGGATGTCGGGAGTGTTCAAGGCGTTGCGGTTGGGGCTCTGTACGATGTCTTCCCAAGAGCATTCGACTCTAACTCTGGGGAAGACGATCTACGACTGCAAGCAAAAGTGGCTAGGGTCTCACTTTTTCAATCAACTGCAGTCATGCTCCCTGGAAGCTCAATTGCAAATGACGGCCGCGAATGGTTCGCCGTCCTCCGGCAATGGGCCCTCCCAAACACATCGGAAGCACGGTTCATGACAGGTGACCAGGCACTTCTTGCAAAACTCGAGGTAGAGCTTGAGAAGTACCCTGGCATTGAACTTAGCGATGATGCGAAAGATGACGCTAGCTTTACGGTCAAGTTGACCAAGAGCGCACTTACGAGATATTCCAAGACGGCCTTCGACTGCCGCGTCTACCTAGAATCTCGGTGAGCGACGAGTCTGGCATCGACAAACTGGCCTACACCCTCAGCCATGTGGCCCGTTTCCAGGCTTTGCGGAAACTAGTCGAAAACCCGCCGAGGCACCTACGAGCGGAAAAGTTTAGGTTCGAAATCTATTCTAACTAGTCTTTGGCGCCAAACACAACAAACGCCGATATTTCGGTACAAGATGGCAGTGTGCTGGGTGTATCGCTAACATATGACGGCCCTCTGCCAGTGGTTTATGCCTCGCTGTTCTGCTTCAAAACGTCGTGGGGTATCTCTAAGCTCAACCCTAGCTTAGACGAAGAGCAGGTCTCCTATCCTGGAACACTAGGAATACCCATCTCAGAACTCGAGATGACTATGGAGATCCCTGACAAGAGCCGCGCCGATGATCCCACAGATATCACCGACGTCTTTGTTATGTTCGCGTCGACTGTAGATCATGTATCCTAGGATGAGATTTTCCTGGACTCGCTTCCTATAGACGGGACAGTCGGAAAGTTGCTGATTAGCGCTGAACAGGGGAATTTAGAACATTGGGACAGGAAAGTTGTGAAAAAGAAAAGCGGGGAGCCAGGATAGATAGCTCTGGAACGCGTCGTATACACTTTCTCCAAAGGGTACTGAAATGTCTAGGGGTCTTCCTTTTCTGTCGCTGGCAGCCGTGAGGGTTAATAGGAGACACCTGTCCAAAAATAACCTGCAACCATAGACTGATCAGGCTCGAATCTAATAGAATGCAATGTCGTTTGTATGCTATGTTCCTAGGTGTCTGGTGCGAAAGCACGACCCACCAACACACTATCATTTAGTGCAAACGCTGGGAAATGCTAACCTTTTTAGGACACATTTAAATCTCGCTTTCTTTCGACTAGAAATATCTGAAGCTGCGAGATATGGGGAGTTGAACGGTATGTAAAGCACACTGGCCGTTTCCCTGCGACTGTTCGCCACGGCACCGTGGCCACCGTCGAGAACAAGGCCAAAGAGCCGGGCTTGCTGGCGCTGTAGGATGTGAGGGCCGAGTTTGCGGCCGAGTGGGCGAGGCTTGCGACGCCGTCGTCGGCGTCGATGGGTGGGGGTGATAAAACACGCACCCTCGTCCTCTGTGGGCTGCTCGCCCGGCTTCCTGCCTTTGTGGCGGGACGGGACGCTGGGAACGTGAGGGCCGCCTGGGTGACGCTCATGACGAATCTGAAAGTCTCTGGTCTAGGGGACCTGACTGTCAACTTCAAGTATGCTGCTGGTATAGAGGGAGACTTTACCGTGTTTGATAGCGGCCTTGAAAAAACCGGGTCGTTGAGCTTGTTTAGGATCAGCGAGGCGGATGAGCAGTTTGGGGATTGGGCGCTCAGGGTTGGAATGAAGAGCTTGGCAGTTGACGCGAAGTCGCGGATATGGTTGATTGTGAGGTATCGGAAGCCGCCTTGTGTACCCCACCACGCATCAAAAGCCAACCAAGAGCGGGGTCTGATAGCACTCCATAATATCTTTGTTTCATCCGTATCAGATTGGCTCGTCTGTCAAAGCTGAGGCTATGATGTCAATCTGTTGCACTTTTCTATCAAGAAAACTGCTGAGCTAGTCAGCGAGTGCAGCAATGCCAGGTTTCGTTCTCGCTGACCATTCTCTGCAGCCACGTGCTTGGCAGGGTGTTGCGGCTAAATTTAGCTCGTTGTAAATCGGGCAGCCGCTCGCAAAGAGGAAAAACCCAGAAACCTGGATCGTCGTGCCCGGCCCACCTCTGAACCCCACCACAGCAGCGGATCGCGATCTGACAGACCGAGACGCACGATCCCTTCCGCAGCGGAATGCGACAATTCTTCCGCCGGCGGCCGAAAGCCGTAGCAACCGGGCCGGCAGCTGAGCACGACCCGCCGGAACAGTCGGTTGGGGGGGCTTCCTCCTCGCCCAAGACCTTCCCGTCAGGCATCAAACTGCTTCACAGTGCGGCACACGCCACTGTCGAGTACGTACACTTTCACTCCAACTTATAGTAATACAACCACTAATGATCCCTGTCCAGCATCGTCTTTGTCCACGGCCTGACTGGCGATCGCGAGAAGACGTGGACCGCCCGCGGCGCGTCCGAGCCGTGGCCCAAGGCCCTCCTCCCGTCCGAGCTCCCGACCGCGCGCGTGCTCACGTTCGGATACGATGCATATGTGGCAGACTGGCGGGGAATAGTGTCGCAGAACCGGATTGGCAACCATGCATGGAATTTGCTCACGTCGCTTGCGACGTACCGAGAGAGGGACGAAACGGTAATATTTCCGGCCGGCTTGTGTGGTGGCCGGTTACACTGACGGCCGTAGAACGAGCGACCTATAGTTTTCGTTTGCCATAGCTTGGGAGGGCTTGTTTGCGAAGATGTACGTGTACGTCTCTGAGTTTGATGAAGCGCGCTAATGATTGTGGCAGGCGTTGGTAACGTCGAGACAGCGGCCGGAGAAACACCTCCGGAACATCCTTCAATCGACCCGGGCAATCGCCTTCCTCGGAACGCCGCACCACGGTGCAGGGCTGGCCAGATGGGCTGAGCTCCTATCCCGTTACGTCGGCCTCGTCAAGCAGACAAACACCAAGATTGTGGCAGTCCTCCGACAGGAGTCGGAAATGCTAGCGCGGATTCAGGACAGCTTCCATACCATGGTTATAGCACGCAGCAAGGAGGGACAAAGGCAGATTAATATCACCTGCTTCTTCGAGGAGCTACCTCTACTAGGCGTTGGCCAGGTAGGCGCGAAAGCATGGCTTCATCGTACGCGGTTGATTAACGAGCGGCACAGGTGGTGCCGCAGCACTCGGCAATCCTCCCGGGGTACATCCCGATCGGCATCCACAGCAACCATATGGACATGGCCAGATTTGCCTCTGCAGACGACCCCGGGTTCACGGCTGTCTGCGGGGAGCTTCGCCGGTGGATCAAGGAGATGGATGCGACAGAGAGACGTCACGAGAATCCGCCCCCGTCGACCGATACCAAGAATGCAGGGGACGGACAGAGTGGACGTACGAGCTCATCCGCACGATGTGGGTAAATCCATCATACGCTCATAGGTCAGACTAAGAAGAATAGTTCTGGTGCCGTACACCAGCAATCCGGACTTTGTTGGGCGTTCCGAAATTCTCGAAGAGCTGAAGAGCCAGCTCGGCCACGGGCAGCTTTCACCGGCCGGCACGCCGCAACGGAGAGCATGTCTCCATGGGCTGGGTGGCATCGGGTAAAGGAAGTCATTCTCACTTTCCATATATCATACTGACGAACACTAGGAAAACGCAGATCGCGCTGGCGTACGCGTTCTGGCTGCGTGAGACGCACCCGGATGTGTCGGTTTTCTGGGTCCACGCAAGCAACAGGGAGCGGTTCCGCCAAGCATATGCTTCCATCGCACAAGAATGCCAGGTCCCCGGCTTTGATGATCCCAAGACAGATGTGCTGGCGCTAGTGAAAAGGTGGCTGGAGAAGAAAGATCGCGGCCGGTGGCTCATGGTGATCGACAATGCCGACGACACGCAGCTTTTCTTCGGCCAGCAAGGGGAATCCGAGAATGGCAGTGCATCCAACCACGGGGAAAACCTTGGGCGATACCTTCCCGAGTGCTCGCACGGCGCTGTTCTTGTCACAACCCGGAACAAGCAGACGGGCTCGAGGCTGACCAAGGGAAAACGTCCTATCGAAGTCGGCAGGATGGACGACGACGAGACGGCCCAGCTGATTCGTGTACGACTTGACGGAGTCGACGCCGCTTCTGGCGAATCCTTGGCGCTTTCTGCTCGGCTGGAGCACCTCCCGCTTGCGCTCGTCCAGGCGGCGGCGTTCATGCAAGAGAACACTATAATGATCAGCCAGTACCTTCGACTTTTGGATGAGAGCGACCAGAACTTGGTCAATCTGCTCAGTGAGGAATTCGAAACGGACGGCAGAGACTCGGAGACGCCTCGTGCAGTGGCGGAGGCGTGGATCCTCTCATTTGAGCAGATCCAACGACAGAATGGCTTTGCGGGTGAGCTTCTTTCATTGATGAGTCTCCTCGACCGGCAGGCCATTCCGTTGGAATTTCTATCCCGCTATAGTGAGCGGCAGCGGGACGAAGAAGCCAGGGAAGAGATACAGCTTACGAAGGCTTTGGGGGTTTTGAAGGCGTTTTCGTTTATCGCCGAGGATAAAAGCCATGGATTCGACATGCACCGGCTTGTGCAGTTGGTCACTCGGAAATGGCTTGACAAGAATGGCAAAATGCACTGGTTTACGGAACAAGCACTGGTGACGGTGTCGCAAGCTTACCCGTTTGGCGACCACGAAAGTCGGGCGGTGTGCAGCGCATACCTCCCGCACGTCTACGCTATACTGCGATATGAGGGCACCGGGTCGGAGGATGAGAGGTTGGCTAGGGCATCCCTTCTCCATTGTGTTGCCGGATTCTTCCGTTACCAAGGTCAAAGGAAGGATGCGGAGAAGTTCCAGTTGCAAGCAACACGTCTACGAGAGGAACTGCTGGGAGAGGAGCACCCCTCCACGCTGGCCAGCATGAGCAACCTGGCGTTGACGTACTTGGATCAAGGCCGATGGAGGGAGGCCGAGTCACTGGGGGTGCAAGTGGTGGAGACCGGGAAGAGGGTGCTGGGAGAGGAGCATCCCTCAACGCTGGTCAGCATGGCTAACCTGGCATCGACGTATTGGAATCAAGGCCGGTGGAAGGAGGCCGAGGCGCTGGGGGTGCAAGTGATGGAGACCAGGAAGAGGGTGCTGGGAGAGGAGCATCCCGACACGCTGACAAGCATGGCCAATCTAGCGTCGACGTACCGGAATCAAGGCCGGTGGAAGGAAGCCGAGGCGGTTGAGGTGAAAGTGATGGAGACGTTCAAGAGGGTGCTGGGAGAGGAGCACCCCGACACGCTGCTTAGTATAGGCAACCTGGCATTGACGTATTGGAATCAAGGTCGATGGAAGGAGGCCGAGGCGCTGGGGTTACAAGTGATGGAGACCAGGAAGAGGGTGCTGGGAGAGGAGCACCCCGACACGCTAATTAGCATAGGCAACCTAGCATCAACGTACCGGAATCAGGGCCGGTGGAAGGAGGCCGAGGCGGTTGAGGTGCAAGTGATGGAGACGAGAAAGAGGGTATTGGGAGAGGAGCACCCCGATATAGTGACAAGCATAGGCAACCTAGCGTCGACGTACCAGAATCAGGGCCGGTGGAAGGAGGCCGAGTCTCTGGGCCTGCAAGTGATGGAGACGAGAAAGAGGGTACTGGGCGAGGAGCATCCTGACACGCTGATCAGCATGGCTAACCTGGCGTCGACGTACCGGAATCAAGGCCGGTGGAAGGAGGCCGAGTCTCTAGGGCTGCAAGTGATGGAGACGTTTAAGAGGGTGCTAGGAGAGGAGCATCCGTCAACGCTGGTCAGCATGGCTAACCTGGCATCGACTTACCGGAATCAAGGCTGGTGGAAGGAGGCCGAGTCACTGGGGGTGCAAGTGATGGAGGCAAGAAAGAAGGTGCTAGGAGAAGAACATCCCGATACGCTGACAAGCATGGCGAACCTGGCGTCGACGTACTGGAACCAGGGCCGATGGAAGGAGGCCGAGGAGCTACAATCCAGGGAACTTAGCATTTGTTCGAGGGTACTGGGAGAAGAGCACCCCGACACGCTGGCCAGTATGGGCAACATGGCGTTGACATACCGGAATCAAGGCCGGTGGAAGGAGGCCGAGGCACTGGGGGTGCAAGTGATGGAGACCAGGAAGAGGGTGCTGGGAGAGGAGCACCCCGATACGTTGATTAGCATGGGCAGCATGGTGTTGATATACTCGAATCAAGGCCGGTGGAAGGAGGCCGAATCGCTGGGGGTGCAAGTGATAGAGACAAGAAAGAGGGTGCTAGGAGAGGAGCATCCATCAACGCTGGTCAGTATGGCTAACCTGGCATTGACGTACTGGAATCAAGGCCGGTGGAAGGAGGCCGAATCGCTAGGGTTGCAAGTGATAGAGATGTTCAAGAGGGTGCTGGGCGAGGAGCACCCCGACACGCTGATCAGTATGGCCAACCTGGCGTTGACGTACTCGAATCAAGGCCGGTGGAAGGAGGCCGAGTCTCTGGGGCTGCAAGTGATGGAGGCGTTCAAGAGGGTGCTGGGAGAGGAGCATCCGTCAACGCTGGCCAGCATGGCTAACCTGGCATCGACTTACCGGAATCAAGGCCGGTGGAAGGAGGCCGAGTCTCTGGGGCTGCAAGTGATGGAGACGTTCAAGAGGGTGCTAGGAGAGGAGCATCCCGACACGCTAACCAGCATGGCCAACCTGGCGTTGACGTATACGAATCAAGGCCGGTGGAAGGAGGCCGAGGCGGTTGAGGTGCAAGTGATGGAGACGAGAAAGAGGGTGCTGGGAGAGGAGCATCCCGACACGCTGACAAGCATGGCCAACCTCGCCTTCACCTGGAAGAGCCAGGGCCGTCTCAGCGACGCTCTGGAGCTGATGCAGAACTGCCTTTATCTCCGGCGGCAAGTACTCGGCTCAGATCATCCTCATACTGTCTCTACCCTTTCTCTCGTAACCGACTGGTTGGACAAGAAAGACAACGGAGATAGCTAGGGCCATTAGGGTCATAGTAATGCAACTGGCCTGTCGTAGCATCCCAGATCTTGACCGTGTTATCGTACGGCGCCGACGCGAGCTGTGCCGCATCGTGCGACCAGGCCAAGGAATTGACAGGCCTGCTATGACCCTTAAGCGTCAAGATACACTGGCCTGTCATAGCATCCCAGATTTTGACCGTGTAATCGTCGGACGCCGACGCGAGCTGTGCTGCATCGTGCGACCAGGCCACGGACTTGACAGCGTCGCTATGCCCCTCAAGCGTCTGAAGACATGCATTCCAATCATCTAGGAGGAAAGTCGCCATTGGATGACAAGACCTAGTTGCCGAATGTAGAAGCGGTCTGGTGCAACGATTAGAAACGGCTTTGACATACACCGCAAACCATCCACCGCCCTAGGCTCCCCATGCCTTACTCAAAGGAACAACGCTTTCCCCAGTCCTCCTGGCCCTCCACTGAACTCGACATGGAGCTCCGGAATCACGCTCAATTGGAGCTCCAGGCAGTGAACCTGATATACTTAGTAGTCTTACTGAGCTCGGCGACAAAAACAGCCGGCCGCAAACCATATCAGACTGTGATCTAATTGTGTAATCCACATCTTTAGGTCTGGGAGCGATTCCGTCTGGGAGGAGATCGAGGAGGTCTACATGGCAGCCCCACTCGTTGGAGTGGCGGCTTGAATACAAGTCAGTTATTATCGAGGATGTGATGGTGGTCCTTTTTGGATACTCTTCGTTGTCTGCTCTTGTCCACTACCCCGAAACTCATGAGGCATCGCTGTGTGACACGCCATACCCAAACGCCTAGGGCCCATTAGTCTGAGAGTCTAGCAGACGTATATTCAGGCTGGCCGGAGCTTTCTATGTACATTTAGAAATATACTTAACCCCGTCAGGAATTCATCGTCAACAGAGAAACCCGAAGCTGCTCTGCAGTGTCCAACGGATGGAGCGAAACGCGCTTCAACACAGTCATTTTTGTCCTCGTAAACCCAAAATCCCACAGCTTGAATCTGCCTACATGAGCCTAACGCTGTGCGCTCAGAGGAGTGTAGTGTTCGTGTCCCGGCATTTCCGCTAACCCCGCATCTCGGCGGTGCTGAGTCTGGTAGTCGTAAGCGTCACGACCCGACCCAACAAGCTCATATGGACCCCTTTGGCCGATGGCTGGTGCGCGGCTACGTCGTTCGACCAGAGCTCTGTTGGTGGCGAAAAACCTTGGTTGCAATGAGGCCGCTTCTAGCTCTGGTTTCCCCCCATATACCGGCTGAGAGGTCGTGCTGCTGGTTTTGGACGTGCGCTGCTTAGCTGTGTACCGCCGACCCAGGAAGGAGCTGCGCAGAATGAGGATAATGCCTGCTATAGAGCCTGCAACAGCGCCGGCGATGACCGGTGTATTCGAACTGTTATTTCCTGCGGGGTCTCTGCTAGTAGGATTGTCGCTATTGTTAGAGGCTGGGCCCTATTGTCCTATAACTAATCGAGCTGCTTCGCGTCGCGGAATACTTGCAGCGTCTTGTCGGGGTGCCTTCGTAGTTACGGAAGCCGCCTTCTTGTCCCTCGCTTTTACATATAAATCCTCTGTATCCGCTTAAAAGGGTCCAGAACTAGTCGCTTTAAGGACAAGAAACCGCCCCCTTTGAACAACAACGAAGAAGGTGTCGCTATTTCAGGGAGGCTGAGAACATGAATCTAAAACTGGTATTTCATTTTCATTTTGGGTCGAGTTACTGACTCAGTAGAGTTTAGGTTATGTGCTAGAACGCTTTCTAATAGTTGAAACGGTAGGGAATGCATTTGCGCTTAGTTTTTACTAACGTACATGATAAGCGAGTAACCCAGACAAGCGAATGACCCACTCTCCACTACCCTACACACATTATCCTCAATTACAAAACAACAGAACTATCAACCAACTACAATTACATCAGAAACGGCTGAATCAGATGCTTCTGCAACCTCCTGGCAAGTGCGGGCATTATGACCAGGCTTGCCGCATACACCACAGCACCGAACCTTCGTACGAGCCCCCCCTGCACCACCACCATCTCGCTGCATTTCTTATGCCACCTCCCCAACCATAGCCTTTTGGTCTAGTAGATCCTTTGCATCTTCCACTGCAAGTGATCCTCCAAGCTATATACGCGTTCTTTTGGCTCTTCGGCGCTTGCTTAGTGCCTCGTTGGCCTTGCGGAGCGAAGCATTCTCTGCCTATAGGAGAGCCACCTGGTACATTATAGCTATTGTACTCTTTGTCAGCTGGTCCACAGCAGCCAACATCGAAGTCGGGGAGCTATTTTGGTGGGTGGCAATACGAGTCTTGATAAGCGTTGACTGTGAGTTGGCTTCTCGGGTATTTGTCATGAATTAACCTGCAGCGGCCGGTGGGGCCGACCTGCATGGTCTGCGGGCGACGCCTGCGTCCAATCGTTCCGGTCCAGGAACGGACCAATCAGAAGAGGATCACACTTGGCATAGGGAAGGCTTGGTGATCCAGGTATAAGGCTCACAAGGGATCACTGGTGATCCAAAGTGATCCAGTATGAGGGATCACCGGAGGGAGGCCGTGATCCATAGGAAGAACCGTAGTATATAGGATAGCTAGTCACTCGTTCTAGAGGACTCTGGGAGTTCCCCAGTGAGCATTTACAAGCAATAGCCTATACCTATTGTGCAGACATTGCGGCAAGCATTGTTGTGAACCCTTTGGCTTCACCGAGACCTACAGTCCGACTAGCAATTACCTTCGACCGGCGAACCCTTTCAGAGGCAGGACTGCCTGTGGTTTCGTCATAGTATTGTGTGGTATCTGGAAGACCCAAGATTGTATAGTGCCCGGCCATGAGGTTAGGGGTGTTGGTATACGAAGCTTGATATCTAGCTTCGAAAGCACCCTCTCTGGATCGTACGGCATAAGGCTAGCCCCTGCAAAACCGCCCTATATATTCCTCTTGGTGATAGAGGCAAAGAAGGCCGTGCGAAAGGTATAAAGGAACTCGAGCTTGCTTATATGGTTGATATATACGCGTATTAAGTCCTCGATCTAGCAACCGTACGCCTGCTTCAACGGCCCAAAGCAGCCAACATCAAGTGGCTGGAGGATGTAGGAGGAATGTAGAGGTATATAGAGCGTGATAATGTTGTTCTACTGGCAGTAGAGCTCGAACTCGGTTGAATAGTGGCTTTTATGGTCATCGAGGATCAATAACCGGTATTTGCCCTTTATCCGAGGCGCTATATGGTAGTTGAAGTGCTTGATCCAATCAAGGCCTACCGTATTAGTAGTCTAGCCATTCTCGGTGGTTATAATACGCCAGTCGGCAGGGAGGTTGTACTCGGTATATTAGTTGGCGAGGTAATATTGCGCCGCTAAGATAAACAGAGGGATAGCCCAGTGTCATGAATTAACCTGCAGCGGCCGGTGGGGCCGACCTGCATGGTCTGCGGGCGATGCCTGCGTCCAATCATTCTGGTCCAGGGACGGACCAATCAGAAGAGGATCACACTTGGCATAGGGAAGGCTTGGTGATCCAGGTATAAGGCTTATAGGGGGATCACTGGTGATCCAAGGTGATCCAGTATAAGGGATCACCGGAGGGAGGCCGTGATCCATAGGAAAGACCGTAGTATATAGGATAGCTAGACACTCGTTCTGGAGGACTCTGGGAGTTCTCCAGTGAGCAATTACAAGCAATAGCCTCTATCTATTGTGCAGACATTGCGACAAGCATTGTTGTGAACCTTTTGGCTTCACCGAGACCTACAGTCCGACTAGCAGATACCTTCGACCGGCGAACCCTTTCAGAGGCAGGACTGCCTGTGGTTTCGTCACACCTAGCCAAGGGCATTGACGCCTTAGATCACCATCGCCCATTTACAGTTGCCAGGCTGGGCTAGCTTCGCCTTGCCACGGCCATCCGAGGTTGTAACCACCATGCCCAGGAAGATAATGCCCATTATAAACCCAGTCTTGTCGAAATTATAGATATTGTCATCTACGATACTATACTTGGCCTTAATATTCTGTACAAGGGCAAACCACTCGCCAATGACCTTTGGATCCTCATACTTTACCCTCTGGTAATTGTATCTTCGCGAATAACGCGTATGGAGCTCTGGCTGGCGTTTGACAAACCAATATGCCCAGAGCTTGCCGACAGGGGGCGCATCGCGTACGCGTAGCAGTTAGTTGGCCATATCTTCTACACCACGTAGTCTCGGCGGAAAAGCTCACATAGATAGCTCAATAATATATTGAACAATAGCCTCCTCTTTAGATTGGGTAAGCTTCTTCGAATTGGCTGGAAGATCGCGTCGTATAGGCCGGCCGGTACATCGGTAGCCGAGGGTTGAAACTGGCACGTTATAGAGCTTGGCCGCGGCTCGAAGGCTTAGTTCTATATCATTTTCAAGAGCTTTGAGGGCCAAGGTTACCCTAGCTTCCTTTGAAGTGGAAGACATCTTTAGTTGTAGGAAAAACGCGTTGTTAGAGGTAGATGAGGAAGGACGCGTTGTGCCAAGAACTTAGTGTCCCGCTCGCTGATATGTCCCGCTCGCTGATATGTCCCGCTCGCTGATATGTCCCGCTCGCTGATATGTCCCGCTCGCTGATAATGTACGTTATTTCTTTTCGAGCGTAATAGGATGCAAGATAGGATCACCTCGGAAATATAGAATGCCGGTCTGAAGACTTTCCTTGTGGACGAACTCATTCAACCCTTGCAGGGCGACCGTAATGTTATGTGGCTGCCGGATGGTTACGGTAACGCGTTCTTCCGCAAAGTGAACGGTTTTATAGACTCTGTTTCTTTCGCAAAAATCATTCGGGGTGAACTTTTCGGGGGGCAAACTGGGACTTTCCTCCCCAGATTCCCATGTGAGAAGCAGATTGAGATGGCCCCTATCAGCCGCGCTCTGAAATGGGTTGTTATAGAGAACATCGAGATCATATCCTACTAGGATCGCATTGCCTCCCCTTCCGCAGTTGTATCGGCCGTGGAATTGGGAGAAGTCAGCCTGAGTCAAGATGCTTGAGCAGACACGGCTATGCTTAAACTTTGGTTTCTTGCGATTGTTCTAATGGCACTATCCTCTTTTGTACCGCTCTGCCGAATGCATGGTCCTCAAGATGGCTAGCAATTTGCAATTGCATCTCATCAGGGAGTCCGTCTAGCGTGTTAAGGGGGAGTTTTCGCTAATCATGAGAGCAACCATCCTACAGCTATGATCAATGGCATAAGGCATCTGTAGGAAAGTCGCTGCCGAGTTAGCATGGAAGAGAGATTCTTTATCTTTAGGAAGGTCTTAGCCAGAATAGCATTGAACCACCATTCTGACAGCGGCAGGGTCCAGTGTATACAGCGGTATCGGCCGATGAATCTTTTCCTTCGGGTAAGTCGGTAACCAAGTCGCGGAGGAGCGCCGACTTGGTCCAAGTAGCATAAGGAACCTCAATAAGTTGTCTATTATTAGTAGTCAGTGTGAGGTTTTCTTCAAATAATGCAGGCATTGTACGCTTATTAGTAGTCATCTTGACAGAACATAGTTGAAACGCACTCGGGTTAGTGGGGTGTGGTTTATATCTTCAGTCTTAGCTGACTGGTCATTTAGCGGCAAGGGCAAAACCTCTGAAGGGCTGATATCGGATCTTGTAACTGTGAGAAAAGCTCGATGGGTTTTGGCTGCCTGCCGTGGACGGAATTGGACAAGCCAGAATAAAAGAGTCACAATATCATTCGGCAGGTTTGATACGGACAACATAGACATTGGGAGCGCCGGACTGCGTGTCTTTGGCGGAATCCAGACACAAAGATCAGGAATTGCGCCGGTCAGAACCTACGGCGGAAGAAGACGGCAAGTATTACCTGTCGCTTGGGCCGTATGTGCAGTATGGCGGTAACTATAGCGGGGGCGATTAGGCTCCGTGTGGAGCCTCAGAAGTTGCCTCAAATCGTCTCTTCGGTTAAACTTCTTATCGCAGAAGTCACACTTCATCATCTCTAGATCGAGACCGTGTTTCCTAGAGTAGGTTCTTTATAGGGGATTTGGAAAGGACAAGAAAAGGGATAGATAGAAACACCTGTCTTTACTAACGAATTAGTTTTGCCTTGTAGAGCTATAGGTCCGAGGTATCACAGCAAGGAGCGGCCGCACTGAGCACTTGGCCAAGATCAGGGGTTTTCTGACCTCCTGGAACGTACATGGCCGCTTCCGTCCGGCCATGGACAACATTCCAGTACGTTGATTGCATTGGCAGGCAAGGGATCCCAGCCGCGATCCCGGAGCTGACCAACCCATTGCCGGACTTGTACCCAGTAGAGGGAAACCCACCGCAGGGCTGGGGCCTCACATTCATGCAGAGCAATGGCGGTTCAACGGGCCGCTCGCCAGGCACCGGCCACTGGGCGGGTCTGGCCAACACTTGGTGGTGGTGCGATCGCGAGCACGGCGTTGCCGGCGTGGTCTGTACGCAGATACTGCCCTTCGCGGACCCGGCCGTCTTCGGGCTCTGGGCGCAAGTGGAAACAGAGGTATACAAGGCGGTCAAGGAAGGGAAATAGTCTGCCCGGGTAAGGAGTCTTGCACTTGAGCATCAGCGCGGGGAGAGGGTGTGAAGTTTCTGGGTCGCACGTTCGCGCTTGGGGTCGAGTCTACTGCCATCGGTATCTAACTTGAATTGCTCAATAATGGAGCTTGGAACACATGGAGTATGGACTTCGAATCCATTAGCGCTTCTCTAACCCTTGGATACAGCACCTTCATCTATCTAGCTTAGGAACCCAATCTCTTTCCAAACATAGACATACTTCCGTACGACCTCCGCACTGACGGGACCGGCAGCGGCTAATGTGGGCGAGTGCTCGAGTGCGTGCGTGGGGTCCAACACGAGCCTGCCGCAAGACATGCGCTCGTAGTTGGTCTCGAGAAACTCGGCGAGTGCCGAAGCCGGGTTGTTCCGCGGTGGTGCGGCCTTGACGCGTTGCGTCCACTCGCGCAGGGGAATCAAGTTCGGTATCCCGAGCGCATCGGCCAGTACCGAGTTCAGCTCCTGCCAGGGCTGGCCGACCGGGTTCTCAATGTGGTAGAAGGCGTAGCAGTCGGAGTCGGCCAGCCCCAGGTCGGCGAGGGCGCTGGCGATGGTGTTGACGGGGGTCCAGTATGCGTGCCCGTCGACGTCGGGGAGCGCGTTGAGCGTCTGGGACGATCTGACGATAAAGCCAAAATGCTCCATGGGGTTCCAGTACCCGCTGATGCTAGACCCTGTGCCGTGTCAGTACACCCCCTACGGGAAATTGAAGAGCACGTGGCAAAAAGAGACTAATCTTACCGGCGATCTGGCCCAGCCTCACGGTCATGGCACGGAAGTGCGCTGGGTGCTGCCTCAACAAGGCCTCGAGCATGCGCTCGCACCCCCACTTGGCCTCGGCGTATCCGACCGGGAGCAGCGACTCGATGCCGACCGCGTCCTCCGGCACCCGGCTGCCCCGGTAGTTGCCCACGACGCTGATAGAGGAGACGAGCTGGAAGCCGCAGCGGAACCCCGCCGGCCGCCTCCTCACGATAGCACTTGCGAGGTCGACCAGGTTGCGCATGACGGCGAACTGGGGCTCGAAGCCGGACAGGGGCCTCTTGACGCTCATGGGCCACGCTTGGTGGACGACGTGGGTGACGGATGCCGCGAGGTCATCGTAGACTGCCTCCGACAGTCCGAGCCGCGGCTTGGACGTGTCGGCTTGCAGTACCCGAAGCTTGGAAAGGAGCTGATCGGGGAAGTGGACGCCCTTGTCCTTCATTGCCTTCTTCTGGCGCGCCGCCGCCTCGGTCTTGTGCTCACGGTTCAAACACACCACGGCCCGCACGTCCGAGCGATGGGCTAACTGGAAGGCTAGGTGGCCTCCGAGGCTTCCGGTGGCTCCGGTGACGAGAACCACTTTGGCGTTGGCGTCGTACGGCGTTGCGTCCCCGGACGTGCATGGGACAGGGGCCACGAAGCCCGCCGTGTACTTGTCGACGTAGTCGTCGATGGCCTTCTTGCGGCTTTCCAGCGCAGCCGTGTCAGCGGCTGGTGTAGTAGTCTTATTGGCGTCAGAAATGTCGAGACGGGGAGCTTCTGACGTGTTTTCCATCGCTTTTTCGTTGTCGATGTGTTGACTCGAACCCGCCTTCCCATCCTGCAGGCCGGAGCCCCCTTGTTTCGGCACCTCGGAACCTGCGCGACCACCCAGAGTCTGCTTGAGATCTGCAACTGTCGGGCACTCGAGAAAGAGCGACTCGTGCTGGATGTCGAGCTCGAGCTCGTCCCGGAACCGGCTGACAATGACCAGAGACAGCAGCGAGTCGACTCCGCAATCCGAAAAGTTGCTGTCGTCCGTCAAGTCTTCTCTGGCGACGCCGCTCTCTTCTGAGATGATCTGGATGGCGCGATCAAGCTGGGCCTTGGAAAGACCCGGGGCCTTTTCGTGGTGGGTGGAAACACTAGAGATATCCGTTTCTTCCTCGTTGCTCGACTCGGTGCTCGGAGTTGCGGTAGAGCCGGTGGTCTTGGGCTCCTCTCCTCCCAGGAACGCTTTAAGGTCGCCAATGCTGGGGTACTCATAGAACAGCGAGTTGAAGTCGAGATCTAGGTCCAGTTCTTCCTTGAAGCGAGCCGTAATGGTGAGCCCCAAGAGGGAGTCGATGCCCACGTCGGCAAAGACCGTGCCGTCAGTCAGATCCGACTCGGCGAGACCACTTTCTTCCGCGATGATGGAAATAGCCCGCGTGATGGTTGGCGACGAGGACACGTTTTGTCTGGCACGTGGCCCGATGTCGGCCGTTGCTCGAGGCAGTGCCGGCTTCACCTCCTCTCTAGGCAGCTGGTTGGGCTTCTTCTTCTCACTGTTCAGGATGGCCCTCAAGACCCGGCGCGGAACACCTTGCATCTGTGAGCGGGAGTGAGTCAGCATCTACATGAGAATTATTTGGCACCAACACAGGCATACCGCGAATTTTGTAAAGTGGGCCACGATCTTGTCACCATCCAGGACGCTCACTTCGCCCTGCCACAGCCGGTCTTTGCCCTCCACCATGCGCGAATAGGTAGTGTAATCCCGAGAGAAGTCCATGTCCTCAAAGACCTGGAAGGAACCCCAGCCGTGGTTCACAAAGACGTCCTTGTCCAGGTCGTTGTAGTCGTTGCAGTTCATGGAGAAGCCGGCAGCCCAGGTCAGGCCGTCGATCAGGCCGGGGTGCGTGTGAAAGTGCCCATCTTTGTGGAAATCCTTGAAGCTCAGGCGGCTGGAAGCCTCCAGCGTCTTGCTGTTGAGCACAATCTCCTCCACGGCCCGGTACCCGTCGTGGAATCGTGCGAGGGGACGGATGGCGCGGTACGCCATGGCACGGTTGAAACGAGCCGTGGTGTGCGTTTGTAGTCCGTCTCGCAGAGCACTCATCTTCTGCTTGATAATGGGAACTTCCAACTGCAGCTTCTTCCGAAGACTCCCATCGTTGAACCGCACCGTACAATGCGAGTGTTCCTGTAACTTCTCGTGGTCCTGCACCGTGTTAGTCTAGTCTCAAGCCGAGATGTGTAGAAGAAAGAAGCAACGCACCAAGGTCATGAACTTTACAGAGGCCGCATTGGCGGCCCAGTCGGCATCCGCTTGCACGCGGAGGACTTGGTTCGCATTGGCGTCCGTCCTCAGTATCAGAGCCTTCAGGATTGTCATATCGCTTATCTCGAGGCAACTGTTACTCGTGGTCTTCTCTGGGTGGTATCGATCCAACAGATGCCTCCCCAGTGCGAGGGCGATATCTGTATAGACTGCCGGGGTGCAGAGCGGGACGCCGTCAACTTCGTGGCCCTCGATCAACGGGCGGAAATCCTTCCTGGCGACATCCGACTCTGCCACGATACGTGCTGTTTGCAAGCCTCCCGACTCTTCCACGACACGGTGGATGGTGGTGCTCTCGAGCTTGGTGGCGGCGGTGATAGTCAGGGGCGGATCCCCCTTCCTCAACGACCAGTCGTTCACGTACTGGATCCAATAGGGCTTCAGGTCCCAGCTATACGCCGGCAGAGGGAGCACTTTACTGGACGACAAGAAGTCCCGGTGATATAACGGCCATGCGATATCCGCGCCCATGGTGTAGAGCGTCTTGAGTGTGGTTGCCAACAGCTGGAACGCCGGTCGTCCTCTTTGGCAAGAAGCAAGAGAGGTGACGGTGTGGCCGAGGACGGACTTGATCATGCCCGAGACGGCGGGGTGTGGGCCAATCTCCAGCGTGACGCCGTTTTCGGGAATCAGCTGGCGGCTGTTGGCAATGGCCAATGCTTGCATCATGTTGACCGGTTGTCGAGTGTGGGACGCGAGGTATTCGGGGCCGAAGACACCCGCGCCGACAACGACTTGGCCATCCAGCGGACACAGGACGGGGACCTTGGCCTCGGAGTAGGTGACGTTCCGTGCGATGGTCTTGAACTCCTCCAAGATCGGATCGACCTGGGAAGAGTGAAAAGCGTAGGGCACCTTCAGAGGGGTCGTCTTGATCCCGGCATCCGTAAGCGTCTTCCGGACCACCACCATGTCTTCGTTGGTCGCCGCCAGCACGGTTTCGACGGGCGAGTTGACGCATGCGACCTCATACGCCGTCACGTCTCCGGCTTTGAGGGTCTTCTGGATCTCGTCTAGCGGCCCCTTTACCACCAACATGGTGTGGGTGTCCTTGGTGCACTTCTCTTGGAGCAGACGAGCCCGGGTGCCGACGAGGTAGATGGTATCCGCGTCGGAAAGGACTCCGGCGGCGTTCAAGGCGGCGTACTCGCCCAAGCTGTGGCCGACCACGGCGGTCGGTGCCAGGCCCCACGACGCCCACAACTTGGTCAGGGATATTTGCATGCAGACGCTGGCTAGCGGTACCGTCATGGTAGGAAACTGTCCGATGTCCTGCTGATCGGCTCCCGCCTGTATGATGGGTAGCATGGACGCGAAGCCCAGCGCTTGACCCATGCGGTCCAATCGGCGCATCTCGGTTCTGAAGAAAGAGACATTCTCAAACAGCTCCTTTCCCATCCCAGGGTACTGTGCGCCCTGTCCAGTGTAAGCGAAGACGACCTTTGGCGAGCCCTTGGGTCGGGTCATGCCGGCCTGGTGCTCGAGTGCGCTGTCGATCTCGCGACAAAGGTCCAGGCTGCTGGTGCCCGTCAGCATGACACGGTGCTGGTGGTGGATGCGCCGGGCGGTGGTCGTGTACGATAGGCGGCCTAGAGGCACGTCGGGGTTCCGTTGCAAGTACCCGAGTAAGGACCTCAAGTTCCCCTGTAGCGACGTCCCGTTCTTGGCAGAAACGGCGACGACGTGATGGCTTCTGGGGTCCGCGGGTGTGCTGTCGGCGGACTCCGGGTCCAAGGGGCCATCTTCAAGCAGCAAGGCCGTGTTCCCGCCGGCGGCACTGAAGTTGTTGATAAAGGCTCTCCGAGGCTTCCTGGGATCGGTACTCCTTGCCCAGCGGGTTGGCTCGCGGGCTATATGCACATTACGCTCGAGCAGATCAGTCGGAAAGCGGTGGTTGATCTTGGTCTTAATGCCACCTTGAGCCCGAGTCGTTAGCTTCTTCTTGTCCACTTTTTCAACCAGGAGGGCCCGCTTACAATGCGGCACTATCGTGTCTTTCTGCATCATCAGGAGCACCTTGATCAGGCTGGACATGCCCGAAGCGGCTTCGCCGTGGCCGATGTTGGCCTTGGCCGACCCCAGGAAGAGAGACTCTGCCTTCGTTCGGTTGGCCCTCTTTGATTGCTCCGGACGCGGTGCGAACGTATCGAGAACACTGGACATCTCGCCCGCGTCGCCTGCCTGGGCTGAGTGTGACGGAGTTAGCGAAGATCTGCCATACGACACCCCGAAGCCGAGCCACTTACTTCCTGTTCCGTGCATCTCCACATACCCAACCGTGTACGGATCCACGGCGGCCTGGTTCAGAATCTTGTTGAAGACGGCGCGTTGGGCTCCGACATGCGGCCTGGTGATGGACTCGGACTCGGCCGAGTGGTTGGTGTAGGCCCCCAGGATAACCCCCAAGACGGGATCCTTGTCGGCGATGGCGTCGTCGAGGCGCTTGATAATGACCGTCCCCACACCCTCTCCACGGCAGTACCCATCGGCGCCGTCGTCAAAGGTCTTGCAGTTGCCCGTCTGCGAAAGAAAGTGGCCCTTGTCGAGTCCCGCAGTCATGTCCGGGTTCGTCAGGATGTTGGTGCCGCCGGTGATTGCCGTGTCAATGTCCCCACGCCAGAGGCTGTTGCAGGCCAGGTGGATGGCGGCAAGGCTAGAGGAGCAGGCCGTGTTGACGGCGAAGCTGGGGCCGCTGAACTTGAAGAAGTAGTTGATGCGCCCTGGGATGAAGGCCATGTTGCCGCCGGGAATGAAGTACGTATCGATATTCTGGGCGCTGTTGGTCTCGAACCAGTCTTGGCTGGTAACGCCGTAGAATACCCCCACGCGGTCTCTTCTCGTGGAGGGCGTGGCGTCGGGGACGATGCCGGCTTGCTCGATGGCCTCGTACGCCGTCATGAGCGCGATCCGCTGCGCCGGGTCGATCTGCGGCGCCTCCCGCGGCGAGATGTTGAAGAACCGAGCATCGAAGCTCGCCGGGTCGTCGAGCCAGCACCCGTACGGGGTAATGCTCGTGTTCTTGCGGGCCCCCGTTGGATCTACGTGGGTCCTGGCGTCCCAGTGCAGAGGGGGGACCTCTTTGTGCATGTCGAGGCCGCGGTGCAGCAAATCCCAGAAGGCCTCGTTGTCCTGGGCGCCGGGAAACCGCCCGGACATGCCCACAATGGCCAGCTTCGGCTTCGAGGGATTCGGATACGAGATTGAGTCGGGGTGCTGAGAGCCCGGCGACAACGGCGGAGGGGACAGCAAAGGGGCCAGCGATGTCTGTTTGAGGGAGGTATAGACCAGCTGATCCGCCCTCGTGCCCAGCGCCACCACCTGGAAGGCCTTGGGCCGCGCCCCTTGGAGGTGCGTCTGCAGCCGATCGAGGATTTGAATCCAGCGGATTGGCTGGAGTAGTATATGCTCGACGGCATTTTCCAAGAGCTTTTCGAAGCTGCTGCTCAATTCAACTACGTTGCCACTGCCCGAGAATATGGGAATGTGGGACCATATGCCGCGGCGCTCGAGGCCCTGGAGTATCTCCTCGACGTCCTGGGCCGAGTACAGGTGGGGAGCGTGGTAAGGAGCAAAGATGGGAATACTCTTTGTTGTGAGTTTGTGTAGGCCGTCTGAACTCAGAAGCCGACGAAGCGAGCGCGGCGAGCCGCTGACTGTGATGCCGTTTGGGGCATGGGCGCTGATATATGGTTTGGCATACGGGGGCAACAACTAAGGTTCACAGCAGCGGATATCGTCAGCAGGTGGCCAAGCTTGGAGGCAGCAAGCACTCCCAAGGCGATGCTTGCTCTTACCGTCGTCTTGTTGAAGCTGGCAACCGCGTCGGCAGATGACTGACCCGGGATAACGACTGACCAGCTCTCGTCTTCTACCGTCTCAGCTGCTTCCAATCGTTGTGCCATGCCTGCGACGTGTAGGCCCGTCCTGAAGGCCACGACAACAGCATCGACGGCCAAGGGCACCAACTCGATGGTGCTACGGCTACAGCTCACCGCAGCGGCAGCCAAGGCTCCCGTACAAAGGCCAAGTATCCGTGTGTCGTTGGGATGGAGACCCCAAACGCTTTCCTGGCTGTAAAGAGTTAGAACCCTGTTACTACTCGTCGTTGAAAGGGAGCCCGGCATACCTGATGAAGGTTCCGAGTTGATAAAGACAAGTCAGGGCCATCTCCAGGGCTATAAGTCGTCTACCGCCATGCTTCCATAACAGCAGATCGTCCAGCGAGGTGAGCCGGGGGAGAGCCTCCCTGACCTCGACCGGAAGCTGGTAGATCTCGCGGCGTAAGGCATCATAGGTCTGCTGAAGAAAGGCCTCCAGAACCGGGTTGTCCCTGCCTCGTAGGAGAGTCTCTAGGTGCGGCTGAGCATCAAAAGTTTGGTCTCCGAAGAGATAAAGAGTCTGCTGTCCCGTCATGTTGAAATAGAAGATCACATCTGAGTAGTGGGAAAGTTGAGTTGCTCTAACTCTTGCTTTCGAGGCAACTACATCCGTATTTGGTCCCTATATATCTCGCCTCTAACCGACGGTTGAGCTTCTTCTCGAATCCTCGTTCCATCCTGGGCACGGAGACTTCGCGATACTGGGTTGCTGACTGCATACAACCTGGCCTCTGTCCAGGCCTTTGCGACTCACCTGGCCGCGAATAGCGCTGATAGGCGTATAGCCAATTGTCGGTTTAATACGGGCATAGAAAAAAGGAGGCTTTCCGATTCGCTTTCGTGATGACAGTCGGCTTTATGCTGGCAGTAAGCTGCATGAGCCACATCGCCGGTATACCCGGTAGACCCTGGACCGCTCCTAGTGCCCGTACTAGTCAGTGCGGGATCGCTTCCGGCGCCCTCCGGCTTTACTCGAGTCTCACTCGTCGATGGGGTGATTGAATCACTACGTCGGGCGACCGGAGCAGGCCTTTGGGATCCGAGGCTGATTCTCCGGGGTACTGGCTCAGCAGAAGCAAATTTCATACATCTTGGTGCGTTCCTTCAGGCCTTTGTTGATTTGTATGCCACATACACTGCTTCTGCAGCAAAGGAGCCTTCACCACCATCTTGTTAACAACCGATTTCGGAACACCATGTATGACCTACTCGCTGCCCTATCAAGTTCTCGACTTGCTGCCATCCCCGCCATTTTGCTGATTGCGAGTCTTGCGCTATGGCTCGGCCGCGACCGCCGCTTGGACAGAATGCCTGGGCCGGGAGGACTCCCGCTGATTGGTATTGGAATCAGTCTGCCCGACAAGGCCCACGTCCGCTTTCGTCAATGGGCTTCGCAGTATGGCGAAGTCTTCAAGTTGCGCGTTGGCTGGTTCGACTGGGTCGTCATCAACAGCCCTCAGGCGATGCACGAGATTCTGAACAAACAGGTAGCCCAGTCCAGCCCGGGTCGTCATGAGCAGTGCCCTAACCGCGCCGTAGTCCATCCATACTTCCTCCAAGATGCCCGCCCCACTGGGAAACGATGTAGTCATGGGGGGCATGCGCATGTTCACTCTGCCGTATGGCCAGAAATGGCGCACCTACCGCAACATATCGCACCAGCTCCTCTCGAGTACCATGACGGCCACCTTCGTGCCGTCGCAGGAGTACGAGGCCAAGCAGCTCCTCTTCGACCTGGCGACTGACAACAAGAACCAAGACGAGTTCCAGATGCACATACGCCGCTTCGCCTTCAGCATCATGATGACGAGCACCTACGGGATGCGGGTGACCAACTGGGACGACGAAAACGTGCATCACGCGCTTGCCAGCGCCCGCATCCTCGGCCAGATCACGCGCGCCGGCGCCTTCGTCGTGGACGAGCTTCCTGTCCTGGCGAGACTGCCCGCGTGGCTCCAGCCCGGACGGCGACAGGCCGAGGCGTACGCCAAGCCGATGCTCGAGGCCAAGATGCTGCTCTGGCGCAACCTCCAGCGGCAGGTGGCAGAGGGGAACGCGCCCGTGTGCTACGCGCGCGAGCTGATGGAGAACAGCGACGGCTGGCGCAAGCAGGGCCTGCGGGACGAGGACGCGGCCTGGGTCGCCGGCGGCAACCTGGAGGCCGGGTCGACGACCACTTCCGTGACGCTGCTCAGCCTGCTGCTGCACCTGGCGGCGGCGCCGCACGTGCAAGAGACGGCGCACGCCGAGCTGATGCGCGTCGTGGGGCCCGACCGGACGCCCACCTTCGACGACATCAAGGACCTGCCGTACGTCCGCGCCTGCGTTAAAGAGGTGCTCCGGATGCACCCGACGCCCTTCTGGGGTATCAAGCACTTTGCGGATGCCGACGTAGTCTACAAGAATTATGTCATCCCCAAGGGAACGATTCTTCTCGGCAACACCAGCTTCCTGCATTACGACCCGGACCGCTACGAAGAGCCGTTCGAATTTCGCCCGGAGCGCTATCTGGGCTTCCCCAAGTACAGCTCCGAGTACGCCAACCAGGGGGACCCCTACCAGCGCGATCACTTCACCTTTGGCATGGGGCGGCGCATCTGTCCCGGTTCACGGCTTGCCGAGAACTCCCTCGACATTGCGCTTGCCAACGTCCTGTGGGCCTTTGAGGTTCGGCCGCCACTGGTAGACGGGGTGGAGGCTGCTGGTGTGGATGTAAGCGACGACGCTTGGGACGACACGAGTTTCCGCGGCCCCAAGCCATACAAGATCCGCTTTGTGCCGCGCTCGAAAGACCGGCTTGAGCGGGTACAGTCGCAGTGGGGGGAAGCTAAGAAGGAGGGTTACATCCTGAGAGGCCAGAGGGTAGACGTCAACGGCTATGTTCAAAAGACTTAGATAATTACGGAGAGGCGCAAACCATTGCACACAATGTACTTCCGAAGCAACACGGCCTGCCACATTGTTCTGCCATCCCATGAAGCCGCCACGCTGTCACTGCTCCTTCCGGTATCAATATACCTCAGTAAGCGTACCGCAAAAGCGAAACTTTAGATGGCGTAACGGGACACAGCATCCACTAAGATGACGGAAACTGCCGGGGCTCTGACCCCCACACTGCATGGTCAGCTTACACGCACAATGTCTCACCTTTAACCATACGCGGCGCACAAATCGGATTTAGAGCTACGAGCGCCGTTGAGCTGACGCTGTAAGAAAAGCGACGCTGACAAAAACCCGCGGGAGGCTTGTGGACGCCTGTAATCGCGCCAATAAGAGAATCGTAGACGACTATGCCGCTCAAGGGGTGGCAAGCACAGGCCAAGCTCCCGCTACCCCGCCAATCGATCTGTCCATCTGACCACCTGGCCATTTCTTCCCGCTCGGAATGACGACTCTCTTTTATTACGGCCCGATCGGCCCGCCAAAGTGCGGTGCGGTGCGGTGACAGACCCCGGCTTGAAGCCCTGCTACGTACAACCCTCCGGGGTTTGTTTTGTTAGTCTGAATTGACTTCCCAGGGCACAGGCAAAATCTGTCGATCGATGATATCACCACAACAGTAAGTCACTTTCCTAGCAGTTTATATGGGAAACAACTTACTTTGCGATCGGCAACAGACCCTCAACTGCCCTGTCAACGCAACACCCTTCCAAAACCAAAAAATCACAAGGTTCGACCATATACTGGCCAATTGAAGCCCATGTTACTCCCTTGCTCTACTACTGGCTTGGCCGTACCAAATTAACAAAACAAACCCAGGAGGGTTGTACCTGAAAATTGCCGCGTCAGGTAATTTCAGAGATTTCAAAGCACTAAGGGCCAATCTTACCCGGTACAAAGAGGTAGTGGGCCCTTCACCATCTCCTCACCAAGCGCTCGACCCATAAATACATCGTAGAACCTCCACTTGCCGTAGGCACTAATGTAGGCTGTCGGATGTAGCTTTTCGCCCTCACCGCGCCGCAACTTTGGCGAGCCGATCGCACCCTTAGTTCCCGAACCATCTTGGCAAGAACGGGACGCCAATGGACCGAGAGAGAGAGCCAGCGAAAAAGGTACAGTTTCGCACCGCTTGCGACCCGTGCACCGCCGCCAAGGTCAAGTGCGACAAGAAGCACCCGGCCTGTAAACGCTGCGTCGAGGTCCAGGCATCGTGTACCTACAGCGCGTCGCGCAAACACGGGAAGCAGTCCTGGCGCAGGAAGTTGGCGCAAGACCGCACAACCAACATCATCGCCGCCACCGCCGCCACCACCACCAGCATGGCAGCCGCCAGTGACGCCCAGGTTCCCATCATGGCATTGCCCAGCCAGCAGCTGGCCTGGGACGCGCTGCTGGCCGGGGCCATGGGCCCGTGGATGATGGACGGCCGCGGCCTGGAACCGCTCGTCATCAACGAGCAGCCCGGGTCCGGCGATGCGTCGGCCATCGCATCGTCGTGGTCTTTCGCCGACAGCGACTTGGATGCCGGCTCTTTTAGCCATTGGGACGCGACCGAAGTATTTCCTGGTGGCGCGACCGGCAACTCGAGAAGCGAGTCCGATCATGAAAATGACTATCCCCCAGACCCGACCGCGCCCGTGAACCAGCGCCCCGGGTCGGCTACGAGCACAGCGCACGATTGCGAGGCCCGGGCCATCTCGATCCTCAGCTCCATGCAGCACGGGGAACTGGGCGAAGGGGCGGCGACCTGCTCTGCCCAGCCGACGCGCTTCGGAGCATTGAATCTGCGGCCCCGCTTCGATAGCGTTATCACCACCAACCGCGCGGCCTTGGACGGCTGGAGCGAGCTGAGTGAGTCACCTCGTCTCAACCCGCGCGTCGCCTGCCAATGGAAGTTACTAAAAGTGAAGGTACCCTACCGCAGTGAGATGCCAATGCACTCAGTGTCCGCACCTGATACTCCTTTACATAGCCATTCTGTCCAAAATGCTCTTCTGGTACCGCATCGCCGCGCGGGACTCCCTCGCGGCTTCTACAGCAGTGAGTGCAGTGAGTGAACAACGAGGCGACAGCAGCGACAACGCGTACAGACGCGACAGCCAAGACGGTCCTTCCCAGAGGGACGCACCTCCCACCCCCGACCGTTTCGCCGTCCATCTGACGGCGATACAAGTGGGCGGTCTCAGCCTGGACGCCGAGGAGCAGGCGGACCTGCGCCGAGCTCTCCTACTCCGCGAGCTCCGCAAGACAGAAAAAGCCATCGACCAACTCACCGAAGTGGGGCGCCCGGATGCGGCTGAGGGTGAGGACGACATCATGCGCAATGCCGTGGCTTGGTCGGTCAGCGGCATTGCCCAGGTCCGGGCCCAGCTGCGAGACGTGATTCAGCAAGTGCAATCCAGTTCCGAAGGTGGCAGGGTCTGAAGGACTTTTCGCAACTTCTCACTATCGTACATCCTGTTTCTTTTACCTCTGCCAGGGTTCCTCGGTACCATACATTCCGCTTGCTTCCACCACTACCCATGTGTCCCTTGGTATTGAGTACTAGATCAACAATACAATAGACAACCTTTGCATTCTACTGCATGTGATCAGGCCGTCTCATTGGAGGCCGTCTTGGACTCGTGGGCAGGGACCTTCTTCCACTCCATCCCAAGGGCCCCCAAAAACGCGACACACTCCAAGATAAGCGACAGCCGGAACGCCCACCGCAAAGCCTCCATGTACGCTCGCAGGACGTCTGGCAAGTACTCGTCAGGAACTGAGGCTCGTAAGTCGGTGGCGCCAGCCGAGACGACAGTGTGCCCGTCCAGCCCGGGAATTCCGAGAGCATCCACAGACTCGATGAGCTTGGTGTTGAAGATGTTGTTGCCGGCGCCCAAGAAGATCGAGGCGCCGAGGAACTGCGCCATGGTCGTGAGGGCCATTCCCGTGGGAACATCCCGATCGGGCAGAGTCTGGAGGGGCCATCAGTCAGAGGTGTAGTCTTCAAGGGAATAAGCCATGCCTGGCAACCTACCGCTCCCACAACCGTAGCAAACAGCTGCATGCCCATCCCCAGCCCGAAGCCGATGACGAACTGGTAGCCGATCCACTTGCCCGCTGACGAATCCACCTCCCAGGTCGTAAGCAGACCCAGGCCCACGGATGCGACGACGCAGCTGGCGATGAAGAAGGGAACGTAGTGGCCCGTCTTGGCTGTGAGAATGCCGGTTATAACAATGACGAGGACTTGTATGACCACGAGAGGAATCATGCGTATCCCCGAGTCCTCGGCACTAGTCTCTTTGACCCCTTGAAAGTACAAGGGCATGAAGTAAAAGGCCGTATTGAAGGCGCCAAACGAGAAGAAATTGAACCAGCAGACGGCCGCGATGGAACGTTGGCTGGCGATTCGGGGAGGCACGGTTGCATCTTCGCCCATGAACAGCTGGTCCGCGACGAACGCCACCAACAAGACCTGCCCTCGAGCAGTCAGCCACGATGACATGAGGGTCGCTCCCAGAGGGGGGACTTACGGCGAAGAAGACGATGGAAACGACTACTTGGTACTGGGACCACGAGTAGACGATGCCGGCCCATTCCATGGCCAAGAGATAGCAGACGATACAGGGGAGAAACAAGCCCAACCCCACAAGATCCATCTTGCGCAGGAGCCGCATCAAAGGCAAATCATCGTGGCTCGGCGACTTGGTTCTGATGAGGAAGAGCACCAGCGGTGCGGCGACGGCGCCAATGGGAAGGTTGATGTAAAAGCACCATCGCCAGGTTACGTTGTCGGTGAAGGCGCCACCGATCTGTGCGGGCGCGTTAGAGCGACATGCAGTTCGGAATCACCCAGAGGAACAAGAAGCGATGACAACATGGTGATGACGTACCAGGGGGCCGACCGCCGACGCCACGCCGAAGGTGGCGGCGTTGACGGACTGGAAGGCGGGCGCCTTCTCGGGCGGCACGATGGTGGCAATGATGACCAGGGAACCGGTGAACAGCGCTGCAGCACCGACACCGGCGACGGCCCTACCGACGATGAAGACGGCCGACGAGGGAGCAACGGCCGAGATCAGCGAGCCCACCTCGAAGATGAACAGGGCCGCCAGGAAGATCCATTTGGCCGAGTACCGCGAGTAGAGCTTCCCCGACAAGAGCTGGAAGGCACAGGTGGGCAGAAGATAGCCCGAGCCGTACCTGCAGCAATGCTCCGTTAGTGACGGGACAGCTCTCCGTGTGTGCGCGGGCGGAGCGTGGATTTGATTACTCACCAGCCGATGTCGTTGAGGGCGTGGAAGTCGTCGGTAATGGCGGGTATGGCCGTCGCGATAATGATGTTGTCCAGGCCGACGCAGAAGATGCTCAGACTCAGAGCGACCAGGATCAGGATGAACGAGACGCTCTTCACGTCAATGTACTGCGACGAGACATCGGCCTGGCGGGCTTCGGCGGTACGAGCATCTGGTTCGGGCACGTTTCGGCCCTCCTGCTTTTCTTCATGCACGCCAGTTCCCTCCATGGTGGGATGGGCGGTGGGCGCCAATGCCAATCCCCTGTGGCAGAACCCGAGTCGCTCGTGAGGTCCGGGTCGATTGGCGGATAAGCGTTAGTACGCCTGCAACGTCGGGAAGAGAAGGAGGTGGGGAGTTGCAAGAACGTCCTGCCGAGATATACTCGACAGCTTTTGTCTTACTCTTCTAAGCAGAAAGCAACCTAGGTCGGGTTGGATTCCTGCATGCAAAGGAAGTGCGGACCCGTCGCAGTCATGCTCGATGGGCCCGTTTGCTGACGGTTGGGGGGCCAAGTCCCAGGGTACCCGACGCGGTACCCGGCAGCTGTGTCACAAATGCATTTGATTCATCACAATGGGAGAGGGTTCGCCTTTTCGGCAGTTCCCTAACTCCGATGATCCGACGTCCATAGTAGGTACCTCCTAACCGGGTCAGATTCATTATCACACATCTTACGAAAGGTTCAAAGGGGCAGAAGGATAACCCTATTTATAATTAGTGTCAGTACTAGTCCTGAGGGCACCGAACGCCTCAGGAGAAACAAAATCAGCAGCTGGCAGCCTCTGCTTCCGTCGTCGAGAATGACCTATCTTACATCATATCTACAGCAGCTGAGCCCCCTGCAAGGGTTGCTACGGGCATTGGTTCTCTTGTGCGCACTCCCCACGCTGGCCGTTCTCACCTGGATTGTCCGGAGAGACAAGAGGCTGGACAAAGTGCCAGGTCCCAAAGGTAGTTTAATCTACGGCATAGGCCGGGATCTTCCTCCTAATGCCATACAGAAGTTCAGGGAGTGGGCCGACGAATATGGCGAGGTGTACAAGATACGGCTGGGTTGGTATACCTGGGTGGTGTTGAGCAGTCCGGAGGCCGTCAAGGAGATCCTCGACAAGCAGGTATGCATGTTACCGAGCTTTACCCTTGTCAGCCGCACGTAGAACAACCATTTCGCTGACCAGGAGCCGCAGTCTGTTTCCACATCCTCCAAGCTGGCGACACCGATGGCCGAGCTCGTCGTGGGTGGCATGCGAAGTAAGCCGGGCTCCCGGAGCGCACGGCCGCGTCTTGAAGTATGCTGACGAGCCCTCTTCCAGTGGTCACAATGCCGTATGGCTCCAAGTGGCGCAAGTACAGAACCATCTGCCACAACCTCTTGACACCCAAGATGACGGCAGCCATGCTGCCCGTGCAAACCCAGGAGATTGGCCAGTTGCTGTACGACTTGGCCTTCCGGAACTCGGGGGATTATGCCTTCCGAGAGCACATTAATCGGACCATCTTCTCGATCATGATGAAGACGGTCTACGGACGTCGCATCCAGGGAAAGGACGACGAGGACATCCGCAACATGGTGGAGAGCTCCAAGATTCTGGGACGCCTTGTCCGGGCGGGCGCCTTTATCGAGGACACGTTCCCGCCTTTGGCCGACCTGCCCGAGTGGCTGCAGCCGTCGCGGAAGCGAGCGCTCAAACTCGCAGAGTTCATCCTCTGGGTCAAGATGCGGACCTGGAACAACTTGAAGGAGCAGGATGCCAAAGGCGTCGCGCCCGACTGCTACGCCACGCAGATGATCCACGGCGGCTGGTACCAGCAGGGTCTGGTCGACGAGGACCTGGCTTGGCTGGCCGGCGGGCTCGTGGAAGCGGGCTCGCACACGTCGATCCACACCGTGGTGAACCTCGTCTACTACATGGCCGCCACGCCCGAAGTACGGGAAAAAGTGGCCGCCGAGGTCGGGAGGGTGGTGGGCGAGTCTCGGCTCCCGAACATGGACGATGTTCCTCATCTGCCTTACGTCTTCGCCTGCATCAAGGAGATCCTGCGGCTCTGTCCCGTACCTCCCTGGAGCATCCGCCACTTCACCGATGCCGACGTAACGTACAAGGACATCGTGATTCCCAAGGGGACCGCACTGGCCTGTAATACCTCGGCGCTCCACTTCGACCCGGTGCGGTACCCAGATCCCTTCAGCTTCAAGCCGGAAAGGTACGCCGACTACCAGAAGTCGTCCTTGGACTACTCGGCCCAGTCAGACCCCAACAGCCGCGACCACTTCTGCTTCGGCGCCGGGCGGCGTATCTGCCCCGGTATCCGCTTCACCGAAAGCAACCTGAGCCTGATCCTGGCCAGTCTCGTCTGGGCGTTTGATATCCGGCCCTCGGTCGTCCTGGTGGACGGCAAGGAACAGGAGGTGCCCCTGGATTTGTCAGAAGCGGCCTTCGACCCGTACCCCCTGCGCACTCCGAAACCGTTCAAGGTTCGGTTTATTCCACGCAGCGACGAACGGCTAAGTTTTATTGGAAGCACCTGCGACTCGACCGGCGCGTTGTAGTTTTTGAGTGACCTCTGTGCTCAATCAATGGGTTGGACGAAGGGGTGTGCTGCATGCATGGTGCTTATCCCTGAAGGGCGGCTGAGGAGCGTCGGAGGATAGCCATCCAAGATACGGGAGAGTAGATCGATACGTAGAGCGTGCAACTTTGCAAGTGTGCAACTTTCCACAACGGGGCGTGCAAGTTTCCGGACCGGAGCGTGCTACTTTCCCAGTAGGGCGTGCAACTCAGGCAGTGTCAATGGAAGTAGCGCCCAATTACCTAGACTGATGGTGTCTCCCGACTGCAACGGTAGACGGTTTGACTCTGGAGGGGCTATCCAAAGAGCTTTGGGTTGCGCTTTTGCTGTTAACCCAGCCTTGAGAATTAACCTATCTACACAGTGGTAACTATGGTGGAGGATATCGGGATGACCGGACTTCGAGCTACCCCGAGCCGACATGAAAATCGCTCATAACCCAGTATAAAAACCTTTTGGAGGGTTGCGTACAGGAAGTCGATAGCCGACACAGATTTGGTTCATTCTATATAAGTACGTGTACGTATCCTAGCCCCAGTATCTGAACGAAGTATGCAGCGTGAAGACGAGTGTGTGAAACATTCAAGTAGCTTTGAATCTTTCCGCTACCCGCTTTCTCGCCCTGAGTACCTACAGGCTGACGACAAGCTTCTTACCGCTGACCGTTGGCAAGAGGTCGAGGCTCTTTTCCACGACCTCGAGCCCCTTGCCCAGCACGTCGATCTTCTGATGCGGCAATCTGAACCTTCCCTCGTCCAGCAGCTTTCCCAGAAACGCCATGGCGCCCGGCGCCTGGTCGACTGCCATCTGACCACCGACCACTGCCGCACGATTCCGCGATTAGCTGACGAGAACAGGCAGCGTGATGTACCTCGAATAGTGGCTTACAGGTGGATTGCACACCAGACGGTGGCTGCGCGCCGGGTCCGGTGATGACCAGCGAGTAGAGCTTGGGACCGTCGGCCCGAAGCGCGTCGAAGACGGCCGGGGACCCGGTGCCCGCACCGACCGCGTCGAGGATGGCGTCGAAGCCGGCGTCGGCGGGGCTGGCGGCTTTGAGGGCAGCGGCGTCATCCTGCGCCGCCCGCGGGAGACAGGAGCTCGCGCCGAGGGACCGCAGGTGAGCGTGGTGGGCAGCGGAGCTGGTCGCGACAATGGTCGCCGAGGGCAGCGCGATGCGGAGAAGCTGGATGGCGGAAGCGCCGACGCCGGAACTGCCTCCGAGGACCAGGATGGACTGGGGCTCGTTGTCGGTAGTGTGGTTAGTGGAGAGTCCGGGGATGCCCACCCGAAGACCGACGATGACGGCGGCGAGAGCAGTCAGGTAGGCGATCCTGGATGATGTCCCCACGGATCAACAGTAGCCCTTCGTTGGCTGATGACCATGAATGAAGTAACTTACGGAAGCGAGGTGGCCTCCTCAAAACTCAAGAACCCTGGCTTCTTTCCCACGGAAACCGCTTGCGCAGTGAAGACTTCCTGGAACGAGCCGTTGAATTGGCTCCTCTGTACCCAGGCCATGACTTCGTCGCCAGGCTTGAAAGCTGTGACGCCGTCCCCGACCGCCTCGACGGTGCCGGCGCCCTCGATGCCAAGAACGGCCGGCCAGGCCGGAATGGTCGCCCCAAAACGCATATTCTTCCAGTCGATAGCGTTGAGGGACACTGCTCGGGGCTTGACGGTGACCTCGCCAGCGCCGGGCTTGGGGAGCGGTGCCTTGACAAAGGCGAAGGGGCCGCCTTGGCCGATTATCTGGAGTTGCTTGATGGACATGTTGGCTTGCAGTCGTCTGATGGACATCTGGATCCGAGTTGGTCCCGTAAAGGGCCCCCAAGGACAGCACTTTGACGTTTATAGGGTCCAACAGGACTCCAGCCGTCTTGCATGTAGATGCTGCTGGCTAGACATCGCAGGCAGCGGAAGTCGGATGCTGTGGACGGGATTAGACGGGCTTAGACGCCGCCGGAGATAGGCGGAGGACGAAATGTCACGGATCGCCGCCATTGGCTCAAGAATCCCGCGGGTCACGCCATGTGAATTCTTGCATCGCATCGGGTCTCACAGGTACGACCTCGCGCATAAAGGCTAAGTCCGGCCTAGCCTAGCATTCTTAGGCTTTGGCATGGACACTCGAGCGCATTCCACAGCCGCCTGGTTAAGTAGTCCGTCAACGCCACATGCACGTAACCTCTGGCTTATTGTCATATTTCGTCCTTGTGGCACACATCCAAGCTTGCCAGCATCAATTGCCGCTCCTCGACCTTTTCGCGTTCACAGTTGAGAAGATGGCGCAGAACGAGTCCATCCCCGTCATCCTTTGCGGGAAGACCTTCGAGGTCGGAGAGAAAGTGACTCCTCTGCTCAAGCCAGAGATTGAAGGTGCGTGGCCTCATCCGACCGTATTCTCATAAGCCAAGCAAGTCCGCAGACGGCTTGCCGTGGCCTCACGCTGATGTTTGTTTTGTTACTCGATAGTCATACACTTTGTCAATTCCTACGAAGACGCCAAGGCCGACCTGGGCCATCTCCTGGCGGGTCGCGGGCCCCAAACATCGACGCCGAACCACATCGGATCCCACGACTACAGCCGGCCGCCGCGCGCCGTCATGTTTGGGCGTGCATTCCAGGCCGACGACGTGAAGGAGATGCACCGTTTGTACAGTGGCAAGGGCGTCGGCACCATCGCCTGGATCGCAGGGGACCCGTCCATCGTGCCGCCGGAGAATCCAGGACCGGGCTATGCGGAAAAGGCTGCAGAAAATGTCAAGAGGGCATTTTTCAAGTGGCAAGAGGACGGCGCCAACACTGAAGAGATCATCTGGTATTGAACAGCCTGGTTGGCTAGGGAAAGTCGAGTGCGGGTGCATAGGTCAACATTAATGCTCTCTTTTTTGAGTTGCTACGTTTGTAGGCAGTGTGCTCTGTTTGAGTCTTTTGTTTCTGTCAGTTCGCTCAGCGGGCAAGAATGAAATATCAAATTGAGCCAAAAAAAAAAAAAAAAGAAAAAGAAAAAGAAAAAGGTCTGATTACCATAATCAGGCGGGTCTAAGCACATAAGTACGCAGATTTCTATAAATACGCAGATTCATATGTTAATCATACGCAAGGAGGTCTGTGACAGGAACCTATTATATTTGTCCTTGGGCGGTGAGCCTCGGCTTAGCCGACTAGGCCATTCTTCTACGTCCTACGAGCGTCAAGGTCGGGCACCACTTCGATAACTGAATGCTGGGACCCATCTGGCCTCCTGATGGCTTTGATGCTTAATGGCGGATCGACCTTGCGGATCAAGTCATACCAGTCGCTCGTCTCCCTCTCCCGGGCGTTGAAGACCTGCCGCATGCAGAGATCTTTTTCCCGCAATGCCGCCTCGAGTATTACAGGACCGGATCCCGGCGCCGGAATCACCATGTCCATGATGAGAATGCGGCTCTCGGGTCCCATGGCCCGGGAGAGCTGCTCTAGGATCTTGGTGGCCTTCTCGTCTGGCCAGTCGTGGATGATCATGCGGAGCAGATAGACGTCGGCCCCTGCGATCGGCTGCGGCCCGAAGAAGTCGTGTTCCTGCAGCTCGATGCGCTCCCAGACCCCATCTTGCCCGTTCCCGGCGGCTCCGTTCGCCATCCGGGCCCGCGCGCTCTGGATGGGCGTGGCCTGGTCCTGTACCAGAAACCGCAGAGCCGGATAAGCCTGCGCGACGACCCGCGAGGCGCTGCCGCTGCCGCCCCCGACGTCCACCACCAGGGCGCCGTCCCTCAGAGAGCCCCATTCGAACCCGTTGAGTAGATGCTCTACCTTGGCCCCACCGCTGACCTGGGACTGGCTCTGCATGTACGAGTCGAACTCGCGCTCGAGGTCGGGGCGCGACTTGAGGTAGGGGAAGTAAGCGAGGTCGGTGCCAAATGCCACGTTAAACGCCGTCTCGTCGGTTCGCTCAGAGCCGCCCCACCGCTCTGTGGCCTCGACGAAGCCGCGCATGAACGGGACCGTGTGGTTGACCATGTGCAGCATCCACGTCATGAGGTGGTCGTTCTCGACAAAGGGGGCGGAGAGGGCGTTGTGCGATACGTCTCCCCCGGGCGTTTCGCACAGGAAGCCCATGGTCATGACCATGCGCGTGACGGCCCGCAGAGTTCCCTCGGGCACGGCGCACAGCTTGGCAAGCTCGTGGTAAGCGATGGAGGAGGAGCCGAGGGGAATGCGCTTCAGGACGCCAAAGTGGCAGAGCCACTCCAGGCAGGAATACTGCTGCTGCTGCACCAGCAGTTCCGTCATGAAGCTCCCTGGCGAATGGACGGCTTGCTTCGCCTTGGTGGCGAGCTCGAGAATGGTCTCCTGGGACTGGGAAGACATGGCGACCGAGACCGGACGGACAGTTGCGAACGAAATGCGACGCGGGTTGTATTGCAATCACAGCGGAATCCCCGTTCGACAATGCGCGCTTGAACTCCATTGATATGGCTCATCTCACTTTCTCTCTGTCCTTTGTTTCCATGAGGGGAATCGAAAACGCATGCCCGTGTTCTGTGCCGTCTGTCCAAACCAGCTACCGATGGGCATCATGGCCGGGCTTCGCACGCGAAATACTATTGGGTGTTCATCCCCACTTTAAGAGGTGTAACTTGGCTCGCACACTCTTGCCAATGGAGGTCAGATCTCGGGCACGACAAGCCAGGGGTATGGCCGGACGCCCAGAAAAAGGCCGAGCGGTGAGTGATTGGTCAGCCTCGGGGGGAGGGGAGCTTCGGGTACATGGGAACATCGACATCGCCGAGCTTATTCCCTATTGGCTGGTCCAGCAGGGGCAGCCATCGACATCCCCGAAGGATTCCCGCGTGGCACCGAGTAGTCTCAGCCCTCAAGTAAGCCAACTGTTGGGCCCGCGCTCTCGTTAGCTTCGTATTTACGTTTGCTTTACCTTCGGGGCAGTAACGGGACGGCCATGCCTGGTGCAAGATGGTATACCACGGGGATCCTGAGGGTTAATGTGGGCATTTGGCTGAACAACGGTATTTCTAAGGCGCATTGGTGGAAGACATAAGTTTCAGACAACTCCAGAGTAGGAAACTGTAGTTTCATTATCGATACCACCACCGACTACATCCACGATGCCCTCATATGTAGTCACCGGTGTGTCCAGAGGGCTGGGCGTAAGTGAGGCTCCGCCACGCACCAGCATCTGGGACTATGGCTAAGCCGAAGGCGATAGTGGGAGTTTCTCCGTCAGCTCTCCAGCATTCCAGAGAATACAGTCATCGGGATTGTCCGCAACAAGCAGGCCACCGAAAGGAGGGTTGCCCAGGATCTCCCTGGGCGTTCAAACATCACCATCTTGGAGGCTGACGTAACAAGCTATGACGACCTCAAGGTAAATGGCTTTCATTACAAACCAAATAGACATGGTGAAGCAACGCGGCGTGGAATGCTGACTCCCACCTCACTACGGAACAGAAAGCCGCGGCCGAAACGGCTGTGGTCACCGGAGGAGCGCTTGACTACCTCATTGCGAATGCGGCCTACATCACCAGCTTCGATGCGTATGACGGTATTGGATCATTGTTCGTACCCGACGCCACCTCTACCCCTGGTGTTCTTGGGACACTCGTGCTTACCTGAAGGGTTTGGCCCCCATGGCCAGGTGCGACAAGCCAGAAGAGCTCTCGGATGAGTTTCGCAGGATGATGGACACGAACGTCCTCGGCAACATCCACCTCTACGGCCTCTTCATGCCCCTGATTCTGAAGGGCGAGCCCCGAAAGGTGGTGGTGGTAACGAGTGGCTTGGGCGACATCGACTGGACGAACGCGTATGAACTCGAGCTCAACTCGCTCTACTCCATCAGCAAGGCGGCCATGAATATGGTGACTGCCAAGTTCAACGCCCAGTACAAGAAAGACGGCGTGTTATTTGTCAGCATCTGCCCGGGCCTGGCTGACGTGGATCACCAGCAGGAACCGCGTGAGATTCTCTTATCTTGATCCTTCGAAGGAGCCGACTAACCTCGATTCGTAGCAAACGAGGCACAACAAGCAAACGTCCAGCGGATGTTCGCCGCAATCGCCAAGTATGCCCCCAACTTCAAAGGCCCGGATACGGCGGCATTCTCCGTGAAGGCTATCATGGACGTGGTGGACGACTGCAGCATAGAAAAGGGGGATGGTGGGCAATTCTGGTCTCATTTCAAGAACAAGCAGTGGCTGTGAGACACGTGCGCGGAGGTGGAAATGCAGGAAGGGGATGCCATTCTGTTGTCTAGTTCGATTAATCATGCAAGGCAATCTGAACAACGCCGATTTTCGCATCTCTTTGTCCCGGTTCGTTCCACACAAGACTGCGTAAGCTCGAGGATTGCCATGGTCGCGATCTTCTACATGGGCTGGCTCAGATAAACCCCCTTATCTCTGAGCGTGTAGCAGTCCACATAAGCAGGGTATAGTAGGCCTTATCACCACTACGCTAGAAGGTGCAGTGCATGCGGCTGCCCTGCCCGGCACGCGAGAGTGTGCCCAGGTGCCAGGTCACATGTGAAGGGCAATTTTACTGGTAAAACCGGTCCAAGATGACGTGAACTAGGCCACCTGGAACCATTGCCACGAGGTCGGGTGGTATCGGATCGGCCGGGTGCATGCAGCGACAGGAAACGATTCCAGGCACACGGTGACCTCGACTACATACCAGTCATAGGGGTCACGGTACCTTTCTGATCCGCGCCTATGGGAGCCCCCTCAGCTGCGCCGCTTGGTATTACCACATATATGACATGTGGCTGTGGACCCATTCTATTTCGGGTCAAGACTAAGATGCGGCTGACCATCTGATTATGCCTCTAGCGCATGGCATCGTAGGGCTTGCCCTGACAGGAGAGGCTATTGCTCCGTCTGGATCACAGAGCAAGGTCAACGCGGTGCGCCTAAACCGAAAGTGAGGTAGGCCAACATGGACGCTTTGGGGTCTAGAAGACGACACAAGGTCCGGACAGGGGCACCGGTCATCCTAATCAGCCCCCATCCAGCCCCTGCCAACTTTATCATTCAGCCTCGGCGTCAGCTCGAGCTCGAGGTGTGGTACCAGAATGGCGTTCAGGCAACAGTTCTCGGTGTCGACGAGGAGAGGGAAATGGTTACTCTTTCTTTTTTCTTACTCTTTTTGCTCATTCCGATTCATGATGGCCAGGCGAGCGGACAGGGGGGAAAGGCTATATAAGTTGAACAGACAGAATCATCGAAAGGATGGATTTGCACAGCATCCTCAAGCAAACGGGTTCCTGCCTCCGAACCCACGCATTCACCTGATAGACTGTATAGCGCCAGAACCATCATCATCGTCGTCGTCATGTTATTCCACGCTTCTCACGGCCTCTGGGCCTTGACCGCCTGGTTGGCTTCCGCTTCCGCCCTGCCGACTTTGCAGACCAGCAGTGGCCAAGAGCTCGTCAACCTTCTCGAGAGGGCCGCGAACCCCGAACTCGACATTGCCGTCTCCCCTAAAGCCTCCATACTTCATCCCGGTGATGCTGGCTTTGCCGAAGATACGCAGCGTTGGTCCGAACGCGACGCCCCCACCTTCAAGGTGGCATTCTTTCCGGCAACCGAGAAAGACGTTGCTATTGGGGTAGGGCTATCCAAAAACAGACGCTGGTTGGTAGCTATCGCTAACAGGCGACGCGCACACAGCTCAAGTACATGACAAGCCACAACGTCTCGTTCCTGGCCGCGTCCGGCTCCAAAGGGTTCTCCAAGACGCTGGCGAGCGTCCAGGGGGGAGTGAACCTGAACCTGAAGAACTTCGACAAGGTCACCTATGACAAGGCCAAGAAGACCATGACCGTCGGGGGTGGAGCAAAATTCCAGCAACTCTGGACCTTGGCTTACAATGAGAAGAGAGAGCTGCGTTAGTATTGCCACTCCAAACCCTCGGTCACGGATGTATAACTAACGGATTCGCCATCGCGAGCAGCGCTTTCCTCCGCCTGTGTTGGTGTCGGTGGCTGTACCGTAGGCGGTGGGCACGGATGGTTGCAGGGCAAGTACGGCCTTGTCATCGATGCCGTTCTCAGCATGCGCGTTGCTCTGTGGGACGGAACCATCGTCACGGCGTCGGAGACGCAGAACTCGGACCTGTTCTGGGCCATGCGGGGGGCCGGTCAGAACTTCGGCATCATGCTCGAGTTCACCATGAAGACGTGGCCGCAGACCAACGGCGGAATGTTCTACAACGCCGACATGTCTTTCACCAGCGACTCCCTCGAGGGGGTCGTGGGCGTCATCAACGACATCATCCCTACCCAGCCGGCCGACCTCGGTATAGACTTTGTCATATTCACGAACGCGACCACCAACCAGGTGAGCACTGATCCACCTATACGCCTCTGGATTCTGTACTGATCATTCCCTCCCTTCGTGTTAGACTCAGCTCTATCTCGGCTTTGTGTACCTGGGCGACGCCGAGAAAGGAAAGGAGTTGGCGGCTCGGTTCGCCGACTCGAAGCAGAAGGGAATCCAACGCACCCTCTTCAACGAGTCGATGGCACGGTGGGATCAGCTCTCGGATGTGGTGGTGGGGGGCTTCATCGACCAAGCCTGCTCTGGTGGCTCCAACCAGCAAGTCGACGTCTACACGGCCAACACCAAGCAGATCGATGCCGGGCAGGCGCGGCGCATCTGGGACTCGTACGACGACTTCGTGGCCAAGCACCCGGGCGCCGCGCGCTCGACGGTGCTGTGGGAGGTGTTCGCCCAGCAGGCCCTGAGGAACCCTCCCGGAGGCGCGGACCGGACCGCCTACGCCGGCCGTGACACAGCCACCGTGCTCGTGCTGGTGCAGGGCATCTACAACGACGCGGCGCTGGGCCCGGACGTCGACGCCTGGGCCCGCCCGTGGCGCGACGAAATCACCAGCACCTCGGGCTACCCGCGCCAGACCATCTACATGAACTACGCACACGGCGACGAGCCCCTCGAGGCCATGTACGGCTACGAGCCCTGGCGCCTCGACCGGCTCCGCCGCCTCAAGGCCAAGTACGACCCTCATGGCCACTTCAACCACTACAACTCCGTGCTTGGCATTACGAAGCAGGGGTACTAAGCCGCGCCCAAGGCAAGGCAGGCGGCCTTTTTGGACGCATTTTATTTTAGAATCTTCCTCGCGGACCGGCTGTTGGGAAACCCGGGGTGCTTATTGGGACATCCCGGATTGGTTTGCTTGTTCTTTTTTTTTTCTTGTTTTACTTTTGTTTTCTATAGACATTTCCCCCCACCTTGTTTCTTTTCGTCTGTACAAGCCATTTCCGGGCCACTGGTGGGATCGGTTAGCAGGGTTAGCCGCAGTTAATAGACAATCAACTTCACGGGTAACACAGATTGCTCGCACATGATCACATTGTCTCCAAGGCACCTATGAGCCTGTCCCGCAACGCGCTATGAACGTGATCCGCTATATCTACTTCGATGGTATCGCACTTATCCTCCGTCTTGCCCTGGCGCTCCTCCAGCTCGGCCTGACGCTCCTCGAGGCTATTGATGCGGCGGTCGAGGTCGGCGCCCTCGCTCTCGAGGCCCTGCATCCTCTGGTCGTGCTGGTGCGCCACCTCCTCCAGCTTGGCGTCCAGCCGGTCTTGCCGTTCTCGCATGGAGGACAGTTCGGCCTTGAGAAGCCTGTTCTCCTCCTCGGCGGCCTGGGCTCGCCGAAGCACTTGCTCCAGTTTCGACAGCACCATGGCCACCGGGTTGGACTCCAGCTTCTCCAGAGACGACGCATCGGTTGACGACCATGGTTTGACATCGGCGGGACTTAGCAAGCGCCTCCGGTAGAGCCGGACGTCTGGTTCTGGGCTATCGCGCAGTCGTTTGCCGGGTTGTTTGCCTGAGCAGAAGCAATCGTCAGTGGCGCTGGGAACACAAGAGGTCGGACAAACACACCTTTCACTTCAGCCTGGGCAGCTTCTGTCTCGAGCTGGTTGTACGGAGGCGGACTGTCCACTGCGCCGCCCAAGTCATCTGCGGCGTAAGCGTCGTCGGGTTCGGGAGCAGCACCAGCCTCGGCATCTTCATTGTCGGGCGCCCTCCGGTAAGCCGGCGGCGTCGCCGTGGCCACGGTCGACTCGCCCGACTCGGAAGCCGTGGTATCGTCATCGTAGTCGTCGCCAGCGGCAGCGTACACCCTTCCGCCAACACCCCCGTACAAGGCGCCCAGCCACCACTGACGTTCCTTGTCCTGCTGCTGCCGGTCGTGGCGGGAGGTCGGTGAGGTGACGGAATCCTCGAGAAGGTGTAACTGGTGCTTCGACAGGGCCGTGTGCGGCAGATACAGGACGAACTCGGCCGTGGTGGCCAGTAACTTCAAGGAGGCAAGAACCCGTTGCGAGGTGGGTTTGAGGGAAAGATCGCGGACAGGCAGGACAAGGTGGCCGGGACGTTTAAGCAGGAACCGGACGCGCGTCACGCCGCCCGCGAAATGCTGCAGGTCATCTTGGTCGAGCTCGGCGGTGTCGACGTCATGCGTGTGTTGGAGCGAGGAGATGTGGTGTGGGGGAACATCGAAGTAGAGTGCCGTTTTCTCCTTTTTGCCGCCGTCGTCGCGCCCGAAGACGTTGGTGTCGAGTCGGAACGACGCGATGGGAGGTTCGTAGGATGCCTTGAAGCTCATGCGCAGTTTGTGTCGGGGGATTTCGTCTTCTTCCTCATTCTCGTGCATGGGTCGGCCGTCTGCATCGAATGCGAGGACGACACTCGTCGCCTCGGCGCGGAAAGACACGCCAGATCCTGCACGACTACCATGGTTAGTGGACGGCATGACGGACTGACTCACCTGGACTCGCAACAGTCAATTCATCCGCGGTTGGCGCTTCTCCCTCCACCGAGCAAGACGCGACACAGGCTCGCGACCGGCAGCCGGGTCAGGCGCCTTGCCCAAGATCCTGGTCCTTTCAACGAAGGCGCTGGTCCGCACGTTCGCCAGGTAGGAGCCAGTGGCGACGATGATCGAGGGTGCGAGTGCTGGTCGGTTTGCGTCGGTAGCGGATGCAAGGCCGTACGATTGAAAAGATTGCTGGAGCGATCGAGGAAGGCTGTCGGGACGTCGGAACAGCGCGCTGCAGATTGATCAAAGCAATAATCAAGGCCAAATGTGTCTACGTCCACGCGACCCAGGTTCGCGACCGGCAGCCGGGTCAGGCGCCTTGCCCAAGATCCCGATCCTTTCAGCGGGGTGCTTGCTGGTCCGCGCACACGCGCGCCGAGTAGGAGTCGGTCGATAGATGATCGAGGGTGCGAGTGCTAGTCGAAAGACGACACGAGCGGCGATGAGGGATGGTGGTGATTGAATTGGACGGCCGATGTCGAAGTTGATTGATGGTGGAGAAATGGAGCAGAAACGGATTGAAGGAGACGCGGCTGAGAAATTCCGGGGGCTGGTGTACTTGTGTTAGGAGGTAGGCTTCGGCATTTAATCCCCGTACTGCGCCCCACCACGGGTACCTACCAGCTGACTGTGGGGGCCTGCAACGCGCTCGCTGCTGGACGGGCATGCAGGCAAGTGTAGAAAACGTTCAGCAAATGAAGCCAGAAATGTGATGGATTTTTAAAGCAGCTGAAACTAAGATAACTGTGCAAGAACAACTAGAAATGACCATTGACACCACTTTGCTCGAAACAGAGCGCGAGAGCCTTCAATCCGACTTATCCCCTTTGGTGCGCTCCCGAGTCCGCCCAACTTGATCGACCACCCGCACGCATAACGCCCAAAATAAACCTCCTTGGAATTGGACAAAACTAGAGAAACTAACACACTAGAGTCTGGAGATTTTGGAGCTGAAGTTATTTCACACCTGCGATTTCTTTCTCGGTAGTGGTGGCCGGTTGAAGTTGGGGTGTCCGGCGGGCCCTTGGAATCCATCACCCGCCGCCCGAGCTCGGTCAGGCGTATCCGAGACGAGATGCCGCAGACTCCACGACGGCTATGGATTTCTTAAATGCCTGGGCCGAGAACCGGATCTGCATGTGTTTGGAGTCGTTTCCCTAGCAAGTGCGTCTCTTTATCAGCGCATTGCTGGCCGAGGCCGCACACGCGTTGCGCACTCCCAAGTCTCCGCCTTCATCTCACGTGGACATTCACCCCTTCCTCTATCTGCTACTTGGCCTGCTCGCCTATCGCAGCAGCGTCAGGAAATGCAGAGGGTGCCTCGGATGGCGACGCGGGCTAACCTCCTGCAGTATTTACCCTCTCCCTTGTTTGTGTGAGAATGCGAAGCCCAACGAGCACATGATGCCTGGAATAAGGGTCCGGGGCCTAGTAACATCGGAGTCATACCATGCCCGCGCCCTTGGAAGCCCTACTTAAGCCCGATCGACCTGTTGGGGGAGGGAAGTTCGTCGACTGCCTCGAGAGGCCACTCCCATCAGGGGTTTACTCCATTTGGCCACGACATGCAGGTTTGGATACGTCTCCCGCTGCTGAATTGGCTGGTCCTTCTATAGCAGTAGGGATAGACGTGGGCGCCTTGTGTTGTGGCCGTATTGCTTACGGGAGACGAAGGAGATGGAGAGCCTCCTCAATGGATAGTCGCGTCCGATGAATGGCGAAGAAAGGGGCTCGGGTTCTCGACGATATCCGCCCAGCCCCTCCATACATGACTGGATGCGTATCCTGCAAGCAGATATAACAGGAATGATTGACAGGACGATGTATGGAACCGCGCTGTTCTCGAAAGCACAGCTTGCTCGATTCCCTCCCTATAGCTAGTGACTGCGTACCTCCATACTAGGCCAATCGATGCACGTGTACGCTCGACATAGCCAGCAGTGTTTCGGGGGACTTGAGGTGGGCGTGTGAGGCCCATGAGGCGTGGAGGCACAACTTGATAGCTAATGGCGTCTCTTGTGCTTTCCATGCACAGAGGTCCTCGCGTGGGGTTAGGCGAGCGCGGCGAGTAATTAGGGATCAGGGTTAGGCCTGGGGGCTTGGGGGCTGCAACCCCAGCTTCGGCCTCAATGGGCTGGAGACCCTGGCTAGGGTTAGTTGCTGCGTTGCAACTTCAGTTTCTCTGTCTACTATTGCATCCAAGGCGGGTTCAGCTCGCCTTGGAGTCTAGTATGCTACCCTAACCATACACTCTGGCACGTATATTGGCATGGTACTGCTCTTCCATCTTGTCCTTCTCTCTTCTTCTTTAACTATTACTCTATACACCATTTACTGCTCCTTATCGTTATCGTTCAACATTTCTTATAGTGAAATGGACCTGCTGGGCATTCCTATACACTTGAGCCCGTGCTTGCATGGGAGCTTGACAGTTACTAGGTCAGCTGTCCCTGGTCCGGTCTTGCTTTCAGAGAACGCTGCAGTCTAACCAACCTTCTTAGCAACAACTTGTCCAGGAATCTTGATTGTCCGAGTGCAGCTGGGTCTTAGTCAAGGCTCCCAATATATTCCAAAGAAAAAACGCCGCCTTGGCGATCAAGAGCTCTGGGGAGTTCGTCATATTGGTGTAGCATCAGTCGGTCGGCATGCCGGTCGTTGGGGCATGCCATTTAGTCAGGGCAGCGGTGTCTCAGGGTACGAACACGGACTCCAGATCTGGCCGGGAATGAAGATGTATAGGATGCTCTGCGAAATCTCCAAAGTTATTGGGGGCCCGCCGCGACCATGCCATTCAGGAGATAGGATGCCAGGAGGCCGTGGGGAGTTCTTTTAGTGATTGGCAAGGCGGAAGGTAGGCGATGGTATGGACAAAGACATGCTTGCAATGGTCAAAACATGGACTTTGATATCCCGGTAGAGAGCACGGCCGCCAACATCGAATACGACAGAGCGTCGTCGACGGCGTGGTTGTTGTTGTTGTTGTATTCTTTAACGTCTAGGGAGCGGCAGCGCCGCTTCGACCTCCCGAGGGGTATAGGACGTGCTGCTTATCCATCTACCTATCCTCCAATAGTATACATGTGCCAGTTGTGGCCGAGGTGCATTCCATGCCTCTAGGGTTAAGTTCAGTGACCTTCATTCACTCCGTTCCGAATATCCGGCTCGACGGCGTAGTTGAACTGGCGAAGTTACCCCTTTTCACCCGGAGACAACAGGCGCACGGAGGGTGTAACCCAGATTGGGCGATGGAATCAGATACGCCTAGGAGTCCCGAGCCGGGGGTGGATGTAGGTAATCAGGTGGCGGATAGTATTAAGGGGTAAAGGAACCTGAACTACTTTCTGGCCGAAGTCATCCGATCCGAGGACGAATGGCCCGGGTGATTAGGATCAGATTCGATTTGGCAGTCTTCTCTCTGTTGACCAAAGAGAGTCGCCACGCTACAATGCTTTCACGGGCACTCGTTGGTCGCGCAGGGCTTCGTTCTAATCAACAAAGAAAGGGGAAGCCGACAGTTTGACGCTTGCCACTTGCCATCAAGCACGGGAAGCCAGCTGCGACTACGCAATAGTAGAGGCCATTTAACATTCACGCAGGCGCAACCACTAACATAGAAACACTCTTTGGAACACAGAGTACCCGATTCGAGACATTCGGCAGCGAAAACGCTATTGGCATGGCAGCAAGGCTGCAGGAGAGAGTGGAGGAGGTTGTGTTGCAGGGCCATGAAGAGCCAACCTGCTATATCGGCGGCAAAAGCTCGCGAGGCAATTTTTCGGGGAGGGCCGGAAGGCCTAGATTAGGTTTGCTCTCTGTGGGCGGCTGAGTATGCCCCTAAAAGGGCATTCTGACAAAGACTGTAGCCTTACATTGAAGGGTCTGTCTCCTCCTCCAAGCCATCCAAACCGTTAGCAAGTATGACTCGGCTTGGCCAACAGGATGGAGGGGACTGCGAAACTCACGTTGCCACCAGCGACAGACGGCCGCTCCTTGGTGGGCTTGTCGACTGCTTCTCAGTACACTCGCGGTTTCCTACAACAACCAGAGCCTTTAGGCCAACCAGCGCAACCGCATTAGGTACCACCTTGCTTTTCCTGTACCAAGACCAAAACGGCGAAGGCCGAAGCCAGAGCGCTCCAGGGACACGTTGGATTCTTCAGCGCCGCGGATTTCCTGAGCGGCTGGTCCGAAGAAGGCAGAGTACCAGCCGACATTTGCTCGCCCGTCTCCGAAAGGCAACTGACTACGGCGGCCTGCACCAGAACACCTGGCTCGACGACGACGGTTCGGTGTGTACTTACTACAACTCGAGCACCACCGCCGTGACAGATTCAGCAAACAGTTATAGTAACGTACCGCATAGAGGTCGCCGTCTTCTTGAAATGTCATGGACGCGTGTTTCGCATACGAGTTTCACACAAAAGAGAGGCACAACTAGCGGGTGGAATACCTTCAATTTGACTATCTCAGGGGTAGGTGTTCGCTTCTGCTTCAGTGGTGTGCTAGGTCCCAGCTTCTCTCTGTTCGCGAATGGCCGGAAGCGGGCTGGGAAAGTGTAGAGGCTCCCGAATGCCGGCGCACGGATTGGAAGATGGTTTCGGCCCGACGATGGCGGTTCCAAGCTCGAATGGTGTTGAATCTCCCGCCCAACGATGGCGCGCTAGGGGTCGAAGGCGTCGCAGGGTTGCGAAGACAGAAAGACATGGCACAGCTCGCGCACTAGAGGTCATGCGCTGGCAGGTCACAAAGAGGCAGAACATCAACCGGGAGAAAGTGTACGCACGTCCCGGCTGCCAATGGCGCCTGTAAGGGGTCGGATTTCAGCGCGGACAGTGCAGTGGCAGCCTGGAAACTCAGCGGGGCACAATGCTAAACTAAGAAGGGATTCCCAGCCAATCCCCAACACGGCTGTCCAACATTGAGTCGGGAGTGGGGTACGCACATTCTGGACACTTGCCGCTCTGCACCTCTGTGCGAGTCGAGTTGTTGGAACACTGGTCCAGGCCATGCTCGTCACACTCCTCCCATTCTTGAAATACTATATGACCGCATGTGGAATATTGATACCAGAGCTGGGTACACATTTTCGGACGAGACCTATCAACGTTTAGTATCCTATCTAAGTAGTTGTTGGCCGGGTCGGTTTGTGAACTCTGGTTGTTGTTCACTTCGATACATTTTCTCTCGACCATGACCAGGCCGGCGTAAATGTCTTTGACTTCAGCCACCAGCTGCTCCTGGAACATGGGGCGAGCTTCGGGTTGCTTGATGATCTCTGTTGAGTCATCGTCCACTGGGGGCGGAACTGAACCGGTACCGGGGCCCCGGGCCGGGAGAGTGTGGGATTGACGATGTGGCCTGGAGAGCGAGCCTGATGAATGGCGTTGGCGCTGCTGGAAGGTGGCCACGGTGGACTGACCCTTTCTAACCAGAAGTATGTGGTCCAGCAAAGCTGTGTTATGGTCCATCTTGTAGGAATATGCCGGGATATAGCAGGGTCGGCCTGACGGAGAGAAGTAGCGCGGAAGTCATTGACACTAGTCGGCTCGATTTTCATGATACCAATGGCAAGACTGTCACAGACATAATGGGGCAGGACTGTGAGGTGACTTGTGTAAGGGTTTGAATAGACTTGGATATCAGACGTGTATTGTGCTCAAGTTGGACACGGCGATGGAAGACATGGGGGAATTTGAGGGAGGAGGTATATGGACTTATCTAACGAAGATTCCTCGAGAATACATCCCCGTCATTAGCTAGCAACCTGGTCTCCAAGTGGCAATGGGTGAGCAAATTGTTACGTCAAGGATCTCAATCTCAGTCGACATGGCATCCTATGAGTTGTTCCAGACCGACCTTATCAGGCGACCGATGACACCTCGACTCCTCATTTGCACTAGAACACTGGTCTCGCGGACCCACCAAGGGACTAATTGGTTAGTCTTTTGGTGGGGTCTTGGTCGCTCTTGAACGAAGTTTGTGGGGCGGGCGGCCCGTGCCGATGGAAGGCTGCCCCGCAGCTGATCGCCCCACACGTCCTGGGCATCGGTTCCACAGCGCGATCGGGTCGAAGAAGGTTGTCGCGGTCGATGTCGCGCGGCAGGCCTGTCAGATCGTGGTGGCGTTGAGGAGATCGGAGTTGTCGCTGCGCGGGGAGCGGTAGTTGGCCAGGCAGACAGGATCGCCAGTCTCTTTGCTCGTAGCGCAGACGAAGCTGGCAGAAGTTAGTAAAGTGTAGGCGTCGATGCACTCGTCGAGACGCGCTCTGGCGTGTCCTCTTGGCTGAGCTTTTTTTTCTTGCGCGGCTGGGGATTCAACGGAGGACTGCGGGGTGGCCTGGTTCGCTTCGAACTTGTCTGGCTCTGGCTGATGCTCGATACGAAGCTCGTGGCGAAGCTCATGGCCGGTTTTGCACCAAGAGATGTCGACTCCTGGCTGGGCTCTTCCTCTTCATAAAGGTACTGGGGGGGAGCCGGCCCCCCGTCGACGTCCTGGGATGCAGCGTATTTCTTAGCGCCAATGGCTCGTGATAGGTTTGTCTAAATAGAGTAGGGAAGGCCCTCTCCTTCCATTAGTTATTGTTCGCTAGGTGTCTTGGTCCTTTATACTAGAGCTAACAACTTCAACCCCTGGTAAAGCGGAGTTAAACATCCCCCTTGTCTGCCTTGCGGGTCGTTCGGGGAGTTAGCATCCCGTTTGTATTCCTTGCGATTTGGCGTTCTGATTATTTAAGACCAGGTCGGGGCGAGTTGCCGGCTTGGCGGGTGTTCCGGCTTGGCACAGCTCGGGCGGTACAGTCTAAGCAATCAGGAACGGCGCAACCCGAGCAAGCATGGCGACGCAAGCAGGACCTGATCTCTGAAAGGGCAGCTTATATACCAACACTTCATGCTAGCCTGCTTAGATCGCCGCGCGCCCGATCGACATGGCGCACGCCTCTACGAATGTTCATCCCTCCCGGCAACAACCCTCAGCGTCCGGTTAGTTGGAGATAAACACCCGTCTCGAACGAAGTCTGATTAATCTAACAGGTCAACACAAGGAGATGCAAGCACTAGAAGAATAACCGGCGGATCTCGCAGTATGGATAGCTGAGCAGGAACAGCAATGTCTCACTTCCTAGGTACCAGTATCCTGTCCTTGACTGGGACTCCGCTATTGGATCCACCAATCTTTGCCATCCCTCCGAGTTACAAGTTGCCTAACGTAGCCCTCCAGCTTCCTAGAGCTCGGGAATCGACCGCACCTTTGTCATGTCCACGTTCCCTTGTCTACGGCGGCCGATTCACCGCCCGCATATACGCCCGGTAATTCTGAAACGTCCGTGACGGATAACGTCCTGCGTCTAGGCCAGCAATTCCCTCGACCACAGCCCCACCAAGGTCAGTGTCAGGGGCGGTGTAGTCATAGACTTCATTCCAGACCGGAGCAGTGGCAGTGTTGATGCCGGGATCGGGTATCATCCTCTCTACCGCCTTGAACAAGATGGCATACGTGGTCTCGTTCATATTCTTAAACCAGCGTATCGGCGCCGACAGGACCTTCCCGCCCGGGAGGTAGCTGAGTATATCGTCATACATGTCCCCGGTGCCGATGGGACTGCCTCCGAGGAGCCGGGTTCGGGTCTGCGTGATGGCTGTGGCGATGTCACTGTCCCTTCTGTCCAGGTCTTTTCGGATAATGGCTCCCCCGCCCTCCATGTCGATGCCTTGGAGCATCCAGATCAAGACCAGATCTGCGAGCTTGTCATTGGGCGAGACAGTCTTGCTGAAAGGGTTCAGGATGGGGAAAGAGATCTTCTCCCACAGGCTGCCGCCTTCCCTGAGGAACTGGAACTCCTGCCTCGCGAGGTCGTAATGGCAGCCTGGGAACCACTTCTGGCGGATCTTGAGGTTGGGGGGAGCCGGATTCCCGGGCGTACTTGGTGCCCTAAATGCTAGACATGGTTGAAAGCCCCAAAATCTATCGTGAATAGACAGGGCGTGGTAAACTCTCTCCACTGCCGTCGACACACAGTTGTCATAGAATTCAGGCCACTCGAATCCAGTGCCGGTGTGGTAATTAAGCCGCGGCACGCCACGACCTCCGACGGTATCGAAGAGGCCCATGAACTTGACTGGCGTTTGCACCGGATAACTGACGTTGGCTCGAAAGTCGCGCATCTCCTGCGACGTTGGGTGGTGGACCGGGTGTGGGTTCTGGTACACGTCGTAGGCTAGCTTGATTAAGTCCGTATTCGCTGGGGTGTTTCGAAGGATTCCGCAGTTGTTGATCAGACCGGCCACGGATCTAACGATATAGGCGCCTCTGCTGATCCCAAACATCCACACCTCTGTGCTGACCTGGTTATCCCAGAGAGAGTGCCGTACGATAAACTCGTAAACCATGCTGCATTCTTCTTTTGCGTGCGTGGCAATTGCGCCGTCCCAGAGATACCTCATGAAATCGCCGCCCAGGCCGACGCCATCGAAGTATTTCGCGTGGATGCCGTCTTGTGCCGAGTGGTATTCCGTGGCCCCATTTTCAAGATCGATCCCTATCATTCTCGCGAGGAAGTTGATGTTGCTTTTAGTGTTGGTTTCTCGACCACACCAGGTGCCGTCGCACAGGACGATGACCCTCCTTGTAGCGGGTGGTGACGCCATTTCGGATCAGATGCTCTGTGTCTGTGTGTGTGTGAGTGTGTGAGTGTGTGTGTGTGTGTGTGAGTGTGTGAGTGAAGGGACAGATGAATACAGTACACTAGCGCAGTGCAATGTCAGGTATGAGGTATAACGTAAACGGTGGAAATGATCGCTGGGAAGAGAGCAGGAGATGGATGACAGGTGCGGGTGTATAACTAGACCTTACTATATCTTGGGGTTCCAAGAGACCCCCGGAGTCTGTTACCAACCTGTCGAGCCCTCCTTCAGGACCGCCCCCTGTCCAAGATCTCCTGTAATAATGCGTAATAGTAATAGTTATTAAAGCTATGTTCTCTACGTCATCACATGTCATCGACTCATCGCATTTCCATCAGGAATGCGTATCGCATATTTGCGCTCTAGCATCATAGACAGTGCCCTATACGTCATCACATGTCATCGTCTCATCGCATTTCGGTCAGGAATGCGTATCCCGCCAGATTAGACCATCCCTTTAAGATGATGGCCCGGGCACCCGCTGCACGGACAGCGTCAAGGACGGTCCGAACCACGCGTTGCGGGTCGTCAAGCACAATGCTTCCGAATCCGATGTATACCGGTGGTGGACTGTCGGACAAAACCCGCGCGAGGTCTTGTGGTGGCGAGAAGGACGGTGGTGAATCCACAGACATAGGATCCGACTGGTTGTGGTACCGTCATTGACACACATACCCTTGCCATGCCAAATGCTCGACGATGGCGTAAGATGCATAATTTGCCGCAGACTGACTAGTACCGCTGCTGTTGCTGAGAGTGGCCAGTGGGTGCGGAAATGCGCCGGTGCTTGTCCACGGCATAGTAAACATCATGTGGACCGCTTTTCTACCTTCGAGCAATGGGTTTTCGGAGAAGGCGAGGAGGATGCTGTTCGTTGGGTCTTGCGAATTCTTGAATCGCGAGGTGAAAGAGAGATACTACATACTTATGTACACGCCAGACTAATCCGATCGGGTTCCTTGGAGCTGGACCAAACCGGAGCCAAACTGCCAAAGTGCCGGATCTAGACCCTTCCGGTAAAGAACAGGTACGCTGCACTACCTAGCACCCCCAGCTACCGACTTGAGTATGGCCGCATAGGCTAGACTATATATAGTGGATTAAAATTACAGGGACTGACTCGGATCTAGACTAACCGTAGTTTTCTTTGTAGATGTTTGAATCAGGTGTATAGCATCTAGTTGCTAAGAATATGTCTTACTGTGACGAAACCACTGGCAGTCCTGCCTCTGAAAGGGTTCGCCGGTCGAAGGTACTGCTGGTCGGACTGTAGGTCTCGGTGAAGCCAAAAGGTTCACAACAATGCAAGTCGCAATGTCTACACAGTAGGTAAAGGCTACTGATTGTTATTGCTCACCGCCGAAGCTAGCTATCTGAATGAGTGGCAGAATGGTAGAACTATATACAGCTTCCTCCCCTAGGTATCCGGTACCTAGATCTCTGGAACATTTGGAACAATCGTTCTTGGCATTGTTCCTAATCTCCCCAATCTTCATTGGTCCTTTTTGGCTTGTAATGATTGGACACGGGCGCCGCCCGTCGACCATGCAGGTTGGCCCCCACCGGCCTTTGCAGGTTAGTTCATGACAGTCCTCCAGAACAAGTGACTATATACTAGCTATCTCCTTGAGTGCTCAGTGCTTCGTCTTGGATAAGCACCCAGGTAGTTATTGTAATATGCCCTTAATCACTCTAATCACTTATATCCTATAGAGTACTTAGCGGTATTAGCACCTTAGCATCTTGCCTAACGTATCTTATAAGCGAGATGAACATATAAGCGAATTGAACACTTGCCACTATACTATAGCAGTCAACTACAATTACAACACAACAACATTATGAACTTACTATAATTACATCAGAAACGGCTGAATCAGATGCTTCTGCAACCTCCTAACAAGTGCAGGCATTATGACTAGGCTTGCCGCACATACCACAGCACCGAACCTTCGTACAAGCCCCCCTGCACCACCACCATCCGGCTGCATTTCTTATGCCACCTCCCCAACCATAGCCTTTTGGTCTAGTAGATCCTTTGCATCTTCTACTGCAAGTGATCCTCCAAGCTATACACGCGTTCTTTTGGCTCTTCGGCGCTTGCTTAGCGCCTGGTTGGCCTTGCGGAGCGAAGCATTCTCTGCCTAAAGGAGGGCCACCTGGTACATTATAGCTATTGTACCCTTGGTAAGCTAGTCTACAGCAGCCAACATCGAAGTCAGGGAGCTATTTTAATGGTTGGCAATGCGAGTCTTGATGAGCGTTGACTGTGAGTTGGCTTCTTAGGGGTTATATGGTGTCTGGAAGATCTAAGATTATATAGTGCCTAGCCGTGAGGTTGGGGGTGTTGGTATACGAAGCTTGATATTTAGCTTCGAAAGTATCCTCTCTAGATTATATAGTACAAGGCCAGCTCCTATAAAACTGCTCTATATATTCCTCTTGGTAATAGAGGCAAAGAAGGCTATGCAAAAGGCACAAAGAAACTCGAGCTTGCTTATATAGCTGATATATATACGTATTAAGTCCTCGATCTGGCGACTGTACACCTGCTTCAACAGTCTAAAGCAGCCAATATCAAATGGCTGGAGGAGGTAGGAGGAATGTAGAGGTATATAAAGTATAATAATATTATTCTGCTGGCAGTAGAGCTCGAACTCAGTTGAATAGCAGCTTTCGTGGCCATCAAGGATCAACAACCGATATTTGCCCTTTATTCAAGGCGCTATATAGTAGTCGAAGTGCTTAATCTAATCAAGGCCTATTGCATTAGTAGTCCAGCCATTCTTGGTGGTTGCAATACGCCAGTCGGCCGGGAGGTTGCACTCGGTATACCAGTTGGCGAGGTAGTATTGCGCCGCTAAGATAATGAACGGAAGGATAGCCCAGCTAAGAGCATTAACGCCTTGGATTATGGTCGCCTATTCGCGGTTGCCAGGCTAGGCTAGCTTCGCCTTGCCACAGCCATCCGAGGTTGTTACCACTATGCCTAGGAAGATAATGCCTATTATAAACCTAGTCTCGTCGAAGTTGTAGATATTGTCATCTATGATACTGTACTTGGCCTTAACGTTCCGTATAAGGGTAAACCATTCGCCAATGACCTTTGGATCCTTGCATTTGGCCCTCTGGTAGTTGTATCTACACGTATAATATATCCGGAGCTCTGGCTGGCATTTGACGAAGTTATATACCTAGAGCTTACCGACAGGGGGCGCGTCGCGTACATATAGCAGTTGGTTGGCTATATCTTCTATACTATATAGTCTCGGGGGAAAGGCTTGCTTAGATAGCTCAATTATATACTGAACAAGAGCCTTCTCTTTAGAATCGGTGAGCCGGCGCGAGTTAGGCGTAGTATCGCGTCGTGTAGGCTTGCCGTCGCGTTGGTTTTGGATGGTATTGACTATGATGTTATAGATCTTTGCTGCGGCGCAAAGACTAAGTTTTGGGTTCTTTTGAATAGCTTCAAGAGCTAAGATTACCCTAGACTCTCTTGAAGCTGAAGACATCATTGGGTGTAGAGGATTTTGGTTGTGGTATGGAGAGAAGACGCGTCGCGGTCAAAGTGTTCAATTCGCTTATATGTTCATCTCGCTTATAAAATGCGTTATCTCTAACTGGTCCGTCTAATTATCCTAAATGATTGGCTCGGGATGCTTCTACGTATAATAATTCATCATACCAAGTGATGGTTCATTATGTATGTTTTATTATATCATGCATATAAGCTCAGACCTACTCACATCCTATATTTAAAGCCTAACTTACAGTCTCGAGGATTTCTTTCCTCTTACAAGTTCAATATTTTTGCAATGCAGTCAGTTTACCACCAGAGGCTTGACCCTAGCCTTGAACGATGGCCCTCGTGACAATATTGAACTTCCTTTAGATTGCGTACCTAGCTAGGCAATTCATTGTAACGGCTACGACCTTCCGAACCGACCCATGCCTAGTCGACCGAGCATGTAGCACATCGTCTTAGCGGAGGCCTAACCACGTATTCGAACAACTACGGAACCTGCACCTAGAGCCCCCCATCGGCACCTGGAATTTTTTTTTTTCACCTTATTTATCACTTCGGGCCTTCCTTCTCTGGCACTAAAGGGTTACAGTAGTAATTAGAAGTGCCATTTCCTCAAGGGTCTTCGGTATTCATTGCAAGCGCGGCAGTTTCCGACCTTCTTCCCCTACATATGGGTTGTATGGTAATTAGAAGTGTGTGGACCGACCAGCTGAATCCCGAATTGCAAGAGCCCTCTTTTTCTCGCACCTGCATTCAATAACGAACACGAATGACAACCGACCTGTAAGATGGACCCTATTCAGCATATACAGCAGGTCATTCAGAACCACGAAGCCTAGATTCAAGCCTTATCAAAGGAGCTTGCCGACTTCAAGACCAAGTCAACCTGCAAGCCTAAGCCGAGCCTTTGACGACCCCAACAAAGTACGCGATACCGAAGATAAACTATAAGCCTTGAAATAAGCCGACGACGACCTGCTCCCAGTCTTCCTAGCCCGGTTCAAACAGCTGCTTTACGCGGCTAAGGCGAACACATAGCCCGACAACACTAAGATCGCTATGCTTCATCGTAGCTTGAACAAATTAGCTCGCTCCTGGCTCAATGCCCAGGTTATTGTACCTGACGATTATAACGGCTTTGTCGCAATGCTCCAGAAGCTCAATACACGTTACCACGGTTCTGGTAACCCCAAGCCCTTTAATGCCAATTACAACAAGGGCGAACCGATAGATTTGAACATGGTGGACATTGCAGCTATGGATATGCCGAAGTATGGTATAGTCCCTAAGCTCTGGTCGATGAAGAAGGCTCTGGAGGAGGACTCCAGTGATAACGACGGCGACCTATACGATTGACTGGGTGTAGTTTTAGTGGATTTTTTTCGAGCTGTATTAGAAGCCTCGAGGACGAGTCTTCTTTGGAGGGGAGGTTGTAATGGTAGAACGCACCGACCATGATGATGATATCATTTGTATGCATAATGATTCATCAGACTAAGTGATGATTCATTATGCATGTTCCATTACATCATGCATGCAAGCTTAGACCTACTTCCATCCTGTATTTAAAGCCTACCTTACAGTCTCGAGGATTTCTTTCCTCTTGCAAGTTCAATATTCTTGCAATGCACTCAGTTTACCACTAGAAGCTTGACTCTGGCCTTGAACGACGGTCCTCGTAACAGGTACGAAGAAGTCTAAATATAGGATATAGGGTATCTGCCTAGATGTAGAAGGTGGGGTAGCAACTAGGTTGATCAATCATGCATGTATGCGCTAGAAGCTGGGCACATGACTAAGCAATGGCCTATGCTATGGTACGGTGGGTTCTACCATTACAAGCACCCTTAAAATGGTGGTCGATCTATAGTTCTCTGAGAAACTATAGCAGTTACCCAATAAGATAGCTAGGTTAATAGTAATAATATCATCCATCACCCTATTGCCTTTCGTGCTAAAATCTTTAATATTATAATAGAACTAGTAACCAGACCCCTAACGTATCTTATCAGCGAGCCGATCATATCAGCGAGCCGATCACTTTTTGCCGCAACGCGTCATTTTCACACCCAACATCAATTTTCTCTACAATCTAACATGCCTTCTCCTTCAAAAGAAGCCAGGGTAATCCTGGCACTTGAAGCTTGTCAAAACAACAAAAAACTAAGCCTCCGAGCCGCAGCTAAGCTCTACGACGTACCCTATACAACCCTCCATGACCGATCTACTGGCCGGCTTACACGACGCGATCTTCCAGCCAACTCGCGTAAGCTCACCAATCTAGAAGAGAAGGCGATAGTTCAGTATGTGATTGAGCTATCTGCACGCGCATTCTCACCTAGACTAAGTGGGGTGGAAGATATGGCCAACCATCTGCTACGCGAATGCGGCGCGCCCCCTGTTGGCAAGCTCTAGGCACATCGGTTTGTTAAACGCCAGCCAGAGCTCTATACGCGTTATGCCCGTCGATACGATTACCAGAGGGCTAAGTGCGAGGATCCAAGGATTATTGGGGAATGGTTTGCGCTCGTACGAAACACTAAGGCCAAGTATGGCATCGTGGATGATGATATCTACAACTTTGACGAGACCGGGTTTATAATAGGTATAATCTGCCCGGGCATAGTAGTTACGACCTCGGATGGCCGTAGTAGGGCAAAACTAGCCCAGCCTAGTAACCGCGAATGGGCAACGGTAATCCAGGGAGTCAATGCGCTTGGCTGGGCTATCCCGCCCTTTATCATCTTGGCCGCGCAATACCACCTCGCCAACTGGTATACCGAGTGCAACCTCCCAGCAAACTAGTGTATTGTAACTACCGACAACGGCTGGACTACCAATACGGCAGGCCTAGATTGGATCAAGCATTTCGACTTCTATACAGCACCTCGTACAAAGGGCAAAAAGCGGTTGTTGATCCTCGACGGCCACGAAAGCCACCACTCTACCGAATTCGAGCTCTACTGCCAGGAGAATAACATCATCACGCTCTGCATGCCTCCACATTCCTCCTATAAGCTCCAGCCACTTGATATTGGCTGCTTTAGGCCGTTGAAACAGTCATACGGTCGCCAGATTAAGGACTTAATGCGCGCATATATCAACCACATCAGCAAGCTCGAGTTCCTCTGCGGCTTTCGCGAGGCCTTCTTTGCTTCCATAACGGAGAAGAACATATAGGGTGGCTTTGCAGGGGCTGGCCTAGTACTATACGATCCAGAGAGGGTCCTTTCTACGCTAGACGTAAAGCTTCGTACACCGACACCTCCAACCTCACGACCTAGCACTGTATAATCTTGGGTCTTCCAGACACCATACAACCCCCGAGAAGCCGAATCGCAGTCAACACTTATCAAGACTCGCATTGCCAACCATCAAAACAGCTCTCCAACTTTAATATTAGGTGCTGTGGATCAACTTACTAAGGGTACGATGGCTATAATGCACCAGGTGGCCCTCCTTCGGTCAGAGGTCTCTTCGCTCCGTAAGGCCAACGAGGCACTAAGCAAGCGCCGGAGAGCCAAAAGAACACGCGTGCAGCTTGGAGGATCACTTGCAGTACAGGATGCAAAGGATACTAGACCAGAAGGCCGTGGTTGGGGAGGTGGTACAAGAAACGCAGCCGGACGGTGGTAGTACAGGGGGGGTTGTACGAAGGTTCGGTGCTGTGGTGTGTGCGGCAAGCCTGGCCATAATGTACGTACGTGCCAGGAGGTTGCAGAAGGGTCTGATTCAGTTGTTTCTGATGTAATTATAGTTGGTTCCTAGTGTTAGTGTATTGTAATTGAGGATAGATGTTTTGGTGTGGTGGAAATTGATCGGCTCGCTGATATGATCGGCTCGCTGATAAGATACGTTAGTTATTCTAGTATAGTATAATACTAGAAAAAATATTAGTGAGCTAATACTTAGTAGTAAAGTTTATAGCAGTGGTATTTAGACTATTCTTTTAGTTTTATAGGTCTGCTTATACTATGGCGTTAACGGTCAGACTGTTAGGTGTTCCCTTGTCAGGGGTAACTCCGTGGAAGTTGTTAGTGTTGTCCACTATATAATCGGGCGGGTGCTATCCTATTATCCATTAATTAGCTAATGCGGCGACGTGCGATAGAATCCTATAATAACTTACAAAGCTACCTGGAATTTTAAGTGGTGAAACCTTTCCTTGCGCCTTCACAACTGCGCCGAAGCCTTTACGCCTTGCTCGCCGTGCCCGACTCTGCGTCTTCGAGGTTGTATACTGCGTCGGTAGCGGACACAGAGGAGGATCTGGATTTGGGTTTCAGCGGAAAAGAGTGACGTAGCCAGCTTAACTAAAGATCCAATTGACACTATAGGTTCGACTCTCGGAACGAGACAGTTATAGCTCCCAGAGCGTTGCGGTTCCGGTTAGAGGGTAGGGCAAGAAGGGGGGATGGCGTGTTTCAAACGCGCGCTTTACGCAGCATGCTTCGACTCTACATCCCACCGGGTCAGCACTGTAGAAGTTTTCTAGCTCGAGCTTCGGGCTTTACCCGCCCACTTCCCAGAGTCATGGACTTAATGCCGACTGCGAAGCCTAACCAAACCAAGCATAAGTAGGTGCTACATTATAAGAATCTTAGGTGATTCAGCTAACTACCTCCTTCCTTCACTCATGTCATATCAGCCCGTGATCCTCCAGAATCATAGCGGCCGCCTTCTCGGCGATCGCGTACACCGTCGCCTGTAGGTGCGCGCCAATCTGAAGAGGCATCACGCTCGCGTCGGCCACGCGCAAGCCCTCGACGCCGTACACGCGAAGCCGCGCGTCCACGACCCCCGTGCGGGCGCCGCCCCTCCCGCCCATCGCGCACGTGCCGACGGGGTGCCAGTCTGTTGTCGCGACGCGGCGGAGCCAGGACCGTAGTGCTTCAGCGTCACTTGGTGGGCTATCCTCCGGCGGCGGCCACACTTGGGCGCGGAGAATGGAAGCGAGCGGCGGGGTGGCACAGATCTTGGCGGCGAAGCGGTGCGCGTGGAGCGCAAGCTCGAGGTCGAGCGCGCCGTGGGGCCCGGCGAAATATTGAGGATCGATGGACAGGCGGGAGCGCAGATAGTCACCTCCGGCACGGTCACCGGCACCAGCAGCAGCACCAGAGTCGGAGAGTGGTGGTGGTGGCGGACGGATGTGCACGCTGCCACGCGAGAAGGGGTATTGCAGGATCTGCAGCATGCTGGCGTACTTTTTTGCGGGGGACAAGAGCTCCGAAGGGCAGCCGATGCCCCAGTTGCCGAGGTCGAAGATGAACTCGACGTGGCCGAGCTCATGAGACCGGGACGTGAACCGGCGGCGGAGGAGAACGTCGCGTTCTGTGTTCGGGACGTCGGCTTTGTCTGCTGAAGTAGAGGTGGCTATGGCGGGGAAGGAGGAGACGATGGTGTCGAGTGCCTTGGCTGGGACAAAGTGGGCCGCTGCCACGTAGGCGATGGAGACGGGCAGGATCGTCAAGGCGCCGGTTCGGGTGCGGGCATATTCTTCACGCGCGGCAGCGAAGGCCGCGTGAACCTTCAGGTCGTCGGGGTTACGCAGACTTGAATCGACTTCGAAGACAATTGTTGTCGCTGCATCGACAGACTCAGATTCTCAGGCCTTCGATTGTAGAAAGAAGAGAGCAAGATGTTGAGCTTACTGAGATGGTCCTGGAGGTTCTCGCCGACGTTGGGGTTGTCCACTTTGACGGGAATCCCAGCAGCCGAAAGAACGGCACTACTGCCGATGCCCGACAGTTCGAGAATCTGGGGCGACTGGACCGAGCCGGCAGAGATGATGACCTCGCGCGAAGCCAAAGCCATGAACTGGGCTCCGTCATGGATAAACCGGACGCCCTCGGCCTTCCAACTGCTGCCGGCAGCATCATTCCTTTTGGCTAGCAGGACCTCTCGGACCTCGGCCCTTGCCAAGACCAACAAGTTCGGCCGAGCTGCGTTGGGCTTGTAATACGCCCTCGCAGCATATGATCGAACGACGTTCCGGGGATCGACCGAAACGAGGCTTGTCCAGCATCCAATGTTGCTGCCCGCAAGGTGGCTGTCGTTGGTCTTCACGCCGACCGCCTCCAAGGTACGGTGCCATAGTGCGTGGGACGCTGTAAACTCGCTGGGATACGACACTTGGACGGGACCGTCCCGTCCGACACAGCCGTTGTGGACGCCAACACGAGTGACTTTCCTTGTGGCCTCGCTCGGCTCGTGGAAGGTCTCGCTCTTCTTGAAGAAGGGCCTGCAATGATTGTTCTATGTTAGTCCCGAACCACCTGTGGCCGGCGTTCTTTGCTATCAACAACGTGACGGAAAGGCTGACAGAAGGTCGTCCCAGCCCCACCCGGGGTTTCCCAGCTCGCGCCAGTCGTCGTAGTCCTGCCGTGCAGCGCGGTTCCACGTCATGTAGTTTAAAGCGCTGGAGCCACCGAGGACCTTGCCGCGCGCCCACGGAACTGTGCGGCCGTCCAGGCCGGTTTGCGGGACCGTGTGGAACTGCCAGTCCAGAGCGGTGCCAAGCGCCACGCCGGCGACACCGGGCAAGTCGACGGAGCCGTCACCAAACGCCTGCTCCCCGACTTCCAGGACACCGACTGTGAGCTGTGGGAGCTCCGACAGCCGGGCAGCGACAGCCAGGCCCGCCGTGCCGCCGCCGACAATGAGGAAGTCGAACGGCATCTTGGCGAATTCCTCAGCCGTCAGTCCGGGGGAACCCATGGTGGCGTTTTTGGGGACTTGATGGGGTCGGTGACGGGAGAGTGGCTGGTAATGCGGGGACATCCAAAGCACTGTCAGCGTCTAGCCGTTCTTGTGCGACAATATATCTGTAGGTGCGGCAACCACAACTGGGCAATATTCACACCCGGGAAGTGACCCCCCATGGTCCCCCCGCCTCCAATGGTCGGACGTCGTGCATACAGCCCTTGATCTAGACTCAACCACCTGGACAAGTGCCGTGTCGTGTGGCTGCTTACGGCCATCTCACTACATAAATGCCAAGGTTTTGTTGAGCCGGCCAATGGGATCTGAAAGTACAACGGGATGCGTCCTGGCGCAGCACGACTGATAACTAGGACCTGGGCGCTTGGGATGTCTAGACTCGATACCGACTCCATAGCGAAGTAATCATCCAGGTAAGGGTTCTTAACCTCTCCTTGGGATCTCCCGGACCGTTTCTAACACGCAATGATATCCTGTCATATCTTTGTGGTAAGTAATTAGAAACGACATGTCGGCTTCAGTGCCCGATATCGAAAAAGGCGAAAAGCACTTCGCCGAGCCCGTCCTGGTGACGACTGCTATGACCGAGATAGGCGTCTTGACGAGCCCCGACACGGACAGAACGTCGAATCTGTTGGTCGCACTCCACCGCGTCAATGACCGCATTGAGAGCTTGTCTGGCTTCGAAGCGCGTGGCATCACGCGCGTGCTCCCCGAGGAGCGGCACGCGGCGTCAGCGCTGGCCGACCTGCAGATCATCGTGCTTTGGTTCGGCGCCAATATCTCAGCCAACAACATGACGACGGCGCTCTTCGGTCCGCTCGTGTTCGGCCTTGGCTTCCGCGACAGCGTGCTGTGCGCCGTCTTTGGCTGCATCCTGGGCTGCGCATCGACGGCCTACATGGCTATCTGGGGCCCGCCCAGCGGCAACCGCACCATGGTCGTGCTGCGCTACTTCATGGGCTACTGGCCCTCCAAGCTGCCGTGCTTCCTCAACATCGTGCTCATGGTCGGCTACAACACGCTCAATCTCATTATTGCCGGCCAGATCCTGTCGGCCGTGAGCGGCCGGTCCATGACGATTGCTGTGGGCATTGTGGTCGTCGCCATCGTGTGCTGGGTCGTGGCCGTGTTTGGGATGTTTGTTTTCCACACATACGAGAGGTGGGTGTGACATTAATTTTTGACGCAAAAGATTTTTTTTCCTTTTTCTTTTTTTTTCTTTTTTTTCCCTTTTCTTTTTTTTTCTTTTTTTTTTTCTCCTTTTTTTTTGTTCAGAAAATTACGAAGGAAGTCGTGTTTTGCGTGGCTGTGCCAAAACACAGCGCTCATGTACGGCGCTCCCAGGTACGCCTGGATCCCCCAGCTCCTCGCCCTCTTTGTTCTGATCGGCTGCGCGGGGCCGCACTTCGACCCTACCCTCGAGTCGACCGGCGACACCATCACCCTCGCCGCCAACCGCCTCTCCTTCTTGTCGTTGTGCTTCTACGTGCCCAACTCGTGGGCCGCGGCGGCCTCGGACTACTACGTCTACTACCCAGAAACGACGTCCAAGCTAAAGATCTTCTTCCTAACTCTGGCCGGTCTTTTCTCCTCCTTCACCCTCGTCTATCTGCTCGGCATCGGTCTCGCCTCAGGCGTCGCCTCCAACCCGGCATGGGCCGACGCGTTTGCCATCTCGGCGGGCTCGCTGCTCGTGGCGGCCTTCGACGGCCTGGCCGGCTTCGGCAAACTGTGCGCCGTGGTCGTCGCGCTGGGCATCATTGCCAACAGCATTCCCGGCGTCTACTCGGCCGCGCTGGGCGTGCAGGTCCTGGGCCGCTACGGCAAGGCGATCCCACGCTGGGCGTGGACGAGCGTCATCATGCTGGTGGAGCTTGTTCTGGCGCTGGCGGGGAGGGATAACCTGCTCGTAATTTTTAGCAACTTCCTCGCCCTGATGGGCTACTGGGTGGAGATCATGATCGTTATTGTTGCTGAGGAGCACCTCTTGTTCCGGTGGAACCGCGGCTTCGACTGGGCAAGGTGGGAGGATCGAAAGTATCTCCCCATCGGCATTGCGGCGCTGATAGCGTTCCTGCTGGGGTGGGCTGGTGCGATTCTGGGCATGTTCCAGGCCTGGTATGTTGGTCCGCTGGCGGAGAAGGCTGGCTTCAGCGACATTGGGCTTTGGCTCGGCTGCGGGTTTTCGCTGATTTCGTATCCGCCGATGCGCTTGGTAGAGTTGAAGCTCATCGGCAGATGACGAGGTACTCAGATGTTGTTGGTGCCTAACTAGCAGTATCCTGCTAGGTTGAATATGGGACTAGCGTCTGATGAAGGACGTCCTTGACCCCTCTCCGGGTGTGTTACGCCTCTTGACTCGTCAGTTGGAACATGATATCCTTAGTATTATAACTATTCGAGAACTTTTACGGAGCTGATGTCGTTCATCCAACACCTAGAATTACCCAGCCAAGATGTCGTACGACCGACTACGAGAGGCCGTAATAGCTGCATGGAAGGCAATCCCCGAGGAGTTTCTTAAGGAGCGTGTAGATTCGATGCCTGTGCGGCAACAGGCCGTCATCAACGCAAATGGAATGTATATTCCTTTCTGAATTGACGGCTGCGTGCAACGCGTTCGGTACATCCATGGGATGGTGGACCCCACTGGCCATGACCCTGGCCAGTACCTGACCCACTGTGAAATCTTTTGCCTGTCACCTCCGTACGTTAGGGTGGCTGAGAGATTTAACCCCTGACGGGACCCTCCAAATGAACACAGGGCGACCCTGGTCGAAGGGTTTGGCAGGGGCACGATCATACCGAAAGCTGAGTCACTCGGCGATACAAACACAGCCATTTCGATGCAGCCAGGATTTGCTTTTCTTTTGCCACGCGGCTTTCTTTATAATTACGCGGGTGGCCGAAGATGGATGGCCGAAAGATGGATGGCCGAAAGATGGATGGCCGAAAGATGGATGGCCACACCACCACGCAGTTCTTGGCATGATTTGATAACATTTGCTGCATCATGGCACTGGTGTCCGTTATCCGCCTGTCTCGGCTCCTGCATGTCGCGTCGACAATCTCGGTCTTGTTCTTTGTTTTTGTTTCCTTTCTCTTCCACTACGGCAAGACAAATTACGATGCCTGCGCGATACTGCGAAAGAACGTGCTGAGGACGGCCGTTGTTGGCCTCATCGCGGGAGCATATGGCGCCGAGAGCGTCCTGGTCGCCCTACGGGGCGATGGCCTTGGGATAAATCAGGAGCATTCAGTTGCCGCTGCCTACTATGCCGTGGCCTGGACTGCTGTCTGTCTTGGGCGGCGACTTGTGGTAGCGGAACTTTTCGGCCTCGCGACACTTTCACTTCTCTCTGGCGTTCCGTCATTAACAATTGAGGCTGCAGCAGGAGGGCGAAGCAAAGAGGAAACGGCACTGCTGACCCTCCCGTTCATCCGGCTGCTGCTCGTTGTCTGCTCGTTTGCTGACTGCCTCTCTCGATTCGCCTGGCGCAAACAAAAAAATGGCATCGTGGAAGAGGAAACTCCCTTTCTCAGTGACAGCACCGACAGCCAATCCTACGGCACGGATCGACTATCCGTCGGCACCGACTCGACCTCGGACTCCAGCGGGGATGGCCAAGATGATGCCGAAGATGATGATGACGACGACGACGACGACGGACAAGATGTCCGAACTACGCAACTCCGCAGAAGCGGCAGCTGGACGGTCTACCTCAAACACTTCAAAATCTTCCTCCCGTACCTTATACCTAGGAACGACGTCAAGGTCCAGGCATGCCTGTTTGCGTCCCTCCTCTGCCTCATCGGCAATCGGATTCTCAACATTCTCGTCCCCGCACAGCTAGGCCGCATCACCGACAAGCTCCTCACCCGCCAGCTCCCGTACGCCGATCTTGCCTTCTATCTCCTCCTAACGCTCCTGCACGACAGCTCAGGCTTGGGCATGATCCAGGCTCTCGCCAAGATCCCAGTCGAGCAGTTCTCGTACCGGCGGCTCACCAACGCGGCCTTTGCGCACGTCATGTCCCTGGCCATGGAGTTCCACGCCGATCGTGACTCGGCCGAGGTGATGAAGGCAGTGGAACAGGGCGGCGCGCTGACGCGGGTGCTCGAGACGGCGGTGCTGGAGATGCTTCCTACCGTGGTGGACATGGCCGTCGCCTTCGTGCTGCTATACGCCAAGTTCAACTCGGCCGTGGCGCTGTGCATGTTGACGGCGTCGCTTGCCTTTTTTGCCGTCGAGGTGGTCACATCTAGCTGGAACGTTGACAACCGACGTCGCGTCACGGGCGCCGAGCGCCGGGAAGCGAGGGTCATGCACCAGGCCGTCCAGGGTTGGGTTACCGTCTCGGCGTTTAACATGTTCGCCCACGAGCGGCTGCGATTTGGTCGCGCCGTAGACAAGCACCTTGCGGCGAAGAGGGACTGGTCGCAGTGGGACGCGTATATCACGGCGCTCAGTGAGGGGCTCATTCCCGTCACATTCTTCGCCTTGGCCTGCCTTGTCGCGAACGAGGTGCATGCAGGGAGGGCGTCGCCGGGCGACTTTGTTTTCCTGATCCAGTACTGGGATTTTCTGATCTGGCCCATCCGGCTCCTCTCGCACGAATACCGCTATCTCATGTCGGACCTTATCGACGCCGAGCGGCTGCTCGACCTGCTTAGTACGGAGCCGACTGTCGCCGACAAGGAGGGCGCACCACCGTTAGGCTCCGTTGAAGGGAGGGTGGAGTTCGACCACGTCGAGTTCGCCTACGGCGATAAGCGACAAGCGATCCGCGATGTCAGTATTCTTGCGCGCCCTGGGGAGACTGTCGCACTGGTGGGCACGACGGGCGCGGGCAAATCCACGCTTGTGAAGTTGCTGCTGCGGTACTACGACGTCAACGGCGGCAGTGTCCGCATCGACGGGCAAGATGTGCGCGACGTTACGCAAGGTTCCCTACGAGACGCCATCGGCGTCGTGCCGCAGGATCCCCTACTCTTCAACGCTTCCATCATGGAGAACCTCCGGTACGGGCGCCTCTCTGCCTCGGACGAGGAAGTCTACGAGGCGTGCCGCGCGGCCGCCATCCACGACAAAATCCTCTCCTTCGCCCAAGGGTACGCTACGAAAGTCGGCGAGCAGGGCGTCAAGCTGTCGGGCGGCGAGGTGCAGCGGCTGGCCATCGCGCGTGTCTTCCTCAAGGACCCGCCCATCCTGGTGCTCGATGAGGCGACGAGCGCGGTTGACACGGGGACCGAGGCCGAGATCCAGGCGGCGCTGCGGCGCGTCAGCAGGAAGCGCACGACGTTTGTGGTCGCACACCGGCTGTCGACTGTGGTGCGCGCGGACCAGATCCTCGTACTGGAAGATGGTGTGATCGTGGAAAGGGGCAGGCACCAGGAGCTGCTGGACAAGCGGGGGAGGTATGCTGCCTTGTGGCGGAAGCAGCTTGGTGGCACTGACGAGGATCCCCTGCTCGATGCCTAAACTTCGTGATTTGTTATATTACTGTTAGACTGGGTGTAGAAGGCGTTCCTATCATTGGATCCAAGGTACTGCACTCCAACCATTACTGGATTCCGCAGAGTCGTAGCAGACTCTTGGAGCATATGCGAGAGGGCTCGTTTCGAAGATACGTAGCATTTCGGGGTTGACACGATGACGCCGCTCCGACCAGAAAGCTCACGCACAAGCTCGGACGCGGCGGCAGAGGCAGCCCCCCCCCCTAAGACCTCGACGGGACGAGCAGGTATTTCGCCCCTCGCGACACCATCCATCGTAGGATGGAACGGCCGATGCCGCCGAGACCGCCTGCCACGAGGTATGTAGCATTCTCGTCAAAGATCCAAGTTCTCCGCCTTATCAGGTGTTTCTGGTTGTGTGTCTTGTGTCAGTACCTACTTAACGTAGCCAACTCTACCAGTCCTGGTGTCTCATACTTCCCTGGACATTCGTTGACGGATCGATTCGGATCACGATCCGGCCTGTATTCTTCCCACTCGCGAGATAGCGAAACGCATCCTCCACCGCGTCCACGTCGCAGGCATCCAGGGGTCTCGGCGCCCGGATGCTTCCCTCCCTGGCGAGATCCATCGTCTTCTGCAGAAGCTTGTGTGCCAGCTCCTTCCTCTTCATGTCCTTGACGATGTGGTGCAGGTCGACGCCCGCGAACAGGGCATTCTTCGCGAAGCAAGCCATGGGCAGCGACGCGTTGGCGTTGATATCGGCCTTGCCGATCTCGACCATCCTTCCGCACGGAGCAATGCAATCCCACGAGGCACGCAAGGATTCGCCTGCCAGCGAGTTCAGCACAACGTCGACCCCAAACCCCTTCGTCATCCGCATGGCCCCTCGGGCAAAGCTGGTGTCTCGGCTGTAAAAGATGTGATCGGCGGGGACGCCGTACAGGTCCATGAGGAGCTGCTTTTTGTGGTCGTATCCCACCGTCGCAAAGACCTCGGCCCCGACCATCTGCGCGATCTGCACGGCCACCTGGCCCGTGCCGCCCGACGCCGAATGGATCAAGACTTTCTCGCCCTTCTGGAGGCGCGTGACCTCGATGAGCGGCTGCAGCGCGGTCATGCCCGGTATGATGACGGCGCAAGGGTCTTCGAACGACACGGCGTCCGGGATCTTGGCCGTGGTCCATTCGTGCGCCCGGGGGTAGGTCTTCATGTCGTCTGTGGTCTGCATGCAGACACGGTCCCCGACCTGGACCGACCGAACCTCGTCCCAACTCTTGTCACGATGCCTGCGCAGTCCGCGCCGAAATCGTCTTCATCCTCCAAGCGGCCGAGGGCAAGAAACACATCGCGGAAGCCGACACCCCACACCTTGGCTTCCACCTCGACGTCTGTCGGGCCCAGCTCGTCATAGTAGGCGGGGTCTTCTCGAAACTGCAGCGTCTCGAGCTGGCCCCGGGTTTGGATGGCCAGTGTGAGCGGCGGCCCTGGCAGCCACGGCTCGGTAATGGCTTCCGGTACTAGAGACGAAGTGAGGTCTTTGTTGGCATCTACATCGTCCACTAGCCGCCCCGTCAAGATCTGGCTGTCCACATCCAATTCTTCGTCTTCTTTATCAGCCAATATGCCCTTTACCATACACCTCTATACGAAGGTTGCAATGGGTTAGAGGACGCTGGAATCGTGCAAGTCAGAGGAGAAGAGAGAGAGCAGAGCGGAGATGGCAGATTCGGCGCCAGCTGCGGCACTGTGAGCTCTCTTTGTCTCGTCTGTAGTTCCATTTCATAACGCAAACAGATGACCTCAGTTCTAACTAATGCAACATTCTTACTCTTTCAAGTCTACGGGAGTCGGGAGCTTTTTAACGGATCAAAGGCACGCAATCAGACCAACTAGATTCTACTAATATATATGTTAGAGATATCCAGAGAAGCACTTGACATGAATTACGTTTCGCGCGTTCTAATCCAAACACTAAGCTACACTTGTAGTCTGTCACTATGCTGCTTAGGTAAGGTACGTTGGGAGAAACCGAAAACCAAATATACAACCAACCACACGGTAAGCAATCACAATAAAACAGCTTCGTGCTTCCTTTTTCCACTTGCGTGGATTTAGTTACTGATTAATCAATAAATCACATACAAGGCCTCATGTGCGTCATATAACCATGATTGGTCCGCTGCGAATCCTTCAGGCGTGTGGCCACAAGTCCTCAGACCCGCAACAAATCCAACAGCTCACGCTCGTTCAATCAGTCCTCTAATCATCTACGACTCCTACCTAAACGGCGAGAGTCCTGGTCTTCGTCTCCGTAATCATGGCCACCCTAGGCCCCTCGGCAGAAGACTTCCTCAACGACGCGCGCTTCCACCGCACCTTCACACTTCCTGCGGACCCGTCGCACGGCCGACCCCGCCCCTTCACCATCAAATACGCCGACTATGGATATCACAACAACAACCATAACACAGCCCATCCGGAGGAGGAGGAGGAGGAGCAGGAGAAGGCGGAGCGCGTCCTGCTCTTCTTCAGCCCGCTGATGGGCTCCCGCCTGCTGCATATCTGCAAGGACGCGCTCGCGCGCCGGCACCGCATCCGCATCATCAACCCGGACCGGCCGGGGATCGGCGGCACCGACGCCGCGCCCGCGGGGGACAGGCTGGCGCTGTGGCGCGACGCCCTCCCGGCTTTGCTGGCCCACCTGCACATCCGGCACCTGCACGCCGTGGCCGCCCACTCGGGCGGGACCGTGTACGCGCTGGACTTTGTGCTGCACCACCCGGAGTTCCTCCTCCTGCCGCCGCCGTCAGGTCCAGGCCCAGGCATAGGCCCTTCTCAACAAAGGCTCGCGACGACGGTACTGGCCCTCGGCGCGCCCTGGATCCTCCCCGCCCACTCGGGCTCCCTCCCGCTCTCCCTCGCTCAGAACCTGCTCCCCGCCGCGGCCGTCCGCCAGGCCGACAAGCTCGCCGCGTTTGTCAACAACCACCTCGGCCCGGCCGTGGGCTCGTCCATTGGCTTTGCGGCGCGCCTGATGCCGAATCGGCGGCAGCAGCAGCCTCAGCAGTGCCAGGAGCAAGGGCAGGACGGTGCCAATTTGGATGATGAGAGGGCACTCGGGGGACGACGGCCTGAGCAACGAGGTGTTGTTGTTGACGACGGCGTGCGGTTCGAAGAGAAGATTGTCTGGCCGGCGCTGATGCGGCGGGTGTACGACGAGGGCGTGGCCGGGCTGGGCGAGGACGCCGTGCTCTTTCTGCAGAAGGCGCAGGGGGCTAGGGCTGGGACTGGGGCTGGGGATGGGACTGGGGCGGGACCGCCAGGAGGGTGGGGGGACTGGGGTGACTATGACACTTTGGTGGTTAGGTTGCGGGAGGTCATCAGGCGAGAGGGGAGGCGGCTGCGGGTGAGGGTGTACTATGCTGAGAAGGACGTGGTGGTGCGGGACGGAGGGACCGAGTCGGACGGGGCCAGGTGGTTTGATAAGTGCTGGACGGAGGGGGCTGGAAGCGGGGATGCGGAGAGGGATGTGATTGACTACCGAAGTAGGACTGTGGACGGAGCGGACCACGACCATGTGTGGGATCTGCGTTGGGGCGTGGTGCAGGAGGTGTTTGCCGACGTGGGTCAGGTGGCCGAGGAGGGCTCGGGTTCCGGATAGCCTTGGGAAGAGCGGAAAAACAAGTGAGCGATTCGACGATATTTCTCGAGCGAGTTAGGTTGATAAAAGTCCTAGCTTCCTAAGAATCACTCTATTCTCTTGGATCAGTTGGTTTCCCCTGTCAAGCTTTGAGGAAAACGTCCCAGATACAGTCTGTGCTAATATTGATGCTTGTGATGTCTCTAGGCATGATAAATCTTCAAGAGCCATGCAGAGCGCAGACGTTAACTTAGCGGTAACGGCAACCTCGTTCTTTGAGGTATGACCCAGACCATAGGTACCTACGTAAAGTTAGATGCCCGGAAGTAAAATAGGTAGGTGAGGATTGAGAATGTTAACGCTGACTGGAACAGTCTCGGACTCCCGGACCCTCGGTGTGATGGTCATTTTATTAGGCGAAGGGCGTTACCAAGCGTACCAGGTAGTCCTCGGCTCTGAAGTGGCCACAGGCCGCATGACTAGTACTTCTCATTCAACATGAGTGTCCCAATCTCTAAATCAATACTAGTTAGATGTTGAGAACGCCGGGGATATTTCGAAATTCACGGCGATGGCCTGGGATCTTGGGAAAATTATGGCCTGCCAATAACGGTAGGGTCGGTCAGAATACCTTACATGATGAGAAATCATTAAAGGAGTGCTCCTATGTTCACCGGTGGCAAGCTTACCAATGGGGCACTGCAACAGGCATAATCGGACGGGATGGTACACGTGTATGCGTATCCGTACGGTATTCAGGGTCTGTACGGAGTAGTACGGATAGTGTACTCTAATACAGAGTACTCATCCAGCAAGGTTCCAGAGGCCGTTCCTGAACCGCCCCGAAGACGGAAAGTGGGGAACGTCGCTCGCGTCATCGTGCGCACTGACAAATCCGCGGACCGGGCCCTGAAATTATTACATCATTTGTCCAGAATAATCCGATGGGTGGCCCGCGACTTCTCTTGACAGCTGAGCCCTTAATAAACACTCACGTTTCGCCGCTCTGCAACCCCCACTTCGTTCCCAATGTACACCAGATCACTACCCCGCGCCTTCAGAGCCTTTCGAGGAACCACATCAACAGCTAATCCGATCATCACGAGGCTATTCACAACTAGCTCATCCAAAATGACTGTCCACAACATCGCTACGTGAGTCGCAAACCGCCTGTTCCTGGACGCGGGGGCGGACTTGCACCCCTCGCTACGGTTGTTTTCCCCTGAGATGTTTGCTAACGCAGTCTTGCCTACAGGATGGAGCAGTTCAAGGAGACGATTGCTAAGAACCCGGTCGTCCTCCTCGACGCGTTCGCCACATGGTGTGGCCCTTGCAAAGCCATTGCTCCTCAGGTCGCCAGGTGCGCACACATGTCCCGGCTTCGGCCAGTTCTCCTACAGGAATGGGAAGCAAAAATTGACTGACATTGTCTCTCGTCTTCTCTTTCGGACAGATGGGCCGAGGAGGAAACCTTCAAGGACAAGATCTACTTCGCCAAGTTTGACGTCGACGCCGTGCCCGACGTCGCGCAGGAGCTTGGCATCCGTGCCATGCCTACCTTCATCGTCTTCAAGGACGGCGAGAAGGTCGACGAGCTTCTGGGCGCCAACCCTCCAGCACTCTTCAAGCTGATCGAGAAGTACAACCCCGCAGAGGCCGAGACGACCGAGAAAAGCGAGAACAAGAGTGAGACCGCCGAGTAGGGGAGACGTCTCTGGAAGTATCTCTGGAAGAGAGGATAAGCCCGTCTACAGAAAGGGCCCAGGGGAGGATGGTCATTGATGGATGCCCATGTGATTTTGCGGCGCCAAGGGTACCAAGGCCGGATCAGCACTGCGCTTTTTAAGTGCTTGATGATCTTCCAACGCAAACGACGACGTTGATACCAGTAGGATTGGGGGGAAAAGAATTAATTCATTAAAATTGGACCATCCTAGGCCAAGGCCTGCTTTGTGGTGAATTGAGCCGGTTCGATTCGCAGGAGTTTAATAACAACAGGATGACCCTGCTCCTGATAAATCAACGGATAAAAATATACAAAATAGGTTTGTTTGCAGTTGTTTCTGACTGCTGCGACGCTTCAGAATCTACCTGGGGAACCGGCCGCTGCCTTTCACGACCTGAGACAAACGGCAGATCCCAAAGCACTATGGCATTCATTGTTGACCACCGAAACCGGAACAAAAAATTGAAGAGGGAGAGATAGAGACCGGACGCAATACACACCAAAAAGATTCGGGGCCACCCGGGGATCGAACCCGGGACCTCTCGCAACAATGCTTCGGGTTGGGAGCCCTAAGCGAGAATCATACCACTAGACCAGCGGCCCTTGAAAGCATATCTTCAAATATGGTGGGGCATAACATGATAAAGCGGCTTCTCAGAACTGCCTACCACATCAACCTCCCAGACATGCCTCCAGCAGCGACATTGCGAGGCTATGGAAGGAAGAATATAGGCTCGACGTTTATGGTACCAAGGCTATCTGTATATGTGATGCCTAAAGAGTCATACTATTCTTTGAAGCCACCTTGTGTCAAACAATGCTCTCGTATGATAGTTTGTCGGACCCAGTGATAACAAGGAGGTGGTCTCGACTCCTCGAGTATACCTATCGCTTATCATTTATGGCTGCCCGTCTGAAAAGAGCTGAGATAGAGCCAGACGTACCAAAGAGGATAAGTGTTGTTATGCTATCCGAGTTCCTATGTTGTACAGATATACCATGTAAATTTGAGCATACCTACGTACCTAGGTATGTGGTCGCCTCACCCATCTGAGGCCCTATTCGTCGTGTCCTTCCGGCTGCTAAATTAGGCTATATGGTTGGGTACTCGGGGGAGTCATTGCACAGCTGTGCGAGCATCATTGTACATGTTCCATAGGAATCCCGATCATGAGATGCGGTTCAGAACTTCAGGGCGTTCACGACTCGAGTCTCGGCCAACACATTTACAGAGTACAGACCCCCAAGTCCCCAATCCATGCAGAATTCCGCGAGCCTGGGTACACAGGCTCAACTATTACCCACCAGACTCCTCAATAAGTGATCGTTGCAGTATGGCAGTATCTGTGGCGAAGTGAACTGCGAGGCTGTGTTCAGCGGAAACCCACAGAGCTGTCTCGGAGCAACGACAGTTTGTGTTGCTCGTCACAACTTGTGTTGTTCGTTAAGATCAGCCTGACGGACAGCCTTACATGCAGTGGTATATCGAGAGCTACACATATGCTCGCTCGCGGGACAACACATGACAAGCATGTCGGAAAAGCGTGGCATTAAGCTGTTGTTGGTGAACGCAAGGTGACAGGGCGGAAATGAGCATATAAGGAGGTCTGCCGCCTCCAGTCTGCGGTTGTTCTCTGGTGATTGGGAATCCGCTACTGCTCGTCCGCTCTTGTCCTGCACTCGGCATATTCATATTGTCCAGATCCGGGCTTCGACTTCACATCATCCGTTCTGATTAATATCTCAACCTCCCTTGCTCTCGAACTATTTAGAGCACGTTGCCTCGACGTGCATCCTAGCGACCATGGCAGATCCGTACTATCCAGGCTGGTACGAGCAAAATTCCGCTTTTAGACCCCCTGAGTCTTACGATGCATCAACATTTCAATACCCCAATAACGCGTACACCCAGGAATATAATGGCAGTGACAGTTAGTGGCATCCTATAGTTTTAAGCACCCTGGTTCGCCGCTATATTATTAGTATAGTCGTGTATCTGCTTACCTGGATGCAGCCTCAGACTCTCCACGTCTCGTCCCGGTTCCTATTCATGAACTCTTTGCCCACTTGTCTGCCTCACCGGAGATGGTCAGTCGCGACTGGGTGGGACTCTCAGTCTCAGCCCGGTGCATCGACCACAACGGATACCTGATCGGGTGTGAGAACATCCGGCTCCATCACTTCGAGGGTATCGTTCCTGTCTCGGACCCATATATGGACCCGTATATTGGCTGTGACGGTGTGCTATATGTTGAACCCGCTCATCGCACCCCCTCCACCAACGACGACGACGGAATTGTGGTAGCGTACGTTGACCCAATGAAGATCACGCTGACTTCACCGCCCCCAGTCGCCAGCCCCAGTTCCAGTTCTAGGCCCAGCACGTCCCCCGAAGCGTTAGTGTCCCCTGCGAGCTCCCACGTAAGCAAAAACCCCCGGGCCTTTGGCATCTTGCCATATAATACGGACCCTCCCCCCCAGCCCGGAAGCCCCATCATGCCTACCCGCCCTAACGCAACCTCAACACACAGTTCTCCCTGATAACGATTCCCTGCGCCGAATCCGCGCCGCGGCCGTCCGCTACCAGGCGGCGATGATACCGCCCACGGTCCAGCCGCGTCCTCACCATCCGCACTCCTTCAACAACCACGGGGCCGTCCTCAACCCGGGACCACCGCCGCCGTTGATCGAACACCCACTCAGGCCTGAAAGCGAGGGGCCGTGGGTGCCTGGGCAGCCGCTGGGTCCCGCGCACATATCACCAACAAATACGATCGCTCCTCCCCGGATGTCGTGTACCATGATCCGACACAGCCCGTGCCTTAGGGGGCAAGAATAGGCAGTTCAAAGCGGCGCGGTATCATCCAAGAAAGGAGCCTCGCCGGCGTTGAAGGATAAAGATTTATTGTACATACGAGATCGCAAGCAACGACAAGAAAAGAGTGGCGGCTTACTTTACGAGTCCAACATTAGCAACTACCTAGGTACTATGCCTATGTCATATGCCACTGACCACCCCAAGCAAACCCCATCGCATTCGCATGGCACACACAGCCTGGTGATGAATCCTGCTGCCGTTGACGATAATGGTAAAGCCCTCAAGACATGGTCTGATAACGTGGTAGTTGGTAACCGCCATTTTCATCCACCCTTCCTGGCCTTCGATCTTAATCTCAACCCAGAAACCCATAGTACCTACAGCGGGTTGAATTTTTTCCAACTACGGTATCGATATAGCAGGCAGCGCCAATATCTGCTCCGGCACAGACTCTTATCGTATATGGCTCCCTAGGGCGATAGTTATAGTCGAGGATTATTTGACGCAAGGTAGCTTCAAAGAATGATATAACTCTTTAGGCATCACATATACAGATAGCCTTGGTACCATAAACGTCGAGCCTATATTCTTCCTTCCATAGCCTCGCAATGTCGCTGCTGGAGGCATGTCTGGGAGGTTGATGTGGTAGGCAGTTCTGAGAAGCCGCTTTATCATGTTATGCTTTCAAGGGCCGCTGGTCTAGTGGTATGATTCTCGCTTAGGGCTCCCAACCCGAAGCATTGTTGCGAGAGGTCCCGGGTTCGCCTCTCTTCCTCGGTCAGGTTCGACGTGACATATTGGAACGCAGAGTGTCGCATATGTTGTACAAAGTCCCTCCCGCCCTTCGATAGTGCCGATACCGGAACAGAGGGTTGTGGTGACCAGTAGGTACTGTATCAACGCCGAGTTGGCGATCTCTTCACCTCTGGATCGGTCCCTTTCAAGCATCTATGCTTTCCGGACTAATGACGTCTAGCTGATCCGTTGGAGGCAGCGCTGAGTCGCCGCTGACCATGGCCTGTTGGGCGGTAATGGGCTCCGACGATTTTTGCTGCAAAAGAGCTGTGTGTCAGCTCTCCGTGTCTGCAGTGCTCTACAACCCAGTCAAGACTCAAGGCCTCAAGGGTTCCCGGCGAGAAACAGAACATTGGAACTCACAGTTCGGCCGTCAACGCTGCCCTCCTCTCTCAAACTTGGACTCGGAAATCTTGAACTTCCAGCTCGCGCTTGTCTCCGGGAATCGCGCCCATTCACCTTCAGGAAGAGGAAAGCACCGTGGAGGAGAGTGGAGCTGGAATCCATGACGATGGTGGTCTTTGCGCATCTCGTAACCCGATGGCCGTCAAGATCGTAGATCTTGAAATCGTATACCGGCTGGCCCTTGTCTTTGTAGGCACTCAGGTCGTTGCTGGCCTTGACCACGAACGAAGTGCCCGCATCTCCTCGCTCTGGCGAAGACTGTGCATCAGCCTCACTCCTCGGCAAACAGAGTGCGCTCCGTCTGTGAAGAGCCCGGCACAGTGGAGCGCCGCTTGCTAGGCCCGGCACCCTCGACATCGCTCGACCCGGGAGCATGGCTCTTTCGCTTCGGGCGGGGGTGGCAGCCGGTTCGTCATGCCGAGGCTCGCCAACCTCCATAACCTCGTCCTCTCCGGAATCCTGCTTCATGACGTCCTCCCCCATCTCCTCCATCTCCTCCTCCATCTGCTCCTCCTCGCCACCATCCTTGTAGTCGTCGTCCTCATAGGCCTCGTCCTCGACCCCGGCTGCGGAGGTGAAGAGGCCCGCGTGTTTCAGCTCGACAAAGGCCTTATCCAACATCTGATGCATCTCGGCATCGTTCTCCGGGATATCTAAGGTCCGTGGCGGCTTTGTTGGCGACGCTTGTTCCTTGTGTTATCCTGGGGATACACCGCCTGACCGTTCGGCGAGGTGAGTTTTGGTATTCATCGAGGATCCGATAGTCGACAATATGAATGATGGTCCGAAGTTTCTCCTTTCATCTTTTCTCCTACTCTGTTCTCTCCTTTTCTAGCTCCCGCTGCTTTTTTATTCCTTCCTGTCTTTAACCCTTTTCTGTTAGGAGTAGGATCAGCTTCTGAACGTTCTTAAGCCGTCGCTGCCATGTCACTACGTTGGGGTTAGAGACGGGTGGCGTGCTTATATCAAAGCCGACAAGATTGAACAAGAGGCGGATGCAAAAGCGACTTACCATAATTTCGCGGGTCGGGTTGGTACCGCCTATTATCAGTATCCTTGTTGCTATAAGAAGCCATTATTGTTGGTGTTTGGTCGAGAAGTATGAGGATCAGGCTTGGACGGGCAGGATTCTGTACGAGAAGAAAATGGGTATAGGTTGAGTGTTCGGGTCTAGGGCTGGCGATGTGGATGGATGGAAGGGAGTTTGCTCTGCCAGGATCCCAACAAGTTTTCAATCCGATAGGTACTTAGGGTCCTCTCCCTTGGGCTTGACACCGGCCATGTATTTGCGGTCTGCCTAGCCTTGGGACGCAATCGCGGGTCCGCGTATCTCAGCCAGCTGTGCGCCGATTATGTGAGTTGTCTGACGTGAAAAAGACAAGGGGTGGTAGCGTGGAACAGCGTACCTTGGCCTTCAGGTCGGGGGTCAGGTCCATGGCCGACAGGATGTCGACCACCCCTTAATTAGGGCCGAGTCCTGAACCTGATCTCTCCGAATCGTATGACGGATAAACCTCAAATGGGCGTTTTGGTCGCTTGCTTCCTTGGCAGCGGTTGCGCGGCGTTCGGAAAGAGAGCTCGTACCTATGGAGGTTGACATTATTAGCGGTTCGGGCGTGATGAGAATTGACTTTCTTTACCCCTGCTCTGTTTCCCAGGAATTGACGGAATGTCTCAGTGACGGATGAGATGCGAAATTCTTGAGTTGTACAGTTCGGATCGGATCAAATAACGTATCTTATAAGCGAGCGAGACATATAAGCGAGCGAGACACTCTCCACCACTCTATAACAACTATCCTCAATTGCAACGCAACAACACTAGGAACCAACTACAATTACATCAGAGACAGCTGAATCAGACCCTTCTACAACCTCCTGGCACGTACGGGCATTATGGCCAGGCTTGCCGCACACACCACAGCACCGAACCTTCGTACGAGCCCCCCCTGCACCACCACTATCCTGCTCCTTTTCTTGCGCCACCTCCCCAACCACGGCCTTCTGGTCCAGTTGATCCTTTACATCTTGTACTGCAAGCGATCCTCTAAGCTGTACGCGTGTTCTTTTGGCTCTCCGGCGCTTGCTTAGCGCCTCGTTAGCCTTACGGAGCGAAGACACCTCTGCCTGAAGGAGGGCCACCTGGTGCATTACAGCCATCGTACCCTTGGTAAGCTGGTCCACAGCAGCCAACATCGAAGTTGGGGAGCTATTTTGATGGTTGGCAATACGAGTCTTGATGAGCGTTGACTGCGAGTTGGCTTCTCGAGGGTTGTATGGCGTCTGGAATACCCAAGGTTGTAGTATGCTGGCCCGCGAGTTCAGGGGCGTTGGTGTACGGAGCTTTACATCTAGCTTAGATAGTACCTTCTCTTGATCGTACGGTACAAGGCCAGCACCTACAAAGCCACCCTGGATATTCTTCCCCGTCATCGAGGCGAAGAAGGCCTCGCGGAAGCTGCAGAGGAACTCGAGCTTGCTCACGTGGTTGATATATGCGCGCATCAAGTCCTCAACCTGGCGACCGTACGCCTGCTTCAGTGGCCCAAAGCAGCTAATATCAAGTGGCTAGAGGAGGTGCGAGGAATGCGGAGGCATACAAAGCGTGATGATGTTATTCTGCTGGCAATAGAGCTCGAATTTGGTCGAGTAGTGGCTGTCGTGGCCGTCGAGGATCAACAGCCGGTACTTGCCCTTTGCCCGGGGCGCTATATGGTAGTCGAAGTGCTTGATCCAATCCAGGCCTACGGCATTAGTCGTCTAGCCGTTGTCGGTAGTTGCGATACGCCAGTCGGCTGGGAGGTTGCACTTGGTGTACCAGTTAGCGAGGTAGTACTGTACGGCCAAGATGATAAACGGAGGGATAGCCCAGCCAAGAGCATTGACTCCCTAGATCACCGTTGCCCACTCGCGGTTGCCAGGCTGGGCCAGCTTTACCTTGCTACGGCCATCAGAGGTCGTAACCACCATGCCCGCGAAGATGATGCCTATCATAAACCCAGTCTCGTCGAAGTTATAGATATCGTCATCTACAATACCGTACTTGGCCTTGGTGTTCCGTACGAGTGCAAACCACTCGCCAATGACCTCTGGATCCTCGCACTTAGCCCTCTGGTAGTCGTATCGACGCGACCAACGTATACGGAGGGCTGGCTGGCGTTTGACGAAGTTATGGGCCCAGAGCTTGCCGACAGGGGGCGCGTCGTGTATACGTAGCAGTTGGTTGGCCATATCTTCTACACCACGGAGTCTTGGTGGAAAAGCTCGCTCGGATAACTCAATTATATACTGAATAAGAGCCTTCTCTTCTAGATCGGTGAGCTTCTGCGAGTTAGCTAGAAGATCGTGTCATATAGCTCGGCCGGTACGTCGGTGGCCGAGGGTTGAAACTGGTACGTTATAGAGCTTGGCCGCGGCTCGGAGGCTCAGTTTCGTGTCATTTTGAAGAGCTTGAAGGGCCAAGATTACCCTAGCTTCCTTTGAAGCGGAAGACATTCTTGGTTATAGGAAAAACGCGCTGTTGGGGGTGGTTGAAGAAGGACGCGTCGTGCCAAGAACTTAGTGTCTCGCTCGCTTATATGTCTCGCTCGCTTATAAGATACGTTAGTGCGAAAGATCTGCTCAATTCGAGCATCGTCTTGAATCGTCCACATTTGGACATTTTCCGTTCAAGTGACACTCCCTAATATTTTAGGCAAGAACCGTCCTTGGAAAGCATAGTAAGAATTAATAAAGGGAGGAAAGAATGATTAATGTAAAGTGGCGAAGGGGAATTAGGAAAGGAACGGGAAATGGAGAGAAAAGGAAAGACCAACATAGAGACGAGAAAATAGAATATTTTCTAATAATAGCCGTTTTCTTGCATTGAATATCCACCCCAACTCCTACGCTCCAAATTTATTCGTCTTGATCTCTCTTGTGTAGGTACCTTAGCAACTTTCGCGATTCCCATACAATGATGTTTTCGGGATGGTTGTTTTCATCAACCTTTTGGTCTTATAATCACAGAGGCATGGACTTCTCAATCTAAGTATTATTTTATCTTTGAAAGTCGGGTCTCTGAAAAATGAAAACGGCTAGCTTGACCCTAGGGGAAATCGAGAGAGTTGGCACTTTTCGGATATGGTTATAAACAACCAGGCTCAAGACTCCGGAGTCAAGAAATTCCATGTTAGCTGCAGAGAGGATGAAAAAGGGGGCGAAGAAGATGAAATTAAGAACAAGGGCACTGTACTAATACCCGAGGAAAGTTTGTTCTATCTCCTGTGATCCGAGTCCAACTGATATCGATGTTTGATGTTATACAGAGTAGTATCTGTGGTCAAAGGGTGGTTGGGCGAGGTCAGTTTTTTAAGCTAACCCTAACCCACTTAGACGGTTAGACGTGCTCAACTTGAAGCTCGTAAAGGGGGACGGGCCGGGGAAATGCAGTGAGTCCCTGTGGGTTTCCATGGAAACAGAAGGGCTGGTGTGCTCCCTGGGCACAAATGACACCTCGCTTCCCAATCGCGTCATGTTGGATCCGAAGCCCTTGCTATGTCTTATCATGGTAACCTTGGCGATTAACGGAGATGTCCGGTGGTGCGGGGTGGCAGCGTCCGGTGTCGCCTCCGCCGGCGGTTATCCCCGGCATCCTCTCCGCGCTTGCAAACAGAATGAGGTACATAAGGTACCTATCCTTTCAAGACCCGTATCCGGGAATTGGCAGCATCATCCAAGCGTAGAGCATCCTATCCGGCAAAGCCTACCATATCGGGTTAATTGGACGCCAGCATGCCAACCATTGTCGTCCTTGGGTGAGCCACCGGTACCGGACTTGCAGGCGGGAGACATCTGCTGATCCCTCGACAGCGCTGGTGTAAGCGGCCTCACCACCGCGCTGCTGCTGGCAAAGCAGAAGGGCAACGTCGTGACAGTGGTTGCAAAGCATATGCCCGGCGACTATGACGCCGAATACACTTCGCCATGGGCGGGCGCAAACGTGCTTCCGTATGTGGTGCATTCCTTACATAAATACCTTACCGTCCTCTTGCCGGCGGTTCATGTCTCTGACTCAAAATACAGGATGGCCCTCGAACACGACAGCAGGTGGGAACGACGTACCTGGCCGGAACTGCGACGGCTGGCGGCCGAAGTCCCGGAAGCCGGCCTGCACGTCCAGAGTAAGCCAAACTCACCCTCCGGGTTCCCCCCCTCCCCACGTAGACGTGTCTAACCTGCCCCGCAGCCGCCCGCGTCCTCCGCCGCGAAAAGGACGTCGCCAAGGGGTTCAAAGCAGCCCTTGCCGACGGCCTGTTCCAACTCTCACCCTGGTACCGAGAAGTGATGGACAACTTCCGCGAGCTTCCCGCCAGCGAACTGCCCAAGGGCATGCACTCCGGGTGCGAGTTCACGTCGGTGTGCATCAACACGGCCATCTACCTGCCCTGGCTGGTCGGACAGTGCGCCAAGCACGGCGTGCACTTCAAGCGGGCCGTGCTCAAGCACATCTCGGAGGCGACGACTCTGAGCCACACCGGCCGCCGGGCCGACATCATCGTCAACGCGTCCGGACTGCTGGCGTGCAGGCTGGGCGGGGTCATGGACACGAAGGTGTACCCCGCCCGGGGCCAGATCGTGCTGGTGCGCAACGAGGCCAAGTCCGTCATGCCGACGACCAGCGGGTGCGACGACGGGGATGATGAGATTGTGTATGTCATGCAGCGGGCGCTGGGGGGCGGGACTATCCTCGGCGGGACCTACACGAAGGGCAACTGGGATGCGAACCCGGATCCGAACATCGCGATGCGCATTATGCGGCGGGCGGTGGAGACGCACCCGGAGTTGACGGGCGGGAAGGGGGTAGAGGCGCTGGACATCATTCGCCACGGTGTTGGCTTGCGTCCGGTGCGGGAGGGTGGTGTGCGGATTGAGAAGGAAGTGATTGGCGGGACGTGGGTGGTGCACAATTACGGGCATGCGGGTTGGGGTTACCAGGGGAGTTATGGATGCGCCGAGAGGGTGCTAGAGCTGGTGGACGAAATCGTTGGGAAGACGAAGCGTGAGGCGAAGCTCTAGACCACGCCAATATATCAGAACCATCAACCAAATAGTTGAGGTTGAGAATGTGCCACATCTCGACCAGATGAGCTTGTGTTGGTGTAAATTGGGTAGTGGTAAGCCAAGTCGCCACCTGCTGGCAACTGGCGGATTCAAGCTGGCTATGCGGGTTTCGCTTCTGCCAGCTCCGAAGCTCAACGCGTCCGCTCCTTGTTCACGACGGTACCTCCGTGTCGCCGGCAGCAACGATGCAATGGCGGACGACAAAACCCCTCCAATCCACATGCAGGTAATACGCTTTGCACTGGACGTCACCAATGGTCACCATGCTCTCTCCAAACTCATTCCGCTCTCCCTCTTCATAGCAGATGCGTTGCTCTGCAGCGCGATCATCTGGAAGGTGCCTTGTAAGTCGCGAACGTGGGATCCCCCAAAACAACCACCCAATCTCACGCTGACCCCCTCCCGACAAGACACCGAGATCGACTGGGTCGCCTACATGGAGCAAATCTCCCAAATAGTCTCCGGCGAGCGCGACTACACCAAGATCCGGGGAGGCACCGGCCCGCTGGTATACCCGGCCGCCCATGTCTACATCTACACGGGGCTGTACTACCTGACAGACCACGGGAAGGATATCTTTCTGGCGCAGCAGCTCTTTGGCGTGCTATATATGGTGACGCTCGGGGTGGTGATGGCGTGCTACTGGCAGGCAAGGGCAAGTATATCCCCCGAGGAGGGAACAGACCCCTTTGTGAGTCACGGAAGAAACGCTGGTGCTGACTGACGGCTCAAAAACCAGGTTCCGCCCTATGTCTTCCCGCTACTGATCCTCTCAAAACGGCTCCATAGCATCTTTGTCCTGCGGTGCTTCAACGACTGCTTCGCGACTTTGTTCCTCTGGCTGGCCATCTTCTTCCTGCAGCGCCGGTCTTGGCGGGCCGGGGCGTTGATGTACACATTAGGGCTGGGCGTCAAGATGTCGTTATTGCTGGTCCTGCCGGCAGTGGGGATCGTGTTGCTCTTGGGGAGCGGCTTTGCTACGAGTCTGCGGCTTGCGGCCATGATGGGCTTGGTGCAAGTCTTGATTGCCGTGCCGTTCTTGGCCAACAATCCGTGGGGATACCTGGGCCGCGCGTTCGAGCTGTCGAGGCAGTTCTTTTTCAAATGGACGGTCAACTGGAGGTTTGTCGGGGAGGAGATCTTTCTCAGCAAGGGGTTTTCGATGGCGCTGCTGGGGCTGCACGTCGTAGTCCTCCTTGGATTCATCACCACTCGGTGGCTGGCGCCGGCGCACAAACCGCTGCCTCAGGTGGTCATTCCAATGCTGTTGGGGAGGTCGCCGTTCACGAAACAGGAGCATCGCACGATCTCCCAGAACGTCACACCAAGATTTATTATGACGACTATCCTATCTGCGAACATCATCGGCCTCCTATCTGCGCGTTCCCTCCACTACCAGTTCTACTCCTATCTCGCCTGGTCGACCCCCTTTCTTCTCTGGTGCAGCGGCCTCCACCCCGTTCTTCAGTATGCTCTGTGGGCTGTCCAAGAGTCGGCGTGGAATGTGTACCCCAGCACAGCGATCAGCTCTGGCGTCGTCGTCGGTGTTCTGGCCACTACGGCACTCCTTGTTTGGTGTGGTGCTCGTGAGGACTGGGAGCCGAGAAAGGTTCCGCCAAAGGATGAATATGCGAGGCGGTGATGGGCCATGGTACTTTTGTGTCGGCTTGGACTCTGTTCATGACCCTTCCTCCTCTTCCGAGTCGCTGGGTGGCATCTTGCCTGTGTTTGACTCGTCGTCCTCCTCCTCGGCGTACGTGTTCCTCATGGCGAACTCCTTTGGCCTACAGCATATTGTCAGTTTCGGGTCGACCACCAAGCCCGGGGTCACGAATGCGTACCAGTAAAGTTGCTTCCGCCACGCCTTCTCATCGCGCACGATGTTGATGATTGCACCGGCCACCCTGCTATTGCTCGGCCGCTCCTCGACAGACGCTAGATCCACCAGCACATATCCGCCTCGGATGATGAAGATGGTGTTTCGAAACTTGGGGTCGAGCTCGACGGTGACGGGCTTTCCGTTCGGCAGCTCACACGTGAAGAGGCTGCTGCCCTCGGCTTTGACGACACGGGCGACGGATTGGGTTGCGGTCAGCTCGTCCGGAGGTGTCAGTGACTCCTGCGCTGCCGTCTGGATGGCGCGCCTTGGCTTGCCCATGAGTACTGGCAGTCAAATGGTTGTTTGTGTTTCGTAACTGGTTCTCGGGGGCGGGGTTTCTCGATCGTCCTTGCCGGTCGAGTTGGGAGGACAAACTTTACAGCGAATCCACGCACGGCGCTTTGTTATTTGTTTACCAACAGGACGCTGAGGGGGCAACGCCTGGTCTCCCAACGCAAAAAAAAGAAAAAAAACTACGTCAGTGTTGTGACGTACGAAGTCGAGTTAGGGAAGGCCTGTGCACGGTACCGTACGCGTCTCAAGGGTTGGCCGAACTTTTTGCGCTTAACCCGACATCATGGAGCCCCGCCATGCCCCGCAACCTAGCCGGCACGGCGGTGCCGAACCCGCGCGGTTTTCAGGGGATGATCGACATGCCGCTTCGACCAAGGAGCTTAGCGGGGCCGGAGGCTCACTTGGAACCTCGTTTCTTCTGACCGCATGGTTATCAACGTGTATGTTTGGTTAGTAGCTATACAAGAGACCGCCGCAGCCGCAGGCAAGCCCTACCTCACCATCTATAGGGTTTCCAAGAAATCAGTCATAAATCTCTCACCCACTTGTCTCACGAAACTTCCTGACTGGCCGGCGTCGGCTTGTGTGGACTCTTGACTCCCCTCCTTATACCCCTTTACCTCCTCTTGCTTCTCACGGACCTCTCCAAGATGGGATCAACAGTGCCGATCGCGCTCCCGGCGCTCAAGACGAAGCCCAAGTTCATCTTCTTCACCGACTTCGACGGCACCATCACGCAGCAGGACAGCAACGACTTCATGACGGACAACCTCGGCTTCGGCGTCGAGCTGCGCCGGAAGGGCAACGAGGACGTGCTCCACGGCCGGCGCGACTTCCGCGACGCCTTCCGGGACATGCTAGACAGCGTCAACACCCCCTTCAACGAGTGCGTCGACATCCTGCGCAGGAACATCACGCTCGACCCGGGGTTCAAGCAGTTCTACGAGTGGGCGCGCGAGAACAACGTGCCGATCGTCGTGCTGAGCGGCGGCATGGAGCCCATCATCCGGGCGCTGCTGGCGCACCTGCTCGGCCAGGAAGCCGCCGATGAGTTGCAGATTGTGAGCAACGATGTGGCGCCGAGGGAGGGGAAGAGCATCAATGAGGCGGGCGGGTGGCAGATTGTCTATCATGATGACAGGTGAGCAACCCCTTTTTCCCACAGTGTGTGTGTGTCTGTTTGTTTGGATATGGCTGCGATGCTGAGAAGAACGTCGCAGCGGGTTTGGGCACGACAAGTCCCTCGAAATCCGCCCATACGCCAGGCTCCCGGCAGAGGAGAGGCCGGTCCTCTTCTACGCCGGGGACGGCGTGTCTGATCTGTCGGCGGCCAAGGAGACCGATCTGCTATTTGCCAAGGCAGGGCGCGGTATGTTGATGGCCTTTTCCCAAAGGTGACGCCACCATGCTGACTCCGAACTCAGATCTTGTTGCGTACTGTGAGAAAGAGAACGTGCCGTTTGTCACATTCAACGACTTCTCCGATATCCTCGCCACTGTGAAAGATATTGTGGGCGGCAAGCTGACCGCCAAGCAAGCTGCCATAGGCAGGAAGTGAAATTGGCTAGGTAATCTCATGCAGATTCGTGGGATACGAGCTTTTGATCAATCGAATGATAGAGAACCATAGACGATAGACATATACATGGACTTGGATCATTCCCGTTCATATACGACTGGTCAGCCCCTGCCAGAGCCAGACTTCGCGACAGCGTCGCTCCTCAAGTTGTTTGACCCTGTCCCATCAGCTCAGGTTTCTTCTTCGCATCCAGCATAGCGTTCCAAGACATTAACATCCCTCCAAAGAGACCCACGACGGCCAGATGTAACAAGGCCGGAGATTCCAGCTGGTCAGCCAACTGGGTTATGAACAGAGCTGTTACCGTCCCCGACGTTCCAAATGCAATAACAATAGCGGTGCCGCCCGCCCGTTCTTCATCACTCGTCTCACGGATCAGCAGCGCCACCATCCACGGATACGCGGGGCCCATGAAGAACCCAACAAGACCTGCCGCTGCCACCGCATTCCAGAAGACATCAACAAACAGCCAGACCAGCAGCAAGAGCCCGGTACTGAGTACCAATGCAGAAAACATCAACTGCTTGCTCCGTTCAACCGATGGAATCAAGGCCAATGAACCGACCCCAATTCCCGCCCAAAAGGTGAGCAGTGCATAAACCAACGGCACCTGCCCTGTGGAACTGCCGGGCCCACCACCACCGATCAACAAGACCAGCCAGACGGGGACAACCACCATAGCAGCTTGGTACGCGAAAGTAAAGACGGCTCCAAGGAGTGTGAGCCGGCTTGCCGGGGGCGGAAACCCACCCTGTCCGCGGTTCACTTGGAGGGGAAGGATCTTCTTCTTCTTCTTGTCGTCGTCATCGAGAGCTTCAGCTTCAGCTTCTGCTTCCTCACAACCACCACCAGCGGCAGGTGTTGTCCCCCAACCCGAGCCCGAGCTAGCTTGAGAAGCGAGGGAAAAGAGCGCAGAACAACAATAACAAGAACAACTCAAAGCCAGGATCAGCGCAGCCAGGTGGTGCCGCCACCGCGGTGTGCCCGCATCGTCGAGAGACATGTTGCCGGTGCAGCAGCACAATGTCTGGGTGACGACCACTCCCATGGCAAGCACCCCGTTGATCAAGCCCAGCAGCGAGGGTGTTGATGATGATCCGCGAGGTAGGAGGAGTATGGCAGTGGTGAGGTTGACGGTGCTTCCGGCGCCGATGAGGAGATGTGCTGCGGCGGTCAGTGCCGTGGATAGATCCCGGGGCAAACGGAACATCGGGGGAAGGAGGAGGAGGAGGAGAAGCGCTGCGTGGCCGGTGCCGATGAGTATGTTGGCGGGGACGAGGAGGAAGGGGGGAAAGGAGCGGCAGGCGCGGGAGTGTCGGAGGATGGGGTCAATGAAGGCCGCCGCGAGGATGGCGCCCAGACTGAATGGCAGGGCGGTGTGTGCCAGTCGGTGGAAAGAGAGGCTGTTGCTATGTGAACAGGGGGAATTAGCTGCCTTATTCGTGTCAAGTCCGTCCCAAGAGTGGGTGGATATGGGAAAGGGACTTAAGGCATACTCTAACTCTAATCCTCCCGTGGAAGATGGCTCGGGTAATGCAAGAAGAAGGGGGATGCCGCTGAGGCCCGTTGCGAAGCTTGCGAGGCAGATTGTGGCGAGGCGGACTACTCTGTCTCCTTTCTGACGGTCGATTGTTGTGTTTGGTTGAATGCATGGTTGTCGATGTGAACATGATCTTCTTTCTGCGGACGTTGCGATGGGGAGGACGGGAGGTTTCTCGAGAGCCATGGCAACTCTGTGAATGATGGTCGAAGGACCAGTTTTCCCTCGAGCGTTGGTAGGAGGGCGTGGAAGGCGTCTGGCAGGCATCAGCAACACGAGGGCAAACACAGGAACAGTATGTCGATATTGGCCGGCATGCTAAATCATGATATAAAGCAAGTGTCGAACCTTATCGCAAGGCCACTGAGCGCTGTTGCCAAATTGGGCAACTCCGCCGATCAATCTCATCGGAGCGAATTATCAATTCTCACCCGCACATTATACATATTTTGCAGAGGATCACAGTCAAGGATTGCGAATACGGACCTGCTGTTCTGGGATACGAGTGCCAGTTATTTCTGGGCGGTTTGGATGTACAGGACAGTGATGTATGTACCCAACAAATGTGGCAATAAAAGACAATTCAATCCACGCCCTTGCTATGATGTTACCCAGTACCCGCGCCCTCTGCCCAACACGTTCAAAATCACCGCACCTTAACCCGCTCCTTTCCCTCCAGATCAACCCCGCTACCTACCCAACCTCTCACACTTCAACTCCGAGTTTGTACGGCCAGTCCTCAGGCAACGGCACGGGATACGCACGAAACATGGCAAGGCCCTCGGCAGACAGCGTGCGCCAGATGCTCATGGCCAGCTCCTGGGCACGCTTGACGTCGCTGTCCCAGCGGTCACACCGATGCTCGACCCCGTTTTCTTCACCAACCCATGGCGCGTGACCTCCGGGGCAGAAGAAAATCAGAATGTCGCCTCCGCTGGTGAGTGTGACGCCCGGGCGGCTGGCGCCCATCCAGAGCCCCGAAGTTGCCGCTTGGAGCTCGACCTCGGCGCGGAGGCGGCTGTTCCATTTCTCCATCATGCGGCCGAATTCCTTCTGTTTCTGCCTGCAGGTGTCGGGGTGCAGGTTGTCGGGCTCGAGGTTCCAGGGGAAGGCCCTTTGCATGACACCGGTCGGATCTGGAGCTCTTGGGCCAGTGTCCGGGACTGTAGGAGTCGGGGCATTGTCGGGACGGCGTCGGCCCCGTGGTGGTGGTCCTAACCAGGGCATGGCGACTGAAAGTGCAGCCAGGCGCACAGAGAAAGACAGGAGGTTTATGTCGTTGGCTGTTGGGTGGAAGTATGGGAACCAACCTACTGTCAAGGTAGATGAGGGAATCAATGGGGGTGTTGAGGGGGCGGGTAGAGAATCAGCCATGAGCACCTTAGGTACCCTCTATATATACCTTTGCTGGTGCCCTCCAGGTTCGGAAACGTTCCGCAGTTGACAGCACCGGACTGTCTGGGCCACGTTGTTCCAGGTTACGAAATCACCGTATGATATTCAGCAAACCCTTTCCACTTACACGTAGTTGACAACAATGGTGACACCTATTCCCCATCCAGATAGCAGACATGGCTGCACAGCTGACGCCGTCGTCTAAGAAGCGACGAACTGGTGTCCTCCATGCAGCACTTAACGTAGAGCCAATGCTCATGGCTCCTCGAGCAGCTGTTCATGATACCCTTTGACACGTTCAATGGTCTACCATTTCAAGGAGGCGGAGCATCCATGCGCTGGAGCTATGAATTCAGTATAGCATAAGTGGCCAGAGCTACCACAAGTCGTTTGTCACTCAGGAAATGTCTGAAACTTGGAATAATACCCATACCTGTGTTTCGGTACCGCAAGATAAAAGAAAGAACAAAGAAGCAGTTAGAGGCTTGAGACGCCACATGACATTAGACTCTAGAGCCTCAGTGAACTTCTGTGCTAATCTAGCATTGATTTCCTAGTGAAACATCGATGTGACTGAAGGGCTCTCTACCTTTTTTACCTTTGACAATTTACCTCTAAGATGTCAACATTTTGTCAAAACTCAAAGGCGTTGTGAGTCAACAAGGCAGGAAAGGTTAGCTGATTGTAAGTATTCGGCAGATCTCCTCCAACCTGTTCTCATGTTGACGAAACCTATGGAACCGATCACATTTCTGAAAACCATTACGGTTGTATTGTGAATCCTGAGCTGATTGGCAACAGATCCGCGACTTTGACGTCTAAGCTGGCTGAATTCCACCATGCCACCTATGATTCACGAAGCCATCCTCCGGCCGCCGAAGCTAACTAGCTCAACGACGTTTTTTCAGTCGGCGGCCCTGTGAAAACGAGATAACAGAGGGGATGATGCCCTCCAAGGTGGCTGAGATTGACCCCAATGTATTGGAATTTTGCCAAACTAATGTACTAGAGGGTGACAGAATCCTGCGCTGTCCGGCTCCTGAAGCGTACCTTGAGGTAATTAAGAGTGTAAGTCCCCCCTAAAAGGGTTAGGGTCATGACGCTCTCAAGGCGGTGAATCAATGGAAGATGGCAGAATGAGCTCCAAACATCGGTCGACAGCTCGGTTGCCGAGCGTCCCCCCACAGCCCTCCGACTCAACACCACCAGTCCTCAGGCCCGGCGGGCTGGAGCTGCGAGCCCAATGTCCCCCAACACAGCTTTACGATTAGCTGTGCGCCCTCTCCGGGGAGTGGCAGTTCTCGATCAATTGGCAACAGCGGCAGCGTCGCGGCATGTGTCGCAATTCCCGCCAATAATGGTATGCGTGCGTTGCAGCGTCGCCGTCGGCATACGGTTTGCCGCAAGCCGTGCTCGTCACTTCTCGACCGCTCCTCCGCCGCCACGGCGCCCTCCACCACCGAACCCCCGGGATAACGGTGACAAACCTGAGCCGGAAACAGCAGGTTCTAAAGATGCTGCCCCTCCAACCCCAGCATCACCGCCCCCGGCCGAGCAACCCACACCACCTGGCCCAGAACCGTCCCCTCCCCCATCCCCAGAGCCGGCAGCATCTCCAGAATCTGCAAGCCCGGAACCGTCACAATCCGACAAACAACCAGCTCCTCCCCCAAGCCCCGAAAATAACGAACCACTACCCTCAGACCGCTCCCTCCCCTCCTTCAGCGAAACCCACCGCCACCCCCTCTCAGCCCGCTTCAGCACCTTCATGGACAACCTCCAATCCCGCGCCCTGACCGCCACGCAAAAGATCAACGACCTGACCGGCTACTCGGCCATCGAGGCCATCAAAGCCCAAAACAGCCAGCTCGAGCGAGAGCACGCGGCCGCGCAGGCCCGGCTGCGCGCGGCGCGGCACAACTACAAATCCCTCACCTCGCACCGCGCCTCGACCCAGCGCGAGGTGACCACCCTGCTCGCGCGCAAGGACACGTGGAACCCCGCCGACCTGGAGCGCTTCACGACGCTCTACCGCAGCGACCACGAGCTGGAGGCGCAGGTGGCGGCCGCCGCGGCCGAGCTGACCGAGGCCGAGACGGAGGAGTCCCGGCTGAGCGGGGAGCTGAACGCGGGCATCCTGAAGCGGTACCACGAGGAGCAGATCTGGAGCGACCGCATCCGGCGGCAGTCGACGTGGGGCACCTGGGGCCTGATGGGCGTCAACGTGGTGCTGTTCCTGGTGCTGCAGTTCGTGGCCGAGCCGTGGCGCCGGAAAAGACTGATGCGCGGCATTGCCGAGCGGGAGGAGGGCGTGTTTGAGGAGGTGAAGCGCGAGCTGGAGGAGGTCAAGGCCGCGGTGGCGGCCGCCGCGTTGAGGGAGAGGCAAGCGGCGGCGGCGGCGGCTGCTGCGCAGGCCGAGGAGCTGACTCCCGCCGTGGTGGTGGAAGGGGAGGATGGCGTGGGCCTCGTTGACCCTTCTCCCGCGACGACCCCGGTGGGCCTCGAAGAGGAGGACGCGAGGCCGAGGAAGCCGTGGAAGGAGTTCATGCTGGACTACTGGGAGGACCCGGAGCTGCTGAAGGCGGATGTGCTGGATCTGACCAGCGAGCGGAGGATAAACCTGCGCATGCGCGATGTGTCGCTGATCGCTCTCCAGGGGGCGGTGGCCGGGGCTACCGTGGCGGCGGCCCTTGCATTGGTCTTGTTGCGAAGCTCCTCAACGACATGAAACCCCCCTCCTCAGTCACCACCAAGAAAGACTCAAACTGTGCTCGGGACTGACTTCGTGTACGTGTATAAACAATCCGTGTACATTATCCAGGACGATAGACCTGTCCGTAGATACAATATAAACGACCAAGTCCCGACGATCGGGATGCGTTCTGCTGTACCGCATCAAGGACTCCTGAAATGACTCCAGACAGTCACCATGCACCAGCAGTGGATTAGACCGTGATTGGGACTACGACTGTTTGCAATCATTCAACGTCGCCGAGATTTTGCGGATGCCAGGGTACGGCTAATGAGACATGGCCGGCTCCAGCACGATCATGAGTCACCTAAGAAGGAACGTGTTGTTTGCCCGACCTCATACACGGCTGACAGCAGTGTATCGTCCATGTTTTCATTGTCATAGCTCCGGCCCCTAGTCTCATCTCGCATCACTGTATTAGCACCATGCACATCACCAGACCGCCGCTGTTCCCCCTTCAGTCAGTCAGTACTCCATAACCACCCACTCACCCACACGTTCCATCTGCCTCTACCTCGGTATCGACCAAATCTGCGCCCCCCTCCCACTGCCCGGCATGCCAAACTAAAACAGGAATCGGTCTTGGAAGGGTATCTCTAGATGGCATGTGTATAAGGTAAGCAGCGTGCCGTGGGTGGGTGGCTAAGCCCGTGCTGCGGCTTCTACTGGCTCTGTCACCCGGCAGCTTCAACTTCCAGGGGCAGCGGCCATCATTGCCTATTTCTTGCCTTTTCCATGGCTAACACCCTCAGTCGAAATCCGCTGTATACGAAAACCCACGGAACTCTTCCTGCATGGCTTGAGACAACACTGCAACTCACAGTTAGCGATGAAACCTAACAGACAGTACCTACGTAGTTTAGGTGTGTGGAACGTACCAGACTGCACCGGTGTCAGCACCGGCGTGACGCTCGTGAACTCGCTGTCGAAGTTGCTCGTATCCGTGGCGCTCTTGATCTGCGGCAGGAACGGTGGTTGCACCCGTTTGTGGTAGATATCGTCCCAGTTGATGTTCCTGAAGAAGGGCTGAGACATGACCTCCTGGGCGTCGGTGGGCCCGCTGCCCAGGCGCTGGTCCGGCTCTCGAGTCAGCAGCTTCTGTAGGATTGACACACTGTCGCGGGGCATGTGGATCGGGTAGAGCGGCTCATCGGCGAGGATCGCGTCGTAAATCTCGTCCTCGTCTTCGCCGCGGAAGGGCGATTGCTGCAGGAGCATCTGGTAGATCAGAACCCCGAACGCCCACCAATCGACGGCGCGGCCGTATTTCTTATCGAGTAGAATCTGAAGGGAACTATTAGTAAGCAACGCGTCACTGGAAGCTCTCTCCGGGAACAGACCTCGGGTGCCATGAACTCGGGGGTACCGCAGAAGGTGCTGGTTGTCGAGCCGTACCACATATCCTCCTTGCAAAGACCGTAGTCGGCGATCTTGATGTGCCCGTCGAGCGTCAGCAGGATGTTGTCGAGCTTCAAGTCACGGTAGATGACGCCGTTCTCATGGAAATACTTGAGCGCCAAGCAGACCTCGGCAGCGTAAAACCTACCACCACGTCAGGAACGTCCTACCGCGTCTGGTATTTGCGCAGCAACAACAGAAACTTACTGCGCCCGCTTGGTGCCAAATTGTCCCCGTTGAATGTGCAGCATCAAGTCACCGCCACTGATGTACTCCATGACGAAGTAGACTCTCGTCTCGGTCTGGAAGCAGGCATGCAGGGTGGTTAAGAAGGGGTGACGTTCCCGGTTAGCGATCAGGAAGACGCGCTTCTCCGACTTGATGCTTTCGACCTCATCATTCTCGATGATGAACTCCTTCTTGAGCACCTTGATAGCGTACAGCTTACGAGTCCGCTTCGTCTCGGCCAACATGACCTTGCCAAAGTTGCCCTTGCCCAGCACAGCCAGGAAATTGAAGTGATCCAGGCCGATCCGTTGACCAGTGCCGGGATCTGTTGCCGAAGGCATCGGCTTCTTAGCGGGGATAGGAACACCGGAGGGACCGACCGCCTGCGGTTCTGCTTGAGCAGGCGCGGCCTGCGGCTTGGGCGCTGCGACCGCCTGCGGTTGCGGCTGCTGCTGCTGGTAGTACTGCTGCTGCTGCTGCATATATTGCTGCTGTTGGGGAGTCTGTTGTTGAGGGCGCGCCTGGACCGGCGGCTGGCCGGGGTACACTCCGATGTTTGCATAGTCCGCCGGGTTGTACTTGCGTTGTTGGGGCTGACCATACGGCTGCTGTTGTTGCGGTGATGCGCCATACGGGTTCTCCTCCTGCGATGTTGGGCGCCCGTAGGATCCGGCAGTACCATAATGCCCGGGACCGAAATCCGGAATCTGGCTGGCCTGTTGCTGACCCGGGGTGGAAGGTCTCATGGCCGCAGCTGCCGCGGCCGACGCAGTAGGCGACGTCGTTGACATCCGGTCGGAACTAGTAGTTCGCGGCGGTGATGTCTGGTTGTACATGAGTTTGGCGGCTTCGGTCGCCTCAGGCGAAGTCACCTGGGACATTTGCGATGAGGGCGAATAAGAGACACCTGACTGGCCACTACCAGCCGTCCCCTTACTTCCTTGTCGCAAAGTCCGCTCGCTGAGAGACGTCGCCTTTTCTTGCCGTGTCTTCTTTGTCGACCGGATACCTTCGAGAATTTGGTTCGCCACTGCCATAGACATTCCGCAGAAGTCTGGTATAAAATGCACGCACTGGGCGTGAGCAGTAAGAGTGCATTCTGGTGATCGATCAGCTTCACGAAGCGCCGACAAAGAAGTGAAATAGGCCTGAGCAGCCTATACATACCGACGCATCTCCTCGAGTTCTTCTTGCCAATTGGAAGCATATAACCGCAGTGGCAGCACCAGTTGGCCGTGAGGTTGGAGAAGGGCTGGAAGCGATGAGGAATCCGGTGGTTGATCTTCTCCTCGTCAGGATCCGTCTCGGCGTTGCTCTTGCTAATGCACTTGGTGACGACGCTCGTGTAGCATTTGGTGTGGCAGGTATACTTGCAGTCATCGCACTGCATGCCAGCCGAGTACTTGAGGAAGTCGCCGCAGAGAGCGCAACGCATGATGTTGTAGAACTGACGCTGGACGAACTTGTGACCATACATCTCGTGGACCTCTTCCTTGCGCTGGCGGACGGCACCTTTACGGTTGAGACCAGCGTCCATCGGCCGGGGGACCTTATTCTCCTTCACGAAGTTGAGACTGAGCTGGATCTGTCCCGTCGGCTCCAGGTTGAACCACGCGTCAATCGGCTGAGACACAACAGGGACCTGAGCTGGTGGCTGCGGTGTAAATGCTGGCCCCCCTTGCTGTGGCCCCGGAGATGTCGGCGGTCCAGCGAACTGGGGGCTCTGGGCACCCATGGGGAACTGCGGCGGAGGCATCCGCGATGCAGAACCCATGCGGTCTGCTGATACCCAACCGGTCGTGTTCATTTCGGCCTCGATCCTCTTCCGACGGAGCTCTTCGACGATGTCGGATAGTCTCACCCAGAGCAAGCCAATGGGCAGTGCATGTTCCCCCGGCTTGTCGTAGACCGTCAGCTCCACCTCGTTCGCCTTGTCGACAAAGATGTTATGGAGCTCAGCCTCCCATCTGTCGCTCCGCGATGCTCTCGTTCTTGCCACAATGTTATCCTCCACTTTGATCGTCACGAACGTCTCCGGAGCACGAGAAAAGCGGCCTGTGGGCGAATGGTCCACGTCTTTGACCGCCAGGATACGAATAGCAAGCTGACCCGTCAGCGGTTTCCTCAAGTTCGGCATGTTGATCGAATCGTCTAACGCGCCCTAGTTAGTAAAATAGTCAACGCGGGACACCAGCAGTGCCTACCATCTGGGGAATCTGCGTCCATATCGATGTGTAGCTCCTCGTATCTCTTCAGGGCCTGCTTCAGTAGCACAATCTTCTGGCTACTCTCAATCCTCCGGGCGGCAGCGTCGGCTTTGCTCTTCTTGTCGCCCTCCATCTGATAGAGCTGCACCATCTTTTCGATGCCTTTGAGGTACTGTTCTTCCACATTGAGCTTAAACTGGATCTGGGAGAGCATGAGCTGAATCCGGGGACCGAGATATGGCGTGTCGAACTTGATCAAGTCTGCGATAGGCCGCTGTCAGTGACGGAGTCCTCAACGAGCCAAGCTTGCATCCTTGCCAGGTGTCTCCTACCGAGTTTGGTGAAATTCGGCCGAGCCTTCGGCATCGACGGCGGCGCTGCGTACGGCCCGCGAGGGGGCATCAGGTCGCCCTGGCCAAATTGCCCATAGCCAGACGACTCCTTCGGAGGTGGTGCCGGGGGGCCGCCCTCGTCTCCTCCCTGGTCCGGCCCGCCCAGGGTAGAGCCTCCTAGAGACATGTTGTCTACCGAATGGCCCAGACGGCGCATCTGCAGCTCGCGGAGCCTGTCCTCAAAGAACTCGAGGTTTCTGCGTCCCTCCCGCATCTGGGTGTCGAGCTTGGAGCGGACGGCCTCATTGTCCGTTTTCTGCCGCATATGATTTGCGGCATTGATAAGCGCCTTCTCGCGCTCGATCTTCTTGGAAATATCCAAGATCTTCTGGTCGTCGTCCATGACGAACTGCTGTGCTGCGCGGGGGACGCGCAAGGGAATATTCGGAGCGGGGTAGTTGAGGATGTTACAGCAATCTGAATATCAGCGAGACAGGATTCTGTTTGTTCCGCCCGTTTCTCGCCGAGTCTGGGATGGGCTGTCCGCGTGCCCGGTGCAAGCAATACCGGTCGCGCAAGTCGCGGGCACGGATGAGTGTTTGCGAGATGTCGTCAGCGAGGGATTAGTGGGCGGGGTTTGTGTTTCGCAGATGACAACGGCCCTTGTTGGCACAGGCAGGGTCGCGGCACCTTGTTCCAGCTCATAAAGCGGCAGGGGTGGTTCGAGAAGGTTGATCAAGCAGTTCACTCACGGAGGGGAGTTCGGGTGGGGATGCTCTCTGCTTGTCTAGAGGAACCGGCCGGGAATCACAAAGCAGACCTGCTTGAATAAGAACCCGGGCAGCGATGCAACACAACCCACAATCCGGAAAGTTGCCGGCCCCTCGGCACCTCCTGAAGATCGGTCAAAATGATTTTAGGTCTTGCCACCGTCACAGTATGTACCAAACGGTGATAAACACTGCGTTGCCGTCGCCTCAGCGGCGTGTTGGCCTTGACGAGGTCCTACGCAAGTTGACTACCGGCGGGGTAGGTCAGGTACCCTAGCTCTAAATGCTAAGGTGATTTTGACCCGGGGCTGTGGCCCCAAGGATAGGTACCTTACGCAACAGCGACAAGACAATGGACAGTTCCAGATCCACGTTTCTATGGCCATCATCCGTCGCTGCCATACTACACTACATGCCACAACCTGGTCAAGAAGCTCATGCTGCAAGAGCCTCGGGCTTGCGGTCCAATTCCATGTTGGGCGTTTGAGGCGGGGTTGGGATCGGACATCATCCCGGTGAATCCTTTCGATCGCTTTGCCGAAACCAATTCGAACCCGCAGTCACGCGAACACAACACAGTTCGGGCCAAAAGAACATCACCAATACCCAAATTTTAGGGACGCATATACATAAAGAAATCAGGACGGAAACTAGTGTGTCATAGTTGCATAGGTGTTGCCGTGTCTCTTATAAACGGCGCAGTTGGTACTGTCCGTACATACACAGGTGATACAACGTCGGGTGCTATCGAGCATCGACCAGGGTCCAACTGAGCGCAGCAAGCCTAGGACTGCCGTAGGACTCCGGATCTGGATCACCCAACACGAACCGAACATGTTACTCCAATGCGAACCAAATGAATCGGGTGCTGACAGTACTTGAATATCCATGAGCCGATCATACACGACACAGCCTCGATACTGTCAAATAAAGCGTCTATCTATACCCATCATGTCTCATCAAGGATATGGCCTTCATGAAATATGAAATTGCCCAGTAGCCTGAAGTTGGGACCTTTACCTAGCTCCTATACATGCACTGGCTTACGAGGGCAGGGTTGGTAACAGCGAGTCCGGCATTCCTAACGTTAGACAGAACCTTACGCCCCGAGCACAGGCACACTTTATCGTGAGCACCGAGCGAGACATCGAAGCAGGTCATTTCAACAATCCCAAGAATGACATTTGACCGTCTATAACAAAGATCCAAGTCAACCCCGTCTGAACCCTATCGCCCAAGCCAGAACGCCGTTGATTATTGACTGTCGCAGGCTTTATGCACAACTAGACAGTGTATTGCTTTTGAAGGAGTTTGGCAATGGTGTTAAGCCTGGTCCTATGTTAGCATGTGCTCTTGAATAGACCAGACAGAGCGGGTGCCAACTTACTGGATGTTGCTTGTGCCTTCGTAGATGGCCCCAATCTTGCTGTCCCGGAAGAACTTCTCCGCCAAACCCTCGCGGACGAAGCCCATGCCTCCCATCCACTCGACAGCCAAGCTACTCACACGACCGGCAACCTGCGAAGCGTACAGCTTCGCCATGGCAGCATCCATGACGAAGTCCTCGCCGGCTTCTTTCTTGTGGGCTGCGTTGTACACGAGGGCGCGAGCCGCAGCGATTTCGGTGTATGACTGGGCAATCTGATGTTGCATGCCCTGGAACTCGCCAACCAACTTGCCGAACTGCTTGCGATCGTTCCACGCGTACTTAACCGCGTTCTCCCACGCGCCAAGAGCGAGGCCCGTCATCTGGGCGCCGATGCCGATGCGTCCCTCGTTCAAGAGAGAGATGGCGTATTTGTAGCCCTGTCCCTTTTCACCAAGGAGATTCTCCTTGGGCACCTCGACGTCGTCAAAGTTGAGCACGCAAGTGCTGCTGGCTTTGATACCCAGCTTCTTCTCCTTCTTAGCGATGCTCAACCCCTTCATGCCCTTTTCCATGATAAACGCCGTGATGCCGCGATAGCCCTTGCTCGGGTCGAGGTTGGCAAACACAATAAAGAATTCGGCCTCCATGCTGTTGGTAATCCACATCTTGCCGCCGCTGATCTTGAATCCACTCTCCGTCTCAGTCGCTTTGGTGGCCAGAGCGAACGCATCGGAGCCACTGACGGGCTCAGACAAGCAAAAGGAACCCACGGTGTTGGTGGCTAACCTGGGGAGGTACTTCTTCTTGAGCGCCTCGCTGCCCCATTTCAGCACCGCCGTGTTGACGAGCGTGTTGTGCACATCCACCATGACCGACACGGACGGATCGACGCGGGCGAGTTCTTCAATCCCGACAATCGCAGCAGTGAAGTTCATCCCAGCGCCACCGTACTCCTCAGGGATCTCCACCCCCATGAGGCCTTGCTCAAACAGCTGCTCCACGACCGCCGGGTCCATCTGCTCAGCCTCGTCCATATCGCGCACCTTGGGCAGAATCACATCGTTGGCGAACTTCTGCACCGTCTCCGCCATGGCAGTCTCGACCTCCGAGAAGTGGGTGATGGGTGTCGGGGCGACATCAGCAAGGCTGGCGTCGCGGCGGGTGTGTGTTGTCGAGAATGGACGGCCGCTGTCAAGGGTAAATAACCCGGTTAGAACGCCATTCAACCAATCCACTGCCAGGCGACATCGCCAGCTCCGCGACGGTACAGAGGATCTAGGCTTACCATTGTAAGGCGGGGAAGCCCGCTTGCGTCCCCCTCTGTATCCTCGGCGCGGAAACAGCTTGACTCCTTCGCACCGCAGGGCGCAATGCTCTTACGAAGGACCTCATTCTGCGAAAGGGTAGGGGAAGGGAGGGGCAAAAGCCTGTATGGAGAACAAGGCACTTGTGGTACGAAGGTGGTTGTATGTGGACTGCCGCGGTTGGTTTGAGAGGTCAACGCTCGTATATTACCGTAGATCAAGTTGTCACGTCTCCCCAAGGGAGCAGGGCAGCAATCTACGGTTTAAAACGGCGAGGGGGGCGTATCGCCTCCCAGACATGCGACTTAGGCCGAGGTTACCTTCCCCAGGACGCAACGGCTCCCCCACAATGCGGGTTGCCTGCGCCGGGCAGGGATGCAATCACCCTCAATCGTCGCCATGTGACTGCGCACTGGCCAAGCTGCATGCTCCACTAAGCCGACAATTGCCGCAAGTCCACGTGCCAACTCCCGTGACACGGAAAGTTGCCGTCGGCTCGGAGCTCCACTCATGCTGCATTACTGAATTCGGAGCCGAAAGTGTACGACGACCTGCCCGACTGAGGTTTCTTTGATCCGCCGCGCCGGCAACACCTTCCGCCATGGCGACGACATTCTTTCGCAACCTCGTGCTGCGGCCAGCCCTCAGGCTACCACTGGCGGTGCCGACACCCGCCCCATCAGGGCCGGCCATCCGCGCCTTCTCCACGACGCCGGCCCAGAACGCGACGCTCAACCAGGTCCTGCGGGTGCGTTTCCCTTTCCCCAAACTGCTTCCTCCAAAATATCTGAATACTAACCAATCTGTGGCTGCGCCAACGAACAGGGCTGCCGAAAAGCGCAACGAGCCCGCCACGCCGTCTCACCGGCCCTTTCCGCCATCGAAGCACCTGCCCTCAAGGGCGTGTGCGTCAAGGTGGGCATCACGAAGCCCAAGAAGCCCAACTCGGGCGAGCGGAAGACGGCCCGTGTCCGGCTATCCACCGGCAAGGTCATCACGGCGTACATCCCCGGCGAGGGCCACAACATCCAGCAGCACAGCGTGGTGCTTGTGCGCGGCGGGCGGAGTCAGGATTGTCCCGGTGTGCGGTATCACTTGGTCAGGGGGGCGTTGGATTTGGTGAGTTATGGCTTACCATTTCTTCCTCGGTCGATTATAGACGCTGGGGGAAGAAGTGAGTTTGTAGGAAATGGATCGCTGACTCCGGGGGCATTTTGCAGGGAGGTGTTGGTAGCAGGATGAGCAGCAGAAGTAAATACGGGACGAAGAAGCCCAAGAAGGCGTCCGTTGGCTAAAAGGTGTAACATACTTGGCCGGGGGTAGAAGTCTCTGGGAGAACTGGCCGCGGGATCGAAGGTTAGTACAGCAGACGAGTATCTCTGATGTTTTCTCCGGCGAACCAAGATCTTGTATCATATACCTGTATAAAAATCGACACGTCTGAGTACTAATCTCCTTACCTACCTTGCTTGAGTCGTGAATTAAGCAGCGAGGCTTCCGAAATCATCGTCATTAACCCTTCTAATAAAGATACAGCAATATGTACGACGAAATGATGCTGCCAGACAAAACCGTTGCTGGCCGACACTGAACCCGCAACTTGCAAGGCATAGCTCACGCTCTAGATTCAAGCGAGTTCCAATCTCTGAAATTCTCCGACTTTTTAGCGTTGCCACCCAACCCGATCGGAGGATCACTCTGAAGGGTGCTCCAGACAAAGAGGAATGCCATCAAAGTATGATAACTCATTATTTTTGTTAGCCAACCTGGCTTACACCCTTCAGTTCTTCTGCTCCTCCCACCCCTCGGGCTTCTCTATGTTGTTAATGTCAAAGTATCTCGAGGTGCCTATTTGGATGCTGCGTTAGTATTGCTGATTTACGGGGCAGGGTGGCATGTTGAGGACTGTCTTACATGAATAGCTCTTCCAGTCAAAGTTGTCGTCAGGATTGCAGTGGCACTTGAGGGTTGCCCGCAGCTTTTCGCCTGTTGGGCAGTGGGTGAAGGGAACGTGGTAATAGGCGATGTCGTTGAAGAAGTGGATCTGCTCTTTCGGCAACATGATGCCTGCGGCGATGGAGTGCACCGGTGCATCACCCCAGCGTTCGTAGAAGAAGCCGCCGTCTTGGTCGAGGCTTTCAAAGTAGTCAATGTAAGCCTTGGAACGGAGCCAGGAGAGACTGCCAATCTCGAAGTTGGACCACTACACGGGAAGTGAGTATGACGAAGCTAAGGTCAAGCTGGGGAGCTTACGAAGTGGCATTTGTTATAGGTTTCGCCGCCGTCATCGCTCAGGAAGGCCATCGAGTTTCCTGCGGCAATGTGCTCGGGATGGTTCTTCATGAACTTCTTCACGCTATCCCACAGCGTCGGAATGGTCTCGTAGTACTCGTAGAGACTAAGCACGAAGCTGTACTTCTTGTTGTTCTCGTGCATGTAGCGGAACGGGTCGTAGTGAATGTCGCAGAAGAGCTCGATGCTGGGCTCAACGCGCCAGTAGTATTCGTAGTTCATCATGAGCGGTTGGCGGAAGAAGAAGCCCGACTCGAAGCGGCACATGTGTCGGTAGCTAACGCTATCGCCGTAGATGATCTTTTTCTCCTTCATGTCCTGCCGCACCTTCTCTGCCTTGTCCTTGTCGATCCATTCCGGGAAGGACCAGTGCTCTTCGGGAATCAAGCCGTAATGGGTCTTGCCAGAGACGAGGGATGTTGTGACCTTTTTGAAGGTGTCATCAAACTCTTTGTCATTCAAGAACACCCAGTCGTAGTTGTATCGCCGGTTGAAGCGGTCCTCAACCTGCCGGATGGACTTAGCGATCTCCCACACGTCCGAGTTCCGTGCCAACGTCACAAATGTGGCGTTTATCCTCGGGCCACCCTTGACCCCCGTGAGGTCGTTCCAACCGGGGTCGTTAGGGGTCATGGCCATGGGGAACTCCGAGGCGTCGTAGTTGTTCTTGATTTTATCTTTGTTCGGCGAGTCCTTCATTTCCTCCGGACTGCTGCCATCAGTCTCCCCGCCCTTGGCTGGTTGATTGGCGTGGGCTGCGTCTCCGCCCTTCGTGCCACCACCAGGAATCTCGGTTCTTAGCGTGGCGACATCTGAGTTAGACACGAAGTAGAAAACAGCTAGCATCTAATCTCTGTCAACCAAGGCCCTGATGACTGGCGCATGTGACGGCCCGCCAAAGCGGGGACGATAGCCCAATGCACTTACAAAGAAAGCGACGAGAATGTAGCGCACGTAGCGCGCGTTACCAGTCGTCATGGCGTAGGACTTTAATCAACCTGACGATTGCTTCGCCAGGATGGACTTAGAGGCGGTTGCTGTTACCAACACGGCGATGATTGTGTTCGGTTTGAGCCTCTAGTTTGCCCCTATTGGGGGTCGGATTGGTGGCAAGCTGGTCAGAGCCAAAGCTTCCACTTGGTAGGTGGTTTCTTGGTGGCGGACGTCGCGTCCAACGAGACAAAACGTTCACTCTTCGGTCATTATCGTGCGCAAAAACCAGGCCCCCCTTAAGTTAGACGCGAGGCGTGATCGAGGGATGCGCTGAGTGAATAATGTCGTGTGTTTCGAAAGCGGGCAACCCTTGAGAGTTCAAGAAGACAGCCGCAACAACTGAACGGATTTGTCCGCTGAATGTGCAAAAGTCCCTTGCGATCCGTCGTGCTAAAACGGGGTTTCAACTTGGCATACAAGTAGATGCTTAACATATCTCGCGGCTCTAAAGTACGGGGAATCGTTAGGGGTGACCAGGGCAGCATACGTCAGCAGCAATCTCGTATCGTGGAGACTCTTGGCTTGCATTTCAACATCGCGCAGCCCTTGGAACACACTGGTCCGCAATGATAGCCCTTCTCAGTCCCTTCCACTGGTATGCGAGCTGCTGTCAAATCCTATCTGGCATTCCTCTCAACTCGAGGTTCATCAGGATGTTTGTTGAAGTCGTACCAGCTCGAACCCTCTATAACCGTTCGAAGGGTAAGGTCGCCTGTCCGGTAGTACAGGTGCCTGTCCCATATAGTTATCCCTGACCCGAACGAGCGGCGTGGGAGCATGGGGGTACATTCCCTGCCGCATTTCCGAGGCCTTGGAGCTAGGGTAGCAATCTCGCCTCCGTGTAAGGGAGAGTAACGCGATGATATTCTGAACACCCACAGTAAGACGCAGTAGGGATCTGGACAATGAAGGAGACAAGGCAAGCCAAGTTATCAAGGCATTGGGTGCAGATGCCAGCACAGAAGGCAATGGCTGCCCATAGGTCAGGACTGATCACCTGTTATTAGCCCACTGTAACCCTGTAACGCAGCTGTCCTTTCAGATAAACGTTATCTGGACCGTAGATGATAACCACTAGTATAGGGAGACTTTCATCCTGTCTTAGGGCGCACAGGCCTTCATAGCAAGGAAGTTGTGTAATTACCAGGTGCGTATTCTCACATACTAGTAGAAATCAGCCACCCTCCCGTGGTAAACTTCACATACAGTATCTAGTGAGAGTTATATACCATTGCTCGTACAGGATAACTTACTCATTAACGTTACCGGGTGTGCAGGACTGCGTAAACTTCCAGGTTCAAGTTGGCCCGGCGCGGTCGACGATAGGATCAGGTCCGTGCACATTGCCCCAAAGCTGCACATCGGTTGACTCACGCCGATTGGCCTGTCGGATACCGTAGATTTCCCACACTTGGAGGTCCACCTTCGCTTCTCCCCACAGCTGTGTTGACCTCATCCAAATCCTAACACCCAACTCCAGACTTGTGCGCGCATTCCATTATTTCCTTCTGGCGCAAGACAAACGGCTACTTCTCACTCTTTTCTGAGTGCTTCCCACTTCTCCATTCCGCGCGCAGCGCACCGCTCTGCCGTCTCCTAGTTGTTGAACTGTTGGCGGTCCACATACCTCCGTAAAGATTCATCAACAAAATCACCATGTCACTGGATCGATTCGATCAGCCTGATATATTTAATTCCGTCGCTGTAAGTGATTTCGCAACTCAATACCTTTGTTACTGGCTTGTCGTTCTTCTTGTGGCCATCCTTGATTCTTGTTTGGCATCGGGCTCTGTCCGTCATTCGCGATCTCGTGGCATCGGAACCCCGCTCTGGAAGGATATCGCGAAGCTGACCGGCCTAACAGTAACTCTCTCTCGGCGCATCCGTTACTTAATCTCCGCGGCCATGTCGTTCTTCGGCTTTGATTCGGCACGCCACAACCCGGCGGCCGCCGGCTTTTCTCAGGCCCACAATCCTTTCGCGGGGCTCTCAAATCCCGAAGACGAAGGCGATGCCCTTGAGTTCGAGCAAACCTACGATGGCCTAGGTGACCAGCTGGAGGAAACGGGCGACGCCTTCAACGATGATACCTTCGGTGACACTGCTGGCCTGCAGTCCGGACCCGTGGGCAAGGACTTTGACTTCTTTGGCCAGACTGCTAAGGTTGCAAATGTCATCGAGGAGGAGCACGTTCGGTTCAACCGGCAGCAACCCGCCACCAAGGCCTCGCAGCCCGCGACGCAGCCCGCGACACACGGAGCGTCACAGCCATCCACGTCTGGGGCGTCGCCATATGGCTATCTCCGCCAACAGGCGACCCAAAAGCCTGCGCGGACGGGCTACGAACAGTACAACAGCGAACCCGTCGCCGACCTGCAGGTCGACCCGTCTCTCTGGGGTGTTGCGCCAAAGAAGCAGGCTCAGCCGGCCGCTAGTCCCGCCCCGGCAACGGTGCAGACTTCTGTCCCGCCCAACAGGAAGGTGCTTAGCCTAGAAGAGGTCGAAGCTCAGATGCGGGCGCAGGCCAAAAAGGCCACGCAGCAAGCTACTCCGTCCCCAGCACCTCAGTCGACTGCCACTCCATCTGCGCCTCAACCGCAGGTACTGCACCAGATGCAATATGAGCAGGGCTACCACTTTCAACAGCATCAAAATCCCCAGACAGCCCTGCAGGCTGACCGTCCTCGTCATGACCAAGCTTTTGCTCCTGGGCATGGGCATCCGGTCACCATCCTGCAGAGACCGCAGTCCAAACAGGCTCCTTCACCTCAGTCTCCGGCCCAGCCGCCGACTCACATCCGCCAGCAGTCGTCGACTTCCATTCAGCCGACGCAGATCCTGCAGAATCCGAACCGTCTTTCCGGAGACACTGCGAGGCTTGGCGCGCGCCAACATGCTACACCGACGATGCCGGCCTCTATTCCGACACACCCCATGCACAGGCAGCAGGGCTCATTTTCTCGGCAGCCGCAGATTATCACTCATCCATCGCAGCTTGCACAGCTCAGTGAAGAGGAAAAGGCGGCATATTTGGAGCAGGAAGCCAAGCGGGCTAAGCGGAACCACAAGATTTTCCTCATGTCTCGCGACAATGGCCTCATGACGCCGCAGGATAAGAGCTTCATAACCCGTATTCAGCTTCAACAACTTGTTGCCGCTACTGGTAACCCTAATGACCATGGTACCGACGAGTCTCTTTCCGAGGACTTCTACTACCAGGTTCTCAGCCAAATCCAGGGCAGCCAGCGCCAGCACCCCAGCCAGCCGCTGAACAACTTCGCGCAGACCTATCTATTCCAGACCGGGGGCCGCCAGGGCGGCATGCGTCGCCACCACCGCGGCCCCGAAAACCATATGCAGCGTATGGAGCAGCAGGTCCAGCGTGCTGTTGAAGCGGCTAAGAACAAGCCGAAAAACAAACAACTGGTCATCGAAGGCAGTCTTGGAAAGATCTCATTCAGCAATGCCAAGACCCCCAAGCCGCTGCTCAATATCAAGCGCACCGAGAGCACAGGCGAAGCCCCCCGCCCGGGCAGTTCTCATAAGCATAGTTCCAATGCAGGCGACAGGAAGAGTGACTTGCGTTCCATCGAGCTCATCTACACCACGCTCATGAAAATGGAGGATCACGACCGAGTCATGCCTCCGCCTCCCACAAACGATGCCGATAGCGAGGCTATCCAGAAATACGTGACGTGGAACAGCGAGGCGCAGCTTCTCAACGGCAAGCTTTGGGAGAGCTTGCGGATCCATGACCATCCCGCAAATGGCCGTGTCCACCCATTCATCGCCCTCCTTTCGTACAGCAAGGGCATGAAGGCGATGCAGCGTATCTCGCGCCACCTTACGCACGAGCAACGCACAACGGTCCTTACCTTGATCGTTGTGAACCTTGACAGCCTGGATGTTGTCCGCAACGCCCAGGTGAATTCCGGCGCCATGCAACTGAACGCAGCGATGCGTGAGAATGTGGAGCTCTTCTCCGGTGCTGTCATGCCGACTCTCTTCAATATCCTGAACGAACTTGATTTGGATCTCGTTGCGGGCGTACTCGGCTTGGTCTGCACCCGCAATGTCGACGTTATCGCCAAGAGCAGAATCGGCGCATCCATGCTCACCATGATCCTCAGCCGTGCCGAGATAATCAAGCATGGCGGAGGTGGCAGTGAGCCAGCCTGGCGGTCCTGGTATGTGACATCGATTGTCTTAACGTTTCTTCGGATACCTGACACTCTCTAGGGACATGACTTACACGCAGTTTTTCGAGTTGATTGAGCCCACGCTCCCTCACATGTTCCCCGGACCAGTCACCGCCAGCGATGACATCTATGTCTGGCAGCTCCTAGCTGCGCTCGGGATCGGCGCCGGCCCCGACCAACAGCAGAGGCTGGTCCTTGCCGTCAAGGACCGTGTCATGGATACGGTTGCGCTGTCTAAGACCCTTCCTCAGGATCTGGCTGCTCAGCGGCTTCAGAACGTCAACCTCTTTATGCGGTCCATTGGTTTGGACGTGGAGCTACTTCAGTGAGGCATCACGGCGCTGCCGCTGAGCGGATGAAGCGGTGTTACGAAGGAGTGGAGGAGATGACTTTATGCGTTCTGGATTTTGACAAAAATTGCGGTTGATGCACCACAAGACGGGAGGTTTGAAATGGCATACCTGCTGCTGCGCCCGCCGGAAATTGATGGATCCTGGAAAGTATCTATATCGGCTCAACGGAACATCGATACCGGCCAAGGACGGATACTGAATTTTGCGTTGTTTACGCGGCGAGGACCAAGAACTGGGTGATATCAGGTACCATATTGTGTTTGTATGGATTATGTGCATAGTATATTAGTGAGTAGTAGATTTGGGACCATACCACCGGCGGAGGACATATCTCGCATCCAGGTACCCAACTATGAACACTTCGCTCAGAGATCATTCCCAAAGATCGTGCCATCTGATCAATAGCCAGGGTCCTATCGATGTCTTAGTTTTTAGACCCAATGCGGACACACGGCAGTGAGTTTGGATGACACCACACGCCTTCAATACCCGCACGCTGCCAGCTCTAATCAATCTCCATCGCACCGGCCGTGTTCGTCGCCCTCCCCTTACCTATCCTTGTGGCAGAAGAGGCGGCGGAACCCCTACCAGCGCGGCCCGGTCGCCGTGCCTCCAATTCCTCCATAGCCCTCGCCGCTGCCTCCTTCCCATTCCCTGTTCCCCTTGAACCCGCTTGTTGCCCCTCCCCACCGAGCGCAGTCCCACTCATGGCCTGCAGCAGCTCCTGCTCCGCCCATTCCGTCTTGAGCCGTGCTACCTTGTCGACCAGGTCGGCCGCACTGCTATCGTCGTTACTGGGCGCCCCGGCCTCCGTAGCAGCCAAAACCTCCTTCCCCTTGCCTTTGCCCGTGTCTCCACCGCCCACCTCCGCGTCAACGTCGTCTCCTCCTCCACCATCATCGGCTTTGTTATTGGAAGACCCGGTCCGCAGCAGCAAGCACTCGTTGTACGCCTCCCACGCCATCTCGGCCTCGTCGTGCACCCACTCCATGCGCTGCCACGTCTCCGTCTGCACGTTGCGTAGCCGGTCCGCGATCGTCTCGGTCGCCACGCCGCCGTCCGCGTCCATGGCCGACTTGATGGTCATGTGGATGGCGCGGCCCGCCGAGCCGGCCGCTTTTTCAGCGGTGGCCCCCGAGGCCGCGGAGCCGCTGCCCCCGCGGCTCAGGCGGTCCTGTTCGGTCGCTGCGTCGAGGTGGTGCGGTACCGGGCGGAGGTGCACGACCGAGGAGACTGGGGTCAGGTGTAGGTTTTCTTGGGCAAAAGCAAGGAGGTTAGTGGTTGGTGTTTGGGCTTGAGGAGGGGAAGGGTTATTATATGTGGCTGCTTACTCCCTTGAAAAACGCCGATCATGTGCCGGGTATTTGCCTCCTGTGCGCTGCGGGCGCCGCCGAAGGTCTGGGTCCTCAGGACTTTGTCCTGTCTTGCTGCCTCGGCCCAGCCAAGGGGCAGCTCGTCGTCATCGTTGCCGCCGCCGCCGCCTCTACGGCCCCTCCCTGCTGTGGTGGGCGTCGGAACGATGTTGAATCCGCCTGCCAAGCCCAGACTGCCGCCCTTTTTCGCCTCCATAGACTTCTGTAGCGCTATCCCCCATGCTATGCCCTTGTTCCTGTCGTATGCATCGGCCGTGTCGATCGGCACGTCCACCTCGTACATGCCCGTGCTCGGCTTGACGCGCAGCTCGGCAATGCGAGGAACGCGGATCTGGGCCGGGTCTTGTGATGTTTTGGTGACGTGCTCGAAGACGACGAGTTTACGGTGCTCGGGCAGGGGCGGCTTGATGAAGACAGAGTAGCTTGCGACAACGGGGTCGTCTTCGTCGGTAGGAACTGCGAGAGGCCGGTCTGTGGACGACATTTCGCTGGCTGTCTGGTTTGGCTGCGAATACGGGTGCGATACCAACGGATTGGTTCACTGGCCTAAGGAATTAGTCCAGTCGCGTCAGGTTGATGCAGGTGAAGAGTTCGGCTCTGATGGTGGTTACGGCTTGTGACTGCCCCGCGACAACTTGGAAATTTCAGTGGGGCAGCGGCAGCAATGGACGCTAAGCCCCATACGGCCTTAACTACTGTACATAGCTAAGCTCCGCAGGCTCCGCCTCACAGAGCTAAATCTCAACCAAAAAGGAAAACTCTCCAGACGAGAAAAAGAATATTCATATGAGGAGATCCAGGTTCGAACTGGAGACCTTCAGTGTGTTAGACTGACGTGATAACCAACTACACCATCCCCCCTTATAAGGATTAGGGAGTATGCGGCGCCGGGCACGTACAAGCAAGGTGTTGCTACGGGTCCGAATGAGGCCCAATGCCGACCAGAAAGGCCACATCATCCATGATGGGAGAAGTTCTCAGGAGAGGGAGGGCCGTGGTAGTATCGCCATGCTGCCCCAGCGTCTCGGTTTGCTCGAGCGTGCGCAGAGTATACAGGTGGCCAAGAGTCTGAAGACGTGGATGGTACGGATGGAGATGGCGTGCCGAGTCGAGGTGGCCCGTCTAGATCCGTACGCTTTCCCACTCGAGTCAGTCAACTGAAATGCCAAACCGGACCTGTTTGCCCGCTGAACGAAGAGCGTTTTGTGATCTCTCAGCCTGGGCAAGGCCATTCCCCGGCTCCCAATACGAACGTGAAGGCGAGGCCGGCAATTTCGTACGAAGTGGGATCTACCAAAAGGCGAAATAATCCCCCGGTCGATGCTGCCTCACAGGCCTGTCGGGACTCTGACGAAGTGGCCTGGCTTGCGATCTGAGATGAGTTGAAGCTTAGTATTTGTCAACACTGCTTTTTGGCTGCAGCTCGAGGTCGGTTTCCTGCCGTCGCTAGTTATACCGCATACGTATAACGAGGCAAGAGGCATTTCTGGGACAATGAGTGGTCTAAAACGCCCGGCGCAGGATCGCGGGGCCCCATGCAGCCATGCCATTGTTCGGCAATCTCACCTTTGCCGAGTCTGGGCAAGAGATGCTCGAGTCAAAAAGCATGATTGGACGAGTCCTCGGTCCCGAATCTCTGGAGTCGAGGCGGGGAGAGGCGGCTCCCCTCGACCGCATCTGATCAATGCCCAAAAGGGAAACCATCAGACCACTCGGGGTCGCTCGGGCTGAGCCATTCCCATGTCTTCCGAATGTTCACATGCCGTGATGACTTGACCAGGCTGTTGGAGCCCGGGATGCAGCACCCGATTCCCCCGGCATGGCTCCAGAGTCCAGACAACACGGGTTGCACCGTTGCACCAACTACGAGACCATGGACTCCCTGTCTAGCCACTCTCTCACGCGCGGAGCCAGTTCCGGTGGGCGCCTTCACCTCCCTTCTACTCCCTTCTGCACGCAGGCAAGCCATCCTTGACAAGCATCGGCCCAGATTCTACCCTCTCCAATACTTTGAGATGCCAACCGCACCACTGGTCCTATCCGTCCCTCCTTCCAAGCTCTGCGCTCTCACGCCTGCCCCCTAGCGTCTGATCATCAGTGATTCGCCCAGTAGCAAAGCGAAGGGCGGTTCAGACCCGACGACACCACCACCGATGCCACATCAGCTCTCATGAGCTCACCAACGCCCGACGGGACCGGAGGATCTGGAGTTATCGGGCCTCCCACGCCCGACCAGGACCATGGAGATCAAGGCCCCAACATGATAGCGGCCGCTTTCACAGCATGGACCATTTCTCTTGTCTTTGTTCTGCTGAGGTTTTGGACGCGCGCCAGAATCGTTCACAGCCTTGGTCCGACGGATTGGTTTATTGCTTTGGCGCTTGTATGATCACCCGCCGCCTCCAGATACCCGGGAACCCCTTCTTGACAATGGATATCACAGATCGCTTCAGGAGGGATGTGCGTCAGCGCAGTAGAACGTCAGTCCTGCAGATTCGGTGGCAGACCCAACTTGGAAAGCTCACATGACGACAGAATGTAAACATGGTATGGGCAAGCACATGTATGACATTGACATGCACGTCGACTACGCCCCCATGATGGAGGTATGTCCCTTTTCTCAGAAGCCCCTGGCGAACGTGGCAGGACCACATAGCTTACCACAGCAAGGGCAGGCATGGTGGTTTACGCTGCTCTGCTACATCCTCGCCCTAGCACTCACCAAAGTCTCCGTCTGCCTGCTCTACCTCACCATTTTCACCTTCGAGTGGGCACGGAGAGCCTGCTACGCCATTCTTGTGATCGTCGTCACGGCCAACATCTGGGCGACCGCGACCACCTTTACCTATTGCATCCCGTTAGAGGCGGCCTGGAACCCGAACGTTGTGGCTTCGTTCTGCCAACCTCAGGCCGCATGGTGGGTCAATACCGGGTATGTTTTCATGTTGTGATGGTCCCTGGGCGCAACCGCGTCATAGGTACCAACGCTCCCTTTCTAACCTACCATCAGGCTCACACTCGCAACCGACATCATAATCGTCATCCTCCCCATCCCCATCGTCCTCCCGCTCAAACTCCCCCGCCGCCAAAAGCTCATCGTAGTCGGCATCTTCGCAGTCGGTTTTCTGTAAGTTCCGCCTACGCCCCTCCCCCGCGCTGCTTCTGCTTTCCCATTCTATCCTCCCAGCCCACCCACTCACTAACCTCCTCCTGTCTTCTTCTTCTTTTCTAGCGTCTGCCTCGTCTCCCTCATCCGCCTCGCCATCCTCCTCCAGTTCAAGTCGGACGAGTCCTCCTCCGCTCCGGATGCCTTCGACTTCACCTACCACAGCGCCAAGCTGTTCTACTGCACCACGCTCGAGGTCAACACGGCCATCGTCGTCGCCTGCGCCATGACCCTCAAGCCGCTGCTCGCCCGCTTCCTGCCCAGACTCCTGCATCATCATCATCAGTCAGCCAAGCCTGGCGAAGAAGATCCAAGCGCCGTCAGCAGCGGCGGGCCGCCGTTGACGATCGGGTCGCGGCCGTCGAGGCAAAAGCAGCAGGCTCAGTCTCAGGGTTATCACCGTCCGCAAGCGGTTGTGGTCGTGGTGGAGGAGGAGTTGGTGGGTGAGGGTGAGGGTGAGGTGGTGCTGAGGGATCTTGAAGCGGGTATTATGGTCGGCGGTGCTGATGATGATGGTGGTGGCGAAGCGGGGCGAGGGATGACAGTACTACACAACGAGGGGACTGCTGGGTCTGTGCCGTCCCTCGAGGAGAGTAGTAGTGGGAAGCAGGAGGGGGTGGAGGTGGTGCACAAGCCGTGGATGACGAGCAGCGATACGGAGTCGCATGAGGACTTGGGGAGGGAGATGACTGCGAGGTCGATAGGGTGAGGCCTCTGGTATCGTTCTTAGTTTTGTTTTGGTGCAGATTGGTACTGTTATACCCCTGGCGTTGGCACGGGGAACATTGGCTGGTGATATGGGATGGGGATGGTTTAAGGGTGTATCTGTGGGATTGGCTTTAGGGAACAAAATGGTGTTGGGGTGTTATGCATCGGATTCAATAAGATACACGAGATGTTCCAGTCCAGCCAGGGTAACAGGATGGCTGCATCGGTATGGGCGGCTTTGGAAAGCAAGGCAAAAGGGACGGAGTTATGGATCCGGTATCAATGTGCCGACTCACTTCATGTACACTGGGATAGGCCCATCCATGTACGAGTACGGCGCCGACGAGGACGCATAAACTACCTAGGTATGTGTAGGTCAAATAACAGTGTATGAGGAGACAACACAGCGGAGGGGCTGCAAGATTTGATCCCATAATAGCGTAAAAAGGCTGGGCATGGGCCGGTTGACCTAGTCTGTAGCTTGATCTCCCTACGCAGATTGAGGTACCCCCAAAAGTCCGTACCTATTAACGAGGTGGGAGTTTCTGTAGGGGGTGGCTTCTGTACGTTCATGTGATTTTGCCTTGCCGTATGGATTATCTGGGCACTTGAGAGGGGGATTCAGAAGAGCCTACAGATATCTCCATCACACCTCCTATTTCCCTTGGACCTTTCTGTGTGCTCCTTCATCCCTCATGGGTTTTCTTTCGGGCTTTTCTGCTACTGAAACATGGAGCTAGGCTCTTATACCGGCCTACGCTCTTCAACTGGAAATTCCAGCTTGACGAGAAGGGTAAGCCTCTGCAGACTTTCGCATGCCGTCTGGCCCTTTCCGAATGCTGAGTCCGGGACTCGGATACCACGATCAAGACCTGGCTTCCGTCTTTCTTGCCCCTTCACTCCGAAGGAAGGAAGGTGCGCCACGCAGACTCTCGCATTCCTAAGTGACGTCTAATCAGACCTATCCTCAAGTCCTTTTGTCTCTGAGACTACGATACCTAACGTTCCGGATGTCAGACCCGCCACAGCAATCTACACTCCTCTACCAATACACTTAGGCTTTGCTTTTATGACCTATCTTACCCTGGGCTGCAAGAGACCAGTTCGCCTAACATCAGCTTTCACGATATCTTCTACCAGCCATAATGCATTGGTCACGCGTGATTCGGCAGACGATCATCAGACCTGCCAGAGGAATTAGGCACGCTCTTTGTTGTCTCAGATCGCCATCGCCAGCTGAGCCGGAAGCGCCTGCACAGGCCGAGAATCCGGAGCATGGCGCCGCTCCCGGGCCTGTTGGTGGAGCTGCGGCTCCCCCGTGGGCCGGGATAGGAGGAGAGTCGGATCGTCGAGACGACTCGGGTTCACCTCTTTCAATCGTTTCAAACTATTTCGGGCCCGGTGGGGCTGCGCAGCCTCCCCCGAAAGTCGAGTTGACACAGTCGGAACGGGATGATGTCTCACGGGCAGTGCTAGACATTGAGCAGGAAGCCTTCTCTGAACCTCAGCCTGCAGCGGGAGATCCAATTACTCATGCGCAAGGCCGTTCCCCTGACCCGGATCTCCCGCCGCTCCGCGGTGCTCCCCCTAACCGCCCGCTCCCGACGCCCCCGGCGCTCCTCGGTCCCCGTTCGGTCCAGTTGCTTCCACCACGCGCCAGTTTCGCCACGGCAGCGGGGTCCTCGTCATCCAGCCAGCGGCAGCAATCGTCTACGCAATCGCCGAGTCCGTCTGCCGGGCTCCAAGCTCCGTCGTCGTCGACCTCGGTCGACCTGCTGAACGCGGGATTGCCCGGGAATCCCTTGAGCTACGCGCTGCGCAACTATTACGCGGGCAATACCCGACCTGAGGTAATAACGACACAAGAGCTCGAAGAGTCACTGCCGCCCGCTGAGGAGCCGAGCCCGCAGTCCCCGGTTCGGGAAGTTGTTGCCGCTGCTGCTTCGTCGCCGTCCGAAGGGCTTCCAATTCCCAACCCGAATCCCTCCCACCCCCGAGCAGCCCGGACGGTCTCGTCGGATGAGAGCGGATATGCGGGATCAGGTGAGGGCGGATACGAGGGGTAAGGCGAGGGCGGAAGCTAATAAGGTAACTGAAGAGAGCTTCTGGTGTGGAGCAGTCAAGAGGCTTTGTTGAGGGAGAGGGGGATAAAGACGGTATTTACGGGGCCGGCGCACCCAGAGAAGGAAAGGCAGGATATTCGATGCCTCGATGCATCATGACTTGACAGGATGGCCTCGGGTCCTTAAGCTGTGTTTTTGGACATCTTTACGGTACTCGAGATCACGACAAGCGGGGATTAGCGGAAAATAGCAGCGTGAACAGTGCCGAATGCTACATGTTGAGTTTAATCTCTATCACGACGCCTGCTTCTTCATGCTTCGCTTTCAATTTGCACCCATGCATGCCCTTATGAAGTTGATCGTCTAACCACTATCGGGGAAGACCCCGATTTGCTCCTGAGCCCACGTCTATCGCAGACAGCCGGTGCAATCCGCTCCGTCTGCATCGATAGCTTCTGTTAAGTTTCCTTTCCTTTCCCTTGACGATACACACATCCCAGAATCTCCACAAACCTGCTCTTACCAACCCCGCCCGGCCATCCTCTCCTCGGGCTTCATGCCGGCATTGCTGATGCCCTTCATAGCCGTGCCGTGCTCGATGCTCGCCTCGATGAGCGCCGCGCCGTCCGTGTAGTAAGCGGTGGCCTTGACGATGGCGCGCGCCCGCTTCGCCGCCTCCTCCGGGGTGGCGTCCTTGAAGATGCCGCTGCCGACGAACACGCCGTCGCAGCCCAGCTGCATCATGAGCGCCGCGTCGGCCGGCGTGGCCACGCCGCCGGCCGCGAAGTTGACCACGGGCAGCCGCCCCAGCTCGGCCGTCTGCTTGAGCAGGTCGGCGTCGCACCCGATCTCGCGGGCGAGCGCACGGACGGCCAGGTCGTCCCCCGCGGAGAGCGCGGACTTCGCGCGCGCGATCTCGGCGTTGACGGTGCGGATGTGCTTGACGGCCTCAACGATGTCGCCGGTCCCGGCCTCGCCCTTGGTGCGGATCATAGCCGCGCCCTCCTTAATGCGGCGCAGCGCCTCGCCCAGGTTGCGGCAGCCGCACACGAAGGGGATCTTGAAGCGCGTCTTCTCGACATGGAACTGGTCGTCGGCCGGGGTGAGCACCTCGCTCTCGTCGATGAAGTCGATCCCCATCGCCTCGAGGATCTGGCACTCGACGATGTGCCCGATGCGGGCCTTGGCCATGACGGGGATCGACACGGCCTCTTGGATCTCCTTGATCATCTTGGGGTTGGACATGCGCGCCACGCCGCCCATCTTGCGGATATCGGACGGGATGCGCTCCAGCGCCATGACCGCCACCGCACCGGCTTCTTCGGCAATCCGTGCTTCCGCCGCGGTCGTGACGTCCATGATGACGCCACCCTTGAGCATCTGCGCCAGGCCGGCCTTGACTGCGAAGTCATTGCCCCACTTGGTCTGAGAATCATTGATGGCTGACATTTTGTGTATGTGGACAGCGTTGACGTGGGAAGGAGTGAGTTGGACGTCGAAAATTGTGATTTCTGGTCGATGAACCGGCTTCCCGTTGATCCAGGTAATGGAAATGAAGACGATATATGTACTGAATGGACCAATTGCCTTCCTCACCACTTCGAAAGGAATTTTCAGGGACGCCCTTAAAAGTCAAGACTGTTGTGAGTCAGTTTGAGTTGATGACCCCGAGTCCTCTATCAGAAAGGGGATGATACTGAGCACAGTGTGTAACACAACTGCCGCATCTGGAGCCCCTGTCAAAATTGTCCAACGCCCCCGCCTCCGGACCGGAGCTTGTCCCGGCGGGGCACTTGCCAAGGTCGCTCAGTCGCAGCACGCGTGGACGAGTGTCGAATCACGCGCCATAAGGGCAGAGTCCGTGTTCGCGCGATGAAGCGGTGGATTGCCTCTTCTTATGGAAAGCCATTTTCGTCGTATAATAAACATGTGTGGTGTATGTTTGGTTAGCAGGAGCACAACCAGCTCCTCAGAGCCCCGACCCCGCGGAGTTTGACAACGGTGTGGGGATCGATTCTCGAATCTCGGTGGGGCGATCTGAGCGACAGTCCCAACTTTATTTTTGACTGCCGCGGGCGGCGGCGAACTGTACGGTCCACGTACAGTGTGTAGCAGACTGTATGCGTATCGTCTGAAATCGCCTGCCTTTCCGGGTGTGCCGATGTCGTCGCGGTCCCAATGAGTGGCGAGGCATTTTCGTCATTTATTAAGGCCGCCCATAACCGGCAGATTCCGAGCGCCCTTCCCTTGACCCTGAAACCCCCGACTGGAACCAAAAGAGGCGTTGTGTGACTCGAACACTGCAGGTTGACAAGAGCGTTAAGCGAGAAGTAATCTTCCAAGGTTACTACTGAATTGGAAGGGATTGCGAGCGAACTCACAACCTTACTCACAACCTTTTTTTCCAGAGGACTGGGTGAACTTGAATCGCCAGACTCCCGTCGGTCAATTGTTGATCACTGATCACAAATACTATATCACCAACACATCTCGGCTCAAGAGTTTCACAACTTCAGTTCCCCCAAACCCGCCAGAACAAAAACAAACAAAAAGCCAAATAAATGGCGAAGCACATCACCGTCGGCGTCCTCGCCCTCCAAGGCGGCGTCGTCGAGCACATCAACCTGCTGCGCAAAGCCGCCACGCACATAATCTCTTCTTCCCCACCAAACTCTGAGCCTCAACCAGAAGATCCTCAACCAGAAGATCCTCAACCAGAAGATCTTCTACAATTCACTTTTCCCGAAGTCCGCACCGCGGCACAACTGGCCCAGTGCGACGCGCTGATCATTCCCGGCGGCGAGTCGACGACGATGGCCATCGTGGCGCGGCGCCTGGGCCTGCTCGACCCGCTGCGCGAGTTCGTCAAGGTCCGGCACAAGCCCGTCTGGGGCACCTGCGCGGGGCTGGTGATGCTGGCCGAGGAGGTGTCGTCCACGAAGCAGGGCGGCCAGGAGCTGGTCGGCGGCCTGGACGTGCGCGTGCGGCGGAACAAGTTCGGCACGCAGCTGCAGAGCTTCGTCGCCGGGCTGGAGCTTGATTTTCTGGAGGAGAGGAGGGAGGAGGAGGAGGAGCAGGCGATGGGGGAGGAGGAGGAGGAGAAGAAGAAGAAGGTGGAGCCTTTCAAGGGTGTGTTTATTCGTGCGCCTGTCGTGGAGGAGGTTAATGTCACTGCGAAACGGAAGGGAGGTGAAGAAATGGGGACGGCGCTGCCTGTTGAGGTGTTGGGCGTGTACCAGCAGGGCCAAGGGAAGGAGGGCAGCAAGGATGTTGTTGCTGTGAGGCAGGGTAACGTCTTTGGGACGAGTTTCCACCCTGAGCTGACCGATGATGCGCGGATACATGTCTGGTGGTTGAGGCAGGTTATGGACACGCTCAGACATGGGAGTTTGGTGGTCAATGGTGCTTGATGGATGTGGTTAGCGGGTGCTGTACCACCCGTATCAGCCATGTTCGTGGCCACGGCTTAGTTAGTTTGGCCTAGTGCCCTACTAGTCGTAGGCCCAAGGCCTTCCCCAAGGACTTTTTCTTTCTTCCGCAGCAGACTGTATCGCAACATCCATGTTTTCCTATTACTTCCGACAGAGGTTTTTACCCGGCCTATACGGTACGGTTTTTCCTTTGTACATAGCAGTAGAGGGTCCGGCGCGCCTTGTATTTAGCTAGGCATATCGGAGTAGGAGGAACAATAATAATAATAGATGGTGCAGTGCTATAGAGGTTGGAGATAGATAAACTCTGTTTATAGTATAGATGGCTGCTCATAATAACTTCAACATCATGCCACATGCGTACGACATACTCTGACCCTGCTTCTTGTTGTTCATCCTTTTTCTTATCCAAAGCTTCTTGACGTGAACTGCCTGGAATCAGACATAAGACCCGTTGCCGCAGAAGGGAAGGAGAGACGTACCCGCTTTTACAGTTAAACACCGCCATCCTCATCTCCATCCTCCACATCGTCGTCTGCACCAGACATGGGACTTCCAGGAGTCACTTCTCGCGACGAGTCACTCTCGCCCCAGGTCGAGGAGACATCGGGCGGAGCACGCCTAGTTGAAGCGGCATCAAGACTAACATGACTCAACATCGAAGCCACATCATCCACCGCCCGGACCGTGCTCCCGGGCAGCGGGTTCGTCGGCGTGTCCCACGAGTCGTGCCTGCGGCGGGGATACGAGTGCTGCTCGATCGCCCGCCCGGCCTCACGGCGCACGTCCTTGATCAGGTCCTCTACGATCTCCAGCCGCTGCCGCTCCGCCTCCTCGCCGTCCGCCTTGCTCACGTCCGGCGCCCGCCAGTTGGGGTACAGGTTGTAGTGCGTCTCGCGGCAGCGCACGAGCGACGGATGGTGCCGGAAGTAGAAGTGGCACAGCAGGCAGGTCGGCTTGCTACTGCCGATGTAGCGGCCGAACTCGGCCTCGTTGAAGAAGCGGATCGGGTCCTCACCCTCGCGCTCGGCCAGTTCCTGGCCGCGCAGCACCGAGTCGAGGAGGTTGACTTCGGCGTGGACGATGGGCCGGAAGCGGGCGGGGCTGACCCGGTCCTTGATGCGATCGTCGAGCCCGAGGGCCTGGAGGCTCTTGGCGTGGCGCTGATAGGCCTCGATGGTGGACTTGTTGCGGCCCATGCGGTTGAGGATGCCGCGTGCGTTGCGCCGGATGTCGGGAGGCTGGCCCAGGGGTTGACTGGATGGGATGTACGTCACTTCGAAGTCGACAAAAATCCGGGGCCACAGCTTGCGGGCGGAGATGAGCACTTTGATGGCGATGTAGTAGGAGAGCAGGCGGCCGACGGCGTGGCGGACGTCGTCCCAGGGGCTGTCACCGATTCTGTTGTCGCCGCGCGTCTTCTTTTTCATATACTCCCCGAGGCTGAATTCGTAGTGAGCGTGAATGGCCTTGAGGAGCTTCTCTGCGTGACTGGAAACTGTAAGGCGTAACGTGAGCAGTGGTCCTCCAAGCACCTCGGGCCAACTTACATGCGTCATTGCTGCCGCGTGGGGCCCTTCTTGCAGCTTGAATGTGCGGCAGCAGGCTCCGGAGAGCATTGGCAGCCGCTTCCCCTGAAACATGGCAGACAGCATTCTGTCAGCGACAACTTGAAGTGAGTGACAAGTGGCCATGAGCCGCGGTATCTTACCCTCCACCGCCTCATCACTTGCGGCGGACTCGATGCAGAAAGTGAGGTTATCTCGTTCGCGGTTCGGTTTCACATCACACAATGCATCAATGTAGTCCTCGATTCTAAAACGATTGAAAGCCAGGACCTTCCGCAAGACGTCAGAGAGAAGATGAGCTGTGAAGGATCTATCATTCATCTCCTCATCGCTGGCACGGCCGAACACATCGATTATGTCTGTCAGGTATTCCCTGACCGTGTCCAGCTCGCGGCGGTCTCGCTGGTTGGAGGCCAAGCGGTACTCGATGGTGCCCGAGTCGAGGATCACGACGGCGCTGACGGTTTTGCCAAGAGGCTGCTTTGGCTCACTGTCGCAGATTTGGCTCAGTTTGTTTAGGAAGCAGTAGTATGTTTGCTTCGGAGATTTCCCCGTGTCTGACTCCAGGTCTGGTTCTGAGGTCCTGTTGTCTTTAACGTAGACGGACCGCAGCGAGTCCAACAAGACAACGGGCTCGAAGAACCGCTTGCGGGTGCTGGGTGGGAGCTCGACGTACTCCGACATGGTAGGCTTAAAACTATCGTATGAAGAAAATGGCGGTGCAGTTGCTATCGCTGTCTCGAGATTTCTTAGTTCTCTCCTGCCAAGTCATCATTAAATAGTCAAAAATCGTCGACTCGGCCGACAAGGCGGACAAGGCGGAAATAGGTCTCTGCGATCGTCCATGGTATGCCTCCTCATGATGGTGATACCGCGATCCTCGATGAAGCAACCACTCTCCCAAGGTATGCCGGGTTACACAGACAGTTACTCCAGAGTCCAATGCTCCTGTCGGGGCCATACATGCATGATAGGAGAACGAGCCACTTAGGACCCCCGCGCGAGAGTCCGACAAGGCAAACACCGCCAAGGTAAACCTCTAAACATTTTTCAGCTTGTTCCAGCGGTTTTGGACGAGATGTGTGCCCCGCGGACTGCCTTTCCTTCCCGCACTGCCTTGTTGAGCACTGAGGGTGAATGAGGAGAAAATGTCCTGCCAATTGGACCCCCTGTCGTCGGCCGAGCTGCATAACGTTAGCTGCAGTCGGCCTCAAAAATGGCGGGCCTCAAAAGCGGGCCTTTTTACGGGGTCGTTCCGTTTGGCCTGGCGCTCCGGATTTCTGCCTCGAGGGGTCGTTGATGGCGTTTGCAGGTTGACGTTAGGTGCCGAGTATGCCTCGACGAACCACACCAGCGAGAATGGGTATGCCTCTTGAATGCCTCCGCTTGTACCCCTGCCCTCAGAACACTGACGTGACCGAAATAGTCTAGGGTATTTGACTGCCAATTTTGCCGCGGTGGCTAGTGCTTGCGTCCTCCCTGGACCCTTCGCTCCACCAGCACTGTCGTGGATGCTCGATTCTCTGTCACGGTCTGGTCTTGTCAGCATCCACCACCGCGGCACAACACGATCTTCGCATCGCTTAAGTGGAGACAATCACTTAATCATCTGGAACAGCACTATACTGGCTCCCCGGTTGTCTCCCAGCTCGGCCCGTCAGATGCCCGGATTCGTGCCACGGCCCAGGCGCGTGTAAGTCGGCTCCGATCGTTACTGCACGTCCTTCCTGAACGGGGAAGCTAACGGAGGCCGCTGGAGACATGCTGTGGATGGAGAGGACAAGCTCCAGGAGGATGGCGAGTTCGAGGGCCTCGAACTTGGCATGGGGTTTGGGCTGGAGATGGATCTCGCCCCGTGGCCCTTGACTGGATTCACTGGATTCACTGGATTCACTGGATCCGGACAACCAGGCATGGAACTGGAATTTCATGCAGCTCAAGCGCATGTCATCAACGGGTTGCCGGAGCTTGTAGCCTCTGCTGAGGTGCCTTCCTCCGGATGGGCCTGCTCAAACGGTGGTTTTTCCACCGTTTCTCCAGAACTCGGCCCGGGATTCTGCGGCGAAAGAGAAGGCGGGATCTACGGTGCAGGGCCGACTCCTTTCTCTGCCGATTTCAGCCCTTACTTTGATGGCAGTGCCTGTAATCCCGCAGGAACTTTCGACTTTGGTGCTCCCATGTCTCTTGCGGCTCTCTCCGGAGTTAGCCGCGTCTCGGACGAGTAGTGTTCCGAAAGCATGGGTAGCATCATGGCGGACAGTTCTTCGCAGGATTCCAATGATTACGCTTACTGTCAGCTCCAACCCGGTCCTTCTTTCGTTGACAGTACTTCCAATTTTGCACTTGAGCCACTACAAACCGGTGGCGTTGGCACCACCGCATATCTCGATGGTTCTCCCGTTATACCGCTCGCTTCGGATTTCAACACCCCGGAAACTTCGTCCCCGAGGCCAGGCGGTTGCTACAACACTCATTTCGCCCCTGAGACACACTCGCCCACCCCTTATTCCCAGGCCTCCGTCCAAGACAGCCATTCCCCGTCGTCAACCTCCTGCTCCTCCCCGGAAGCCTCTTCCTCTCCTGGCCGCCTCAAGGAATACAGATGCACATTTCCTAACTGCAAGAGCAAAAGGAAGGTCTTTAAACTGCCATCGAAACTCCGGTAAGCCAACGACAACACCATCGGATCTTGCCCATTTAGTCCCCTTCTAAGTTTCCTCAACCTCCCCATGAAACGATTCACTACAACAGACCAACCAGACCACCAGACAGGCTGACTGACAAACCCTTCCATAACCACACACAGGAAGCACATGAACAACCACACCCGTCCCCACAAGTGCGAGTACTGCAAAGACTACAAGGGCGGCGCCGAGCACAAGGACCTCGCCCGGCACGTGCACACGTGCCACCCGGAGATGGTTCCCCGCGGCGACCGGACATACTCCAAGGAGTTCGTGTCCTGCCCTCGGTGCGATGTCAAGAACATGCGGGCGGACAACCTCAAGCGGCATCTGAAGACTTGCGGTGGGAGGGGGACAGGGACAGGGACAGGGACAGGTAGCTCTGTTGTTTCGACGGTTGGGTTGCTGCTTGGATAGGAACAGGAGACACTGGACACCTGGACAGAGACTGTCTGTTGTTTGTGTCTCGGAATTGACCCGAAAGACGGTGAACTATGCTTGAAGAAGATTACGCGCGATGTATTACATCCTTGTGATGTGATGTGGCTGGCTTTGGAAGGGGAGGGCAGGGGAATGGGGGATGAACCTACCTCACCTTGGTCCCGGGGGAATTGGGTATTGGTTCTGTGCAGTGTCTCTTTCTACTCTCTATTTTGGTTCTGCTGTTTTGCACTTGCTCTGGTGATTTTGGAAGTTGCCCGTTCATTCTTTTACATGTGAGGTGGACTCTGTCTCCTAGGAGCCATGTAGGCCCCGATCACTTTTCAGATGTTGTGGAGACCAGTAAGTCTCACATCTCAGGCGCCTGCTAACTCATATAGGTGATGTCCTCGCTCTAGGACTTCCACATTGATCCACTGTCGATTTAACCATTGCCTGGGTGCTTAGTCTCGTTAACACGTCAGTATGTTTTCCTAGCAAGGCTCGGCACTAACACGCGTACTAGGTAAGATGTCCATTACCACTGGCCGCCGCTATTCTCGTGGGCAATCACCTTCGACAAGAGATAAAACGAATGCCGGTCTGATAGTACGATTGTGTCTCGAAATCTCTCTTTCTCCTACCGACCTCAGGTGACTCTAGCCTGACCCATTCCCTTTTGGCAGAAACTAAAAAAGCAAGACTAATGATTACATGACGCGCTACCCTTCCACAAAAGCATACCCGGGCCCCTGCTTATCTACCCGTACACTTTCTCTGTACCCAGTACACTTCGCCCCCAAACTCAACGATTGACAAGTCAATGTCAGAGGAACTGAATACTCGGTAGGTCGCGAGACACGCTTCTTCCTCGTCCGTCTCCCCTGCATTGCCGTCCACTATGGGTACAGTCGAACTAAAATCAAACGTCACGTTGTCTCTTCATAGCCCTGCTAGAGCGATGTCTCATCGCCGTCATCGTCCGACTCCAGATCCGGGTCCGCGACCTGCATGTCCGCCGGCAAGGCGGGCAGCCTCTCGACCTGCGCCGGCGGAGGAGGCGGCGGCAGGTGCGAGGCCGGGATGAGCGTGTAGGGCGCGTTGCTCGGCAGGCCCTGCGCCGCGGCGGCTGCAGCGGCCTTGCGCTCCTCTTCGCGCTTGATCTTGGCCAGCATGTTGCGCACGTCGCTCTTCTTGACGTACTGGTATTTGTCGCCAAAAGAGATGCGGATGCCGATGGTCAGCTGGCGCAGGTTGCACTGGGCCTCGCGGTGCATGATCATGATCCAGCGCTTGCCGTCCTCCTCGATCTTGCGGAACTGCGAGGGCGCGTTGGCCCCGGGGCCGCCCGTGAAGGGCTCGTGGTTGTGCTCGGCGCACTGCACGATGACGTGCCACTTGTCGTTGTACGGCCACGCCTTCTCCTGGATCGCCTTCATGCGCATCGGGCAGCCCGTCTTGGCCGAGCGCGTGTTGCGGAGTCCCTTGCTGTGCGACGCGTAGCTCTTACCGCCTTTCGCACAGCACATGTTATAGCGGCGATACTGGCCCTCGGCGTCGCGATTCAGCGAGGACACAATCACTATGGCGTAGCCCTGCGATTTGGCGAAAGCCTTGACGTCCTCCCTCAGGTCGTCCCATGTGTTGTACAAACGGTCCTGGGGCGGCGGCAGCAGTGCCATCTGGAAGTTGGGACGCTGTTGCTGCTGAGCCTGCTGAGCCTGCTGAGCCTGCTGCTGCTGCTGTTGGTATTGCTGCTGGGCCTGCTGCGCTTGCTGCTGCATTGGCTGCATTGGCTGTTGCGGTGGTGTCGGTTGAAACTGTGCTTGCACATGGTGGGCCTGTTGCTGCTGCGGCGGTGGCGGTGGAATTTGATAGTTGTACTGCATTGACTGCAATGACATGTGAGACTGTCCCTGCTGCGCCATCTTTATTTTCCTTTTCGTTGACTTCTAGAAATCGCTTTTGATGCTGCTGGTGCCGATCGGCGTGTAAGTCGATGAGTGCAAGAGGGCAGGTGAAAAGTGAAGTTGGTTATTTTGGTGCGGGAGTTGGCGCGTTGTGCACGTGGCGTTTTGCTATCGAGACTGACCGTTCGTGATAAACGGCGTCTCACCAGCTGTTGTCAGCTGCTGCATTCTAAGCCTGCTTTTTAATGGCCAGTAAAAAGTGGTCCCCCATCAACAATCGCCTCACCACCGTCTCAACGAAGCTTGATGACGCGAGGCCGAGTAATTACTACTAGTAGTAGTAACTGTTCATCTTCAACTTTGCTACCGTGGAATTGTGCGTCCCGGTTGTGCTATGTCGCATCGGCCTACATCCTGTATGGCAATCACCCCTTGTGTATAGTTCAAGGGCATTCCCATTGCCCCAGACATTGAATTTGAACCATGGTCCATCCCATCGTCGAGTTCACGCTTTCAGGGAAATCCACACTCCACAGTTCCACACATTCAGAAGTCACAATTCGGCATGCCAAATGCTGCAGACGTGCTCCATGGTGGGCAAGAAAAGGCGACTTAAGCTCACCAGTGGCTGAACCATGGGAGACGTATGCTGCGCTCAGTTGTCTTTTGCACTATCTCAGGGGAGTAATTTCACACCACTGAAGCGCGTGTGCAGCTCGAGGGTGTCAAGGAGGAGGCTAAGATACCTGGGGTTGAGGTGTGTGCCGGCAACGAAAGCGGAATGGGTTGTCCCTTCCATGGGATCTATGGAGAAACATTGCGGGAAGTGACTGTCGGGTCGTGTCTGCGTAGAGATTGGGTGCGCTGTCTATCGACCTATACTGAGAACTCCCAGAATCTGTCATTGCTTGATCTTAACGCAACGAAGCAGAGTGATAGACCCCAGGAGTGCGGGCAGAGGAAACAAGAGTGATGCTGGCATTCGTGTTGTGGCAAAGGGGCCATCTCTATAATAAACGGATAGAGGGAACCGCCCAGGGCATTTGCTTCTTGGGAAATCCATTGAATGGTAGAGTCGCAATGGTATAGGCAGCAAGTGCCATAGTCCTTCTAGTATGATATTGCCTAGTAAGCCCCAATTTGCTCTTCGATGGAGTCCTACTCAGACGCTCTTCAAGAAGTTCAAGTACGGCTCCTTTTAGCACCCCTGCTTTTCTCCATAGTCTGCCTGCTCTTCATGAGAGCCGAGCTTATTCAGGTGCCCGTTTCGTCGTGAGCTCGGCCCCGTCAAGAACGACCGTGCCCTCGCAGCTTCCAGTCCAGAGACGCTGTGCTTCGGGGCATGACTGAAAGTGATCTAAGAAGCCTTTCCTGGAATACACTCGATCAGAGCAGTCAAAGTTCTGCTCGGAGCCGTGCGCCATTGCAGCAACGTAACAACCCCTGCAGCTAACGCCGTACTCGACTCGGCCCGAGACGCGGTCCAGAAAAGGAAATGCGGTTGCGGCCATGTACCTGATGGACAAGCCATCGCCCTGGTACGGGTACGCCCGCATTTTCCAATGGCACTTTTCTAAGTCGGCAGAAGTAGCGCCTAGTCCTTTGAGAACTTCGCTGGCGACGACAGCGGGGACAAGGTCAATCCGCCTGTGTTGGGGGCCGTTTTTCGTGCAATACCGGTAGACTGACATGGTCTGTAGCACAGGCATAAGACGACGCAGCACCCCTGGGGTCACGCGCGGGGTTCTGAAGAATGTGGCTTTTCTCAGGCTTGGTATCGTCGGTAGTCGGGCAAAATCCAGAAGTGCAAGCTGCGGGGAGTTCCGGAGGCACTTGAAGCAGCAGCGCACAGCCGTTGGGAGGAAGAGAAATCCACCAAAGGCACCGCAGGGTTGACATTTCGAGCTGCAGAGGGACTGGTAGAGATCACGGAAAGTGAAGTGGGGGTCAAGCCGGGTTCGTAGGATGGCGCGGAGGGCTTCCAGGCCGTGGTATACGACAGTTCGGTATTCCACTAGGCCGGATACCAAAGCCCGAGCCGCCCTGTTGACCTGGCGGAATCTGAAGCAAGCGCGAACATCTAGGAAAAGACAAATCAATGCCAAGATCTCAGTAGGAAGCCGGTGGAAAGTGAGAGCGCCGAGGCTGGAGACAGGCGCCGTTGCGAATGCCCGAGCGATGGATGGAAGAACCGGCTCGTGCACCTCGGGAAGAGAGTGCAGGACGGAAAACTCCAAGTCGCGACGACGGTATGCGGCCACTCGGAGCAGCGCATCCTCCTGTTTGGGGATGGCCATGGCAGATTGCGTTGGGGTGAAAGAAACAGGCATTATTAATATCCCCAACGGAGAGGTTGGTGTCGCTGTCGCATGCACAATGCAGCATGCATACCGTACCAATTATGGAAGAAGTGAAGAGGAGTCAGAGGAAGGATATGCATCCTTCGTCTCGGTGCGGGGTCGCTGATACGCTGTATAGGTAATTCAACAGTACTTTTTACCTCTGTTGAATCTGTTGATGCGTTTTGTTGGGGATACAGAGTACACCTGGTAATCATGATAACGAGGTATAACTAAGGTGCCTGAGTACCTAGGTACTTACGTAGTGCGGGCTGTTGCCTGTTTCAGCTCACCTTTTCGCGGGAGTCTAAATCCTAATAAGTCTGGGAGTCGACTGAGCAGTGAGAGCCCCCGCTACTTTCATTTTACAACATGTCCGCGTCCACAGAGGAGGAAACGCAGCTGCGCACGTACAGAGGCAATTGCCATTGCAAGGCCTTCGTGTACGAGGTACAGCTCCCAGAAATCAAATCGGCGCATGAATGCAACTGCAGCATCTGCCACAAGAAGGGCTATCTCTGGGTCTTTCCCCCGGGAAAGCCTCAGTTTGTGAAGGGCGACGACGCAGGCCTCACGCACTATACTTTTGGGCCGAAGAAGCTTGTCCACAAGGTTTGGACCTTGAAACGTCGTTCGGGCGAGATGGTGCTGACAATATTCTCAGTTCTGCCCGACATGTGCTACGCCGCTCATGGCGGAAGTCATTGACGGCAACCGGATAGCCATTAATGTGAGTTGGGGACACTCATCTATATCCCGTTGATGCTTAATACTGGCCTCGGACTTCACCTGGTGCTAGGGTGCCGCTTGCCGCCCTTTTGGCTTTTGTTTTGGTGTCTTTCTTTCTGTGCACCTCGCTTCTCCTTTCCTTCGTTCTTTTTTTCCCTTCCCTTCCTTGCTTTTCTGTTTCTTTGTTTTTCTTTTTTCTTGTGGCTCTTACCTTTCTTTTTCACTCCATTTCCTCTGTCTTCCGCACCAGCGCAGGTAGCGAATGCTAATGCGAAAACCAGGTTCGTGCCTTACAGAATGTTGACCCATGGGCTTTGGAGATCCAACAGTATGTCTTGCCATGCCCGGATCCCTAACAGCGGACTTAAATCTGACCATCTATGTGAAGGTACGATGGCGCGGCGTTGGGCGACAAGTATGAGCATCCCCAGCACAAGGGGCCTCTGCCAGCAGCCATCGACGGCTACAAGCTGTACACCGGTTCCTGCCACTGTGGCGCCCTCACCGTGGCTTTCCAGAGCAAGCCCCTGGACGAGACGTTCGATGAGCTCATCGTGGACTGCAGCTGTAGCATCTGCTCGAGGGTATGTGCACCTCTTGCATCTCGGTCACATAAAACAAAGTGATGTCATAATTACTCACACGGATGAACAGAACGGCTACATCTGGGTGTACCCAACCCGAGAGAAGGTGGTGCTGTTCGCGAACAACCCGTCCAACATTGGCAAGTATAGCTTCGCGCGCCACATTTTGTACAAGTCGTTCTGCAAGATATGCGGCGTCCCCATGACCAACCACCACAACGACATCACGGACGAGGAGCGCAAGGCGCTGGGCGCATTGCCACTTCTAGCGGAGAGCGGCTTTGGAGAGGCGACGATCAACTGGATGAAGAGCCTGCATCCGGTCAACTTGCGCCTTTTCCCGGACGTGGACCTGCAGAAGTTGAAGCCGGAACGCAAAGACGTTGCGAGCATGCTGAAGCCGCTCTATGAAAATCCTTAGAGGAGGTGGGTGGTCTGGCTGGAGCAATCATCACCAGGGCTGGAGCAATCATCACCAGAGCTGTCAGTTTCTGAACTCAAGAAGGCGTAAGGTAGCATAGCAGCGAAACAACATCATGTGTCAGTCCTCGTTCCTACCACTAACTATTAAGGCCCAGTATTTTGAAACATTGATTACTCGACTGGCTCCTTTCCCAGCTGAGAAGCGATTCCGCCCGCTGCAAACGCACCCATTCCCAAGGCGTTCACGACGGCCGGCATTGCGGTTGCGCAGTCCCCAATGGCAAACACGCCCGGGACAATTGTCTCGTAGAAAGGCGGAGTCGTCTTAATGAAGCCCATCTCAGTGAACTCCACCCCAAGCTGCTCGGCGAATGGTCCATTAACCTGGGTCTTTGGTTTGTGTGCCTGCGCGGATGCCATTCATTAGCCGTCCATCTGAAAGATCGGTGAAAAGGGGGGGCGAAAAAAGGGGTGAAACGGGGGAGGGCCAACCATACCATAAAACCATGCGACACCGTGGTCCCGTCTTCCAAATGGACAATCACCTCGGAGGACTCCTCGTTCGCCTTCTGAAGCCGCGTCACCCGGCGGTCGTCGACAACAATGACGGGATCCGAGCCCAGCGCCGCGGCAATCTCCTTGGCGAACTCGGGCGCGCCGTTCGTGTAGACGACGACTTTCTTCGCCAGCCGCTTCGCCATGCGCGCCACGTGGAGCGCGGGAAATGCAAGGGCCGCCGCGGCAGGAAATGATGCAGGGCTGGCGGGCCCAAGGTCGCCAATAGCCAGCACGCCCGCAGACGCGGCGCCCCGGTCCTCATACCCGTCGCAGAACAGGCAGTGGTACACCCCGCGGCCCCAGACGTCGTCATACCCGGGGACGTCCGGGTAGATATCTCGCACGCCGGACGCGAGCACGACTTTCTTGCCGGTCCAGGTGGTGCCCTTCGCGTCGGTGGCCTCGAAGCGGCCGTCCTCGGTGCGGCGGACGGACTCGACCGCCGTGTCCTCGAAGTGGATGGTGTGGTAGCGCGCCAGGAGGTCGGCGCGCGCCTTGGCCCGGAACTCGCCCGGGTCGCGGTGGTCCCAAGTCGGGACGTTGTGCATGTGCCGGGTGCGGGCGTTGCGGTAGACGCCCGAGTCGAAGACGACGGCCGTGTAGAGCTGTCGCGCCAGGGAGGTTGCGGCTGCGAGGCCGCTCGGGCCGCCGCCAATGATGAGCACGTCTTTTAAGTTGGGGGGCATTGTGGTGTTGGTGTGGCAGGGCTGAGGGAGGATATCAGGGATTGGTACTTGATAATAATGTCGGAATAAGACGACTAATAATAGGGGCAGGAGAGGCCCGGGTATTAGATATACTAAGTACGGGAAAGTGGCTGTGACACGGAGATAGAGACTGTAGAGTCGCATGATATGAAGTACTAATGCTAGGGAGGGTCTGGTGAGGAAGGTTTCTTTTAACCTGGAGGGTATGGTGGGTGACTGAGGATTCAGTAGTAGGATACAGCAAATCTCTCCGAAGAAGTACCTAGCATGTGCCCTCCATCCGCTTTTGGATCGCCATCCATACTCGCATCGCACTTTGTATCCGACGTACACACTTCGCAGCTCGCACTGCACAGTCCGCACTTCATATCGGACTTCGCATCGTACTTGTGAGTCTGGCAGTTCTGACTTAGTCACCACTCGGCGAGTTTTCGTGAACTTCTTGGAGGGACGAAAAGTTTCCGGGTTGCATCTCCTGGTTACCATGCAAACTTCCCAACATGGGAAATTCTTGTCGGTCTGCACTCGAAGGAATCGAATTATGCGCAGCGTGTCCGCTCTGCAAACCGGCCCATCTAGAGACCCTAATTATCGGTATCGGATGGGTAAGGTACGGTACTAAGGTAGGAACATATCGCGTAGGTACCAGTACGTTTCCGTCAGCACATTCCCAACAGACGCGTTGTCATCTTTGGACCTGTCTGCTTGGGAGGATAAAAGCCTCCGTGAATTTACTCCTCCCAGTAGATCGCATGCTGAGGGGAATCTCCGAACATCACACCTCCCATGCAGACGTCCTCATTCTTATCAACAATCTTCTCAGGCCCCTCGGCGACCTCCTTCTCGGCGTTCTCGCTCGAGACATCCTAGCTAGTCGGTACCGCAATGACAAAGGGCGGAACTGTGGGCGATTCACTATGGCACCCACACATGCAGTTATTAGGTAAGGTATATACCGACATACGGTACTAGGTGCAGCAGACCCTATCACAAGAATTGGTAGATCACTTCCGCAAGACACAAGAAACAGACAATAATGTCATGACAAATCACGTTGCTAACAGATTAACGGTGCGGCGTCTGACAATCTTGTTGTTTAGGAGTACTATTAACTCGGGTTCATGTCTAGTGGCTCATTTTGCCAGTCAGTTCTCATTGCACTTGAGCTTTCCTGTTAAGCTTCTGAGTTCGTGTGCCCAGCCGGGCTCTTGGTCATTCTCCGAGCCTTTTGTCTAAGCATTGAGACGGAAGTGTGACAGAGGACGATGTCGCATCCTTCGTCTCAAACACACAGACCACAAGTTCACACTGTCTGACTCTGAGTCCTCCCCCTTGCAAAAAACACCTGCTGTGTCTCTCCCCACGGCACCCTGGACCTCTGCGGGTGCAGCCTGAATGAGTAATCCGACAAGCCCGCATCGGCAAACATCTCTGCCATCTCCTTCTCGCTGAAGCCGTGGCGGGTGACGGTATGGGCAGCCGGGTGGTCCGGCACCGGGCCTTCGGGTGTAACCCAGTCGACGATGACCAAGGATCCGCCGGGCGCCAAACGCTCGGCGAGCCTTTTGATCATAACTGCGGGATCGGCCACGTGGTGGAGCGCCATGGACATGACGGCGATGTGGAAGCCGGTGAATTCGGGGCCGTCGGGCACGGCAACCTCGCCGTCGCCGTCGCCAAGCAAGTCGCCCCGAACGCCGCGCATCTGCTCCGGCGACAGGCCGAGGTGGCGCGCCGTCTCGTTGTATTTCTCCACCATGCCACCCGAGATGTCTATGCCCCGGAGGGCGGAGGCGAACGGTGCCAATGCCTGGCCCACGCCGTAGATTTAGCCGTTAGCATACATACAATGCCCTTTACGCATCCAAGGAGGCGCGTAAAGTCTGAGAGGGGAGGACCCCCTGGTCTTACTTACCATAGAGACGATCCCGGGACCACAGGCATAGTCTAGAACACGCAACCCGGACCCGGTTGGCTGGCCCACGATCCATTGGACGTTTTCTCGCAGGAAAGTGGTGATCTGGTGGACAAGGTCGCGCACCCAGTGGATCTGATACGCCGATCCGGCCACCGAGCTGTTGGGGGTTAAGTCAGACAAAACCGTGGAGAAAGTGTGAAAAGGATGGAAGGCGTCATACTCAAACCACTCGCGGTTTATTTCGCCGATGGCCTTCGCATCTGCCGCTGTGGTTGCCATCGTTGATGTGTTGAATCAGAGTGAATGAGGTCAGTAGGCTGATGTATATATTACGGAGCGGTGTTGCAGAGTGGTAAAAGTGATCAAGCACTTACACCAGTCTTGTTCCTTGTCCAACACAGAGTTCTTTTTTCCAGCTTTTTATCCATCTTCCACGTCGGCTACTTTGTCTGCGGAGAGATACTCTGGCGACGTCATGGCATTTCGAGGACCTTGATCGTTGCGGGCCGCCCCTTCCAAATGTCTCCGGCCGAATCATGGGAATGGGTGGGAGGCCAGGCGGTCGGAGACTTTTGTCTTCCGTTCAACTCAACCTAGAGCTACTACTAGTAGCTACGTATTAGCGCCCGGAAACTTGTCTAGTAAGTGGCCCATTGTGGCTGCAACCTTATTTCAACGACACCTTCTACGCTGTATTGCTGTCCTGTACGTAGTGGTTTGAAAGAGTTGGGTCCAGTCAGACCTCGGGAATTCATCTGACTCCAACACCTTGCCTTGGTACATCGTAGTGACTGTACACCGTCCTTCCCTTCCCATCTGGCGAACTATATGAGAAACTACCTACCTTGGTTGCCTAAGGTAGTTAGTTGTATGATGATTCTGACCTCTGATCTCGAACCCTTGAACGTCCACCCCGCTACATGATCACATTCACTTCCTATCTCACTTTGTCACATAAGCTGCTATCTTGTCATTCCGCGCTCGATGAAGGAGGCAAGGCCTCGCCCGGGCTCACACGAGTGAATGTGAAAGGACACCAAGCAATTCCACGCACGATTCTGAAGAGTTTTTCGTCTCGAGCAAGTAGAGACAGAGTAAGAGCTTGACGCCGGAAAGCAGGGAAAGGTTCGTTGTACTTTTTCGAAGAATCGAGTTGCTTCCGTCTTGATGGCCTGCCACACATGCAACGACCTGTTGCTTGACCCTTCATGACTCGTGAGTTGTATCCGGAGCTCCGGGAGCGGTCGGGCCCGGGCGGCTCATTCTCGTCGAGGCGGACCTGACTCTCATTCAATCGGCGTCCTTGACAAATCGAGATTTGGTAACTCGCGAACAAAATGCACATCATAGAATGTGTTCTAAAGACTTCCCGAGTTTCTGGTGGCGCGACAATCGAAGATACCCGAATACCTTATCTGCCATCGCTTGAAAGACCCAAGCTACTTGGTTTGGAAAGGAAAGACTCCAACTGGCAACCACATACCTAACTCGATCAACAGGTTACTGAGAGCTACCACGATCGCACTCATGAGTGGCGGCGAGCTTGTCCAGTTGGAGGCAACCAAAACTTCAAAAAAGTGATGACTGCGATGTCCGTTTCAAACGAGTGGACTTCACAGCCCCCCCTGATTCGCGTGCGAGCCCCTGAACAGCTTGTAACCTGCCAAGCTTTCCAGCGCTTCTCTGCTTCAGCCCCTTGTTGCCGTTTTGGGCTGCGATCCTCACGCATAGGGCGCCATTCGTGCAACGAGCTTCCCCGGGGTTTGCTGGGGAGGATGAAATCATGAAACTGTCACTGTCGCGTCAAACCGGAACACACTCTTGCCCCAGCGCTGCGCAAATCCCATGTTTGTCCAGCTGCTTGTGCGCAGCAGCGGCAGCCGAGTTATGCATCGACCATCAGATGGTAAAAACCATCGAACACTTCGGGGCTTCCCTTCTTGGGAGGTTCCTCCTTCTCTCTTCCTCTCCACCAAGTCAAGATGTCTTCAACTTGAAGGCGTTTTCTTATTCTTGGCAACAGCCCTTTTTTCTCTTCGTTTCTTTCTATTACCTTAATTCTTTTCTTCTAGTTCGTGACGATGCTGGCCATCCGCGTTCTTTGGCTGCAGGCCGCACTGGCGGCGGCCCAGCTTCTGGGTTTGAATGGGGTGTTGGGAGGACGTGATGGCGCGACTACTTCGGCCGTGGAGGAACAGGGCGCTCGGCAGACGACATCGGCGGCGGGAGTGCTGAATGGGCTGGCGGGCAATGTAGCGGGTGCCGCGACCGGTGGACTACTGGATCCCCTCCTCGATCCTTTGCTTGGGCCGACGGGATTGCTGCCAGTGGGAAATCAAAACAACGCCGTGGAGCCCACTAGTTCTGCCGAAGCCCAGGAGTCGCCGGCCACCACGTCGCCCGACTCCGAGCCGACGCCCGACCCGGCACCCACCCAGACGGAATCACCGGCGGAGACATCAGCGCCCGCGCAGGCACCGACGACTGAGCAGGGCAATCTGGAGCCGACCTCGGATCCGACACCAACCACGGCAGCGGAACAGACATCTCCCGCGGAGCAGACCTTGCCAGCCCCGAGCCCGGACAGGCAGACCTCAACCGGACAGCAGGGGCAGCCGGCCCCTGTCCCGGCGACAACACAAGAGCCATCGACTGAACCGGCACCCGTACCGGCACCAGCACCAGCCCCGACATCGGCACCCGGTACTACTTCTGCTGCCGCAGCCCCGGTGCCCTCATCCGCCAACGCAGGCGCCAACCCGGGCTCCAGCTCGGCTGCTGTTGCGCGCCCAGCTTCTTCTTCCGCAGCTGCTCAGCCCTCCTCCGCAGCAACGGCGACGTCCGCACCTGGCGCAGGGCCAACCACATCCAAACCATCCCCAGCCGGCACTCAATCCTCAGCCGCCGCGGTCCCAACCACCGATAATAAAGGGCAACCTCAACCTGAAACTCAATCTCAATCCCCGATTACGATCCCCGTCACAGAAAGCGGTACAACCTTCATGTCCGTCTTCGTCCCTCCTTCTCCCACGGGCGCCGTAGCAGCAGTGGACGGGTCGGACAACAATCTCAGCTCCAACAACCCCAACACCGACCCCTTCGTCCAGACCCCCGACAGCACCACAGTAGAGGACGATACCAAGCCCAACTCCAACGGCGACACCAATTCGAACAACGCACCCCAACCTGAGACCGGAGGAAACGGAGAGCTCCCCCTCCCAACAAAGATAGGAATCGGCGTCGGCGTCGGGGCCGGCACCGTCGTCCTAGTGGTAGCCATCACCTTCCTGCTGTGGAAACGGCGGATGGGCCACCACGGCCACCACGCGGACACTGAAATGGGTCATCATGGTGGTGCGAGCCCCACGCCGCAGGAGAAGGCCAAGCTGGACTGGGAGAGCGAGCACGACGTGGCCTTTGACTTTGGCGCCTTCTTCCGGGACCGGAGTACTAGTAGTAGTGGTGATGGCGGGACGAACAACAAGAAGAAGAACTTGGGGCTTGTTGATGGCGTGCCGCCGCCGCCGGCTTTTGTGGAGATGCCTTTGTCGTACTCGCGTCAGCAGCAGGACCAGGTTGTGGTGGCTGAGCTTGATGGTGGTGGTGGTGGTGGTGCGACGGGAGGGTACAGGGGGGTGGTTGGTCTTGGGAGGTGAGATTAAAAATCACGGCTTGGGGCGGTCGGTAAATGGTGGGAAAAGCAAAGTGTGGTGGTGGCTGGAGGGTGATGCGTAAAGGGAGGGGGGGGAAGACGGGCTGGTGTTGGAATTTGGGCATGGAAGGATGCAGGTAATGCTAGGTACCTTAGCTAGGTTGCCAGCTAGAAAGGGCTGCATCTTAAGTGTTGGTTCACGGTGTAATAGTTGGTCTTCTTGAATGGCATTTACTGGCCACGTGGTTGATGAACCAGCATGTGGTGGATGTGTTGGTGAGGGCGTAAGACCAAGCGAGATGCCGTTCGTTTTAGGAATCCATATGAGCCCAGTGGTCCGTCGTTCTCGAGACGTTGTTGCAGACTAAATTACCATGGCCTCCGTAGACATGTACCCTGACGAGCAGAATGGCGCGCTGCTTAAGAGACATCAACCACGGAACGGCCGACTCGAAGATCAACTAGAACAACTCCACGAGAGGGAGCGTATGCAATTTCATGTTGCCGCACTGAGTTAAGTCCTCGCTCGATATCCATGCATTGAACATCGGGCCAAGCGCATATGCAATGAGCATATATGTATTGTATATACATACCCAAGGCAACCTCGTTATGCTGACATTCTCCCCCCCCCGAACCCAGCCTACAGGTTTCTTTTCTTTCCTCTCACTCATGCTCCGGCCGCCTTCTCTTCGTATCCGAGCCCAGGTAATCAATCGCATTCCGGCACAGCGGGCACGTGTTCCGCCCGCTGTTCTGGAACCACTTGTAGAGACACACCCTGTGGAAGTAGTGGCTGCACGTGCCACACTTCTTGTCCGGCAGCGTCCTGTCCGGCGCGATGATCGAGTAGCAGATGGCGCACTCCTCCTGGCCCTTCATCGCCAGCGAGATGTTGCGCCGGAAGGCCGTCAGGCCGTCCACGAGACTGCAGTTCTATTCGGTGGAAGAGGAAGGTTAGTGATTTGTGGGTGAATGGGTGGGTGGGATGAGGTGAAAAGGGTAAGGGGATGGCTTACTCCGAACATGATCACGGCCTTGATCGCCTTCATCCACGACTGCCATCTGTCCTCCTTGACAGCCACCCGCTTGACGCTGACAACGTCCACCGGATCCAGCGGGTAGGACTTCGGCACGTGCAGGGAGATGGTGGCGACGTCGTCGTCGATCGGATAGCCTGCCGTGATCTCGTGCATCGTCTTGCTAACCCTAACGACAATCTCTTGTGTGTCGGCATCTATCTTCTCCTGGTTGGAGGCCCACTCGACGACCTCGTCCAGGGCATCAGAGATGATGAGCGGCGAGAAGTACTTTTGCATCCAGGACTGCATCGAGTTCTTCGTTTGCTTGGAAGGACAGTCCAAGTACCACATTTTGAACAGGCCTGGGATGTATTTGAGGGTCAGGTAGAAAAGGTGTATCAGCAACCAGTTCATGTCTCTCTCCGGTGGTTCAAACTCGGCGGTGTCGATGTTGTAGGAACAGATTTCTTCTGCTTTAAACCCTTCCTTATCGAGGTCGAGCGGCCTCGCGAGAGCATGTCCGAGAACGTCGACTAAGAACCGAAGCAACGGGTCGAGATGTTTTCCGCTTTTTAGCCTGTCCGTGTAGTCGTTGCGAACCCGGAAGGACGCCGTACTGTAGGCATCGAATACGAGATGCCAAGCAAGCAAGTATGAGCGGATTGCGACGGGAAATTGTGATAGTTCTTCGTCAGTGTACTCATCCGGGTTTGGCGCATTCAGGAGCAGCGAGAGCAGTTCATCCGGAAGGTTGGCAGCTGCAAACGTCAGCGCATATCCAACTGTGTGAGTTGCCAGCCACTTACCCTTCTTGTCCATCACCACCGCGAGGTTGATGTCCTCTTGGGCGGTAGGCAAAGCCTTGTGGAGCAGGCCAAACGCGGCCTTCTGTATCTCACGGGACTCCGACGCGACTGGCTCAAAGATGTCTCTTAACTCATCAAGCTTCATGCTAGGCATCCTGCTCACAAGCCGTTCAAGAAGACGATCAGTGATTTGGCTCGGCACATCTGCAGTTGCTTCGCGCGGGATACCGAGAAGCCCAACCAGCGCTGATGATGTCGCCTTGGCATGGGTTGCTAGAGCGTCATCGAGGTCGTCGTTGGCGTCTGCATGGTTGCAAAGTGCCCGGTACAGCTCCAACGAAGCATAGACGTACGGCAGCCGCTCCTCCGGTCTGTCGTTGGCGGCCTTCTTCCATAGCCAGATGCAGTACTCGACTGTTTTCTCCCAGTACGGGCCGTAGGTCTCTTTCACGCCCGGGAGCATCCTCTTGATTGCTCTACAAATCTCGGTAGCGGTTTGATAGCCCAGGTCTTCCGGGCTATCCATCCATCTTGTGAACTGCTGCAGGGCGAGCACCTGCTTCCGGGTCTCGACGGGTACGCCTACATCGTGGTCATACACATCCATGCAAATGTTGAGGAGAACCAGGGAAGGAAGGGCTCGGAAAGATCCATCGAGAGAGCCGGGAATGCCAGGCACCTCGCTGACAAGGCGATTGACGAGTGTCGAAAAGGCTTTCGATGATGTGAGGGGCTCTCGAATCCCAGTCACGAACGCAGCGGTGATGAACAGAGTGTTCGGCGCCAGCTTCATGATACCCAGCCTCCCTAGCCACTCCTCCAGCTTGGAAGGCGCCTTGCCGTGAATCCCGATTAGGCGTCCGAAGAGGAAGCTCAGAGACTTGGCGGTGTAGAAAGCGCCAGGACTGAAGCCAACCGCTTCGCCGAGCATGAAGTTTATAAGCCGCTCGACCAGGGAATCGCCAGACATATCCCAGTCCACCCAGCTTCCGCAGCCTAACACAACGTTGTCAACAGCTTTCCGGCTGAGGTCGCGGAACTCCTGAGCTTCTGCCTCGTCCTCGGGGTCATTGCCCCACAAGCCGTCAGCTTGGGGTACGGTGAGCTGGTCTTCAGTGAGAGCGTCGGTGAGGCAGAGAAGGTAAACAAGTTCCAACTGGAACTCTGGCGGTAGAGAGGAGAGCTGAACACCAGAAGAGAGCAGCTTGGCAGTGAAGAGAGCCATCCTGGCAGGAATAGAGCGTCCGCGGCTATCTCGGCTTGGGGGTTGCCTTTCGGCATTCGGATGCCCCTTTACCAGGAAGTATGCGCCCTCCACGCCGAATGCAATGGACAGCGACGGACTCGGGGCACGCGTGAGAAAGCCGGAGAGCTCGTTCATCCATATTGTTGAGCTGGGGAAGATATCCTCAGCCGGCGCAGCGCCCGAGCTGAGAACCGACAGGGCTTGCTGAAGCAAGGTGTCGACTTCAAGAGAAGATGAGCTGGCCTCACCAAGGTGGTTCTCGATGATGCTGGCGATAGGATTCCGCCCGGCTGGCTGCTTGTCGAGTAGCGATCTCACACTTCTTGCCTTCTCAGACAGACCCGTATCTGACAGCTCGGTAAGGGCGAGGAGCGCTGCAACGAGCCGCACGTGCAGCTCATCGTTTGTCGATAAGAATTTGGGCTTCTCGTGTAAAGTAAGCTCCAAAGCCGCAAGGGCTGACTGGTATGCTTCTGGCACCTCAAGGCTGGAAACGATCTCGACTGCAGTGGCTTTTGCGGTGTCCTCACTCAGAATGTCATAGGCCAGAGACGCCTTGCAAATATCTTTCAAGCCAGAAGCATCACCACCGCCCGTATACTGCTGCCAACATGAATTGAGGAAGGCCTGTAAAGGCGCAAGTTGCTGCGCATATGTCGCAACGGAAGGGATTCCTATGAGCGCCCTGATTGCCGAAACAGCCAACTGGCGATCCGAGAGCCGAAGGGCTGCCTCAGTGAGTGACGTCCAGATGTCTCTGAAGCGCCCTTCCGCTTCACCGACTATCGTGTTGAGGTCAGAGACAAGGTAGGGGAGCGACGGGGATGCAACGATAACCGCATATTCTTCCGTTCCGTCAGCCGGGAACAGTGATCCAAGCAAGCTCATATCAGAGCAGAGCGCAGGATAGTGTCTGAGCGCTGATCGGATAACAGAGGCTGCACCGAACGGCTTAAAGTTCCTCTTGCTCAGAAGATCGAGCGCCCCTGCCAAGACCTCCCTCGATGATGCTGTGATCACCCTTATTAGTGACGAGCCTCCGTCACCTTCCCGCGAGAGTGCATTTGCCACGAAGGCAAACCAACGCTCTCCTTCCGAGGCAATCGCGTTTTGCGACTTCTTGTAGCCTTCAGAAACCTCGGGCAGAGAGTTGGACATTCGCACAAGGAATGCGCTTCCCAGCTTCTGCCATTCTTCGGCCACCGCTTCTCGAGTCTCATCCGTCGAATGTTTAGCCACGGTCATCCAGGCTTCTGCAAGGGATTCAGGTCGCTGTGGTGACGGCAGCGGTAATTCGGGATTGGGGTGGAGATACTGCCGTGTGATGCTGCTGAGGTTCTCCTCGAGGAATATTGTATTCAGGGGAACGTGGCCGAGGAAGAGCTGGAATACCCGTGCGTAAGACTGCAATGCTTGATGCCGACCGGTCTGTAGTTCGAGTCTCTCGGCAATCCCTTTGCGCATGGCACCAAGGAAGTTCGACACGACCTCGACCGATGGTGCTTTGTCCGGAAGCGTTTGGAGTAGCTCATCCAGAGCCCGCCAGTACTCCTCCGCACCGCTCTGAGAACCTTGGGAAACAAACGTGTGTAGCCGCTGCAGCGGATGCTTCTGAGTGCCCCACACCTGCGGGAAGTGTCTTGTTAGAGACGCCAAAACCTTCAGCAGGTCCGTTGCTGAGCCGGTCTGGCTGCTCCTCAAGCCGTCCGCAACAAGAGCTTTGCCAACCTGTTGCAGTCTTGGTTGTAGCATCACGGGCTGGACATCAAGAATGGAATTCAGGAATCGGTAGAGTGCCTTCCTCACAAACCAATCGTCAGCTTTCGACATGGTCCATATTGCGTCTACCCCAAGATAGCGGTCCAAGCCATCCGAGAGAACCCCAATGTCCCCTTTGTTCACAAGATTCAAGACCAGGGACAAGCTCGCACCAATAACCCGGTGGTACTTCGCCTGCGAGTCTTCTTTCGTTGTTGATCGCTCGTCGCTGAGGGTGTCTGGTGTCTCCTGGATCGCCTCGATCGCGAAGTCGAGCGCGCGGGTTTGCACGGCCTTCCAGAACGCTTCCTCCTTCTCTGGCGTCAGTAAGAATGAGGCTAACGCATCACTGGCAGCCCGTGCGACGCGCTTATCTCTGTCAAACGTCCCAGCAAGCCACGCCCCGACAAAGGCGGGAAGGCGCTTCGCCATGCGCTTTTTCGCCGTATTGAGGAGGTGGAAGAGAAGCTGGTGGGAGAGCTCACGGACCCGGGCGGAGTCGTCGATCGATAGCCTGGGATACAGGTCGACCTGCGGAACACGCCATGGTCAGCAGCGCCTCCGGACATTGGAACCTCGTGGGTGTGGACTAACATAAGCGTCTATTACTGGCTCATCGAATGTTTGGCCATCGGGCCCAAGACCTTGGATATGCGCAAGGATATCCTGGAGCGCCTTCTCTTTTGTTGTGCTGTCCTTCTTCAACAGATTCTTAAAAGGCACCACCACCTCTTGCGGAATGCTGGAAAAGTCGGGCGGGGGAGTGAGGTATGAGAGAGTGGTAGAGGAGGTCGCAAAGCCGCCGAAGGCTCCTCCCTTCACCCCTTTCGCGCTGGATTTCGGAAACATTGTTGCTGCTCGCAGGGCGTCTCGTGGGCGTTGGCTAGCTGTCGGGAAGCAACGGGACGAGCAGGACGGAGACTCTGTTGGGAGAGCCCGTTTGGTTATTATCGTATCGTACGTCCCGGAGGAATATACGACGGTGACATACACGAGGACGGGGAGGAATAGAGGAGGCAAGAGTCGGCGACAGAACGGTCCATTGATCGTTATATCAACCGCGCTCACAACGAAAGAACCCCTCTTGAAGGCTTGATCTGGCGCCAACGTGGTGCAGATTGGAAGCGCAGGGGACCACTTGGAGTTGGCGAAATGATATAATTTAAGAAAGTGAGTTCAAGGTTCGTCTTTCAGGGCCTCCTTTACTGTCGTGGCCGCAATACCGTCTCTCTCCCACTCTAGACTATCAACATCCAGTAGACACTCGGCATGACTGTTTCGGCAACCACATATTAGGTGGGGCAGCTTTGCTGAAGCTATCAAAAATACCGCACGTGATGCGGGGCACTTGAGGCTCGCACTTGCAGAGCAGTAATTTACATCGAAATGTCATGCGAATACGGCCCGATACCGCAAATACAGTCGCCACCACCAGATGGGTACAGTACCAGGCGGCTTCCAGATCCGGTATCTCGAACTCCTCTGTGGATGGTCTCAGAACTCCAATGAAATGAATCCGACAAAAGTTCTCAAATTCAAACCTTGTCCGGCTGTGCACTCGATATCTACACAGGAAGTACCAGGTACCTAGTTTCAGGGGCTGTGAATCTGCAGACCGGAACGGATAATTTGTACACCCGCAAGACCCGACACCTCTCATACTTTAGGCAGCGGGCTGCCCTGCTGCTTGGCGGGCCAAGAATGACATCATGGGTGGGGACGAAACTTGGCATACCGCCATGCGGACGTTATCTTCCAGCACCTCGCAAACAATACACACGTGAGGTGTCGAGTCTCGCTCCCATTGACGGTGTAGGATTGTAGACTTGAGCGTTCCGATGCAGCATAGCCGACCGCCGACAACTCTGCAAGTGCTTGTTTGCGGTCCGATGAGACTAGCGGGTCTCTACCTAGTTTCACTTCCGACCTTATCGGGTCGTGTGTCCGGGCTGTAATCGGTTCCAGTTTACGGGTCCAAGTTACGCTCCCGCATTTGGTCGACTATGCCGTCCAAGTCGTCCAATGTCGATGTACTGTAAGCAGATCCGAAAGCAGAAGGCGCGAGCACCTCTTGCTTTCATCGCTCCAATGTATCGTTCTCAATCCCGCGTGTCAATCGTTTCCGCCTTCTAATACCCCGCACGCTACGCGGCAGGCGATTCTGTAACGTTAGTGGTTGCATGCGCAACGGGTCCACCGGCCTCAGGGTCTTGAGGAAGTTCAGGGCCGTCCGTCATAGCCGTCATAGCCGAAACCCTCCAATCAAGTCAGCAGTTGGCTCAACCAGTCGGCCCACTGCATGTCGGAAGTGACGATCATTCCCTGGGACGCAGTGTGGCCGTTCAGAAAGTCCCACGGTCCCTTCCTTCCGACCTGAGGCATCGTGAGATTCCCCGAGACGCACAAATACAGCCGATGTCCCTTATCACCTGCCTGTTCCTCTTCCTTCATTTCTCAGCACACCACGCAGTCGCTGTTCCGATCTCATCCACACGCCCTTGTCATTCGAGCGCCAGCTCCTCAATGACATCAGTCTTGGCCATAAGTGGTTTCTATCATGTGAGTTTAAGCGCTGGCCCACGAAGTTGCGATTGCATCTCGCCCAATACCTCCTCTACAGCTCCATATGTGAACTTCATCCCCCACCCTCTCCCTCCTCTAACAAGGATAAAGACCGCCAGGTAGCCATACGCCGCTCGAGTAGCATGTCCCCGGCGCATATCTCGACCCACCGATCGCCATGTCTTTGACCGTTGCCTCCACTTTCGCCCGTCGCGGCCGGTGCTCCAGTGCCATTCATTCCGGGATCCGTAACCCAGTCGGGGCCGGTCCTGTTGTCCTCCACCGGCAACAGACAAGGTGCTACCGGTTCAGCCGCATTTGTCTGTCCTACATAGGCCGGGACATTTACCGCCAGCAACAGAAGCTTGCATACAAGTATTGCGATAACCTCAATTGGCGGCCGTCGTGGAACAAGGACAGTTACTGGCCCGCAAAACCGAGTGATGGTCAGGCTGCCGAACCGGATACAACCAAGCGTGCTTCTCCCAGAAGAACCCCAGATAACCCAGACGGTGTCAGACCCGGCCAGAACATTGAAGACGCGGAGCGGGCGCCGTTGGAGCATCTCATCTTCGGCGATAAGAAAGGTCAAGGGGGGGAGAGAAACGGCCGCCGAAGCACCACTCGAGCCATATCGCAGTCCTCTCACACGGATGCCAGCACAGACTATGTCATTGATCCGATCACGAACCGCAAAGTGCTCAAAAGCTCACGCTTGAACAGCGAGGCCCCCGCCTCGTATACACCCCAATTCACGTCGTTTATTGCCCCCAATGTTGAGGGTACTCCAATTTTCCCTGACGGGCCACCGCCCGAGGCGGAGCTGAGCAAGTACGGGCCTTTCCTCAGCCATGAACCTGACGGCAAGTATGCCGCTACCAGTCTCCTGGACGCGTTGAGCTTGGAACACAAGGATGTTAGGTGGCACCAAAACGAGACCATCGCGCCGGCATCAGCTGCGTCGACACTTGAGTCGTGGGTCCGTCGTTCAGAGCCGGACAGCAAACTGCGAGACGAGCAGATTAGCCCGACGCCTGAAGAGTTGAGGAATTACGGCCCCGTCAAAGTCCACGAGCCAGATGGCAAGTACAAGCTGGAGTATGAATCTCCGGTGGACCCGGAAGAGTTGAGCAAGTACGGACCTTTGCTCAGCCATGAACCAGACGGCAAGTATGCTGCCAGCTACATCGAAGTCCCCGACGACGCAGAGTTGGCAGAGTACCGCAGGCCCTTCTTCAGTCACGAACCGGATGGCAAGTACGCAATCAATCACGTTGAGCCAGCACGGGATGCGGAGGAGCTGGCCAAGTACCGCACGCCTTTCTTCAGCTACGAGCCCGATGGCAAGTATGCTGCGTCCTATCTGGAGCCGGAGCGGGATGTGGCAGAACTGGCTCGGTATAAGCCGTTTCGAAGCCATGAGCCCGACGGCAAGTACGCCGCAGGCAACGCCACTCTTGATCCGGAGCCGGCCGAGATTGAGAACTACCAAGCCTTCCGAAGCAATGAGCCCGACGGGAAATATGCTGCCGAAGGCGAGGCTACCAGGCTTGCTGCGAAGGAGGTTGAGGACCTTGCTAATCACGAGGCCTTCGGCTACGAGGATGCTGAGACTCAGCCATTGACTGCCAAGAGCCAGGAGAATTACGATGCGCCCGACCCAGCGGAGCTGCAAAAATACCAAGCTGTGAGATGGAATGAGCCGGATGGACGACCTGCCGAGGATCAAATCGTTGACCACAACTTGACAGGGAACTATGTGCGAGACTTCCCAGAAGACTTCTCCAAGTCTTGGGCCTCCGAGACATCGGAAGTGACCTCCTCACTACTGTCAGCAGAGCAGAAGGAATCCAAGGGCACTGTGCAGCCAGCATTGGAACGGATGTCCCAGCTGACGGCAACTGCAAACGCCTCAGACACAGCTACCACGCCATCCCCTGAGCCGGCCAACCCTGCCGGGCCAGCGCTCTACAAAATTCTTGCCTACAACCCGACAATGCAGTGCATCGAAATCGCCGAGACCAGTTCGACCGTTGCCGACAATGCTGCTCCCCTGACCCCTGCCGAAGTTCTTCTCCGCATCTCGAACCCGGCCAAGTTCTTCCCTCACTTTGCTCCCCTCCAAGCCGAGGGCTTCGAAATTGTATCCGGCAGCGGTGACGTACTTATCTTCCGCAAGGTGTCGAACGCAGTTTCCGAGCCCCAGCGTGGCTCCACGACCACTTCTGTCAATCCCATCGATATGACCGGAGGCACGCGCGATTATACCGTTGCCGCAAGTAGGTTCGCCAGTCCCACCGGCTTTGTCAACTATGATCTGCCGCCGGAAACAACCGGCCGAGCCGAGTCTGAGGTGCATCGCAAGGAAACGCACCAAGGCGAGAAGAATGCTGGGGCGGAGACACCCAGGAAAAAGAGTCTCCCGAAAAAGGTGGTTGTGGGAGCGGCTTGGCTGGCGGGCATCACGTACTCTGTTGGAGTGGTTAGCGAGTATTTCAAGACCGGAGGTTCGGATGGGAAAGGCCATAAGGGATTTTGAGGGACTGATGAGGCTTTCACATGTTGTTTCCGGTCGTTGCACAGCCTTGTTTTCCTTTGGTCTGTTGGGTTGGGAGTAGTCTTGCAGTTGGGTTTCCTGATAGTGGGCGTTTTCGGGGCAACATCGGAGCATTGGACGGGATACTCAAACGGCACTATATTTTCGGATAGGAAGGTATTTTGGCACCGCACTCTCGTTATACATGGTCAAATTCATCAGATTGGACATACCGCGGCCGAGAAAGGATGAGTTCAAGTTCTGTTTCTTGTTCTTGACCTGGCAGCTAGGTTGAGTCTTACACAATTCCCAGTCATAGAGTGTATATATCAATCTCTCCGCCTTCTCTCGGCACCTTTTAGGCTCATACCGAACGCATTGCACATCCATTCCGTGATCAAAACTAGCCGTACTCCCAGCTTATCGTCTAGATCCCCGGCTTACTACAACGAGGAAAGCAAAGAAATTTAGCTAAAATGGACGAAGCAAAAGCAAAAGGGGGGAAATAATAAGGACGCGAGAACACGATAGGAGGAAAGAAGATCAAGAGGAAGGTAAGGAAGAAGGAGACGAAGGGCTGACGGGAAGTTTTAGCGTACAATCGTGTTTCTGGCCGGAAACTCCATGTGCGATGGCGGCATTGCATACCCGGGATGGATCACGCATCTGAACATCGCCCACAGCCGTTGATTTGCCGTTGTTGGTTCGGTTCATGATCGTGGTTATACGCTCACGTCCTCACATTTCGCTAAACCTACCATCACCTAACGGCTCCTTCCAACAGCGGCATCATAGAGAGAGTCCTCCCCATTGTCCTGACTTCCCTCGCATTCACTCGACAAAAGAAAGATGCTTCGTTCAGTCATTGCAATGTGATTTTTACTCATCCAACATAACCCGCGCGTCAGAAACCTAAAGGAAAGGCTTGGACCATGACATGGATCACCATGGTGACCGATGCCTGTACCAACGGAATGCTCGCTCAAGTTCCGAAGCTGCTACATGCAAAAGGAAAGAGAACCAGAAAGAAATGACAGGGTTGGAAAAGAAAGCCAAAGCAAAAGCCAACACCACCCACACAGAGCGGTAGGTTACAATACGATAGAGTCCCTCGTCAAGCCGTCATCCATCCCTTGTCAAGCCTCCGAGAACCCGCCGCCTGGCCCGCGGCCAACGACGTACTGCCGCGTCTGCACGTCGTGCTTCCACTCCTGCGAGGACCAGCTCTGGCGGCGGTCCAGGGAGGGCTTCCACGCCATTGCGCGCTCTGCTGCTGTCCCCGACTTTGAGGGGTCAGCCTTCGCGCTGTTGGCATTGTTGTTGTTGTTGTTGTGGGTGTTGGCACTGGTTGTCAGGTTGTGTTGATGGGAAGGGTCTGTCGCTTTGGAGGTGTTGGTGGTGGTGGAAAGGAGCGAGGCGGAGAGGTCGTTATCTGCCGTTGCGGACATCGTGGTGCGGATTCTCGAAGGTTGGGTTGGTTGAGCGCTGTTGTTGTAACTTGTAAGGGGTAACGAGCTTATTTGCACGGTGGGCAGTGGACTTGTTGATTCGAGGTGGAAGGGGGTATTGAGTTGATAATACAAAAATGAAGTGGTAAGTTAAGGTTACAGGTGAAATCTCGCTGCGTGCAATGTCGTCAGCCCTTGATTGCGACGATCGATTGGTCTTGTCGATCTATCTCATTGTGCAGTAAGTTCCAAGTGGTGTGCTGGCCCCGGTGATGATGTCGTCAGGTCGATTGCGGGGTGTTCTGCCGCGGGGCGGGCTCCCTTTGCCCAAAATAAGCCAGCCGTACACCAGCATCACCAACGTCAGGACAGATGCGGCTGCTCACACAAAGGTTCTTCTTTCCATTTAACGCTTCTCTTTCTTTATTGTTTTCCCTCTTCTTATCTTCTTCCTCATTCTTAGCTTCATTTCCTCGTCGATTGGATATATTCTGTACGGCTATCTTGACCTCGGGCGGGGGGGTATGTTTATCCGATGCGGCCTAATCGGGTTGGCTCGGTTTCTCGCCAAGCCGATCTGATTGGTGTCTCACAACCCACTCATCCTTCACTTCTTCGTCTCTCACAGAATGGTTTTGCGTGTTACGGCGCTGCATCACGCTGCGACTGCGTGTTGTCTGGCCCATCACGCCACCCCGTTTTCCCTCTCCGCGGTGTGCTTGCCGTCGACGCATTCCCGCCCGGTACGGACCTTGGCGATGGTTTGGGCAATTGTACGCTCAGTCTCCGTGCCGCCGCCGATGGACTTCTTGGACTCCGTGTCAGTCTCCAGAAGCCCCTTGCTATTGGGCTTGGCGAATGCGGCGATGGCCGGCCCGGAGAGAGAGGACTCGGTATCTTCAATCTACCCAATGCTGCCGCTGGATCGTTGACCTTCTCGCCAAACGACTCTCGGACCGTCCGACGAGGTGACTTCCCTGACTGCGTTGGGGATGGCTGGCCAGGATGCTGCGACGGGACCTTGAGCCACGATGTCTGGTTTACCCACGGCTTTGTCGGGGGTTGGATGAGCATGTCACCTTCGAGCTCGGCTGGGTTTGGCGTGCTGCCGATCGCGGGGGACCCGGAGTCGAGCTCGGGCGTCGACTCTGGGCTGGCGGTCGATTTCGGTAACCCCGTGTTCGCTTTTGTCTCCTGGGCTCCCTGGTCCGGTCCGGCCTCATCGCCCTTCCTCCTTAAGCGCCCCGGTCGTTTCCCCGCTCTCCTCTTATGCCGCCGAATTAAAAGGAACGCGGCCGTCCAGAGAGCGATGCCCGCAACGACGGTCACCACGACGATGACAACGATGCTCGTTCCACGGTCCAGGCTTCCGAGCCCCCCGCGGCCGTTGGAGTTGCTCAATGCAGTATTCGACGGGCGGAGACTCGTAGGATCTGGAGTTTCCCAAATCTGTGTGAGGGAATCCTCATCGATCTCTGTGATGGACGTTGCTGTGGAGGACGAGCTGCGCACTGCCGTTGGTCGTGTCTCTGGCCCCTTGGTTGTCGCTATCGCCTGGCTGACGGCGCTAGCTTTGGATTCCAACTCGGTTCTGGCGAGCTTTTGGCCAGGGGTCAGAGGGTGTGTTTCGAGCATGGTGAGGTCTGCTTCCACCCATCGACTCTGGAGTAATGTTCCGACTGTAACAAATGCTCCGAATATCGTAGCATCACGCGCAAGTCAGAAGTGTCTTGGTACAGGGCAAGACGATGGACACGCAGTGTGCGGCAGTCTCCTCTGGGGGCAACGGCAGGAACACCTTTGGTCGTCTGAGTCTTGGTCAGACCAACGCTGGGACCGACAACAAAGCCGCGGGGCAGATGGCAGACGAGTAGTAGCGGAAGTCAGCTCTGGCGATGTTGATCCGTCAGGAAGAGGGTCGCACGATGTTGGACCCGTTGTTTGGAATATCGGGTACTACGAAAGCAGGCTGGCGGTCGTCAGTCCCAGATGGTGGAACACGGTGCCAGTGGCGTAGATCGGATGTTAGTGCAGCTAGCGGTGCCGTGCCGCCATTAGATCGCGGTTGGAGCTGACATCTCCAGCTTAGTCCGGGCGGCGATTATGTACGCACCCCTGTCAGCCAGCTGGGCCGGGCCAGTGAGGCGATCATGTTCCTAGGAACCCGCAGCAGACGGCTAAGATCTGCTTCGGGCTCCCACACGATGCCGCGGCTTAGCTCACTCGGGAGACGAGACAGTCTTGTCTCGATCTACTATGCCGCATCCCATCACCGTCTTCATTCCTGATTCGGGGAGAGGCAAAGCCAGCATGCGCTTATCAAAATGTGGCATCCATCCGTCCCGGCCGGCCTGGGGTCCGCAAGAAGCGAGGCAGATCGCTGCATGCCATCTCGCCATGATACGCGATATGCCGGGCCGATATCAAATCACGAGAGAGTTCGGTCCTGGAACGGACTTCTTGCTTCGTCTGTTGGTGCCTAAGACTGAAGGGTGTCGCGAAGGAAGGCATAGTATGCGGCACAGATGCATCACGGCATCCACAATTCCACATGCCAAAAACAGCACCAAGGACCAACTGTTCCCCTGCCAAGCAGACCCCACATGCAAGAAAAGGCCCCCACCCCCCCAGCTTGATGAAGTTGATGCAGAGCAGTCGCCTTCGTCGAAACCAACCTTGGAACACATAAGGGCTTGCCTTGGATACCACAGATTTGCCTGGCATTGGTTGATGTTGGCCTGTTTCATTCAAGCAGCCCTCTATTACGTTGATACGGGATCGCAACGCCTGCCCCTAATAACGGATTTGTAGTGGAGTTCGGGAAGTTTGCTGTCACAACCCAGGCACAGCTTTATCTAGAGGAAGGACATGCCCAACTCATTTCTTATTCGGCGAGAAGATACTTGTTGAGCGTTGACGTCCCTTTGCACAACTTGAAGTGCACTGGTGATGTCTTGCGGAAGTTTCAGGTCGTCCTGGGCAACTAACCAAATCGCTCGGCCGAGGAAACACAAGATCCCCCCATCTTGGCCGCAGTCAGCGTGCGGCGGTGATGCCACCTGCAGGAACGGGGGCCATATCAGGCCTGGACGGCTGGGCCTGAAGTTGTTATACTAGGTACTTATTTCCAAGTCGCTGACTTGAGCCATTCGGGGGGCGCATATTCTGACATCAAGACAACATTTGGACTGTTACGGGTAACGATGACAATCAGCCCCGCGGAAACATAACGATCCGCATGTGCCCGGCGGGCTAAGCTGAGTAACCAACTCTATCACACCTCAGTCTAGGGGCCTATAAGATAACTTAGCAAATCTGCATGGGCCCGACTTCTGCGTATCCGTGATGGGGAATGCTAACTCGGAGAGTCACAGGGAGGGCCAACTGCATAAGACCCATCCATACCTTAGTGGGCTTCGTAGCTCCGTTGGAAACAATAGAGAGAACTACTCCCAGAAGATTATCTCAACATGATTATTAACTTGCTGTCCCGAACTGCAGCTCCCAAACAGGTCAGGGAATGTTGAAGGCAACCCTAACCCGATTTCCTACGGCATCTACATGTGAGCAGGATCGATGGAACTTGAACTGTCAGCGGCAATAGCTGTCAGCCCCTGCTCTCGAACTCACTAGTACTAGGTAGTATGTACCTACTCTAACAACGCATACTACGAATGAGGAAAGCTCGTAAAGAGCACACCTGCCATTGGTGTCGGCTCGCAGTCGAGAAGGCGCGGTCGTACGATACCTACCTTAACCAGCCCTAACCCTGCACTGAAGAAGATGCCTCGGCAGACGTACCAGGTGGGCCTCAAAACTGCCACACTCAACTGAGACCTCATGAAGCTCTTCAACTCATCAACTGCCCCTGCGATCAATCGCATCTGTCTGCACCCTTTAGCGTTAAACTTGTAGTCAAGAAAGATGGGTCCTAGGCCGGGCCAGAAGACGGTGCTTATCACCGGGTACAGTTCCCGCCGCGCAACGGGCAGTCGCCAAGGATTCCGTTGACAACCGTCTCACCTTCAGATGCACCCCGGGTGGCATTGGCCATGCCTTAGCCATGGAATTCCACGCCAAGGGTACGTCTCACATGCCTTCGAGATGCTCAACTCAATACGTTACCGCCCTAACGCTGAGGCCTTAGGCCTACACGTCTTCGCAACGGCGCGCAACCCGGCAGTCCTCGCCGAAATGGCGGCCGTGGGCATGACCACGCTAGCCTTGGACGTCACCAAGGCAGACAGCATCAAGACCTGCCACGACGAGGTCTCCAAGCTCACCGGCGGCAAGCTGGACATTCTCGTCAACAACGCGTCCGTTTTCCCCCTCTGCCTCCTCTCCGACAAGATCATCATCCATCAGTGAGGTAGGTAAAAAGTAAAAAAGAAAATTACTACTAACCACGCGCCCGTCGTAAACAGCGGCCGCACCCACACGCACCCGGCGACCGACATCGACATGGACGACGTGCGCGAGACGTTCGAGACCAACGTGTTCGGCGTGATGGCCATGTGCGCCGGCTTCGCCGACCTGCTGATCGCCGCGCGGGGGCTGATCATCAACATCGCCTCGCTGGCCGCCATCACCCCTTACATCTTCGGCTCCGTCTACTGCGCCACCAAGGGCGCCGTGACGGCCTACTCGCGCACGCTGCGCCTCGAGCTCAAGCCGTTCGGCGTGCGCGTCATGGTCGCCATGACCGGCACCGTCCGCTCGCAGATCGCCAGCCGCCCGCACCGCTCCCTGCCCGAGGGCAGCATCTACCAGCGCGTGCGGGCGCTGTTTGAGCGCCGGTTGACCTTCAGCCAGAACACGGCGACCGTGGATACCGGGGCGTATGCGCGCAAGCTGGTCGGCAAGGCGCTCGCGCCGGAGTGGCCGCTGCTGTTCCGCACGTGGTTCGGGCGGCCCGACTGGTTCTGGGGCGGCGGCATGGCGGGCCCCGCGTGGCTGTCGACCTGGTTTGGCGAGTGGATCCTGGATTTTGTCTTGTACCGCATGATTGGGATGCCGCTGCTGGAGAGGGTGTTGAGGGAGGAGGAGATGCTGAAGAAGTTGGAGTGAGCGGGTTTGGGCGGCGGCGGGGATGCTCGGGTACCAAAAGCGTTTTTGTATTGCTTTCTTTTCTTTTTATTTTTCTATTTCATATTCGGCCTTTCCTGCGGTTACGTGAGTAGTGCGATTGGGGCGGGTGGCATTTGTCTTGAGGAAGAATGTGTTCAACGGCGGCCTTCGCGGTAGCGCATTGGCGGCATACTCATTTTATGTACTGAACTGAAAATATGTGCAAAGAAGCGCCGAAGCGACCAGCAAACTATGGACACGAAATGGGGATTAACTAGGTACCCGTAAGCTTTCCAATTCCCAGCTCCTCTCATTCCCTCTTACCTTCCCCCCTCGTGCAATCACCTCTCCTTTAGCAGGTGAAAACCTTCGGGCCGGGGATGGTGTAGGGTTGCGCTGTACAGAATCACTCACGTCAGCAATATGACTTTTTGACCAGAAAACGCCGAGCAATCAAAAGAACCTAGAAACGCACCCTTGTACGCATCGTAGGTGATGCCCGGATCCGACCCCTTGTAGGCGCCGGGGAAGGCCACCAGGCTCGAGGGCACCGTCGACCCGCCGCCGGTCACGTTGAGCTGGTGGCAGCCCGGGTAGAACTGGGCGCCGGGGTACTGGTAGGCCGCGTGCAGGGCGATGATCTCGTGGCGGACGAGGTAGAAGCCCTTCTTGAGGCAGGACGGGATGGTGTAGGTGTAGGAGGTGGGTGCCTTCATCAGAGGGGTCTATATACAAATAAATTAGTAAATGCGCGTGTAAGTCATTGATGGTCAACGAAAACAAGGAATAGGGCAATAGGCGTGGAAAAATATATATAACATACCGCAGCCCAGTTGTTGGACGTGCCGTCGCGGCCGCCCTCCTTGACCTTGAACCACACGGCCGACGTGCCCGGGTTCCAGTCCTGGCAGCCCGTGTCCGGGCAGCGCGCCATGTAGGTGATGACGGGCCCCATGTGCGAGTCGGGCCACAGCGTCCAGCGGAGCGTCACGGTCGAGCCGGCCGCCGCCGTGGCGTGCAGCTTGGCAGGCGTCGCGCCCGCGTTGCACTGCACGTCGATCGACGTCACGTCCTCGACGGGGCCGTTGCCGGGGATCGACCGCGAGATCCGGTCGGGCTGTGTTTTCGGTGGTAATTCGACGTTAGTGTCTCTCTGTGTTCTTGGAGCATTCAAATTGGTTATGATGGATTATTAAAGGATTATGGTTATAGTTACCTTGTTATTTCCCATGTACGGGTCCTGGTATGGCTACAATCGAGGTATAGGTGTGAGTGATCTGCCGAGATGGAACCAAGTAGGAAACAGGGCAGCTGGTAGCGAGCGTACCTGGTAGAACTGGTACCGGAATTGTTTGTCAGCATCAACATGCAAAGTGGAAGTGAAGATATCCACGGGGAGATAATCTACCTGATAGAACTGCCCGCCGATAGTGGCGTTGTCGACATAACCGTGGGCGGCCACCAGACCAACCGAGGCCAGAAGCGCGATAAGAGTCTTCATTGTCGTCGATGCTGGGGATAACTAGAAGGCTAGTGATGACAAGACTGCGAAGATAAAACACACTCGTCGACGTTCCGACTGACATCTTTCAAACTTCAGACGGTGTTTCTTCTTTCTACTCTTATATCCGCAGGACACCGTCCCCGCAGCCACAGCATCCCATTCCCAGCGTCCCGAACTCCCGATCGAAAGGAGTTCGAAACAATTCAGGACCCATGGTGGACTGGCGCTTCGTGAACTTTGACAGCTTGGCTGCGGACACCCAAAAACTGTCCGAAGCTGGTTCGGGAGCCTTGGCCGACGCTCGCGCAGCGGTGAGGATACTCCAAGAGGAAAGCATGGACAGGGTTCGGAATGAAGGAGCGCGCGGCTAAGGGAGATCCTCGGCTTGGCGATGTCGCAGCTTTGCTGGCACGCGTGGCACGCCGCCGCAAAGTGTGGGATATGTGGGGACTATACGTGTACCGTAAAACAACCCGGTTTGGGTCGGTCTTGGGGTGCCATTGGGGGAGCCGCACTAAACATCATGGGGCATGTCGTTCCGTGAAACGGTGCAGCTTGCTCAAGATGATCCACCAATCGAGGCATCACTGAGGTTGTCGTCGGAACGGACTCCGGCGAGGGAAGTGCGTAGGAAAAGGAGAAATGGGGGAGAAAAGAGATCAAAAGTTCCAAAACTACTGAATGGGTGGGATACAGGGGAGGTTATGAGCATGTAAAAATCAAAACTGTCGAGGCGAGACAAACGAGAAAGACCACATTGAATGTGGGGAAGAGCCGGCTTGATGGGAACAACCTGGAAGGACTAAGGAAGGAGAAGACAGAGGTGGCCACTGCACGGATGCGTAGTACGTACGCGGTGCTATGTAGGTACGGTATTCGAGAACATCCCCCAAACCGACCGACCAGACGCTCCAAGGCCTGACCCCCGGGTCGTGCAGGTCAAAGCATCCTTGTGCCTCCTCGACGCCAGGATATGCTCTCTCCAGAGCCAACCCAGACCCAACGTCGCGCCGGGCCCAACCGCCAGCACACTAACCAACCCAGCCCGATCGCTGCCGACAGATCCCAGAACAGATAGCCCGGCAACACGAGGTGCGCCGAGAAGCCAAACGCCTCGTCCCACTTCAGAAACTCGCGCGTGAAGCCGACAAACGAGGGCAGCGGTGACGCCGATGCCGAGGAGTTGGCCGAGGGCGGTGAAGAGGTTGGGTCTGTGGTTAATAATAATGATAATAAGTGAGGTTGGGCACGGTAGATACGTTGGAGAGGAAGGACGGAAACGAGGGAAAGGAGAAGGGGGAATTTCTGACAAGACCATCGGAGTGAGGATATTTGCGCGGCGGATGGACTCGAACATCCAGATGGTCAGGAGAACAGTGCCGTCGGTCAGGAAGGAGACCAGCTGCCGGCGCGAGACCGGGTCGGTGCCGTACAGGGCGGGGAAGAAGAAGGCGTTGGTCAGGGCCACGAAGTCGTCGAAGTCGCGGACGCCGTAGAAGCTGCGCAGGATGGGCACACTTGTTCTGGGAGCACGGTGATGTCTCCGTGGCGGGCAACGAACGGCCGCGTGTCATCGTCGGTGTACCGCGGAATGTTGCCGAGGCGGTATGTCTTGGGCAAGCGCTCCTGTGTGAACCAATATGCCCCCCCGCCGCCTCCTCCCCCCTCGCCCCCCCCCCCCCCCCCCCCCCCCCCCCCCAAAACACACGTCATCGGCATCGTGCCGGATGTCAACGACATCTTTGTTTACAAGGATCTTGGTGCCGTCCTTCAAGTTTTCGTAGAGAAGTCGCAGTAAGATCTGACGTTCGCCCCAACAGCCCGAATAGCCTGTTCTGTATACAGAGTGTGAGAATGCGTGGCTGAAAACCGCATCGCGAACGGGATTGTCCTCACCGTGCACGGAAGAGGTGAGGGATGGAGTCTGGCGGAGAGATGGATTGCCCTTTGCTGTCTCGGTTGTAAAAGACATTGAGAATCTCCCTGGAGTGGCTTGCGTGAGAATCATGCCAGTTAAGGTAGCAGCGTCCGTTCTCAGGTACCATTTCCTTGATGATCCTGCCCCACACCCTGAGTTGGTCGAAGATCTGGATACAACAGAAAGCAGACGAGACATCAGCGTCACGGTGATGCATAGGTAGGTAAGGACTCTCGACGCGAGCCATCGCATGCTGTCCATCAGATGAGTTCAAGAGTTCGAGGCAGTTTATCCCTGTCGATTAACGCGATGGTGCTGTTCAAACTCAGACACGGAGAAAGAATGTAGTGTATATAACTCTCTACGGTTTTAGCATCTAAAGCAATTGAGAAGGACCGAAACATGTTACCACCTTCGAATTCATAGTGACTCCGTCGCTGATGATCTAATTGCCGCTCATGACGAGCGCGAACCCGCGTAGAGTGGAAGCAATCTGGTCTGTTGATTAGACTCAACCTTGATGGCATGCTGAGGATGGTGAAGGGAATAGCCATAGTGGACTACTCAGTTCAACTGAAACTATCACTGGCATGGCCCCCAATCGTGAAACAGATAACATATGGGACCCGAATCACAATAAGATCATGATATGCCATACTCACTCATCTTGATAGCGGAAGATCGTTTTCTCCCTATAATTTAATTATATTGAACCACACTGTCATGGTTCCGTAGTATGTACGCTCGAAGCCACCTCGAGGAGATGTGTGCATCGAGTGTGCCGCAGAGATGTTTCTGTCGTCATTCTACATATCATCAGCCCACGGCCTTTATCTCTGATATCTGATGCAGGCAGGTGGGGGTGCCATGACCTGCATGCTCTCGCTCAATGAGCCAATCGCGATGCCAAGTGAGCCAAGTCGATTTGCTGCCAATTTTGGTTCCCTTGATCCGGGCCAAGCACGCTAGCAAAGGATTTCCAGGGGCGCTTAGCCGAGTTGCCGCCACGGCGGTTGCCGCGCCACGTTTTTGTCGATCTTTAAACGTGCGGCGTGGTGGCGCACGGCTCGAACATGCGGTGTTCTCCGGCTGCGAAACGTGCGAATGATTGATATCACGTGGGATGAGAAGACATGGAAACCACGGGTTCGGGACGGAAAAGGATGAAAAAAGTGCATACAAGCAGCTCGGGCATCCGGTATGCCGTACGTAGAACGCAGTCAGAAAATCGGCGCGGGCCGTCGATCTCGGTGGGGCGGCATAGCGTCGGCCTCGGCCCTACTGCATGCACGCTTGACTGCAGTTTTTCTTTTGGCTAGCGAACATGCGTGGATACCGATTAGCCTAAAGAAACAATCTGTCGAGGATCTATTTTCTTTTCTTTCGAATTTCAAGCATACTGTTGACTTGGCAAGCCTTATTTCTCCAGGATGGGCCTGGAAAGTCGCTGAATGGGCAGCCAAAAGGTTGGGGTCCCCCACGTGCAGTTGTAGCCCCTCGGTGGTCTCGATTTCTTATGTTGTTCGAGAAATCTCCCAACGACCTAGTCCAACGACACTTTAATCGACACGAGTGATTTTCGGTGAGGCTCTGGCCCCTTTACCGGCACGTGGCAGGGATGTCCACCCTCGGTACGGTGTAATGGAAGTTTGATGCACATAAACCATGCGATCCCCTTCCAATGCTCCCATGTTTCTGGGTCCCTTAACTACCCCTTTACTTCGCCCGTGCGTGTCAAGAGTCCAGACCCTCCACGGAACATTTGCGACGTCACGGACCTTGACGTCCATCCAACAAAAGGAGAATAAGCCACCTTCCCTACAACAACCAGCGCCGTCTTGATCAACTCTATACGGGCCTTGGGATCATGTCAAGATAGCAGAACGGTCAAAACATATACCCGTCATTGGAGCAACACGCAATTCCACACAACGGCAAGGATAGACAGGCGGTTTTGAGATGGGCCAAAAACAGTCGGCAGTTCAGGTACGCAGACCCCTGTTCCAGACAAGCTTTTCCCGGGTGCCTTTTTAGTTTCCTCCTCCCGCGCCACACCAAAACACTGACACTCCCCCCCTCCGGCCCAAAAAAAAGCAGGCGACCTTCTTCTGCCCCGCCACGGGCGCCGAGGTGACGGACCCGCTCGGGGTGTGCGCGCAGTGCCAGAACTGCCACGACATCATCTGGCAGTCGGTCTTCGTGTGCCCCAACACGGGCTACCGGATCGAGAACCCGCCGTCGTCGATGCTGCGGCCGGACAAGGAGTGCCCCAGCTGCTTTCAGCCGCACTCGCCCTACAGCAAGCGCGTCTACGTCTGCCCCGTGACGGGCGCCCAGATCGCGCACCCGCGCGACACGGGCGGCAAATGCCAGCGCTGCAGCCGGAGTCACGAGGATAACTCGACCCCGATCGGGAGTCGGGAAGCTGTGGTTGCGCGGGCGGGGAGGGATTGATTGGGGTAGGGTGAGAGAGGAGGAGGAAACTGACTGATCGATTGAGGAGGGGTGATTGGAAGGTAATGGTCGAATCGGTTGAGGGGTTGGGAAAGAGAATGGGCAAGGGAGGGAGAAGAGGAGGAGGACAGCAGCGCGTGGCTGGGATGCTTTGGGAAAGGGAAGTTTTGGACAAGAAAATTTGGTTGGAAGCTTGTGCTGCATTATACCCCTAAACAGGACTGGGAGAGCTGCCGTCAGCTGGCTCTCGGTAGCGGCGATAGATTTGGCGAGGCATTGGGTATCCTTTGTTTATTTATTCCCTCGGCGAGGGACTGATACCACTTGGGAATTCATCTTTTTGGGTACAAGTCTTGGTAATGTAATGGCAATTTGGGTTTTGGTCTGCAGGCGGGTTTATCGGTTTGATGAGGTGACAAGCATGCAGAGCCCTGGCCGCATGGCTGTGATCACACCAGACTGGACGGAAAGAGGGCCATGCAAGCAGTGTCTTCATCGGCGAATGCCTGGTTACACTTTTGGTGTACTCGATAGATGCGGAGCGCCATTGAGCGGCCCGGCCATCGGTAAGTCTCAGGCGCCCCTGAAGTTGTTCCGCAGTCTCATGCCTCGGTGCAGACTTGCAACCAGACTGAAAAGCAGACTCCAATGCTGTCCGAGGGGAGGTGCTCTTGCTTCCAACATCCGCTTAAATCCCTCAGACCACCATTGTTCCCACCAGAAGAGAGCTTGGGATGGCAGTAAACACTTGATGTCACGTTTCACTCGGTTCGTCCGGTTGATGAACACGGCACTGCTGTACAGGTTCCACAGTACCAGTTGCAACGGGTATCATCCTCGGAGACAGCATTCGGATGGAAACTGAGCTCTCGCCTGCATGCAGGGCCTATGGCCCAGGCCCTTCGACAACGACACCTTCCGGGGATATTGGATGGCAGTCAGCGGTAATGTCACTCTCAACATTAGCCGGCTGGCTGCTCGCTCTCAACAGCTGCAGGTCCAAATTTACTCTTCACGGGGATTCCTTTACCCACAAATTACCATACCTCCCAGCTTCCGCGGGACCCTGGATCCAGCTGGATATTTGATATTGTTTGCTATATTTATCCCGCAGTATGCTTTCCTCACCCCGTTCTTCGCACGCTGTCCTCGTAACGTCCCAAGCGAGATGTGCCAAATACCAACGAGAAGCTACCACATCATACATAGACTGTATTGACGCCTATAACGGGAAACAGGGCGACTACTTCCCGTCACTCTACAGTTAGCTCGTGATTGAGGTTCCATCATCTGCCACGATCTTCGGCAGTAACAGCAGGCCTTATCCGAGCTCTTCAGCTAGACTCACTACTCTGGTTGGGAGTTTAAAGTCCAGGATGCACCCTATAGCTCGAACTTGGTCTTGGTGTTGTTCCGGGACTTTCACCTCGGACACTGTGCCTTTGGGACACTAGGCCAAGTTATCCAAGAGCTTCCCGTCTCACATCACCATGGTCAACCTCTCACGAGCTGGGAATCTCCTGCTCTTGGCCTTAACCTTCTCCCATCATGCCGCAGCAGTCTGCACACGCAGCGTCATAGCCAAACAAGGAGACACTTGTGCCACTCTAGCCGCGCAGGCCGGAATTACCGTCACACAGTTCCTCAGGTCCAACCCAGCCGTGACGAGCTGCTCACAACTTGTTGCAGGAGCGAGCTACTGCGTTGAAGGCACAAATGACAGCGCACCGACCCCTTCCTCAACGGGCTCCGCACCCCCTACTTCAACCTCACCTTCGGTCAGCACGGACGGGACCTGCGGTGACGGAGTGACGTGTGCGGGCTCGAGGTTTGGGAATTGTTGCTCGGCCCACGGCTTCTGTGGCAGCACCGACGACTACTGTGGCGACGGATGCCAGCCGGGATTTGGCACTTGTGGCAGTGGAGGGGGCATAACCTCTCCTCCGGCCTCCACCACTGTCACCGTCACCGTCACCTCCATCACGGCTATTACCCGCACGTCGCTGGTCTACCAGACGTCGACCATCACCAACGTTGTCACCCGGACGCAGACAGCTGCTACTACTACCGTGACCCGGACGACCATCGAGACGAGCCAAGTTACGGACGTCGTCAGCAGAACGGTGACCGCCACAGTAACAGCAACAACAGCCACCGCCATCGTCACGCGGACGTCGACAACCACGTCAACCAGTCTGCGGACATCGATCGTCACGCGGACATCGACGACTACGTCGACGTCAATCGACCGAATCACTACCATCATCACGTCAACTCACGTCATCACCTCAGCTTGTCCCACCGCGCCCACTAAAACCATCATACCAATTACCACTACTAGTACCGCCACGCGGACACAGCCCGGAGCGCCGTCTCCGACCCTGCCTGGGACGCCTCGCAACTGTGAGTTTTCCGATTGTCGCGGTTGAGTTACAAGGCAGATATCAGCCGCTGGGTTATGCCGGGCGGCAGCCCTTTCATTTCGACACTACTAGCCTCACCCCAACCATGCACAAGAGAAAAAAAGAAGAAAAAAAAAAAGAAAACGAGGACCATACCCAAGCTAACTGACAACCTCTTCTCAGGTAAACGGTACGACATGATCCAAGCAGACGACACTTGCCGCAGCATCGCAAACCGGAACGATCTCTCTCTCCTAGACTTGTAAGTAGTAATTCCTCTTTTCTCAAGCCTCTCCCGTCTTCGACCCAGCTTTGAATTATTGCATCTCTCTTCCCCCCTCCATGCCCACGTCATCATTATTCATCCATCCCCATCAGCCTTCTTTGCATTGTGCATTGTGATTCAATCAAAAGAGGGAGAAACAAGGGGGACCCATGCTGATCTGACCTGACCTGACGGGAAAAAAACAGCTATGATCTCAACCCATCGGTGAGCGACTCCCTCCTCACCCTCTGCACAGGCGACATTCTCGAGGCGATACTAAGTGGGCTGTGCCAGATCTCGTGCGATGCCCTGTGGGAGGGCTATTATGTGTGTATTGGCAGATGATGAGGATGATGATGATGGTAGGACGACGATGACAAAGCGGTGGGGTGGGAGGCTAGGTGTTTTATCAAGCTGGACCAAAGGGGTGCTAGGTAATGCGAGGAGGAGGTTCGGTGACAGTTAGTAGTAGTGTTTGTAGCCCGTGTGGTATTAATGGCATGGATTTCATGAATCCTACCTATCCTTTCACTTACAGGTGGAAATCGCTATAATCGGATGTCGCTACAGGTCTCGGCCACATGTAAGTACAAGGAGGAGATGGCAAAGAACAAAGGGTCGGCTGTTGCAGAGTGATTTGGCAGTGTTCCGCTCAACTCCTACGCACCTAGCTAACATAGGTAGGTACCGAACCAGATCTGTTTACATCCATCCATACATCCAAGACATTGCAGCACCCCACAAAGTAGTAGCCGTCCGCCCATCCCACGCTCGTCCTCTCTCCGCGCGCTATGCTTTCCTAATATACACCTCCAGCCCTGACTGGACGACGAAGAACGACGCGTTGGCTTTGAGAGGGCGCCCCGGATGGGCGAGCTCGAACCTGTAGTCGCGCAGCAGCCTGGGGACCACCTTGTTGATCTCCAGGAGGGCAAGGTTCCGGCCAATGCACAGGTGGCTGCCGCCGCCGAACTGTATTTCCAAAAACAAGTCAGCTCTTGCAACAATGTAGGGGAAGGAAAAAAAATGCGAAAACTAAACTAAACTCACCTGGAACATATACCGCTCCATCCTTCTCGCGCGCTCCTCATCCTCCAGCCACCGCTCCGGGCGGAAGTCGTCGGCGTCCTGCCCGAAGATGTCCCTGTCGCGGTGCAACACCCAGCCGTTGCAGGCGACCGACACGCCGCCGGGGAAGAAGTGGCCGTCCAGCTCGGCGCCCTCGGGCGGGACGAGCCGGGTGATGTTGAGCCCGACGGCCGGGCGCACGCGCATGGCCTCCTTGAGGCAGGCCTGCAGGTACGCCAGGTTCTGCGACTGGTTCCACGAGAGGTTGCCGTCGGCGGGAATCGTGCCCGCCCGGACGGCCTCCTCGAGCTCGCGCACGATGTTGTTGTACACGCGCCGGTCGTCGAGCGCGTGCCAGAAGAAGGACTGCATCGTCGAGGCCGTTGAGTCGGAGCCGGCGAAGCTGTCGTTTGTGGGTATGGACGTTAGCAAAAAAAAAAAAAAAAAAAAAGAAAAAAGCAAGGGGAGTGACCTTGAGAGGTTGGTTTAGAATGTCATATCGGAAGGCAAACTCACATCGCACCATGCGCCACAGCAAAGACATCGCCTTCCCTGAACCGCTCCGGGTCCTTCAGATGGCCCTGGATCAAACTGGCCATGAGATCCTGCCTGCCGTCCCCCGTCCGCAACAGCCCGGCATTGTCCTTATCAAACGGCTGCCGCCTCGCCATCTCCTCCAGCGCCATCCTCGTGATCAGCGCGTTCTTGGTGCTCAACCAGGGGATGTACTGCCACAGCGGGTTCCTCCGCAACAGGTGGTCCAGCTCCGGCACCTGGCCCACAATGCCGTTATACATCTGCGAGTTGTCGATTGTCTTGATGGCGTTATCCACGTCTCGCCCCTCGGCCAGGAAGCCGAAGCTCCGGCTGAAGGCCACCTCGCCGAGCACATCAAAGGCGAAGTAGTGCAGGTAGTCGCCCAGGTCGAACACCCCGCGGTTCGCGGCGATGTGCTCGTCGATCTTGCGGACCAGCAGCTCGATCGTGTCGTTGATGAAGGGGCTCAGCTGCTGCATGGCGGCCATGCTGTAGGGCACGTTGGCGACGCGCTTCTTGGTCGCGTGCACGTCCTCGCGCGTCTCGGTGAAGATGTCCGGGTTCTCGGGCGGCGGGAAGACGCCGTAGAAGGGCGTCTTGAAGAAGCGCTTGCCCGCGCTGAGCAGCGTGCGCGCCGCCTCGGGCGACGACACTGACACCTCGTTGGGCGCGATGCGCACCACGGGGCCGTACTTGCGGTGTAGCTCGATGTGCTCTAGGTGGGTGCGCCCGGATGCCGTCGACTTGACCTTCCAGAGGCGCGTGACGGAGGCGAGGAAAGGCCCTGGGTATTTGCGCAGGGGAGAGGCATAGCGCTTGTACAGCGCCCGGACGACGAGGGCGCCGACGAGGGCGAGAGCCCAGTGTGCTGCGAGGAAGGCCAGGGCTGTGCCGACGAGGGTTTTGGTCTGGGGCTGGTGGCCGTCCGCGGCCTTTAGGACGCCCATGCTGGTTGTCTGTGGCCGCTCGGCCTGGTAGCGATGGTATAGGGGTGTTGAACCTTGGTGACAGCAGGCAGACTCGGAGATAGTCAGGTGCAAGTACAAGGGCAACTGTTGAAGTTGCCAGTGTCGGAGACGTTATAAAGCTATGTTGTTTCGGGTGAGTAGGGCATGTGCGCGGTAGCTCTGGGAAGTTAATAGCCAGCAGTACCCAGCTGCACCCGACGACCTCCTCACCTCCAAGGCGGCCCCGTGACGAGCGTATGTGTAAGACATCTGCCGACTCTCTCCTAGGGCATGTTGGATATCCGCCAAGATCCGGTTGAACATCAACCGGGGCTCCAGCGACCGGAAGCAGCCGATCACCCGTCCACTTGGGCCCATTGGCTGACCCAAGAATGCTTTGCATGTCGTGGATGCATCCACGATGAGTAGCGGGTCCAATCAGCGGGAAGGCATTCGGATATCAGAAATAGAGTGCGAGATATGGAGAGCTGGGGAGTGCGGAGAAGCGCCAGCCTGGCGAGCCGGCTCCGCGTGAAACAAACGAACAAATACCTACACTGTATGCAACCGTGCTCACCGGTCGGCACCGTACCGTCATATATGCAGTTCTCCTCTCAACGAGGAGACAGCTTCGTATTACGGGTTTATGCTCCTTATCCCGTTCCCGGAACAAGGGGAGACGACGACGACGATCCTGCATGTCCATCACGCCGCGGAAAGAGGCAAACGCGGTAGTAGGTATCCTCTATTGCAAATATCCACGACGTTGGGGACTTTGAAGCACTCCGTGCAAGTTGTCTGCTGTGCGGGGGACGCGCAATGTGCCTGCTACTCCGTTCCTCTCGGCAGTTGTTTTGGCCTGGCGGAGGCGTCGCTTGTGGGTACTCGAGTTGAGAACTGGAGATCCAAGCGGGGCGTTCGACAAACAACGCAGATGGAGGTCTTGACAGTTGGCTTCCAATTGAGGAGCCTCACAGATCTCATCGCACTTTTGTCACTGATATGACTGATATTGTCGCAAGACAAAGTATAAAGCAGTCAGCTCGCATCAACAAACGCGTTGTTACATGATCGAGTACTTGGAGGTGATGGGATGAAGGTACCCGATCGCCCGGTCCCACGTGGGGCGGTCCCGCTTGCGGATTCCGGGGAAGCGGCTTGGCGGTGTGGGACCTACGCGGCTCATCCTGCAGGGTGAGATACCTATTGTGTCATGCGGACAGAATGCTATGTCGGGTGATCATTCAGGACGTCTTGAAGGCATTCATAATTTGACCCAAACTGTCTGAGGAGCCCCGTATTCTCCGAGTAAAGCAGTGTGCTGCATGGGAACTGATTGTGTTGTACCATACTACTTCGTACATACACTGGCAGGTGAAGGACGTTACATGCGAGTGCCCGAGACAGGTTAGGTTCCAAACTTTAACTCTCACGGCATGAATGCTGCATCAGGCAAGCAGCTGGTTGGGTTTCACAGTAACGTCATCTACAACGCCCAAAGACGCTCGGAGAATGGTCGTGTCACTCGGACTGATAGCTTGTGGGACCATCTCACAAAGACCCAGAGTTGAAGATCCGACAAATATCAAGACTTCAATACATCAGCCAAACTGAGATCCTCGAAGTCCAGTTCAGCGTATATCACAGCTGTAGACCCCGCCTTTTCCTCTCCCAGGACTCCAAACTCCAAGCATGATGCAACGTCCAGCCTGACGGGCGACATGAGCGAGTCGCTTCCCGCACTCTTGCCTCCGAACCACATCCCGGCAATGCAATCCAATTAGATGTCCACCTTCTTCTTCGCCGCGGTCTTCTGTTTCCTCAGCTTCGCCTTGCGCTCCGCAATCTCCTTATCCAATTTATCGTCATTGCTCTCCGGCAACGCCTTCTTGACCTTCTTCTTGCGCCCCTCCTCCGTGACTGCTTCCTCCGCGGCTGGCTCAGGCTCAGCATCTAGCAGTTTCCGCTTCTTGCCAATGTTTGGCTTCTCCCGATGCTTGCCAGGAAGCGCGCTTGGCGGCTGCTGGCCGTCGGGAACAACCTTGGACTCATCCAGCCAGAGCTCGTCCGTTTGATAGACGGGCAGAGCGGCCGTCTCGGGGCCCTTGATATAAATATTCCGCACGTTCTGCCACTTTTTCGGGACAAAACGCTCCACCAACTCGCGGACGAGCGTCTCGATGTTGGCAGCGAGCTTCTCCGGCTCCCAGCTTGCGTATCCGACCTTGACTGCCGTGTTTGTCGACGGGCTGAGGTGGACGAGTGCCGCCCCAATGGCTTTCTGGACCTCGCTGACAATCTCGGGGATCGGCCGAGCGTTAACATTCTCCGCCGGGTCACGCTTCGTCTTCTTGCCCTTGGGAGCGGGCACCCGCTTGCCATCGATCTTGGCCCGTTGCGCCATCAGGACCACGGGAATAGGCCGCTTTACTGTGGACTTGTAGAATGTTTTCCCGAGCGCCTTGGGCAGACGGTTAATAATTCGATCGTCAGCGAGGAAAACGTCGTGTTCGCTAAAGAGCTTCCGCTGCGCCTCGAAAGTCTTGAACTTGGCCCTCAGGTGGCTAATGTCGATGACCCTGCCGATCTTGGTCCGGAGATCCTCGGGAAACCCGTCCGCGACCGCATTTTTGTACCAGCGCTGTGGATCGGCCGTTATTAAGCAAACACTCAGCTCTTCACTGGAGTTGAGGGGATGAGGGAGGACGATTTTGCCAGGTTGGAGACCTGAGCTGTTGTAAGCACGCGCCTTCCTCTCTAGGGCCGGATGGACATACGGTGTGAGTCATGGATGTGCTTCTTCGTGGTGAGAGTGAGCCAAACAGGCGTTTCGGACACCGTCGATTCCTCGTCAGCAAGCAGGTTCTGCTTGCCGTCGCTACGAGGTGTTGTCGCGGCCTTCTTGATGTGGGCGACAAGCGCTTTGCAGGCCTTTAGGGTCTGCTCCGAATCAACAGGAACCGAAGCATCGGCGGCCTTCGCAACAGCTGTTGATTTCGACATCTTGGTTCGATGGCGGGATGTGTCAATCGTCGGTTGTCGCATTCACAGCGCAATTGTGTTCCGCTGTCTGAAGTCCCAGGAAATTTTGGCTTATCCGGGAGCTGAATTTTCCCGACCTTATCACCGATAAGAATAGACCCTTGTCACTTACTAGAAGCGGCAGGTGGGGCAGATGCTAAGTGGGCTAGGGTGGTGGGCCCCGGGCCTTTCTGAATGAGATGTCGGCAGGCACTTGAAGGTCTTAGGTTCACTGCATTGAAAGCTGTCGTCGTCGTCCGTTGTCCGAAAAGACAATAGATAGCGAGGGTCTTATAGGCCCTTCTCTATATCCCCAGCCTACACTATGACCCGCCGTTTCCCCATACCCATTCGTCTATTCTCATGACCATAACTACATCGACATAGACCTTACATCCTTTCCACACCTGTTCCTCCAACACACCACCTCCAATTTTGGCCCTTCCCATCCTCGAAGACAGCAGCCATCCCCAGAGACCGCCCCGAAAACTCACCCAACACTTCTCCTTCCCGGGGACAGTGATCAAGGGAAAGCAATTATACATCGACAAAATTACGCCTTGCGCTATGCAGCTCCTTCCAAAGCAAACAGTAAGGGGGGGTACAGCTACCTTTGTAGGTAGCAAAGAAGCCGAGCAAAGTACGGGACAGGAAAATAAGGGTATTGCTGGAGCTTTCCGAAACAGACGTAGGCACCTTTCCTGTCTGCCACCAAGCTTCCATACAGGAAGTTTAAGGCATTGACCACTGAAATAAGAGTACAGGAACCCAGCCGGCTCCCGCACCGACACATGACGCCGGTTAGGGGGTGCGCGGCCGCTTCCAGTAATATTGCTGGAAACAAGGCGCATTAGCCACCGGATCAGCGGAGAAGATTGGGAAGAGAAACAAAGTCGGGGGTACTCACTTTGTGTTGCTTCCGACAGTTCCGCAAAGTCGGCTTGCGCAGGCCGTCCGTCACCGCCAAGCGCCGTTGCTCGTCCGTGTCCAGCTCGGGGGTGTAGTAATACTCACTCTCGAGCGGCTTGCCTGCGGCGTCCTTGCCCTGCCGCCGGATGATGCCCACGCACGCCGTTGACTCAATGATGATGCGCAGCTGTTCCTTTGACAGGCCCTTGCGCTCCTCGGCCGGCAGGTTGTTCATGATGGTCGACAGCGGTGTTGAGGATAGGCGTGAGAAGGCCAACTGGTTGATTACGTGGTTGGTGATGGTGGCTGTCATCTCGGCGCTCAGGCCGGTGAGCGAGGCTGGTGTCGCGGCAGAGCGGGGGCTGTTGGCGTTGGCGTCCTTGTCAGATGGGTCGAGCGGTGCCGACGGGGGAAGGGGCGAAGACTCCAAGAGATCAGCAAGCCGGTTGCGAGTGGCGGCCGGCTTCCTGGGCGTCGCGGTTGAAAATGACCCAAAGCGGTTGGATACGCTGGTGCCGAATGGGCCAAACGAGTGCATGATCGGGTCATTTTCCTCGTACGGGTCGTTCTCCCCATCTGACTGAGGATCGCTCAGGTCGCTGGAGAAGCTGTCTGCCACTTGGGTCATGAAGCTTGCAGCAGCGTTTCCGGCCTGGACCGGTTCGGGAGAGCCCTTCTCGTCGGCGCTGGGATCTTCATAGATCTCTACCGGGCCCTCATCATCCTCGCTGTTCCGTGGCATCAGGCTGTCGAGGCTTGCATTTGATGTTGAGACGTTCGCTGGCGTGGGCGATTCGGGGCTGCCAATACGTGTCGACCTCCTAAGCGGACTGCAGTGCAGCTCCGAGCCCTCGCGACGCCTGGCGGCCCTTGGACGCGGCGACTCATCCCAGGAGGAGTCGCTCAAATGGGCCAACACGTCCTGGTCCTTATCCCGACGTGGCCATCGAACGAATACCCTCGCGTGCTGGACGTCGATCATGATTTCGGCACCCTCCGTCTCCGACGTGAACGAATCCCCCTTCGCCAATTCCCACGTCTGGCCCTGGCACCGAACCTTCAGGCCATTCCAACCGTTGCAGACGATCTCGATCTTGTTCGGCTCCAGCGGCTGGGTGGCCGCGATGTAGCGCGCCTTGACGTGAACTCTGCTGATCAAACGGTTTGCCGAAAGCTGGTAATGGGATGAGCTGCTTGAGCGGCCCATGAGCAGAGTCTCACCATTCTCGTTGAGTTCCACGGACGGGACGTCGGAGAGCGGAGTGCGTTCGGACAGGGTGGACTGCGTCCGTTGGAGCGCGGGCCGTGTGCCGAGACGCGGGGGACTGGATGAGAGGATGCCAGTGCTTGATGTTGGCACAGGCGTGGGGTACTTCAGGAACGCATTGGAGTTCGCGTGTCGCTTGGACGGCCGCGGCAGGCTTGGGGAGGACGACAGAGGCTCGAACGGCGGAAGTAATGACGGCGCAGGCCGCTTCGTTCCGGCCACGGTGGGCAGCGTGGGCCCTAGTACCTTGCTGCCCGTCGGCGGGGAGGAGTCCATATCTTGACCTTGTCACGCCGTGGTCATGACAATGCTAAGGGATGGAAGCTCCAATGTGATCGGGAACGCTTGAAGAATGCCCACCAAAAGAGGCAGCGCAGTCGGGCACGTTAAAACGCGTCGGCTGCAGCTCCTTCGCCCTTCCCAGGGCAGTCGACCAGGACCGCGTTTCACGTGTGTCAAGCCAGTGCGAAATGATAATAGCTGTGAAGGCAAGGCTCGAAGAGAAGCGCAAAGCAGAACTGGAAGCAGGAAAGGAGTGGTTGACCTGCGGTCTCTATGCATCTGGCAGAGAAGGCCTGGTTCGGGGAGACCTAAATGTGCCGGGGTGGGGATTTTGATATTTAAGAGATGCGGTCGTGTCTGCGGGACCGTGCCGTGCTCTCACTGTTCCGACGCGAATTCGCTCAGAGCCTATAGCGCTCGCGTTGAGCGTGTTCTGGCCCACCCCCGTAACTGGAGCGCGTCTGGGGGAATTTCAAGCCGGAAAGGGAACAGCGTTTACAATTTTGAGGAGGCAGCGTGTAACGTACGGTATGTGGGTAAATTATGTTTTCAAAATCCGGATAAGTCTATGTCATCCCCAATACACTAACTTGCCATGCTGGGTACTTGGTAACTACTGTAAGTCTCCGAACCTCTCTTGTATCATGTGAAAAAACATCTTGAACACTTCATGCTCCTGTCGTTCGCAATGAATACGGCTGTGACTACGGAAACTTTATCACATCCTAGGTTGAAGTTGTATAATAACATGAGCATGTATGGTATCTGGTATCATTCATGAAGCGTATTGTACGTTACCATACATGACGTACCGGCCAATTTTGTGACTCTTGTTACTCTGTTACGTTCCGACCTTCTAAGTCTGCCCTGCGCCAAACCGCTGTATCTGTATCTCGGATGCCTCGATGGACAATCCCTTTCTTCGCTGCAACTATCCTGCCATTCCTTCCGCGGCCGAAGCACACGCTCGCCGAGTGAGCTGCCACGTCAATATTGAGAGTTGCCACGGGTGCGAAAAGCTTCCTTGCTGCTCCATCACCAGCCTCCTTAAACTCGGATCTTGAAGTAATTTTGCGTTCCCCGCCCCTTCACAAAACACGCGCGGCTCGGAACTCCACCGACGGGGCATCGGAGTTTGAAACATGCATTAGGCGTAGAAGAGCAAAGAAATTCATCTCCGTCAAGTCGCGTTTTTGCGGACAATCGTAGTCCATTCCAGGGTATTTACCTAGTTATCATGCTCTATGACATGGGACATGAATTGGTTCCGTGTTCCCTCTCATCGCCAACCCTCAACTTCCAGTAACGAGGGTCACCGTGCTGCTGCGGCTGCGGTCTTGAGCTGCCCGTAAATAAGCGGCATACCCAATGACAGCAGCAGCACGAACGTCGGAGAGGCAAACCGGGGGTAATGTAGGAACAAACCCAACCTCGTCGTCCCATGTGCTGAGCTTGTCCAACAAACTCGAGGCCGTGTTATCCCATTCCTGAGTCTCCCTTCGCCCAGTCAGTGGGAGACAGTCATATCCACCCAGTTGACAGATAATATCCCATAGACTCCCTTGATCCCCCCTAACCCTGCCGCAAAATGATTACCCAGGTAGTCGTTACCGTACCCAGAACCCAGACCCTTATGACAGAAATGCGCAATGGAGAAAAACAAGGAAATAGAAAGTATAAAGGAAACAGAGGCATCGCACAGTCCAATCCCTCAGAGATCGTCATCACCTCCGGGGCCTGGCCTCGGCTCTGACCTTCCGGGACGCAGATTGAGAGGGCCATAGAAGTCCCCAAATGCCTCCGTCAACAGCTCTTCCGACAACTGCATGTGATCGCCCGGCGCCTTACGGAACTTGAGCCCGCCCTTGCGGTCCAGTTCGCGGAGGCCGATCCAATCCTCCGAGTACATCTTGCGGGCGCGCAACGGCGTGCTCTCGGTGCCGTTGACCTCGCCGAACCAAGCAGTCTCTTTGGGGATGACAGTCGTATCGTCCTCAAACATGTACATGACGAAGTTCTCCAGTTTTACCATATTCTTCTTGTACTGCTCGTTCTTCTCCTCTCTTTCGTTATTGATGTCCGCCAGGAAATTGGAGTGCTCCAGGTACTGCTCGTACTCGTCCGGGTTGCGGTAGTACTGCGCAGGCACCAGTCTGCTTTGCACCATCGAGCTCCACGCGTCCGCCTTGAGCACTGCCATCGCCATCCGGCAGATCCAGTCGGTCGGTGCGCAGTCGCGGAAGGCGCTGATGCCGTTATGCTGCGAACCAAAAGTGATGAGGCTGCGCACGGGGGGTTTGTTGCAGCGCTCGACGTAGGCGCGCAGGAACTGGCCGCCCTGGGAGAAGCCCAGTGCGTCGATGGCGGGGGCTGTGGAGAGGATCGGGTGTGCGGCGATGTCGGCACAGGCTTTGGCGACGTGCTCGGTCAGGTTGCCCACGAAGGAGGAGTACCGATCTCGCGCGGCGTCCTCATCCATGCGAATCGGGTAGACGAATGTTCCGGGGTTGATCTTTTCGGCCAGCTCGCCAACCTGATGCATTCCATCGGCTTGGTATGTGTCGCCGAGGCCTAGCCGAGGTGGTCGGAATGTCAGAATGGTGGCCTTTCAAGGAGGGTAATGGGAGAATTGCGCTTACCATGCCAAATCACTAGAGGCAGCGGTGTGTCGTCGTCGCCGCCATTCCCCAAGCGCGGCTCGATGGGCTTTGCGAAGGAGGATGTGAGGAGAGAGCCGATGGCTAACAGCCGTACACTATGAACGATTGCCATTCTCAGGAAAATGCCAGCGACGATGTTGAATACGGAGAAACGTGAATGAAGCCGGTGGATGCACTCTAATGTAAGGAAGGAATGAAGGTTGGTTAGTTGAACAGTTCAATGATCCGGAAGAGCCGTAAGGGTGCACAAGGCGGCAGTCTTATCGAGCTGCTGGGTCCCTTATCGATGCCCCACCTAAGCTCTACTGTGTAAAACCCGCGAATGCTCCGGGCTGTTTTTTTCCAGCTTTTCTCTTCTGACTTGGCTGTGGTTTTTGAAACAGCGGACCGTGAACGACAGCGCAACCAGTCCTCTACCGTCAGGGCAGAAAGGGGCATCATTTGGAGTGTTGGTAAGTTGCGTTCCATTTCGCACCTGGCAGAGTATTCCAAGAGCACCATGATGATATCAGGTACCTATTCAAATATGTTTCAAGACGGGGCTGAGATCTTTCTGTGATTATAAATTTGCCTACTGAAGCTCAACCTCTTCCTGTTAAAGATTGGAACATCAATGGAGGATGGTGGCTGACCTGGATTACAGTCCTTTTTTATAGAGGCATTCACGTTCACTACCGACGCTTGCCTACGTCCACGCTATAATTAATGTATTGAGAATATTGATGATGACAGTTGAATAGCATTGATAAATGTCAATTAAAACAAACAAAAAAAAGAAAAAAGTCATCGACTTATTCCCCCTCCCCTTGAGGGGTAGGGGGGCGCACCCCCGAGCAACTGTGGTCGGAGCAGGGTCAGGTGGTTAACAACTACCGGCCGATCAAACCGATGACCAAGTTCAAACCGGTTAACCGGTACGCCGAGACCTGGATTGAACCGGTGACCTCCGTCATCAGGAACCCGGAGTTGCACCTACCTTGACCGCTAAGCCACGCAGAGGCCCGGGTGCTTGGTTAAACATTGACCCGGGAAGGTAGTATATAAGGGACTCGCCCGTGAGGACCTGATTTTATGCCATTGTCGAGATACCCAGCAGAGAAGCCATCGAAGGACCTCCCATGTGAAAGCTCATAATTTGGCATTACTTCCGTCCGAACACGTAAAGACTTCCATCAGTGCCAAAGACTCTACTTCAAGGTCAGTCCACGGACTGCCCGGTCCTTGAGTAGGCATTGCTTGCTCCGGCGTTTCTACACAGCAACCACTCCCCGAGATAGAATCTCCTGAGACATGGCTATAATACAGCTCAGGTGCTCAAGGAACAACGTTTCAAGAAGTATCAATAGCTCGCCCAAGCGGCTATCCAAGTCAATAGTGATAGTGTGTGGAATACCTAGACCATGCTCTCCATTCCCAAAACCATAAAACTAGAATCCCAATTGGTCCAGCAGGCCATCTCTCTGCTCTGCGATGACTGATGGACGGGTCTTCCTTCTCGGGCGATAGTGACAGAGCCGATTCTCCTAAATTCGATACGCTGGCTAGCACAGTATCTCTTGATTTTCCCTGTTCTCATTTTCTCTCTCTTAGTTTTCTTAACTTTCACGTTTATTACTACCTAGGCAGTATTCTGTCTCTCTTCCCTTCCCCTTCTTTCCTTTTCCGATCGGGTCATACTGACCTGACTTCTAAACTATCAAGGCAAATGCCAACCTCCAGGGATGGTATACGACCATTTACCTTTTTGGCCGGGATGAGAAGGGTGTCAGCTGCTCCGGGTGGACCTAGCTTGAGTGGGTCTGGTCCGGCATCACCGGCGCCGATCCGGTCATTGGGCCGGAGGCAATGTAGAGAATAATCGGGCGGCGCCGAAAGCTCCCGTTGAAGCGCCCGCCCTGTTTTGCGAGGCTGGCCTTAGAGTTTGCTGTGCTGAACGCAGTGGATACGCCTCTCCCTCTCTCATCAGTTACACAGATAGGCTATTGTGACAATGGTACTTCAAGCCTCTTGAAACGAACCCTCATGCGAAAAACAAAAAACTACTTACTGCCTACGATCATGGAGGCGTTGATATTGGTTCAGTGTGCCGGCGGTGCATATGTAGAACCATCAGGCGCTCGGGTTACCCATTGAGTACCAGCTCCTTTGGTGGACAGCTACAGCAGCATCTTCTTGCTGGGATGCCACTGGTTGATGAACGCATGATGCGGACTCACCTGCAAGAGGCAAACCACATATCGTTCATACTTTCTGAGTCTCTTCCGCCGGATGCAGCCTTGGCTCAATGGGAACGGTGGACAACAGAGTCCCAGAACCCCCAAGGGCCACGAGCGGGGAATGCGACGGTATAGGAGATGCCTTACAGTATAAGTCAAAGGAACGCATGGGCCAACGCGTGGGCCAGATTCACATGGATCAATATTCACGATACTTGTCTCTCAAACCATTGCGCATCCGTACTCGAGCTCAAGAACAATGGAATGGCTCCTCGGGTGTGGCACATAAGCGGCGCCAACACAGGCTTGGGCCGAGAGCTGGCCCTCAAGGCGCTCAAAGGAGGCGACAATGTCATTAGCGCCGTTCAATCACCGTCCATTTAGTCCCAGACAGCCTGAAGACAGATGGCGTCAAGGTCCCGCCCTACGACCTGTTCTCCTCGCAGGGGGAAATGAACAACTGACAAGAAAGCATCGCATGTCGAGACACAGCAATACGCCTCTGCACAGACCAAACCCTGCCTTCACCTCACAATAACCATCACCTAAGCCCACGACACCAGGACGCACTTGTAACCAAAGCAATTCGACATTTATGTCTTCGGGCATCCTCCGCACCACCTGCGCCATCCTCCCCGGCCTGACGCGCCCAGGACCAAGGCACCATCGTCAACCTCTCGTCCATCGGCGCGCTGCACGGCTACCCCTCCAACGGGGTGTACTGCGCGACTAAGGTCGCGCTAGAGGGCATCACGCAGGCGTTTGCGGCGAGGATGTGGGAGTATGTGGCGGGCGAGGGGCTGTTCAAGGGGAAGCAGAGGTGGCTGAGGCTACCGTTGGGAAGCGACACGGGCAAGCAGATGAGGGCGTTGAGTGACGAGTTGGCTGAGATGGTGAAGGATTATGAGGAAATCTGGTGCAGCACGGATTTCCAGGAGTGACGGAACGGGCTTGATATTTGGTTTTATTAGTACGTAAGGTACACGAGGCCAGCCAGATCTGAAGCCGCTGCCGCAGTTGCAGCCCAATTTGCTATGCCTCCTTGAGGGCAAGCTTTTTTGACATCTCCTTTTTGATCCGAGTAATCGTGCCAGAGCCGCCGTAAACCATCCCTGTGTAGACCATGGCTACGCTGGCACCGGCATTCAGCACCTTCAGCGCCTGCTCCCCGTTAGTGATTCCGCCAGTGGCAAAGATGACCTTCTGCGGCGGAAAGGCGTCCTCCACGCCAGCGCTCTTGAGCGAGTAGCTGTCGAGCATCTTGCGGTACCGCCCCACTAGGCTCAGCGTCCGGTCAAACATGGCCGGCCCAGAGAACCCTCCTTCCTCCACGAGCGCCTTCTGCTCCTTACCGCTTAGCCTCACGCCCTGCGGCACCAACCCGTTCCGGCGCTTCGTTGTGTTGCCAACAATAACGCCATCCACTCCGCTCATCCACACGGCCTGCACCACGCCTTCCATTTGCGTATCATCGTCCTCATCAGGCGACACCTTGACCATAACCCTCGGCTTGACCTTCCTGCTCGTGCGTCTCGCCTCGTCCACCACAGCCCCCAACAACCGCGCCAGCGGCTCCGCGGCCTGCAGATCCCTCAAGCCCGGCGTGTTGGGGCTGCTGACGTTCACCACCAGCACGTCCGCGTACGGCGCCAGCCTCTGCACGCAGTACACATGATCCCGGATGACGGCATCCATGTCCTTCTCGTCCGTCTTCTTGTTCTTGGCAATCTGCACGCACAGCAGCCGGCCGGGGACCAAGCTCCCCGTGGGCACGCCGCGGGCCTCGAGCTCGCCGTCCATCACTTCCCGCTCCGTCAGGCCCAGACGCTTCGCAAACCGCCGCAGCCGCTCCCGCAGCCGCGCGGCCATGGCGTCGGCGCCGCGCGAGTTGAGCCCGTACCGGTTGACCAGGCCGTCCACGGCCGGGATGCGGAACACCCGCGGGCGCGGGTTGCCGTCTTGCGGCAGCGGTGTGCACCCGCCGACTTCGACGACGCCCGCGCCCAGCGCGAAGAGCGGGTCGGGGATCTCGGCGTCCTTGTCGAGCCCGGCCGAGATGCCGATCGGGTTGGAGAGCGTGGTGCCGAAGACTGTTACCGCGAGCGGGTTATCGGATTGTGGGTCTGAGCCTAAAGCGGAGGGCCGCTCGCGCGGGTGTAGGCCGAGGGAGTAGAGCGCTTTGAGTGCGGCGGTGCCGACGTGGTGGGCATCTTCGGCGTCGGGGAAGACGAGGCGCAGGAGTGGGGGGACGAGCCAGCGGTGGAAGGAGGCGCGGGTGTCGGTTGCGTAGTAGTAGGCTAAGCCGGCTGTGGTGACTAGTATGCTGCCGACTAACATGTTTCGGGCTGTGGAGGAAGAGCGACTGGAGTTGGTGGTGGTCGTGGTGGTCGTGGGTGTGGAAGCGGAAGTCGAAGTCGTGGATGCAGGTCGCCGCGAGACACGGGGGTTGATGAGCGGTCTAAAGGTTGCTGCGAGAGAGCGCCGGGCCCTGAGGTATGTGCCCGCCATCTTCAGGGGGAAGAACTGGGCGAAACCAGCGCTCAATGGCTTGGGAAACGAGCGACGGCCGGAGTCGGCTGAATGGTGATGGCTCGAGACTGGGAAGTTTAGAGTTCGGGTTGTGTGCGTTGTTCCGGCTGTCCGTACAGTGCCATTTTGAGCACCACACAAGCCCACACTGTGAGTCCGTCTTGGCGCTCCAAGCATGCGAATCCTCAAGCATGACGCCTGATCCATCTCTCAAATCGTACGAGTTCTTGCTACCTGGTAGAAACCTGGAACGAAGTTTAACTTTTCCAAGACGCCAACCTCTATCCCCTTTCTTGATGCCAAATCTATATCCGAACGATTGCCAGCATAACTCTTTAATCCCCCAGCAGATTCATCAACTCCGATATGCCTAGAACACAGTTGTGCTCCCAATGGGTCTCTATGCGGCAAACTTTTCTATTGCTGGACTCGGACCATCGAGCGATCCCAGCTTCGCGGCGCTGCTCCGTTCCGCCAGGCGATTCAGGTAACTGAGATACGTCTGCCAGCCGACTGCAATCACACCACCAAAGACAGGTCGATACTCGAGCGGAAGAAACGCGAAGCTGAATGCCGTGACTGCGGGCCACAGCTTACACGAGTTGACGCAACTGACGGGGACAGTCTTTGTGATGCGCTCCCAGGTTTCGGGCAGGGTGGCGCCCGACAGTAGTGCCTGCATCCCGAAGAAATAAGTGTTGAAGACGGGCGTGAAGCATAGTTGGTTGACGACGACCTTGGTGACCAGCGACAGGATGCGCGACGAATAGTTAAAGTTCTCGGAGAGCCAGACGAACCTGCAAAAGCCCTTCCTGTCAGTCTCCGTCGGATGCATTGATCGGATGCCCAAATGGAGAACACGAAGCGCACCATTTATAACTTGGAATCGACGACACCGCTCCAATGAGCAACGACCGCGCTGTCCGCGTTGGATCATAGTCCTTCCCGCCCATGCTCTGCGCCGAGACTGCAGCCGCTAGTCAGCACCCCGAAACCACCGAGATCCAGGGAACGAGAACATCATGAGGTCTCGGTCAGCGGTGCGACGCACTGTCAGAGCACAGGTAGATCAACAGCGAGGTGCACACTTGGGTTGTGTAGGGCCTCTTGCGCTGGGCGCGCGCATATGCTTGGGCCGCTCTCGTTAGCGGGCCCAGCCGCTGCCAGAAGTTCAGCGTCGGTACGTTGTTGGGTGTCGGGATTTGCTCTTGCGGTCGCGCATCTTTGCCAGCCTTGGTCGGGTCGCTGCCGCTGGAATGCGCCCGCCGCTGGCGCAACTTCCGGAGCACGTCTATGTGGCGCCGGAGCGCGCTTCGGCACGTCAAACAAACCGCCATTCCTGTTGCCTCGGTATATGGTACTGGGGGTGTAGTGTGTAAGGTACGTGAGTGGTAGTGCGAAAATGAGCTCGCGACACTCGCAGCGTGGTTTGGTTGAAGAACTTAGAGAGCTGGAACCATTCCATAAGCCGATAACGTTATGCCGATGACGGCCAACACACTGTTTCAGGCCGGAGCTAACAACGCCCGAGCGGCATTGCGCGGCATTACCCGGATGCTGACCCGCTCCCAAATCTGGCGCCGTAACGATCGGATCTCATGTAAGTGGCACGTGGCTAGCCAGTGTCAGGGGTTATAAGGCGCATGCATCGATTCATTGTACGACGTGGTCATGCGCAAAATAGGCGACAATGTTGAGCCTGTCTTCATACCCAACGACTCATCTGAATCCCATGCGCGGCTGACTTCTCCCGGCGATGCCACTGCACGGGGCATACGCCCACGCTGGACCACGGGTGATGTTGTCAGGAACTGCATTGACGATTCCGTCGGGTAGCGATAAGTGCCAAATCGGAATTTGCACCACTCCAACTAGCCCTAGTACCAGACACAGTATCTGCTTACTGATCAAGAATTCGGCCAACGTCTTATACGAGGTTCAAGTCCAAACCGCCTTAGCTAGCTACCACAAGGTTGCTACCTGTTCCTCCACGAAGTGGTTGGCTGTCTATTCGCCCGTGAGATAGTTCGTGCAGCTCGGAGCGATGGCCGTCTTGAGCCCCGTAAGAGATTTTGCCGTCCACCGCGCCCACGACCAGGACGGTAGCTGGCGGTCTTCGGACCGCTTGGCCGCCGTGCCGTCCACATTCCAGAGGAAGCTGAGCGGAAAGGAAAGGCTGCTCCGGCCGTCGGTGCCGGCCCAGAACCCTGCGGCGTAGGTGGAGGTATTGGCGCCGGTTGGTCTGGATAAAGTAGCAGATCCCGGGCATGGCGATATCTTTTTTAAGTTTGTAGGTGATGTTGGACTTCCGTTGGAGGGCTTGTCGGGCGGGGGTGTCGAGGAGGCTGTGTTATAATCGGGAAAAGGCCAGTGCGAGGAGCAGTAGTGTTGGCAATGCATGTGATTGTGTATCCAAGACCGCGAGACTATCCTACGGTGACTTTGCTAGAGCACTCGTGCCGGAAGGGAAGAAAATTGTAACGCCCAGGCGAAGCTCCGTCGCCTATGGGCCTTGAGGTACCCCATCTCGTACCAAGCACACATCCATAGTCAGTTCAAACTGAATTTGACGTGACACTGTCACCAGCTGATGAACGCTCTCCCGTCCGCCATGAAGCTGGATTCGGTGTGAACCAGCATCGTGCTGGTTGAGAAGGGGTGGCCAACGCATTGATAAATAGTAACTCAATGAGTGAGGAGCGCGATGCGGTTGACGTCGATCAAGTCAGGCAGCTACTAGTATGTCTTTGTTTGTTTGCGGAATCTTTGATTTCACGGCGGCTGATCGGCCTTCCCTCTCCCCGAAGCTCGATCTTGAGGTGTCCGAGCTGGCCATTACCCTGGCAGCCTTGTACATGCATTTTATGGAGCAGTGCAAGATTTTTAGCCGGATGTTGGGATGCTTGAATAGGTATGTCGTGCCCATGTCATGATGACAATGGAGGAAGGGAGAAGATGCTAACCGTTACGGCAGAGGGACGCTGGGACTACTGGACCGGCGAGGGTGCTGTTCAGTAATGGCGAGAAATCAAGCCGAGGAGCTAACAGCAGCAGAAACCGGGGTCATGAACAACTTGGGGTGGAACAGCACTTCTGTAAGACAAGTAACGGTGCACGCTCCATCAGGGGAACAAGGCATTCTTACCCCTTTATCCTCCCTCCCTACACGGACTGCACTGGTGCGGAATCCGCCATATGAGGGCATCAACAACGCTAATGGTTAATAACCACCGTCAATAAGATAGCCCCTCCCGGATAAGCCAAATAAGAGGAGGTTCCGATTTAAGCGGCTGAAGGGATACTTGGATGGCTTTGCGATGATGGAGGGTGAAGGCCTGAGTAAATGTGAACAGCAATCTGTGATATAGTCATCCACTATCATAGCAAGTTGAGACACTTCCGAATAATTGTTTCAGTTCATCTGATTCTCCCGCTAGTTAGATATTTTTGAACTTAGAAACGCCTCAAGTTCCCATGTGGTAAGTTCAGGGGAAGTAGGGTTAGGGTCAAAGATGGCGACATCGGGGACGGGAAGCGCTGTCCCCGCACAGAGATTCAGAGAATTGCAAACCGAGTCAACATTTCAACGTGAGCACCCAGTAATAAGAAGGCAATACACTCCCTTCCGGAGGCGATGTGCGACATTTCAGTTCGAGAATACATCCGTTGGTTGCCAGATGAGCCAAGTGAGCCCACCTCAACCATTGTGTTGACGACGCCCGAGCGACGGTTCGTCGATATCCGCGTCTTGAAGGATACTACTACTAGTAGTAGTAACGACGCAAGTGGTGGTGAGCTTGCACCTAGCCAGGCAAAACACATGCCATCAACGGATGCTCATGGCCGTTTGAAATGTATTTTTTAGATGCCATGTTCCCGGTGTCCCGGCTCGACTGGGCCATCGCCGGCACATCCGAATCGTCTTTGATTATGAACGGCACAAGGCACGGCCGCTGGCACCACTGGATTGATTCACGCTCGAAGAGCACCGAGGGGCTTATGGACGAAGGCGATATGTTTGACCATCCTTCTGACCCCACCCTGACCCTGGAAAGGGGGAGGATGGTAAACCCGCTCACGGGCGCCGAGACGGACTACGAGGAGATGTGGCGGTCGGAGCCGATCGAGTCAACAACCGCCCCCTCTGGCCCCGACCGCACGAGCGTTACTTGCCTTGCGCTGCAATGGCAGGGCGCGGAGGATGGCGATCCCCCGGGGAAGGTGAGAAGGGGATTGGTCGTCCGTCTGGGCCAGTACTGCCAGGCGTTTGCGAGGGATGGCGATGAGATCACGGTCGAGAGGCTGAAGTGGGATGTGCGGCAGCAGATGTGGGCTAGACAAGTCCGGATAGGCAAGCAGGAGCTACCCCTCGAGGTCGCAACCTACTTTGCGCCTGCGGCCAGCATCGATGACGAGGTGAAGGTTGGCGGGGCGATATGGAAGGTCGTCGAGAGGGCATGATCATAGGCGGCGGCGCCGTGACAGCATCTGGTAGTGATCTATAGCCTGCCCGGTCTTTCCATGTCCCACGCTGGGCTATCTCCTTTGCGTCTTCCGATGCTTGTCCATCTACTTTGTGCGGATCGACCGAGAGCTCAATGGGGGCTGTAACTTATAGTTAGTGAGTCTCCGCATCTCGGCGCGAAAGCTGTCGTCTATGATTATGCTGTGCCGAGATCCATCATGATTTGAAAATCCTGGAGCAAAGGCCATTGAATATGATGGCAAGGTGTAAGGAGACGCGCTGCGGACTTGCATGCAATTTCTCCGTAGCGATGCCTGCAGGGACTTGCGAACTGAACAAATTTGGTGTTGAGATGTCCGTGATAATAAGCATGATTAGGCTTGTTCCCCATGAGTATTTTCTATTGTAGGAATGGTGGGATCCCGGAATGGTTCCCCTCTTCCAGCAGGGGAACCGTTGATGGGGGTGCGAGCAGCCAGGCATGGGAGTGCGAGCAGGCGTCTCGGAAGAGGGGAGGTCAGCCGAGAGTTTGCTGACGTCCCGTCATGAACCCCTGTCGTGTAACCCACATATATACCGTTACTCCGGGTGATGCGTTGCTGACTGCATTTGAGGATGCAGAAGCCTCAAGAATGCGCCCTCGTTCCGGTCTTTTTCGTCTGCTTCCTCATACGACCGGAACAAACAACTTCAGCCCATCTGAGCAAAGCCATAATTAACAGCTTTAGGTGCAACACCACCATCACCATGGCCCGCTCGACGCTGCCCACCTTCCCGCTGCTCGTCTTCGGCATCATCGAGCCCCTCCTGCTGTGAGTTATCACCACCATCCTTTTACACACGACAAGGCCAGCCACCTCACCCCGGAAAGCTAGCTAACAGCCTGTCCCAGCGTATGGGCCTATATCATCGGAATGGGCAATCCACACGAGTACCTCGCGAAACAGATCCCGGGCGGTAGCCCCTCCACCACCTCCTTCTCCCCGCAAGCAGAGGGGGTCACGCTGCAGCTCATCAACGTGTTCTTGCTGCTGGCGCCCATGGCCGTGATCTGCTGCTTCTCGAGCGACCCGGCCACGGTCAAGGGCTACCTCTTTGCCGTGGCGCTGGCCGACTACGGGCACATGTACGCGACCTACCGCGCCGTCGGGGAGGAGGTCTTCTTCAACACGTCCCTGTGGAACGACATGGTCTGGGGCGGCGTGGCGGTTAACGCCACGCTCAACGTCCTGCGCTGGCTGACGCTGTTTGGGGCCTTCGGGCGGATTGCGCCGGCGGCGGGGAAGGCGAAGAAGCGTCTGTAAGGAGGCGGCGCGCCTAGGATCTCCATGTGGAAGGTGCTGGGATGTGGGATGGATATATTCTAGTTTGTACGTCCGTAGCTGTCGCGATGTAGAGTGTACGAGTTTCAATCCTCCGGACAAACCCGACGGCACAGCTACTCCGTAGACGGATTTTCGTCCGGCTGCGGCTGTGAGTGCGACAAGCGCGCACCGTGGGCTAGACCAGTTCAGGAGCTCGCTCAGAGGCCAATCCAATGCGCGATGGCGGTGGGGAGACAGGGGTTCAGTTCAGCCCACGTGCAAAGCTAGCAACTGTTCGGGATCTTGGCTCCCGAACTTTGATGCCAGTAGCCGCCCGTGCTGCCCGACTGGGGCATATACAAACTACTGTGTGAGGCGCCATGCCTCCCCCCTGCCTAACAATAAGCGAGCGTAAGATCTGGTTGCTTGGCGATGGAAAACCATTGCGGAGGCCTTTGGGCCTTCGAAGATTGTCTGACCTCTACTTCGGTGGCGCTTGCGAAGCAGAGGTCCCTCGTTCGCCGACATCGAGCGACATTTGCGTTACGCGGAGCCTGGGGCAAGAGACTAGCGCGCAGCAAGAGCAAGAACTCAAGAACAAGGGGATCAGAAAGGGAGGAGAAGGATAGCCCCAACCCAAACGACAGCAGCGATGGCGTACACCAACCGGCCGCGGGCAATCCTTGGCCCCCTGACGACCGTCTTCACGCCGGCCCCCCAATGTACCGTTGCGGTTGGGGGTGGTTCGACTGCGAACGTGGCCTGGTTGGGACAGCGGTGTAACCCAGAGGTGGAAGACGACCCCGGTTGCTGGCCGGAGACGACGGAGGGCGCCCCCGCGACAAGTCAGCCGCTGTACGGCTGGGGCTTCTACTCCCCCGGGCTCTCGTGCCCGGCTGGCTACACCTCGGCGTGCACGGCGATAGCGGGCCAGAGTTCCGGATGGAAGGTGCAGTACCAGATGGAGGCGGAGGAGACCTTCGTGGGCTGCTGTCCGACGGGCTTCAATTGCGACAACCTTAACGGACAGACGTGCGTCGTGCACCCGACGGCGACCACCGTCCCGACCGTGTCCTGCGAGAGCGGCTCCAGCAACAACTTCGGCTACACCACCCTCCCCAACGCATGGGTGTCCCAGCTCCACCTGTTCGCGCCCATGATCCAGCTCGCCTGGAAGCCGTCCGACCGTCCAGGCTCCTCCAGCAGCAGCACCGTCACATCCTCCTCCTCCTCCTCCTCCTCCACAGCCGCCCCGACATCACCCAGCTCGACCCCGGCCTCCCAAAACGAGGCCTCGCTCTCCACGGGCGCGGTCATAGGCATCGCGATCGGTGCAGCCGCGGTATTCTTCCTCATAGTAGGAGTCGCAATCTTCATCTGGCGCCGCCGCCGCCGCCAGGCAGGTCGCGCATCACCGGGTGGTCCCGATTGGCCTATCTACAAAGCGGGCGGGTACTCAGCGGTGGCTGCGGGGGACCCTTCCGATGCGAAGCAGTTCCATCACGTATACACCGGCGTGGTAGAGCTTGAGCCGAACTCGGGGAAAGCGGAGATGCCTGCCGATAGCCTGGGACCGGCAGAGATGCCTGGTGGAGATGGGAGGTACAATCATGCGCCGCGGCCTGTGGAGATGCCTGCGCAGCGGTATGAATGATACGTGTACGGATGTCCCTACCAAAAGTTCCACCACACCGCCTTTTGTGCCAAGACACCGTGCGCTGTAAGCCACTATAAGCCACCGTCCTGCATTTTAGGAGTGAAGCTATTCCAAATCAGGGCCCGGCCCTGTAACTACATCTCCCCGGCGTTCCTTTGGCCGGCCTTCCTTATACTCATTACCACCTTCTAAGCGAATCACTTCCTGGATGTGGAATGGTATCCTCTCAATCCAAGCCTGTATCTTTGACTGCTCTAGGTCTTCCCACGCCTGTGTCCATACCACTTCGGCTTCCTTTTTCGACTTCGGGGCTCCCTTCTTTGTAGTTACCCGCTTTAGGTATGGCCAACAGGGCTCAATCATATTAAGATCAGGTGAGTTGGGGCACCATAGAAGCCGGTCTACATGAGCAGCATCAAAGACAGCTAACTGAGCCTTGTGTGCATGTGCCGGAGCCCTGTCTTCCTGAACAAGTGCATTAGGACCACACTTAGCGAAAGGGATAAGCTTCGGTATTAGAACCTCCTTTTGGTAGCGATACCAATCCACACCTGAGCCTTTCCTCCGAGTCAGCTTGCCATGCTTAGCATCCCATTTCCATTGAGGATGCCTACCGCTAGGATTTCGAAGACCAAGGCGCCGCATCTTAGTCTCAAGCTCCTACTCTTCCTTCAAGATAGGTTCAAGCTTAGCGTTCAGCTCTTCGAGGTCGCGTTTAGCTGCTTTCTTCTCTTGTTCCGTTTCAGGATGCCAAACGTGACATGGTCCTTTCGAGTCGTATGAGAAGCAGTCCCAGAACTGGAACTCGGCATATCCTTTCCATCGCTCTCGAATTGTTGACTTGACGAACCTCTCCTGAGGAGTTCTCCAAACGCGGTAACCTCCCCGACGATGATTGATAATAACAGATGTCTCGTCAGACCAGATCACTCGCTTCCAATCATCGAGAGTCCAATCCTTATAAAGGAGACAGAATTCAAAGCGGTCCCTCCTCATCTTCTCGGTCAAGCTTGGCTTGCGTGTTGGCTTCGTCTTCTTCATACCAGCTGCCCGCAAGATCCGCCAGACTGTTATAGGCGAAATAACATTGCCAAGCTCGTTAGAGATAAAGGCGCATGTCATCTCACGGCCGTATCGGTTGGCCCGTACCTTCTCGAGGATCTCATCTTTGTGTTGCTCTTGCTTGCGAGGGCGGCCAGACCGGGGGGCATCTTGAACATGTACGTCAAGGATGGTAGGGGGGGAGGCTGTCGGATCAAAGCCACGCTCGAGTGCTCGTTGCGCAATAAGGTCCACGGTACGGGGTTTCAAGCCAGTGAGGGCTTCAATAGTCTTGTTATCAAGCTCTAGAACAAGCCGCAAAAGAAGTGCTGAGGCACGCGTAGCAATGTCGTGTTGCGGCATGCTTGTAAGGATGTATATAGTAGGTAAGTAGGTAAGCCGAACAGATGGAAGAAACAAGGTAGGAAGGGGATGCCTGACATGTGCGGGGTATCGGCTTGGCTTGCAGGCCGCTGGGCCTAATCAGGTAATTCTGCCGGGCAGAATTTTGAAGGCGGTGTGGTGGAACTTTTGGTAGGGACATCCGTATACAAATGGCTTTTCTGTGCAACGTTTTTTTGGTGGCTGTGTTAGCATCGCATGGGATCTTAGGGGCCTGGAGTTTAGCATTAGTGTTGAGGAGCGTTGCGGTTTGACCGGGGTTCTTGTTCGATTTGCTAATGTATCATGTGTGTTTAGAGGCAGAAGATGCGATCGGTTGATTTGGGACCTGCCACTCATCGTCGAGTTTCATAGTCGCAGTAATGCGTATGTTCAGCCCTCCGGCGAACTCTCCCGGTAGTGTGCTTCTGGAGCCAGTGAGGTGACATTGTATGGACTAGAAGCATTCCTGCGCGAGCCACGCCGAGCTGCGGTACCAACCCTAACCCCGCACAGACAGGATTATTGGACGCTTGTCACTTGTGTCGTCAACGTATGTAGGACGATCCCGGAACCTGAGGAAAGAAATCCGTGGGGATTGGCAGCTTCTTGCGTTCGAAGGTCAAACAATCTTACAACTGCTGGAGTTGGTGCTCGAAACGTGGAAAGGGGGGGCGGCTGCACGACGGCATCTCCGAACTTTGAGAGGCTGGCGTCGCAGGTGGGGAGGTCCCCCAGACGTCACCCCTGGACGGGAATTGTTAGAGCGGATGGAACATCTTCGAAATCCGATGTCTGGTTGGGTTTCACTGGTACAGCGGCTCAATGAACTTGACTGTCTGCAACACCACTGGCCATCTTCAGCAGCCGCCGTGGTCCGGGACATGGTCGCGCATTCACTTTTGCTGTCAAACCCTGAAAATCAACACAGATCATTACACGTATAGACGTTGGGTCAAGTGATAGGTGAAACTCACATCTGCGGGCCCGTGGTGGCCGTCATTGCCGCATTCGGTTCCTTGGAACAGGACCCCTGTGCCACCTGTCGTCATAGACGTCCGGCCAACATTTTGGCGTCTTTCTCTGGCCTTCGCTGGAATCCGCAACCTCGAATCGGCCTTCAAAATCTTAACCCTTTCGCGTCTTCGAGCCGCTGTAGGGTCCACGATGTCTTGGGAGTTAACCCGCCGCCGATGGCTTAGAGCGATCAATAGCAGGTTCATCTATGGCCGAGTTGTGAGTTGCCCACCTTACCTGAGTGCATGGTTCAACCTCGCTCTCGAATGCCCTTACCTTTCATCCTTGGCTCTCTCACATAGTATCCTCCGCCTCAACCATATTGGAGAAAATGCTAAATAGAATGCCCTAAACCTAGCCACTCTTGCACGCAATCATCTTCTTTGTCGAGATGACACTCCTCGCGCGGCTTATGAGCCGCTTCAATGCGTACTATGATGAACGACCTCGTACGTGCCCATTTACCGTTTCGTCGAACATGCGTCCATGTTCGCGCCACACGAGATGCTAATAGCAATGAACTGTAACAGTGCTTACGATGATGGTCACCAACGCCATCCTCGGCGGCGTTGCGGATACGGTTGCGCAGACCATCACCTCGGTCCGACAGCGTGCCCTAAGGAAAAAATCCAGCGGCCCGCTCAGCCCGAGGGAAGACCCTCTCGCCATCGAGATCCACGAGCTCGACCGCAAGAACCCCTTCAATAGCCACGAGCTGATCCCGGAGTCCAAGGGGCTACCCCCCCCTTTCGACTTCGAGCGCCTGACCCGCTTCATGGCCTACGGCTTCTGCATGGCGCCGGTCCAGTTCCGCTGGTTCAAATTCCTTGAACGATGCTTCCCCATCACCAAGTCGTCCGCCTTCCTGCCGGCTATGAAGCGCGTGGCCTTCGACCAGTTGATCTTTGCGCCATTTGGTGTGGCGTGCTTCTTCACGGCCATGACAATCGCCGAGGGTGGTGGTCGTCGCGCCGTGTACCACAAGATGAGGGACATGTATGTGCCGACGCTCAAGGCAAACTACATGCTTTGGCCGGCGGTGCAGGTCATCAACTTCCGTTTGATGCCGGTGCAGTTCCAGCTGGTGAGTGCTTGGACGCCCAAAGGCTGACCTCGGAACATGAACCCCCTACTGACGCTTGCTGTTCATATAGCCGTTCGTGTCGACAGTCGGAATCGCCTGGACAGCCTATCTGTCGCTTACCAATGCGGCCGGGGATGTGGAGGAGGAGCGCATCGCCAGGAGGTCCGATATCCGGTTACCGTAAGAACATCGATGGGTCGGAAGCTGCACCCCGGATAGCAGAAATTACAGACGGATTTATTGCGCACAATCAGACCGTCGAGTCCGGAAGGGCAACACAAGGCAGTGGCGGACATCAGTGAATATTAGGCTTTCTTTATTTCCTCGGCTCTAGGACTCGGCATTTCGGCACCGGGACCCGGCGGCGGTCGGAATGTGGCTGTCGTCATGGCGAATGGAGTTATGGGGGGCTTCTTCCTTACCTCCCAGGCAGGCTTCCCGTATCGGTACACGAATCATATTGGATTACAGGAGGCTTTCCCGGCAATGTCCAGTTATATAGACAATGACACCTAAGATGTCTTTATGTCCACTTCTTATGTCCACTCTGTGCGCTAGCACCGGCGGTGGATCTGCAGATGCAATGCTGCTATGTTTCGACCACGGTAGCTGGTCCATAAACTTGGCAAGTGAACTTGCTGGCGTGACCACTACCTCACATAATACGAGGTAAAGGTAAAGCCACCAGGATCGCAAGTGATGATCAACACGTCACCGACACTCTGCTCGGTTTACCGGTCCAGTGCAGTCCTGTCGGATCGCCGAGACCGGGCAAACCAGCTCCCGTCCCGACAAAGCTCACAGGTCCCGCTCGAAGGTTGAGTGAGCTGATACCCCCAACAGAAGTAGAGATGGGAACGATAATCGGTATACCTGAAGAATCAATAAAACAAGAAAAAACAATGAGTGAAACACACGAGTACGCTCTACAATGCATGCCTATGAGCGAAGAGAATAGAATCATGCCTCTAATTCTTTGGTGACTATGAATCGCCATCAGCCAACCATCGCCCGACCTCATAGCTTGAGACAGCTGCCCCACCAAGATTTATTACCCCTCTACCCCTCCATCACAGCAGGGTCAGCTCATCATCACCTGCGTCTTTTACCTGCTATCCACACCTCCCACGATAAAACTGCCCTTCACCTCATTTTCCCGTCTAAGAGCTTTGCTTCCAACTCAATTGGCTAGTAGAACCATCAAGATGTCTCTGGCGAACAAGCTCTCGATTGAGAACGTCGACCTCAAGGGCAAGCGGGTCCTCATCCGGGTATGTTGCGAAGCTGCACCTCGATTGCTTTGTTTACGTAGCTTGGTTGGAATTCCGGGAAGCTGACCTGAGCTCCACCGCAGGTCGACTTCAACGTTCCTCTCGATGCCGACAAGAAGGTCACCAACCCCCAGCGCATCGTCGGCGCCGTCCCCACCATCAAGTATGCCATCGACAATGGCGCCAAGGCCGTCGTCCTCATGTCCCACCTCGGCCGTCCCGATGGCAAGGCGAACCCCAAGTACTCGCTAAAGCCGGTCGTACCAGAGCTCGAGAAGCTGCTGGGGAAGAGCGTGACCTTCGCGCCCGACTGCGTCGGCCCTGAGGTCGAGGAGATCGTCAACAAGGCGGACAATGGTCAGGTTGTCCTGCTCGAGAACTTGCGCTTCCACATCGAGGAGGAGGGCAAGGGCACCGATGCCGAGGGCAACAAGATCAAGGCGGACAAGGCCAAGGTGGAAGAGTTCCGGAAGGGGCTGACCAAGCTTGGCGATATCTACATCAGTTAGTTAGCCTCGATGGCACTTGACCGGGGTTTGCATGCTGACAGTTCCCAGACGATGCCTTTGGCACAGCGCACCGCGCCCACTCCTCCATGGTCGGCGTCGACCTCCCGCAGAAGGCGGCGGGCTTCCTCATGAAGAAGGAGCTTGACTACTTCGCCCAGGCCCTCGAATCCCCACAGCGTCCCTTCCTGGCCATCCTGGGCGGCGCCAAGGTGTCAGACAAGATCCAGCTGATCGACAACCTGCTTGACAAGGTCAACACGCTGATCATCTGCGGCGGCATGGCCTTCACTTTCAAGAAGGTGCTGGACGGCATGTCGATTGGGACGTCGCTCTTTGACGAGGCCGGCTCCAAGACGGTGGGCAACCTGATGGAGAAGGCTAAGAAGAACGGCGTCAAGGTGGTGCTGCCCGTCGACTTCATCACGGCCGACAAGTTCGACAAGGACGCCAACACGGGTAAGGCGACCGACAAGGAGGGCATCCCCGACGGCTGGATGGGCCTGGACTGCGCCGAGGAGTCGGTCAAGCTGTTCAAGCAGGCCATCGACGAGGCCCAGACCATCCTGTGGAATGGCCCCGCTGGTGTCTTCGAGTTTGACAAGTTCGCTTCCGGCACCAAGGCCATGCTTGACGCGGCCGTTGCGGCCGCCCAGAACGCCAAGATCGTCATCATCGGCGGTGGTGACACGGCCACTGTTGCGGCCAAGTACGGTGTCGAGGACAAGCTCAGCCATGTCTCCACCGGCGGCGGTGCCAGCTTGGAGCTCCTTGAGGGCAAGGCGCTGCCGGGTGTTGTTGCATTGAGCGAGCGCCCGTAGGTGTTGATCTCCTGGAGAACAAGGGGGCACTCATGGTAATGAAACTAGGAGGTCGTTGCTGTGAATGATGGACAAATCTACCACGACAAGTAGTTGGTCCTCGACCAGAATTGAAAGTAATCTCCCGTTGCAGACTATGGAGCGTAGTAAGACGGGCGTTCAGGCCGATGTGGCCTTCCGCGTTATGCCTAGCTGTATGCTGACAGTGCTGGTTGCCGACGACATAACTTCCTCATCCAATGGCCCTGTGAACTCCGGGTGGCATCCGCATAGCACCCCGAGATATTCTTCTAGACCCGGTCTGGCAGCTACCTCCAAGCCGGCCTCCCGACCGAGACACCACACCGCCACCCTCTGTTCAGGTGTACCCTAAGACCGCCGTCGTAGCATGCCGCCATCATCACTTGCTGCCCCTCTCCCTTACAACAGCAGATCACCGCTTCTTGGATTGCTCGACCTTCTTCAGCTCTTCCCTGCTCAGTGTATCAGCATATGACGATTCCACCCAGGCTTTACATCTTCCAAGCCCTGCATCTATTGCTATTCGAACGTACTTGAGTTGTGTCGAAAAGTCATCGCTCGTGTCGTCATCGTCCCACGACTCCTCCCACAGGTGCTGTGTCGCGCCGCCCCCGCCGGCGGCCTCGGTTTCCTCGGCCGCCCAGTCTGTTTTCGCACGAAAGCTCAACGGTTAGTAATGTGTCTTATATTATAATATATGTATGTAATGGTTATTCTCTTATGGGAATATCGAAATCTTGGGAAGAACTGGGGGAAAACGGACCGTCAACGGGGAAGTCTTCGAACTCGTCGTCCTCTTCCAGCGCGGCCGGCTTCTGCTCGGTCACGGTCTGCTCCGGCTTGGCCTCGGCGGCCGTTTTCTCGTCTTTCTTGTTGGTGTTTTGTGATGAGGCCATTGTGAGAATGGGTTGTGAAGATCGGAAGTTTGGATGTTGTGGGGGGTGCTGGCTGCGAGGTGGTTCGCGGCAGCTCTTGAAGTTGAGAGTTGAGGTGAGGCGAGAAGCAACTGGTTGTCACGTTAGGTCAGGAGATTAAGCTCTTGCTGTGCCGCAGACCGCCCGTAAGTGAGAACCAAGTGGAGAGGCCGAAAGGTTGATGGAAGAGTGCTGGCTTAGGTTGGTTCAAGTTGCGTAGTGATGTTGCTAGACAGGTCCCGATTGCTTTCGCCACAACCTGAGCACCAGCGCAGGCGAGCCACGTTGGTGGGCATTTGGCTGACGCACGGACCACTGCGTCACACTGTCACATTTAATCCAGGCACAGGAACTTGAAGTTACCTAACTTATGAAAACTGGATGGGGGAAGCTGCCCCTTATTTTACTCCTAACTGGGAACCATGACTATCGGTAACATAAGGCTGTCGTCCACACAGTTATTACCTTGATCTCTCACCGTCCAACTATGGCGGAGGGGGCAGTCTGGGCGACCAACTGGCATGCTCCCAGCGTCCATGTCGAAGGAAGCTAGGACAGGACCGGTTAGTTTCCGGTAAAAAAGGTATAAAAAAGCTTGATTATGTCGATTCCTTTTCAGTTCCTTATACAACCCTGTATTGCGAGGAATCGCCAGCAAACCAATGAGCGTCCCGAGTAAGGAGATGAAGACCCGGTGATGTCCTTATCGCCGGGAGCTGTCAGCGTCATCTTTATCGTCAGTGGGGCAATGCTTTAGAAGCCTGGACCTCCAGCCATCTTCGGCGGGGTCAACTATCTCCCCTGCTCCCGCGGTCGCGTCGAACTGCAGTGGAGGCGCATTGATGCCGCTGGTGAGAACAAGGCTCCGGGACAAGGTTGACGCAAGCTCTGGCGACCCGGTTCGCGAGTCGTTGTTAGCCTCTAACAGCCGGGCTTGCCGGCCTGGCCGCCGTGGTTTCAATTCCTCCTTCTTCTGCCGACCTGTCTCGCTGTTCTCTCCTCTACTTCATGCATGTCAGAACTGCCGTCTTCGTCACTCCTTTCTACCATTCCCACCCTCCGTAACCGACGTCCCAGCTGTTCGGGGACTTGAACTCCGTAAGGCGCGATGTCGGGCCTCCGCTCCTGGTTCCGCGGCTCGAACGCTGCGCCGAGTACAAAATCCTCGAAGACTGCTACTCCCGGGCAGAGCCCGAGGGCGAGCACCTCATCACTCAATGGCAACGCCAGGGCAGGTGTTTCCGCCAGGGAACAAGAGGCCAGCGATGTCGAAGATGCCATGGCCGCGGCGGGGCTTATCATGAATGACGACATCGCCGGCGCGGAAACTCGACTGCGCCTCCGCGAAGACTCGTCCACCTTCCATCAGCTCGGGCTGGGTGTTGCGACCTTCATGAAATCTGTCCTCGGCTTCGAAAAGGAGATCATGGCGGAGACGGCGAACAGGCTGAACCAGACGGAGAACAGGGCGTGGAATGACATGAAAAAGGCCCAGAAAGGGGCGGAAAGGCCGGCCAACGGGACTGCTGCTGGCCCAGGGACCTCCGTGGATGGGAGTGGGAGCGCAATTTACCCGCCCGGCACCGAGTTTGCCCTTGTGCATGCTGAGGCACAGCTGATGAACGCCGTGCTGGGGGTCATGCATGAAAGCTTGACAGAGGCGCTCAAGGGGTTTTACAAGCTCCGGAAGGCGTACGTCACGTTGGACGGCATTGTGGAAGCCGAGGCACGGTATTTGGACTCTATCGGGCATGGTGGAGCGAAGAGGATACCACAGCCGAGAAAACACAGCTTTGCTGAAGACCCAATGCCGGGCAGTTTCGACGAGTCCGAATTCGCCGATCTGGAGGAGGCGCAGACACCCAAAGTCAACGGCAAGGATCGCAGCGACGGAGGTTTTGTCAACGGAGGCAGAGGAGTATCAGACGCGGAGAATACTCATGACAAAACGGCCGCCCAGGAAGATGCCGTAGCACTCGATGAGAAGTTGAGCAAGCTCGCGGTCGCTGAAAACCGCCAGGTAACTGCAGAACCATGCTCCGTAGATGGAACACGGACTGCAGAATCCACGTTGGCGCAGGTGAACAACCATGGGGCCGACAAGGCGCTCTTCGAGTCACCCGTGGACATCTTCGTCCACAGCGGCGCGAACATGTGCTTCGGCGTCCTCCTACTACTTCTGTCGATGATCCCTCCAGCTTTCTCCCGCCTGCTATATGTTATCGGCTTCAAGGGCGACCGTGAGAGGGGCTTGAAGATGCTCTGGCAATCCGCCAAGTTCCCGAACATCAACGGGGCAGTGGCCGGATTGGCGCTCCTCAACTACTACAACACCTTCCTCGGTCTTGCCGACATCCTCCCGCCCGAACACGACTTGAACGACCCGTCGGCCTCCGGCTCGGACGGCAGCAACGGCAACACGAGCAACGAAAGGGAGCGCGACATGGTCGGCTACCCAAAAGAGAAGTGCGCCGCCCTCCTCGCCGCCATGCGGGCCCGCTACCCGGACTCGTGTCTTTGGAAGCTCGAGCAGGCCCGCATGCTTGCCAACTCACGGCAGCTTGACGAGGCCATCGACCTTCTCGTCTCCAATATGGACGGCAACATGATCCAGGTCACGGCACTCAACAACTTCGAGCTGGGCCTGAGCTCCATGTACGCGATGAAGTGGCCGTCCATGAGGGACGCTTTCCTCCGCTGCGTCGAGCTCAACAAATGGAGCCACGCTCTGTACTACTACATTGCCGGGGCTGCCGAGCTCGAGATGTACCGGGACGCGGTCCACGCCGCCGCCGCCTTGTCTGGTGGGGAGGAAAACGAGAAGGAGAAGGAGATCCTGCGGGCCGAGGCGCAGAAACACAAGAAGCTGGCCGAGGAGTACTTTCGCAAGTCCCCCACGGTCGCGGGTAAGAAGCGCTTCATGCAGAAGCAGATGCCGTTCGAGGTGTTTTGCGGCCGGAAGCTGCAGAAGTGGGACGAGCGCGCCAAGGCGTTAGGCTTGGATCTCGCCGACGCGGTGGCGGTCAGTCCCACGGTGGAGATGATCTACCTGTGGAACGGCAGCAAGCGTATGTCTGCGCAATACCTGGAGAAGGCCAGGGTGTTGCTGGCGTGGACGCGGTGTACGGCTCCCAAGGAGAAGCTCGCCAAGATCAAAGAGGAGAAGGATGAGGTGGCTATTACGGCACTGGCTGAGTCGGCGTTGTTGAGGCAATTGGGCAGGGGCGCTGAGGCGAGAGTCTTGGTTGAGCCCCTGCTGACGATGGAGAAGTATGTTGTTCCCCTGGGCCCCCCCTTTTTGTCGCCGTTCAATATTTAACCGTGTTTCTGTGCAGAACTGCGTTCAAAGGCCCTACACGGGATGACTACTGCCAGGCTGCGGCGCACTACGAAATTGCTGCGATCGCGTGGATGGGCGTGTGCGACCCGGAGTTGTGGCCCAAGGGCACCGTCGAAGATGTGGAGGCATTCCGGCGGCAGAAGACAGAGGAGTGCCGCGAGTACCTGGACAAGGTCTCCAAGTGGGAAGGCTTTGTGCTTGATGCCCGGTTTGGCTTGAGAGTCAAGGCCGGCATGGAGATTGTCGAGTGGCTGAGGGTGAAAAGGGGGTGGGCGTGATCGAGATCTCAACAAGTTTGTGGGATGCGCGCCCTCTGTACATACTCCCCCGGTTCAAAAGGGTCAGCTTTTACGTCTTGGCTTGCATACGGCAGAGGAACACTTCAGGATGCACAATAGAGCATTGGCTAGAGGGCATACATACATTTGGCCGGATAGATCTACATTGAAAGGTAGTGTATATCATTTGTTACTTGCTCATCATCGGAACACGAGATTTGGTTGAACTGTCTTGGACATTCTACTCCGACAGGAGCTTCCGGAGGCTTTGACACATTTCATAAAGCAGCGGGCGATGCTCCTGGTATACATACCGTCACAGGCACATTCCCATTGTATACTGCTGTCACACAGACATAGAAGACCCTGCCGGGCAAAGCTGTCAGCGGCTGACAGGAATCTGTCGCCACCTAACCACACGTGGCAACATCTAGACATCTGAAGGACTGACTGTCTACATACCGTAATCAAGACAAGACAACTATTAGATATCCATCGCTTAATTATGTCCTCCCCTTACAGCCCAACCATCCAGTGGCCCATCCACATTCTTAGTAGTCCACTCTTGTGATATGACGCATGCTCAACTTCATCCCGAGTGTGTGTGCCATCATACACTGAGTCGGGGTTAGGCAGCAGATATAGGGGAAAGTAGAACACCCCATCTCGCTTCATTCTGAAAATGAAAGTGGGAGAGTGTCAGATTTCAATAACTAGAGGGCGAATAGGACTGGCCTGGCTTTGAGAGTTTTTATGCACAGCACAGTGGTATTGGATAATTCGATCTACAAGGGGTTCTGTGGGAGCAAAAGGAAATTGGAAATATTCATCTCACTTCCCATTATTCTCGACTTCCCTGACATCTCGGTTGGGTCTTCCAAATCTGCTGGTCTCTACGGAGTACATGGGCCACCTTGTACGGTAATGTCGTTGACTACCTACAGGGGTCAGTATGGTGGTTATGCAACTTATTAGCAAGCCTATGAGTAGTAGTACAACCTACATACCTACATGCAACTAGGTAAATATTTCAACCAATCAACTGCTCTATTCCTGTTTACCTTTTTATTCTCGAAATAGGTACGGAGTACTTACCGAGCTCCGCTACCATCTGTCCTCGCCGTCTTCCAGGTTTCCCAAGATTCGCATAATGTCAATTCAACCTCCTACCTCAATCTAGAATCGTCACGGGCAAGCGGATCTCGTTTACTATGCCCATTGTGTCTCCTCTTCGCAACCCAGCAGGGCGTTTTATCATGGCTCAAGTTCACCTTCACCGCGATCCCCGAGCCTCTGACATCAATCAGCATGCTCAGGTTTGGGGATCGCCCCATCTCTGTTGATAAGTCCGCTTCACGGGCGTTGCGATTGCTCCTGATATACGTTCTTGTAACGTATCGCTGGAGGGAACGGTGTATAATCGATTCAAAAACTCGGGCCCCCAATTATTATTATCTTCCTCCTTGTGGCGGCGCTTAACTTCATACATCGGATCACTTACTCGTTGCTAGAAAGTGACCTTTATCCGCCCCAAGATTCTTGGCTCCACCTTTCGCGGGCCGTATCCGAGCCTCTGGGTCAGTGGGTTCGGACGACGCACTTCAGCTTTTCAAACATTTTGAACCATGTCCTGTTGTGCATTTTCCCTCGCACAACCAGAATACTGTGTAACATGGAAAAATAAAAGCTGTGTAACTTGTGGCTCGTCAATTCCGTTATTTGAGTGGTTCTAATGGAGGTAGGTAATTCGCATAAATTTGGCACGGGATAAGGAAGGACAAGGTTCGGATCGCGGTTCATCCCATTGGAACAATTCCGGATTCCCACGGGTCGGGCAATTCAGGGGTTCAGAGCACGGGCCCCTGATCTGCGGAGGTCGGTGCGCTGCGTTTATTACGCTTTCACAGCTTCCCCAGCATTGATGAATGAACTCGGGTTGCGGATTGGCCCGGGGGACTTCCTCGCGCGCGAAAGCGGTTGTTGACTGGCCGAAGCAGCACACAGCTGACGCGGTGTTCAGCTCCCTTTTTCACATTTTACTTGTGCTGCTCCTGGACCCTCCGGAGCGACGGGAATTGGACCCACAGAGTCTCTGTCCTGCATTTTGCAGTTCTCCGCTCACTTTGCGCCCCCGTGACGCTTGGCGCTTTTCTCAGCAGACGGTGTTAGCCTCCGGGGAGTTCGTGCACCGTCTCTGCCAGGCAAGAGACGGCGGGACTGATCTTTCTGGTTGTTTGTTGGTGAGACACACCAGATCGCCACCGTCCCCATCGTTGTGCCCACTCGGTTCCTGGGTGCAAGAAGATCGCCCACCGCACTGTATTTGGACGAGCCAGCCTCCCATCTTGCCGTCAGGTCCCCTCTTCCTGCATGCAGGTTTGCAAGTTGTACCTGCAGGCGCCCGTCGACCATTCCACAGGCTCACCGCAACGGGTATACCTCCGAGACAGGTCAACTCATCACTCTCGCCTGTGAACCACGAGTTGACGCAGCATCCCTGGAACCGACAAACCCGGTTACTTAGCGAAGCGAGCCGCCCTGCCGGCGTCGGTCCTGTGCCGCGATGGAGCAGACCTCCTTGGCCGCCGCTGCTCCCCCAATTCCCCGCAGGTCTCGAGAACGTGAGCGTGTCCGTGGCCGTGACCAGTCGCCAGACAAAGGCCAGCGCCCGAGTGCCAATGCGAAGCACGACCGTGACAACACCGACGTCTTTGCCGACTGGACCAGCCGCGATCGAGCGCGATACGCCGACCTCTACCTTAAGGACGAAGAGGACGATCAGGTCGCCCCGCTCCCCCCTGCGTCGCCCGAGGTCATTTCGTCTCTCATCACATCGCTGTCTGCTATTTCCAGACCGGTGAGCAAGCACTTCGACGGCCCCTCCTACCTGAGCCCAATTGGCCTCGCGAGCCCCCTCAGCCTCTCGGTTCCCGGCTCTCCCACTGGCGGCTCGTTCGGCGTCGACTACGGCGCATATGCCCGGCCGTCGCTGAAGGAATTACCGGAAGGAGATGTGCCTCTAGAAGATCTGCCCGCCAGCGCTCCGGTCGTCCGGACGTCCAAACCCCCCAGTGGCTTCTCCCCGATGACGTCGCCCAAGTCGCCCAAGAGCCCTGGCGCTCGGGACTCGTCGTCGGGTCTGAGAGGCCTCCTGTCACGGCGGAGTAGCGGCGGCGTTTCCCGGCCGTCGAGCAAGGGGTCGCTCACGTCGGGCGCCGAGAGCATCGGGAAGCTCAGCATCGAACGCAGCAGCCAAGAGCCGCTCTCGCCGCTCGCGGAGGGACCCGGTCTGAAGAAGCAACACTCGTTTGACAGCTGGGGTAAGAAGGCGACGCGGAACCAGCGCGGTCTGATGTACATGAGCAGCAAGGAAAGACTGCGGGAGAAGGAGGCGGAGAAGAAACGGGCCAGCATTGGCGCGGTGGGAGGGAGCTCGAACAGACTCAGTGCTGTGAGCGGGCCGACAACCCCGCGCCTCGATCCACTTGCCGCAGAGTCGATCATCAGCGAGGAGCCAAACGGATATTTTGCCATTGGCCACGCAGAGGACCATATCGGCGGGTCCGAAACGCCGGCCGACAGCCTCGCGAACCCCCGGTTGATACCCACGAGAGACTCGTCGTTACGGAAGACCGGGAGCGGCGCCAATAGGTCGTCCAGAGCGTCCCGGACCTCGAAGAGAGACAGTGATGGTGCCGCGTACGGGACGATCCCCGAGCTCGAGGAGCAAGGTGGCGGAAACCGCGGGTCGCGCAGTGAGACGGCGAGGCGGCGCCAGTCTGGTCAGAAGCCGAATCATGGGCTCGACCCCCTGAGCCTCTCAGCAGAGTTGCCGCCGAAGAACCCGGCGGCGTTGTTGAGCAAACCCCTCCCTGAAATTCGCAGCGCAAGCCCGACGACGCCCTCTGCCGCTATGTTTCCGGCCATGGATCCCATCGACGACGGGGCACCTTCACCCGCTGTCGCGCAAGGGCGTCGCCGCGACCGCGAGGCGAGCGCTGAGTACAGGCGACGTTCGGGCCGCCTCACACCGGACCCATTTGGCGGCGGGTACACCAGCGAAGGCGGCGGCGGTTCTACGACCGTTAAGGCGAAGCGCAGCAGCGCAAAACTCAAACGCCTGTCGGGCGCTCCGAGTCCCACACCCGACAATGCGGCAGAACCAGGTCCTCCGGCGAAGAACAATAGGCATAGCGACGGGCCGCACGTCGCGTACGAGCGGCCGCGGAGCGCTGACAGCATCGACGACGCCGTGGAAAGCTATCTATGCAGCCCCCGGCTCAGCCAGAAGATCAGGCATCCTCAGACCGGACGGGTGATCAGCTTTAGCGAGGTGGGAGATCCTAACGGCAGCGCCGTCTTCTGCTGTGTCGGCATGGGATTGACGAGGTACATCACTGCGTTTTACGACGAATTGGCCTTGACGTTGAAGTTGCGTCTCATAACACCGGACCGTCCGGGTGTTGGCGACAGCGAGCCGTATACCGAAGGCAGCTCGACGCCTCTGAGCTGGCCTGGTATGTCTTGACCCTCCTTAAAGGCCGCTGTTAATCTGGTCCCCGGTCAAGCTAACTTTCGACCCTTTAGATGATGTGTATGCGATCTGTCAGTCTCTCAAGATCACCAAGTTCTCCATCTTGGCGCATTCCGCGGGCGCCATCTATGCCCTTGCTACGGCACTCCGCATGCCGCAACATATCCGCGGCAGGATACATCTGCTTGCCCCCTGGATTCCCCCCTCGCAGATGAACGTGTTTGGCGCTAGCGACAAGACGCCGCTGCCCCCTACCAACGCGATACCCACCAGCCAAAGGATATTGCGGGCGCTCCCGACGCCTATCCTGAAAGCCGCAAACAGCAGCTTCATGACGGCCACGAGCTCCAGCATCACAAGTTCCTTGCCGAAGCAGAAACGAGCCAGGCGGGAGAAGAGGAACCGCGATACGGCTTCTGCGAAGGAGAACAAGGACCAACCCAAGGGCATGTTCCACGGCGGACAGGAAAACAAGGAGAACCTGAACTACGACGGCAACTCCAAAGAATTCCCCATCATCCCAGGAGCGGACGACAGCATGGACCGGGACCGGCCGGCCGGAAATAGCGGGTCCTCCCACCAGAACGGCGGCATCGGCCACCGGCACCGCCGCTCCAACTCCACCGCCCAGGGGTTCCGGCGGCAGTCCGATCTGAAGGACGAGTCGCACATCCTCTCGACGGCCGCCGCCCTCGCCAGCGCGCAGATCGCCGACCGCGAGCGGCAACAGCTGTACGACAACCGGCTGACGCACGCCATCTGGCAGCTGGCCACGACGGGCGCCAACCCGGCCGTCGACCTGCTGGTCTGCCTCGAGCGGCGCCACACGATCGGCTTCCGGTACGTCGACATCACGCGACCCGTGGTCATCCACCACGGCAGCCGCGACACGCGCGTGCCCGTCGACAACGTCCGCTGGCTGGGCAAGACCATGCGCCGCTGCGAGGTGCGCGTACTCGAGGGCGAGGGCCACGGCCTGATGGCCTCGGCCCAGGTCATGGGCGGCGTGCTGATGGAGATCTCGCGCGAGTGGGAGGAGTGGGGCCGCGTCACGGGCGCGACGAGGCGCGAGCACGAGAGCAGGGCCAGGAGGGGGACCGTTGGGCAGGGGGCAAGGTGATGATAGGTATCCATCATTTACCTAATAAGCTAACCATCCAAGGGAGACTCGGATACTTTATTTTAGCGGGTCTTGTCGTGTTGCAAGTATTAGGTTATTGTATTGTACATAATTCATAGCGGATCCGACCGATCTTCTGGGGGTAATGTTCTCCTCTTTGTTGAACGCCGGTCTTTAGAAGGGGATTCTATGGCTTCAGGTCTCTTATTTGGATGGGGATTGGGATACCACGCTTAGCGCTAGTTGCGTTGGGCTTTATGCATTTAGACCTTGAGGATGATTTATAAGGTAGCTTTGTATAATCTGTAATACCATCTAATAGCCATCATCATTGGCGTGGGGGGAGGTTGTTATTTGTACTAGTACGTATAGCGGAGTGGTTGGATGCAAAACAGATCGTGACTAGTACCTAGGTACCCAGTAACCCCTACAGGTGATTGTGGCCAAGCTAAGGGGTGCCAAGGGGTATACACACAATCCTCTCCCCAGTAGGTCAAGTACTGCTGCGAGTTGCTTACTGGAGATGAGACTAGTAGGGACGAATTTGGGTAGCTATCTAGAACTTCAATACGAGCTTAAGGAAAGGAGAGGCGAAGAAGGAGGTGGAGGGAGAAGGCCAACATACAGAGTTGCAAACAGACTCAACATGGGACACGGGAAGTGTTATATATCCATGCCACATCCCCTTCAGTAGACTGCTCTTTGCGAAATCTAGAATCCTAAGGTACCAGGTAGGTAGCATGCTCTAGTCCACCAAGTGGCGGCCATTTTCCAACCCCACGTTGACCCGGTGAGGATTTTGTCAATCTGAGTCCACGTTAGGAACTAGGAAAAGCCGTATCAGCGGCTGCGCGTTCGTATGCAAGGCCCTGTCAGTGAAATAGCACTAACGGACTCGCCGCTGCAATGGGGGCCACGTTGGATTCCGTAGATCTTGACTAGGTACGGTTCCCAGGTTCCTCGGGGGCCCGGGCATCCGTAGAATCCCTTCCTTCCTGTAGCGTTGACCCTTCTACCGCACTTGCGGGGTGTGCGTGTGGCCGCAGATTGTCGGACAGTGTTATGTACCATCCACAATGGGCAGTTTCCCGGAATGTCCTCGCGATAGATCAAACGCGTCACGGGAGTCCAACACGATCTCCCACAAAATTCAATCCCAGTCATTATTGGTATCTGAGAGGGGAATGTTTCAGTCGATAATGGGAGACAGTTTTGAGAATCCTTTTGGCGACTAGTAAGTTGAGCGGGTCAGTCATAAACACCCACTTTATCGATACAGAAACAAGCACATCCTGCTGCTTCGAAATAGGCAGTCGGCGGATGGCCCGGTAGGAGAATTCCGAATCCATGTTCTGAGCATGCAGAGCAAGACCTCCGTTGGCAGGTTGATGAGCGACATGGCGAGCTAGTGCATAGTATTTGAGGACGTTCAGGCCTCCGGAGTCAAGGGAGAGTGCTGCTGATAGCCCTCATCAAGCTTAGGACGAGGAAGAATGTTTTTGGACACTAGGTTCGTCTCTTTCTCGAGGTATTCTAGGGTGAGAGGCTCATTTCTATATAGAAGAGCACCCCTGGGTATCATTTTGGTAAAGCGTTGAAGAAGCCCTATGGTACGAACGTGATATTGTGAGAGCAGTCATGACTTCATATTCTTCATAAGCGAGCGGCGGGAGCCAGATGGCAAAAGTATGTACAGGTGCTAGAAACACCAGAAACCATGTACAATACATGAATGCTACAAAGCGGTGTGGTCAACACCGAGGAGAGGAGAGAAGAGAAATGCAAATGCCAGATGCAGATAACGTATGTACATGAATCATAAAGCAACAGAGCAGTGAGGGTTGAGGCCGCTGAAGCATGCAATCAGAAAAGTACCGGTATCCGAGACACGGCTTCATGATCCAAAAACATGCTTAGGGTATCCAAGTGGGCTTAGGAGGAGTACTGGGCGACGTAGCCGACCTCCATCATGGCACCATAACCATCCAAGGTGGCGCTGTTGGGGTTACCGGGCTGCAAACCAGAGTCAGTATTGTTATCGCTGCTTTTTTTTTTTTTTGGATTCCGAAATAGAGTGCACTCACCCAGGTGCCGCCAACGGCAACGTTCAGGATGAAGTACAGGGGCGATGCGGCCAAGGTGTTCCACACATTCTGGTTGTTGATCTGGGCGCCGGTGATCTGCTGGAACTGCCGGCCGTCCATGTACCAGGTGATGCTCTGGGCGCGCCAGTCGCCGTTGGTGCGATCCCAGACGATTCTCCAGGTGTGCCAGTCCTGGTTGGGGATGGAAATGCTCGCACCGCGACCGCTCGGTTCGTTGCAGATGCCGCCGGGGTAGACTGGGCAGGTTGTTAGTCGGACTGTAGCCTGCGAATGCAATTCCAGTTGGGGGGGACTAACCGTCGCAGTGGGCAGTGCCATAGCCGGTCAGCTGTCCGTTGACCGTCTCAAGGATGTCCAGCTCGCCACAGGCCGGCCACGAGCCTCCGCGGCGGAGCGAGTCGCCCAGCAGCCAGAAGGCCGGCCAGATGCCCTGCTTGGTGTTGATGGCGTTGCCACCAAAGCGGATGGCCGCCTCGGCCATGGTCCTCTTGCCAGCCTGCGGAGTGAACGTGTACTTGGACTCGATCCGGCCCGAGGTCCACGAGTTCCCATCACGCCAGGGGACGATCTGCAAGGTGTACCCGCCGCTGGTCTGAACTTGACGAGGGTTCCTCTTGTACGTCTCCAGCTCGGCGTTGACGTTCAGGTAGCCGTCAATGATGTTCCAGTTGCCCTCGTTGGGGAGGCTCCCACTGGGGCCGGCGAAGTTGTCTTGCCAGTTTAGACTGTAGCCCGAGTAGCCAGGGGCATCCCAAGCCGAGACCGAGGCTCCCAAGATAGGGAGGAGGGAGAGGTAAGAAGTGAAATGCATTGTAATTGTGTAAGGACCGGCGAAGTGATGTTCACTGAACAACAAGTATATGTACAAGGAATGGACGGTTGGAAACCACTTCCGGAGTAGGTTGAAGGCGTCGTCTGGATCCGGTCAAGAAAGACGATGACAGAGAACGGCGAGAAAGACAGAGGACCGAGACAGTTTAAATGATCCTCTATGGCGCCGAAAGGACGACCACCCAAAGGCTGCCATCGAGAGTCACAAGTAAGGAACTTTCGAGATGAGCAGGGGCAGGGTAGGGATGTGCTCGGCGGCACAAACCACATGGTTGTTCATTCTGCGCCCTCGAGAGCCCATGCAGCGGGACATCCGGGGGGTTCCTCGGCCAGTGGGACCTGGCGAGTCGGTGCCGCCTGATCGGGCCGGTACTTAATGATACGTTGCCGTTGTTCGGATATTGCCCCTGTTTCTGGCGGGTGTTTGCTACCAGCAACGGGGGTTGCGCATTATGTACACTTGCGCTAGTCAGAAGACGGGAATAGGGGTCACCCGTTCGCCGACTTGTGGACCACCAGAGTGGAAGGCGTGGAAGGATCTGGACCCGCGAAAACCACATGCCGGCGGTTCATGCGGCGTGGCCCGGTAACATGAATTCTCGCCGGATAGGACGAGACTCAAGGACCGAGGCGGTTGCCAGGCCACTGAAAAAGCGAGTCGGGACGAAGGTGGACAAACATTTAGAATTGATCGTCTTCGTCTCGTTTGTACAGAGCAGACAGGTGTGAATGTTTCTGCTCAAGCGTCTAGGCCAATCCGTTTGTGGATTTCTCCAGATTTGGCGTTCGGTCATCGGGGGATTTTTCAGGGACCCTGGATTGGGGGCCCGACAATAACTAGGTATCATCTGCCATGCCCGTCCAACTGATATTCTGCCCAGAGCTTGGGTAGCATTGTGGGGTCTCGCTGTCACTAGAGCATGTGCTAGGAACTGGCCGTGCGGCGTGTTGGCATGTATATATCCGTACCTGCCAGATGGTTGCCGCTTGAGCCGCATCGATGCAGGTATACTATCAGATGTCTGAAACCCGGGCCCCGTTCATGGTGCGTCCTGTGAGAGGATTCAAGTTGCGTCCAGCTTATTCGTTGTCTTGCATACTCACGAACGAGTAGAGGTTTTCTTGCTGCGGGTGTTGTCGGAGGTCTCGAGGCGGCATTGTAACGGAAGGACCCTTTGTCAAGTTCAGATCTGGCTCGAGAAAAATGCGCTTCTCTGGACGTCTTGGGACCGCACTGAGGGAAGGAGCTTAAGGATCTGATTGGTCGATCGCAAAATAGCTCAGGGGGCACATGCACCCCTTGCTCCCAGGCCCAATGAAACTTGAAGCGCAAGTGGCCGAATCGGCACTCGAGCTCGATCGAGCAAGGGGACATTTTGAAGATCCGGTTGCCAACCCCGGATCGGCCAACTGATCTTGGCTCCACAGACATTGGCGGTCACACATGCAGACGGCATGATCCATATGATCAATCATCTGGTAATAACGGCTGCTGCCTGACGACTGCTCTGTGCCATCGACATTTCGAGCGTTGAATGCGACCTCAGTCACCCAGCTTTCTTTTATCGGCCCGACCACTTGGTTAGCACGTTTGGCGCGAAGGAGGTGGATAACAATTCAAACCAACCCATATCCTTCCCACATGCTTTTAAGTGGACGGCCGGCCGGGGCATCAAGGCCGGTGGAGTTTGGTTGCCTTTCCGAACGGTTAAGAACTTGTGTGTTCGTCCCGTTTCGCAGCGGCTGCATTTCCCCAGGTTTCACCCCGCATGCAGCATGAGCCGCATTAACACCGAGGCGAGAGGACCCTTGGCAGCCATAACTACTAGTAGGTACTACTAGTACCTACCTAGGTAGGTAGACTAGGTAACGAAAAGAAACACCATGGGCTCACTACCAAATTGAGTCAGCGCCTTTAAATAGGACTCCATATGAATGTCCCTGTTATAGAAATGTTAAAGCAGAGAATTGAGTTCTCGAATTTCGGGCCATGACTGATTGGGGCATCGGAACTGAGGAGCAAGACGGGAATAAGATGCAAAAGGAATGAGTGCATCAAACTCACGAAACAAATCGTTGTCTAGACCTCGGCGAGATTCGGCATCAGCGGCCGGCCTCGACGAGCTAACTGAAGCAGGGGTCTGACGCGGCGCGATGCGCGGCGCGACGGGTGGCACCGAGCCGGACTCTGCTTAAGATGGAAGCTGAAAAGTAACTAACTGTTGTTCAACCGCGGTCACAATTCTAGACATAGGAACCGTGGTATCTGCGGACAAGCTCGGCGACGACGGTACCTTAGGGGCGTATACAAACTTTCGAGTTCTATCAACATCCCATGTCAGGAAGGTTGCCAGAAGAGCGAGCGGCGATCGCGGCGATATCCTTGCCTTTTCCCCATGTAAGCGTTGCAACTGACTTCTTGGCCTGTCCATCATTTTCGCATACAAATGTTCCCTGTCTGCTCAAAAGGGCCTAGAACTGGTCGCTCTAAGGATAAGAAACCGCCCCCTTTGAACAACAACGAAGGCAAGAAGATGTCGCTATTATAGGTGAGGCCGAAAACGTGAATCTGGACCGAGTAATCTGTAATGTACTTTCATTTTAGGTCGAATTGCTGACTCAGCAGAGTTTGGGTTACGTATAGGATATGTTTTCTAAAGATTATTAATAGTAGGGAATACGTTCGCGCTTAGTTTTTACTACTCAGTTTTCTAACTCTATTTCTTATCTATACTATAGTATAAATCTAACATCGCCTTTTATAACTATAACTTCTATCTATATATTATAAAACCTGCTTTTAGCCAATTGTCACGAATTAAGCCAACAGGACAGCTGCAGGTGGGACAACCCGACGGGTGGCGCAGGGCGCACCCGAACCAATCATTTAGGACCAATAAGAAGGAGCTCTAAGGTGCTCTAGAGAGCAGATAAGAGCTTCAGGAGCTAAGCCAATCAACGCGAGGAAATGACAGCTCTCGATGGAGTCAACAGAGCACAGAGCTCTAGGGAGCTCTATAGAGCACATGAGAGCACCCAAAGATAGCCAGTATATAGTCACTCGTTCTGGAGGACTCTGGGAGTTCTCCAGTGAGCAATACAAGCAATAGCCTCTATCTATTGTGCAGACATTGCGGCTAGCATTGTTATGAACCTTTTGGCTTTACCGAGACCTATAGTCCGACCAGCAGTACCTTCGACCGGCGAACCCTTTCAGAGGCAGGACTGCCTGTGGTTTCCTCACATAGAGCCATTGCCAGTTGCAGAACGACTATGGAGTTCGGTGATGATAGACTTTATTACCAAACTACTACTTTCGAAGGACTCAACTACCGGAACGAAGTACGATAGTATACTTACTATGGTTGACCGACTTACCAAGTGGAGCTACTTCTTCCTATATAAGGAATTATAATTAGCAGAATAACTTATAGATATAATCTATCAGCATATTATATTAGTCCATAGATAGCCAGAAGAATAGATTATAGACCGAGACACTAAGTTCGCATCAAAGTTTTGGCAAGCGCTTATAAGGCGTTTGGGTATGAAGAGCAAGCTTTTAATAGTATACTACCTATAGATAGATGGCCAGATAGAAAGGCTTAACTAGATCGTTGAATAATATCTTAGAACGTTCGTCAACTTCTAATAGGACGACTAGGTTGATCTACTGCTAGCGGTATAGCTTACGTATAACGTACATTATCAGCGAGCGGGACATATCAGCGAGCGGGACACTAAGTTCTTGGCATAACGCGTCCTTCCTTATCTACCTCTAACAACGCGTTTTTCCTACAACTAAAGATGTCTTCCACTTCAAAGGAAGCTAGGGTAACCTTGGCCCTCAAAGCTCTTAAAAATGATATAGAACTAAGCCTTCGAGCCGCGGCCAAGCTCTATAACGTGCCAGTTTCAACCCTCGGCTACCGACGTACCGGCCGGCCTATACGATGCAATCTTCCAGCCAATTCGAAGAAGCTTACCCAATCTGAAGAGGAGGCTATTGTTCAATATATTATTGAGCTATCTATGCGAGCTTTTCCGCCGAGACTACGTGGTATAGAAGATATGGCCAACCAACTGCTACGCGTACGCGACATGCCCCCTGTCGGCAAGCTCTGGGCGTATCGGTTTGTCAAACGCCAGCTAGAGCTCCGTACGCGTTATTCGCGAAGATACAATTACTAGAGGGCAAAGTACGAGGATCCGAAGGTCATTGGCGAGTGGTTTGCCCTTGTACGGAATATTAAGGCCAAGTACAGTATCGTAGATGACGATATCTATAACTTCGACGAGACTGGGTTTATAATAGGCATTATCTTCCCAGGCATGGTGGTTACAACCTCGGATGGCCGTGGCAAGGCGAAGCTAGCCCAGCCTGGCAACCGTGAATGGGCGACGGTAATCCAAGGCGTCAATGCCCTTGGCTGGGCTATCCCTCCGTTCATCATCTTAGCAGCGTAGTTCTACCTCGCCAACTGGTATACTGAGTGCAACCTCCTAGCCGACTGGCGTATTGCAACTACCGAGAATGGCTGTACTACTAATGCGGTAGGCCTTAATTGGATCAAGCACTTCGACTACCATATAGCGCCTCGGACAAAGGGCAAATACCGGTTGTTGATCCTCGATGGCCATAAAAGCCACCATTCAACCGAGTTCGAGCTCTACTGCCAGCAGAACAACATTATCACGCTCTATATACCTCCATATTCCTCCCACCTCCTCCAGCCACTTGATGTTGGCTGCTTTAGGCCGTTAAAGCAGGTGTACGGTCGCTAGATCGAGGACTTAATACGCGTATATATCAACCATATAAGCAAGCTCGAGTTCCTTTGTACCTTTCGCACGGCCTTCTTTACCTCTATCACCAAGAGGAATATCTAGAGCGGTTTTACAGGGGCTGGCCTTATGCTATACAATCTAGAGAGGGTACTTTCAAAGCTAGATATCAAGCTTCGTATACTAACACCCCCAACCTTACGGCCAGGCACTATATAATCTTGGGTCTTCCAGACACTATACAACCCCCGAGAAGCCAACTTACAGTCAACGCTCATCAAGACTCGCATTGCCAACCATCAAAATAGCTCCCCGACTTCGATGTTGGCTGCTATAGACCAGCTTACCAAGGGTACGATAGCTATAATGCACCAGGTGGCCCTCCTTCAGGCAGAGGTGTCTTCGCTCCGCAAGGCCAACGAGGCGCTAAGCAAGCGCCGGAGAGCCAAAAAAACACGTGTACGGCTTGGAGAATCACTTACTGTGCAGGAGGCACAGGAGGTGGTAGGCCAGGGGGCTATAGGTGGGGAGGCAATACAAGAAACACAGCTGGATGGTAGTGGTGCTGGGGGGGGTCGTACGAAGGTTCGGTGCTATGGTGTATGCGGCAAGCCTGGTCATAATGCCCGCACTTGCCAGGAGGGTGCAGAAGGGTCTGATTCATCTGTTTCTGATGTAATTGTAGTTGGTTCTTAGTGTTGTTGCATTGCAATTGAGAGTAGTTGTTATAGAGTAGTGGAGAGTGTCCCGCTCGCTGATATGTCCCGCTCGCTGATATGTCCCGCTCGCTGATAATGTACGTTATATATATAGCAACTTATATATAGAGCGCGCTTAGAGAGCGTGGTGATATATCCAATATATTACCCCTAACTCCCTTATAAAGGCCTATGTCAGACCTAGCACTAGCTTTAGCCTCCTACCCAATTTTCGTGCCAAATTCTAGTACTATACTCAAGACAATTCTCCAACTTCCTACTTCGCTGTTGCTTATCTAATATACTGCTTATAGACCAATGGTCTTTACTATAGTACCGCCGGCACCCAACTCGAGCAGCCTCTATAGAATCTCAAGTTCCTTCACTGCCTCAGACAGCGTCTGCAGAGCATCGTCCTTACCGGCCTCGATGGCCTTAGCGAAGGCAACAACCTCTACCTTGACACCAGAGCTATAAGTAAATTCCTTCTTCTCCTCGGCCTTTTCGTTGCTTCTATCGCCTTTCCCAAACATCGTCTTTACCTCGGTCGGGTCCCAAGTCACCGCCACATTCGTCGTCACTACTTCAACTTCCAGGCCCGACTTGAACTCGGTGCCAAACAATAACCCAATAGTTCCACTCTTGCTGTTTTCCGTAAGCGCCATAGCGTGGACGGTGTCCACAGGGAGCAATTGCTCGTTCAAGAGCGCCGAGAAACCGGCTAACTACTTAATGTTTCCGCCTACCGCACCAAAGAGGCATCGCAGGCCGGCGACGAAGTGGATGCCGCCATCGAGGAAACCACCTTGATGATTCGGGGTTTTCCGCCCTAAGAATAAAGTTAGCACCATAACGCGTCTGAAAGCAGCGAGGGCAAAAGGCTCAAGAGATGACTCACACTCTATATTAAAGTACTTATTATCCGGCCTAATATATATATTCTGCTGCAACCAAAATGTTACCAAGTCCCCACCAATCTCCTGGACCGTCTACGCCGCTTACTATAGCGACTCTAAAAACCGAAAATTCTCTGCCACGCCCCAGAGCGGCTTCTTCTTCTTCCCCTCCTCCCCGAACCCGAACCCCTCATACCACTTGATCAGCTCCTGCGCGCGGTCTACATCGCCCACGACGGGCTTCTACGACAGGACGTGCTTGCCCGCCTTGATCGCGCGCTCTACCACGCCCGGCTACTACAGGATAGGCAGAACTACGACGACGCCAGTGTTGTCGCGAGCGAGCAGATCGTCAAGCGACTTACCCTCAACCGCGAGGCTGTCAAAGTAGATGGAAACCGAGACCGGGTCCTTGGCGAGGGCTGCGAGGACCTCCGCGGATTGCTGTGAGCGGAAGTAGACTGCCTTGAGCGCCAAAGGTGGGGTTGGCTTCTATGGCAGGGAGGGGCTCTGCGTAAGCGGGTCAGTTATTCAGTTGTGACGGTGAAAACGGGGAAAGGGGAATGCGTGGAATCTGACACTCCCTGGCAAAGATGCCTGCTCCAAGTAACGAGATGCCTGTTATGTTTGATATATGGTGTTGGTTTGTAAAGTGTGCCTCAGCGATGAGTTACCTAGTTATGAGACCGGCTGTGAAACGGTAACGGAGATCAGCTTGCTTATGAAGCAATGCGTTACTTGAGGTGGAGACTGCCTATTAAATTGACGGAGCTGAAACTTGGAAGTGGGAACTATCGACTAGTAGAGTGATGCCAAAGGTAGGGGAGTCAGTAGTAGGCCGCAGAGGACGAAGGAGTGCAATTGCCAATAAGGTAATGAGGACATATCAGGGAAACTAGGTCTTTAGGAATGGCGTATACGGTGTGGTCTGGAGGATGACAATGCCTTTGTCTCGAGCCCAGCCCTTTAGCTTATCGTCATAGAATAAACTTGGTCGTTTGGCCGAATTCTGAACCACCGTCAATCCCAATGATTTTAATATGACGGCAGGTCTGTAGATAGATCAATTCCACCCAGTCTTGCAACGCCCTGGCCGCTTATCCTTTGTTCTTGACGAATTGACCCAGTGGTAGTTGGTCGTAGTGCAAATCAAGTGAATGCTGTACCTATAGCCTAAATGGCTAGGGTTCTTGTACTGTACGACGTCAACACGGACGAAGTCGATGGCATTCGCGGTCTGAACAGGGGCGTGTTTGCCATGCTCATCCGTCATTATATCCATAATGTATCCCTCGCAAAAGGAGTCGTCCTTCGAAGTCAGCTTGATAGCTGCCCGGCGGCATGCTTCCTCAACCACTGGCTTGCTCGCATGCATCAAACAGCGATGCATTTTGCGGTATGTTACCGGGGCAAGCCCTGGCAATGCGATTGGGATGTCGACCGGTTTCGCTGACATTGCTGGCATGTTGTTGAAGTCGTATAATTGGCATAAGACTCGGCCTGTCGAGTAGACCAATCTATTGCCGTGTTGGTCCCAGAAAACACCTGCTTTCTTCGATTGGTTGGAAGAAACAACGTTGCATGGCGCCTTGGGTTGGTATAAACAGTTCTCAATCGTCATGACGACTTTAGAGCCATCATCAACAATGGCCTGCATATGAACTGTCCCGCCACGCATCGTCAACATGGTGTTACCCGACGCTGTCATTGTTCCATATGGCTCAATGTCACACATTGTTCTAAACCACTTCGCATCGTTGAAAATGGACGCTGCGCATCCCGAGTCGTAGACCACAAGGTCTCGCGTTGAGCTTCCTTTTGTTGCATTCAGGGCCTGTTGGACTTCAGCGCTTAATAATGCTGGGACCCCTCCTGAAAATGCGACGGTGACATGGCCGTCATCACGAAGTTGCTGGTCGTGAAAAAGACCTTCTTTCCATTGTTGTCGATGACCTTGATATTTGAATCCGTGGGGTTCGCAACACCAGACTGTTGGTGCAGGGGAGCCGTCGTGCTTCCTTTGCCCTGCTTCTTCTTCTTCTTTTCCAGGTATTCCTGCTTCTTCGCCCAGGAATCGGGGGCTTCCTCAGGGTGACAATACCAGCATATGTCTCCTTTGTGGTGGTTGTCGCAATCCTTGCAATGCTTGGCCTTCTTGGCTTGCTTCCTGCCACACACATCGCAATCCGCTCTATTGTCCCCTTTCTTCTTGTCAGACTTGCCACCCTTGTTGCTATTGTTACCATTGTTGTCAGACTTGACGGCAGCAAGGCCTAGGTTGACAGTCTCATTCTTCGCGATCAGGCTGAACTCCCGTATCATGGCTTCCCAGGTATAAGTGCCGGCTTCAACGCCGACCCTGGCACGTTGAGCCACTTCCGGATACTCCTGTTCAATGCCACGCAAAGCGAACAACGTGACGCCTTTGTCTGTGACTTTGCAAATGTCGCTGTTCTTCAGTGCGTTACGTAGTTCAGCAATGCAGGTGGTGAATGCTGTCATCGAGTCAAAATTCTCGCGCCGAATATTGGCGAGTTCCTTGGCCAACTGACAATGGTAATCACCAGGTCGGTCTGTGATCAATGCCTCAAGCTTCTCAAGTGTGCCTTTCAGGTCAAATTGACGAACATTCCAACCCGATGCAGCCAGGATTTGCTGAATATCGCTGGTCATGTATGTCTCTATGAACTCCTGGATGTCCGCACGGTTGTTGATCCACTGCAACTTTGCCTGGCGTTCAGCCGGCTCGGGAACATCGTTCTCAATGTAATCAAGCAACCCATTACGCTGGAGGGTGCGTAGGAACTTCTCTTTCCACAGTGAAAATGTCGACTCGCTCAGAACCACACCCAGCGGTGGGAATGTCCGTGCTGTGATGGTCGTCGTAGTGGTAGTCACATTCTGGGGAGGAAGGTTATTGCCCACATCGGGCGCTGACGCTGGACCTGATGCCGACATGTCGAAGAATTGGTGATCAACTGTGATCAACGCTGTCGCAAAGCACTGGAAGATGTCGCAAATTCCTTAGAAAATGGGTGTCAACTTTGACACAAGTCGGTCGCTTTTGACGAAATGAAAGTCGGTCGAACCAAGCCGATGCAACACAACGCAATTGAGCTTGACGACGACGACGTCAGCGATGCCGAATAGAAAAGCCTTGGTGGTTAGACTGTTGAAATGCCGTGTAAAATGCGTAGAATAAACGCAAATGAAGAAGGTGCCTTCAAAACACTGGCTAAACCACCCTAAATGCCGTACGCAACAGAAAAAGAGGGATTCATAACCTGTGAGACAACACAGGTGGTGATGAATCGTGCGGTGTTGTTGTGGATGACTAACTACCTACTGCTAAGGTATGGGAGGAAGGAAAGGCACGCAGGAAGCTCTGCGGAGCTGTATGGCGAATGGAGAGATGTGGTGCACGGGCCACATCTCACAGAACACTTCGAGCAATGAGATATTGTCAAGGTCGAGGTACTAGTCGTAACTCCCTGATTGAGTGACGAAAGGCGGCATAGCCGACATAGGGGCCTCTCAAGCATAGAGCTGAATTGAGGCAATGGGTTGCGTGGATGGAATTCCTACCTACTGTGAACTGCTTGCTTCTAGATTCTCTGGATCCGAGACGCCCACGGTGTTAGGCTGGTTACGGACAAAACCTCCTCCCTCCACAGAACGAAGTCGGCCCGTGTGATCCCGGAGGTCGTCTTCGTCGGTATCTGGGAATGTGAGATCGATACATTCCAGATCCATGCCGTCGATATCTACGTTCTTCGGAGGCATGACTGAGCTGCTAGACGGTGAACCCAGTGTTGGTTGAGTCAATACTAGCTTAGCCTGCACTTTCTGATTCCGAAAACTAGTGTCAACAAGGTGAACCGCCGGCTTCTCCTACTGCTCTCGATCCCTAGGCCTTTTGATCTGCTTCGCATCAGACATATCTTTGGCCTCCTCCCATTGTCTCTTGGTTCTTTGTTTTATAGGCGGCTTCTTGTTACCCTCCTTGCAGCATCTGTGGGCATACGGTCTGCTTGCCTTAGTGAAAGCACCTCCGGCACAGGGATGGTTAAATCGCCAATTTCCGTTGAGCAACTTATCGAAGGGCATCTCTTCGTCATCACCGCATGCCAGGTGGGTGTCGAATTCATCCGTAGCTTGCTTTTCAGCAAGCAACTCTTCGAGCGGTGGGTGCTCATCAGTTTCCTCTTCGCGTGAAACTTCCTTTGTATGGTGCATTGAAGATTGTGTCGATGCTTGTTCAGCAGCCATAATCATATCCAGGTCATCAATGTCGTCGTCGTGAAGGTAGTCTTCTTGACCGGCTTGTTGGCTACCTTGTTTATTGTGTTCTATATCGAACCCCGTACCGACCGAAATCGCCGAGGACGGAAGTACTAGATTTGCCAGCGTGTGCTTGAGGGTCTTTTACATCTTGGCAGAGGAGGAGCATAGCGGGGCCATTGGTAAGCCAGCACGTTCCGTGGAACACGGTCAAACTCGGATGTATATGAGCAAGCTCGGGAGCTTCCAGAGACCTGACCTAAGCTTCGTCTCCTTACAAGCTCTTCACTACCCCTCTTGCACATCCATCACAATGCCTCTTCCCATCGTTGTCGTACCTGCCTCCACCAAGGCCGGCCGAGAAACAATCCGCCAGCTTCTCGAGGCCGAAAGCAAGCCCATCGTCTGCGGCATCTACCGAGATACATCGAGAGCTCCTTCCGACTTCACCCAAAACCCCAACTTCGAAGCCAGCAAAGGCGATGTTGGAACAGGCGCAGGTCTCGATTACAGCAGCGCCGATACGGTCTTCTACATCCCACCTCCAACATATGACGGGACGGACCAGGGTGAATGGGCAACCCGGTGTGCGAACAATGCGAAGAGAGCCATCCGGGACGCTTCGAGCGTATCAAGAGACTCCTCTTCCTTTCGGCTCTGGGCGCGCAGCATAACCATGACATTGCACGTGTGGCTTGACACGAGGTTTGACAAGGTGTGCCGACGCTAACAGGATGGGAAATCTAGGGCATTCTACGCCTGAATCATATCTCCGACACAATTCTCAAGGACGCTGCGCAGGAAGTGATCACGGTCAGGCCCGGCTTCTTCTACGACGAGTTCGCTCATGCATTTGAGGCAGCACGGGCTGATCCGCCTGTGTTTCACGCGTGGATCACGCGTGTCGATCACAAGATACCGATGGTGAGTTTTACTTCCTTATACTGCCCATGTTCCTCGCGGCCCATACAGAATATGAGATAGCTCGTTCTAGGTAAGCATCAAAGACATTTCCATGCTGCCTGGTGGCATTATTGAGGACAACTTTGAGGATGATGAGAGCACGGTGAGGGGGGACATAGAGTTGGTGGACACCCTGCGCGAGCTGGCTGCCAAGGGAACGGAAAAGTGAGAACAGCTGCAGCTTGTTTGCACCTAAAAGCTCACTGACTGGTAAAAAGGGCCCAGAACCGATGGCTATAAGGACAAGAAATCACCCCCCTTTGAACAACAACAAAGACAGAAGCTATCTTTTATAGGAAGGTAGAAAGTGTGATGGATGTTGCTTGGTAAGGAGTTGCGCCTGTTGTAGCGAATTCGACCTCTGGCGCGACACGGGCATCTCAAGCGAGATGCGCCTCTGTGGGCCGCTTCAGTCGTCAAACTACGTGGCTGTGCTTCTCATCAAGTATACCGAGTACACCGATGACGCTTTTACCGCGAAGGGGCTGTCCAGCCTCAAGCTGAGGGTCAACCCGGAGGTGGCCAAAGTGCAGAAGCAGTCCATCGAGATCATCAAGAACTGGGTCAGTCAAGCCTTCGTAGGCAAGGCTAACATCGTCTGCTCCGTTGTGCCGAGTGACCAGCTGTGATTTGCCCATATTTCATCAAACCATACGCTTTAACTCTGCTGCGGATACATTAGACACTCTTTCTCTTCCTATCGCTCCGCAGATGCTGGCCGTGGAAGCCGAATCCAACAGCAAAACCGCACTCAGCCCTCCCGAGCTCCGTCATTGTCTTGGCATCGAGACAGACCAAGTAGCTGCTCCTCTGGTGACCGTCAAGTACCACGCTGAGCAGGACGCCATCATCTTCCTCGGTCATGGCTTCTTCGGGCCGACTTCCATCCCCCTTGGGGGGGCGTGCAATGAATATGGCTTCCCCGGGGCTGTGGCCAACCCCTCCTGACCAACTCACCACTTGCCGGTTGTCCGTGTTTATCTTGGCGATCGAATCAAAGAGGGTGCTGAGGCCACGGCTGAGCAAACAGTAGACATAACGATGCTTCCGGCACATGTAGGCTGGGTTGATGGTTGGCATCTCGCCAGCGTGAGGACCAGGAAGTTCCAATTCCAGTTCAGCCAACGGGACTGATCCTCGCGTGTAGTTCTCTTGTGATCTGAATTCCTTACTGTGCAGCCTGTAACGTGCGAGATGCAGTTGTCTCCTTGCAGCGGTTTGCCGGTTCGCCCAGAATTCCTTCGCCTCGCCGTTGCGGTTTAGAAGTACATCGTAGTACATGCCAAAAAGGATGTCTGTAGTTTGGTACCGGATAAGCTCGCAGATGATGTCGCCATTTTCCTCCTCAAAGGCGTTGACGGAGTGGAAGAAGAAGGCGGCCGGCGAGTGGAACACGCCGACCAAACCTCTACCCTGGTGCCGGTCCACGACGAACCATTTGCAGGGCTCGTTCTCATTAAATTCGTGGAGCCCTCCCAGCAGGGAGCCCTCCCATGTGGCCCGGAGACCATCGTATTGCGAGACTGGGATGCAGAGCACGACATACCCGCGTGTCAAGAAGAAACTGTGAATATAGGCGGGCTTCTCCTGGATTGTGGCGAGGATAGTGGTCTGCCTAGTTGAGGCGCTAACATGGAAGATGCGATAGGTGGCCGAGAGTCCCACATCCATGTTGACGCTGAAATAGTCGTTGGTCTCCGGGTCAACCACGGCATGCGCGACACCCACGGACCCCTTCAGCGCGGGATGTAGAAGCTTTGGGTGGACAGGCTCGTACGGCTGCATAGTCTCGGGGTCAATCTCAGAAAGCCAAGCCGTGTCAGTGCCGAGGAATACCGGCCCAGGGCCAGCCCGATGTCCCTGGCCGACGTCCGAGGCAGAGGTGTCCCTGACTTTGGCGAGTCCCTGAAGCGCGGGTACCTCGGCTTGAACCGTCACGGCAATGTTGTCCAGGCGCTCCTTTCGGTAGAAAATGCTCATAAATTTTGAGAACAATCCCATACACGGGTCGCTGCGTTGGCCAAACGAAATGGCGGGAAACCTGCCCCAGGCTTGAATGTCCTTGACGATCTGGTCCGATTGGCGACGAGACGAGTATTGGACCCTAACTTTTCCCTTGTCCTCGAAGATCTCGAACTTGTGAGTATGGGCGAGCCCGTCGAACCAGTGGGATATGTCGAACGTGTCCGGCCCGGTATCGTTGACGGTGCGGGCGCCGGGGCCGGTCCGGTACAGAACGCCGGTGGTCCAAATTGGGATGTGACCTTGAACACTCAACTCGATGGGACCTCGATGCTCGGTTAGACCTTCAAACTTGAATCCAATACAAAGGCTCAGTATCATTGCAGTAGCAGTCCCTCCACGGCATTGTAGGACTGTTGCTCACCCCGGCGTCATTTGGCCATTCTCGATACCTCTCTGCCGTCAAGTTTTTGAGGACATCTGCCACGTCCACTTCCTCATCTTCGGCCGTGCGTCGGGTCGTGCTGGCATAGATTGCTGAATGCAGCTCCATGGCAACCAAACGTAGTATGTAGGATCTTTGTCCGCCTAGGTAGTAAATAGGGTGGCGATGCTTGTCCTGCGGTCTCTGTCAGCCTCTGTCAGCTTCTGTGAAATACCCACTAGAGGAAATTTTCGCTCTCCCATTGCCGCGACAGTCAGATTAGGAGGTCGAGAAGTCGCCTATTGGTGGAGCGATCGACGCGGCGATGGACGTTCCAGAACAGACACCGATCCCGCTTCGGCCAGTTTTCACATCGGCGGGTTTCGGCCTTCGACTCAGGTTTTGCTCCGTAACTTCGGCGCAGCGGCTTCGGTTCTTGCTCGGGGTGACGCCAACATCCTTACAGATGCTCATCACCTTTCTGCGGCGGTGAGGTGGCCGAGCTTGCCTATCTTGGCTTTGGGAAGACGGCCCAATGGCACGGCGGTACGAGAAGCCTGGAGCATCGTCCGAATTTCTTTGTAACGCTCGGCACCGACAGGGAAAATGCAGACTATAAATTCGGGATTGGACCTACGAAGAAGACAAGCACATGTAACAATTATTCGGAGTGGTGACACGACAAAGGCAACCGCGGAAGCCTCTTCACCCTTCTGAACTTCCAGGTACAAAAGAAGTACGGAAACACGTGGAATCGCAGAGTCCAGGAAATAAAGTTCACGGTGCGTTAGTGAAATGGGAACTGCGGCATCGAACGAGAATGATTTCCCGTCTCCGCCTTTCGCGAACCAGAATCATCTCTTTCAAAAGCCGGATACCCCCACGCTTGGTCAGCTGACTCCCGTGGCCCCCCTCTGCGCCGTGAACCAGACAAGCAACAAACGGTTACCAGACACTACGCAGCCTCGCCACCAAAGCCTGGCCCAAGTCGCGCACTCGTTGGATTCGGGCGGCCGACACGCCCGCACAGCAGCGGCAGACAAGGGGAATTTGCCACGCCTTAGGCTCTCTGTCCTCCTCCCCCACACAGCCGGCCAGGTGCGCCACGGCATGGTGCAGCTCATCGGACGCACCCTCGGTGGCGTCGCGCGCATTTATAGCCAGGAGAGTGAACTTGTTCAGCGAGTAATCCAGTCGCATGAGCGCCAGGACGCTCTCCAGGCGCATGTCCCGTGCTGCGTCTCCCCGGGTCCCAACGAGGCCGGGACCCTCGTCTCCAAGGCGGTGCGGCTCGTCACCGTCTTTGCTGCTGTGGTACTGCTCAAAAGCACCCTCACCGCTCCCCTGGACTGTCAGAAGCCCAAGATTGAACTTGATCAAGCCTGCCGCCATCTCAATGGCCTCCGCCACAGACACGTGGATGATGGCCCAGTTGTACCGGTTCTGACGGCCCGGGCTTTTCGGAGAGATTTGTGTCAGCGTGTGAGTTTTGCTGCCCAAGTCGTTTATGACGCGCAGGACGGAGGCCAGCTCATCTTGGTCGGCGCTGTTGAGGAAGTGGAGCGGCCGGCCATGGCACGCGCGGTGGATTTCCGCGCAGAGGCTCAAGGTTTCGGTGAAGTCGTCTGTGGCATCTCGACAAAGCCCGTCGGATATCGTGTTGCTCACTGGGATGGCTGGCCCGGGTGAGGGCGCGGCGTGAGGAAGTCGAGCGTTGGTCTCCAGCTCCGGAAGGAATTCTGTCTCGCTCTCGGCTGGCACCCCTGGAGGACCGCTCTGATCAGGAGCCGGAAACACGAAACTGTCCATGAGAATGCTATCAAAAAGTGTCTTCTGATCTTGCTGGCCAAACTCATGGAGTGCGGTTACCCCAAAAGTGACGCCAGTCACGGGCGGCGATGGAGAGAGAAGCCAGGGTTGTCCGTTTCTCGAGCCTGCCAAATTCTCCGGAGTGTCAACAAAAGGTGGACTTGGAGATAGTGCCGTCAAGTGACGGCGCGTTCTCGGTGGTCCGGCGCCCTCATGCAGGCTGATTACATGCTCCGTGGCAGGCCCATTGAGCCGCTGACTTGGCGTCGAAACCGACGCCAACCCTCCGTTAGCCGTGGCCAGTTTCCGTGGTCGCCCAGTCTTGCTCTTAATGGAGAACAGACACCGGCGTTTATTTGTACGGCAAGCCTTGCAGGTTGCTGTGCTACTGTCGGGCGGGAGATCGCAGCGGATTTTGCGCTGATGGCATTCTTCGCAAGCAAGGCGGAACTGCAGTTCCGCCGGAGGCCAGTTCTCGCTTGGATTGCTGTCCATACTTGGTGACCCGACTGGCAATGACTTTGCTCTGGATGTCCGTGGTGCAGCACGCCGGTGATATGGATAATCCCCTGAGGCCTCTTGGTCGTTGTGACGTCGACCACCTCGGGAAGGCTGCATGGTATTCCCAAATTAAGCCATCAGACGGGTGGCGCAATGCAAGGAAGCCGCATACTCATAAACCCAGCACACGGGCCAAGCAGGGCTCCTGTAAGGAGTGGACAGTGTGGTCAGATACCGAGGTAAACGGAGCGGGTGTAACCAGCCCCCTAGTTATCGAGGAGTATACAGAGGCACAGTCGCTTGCCGCCGGGGAAGCCATGAAACTGCTACGATGTGGTTGACGATATGAAACCTGCCAATATTTCTGATAAACCCTGACGCAGTGAGTGCTCCGGGGTGGTTGGGCCTGCGGGTCGGTAGGTGGGGAGAAAGAAATTGCATGGAAGCATCGCCAACATACATGAAAATCCCCGGAACGTAAGCAAGAGGTTGCATGAAAGCATTCGCCAACATACATGAAAATCCCCGGAACGTATTTGGCTGGAACCACAAACGCCCCAACAGCAAATTCCCCGGGGCACCACCATCTTTTGGCGTAGCGGTTCCAACAGAAGCTTGATATGACTCAATTCTACTTCTAGCCTATCAGGAGCAATTCTCACACGAGCCCCAGACCAGGTGTTCGTGTGCCGCGTGTCCCATTCGCAGATATGTCGCGAACCGGCTAGTACTTGGGGGCCAGACGGTCGACCTACGCACAAGGTACCGGCCGAGAAGCATGGAGCTGAGAAACGGTCAGAAAAGTGAACTGCACCAAAAGAAACTCGCCGACGGGGTGCGACACATGGCAATTGCCTTGAGAAATGGATGTTGCCTATCTAGCTGTCACGGAATGTTCTCTAGGCTCCAGGACTCATTCCGTTCCCGTTAGTATTCCAGCTGACCACCAGTCCGACTCGACGTCAGCCAACCTTCACCCCTGAGGAACAGACTGAAGGGTTACCTGACGCCAAGTTGCATGTCCTATTCCGCTCCCAAGCACTTGCACGCTCATCAAAGCCCGGATGGTGACAACAATGAAGATCCTCTGCATTCATCAATGGTGAGGCTCCAGCGATACAACCGTCTGCTCGATCTTGGGATGAAGGCTGATCCTGATCGGCGCGGTAATACCGCGGTAGGGGAACCTCGGGTGTCGTTTTTGAGAAGCAGTTGTCGTCGGTGACTGGCCTTCTCAGCCCAACGTATGAATATGTGTACATCAATGGTCCTTACACCTGCGCGCGAGCCCGAGGTAAGAGTTGAGCCGGGACACGAGGAACAAACATCCGAATACCCATCGCATTGCGATTCCCTGACATGAGTGGTATAGGCCTCCCGGACACGGTCAACGGCCCGTTCCACTGCTGGTACCGAGGGCTCTCGTCGGAGCAGTGCAACGAGGCCCATAAGGTGATATGCGAAGCCATCGCGGAGGACGGGCCATTCGAAGGCGTCATTGCGTTCAGCCAGGGAGCCGCAACCATTCTGTCGCTGCTACTGCATCACGACATGCATCAACCGAGCCAGCCTCCTCCCTTCCGGTTTGCTATTCTCTTCTGTCCGATCGTGGTCATCTCTCCTGATCCCAAATTCAACGCCGAGCATGTTGTGCGGTACAGCCGCTACTACAAGGCCAAACATGCCGGAGACCGCATCAACGACGATACCACTGAAGGGTTCGTCGAGGAAGCCGAGAATGTTGGCGAGGCTATTGGAAGCAGGCCGCGATATGGCACGGTCTCCAAACCGAAGAGTGTCCCGAAGCACCGTACTCTGCTCCTGCTCAGGCGTAAGAGAGAAGCACTTGCTGAGGAGATGGTGGACCTCGTTCGGGAGATGAGCAGCATGGCTCCGGCGGAGATGGACGAGGAGACTACAGTCCGGGCCAAGGACATGGTCAGCCCAGACAAACCCGAGGCCTTCCCACGCATCATGCACCCGCTAACCACCAAGTCGCGCGTGTCCATCCCTACGGTGGTCGTTGTTGGAAAGGAGGATCCGTTTGCCCGGCAGAGCGAGCTGGCAGTGAGACTGTGCGAGAACAAGAGGACGAAGGTAGTCTACCTCGCCGGCAGTCACCGTGTGCCGGTCAGCCCGCCCGAGCTCCACGCGGTCACGGCGGCTGTGGAGTGGGCAATACAGAAAAGTCAGCAGACTTAGGAAGGGGGCAACGCTGGATACCGCAACATGCAATAGTCTCAAAGGTTATGGCGGCAAACAAACCGCCGTTGAACTGTAAACAAACCCCGGTGCAGCAGCCCAAGCATGATGATGCGGTTGTCGTCTTGTGCGAACACGTCCCAACAGCTCAATCGGTGTCAGAAGAAGCCATGGCAACCACACTTCGAGGAGCCTTATGCATCAGCACACACCTTCTGCCATATCCTTGCGTCAACTTGCTCGTGCCTCTCCCCGGCAAGATTACAAGGCCATAGGCCAGACCAGCGGTTGAATCTTTTCGTATTCGGCCTGGCGCCTTTTGAAAACCCGCGTCCCCCGCGTGCTGCAGTTTAGTGCAGTAAACTACCATATTGGTAAGGAGACCTGTAAGTTCCGTAGAGGAGGACATGTCGCGGGATCCTTTCGCCCTCAGACCTCCGCGTCGTTCGGAAATACGACGGGATGCTGCCGGGCCCGTGATTGGGCGCCAGATTTGCACGCTGGCCTCTGAAGGGCAGGTTACTATCGCCGAGTTGGCGAAGGCGCAGCCCATCTGCCCTTCGGCAGGCTGATCACCTACCGATGAACTGGTTCAGGTACTTCATGTCGCTACGCCATAGCCAAGTCTCTGCGGCCTGATATATTGGCACCCGTCCGCAGATGTTGAAATGCAGCCAACGGCCCATCTTCATTCAGCTCACGAGATTACGTTGTCTGCAACTACGTTAGGTAGGTACTAGGTACCTTCGAACGCCGCGCGGCCTAGTATGGGAAACACTGTGTTCTACTCGGGTAAAACGGATCCGTCTAGAATCCCAAAAGGCGCAACCAACATGTTCATCCCACGCTTCTCCCATGCAGAGGAAATCCGTGGGAAACCAGCTTCAATAAATTACTTCGCCGTGGCACCTTCCACATGGGGTGTTTCAAGATAAGGAGGTGGCCAGGTCGCGAGTGAGCGCAACTTGAACCCGAGGTCCGCGTCAGGACCGTGTGTCAGAGCGGCACAGCGGCACGTAGGCACAGTGGCCCATGCTTTTGTCAGCTTGTACAGTATTCGTGTGAAGTCGGGGGTCTTGAGAGCGCTAATCACCAACAGCACCAAGTCAGACCATTCCAACTGTCTGTGCCAGCCAGTCAAGTCCTGATTCAGTGTTCCGTACCTGTATACCTATCCAAGGTACTCAGGCAAGAACGCTTGGTCACTTGATGGTCACTTTTCTTGTCTTTGTCCCGACGACGGCTGCCGGCAACCCCCGGCCAGACCGCCCCTATCATCCCGCGCGTCAGACACCCCCTAGTCCTGGACCCAAACACGACGTACGTTCTGACTGGCGGGCTTGGCGGTATCGGCAGAAGCCTCGCCTTGATGCTGCATGCCCACGGCGCCCGCAACCTAGCCTTTATCTCCAAGTCGGGCGATGCGAAAGAAGCGGCCCAGGTCTTTTTGCACCACCTGAGGAGCCTCGAATGCAATGCCAACGCCTACGCCTGCGACATCTCGGACCACGAGCAGCTTGCGAAGGTGCTGGAGCGATGCAACAGCGAGATGCCGCCCATTAAAGGACTGATCCAGTGCGCTATGAACCTACGGGTGAGTTGCCTGCTAGTAGCTGCATAAACCTAAGCTTAGTATCTAGTTTTGCTCCACTGGGCCATGCATGCTGACACAGACAAAACCCCAGGACGGAGTCTTTGAGAACATGTCCTACGATGACTGGCGTACCTGCACAGCGCCTAAGATCCAGGGCAGCTGGAACCTGCACGGGCTGCTGCCGCACAACCTGGACTTCTTTGTCATGTTGGCGTCCATGTCCGGCGTCATCGGCAACCCGGGGCAGGCGAACTACGCGGCGGGCAACACCTTCCGTACGCCAAACCCGATCTCCTTTTTATTTTATTTTATTTTATTTTATTTCTTTATTTTTTTCCCCTCCCCATTTACGACTTCGAGGTGTCTCTTGGCTGCTTTCGAGACAGCGTCCTTGCTCTCGAGCAGCTCTCGATGCCCTAGGTCAAGTGAAGACGATGAGCTGACATTGTTTTGACAGAGGACGCATTGGCCCACTACCGCCGTCGGCTCGGGCTGGCCGCTACGACGCTGGACCTCGGTGCCGTGCGCGACGTCGGCTACCTGGCCGAGTCAAGCGAGTCCTCACGCTACTGGACCATGAGCCACCTCAACCGGCTGACAATCTCAGAAGCCGACATCCACTTCCTGGTGAAGAGCGCCATCACGGGACATACCGCAGACGACGAGATCACGCCCGCACAGGTCGTCTCCGGGCTGACGGGCACCGGCATCGAGGAGCACCAGATGCAGGGCAGCCGGTGGATGCGCGACGGCAAGCTCGCCATCGCGTTCAAGGCCGCCGCCGGCGCGCGCAAGGGGGCGAACATCGAGGCAGACATGGAGGCCCTGCTGCAGGCCGAGACGGTCACCTCGGCGGCGTCGATCGTCGAGGGCATCATGGTGAAGCGCATCGCAACGGCCCTGATGATGTCGGAGGAAGACATTGGTCTTAGTGAGCCGCTGCAGGCTTACGGAGGTATGAATATCCTCCGGCTCCCGTTCATTTGCTTTATCTTGGTCGCTGTCTCGCGCCAACTAACTGGACGGCGATGACTAGTAAACTCGCTGGTTGCTGTTGAGATCCGGACCTGGCTCGCCAAAGAGTTCCAGGCGGAGATTACTGTCGGTGAAATCAGTCCGTCGCCCATTCCGACGATTGCTCTGAAGCTGGTTAGGACGAGCAGGCTGCTAAAGGGCAAATTGAGGGAAGATGGTAAAGAGGCTCCTTGAAAGCATCGCCGCTTCTCGGTATGTGGCCGGTGCGCTGGGCAATCATGGTAATGGTAAGGCTGCTATATATCAGGACATTTTTGCTTGCGGTGATCATCCCGCATCCACCTATCTAGTGTATACGTGAATCCCTGCGTATCCCATCCCAGCTGTCCTAGCCTTCCCCAGATCTGATATGGAACGGAAAGATCGAGTGAGGACCCCAAGTGATACGTAGCAATATATCAACGCGCCTCCACCAACCTAAGGCAAGAGTGGCATAGGTATGCTGAGTGCAGTGCAGGATACGCTTCTCTTCTCCATCCTCCAATCTCCACCACCTTCCGCAACCCAGAGATCAATACCCGCCGACTGGCCGACCTTTTCCCCCACACTATGCACACCAGCCTACGCATTAGCCTCGAGCTGCGGAAAAGAAGCTCAGCATTAGTGCCATCTAGTCCCCTCACGGAGTGTGCGGATCCCGTGGAGGGAAGTCTCAGTGGGGATGCAAATTGCAGCTAGGTAAATAGCTCTTTAACTTCCAGGACTCGCTCTCATCGTCCCGGTGACCGAGATGGTATTCCCCGGGCCATTGCCGGGTCGTTCCCATCTCCCAAAAGGCGCGGGAGCCAAAGCAATACCTCCAAGGGTGGGTGAGACCTCTGGTTGTCACTATTTGCGGTGCTGCGCCGAGGCTTCCGTAACGCAAGACTTCACACAGTTGTGGTGGAAAGGGTGAAAGGGCCGAAAGGAAAAGCGAGATAGAACGGTCCCCTGCGCCGAAAAGGTTTGATGGGGACCGCACGAGGTGAGGGGTTGACGTAGGAGCAGTCGATAGACCTGCCGCTTACGGACGTTCATCAGGCGATCTTGTTATGGTTTCGCACTTCTTTCACGCTCAAGTGATTGTTGGTCGAGATTCCTAGCACGTCTCTTGTTGTGTCGTGTGGATAAAGCATCGAACACCTCCGCAAGACGGCGTATCAAGAGGCCGCCCGGGTCCGAGCTCATGACTCCTGTATCTATCAGAGCGTGTGTGAAGGTCATATGGCTGGTAAACAAAGTACGCAGCAGTGCTGCGCACGTGGAAGGTGTTGGGCACTTTCTCACAGCTCGAATTGCCTAAGATGTTGGAACGCGACTCAAATTCAGGGAGTGCAAAAACAAATCATTTCACGGCGCCCGCACTTCTCCCGAGCTCCCCTTTTGGTTCACGCCTTTTTAGAATAGAGCACGAAAGTCGCCCAGTATATCAAGCTTTATAACCGGTTGCATCTGACCTAGCAGCGTTACGACTGCTGTGAGGGACCGGTAAACTGTACACCTTTGGGCTGTTCAGATATGAAGGGCCATTCACCTAAGGAATAGGCTCAAGCATATTTCTTTATCTGAAGGTCCATGTGATGATTTGGCCGAGAGGGGGTCTTGGAGTCTTCTTCTGGATCGCAATGTGACCGGGGAGGATGCATGTATGTGAGATGCTTATATAGAATATAGTGCCATGTGATATAACATTCGCCCTTTGGTGAAAGCACCTCCAGAGCAACGCAACCGTGAAGGTGAAGACTCATGCAAAGTCAGACGGCACTTTGCCGTAAGGGTATTGGCGATACTCGGTGGCAATTCAGATGTGTGGCTGAGAAAAAGGCAGTGCCATATCTTCTCATTGCTTGAAGTATCAGGTGCTGGCTTCTCTTCAAGCTCCTCATGATCGGATGAAAACATAACAACCGAATCGGTTGCCAATTATCGACCATGCACACAACTTCACCATCATGCAGCTTCGAGATACGACTTGAACGAGTGGTTGGTGAACTGGAGCACCTATGTTGCTGGGATATTCTTCGGCAACCAAGTTGGTCGGTTGGTTAGCGTTGATTGGGACGTGGAAGGGAGAATGAATTGTCTTTATGTCTGCGCACTAGAGCCTCCCTCTCGCCGCTAAAGGCCATGCTAGAGCTGGTATCTGGCTGGCATGGACGTGTAAACCGCTGAACGGAGCAGATCACGGATATCGCTTAGACGTTGGGCAAGACCGTATTAAGAATAGAGGGCTATTTACGTCTCTACCTACGCGCAGACTGGTGGAATGGCTACATGACAAACTCCCTTCATTCCTTGGCCTGACCCCTCTGCTTCCTGAGGAGCCCTTCCTGTTTCCTGGAGGGCTCCTCTCGTTTCTTGGCCAGCTTTTTGTGCTTTCTCGCAGGCTCCATCCGTCTCTTCATCAACTACTCCCTCCTCGCTGTCATCCTGGCAGTGGCAGGTATATCCATTGCCAGGGGCTTCGGCCGTCTGGTAGCTCGCTGGCCTCTCCCATTTCCAAAAAGGCTCGCCCATGCGCACCAGATGCTGTCGAACTCTAATCGTCGAGTTTTCCGTCTCTATTTTTGTGATTTCACCGTCTGGAACGAATCTTGGCACTCTTGCGGGTGGCGGCTCGCGCATGAATGGCCAGCGGATCCAGCTCTCCGCAGGTTGGTACTCCATCATCCGCCGCCGTTTCTTGACCCAAGCATCCAAGACCGCCCGAAATGCTTCGATATCGCTATCAAGCTTGACATCTGGGTGTCTCGTCCATTGTAGTTGTAGTACTGCGTCGGCATCTTGTTGCTCATGGGGCACCTCCCGGAAATGCTCGTCCAGGGGTGATGATCTCGTACAACGTGAAGATTACCCCCTTGACATCGTCCCGGGCGGGCGTGGATATCGTGACGGGCCCGTCGGGTTCTGAGAATCGAATTCCGTAGACGCCCGGGCGCAGATGGTCCACATGCTTTCGGAGCTGCGCTATGCAGATGTCCTCTGTCTCTTCGACATTTTCGGCTGGTGTCGGCGGGCCATACGTGACGGAGAACTGGCGCCTCTGGTCGTGATCCGTGATATGCCATGTGCAGGGCCCGCCATGATCCAAGCTACCCAAACCAGCGGAAAAGCGCTCCTCTGGCCGGATCACTTTGAAATATGGACGAACGAGGAAAGGACGGGAAATGGAAAGAGGAGGTGGCTATGGAAGGAATCGGAACTGTGGAAGGTACCTGGCTGTCACTCAGAAACTGTGTGGAGGCCGGAGCTAAACTGCCAGCCGCCGTCTCCCACACAGGCATCTTGATTGCAATGGCGCTTCGGCATTTTTCGGCCTTACGACAACTTGAACCTAAGCTAGGTACCTCTCAAAGATAATTTGATTTTGTGTCTCCTTGTTGCTGGTCTTCGCGCCTGATGTACCGCTTGCATCATAGAGGGGACTTAATGGATGGAGAGTGTGGTTATTGATCGAGCATCAAACGTGACTTTCCATGGCATTTCTTCAAACCCTCCGCCTATCGAGTCACGACTTCTGAAACAGAGCTCCCCTGAAGTAGACAAAGAGACCGGAGAAAGTATTGGGGGGTTCCATCCTCAGTTTTGGAAGCAGTAGTAGATGGAGTAGCACTAACCCTACGTTAGCACCGAAGGACAGAACTTAATATGAGCTACATGGTTAAGCAAACTGACCGTATGCTGCAACTGAGATCCCTCGGGCACGTTGTACAGCTGGCGGCCATTATCCTTGTAACAGGCTATGGCAAACGTCAGCCGTGCTATGTCACTTTCGCATCGAGCGGGTACTCACAGAAGGTTGCGCCGAAGCTGTTGGAACCAGAGCCAGCAAACTCGCCACTGTTCTACAGAAGAATCCGGTGTTAGCTAGGTGGCCGGGCACAAGTGGTGGACACAAGAAAGGACACAACCCACCAAGCTCTGCGCTCCGTTCGCAATCGTGGAACAGAAAGTAGCACCCCTGGATCCTTCCAATCAGCCACCATCCAACGTCGTGTCGTCGGAATGAAGGTAACCCACGTATCGGGATAAGTACCGCAATGCCGTTGGCCCTCCCAGGTGACTAGGTTGGGGACGCCGTCGGTCTGGGATGGAAACGCGCTACCGTCGGGCAGTTGGCCGTTCTGGACGTACGTAGCTAAGCGTCAGCCAAGGTCAAGACACGGATGCACCGGAGCACAGGAACGTACTTGCGAGCCACTACGGGCGTTGTTGTAATAAGACATTTCGCTGTACCACATCGTGCCTCTCGTCACGCAGTTAGCCAGGTAGACGCCATTGTTGGCGCGCTTTGAGAGAGGAAGAGCAGAGCCAAAGACTGGGCCGTAGACGATGGCACACGCGACAATGAGGATGCTTGCTGGATACATGGTGATAGATTGACTGACGGGTGAAGACGATACCGGTGCTGAGTCCACTGTTTGCGTTCCTATGAGGACAGACTGGTTCAGGGTAATGAATACCTATATATTTCTTCAGCCCTGCCATGACAGGAACTACATCCAAGGGGGGGGACCGGGGGGGAGGTGGGGGGGGGGGGGGGGGGGGTGGTCTCCTATGTTGCATATTGTTGCTGTCACCGATTAGGGAACTACCGTACTTTAGGAATGTCATCAGCTGATTCTGCTCTACTTGGTGATATCTGACCACAGAACAGCTAATAAACGAAAGGTTGCCAAGCAAAGGGCTGCTACGTTGGTAAACCAAGACAGTAAGGAAGATGCGTCTTTGTGAGTCGTATCAGACCCTCGCATAACGGTCGTGGTACTGGTTAAGCATACTTCATCCGAATCAAGAGAGAGGCCCGGTCAGCGCTAACCTATTCTTGTCTCAATTGTCGAAGTGTCATTGCATGGAAGTGAGTAAGCACCACCGACTGAGCACTTTCGGCGTATGCTAGGCATGGGTGGTGGTCCCGTCCGTGGTGCGCCAGGGAGCAAAGATACGATCGGACCCAAGGAGCGGGGCTTGAAGAATTGAGCCTATCTGAGACATTAATATCTGGAATGTAAAGAACCGTGACGTGGTGTTCATTATTAGGGAGCCGGGTCATTGTAACATCTACAGCTCGTAAAACTCGCCGTTAGATTTCTCGTCGCCCACAACCAAGCAGCAGCCATAGGATGTTTCGGTAGACCTTTTTTTCCGATAGATTTCAGAGCAATGGTCTCTCATGGAACGGGATGAAGAGCTGAGCAAAGCGCCAGGGCGGTGGTGTAAGCATTTTGACATGGAAGAGCCTCAAGGGCGTCTTATCCACGTCCCCTCTGCATAGGATATCTTCTGTTAGTTATCTTAAGCTAGGTAGGTATAACTACGCAGATCTTTTTATTTTAAGTAAAGTAAGTAACGTTAATAGTAACGTTAAATAAAATAACTAAAGAAAAACGATGAGCTCGCGGAACCATCCCCACCCTTCCTATCACTACTACTACTAGTAAGTGTCACTAACACACCACCAGCGCCACATAGCGCGTGGCCAACACACCCGTCACACCACAAGTGCGCTGCTCGCCGCTCGGCGCCCTGGCACACGAATACCTGACAGCCGTGCCGGCGCCTTCGGTACAAATCACATTCCCGGGCCCCGCCGGGTCGCCATTCTCCCAGGAACAGGTCCCCGACGGCAGACGAAAGCCAAAACTACCGACCGGGACCGGCGGGTTGTTGCCCCCGGGCACGTCGCGTATCTGCTGCACAAAGAGCGTGTTCGGGACGCGGTCGCACGGGGTAGTGCGCAGCTGCATGGTGTAGCTCGTCGCGCTCTGGCCGTTGGCGATCTGGTTGACCCAGAACAGCGTGATGCCCAGCGGTGGTGGCGCGGGCGGCGTGGTGGTCGGGGGGTTGGTGGAGGTAGGAGGAGGAGACTCGTTGCCCCAGCCGTCGACATCCAGCTCGCTGCTGACAAACAGCCAGCCGGCGGGATCGTCGTCGGGCACGTCGACCGGCGGCGGGAAGAGCAACGGCGGGGGCGGGGGGAGTGGGAGCGTGGTGCACCGGGGAGAAGCGGGATGGGGATCCAGAAGAGCGGCAGCCAGATGTCGACGTCGTTGTCGACGTCGTTGTCGCCGCCGCCGCCGTACGAGACTGTGATCGGACTGCCGGTCGCGTCGATGCCCGGCGCGACCCACGTCGCCGACAAGCCCGGGCGGAAGCCAGCCGGGATGGGCAGCGGGGCCGGCAGTTCCTGGCCCGGTGGGATCTCGATGCCGAACCCGGCCGACCCGCCGGCTCCGCAGCATGTTCCCGTGACCCTGCGATACAAGTTGCACGTCTCCTGGCAGTTGGACGGCCCCGGCGGTTGGTTGTTCGCGCCCGAAGTGGGGAGGGCCGCCCGGATGGCGCTGGCGCATGCTGCGGACAGCGTCATGGTCTGGCCGGCCTGAACGTTGCCGCATGCCGATGCGAGGTCGGGCACGGGCAGCACTTTGTCCGGCGTGGGATGGTCGCTCACACTCGCATAGCCGCCGCGCTGGGCGGCGTCGGAGGAGGACAGGGCGAGCCACGCGCTGATGGCGGTCAGGAAGCCGTTGCGGTTGTCGCGCTGCAATGCCGGGCTGATGCCCCCGAGCGGCGAGACCGCCTCGGTCGCGCCCTTGGTATACTGGCTGAACATCCACACCCGCCGCGAGTTCGAGGTCTGCATCAGGCGAGTCTGGCAGTCCTCGGGGACAAGACACTCCTGCGTGTAGCTGTCGAACCAGCTGTACAGCCCGGCGCCGTAGATGAGCACGTCGGACGAGTTGTTGATCATGACCGCCCACGAATACAGACAGCTCTCGTCCATCGGGTTGCAGTCGGCGAAGTCCGGGTCGCTGGCGTAGACGCCCAGGGGGAACACGTCGGTGGCGGCGGGCGTCGGCTGGTAGTATGGCAACTCGGTTTGGATGTGGCCGGCAAAGACGTTGGACGCCCGGTAGAAGTTGTACTGGCACAGCGCGGCATGCTCGACAGCGCCGCCCCAGAGCCATATGGGTCCGTCGATGTCTTCGACCAGCAGGCCGCGGCCAACCAACACATTGATGCGGTCCTGGGAGGGAATGTCCAGATCGTGGTCGGCCGTCCACACCCAGCAGTTCTCAAAGTAGCCCGACGCGCCGGACGTGATATGCATCATCAGCGAGGCAGCGAAGCAGTTGGCGTCGGCCGTGGCACCAGCCGGACAGTCGGCAAACTGCAACTCGGACCCAACCGTCCCGCCGATGCGAACGTGCGAGTCCCACATGGCGGCGCTGCCGGGGCTCGCCGCGCCGAAGTCGGCCACGCTGACGAACGACCCGGCCGCGAGCGTCTCGTACTGCGGTTTGGAGCGCGTGAAGAACTTGCCCGACCCGCCGCCGCCGCCCCGTCCAGCAGCACCGCCGGCTTGGCCGGGGGCGGGTCGATGTGGCCCGTGACGCTGGAGCCGGACCCGTCTGGACTGGTGTAGCGCGGCCCCATGGCCCACGACCGGATGGTGGCCGATCCCCCGCCCGTGACGCCCTCGAGAATGGTCTCGCCGCCGCTGACCAGCACGACGGACGGCGTGTTGCCCTCGATGCGCAGGTTGTCGAGCGTGATGGCCGGCCGCTTGTCAATGTCGCGCGCGACCGGGATCGCGAAGGGCACCGAGATGAAGTGCGAGTCGACCACGGTCAGGCTGCCGGTGCCCTGCGCGCCGTCGCCGCCGAAGTTGGTGCAGTCGAAGGCGACGAAGGCCGCGTCGACGGTGATGTCCTGCCACGTCCAGCCCCAGTCCCAGATCATGGACACGGCCGTGGCCGGCAGCGTGATGGTGATGGCCCGCGCCGTGAACTGCTGGCTGCCGACGCGCATGGCGATGTTGCCGCCGAAGAAGGTCAGGTCGCTCATGAACCCGCCCGACCCGTTCTCGGCGAAGATGCCGACCGCCGTGGTGCCGCCGCCGAGCGGCATCACAAAGTCGATGTTCTGCAGCGACGTCGACTGGGCCACCTGCCAGTGGATGCCCGTCGGCACGTACGTCTGCTCGCCCGACGTGTTCTCGTTGGGCATGGCCGTGAGGTCGATGACGAAGTTGCGCACCTGCCGGAAGAACTGGTTCTGGTTGACGTACCACTGGCTTCCGTTGCCGCCGGGGATGTACACGTCCGTGTCGATGAGCGCGATGCCCTGGAACGTGGGCAGGCCCTTGATGGTCGGCTTGTTCGTCGGGTCGCCGATGAACTGCGTGAAGTAGTACTGGATGATGGGCGACGAGACCATGTATGTGCCCGCCGGGAAGAACACCACGCCGCCGAGGACGCTCGTAGACCCGCAGAGCAGCCCGCAGCGGCCACCGTCCTCCACCGCTCTCATGATGGCCTGCGTGTCTGTAACAAAAGAGTGTGTGAGCTGATTTGCTCTTCCGAGTCGCTGCCCTGTCTTGGACTCTTGCGCTTACCGTCTGTTACGCCATCTCCTCTGGCGCCGTAGTCCCTGACATTGCGCCAAACCGGGTAGCCTGAAGGTGCGTAGGGAAACTATACCATGTTTATGTGATTAGCACGGTGCATCTTGTTTTTGTAAGCACGCGGTCCTGTCACGCACTCAGCAGGTAGTAGACACTATAGGAGTTCTTACAGAACCATGTCCCATGTTGGCCAGCCAGTACGAGCTGCCTGATTGTCGTCCTCCCAGATGAATCCCGTCATTTGTGTTTCTCTCAGCAAGTGGCCGAGTGGGAAGCTTTGGCGGCGGCTTCACGTTGACCAGACTGCGGTTCTACTTGTCTGGAGCTGCGTGGAAGTAGTTGTGTTGGTTGTCCACCATGTACTTGGGCAGCGGGACGGCAGCCGTCGGCGTGTATCCGGGAGGAACGGTAAACGAGCGCCCACCAGCAATCTCAATGACTGAGCTAGTAGATGATGCCCTGTGCTCGTTGCGAGGTGACCCGTCTACGGCGTGTACGAAGAAGCTGACGGTCACGAGAGACCATGCGGGGGACCACATGTTGGCCGCCTCGAACGAAGTGTCATTTGTTAACTGACAGTAACCACATACCAGCCCAAGCACAGGGATATGATCCGGTCATGTCTACTATATATCATAGCGTGGCACGACGTACACACACATGGTTTGCTTGAAAAGGTTTCCGGTATATGGTAGGGGTGGAATGTTACTATGCTCGCTAGGTGTGAATGTGATAGCCAAGACTAGCCAAGAAAGCATGCTTTGGGTCAATAGCCTTGCGCATGCGAGGAGCTTGCATGGTCACTCCGTCACTCGTGTGCAGAAAGATAATATGAGTCTCTTCCAGGCTAGCGTCTGTCAGCACTAGGTCGAATGGCAGTCAGGTTGCTACACCCGCCGTTAAAATGGGCACAATATATTTGCTCCCGTGTTGCCCGGTAGTCAGCGTCGACTACAGAACCGTACTATTCAGCTGGACTGGGTGTCAACTTTCGATGGTTGCCTGATTGCGAGTTGGTTTCCGGAGGCCTGCTGCTGTTGCTGAATCAACCCTCTTTAATCCCGAGCTTTTCATATCAGGGGTCCATCACTTCTTACCCAACGTCGACTTCGCCTGGAAATAGGTCCTGGTTCTAAGGAACTCAGGTATAAGTCCTGACAGGTCGCCGGTGCGAAACTTCCCATTTGAAACAATATACTAATACCTTTGGCTTTGTTGATACAGCAAATTGTCATGACGTCGCCTCTTCTGTTTCTGCTGGCCCTCTGTGCGTCTCTGCTCTCCCTCACTTCCGCGCAGACCAGTCTCGTGTTCAACCGCTCATGGCAACCCTGCGGAACTTTTGATCGCGTTCTCGGGGGAATACCTGAAGCCGATCCCGTCGACGACTGCACTAACCCGGAGCAAGAGGCTGCCATCCGGCAGGCCTTCAATGACGCTGTCGTACTGGCTGCCAATGCACGCGATGGAATGCGGAATGGACCACGCCCACATGTATGGGCTTACTACGACCGCGTCTTCAAACACGCTACAACGCCCGGCGCTACCTACAGCTGGCGCAAGGTCGCACGTAAATAAAAAAGCCCGCCACCCAAGTAGTATTCGGATTGAAAAGATGTGCTGAACGAAAATCACCGAGACCTTCGACCGAGTAGCCCGCCAAACGAAATTCCCAACGAGATCATCTTCCACTGCGGCGACCGCTGGCACGCTGCCGTCGCCAGGCGAGCTACAAATTACGGTGTTACCGGAGACGCAAGCAGCCCGCAGAGCGGCCTCGGTGCCCATGTCTGCGAAGCAAGCTCTGGGGCCTTCATGTCTCGAATCAAGAGCGGCACATTCCCCCCCGACGTTTTCTCCGACTTTGGACCCCAAGGCGCTTTTCGATCCGGCGTGCACATCACGATTTGCCCCCATTTCTACGATTGGCCTGCTCTCAACAACATCCGAACGGTCACCGAGAATCTGGAGTTCGCACACCAAAACAATCAGGCTTGGTTCATGCTCCACGAGATGATGCACGCTTACAGCGAGAGCATCCTTGGTATGCACGACGACTTCTCTCTCTTCGCTTAAACTACCTACCTTATACTTGCCGCTGTTCGAAAAAATAGCCTCTCCTCGCTAACGATACGATTCTTCAGATGCCGGTTACGGTCACGCAGGAATTGTCAATGTCTCGGACAGGATCCTCCCGCCGGACCGTCTCCATATCACACCATTGACCAACGCAGACACTTGGGCGATATTCGCAATGGGTAAGTAGACTACCTATGTCGGGGCTTCCTGTCAGCCGAAGGGACTATACTACCTACCCAAGGTAACTACTAATGCTTGTTGTTTAGTTATTTCACCTGTTGGCGGCATGAACCTGTGGGATTGGACAACTGGGTTTGCAGTCAGGACGCCGGCAAGCCCCGCATGATATGCCGTATAGCTGGGCAGGATACGCATAGGAGGACGGACGGACGGGAATCCACATATCCATCTTCTTGGGCGGGCAAAGGGCTTTGGCTGTTTCTGTATTCGCGGGTAACTTCTATAGTAGAGCGAGTTAGAAATCACAAGGTCGACACAGCCGCGAGATGCTGCGCCGTTCTAATGTAGTACCTAGGTACGGTATGTTATCCAGATCGCGGTTCGAGGCTGGCCTCCTGGACTTATCTAGAACACCGCGCCCCTTTCCCCCGCGTCCTGCGCCTTTCCCTCGCAACATACCATGACCAAAGCGAGGTGGGCGGCGGCGTTGATCAACGAGAATGGAGGCAACACGAAGGCTTTCCTGCTAGTCGAGGGCAAGCGCCTAACAAATGGGCTGCTAATTTAGTAAACCTGTATGGCAGTTACAGACCTAGACAACGCAAGGGTTGTCCAACCTCTTAGACGAGCCTCTACTCGAGAAAAAGACCAAACCATCATCGCAGCTAGCTTGAAAGGTCTTCAAAGGACTGCCGGTCGCCCGATCCGGCGGTTGGGTGGCTCAATATTCCCTGACGGCATCGTTTTGAGTATGGTCTTGGTCGACCCGGCGGGCGCAGAGGGCACCTCCGTCACATGGCTCTTCTTCGCTACTGCCCCGGGGCAAAATGCCCAGCTGGGTTTGGTACTCGGGCCGCTGTATGATAGTAATCTAAAGAAACTCACATGAGCAGAGGATGTAGGTGGCATGATCGAAATGGAGCGGACCCCAGGCGCTTTGTCGGTGTCCTGGAGCGTCGAGGGAAGGCTTGGCTACCTTGGCAAATCCTTCGATAATATCTCCTAAAATCCCTCTCTGCAGTCGAGGGGCTGATTCGAAGCCAAACCAGGGTGGCTACCTTAATGTAGCGCAGAGAGGTATGGTTTATTGGCTTGCATTTCAGGTCCTCTGCGAATCACAAAGCTGAGAAGTGGAATGCTGAAGCTTACGCTCTACCGCTGTGAGAGCGTCGGTAATACATGACCCGACATCGACAATGGGCATCCTAACCCTGACTAGGTACCTTGCTTACAGCTCGTCCCGAGGTACAGAAGTATTACCATGAGGCTAAAGCTGGAAGAGAGCTGGGACAATTGAGACTTCAGAAGACCAGTACTGTACGGACCCGTACATGGTCAGATCTTGGAAGAAATCTCCTTGAGACACTAGTACCTGGTATTGGACTGAGCGGCCCTCTTACGTGGCGTAACTCGACCAATCGTTGCAATCAGTGAAACTTGTTCCGCCCGGTTTCATGCACTTGTCAGCCGCGTAAGGTAAGTGCTGGTATAGAAGTTGCCAGGTTTCGATAATATGCCTAGCAAGGAGTCTACACGATCTTCTAGGAAAACTGGTGCCTGGTCATCACATTCCTCTTACAGCCGGCGGGGCGGTCACCCGGGCCGGAAACTGCCCATATTCTAACCGATGATTAATATTATTCTGCGGATTGACCGTCATGAGATGACTGTTCAGGCAATCCAGTCACAATTGCACCGAGTCTCCCGCTCAGCAGTCAGCGCTGACAAAATTCTCACTGCAGACAGCATGTGTCAGCACCACGCATAGAGCCAAAGCTACATGCCACCTGCTCTTGTGATCTCGGTCGCCTGTCGTCTGGGGCTAGGCATGCAATGTAACGTCCGCAGTAATAGCGTACTCACGCGAATAGCAAAACGCTATGCGACAACCTCCTAGAGAGGGCCCCAATCCATGCTTATCGAGACACTATGTTTTGGCATTGCGGTTGCTTGCAGATAAACTCGATCGTACCCACGCTGGAGATGCGCAGTTGTTTCTGGGCCGTGGTCAAAGCAGTTCCCTCCTACTCTGTCTTCAATCCGATCAAACTTCTCGCAGCCTCATCGATAATGTATCTCAAGAGCGCCATCCTTGTGACGCTTCATATTGCCTTCGCGGCTGCCGATGAGATCCATCTCGTCAATTGCCAGAACACTTCGCCTCGGCTTCCTCCCGATGAATACACTGTCATGGCAGTAAGGCTTGCTGCAGCACTGTAATCCGCTTGATGATATGTATCCTGTTCTTGCTAACCTCTCCTTCTTCCAGTATTATGCCTCGAGCGGAGACTTGAATTCTCCGCCTTCCTCGAATAATCTTTGCTTCCCGGTCTCCTCCGGGACAGTTCAGTGGGAAAGAAGCGATGGCGTGTCGTGCACCTTCCCCACAGGCGTGACCTTCCACGAGACCTTAAACGCCAACGCTCCCAGCGCCCCCAATTTCTCGGCTGTTGGGTAAGTCAAAAGGGACAAGACATGTTCCAGCCCTTCGGCAATTTTATTCTCGAGGTGTCTAACAAGCCTTCAGGTCTGGCTCAAACGGATTCAACTCGTACACTTGTTACAAGGACAATGGACACCAGCTGTATGTGGATAGAGACGCGAAGGTCTGTTTCAGCAGGTACTACTGTCTTTCGAATTAGAGGGACTGCTTGTCTGTACGAAATTGCCACGGGTCACCACGCAGCAGGTTGAATAAGGTACTATGAAGATAGGAGTGTGACTAATAAGGATGGCTGCCTAGAGTTGCCCGAAGCAACATCTACATACCAGGTAGTTGCATAGTCCCAAGTTAGCCCCTATTGGCCACAGCTTCCTTCCGGGCATAGACAGGTACCTACCTAGGTAACGTACATGATAAGCGAGCGACGCAGATAAGCGAGCGACGCAGATAAGCGAGCGACGCACTTTCTACCACCCTATAGCAACTATCCTCAGTTATAATATAACAACGCTAGCAACCAACTACAATTACATCAGAAATAGATGAATCAGATGATTCTACAGCCTCCTGGCAAGTGCGAGCATTATGGCCAGGCCTGCCGTATACCCCACAGCATCGAACCTTCATACGAGCCCCCTCTGAACCGCTACTGTCCGGCTGCGTTTCCTGCACTGCCTCCCCACCTACGGCGTTCTGATCTAGTAGATCCTTTGCATCTTGTATAGTAAGTAAGCCTCCAAGCTATATACGTATTTTCTTGGTACGCCGGCGCTTGCTTAGTGCCTCATTGGCCTTGCGAAGCGAAGAGACCTCTGACCAAAGGAGGGCCACCTGGTGTATTATAGCCATCGTACCCTTGGTAAGCTAGTCTATAGCATCCAACATTGAAGTTGGCGAGCTATTTTCATAGTTCGTAATACAAGTCTTGATAAGCATTGACTATACGTCAGTTTCTTATAGGTTATATAGTATCTGGAAGACCTAGGGTTACGCAGTGCTAGGCCGTAAGGTTAGGGGTGTTAGTATATGAAGCTTTATATCTAGCTTAGAAAGCATCTGCTCTAGGTTATATAGTATAAGGCCAGTCTCTATAAAGCTACCCTATATGTTTTTCTCTGTTATAGAAGCAAAGAAGGCTTCTCGGAAGGCATAGAGGAACTTAAGCTTGCTAATGTGGTTAATATATATATGCATTAAGCCCTCGATCTGGCGACTATACCTGCTTAAGTGGCCTAAAGCAGCTAACATTGAGAGGCTGGAGCCTATAGGAAGAGTATAGAGGTATATAGAGTATGACGATGTTATTCTCCTTGCAATAGAGCTCGAATTCGGTCGAGTAGTGGCTCTTATAGCCGTCGAGGATTAATAACCGGTATATGTCCTTTATTCAAGGTGCCATATAGTAATTAAAGTGCTTGATCTAATCCAGACCTACTATATTAGTAGTCCAGCTATTATCGGTGGTTGCAATATGCTAGGTAAGTGGTAGGTAATACTCCCGGTACTAGTTACTCTAGTGGTACTATACGGCTAGGATGATGAATAGAGAGATAACCTAGCTAAGGGCGTTGACTCCCTGGATTATAGTCGCCTACTCCTAATTACTAGGCTAAGCTAGTTTTGCCTTGCCACGCCCATCCGAGGTTATAACCACTATACCCGCAAAGATAACACCTATTATAAACCTAATCTTATCAAAGGTATAGATATTATTATTAACAATCCCATATTTAGCCCTAGTATTCTATACAAGTGCAAACTACTTGCTAATAACCTATAGATCCTTGTATTTAGCCCTCTGGTAGTTTTAATTGCATATATACCATATACAGAGCTCTGGCTAGCATTTGACAAAGTTATAAGCCTAGCATTTGCCGACAGGGGGCGCGTTATATTCGCATAGTAGGTGGTTGGCTATATCTTCTATACTACTTAATCTAGGTAGGAATATACGTATAGATAGCTCAGTTATATACTGAACTATTGACTTCTCTTCTAGATCCGTGAGCTTACGCGAGTTGGCTAGAACATCGCGTCTTGCAGCATGTCCCTTGCGCCAGTGGCGAATCGTTGCTTCTGGAACGTTGTATAGCTTGGCTACCGCCCGGATACTGAGATTCTCGCTCTGTTTGATAGCTTCGAGGGCTAAAAGAAGCCTAGCTTCTTTCGAGGGGCTACGCATGGCTTGTTGCGGTGGTATTTAGTGGAAAGGTTTAGAGGAGGCGCGTCGTACTGAAAGTGCGTCGCTCGCTTATCTGCGTCGCTCGCTTATCATGTACGTTACCCATAAATTGTGCATCTCCCCACACTTGTATCAGGCAAATTGCTTACCTTTCTCACCTCGAGACACTTCCCGAAATGAACCTTGAAGGCTTCCTGAGTGTCGTTCGTAGACCCTCGAAGGGTTCGTTCATGACATAAGTCGACCACCCCCCATTCCGCCCACATCCCATTCCGCCCACTTTGTAAGTCTTGGCGTCTAAACTACCCATCTTCTTCAACACCATCTATTACAGTCTGTTCAACCCACCACAATATAGGAAGCATCTGATTTGGGGCTTTCTGAACTGCTCTCTTCAATGCCAGACTCTTCAATACGGCCAGCCTCAATTTGAGCCCGGTGGACCTATTCAATGGAAGCGAACTGCTTGTTCGGATCCGGGACCACCCTCTTTCTTCTCGACGGCCGGGCTGCCTCTAACTGAACCTTCAGAGCCTCGTTTTCCTGTTCCAATTGAGCCAATTGGAAGTCCTTCTCGTCAAATGCCTTCTCAACCTTCCTGAATAAAAGCCGTTGTATAGAAAGATCTTGCCGCCGGATAGCTAGATTACTTAGGTGAACGCAAAGGTCTACTTTCTTGCATGGTGTCTGGAATTCGACCTCCTAAGCCATAGTTATAGTCTGGCTAGCTAGCTTAGATGCCGGAGTCTATGGTAGTAGTAGCGGATCATCTTCGCCAAGCGCCTGGTTCGAATTTTCTAACAAAAGAGGGCTTATTAGTGGTTTCGCCATACTAAGAGGCCACAACCCGGATGCCTTCCACCCAGCTTTGATATTATGAGCTGTAATTGCCTCCCTGCGAGCCTTGACGAGGCACCGCAACATCAACTGCTTGCCTAATGCCATAGTTTCTGACCAGCTGGTTAACTGGTTGAGGAGCTTGCGGTAGGTGTGCTTCAGGGGGGAGAACACTGATAAATCCAACGGCTGGAGGACGTGGGAGGTGTAGGCTGGTAAAAAGAGTAGTTGGATATTGTTGCTGAAGCACTCCCACATAAACTCAGTGCTTGTATAGCTATCGTGGCCGTCCAGTATCAACAGACGCTTCTGGGTAGGATCTTGCGGCTGGGTCCGGGGGATGAAGACCCGTTGCAGCCATTCCAACGCAACCACCCTATTTACCCAGCCTTTTTCAGTTGCAGTGAATAGCCAGTCCTTTAGTTCGTCCTTGGCGATAGGAAACCACTGCTGTTGAACACTCTTGCCCTTGAAAATAACAGCTGGTGGGAGTGATACCCCTGTTGCAGAGACGCACTCTAAGAAGGAGGTCCACGCACGCGAACCAGGGACTTTCCGTTGCACTGCGCGTGTATGGGCACTTCCAACTACCAAGCCGTTGATACCCTGACCTTCCATAAGGCCGAATTCATCAAAGTTCCAGCGGTTAGCCGGTAAGATGTCCTTGATGGCTGGGATTTTCAGGAGTGGGAACCAGCTGCGGATAACCGAGTCAGTAGCGCCATTGATACGGGCTGAGTCGATCTTACGGCCTCGCTGGGTACGGAGGACCGGGTTCCTTCGGATAAACCGGTTGATCCAGCTCTTCCCGATAGTCTTTTCGGGTGCTCCTTGGGCCTGTAGAACCCGGCTGGCGAACTCCCGGATCTGCGCATGGGTTGGTGGGACACCTAGAGCGACCTGGGCTAAGACCCATCGCGTAAGATGATCTTCTTGTACTCGGCTAAGTGTCTGTTGCGGTTCGGCCGCAGTTGAATGGGTCTGAGTACCACGAAGGCGGTCGCGAATAGTAGAGCGTGGGATGCCGAACTCACTACAGATGCTTCGCAATGACTGGCGCCCAAGACGGTATTGCTCAACTGCATCTTGTATATCTTGCTCCGAGTAAGCCATCTTGAACTGGCAATCAGTTTGATACAAAAAAAGGCCGTTTGGCCAGAGATTGAGTGAGTTATGGTAAGTTGAAGTGGTTGGGTTGAAAAAGCGGTGTGGACTTACAAAGTGGGCGGAATGGGGGGTGGGCGGAATAAGGGGTGGTCGACTTAACTAATTAATCTCCGGTAAGCGAGTAGTTGCTATGGAAGTACTGTAGGTATGCCGGGCAGATCGTCATAGCTGATATGCCTGCCTAGTTATTGAAGAATAACTATCTCTTCCCTTCAAGCTAACCTAACCAGTTCAGCAGAATGCTCCCGGGGGACATCAGCCGTTGCCGCTGAGATGGCATCCCTCGCAGCAGCAATTGCAACCCGCCAGACTATCAATTGCCAGATGGCAGTCCAAGTAGCCCAGGCAGCTTTTCCAGGAATCTGGAAGACCTTGAAAGCTTCCAATTTTGTCGTCGCAGCTGACGGTGCGCAAGTCAGGTGGTGAGCGGGGTAAACACTGTATTTTGGTGCAACAATACCGGATCTTGCACAGCAACAGATGCTGAAAGGTCTTACGTATCTTGGGTTGAAGACGGCTATCTGGCTGACGAGCCACAGTTGCAGTCTCTAGGAAGTAAACTTTGAAGGTAAGAGCAGCCATGCAGAGTCACACGATGCTCTTTTGACATCAACTTCATTGGTAATGTTAGACTGCAAATCAACTCCCGACCAAGGGTGCAGTACAGCTGTTTAAAGGCAGGATTTGCTTCCGCGCTATGTCGGATCAGCAGGCCATTCATTCTCCAGATCTCGTGTGGCGCACTCACGATTTTGCTCAGAGCTGCAACGACATGACAACTTTGACAATAAGCTTCCTTTTGAACTAAATGCAAGACGGATGACTCCACGTCCTCCCTCCCACAGAGAAGGACGACGGCAGTCAGTTGCCGGTCCATTGCTACCTCGACTCGAAAGCATTTTGCCTCGACGTAGCCAGGATCCGTAACGGCTTCGAGTAGGTATCGGTTAGAAGGGACAGATCAGCCTACTACTATCGACCGGTCCAGACTCGAGTGTCGCCAACTGCGCGCGTTACTGAGGTAGGTCAGGTCGCGAATTGCGCCGGCAGCGCTCTTTTTATTTACGGGTTTCAAATCTGGGCAGGTGGCCTGCACCACAGAGGCAAACGACACAAAAAACAAGCCAGGCAGGCACAATGGAAGGAGGGAACAAAAGTGAATGCACTGCGTCAGCCGCGAATCGAACGCGGGGCCCATCGATGGCAACGATGGATTTTACCACTAAACCACTGACGCTGCGATGAAGTATATGTTCCTCAATTGACCCTATCAACGCTTGGGTGCTCCGCTCAGGGGCTAATTCTCCCTGCGAATCCCCCAAACCCGATCAATCTTCGAAAATTCGAATGGAGATTTCCGTGTCCCCAAAAATGAACAGGACAAACATTTCCCGCGATGCGACGCTTGGCGCCAAACGAACGATAAATTCCACCAACCAACGATGGCGCCGGCGAGTTGAAACATCCTCACGGCGTTCGCTTTGCCTCACCAAATGCTGGAACATGGGGAAACATTCGAGCTCCGAGAGAGAAAAGGGGTGGCGTCTACCCGGTACCGCATCCATGCCATTGTCCCGCGACAGTTGGTGCAATCATCAGTTTACCCCGTCATACTTCCCGGATAATTTACCACGGCTATGTCTTGCATGCAGACGACTGTACCGTAGCATCCACTCTATAGGGCGACTCGGGAATGGAACCCGAGAGAGGGGACGTATATATACCAGCATCCCGGGGCCTAGACTATATGGTCAGGATGTGGTCCCTCCCTCCGGGTCACTTATTAGGGGTCCAGACGTCTCTGAATAAATCACCATGGTTTCCTCCCTGGCTCTTCTTCTCTCGCTCGCCGCGTCCGTGGCTGGCGCACCTCTCGAGGCGCGTGCCGCACGAACCAATCCGCCGGCGGGGTGCCTGGCCGTCGGCAGCTCGGCAACGTACAAGACGGTGCAGTCTGCCGTCAACGCGCTCAGCCAATCCAGCAGCACGGCACAGTGCATCTTCATCTACAAGGGCACCTACAACGAGCAGGTCTACATCCCGGCGCTCAAGTCGGCGCTGGCCATCTACGGCGAGACGGCCGACACCAGCAGCTTCTCGGCCAACACCGTCACCATCCAGCAGGGCAAGAGCCAGGACGACGGCATCAGCAATGACGAGACGGCCACGCTCCGGGCGCACACGCCGAACCTGAAGGTGTACAACATCAACCTGGTCAACACGCGCGGGAAGGGCTCCCAGGCCGTCGCCCTCAGCGCGCAGAAGGACCGGCAGGGCTACTACGGCTGCCAGTTCCGGGGCTACCAGGACACCGTGCTCGCCCAGGACGGCGCGCACGTGTACGCCAGGAGCTACATCGAGGGCGCGACCGACTTCATCTTCGGGCAGAGGGCCAAGGCCTGGTTCGACGCCGTCGACATCCGCGTGCTGGCCGCGTCGGTCGGCTACATCACCGCCAACGGTCGCGACTCGGCCTCCAACCCGTCCTACTACGTCATCAACCGCTCGACCGTGTCGGCCAAGTCGGGCGCCTCCGTCGGCACCGGCGCCTACTACCTCGGCCGGCCCTGGCGGAACTACGCGCGCGTCGTGTTCCAGAACACCAGCCTGTCCAGGGTGGTCAACGCGGCCGGGTGGCGCATCTGGAACTCGGGCGACGAGCGGACCGACCATGTCGAGTTTGCCGAGTACGCCAACGCCGGGGAGGGCGCCCAGGGCGCGCGCGCCGGCTTCGCCAAGAAGCTGTCTGCTGCGGTGACCATCTCGACCGTGCTCGGCAGCGACTACAAGACCTGGGTCGACACGGCGTACTTGTCGTAGGTCCGCCGCCGCCGCCGCGCCGGGCCGCGCTACGGGAAGGTGATGGTTCGGGCTTCATTTTCATGTATATACATTATCTTTGGCAGTGAGTATGCTGGAAGGAATGTCTACATAGTATTATTAGTACTGAGTAGGTACTCGGTTTCTGAATCTTTCTCCCTCAGATGGAATGTAAGACGCAACCTCGGACCATGCTATCCCACACCGCCAACGCTCAAGAGCTAGGGCGAGGACAACACCTGTGTGTGCTTCATGTCCCGAGTGAAGGACCCTACAGCTGCCATAGCCCCTGGAGTAATACCGAGCCTTGTATAACCCGCGATAAACGTGAGTTGTGGAAGGGGTCTGCACGATCGAGCATGAACGGGGCCGCAAGCTGGACTGCTGCATCGAACTCCGGCTCAGCGGTAATTTGGTTCGCAATAATGTGTTTATATCCGAGCATGTCGTATTGCCGGCTTGAAACAGTTGAGCTAACAAAAACCTTTCGCGATGTTGGAAAGCCCGGGTTAGGACTCTGCGTTTGGGGTTACTCGGCTGTAACATCGTCGCACGTTGACAACTTAGACGATGGAGATCCTGCCGGCCGGTTATGCTAGGGTGGTGTATTGTACACAAATAAGACATGTACTCGAAAGGGCGAGGGCTAGATATGCCGTTTTAGGAGATATATAGCGTCTGCTGACAAACCCTTGTTTTGGCTCCTCTTTCTCAGGGACACCTTGCCCCTCAGTCAGCTTACGCCTCCAACATGGCTCCGATATTCAGATCCTGCATACAGTTACTTATAGATATAGCAACCCGCTCGACCATTGTCACACTACTGACTGAAGAACTCATATTATAGCCATCCCTCCGCAATGGCCTCGTCAACCCTCCCCTCGAACTGCCGCCTCGTCAACATCGGCACCCACTCCTTGGCCCTCTACACTCACGGCCCAGAGCCCACAAGCCCCACAGATCCCGTTGTGCTCTTCATCTCAGGCATAGCAAGCGACGCCCTCAACTGGCAAGCCGTGGTGCGATTACTAGGTCCTACCCAGCTGCGGAGCTACACCTACGACCGGTCCGGCTATCGCAACTCGGAGTGCTCCCCGCTCCCGCCGTCGGCCGAGACCATCGCTCTGGAGCTTTCCCTCCTCATCTCCCACGCGCCCATCGCCAACCCCTTGATCCTCGTGGGCCACTCCTGGGCCGGCGTGCTAATCCACGAGTACATGGCGCTGAGGAAGGGGACCAAGCAGATCGCCGGCGTGGTGCTCGTCGACGCCAACCACGAGACGGCGCCGCTGGTGCTGGACGTCAACGACCCGGTCCTCTGGGGCGTCATGGCCTCCGGGGTCGAGCCATACGCTGCCTGGGGCGTGGAGGCGGAGCATAAACTGACGCGGGAGGAGTGGGATGCGTTTAAGGCGGCCGAAGCGACCGAGAAGTACCGCGTGGTTGCAAGCCAGGAGGAGGAGCACTACCTGCCTAGCTTTGAGGCGCTGCGGAGGAAGGAGCTGAGGAAGAGGCAGCCGCTGCTTGGAGACAGGCCGGTGTATGTGATTGCTGGAAAACGGAGCAGGGATTGGAGTGGCTTGTACAAGGCCGGGGTGGCCAGAGGGAATGGCACCGAGGAGCAGAGGCGGTATGTGAGAGGGTTGATCGAGAGGGTCGATGTGAAGACCGAGGGTCTGATGCGGGAGTTCTTGAAACTCTCCACGAAGAGCGAACTTGTCTTTGCTAGCCGGAGTGGGCACTTTGTCCAGCTGACCGAGCCGGAGCTTGTTGTAGATGGAGTGAGGTGGGTAGTAGATAATTTGTCAGTATCTTCTTAGTGGCTGTGGAGAATGAGGTACTAGTATGTACGAATTAAGTGAGATCAAGGCTTCTCTGTAGCATCCGACCCTTCAAAGGGCCGTACGTGGAAGCAGAGTCTGGTCGACAGGGAACAGAACTTGCGAGACTACCAGACAAGGGCCGATCTAGACAAGATGCAAGACAGATTAAGTACGTCTAGCTTCTTGAAGGATGCTTTGTCTAAAGTGGCCTGGCTTCAGGGCAGCAAAGACTGAATACTTAATAGAAGGCAAGGTCAGCTGCCGTGGCTTTTCAAACCAGGCGCTGTTGAAGATTGAACACCTACTTGTAAGGTACCTATAACGTATCTTATAAGCGAGCCGGCCATATAAGCGAGCCGGCCACTCTCCACTATACTACCAACAATATCCTCAATCACAAAACAACAACACTAGGAACTAACAATACTTACATCAGAAACAGATGAATCAGACCCTTCTGCACCCTCTTAGCAAGTGCAGGCATTATGGCCAGGCTTGCCGCACACACCACAGCACTGAACCTTCGTACGACCCCCCCTAGCACCACTACCATCCAGCTATATTTCTTGCATTTCCTCCCCGCCTACAGCCCCCTAGCCTATCACCTCCTATGCCTCCTATACAGTAAGTGATCCTCCAAGCCGCACACGTGTTTTTTTGGCTGTCCGGCGCTTGCTTAGCGCCTCATTGGCCTTGCGGAGCGAAGATACCTCTGCCTGAAAGAGGGCTACCTAGTGCATTATAGCTATCGTACCCTTGGTAAGCTGGTCTATAGCAGCTAACATTGAAGTCGGGGAACTATTTTAATAGTTAGCAATGCGACTCTTGATAAGCATTGACTGTGACTCGGCTTCTCGAGAGTTATATAATGTCTAGAAGACCCAAGATTATACATTGCCTGGCTGTAAGGTTAGGGGTATTGGTATATAAAGCTTGATATCTAGCTTTGAAATCATCCTCTCTAGATCGTATGGTATAGGGCCAGCCTCTATAAAACCGCCCTAGATATTCCTCTTAGTAATAGAGGCAAAGAAGGCTATGCGAAAGGTATAGAAACTCGAGCTTGCTGACGTAGTTAATATACGCGCGTATTAAGTCCTCGATCTAGCGACCGTACGCCTGCTTCAACAGCCCAAAGCAGCCAATATTAAGTGGCTGGAGGAGATAAGAGGAATATAGAGGTATATAGAGTATAATAATATTATTCTGCTAGCAGTAGAGCTCGAACTCGGTCGAATAGTAGCTTTTATAGCTGTCGAGGATTAATAACCAGTATTTGCCCTTTATCCGAGGCGCTATATAGTAGTCGAAGTATTTGATCGAATTAAGGCCAACTACATTAGTAGTCCAGCTATTCTCGGTAGTTGCGATACGCCAGTCAGCTAGGAGGTTGCACTCAGTATATGTGACGAAACCATAGGCAGTCCTATCTCTGAAAGGGTTTGTCACGAGGGCCGTCGTTCAAGGCCAGGGTCAAGCCTCTGGTGGTAAACTGACTGCATTGCAAGAATATTGAACTTGCAGGAGGAAAGAAATCCTCGAGACTGCAAGGTAGGCTTTAAATACAGGATGCGAGTAGGTCTGAGCTTGCATGCATGATGTAATGGAACATGCATAATGAATCATCACTTGGTATGATGAATCATTATACATACAAATGATATCATCATCATGGTCGGTGCATTGCACCGTCACAACCCCCCCCTCCAAAGAAGGCTCGTCCTCGAGGCTTCCAATACAGCTCGAAAAAAATCCACCAAAACCACACCCAATCAATCGTACAGGTCGCCGTCGTCATCACCAGAGTCCTCCTCTAGAGCCTTCTTCATCGACCGGAGCTCAGGGACCATATTATACTTCGGCATATCCATAGCTGCAATGTCCACCGTGTTCAAATCCATCGGTTCGCCCTTGTTGTGATTGGCGTTGAAGGGCTTGGGGTTACCGGAACCGTGGTAACGTATATTGAGCTTCTGGAGCATTGCGACAAAGCCGTTATAATCGTCGGGTACGATGACCTGGGCATCGAGCCGGGAGCAGGCTGATTTGTTCAAGCCACGACGAAGCATAGCGATCTTGGTGTTGTCAGGCCATGTGTTCGCCTTAGCCGCGTAAAGCAGCCGTTCGAACCAGGCTAGGAAGACCGGGAGCGGGTCGTCGTCGGCTTGTTTCAAGGCTTGTAGTTTATCTTCGGCATCGCGCACTTTGTTAGGGTCGTCGAACAAACGGGCTAGTTGATTAAGCAGGTTCTAGGGGTCGTACTGCTTTGTGTCTTCGGCAACGGCTAACTATGGTATAACGAGTGCCTGAACCTTGCTGTCGAGACGACCATATACATAGAAAAACTGGGCTTCCGGAGCTCCAATGGCTTGACTATCGATGCGGAGCTTGGCTTGAATGGCCGGAAACCAGGTATCCCAATAGTAGGTACCGAAGAACTTGTCAGGATCGGGGAGACTCGGCTTGGGCTTGCGGGCCGGCTTGGTCCTCAAGTCGGTAAGCTCCTTTAATAAGGCTTGAATCTGGGCTTCGTGGTTCTGAATGACCTACTGCATGTGCTGAATAGGGTCCATCTTACAGGTCGGTTGTCGTTCGTGTTCGTTATTAAATACAGATGCGAGAAAAAGGAGGGCTCTTGCAATTCGGGATCCAGCCGGTCGGTCCACACACTTCTAATTACCACACAACCCATATACAAGGGAAGAAGGTCGGAAACTGCCGCGCTTGCAATGAATACCGAAGACCCTTGAGGAAATGGCACTTCCAATTACCACCGTAACCCTTTAGTGCCAGGGAAGGAAGGCCCGAAATAATAAATAAGGTGAAAAAATTCCGGGTGCCGACGGGGGGCTCTAGGTGCAGGCTCCGTAGTTGTTCGAATACGTGGTCAGGCCTCCGCTAAGACGATGTACTACGTGCTCGGTCGACTAGGCACGGGTCGGTTCGGAAGGTCGTAGCCGTTACGATGAATTGCCTGGCTAGGTACGCAATCCAAAGGAAGTTCAATATTGTCACGAGGGCCGTCGTTCAAGGCCAGGGTCAAGCCTCTGGTGGTAAACTGACTGCATTGCAAGAATATTGAACTTGCAGGAGGAAAGAAATCCTCGAGACTGCAAGGTAGGCTTTAAATACAGGATGCGAGTAGGTCTGAGCTTGCATGCATGATGTAATGGAACATGCATAATGAATCATCACTTGGTATGATGAATCATTATACATACAAATGATATCATCATCATGGTCGGTGCATTGCACCGTCACAGGGTTCGCCGGTCGAAGGTACTGCTGGTCGGACTATAGGTCTCGGTGAAGCTAAAAGGTTCACAACAATGCGATTTGCAATGTCTGTATAGTAGATAAAGGCTACTGCTTGAATTGCTCACTGGAGGACTCCTAGACTCCTCCAGAACGAGTGGCTATATACTATCTATTCTTGGGTGCTCTTATGCGCTCTATAGAGCTCTTTAGAGCTTGATGCTCTGTTGGCTCCATCGAGAGCTTTCATCTCTTCATGCTGATTGGCTTAGTTCCTTAAGCTCTCGTCTGCTCTCTAGAGCTCCCTAGAGCTCCTTCTCATTGGTCCTAAATGATTGGTTCGGGTGCGTCCTACGCCACCCGTCGGATTGTCCCACCTGTAGCTGTCCTGTTAGCTTAATTCGTGACAGTATACTAGTTGGCGAGGTAGTATTGCGCGGCTAAGATAATGAATAGAGGGATAGCCTAGCCAAGGGTATTAATACCTTAGATTACTATCGTCTTTTCGCGGTTGCTAGGCTAGGCCAGCTTTGCCTTGCTATAGCCATCCGAGGTTATGACCACTATATCCAGGAAGATAATACCTATTATAAACTTAGTCTTATCGAAGTTATAGATATTGTCATCTACAATGCTGTACTTGGCCTTGATGTTCCGTATAAGGCCAAACCATTCGGCAATAACCCTTAGATCTTCGCATTTAGCCCTCTAGTAGTCGTATCTACGCGTATAATACATCTAGAGCTCTAGCTAGCGTTTGACAAAGTTATACGCCCAGAGCTTGCCGATAGGGGGCGCATCGCGTACGTATAGCAGTTGGTTAGCTATATCTTCCACACCACGTAGTCTCGGCGGAAAAGCTCGCTTAGATAGCTCAATTATATACTGAACAAGAGACTTCTCTTCGCAATCGGTGAGCCGGCGCGAGTTAGGCGTAGTGTCGCGTCGTGTAGGCCGGCCCGCTAGTCGGTCTTGCAAGGTTGTTCGTCGAACGTCGTAGTACTTCGCTGCAGCCTTTATGCTTAGTTTTTGGTCTTTTTGTATCGCTTCGAGGGCTAGGTTTATCCTAGCCTCGTACGAAGAAGACATGTTAGGTTGTAAAGAAAATCTGGTTTTAAGCGCGGAAGTGACGCGTCGCGGGTAAAGTGGCCGGCTCGTTTATAAGATACGTTATAGTAATCAATCAATGGACTCTCCAGCATCCCCTCAGCTGCACACACGCCGTCACGGACTCTGGCGTCGAAGTAGCAGCACAGCGTTCGATCTATATACAATGGTTAAGTTGGAACCATCGGAGGCAAAGACACCGTCCCCGAGTAGTGAGCCCACTATTGATAGACAACATCAGAGCTAGCAAAGGAAGGCGGAGGGTAATGAGGTAGTTCTTCGGCGAATATATTGAGGAAAAAGTAGCGCTGATTTCATAAGTCGGTCTTCAGCTATCCGTACTCTGGTACCGATAATACATTCTCCAGCGAACAGTTACAGGGCACGGTAAGGCTCTATCAGCTGAAGTCGTAGGGTCCAAAAAGTCGAAATAGTTATACGAACTTTGGTCTCGTCGTCGGGCTTTGCGTTCGGCGTTAACCGGACTGTTGCCGTATTGCCGGCACGGTGGGCCACTAGAGAGGGCCTGAGCTAGGTAGCAAGGTTCATCGGTGAGGGGAGCGCGGCCTCGGCAGAACGGCCTTCTAGCGCCGCCTCGAGAGCATGAGTACAGGTAACCACAGCCCTTCCTGGAAAATCAGATCGAAAACAGACGCAATTGCTGAGGAAGAGTTTGCAGCGGCAGTTGTCCCTGTTTCAATGGTGTAGGCGGTGAATCGGAGATCCGAGTTGCGGGTAGATGGTCCCTGTGCGTCCACCCTAGCGAAACCGATGATGTCAAATGCCCCGAGGTGCACGTTGTGCGGGATGTGGGTGGGATGCTGCCAGGCGAGCCAATCACACAACACGCCGTCGTCAGGTTTTCGCCCTTGCAGTGAGGCTTAGTTGCGCTTGCGATTGCGCGATCCGTGGCGCGTTTGATGCCACGAGGCAGCCCATTGCTAACAGTTCTTGGCAGTTGCTTCCCCGCATAACTGTTAGAACGCAAAACTCAAGCCACTCAAGGGAAGTGTCGACCTCGCGACCCCATACCGTGACAGCCACAAAACTGCAATGATACTTATCCGAATCCGTTCCCGGACATGCGGTTCAAATGGATGGAGCTGTATCCAGATTCCAGGCTAACGGCTCGGCAGCAGAAACATTGGCAGCCGTGAATTTATGTCCGGAGACCCATCCCAGCTGTGCCAAGTTCTGCAAACAAGCTTAAACATCTGCTGGTCCCGGAACCTGGAATGATGCTGCAGGCTGACCCTCCATCTCATCTCCCTCCCGCCTCCCACTTCTCACTTCTTCACCCGTCCCTGATCGGCATTTGTTTACTTTCCGATACTCAGCCTAATCTATCGCCCTGAGGTTATCTCTGATAATCCCTATGCCACCTATATACTAGTATACCCTCACCCATCCCGTCACCACTTCCCACAACATCCAGCCATGCTCTTCCTTAAACCGGACCCCACTGAGCCCAAACTCGCCGCCGCCGCCGCCGTTGACGACGACTACTCGTTCCACAACAATGGCGCAACCGAAGCAGCAGCGACAACAACGGGGTCCGACACGGACGACTTCCGCGCCATCGACCCGCACAGCGGGGTCAAGCGCGGGCTCAAGACGCGCCACCTGTCCATGATGGCGCTGGCGGGGATCATCGGCCCGGGCTTGCTGATCGGGTCGGGCGGCGCGCTCAGCGCGGGGGGGCCGGCGTCGCTGCTGATCGGCTTCGGCGTGATCGGCATCGTGGCCTTTTCCATCATGCAGAGCCTGGGCGAGCTGACGACGCTGTACCCGACGGGCGGGGCGTTCACGGCGCTGAGCGACCGGTTTGTCGACAAGGCGTTCGGGGTGGCGCTCGGGTGGAATTACTTCGTGGTGTGGTTCTGCGTGCTGGCGAATGAGTATAATGTCATTTCGAGCATCATGGTGTTTTGGAGTGATAAGGTGCCCATTTGGGGGTATTTTCTCATATTTTGGGTGAGTTCACTCGGGGACTGTTGTCTTTTTGATTTTCAGTTGAGCTTTGTGATGCTAATGGGGACGGGTAGTTTGCGTTCCTGGGGTTTCAGTTGCTGGGCGTCGAGACGTTTGGAGAGGCTGAGTTTTGGCTGGCGCTCATCAAGATCATTGGACTCATCGCCTACTTCCTCTTTAGCATCGTGTGGGTTTGCGCTTGAGAGAAATCCCTACCGTCTTGTCCGTCTACTAACATGGGGGACGGAAAGTTACGCCTCGGGGGGCGTGAAAGGGGCCGATGCCATTGGCTTCCGGTACTGGCGCGATCCAGGGGCTTTCACCGACGGCTTCAGGGGCGTAGCGTCCGTTTTTGTCTTTTGCAGTACCTTCTACGCCGGGGTCGAGTCCGTCGCCGTTGCCGCCACCGAGACCAAGAACCCACGCCATGCTGTGCCCTTAGCCATCCGCCAGGTCTTCATTCGCATCGTCGTCGTGTACATGGGCAGCGCCTTCTTCTTCGGCCTGACGTGCCCTGCTAATTCCCCGGGCCTTGTTGGCGGGTCGAGCCGGGCACTCCGGAGCCCGATGACGATCGCCATTCAGAACGCGGGCTGGGACGCCGGCGTTCACCTCATCAACGCCTTCATCTTCGTCACCTGTCTCAGCGCGGTCAACAGCTCCATCTACATCGGCAGTCGCACCCTCCTGTTCATGGCGCAGGACGGCAAGGCGCCTCGCTTCCTGGGCTGGACCGACAAGCGCGGAGTGCCGATCCCGGCCATCGTGCTTACCAACCTCTGCGGCGCCCTCAGCATGATGAACGTCAGTACCGGCGCGAGCAAGGCGTACACGTACATCGTCAACCTCAGCGGCGTGTCGACCTTCCTCGTCTGGGGCGCCATTAGCTTGACACATATCCGCTTCCGTGCCGGGTGGAAGGCCCAGGGCCACAGCGAGAGTGAGCTGCCGTTTGTGTCGCTCTGGTATCCCTGGAACGCGTATTTTGGACTGTTTGCCAACGTCTTCTTGGCCCTGATTCAGGGCTGGTCGACGTTCGCCCCGTTTGACGCGGGCTTGTTTGTCGACGCATACATCCTGCTGCCGCTGTTTGGCGTCATCTATGTGGTGTACAAGCTCATCTTTAAGACCAAGCTGTGGAGGTCCCATGAGATGGATCTGCAGTCTGGGAGGCGGAGGGATTTGGACGAGGGGAAACACCTGGACTACGGACAGAGCAGCGGGGCGCAGCCATGGTGGAGAAGGATATGCAAGAGCGTATGACACACTGGAGGGCAATCATTGAGTTCATGATACCCTTCAAGTTGCCGGTTGACTCAAGATACCCTCGCGGAATAAAAAGCAAAAGCGTCAAACGTGTAAGCGGTCATACATTCATATTCTCTTTCCAAACCAAAGCGTGTCTAATCCATGATCCGTCCAGTATATCTCACATAACCATTTATACATGTACAACATCAGTAGGCCAGCTTTCCGTCCCGACTCTTCAATCCGCGCAAACCTGCGCTACCTCATCTTGACAGCACTCGTACCCCTTGCCGCTCGCATTAAGCAACGAACACCTTGGCAGCCCGCTTCTTGAGGCGGTACTCGACGGCGCGCTTCCGGGCGGTCGCGCTCTGGGTGAACGCCGCACTGCCGCCGAAGGGGCCGGCGGCGGCACCGTTGCGGACGCGCACAATGCACACGTTGTTGACGCCGGCGACGGTGGCGTCGCAGGTCATGCCGGCCGGCATCTGCACCTTCAGCGGGAAGTCGGTGCTGGTCGCCAGGCTGAGGCCCTGGAACCCGATGCCGGGCACGTCCTGCGTCACCTTGGCCCGCTGGAACGCGTTCGGGTCCTTGCCGCCCGACGTGCCGTCGACGGCCGCCTCCATGGGACCGGCCCCGTCTTGGTTGATCTGATTTTTGTTTCCGCTCATCAGCGTCATGCCAGTCCCAAGTACGATACCTACGTATCGCATCACAATCAGTGTAGCTCACCTGGTGGAACACCATCTCAATAGTCCCGTCATCGGCACACGTCGGCAAGCCCTCGGTGGCCCCCGTGCCCGCGGTTTGGGCCACCATGGTCTCCTTGGCCACGGTGGTCTTGGTGCCACCGCCGCCACCGAGCCCACCGAGCAGGTTCTTGAGGAACTGCCGCGCAACCTTCCTCATGCCACTGCCTCCTCCTTCTTCTTCCTCCCGCCTGTTGTTGTTGTTGTTGTTGTTGTTGTTGTTGTTGTTGTTGTTGTTGTTGTTGTTGTTGTTGTTGTTGTTGTTGTTGTTGTTGTTGTTCCTGTTGCTGCCGCCGCGCAGGGCACTCAGGTCGTCCTCGACGCCCACGGACGCGTTGGTGGCGTTGACGCTGGGCGCGGTGCCGGCGCCCATGAAGGCGGCGATCATGGTGGCCGGGTCGATGGGGCCGTTGCCCTGGGTGCGCCCCAGCGGGCCGACCTGGCCGCTGCTGATCTCGCGGTCGCGGATGATGGCCGTGTCGGCCTGCGAGCCGCACCGGTTGGTCGAACAGTCCCGCGGCGTGCCGTCGGCGATGGACAGCCCCGGCATCATCACGCCGTTGGCGCCCTTGATCATGGTGACCACGCCATGGGCCGATGTGGAGGTGGTGAGGAGGGCGAGGACGAGGAGGTCGGAGGTATACATTGTGATGAAGGTTGTGTTTTTGGTGGGTTCTCTGGGGAGGGACTGCAGAATTATTCAACAACAGGGATTTAACAAGTATATCAGATTATTTGCCTCCAGGGCTGAGAATGAAGCGTAATAAAGGAAGCGAGAAGGAAGTGAAAGCTGCTGTGAAGGGTGAAGACGCTGAAGCCCGCTGCATGAAGCCCACGACCCAACAACCAACAGAACGCCCGTCACCCTCTTTATAGTTTATAATCCTCCCTCTCCCTCCCTCCCCATCCCCAGTGAACATCCTAACTCGCAAGCTCAACCCAAACTTGGCATCCCTAGTGTACTCCCTCAATGAGAACCCGAGAAAACAAAAACAAAACGAGGCGCAGCAGCAGCAGCAGCAGCAGCAGCAGCAGCAGCGCATCATGACACAAGTCGCAGAGCAGAACAAAACGAAACAGCTTAAGCCCGCCAAGACTCGAAACAGGAGTCGAATCGCATCTTATCGTCGATCCAGCGATGGCCCCGTACCATCCGGCAGATTTTGGTTACGACAGATGGTACCTGACAAGCTTCTGCATAGGTACGGGCGCTTGATCGTCGAAACCTTGAGCGGTCTTGGCAATACAACCTTATCCCAAAGTCTGAGCCCCCCAACAAGTTCCAACAAACCCAAAACCACTAAACCGGACCGGGGGGCGGGTTGGGAAACTCGGATGCCGAGGGCGAGAAGCGGGCTCCGCTTGTTTCAGGGGCGATCTCTGAAGCAAATGGTTGCAGATCAGATTCCCTGAACTCGAGTTTATGTACAGTAGGTCGCTGGAGTCAACACGGGAATGATGATCTGTGGTAAGAAACATGCCGTTATTTCCGAAGGTCGCTGTGCCGCATCATGCATGGTTACTGTGTAGGTTAGTTACAGTCTCTAGCGAAATCGCCTTCCGCTCCAAACATCTTGCTGAATTCTCAGCGCAACGGTCCATAACCCATTTTTAGCGTTGCGGGTTATCGCCATGGAAACTCTCTTGTACCTTGCTGACGCGGTACTTGTCATATAGTCAGGTCGGTCTTGATCATCTGTTTAAATTCATACATTCTTCTATCTAGCATTTACTGGAATTATGACTTCCTTAGAATCTGAAAGATTTCCAAGCACAAACCGGGACTACCTTGGAGAAATTCAGAAGCACAAGGTAACATCCGCGTAACTGCTGCAGCTTCACCCACATTTCATCCGCTAACATTTGATCCCGCCTACAGTACGCAGCTATCCAGTGCTAACCTGGCAATTCCTCCTTCCACTGTCTATTTAACTAGTGAAGGTATAATTTCCTTAATCATCACAGGGCGTCATTTCGATTACCCACTACGTCGCGCTCATATCAAATCTATTCCATGCCTCCAGCTGGAAAATGCATAGCTGCAATATCACTGCTGCAAAGTTACGGCAAACGCCACCAATGAGAAGCTTGCCGGCTTCGCAGAGCCGAGTTCGTGTAGCCAGGCTCGCGCGCCAAACTCAGAACAACCCAACATGCGGGGTTGCTGATCCAAACGAGAAGACCGAGCCCAAAGGTTGCCAAAGACGGCATCAACTACCTTTGAGCTTCCATACAACAATCAAGCCCCATAGTTTGCACGACATTGATCGTCCGCCTGCAGCTCTCCATAGCCGCCGGCGGTTTTGTCTAGGACGGCAAGGAGGCTTTCTCCAAATCCGCCATTGGCCCCTCTTCGAGATCTCAAAGCTCTCGACCTACTTCAGGAGATACCTCCAGCGTCTTCCACACGTCTTAGCAGCTGTTTGTAATTGCCAATCCCTATATATCCCATAATCGTAGCTATAGCAGTACCGTCTTCTAACCTATACGTGCCCGCAGATCCCATGACTACCAATCTCCTCTGCCGCGCATCCCGCCCGCCTCTTCTGCTCAACACCAATGTATAGCTGTCTCTCAGCGAAACTGCGGAGAGAGCCCGGAGCCCGGCCTTCCTGAACGATGCGTCTTCTCGAACGCAACGCCGCCGGCGATATCCGCCTGACCAAGTTCTTTACCAGCAACGTTCCCCGATATGCGATACTTTCGCACACCTGGGGTACGGAGGAGGAGGAGATCAGCTTTCAGGATCTGATGGATGGTATAGGCGAAAACAAAGTCGGCTATAACAAGATCCGATTTTGTGGAGATCAAGCATGGCGTGACGGTTTGCAGTTCTTTTGGGTAGACACATGCTGCATCAACAAGCCGGACAACACGGAGCTCCAGGAAGCTATCAATTCCATGTTTCGCTGGTACCGTGATGCGGCTAAATGTTATGTTTATCTCGCAGATGTCTCGACCCCCTCCCTCGGCGCTGACGACAACTCCAGTTGGGAGCTGGCTTTTCGAAACAGCAGATGGTTCACCCGCGGATGGACCCTCCAAGAGCTTATCGCTCCACCGTCTGTCGAATTCTTCTCGAAGGAGGGCGTACATCTGGGGAACAGGAGATCTCTAGAGCAACATATTCACAATACAACGGGAATCCCTGTCGGAGCCCTTCGAGGTAGCCCTCTATCTCAGTTCAGCGTCTCCGAGCGAATGGCATGGACGGAGAAGCGCAACACCACACGCAAAGAAGACAAGGCATACTCACTACTGGGCATTTTCAACATCCACATGCCGCTTATCTATGGAGAAGGGGAAAACAATGCATTCAGACGGCTGCGAGATGAGATCAGTAAGGCTTCAAGGGCCGAACGGGTCTACGATCAAGCGGACGATCGCTGTCTGGCCGACCTGCGCTGTACGGACCCGCGGCACGACAAGATGCGCATCGAGCAGACCAAAGGCGGCTTGCTAGCAGACTCATATCGCTGGGTCCTAGACAACGCCGATTTCCGACAATGGCGCGACGATGGACAGAGCCGGCTGCTCTGGATCAAGGGCGATCCTGGCAAGGGCAAGACTATGCTACTATGTGGTATCATCAACGAACTGAAGTCCACCTGTAACTCCAGTCTTCTCTCATTCTTCTTCTGCCAGGCTACCGACGCGAGCATCAACAATGCCACGGCTGTTCTGCGCGGCCTGATCTACCTTCTCGTGGACCAACAACCATCCTTTATCTCGCACGTACGGAAGAAGTACGACGCTGCAGGGAATCCAATCTTCAGGGACGTGAATGCATGGGTAGCCTTGTCGGGGATCTTTGCCAGCATTTTAAATGACCCAAGCCTGCCTCACACCTACCTGATCATCGACGCACTTGACGAGTGTACTACAGGCTTGGACCAGCTTCTTCGCCTTGTAGTCCAGAGATCGTCGGCTTACTCGAGTGTCAAGTGGGTCGTATCTAGTCGCAACTGGCCGAGCATCGAGAAGGATCTTGACGCCGCGGCGCAGAGAGTCAGGCTGTCGCTTGAGTTGAATGAAGCGTCCGTCTCCGCGGCTGTTACTGCATATGTCCGGTTCAAGGTGGATGGGTTGGCGGAGCGAAATGAATACGACAACGACACGAGGAGCGCTATCGAGCGCTACTTGGTTACAAACGCACATGGCACCTTCCTCTGGGTGGCTTTGGTATGCCAACAGCTCGCGAACATCTCGGGATGGGAAGCAGAGGAAATGTTGACAACATTTCCACCTGGACTCGATACACTCTACAGACGGATGATGGACCAGATCTACAACTCGAGACACGCTAAGCTATTTCAAAGAATACTGGCTGTCGTCTCAGTCGTATACCGACCTATTACATTGGACGAACTACCGGCACTCGTGGACACGCCCAACCGTGTCTCTAGCAATGGCAAAGCTCTAGCAGAGATTGTAGGGCTTTGCGGCTCTTTTCTGACACTTCGCGAACGCACAATATCTTTTGTCCATCAATCCGCCAAGGACTTCTTGCTCAAACAGGCACGCGATGAGATCTTTCCATCTGGGAGAGAAGAAGTACACCGTACTATATTCTCGCGATCGCTTCGAGTTATGCAGAAAACATTGCGACGCGACATATATAACCTTGGCACTCCTGGATTTCCTATTGACAAAGTCAGACCACCCGATCCAGATCCGCTAGCTGCAGTACAGTACTCGTGCGTGTACTGGATTCACCATCTGCGTGGCTGTGATCCCGAGAAGAACGCGAACAAGGACCTCCAGGGTGGCGGATCGATCGATATCTTTCTGCGCGAGAAGTATCTCCACTGGCTAGAGGCTCTCAGCCTTCAAAAGAGCATGTCAGAAGGAGTGGCTTCAATGCTGAGCCTTGAGGATCTGTTTGAGGTAAGCTTTTAGTAGTGCGATGTAAGAGCTATACTAACATTCCGATAGGCACGAAAGGAGACATCACTTCTCATCGATCGCGTCCGAGATGCATGTCGGTTTATCCTATACCACAAGTGGGCAATTGAGAACAGCCCTCTTCAGGTGTACGCTTCCGGACTTGTATTCAGCCCAGTCGGTAGCATAACGAGGGATCAGTTTAAGAATGAGGAGTCTAAATGGATCATCCGAAAACCAACGATGGCGGACAATTGGAGCGCATGCCTACAAACGCTCGAGGGCCATAGCGACTGGGTCAACTCCGTGGCCTGGTCGCCTGATGCGAGCCGGCTGGCGTCGGCATCACGCGATAAGACAGTCAAGATCTGGGATCCGACGACCGGCCAGTGCATGGCGACGCTCGAGATCGGTCGCATCAACAGTCTCCAGTTCCATGAATATAACCCCGACCTTGTACATACCGACCTTGGCATATTCGACTTGAAAACCGTCGGAATCTGTACGGCCTTTGACTCTACCTCTACTGATCGTTCATCACCAGCCGCTATTGGATACGGCTTGAGCCGTAACGGTACCTGGATTACGTATAAAGGAAAAAACCTGCTATGGCTGCCGCCTGAGTATCGGCCATCATCTTCTGCTATATCTGGAACGGCTATGTCAATCGGCTGTTCTTCAGGCCGTATCTTGTTCTTTATCTTCACAGACAGCAATCTGATTCAGTAGTTGTACTCTTTTACTTTTGACGTTCTGGCTCCTTGCACTTTCTCTATTTTTTCTTTTCATAGCGTGCCACAGGAAGGGTGTAGGAGAACCGGTTAATTTATAGCTTCCTATGCTAATTTCTGGCACTTTCGAGAAGTTCCTCAAAACTAAAAGTCGATTCGGCACCGTAACGGTCAGGGGGTATAGACCCTTTATGTATTGCTACACGTAATAAAGGTCTTATTTAAATGGGCAAAGAGGCGGCCGCGGATTATACTGTACCAGTTGAACTCGGCCCAGATACTGGAGTTGGAGGCCCGGGTGCTTGTCACGGGGACTGTCGTCGCAGTCCAGGCTCAAGGCTCTGGTAGGCAACTGACTGTATTGCAAGAATACCAAACTTGTAGGAGGAAAGGAATCCTCGAAGACTGCAAGGTGCGAAGACTTCCAAATACAGGATGTGGGGCATGTGCCCAGATGTGGAGGGTGGGGCACCAACCAGGTTAACCAATCATGCATGCATGCACCGGAAGCCGGGCACATGACTAAGCAATGGCCTGTGCCATGGTACGGTGGGTTCCACCGTCACAGTGCTCATCACATTTCATTAGCTTGGCTGCAGGACACTCAGACGACATCATCACCATTTGCTGTTACCCTCAATTGATTGCTAATTAGCTGCCTGTGCGCAGCGACCCTCTGTTCACCTACTCCGTGCCACGATGCGACTTGCGGATGTTGACTTTGCACACCTGCGAGTAGGTCCTCGGTCCAGGAGCTATAAGTTGACTACGGTGAGTGCTGGGGAAGAATGCTTGAATTTAAACGGTATACGGATATAGGGGTAGAAGGCAGTAGCGGGGCGATAAGCAAGATGGCTAGCCAGGACCTGTGGCAAGTACAGTACCACCTAGAAGAGGTACAAGAAGGGACCCTTGTCGAGGCCCCTCAGTACCAAAAATGGCTTATAGTTCGTGCGCTGAGAATTCACCAGCGTGTCGGGGGGCGGAAGGCGATTTCGCTAGTGACGGTAGTATCTCTGGATGTGCCTGAGCTTGACCATTCCAAGGGAGACCACTAATAAATGGTAAATCCATGTTATTCTTTGGGTTGAGCGGGAAATGAAAGTAAGGTATCTCCGAGAAGAGAAAGAAGAAGAAAAGGATGGAAGAAAAAAAAGGAAATACCTGTTAGAGTATAGTCTTCAAAGTTACTATACTAATAACGTACATTATCAGCGAGCGGGACATATCAGCGAGCGGGACACTAAGTTCTTGGCATAACGCGTCCTTCCTCATCTACCTCTAACAACGCGTTTTTCCTACAACTAAAGATGTCTTCTACTTCAAAGGAAGCTAGGGTAACCTTGGCCCTCAAAGCTCTTGAAAATGATATAGAACTAAGCCTTCGAGCCGCGGCCAAGCTCTATAACGTGCCAGTTTCAACCCTCGGCTACCGACGTACCGGCCAGCCTATACGATGCGATCTTCTAGCCAATTCGAAGAAGCTTACCTAATCTAAAGAGGAGGCTATTATTCAATATATTATTGAGCTATCTATATGAGCTTTTCTGCCAAGACTATATGGTGTAGAAGATATGGCCAACCAACTGCTATACGTATATAACGCGCCCCCTGTTGGCAAGCTCTGGGTATATCGGTTTGTCAAACGCCAGCCAGAGCTCTGTATATGTTATTCGCGAAGATACGATTACTAGAGGGCAAAGTACGAGGATCCGAAGGTCATTAGCGAGTGGTTTGCCCTTGTACGGAATATTAAGGCCAAGTACGGTATTGTAGATGACGATATCTATAACTTCGACGAGACTGGGTTTATAATGGGCATTATCTTCCCGGGTATGGTGGTTACAACCTTGGATGGCCGTGGTAAGGCGAAGCTAGCCTAGCATGGCAACTACGAATGGGCGACAGTGATCTAAGGCGTTAATGCCCTTGGCTAGGTTATCCCTCCGTTCATTATCTTAGCAGCGCAGTTCTACCTCGCCAACTGGTATACTGAGTGCAACCTCCTAGCCGACTGGCGCATTGCAACTACCGAAAATGGCTGGATTACCAATATAGTAGGCCTTGATTAGATCAAGCACTTCGACTACTATATAGCGCCTCGGACAAAGGGCAAATACTGGTTATTGATCCTCGATGGCCACGAAAGCCACTATTCAACCAAGTTCGAGCTCTACTGCCAGCAGAACAACATTATCACGCTCTGTATACCTCTATATTCCTCCTACCTCCTCCAGCCACTTGATGTTGGCTGCTTTAGGCCGTTAAAGCAGGCGTACGGTCGCCAGATCGAGGACTTAATACGCGTTTATATCAACTATATAAGCAAGCTCGAGTTCCTTTATACCTTTCGTACGGCCTTCTTTGCTTCTATCACCAAGAGGAATATCCAGGGCGGTTTTGCAGGGGCTGGCCTTATGCCGTACCATCTAGAGAGGGTACTTTCGAAGCTAGATATCAAGCTTCGTATACTAACACCCCTAATCTTACGGCCAGGTACTATACAATCTTAGGTCTTCCAGACACCATACAACCCCCGAGAAGCCAACTTACAGTCAACGCTCATCAAGACTCGCATTGCCAACCATCAAAATAGCTCCCTAACTTCGATGTTGGCTGCTATAGACTAGCTTACTAAGGGTACGATAGCTATAATGCACTAGGTGGCCCTCCTTCAGGCAGAGGTATCTTCGCTCCGCAAGGCCAACAAGGCGCTAAGCAAGCGCCGGAGAGCCAAAAAAACACGTGTACGGCTTGGAGGATCACTTACTGTGCAGGAGGCACAGGAGGTAGTAGGCCAGGGGGCTATAGGTGGGGAGGCAATACAAGAAACGTAGCTGGATGGTAGTGGTGCTAGGGGGGGTCGTACGAAGGTTCGGTGCTATGGTATATGCGGCAAGCCTGGTCATAATGCCCGCACTTGCCAGGAGGGTGCAGAAGGGTCTGATTCATCTGTTTCTGATGTAATTGTAGTTGGTTCTTAGTGTTGTTGCATTGCAATTGAGAGTAGTTGTTATAGAGTAGTGGAGAGTGTCCCGCTCGCTGATATGTCCCGCTCGCTGATAATGTACGTTACTGCTAGCAAATTCTAACATATATTTATATTTCTCTAGTCTTCTATTTCTTTCTCTATCAAGCATTCTACGAAGCGTCCAATCACTGACCAGTGGCATTGCACACGCCCGCGCCAGCCGCAGCAAACACATTCGGAACAGCACACATCGTGGACGGATCAAACGACGACGGGCGATGGAAAGCAGTCGTCAAGCCATCCTGCATAATACTAGTAGCAGCGCCAGGCAACACTGCCGCGGTGCTCGTGCTCAAGATGCGAGAACCAGTAGTCTCGCTGGCCGCGGCCTCGTCCTTGTCGGGCATGCTTGTGTTGACCGCCAGCGTAAAGACGATCTCCTCGCGGTGGAGCAAGATATCCTCGGCAGCTAGCGCGTCGCCATATTCGACCTCCAGTATCAGCTCGAGCGGAGTGAGTGCGTCGTAGACCAGCGACAGCGGGTCCAAGTTGCCGCACCGCGTGTGCGTGGCGATCTTAATGCCGAGGCCCTTGTTCCACAGCGTCACGGTGAAACACGACTCGGACCCTTGCCCCACTAGCGCGACGCTGCCGACGGTTATGTTGAGGTTTTCCCCCGCCGAGACCGGGTAGCTGAACGACTTGGCTGGGTCGTCGGGGCTCAAGACATCGGCGAGGGTGATGCCCGGGTAGACGCGAGTATCTTCCCTAACGTCCTCGTCGTCGGTGGCGGTGAGCCCGCGGTCCATGACCAGGTTGGCGAAGAATGCCGGGGTTCTGGTGCCCTCTTCGTCGATGAACGCAGCGATGCCTCCGGTCTTGATGACGGCTGGCACCAGAACATTATTCTGCGAACACTCGCTCCACTCAACGCCGTCAACGGCATGGTCACCCGTGAAGGCAGCCATGTTGATGCACACGAGATGCACACGTATCCCCTCCTCTCTGGCTCGCTGCAGTTGCGTGAGCGTTTCTTCAGCGGACTCCGAAGCCTCCGCTCCGGCGGTGATGAGAACCACAGCGCCTCGGTCGGTATAAGTCTCGGGCTGGGCGTAGATGGTCTCGGCGATGCCCAACTCGAGGCCGCTGGCGATATGGCGCGGACCGCCCGGCGAAGAAGAGAGGTCGAAGGTCGCATGGTTCGGGTAGCCCATTGGATAGAGAAGGCGAGCAGATTCGTGGAACTCGACTACCGCTACTCTGTCCAGCCCGTGCATGCCCGTCAACTGCGAATTGATCGCCCTGGCGAGTCTCCCCTCCAGCAGCCTGAAATGGCCGAGCGCATCTCCCACCGACTTGTCGAGGGCAAGGACCACGGTGCGCTTGCGGCAGTCCCGCACCGGGTCGTCGCGGGTCAGAGCACAGATCATGAGGTTACCACTGACGGTCCCGTATCTCAGCCGTAGCTCTTCTCGAAACTCACGCCAAGCGTCGCGCGAGTGCTGGATCGCCGCTTGCACCGCCCGCTGGAAATTCTCCGAAGCCGCTTCCGACCTGGGGTAACACGGAACCTCGCCAAAGGTGCCGTCGAGGTTGATGATGCCCGTGTCCTTGCTCAAGCCGTAGTGCGTGATGCGTCCCTGGCAGTCCCCGGCCCCGCCGAGGTTGTCTGGTATCGAGAAGCATCCCGTTGTGAGGTTGTGGGGGATCTGATCCGGTGATATGGGCCCGTTGGCTCGCATGTCCAGAAATGGTGCCGTGCCGTTGAGGCCCAGTCCTGGTGGGTTCGACGCACTAATCGGCCGGGTCGGATCGGCCATGTCGGCCCAGTTGCTGTGGGCATAAAAGTCCTGAACACCATGCAACGCCCTTCCAAACCCCTCGATGGCGCCGCACTTTGACCTGCCGAACCCTTCCCCCTGCAGTGCCGGGAACGCGAAGCCGCAGTCATAAGGCGTGGACAACTGCACCATGTCCTGCCGTATCCGCCTCCGCTCGTCCAGTAAGCGGCCCGCCTCTTTCAGGCCCTGGCGGAAGCGACTGCGGAGGTGGTCGACGCAAGCCTGCAGTTTGGCAGTGGCTTCCTCGCGGGTCTGCGGATAGCCAGGGACGTCGAGGAAGTCAGCGTTGTCGCAGTGAGCCTCGGGCCCTTCGGGCACCGGGTCGAACGTATCGGGAGAGCCGACAGCACCGTTGAATCCCGCACCGGGAATGGCCACGCCCATCACGACTCGGTGGTAGCCGGCGAGTTGGTCAAGCGACCGCGGCTCGAAGCAGCTGCCGTCCGACCGTTTGCCGCTCTCACTAATCAATAACCGGTATCAGCGTCAACCACGGGTTCCCATACAGGAGTGCGTGGGAGTCAAGGTCCACGGTCTACCGTACCACTGGAAGGACAAGCGAGTTATCATCTCGTGTTCATTGTGCTGCCCTACGAAGATGGGTTCGTTGATGGTGCCAAAGGCTGCTGCGAGGGCAGCCCATGAGGTAAGAAGGATCCCGATGAGGAACGCCATTGCGTCGCGCCGGTGCCCTGCTGCCTCAGACATCGCTCACTCCAGGTCCAGGACGCTATATTTGCGTCGCGGCCGACAGCGGGCGAGGAGTGCAGCGCAGGAACCTCCCTTGACGAGGGGCTGAAAATTCCGCAACAGCAACGGAGGGACTTTCGGCAGGGTGGGAATGAGATTTCTGGAAATTCATCGTAACGACAGTCGTCCGGGGAAGGATCGTTACAAGCGGCGGTGGAAACGTGATTCAAAGAACGGGCAGCATATTTTCTCTTCAAATTTGTCTGTTGACTTGCAGAATACTGCGAGATATCGTGTACTATCTCGTCCCTACTCATCAGGTGTTGAGAAGAGGACCGCGATAGCCATGCAAGGCAGGGAGCGATGACGTATCACCTTACTAGCGCGTCGGCGGCTAGAATTTCGCGTGGGACCCCATTTCAGCGCCAGTGGGTCCTTCCTGCCTGGAGATATCCAGGGGCTGAAAACGCTCGCTGACTGACTCTTCCCCTACCTCCGGTAATGAATAAACGGCGATTTGTATAATCGATAATAAAGGATTCCAGGTGCATACGTAAGGAATCTTTCGTCATGAGTGCGTCAATAGACATCTCAGGAGCATTAATCTGTATCTGATGCGCCACGCTCTCCTCTTCGTGGCTCCGAAACATGCAAACAATCGGCTCCAATTCTTGGCCTCCAATCCATTATCATTATCCCCAACGACAACAGCCACAACTAACTAAAAAACCCAACACAACCTCCGCCTCGTCCCTTGCTAATAAACAAAGTCTACCACAACCGGAACGGCCTCAGCCGCGCAGCCGCCCCGGCCGTACTAACCGGCGCCGTAACCTGGCCATCGGTCCCATTCGACGACCCACTCGGAGTCGGCAGCGCAGTCACCTCGGTCTCGCTCTGCGTCGTTGTTGGCGTGGTGGGGCCGTGTCCATCCGAACCGGTAGTCGTCGGGGCAGGAGACCCATCATCATCCCCGCCGCCGCCGCCGTCACACTCGCCATCGTCTCCGCTGGCCGTGACGACGCTGTACACCGTTTTGCAGCCGCCCAGGCCTTCTGCCCCGCACCCTTCGTCGCATCCGTACGAGCGGTAGATGGTCGGCGGGGTATCCGGGCAGGTGCCGCACCCGGCCGTGATGGTCGCCGGGACCACGCAGTCGACGGTCATGCAGGTGCTGCAGATCGCGGTGGTGGACACGACGGCCGCGCAGCCGGAGACTGATTCGAGCGTGGCTATTGTGCCGCTCTGGCTCAGGGCCGGGGCGGCGCTGTGCAGGGGCGGGGCGTTAGACGAATACTAGTAATAGCAGGTGGGTTGTGGTGTAGACGGTTCGGTGGCGTGGAGCGAATTTGGGGGACTTACATGGCCACGCAGGTTGTCAGAAGTTTTAGCGTGTAATGCATCGTCGTTTGGGTTCAGCTTTTGCTAGGTGGGATGCTGCGTTGGAGAGCGGGTGGGCAAATCGGGGCGGAATGGAAGTGACAAATGGTAACGGCGGCGCGTTGGCACCTTAAAACCTCCATTCGTATACCCCATCCGAGGTAGGTGCTAGCGCGGTGGTGATCCGATTGACCAACTTCGGTAAGAACGGACGATAGGGTGCATTGAGACGGCGTACGTCATGGTGCGACCATCAAAGAAGTCTCATTTGTGGCGGGAGCGGTGAGGGGTCATACAAAAGGCTCGGCACCTTCCCATTTCCATGAGGATCTGCCCGGCCGTTGTTGCCCAGCTGCTAAGTTACCTTACCGTTCGACCTGAATCTCGCGCAAAACGAGCTGCCAGAAGAAGCAGTCGCGATGTCCTCGCTTACACAAATGTGCGGGGATGTAGTAAGTGTGTGTCGAAGACGGGCGTCATGGATGACGGGACTAGGGGACGCCGAGCCCATCCAGCCCCTCCAAAGTTCTAATTTGAGGTACAGACGCATGTAGTCTGTATCAATCCCCATGCAGCGAAGATGTATAGCCTGTTGTCAATTAAATATGAGTCCATAGGAAACATAGTTCCAAGACATCATATGCTTCTCTACACTCTGCCCTAGTAATCCTTGAAATCCAGTGCGAGATCCGAACTATATATGCTGCTAGATTCTATTCCAGGCACTCGGACATATTTAAAGCTCCATCAGTTCCGATACGTACTTTCTTGGCTTGCATGAAGGGTTTCGGTGACGAGGATGGAACTTATCATGGTACGTAGCCGATGTTGAAAGTACCTATGCTTAATATCCTATCCTTCTGTTAAGTGTCAACTACTCGGTAGTCTCTATAGGCTTCTGCATACCAGGTGAAGGCCGATGAGATGGCAATCCCGCCGTACCTCAGTATGCTAGCGCCGATCAAGCCGTATCCGGCATTCGCGTCGAGCGGCCCAGGTTGCGGCAGGTATATCAACAACCTCCCCAGAGAAGAGAGGATGACAGAATTTGAATCCCACAACTGCCAGGCGTGGCACTACTGGGAGCAGAGGCGGCCCGTTAAGCATGCGGATAAGCATGTTAGCGGATAACTTATCGTGGAGCGACTTGGCTGTCAGGGCGCTGTCCAGGGGCTACAGGTCCTCAAGCGTCAAGACCTCGTTGTATCCCGCCAAGAACATCCGGTTGAGCCAGAAGTAGACGCCAAGGGAGAAGATTCCACTTGTCTCTTCCGTGCTGTGCTTCTTCGCGTCCAGCAGACCCATCTCGGTTTGTGGCGGGCGTCTAGGAGCAAGATTGGCGCCTTGACAGCTATAGCACTAACGAAGATGCTACTGTACGTGACCTCGGACTTGCCATCCGACGAGGGGGAAAGCGCCCTTGCCTGAGCCGTGTCCAAGGCGAGAGTCAGAGCCAAGTATAGGTTTAGCAGCACAGACGGTCAGGGGCTTCGGCTGTGATCTAGGACATTGAGCGAGGCCATAAACAGGGTCGACACAAGCTTCAGGGCCGACGAAGCTTTGAATATGCGGGTTACATGGAAGGCTCGAACGGCAACCAAGATGAGAAGCGAGAATCCCAGTCCAGTCCAACATAGACTAAGATCGCGGCCTACGTCCAGATTCTAATCAGAAATGCTTTTCGTCTATAGATAGGCCATCCTGTACGCATCATAGCGAGAACATACGGACCGTATCACTTTGATGCGTCGGAACACCGGAGCATGCACCACGATGGGCTTCCGGGCCTGGGAAAGCGTCCGACAGAAGAATGTTATGATGAACAGGACGGGTGGTATGATTGGAAGGAACAGCTGCTCGAACTAGACGCTAAAGCCGAGGTCATTTTGGCTTGGATTCAGCTGGAGCACATCGTTTTCTCCCGTAATGAACCTAGTGATAGGTACGTTGGCGGGCTCCTCTAAGTACTGCTGAATCTGACGGCTTCCCGTTTGATTCGAGCCGACCTTGTGAAGATATCAAGTTGGAGGTGAATGCAAGGCAACCGGCGTGTATTGGCATTGATAGGGATCAAGCTTGTCGTGTACTTTTAGAGGGAGCCATTGGTTGAAAAACGCTCGGACTTCCAGGTAGACGGTCACAGCGTAGCGTGTAAAAAGAAGATCCTGTTGTGACTACCTCTAGCCGTTGAAGTGAAGTAAGCTGGATTACGCATGTTCTCAAACATGATGAATCACCGAATGGATTCGCATTGAATCCGCGGATTATCCGTGATACCAGTCACCAGGCGACCAGATGTACCTTCCTATCTCGCTGTCCAAGCACCCATTGCACCCCAAGGTTGCGAATTCGCCAAGATGGAGATTGATAAGCCGCAGCATGCTCCTACCGTTCATTACATCACTTACTCTACTCCACGTCCCCTGTGCTACCTACATAGTTGAGCATCACACTGGGAAGATGATGATCACATCGTGTTAAAAAGGGAGAATGTAAGTGGTGGGATGGTGCGTGACTGCAGCGGTGCTAGTATCATTAACTTCAAGTCTATTAGATCATAGACTGTCCCGCACCGACTTCCGTCTGGTCTGGAACCTGGACTACTACCGTATAAAAGGGCGTGCACTCAGCCTCGCCCCTTCCCCTTCGCAGGGCATCTTTAAGATTCATTTCCATTCTTTCCAACGTCATCGCGTCCGTGACCATCAAGTTTAACTTTACAACTTGTCAATAACTACGAATAAACATCAAGCATGTCTGCCACCGCCGCTGCCACCGCCGCCGTCGCCGCCACGCCGAAGTGCAACTTTTTCTGGAAACCAAACGACTACTTCGGCGAGCTTAGCCAGTGGTATAAGGCGCCCTTCGTCTGCGACGATGACGCCTTCACCACCGTGGACGAGTTCGTGATGTTCCAGAAGGCTAAAGTCTTCGGAGACGCGGAGATGGCCACGAAAATCATCTTTGGAGCATACGTCCACTCATCGACGTACGCCAATATGGAACGGGAGGTGAAGAACTTCGACCAGGAGGTCTGGTACGAACACGCCTTCCGGACTGTCGTTCTCGCGAACTTGTGCAAGTTCACGCAGAACGAGAGACTCAGAGAGATCTTGATGGGCACCGGGGACAACGTTCTCATCGAGATTAACCCGCAGGACAAGATCTGGGAGATCGGCTTCTCGAGGTACGACGAGTGGCTCAATCCCAACAGATACGCGGCCAAGAAGACCGGCATGGCCATGATGTACGCCAGAGACCTGATCCGGGAGCGACTGGAGCGAGGAGATGAGGAGCCGTTCGTCGCGTCGTCGGAGTTGCCCGAGATGGACATCGAGGCGATCCTCAAGGACTATCGGGCGAGAGTGCAGAAACTGCGACTCTACAAAAAGGGTCGCATCGTTAATCATCATGCCTGGAAAAAACTAAGATGACGTCGACGATGCTCGCGGTATGGGCACGTGCGTGGCGAACTCGACCAACATCCCTGATGGACGAGTTGATGGGATCGTCGTGAGTCTGACAGCATGACACTAGAGGACGTGGGATCCAAAATCAAAAGGTACAGTACACCGACAACGTTACGCTTCGTACAGAAGCCCATCCCAATCCAGCATTCTCATCAGTCCGTTGCCAGTCGCTAATCGCTTTAGCAGCAGATCCCAGGTTACTGCTACTCTCGAGACGGAGCCGCAGTATAGCACCAAACAGCGCGCCGTCAACACCCTCAAACCCTCATTGCAAGAACGTCGCCGGAACCTCGGGCCCTATTGAGTCAATTAGCACAATACGGTCCGGCTGGCATTGTCTGGATAACAACTTACCCCAGACATGCAAGTTATCCGGCGCCGCCTTGGTGCGGTGCGTGGGCTCCCTCATGTCCAGCAGGTCGCCGTCGACATAGTGCTCCATGATAAAGCCCGATGGGTCGAACCTGGTTTTCAAGAAAAAAGGCCAGTATCAGCACACACATCCACAAAGCCCACAATCTTCTGCCGAACAGTCGACGTCGCCTACCAGTAATCAAAGATCTGGCTGCCCATGACGTGTCTCCCGACGCCCCAGCAGTTGGTGTACCCCTGGTGGCGCAGCCAGTCGTGCCCCAGCACCTGCGCATCGAAGTCGTGCGTCTCGAAGGACGAGTGGTGGACGTGCATCTTCGGGCCCTCGAAGAAGAAGAAGCAGTGGTGGTCGACCAGCTCGTCGCCGCGGTTCAGCCGGAAGAAGACGGTGTTGTCGACGCCTTGGTCGTTGTGGACAAGCTGTAATCGAGAGGGTGTTGTTAGCTCATGTTTGGAGATGGTCCTTTTGGTTGTGTTTTGGAGATGGTTCTTTGGATTGTGTATGTATGCTTGGGTCTTCCGCTGCTTACCTCGCTCGGGTGGAAGTTGAAGTAGGACGAATAGAACTCGTAGCATTTGGCGAAGTTGGTCACGCACATGCCGAAGTGGCCTAGCTTGTGTACCGGCGCCGGCCGCTTCTTGAAGCGCTGGAACTCGTTGGGGCCGCGGTTCTTCTCGCAAGGCTGTTTTGCAATCTGTTAGACCTGCCATCAAGGGCGAAATACTAGAATGGCTGTAGGCAACTCACATAGTTGAACTTGAGCATAGGAAACCCTGGATCCTCCAACGCCACTGGTGTTTGCCCGTAGACGAGATGGAAGGGGAATCCATCCACAGGGTCGTAGAAGGTCACTCGCTTGCCGCCGCCCGGAACGTCCTTCATCTCGTGCACCTCGGTTGCCCTGCACTCCTTCGGCAATACCTTGGAAGCGTGAACTAGGTCCTCCTCCGACTCGACTACGAACGCTGCACCGCCGAACTCGTTCTTGTCCGCAGCCTCGAGGGCGAGGACGAAGGGCTCGGTGCCATACCCGCGGTAGAACGTGGTCTTGCCAACCTGGGCTGTGTCTACGAAGCCGAAGTCCAGGGCGAACTTCTTGGCTTTCTCGATGTCCTCGTGCTTGTACCAGACGTGGGCAATGCGCACCAGCTGGATCTTCTTGATTGGGTTTGATGGTAATCCGGACGCCATGGTGGGGCTGTCTTGTGGGATCCTGGGATGTGATACTCGAGTCCGGCAGTTACCGCAATCAGCGATTTGACGTATGTGGTTGAAGACTTGAATATTGAATGCTTCCAAGTTAAACTGATGAGTGTCCCCAAAGTCTTAAAACTGTCCACTCAGTCGTCCTCGCACCGAGCACACGGTCCGGGAGATATATTTGGGGTCCGTCCGCCAAGAAACACCTGCCCCGCGGGGCAGTGGTGGGGTAAACACGATGGGTGGCGGAGAACGGCAATTTCATGGGACAAATGATCACCAAGACGCGGCGCTTCCGGTCGGGAAACGGCAGTTGCTGCACGACGTCACTGAAATCTACCCAATAGCGGGCCCCGGGTAATCCAAGGGAGCCGTTCGGCCGCCATCAGCCCATGTCCTCTGGGCCTGCGGTAGCGAGGAACAGGCTGTTTGAGATTGCTAGGCTGTCATTAGAGAGACCTAGATGTTGGATCGCACTTCGTACTGCAGGCTATGAAGCTGTTCTGGGGTCTCGAGGAAACAGCGAGCTGTGAAAAAGATGGGTCGTCGTTGTTGGAGGCTCCTGCAGGCCATGCATGGGCCGATGATCATGGGCGGTCCGATGTGGGACCATGCGCAACCCTAACCCAAGTCAAGGATGCCGTTCGGAGATCCGCGCAGCGTCAGTGTCAGGCCAGCCTCTGAGTTGGAAGTTTCGAACCCGACATTGATAAACATCCCTTTCAATTTCGCAGAGCCAACACACAGAGCTCCGTCGACGTACAGCGTAGCACAGCATAACTCCCTCACTGGCCATCCTGAGTCCGAAAACAACACACAACCATGGCAAAGGCCAAAAAAGGTTCCAAATCCGCCCCGGACAGCACCACCACCTCGGTCGTCAACCCCGCCGCCGCCCCGCACCTCCCCTGGCTCCACGACGGCCTCCCGCTGCCGCGCCTGATCGTGCTCGACCTCGACTACACGCTCTGGCCCTTCTACTCGGACATCCACATCTCGACGCCGATCCGGCTGGTGGCCAACTCCAACCCGCCGACGCTCGCCGACCGCAACGGCGAGCACTTCGCGCTGTACCCGGACGCGCCGCACATCCTGCGCCTGGTCGCGGCGCTGCCGCACACCCGCCTCGCCGTGGCGAGCAAGTCGCCCGTGGGCGACCTGTGCCGCGAGGTGCTCAAGCTGCTGCGGCTGCCGCCGCTTGCCGAAGGGGGTGGTGGTAGTGAGAAAGGGGCGAAGCGGGCGATCGACGCGTTCGATGCCGGGCTGGAGATCTACGAGGGCACGAAGCTGAGGCACTTTGAGGTGATTGCCAAGCGCACGGGGATACCGTTCAGCCAGATGCTGTTCTTTGACGATGAACGGCCGAATCTGGAGGTCGAGAGCTTGGGCGTCACGATGAGGCTTGTTCGGGACGGGCTGACGTGGGACGAGCTGGAGAAGGGGATAGAACAGTGGCGGGCGAACCAGGGCGTGGCGTAGCCTGACGCGTTTGCGGGGGGAGGGAAGTTGTTGGTTAGTTGCTCGGGGGACTTGAGCAGATCGGGTCGCTGCATGATAACTGACTTTGTTGCTGATGGGACGCTTGGTATCTATTCTATGTAGGCCGAGGTGTTGGGCGTTCTGAGGACAAGTGCAACTGCAACACCCCAATAGAGTATAGGCTAGACGATGCATGAAAATGGGCGGCAGCGGCATTTGCAAGGCGCATGCGGGTAGGCAAGGAAAGTGAGATTGGTTTGCGCGTCAACGATGATGACAACCGGACGACGGAGTAGGTTGTAAGGCATACATGTAAACCATAGGTATATTTTAGACTTAAATAGCAAACTTCTACTTCCGCTTTATATTCGCTGTGAGCCGCTCCCTGATTGTACGGGCCGAGTCCTTTACCCCGGCCAGAACCTCCAAGCACACTTCCATCCAACCATTCCCCCATGTATAATTACAGCTGTGCTTGTACCACCCTCCCAACACCACCCCTCCTCTTCATGTCACCATTCCCTACCCCACCGCTAACATAACAGAAATAGTATATAGCGACATTTGGGATATGCCAACGCTGCCAAGCCTTCTATGCAAACCACCATCCAACCGGCGCACTCTCTTACGGCCTTGTTTTTCAAGCAGACACAGTCGGAGCCTTCTGCTCCTGCTGCCGTTCAGCGGCCACCTTCTCCTTCATCTCGCTCGCCACCTCGTCGTCGGCAATTGACAGGCTCTGAACGCCTTCAATGGCCTCCTCGGCGGAAGAAGCAGTCGCCGCCGGCACACCTGTTGGTTCCTCTCCTTGCGGTGGTGCGTTCGCCACGGGAATTGTGCACACCGTCTCCCGCCTCTCCTTCCCACCTTTGCTCCCAACGGCAATACACGCCAACCGCCTCCCGCCGTCCACGGGCACCCAGTACGCCGGGCCGTCGGGGAAATCGGTATACCCATTCTCCCATGTCAGGGCCTCCCTGATCCGGGGATCCACGTTCGGCCGATCGAAGAAGTCAAAGTCGAGCTCGCCGCCGTACGCCTTGGGGATATTGCGCGGCTCGATGTACTCCTCCAGCTTGGTCTTGACCTCGCCCGCGCTCAAGATGAAGATCTTGGACACGGTGATGGGGTCGAACCAGCGCTTGATCCAACCCCAGACGGTGCTGAAGAAGTAAGGGGCGCCGATGATGAAAATGCGGTCGAGCGTCTCCGGGTAGTGGGCCGTGGCCAGCGTCGAGGCGGCCTGCATGTGGGCCTTCAGGTTCCAGAACATGCGCAGCGACACCTGCGAGACGTCGACGATGTTGGTGCTGAGCGTGATGGGCGCGCGCGCGTGCTCGCGGTCCGTCATCTCCGTGCAGAGCGGCTGCGCGAAGCGCGTGAGGTTCTCGTACAGCGCGAAGAGCCGCAGCAGCCGTTGCGGCGTGGAGCCGTCCGTCTGTGCCTTGCTGACGTTGGTGGACTCGGCCGATTTTTCGTAGGCCGAGACGGTTTTGGAGTCGAGGTGCCGGATCTGGAAGAGGTAGAGGGGAATGCCTCGCCTGTCTCGCCTGCCCGTCCACTGGGGATACTGTGCGGCGTGTCAGCGTCAGCGCGGATGCTCGTAGCCTCATTCTTCCAGCTCCCGGTGTCCCATACCAAACTCCTTGTCTGTTCATATGCGTCGACATCGATCGTGTCGTACAGCACCTCGAGCTGGTTTGCCTCCCGCCATTCCTCGGTGTCCTTGAACTGCCCGTAGGCGTCTTTGATGCTCCATTTCCGCGCCCGCAGGAAGCGTCTGTTATGCGTTGAGGAAGAAATTAAACAGTCAGCATCCCGCAGCGCATGAAAGCCGAATAGGACGCCGGACGAAGGACTTACAGCAACGTCCCGTCGTCGTGGGAAGGTTCCGGCCCGGACTTGTACAGGCCTTTCTCCTCCAGGTAGACCTTGAACGACCTGAGGCTATTCTCCTCGTCCTGGGTAAGGTAGCCCAGGTGGCCGTGCGGGTAGCCGATATCGTGGCCACCCACGCTCAGGATCCTGTCCGCTGGATGTGTTTCGCTCATGGTCGCGTCAGATCTGGCGCGGCGCAAGCGCGGGGTTGCTTATTAATAGCGCAAAAACCGCTGAAGGGGAGGGGATATGGACGGTCCGAGGTAGGGGCGCCTGGTTCGGCTGAGGTTGCAGCCAGAGAACACCGGCTAGCAAATGGCAGGCTGATTGATAGGTACCGCGCAGCTGCTGAGGAGAGCTTGTTGTGCCTGCAAGTTTTCTTCGGGGCACCGAGAGCCCGAGAATCCGCGCCGAAGCCCCGGCTCCGATGCTGCCGAAATGAGGTCAGAGCCCCACAGAATCCGCGACTGCAACGACCGTCAGCGCTAAGATATGCGATCTAACCCTGATTGGACAGAAGCATCCTGCAGGGCGTCAACAAGCTCCTCATACTAGTTCTTTAGGCAAAATGCATGCTAAATAATCAGAAAAGAGGTACAGTACAGAAGAAGAAAGCATAATGGGAAAAAAAGAAAAAAAAAAAAAAAAAAAAAAAAAGAGAGAGAGAGAGAGAGAGAGAAAGAGAGAAAAGGGAAAAGGAAGGAGAACTATATGTACAGACTTCTCTTTGCCAATCGAAACTACCTCACTTATTACCTGGCCAGATATACTTCAATCACACGCTCAAATATAGGCACCTGAGGCATCAATTCAGGAGCTTCAACATGCATAACAGTGTCATTTTCTGCTGGACAAGTACAGATCCTTTTTCCGTCTCTGCTCTCCCCACCAAAATATCGGAATCCCGAGACGCCGCTAGCCACATCAACCCGTTGCCTGCCTCCACACAGGGTCAGACTACGCATCGTCCTCTTCCTCTTCAGCGTCCTCGTCCTCTTCAGCGTCCTCGTCCTTATCCTCCTCGCCATTGGCCTCGCCAGCATCGGCATCCTCAATATCCGCAGGACCCTCCTTCTCCAACCGCAACCACTCCTCCCACTCAGGGAAAAGCTCCTCATCCTCACCCGGCACGGCCAGCGCCTTGGCAACCCGGCCCTTCTTGCTCTTCTCCAGACTCTCCTTCCACTGCGCAACCAGCCCCGCAGTCAAGCTGGGCTGGTACGTCTGTGAGAACAGCACCGCCTCAGCCAATCGCCCGGTCTTGACAAGGACGTCAATGCACCCGGGAACGTCGCCCAGCGACCATCTGCAGCTGAAGGCGACATTGTGCGCCCCCGCCTCCGAAGCCTGCTCGGCGAGCTTGGCTAAACCCTCACGGTCGCAGGTGGAAGTGTAGACGAGAAGGAGAGAGCCGAGGTCCTTTGCGTTGACGAAGCACTCCGTTGCGAGGGGAACATCCCAAGCCGCGAGACCGGCGTCGCCCAACGTCTTCCACTTGTGGTCTGAGTCGGCTTGCCGCGCCAGTTCCAGGGCAATATCGAGCTGGTTGAGCGAGAGCGCAAGATCGAACTTGTGCTCGGGGTCGGTGGCCACCTCAAGGGCGAGTTCCTTATGGCCTTGGCCCTCCAGGAACCTGGCGATCTTGTTGAGCTGGTCTTGCGGAATGCTGGCCAACAGTTCGGCGGCTGTTTCCATGTCCTCGCGGAGGACTAATGTCTGGTACTCCAAGACCGGGAGCGAGAGAGCGAATGAGGTGACGGAGAGATCCTTGTCAGTAAGGTAGACTCGGCTGTCGCGCTGGAGATAGCCGAGGATGTACATCGGCTTGTCAAAGTGGGCCACTGTGTACGTCTGATCCCCAACAAGATAGTTGAGGCGGTTGGTTCCGTTAGTGTAGATCAGGACGTCACCGAGCCATTCTGCGGAGCGGATGCTGCAACAACTGTTAGCGGAGCGTGAGCGTTATACAAAGTCAGCAGGCACCATACCCCTCATTGATATCGGTAACAACGTCAAACGCGGCCTCAACGCCGTCGTCCTCAACTAGGCCGGCCTGAACCGCCTCATTGTATGCTTCCCTCGAGAAGCGGAGGACGTAGCACGTATCCTCGCAAGCAAGCGCAACCAGCTCACCGCTTTCGCTCCAGTACACCTGCTTGGGCTCTACTTCAATGCGACGGACCAGACCCCCTGTTGCCCAGTCGTAGAATGAGATGCCTCCCTGGCCCTTGACGCCGAGAAGCACGCCGCCGGTGAGACCATCTGCAGCGAACGGAACATCAAGACCTCCTTTCTTTTCCTGGAAATTCTTGAAGACCTTGATGCTGGTTGCCGACTCCCGAATAGCAAAGTCGTTTGAGTTTTCTTTGGAAGCCCATACGAAGTCCAGGGCCTGGCCGAAGGCTTTGTTACGCCACGCGAGTGCGGTGTAGATGATGTACTCACCGTCACCGCAAATGGCAGCGAACCGTCCATTGGGAGAGTGAATGAGCGACTGGGGATAAACCTCGGCGGTGCCTAGCTCCTTTGTGGTCAGAGTGATCGGCTCATTATCCTTCGTGGCCTCGCCGCCCTTGATCACAGCGGATACAACCTCGTTATGGCGGGCCCAGATGATTTTGCCCGAGCCGTCCATGGAGACGGCAGGCTCCTCGCGACCCAACTTGATCACCACCGAGCCGTCGTCAAAGCCCACCGCGATGCCCTGCTTCCCCTTCTGGTAAGCCACACACCACGCTCTTTCCAGCCCATAGTTGAGAGATTGCTCAAAGCGGTATGTGTTGGCGTTCCATATCCTCACGGTGCCCTGAGATCAAGATCAGTATCAGACCCAGCAAACTCAGGCGACGGTATGCTTACATCTTCGGAGCCTGAAATGATGATCGGAAGCTCGGGGTGATAGCACGCGAAAGAGACATTGTTGGTATGGCCTTCCAGCGTGGCGATTAAGCTCTTGGTTGTGTAGTCCCACACTTTCACCGTGCGCTGAAATCCTTGTTAGCGGCTGGCAATGGCAAACTGCGCAGGATACCTTACGTCGTCTGAAGTGGTAAGGAGGTAAGGCTTGTCGCTATGAGGGTAGTAATCCACATGGTTGACGCCCTTGGTCTCGTGCGCTTCCAACTGGAAGTTAGGTGTGGACGACCCCAAGCTCCAGATTTTGACTGTTCCGGTGTTAGCTCAGCGGCGGATCCAAAGGCAATCAATGCGCGTACCTGTCCTGTCCAGGCAGGCCGAGGCAAAGGTATTTGTGTCCTTAGGGTTGATCGCCAGGGACATGACATAGTCTAACCGCTGTGTCAGCACACCTCCATTCCGAAAGCCACGGGATCAGCCTTCGACATACGCGAGTTGCCCTCAAATACCCTGACGTTCTTCCACCCCTTATCCCAATCCCAGAGCTTGATGGTCATATCATCACTAGCCGTGAGCACGAAGGGCTGTGTTGGGTGGACGGCGATCGCGCGGATGTAGTCGGGATGCGCCTCAAAAGACGTGATCTTCTCGCTCGTGTTGTAGTTGTAAACTCGGATTTGGCTGGCGGATACCGGTCAGTCATCCCCTTTCGCCCGACATCCCGGAGGTGTTGCCATACAAATCATCCGACCCGCAGACAATCCAGTTCTTGCGCGCAATGAAGCGACCGGCACGGACCGGGACATCTGTGAGCTCGAAGGTCTTGACGACCTGCTGGGTTTCGTAAGACCAGATATACACATGACCGCTGTAGAGAGTGGCTAAGCAGCTCGTTGTCAGGATTGCGTCGCTCTGTCGAGGGGATATAGGCAGTCATACTCAAGATCCATGGTTCCGTCGGGTGGAAGTCAATCCCTTTAACTCGCTGTTCGAGGCAGCGTTAGTGAGGAAAGTGGTGAGCTTGGACAGATCTGGCCGACATACCTCGGAGCGAGCAAAGAGCTGGCGCTGCACGTGGAAGGCCATGTTAGCAACAATGCGTAAAAGGTCGAACGCGAGACGACGTAGGTTCGATCAAGTAGGCGAGCAATGTGAGACAGCCAGCACAACACGAGATCGGACAAGCCGCATGTGCTGGCTTGTACCCAGGGCGCCTAGACCTTGTGGCCAGGGTGTCTGTCACGTCGCCCAACCGTCAAATCGAGACATGGAACCTGCCTTCACATCCAGCCTCATGTTGGGCAACAAGGCGAATCACAACCCCAGAAGAATTGTTGGTGCACAAGCGTTGAGCCCGGAGGTTTGGCGGGGTGGTGAACACGAACGATCGACGAGACTCGCAAAAGGGGGCCACGCGGAGCAATTGGCAGTCGGCCGCTCGAAGTCGTCACTGCGTCGTCGATAGTGAGCAACAGCTCCTGGATAAGTCGCGTCGATATTTTGAAGTCGAATCTCTCCGTGAGCTCGGCTGTTGGCATATATTAATGTCGAAGTGCCGGCCACGTATCGTGAGGTCTGAACACTTCAATTTCACCAATGTGGTCAATCGAGTTGTCGCAGGGTGGGAGTACAGGATTAGGTAATGTGTCTTGGCGCTTTGGCCTCAGGCTGAACCTGCAAGGGGATGTATCGAGCACGGGCCAAGTCTCCACCCAAAACTCTTGAAGTTCAAGGCTGGTGAGTCGCGACTCACGAGTCGTGCCAGATCTCAATGCCGTGTCTGCTGCCACAAATTCACAACAGGGAAATCGCAACTATTCGGCAGCAGTGTTAGGATCAAACAGTGATAGTAAGGGGCCAGCGGCTTGTGGGATTGAACACTCCATTGTTCGTCTATCCAGGTGAGCGTAGAACGCGAAAGCTACCGTTTATCTACTCCAGAGAGACCATGAATCCCAATCTATCATCCTTCCCATTCCCATGCTCGCATCTGTGTCTCCATCCCAAATGAACTTGGACCCTGAATCCGGAAAAAGACGAGTTAAACCAAAGTAAACGCCAGGACCATGCGCCTCCTCGCCGTCGCTACGTAACCAATCCACGTCCACCCCACTGGGGAGGTGCAGGCTAAATCCCAAAACGACCCGGAACCCCCGCATTGCCCAACGGAAACCAAACTGAAGAAATCACACCGTCAACTGCATGCGCTGCAGTACCACCTTACTCGGACATGGCGTCGGATTGGACTTTCTTAACGACCTCGACGACCTGGGGGAAGAGCTTATCGGTGGGTTGCAGACCGCAGACCTGGCGGACGACCTGCTCAGGTTCGTTCTTCGACATGATCTCGGCCAGTTGGAAGGACTCATCGTCGCCCTCGACGTTCTGGAAGCGGAACGCCATCTCGGCCGCGTCCAGCAGTGCACTGCAATCCTTGCCGTTCTCGGCCAGCTCGGCGGCCGGGCCGATGAAGCGCTCCTTGCGGCTAAGCTTGCGCAGCGGTGCGCGACCGACCCGCTCGACGGCATCCTCGAGATGCGGATTGCTGATGCGGCTGACGATCTTGTCAACGTACGCCTTCTGCTCCTCCTGCGGGATGCCGTGCTTCTCCGTGATAAGGTCGGCCGTGTTCGCGAGGGCCTTCTTCACTTCCTCGGCGATCTCGCGGTCCTTCAGCGCATCATAGACGGTGCTCTTCCGCCTGACGTAGCCGTGGTACGCGGCAGTGGCGTGGCCCGTGTTCACCGTGTACAGCTTGCGCTCGATGTAGGGCTGCAAATTGTCCACCCACTTGATGCCCTTGATGTCCGGTGGCGAGTGGTCGGCAAACGGGGTGCGGTCAACGACCCACTCGTAGAACTTCTCCAACTTCACATCCAGGCCGGCATCGGGATCTTGAGCCGGAACGATGCGGTCAATGGCCGAGTTGGCGAACCGCGCACGCTTGTCGTAATCAGCGAGCCGCTCAGGGTTTGTGTTCTCGGGCGCCTTGATGAATTCGGCAAGTGTGTCGGTGGCGCCGATAGCATTCTCGCAGGCAATGACGGCGACAGGTGTCAGATCCGTTGATCGCGCATTAATTCCCTTGGCGATGACCGGGGCAATAAACTTGAGGATGTGAGGGCCGACGGAGCAGGTAACTAGGTCGGCAGTGGCAATTTCCCGCACCAGCTCAGCTTCGTGTGTCCTTGAGTTGATGGCGCGGTAGTTTGTAATGGTTGTCTCCGACGTGCCGTCGGTCCCGACTTCAATCACCCGGTAGCTCTTCTGGGTGTTCAGCTTCGACACAGTTGTGTCGTTGACCTCCGAAAAGATGACCTCATAACCTGAGTTGTGAAGGAAACAGGCGACAAAACCGCGACCTGAGGAGAATTGAGTTAATCCCCCGCTCAACATAAATGTTATAATGCCGGTGTCCATAGTCAAATACACATACCGATGTTGCCAGCACCGAAGTGGACGGCCTTCTTTGGGCAATTCCTCGCCATCTCGATGAGGTGTGGTTGTAAATTGAAGAATGGAAGTTCTGGAATGGTAGGAGCGGATTGATAACCGCTTTTAGGTGTGTGTATGTTGAGGCTGTGTGTTGTTTGCGGTGTTGCCACAAAGGTGCTTTGACTTGGATGGCAGAAGGTGGAAAAGCGAGTAACTTGTTTGGGGAACAGGAAGAAAGAACCGCAAGACGTCGGTGGGAGAATCCATTTGCTTTATACAGTGGGAGGTCACGATACTGGATGCCATGTTGCCTTACTTTTGGTCTGAACTTGGGTTGCCCTTGAGTGCTGGACCATGTGGCGGTTCGATAGGACCCTTCATCGATGACGGTGGGCCGGCGGTTCCAGCGTTGCAGTGGCTAATAAACGGAAGGATGCATGGGTTTTCGGCAGCATTTTGGGACGGCTCCACCACAGCCAAACCTGAAGTGCCCCACCTTTCTGCGACCAAACGCGAGCGACCCACACTTCCGTTTTGTTGATCGAAGCGACGGGCAACTTGAACTCGGACGCGGCGCCCGGCCTCCCTTATCAGGCTACTGTGTACAAGGGGAATGCAGCCGGCCTGGCTGTACTGTATCGTATAGTACTTGAAACTGTGTAGGTATGCACCCTCACCGCTGAGCATGAAACACCCGCTGGCCGCAACTGCCCTTAGGGCCGCGAGGCCAAAAGCATACCTATCCAGGGGTAGTTTGCGGCCGTTATTAGGGATCTCATGAGACCGGTCATGAATGCCCACACCTTTCACCTGACGGCGACCCATAGTGCCGGACCCCAATCGGACGCAGGTCACTCTTCGGTGCTTCGAGCGCTTCTGAGAAATGACGGTCGTCCCAGCATCTGAAGACCTACGTGTGTCAACATTACCGGCCTGCCGTCCAATCCGTATTCAGCGATTGCGTTGCTTTGGGGCCTTTGGTCCGCTGCAGGCGGTGAATGCGTGGTGTAATCGTGTAATCGTCACAATCTGTGTCGGTGAGATGCAGTGATATGCAAGGCGCCATCATAGGTACGGTACAATACCGAAGCGGCGGCAACTTCAGGGTCCAACCCGATGCAGCAGCTCCCCGAAGATGGCCATTGGGTGCAGTAAGAGGAGGATCTCTTATCGTTATCTTCCTTCCCAGCCCTCGTCTTGAAATTTGAAGCACCTGGGTGTCCCGGGACGCCAGCAATCAGAAATCAGTTGACTGTCATTTGGTATGAAGCTACCGACGTGGGCAAATGCTTCAGTTCGCTCATAACGAGCCGCCATTTCGCCACCACAACAACGTACGGTACGTGTGTACTGGTATGTCGTGGGCGGCCGCTGACCACTCCACCATCAGGACGGCGATCCGTAACCGAAACGGGGAAAAGTGACGTCGAGCACCTGCAACTCACGATAGTTGTGCTGAGTCCAGGTTCAACGCCGTGACGCTGCGCTGACGATCTTTGCCACCGTGCCACTGTGAAGTAAATGAACGTGTCGTCAGACAAATACCCCTCCAGTCCCCGGGCCGACCAAGGTTCTCATGCGATGTCTCCGACGTCACGATTAGAAATACGGGTTTACACCAGGGTCGAAGCAACACATCCAGGCTTGCGTTGTTCGTTCACCCTTGACAACTACCCAGGAATTGCATCTTACCCAATGGGAATCACTATACCGTACATTACAGCAAGCAGATGCTACACACACGCGTAGGATGACTCTTTGTCAACGATGCCCTATCCTGCATCACAATGGTGATTCGGACTTGGACCCTTGACGGAGCAACTGACCGCGGAGACCCACTATGACGTAGCCTCCTGCCCATGCAGCGGCGGGTGGATTGCAACAACCGCAGCGGCAAGGGCCAACTTCATTCGACCAGTGGCTGAATTACCTTAGGTAAGCGGGATTTTCAGGGCTGTTGCTCGATTAAGATCCATCACCAGTGCACCAACACCAGCCTCTTGTCAACAGAACGCGCGATCTCTCGAAATTTCCTCGTTTCCGCAATTCGACGCGTTACGTGGCCTTAAACGACCCCTGCCAACCGGTCTCCTTCGCGAGCGCTCACCGTTTACATACTGTGCGATCAAGACAGGGCAATGGCCGGCCGGTCCAGGGTCGTTTCATGTTGAGGCATGTTTCTTCTATTTTCTTTTGGCTGTCACCCTGTCGTGGGAGACCAAGCGGCCGCCACGAGTCACGACGGACTGGCCGGCCACGACCATCGCCGTGACAGGATATTGTCCGGCAGAGGAGCGGGAGTTTGCTTTGTGTTGACCGGGGCCGAAAGACGAATCTTCGACGGCAGCAGCGGCATTATCGAAACCCCGAAAGGCCCAACCAGTCCATTATTGCCCCTCGACGGTACCGCCGCCGGAACCTTAGACCGGTCTCGGGCCGCTGCTGACACCTATCCTGCCATGGAATCGCTAAACACCGAGACACTTCCTTCGTCATGGCTCCCTCCATACACACCAATCCCGTTTTCCCAATCACAGCTCAGGCAATCTTGCAGCCTTGCTCCCTTTCTGCCTGCCCACCTTATGCAGAGGTAGACTTCGGCCGCCCCTCTGATGGTGATAGCGGAACCAGGCAACTACACAGCACACATCACACAGTATGCAATACACTGGGGCCTTGCCCTTTGTGTTGATCCCAAAGCCCCTCAACCCCGGCCTTCTTGCATGCAAGTGCTGCCGCCCCGCTCCACCCGGTTTTTTGCATTCACTTGCGACGTTGCTTCACTTGTCCCGCTTCTCGCGCCCTGAAGCGAATCTTACAATTCCGATCCCAAGCTCTTCACGCAGGGAAGCGCGCCAAAGCACCGAAGATCTATTCCCAATGTTCATGCCTTGCAGCATCATCGTCCGATTTTCTTAACGGCACATGCTGGGTGCTATCGCCCCCGCTCTGAACCCTGCTCAGAGCTACACTAGGCCCTGATAGTTAACCGATCAAGGCATTCAAGCTTACCAAATTCACATGTCGCAGATCCAATTGGGATTCCAGTTCGCCAAAATCTGGAGTGACAGCAATCTCCAGTGTATGTACCAGCCCGGTTGAAGGCGAATCGGCCCGCGCCCTCTGCATCTCTTGACTTTCGACGTGAGACACAGATTACGGACCGAAAGACCCTCGTCCTCGTCACTCTCCAGATAGTACCGCCTCTCATTAGCGAGCGTTTTCGTCCGTCTCAAGTGCCTTATTGCAAGCGCCGGTTTCACCCGACGCCCGCATTCTGCTCGCATTTGATGCTGCCGCCTAATCACCATCTTATATGAGCAAGCACCAAAGGACTGCTGAGGGTCCCCCGGATATTCGCATCCGTTGCTCAACACAGCTTTGTAGGGACACGGTGTGCGTGAGTGGCTGAAGATACCTGTGCCCGCGATCCAGCTCACCAGCTGCTGTGATACTGCCATTGCGCTCTACTCAGCAAATCTACGGGCTCGACCTCACAAGGCGGTTGAAACCAAAACCACACTGTCGTCAACTGGTTCGGCCGTCTTAAGATTCCGAGCGAGATCATGGAATCTCCACCGGCGGAGATGCCATCTGAGAGATCTGCTCGGAACTACCCGGATCCCGGGTGGCTTCTGGTCAAACATCCGCGACTGAGCATGACGCCTGCCAGCGCTACATGTGTTTTTTTTAGGCCGAGTATCTAGGGCAACGCACGGGTTCCTGTTGGGTGTCGGTATGTTTCTTGACTGTACTAACGAGCATATTATGTTGGTGAGGGTATCCCAGTTTCCCCTCAACAGAAGGTGACGTGTCAGCTCAACCCCTTTCCCGTTCATTTTGCATCCTCCCTTCAACCCGGAGCAACTTGCAAAGACGTCCCCTCGCGAGTAGAACGCAATACGGCACATTAAATGGCATTGTGGATGGAAGACAACGTTATGCTGGCCAAGTTCTTGCGCCCCGCCCGAGATTCCAGGGCGGCCGCGCCGCAAGTGGTTTGGTCACGGCAGGCAGAGAGGCAAACTGCACAATATGGTCAAAAGACGTAGTGTGCAAGTGGAATCACGGTTTCTATCCAGCAACATCCCGTAACTAATCTGTACCAGGACACAGGCGGGAACTTTGATATGCCGTACACTGTAGCCACGGAGTCGTTCGGCCTTTTGCATACACCGGCGGGACTGGCAATGTTGTCTGTACCGCCTGGAGGAGGCCTCTATCGCACAACAATTTCCGCTCAGGTTTCAGGGTCCTTTAGGCCATACAACACGCAGGCATGTTTGTCCGTGGGGTGGGTACCGCCGAACCGGACATGGAGCCAATCACGGCGCCGGAAGTCGGGCTGCCAAGCCCGCCGATGGATTGGCCGGCGCCGGGTGGAGCTGCGGGATCCGCTCTACCGTTTCTGAAGGTGCCGATCCATCCAGCAGTGAGAAGGCACTTGCACTGGGGTGTTTCGGATAAGACGGCAACTTCCCTTTTCTTTCTGGTTGCGCGAGTTTGAGGGACAACCATGCATATAGCCGACTGCCACATGTACGGATTGCGGAAGGCACTTGCGGACGGCGTGTCGGAGGGCGGGGGATGTGCTGCACGTGTGTGTGCCTTGGTTGCGAATTGCGGAAGCACATGCTGTTTGTGTGATGCGGGGTCCTCTTGCACAGTATGGCCGCCGAAGGGGAGGGGGCAGGTTTGACCCCTACAATCGGCGCAGTTGATACTACTCTCAGTATGTTTGGGTGCTGCTCAGAAAGGGCCTTGTCACACGGGGCCGATGTTGATCTTCGAGGGTCCTAGAGGGGCTTGTGATTGTGGGGCACGCTACGATGCTGGAGGTTAGTGTACGTGCCTGTTGGGTTCGAGTTTGAGGACATGCTTCGAGTCAGTCCCAAAACAAGGCAGGTTCGGCTGACAGGAGAGAAGAATCTGGGGAAACGGGAAACTACCCCAGGGATCGGCATGAGCCAACTCTGTGGCATGGCGATCAAGTCTTTTGTGGAGCGCTTTTCGAACTCCTGGGAGCTTTGGACAGAGACAGTCAGGATGAGCGGGCGAGAGGCAAAGAGAGGTTTGGATCCGCGCTGTAAGCCAATCTTTATCGTTGACATATCGGCGGTGGCGTCCAGCATGTCACTGCACCCTCCACTAGTACCGTAGTGTTTCGAGAGTGATACCACTTTGGTCCTTGGACTTTCCACATTGCGATATGCATCAGGTCGTTTCTTCCCGTATCCTACGATCAATAGCTGCTGCATGTCCATCAGACCGGAGGCTTTCCTCAACACAGGCCCGTGGATAAAGGATCGAACGACCGGTTTCACTGAATACGGTCTCGTATCCGGACGGCGTCAACACAGGTTGAAATCCATGGTTTTGAAGGGTCTTCCTTAGGTGGTGGAAGCTCCTGTCGTTCCAGAGCTTGCTAGACAACCAAGGTAAGCTGGCTTTGGCTATTCCCAACATCTAGCCATTCCCATCTAAACAGCAGTGTAGCCCGTGCTGAGAGCCCCTGGTCCAGATGAATACAGCGAGTCTCGCTCTGCTTGACATGAGCAGGCCAGCTCCATGTAACCATTTTTGCTAGAAGAGCACCTGTTCCAGTTCACTCCGAATCGCTCCTGCAGCAATGGTTTGCAGTACAATTTGAGCCGTCTCTTCAAAGGCTATCGGGTTCCAGGGCCGGCGGAATCTGCCGGTTTCCGAGTAGACGTTGAATTGGTGCATTTTTATTACTTCTGAGAATGTTCTCCTAGTCCGAATTGAAATCCATTCCTGAAAGTAGCTAGCTATTCACTTTCGCGGCAGCAGGCTGGGATCAGATACGTGATCCTTGGTAAAACCTAGGAGTATGTAACACACTGGTCGCGATCAACTCTCCCAGGCAAGCTTTGCGCTAGAGTGGGCTTGCTGGTCATTTTCGTCGACCTGCTGGGTGAGGTCATACTCGCCTCTAAATTGTGGCATGGCGGATTTTAGAAAGTCGACTAAGGAGATCCTGACGCTAAAGGCTGGTATCTTTCAAATTAACTTATCAACCTGCCCTGGAAGCCTCCATTCCGCATTAGTCGGCGAGGACCTGAATGTGAACTCAACTAGCGGCTCTCCTCCTCTAATATACATGACAGAGCGATGTAGCCGCGGCGACTGGAGATGAGTCCATGGCTTTTATGCAGCTAGTTGCCTTCGATACTAGCAATCCTAACACAGTGAAGGTGGTTTAGGTATCATTTTCTCCGTACCATGTGCAGTACGGACCACTCTGTACAGATAAGCGGGCATGTGCCAACCTTTATAAAATCTAAAGAGTACCTTACCTTATGGATGGAAGCTGTAAACCCAACCTGCGTGAATCCCCGGGCGATTATTGTTCTGTCCGATGGGCGCACCTCCGGTATTGATGAATAGAAATATGACTGTTGAGAGGGCACTAGACAGTCCGCTTTGATGCACATGTAAGCTTACCTTGCTATACATTACAGGATGAGGAAATTATCGATGTCTGGGGCTCTCATCACCGTATGTACCTTATAAGCTGAAACGAGATCCACAATGTAGTTCATTTTTATGAGGTTGGCGGGAGTTTGGTTGAGGTTCAGACCCGTGCGGGAACTGAGCGCTGCCTGCCTAAGGTAGTGGGAGAGGCAGACGAGGAGGCAGGAGGGCAGGGGCCGGAGTGATACGACCGGATAATCCTCGCACGTGTCCAGATTATCAGCTTGGTTCCGTAATTTGTTTCTCTCAGGGGAATCCGGGGTATGAGTCTGGCATAGGAGTTGAACCTCGGTAGAGGCCCCACAAGATGAGTCGGGAGTAAGTACTTTCGATGGCAGCTTCAGGCACTGCCAAAATGCCCTATAGGGAGAGTGGCTGACTAGCCAGTGCCCGCGCCATCATTTCCTTTTTCCCATTTTCTCTTTTTGTAATTGACTTTTACTTCTTCTTTTTCTGTTTTAACTTTTTGCTCTCTACGGGGTTGCCACAAAGACCAGGGCGCCCCGGCTTCGCAGCTCGCTTTCCCCTGCTTTCGCCCGAGGACACTGCCGTTATGCTTCTATAACTGCTCCCCGACCACTTTCGGCTTCAGACCCTGCAAATCCCTGCTTCTCCGCGGCTCTCCCTCCCCTCTTGCTATCGATGAGCTAAGACCTCATCCTCGTGGCATAGGGACTAGCAGGTAGTTAGTGGTAGTACATGTACTGTATCATCATATCATATCGCTTTGACTGGTGAATATGGCCATGTCGCGGTGCTGTCGTAATCTACATCTTCTATCCAGACCCATCCGAAGCAGCACCAATGTGCGAGCTGCTTCGCCAAGTATTCGGTCACTGCCACAACAGCACCACCCAGCGTGGTTCGCCCAGCACCTAACCCGCCTCCCCTCCCGACTTAGGGGCGATTTTCAAGTGGAACATCATACTCCTCAATGACAAGGACTTCCTCACATTGACATGGCCATTCCCCGCACATCGACCGTTGTTGCTGAGAAGTCCGATCGCATGACGCGGATTGGCGGCAAACGCTATTGCAACATATACCACCTCTATAGGGCTTGTCTAGAGCCCTACAGTAATGGCTATGTGCACGATGACCTCACTGCTGTGGAGAAGTTGGTGATGCATCACAGGCTCCGCGCCCAAAGGTACATCGCTGTGCTTTTTCAGGGCAGGAGAAGCAGTGCGATTTCCCCATGGGCCATGCATGGTGTAAACACAGCAAGCTGGAGGGCTGTGGAGACTCCTTTGGCGGTTTGAGTTGATGACCGACATGACAACACAACGGAAGTGAGCAAAACGCCTTGAGTTCCTTAGGGTACTTCGACTTTAGAAGCACCTCAGTTCGCTACCTTAGGGAAGCCATACGGGACAGTCTAGGTGAAGGGGGCTGGGCTCAGGATTGATTGTGGAATCAGCCCTCACTGGCTAGTACGAGTAACAACTATTCTGCAGTATTCCGAATTGAGGTAATACTTAGCGGATCATTCGTATATTAGTGGCGTCCTGTAGTAGTATTTTCTCTGTGCCGTTCCCCAACACGACTCACGAGGGGTTAGGGTTCCGCAAGGGAGATGGCAATGATCAATCACCGCCAACGCATTTGCTTCAAATCGAGATAGTAGGTTCGGGTCAGGAACATTATATGTAACTCATGCTGGTTCTCTTGATTTGCAACTGTGTAATTCGCAGTAACACTATCGACAATATGGAACCGCAGCAAGCTGTCTGGTGCCCGGATACTGTGTAAGTGAGATGATTACATAATCCATGAACGACATACCTACCATCACCAGGTCCAGACCCCCTGACACAGAACTTGAAAATATCTCGAAATTGGAAACAGGCTTACTCGTTATTGCAGATACGTATGTTTCTAACTGTGAGTTACTTCTTCTCTCATTCAGGACTGCCAAATCACCTCAGCTGGGAGGCATGGGAAGAAGAACATGGTGTCTGCCGGGAAGATTGCAACTTTGCCGTATCGAGATGTTCACATATGATCGCTACATACAAGTCCTTGAACTGATATACCCTAATTTCTCATAGGTGTAGCCGTGGGTCACTCCTCAACGTTAGGGATATGCGATAAATACTACCTAAGGTAGGTAGATAATAGAGTGAGGTAACCTACCTAACCTGGGCAACCACCTCACCACAACGACTAGGCTCGCCTTCCAGCACTCCGATCAGACATGTCAGAAGTTCCGAGGCAGAGTGGTATTAAGAACTTCTGCTCCGGTAGGGGCAGACCGTATCTGCTGTTGTTGCGGGCTTTGGTGAGTCGGCTGGAGGTGGGGCTGCTAAGGTTGGAGTGAGTGAGTGACTGGGGCTCTGCAGGCGTGTCCTGCCGCTTTGGGCGAAGTACAGGGGCCGCACTAGGCCACCCCCAAATTTGATGACCCTCCCCGGCAAAGCAGACACACCTCGCTCGCGGTTATAACGCTGAGGCATCGGCCCATGGGAGCACAGGAAGATTACAGAGTTGATTGGCTGGGAAGAGAGAGCTTTCCCTCGAGCTTGCAGGTATAAATCCAGTTCTCTCGCTTTTTTTACACTCTCCGTCCCTTCTATCTCCTCAATATCACTCCCTCCCATGACTGCCCCGGGACGTCCATAAGCATCTCCCCTCCCCATCCAAAGCCACCCCCCCATCCCACCCCGTCGTTCTCGCCAAGACATATCGTCTTACGGCATCAACATCGACATTTTTCCTGGCGTGCCGACCCTCTGCATCACCACCACCGGTACCATGGAGTTGACCCCACCACCACAACACCCCCAAACATGGCCACAGACTTCTGTGAGCCAGGTTGAACACATTATCAACCTTTTAAGGCGCCGTCGACTAGGCGACGCCTTCGAAGCTCTTCTGGACCTTGGCGATGAGATGCATGATATGGACGACCAGGGATATGTCATCGGCGACCTGCACAATGTAGACCGCCTAATGTCAGCTATCGTGCAACGTTCCGCATATGGCGTCTACGCGGCCGTCGACAGAGCAATCCACACACTGCTTCTCACCGCGATCCGTAGCTGCGAGGCTCAGAGAGCAAGCCTCACGATACAGCCACTGGCCCACGAGAGGCTGGGATGGCTGTCACCGGCGCAGTCCGAGAACAACGCGCATCTGGAATGTTACCGGAACTTTGCCGGCTACATCAGCAGCCACCCCGCCTCGTCCTGCCAGGCACCGGCGGCACCCAGTGGCGACCGAAGCTTGGAAGCAGCAACGGAGCTCCTGCAAAGGCTATGTCCGAGGGTCAACGGCCTATGCAGATGGACATATACGGCGATGACTCGGACGGATGTGATGGTGCCCAGCGGGACCCGGGACCGGCGGCGGCGCAGTAGTGGCTGCAAAAGCGATGGCGCACCGGGGATCGCAACAGCAAGACGGTCATCCCCTCGCTTCCGCAAAGCCACTACAGGCGTGATGATGGCAACCCCCCCGACACAAAGCGGGGATGTCTGTCTCGCTGATGCTCTCACGGTCCCGACCATACCATTGCGACGTCCCTCGACGCCGCGCGTCGGCGTCGCCCCGCTCACTCCCCTTTCCGGTTCTCCATCGAATATGATTGTGAAGCAAGAGGAGGATGTCTGGCTGTTGTAGACTGTTGACAGGCTGCGGAAGAGGCGGCAGAGTGGGTGAGGAGTTTGTCCCACACCGTGGATAAATCCTTATTTTAACAGACTTGATGATTAGATTTTGAGATGGAAGAACTGAGGTTGAGAAGCTGGTGGGTCAGTGCAGAAACGGCCCCACATTCACTTGTCGCATTCGGCCACTTTATCCCCGGCACTTATCCGTATTAAGTTAATTACCTCCAGTGTTTGCACAGTCAGACTACCACGTAGCCGCACGGCCGTTTTTCTTCCAAGTTCAAAGACTGCAAGTGGTGATACCATGTAACCATGCAGCCTTCATGTGCCTTACTGTACCATATTCACGGTATCTACAGACCCTCCCCAAGAAGCTCGATCTCGGATGCAAAGCAAGCAGAGTCCAGAGAGCTCGGCCCGGACGCCGGAGTATAAGTTCACGTTGGTTACTGGTATCATCAGCTTGAAAAATCAGCTTGGACACGGATAGAACTGCATTGGAGCAGTAGGTAAGGAACATTGACAAAACTAGACTCAATAATAGGTAAGTCAACAGCAAATGATAGCGCCGGTTGCTTTATGGTAGAGTTATTTGGTCCGTAACTGCTAACGTACATTATCAGCGAGCGGGACATATCAGCGAGCGGGACATATCAGCGAGCGGGACATATCAGCGAGCGGGACACTAAGTTTTTGGCACAACGCGTCCTTCCTCATCTACCTCTAACAACGCGTTTTTCCTACAACTAAAGATGTCTTCCACTTCAAAGGAAGCTAGGGTAACCTTGGCCCTCAAAGCTCTTGAAAATGATATAGAACTAAGCCTTCGAGCCGCGGCCAAGCTCTATAACGTGCCAGTTTCAACCCTCGGCTACCGACGTACCGGCCGGCCTATACGATGCGATCTTCCAGCCAATTCGAAGAAGCTTACCCAATCTAAAGAGGAGGCTATTGTTCAATATATTATTGAGCTATCTATATAAGCTTTTCCGCCAAGACTATATGGTGTAGAAGATATAGCCAACCAACTGCTATGCGTATATAATGCGCCCCCTGTCGGCAAGCTCTGGGCATATCGGTTTGTCAAACGCCAGCCAGAGCTCTATATATGTTATTCGCGAAGATACGATTACCAGAGGGCAAAGTGCGAGGATCCGAAGGTCATTGGCGAGTGGTTTGCCCTTGTACGGAATATTAAGGCCAAGTACAGTATCGTAGATGACGATATCTATAACTTCGACGAGACTAGGTTTATAATAGGCATTATCTTCCCGGGTATGGTGGTTACAACCTCGGATGGCCGTAGCAAGGCGAAGCTAGCCTAGCCTGGCAACTGTAAATGGGCGACGGTGATCTAAGGCGTTAATGCCCTTGACTAGGCTATCCCTCTGTTTATTATCTTAGCAGCGCAGTTCTACCTCGCTAACTGGTATACTGAGTGCAACCTCCTAGCCAACTGGCGCATTGCAACTACCGAAAATGGCTGGATTACCAATACGGTAGGCCTTGATTAGATCAAGCACTTCGACTACCATATAGCGCCTCGGACAAAGGGCAAATACCGGTTATTGATCCTCGATGGCCACGAAAGCCACTATTCAACCAAGTTCGAGCTCTACTGCCAGTAGAACAATATTATCACGCTCTATATACCTCCATATTCCTCCTACCTCCTCTAGCTACTTGATGTTGGCTGCTTTAGGCCGTTAAAGCAGGCGTACGGTCGCCAGATCGAGGACTTAATACGCGTATATATCAACCATATAAGCAAGCTCGAGTTCCTTTGTACCTTTCGTACGGCCTTCTTTGCCTCTATCACCAAGAGGAATATCCAGGGCGGTTTTGCAGGGGCTGGCCTTATGCCGTACAATCCAGAGAGGGTACTTTCGAAGCTAGATATCAAGCTTCGTACACTAACACCCCTAATCTTACGGCCAGGTACTATACAATCTTAGGTCTTCCAGACACCATACAACCCCCGAGAAGCCAACTTACAGTCAACGCTCATCAAGACTTGTATTGCCAACCATCAAAATAGCTCCCCGACTTCGATGTTAGCTGCTATGGACTAGCTTACCAAGGGTACGATAGCTATAATGCACCAGGTGGCCCTCCTTCAGGCAGAGGTGTCTTCGCTCTGCAAGGCCAACGAGGCGCTAAGCAAGCGCCGGAGAGCCAAAAAAAACACGTGTACGGCTTGGAGGATCACTTACTATGCAGGAGGCATAGGAGGTAGCAGGCCATGGGGCTATAGGTGGGGAGGCAATGCAAGAAACACAGCTGGATGGTAGTGGTACTGGGGGGGGTCGTACGAAGGTTCGGTGCTATGGTGTATGCGGCAAGCCTGGTCATAATGCCCGCACTTGCCAGGAGGGTGCAGAAGGGTCTGATTCATCTGTTTCTGATGTAATTGTAGTTGGTTCTTAGTGTTGTTGCATTGCAATTGAGATTAGTTGTTATAGAGTAGTGGAGAGTGTCCCGCTCGCTGATATGTCCCGCTCGCTGATAATGTACGTTAGTCGTAGTATCCGAAAGGAGACACGAATGAAAATCGTTCCGCTACGACCAAAACATACGGTACTCAAGCTTCTGCAATCAAAGTTGGACGGGACTATGTCCCTGTGGCAGCATTACGAGATATATCAAAGGCGGTTGGAAGGTGGCGTGCATGTTGCAGCTTGCTGGGTGCCTGAGATGCGTGGGTATATGTTTATATGTGTTGCTCAAGCTCGCGTCGTGTACTCATGACGTTAAATACTACAGCTAGGCGAGTAGACAAACGGGAATGTTTAGCTTAGGTATGGCGAGTTCTTGTGGATCCGAAGGGGGCCATTGGTACCTATGAGCTTGTCGTTGACCGCGGTAAAGTAGACCTTCTTGATGGCAAGCTGTCTTAGTGGCGACGGATACCGGAGACGTTCCGTTCTTTCCCCATCCCTACGTCTACCTTCTCGCTCCGACTCTCTTGCCAGCGTCGAGGTCTGAGTATGACGAATGGGGGCTTTAACGAGCTCCTCCTTTCGTGGCGTCGTGGCACAAACGCGTCTCCGCAGTCGCCGCCGCCGGTTTTCATTGACGGCACCGGCGACCTCACCCTTAGGCTCCACGTCGGGCCGGTCCTTGTTTGGCACAGCGAGCTCCATCTTGGCTCTGACAGCTTTGTGGAGCATCGGTAAGTCAATCTCCCGAGCCTTCAAACAGCAGTTCGGCACTGAATGGCTCGCAAATGCACTTACATATTTATCTATGGCTTCTTTATGCTCACTTTTTGAAACCCGCCCTCGAGTCCTTCGACACGGTCACGTCGTAATTCGCGATCACTACCAGCGTATCCAAACGGATCGACACACATACGTCGGACTGTCGCTAGTAGGGCCACTACCTTGTCAATGGCAGTGATATCGCCGACATGGCCACGACTAACACTGCTATGGTAAGGGACTAGCGGACATTCACGGTAATCATCGGGGATTGATTGCCCCATCTCGCTGGAAAGCGGACATCGCAGGGAGTCTCATCTATTGAGCCAGCTCCACCTTTGATCCCAACAACGCCGTACATGTCGCATATGGACTTGGAAGCGGAGTACGACTTGCGTGTTTACTAGCAGACCTCCCGACCCAGAAACCGGCGTCTCTAGGATAATCTGGTCTAGGAGGTCGACTATGTTGCAGTCCCAGGGTATTCCTCCAGACTTGGACGTGAATTGAGACGCTGTTGGGGTACATCGACTCACCATGATTCAATGACCTCCCCGGCCTCTTTTATAAGCGAGCCGATTCCATGGTGGGGCACGGTTGTGTTTACGATCGAAGTCACGGTCGCGGGTGTGGCAAACGGGCCCTCAAACCATGCTCAACATCTTTCCCGCTGCACGGTCATCCCTAGGAAAGCTCGAGACGTCGACTCAAGTGTTCAACTTCTGTGGGACACCATCAGGCGTGCGTTTGATGCCCGTGATTTCTACCCCAATCACTGGCAAACCCTCCGTCCTAATGAGTGCAACTTCGGGATCGGCAGGGTATTATTCCTACAAGAGCTCTTCAAGACGTAGGGCATCAACCTAACCGGGAACACTGAGACGGTAGGATCATGCTTAACAGCGCATAGCTTTCTTGAAATCTTGCGGCACCACAATCACAAATGATTGCAATGACAGATAGGTTTGCGACTTTTGATCAGGCTCCAAACGACCCTTTCATTTCGCCCTAAAAAGACAAGAAACTCCCTTGACCAGCCAGTCGAACCCATCGCTCAATCACCACTAGAAGTACAAAGTGCACAACCCTACGCCGGAGACTGAAATCCCGATTTGCGCATTGTCGTTCTTTTTCGAGTTATGAAACTGAAAAAGCAACATCCATCCTTTTACTCGGCGTCGTCACTGCCACCGCTGGCCTTGCCGCCCTTGCGGCCTGCCTCCCGGGCACGCTCGCTGCCGGGCTCGAAGCTGCCGGACGAAGCCTGGCCGCCCTTGGAGGCGATCTCGCGCTGTTGGGGAGTGTGTCGTCAGCACGCTAGCCTTGTGTGCCCAGGGGGAAGGAAAGAGCTCTTGGTGGGTGTGGTTTGGGAGCGCGTTTTAGGCGGTGGAAAGGGGATGCGGCATACCTGCTTCTCAGGGTCCATGTTGGCGAAGCCGCCGCTGTGGCTGGCCTGGCCGCCCTTGGAAGCGATCTCACGAACCTCGTCCTGCGAAATGTTAGGGTCATCGAGCAAGTGGAATGGTTTGATTTCAATCGTACGAACCTTGGGGCGGTTGGCAAAGTTGCCGGGGTTGGTGTTCTGAGTGCCGGACATGGTGATTGTTTATTTTGTGAAGGTTCTTGCTTGACGTTAAGAACTTTGTTTGTTCGAGTTTGAGTGCGATTGGATTTCGTTGAGTGTGTTGTGATGGAGAGAAAAAAGAATTGCGGTTGAAGTCGGTGGGAAGAGTCCCTTATATGCTCGATCTGGGCCTCAACGCAAACACCGATGCAATTGTGTTGAACGGGTCACTCCTTCCTTCACCAAGGTGTAGCAGCTCGTCATGATGTAAGGGATGATGTCATATCAATTGCTTTCAGTGCAAGCAGATCAGAACATGCATGGAATGATGCCTACGCTATTTCTTTTTTCCTTTCCCCAAACAACGGGTGAGACTGCTGATCGCCGATCCGAAGCGATGATTGTGTGCTTGTTGATGCCAAGACCCGGACACCATGACATCTACCGGACCCACCTCCCGTGCAGCCCCTGGACCTAAGACGTCACAATGAGGGGAAGTTGGTTGTTGATGACACTGAGGATTGGAGTCAAGACGGTTTGCATCGTTCTTGCTTGACGATGGGAGTGCAAACGAATCGCCTCCGCTGCCCTGACTACTGCGTCTCGTCGCTATTTATTCGCTGGTTCACCGCCTCCTTACTCATCACTCTCCAAGCGTCTTGTGCCTATCGACGATCACGGCACGGACTCCACAGCCCGCCGGGGCTCAGAACAAATAAAGTGTCGTCATGGCCTCGAAGGTTCCATCATCCTGGGTATGCGCATACAGTAGGGCTAATCCATGGCCAAGTAAGGCGCCAGACGCATGGCAAGTGACATTATGCTTGATACTTCATCCAATAGAGTAACAGACCATGACCTCTAGTTCGTCTTCAATCATTACTCACAAACCTAGACTGATGTTGGCTCTTTCTCTTTCAGTTCCATGAATTCAGGCGTTCGTATCGGAGACCGAGTTGTATGAATCATATTGTGAATGCTGTACCATTGACTTCAACATCCGGAGTATCACTGACACTTGGGGCACCACCTTTAAGAACGCGGTCTGTTCAGCTAGCCTTGTTTCCGGACAATAGAGGTCATGTGGAACGTATCCGGGTCCCCAACCCAGATATCACCGCAACCTAGAGCTGTGCTGGGGTTGCTGCTTCACGTCTCCACCCGATAGACCCCCGTGCAGAGAACCATACGATGCAGTTTGTCGATGCAGTGTCTCGGCGAGCAGCCGCACGTAGAGACGCGCTGTTGAGGAGGACACTCATCGACATGGAGTACAGGTGTTGAATGGCGTGGATTGTTTGTCGGCTCTGCTCTTGATTCCGACGACTTGTTCGACGGAGGTATGGGTCGACTTCTACGCCTTGATGAGCTCCCAAACAACGGACCTGTCTTGAGCCTGCCCGAGCAAGGACCCGGCCCAAGTTGTGCGGCAAATTGATCCCGGATCACGAAGCCTGGAATGTTTATCAATAGTGGACCACCCGGAAAGGGAGACCCTGAGCAAATGCGTCGAGCATGAAGGCCAATTGTGGCATCTGACTGGGTGCAGGCAAGACAGCTAGTGTTGTTAGAGTCGAGCATGAAGGCCAATTGTGGCATCTGACTGGATGCAGGCAAGACAGCTAGTGTCGTTAGAGCCACCAGGAAGAAGATGGCGGGCTGTATCGTCGCCCCGGGCCGCAATACGAAGCCGATCGACCATGTTTGATTACCTGTCGCAAAGTTGTCCCGCCTACCGCGTGAATCATTCACGAATGCGAGACTTGTCGTTGTCGCGCTCTGAGGACAATGTAATGGTGGTCGCATCTCTGATTCGTTTCGTGTTGAGTCGACGAACTGGCTCTGCTCGGCCAAAAGTTCGCATCCTACACGCGTTCAACGCTGTCTTCGGGATTTTGCATCGGGATTCGGGTTATTGGACGTAGTTGGGGCCGAAATGTCGTTGTTAAATGCAGGCTGGAAATCCATTGATGTCACCATCTATGCAGGGGGGTGGCTTAGCCCCTGGCAACTTTCAGATCAGGAGATGGGAACTTTCGGCTTGTGTCTGGATGATAACTCATTCAGCGCTATGAAGTACGGTATCAACCAATAGCTGGTACCGTAACCGAGAAAATATCAGTCTTGGGGGCTGAGCCGCAGGATTCAGCACCCTGCCATCCCACTGCAACCGCGGTCCGTCGCTTCAAGGGCATGGCATGGTGGCGTGTTGGTGACAGTTGTCATCTTTCTCACTCTCATTTAGTAAACGGTTTCACCCGAAAAGCGTAATGCCCATCGCGACAACACCACTAGTAGTCTGGTGTCAGCAAGTTGAGTAGGTATCTACTAGTACTTGCTCATACAGACGCCGCACAGCCCCATGGAGTCAAAAACGAGCGCGGAGATTGGCATGGAGCCGACAAACAACAACAATGCAGGAATGGCGGAGGTAAACAACTCGGCACTGAATGACTCGGATGCGACCGCGGCCAGACCAAAGATTTATCCGCAGGGATGGAAGTTGCACGCACTTACAGCCGGGTAAGTTTCTTACAGCAGGAATCTCATTCGATGGCCACTTAATAATGTTGTTGTCCGCCAGGCTCTGTATTAGCATGCTACTCTCCACGCTCGAGACCACCATCGTGAGCACATCGCTGGTGTCTATTGTCAATGCACTCCAGGGGTTTAGCCAGGCCGGGTGGGTGGTGACGGCGTATCTCCTGACATACACGGGTGAGTAGTACATCCAATACAGAGAGTGTATTATAGCGACACTGATTAATAGAACACCAGGCTTCCTCGTCATCTATGCCAAGCTCAGCGACATCCTGGGCACCAAGCTGCTGATCCTGTTTGCCGTCGGGTTATTCTCCGTCTTTTCCATTGCATGCGGCGTCACGAACACAATGCTGCAACTGTAGGTCTAGTTCTCCATACCACATCTTGCCTCCCCCACCTTCCCACTTCCCAAAATGGAAAAAAAAAAAAAAGAAAATGACTTACACTGACCCCTCCGCCAAAGAATCATCCTCCGCTCCATTCAGGGAATTGGAGGCTCGGGAATCTACTCCCTGGTCACGGTCATGACGCCGCTCATGGTTCCACCGGCTAAGTACCCGACCTACATCGCCATCATCTCGTCCGTGTTTGCCGTCTCGAGCGTGCTGGGCCCGCTCCTGGGAGGCGCCATATCGGACCATACCACCTGGCGATGGGTCTTTTGGCTGAAGTATGTTTCTGTCTCCTCCTTACTTGTCTTTCATTCGGCTGTGTTAGTTTATACTAGTAGTCAGGGATGCTGACTGAGGTATGCTGCCTCCTCCAAGTGGCCCCGGCGGAGTTGTGGCCATCCTCCTCATCGGCGTTTCGATCCCCTTCAGCTTCCCCTATCCCGGACCTGCCCGCTTCTTTAACTCCCTCGTCGCGGGCAGGGCGTGGAGGAGGGTCGACTTCTTCGGCGCCTTTTCCTCGCTGGTCGCCTCTATCCTGCTCGTCTTCGCGCTCGAGCAGGCAGGAGTCGAGTATCCGTGGAACAGTGCCGCTATCATAGTGTGCTTCGTGCTGTCTGGCTTGTTTTGGATCGTCTTCATAGGCTGGGAACGTGGTATCTCGCTCAGAAACACTGTTTGCGAGCCTATGTTCCCTTGGCGGCTTGCTTGCAACAGGTTTGTGATGGGGTTGCTCCTGTAAGTGTCCTTCTCACCACCCCTGAAGTTTTCAGCAGCCCATCTTTACCTACCCGGGCTGACGTGGCCCATCCCGAAAAAGAAACGCATTCCTCACAGGCTTCCCGTTCATGGCAGCAATCATCAACATTCCGCAGCGTCTGCAGATTGTCAACGGAACAACGGCGGTGGATGCCGGCATCCGCATGTTGCCTCTCCTTCTTTGCTCGCCGATTGCCACCATCACATCGAGCGTGTTCTGCACCAAGCTCAAACTCCCGCCCTTGTATGCGCTGCTGGTTGGCTGCGGCCTCCAGACGCTTGGTGTCGGCTTATTCAGCTCTCTCGACTCGTCCGACCTCAGCGTGCCGCCTTCCCAGTACGGCTTCCAGGTCATCATGGGCTGCGGCTTCGGGCTGAATCTGAGTACCGTCTTCATGATGGTTCCTTTGGTGGTGAAGCAGAGGGATATGGGTAAGCGCAAACCCGGAATCAGATTCCATTGACCGGGGGAGTGTGCCTTGTTTTTGTACTAACAGCCCCTGATCTTCTTGTTGTTAGCCGTCACCATGGGAGCCGCCACGCAAATCCGGGTGCTCGGCGGAACCATCGGACTGGCCATCTGCTCGGCTCTCTTGAGCAACCACGTAACGAGGGAAACTTCGGGGCTGTTGACCCCAGAACAGCAGTCGGCGTTGCTGCAGTCGTTCCAGAGCATACGCAGCCTGTCCCCCGAGCTGCAGGTCAAGGTCAGAGAGGTCTATGCGGTGGGATACAGCCAGCAGATGAGGGTCATGCTCTACTTCTGCATTGTCTCGCTCGTCTCCCTGTCCCTGCTGTTTGAGTGGCCGCCGAGACGGATGCGGACGACGGAGGATGGCGAGCTTGCCGACCCCGATGAGAAGGGGAGGTGACGCACACAGGTAAAGTAAGGTAGGTATGGATGGGCGTACAGTTTGTCGTTTTGAGTACCGCACAAACTGTTAAATATCTATAGGGTAATGCATAATCCTAGTCAGGAGGACAAACAAGGATGACTGGATGATTGCGTGACTCTGCGGCACAATTTGCAGGCAAGGAGGCCTCTAGGTAATGTACATATTGAGTAATATAGATGCACTAGTATGGAATTTGCAGTACTATCCGTAAACTCCAATCTTCACTTCTACGCTATTCCTACCTAGTAATATGAACAACCCAACGCTTTTCTCTATTGCAACCACCCCAACCAAATCTCACGCCTTAGAACCCCCACTGACGGCACCAATTCCGCATCAGCTCCGGCGTAACCGCCCGCATCTCCCTCATGGTCTTGCTCCTCCCCTTCGTCCGCTCCATAGCCATCTGCACAAACCCCTGCCCCTCCCGCGCCGCCTTCGTCCAGGTCTTATACGTATCCAGCAGTTTCACACCAGGGTTTTTGCTAATATCCTCCGTGCGGCTCTGGCTCTCCTCCAGGCGGCTCACCCACTCGTCCAGCCCGACCACCCCCTTAATCCTCTCCTCGCCGTAGTACCCCCTCACCGCCTCGGCCAGGACGCGCCACTCCACCTTCTCCGGGTTCACGCCATGGAAATACCCACTGATCTCCTCGACCGGCACGTGTTGCGTAACGCCAGCGACCTCCAACACCATGGCCGCGATCCCCTCGATGGGCGTCCAGTCGACCGTGCTCATCGGACCCAGCGAATCGGGCAGCACGCCGAGGTAGACCGAACTGGCGATCAGCGAGGGGAGCCACTCCTGGCGATTCCACACGCCCTTTGCCGCGCTGGGGCCCGCGATCTGCCCTACCCGGATCACCTCCACGGGAACGCCCGACACCTTGCTCGCCTCCTCCAGGATCAGGCTCGACACCAGCTTCGACCGGCCATAGCCGCCCCTGGGCAGGCTCAGATCCCGCAGCGACGCCTCCGGGACCGGGTCGTCGGGCCTATCCCAGCCGTCGACGGTGCCGATGGACGAGATGAACACGATGGGCACGCGCTTCTTCTTGGCCGATGCGGCGGCGGAGAAGTCGGCCAGGTGGCGCACGCCGCGGATGTGCGGCTCGAACGACTCGACCGGCATGTTGAAGTTGACGGGCCACTGGTTGTGGATGACGCGGTCGACCGTGTGCAGCAGGCGGTTGTAGGTTTCCTTGCCGAGCCCGAGGTCGAAGCGGGAGAGGTCGGCGTGCAGGAACTCGACTTCTTTGTCTGGGGAGGGGGGAAAAGTGGTGAGTAGACCCCGGGCGGCGTTGCCTTGCCGCTGGCGGGCTTCGGCGTCGGGGGAGCGGTTCAGCGCGATGACTTTCTTGACGCGCGGGCTGCGCAGGGCGAGGTCCAGCATGTATGACCCTAGCGCGCCGGTCGTGCCGGTGATGAGGACGACTTGGTCGGTGTCGGCTGGCGCGGGCGTTTGTTGGGCGGTTAGTGGTGGTGATGATCGGGGCAGATCGCGGGTGTATTTCTCCAGCAGGGCCTCCATGGCGGCGGCCTCGTCGTGCACCTCGCCCGTGGTGGCGTCCTGGCCTTGCTTGTTGACGACGGAGAACAGGTACTCGGCCAGGCGGCGCGCCGTCGGGTGGCCGTAGATGACGCGCGTGGCCAGGACCGAGGCGTCGACGCGGACCCCCGCCGCCTCCAGCCCGGCCCGCAGCAGCCGTGACGCGTTGATGACCTGCATTGAGTCGACGCCGGCGACGAAGAAGTCCGTGTCGGGCCCGAGCCGGGGCGCCCGCAGCCAGTTCTCGAACAGCGTCGCGACCGAACCGGTCAGCGCCTCGGCCGAGCCCAGGTCCAGCCGGGGCGCCTCGGACGACGCCACCACCTCGCCTGCGCGCTCGTAGATGGCGTCGATCTCGTCCGCGTACAGCTTGATGGTCGCCGCCCGCTGGATGGTGCCCTTCGGCGCGCGCGGGAACGGCTTGGCTGGGTTGGACAGCGCGACGAGCTGCCGCCCGATCTGACCGTGCGCCACCGTCTGCTTGTTGGCCTTGACCACGTACGGCCAGACGCTGTCGAGGAACGCCTTGGCCTCCTCCTCCCCCTCGTCGCTGCCCGGGTGCCGCGCCGGCTCGACGATCAGCGCCGGCTGGAAGCGGTTGCTGCCCACCACCAGCGCGCCCTTGACGCCCGGGTGGTCCATCACGATGTGCTCGATGTCGGCCGGGTTGAGCTTCTCGCCGTTGGAGAAGACGATGATGTTGTCGGCCCGGCCGTGGTAGATCCAGTGGTCCGGCAGCGTCGGGTGCGGCTTGTACAGGTCCTTGGTGCTGTACTCGTGCGCGTCCGGGAAGGTGTAGAAGAAGCCCTGGTAGCCCGGGTGCTTGTCCTTGCGCACCACCACGAGTTCGTACGTGTCGTCTTCGGCCGACTTCCGCCACTCGGCCCCGAAGATCTCCGAGTTGAAGATGAAGTACTGCCACAGCTTGCGGTCCGGCTGCCAGTAGAGCGGGAAAGGGGCGAACCTAGTAAGGGAGTAATCAGTCAGTCTCGTGATCCTATCCATCCATCCAGCTTTGCTTTTTTGAGAATCCACGTACTCGGTAGCCGAGATCACATTCAGCAGTGTCACGCCCCCGTCGACGAGCGTGTCTCCAGCCTCCTTGGCCAGGTTGCCGCCACCAAATCCCACGTACGACAGTTTTGCTAGAGCTTTGATGGATTGCTCGGACTGGCACAGCTCCTCGAGGAGTGCGGGCGGCAGCACTATCGCGTCAGAGTCTGCATACTTGACGTACTCTTCCACCATCTCGGCCGACAGCGGACGATCGCCGATACCCAGCGCCGCCGGCGTGTCCCAATAGTGTATCATCAGGAGCGACATGTACAGAGCGGCCGCATGGTACAGGGGCACTGCGACCTCGTTAGCCCACTTCTCCTGAATGGACAAGAAAAGGGGGGTCATGTCACTCACTCGGAGTCATGATCCGCTTGCATCTCTGTGCCATCTCGTCGATCCAGATCCTCCGGCCCTTCCACTCCGGAAGGTTGTGATACTTGTCCCCCACGGCCAACATGCCCTGTCGGCAGACGATGGGCTTCGGGAGCCCTGTGCTGCCGCTGGTGTGCAAGATCAACAGCGGGTCCCATTCCGCCTCTTCGAACGTCTTGTTGTAAGGGTACGGCTCGATGTCTTCCTTGGGGAACCAAGCATCGACGGGGAACTAAGTAGTGATAATCCAGCGAAAATCAGCAAATGCCACTCTTTCTCCCCGGCCCCTTCCCTTCTCTTCCGCAATCTCTGTTGTGTTGTTGCACTATTCACTCAGACTCAAACTCAAACTCACCGTCATAATAGCGTACATATCCCTCTCCTGCAGCCACGACTGGACCATATTCACATAGCCGGCCTCGAACCAGATGATATGGCAATCCGTCAGCTCAAACAGGTTGAGCTGCCCCTCCTGCGAGTTGCGCGGCGAGATGAACAGCGCCTGGTACCCGGCCTTGACCGCGCCCAGCGCGAACACGAGGTACCGCACGTCGTTGGGGCCGATGTACGCCACCGTGCGGAACTCGCCCGGCGGCGGCACGCCCGTCGAGCTGGCCAGCCGGTGCGCCACCCGGTTGATGGCGTTGGCCGCCTGCTTGTACGTGATCTTCTTCCACCCGTCTGAGGGATTGGAGGACCGTGGGATGGATACCCACTCCCGGTCCGGCTCGGTCCGGGCTCGTTCGTCGACGATGTTCACGAGGAGGCGTTTGCCATAGCTGGGCGTCTCTGCGCGGTCGAAGGAGGTCATCGTTGCAGGTGTCAGTGTTTCCGCTGGGCAGTACTAGGTTTGTGGTTGTGCAGACTGGTACGGGATTAATTAAAAGCAAGCAGACAGTTCAGTGCTGGTAGATGAGAACACGAAATCCAAAATTAGTAGATAGTAAGTATTCTAAGTGACTTAAAAGCTTGTATTTCAGTCGAGGAGAATTATGACCGCCATTGAAGACCTCTCCTATATAGCCTCCCGGCGTTCGGATGGTCGGGATACCTCGCGACGCGAAAAGGGATGTGTGAATGATGACCCCCCCTTCTCGTCCGAGGAGGCCGAAACTGTTTACGGCCCCATTTTGGCGTCAAATGGCCATCAGGGTGATCGGCTACGTCAGCGGGTGTCGACATGAATCAGCACCTCTTCCTACCCCAACGGTCCCCAACAACGGCTCAACTCGCGAGGCGAGCTTCGCCACTTCGGCACCATGTCATATCTCCACTCCGTCTTCGCGGCCCGCTCCGGAAGGGAAAGCTTGTTTCACTGTTTCACGGCAGTCAACAGTGGAGACTGCGACCCTTGCGGCCGAGGTATCGATTATATATTCTAGGTACCGAACCTTCATGAGGTGTCCGTCATGCCTGATGTGCGGTCGGCCATTGCGTTCGGCCATTGCGTTCGGCCATTGAGTTCGGCCATTGAGTTCGGCCATTGAGTTCGGTCGTTGAGTTCGGTCGGTCTTTGAGTTTGGGTAGTAGCAAGCCGAGTCGCAGGACTTGAAAAGCGGACTGTGGCGGGGCCGACTGTTCGTTTGTTAACACCGCGGGAATAACCCCTCCGGGAAGCGGTGAGGATCCCCCAAGTCGAAGTCTGGCGGATGGACGCATCCCGTCTCCCTACGCCACCGCGGGGTTGTCCAACCAAGCGCGGATTTTCTCGAGAGCATACAAATCATGCCCATCGTCCGAGGTATCATAATCAGACGGATCGCCTTCGATCCATCCAGCCGTTCCCCGAGACGGACCCAGCTTTTTCCCAATCGCGCGACTGGAGCCGAAGTCAATTAGGACCGGTATACCCTCTGCATTGACCATAACATTGCCTGGATTGAGATCTAGCGCGACGAGGGTAGTCAGCTTTCGTGCTGTGTTCACCGACAAGCTACGAATTTATCGGTTCTCCGATTCCCGCGCCAGTGAAGGGGTCGTCGTAGACGCCGACTGCTACATACCATTGTGAGCAACTCCCAGCGAGTGAAGATGACGGATAGCCGACTCGAGCGCAGCCATGAAGGCGCCCTTGTCGATTCCTTCCGCGTTCTCCTTCAGGTACTGCTTCAGGTTGCTCTGATGCCTGTCGAGAACGAGCGCGGTGATGCGCCCCCTCGCACCCGGCAGCCGTGGTATCTGACAATGTTGGGGTGGGTATGCTGCGAGAGAAGCTCCAACGCGCGAACCTCGTCCAGCATCATGAGCACGAAGAGGCGCAGGACGTCTTGCTCCCGGTAGTCGCTGTAGACTTTCAGACACGGCCGCTTGATGTAGTGAAGGGAGTTGTCTAGGTCGTCAGCGGCAATGGTGTAATTGGCATGCGACGGAAACTCCGCGTAGATTTATTCATCCGGGACTCTCTGGGGAGCAGACTCGAACTGTTCAAGCGTGATCTCAAGTTTGGGCACTTTCAGCTGGCCATAGTAAAATACGTCGTCCTCGTCCATCACGTTGAACTCGGTGTAGAGAAAATCTTCGTGGCTGCTGCCGTAGGTCTCTGCCAGATAGCTCAGGTCAGAGAACTGCCTGAGTTGTGGTGCCACGGTCGTTGTGTTGCCTTATTAGATGGAGAACTTGGCGAAAATGGAAGCTGAGAATGAGACGCGGGCCACGTGCGCCACCGGTTCCCAGCCAGCGTATTGCGTAGATCGAGGGCATTCGGGAGACGCAGAAAAGAGAGCAAGGGAGAGTTGTAAGGTGGGTAGGCACGCATGGACCGCGGGATGCGTTTGTCGGGCATGCAGGCAAACAATTACGTACGGTAGGCAACCGTGGTGAGGGACTGACCGGTGACGAATGATAAAAACGTGAAAAATATGTGATAAAAATAGGAAATTTTCCAGGTTCCTAACTAGGGTTACATATGGGAAACCCCCTTTGTCTCCCAAATGCCCTGAACGACGAACTGAACGAAGCCTGTAGAGTCCATTACCATTTCAGCCTTTCAGGTCTCTATGTTGATAACCGCCCTGGACGACTGAAGACCTCGTTCAAGGATTCGACAAAGTGTGTCCCGTCTAGGCCATTATGAAAAGCTCTCCAAGCGTTCACAGGTTGTGCGTTCCGCCAACAACAAACATGGAAGTGCCGTACTACGACCTTACTCTTGACACTGGACGTGCAGCCCCCCCAAGGTCCAACAACTCCTGGCAAGCCCTCCCCACCGCGGCCGACACCTCCCCGACATTCGCCTTATCAAACACAGAGAAATGGTCCCCGGGGATATCGATACACCGCACCACCGCCTGGCCCGTCACCTCCTCCCATCCGCGCGTCGTGAGACCCGGGTCCCGTCGGTCTTGGAGCCAGGCGTTCTCGTATTCCTTCTCTTTCTCTCCAGGAAAAACAGGAGAAGAAGAAAAATACCCCGCCGGCGGCACCCACCCCTCCTTGGCGCGCAGCACAATTACGCGCGGGATGGGGCGCGGGTCATGGTCACGTAGCTCCTCTGCCCCGGTAGTAGTAGCAGTAGTAGTACCTAGGGCAGCACAGAAAGCGCCGAGCAGCGAGGCGCAGCGGGAGAAGGACCGGTGGATGAGTTTCCGCATCGCCGTCGCGGTCGCATTGCTGCTCCTCGACGACTCGGTAGTAGTAACGGCGCGGATGATCCCCTCCGAGAGGGGCACGTGTCGGACCGGCGGCGGGGCGTCGATCAGGACTACGCCCGCGACGGGACGGTCGCCGCGCGCGAGCAGGGTGCGTGCCGCCTCGAAGGCGACCACGCCACCGAAGGACCAGCCGCCGAGGATGCATGGTTGCTGTTGTTGTGCTTGGGAGGAAGAGAAGGAGGAGGAGATGAGGTCTGCGTAGTGTGTCGCCATGGTTGGTAGGTCTGGCCAGGGGCTGCTGCTGCTGCTGTTGTTGTTGTTCATGATGTTGTTGTTGCTTTCCAAAGGCAGTAGGAATCTGGGGTCGTGCAGGGCGAAGACGGGGCGGTGGAGCGGGCGGAGGCGACGGTAGTGCGTGCAAATGCCGCTGCCGTCGTGGATGAGGAAGATTGGCGCGGCTGGGGGCTGGTTGCGCGGCGGGGATTGGATGAGCTCCGGCTCTTCGGTGAGGTGTAGGAGACGGGAGATGTGTGGAATTGCGTTTCGTTCTTCTTCGGAGAGGAAGGGGGGTAAAGAGGTGGGATCGTCCTCTTCCACATGTGGCACGAGCCGGGCAAGGGCCGCAGAGACCTGTCTTGCAAGTGGGCCGTTGCCGCTACTGGGGCGGCCGATCTAGCAATGGTTCTCTCGTCAGTATTTCCAGTTAATAATGTAGCACCCTGATCCTGCGCGAACCACGCCGCGTTGGAACTCAGGCATGTACATACGTACTTGGCAACAGGCGGTAACAGTTTGGAAGTAAAGTGTAGGTACTAGTACCTACCGGTCCTAGCCCGATCGATCATCACGTACCAGCTTCGCAACGTCGGCCACAGTACGGCAGTGCTGCACGCCCAAGGACGAGATGTCCACTCCATAGGTCGCTCGCAGCGTGTCCTCGAGCTCCAACGTCATGAGCGAGTCGATCCCCAGGGACCTGAGCTCCGAGTCCGGCGAGATGGTCCGCGGGTCGGCGCCGCAGACGTTAGCGATGATCTCGGTCATGCTGGCCGCCTGGGCGCCGCCCGTTCCGGGCGTACTACTAGTGGTGTCGGGTGTGCACGGGCTGGCGGTGGTGCTCGAGCTGGCTGACGACACCGAGTCTGCTGCACTGTCCGGGAAGGCCGAGCGTGCAGTAGTAGTAGTAGCATTACCGCTCGTGTACCGGAGAGACGAGACGAGGGACTCGATGTCGCCGACGGTGGCGCACTCGGCCAAGGCGTCGTGCGGAATGCTGACGCTCATGACGGACGAGAGGTCCGAGTGGAGCTCGATCATCAGCAGCGAGTCGACGCCGATCGCATCGAGGGCCGAGTCGGCCGCCAGCGTGCTTCCGGATCCGAGACCGCACGCCTTGGCGACCAGGTCCCGGACGTCGACAACCGCGGGAGAGACTGGTGGTGGGCTCGCTATGGTGGAAGTGGAAATCGAGGGATGTCCTCGGCTGGGGGCGGGCTTTGGGTTGTTGTCGACAGAGGCCGCAACAGCACGCTGGTGCTGCTGCTTGACGGGTTGTTTCACGCCGAGAGCCAGGCGAATACGTGCCATGCTGACGTGCTGGAACACCATGCCCTTGAAGACGGCGAGAAGGCCGTGGGCGTCCATCGCGTACGCCTCGGCGATCGTGAGAGCACTTCCAACGCCACCCTCCTGGCCAGACATCTCGAACGTCGAGCAGAAAATCTCAAACGGCGCCCCGGTAGCGCCGCCTTCGGGCGCTCGGAGAACGGTGGCAGCACCCACTTCGGTGCAGATGCCCATGATGTCGTTTGCCACACGCAGGTTGGCAACAAACCCGGCAACATGCAGGAGCACGTCCATGAAGATGGCGTTGGCGGCGGGGATGGCGCCGTCGCTTCCCAGCCGCGGCTTGGGATACTCGCACGCTGCAAAGGCCTCTCCCCTCGTGTCGTTGACGTGGATTGACCGGACCATCTGGTATGGCTCGGAGTAGGTGACGACGCGCGGGAAGATCTTGTCGTACATGGCGCTTCGGGAAAAAACCTGCAAAAGTGCGTCTGAGGAAGGGTGGTCCAGAAGGACGCTCATCCTACCCTTGGCGGATGCCCAGAGCCGCGGGTACTTGAGCTTCAGCGAGTCCTGCGTGTTGCGCCTGACGATGCCACGGCAGTGCGTTGTGCTGCTGGTGTCGGGATCGGACGAGGCGCTGTATGAGAGGATGGTGAACTCGTAGCCGTCCGGATGCGTGTTCTTCCTCGAAAGTACCACCCTGAGGACTTGTTCCGAGCCTCCCTGATCCTCGCGGTATACGAACGACGCCAGGTACTTGATCTTGGTAAGCGACCAGGATCCTGCTGCTGCTCCAGACTCGGTGTCAGCAAGCGCGGCAAGAGCCATCTCGTGGTACACCGAGGCTGGACAGAGCGCCTGGTCGCAGACGAGATGGCCGGCGATGAAGTCCTTGAGCAGCGAGGCTGGCGTGTCGTACACAGCCTGGCCGTCGCCGGAGCCGGGAGGCAACCGTTGGATGGCTCGGGCAGCGAAGCTGTTTGCCACGAGTGTCGGTTCCGGGACCTCCTCTTGAACAGCAACCCTTGACTCGCGGTACGGCGTGTAGAACTCCTCCTTGAAAAAGGGCATGGTGGGTAGGTCGACGGGCAGCCGACGAGGCGTCTTCCCACGGCGCATGAAGACTTTCCTCCAGTTGATGCCATCCCCGCCGGTTTCGTAGAAATGGCGTAGAAGCCGGGAGACGGTCTCGTCGGGTGTCGAAGCCTTGGTCAGGACGGGGAGGAGCTCTGGATCCCGCGCCCCAGCGGCGGTACTGGCAGCAGCCCGAAGAGCACGCGGGCGCAGCATCGGCAGGATGGAGGAATGCGGCCCCACCTCGATGAACCTCAGAGCAGCTGCGCTGGCATCAAGACCCGCGAGGAAGTCCTTGATCCCGTCGTCGAAGGCGACCGCGTTGCGGCAGTGGTCGGCAAAGTAGCCGGCGGAAAAGACGTCCTTCTCGCCGGGACGCACCGTCCGGCCCAGCACGTTGGACACGACGGGGACGGTGGGAGCGGATAGGGATAGGCCTGCTTCACGGGCGGCAAAGGCACGGAATTCGGCCATCATGGGGTCCATGGCTTGCGTGTGGAAGGCCAGCGGCACATCGAGCAGCTTGCTCTTGATGCCGCGCGTCTCGCCGAGATGGGTCTTCAGCCCCGACAGCACCGGCACGGGGCCCCCCACGACGCAGTCCGTCTCGCTGTTACGGCACGCAACCTCCACACCAGCAAAGCGGTCATCATCACCGCGCAGGAGAGCCTCCATTGCGTCGGCGCTGCAGTTAACGGCGAGCATCGAAGTGTGGCCGACCTCGCAGTGCTGCATCATCAGCGACGCGCGGTGAGCAACGAGCTTGAGCCCGTCGAACAGATCCACGACGCCAGCGGTTACCAGAGCGGCGTACTCTCCCAGACTGTGGCCCACCACCGCGATGGGCGCGATGCCCCAGGAGATGAGGAGCCGCGCCAGGGCCACCTCTAGCACAAAGAGTGCGGACTGGAACGCCTGCCAGCGGGAAGAAGCGTTCGGTTGCTGCGTCTCCGCTGGGCTTTCGCTGCTGGCCTCTATGACCGCACGGCAGCCGGGGTACCCGTTCTCGACAAGCCAGCAGTCGCACTGCAGCACCGTTTCGGCAAACTCGCTGTAGGTCGCCATGAGCTCCCGTCCCATGCCCAGATACTGCGAGCCCTGGCCGGAGAAGACGAAAACGGCCTCAGGTCTCGTCCACGGGCCCCCACCACGCACCACCCGGCGTGGCGCGGCCGTGCGGATCTTCTCGGCCAGCTCACCAACCGAGCTCGCGGTCACAGTGACGCGCCAGTCATACACCTGCCTGCGCGACGTCAAGGTCGCGCAGACGTCGCCGAGACTAAACCGAGGCCCCTGAGCCTCAGCAGCCGCTTCCGCCAAACGGGCAGCCAGTTCCCGCTGCAGAGCGGCGATGGCGCGCTCACTCTTAGCTGAAAAGCCACAAACAAGCGTTGTTGCTGGCGTCCGTAGTGGTATAGCCTTGGAGTCAATGTGCTCGGCGACGAGCACGGCGGCGTTGGACCCGGCAGCGCCAAAGTTGTTGAGCATGGCGAGGCGCGGCCTGCCGGGTGCCGTGCGCGGCCACTCGGCGCCCTGGCGATCGGTCACGATCACGGCGCCGTCGCTTCCGAGCTGGCGGATGCGCGGGTTCAGCGTGTGCAGCGACACCTGCGGCGGGATGCGGCCATGCCGCAGCATCAGCACCAGCTTGGCCAGTCCCGCCATGCCCGAGGCGGCCTCGGCGTGGCCGATGTTGGCCTTGATGGACGTCAGGTGCAGCGGTTGCTTGCGCGCGTCACGCCCGGCGCAGAGCACGCGTCGCACGCTCTCGACTTCGTTGGGGTCGCCCGCTTGGGTTCTGGAGTGGGTGGCATGATTAGGACCCCATCGAACCGGCATCAAACAAGACGGATATGGCTGTATGCTTACCCTGTACCATGAAGTTCTACTGCGGAAACCTAGGAACCAAAGTAAAAAAGAGGTTAGCCCCTTACGGCTTTAACGCCGCAGGCAATGTCAAGGTGTGCGCGTTTGTGTGTCTGCTCTACTCACCTCACGAGGATCGATCCTGGCCTTTTGAAACATGCGGGTGAACAATGCCTCCTGCGTGGGAACATGTGGATGTGTGATGGAATGCGCGTTTCCGCTGTGGTTGATCTCGACCGCCTTGATGACCGCGTGGATGCGGTCCCCCTCGGCGATGGCATCGGACAGCTTCTTGATGACAAACACCCCACAGCCCTCGGCGCGGCAGTAGCCGTCGGCAGAGGCGTCAAAGGCCTTGCACTGCCCCGACGGACTCAAGAAGTGGGCTCTGTCCAGGCCAAGATACATCTAGATGGAGGGGGCAGGTTGCATCAGCACGCGTCCTAGACCTTTTCGGCTAATAGCTCTGTAAGTGACTTACATCGGGGCTTGTGATTGTGTTGGCAGCACCGACCAGAGCGGCTCTGCATTCGCCCGCCATGATAGCCCTGGCGGCTTGGTGCAAGGCGACAATCGAGGAGGAGCAGGCCGTGTCCAAGGTGATGGATGGCCCGCTCCAACCAAAGACGTACGATATCCGGGCGCTGAGGAAGGCACGGAGGGTCCCAGGACTGTAGTAGACGTCGATGTCGTCACGCATGTTGTCGACATAGTCCAGCGTGGCGTTGCCAACCCAACAGCCGAACGTGTCTCGGCAGAAGGACGGCGACGAGTCGGGCACGTAGCCGGCATCCTCCAGCGCGCGGTAGGCCGTATGGAGAAGGATGCGCTGTTGCGGGTCCATGGACTTGGCCTCGCGTCGGGATATGTCAAACAGCTCGGCGTCGAAGAGGAACGGGTTCTCGAGGAAGTTGCCATGCCTGGCATTGAGCACCCGCCCGCCGCGTTTCCGTGCTTGCTGGTTGTGGCCGTCGCCTGAATACTGCTGAACATCAAACCGCGACGCTGGTATCTCAGTGCAGGTGTTGGTCCCTTGCATCAGGCCTTCCCAAAGCGTGTCGCAGTCGGCGGCCCCGGGCAGGTCCACGGCCATGCCAACAATGGCGATGTCCTCCTTAGAGACAGCGCCGGCAGCCACTGCCAGCAGCGACGCGTCAATAATGTCAACATTGTCCGGCAGTGCGGAACTTGCTTTATGTGACATGCCCACACCAGGTCCGTAGTTCAGAATGTGGACCGGGCAGGTCTCACTCCTCGGGTCTGACTGAGACCCCGCGAGCGAGGCGATCGAGGCCTGTACGGCCACCCAGTCAACCGGCTGGAGGAAAACCTCGTCTAGGATGGCGGCCACCAAGTCTCCGACCTGGGACGGGCTCGGGAGGGCAAGGGGCTCCCCCGTAGACGCCGACAGGAGCGGGGCGGCGAGTCGGATCTCGGTCTGCAGTAGACCATCCTCGTACTTGCCGACGTCATCAAAGACCCGATGCCGTAAGTGGCTGAGGCGGCTGTCATGGTAGAGGCTGAAGACTTGCGTTGGCCGCGCACGGCAGCTTTGCGGCAGCTTGTGCGAGACGAAGCTGGCGAGTTCGGACGGAATCCCGCTCAACACCACGCGCGTCGGAGATAACACGGCGGAGAGAAAGACATGTCCGCCCTCGGGGAGGAGCTGAGAGGCTGCATCGGGCGAGAGCCCGTCGACGACGTAGCTGCAGGACCGGGGAGTATCTAGGTCGACCTCGCGCGCTACTGCCGTCCTGCGGTGGCACTCGCTGTGGATGCCGACCCAGAGCGCAACCCGGAAGAAATCGAGTGCGCGCGAGATCAACGCCAGGGACGAATCGGACGACGCCCCTGCCGTCGCCAAGGCTGCGGCCGGGAGGAGGCCGACACAGAAGCCCGCGGCCGCGACAAGCTTTCCGGGCTCGCGTGAAGGTGCAGATGCGAGATGGCGCAGGACCTGTTGCAGGTAGAGCGTGACGTGCTGCATGAGCACGTTGTGGCGGCAATAGCGTGGCGGCGGGCGCACTAGAGCCGAGGGCGAGGTAAAGTCGGCTAGGCGAATGACATCGGGCCCGATCAGCTGGCTGTCCACGGCCTGCGTAACCTGTGTGACAAAGGCCTCGTGGCATGCCCGCAGGAGTACCGCACACTCGGGCACCAAAGCGTCCTGTGCTGCTCTGTCGAGTGCCTCGGCCGAGAACAGGGCCTCAGAGCCGAGCCCGGCAAAGACGGGCAAAAAGGCTGGATTAGGCATTTTCTTCTGTGAGTGGCCGGGATAACGGGTACTGGCAGAGAGTCAGAGACAAGTGGCCTGATGCGTGGTGGTAGTTCCAGGCCTTCGCTGTTTGTGATCACTTGTCCCACGTGGTACTACTGTACTGCTTGTCTCGTTTGGTGATGATCAGCTGGCCTTATGCGTGATGTACAGTGCCACCAACAGAACAGTAGTACCGGCAGTAGGTAGTAGTTATAGCATAACCAGACAGAGCTTCACCATCTATTTGCTACCGCATCTCGTGGGACTTGGAGTTCGTAGCCGGCTGCCACTGTGGTATCGCCACGCCAAGACTAGTAGGTTTGGGCTTCGGTCGTCGGAGTCCGAGGTGAGACTTTTAATCCCCTTTTAGAAGTCGTCCAAAAGGGGATTGTCCCCTTTTGTTGGTCTGCGTACAGTAAGCTGTCAGTGCTACCTCAGTCACCAACGAAACAATCTTGATGCTTTTCTGTTTTCGGCCCCGTGCAGGGAGCAGTATACGCATACGTCGACCCTATCTGCGTGGCCCCACGTCCGACGTCCCACCTTGTAGCCGATGCGTCTCCGACGGGTTCCGTACAAGACCCGCATGGCCCGGACTTCGGACCGCCGAGCTTGCCTCCGCGTCATGTGTGTCTCGTATTGTCGTGCATGCTGCAGCGGCTCGTTCAGACAACAAGGTGTGCCAAATTCCGTTTACCATGAGAGACCCCGTCAAGCGCCGAGATGCTTGCGACAGATGCGCGCAGTCCAAGGTGAAATGCAACCGCGGGCAACCAAGCTGCAAGCGCTGCCTTCACCGGGGTGTCGACTGTCACTACAGCCCATGCAGGAGGCTCGGAAGGCCAGGCACGGGCACGGTTCCGCTTCCATCGCCGCCAACAAGTGGGCCCCAGCTATCGGAGCCACCCGAGCGCAAGGCCACGGCCGTCAAAAGCTTCTCGTTTCGAGACCAGAACACGGTGGCTCACCTAACGCTCGCCGTCGACACGGACAATCTCTTCCCAACATCCTTCGATTCGCCCGTCGAACCATTGTGGCAGCAGCCCTTCGACACGCCAGTACTATGGGATGTCCCAATGCACGACCCCGGGTGGTCTACCCCTGGAGACAGCTCCCCAACCACATCCACCACCGCCGTCACGGCCTCCTCTTCCGCCAGCTTCAGCTGCGACACCTCCGCCAGCGTCTCATGGCAGGCGTCATCCTCATCCTATACCAGCTGTGCGGCCGTCGCGCTGTCGGCCCTCCGCAGCATTTCCCATGCGCGATCCAGCACTAGCATCGCCAGCAGCTGCAACTGCCAAGGGGGCGGCCACACCACCACGATCTCGCCCAACGGTAGTGCAAGCCTCGGAATGACGAGCACGAGCACGAGCGCCAGTCCTGCTCTGCCGTACTACCTCAGCGCAGCGGCAGCCATGCGGCAGGCGCACGCCATCCTGGACTGCGCGTGCGCGGCCTCCGACGGCGCCGTCGCCGTGCTGCTGCTGCTCATCTGCGCCGAGGCCGTGCACTCGTACCGGCGCTTCTCACGGGGACTGTTTACTAGTACTACTAGCACTCCCCCGACGACGGACGACAGCCGCCGCGATGCTGCTTCAGATGCTCATGAGAGTATCCTGCCAGCAGTAACAATCGGCGGGCACACGCCCCCCGCCGGCGGCCAGACAAACCGCACGATGATTGCCGGGTTCCTGCTCGGCGAGCTCGCTGAGGTGGGACGTGGCCTCGCGAGGCTGCAGCGCACATGGGATCATCATCTCTTGACGGCGGAGGCAGCGGCGGCGGTGGGCATGTCCGTCAGCAGCGGTGGTGGTGGTGGTGGTGGTGGTGGTGGTTGCTATGCCAGTCCGGAAGAGGGCATACTAGACGACGCGACGCCGACAGCGAGGTTGACCGCGCAGGTGAGGGGAACAATGGTGGCGCTAAGAAACGAACTTTGGGGAATTGTCAACTGCACGGATCCGTAGCCGTTGGAATTTAGGGGGGCAATTCCGCCTTCCCGAAATAGATCGCACATTGTGAGTGGGGTGTTGTGCGTCCAAGGACTTTTTTCTTGGGTGACTTGAGCCTCGTCTCCCGGGACGCGGTACTTAAGGTAGTGCAAGGTTTATGAGAACTTGTGGGATCAATCTACCTGTTGGACTGGGCAGGACAACGGTGATGAATTCTGTGGTGTTCGGTATTGTTGGGAGAAAACCCCGCATGCAGCCAGCTGGCCAGATGCAGCCAAACACGCTAAATACAGGGGTAAGCCCTAGCCCTGTACAGAGGTAACATTCTTCCTCTCCCAGACGACTCCCACATCCATCGTAGTCAGTAAGGTACCTACCTCACTTAAAGTCTTAAACAATACCAAGCAGTTATCGTCATTGCTGTTGTCGTTCGATTTGCACAGAAACACGGTGGTGCATGTCTTCAATCTTGCTATTGTTTGTAAGGACGGAAAGCTCAGCCACAGCGGCCAGGCTGGAACCAGCGTACCTTACGTGCAGGAGGGAAATGCTAACCCTCACGTAACCCCTTACTGGCTGCGCTATGCTTCGGATGCCTTCATTCAACCCGTTCAGGTAACGTTTCAGTCAAGTCTTCCTCAAGTTCCCGTTGGCCTTGTCCAGCCCCATCCGCGCGGCGCCCTCGTCGCTCCACGGCTCCATCTGCTGCAGCTTGGCCCAGCTGGAGGCGGCGCGGTAGGCCGTCTGCACGTTCTTGCGGTAGAACCAGGTGCCCTGCATCTTCGCTACGGCCAGCTCCCAGTCGGTGGTGTACTCGCGGTAGAAGGGCTGGTAGCCGAGCAGGCCGCCGATCCACCGGCCGATCAGCACCGTCATCCAGTAACCCAGCAGCGTGCGGATCCAGACGGACCACGGCTTGGGTACCCACTCGGGCAGTGTGGCCGGGAATGGGAGGTAGTGGTCGCCGCCGTCAAAGGTCTGGGCCGGTGTCGCATTGCTACTGTTAGCGAGAGCCTTGGAAGAGTTGACAGGGCGGGGGCCCGAGAGACAGACTTACTGCACACTGCTGGATGAAGTCGATCTTATTGTTGTAGTACTTGAAGCTGTCGGCGCGCACCCCGTACCAGTTCTCGAGGAAGATGCGGTCCAGAACGAAGTCCTTGCCGCTGTCCGTTGCGTTGACCATCAGGATGCTTTCGCCATCCCAGTCACCATCCTCTTCACCTCCGCCCTCGGAATTGACGTAGTCGTCGACATCGAGGAAGAAGCGGTGGATGTTCCCCGCGGGGCAGACGGCAACCTCGTCACCGGGACGGAGGATTATGGCCTGCTCGTTGATCTCGACGCCGATGCGGCCCTTAAGAACGCGAAACCGCTCCGTCTGGTGCACGTGGAAGTGCGGCGGAGGGCCGCGGTACACGCCGCTTGTGTCGCCTTTGGCAAGCGGCTGGTATGTCTGTAGGATTTGGAACGCTGTTCCCGCTGGCGGCTGGAGAAAGTGTGTCTTGATCTTGCCGTCAAACCTGCCCGGTCGCGAGATATGACGGGCTACTGTTAGCGACCCTCCGTCTTGCAGCAGTTTGCATGGTATAGGATAGTACGCACTGCACCAGGGGGTTTTGACCCGCCGAGATGGTGATTGGTACGAAGCCCATGGTTACCGAGGTACCAGCCACCAAGCGCAAGAGGTGATGAGAGCGCGATCGATCTGGAGTGAGCGACCTGCCGCGAATCGACGGCCGCCAGAAGGTCATCGCCGTAGGTATATGCAGGGTTGCGTCGGCGCTCACACCATCATCGGGTACCGGGACGCCCGGTTTACGTCCCGGGGCATGTGTCTCCACTTGCCCCTTCTGGATGAGTTGTCGCACAAGATTGGTATGCCGTATGGCGACCTCCACTCATCGACCCTAGAAGCTCCGCTTCCAAAAGGGGAAAAGGAGGAGTATGCGCAAACGGGGACCTACGGGGTGCGGATACTCGACCGTAGCGACCGGCACCGGCTCCGCTAGCCAACTGACTACTTAGTAAGGTATCTACCTACTTATTACCCTCCTTTCCGACCGCTATTGGCTTTACGCGGGCTTAGCTAAAACGACGAATTCGGAATTTCGGATACCGCGTGTACGTACTACCTACTAGTACTCGGCTACCTCCCAACCACGATCAGCACTGTTTGAGAGCTGAGACCGGCACGATGGGCTCGATCGTGCATCTAAAGCCGCTGAAGCTGTACTCGCACAAGCGTGGACCCAACCCGTGGAAGGTTGCCGTGATTCTTGAGGAGCTTGCCATCCCATATTTCTCGGAATATGTGGAGTTTGAGGACACCAAAGTCGAACCCTACATATTGCTAAACCCGAATGGCAAGCTTCCTGTACTGGAGGATCCCAACCAGGAAATTGTTCTTTTCGAGGTGAGCTGCTCAAGCGCGCCAGATGCGAAGACGAAAACTTGCCAGGCGTTGCTGATTTCTGCTTTGCAGAGCGGCGCCATCATCGAGTACTTGGTCGACCAGTACGACGTGGATGGAAAGCTCACTCCCGAATCTCCCCAGGAGAAGTGGCTGGCACGGTCCTGGCTGCATCTGCAGATGTCTGCGCAGGGACCGGCGTGTGGGTACAAGATCTGGCTGAATCGTACCTACGCCCCGGATGCCCTGGTTGCAGCGAATGAATTTTTCACCAAGGAGATACAACGCGTCGTGGGTGTGCTGGATGGCCAGCTCCAACGCCGCAAGGACCCGTTCCTCCTCGGCCCCAAGATGTCGTATGCGGACTTGGCGTTTGTTCCGCACTACCTGATGCTGTCTCTGTTTGTGCCTGGGTACGACCCGGCTGTCGAGTACCCGCATTTTGCTGCTTGGCTGGAAAGGATGAAGGAACAGTCATCGGTGAAGAAGATTGTGGCTGCGAAGGAGGCTCTGTTGAAGTAACAGCTCAGGTTCTGGGAGTTGATATTGCGCGACTTGAATTTGATTTGTGTAAAATCCATGTTAGGCGTGAGGTATTGTAGAATACCTTCCCTTAGCGCTTCACATGCCGTCGATGTCCCAACAATACCATACCTAACATGGATGACGGTGAATGGAACAGTAACGGGGTTAGACGTAAGATAAAAATCACGGGCCGAGGATTTGAAGTTTACACTCAAAAAAACGGGCTGGTATGGAAATGTATGAGACGCTTAACAACCAATTTCAATCTGCCAAAGAAAAGTAAAGATGAAGGAGATAAATTAAAGAGTCCAAGAACCTTATAAGAGTGTCTCTAGAGGAGTTTCTTGCCCCTTTATCTCGTCTGTATCGATTTGCTATCCGTTAAACATACTAGGTAGGTACTGAGTACGGATGTAATTTCGGAGGTGTAAACCTTCTTTTAGCATAGTTAGTACTTTAGTTTGTGGTAATAACAGCAGTTACAGAACTCTATCTCTCGTCAACTACGCCAAACGCGTCCCTCTTACAGCTTCATCCGCCTCAGCAATAGCGTCGTACCCATACAGCCACGGCTGAACAATCGGGCAAGACCTATGTCGCATCTGGTCAGTGGCACAGCGGCAGAATGTGTTTCGGTGGTTTCTGTCTTACCATCGGCTTGGGCTTTCCCCGCGCAAAGACTGCTCGCCCGTCAAGACTCGATCTCTATCCACCTGCCAGGGTCCATCAGGAAGGTGGAAGAAGAATCTCTGCAGAATTCTGGTTAGCCTAACGCCAGGCCCGCCAACCTTCTCTCTTCCCCACCGCCGCATATTTGGGGAACGCACCTGTTTAAGCGCCTGCTTTGCGATCTCCTCAACCCGTGCTTTACGCAGGGCTTGATAAAGCTCCAGCACAAGAGGGACATCGGCCCGCGTCTTGGCAGATCCCAGCAACCGGCCCAGCACCCCGCCATCTTCGATGGCCGAGTTTGCACCCTGTGCAAGATATGGAAGCATGGGGTGGCATGCGTCACCACTGGGAAGAGAGTCAGTAGGTATTCTAGTGTCGAAATAGTCAATGCCGGTCGGGTGCTCACGCCATGGTGAACCGACCACCTCCGTCATTCCACCTCTTCAGAGACGAGACTAATAATGACAGGCGAAGGGAGGTCAGCATACGCGGTACATCCCAAGTAGGCTGACTAGGTATACAAGAGTGCTTACAGTGCATCAACCTCCACTTCTCGACGGCTTTGACCCGGTCCAGAAACCTCGTAAGACTGAAAGATAGCTGATTAGCCAGATCACGGTAATATAAGGCAACAGCCAACCCAGGCCAGGCGTGGAAAGACCTCTTTTGCCAAGCCACTCACATTGGATCCCAGCCGCGGAACCGTGCCTTCATCTCATCCATATTGGCCGGAGCCCTCGAGCAGCCCGGCGGCAGGTCATCGGGGCACAGGAGCACAAGGTTGAACTCGTTGCCGGCACGCAGCGAATATCCCACGACATGCGCGCCAGCGCCGACCCAGAAATTTACCTGCGGGCGGCCAACCAACTCTTCCAGCTCAGTGTCCCCGGCGAGGTCTTCGCGCTTGAGAACAATCCGATATGCAATGTCGCCTGTAGGCAGCGGAGTCACAGGATGATCCGAGCTCTCCTGCAGCAAGAACAGGGCCCGCGCCCGCGACCAGAGCCCATCGGCAGCCAGCACCACATCGCCACACACTTGCTCCTCCTTTTCCTCCTCCTCCTCCTCCCGAGCCTCGTCTTCGCGGGCCCCTGGCGCGCCCCCACCTGCCACCGTCGCTGTCGCTATCACGGTCACGACAGCCCTCGCAAAGTCGATGCCCGTGACCTCGGCCCCCGAGCGGATGCACACGCCCAGCTCCCTCGCGCGCGCCAGCATGGCCGCCTGCAGGTCGGCGCGGTGGACATCCCAGAAGGGCGCGCCATAGCGCTGCTGCATGTCGGCAGCCCATTGCGCCTCGCAGGCCAGCACCCGCGCGCCGTCGAAGCGCCGCACCGTCAGAGTTTGCGGGTCCGCAATCGCGGCCGGGGCGATGTGATCGAGGACGCCCCAGGCGGCGAGCAGCCGCGTGCCGTTCGGCGTGAGCTGCAGGCCCGCGCCAACCTCGGCGAAGTCGGGCGCCTTCTCGAGCACGGTGCAGCGATGGCCCGCGAGCGTGGTGGCGATGGCGGCGGAGAGGCCAGCGATGCCGCCGCCGATGATCACCAGGTGTAGTTGTTGTTGGTCTGCAGCGGGGGTGTGGGAACCCATGATGGGAGATGTCGTCCTGAATCTCTTCCTTACTAGGTGTGGTAGAAAATACGGATAGACAAGCCCGCGAGTCGAGATACCTGGGCAGGTCAAGATAGGGAAGTAGATACGCTGGGCAGTGTCTTTGTGTTTACATTTAGGTCACATCAACACCATAGCCCAATGTTCCTACAAGGCTACTCAGCAGGTCTCTTGGCCACCGACACCTATCTCTCCTCCCCGCCGGCCGGGAGAGTATTTTTCCGTCCGAGGGCGCGGCAGGCCGTGTCTGGTTGCAATCATGAACGAATCTGATTATCCTTTCTTTCCCCTTGGGGACGATGCAGGTACAGTAAGCTGCCATTCTTACTGAGGTGGTACTGGCGTGACTTTCCGAAAGGAGTAAGTCCATGACTAAGCCAGTAACAGAGGCCGAGTACAGCAATGAGATACAAGGGCAGATGAAACGTGATCAAGATCTGCGGCGGTGAGGGAATTGCTCCACGATGTTGCACAAGATAAAGCGAACTTAAGGTATGTACTCTGCAAGATGAGGCCGCACGGCGGCGGCACAGCTACTTCCATTCAGCCACACCTTACTCTGTTCAGCGAGCTGCGTCCATCCCGCGATTTCCCAAACAGTAATCATGAAAGCTATTTCCGCTGTTCGCCAAGCCGCGTGGCTTTACGCCATCGTTGCCGCCGCTGTCGTCGCCCAAGAGGAGCCGCCATGTGCTCACAGCGCCGATACTCGGCGCTGCTGGGGCAACTACTCCATCGATACCAACTACTACGAGGTGGTGCCGGACACGGGAGTGACAAGAGAGTTTTGGTTTGTGGTAGAGAATGTGACAATGGCTCCTGATGTCAGACTACAGCTTCCTACCGTGGACCACTGCCCGCCGACTGAACTGCTGACACTGCGTCAACACCTTTCAGGGGTACGAACAGCCTGTTATCGTAGTCAATCGGTCAATTCCGGGGCCAACTATTGAAGTTGACTGGGGCGACCAAGGTACACAGTAGCCCCTTTTTCCACCTTCTCACCTTCTTTTCCATCTAGGAAGAAAAAGGAGCCGGCGAGCCACAGCTCACTCGCTTTTGGTAATCTTCAGTCGTGGTCCACGTAACGAACCTGCTTGAGAACAACGGCACGTCCATCCACTGGCACGGAATTCGGATGCGGAACAACTATGGCATGGACGGCGTCCCCGGCGTTTCGCAGTGCCCCATTCCCCCGGGCGGTACCTTCACTTACAGGTGGCGGGCCGAGCAGTACGGAACGGCAAGTGGCCCCCCCCCCCCCCCCCCCCCATCCGTGTCCCCCACGGAAGTCGATTAGTCCGAGCTGACCGTTTGGCGCCGGGCAGACGTGGTATCATTCTCACTTTAGCATGCAGTACTCGGTCGGTCTGCAGGGACCAATCGTGATCCACGGCCCTGCCACGGCCAACTATGACGAGGATCTCGGTACCGTTGTGCTCCAGGATTGGAGCCATGTATCTCCGTTCGCCATGTGGTGGTATTCTCGGCTTCCAAGCGGGCCGCCGCCTCTCGCCAACGCCCTAATCAACGGCAAGAACGTCTTTGACTGTACTAGTAGTGCTGACCCGGATGACAAGAACTGCATAGGCAACGGAACACGCGCCGAGTGGTCCTTCCAGCAAGGAAAACGTTACCGCATGAGAATCATCAACACTGGCCTCTACTCCAACTTCCGTTTTTCCATTGACGACCACAATCTGACCGTCATAGCGGCCGACCTAGTGCCCATTGAGCCTTACGTCACGGATAATGTAGGCTCAGTTCCTTACTCTTGCCTCTCTTCAAAACTCGGACTTTGTCTATAGTACCTCGCAAGCTGATCAGTTCCATCCAGATTGCTATTACGATGGGGCAACGGTACGACGTTATCGTTCAGGCAAACCGCCCAGTGGGTGACTATTGGTTAAGGTACCGTAGCTGTCGCTATTGCTAGTGCCCACGGTGTACCCCGGTTCCAGAGCGGCATGAGCTGATTGAGAGGCATGCGTCGTTCCTCCCCATGCTTGAAGAGCAATTTGGCAGACGTCGTGCTGTCCCAACGACGCCGTAAACAACACGCTGGGAATCATCCGGTACGACAGCACTTCGACGGCCGATCCCAACACCACCAACCCGGCCGTCGACTACCCGGATAACTGCGGCGACGAGGACGCCGAGAACCTTGTCCCCTGGCTCAAGCTGGACGTCGGCCCGCCGCTAAGCACGGACGTCTTCTACCTCGACGACGTGACGCTCCCTGATCCGAAGGGCTTCCTCTGGACGCTGAACGGCACCTACCTGTGGGCGAACTTCTCGGCGCCCACCAACCTCCTCCTGGCCGACGCCGACAAGACCGCCTTCCCGGCGGATTACATGGTCTACCGCACGCCCGCCACGGCCAGCGGATGGGTCTACATCGCCTTCAACGACATCTCCAACCGCAACCGCTCGCACCCGATGCACCTACACGGGCACGACTTCTACGTGCTTGCCACCGGCCCCGGTAACTTCACCTCCTCCTCCTCCTCCTCCTCCTCCAACAACAACAACAACAACAACAACCATAACAATACAGCGCCACAGCTGCAGCTCGCCAACCCCCGGCGACGGGACACAGCCACGTGGCCCGCGCGCGGCTACATGGTGCTCGCCTACAAGACGAATAACCCGGGGACCTGGCTGCTGCACTGCCACATCGCGTGGCACTCGAGCGAGGCGCTGGGGCTGCAGATGCTGGAGCGCCCGGGAGACATGGACTTGTCCGCGGGGGGACAGGTGGCGGGGATGAGGCAGCTGTGTGGCGAGTGGGAGCGGTGGTTATCGAATCATGGGGATGCGATCGTGCAGGAGGATGCTGGGATTTGAAAAAGACATTAACTAACGAATAATCATTTAAGAATCATTTTCAGGATTCTTGTGTACAATACAATAACCTAACCCTACCTGACTTTACGGTCGTAAAGCATGTACCTAATTCTCATGGTACAATGCCTACCGTTCTCAAGTGCCCGTCCTAGTGCCTTCTGGTGAGATTGGGAGAGGTAAGTTTTGGGAGGGTTGGTTGAAAGACAGGAGAAGGAGTTCTCCGATGGTTTCTTGCATCAACTTGCCTGTCTCAGTCCATACCTCATAGGTATTACTAAGGTATGTAATCTAACAACGCGGAGGTGCTGTCTGTGGAGTGGAAAAGGTACGTAGCGCCTGGTATGCGGTGACGGTGACGGTGCAATTAGTTTCGAAACACTACAAGTACGACTAGTTACCTTGCTCTAGTACCTTAACGTTAGGTCTCTGGTATTGGACAAAGAACGCTTGCATACCAGCCAGGTTCAGATGGTGTAGATCATCAGTTGGCCGGCTTGAGCAGCGGAGAGTACTCATCTCGACAAGCACCCCTACAATAACCGCCACCCAAGTTAGAGGAACATCTATGCAAGATACCAACGAATAACACACCACCGGTGGTAGTCAGATTGGGTAGCGATACAACTTCACACATCGAATACGTTACATACTAGTGTGTTGTACGTGTACAATACATAAGAGCCATTTACAGAACACATGCGCAACTAAGGTAGCCCAGCATTAGATCTGATTTATGAAGCTGAAGGCTTTACGGCAAAACTTCTCTCTAGAACAGGCCAAATATTCTGGGCCCAAAGGGGAGATACAGCGATTAGCGTGGCGGTGGCGGCTGCGGTGCCATCTTCTCCTTCATCTCGTCGGCCCACCTCACAGCGTTCCGCTGGAGAAGCCAGATGCAGGCGGCGCTCGCGCCGCAAAGGAGCGCGACGATGGTAGACAGCCAGCCAACACCGATGGCGTCGAGAAGAGGCTGCGCCGCGACGCTCGCGGCCGCTCCGAGCGTGTTGCGCACCAGGTTGGCCAGCGCGACGCCCGCAGCGGCCCGCCCGGGGACGAACTCGGTCAGCGTCACGGTCGTGATGTTTTGCATCATCATGTTGCCCATAGCAAAGAAGAAGTTGGCGATCAGCGGCACCGCGGGCACGCGCGGGTGGGCCCACGAAGTCCACCCGGCGACCAGGACTGCCGCCGGGTAGACCAGCGCGGCCAGCCAGGCGTTGAGACCCAGGGCGTCCTGGGGACGAGGCCGTGGCCGCCCCGCCGCCGCGGCCTTGCGGCGCATAATGCGATCTGTCCAGCGCCCCCCGAGAGTCGCTGCCAGAACGTTGCCGAGCGCGTTGGGCATGTAGAGGAGGCCGACGATGAGCGGGGAGTACGAGTACGGCGGGGCGGAGAAGGTGGCCTGGATGACGATCATGACAACGTAGTAGGCTGCGAACGCGACTCCTGTGTAGAAGACCGTGATCAGGACGGGTGGGAACCGGAGAAGCTTCAGGAGGCCGGCTGGCTTGGCCAGCGCAGAGAGGACTGCGCGGACCCGTCTTCCGACCGTCACCTTCCCAGTACGAGGCGCTTCCGTCTTCTCCGAGCGCATCGTAACATTCGATGTCTCCGGTACGAAGAACAAGATGGCGAACCAGACGACGGCTCCGTAGATGACCATAAACCACTGTGTGCTCCGCCAGCCCCAGCGCTGGCCGAGCGCGCCGCCGAGGATGGGCCCGAAAACATTGCCGCACATAGAACCTAGAAGGAAGATGCCCATGGCGCGGCCACGCTCCTCAAGCTCCCACAGGTGCGCCACGGTAGCCGCGCCTAGGGCCTGGACGGGTGCCGAGGCGGCGCCGGCCAGGAGACGCATGGAAATGAACATGGCCGGCGAGACGCTGAGAGCGGAGGCGACATTGAAGACGATGAAAAAGAAAAAGGTCAGCACGTAGGTCCGGCGGCTACCCTGGTGCTCCGACAGCACGGCCCACCACATCGGCGTAATGGCCACGGCCAGGCAGTAGAAGGAGATGGAGAGGTTCATGACCGTGGGCGTGGTGTCGAAGTCCCTGGCTGCGGGTGCAATTACAGCTGTCCACCTCTCAAAATTAGCGAACAATCGTACGGAGTAGCAGCAAGAGACATTGTCCGACTAACGCAGGAAGATGTTGCTCCCAAGCGGTGTCGCAAGGCCGCATGCTGCGACCATGGAGGTGACCACATGCTTGAGCGACCGCGGATAGTCGCGGGGATTGCTTGTTCTGGCGATCGCAGGAATTCCAAGACGGAGATAGTCTTTGGCGCGACTGGACGTCACGAAGTTACTGTGCTCTGCATCTGGTTTACTAGCGACCAAGACTTGGCCCGATCCAGCTGCTGGAGACGCTGCCACCATGCCCGGTTCCGTCGCCAGTCCCATGGCAGCGCTCTCGGTGTCGCTCAGCAGGCTTGTGATCAGCGATTTCTGAAAAAGATCTGTATGGCGATGCATAAGCCGTTAATTCTGAAGCTGTGGTTTCAACAGAAAATGTGGAGCTGGCTGATCAGCCTTACAGATTTATTTAGGCAGGACAGACTGCCCAAGCCCAGCAGATTTTGGTGGTTTATTACCAGGTATCGGTCAAAACGTCAAACCACGAGATTTCCAGTAAACAGATCCAACGATCAAATGATGGAGCAATATCTTGATGATGAACCAAAACAAGATGGAACCGAGAAGAGAGAATTCACGAATCATTGAATCTCCCAATCAACATAGGATTGCGTGGAAATCTACATCCGTACCGTGTAAGTTGTTTGCTTTTACCCGAGCACAAGCTGGAAGGCTCGATTACTCCTTCCAGTAATTCGGTTACTCCTTCCGGCATCAAGTGGGGCACCCAAACCCCAGGATTTGAAAGGCTTGGCATCGCCTTGTTGGCGTCTGGAATCCGTCGATCTTTGAACGCTCCCCAACGACCTGCCAAGACGCGTCACATGTTTTCCATCAGGCGGTCCTTTTTCGAAGCTCGCAAGCCTTGAGCCACGGAATAAACGATCTACGACATTTCAGAATCCCATCAGCCTGGTGCATTGGCCTTTGCGCTTTCTGCCGTCTTCCGACAACTCGAAGCACGCCAAATTCACCATCAACCATGGCTCAAAAAGCCATTGGCGTTATTGTCTGCAGTACCCGGCCCAACCGCATCAACCCGTCGGTGGCCAAGTATGTTCTGGACATCATGGAGACCGTCCCCCAAGCGGCGGACGGAACGGTCAGGTTGGAACTCATCGACCTTGCGGACCAGCATCTACCGCTCTACGATGAGCCCGCCGTACCAGGCCACCTTCCTGCCGGGGACCCAACGCCGCACTATGTGCACGCTCATTCGCGAGACTGGTCGACGACAGTGCGCCGCTTCGATGCCTTTGTCTTCGTCACGCCACAGTACAACTGGTCGGTCCCCGCAAGCCTCAAGAACGCGCTCGACTACCTGTTCCACGAGTGGAAGGGCAAGCCGGCAGGCATCGTCACCTACGGCCACCGTGGCGGCGAGAAAGCCGCGGCGCACCTCGTCACCATCCTCGCGGGTCTGCGCATGGGCGGCGTAGTCGAGCCGAAGGTAGCGCTGCGCATAGTGAAGGCCGAAACGGACCCGGGTGCCGTCGGGTCGGCTGCTCGAGCGTTGTGGCTGGAAGATGGTGCTGACAGGACTATCAGGGCCATGGCTGAGCAGCTGTCGCAACGCTGCCTGGCAGAGGAGTAGGAGTAGCTCTTGAACAGAACTAAGGTAGGCACTCTTTACAGCGCCGTTGTCGGGGGACTCGCAGTGCCTATAGTTTGAACAGCCAATCAAAGGTTGAACAGTCCTGGAAAGCCTAGCCTACATTACACCCTCGGCTCGGTCCGCTGACACTCAGCTGACGCCTGTTTGAAATGACAGTTGTGGAATGCAGCCCAAGAAAGCCCAACCTGCCTCCAACTAGGAAGCTACATAAAGCACGCGGACCGAGATTCTTTGGCAATGCAGTGCCCGACTTTGCTTCCGAGGCTCGCACTACTGAACGTTTGCAGCTGTTGATGGAACGATAGACGGGATCTGTACATTCTGGAAGCTGGAAGCGGATTCTGCTGGCCTGGACCGCTTGGCTGCAGCGCGGCAAGGTGTCACACGGCAAAAACGACATCGCCGCCTGCAAACGCATACGGATCCCCGGTATACCGTGCGACATAAGGTTCCGCGACAGAGAGGGTGGCACACCCATAACCGACGGGGCTCCAATAGGGGAAGGGCCATTCCGCAACGCAATGTGGCGGGAGATCCCTATTGGTGCGCGAGATATTCGTGAGTCCATCCTTGCGCAGACCTCAGCTTCCAGTTCCGCGCAGCTTTGCCGCTTCCCATCTCAGAACCCGGTTCCTGAACTTGGACCTAAAGTACCTGAACCGACCAAGAACCCCGAACCCGGAGATACTCTCGAGCCGGAGTAAGCTCTGGAGGACCCGCCCGATCCCGGCGAAGAAGACCGTTTTCACCAACAACCTGGCCAAGAACTGAGATGGAAACCGGCTAGTTTTCAGAGGATTAGAAGATCAATGGGGGATTCCATATCCTGTTGAATAGAGCACATTGCCTGGAGGTTAGTAGTGGGATTCGACAGCCACCACGATTTGCATCACCGGGTAGTTTTGACGATTTCGTCGTAAGGTGGCCGTTTGCGGGGTGTATTCCGTACACATATTTAGTTCCAGCCGGCTGGCTGGTTGGATGCGGGATTTTTCCGCTCGAACATGACGGAATGCATCCCCATTACACTGTTCCATCGGAACACCATCGGCGCTGCCCCTCCTTTCACCCGCCTCCCACCCGGCCCGCTTCACCGCCGCAAGAGACCCTTATACACGCCTTCTCCTGCATTCTCGATCCCAACATGGTACATGAGTCCGCTGCGGAATCTACCTTCGGTGGCAAAGTATCGTGTCAAACCTCGTAATGTTGGAGGCGGTGTAGTCGAGACGGATACCCCGAAGCCTGGTAGGTTCGGGAGGCGGAGTGTTTCTTTGGTTCAGGAGGCATCTCATTCTCACATGCATTATCTACATGTCGATCGAGCCTCGCTTTATGTAGCACGGTACCGCAAAGCTTACGGCCTCTCCTGAAGCGTTCGCGCGCACTTACTAACCTTAATAACTTCTGGCTGACTGCATTGACCATCGCGAGGGAGGTACCAAGGCTCTGCTGCATTCGGATCTCGCCGGCAAATGTGGGCCTGCGGCGGCGGGCTCTGACAAAGCTTGTTCTAGACACCGACCTGCAACTTTTGCGCTTTATGTATTACCCGATCAACTCCCTGCGCTTGATTCCTTATCTCATACATAGCACGTATCCGTGGCGATCGGCCCGCTTTTCCCTGTGCACAGTAAGCAGTACGAAAGAGAGATATACTACCTAGACTAAGGTACTCCGTACCTACCATGGTATGGTACATACATCAGGAAATTCCTCGCATTTAAACTGCTAAAATAACTGACATAATAACGTGAGACTCTAGGACCGTGCAGGGGACAGCGCTCACACACGGCGATCTTCGGAGAAAAACGGAACGTTTACAGTTGCGGGTCCTCCCGTCTTGGCCGGCTTGGTCGTCTTGGCCTGTCCATTTTCCTCTCTTGAATCTTGACAGACAAATGGAACGTTAGATTGACGCTTCGTTTATTTTAAACTCGGGGCGCTCTTCATCAGCGCGTCTTGGATGTAACGTCGGTGCGCTGCGGATTACACCAGATGTATGCATGCAAGCAACCAAATGATACTCGGGAGCAGTGGGGCGAAACTTTATCTTTGGTGGCATTGGGGGTCACCACCAGCGGGCCGCGGCTACTGCTACTAGTACTACTAATACTACTAGAGCATGGGGGCGCCTGCCTGGTGCGCAGCAAAGACTCTGGCCAACGGCGCTTCTCCACTAGGTAGAGTTGCCTGCGCGGCGAAGTATTCTGATGAACGGTTGTGAGCTGACCCCGGACCACTGCTGCAGCTAGTCAACAAGAGCGTAGAAGCCTGCAAGCCGCAATTTCGCCCCCAAACGACACCAGCTTTGGCGACGCGTTGGCACCTGCCGAAATGAGCCTCGAGCTCGCCGGAATCGAAACTTGAAAAACTGCATCTCTCCGCACGCCTGCTCCAGCCAAGCGTCAGCCCCCGATTCTGGAAACCCGTCAAAAGCGCCATCGCCGCCATGTTCTACACCTTTCGCTCGGGTATCGCCGAAGGCCCGACGCCGCCGCCCCGTCCGGTGCGTCAGCCCGGTTCCGGATCGACCCGCAGTGACGGCCCCGCCTCGGCACAGTCGCGCTCCGGCGCCTTCAAGGCGTGCAAGCGGTGCCGTCTCTATCGGATCAAATGCGGCGATAAGCCATGCGCGGCCTGTCGCGCCAACAATGCCAAGTGTGTATGGCAAAGCCCGGCCGAGTCTGCCGCCACAGGCGCTTCGTCTTCCAGGACTAGCAGTTTGAGCTCGCCGGCGCGTTCGCGTTCGCGCACGGCGTCTCCCCCGTCCACGCTCGCGCCCGTCACCGTCGCCGTGGCCGCTGAGGACCCTAGCACCCGCACCATCTCCTCCGCTCCGCCGTCCGCTCAATTTTCATCGTCCTCCGACTCTCCAGCTCGTGATTTCCGGCTCTTGTTGAAGACTGTTTCGGCTGGTCTGAGCTCGGACGGCGCCTGGGACAGCAATCCATTCCCTCCTCTGCCCCAAGACGCCGGCCTCTGGCACGACATCGCCGCCCGCGTGGATCCGTCGCCGACGCCGCTGAACAAGGCTCAGCAAACATACTTTGCCCGCCTGTTTTGGACCTCGTGCGGCTCATTCTTCCCGCTGATGTCCGAGGTCGAGTTCCAGGCTCTGTTTGCAGCAGACTGGGCCAGCCTGTTCAGCAACAACCCCATCGCAGCCGCCGTGGTCGACGGCATGACGGCCCTCGGCACGCAGTGTGGCTATGCGTCGGGCACGGGAGGCCGCATTCTCGGCTTTGACGCCGCCACTCGAGCCGCCGACCCTCACCTCCTCCGCCAGCGCAGCGTCGAGTATTTTGCCCGCTGCCGCGACCGTCTCCGCGACGAAGGCGCCCGGGTGACCGTCGATGCGATCCGCTGCTACGTTGTGCTTTCTCTCTACCATCTCCAGGCCAACCAACTGGAAAGCGCGTACTACATTGTCGGCCTAGGCGTCCGCCGCGCCCACATGATCAAGCTGCACCAGGCGCCGCCGCCGCACCTCGGCAGCCACGAGGCCGTCGGGCGCATCCTTACCTGGTGGATGCTGTACTGGCTCGACATCCACTGCTCCATGCAGCTTGACCGCCCGCCGGCCGTCCAGCAGTCGACCGTCACCTGCCCGCTGCCGCCCGACCCCCGGGACGACCCGCTCGCCGACGCCACGTCGGGGCAGGCCCCGTGGAAAGGCATACACCCGAGCGCCTTCACATACTTCTCTGCGAAGCTCACTCGCGCCATGGCAGAGGCTCTAGAGGGTGCACCGAGCGCAATCCTCCAGCACACGTCGGTTTCCGCGCTGGAGGAGTCCGCTCAGCAACTGCTATCCAACTCCATGAAGAGCCTGGAGATTTGGCGCGCGAGCCTGCCGGTACAACTCACAAGCGCGCGCGAGGAAAGCAGCGGCAGCAGCAGCAGCAGCAGTACCAGCAGCTTAGGGTTAGAGCTGGCGACGCCCGATTGGCTCCAACGCCAGCGGATGATCCTCGACCTCCGCTACTCCAATGCTTGCATGCTGCTTCAGCGTCCATTTGTGCTATGGAGTCAAATCCCCGGCATGTCTGGCATTTCTGAGGAGAATCTACCGCGCAGCAAGTACCATGCTGACGGCGCGGTCCGGCAGTAAGTTGCATTTTGATTATTCTACCACCTAGTGTCCCCGGTCCATGCCCTTCAAACTGACAGCCCCTCGTGTCCTCGTGCACGCTAGTGCCTCGAACATGATATCCCTCCTCTACGGCACCTACTCTAAAACCGACATCTTCGACGGTCTGCCCATGACGCTCCAGTCGCTGTGGAACGCCGCCATGACCCTCACAGCACACATCTACGTCACCGGCGGCGCGAGTCCGCAGGCCGCCGAGCACGCCTACTCACTGTCGACGGCGCTGGTGGTCCTGGAGTCGCTATCCCACGCGAACCCGGAGGCGGTGCGCGTCTACTCCATCATCAGCCTTCTCGCGTCACGGCTCCAGGAAGCCACGGGGTTGAGGATACACCACGGCGACAGCAGTACTGGCGGTGACGGTGGTGGCGGCGAGCGGACCCCTGCCGAGCCGGATCCGGCCTTCCTGTTCTCCCCTACCGACCTTTCGGGCCTCGGTGATACGGCAGCACTGTCGGGCTTTTACGCGCCTGTCAATACGATGCAACAAACCCTTTTAGACGACGCCAACTACATCACGACAGGCTTTGATAATACTCTCTATCCGGGCTTTGAGAACCTGTTTGATGATTTAGGCGGAGAAGCCCACGCCAGCTCGTCGTCGTCGTCACAGTTCGTTAGCAAGCATTCATGAGAATGGTGCACAGATCCAGTGACGAAGCAAGGGGTTTATATGGGATTGGATAGCTAGACAAAGTGATGAGGCCTATAAACCCTGAGTCCGCAAAGCGGATAGAACGATAGATATAGTCCCAGTATATTGCAGCGGAGGGAAAGGTGTTACTAAGGTCAGTACGATAGGTCAAGTTGCTAACCGCGAGGGAATGACCGCTTGGTCAACGTCGCCCGGCTGGGAAGCTAAGGTAGCTAGAGCATCGTCCTCACCCAGTGCCGACTGGCTCTCTAGGGGCGCATTACTAGGTAGCCTTGGGCCCTTGAGCATGGAATTTCATGAGGGCTGCCTTTTTGCTGTTTGCTGTCCGCCGTTTTCCCTTCGCACTCGAGGAGCTACAGGTGGCCGTAGAGGCCCACTACTTACCTACACTAGTATCCGGGTACCAATATGTCGGGTATGCACCTATGGACAACTACATCTAGCCAGCAAACAAAGGGATCTAGGAGATAGAGCTAGCATCGCTTTGAATTATCATTGGCTCCACCAGAGTTGAACAAATACTTGCATTTTTGCTGCAGAGGATTCAGACCTTGCCCTTCACAAAGCGCACGTAAGACGGTAAGAATAAACGGCTATTGTATGAAGTTCGAAACGTTTGTCAAGTATGTACGAGTAAAATGCAGTTCTGCAAAAAGGTAGCATGCGGGAGAGGGATGTCTGTACTCCATCGGCAACCTCGAAGAGCAACAGATAGGTAGAGCCCCTCAGCAGGCGCCGTCCTTCTTGCCCGGGCCGTTGTAGTTCTGGCACGGCGTCTTGGCGTCGGTGCAGACGTTGACCAGGGTGGCCTTGTCGCCGTTGGCCTTGGTGATGCCGACAACCTCGCCTCCCTTGCGAGCCGTGACGCCCTCGACGTAGACCTCGCGGGCGCACTTCTGGCACTGTATTTGGAAATTAATTAATCAGTGCGACTCTTGCTTGCGAAATTGTAGCGCAAAAAGACTTACAGTTCCGCACGAGCGATAGACCTTGCCGTAGTCTTCGGCGTAGAAGTTGATGATCTATAGTTTGGTCCGTGTCAGCCAGAACACAGCAAAATACCTAGCTATGATGAATTTATTTAGGGGAGAATCACGAACGTTAACACGGCCGCAGCCGTTGTGCTGGATGACCTTGTCCGCAGCATGGTAAGCGCCGCCGCCGATGATGTTGGTCACGTCGCCGGGCCGGTCCTCCTTGATGGAGATGGCGTCCTCGCAGACGTCCTCGAACCAGACGAACTCGAGGTTGCAGCCGCCGCCCTTGCAGTAGACGCCCTCGCCGACCGTCTTGCCGATGATGACGTTGCGCAGCGTGCCGCCGCGCTCGACCACAAAGGCCGTGTCCTTCTCGCCGCCCTCGCCCTGCCCCTTGCACGTGCTCGGGCTGCGGTCGAACTTCTGCCACCCGCCGTCGTACACCTCGCCGGCCTTGACGTAGATGGGCGCCTTGAGCGGCACGTTGTTGGTCGACTTGGGCACCCCGCCCTCGTACCCGAGGCAGGCCAACGCCGTGGGCGCCGTGGCGGCGGCGAGGAGAGCTAGCTTGGCGAACATGGTGATTGTGTTGTGTTGTGTGGAGGAGAGTGCGATGTGCGAGAGAATAGATGATGCGCCGATTTGGAGTTGAGGCGTCGCTGTTTCTCTGTCAATCTGGAACATAGGAAGAGGATATCCCTTGGAACTCTTATAGACATCGCCCGACTATGTCTTTGTCCTTCCCCTTAACGGTTTTCGTTGCCGGTGCTGCCGGCCATGGCTCGAGGCTCCGCCCAAGTGGTGGATTCTCTCCGGCGTCAACATTGAAAGGAGAACACAGTAGGGTGTAGGTGCAGTTCCGGACCCTCCGGTGTACACCATGTTCGACGAGCATTGGCACCCGGCGATAGTGCCTGGTTTGAGTTTCTGGAAGAATGAAGACGGAGCATCGCTTGGATGCGCTCCAATGAATTTCTAAGATATCATCCGTCCAAGACCCTAGGGTTTGTTTCGAGTCGTCTTGGCTCTTGCTATCCTTCTCTGTTCTGTGGGTCCCGAGCGCCTGGTTTAGACCTCGCGGCATGATACACATGATAGGGTCTGTACCATGTGCGCCGATCGACGTGTCTTGGCTTTGGAGGCCAAGAATCCCTCAATGTTGCCCTGCTGCGTTTCCCCGTCCACTGTCGAGCCAAGGTGGGAAAGGGGGACTATGGAGTTCCCTGCCACAATGGGACTCTGCCCTCCGAGCCTTACGTCTATAGGGGGAGTTTATTCCCCTAGGCACGGAACGCACGCTCCGTTTTGATGGGGCCTTGATTTCTTCTAATGTCCAACACGAAGTCGGTGGACGTGGTGAGTGGAACTCGTGACAAACCTCTTCTAAATGGGTGCTAAGGTACGTATGTACTATGCATGCACAAGTACCTGCCTACCCTTTCGAGGAAAAGAAAGCAATATTGCGCGACGACGTGGTCAGATAGCCACCTAGTATCGTTCCCGTAGCTGCCAGTGTTTCGACTTTCCCATTGCTCGTCGTCGAGTCCCTTCAGACTCAAGGGAGAACGGAGAGCGCGAGGTAACGGCCGACGACTTTCATGCATTTCCTCCCTAGGGGGCCAGCTTCAGCACCACCGTGAAGCAGCTTGAGATCTCGAATTCGTCAATCTAGGTAGAAGGGAGAGATACTACGCCTGAATTATGTTCTTGGTAATGTCGTTGCCGATTAGGCCAGCACCGTTCACCGTTGTTTCCCTCTCTCTTCTAAGGCTTGCTAAGGCATTAGCCATCGTTAGGGTCGGTTCCGACAAGGGCAACTAAAGTGGTATCTATACCGCTGATGGTGAAGCGGGTTGGCCTGACCTGAATCGACACCGACAGCGATCCCAACTGCAACATATCTAAGTCATGTGTTGAACTCGTGCAGTAGAGTGATGCAGGCTAGGCGCTGGTTGGCTTGGATGTGTCAGTGTAACGCACTATACATCCAGCGGCTGATACGTATGTATATGCTTTGTCTTGACACCTCCAGGGCCCATGGAAACCTACCTAATTCTTCCGCGAGTCACCGGCTTCCGCCCAACTGCCGTCCACCAATGAACGACCTGATCGCCGTGCCAAGCGTCAAGGCTAGGACCTTGTGGGAAGTTCCGGGCTGACTCATGATGAAGATGAAGATGTGATGCATTGCACCTCTTTATGTTGGCAATTCGCTGACCGTCCTGACAAGTGACAAGTTGACGACGATTACGGTGAAGCAGGCTCGCGCATGACAGATGACCTGCTGCCATAACACTACTTCCCACTCTTAGTCGTAGGGATGGGGACCGTCCTCGATAACCTGTAGGACCTATCTCGACTCTCGAGTCAGTTCTAAGATAGGGTATCTCGAACTCCAGAGGTTAGTAGAAGAGGGGTCCTATATCTCTGCACCAAGGGTCCAGATCAACCTTGCCCCTGGAGTGGGTGAACATATCATCAAGAAACTCCATGTAACCCACTTCAGGGTCGGGCAGGATCATCTCTAAGGAAGAGGTAGGCCTCAATGCCCATCAAGCCCGCGGATCCCACTCCGGATCGACCTGATCCAACAACCCCAACGATTCCACCACCTCCGCCCCGAGCACCCTGTCCAGCGGCACCAACTTGAAGCTCGCCTCGGGACTAGTCCCATTCCCTTCCCCAGGCAACTGATTCGCGTCATCATGCACCACCACCAACCCGCTGGGAAACCTCTCCCCCAACCTGGTCCCAACAGCCGCAATGCCGTCTGTGTTACTAACTGCATCGACACTCCCATCCCCCGACTCGACAATAGTAAACGCCATGACAAACTCGTGCGGCGCCTTACGCCGGTACACGTTATACGCGCTCACGCCCTGGTTTGACACAAGGATGAACCCTTCCTCTCTGCTCTTGCCATACACCAGCGTCACGCCCTCAACGTCCGCCCGCAAGTGGCCGTCGCCCACCGTCGCGATGGCCACCCCCTCCGGCGAATTGTTGTTACTACTACTACTACTACTACTAGTAGTAGTATCAGTAGGAGGCTCAGCATCGTACCGCCACAGTGCGTGCGGCTCCTCGCCGATGAAGATAAATCCGTTCTCCTCGTCGGCGACGCACCCTTCCACCTGCCCGCCGGACCCGGCATAGAAGGAGCGCGCCAGCGTGGTGACCAGCGTGCCGTTGGCCGTGGCGGTCAGTTCGTACTGGAGGTATTCGGCCGACTTGGCGTTGACGAAGAGATATTGCTTTCCCGAGGCGGGCGAGCGGTACGCGCACGAGCCGTAGACTTTGTACTTCGCGAGTGTGGGCTGGACGCCGCCCGGGATTGGGGCGAGGGTGCCGTTCGCGGTGATTTCGAAGAGGCACAGCGTGTTGTCTGCGCGGCAGGCGGCGAAGGCGAGGTCGATCTTGCGCGCGCCGGCCTGGAAGTTGTAGATGACGTCCACGTTGTTCGGCTCGCCGGCCGGGAGGGTCTGCAGGAGTTTGCCGGACAGGTCAAAGACGCCGAGTCCGGCACCCTGGGCCGACTTGGTGGTCGTGATGATGCGGGACTGGCCGCGGTCCTTGGGCGAGATCCAGATGGCCGGGTCGTCGCCGTCGCCGCCGTTGGCCTCGGTCTCGGCGACCGGCTGGACTAGGACAAACGAGCAGTGCAGCCCGCCCCAGCCGTCGTTGCAGTTGCACTGGTTCGGCCCGATGCATTTGCCGTTGCCGGAGCAGTCGTCTTCGCAGGTGTAAGTGTTGCAGGTCTTGCCCTGCCAACCGGAAAAGCACGAGCACTCCATGCCTCTCCCCTTTTTGGCGCAGTAGCCGTTGCCCGAGCAGGCGCTGCAGATGGGCGACGACTTGCTGCCTCCGGTGCTAGGGTCGTACTTGGTGTTCACCTTGAGGTCCAGCGCCTGGAGAGCACCGTCGAGTGAGCTAACCCCTAACCCGGTTACGTCCTCGGCCTCGATGGCGTACGTGAGCGCTCCGCTGGGGTATTGAGACGTGGAGCCCTGGAAGACGCCGAGGCCTTGGATTTCAATGTCCTCGTGGCCGACCAGCTGAAGGTTGCCGAGATGCTTGAAGGGGGGCGCGTAGACAGCCACGGTGTCCTTCATCGCCACGAGGAGATAGTCGACGCCGGCCTTGTCAGAAACGTAAATTGCCACGCCTGTTACGTCGTCCTCAGCCTCCCCGACCTTGCTGATCTTGGGTTGTGCTGTCGACTCGGCCAGGTCAAAGACATAGACGTCCTTGTCGTCGTCAGCCGAGACGAACATCTTACTCAGCGAAGGGGACGTGGCGCATCCCGAGGCCTCCACAGGGAGCGGGAAGGTTTGGATCTATCACTGCAATGAGCTTATTCATCACTCCTTCAGCCTCGGAAGGCGTGGAGGAACGTACCTCCACGAACTCGGCGTCTTCGTAGCCGTCCTCATCATCGTCCTTACGAACAAGAAACACCTTCGCCTCTTTCTTGCCAAAGAGGTAGACATAATCACTCCCACTGGGACTCTTCCACGAGCACAGAGCCGACCAATCTCCGAGAGCCATCGTCCGCGCCGATTTGACTTCCTCAAAGTCCGGCAGTTGCCACGCCCGGAGGATTGAGTCCGGCTGGCCAATGCTGACGGCGAGGCCAGTCTGCGTCTTCTTCTTCTTCCTCTCCCCGTTTTTGTCCTTGTCGCTACCATGGACGGTGGTCACCAGCTTGGTCCTTCGGCCGGGCGTCTCCGCATGAGCCTGGGCAAGAGTCGCGGCCGAGTCAAGATCCCACGCGAGCCAGCCCCCCGTGGCGGCGCTGCCGTCGTTGCCTAGGAGGAGAGGGTTCTTGCCGTAGTAGACCGATGTCCAGTCCGACTCGATGTCGGGGACCACGGCCGAGACAGGAAGCTCGACGTCGGCAGCCGCAGCACGGATCGGCAGGCTGAAGGCGAGCAGCGCTGCCGCTGTGAGGCGACGCGAGAAGCCCATGATGTCCAAAGCTGAGGACTATAATACTGCTCGGACAGTAATATCGCTTAACTGTATCACGCGCCACGGCGTGGCATGGCGGATTGGAGTAAGGCCAGGGGCTGGACGCGACAGTATTTATTGCCTGCTCAACCTGCTACTACTTCCAAGATTGCGAGGCATATTGTGACTATTTTTGCCCGCGCAACAGCTCGTCTATTCTGGACTCACGGTAGCAGTGAGAGGACCGATTCTTCCCAGGAGGTTCACCGATGGGGTCAGTGTTTTGGCTTGGCAAGGGGGGGAGTTTCAGATCCGCGTGCTGGTGACCAGAACCTCGATTGGCCAGGTTCATGGTCCGGCAATAGGAGCAGGCGCGGGGGGCGCCGCCTTAGCCAGGCCGCCGTTCGTGCCGTCCTGGGGAGTTGGGCACGTGGGTTGCTCTCGGGAAATGCAAAATCTTGACAACTGACAACTGCTTTTGATGACTCAGCAAGCACGGGCCAGCGCCTTGACCGAAGTTTTGCCGGCCGAGAACTCGTTCGCGTTCCCAGAGTAGAGCCGTAACGACTACAAACGGTGCCGGCCACGGAGGCCGGAAGGCGTTGCCTATTCTACTTTATTCATACCCTATTAGGTCCCTTATACTTGTATCCCGCGTGTGACGACTAGATGCAATTGAACAGGGTCAAGCCGGCTGTTGTTGTCATTCTATTTCGTGAATCTAAGGTTGAGGAAAGGAAAGAGAAGTTCTGAGTCAGTGGCCCAGAACATTACACGAATATATTGCTGATTTGTGGGTCATGTGACCGGTGCTCCACAACAGCCGTCAATCAGGGAGGTCGTGGGTTCGACACCCATATCGACCGTGACACTATAATAGAGTTAAAGGGAGTGAGCAGCGTATGATGAAACCATAGGCAGTCCTGCCTCTAAAAGGGTTCGCCAGTCGAAGGTACTGCTGGTCGGACTATAGGTCTCGGTAAAGCCAAAAGGTTTATAACAATATAAGTCGTAATGTCTGTATAGTAGGTAAAGGCTATTGCTTAAATTGCTTACTAGAGAACTTCCTAAGTCCTTTAGAATAACGTATCTTATAAGCGAGCGGGACATATAAGCGAGCGGGACACTCTCCACCACTCTACAACAACCATCCTCAATTGCAGGACAATAAGACCATTAACCAACTACAATTACATCAGAAACAGCTGAATCAGACCCTTCTACAACCTCCTGGCACGTACGGGCATTATGGCCAGGCTTGCCGCACACACCATAGCACCGAACCTTCGTACGAGCCCCCCCTGCACCACCACTATCCGGCTCCTTTTCTTGCGCTATCTCCCCAACCACAGCCTTCTGGTCCAGTAGATCCTTTGCATCTTGTACCGCAAGCGATCCTCCAAGCTGCACGCGTGTTCTTTTGGCTCTCCGGCGCTTGCTGAGTGCCTCGTTGGCCTTACGGAGCGAAGAGACCTCGGCGCGAAGAAGAGCCATCTGGTGCATTATAGCCATTGTACCCTTGGCCAACTGGTCTATAGCAGCCAACATCGAGGTTGGGGAGCTATTTTGATGGTTGGCAATACGAGTCTTGATGAGTGTAGACTGCGCATTGGCTTCCCGGGAGTTGTATGGTGTCTGGAAGACCCAAGACTGTGTAGTGCTAGGCCGTAAGGTTGGGGGTGTTAGTGTACGAAGCTTGATATCCAGCTTAGAAAGTACCCTCTCTGGATCGTACGGTATAAGGCCAGCACCTATAAAGCCACCCTGTATATTCTTCTCCGTTATAGAGGCGAAGAAAGCCTCGCGGAAGGCATAGAGGAACTCGAGCTTGCTTATGTGGTTGATATGCATGCGTATCAAGTCCTCGACCTGGCGACCGTACGCCTGCTTTAGCGGCCCAAAGCAGCCAACATCGAGTGGCTGGAGGAGGTAGGAGGAATGCAGAGGCATACAGAGTGTGATAATGTGATGCTCCTGGCAGTAGAGCTCGAATTCGGTCGAGTGGTGGCTCTTATGGCCGTCGATGATCAATAACCGATATTTGCCCTTTGTACGGGGTGCTATATGGAAGTCAAAGTGCTTGATCCAATCGAGGCCTACGGCATTGGTGGTCCAGCCGTTCTCGGTGGTCGCGATACGCCAGTCGGCCGGGAGGTTGCACTCTTGATACCAGTTGGCAAGGTGGTATTGCGCGGCCAAGATGATGAAGGGTAGGATAGCCCAGCCGAGGGCATTGACTCCCTGAATTACCGTAGCCCACTCGCGGTTACCAGGCTGGGCCAGCTTTGCCTTGCTACGGCCATCAGAGGTTGTAACTACCATGCCTGGGAAGATGATACCCATCATAAACCCAGTCTCGTCGAAGTTATAGATATCGTCATCCACAATGCCGTACTTGGCCTTGACATTCTATACGAGCGCGAACCACTCGCCAATAACCTCTGGGTCCTCGCACTTAGCCCTCTGGTAGTCGTATCGACGTGACCAACATGTACGGAGAGCGGGCTGGCGTTTAACGAAGTTATAAGCCCAGAGCTTGCCGACAGGGGGCGCATTGCGTACGCGTAGCAGTTGGTTGGCCATATCTTCCACACCACGTAGCCTTGGTGGAAAAGCTCGCTCAGATAGCTCAGTTATATACTGGACTATAGCCTTCTCTTCTAGATCGGTAAGCTTCCGTGAGTTGGCTGGAAGATCGCGTCGTATAGGCCGGCCGGTACATCGGTAGCCGAGGGTTGAAACTGGCACGTTATAGAGCTTGGCCGCGGCTCGGAGGCTTAGTTTCGTATCATTTTCAAGAGCTTTGAGGGCCAAGGTTACCCTAGCTTCCTTTGAAGCGGAAGACATCTTTAGTTGTAGGAAAAACGCGTTGTTGGAGGTAGATGAAGAAGGACGCGTCGTGCCAAGAACTTAGTGTCCTGCTCGCTTATATGTCCCGCTCGCTTATAAGATACGTTAAATGACTAGCTAGCTTATATACTATGGGCTTTCTATAGATCACTGCTTGTCTTTGGTGATCCTTTATACTAGGTCATCCTAGATCACTGGTGATCCCCTATGAGCCTTATAGTTAGATCACCAAGCCTTCCCTATACCAAGCGTGGTTCTTTTCTGATTGGTCCGTTCCTGGACTGGAGTGATTGGATGCGGGCGCCGCCCGCGGACTATGCAGCTCGGCCCCACCGGCCTTTGCAGGTTAATTCATGACCGAGATTTACGAGATATTATAGATTACAATAGCCTTATGTACGAAGAGTTTAGGGTCCTTTTTAAGAGCTTTAAGCGTAAGAATTATACGGCTTCCTTTTACAAGAGATTCTATCTTATTTTATAGAGAAATTTTATATAGAAGTTAGTAAGTTATCAGATTCGAGAAATGTGCAGTTCGCTATAGTGGGTAGTATGCTAGTTATGCAAGTATGTTATAACGTACATGATAAGCGAGCGACGCAGATAAGTGAGCAACGCACTTTCTACCACCCTATAGCAACTATCTTCAATTATAATATAACAACGCTAGCAACTAACTACAATTACATCAGAAATAGATGAATCAGATGATTCTACAGCCTCCTGGCAAGTGCGAGCATTATGGTCAGGCCTGCCGTATACCCCACAGCATCGAACCTTCGTACGAGCCCCCCCTGGACCGCTACTATCTGGCTGCGTTTCCTGCACTGCCTCCCCACCTATGGCGTTCTGATCTAGTAGATCCTTTGCATCTTACACAGTAAGTGAACCTCCAAGCTGCACACGTGTTTTCTTGGCATGCCGGCGCTTGCTTAGTACCTCATTAGCCTTGCGAAGCGAAGAGACCTCTGACCGAAGGAGGGCCACCTGGTGCATTATAGCCATTGTACCTTTGGCAAGCTAGTCTATAGCATCCAACATTGAAGTTGGGGAGCTATTTTGATGGTTTGCAATGCGAGTCTTGATAGCGTTGACTGTACGTCGGCTTCTCATAGGTTATATGGTGTCTGGAAGACCTAGGGTTGCGCAATGCTGGGCCGTGAGGTTGGGGGTGTTGGTGTATGAAGCTTTATATCTAGCTTAGAAAGCACCCGCTCTGGGTTGTATGGTATAAGGCCAGTCCCTACAAAGCCACCCTGTGCGTTCTTCTCTATTATAGAAGCAAAGAAGGCTTCTCGGAAGGCATAGAGCTACTTAAGCTTGCTGATGTAGTTGATATGCATGTATATTAAGCTCTCGATCTGGCGACCGTATGCCTGCTTAAGTGGCCTAAAGCAGCCAATATCGAGAGGCTAGAGCCTATAGGAAGAGTATAGAGGTATGTAGAGTATGACGATATTGTTCTCCTTGTAGTAGAGCTCGAATTCGGTCGAGTAGTGGCTCTTGTGGCCGTCGAGGATCAACAACCAGTATATGTCCTTTGTTCAAGGTGCTATATAGTAATTAAAGTGCTTGATCCAATCCAAACCTACTATATTAGTAGTTCAGCTATTATCAGTAGTTGCAATATGCTAGGTAAGTAGTAGGTTGCACTCCCGGTACTAGTTACTCTGGTGGTACTATACGGCTAGGATGATAAATGGAGGGATAACCCAGCTAAGGGCGTTGACTCCCTAGATTACAGTCGCCTACTCCCGATTACTAGGCTAAGCTAGTTTTGCCTTGCCACGCCCATCCGAGATTATAACCACTATACCCACGAAGATAACACCTATTATAAACCCAGTCTTATCAAAGTTATAGACATTATCATTAACAATCCTATATTTAGCCCTAGTATTCTATACAAGTATAAACCACTCGCTAATAACCTATAGATCCTCGTACTTAGCCCTCTAGTAGTCGTACTTACATATATACTATATATGGAACTCTGGCTAGCGTTTGACAAAGTTGTAAGCCCAGCGTTTGCCGATAGGGGGCGCGTCGCATTCGCGTAGTAGGTGGTTGGCCATATCTTCCACACCACTTAATCTAGGTAGGAATGCGCGTGTAGATAGCTCAGTTATATACTAAACTATTGACTTCTCTTCTAGATCCGTGAGCTTACGCGAGTTGGCTAGAACATCGCGTCTTGCAGCATGTCCCTTGCGCCGGTGGCGAATCGTTGCTTCTGGAACGTTATATAGCTTGGCTACTGCCCGGATACTGAGATTCTCGCTCTGTTTGATAGCTTCGAGGGCTAAAAGAAGCCTGGCCTCTTTTGAGGGGCTACGCATGGCTTGTTGCGGTGGTATTTGGTGGAAAAGTTTAGAGGAGGCGCGTCGTAGTGAAAGTGCGTCGCTCGCTTATCTGCGTCGCTCGCTTATCATGTACGTTATTATAAAAGAATAGAGAATAACGAGAATAACAGAGGCAAAGAAAATATATTAGATAACTAAGGTTACAATAACTCTATGTCACCAACGATACTATGGAGTTTTGGAATTGGGACAACCCTGCAGAATGCAACAGCGCGGTGGCGAGAGACTTCTGATGTCATATAGATCCGAGGGCGAAACGCTCTACGGTGGGGGAGAACTTCCTCCTTAAGGTTCAGTTGTTGAATAATGCGAATACCCACTGCCGCGAATAGCTTACCGCTCTCGGGTGCTGGAACCTCTCTCGACTGTAAATCGTGAGTGTGTCGTTACACTCTATCTTTTAAATTTAAGCTCTTTTTAATACCAAGGTAAGGTCAAAGGTGACGTTCGTACTAAGTCTATAAGGCCCGATAATAAAAGCCACGAAAAGTTCTCTCTGGCCTTAGACTAGCTGGCGCTGGTGTTATGTGTGGCATCTGATTGGCTAAAAGGGGGGATACGATGCAGGTGCGAAACAGGATTTGTGTCTACTACTACCTAGCTAGCTACCTGGGTCAAGGCACAACGCCCACCCCCCCTCGACTTGTCCTACTCCCATATATGGCCCTCGAAGTGACGACTCCCTACGAGGGCGGCACAAGCCGAACGTAAAGATGGTCCCCCCACTGGCCCCTATCCCTGTACTGCTCCACAACCTTGATATCGACCGACACGGGCGACCCAGCATACTTATGAACGACGACGCCGCTCAGCAGGAAGCTCATCTCATCAATCTTAGCCGCAGGAATCGAACCGGTCGTGCTCCGCGGCCGCAGCGTCAGCAGCAGATAGGGCGAACGGCCGTCGTCGGCGGGCGCAAACTGCGCCAGCACGTTCAGGCGCAGGTTAGACAGCATTTCGGCGCCCGCGCCGTCGTAGTTGTCCATCAGCGGCCGCGGCGGCTGCAGCGGCACCTGCAGCTGCAGCCACTCGAGCTCGAACGTCTGACCCGTGCCCGGCTGCAGCACGAGCGAGAAGACGAGGTCCTGTCGGCCAGGTTGCACGGGCACTTCGGACGCGCCGGCGGCGGCAGCGCCGATGGGGTAGAGCTTGTACTCGATCACGGGAGGCCCCGAGGGGGGGCTGCCGGGCGATCCGATTCCGACGGCGGAGGGGGAGGGGCCGTACTGAGGGGGACGAGGCGGCGGCTTGACTCGTGCCGGGAATCGGGCGGCGGGATGAGACGACGGCCGCGGCAGACGCGCGTGGGGAGGCGGATGAGCCAGGCGCATGGGCACGGCGCGGCGGCGGTCGCCAAAGGCTGGGTGAGGCGCGCAGGCAGGGCCGGAACGGTCGTGATCGTCGGTTCCCCAAGATGCCTTGTTTCTCGTTCTTGGCTGCCGCGGCTTGGTGGACAGCAACGGCAACGGCAACGGCAACGGCAACGGCGGCACTGCCGTCGCATCGGTGCTTTTCTTCTTCTCTGGCAGGGCGAATTCGAGCTGCCAGCTCGGCTCGCTCAACTGGATGCCCATCAAGGCCGAGGTGGGGTAGGGCTCGCTGTACCACTCCGGATGGCCGAGCGCGGTGAACAGCTGTATGAGCTGTGTACGCACGTCGCGCGCCATGTTCTCCACGTTCAGGATGCGCAGGTCCACCGCCGTGTCCTTGGTACCCCATATGAAGTTGACGCCCCTGTCGAGAGGTGGAGCGACGCCTCGCTGCAGGGTGTATGGGATACCGCGGTCCTTGTCCTCATCCTCGGCCGCGCCGTCGGTGTAGACGCGCTGGTACTGCATGGAGATGCCCGTGGCGCTCAGGTCCTCGGCTGCCGAGAAGTACTGCTGGTGGGGTGGCTGGCGGAGCAGCAGCGACGTGAAGTCGGGCGATACAGGGTATTCACGGAGCAGGCCGAGGAGCGTGTCCGGGCCGATGACGTCGTGCCGCAGAATGACGGGCGGACCACTGTCGTTGTCTTGCCGGGCCTCACCCTTCGTGCCGTCTTGTTCTTTTCTCTTGAAATCGACAATCAGATCCGGGAACTTGGTGACCAGGGCGGAGCGCAACAGGAAGCCGTACGTGGGCACGGGAGGGGTGTAGCCCAGGCCCGGCATCGTGGTGGTCAGGCACGTGTTGATGGCGCCCTTGATGGCGTCGCGCAGCCGGTCGTCGTCACGGTCCAAGTGGTTGGCCAGGCTGAGCCCCCCGTCGACCAGCGCGCTGACCCAGGCGGGGTCGATGTAGAAGAAGCGCAGGCTTTCGGGCGGGAGGTGGCTAGGGTCCGAGATGAGGTAGTGCGCGGGCGTGTTCGCGAGGAAGTACCGGTCCATGACCCAGCGGAGCACCACGGCCCAGTCGGTCGAGTAGGGCACGTTGTGTTCGTTATAGGGCACGTCGGCATCCCCGGCGCTGCTGGCCACCTTCTTGGCGGCCGCCTGGAGGTGCTTGTCGATCTCGGGGTCGATCGCACCGCTCTTGTAGCCGAGGTCGAGCGCCGGCAGCTCCCGGCGGAGCCAGCGGTTGGCCATGCCACGGGCGTGCTGTGACAGGCGTCGGGAGCGAGGGAGACCGGCCACCGTCTGGACCGTGTGGGCAATGGTGCTCACGACCTCCTCACGCGTCCGAATGGGCGACCGGATGCCCAGATCGGCCGACCATGCCCTGATGGCGCTGATCTGCGCTTCGTTGGTGGCCTCGTCGAACACCTGCTTGCGGACGCGCGACAGCGCTGCAGAAAAGGCCTGGTCTGCCAGCGCCAGGGTCTTGCCCAAGGCCCAGGCGGCCGAGTAGGTAATGTCCATGATGTTGAGCTGGTCGTCGAGGATCTGCAGCTTCGTGCCCGTGGTGGATGTGGCCGGCCACGCGGGCTGCTCCGGCGGGAACGACACCGTGTTCGGCGTCAAAGGGCCGCGGAAGAAGGCCGACGAGACTTCGCCCGTCGGCAACCGGTACCGGCTCAACGAGAAGCCGTCGTCGAGCCGCGCGGCCAACCGGGTCCCCACGCCGCCGGCCTGCTGCAGCTGGTCTCTGTCAGCCGCGCTGAGACAGGGACGGAGGCGGCCGAGGGTGTCGCCGAGATCTCGAAACGCATCGGCTACGTTGAACGAATGTGGCGGCAGACAGGTGTATTCCCACGAGTAGAGCGACGTCACGGCGACGAATGGCGTGGATGCCGGTACTGGCCACGCCATGGCCTCGACAGCCTCGATGTTGACCAGGTGCGCCACCACGGGCGTGGGCTGCGTGATGTCGAGCGGACCGGCACGGTGGCTCGCGACGACCGAGTAAGCGTGGTCGTCATCGTCCGTCTGGGCCGCCGCTGCGGTGCCGTGGAGGTGGATGTGGCGCACGTGGGCGAGGTACCGGTACGGCCGCACGCAGCACGTCGTCTGCGTCTTGCGGCCCGTGCCGTCTGGCTGCCAGTCGGTGAAGAGGCCGTTGAAGAGCCCAGAACGGACCAGAATCAGGTCCGTCTTGGCGTCCGCGCCGTCCGAGCTTCCGTCCCACGCGACAGACGACGCCGTGTCCAAGATCTTGCCCACTTCGGCCGCTAGCACGCCCGGCACCGTCAGCGTCGGGCTCTGGGCCACGGCCGTGCCAAGGCTGGTGCCCGCGAACATGGTGGACAAAGCAGACGGGTCGACACGCAGTTCGTCCCTAGTAAACAGCAAAACGGCTAGCCAGGGCACGCGGTTAAAGTCAAAGTCGGCCGGGTGGCTGCGCTCGTCGCCGTGGCTGGCGATGCGCTCCCACGGAAGCGTCGGATCGTTGAACACCATGTGCGGTAGCACCTGGAGCAGGTCGGCATGCCCAGGCGGAGGGTAGATTGAGTCAACGGCCTTCTCGGGCAAAGAGAAGCGCGGCGCAATGACGTTGAACTGGTGGCTGGTCGAGAAAGACTTGCACTCGGTCCCGGCCACCACGTTCTGCGTTACATCAATCCGGTGAAGGCCGGCCTCCACTCCGGGCACGTAAGACGAGTAGAGCTGCTCCTGGCCCGGTTCCAGCGGCGCCGGGACGGAGCCTTTGGTGTTGCGAAGGATCCGCTTTCCATGCTTGAGAACGAGATGTCGAGGGGACGGCTTCGTCTTCTTCCACCCGGGCCGCCTGAGGTCCGTCGTGGGGGTGCTGGACAGCTTCATCGCTGCTGTTTTGGGACGTCGATGGCCTCGGATGCCGAGGAGAGCGCGAGGGTTCGAAACGATTGCAACCTATCTATTGACTCACTGACAGACAGGCAGGGGCCGGACGGATGAATTGAGCTGCACCGTCATCATCCCACACACAGACTGCCGGGACTCCACCTGCCCTTCCCTCCACCGTGCATAGTTCCTACTTCCTGTCGGTCGAGACGCATCACCAAAGGGGAGCGACGGAGAGGGTGACGACATAGATCGGCCGCCCGTACACGTTAACGTGAAAGAGCCACAAACCGGCCGGTCTAGCCCGTTCTACTTCTACCAATGAGGTCTTCTAGCCAGCTGTGGTTGTCGCACAACAACTACACTTACTACACTCACCACCGACGTGCTGTTAACGACGAGCATATCTTCACTTGTATTCAAATTTGGCATAAAGCTACTATTAGTACATATAACTCAGACCTGGAACTTCGCGCTTCATGTCCGGCTGGTAGATTATCGGTCTTTGCCCAGAGCATCGCCAATTCAACGCTTGAAACCCGCATCTCGACCACCAGTGACCAGACAACACCGTCGACCATGGCCTCTCCTGTCGCCGTCATCGCCAACCCGGCGGATCCCAACGACCATTTGCTGTTCTACATTAACGGCACTACCCAGCAATTGGCCATGGAGGTCCGTCCGGTCAACACGTCTACCTTTACGCCATTTGTGAACAACGGTCCTGCAACGGGCTCCATCCAGGTCAATCCACTTGCCGTAGTCTTGAAGAAGAATGTGCCGACCGTCTACGGCACCTCGAAGCCGCAGGGCCGGTCGGGACCTACCTACGTTTCCATACTTTCACCCTACTACAATCCCATCAGCGCTGACCCGGGCGCACAAACCACAACACCAGGCCTTGCGGCGTGTTCCGATGACGATGCCAACGACTGGGTCTACTATCTCCGGCAGCCCGAGTAAGTCAACATTGGAAAGGTTATCAGCACATGAATGATGAAGTCTATACGCTATACTGTATGGTATGGATGCGCATTGACATGATCGGCGGCTTGCTGTATTAGCGGCCAAGTTACCTACCAGATCACCGAGTTCCTCGTCGACGGGGTCAACACCACGCCCTCCACCCCGTGGAAGGGAACTTCGGCCAGCACCAACAGCAACCTGGCTGTCGTCTTCTTCAAGGCCACGCAGGAGCGGTTCGTCATATACGCCAACACGGACGACGACGTGTTCCTCTACTGGGTCAACTCGGGCACCAGGATCGGCAACCCGATCCCGACCACATCCAACGTCCGGAGCGGCAGTCCGCTGGCCGTCGCGTCGGTCGAGGGAAGCGACAGCACCGGGCCGTATCTCAACATCTATCTGTACTACATGGACGCAAACAGGGAACTCTGCCGCATCGCCGGGCGCGCCAGGGACTCGCAGATCACCTGGTTCCAGAGCAACCAGGTGCAGGGCGCCTCCAGAATGAAGGCTACGACGGATATCTCGGCCACCAACACGGAGTCGACCAACTACATCTACTACATCACAGATGGCGGCTCCACGTTTGCGCGGTTCAAGGACACCATCAGTCCGGGCTGGTTCCATACGCCCCCCAAGGAGGAGGCAACACGTCTCGACGAGCGTCCGGCGCCAAAGAGCGAGTACTAAATGGAAACGCGGAGGCTAGATTCAAGTTTTCAATGCCTGCCGGGTTGGTGTTGTCGTGCGACAGATAGACTGACAGCCTGTGCTGTGGAGGAGCGGAATCTCGGCACGTTACTAAATCTAGTAACCTAGTCTATGGAACTTGGTCAGTTGACTGTGTACTTGTTATAACTAAAGAATGGCAATACAAATGTCCTTCGTTTTCTTTTTCTTTTAGCCCGCTGGTTCGACTTGCAGGTGACTTATTATCACCACATTGTCAATGATTGTGGCTCTGGGCCCGGGAACCCAGTTCAATCAATTCAATCATTTTGGTCTCCGAGTCCGGTCATTTAATTAGACCTAGTTGCAACCCACCTTGTGTTTCTATCGGCACGCCCCAATCTGGACCCCTCGCAGACCCACCAGGCAGAGGTCTAGTCCAGGTCTCTGGCCATAAAACACACGATCTGTCCGAGTCGGATCTCCCGATCTCAAGCATCATCGTGCTTCTTGCCTAGATGCTCACGGTATCCTAGGTGAGACCTGCAAGGCAAGCATACGTCAGCCATCCAGCCTCCAGTGCTTTTACCTGGCCGGTTGTCGTACGGAATTGTTTCTGCATAAACGCTGTATACTTGGGCGTCATAGTCTCGCCGTTCTTACATCATCGAGCCGGAGGCGGCATAGCCACCGGCGGCTCAGAGAGAATAGGGGTGTATAGTAAGAGACGCCGCAGTCTCGTGATCCAGGCCCCCGGGCGAGTCGCCCCTTTTATAACCATACACAATATGCGGTCCTGCGAGTAACGTTAGTATATCCGACAGGGGACAATGCGTGTACAGCGAACCTAAAGTCGTCTCGTGCTACTATACTTTCCGGTCTGAGAGGCGAACCACCTAACATAGTACGGGACCACCATGGACGCCCCGGTGAATCTGGCCGTCCCAGTCAAGTTGGACGCCTTCGTATTCAACGAACAAGTTTGCGATGGGGGTCCCCGGGAGGCCAAGATTGCGCCCCTCACGCAGCCAAACTACACCTTCCTCCAGCTCAGCGACAGCTTGATACAGAACGACATTCTCAACCATGTTGACCTGCACAACTCGATCCCTGCCGCTTCCAACCCTCGCCTGCGAGATCTGGGCCGGAATGGAGCGGTGCGTAGCAATCGTCTCGGCGTGTACCTGCACTGGATGATCCCTCGCTTCTACCGAAGCGGCGTGGCGGCCACGCCGTCGGCGGAGAGCAAGCACGCCCCAGAGAGACGCAAGAAAGGGTTCGCGGCGGTGGACCCGTCGGCTGCCGACTATAGCTCGCCCGAGTTTTCTCCGCTGCCGAATCGCTGGCTCGTGATCCGCAAGCTGGATCCGGACGCGCCGACAACGCTGCCAAAGGGCGCACAGGTGGATGCCGTGACGGCGTGGATCATCGAGGGCGACCGGGTGCGGCACATTGACGACGACGAGCTCGACGGCAAGGATCTGCAGGTCGATGTATCCCCCTTCATCACGTCCAAGAGCCAGGATGCTACGGACCCAACGAAGATCGCGCTGGCCGAACAAGCCGAAATCTTTATCGGCTACAAGACCAACGCTCAGGGCTGGGCCGAGAAGGCCGGGCTGGACAGGGCCGACCTCACCGTCGTCAGCGCGTCCAACCATCTCTTCCCCGACTACCAGCCCCACTGCAGCAACGTGTTCTCCACGCTGGACGACTTCGCGTGCACCATCGACGGGCAGCCCGGCCATCTCACGGGGGCCGTCGCAAGCTACTACGTCATGGGCTGGCACTCGGACAGCGCCAACGATCCGCTCGGCAATCTGGACCCACACGGCACTACGACGAGGGGGGACCGGATCCGGAGCCGGTCCATGGGCCTGAACGGCACCTTGCCGTACCCGAAGCCCGTGCAGGACTGGCTCGACGCCAAAACCGCCTCTCGCGTCCTCTGTCACGGGGCCATGTACGGCGTGCGGTGGGATGCCAACACGCTGCCGCCGAAGGTGCCGGCAAACAAGGCGTCGGAGCACCTGACCGACGACATGCCGGTGGCGGTCGGCACGACGCCCATGGACGCGCTCCTCGCGTACGTCGACGCGCATCAGATAGCAGACCTGGAGAAGGATCTGCACGCGCTCGAACCGCTGCTCCGGGCACGGGACGACGGGGTGCAGGCCCAGCGGGCGGCCACCGACGAGCTTCAGAATTGGAACCATGCGCGCACGTCGGGCGGTGTGCACTGGCACTTCCAGAACGAAGCGGGAAAGGAGGCCCAGACCCCGCCGGCCATTGACGCTGACAACCTCGAGGCGCTGAACCAAGCCCAGCGGCTGGCCGACGCGACGGCGCGCCAGCTAGTGCCGCTGCGCTGGGAGATGTTCTCGTACTGGTGGCAGTTTGTGTGCCTGTCGGCGGAAGACCGCAAGAAAGCCGCGTATCCGCTCGAGTCGCTGTCGGCGCGCTTCGCGGCCCTCGACAAGCTTTACCACGACCAGCAGGCGCAGGTCACGAACCTATCCAAGGACACGACCATGTTCCGCAAGCTGCCCACGCCCGGGGTCCACCCGGAGTTTGCCGAGGCCCGTGATCCCACACTGCTCGTGGGCGGCATCCAGGCTGGTTGGCCCGACGACTATCTGGACACGCTCCGGGTCCGCCTGGACTCGCAACTGATCCGGCCGGACTCGGCCCTGGTTCCGCCCGGCAGCGGCATGGCGCCGTACTGCACGACCGTGCTCCCGGCCGAACTCCAGCCGACAGCTGCCGCACTGGCCCAGGAGTTCATCACGCTGGAGGGGGGGAAGCAACGAGCGGTTGACCCACCACCCGATGCCAGCTCCTCCTACCCGCCCTTGTACCACGACACCGGCAAGCACGGAGCCCCCGGCCAGCCCTTCCGCGACCAGTGGGGGGACACCCAGCCGTGGTTTCCGCTCTTCGTCGAGTGGGAGGTCGAGTATTTCCACATTCCCTGGCCAGACTGGGAGCTGAACGGCGAGCGCAAGGACCAGCTCGATCCGCGGTGGAAGCTGGGCATCCGCCATGGCTTTGAGCTAGCGGCTGCGCACATCTCGGACACGCGCACGCTGTCCGGGCGCATCCTGCTGCTCCCGCAGCCCAATTTCTCGCTCCAGGCGGCGATACAGGACCTCTGGAGCAACACGGACCCGCGCGTCCTCGAGAAGTATCTGCCGGACCCCAAGCAGCGAGAGACTGTGCGCGACACGGCCTACACGCTGCCGTTCCTGTCGGCGCCCCTCGACGGCTTCGCCGCCGAGCTCATCACGCTGGCCAAGGGGACGCATGTCAAGCCCAACGTCCGCTTTCCCCAGACGGGGTACGCCATCAGCGGCATCCAGCCGCTGCCCGACGCCGTCGCGGGCCCCTTTGGGAAGGCCGAGCTGGGCATTGTGGGCGCAGAATCCGAGCTCACGCCGTTTGGGCGGCTCGTGCTCTTCGACATGCCCTCGCCCTCGCCCTCGACTGGAGGGACAGGCGACACCACCGGCCCCTTGCCATTCAAACCCGCCAGGCACGGCCAGTTCCGCTTTTCCAAGCTCAACATCGTCGACAAGTTCGGCCAGGCCATCTCGGCCATCGACCCCCGCTACGGCCACGAGCACGACGAGGCCGTGTACCCCTGCCTGAGCAGCTACTTTGCGCCCCAGCAGCTGGCCGGCGGCCAGCCCAACGCGGTACGGCCTCCCGCCCGGCCGGGCTACTGTGAATTCGCCCAGGTGCCACCGGCTATCAACCAGCCGGCGCGGCTGAACTGCACCTTCGTAAAGCACGACGAGCGCTGGGACCGCGACAAGACGGGCTACGCATACTGGCGTCCCACGACCGAGTGGGAGTCGCCCGTGTGGGGCTGGGTCGTGCTGAACTACGCCGACTACGGCGTGCAGATCTTCTTGCCCGACGGCACCTTCTACCGCGAGGTGCGCCTCGCATCGCCGACGGCACCCGGGCATACCTCCGCCGGCGCCAAGTGGCTCCCCTTCGACCCGCCCGCCACGCCGCCGGCGGGAACGGGCCAGCTGGATCGGCTCCTCGAGCGGCTCGCCGCCCTGGACCAGACCTATCTGCTTTCCTTCCTCGCCATGCTGGGCGCATCGCTCGACGCGACGGCTTCGGCACCCAGCGCATACGGGACCTTCCTCAACAGCCTCGTCGGGCGCCCCTTGGCGCTGGTCAACGCGGCCTGGAGTCTCGAGCTCGCCACCGACGCCTGCAAAGACCAGTCGTCGCTGGACGGACACGAGCACAAGAAGCAGCAGACAAGCCTGCTCGACAACGGCGACGGCGAGCACGTCTACCAGTTCCCGCTCAAGCTCGGCGACAAGGCCCGCGCGAACGACGGTCTTGTCGGCTACTTTCCCGCCCAGCAGACCGACACGCCCCAGCCCGGCGACGAGCTCGACCTGGACGTGGCCTACACGTATTATCCCGCTGCCCCCGGTGAGCTCGCCCCCGGCCACCAGCGGCCAACAACAACAGAACCTATCGGGCCCGACAACTACCCCAAGCTCCAGGCCTTCTGGTGCCCACCCGACCGCTACACACCACCCGCGGTCACGGACCCGCAGACCGCAGCGCGGAACTACGCGCGCGACTGGAACGCGGCGCTGCGCGTCTTCGGCCTGATCGTGGACCCGTTCGTGCCGGTGACCTCCTTCACGGGCGGCGTGCAGCCCGCGGGGAGTCTGGCCTTGCCTCCGTGGACGTGGCAGGCGGCGCTGCACCGCATGACGGCCTTTTTCCACGCGGGGCCGCTGCTCGTCACGCGCGACGTGCAGGAGTACTGGGACCGCGATCCGTGCCAGACGCTTAGGCCTGCGTATGCGTTGAGCCCGCCGGACCAGGACCAGACTGTCAAAGACAGCCACGTGGGCATTCCGGCCTTGGATGTGGCGAGCTGGGCTTGGTTGCAGCCGTTTTGGAATGCGGCTTCTTCTGGCACCGCGAGTGCTGCCGCCGCTAGTCGTACGGAGAAGGAGGAGGAAGGGGGGAAGCAGGAGTATATGGCTCTCGGGCTGGCCAAAGTAGACGGGAAGCCCGCGTACGAAAAGGGGCCGTATACCGCGCTCGAAGGCTATTTGCAGCTGAAGGCGCCGATTGTTAGGCCGAGTTGAAACCCGGCAAAAAATTCTTTTGTTGCATTACCCAAAAGTTGCCCTCATCAGCCCCCGGCCGCCCCCAACACCCCTCGCCGCTTTTGCTCAGGTCCCGTCAGGGGCTGCTCAGGAACGCTCAGGAGAACGACCGGAAACGGCTTAGGACAAGGCGGTGCTTTGCAAGGCGGTGGAGTCCAATGGAAATCCAGATGGAAACTCTTCGCGAGGTTGTAGGGCGTCAATTTTTTGTTTCCCCGGCCGGGTAGTCTAGGGCAAGGAGCTACCGATAAAAGCTCAATAGATATCCTCTATTTTACCCTCCTAAGTTTTGCCATTGCCCGTTCAACCTTCAGCCTTGTAACTATACCTAATGCTCTTCCCTAGAGACCGGCAACTGCTCTCTAAAACCTTTAAATCCCCCGATTAGTTTCTTTTATCCCTCTTAGTATTCTAAGATTCTTGCTTCTATAGCTTATAGCCTAAGATCTTATTAAGTAATACTATAATTAAAGATCGGTAGAAAAAGGATAGCTATAGACCAAAGGAGGTATAACGTATCTTATAAGCGAGCGAGACATATAAGCGAGCGAGCTCCTTCCCGGTGAACAAACATCGGGGGCCGCCCACGCGGGCGGCCGGGCATTGCAAAAATCGGGAATTAGGTCCTTTGTGATCTGTTCTTTCGATTCCAAGGGGTTGCAGCGACGCGCAGCTTCTACGCGGCCGTATGGCTGTCGGGTTGTTGGTTTTCGCGACAAGAAAGTGAGGATTTTCGAGTGCACCGAAAATCCCGCACTACCCCGCACGACGACCACCATTGACGACAACTACGACAATCTACCTGCAACAAGTTTGCAAGACTAGGGGGATACTGGGTACGAAAACCACCCGACTCTTTCGACGTTTTGAAGAAGAGATAGGGCACCCCCGGCCCTGCCCGGTTCTAAGGGCGCCCGCGACGAACGCTAGAGGGCTAGTCGTACGGCGACGAGGATACGGAGCGAAAGCCGGTATCGCCGACCGATCGTACGACCAACTATAAGAGCAGGAGAGAGAGGGAATACGGGCTCGTTAAGGGAGGCAACACGGGCGGCCGGGCCCTCTTGCGAGGCACTTCGCCCTTTGCAATACTGTAGTTGGATCTGAGGATAGGAGGCGAGGCAGGTGGATCAGGGCAGGTTAGTAGCAGAGCGACCGAGCGAGCTGCGCCGGCGTGGCAGCTCGTACGACGGCCTGCTGCAAGACACGGTCGGCCTTATAAGGGAGACCTAGCAAGGCAACGGGAAGCTGGAAGTCAGGGTTGCGCCTGGCGGAAGGTGGGCCGTGGCGGCTATACTAGACCGAGAGGAGGATGACGGAGGTGTGGCCCTGGCTCGCACCCAGGCTACAGGAGAGACATAGCTATTCCCTCGGCGAGGGACCCGTGGGAATGTCGTACGCGGCGGGGAGCGTGCTCCTTTAGCCAGAGGCGTACGATGGGGGAGGAAACCGCCGACAGGACGTACTAGAGAGTACTATGGCTGGGGATCAAATGTATGGTGTCGCCGCTACAAGGAACTCATGGCTCTGAAGGAGTAGTATAGCCGGCCGGAGAGGACGGACGCGCGTGTCGGTCATCCAAGAGGGAGGAAGTATTGTGCCTCTTGTGGAGGGCTTAAGGTGCAAACCTTGGAGTCCCGTGGCCTAGTATTGTTATGCTTGGTCCGGTAGAGAGGTTTGGCCTTGCCTCTCTGATTAGATTACCTCTATAAGGCGGATCTTCGCGATTACGCTTAGGTAGCACGTTTGTAGAGTGATAATCTAAGGACTTCAAGGCTAACAGGGGCCTTCGACCGGGTAAATCATACCCGGTTACTGGCTACGGTTCGGGACCTTGGGCTCCCACCATGGCTTGTAGGTTGGCTACGGTCGTGGCTAACAGGCCGGAAGGCCACACTCCTATTCGACGGCCAACTTGCCCCAGAAATCAACATTCGAGCTGGAGTGCCACAAGGATCACCACTATCACCAGTCCTCTTTATACTATATATAGCCTCGCTATATAAAGTACTAAAGGAAAAGCACCCTCTGGTTAGCTTAGTGGGATTCGCAGATGATACCAACCTCCTAGCCTTTGGAAGGGACCCCTATATTAACTGCCGGCAACTGGAACAAGCCTGGGCCACGTGTCTACAGTGGGCTAGATCCTACGGAATGGAATTCAATGGGGCCAAGTCAGAGCTCATCCACTTCAACAAAGGCCGAAAACAGTGGTCTGAACCACTACAACTAGCCAAACCCGGCCACCCTTATGACTATACTATAGTCAAACCAACGGCTTCAGCCCGGTTCCTAGGAGTCTGGCTTGACTGAAGGCTTTCTTGGAAGGCCCACGGAGCTAGCATAGCTACCAAGCTAAGAACTCAAGACTTTGCTCTATCAAGGATAGCAGCCAAGACCTGGGGCCCGGGGCTAATCAGGGCCAGAGAGGTCTACACTAAGTGCATTCGCAGTGCAATAGCCTATGGGGCATCCAGCTTCCACAAGCCTACAACACTCAACGGCTTACCACAAGGCCTAGCCAGGGACCTAGCAAAGGCCCAGAACCGAAGCCTACGCATCGTAGCTGGGGCCTATAAGGCTACCCCTATACGGAATCTCGAGACGGAAACTTGGATCCCTCCCCTAGACCTTTATCTTAACAAGAGGCTGGCCGACTTCGAAGACCAGCTCAATAAGCCTACCCTACAGGCCGGGCTAGGCCCAGAGGCCCCGAGGCGCCGACCAAAGGAAATCATCCAAGGGGCCTGCAACAGGCTCCAACGAAGGTTCCGGTCGCTACGGCGCCGGCCCTGGAGCCTAGAAAAGCCAACAGATGCCGAAAAGGCCTCGGCAACAGTGGCCGAATGGAATACCCAAGCTAAGGCCTTGGGCCCACCATTGGCTAAGACCCAGGAAGACTGGGCACTATTAAGAGCCTGGGAGGCTAGGTGGAATACCCAAGTCCAAGGACAGCCAACTAGGCTAGCCGACGAAGGCCTACCAACAGTCCTCTTCACGAACCAGAGCCTACAGAAACACCAAGGCCTTACAAAGGCTAAGAGCTCCCTACTAGTACAGGCTCGTACAGGGGCTATAGGCCTACGGGACTTCCTTTTCAAACAAAAGGCCCGTAACCAGCCTACCCCCTATTGCGAATGCGGAGAAGCCCGAGAGACAGTAGAGCATCTCGTGATTTGGTGCTCTATACCACCTATACCAAGAACCTGGCCTAGACAACTAATACGCACCCACCGGGATCTTAGCCTTGTTTTACAGGGCCTAGGCTACCGGAACCGAAGACTTCTGAAGAAGGTATTGGGTTGGCTGATGGACTCGGGCCGGCTAGGGGAATATAGGCTCGCTCGGAACCTCGATGAGGAACTGGAAGCTAGAGAGCCCGGCTAGCTATACCTATGGCCACGGCTTAGCCGAGCTAGCACCCTACTAGCCGTTGGCCCAAGGCCTTCCCAAGGCCTTTTTCCTTACTTGCAGCAGCGCGTATCACTGGAACTATGTCTTTCCTATCACTTCCGACAAAGGTTTTCACCCGGCCTAAACGGTACGGTTTTTCCTTTGTATATAGCAGTAGAGGGTCCGGCACGCCTTGTAAATAGCGAGGCATAGCGGAGTAGGAGAATATATATATAAGCGAGCGAGACACTAAGTTCTTGGCACGACGCGTCCTTCTTCAACCACCCCCAACAGCGCGTTTTTCCTATAACCAAGAATGTCTTCCGCTTCAAAGGAAGCTAGGGTAATCTTGGCCCTTCAAGCTCTTCAAAATGACACGAAACTGAGCCTCCGAGCCGCGGCCAAGCTCTATAACGTACTAGTTTCAACCCTCGGCCACTGACGTACCGGCCGAGCTATACGACACGATCTTCCAGCTAACTCGCAGAAGCTCACCGATCTAGAAGAGAAGGCTCTTATTCAGTATATAATTGAGTTATCCGAGCGAGCTTTTCTACTAAGACTCCGTGGTATAGAAGATATGGCCAACCAACTGCTATATATACGCGACGCGCCCCCTGTCGGCAAGCTCTGGGCCTATAACTTCGTCAAACGCCAGCCAGCCCTCCGTACACGTTGGTCGCGTCGATACGACTACCAGAGGGCCAAGTGCAAGGATCCAGAGGTCATTGGCGAGTAGTTTGTACTTGTACGGAACACCAAGGCCAAGTACGGTATTGTAGATGACAATATCTATAACTTCGACGAGACTGGGTTTATAATAGGCATTATCTTCGCGGGCATGGTGGTTACAACCTCTGATGGCCGTAGCAAGGTAAAGCTGGCCCAGCCTGGCAACCGCGAGTGGGCAATGGTGATCTAGGGAGTCAATGCTCTTGGCTGGGCCATCCCTCCGTTCATTATCTTGGCCGCACAGTACTACCTCGCTAACTGGTACACCGAGTGCAACCTCCTAGCCGACTGGCGTATTGCAACTACCGACAACGGCTGGACGACTAATGCTATAGGCCTGGATTGGATCAAGCACTTCGACTACTATACAGCGCCCTAGGCAAAGGGCAAGTACCGGCTGTTGATCCTCGACGGCCACGACAGCCACCACTCGACCGAATTCGAGCTTTATTGCCAGTAGAATAACATTATCACGCTTTGTATACCTCCGCATTCCTTGTACCTCCTCCAGCCACTCGATATTAGCTGCTTTGGGCCACTGAAGCAGGCGTACGGTCGCCAGGTTGAGGACTTAATACGTGTATATATCAACCACGTAAGCAAGCTCGAGTTCCTCTATAGCTTCCGCGAGGCCTTCTTCGCCTCGATGACGGGGAAGAATATCTAGGGTGGCTTTGCAGGTGCTGGCCTTGTACCGTATGATCAAGAGAAGGTACTATCTAAGCTGGATGTAAAGCTCCGTATACTAACGCCCCTGAACTCGCGGGCTAGCACACTATAACCTTGGGTATTCCAGACGCCATACAACCCTCGAGAAGCCAACTCGCAGTCAACGCTCATCAGGACTCGTATTGCCAACCATCAAAATAGCTCCCTAACTTCGATGTTGGCTGCTATAGACCAGCTTACCA